AAACGAACGTCGCGCAGTGGATCTGCAACTGCGGACGGCAGAAATATAGCGCGTACCATGTTTGCAAGCATTTGGTTCAAGCCGTGAATCCCCCGCCGATCTCCTTCTGGAACCACGTTCACCGCCGTCGCACTTCCCCTCTATACCGCCATCCTGCTTTAGTCTCCCGCGAGACGGCACTCGTCCCCACTCCCTACATGGACCCCGACTTGGGCAGTATCACGGACGGCGACGATCATCTCTGGTCCGGTAACCCCTCCGACCTTGAGGACGGGAGCTGGCGATCGGGTCGGCTGGCCACTTCCCTTCCGCGCAATGAGCGCGTCGTGGACGTTTCTCCGCCCGCCGCCGGGGAGGTCTCGGAGAAGGCGACTGAAGTCGATAGCGCGACGGGTTCGCTCGCATCTGGTCCCGTGTTGTCTCCCGACGACGCTTCGCAGCCTCAAGCGCAGGATCTTCGAGGGGATGTTAGCGAGGATGAAGACGACATAGTACGTGGCTGCACTCCGTGATAGAGAATGTAACTCATACCCTTCTAGGTCGATACCAATCTCGAATGGTTTCGCGCACAGATCGCCACGCATGAGGCCGGCCTCGAACTCCTCAAGAAGCAATTGGTGCTGCCTCCTTCCGATAGCGCGCTCTTTATCGCCCGGCTGAAGGCACGAGACTTCGGCCGCGATATGGTGGAGCTTACGCAGGACATGTTCCATGTCGAGAGCACTGGTCGCAAGCGGTCGACTACGTGGGCACGCGCAGGCGACGCACCTCGCAAACGACGACGCCTCAACAACACCCTTGGCTACCATCGCACGTCGTCATCGTGTGCTGCTAGCAGCGCGCGAGGGTCGTCACCTGCGGCACCGGTCATCCCCGACCTGCAGGCTGCTGACTCTGATGCTGAGGTGTGTGGTAGCCCCAGTCACTCCATCGCTCTGTTCACACCTCAACAGGACTGCTGAGCATCGCTGCTGGAGGTCCCCTATGCCTACCCATTCACTGACCGCCCCCCATGCTACATATTCCCTTGCCAAACATACTCCATCCTCCTCGAGCCTCATATGTTTTACTTGCTGTTCTGACTTGCCTACCCCTCCCCTTGGACCTGAACTGCATAGATAACATGTCTATCTACTACTTTGTATACTTATAATGACTCTAGGTCTCGTCACGTAGTCTATACTTGAACTTGGACAAGGGACTCTACACGAAGTTTTGTTATGTTTGTATTACTAATCACGCATATTCCGGTCGATTTTCTGCTAGTCTATGGGCTCTATGCTGTATATAGAATGTTATATTCCACCAGAAGGTACACAGGAAAGGCAAACATAGCCAGGTGCACGACTTCGGTGCGTTGGCGGCGCGGCACGTGGCAGGTCACGTGGCTGACGCTACTGGGGCAATAGCGCTCAGTCGCGGCGGCACGTAGCATGTGGAGGGAGAGGGAGGGGGAGGGTGGCGCATGGCTACGCACTCCCGTTCTGCGCCTTGGCGAGGCGCAGATACAGAGTGAGGGGGCGGTAGAACACGCAACAAGCCTCCTCTGTCGGGAAGGAGGGCAGCGCACGGCCGAGGAGCACGTCAAGGGGGTAAGCCCTGCCGCTAGCAGCGGCCCCGCGCAGTCGGCTTAGCCAGTTGCGGGCTGCACTCAGAAGCGGCGGACCGAGAACGAGTCTCGGTAGCACGACGGGCATCGCCACGGCGCATGAAATCGCCACGAGGGCGCTTCTATGTAACCAGGGGGAGGGGAGGGGGTAGTGCACTACCCCACCTGCACGCATCGGGCATGTCGGTGGGGGTGTAGCGGCCAAAAAAAGCCATTGCGAGGCTTCCTAGGGCGCGTGATAAGCCCTAGGCGACCCCCCTCCACCCTCATAGCCGGTTTGAGGGGAAGAATGGCGGGGAGCGGGGCGATCTTCGCCCCATTTTCCCCACCCTTACGCCCAGCGCGTGTCCCTTCTCGCGTCGCCATACGTGAGTTGAGCAGAACATAAGTAAGTTGTCAATTGATGGGGCGTATACACGCACCCGCAGTCCCGCTCCGCGCACGCCTGGGTCAGCTTCATCCGGCGCTTTCTGTTGTTATATGTGATACTGACATCGCGATGAGCGGTAAGTACCAGTATTCGAGATGAAAGGAAAGGAAAGGAGTGGGGGAGGGGTGTCCGGAGGCGGGGGGGACAACGATGAGGGCTGGGAGGTGGAGGTTGAGGACATGACGTGGCGCAGCCGGACGCGTCGGATGGCCGGTCCGGATAGTCGGCCTGATCTCCGAACCTTATCCTCGTCACCTTCGACGACCTCAGGCTCAAACCGAGGGCCATTTAGAGGTAGACTATGACTGAAATATATTATCTGATATAAGTATGACACCATCTTGAAAGTTTCAAACACATCGGACATGAAATACCTCAGTAACTTGTACAACGACTATTCCACTTGCGAAGACATACACTTCCTGTCAAGGTCTCGCGCACGCGACGATAATTGCCGTCGTCATCGTCGGCTTCGCTGCGCGCATCCGGGGGTTGCTCGTAGGGAATCAAAAGCGAACGCTGGGTACGAACGCGACGTGAGAGGGGGTGGAGGTGGGGGTATAACGCGGTAGAGGCTAGGACCACTGCGAGAGAAGCGCAGTGCTTCCCCGTCGAGAAAATGCTCGACGGGGGTCTGGGAAAGCCATGCGAGGCGGGAAGTATGGCCTTGGGGGTGGAGGGCACACAACTTGGGCCGATTGCCCACGGCTTTTGCATCCCGTGCGCGCAATCGCACTCGAGCTAGCAGGGGAAGGGGGTAGTGCGATGCTACACGTAGGCCAGGGGGCGGTGAGGACGGTTCTCGCGCGCGCTCCCCGCTCCTGCCTTCCCACCCTCTCCCTTCACGCATGCTCGCGTGTCCCCTTCGATCACGCGCCCCCCTCCTTCGTGTGTCCCTCTCCCCGCTGCTCCCCTTCTCCTGCGCGCCCCCTGTTTGCGCAGTGCTCAGCTCGCGCGTCTCCTTCACAGCGCCCTCGCCCTCCGCAACTCCTTGAGGGAGCACGAGCTGGCTTTTACCCGGCGCGCCTGGATGGCCAAGCGCAGCCAAGGTGGACGCGCAGCGTGCCGGGGGCAGCCCCTGCAGTGGACGCGCATCGCCAGCGAGGTGCAGGATCGCCATAGAGGCGATCCTGCCCGAGGGATGGAGGGAGAAGGGTGGAGATGGGGTGGGGTGGAGGGGAAACGCGTCGTAGGACGCGTGTAGGGTAGTGGGCTGCGCTGAGCCCACCGGCAAGTCGCCTCAAGCGCATTGCGTGTCTGAGGCGAGCCCACTGCGTCCTCAACCGTGTTCTGAGGGAAAAAAATGGTGAAGAGGGGGCCGAATAAGGCCCCGCTCTGCTCGTTGTCACGCAGCCCGCGCGTCCTTCCCGTTCTCCCCCTTTCGTGAAGTAGTTGAATAAGTTAGTAAAAATGCAAGTGCGGGGCGTATTCACGCACCCGCTGCCCTTCTACGTGCACGCAGGGCATCGGTTGTTATCTGGGGTTGGTGTTGTATTGTGCGGTGCGATTGCCCCCGTGATAATGCTCTTCACAGCCTGCGCATTGTGTTCGGTGGAAAAGGAGATGGGGGAGGGGGAGGGGCGGCGGGAGGGGCGACGGATGCGGCCTGGTGGTAGTCGAAGGTCAAGCGACGGCTGATCGAGGGCGTCGGATGGCCTCAGGGGTTGCGTGCGCGCAGCCGACCGGGCGAGTTGCGCAGGAGAAGAGGCCGCGGCCGCCAATCTCGAAAAGACCATCCCGACCTTGTTTGATGGATGCGGGAAGGCGGGAGGGAGCAGAGGCGGTGTCGTGCTGGTCGAAGGTCAAGAAACGCGCGCCTAAGGAGCGTGAGAAGGCTTCGGCGATAAGTACAAAACGAGATGGAGACGATGAATCGAAATGACTCATCGGGCCGGTATCCGAAGGCAAAGAAGTAGACATAGATACCGCAGAAAGAAATGAAACCCCTCAAGACTTGGAAGACGTAAAGATCCATACATCCGACGCAAGAATCCTGAGTATGAAGATGAGGAAAAATTCAAGCAGTGAGGTACACGCGATTTAAGAGCGTGTCGAGTTTTCGCCATCAAAGTGTGCTTAGACCAAGCTACCACGTGCAGAAAAAGGCGACGCGCAGCTAGCATCTAAGCAGAATTGTACCCAGTTTTCGCCAGGACGATAGCGATGAAGTAGAAGAAGGTGCACGATTTTTCCCGAAGCGCAAATCAGACGTTTAGATGGAGAAAAAGCGCAAAAATCCCAATGGGGTAAGGCGAGTGATTACCATCAGGTGGACGCTTTCACCATACTAAAACGAAACCTGACAAGCAGGTCTCGTAACTCCTGCTTGTGAAGAGCGCACATCTGCTCACCACCCACGACCTCGAGTCGGGGATACTAGAGCCGCATGCGCTAACGGTAGTCCCAGCGTACCTGGGTAAAACCGACACAACAATGGTGTCGCCGACTCATGGACCAGTCAGATATTTGTGGATCGGAGAATAAGGAAGCGAGTGAATATCGCATGTCTGAGTCGTACGAAGCCAACGCTGTAATCCTCCTCATATCTCGGGGCTGCAACTACAAGCACGCGAGTCGAAAGCATTCGATGGAATAAACGACTGTAAGGTGAATACGACTACAGATGAATGACGGGAATCGATACATGATATCTAGCTTGTGAGGCTACTCGATACAGTCGCGTCTTGGTACAACATGAACTACAGATAGCGCGTGCAAAGTACAATCTCGTATCTCGTGCGCATCTAGGCGGACGGTGCCCATAAGCCCGATGCGCCTTCGCCGCCGCGCGCGTTTTGGTGCCGCCCCTGCGCTCCATCGACCACTCGAATACGCGCCGAAGACGGCGCTCACGCGGCAGTACCCTTCGGCGCCGTCTTCGAGAACAGCTTCGCCTTCTCGAGCGCGGCTTGACCTGGAAGACGACGCGTCAGCGAGAGATCATAAGAAGAGATGAAGGGTACTCACTGTCCTTCATCAACAGCTTCTTGTAGTCGACGATGGAGATGTCCTCCTTCGTCAAGTTGCGGATCTTCCGGTCCTTGACCTCCCACAACTCCTCGGCGACCTGCGAGATGAGACCTGGAACGCCCACATAAGTACAAGAAAGAGGCACGAAGACGACGCCAACTCACGGAAGTCATGGGACACGATGACAACGCCGCCCTCGTAGTCCTTGATTGCCCGTGCAAGTGCATCGATGGACTCCATGTCCAAGTGGTTAGTCGGCTCATCTACAAAGACGGTCAGCATGCGTAAGTAGGAGTAGGCTCGTCGTGCTCATCGCAAAAGAGCGAAGCCGATGGACAAGGGAACTTACCAAGCAACAAGATGTGCGGGTGCTCCATCGCCAGCTGCGCGAAGACGACGCGGTTCCTCAAGCCATCCGAGAGTTGACGAATGGGTGCCGTCTGGTGAGAGCCCGAAAGACCGAACCGGCCGAGTTGTTGCCGCCATGCCTATCACAGAAGTCAGCGAGCCGTTTCAGGAAGTATACACGGGCAGGTAAATGATTTCGTAACATCAGCGTCGCGAGAACAACGGGTCGTTGACGCGGCACGCCACGGTCTACTCGCGATCCTTCAAAAAGCAGTGAAGGAGGGAACTCACCATGGCATCCTTCTCGGGATACTTCTCATGGAAGAGACTCTGGAAGTACTCAATCGGGCTCTGGTCGTATGGCAACTGGTCCGCACTGTAGGGTAACTTAGTCAGCAAAAGTACAAGGCGAAGTTACAACACCGCCTCGGTCGTGGTATAGCATAAGCGCGGCGTCGACACGCGACAGAGAAGGCGCAGGCGCGCAACATCCAGGCGCCAATGTGCCCGCCCGCCAAGCGACGCTCTCCCTACACGACGCCACGCGCGACGTCGCGTGCCCCACAATCCAAAACGAAGGTCGCTCACCTGTGCTGCGAGTACTTCGCCAGTTTCAACGCTGCGTGCTTGCTGATCGAGCCCTCCGTCGGTTGCAGCGCGCCCGTGATGAGGTGCAACAGCGTACTCTTGCCCGTACCGTTGGCGCCAAGAATGGCTACGCGGGAGTCCATGCTGAAGAAGGACGCATCAGCAACGAATCCAGCGAGCAACAGAGACATACTTACTCGATACCGAAGCTCAAGCCCTGATACAGGTAGTCCTCCTTCTTGCCCGAGTACGAGAACGCGACGTCGGAGAAGGCGATGACAGGCGGCGGCAGTTTGCGGATGTCCTCGAAGTTGAACCTGTTCAACGCGTTAGCCGGGTGCGTTGTGGGCAGCGAAGCAGCTTACCTCAACGGCCGCGGCTGCTCGACCTTTTCGACCAAGCCCGCCGCCTCCATCTTGTCGATGATCTTCTGCTTCGACTTCGCCTGCTTGACGAGGTTGGCGTATGTACCGGCGGAAGCGATGAACCTGTAAATGATTTGTAAGCAAGCGCCGAGCGAGAGGGCGATATTCGTTGCGCCCGGCAGGCCGAAGAGGGGATACGGCAAGGCGCGGGGAGCAGCGGGGAGGGAGGAGGTGCAAAGACAAACACGCACTTCTTAATGTGCGCGATTTCCTCCTGCTGCTTGTTGTACGCCTTCATCTGGTTGACCTCGTTCTCGGCCTTCGTCTTGACGTAGGTGCTGTCACGCATAAGTCAGCGCCGTGAACATGAAGAGAAGGTATAGTGACACACCTGTAGTTACCGGTGTAGTAGACGAGCTTCTTCTTCATTGTAAGGTCCATGATGTTCGTGCAGACGGAGTCCATGAAGTCCTATGACGGTGTGTTGGTAAGCACGATATCAATGGAGGAGAAGCACAAGGGGCGCGAGGGAGATCGAGAGAGAAGTGCGGATGAGGGCCCAAGAAAGGGGATCGTGGAAGAGGCGGAATGTGAGGCAAGGGAGCGGTCGATCACATACCTGAGAGTGCGAGGTGATGACGAGGATGTGGTTGTAGGTGGAGAGGTACGCTTCGAGCCAGACGACGGCACCGAGATCGAGATGGTTGGTCGGCTCGTCGAGGAGGAGGAGATGGGGCTTGATGAAAAGGGCACGCGCGAGCGCGACGCGCATCCTCCAACCACCGGACATGTCCTTCGTCGGCTTCGCCATCATCTGCTGTGTGAAGCCGAGACCGTGGAGGATCGCACCGGCTTTCGCCTGAGAGGGGGGGAGTCAGTACACGACACGCGGGGAAAGCACGATGAGCACGCACCTCGAACGTGCTCGGGTCCATCTCCTCAAGCTCCTCGTACAGGTGGTCGAGCTCGATCTCGGCGCTGGGGTCGTCTCCGACAGCCATGGAGACCTCCTCGATGCGCTGCTCAAGGCGGGCGACCTTTGCCTTCGCGCTGGCAACGATGAAGTCGACGGCGTTGACGTCGGAGGGCTCCGCCTCGCCAGAGACGAGGTAGATATCGATGTGCTCGGGGATCTCGATGTCGCGCTCCGCGATGGAGTTGAGGAAGGTGGACTTGCCGGAGCCGTTCTCTCCGAGGAGACCGTACCGCTGGCCGTAGTTGAGGGAGATCTCAGCGCCCTCGATGAGGAGGCGGCCGTGGAAGGAGAGCGTGTACTGGTCGATCTTGATGTCGCGGCCCTTCGGGTCGGAGACGAGAACACCAGCGGCGGACCGCTCGGTGGCGACGCGGAGCTTCGCCATCGCGGAGAGGTCGTCGGTGGAGTTGTTGGCGGTGGAGACGGCTGTGCTCGATGCCGGGGTGCCCGTCGAGGAGACGGCGGTCGTCGAGCCATCCCCCTTGCCCTTGGCGGCCTGCTTTGCCGCCTTTTCTGCGAGACGCTTCTGCTTCGACGCCGAGGGAGCCATTGTGAGTGTCGAGGACGATACGATCGATGATGATCCCAAATTTCGTGCCTCCTCGCTATGTGGCGTTATGTGGCGTCGTCGAAATGTCTAATTGTCCGCCAATCACATCCTTTGCTTTGACCGTCAGCCGTACGGATCGTCGCCACGCATATTCGACTCGTCCAGCCCTGTATCTCTCACAATACGCTCTAGATGTACGTATAATATATCTTCAACTCCTTATAAGCCAAATCAATCTCGCCGCGAGCTGCAAGTAGCATATTGTTTGCCATGTCCAGCAACGACCCTTCGAGGTAAGCCATGGTCCTGGGATGCATCTGACATAGCTGACGCTTCTATAGACCGATACAAACGGTAATTACCCCTCGAACTCGCAATGCAAGTCGCAAAAACTGCATCATTCTCCTTGACAAGGATGGCTACCTTATTACTGTCGGAAAAGCTGCACCGCAGCCTGGGATCGACAGGGCGCCTCTTAAGCACTCTAGTTGATGCGCTTCCTCTCCTAGCGCGCTTCATCGAGGACGCCTCTCTCTCAACCTCGCGAGATCCAGTTCATATCGTCGTCCCGTACCGGTACGTCTGCTTTCATGTTCGCTCCATACGATTGCTGAAGATCTAGCGCTCTTTCAGACTTGCGAGTTCACTCCGCGCTCTTTTCGAGGACCACAGATGCTGCGCGAGTCTCCGCCGTCGCTCTAGTAGCTCTTTTCATCATAAACGCGGCTCTCCCGCCAAGCGCCGACAGTGTTCATATGCTAGTGCTCGCTACATGCTTCACGGTACGCTTCTCCTGTTCTTTCGCAAATCCTTCGCTCGTTTCCGCTCCCTTCCCTTCAGTCAAGCCTGATTCTGGCAAGGATAAATTATGTACCTCGGCCGTCGTATACGACATGGACTGCGTCCTGCCCAACGATAATCTTACTTTATCGAGCTCATGCGACAACTACACTCACCCGCGCTTCTTGCGTGGTTGAATACGCGTCTACGGATCCTGAATATAGAGCGTCGTTCTCTTCTCCTTCCGTGCTGTACTGACGAATAGCAGTGCTTTGTTTACCGGGACGAACGCCTAGGACGATTGGCGGCCGTCGAACGACACCACGACAACCTTTTGGAGAGCGCCGGCTCTAGCAGGAGAGCAGAAGCAGAAACTTCACGGTGCGACTGCAAGGACCGTGCTATCTGGTTGGTGCTCGCAATGATTGACGCTGCCACCGGCTGTTACTGCGCTCTGCAGGTACAGAGTAAACGCGAATCACCACCTTGGGTCGCGCCATCCTGGCGCCTCGTTTCGGCGGTGCCCTACTCTTTGGAGGCAAATTCTCACAACTCGCCGATAAGCCGCACGCACCTCAAGGCTCACGTCGATGCACCACACGCGCATTGTTGCAGCGTCCGTCGCAAGGCGACTCCCCTCGTCGCAGGCTAGTGATACGGGTGAGCCTCCTCGTCCCGCACCCCTCGTTATATACACACAATATCGATGCATCTCGTCGACGCCAGCGTCTCCGGCGCAGTAGTCGTCGTCTTCGCCCAGAACGCGTGTGGGGGACAACAATGCCAAACAAGACGCGCGATTGTCTAGCCGAGACGAGCGTGCGAAATCATCCCGCTTTAGGAAGCTCCATTGTTCACACGATGCGCGCCTTTTTCGCGTTTGAACACGGACTACCACCATCTCGATGGACGGAGCGCCGCTGGGTACGCCGCCGACAATTCCACTGTGCGGGAATGGGCTCTCGGATGCAGCAGACGAGCGGTGAGTATGGCCTGTCAATGTGCGTGGCAGTGTGTGCATTGTCCTGACCTCGCGATTGACAGCCCTTTGGAGACGGCGTCAACGTGCACCCCGACATTTCGAGGGAAGAACAACGCAACGACGGACCGCATCCCGCGTCCCGCTAACGCGTTCATCCTCTTTCGCGCGGACTTCACCAGGAACCATACCCTGCCGGATGGTATTGAAAGGCGCAACGGGACTTTGAGCAAGATTGCATGTGCGTCGCTCTCAGACTCTGTACCGAGCGCGCTCTGATACAATTTCCCAGCATCGGAATGGAAGAACTTGTCCCCCGAAGGTCGTGGTCTCTGGTATCGCCGCGCAGACGAGGCCAAGATCGCACATCAGGCAAGATACCCCGACTACAAGTTCCGCCCCGTCCACAGAAAGAGCACGAAGAACAAGTCAAAGGCGCCCATCGACGTGAGGAAAGACGCGGAGGAGGGATCCGCAGCGCCCAAGGAGGGGCCACCCACGTCCTCCACCGACGACGGCTGGATGCAGGGCTGCTCGATGTGTGCGCCCTTTGTCCTTTGTTCTCCCCCACGTGGCTGACCGAGGCCTTTGTAGTCTCTGTCTGGCGTGTTGATGGTGACGACGCGCTGAGGGGAAGGGGGCGACCTCCGAAAGGTCTTCCCCCGCCCTCAACGAAGCCGAAGACAGCGAGAAAGCCAGGGGCGAAGCCAGTGCGGACCGCTTCGCAAAGCGGCCTTGGGGTACTTGCGGAAGAGAAGGAAGCGCGCGAGCGGCGGCGCGCATACTTCGAGCAGCTCCATGCGCGGGGCGTCTCAAGCGAGGCGGCGGAATTGGCGGCGGAGGCGTGGGACGACGCGCACTCGCTGAATCCCGCACGCGCGCTCTCTAGCGCATCGGACGTCGACGCAAATGCGGCCGGCGGCGACGACGAGTCTTCCGAGTCCGAGTCGGAGACCGACGGCGTGAGACGCCGACCATCACCCCTCTCGACGGGTCCCCCCGCCCCAGGCCGCGCCCCTCCTCGTATGATCGCGTCCTCGAGTTCCTTGAACCGCGACCACCTGCTTGCGCATGGAATGTACGCACCCGGACTGCCACGCTATACGTTCGTGATGGAGGCAACCTCTGAGCGCGCAGCGACGCACAAGACGGCGGAGGGTGCCGCTTCCTCCCCGAACTTGTCTGCTAGGCGGGAAGGCCTGTCTCCCGGGTACAGTCTTCCTCTTCCGCAGGCGCAAGACTCATTCGAGCGCCGGTCTGACGAATGGGTCGACGAGGAAATGGTGCAGAAAGCGGTTTCAGCGTCCATGATGTCCTCGACGAACAAGCGCATACGTCCGCCGTAAGTAGATCCGAGAGTTGTGAGTCGCATCTGCTGACGCGTATGCTAGGCCATCGACAGATGGCTGCGAACAGCGAGAGAGAACACTAGACCGAGACGCGCTGCCTACTAAGCGCCCGCGACTGAAGTAAGTGCACTTTGGCCTTGCTTCATGCATCGTCGACCGTATACCAGCGAGATGCAGCCCGTTCAAGGGCCATCGTCCGCCCGCCCCCCGTTCGGAAACTGCACGCACTACTACTTCTGACGGCAGGTACCAATGAGGGCGCTGACGGCGACTATGATATGCACGATGCCGCCGAAGATTCCAACGGCGACGACGTTGAGTGGGAACACATCGACTGAGGAACTTCAAGGTTATCTACGACGCCGCAGACCTAGGAGCCAATGTCGACCTATCCCTTGTGTCGACCGTCTCTAATTTTCCGTGTACTACAGATAGAATTCGTTCTTCACTATGGCGCACGTCTTTCCCTTCGCCCTAACATACTATCCGCATCTCCGTCGTGCGTACCTTTCCGATCCTCAGGAATACTCAACTACGTCATCGCTCGCGGCTGATGGGTGGCAGGCGTCGCGAGGCCTACACATGGCGCGATCAGGCTCTTCACCGACCGCCATGCACGTTGCACGCTCGTCAATCGCAGAGACACTGGCCGCCGTACGTGATGCGGTTTTAATGGATGCCAACCACCTCTCGCAGGCCGAGGTGCGCAGGAACCAACTACTGTGATGTTCAAGGCGCTGACGCGGTCTGCGCAGATCGGAGACATAGAGGACCTTGCTCTATGCCTACTAAAGGGCGCAGGCCGCGCGCGCAACTCACTCGTTCCCATCAACCAACTTCCGCCCGAGATACTCAGCCACATTTTCCATTTCCTTCGTCCTTCGTTCGGCGACATTTCCTCGCTGTACAGCGTCGAGCGATCGCCTAATTCCGCGATGGAGAAAGCCGCCGTAGTCTGCCACCACTGGAGGATCATTGCCCTGGGAAGTCCAGAGCTCTGGACTACCATAGACCTGAGCGATGACGACGCCCGTGTCGGGAAGCTTCTACAGCGATCTGGCGTTGTTCTGCCACTGCTACAGCGATATCGACCAATCGAGTCTCTTTCAGGAGATCTTGGTACGACATATGCATCGTGTTCAAGATCTCTCCCTGGACATGGACGGCTCACACTACTTCGTGAAGCCTGCTCCTTCGCTTGTCCGCGCAGTCCTCATGGGATGGTATGATGTCGACGCAAACGAAGGGAGTTCCCCTCTATTCGGAGGCGAGGCTCCTCTCCTGCGCGAGGTTACTCTCAAAGCCTGCCTGCCATGGCGGGCGTGTCGCTTTCCGAGCATCACACATCTTCGTATATCCCAAGGGGACACTCCGAATTCTAGATTTGACGACGATTTCTTCAGCATGCTAGAGGTCTGCCATCGCCTCCAACTTCTTGTTGTCACTTTCACAGGCAACTCTGACCCTAGCAATGATGCAGGGCTCTCGGACACCCGTGTCATATCACTCCCTGACCTTCGCACGCTCTATCTCGACTCGTGGTTCGTTGATTGTATGTGGAGTCATCGTATTCTCTCTCGTGTCAAGATCCCCAGAACTTGCGACATCCGACTCAAAGGAAAGGGTCCCTACCAACCCCCTTTGCTCGCCGCTCTCTTGCAGCCTTTGAACGCCATGAATTTCACCTTGCGCTCGGTATCTACCCTGCACATTGCATTTGTACAGAGATACGCGGCAGTTCATATGGCTTACAATGACGAGACGCTGTCGCTAACCCTGGCCGTTCCCAGCGGGGACGCATCTTTGGGGTTTGCGGAGCTGAATGCCGCCTTCGAAACCTGCACGCATCTCGTCGTCATTAATCCTGCACCAAGTCCGCTTATCTGGCACCACTGGCTCGGCGCCTTGCCGTCGTTGCAGCGGCTCACGATCGTTGAGCTGGGCGGGTCCATGGGGCTGAGCGCTGTGTGCAGAGTCCTGCGGCAGGACATGACGCCTCCCTGCTCTGATGCGCCTGCCACTACACCTTGCCCTAGTTTGCACTCGCTCGAGTGGCATTCCTCGCATGCCCTTCCGAGCGAGTTCTGGCTCACGGCTGACCGCCTTGCTCGCAAAGGCGCAGCGCTTCGGAGTGCGCTTGTCGTGAGGGAGGATGACAGCACAATAAAGAGTGTTCAAAGGGTCTCGTGGGACGAGTCGGGGCTGGCCGACATCCAGTCTTTGCCCGATGCCGATGGGTATCCCACTGGTAAAGCGATTAAGAAGGCGCACACCGAGGCGGTCAGTATCCCTTTGTTACTATAGGGATACGTCCTAATCGTCTGTTGCTGCTTGCCTCCTAGCCGCAAAATCATAAAGTATGTCCGTAGTCGTATTGTCCTTCATAGATGGCAAGAGGGTTGCCATCGAATTACATACAATACCTACACGCTCTGCGATATGATTCAAGCGAACACGCGCCTGAACTGATTCTCGTCCCACTCGCACATAGACAAGTGCTCGTACGCGCACTGCAGCTCCCCAAGCACCGCGCTGATCCTGATGTCGTACTCGGAGCGTGCCTGAGGTCCGTACTCCGAGAGCGCCCGAGAACCATCGTCCGCAGTGAGAACCGGGCTCTGCAAACCGGCAAGTAGGAGCTCGTACTTGACAGCGGAGTCACCATGGTCGGGGCCGTCTACGCCAATGTTAACCGCGCGTGGATATGCGAGAGGGGAAGGCGATTGAGAGCGCAACTTGGCGCGACCTGATTGGTGCGAAGACTTCACGTCGCGTACTGGAGTTGCCTGCTGATTCAGAAGATCGCGACCGAAAGCACGCGATGGAGCAGACTTTGGAACAGAAGAGCGTGGTTGAGGTACGCTCAACGCCCCTAGCGCCATCATAGGAGTGAGATCTGCGTCGGCGGTGTACTCGGAGCATTCCGAAACCAAGAGAGACAGAGGCCGGTCATAGATGCTCCAATCGAGGACCTCCGCGTAAGATAGGCCTTCGTCCCGTGTCATAGCAGGTAGCTCGAGCATGCTCATCGCGCGAGGCTTTGCGGCAGGAGGGCCTGAGGTCGGAAGAAGCCGCGGTGTGCTCGTCAAGGGTGCAGCGTTCGACGTGGCGAGAGTATAGCCGAAGGCTGCCGTAGCCAAGGACCCGCAGTGGTCGGCGATACCGACACTGAGAGCAGAGAAGGCCTTCGCTTCGAAGGGCGAGAACGGCGGCAGACTGAGGGTCATGTCGGTTGCGGGCGCGTTCTCTGCAGGGAAGGGCGCGAGATGGGTGTTGAACTCGAATTGAAGGGGCGAGATGACGATCTCCGCATCCGATTCGAAGCTGAAGGCGAGCCTGGGGACCTCGAGGTCTTGAGAAGGCTCGTTGTACGGGAGACGGGGCGTAGCTTCGGTCGCGGTAGACGCGTCGGAGAGGTAGAGGACAGCGGACGCGTCGGAGGAGCAGGCTGAGTCCAGTATAGAGTATCCGTCCCAGGCAGCCGTCATTGACGCTATCAGAGGCGAGGCAGAAGGACTTCCCAGGGCAGTGCCCTCAGAGTCGAGGTCCTTGAGCGAGGAGATAGGCTCGATGATGTAAGTCGGCACCTCCAGATATGCGGGGGAAGGAGGGGAGGTTGGGGAAGGATCCAGTGTTGCATAAGGCGCGGTGGGAACTCGCCCTTCCCGTCTTTCCCGGCGAGCCGCCCGTTGAGCTTGGAAGTGGACGATCGCCTCCTCGATGTCTTGCATACGAACGAGATCGGCTCGCTCATCGTCGATCTCGGTCACCGTCGGCTCGACGAAGCGAACGCGCTTTCGTCCTGTATCATGATGAGGACGGATGAACCGCAGACGAATCGTGGCCACATACCTGCTCGCGCTGCGCGCGGACTTGGTGATAGTCCAATGGCACGATGATGGACTAGTCCGGGGATCGCGATGGTTGCAGCCTTCAGCGTACTCCGCGCGGTAGGAAAGGTAAGGGCGGGCTTGCCAGTGTCTACTGGCAGTGGAGGGAATGGAGATGTTCGCCGAAGGATACCAGTGAGTACGACTTGGCAAGGTGGTGCGTCTTCGGTGGGAAGAAAAGGCGAGTCGGCGACAGGCAGGAGCGGTCGAAGGGAATAGGTGGAGCGCCGCTTTAGGTGAAGACAAGAAACAAAGTAGGTCCAAATTAAAAAAATGGCGTGTCGTAAACGAGTGTGTAGCGATGTGCTGCCCGCCATCAGCAATTATAAAGGCGGGAGATGGGCGTAGGATAGGCTGGTCGTGACGGTTCGTGACAAGATGCTGAAGGCGGCGATCATCATTGCGGAGCCAAAACTCGCTCTCGACGGAAGCTTCTCACGCTCAGGGGATACAGAGTGAACCTTGAAGCCCTTGGGAAGATACACAAAAGCACCATACTAGTGATACAGCGGCGAGACGGTAGCAAGTAATCAAAAGGTAAAGCGAAATAGATGATGGAGAAACACGGAAAGGTTCAGGACTTCGCCTCCGGCAGCACGTAGCTCTCGTTATCCCAATCTATCTCCTGTCGCAGCGCCGAGTCGAGCACTACCTCTCCCGTGTAGACCCTGAAGCCCTCTGAGGCGATAGGACGCCATACAGGGGCGTCCTCCTTGGATGAGATGAGGTGCTTCGTCTTCGGATCGTTCTTGAAGGTGCGCACGGTTGGCGCGTTAGTTGAGCTGAGCTATCAGGAAAGTGAGCAAGTTGTAAGCAGAATTCGCCGAACAACGCCGAGCTCACCTGTCCACCATTTGCCGTGATGATAGATCGCAGCAAGTCGCGGTCCATGGTAGTCTTGTGCGTGATGAAGAAGGTATGACCAGCGAACAGTTTGCCCTTCAGCTTGCGCGCGCGGTCGACGACTTCAGCGAGCTTGATGCGCTGCTTCCTCTCCCCCTCCTTGTCGACGACGGGAAAGTCAGACTCGGCTAGAGGGACGTGTCAGTTCATATGCCCAATCACATATGCACCGAGACGTACGCAGAAGTTTCTTCTGGGCAGCGGACTGTCGCGCCCACTCCTCTGAGACGAGATGTGACACGTGCGGGAGCGCGCACAAGTACTTCGACGTCCGGACAATCCGCGCCACAACGAGATGAGTGCACTCGTGCGGCTTCGTCACCACTTTGACGCCCAGTTTGTTGAGCGTCTGCATAGTGGTCAGCACCAGGAGCCAGAATCGTCGAAAGACACGCACATGAATGACGGTATCCGGTAGCGAGATGCCCGTGGTCATCATCCTGATCTCGCCCGAGTTGGTCTTGTCGGCAGCTCTGCAGGATACGTCAGACCTCCCCGCCAATTTGGGACCCACAAGAACTCACTTCACTGCCCTCGCCTTCTTCGCTGGTGGAGGCGAGACCTCCTGCACCTCACTGTCCTCCTCCTGAGCCGCCCGCTTCGCCTTCTTACCCTTCTTAGCCGGCTCCTCCGCTTCCTCCGCTTCCCCTTCATCCTCGTCCACCTCCATCGCATCGTCTTCCTTCGTCTTCCGCTTCTCCTTCCCCCTCGCCTTGCTCTTCTCCGGCGCAGGCGACTCCTCGTACGCCGACACCCCACTTTTTCGCCTCTTCTCCGCTTCGTACTTGACGAGGTCCGGCATGACCGTATCGTGCAACCGTCGCTCCGCCTTGGTTGCCGCCGCGCGCCGCGAGCCCCCGCGAGACATCGACGTATCCGCCACGAACACGTCACCGTCGGCGTCCTCAGCGTCAGACGTGGAGGCGCGAGGAGGGGGTTTGGACTTGGTCGTCGATGCGCGCCGCTCGGTCTTGGCCTTCTTTCGCGGTGGTGGTGAGTCCTCTTCGGGCTCCTCCTCCTCGTCCTCATCCTCCGGGGTCGCAGCCTTCGCCTTCGTCTTGGCCTTCTTCGGCTTTTCGACATCCTTTGTCTTCGCAGCCTCTCCCGTGGACTTGCGTTTCTTCGGCCGTGGCGATGGCGGCGGAGAGGCCGTCTCGGGCGACTCTTCCCTGGTCTGCGCCTTCTTCTTGCTCGAGGACCCGGTGGCCTTCTTCGAGGTCTGCTTGCTGGACGACGCGACCTTGCTCGACGAGGATCCCTTCTTCCCGGAGGACACGACCTTCGAGGTCGAAGACCGACGATGACTGCGGCTGATGTGCACGACACCCTCCTCGTCGTCTTCCTCCGCGTCCTCCTCCTTCTCGTCTGCCTCATCCGCACCCGCCTCATCGTCCACAAACGCCGACTTCTTCGCCTTCTTCCGCGTCTCCTTCTCCACCCGTGGCCGTGGCGGCGGCAAGCCCTGCGTAGGCAGCTCCGGGAACTCGATGTCGCTATCCGCGGCAGGCGCAATCTCGTCGTCATCGACGTCCATTGGCGCGGGCGCGACGTCCACAACCTCATCGTCATCCTCCGAGTCCTCCAGCATCACCGCCGACTTCCGCCCCTTCGTGCGCGACGGCTTCTCCTTCTCCTCCGGCGCCTCCTTCGCTTTCTTCGTCCTCTTCTGGATGGTTACGGGCGCCTCGTCGCTCTCCACGTCGCTGAGCTCGACGACCTTGGGCTTGCGCTTCTTGATTCGCGTCGTCGCGTCGCCCTTCTTGCCCGAACCAAAGGGAGGCGCGCTCGGGCTCGGCTCCACGGGAGTGGACTTCGCGCTGACCGTACGCTGCTTCGTGTCGACGGGAGTGACATCGACCGGTCGCGTCTTCTTCGTGTTCGCGGGCGTTGTGTCCTCCGCGGCCTTCTTCCCTTTCTTCTTAGGCTCATCCTCCTCCGCCGCCGCGCGTCCCTTGCCCTTCTTTGGCGCAGGCACAGGCATCTCGTCCTCTTCCTCATTGCTGACCACGACCGGAAGCGGCTCTGGTTCCTCTTCCTCTTCATCGTCGTCCTCGATCACCTGCCTGCCAGATCTCCTACGCTTCGGCGGCGACGCCAATGGCGACATGGACGCGTCCGACGGGGTGTCGGCTGGAGGCACGGAGGGAGGTGGCGTGGAAGGACGAGGAGTCGGTGTTGTTGGCCGAGCGCGCTTGGACGAAGGAGGCTTTCCCTGCCGCGACAGAAGTGCAGGCTTTATCGGCGACGTAGGCTTGGCGGGCGAGACAGGTGCCTTCCTCGTCGACGTCGGCTTCGTGGGCGATGCGGGCGCCTTCGAGGGAGACGCGGGTGCTTTCCTCGGCGAAGTCGCCTTCGACGGCGACCCCGTCGCGCCCGACGTCTTCCTCGACACCGTCTCAGACGAGGGCTCCACCTTGCTCGACGCTCGCTCCCCTTTGCTCGACGGCCGCTTGCCCTTCCCCGGCGGCGTATTCTCCTGCTCGACAAGGTCATCCTCCGCATCCTCCTCTGCATTGATCATGGCGCTGACCTCATTCGCATCCATCGCGCTGCCTTGCGTGAGTTGCTGGCGTTCCTGCTCGGCGAGGAACTTGCGGTCCAGTTCTTCCTGGGCGTCGGTCAGCATCACAGCACGCTGGAGGTAGCGCCGAAGAACTGACCTCGATCCTCAAGTTCTCCTCATTCTCGATGTAAGCGCCCATCCCGCGCTCGCACAGCAGCCCGCTCAAGTCAGAGGCGGGCGGAAAGGTGATGTATCTATCAGCAGGATGAGTCAGTAGCTTCGAAGGCGCAGTGAGATATACGAAGAGACCAAGGAGCGAACTCACTTTGTTGTGATGGGCAGCACCCGCCACGTCATGTAGCAGTCCTCCACCCACAGGTGGTTCACGACCGGGATCTGCCACTCCGCGCCCTTCTTCGCCTTCTCCGATTCAGTGCTGGGCTATGGATTAGTCTTGTACTCGCCGAGGACACGAAGCTCGTTTGAGTGGAGAGCGGCGTCAAAGGCCAAGAAGGACCACGCCAACTCACCTCGCCGCAATCAGGATCGGGCTATCCCCCTGCCTCATCGTCGGGTTGAATGACGCGCCCATGCCCACGATGAGCTTCTTGAGGTAGTCGCGCGCCTCGCCAGTATAGTTCGTGATGGAGAAGACCTGGCGCGCGGTCAGTGTTCGGCGAGAGGAAGGGGGACAAGCTCAAGCGAGGGGGACCAAGCCAATCGAAGGATAACAAGAGCGATAGGAAGCAGTAGAGGAAGGACGACTAGCTCACCTTCCCGCCCATTCCTTCGATCGGTCTTCTTGGTACGGGGTAGTGGATGAGCCTATCGCCCGGTGCGGTGAGCTGCCCGGTGCCGAGGACGAAGAAGACCCAGTCGAGGGTGCCGATGGTCTTGCGAGCGCGGGCGACCTAAACAGATGTCAGCAAGTGATCGTACAGGGCGTTGCGTGTGAGGTTCATGGCGGAATCCATGGAGCGTGTCGGGGCGCGCGTGAGGGCGGCGAGGATCGGGAGAAATAACTCAGAATGACAAGGGCGCTCGTACGCACCTGGAAGAAGGTCTTTCCACTTCGATACCTGCAGACGTAGGCGTCCGTGTCCGTCCAATCGTCCACGACGTGACCGCCCGCACGCTCGATCGCGCCCACGACCGCCTGACAGAAGTACAGCTCAATCAGTACAGCGGCGCGCAAAGGCATGATTCACGCACCTCGCGCCTCTCCCCCAGCTCCAAATCCTCCGCCAAGTGCAGCTTCTTCCCCGCCCAGACCTTCCCCGCTCTCGACTTCGGCACGTCCTCGCTCGTCGCGGTCGCCAGTAGCTGCTGCTTCTCCCTATCGAGCTTCCCGCTCGGCTTCCCCCCTCCCGCCAACACCGCCGGCTCCGGCCATTCGTAAGGCTTCGTGTCCAGCTTGCCCGTGCCCAGGCGGATGACATCGTCGAACCAGTGGGGGAGGAGGACGATCATGCCAGTGTCGCGCTTATTGTGCATAGCGAGCGCGTACTTGTCGGAGCCGGTGCCAGGGCCGAGGGCGAAGAGGTGGGTGACGTTCTGGGTGAGGGCAGCGGACCATTGGCCCCCGAGGTTCGTGACTGCGGTCTTGATGACGATCTCGTCGGCGGGGAGGAGCTGCGGGGAGGTCAGCAGGGGTACTAGCAGTGTATTCAGACCACGCACGTCGGTACACGTCGCCGTCACGCCCGAGAAGAGCATCGTGGGGTCCGCCGAGTACATCTCCGGTGGCTCAGCGCGATCGAGGACGATGCTGCGGTCGACCCAGCGGTCCGTGACTATCTCAGCCCCCTCATTTGCCTCCTGCCAGCCGTCAAACCGTGCCGTGTCGGTTATGATGTGCGTCGCGTCGCCGATAGTCTTGCTGGCATGCGCACCGTGCGCGTCGAGCGCGGCTTGAAGCTGTTCCCTCCGTGAGGAGCGCAGGGACGGGGATATATAGTATACCACGGAGTGAAAGAGAGGTTTCTTCGCCATTTCCGACAGTGTTGATTAGGGAGTGCAGCGCTGACGATAAACCCGAGGCTGAGGTCGTCGTCGCGCGCGAAGACAAGACGCGACCGTGACGTGACATATGGCGTTACTCACGCGCCTCTTGTTTAAGTCAACTTTCGTAGTGTACTGACGAAGGCACCTTTCCACCATAGTCAAGCACAGAATATGATACATAGTCGGTATATTCGTTCCGAGGGTGCATACACAACGTATGCGTATGATGCGACAACAGCGAGTTTCGACTCGTGAGAACACGTCCGGGCAATCCCGAGCGGCATGGCGCCACCCGCAAACTGATTTGGCGCCTTTCTTCCTGCCACCACTTGTCTTGGAAACCCTCTTCAGCGAACCAGAAACTCAGACTTTGAAGTTTTCTCGTCTGCAAACATGCTCGAACACATCTCAGCCCTCCTCAGAAGCGCCAACACTATGGCAAACATGGGCCTACTCCGCGAAGGTGTCGCGCCATCGCCCTTTGACCGCGAGCTCATCAACGAATACTCGTGCCTTCTTGATACTGAACTGGGGCATGTACAAGCAAAGATCTGTCAACTGAACTCTGTCCGCGATCAGATCGTCGCCCAGCTCGCCATTAGTCGCTCCCTCGTCGCTCCTGTTCGCCGCCTTCCTCGCGAAATCCTCGCCGAAATTTTTCTCCATTACTTCAAGGCAGAGAAATCCAATCCTACGAAGATGATCAGCTACGCTGTGGCACCAGTATGCTATACGTGGTGGATGGTCGCGCGATCCGCAACCGCGCTTTGGACCAATATCTCACTGGGTCCCTCTGCAGCTCGTATGCGTCATCATCTCGATGCTTGTGTCGATCTATCTGGGTCGCGTGAACTCGATATATACGCCTTCGATGGATTCCGCCATGCAGAGGTCATCCCGCAGCTCGCACAGCTTGCGCCGGCGTGGATACGATGGCGGACCCTATGGCTGCCTCTCCATCACATCGAGAGCCTCAATATCCCGTTCCAAAAGCTCACGTGTCTCGAGAAAGTGGCATGCTATTGCCCTTCATACAGTCGCGATCGGAAAATTCTGCATGATTTGTCTCGTGCGGGTCGCGTTCGGCAACTGCACCTCGAGGACTTTGGCGATCTACCTGGACTTCTCTTGCCATCATTGTGCTTCCTCACGCGACTCTCTCTTACCAGCAGCTATTGTAGCTTCAGAATCATCATTCCACTTCTCGGACAGTGCAGCGCGACCTTGGTACATCTGTACGTGTCGTATGCACAGGACCGTACCTCCTCCACTTCGATCTCTCGTCATACCCCAGTGCTCCTGCTCAAACTGGTCTCCATAAATCTGTGTCAGCTTGCGCATGAGATTTTGCCATTCCTCAAAGCTCCGGACCTCAAGTTCATAACTCTTCAGCGTGGGGGTCATGGATTCGGGAACGCCTTCGAATCTTTGGATGCCTATCTTTCCCTTTCAGGGTTTTCTATCCAGTGCCCCCAACGCTTGTCGTTCCTTGAGTATACTGTCCCTCATGCACCAGCGGGAACGCAGAACGCCATCACACGCTTACTTGGTAGTTGCCTCGAGCGACTGAACGACCTTCAAGAGCTGTGCGCCATGGGGTGCGAGCTCGATGCCGTGCTTGCAAATCTCCCGGACGAACTCGTCGCGCGCTTGGGCTGCATCAGCGGCCACGCTCCGCTACTTCCCAACCTTACCACCGTGACGTTGCGCACCGGGGCAGAGTCACCGCCACTGACGCCGGCATCACGACGCGTTCTGCACGATATTATACGATCGAGGTCGACGCCTCGCATCGTGTGCGGACGCGCCGTGGCGGCCCTCAAGCGAATTGACGCCGACTTTGACCTAGGCGTCGACACAGCGATATAGTGCGTTCCATGGCGGTGACCGTTTGGTGCGTACTACCTCAGCTGTTCCACGTCACCTCTTTTCTGATGTCCTTAACCAGCGGTTCATTGTGAAGTACTGTGTTACCCTCCCTTCGTTATTGGGTATCACTCGGGAAAGGCATAGGCGGTGAAGACAGGAAAATAGGGCATTACAATGCCGGTGTGTACCAGTTCCTTCTCTTTCTCTTGTATGTGGTCTACGGCTGTGTGGAGAGAACGAGGGTGAAGGGCGTAACGGTAAGGTAGTTCATGGATACGGCTACTTTGATTCATCGCCTACCTTCCAACGTGCTCCCCGTGTGTGCGTGATATAAGACTCGTCACCGCGCACTATCGTTGGGGTTTGGGAAGGACTCAAGAAGTGGGGGATACAACTATTAGTCGTCTTAGCGTTGGTGAGCGATGAATGCGGAATGCGGTCAGGTTCTGCCTGCTTGCAATTGTGAAGTCCGTGAGAGTTAGCTCGGATCGATATCGCCGAGCGCCACGCGTCGCGCGCGAGGTGACGCGGTACCTTCCTTCCCGCCACCACGAGCCTGCCTGCAATCCAGTTTTCAGCCAGGCGCCCGCCGAACCCCAGCAACAAGAGTATCCACCTCGAAGGCACCCATAAATGCTCGAACGCATCTCGACCCTCCTTCACAGCGCCGCCGCGCTGGCCAGCAAGAGCATGCTCCGCGAAGGCGTCGCGCCCTCGCCCCTCGAGCGCGAGCCCATCGACGAGAGTTCGCTGCTCCTCGATATCGAGCTCAAGCGTATCGAAGCAGAGATCGCGCGATTGAGCGCCGTCCGCGACCAGCTCGTCGACCAACTCGCCGTCAATCGCTCCCTCGTTGCTCCCGTCCGCCGTCTCCCTCGCGAGCTCCTCGCCGAGATCTTCGTCCAGTTCTTCCAAGAGGAGGAAGCCTTTCTTACGGACCCGAAGAACTCTAGGTATCCCACGGAGGAGATCAGCCGCTATGTGGCGCCGGTCAGCTATACGTGGTGGACGGTCGCACGCTCTACACCCGTACTCTGGAGCAATATCGCCCTTGATAGCTCGGCTTCTCGCATGCGCCGGCATTTTGATACTTGCCTTGCTCTATCCGGCACTCATGGACTGGATATATACAGTCACAAGTCATACAGCGTAGCCGAAGTCGGCTCGCAGCTCGCACAGCTCGCACCAGCGACCACGCGGTGGCGAACCCTGTGGCTGCCCCATCGGCTCTTATCAGAGCTCGGTCTCTCGTTTGGGAACTTTCAGAGCCTGGAAGTGGTTGCATGCAACTGTTCTGGGCGCAGATCCGATGCGCGAATGCAGCTTGAAGTCCTCTCGCATGCTGCCCGGATACGGCGGATGCACCTCCAGGATTTCGAATCCCACGGGTTGCAGCTGCCTCCATGTGCCCTCACCCGGCTGTCTCTCTCAGGGAGTTCAGGTAGTTTCAAGCTCGTCGTCCCCCTCGTTCGCCAATGCAATGCATCTATACAACACTTGAGTGTGTCCTATGGCAACGACTTGGTCATCAGCCCAGGACCAGTCGGCGTGGTCCATGTCCCCCAGCTCATCTCCGTTGATCTTTCCAAGCATGCGCACCAGGTACTGCCTTTTTTGGACGCTCCGAAGCTCGACGACTTGACGCTGCGGCGTTGCGCAGACGGTAAAGGCAATCCCTTCGAGTCGTTGTGCGCCTATCTCTTCCGCACCACGTCTCCTGGCAAGTGCCCTCGCCGCTTGTCCTTTTTGGACTTCCAACGAGTTCACGGGATATCAGCGTCACTGGCCTTCATAACCCGCACGCTCAACGCCAGTCTCGAGCGACTCGACGACCTTCGAGAACTATGTGTCGTGTTCAACGCTGGGCTGTATTATCTCTCGGACGGTGCCCTCGCGCGCCTTGGTTGCGCCGAGGACCGCGCACCACTGTTACCGAGCCTCACCGACCTCACGCTACGCATTGGAGCAGAATCGTCGTGGATCCAGCCCATCGCGCGACGTCAGCTCCGCGAGATGGTGCAGTGGAGGGCGACGACGCGCACTATCTGCGGGCGCACCGTTGCGGCCATCAAGCGCTTCGACACCGATATCGATCTTAGCGAAGACGCGGACTCGGGTCAACGGTCTGCTTAGTCGATGTAGACGGAACGTACGTTCATTTTGAGCTCGCCGACCGTGGCTATGTCCTAACATTGGGATTTAGAACAATGTCGTCTCCGCCCTGAACTTATACGGGGGTAGCGCTGCTCGCGTCTTGGTCAAGGAGATGGTGGTCATCTGGAACGCGAGGGAGGTTGGGCATGTCAAGGCATGTAATTGGTATAGATCATGTACGCTGCTATGCATGAAGCATAACTTCACCGCTAGTGTACAAGACCTGATAGTCCGCTCTTGGTATGCTTCTGTTCAATGTCGTGCATGACTAGCGAACCTTCATCGTCATCAGATACTTGCATGGTATCCAGGCCGTCGATGAAGCAGTCGAATAACGCGCGAGGACCTGCACACAGCCGAGCGCACGGTGATAGAAGCGACTTGGCCCACGCTTGCGAAGGGGGAGAGGACGAGGCAGGACAGCCCGCGCTAAGGGCAAGGAGGATATGATGATCGAAGTTGAAGCCAAGCCAGAGTGGGAGGCAAGTGGGAAGTACGGCCCGCCTCGTGCACGTGTCAGATAAGATCAGTCGGCGACGTGGCACCCCACGGATCAAGCGCGGCTCGAGCGCGGCCGCCCGATCACCACCTACCTCCTGCACCGACGATGGCGACCAAGTTCGACCCCCAAAACGCCCAGAACCTCGTCGAGATCGAGAAGCAGTGCGTCCCCCACCCACCCCTCTCCTCGCCTAGGCTGAAAAATCCCGCCAGATTCGCGGTCAAGGTCGTCGAGCACGCGCAGACGTACTGGCGGCTGCTCGCGCGCGTCAACCCGCGGGACCTGCGGCTGACGTCGATCGACGACGAGATATACAATGACCTGATGGAGACGTTCCCCGAGCTCAACCAGGAGCCGTATGAAAAGCTCGCCAAGATCGACGAGGAGTGGATGAAGAACCCCGAAGGCAAGAAGCGATGGGCGGAGTTCATGAACCGGTACGTCTTCGGATCGCGCTCGCTCTTCCACGCGGATTGCAGAGGATAGGACCACCACTCTTCCTGCTGTCTTCCCTCTCCGCCTTTGCTATAAAACGCCTCCCCGTACCCCGCGTGGCCGCCGTCCACATGATCGCGCCCGCCATCATGCACATTTCCCCTCGTACATTTACCTCGTCATGCTGGGCGGGACGCGTACCCCACGATGCAACATAGACCCTCACTCTCTGTGCACCCATCCCAATTACGTCAGCTCACGTCCTCGATAGATACGAGAAAAAGGTCAAGGACTACAACTTCGGCTGCCTCATCCGGACGGAAGCGAGCGGCGAATACAGCGAGCTCGGCACAATATTTGGTGAGTATGCCTCTTCCTGTTCTATGCTTCCTCGCACCTTCGCGCCCTCGCTCGTCGACGCTTTCACTCTCCGTGTCAGCGTCGCGTCCGTCGATCCCAGGCATAGGCATGATTCCTTTTCCTCGCGTCATGCTCATACAATCACCTTATACTCATATTCGACATAAACGTCCTATTAACGCGATCCACAGTACAACGCATGCAATTCTACGCCTTCGAGGTGCGTAGCCAGCACCCCATTCCGCCTTCATCACCCGCCCGCCCCGCGTCCATCATTCCCTGCCCTCCCCATCATCCCTACCCTTCCCACCTCACCTCTCACCTCCTCTCACCTCACCCCTCACCCCCCACCCAGATCGCCCGCAACCGCCTCGGCCTGAACGACCCCGCGCACAAGATCGCGCAGGAGGACCTCGAGAAGGAGGAGGCGGTGAAGAGGGAGAAGGAGGAGGAGCGGAAGCGGGAGGCGAAGAAGAAGGGGAAGAAGTAGGGCGGGAAGGGCGGGGAGGGGGAGGGCGGGAGAGAGTAGGTGGGCGGGGTGCGCGTGAGGGAGGGCAAGGGAGATGGCGAGGGAGAGGTTCAGGGCGAGAGAGGGGGAGAGCAAGGCGGGCGGCGAGAGGGAGGGAGAGGACGGTGTGGAAGGCGAGAAGAAGGGAATGTATACCCGTCGCGTGTAAGTAGTTATGGGCGTGAATACTCCTGTGTATGACCAGATGAGCGAGGTCGCGAGACTCAGACCTTGGCGGCGCATCTTGGGCTAGTCGCACGTGGCGATGGCGGGGCTGCAGGCGACGATTCCTCGCGCGTTAAACGTCAATTCGCGCCTCCCTTTGCTTCCTCCTTGTCCGCCGTGCGCGCGCTTCCTGCACTTGTCAAGTCGGCAATCTGGGGGCGGTCTGATGATGTCTTCGCTGACCTGGGTCGGGTCGAGCTGCGTCTCAGCGCACGTACCGTCCAACGATTTCCTGACGCTGTTCTATCCGATACTAAAGATTGACGCGCGGAAGACGAGTAAATCCCGTTTACAAGCCTTCATACTCTTTCGCATCACCGTCAATCACTACGCTGGCAGAAGCGGAGGGGAGCCACTGGTGCAACTTGGGCGCGCCATAACTTCGTCAGGGACATGTGGCAAACCAATGTCAAATACTTTTCCAGTCAACTATACATCTTCGAGCCCGTCGGAGTGAGCACGGTTTTACAAGACACTCTGTGAATGATATTGAAACTCGACTAAAGAGAGCTGTCGGGGACAATGATCTGGCAGCGCCACAGAGGAAAGATGGGCTCATGAGGATTCGGAAGGGCCGCCGTGCTCTTTTCTAGCACGCCGCAGCGTCATGGTTTGCATCTAGGGGGCCTTCGACCATGACCGGATTTCAGGAGCCTGTCTGGGCAGATCGACAGAAACGAATTCAGGCGCGCCAACGGGGAGGGCGGTCAAACCACGAGAGACGCAATCGTTGTATGCGCGTAAGGTGTTGACGGTCGCAAATAGCACACAGACGACCAATTCTCCCTTGTGACACTTAAGGCCGGCTTCGAGATTTCGTGTGTGCTCGTCGATATGCGTGCTCGAGAGTCGATGACGAGAGGCCCTCGCGGAGCAGGTCCTTGTCGGCTAGCGGGGCGAAGAATCGGTCTAGCATACGTAGCGGAGGTTAGAAGAGGTTGAAATCCAGATATTGGTCTCGCTCTTCGCCAGGAAAGATGCTGACAGGGGGGCATGTTGTGGTAGGAATAAAGACCTTCCGAGGTCTGGCGCGCGAACCGCGTGTTGGTCGGCAATACCCGAATTATTTCCCACGAATTATGCACGTTGTCTTCAGCTGTCATATCGCAACACCGTTGGCTGCTTTCCCTCGACTTGCTCCGTGTTTTCTTGCAATAAGACTCTTATTTACTTCGCTTGGGGTAATCGACTGGAATCGTCCCGAACGAATCGTGCGTTTCGCGTAGACTCACAGGGATCTTTTCCGAATTGGCAATGGTTATGCAGACGACGAAGAGCTGCTGCTGCAGCACGCATGCGACAGTGTATACCTACCGGAACCTTCAATTCATTGAGCCTCTATGAGCTTCTGATGACCGCTTATACCCTCTGCATGCCTGCCAGAGAAGAGAAGGGTTGTCTGCAGGACAGCAAGGTGCGTAATCAAGCGCTAGTCGTCTTCCGCCCCAGCTTACCCACTGTCAAAAGCCCGGAAGAGATAGGGTCCATACGTCGCGCTAGAAATCATCTCTCGACGTAGCAAGGTTACATGAGGCCCGTCGTCGACAAACCGCTCGAATAGCGCAATTGTGTATAGGCGTGCATATAGATGGCTACATATACCGCAGACAGTCACTCGCACGCATGAGGAGGTCGCCTCAGATATGGCCTTCTCCGATTGATTTGGCTTCGGACTGCTCGACACGATTAGCGCCGCGCATAACGCTTTGGACGACCTATCTCACGACAGGTCATCGTTTTCAGTCAATAGCTCTCGCCTCTCGAATCGTGGTCGAGCCTTGTTCGTCGCCCCTCGTGGAGAGTTGACAATACCTACGTACATGATATACGTACTCGTTGATTATTTTCCATTATGCCTTCCGCCGTACAGCTGCCAAACGTCTCTTACTTGGAGCGCGGTAATCTAAGATTGCGTAGTCGTGTACACTTCGCTGCCGGAGAAGCTTCACGATTCTGCGGCAATCTTATTCTTGCGCTGTTCCGCGCGAGCCCAGACCCGGATTGCACTCCATGAGGATCACTTCAAGCCGAATTTGCTTACGACCGTCCGTCTGCTCCCATCATGGTCTTTTTTCGCCGCTTACGCCAAGCTGTAGAGCGTATCCAAGCGTCTGGTGGCTTCGCCCGCCAAGCATAATCACTCCAGGATCGATAACCTTGCCGCGCTTCTCTTCACTGAATGTACCTGACCACGACGCGCGCGCGCAGCCTATCTCTAAGGATATGTCACATTTCGTCCCCTCGTTGATCTTCTTTGCAGATTCTCCGCATCATCTGCCCGTCAACACTGTACATAGAAGCTTTTGAGATCGTGCGATGACTGGATGTGACGAGGCAGCCCTTTTTCTTGACAGGGGCGGTCCCTCATTAAGTGCAGTTCTAGACCGTAATTCCGAGCACATCCCCCTTCTCCGCGTCCTCCTCTCATTGAACTGGGCGAGTAAGCGTGGTTGGAATGTAAACTGGCAAGTTGGAGGTTAATTGAGAGTCGTAGCTATGCAAAAATAATTGTGACCCGCTGGGGAGCCGTATCTTCGGGTAAGATTGGACTCCAGCTGGACATGCAAAATAGGCTCACATCACGCAACGCGCGTTTCATCGATCTATGAATACCTTCTTCGACCTTCTGATGGCGCTATATCGCCCTCGTCCAATGCGATCTCTGCAATTTGACCATGTTGAACGTGCGTGGGAATTTTGCATATTGACGTAACGAGATATGCACAAAGTCATATTTGTCTTTGACCGCCATTGCGCCCCGCTCTGTGCATAACGACCATCTCCCCCGCCAGTACTTCCTACCACGCTCGCGCACCCGGCAACGATAAGCCATGAGCTCTCCTCCCATAGCCGTGAACCCCGAGCCAAGCGATACCATGGACGTAGATGGAACACAGGAGGAAGACGGATATGACGACCAACACGACGAGCTGGCTACAGGAGAGGGATCTACAGTTTCAACGGAAGAACCCTCGAGCGCCATGGACCACACAGATACGATATCCCCACGACTCCGACCACCCAGTTCGCGCGCTGTCCATCCTCCTTTGAGCGCCGCCTTGAGCCAGAAGACGCGTACTGTAAGGAAGGCTAGGAAAAGTATGTCGCTTACCGTGCTCTGTTGCACTCTCTGTTTGACGTGCTCACTTCTATGTAGACCTGACGCGTGAGGAGCGCGCTCAAATTCGCTGGATGAACGCGCGCGGCTTCAGCTACTCCAAAATAGCCGACATCCACGACATCTCCGTCTCAACCGTGCGGAATGCGGTCGAAAACGTCATCTACAGTCGTCCTGACAACGCATCGGAGGATGACCAGTACCTTGACGCCGAGTTCCTTGCGAAATATCTGCCTGAAGTAGAAGCGTCCTCTGCAGCGACAGGCCCTTCGCATGCAGTAAGTCGAGCTTGCCATCGTTGTGCACGTCGCTTGTTTCTGACTTCAGTCTGACCCAAAGGTGTCCACTGGAAATGGCGCATCCTCTGGAAGCGGCTTCGACGCGTCATCCTTAGGGTCGGTCAAGAGCGTGAAATTGACGCTTTCGGGCGAGGGCGCCAACAATGGCAGCGGCGGACGCGCTTCCTTGGGAAGGAGTCCGCGTCGTGCGAATCCCTATACTAGGAGATCCGGTACGCGAGCTCAAATTTGGTAGCGACACGACGAGCAGGGGCTTATCATATCTTCAGGCCATGACTTTGCTTCAGTATCTACGGGTGTCTCGCGCGGGGTCGGTCCTGAACCTCAGTCGATCTCGGCCTCGGCGTCCGCGCCTATGCCGAGGAACGGCCGGCTCGCCGAAGCAGACGCCAACGGACCGTCCTCGCAGCTGTCCAGAATCACGACTAGCTTCAGCATTCCCGACACGCAGTCTCCGGCCTCTCGTAGCCCAAGCATGGCGGATACAATGGCATCCTCGCCGCACGTCGCCATGCCCTCCGAGCGGAGCGCAGGCTCACCTCCCAACGCATCTCCAGCGCCGCGCGCTACGCCGAGACCGCTAGATCCCGAGAATGTTGTCTTCTTTCGCGACTTTCTGTCCAACCTCGACGTCGATCTCACTCGGTTTCAAACCGACCTCATCGCGAACAATCTTGGATGCGCGCGCCACGTTCTTCCCCTCCGTAGTTGGACGTCGCACGAGCTCTATGACCTGCTCAAGGAGGCGATCCCCGGCATGTCGCCTCTCGAGCGCTACGTTCTCGTGCAGGGCATGCGCGCGATGGACGACAACGGGCGCAAGAATCCCAGTACGATCCGGGTACGTACGAGCATCATGTCCTCCTTCGCCCGCTGACCTGAGTCGTGCAGCGGCTGAGAGAAGACCCCTCTGCGAACGCGCAGCTTCAATCGCGCGTGGATGCGAACCGCTTCCTGAACCTCATCGGCTTCGGCTTCGAGACGCAGAACCTCGATACGATGTACAAGATCATCCTTATCTCGAGCTGGCCCCCGGAGGTCATCCACGCGTTCATCGTCGAAGATATCCCGGAGATCCCGCCTGTCTCTCGCTACGTGCTCGTGCACGGCCTGCGCACGCTGTGGACCCATCTTCAAGAGGTTGGCGAGTGGACGGCGCCGAGCAACTCGGAGCTGCTTCCCGTGCGGACGCCGCCTCGCTATCTTTCCACGTTTCTGGCCGCCCTGGACTACGACATGTCGGAATACGAGGGATTCCTGGTGGAGCGCGGACTGGATAGCCTGCACATCATCACTGCTGTCCGTCGGTGGCCTGCGGGCGACCTGCACGCGATGTTGCGGGACGTCTACCCGGACCTCCCGGTCGTCAAGCGCTACGTTCTCGTGCACGGGATCAGAGCGTGTAGGGACGACGGAGTCTACGAAAAGAGCGCACGCCGGGTGAGTTATCCGTCCTCTTAATCTATACGCCTGCTCGTTCCATTGCTTTCTTTGTTCACGATCGCGCAGGTGGCGCTCGATGCCTCTCCCGATGCGTGGGCGCGACCCGCCTTCGCTTTCCTGGCATCTCTCGCGCATGACCTTTCTGGGTACCTCGCTACGCTCGCGAAGGTCAACCTTGGCACGCTCGGCCAGCTCGCTGCATTGTCAGACTGGGATGGCGACGAATTGCACGGGCTGCTGAAGGAGGCCGTTCCCGAACTTAGCGTCACGCATCGCTTCATTCTTGTGAAGGGCGTGAAGGGCATACCTTTGAACGCGGTATAGTGCGCGCTACTCATGCAATGGCTTGACAAATCTTGAACAGTGTTCTCATAGCATTATACCAATACGAGATGCATGTAAGTATACAAGCTGCATTTACCTATAGCCTACGAAAATGAATCGGGGATATTCGGTCAAATAATACGGTAAGTCACTTTTGGGAGAAAGGAGGTATGCGCTGTACTGCCTCTTCTAAGTTCGTACGCCACCTCGACACGGTGGATATGCACCCCGAACATGTCTTGTCTAACGAAAGAATACTCGTATGTGAGAACTTATCCTTCAAGTCCGAACTTATGAGTGCTTGGAGGCCTCCTGCCTGATACAGCTGGCCAGCCAGTGCCGACTCAACTGACGGCCACCATGTGGTGCACTTCATACGATGAGATTCTGAAGGACGTAGAGACGAGAGGTCAAAGAAAAGAGAAAGGAATTTATCATTATATAAGGTCTTTTGAAAATTCCATCAGCTGCAACTCCAACACTGGATATGACGGCCTCACCCATTTCGTGTATTCTGCTTGCGAAGGCAGAACCTTGAGCATCTCTTCAGCGCGCCGTCCGACCGTGAACGGGGCTGCAACGTCGGTAATATCCCCATGTCCATGCTTGAGGGCATACACAAGGACCTCGACAGGGTGCTTGTCGTGTTGAACCCTACGTACGAAGCGATTAGTCCTACATCGACAAATTATCTGCTGTACTCACTTCATTTGAGGGCGACAAGCGACCATGGCCGAATAGACTCGGTACTTATGGGCGGCCTCCGCCAGCCGCGCGAGGAGGTCGAACTCGACGTCCTCCATGATGATGATGAATTCCATTTGCTGCCGAAGGCGGCAAGGTTCTCCGCCAGTTAGGCGTATGTCCCTGCCCTACGTGGTGCGTGTACAGTATGTCAGTGTCTACTCTGGAAGCTAGGTGGGGTACCATCGTATATATGAAGCGGAATGAAAACAAATAACACGTGACCCTGGAGGGTAAAGCGAACAAGGATAGTAAACTTGCGAGGGGGGGTGCGTACTTGGAGGGGAAGAGTAAGCAATCCTTCATGGCATGGTAAGACAGGAGTAAGATGAACAGGATGACGGTGTCCATGGGGGGTGCAGGATTCACCACCGGGGGCTACCGTGCATAGTAGGGCCCAGTGGCAGCATGTTCTCGTGCGACGCGCTCGTATAGCTCCTGACGGACAGGGCATACGGGCGACGTTGCCGCGTGAGCGGCTCCACAACCGCGGATTGCGCATCTGAACACGATGTGGGCGCACTTCGTGCCGTCTTTGCAGGGAGGCGATTTGGGGCAGGGGCATTCGGAGGTACGATGTTGCTCTGAGCATTTGCCGCAGGTCGCCGGCCGACGGCAGTGTGAGGCGATGTGTCCGAACCGGAAGCAGTTATAGCATTGTATGGGCTGGGGGCGGTACTTCTCCGTGCGCAAGAGCGTGCCCTGCCACGAGATCTTGCGGGAGATGCACTCGTCCGCAACATCGGGGTCGCTGAAGTACAGGACAACCGAGGCATGAACCTTCGATGATCGTAGCTGGTCCAGCGACTGATGCCCTATATACTGGACCCGGCGCAGCGTGCCGGCCAGGTCCCCAAGACGCGGCGCGTTCTCGAGACAGAGCTGATCGACGTCTGTCTGCACCTCCGCCAGCGGCGCATCCGGCACGCCGCGCCGCGGTGACCACGTGGTTGGATCGAACGACGAGGTCAGCATGCGGTGGGCGACGACTCCGTAGAGGCGCTCGCACAGCTGGAGGTTGGGGTGGAACGCGGGGAGAATCGTGTCGTGGTTCCGAAGCATCCAGTCGACGCCTTCGGGCATATTGAGGGTGATGCGGAGGTCGTGGCCACGGAAGCGACTGACCGCGCAGGCCTTGTATTTGGGTTCTCCGTGGAATTCCATTGCGTTGTTGAAGTGCTCGCGGATCGCGAGGGGCGAGTCCGCGGCGAAGGGAGGGTGGTTCCGGTCGATCGGTGTTAGGACAATGTCGGAGTCGGTGTTGCGTGGTACGGTTTGGACGGCCACGGGGGCCGTGGTGTGACGCGGCGATAGCGGCGACTGGCCTCGGGGATTGGCAGCGATCGTGCTGTAGAGTGATTTTGAGGGCGAGGTGGTGATGTTCTTGACTTCGTTGGCGAGCGCGTCGATTTTGGCAGTGAGCTCCTGAATCCGCGTGGTATCGGAAGATTTCGGCTGTTGAACTAGGGTGGTAGCAATGTGGCGGATGGCGTGCCAGGTGTCAATTGAGACCGTGACTTTCTTAGCACCAGCTTTAGGGAGGGCAACATCGTGTATGAGCTTGTGGAGATTCTGAATGGTCGCCGGGGGCGGCGAAAAGCCCGATGATGATGGTGGTTTGGGATCAGGAGCCATTCCGACGTCCTCCAAGCGCACGTACTCTTCGCGATCGACGAAGCGGAACAGAAGTTCCAGAGTATCGCCATCCTCTTCCAATGGGACGACCTCGCCGGGTGCGAGGGTCGCACTAGGAGGAGGGAACGCATCCGCCTCGCGCTCGAGCTTCGCGCGTTCGATGTAGAAACACATTCCATCTGACGAGACGAAGGGGACGACGCCTGGCGCCGACTCGTCGCCGACTAAATCGAGCGGTCAGCGGATAACTTCGAAGACGAGCGCGGTCACGTACAGCGAGAGGACCTCCGCGGAGTCGGTTGGGCGTCGGTAGTCTCGGCAGACATGGTGGGAGGAGGTGAGCAACAGGGTGATGCAGGGCGCTTACAAGATGCTGGGCGATAGCGCGGCCGAAGGCCTCATGTCAAAGGCGAGGCGCCCCCCGCAGAAAGCAGTCACATCACATGTTCGGAGGGGCAGAGATGCCGTACGCGTACCAAGAAGCGACGAATCTCTGGTGTCCGTCCTCTGTGAGTCTTGCGCGCACGATCTCGATTTCGCTATGCACAGTTGGGGCACATCAAAAAGTTATAGAAAATGGCAAGCAGAGACAAGACCGTAGAGAAGCCCTTTCGGAGGGCCGCATAGGAAGCTTGTGAGCTGTACGCCATGCGCTTGCTGAATCCAAAACAGTGCTTCCTCTCTCCACATGACAAGCTCATCCTCGCAGAGCTCGCACCCCTCGACCCTATCAAACATCTCGGCGGTGAATAACTGCTCCGGGTGAAAGAGCGCGGCTTTGTGCGTCTTGTGAATGGTGAAAAGAAGCTCGCGCTGGACATAGTCCCGCGTACTGGAGGGATGACCGCCAAGCTTACAGGGAGTTGGCGGAGAGCAGTCAGTCTCACCGTGCGTGGCCTTGGACGCAAGCCCCACGACGCTATCGGTGAGCATCTCATACATAGAGTAGTACTGCTCCTGAAAGCTCGTAAGCAGGAAAGATCAGGGATAGTTCACAGTGGTCGGGCTCACCCAAGGCGTGATGAGGGCCGAAGGTATGAATTTCTTGACCCGACATGGTCGCATTCCGATGGTGTACGGGGCGGCCTTGTCGAGAATGTCCAGATAGTCGTGGCGATACGCGTACGCCATGACCTCCAAGGGGTAGCTCTGCGCATTACCCCTGAACCAATGTCAGACCTTCGATTCCCGGGGGATATAGAGGATACGTACTTCATGTATACGCGGCACGCCGCGATCGCGGTGTGCACGATGTACTTCTGCGCCGCCTCGGCTAATTCGGCGACGATCTTGAAGGGAGCTTGGTCGAGGTTGACGTATTCATCGAAGCAGGCAAAGCGGAAGAGAAGCTCAAGGACGTCGGCCCCTTCATCGAGTCGGGCTGGCTCCGTTGGCGCGAAGGTGATGGCGCCGAGGCCGGGGGTGGGCATGAAGTCGGTGGCACGCTGTAGCTGCTCGGAGTCGACGTAGAAGACGACGTCGTCCCGGGAGATAAATGCAACGCTGCCAGGGGTGAACGTGGAGACTACATGTAGTCAGTAAAAAGGGGAAGGATGATGAAGGAGCCACGCACACTTCGATGTCCTTGCCGAGCCCGAGAGTGAATCGTCGGAATCCATGACGAGGGCGAGGGTGATGCCAGAGTACCAGTGGTGATGGGCGCGGAAGACAAGTCTGGTAAGGATTGATGAAGTCGTGAACTTGAATAGTCCCGCTGTTAGTTCCGCGGAAGCAGTCAATTCTTTTGTCGTATGTGTAACCCGGGATGGACTAAGCGGGATGAAGAAAGCAACACATGCGTACCCCTTGACGGTAGGAGTCTGGGGGAGACCTTATAATCAGACCAGGAGATTGCGAGCTCGTAATGGGCTCACCGGGACTGCTGAGTGCTATGGCGATTGGCGAATAACGGGTTAATAGGACGTATTAGTTTCGATAATTATCAGAGAATTCACTAACGAGAAGGTCAGTGAAAAGTCAAGTAAATTCGTTGATCAAATGAAGAGGCAGAACGATGAAATGCAGGAAGGACTCAGAGTCTGCACTGGACGGCAAGCCGACTCGGATGACCCTCGCGTAGCGTGAGTCTGCGCCAACGGATGCGCAAGGACCTCGCCCGCACTCCCCAACAATGTGTGCTCCAACATGCCTCAAAGCTCCTCCCTGCGCTGCCTGCCATTCGCCAACCCCCCCGCCAAGGCTGCACCCTTGTCGGTACTCTACGCACTTGCATCGCAAGGAAATTCATCAGTCATCGTAAGTTCTGAATTTGCTGCTTCATCAAGTGGAGCTCCATTTCTTAAGTGCAGAACTTGATAATTCTCTCTACTAATACGTCCTAATGGAACACTTTCAAGTATAGGGGTAAACACAATATGAATACGTATCATTCATTCTCATGTGAGAGGGGATGATTGATGCAAGGAGAGGTATGATGGAAGTCGCAACTGATGAGATGAGCGCAAAAGGCAAGAACATGGAACTCGACGCCACAAAGCAATCCCGCCACGTGACTTTGGCGCCGAACTCCAACTTGTGACTTGGTCGCTACGCTCATGTTCAGCTGTCCCGCCATTTTCGTGTCCCTCGACTTGGATCTCGAAGGTTGATAAGAATACCATGTTCTATGATTATATGATGATCAACGTGAGGACCGGGGTGCGGAAAGCGGGTAAGACGACGCCCATCCATCACGATAATCCATCGGCTCTGCCTATGCACTAGGCCGTCCCTACAGACATCCGACCTTGGGTTCTGTCCATGCTCATGGAAACATCCGATGACCGGACCATAGCAACATACGCTGATAACTTCATCGCCCATTCAGATTCCTTATCGCTTCCCACTCTCGGATGCCCTAATCTACCTTGTCTCCCCAGCAGTAAGCCCGACCCAGTGTCGCGGCGCCGCGGGACCGGCACCATCCGGAACCAGCGCAACATGACTGACGACCTTCTCGACATGAGCCGCAGAGCCCTTTGTCTGGGTGCCTGACCCATTCACGCGTCGCACGCTAATGTGGCCCGTCGCACCGAAGCAAGCGCCTTGCGACAGGCAGACTCGCACGTGGGCGCCGCGCCAGCTCTCCGGGCGCACGCTAGCTCTCCGGAGGCGCGCCTGTCTAGCGCCGCCATCATCATCATTAGCGGAGGTGTATATAACGCGCACCGCCGCTTCATTGTCACGGACTTACGCCTTCTCTTAGGCGCCCACCTTTGACCAGCGACGTTGACGACTCTCAGACAGAGCGCGCGATGACCTCTGTTCCGTACACCTTTGAGGACCGCACCGGCCTCCTCGCGGACACGGACTTCGACGAGATGTACGACCGGGCGTACTTCAAAGTCTGCCCCTCCAACGGCACGCCATCGGACACGAGCATCATGATATACGAGATGCTGCACCGCGCGTCCCGACATCGAGACTCGTTGCCGCCCCGGCACGAACGGCGCATACGACTCGACTTTGGCAAAGACCATTCGCTGGGCACCATAGACTTCGCCAATGGTGCGACGATACCCATGGCTCGGTATCTCAAGAAGCTGTCCATATTCGGAAGGTACGTCGTGCGCATTTGCGCTCGAGCTCTTTGACGGGCATCGTGCAGTTCTCTCCATCGCAAATTTGCGGCGTCAGACGGACGCGAATATACCTGGTCCCATCGCTCGGTCCCAGGACACGAGTGGACGGTACGTTGAAGCCCCATCCTCGCATACACGCTTTGATAATGCTTGCGCAGTGCACAACGTCAGAAAATTACCTCGTCGCCCACTACACCTTCAAGCGCGATAATGAGCGTGTCTATGGCGTCTCTGGGAATGCGCTGACGGTCTACGAGCCCTTCTCCCAGATATCCATGGGTGAACGGTCTTCATTAGATATCTATGAGTCTTATCTGATGCAACGTCCTCGCAGAGCTCATAGCATCCCTGTTCGTCATGCGCCACATACAACAGCACCGTCTGTGAAGCTCGAATACTAAAATGTAATAATACCAGGTAAAATTGTAACGGAAGGCCCTTCGTGCGCCACATTCGCTGTCCGACATACGTCTAGGCCCATGACGGTCATGGATGAAGCTCAAGAAGGGCTTCCTTCGAAGTTCTTCGAGGTTATCAGCGTGCGGACGTGCGGTCCCGCCCTCGCGCCCTTTGTCGCTGCCAGGACCCGCGCAGCCTTGCGAACAGAAGCAAGCACCTCACCAGTCTCCGGCAGGGTACAAGCAACAAGGATTCTCTGACTAACTTTGACAGTACAACGTGCAACTACAGTACAACAGCATCTTCGTACATCGTTCCATTCCACTAATCTCTGAACTCATTCCCGAACTGCGCGTTCTTCTTCAATTCCTCCACGAACGCCTCGAAGCGCGGGCTCACGCCGCTCCCCGCAATCTTGCTCATCGCCACGACCGCCCGCAGCGTGCTGCGCTGGAGCTCCGCCGCGCGCTCGAGGTCCTGCTTCACCGTGTCCTTCGTCACATTCGCGCCCTTCACCGTCTTCTCCAGCGCCGGCGTCGCCTCGTCGAGCCGCAGCGCGACCGCCGCGGGCGCGACCTGCGACAGGCGGAACAGGATCATGTGGCAGATCACCTTCACCTCGTCCGCGTTGTCGTCCAGGCCGCGGATGACGTGCGTGAGGTACTCGCGCAGGTCGAGCACGGCGAGGCAGGTGTCGAGCAGCGTGTACAACGTCTCGTACGCGGTCTTGCGCGCCTCGAGGCCGTCGTCGACTTTGTGCTGCCAGGGGCCCATCTGCACGGTACGGATGAGCTCCGGCTTGATCGTGGTCTCCGCGTAGAGTTGCGGAAGGAGCTTGGGGAGGTGCTCCCGGATCAAGTGCGGCTTCGTACGCGCAGACGAGTTGAGCGCGGAAAGTGCGAGGCGGCGGACAGTCTGTATGCAGATAAGCGTCAAGTCTTCGCGAAGGGCAGTTACTCACCAAGTCTGGATCCTGCATGAGCGTCAAGAAGTCCACGAGCAGAGGTGCCAAGAGTTCGTCGTAAGAGCGCGCTGAGTCCGCGAAGGTATAGCGGATAGCGGATACGACCGTGGCCCTTGCCGAAGGATTCGCGTCCTTGATGCGATCCTGTACATGAAGTGAGAATTAGGTCAATTTCATGGTAGGAATCACCGACGTGGAGTTGGGGCAGGTAGCGCGATGGGTGCGTCATGGCAAGCTTGCCGAGGCAGGCAGCGGCAACATTGCGGGTAGCCTCTTCCGAGTTGGCAGAGTGCTCGAACAGTGGAACCCATAGCGTGTCCGCGACGCTCTCTAGCTGTCCATGAGATGAGTGCGTTACGACCTGTAGAGCACGTCAATAGTGTCGATCCTGAAGGAAGGAATGGCTCCCACTCACCTCCTTCAGCGCGTGCAGTGCTAGAAGTCGCTTCTTGGTATCAGTCTCCACCAGCTTGACGATCGCCGGTAGGAAGTGATGCAAGTTGCCGACGGTGATGTTGCCTGCAGGACTATCAGCATCTCTCACTCACTGCCTTCAAGCTCAGACTTACCCGCAGCAAACGCAGCCGCCGCCCTAACCTCCTCCTGCTCCGACTCAAAGTGCGCAATCGCCGCCTGGAAGATATCCACCTGTGGCGACATATCCCTGTAGCACCCATCAGCATACAGAGTGCCATTCCCCCCACGCCGTACTACTCACACAAAGCGGCCAATCTCTCCAAGAATCAAGAAGCTCAGCACCACCGTCGACGTCTTCGCCTTCCCACCCTTGCGCACATGCTTCGCGTACTCCGCGATCGTGCCCGCCGCGACGCCGAGGTCCGCCTGGACGACCTGCGCAATGCAGCGCGCGACGTTGGCCGCGGACACCTCGCCCTTGGGCGCCTTGTCCGCGGCGATCGCAAGGCCGGGGATGACGTGCGGGGAGATCTGCTTGTCGGCGGAGACGAGCGAGGAGATGAACACGAGGACCGCGTCGAGGCTGCTGCCGGCCAGGAGGGGGGAGTACGCGAGATTGTACACTTGGCCGAGCACGGTCTACGATGGGCGTCAGGATACCAACAGCTAAGCAGTCGGAAAGTGACGTACCTTCTCGACCTCGGGGAACGCAGTCGCGGGTGCGACCTCAAGCAGCGACGCGATGAGGTTCAGCGACTGGGACAGAAGCGCGATATCCGAGAGCGACACGAAGCCCTTGACTTGCGCAATGAGCTCGCGGACGACCTCGGGCGGCACGGAGGCATAGCTGCAAGCCCATCAATATACCCCGCTATTCACTCTAACCGAACCACCCACCATCGAATCAACGCATTCAACATCCCAAAGATCTCAATCTTGCCCGCCCGCCCGCTCTTCCTCAACAGCGTAAGCGCCCACTGCACGCATCCGTTGACCCACTGATCGCTCAAACCCTTGCGTATCATATCAGCCATCTCCCCTTCTGACCACTCCCCACCAGCGCCACACTCACCTCCGTCTCCGTCGCCACTCGGGTCACTACCCGGACCGCGCCCTCCGTATTTCCCGACGTCCTGCACACCGCCTCCCACTCCTTCCCGCCCTTGCCGCGCACGGCCTCGCCCGCGCAGACCCAGAGGTCGCCGACGACCTCTTCAGCACGCGCGCGGACGTCCGCGTCGGTGTCCGCGCTTGAAAGACGCGCGACAACCTCGTCGTAAAGGCCGTCGACCCAGGGGGCTATAACAAGCGGCATAAGTAACGACACTCAATGACGCCGGCCACCGACGACCTACCGCTCTTTACCGGCTTGGAGTTGTTGAGTAGCGCCGAGAGCGTCTTCAACGCCTCCGCCGCCACCCTCGGATGCCGCTCTTTCGCGCGGGACAGCAGCACCGGCGTCAACTGCAGAGACCCACGTCAGCCCATCGTCCCAAAAGCCCCAAACTGAGCCACCCACCTTCCCCAACCCCGCCCCCCACACGCCCGGCGCATGCGTGCCCACAAACAAGCTCAAGAACCCCATCACCGCCACGTGCAACGGCGCAGTCCCCGCAGCGACGGGCTGACTGAGCACCGCGGTCGTTGTTGCCAGCACCTGAGGGGCTTGCTGCGCGAGGCTGCCCGGGAGCACCGACAGTAGGGCGCCAAGGACGCGGAAGCCGGCGGAGAGGACGGTGGCGTTCGTCTGGGAAAGGGCGGTCAGCGCGTGCGTCAGGTAAGCGTGCCGTGCAAGAGGGGCGCTGGAGGTCCCCTCCCGCGCCTGGAAGACTCACCTTCGGCGGCCTGAGCTGCCCCAGCAGCGCCTTCGTCAGCGCCGGCACCTGCTCCGTCAGCAAATCGACCGGCGACGCTCCAGCGGGCGGCATCTCCTCATCATCTCCCCGCTTGCGCTTCCCGCTCGGCACGCTCGCGGCCAGGGTGCCATACACCGCAGTCGCGTTCAGCAGCGTCACGTACGTTGACCACACCTCGAGGCGCACAGTCTCCTCGCGCTCGCTGAAGCGCTGGATGAGGACGGGAGAGACCTGGGGGTGGGATGTCAGCTTCGAGCTCGTAATTACACACTTCCCCATTTCCCTGACAGACGAGGGTTGCATCCCTCATGCTCCTCGACACTCACCTCCCGATACACTACACCCAGCAGTTCCGGCCTTGTCGAGATCACCGCCGCGAGCAGCTTCACCGCCGCGCGGCGCACCTTGTACGACGTGTCCTCGTCGTCAGAGTATTCGTCGAGCGAGGCGTCGTCTGAGGGGTTGAGGGTCAGTTTTAGTAAGCGATTGATAAGCTACAGTTGAAAAGGTCGATTTTGATTGGCGTATGGGGTGAAGGGAGGCGGGAGGAGGAAAGGACAGAAAAAGGGCAAAGGGGTATGGTGGATGTAAATGAGGATAGACGAGGGGGACGATGGAGGAATGGAGAATGGAACGAAACGCATAAGGATCGCATAAGCCGGAGGCGCAGACAAACGGAGAGGCAAAGGAGGCACGCTCCTCATCTCTCTTCAACTTCGACAGGAAGACCACACGTCGACAGAAAGACCGCACGTCGACAGAAAGACCGCTCACCCTCGTCATCGCTCGCGCTCCCCATCTCCTCATCTTCATCGTCGCCCGCCGCGTAGTTCGGGTCGTACTTGATCCACGTCGTCCCCGCGGAGAGGATCGTCGGCTGGTTTTGGGGGAGGGCGGGCGTTAGCGCTCATCACCGCATAATGCTATCTTTCCCTTCGCTGCAGCTATCCCACCGCCCGACTCCAGCTACGCCAGCGCCTGCCTCCAGCTACGCCAGCGCTTGCCTCCAGCTACGCCAGCGCCTGCCTCCAGCTACACCACCGCCCGGGTCCGCCTAGCGCCCCAGTCATACCCTCCCACCATACCCACTCCCACCCCCACCCTCTCCGTCACATAAAGAAAACAAGCCCTAACACTCACCTTCCCCCCTCCTTCCCCGCCCACCCACGCACCAACCTCCGTCGGGCAGCGCAGCACGAGCGTCTCCAGCGCTTGCAGTATATACTCCCTCAGCTCCTCTTCCTCCGACGAGGCCTCGTCGGCGGCCTGGGCGGCGGAGGCCTGGGGATTTGGGGTCAATAAGAGTCGTGCAGAAATACAAGGACGAAAAGCGGAAGGGCGCAAAAGAAAAGCAGAAGGGCGCAAGGGTCGAAGAGCGGGGTGGAGGGATAGCGTGCATCGGCAACATAGCCTAGCGGGCAGAGAGACGTCGCGGAGCAGGGGGAGGGAAGACGCAAGGGAACTAAATCACGCACCAACCGCTCCAAGAACGCGGGCACCACCTTCGGCACATAACTCGCCACCGCCGCGGGCGCGGTGCGCGCGAGCGCGGACACGAGCTGCGGGATCGTCGGCGTGGGGGCTAGGGGAGAGCAGTCAGCGTTCCTCATTCTGTTGTCTGCAAAAGTTCCGTCCGTCGTTTGCAAACGTTCCGCTCCGTCGTTGCAAGAGTTCGCTCCGTTGTTCGCAAACGTTCCGTCCGTCGTTCGCAAGCGTTCACTCCGCCATCCGCAAGCGTCCAATCCACCTTGGCATCCTCGCGAGGCAGACTGCCTGACCACATTACACCCTGCTCGCCCACATTACACCCTGCTCGCCCACGATACACCCCGCTCGCCAACGGTACACGCTGCTCGCCAACGGTACACGCTGCTCGCCAACGATACACCCCGCTCGCCAACGAAACACCCCGCTCGCCCATACAAACCCCATTTCGGAGAAAAAGAAAACAAGCAATACAAAAAACAAGCAATAAAGGAAAACAAGCAATAAAAGAAAACAAGCAAAAAAAAAACAAGCAATAAAAGAAAACAAGCAAACAAAAAACACTCACCGCCAAGCCCGCCCACCACCGCCTTCTCCAGCAGGCCGTTCACGAGCTCCGCCGGCGCGAGCGGCGCGAACTGCGCGAGCGTGCCGATCGCGCGCTTGCGCACGACGGGGCGCGGGTGGGCTGTGTTCGTGTCAGCGTGCTGAGAGTGACAGGTCGACCAATATATGGTGAAAGGTTGATCGAACGCGTGGTGTGAGTAAGAGGTCGACCGCGTGGTCAGAGTAAGAGGTCAAACACACGTTGATAGTAAAAGATCGAACGCGCGCTGAAAGTAGAAGATCGACCGCGCGAGGCAAGTAAAAGATCGGCCGCGCGCCGCAAGTAAAAGCTCGACCGCGCGCCGCAAGTAAAACATCGACCTCATGCCGAAAGTAAAAGTTCGACCGCGCGCTAAGAGTAAGAGATCGACCGAGATGTGTACGCACCCAACAACGGCGCCAGCACGACCAAAGGGGGCGGGTCCAGGACGACCGCCTGCGTCGCGCCCGATGCCGTGCCCGGGCCTGTGTGAGGTGGTCAGCATGGCTCATAGAGGAACCCAGAGGCGCGCCCGGGCCCGGATGAAAGCGCGAGGCAGATGAAAGCGAGACGAGGAAGCAGATGAAAGCGAGACGAGGAAACAGATGAAAGGGAGAAGCAACCGAAAGCGCGACACGGGGAAAAGGCGCAACAACCGAAAGCACGAAAACAAACGAAAGCGCGAGACAAACGAAAGCACGAAAACAAACAAAACGAAAGCGCGCAACAAATAAAAAGGGCGGGACAAATAAAAGGCCTGCACCAAAGGGCACGATCACTCAGCGAAATGCACCACTCACCCCCACCACCCACCGGCGCCACAAAATGCGCCGGGAACCTGCCGATCAGGATGCTCAGAATCGCGAGCGTCTCGACGAGCGCCTCCGGCGGGGTCGCGGGCTGTGGGGCGGTTAGTTAGCGAGCGGGAAGGGTGGGGTGGAGGGGGAGATCAGCGAGCGGGGGTGGGGTGGGCAGCAAGGCATATAGCGAGGAGGGGAGCAAGATATAGCGATTGAGATCGGCAAGGAATGGCGACTGAGATCGGCAAGGTATAGCGATTGAGATCGGCAAGGAATGGCGAGTGGGGAAATCATAGCGAGAAGATTAGCATCGCAAACGAGGCAGTGAGCGAGCCGGGAGGGTACCGGAAACGGGGTTGTTAAGTTATAGCGAGCGGGGAGATCAACAAGGCATCACAACTGGGGCAGTCGACCGAGATACGCACATTCGCCGCCTGCGCGAGGAGCTTGGGCGCCAATTTCGCGGTCGCGGAGTCTGTGGGGGAGGGGGGGGGGTGTCAGCATGCGGCGTCCGGTGGTGTGAGCATGCGACGTTCGGGAGGATGCGAGGTTAGCGCGCGAGGTGTAGAGAGGTGCGCGATAGTATCAGTAGAGCAAGCGGCGCGCGCGAGAGTATCAGTCCCAGCGCGCGCGAGAGTATCAGTCCCGGCGCGCGCCAGCGACTGAGAGCTCCCCCTTCCCCTCCATCATCCCCTCCCCCCGCACCGAACCCAATCAACCCAACCCAACCCCCCCGCTCCCTCTCCCGCAGCAACCCAACTAACCAAACCAAACAAACAACCAACCTCCCCCCCCGCACTCAACCAAAAAACGCCCACTCACGCGCAATCTTCCCCTCCGGCGGCAGCTCGGCCGTGATCGTCTTCAGCGCGAGGCTCGCGATGTCCCGCAGCTCGTCGTCTTTGCCGGCTAGGGGGGAGGTGTTAGTTTGTGATTTTAGTTATGGTTAGTAGGGTTGGTTAGGGGTGGGGGTGGACGGGGTGAGGAGGAGAGGAGAGGGAGGGGAGGAGAGGGAGTGGGGGAGGAGATGGAGGAGGAGATGGAGGAGGGGATGAGGTCGGAGAAGAGGTGAAGAGGTGGGGAGGGGGAGGAGGGGGAGGTGCCGGAGGGGATGAGGTGAGGTGAGCATGGGAGGGCGAGGAAGGCAGGAGGATGAGAGGAGAGGGAGTGGGGAAGAGGGTGAGGAAGGCGGGCGGGGGACGGGGAGTAGTACGAGCACGTGAGCGGGAAGGATGAGGTTGACGCATAGTTGCGAATCATAGCCGTGGCGAGTAGGAAGGGGATGAGAAAGAGCGGACAAGGGAAGGATGCGATATGAAGAACGCGATACAATGAAGGACAGGACACGATGACTTCATCGCAGGACGTACCCGAAAAGTCGATGAGGCGATCGACGACGAGCTCCATCTGCGACTGCTTGATGATCTTGATGAGCTGACCGAGGCTATGGAGGATGCACAGGTGAAGTGAAGATGGGGTGCATAGATGAGGGTGAGATCAAGAGGTGGGCGCGTGTGCGAAATCAGTGGCGAGTGAACGACGGCGGGCGGGACATGAGCGGTGGCGGCGGCGAGGTGGACGAAGAAGGAAGTACAAATCAGCGACCGCGAACATGCACATACAAGACGCGAAGACGCACCACTTGACCGCCTGGTTCTTCACTTCGCTGATCTTGTCCTCCACAAGCGCCAAGACCTGCTTCAACACCTAGGCGCGCCTCCGTCAGCTGCGGTACTCCCGCACCCGCCATCGCCACACACCTTCGTCTCCGTCGCCTCCTCGCCCAAGAACGAGCCCGGGTCGTTCTTGATCTCGTTCATGAGGTCATTCAGGCCCATAAACCTGCAGCCCGCCTCACGTCAGCAAGCGCCGCCCTCCCCACCCGCACCCCACGCACCGATAGTCCTGGTCCGGGCTCTGCATCTACACGCGCAAAAGGCAGGGCACGTTGGACATCCCATGCAAGCACAGCGGGAAAGATCGACGCGTCGCGGTCAGCGCTGCCGGGCGTGTGATCAGGACTGGCGCGCTGCGCACCTTCTCGATGAGGCTGTTCATCATGTACGTCTTCGTCATCTTGGGCAGCTCTCTCCTCCTTGTCCTTCTTCACTATGCTACGCTGTGTCGTTCCGTGTATGCTCTCAGTCGTCTGCATCCGCGGGTACGCGTCAGAATCGCACGGGCGGTCGAGGACGCGCGGCGCTCACGGTCTGGGACGCTATCGTGCGTCGAGGGGACGCGGTGTCGGTAGCAGGACGTATGCAAAGAGTCGTATATGCGTTCAGGTCTGACGATGGATGGATTCGGGAACAGAGCCGGCTGGACAGTGGTGAAAGGGCACAATCGCGATCGACGCCACATCCTGCGGTCCCGACTCCCACTTTGTGGCGTCGTCGGCTCGGGCTCCGGGCCGCGATCGCATCCCAGCGGACTCGGCTCTTGACTTGCGCGATCACCGTCTCGTCGCCAAAATCAATCAGAAGTCTGTGTATTGGACGAGGGAACACAGTTATACGCTATTCTCAAGCGGACACCAGCTTACGCCGCACGTCTCTTTGTATTGTGAGACATTTGGCGTCATATTTCTCGTCTTCCTCTTCTCCATCCTACGCCTTCCTTCCCCAACCCTCTTCCCCTCGAGCGAATCGAAACACGCCATAAGCTATGGCCGACAGGGCACCTCCTGTGTCAGTATCGGAGAGATGTACGTCACGTGTACCATAACTTCGCACCTCACAATTAATCGCTCCAGTCTCCACGCAAACGCCCACTACCGTCGCCTTCCAATCTCAGGACGGCAAGGTATTCTATGTCGAGCGCGACAAGCTCGAGCGCGCGTCCGACTTTGCGCCTCCCTCCGGCGTCACGTCGTCCTCTGCGGAGAAGATCGTCCTCGACGAGGACGCCGCGACGCTCGAGCTGCTATTCCGCTTCGTTTACTTCGACATCCCCATCAACTTGGCGCCTCTCTCCATCTGGGTCGTCGACGACCTCGCTGAGGCGGCCCACAAATACGTCGTCCACACCGCCATTGTTGCGTGCCACGCGTATATGCTGTGCGTGTCGATTGACTTTTGCGCAGGGTGCCTAATAACGCCACGCTGTGCCTAATGACTCTACCCCACTGACCTCAAATCTCAGATACACAGCTCAGGATCATCCGACCAAAGCGATGAAGTTCGCCGCGCGGCATAATTATATGGACATCTTGGATGCCGCCGCGCCTCACGCCATCGGCACGGACCTCAAGACCATGAAGGAGATCCTGCCCGCCTCTCTCATCCTGCCATGGGTGCGTCATAATACTCCCGCCATCACTACAGCACCCCCGCGAGCTCGCATCTCTAACGCGCTTCGTCAAGGTCACCTTCAACGACGCCTACAACCAGATCGCGCTCGGTCTCCCCGGGACCCTCTCAAGCGAAGTCCACATCGACGAGGAGGCCCCAAACGCGCACTACAACGACTACCATGACACCTACGAGGCGTGCAAGCTCGGCGACAAGCGCGCTGAGATCTGGCGCTCGATACAGCGCGACATCGCGCTCGTGGTAGTCGACGGCGGTGCCCAGAACCTCCGCAGCCTCGACCGCCTGTTCAGCATCGACCTGTTCCAGCGCGTCGCCGCGTGCGACTGGTGCCATGGCGCGCTCTTGGGCTACAAGTTCAATACCGAGCGGCAGATGAAGGCGCTGCGTGCGAAGCATCCCTTCTCGAGCTACGTGTGAGCGGCTGGTTGCACTTTGAATATCATCAGCGCAGATAGTCTGTACTATATCTCATCTACGGGTCCTCGATATGATCACCGGTCACTCTCCTTTTTCTTTCGTGGTGCAGAACTGGTGAGATCTTCCATCCTTCTGGGTCAGCTACGCAATCGGGCGACGGTGCGACCCGAGTCTCGCCAGCCCCTTCCTTTCTTTTTGTTCTGATCTACGTGTCTTCTATCTTTTTGTTCTGATCTACATGCCTTCTGTCGCTCTGTTCCAATCTACACGCGCCCTTAGTCCCGCCATGTCTTTTCATAGCCTCACCACTGCATCCCCTCGAGCCAATCTGCCTACCGTCCGCAGGCGCACTTCGAGCGACAATGCTACGTACCAGCTTGTCCAGTAAGAAGTCAACCGGATCCACAGCGGCGACTACGGCGACTACGACGAGGACCATAAGTTTTTTCCACATGGATGCGATTACGGACACGAAGGGGTGAGTGAGCCTTGGAGCTGGACAAATTCTTCGAAGCTAACATGCTCTACCATCTCCCTAAATGCCATTGCTGCAGTGCTGCCTTCTTTAGCTAGATGAGCTTTCTCGCCGATGAAGTTGAGGCACTAGTCAAGAGCAAGCCTTCCACAGCTCTCTTGTGGCCATCTCACACAAACCTCACACGTCGAGTATAGCACACAGAACTTTTTCACAGTCAATCCCCCACCAAACCCCGAAACCAACCCCCCCCCCAACCCGCAAAGTTCGCCCCACGGATCGGAACCAGGCGACAACTTTCACCAAATGGGGAATATCCCTTTCGGGAACAAGGCCAGAATCCTGCCCCATCGGGCCAAAATCCTGCCCCATCGGGACCCCATGCAAAACCTCACCATGTAGAGCGAAAAGTCGCACGGAGGCGCGTGACGCCGCGCTTCCGATCCCGGCCGATGTCGTTCGATTTCCTGACCATCTTGAGCCTGGCGGCGGCTGAAGAAGCTCGTAGAGGCTGGAGAAGCTCGTTGAGGGGATAGACTTTTGAGTGTGAGTTCGGAGCGTATACCGCTGGGTTGGGAGCGTATACCGCTGGATTGGCCGCTTACTGCTCTTCTAAGCACGGTCAGCGTGATCGCCAATCATTGGTATGGACCCGGGTGCAGATCCGCGCGTCGACGCTCTCAGGCGGCGCAACGAGGCGCTGGCGAAGGAGAAGGAGGCCATAGAGGTCGACAAGGAGGCGCTAAGAATCGAGCTGCAGCGCGCGGTGGTGCGTGGACATGCACCTTAGCGACCGCAGGGCTCACACACCTGTACACATATAGGACGCCAGAGCGCGGGCAGAGGCGGAGGCGGCGGAGGCGAGGAATGTGGCAGTACAGGCCGGGCAGCGGGCGGCCGAAGCCGCGGAGCGGTCCGCCAACGCGTTCCGTGGTCTGGTCGTCGCCAATGACGAGATCCGACAGCTCCGAGGGGAAGTGAGCCGCCTGCAGGATGAGGCGGAGGCGACGCAGAAGGAGCTCCTGAGGGCGCAACGCAGGGCTCGTCGGTTGTTCAAGAGGCTTGAGCAGGCGCGTGCCATTCTACACGCTGGAGAAGACGACGACGACGACGGGAGCGAGGAAGAAGGCGGGATAGATGTCGAGATGCAGGAGTACAAGATCGACCAGCAGCCGGACGTGCCTCCGACTCTCACTCCCCCGCCAGAAGCGCAACCCCTTCCGAGCGCGGCGGCATATGGAGCAGCTCCCGCGGAAGATGGCGAGGGCGCCATCCCACCGCCTGCCGGCGCGCCGCTCTCAATACCAGCCACAGACAGCAGAGCGGAGAACTCACCAAGAGATCCGCCACCATTGGTCGCGCCAGAGTCATACGCATCAACCTCCGCTCCGTTCAGCATCCAAACCTCGCGTGCCATCACACTCCCCACGCTCCTCGGTGTTCAATCGCCGCCGCAAGCCAACCCAGACGAGGCTACAGAGCCCACTGACAACGCGAGCACCAGCAAGAAGCGCAAATGGACAACCACGATCATGAAGACGTGGGTAGGTACCAACCCTAGCACGACCGCGCCTGATCTTGAGGTCAGAGATCCCAAAGCCCGTGCCCGACTGGATAGGAAGTGAGTTCTGTTCTGTAAAGTAAGCCCTCACTCACGTAACCAATTCTGGTCGAAGGAAGGAGCTGGAGGAGAGATCTAGGGCCCTGCCGGCGCCACGTCGCATTCAAGGGTTCCACGCCGGACAAGACACGATGGAAGCACATCCTCCTTGATGGTAGAGCCACCGGTATCGTGGACCTGCACAGTCACCAGACCTGTCCGCACGATATAGCTCGTAGTATGATCTCTCTCTTGTCAGCCGAACCTTTCGAGTCTACACCGCGCCTTAACACGTCGGAGGTGGTTGTTGTCCCGCTATTCCAGATGGGGTTGAGACAATGAAGCGTAGTTTATGTAGAAGAGCTCGAGGGAGCGGCGGACTCATGACGATGAATGACGGGAGAACGCCGGTGGCAGGCAAGCACCGGGGCTTGAACGTGTGAACAATCGTTCCGTTTCGGGAAACAATAGTTCGTTGACCGCGGTCATGTCCTTCCCAACTTGCCGGATGCTCACAAGGCGAAAGTTCGACAACCTCAGCGCGAACGAATACCTCCCATACAATCTGCGAGACCAGCTTGCGCTTACTCTCAAGTCATGACATCGGAACATCGAACACGACCCCAGTTAGCCGGCAATGGAATCGAAAGACGTTCACAGCAACGAACTGCTACAGGTGGTTGGCGTCGCCGAGCAGGGTCATCTCCTTGCTCGTTTTAGCTATGAACTTGGACGCACTGTCCGCTCGCAGCGCGTCTCGAAGCCCTTGTGCGTCGCGACCAGGTCCTAGCGGAGGGAAAGGAGTCGTTCGAGGTGGCGATCGCGACCTTGTATATCGAACTTCGGCATGCAAAGGTGCGTAGTCATGCTCATCCTTCTCATACCCGCCCTCACGCTCCGCTCAGGCAGCCCGAACCCAAGCGGAGACCCTCGCCGCGCGAGTTGAACAGCGCTTGGCAGCAGTCGATCACCGAGAAACCATGAACACCGCGCTTGCTGCCTCCAACCACAAGATGTGTCCCCTTCGTCAGAACGTCTGCCGCCTGCGCGAAGAGCTGCTGGCGTCACATCAGGATTCCTTGACAGCTGGCCAGGACGCGCGGCGTCTGCGCGCGCGGTGGGCGGAAGCCTGTGTGTCGCTTCAAGAGCTCGTGGGCGGTCAGCAAAATCACGCATCGGCAAGGGCGAGCGTTCGCTTCACCACTCTCCTCAACCACCGTCTACAAGGTCGAGACTCTTGAAGATTGAGCACCCACCTCCTGCCTTCGATGCTTCAAAAGGGCGAAGACGTTAATGCTCGCCGCGCCCACCCTTTTTACCGCCTTCGACATCAGATCCTCTACGCTACGCTTTGAGGCCCCGCCTGAGAGGGTGCTACCGCTTTTAGGAGGTTCCAGCACGCGTCTGCTAGCCACCCGACGTCTACCAGCCCTCCCCCCGGCGTGCACATTGCCCCTTCGGCCCGCGCGAGCATTTATCGATGGTGGTGTCGAAGCGCTTTTACGATGTAGTTGCTCTGTACGTCGGATATGCAGCCGCCAAGTTTATTGCCCTGACCGTCGTCAGACACTCACAAAAGTGGCTGAATCAGGATGCGCCCACGGCCCCGCTGAGCAAACATGAAGAGCGCGAGGCGTCTGCGCTTTCTTGGGGGGATATTGACGGTCCGCCTTTTCCGCATACTTACTGCAGTACCTGTCGTTGACTCGGGCGATTTTAGATTCTATTGACCTAGTACATTCCAACGTTGCAAATTGACAGCGGTATCATCCCATGCAAAAATTTGAGTCTGCTACGACTAGCTCTGTAGGCGAATTGCAAAAGCGATGCTAGATCATCTCATCCATATACTGTACCATTTCGTTCAATTGGTCTGTCGCGCGTCACAAGGGGGGGGTGACTTGAACCAAATGTCACAGATGTCCTCCCCCGAAGGCTCGACTGACCAAAATGACGACCGGCTGTCACCGTGGGTGGGCAGCGTTCCTTGGGGGGGGGGGGGGGTGTAGCCACCTCTACTTCACCTTCGGAGGGGCTGTCTAAATGTTGTTTTGGACTTGGTCACTTGGTTGCCAGTATAGCTGACCAAGTGCACGGTTGGTCCTAAATGTCACTGGTCACACCCGGTGACCAATTGAACGAAATGGTACAGTATCGGATTCCTGGCGCTGCGTGCCCCACACACATTTCCTGCGCTCGATGGTTGGAACATTGCGGATGTACCCCTCTTCGTCCTCTACCCTCCACCTGTCTGCTCGACCCTTCTCCATACGCACGAGGGTCCCTGCCCAGTCGAATAAAATCTGCACCATCATTTTATCCGCATAGTGAATGGATATTCCCTGTAGTCGTATGCCAGCGCACGTACATCGTATCGCCAGCGACTGCAGGACCATGAACCCCTCTTTGCGCTCCTTTTCATAAGCGTCCGCCGCGTAGATACGCAGCCTTTTGAGTTGGGGGCGTGCGATCCGGGCCATGGGTGGCGCGGCGGAGACAATCATGTCCAAGGTCGCGATGACCCCGGATGCGGCGTTTTCGGCAGCGACAATCTCCTGTACACTGCTGCGAAGGATGCGGTTGAGGAAGCCCAGCCACTCGCGGTCTCCGCTTGTGGGGGCGCTAAAGGTCGGAATGATGAGCTTTGTGATCCTGTCGCGCGATTCGAGGTCCGGCAGCACGGCAAGGGTATCGTGTATCGATGCAACGAGCGTCCCGTTGTGAATGTATGCGCCGCGCTTCACTGTCTGTATCTGCACTGTAGTGACAGCATCGGGGGGGCGAAAGGCGCCACGTCCGGGAAGTACCCCATTTTCGAGGATTTCCAGCGTTCTCCGCGGAGAAACCAGGCACGCGCAACTGGTGGGGACGTCGATGCTTGACAGCAGACATGACCCGAGCGGATGCGTGATAATCTCTGCGATATACAGCCTTTGGAGACGAGGTAGATTTACGATCGGCGGTGGGTGGTAGTCATCAGTCACGAAGCGAATGGAGAACATGCAGAGCTCTTCGAGTCGAGGTAACTGGCGAAGACACTGCACAAATAGGCATGCTTGCGAGACGTCGGTGATCCTGGAGACAGCAAGCCGAACGAGACTAGGAAATATGTGAAGTGAATCCAGAGCACTCCCAGTGACCGTAAGCTGCACAACGGAGGGCTGCTCGGTCACATTCTTGAAAGCGTGAGGCGACCGTGAGAAGAGATCCTTCAAGTCTATGGAAACACTGCGCAGATGCGGCACCACTTTAGCAAAGGCATCACCTATTATTGTCATATAATTCGATCGAGCGTCCTGGAGATCTAGGTGTAGGTGCTCGATGCGGGAGCGCTGCGTCGCAAGCATGTCGCGAAGGATACCGATATTCTTATCGCTTTTGAGAAACAAGCTGCGGCTGCGGTGATATAGTCGGAGGGGGTTGTTGCGAGAGCGCCGTATGAGCACGGGTACTGCAGCTGGAGAGGAGTCATGGCATAGTTCTATTGTGCTCCAAAGCGAGGGGTCATTCACGGCGATGCCCTTCCAGTACTTGCATACACGTGCAACACACGTCCATTGATAGATCTGTCGATCTGGGAAGGATGGAAGGAAATCGTCGCCACTGAAGGGCTGCAGTAGCCGGAAGACGTGACCAAGAACCTCGGGTGGTACCTGATTGATGCCAGGAGCGTGCATGTTCTGAGCATATTCCAACGCGCTGAGAAGAAGATGTGCTTGCGATCTCGCGTTTTCGAGCTGCGATCGTCGGTCAGGACCAGAAAAGATCCTCAGCAAAAAGGTATATACCTCTGCAGGCGACAGCCGAAGTTCTCCATTCAAAAGAGCCTGGCGGAAATCCGAAATCGCGGCGGTCGTCGCGGCGAGCATATCGGTTGTGGCGGTTGTGAAAGAGAAGATGCTGTCCAAGCGTGAGAAACGGTATCCCATACCGGGACATAAATCACTTGCCGATTGTCCTTGCCTCTTCCCATCATTGCCTGCTTGTTCACGATTCAAAATCCCGAAGGGTGAAGTAAATCGCAACCCTGACATAATATACACCATGAGCTACTTGCGCGCAAGCTGGGCCTGACTCGGACGTGAAGGTCATGCTGTGAGGCACCGTTCCCCGTTTTGCCGGACATCTGGATGCCTGAATCGTACGTATTCCCCGCGCCACATTCCAACTTTCTACCGTATACGAAGAAGGAGGTACCATTGATAGACATGCGCGAACATATCGACTGGATCTTCGGCGGCGTCACGCCGACACAGTGCATGCGCGTGATAGGATGCCGTCAACAGCGTGGAGAACGTTAATATACAGCGCGCTGCGCCCTTGGTGCGCGCTTGTCTCCCTTCTTCTTCTTCAACGTCCACTCATCCTACATCATGACAGACCTACCAGGCCACCCTTTCATGCTGCCGCCCTCGGCTGCAGCAGGGATCATGGCCCTCTCACGCTCGCCTTCTGTACACGCGGGTGACGCGGGAGAAGTGCATATGACGCTACGGTATCCCGACGACAGCGAAGACGACGACGCAGTCGATCCCATGGACAACCGCGAGAGCGCGGCATCGATATCCATCTCGGCGAGCACTCAGGCTTCGACTATCAGCGTAGACACCCCAAGCGCCCGTCGGACAAGCCAGCGCCTATCGGGGCGGAGTTCTCACAAATACGGCGCTGGGAAGAGCGAAAGAAGGGGCAGAAAGTGCGTGCCATCTTTCCTCTTCAACGACCCTGCTGGCGAACCTAACTCATCCGCAGACCTAAGTTCGCACGCGACCAAAGGGCTACGATACGGGCGATGGACCAGCGCGGCTACTCCATCGGCGATATCAAGGTCGCCTTCCCGGCCTCCGATCTGACCATCAAGAGCATCATCACGAACAGCGGGAGGAGGGACGATCTTTCGGAGGATCAGTCATACGTAGATGCTGAAATTATGCAGAAGTATCCGGCGAAGGTGCGTGGGATATGTCCGGTCGAAGGCAGTTCTCTGACCTGATTAGAATGGTTCCAGCTCCTCTGCTTGTCGTGCATCGCAAATTGTCCCTTCGAAGCGGAGGCAAGAGGTGCGTCGCAAATAGCTGTGCTCTGTCATCTCGTCTCACACTCACTCTAGGACACCACCACGTCTGAAAGTCTAGGAGCGGTGGACGACGCGGCTTGCGTGTCGATAAGCAAAGCGCCGCGCACCCCCTTGTCCGCACCGCACGATCCCTCTCATGCAGCCAAACGATCCCGGCTGTCGCAGTCTACTGCGCCGAACCTGAACCAGGTATATCGCTGTATTTCCTTCCCGTCTTGGATGCTGACTAAGTATTCCCACGGTAGACTATCGTTCCGGCGCCCGTACCCGGTGCATATGCCGAGGCTTTCGACCTGCGAGCGATGTCAAAGCAGCCCATAACTACGGGAAAATCCTGTGTCGCCGGCCTCGAGGCTCACGCCTCACGCGATACCAATCCACCTGCTGATTCCGTCGGCCAAATTACGGGCGCGGGGACCGCCTCCACCATCCAGGGTTCTCATCACCCGACGACTGCTTCGGCCTCGATGCTTGCCGGAACCACACAAAACGCTTCCTCGTCGACCACCATCCCGTCCGCCAAAACTCTCAAGGTCGACTTCGCCGCCGCCTTCCTCGCCAATCTCGACGTCGACTTATCCGCGCACCACGACGCTCTCGTCAAGTGCTATCTCGGCACTGCGCAAGATGTAAAGAGCCGACGCGACTGGCCGATCGAGTGGTTCCGCATCATCTTGGATCGGGAAGTACCTGGCGCGTCGGTCTTCGAGCGCTTCGTGCTGGCGCGGGCGTTCAAGTTGATTAAGGATGATGGCTCGATGGAGAAGAGCTTGATGAGAGTGAGCCCTACGCACCATGCTGGCCAGCAGTGCTCAGTCGCTTACGCGCGTCAACAGACTCGCTTGGACGAGGCACCGCAGGTCTGGACGACGTCGAGCGCCGGATTCTTCGAGGGTCTCGCTCTTGATCTTTCGCCGGTATTCCCCGACTTCCATAGCGCCGGCCTCGGACTCTTGGGACCTATTCTGGCCATGGCTGGCTGGTCGGAGGACACGCGTCGAGCGCTCTTTGACGAAGCGCTGCCGAACCTGAAGGCCATTCACCGCTTCGTCTTCGAGCGCGAACTAAAGGGCATCGGCGCGGCCGCCCAGTCGTCTCCTACCATCATACAGGAGCTTGTCGCGGCCGTGCAAGCGCGGCATCTCACTGGACACAAGACCGATGCTACGACCCGACCGCTCCCTCCCACATTCCTCGCCAACTTGGATCATGACCTATTGTATATCGCGGGCGGTCTGAGCACCTGTGGGATCGCAACCGTCGAAGATGTTGTCTCGCTACGCTCATGGCACGCCGAAGATTTGCACAACATGCTCCGCCAAGTCCTTCCGAAGCTTGTACCTGTCGAGCGTCACGTCCTCGTGCGGGGCATCAAGAACAGTCTGGGCTTGGAGATGGGTGAACATTCAAAAAGCGCGCTTCGGGTGAGCCAATGCAACAACATGCCGTCCTCTCGCTCATAATAATCACAGTACAAGCTCGACGCCCATCCGGACCTCGGAAAGCGTACGATTGTTGAGTTCCTCTCAGCGTCACCCTACGATCTAGCGAAGTTCGCGCCGCGGCTGGAGGGCGCGGGTCTCAGCACGCTCGAATCTGTCTTGGTGCTCGCTGAGTGGGATGTACGCGACTTGCTTGCTTTGCTCGACGAGGCCCTTCCCGGGGTGAGCACGACCATCTCGTTTAGCATCATCGCTTGTTTGAAGAGAGACGCGGAGGTGCTGACAGACCTTGCGGGTTGATTCAGCTTGCTGCGGCCTCGCTAGAACTGCATGTATGTATACTGTATCTTGCTTCTTGCACGATGACTGCACGATCTTATCGTTGCGGACATACAGAAGATGGAGCCCATGACGCATCTCATGTCAAAGGCGTCTTTAAGGCGGCTTCCGTCGACGCGTCGCCCCAACCACGAGGTCGCGCCCTTGGGGTGCGTACGCGTTCCCTTTGTTCTTCCATTCCCCCATCTTCTCTCCTTGTTCTGCACCACCATGGCCTCCTTCGCGTCTTTTCCCCCAGAATCTCAATCCCAGTTTTCCTCAAACTTGAACGAGGACGACATCGACGATATCGCTCTGACCCTGGCATACCCAGAGGACTGGGATGAGGTGAACGCGACTGATGGCGACCCGGCTGACAGCGCGAAAGGCTCGATGGAGACGCGTCTCTCGGTGCCTACAACGCCTCCAAAGCATCCGATCGACGATATGGGCGCGAGCGACAACGCAAACACTACCGAAACACCGCAGACATCTCGGCGCCTATCCGCTGGAAAGCTCGCTTCTTCTGGAGGAGGCAAGGGAGGTCGACCGTGCGTTATTCCCGTGGTTTACACCCTGCACCAAGACTCATCTTCTTTCAGTCTCAAATACACCCGTGGCAAGAGGGCCGACATCCGCCTCATGCACGCGCGCGGGTACTCCATCGAGGAGATCATGGCGGCGATCAGCGCTCCCAAACCTGCCATCATCAAGTTCATCTCGAACAAGGACGGCAAAGACATCGTCGCGGAGGACTGGGCGAACGCGGACGCGATTTTTCTTCAGCGCTATCCGAAAAAGGTGAACATTTTACACGCGATTAACCCACGTCGCTTACATCTATCCCTGTAGAATATTGCACCTACCATTGATAGCTCACCAGTTATACCAGCTAAGCGCGCAAGCGACGTGCGTATCCCCCCGACGGCGCGGTCCGAGTGTCGCATAACTCATATCCTCGTAGACCCCAGAGTCGAATAACAGCGCGCGCACCAAGTTCAAGAATTCATCTGCGTCGTCGTTCGAAGCGCCTCCTCGGCCTACCTCCTCTATTCCCGGGTCCAGCAAATTCGCAGTCGCCCCCCTTCCGCGCAAAAGTCGCGCGCAGCATCGGCAGAAGGTGGGCTTACAGTCCAATCAGGTACGCACATCACACTTGCCCTGCCGCTGTCATAGCTGTATCGACGTCTTTGTAGTCTTCCGCTTCGTCGTCGGCCCTCGTGAAAGGGGTTAGCCTCACGCTACTTGGGACGGTGCACCAGGGAACCTCGGAGGCGGCCAATGCCGCTAAGCTCACAGCTGTGAAGCCTGAGAACGCGTCAGCACCTGCAGTCCCTCCCCGTATAGAGCCAGCCTCGAGCGAACGAACCATCCCAACTGACGCTGGCGCGCATACATCTGCTCGCACGATGCCGATAACCGTCATTGAGGTCCATGCACCGCCACACGTTCCCGACTTCGCCGCTAGCTTTCTCGCCAACCTCGACATGGACATGTCTACCCACCGCACATCTCTCGTCGCCTGCAACCTCGGAAGCGCGGCCGACGTCGTGAGCAGGCGCGACTGGCCCGCGGCGTGGTTCCACACCATCTTCGAGCGCGATATGCCAGGTCTCTCGATTCTCGAGCGCCACGTCCTTATACGCGGCTTCAGGTCGATCTCGGACGACGGGACGATCTGCAAGGGTACTATCAGAGTAAGCCACCATCCTCCAATCCCCGCTCCCACTGGCACTCACAGTTCCGTCGGGATCAGACCCGCCTGGACACCGTCCCCCAGGTCTGGTCGACGCCCATCGCCGGCTTCCTCAGCAAGTTCGCCGTCAACCTGTCCAGCTGCCTCCCCTCCCTCGAGCGCGCGGGCCTCCGCACCCTCGGCGCGCTCCTCGCGATCGCGGGCTGGCCACAGGCGGAGCAGCGCGCCCTCCTCGCTGCGGCGCTGCCGGACCTGAAAGCGCTACCCCGCTTCGTGCTCGTGCGCGCGCTGGGGGAGTTCAGCGACGCCGCGCCGACGCTGTCGGTGGCGTCCCTGACGGCCCTCGTCGCCGCGCGCGCCTCGGCTGCGTGCCCGGCGGCCCCACCCGCGCCGGCTGGATCTGCGAGCGACTTCCTCCGCAACCTCGACCACGACCTGTCGCCCCGCGCGCAGCTGCTCGCCGGGAGGGGGATCGCCACCATCGAGGACGTGCTTGCGCTGCGGTCGTGGCCGGCGGGCATCCTGCACGAGATGCTGAAGGACGTCGCGCCGGACTTGACCGCCGTCGAGCGCTTCGTGCTCGTCAGAGGCGTGAGGCACCTCCCCGCCGACGGAGGAATCCCGAAGCGAGGAAGGCTGCGGGTGAGTCTCATGATGTACATCTTTCCAGCCGAAGTGATTTCGAGCGCGCTCGTTGCAGGCCCTCCTCGACACCGAACCTGGCTTATGGTGCCTGCCCCTCGGCGAGCTCCTCTCGCGGTCGCCGCACCATCTCGTAAGGTACGGGCCCGCGCTGCACCTGGCAGGTTTCGACTCTGCGCGCGCGCTGATGGCCACTGCGGGCTGGACGGACGAGGAGCTGCTCGCCTTGCTTGATGAAGTAATCCCTTGGGTGAGTACGACAATGCGGTTCACGCTGATTGCCTTCATGAAGAGGGAAGCGGCATCGGCGGGGGAGGCGAAGGGGACGGCTGGGCCGTCGGACGCGAGTTGAGTTCAGCCCTGTGGAAAGTCGTTGCTCCTGTCGAACGCGCTTGTACCATCGCCTGCAAATCTAAGTATCAACAAACAAAGTCCATATCCCCAAATAGACCAAAATACAACACAGCCACCGTCCAGAAGTATATAGACCAACACCTCTTGCCCTCCTACCTCGTGGAAACCGATGCGTACAGGATCTCCGTGGAGGGCGACCCGCGCGTTACATACAGCGGCGCCAGAGGCGGCGTCGAGAAAGCCGGGGGTTAAGGTGGCACGGATATCCCTCGGGTCCGGCGGAGGTTGGGGCTCGCCTCAGTCCGTTGTCCGTTGGGATCCGGTTTCTGCATGCCCTGGGGTGCTCGGCGGGCGCGTCGCCTGCAAGTCTGGGCGGCGCGATGGATCTAGTGGCTGAGAGGCGTGCCCTGGGTGGCCGCACTGCTACGCTTGGCGCGGATTCCTGAACCCTGGTCTCTCGCCCAGCGTGGATCCTTCGGTACGTGTCCCCGATGGTGATCCTCGACCCCGCTGACGGTTCAACGTTCAGGACCTTCCTCTTCCTCCCTCACATCGTCGCCTTCTGTCTTCCCAGAGCCGTGTCATGTGTACTACCTCTCATACCGTCTACCATGTAATGAGCTCGCGCACTGTTATCCAACGTTTCACTTGGAGCACGCACCTCTGTTCTTCTTCGCCGCTCGCTCGGGTTTTCAAAGTCTAGGCGAGATCTAGCATAACGCGCAACCTTGCCAGATTCAGTCCCGCCAGATGCGACGGCGACATCTTCTACTGGGGAAGGAGAGCTCGGGTTGCTCGGCGCGCCGTACGAAAGTTGGAAGGGACAGGTATTGCATTGTGAATTGATACGTGACTACAAAAGAACGTAGCAAGGATTGTACGCGTATGATCTTCCGAGAAGCGTCCAGTTGAAGCAGACAGAGAATCTCATGTGCTAGGTTGCAGTCGCGTCGAGTCGAGCCGAGTCGAGAGGGCATGGGATACGATTCTGCAGTATCACCACCAGCAGATTCGTGAGGATAGGCAGTCAGTATTTGCATCTCGGAGCAATCGGCTGACGCACCAATGAGCCCAGAGCCCCGGGCCAGCGACTTTCATGCGCGTTTCTCCTGAAGCGATAGATTCCGGACGAAAGCAGTGCGGACGGGGACGTCGCCAGCTGGAGACAGTCTGCCAGGATCTTGTCGAAGCTGACCGAGATGGGAGAGGGAGCCGATTGAGCGCGACGATCATGTTATAAGAGGCCACAAGCCCGGCATTTGCGTTGAGAGCTGCCACTGCCCGAGTGCGCAGTGAGAGAGGAGACGAGACTGATGATGGTAGGAGCGGAGACGACACGCGCCGCCGATCACCCTCTTGTTCTTGTTTCCCATCTCGCGGACTGCGCTTGCTCTTCTTGCGCTATATCTCGCAGTCGTCCTCTCGCAGAAGACGTATCTCGTCATGTTCCTCATTGCCGGTGCAGACCCCATGGACGCAGGGTCAGCTGCACGCTACTCAAATCGCGGGGGCGTGCTCTGCTCGACCTGAACACGCTCTTCACGGAGGAGATGCGGTTTGGGACGCGGGCATGCAGCGCGTGTCGCACGGTGCTGAATAAGTGGCGGGAGGATATCGAGTTTTCACTGTCGAATATCCCTCTGTGTTCAACACATATATAGATCACTTGTTGGCGGTCTTCGAACTCGAACGTGTACCTTCCATCCTGTGGCTGAGCAGTGGCGAAGAGCTTGAGCAGTGCAGACTCAGTCTTTCAGGTGCGGCTCTTTCACGGTCCTCAGGCAATGCAGCTAACATGAGGCAAGTGGGCTGAGCGCCTTTGTCCTTTCATTCATGACTATCCTTCTTTGACGATGACCTCCTGATATATGAACAGTGCAACGTCGATGTACCTCTGCATCTCCCATATCCAACTAAATATCCTCCCCATCACAATCACCGCAATGGAACCGCGCGTCTGCAAACGATGTACGTCCCCTGTTCTCACCCCCGGACCCGCGATCGCTAAACAACGAGCACAGTCTCTTCCCTCACGCCGACTACGATCGCCTACATCTCGGGCGACAACACGATCTTTCACGTTGAACGTGTCAAGGTCCCCCGCGCCGCCGACCTCATGCCTCTCTCTGACGCCGATGTTCACCTCCCCGAGAGCGCAGCAGTCCTCGAACTTCTGTTTCGCTTCATCTATTGCGAGGTCAACATTCCTCTCGATACGATCCTCTTTCCCATCGTCAATAAGCTCGCCGAGGCGGCGGACACGTACATGGTCCATTCCGCTAGAAGTGCCTGCCATCAGTATATGCGGTGCGCGTTGTCACCTTACGCTCGCGTGTACAGGTCCGCTGATAGAGGGACTCTCGCGCAGTACCCAGTACAAAGACCATCCTCTGGAAATCGCAGCATACGCGGTGAAGCATGGCTGCGAGGGCTTGCTGAACCTTGCTATGCCATACACGGCTGGAATCGATCTCGCGACCGTGCAGTCCTTCCTTCCCGACACCTACGTACTGACCTGGGTGCGGCAAATAGCTCACACCTCGCACATATGCTGACGTCTCGTACCCAGGCCCTCTACAGCAGCCGCTTTCAAACCATCATGCACAACGTCATAAACCTCTGGATCCCCCCGCGGGAGCATGCGCTGGAAGAAAGTGAAGTTGGTGCTGAGGAAGAGGAGGAATATGACGACGAAGACTACGGTGCCGGCGAGAACCCTGCCTGCCAGCTCGGCGAGAGCGCCGATGGAACGTGGTCCTGGATTGAGCGCAATGTCGCCCTCGCCATGCTCCGAGCGCCAGCGTGGGGGTTGCTCGACCTGGACAAGGTGTTCACGGTGGATATGCTACGCAGTGTGGAGGGCTGTGAGCGGTGCCGGGATGGTCTCATTCAATGGCGGTGGCAGACGAGTTTGGCGGTTGGGCAGATGGAAACGTTTACGGAACTTTTGCGGCGAGTCAAGTAAGTGATTCGATCTGTTTGTATTACCTCGATACAAGATGTATATACTACTGTATCGATACAGAAACAGAAGACCGCTTGCTTTCGTCCATGTTCATCTCTATCCACGCTTGAGGGCATCAGCGGTCAGAATAATAGCAAACAGCGATCCACACTTCCACGTGAGCACCCCTGACAGGCAACGGTCAAAGACATTATCACCTTTTTCGTTCGCGACGTTCACGATGGACGCCGAAACTTGCCCCACTGAGAAGGTATCGGAGAGATGTATGTGACTCTTATGAGCTGGCCGGTGTGCGTACCAAAGCTCTAACTTATGTGTTCAGTCTCCGAGGCGACACCGACCTCTGTCGCGTTCGTCTCGTCAGACAACGTCACGTTCTACGTCGACCGCGCAAAGTTGGACCGCGCCGCGGACTTCTCTCCTCCGGAACTCGTCTCTTCGACTCCTACGGATCCTGTTCGCCTCTCAGAAAAGTCGAAGACGCTTGACCTGCTCTTCCGCTTCGTGTACTGTGACGTCAACCTCGACCTCGATACGTACCCCTTCCTCGACATTGCAGATTTCGCTATGGCGGCAGAGAAGTACCAGGTCTTCTCTGCAATGGCCGTCTGCCGCCTCTACATGAAGTGTGTCTTGTCTTACTTGTCTAACGGGTCGAACGAGATGCCAATCACCATCACAGGGGGAAAATGCAATCACATCCGGCCAGAGTCATGGCATACGCCGCGAGAAACGGGCATAATGACATTCTCAATGCTGTCGCTCCATACACGCTTGCCGTCCCAGCACGTGAGATGTACAACGCGCTTCCTCCCGCCTACATGATCGCCTGGGTGCGTATAATCTATGGATAGTCTCATTGTCGTTCGCTCGATGACTCACCATTCTCCAGGTCCTTTACTGCGCAGAGTATCAGAAGATTGCGCGTGAGGCGATAGCCTACTTCCCCGATTTTGCCAGCGAGCACATATGGTCAGGAGCGACCCTGAATCTGCGAGGCTGCGGCCAGGAAGACATGAACAAATCATGGCTCGGCCTACAGAGCACGCTCATGAAGGCCTTGCTTGTTGATGGCCCAGCGACCCTGCTTGATCTAGATAAAGTGTTTACCGAGGAGCTGTATGAAGTTATGAGCTCGTGTGGTACCTGCTACGAGCGACTACATCGCTACGAGACGGAATTACAGCAGGGAGTAGATGAAGTGGCCGAGTTCACTCATTTTCTCCGCGTATGAAGCCGCACCCAGATGGCACAAACTAGTGTCTGATCAATACTATCAATGATGTGTGAAAAAAGACACCCCAGCCACGCTGTCAAATGTACAACGAATCTGTCATTGCTTCAAATATTCGTTCACCGTCTCCCACCTCTTCTTCCACGAGCTCCCATACACAAATTCGACCTCTTTTACTCCCGGAAAGATGTTGCGCAGGAACCCTGCCACCTCCGCTGGATCTCCAATGGGCGCATTTCCCACGTCAAGAGCTACGACGAAGCTTGCGCTACCACCTATCGTGCCTGCAACGTCCGGCACGTTGCGCGCATGAAGCGGCAGGTCGATGCGCTCGAGCTTCGCGCACCCATGTGCGAGGTGAATCAGTGAGTTCAGCGTGAGCGTCGCCGGGTTCGGGATGGACCTATACTGATCAATCCTCAGAACGCGCAGATCGGGCCACCATTCCGCCATGCGCATGACATCTGCGTCGGAAAGGTCCAGAGGGTAATTGGTGAACTCGACCCGGGTGAGGTGCGGGAACGTGGACAGCGGCCCCAGGAGCGCGAGGGTCAGCTTCCATGACGGTGGGTCCCAGTAGTCGGGTTTTATGGTGATTTCGCGCATCGTCGAGGGTGCGCTGTGATTGCGGAGGGCAGACGTCAAGTCGAGCAGAGCCCTCGAAGTGTGCAGAGTGACGGTGAGCTCCACCATTTCCAGTGGCCTCGCTCGCCCCGAGTGTAACATCATCAGCACATCCTCATACGGAATGCTGGACAGTCAGCTTAGTCAGATCAGGCCAGCAGTCAGGCTTCAGGTGCAGAGGGCCCGGCGGCGAGTCCGAGGATTGTTCAGAGCGGTACAGCGCTAGAGAACGCAACGCGCGCACCGCGGAAAGATCCTTCAGGTGAGAGCTCTCGAACGCCGCCTTCAGCGACAAGTCAACGGTAGAGAGATCCTGCAAGCGCCCGGCGGCATCAACCACGGCGAACGCGAAGCCCTCGTCGTCCTCGCCATCGACCGTCGCCTGAAGGTTCTCCTTCACGCGGAGGTCGGTGAGCTGGGGGAAGCGAAAAATACACGCCCGCGGATCAGATATGTGTATGCCGCAGAGGTCGACGAGATGGAGCGAGGAGACGGTCGGCGAGACCAGGAGGTCAAAGAGGCCAGGGTGCAGGCCACGATTGTCGTACGGCGTCATCGGCACGACGGTCAGTTGCCGCAAATTCGGAAAGAGCAGACCCTCGGGAGGAGGACACGCGGCGATGGCGGACTGGACGTCCCACCAGTACTCGCAGGGCATGACGAGGCGCGTCACGAGCGAGCGGCGCTGCTGTACGCGCTCCCCGAGCCAGTCTTCCGGGCGAATCGCGCGGTCTAATTCCTAAAGCGGGTGGCGTCAGTCCCTTTGTCTCTCGCAGACATCTGCAAAAGCGACAAACCATAGACACCGCCAAGTTCTCCTGAGCGAGCAGTCAGCAGTCGGCTTGCACCCAACTCAGAGACGTGCTTACCCTTGTATAGAGACCTGGGATCGTCGCCAGCACCGGCATGAAGCCTTGCATATCCTTCCACAGGACCACCTCCGCGATATCCCTCCATAGCTTGCACGACAGGGAGAGATTGTACAGGTCTCCTTTTCCGAGACCTTCGTCGCGAGCGATTTCGAGGAGGATTTCCGGGACGTGGAGGTGCATTCCCTTTGTTCTGAGAAATGCATGATGTGTTTAGCTGAGCGCGTATCCGAGACGGGTGCACGTACTTACTTTCAACAAGGTACGAGTATCGAGGGAGTGAAGAGCCCGAGTACCGTGATATTTTGCAGCTACCGCCAGAGGAAGTGGTGGGACGGTGTGAATAGACCGGTCCGCTTCTCGGTCGCGTGCGGGCCATCGCCATGCGGCAGATCCAGTCCCATTCGAGATCTAGCCCGTCAGTTTCGGACGAGGCAACGCCGATTCTCTAAGTAGCTGATGATGCGAGTCAGATGACACCAGCGAAGTGCACGAGCACAGGCTGAGAAGGTCAACATCGTACTTATATTTGGGCAGAAAGGGGATACAAGAGATTAGTACACCAAGAAGTTACATGGGGACGATACCGTACATCAAGATACATCTGAGTTAGATCTTCGAGTAATGGAAAGCACTTCGTCCGATTGTCAGTGAGCCATGCGCGCCTGACAACCCGGTCGACACACCTGTCCATCCGCGGCCTTCTTACTCAGCTAAACGTACATGGTCTCGTCCTCGGTGGTATCGGACGGCAACGGCGGCTCCTTCCGTCGCATCGCCTCTTCCAACGCTTCATCCACGTAGATCACATTCCCCTGGTCCACCTCCAACGCGGGCAGCCGCCGCCACTCGCGCTTCCACCGCTTCACAAGCCGCTCCCCCGGCGCGCGGAACCGCTTATCGCCCACCTTCTTCCGCCCGGAGAACACGCACTGGTCAGGGTCGAGGAACGCACCGTCGAGGGTCCCGCGCGGGGTGCCGTCCGTGGCGAGGGTCAGCGTCCCGACGTTGCCTTCGTCCCAGGTAACGGTGTCCTCGCCCATCTCGCGGCCGCGCCAGTCGAAGGTGATGGTGGTGTCGGGGAGGAAGGGCGCTGGGGAGGTGGAGCGGAGGACGCCCTCGACGATGCCGAACTTGAAGGCGCCCCAGAGGTGACGGCCGGTGGAGGAAAGGGCGAGGCGGAGCGTGAGGGGGCCGGAGCAGTCATCGGGCCATTGGTCCAAGAGGTAGGGGCAGTTGATGGTGTACACGCCTGCGGGATCGAAGGACGTAGAGGTTGTGGCGGACTGAGAGGGCAAAGTCAGCCTTGGGCGTCAGACGTAGGAACATACACGCACGTTGTTATCAGTCGGCGCAGCGGCGCGCTTGCGGCGCTTAAAGGGGGGATTGGGAGATGGGGAGCGTGTCCGAGAAGCTGCGCGCTTGCGCAATGTAGTAGGCTGCGCCGACGGCTCATCCGCCTCGCTCTGCGCCGCGAGCTCCTTTCCGTTCACATCCTTCCTCCCCTTCGCCTCCTTCATATTCTCCTTTTCTGATCTCCCTGCGACTTCGCGCGCGACTGGCGTCGGATCCCTGTCCCATCTCTCCCTATTCTTCTCCTCATCGACGTCCCCGCGCCCCTCCTCCCGATCCTTCTCGAACCACTTCGCAGCGGGAACCACGATCGCGTTCGACAAGCCCTTGCCGGACGGCGCAAAGACAAGCGCGGTGTTCGTTTGCTTCGCGACAAAGGGCACAGTGTCGGGGAAGCGGTCCATTAGAGAGAAGATGAGGGAAGTCAGGTCTTTGGGGGTGCGCGCCTCGAGATCGGCTCGGAGCATGTCGCGGGGAATGAGGACCGCGGGGAAGGAGCCGGAGGACTTTGTGTTAGACGTCGCAGCAGGGTTGCTGCTTGATGCGTGCGATGGTGGTTTGGTGTTGGTTGGTAAACCCATGACTGTCGTGGTCGGCGGAGAGGTGAGGGGAGAGGATGTCGTCATAGCCGCTGTGACGCGACGCGACGGAGAGCCACGGTCGGGTTGACAGTTGAGAAGCGGGCAGCTCCCCCAAGGATTGAGCGAGCGAGGACCGTCTGGCGGGGCAGCGCTGGCACGTGGCGTGGCACGGCGGGGTCGATGACGCATGTAGCGCGCGACGCGCGTTGACTCTTGCCCTCACATCCGCCGGCCGTCGCCCGTCGCCCGTCGTCATTATATCCTCTTGCTGTCATTTGCCGCCCGCCATTGTCCACGGCCTCCGTGCGCCGCCGCTGATGCACCCTAGCCTTGCGGTGTGCTTTCCGCCTGGGCATCGGGGCGTGACGTGAGGGGAGTTGAACCGGGGGACTTCCTAATCGAGACGAGTTGGAGGGATTTGCAAGTTCCACCTAGCCGAGCGTCGAAAAACATGAACCTCGTCGTATGGCTTTCGGACGTCGCGGATTAGGTAGAGGGGGCTCGTACAAGGTTGATTACCGCGGGATTCCCCTGAATTCTGCCTTTGACTCGTCCTATAACCTCTCTACTGCCCCGATCTCGGAATTAAGCGTGACATGGGGGGTAGTGGCCGTCGTACTATGCCTATCGCTGTCGTTCAAGTTGGGGGTGGTAGGTGCATGGCTACTCTATCGTTCTATGTACTTTCTTAGCTATCAGCCAGCATGCAACTATGCCTATGATTTTTCTGTGCTCAAAGCACATGACTTGCCAAGCTCACTCGGTGGCTGCCAGTCTCACAGAAGCAATCAGCGGTCAAAGGCGTGTTGACGGTTGATGTGGGCTGTGTTGAGGGTCCACGGAGGTAGCAGCCGACTACCCGACAGAAGTCGTAATGGACAATGAACATCAATTATGGCTAATTATGGTCCTTCGGCCTTCCCTTCCCTTGAGACTCGGAGTTCGAGTGATCTGCGGAGGGAATGGCCAAGCTCAAGCACACAGGATGTTCTCGAGGGTAGGCCTTGCGTGGGTAGGATAACATGAGATTGAGGAGAATGGGACGAGCTTGGGAAGGACGAGACAGACAACTCGAGCTCAAGCACAAGGTTGGGAAGTAGACACCGGGTCAGGGATGTGATGAAACGGGTTGACAGTTGTCCGGGAGAAGCAGTGTGATAGACGTGAGGTAAGGGAAGCGCGAAGCGGTCAGGGAGACAATCACGGAAGGGTTACCAGAAGAAGCATTAAGCGGTCAGGGTCTCAAGTCGAGAGCGGATCAGGTCCACGTAGGAAGCGGAGGTGCAAGCACGAGTTGGAAGCGGAGTTTGGGGCCTGAGTTGACGTTGGAGGAAGCCCAAGTCAAGCCCAAGATCGCAGGACGTGTTTGAGGCCTCGAGATTGCTCGAGCAAGTACAAGTACACTCAAGCGAGTTTGGGATCCCTCGAGCAGGTTCCGGGTCACTCGAATGAGTTAAGCACCACTCGAGCATGTTCAAAAACTCTCAGTAGCATGCGAGAGCACCTGAAGGTCACTCGAGCTAATATGAGGCAAAACATAGCTTGTTGGAGAATATTACATGTATATATTGACAAGACGGGTCTGGGAGTACAGCGGGAAGCATGCTACGAGGGTAGGGAGAGGTGGTAGGGGTAAGAGCAAGCTTCGAGGATGGTGTGTGGTGTTGAGCGAGCGAGAACGGAGCCCTGGGAGATGGTCAGTAGAAATTCAAGAGTGAGGGCTAGCACACGCACCAGAGTATGATCCATATACTCCTGCTCGGAAGCCACCAAGTCGAACTCGAAGACAGAGGATGGGCTGAACTCGGAGTTGAACTCGGCAGCTTGAACGAGACGAGGGGGAAGGTGAGAAACTTGAGGTGGAATGTGGTGATGAGGCGGATGATACAGAGGAGAAGGGGGTGTTGGGAGGTTGAGGGAGCAATTCGGAGGCGAGGAGAGAAGGTCGAAGGCGAGGAGAGAAGGTCGAAGGCGAAAGGCAGGTGTGGAGCAAGGTCAAAGGGAAGAGGAAACCGTGAGACAGCAGCGATGCTCGTGCGAGAATTCATGTGGAAGGCGACGGGAAAATCGAGGGTGACGGGTAAATTCAGGGCGAAAAGGGTACGGAGGTGAGGAGATTGCGGGAGAGAAGCCCGTTGTAAGCGAGCGGCGAAAGGAAGTACACAGTTGCCGGTCAGGGAAGGTTTGAGGACGGAGGCAACATTTGAACAAGCCCCTCCGTCTCATCCTCAGAATGTTCCTGCTTTACGAGTTCATTGTCTTCAGTGTCGAGACGATATCACGGGTCTGGGGGGCGCTCGCTGGGTGAGGTCGACGGCGATGCGCTCGCTGAGCTCAAGGAAACCGTGTACACGAGTGGAGACATAGCAAGAATATACTGATTACGAAAGCGCCCCATTGAGCGCGGAAGACACATTCACAAACGTCGCTGAGGACAACAACGCCGGGAGAAGACGGTGGACGCGACGGGAGGAGGCACGGGGAACGACGATGGTGGTCGAGATCAACAAGCGCCTGTCGCCCCGCCCGGCGCGATCATCCGCCGGCAATTCCCGACCGCTCTTGTCCCGCACGTCCACGTCGTCCCCCGCCCATCGTCGCTGTCCCCCTCGTTGGGGAGCTTGGGGTCAGGCTCATTGCAACAATCGCTGCCCATCCACGAAGAACGACGCGCGGCGCCCCTCTGGATCGAGCGGAATTCAAGAGAAAAGTCCGAGCGACGCGCGATCGCGTTCCCCCGCCTTCGGCACCTACCCCCCATTATAATCTGGGGTCACAGATGAGTAGGGACACATGTAGACAGCCTACTACATGATATACTACAGCGTCTGAACTGTCCAGATGCGCTGGACTACTTGCTTACCTCTCCAGATGCAAGATCAGTAAGGAAAGTACGGTTGAGACGTGCTTACCCTTGCTAAGTACCGACCTGACGCCAAAAATTCATACTTCTAGAAACCTCATGGATCGCTCAGGAAAGGTCCAAAGTGCCGACGATTTGCGGTCCCGCCCTCTGCAATTGAGTTTTCGTCGCGCGAGAGCCATTTTACTCGGGCGGCACTGGTTCTGGTATGTTGGATAGCACAGTTCCTAAGGCACGACGACGGTATATAACCACATCCCTATACTCTTCTACCCCTCCCCCAACCCTTGAATATGCTCTCAGTCCCTCCGCGCTCCTCCACTCCTGCCATACATCCATGCTCCTCCTCATCCCCCCACGCTTGACCAACATCTCAGCAGCTGGCAGTCGGGACCTTTCAGCTGAAATCATACCTCACTGATGTAGGAACACTCATGACGATGTGTTTCCGTCCGCCGCGCGCCGCGCCGCCTCGGAAATCCGCATCTACTCAAAGCACGCAATATACCATCCTCCATTGTTCCCTATCTTCCGGGGCGCTTCTACTCCCACAGACCGAGGTATAGGACGCTAAATGCGCCATCAATTGATGGAAGATTGATGCGCGGGCGTCGAGGGCCGCGCCGCTGTCGTACTCGACCGGCCACCCTCCCCTTGGCGAGGTGAACACATCTCCCGCCACCTACCCCTGCGCGGGACACCCCCACAGCAAGTCGACAGGGTCGTGGACACGTGTCGCGTCGAGAAGCGACGCTCTGAGGATGGCGATTCGCGCCGGCATTGTTCTGCTTTGCGAGCAGCTCAAAGCCTGCCAAATGGAGATCCAGCGTGATCGCGCAAAGTTCGACTTTTCTCTCTTTTTCCTGCGACCACCCCGCAACTTGCCGGCACTGCCACGTCACGGGTGATTCGTGGTACAGTATTTCTAGTGTTTTCTGGTGCTCGCTGACCGGCGCTGTCGCTGAAAACCACACAGATCGACTTGTGCATGCACTAGCTCACCTTCCAAGCAAGACCGCCCTACCCCGCGGCCCGCCCTCCGCGACTCCACGGGCGGTTTCCGCTAGCCAACGGGGTACGTTTCAACTTTATTTGCCCGTGATCAGGCTGACATTCACGCAGGGAAAGGCGGAAGATTGTGCGCGCGCCTAGCGCGCTTACTCCCCCCAATCTTGCACCTCTCCTGGGCGGCCCGCGGCCCAAGAAGTCAGTCGACTTCTCGGAGTGATGGCGGACTTGGTCTGGAAGATTTGGCGGGGCCCGCGCGGAAGGAATAGCCGTCGGGCGGGGTATAAGAGGCAACGAGTTTCTGGACTTGATTCAGCATTCCAGTCCTCTCTTCTCTTCTCTTCCTTCCTTCTCACATCCTCCCTCCTTCATCTTCTTCATTCGTCCATGGTGAGTCACGCACATTCTTCGTTTCCGATGTCTTTTTGATTCATTCAATTCAGGTTTCATTCACATCGCAGGTAAGTCTCCTGCTTTACTGATCTCAATCAGTAATCTACTGACTGCTCTTCAGCTTCATCCACGACTGTGACCCTGATATCAGTAAGTAATCTATGTCACTGTCTAACCGGTCACTGACGCTTTCTAGCTTTCTTCCTACTCCCACCATATCACGTCGACGACGTCCGACACGAGGTTTGTCGTACTCGCCCCGACGCTTTGATTGCGTCGACGGCTACATCAGGTGCGTGTTGCAGTTCTTCTATTGCAATGCAGGTGCTGACACGTTCAACAGCATCGAGCGAGCTCATTGTCGCAGCCGGCAAGCTCGTGCTCGACCCGGCGAGCCCAACTCGCGCGACCTGCCCGACGCCACCACCCTGTTCCATACTCTCCCCTCATTGCCCAAGACGATGACGAAGTCACCATTCCGAAGGCGACGGTCGCCGTAACACGTGGCCGCAATCTCGTCGACGTCGAGATCATTTCGCGCTCCTTCCTGAGCCCTCCGTCCTATGCGACCTCGGCGTTTTGCTCTCACTCAACGACGAGAACGCACTCATTCGAGACGGCGGCATGCGTGACTGCTCGTTAAAGGCGGTGAGCTCGCCCCCTACAGTCTTGTCTCCCACCCTCATGTACAGCAACGACTGACCTTCTTTGCAGACGTGTCGAGCGCCGCGCCACTGTGCTCATCGACACACAAACCGACGTCGGCGCATATTTGCGTGAGAGCGCCGAGTGCGCTGTCAAGGTAAGCTTCTGATCACCGCCCGCCGCATGCAATAGCTGACACGTATGACTCGAGGAATGATGTCGGCACGCTCTCCCTTCCTCCCACCACCATCCTAGACGACCTCCCGCTCGTCACCATCGCCGCCGTGCCGCTCATGCGCCCTACACGCGACTCTCAAGCCGGGGAGATCACGCTCGACACAGCGGCGAGGCCGTCACACGAGCAATCGAGGCCGTCGTCAGCGATGCAGAACGATCCCAGGGACGGCTATTGCCGGTGAGCTCTCTGTCGTCCCCGATATTGATCGTGCTAACCCCGTTTTCAGCCCTTCTTGTGATGCCAGAACCGCCGGATGCGCGCACGGACCCCCTCGACGAATTGATCCTCGTGAATGAGGCATTCAACCTCTCGCAGACAACAGCCGAGGGGAACCCTGTCGATGTGAGTTCAGATGTTTTTCGCTGTTTCTACGACTTTAGTGCCAAGCTGACCACCCTCCAAGCAATTTCCTCTCCCCCCCCAGACCTTTGAAACGAGGTGAGTCGCGTCTCGGGCACCGGTTTATTCGAATCTCACTCGACTAAGTCGCGAAAATAGCGTGCTGACTGCATTTTCAGAGAATTCTCTACGACCCCGAACCACCGGAGACTCGCGTGCGCAGCCCTCGAGCGAGTGAAGCGATGGTGAAGGGCCCCCTTCATCCCCCCATCCCTTCGTGCAGGAACTGCGGCAGCTCGGCAGCGGCACCCAACGCGGCGGGGAATGCGGCCTGTACTACAAATTGCACGGCACCTCCCGGACGACGGTGGGCGTAATTCGGTGAGCTATTGTTGCTGTCCACAAACTCTACTACGCCCTCGTGCAGGAATGCGATGCTGACTTGTTTTTCGGGTATTTTCGCAGACCCCCCGAGCCGCCGGAGGCACGCGCGGGGTCTTTTAGGCGATATTCGCGAAGGGGGTGGTACTTCTAGCCCGCAAATGGGCTTCGTGCGTGGTCAGGCGTGGTGCTGGGTGTTCCCTCATATAGGATGGGATTATGATTCGGTGAGTCGCCTTGCTCGAAGTTGTCAATTACATGCTGACGTCTTCGTTGAAGCGACTTTTGCTGAGCCCAAACCGCCGGAGGCATGCGCGCGCTCCCTCGGCGAAGGACGCGGCAGGGGTGGGGGCCCCTTACCTCCTCGTTATGAACATGTGAGTCGCCTCAACGAATTTTTTGAATTAAATGCTGACCCTTTGTCTTGACAGTTTTCGCAGATCCCAAACCGCCGGAGGCACGCGCGGGCTCCCTCGGCGAAGGATGCGGCGGGGGTGGGGTACCCCTTGCTCCCCTTCATATGAGTCGGCGAGTCGCATTCCCTAACGAAATGTTAACGCCATGCTGACCGTTTGTTTTGGCAGATTTTTCTGACCCCCAAACCGCCGGAGGCCAGCGCGTGCACCCTCGGTGAAGGCTGTGAGAGGGGTGGAGCACCCCTACCCCTCGCGCGGGGCAAGGGAGAGGTGCTGCGTTGCCTTTGGCGCCTTATTTCGTGAGTTATCTCGTCGAATGCGTTTGTTTGGTACTGACCCCCTTCGTTTAGGCGATTTTGCAGACCCCAGACCGCCGGAGGCATGCGCGCGCACCCTCGGCGAAGGAGGCGGGGCGGGTGGGGCACCTCTTGCCTCCTCACGACGGGCTCGGAAAGGCCGTGGGGCACCCCAATCGTCGAGGGGAGCTCTTTGCTCATCCTACGACGAGTGTGAAGCCACCAACAAAGCCTTCGCGTGCTGATACACGCGAAGGAGAAGCTTTACACCTACGAAGGAGGCGCGTCATGACCAGATGACTGACCGACTCTTCAGCACTAGACGTTACGGCCCCTTTACGCCGACGTGCCGCCCTCCATGAGTCTCGAGAACGTCATGTTCGGCGAGAAGGACCCCCTCCCTTGCCCCTCCCTCCATGTCATTGCGCTTAACCCCAACGAGCCAGTTCCACGACGACTCCAGAAGACGAGCAAGGAATATCCCCGAACGAGAAGACAGCGCGACGACGGCACGGAAAGAAATGCGCGGAGCATGCGGGAAGGAGGCTATGTGAGGCGGGAGGGAGGGATGCGCGAGGACGCGTCTGCGCCACCCCCTCCATTCTCGTCTCCACCTCAGGAATCGTCGAGGGGAGTCGCCTAGACGTCGGGGAACAACTTGGTGAGCTCGCCGTATCTTTTCTCGAGGCGTGGCGAGGGCAGGAGATGCAATAGGGAAGGAGAAGGGGGTGGGTGTACGCTGAGGGCGAGTTGTGAGGGGTGGGGGACTCGCCTGAGTGGATGAGGCATCGTGTGAGGGAACGTACGAAGCTGTTGTTGACCAAGTCGTACTCGCTCGAACTGACGAAATTCAGCCGTATCTCGGTTAGGAGGGGGAGGAGTGGGGGCCCTTACGGTGCGCGAATGTTTCCCACCACGTCGGGGAGTGGTCGCGCGACGTCTACGAAGGTGCTCGGCACGGGAAACGAAGGCCCGACGTCGATTTCGAGGAGAACGACTTCGAATTCGAGGAGAAGGGCAGGGGAGGGTGGACCTGCCCCCTGCCGTCGTAGGTACTGTAGTCCCACACCCCATGTACGTAGACTACGAATACAATATATCTTGCCCCATCCCCACCCTCGCGCGAGCGAGTAGAGTCCGAAATGAGTCGGGTGGCACGGTTGCCACAATTGCGCCGAATCGACATTCGCCGCTCCCCCTCGCTTTTCGTCGAGTAAGAGTGCAGTCAACCCCCACCCTGGGCTTACTACCCCTTCCCCAATCTTCTCCTTCTGCTTTCCTGCGTTCTCCTCATCTTGTGTTCACTTGAGCGATTTATTCCATTCCCAAACTCGCTAGGTGCATCCCTTCCCCTCCCTTCTCCCATTCGCTTCTCCCCCTCCTTCCCTCCCCCTTCCTCCCTACCCTCCTTCCTTCGCTCTGTCCAGTCCTTTCTATGTGATTCTATCTCGATTGCTCTCCTTCTCTCCCCCACCTCGCGCTCCCTTCTCCCCCTACCAATCCCTTCTCCCCGTTTTCACCCCCCCCCTCACCCCTCCTTCTCACTCCTCCCCTGCTCGTCGTACGTCGCCGAGCACGAACGCGCGAGTGCGCGTCGTCTCCCCTTCCTTTTCTCCCCCTTCTCCCCCTTCTCCACTCCCCCCATCCTACTCCCCTGCCCCCCTTTCCCTCGCCGTCTCGCGTCTCGTCAGTTGAAAAACATCGTTCTATTTGTCTATCTACTACATGCAATTTGATTCTACTCACGACGACCGGCCCAAAGGCGTGCGTACCCTCGTATAGAGATCCGGGATCGTCGCCAGCCGGCGGCTCCTTCTGTCGCATCGCCTCTTCCAGTGCTTCATCCTCGTAGATCACATTCCCCTGGTCCACCTCCCGCGCGGGCAGCCGCCGCCACTCGCGCTTCCACCGCCTCACAAGCCGCTCGCCAGGCGCGCGGAACCGCCTGTCGCCCGCCTTCTTCCGCCCGGAGAACACGCACTGGTCGGGGTCGAGGAACGCGCCGTCGAGGGTGCCGCGCAGGGTGCCGTCCGTGGCGAGGGTGACCGTGCCGACGTTGCCTTCGTCCCAGGTGACGGTGTACTCGCCCGTCTCGCGGCCGCGCCAGTCGAAGGTGATGGTGGTGTCGGGCAGGAAGGGCGGTGGGGAGGTGGAGCGGAGGACGCCCTCGACGATGCCGAACTTGAAGGTGCCCCAGAGGTGACGGCCGGTAGAGGAGAGGGCGAGCCGGAGCGTGAGAGGGCCGGAGCAGTCGTCGGGCCATTGGTCCACGAGATAGGGGCAATTGATAATGTACACGCCTGAGGGGTCGAAGGGCGCGGAGGCGGCGGAGGGCTAAGAGAGAAGGGATGTCAGCTCCGGGTGTCTGGCGTCGCGGTATACACGCACGTTTTTATCAGTCGGCGCAGCGGCGCGCTTGCGGCGCTTGGATCGAGGTTTCGGGGACGGAGAGCGTGTCCCGGACGCCGCGCGCTTGCGCGACGGGGCAGGCTGCACCGCCGGTTCTGTCCCCTCGCTTGGCGCGGCAGGCTCCTTCGCGTTGACCCTCGCTTTCTTCATATTCTCCTTGTCCGATCTTGCTGCGGCCTGGCGCGCGACCGGCGTTGAAGACGCCTCCCATGTACTCCGTCCTCCTACAGCTGTGCTCTCCTCCTCCTGATCCTTCTCGAACCACTTCGCCGCGGGAACCACGATCGTGTTCGACAGGCCCTTGCCAGATGGGGCGAAGACGAGCGCCGTGTTCGTCTGCTTCGCGACAAAGGGCACAGTGTCGGGGAAGCGGTCCATTAGAGAGACGATGAGGGAAGTCAGGTCTTTGGGGGTGCGCGCCTCCAGATCGGCTCGGAGCATGTCGCGGGGAATGAGAACCGCGGGGAAGGAGCCAGAGGACTTTGTGTTAGACGTCGCAGCAGGGTTGCTGCTTGATGCGTGCGATGGTGGTTTGATGTTGGTTGGTAAAGCCATGACTGTCGTGGTCGGCGGAGAGGTGAGGGGAGAGGATGTCGTCAGCCGCTGTGACGCGACGCGATGGAAAGCCACGTGATTTTAATTCGGCAAGTACCGGTGGCTTTCCCCTCACGTTCGGTCTTCGGAGCGTCCATCTCGATACAACCAGCAATGCTAGATGCTCCCATGAGCCCGCGTTATGGCTGCAGAATGATCTGTCTCTCTCTCAGTCTCCCTCTCCAGCGCCTGTCTTGCCGTAACACTGGCATCGTCCACGCTCCCAGAAAGAATCGAGCTCATACCCCCCGTCCGTGGCTGACAAGACTATAGCCTCCCAGTCACCTGAGATTCACCTCAACAGTCTCCACCCTTCTTGCGCCCCGTCTTCTAGGCTTAGGTACTCGGGCGGACTTGGCAAGCGCTGGCATGACACCCCGTGGTCGTATCCTCGCTGATATGGCGTCCCTGCGCTATCCGAAGCGCCATCGTGCGGAGAAATCGATCTCATGCACAGCGGCGCATACTTCGTGGCTCCTGAGCGGCGCTGATTGAGACTACACTATATAACCCGGCGTGCACACTCCTGCTTCCGTCCGTCGCCAGCCATGGCGTCTCGCGCTCATCGTCCCGCGAAGCGAGCTTCGGGCCCCCAGAGCTCCGAGCGTTGTAAGTCGGGGTACATGCTCGGCAGTCATTCTTTCTGTGCTGACGTGCTGTCTACAGTTTCCATCCCAGACCTCGACACCGCCGCCTTCTTATCGTCTGACAAAGTCCTCTTTCACGTCGATCGCTCCCGCCTCGCACGCGATGCGCACGGCTTCCCTCCACAGGAGTTAGCGCCGCCCCAACCGAGTGAAACGATCCCGCTCTCAGAGGACGCGGTGACGCTCGAACTGCTCTTCCGCATCATATATCGCGAGGAGCGCGTCAGGCTCGACAGCCTGCCTTTCGAGAACATAGCGGCACTCGCGGAGGCGGCAGAGAAATATGACGCGTATGCTGCGATCATGCTTTGTCGCATCGCCATGGAGTACGTGCCCATCGTCAATGATCACCTCTGATTTATCAAGCTGACCGCTGTTTGTTTAGAACGCATTGCGAAGATCATACACTGGCCGTCATGAGTTACGCAGCGCGTCACGGGCACAATGACATCCTCGACAACGCAGCCGGCTTCTCTGTTGGACTTGACCACGCAAGGGTGCGGGAGATATTGCCTCTGAACCACTTCGCTGCATGGGCACGTACCAATTGTCGTCGTTGCTGTCATCGATCGGCTGATCTTCCTCACAGGCTGTTTATGTCAGTCAATATAGCAAGCTTGCGAAAGAAATGGTATGCGGAAAGAACTATCAAGTCTGTGCAGGATGCACAGAAAAAATCGTTTGTAAAGCGTTGGAATATGGCCCTGACTGCCTAGCGAAACGGGACACCTTGTTCTCAGTGGACATCATATATCCTCAGACTTCGACAGTCTGTAAGAGCGGGAGAGCGTGCAAAGGGCCTCTCCTCCGATGGAGGGATAATCTTGCTGAGAAAGTGAATGAAATGCGGCCTTTGACTAGCTTCCTGTAGCTACCCATTACTGGCACCCTTAGCACTCGTCTTATCCTTGTACCCGTATCTATGGCAAGAAACTCGACATCGGTTTGATCTTTTCCAGCGCTCCCTCCGGCCTCCCGCCGCACTGCCACGCATACTCTGCGCGCCTTGCTGTATAGTAATATGGCTCGCGAAACATGCACGCGCACCTCCCCGACTGCCATATCTGATTTGGGCACAAGTCCTCGGGCTGCACCTGGCCATACATCTCGCTCAACACTGCATTGCAAGCAACCTTGAACGCGTCGTGGACGCATGCGCAGGCCGAGTATCTGGATTGCCAGTGAACCAAAGGACACACGACCCTCCTGTGCTGGTGCTGTTTGATATACATGCCCTTTGTAAAGTTCAAAGGTGAGTGACGATGAGACCGTTCAGAAGATCTGACGCACCCAGGCTTCGAAGTGCGCGTTGGGTAGCATGCGGCGTACCTCCGCAGGCTTCAAGCCGAAGGAAAATGGCGCGGCGGCATCGAGGACGTCGGTGTGTCCGTATCGCGCAGCGTAGGCCATGACCTTCAACGCATGGTCTTTCCTATGCGACCTCCAAAAGTCAGTCGCTCGAACGCGCCCGGTCATCGCACGAGAGGAAACATACTTCATGGCCGAGCAGCATAGCATCGACGCCGCGTACGCTCCATACTTCTCCGCTGCTTCAGCCAACAATAGGAGCTGCGGGAACGGCAGGAGCTCCAACTGCACGCACTTCTCCTCGTCGACGATGCGGAACAGACACTCGAGCGTGACTGCATCTTCGTCGAGCAAGGTGGCTTCCCCTCTAGGGCGCTGCAGAAGGTTCTTGGTATTGCGGCCCACGCGCTTGCGGTTCAGATAAAATATTGTGCCATCGCTGGACCTGAAGGGAACATCGTCGTAGTTCCGTCTGGGAACTGTACGACAAGGTCAGCGCCGTAAAGAAAATGCAGTACCCATGCTTACAACGCTTGCAAACCGCCGTGGTAGAGCCCTTGGAAGAGCTGGTGGAGCATCGCGGAATCATCTGCGGAGATGTGCTGAATGATACTTGCAAGGGCGACTGGAAGCTCTATATACTGCAAAGGAAAAGCCACTCACCGCCCTCGACTGAAGATCCCGAACATCGCAATTTGATGCTTAGCAATACTGCAGTTCAATGTAGCTGCGCCTGCCTAGTTTACTAGGTTTCTGCCCAAATCCCAGAGAGAGTGGAGAGTTCAGTGTTCCGATCTTCGGCATTGACAGATCGACGCAGAGAATGACAGCGAGATAAGCCAGTGGCGATGGTTTGAGTCAGCTGAACCAAATCAGACGCCGAGCACGCTGGCACAGCTTGGGGAATCGCGTCGGGTCACAACAACCACCGCGTACCTGCAGATGTTGATCACGAGTAGAGCTGGATCGACCAAAGTACAGGCGCGTCACGGCCTACGAGAGATGGGGACTGTTTCACGAGTCGGATGCATTACGACTCGGGCCCTAAAAAGCTCGACATTGGCTTCACCCTTTCCACCGCCTTTTCTAGCTTCCCCTTCCACTCCCGAAGGTATTCTCTGCACCCCGCCGTGTCGCTCTTACGTCGCGTGCAGTACATGTTCTCCATGTAAAGCGATTGCGAGAACAGGTCGTCAAGATGCACAAGGACCCCCGGACCCCGCAGCATGGCCATGTAGGCGACCTTCTCCACGCAGGAGGCGCAGACGCAGCTGGCGTATTGAGATTGGGTCATCTGCCGCATGAGATTGCTATACTGGTCGGTGTAGAAGATCTGGAAGGGTGGGCTATGGGCGGTGATGCAGAGCTGAAAGGAAGAACTCACCCATGCTGTGAACTCGCGCTCATTGGCAGGGAGCACATGGCTAACGCTCACGAGGCTCAACCCGACGGAGGACTCAGCGGCGGCGTCGAGGACGTCGGGATATCTGTATTTTGCAGCATATTTCATGACCTCCAGCGCGTGGCCCTTGCTATGGGATCTATAGATAAACATCAGCCAGACGAAGCACAGCATCGCACATATCACGCACTTCATACTCGCGCAGCATTTCTCCGACGCAGCGAACGCCCCGTACCTCTCCGCTGCCTCAGCCAGCAGAAGGAGCCGCTGGAACGACAGGTTGTCCACGCGTACGCCTTTTTCTTGATATACGATGCGGAAGAGGAGCTCAAGCGTGTCCGAATCCTCGCCGAGAAAGGTGACGGGTCCTGAGACTTGGTCGAGGAGACCGACCGCATTGCGAGCGAGCCAATCTCGGTCGATATAGAATATGCGATTATCGGAGGACTTGATAGTGGCGGCATCGCCCACACGCTTTGAGACTGTCCTCTGGGTCAGCGTTACTCTGCGGCGCAGCTGAACATGACTTACAGCGCTGTTGGCGGTGTTCGGGCATGGCAGGCTTGAACCCAGTATTATGAGGATAGCGCGACATTGTACCGAGGAACGAGGGGGAGAATCGAGGAGAGAGCTTTATATACCCGAGGAGACAAGGCCGCTCTAAAATGGGTGTCGGACATGGAGCCTACGAATCAATAAGTGGTACAGCTACTGTTCACCGTCCTTACCTAGTCTACTAGGATGCTGCCTGATTCGCAGGGAGCTGAGGGCATTCAGCGCTCCGATCCTCGGAGCGATAGGACGGCGCAAAGAATGGCAGACACGTGAATGGCGATAGGTCGAGTCAGCTAATTCAGCGCGGACGCCAGGCGCGTAGGCTAGAGCTTGAAAGCCGTATCGGGTCGCGCCAATCTGACGGAGAGGCCCGGACGGATGGCTTAGCCGTCTTCAAAGCGATTCGTACCTCCTATCCTTCCAGGGAGAATCTTCAAAGCCTAAAGAGAAGTAAGCACTGATTTCATTCACTTAGTTGCAGTTACGACAAGAAGCTCGACATGGGCTCTACCCTCTCCACCGCCTTCTCCAATCGCCCCTTCCACTCGCGCAAGTACTCCCGGCATCCCGTATCGCTCTTCCCCCGCGAGCACGCCCCGTGGTCCACAGGATACAGCACCGCCTCCGTGAACAACTCCTCGAGCCGCACCAGCCCCTCAGGACCCCGCAGCACCGCATTGCGCACGACCTTGTCGACGCAAGGCGAGCAGACGCAGCCAGCGTAGCGATACTCGGTCATGTGACGCATGAGATTGCTGTACTGGTCGATGTAGACGACCTGAGCATGAGGAACGTGAGCGATGCGTGAGTGTTCAGCGCGCGAAGGGATGCGCACCCAGGCTGCGAAGCATGGCCCGGGAATCGAGGCGTAGACGTCCTTCGGGTTCAAGCCCACCGAGAAGGTGGCGGCGTCATCCAGAACGTCGTCATCCTTGTTTCTTGCTGCGTATTCCATGACCTCCAAAGTGTGAGTTCGGCCGTGCGATCTGCACATCGAACGCTAGTCAGTCACACATGCCTGACCACCGGCGTACGAAGCACGCACTTCATCGCCAGCCTACACATCATCGACGCCGCGTACGCTTGATACTTCTCCGCCGCCTCCGCCAGGAGAACGAGCTGCTCGAAGGGAAGCGTATCCGGCCTGACGCCCTTGTCCTGATAGACGATACGGAACAGGCGCTCGAGCGTCTCGGCGTCCTCCTGAAGCGATATGACCTCGCCGAAAGAGGTCAGTGGGAGGCTGCGCGCGTTGTGTCGGAGGCGCGCGCCATCGACGTGGAAGACGACATCGTCAGAGGACTCGAAGCAGAGCGTGCCGTGCGCGGGCGTCGAAACTAAAAAGAGATGGTCAGCGATGCGACGAGGATAGCGGAGTGTAGCACGTACAGCGCTCGCAGACCTTGGGCGCTTGAGCTTGATATCGAGGTGGGTTGGGATAATGGGTCATGGTTCGGGTAGGCGTAGATCGCAGTGCAGATAGCGCCGCGCGAGTCCCACAGTGCGCAGAATAGGCGCCGCTTAGGGGCTAAGAGGTCGCACGCTGAAGACACGAGACCAGCGAGTCGGCACGCTGCATAGCTGAATGGGTGGCGATGCGCTGACGCAGTCTACCAGTAGCTTTGGGTTCAGATAGCAGACCCCAACTCAGAGAAGCATCGCCGCCTGTAAACCGGGGCTGCGACCCAAGGCTGTGAGAACAATTAGAACGTTGATTGGACGCAAATGCAAGGTCATGGTAGTGTATGAGTCGCACTTGAGCGAGGATGAGAGGGTCCAAATCTGTCATCAGGATCATGGCGAATGGATGAGAGAACCGCGACGCCAAACAACATTTTGGAATCTCAATCAAGCTGGATCACATGACTTAACCCTCGCGTCGCGTCACGGCTCACGCCTTTCCTCCTCCCCCCGTCAATACCGTCCAGCAATGCCGAGGGCCAAGGCAAGCAAGCCAAACACTCAAACGGCGTCAGACCTGTACGGCGCGCAAGCTGCCTCGTTCAGCGCCCAACCGCCCGCACCGTCCCAATCCAGCTCCTTCCCAGCCATCCTGGTCCCCCGCAACATGCTACGTGCTGAGCTCGAATCCCGCTCCCCCAAATCTCTCACATCGCTCATCTTCTCCCTCATGGACAACTTTCCCTCCACCGTGCCCTTTATTGCGAAGCAGGCGAACACAGCGCTTGTATCTGGTTCTTCGGATATGCGGTTGCCGGATACGATCGTGGTGCCGGCGAAGGTGTGGTTCGGGAAGGATGAGGGGGAGGGGGAGGATGTGGGGGATGATGCTGAGCCTGCTGGGAAGGGCAAGGCTAAGGGGAAAGGCAAAGGGAAGGCGGACCGGAACAAGGAGAAGGAGATGTGGACGAAGGATCCGACGCTGGACGAGGATGAGGTCGTAGGAGGATCGGACAAGGAGAACGCGGGCGAGAGGAATCCCGCGATGCAGGTCAAGGGCAAAGGGAAGGGGAAGGAACCCGCACGGGCCAAGAGCAAGGAGCCCGCGACGCAGACGAAGGGGAAGGGTCCCGCAGTGGCGCCTGACGCGTCGCGCAAGCGCGCGGCCTCTCGGGCGCCTTCTCCGACCCCCAAGCCTCAGTCCAAGCGCCGCAAAGCGACCGATGATAAGGTGTGCACCCTTCAACGATGTTCCAAACCTATCTGACCTCACTCTCCTTCTAGCCGACCCCATCCGAGCCTGCCGTCCCTAGCTCCTCCCAACCCGCCACCACCTCCATCCCTTCTACCCCCTTCACGCCCGCGGGCGTCTTTACCCTCACCTGCCCTTACCTCTCCGAAACATGGCCCGACGCCTGCGCTAACCCCCTCACCCTCCGCCTCGCCCCGTCCTCCACCGGCGCCCACCTCTGGGGCGCCTTCAAACTCGGCGTCCTGGACGGCATCCTCCGCTCCACCACCTCGCCCCCCTTCGCTCCCTCCAAAGCCATCGACTTCGTCTGGCGTGCGCGGTCCTCTGAGGAAGTGAACGAGGACAACGAGCCCGCCATCGAAGTCGACGACGACGATCAGACGGGGACGTTACTGTTTATGCCCGACGGCACGCTCCGCGGCGTGCTCGAGGGCGCCTTCCTCCCCGACGAACAGTGCATCTTCCTCGCGCGGCGGAAGACGGGGGACAAGCGGTTCCGCGCGCCCGGCGAGCGGCTCGTCAAGCAGTGGAAGCGCGAGTGGCGGAAGCTGCCTGGGGAGCAGCCGGGTGGGGTGGGGTTGTGGGGGCGGAGTAAGGAGCCGCCCGCAGCGTCGGATACAAGCGAGGACCAGACGCTGTATATCATGCCCGCGTATTAGCACAGTATATGGGGGTGGACTGGGGTGAGGGTGCATCGTCGCGTCGTCGTCCCGCGCTTCAAACGATCAGTGCCCCCCTCGGGCGACATGTACAGATCTAGAGTACTTATCTGAACATTTCTTCGTAACGTATCGTTCTAATTTTGTTCGAATTCCTTCGTTACACATCCCGGCGGGCTTGGACATAGCCTCCCCATGAGCCGTCACGACCGGACGACCCCTAGAAGGAGAACCGCCGCTTTCCGCGAGCGTCCTCGCCAAGTCCTCGCACACTGAAGACTAGAATCAGGCAGCCAAAAAAGAGTCGCACGTCAGTACATGCATTAAGGGGGAATCGAACCCCCGGCGGGTCGAGCGTCAAACACGAAGCAAGCGCAAATGGCAACGACCCAGGTTACCACTACCCCATTAATGCCTGACGGACTTCGTGAAACAATGCTCTGGATGCCAATCCGTGGTAGGCGACGGCTCAAACGCTGGCAGTCAATGTCCCAGGCGGTTGCTAAAGCACGGAAATGAAGAGAAATAGGAAGTTGGAGGTAGGGGGAAGGGGGGGGCGCCGGCTCAAAGACCAAAGCGAAGGTAGGCTTCAAGACCGAAACGAAGGCAAGCTCCGACGCTGAAGAGAAAGCAGGCCTGCAGACGAAGCAAGATCGAACACTGAAGCAAGAGCTAGCTGGAAGATCAAAGTGCAGGAAGGAAGGAAGACCGACATTGCGAGTATGAGAGGGAAGACGCATCGCGAGCTGCTACATTCCAACCGTGACCGGGCCACCCGGCGATTGCCGACGCCCCTTGTCCCGAACCGTCATCGACGTCTTCGCGCTCGTATCTTCCCTTCATACACTCTCGCGCGTCTACTCCCTACAGCGATCCCATCCTTCGAGCGCCTAACTCGCGCGTGTTCGCTCGTGTGTACCGCAGCCTTTCACTTCAACCAGCCGCATTTACATCCGCGCTGCTGCATGAACATTACACGAAATCTCACGCTTAGCTAATCGCACCACTGCAAGCTTTAACACGTCGGGGACGCGTACATCTACCCACTTTTAGCCTCTGCCTCGTCGACACATACTCCAATATTCCCTGTCACCGCTCGAAATGCTAGCGCTCTAACACTGACTTCACTCCCGCGGGCAGTCTGGTCTCGCAGAGGTCGACCATAACGTCCCTTCTCGCCTCTCTTCTCCACATCGCACCCTGGCCCTTCTTCTGAAAATATCCCTCCATGGTGCACCTGTGTCGCTGCCATCAATTCATCGATACCCAAATGAGCATCCTATATGCGCTAGCGGCCTTTGGTGCAATGCTAGCTTCGCAGCTCACACTGTAGACGCCCGAGCTGCGTCGATCTAACCCAAAATTGTCCAGCTCGTACGGGCGGCAAGTACGACTTCTCCCTGCGAATCTGCGATTTTTCTTATCTCAACGCGGATACGCAAGTACACCCCGCGCCTGGGCCGTACGCATGCCAATGGCAAATCAGTCGAGTACACTAACTCTACCCAGCTGACTCGGCAGCGCGCTGATTCGCATGTCCACGGTCCTTAGTGCGGGCTGCTAAGTAGGTCCCTATGCGGCGCTTATCCTTCGCGCAGGCAGGCGCGCGCGTTATAAGCCCCAATGATACCTGCTTCGCCAACCATGGTCCGATACACCAGCCCGCCTCGATACCAGGCTCAGACGCTAAAGGTTTGCGAGCGCTGTGCGTACCTTTCGTGAAGCCCATTGTCGTATCGCTGACATCCCTCGACAGTCTCGGCAGGCGGCACCGTCTGCTTCGAGTCCGCCGATAATGTTATTTTCCACGTCGATGGTCGGCTTCTGCCGCACCATGCGCCTGGCTTTCCCGCTACCTCCGTCGGCGATGCGGTATCGCTTGCAGAGGACGCGGAGACGCTCGAGCACCTGTTGCGCATCGTCTACCAGGAGAAGGGTGTTCGGCCCCCGGACACGCTCCCGTTCGACCAGCTCGTCCTCCTAGCCGAGGCGGCGGAGAAGTATCAGGCGTACGCGGCGTCGATGATGTGTAGGCTGGCTATGAAGTGCGTGCTTCGTGCGCCAGTGGTTAGGCATGTGTGGCTGACTAGCGTCGATTTGCAGATCGCACGGCCGAACTCACACTTTGGAGGTCATGGAATATGCAGCGAGAAGCAAAGACGACGACGTCCTGGATGACGCCGCCACCTTCTCGGTGGGCTTGAACCCGAAGGACGTCTACGCTTCGATTCCGGGGCCATGCTTTGCAGCCTGGGTGCGTCCATAGTTCCCCTTTGATTCACCGACGAACGCTTACACCCATTTTCTTTCAGGTCCTCTACACCGACCAACACAGCACCCTCATGCGCCACATGACCGAATACCGCTACGCCGGCCCCGTCTGCTCGCCCTGCGTCGACAAGGTCGTACGCAATGCGGTGCTGCGGGGGCCGGAGGGGCTAGTGCGGCTCGAGGAGCTGTTCACAGAGGCGGTGCGGCTCGAGGAGCTGTTCACAGAGGCGGTGCTGTATCCCACGGACCGCGGGGCGTGCACGCGGGGGAAGAGCGATACGGGATGCCGGGAGTACCTGCGGGAGTGGAAGGCGCGATTGGAGAGGGCGGTGGAGAGGGTAGAGCCCATGTCGAGTTTCTTGTCGTGAATTCGGCGACCTCAATGTCGTGAATGCCGCCAACTCAATCAGACTTTCGTCTACACTTTTGGGGATTCTATTGACTGGTCGAAAGGATAGGACACGGCGTGAAAAGGTGCTTCAAGCACGACCGAGCGTATGACCTGGATCGCATCAACCTTTTCTCACCACTGCTCACGGATATATCAGCCCTCGTCATTCCGCCCACACTGCCCCACCCGTCTTCCTGCCCCCGCCCCCCCTTGCCTTCCTTCCCTCACCAAGATTCGACTCACCACTCCCCACCTCCCAATACCTCGTACGCATTAATGGGGTAGTGGTAACCTGGGTCGTTGCCATCATATCGAAACAATCTATTCTCGACCCGCCGGGGGTTCGATTCCCCCTTAATGCACTGTAGGTCAACCAAGATGTCTTTTTGATGATCTTATCTTGTTGATGATTTCACGAGCTGCCGCCTTCCTCTTCGCCGTGTCTTTCTCTTCGCCGTGTCTTTCTCTTCGCCGTGTCTTTCTCTTCACCGTGTCTTTCTCTTCGCCGTGTCTTCCTCTACCTCTTCTACGGTCGGCGGGAAGGACCAGGTTCAATTTCGGATTCCGCGTTCTGATGCCTGAGGTCGGCGGTTCGAATCACGGGTGTCAGCCAGCTGCTGACCTTGCCACCACGTGATGCGCTACATGGCGCGTGCCTGGTAGCCCAAGGTGGGACGCACGACCATGCCAAGGACGACTGGCGGAGCCGTCTGCAGCGGCGCCTAGAACCGTCATTGAACTGAATCAATGTGCTCACAGTCCAGTTTCTTTGCGTGTCGCTGGTTTGTCCTGCTGCGAATGGACTCATCTTGCGCGCCATGCGCTCATCGGCACGAGAGTCGTACATTCGCATTCACCCTAAACACCGCATTGACTACACCCTCCTTAACAAGCTGGTGCGCCTGAACCCTGCACGAGCGGCGCAGGTCCACTAGGTCCACCAGACCCTTATTTCCATTACACACCACATGAAGTGGACTGGCCGGCCAAGTTTAGTCCAGCTCGTGCGGCACAGGCGGCCGGCCGGCGGCTGCCACCCCACCTGGTTTGACAGGCTGGGCCGCCGGCGCCGTGTCAAGTGCAGGTGCTGGTGTTAAGAGAGTCGACGTCATGCGGAGTCGCCGGCTGCATGTGAGACGCTGCTTTTTTGCTGGGCCTGCACCGCCATATGAGATGCAGCCAACGCGGTTCGGCGGCGGCTCCACCTCAGGTCGTCCACCGCGTGTGCGCTCGCCGGTTCCAGCCAAGCTGGGGAGATACCCATTATTGGCCGGTACATTGATGGCCCATGCTCTCTCAGCCACAATGGCACGCACTCACCTTCATACTTTGTCAATGGAGATACAAGGTTATGTACATGGTACATGGATCATAGCTACTACCTACTGCTCGGCTCCCACCCTGGAAGGGTTCCCGCGTAGTCCTGAAACTTTGTCACGCATTCAGTCGCCAACGAGCCCCACATGTCCGCTTGGTTATAGGCATACGCAGCCCATCCCGCACCTTCTGTGGACGACCTCGCAGCGTCCCCTGCCGCTTGCCATGTACCCTGCTGCTTTTCGAAGGCTAGCCGAGTCCACAGCATCTCGTGGCTTACCAGACGCTCCTCTTCTTCCCATCGCTCCAGTCGGCACTTGGCTCGCAGGAAGCTCACTCTGTATACTGCAGTACCAATCAGTATCCAAAAGAACGCTCTTTGGTCCCGCTTACGATCATGGACACCAGCGGCTTCTGTCCCATCTTCCGCGGCCGCACTGTTGCCGACCCGCCAGAACCAGGGTAAGGTATGGGAGCGTTGGCCTGTCCTGTTCTCCTCTGTCCAGTCCTTGTTGATGCGGAGGTCTTGACTATCTATCTTCGGTAGCTGCGATTCGTCCTTGCCGAGGGCGATTAGGGCGTCGCGGGCGCGGTGGTACATCCGCACGTGGCGGGCGATGCGTGCGCCTGACTTACGTAACGCTGCAAAAGCCCTTGTAGTCGTCTTGTGACTCCCTCGGCCGCGACGCACGGAGGTGCGATACAAGCGGGCTCTCTCTGCGAGGCCTAGCCTAACGCCTCGCAGGGCATCCGCTCGTTGGCCGTCCCGAAGGTCCCTCTCCAAGTCGGCCAATTCCCCGGTGATGTGCCCAGTGGTCGAGGGCAGAGTGAGCCGCTCGCGCTCTGGCAGCCCGACGTCAGGCGCGTCGGGGTCCTCATCCTCATCCTCTCCCTCTCCCTCCCTCTCATCCACCTCCCCTTCGCTCTCTGCTTCCCCTTCATCTCCAAGCCATTCCTCCACTTCTTCGTCTCCCAAGTCAACCTCGCCCTCCACGGGGGCAGCATCGAGAACCTTCGCGATCCGTGTTTCGAATTTGCAAATCCTTTTGTGTAGCTTGCCCCGTCTGAGCAGCAGCTGACGCTCTTGCGAGGCCGTCCTGTTTTGCTGCTTAGCCAGAGGAAGTAGGTTGTCCCTTGTCTTTGTGAGAAAACGCAGTGTCATCGTGACATTCTAGACACGCACTGCACACTCTCAATCCTCATGGCCTCCCTCAGCAACTCTAACCCGATAGGCTCCTCCACATCATCATCCTCATACCGCCTCGCTACTGCGAGGGCGCGCTCCGCAACACCGGGGACTAAAACGGCAGTCCATAAGGGCGCATGCAGACCCGTCATGCAAGGCTCACCTTGTTCCTCTCGTATGTCATACACGCTCTTTCCCTCTCGGCCCTCCTCCAAGGACTCACGCTCCTCTTGTAGCCACCGAGCTGTCTGCTGATCGGATAGTGTGTCCTTGAGCTCCTCATACGCGGCGCGGGCGTGCTTGCACTCGACGGAGGCCTTCATCGCCTTCTTCTTAAGGACGTCGGCTGCGTGAGGCGACCATCCTGTGAGTCAATCATTCACTGCGGCCGTTTGTCGCCCACCTAGTTGAATGATCTTCTTCCAGTTCATGTCGTTCATGAGCAGATCAAGAACTTCCTGCCTATGAGCGGGTGACATGCTCCTTGTATTGGAGGCCAGCTTCTCTAGGGTTGCCCAGAGCGTTTCCAGGATCTCGCCGTCCAGCTGGCCGGCTCCCTTGATGAAGTTGGGGGAGAATTTGGCGAAGCACTCTCGGATGTGTGCGCCGAGATGGAACTTGCCCACAGCGGCCTCAATGTCGATCGCACGGTTGGTAAGGTAGGGTCCTTCGGTTAGGCGCGTCTTGAGGTTGACGATATACTCACACATGATGTCGTAGGCGATGAGGATCTTGTGCGTTTCTGCAGACAACCCTTCTATGAGGCATGAGGTTGAGTAGTCTGTGTTCATTTGCCTACGCAGTCATACCATCAGGGGATGCTGGCGACTTTCCGACTGTAGTACGCACGCTTCGCCTTTCTGGTAATCAACGGTGGTGTGCGGGATGAACAGACCATGACGGGCACAGGCGTATGTGCCCACTCCACTGGCAGCTAAGTTGCGATCTCTCGATCGACTGCTGGCAACCGCCCGGTGATTCTGACAGGATTTCCTCTGCAGTGAATTGTCACGTGGATGACAGGTGGGGCGGTGGTCAGAGCACGTACATTGGCGGGCTCCTTGGTCACTTTGAGGTGCGTCTGGTATTGCCTGCTCCCGACGAGCATGCACTCGCCATCGCTGAGGCGCACGTCAGCGTCGGGATTGCGGGTACGCTGGTTGTTCAACTTGAAGCAACCGTCGTGCGTGAACATGGGCATGTAAAGCTCTCTGACTGGATGTTGAGTCCACTGTTTTCCTCGTCGGAGCGACAAGGTACGTACGGATGGTCTGCGTCTCTCTGGTCTTCTGGAGGCAAGTTATATCCCGGCTGGGGGCATGCTGGGCAGCGCCAAGCCAGATCTCCCGGCGGTCTAGCTATGTGGACTTGATCTCTCCGAATCTTGTGAGCGACACCTGCTTTAGCTCTCGTGATCATGTTCGTATACTGACGCATGGCGCGCAGGAATGGTCTATAGACATCCTACGCCTCGTTAGTAAGGTCACTTATCGCGTATATTCCCCACTCACCGAAACTCGATAAGGGAACGCTGGGTTGGCCATCCTCCGCAACTTCTGGACATATCCTTGGGCAGACATCCGACCCTCGCACTGCGATAGGAGGAAGTCATCCAGCATCGTCAACGTGAACGCAGTGGCTGGCTCATCCTCGGTACCCGGGTACAATCCGGTGTGCAGCAGCTGGATATCCTTATCCTCCGCGGTGGGGCACGTACACCAGTATACCGTACGACACCAGATACCCTCAACATCACCGATAATTAAACGATGTCCCTGTCGCAGGTCACAGTCCCTGAGGAGGTCACTGAGATCGCCGTCCTCCTCCTCTTCCCCCTCATCACACCAACGCTCGTCCATAGGAAGCCGGACGTGCGCGAGGGTGGCCGGGCACGGCTCTCCTCCATGGCCCAGCCAGATAACTTGGCCTAACGCGCCAAGGTCGGTAGCCGTTGAAGAGCGACCGTCATGCTTTCGGATGTGATGGAAGGGCATAGACGCGTGCTCGCGAAGGATGCAGCCTCTGCATTGCCTCTTACGCCCCAAGCAGGTCTCGCAGAGGTATGAAGCAGTAGCTGCGCCGCATTGACACTTGTGCTTGCTGGGCTCGAATCGACGCATGAGGACGTCCTCGTAGGCTGCCCGTCTATGTAACCACGCGCGCATGTGATCGTTTGAAGTCTGCAGTCTCGTTAAACGGACATCTCTGCACAGTATACGTCACGCACCTTTACCGCCGTCCGTCTCTTTCGAGGCGAAGGCGAGGGACTCCCGATATGGCCCCGTTTGCGGGGTGTAGTCGTACCACTCCCGCTCAAGGGCCGCCGCTGACCCTTCTGGGGGCTGCGGAGACGTGGGCTGGGCACGAAATCTTCCCTCTCCATATAAACTTCCTTTCCCCCCGGCGTCCGCCTGGTTGTCATGCTACGTACGACGCTGCCCTGCGCTATGGGAGTTAAACCCCCACCCTTTCGGCTTCTGGACATTATTGTATATGCTGCGAGGACGAGCGACGGGGGACGGATGAAGAGGGTGATGGGTGAATGGCTTGCGTGATTATGCCAAATCGGGCACAAGTCATACCATCAATTCTCACGAATCTGTGATCGCCAGGCACATTCCCAGCTTGTACTTCCTAAATGGGGGTATAGCCCCAGTAGCCAGTCAGCCATTGCACTGCCTCTGTCTTAGCGGTCCCTCCGTAGATGACATGGGCAAATGTACATATATCTGCATCGGCACGAGCTACATCCCAATCAAAGTACTAGAAGACCTAGACCACTGTACAAAAGAGGGCAGGCCTAGACAGCAAACGCGCTCAAGGACCTTTCGACTTCTTGGAGCGCTTCAGCTGCATCGCGGCGGCCTTGGCAGTGGGTGTGCGTTTCCGCCTGTGAATGTGCTTAGACGTGAGCTTGAACGGTTATGGGGCTGCGGCTGCGTACAATGTTCTGACCCCCTGCTGTGCAACGGAGTCGTCCCTCTTGGTTTCGGACCTGTTCCTTACTCAGAGCATGTTTGAGACATGAAGCATACATGGGGGCGTACCTCAACTTTCGCGGAGGGATGGAAACCTCCTGCTCTTCCATCTGCACGTCCGGCCTGCAACTCTTTCAGCCGGGATTATCTATGCCCTCCCATGAACACTTACGAATCATCCACATCCTGGACGTTGCGTGGCCGTTTGGAGGCTTTCGACGGCTGACTGTCCGTGGCGGCCTTGCGCTTGCTAGCTCTGCAGATTTCCAGTTCAGTCCGCTCCCCACACCCCGAAGCGCGCGACTCACAGAGTAGAACCGCTGGCACCGCCGGCGTGCACGCCTGCGCGTTGACGCATGGCCGCCACGGCAGCGTGCTCGCGCGCGCTGGCATGAGAGTCAACGTAGTCTTCGATTCGCACGCCTGGTCGGTCTTTTGCTAGGGCGGCGGTGGTCTTCGGGCAAGGGCTGAGGCTGTCCTTGTCCGGACCAGTGTGCAGCGCCCTGAGAATGCCGGCTATCAGCTTTTCGTGGTCCTTGATCTCCCAACCCACGCCGGGATAATAAGGACTGTGCTCATCATCAGGCTCCACCTCTGCATAGCCTTGGCTGTCGATAGCGAGGTGAAGCAAGCCCGTAGCGATGGCCATCACAATAACCTTCCGAGCCCATTTTTGGGGGCGTGTGCCCAGAAGGTGAGGCTTAGCCTTCACAACCCAGTCCACGTATTGCTGCGCTTTCCCGCTGGTGAACACGGATACCTGCAAGACGTCGCCCAGGTTGGTGATTAAAAAGATGTCCTGGAAACGGAAGTCTAGAGAGGTTTCTGGGATTCCGTCATCATTCGGATGCTCCTGCGCAATATAAAGCAAGCAGCCATGAGTAACACAAATACCAGATGTCGCTGTTGCTGCTCACCAAGCAGACTTGAACCATGTAGACGGCCACTAAAGCCGCGACACGGTTCGAAGTCTCTTTCGCGCGCTTGATGAGTGCTTTGGCGCGCTGCCCGACGGACATGTCGTTCTCAAGTAGGAGCGACGCAGTACTCTGGGGCTGATGCCTATTGGGACCCGCGCTACGAGACCTGTATGTCCTGTGAGTCACACGATATGTCGGGCGGCAACAGAACTCACTTGGCAGTCGTGTTCGACCTTCTCGTCCTAAAGCAGTCAAAACCAGCGAGGCGAAGGGGTGCATGGGTGCGTACCGTTGTCCTATCACAGGTCCTTCCTCCTCGTCCTCGTCCTCGTCCTCCTCCTCCTCCTCGTCGCTTGTCTCCTCCGCTGGCTCCTCCTCAGACGACGACCCGGATCCATCGGACGGGGCCTTCGTCTTCCGGCGGGCTTGCGTTCTCGATCCAGACGTGCGGGCAGTCGCACCAGATGCTTTCCTGACGAAGGGCTTAACGGGCATGCTGCCACCCTCCTGCGCCTGGAGCCAATGGCGAATGAACTTGAGCATAGGCTCCTTCTTCATGCTGGATGGGTCCATGGCGTAGGGGTCAGAGCCTCTCTCGGGAGCAGGCTCCGGAAACGCGCTGGGATCCAACTCTGCCCGTAGGTGGCTCCAACGAGTGGCCTTGGATTGATTGTGAAAGCCTATCAGACAGATGAGCTAAGAAACCTTTGCCAGCGGCGAACCTTACTCATGGCGTGGGCGATATACTGCCTGATCACATTTCGCAGTAATTTCGTGTTCGCGCTGTCAGGAGGGTCCGCCAGCAATCTCGGGTAGTGACGAGGACGACGTTTGACCTGAGCCCAACTCGGCAAAGAACCGCCTTCTATCTGGTCGCCCATTGCGGCGATGCCATCGTCACCGTCCTCTAGTCCGAAAATCTCGGCAGCCCAGCCCTTGACGCGGTCTGACAACTGGCCGCGTGCCAGCCAATTTTTCTCCTTCTCCGCGAACAACGGGCCGTTCTTGACGTTGGGTCCGACACTGTGCACTGATCAGGCGCTAAAGATGTATGAAAAACAGGCTGCCACTGACTTGACCATTTCCAGCTCTCCACTTTCTTCGTCGACCCAAGCAGCAACCCCGACAACAGCCACACCACCAACTTCCATTGCCCAATTCAAGAAGCGCGCAATGGTCTGTCGGCAGTGACTCTTGCGAAACCTGAGAGGCGATCAGATTAGTTGGAAAGAACAGCAGCACGTAGGGCACACCATGTTCGGTCTTGCTTGGCCGGTTGGCCGATGTTGATTGCTCGGGCTCTAGCTTTGAAGGCTTCCACCTCGTCCTCCGTGAATTCGTGGCGGATCTCCTTGTTGACTTTTTGTTCTATCTGAAATGGCGTACCAGGCGTCTCCCTAGCGAGCCGTCGGCGGACCCTGTCCCACACCTCCGGGCGACTGTGGCGGGAGACGGCGCACCACGTGACATGCGTGTGGTACGAGGGCTTAGCCGGCCCGTGCAGTACCTCGTCGTCCTCATCGTCCTCATCCTCGACCGCCTCCGTCTTATCCCTGTCGTCTTCTCCTTGGCCGCCGGAGTCAGCTTCTTCCTTCTCCTTCTCCTTCGCCTTTTCCTTCCCCTTCGCCTTCCCCTTCGCCTTCGCCTTCGCCTTCGCCTTAGCTCTCGCCATCTCCCCCTCCTCCTGCTCCTCCTGCTCCTCCTCCATGTTCCCACCCTCATCCACCTTCCCCTTCCCTTTCCCTTTCCCCTTCCCCTTCGTCTTCGCCTTCGCCTTCGCCTTCCCCTTTCCCTTCGTCTTCCCCTTCCGCTCCCCCCTCTGCTCCGTTCCATCTGGACCATCGCCGCCGTCTTCTTCAGGTTCCTGTTCTTCGTCCACGCCACCTGACGAGCGGCCATTACCATGCGAGGGCTTCTTGGTTGAACCATTGATAGCCGCGTGCCGATTCGCGGTTGAGCCGTCGGGATCCTCCATCGACCTCCAGTATGCCTTTACGGCCTGATATCTGTGTCAGCGCAGTACATCCAGCTACAATGATACACTTGGGGCTTACCTTCTCAAGCTGCTTGCTGGAAACCCGTATCTCCTCATCGCGGAGGGGGAGCAAGTGAGCTACGGCTGACTTAGCCTCCCTATTGCGCCGCTGATCAGCAGGCACATTGCGCTGCAACCATATTTTCTCGGAGGTGGTGAGAGACGTGCGGGAGTCCATGTCTGCGACGATGTCAGGTCAGATGGCGGTCTGGAATGTCAGGAGAAGGCGACCGTGTTTTCACATCAGCCGGTCGCCGATTTGTCACGGTCACATCGTCCTGTGACGTGCTTATGATAAACCGAAGCTTTTGGTTATTGGGAGGAAAACCCCAGGCTAGGATAAGGGGTTCACATTGACGAGCTGTGGGCTGGATATGTCTGGAAGTTGATAACCGAGGTAAGGAAACCAAGGACGGCTGCAGTGGCGTGGGAAATGTTCGCCAAGTAAGGAAGGCGGACGAAAAGCGCACCCTCGACGGAAAGCGTCCGGGCTGTAAGTGCACAAGCCAGCCTCACCACTGCCCGACGACATGGAGCCACAAATCTGCATGCAAACGTACCTGCTGCTGCTATTGCCGCGTATGTCAGGTGCGTCGGTGTGGGGCTTTAATGAAGGGCGTGCTTAGCCTCCTCAGAAGGAACAAAATATATTGCCTCATGCTGTAGGCCAGTGTCGACTATGCTGCGTGGCTCCCAAGGTCGGACCCGGTATAGACCTTCCCCAGTTGTTCCTGCCGACGTCGGGCAATTGCTGGGTCATGCACGCGATGGATGTAGTATGGGGCTGAAGAGTTAGTCCACGACATGGACCGCTCGGGGTATTTCCGCTCTGTCACCTCCAGCGTCCTCTGATCAGGGTACTCCTGCATGAGAGATGACCGTTAGAGTATACTTCAGCATGGAGAATTGACGGACGTATATCAAAAAGCCCGCTTTCACAACCTTGTACTGCCCGTGTCGCGTCTGCTTGCCGCTGATGAACAGGTCAGTAGCTATGACGCATGCACCATGCTTCATGAGCGGAAGGAATGAGTCCAAGATCTGCAGGTTCACTACGACAGTCAGACATGTGTTGCAAATGAGCAGGTGGACAGGAGCCTCACACGTCGCTGAGAACTTCAGGTTATTCACAACAACGAGGTCGGCCTTTTTCATCCACTCCTTGACCGCCGGAGTCTTGACCATGTCTCCCCATGCCATGGTGACGCTTCCCATGCTGATGCCGTGCAGTTCACAGACGGCCAGGGCCCTATCTTTGAGGCTTTCAGCCGTGCCCATGAGCTCGTCTCGCAGCTCGATGCCGAAGGCGCTGCACCCGCTCTGGATGGCCGCCTGCACAAGCAGATTGCCAATACCACAGCCCAGGTCAACGAAGGTCGATTGGGGACCCAACTTCTGCTCCTCCAGGATCGTCTGAAAGAAGTGCGGCTCGAACTCGCCGTACGTCTTCTCGAAGTCACGTTTCTTGTTCCTCAGCTCACGCAACTGCGTCTCGCTGATGCCGTCTCGAACTTCGCGCATCACGCGCAGAGTCTCAGGGCCTGCCAGAGCTGAGGTAGTCAGCCGTGTTTCCATCATTGAAGAGGCCCACATACCCGCCCTCTGCGCCCGCCTCAAGCGATCCACTTCTCTCAGCAAGTCTGCCTTTTGGGCCTTCTCGCGTTCTCTGATCAGATAAACATTAACGCAGCGACTTCGCAGGGCAGGCAGAGGTTACCTGCGGCGGCGAGCTGCATCCCTTTCCTTTTCCTGGTATCCAGCCTTCTTCCTTTGGCGCCGGGAGCGTGCGGCAGAATCAAGGGCAACGGGCCGCCCGCCGGTTGCGCCCGAGGCGGTGTCCTCAGTAGGATCGACCCTTGGACAGAATTGAGCAGACACACACAGACTCCAATCGGGTTTACCTGAAAACACAGCTGAAAGCATCGGGCGCCGTCATGGTCGCTGACAGGAGTTCGCTGACGGATTGCCTTTTTAGGCGCGAAACGTCCCGTCGCGGGACGACGGACTCAGTGCACCGTTCGCCTGTTGCTCGTGTCAGTTGGAGCCATGCTTCCCAGCTTAGTGTTGCGTGAAGTTCGTCCATCCACCCCCGCATTTTGAAATTTCAGCTAAGACAAATCACTGTACCCTCAAGCTAACCGCCACAGCGCGGGTGCAATGGGCGTTCAGCAGAGGTCCTCACGGTATGCCAATCTCAGTGAACGCTTCGGGCGTGCTTATGGATCCTCAGAGGAGCAGCATGATGTCTAGAACAGAACGCAAAATGTCGCCATGCCAGGAATCAGATTCGCAGGCAACGCTGCTGCGTACCGCATCATATGGTGCGCTCGATCACAACTCACCTTGGACTTTTTCATGATGTTGCAACGGTCGCCTTGAAAGGAGACTGCGAGAGCTCACAAGACCAGGTGAGTAAAAAGGGCTTATCAGGCTTGCCTCGATAGCGGCCACAAGACGCGCGCGCAGGCAAGCTAGCGTTCACTCGGGGCTGAATGACTCAGGGTTCCGAAGACCCCGGTTGACGCGCGGGAAGCGCGCCTACTCCTGGGACCACAAGGTCAGCAGGCGCTTGCCGCTGAGAAGAAGGACAGCCGCCGTAACTGCGACCGACAGCAGCGATGCACGGAGGATGTGATTCACGAAAGCAAACAGACGCGTTGGGCAGCGAGCACTTCATCAACACTCGTATGTACTCATAGTAAAGGACTTACTGAAAATGCGCCAGGCCGTCTCTGGCACTCATGGACGCCCTCAGTCTTCCTTCACTTGTCCTATATGCTTCCTCCTTGACTTTTTCCAGCTGCGACCTTCCAATGCGCTTCCCACGGACACCAAACCTCCTGAGAATCATGCGAGGCTGATCTGGAGCCGGTGCGCTTCGGAATACATTGGCAAGGTAAGCGCCCGCGAGAGATTGGTATGATACACTCCCTGTACTGAAGTGCTCGCGCCTTGCACTCTCGCAGTGTCGCTTGCAGATCATGCGACGATAATGGGCGCTTAGGGAGGGCACCGTCGCATATAAGAGGTACGCGGTTCTTCGTCGCTATCCATCCTCACCACATCGACATGTCTTCACCTCCTGAGGTAAGCACTATCGCCTTTCCTTCTCACCATACTGATGATGCATAGAACATCGCGACGGCCCTTCGCACCGCCCGGGTTCTGAGCGCCCTCCTCAAGCCAGGCCTTGAAGAGATTGTATGTTACACGCCGCTCATAGGGCTGAACGCTAACGAGCCGTAGATCCGCGCCCGCGACAACACCCTGCGTTGCGCGTGCGGCAAACTTGCCAACGGCCGGGCACAGCCTTGCAACCAACCCATCTGCAAGGATTGCGGCAAGAACGAGTGCCCTCGCTGCAAGAAGCCGGCGTCGAATCCGAACCCGTCGTGCGAGTTCCATGCCGGTCCATGCTGCCCGTACTCGCACGGTGGCGCGTACCATTTCGTTACCGGACATCGACCTTTGCCCGAGAATGGCGGGGAATTGCTGGACGTGACTTTGAAGCAGGCGGAGCATATGAACGAGCTTCTTGACCACCTAATCGTACTCACCAGGGACATGTAGATACAGTACAGTAGTGGCAGGCCCGTGGCAATCTCGGATTTTCTTGCTGATCTGCAGAAACAGTCTGACGAAGATCTTCAACATCGCCCGACTCCCATCTCTACTGCCAAGGCTCAGGGAAGGGTCCCTTTTCTTATTTTCTTAACGGTTGCTATTCACGCTAGCGCGACGCAACCTGTAGTGCGTCTTCACGTAGATTAGAAACACCCCCTCAAGCTCGGGCCGCGCCGCGGTGCTGAAGAACTCGTCTTGGAATTCTGCAGCCGCCTGTTGCCGACGTCCCTCGAGTGTGATAAGTCGTTGACAACGCGGTACTGGGCAGTGCCAGAGGTTGCCTGTAGGTAGCTGCGGGCGCGGTATAGTTCTTGGGCGGATGCGGGCAGAGAGCTCATCATCAGGATCTCGATAATCAGCCGGAGCCATGGTGGTCGCGCAGATCAAGTACCCGAGTGCACGCATACACAAATCCGTATTGCCGTTGTGGCATTCCGCGGCATGTTCTATCGCTCAGGAGGCAGTGCATCTGCTGAACGTCGGGCTCGTTGTCAAGAAAGCTAGGACGTATTGTACACAGAAACGAAATTCCAAGAAATGCGTCTATAAACCCAATCCACAGTCTACTCGAACTCGATTTGCGACCAGTTCAACCTCCGCTTCAAGTTCTGATGATGGTCTTCGCGCATGCTCTCCTGGCCTGACAGACGCCGATGAGCTTGACCTTCTGCCGCGCAACAATTCGGGTACCATACCTGGGAGCTTCAAGAAAGGCTTGTCCACGACAGCGACCCTCTTCCAATGGCCTGTCGTCAGCGTGCGCCTGGCCTCGTCATACTCGCTCGCGACGGCTACGTCGGAGTCGTACGTCCTGACAATCACCTCAACCATTCCGAGGGAGGTAACGTGTTCCAAGCCAGCGAGTGCTGTGAGGGCGCGCCAGTCGACCTCAACGCGAATGAGCTGAGTTAGGTCCTTGCGTATGTCGAGGACATCGTCGAAGGCTATTTTCTGTCAGACGTTGTAGTACAGGAAAGGTCGTCTCAGCATACCTGCTTCCTCACGAGCCATGACACGAAGTCGGCGAAGCTTGTCAGCGCACTCGGTCAACAGACGGTCCACAAACTCCCAGTCATCTCCATACATGAGCGTCAACTCGAGTGTGAGCGCTTCGAGACAAGGGAAATGGAGGCCGGTCATCACGCCGCGGATTCCGGCGACGAGGTGGACGTGGAGAGAGCTAACCGCCAGTAGCAAATCCTTGTCCTCATCTCCCGCAGCGTCCCCTGGGACAGTGCCCTCGTCCCACCAGAGCTCGTACCAAGAGTTGGGGGGCGCGCCATCGGAATCCATCTGCGGTGGCTGTATCTCGATGCTGCGGACGGTCTCTGAGAGCGCTGGTCCATCGCCTGTGGGCCGCCGACGGAGGATGAAGTGCAGCCCGTCGTTCGTTGGCTCGTGAAACACTAGCGTCTTGACGTTCTTCAGAAGCGGGTCCATTGTGACGGGTACCCAGGCCTGCCACATCTGCGCGTACCATGCATGCTGCTCGTTCCTGCCGCCGAGAACCAAGGTGTGTATCCCGCTGGGTGCTAGTGCGGCAATGACCTTCAGAAACGCAGCGGTGCCTTCCGTCCAGCGCGTCGGTAAGACAAGGGTACGCACATAGCGGTCCAATGGATCACGGCCGAACTCTGTGGACGATGTGAAAGTCAATGGCAGTGAAGAACGAGCGCCGTACCTGTGATCGGCATCGTGAAGTTGAGACCAGGGATGGGAGTGTAAAGGGCTTGGGCAGCTACAAAGAGATGAGCAAAAGCTTCGTCAATGTCAACCAACAAACATGCTTACGGGACTTGCTCTCAATTGCGCGCGCGTAGAGCCATTTCGCGAAGGAGAAGAACCTTCGCGGCCTGATGACCAGTGTCCTGAAGCGCCGGCTGCGAGTGATCTGCCACAAATCGCGAGAGGCTGTAGCAATGTTCATGAGATCGGCTTCATGGCAGCATTCAACGACCTCAGCCAACAGGTCGCCGGGAAGGATGCCTTGGCTGGCGATCGGACTGTTTCCTTTCCCCTCGTGGTGGCCGCTGATATCTTGCACGGTTGGAGCACCGCCGGTATGATGCAGGTCGCCCTCGTCCTCTGCCCTCTCGGCCATGGGGAGAAGCCTCTCGTCAGTGTCCCGCCGGCACCCCACTGTCTCCATGGTTTGCGTGGATGCTGTCGCGTATGAGACGCGCGTCTCCATGGTTTGCGTGGATGCTGTCGCGTATGAGACGCGCGGGGTAGTACGTCTCACCGGCGCAGTCGAATCGTCTCTCGGTGCAAGCAGACGGAGAGCGAGCCGTAGAAAGCCGAAGAGACAGAAATGGAGCCCAAGCGCCGCCGCGATGGCGGTTGCAACGACCCCGCCGACGCTCATGGTGGTGGGAGAAGACAAGAAGGGTGGGACGCACGCCCGGTGACAACTTAGGCCCACTTTACGAGCAGTCTGTATTGAGAGAGTGCAAGTGTAAAGCTTAAATGCGCCGGCCTGCAGGACCCCAAAAGTGAGGCATTCACTGGCTGACGACCACCGGCGCCCGTTGGGTTGCTTACGCGCTACAAGGGGGTGGGTATCGGCCTCGTCGACGGTGTCTCGCATCTATTCGACCAGCAAGGCGGGTACGGCGTGGACGAAATTCAACCGACTTCCTTATTTGGGTCGGAACGTCTCTGCGCGGGACAACGCCATCGTTTGGCTCACCACAGCCCCAGCGTGCGATTGATGGAATACATAGGCCCAGCATCCACCGCTAATTAGAGCCATCCCACCCTACCTACTCTTCTTGGCGTTCCCTCTGCCTCTTGTGGCGCCTCTCGAGACCTTTGTCTTTTTGGTGATAAGAGGGGTGTCATCGGTGTCGGAGTCGCTCAGGCGAGGTGGGCGTTTCCTCAGCCGCGTGCTCTTCCTCGTCTGCAAAGAAACCGCAGGCTCCACCCCCAGCCCATCTTGCTCCAAGCTACCCGATCCACCGCTGGGGCCGCTGGCTGGCGTTTGGGCCATGGAGGCAAAGGCGGAGAGGAAGTTCGGTGGGTCTTCGAGCGTTCGGGCGTCTCGTTCCTCTCCGAACTGCTGTGTCTCCAGGATGAGCAGCCACGCCTTCATCATACCGAGGTCCCCTTCCCACTTCATGTCGCCCATGACCAGCCGGACAGCCAGATGCGAGACGTATATCGCGCTAGTGATCTCGTCCTGCAGGTCAGTGGCATCCGTGAACGACGTCACAAGGAACTGTCGGAGCAGTCGCATTCCGCGAGGACCATAGCTGTCGTTGCTGTTAGGCGGCATAGCGCGGCCACAGAAGTTGATGACTTACTACCCGGTGTACCCGGTATAGCTAGCGCTATGGATGCTGCCTTTCAGGTGCTGCGTGTACCGAGCCACCGCAGGCAGGACTTTCAATCCAGGGCTCGCCCTCTCAAAGAACTTGTAAGAAAGGAGTTTGTGTGCGGAGGGCCTCGAATGCTCCGTATTCTTGTCGTCAAGGATAGCCTGAATTTCGGGAATCAGGATTTTCAGCCGCTGGGCGATGTCAACCCAATCAATGGGCTGGCTCAGTCCCCACGCCGATGCGAAAGGCTCCAGGACGTGCAGGTATATATCGTTGTCGCATACAACTGCACCATCTGTCTCTGCCGAACAGAAGGCACATCCTTTCAGGGCATAAGAACGAGCGACAATCTACGCGGCAGCACAACATAGCTCACCTGGGGGACGTAGGACACCCCACGGTCCTACAACGCGCAGAGCTTCGGCAGCGGCGTGATCCTTCCAGTCAGGCACCACAGCCTGGACCGCGTTGGGATACAGCTGCTCCGGGTCTTCAAATGCTAACAGCTGCTCCTTTAGCAAGAAGGGCTTGAACGGGACAGGAAGAGCTGCGGGGGCATTGTCAGGCATCGCGAACAAGGCTTCGCTCATCTCACATACCGCGCAAGTCGGGCCTAACGATAGCGAGCTCGCTCAGGCCACACATATCATAATGCGGGTATAAATCATTGTAATCTGCAATCGCCATGACGGTCAAGAACAAAAGAATCGCTGTCACCAGGCGTCACACGTCACAAATCGCCTTCCGACTCTTCCTCCTTGGCTCAGTGCGTCCCAACGGACCGGGACTTGCTGGAGTTAAGCATATGTCACAAAATTTCCGCGGAGACCCTCACATGTACCGTTCAATATTCATGACGGAAGGCACCCTGAACCACAACCTTCAACTTTACGCATGGTTTTCTCAAGATACGGTACGATGACGAGTAAGTAGTATGCCAGAATTTGCGGTCTTCGTGGACCCTTAGTTCAAGATGCGCGCGCGCTGTACATGAAAAGTAGGCGAGTCCCTATGCGAAGGTTGGGAACGATTGAAGACCGAGTTTTGAGACCAGATGAGCCCGCCTCTGCACTCGGCCGGCTGCCGCTTCTGTTAAATTTGAGTTTGACACCCTTATGTAGGCCGAGTAAGGGCTTACCAGGGAGCTTCCAGAACCAGTCCTCAACGAATACAATCTCCCTCCAATGCTCATGCGACAAGATGAACTTTGCCTCCTCGTAGTCGGCGTCCAGGGCGTGGTCGGCGTCGTACTTGTGAACGTACAGTGTGACCTTGTTGAACACCGTGAATTGGGGGGCTCCCGAGATGCAGGGGACTTGTGTCCAGTCGACGTGTAAACTCTCCAAGGCAGGCAGGAAGTCGCTCTCAAGCTGGGACCAGCGACCTGGCTGGTGTCAGCAACTATTGCAGAAGAGGACAAGAAGGTACCTGTTATACCGCGGCGAAGGCGGAGGGTTTTGAGCTTCTTCGCGTCGCGCAAAAGACGGCCGACCGCGTGCCATTCTGTCCCCCTCCCCCGCGTTCGTACATTGAGGTCCTCCAAGTCGAAGAAGTACACGTTGGCGATAATGTCTTCTATACCGCCTCCAATGTCCACCGTCAGAGATTTGACCCGAAGACAGATCCGCTCTAGGCCGGGGTACTCGTCCTCCTCATCGCCTGCGGTTGGATTCCAGTCGTCCTGCCCCCATTCATGGAACTGTGAGTAGCCCATGGCGCAGCCAGTCAGCTTCAGAGTGCATGGCAGGTCTGCGACCTCTTTATGCATAGAGCGCAGCCTCATCTTGAATACTGAAAGCAGGCCGTTCCTGGACGGGTTCCTGAATGAAATGGCGGCTGCCGACGCGAAGACCTCTGCACCGGCCTCCTTCTTCCACGCCTTGTTTGCCTCCCGCCACCAGACGTCGTCTTCCATGCAGCTTGCAGCGATCTCGCTAAGGCGGAGCGGTGCCATGGCCGCGAGTAGCGCAAGGTATGCGCGGCACTCGGTGCTCCATTCCTTTGGCAAGAGGAGAACGCGCACGAATTTGTTGAACTCGGCTCTCGTATTGGCTGCATACCATTAGCGAGAACGACCGATGATTACTGCACGTACGACAGATCATCACGGCGCAGCGGTATTCAGGCCGTTCAAAACGAAAGAGAATCTTGTCTGCGACCACTGAGCGCTCTGATACTCGAGGGTGCAGGGACGTACCTTGACATTGACAGCTTCTCCCGTCGCACTCCTTCTCCAGCCAGTGTTGCAGAGCAGGCAATCCTCTCGACGTGATTTTAAGAGTGTGAAGGCGCCAACGTCGGCTGACCCATGCAAACCGCTTGCAAGTCTCGGACAAGCATGCAACAGCTTGAGGACACGAGTTCTCGATTATAAGAAGCTGGAGCTCGAGGGACAGATGCTGGAGGATGCCCAGGTCCGGCTCGCCCGCGGACATCGTGAGGGTCAAGACAAAAGGAAGATCAATTGAATTTGACGCCGCGTGGGGGATCGAAAATGGGAGGGCCTACATCATGACTGTTCCGCAATAAGTGCACAAGCAGCAGGTCGTACATAACCAAGGTCGTAGAGAGAATTCAGTTGTAGGTCGTGCTCCTACCATCCCAAGAACGAGATACAACGTGAGCACAGGCTCGAGGAAAGCGACGGCCGCTGACCCGTGATCAATGATAGTTTGAAAGGTATATATCCCATTTCACAGCCGCGTCAGAACTTGCCAATGATACCTACAACGAGCGGCGCATGCGATGAGTCCGGTGGTTCAAAGTCCACGAGGATTTCCTAATCGGGCAGGCGGACGGAAAGCGCTGTCGCGCTGAAAAGCGTCCGCCCACGTGCGCATGCGCTCCAAGTCCCCTACGTGGGCAGTTATACAAGGTTCATATATATACATATATGCAGATCCAATGGCCCCAGGTGAAGTCAGCGCTGTACAGAATCAAGACGTGTGCGAAAGCCCAAGACAAAACCGTCCACTGTCCAAGAAGAATGGAAGAAAAGTTTGTAGCTCGACATCCCTGTAGTACGAACTTGAAGGAGGGTTACAAGAAAGGATACATCGACCAATATATTTGAGCGAGGGCGAGGTGGGCTGGGCAACGGACCATCACTGCTGGCGGGATGCAAGGGCGTCCCGCACCTGCCGCATCTTTGCCTGCAGGAAGCTCATTCATAAGCCATCGCAAGAGCTTTTCCGCAGCTCACCTCGAGCTCAGCGTTGCCCATCCGGACCTCCACTATGCTTTCCTCCAGCGCCGCGGCATGGTCGGGACTGCATGTCCCCGGAAGTGTCTTCAAGATGTCTTTAAGCGGATGTGGGCGGATGGGGGTGCCTTGAAGGCGGTCGACCGCGTCCTACCAAGCATCAGCCTCAGCTTGCGCTGTTACGGGGAAGAGCAAACCTGAAGTTGATGACGGACGCATTTGAGACGTCTGCGGTCAAAGATCCTGCAGAGGTAAGCGCATGCTCGCCTTTCCAGGTCATCATCTCTGGAGATACCAGTCAGCGTCTGGGTGATGAGGGGCGCTACCTGGGGCTCACCCTTCGACGCAAACCCGTCGGAGCCAAGACCAGAACTCCTCTGAAGGAACGGTGCGGTACACGATGGAACCCGGCAGGCGTCTGGTGAACCACTTGAGCCGCGCGGTCGGACCACGACCCCACGTCGGGCCGGGCACACTTCGAAGCGTCCAAGAGTTGTTAGTGAGTATGTCGCCATCATCGTGACTACACGCCGTCAGCTGTGTGCAGAGTGACCGAGGCCTTTCATCTTACCTGGAACCGGAAAGCTGCACGACCGCGCAAAGATCGTCGCCGACGTAGCGATAGCCTCTCGCAAATCCGTGGAGCTCGACCTCCCGCACGCCATCGTGCATTTGGAAGCCCCGCGCCGCGTACTTGCTGTGCGCCGTTGTGGCCGGTGTCGTGGTCCTGAGGCGCAGCCCTCTCCCCTTCATCGTCTCATAGGGGTACAAGCTGATGGCTCGACTGCTGGTCAGCATGTTGAGGACCACAGCTGGACGCCCAATGTGATCAGCCTCTTATCAAGATGTAAGAGGAAAGTCCCGACTACGTACTGCTGTGATAGTTCATAAAACATTCGAACGTAGATCCCGTCGTTGCTATGAGCTGGATACGGATGGCGGCGTCGAAGGAGGCCTCGAAGTTGAGCACCACTTGAAAAGGGCCTGGGTAGTACTCTTCATCTTCCTCTTCGTCATCGCTCGCCTCCTCGTCTGAGGATTCCACATCCCTAGGGTCGCGCGCACGTTAGTCTTCCAAGCGTGAGCGATAGGCAGGCTTCGCACCGCAAGCTCTCCTCCAAAGTGTCTCCCGCCGCGCCTGGGATGAAGTTGTAGCCATTGGCCAATAGATAGCTGCCCATCTCAAGGGCGTTTCGGGAAGGAACGTAGACGTCCAGGTCCGAGCTCCGCCAGGTCACGCCGATGAAGAAAGAGAGTGGGATTGATCCCCCGATGACAGCCTGAGTGCGCGCCTGCACGGCCTGGAAAGAGTCGATATCCAGGATGAACGGTGACAGCACAGCGTCGGCATTGAAGTCGTTCATCAGGAATTCACGGACGCTGATACGCGTCCCGCGGGAGACTCGCAGTAACTTGAGGAGGTCTTTGAGTCTCAATTCGCGTAGAATTTTCTCCAGCACAGGGTAGGGTCTGTGGGGTTACGGTCGTCTGTCCATAACGTAGTGAGTTAAGCTCACAAGGTGTCGAGGAAACGATGTTCGGTATCGCTCTCCATGGTCGATCACCAGGGGATTGGGGAATGAAGGTGAAAAGCCAAGGAGAAGTGGGCAGGAGGGAAGGCGAGAGAGAGAGAGAGAATAGACGCCGTGACACCCGTGATCAAACTCCAGGCCATGCGCGAGGAATGGAAGTTACCGAGTGAGCTAAAGATGACCCCATGCAACAAGTGATAGTGACCGCGAGCGTGCATATGTATTCCAGATGTAAGACACCACAAGCAAATGAATCTACATGCGAACATGACTTCCATCCTCCTCCTGCTTCCAAGCCTCCAACACCCCCCACTCCGTACAACTCCCATCGAGGGCCCACTGGCGAGATGCCTTCGAGTAAGCGCCACCATGCCCCTTGTAGTCCGGAGCAGGAGGATACAGGGCCAGGAAGTACATGTACCCCTTGTCGTTCCCACATGCACCGCAGGCGAAGTAGCGACCATCCTCCCCCGCAGTGTCTGATTGCAGAGCTTCCCTCCAGGCTCTCTTCCTAGGGACCTTTGTCATACAACCTACGCGGCGGCACAGCTCGCATTGGAAGGGGATGCGCGTTCCCCAGAAGAGATCCGCGCCATCGTGAGCGAGGTACGACGTGACCTGGAACTTGTCGCCGGCCCTTTCTAGGAGGTAGAAGGAGGGCGAGGCGACGCCGGGAGGGCATTGCCGAGTGGCCCGTTTGATTGCGGAAGACGCTCCCCGATCGCTGCAAAGGAAGTGCTGTGCTATCCCTAGCCCAAGGTGAACTGTGTGGGACCAAGAGAAGACCGGCTGGGTGATGGTCAAGGAGTTGCTGATGCGGGCAGCATGGATGAACTCGATGGTCGGCGGTGTCTGACCAGCTGCGACGACGGGGTGACCGCATCCGCCGTGCGCCAAGACCAACATGTAATTCTTCCGCCCAACGCGGGCCCTGAGCTGGTCCCAGAGGACTTGAGGTAGCAGCCGCCAGAGTACCTGTTGGTGGCGATGAGCACAGAGAAGGAGCCACACACTCCGGGTTCTACGAGTGAACACCGTCCGGCCGGCGAGTGCGTATCAGGCGGCGCAGGCCGGTGGGCCGGCGGCTCCATGCGAGCCGCCAGTGAGGCTCGTCGTCCAGTTACGGTGATAGACAGTAACTTACCTGCTTTGTTGGAGCAGTGATGAATCCGTGCTCCCCTTGCCCCACAACCAGCTGCTTCTGTTCTTTGTGCCAACAACCTAGAAACCAGATCACGACTCGGTGAGGACTAGAAGGAGTGTTAATTGTATCCGAAGCATCATGTGAAAGACACGTCTACCCATTGTGAAGGCCATTCGTGATGAACGTTGCGAGGGCATCCTCATAGCCGTTCGCCCCCTTGGCGGTATGTAACCCCTGGTACGGGAGGTCGATGAGGACGGCGTGGCCGGGATTGATGCTCTTCAGGTATTCGAACATCACAGCGGGCGTGGAGCCCGGCAGGCGCACGCCCGCGTAGCGAACGACGACGATGTAGGCCAGAGAGTCGCGAGAGAGGGGCATCGGCCGCCCAACCCCCCGATAATCAGCGGGAGGGCCATCTTTGCCGAAGGGCTGGAAGTGACTTAGACTGCGGACGTTGTACAAGGAGTACGACGAGGCCCTCACCTCGTACTTGGACTTCTTGAACTCCTGGGCCCAGCACTGAGGGCATATGAAGAGATCCATCTGCTCCTGGGTAACAGTGCTGGGGCGGGGTATGCAGCGATCAAGGCACAGAAAGTCAAAGCACATCCTGCATCGGATGAGCTGCATGGCATTGCAATTGCAGCTCTTGCAAAAGTCCTGCGCGGTTTAGCAGACTGAGCGCCCTCCCCACTGTATGACACTCACAGACACCCGCCATCTTTCCCCGGGCAGAGCGATGTTCTTCAAACCATCCCAGAGACCGCTCATGGTCCCATACGTGTAGAGTAGATTGTCCGCAGGGACTTCGCTTGGACAGAAGGGACCCTCAGGGGCTGCGATATCGCCAGACACGTCCCAGACCGATGCCGGCACATCAGCATCCCCTTCAAAGGGTCCCTGCACGTTAGGGGCCAGGACATAGAGGCCCTTGAGGTTAGTAGATGTAGGCGAAAACATGATGCAAGGAGGCAAAAGACAACACAGCGATCGGCCGAGTCACACTGCCGGATTGGGGCGGGCACGTGTATTAGGGTTAGGGTCAGCCATTATGAATTTCAAAAAGTATGGGTAGCAGGAGCTCCTGTGGGACTTCAGAGACAAGTCCTCTTTTCCAAGGCTGCGACACCAGAAAGGTGCGCGCCGCAGAGATTGTAGGTAATGCAGTATAGTAATCAAAGGGTAACAAAAGGGGTGGCCACCGAAAGAAATAGTGTATGTAAAGGTGCGTAGTAAGCCGTGGGCACTGATGCAGGGTTGTCGTTCAAAGCTGGCAGGGAAACGAACATCAGCGGTGAGGAATAAAGTGGAACCTGTACGCACCGCTGGCGGGCCGACTGTGCAAGCAGATAAAAGAACCTTAAGGACAGTCAGCTCGTGAAATAAGGAATGCGGGGGATATACCGAAGGAAGCTGGCATGCGATTGCGCGACTGTGACGTGCGCGACCGCGACGTGCGTTGACACCCTACAATGATGTCAGAAACAGTTGAAATGCAGAAGAAAAGCAGCGACTACACCGAGAAGGGGGTCCGATGCACACCGAGTGTGGGCCAAGGCGGTGTGCTGACACGGGCTGGGCAGGAAGAACTAAGCCTCTCGCGCATGATAGGAAACGAACCTCTTGAGACGAGAATATACCCTGATATATCTGCAGCTACGTTAGCAAATCCTCCAGATCTGGGGAGCGGCCTCCTACGGATGGTTGCACACTCCGAGACGACCGTCGATAGTGCTGTGGCCGGACAACGCATAGGGCGCTGCCGGCTCCAGCAAAGGTATGTGCAGCGACCGAGCCGCTCAGGGGACCCGACGCTGCCCAAGTGATCACGTACGGAAACCGAGCCACCCGGGCTCGACGCCGTCCGCGATCGGGCGACGTGGGGAGTGAAGCCCGCACGTCGCCCTAGTCCGTGGACTGACCGACGCCGAAGCGACGACAGCCCCCGGCCAGGAGCCCACAGTAACAACAAACGCGATGGTGACCAAAAACCGACAGGCAAGGCGTGCTGAAAAGGGGCGCGTCAACGATCTGCTCTTGGGTACGAGACGAGATGGACGGAAGGACCGAATACCAGAATATCTGCGGAAACTCGTTAGCAACTCCGCGTGTTCCATGAAGGCTTTCACTTACGTCCCGTCACGAAGTCTTTGGGCGGTCGCTAGTGGCGCTGTGGCCGGACAACGCATAGGGCGCTGCCGGCTCCAGCAAAGGTATGTGCAGCGACCGAGCCGCTCAGGGGACCCGACGCTGCCCAAGTGATCACGTACGGAAACCGAGCCACCCGGGCCCGACGCCGTCCGCGATCGGGCGACGTGGGGAGTGAAGCCCGCACGTCGCCCTAGTCCGTGGGCTGACCGACGCCGAAGCGACGACAGCCCCCGGTGAAAAGCCCACAGAAACAACAAAAGACGCGACATCGACAGTCAACAACCGGACAAGTCCGGTCGCAACCGGCGCGTCATCGCCTAGGACGGAGGTGTGCAGCGACCGAGCCGCTCAGGGGACCCGACGCTGCCCAAGTGATCACGTACGGAAACCGAGCCACCCGGGCTCGACGCCGTCCGCGATCGGGCGACGTGGGGAGTGAAGCCCGCACGTCGCCCTAGTCCGTGGGCTGACCGACGCCGAAGCGACGACAGCCCCCGGTGAAAAGCCCACAGAACCAACAAAAGACTCTCGCCGATCGAGCGATCGACGAGCCATCGCACCAAAGCACGCCCATACTGATCGTACATGCGCGGCGACCTGAGGTCATGACAACCTCAGGCCTAAGGAGAGGCCAACCTCCAAACCGCTCAGCCGGGCCCTGGCTGCGACAAGGTATGGTGTACGAATGGCTTGATGGCAAGAGCAAAGCCTTCATCGATCAAATTTTCGCCGACTTCATCCGGCCATCACGTGATCAGTGAGCAGCCAAACAAAGCCCGCGTTCCGCCACAAATTGGGACTTAGACGAGCCGTCCGTCAAGCCCCATAGCCTGCGGGACCTCACTGATAAATCGAGATAGATCACACCTCCTGGACCTCTCTGGGATGGAGAGATGATAATTCACGCTAGTGCTAATGGTGCCATCGCGAGAATTGCTCTTCGGCAGACTCCCCCGCGCGATTCGCCATGCGCATTGCCATGTCTTCGGGTATGGCATGCTCCGGGCTGCGTCCCGCCAGGCGCCTTACGGCCTCCTCAGCTGCGGCCCGCCCTGCACCTCTCCAGTACCATTTTGGCATGGTCAGTCTCCCCAGTTTATACCAGGAATACTCCAGATGACTACCCATGCGTCGGCGACCCCTACCCGGGGTGATGGAGCCGCAAAATGGTTGCCAAATCCACCGACGGCACTCACAGAACAGGGGCTCTGTGCGAGTGGCATGTCCGGGCATTTCTACGCCTGCCTCGGCGAATCGTTGCCACGACATGGACGACATCAGTTCTATATGCGTTGAGTCCGGGTACTATATCCTCTGTGCACAGCGGGCTTACCAACATGCCCGAAGGGGACTTTGTGCATTTGCTCCTCTGGGAGCGTCTTCTTGTTCATGGGAGCGAGCGCCAGCCACGCGCGGTCGACGAGGTCCTGCGTATTGCCATCTGGGCGCCATAGGGGATCCCAAGTGAATTTCTCGTGGCCGTACCACTGTATTACGGTGAGTGAATATACCGACTCACACGGCAGTCACACATACGGCGACCAGATACAGGACCACTTTGCCACCGCAGCTTTGCGGGCGATATACGGCGAGTATGGCCTCTGGATTCAACTTCATTGCAGGAAAAGCGGAGCTTAGCGAACGCGCTCACCTGGACGGTCGACTAAATTGCCCCCTCCCACCGGGAATACGCCTTTTGGTGGCCAGCGCATCCGGCCCGAGGGGCAGTAATCGGATGTGTCCCAGCACATCGCTGTGGCGGTTTGCAACGAGGAGGCGTAACCGGCGAATCCACCCGACATCAGGATCCTCCCCCCCATCCGGATTTTGCCGGACGTCACGTGGCAGGAGTCATTCCAGCCCACCAGCTCTTCTTGCCCATTCTCCGGCTCGCCTGGTGCATACGGGCACTCGGCGGCCAGGCATGACCACCCTGCGCACGCGTATGATAGGATGCCGCTTTGGAAATGGGATGAAATTCGCCGCTCGCCTGCAATCCCGTCCACAAACCAGACCCAAATTTCCCAATCTCCGAACGTTGGCCAGCCCCAACTTATCTGGTACAAAAGTCAAGGCTTCCTTCAGTAACGGTAGACTTGCAACGGCCCCAGCCACAATCCTCATCAGCGGACGGCACCTCGCCGTCATCTGGTCAACGGCACAAGTACGTAAGCTTGGATCATTTGGCGCGCCCGAAATACCCTGACCAGACGATTTTCGTCCGCCCAGTCACCGGTCGTTTGTCGCCCATGGCGTCTCTGTCCATTTCTCTGAATCTTCCCGTGGCGACTTGGGAGGCGTTGCTGAATGCGTCCTGGCAGGCCTCGTGTGCCGATTCAGCTGCGGAATTGGTGAGAGCGGTGCGTGCGGAGAGGGACAGCATTGCGGTTTCCCTCCGGCGTCATCGTTCGACATCCATGGCGTCCCTTCATGGACGGCCCCGCGCGCGCTCTCTGTCGTCTGCGCTTCCAAACAACACCGACCTAGGACCTTTCCATCCCCGACCGCAAGCTGGGTCGCCGTCGCCGGCCGCCGAGCAGTGGGCCCCTCGGCCAACGTCGCCTGGGGTCAACCACGCTGAAGACTGGCCAAAGCTGCTGTCCGAAGCTTCTTTCTCCGACGACACCGCGTCAGTCTGTACCGCCGAACCAGAGCAATTTTATGTGCGTTTCTCCCCTGCGTCTTACTCCCTGGTCAAACTCACACTGGAACAGTCTACTTCATCAGCTCGCCCTGAGACACATCTGTACGACGTCTGTAACCCGGTAGAAGAGCTGTCAATGATCCGGAATAGCGGGTGCGATTCTAGGCTATCCGCGCCGTCGTCCTCGGGTCCGCCTTCGCCGCTCACTGAGTACTCTGACGACGAGGACTCGCCGACCAGAAACCGTTGTATTCAAAGCCCGCGTCGCACGAGGCTCCGCTCCAGGGGACGCGCTGATCGCGACGAACGAGACAGCGCGCGGGAAGACTCCTCCCCGTCCCCCGCGCCTCGCAACCGAAAACGTCGGCGCCGTTCTAAGGAGAAGCAGGCCCGACGCCATGTCCGCCCGCGCACAAACTCTGTAAGGCTGGAAGGTGACAAGCAGCACAAGAACTGGACATTGGTCGATGGTCCTGTACCTCTGACAGAGGGCGCGTCTTTGTTGGTGGAGCAGGTGTGCGGGCAGAATGACGCGCAGCGTGTCAGCCGTATAGCCGCTTTGTTCGGAGTGGTTGATAACCTATCCAACGCTGCCGTTTTGGCGGCGCCATCTTCACCTCTGAACCTCGCCAGCATCGCCGCTATGGTCACGAGGTTGGAGAGGAGTGCATCCGAGATGGAACTCGCCCTCTGCATGGGCTACATACAGCTGGTGCTGAACGTAGATCAGTGGGTCATTCATGTTCCATGGCACTGCTGCGTATACTGACAGCGCGGAAGTCTCGACCGCGAGGCTCGTCAGACTCGTCAGAAGAATGGTTCAAGGGACGCTCGGCGTAAGCAACGCGCACGCGCAGCGCAGGGTGCTCTACCCCATGGCGCCAATAGGGCCGAGCTAGCGCGCTCAGCTGGCGTATCGAAGTCGACGCTGGAGAGATGGTTGGGCATGGGGACACGGCTTCTCTATCTGTGCATGGCCGGTGGGTTTCTATCAACGGGCACCATGCGTTTGACTGGACATGCCGAGCACAGGCACCCCGCTCATCCTATTCGCGCTGTCTTCGTGCGCATTCTTAGGCGAGTGTCGCAGTGGACGCTATACAACTTACCATGATATCATGGCCATGGGTCTTCCATTCCGTGAGCCGGACGGTGGGTGAGTACCTGGGCCTGTGGAGCTTTTCTAACGTATGTTGTCTCTCTGCAGAGCAAACGGCTGCTGGCCGGCTCGTCCGCAATCACTACCTTCCCCTCCTGCGTTGGATGCAGCAAGAAGCCACCGGCAAAAGCAACCTCCGTCTCTACGATCCGAGCACCGCCGCTTACCATCATCTCTCGGACTTCGACTTCTGGGACGCTCGATTTGGGGAGGTTCAGCTGAAGTCAGTGCTTTCCCTGCGCATGAATCTCACGCATGCACATCTGCGTTAACCCTCCCGATCAGTTGCTTTCGTCTGCCGCCCCGTTCGTACAAGTGGGAGGATTATACGTCTCTGGCGCCACAACAACCGTCAGCCTGTCCGCTTCCTGCCGCGCTAACCATCAACACCGGCCGACCTTTCCCTTCCGAGCCGTGCCCAGTCACTGGGGACAACCGGCGGGCGTGGACCGAGGCTCAGCGGAAGAAGGTCGATAAGTGCGCTGTGCGCGTTGAAACGAAGGAGGAGCTGAAACGCAAGGTATCCGCGTGCTCCAGAGCGAATAGATACGGACTGACGACGTGCCTCTCCAGCTGCGGGAAGGCGGTGACGATTATATTGTCCTGGATCCCGGTATCCTAGACGGGTGTGTTGATGACTGTTATGTTGCTGTTCTGGCTAATACGTGGTTCCAGGATGCCTCTCGATCTTCGGGCAGGCACTGGCGACCGCATAGCCTTCGTAGTACCTATTGAAGGATCTCAGCCCGGGAGACCTGATCTCAGGGAATTGCTGGACAGCGTTGTCGATCGCATACAGTGCTTACTGCCGTCGGACTTCGATACTGTGGACAGCTCAGCGGAAGAGTACAAAGGTTTTGTTGCCATCCACTTCACCATATATTGCAAGTACTCCGAGCACGTGAGCCTAGACGTTGTATCGCCGTGCCACATTCTCTGATGACGCTTCTCACTAGGGCAACGAGAACCTGCCGCCTCCCGAGGCCGCGCATCCGACTCGGATTTCCAGGGAGGGAGGAACACGAGTGAACGTGAATATGCGTGTCCCGCGTCAGTCTCACGAGATACGCGAAGATCCTCTGGGCTACCAGGCTATCGCCACCATGCTCAAACCGCTATTTGCGTGGGTGTCCGAAAATGTTGTTCGTTTTTCCTGCTTTTAGCGTCTAGCACTGATGACCACTGGGCAGATGCAGACGCACCTGGGTCCGGTACAAGACGAACTGGAGCTGTTTCTCGAGGTTCTACCGCTACGAGAGGGGTCCCCTTGCGCGCCCTTCGCTGGGTTCGTGCTCAACCTTGGGGTCGCAACAGACGGCCATCGTGATCGCGGTGATCTGAGGATATGCATGGTCTCTCCGCTTGGTGGATGGACGGGCGGCGAGCTGGTGCTTCATGAAGCCCGCCTTGTCCTCGCCTTGCGAGCTGGCGACCTATTGTTCTTCCCTTCGAACCGTCTCACTCATTTCAACATGAACTGCCAAGGCCAGCGTTTGTCGGTGGTGGCGCACACTGATAGGGCATGTAACGCATGGGTGACGGACGGCTTCGGTTGGGGAGCTCATCTTTCGTAGTTTCTTACTTAGTCTCCATGACACGGTGTTCTTTGGGAAGCAGGTGTGCGTCAACAGTGCTCCCCAATTCTACGGGTACTGCCCTGACCCCTGCTACACGATTTCACATACATGGTCCTGCCTAATAGTATTTATGACGACAGGTGCTTGGGATCGGTGTCATATAAAAGGAGGGGCGCCCAGCAGACTGCTCTTGATAACCCGCTCCCAACCGACGCACTCGCATTCCAGACCTTAAGATCATTGGCATGTGCTTCATCGCCAACCTTTGTACCCGTCACATCTGCGGACACGTCCAAGTGAACGAGCGCACCAGGGCAAGTCGTCGCGCCGCAGCAGAGCGCATACTACTCTACTTACGATGTGTGCTGTAGGTGGACTGCCAGAAGAAACGCTGTGCTCTCAGCGTCGCTCACGACGAATCTGCCCATGATTGCATCAGCTCTTGCGAACAGAGGTGCAGATAGCTTTCCGTACGGTGATCTACTCGCTGATGTTGTTGTCTACAGGCTCAGCGTTCAGCGCAATCTGGTCGAAAATCGGTGGTCCATTTGTTCTGGCTGCTCGGTTAGGTATCACGGTTAGCATGTATGGACTCCAGCGTTGAATTCATAGGTGCTTTCGGCTCGTACATTTGTTCGAGCGCTGCCCCATTTGGATCTGATGGCGAACTGATGGCACATGGCTTGCCAGTTCTCCCTTGGCGAGTCCTTCCATGTTGTCTGACGGTGATAATCAACCTGCATACCCTCATTGCAGGCCGATGCATGCACCCCACTCACTATCCCAGGACATTGATGATCTGGCAGGTGCTCCCTGGACGGAGGAGGAGGAGGAGTTAGTGAGGCGGGTCGAACGTGAAGCTCTCAGATCGTCATCAGAGGAGGTGGAGAGGTTGGCCAATGAGCCTTGGACGGAGGAGGAGGAAGCGGAGGTGCGCCGGATTGAGCAGAAAGCTGCGAGGTCCTCCTCCGCGGAGGTAGAGGCGCTCGCCAACGCACCTTGGTCGGCAGAGGAGGAAGAGGCGGTGAGGATGGTGGAGATGCGTGCCATGGGCGCGCCAGGTGGAGAGACTCCCAACAAGGAGGGGGCAGTACTCGGTATTCCGCAAAGGAACATCACGCCCTCTGTACGTCGCGCGAACCTCTTTTGATGTGGCCTGAGAGCTCACGCGCCTTCGCAGCCACCACCTCGCCTATGTCCTCCCAAGCGCAGGCTGGCAGAAGCCATCTTCCTCGATGGATTGGAGGATGCCGGTGTAAGTGGGTGGGACGTCTGAGGCTCTGCGTAGCTCACGGTGCTTCACAGGCTGGCGACGACTTCGGAGGGGCGCTCAAGCGTATCAAGCGGTGGAGCTCACCCACCAGGGCGACCTCTGAGGAGGCGAGCTCGATGGCGATACAGCCGGAAATTGTCCAGCCCGACGTGGGTTCACCCTCGGGATCCTTACATGTTCCTGCTCATTCTCCCCAAGTACGTGCTGCTACCTTTGAGGACAGAGACCTGTAATCTTACGCACGTCTGCCAATGCAGCCAGGCGAGGACGATGTCCATCACACCAACATCTACATTAACAACCCCTTCCTGGATGTGCAAGCCATCCATTCCGGTGAGGAAACATCGAGTGGTGAGGAGGACGAAGGGGCCTGCTACGGAGAACACGGTAACCAAGACGGGTTTCTGACATCGTCGCCTTCCGAAGTTGCTGAGGTGGACGGCGCGCGATGGGCGGGCCTGTTATCTCAAAATCTTCCGAATGGGCCTCAGTTCATGCTACCCCCTATACGTAGCGGCGGACTTGGTGGGGCGCGCATCCTGCGAATGGTCAAGATTGACGATGATGATGTGGAGGATGGAGAGCCAAGCAGCGGCGTGGAGGAGCCCGGAGACTGCTACTCTATTGGTAGTTTCGTTGTTAGCGACCATGACGAGGCTAGCGACGCAACGGCTTAGAAATGAGGACTTTTCTCAGCCTCCGTTGACCCCCGCCAGCATCTCCCTCACCATGACTTAGCACATCGGCGCGCGCGTTCCGTGGAACCGCCGATCGCACATCGATCATGCAGTGGCGCGATAGGGATTTCCTTATGTGGAGGCTTCCCCGACCGCCGATTCCAGTTTGAGCTCGATCGCCGGCTGGACTTCCCTCCCGACCGCCGGTTCCGTACCTGCGCTGTACAAAGAACCTTTACTTTCCAAAGTCTGCCCCACATCCCCCCATCTACGCCGGCACCCTGGGACCACTCATAGCGTATCCCTTGTTCTGACACTTGGATCGACGCGGGATCTGAGTTCTCCGCCGAAATCCATGCCCAAGGGAAAGAAGCGGAAGGCGGAGGAAACGGGCAGAGGGAAGGGCACCGGTGCGTATCGCGTTCAATGTTGCTGTTCTCCGCATTCATCCCAAAAGCAGGGAGAGATCGCAAAGACGTGTACCCTAAAGGAATGCGCATGGGTGTGCTGCTTCATGGCGAGGACGAGTGGTTCGGTCAAGGTGCGCTGAAAGAGAGCTCACCTTTGTTCATCCACCCACCCTCTGCCACAGGCGCGACAGTGCATATGGATGGGGTGACAAAACAGCCCGCGCTCTCGCCGGCTTGCCACTCAAATACCCATGCCCCTTCGCAGTTGGCTTCGAGCGCTCCGTCATCGCCGAAATCTCATCCACGTACACCATCGCCATCCCCCTCGGAGCCTGCCCCTCAACTGCAACCCGAAATCGCACAGGTCTCTTCGTCGGTGAGCGCATGGCGGCGGATACATCTGCCAATATGCTGACTAGCTGGATGCACACCAGCAGTCGCGTCGAATGAAACCCAAGCCCCGGACTGTCAAATCTCAGGCAGAAGAAGTTCAACGACGCAGGAAAATTCTGGAGCAGTCGAAGCAGGAGATGGAGAAGTCTCGCGCGACCATCGTTGACCTGGCTCGAGCGCATACGGCGGACAGCCTGGCCGCCATGGGGGAAGAACAGCTGAAGGAGATCCTCACCGACCGGCGGGAGCTTGATCCGCAAAGGAGCGCCGAAGAGAACACAGTGCGCCTCTGTCTCTGGCTGGGAGTGGCGCTACCTCCCTGTGAGTCCCTGAAAGCTCTACCGCTCGTTGCAAATCCTCACCTTGTGCCGAAAGTGCTCCGAAACTCAGACGCTCCTCCCCCGATGTTGACGAAGAAGGCCGCGCTCGCGCGGGAACAGGAGCGAACCCGGCACAAAGCGCAACACAGTCTGGGTGCTGGCGGAGATACTTCCAGCGAATCCGAGGACTCTGACGACTCCAGCGATTCTAGCGACCTCGATGACCGACTCGATGGGGAGGTGAGAAGCTTGTCAGCTATGGGTACGTGTTCTTGGGACGTTTTGAAAGGCGTACGACTGATTGGGCCCAAGAGAACATCTACAGCACCAGAGACTTCTGCCCGAAGTGCCACGCCGCGCTTCCCGCCCATCCATCCCCAAGATTGAGCAGGATGGTTACCTCATCAGCGCCTGCCCGGATCAATAAGTGCCTACGCGCCCACTGGGAGACCGAAGTTCTTGTCCATGCACGGATCCACGGCTTCGACGAGGTGATGATCGACTGGAGTGCGGTGCCCGACCGGGTCAGGGCCTACAGAGGCTTGTTGACCGCTATCCTAACTGATCATGTACCCGATGCGGTGTCCTTGGACCAACTGCAGTCCGTTGCTCACCTCCGCACCAGCGGCCCCGCTTTGCAGTGCTTCTTTGTGAGGCAGTGCTTGTACGATCAGGCGACGCTGAGGTTGGAATACCTAGGGAAATTGGAGGAGTGGGCAAAAAAAGGACGCAAAGGGGACCCGCCTCGGGACTTGAAGACGTTGCCGCCCTTTTCTCCTGCGCCCATGGGATTGTGAGCATCCTTCATGTACCGGGCGTGTGCGGTGCTGACCTGCGTATTTCCAGGTACGGAGATCTGGAGGATGAGGGCAGGGTTCTGATCGAGCGGGTCATTGTGAATATGATTCCCCTGGAGGACATTCACAGGTTGCTCGTCGCCTTGCAGAGGGAGTACACATTTGACGAGCAATGGCTGCTCCGCAACATCCTCGTACCGGAAGTCGTGCTGCGCCTGACACTGGAGGACAACCCCCAGATGAGGAAGGACTTGTATGTCGCCTGGAGGTATGTCAGACGCACGTCGCAATATGGACAAGGGCGGGAATTGAACGGGAAGCAACGGGACATTGTGGAGGACCTGGTCATGCATGAGAATATGCTGAACAGCAGGATGGCGCAGAAGAGATGGTCGTTCGGAGAGCAAGTCAAATATTACGCCCCGCTGGTAATCTAGACAAGAATTGCATTGCTATCGTGCGTGTTGGTGCCTTCAGAACTGTGGGCAGTTTGAGCAAGGCTCGCAACGCCAGAGGGAAAGGGAGACCGGCCCGCACGGGCGAGCGGAGTGTCGGTGGGGAGACGGCTGTGAGGTTCTGCCCTTGAGGCGGGATTAGACTTGAGGAACCCTCGTTTCAAGGACCCGGACGTTTTCCTTCGCTGCGCGGCAGAACGTCCTCCTTCCTTTTTGGGAACGGATCGGTCCGCAGCGCGAGGAGACCTGCGCTCGCTGCCTTGGCTCTCCTTCAAGAGGATGCTACGCTAAAGCTTCATCCTTCTCACCGATATCTGACTGAGCCAGTGCTGCATGTCCATCACAGAGTGCGCTCCAGGTCGCTCCACTGCATCGCGTGGCTTCAAGCGCGGGGACTACAATATCGGATTCTCAATCTCCGTATTCCACCCGCAGGTACGGCACAGCGCACCAAGAAGGAGCTCTCCATTGGGGCCACGTCGTCAGTCGCGGGGGGACGCCATGCTCGTCCAGGAGTTTGGCGCATGCGCAGTCCGTTTTCCCGCAAATGTGCCCGAGTGAGCAAATTCAGCTACGCATGTCGTACATACTCTTACAAAGGCAGCTACATTGCCGGCGATGGAGTCGAATGCTCCAAGAGCTCGCTCCGCATTATCGGCGGCTTCATGAGCGTGAGGGGAGGGTGAGGCTCATACTCTCCTGCCTGCTTCACGTCGCACGATGTACGCATACCGATAACGCAACCTCTTTCCGTATACCGCATAATTTCTAGCCCCAAGGACGCTCGCGATCTGCCCGGTGCGACGGCAGTGTATAGAGTCGCCCGTCGTCCCCCGACAACAGGGATAGCCGTCGCGCTGTCCCTAAGTCGGGGTACTGGGCGGCGCTATCATGTGTCCCACATACAGTGCGTGGCCTGCATTGCACCCGAGCTCCTCGAGGCCGTCAGATGCGCACCCGGTGCGCTGTATTCTCCGATATATACTCATCGAGCGTCAGGCTATCGTCCAATCATCTTGGTGTACACTCAACGTTGTGCAGGCACATTGCATGCGTCGAGCTTCCGATGGCTGAACATGGAAATGTACTAACCTGTACAGTACGCGCGGAGGTGCGCGCGCTCACCCTCGGCATCTCTCTACCATGTCGTCATTGAGTAGGACTTCCATGAGCAAGCCCCTTAGACGTGTCCCTTTGGTGACCTTGCACCCGTGTCCCATGCTAACATGCCCGCCGTGCTTCGCTATGGCCAGGTGAGTGTTTACATCTTTCGTCCTCGCCCCGTTGCTGACCGTCCCCACGCTGGATCAACCCTAGCTCCGGGGCTCATGCGCTCGTACGCCAGGAGAGCTGCATGGGCGACCCCGCTGTCTGTTATACACTCTTGGGAAGCCCGTCATGATCAGGCTCAGGATAGTATATCTGGTAGCCGTCGGATGTCTTCTGAACCGCCGGCCGCCTATCACCAGGGTGCTCGCGCGTACCCTGGCGGGGACCTGCCGTGCGATCAAGGGTTCGCTGGCCTTTCAACCTGGTGCGAGAAGGACCCTGATCTGAAGATAGGGTTCACCGGCCTCAATGGACGGATGACAGACGGTGGGTCACCTCCTCGCTCTTATACCCGGCGTTCACTGGCGCTTGTTTCTCCGTCTCCCCACTCACTACCGCCAACAATGTCGACCGCTAACGTCTCCAACGCCTCTAACCAAAACGTGAGTGCATTGTTGCGCCTGCCTATATGCCGAACTCATGCTGCCTCTCTCACAGGATGACGGCGCGGTCAGTGGACCCCTCTCCGATGCCTGTTTGTTTCCCACTGACGATCGCTGGAACAGCCTCCGCGCGTAGTCGCGTCAACTGCAGTACGCGCATGTGTGTGCCGCCGTCATCGATACGCTGATGCCTTGGACATTTCAGGAGGTGCAGGCGATACTCGACGACGCCTTCAAGAAGCGCGCAGCGGCAGAGGCTGAAAGAGACGACTTGAAGCAATGGCTCGACCTCACCAAGGCCAGACTCGATTCGTCGGAGAGCTTTGTCAGCAGCCTTCAGCAGTCCATCGAGGAACACTCCGGGACCGCGAGACTTCGCCGACAGGAAGTCCGCGAAGTGAAGAAAGAGTTCAGGAGTATTTTCGTCGAAGTGCGGACCGCGCTGGACGACGTACGTACAGGGTCCCTTGGCTGGTGTGTGACGTGCTGATGGCTCTGCCAGAACTATGGCAGGCGTACGCCCGCTGACGCGATCGCCTCCTTGAAGGTCTGCCTCGAGAAGCACCAGCCGCTCTTTGACCTGTGGTTTGGGGACCTCGAGCTGGAGGACGACATGGCCTCCGAGGATTGATCTCCTGCCCGGCTCGCCGCTCGTCCTCATGTGCAGTACTCATCTTGCGTCCTTCCTGTTCTGCAAAGTCGCCTCCCCCATCGTCTGTACGAGAATTACTCCTGACACTATATGCTAGCCATCTTGTTCCCTGAATGTGTGCTCCTGTGAATGTGCAATTCTTTGTTCCTGCCCTACGTCGAGACGGTTCGCTCCTTATAAGGAAGGTGAGCTCTTTACAGCAGCACAAGTCTCCGGGCCGGGTCTGTAGACCATGCCAGTGATTGAGATAGTTGCCGTTCCTTCAGGAAGACATAGTCAGGGGCAAGAAGGAGTAGGGACAGGTCAAGCCATCCCCGTCATAGTCCGCCGGCGGGCCTGGCATTGTCACGTGATTATGGGCTGGAACCCATACGCGCGTGTTTGCCACGCGGATCTTGCGCCTTTGGTCCTGGTCTTGAGAGATGGTGGCAGGTATGACATTGTAGTCTGAGTCTCTAGTATCTGATGCAGATATCCTGCCTTTGCAGCAATCCCTGATACGATTTTGCTCAATATCTCAACCTATGCCGACGGGGACACCCGACTTGTTGTGTCCTCTGTCAATCACGCCCTGCGCACCCGACTGGTGCCCCTGATGTTCAAGACGATCGTGGTAGATCAAGACGATGAGCGCTCCATAAAAGCGCTGGGTCGTGGTCTTCTGGCAACCGCGCGCGAACTCGTGCTGCATGATACCAGGCTCGCTCGTGAACTCATCCCGCATGCCACTCGATCCGCCCCCCTGCGTCTTCAAAGCCTCACATTCTCCCCCGACTCCGACGATGCGCTCTACAGGGAGACTATGGCCATCTCCTGTCTCTTGCCTTTTCTGCGGGCGTCGCCCCATCTAGAAAGGCTGGATTGCGTCTTGGTACTTCGCCGCCAGCGTGATCTGTTTGCGCTTATGTCCGAAGTGACTGGAATCAAGAAGCTTGTGATACAGCACATAGAAGGCCCTCAGCGGGAGCCACTATCCGGTGAAACTGCGCCTTGGGTGAGGCTCGAAGAGCTCATCGTTGGGAATGGGGTGACGGATGCGTGGTTTGAGCTCGTGCTTCCGCCCCACTGGCACCCACCCCTCACCGCGCTTGACATTTCCAAAGGAGCTGATGTCACTTGGACCACCCTGCGTGCTTGCCTGGGCTCTGTTCGAAGCAGCATCGAACGCTTGCATATATCTTCCAGCATGCTCCTCGAGAACGACGGTGAGTGGCTACCAATCATGTCAGGCTCATGTCTCACTGAAACCTCTCTCACAGATACAGAAGGCGCAGGCCTGCATTTCGAAGGGCATCTGCCTGCCCTCCGCGAGCTTCATGTTCGGATGCTCACGCGACGCGGAGACCGATTGCAGGAGATGGATGGCGTCAAGAACCTCATTCGCGTCCTATCCAACGACGCGTTAGCACCCATCACTGAACTTCACCTCGAATTCTTCATCATGAGCGTCTTCTACTCTGACATGGGCCGTGGAGGAGGCTACCGAGGGGGGAACAATGCCGACGTTACAGGCATATGCGGTGATCGCCTGACGCTCTCATGGTGGCAGTCATTCGCGCTTCCACGGCGCTGCTCCATGATCATCTTGATCATCTACGACGCAGAGGACGAGGCAAGTGACTCGGAGAGCACCGATTCCAGCGCGACCGACAGTGACTTGGACGATGGTCATCGGGCGTCTCAAGCACGCTATCCCTCCGGTCTCTTGCGACGTCCTTATGGAGAGAACGAAGGCCTGAAATGGAAGCCGCATGCTCGGTCTCTGCTGCTTCACCTCGCCCAAAGCATCGGTGTCACCGCGCGTGTCTCATTCGCTCCAGGTATGTACAACCCCCGGTGATTTGCAGGGTCCTTTGATGAACGCCAAATGCTAGGGATGTACGTTGGTCCCATTCCAGGGGAATGCCCCTCCAGCGGGTGGCCAGAGGAGTGGATTGAGCAGTTCGAAGAAGACCCCGACAAGGCGATGGATGAGAATGAGACCGCCCTCTTCTACAACTGGAGGGAATGGGAGGTTTGAATACAGGAATCTCCCATGTCTGGATTGGTTTTTGATTCTATGGTTTTGTTACTCCTTGAAATCATAAGACCCTCGTCGCTCACTGTCCCTACCAGTCGTTGGTGCCCTAGCATACCTCACCGGGCGGCTCATCCATTCAGAGCCAATGCTTTACAGGTGAGTCGGCGGCTCCGCCTCAAGTGGGGACTCCGCCCGCTCCACCTGGGCCGGAGTCGCCGGCTGCCGCGCGACGCGAGGCCGGCGGCTATGTTATCATCTGGAGTTGGCGGATGCTCTGGCCATGTCTCTAGTTCCGGACCGTCTCTAAACATGCAATATATGGGTAGGTGGTCATGCAATATCAAGGACGATGAAGCTGAGCTGCGATGGTAACGTAACGTCAACTGCCTGCCTTGTTCCTTGCTATCTGCCCTCGATCTTCTGAAGGGGATTCACACCATTAGCGCGACGGCGAGCTCAATGAATGCGTCGGGCGCCGTGATAGTTACCGGCCGTCAGATTGTTGCCATGCCTTAGCAATCAGCGGTGGCCGCCGTTGCCTCTGCTATGCAGCGTATGTCAGGTGGTATTCAGATTGAAGAGGAATATAAGGAGCACCATTGGAGTGTCGAGCATCAATTATGAATACCCTTCCCCTCCCCAAGGTGCGTCGCCTTCACGGCGTCTACCACGAGCTGACGCCTTCGTGAAGATTTACGCCCACCTGGAGCAGACGTTGAGAGAAAGACGCGAAGCTGAACTCGAGCGAGATATACTCGCTCATCGACTGAGTCGAATGGAGTCCGATCTCAGAGATTCCTCAGCGCGGGTGCTGCAGCTCGAAGGGGCTCTTCAGCAAGCAACGCTCGCTCGTCGGAAGGACCAGGACGATCATGTCGCGACGAAACGCGAGTACTTAGAAGCGCGAGCGAAACTGGACAATGCCTCCAATGGCTGGGTATGATCCAGTGTCCTCCAGAATGCATCATGTCTAATGGTCGGCAGAGTGCTGCTGTGCGTGACGTCGGCGCTTGCTGTGTATGCGGTGCTCCCGCAGTGGGTACCGTCGTGCCATGTGGACACAGCATCTGCGAAAGCGGGCATAAGATGCGCGATTGCGACTGCGATCTGCCTTTTGGGACCCCAGGCCGTTGCATGGCCCACGGCACGAAAGCTCGCTGCCCATACCATTCATGCGAAGTCGAGTTGGACTTTTATAGCCGCCATGTCAACTTGGCCATCGATGTCCTGAGTGCCAAACATGCAGCCATGTGTGCCGCCGAGGAATACTGCAAGGAGACGATGGGGTACGCAGCGGCTCTGACTCAAGAATTCCAGGAGAACGAAGTTTCAGTAGACATTGAGTGAATTGTAAACATATGTAGACCAAGTTTCAGATATGGGTGAAATCGGCCGGGTGATATCTACCTCAGTAGTATCCAGCACAGACAAAAGTCCATAGCGTCCGAAGACAGTGCGAGTGCGGTGGCGCCGTATGAGCGGCAATTCCCGCAGAGTGATCATCACATCTACACACGTGTTGCCGATCGACTGCGGCTTCTTGTTCTTCACTCTCATCTATTGCTGTCCTCCCCGCCAACATGATCGCCCGAACTCTGAACATCTCTTCATATATCTATCCAGGAAGAGCTTCGACAGCATAGCGAGGTGATCGAGTTAGTCACCGCCGCGAGATGACGTATACGGAGCCATACGAGGACGCGCTCGAGCCTTGCTGAGCGGTGAGTGTTCTCGCTTTCCCCGCCAATCAGAACTGACCATGCAAGCAGGGCACACCACAGGTGACATGTCCTGCCTTTTCCCACCTCATACGCACAAGCAAGCGGGTCGCATCATATGTGATCGGTATCTCCTTTTGAGGGCGTCAACTGGTGCGCTGACCCATATTCATTGCTCTCATGACTGTCAGCCATATTCACAGAACCCTTGTGTATGCTACAGACACGGGCTAGAGATGGGCGCATGTAGTGCCCTTGCCAAGGGAGGAGGCGAAGGCGTAGGAATATAGGGCGCGGCACGTATCGCCATGACATTGTATGATTGGGCAAGCTGACGCAAGCTGCTTAGGGGACGGTTATGTGCTGGCTGCAACGCTAGCGCACTGTCTTCGTTATAGCGTGGGATGTTGTCGAACCCAGTGCCGACCAACAGTGTGGTTTAGCTACGTAGCCAGTATACACAGTACGTACCGTTATAACTGAATCAATGGTGATCGCTTTTCTCGCATGATGGTGGAATAAGATCAGAAATAGGCACCGGGCACCGGGCTATGCAAGAAAGGTAGGAAGGCAGAATGGTTAGTGACCGAGATAAGAAACCTCAGTAGCCATCTCATGTGCGACCGGCGGGCACACCTGACTTGACGGTCATAACGACCAACCTGACGCGAAGCCGCAGACTCCACATGAGAAGGCTCAAACAGGGAAGGGACGTGAAGTGGAGCTGCAGGTTGTGCGGCGGCTGGCCGGCGCGAGCAGGCGAGCCGGCTCCATAGTGGCCGGTAAGTCCATATGACATGGCCGGACTTGAAATCAACTTGTGGGTCCACTACCATACATGCACCCTCCGAGTCGCTGCGCACTCAGGCGGTGTCCACATCGCCAAGCAGCTCTCCGACATGATGACCGACTATGACGCATGCATGGAGGCGCTGTTGCGCGCAGTTGACTGTCCTGCGCGAATCGACCACCTTGCCGAACAACACTGGGGCCGCGCGCTTGTAATCGCGCTGAGGAAGGTGAGTTAACTCATCTCTTCCCCCTCTGGGTTTTAGCCCTGACATTTGCTGATGCATGTCCTTGCTCAACACAAGCTGCAGTCACTGCAGTACACATCCCAGCATAGCGTGCGAGCGTATCAGCCAGCTCGAGGCCGAGGTCGACGAGGGCGGAACGTACACGAGTGGCGCGTGGACAGTCAGACGAAAAGGAGCCGGCGGAGGGGCAGGGCGCGAGGTGCAGGTCGTCGGGGCTGAGAAATGATGAGGACGATTCATCGGCGCTGGAAGTGGAGCGCTAGCGCGAAGGCGAGGGGAGAAGAAGCAGGAGGAGGTAGTGGGGGAGCGCGGATCTGCATCGACCGCACCGACTTCCTCCACCCCGATGGCCGACGATAGCGTCGGCTTCGACAACGCTGCTCCCATCGCTGATGACGATGATTTGTCTCACTCCCCCCTAACCATCCTTATCGACGTCCGGCCAGCCTTGCAATCGCGTCCCAGGTCCGTCATGCCCCCGCGCCCGGAGCTCCGTCATGCATCCGTACCCCCGCCGCCATGTCTTCCTCGCGCGTCTCGCCAGGGGAGAGCAGGAGCTAGCAGGCAGCGAGGTTGTGTCTCTCCACCCCTCCTCTCCCCTTCGATTCGTTTGCTCCTCTGCCCTCCCTTCCGTTTCCTCCTCTGCCCTCCGCCTCGGTGGCTCCTCTCCCCTCTGACTCGGTCGCTCCTACGGCCCCTTGAGCGGGCGGACCGTGTGCCACTCTCGCAACGCGCTCACCTCACTGGACTCCGACCCTCCTCACCCAACTTCGACTCTCTTATCTCCTCTCCGCACCATTGACTCTCGACCTGAGGGGAGGTCGCGCCCAGGCTGCCGCCTTCTTTCTCTCCACTCCCCGCCTTCTTTTGCTCTGCTCCTCGCCTTCCTGCATCGCTACACTCCCCCGCCCCCCTCCTACCATCTCATCACGTTGCTCCACTCCCCGCCTCCCCCCTTCGCTCCCTCCGCCCTCCTCCCTCCTTCACTACTGCCTTCCTCCCTCCTTCACTACTGCCTTCCTCCCATTGATGCCCAATGTAGGGGTCGGGTACGTCCCTTGACCTCGGGCGCTCCACCGCTCTTTAGGGCGCGCTGCTTTCTGCAAGCGGGTCGCTGTACGATGCGAGAGGGCGGGTCGCTCAGCGGCACGACGCGAGAGGAGGGCGCGCCGCTTCGTGTGCCTTCGGAGGGCGGCTCACTGTACAACGCGAGAGGATGGGGTCGCTGCTCGTACTCTCGGAAAGTGTGCCGCCATACAATGCAAAAGCACGGGGTCGCTGTACGGCGGGAGGCGGTTGCACCCCGAAGCTGCTCGGACTACTCTACTGTCCTAGTCGATCGGACGAGGCACGTTCTGCGTGATCCGCGGAGGACATCGCCCGTGTTCACTCTCTAGGGACCCCGTCGCTCGTACTCTTTCTTGCAATCCCTTCGCTTGTACTCCGCTCCTTAACTAGTACTTGCCGAGGACATCGCCGGTACTTACTTCCTTCCGAAGGGGAGGGAGACACTTACCACGGCGAGAGGGGGGCGAGACGCTGGAGATGGGGAGGGACGTTGCTCATTGACGAGGGAGGCAGACAGACGAAGAGAGGGAGTGGAGGGAGAGCTCGCCCACGACCGCTCTAGGATGTCACCCATGAGGCTCGATAAGCCTACAATGCTCGATATGTCTATGACAAGGAGGGTGCAGGCCGCTCCTACGACGCTGGATGCGCAGCATTCAGCCGCGACCGTACGTGGAGGAGAGGGGGTTGCTACGACCTTGGGGTTGGGGTTGGGGGGGAGGGGGGGGCCGGACCACCCCTCCTCGACATGGGATGCTCTTTGACTAGACGTGGGTGCTTGACTCCCTCCTCGACATGGGTGCTCGACACCCCTCCTGGAAGTGGGTTCTCGCCTTCCCTCCTCTATGTGGTGTTAGCTCGATCCCCACCCTTGACGCGGATGCTCGACCGCCCGCCCCTCGCCTTGCGCGCTTGAACGCCCCTCCTCGAAGCGGGTGCCCGATGCGCCTCCTGAAGTGGTCGCTCGACTCCCCCTCTCCTCGACGTGGAGTGCGCGACCGCCTCTCCTCAACGTGGTCGCGCGACCACCCCTCGCCGACAGTGTGCCTTCGACTTCCCTCCCGGAAGTGGGTGCTCGGCCCTCCCTTGAAGCGGGTGCTCGACTCCCCTCCTCGTGCGCGACTGCCCTTTGTCGCCGAGGGTGCTCCATTCCCCCCTGAAGTAGGGTGCTCGATGCCCCTCCTCGGAGTGGACGCGCAACCGCCCCTCGACATGGGCACTCGACGCCCCCTCCTCGACGTGGGTGCTCGGCTTCCACCCCTCGAGGTGCTCGCTCGACGCCCAACTTCCTCCATGTGATGTGGGTGCTCGAGTCCCCTCCTCGGATCAGGGTGCTCAACTCGACATGGTCGCCCGCCTCCGCTTCTCGCCAAGGTGCTCGACTTCCCCCCCTCCACGTGGTCACGCGACAGCCTTCCTCGACGTGGGTGCGCGATCGCCCCTCGGAGTGGGTGCTTGTTTCCCCTCTTTCCTCGATACGGGTTCTCCCCCCTCCCCCTAAGCGGGGTGCTCTTCGACTAGACGCCGGGGCTTGACTCTCCTCCTCGACGTGGGGTGCTCGTCTCACCCCTTCCTCGATGTGAGCGCTTGACCGCTTCCCCTTGAAGTGGGTGCGTGCCTTCCCTCCTCTATGCGGTGTTAGCTTGACTCTTACCAACGTGGGCGCGCGACCGCCCCTCCTCGAAGTGGGGTGCTCCATTTCCCTCACTTGCTGAGGGTGCGCGACGCCTCCCGAAGTGGGCAGCCTGTCACGGTGCTGTCACACCAGAGTAAAAGTATATTGTTGTACTTGTACGCGGTTCAACCCCCAAAATGGCAGCTGAATGAGTTATCCTATAGGCTCAGGATACGCAATTAATTAAAAAAAGCAGGCCAAACTGGTTATAAACCAGATTAAAGAAACTAGTAATCGTGGGAGCGTAGCACTATATACGGATCAGTGCAGGGAAGACAAAGCAGGACAATACGGTGGGTATACGTCTGCAGGAGACGGGGGAATTGTCCCATAGGTATAGAATGTACGATGGGAGCCGTGAAACCTACAATGTCCGAAGTTTGGCACAAAGACTATAGAGATAATGGGGTATAAAGTCGGGCATCCAGAATAAAAGGGAATGCTAGGCTCCACTGCTGGTCGCGGTCCGGGGTGACTGAACGCCAGCATGACCGTCGGCAGTCGAAGGCGTAAGGCTGCGCGGCTCCTTGGGGGCAGCATGCAGCGATTGCGCAGGATTCAAGGCGTCGCCGCCGTCCTCAGGAGCACCCAATGTGTCATCCTCTTGTGGATCAGCGTTGTCGAGGTCCTTGATCCACGCCTCAACCTGCAGCTGCTCGCAGACAGGCCCGCAAAAGTGCTCTCGCAGGAAGCAGTCAACGCCTTCCTGACCATGATCGCCTAAGCCGGAAACGCTGAACTCATGGTAAGCAAGGGGCAGGTTTGTGCAGCGGAACTGGGACTTACTTATGGTCCGAGCTCCCTGCGGTGTGCGTCATGACATCAAATAAAATATTCGTCAAGACAGCACCATCTTCGGAGCTTTCTGCCCCACGTCTTCGTATGCCCTCGGTGCCTACCGCTCTGTGTCAACGACTTTCCAAAAGCACAAAGAGAAGCCAGAAAACGTACTCTGCAGATCGGCCAGCACCATCGTCTTGTTGGACATGCCATACACCATATGAGCAAGCGCCGTGACCGTGTTCCCAGCCAGGCTCGAATGACGCGGGTGCGCCATCGTACCGGACCAGCGGGTTGTCTGTGTGTTGCGACGAGGTTCAACGAGCCACATGATATGCATACCGGAGGGGGCCTTCGCTAATTGTTGAAGAGAGACGTCGCTTGCTATCGATGGTTGACCATTCGGAGGTATAACCTCGCGCGCCAGGCGAAAGCGGGTCACCCCTATAGCTATAACCTCGCATGATCAATGTCAAGATATTGTTGACGCAGGACAGATGCTCACGAGCGAAGTCTTTGAAATTGGAACGAACACAGACCTCGTAGAAGGTTTTGATGAAGAACTTGGTGTAGACAAGCCGGATCGCGTCGAGTTCCAGATATTGCGAGTTGTCGCGAATAGAAACCATGTCAGGGCCGCGACCAACGTCAAAGAACCGCTTGGCGACGTAGCCATCGCTGCCCCGGTCATCCAGGTCAAGCTAGCTCGAGCTATGAGCAAAGGGCTAAACAAGCACGCATATGGACGCACCTCATATATCTTCTTCATTTGGCCTTGCGCGATGGGCTGGGTAGCTAGCTTTCCTTCGCACTCCTCGTCGTCCCACAAGAATGTTACATGGCCGTACTCGTCCATCTTGGGCGTCGCATACTGTAGTCGAACTGACTGAGGAGCTGCCTCCTCCTGGAACGCCAGATCATCGGAATCTAGGATGCTGTAGCGCGAGCGCTTCTGGCGAGAGGTGCGAGGTTGGCGCCCAAAAAGGGATGGCGGCATGCGGGAGGATAGTCCTGACCAAGAGCATGAGTAAAAGAAGCTAGAAGGCGCCAAGGTAGACGCACCACCAGCGAGCAAGGACATTGTGCTTTGTGTTTCCTCCGCCTTGCGCTTTTTCCCCGTCCGCTGGGACAGCTCAAAAGGTGCCACGGCATTTGTGTGCTCCTCCCACTATAATCAAAGTCAGCACAGGCAAACGGGTATGAATGGACGGTGTACGCTCACCCCTGCTATATCGATATGCAACTCCAGAGGCAGGACTTTGATACGTGACCTCGCAGCGCCTGTCCTAGCCCGGAATTGCACCGGGACTTGCGGGCCACAGAAAACTTGCTCTGCGCCAGTACCAGTGCGCGCGCGATTGAAGAAGTCGCCAACATGTTCTTCCAGTTGCATAGGGGGTATTGTCTGGTTACCGCAGATTGTCATACGCACGTCGTCGCTGTATGCTGAGTTAGATCCAACCAACAACCTGAGATATAAGAGGAAACGCACGGGCGCAGACGATAGGACGATTTAGTCACCCATACAGTGTTGAGCATACTAAGACCAGTGGCCTTAACATCTGCGCGACGTGAGTATTAATCAAAGAAGTAAGTGATTGACGCACCGTACATACGGCGCTGACTGGGGTGGCTCGCCGTATGTATACCCAACTCTGCGACCTCCTTGCGCTTGAATATAGGGATGAAGGCGACGGTAACATCGGGGGAAAGACCGGTACCAGACGTCCCAGATCGAAGAGCACGCATTGTCTCTGAGTTGTGCACGATAGTAGGCGAAGCCTGATGGCCGTAAGAGAACCCAGCTGTAGGTGCGAGAGGTCCACGAGCATGCATTGCAGAGGTGCGAGGGGCTTGTCCAAAGGTAACGCGAGAAGCAGCGTGAGGCGGGTCGTCCAGCATGCCTCCGGTTGGTTGCGAGGGCCGCTGGTTATTCCGACGAGCCTTGGCGTCGATCATGCTAGAGGAAAAGGACGCTCTTCGTTCCGCATCGCGAGAGACGTCTGCAGCGTGCGCATCGTTACTGTAAGTCCCGGAGCCATCTGTGGAATCAAGTCAGCAGAGCGACTTGACCAAAGCGGAGAAGACGCACCTCGCTGCGCGCAGCCTCGACAGACTCCAGTTGTGTTCAGCACCCGACAGACTATACCGCAAGCTGTGCATTGAGGCGTCGCCTTATGATGACCGTCAGTAGTGCCCGATATCCAGTGGATCAGAACGCACCACAAGCCGCTCTATGTCTGCATCGCCTCGCTTCGATGCGATGAACTCTGCAATGCGCGTGCACTTGGCGCATTTGCCAGTCGCAGACTTATGCTTGAAACGCCCATGGCAGCCAGTATCTCCAAAGTCGTCTGGCTCTCCTTCACAGACCGTTGGATCGGGGAGAGCGGCGTCAGGGTCGGGGGGTGAGTCTGCCATGGGTAAATGAAGAAATGAAGATAAAGAAAGTGCAGGTAGGGAACGTGGGCGAAAAGAAAAGTTGGTTGGTGGAAGAAGGATAAGGTAAGGACAGAAAAGCGAGCAGACAGGATGATTTTATAGGTGAGCGTCAAAACATTGGGGTATGGGGATCCGTACCCGGTCCGCACAGGGTTGCTGGGCAGACTGGAAGGCACCCAATCGCCGAAGGCATATTTCAGCGACAAAGGCGCCGAAGCGCATGGCCTGCAGGAGCCACTCGTGGCGACGCTTCTGTGTGGCTTCCAAGGATCATTGATAAGTCGCTTCTAGGTTGCAAGAATGATACACGTACCTTGCGGGATCATAGGACGAACGACGATGTACGCCTACACACAAGCTCTAAAAGTCGGTGCGTCTGTCAGATCTGATTAGGAATGCTCGACTGAGCCAGCATGCAAGGAACTGCAGAAAGAAATTTACAAGACAACCACTGTACATACCCCAGAATATCGGGACAAGCAGCGATGGCCCTCCCCAGTGGTTCAAGAATAGCTTTCAGTTTGGTTCCGCTCACCGCCAAGACAAGCGCGCAGCATGAACCAGGCGCACACTTACCAACAGATGAAGGGCACCTCCACTGCGACTTGTTCGACATTGCGGGCGCATGAGCAAGCGCTCACGTCTGGACATGAGAGGGAAGCTGGGCCGGTGTCGGACGCCTGTCCCTTGAGAGAGATTGGGTGAGTTGATGTGAATTTGCGTGATTTCGACGTGTTACATAGAAAGGTGACGAGTGTCAATGATGCTCAATAAACAGCGGGAAGTTACATGCAGTGAGAACAGTGGGAGTTTGACAGTGAGAAGGAACAACCTGACGGCCGAGAATAAGTTCGGAAGAACATCCAGATTTGGGAACTCCCGTCACACAGTATTGAACTGTGGGAAAACGTCCGGCAGATGCCGGCCTCATCACCGGTGGCGTAGGAGTTCACGCTATCACCTTGCTGATCGTGATCTCTGTTTATATGGGACGATGCCCAATCCGAGCGGCAGCAACGGACACAGGAATGGTGATCTTCCAGAGAACATCTCTGCCATTTTGCATGACTTTGCCCGACGCGGCCTGAAGAACGAGGCGAGGACAGCGGAGTTACGATCCATGCATGGATATAACATCAGGTGGGCAACTCTCGCGGTATCTATTCAACGGTCGGCTGAGTGTCTGGTGTAGCATCACCAAATTAAAACGCTTGAACAATACGTACTCAGTACCCAGCAAGCGGAAACTTCCCCCAATAGAAGAGGTGACCACAAGAGTACTCGAGAAGATGGATCAAGATATCGCGCAGCGGAACGGCCCTCAGGCTATTGCAGACCAGCTGCGGACCGATCCTTACGACGTACCGTTGCTAATCGGAAGGTAGGCCTGCCAATATCCTAGGTCCGCGAGCTCAGACACTGACGTACACATAGGGATGTGGTCCGAGGGATAATGAGGATATACTCACCCGAGGGTAGTGCTGCGCGACAGCCTGGATTCAGGCGCCCAACCCTCGAAAGAGGATCCATTGTATCAGCTGGTCTTCTTGCGGAGTTGCATCTCGATGGGCATGAGAAAATCTCTTTCGCAAGCCTTCAAATGGGTGAGGATATCGGTGTTCCCATCTATGGAGGCCGGGAGCAGCTCTCCGGGCGCCCCGCCATGTACGTCGTACCGAATGATCGTGATCGTAACGTAGTAGCACACTGTTACTTGGATATCATTGAAGAGTTCGGACTAGGTACGCACTCATGGCCGTGCCAGCAGAATGAAGCTGATGGATTGGCTAGTGGCTCCTCTGCAGATCACAATCGATAAGGGGACAGAGACCGCTGAGCTTATACGCATACAAGAGGTGCTCCGGTAAGAGTTCTTACACTGCGTGCCCCACCCCCATTAATCATAGCGTCCAGAGACACGCTGACCCCAGACCTCGACCCTCTGGAATTTCCGCCTTTTCTTCAACTGCGCAGCGTGCAGAACATTGTCATCGAATCGATGTGGTCGTGGTTGAGGAAAACGTACGGTGTTGGTGTGCGGGAGGAAATTTTGCGCGGCAAAACGGATGGTATCTTCAGCGCGGCCATAAAGCTTCACTGGTGCGCCAGTGTGTTCGTGCTATACCTGGAGGCGGTCACTCATATATTGTTTTGCAAGCTTCTTGTTTCGATGGATCTGGCCTCAGATTGTCCAACGGTGCTTGAATCAGTTCATTGCTTACTGGAACCTCCACACGACGCGCTACCAGGCCAACAAAGCCAATCCTTCTGGCAAAGCACCGATGGAGATCTGGAATAACCACGACACGCTTGGCTATGAATGCATTGGTATGCAGGTACCCCCCGAGCTACTCGCCGAGCTGCGCGCCAGTGTGCCCGTGTCGAGGGATGACGCTTATCGATGGGTGCCCGAAGAATTTGCAGAACTAGCTGAGCATGTCTATGCTATCATTGGGTCGCCACAGTTGGATGTGAGGTCGGGCTGGCGTATCTTCGAAGAGATGTCTCTGAAATTCATTGAGCTGTATCCTACTTTTACCTCCGCCTAGGCATTACTTAGCAATCCATCGCTTCTGAATATCCTTGAGCTTGCTGGCCTTCTGCTTAAAGCCTCGCACGTTCTCCTCCACACCGCAATTCCACATCTCAACCTGCGCTTAGCGCATATTGATCACACCCTCAAGCTTCTCAATGTGCCCCTGCGCCACCGCCATCTCTGCCTCACGCTGAGCTGTCCCATCTTAACCTTAACAGCCGTGCTCTCCACCTCACACGCTTCAATCACACCCTCATTGATAACAGGCGTCTCCCCGCACGCGGTGAGCGCAGCCTCACGTGCATTTAAGGCAGATGCGCACTCCGCCTGCTCCTTCCTGCGCGCGTTGCAACGAGGATGGATGACAAAGTAAAGGTCGCTCAGCAAGGCATTCCATTCACTGTGCTACGTCGGGGAACTTTGGGGGAACTGTGAGGGCAATGGGTGAGTATGCGGACGAGCACTGACAGGCGCAGGCAAAGTGTGTGCCGCGAGCAAAGCCAAGTGAAGTCACAGAGGTGTCATCTGGGAGGTGGACGGCGAGGAAGACACGAATGTGCCGAGGGAGGCCGAGGCGGGATCTCTCACCGCGGCTGTGCTGGTTGAGGAGGTGCTCAAGGAGGATGTGCGTGATGCGGGAGGTGGGGCGTGGAGCGTGAGTATCAGAGTAAGGAAGGCGGGAATGCGAGCGTACCGCGCGCCGCAGATCATGGCAGAGAAGGGGTTTGTCTGGGCATGCAATCGAACAAAGCGCGAGGAGGGACCGGCCTCGCCATTCGAGTACTTCCTTAGCGCGTGTGAGGGAATTAAATTGGGTTGCATTGTTCTCGTTGGAGGAAACGGCGTCAAAGCCCATGCACGATAGTGTTGATGAGCTCGTGGCCCGGGGGCTTGACAAGGTCGGGTCGAATTCGACGTTACATGTTTCAGTGGCGAGGAAGACCGCAACCGAGCGGACACCTGGCATTGTGGTGAGCAAATTCGCTTCTCCATCGTGTCGTCCAGCGCGAGCTCCTTATCCGCGTTGTTCATGAGCGGCTTGTTTGACTTGGACGGCAGCTCGATCTGCGCATGGGCAAAAGACGCACTGAGCGGCGTCTTCGCCCGCACATTGCGTATGACGCTTGCCATGGCAGTCGCTGATGACAAGGGTGTCAGTGGCGAAGTGGGGGCTATAGCATCGGGCCAGGTGGTGTTGGCGGTGGTGCGGGGCCTTGGAGGGTGTCGCGGTGGTAGCGGTGATGGCTACCTTCTTCGCTGCCTTCTTCCCTTCTTTGTTGCGGGCTCCACCTGCTGTACAGGCGCGGGTGCGGGCCCCGGAACTAGCGCAGCCTCAGTCTTCTTCCCAAGGACGAGCTCAATCTTCTAGGTGGGTGGTGGTGGCCGCGGAGACGAGTCAGCCTTCTTGACCAGCTCGACGTGCTTCGGGGCACTAGGTTGCCTTCGCGGGTCCCAAGGGTGCAAGGGAAAGACCGCCAGGCATGTCGACATCATCACCCTGCTGCCGCTTGTTGGCAGTTGTTGACTACATTGTCGCCCGCCGATGGTGCGCCGCCTCCTCCATTCGACAGCCCTCCTCCTCAGCCCGATGAAGCATCTCCTGCAGGTGCGCGTCTGGGGCAGGTTCCAAGCACGAGCCACCTCCACCCCACGCAACGCTTCATGAGCTGAGCCCTGGAGCTTCACCAGGCATATTCGCCGGACGACATCCCTCGCCCGCGACCTGCCTCTTCTCCTCGACTCCCTCCATCGCCTTGCGGATCTTCTACGGCTTCGGTGTCGCCAGGTGCGCGCGGCTCTCAAGCGTGCGGCACTTCAGGACATGCTGCAGCTCGATGCACCACTCGATCTCCGCGCGCCGCTTCTTGCGCTCCTCGGCGACCATCCTGTGCCGCTCCTCCTCCTTGTTGCGGTGCAGGTTGAGCATATTCATCTCGTGCTGGGTGACGAGCGCGCGCTCCTGCTCGCGCGCCACACTGCGCTCCGTGCCGTGCGCCCGGTGCTCCTTGCGCAGTTTCAAGCGCTCGACAGCGAGTCGAATGTCTTGCTGCGCCGCGGCATCGTGGAACTTGCAGATCTTGCTTATGCGGACCTTGAACGCCTCGAACTCGGCCTCCTCGTTGCTGTGCGCCTCTTCGCAGAGGACAGGCCAATGTAGCGGAGGGTCCTGTGCTTGCGGGGGTTGAGAGAGACGCAGTAGCGGCGGCGGAAGCGGAGGCAGAAGCCACTCCAAGAGTGGGTGCGTGGAAGGAAAAGCTCGGGGGAAGACGAACGTGTCCCGCGGATGGGGATGTGCTGGCGGATGACGGGGTGGATGAATGCGCCGATGACGGGGTCGGATGGGAGGAGAGGGAAACAGCGGACGACGCTGCAGAGTCGATGCCCCATGCGGCATAGCCCAGCGTGCCGCGATTCCAGAATGCAGGGACATCAGATGGGTGATGAAGGTGAGCGTTTGATCTTTCCTGAAGCTTGCCCGCTGCGCTCTGTGAGATGTGCTAGTTAGTGAAGTATGCGCTGGTGACGTTGTAGACTACGCACCTTCTTCGCCTCGTCCCCCTCGTCTTCTGACAGCGCCTGCGGATCTTCGAAGACAAAACCGTCACGAGGGCTGCCCGCCGCTGCGGTGCCGGCGTAGCCAGCGGCGTCGTGTCCTCGTAGCGGTCACTGAGGAGCTTCTCGACCGCCCGCGTCTCCGCGACGGACATGTCGTCCCAGTCCTCCGCGCGCAGGTTGTTCTCGCTCAGCTGCCAAATCCACCGGTCGCGCGCGCTGCTGAGCCAGCTTGGAAGGGCGCAAGTGGGCGCGGTTTCTATCAAGTACTTGGGAAGAGCGCTCGTTGTCAGCGGGGAAGACGCGACGTCACACGCAGATATGACTGAGCAGGTGTGGGTCATTATGTCTACGTACAGCATCATTTATGCGGTTTTGATGGTCTACAGAGGTTTACTACGCTTCTGCCTGGTCTGAATATCAGGGTCTGGAGTGCAAGTCAATCATCAAAAAGCGGAAAGTATGCGCATACTTACCAAGAGGGAGAGGGGAGGCGGACCGTTTTTCACTTCCTCCCGCAGTAGACGACCGTGCAGAGCGACGTGCAGGGGCCATTGCAGCATCTGCAGTTGCCACAGACGTAGCTGAAAATCTATGAGCAGTGCGTGCGCTCTTAGCGATAGGCTGCGCTTGGTTCTCCCCATCGAATACTACAGATTCATCAATCTCGATGAGTATAGATATACGCAGAAGACCAACGTACACTGGATGGCTGTCTGTAGGTCAGCATACTGTGTTGAAATCTTGTCCTCTTCCTCGGGCGCGTACGACGAATTTTCCAGCTCGATCTCGTCCTCGTTGTTGTAGTCGTCATCTTCGGAATCGCTAGCCGGATCGTCGACGGAAGAGGCTCGGCTCTTCTCAGTGATTCTCTCTATCTGCGAGAGTTCGCGACGAAGGGTCGCTACAGTAGGAGTGCGCGTTGGTCGCCCAACCCCAGCCTTTTCCTGCATGAAAATGTGAGGATCAAGATGAAACGGTTTGCAGGAGGTAATAACAAACCTTGCCCTTGCGACCTGGTACACACAACGCGGCGACAGAGCGCTTGATATCGCGCATATTGAGCTTGTTCTCGCGGAAGTCGGAAATCCCGATGGCGGTCTGATACCCACTCGTTCGGATATCACGTATGGGCCCGCGTACCGGTTTGTAGCCACCCTAAGCGAGAGTCAGTACGTTACTTCGGAAAGTACGCGCGAGACTTACTAGCGCAAGATGTATCCAGTCGTCTGGAACCTTAGCTTGGATGACGGTAAATGTGTCGTATGGTTTGTGATAGTAGACAACGTCCAATTTTTTGAAGGTTGTAGTGCGCTCTTCAAGTGCGATGGGGCGATATGGCTGGCCTAAAGGGTAGACTTAGCAAAAAAAAGGGTTCGTTGGCACCGCAACTCACCGATGACGTGGTCTTTGTCAAGAAGCCCATGCACGAGCAGGTGGTTATAAAGTGGGGCGCTCACCCATACGTCCGAGCGTCGGAAGACATGGATGTACCGATCTACATAGGTTTTGTGGGGGACGTGATTGAAGGCGAAAGGGTTGCTGGAGCTTGGCAAGGAGACCATGGCGTTCAGATACTCCGGACTATCGAACTGCGCCAGATAGCTTTTCAAGCTGTGCGTGAACTGTTTGAAGACCAGATCGTCGTCGACAAAGGCAGAGATAGGCGTGTTAGGAAAGACGCCCATTCCGTGGGCCGCATCGTTAGCGGTGTGGCGGCCGAAAGCATTGAAGGGTAGGAGGGACGGGTCACAGAGTGCATTGACAAGAGGGGTATGAAGGCGGCGGGTGCGGACCTCTTGGCGCCAAAGGTCCAGTTCATTGAGTACCAAGGGATACTCAATAAGCCAGTCAGGCCCAGCTTGAAAGCCAGCCCATAAGCGCGGCCAGATCTGGCAGATCAATGAGTATATGTCAGTTATTCGGGAGCAAACGACGTACGGCTGAGCTAGGCTGAAGATCTTCCTCGACGAAGTGCCGACCGATACTGACAACGTGCATCTGAACCAGTCTGGCGAAATCGACGACCGCCCAGACCCAGTCATCAAGCACGAGAGCTGCGAGGATATTGACAGTTCGGTTGTCCGTTTCCGAACTGAGCGCTTCGCAGAATCGCGCGGGGACTTTGAATGACCGCAAGCGCGCTGCCTTCGACTTGTTCTTGTTCGGCCCGGGTACATCCATGGCGATGATTTCGTCGAAGTCTTGCCGGGTGAAGCGCATGAGATGCCCTTCCAATCCGAATCGAAATATGAGGCAATGCTGATTATAGGCAGGATTAGATTGCCAGCTTCAGACCGTACTGACGAGCTCACATGTCCTGCAGCTATAGCCAGCTGCTTGTTGCGGCGGGCGGCGTAGACAGCGCCAGGATCCATTCGCCGTAAGAGGTACTCCCATAATTGATTCTTCGACCTTGAGATAGTGAACTTGCTGGTCATGTCCTGAGGATGAAGAGCAAGCTCCTTCTCCATCGTGCCGCTTGCCTGGTACTCCGCATTATCGACAGAGGGGACGGTAGTATACGGTTTCGTCCGGGTCCCCAATGCGAACGTGATAGGGAATATCTGTACAACGCCTGAAGGTTCGTGCTCATCAATGAGAGCGCACTCGTTAGTCAAGGGGGAACAAAGCACACCTTTGGGCCATTGTTTCTTCTTTTTGTAGAGCTTGAGAAGACACTTCAGCAGGCGTCTCAGCCAGACGTTGACTTCGGGAACCTCAGGCATAGCCGCAGTTAAGCAGGGGGATGGCAAAACCAGACTCGCAAAAGACATGTGCTCAACACGCACTAGTTTTTAGAGGGCCAACGCTGCGCGCGGCATGCGGTGAGTTAGGAATGTCCCGCTCCTGCGTCACTTATCCGACATTTTCCCGTGCCGAACTGCTCCGCCGGAACAACCCGACCCTCGTGTACGTGAGTATGAACGATCTTGTGGGCTCGGCACCAAGGGCAGAGATAGAACACCAGGACCTATACCATCGCCTCTGTCTGCAATCCCTGTGATCCACAAGCCTCTGCGTACGTCGCTGCTGCCGGCCAAGGACGATGTAATCACGCACGCTCTCTATGGTCGCGTGCTTTCGGCAAATGCCGAAACACTCGGCAGCTTTGGCCCTCCAATTACACCGACACCCGACGCGATCTCAAGACATGTGTAGTGGACGTCCACTGGTCTCATCCGACGTGATCCACCTTTGGATACGTCTTTTCCTATTGAAGATTCCTTCCTCTCAAAGATCGAGCATTGAATTAATCGGCACCCTGTCTCCGTGGCTATTGCTATTGCTTCCTCCACAACATGCGCCGTCACCCTTTCACCAAGTAGCCAGTCGTCAGTCTCATGTCGTCGATCAGGTAAGACATGGCTTAGTTGTTGAAACTATCCACAACGAATTCTTTATAGGGGCACAACTGTCTGTTGCGCACCATGACCGTCTGCCCGCGCATCCCACTTGAAATCCTCTATCTCGTCGTTCACAAGAGCGACAGGCCTACCCTCGCAGTTCTTATGCGGACGACGACGGCGCTATCCCGTGAGGCGAAGCCGTTGTTCTTCGCGAGCATATCCGTCGCGTCCGCAGGGTCTATGGTGTCGCTTTCGCGAGCGCTTGCCCAAGGTCAATTCCAATCATCATGGCTCCGTCGACTTCATGTGATTTATCCCCCTGTACACCTTCCCCGCTTTTCCAACGTGACAAGTCTTCGGTGGAGTGTCTCCCCGTTCAGTACAGGCGCCTTTTCGCCTTCTACGCTCCGCGACGCCATGTCCTCCTTCCCATCACTCGTCGCATTAGCGCTTTACGAAGGCCCTCGTACCTCACACGAACTCGACGTCGTGCTGTCCCCAGTTGCGCCTATGCTGCAGACGCTGGAGTTGGCTTTTCACGCGCCCTTCGCGATCAGTACATCGACTTTTGGGGCGCACTTTCCTGCGTTGCGCGAACTCATCTTCGCCGACGGGTTTGCCTGTGACCTCGGCGCATTTCTTGGGACGTTCCGGGCGGTTCCTCCTATAGAGGTCCTTCGCGTACCGGCCTTTTGTTCGTGGGAGACACTGCGACGCATTCTGCCCCTTTTCGCGTCCAGCCTTCGCGTTCTCGACGTCGACGTTCTAACCTCAGTAGTGATGTACAGTGAGTGTCCTTGATTATTTCTGACGCACTCTGAAGCCTTTTCAGCCTTTTACCCCGTGCCCGCGATGGCGCGTCTACTATCTGTTCGATTCGAGGTTCGTCGCCCTTGGGACAACTTCCGACGTGAGCTATCATTTGTTCAAGACTTCATGTGGATCATGAGGGCCACGCAGGAACGTTCCTTCCCGGCGTTGACTACGGTTGACCTGCATGTGTATGCGAAGTCGTGCCCCGCCATGATGCTCTGCAGCGAGCAGGCATGCGCTTTGTTTTGTGAAGGGAATGGACCATCGGAGGTCAACTGGCCGAGGTGGTGTTGTCTCGTGTTAGGGCGCACGCTTCATCTTAATGTATTCATTTACTCACCTGAGGTAGAACGAGGTCGTTTGAGATCGGCAGTCTCGAACCAGCTGTCCTTCTTAGGTTCGCGCTTGCAAGTACATATTCACGACGATTAAATATTGCAAGTATCAAATCAGAGACATGTTCAGGATGTTGAGAGGCGAGAGCGCCTTGCTGGTTTTTGCGAGGGTTACGCTTCGGTATCGAGTGGCACGACCGCGCAAACGAGCGAGGACAGTAAACATCAATAATAAAGAGCACAATACGTTGTACAATCACCGCATACACGATCTAGGGACTGCCGCTGCTCTCAATGAACACGCGAAATCTAGAGGGGGGTAAGAAGCGCAAGCAATTGCGCACGGCGTCCAGGAGGTCGTCCGCCCTTTTCCCGTTGAGGGCAAAGTCGACGATGACAACTATCTCCAACGAGCACGTCTTCCCCAGCGCCTGGTGAACCCAGACGTGCCAGTCTATCATGTTTAGGCCATCCCCCGAATCGAAAAGCGCGAAGCACCAGTTCCCAGCCAGCGCAACAGCGGACATCCGCTTCGTCATCACCCTGATCCGCAGCTTCTGCAGCGCAGCGAGGTTGCCCTTCTCTCGCTCCGTATGCAAGAAATCGGCGAGACTGTGCCATTCGCGTCGCTTGTTGTCATTCCCACGTCTCATGTCCACTTTGAGAACGCGCAAGCGCCGAAGTGTGTCCGCCGCCGTGTTAGCTTGAAAGCGGTCAGAGCGGAGGTGGCAGTAGGCAGAGAAAGCACACCTAGAGGTTTCATGTACGCGTTCGCGGGGAACAGGCCTAGTCCGAGCTCCGTCACCATTGGAGGCGTGACGGACAAGAGGTCGTTCAACGATGCCCAGGATAGACCCTGCATAAAGTTCAGAGTTGTGATCCCGGGCGCATTCCGTCGAAAGTACTCGGCGGAGAATGTGGAGAACTGCGCGAAGAAGTGATGAGAAATGGTTAACTGCCGCAAGTCGGGGTAGGCCGCGACACTCTCGGTCAAGAAGAAAGGTGAAGACATGGTCTTGAGCGATATAGTTAGGCTGCGAAGTCCCGGACTCGCCAGTTGAAGCCCAATGTCGACGTCGCGAAGGCCATACGGCCTGGCGCTCATGTGAAGGTGCACAAGACTTGGGAATTGCGACAGAAAGCGTGGAAGGCGTTGTTGAATGTCCACGGAGCGGGAGGGAGCGCTTTTGGTGCACCAGTCGATGGTATGGACTTTTGTGAAGGCAGGGCCCACCGCCAAGAGTTCGTGGTGATGGATGACGAGCTCACGCACGAAGGGGGCGATTACTGAGGCTTTCATTGCCATACAGCGGTAATCGGAGGCGCTCCGAACGTGAACCGTTCTGTAGAAGAGTGGCAGGGCGTAGTCGAAGTGAGAGGACGCGCATAGGAATGCAAGGATGGTGTTGCGGTCACAAAAAGAGATTATGAGGGGGAAGAGCTCCACAAAGATTGTCGGTCGAGGGGCCAGCTGGGTTTCCGCGGAGTTCACTGTCAGAACAATTAGCGCAAGGCCCAGCGAGGAATAAGGGACGCACTGATGGCCTTTTTCCAACTTCCGTATGGCCGCCGGATGTTCAGCAATGGTTATATAAGTCGTAATGAGAAGGGCGTGCCGTCGAATGAGACGCGGTCCTGAAGAGTCTAGGTAGGACCCCAAGCCCATCCGAAGTAAGACATTGCGGAAGCGTTCAAGGGCGCAAGCAAAAGGAGTGGGTCGTACGCTCGTGCAGGCGTAGACTACGCCCATCTATACAGCGAATGGCAGAAGGCCCGCTCCGTGGCGCACGGCAGAGAGAGCCGATGAGTGTTGACGCGCAGCCCGTCGCCAAAGACCATCGACGCCCATGTAGAAAACACCGTCTGAGTACGCGGATGCATCCGGCAGTTGCGTAGGGCTCACATCGCTGTTTGTCGGGACCGCTCTCGTCGAGCTCTTCCGTATACGGCAGCCACCGAGATCAATTTGGGGCTGTCCCGGACATTGCACTGGACGTACGCGAGCGGAAGCACGGGCGAAAGAAGTAGCAGAGTCCAGAGCACGCGCGGCGTTGGAAACGAGGTCTAAGACATGAGACCTTGATCACAGGCTGCGCGTCTGCTCGTCGGCCTCGGCCACGGGGGAGATGCCTCGATGGGTTGTACTACCGCACATTCAGGGTTAGCGGAGGAAGAAAGGAACATGTCTAAAGATCAGCAAGAATCGGGCGTGAGGCGGGGAGACGCACGCTATCAGAAGGTGCAGTGGGTTGCAGTGTATCCGATCGTTTGCTGTAAGGCGTACTTCACGGGCATGCTTCTTTTGGACGGCGGGTCATGTACGAAAGAGAGATGAGCGCGTGAAGGTAATCAGAAACCATCACTGACGGTTAATGTCCATTTTGTGGCGTCGAGTGGCGCATGAACTGGATCCCACCCATTGTTGAACAAGTTGACCATCATGACCGACGCACCTCTATCAACTCAATGGCTGTAAACTCTAACGCCTTCAGGTTCTTCGGGCCCACCTATAAGGAAGGCTCACCGCAAAAGTAGGAGGTAGCCGACGAACAACGATAGTACCACAATCACAGAATCCCGCTTCACGCCAAGAATGCCGCATTCGTGTACAATATACGTAGCTTTCCGACGGGTATGCAGTCAACAAGCTGTGAGCTCGCTCTGGAATGATAGAAGGCACGTAGTAGCGATAATGATGCAGGCGTTTGGCGACAGTCCAGCGTGGCGATCTGGAGATTGGGCATGTAGGCAGCGCTTGCGGTAACGGTGAGCATATGCGCTAATATATCTGCGATGTCCCAAAGTCCGTTGGAAGACCGTCCGGGTGCGACGAGGATCGTAGTGACGTTGGCCAGCTGCAGTAGACACGGCCGGATAGCTGCCTTCTCCCGGTCGAGAGAAGTCGAAACGTTGGAAAGCGACAACGCGGTCAACTGTGACGTCTCTTCTGCCGTGGCGAGCATAGCATGCAGCCCCTCGAATAAGGAGCCGTTCAAGTCCTCGGCCACGTCGACGTTGCGGAGGCCCAGAGCCTTGAGACCAGAGGTCCGTATGCTCCAAATCAATGCGCATGCGCTGCGCTCGAGGAGGAGGTCGACGAGGGAAGGGAGTTGGATGGGATGCGCCGCCGTCGGAGGGCAATCAATAGAGAGGCCCGTCCTAATGTGCAGAGTAGCCAGGTAAAGAGATGAGCCAGCGAGGGAGAGCGCGATGAATGAGGAAGGCAAAGGAGGATCGATGTCGATGCTCAAGTGGCGGAGGGATGGGAGGCAGAAGAAAGTGTTCTCGAGGTCGGAGCCGCTGCTTGGGCCATCGCCGCTGAGGACGAGATGCTCTAGACGCAGCATCGACCCCAGCGCGGCAAGCCCCAGACACTGAGAGTGGAATAGAACGAGGTCAAGGCGGCGAAGAGAGCAGAACCCGTCCTTTGCAAGAACGTCGACGTCGGTCCAGGGCATGTAAACCACAAGCGAGGCCAGACGACCCTTGCATTTGCTTGCAAAGTGCGAGAGCTCGTCGAAGCCGCTAAGATGGTCCCATTTGACATGGACAGGCGCATTGCTGAAGAGAGATGCCTGGTAGGAAAAGTGGGCCCATCGACTGGTGCGTGAGGAGCGTCGGGTAGTAGGCGGTAGGCGATTGTGCTGTAGGCTCAGATACGTCCAGACATTCACCATCCTACGTGCGACAGAGTTCCACCTGAAGCACACTTTGCATATCGTTCTAGCGAAGGAAGCGGCACGATCGGAGGGGTTGTCGAGTGCGAGCGCCAGATGATTGAAAATGCACGATAAGTCGTCGTCACCGAGCCGACGAATAGGGGAAAGCAGAGCTCTCAGGTCGCGAAGGCGCATCGTAAGAGCATTTTTGAGTTCAGCGAGTTTGGCGAGCTCGGCAATGCACTCAGCAAGTGATTGTTCTAGTTCGTTCGCCAAGACCTCCCGGCGCCGAAAGGCAGCGATGTTGTCCCTAGGATAAGAGCGTCCTCTGATGTCCTCTTCACTGATGGAGTAGTCACTCGAGCGGAGTGTGCGAGCGAGCTTCGTGCTGAGCATGGTGTCAATAGCAGGGTCAGAATGGGCTGACATATGCCGGGCCATAAGCGGTAGACCCTCCCACGACCGCGTGACCCAGAAGCGACATGATGACATCAAGGCGGAAATCAGGGCAGAAGCGCGGTTCGAATACAGTCTGTACATACAGGACAGGTCAGACAATGCAAGGCATACGGAGCATTTCTATACAAAGACAATCCACGGAACGCCAGCTTTGTTCCGAAGCTGCGTCAGACGCTGTGTTTGCAGTGCCTGAGAGCCTACACACATGTGAGCTGAAATCACGCAGCGAGAGTGAGGGAGTACCTACCAGAGCCGTCGGGTAGCATGTACTTGAAAGCCACGCGGCGCCAATGAGGCAAATGTAGCACAGGTGCTGCGCGCTCGTACTCCTCTTCCTCGGCCGTGTTTGCGTCGTACTTCTCTACAATAAGCTCGACTTGACCGGGAAAAATAAGCCCGTGGATCCCTTCAAGGTGTGAGACGAGCGCCCAATGTACAATGACCGTAGACAGTCCAGTCAAATGACAGTAGAAGTTGGTGAAGTTCGTGTCGCTCTCTAGCAGATGAGGGTCAGCAGCAGACGCACGAGAGCATGCGGTCTCACCTGTGTATCTCCCCTTATACAGGCGGAGAGTCCGCAATTGAGAGGCAGAGTCCGAGAGGAGGCGCTCGACCGTCTGCCATTCTCCAGAGCGAAGGCGCCCCGTGTACAGCGTGAGGTGAACAAGCGAGGGGAAGTAGATGAACTTCACGAGATCTCGGATTCCCTCTCTTAAATCGATCTCCAGAGTATCGGCAACCATAACTACGCGTGAATCCTCGTCGTCTTCCTCTGAGCGCCAGCCCAAAGGCTCCGTTGGATCGCTCCAGTTATCGGTGACGATGGCAGACGCCTTGATGTGCACGGCCTTGAGTAGAGCGGACATCGGTCTCCCAACAGACGAAGGAACACGGCCAAAGAGGAAATGAAGACCTTCCCGAGGAGCGTTGAAGACCGTCAGAGTCAGAACAGGTGCCATCAAGTCGTCCATAGTAGGCGACGTCCACATTGTCTTCATGTCGACGTACCAGGCGGCACGCCCGTTTCTTCCGAAGACGATGGAGGTCAGGTTGCGGGGCGCAATGGCGGCCAGAAGCCTGACCATCGCAATCGTATCCTTCGTCCAGTCGCTGGGGAGGACAAGGGTGCGGATGTACCGGTTAAAGTCATCATCGGCCGAAGCTTCGGGATGTTCAGAGTAGACTCGCAGATGGCGGGAAGAGACGTACGAGGGATAGCGACAGTGGTGTTGAGACCAGGCACAAACCGCAAAGGCAGGGGCCCTTGACGAGGCGTATGTCAGCTCAAGCGAGTCCAAGTTACCAATGATCTGACCAGTGGGTTTCCTGCGTTCCTCCAAAAGGAGCCATTCCCGGAACTCAAAGTATCTGTCGTCGATGATTGTGATCCGACGCCAGCGGAAGCGACGGGCAACGTAGAACACGGTTTTGCAGGAATTGGCGAAGTTCCGCAAGTCATCCCCATGACAGCAAGCACAAATGCGCGCAATGAGCTCGGGAGCCAAGCTTTGAAAGGGAGAAGGAGTGAGAGACATGGTGAAGATGATAGTCAGGACCAAAGATAAACGGATGCAAAATACGTCCGAGCTTTCCATTTCCCCTCCCCGACACCGATTGGATTCACGGCCACGGCCGACTGATGACCGACTCTGATCGCACGCGCTTGTTGAGCAAGTGAGTTCTGCTGTTATGCCTCCTTGAGTCGAGGAATGACAACAGATCCAACGGGGTGAGCATTGGATGGTACCGCGAACCGAACGCGTTGCGGGGAGGGGTGGCCTCACAAGTGAGAATGTAACTGCCCCGGGATTGAGGTATGCGCTCGATTTCAGGGGAGAGGAGTGGGACGGCAGTACATTAGAGTGGACTGTGAAAGAGTGCTCGACAGTATTAACCGCGTATGGCCATCACTGTTCTCACGTTCGTCAGCTCTCCCACGCACCTGTAATCCGATGGTCGGCTACATTGATGCACAGTATGGGCCAGCGAATGTCTCATGCCCAGCCTGTTTGCTAAGAGCTAAGATGACGGGTATGGCAAGAGACATGTGCCGCCGGAATGTTGCGCGCGGTGCCACGCGCTGCGTGCACGTTGAGTTGACCACGTGAACGAGTTGGCTTTCCCGTGATCAATCCGTGACAGGCCATGTGCGTCGAGTTGATGTTCTACGTCGCAATGGGTAACCTGAGTCGTCAGGTCTCAATCTCAACATAGAAAAGCGCGACCGCATGACGTTCGTAGGCTGTACGCAGAGAGAAGATGTCGCTCATCAAGCCTTCGTAGATGAATTTGCCGTTGTTGTACATGCCATCGTAGTACCAGATATGATGGAATCCCTGCATTACTCTGAGCGTGAAGTGATCCCCGCCGTAGTAGATAATTCCTTTCAATACGTAGGACCTCTTTTGTCGCCGCTCCGAGCGTACGGAGAACGAGGACTGCAAAACCCGACCATGACTGGGATCAAACTCGACAAAAAGGAAGGATGTGTCAGTTTCAAGGCGAGTAACTTGCTTTGCGTTGATGTTGCAGATACTACAAACATCTCGAGCGTCAGACCCTCTGAACCACTTACCGACATCCCATGCGTACTGAGCCTCAATCTCAAACACAGGCGCCGTTGAGGATCTCATGCGCGGACCAACTGCGCCATGCAAGTCATGTGTCTGGCTCTTCTTGCACTGCGTTGTCGTAATAGCGACGCATCTGTTCACGTTAAACAGATGACTGAGGACAGAGTGAAGAACAGTGTACTGACCCGGGACGAACGTAGCTGGGGCGGTAGCGTGTAAGAAGGCGCGCATGGAGTCTCTGATAGCGGTCACGTCCAAGCTGGCTGCGAGGGTCATGCTCAAATGCGCATCTAGGGCGCTGTACAGAATGGAGGCGCCATCGCTCCCCCAGCACTTCAGTCGCGGGAGCCATTCTTCAGGAGCTTCAGCCGTGACCCATGCCATCAGGGTAGCGACGGCGTCGTACGCACAGCTATTGTCCGCCCACGTCGCTCCAAAGTTGAGTACAGGGGGATGAACGTAGTCAATCTCAACGGGATGGGTGAGTGTCTCAGCCCTTTGGCGCTTAGAAGGCGGCGAAAGGTCTGTACCATGGTCTCGGTCGCGCTTGAGGGTGGATCTTGACGACGCCACAAAGGTGCTGATGGGAACAAAGTCATCGGTCATTGCCGAACGCGGCAGATCTCCCTTCGCGTCCTTCACGGTGATGAGTTGCCAGTCTATGGGCGCGACTTCGAAATCCAGCCACGCCTCTGGATTCGTCACATTTCCACTTGCATTGTACTTAGGCTTTTCGTCTGTCCATTCGAGCGCTTCAGGCATGCCAGGTGGCATGTACGCCTCACCCTTCCACTTCCGAAAGGCTGAGATCAAGTCCTTCCTCCGATGTCCTGTGACCTCCGCTGGTAGCTTTCCCTCGTACTGGAGCTTTGTTATCTCATTCAAAAGCTCAAGCTCTCGGAATTCTTGGCGTAGCGCGCCGCTGCACCCCCCTTGGATCTTCGTTGGGTTGTATCCTCGCAAAATCAGCGTCCCTGCCGATGTTCGACCTCTTGAGAGGGCCACGTAGTACGCGTGATGATCAGCGCAGTCCTGTAAGTCCACAACATTGACCTCGCGTGACTTGCCCTGGGAGGCATAATCAGTCATCGAAAAGTTCGGCAAGACGTGGACTTGGTCGCGCACGATGGTTATGTACTTGCTTCCTGTCGTCACCCTTGGCAGCATGCACTCCACGGTCATCTTCTGCCTTGTAATGGGAACCACGTTCCTAGGTAAGCCCGGAAACTGTACTGGTCTCGGCGGGGTAACTAACTCGACAAACAGGACGTCGAGCATTCTCTGCCCACGGCTACCCCTCGATTCTTGCCAGTCATAAACGATTCCTTCCTGGCCCTTCGTCATCGACAGCTCTGTCGCGGAGTTGTAGCGTAGCATGACCGGCATCCCTCGACAAAGCGACAGCTTCCCAGGAACATACGACTTGCAGAAAGAGTGGGGCTGTTCCCACAGTTCGTGCTGTAAGAAAGCGCTCAGTGGTCTATCTTGCTGTCCTTTAACGCGAAGCCAGTCCTCAGAGAAGAACTCTATAAGCTCCTGACCGCTCTCTGTAGCGAACCGACGAACGCCAATGTCGTTGATGGCGTCTTTGACGATGTTACGAGCGGTAATCACAGACACATTTCTGAATAGCTCGTCTGCGATTGAAAGGTCTGTTGTAGAAGAGAAGGCGCATCTGGAGTCTATCCAGGTAAGGTTTTTGGTTGTACACACCTTCAACCTCATTCTCATCATACAATCTTGGAACTCCAAGTCGTCTGCGCTGGTCGCGCTCTGACGGTGATTTTGCTTTAGGAGAACGACGACAACGAAGAGATGCCAAATGGCTTTTCCCAGCGCAGCCTTCTGACTACGTGCATCAGCGCCGTATCGCCCGGCTTTCCTACTGTAAAGCGAGCCTTCTTCACCGCCCACGACCGGTGGTTGCTGCGCAAAGTCCCCAGCAAAAATCATGTTCAAGCCGCCGTATGGTACGTCCGTCACGCCTACCGCTTGACAGGTCGCTCTGCTTACGTTATAGTTCTCGTAGTGGGCCAGCATAGACGCCTCGTCCATCAGCAGAGTACCTTTACCTTTCATGCGTTGCTTGACCTTCGCACGCCCGGTCATGGTCTGCTCTTTTAGAGTTGATATCCCCAACGTCGAGTGGTATGTAGACCCATTAACCAGATTAGACGCAGTCCCTGTCGGAGCCATGACAAGATATCCGGAGCCGATGTTCGCTCGGTCAATAACGGCTTGGACGGCCTGAAACACACGAGACTTTCCGGTACCGCCCATACCACCAACGTACATCAGAAGCTGACCACAGCCAGGAGTGAGAATGTGATTCCCCGCGATGCGCACCGCACGCTCTTGGTCCTCGTTGAGCGAGAAATCGGCTAAGACTGCGTCTACGAGACCTCGCTGAAGCGGTGCAACATAGGTGCGCATCAATAGCGCCTTGTTCACGATGTCGACGCTCACTACGTAGGCGGGACCTACCACAGGATCATTCTCAGGGACGACGAGAATGCGGACTCCCTGTGCGTCGATTGCTGCTTTTTTCGCTTCTTTAACGATCTCTGTCCAATTCCTCGCAGTTCTCTTGACGGTTATTCTGCCCGCAGGTGCGGCAATTGTAGCGATAGGTACGTTCCATCTGTGTCTGACCATCATGTCTTTCATGCCCAGGAAGGACGTCTTCTTCTTGGTGTACAGTGTATTCATTTCTTCGTATTCTGCGTGCGTGGTCGGAAAGACGGTCTCGACTTGACTTCTGCAGTCGTCATCGTAGTCAATGTCTTGCACGTCCTCTTCGGTGAGTGGTATATCCTCAGTCCAGCCTTCACCACTCTTTTGTCTTGACCTGTAGTCATCTCGCGCGTCCATGCACTCCCATCTCAAGTTGAAGTTCTTCATGAGCTGCTTTTCGCGCGGTGAGAACTTATGCTTATCGAAAGCGTCTTGCCAGGTCTCATCCGCAGATTTGAGATCTTCCGGTCGTCTCCAAGGTTTGAAAAGCATCAACATGACCTGGATGTACTCGTCAAGATTGCCCTTATCGCTGCAGGGCAACAGGCGCATGAAGTTCAACACGAGCATTGGGTCCTCTTGCTGCCGCTTTTTCATGCAATGCGAGCTCGCGAGGGAGTGTCCGTATCGGAAAGGGTAATGGAGGTTCGGCAAACGCGTCGTGGGTGGCTCTCCGAGCGTCTCGGGCAGTGGATCTACGGGTTCATCGTCGTCAGGCTCATCCAAGGGAAGTTCTTTGTCTCCAGTTTCTTCTGCTTCTGCGTCTCGACGATCACTTTCATCAGCCTCAGAGTCGTGTGCCTGTGTAGAGTGCGCGTCTTCGGCAGAAACGTCCGTGTCGTCTTCACGTGCGGCAGACCAAGGATTCTCGTCTTCCTCGTTCTCGCTGTCCTCTACGTCGCTTGCGCCCCCGTGTTCCTCCTCACTTGCTTCCTCAGCTGCTGACGAACCTTTAGGTGCGTCGTCCTTGCTCTCCTTTGTCTGGCCCTTTGGCAGCGAGATTCGCTCGCAGTTCAACATGAAGCGATAGAGGTTATAAGCTTCAAGGGCATCCGCACGGTAAGTGTAATTCTGCGCTTCAGAAACTCCAATGATCGCCCCCTTCTTCTTGACGAGCAGTACGCTCTCTTCTCCATAACCTTCGCTGTTCTTTTGCCAATACATTTTAATCTGCCTGAAGTACGTGTGCCAGAAGAAAGGCTTAAATCGGTGCGACGTGTAGTGGTCAGGGTTACCAAGCAGATACATGGCGATCATAGGCCCTCCAAGCTCCATTTTCGTCGCCAATTTGTTAACGATTTTTGTCATCAGACGGCGCGCCGCTTCGATACCATCGCCACCAGAGCAGAGCACGTCTTGATTTTGGTCGAAAACGGATTTGATGACCTCAAATATAACGTGCGTCTGCGGTCCCATCTTAGTGATATATTCCGTGATATAGTAAACGATGTGGTTGACAGCGCTTCCCGAGAGGAGACACGAGCAGTCGTGGTTGCACCGAAAGAAGTAGCTCAAAACAGAGCAGACGTCGTTCATATTGGGCTCCAGGTGCTTGAAGCGCAGCGCTCCGGTATTAGGGTCCACTCCCGTCTCGGTACGTACCTCCCTCGGCATCCGAGCTTTGCAGCGCCCCGTCTTATTAAACTTGCAGTACTTGTCTTTGCATGTATGCACGTTCGTTCTCATGAGGATATCGTTTACCTCCTCTTTGAAGGTGGTCACCCATTGGCGGGTCTCCTCGCATTTATGACACCCTGGCTTAGCGCAGACGCAGTACACCTTAGGCGGAGTCGCCGGATGCGTGTAAGTGGGGTTCTGATATCCCGGTCTCTTTCTGATTTCCTTCAGACGTGCAGATATCTCTTCAAATGTACCGTCTATAAACTCTCCCCTATGGCACGCTTCCGCGTACTCAACCATTTGTGCGCAGAACTCCGATTCAAAGTCCTTCATTCGCTCACGAATCTCCGTAGGTGAAAACGAGCCGCGAATCCATAGCAGAGAGTGTAGATGCAAGGTCAGTCGGCCTTGCTGCTCGACAGTCGCGTAGTACCCACTCGTCTCGCCAAAGATACCATCATGTCCCGAGTCAACACCAAGGACGTGCTTAATGAATCCTTCGACGGCGAAGTGAAAGAAACGCGCGCCTGCTACTGGGTTGTTCACTACAGCGCGAAAGCGATGGTCTCGCTCCTCGTCAGTCGTCGGAGGTTGTAAGTTAGGCTTGAACGCTTGTTTGGCGTCTGCAAGGTAGAAGCACAGTGGATGTTTGATATCTGTTGGCGCAATCGTTATGTACCAGATAGGGGATCCAAGATGGGCAATTAGGGACCATATTTCCGTTCTCATCCATTTCCTGCCTGCGGAAGATCCGTCAACTTTAGCCGCAACACTCTCCATATCTTGAAGGACACGATAGCACAGTTTCTCTTCGTCTGTGGCTGGAATCACCCTCTCACCAGTCTTAGCACGGTTAACGATGCGCTGGAGAACTGCGGGGTTGACGGACAGAAGCCGTTGAGAGACCGCCTCGAATTGGCTTCGGCGGGCGACCAGAAAGCTCTGCGTCGTCGCATCCCGAATCTGAAAGTGGCTGAACGCGACGAAAATGAAAGCAGGATCTAATTGAAACCGCTTGTCGTGATACATGAGCAAGTGACGACAGTGTTCTTTAAGAGAAAGGCGCAGCCGCTTACTAGAAGCGTCGCTGGTGCAACCAAGACCTCCGCGGCCGAAAGGGAAGAGCCACGGGAACATCTTTGGGTATAAGAGCGGATTGTTATAGAGAGACTCCGGTCGCTCGCCATGGCCGATGCGCAACATTCCCTTGTTCGCGTTGAAGTGGTCCAAAGCTAGCGCTGTAAGCTCTTCGTGAGTTTTCGTTTCCAAGTCGTTTCCCGTCAGGCCGTGCACTTGAAAAGGGATTTCACCTGTCTCGACGCCATGCTCGTCTGCCACATCATAAGAGCTTCGCCCCTCCGGTGCTATGTTAGAAGTGGAGGGCCTGTACACGACGGAGACTGGCGGGACAGACTCCGAGTACCGCGCAAGTGCGCTCTCGTCGACGGTGATATCCTGCCACCCCGGTGTATGCGCGATGAGGTGCTGGAGCGCCTCTCGGACAACGTGGTGACGCACCAGGAGTGGAGCAAACCTAGGGGACTTATAGTCTTCAACAGATGGCGGTGTGGGCCCGGTAAACATGATTGCCAATACCTTCTCGATGTCCTCCTTCGGCGGTGGCAGAGACTCGTAGATTTTGTCTGACTCCACGGGGAAAGAGATGACATGAGCGATCGCTTTTCGATACCCACCTGCTACCTTCACGAATAAGGCGTTGTGACGGACAGGCTGTATCAACAGCCGCTCGAAGTAGCGCAGGCGCCTGAGCACGAAGGGGACCTCCCCTATCCAAAGATTGTTCGCTAGCGCCAAACGAGGGATCAAGCCCTTGGTGACGACAGGACGGCAGTCAGAGCAGATGTATCTGGCATTCGGTATCAACACAGGTTTATTATCTTCCCAGGGCGACCCATCCTCTTTAAGAGCAGCGTCAGCGACAGCGAGCACGGGGAAGTGTCTGGCGACGTGCCTAATGTTCGTCAAGTGCTTGGTGGGCTTCAACTCTGCGCAGACACCACAAGCCGCCTCTTCCATGGCCATGGAATCAGCGATGAAGTCGCTGGTGATGGTGTGTAGAAGCTCATTAGAATACGGAGGAGGCGGAAAAGATGGCTCGGGGGCTGCGGCTTTTGCTCTCTCGTACTGATCATGCTTCATTCGCGCATACCCTGGCTTCGCACGCCGTGAAGCTTCATATTTGGACACTCTTAACAACGTTCTCTCCTCGTCGAGAGGGACACGTCTCAGGAGGGTGATCCAACCGTCACAACCGGCGGTACATTGATGACTCTCGCCGATACCGACCAGATCTCCTGCCGCGACGCCACGCCAGGTTACGGAGATGTCGTGAAGTCTGCAGACCTTTTTAGCCTCCAGAATTGTGAGGTGCACGAACAAAGCCGCGGGTGGAACCAGCGTACCGATTATGTCGTCCGTGTACTCACGATCAACCCCATCGGCAGCGACGGTGTCTTCGTAGATGTAGCACCAATCTTCAAGGACGTGATACTCAGGAGTATGCACCACGTACGGCTCGATCTCGTAGGACCGAAGGATTCTGAACTGGGCGCGATCTCTAGCGCCACCGGAGGGGCGCACAGTCGTGATACGCTCACCAGAGAAAGGAGGGAAGCCACACGAGAGGGTACTCAGCATTCGATGGCAAGAGAGAGCGATAGATAGAGAGCAAACGGTATATCGACGTACATAGCGACAGTAGATAATAGGGGCTTCGACAGCCGAGTCGTCGATGGGGATTGGATTGCCCAACCGCATAACGGCCCCGAGTTCAACCCTCGGGGATGCCTGTGAAGGCATAATACAGTGTTCCGCTGCCCAAATGCAACGGGAACAAGACGATTGAAGGGGAGCAAGGAGTTGCCGGGTAGGGGGCGAAGCGGAGATATGAAGTCCAAGGCGATCAACGTCTATGCAAGGGTCCATTGTTTGCACAAGGACCGTGATAGCGTCGTTACAGGTAGCACAGAGCGTTGCCGTAGACAGAATGAGTACACGGCCACGCAATGTACGTCGAGGTTTTGAGCATGCGCAGATGAGGGTGAGAGTCACCGATTTCGGGGCAGTAGAAGGCGCTAGGCAGAGTAAGTTCGTGTACATGAAGGGAATGCGAGCGACACGCACCTAACATGGCCCTTAGCCCAAACTTCACGACGGTGATTGTCTGAATCTGGATGCGGGGGAGAAGCAGGAAAGATCGAACGCCCAAATGGGATTTCCTTTATACCGCCCCGTGATGTGATGACAAATTCTCGATCACGTCAGGCTGCGTGGCAAGCAACGGCAAATAGAAGCCTACAAGTCACGCTTGTCACCGCCATGAACTCACCGCAGACCGGGTCTGGATCTGTCGAAGAACGCAGGGAAACATTTATGTCGATCTTTGGTACGCGCGGATGTTCGAGTAAAGACAGTGATATTAGACAGATGTAGAGACAGTGGGTAATGAACGTATAGGACGTCGAGGCCAAAAAATATACAGTAAAGACAGTGAATGTACTTAGTGAACGGTCAGGACAGAAAGGGCTCGCCTACCCTTCCATGTCAGCGTCGCCGCCTTCGTCTCCGCCGCTTGCAGACACCGCCGCCTCGTCGTCCGACGACCGCACCTTCTTGGAAGGCGATCCTTGATTAGCGACTGCAGGGCGCTCATGAGTCAGACGCTTCTTCGTACCGGAGACCGGGGTCTCGGCGACGTCCCCGTCAGTGCCAGGGGCGCCGACACCGACAGGCACGTCCTCGGCCTGCGCACTGCTCGAAAGCGCCTTCGCACGCTTGCCCCTCTCCCTCTCCGCCCTCTTCTTAGCCTTTTTCTCCGCCTCATCCTTCGCCTGCTGCTCCAACTCCGCTTTCTTCCGCGCGAGTGCTTCCTTCTCCACCTCCTTCAAGGCCTTCGTCGCGCGAGAGCTCTCGGCATCGATGCTGTCGGAGAGGACGACAATGCTATCGATGTTGAACGAGACCGCTTTCTGATCAACTTGCCATCGGGAGACGGTGTAGAAGACGACTGCGAGAGCGTCTCTGTCCAGCATACCCACGAAGCGCGGCCAGTTGCGCTCGTCCTTCAAGTCCTTCAGAGTGTCGACGCCCCAGTCGACGGCTTTCGACCGAGCATCGATCACGGGGACTGTGAATATGTAAGACACAGACGAGACCGGGTTTGCAAGCCCTCACTTTCGTCCATGTACTCGAGCACCCCTGCTTTGCGGAAATTCTTGGATCCGTCCGAGATCAGCTCGGGCTTCTCCCGCTTCGCCTTCGCGCTCGCTGGGTAACCGGGGACGTTAGGCTTCCGACCTGGGGACAGTTAGGATAGTGCTCGTATACGGATGTAGCAGTGCCTCACCGTCCTTCCCCGGCTTCGTAGAAAAAGCGACGCTACCGTTGTCGTACAGAGGGAACTTGTGATGATCATCTCCCGAGAACTTGGCGACCTCGTTCAGGCAAGCGAAGATACGGGCCGGCTCGCCATCGAGAGGAGCGATGCTGATACCGCGACGGGGATCCTTGTTGAAGATCCGACCCTCAGGCCCAACGAAGAAGTCCCTCACGAGTCCGCCCGTCAGGCACATAACGGGTGTCCTCTTGTCGGCGACAGTGACGAGCGAGGTGTCGCGACTGCGTCTGTCCATAGTCATGAACAGCAATCGGGCAGGGTCGATACGGCTGAGGTTAATGTAACCAGCGCCCTCCCTAAAGCCGACGATGGTGGCAAGCGTCCTGCCCAAACGTCAGGAGCGAGTCCAGCAGAGCACACGCAAGGCGCTCACCTCAAAAGATCGAACTGCGGATAAATCTTCTCCAACGTGGTAGCGGGATCCGGGTAGTCCGTAGCGTTCTCCGGACGGTATGCAGAGGTCGAAAAAAGGGGAACCTCACTGTACGTTAAGTCAGGGACAGAGCCATCACCGAGAATGTAAGACAGTACTCGTATGTGTGCATCGCATTGTAGACACCCTGTGCGAAGAAGTACGGATTGACGCCGTAGTACTTCGTTATAGCGTCCGCCTTGATGGCTAAGTAACTTGAAACAGCGTCAGTCTAGTCCCACGACAACAGGCAAAGAACATACACTGGGTGCTTCTTGTCGAGAACGAACATCCTGAAGTACTGAGCGGCGGGCTGGAGACCGTTGATATGGACTTGTACGGCCTCAGGACCAGAGACAGCGCCCCTATAAGCACCTACAGTCAGCAGAGGATGCGGCGTAGAAAGGAGGACCCGTACGGCGCTTGGTGATTGGCAGAAGAACTAAACGATGATGAGTCTATGGGCAAGGGCAGCACGAGAATAAAAACTTACTAGGCCGAGTGCTCGCCATCAGATTCGGAGTCCTCATTATCAGCATGCGCCCCGGCGCTGCGGGATTGTTAAGCTTGGCAGTACGCGATCGTCAATCGTTAGACGTACCCAAGGTCAACTATATCTTCGTCATCGCTGGAGGACATAAGCCGACAGAGTAAGAAGAAGGCAGCGAATCGAACCTGTCATTGCGCCCAATTGCGACGCCCAAGTCTTCGATTGCATCCGGGTGAGCTTTCTCCCCGTCTTCGCTGAGGTGACTGTGAGCTCGCGGTTAGGAAAGAGAAAGGGAGGAAGACTAACCCTTCTCCCTCGTCGTCTTCTTCCGCCTCATCGTCGATAAACCTAAAGCAACTCATCAATCTTAAGCGGGTCGGCAGAAGAAGAAGACTTACTTGTTCTTTACACGTTCCTCACCGCCCTCATCGTCATCGCTCTCGCCATGCCCCGTCACCTCCTTCTCTGGGCCTCCGTTGTCCCCGACAACCGCCGTAGGCGCAAGCGCCTCTCCCTGCGCTTCGTCCGCCTCCGACGTGTCCATGGGGGGCTGAGCAGCGGCTCCGGACTGCGGCACGGTCAAGTCGTCTGTGCTGGGTGCGGGAGAAATGACGCGCATGCGCCTCCCGGTCTTCGCCCTTTTCGAAGGCGCTTGGGAGGTGGGTTCACCACCCCCTCCGTCATCGACGTTGCCTTGACTATAATGGCCATTAGATCAAGCGAGACAAGCAGGAGACCAAAGAACTCACGACTCTTTCATATTCACTTGGCGCGTGGAGCGACGAGTAGACTCTGTCATAATTGACGAAGACGGGTTCTGCAAACGTGTCAGTCGTCTTATATATGTCTCTGCACATGCATGTCCGACGACGCTTCTTGGAGTGCGCTTCGCAGCCACTGGGCGAGGAGGGAAAAACGGTCTTGCCCGGGCTGGCTCCAGGCCGGTGAGACAAAAAATCGCAGGACGGCCTTTCGATGGATCGTCACGTCAAATTCGCAGGAACGACGCGGGACATGTTCCGAACCGGACGCTGACGCAGTGGTTTGGTGCTCACGAGTGCTTGCCTGCAGGGAATAGCCTGTAGGCGCGAAAGGAGGCTTATCGTGTTCATCGGTCGTGGAAAGGAAAGGCGACCTGGAGCGACACATTGCCCGCCAGCCGAGAAATGTGCTGCTCTGCTGAAGAGAACAATTTTCAAGTGTCTTGCCTCCGTGCTGTGCACATCCGCCGCAGGCATTGTCTGCAAAGGCGAGCCGCAAAAGCCCTGATCAGCGCCCGTCCATCCATCCACAGCTCCGGCGTCGCTCACCTCCCCCGAGTTCGCGGCTGCAGTCGCCTTTCCGTCAGTCAGCCGACTTTGGTGGAGAAAGACAGGTAAGACAGAAAGCCAGGCCGTCCATTGGTACGGGACATGAATGTCCGACATCCAAGAGATGGACTGGCCGACCGGGAGCAAGTCAGACACACGAGCCGTCGGGAACATAGAACGAGGCTCTCTCACCTCCGGAAAAGGCAGAGATCCTATTTGTCAATGAGAACTAGGCGGGGCTCTCCGCGCGTCTCTGGATCATTTTAGATACCCGCGAGGTCGAAAGCGGGAACGAATGTCTTACCTTGAACGAAAAAGCGATCCCATTCGCTGACTGACTGAAACCAAGAGGCGGGAGTCGCGCGCAACTCAGAAAGTAAATCACTTCCTGTCATACACATCCGACGCACTGCATGCGCGCAACCCGAACTCGGGCGAGCCACGCTCTGGACGAGCGGGAGCCCAAATGATTCGTCGAGGCATGGCCCGGAGAGCGGACGACCTTGTCGCAAGTGACGGATATGCGACTGGACGGTGCTGGGCTCGAGCGAAAAGCGGAAACTTCTAAGTCCACATCATCAGTAGTGCAATACTCGCACGTATATAAATCTCGCCCATGCAGCCCTGTCCATCAGCATTTGGCGAGCGACGCACCACCTTCATTGACGCGATATGACCGATAAATTTCCTCGCTGCTATGATGTGGAAGAGGCCGGTATGTCGACCGCTGTTCGGTTGGGCTTCAGCTAATGGACGAGCAGGGGAGCGCCTGATGTGGATCACATCATCGCGCGCTTCAATCGCGCCGAAGCTGACGCTGGGTACATTCTTGGAGGTTAGTGTTGATAGAACCGAACTTTGGGGCCCGGCACTTACCGTTCTGCAGGATACGGCAATCGCCTCGCGAGTCGCAGTTCGTCCTGCGCAGAACGGGCGCGTCAGAGTCGCAGTCGATCTCCTCAACGACGCCGAGCTCATTTTGGAGGTCAGTGGTGTCGTAGTCGATGCGGACCTTCCGCCTGTGACGGAGAGACAGCAGTAAGTACACATTCGACTCTTCTTGACGATGAGGTACTTATCTTGGGACAGCGAGAACAGAGCGCGCTTCTTGCGGCAGGGACTGAACTTAGCTGGCTTCCACCAGAAACCGTTCGACGCCGCTATCAAGGCTATTGAGCGCATCCGTCTCTTCTTCGATCGATCTGTTGGAGGCGGCGTACAGGCTGCAGACCACATCACGACGAACGTTGGCCCGGGGATCTCCGGAAGCAGCCGCTACTTCTCGCACAAGAACGACGTCGACTCCAAAGACGTCGTGCCTTTTGATACTGAAGTTGACCCCAAGGGGTATCTCGCCGCGCTCGCGTCCTCGACTTTTCTGCACACCAAGGACAATGTCGTCAGTTATGTTCAGTACGAAACTGACCCGTTGACCGGTACGGGAACGTACGTGACCTTCACTCGCGCTCAGAGCGGCGACCCTGACCTGTACACAGGTACAAGGCATGCTCCCCAGCGGCTATAAAAGCCGGAGACATTGTGACTTGCAAGTTGGCATTCATGTTGGTGCCGATGCCGAAGAAAAGCAACGTCGGTTGGAAGATGCTCAATGTCTTGAAGGCTGTCTGTGTCATGGACAGCACAGTCACCGAGGTCAGTCTTTCTCCTACTCGCTATCAACGCAAGCGCTCACCTGTTCAACGAAGGAGGCCAACACGACCGCAGTTCTGGAGGACCTTCAGATCGAACCGGAGCACGTGGAAGCATCGCTAAAGCGAGGTAGTGTGAGCTTTGAGGGTACGCTTGCTGCGCCGCCGAAGAGAAGTCGTCGTATGTCTATTGACGAGGGGGGCGAGAGTGAGAATCCATCTCAGGCGTTCTCCAACTCGGCACTCCCCGGCGACTTTGTGGCGAACCTTGACTTTGTGGCGGACTTCTCTTAGCTTACAGTCCCGATGCCGTATCCTTCACGCATCGCCTGCAGATCGGGCGGGAATAGGATCTGTAATGCTCTCTTTACCGTGCTCGTCTCTGTCGTCGTACCGTCCGCATGCCAATAAAGTAATCATCGGGGCGCTCTTGACGACGGCAATAACACTTCGGGGCTCAGACCCTCATCTCTTGTCAGGTTGCCAAGAATAAGCGTATATATCAAACGATTAAATCAGCGGACACACAAGAAACCCTAATCGAAGTTCAAGTCACGGATCTGCAGAATTTCCATCAAGTCCGCGTGCCGACGACGGCGGAACTCCTTGTTGTCTGTAGGCACAGTGAGTATATGTGTGCCCGTGTTCCCTTGCACGTACCTGAACACCGAAGGAAAGGCGTGTCGAAGAAGGTGATGCGTCCCCAATGACCGCCGCGGAGAACCCTACAGGCCGCGTTGATGTCGTCGGTCGTGGCTATGTTCGAGAAATAGCCGTCCACGAACATCTCGACGATACCTGCGCGCGTCCTCGTCTGGAGGTCGGGCAAGTAGGCGAGCGCCTTCCAATCCGTTCGAACAGCTTGGAGAAGGGGGAGATCGTCAATGGAGCAATGCCCCGCTAGCCCCGAATCTAGACACGGGTGTAAGAAGATCGAATCAGTTCACGGATGCGGACGAGAGCACATACTGCCGAGCCTGCTCGCAAAAAACCCGAGCTCTGTAAGGGTGGAGGCGCTGTCTCGCAGCAGGCGAGAGATGACATCCCACTCGCTTTGACGGAAATAACCGAGATCGAAGACGAGGACAGTAAGGCAAGGGAAATATAGATGCTGCAGGAGACGCAGAACACCGTTCGTCATGTCCACGTGAAGAGCTTTCGCCTTCACCCGCGTGTCCACCTCTGCCTCAGGACCTGCAACAGCGCCCCACCCTAGATCGGACCAGTCTTCGCCCGTGTGCCACTCCGGAGAGTCTGTTGTGTGCTTGATCTCGACGATTTGCACGACCTCGGACACGTGAGCGATAGTGCCGGACACCCTCCTCGACAGCGCGAAATGCAGCCCACTTCTGGTTGCGTTCACAAACCGAAGGACTCGCGCGCGAGCGACCATAGAGTCCATTGTAGACGGCACCCAGACGCGCTGCAAGGTCGACCACCAATTGCGCTCGTTCGTGCTGCTGCCGAGGACCAAGGTGTGCGCATTTTCCGGCGATAGAGCGGCGACGACTGCGAGAAACGCAAGAGACTCTGGCGACCAACGGCTGGGAAAAGCAACCTGCCGGACAAAGTCACACAAATCCCGACGAAGCTCTCCTACCATCGGGGTCAGACAAGGAATCGAAGTAGCTGGGAAAGCTCACGGCAAAGCGGAAAGGTGATGTCCAGCCCCGGAATGACAATCTGCAACGAGCGCAAGCCTGCGCAAAGCGTCAGTAGATAATTCTTGCGCAAGACTTGAACTCACTTTGCGTCCCCGTCATCGCCGCTTGCAGACTCCACTCTCTAAAACTGTAGTAAGGCTCGCCTGCCTGAACCGACACCTTGTTCCACCGATAGCGCCGTGTCAAGTACGCAAGACGTGGGCTCGCCAAAGCGATGCGAGCGACATCATCTGCATGACAGTGGACGAGTACTTGCTCCAGGACCTCTAGGGGCAGGTTCTCAAGGGGCGCCCAAGGACGAGCACTTGTACGACACCGCTGGCTGACGCCTCGCACCAAGAACGCCAGCGATCGGAAAGGGAAAACTTCGAGAAGATAGGGAACGGCAGCCGGAAGGAGCGTTCCAAGAACGGCACCTGTGATCAAAAAGCAGCAGTTGTCGACGGTAAAAGCCATGGGAGGGTTTGAGAGCGAGGGGATGAAGGTCAGAGCGAAGTTCGCGACAGCGCGCTTAAGCGCCAACTCTTGGGACACCGGACACGAGTTATGATGCGAACCCCAGTTCTATGTTGACGGGAGCTTAATGATTGTATTCAACACGGGGGTCTCCGGCAGACGGCGGTTGCTGTTGACGATGGCACACACGTGGCGCTTGAGCCCTGACGTCAGGTCCGCCGGACAGGCGACCCAACCATCTTTGGATCAACATTTCCTCATCAAGAACAATGGCAGAACAAACCGAGAAGTACAGACCGACCAGTCTATCGCTGAGAGCCCTCGGGAAAGGACGTCAGATATCAAAATGTATGAGTGAATTTTGTCCTTACTTTGCGACTGACGTGATTAAGAACCCATAACCAAGACATCGAGCTATAATTGTCGCCGAAGTGGAACATGTAGGACCACATATACCTGGACGGGAGAGCGGCGGTTCACTGCCATAGTGAGCCGGCATGCAACCTTCTCGCAAGGGGAAGAAGGTGACGGCGAGGATAACTCCAGGGCGAGGTACTTGGAGAGCATCGAAGACCTCCTCTTCAGCTCATAAAACCTCTCAGGACCGCCACCGTACCGAATCACTCGCAGAAGCCTCGGCGCCCGTCGCAAACCGGAAGAAGACGCCGGCGAACATATTTGTGCTCCACCTGGAAGACGCGATGAGACGAACGACGAGGCCGACGCCGGACAGACAACAGTCCACAACAAGCACCTGCGCGACGTCGAGCATGCGAATCGAATCCTCGAAAGGACGAAGTCCAACTACGCATCTCACATCGCAGACCTTAAAACTGACCTCGTGGCGACGAAGGCTCTGGTACGCGTGTTAATTTTCCGAACCACTTTCCCTCTAACTGAGCCAGAACCGAGAACTTATCAAACAAGTCCGCGAGCTTCAAATGTCGCTTCGAAGGATAGAGGAAGTAGTGAAAGACGCCTTCGACAAGAATGACGTGCAGGAGAGTACATACTAAGACTTTGAATCGCGGTCGTTGGCGCGTGCACGATTCAATTCGATTTTCAGAGATATTCACGTTCGATCTAGATTGGAGCGACATGCCTGGATGGGCTGCGAAGGCACAGGTAGTGACCGTCTATATAACGTACAAGTACGAGTTAGCAGTCGAGTCAGGTGTTAGTTACGCGCGCGCGCCTCCAACATGCGCCGTATACGCTCAGAGCGACGTACGGTGCAGGCGCCTACCACGGCAAAAAGATCAGAACAAAGGCCACGCATCAAAGAGAGATGAAAGAACTCACGAAGTGACTTGCACGCCGCCGCTTGTCGAAAATGCGTGGTCCACTCTATGCAGACCGCCTTCGCAATGAACGCGCAGTCCTTCTCGACCCACCTTCAATCAGTGTGAGCACAACGAGCAGAGAGAGAGAGCAATCACTCACCAGACGGGACCTGAGCAGTTCGCTCGAGCGCGACGGCGAAACTCGTCGCGAATGGCTCGACAAGCAAACGTCATACCCGTCACGTCAGGACTATTGTCGCAGACTGGATGAGATCGAAAGACTCTGGCGCGCATGTAGGGACGATCCGCTAGCACGGCGTTCTTGCGGGTATACGTCAGTGCCCATGACCTGTGGAGGACATGGTCGAACCCTGAGACTTCCTGCCTATCACAAGGATAAGCAACTAGCAAGCGAGGAAAGAGGGCACCCAACGCACTGATAGACGAACAACTTCATCTTCCAAGTCATGTCGTCCCCGACAAAGCGGTGGCGCCGTCCAAACTCGCGATGCGAGTCACCCGCCTCATCCCGGCCGACGGCGCCAAGGTTGCGCCAGCCACGAACGTGGTACTTCGCATACGCTGCAGCTGCTCGGTCGTCGCCGGATTCTGCCTTGAGCTTCAAAGATCGCAGGCGCTCAAACGTCTCTACTGGGTAGAACGCATACGCAGTATCGTGAGTAATCACGTTCATCACAGCAGCTGATAGTGATAAGCATATCGCCTACGGAGATGAGAGCCACGTACTGCTATGGAACCCGAGGATGACCTCGACGACAGCAACAGGCGTCACCAGGAGCTGGACGATTGTGGAGCGATCACCGATGTGAACGAAGTCGAATGCCGCGCGAAGAGACGCGAGCGGATATCCGTCCAGATGCTCGGGTTGCGCCGCCACCTGTGCGTACTGATCCAGGAAAGAGCGAAGTTGAGTGGGCCGCGGTCGATATTGGTAGCCGCATTCCAGCAAGAAGTCGTGCACTGCGAGGACGTGACGAAGTTCGACGTACAAATCAAGGTCGTGCGGACGCCAAGGGAATCGACCCATGAAAGCGAGAGCGAACGAACCCGATATCACAGAACCAGTGACTCGCAACATTTGTCGGAAAGCGAGAAGGTGTTCGAAGGGAACGAATCTCTTGATAGCCTCCGCGAAGTTGAAACTGCGATGGCGATATCTTGTGACCCGGTCCCGACCCTCACGCGAGGTCCTCTCGACGAGGGCGAGCTCCCGCGGCGACAGAGCGGACAAGAGAGCGTTGTCCACGTCCTCGGGTCTGGCAAACCATGAGCATGACGCCACGGAGAAACATGAAGGACTCACAGACTCCAGAGCGATGGCGAATACGACATGGCGAGTCAAGGACTTGTACACAGAAGGTAAACTGTCCGCATTTATAATGAGGGTAGATAGACGTCGGCATCGGTCTAGGCACTCCGGAGGACAGATGAGATCGCGAAGAGCGTGCCTGGAAAAGAACGGAAACGAATTCTGCTTAGCGAATTTGGGGCTGGAATAGTCTGTCTCAAAAGGGGCGGAAGCGATAGGATGTGAACTGCACCCGGGCGGGCCAGCGAAGCGCCTCCATGGGATGGAACAGGTGCCAGCCAGTGAGCAGCAGCGAATGCAAGGTCGAAAGGACTCAACGAGCTTAAGTGAGCGGGCACAAAAGCAGGACTGTGCGCAGAGAAGGTCTCCTCAGCAGCGTCATCGAACAGATGTGCTTGAGGCGAGCGCAAGAGGGCGGAGGCGATACGCTCAAACATCACCTGTGACAGAAGCGGAAACGGAAATCACCGAAGTCACACGTGCTACTTCAACTTGTCACGAGGTCTCATTATACTCCAATACAGCATCACTCAGGTAGGAATAATAGTTAGGTGAAGGCGGTTCGGAAGCAATGGTGACAAATGCTTGTGAATACCCGCGCGAAGCCGCGGGATCTCGGGACTACTGGCGGCAAATGGTGGGCGGATCTCCAACCGCAGTACCCGAGACTGTCCCAAAACAACTGTCGCCCAACGCGCCCAGTCAATCTCCGATGGACCATCGCCCTCGCGGAAGAGCGCGTACTCCCAATCCCCAATGAGGAGGCAAGGAACGGCATTTCGCGCGTACACGGTAATTGCGATGGTGTGGAGATGCTGCAGATTATGCTGCTCGCGATACCGGAAAGCATGCATGAAGTCTAGCATAAAGTCCCATTCTTGACGCAGTTCGTCGTTGGCGTTGTGGACCTCGAACAGCACGGTGGAAAGGCAGGGGAAGACGGGCATAGGCCGCGTATCTAGAAAGTGGTCAGCTCAGAAATTACGAAATGTATAATAAGGGAATGCCGCACCGTAGAAGAGAATGTCATTGAACCACTCGACATCGAGGTGGGTCAAAGACGACGCCACCGCACGCAGAGCGCCGCAGAATCCATCCCAGTCGCAATAGCGCGGGATCCGCAGACGAGAGAGATGAGGAGCAGATAGAGAAATGTACTTCTCCACAAATGCGCCCACGTCGCAGTAGCGACCATCGGCAAGATTGAGCGTGCGAAGCTGGTGGTACACAGACGCAGGTGAAGATATGCTCTCGGTGTCAAAGAACACTGAGGAAAAGGTGATCTCGAGCGAGGTTATCTGGCGGCTCACATGCCGGAGAGCGACGTCGAGCTCTGCGGTGCCGCAGAAGTCGCAGTCGAGTCGGAGAGACTGGAGTTGAGGAAACTGCTGGAGAAAAGTAGCCGCATGCTCTGGAGTCATGCCAGCGTCGACCCCCCGACGATTGAACCTCCAATAAAGGGTGCGCACGTTGGGAAGGGGAGGCAAAGATTCGGGAGGAAGGTACAGATGAACGTCGAGTGAGAGGATGTGCTTGCCAAGACTGGGTCGGGCCTTTAACTCCTTCGCTTGCGACAAAGAGCGAATGACCAGCGTGCGGAAGAAGAGGGGGGAAATGTCCCTATGCAAAGCCTTCGTAACCTGCATGAGAGACGCCAAAGTAGGCCGATCGGCGCTGTCGGCAACAAGGTGCTGAATCTCCAAAGGAATAGGCTGCGAAGATGGAGAGCGCGACACTAAAACACAGTCAGTAGAAGCGAGAGCAAGAGGAATGGCGGACGTACTGATGAGTGTACGGAGAAAAAGGGGTTGGAAGAGGTGAACGGAAAAGCGCACTTTTAAATCCCCGGTCTCATTGAGACACTTCGCAAGTGTATAAAAAGAATGTCTCGCATTGCAGTACATAGACGTGTAGCAAAGAGTTAATCTGTGTCACCGACGATACGTAGAGTCAATCGCTCGGGAGGTACGACTTGAAGATGATGAAGAACAGTGCGTCGGAGGGCAATCGCCTGCTCGCCGTCCACGTCAAAGTCGACGACAAAAACAATATCCAGACTGACCAAATCTCCTAGCACGTCAGATACCCACGTGTCCCAACGCAGGCTGTCGTACTCCTGGACAGCCCCGAAGAGAGTCAAGCACCAGTTAACTCCAGTGATGCGCTCCATCGCCGTCGCTAGAACGCAAACCCGGACGGTCCTCAAGCTAAGAAGATTCCCTCTCGTCCTTTCCGTGCGTAGAAAGGTCGCCAATCGTCGCCATTCCCGTCGTCCGTCCTCGTGCACGCGGCGCATGGTGAACTGCACGACTTGCAAACGCTGAAGCGACCTCTGCCCGGAAGGACCTATACAACGATGAGTAGTGCAGTGCATGGATAAAAGGAAGACAGACCTAAGACCCAAGGAAAGGGCGGATCAACAGCAGGGACTAGGCCTAGGCGCAGCTCCTTCAACATCGGCGGCGAATGAGACAGCAATCCGTCAAGCCCCGACCAGGTCAGACCTTGTGGGATGTCTAGAATCTCCAGGCCGCGCGCATGAGCGCGGAAGTAGTCCGTCGTAAAGTGCGAGTAATCCTCGGCGAGGCAATGACGCACAGTAAGCTCGCGTAGCGCAGGAAAGGTTGAAGACGTTCCCTGCATCGAGGTAAAAGGTGCGAACACCTTGAATGAGACGGCTAATGAAACAAGCCTCGCGCTGCAGTCTCGCAATGCAACGTCTAGCTCGCGAAGACCAAAGGTCTTGTAAGCCAGACGAAGATGGCGAAGACCCGAAAAAAGGCGAAGGAAGGGAGGGAGACGTCTACGGACATCGTATAAAGGGACATTGGGGGGTGGACACCACTCCAGAGTGTGAAGGTTCTCGAAACCCGACAGGTAGCAAGGAAGGCGGTACGTGTGCACAATCAACTCGTGAACGAACTCAGCGATGTCCTTGCGGTCGTCGAGAGTAAGCGCATCCTGCGGTGTCCAAATGTGTACAGTGTCGTAGAAACGGCGGAGCAAGTAATGGAAGTGTTGCGCTGAGCAGACCAGAGCGAGAAGGGTGTTGCGGTCGCAGAACGAGACGATAACGTCGAAGAGCTCAACGTGTACTTTGGGCCGCAGAACGTCTGCGCTCCGCAATCGCGATAGGACGGCCACTAGAGACAGTTGTGAGTAACGCGTATGGAAGACGAGACTGAACTTACTTAATGACCAAGGAAGACGCTTGGGAAACGGCAAGTAAGCCACGGCGCCTTTTAAGGTGAGCGCCGACGAAACTGACGCGCACCTGGATATGTCAGAGACGGTCTCAAAGACGACGACTGAGGATAAAAGTCCCAGAGACGGAGAGAGAAGGGATAGAAAATAGATTATCGTAGTGAAACAAACACAGTGGTGTCTACGATGGCGGAATCGAACCTGGCCGGTTAGCGAAAACCACCGCCGTGTGAGGGAAAGGAACAGTCCGGGCCACGCCTGTAGAGATGGCGCTGAATGCGGAAGTGCCCTCTGCAGCTGATGTATAGACGTTGAGGTGGAGGGTGCACCGGCTGCCGAGCGCCGCAAACCAAGAGTGCCAATCGAGGGCGCCACCGTGACCATCCATATCGAATAAGGGCCCACCTCCATCGGTGACCATATCCCAGGAGGCGCGACGCCCGTCGATATTCACGGTAACCGCTGTCAATGACGGCGCCAAAGGCACGCCATATACCAGATCGAAAAAGTCTGACGTGTCGCTCCAAACTCGCAGACTTTGATGCGGTTCCAGAGCGACACGAAAAGACAGGGACCGAAGGCGCATCCACTGCGAGGGGTCTGAAGAAGGTTACAGCAGTGTCAGGAACGGGCATACGAACACGCACCGTACGTGAGGGCTAACCGCACAAGCGGTGGACAGCCTTCGAACTCCAAAGATGAGACGGAAGGAGGCGAATGCCGCAAAGCAGTCAGGATCGATGCCCACGTCGTGTCTCGAGGGAAGCGGATCGTCTGCAGGCAGCGGTTCCCGCGTGTAAGACACGAGAACGCCGATCCGCTGAGTTCCCCGTACCGGGGATCGTCGACGGACAGAACGCGGAGATTACAGAAAAGGCTCCTTGGTCGAGCTCGGCAACGATCCATAGGGCCGTGGACCACGCAGACCACCTTCAGAGACAGCAAGCGTGTCGAGATAGGCGCCAAAACGAAGTCCAAATTGGGGACGGTCAAGAGCGACAATGACAGCGCGAGATGACGAACGCTCTGAAAGCGTGACAAGAAAGCGCGTACTGACCGAGCGTTGAGAGGTTTCTCATGACCTGGCCATGCGTCGTGCGTCCACGACAGAGTTTGAAGGTTGGGAAGAGCCGGCAGCTGAAGTAGCTCTGCACCCAAGTGTGCTGTAAGAACGCGCACGAAGGGCAGCGCCAAGGGAGTCCCAGATAGGTGGGCGACATCCAAAGGATGGGTGATGCACAGGACCTCGTAAAAGAGAGGTCTCGCGCGTTCCAAAAAGTCAGGGGAAACGCGCATCAGAATTGCGAGAGAATGACGATCGCAAAAGCGCAGGATCGCAGCCTCGAGCTCAAACGGTAAAGACCCTACACGAAGTTAGGCTGGATTAAATCGTGGAGGGAGACTTACTTGTAGGAGTCATAAGCGGAAGTGATGAGGGTGGAAGGAGTCAACTGCGTGTGAGAAACCACGACAGAAGAGGAAACCGCGCACGCGGCTCTCGGGTGTTGCCGACCTTTATGGCACCGGAGAACCGGCCACACGATCCTCCCCTCTTGTCCTTACAACCTCTAGCTACATCACCCGCCTCCTAGCCGGCGACACTCAAATACCCGTCCATCGATTTTCTCATCTAATCAGGCTCTTCGTCGACGGAGCGCCGAGAAAACGAACCTCAGATTGCATGCGCCGCTCTGGTAGCGCTCCTTGCGATACCGAGAACTTGGCGTCCACTCAACCTCAACCGCTAGCTACCCTGATCCACGCCTGCAAAGCCAACCCTCGACCCAAGGACCCTGCCTCCAGTCACCTCCTGAGAATCACCGAGGGAACATGCAAGACTACATTCGTTCCTCGCCTGCGCCGTGCAGGCAGCATTCGCTGCGATACCAACAGCCTGGCGTCCGCATCTGTCACTGCTCGCTGACCACCCTGTCCTATGTCGGCATCCCACAACCCTGAGCCCTCACTCTATTCTCTCCTCGACAGTCATCAAGAGAACATGCAATGTTATGCTCGATGTTCAACTCTTCTGCGTCGTAACCGCCCCAACAGACGCCTCAGCTGACACGAACACCGTGCTCGCCTGCCCTATCCTCATTCAAAAGAAGGTTAGTGTCTGCAGTTGACTCTACACTCATAGTCAGGCGACGACACCGAAGCCAGACCCTCAGCCTTGGATATAAGCCTCGGCCTCTGCGCCATTCACCCCATCGCCAACTGTACCCAGCATGAGCGCCTCCGCAGACGTGCGTCTCTTACCCTCTCTCCCCTACCCTCTGTCCCCTAACGTCCCCCAGAACACGGCCTCCGCCCTCCGCATCGCGGGGATTCTCGGCGCCCAGCTCGTGCCCGCCCTCCAAGCCATCGTACGCTGCTTTCCCTCAGTAGACCTCAGACGCTGACGCTTCACACAGCAAGGCGCGAAAGACGTTACCCTAGCCTGCGGTTGCGGGAGCATGGCCGAAGGCTACGCGAACCCGTGCAGACAGCCCGTCTGCACGGTCTGCGTGAAGGACCTGTGCCCAAACTGCGCCGCCCAGTACACGTCGCCGAATCCTCGCTGTGGTCACCACCGTGGACCCTTCTGCCCTCACAAGAACTGCCCGAATGGGAACGTCGTCGAGTACTACCGCGCGAACCCCCAGAACGGCGCAGAGCTCTTCAAGGCCGTCTCCGAGCACGGGGCGCACATCCAGGAGCTCGTCGACCATTTGATCGTCCTGACGAGGGACATGTAGAGTAAATAGCTGCGTGTATTACTACGATGTGAATAGGGACGTCAGTGGAAGGCTTTCGCGCGCGCACCCCGGCCGTCGTTCTGAAAACTCAAACAAACCGGGACCTACAAGATTAGGCCTGGGCCACCGATGACGCCATTGGGCGTAGGTGTCATCACAAATGGTCATGTCTCCGAGCGATGCCGGTCAAGAGTAATCAAAGCTTCGTAAGAGAGAGAAGCGTTATACAGTGAGAAAAAAGCGTGGTGAACAGGTCGGGTGCAGGACTGGAGAGCCAGACGACTGTAAGAGACGACATGCGCGTGACGGAGGAAAGAGAGAAAGAAGGATGCGCAGGAAAAAAACGTGCAGAGCAAACGCTCCGTCGGCAGGCGTGCCTGACACACGTAATCTTGATTGGTTGCAGCGTTGAATTTGTACCTAAAAGTTGGCGGAATCCTGGACATAAAGGATGAGTTACTCATATTCATTCCTAACTCACCAACCCTCGGTCGCGGTGCAGTGTCACAAAGCACGTGTGAAGCTTCACGTCGTGTCACTGTCACACACTGAAAATATTGTTGCACTTCTGCTCAGATGGTAGCCTGCAGTAGCATTACAGGGACGCTCTTGATAGGCTAGCAGTGTGCATTGAATCGACAATTTCCTCCAAATGCAACTCCCGCATCCATTGGGAGCACAGGTCCAGGACGCGGCGAGCTCGGTCTCCGGACCGTCACATGCGAGCCGGCATTGGCATCCGACACCCGTGATTCGAACCGCCGACCTCAGGCATCAGAACGCGGAATCCGAAATTGAACCTGGTCCTTCCCGCCGACCGTACCTCTTCGCCGTGTCTTTCTCTTCACCGTGTCTTCCTCTTCGCCGTCTCTTCCTCTACCTCCCCGCCGGGACGATCCTCTTCGTGCCTGATACTTGATCCTCTTCGTGCCGGATAGTCCTCTTCACCGTGTCTTCCTCTTTGCCGTGTCTTCCTTTACCTCCCCGCCGGACGATCCTCGTCGTGCCTGATACACCTTATCCTGCCAGATATCCCTTATCCATCGCTTCTGGTCTGAGCCTCGCTGATCGCGCTGGTCTTAGTCACTGCATGCGCTTTCTTCTTCGCTGGCAGTATCTTCTTTGTCACTCGTCCTCGTCACTCGCCTCCGCTCATCCTCGTCAGCTTCGCTCATCCACGTCATCTTCGCTCATCTTCATCTTCTCGTCCGCTCGAGCTCGTCCCCTCGCCGTGTTCGCTCGCGTTCGTGAGCGATCCATAAGTGACAGGGTCGTGAACGATACGATACATACATAAAAAACACTAGCCATACTGTTACAAAACGCCGCGCATCCATCCGAGATCTATAGTACATTGCGCGTCGCCGCTCGCCTCCCCTTCTCCCCTCACCCACCGCTCCGTCCATCCACTCCATCCTCCGATCCTCCACCCCTCGCATCAAACCCTTGTAAGTAATCGAAGGAACAGAGCAGCTCCTTTCGCCTCACCCCTCTACCGCTCTTTCACGTCTCACCCCCTTCCTTCTCATCCCCTCGACCCTCTCATCCCCCCATCTCCTTCACCCACCAACCCACCACCACCCCTAATTCCTCCACCAATCCCACCCGGCCTTCAACTGCTCAAAGCACACGAAGATGAGCACCGTCGTCGGCTGGAGGCGCGTCCAGGCGGGGAGCCAGCCCTAGACAATGTGTTGTCAGCTTCCTCACGCGCCAGAGTTTGGCGCGAGACATGGGCGCTCGACGAACAACCTGCTCCCAGCCCGCCAATCCAGCCCGCCCCCCACCACCTTCCTCAACGTCCGCCCCTCCCACCTTCCGCCAACCCCGAGCCAACGTCGAACATCGCGCCACTCCAATCCACCCCCACTCACCTTAAACATAAACAGCGGCCCCTCGGTCGCGAGCGCGGTGCGGATCGCCGCGATGGAGGATGTCGAGCCGGGCCCGGACGCGTTCATGATCCGGCTCTTGACGACGTCCGCGGGCGAGCAGACGGTCGTGGCGACGGTGCCCTGGGGGTGGGTGGGTGGGTTAGCACTTTGTTACAGGTATTTTTGTTGAGTGTTTTTCGAGAGCGACGCGTATGGCCTATGCGAACGGGCAGAATTTCATGATGCGGAAGAGGCATTCCCCTCCTCAATGCCCTCCCGCATACGCCAGCCCCTTCCCACTCCACTCTTCGTCTCCTCTCCTCCCCCTCCTCCCACCACCTTCCCCTCTCCCGCTTCCCCGCCCCCCTCCTTTCATGGGCCCACGCACGCCTCCTCCTATGTATGCCGTCCCCTCCCGCGCCCTCGCGCCCGCGCCAGCGCTTTCCTTTCCCCGTCCTCCCCTCGTCTCGCATCGGTCTACGCCTTCCCCTCGTCTCGCATCAGTCTACGCCAGCCCCTCGCCGGCAACGGCGACGAAAGACGGGTCGTCAGCCCCTCGCAGGCGCCTGCGCGGGCCCGCCTGCAGGCGCCCGCGCGGACCACCCAGCATGGGCGGGAGCGGAAAGCGCAGGACGAGAGCGGGTAGGGGAGCAGGGAGGGCAGACGCGAGCGGGAAGGCGGGGATCTACGCGAGCGGGAAGCGGGGATCTACGCGCGTAGACCGCCCGGGACGGGTGGGGGGGGGGGCAGACGTGAGCGTGGGAGAGAGGGCGAACGAGAGCGTGGGAGGGGAGGGCAGACGCACGTGGGGAGGGAGGGCAGACGCGCGTGGGGAGGGAGGGAGCAAGGAAGGATAGGGGAGGGAGGGAGCAAGGAAGGATAGGGGAGGGATGAACAACGAGCCGGCGCCGTCGATGGAGGTAACGAGCACACATCCCTATGCACACACCACCAAGCTCAAGTCCCCGCAAGAAGAACCACCAAGCTCAAGTCCCCGCCAGAAGAACTCACCGCCACCCCGCTCGCCATCACATGCGTCCCCGTGCTGTCCCCGAAGCCGGCCGCGAGGAGGCGGGACTTGGTGAAGTCGTAGCTGGTTGTTTGGATTCAGTATGGGGGTTAGGGTGAGGAAAGATGGAAAGGGGGAGTGTTTAGGGGGTTAGTGGTTTGTTAGGGGGAAGGGAAGAGGGGAGGGGGAGGAAGAGTGAGGGTGGGGGGAGGGAGGGTGGGAGAAGGAGCGGGGGGAGGTGTAGGTGGGAGGGTGATGGTAAGAGTCATTGGGGAGGAGGAAGAGGGAGGAGGGTGAGCACGAAGAAGGAGGTGCAGGGCCGACAGTCCACCGCCCACTAGGCGCGACAGTCAACCGCCCACCAGGGCTGACAGTCAACCTCACCCATCATTTATCCCCCCCTACCTAACCAAAACCCAAATCAAAAAACCACACCCACTCACGCCGGAATCTGACTCGCGTTCATCAGCACCGCGCGGAACACGTTCGGCCCGAGGCCGCGGAAGAGGGAGCGGAAGCCTTCCTCGCGGGTCATCTGGCGAGCGTGAGCGAGCGTGAAAGGGATGTTTTTTTAGTTTGTTTGTTGCAGGAGGGAGGGTGGGAAGAGGGGGACCGGGGAGAAAGGGGGGAGGGGACCGGGGAGAAAGGGGAAGGGGGAAGGGGAAGGAGAGGGAAGGAAGGCTGTGAAGGGAAGGGAGGTGGGTGGGAAAAGGGACGAAGGAGGGAAGGGAGGGGGGATGCGAGCGTGAAGGGAAGGGAGGTGGGTGGGAAAAGGGACGAAGGAGGGAAGGGAAGGAAGAGGGAGGGGAGGGGGAGAAGGGAGGGATGGAAGGGGAGAGGAGGGGGGAGAAAACGGAGAGATATGTTGGGCGGGGTGTGAGGGTTGGAGGGGGAGGAAGGGGAAGGGGCCAACGCGCGTGAACAGGAAGAGAGGACGGTCGGGTAAAAGGCGGCGCGTGCATAGGCGAAGCGCTAATGATAGATAGGGTGGGTGGTGAGCGAAGGAGAGAAGAGGCCAAGTAACGGTCGTGTGCGCGAAGGCAGTACGGCACGACGCGAAGCAGGGCATGGGAGGGGGGACGACGTTAAAAAAGGGAGGGAGAAGGTGGACGACGTGGATGAAGGGGGGGAGAAGGTGGACGACGTGGATGAAGGGGGGGAGAAGGTGAACGACGTGGAGGACGAAGGGAGGAGAGGTAGCCGCGATAGAGAGAGGGAGGGACGCGCACGCACCCTGACGAGCGCATCGATCGCGTGCTTGTACTTGAACTGCTTTTCCGGCGGCTTGGCGGCGTCGCCCTGCAGTCTGACCATGACGATCTCTGCACGTTGCGTTAGCAGAGCCCTGACGGCATACAAAGAACCATGGATGCGCACCGCCCGGATTACCCACCGCGCCCGCGATGCCGCCCGCCATGGCGCCTGCGAGGACGAGCGTGCCGGGGCCCGAGTCCTTGGTCGCGCCGAGCCAGCGCTTGCACTCGTCGTACGCCCAGAAGCGGCAGACGGAGTAGGACATCTGGCGGAGCCACGTCCCCGTGATGCCGTCGAAGAGGCCGCGGGCGCCCGCGGTGCGGTAGGTCTTCTGGATGGAGGCGAGCATGCGGGTGTCGCCCGAGGCCTGGAGGCGGACCTTGGTCAGGTCGAGCGGGTGGGTGATGGAGGCGGCGATGGTGGCAGCGAGGCCGCCGAGGTAGAAGGGGTAGGGCCCGCGCGGGGGCGCGTTCACGGGCTGGGGCGGCGCGCTCGACATCGCGGAGGGTGGGAGGGGTGTGTGTCAGGCGACGACGAGGCTAAATAGCCAGCGTCGCTGATTGAGCGCGCGAGTGCCGCGCGGCAGGCCGCAGCTGCCCTGCTGACCATCGTTGGAGGGAAAGGGCGCGTCATGAGAGCGCGGTGGCGCGGGTAGGCGCGCTCGGTCCGAACATCCGGGGTCGCGTGATGTGCGTGTCTTGGACGCTTGTTCCGATGTTCGCTTCCGTCGTCGTTCATTGTCCGCTGCATTCCTCGGGGAGCCGCGGGCGAGCTCGAGGGTCGTCGGCCGTCGTCCTCTCCCTGCGCCTGTACTCCCAACGCGACCTGCAATCTCACCTGCACGTCCTATCGAACCCTTCCTGCTCCACCCTACGCGCTTCCCTCACCTCTCACGGCGCGCCCGTTTCTCACATGGACGCGCACGACGTCACTCGCCACCTCCGTCTCGCGCTCGGGGCCGCGTTACGGCTCACGAAGCGCGGAACTGTACATGCCTTCCCGTAGCCGTACACGTCTTTGCGTACTCCATGCCGCACCCAACGCTCCTCCTCCCGTGTAGTTCCCTCATCAGTGCATCTCTTCTACCCCACCTTCCGTCCCTTCTCCTCACCTTCTGTCCCTACCCCCTGATCATAACACACTCCCACACCCTCCAATCCTTCACCTCCATCTTCACACGTCACCTCTACCCATCCACCACGCATTAATGGGGTAGTGGTAACCTGGGTCGTTGCCATATATGATATATGAGACGAGTCTCTCGACCCGCCGGGGGTTCGATTCCCCCTTAATGCATGATGGCTCATCATCTGTTCTTGTTGTTCCTGTCATGGTTTTCTTCCTGTCATGCTTTTGTTCCTGTCATGCCTTTCCCCTCCTTTTCCCCTCTCCCTGTCGTCCCCTCCTCTTTCTGTCATGCCTCTCCCCCCTCTCCTTATATGCTTTGCCCCCCTCCCTGTCATGCCTTTCCCCTCCCACCCTATATGCCCATCTCCCACCTCCCTACACATCCCTTCCCCCCTCACTTTCCCTACATATTCCCCCCTCCCGCCCCTTTCTTTCGACTGCTTTGACGACTTGCGCTCCGACCTCGTCGACGAGCGGTTCTCCGACCCCCTCGTTGAGCAGCCCTCCGACTGCGTCGACGAGCCGTCCTCCGACTGCGTCGACGAGCAGCCCTCCAAGCACGTCGACGAGCAGCCCTCCCGACGACGTCGACGAGGTGCGCTCCGACCGCGCCGACGAGCAGCCCTCCGACCCCGTCGACGAGCCGTCCTGCGACCTCGTCGACGAGCTGCCCTCAGACCACGTCGACGAGCGGCCCTCCGACCGCGTAGACGAGCCGTCCTTCCACTCCGTCGACGAGCCGTCCTCCGACCTCGTCGATGAGCAGTCCTCCAACCGCGTCGACGAGCCGTCCTCCGACCCGTCGACGAGCCGCCCTCCGACCGCGTCAACGAGCCGTCCTGCGACTGCGTCGACAAGCAGCCCTCCGACTCCGTCGACGAGCCGCCCTCCGACCACGGTGACGAGCAACCCTCCGACCACGGTGACGATCAGCCCTCCGACCTCGTCAACGAGCGGTCCTCCGACCGCGCCGACGAGCAGCCCTCCGACCACGGTGACGAGCGGCGCTCCGACCCCGTCGACGAGCCGTCCTCCGACCTCGTCGATGAGGTGTGCTCCGACTCCGTCGACGAGCGGTCCTGCGACAGCGTCAACGAGCGGTCATCCGACCGCGTCGACGACTTGCCCTCCGATTGGGTTGATGAAGTGCCCCCATCGGAGCGCACCTCGGGGGGAGGATGTGCTGCTCGCCTGCACGAGGTGCGCCGCCGCTCGCATCGAAGAAGGAGGAGTACCGCGCCGCTCGTCGTCGTCGTTGAAGAAGGAGGAAGCGCTGCTCTCGTCGTCGAAGAAGTAAGCGCTGCTCTCGACTCGAAGGAGGAAGCGTTGCTCTCGGCTCGTTAGGAGGAGCACTACCTCCCATCGAAGGAGGTGCAACACTCTCCCCTCGAAGGAGGCACGCCGATGTCGTCGTCTCGAAGGAGGAGCGCTGATCTCGTCATCGAAGGAAGCGCGCTGCTGCTCTCGCATCGAAGGAGGAAGAGCGCTGCTCGCCTAGAAGGAGAAAGCGCAGCCGCTCGCATCGAAGGAAGGAGGCGACGCCGCTCTCACCTCGAAAGGCGTGCTGCTCGCCTTCAAGGTAGAGCGGTGCCACTCTCGGCTCGAAGGAGGAAGCGCCGCCACTCGCCTCGGTGAAGGAGGAGGCGCAACGCGCTCGCCTCGCCCTCAAAGGAGAAGCGCCGCGCTCGCTCAGGGAGGAAGCGCAGATCTTGTCGTCGATGAACGAGCGACGCCACTCGTCTCAAAGAAGGAGCGCGCTGCTTTTGCTGAGGAGTGCGCCACTCTCGCCTCGAAGGTGAAGGAAGCGCGCCACTCGCCTGCAAGGAGGAGGCGCGTTGCTCGCCTGCAAGGAGGTGCACCGCTGCTCTCGTCTCTAAGGAGGTGCGACGCTTGCCTCGAAGGTGAAGGAGCGCGCTGCTCTCACCTCGGTGAAGGAGGCGCGCCACTCGCCGTCGAAGAGGGTGCTCACCTCGAAGGAGGAGGAGGCGCTCTGCTCGCCTGGAAGGAGAAGCCTGCCGCTGCTCGCCGTCAAAGGAGGAGCGACGCTCGCCTTGGAGAAGGAGGCGCCGGTCGCCTCGAAGGAGGAGCGCGGCCGCTGCTCTCGCCTCGGAGGAGTGCGCTGCTCTCGCCTTCGAATGAGGAGGAGCGCAAATCGCTTCGAAGGAGGCGCGCCGCTGCTCATCTTCGAAGAAGGTGCGATGCTCGCCTCGAAGAAAGAGTAGGAGCACCGCCGTTCGCCTTCGAAGAAGGAGCACGTCGCTCGCTGCGAAGGAGGGGGAGCGCTGCTCTCTCCTCGAAGGAGGAGGAGTGCCGCGCAGGCTCAGGAGGAGGCGCGCGCTGCTCCGGCTCGCAGATGGAGGATTGCCACTCGCCTCGAAGGAAGAGGGAGAGCGACGCTCGTCGTTGAAGGAGGCGTCTCTGCGCTCGCATCGAAGTAGGAAGCGCAGCTGCTCGCTCGAAGCAGAAGGCGCGACGCTGCTCTCGAAGGTGGAGGCGCGCTGCTCGTCTCGCCTTGAAGGAGGCGACGCGCCTCCGCTTAGGAGGAAGAGTGCGCCACTCGCCTAGAAGGAGGAGCCGCTATCGCCTCGGCTATGGAAGAGCGCCGCTGACTTGCCGCTCGGCGCTCAGAGCGCGAAGCGCCTGGGTGGGAGCGCCCTGAGAGGAAATCCTGCAGACACGATGAGGGAGCGGCAGCGGTGCGTTGGTGAAGCACTGGCGGCGCGTTGGGGGGAGCGGCAGCGGCGCGCCGAGGGAGGAGCAGCAGCGCATTGAGGGAGCGGCAGCGGCGCGTCGAGGGGACAGCGCGTTGGGGGGAGCGGCAGCGGCGCGTTGACAAAAGGCTGCCGACGCGTTGACAGTTGACAGAATGCTACCGACGTGTCATGGAAGTGGGTACGGGCGAGAATACAGCGTATGAGGGCAAGTGGACGAGCGTATGAAGGAGAGTGGACGAGCGAGGTACGGCCAGTGGGCTAGCGAGTGAAGGAGAGTGGACGAGCGTATGAACCCAAGTGGCCGAGCGTATGAAAGATAGGTAGGTGAGATAGGAGGAAATGAGGTAGGCGGGGAACGAGGTGGGGTGGGGAGGGGAACGAGGTGAGGTGGGGAGGCGACCCCACGACGCCCCCGTCGCCACGACATCCCTTCTCCTCGACGCTCCCCTCCCCGCGACGTCCCTCTGCCTCGAAATCTCCCCCTTCCCTGCCTCGCAACCTCCCCTTCCCTGCCTCGCTCCGGGCCCGGAGCGGCGCCGTGGAGCGAAGAAAAAGGTGGTTACCGTAGAAATAAGACCAATAGCACGAAACAATACCAGTGGCACATTGCCATATGGGGGTGACGCTATCCGTGGCCCCATCGCAGACGCTATCCGTGGCCCCATCGCAGACCCTGCCCTTCCCCCCCTTATCGCAAGCACGAAAGATATCCATACGAGGAGTTAAAATGGATGAAGAGAAAAAAGCATCGAAGGCAGAATTCATATGCATTAAGGGGGAATCGAACCCCCGGCGGGTCGAAACAGTACAGTCTCTCTACATGGCAACGACCCAGGTTACCACTACCCCATTAATGCGTTGTGAGTGTAGGGAGGGATGGGAATCGGTTGGGGCAACGGAGAGGGATAGAGGTACAGAGGATGAAAGGGCCAATGAAAGCGAAGAAAGAGTACAGGGGGAATAGGAGGGAAGCGAGGAAGCGTAAAACCGAGGACCAAAGAAACAAGGAAGAAAGCGACAAAGTAGAAAGTAAAGAAACGGGAGGATGGAGCGTAGGAGCCTGGGTCTAGCAACAAGGGGATGATGTTCCTGTCACGCTGAAGAACCGCTGAAAGAAGAGAGAGGTAGAAGAAGACAGTAGGCTTTGATAAACAGACGTCGAGATTGCTGCGGCCGAGGTCCCTGTACGCAGGGTCATTCTACTGACTCGCACGCAGGCCTCGGACATGGCAGTTCGGGACAAGGGTGGTCGGCAACGTCCGCGCCATGCTTCATGTGACGACTTGTGACATTTTGAATTTGGTCCCGATCTGACGTGCCCTCTGCCAGTGCGGTCTGGCCATCACTTCTTCACTTATCGTACGCCTAGCAGTACGCATTGGCTTCCTTAGCTTCGGCTTTGCGGATGGTTATGACCTAGACTTTTTATGTAAGTTCATACACACGCCGACCCGAAAAACCCGCAGAAGCACTTCCTGTCAAAACGATTTGCCTGTATGGTATGCCTAACTTTTCTCCACCCAGCACTCGAAGTTTGAGCTGGTCGTATGACTTGCAAGCTCAGCGCCATGCAACTCTCGACGCCAATCGCTATCCCACCCGCGTCGATCCCCGAGTTCCCTCGCTCTTCCGTCTCCGGCGATCTTCGTGCGCCCGCGACCCTTCGCTATCTTTTGGCCCGTCTCCGAGGACTCCTGGCTCCACCTGGATCGCAATGTCCCGTCCGAGGTCCGAGTCTCGCGATCGCCCACTCGAGTTTCACCGCGCCATACTCGCTCTTCGTCGCTGCAAGACCCTGCTCCGTCGTCCAGCTTTTCGCGGGGACTTTGCGCCCGTAGCTCCGACTCCAATGCCTGCATGGTCGTCTCAACACATACCGGCCTACATAGCGGGGAAGTTATATCCGCTACCTTAATCCAGAAATCGTATAAGTACCTGCATGCTGACGCCATCTTCTCCCATCCTCTCGTCCTTGAGTCGGACTACAGGTGAGCTACTCGCAGCCTCCCCTTCACACTCTATCCTCATGTTCTTGCCTTCTTGATCATCTCTCTCAGTTGACCGCCTCTGCTACCTACATCAGCTCACTCAGCCCACCATGCGCCTCAACCTCACCTCCCTCCTCGCCCTCCTCTCTCTCGCCATCACGGCCTCCGCCGCAGGCTGCGACTGCTTCGACTACACTGCCGCCGACGCGGGCGACAAGTGCGACGGCGGGTACAACAGCAACAAGGCCGACATCGACGCGCACTGCAAGGATTCGGGGATCAAGACGGCGGCGGTGTGCTGCGGGTCGTGCAGTGAGTTTTCTTTATCTCGACTGTCCTTCCTTGGGTCGTTCGTTCTGCTCTTGTGGGACATATTGCTTCTGGTGACAGGGGCTCATGCTGGATGACGACACTGACGACCATTGCAGGCGACTTCGGCTGCTGAACGCGCTGCTATATACAACGCTCGGATGTGAATGTACAAAAGGAGGAGGGAGGATAGACTGGTACTGTGGACTCTGAATAGAAGACAGGCGCGGTATAGACGTATTTTCGACCGACCTGATCCTTAACGGAAATGCTCTTCCACGACGCGTCCTGCACCGAGTGAACCCGTTTTATTCAAAGAACACAAAGCTGGGTAGTAGTTATCCGGTCATTGGGCCAGCCCAGCCCTTCGTGTTGCCTATGACGTCTCCTCCGCCTTTTATAAGGACAGGACGCTCAAATCCCGAGAGCAGGAAGACGAAAATCAAGTTCCTGGTCGCTGTGGCTTTGCATTAGTGGCAACCTCGCACGCATTAATGGGGTAGTGGTAACCTGGGTCGTTGCCATCGACCCGCCGGGGGTTCGATTCCCCGTTAATGCATGTAGTCGTGAACTTGTCGGAGCCTTTTTGCTATATGCCATTCTGAATACATTCATCCGTCCACGGTCACTCCTTTTTGTCCAAGGCCTCGCCAAGGAAAGGCAGGCTTAATTAACTGGGACGTGCATGTGCCGCGACCTTGCTAGGGAGGAACAAAAATTGATTTCTGACAATATACCGAAGGTGGAACGGTGTACAGAAGTATGGCTACATGAATGAGGAAACCCGCAATTGGTGGAAGAAGACCAGAAAGTCGTGATAATCCGTGAACGAAGAGGCATAGAGGGCGCCATAGCCCGCCTCGAGCCAATAAAGAAGGAAAGTTGACCAGCAGTGGGTAGAAGAAAGAAAGGACTACGTCTACTCGTCCAGCGAAGCTATGCTCAATCCATCTTCGCTCGACGGTCCGCTAGCGCTCGCGCGGCGACGGACGACGTTGCGCTGGACATCTCCCTCCGGAGGCGCAAGCGTGCTAGAAGGTACACGCTTAACTGGCAGAGGCGGCACCTCTACCTGCGATCCAGACGTCAGGATGCCATACCCATCGCCAGGGGAGTACGCGGGTGGAGCGACGTAGTAGCGCGGGTCGTTAGCGATGTCGTCGGACGTGCTTGGCTGCTCCGCGGGCTCACCGACGAGCGCGAGCGCCTGAGGCCTCTTGAAGTCGATATGATAACCAGACGAGCGAGACTGGTGCTCAAGGGCGATGGGCTGAGACAGCGGGCTCGTAGTGAGAGGGCGCGTCGACGTAGGCGTAGCCGACCGCGGGTCGCTAGGACCGCTCGTCTGGGAGCCGCTGAAAGGCACAGACGTCTCTCCGCGCAGGGGCAGGGGCGTTCCTGCGCGCGAGCCATCAGACGGAAGCCAGCCGCTCGACAGCGTCGAGAGCCCCGAGATCGTCGACGTGACGCGACCGTCTAACGAGCTCGTGCGAGGCGGCGGCACAAGCAGGTGCTTCGTCTTCCCGTCGTTCGGCCACGGGTTAGGAAGGGCCTCAGCGCCCTGCGCCTGCTGCCGCACCGCGAACTCGTTGTACCCGACCGCATAGTTGGGCGTTATCGGCGCGCTCGTTGACGCGAAGCTCCTCCCACTATCCGCGGCGAACGAAGGAAGGCTGCCCGCCTGCGACCACGCCGCACTTTCGCCCACAGCCGGGTTCGCGCCATGTGTCATGGGCTGCTTCTCGAAGTCGAGGACGCCGGGCGATGTCGTCGGCGAGCCGCCTTGCGAGGCGAAGAGCGAGCGCCAGGAGGGACCGGGGCCACCTCCCATGTCTACGCGTGCGAGGTCCCTGTCGCCGCGTCGCGCGAAGCAGCATGCCCGCCGGCGCCACAGTAGCCAAACCAGGATGGCCGCGAGCAGTACGGCGCCGCCAACCGAGATACCCACGGCCATGGGTATGGGAGAAGAAGAGGACGAAGCTGAATTGACAACAGCAGACGGCGATGCAGATGAAGATGCTGATGCTGATGGTGATAGCAATGTGGGTGCAGCTTGACCGTCGGATGATGACTCTGAGCCCGTCGCAGTAGAGGCGTCGTCGGTGACGGCGCTAAAAGCCTCCGACGTGGCGTGTACGGTGATAGACGTATAGATGGTGGTCGCGTGCTCAGAAGAGCTCGAAGTGGTGGTGGTGTCTTCCTCGCCCGTCGTATACCTGCAAGTGCGTCAGCGCCTCATATCCCGCAGAAACGACAGATGATACGCACGCAATGGTCCCGATGACAGCCCAGTCCCCATCACCTGCAGTGAAGTTCAACACATGATGCGTGTTATTCATCCCTGCCCACACGTAGGATGGAGGACCGTGCTCTGACATGTCAATCGTCTGATTGTAGCCGTCGAGCGTTATGAGAGCCCTAGTGTTGGAATGGCTGTATCCATCGGCATCGAGAAAGCGGGGGAAGGTGAGATAGAGGCGAGTCCCTGTAAGATCGAGCGCGGACAGTGTAAGAAATGATCAGCACCCACCCTACATCCTACGAAATGTGGCGCACCCTCGAACCCGAACAGCACATACGCGTCCTTTTCCTCTGAGCGCACGTACTTCTGGCCCAAGTACTCCTCTGCTACCCAGTGGAAAGCCGCTGGTAGAGCCTCGGGCTCAGGAGTCCCGATGGTGACATTGGTGAGTATGGCGCGGGCGAAGGGCGCGGTTAGCAGGAGAAGGGGAACGAGCATGGCGAGAGTGAGTTGGCAAAGAGCAAGAAGGAAAAGGGGGGAGACGAATGTGAACGAAAGGGGGAGGAAGTACGGTAATTGTCCCGCTCCTCGGCGAGATGGGCACAGAGAACAAGAGGAAGCGCGGCGGCCAGGGTTATATGATATCCTGGACGCGAGAAGCCGCAGCCCGGAAGCAGCTGATCAAGATGTGCGCCCACATTCGCGTGCTTCCCTCACATATGCCGTGCCTTTCGAGGGTCGCGGCACGCTCCGGCAGACCAGAGGATGGCGACCATCATCGCCACATTCACAAGGACTTCCTCTTTGGGTGAATGGGCGCTCGACCCCGTCCAGATCCCTAGATACACACAGTCTTAGCAATGGGTAAGTGAGGGAATATGGAGGGAAGTACGACGACTACGCACATAGGAGAGCCTTGTCTTGAAGTCGGCATCAAGATCTATCGAACAAGAACAAAAGACAATTCCCAGGATAAAAGACAATAGAGCAGGTCGGGTATCAACATCGGAACGCCAGACGGATTTGATAGGAAGTCGGAACGACACGTTTTTGCAATTATGAGACAAGGACAACGAGAAAACAAGACGGTCGTAAGGATCTGCACGAGGAACTTTGGTGGGTCTTCCCATCTCGCCTCGGATACGGCATAGCGCGGTTGGCCTACGTGCCGAGGACCGGCTGTGAGCAGTGAGATATATCATCGATGGGACCGAAGGAAATTCCTATACCTCAGCTCATCGCGCTTGTTAGTGGAAGGTAGAAAGCAACGGTGATGACGCCAACCCTGCGTGCGCGGAAACTCCCGAAATCACGTGAATTTACGTTCGACTTCCAATCCTGTCACTGCCGACTTACTGAGACGGATAGGAAGGCATTGGATTGTTGCAGATCTGGTTGTAGTCCTGTATAGACTATCCTCAGTTATTCGTTCTATCAGAGACCATGGTGTGTTGGAACCTAGGCTTGTAGATTCGGGGCGCGCCCGTTGTATTGTCACAAGTCAGCTGATTTCGGCACCGTTTCCTACGTCCTACCACGACCCGTACGCGCGTTCAAACCTACCACCATGGTCGACAGCTCGGACGCGTACCTGGAAACCTTCTTCCTCCTGCATAGACCAGTGATGAATAACGGAGGCGATATGCCATCGTCCTCGTTGTGTCTCTCATCTTCTGGGTACGACATGGCTGACGCTGATCCGCGTGAAGATAATAGAGCTAGAGGAGGGAACGCTTCAGCTTCAGCTTGCACTGACGCCTGGCAAGAATTTACATTCTCCTTCCAACAAGCTCACGGACGAAGTCCTTGAGCTCGTCCTTGAATTCGGGCGACCGCAATACGATGATTTGCTCCCACGGTCTTCTATTCCATGCCCAATATTGGTGGCAGCGGAGACGACTCTCCTGCTGGGGGAGATCATGAAGTACGAAGCCGCGCGCCTAGAGCAGCTCTATGTGGCCACAGACATCAAGCACGATTTTCTGCAAGTCCCTCCACTGTTGAACATGTTCCTGGCCTGTTGAAAGTATGTACGAAAGCAACGGCCGACGCCAGCTTAGCGACACGCGTGCGGCTCCATAACGTCCTGCATGATAGAAGAGCTATGGTCAAAACAGATACACACTGCGAATAAACAAGGCAATTCCTGAGGTAGAACACAACTTTGCATAAGACAGCAACGGAAAGCACTGGAGAAAGTACCGGTATGGTAGAGTAGCACCGAGGTAAATTAAGTAGATAGCTTTGCGACGAGAACAATATGGGACTGATAAATAAGTCGGAGATCTCAGCAACGGAATGCAAGAAGCACGACGGATGGGATAGCAAATAAGTCACAAGGGCGTACACCACGGAAATCAAGTCAAGCATCAAGCTCCACGTCGACATTCCATATTCCGTCACTGCATCGAGTGATGGAGACCAAGCGAAGTCGATCTAGCCAAAGGCCCCGCGAACCAAGTCGGTAGCGGGAATCAGAGCACCGAACGCTCTGACCCGCTATAAATCTGGCCAGAAGCGCTCGGATGAACGTCAACAAGAGAATGAACGTCGATGAAGTGGCCGAACGCCTTGCAGACAGCACGAGCCAGCTTGAGGCGATCAAGTGGCTCACTGCAACCAAGGATGGGACTCTTGCTCAAAGCCTTGATATCATAATATCCTGGCTATTAAGCCGAACGTCAGATATCGATAATTAAGTACATTGACCGTTGCTGATACGCACGGTTACGCGGATGGTGATGCTCGTAGACGTTCTCAATGATACGTTCCAAGCCATAAGCAGAGCGATGCAGAACGTTGTGCATGTTGAGACCGGGAACCCGCGCCTCAGCATGGTACCGTTGAAGCGGTGAAAATGCCCTCTTCCATTGTACTTTGCAGTTCGCGGCCAGCACGAGGGGTTTGTGTCGCCGGTCATGTCTAAGCACGAATCAGACATGGAGGATGGGTCAAAGCTTGACGGTCGAACGTTCAATCATGAATGTGAAGGGCGAAATTCGAACTTAGAATCGGAGAGATCAATTCCAGAAGCGTGACGTCGAATCCAAGCAACTGCAAATACAGTCTTCATCGTCGCGGACGACGACGACGGTGCTTATTACTTCGCCTCTCTGCCCTTCCTTTCCTCACTCCGTCGTCCGTCAAAACATAGTCGCCCAGCACTCAGCACTGCAACGAGGCGATCCGACGCCGTTCTCTGCCACGTGAAGCCGGGAAGCCGTCGCGGCTGTGTGACCAGCAGCTTCCCTCTTACCTTCGTCTCCATCGCCGTCTGGAACAGCTCCGACGGCCAGCATGGCCTCCCAGTCGACATCCCAGGCAGTAGCCTCGGGCAACCTCGTCGATCTCGTCTCCTCGACCGGCGCCGCAACCATCTATCCCAATGACGACGCCATCCTCGCCGTCCTCCAGGCCCGATTCCGCGCCGACCTGCCCTACACCCGCGTCGGCGCGACCACGCTCGTTGCAGTCAACCCCTACAAGACGCTCGCCAGCATGAACGATGCGAGCGCGGACGAATACGAGGAGCGATGTTACAAGGACACCAGCTTACCCATGGCCGACTCGCCCAAGCCCCTGCAGCCTCATGTGTACGACCTCGCCGCGCGTGTGTACTTGATGATGAGGAGGCGGGGGGAGTCCCAGGCATTGCTCACGAGGTGCGTCGCATACGCCTCCGAGGAGACCGCAAATTGATCAGTGCCCGCGCGCAGAGGTATCACCGGCTCGGGCAAGTCCTCGACGATGCAGCTCTTCCTCCAGCAGCTCCTCCGGCTGTCGTCCCACTCCAAGCGCGAACTCAAGGTCGCCGACCAGGTCAAGGCCATGTACACCGTGCTCGACTCGTTCGGCAACGCCAAGACCCTCATGAATCCGAATGCGACCCGGCACGGCCGATACATCGAGCTGCACTTCAATGAGCGGGGTCGTATCTCCGCTGCTAAAGCTCTGACATACGGACTCGACAAGTCCCGCGTCAATCGGCTGTCGCAGGAGGAGCGGTCCTTCCATATATTCTACCAATTCCTCATGGGAGCAACCACTGCCGAGCGCGATCACTTCAACTTGGAAGATGCATCGGATTATGCTCTCCTCGCGTCTTCCGGCACATATCGACTACCTGGTGGCCCCTTCAGTGACGATGGGATCGCCATGGAGGAGCTCCGTCTGGCTATGCGCACCCTCGGCTTCAAGCAGAAACACATGGCGTCCATATTCTCCCTCATCGTCACCATCCTCCTCCTCGGCAACCTACAATTCGTCGATGGTGACGCACCGGACGTCCCCGCGTTCATCACCAACGTAGACGTGCTGGAGACATGTGCACGACTGCTCGGCGTTCCACAAGAAGAACTTGGCCAGACGCTGACAAATAAGACGAGCTACGTTCGCAAGGAGATGTTCACAACGATCCTGAACGCGGAGCAGAGTGCAGCGCAGCGCGATCACTTCGTCCGCGATCTCTATGCGATCCTTTTCGCTTTCGTTGTCGAGACCGCCAACCACAAGCTCGCACCACCGTCGGCGGATGCACCACCATCGACTCAGATTGTCCTTGTGGACCAGCCTGGCTTCCAAACGCGCAATCCGTCCGGCACGTCGTCCATGGCTCTCACGGGCTCCGCCCCCCTGATCTCTGCATATGGTCAGAACCGCTTCGAGGAGTTCTGCATCAACTTTGCGGACGAGGTTCTCCATGCGCATGCCCTCAAGAACACATTCGACGATGCCGTTGGCTACAACGCTTACATAACGGGCGACGGCGTCGCGCTACCCTCGATCGCGACCATGGACAACGCGGCATGCGTTGAGCTGCTACGCGGGGTCACGAGTGGCGATGCGCGGCCAAAGAAGCCGGGAGGGTTTCTCGGCGTGCTCAACAAGGCGTGCTCAGCGTACAAGTCTGGCAAGGGCCCGGAACACGACCGAGACGAGCAACTGCTGCAGGAGCTTGTCGCGCAGTTCGGCGTGCACAAGTCGTTTGTGTCGGCGCCTAGTCTGGGTGGCGCGCAGGATCGCACGTTGTTCGGCATCAACCACTATGCGGGCAGCGCCACGTACGACATCGCGGGTTTCGTTGAGCGGGACGCGGACCTGCTGGATGCGGCTTACGTTGGGCTGTTGAGGGGCTCCGCTGAGCCGTTCGTGGCGAAGTTGTTCTCGGGGCCGTCGCTGGCGGCGGAGCGGCACCATCGGGATGAGCACATCCTTGCACAGGCGCAGGTGTCAGCCCGCCCGCTGCGGTCGCCGACCGGTGATACCCCTCGCCTGGACCCGGCGAAGATCTACCCTGTGACTACTCAGCTGAACGCGACGCTGGGCGATCTCCTCGCTGCGCTCTCTCGGGCGAAGCTATGGACTCTGGCGTGCATCCGCCCGAACGACTCTGGATCTCCGAACTCCTTCGACAAGCGGCGAGTCCGGGCGCAGATCCGGTCATTGCTGTTGCCTGATGTTGCTGCGCGGCGCGCAACGGAGTTCGTCGCGGATTATCAGCTAGAGGAGTTCTGCGAGCGCTTCGTTCCGCGAATGCAGGGCACGCCGGAAGAGCGCTTCACGCAGTGCGTCCGCGCGAACGGTTGGCACGAGGGGACGGACTTCGCACGCGGGCATCTGCGCGTGTGGCTATCCTACGACGCGTGGAAGGTAGCGGAGGACACCGTGCGCGCGAACGAGAAGGAGATGCGACAGCGGGAGGAAGAGGAGGATGTGGCGGCGGATATCGCCGACGACGCGACGGAGTATACTCAGGAGCAGCCGTACGAGGAAGATGCGCTGCTGCAGCAGGGAGCGCGCGGCTTCGAGGGCGGGTACGCGGCGGGCGGACTTGGCACTCCTACGACTGGCGGACCGTTCAACGATCCATGGGGTGGCGACTATGATCAAAAGTCGCCACCGACGCCGGGTGAGCCTGACGTGCCGTACCTCAACAAGGAGTCCTCGTCGGGGCTGGTCGTCAAGGAGGCGCCGAATACGGTCGAAGAGGTTCCGTCATCACGATCACGACGCTTCTGGCTGTTCATCGTACGCGCGAGTACCTGGATGATCCCCGCATGGGCGCTCAGCAAGATGGGGCGTATGAAGCGGCCGGATATCCAGCTCGCGTGGCGCGAAAAGGTCACCATTTGCTGGCTCATCTTCCTCTTGAACGCGATAGTCATCTTCTACATCGTCGAGTTCGGCCGGTTGTTATGCCCCGACTTCGATAAAGCGTGGTCGGCGTCTGAGCTTGAGGCCCACACTGAGGATAACAACTGGTGGGTCGCCGTGCAGGGCAAGGTGTACGACATGACGGACTTCATACACGGCGACCATTCGGACATCTACGGAACGAAGTCGAACAACAAGGCCGACCTTGAGGAGCTCGCTGGGAAAGATCTTACTGGTTACTTCCCTGTCCCCCTGTCTCTCGCTTGCGGCAGTCTTATCGGTGACGCCGACATCAAGCTCCTCAACAAGAACTTCACGGCCACGGTGCCGACGGCGGTGCATACTTCGGGCAGTCAACAGTCGGCTGAGGATACCAGGCTTCGAGACGACAACTGGTACACGCAGCGGTTCGTGCCCAAGATGAAGGAGTTCTACAAGGGCCCTCTCGTGTTTTCCTCCAAGACCATCTACGGCGATGCAAATTCGGACGACGACACGAACAACAAGTAAGTCCCAGCGCCCGAGCATGCGGCATCCATGACTTACCGCATGTCGCTTTCAGAGTTTGGGCCGTTTACAAGGACAACGTGTACGACTTGACGGATTACATGTATACTCTGGACACGTATTCCAACGACGACCAGTACAACTTCCTCGATGAGGACATTACGGACGTTTTCAGCCAGCAGACCGGCCAGGACATTACGAAGCAGCTTCAGAAGGTTCTCGACGGCAAGGACTCGAGCACAGTCCAGAACAACATGGACTGTCTCAACAACGCATTCTACGTCGGCAAGAAGGACTTCCGGTATACGGCGCGATGCCAGGCCCAGAACTACGTCCTACTCGTCATCTCCGGTATCCTGATGGTGTCGATGTTGCTCAAATGTGCGTGGGCCGTTTAGTTGTCTCGCAGCGAAGCTGACCATCGTGGAAGTCTTGGCGGCATTGCAGTTCGGTGGCAAACAGAACCCCGAGTTGCAGGACAAGTTCGTCTTGTGCCAGGTCCCTTGTTACACGGAGGGCGAAGAATCCCTTCGGCGCACGATCGATTCGCTCGCTGGCCTTCAATACGATGACAAACGCAAGCTCATCTTCATCATCTGCGATGGCAACATCATCGGCAGCGGCAACGATCGCACGACTCCGCGCATCGTCCTCGACATCCTCGGTGTCGACCCGAAGCTAGACCCGGAACCTCTGCTCTTTAAGTCCGTCGGCGAGGGCGCTAAGGCTCTCAACTACGGCAAAGTTTATTCTGGTCTCTACGAATTCGAGGGTCACGTCGTACCGTACGTCGCTGTTGCTTTCGCCACGTTCTTGTCCGCTCACGCCTACTCAGATATATGGTCGTCGTCAAAGTCGGCAAGCCTACTGAGCGAGCGAAGCCCGGTAACCGTGGCAAGCGTGACAGTCAGATCCTGCTTTTGCACTACCTCAACCGCGTGCATTTTGATGCGCCCATGTCGCCGTTGGAACTAGAGATCTACCACCAGATGAGGAACGTCATCGGTATCGACCCAGCCTTCTACGAGTATATCTTCACCGTCGATGCTGACACGGTACGCAATTGCTCATCGCGCCGCTTCCTCAGTACTGACGAATCGATAGAGCGTCACCCCGGAAGCACTCAATCGTCTGGTCGCGTCTTCCGCGGATGATTCGAGCATTATCGGCATATGCGGAGAAACACGACTGGAGAACCCTGAAGGGTCATGGGCGACGATGATCCAGGTCTACGAGTACTACCTATCTCACCATCTTGCCAAGGCTTTCGAGTCCCTCTTCGGCTCCGTCACCTGTTTGCCCGGTTGCTTCACGCTCTTCCGCATCCGCACGGCCGACAAAGGACGTCCCATCATCATCTCCAACCGTGTCATCGACGAGTACTCAGAGCCGAATGTGGACACCCTGCACAAGAAGAACTTGTTCTCGCTCGGTGAAGATCGTTTCTTGACGACGCTCATCATGAAGCACTTCCCGACCTTCAAGACCAAGTTCAACCCGCATGCGCTCTGCCATACGGTGGCGCCGGACTCTTGGCGCATTCTCTTCTCGCAGCGTCGTCGATGGATCAACTCCACCATTCACAACCTGTGCGAGCTTGTCCTGCTCCCAGAGCTGTTTGGGTTCTGCTGTTTCTCCATGCGGTTCTTCGTCTTCTTGGACTTGCTGGGCACCCTCGTAAGCACTCCGTCGTTGTTCCCGCTATCGACATACTCACAGAAGTACTGCAGATCCTGCCCGCGACCTGTGTTTATGTACGTCTACTTCACTTGGTCCCATGAACCTGCTCACACGTCTTTAGCTCATCTATCTCATCATCGTTACGGCCACCGGTGCATCGGCTTTCCCAACCATTGCCATCGCCATGATAGCTGCCACATATGGCCTTCAGGTGAGTGGTACGCTAGATTCAAGGGTGGTCTCTCATCGTCTCGTAGGCCTTGGTCTTCATCTTGAAGAGAGAATTCATGCTGATCGGCTGGATGGTGGTATATCTTCTTTCGTGAGTCTTGAGTCTCACACACGCGGGGATGACTTGAACTGACGCTCGTTCAGGTATCCAGTGTACAGTTTCTTCCTTCCGATATACTCGTTCTGGTGCATGGACGAGTTCGGCTGGGGTAACACGCGTCTCGTCATCGGCGAAGGCAAGGACAAGAAGGTCATCATGAACGAGGATGAGAAGTTCGACGATTCTATGATTCCGCTCAAGAAGTTCAGCGGTGCGATATGAAATCTTCTAGTACTCCGTAAACATATCTGACGCCCTTGCAGAATACGAGGCCGAGGCATGGGAAACTGGCTCAAGACACTCTGGCGAGACCGGCTACGGCAGCAAGTCGCGAGGACCTGGCTCTCGCGACCATTCGCCGCACACCTACAACCAGGCGTCCAACGCTGGCGACTACTACCGCGACACGAACGCCATGTTCAAGTCCTCGCAGTCGCGGTTCGGCGGCAACGAGAGCAACGCGTCTGTCAGCAACCTCTCGCACTACAACAACGCGCAACCCATGACCCACAACTATGGGTCTATGCCTCAACTCCCTTTCATGCCTTTCGCGAACGCACCCGGCTCCGTCGCTGGCTCCGACTACGGCGGCGCGCCGATGATGCCCCAGATGCCCTACCAGGGCACCGGAAGCATGTATGGGATGATGCCGCCGGGCGCAGGGATGCCTATGATGGGGCAAATGTACACCGGCGGTAGCTTCGGGGGTTCGCAAGTGGGCGCCATGGGTCCCATGAACACGGGCATGGGCCAACGACCAATGTCCACGTTCTCGATGGCTACGTCGGTGAATCCGTTTGCAGGGCCCAGCCAGAGCGAGAACCCTACAGACGAGGAGCTGTTCAATGCCTTGCGGAACTATCTGAGTACGCAGGACTTGATGACGGTGACGAAGAAGTGAGTCGTGTGCGATTGGCTATGTTGTCCATGTACTGACATGACATCCAGAACGGCGCGCGAGGCGATCATGGCACGGTTCCCGAGAGCGGACCTATCGTCGCGCAAGGACTTCTTGAACCAGTCGATTGACAAGATCTTGTCGGAGTCATAGACGGACTGCATGGGACTGTTACGCTTCTGCTCTTTCGCTATCGCGCGCTCTCTGCATCGTACGCTGCATATAATCTGGTACCCCTCGTCCTGCGTTTACTATGCACGGTCGGCTACTACTATCCCATCCCCCTCATGCGGACTCGTTCGCTCATCCTGCATCCCTTCCGCTCTCTCGTTGCATACGACTCCTCGTGGACTAATATGTAGTTTGTGATATTGGTGGACTTCAGGCGCAATCGGACTGGACACACTTAGCTATATATTACCGTAGTACTTCTCTGATACTCCGTCTGCGGCGCTCAACCTGGTTAGACGCTCTTTTGAACGACGGCTAAGCCGAATGACCGAAGTCGAGCATTGGTTTCGGTCTGGGAAGCAGGAGATTCGACGATGGCGTCGCACGGGTCCTACGAGGTGCCCTCGAGCGACTGCAGATCCTTCCTTCCGTATCCGCTTTGGCAAGTGATATCACTGTCATAGCCCGAGGTATCGCAGCGTTGGGGATCAGGATGTCTTGAAAGACCGACGTAGCACGAACGAGTATACATGCGAACGGCAATGCGCCGGGACATCGAGGAGGATCACTTGAAGGTGCGTCGAGACCGAATTCTGTCAATGCTTTGCGCGACAGCCAACAATCTCTAGTTTGTCAGCAGCAGCAATTCATTCCATTGTATTCTCAATAGCGTTGTAGCATTCTTATCCCTCTCCTGATCATTTCGTCCGCCTCTTCCGCCAGCTGCTCATTCCTTGCCTCCTGCTCCTTCAGCTTGGCGAGCAATATCTCATTCTGCTTCCGGAGCCGCTCGCCCTGCGCCTCCAGCCGCTTCTCCTTCTCAAGAAGTCTTGCCAATGCAGTAGTTCCCGCCTGCTTCTGTAGACGCTTGGCCTTCTTCGCTGCATTCATGACTTTCGCTTTTTCGACGCTCGAGCGAGTGGTCCCTTTTTTGTATCCCATGTCCTGCATGGTATCTCAACATGTGCACTAATTCAGGACTGAAGCATACACGTACGGTCGTTATCACTCTAGTGCTGCTACCTATCAACAGAATGGGTCCCGTATCTAGCAGTCAAATGAGGGTTACTGGTTAAGATGCGTGCAGCCCACGTGCGCGTCGCCGCGCACGCGATTTCCTCACGGAGCTCGGCTCTGAGTCCAAAGTTATTGGTCTGATTCTGAGCAAGTCATCCGATCCTGCTCAGATAAATGGCGGGACAATACACACGCCAGATCTCTCTTCATTATGCGCGTAAGAATGACCGGGCAGTGTCACAAGGAGCGTAAAAGGACAAGATCAACCTCGGTCCAGTCCCGACAATTAAATCATGTGATCGCGTCGTGACGCGGAGCCGGCACAGCCGACGCCCCTGACTTGCGAGGTTGGACTCGACCATTTGACCGAAGCAAAGTCATAGCTTCCTCACCGCGACGCTGTATAGACCGACTCATCACAGCCCATCATTGCCAGTCATCAATCTCTCATATATACGACAAGGCCTCAAACCTGAGACTGTTCTCCCCCTCCCCGCCATGTCACAGGAAGACAACTCGCCGAGATCAGTGGCGTGAAGCCCAAGGTATACATGCCGGACGGCGAGGAACGGGAGGTCAGCTCTCAGTCGAGGTACGCGCAGTCTAGCTCGGCTGAGACGAACAGCTAACATCCTCCCAGTAGCTCAACATACAAGATCAAGCGCACATGGGATCACTACTACTGGTGCGCGTCGCCCTTCCTTCCCCAAACCAAGCATATCTCCACGCCTCTTCTCTTTTCCCCTCGGACAATCCATTGACTTCCTCGCAGCACATGCCCCGCCTGGCGCAACCAGGGTGGCGCACCCACGAACGCCCGCACATGCAAACACCTCAAAGCCCTCCTCGGAGAAGCCTACGAACTCGCCCGGCTCAAGTACAAGAACCCTCACGGCCAGCTCCCTGCCCCAACTGCGTCCAAGTCTAAGGGCAAGAAGCGCAAGAAGGCCGCGGACGACGACGAAGAGAACGACGCTGACGACGACAAGCCATCGAGCAAGCGATCCAAACCTGTATCAAACAAGCCCCAGAAACCCTTCACTGAGGTACCACTCGCGAACAAGTGGGACCTGGACGACGGCTTGGACCCCACTGGTTGGTGGATGTCCGAGAAACTCGATGGCGTCCGAGTCTACTACGACGGCGAGCGCATGTGGAGCCGCCTCGGAAACCTCTTCACGCCCCCGCAGTGGTTCCTCGACAGTACGTATCTCTTTCCCCCTACCTCCCAATCCATTCCCTGCCCCCTGACATTCACCCTCACCCCAGAACTCCCCAAGAACGTCCACCTCGACGGCGAGCTCTTCGGCGGGCGCGGCACCTTCCAATCCACCGTCTCCATCGTCAAGACCATCAACTCCCCCCACTGGAAGAACATCACCTTTCAGGTAGGCGATTCTCTCTCGTTCTCCTCTTCACGTCTCTGTCCCGCCACCCCACTTCCACCTCTAATCATCTTACCTCAGGTCTTCGACATCCCCTCCCTCGCCTCCCAGCCCTTCGAGGCCCGCCTGGACGCGCTCAAGAAGCTCGTCGGCAAGCGCGGCGGCTCTCACCGCTCCCGCCAGGTTAACCTCGTTTGGCAGGAGAAAGTCCGCGACCGCCAGCACGTCCTTGACCACCTCAAACATATCGAGGAGCTCGGCGGCGAGGGGGTTATGCTAAGGAAGCCTGAGTCGTGAGTTGTTTGTCTGTGCGCTGATAGAATCGAGATACTGACACGCCGATTGCCGCCAGTGAGTACGAGTTCAGGCGCTCAGGAACGTTGCTCAAAGTCAAGGTGCGCCTTATCTACTTTGACGTCCGCGCACCTGTCACTGACTACTCTCAAGACGTTCCACGACGCCGAAGCCATCGTCACCGGGTACGTTCCCGGGAAAGGCAAGCACACAGGTGCGACGGGCGCTCTCAAATGCAAGATGGCGTGCGGGAAGGTCAGTAAGGCCACGAATCGACGATGGACGCGAATAAACTGACATCGGATGAACAGACCTTCAACGTCGGGACTGGCATGAGCGACAAGCAACGGGCCAAACCACCCAAAGTCGGCTCCATCATTACCTACCGCTTCCAGGAGCTCACCAAGGACGGTGTCCCTCGGTGCGTCACATGGATGTCCTTAGGAATGCATGTCACTCACAAGCTGCTTCAAGCTTTCCATCGTTCGTCGGGGAGGCGATAGATAAAACAGGAGCCAACGATGCGCCTGTTGCGGCCATAGCGAAGAGAAAGACGAATTCACTGGCATAGTTCACACCGCGGATCGCTGGGGATGCGAAGGCATTGCCTCGCCCAGGGCAGGCGTTGTTATTAATGAAGCTACATACGATGAACGCGTCGTACGTAGTCCCGGCTATATCGTACTGTAACATGGACTATTGGTAGCGATGGACAGCGCTAGTGGACAATCAAGATAACACGATGGATGAGAGGAAGATATATCTCCTTTCTTCGACATAGAATGCGACAGTGAAAAACAAGAAAACACGATAGCGAGTTGATAGCGTGGTCTGAAAACATGACGACGTCGTGAGTGAGTCGAATTAGGTGACTATAAGGTAAGAAAAAGGTGAAGGTATGTGCAGATGGGTACGTGCATCAATTTTTCTGTTTGTAAGGTCCGTGAGCGAATATCCAAGAACAATGACGGCGGGTAGCGCGCGATCAATTGTTGTTGCGAGGAATGAAGGTGAGCTGGAATGTCGTGCGTGAGTCAGACGATGAAAGGGGCTCATGAAATACCACTTACTGGGCACGACATGGCGGCCGGGAAGATGACCTGGTAGATGATTAGCACAATTAACATGTTGGCAACGAAGTCGACGCACAAAAGAGTCGCGCATCTCCATGGAGCGGGCGTTGGTCTCGGCAGGAGCTTCGATGTCGAAGTTCCTGACGATGGAAGCGACGACAATCCTGAGCATGATTTGCGCAAGGTTCTGGCCACCACAGACTCTGGTGCCGAAGCCGAAGGGAAGGAGGTGAGCCGACATCAAACTGGTGTCCTCGACCAGCCAGCGGTCGGGCAGGAACGTCTCCGGAGAAGGGAAGACGGTGGCGTCGCGGCTGAGGCTCCAGGACTGCAATGGAATTAGATGAGGATAGATGGGTACGGTGTATTTCCACGTACCTGTGTAGACACAACGGTGCCAGCGGGGAGCGCAAAGCCCATGAGGTCGAAGGGCTCAAGCTCGCCGGCTTTCGAGGAGACAGAAGGAACGACACGCTCAAGCAGGCTGGGGGCCGCACCATAGATACGGAGTCCTTCCACATAATTTCAGCATGAGGGCGAGGGCAACGACTGGCAACCGTTCTCACCTTCCTTGATGAAAGCGTTGAGGTAAGGGAGAGATTGGAGAACGGAAATATCGGGAATGGACATGGAGTCGGGCATGGCCTCCTCGAGCTCGGCGCGAAGCTTCTGCATCATGTCCGGGCGGCGACTAAGTTCCCAGAAGAAGTAAGACAAAGTGGTCGACGTGGTATCGGAGCCGGCGATCCTAAGGCAGGTCAGTACCTTATGATCAGAATAGATGAAGACATACATGTGACCCATAGCCTCAGAGATGATGTCGTTGTCGGGCATAAGTTCGCCAGTCGACGAGTAACGGTACTTGAGGAGACGTTGGAGCATGGGAACCTTCTCCGAGTCGTGAAGCTTGCCAGCGTTCATCTGCGCCCGTAGCTCGTAGACGCGCGCGCTGACGAACTGCACAATAGGTCAATTGATGTGCACGAGGATCGCGGTCAGCGGCGTACCTCAGCCATGATCTTGTCCGAGTCGCACATCTGACGCCAGCGGTTGTTGGGGATCTTGCAGACGAGGTTCCACGCCCAGGTGGGGACTGCGCTGCGCTGCCAATCGCGTAAGTGAACTGACCGTAGCTGGCAATTGGCGGACCAACCAAGATGCCCCGCTTGGGGAAGTCGCTGATGGCGGTGCAAAGGGCATCCTCAACGCCGAGAGCCCACTTCTTGAGAGCGCCGAGACGGCAGCCGTAGGACGAGGCCACGATGACGTCCACCATGAATTGCCTGAACAGGGTGAGGCAGTCGACGGACTTCTCGCCGGAGATCGAGTTGAGGGTCTGATGGACGGTGAGGCGCTGCCGACACATCTCAAGGACTTGCTCACCTGGACAAGATCATGGGCGAAGTCGTGCATCTCGGGCTGGAACTGGGCGAGGTTGTTCGGGGTGTAGTGAGGAGCGTATCCCTTGCGGCGCATGCTGTGAGGCGCGTGCTCGAGGGTGGTCATGCTGGGAAAGGCGTCAGAAGGAACAGCATACGCATATATGCGGCCAGAACTCACGCATGGTCATTCTCATTGCTGTAGGAGGACGTGTTAGTGACGCGTCAGCGACAGGAGAGCGACCGACGCACGTCAGAAGGCTCTTGTAGTAGACGCTCTTGTCGAACTTGTGTACCGAGTAGACGCTTTTGGTGGTGGACAGGTCTTTGAAGACAACGCGGTTAGGGCCGATGCGCACGACGGGGCCGTAGATCTCGAAGAGCTCGTGGACAGTCTTGCATTGTTGTAGGCGAAGAACATGTGTGAGGATCCAGAAGTCGGAGACCGCCGCGTACCAAGGGCCGGGGATGGCGCTGAGCGGGGAGAAGAAGAGGAGGTAGATGGCGCGGGCGAGGAAGAGGATGATGAGGGCGGCGAAGGCGACGAGGGTGACCGAGACGTTGGAGTACGCGAGAGAGAGCATTGTCGTAAGCGATACTGTCGGTGTAGATGTAAGGGAGGGAGGATGCGGACCCGGGTCGCTGGGTGGCCGGCGGAGAGGAAGGTGAGCGCGGGAGGAAAGGGAAGAATGGGGAAAACGGTCCGCCACCTGCTTTATATTGGCGGTCGCTGTTTTCCTGTGTTTGCCTTCCGGCCGTCCGTGACAGTGCCGGGGGCGGGGACTTCGGTGAGGGGCCGCAGGACGCGGTAAACGTGAGCCAGCATCACCTTCCGATCAGCAGTGACAGCCGCTATCATATATCCCCATATGGATACCACGCTGCCAGATAAGGCTGTCCTTGAGCTCCCAAGACGGCAGGCGTCCACGCGTCGGCCCAGGGCGGTCGCCGACGTTCAGCTTGACGTTCGCGCCCTGGAGGGCCCTCGCGACCTGCAGTCGTAACGAGTCGGTGAGACAGTTTCGGTGACCAGAACACATGGTCGCGCTCAAGTATTCGAGTTGCGCGTTGCACGGGGCGGACTGCTCGCAGCCGAATAACGCCCTCGAAGCGCAACCTTTCAGCGGAAGCTAACAACGCTGTCGGACTGACACGGAAGATTTTGAACGCCTATTTTCTGTGCGAAGCGCGTCAGTAACCATGTCATGGAGGACGTGCGATCCTGACCTGAGAGGTATCACCAGATCGTGACGCAGAAGACTCCAACGGCGTCTGGATCGCGCACCCCTGCTGCCGCACGGCGGGGAGGCGGCGGGAACTACCAAGAGGCCACAATGCATTTCGGACCTGACCATGACTGCGCAGCGTCTGTCAGAAGGTTGGTGAGGCGACGGGGCTGGACACTCCGGATGACAACGCAGGAAGCTTCAGCTTGTTGAAGTCCAATGGCCGCGGTGCAGAGGGCCTGCGGGCAACGAGGATGCGGACGCCCACGTAGCTAGTTGCTAGAAGACGATGAGAAGATTGATTACATCGATTCGTATACACATACCGTCAAAACAATCTCGGTCCCGCATACCTCGCATCTCCAAATGTATACAGCATCCAGCGCATGCGGATGATGCTCGATATGGACCCGAGACGAGGTGAAAAGGGCGCCCACCCGCCGAAGAGCGCGGGGCAAGGGATGCTTACCATGATCAACCAAAGGAGCGTCGCGCGGGCATTGTGAGAGTATGGAGAAGTGAAGGTGAACGACGAGCCATACATCCAGAGTCGAATAAAAAGGAAAATGCAGTACAACAAGCGTCTATGTACCTGCTCATGACTCGGCCTCTTCGTCCTCATCCTCATCTTCTTCCTCGTCTTCCTCCGACGCTTGGCGACCTGTCATCAATTCAGCACCACTTGCCTGTCCATGTCAACGAGTGAGCGCACCGTTCAAAGGCGCAGCCTCCGGCGCCTTCCCCTGCTCCTTTGCTAGCGCATCCGCCCACCCCTCCTCAAACAGGTCGGTGTTGAAGTCCGGGTGCGCAATCGACTCTGCCAGCTTGGGTCGCGACTTCGCGGTCAGGTCTGCCTTCCAGGCGTCGACGGCCCTCGGTGCTTGACTACAGAGGATAAACCGTGTCAGCGCGAGACGAGCAGAGCAAACACCCTCCTTACCTCGGCGCATACGTCCGCGCGAACATCGCTGCCTCAGGCGCGCGCTCCGTCTTGATGAGCAAATCCACACACGACTTCGCATCGCCCAGTTGAAACCGCGTCGCGAACGCCAGGTTGTTCTGCCCCTTCGCCTCTGCCAAGCATAATCAGTACGCTGCAAATACCAACACGCCGGCAAAGTGCGATGACTCACCCGCCTGAGATGCCAGTCCCTCCAATCCTGACCTGTCGCCCATAGCGAGGAGCAGGAGCAGGAGCGCGCTGAGGTCCTCCGCCTTGCCGAACGCTTCCCGCGCAAGGTCGAACTGCCACGTCGAAAGCGCGGCATCGCCCAGAGCTTTCCACTTGGGCTGCGCCTCGCTTTCCGGGACGCTCTTCGCGATGATGTGCGCGTTGTCGAGGTCCTGGAGCTGCAATGCGAGGTCGAACTTGTGGTCGGGGTCATTAGTGATACTCATGGCGAGCTCCTTGAAGTCTACAGAGAAACTGTCAGTATGCGACGGGTAGACGAGACTGACAAGCGCGTACCCTTGCTCTCCAAGAAGCGCGCGACCTTGTTGAGCTGGTCCTTTGGTATTGAGGGCAGGATCTCGGACGCAGCATCCATGTCACCGCGGAGGACGGCAGTCTGATACTCGACGACGGCAAGGGAGAGGGAGTAGCTGTAGATGGCGAGGTCTTTGTCTGCAAGGTATACACGGTTGTGCGCGGGCATGTAACCGAGGAGGTACAATGGCCTGAAGAGCAGGTAGTGAGCGGGCGAGGGAAGAAGGTCTGAGAGCGGCCTACCTGTCGAAGGGGCTGACGGTGTAGGACTCGGTACCGATGAAGTAGCACAAGCGGTTGTTCGCCGTCGTGTAGATGAAGCAATCGCCGATCCACTTCGCGGTCTTTACACTGGACACGATGATCAGCGAATGGCCGCATACATGCAAGCCCGACTTACACCTCGGAGACATCGGCGACGACATCGAAGGCCTCCTCGACGCCCTCGTCAGTGATCTCAGCACCCTCCTCGAGCTTCGCGTTGTATGCATCGCGGTCGAAGCGCAGGATGTAGAAGGAGTCGGCGGTGGTGATTGCGACCAGGGTGCCAGTGCCAGACCAGTAAACCTGCATATACGCGCTAAGCAAGCAAGATCATATCAAGACAGAGACGGCTCACCTCCTTCGCGTCGACGTCGATGCGGCGCACAACATCTCCAGTCTCCCAGTCCCAGAACAGGACGAAGCCGCTACCGCGCGCACCCAGAAGGGTACCGCCGCTGATTCCGTCGATTCCCCAGCCGCCTGCACCCTTCATCCCTGCGCCCGAACGCTCGCGGAAGTTCTTATAGATCTTGAGCTTCAACTTGTTCTCGAGTACGGCATACGTGTTCGAGTCCGGCGCCCACGCGAACGAGAGACCGTTGCCGAAAGACTTGTTCCTCCACGCAAGGGCTGTGTAGATAATGTACTCGCCGTCGCCGACGACCGTCACGAAGCGACCGTTGGGGGAGTGGATCAGCGCGTTGGCGAAGATCTCCGTCGAGCCGATCTCCTTTGTGGAGAGCGCGACGCGCTTTCCGTCCTCACTGTCGCCCTCTGCGGGTGCGACCTGCTGCAGATTGCCGGAGAGGACTTCGTGGTTGCGGGTGTAGACGAGTTTGCCGGAGGGGTCCATGGAGAGCGTAGGCTCATCGCGGCCAAGCTTGACAATGACAACACCCTCGTCGAAGCCGACAGCTACCTCGTTCGCGTCCTTGCGCAGCGCGACGCACCACGCGCGCTCGAGAGAGTAGCTGAGCGTGTTCTCGATCCTGTACGTCGCGGCGTTCCAGATCTTGACCGTGCCATCCTCGGCGCCGGAGACGATGATGGGCAGGTTCGGGTGGAAGACGGCGAAGGAGACGTTGTTGGTGTGGCCCTCCATGGTCTGCACGCACGACTTGGAGAGGTAGTCCCATACTTTGACGGTCTTGTCATCGCCGCAGGTGACAAGGTACGGCTTGTCGGCGCCCGGGTAGAAGTCGACGTAGTTGACGCCTTTCTCGTGCGCGTCCATGGTGAAGTTGGCGTGCGTGGCGCCGATGGACCACATCTTGACGGTACGGTCAAGACAGGCAGACGCGAATGTGTTGGAGTCTTTGGGATTGAAGGCGATGTTCATGATGTAGTGCGTGTGCCCTTCGTAGACCTGCGATACTGGGTGAGCAGGATGTCCGAGAAGTATATGCAGCCACGCACCTGGACGTTCTTCCATCCCTTCTCCCAGTCCCAGGCCTTGATCGTCATGTCGTCGCTGCCGGTGAGCACGATGCTCGCGGTGGGGTGTACAGTCAAGCATCGGATGTAGTCAGGGTGAGCCTCGAAGGCGGTGACTTTTTCGTGGGTGTTGTAGTTGAAGACGCGCAGCTGGAAGTCATCGGAGCCCGCGACGAACCAGTTCTTGCGCGCGATGAACTTGACGCAGCGCACGGGGACCTCAGCGACTTCGAATGTCTTGACGATGGCGCCGGTCTCGTGGTTGTAGATGTTCACGGTGCCATTGTACAGGCCAGTCAACAGCCAGGGCTCAGTCGGATGGAAATCTACGGCCTTCACGCGATCTGAACGCGCGAAAAGCTTTCTCTGTTAAGGAATACTCAATTGCTGTTTTCGAGGGGGTCGTATGTATGCTACTCACGTTGACCTCAAAGAGCATCCCCGGAAGATCAGAGGGGAAGGGGAGCAGGGGAGATGGTGATGGGAACGACCAAGCGCGAGAGAGTACATTGACCGCGTCACAAGCGTCAAACAAAGCCTTCCCAATTAGGAAGTTTAACACGTCGCACCCTTGCGCTCAAGTGTCACCTAACTGCAAACCCTTAAGGCCCTTCGAAGTACGTCAAGATCGAAGAGTATTGGCCGGGTCCTGCTCGATTCTAATCATTGAAAGAAGTCCGAAGTTTCAGTAGGCATAACGTCCACAGGCAGTACAACACAAGTACGAATACAACACATCGTCCTGTTACAACCAGTCCCAAGATTTGAGGAAAGTCCTTTCATATGCATTTCAGTTCTCCTCGTATGGTTGCACGACTTTGCACTAGGCCTATATGTATGTGAGTAGGTTGCACCAGACTTTCGATGCGTCACAACGCACTGAAGGCAGCCCGCACAAGCTTCCGTCGATCTGCTTATACGTGATCGTCGCCACGCCCAGCTCCACAGCGCGACCGTTCGTGAGCGTGTCCATAGCCTTGCGCGAGATGACGAAGCCGTCGACCCCCGCGACGTCGACAGCGAGGATGTTGACGAGGTTCTGGTGACCCTGCGACACCGTGTAGTTCAGCTGCCAGCACGTCCCGCAGTTCTTGCTGTTCCATCCCTCGACCGCGAACGCCGCGCCGACGTTGGGGAAGTTCGGGATGTCGCCGAGGTCGTTCCACTGGTACTTAGTGATGAGGCCGTTGTCGCCGTTCGAGCAGGCGACGGAGGTGAGGGCCTCGTCAGCCTGGTCGTAGACGGTGTCGTAGTAGACGACCGCAGTGAGGGCGGTGGGGATGGCGAGCAGAGAGGTGAAGATGGTTAAGAGCTTCATAGTGCGATGTGTGATGTGAGGCTCGAATGGAGGCGTCGCTATCGGTTGGAAGTACGGACTGGGGATGTGTTACTTTAATACCCAGTCAAAGAGGCTGCCGAGGAGCGCGTACGTATTGACCCAGAGAATCAATGACAGGACGAGCCTCAGGTGGTCGGGCAGGTCAGACCGCCCAAGCATGCACATCGGCGTCATCTGCCCAATGTGCGCCTTCTAAAGGGCCTCGAGAGAAGCCCATGAAGATCCGAGGCCGCGCATGACCAGGCAGATCAATGCATTCCGCGCGCGAGAGGTAACCAGAACGTACGAAGGGGTTTGTAAATGGACACTGCCGCGGTCATGTAGACGGAAGCTCTGCATACAATGACATGGGTGTAAGAAGGTTGCTGAAGCAGAGGCCGATCCAGCTAGCCATCGCCCAACGTTATTCGGAGGATCTGTACGTTTGGGGTGACAATTTTGCCCCGTTCCTTGTGGAAGTTCATTTTCGGGGTCGAGAGCAACATAGCTCAGGTGGTCTGGATTCAGGCAGGGAAAGAGCAGCCGGGAAGAGTGAGATCGCAGAGGGAAGGTTGACGATCGCTTTGCGATTAAGCAGCGCAGTCTCGAGCTGAAAAGGTGGTGAGGTGAGGTGCACTTCGTATGTGAGGGAAAGTCGGGGAAAGGGGAAAGGATCCCAGCCTTACTTGGTGTCGTAAGAAGAGCTACTGAAAGGACGTGTGAGTGTCTCATTACCGTCGCAAAGGCATGAGCACATACCTCTGCTTCTGAGGTGAACATGCGCTCGTCTGCATGGAACGCATATACCGTCGGCTTCGCCCTGTTCATCTCTATCGATTCATCGTCGTCAAATGGGGGCTGGAGTGGGATCGGGATTGCATAGAGCGAACCGAGGATGTAAAGACAGTCGAGGACACACACTTATGCTGCAAACTCTAGAAACTCAAGTGCATCCGGCTGAGTTGTGCAGTACAAGGTGTTGCGTGCATGGCGTCGACGGACAGTGCAAGGCACAACCGGCTGATTGCGGTCCGCGCCACGATGATCTCGGTCCTTGCGGACCGGGTCGTCGCCACATTTGTCTTGTTCCCTTTGTCTCTTGTTCTCGACGCTGCCACTGACTGTCATGACCAACGAATCATACATCGACGCACTTGCCGGAGTGCAGAAAGGCTTGTTAGATGGCGAGCTTACTTTGTCCCAGGTGCGTCGTGTAAACCTCAGATTTCGTGCTCTATCTAACGAGAATCCCTTACACAGATCGACGAATTGGAGGACAGGACACGCCAGCTCCAGGAATCTCTGCTGCGCGCGCGCAACATACAATCTCCTGCAAACAAGCTTCCAGCAGAAGTTCTTGCAAGCATCTTCCACCTCGTTCAGGAACCTTACGACGACAGTGACTTCTTGCCGCAATGGCCGGATTGGACGTCGTTGGACTGGCTTGTGGTGACTCACGTATGCTCGCGCTGGAGGTACACCGCACTGGACCTTCCATCTCTTTGGTCTACCATTGATCTCTGTCACGACTTCTCTGCGAAAGCGGGACGAACCTTCCTCGCGGCCGTCCGCTCCGGGTTTTCTTCTCCAGCCGTGAAGTTGCACACTCGGTACCAGACATAAGCGTTCTGCAGGGCATATTGCACAACCATATTGAACGCTTGCAGCAGCTTCACCTGGCCGTCGAGTCTGCTCATGATCTCTGCCTGGTTTGTCCCGACTTGCGTTCGCCCGCGCCGAAACTAGAGAGCCTCTCGATTTGCATCCGATCGGGTGACCCCGATAATCACAGTATGATTCGGGTGCACGGTTTGCTGAAGGACAATTTCAGTGCAGTACGCAGGCTGGTCGCTGTGGGCTGTCCAATCTGGGAGTATATCACATTCTCGCACCTTACCCACCTCGCCATCTACCAAACAACCAATCACAAACGTGGAATCCAGGGTCTTCTGCAGAACTGTCCCGACCTCGAAGAGCTGGTACTCACCGACATTTGGTTCTTCAGCAGACTATCTGACGAAACATATCGCCTGCCTCGTCTACAGTATCTCCAGCTCATCACTCTGGGCCAGCACGATGATGGCGTGCGGACATCGCCTCTTGTCGCCAGTCTCGATATTCCAGAGCGCTGTAGGTACCGGGTGGCCAATCCGTCTATGGCAGACGTTCTCGCCGTCCTGACCATATCGAACTCGCCCCTGTCGAAGCAGAGGATACATACGGCCAACATCATGTTTCATGGTCACAGGCGCATGACCATACACTCGGGTACGGTCTCTTTGGGATGCGCGCCGTCAGACAACGACATCCCCCTTGTCGCTCGCGCGGTGGATCCGGACACGAAGCTGACCCTCGTCCTTGGCGACTATGCACCGAAGGAGGAACTCTGCGTGCAGCTTTTCTTGCATATGCGCCGCGTGCGGACACTGGTCATCATCGACGACCCCCCAGCATCCGGCGTAAACAGCGCCATAGCTGAGCCCTTGGTCAACGCTCTTGGCTCGCCTTCGAGTGCCGAAGACGCGGCCTCGGGCTCAGTCGTCCTACCAGCACTAGAATCGCTCCACGTGCATAATCGTCAGACGGCTATGTGGCCTTGCTTATGGTCCGCTGTCTCGCGTCGCGCGCAAAGGGGTGCGCCGCTAAAGGAACTTTGCGTCTACGAATATCCTCATCGTGACGGCACGCCTGGTGTTGTCAGGAAGATTACCCTGACGCTTCTGGATTGGCCGTTGGTGTCACGACTGAAGCCTCGGACCTCACGGCAGGTAATGCGCAAGCAGAGGTTTGGGAGCCAGCCGAGAGGCCTGTAAATGGCTTCAAATGGGCGGGTTCGGGGATACAGGAGGTGTCGGAGGATGAGGATGACCATGACGACTCACAATCAGACTGGGATTCGGATTATTGACGGATATCTGGTGAGGCTACTTCTTCTGCAGACTCGTTGGTCGCTGATCAGTCCTGCAGGTTCACTCAGCTGCATGTGTTTGACTCGTAGTGATGCGACGGCAGAAGCTCAAGAAAGACAAGGACGTAAATATGTAAAGTTACAACTATATTGTCTATTCATCCAGTTACATTCCGAATCGGCCGTATGAGCTAGTTGAGCACTCTGAGTGCCTAATTCTCAACTTCGGCGCCCGTCAACCCGACGGACAACTAATTTCCGACTCCTTACAGCTCTTCATTTCGAAGATACCGGTGTTGTGCAGCAGTTTTACATAGTCGGCGAACTAGGTCTTCAGATAACCGGAGACAGCGTCTTGTAGTCACCGGCGACAGCGTCTTGACTTAGCTGACGATCGCGTCCGCCAGCGCGACTGATGACCGGACGACACATTACCGCGCACAATATCATCACGACCGCAACGCCCTCTCCCACGTCCCGGTACATCGATCTAGCCCGAGAAGCCCCTCGTGAGCGCCTGCGTGGGTCGGATGCTACTGCGAAGCCACCCACTGTCGCGTTTTTGACCTCCGGGCCGCCGAGGCTCCATATGCGTTCACAGGACGTGTGTAGAGGTATAAAGGCAGCTTCCTGCGAAGCTAATCAGACCCCCATTCACCCCGAACTTCGCCCTTCACTTGTCTTTTTGCGCCTGATATCGCGCGCGGCGAACGAGAGTATATTACCATGACGCAGTCTGCCGCAACCAATGGTCATTTGGCCGCAACGGACGGTCATGCAACCTCCACAAACGGTCAGCAGACCGAGAACGAGCTGACGTCGGGCAAGGGCGAGCCTACGAGCGTGGCGAAGCTGGACGCGTGGTCGGAATGGATGCCGGGGATCTACAAGAGTAGACAAGGACCTCGTGCGCTGGGAACGGTGCGCTTCAACGAGATCGAGGAGCGGGCGCGGCAAACGTTGAAGGACGTACCGGGTATGCCTTTTCTTGAGGAAAATTCGTTCATCGGCCCACACGCGTTTCGCAGAGGCCTTCTGGTACGCCTACGGCAGCGCTGGTACTCACGGGACCTGCGACGCGAACATACGCGCCTATAGCAAGTTCGGTATAATCCCTCGAATGCTGGTCGACGCCAGCCCGCAATATCGTAGCTTGGAGGTATGGGTCTGCCCATAGGCGGTCAATCGCAGGGGTAGACCGATGATCACTCACACGAAGCGTCTGCAGACCACCCTCTTCGGCGTCAAGTACCCCACCCCAGTCCTCGTAGCGCCCATCGGCGTGCAGACTATCTTCCACCCCGACGGGGAGGAGGCGTCCTCGGGGGCGGCGGGGCGTCTCGGTATCCCGTACATCATGAGCACGGCGTCCTCGCGCAGTATCGAGACCGTCGCGCGTTCGAATGGGGAAGGTAACCCTCGTTGGTTCCAGCTGTATTGGTAAGGCAATCAATGGCTTGTCAAATGACGACTAACCTAGCGAGGCATTTAGGCCGCGCACCAACGAGATCACGCTGTCTCTGCTCTCCCGAGCCAAGAAGGCCGGATTCACCGCCCTGGTCGTCACGTTAGCCCGTCTCGTCATGTTGCTCGTTAACGACGTAAACTCACCTTCATGCCAGATTGGACACCATGACCGTCGGCTGGCGCCCGCACGACCTCGCCAAGGCCTACTCGCCCTTCGCGCACAGCGTCGGCTGCCAGGTCGGGCGCAGTGACCCGGTGTTCATGGCCAAGTTTGGGCGCGAACCTATTGTAGATGAACGCCCTCAGTTCCCTTATAGGCCGGATGAGATGGATGCGGCGTTTGCGGCGGGCGATGAGAAGGTGAGTGACGGGCGCGTGTGTGGTGTGCGACTCCGGCGCCTGCGAGATGCGCGATAGAGACCAGCGGGACATGCGACGCGCGCTTTCGCGGTACTGATGAGAGATAAATGCAGGTAAAGGACGACATCTTCCTCGGCAGCGAGTGGCTGGGGGAGATCACGTCGGGCACGTTCAAGGGCTGGGAAGACCTTGCCTTTCTCCGGCAGAACTGGGACGGCCCGCTCATCCTGAAAGGCATCCAAAGTGTGCACGTAAGTTCGGCGTTCATCTACGTATACAGAAATGCTGCATGCTCACTATCTCCCACTCACGCAGGACGCGGAAACCGCTCTGCTACACGGCGCGGACGGCATCATTGTCTCCAATCACGGTATGCGACGGAAACCTAGAGGTGAACGAGGTTAGCGTTGAGCTAATAAACGTTACCTATAGGCGGCCGGCAGGTCGACGGCGCGATCCCATCGCTCTTCGCGCTCGAGCGCATAATGCGCTCGGACAAGATCAGGGAGGCGCAGAGATCAGGGAAGCTCACCATCTTATGCGACTCCGGCATCCGCTCTGGCCCGGATATAGTCAAGGCGCTGGCGCTAGGGGCGCAGGCCGTACTTCGTGAGTGATACTCTTATGAAAGCCGGGAGATGAGCTAACTGCATCTTACTTGATACCATCGATACTTACCAAATCTTTCATTGCCGTTCACTTTCGTTGCCTTATCCAACCCTTTCCTATCCTGCTAGTCGGACGGCCTTGGCTCTATGGGATGATCGCAGGGGGACAGGCCGGCGCCGAGCAGGTCCTGCAGCACACCATCGCGGATCTGGACACCACGATGGCGCTATCCGGACTCCGTACTGTCGCGGACATACAAGGGAAGGGGGAAGACGTGGTGGTCAGGATAGATGTATAGATAGATGGATGGATGCCGAATCTGCTGAATCGTCCCAGTCAATGTATAACAGCCATCCACGCACCTGCCACGCCTCCGTATGTCCGCGACATAATAATCAAGTATTGAGAAGCGTGTTGGCAGCGTTCTCTGCTTTCGCCACGGTTGTCAACTATCAGGGCAGGAAGATGGCGCGCCTCGTATGAAGAGACACCAAGTCTCGCGGAATCTGTTGAGTCTGCCGCCGCCAATTGAGGCGGTACCAGTAGAAGTAGCTGCGGTCAACAGGTCGCTTCCGAGTCGTTGCCCGCGGCGATGGGGGAGTGGGTGCCACATACGACACTCCCGGTCCCTGGCGCATTCAACGTACCCATCGCCAATTCATGCCATTCAAGAACCTCTCATCTCATTACAGAACTGCGGGACGCTGCGGGTCAAGACGGTGAGAGTGTAACCGAAGCACACGTTCTATTCGTCCACCCGCACCTTCTACCCCGGATTCATATCGCATTCGCGTAGAGATAGACATCAGGGTTCAGGTCAAGCTCTTCAGAAGGACAAGTTCCGATTCCCAATCGGAGACGCCGCTCTGTAGCCGCTGCCACGGTCACGTGTGCCCCGTGCTTCGCTCGCCTTCGCGGGCCACGTCGGAGCTGCTGGACATGAAGGGGCTCATTCCACGAGGCTTCGTATACTGACTGCTGGGAATGGCCACCAGCTCTGGCTTACACCGCTCGACGAGGTTCTGCACAGCACATACCTCGCTCACACTCAGTACGCCGACTCAACTCGCTGTCCCAAGCACCTTGCTTGTCAGTTGCGACGCCAGTCCACCATAAGATCGCACAAGCAGTTCGCAGGCCCAATACTAATCACATTAACCCAATTGCGGAATACTTGTAAAGAGGAGGTCATACACAGGGGGATAGCTAGTAAAAGCAAAAAGCATCGAAAACGCCCAACAACCGGTACATGATACAGTACTGTAGCCCACGGGTATCGGAATCGCTGTAGTCCTTGAGGATAGTTATGTTCGTACCGTAAGATGACAAGGAGGAAGATATGATAGAATAGTTAGTTGGGTAGATGGAACCGCGCTGCTCGCTCGTCGACGCGCATGCTGACATGCGCGCCGCGATCGGATGGGAACGTCGTGAATATGATGATGAGGGTCGATGATGAGAGAAAACCGAAGCCAGGGATAGTGCCAGTGCTGTTGGGGGAAGTCGCCCAGTAGTGCTCGCGCTCAACGAGCGACCTTTTCGGTGCGACTCGCGATCGGGTCGTGAATATATGTACAACATTTGGTTTCGTATCGGGTCCATGGCGGAGGCTTACGCTTGCACCTTAAGGTCGCCGAGGAGGTCGACGGTACCGGAGCGAGAAACATGAGGGCGGGTTTCGATGACTGCGTAGTCGAAGTCAAGAAAGAGAGAAAAGAGATCGTCAGACAGGGGTCGGGGTACCGGGGTACTGCAATACTCACCAGTCGAGAGCTGCTTGAAGCCTGTGCGGTCGATGTACTCGCGACCGACGATGTCGGCGCCGAGGATCGCCTGGAAGACAACGTCCGGGGTGATGACCGAATCCATGTTCCAGATAGTCTCGCCCGGAGCGCAGGCAATCTCAGCAACCTGGGGACGTTGTTAGATGAGGACTACCTAGGCAGGTGGAGAAAGCGACGCACCTTGTGCAGCTCTTCCGCCGTCACATCGGGAATACCCATCATGTCAAACGTGACCGGCAAGTCGACAGATAGCAAGAACCCGAGGTACCGGTCGATCTCATCCTGCGGCGCGCCGTCGAGGACGAGCTGGCAGATGGTGCCGAACGCGACCTTCTCGCCGTGGAGAAGGTGATGGAGACGGTGGATGCTCGTCAAACCATCGTGAATCGCGTGCGCGGCAGCCAGCCCACCGCTCTCGAAGCCAAGACCTGAGAGAAGCGTGTTCGCCTCGACGATCGCCTCCAATGCGGGCGTCATCGCGTTGACCTTGCACGCCTCGTACGCCTGCTTGCCGTACTTGAACAGCGTCTCCTCGCACTTCTCGCAGATGGCGTCTGCGACGAGCGCGGGCATCCCACCGCCGAAGTTGGGCGCGTTGCGAGCGCGCTTGGCCTCGACGTTCGTCGCGAGAGCATCACCCATACCGGCAGCCAAGAGGCGTGCAGGTGCGCGGGCGATGATGGACGTGTCGACGATGACGATGTACGGGTTTCGTTGGCAGAACGCGTAGCGGTCGAAATCACCGCTTGGGCGGTAGAGGACGGCGTTGGCAGAGCAGGGCGCGTCGGTGGAGGCGGTCGTGGGCATGATGGCAACTTCGATCTTCAGGTCATCCGTGACGGTCTGCGGAGAATGAGATCAGATGGAAGTGCGGAGAGAGGGTGTGCGTGAGAGGCTCACCTTTCCGACGTCGATAGTCTTCCCACCTCCGAGAGCGATGACGAAGTCTGCCTTGAAGTCAACGCAGATCTCCTTGATGCGCTCGACTTCTTCAACCGAAGCGATGCCGGTGAATGCCGCGCGCTTAATCTCGAACTCGGAGAGGGTGTTGATGAGGTCCTCGCCCGCTGCAGTGACGGTCAGTAAGATGAAGTACGATGAGAAGGCTGGCAACGCACCAATTTGGTGGACAATGTCGTCCGTGATCAAGACTGCACGCTTGCCCATCTTGCGAAGGTACTGGGCAGAGTCCCGGATGGCCGAGGGACCCTGGACGTACTTGGCGGGGGACTGGAAGACGCGGAAGGTAATGCCACGGTTGGCAATGCTCGCTGCGCGCGCAGTGACGGAGAAGGTGCGGACGGAGGGGAAGCGGCGAACTGCCGAGGGGGAGGCGCGGAGACCCCCCGCCATGGACGGTCGCACCGCCCAGCCAGTGCGGGCCAAAGACTTCAATGTGGAAGAGAACATTGAGGGCGAGAACGGCTGGGGAGGGTGCGAAAAGCGGGAGGGGGAGAAGAAGGGGGGAGGGGCGGAAACCGATACTGGCTTCCCCGCAAATCGCGCGCCCCTTTATATACCGCCACGAATACCAATTCCCCAAACGACAAATCCTGCTCGGTCCGTCCCCCGACAGTAGTCATCGCCAAAGGCCGCCGCGCACCGGCTGGGGAAACATACGTTATTTCGCGTTCGGCGTCGCACAGACGCGGATCTTGAATCTCATGGAATACTCAGGAAAAACGCATGGGCGTTGCCCGCAGCGATGACGAGACCATCTGCACGATGATACCAACAACCACCGATAGCGCTAGTGACGTCGACCATACTTCCCATCTTCACCTGAACGAATGTGGCTGATATTTCGTGGCCACCAGACCAGGCGAATTGAATCCGACTGCTTGCCCGCTAGTCAGATGCCTTGACGTCGTCGCGCCGTTGTCGCGCGCCATCAGCGAAATTCCAGCCAGGCAGTGAGCAGCAACGGTCATCTGCAACGCTCACCCATCCCACGGGCCGCGACACAAGAGAATGTCTGGTAACCCGTGACCGTCTCTTGGCTCGTCGCGCACCGCAACATGCCAACTCCTTGCCTCCAAAACGCGGGCACCAGATTTCTACTATCGTACTCAATAGTGAATAAATCCCGACGCGGGTCATCCGCCCCAGCGCCGCTCCTCGTCGCTCCCAGCCAGCGCACCACCCGAACGTCACCCCCAACGTATAGCTCCTGCTCGCCTCGCCCCCAGACTCGGGTTATGCGCGCTGCGGGCTCGGCGCCTGCAAGCGCCGCAGCGCACGAGCCTGGTCAAGCCAGTCCATCCCGTCTCTCGGGGAAAGATCGAAGCGCAAACGGCCGACGGAGGCTTGGCTGCTTCTTCGGAGACGCAAACGTGCTGCTGCGCATCCCCTTCTCACCCTGCTCGGATCTCGAAGCTCCTCGAAACGTTTCCAAATTAGGTACGCGTCCACAGCACCGTTTCCCGCGCCCCGCGTCCCCGCAATCCCTGCCCCGCGGCGCCCGTGAGGAATGGGCCCAGAGCGCAGCACCTCCCCCGCCCCGATGCTGGTCGGACGGGCGACGTTCGTCATGGCTAGAGGCCGTGTCGCTCCCCAGCTCCGATACCCACTCACGATACGAGCCCGCAGCGGGGCGGTGGAGGGCGGCGAGCAGGCTCAGACGCGCCCCAGGGGGAAAACAAGGGGAAGGCGCGCGGCAATCGAGCGGAAGAATTCCAAAATGAAGAACGAATCAAAAACAGCGGAAACCACCGTTGCCGATATCGCCGCCATACCACGGTCACGTGCAGAGTTGAACTGCATGGTCAGCACAGGCACTCGCGCGCCTTCGCGCCGATAGTCGAGCGATTATCGCTGGGAAATCGGTCGTGTTGAACTCTACCGTGCGCGCAACGTGCAGTAGTCCCCGCGTATGAAGGGACGCGGCGGATTGGTAGCGGTAGATAGATCGACCCGATCGAGCCGCCGGCGTCGGGCAAGCAGAGTTGAGGCAGGGTCAGCGCAGGGTCCAAGCTTCTGAGTAGGAGCGCGCGGCGCCGTAGCGGCCTCCAGGCAGCGGCCTCGCCTCCTCCGAGCGACAATGTCGTGAATCCGATTCGCCAGGCCGCCATCTACCCTCGCCTATCGGACACACGTCCGATGCGCGCTGCCCTCGACAAGGCCTACCCGTTCAGGAACAAGGGTTCTCCATAGACAGCCCGCTCAGCCTCAAGGTGCACCAAAGTTGTGGACAGGATAAGTAATTGCTTATTTGGGCTTATGCGAGTATCGAAGTATCTATGTTACTAACTAAAATATGTTACAAGATGGTAAGTACGAAAGGAAGCAGACGATATATAGTTACAAAAACGGCGTGGATGCAGGGTATATGATACACGACGTGAAGGTTCCGTTTGAAGATGAAGTGAGGAGACGTGAGATGAAGGCGAAGAAGTGTGGGCATGAGAATCGTGGGGACGGGCCATGAGAGCGATGCGTATGTAGATCGTGGGTAGCGCGGCTGGGATGGCCGGCTTGATTGGGTTTGTGGGGGTGGGAGGAGGGCGTGTATATGCAGATGAGTGGGTGGAGGTTAGTGTCCATGCCAGGGGTGGGGAGGGCGCTACTGCGAGACCTAATTGAGCGTGTCGGACGATGCGGAAGACATCCCATCGTCAGTAGACATGGATGAGCCCAGAGCGAACGAGATCAGCGCGCTGGCAGACGCCGGACCGCCTTCCATCGGCGAGAGGGGGGCGAGCGACGCTGTTGAACGTACGAAGAACTCAATCTTCTCAAAATCAACACCAAGCTGGCCGCTAACAATACCATGCCTGTTGAAAATACAGCAGGTTAATAAAGTGATCAGCCATTGGAGATAAAGCACTTGCTTATTCCTCAAATGGTGCAGCGCACTCTCATGCGCGCGCAGCGTTGTCTTGCCCTTATGGCACTGGCTGCACTTATACTCGGGAAGGAGAGCGCGGCGGAGAGCAACTGGCTTGCGCGGGATGCCGGCAAAGCCAGCGACATACACGAAGTCCAGGTTCTGGACCGGCCGCTCGATGTTGTGCCTACGAAGGATACCCCGTTAACCAGATGCACGATAAAGTTCAACTTCAGCCACATACACTAGCCTGGCGTGCTTGATCGCCTGCGTGCGCGTGACCTGCGCGTCCGCGCGCCCATTCGCGTAGTGCGCCGCGCAGTGGTTGCACGCCCACGCGCGCTCGTACTTGAACGCCGGGTGGCTCTCGCGCCGGCGCACGAAATTCGCAGCCGGCTCGCTGAGCACCCGCCAAGCGCCCTCGCGGTGGGTGCTGTCCTCGGCGGTGTTAAACATGTGTATGACCTGTGTGCTGCTTAGCGGGCCGGGGAGGGGGAGGTGGTCAGGGCGGCACTCACGCATTCACGCCACGTGAGGACCTCGTACGGGCCGTCGGAGGGACAGTTCGCGCAGACGAAGCGCGCGTTGAGCGCGTCGAACTCACGTGCAAGAGCGGTGTCCGGGTTCAGGCCTACGAGCTCCAGAAGCCCGCGGGCCGCGTCGTACCCGCGCCTGTCAAAGCAGAGGCCTTCTGACTCGACGCCAGCGCAGTTGAGATGCGGCCCAGCGCCGTCCCAACCCACCATGCCCTTGCCGATGATCTCGTCGTGACTACGGTTCAGCCGAGATACCGGGCAGTGGTAGATCGAGGTCGCGAGGTCAAGACGGGAGAGCTCGGAGGCATCGCGCGTTTGCACGGAGGACGAACCTGCGCGATGCGAAGTCGAAGAGGAAGATGAGGGCGCCGACAAGCCGGCGGCAGATGCCGAGGAAGTAGCCGATGCCGGCGATGCCGTAGAGGGAAGCAAGGAGACCATGTGATGCATGCGCTCCCGTGTCCAGTCGCGCACGAACTGCGGCAGTAAGGACACCGCGTCCGCCAACCTCCGCTCAAACACCTCCGGGTCAGTGTCGGGGGAGTGCACGAGCTCGGCGAATGGCGCGTACTGCGCGACCTGGCACGAGCTTGGGTGATAAGCCCACGTCGCTGGCAGGGTGCTGCCGCGATACGCAGTGTATGCCTGGCTGACGCGCGCGCGGCGCTCGCGCATACGTGCGTAGCGTTCCTCTGCGATACGCTCCTCCATGCAGATGACCACAGCGCGTTCCACAACAGGAATGATCTTCTCCAACTCTGCAAAGTACACCTCAGGAACGGCGCTCATTGTACGCCAATCTCACTCACTGCGTCGCGTCAATCGCGGAACCGACATCGACGCCGGCAGCTCTGCGATCGCCTTTTCGAGGTCCGCCGGGTGGTGGCCCGCCTTCGAGAGGCGCGCCCTGATGCGCTTCGCAAAGCGGGAGTCGAGCGCCTTGCGCGCCTTGCTGGCCTCCTGTCCGAGCTTCTCAGCCCACATGCGGCACGCGGTGCTTTGCTGCAAATCAATGCAATGAGCAACACTTGCCACGACCGCGGGAACGCGTATAGAGATACGGAGGATACGCACAAGTGTCCGGGAAGCGACAAGCGCGTGCCGCTCGATTTTGTACCGTTCGAACTCGAGTTCGGCGCCGGGCGTCTTCTGGTCCATAGACTGCCGGTGCTTCGCAACTGCCTGAATGACAGCCTGGAGGTCGGCGGGCAGATATCGGCCGTCGTCGTACTCAAAGTAGTGGTCCCCGTCCTCACGGTAAGTCCGCGGGACGAGGGAAGCAGCGAACTCGTCCTCTGCAGTTTCGACGAGGGGCCTGACGACGAAGGGGATGAGTACGAAAGACGTGTGGGAAGGATCGCGAGACGCACAATGTCACTAGGCACTTGGAGCAGAGGCGCCTAAGAAGGGTGAAGTCAAGCGCGGCAGCACCACGCCCGCACTGCTGGCATCGGTGGGGGGCAAACAGCATCCTCGCCCACTTGTCGTGAGGGACATCGGTGGGGCAGGGCGGCATGGTGTCGGAGTGGCGCGCAAAGGAGGTAGCCCATACGGCGCCGGCGCCAGGGCAAGTGAGCAGTTCGCGCATAGTGCGGCATGTCTGCGCAAGATGGAACAGGTCCATGGGATGGGCGTGCTGCATGATCTGCAGAGCTGTTAAGCAATAGACGCGCTACCGACTAAGCGCGTACGCACCTCGAATACGAGCTCAAGAGGGAAGCTGCCCAGGAGGGTGAATGACTTGATCAGGGGGCGCGAGCCCGTACGCAGGCTGCGCAGAATCTGTACGGCCTGCCAGTTGGCTGCGGCGCGCTTAGCGGACGATACTTCCTGGCGCGCGCGTATGCGTACCTACTGAGCGCCGTCGCTCGTGGTTCGTCGTTTCTGTCATGAGGTCCTCTACTCGTAATTTCATGAAAGGCTGCTCGGAGAAGGGGTCGATGTAGATGGCAGGCGTCGCCATAAGGCCGAGGACGCCCTTGGAGTCGTCGAAGACGAGCCCGGTCGTGGTCCTTGTTCGCGTCGACATGGTGGGAAGAGACAAGGATGGATTCGGGCGCGCGCTGGGGATAAAATCGATGTGGGCCGTGCGTCGGCAACGAGGCCTGAACGAGGCGGCGTACAGCACGATGCGCGACGCCTCACGCCCCCGTCACGGTCGCGGGTGACGACACGCATAGTCCGCGCCTTCTTGTCCCCCATTTGGACATCATTGACATTGTTCGGCCATGTGGCGCGCCCATGCAAGTCAACACCGCAATACATTCCCACCTTCTGCTCCCCACCGCATTCAGTACAACCTTCGAAACACGACCGGGCATGCCCTCCCTCATGCACGATCCCGCTCATAAAAGGTCATATACCCTTAGCATTTATGCATTTGCCACACTTCTGGCGCGCAAGCGAACGAAGACGTTCCCCGCACTCGTCGCAGGATTAACCCAGCCTACCCATTCGTACGTTTGTACAGTCCTGGACACCCTTACCCGACGCGTACTGAAGCGAAAGGCTACTCTCACCCGCGCCGCCTTAGCCACGCCCGTAAGCACCCGTCCTGGCCCTTTCAGCTGGACTACCATCTCCGACTCTGATTCGAAAGAGTCACCCACCAACTAACAACGACATCGCGCCCTGCCGGCTCGCCATACTAGCCCAGTGGCGCGTAAGTGGGCTTGCACCACTGGTCAAGGCAAGAAGTCCGCCGGTCCTTCTGCGTGCATACTGGTCAAATCGCTAGCGCTCCGCACCTCGCTTGCCACCGACGTTAAAACATCAGCATGTCCATCCGAAGCTGGGCATAGTATGCAAGGAGAAGTCTAGAGCGCGCGACACGGCTCTGGAGAACCAGCTACAGCTGGCGATATGTGTCAGACTCGTGCCAACATGAAAAACGCGTTGTTGTCGGACAAGCGCCACCGTACGTGCTCGCCATCGTCCTGGATTAAAAGGGCCTACGGGCGTATGCGTTCTGGCACCCTCGCTCAGCCGCCCAAGGGGCAGAAAAATGATTACAATCTTTTCTGCTCAATCATAGGCTAACACTCGTGTCCTACCACGCGGCGTTCTGTCCTGTATCAGCGCCTCCCTCCATCCATATCAGCAACACCTGGCCTTCATTTCCCGCTAGTCACGAAGGCGTTATACGCCTCGTTCAGCGTGCCAAACACGCCGTTCGCAATCATCCGCTGCTCCAGCGTCGTGTTGCTCGCGTTCAGCTGCGCATGCGTTAGCCTTGCTGTGGTCGCGCAGACAGAAGAACGGAAGACAAGTGAGATGAGAAGAAGCCAGAGCCAGCATAAAGGATCATGAGCGCCCGAAGGTATCATGTCGGCGATCCCCCTACCCTCGCAGTCCCTCGCGAACAGAATATGACACTCGCCTTATCAGGATGTAACCGGCCAATCGCCTTCATGTACTTGACCTTCACCTGCCCCGGCGTCAAGAGATCCTTCATATCCACCTTGAGCGCCGGCCCGAGCTCCGGCCAGAGCACCGTATCCAGACTCGCGATGAGCGCGCGCACATTCGCCTCCTTCCCCTTCTTCCACGCCAGCAGCCGCGCATCGACCGTGTCCTTCAGGTCGGCGCGCGCAGCGTCCTCCGCCTCGGCGTCCTCCGCGGCCTTGCGCAGCTCGGCGACGCGCGCGGAGTCGGCTGAGATGAGTGCAGCGGGCCGCAGCTTCGGCGGCGCGGCGGGCTTGGGCTTCGGGGGTGCGGCTGTGGGCGCGGGCTTGGGCGCGAGCATCTGTCGACAGCGGCCAGCCGCGCGCGCGGCCTCTGTGCGGTCCTGCGCGCGAGCCCAGCCCGCGCCCGACACCTTCTCCCATAGCCGCCTCGCCTCCGCCCACTGCTCTCGGCCCTCGAGCGCCTCTGCGCGACGGCGCCATGCCTTCAAGAGGCCTTCGCCAAGGTCGACCACGCCGGCGCCGTCGCCTGCCTGGATACGCCCGCCATCCCCGAAGCGAGCGTCCAGTCCGCCGACGGCCTCAACGAGGGTGAGTACGGTACCCGCGTCGGCTTCTGCAGCCTTGTACTCGCCGGTCTTGAGTCGAGCGAGCGCGCGGTTGTTGTACAGTGGAATAAGTAGGATATGTCCTTCAGGTAGACACGAGATTGCAGCGGAGTAGTGTCCCTCGGCATCGCCGTACTGCCCGAGCTTGACGGCCTCATTGCCGCGCGTCTTGTGTTGCGTCGACGACTGAACGGCGGAGGCAGAGGCAGGGACAAGGGTCCGCGTTGCGCTAGGTGGGGGCGGCTTAGGTGCTGACCTAGAGGACGGGGCATTCCTGCGATACGGAGACTGATAAAACTTGCGCTCCTCCGGCGCAGCAGGCGTCGGCGCAGGCCCGAAGAGATCGACTTCTGCAGGTGCTTCGGCGCGGGCCTTCCCGTTTGCCTGCTGTGGTCGGCGTGGCGGCACTGGGTGCGCATCGACATCCCGGAAGGCCGAGGACGACGCCGGCTCCTCGGCGCCCTCCGCGGCAGCCTGCTCCATCCACTTCGGCCGACCACTGCCTCGCTGACGAGAGTCCGGCCGCGAGCGCGAGCCCTCCTCGCCGGTGTTGAGCTGAGCGATCTTCTCCTCGTAAGCTTTCTGTAGATTTTGCTTGCCTTGCTTCCAGAACGCGCTCGCATTCTTGAGCAGCGTGGACCCGACTTCGGAGGCCTGGGCGATGTAGACGCTGGCTTGATCGCCGAGGATACCGTCGCCGCGTCGATTTGGCGAGGAGTCTCTGCGGGGCGGAGCGTCTGGTCTTCTCCGCGGTAGCCGTGGTGGCGGCGCGTCTTCGTGGTCTTCGCGAGATCGTGGGCGGGAGTCGCTGCCGCCAGTTGCGCCATTCGCGATCAAGATCTCGAGAGCAGCTTGTACATCCGTGCCGGTGTCCGTGGCGGCGAGCGCAGTCCTCGCCTGCGTGATGGAGAAGCCCATCTCGATGAGCTGGCCGAGGACATGGGGAGGCGGGGACGCGGTTTGCGTGCGGGATCGAGGAGGTGGAGAGGAATTCTGAGATTGTGCGCGTGGAGGAGGCTAAGTAGGATGTTAGCTTGATATGGATGCAAAAAAACAGTATAGCACGTACTTTCGCTACCTGATCGACTGGACGCGCCAGGTCGCCCAGGATGTCCTCCTCGTCCCCGCTGCCGTGCAAGAGCCCGTCGCGATCCTCGCGGTTGCCGAAGTCGAAGTCTTTACTGGGAGTATCCGCGCGACTCCGGCTTGCGCCATTTGTGGAAGGTGAAGCAAAGTCGTCAAGGTCCCAGAGCGATCCGCTCTTCGTAGCAGGAGGGGGTGATCGCGCGGGGGCCGGAGAGGGTTTGGAAGATCCGAAATCGCCGAGACCCCAGTCGTCGTCACGAGGGGGAGATTTAGGCGGTGGTGTAGGTTTCGCAGGTGCAGGTGCTGGGGAGGTGAAGCCGAGGAGGTCACCCAAGCCGGAGGACGCGCTCGGTGCGGGTGCAGGCGATGGTTTGCTACTTGCCGCCAGCGCATCCAAGCCCGCCCACGCGGACGACGTCTGAGCTTGCGGGCGCCCGGCAGCACTGCTCTGCCGCCGCAAGGCCTCGAGACGCGCGCTCTCCGCCTGCGCCTGCCGCTGCGCCATCGTCATGTTCGCCGGGTTTCCCGAGGTCGATAGGGTCCCGCTAAGTAGGCTGCTGAACGCGTCCCCTCCCCCGCCAGTCACCGGCGTCCCCGTAGAGCGCAACGCGCCCATCTGACGCGGCGCGGCTGCGGCAGGCGACCTACTCGTCGATGGAGTGATCGGACGCGACGTGGCGGGGGATCCCGCCGAGGATAGTATAGAGAAGGCATCCGGGGCGGGTCGTCGCGCGCCATATGCTGCCTGAGGGGATGCAGCCTGCGCACCGAGCGGCTTGGATTGCGCCGCCGGCTTCGACGGCGCGGTAGAATTCCAGAGATCGGCGAAGGAATCCGACATTGTAGTTGAAAAAGGCGGAATGAAGTGAAAGGAGAACTCTAGCAATGTCTATGTCGTGAGTTGGTGTCGCCGTCGTCGCCCTCGACGATGTCAACAGTGGTGAGGACGTCGTCCTTGGCAGCGCAGCCATCACACACCGGATATTTCCGAGTCTGCACGTGTCACGATTGGGCCAACATCCTTAACTGGCAGTTGTGCGGCTTTCTGGGTCCGACCTTGAACAATAGACCGTATTTGCACCAGGATATATCAGCAGATTCTGTACCGACTGCCCATTGAAAACAACGGGATTTGCATGCAAAACCCGTCGATATATCTCGGTGCAAATACGGTCTAATAGGGTCCCTCAAAGCTCGTTTCGTGTCTTCGTATTTTTCCTGTGCACAAAGGGAAAAATCTGAAAAAGGTACCGTTTGGCGGGGGAAACGGGCGAGAATCCTGTTCGACACAGCCACATGACCTTCCTCTGTGTTCAAACCTCTGTTCAGAATAATCGAATTCTCCCTTTTCTCGCGAAAAATCACTCGAAAAGGCCGAATCCCGCGCCAAAAGTTCTGTTCGAAAGAGCCGAATTTTTCCTTTTCGCGAAATTCCGCCAGGTTTGAACGACCCTAATAACGTCCCTTCGCTTCGCATTCTGGCAATGTCACTACGGTCAGAACGGACCACGGTATGGATATCTGCTTCCAAGCCCGCATAGGGCCCGCGCGTTCACATCCTCCTCTGGTTCAGACGCTCGACTTTGAAACCAAGGACCGTTCGGGACTTCTCAAGGGAACCAATTGACGTCTTTCAGTATGCTGGTGCACTGCACAGAGATAGGATGCACACGCATCCACATCTTTATGTCTCGTCGGATCCTGACATTGACCTTACTTGTACACAAGCTCCACAAGAGAACGATGCAAGGCAGAGATCACCAGCAAGTTCAACTATGATTTTGGAACTTCCTTGAGCACGTATCATCCTGGAAGTCTGTGTGCAAGGCTCTGGGATCAGCTACCTCTGCGCATACTTATCGGCGAACAGACGAGGCTTTGCCAGCAATCACGGTTGATGACGGCCTTTCAAACTCGCGTCGACGTCTTACGGTCTCTACACGGCCGCCCCTATTGCTTACTTATCTGACGCGAGCACGGACTTGAAGCAAGCTCGGGATACACCGAATCGGCCGTGAACGTCTGCCTAATGCATCCAGACTCGCGGTGGCCGCAACGAGCAGCGTGAATGGCAGGCGAAGGCGCAGATCAGGCGAGTGGTATGCTATGTTTGGGGACGCTGCGCAGTCGTTGACAAAGCGTACCGCACTTTAGAAGCCTAGCGTTGACTTCAGCCAACCCTTCGAAAGTCGAGTCTGAATGGTCGAGTCGATGATATCTCACCTCAGCATATGCTGGGGCGTGATAGACAGCATAGGCCTCGCTCCGGTCTGTGCAGACCCGTGCGTGTGTTGCCAGATTGAGCACAATGCAGTGGGGCCGCCGCACGTCTCGGGAAGTTCAACTTGCGTGAGTGTTCCCCGCATACGCATCAGCAAAAAGGGCTTGGCATAGGCTTGGCGCAATTGACCATCAACGGAAGCGTCCGGTTCTCATCTCATCCTACGCCGGGCTCTGGCCGGGCTGCATAGGCGGGTTGAGCACTTATCATCACCAGCGCCCGCCTTCGCGAGCGCATGCCCAGCCATACGACGAGCTCCGCTCACCCGAGGCCAGCGAGGTTTGACGACGATGCTTGCACGCGGTCGTGAGCAGGGTGGCAAGGGTATATAAACCCAGCGTCAACGCTGCTCATTCCCCAGCAGTCCAGAGCCTCAGCTCCTGTCCTCCAGTCGACCAGCTACCTCTCGCACCTCCTTCTTCAGTCACCATGTTCGCTCTCACTGCTGCCGCTGCCACCCTCGGCCTTGCGTCCACCGCCGCCGCCGGCCCCTTCCGTCGCTCGCCGACGCTCTCCATTGACGTCTCCGCCCCGGAGAGCGTCAAGTCGCTCAACGACCTCAGCGTCGTTGCGACGGTCACCAACACCGGCAGCGAGGCCGTCAAGGTGCTCAAGGCGGGCTCCGTTCTCGACGACAAGCTCCCGACGCGCTCCTTCTTCGTCAAGAAGGGCGACTCGAAGGTCGACTTCTCGGGTGTGAAGGTCACGCTTGCGATGGACAAGCTCGGCGAGGACAACTACGTGACGATACAGCCCGGCTCGTCCGTGAACGCCACCCACGACTGTAAGCACTATTTGCATCCCGCTTACATCGACCTGAGCTTACGCTATCGCAGTGTCTTCGCTCTACAACTTCGAGGGCGCTGGCGAGGGTGACTTCAGCATCGAGCCCGTGACGTGGTTCCAGGTGCCGGACATCGCCGCGAACAAGGTCAAGTCGATCGGCGACTTCTCCAAGGTCGAGGTGCAGTCCAACAGCGCCAAGGTCTCCATCAGCGGCGACATCGCCCGCCGCGAGCTCAAGCTGAACAAGCGCGCCAAGGACACGTGCGATGACAGCACTAAGAAGGACTTCATCGACTCTGCGTACGTGCTCATGATTTCCATCGTACAATCTTCGTACTGACGAAGCTTCTAGCTACAAGGAGGGCAAGGACCTCGCGAAGATCGCGTCTGACTACGTCAGCTCCAACAGCGACTCGGAGGTCTTCACCGACTACTTCGGCGACAACTCCGCCTCCGACGTCGGCGACGTCTTCGACGCCGTCGCGAACGAGGACGACGACTCGCGCACGCTCAACTGCAGCGACGAGGCGAACGCGTGCGAGCAGGGCGTTATCGCGTACACGATCATCTCGACGACGAACGTCTACTTCTGCGACATCTTCTACGATGAGGTCGAGACGGAGCAGCTCTGCTCGGGCACGACCGTCGACGAGCGCAACATCCGCGGCGGCACCGTCCTCCACGAGCTCACGCACGCCCTGAAGGGCACGGAGGACGTCGGCTACGGCTGCCAGGAGAACCAGCAGCTCTCTGACTCCGAGAAGATCTCGAACGCTGACAACTTCAACGTGAGTATAGGCCCCGTAATTGCGTCGGCGTGTCGCTCACCTTCAATTCCAGTGCTTCTCGACCCAGGTCTACTCTGACACCCAGTGCTAAATGCCTGGGGCTGTCAACGGATATATTTAAGGTTGGGGTTGATGATGATGATACCTACGGTCTTTGTTTATGCCTGCCTCTCGTTGTACTGTGTTGACGTAGAAAGTTGTGTGTTGTACACTGGCGCGACGATGTTATGACAGTATCTATTCTCCGGCGACATGATTGGTCCGAGAGATAGTAACCGAATATCAAGGGCGCGCAGCAATTGAAAAAGGTCAAAAGTGAAGCTAAAGAGTGCTCAAGTCGGAATATGGATATGGAGAGACCTCACTTGCATTAGAAAAGCACTGGAGATTTCAGAAGAATTTGTGTAGGTGTCCAAGAATGGATGAATTGGATGCGGTATGCGAGTTGTGTTTGTATGCTATGCCAGAGTTACATGAATGCGTTGTTTCCCCAAAATCCCTGAAGCTCCTGATCGACTCCCGGCTCAGTTCCAGATCTGGTTGGTGTTACCGTCGGTGCACACCCATGTCTGGACGACGTTGCCGTTGTCGAGAACGCCGCCGGTGAGGTCGAGGCACTGGCCGCGACCCTCGACGGCGATACGGTTGTCGTCGGTGTAGTACCAGGTCTGCTGGGCAAGACCATCGTAGCACTGCCAGAGCTTCATGCCCACACGGTTGCCAACTACGCATCAAGTCAGTATGACAGACGAGAGAACCGAAAATCGAGCACTTACTGTTTTCACCGGCGTCAAGGCAGAAGTTCGTGCCCGCGACTTTGACGGAGGTGGTTCCGCGCGACAGGACCCACTTCTGGTCGCTGGCGCCGTCGCAATCGCTGATGTCGACCGGAGTGCCGTTCGCGACATCGCCCTTCACGTCAAGGCACTTCGCAGTGTTCCCGTTAGGGTGCAATACCTGGCCAGTGGTCGAGGGAGGCGTAGGCGTCGTGGTGTTGCTGGACGACGCGCTCGTCGTCCACTTCTGGTTCGTGTTAGGGGCGCTGCACTCCCATGTCTGGGCAGGCGTGCCGTTGGCGACGACGCCGTCGCGAAGGTCGAGGCACTCCGCGCCACTGCTGACCGAGAAGTGTTGGTCGTCGTTGTTGTATGTCCACTGCTGCTGAGGCAGGTTGTCGTAGCACTGCCAAATCTTCATGGAGACACCGTCGCCGACTGTGATGCCGTTAGTTAGATACCAAGAAATGTAAGAGAGGCCACTCACTGTTAACTCCGGCATCGAGGCACATCTGGGTACCGTCCAGCTGGAAGCGCTGGCGGTCAGGATTGAGAACCCATGCCGGGCTGCTCGCCGTCTTGGTTGAGCAGTCGAAGATGTCGACGGGCGCGCCGTTGCCCGTGCCGGTGGCACCGAGGCAGAAGTTGGTGTTGCCATTGGGGTGAATATAGACGGCTCCGGTCGACATCGGCGTCGACGTCGACTGACGAGGGAGCGGCTTCGCAAGTACGGCCGGGAGAAGGGCGAAAACAGCGATGGAGAACATACTTGATGGGCTTGAAGGGCGTTGGGTGGGTACTTGAGATGTTGAGGTGGATGGAGAAGACCGTGCAGCTCACCGTCTTTTATACCTAATCCATGAGGCTCGACGACTCAGTTCAGCGAGATGTCTCGAAGGTGAAGTGAGTCAACATCCAGTCGCTAGGGCCAAAGCGGTGCATAGACGAGAGTAAGACTTCGAATTATTGCGGATGGCAACCTGAGTCTGAGACTCCAGACTCAGACACGCGAAGCTGTGCAAATTATCAGACAATCAAGTCCATTTCCCAGTTGACCGAAGTCAATGAGGTAATGACTTTAGTGCACTAAACGCTTCGTCTTGCTGTCTGCGTCGTATCGAAGACGAGGTTCATCAGAAATAGACACTGAAGAATGAGTATGCGATAGCGTAGATAAAGCGGCGAAGAGATTACAACCTGGATACACATGATCAACGACAAAAAACTATGCCACCATGTCCTCATCGTCCGTGTCCGATAGCACCTCCTTACTTTTGCTAAAAGGCCGTCAGCACACGAACATACGCAGCGCCAATGAAGAAAACTTACAATTGCTTTCTGCTATGGCCCTTACTACTTGGTGGTGGTGCAGAGGCGGGCGGAGCCTCGTCGTCATCATCGTCCACAACCCGCTGTTTTCGTGTTCGCTAAGGGATATCAGGGAACAGAATAGACGGACAATTTCAAGAGATTCACCTTCTTCGCAGGCTCCTCTCCTTCGCCATCGCTGAACAGCGCTTCGTCTTCAGCTGCATCGTCTTCCTCCTTCATCGGCACGTCACCGTCAGAGTCAGGCGCGGCGTCTCGCCCACCCTTCTTCAATCGGCTCTGTCTCTTCCGCTTCTTTGGCTCAGCGCCCTCCTCCCCAGCGGGCGGTGACTCTGCGCGCTTCGTGGCCCGCCGAGTCTTCTTCGCCGCCTTCTGCTCGCGCTCCTCGTCACTGGCCGCCTGTATGTCGCGACTCCAAGCGTACGCCTCAGCCTGCGCCACTTGCCGCGCTTTCGCGAGCTCCTCCATCTCCCGCTGTCGCCGCTCTTCTGCTTCACGCTAGAGACAAGTCAGTTCATAAAAAGCGAGCACAAGGCCTTATTACTACGCACCATCTCCGCCTCCTTGCGCTCGCGCTTCTCCTGAAGCATCCGCCGCGTGCTCTCATGTTCGGCGTTGATGGTGTTCTCATACTCGCGTTGCTTCTGCAATGCCTCGTCCGCCCTACGTAGCAAGTTGTTGCCGTAGGTATGTCGCTGGTCGGCGATATCGCGAGAATACGGCAACACGGGCGACTCATCGGCGGACAGGGCAGCGTAAAGTCTGCACATAAAGGTTGTCAGCAAGGCATATCGAAGGACGAGCAAGAAGTACATACTTTTGTGCGGTATGCGCACAATCGATGGCCCACTGTAGCGTGTCCAACTCACGTTGGTGTGGTTGGATCTGGGCGTTGAGCAGCAGTTCGGCAGGTTTTTGCGTGATCATGGCGATGTTGTACTGGATGGCCTTGTCGCCGGGGCTGACGTGCAGGGCCTTCTCAGCGTAGGCGAGTGCTTTCTTGATGTGGCTAATCCGCTCAGCCCACTCCTTCTTCATCAGGTTCCTAGGCTCCATGCCGCGCTTCATACGGGTGCCCCGAGTATACCATGCTCGCGCGAGATAGAGCAAAAGGGGTACATGTCGATGACCAAGGTGCTTCAGCGCAGACTCGTACTGGAGGAGCTCCGTAAGGCGGACGAGATTAGTGAGGGGCAGTGGAACTCACCTGGGCAATCGCCTTGTCGAATTCTTCCCGGAAAAAGTGGCTGTGCCCGATGTTGATGTACACGTTGCCGCTGTCCAAGGACTCTCTGATCTTGCCGAACAGGTCCAACGCCTCGCCGTGCTGCTTCCTCCGCGCCAACTCCTCCCTCTGCCGAGCCGCCGGGTTCATCTCCGTCTTCCCCCGGCTCAGCGTATCGAGTGCGTCCTCTGCCGTAGCAATCGCCAATCCCATCGCCGCCACCGCGCACCGCGAGTCGATGTGCAGCGCACGGTCATAGCATTCCACCGCGCGTTGGAAGTTGCGCTTCCTGTCCTCGAGGCCCTTCGACGAGTTGTCCCGGCTCTCGCGCGCCTGGGCATAGTGTGCAGCACCGGCGGCACACAGCGCGTACACGTCGTTCTTATCGTGATCTTTCAGGGTGGCGAAGACAAACTCCTTGGTGATGCGGGGCGGGTGGGTGGTAGAGAGGAAGTAGGTGTAGTAGGCGCGGAGGTTGCCGTGACTGGGTTGGGATTGGAGAGCCTGCTTGAGGAGGTCGTGTGCTTCGTTATGCTTGTTGATACCAATGAGCATGTGTGCTTGGCGGATCTTGGCTGGACGGCGACATGAGCAGGATGTTAACGCCATGGAACAGTCTTTGCTCACCATCGACATACTCTGGATGCAACTCAAGAAGCTTGTCGTATGCCTCCTTCGCCGCCAAGTCATCCCTCGAGTCCTCGTACACCCTTCCCAGGTTGTACAGCATCGTCGCCCCCATCATCTCTCCCTCGGGCCCTAGTTGCAGCGTCTTCGTGATCGCCTGTCGATACAGCACCACCGCTGGCTCGTGCTTCCCCTGCATGTGATGCAGCACCCCCTGGTTATTCATCAATCTCGGGTCTACCGGCCGCTCCTCCACCCCCGCCGCCGGTGTCGTACACACGCGCGCAGCCTGCTCGAGCGCCTCGAGCGTGCGCGGTCGGTTGTCCGCCTGCCACAGCTGCGCAATCTCGATGTACATGTCCGGGTCGCTCGCGACGACGGCAGGTACCCTCCGCGCACCATCGGCAATGAGGCTCGAGATGCGCGTGTAGAGCTCGCGCGCGCGGGCGCGCTCTTTGGCAAGGTCGGAGCTCGAGATACCGGGGCGGTGGTAGGCGCGGAGCGAGGCGAGCATGACGAGGGCCTCGGGTACATCCTTGGCTTCGGGGAGCTTGACGAGGGTATCGAGGGTGTGGATAGCGGCGGGGATCTCGTCGTTGAGCATTTGCATCTGCGCGAGACCGATCGACGCGAGCACGTTCTTTGACTTGACGGCGACCTCGTAGTTCTTCATCGCCATAGCATTGTCACCGTTGCGGTGAGCCACGCGTGCTAGACGTAAGTGCCCTTCATGCAGCATCGATAGCGTGTCTGCAAATTGGATAGTGCGTTCCGCCAGTTTCATAGCCTAAACTTCGTGTTAGGATCGATGATGACGTACTTCCATCGGCCTCACCTTGCCCTTCTCCTTCTTCAGCAGCAAGATCTCCGCGAGTATGTTACTCGCTGCCGCGCTCTTGTTGTTCTTCTTGAACGCTGACGTAATCCTCGCCAATGACGATTCTACCAGGAGAGTCGCGTACTCATCCGTCTCCTCGTCGCTCATTGCTGCGTTGTACTCGTACAAGCCCAACAAGAGGTTGACGGACCAGTCTGTGGGATCGAGTTCGTGACTCCGCTGCCATGCCAGGCGGGCCTTGTCCTTGTAGCCGAGGGACCATAGGCACATGCCAATGCCGATGCGGGGATCAGGCTTGCAGTTCGGGTTGAGCTGTAGGACGTGCTGGAAGAGCTTGAGTGCTTCTCGATGCTTGCGGTGGAGAAGGAGAATCCGAGCCTTACAAGTTGGATGAGAAGGGAAGTATTGCTCAAGAGACAGCGACGCACCTTGCCCATGAGCGCTACGAAGTTCGTAGGCCATTTGGTCAGGACGAAGTCAAAGGACTTGAGCGCGTCGTCGATGGCGCGGGTTGACAATTGCATGATAGCTAGTATTGTGATGAGGAGAGGCGGGCAAAGGTGATGTTGCTTGCCATACCTCGGGTGAGCATGCATGTCTGGCCTGAGAGGTATTCGCTATCCTCCGCGCAGTGGTTCAGATGTTGTGTGGCGGAGCCGTGGTAATCTTCCTTCGTCTTCTCGTGGAGTATGTCCATCTCTACGCTTCATGTCAGTTGGATGCGGTGGGGGATCGACAGGATACACACTCGCGTCCGGTAGGATGACTTTAGGCGCGCTCCTGACGCGTGCTAGTTGAATGTTGGACAATAGAGCGTGTAGGGCAGAGAGCCCGTGGCTCATCCCCTTCGCCGTGAGTACTATGTAAAGTCATTGTAAGCCACTGGGCCAGAGAATGGCCTCGACACGCACCCTCAATACCCGACTCAGCCAGCTGCTCTGCATCATCCAGCCTCCCCAATCGCCAGTACTCCGCTGCAAATTGGGTCCATTGGTACGCCGTTGCCTGGCTGTCCCTCAGTAGGTCCAGCATGTCGGTGAGCTGCGCTTCCTTGAGCTCGTCGCGGTCAATAGAGACGACATCCTGGTCGCTCTGAATGTGTATGTCGATCGGCCAAGGCATGCTGCAGGTTCTCAACGCGCGGCTTTGTGGCTCTCTTGTGCTTCCTGAAGGCTTTCTGTCGAAGGAGAATGCAGTGAAGCAGCAAGGCACTCGACGGCGTCGACGTTGGAAGCAAGAGGCGTTCGCCGCAAATACCTTCCAAATGGAGGTATCGCTCCGTCACTGCCGTTCAACGACGCACGTTTTGCAACGAACACAACAACCACTATTCTGATTCAGCTATAAAGCCTCACAGGTAATGAAGGGAATTCATTCCTTCATGCGGTAGGTAGCTCCACGTAAATAGGTATGTAGCGTCAAAAGTCCTCGAACTGCTAGCAAGTACTGATCTCTCAGTACTCGAGGGTACTGTTCGAACTGTCGATCGTCGTCCCCTCCCATGTTGGCTTGTCGTTCGAGAACTCCAAAGGCACGACGCTCACACCGATCCCATCCGCAATTGCCTGCCCGAGATCGGGGTCGACATGCGCGAAGAGGGACGCTTGCCGCTGCCGGACATACTCGCTCTTCGCGGCACCGAGGTGACCGACGATGTTGCTTAAAAGAGGTTAGTAAAAGCGATGCTTCCCAATCGAGAGAACATACCTGATGAGATTCTCCTTGTCAGTCTGCGAGAGGCTGTCGTAGAAGCGGCGAGGCCAATCGAAGTCGATCTCAGTGACGCGAGACAGTGCAGATACGGCGCCACCCTGCAGATATATATGTTCAGACGAAAACCTTCAAGCACAGAGACGTAGACGAACCGTCCACTGCTGGTGAGTATCGTCCACGTAGGGACGCTTCGCCAGCTTAATCGGGCTCTGCGTCGACATGTAGTTGGGACGGTTGCCTGCACAATCACATGAGTAAGACGACAGAACGACGCCCTCGATGCCTCGACGTACCCTGATTCCCAAGAACGTTCATGGCACCATCCCGCTCGAAGTTGGCTACACACATAAGTCAGCACTACCATTCCCTGGTCAACACACGACCAGTCGCGCTCACCGACACGCGCGAAGGGGCAGTTCACAGGGATTTGCTGGAAGGGAAGCACCGTGTTAACATGGCTTTTGTGGTGAGAATGAGGCAAAACGGTATACCATGTAGTTCACACCAAGACGGTAGCGGTGCGTGTCTGGGAAGCGTTGTGAGAAGCAGTGATGGAGGGAAAGTGCCCATGTACGCACCTGCGTACGAGAACAAGCGGGCCTGCAGCACTGGGTCCGCCGATGGTCCCCAGCCTTCGACCATGCGTGACGGCGAGAAGGCAGCTTGCTCGACCTCGGCGAAGTAGCTAGCAAAGTAAAGTACGTCAGCTTCTGCACGATATCAGAGACAGCAAGATCGCCTCACTTCCTCGGGTTCTGCGTCAAGTAGAACTTGCCAATCTCAGTCCGCGGCACATCGTCGAAGCCCCAGTCCCTGTCGAACTCCGTGAGCCACTGTCCCACCCACCTCACGGACCTTCACTTACTTCGTCAGATCCAGCACATTATACTTGAACTTCTCCGCATCCTCTGGCGTCAGGACCTGCGCATACATCGTCCACCCCGGGTATGTCCCATTCTCAATCGCTTCGTAAAGGTCCTGCGTCGCAAAGTCCGGGTTCTCCCCCTGCACCTTCGTCGCCTCCGCGTTCGTGAAGTTCCGGATGCCCTGCATGCTCTCCGCGTACAGCTTCACATACACCCACGAGCCGTCGTCCTTGATCCAACTGTGGGAAGGAAAAGGATGTCAGAAGCGTATCAACATCGCGCGCAATCCGGAGAGAAGGCGCCAGGGATTCGGAATGCGTGTGGTAGGAGGGATGGCGAGCATGCGAATGGTATGGAGCCAACACGGGAAAATGTCCGCTAGCAGCGATAACTCACCGGTAGGAGTGTCCCGTCCAGCCATTCATGTAGCGGAAGCCGTAGGGCGTACCTGTGCAATGTCAGTTCGGAGCTGGAGGCAGTAAAGCCGACACGACGGACCCAAGTTGGAGAACAAGCGCATAACCTGGAAGAAATGTTAGCATGCAGGCCACAAAAAAACCGTGGGTGCGGTAAATCAGCGTGCGACTTCGAAGCTGCATGCTTGACGGCGGTCATAAAGCACGACGGCGATAGTCGCGAAATCAGCAGCCACCGTGCGATGCAGTGACGAGCGGGCGCGCGAAAAGATGCAGGAAAGGAAACTGTACCTGGTAAAGCGACTCGGGGTTCGAGCCAAGGTAGTCCCAGAACATGCTGCGAAGCAGTCAGATTCACAGGTGGACCCGCCAAGCACGCTGAACGTACTCCTTGTCCTTGAGATGCGTCTGCGGGTTGCGCTTCTGGGTCTACAAGAAACGCATGAGCGTCTCGGTCCGGCGTAGATGCCGACAGGCTTTGCCTACATGAATAAAGTGCGGGAACTTGGCCGCGTCGCGAATGAAGAAGACGGGGGTGTCTGCATATGGGCGCTTAGTATTCTGCGGACACGGTAGTACGGGAAGGGATATGCGTACTGTTCATGACCAGGTCCCAGATGCCCTTGCGCGTGCGGAACCTGGGAGGGGAAAATATGAGGTCAGATGGAAGGTCGGCGAAAGATGGTGGAGCACACGAACTTCATCGCGAAGCCACGGGGGTCGCGCGCCTCATCAGCGGAGCCTTGCTCCCCGCCGACAGTGCTGAAGCGGACGGTGATGGGAGTACGAAGACCATCCTAGCGACACGAGTGAGTCAGATGGGCTCTGGAGATATTCGGTCCCGCCACTGACCTCGCTGAAGACATCCCTATAGACCGGAGTTGTCAGTCAGCACGAAACAGCGCCCGTCGGGGTCAGTGCCGACGCACATCATGGTGTAGTTCCTCGCGAACTCGGCGTTGGTGACTTCAAAGTAGCCGTGCGCTCCCGCTGGGGACGGAGACGATCCCAGTCAGCAAGACGATCTTGGTCAGCAGGCCCGGGGACGTACCGCCCTTGGCGTGTACAACGCGTTCTGGAATGCGTTCGCGGTCGAAGGCCCCGAATAGCTCGGTCAGATGAACATCCTGGAGCAGCAGGGGACCTGGACGCGTTCGATAAGCCTCAGCGAAGGCGCATATGCGCTCAGCCACATACCATCGTCGCCAATCCGCTGATACTCGTAGGGGTGGTAGACCGGCGTGCCACCATCTGTGGTGAACTCCAGGTCAGGCGCATCCATGCTCGCGGTGTCCCGCTGCGTGTCTTGGCCTTGGTTGATGTCGAACGAGAAATCGTCGCGGCGGCGTAGACCCGGTGCATCCTGCCCAGGGAACCACCCCAGGACGGAGCTGGCGAGCGCGATCGGGAGCAAGAGCTTCATCATCGCGCGCGTGTAATGGAGAAGGAGGGAAGGCGCAGAGAAGGGCGTCTTGCGAAGAACCGTGGCCCTTTATATACGCGCCGCACTCCCGCTGCTCGGAAATGCCAAGCGCGCGGCCGAAATACCCATCGGGACGATGTGAAAGAAATGGCGCATGCGTGCCGCCATGCTTCTTGGAGATGGCATGGAGATGTGAGACCCGCAGCCAATGGCACTGCACGCGAATCACATCGGGGGAGAAAGGCGCTTGGGTTCGAGGGCGCGTGCCATTAGGAAGCGTCCACGTGACGTGACGTTGCTGAGAAATAGCTGTTGGACTTCAAGTGATTGGCGCGATATTTGCGCGTGCGTGCAGGCTTTGTCAAGGCAGTACTGTGGTCGGCACAAAGTCGGGCAGCGTAATATGGACATGCTTGTCCTGGAGAAACGTTCAGCACTGCAACTGGAGTCGAGAACGACGGCAGGGACGAACGCACATCCGCACCTTCACGTGTGGCAGGATAAGCAGACACGCCCGATGATCTAAGCAAAAGAGATGTGAACGACAACTGCTCATGCTGTTTTTCACCCTTGTACAATCACCGTGACCTCCCTACACCATTTCATCCGACGCCACACGGACAGGACGTTTGAACATGGCGGTTATTCGGCGTCTCATGTACGACAGAGTTGCGGAGGACTGGCGTTAGCGAAAGGGAGACTGTAAAGAGGCGTGAGAGACGCCGTTCACGGTTCAGCGTCGGATAGATGCTGTCAGTATTGCCCTATTGCAATCACCGCTGATCCCGTCAACAGCGAATGGGATGCTTTCTTCACGCAAGGGGTCGTCGACGGACATAGAGACCGTACTGAGCAGGATCAGTTGACTGAAGATGCATCCCAGCTACGTCGAACCGTCCGAAGGTTTGACCATGAAAGAAGTACGTTGAGGGGCTCGCGGGCGGCGGGGACGTCGGCAGATCGTGGATACATTGGCCATGCTGGTGATACAGTGATGATATACTCGATACAGAGATACATGAACCTGGAGTACACATCGTCAGTTGGAATGGTAAAGCATCGAGCATTCTCATGCGTACCTGCTACCAGACCTAATCCCCACCCTTCTTTTTCTTGTCCTCCACGATCTCGACGTTGTCGGCAGGTATGCCCTTCAGCAAACCGACGCCGTCCTCGATCATTTCGAGAATCTCGTCACTGACGTCTCCCTGCACGACGATTTCGTCCTGGCCTTGCGGATTCTTGGTCACAGAAGCGCCTGTGGCAAACTTCGATGCGAGCTGCTTGGCGACCTTCTTCAAGTCGACACCGAAGGCTTCTAAGCCATTGATGGAGGTTATATGCTTGCGCTTATTGCGTTCGATGCGCTTGATGATGATCTGGTCGCCAATGAAGTTAGTCCGCTGGGAGGTACGATGCTCGTAACGTACCTGCGACGCCATCTTCTTCTTCTCCTCTGCATCTGCCTTAGCTGCAGCCTTCGCCTCCTTCTTGGCCGTATCCTTCTCCAGCTTCGCTTGCGCGTCCAAGCTCAGCGTTCCGATCTTGCTCTGAAGCGCCTCTGCACGTCGATCGTTAGCCTCATCTTTCAAGACTTTGACACCAACACGCACCCTCCGAGTAGTACTTGTCAAACTGATCAGGATGCGCCTCTTTCAACCACTCTTTACATCGTGTCAGGCTGGACCCGAACTCGCAGTACTCGACCGGGAAGGAGCAAACTAGTGATGCAGCGGCGTTGGCGTCGCGGACTTCAGCGCGTCAAGGGGACGGAAAAACCTGCGCAGTACAGCACCTCGACGGGCGGTCGGGGCTCGGGGGCGGGCGCATCGTCGGCGGCGGCGGACTCTTCTGGAGGGGGCGCCGCAGCGGTGTTGTTCTGGTTGTTCTTCCCCTTCCTTGCCATGATGATTGTGGGAGATAAGATATGCGGCGTTACGTAACGCGCGCGGCCATTGTTCTCTGAGAACCAGGTTCGAATCCGGCGGTTTGGGCATTAGGTTGGATTCATAAGGTACGTGAACGGGGCATTACAGGCGGTTAATGTGAGGGATGGTGGTTATGAGGGGTATCATAAATATCTGAAAGTGGCAGAATTTCACGTTCGGAGGCGAGCGCGGTCGGCTTGCCTAGTCGCAAGAAGACCCTCGTCCATCTCCCTTGGCGTCTTCGGTCCAGCCGTGTAGGTACTCGCAGCACTGATGCGTGACATCAGGGACGCGCGAGCCTGCCTCTGGCGCTCGTCCATCGAGCTCTCGTCTGAGGTATAAGACTGAACGCCCGAGTCAATGGACACCCGCGACCCGACCTGGTAAGTATTCGGCCGGACAGCATACGCTTCTGCAGGTGGTGCAAGTGTCCCGGCTGGAGCTGTGGCGCGCACTTGTGCGTTCCCTAGAAAGGGTGATTAGAATGCGGCACATCGCGCCGGACGCAGGATGCTCACCATCGTTGAAAGCGAAGTTGACCTGCTTCGGCGTGCTTGCCTCAGGGTGACGGTTCTCCTGGTACGACCTGGCAGACGTGGGTGTGGGTGGCCCAACAGACGGAGCGCGACCGCGACGGGGCGAGTCCCTGCTGTCCGGGCGACGGCTCTGCCTCAGAGACTGCTCAGAACTCGACGAATTTGACGCTATAAGTCTGCGTGAGTAAATGAAAGAAGACGAGTAGACTTTAAACTAATCACAGGAACGCCGAGACGATGCATTGGAAGCAGTGGAAGATCCATCGCCATGGGGAGCGACTTCATTTGCTATCAGCTCTCGCAGGCGCATGCCACCCCCGGAGCTGTACGTCTGAGCCATGCCTTGAGCTCGCGTAGGCGTCGCAGCCGGAGTCGGCTGCTGCTGAGGCGTGCGCGGTCGCGCATGAGCCACTTGCGCCCCGTTCGTCGGCGAATGCGCCACCCTGCGGTACCCCAGCTTCTTCCCCAGCACGCCGTGCAGATCCTCGAACTCATCGAGGATCAGGTCCTCGGTCTCCTGCAGCCTATAGTCAATCTCGTTCACCAACCGCTCCTCCTGCGCGCTCCGGGCGCGCATACTCGTCGCGCGGGCGTGCATCCGCTCAATCTCGGCCTCCTCCTCGTCGACCTCGCGCGCGCGGCGCAGGCGGATGATCTCGCTGTCGAGGCGCGTATAATTGGACTCGAGACGACTGACGGCGGTGTTGAGGTGCTCGGTGTGCATCTTCTGCGCGGAGAGCGCGCCCTCGACGGTGCGGCTGTTAGCGACGGCCTGGTCGCACTGGCTGGTGATGCGGAGGATGGCAGCCTCCAGGGCCGCCACTCGGTCAGTGAGAATCTTGATCTGGCCCTGCATCTGCGCCTGCGTCGCTGACATGCGGTTCACCCCGTCCGCGTACTCATGCACGACTTCGTTGCTCTTGAGCACGCTCGCGACAAGGGTGGTCGACTTGGTCGACTTGGACGACTCGGTGTGGCGCTTGTCGCAGCTCATATTGACTTGGTTGTTCGGTGGCGAGAAGGGGGACTGTGTGGGCGCTTAACTGTCAGCTGGCGTGCCACACAGCGGAAACTCGCAGACGCACCTGAAGAAGAGTGAAGCTGCGAAGCGAAGCAGAGTTCAGAGGACTGTGGGGGTTATATGGGCCTGGAACAGCTTCCAAGTAGAGTCAGGCAGAAGATCGTAGTGTGGCAGAGCGTTCCCAGCCACCCGCACTTATACCCCCAGCCCCGCACGGTCACAAACAGCATCGGTGTGAGTGTGATGCCTTCCTTGCATGAATGGCGACGACAAAAGCACACAAGACCTGTCAGACTTCGCCGATCATAAACATTCTTTGCGCTCCAGACGTGGGCGCCTTTGTGTGTGTCCATGTCCTGGCCAAAGCGTGAAGAAGAGTGGCAGCGAGAGTTCATTTTCTGGCTTGCATGTTGTTGTTGGGTAGATATTAAGAGTGTTCTGAATGCTGTGATGTACGCCGAGGGTAGATATGAAGTCGCTGCGGAATGCAGGGGCGGTGGACCGACAAAGACAGAGTCAAGCATGGACAAGGCGCGAAACGCGTGGTTCAAATGTGGCCACTCGGCCCGGCGTCCGTCTGTCACGATGCATGCATCCGTGACAGTATATTATCTTCGCTATGCCAAACAACAATGGGGCCACAGGCTTTCAAATAATCGTTTGGCCAGCAGAATATGAGTATGCAATAAATGCAAAGGTGTCATATCTAATCGTCTAAATACCGGTGCTACGTGTAACATCCTGCGAGAGCCTGCTCCTTTTGGATCAAGTACAAGCCATTGTTCATGATCATTCTGTATCGCTGGGGAAATCCGTTTCGTTGAGCTGTTTTCTGCGCATAGATCCAGAGGAAGCCTCTCTCTGTGTATCAAGCCCGCCCTCCCGGTCCTCCAAATGCTCCCGCATGGCCGTAAACGCGGGCAGTAGATATTCGACCTTCTTCCACCTGCGATTCCTGACGTCCCCCTGACTCCGGATCGCACCGTTCTCCAGCTTCGTCGTAACCAGCCTGATGTTGGCGAACAAGATCGAGATGTAGGCCGCTACGACACGCGCACTTGAGATGGACGACCAGTCGACGTGGAGAGTCATCAGTGTTGTCTGCCGCTCGAACGGCGGCGGCGGCGCCTGCTCGAGCGACACGCCCGTCGCGTTCATGTCAAGCCGAAGGGTGTGGAGATCACGCATCCCTCTCGCGAGTGACTCGAGCGCGCGCAGCGGGAGCGTGGGCGTATAGCGGTATCGCACTGAGAATTCTAGGTCGCGCATCTTCGGCCAATGCTTCGCCATGCTCTCCACCGTGACGGGCGTGAGGGTAAACTCCTTGCTGCTGGATATGTTCAACTTGGTCAAATTCTCGAAGCAGTAGAGCGCGTCCATGGCCGAAGCCGCGTTGGCCTCGTGGTTCAGCGCGCTCGCCGTCGCCGCCTGGTCGCGCGTCTCCTTCAGCGTGAGGCTGTGTAGCCTGAGCGGTGCCTTGTGCGCGGCGCGGAGCGCGGGAGTGAGCTTCTCCCAGAGCGCGGGATTAGGGGTGAGGGAAATGATTGTTAGGGTGCGCAGGTGATAGAACGTCGACTGCCGGAACATAGAGATGCAGGTGCCGAACGAGATGGGCACACCGTCGATGCAGAGGGAGACCAGTGACGAGAAGGCGTTGCTGGGTATGCTCACGCCGTTGAACTCGTTTTTGGTGGTGAGGAGGTTGAGTTGTAGGGATTGAAGTGTTTTTGAGCTGGCTAGGCGACCCAGCGCGCGCCAGCTGATATGCGATGTATTGAGTTCCTTGAGGTCCCAGCTGCATATCACGTCGGATACCTGCGCGATACGCTTGGCGTCAAGAGCGGTACCGCCTATCTTGACGTCGAGCTCGATGACTTTTGGACACTGCTGCTGCACGTACTGCAGGCTGGCAAGGTCGCCCGTCGTAAAGCTGTCGGCGGTGATGCGCAGGGAAGTGAGCGCGGGAGAGATGAAGTACCGAAGGGCCAGCGGGTCCAGGCTGTCCATATGCCAGCCCATGGACCGAACATTAGGCAAGACCGAGGACGACGACTGCAACGCCAAGCAGAATGCGGAGTACCCTTCGCGCGTTATCGTACACCTCGGGCTCTGCTTCCCTTTCCCAAGGTTAATCTCCCGCACAAAGGGAGCATAGAAACAAAACCGCGTCAAGTCTTCGGCCACAATTGGGCGCGTCGGAGTCTATGATCACGTGTAAGTGGCATTGTACTGAAAGGACCAACAAGGGGCTCACAAGTTCACGGCCCGTCCAAAGGTCGGCTGGCGTGGTATGCTTAATCATGATCGCCAGTTCTGGACAATTCTTCCAGATGTACCGGATTGCCACAGTCGATATGGATTTGCACGTCCTCGCGAACCGCGCCAAATCCGGGCATTTCTCGCCTTTCGTTTTGGGCGAGAGCGCATCGCAAATCAAGCAGACAATCTCCGGAATAGCCAAGCAGCGATGCATACTGAGGAGAGAAGAGATCCGGGGAGTCTGACCCTAGTGTTTATGGCGGCGTAGTGAAGGGGAAGGACAAGGGGCGATGGTCAAACAGGACAAGGCGTTGGCTTCTTCCGCAGCGGCAACGGCATCGTGGCCCTCACGTGAAAATGACGTAGCGCGTTCGAGGAATGCTGAGTCTGAGGGCAAAACTGAGGGCAAAACTTGTCTATGACCGTGTATCCGCGAAAATTGTAGCTCTAGCAGACAGGTATGTACACACAACCCACGCTTCTAGAGTACATGACGAGCGTCTATAAGTCCAGATATTCTGCCCACTTTTTCTTCTGTACCTGCTCAATATCCAGGTCGTACACCACGTTCTCCCACCGCTGATTCCACTTCTCGTTACGCGACGAGCCCCTCCACGACAGTGACTCCAACTGCGGGAAAAGCATCCGTATGATTTGCGCAACAACGTCCGCCTGGTCGATCGGCGCGACAGAGACGCCCAGATGCTTCAGCGGGTGCACGAAGTCGGGCGTCGGAATGTCCTCCGACAGTATGGGTTCCTCTTCCGCGTTGACGAGCAGCGCCAGGCGCTCGAGCTTCGGGCACCCGATGGCAAGGTGGTGCAGATGGCGCAGGCGGAGATGGACGTCGTGGTACGGCCTCGTCCGCGCGTAGATGTAGAGCGTGCGGAGGTTGGGCCACGCTTTCGCCATGCGCTGGATCCCGCGCTCGGTGAGGTCGATGCCGGCCGCGCCGCACATGACGAGGTGCGTGAGGGACGTGAACCTGAACAGCGGCTTGAGCACCTTCTCGTGAAGGGTGGCCTCGAGAACATCCTGCCATGAACTAGTTGAGCCTTCGAAGATGTCGAGGCGCTCGAGGAGTTCAGCGTGTTCGATGGCGGTGGGTACAGCCATGATGATGTTGACGAATTCTTGCGGTTGCAGCGGGTATGGACGCAATGTGAGGGCGCGCAGATCGGTGAAGGTCGCCTTTGTCAGTAGATCCATGACCGTCGCTATTGGCAGAGGGCAATGCAATATCAACTCCTGGATCGTCCCGAAGGAGTTGGGGGGCAAGCTCCATAGCGGTGCACCGGTCGGCATTGCAGCGCCTAAGCAGAAAAGATCGACGTCGACACACAACTTGCGCAGGTTTTTCCGAGCTGCTAGGAAGGGTATCTTCGCTTCGTTGAGGAATGCGGTTGAGTATGCGACGAGGTCGTATTCGAAGGCGATGTCGAAGAGCTCCTCAGCGCATTCGTAGGCAAATTCGGTCCCTTTCGTCGCGGCATACCGGAAGCGCTGAATTTGGGGACATTGCTGACGGACTTCGCGCATGACGGCGACGTGGTCCTCTTTCAAGCTGTCCGTATAGAAGTGCATGTTCCTGATCGAAGGTGTCAAGAGGTCCTTCATGTAGTCCATGTCGACATAATCAGCATTCCAGGCCAATGAACGCAGGTTGGGGAAGAATGCAGGTCCAGCAGCCTTGAAGAACGACGCGTATCCGCGCGGCGAGAGCTCGACCGACCAGTTCAGGCCGATGTAAAGCGTGTGGATGAAGGGAGCATAGAAGCGTATCCTATCGAGATCTTCAGGTCGTATATTCCGCGCAGGATTGAGCTGCTTGCCACCGTCAGAAGGTCCTTGTGCCCAAGCAGCAATGGTCAACGCACCGTATATTGAACTTCCTCGTTGTCTTTCACGCGAGACCGTTTCCACAGCCCCTTCGGCATGGTGCACACCACGAATATCGCGAGGTGGGTGACTGTGCCCCAGAGAGCATGGTTGGCCGGCGCGTAGATTGCGCGACATGTTCGCGCAAAGCTGGCCACGGAGTTGATATCCTCGCGAGATGCTGGTTTGAGATCATCGTAGTCGAGTATCATCTCGCAGATACAGCTCGTAATCTCGGCGACCTGTAGGCAGGGATGCATAGTGGTGTGGGATGTGGTCGAGGTCAAAGTTCAGAACAAGAAGAAAAGGGAACGCCAAACAAGGCGCCCGGACAAGCGCCGGTTGATCCGTCTGATCCGCCGCGTAGCTCGGCCGGCCACCGAGGCGTATGTTGTGCAACACCTCCATTGTTGTTTTTTCGCCGCAAAACATGACATCCGTGCGTGCAGCTGTCAGTACAACGATCTTCATCTCATACTTCTCCTGCAGATCCTGACCACATGCGGCCAATGTGGTGTATCGACGCTGACCCCTGCAAACAAGTACAATGAAACGTCTTTGGCCTCATTACACGCACTGTCGAAGTCCTTACCAAAATCTATATGGCACACCAACGATCCCGCTCCCCCGGGACTGCGATCCGATATTTCTCGCATCATCGCGGGTGGCGAAAAGGAGGTCGCCAGTATTAAGGCAGCGATCAGCACACTCATCGTCGCACTGAAGGAGCTCTACCAAGCACGCGACACAGTACAAGGCCTTACTCACAAACACAAGTCTCTCGTATCTCCCTTGCGAACTCTTCCCTCCGAGATTCTTTCTGAGATCTTCACGTACGCTGTCGATCGGAGGCCCAGTCGCAGTTCGCGCCTACTGGACCCCACGCAGACGTTACACGTACACAAAGGAGTATGGACTCTCTCACGCGTGTGCTCGCGATGGCGCCGCCTCGTACAGGGCGATGCACGACTATGGACACGCATCGACCTACATGCCAAGTCGCTGGCGCGCGCTCGCGATCCCGTCTCCATCCTCCGAACGTATCTTAGTCATTCGAGGGACAAGTCACTTGTGATAGACTGCTCCTTCTCGTCATATCCAGCCTACATGCCTGCGCCTAATGCGGCTGCGGGCGTCATACGCCTCCTATGGGAGCATGCGTCGCGATGGCGGAAGGCCAGCTACCACTTTGCCGACTGCGACCCACGCGTGTGGGAGGAGATCAAGCACTCGACCTACGATCGTCTTGAGGAGATCCATATACGCTTCGGCCGCTCCGTCCCGCCAGACGCTGCCGTCGCGTTCGACAAAGCGCCGCTCCTCCGCCGCTGCTCGTTCAAGCAGGTTTACTCACTACCGCCCAACCTGAAGTTACCACTACGACAGCTCACGCTCTACCTCGGCCCCTGCCGCATCGGGCAGACGGACGTGCTCCCTTCCCTCACCGACGTGGAGCACCTCCAGCTCACGGACTACAGCTCCGGGCCGGTCGTACATCTGCCGCACTTGCGACACTTATGCGTAAAGAACGCGAGCGTCGTCGACCGGCTGGTGGCGCCCAATCTCGAGGAGCTCTCGGCCTATCATCTGATCAGCGGCATGCAGAGTACCGTGGATATGCTGCGTCGTTCCAAGTGCGACAGCCTCCATGTCCTGCAGACGTCGTTCATCCATTTTCCGCTGCAAGCTATCCTTGAAATTGTCACGTTATCCCCCAAACTTCATGACCTGCGCATCGCTGTGCAGCCCGAGGACGCCACGCAGGCAGACGAATTCTTCCAGCGCATGTTTGCACCAGTTCCAGGAGCAGACGACGAAGAAAAGCCTCCGGACGCATCGCCTCTCGTCACTCTCGCGCCCGAGCTGCGCAGGGTCACTTACGCCTTTTACGGGGACCGATTACAGGCGCCCGAGTCCTTCATTCAGTTCCTGAAGTCTCGCGTATCGCAGGAGCCACGGACCTTAAAGGAGGCAACGTTATTGCTGAGCGACAGGCGGTACCACGAGAAGAATCCTGCACTTCAGCGCAGCATAAAGGAGCTGGCCAAGGCGGGACTGAAGCTGAAGATTATGGACGTGCACCTGGCGTTTATCGGAGATATATAGCGGCGTATGGGGTAGTTCAGAAGGGATTCCATATTCCATATCTGTGAGTAGAGAAGACACCTGCTGTAACATCTCACGGCCAAGAATAGAGCGGCGATCTTTGGTATGCGCTCGATGGCCGCAGCGGACTCGATTGACAGCGGAGATGTGAGTAACAATGGCTTGGTGAGTCCAATTGTTCCGTGTCGGTACTCGTGGCTCGTCGAGCTATTGTTCCAAACTGGTCGACAATAACGTTTGCGCCTCAATCCCACGCTTGCTGAAGCGCTTATAAGGACTTCCCCCCTTGTACGTCTCCACTATCTCATCGTCCATCCCATTGCCACCAACATGTCGCAAACCAGCTCCCCAAAGCAGAAGGACCCCGCCAAGCGCGGGCAATGGAAAGTCGAACTCGAGCAGAGGCTTGTTGGAGTGGAAGTAATAGTGGCCGAAGGCGCGTCTGTTAGCGCCCAGGCCCAGGGCGAGCAGGGGCAGATTCAGCATCGGATCGGCGACTACGAGAAGCGTATCATCGAACTCAGGGATACGCTAGCGAAGACGACAGCGGCGCTGGGCGTCACCACAAACGATCTCCAGTGCACCCGCACCGAGCTCCAGCGCCACACCATCCACATCGACAACCTCCGAAATGGCCTCATCCAGCTCGAGACCCAGCACCAAGTGCTCAAATTGCAGCACGCCTCTCTTGTCCGCCAGCGCGACGAGGCCGAGATTCAGGCGCGGCGCTACCGCCGCCTCTTGGCTGAGTACAAGCAGCTCGTCGAAGACGCGGACCAGTTCCGCCAGGACGTGCGCAGGGAGATGAAGGAAACGGAGGAGCGGTGGCAGCAGAAGATGGCCACGGTCACGCACGAGCTGGGTGCGCTAAAGGCGCAGTCGGATACGCGGGAGCAGGAGACGGCGGCGCTGGCGTGCGAGCGCGATGCACTGAAGCGACAGTTGAGGGAGAAGAGGATGCAGTCAGTTCAGACTCAGACTCAGCCGGAGCCTCCCGCCGTTGCCTCTGCCGCCCTTGACGGGAACGCGACTGCGAGTCAAAGGAGTCCTCCTTTGCAGCAGCCGACGCCTCGTGCGACGCCGAAGAATGTGGCACGGCCATTGAAGGTCGATGGGCCCCCGAAGGCAAGTGCCACAAATGTCAACGGTCATACGGGTGAGCGTCCTCTTCATCCTCTCTGCCACGGACTCATAGAATAATTAGACGCAGTTTTGAGTGCGCAAGACGCAGCGAGGTAGATTTCTTCCCATTTCCATCTAGTCAGAAACTCAACGCCTCCACAGGGGCACCGCGACACAATCTACCACCTTCTCCCAAATGCCCATGTGCAATCCGCCGACCAAATCGCCAGCTCCCGAAGACCCGAGGATCGAAGTCATCAACGATCCTAACGACGAACACGGAAAGAAGAATGCGCCCTCGGGTACGTCTCATATCTTCTCAGCAAACTAACTGCTCATCTTCATTTCTGCATTTCTCACCTTGATAACTCACAGATTTGGACGGCGCTCCGATGCACACAGCTAGCCCCGAAAAGGTGCGTCGCAGGGCGGAGCTGCACCATATCCTCAGCGACGATGGCGCACAAAACGTCCAAAATATATTGAAGGCCTCGCAGAGTCGCGCTCAGGCCTCGGGCACCCCGTCCAAGGCCTCGGGCACTCCGTCCAAGGCCTCGGGTACTCCGTCAATGGCCACGCACCGCAAGGCTTCTCCCAACGCTACAACGATTCCGCCAAAGACTGAGACAGCTCCAGCTCCTGCCATGGACTCAGAGCACGGCGATCCTGTCCATACGCCTGTTGAAGCTTTCGTGGAGCCTGAGGTTACGCCGGCGGTGACGACCATAAACTATGACGGCGACGACGAGCAGTCGCCGGCTCAGGTCCCTGACCCCTCGCCTGCCCACGTTAACGAACCTTCACCTATCCGCGTCAGCGAGCCTTCGCCGGCCCATATTCCGGACGCCGCCTCGACAGCATTCTCATATGCCGACTTGACGCGGTCGCCCGTACCCATGGCTCCTCCGGAGCCACCTGAGGATGATCCATGGACGACGCACATGTATGATTATCATGAGGAGATGAAAGCAGGGGAACGGAAAAAGTGAGGGGATGCGAGGGTTGGGGAAGGTGGTGCGTCGGAGTAGGAGGGGGTCATTGAGATTGGGGTGGTACTCGTCGTGCGTAACCAAAGCGCGCTGACGCTTCCGCAAGTATTGGTGTTATGACATGATTGTGTACTGCATTTATCGTGTACAATATCGTTCTTGCGACGCTTCTAAAAAATCTAGACATAACGACCGGCAATTCCAGTTCAGTAACTATAAAGTGACTATGTGGCAAAAGTAATCCGAATCCAAGGCTGGCTTGCCCACAATGATCCCCTCCCTCGACCTGTCGTCAAGTACTCCACGCTGACTACAGACTCGCGGACAGTTTATGCGACAACTGGCATGCTCAGAGTTTCTGTACGCCATACCATATCTTCGAAAGATAGGCGACATGATATGCAAGCAGGTGCTTCACCCGCCACCACTCCGGACTTTGCAACGGAGGCGGTATCTGCCTCACTGGATATCACAATCAAAAGTCAATTTCGCGTACGAAGCAAGAGCATGTGACTCAGCGCACCTAGGTCGTTGTACCCCTTCCAACAATCCATGACTCTTGAGTCATGGTCCAAGACCGCAGATGCCAGCGAGGATCCTGAGGAATGATAAGCCTGGTGCGGATAGGAATTTGGTGCTAATGTAGACTCACTTTGGAGTTTAAGACCCTCGACTACGGTGCTTTCCGCGCCTTTGGGGAGGTCGCGGTGGCAAGGGTACATCTCCACCGTGGCCCAGAAGTCGAGCTTCGTTTGCTTCATAACGACACGCGTGTCGTGCGATCCTGTGATATGGCGTTAATTAGCTTCGGCCCCCCGGAGAGCGGTTGGGACGAGCGCACGAACCCGGAACGTAGCTGAGGAAGTCGTAGCGCTCCTGGCGCTCCCAAGCTAGTATGATTCGAGGGACGCCGTTGTTCACCAGAACATCGCAGCCTTCCAGGTGCTTGATGTGGTCAGGTAGATCGGGCTGCCAGCGCCTGATGCCGTCCTGCGCCGCTTGCATCGCGATGCGCACTCGGACCCGGAGGTTGACGTCGTTGATGATGTCCGAGGTGATGATGTGCCGGTGGGGCTCGTAGTAGTAGATTTTCTTGGTCCCAGGGTGCTTATAGACATTCCAGGAATCGCAGCCGAATCCCGGGGTATCATGCGATATTGTAGGGGCAGACGACTTTGGCGCGGTCGGGAGGGGGTGGCCCGGGAGACCGATGTTCGGGTACTGCGAGTAGGGCATGGTCGTGGTATAATGTGGAGGTCGAGATCAATACGAGCCAAGTCGTATTATATAGCAGTGGCTTGCATGGTCACAAACATAGCCATGACCATGGACGACAACAAAGAACACAAACGCTGACAGCATAAGTAGGGGTTTGCCAGACTTTGCACGGTCTCCGGAACGTCCTCCTCTGCGTCATTTTAAGTCCAAGGACGTGTATAGAATCTGGAAATTTGTGTTGCTGGCTCTCTCGCCGGTTCCACGAGTTCAGCATGTGTGATAGGAAAAGACGAACATGAACACGTGATCGCGGCACCGATCATTTGATGGCGGTTTGCCGCCCGGCCCGACGCCACCTTTGTCGACTTCCCCTCGTCTTCGAAAGAATCTGTCAAAAGCTTGACATGCACCGCTGCTTCCACATCCCCGAAGTTCTGACCCTGATTTGCGAAGCATGCCGTGAACCAACTGGTGACAACGACTCGACCTGGGTGACGAGCGAGAACACTCAGTCGCTGGCAGCGCTGGCGAGGACATGCAAGGAGGTGTACGCAACCGCGATTCGCTGTCTTTGGCAGGACGTCACTGACATTGCAATCATTGCCGAGTATACGATGCCTGGGTGCTGGATGCTGGACTTGGTGGACGATGAGAGCAATATACCTTTGCTGGTGCGTCTTACTCACCCGGTAGCGATGATTCGTCTGACCTCACAACTGTAGACTCCAGCGCGCCACATAGTCGAAGCAGACCTTACAAGGTTCAAATTCTATGCCCCTTTCATACGCAAGATGACCTTCGGGGGAAGTGACTGGCCGAAGGGACTCTCGGAGGATGGTTACTTGGCACTCACCATGACGCTCAACGCCCCCATCTTTCCAAACCTCACCCACATCTCCTGGGATACCGCTGGAATATCACTCAGCTACATTCAGTACTTTGCATCTCCCTCACTCGTCTCCTTGCATATTGCGGGCGATTCTCTCAGCTTCGGCGACCTGCACGTCCTGCGCTGCATCCGTCAGCGCTGTCGCAACGTCTCGGAGCTCGACATAGGGTGCAGTTATATCCTCACGCGGAGTGAACAGCACATGGTCGCAAGCTTTGCCGATACCATCTCTACATGGAGTCTTCACTCGCTGAAGACGCCCTTCATGAGCCTGAATCTCATGCGCCAGCTCGCCGTTGACCCAACCCTTCGCACGCTGCACATCACCAATCAGACGCCATGGCCGGGCACTTCCATGTATCATCCGCTCGAAAGCCTGGTACTGCCCGCCCAAGCCTTCTCCGCTCTGACGTCGCTCGTCATAGGCGCGGACATTCGCGCAGACCGTCTTCTCACGATGCTCGAGTCCTGCTCGTTCGGCTGCCTGCACACCCTCGAAATCTACCAAATCTTGCCTCGAGTGACGTGGCGAAGCATCCTCGCCGCGGTGCGCGGTGCGCACTCCGCACCTTCTACCTTCCGCCGGCTGCGACTGAAGGAGGCTGCCTCTCCGGGGCAACCTAGACCCCCACCCACACAGGGTGCGGCCCTCGAGCCCCTCTACGGCTTTTCCGCGCTCGAGGAGCTGCACCTCGACTTCGAGGGCGCCCTCCACCTCGGCGAGGACGACGTGTCGCGTATGGCGCAGTCATGGCCCCAGCTGCGGCTGCTGCTGCTCCCCGCGCGGGCCCCGCCCCAGGAGCGCCCCCCGCTCCACGCGCTCCGGCACCTCGCCGCGCGCTGCCCGCGGCTGCGCACCCTCGGCCTCGAGGTCGACGCATCGGACGTCTCGCTCGTACATGCGCCGACGGACGTGCGACAGACCGCGCTCGCAAGCTGGTACGTCTACGCGTCGCCGGTAGGCCCCGCGGGGCCTGTGGGCGCGTACCTGTCCGCCGTGTTTCCCGAGCTCGAGAAGATTGCGTCGGCGGGGCAGGTTGCGGACGGCGACCTTGAGGAAGAGGCGCCGGAGAATCCGACGTGGCGCAAGGTGCAAGTACTTGTCAAAGCGTTCGGGGCAATACGCGCGCATGAGTCCCTCTGCACAGCTAAAGGGCGGGTCATCCGCGCCGGGCATATCATGGAGTTGGATGGGATAGACTTCTAGATACCGAACTGGATCAAGCTAACTTATAACCATATATATGCCAACTACACATGTGCGGGCTTTCCAAAGAGGTTCAATAAAGGGACGCGGTCGTCCAAGAGCGAAAGAAACAAATAAAGATACGATACACCAAGAGCCACGTACAAATACAGTTGAAGACCCGCCACAGTCATCCACCATGACCACGGGTCCTCCATCCATCCATCGTCAAGACCACATATGCATCCACTGCTAGCATGTCATGCATCCACCGCCATATCATCCCAATCATCATCATCGTCCGGCTGCTCGACCAGCCCGCCCCGCATCATCACCTCCGCCAGCGTGTACGGCCTCTCCACCCCCGGGCCCCTATCGTACTCCTCCATCGGGATATTCATCTCCTTCTCCTCACCATCCATCCCCCGCTCGTACAGCTCGTCCAGGATCGCGTCCTCGTCCGCGTCCTCCACGCGCATCGGGCCCGCGGCCAACCCGTTCCTCCTTTCCAGCCCGTCGAGGCCCGCCCCCATCCCTGAACCAACTCCCAGCGCGCCGTTCCTTCTGTCGACCCCGTCATATTCTCTTCCGCCATACCCGCTATGCGGCGCGAACACGGCGCCGTCGGGCAGCACCACCCGCGCGCCGACCGCGTCCCAGTGCGCGCCGCTCTGGAAGAAGCGTCGGTGGGATGTCTTCGCGGGCGCGCCGCAGGCGAAGTGCGAGTAGGCGGGGTCGTGGGAGGGGACGGTGAAGTAGGCGGGGTCGGCGTCGGCGCGGTTGGAAGCATCGTGGTAGCGGTTGGTGAGGATAGACATGCGCTTTTTGGGGGAAGCGCGAGGCATACGAGACGGGGTTTGACGAGAGGAAAGGGGTGCGGAGGAATCGGAGTCGGAGTCAGAGCTGGAGGTGGAGGAAGTGGGGGATGGCGGGGCGGAGGAGGCGTGGTGGAGGTTGTAGACGTAGCGCATGTGTTCTGGGGAGAAGTTAGCACAAGGTTGGATGTGGGTAGAGAGAGATACGCACGAGCAAGCTGCCTGTCGAGGTCGTCGCGCTCGTCGTCATCGTCTTCATCATCCACTGCTAGTCTCAAATGCTTCCCAACCGACTCCCTCGGCACATCATGCATCTGCACGCTCGGCGCTGGCGCCAGCTCCGCCAGATGTTGCAGCGCCTTTTCCCTCACCCGATTCAACGAGTTATCCTTCAAATTCATATCCTCCATGTTGCTCGACACGACTTCCAGCCGATAGCGCGGCCCGAACCACTCGAAGTACTCGTTCCACGGCATGTGCGGGTCGATGGTGTCCTCGATGCCGAGCGCGCACGCGGTCTCGTACGTCCAGGTGCGCGCGACATTCTTCACCGTGTACCCGCCGCCACCGAGCATGATCAAGGGTAGGTTCTGCTTGCGGAAGAACTGCACGCAGCGCGCGTGGCCCTCCATGCTCAGGTTGAAGCACCCAAGCTTGTCCCCCGAGAGCGAGTCGGACCCGCACTGCAGTATGACGACCGAGGGCCTGAATACTTCGAGCACGCGCGTGACGACAGGCTCGAAGATGCTCTGATACGAGTCGTCCGTGATGCCGTCCTTGAGCGGAACGTTCACCGCGTAGCCCTTGCCCTTCCCGTGCCCCCGATCGTCCTGCGTACCCGTGCCGGGGAAGTACTCGCCGAACTTGTGGAAGGAGCACGTCATGACGCGGTCCGTGGTGTAGAAGGCCTCTTCCACACCATCGCCGTGGTGGCAGTCGATGTCGACGTAGAGGACGCGTGGGTGGGTGCGGAGGAGGTCGAGGATGCAGAGGACGATGTCGTTGATGTAGCAGAAGCCGGAGGCCTCGCGCTTCTTGGCGTGGTGCAGGCCGCCGGACCAGTTGATGCAGATGTCGCTCGCGCCGGAGGAGATGCGCTCGGCGGCAGCTGGGGGGAATGTGAGTGAGTGATCGGGGGACCCTGGCTTGAGGCGCACCGAGTGAACCTCCGGCTGATATGGAGCAGAACTCGAAGACGCCTTCAAAGGCGGGGTTGTCATCGCCCACCAGGACTAATCGACACGTCAGTGAAAGTAGATGAGCAGACACGGCCACGCACATCTCGTCCCCTGGTATGTCAAATCCTCCGCCGTCTCGGGCGTGACCCTGTTCAGAAAGTCGACGTATTCATCGGTATGGAAGCGCGTCATGTCCTCTGTAGACGCGCGTTTGGCGCGCTACGAGTCGCTTAGTGAGTGATTTCCCAAGGAAGTGCAAGACTTACCAAGATGTGCATCTTATCCAACATTCCGTACGCGGAGACAAGCTCATGTGTAACCCGCATTCGATGAGGCTTCATCGGATGCCCCAGCCCATATGTATACGACCCCACATCCGCTGTTTCGAGGCCGTAAAGGTCAGTCTCCCGGTCATTGACCGTTGCAGCCTTGACATACGATCATAGTAGTACGAGATTCGCTTGTTCGCAGTCATTGGGCTCGTCGGCGATGAGGACAAACTTCGCAACCGGGCCTTAGACTGTCTTCGCAGTCCTTGTTTACCCCTGTGTATCGCAGGGAGGAGAGAGTGCGTAGGATATACGATGGGACTTTGGGTTTGGAAAAGTACAAGGACAAGAACAAGGAGTACCATATGGGGATGTGTTACACGTGGTCAAACCATTGAATCTAATTCCCAGCTCAGATTCGCAACTTGGGCTGGCTCTCTCTTTCATGTTTCTTGCAGAATGCGTCCTCTGCGACGCGGTAAAAAGTACTGGAAGACGAACAGTATGCATTCAATTGCCCCTCAACCTGCATGAAGCTCTCAAAGACCGGATGTGCGCGCCTAATATCGATGCAAAATCCTACCCTTTTCCTCCCTTGTTCTCCGTCCGGCGCTCCCTATCCCGTCCTCCGTGACAACGGCGAACAGGCGCCCTGGAGAGCACCGTTATCGTCCGCCTCCGGCCCCTCTGTGTCCATGTCTCGGCGCGGCAGGAGTCATATCTCCCTTATCAAACCCGGGCAGTATAGATAGCCTCCGCCCATCCGCATGCAAATTTGCATGCGCGAGGGTCGAGAATTGGCGCCCAAGCGGAGCTTCATAAAGGACGGCTGATAGCATCGGCGCCTGCTCGCACTTGCCCTCTCCCACCATGTCGGTCGGTTCTGTGACGAAGGAGCAGCCCAGCGAGACCGCTTCACCCTCGCTCTCCGGGCGGCGCGGAGTGAGAGAGCGGGCGCAGAACGTCAAGCGCAAGCTGACGACGCGCGATGGATGGGTGGGAGACTACAACTACAGCTGGTATGTGTCCCCCAGTGTGCTGAAGGTTCGTAACTTACCCATCGCACAGGCTATGCATGCCCAGTCTCCCTTTCATGAGGACGAAGCGGCGGGCACCCCCCTTTTACTCCCTTGACGAGGAACTGCCCCTTGTGCTTGCCATAGCCAGTGGTTTCCAGCACTCGCTTGCCATGCTTGCGGGCCTCATCACCCCGCCCATCATCTTCGCGAGCTCACTAAACCTCGACTCCGAGATGTCCGCGTACATGATCTCTGCAAGCTTGATCGCCTCAGGTGCGCTTTACCCTTCCCCCTTCCCCGCACATACCCTGATGATCCATCTCAGGCATCCTAAGTTTGGTGCAGATGTCCCGCATACGCCTATGGCGCAACTACTACCTCGGCACTGGCCTCATCACCGTCGTCGGCACCAGCTTCGCCACGCTTAGCACCGCGAGCTCGATCTTCAATGCCATGTACCGCGATGGGACCTGCCCCTCGACGACCGCCGCGGATGGCACCGTTACGCAAGGCCCGTGCCCCGACGCGTACGGCATGCTTCTCGGCACGTCCCTCATCTGCGCGTTCCTTGAGATCTTCATGTCCTTCATCCCCGTCCGCATCCTCCGCCGCATCTTCCCACCCATCGTCACCGGCACCGTCGTCCTCCTCATCGGCATGCACCTTATCGGCGACTCGGGCATCCTCAACTGGGGTGGCGGCTCAAATGACTGCTCGTCTGCGAACCCGCCTGCGTACTTTGCCTTGTGCCCGAACATCGCTGCGCCGCGCCCGCTGCCATGGGGCTCGCCCGAATTCATTGGGCTGGGCTTCTTGTCCTTCATGACTATCCTACTCTGCGAGTTCGTCGGCTCGCCCTTCATGAAGAACATCAGCATCATCATGGGGCTCGCCGTGGGATGCATCGTCGCCGGCGCGACGGGCTACATTGACGGCAGCTCTATCAAGACCGCCCCTGCGATCACGTTCCTGTGGTCAGTGGCGCGCCTTCCTTGACTCTAGCGCTCCCGCGACTGACATCCCGATAAGGGTACACACATTCAAGATTGATGTCTACCCGCCGGCGATATTGCCCATGCTCGCGGTGTACAGTATGTTAGTTACCTCGATTTCTCCTTTCCAACTAAGCCCTTTGCAGTCTCGCTCGCGATGGAGGCTATCGGCGACATCACCGCCTCCGCCGAAGTGTCCAGGCAAGCCGTCGACGGCGAGGAATTCGATAGTCGCATCCAGGGTGGTGTGCTCGTACGTCCTTTTCCCCTCCCCTTCCTCCGTCTCATCTTAACCCTTTCCCAGAGCGACGGCCTCGGCGGCTTCTTCTCCGCGCTCTTCACCGTCACCCCGCTCTCCGTCTTCGCGCAGAACAACGGCGTCATCGCGATCACCCGCTGCGCCAACCGCACCGCCGGCCGCTGGTGCTGCGCCTTCCTCATCCTCTTCGGTGTCCTCGGCAAAATTTCCGGCGTCTTCCTCGCCATCCCCAACCCCGTCATCGGCGGCGTGACGACGTTCTTGTTCGCCAGCGTGTGCGTGTCCGGCCTGCGCGTGCTCGCAATGACGCAGTACTCGAGAAGGGACCGGTTCGTTCTCGCGGCGGCGATGAGCTTTGGGATTGGGTATATTCTGGCGCCGGAGATCTTCACGCACCTGTTTGACGGGGTGGACAATCCGAGCTCGGGGCTGCAGGGGTTGTTCGACTCGATTACGATTGTGCTGAGCACGCCTTGTGAGTCTCTTAATTTTTACCAGGCGGTCGAACGTTTGCTGATGAATGAACAGTCCTTTCGGCAGGCCTGATCGCCGTCGTGTTGAATCTGCTGCTGCCAGAAGAGGACGAGGACGACGAGGATGATATACACCCGACGAATGTCATCGACGTTGAAGCTCAAAACGTCAAGGAGCTCGAGGCGGAGAAGTAGCTTGCTCTATTACCATGATCATGATGTGTATGCCTAGATAATGCCACTTGGATATATGGTGTGGAAGAGCACATTATTGTACGACTGTATTGTATAAACGGACCAGATAAGTACTCTAGCGAAGGGAAATGTCGACGAACGCCTGGTAGTCGATGGATGCACTTCAGCAACCATTGAAAGTGTCCACCACCCCCTTCAATCCTCCGCCCCATCATCATCGCACACCCGTTTCCACCTCCCCCCCTCCGGATCCAGCACATAATCCCTAACCGCATTGAACGCCGGAAGCAAGTGCGCCACCTTCTGCCACCTGGGTTCCGGCACTGTGCTCAGCGCAACCTCGTCCCTGCACACGGAGAGCAAGGTCCTGATATCGAGGAAGAGCATCGAGAGGTAGGCTGCCACGGGTCGCGCGCTTCTGATTGGGGACCAGTTCAGCTGGAGGGTGTGCAGGGCGGTCTGGGGGCGGGGTCGGGGTTTGGGTGCGCTGTGTGGATTGGGTGCGTCCTGGGTTTGCGATGCACCCTGTGGACTGGGTGCGCCATGTGAGGTGTCTTCGCCCTGTGGCGCGGTCGGCAGGGGCCCGTCGTGCGGGACACAATTGCCCGTCGCATCCACGTCGATCTCGAGAATCTCGAGGCGCGCGCAGTGAATGGCAAGGTGCGCGAGCGCGCTCAGCGGCAATTGCGGCTCGTCTAGGCAGTCGCGGTGCACAATACGCAGCTCGCGCAACTCTGGCCACGCCTGCGCCATGCCCTGTATAATATTCGTGCTGAGCCGGAATCCCTCCTGCGCGTTCAAGTGCACCTCCTCCAAGTTTGAGAACTCGCAGAGCGGCGCGAAGCGCGACTCGCTCGCGTCCTCGGGCTCCGGGCCCTTGGGCGCGAGGTCAGAGTCGAGGATGTGATCCTTCAGAATGAGCCGGCGCAGCAGGTGCGGGCGGGTGTGCGCGGCGCGAATCGCGGTGAACAAAGCACCCCACAGCGCGGGCTCGGGCGTGAGGCCAAAGAGCGCGAGCGTGCGCAGGTGCGCGAAGGACGCGCTTCGGAGCATGTCGATGCAAGCGGCGAACGAGATGGGCAGCCCGAGCGCGAAGGAAGTGAGTGTTGCGAAGGATCTGGGGGTAAAGTCGACGGGCTGCGATATGTGGCATTGGTCCTCGTCGTTGGAGGCCTCCAGTTCCTCGAGGTTGGGGGAGCTAGCGAGACGAGCGAGGCCTTTCTGGGATAGGTGTGTGGTCTTGAGCGCGCGCAGGTCCCAGCCGCAGATGGTCTCCGAGAGCACGTTCGCAAGTGCGTCCGACGCATCATCCATCTGGACCCGAAGCTGCGTGACCGCGGGGCACTGCCGTTGGATGTTACGCAGGATAGCCACGTCGCCCATCGTCAGCGGCGCCTCCGCCAGGATGTGCATGCTCGTGATGGACGGGCATACAAAATGTTGGCTGAAGACGAGGCCCACGCAGTCCACGCTCCAGCCCATGTGAGTCAGGTTGGGAAAGACCGGTGCGCGACAGGCGGCAATCAGCGCGGTGTGGCCATCATCGCAGAGCGCGAAGTCGCCACCCCAGCCGAAGTTCATTCGCCGAACGAGGGGTGCGTAGAGGTTGAACCGCTTGAGGTCCTCTTCGACTATGGGTCGCGTGGGGGTCTACATGGGGTCTTAGCCGGCTTGAAACAACAAACAAGTAAGTCATTACCAGCTCATCGCTTTCTGAGTCGGAGTCAGAGTCTTCTGAGGAGGGCTCCGATTTGGTTATGACCCAGAGGTCGTCTGGCATCGTGTACTTCGCTATCACTGCCGGGCTGTGCACGGTCTTCCAGAGACTGCGGAGGGCCGTGTGCGACATAGAAGTGCAGGTCCTGGAGAGACAAGCTAGTGCGCGTCGACTGTCCGAGTCGTACAAAGGAACATTATTACTAGACTCGTCAATGGCAACAGAAAGGCTGTCACAAATCATCGACAGGATTTCCGGTATGACGAGGCAGCGATGCATCTTGAAGAGTAGTAGGGGGCGCTGTGGGGAGGGTATCCGCCACCTTGGTCGGGAAGAGTCCGCGAGTACAAGGACAAGGAGCGTTGAGTGCAAAGGCCTTTGTTGGGTCAAACGCGCCCAACACGTCACAGTCATGTGTGACAACCTCTTCATCACGAGCCATCATGCAACATGGACCACTCGGGTGTGCGCTACAAGACTTTCCGTGTATCAGTATTCACAACTCCCAGCGCAAATTCACATGCAGAAGGACCGTGATCCAAGGCCTAAACCCAGCGGCCAAATTTTTGAAACGCGTTAAGGTGGCAAACGCTATGACCACATCGAACAGGCAGTTCTCCCATTCAAGCTGTGCAGGCCCTTTGGCTGCACTCGAATATGCATTGTGGCAATGTCTCAGCTGATTATGACTGTGATATGAACTGCACTGATACTATCTACGGTCCCAGGAGACTGATCTGAGCCGCCAACCGCTGCGCTGCGTTCATTATACAGGCGCGGAGCATACGAGTTGGCCTTTGTGTTCTCCATTCCGGAAATCGTACTTTGTTGGTATGCCTCCGTTCCTGAAATCATTCATGGCCATTGCCACCTATATAAACCGCCTATACGCGTCGACCGCGCCCACCGTTCGCTCTCTTCCTTTCACCCACCCTCACTCCCATCGCCCCCACCTACCATGGACGCCCCCGTCCTAGAAATCCTCTCCTACACCACCCGCACGTACGGCCCCGACCACTGGGAGGCCCACCGGAACCCCATGACGGACGACGTCTACTACTACGACCGCGAGCACCGCATCCTCACCACGGACGACATCCGCGACGACGCCACCCGCTACGAGGTCCGCCTCGCCCGCCACATGGCCGAGCGCGACCTCCTCTCCCGCCAGCCACCCTTTCGCATCGCGCACGACCCCGAGTGGGACGTCGTCGTACTCGAGGGCAAGCCCCGCGTGCTGCTCTCGTGGGCGCAGGCGGAGCGCTGGGATTTTCTACCCGAGAACGAGCCCGCGCGGCTGTGGCAGGTCGTCAGGCAGATGTCGATCGTCGACTTTTGGACGATTGTGGCGCGGTTCCCTTTCCACCGTGATCTGCCTGATAATGCTGAAGTGACGCTCGCAAATGGGGTCGCACAGGGTGAGTTTCCAGCTCTATAGGTCATCAGACGCTTTGCTCACAACCATCACAGGGTGGCACCAAGCCAAGAAGGTCCTGCAGAACACCGAGAACGCTGGTCTCTACCAGCACTACAGCGCGATTTGTCGTGAGTCTTATCCCCCATACCCATCCCATACCTACTACGACAGCGTTGACTGACGCACTTTTTCAGAATCCCCCGACTACGCCCCCAACACCCCCGAGTGGGTGCAGAAGAAGAACATCAAGGCGTACTGTGTGTCGAAGCTCATGATCGACTGGGTTCGTAATCGCCAGACTGCTGGGCTGTGATGTGCACCGCTGGTCTGTAGAGCGCAGAGCGCAACGTCGACCCGTAGCGTGTGAAGCACGATCGTTGTGTGCAACGTAGACTTAGTGTAAGCGGCGTGGCTTGATTAGCGCAAGCCCAATGAAGGTAAGTGCCCAGTCTAAAAGTAGAATTCTTTCTCCAGCACTGTAACGAACGTCATGAATAACCTATGCTTTCCTCCAACCTGCTTTCCTTTATGAGTCCAAAAGAAGATAATCCGTGCTGGGCAGCACCAGGCACGAGCCCTCGTCACCACCCCCCCCCCCCCGTCACCCCCTCGTCTTCACCCCCTCGTCTTCAACTCCCTCATTGCCGCCCAAAAATCCACCCCAGCTGGTCCACCTCATCCCCGTCCTGGCCATACGCGCCCACGATCCCAAAGCCCTCCGGCGCGCTCACGCTCGTGCACTCGTCCGTCGTCTTGCCCGCCTCGACGGTCTGCCCGCCGCTCGTGGTCAATTTGGCATAGAAGATGCGCGTGTGGTCGTTGTATTTGGCCTGGCAGAGGGTAGCAGAAGTGAGGGTTTCGCCTGCGGTGGGGGTTAGTGGTTTATTTGAAGGGTGAACTCTGTTAGAGGAGGGTGACTCGTTCAAGTTGAAGGAAAGGGCAAGTACATGAGGGTGAACGCGTCGGCCGAGATGCGACTTACCTGAGGAAAGAGAGATAGTGGACGCGTCGCCCCCGGATCCCCCATGCGCAAGGGTGGCGCCAGAGGAGAGGGTGAAGGAGAGGGCGTCGAGCCGGTTGCCGCCGCGGAGGGTGACGGAGGCGACTTTGGGGGAGCCGGGGAGCGAGGGGACGTCGTTGAAGTAGGTGCTGTGGGGTGGTGGTGAGTGATGGTTGGTTAGAGGAGGACCACCCATGTCAATCATAGACGCAGTCAGTTTGAGAGGAACGTACCCATGCGGGCCGCCGAAAAGGTCGCTCTGGCGAAGATTGTCGGCCAGCGTCCACGAGAACTCGACGCGGACCGGGTTGTGATCCGTGAGCAGAGTGCCGTTCTCGGAGAGGAATCGGTCCGTGTCGTAGAAAAAGTCCGTGGACTGCAAGTCGAGGAGCTTCGAGCCGCGGAAGCTAGATGGAAAGGCGTTAGTCTGCTATAGGCACGATGTATCCGCAGGATTCGAAGCATGTTTGCAGAAATCGAGGCGTGTTTGCAGAAATCGAGGCGTGTTTGCAGAAATCGGGCTACGCACAACACCTTATCCACGGTCTCGCACGAGATATTCGCAGGGACGCCATCGGGGCAGAGCAGGGCGTCCGCACCCCCTTCCGGCGGCGAACCGCCGCGCGCGTGCTTGACCCAGGCGTCGGTCATTCCCTCGTCGGCGACGAGGTCGCGGATGCCGGTGTCAACGGCGCGCGTGTAGCGCGAGTTCGTGTCGCCGAAGACGAGGACGGCGTTCCCGGCCGAGTTGGCGGCGATGAAGTCGCGGACCTGGGTGGGGGAAGCGGTCAGGCTCTGGTCGTACGAACGCAATAAAGACTGGTCGACGCGAACCTGGTCCAAGTTCGCTGACCGCGCTACATTATCCTCGTCCTCCGTCCCCGCATCCGCGTGGAGGTTGATCGCGTCGATGTACACGCCCTCGTCGACGCGCCAGCGCATGAAAGTGAAGCCCTTGGGCGTGAGGCAGTCCGACTCTGACGCGTCCGAGCAGGTCGCCCACTTTGTGCGGGAGAAGTCGACCCAGTCGGAGTTGGAGAGCGTGTTGAGGCCGCTGCCGAACGGGACTGGGGATGATTAGCCGGAATGATGAGCAGAGGTACAGGGAAGCACTAACCTCCGCCGCTGGTGGCAGTACGATATGGGTGAGTATCGGCCGCGTAGAGAGCGGCGTGGTAGTTGAAGTCCTTCATGAGGTTGAATGCCTCATGCGTGGTTCGCCAAGGTGAGAAACTTACCTCCTGAACATGTATAAGATCGTAGCCAATCTTCGCCATATTCTGATGCAGATCGTCAGCCAATCGAACTCACAGCGGGATAGTCGGCGTGAGGGACATACCTGGCCGATGAGATTCGTGTTCGTCGTCTTGTCACCCTCCTCCCCATTCCCATTCAGAATCGCGGGCAAGCCGGCGACGTTCATAGACAGGATATTGAACGTCCCCGAGGCCGCGGAAGCCGCGACCACGGAGCGCACTAACGAAATCGCCAGAAGAACGGTGCTTGCAGACCACATATCGGCGCGGGTAGTAACGAATGTGAACGAAGGAGCGATGCTGCTTCGACGTGCTCGCTACAGATCTTCCTCATCTTATAGCGTCCTCCTCGGTCACACGATTCTGCCTTGAGTCTTCTGGGACGCATGCCGTCGCGAGGTACACGTAGCACGTGCGCGACGCTGCACGTTCTGCAGTGCTTCGGGCTCCCATGCCCAGCTTGTCATCTTCTTCCGGGCATTGTTTTCGGATGGTCAAGGCACTGTCCTGGTGGCCTTTGCTCGTTGTCCCCTTTATCGAGCGCTGATAACGGTCTGCACATGCCTTTGGTCCCATTCATCCTCATGCTTGAGCGGATGGTCCCAAAAGCGTGGGGACCGCCGTGAGGTATGTATGACGTTTTATTTCATCGTAAAATCGGCCGCTCTAGTCGTGTTGGCGAGGTTCATAGTCTTGCAGGTGCCGAAGACCGAAGTCGTCTCTGTCGGGTGCCGTGACCAGTACACCACGTGCTTTCGAGCTCCTCAGTCGGCACTTTGAAAGGCGGTAGGCGGCTCGAGTCGATATCGCCGTCTTCCAGGACCTCTCTTGCAGTAACGCCTTGAAAATGAAATGCATCCTCTATTTTTTGAACGACGAGGGGGTTGAGAGGCGGGTCCCCCTTCGATAGCCGGCAATTTCCGTGACATCTTGTTCATGCTGATCCCTTCCGCCTAGAGAACTCGTTAGAGCCCTCCGTATGGTGTCTCATATAAGGTACGCTCTTAATATGCCTACTTGTGGCTTTTTTTTTTTGGTCTAACAGGCTCAGCGAACCCGATATACACGAAACACAGTTCACATGTTGACCATTATTTGTGCGTGTAGGTCCCTCTCCGAATGCTCTCTTGCAGGCTGCTCACGCTATCCCAATATCAGCGAATACAATTGAGAGGGACACCAGAAAGAACCGTGATAGTCATTTCCATGAGAGGGGCGATGTCGAATATCACGACGCCTTCGGGAGTACGGACTAACGACCCCGCCCTGGCCACGTGCATGAGTTGTGAGTCCGGCAAGGTCCGAGGAACGAGGATCGGGCCGGACGTTGGTCTATGGACGAAGGGAGTTGATCGAAGGTTTCCGATCGCTTCTTGACTCGATCGGCCACCTTCGACATCTGCAGAGCTGTACGAGCGTACACTCATTCAGCGCCCGCCCACCGCTCCCTTGTTTCTTTTGCGAGTTGTGTGATCTTCGTGGGAGAATTGTGTGACTTCAAGACTATGTCAATCATATTTCCCCGGCTCTGAGATCCCGGTCAGGGTGTCCCGCTCATGCGCTGAGCCCGGGATCTCTCGAGCCTGTCGCCGCTCCCTGCCGCCCATCAAGATGGCGGCGGAGAGCGGTGTCCCCCAACCTGAGGAACGCATGAGTCCATAGATAAGGACCAAGTTCGAATGCCGGCGAGTTCGAATTCTCGTTGAAATCAGCCATCATAGGTATGAGATTGATGTGTTTTGTCGCAAAAAGGATCTGCACGGTTTGCTAGAGGAAGAGGTCAACGTCTGGACCTGGACAGCCAAAGAATGTGCTCGGACTTACGCAGGGTCGCTTGCTATCCCCCAGGGTTCGGGCTTACGGCTCGGGCGGACGCATAAAGCGATGCAACAAAAAGGAATATTGTCAAGCAATCTATTGGTTCTTGAATATGACCCTTTCGATGCCGACAGTCGCAACAATGAGATGGTCGGACGAAAAGACTAAGACGGCGGCATTTTCCGACGGCTAAGTCGCTGACGCGGTCACGTGCCATAAGTTGGTTGCGCGTCGCGCGTTCTCGTTTATTGGCAATGAAGGAGTTGCTCGTATACTTGACCTATCAACGGAAGTAATTAAAATCTTCTTTGCATGTCGAGACTGGTCCCGCTCGAGAAAGGTCCATCGAAGGTCATAAGCATAACGAGGACGTACTATTGTCCTGTCTAGGGCTGTGCATAATGGAACGCTCAGCGTTGACCTGTTTGCGTACGTATATAACTCAGACGTAGAGCATTCGGGTTTCCCAGGTCGCCGCAGCCATGGCACCCCACTTCGAAGGGACCACGCCAATGTACTGCGACAACCTCGACCTGCTCAGATACCCTCCCCTTCCTCGCGGCTGGGAGGTCTTCTACCATCCCAGAAACGGCGACGTCTACTACTGGAATCGCGACGAGCGCGTTATCACGGAGGACGACATTTGCGATGCCTCCGTTCTCACTGGTGTCTTGCGCGCGAAGGGCAAGGCCATGCGCGAGCTGCAGCGGCGCGGCCTCCATGAATTGTTTTGCACTGATCAGGGAAAGCTGAAGGGGTCCTGGGATTTGATCATAGGGGATGGGGGCCCGCTCTCTCTCGTAGGGTGGAGATTGGAGGAGCTATACGAATTCGTCGAGGACGAGGGTACGTGACCGAGCGCGCTGGTTGCCACCACCGAGCACTCACTAATCTTCCTCATCCAGAGCGATACATCGAGCATTCCTCGGAGAGGGTATTCTGGCTTCGGATCGCCGAGTTCCCTTGCCACCATTCCAATCTTCTGCGGCGAACCGAGCAACAGATGATGCACATAAGACATCGTCGTGAGTAGAGCGCGCGCTGAAAACTGTCCGTTGGATGTGCTCACTCGTTGACGTTGCAGATCCTCGACTGATGAACGCTCTGCTCAAGCGCCCTGGCAACATGGAGCTATACAAGGAGTATCGTGTGTTTCGAGGTGAGTAGGCTGGGTGATATGACCAGCGAGTCGTCTTTAATGATGCGCAGATGAGGCTCTGGCCAGGACGCCAAGCAGGTATTGTGACGATCTGCCAGCCGTCGTGTGGCGGCTCGCGTGCCTACTCAGCGAGGCGCACGAGATGGCGGACGCGCGCAATATTTCCCTAGAGAGACGTTCCAGTAGAGCGTCATCGTCATGATGGGGAGTGAGGGGCTACCACTGTAGCGATAGTGAAGCGCTGCCACCATAGCAGGGAGTGAAGCGCTACCGCCATAGTGGGAAAGTGATTTCGAAATCTTTCTGTACCCTACAATTCCTTGTATTGTGCTTCATCGTGCTGTATCTGGGGACGTCGATCGAAAATCCCTTGCTTGTATTCGAGCAGCGGATACGAAAAGTCTGCCTCAATCGAGAGCAGCGAGATAATGGTTTGCCGCTGTTGTCAGTGCCGTAGGGCAGCATCCTCGTGGAAAAGCAGCTCAGTGTGCTTAGCGCAAAGCAAGCCATGTTCCTCGTCGCAAAGCAGCGCAGTGTATTCGTCGCAAAGCAGCCTAGCGTCCTCGGCGCAAAGCAGGCCATGTTCCTCGTCGCACTGAGCAGCCCCAAGACGCCGGAGGACGACCGGGGTAAGACACGGAGACCAAGCTCATAGATTTCGGCGTCGTTAAGTGAGTCGCCGAGGCCAGAATTGCGTCGCTGAGGCCAGAAGTGCGTCGCGAAGGGCCGTTGCACGAGTCGCAGAGCGGAAGGTCAAGACTCGGAGAACAGAAGGTCAAGACACGGAGGTCGGGAGCAAGACGCAGACTGAGAGCACCGCCACAATGAGACCGGGAGCGCTGAAGTCTCAGGATCACGTGGGGGAGGAAGTTGAACTTCGGGAAACGCCGTGTCGATGCCGAGGCGTCCGTTCGAGAGGGTCAGCACGGCATGAGACACCACACCCGCAAAACTCCCTGGTTTGGTTTGAACCAAGGCTGTTATTCGTATGAGGAAGGGTGAACTAGAAATCGGCATCCTTGAACGAAAGTCTCGTACCTCCGACCCGTTGCTAAACGGAACGGATGAAGCGGAACGGAAGTGCAGAAAAGTACTCGTCGCAACCTAAAAGTCTCAGACAAAAGCATCGCAACTGTAAAATTGTCTGACTGCATCGCCCAGGGGAAGTCCTATATAAGACGGAGAGGGTCAACCTCCTTCTCTACCAACCAAACCAACCAACCAACCACCGAATCGTTAAACCACCCGCCGCTACTCAGCCGCAACCACCAATTCGCGCTTAACAGCCAAAGCGAATCACACCAAATCAGCACCGATAAACCACCCAATCGACTATCAACATCAGCATAAATCAGCATAACCATCATGTCGACCACCACCACCACCAACCCGACGATCACCGTCCCCGCCATCGTCGTCACCAGCCCGCCCCTCTCACCCACGGGCAACGCCAACCACCCGATGGCCGCCGCCGTCTTCCGCCGGCCATCCCTCGTCATCAGCGGCGCCAGCGCCACGTCGCTCGCGCCCAACCCAAACCAGCTCGTGCCCTCCTTCGCGAGGAGTCGCGGGGTGAAGATGTCGCTCCCGCTGCTCGACAGCAACCACAAGCAGGAGGCGCACGCACCCATTCCGAGCAAGGGCGCCCTGGAGCCCCGCGCTGGCGCGCTTCCGCGCCGCAAGCGCTCGAACCCGGCCGCGATGTTGAATCGCGGGCCCTGCCAGATACAGGCAGCGGCGTAGATGTGGCGAGACGTTATAGCCACCATTCGACACTCACCACACACCACACATCACCCCGACTAAACTATCAGCACTAAGGGGGAGATCGACGACGACACATACCCTACATTCGGTGAACCCTACTACTAGGGCACCTCAGAACCATACATACCACATCAGAACCAATAAACATGAATTTGCACCTAGCCAGAATGAATTTTCTCGGAGAAAGCCTCAGTCTTCAGTTGGACCTCCATGATGAGGCTGTGGGTCGTGAGCTGACCTCCTTTAAGTCAGAGGTCGCAAGCCGAGAGCAGATGCAGCTTTAGCGTAGATGATGGTTGTCTGGAAAGAACAATGGGCGGCGATAGCGGGCCGGTGGTTCGACGAACTCGTTGGTCGGCCCGACGCGGTCCTTGTTCCCAACTTCCATCTCCAGCGCGCCTCATTGCGCGTTCTTTCCTTCGCAATGGTAATATACAGACGAAGCGAGCCCCTTGACGCGTCTCACGAACCCTACAGACAGTCTGTCCATTCTTCTTGAGAGGGCAATGCAGATTTGGTACCAGTTGCCGCAACGAACATCCTCCTAATGCGGCTCCAACCTTTGGCAGTGCGTGGTAGACTGCCCTACTCGCAAAACTTGTCACTAATCCCGCTTCAAGATGCTACATGGACGAACCCGAACGCAGGTGGCTTCAAGGGTAGTGCGGGCGCTAGCAGCAATGCCAAACCTACTGCGATCCTAACGTGTGTCCTCTGCCCACGCATATAAGCCCGATACTGACCTCTTGTGCAAGGCAGGACCAACTGAGACAGTTTCTCGAGAAAGAACGACCTATATGGCCCATATCATCGTTCGCACCCGCCGCTCACGATCCCATCCTGCTCGATGTCGGAGATATATCCCCAGAGGAGATGCGCGTGCATGCGTACAAGTTGATCGGGGAGGGGAAGTTGGAAGAATATGTGCGTGATCGTACTTGATGCACTGAAATCTATGCTGACATCCTTGAAGGACAAGTACGAGCTAGAGAAGATCGAAGCCGCGGACCAGCCTATTAAGGTGCGTTTGTGTCTCTCAAGCCACAAGCAAGTTGTGGAGACTGAACCCTCTCCCAGGCCGCCCTCGCCGACCTGAAGTCAGCCGCGGACCACGCGAACAAGCAGAGCGCGCACGCGAAGGACGGAATAGTGCCCAACTCTTCCCCCTGGAGGCCGCAAGCCGCATCCTCCGGGTTTGGCGCTTTCGGAGGCGGCAACTCTGCCTTTGGGCAGCCAGCGGCAGGCGCCTCTGCTTTCGGCCAACCAACTGGCTTTGGTCAGTCCGCGTTCTGGCAACCAGCATCGACGTCTGCCTTTGGGAAACCCGCCTCAGGGTCCGCATTCGGGCAATCAGCGTTCGGGCAGCCTGCGCAGCCATCCACCTCTACGGGCTCTGCGTTTGGTGCACCAGCATCAGGGTCTGCATTCGGTCAACCCGCGTCCACCTCCGCGTTTGGCAAACCCTCTGCTTTTGGCGCGCCCGCGTCGACCTCTGCCTTCGGGGCACCCGCCTCGGAATCAGCCTTTGGCGCACCAGCGGCCTCTACCTCCTCTACTTCCGCCTTCGGCGCACCCGCATCTACCTCCGCGTTTGGTCAACCCTCCGCCTTTGGGGCAGCCGCAGCCGCGAACAAGCCCGCCTTCGGACAGTCTGGCTTTGGGCAGACGGCGCAACCCGCTACCCCAGCTTTTGGGCAACCAGCGACCGCTACCCAGCCCACATCTGCTTTTGGTCAGTCTGCGTTCGGTCAGCCGGCGTCGACGTCTGCCTTCGGGCAAACCTCACAGCCTGCTTCTGCGTTTGGGCAGTCGTCGCTCATCAAGCCCGCCACGGGCGCCTTTGGATCGACGCCCAGTAACGGGAGCGCGTTTGGTGGCGCGTCGAATGCATCGGGCGGTGGTACAAGTGGAGGAGGGGGCTTCGCCGCCTTTGCCAGCGGTGGGACGACTGGGTTCGGGAGCACGGCAGCAAAGCCAGCGACGAGCGGCTTCGGCACTGGAGGGGCCTTCGGCAGTACTGCGAATACCAGCGGTTCTGCGTTCGGCGCACCCTCGACCTTCGGGCAGCAGCCAAGCGGGAGCACACCGGCCAATGCCTTTGGACAGCCCAGCTTCGGGCAGGCTGCACCTTCCACTTCGACGGGGAGCGCCTTTGGACAGCCAGCCACCGGGGCGACGCCGAGTGCGTTCGGCCAGCCGGCGACGGGGAATACTACGAGTGCCTTCGGACAACCAGCAAACCCGAGCGCATTTGGCGCACCGGCATCCGGGAGCGCATTTGGGCAGTCTGCGTTCGGGAAACCGGCAGACGACGCTGCGAAACCGCAGAGCGCGTTCGGCGCGCCTGCTGCTGGGGGCGCGACGAGTGCTTTTGGGCAGCCTGCGAGCACCAGCGCGTTCGGTCAGCCCGCGAGCACGAGTGCATTTGGTCAGTCGGCATTTGGTGCGCCCGCGCAGCCCAGCCCATTTGGGAAACCCAGCGGGTTCGGCGCGTCTGCAGGAGGCGGGAGTGCATTCGGCTCAGGAGGTACTGGTAGTGCCTTCGGCTCGGCAGGTACTGGAAGCGCGTTTGGTGCTGGCGGAACCGGCAGCGCCTTCGGTGCAGGCGGCACAGCAAGCGCTTTCGGTGGTGGGGCGATCAAATCCAGCCCATGGGGCGAAGTACTGCCTTCAGGCGGGATCAAGACGGTCTACGACGCGCAGCTGCCGCCAAATTACGTGGAATTGCTATCCGAGGGCGTGCTGGAGTTGTTCAGGAAGGATAAGTTCGAGGTGGGCGGGGTGCCAGAGTTCGTGCCGCCGCTGGAGGTTAGGTAGTATCCGGATGGACTTTCCGAGGCATGGGGGAGGATGATGTATCATTATGTATTGCTTTCATGAGATTTCTGCTTCGCTATCAGAGCTTCATAGCTTGAGCACAATCGATGCGAGTTCAACAGGCGGAGGAGCCACGAGGTAATCAACGAACAATGGATCCCAAATGCGGAAATAATGAAATTCAACGCGGCCTGTCTTCTACCATCACTCTGTCGTGCTCAGTACTCTCAGTGTCTGCCTTCTCGCGGTGCCACTGATCTGCGAGGACTTCTGTTACCTTGTATACCATCGAAGAAGTCATCGCGGCTGGCTCTTGAATCAACATGAGCAACGTCAAAAGCGAAGACACGCCGCAGCCTCTGTCGCAGACCGCGACACCTGCGCCCCAATACGCCCAATGGAGCCAGACTCGTGAGTCTGTCAATCCTAGTTCGCGTATTTTTCTGACAAGATGGCAGAAGCGATCCCGATCGACCCAGCGCTTCAGGCGCAAACCCAGCAAACTCCAGCGCCAGCGCAAGCAACACCACAGCCCCCAGCAGTCCAGCCGACGCCTGTGCAGACTCCCCAACCACAAGCGCAACAGACACATACCCCGACGTAAATCTCTTGAGCGCCTGTAGAGAGACAGAGTCTGACGATCGCATGCAGACCTACATATTACCACCCATATCAGTACACGTTCTACCAGCCGCAAACGCACCAGCATGCACAACAGCCGGCAGTGCAGCAGACGACGATGGTGCCGACAAGGCAGCCTACGGCAGCGCCTGTACAGGCTCCAACAGCGGGTCAGGCGGGCGGGGTTGACACGACTGATGTAGCGACGCTCAATGACGCGTTGGGCAGCGCAGGAGTGGATTTACGGGTGCGTGCTCTGTTCCATACCGCGATCCTCTACTCATGCAATGACAAAGGCAGAAGAAGAGTCCCTTCAACGAACCTCTTCCCCCCACTCTAGCTACCGCATGTACGCCGACCAATCGCGCAAGCAGCCAATCAAGCCCTCCTTCAACACCCACTACCTCCAACAAACCATGTACGAGCACGCGAAGCAGCACAAGATCACGCGCATCCCCGAGGACAGCGTGAACTACCTAGCGCTCGCGCTCCGCGCACGACTGCAGGACATCATCGCAGACACGATCACCGCCGCGCGTCACCGCACCAACTCGCAGTTCGACCGCGCGCCGTCGTTCTACGAGAACGGCGAGGACGGGCAGAAGATCCCCATGTGGTCCATGCTCATCCGCCGCGACATCGGGCACCAGCTCCGCGCCCTCGAGCGCGTCGAGCGCGAGGAAGAAATGCGCGTGCGCAAGGAGCGGAAGGAGCGCCTCGACGCCGCCTCCGCGCAGGCGGCCGCCCTCGCCGCGCAGGCCGGCTCGCCCGCAGAGGCAGACATCGACTGGGACGACGGCGGCGCGCGCAAGAAGCGCAAGAAGGATACGATCTCCGCGCGCAACATGCCCGCGGACGTGGGCAAGAAGATGTCGAACGCGGCGGCGAATATGGCGGCGGGCGTGGGCGGCAAGTACGCGTGGATGAACGCGGCGAATGCGAGTGCGCCGGCGAAGCCCAAACCGGCAGCGGCCCCCAGCCCACCTGCGTCGGCACCGAGTCCAGGAGGAACGGCTACGGCGGGGACAGCAGGGACGGCTGGTGGTAATGGGTGGGCGACGAGGCCATTCGCGGCGAAGAAGCCGGAGTCAATGACCCCGACGCCAGCGGCGCAGCCGCAGGAGCCAGTCGACACGCGATTGTTAGTGAAGATGAAGGATGCGGCGTTTGTGCTTGCTAAGGAGAGAGGACATGGTGGAGGCCGGGGCTCTGCACGAGGGTGGACGTAGGCGGTTGGCAGCTTCGGGCGATGTATTGGACTTGGGTCTGATGTACTTACTGTCTTGCCTGATGGACATTGTATATTATGCTACGTGGTTCGGTAGCCAACGAAGACTCGTGAGGGCCAGACATTCACTTCGACTCAGTGGTTCAGTAAAGCAAATAGATATTCCAAAGAGAAAGCACGACTAGCGTGCTATCAGGTCGCCTATATTTCCTCGATCAACATCACCCAGCCCCCCGCCGCCGCGCCACAGTCGGCATCCGCTACCCTTTTCAACTCGATGGTCGCGTCGTTGCTGGTGGTCCAGTAGCTGACATCTGTGGGTGGTGTCCGGGCTGTTGCTGGGGGTTTTGGTCGTCTTGCAACTCCAGGTCCGAGTCGTCGTCGTCCTCAATGCGTTGCTTGCAGCAGCACGGACCTGCCGATCATCAGCTTTATTCGCACCCAAGCCTAACAAGCATCTCTATCCATGCTACATACATTGCTTCGCGCAGCACGGCGCACACGACTGGAAGAGAGCTGTCCCAGAGTCAGTATAAGTCGATCACGGACTTCAACGCGGCGCACGCACAAACGAACAAGCAGCAGATGCTGCAGCAACAACAACAATCACCTCCGGCGTCCATCCTCGTTCAGAGCTCGTAAAAGATAGGAAGGTGTGTACAAAGAGCGAATATGAGGAGCTGGACGTCGAGGAAAGGATGGGAGAAGTCAGGACACGATGGTGAAAGACAAGTCTTTATGAGCAGACCCGCGTCTCTCAGGGTCCCATCTATCATACAAGGATGCCGTCTGTTCGCATGTCGGCGGGCCAGGATCAGGCAAAGTACAGCCTTGCGAATGTTTCATTGACGGACGTCGTCGAGGTCCTGGCGACGATCACGACGGGGCACTGCCTCGAGCGCGTTCACGGAGGATGAAAGTTCCCACCGCCGTCCGTTTACCGACCGAGCTTGTTTCTAGCATATAAAAGGATCGGGTTCTTCCGCATTACCATATGCTGCTGCTTCTGAGTCCTGAAAGGCGGCTGCCAACCGCGTATATCGCAAGAAATTGTACGTTCATAAACTCCTATTTAGCCGTGTCAATGTCGATTCAGCAACCAGAGGGTCTACGCCTTCACAGCAAAGGTGTAGTCGGTGTATCCGAGCGGCGTCGAGTTTCCATGAAGGTAGAACGAGTCGCGGTCGTACGGCGACAGCGCAATCTCCTTCTGCCAGCGCACAGGCAAGTCGGGCTAGCGTCTCCCATCAGCATCGCAGCCACCCATCCGAACAGCCAACACTCACATTCGAGATAAACCACCTCCCCATCCCAATCAGATCACCCTTCTCGTCCGCCGTCTTCAGCGCCGTCTCCCTCGTATACCCACCCGCAGAGATCACGACGCCGGGCGCCCAGATTTCTCGCAGGAAGTCGTTCTGCTCTTCCGCGCCGATATCCTCGTTGGTGCGGTCGTCGATGCCTGAGATGCGGGGCTCCACGACGTGAAGGTACGCGAGGTCGGGGTGCCGGGCCTTCAGCTGGGCGGTGAAGTAGGAGAACTGAGGGATCGGGTCCTTCATGCGCATGTCTGGGGATGCCGGTCAAGGTCGGTAAACATCTAATGGACAGAGCGTGCACACCTTGGAACTTGTTCCACGGGCTGAGGCGCACGCCGACCTTGTCCGCACCTACCGCATTGACGACCGCACTGGTGACCTCAAGAGGGAACCGAGCCCGCCTCTCGACACTCCCGCCATACTCATCCGTCCGCGTGTTCGACACATCTTGCTGCAGATACGTCAGCCTCGACTTTCTCACTAAGTGTGCCCCGCATCGCGATGCACGCACCAAGAACTGATCAAGCAAATACCCATTCGCACAATGCACTTCCACGCCATCGAAGCCGGCCTCCTCGACCGCAGCGCGCGCTGCCTTCGCGTACCACTCCACGTATTGCCCGATCTCCGGCACCGTGAGCGGGCGTGGCGTCTCGTTGCGGCCAGAGATGGGGATTGCAGAGGGGGCGACGAGGTCGAAAGAGGGATCAGCGGCTTTAAGGGTGGCTTCCGAGCCAGCGCGCCCCAAAGCCCATAGCTGGGCGTAGATGAACGAGCCTTTGGCATGGACGCGGTCGGTGACCTATGGTGCCAGCAATTTAGCTTTCCTTTTGCGTGCACAATCTTCGAATGTCTCGAAGGCTCACCTCCTTCCACGCCTTGATCTGCTCCTTCGACCAGATGCCTGGCGTATACGGGCACCCGCCCGCCTCCGGGTAGATCACGACGCCCTCGGATATCAGGAGCGTACCCGGCGTGCTCGCGCGCTGCTCGTAGTACTCCTTGACGTTCGCAAGGGGCACGTAAGTAGACTCGGTATTGCGGAAGCGCGTGAGCGGGGCGTGCACGATGCGGTGGGCGAGCGTGAGTTTGCCAACCTTGACGGGTTGGAAAAGCTTGGGGGTGGCGGTGTTAGAGGACATGAAAGGCGAAGAGTAGCTCGAAAGTGTGGCTAGTTACTTGTTGGTCTGTCTGGAGTAACTCTTGTCGTCCTTTATAGTGAGTATAAGGCCCTCGGAGCCTGTGAGTGGATCGCTCATCGTCGCCGTGAGCCTGAGAACACAACACGAAATCGCGCATTTTGCCCCGCGTCGGGTTCGGGGTCCATGACAATGCCCATACAGAGCGAGGTTGGTCGAGCACTCACTTGGTTCGTCGAAGTGACCTCGTCCAACAATTCCCTCAACGACGAGCAGCGACCGTCCCGAGTCGGTTGCCCCACCCCTATGTCCAGATTGGTCACTAGGTTAGTGACTCGGCCTGTTGCTTTCGAATGCCGAGCGGCCTAGTAAGCCGGTCACAGCGGAGTATCAGTGCAAGTGTTTGGATATCATAGACAGGTTCGACTTTTCGGTAATGGAGGGCTTCGGGAGGTATACCCCAGGGGTTATTCAAACCACTCTTGATGGCCTTGCCGTGCATGCAGTTGTTCTTCGAGCTCCCTGACCTCACCCTCCTTGGCATCCGTGACACAGAACGATCAATTCGGTCCGATAAACTGGTACAATATCCTCCTTACAAGGCCCGACAGATGCTGCGGGTCGTTCTGGTACGCGCTCTGAGGATCGGTCAGCACTTTGCCCACTCACCCCCCTCCCCTTCTCTCCTTCCTTTACACTCATTCCGTCCTCTCATACACGATAGCACATCAGCCCAAACAGAAACACTCACCATAACCATCCCCATCCCCGCCGCCGTCAACATCACATCCCCCACCCCTCTTGTCGGCGGCGCCCACCCTCGCCCCCTCGCCGTCCGCCACGCACTCTCCAGCGCCTTCGGTAGCACATACATCGCCAGCTCGCCCCGCCGCCGCTTCTCCTCGACGAAGAGGGACAGCCCCGTAGCCATGCCGGTCACGATCAACGCGAGCCGCCCGACGAGGAGGTTGACGAGCCAGGGCGGGATGATGCGCCGAAGAGCGGCGGAGGCGGGCAGGCGGTGGTAAGCGGCGTACGTCTGGTGCTTGAGGCAGAAGAGGGCTGCGGGGTGGGTGAGTTGGGTCGTTTCGAGAGGGACAAGGTAAAATAAAGCCGATCCACTCACACTGGTAGATCACTACGAACGCGCCCAAGAATGCACTGCTCCGCAACGTCCCGACGCCCGCCTTGCCCAGCATCCGGCTCGGGTCCCGCACGAAGGCCTTGCGCTTGAAAAGCACCATCGGGATGAAGTGCAGCGCGGTGTACACGGGCATGATCCACCAGGCGACGTCGACAAAGCGATCGAGCGGTACGGCAGTACAGTTGTTTAACGCAGGGTGCGTAACGGCGCAGGGGACGTAGGGCGGGATAGACGCTTTGGAGGAAGGGGAGTCGGGCGAGGCGAGCATGTTGCGCAACTCAAGGAAGGTTTTGACGTTTTCGGGGGTGATTTCCTTGACACAGGAGTCAGGACAAGACTTAACGAAAGTAAGGTTGGGGAGTCGCTTACCTTTAGGTTGATAGCCTTGTCAATGTCAGCGATGTTCGCTGTACCTGTCCTGGCAAGTTGACGGTGAATATGTGGCGCGAGTACAGGGACCTTGGATGCTTGTGAGATCCTGCAAGACAGCGTGAGCAGAAGTAGCACAATATGAGATGAAGGTTTACCAGTTCGCATAACCCAAGCCCAGTGCCTCCGGCCGCATGAGCCATGCGTACATAATCTGAGCGCATCTGCGACCGACTCAGTGCTTGCCTTGCTGACTGGCCGAGGGACTTACGACAGAGAGAAAAGGATGACCTCGCCGTGAGGTATGCGGAACCCTGTCCTCTCGGAAACAGAGTTGTACGATCCTTGCAGGCCGCGCACGAACAACTGCTGCGCGATCACATTCCGCCTCTTCTTGTTCTCGCACATAATGGCGAGCCCACCAGCGATAGCCCCCGCCATCGCAGCGTGCCACCGCCGCGTCTTCTTGCGGGTTAGAACGAGTTGCGCATGTGCGCTGAGGGAGAGGCGTTGATCTCGGCGTGCCGTCCGACGCATGCCTGGAGGGAGCTGTCCAGCCTCGAGCTTGTCCTGGGTGGACTCCTCTTCTTCGAAAGTGGCGGCCTCCCAGGAATCGTAGCGCAAGTCGGGTGGGTTGACAGCGGGGATGTAGAGGGGAATCGCGTTGAGGAGAAACTTGTAAAGGGAGACGAAGGTTCCTGGGGCACGGGTGAGTCCCTGAAGTGGAGAGGGGAAAAGATACGCACCTAGCATAGAGGCAAATTGGAAAGTGTCCTTTCCGAACAGGGCGTGGAATATGACACTCAGCCGCTGAGACCTGTTCCCGCCTGTCAGTCGCGCGCGTACTTCCCCACTCTCAGTCACGCACCTCGGCTTCACCTTGCGTATCCTAACCAGCGCAATAGCCACGTTGATCAATGCGCGCAGTGTGAACGCTAGCGCCCCAGAGCCTGCGCAGACCGTCAGCTCCGCACGCGACCAGCTTGCAAAACCACGCACGGAACCCGCCCATCGCGGCATGCTTGATACAGTCCTGCAGCGTATACAACTCGACCACCGGCTCCCCTCTGTCGCGCCAGACCATTTTGCGCGCCTCCTTCAGGCGCTCCTGGTAGTTGGCGAGCGCGACAAGGTTGTCGAACGATTGGATCGCGCGGCGCGTGCGCGGGGTGAAACTCATCGCGTCCTCGTACGGACCCGGCGTACTGGCGCCGCTTTCGGGTGGGTCCATGGGCGTCAGGAAGGGGGAGGCCATGACATGGAGGTTCTGGTGTCGGTGGTGAGAGGCAAGGAATGCGGGGAAGCGCGGCGGGTTGTTGGGGTAGCCGCGCGGAGTGATAATCACGCGCAAATGAAGTGACGTTGGGGTTGCTGCAACTCGATGAAGAAGGTGGTGAAACTTTGGGGAGTGTATTCCAATCCTCGCAAGATGCTCATATGTAGGGTCATCCGAGAGGGTTTGTGCGAGAAATCGGTGAGAGCGACCAGGAGAAGGAGCGGGCGAAGGTCCATGTGGCGTGCGATCTTGTTCCCATTTCTGGAGTACAATAGACACTGCGATCAATCAACCGATCACGCGGAGCTCAAGTTCAACTCTGATCAACTTCTGTTTCCGTCCACGGCTTGCTCTTTGCATCGTTCTTACGATCATGGGATTCCACTTTGTCATCGGTCAGGCTCTCTATCTTGCTTGTCGGATCCATTCGCTCATCTTTGGCAGAGCATATGGAAGAGGACGAGGAAACGCCCAAATCCATCCCACCCTGGGTCGAGCTGGAATACTCGGTACGGTCACTCACACTACGCGTATATGGGCTCAACTCAAACGATGTACAAAGTAGCACATGCGCATCCTCGCTGGTTACGGCTCAACCGTCCACTTCACCAACCTTTCCGAGGCCTCGCGCGCCTCGCTCTCTGAGGCGTTCTTTCAGTCAAGCGATGATAAACTAGCAGACGCGCAGTGCCACAAGGAAGGGATCCTTCAGTTGCTGAAAGAGAAGACTAGAAGCGACTCGCTAGACTCAGTTTGCTTGCTCGACCCGAAAGCCGAGAAGGAGCTTTCGCCAGAGGATGGGGATGGCAGATTTGAGTGGTTCTTGTTTGGAGTCAGTCCGGCATCGCAACGCGCTTCATTCTACTGACGACGCAACTTCTAGGGAATCTTGGGTCAGAGATATGCTCTTGTGCCGTCGCGAACGCAGCTCACCTATTTTTCTCAGGCGACGACCCTCCACGCGACCGCACGGCTGAGCTACGCAAACTCGGTTTCCCAGCACGGAGACTAGGACCCATCCAGATGACTACTGACACTGCGCTTGGCGTCACCAAAATCGTCGTGGGAGACAAAAGTACGCTTGATTCTTCTGTGTACTCTTCCTTGCCCTCGGATTTACGCGATATTTTAGCGCCTATTGACGAGATTCCCTATGTCGTGAGTCTTCCTTTTGGACCAGCGTTACTAAGTAGCTTACGGACGACAGGACATGCCGACCATTCGCTTTAACGCCAAGGTACGACGCGTCTGTCATTTCTCTCGCTCCGTCAAAATTCATCTTCCTCCTAGGAATCCGTCGAGATGCCCTTCCGCTACATCTCCCGCAACGGCGAGCCCGTCCTCCCACCGGGGATGAAAGAGCTGCTGCATGACGATCTGAACAAGAGTTTCGACTTCTGAGTGAAGCTGCGTGCACACAAGCGAATGTATCATATCATGTGCTATAGACCTCCAAAACGCCCTCTGACCCGCACACAACCGCGCGTGTGATCTAATCTGCAATCTGTCCATCTACAAGCCTTTCATCCCGTCTATCCCTGAACAACAATACTAAGCCGACGATTATACGACACTCTAATATACAACAACGCTTCATAATCCCATCGACCAGAACGGCGTCTAACGCCCCTATGAGGCGTTCACCTCGTCCTCGATTTCGCGGGCCGCACCAAGCAGGCGTGCGATCCGCCATGTCACGCTCGCGAGCTCGATGCCTTTGTACCCGCCGCAGGCCCGCGCCCTTGCCTTGTCTGCGCATAATCATGTCAGCGCGCTGGACGAATTGGTAAACCACGCCTCCTTACCTCGGTACTGGCGATATCCCTCCCACAGGTCTCGGTTGTCCCCACGTCGCAGGACAACACCCCAGAGTCCGGAGTCTATGATGGAGGGTTAGTAAGTTTCGTCGAGCTCTGGGGGACCGGTGAGGGGCGCGACTCACTATACGTCAGATTCGACAGCTTCTGCTCGGCGCCCTTGGGCAGCGACGTGTGGTGGCAGGGGAACTCTGCCACCCGCTGCCAGTACACTTTGCTCGACTGGTGCTCGACATATTCCTCTGCGCACGGAAAATAAGTTAACATCCTGATTGGCAACAACCGCGCAATGAACACGCACTCTCGCCCTCGCCTTCGCCGCGAGTAGCGAACTCGTAAATTTGCCTCTCACGCCACGAGATGAGCGCCTGCGGCTGCCCGTCCTTCATGATCAGGTCCCAGTCCCTCGACAGCTGCCCGTCCATCAGGAACTTCGCGGCATGCCTCGGGTTGCGCTGCAGCTTGCGCAGGATCCTGTCCTTGCCCTTGAGGAGCGCCTCGAAGACATCGGCGTCCTTCAGGTTGTCCTTGGTGATAACGCGCTCGACGCGGTGCCAGTAATAGATATTCTCGCCGTTCACGGGGTGGCGGAAGCGCTTCCAGCCTATCGGGTAAGTCCTGACCAGCGGGTGGTCCGAGTCGTACTCGCAGAGTAGCGGGTATTCCGAGTCTGGGTAGGAGGACATGGTTGGGGTCGTGTGGGATGTGGGATGTCAGAGCACTGAGTTAGCCTTCTTATATACTTACAGAGGCCATAGCGAGTCGTGCAGTCATACACAGCCCGACAACAACACGACAAAGGCATGCAGGTCATAAACCTGTCTATGAACATCACTGCTGCACTTTATGCATGCGAAATCGATTCGGGACAAATTTTGCAGATCATAGCATGGTGCTCTAACTCCTTCTGAATGCTCAGGACAACATTCATATCCGGACACAAAGCGCTACCAGCATGCAAGATGCGTGGACCGGCGCGGCGTGACGGTGACACATTCAACTTTACACACGTGACCACGTCCAGGGCTGCTCCCGGTGGGCACCGCCCGCCACGGGATCCGGCATATTTGTACATGTTGTGGTCACGCTTGGGCGCCCGTTCCGCAGTGTTTCCGTATCTCCTCCGTCAGTTTTCTGACGCTCGCTTCCGGATAAGGTGCGTCGGAAAGCGGCGAATTATAGCTACAATCCCACGTCGATTTTTAGTATTTCATTGGGAGGAAGCCGAGATTCTCAATTTTGTGGCTTCTGGATGTGCTACTGTTTAAATCCGACGAGAGAATGTAGACCTTTTATGTAGCTTCCGAACGCGCTCTTTTGCGAGTTAGGGGACGAAGAAATGACGGAGGAGATAGAGAAATGCGATCAGTCACGCATGGGCCAAAAAGCACTGTGACACGTGTGACACGTCCGCCCGTTCCTCGACCTCGACGGTTCAGCGGCGCGTGCATCAGATATTAAGTTCTTTTCAACCGGTGCACGTAAACAGGCATGACCAGGACCCTACAAAGGTGCTCGCTGCTCCAAATCTCTTATCCTCGGCTGCTATCATCGTGTTTTATATTGCTATAGGCCCTCCCTTCTCTGGGTTCCCCGTGGGCGAGTCCACTTCGCGTCAGTGGTAAAGTATCAGAACTGCCTCAAAATATCGCGATCTTGGAGCATGGACTCTTTTGAGGCTGTCCGACGCGCACCTTGACTATGAAATGTTGAGAGAAGACAAGAACGAGTCTGACCTATTTTGCCGAGTAATTGCATGCTGTCTCTGATGAACTAAGCGTAGGTAAAGTAAATTACAGCGTAGATCATACAATTCCGAGCAACATCGCCATACAAAGGTAAGCGATATGACCCCTCCGTCGTGCACCTGCCGGACGACGATTCGGGGACACCCGAAGTCCACTTGTTGGCGCGGCATAAACATGACCAAATATGCCGGATCCGGTGGCGGGTGGTGCCCACCCCCACTCCCGGCAATTGCCGACACTACATCTCCTTCCGACTCACCGTCATCTGCTTTGTTCCTTTCCAAACTGCTATTCATTGACCTCACCGATAATCCACTCATACTGCGTGAGATGCCTCTGATGTCTCAACGTCTCGGCTAGGGGAGGCGTAACGAAAGTCAAAACCAAACTCCAACTGCACTGCCGGTGGTTGCGCTCAGAGTTCATGCAAGCAGGCTCAAACTATGGCATTCAACTTCAAGTCTTCAAGAGTAAATACCGCTCTCAAGGCTTACTGCGTGGCTCTGATCTCAGATCATGCACGTACCTCCGTGAACAACATCGGCAAGCGCGATTGTTTCCCAACCCGACCACAATAGCGAACTTGCCACAATTTATATCCCTCGCATATATGTGCAGGTCCTCACAGGTCCGTGCATATCTCTTCACTCCTCCTTCCCTCCTCATCTACACCTATCCTTATCACTAAATGTCGCACGCAGCGCTGCGAGCCACGTCGCCGTCGACGCGGAATACGACGCCATGCCCCAGCAAGCCCCATAGCGCCAAGGATCCTTACTCTCCTCGGCGCCACACCACAAAGTCCGACACGAGCAGCTTCTTCACATCTTTTATTGCCCGCCTTTACCGCCTGGACGCCTCCGTGCGCGCCAGCATCGCCCTTACCAACGAAGTCACCGACAAGCAGAACACTATCAAATCGTCCATCGCCGCGGGCAGTCGCCGCATCGGTGACCTCGAGGACGGTCTGCGCGCAGCGATCACAGAATACGGCGGCGTCGCAAAGAGCGTCTACGACTCAAGGGTCGCGCTGAACGAGCACGCGGACACGATTGGGGAGCTTGGGGCCAGGCTGGTCGAATTGAGCGTGAAAGAAATACTCGACACCGTCAACAGCGCGCCAGAAAGTCCGCCCTCTGGCGACGGTCAAGCCATCGGTCCTGATCACACCCATCACGACGATCATGCCCACCTCGAAGAGGAATTCCGGTCACTCCGGCAACACCGCTCCCTCGCCTCGGACGAGCAGCACAGCCTCTTCTCCCGCCTGGCGCGCTTTCAAGGGCAGGCGGAGCAGGGCTTAGTGGAGCTGGAGGCGGCGATTGAGACGTGGCAGGCGAGATGGAAGGAGGAGGCGGCAGAGGCGAGGGAGAGGCAAAAGAGGGCGCAGGAGCGAGAGGAGGAAGAGGAGCGGGAGTGGGCACAGAAGGCGAAGGAGATGGCGCAGAAGGACGCGCAAGAAAGGGCGCAGCGGGAAAGGCAGGACAGGGAGGTGATGGAGATGATAGCCGCGGAAATGGCGCAGGAGAGGGAGGCATGGGCGCAAGATAGGGCGAGAGTGGAACGAGAGACGGTGCAGATGGCGAAGGAGGCGGATGAGATGGAGAAGAGGATGGGAGCAAAGCCGGAGAGGAAAGAAGAGGAGGCGGTGAATGGGCGGAGGGCGACGAAGGAGAAGGAGGAGGAGAGGAAGGCGGTGAGCCCAGAGGTGAAGGAGAGCACGAGGATAGAGGAGGAAAGAACGCAACAGGGGAATATGAAGCAGGAGGAAGAGCGGAAGAAGGGGGAAAAGAGGAAGGAGGAAGAGCAGAATAAGGCGAAAACAAAAGAGATAGAGAACGCAGACAAGGAGAGGGAGAAGAAGGCGAGACGGGAGAGAGAGCGGATGATGCTGTCTCCGGAATCGCGTGCGAGGTACGACGAACAAGCGGCAATCATTGATCGCTATGAAGTGGCGAAGGAGAAGGAGGAAGAAGAGCAAAGGGCTTTTGTTGCAAGCGTGCCACCCTTGACGCCGCCTGCGACTCCAATGCCGACTCCTGCTCGTCAGCGCGATGTGCCCAACGCGACCTCACATGCACCATCGTTCCCTGTCCCTCCGGCAGTCGCGACTCCCGCGCAGCCCGCACCCGCCCAGCAATCTCGATGCTCACCATCCCCCGCTGTTCCGACTGCATTCTATACCCCCGCTCAACCTGCACATACACCCTCGCCGGCCTCGCATCCATCGCCTGAAAATCCTGGATTCGTTACTACCCCAGGGAAACCTAGATACGATACCGGGATTTACACACCCAATCACCCTATCCTACAGCGTCGAGCACGACGGGGGCGGGAGTGTGGGGACAGTCGGGGCAACTCTCCGTGGCCGGTCAACGTGGAGCTGACGCCTGACACTGAACCGATCTACCACGGAGAGGGACTGCAGGCCGGAGCAGAAACTTCCACGCCTGCACCGGTACCCGCATCCAATCTAAACTCGCCTCCTCTCCGGCAACAAATCCGCTTTTGTAATCGGGACACGTCTTACAATTCATTCTGCAACTTCGCGAGATATTCAGTCGCTTACAATGGCGAAACCTACCCGACCGCCGAGCACCTATTCCACGCGTCGAAGGTACGCTGGTAAATTTCGCTGCGATCATTATCTCTGACGCTCACATACACACAAGTTCTTGCCCGTCAATGGCGACATTGCCAGGCGCATCCGCAACACGAAGGACGTTGGCGAAGTGGCTCGCCTGGCCGACCGCTTTCAGGCCCGTGTACCACAAGAATGGTGGAATAATATGGTAGAAACAGTGAGCCACCTGGAACCTTCCTGTGTGCTACAAGTGCTGAGATTTCTCTTCTTAGATGCATGGCATACTGCTGGATAAGTTCCTGCAGCACGAGGACTTGCAGGCGGCGCTGCTGTCGACAGGCGATGCAGAGCTCGTTTTTGTGAGTACAAGTGCATCTGAGACTCTTGACCGATATGCTCATGCGTGTAAGGATTCCGTTGAAGATGGATTTTGGGGAGTGGATAAGGATGAGACGGGTAACAATATACTGGGGAGGACGCTGGAACGGGTGAGAGAAGAGCTGAGGAGGATGCAAACCTAACAACTTCGAGTTGATGCCCCCCTCGTCGCGACGGTTGAAACGATTTTGATGACAACATATGTACGAAGTTATGTGAGAAGAACCATGGATAGTTTATCTGGGCCGCAGAGTTGCAAAGTCTAAGTACGAGAGCGATGCTGGATCAGAGGTCCTCGGCATTTGCCGTGGGGTCAGGATTGTGATTCGTACTGCGCCACAAATATCCTACTCTTCACGGTCACCTCCCGCAATCGATTTTTGCTTCACCGCCGCATTCGCCCTGCAATTCAGATACTCTGTTGTATTAGGAATGCAGAAATATCTGAAAACAGTATCAGAGCGCATTCGGGCGTACTTCTGCTTCCGTGCCGGATCAATCCTCTTGGAAGCCTCCACGACATCCACCAGTTACACGTCCTCTTCCTTCCCCAACGCTCATATCCGGTCGACAGTCTAGGCTCTGCCTCGCCACCCGCCTACCTTCGTGCATGGATTTCTTACCCAACGACGACCTCGCCCAAGCGGCCGCGTCCATCGACGCTGTCTGTGACTTCCTCGACCATGCCTCGATCGACGAACTCCCCTCGCCGCCTTACGCGGAACTCCTACAGCCTATCCACGCTCACAACACTCTGTCGATCTGCGAGAGCAGCAAGCGGGAACATACTGGGCGTCTCGCCATCTCCCTGGCCACGAGCGCGCACGTCGCGAAGAAGTTACCTAAAGGCTGGGAAGGAGCGATCGAGGTACGCGGCTATGCTTCCCAGAAGCATACTATGGATCGCTTATCGTGGATCATAGTATGCCATTTCCGTCTATGTTCACCCACGAGTCCTGGAGAGCATGGCGGACACCTTCAATATACGCGCCGCGGGCCCTACTCCCTCACACCTCGCCTTCCTCCGCTACGCGAGCGATGCAATCGGCTGCTACGGCGACAAAGGGCGAAGGGGTATTGAAGCCTGGCTGCTGGAAATCTACGCGCTACTACCGGCCATACACATACCTGGGTGCGTCATCATCTCGTCAGACGCTTCTCATTTGCTCATGATTATCCTTCAGCGCATTCTACGCATCTGAATCTGGCTCCTCGTACAATTATGGTAAGGGATTGACTTGTCTTCTGTACAGTATGGCAACTGATCGGCCAGACTTCGCTCGTGATACTCTTGCCCTGCGTCTTGGAGATCCCCCGACGCCACTCTCTATCTCGTCCTCGCCAAGCCTCAACCTAAGCGGCCTTTCATGGAATTCGGAGGACGTCGACGACGAGTTTTCACAATACTCTATCTCGGACCTCAATTCTGCTTCTGCTCATCCTACCTGCGCGCTCCTCGATCTCACCGTCGAAGCTCGCCGACAGATATCCGCCTGCGGCGACCAATTCTTCGCTCAACGTCCTCTCGGCCCCCTTGAGCGCGGTCACCTACTCTCCCAGAGGCGCAGCACACTCGTTCTTGAACATCAAGGGGCTCTCGTGCTCAACAATCATCTCTGGCCTGTTCTACTCTACCGCTGGCCGGACGCGTCCCTCGACTTCTGCGCCACTATGCTCGATCTTCTCACCAGCGACGTATTTCTGGCGCACCTGCTCCTTCAGTGCTCGCAAGAGGTCCTGGCGCTCGAGGACGTGGAGGCCCTCGCTAGAGCTGTGCGCGCCTATCTCGGACAGTACTGGCGGATGCGCGGGTGGCACGCGACTCGCGATCTGTGCTTGCAGGTCTGGGTACCTTTGATAGACATCGCATTCGATATGGTTGGATTGAGCGCTACGTCGGAGAATGCTTTGGCTAGCGCCCTTTCCACCTCGGCCTCCAGCCTGAACTGCGGCGACGTAGACGAGACGCTGGTCGAAACCTCCGTCCCACGATGCGGCTTACCATCCTCGATGAAGAAGAACAGGTCGCTTCGCAGAAGTCTGGCTCCCTACGTGGTCGAGCGGCACGGTCGCAGGATGTTCGTTCCCGATGGTAAGTTGATATATTTCTAGCGTCGCTCAAAGCTGACAAATTCTCAGATGGCTGGCGGTCTGGAAAGGAGAACATCTGCCTTAGTCAGCTCCCTGCCTCGAAAGCATTCTTTGACGGCGTACATACTACACGACGAACGCTCCTCGAGAAAAGCCCGGCTTTCTGTTGAGGCCTTACTTCCCGTCCAATTCTTTGACACTCATATGCTATTCTTATCTATTCCAGCTATTGTACACGACCATGCCATGAATTTATACCGGCATTCTATCAATATAGTCCTATGCATACATGGACGTCCTGTGCTGGGTTGAACTTCAACCGTGGGAAGAACGCGCCCATCCCGACCGTCACGTTGCGATTTCCTTTGAACCAATTCGTTCATTCCCCCTTGCTCCGAACTTCGACTTTCTGGTCACTCGAATTCATCCATCGTTACACAAGACATATCATCATTATACACCTATGCAATACAATCCATATCGTACACCAACAGATTCAGCAGCGAAAGAAGAACGCTAGTACACGAGAGCGAGACGCAGCTCAATACTTGACCGCGGCTTGCCCATGTTCTTCCTTTCTTCGTCGAAGACTGAAGAGGAAAGATGAGTCTCTTTGATGGACGCTATGGAGGGGCGGACGTACAAGCAGTGTGGGGAACGCAGCCGGCTTTGCCGTAGGGGATTGCTGGGGAGCAGGTAAGTGACGAGCTATGCAGAGTTCATGCGGGCTTACTGTTGTCGAACTGGCGGAAGATGAGGGCCTCGTCAGGCATCTGGTCGTGCACGTACATCCACCGCATGTTCTCTACAAGCGTCGTCAGCAGAGCCTCCGATCGAGCTACGGGTCGAACCCACCATTGTGCCGAATGAAGTAGCCGCCGCCGTACTGCGTGCTCGATCAGCGGCATAGAACATTAGCTGCAGGAGGGAGAGCGCACCTTGTCCGTTGTCCACATCATGTCGTTCGGGTCGAGCGTCGACGCGTCGCATAGCGCCAGAGGTGCGTCCATCACCGGCCCATTCAGTGGACGCCAAACGTTGCTGACGATTGGTCAGTATGATCTTCCCCTCCCTCCCCCCACACACACTGCATACGCACATGATCGCCACCCTCTCCGCATCCTGATGCTCTCCATCGAACGCAGCCAGCAGCCGCGTGCGGGCGCGCTCCTTGTTGATGTCGACGTGGACCGCGGGCACGGGCTGCATGCCGAGCGCTTTCTCCTGCGCCTGGTCGTAGTTCGCGTCGACGTTGTCCTCATCGCCGGGCGTACGGCGCCTGCAAGACAGTGGTTAGCCGAGCCCAAGCTGCACGACGTGCGTCCTCACCGAATCTGATAGTTGATGCATCTGACCTCCTTCGCGCCAGTGATGCCCTTGACGTAGCTATCGTTCCTCGTCAGTACAATGCGATCGAAGTCCTCTCTCTCCGCGCCCATACAGAAGCAAGAAGACAACACTTACTCGCACGTGAACTTGGCGTATCGGTCCTGCCACCCCTCCGGACCGTCAAGCTCTGGGAACGGAAGGTTCACCCATGTGAAGCCGTTCTCCTCAAGCGTCGGCTTCTTCGCCTCCTTCCGAAGGTCGTGCATTGGCACCTCGTTCGGGCTGAGGTAGAGGCTCTCCCCATTGGCGACGAGCTTTACGAAGGGGAACTCGAATGCGCCCGGGGCGGTCTTGTCGTTCGCGAAGTTGAGGCGCGTGCGGAAGGGGACGGTCTGAACCATGACCATGTGTCGTGAAGGCGATCGGCGGTAGAGGGGACGAAGAAGAGAAGGTATCCGGGGAAGAAGTGCAGATGGATGGTATAAAGTCGAGAGATCAGGTACCCCGCCCCCGATTCGCTGATATATGCCTGCTGATGCGTTCTCGAGCGGGTCTGCACAGGAAGCACCGGATCGCCTCGACCACAGTGTGCGGGGTCGCCAATACCGAAGGGCTCTGCCCAGCTTGGGTGCGCCTCAGGGACGCGCGGTGATAAGGTCGACGGGTGGGAGCAAACCAAGATAAGATTACATACCGCACCTGGGCATCGGACTCAGACACGGGTCAGCCAATCTGAGATCTCAGAACGGTCCTGACCTGAATCATCGTCCCCCTGCCTGCGCCACCCGAGCCGCCCAAGTTAGCTCTGCGCCCGGCCCATTGATTCAGAACGTCCCGGCTCGCAGCCGGGCGGCGTCCAACACCCCGCGCGGCTTCTCAGACCCCGCACAAGGGCGCGCCGCATCTTCGACGCCGCCGCGGACGCATGTGCTCACCGCGCTCGCCTCTGGCGAACGTCGCGGACGACGACGAGCGCGCCTTCTCACCGCTCTTAGACCGTCCCGCGCCACAGGGCTCATTTCGCGCTTTCACTGCTACAGTGACGGGCGCCGCTTGGACTGCGCTCCCGGACCCACGGCCCCACGGCTCACTTATCTCTGTGTTCGAATTTATCTGCACGCACCCAATGATAAGTGCGGTATAGCGTATATAAACCCGCACACGCGCTTTTGGGTAGCTGAGCCCCATCGCCCCCCTCCTCCCCGCCTCCCTCCCCCCCGACAAGTGACCGTCGCTTCGTCAATATGGTCGCTGGCATGGAGACGTTCAGGAGTGTCCCGAATCATGACTCGCACTTGGTGGGTTCCCGAGTCCGCTTCTTATTCACGAGTGGGAAGACTGACGGACCGCTGCAGACATGGTGGCAGAACAAGGGTCTGCGCGAGCTGAACTTGCTGCTTCTTTGCGTTTTCGTCGCGCAGTTCTTGAACGGGTTCGATAGTGCGCTGCTCAGCAGCTTCCAGTCCATGGCGTCGTGGAAGACTTGTAAGTTGTCGCGTGTCACATCGCCGCCCATCGTTGTTCTGACCTGCCCTCCCTAGCTCTCGGTAACCCCGACTCAAGCAGGATTGGTCTTCTCAATGCGGCTATGTACCTGTCTGGCAGTGAGTCCTGCTCGTCTGCGTGCGCCTTTGCTCTTCCTCACTGATCACGTTTCCAGTCGTCATCGCTCCCGTCGCTGCGTACGTCGCTGACAAGTGGGGTCGCAAGTGGTGCATTCGCTACTCCTCCGCTGCGAACTTCATTGGCACGGCTATCGGTACGGCATCTGGTGCGGGCTCCACGAGCGGCTATGGCATGTTCATTGCCTCTCGAGTTATCGTAAGTAGAAGCGTCATCTAGATCGGTCGTCGAGCGCTTACTTTTGCTCTCTGCAGATCGGCTCCGGTCTGGCGTTCGCGCTCATGGTGTGCCCCATCATGTGAGTTGCGCGCGGGACGTCTTTTTGTGCGCGCAAGGCTGACTTTCCATCCAGTCTGCAGGAGCTTCCTCACCCGAAGCACCGGACGTGGCTCGCGGGTTCCTTCAACATCTCGTTCATCATCGGCAACTTCATCGCGGGCTGGGTCACCTTCGGTTGCGGCTACATCAAGTCTGACTGGGCGTGGCGCATCCCCTACCTCATTCACCTTCCTTTCGCGTTGTTGATGATGGTCCTGATCAACTGGGTTCCCGAGTCGCCGCGTTGGCTCAGTGAGTTTCCCCAGTCGCAGCTGATGTCCGCTTGGTGGTTAACCGACTTTCAGTCAACAAGGGTCGCGAGGACGAGGCGCGCGCTCTGTTCGTCAAGTACCACGCTAACGGCTACGAGAACGACGAGCTCGTCGAGTTCGAGATGGCCGAAGTCAAGGAGGCCATCGTCCACGAGAAGACCTACAAGCAGGACTCGTGGAAGTCCATCATCTCGAACAAGAGCAGCCGGCACCGCATCGGCTGTGTGATGTTGATTGCCATCTGCCAGAATCTGTCCGGCACCGCTATCATCGCGTACTACTACACGTCCAGTGAGTATCTTTCTCCTGCTCCTTGCCGCCCCTTTCTCATGCCTCGCCAGTCCTCAAGCTCGTCGGCATCACCGACACCCCGACGCAAACGGGCATCAACGCCGGCCTCACCTCCTTCACCGTCCTCATGGCGCTCTTCGGCCTGTGGCTCACGCAGCGCGTCCGCCGGCGCCCGCAGCTCCTCTCCACCTGGGCCGCCGTCATCCTCGCGAACATCGGGCTCATCGTCTGCACGGCCGAGTACACGAAGACGGGCAAGACGGGCGCGGGCATCGGCGCCGTCGTCTTCGTCTGGCTCTACAACGGCGCGTTCTTCGTCAGCTGCGGGTCCATCTTCTTCTCGTACCCGGCGGAGGTGCTGCACTACTCGATCCGCGCCAAGGGCATGATGGTGTGGACGATCACGGCGAAGTGTCTCTCGGTGTTCAGCGCGTACACGAACCCGGTGGCGAGTGAGTTGTTTTGTGGTTGATTTGTGGCAATCTTGCTGACTGGGTCCAGTGTCGAACATCGGCTGGAAGTGGTACACCTTCTACACGTGCATCCTCGTCATCACCGGCGTCTGTCTCTTCCTCTTCATCGTCGAGACCAAGGGCCGCACGCTCGAGGAGTACGTGATCTTCCCATTGTCCTCCTTTACCGCCGCTGACATAAGCTCCCAGAATCGGTCAACTCTTCGACGGCGTCCCGCTCGAGGCCGCCCAGCACCCGGGCCACACCATCGACGAGCTCAAGAAGGACTCGACGACCGTCAACGTTTCCGCGGCAGAGTCGCTGGAGAAGGTCTGAGCGCCGTCGTGTCATCGTCTCCCGGTTCCGGCGCCGTCCTCGAGTTGTGGCGCGTGTACGTAGATAGATTTCTCTCGGTGTTGTCCCCTGTGTTCGCCTTTGTATCATTATCGTGGTAACGCTGGAGCTGATATATTTTTGGGTCTCATAACTGCGTGCTGGTCTGCGAGCACTGGAATGTGCGAGGAACTTGTTTGAGGCCCGCGGGCCCTTGATCTCCTCCGACTGTCCTCCCTACCTTCTTTGCATCCCAGAGTCGACTTTCAAGTTTTCCGTCGTTGTAAGCGAAGAGTCGTTAGAGTGCTGTAGGGTTGACGGCGAGCTGCAGGGGACATAGGCTCATGCCGACTCAGAGTGAAGATCAATTCCGAGTGATTGACCTATGGCTCCCACTCCCTCAGCTCATTCAGGCGCAATATAAGCCCGCTGACCGATGCGAATGGTGCAAAGCGTCGTCTTCATGTCCTTGAGAGCCTTCAAAGAGAGTGTGTCTGGTCCATGAGTACCCTGATAGCTGCAGCCTCTCCCAGCGAAGGTACGAAGCTGATGGTCGTCTTGTGGATTGAGAGCGTGAGCGACGAGTTGGGCGAGAGTTTTCTAGCACTTTGAGCAGACAGTCGCGCCCGGCAGCTGTTTCTTGAAGGTCTCATTCATAGAGATGTTAAGAAAAGGCCAGGTTGTGACTCATTCATGCAAACATTGTGCTCGGCAAATGCCGTCAACTCATAAATCGTTGTAAACAAAGCCAAATAAACCGAAGGCGGCAATTTATGGCCGTCCATGGCCACATCTGCCGCAATCTGGTGCATATATACGAGTAACAAAACAACCCTATTTGCCATCCGGAATGTAGGTCCCGATGTCGGTTCTCGGTGAGTGAAGCAGTATTGTCTTGCGTAGGAATATTGGACTCAATCGCATCGCTTGGCTATTTCACGTTCCATCACAGACGATGTTTTCTGCATCGTGTATCCCAATATATCAGAGCATCTCAGCCTCTCCTCACCCCTACCCTCACTCGCTCAAACTTGCGGGGAAAGCCGCGTGTGGAGATCCACGTGCTATCGTATCACTGATCCGTGGGGGAGGAACCCCATCAGTTTCTATTGTGTGAATTGCATCCGCTCTTGGCTTCTGACTTCATGCCACCATCGCGAGTGATTCCAGGCAGATATCCGCCTCCGGGAACGTCCCCCATAGCGGACGCCATTCGCGAGCGCCGGGGAGCGAGGGGGATTACATCTTTGGATGCGGCCTTGTTGCACGTTCCCCCAGTTGCGCAGGGCTGGAACTCTCTTTTGGGAGCGATACGTACAAAGGGGAAGTTGCCCGGGGATCTGAGGGAGGCTATAGTACGTCTTTCAATATTCGACTGTCTTTAGGGTAAATCTTGAGCGTGCATCGCATAGATCCTTCGCGTCGCTGCGCTCAACGGCGCCGCGTACGAGTGGATACACCACGAGCACGTCGGTCGCTCTCACGGCCTTACATCGCACCAACTCTTCGTTATCCGCAACACACACGATCACTCCCGCTCTCCCGTAACACCTGGCGTCTTATCGTCCTTGCAAGCTGCGGGCATCGTCTTCGCAGACGCGAGCACGAAGGACGTACGTGTGCCCCCAGACGTCACATCCGGCCTCAGAACAGCACTCGCTCTATGGCTCGACGGCGAGGGTGGTGACCTTTTGAATGAGGGCGCGTCGAAAGACGATGTGCTTGATGACCTGCTTGTTGAGGCAGCCGCTGTCGCCGCGACCTATAACATGGTCTCCCGCCTACTTCTTTCTCTAGACGTCGACGGTATGGCCGACGATCCCGTAGCCTGGCCATGTGTCAAACAAGAGGTGCGCCATTAGTTTTCATCACCTTGACAACCTTCTCTTGCTTCTCATCCTTGTAGCCCTCTAACCCACCTCACAGCACTTCATCCCTTTCCCCTCCTCTCCCACCCACCACATCCACGCCATCACGCTCACCACAAACCCGACCGCGCCCTGGATCGCGCTCACCAACTCCCTCCTCACCGACCACACAATGTGGGACCGCCTCGTCCCCTTCCTCCTCGCCCCGCAGGAGCCCGCCGCACCCCGCGGGTACAACGTCCTCCTGCACGACGCGCGCGGGCACGGTCAATCAAGTACTACCCCCGGGCCCCTCACCATCCCCCAACTCGCCCGCGACCTTGCGGACGTGCTCGCTGCGCTCAACATCCCCCTCGTGCGCGCCGTCGTCGGTGTCTCGCAGGGCGGCGCCGCCGCACTGTCCTTCGCCGCCCAATTCCCGCACCGCACGAAGGCCGTCGTCGCGTGCGACACTGGCCCGAGGACGCCCGCGGGCAATCGCGCCGCATGGGACGAGCGGATTGCGTTGGTGCGCACTAGTGAGGCTGAACAGGGTGATGGCGCAGGGATGGCCGCGCTCGCCGACGTCACAATCCCGCGTTGGTTCCCCTCAGGCTCGCCCTGCTTCCCGGGCGACGCAAGCGGGCACCCGCCAGGGGAACGCGCTGCGAGGGGCAAGTGGGTCGCAGACATGATCAAGTCAACGAGCGTACCCGGCTTCGCCCTCGGCGCCTCCGCGTTGCAGGACTACGATCTCTACCCCCCGTCGGCGGACAACGGCGGACAAGCTCTGCTCGAGAGTCGACTGCCGGTGCTGCTGGTAGCTGGAAGCCTGGATGGGGGCGGGAAGGTTGGGGCGGGGATGCTAAAGTTGGCCGATGAGTGGAATGAGGCCAGAGGAGGGGAGGCCGTGCAGGTTGAGTACGCGGAGATCGAGGGTGCGGGGCACCTGCCAATGATTGACCAGACTGAGAAGTTTTGGGAGGTGCTCGACAAGTATTTGCGCTCCCTCTGAAGTCCAGTTTCTGTTCATCGACCACATCCATCCTTCACGCCCAATACAGGATATGCCAACCCTATTCAAGTTGTACCCTTCTCTTCGAGTCCCGCATTGTACTGTAACCATGTTGTATTATACAATAACGTATGCATCTCAAACCGTCTCTGCCTACCTACGCCGAAAACATACCAGGATACTCGATCTTCTGCATAAACTCCTCGCGCTTGTGCCAGATCTGGTCGATGGACGTGTAGCCGCAAAGGCCGAGCGTGATCTCCGTCTCGCATAGCAGTCCGCGCACGACCTGTTCCACGCCCTCGCTGCCGGCGAGCGCGAGGCCGTACATGTACGGACGGCCGACTAGAATACTGGTCATTACAGTGCTGGATAGCGAAGGCGGGCGGTACTCACGCAACACAGCCTGCGCCCCGATGGCGACCGCCTTGACGATGTCGCTGCCACGGCGGATGCCCGAGTCGAAGAGCACGGTAAACTTGCCCGCCAGTTGCGCCTCCTTGATGCGCGAGTCACCAGTGATCTTCTCCAGCGCCATGAGCGCAGGCAGACATCCATCAATTTGCCGTCCTCCTGACCACAAAGTCAGTCCGGGGCCAGACGTACGAGCATTACCAGCGCACCATGGTTGGACACAATGATCCCATCGCAGCCCACCTCCATCGCTTTCAGCGCGTCGTCCAGCGTCATGATCCCCTTCAGCATCAGCGGTCCCTCCCAATGCTTCCGCACGAACGCCAGCTCCTCCCACGTCCGGAACAGCCCCGAGTGGATCTGCCGCGCCCAATTCCGCCCTAGCTGCTTCATCTGTATTTCGTGCTCGTCCCCCGCCGCGCGCTTCGCATCCAGCTCCGCCGGGTCGAACGGGAACGGCGCGCGCTCGTCCGGCCTTGCCTCCAGCTGCTGCGACGCCATAAACGCCGGGTCGCTCGTGCCGACCTGGATGCCCACGCCGTGCATGAACGGCAGGAACGCCGTGTCGAGGTCGTACGGCCGCCAGCCCATGCACATCGTGTCGAGCGTGACGATGCACGCGCTGTAGCCGGACGTCTTCGCGCGCGCGAGGAGGGATAGCGTGATCGCCTCGGAGCGTGGCCAGTAGAGCTGGTACCAGCGCGGGCCGGCTCCGTTGGCGGCGGCGCAGTCCTCGAGCGAGCGCGTGGCGGCGGTGGACATAATGAAGGGGACTTGCATGCGGCTGCAGGCGGCGGCGGCGCAGACTTCGCCTTCGGGATGGATCATACCATGGACGCCGATGGGGGCAAGGAGGAGCGGGGACTTGTACTTCACGCCGAAGAGGGTGGTCTGTGGAAGGTGATGAGAGGATGATCATGATGAAAGTCGGTCTGCACATACCTCGAGCGACCGATCGGACGAGTCTACAAGCATCTTAGGAATAAGCGCCCATCGCTCGAAAGCCTTGCGGTTTGCGCGATCTGTCGATCCAGCACCTGCGCTGCCGAAGACGTACAGGAATGCAGCTGGGCATATGTCAGTTCGTCTGAAAGGGGTCGAGATACAATATCACGCACCCTTCGAGTACGGCTCCGCCTTGAGCTTCTCCCTGGCAGCTTCCTCCAGCTTATCCGGGTCGTACGAGCCCACAAGAGGAGGTACGCGTCCACCGTACACGACGCTCATGTACGTCGACCATGACTCAGGGATCTCCTGGTCAGCTTCGAGGGCGGCCTTCAAAGACATGGTGCTCGGTGGCGCGGGCAGATGGGATTATCGAGGAACGATGCAAGACAATAGTGATATAGCAGCAATGCAGAACGCCTGGACTCCCGGGGACGGGTTCTCATTGAGGGCGGGCGTTGGATCCCTTCGCGGGGAAATGATTTGGATCGCATGCGCAGGCGCGATAGGCAAGTTTGCCGAGTCGGTTTCCGCGAATGCGGGCGGGCGACTTGGCTGAATCATGGCTGTCTCTGCGCTCCAGATCGAGGCACAGTGGCCCCAAGAGAGCCTGTAGATGGTAGGAGCGTCGTGGCGGAATGTGCGAATGCCGGGTGCCTGGGAGGACGAGAGAGTCGGGGCGAGAGACAAAGCCTTCCATATCGGGATGCCGCAGGGTGATCGGGTCCGGGGCGGGATGTCGGGCCAGGAGGGCGAGGGGCGATAAGCGCCGGGATCTCTTTGATTGATCCCGCGCTCAGCAAACAATGACCTCCGCCTTGCCTCCCCTCTGCAATCTCTCCTCTCGTCCTCCAGGTCACCCGTAGCACGATGTCCAACCCGCTCGTCGACATCCACACGCACGTCTACCTCCCACGATACGCAGAAGTGCTGCGATCGCGCGCGACCGTACCCAGAATTCTGACGCGCGAAGATGGCGAGGAGCGCCTAGTCATCCTGGACAACGAGCCTAGCGGCGGCAGGCCAGTTGGTCCGCAATACTGGGCGCGCGAGGAGAAGTTGAGATTCATGGATCTCCACGGGATCGACATCTCCGTCGTCAGGTGCGTCCCGCCACCAGTCGCTCGCGCCATCGCTAAAGGTGACACGCAGCACCGCAAACCCCTGGCTCGACTTCTTCGATGCAGCGGAGGCGCACACGATCGCCAAGCAGCTGAACGACGACATGGAGGAGTACTGCGCGTCGTCGCCCGCGTACGGCAACGGTCCCTTGAAGCGCATCTACGGCATGGGCATCCTGCCCCTCGTCCCCGGCATCTCCACCGAAGCGCTGCTGGAGTGCATACATCAGATCGCCGCCGCGCCGCACCTCCACGGCCTCATTATGGGGACACGCGGGGTCGGGAAGGGCTTGGACGATGATGCACTTGAGCCGGTGTGGAAAGCGATCGCCGACGCCGGCCTCGTCGTCTTCCTCCATCCGCATTACGGCGTTGACAGCAGCGCATGGGGCGAGAAGGACAATGGTCACGTCCTCCCCCTCGCGCTCGGCTTCCCCTTCGAGACCACCACGGTGCGTCCTACCTCCCCTCTCCCACCGCACCCTCTTGGCTAATTGACCCCCTCCAGGCCATCACCCGCCTCATCCTCGCCGGCGTCTACGACCGCGTGCCCGACCTCCGCATCCTCCTCGCCCACTCCGGCGGCACGCTCCCGCAGCTCTCCTCCCGCCTCGCCTCCTGCATCGACCACGACCCCGTCGTCGCCGCGCGCCTCCAGCACGACGCGCGCTTCTACCTCGGCAAGCTCTTCTTCGACGCCGTCGCCTACGGGCCCGAGGAGCTCGGCTTCGTCAGCGAGGTCGTCTCGCGCGCGGCGCGCTACGCGCCGGGCGCGGACAAGACCACCTTCGTCGCGGCGAGCAGGAAGGCAGGGTCGGAGCGGATGATGTTCGGCACGGACCATCCGTTCTTCCCGCCGCTGTCGTCGACAGAGAAGTGGAAGAGCGTCGTGGAGAACTTGGAGGCGATCGACACCGTGACGGGGTGGGATAAGGCAGAGAAGGACGGGGTGCGTGGCGGAAATGCGCTGAAGATCTTCGGTATTTTGTAGTATATGAGTCTTCAGTGCTGGGTATAGACGCGTTTTCGTTCCTCTTCGCATGAAAGTATCCTGGACGATAGGTCAAGCTTGTCGTGGATCGCGAGTTGCAGTCGACCAAAGAGCCTGAGCTTGAGATGATGTTCATGCAGCAGAACGACCGTCTCGCGGACCAGATAGACTATAGCCCGTCGTCAGCTCTCAAGAGGACGCGTTCAACCCTGCATGCGCACCTTGGTCGCCTTCCCGTCAAAGTCGCTTAAAGACCGCAAGCTACTTCATGTGCGAGTGCGACCGACCTGGTCTTTGTGCTACGCGTCTGGTAGGATATCACTTGGACGCTGAGACTCGATAAGCGCTGGCTGCGCCAGCAGCGCCCTAGCTTGTCCAAGCTTATGCGTTGGACTGTTTGCCGTTGAGACTCTGAGAGCGTGCTGTAGTGTGTTGCTGAAATGTTGAACCAAATTTCGCCGAGCTTGGGGACAAAAAAAGGAGCCTGGAGCTCGCCGCAGCGGCGCTGGCTTGATGGCTAATGACTCAATGTTCTATTTAACTGAACGTAGCGTTGACCTTGAAGCATGTCAATGCCGAACCATGTTAATCAGAAACATACGAAGCACGATGGTTTCCAGTAGACGGATCAGAAGCCGCAGAGTAGCATTGAGCTGACAAGGGCCGCGACCGCATGCTCTCAAGTCGACCGGTGTCCAGCGCAAGGAATAGGGCTAACGCCGTTGAGTGCGCTTGCTTACCTTTATTTGTTCTGCGCTCGATCCCCAGCAGATGATGAGCGCGAAGTTCGCGCGCTCCTGACCTCGTACATCGTTCATTGCATGTGCTGACAGACACCAGTCCTCGCTCAATCACCCTTGGGACCTTCGAAGAAAGTTGAGCGACGGCTGATTTTGGCCGCTCGACAATGCGCGTCGGACTGTTTTATTGACTGCGTGCTATGCTGAAGTAATGTAATGACTGGCACTCACAGAAAATAATGCTTGCGTGTATACGTCGTTTGGATATCTGAGCGCTTGAAAGGGGGAAAGGGACGTTGTGTACCCGAGTAGGGGTAAGGAAGGAAGCCACGAGCTGGCGGATTCGAACCTACGATCTTTGGCACAGTGAATTTGGCCTTGTTTACTCAGGACAAGATTCCCACGGCAATTAAAGGGCGCAAGAGCCCTAGACAAGCTAGGGGACGAGAGCATCGCAAGATATCACAGCGATGAACGTCGAGGACAAGCAGCGAACTCCTCGCCTCCTTCGCAAATGGCGTGAAACGTGACAGTCACGCAAACTCGAGTTCGATTGCTCCGCATTGCTGGCTGAACGAGTAGCATACATCCGCACGGATCAAGGTGTACCGAAGTCCAATCGCAAACAGCCGTCGTACATAAGCAACTGCCTGCGCAAGCGGACATCACAGCGATCAACAGCGCGATCCTACATCGAGCTGCAAGCCCACAGCAAAGTCGGTCCCCCATGTGCTGGAAGGAATAAGCTATTGTCAAGGTAATGCGAAGCGGGCACGTACCGCATGCGTGTACCTCCGCCAGGCGTCAATAGCAATCGAACTTGGGCACTAAGCTTCGTAGTTTGCGCATGGCGTCTTCGTTTGGATTGGTGGGCACGAAGTTGTCGATATCCAGACACTGCAAAGGACATCCCGCCGAACGCCGTGCTTCAACCATCTCCACCAACGCCTCCCCACTGCATTGACAGTTCGATAGCCAGACCTCCGCCAAATTTGGCCACAGGAGGGGCTTCCCGCAACTGGACAAGGCAGCCAACCGTGCTATATCCTCGTCCAACAGCGGCATGGCACCCGGCGAGAACCAGCTGAGCCTGCGCAGATCGCACTGAGAAGGCATATATGTCCTTTCCGATAGGGGCGGATAGCGCAGATCTAGCTCGCGCAACGGGCACTTGGATCGCTCGAAGAACGAAGATAAGTAGGATCGTGTGTAGATCACCGGGGTGCCATACTCGTCATCCCACCCAAGGCTGAGTTTGCTCAACGCGGGAGTCGTCACGTGATCAAGTGTCCTGGAGGCATCCGCTCGCCTGTCGTCCGGAATATCGTCCATGATCATGTCGAGGTAACTGAGCCACATCGTCTGCAGATGAGGGAGCACAACTGGAGTGGGAGGGTCCAAGGGGTCGACCTCGTCTTCAGGCATCTCGCTGTGGGACCAATGGCGGAGGCTGTCGCAGCGTGCGAGGATTCGCAAAGCGTACATATGGGTGCACTGGGTATCAAGCGAAGCGATGTTGGCCCATGGAAGTCGAGGAATGATTGCGGAGTCCCAATGACTTTTTATGTGCACCGTGCGCAGAGCAGGTGCATCCAGGAATACGTCGGTATCGTTCCACGTTTCGTCGTCTTGCATGAAGACATTGAGGTCGAGTTCAAGGGTGTGCAGCACAGCGAAAGAGCAATGGCTGAGACTCTCGAGATACGAGTGTGAGACACCCGTAAGGCGAAGATCTTGCCACTGTGCGGTATACTTGATGATATGCGGAAGGGAATGCATCCTGGCCTCGACGATGCGGAGCAATGGGAGTCCTTGCGTGGCCTCAAGGCAATGATCGAATCGCCTCAAGTAATTTCGTTGCGCATAGGAAAAGCCTCTGGCTCGTGCTTGGGTAGGTAAAGGGACCTCGGTCCACAAGCGCGGATTATTGTACATGATATCTAGCAAGGAGATGAGGTTTAGTGTCCGAATGAACATGGCTAGAGTACACGCACCACGCCATAACTTGCAAACTGCGGCAATTTCCAAGCCCGCGAATTGGAAAGGATCGCGTGGATGAATGTATTCGATTGTCGGCATGCAGCTCCATCTGAATATCTCCACGAGCAGTTCGATGGGAAGGCGGCGAATGGGCGCAAGGTAGGTACGCTGTCGGGCAATCACCTCTCGAAGCTCGCCCTTCATACTCTTGAGAGTCGCAAGCGCGTTGCTCATCTTCTGTATTTCCTCCTTGACGGTCTGAAGCTGAGCTTCGGCCTGCTTCATCGCCGATCGCGTATGTCTGCGAGACGGGACTTGCCCGGCGCGAAGTTGATGATCTTCGTGGGGTTTTGGGGGCACATGGAGTGTGTAGGCAACCTTGTGCTGGCAGTGCGCGCACGTCTGGACAGACCGCGGGACCTTCTGAGAGGAGACCATGAGCAGCGATGTGGGCAATGGCAGGGACCAAGCAGGAATGCCGATCCAGCATTCTGCCCACGTGTTCAATGTGGCGTCCGTGACTCACGCGGCGACACCCGTCACAGTTCGAAAGCCTGGTTTCAGCCAACGCTCATGACAACCCTAGAAAAATCACAGAATGTTCGCGTGAGTATCAGTCAGTTCAGACAGGGTGTGGATGGCTGCGCATACCACTCGGCTACGCGATTCAATACTGGGTATGCTAATGACTCTATACCTCTCACCACTGCGCCGCCATTTTCCGCTCAGCGGTTACGCGCGCCCGAGGGCCTACATAGGTTTGCGACGCGCGCTCATGGACTGCTCTGCCGTGCTGAGGTACCAACACCGCTGCTATTCAGCCTGCAATTGATCACCGCACGCCACAGCGTGATAGAATTTCATGACTCATCACGAGGTCAAGAGGTCGTCCAGCGCGCTGGGAAGTGCGCTAGTTTCTCTGCTTGCTGCTTCCACTCACCACCACACCATCCGGCATGCGAAGGATACTGAGCAAAGGCAAAGGCAAGGGGACCACGGATACCACAGACGCCAAGCAGCAGATGCTGGCCGGACGAGGTCGGAGAAGCCAAGTCGCGATAGATGGCCTCGTGGCACTTCTCGCGTTTGGGAAAGATTCAACTGACGGTTTCGGCCTGGCGAAGGGGGTTCTAGGAGGGTTGCTCTATGTGATTGAGACGGCCAGAGTACGTCGTATGACCACACATGCCCCAGATGTAATTCTGAAGTCCTGCTACAGCTTTTCGAGGCGAACAAGCAGGAATGGTCTACCTTCGCATCCTTCCTGAGCGGACTTCACGACGATGTGGCTAGCGCGACGCGGCGCTTTGACTCAAAGGTACCGCATGATCTCGCAGAAGACCTCCGGAAGCTGCAGCAGTGGGTCCTTGGCGTTCGTAACCTGGCCGCATTGCTGATGATTCCCAGGCCATTATTGCAAGTTGCTATCGAAATGAAGCAGATGTCTTCGCGCTCTGGCATGGCTAAGCTGTTACAGACGCGCGAGGATCCACAGAAGATTGCGCGCTTCCGAGTGCTCATTGACGCTGCTACCACGAGATTCACGGTCCGTGACTGCGCTCCGAAGACATGGAGATGTGCTCACAATCAGCCAGGTGGTGCGGCTTGTCAACGTCGAGCGCATTCTTGGCCATGTCAGCGATCAAGTGCATCACGTTGGGCAACAAGTCGGCCAGGTCGGGACTCAGATAAGCAATGTCGAGCGTCAGATAGACGAGATCGCACTATCCATGAGGAGTATAGCCGAGCAGTACGTTTGGGCTGGTGTTCATTTGGTAGGGGGCTAACCTCACTATTCATAGTAAGCACTCTGGCTCTTCGACGCCCTCGACGACGGGCTTTCGGGTGCTCAAGCCCTGTCCGCCGCCAACGCATGCGTACACCGGACGAAAAGACATCCTGGATAAGATGCACGCCTACTTCGCCCCCGTGAACGGCAAGCGCAAGGTATTCGTCTTGTATGGCCTCGGAGGGGCCGGCAAGACACAAGTGGGCTGCAAGTTCGTCGAGATGAGCCAGTTCGACAGCGAGACACAGCGGTAGGTATGGGGGCTCCGTTCGTTCAAGATCACCTGCTGACCGCGACTCAGGTTCTCCGAGGTCTTCTACCTGGACGCCTCGACGAAGGACACCCTCATCGCCGATCTCAAGGCGCTCGCTATCGCCAAGGAAGCCGGCAAGCGCGTCGACGATGCGCTCACCTGGCTCGCACGGCATACGGAGGACTGGCTGCTGTTCTTCAACAACGCGGACGACCCGAAGCTGAACATCAAGCAGTACTTCCCCGCCTGCTCTCACGGCAACATCCTCATCACGACGAGAAACCGCGCGCCGCTCGGGCACTCCGCAGCGTCCATACCGCATTGCAATGTCGGCGCCATGTCCAAAGCGGACGCGAAGCTCCTGCTACTGCAGATGGCAGGCCTCCTGGAAGTTCGCGATGAGGAGAAGAAGAACGCTTCCCAGATTGTTTCCGTAAGGGTTCCCCTCAGTCTCCGTCTTCGCGCTCACGAGTATACGCAGGCCCTGGGCTACCTTGCTTTAGCGATCGCTCAAGCCGGCGTCTTCATCTTCAAGACTCACTGCACGCTGGCCCGCTATTTCTCGATGTACCGTGAACGGCATCACGCCGTACTCGAGTTTTTCAAGGACAGCCTCGATGGATACCAGTACACGGTCTACACGGCGTGGATCATCAGCTTCGACCAGCTGAGGCGGCAGAACGCTGATGCCGCTGCCGTCCTCCAGATGTGCGCCTTCTTCCATCATGACAACGTCTCCCGCGCCATGTTCCGCAATGCCGTCGAGAATCTCCTTGGCCCGGGGAGCGATCACGTCCTAATGGAGGAGACCGAGTCGAACACGAAGGCGCTCACAGCTGCGAAGACCTTCCTCGCTGCCTTCGCCGACGACAACTCCGCATGGGACGACCTCAAGTTCCTCCGCCTGCTCGCCGACATCCAGTCGTATTCTCTCATACAGTACGACCGCAACACGGAGACGTTCTCCATTCACCCGCTTGTACATACGTGGTGTCTGACGACAATTTCCGACCCTTCAATATTCAGGCTGGCGGCAGCCTTCGTGATAGGACGGTCCATACACTGGAGGTACAGTACCGAAGACTACACCTACCGACGTCTCCTCCTTCCACATCTCAATGCTATCTCGCAGAACATCGCCGCGCTCGACCCTTCCGTCGGTCTAGAGATCGCCTTGGCATACTACGAGTCCGGGCGGAACGAGGAATGCGAGCGGCTGGTGAGGTTCGTCGTCGACGCGCAGGCGCGTATATTCGGCGCGCATGCCCTCGATACGCTCAAGACCCTCGCAAAGCTCGCGAGCGTATACGCGCAGCAGGGCCGCTGGAGCGAGGCGCAGGCCATCGACGAGACAGTCCTGAGCGTGCGACGGCGCGAGCTCGGCGACACGCACCCCCACACACTCGTCGCGATGAACAACCTCGGCATCACCTACCGCGAGCAGCACCGCTGGCGCGAAGCGGAGGAGCTCTTCCTCGAAGTCCGCGACACGCGCGAGCGCCTCCTCGGGCGGGATCACGCCGACACTCTGCGCGTCCAGTCGAACCTTGCGGAGACTTACCGGTGGCAGGGGAGAGATAAGGCGGCGGAGGAGTTGGAGTTGGATGTGATAGCGGCGCGGACGCGCACACTGGGCGAGGAACACCCGGATACATTGACCGCGATGGGTCGACTCGCAGCTTCGTACATGCAGCAGGGGCGGCAGGAAGACGCGGAGCAGCTACAGAAGCGGGTCTTCGACATATACCAGCGCACGACGGGAGAACGGCCGCAATCGTTGGATGCGATGCCCAGCCCCGGGTTGGAGAGGAGTATTTGGCTTTCCTGGTCGGACTAATGAATGCCTTTCTCACGATGTCTCAATGATACCATCTATTCAAGCCTGCTCTCACGAACTTTGTAGCCATAGTACACTAGTCAACATCAACCCTTTAAGTATTGGTACAAGCCCCATCTCGTTACAATCATGAAATATACATGTTCATTTAATCAGACCAAGCGCCCTGAACCTGCTTAGCCCTTAGCACTGCGTGTTCTGGTAGACCTGGGTCGAGAAGCAGTTGTAGTTGTCCGCGTTGAGGACAGACTGCGAGTCTGAGGACGCCTTGTCAGCATGGGCCAGATGAACTTCGACGAGCGACATACCGGAGAGCGCCTGATCAGCCGAGCAGCCGTACGTGATGTCGTCCGTGTCCGCGACGGCGTGCGTCAACTCGTGGAGGGTCGTGCCACCGCGAATGTTGCGTGCAGCAACAGTAGTGCCGGTGCAGAGGTTCTCCGACGGCTCCTCGTCGTAGAAGATATCGCAGTAGTAGACTACGACATTGTTAGTAGCAGTAAAAGTCGAAGACAAGCGAGGCTTACTGTCGGTGGTGGCGATGACAGTGTACGCGATGACGTTACCGTCGCAGACGCCGTACGGGTCCGAGCAGTTGAGCGTGCGCGACGAGTCGCTCTCGGACGCGACGGCCGAGAACTTGCTCGACACGGTCGACGTCGAGCTCGAGCCGTAGTACGCCGTGAAGAGGGAGTCCGCGCCGTTGCTGCTGATGTAGCTCGCCGCGATGGACGCAAGCTCTTTGCCCTCGGAGTAGGAGGCAGAGATGAACGACGCGAGCGACGAGTCGGAGCAGGACACGGTCGCGCGCTTGACCTCCATCGACCGCTTGGCGACGTCGTCGATGGCAATCGTGACTGAGTTGGCAGTCGACTCGACCTTCTCAGAGATGACATCATTGGCGGCGCCGACCTTGAACTCGGTCTTGGGCTCGAAGGTGAACGAGCCGGCGCCGGCGGAGGCGAAGTCGTAGAGGGTAGCGACTGGCACGGCTATCAGCAAGAGGCAGAGGATAAGCAATCTTCCCGCTTACGGCTGTGCTCCACGGTGACCGACTCGCCGGACTTGATGGTCGTGTACGCGTTGTCGTTGAGCTCGATCGCGACCTTGACGCCCGAGAAGTCGACGGTGGCGCCGTCCTTCTTGACGACGAAGGAGCGCGTCGGGAGCTGGTCCAGGACAGTGCCGTACTGCAGGAGTGTCAGCATCGTACAGGATAAGGGAAAGCCCGACGCTCACCTTCAGGATCTTCACGTCCTCCGAGTTGGTGTTCGTGACCGTCGTCGTGAGCTTAAGATCATCGAGGGACGCGACATTCTCAGGCGCCTTCACGTCGACAGTGAGACCGTCGAAGCGCTTGAGCGGGCCTGCGAAAGCCGAGCTGGCGAGAGCAAGAGCGACGAACGAGGGGGCGAACATCTTTCTCGAGTGTGAGAGGAGTTGTGGGAGATCCTGCGACCTTGGTCTTTTCCTTGCTGCATCGACGCGTCTTTTGTACCCCCCTCGTATCTCGCCGGGCCGCTATGGCAATGAGCGAGTACGGGGGACATGTGCACAGAGAATAGAGGGAGCGGGAGATAGAAGCAGAGGTCGGCGGACGTGACGTCGCTCATGCAAGCCGTAGCGACGCGAGAAGTTCAGAATTGAGTCAACCGCCGGAGTTGTACCTGCCCGCAGCTTGCACTCTTTTCCGTGCTCGCGTTCTCAGGCTGTGTTGGCGGGCGACCCCAAATGGAATACGGACCCAAGGCGGGCGATGGAAGGCGGGTCATGCTGCTCCTGAACAGCTTCACCGGTTGGATGTCCTGATAGAAAGCTGCATGTATTCAATGTCTACGAGCTGGGGTAGCTAGAAGCACGCATAACTCACACGATTGACGCGCCCTGATAGGCGATGACGAGAGTGGTCTACGACGAAGACCAACTTCTGCGCCGTCGAGATGCTGCCGTCTTTGCATTGCGGATCGCCTGACGTCGAGCTGATATCGTCAAAACCGGGAATGAGGTTTCCTGTTATCGAACTTGCGATATGCAGATGCGTGGATAGCGCAGCCTCGACGGATAATTTCAGAGACGAAAGCGAGCCCACGATGCTACCCCGGGCCAGACACCTCGCGAGAATGAACAACAGATAAACACACATATGACATGCAGAGTCGTTGTCAAAAGACACGCTGCTTGTTCAGCGCAGGCTCGGATAGAAGTCGGCTGGGGCTGAAGATGATGGCCAGCCCGTCGAGTGCAGTGTGCCCGCTATGACGGGTACGTTCCGTGACCTCTCTAGCTGAATGCAGTCGATTGAGATTGCAATGGACGCGCGCGAGGAGACCACACAGGACCGCATACTCAACGCATGGCCTCCTCTGCGATGAGTCGGACTCAACGATGCCAAGACAGCTCTCTGAGAAGCAACAGCGTCAGCATGCGCATGGACGACTGCTGGCGAAGACACAGCCCGCATACCTCTGCCGTCGAGCCTAACGCCCAGATCCAGAAAGGGATACCGACTAAATGCAAGAAGAGCGCGCTTGTGCGCCTTCAGTACATGATCACTTCACCTGCCGGCAGGTCTGCCGCGCTTGCGGGCACCACTTTCGCATGGAACAAGGTCAGCCGATGTCCTCTGCATCGTCCGTCTGACGTCCGGTCTGCCGGCAAGGGCCGGTAGAACATCTGCCGCTGTTGAAAGCGTATCGTCTTGGGTGATACGACGGTCAAGAGGGAGCTGAGATGTGCCGCGACCCTCTTGGGCGCTGGCGGTATGCAGGAAGAACGCTGGGATCGGAACACGGGCTGCCAACTCGCTTCCTTGTTGGCCGTGAGGCCTTGTGAAACCACTTCTGCCGCTGGGCGTCAGACGAACATCCAGGTTATGAAAGGACTCGCGCAGCAATAGACACGGCACCGCTACTCTGGGATGGTAAAGCTCAAGGTAGCCGATCTTCAGGATGACATACGAGACCGTCAGCTGACTGGCGAGGTCGGAGCGGAGGATGTATGGCAGGTCATTGAGCAGCTGGTAGGTCGACGACGTGACGAGATTGATAGACAGAAGCGTCCGCGACGTTGGGAAGAGATGGAGGATAACTGAGGATATGAGGTCAAGCTCTCCGTGTTAGGTTGAGGAACACACCACAATTTCGTGCAAAGACACCGTCTTCTCTTGGATCATTTCCTTGATCAGCTATAGGGTCTATGTAATTTTGTGAGCGATTGCTTCAGAGACAGACAGTGATACCACGCACCGCAATCTCCCTCATTGCACTCTGACCGACGCCAGTGTGCGCGATCATGGCAATCTCGATGTACTTCCCCGCACTTCTTCTTTCCTAGATATTATCCCGGGTCTGTCCAGCCTTGAATCTCGTAAATACGCGGTCGTATATGCCGACTTCAGAATACGGTAGCCACCGCCGCGGACTTGGATCGCCAGCGGTTGTCGCGCTCAACGCAGATCAAACAGGCGGGCGTTGAGCAGTTCGTCAAGCGTGGCAAAGTTCGGGAAGACCAGGATGCTCTCGCGCAGTTTAGCAGAACAAGACGTTAGATCGATGATGACGGTCAGGAACAACGAACAAAGAACACCATATTTGGTAGAACAATCCTTCTACGGACTATACGGGATCTGCCGGTCGACGCTACTGTTGCAGCACTGAAGTCAAGAGAGAAGTACGGTATTCATACAATAGTAAACGGCGAAGAGATGGATGATACTTTTTGTGGATAAGGGCCCTAGTCGGACCCAGAAGACGCGGAATCTCGACGCATCGCTCTGATAAATCTTTTAGGTCCTCCGTCTTGTGATTATATGCACAGTACTCACAATTCCTTTTCCTGTCTATCCCACATTCGGGCCAAGTAATGATATCCTTTGTGTACCGTGACTCTGGGTTCCGTTTCCTCTTCCAAACGCTGCACCATGTCGATCTCGCCATCGAAGTAATCAAGGTCTGTCACATCCTCGATGGACAAGACGATGCCCTTCAGCGGCTTGCGGGCCTCACGACGGGCCTCCAACAGGCGTAGAATTCCGTCTCCGCGATAGCGACCGGGCCCGCCGATGCTGAGGTACTCCAGGTCCTTTAACGCCGCGGGAGTGCCGTCGCCGGCCACGGCGGCGAGCGCAGCAAAGTCGCCATCGGAAAGCGGCATATCGTCCCGCACGCGGAGCGTAAGCGCGCGCAGCCCATCGAATGACGAGGACACCACTGCCCGTTCGCTTGCCGGTACCCCGCGGAGCTGCAGGCGGTCGAGACGGCACTTCGAGCGCGCAAGGAAATGGTATAGATGGGTGCCAGAGTGCACCTCCGGCCCGGCGACTTTATCGGGCCACGTCAAGGAGAGATCCCGCAAGCCATGAGCTTCCAAAAAATCAAGCATCTCGCAGCCTCCCAGCGTCGAGAACGTGGCGTGCGCAGTGTGAAGCTCCGCGAGCGTCACATGCGGTAGGGAAGCAGTGTCGAGGGTGGTCGCCCCGGATAGGTTGAGTACCATCGACTCCAGTCTCGTGCATCCTGCTAAGGCCTTGACTGCGTAGTCCCAAGCGCAGGTCAGGTGTATGTGCACGAGTTGGTGCCAAGGCAGGTTCGGCAACTCCGTGACGGACCCACGTTTGACAGAGAGCTTAACGCACTCCAAGGCCGGCGCACGGCGTTCGAAAACCCGATGGACATCTCCTTTGATAAGGCAGAGGACGTCGCTCTCGATGTACTGCAGTCGAGACAGTGGTCGATCACCGAGCCGCTCGCACAGAGAATTGGTGTCACTGTGGAGGTAAGGACTCACTTCAAGCGACGTCCATTGGTCGGAGAAGTCCTTCATGACGTTGAAGATCTGTAGAGAGTGCGAGTCGTCCGAGAACCTGACCGGATCGCGTAGCGGAAGACCTCTGGAATTACGCAGGCACATGCGCATCCGTCTGCACTCCTGAGCATCGACATGGACTGGGTGATATCTGAGATGACTCCAGATTCGTGGACTGTTGTATATGATGTCTATGTATCGCTTTTCGTCAAAACGAAGGCTTGCGCAGCAAGGGTGGTACATACCATGCCATTGCTTGCAAATTCGGCCAATCTTGACGGGCGTGCAGTTATAGGTACCGGCAGACGCGTCGCAGCAGCTGTACGCAAATATTTCGGACAAAATTTCGTTGGGGAGTCGACGGATGGGAGCGATATAAGCACGTTGCCTATCCTGAAGCTCTTCCAGCGCTATCTGCTTGTATTTGAGCACCACGATGATGTGCTCAAGATACATCAGCTCGTAAGCAAGGGTATCCAGCATCTCTTCCGTCTCGTCGATAGACGCCTTGACGCTGCTGATCTCCGCCGCAGAGGGTACAAGCCCGGCACGGAGGGCGGGATCTTCGTGAGGTTCGGGAGGACGGTTGACCTCGATGTCGATTTCATGTTCGCAATGCTGGCATATTTCGAAGGACTCCTTGACGCGCTGAAAGTGTTCTATCATAGTTGGTACAGGAGCAGAGACAGGACGCCTTGTGCAGTCGGTGTTCAGGTCAAGACGCGACGCGTGTGTTTGTAACTGCTTCGGCAATGGCCGACCCTAGCCAGTCACGGCGCGTGACGAATTGTTCAAGTTCGACTTTGCAGATCTTTCGAAACCGACATTATACAGTACTATTGCTGAACCAAGCGCTCTTTGTCACCCTCAAAAAAAAGCCAACTACGGTCTGCATTCAGTCGTGCTTTCCAATTGAAAGCGCACGAATTGCCACTACCAACGCCATGCATACTCTACCTTTCCCCAGACCTCGATTCCGGGACCCATCTTCTCAATAGCATCGGCTGTTTTTACAGTGCCGAAGTAATCCAGGTCTGCGCGCTTGATGTCGATGCGAGCTCTCTTTAGGGGCTTCTCAGCCGCGCGACGGGCCTTGATCATGTCCATGACCACTTCCCCGCGAAAGCGTCCGGGCCCGCCAATGTCTAGCTCCTCCAAGTCGATAAGCATCGCCGGAGAGCCAGATGAAGCGGTTACGCTGAGAGAGACGAAGTCGTCGTCGGTAACGGGTACGTCTTCGCGGACGTAGAGGATGAGAGAGCGCAGCCCGGGGTACGACGTGAAGACAAATGATCGCTCGCTTGCAGGCACACCGAAGAGCTTCAGCTCATTGAGGCAACATGCCGAGCGCCCCACTAGGCGCGATACATGACATCCCCTGTACTCCGCCGCGTCGTGGGATTTCTCCGGCCAACTCAGCTCAAGGGATGTCAAGCCCGGCACGGTTAGAAAGTCCAGCATTCGCGTATCCTCGACGCCGGCGAAACATATTTTCAGCGCACTCAGTCCGCGCATCGTCGTGTGCGGGGTAATGGCGGTGGGGTTCGGGCGGGCGGACGGCAGGATGACGTTGAGCGTGAGCGTCGGCAGGTTCGTGCAGCGCGCAAGTACGGTGAGGGCGTACTCCCAGGTGCACTCCAAATGAAGTTCATCGAGCTGCACCCATGGTAGATTCGGCAGCTGCAATGTGTGAACCAGGGTGTTCGTGAGCTTGACGCATCGCAAGGCAGGCGCGCGGCGCTCGAATACCCTATGCACGTCCCCCATGAGTAGGTGAGAAACCTCGCCTTCAAGGAATCGCAGATGTGTCAGAGGTCGGTCCCCGAGGGTTCCACAGAGCGAGTCTCCGAGGGTGGGTTGGAAGATGCTCATCGTCAAGGAGGTGAGCTGGGCGGAGTATCTCCGGACGATCTCAAAGGTGGCGATCCCGCCCGAACAGTGAGAGAACTTGATGGGATGCCGGAGGGGCAATCCCTTCGAGTTCCGCAGACAGAGGTCCAGGATTCTCTTCTCCTTGGCGGTGGTATAACCGTAGAGACGATACTCGAGTTGGCTCCAGAGCGTCGGGAGGTTATGAATGGTGTCTAATGCGTGATTCAGAATCCATACATACAGTCATGCGTCCGACATACCTCGCCACGACTTGCACACTTGACTGATATCCACGGGCATACATCGCCAGCCGCCGACTTCCTCCCCGAGACACGCCCACATGAAGATCTCTGACAGCACTTCGTTTGGAAGGCGTCGGATGGGCGCGATATGTGCGCGCTGGACGTCTAGCATCGTCTCCAGGTACATCTGGACATCCTCAAGCGACGTCACCACACTCCTGAGATACTCCAGCTCTTCGTTCACGTCCTGCAAGAGCCCGTTTGTCTCGACCATGATTTCCTTAATGCTCCGAGTCTCTGCCTCAGACGCAACGACACCAGCGCGGAGCGGATGGTCATGGCGCGGCAGAGGAGGTAGGTTGAGGTCAATCGTGAAAACATAGTCACAGTTGCGGCACAGGTCGACGGTATGTTCCACGTGCTCGAAGCACTCGATCATGGCAAAGAAGGGTCTCGGGATGCAGCAGAGAGTCGTTGCGACTTCGTAGTGGCAGGAAGTAAGCCGCGCCGGATGTTCCCGTGCGTATGTTTTTAAATGTTTGTGGCGCAAGGCGGCGTCCTCTCACGACTCGATCCGGCTCCTCCTCCAGGTACCTCATCTTCGCGGACGAGCGATCTGAATCTATGACCACAGTGCAACTCCAAGACATGCTTGCCACGAGGGAAATCTCGGGTCTCAAGGAAAGACAGTCGAGTTCGAGACTTACTAGTCTCAATTATAGCTGCTCTTCCCGCGTATAAAGAGCGGACCCTCTGACTCGCCCCGCACATTTGTCCTCACTACGATCACAACCAACGCTATGGCTACCAACATCCCCTGCATTGACATGGCGTTCAGCACCGACGTCTTCGCCATGATGGAGCTTGAGCCGCGCAGTAGCCTTCCCGAAACCGTCACCGGCAGGCCCGTCGTGACGCGCGCACGCAGCGGCACCACGCACCAGCGTCGGCAAACCGAGGGGCCAACCCAGCTGGACGTACAGGCTCGCGCCTCAACGGCTCGTCCAGCGAGTGCGTTGGCGAAGGGCAATACGGGATCGCGAGCCGAGCAGTCTGATGATCTGGGAAGGGCGTGAACGAGGACGTGTATGTTTGAAGGTCAGTCTACGCGTGCATTTTTCCTATGACAGGGACTGATCCTAGTTAGTTCTGTGACTCTCGGGCGAACGTCGTACGAAGAGCAAGTGTAGTATCCACTGTGGAGCGAGAGAAGTCAGTGCTCAATGGATCAGGGTGTTTCTCATGCATCATACAATCGGAATCGCGCGCTGTAACTAGTCAAGGTACCTCTCTGGTGAGTCTGTACCGCATTAACCAGTGATGGGATATATATGCATTGGCCGGATGGGCGAAATTCCCCAACACCTTGTCAGCCACCTCTAACACCCCGCTTTCCGCAAATGGCGCACCGCGGACAGCACTTGCCAAAGCACATTCGCTTCGACTCATCACGTCTTTCCCCCTCATGCCCTTATGAACTGACGTACTCTACGCCTATCGGGTTGGTGTCGGCAGCTGAGGAAGTCACGAACATGGGCATCACGCTCGCAGTCGTCGTGGCGGCGAGATCGACGCGTGTGTCCCACTTTCACCCAGTTTTCATCGTCCGCCGACAACGCCTGTCGGTATGCCCAAAATTCCCAACGCTGTACGACCGCGCGCGGCTGTCGCGAAGGCTAAACATTCTCGTCATTTACCTGGCGAGGGAGCTGTCGCGCAGAGACGGGTTACGATTGCTGAATACTTCTTTTTGGTATGATAGACCGGTCAACTCCGTGCTACGTGAGGGCGCCAGAGTCAGAGCCGAGCCCTCCTAGGACAGGTCCGCGGAGAGTGTCAGCCTACCTCGGCCGCGCGTCCAGTACGTCTCCCTATAGTCATACCCTGCCTCACGCACTGACTATACTTGCAGCCGACTAAGTCTCTCAAAGTCATGTCCCGCACATTCATCGACGATAACATCGTATTGCTGCACACTGAGTGCAACTCCAGCTCGGAGCTCTTGCGTCTACACTACTGCTATCGCTGACGGTATATTGCTAGACGGAGGTCACACAAAGTAAAGCCTATGCTCTCATCTCCCTGAGGTGTGTCTTCTTGCTTATACTTCGAAGACTCGCCGCGTCCAATACCTGGAGGACGCGTCCGAGTCGATGCCCTGCGAGTTGAACCTGCCGTCCGTGAGAAGGTGCAGGCGTTTGCCGAAGCGGCAAGCGGCCCGCTCACGTGACGACAGACGGCATCAAACCGGCAAGCCCGCCTGGATCACCACTTGAACCTGACGGTTTTCATCTGCGAATATACGCGCTACTTATCCCCGCAAACATGCCCAAAGTCATCTCCGCCAACATCTCTCGCCAGTCTCACACGAAGCCACTACGCTCCCGCGCGACCGTGAAGCTTGAGCAGGTCGCTGCTGAACCGCCTGCGATTGCGAGTGGCGCAGCCAAGAAAAGTGCGCGGGCCGTGCGGCCAGTGCGTACACGTTGTGCAGATGTGCGGATAATTGCTGATGTTTATGAGCAGTATGATAGACCTACAAAAACCGAGCGGGTGCAACCCACTGTCGAGCGCGAAGGAAGTTCTCGCGGCAAGATCGAGCGCTCGCCGGCGAATGTCGCAGAAAGCTCGACCTTGCAGCAGACCGAGGCTGGGAATGGCTCCGTGCGGACCTCATACTTTCTCTTGCTACAGTATGCTTACCGTCATCGTAGTACGATTCGACTGCGGCCTGTCCCAAAGTCATCGCCCGTGAATTCGTCGACGACGACATTGTGATGCTTCACTGTGAGTGTCTGCACGATGCGGACCAGATTCGCCTGCAGTACCGAGACGGGGCGCCTCTGCCGCGTCCCAACACGATGGGCTTCGAGCTGTACAACCGCCTTAGGCGGCAGCCGGTTGCGTGGAACGGATCCGGGACGCCCCTTGTGTACCGGGCCCTCGTCTCGAAGCGCGGCTCGTACGTGCTGCGCTACAAGGGGCGCGTGGTCTGGGAGTATAGCACGGACGACTGGGCTGCGTACTGGGAAAGACAAGAGGTGTGTGCGCTTTTTCATCGGGGCTTCTCGCTATTGTCCTGACGACGCTTTACAGAAGCTCAGCAAGGTGATTGCACACGCCAACATCTCCGCGCTTACCACTGATCCGTTCATCGCAGAAACCCTACGACTGGGACGCCTGGAATCGGGCATGGAAGTGCATCGAGCATGGCTTTCGTAACCCCATCCCGGGCGAGAAGGTCGAGGCATACGTGCACGTTGGCAGTAAACTTACCGGCGTTGTTGAGGCGCCTGGCTCAGACGCCTTCGACTACCTTCCGACGGACTTGTTTCGGCGTTGCGACGTACGTGTCATCTATCCTCGCTCTTTATTACCGCTAATGCGCCATGTTCTGCAGCTTGAGACGACGCACCGATTTCTTGAATACAAGCGGCGCACGGGAAAGGTGGCATACCTTCCGGGCCCCTGACTCGTTGGAAGCGCCTTGTAGAGCATCCACGCGTGTACTATGTATATGTCTGTATAACACATATCAAATTCTGTAGCTGGTACGGGCGGCGGTATACGACGGTGCGAGCAGCGATGGCGAGCGGTGTCGACGGCGGCGTTTGCCGAAGCGGGAAGCGCCCACGTGACGGCAGCGGCATCAACTCGGCCAGCCCGCGTGGATCGCCACTTGAATCCAACGCTCATCATCTGCATACCCACGCCACTCACCGTTGCGAACATGCCCAAAGTCACCGCCTCGAAGATTACTCGCGCACCCACTACTACTAAGGCGCTGCGCCCCCGTTCGACCGTGAACCTTGAGAAGACCGCTGCCGAATCAACGAGCAGTGGGACCAAGAAAAACGCGCGCGCCGCGCGTCCGGTACGTACGCGTGCAGATGTATGTTTCGATTTGCTGACTTCAGCGAGCAGTACGACAAACTCGTGAAGACTGAATGCGCTCAGCCCGCCCCCATCAAGCGCGAAGGTGCCCGCATCAAGGCCGAACGCTCATCCGCGAAGAACGCAGAGAGCTCCTCCTCGCAGCAGACTGGGCCAGGGCACCGCTCTGTACGTATGCACGGAGAAGAACGCTGCAATGCGCTGATCATTCTTTGCAGTACGACCCAGCACTCATCCGCCCCAAGATCATCGCCCGCAAATTCATTGGCGAGAAAATCGTGCTGCTGCACTGCGAGTGCATCCACGACCAGGATCAGATCCGCCTTCAGTACCGAGATGGTACCCCCCTCCCGCGTCCGAACGCGATGGGCTTCGAGCTGTTCGACCGCCTCGCGCGCCAGCCGGTCGCGTGGAACGGCTACGGGACCCCTCTCGTGTACCAGGCCCTGATCTACAAGCGCGGCTCGTATGTGCTGCGGTACAAGGGTCTGGAGGCTTGGGAGTACAGCACCGATGATTGGGCGGATTTTTGGAAAAGACAGGAGGTGCGTCTGCGGCGCTATGTAGGTCTTCACCGTTGTGCTGACCACACACCCAGGAACTCAGCAAGGTAAATCCTACCGCAATGGACGCACGCGCCACGCTTACTCACCATCTACAGACGCCTTACGACTGGGATACCTGGAATCGGATCTGGAAGTGCGTCGAGCACGGCTCTCTCAACCCCATCCCGTTCGAGAAGCTCGAACCTGTCGTGTACGTTGGCAGCCTTATCGGCGCCGTTGAAAAGCCTGGCTCAGGCGCCTTGGACCACCTCCCACGAGACCTTTTTCCGCGGTGTGACGTGCGTGCTCCTCGCTCGCCACCGTCGATCCTTCTTTTCTGACGCGTCACTTTTCGCAGCTCGAGACGACGTATCAATTTCAGCAATACAAGCGCCGCACCGGCAAGGTCTTTCGCTACTAGGGTTCCTGACTTCTGCAGCTTACCCTGTACTGTCTATATACGAATCATCTTGTATCTCTATCGCTCACATCTTTCGCATTCCAAAGATTTCGAACATGTTATGACTGCCAGTGAGTCCAGGGTGCGGTGTGTGCATGCCACGAATCAGGAGAGAAAACTACGTCAACCAGGGTACTGCTTTCAACCTGGAACATAAACGTCGTGCGTGTATGGAGGCAACCGTCCCACGTTCCAACCCCTTGGTTGCGTTGCCCATGTCACAGGTCACAACGACTTTTGCGGCCGGAGATTCTTCCAAAACCGGTAGTTTTTGGCCAGAATTTGCATTTTTGGCGACCCGGCTGACGCCGGGCCGCTTCCTCGGCCTCTGGTCGCCTCCCTTGCGGCATGTCACACCTGAGAGGCAATTGCTTCCATACACGTAGGTAAGGTATGACTACATTGCGCGTTATCCACCAGAATCCATTCCTATCGTGTGCTCTTCGCGTGCCTCCAGAATTCAGTTCTTGCGAGTGCTCGTCAAAGTCCCGATGATTCGTGGTAATATCGGGCAAATCGACTTCGACTTGAAAGGGGTTCAGAGGTCGTCCAGATGATCTCAAAAAAGGTGATTAGGATGACTTATAACGTATTTCATGCGTAAATTTCCACCATACGCTTTTCATGATGGATCCGGTACGGCGTTTGCCGGTGTGGCGTCGGTACCGATACCTCGTGCATCACAACTTGATTCCGACGCCCATCCTTGACGCCACTCACCGCTTGCCAATATGCCAGTCATCACCAAGTCTACCCGCGCGCCCGCAGCCAAGGCCGAGCGGCGTGGCAAACCCAAGGCAAAGCGCGAGGCTTCTCGCGTCAAGGTCGAGCACTCTTCTACGGCAATCGCGACGGTCGCGGAGAGCTCCTCGTCCAAGAGAACCACGACATCCACGGGCCCCGTACGCTTGCTCAAAGCAATGCTAACTCTTATGTACTGACCCAACCTACAGTCGACGAAGCCTCCTAGAGTGATCGCGCGCACATTCATCGACGATGACATCGTCTTGTTGCACTGCGAGTGCAATTACAACTCGGAGACCATATATCTGCAATACCCCGACGGCACCCCGCTGCCCCGCCCCAATGTCGTCGGCTTCGAGCTCATCGACCGCCTGATTCGGTCCCCTATGGGCTGGACTGGGTTTGGCACGCCTTACCTGTACCAGGCGTCCGTCATGAAGCGAGGCTCCTACGTGCTCAAGTACAAAGGTCGCGAGGTCTGGTCGTATGGTCAGGATGACTTGGCCGAGATGGAAAAGGAATACGAGGTCAGACCTCTCCGCGTTCGCGCAATCAGACTCGATGCTGACTAGCTAGTAATAGGAAGCCAAAGAGGTGAATTATTGCCGAGCCTGCCGTACCGTGCATGATCCTGACGTCGTCAAGACACCCGAGGATCTCGAAAGATGGGACAGGTTCATGGCGTTCTATACCGAGAAATCGAAGATCGTCAGAGAGGTGGATGAGGACCGAATCCTAGCTCGATTTGGCGAAGACTCCATTGCATACGACGATCCTGACGAAGATTTCTATCCCGAGGAATTCTATGTACGAATTGATGTGAGGTTCCCGTTTTGAAATCTGGCTCCCCGTCTGACTACTGGATAGACTGAGTTGACGCACGAGTGGAGGGAGTACAAGCAGCGCACCGGAAAGGCCATGCAGTACGGCCCTATACCGGTTGTCAAGTCTTGACTCACTCATTGTCTAGCTATCTGCTACTTTCATATGCCTTATGGGCGCTTCCTCCTGCGGTTTTCCAGTTCATTTTGAGAGTGAATCTCGTCCACGCGACTACCCCTTTCATTCAGAGATGAGCATGTTTTACACTTGCATAATGTCGCTACGAATCGAATCAGCTTGAAAAGCTGCAGTCCAATGCAGAATCGTACGCGGGTTCGTACAGGACCTGGTGGCTCGTGGTCCTTTACGGGATATTTGCGTGTGTTTGTTGCGGAGGCTTTTCCCCTTGCCCCTTTCGAACTTGCCTTTGTCTCCGACTTTCATGTTCCAATCCGAAATCTAATCGGGCCATTCAGGTCAGCACGAGCGGCTACACGCAGCGCCGTCGAGTGATCAAGTCCACCCTGCCATCAACACCTTCAAAAGTACATGTCCTGTGTAGCTTCACTACTTTGGACTCGTGTGTGGACGAGGTCGATGTGAGCGTCTTTGAGAGTGAAGGACCAAAATGGTGTGTTAGACCATTACGATAGCTTGTCTATGGACTCACCTTCGCCCTCAAAGGTCTTCAGGATCTATTCCGCTCTGTGCGCCACCTTCTTAGCCTCCTGAATTCTTGATATAAATGCCATCAGTGTTGCGAACCTCCGAAATTCTCGACTCGCTCTCTCAGTCATGAGTATAATCTGGCCTTTTCCCCCTCGCTACGGCAAAGGATTTACGAGCAATCATTCAGGCCAGGTCGCTGCACGGCGCTTCGTGAGGCATTGGGCATAGATGCTGTCTATTGGCAAGCACTCATTCAGGCGGCGCGGACACGAACTTCGATCGAGGAGATGGTGCGTATTGAGCTTTCCTCAATTCATGCGTAGTCTGATGTCGGTGCTTTCAGGGCGACCAGGCTAACCTTCAGTATATTCCTGACATGGTTCGGGAATCCCATCTGGATCAATGCGATGCACAGGACGAGAATTCTTCGAATGCATCACCGACCCTCGTCGCGACGCCCTCGTCCAACGATATGGTCCAACTAGCCCAGAAAGACGATGATGTGAACCATACGCTGGTTGAGCCTAGTTGGGCGCCATACAAGAACGAAGACGCGCCGCCACTGAACGCCGCGTATCGTCATTTCAAGGACCCCGTTCTGTATGCCATTTGGCAGACGCCGCAAGTGGAGATTTCTGATCGAGAGAATGCGTATCTGGCGCAATCAGGAGGCAAATGCTCGCGCACTGCTGATCTGCGATATTCTTCCCAAGGTCAGGACTGTTCAGGCGTGAAGCGGAGACGCGCCCCAAGTCTCGATGGGTTCGGTTTGTAGTAGTCAGCACATTAGTACTGTTCATTGTTACTCGCGCCGTGAACGCGTGATCCGTTATAACAAGGGACTGCCAGCGAAGGATGCTCGCTCGGTAAGCTCTATTTAACCGAATTTTCGACGCGTTCTCGCCCACAAGGGCGGAGGTCGGCAAGGACAAACACTGCCAAGCAGGATCACTGCCGCGGGCCGCCTCCAACCGGGATCACATGTGACCGTGTTCGTTTTCGACGTCGACCACCATCCGCGACATAATCTCGTAAAACCCATGTTACGCTCCTCATCTTGACGAGCTGAACACACGAATATACCATCGTAATGACTTTGAGCCCTCCCGGGAAACATTCCAGTCATACACGAACGGTAGGGTGCCCTGATCTGGCCGAAGGACCTTGGTCAATCCACCTGACGGCAGGCGGCAAGGATCTCGTCATAGCATCTAACGTCAAGGTCGGTCCTTCCGTCTGCAAGGACATTGAAAAGACACGCCATGGCGGCGTCCCTGGCACATTCGTACCTCGCTTCTTGCGCACACTTTGCTGCTCTCATACACTAACGCCGGAGCGGGCATCGCTATCCCCTCGAGCGGCAGCACACTGATGGATGGTCAGGAGAAGGGTCTCGCGCGCACGCCTTCGCGAGGAACGGAAGATTCGTCAGCTACAGTTGCGAGTGCAGGAGATGTGGGGGGACTGCAGCGCATCGTGTCTCGCGCGCGGAGCGGCTCGGCGCTGCCAGACGACCCGGTGGAGAAGAAGGAGCGCCTGAGCGACGATGACTGGGAAGACAACCCGGCCAATCCGCGCAACTGGAGTAACGGGAAGAAGTGGACCGCTGTTGGCATCGTGCGTCTCGTCCTGTCCTTGTTCTCGATGCGGATACTGAGAAGGGTCTACATAGGTCTCGTTCTATACGTGAGTCCACCTCACGGTCTGATATAACCGTCGACGCCCTTACCCTATACTTAGATTCATCCCTCCGCTCACCTCGTCTATGATGGCTCCTGGCATGCAAGAGATTGCATTGAAATATAGCATCACGAACTCCACCGTCCTCGCTCTTACACTGAGTATCTTCGTCCTCGCACTTGCCATTGGGGTAAGCGATACGGTCGCCCTCTTCGTGTGGATGCTTATGAACTTCAGCCACTTGTCCTCGGCCCTCTATCAGAGATCTACGGCCGTACATGGGTACGTTCGCCCTCGTATCACGACGAGCTGCCGCTGGCTAATGAACTGCTTACTAGGTTCTACATATCGCGAACCTGGTATCTCTAGCATTTAACCTAGGCTGTACGTGCTCCAGCACGCGCTTCCATTTGCGGGAGTTTGAAACTGTTTTCAGGCGCTTTCGCCCCTGCCACAGGATCCTTCATTGGCCTGCGATTCCTGAGTTAGTCCATCGGCCTTCTCGCCCCGACCCCATCGCTCATATATGAACAGGTGGTCTAGCGGGTTCCGCCCCAATAGCCATCGGCGGCGGCTCCATCAGCGACCTCTTCAGCGACCGCGACCGCGGCGGCGCCATGGGCGCATTCTCCATGTACGCCCCTTCCCTCTCTTCCGTTTGACTTTCTCATCCACTCACCCACCCCCAGGGGCCCCCTCATCGGCCCCGTCGTCGGCCCCATCGCCGGCGGCTTCATCGCACAGACTGTCGGCGTCAAATGGGTCTTCATCGTCATCGCCTGCCTCAACGGCGTCGCCTCCGCTGTCGGCATCCCCCTCCTGCGCGAGACCTACCACCCGATCCTCCGCAAGCGTATAGCGAAGCGGAATGGGGACGTCGAGCGATTGAGGGTGGATCCGGTGGTGGAGGAGGCGGGGATGAGCAAGATCGAGATCATCTGGGTTAACATCCAGCGTCCGATCATGCTGCTGTTCGGGGATATCATCTGCTTCTTGCTCAGTCTTTACATGGCTTTGTGAGTGGCTGAGCCTGGGAATGGGGGTGCTTTGCTGATTCTGGTGATCTTGCAGCGTATATGGGTAGGTCGGACGCGCTGCGGGTGGTGCGCTCACTTACCTCTTACCTCAGGATTTTCTACCTAATGTTTGCGACGTTTTCGGGTGAGAAGATCTGTATTACTTCTGGGAGGCAGGAACTAACACTCGACGCAGCGTTCTTCTCCACGACCTACGGATTCAAGGCCGGCGTCGGTGGCTTGGTGTACATTGGCATCGGCATCGGCTCCCTCGTCGCCGTCGTCATCGGCGCGAAGGTTGGCGACAGGATATACTGGGGTGTACGTCTTCGTAGCCGATGTTATCTCTGCTTCGTACTTACGCATTACAGCTTTCGGCGAAGTATAACAATGGGATTGGGAAGCCGGAATATCGTGTACCGGTGCGCGGGGTGCAGTGCGACTTCGTGAAAAAGATGCTGACAGTATTACTAGTCTCTGGTTCTTGGGTCGATGGTCATACCAATCGGGCTATTGTACGGTCGTCCTCACGGCGCTTACGATGTGTACTGATCACCTCATGCAGCTGGTATGGCTGGTCGGCTGAGGCAGCTACCCACTGTACGTTCGCTCGTCGCTTAGCAGAGTCAGTGCGCTGATAGCAACTTTACAGGGATCGTGCCCATTCTTGGCACTGCTGTCTACGCTTTCGGTCAAATGTTGACCTTCCTGCCCATTCAACTATACTTGGTCGATACATTCACCTACGCGGCTAGTGCGGTCGCCGCTGCCACCGTACGTTTCCCTTCGGTATACGCTGGCTGTCTTGCTTATACGTCTTGATTCCTAGTTCTTCCGCTCCATGTTCGGCTTCGCCTTCCCCCTGTTCGCGCAGGAGATGTTCGACACGCTTGGAATGGGAGGCGGTCTGTCCTTGCTAGCCGGTAAGTAGGCTGCGCAACAAATGGCGCATGTGTGAGACTGACTGTGTTTGCGATGGGTCAGGTTTGAGTATCGTGCTCGGCATACCCTTCCCCATCTTCCTGTGGTTCAAGGGCGAGTCCATTCGGGCGAAGAGTCGGTTCGCGAAGGCGAGCGTGAAGGCCTAGGTCATGATGACGACGTTGGCGATGGTATATCGGTCGTAGAGTATGTAGCGCCGCGGCTTGCGGCTTTTGGGTTCTCATGGAGGGTAAAATATTGGTATGCTCTGCGTGGACTGCAACAAGCGCCTCGTATTATAGTCGAGCTATACTGTAATTGCAATGGATATACCACGCGTCAAGGAGGACTTTCGTACACTTTGTATCTACGAGAATTTTTGAGAGCTAAAGAGAACATGGCCTGAGCCACAGTCGAGCAGGCACGACGTGACTGACGGCCAAACACGCGCAAAGCATTGTTCCCTCCTTCCATCTGCAAACGCGACGCGACGCGACCGCACCTGGGCACCATGGCCGTCAAAACGCCCGACAGCTTCACCTTCACGGTGGGAAAGCTAGGTACATGACAATGCCATCGAGTACAGCGCGTGGTAGAGCTGACTATGTGCCGCAGATGCTGGAATGGCGGTAAGCGCGCACGCGCGTCGTGGTGGGATGCAGTGACCCATAACGAAGACAGATCCTCCTCGGGGAGAGGGCTCACTTGATTGAGTTCCCCTCCATTCTATTGCCTCCGGGCGCAACAGCGGGCTCCATCGTCAACATTGCGGTTCACCGGAACCATGCTGAGGAGAAGCGGCGCGACGAGGAATTCTGGGGTTTGCAGAAAGTGATCCTGGAGGAGTTTGGGATGCACTCGCCGGAGCCCCCAGATTTGCAGGTGCGTGGTATGCAGCGAATATGCAGAGTTCAGCGCTCATACGCGCTTTCCAGGTCCGCAATGTTACCCAGACGTCCGTCACCCTCGAATGGCCGCCCATCAAGCTCGCGACCGCCCGTCTACGCTCCCTCGATATCTTCCGCAATGGCCAGCGGCTTGCCGCCATACCCTCCGCGCTCACCAACACGTCCACCAAGCTCTCCGGCCTCGAGCTCGACTCCGAATACACCTTCCAGCTCGTGCTGCGCACCACCGCGGGCACCTACCCCTCGAACATCGTCAACGTGCACACGCACACCATGACGGACACCTCCGGCATCTCCGTCTGCTTCGGCACGGTCGAGAACCCGGAGCTGTTCGAGGCGAGCAAGGCGGCGCTGCAGGAGATGGGCGCAAGGTGGAGCGACAAGATCCAGATCGACACGACGCACTTTGTGTGCACGACGCCGGCGACGACGCCCGCGGGCGCGCAGGCGAGCGGGAGCAGCGTGCCGACGAATGCCCCCGGGATCGAGTACCAGCGCGCGCTGCAGCTGAGCATCCCGGTCGTGCAGCCGCAGTGGATCCTCGCGTGCCATGCGAACAAAAGGTGCGTGTATGCGCCGCTCGCATCTCTCGTTGGATTGACACGCTATGCAGAATGATACCCATTGGCAAGTTCTACCTCGGGGCCGATCCCCCACCCATCTCCGGCCCCTACTCCCGCCCCCAGTCCATGTCGCAGGCCAGCGTCAAGACACCCATAAGCCCCCACGCTAGCCGCGCCTCCATGCCCGCCCCCGCCCGCACGCCCGAAACCGCGTCCCCCTTCGTCAACCAAGGCCCGCAGTCGCCCATCCAGCGCTCCCCGCCGCACCCCATCGCGGAGGAGGAGTCCACCGACGCCACCGCCGGCGAGCCGCACAACCGCTCGCTGAGCTCGGAGAGCGCGCACAAGCGGAACGGGACGATGAACCGCGAGTTCAAGTTCCCGACGCCCGTGTCGTCGCCCGTGGTCGCGCAGGGGCCCGTGTCGATGGGGCTGGGCGCGGAGGCGGCGGCCGCGGAGGAGGCGAAGCGGGAGAGGAGCGAGAGCCCGAGCACCTTGGGGTCGTCGGTGTCGCGAATCGAGGTACCGCCGCCGCCGCCGGTGGAGAAGGAGACGTCGGGGGCCACGGAGGCGGAGGCGGATGGGAACGATGATGTGGGCGCGACCGTGGAGATCCCGTTGTAGATGGCTCTGTTCGCTAGTTTGGCTCTGGACTCTGGCCCTACTGATACTGTTGTTGTGTAATGCTTTCATGGAGGTTTCTCTCGGAATACCATGGTTAGTCACAAGCGTTCTGAGATTGACATTGATTTGACCTTGAAGATGAGCTTTCTGCCAATGAGAACGGTGCCTTCAGCCGGTAATGCCGTGACAGTCTAAGAGGGTTGATTCGTGATACATAGGGTACACATCTACCGAGATTAGCCTTCCAAAGGCTCGTGAGTACAAATTATAAGTAGCAGGCAAGCACAGAATAAGCAAAAGGGAGGAACGGAATATAGATGGCAAGTAGGTTAGGCAGAACATGGTGAAGATGAGGGGTAGTCTCAAAAGGTAGTTCCAAAGCGCTAGACGCTGACCCATACTTGAGCCTTCTTCGTCGGAGGGTAGAAGACGACAGTCATGAGCGACAAGTCGTATGTGGTGTAGCGGTTGCCGTTCTTGATCTTGCTGACGCCGAAGGTCTGCCCAGCGGCATGGTTGGACAGGGTAGCGACGACGACGGGCGTGTTCTCGTCGTAGACTGGAGCGGTTCGTAAGCATGGGACGCGCATGAGGAATGGCATGTGAGGGGAAGATGCAGGATGTGAGACTAGCGACTCACCTTCGGGGACGATCTTGGTGCCAGGCGCAACGAAGAAGTTGCGGAAGAAGTCAACGTCCATCTGGACCTGTAAGGGGAGTCAGTGCCGCGCATAGAGCTGACTGTGTATGTCACGCACGGGAAATGTCATCCGCTGGATAGCATACTTCTCGAGCCTATGGTGATGAGTTAGCATCGGGCGAAACGAAAGGGAGAGGAAGGATCCAAGGAAGGTGTGAGGACAAAGGAAGGAACACACGCACGTCAAGCAGCTCTTGATCTCATCTCCAAAGTCCTTCTTGCTAAGACTGCAGAAGCCTGCCGTCGCGGCCGACTTGCGCGCCGCGGTCTTCTTCGTCTTGGGCTGCTTCGCCGGGGGTACCGGCGTCGCGTTCGATGCGTCAGCCTCGAGGGGGCGCTGAAGGAAGTAAGTTACTCTCGGTTCATAGTGTGCTGTGAGTGATTTATTTGGAGGTATTGGGTAGCGGGGAAGGGTAGAATGCGACAACGCGACACCCCTTCGGGAAGGATCAATAGCATCTTCACACGTACCTTCGCGCCGGCAGAGATCGCGTCCAGTTGCTGGAGTGTAGTTTGCATGGCCGTTGTACGTCGGGAAGAGGGGAAGGGGAGTGGGATGTCGCTGTCGAGGAGATGATGGTGGTATGTGTTCAAGTTCGAGAAGGATCGTCGTCGTGACGCGACGCGCCTAGATGCGTAAACGAAGTCACGCTGGCGCGTCGTTGACCTGCACGTGGACAATCTCACGCGTGTCACGGCTCGACTTTTCCTCTGCTCTCTTTCTCACCCTCGACAACCATGGGCCATTCTTGTCAGTCTTCACCTTCATGTTTTTGAAGTCTCTTTCGCTCCAGGATACACTACAACAACTACGGAGAACCGACTGGCTGCATCCATCGTTCCCATTGCGACGTATCTGGAGGCTGGTGTGACTCTTTTCCTGGCAGCGGGGTCGTATCAAGTATGTCGTCGGATACTGCCAGGTCAGGTAGTAAACTTGGGAGTTGCGACGTCCGATCCATCTCCGGCGCAGGAGTCCCGAGCATATCATCCAGCGCGGCAGACCACACAGTTGGCTCCTCGGGACCATAACCTATGGCCGCTGCCGCGAGCCCTCCCATGTGTACCTCGCTAGGAGAGGGCGCTCCTTCTCCTACGGACATCTCAAAGCCATATCTATCGTCGCGACTGGGAGTGCCCTGGGCCAAACGGACGCTAAGAACCTGCAGTTCCGCATCGATTGCGGGTATCATGTCGACCCCGTCGATTCCAATGAACTGGCTGAAGGCGAGCAGATCTCGCAACCTACGACAGCGACTTTCAGTTGATATACGGGGATCAGTGTTGCCTCGAGATCATACCTCGTCAAAGTCTGATGACGCTCGTACAAGGTGACGTCGACGTCCTCGTCCTCGGAATCGTCGAGGAGCACCTCTGCCCAGGCATCAAACCCACCGACCTGGTTGAATCGCAGCCAGTGTGACGCGACGACATTCCGGACGTCCCCGACAGCGTCGACCACTGCACGCCGCGCGAGCGTTCTAGCACTCTTGCTGAGCTTCGTCCCCAAATCGGTCGAATATACTCTCGCCATATCTAGGTGCGACGCGGGTGCGCGATGGAGCGCGACGGCGAGGACACAATGCGCCACGCTGGTGCTGTGAAGGCAGAGCTGCAGGCTGGGCCCGGCAGCATGTGCGCGAAGGAAGCGGCGGAGGCGGATGAGGTGCTCGCGGTGGCGTTCGGCGGCAGTGACTTGCTGAAGGACGGTGAAGTCGTCTGGCGGGTTCCGAAGGGCGCGGACTGCGGAGAGGAGCTACATGTTAGCACAGTGGTGGGTGGTAGATGTTCAAGCTCACTGCCGACGATCCTCGCGAGCGCGTCGCGCATTAGGTATATGCTGCGGGTGTACACTATCTTTCGTTAGTCGGGCGTTTGCCGAAGAAGCAAGAGTGCGCACCAGCCTGCATGAGTAGGACGACGGCGTCGCGGCGGGATAGGCTGGATGCCTGCTCAAAGGCGTCGTCCACACTCGCAGGTGTTGAGCCGCAGATGAGCTCCTCGTCGTCCACGGAGCTGCATGATGGTTCAAATGAATTCCACGGAGGAACCGTGAGGTGAGTCCATACAAGGGTAGGCTCGTCCCTGTCTTGATAGCAGAGATAGCGATGAAGACCTAGGCGACTTGTCGATAGTTCATTCAGAGGATAGTGAACGACCTACCAAAGCTACGCGCCATTGAAAGCCAGCGAGATCCCTAGACGGCGAGTCCCAGATATCGAATGTGGTATCAATAGCGTCCATATCGGACAGCGACCTCAATTGCCACACGAAGGCGGTCGCCCAAGGTAGATTCGTGTTAGGCGTGTGCGCTACAGGAGCTCTGTCACCGGTCGTATAGTTTATAGCCAACAAGTACACACACCTACATCGAGGATGTTGAGCAGAAGACAGGAAGCTGCGTTCTCTCGCGAAGCCAGTGTGGTGATCCCATCCAAGTGCGCTTGCCGCACAGCCTCGCCGTACAGCTGCGCGCATATGGATCTTCGCCTTCTTCCCAGCTCGCGCAGCTCTCGGGTACCCATGACCGCGCTGGAGACCGAATTCCAGTCAAGGTGGGCGGCGGAGTACTGCCGGCCGTGCGAGTCGTATCCCACATAAGAAGGGTCGACGGACACGAGAGACGCGATTGCGAGGAGGCAGAGGGTCAGGACGCGAGCTTGAGGGGCGAGGAGCTGTATATCCCATCCACAGCTTTCAAGAAGGGCACGGTGCTGGCGAAGAGGAACGAGTCCAGGACCGGCTGCAGGCATCATGGATGTGCACACTGGGAAAGCAGGCTTAGCGTGCTTCAGGAGAAGAAAGCGCTGGCGTACCCTGTAATGCATCCTGGATAAGATGGCACGGAATGGAAGAGATGGTGCTTGAAAGCACAGGAGGGATAGATAACCCCGACTTTCCAATTACCACGGCGCTACCAGAGGCCTCCGCATCTTTATGGTCGGTGTGTTTCCTGCTGCTCTGCGCTTCGCTGTTGGCCGGCTTCTTCGCCGAGCCACGGGGCTTTCTGGGAAGTATAGTGGTAGTACATCTTTGGACGCGCTCAATCACTCTGTCACGGTGAATACGCAGATAACCTACTGGATGCCCTTCTCTAAGCAGCGAGGGCACGACTTTCCGTCCGGCTGAGGATGACAGATGACCCTCTTAAGCTTGCAGTAGTCGCACGCTCGTTTCCTCTTAGTAGCAGCAGTGTCAGAGCTAGATGTAAACATCGTCGAGATGCTCTGGCAGGAGGAACACAACGAGCAGAGTTGAACAGAGAGGATTTGGCGAAAGACAAGTTGAACCAAGAGTCTGGCGCGTGCTTATTCCCACGCGTACAGCACGTGCGATCAATCTGCGGGAGCGCGGCTTGGTGGTCAACCCAAGGGTTTTCCAAGCGGCCGAAGGCCGCCCGACTATCCCGACGACTCACGTGAAGCTGCCCAGGGTTTTCCGCGCCGCTGCGCGGCGCCCACCCAGGGTTTTCGACTGTGTCGGGCGGCGCGCCCTGCGCACCGCCACCACCCCCACGGCATCTCGTCAAGCGAACGGAGGATCATCACGCACATATGCACATCACATCAAGTTCAACTTGATGGGATCTAGTCAGTCTTGAAGCCTTCTGGGGTCCTGATAGCCCTGCGAGAGTCTCTGGTGCTTGTAAATCAGAAGAAGTGTTATATTCTCATACTAGTGTACTATACATGTAACAGATTTAAAGAGAAGCTACACTGAATAGACAACGATTGCAGAAAGAGAGGAAGAGGAGGGACAAAAACTCGCCGAGTCAAATTAGGGGAGGCATAAGGAGGACCAAGAAGAATCGTACCGCACCGCGGTAGCTAAGTGCGATCATCGGAACGTTACTGGACGTGCGCAAGCGGGTAATCCGGCGGCATTGAGGAATGCTCGATCGGATGGGGGGAAGGAAGGGGTGGCGAGCGTGTATTTTCTCGCGAGGAGGAGGGAGGGGGCGCGGTGGGAGGGACTACGCCCGCAGTTCATGCTAGCCGCTGTTGTTGTGGGCTCGGGCGCTCTGAATGGATTTGTCGGCACTACTTGGGGCGGGGCAGCGGAGGCGCGAGGGCGCGCGCGGTCGCCGTTGCCTGTCTACCATCGACCCATTTGTTGAGCGTGCTGCGAGAGCGTGAGCAGCAATGATATTGATGGAGCTCACCATATCGTCCAATTTGACCTCGAGAGCGACCGCGACTGCTCGCGGGTAGCGCACTCGCCCTCCCCTAATCCGCTTGACGCTCCTCTTCCGCCACGGCGTCCTGTTCGTACGCTCGAGTTGGCCTCGGGGCCTCCGTCTGTAGTCGGGCGTCCTTCGTGCGTCTGCGCTAACGCACTGGATGGTGGTTGATGTCAAGCTTGAGCGTGAGCGCCTGCGTCTCCGCGATGTGGCGTCGCCTCGTGGCCGGACCAAGTTGGTCTCACGTGCGACCAAGTTGGTTGCACGTGAGACCAACTGTGGGAATCTCCTTCCATTTAGGAAAACCCTGGGCATGGCGGAATAGACGAGCGCGGAGCGCGGCTTGGTGGTCAACCCAAGGGTTTTCCAAGCGGGGAGCGCCAAACGCTCTGCTCAAGCTCTGCTCTTAACTTTTACCTCACTGAATTCGCTGATCAGATTTTCTTGGATCGAGACAGATAGTCGGCGTCTTTACAGCTTCTGCTTACTACTGTACCCCATCCCCTCGAATTTCGCAGCCCCTTCCACACCTGTAAACCACTCCACCCTATCCTTAACATACTGCCTCCTTCTCGGCCGCAACTTTGTCTCGTGCAAAGTGAAGTCGTCGACCGTGCCGATTCGCAGGATGCTCATCCCTGGGAATCCCTCGCCGACGCGATACATCAGCGTCCCACAGTTCGAGCAGAAGTGGTTCGTCATCGTATGCCCGCTCCCAATGGTCTGCGACTGGGCGAAAGTCTTGAGCTTGTCCTGGCCGCGCAAGTGCCTGAGATACTTGTCGGCGATGACAAAGTTGGAAGCGAACATGGACGCGGTGATTTTGCGGCAGTCGTAGCAGTTGCAGACGAAGGTGTCGACGAGGCCGGGGCCTTGAGTGGCCTGGCGGGCGATCAGCTTGAGTACTCGCAGAGGGCGACACAACCTTACGAAAGATAGCTGAACGGTGCCACAAAAGCATGTCGCTGTGGCCTCGTCCTCTGTGGACCAGCCGTCGTTGGCGAGTCCAGCTGGTGGGAAGTACGATTGCTTGCTGGATGGCATGTCCTAGCCTTACGCTTATCGCTTCCGGGCTAGCTGGTAGAGAGTTCAGTTGAGCGCGAGATGCAACCAAGATCTGGTACATATAGCAAAACGGAAACACACGTTTCGCTGACACTTGCCCGGAGAACCGCTGACCGTTGCTTACCAAGACAAGATAAGCGGTGACCTGCAGATTCAACTTGTCGCCATGAGTCACTAGAAATCACTGTTTTCTGTGCAAAACATCCTATAACGTTGGACTTTCGAGCTACAGAATAGCCATTCAGTGAGTCTTCCGCGTTTGTGAGAGCTCGCCCCAAAAGCTAAGGTCAGTATCTTGAGCGGAAGCCAAAACCAAATCGCAGCAGAACAGCAGAATCTGTAAGACTATAGCATATCGAGTTCGAAGAGTGCTATTCTTGATGCTTCAGAGATTCAAGCCAAGAGCAGAGGAACGATGATGGGGGCACGGAGCAAGTTCAACTTGGCACGTGCTTTAACCACGCGCGTCGAAATCCCGGAACATACGGCCCGATCAATAGGCGCCCCTGGTAATACCGCACTCCACCTTTTCTTCAACTTCCATTGCATCGTGCCCGAATTTGTGTTATCCTTCTCCTCTCTCACAGTGGAACACATTCAGGAGTCAGACCACAAACTCCGTCTCGACCACAGGGCATCATCAGCGCATTCAACTTCTACTACATAGTGTCGCGCATTCCTCTATACCGGGTCAGTACAGTATCAACATCAATGACTCTATCCATGCAAATATGACACTCAAGTTGCACCAACACTACATACTGCACTGCTTTCTCATCGCGAGAAGTACACAGCATGATTGCTAACCCTTTCGCAGGACATCGCCCCAAGTCGGCTAATTGTCCGTGCTCTTATGTTGAGGCGCGTCCGTTGACCATCGGCTTGTCGTGATCCTCGACCATGGACCCCAACTCTCCAGATTCATCAAGCGAAGGGAAGAAGAGGAAGAAGTCAGCCTGCGACTACTGCAAGTCGAAGCGGGTCATATGCCACCCTCAGCCTGATGGCAAGCCATGTCCACGATGTGCGGAGAAGGGAGTGGAGTGTACGACAACAATCGCTCCGAAACGGACGAGAGGGAAGGGAAAGAAGACTCTGATGAAGGAGGCCGCTGCCGCTGGTTTGACCATTCCTACACCCGAACCTCGTTCTTCGAGTCGACGCGCGGAACCCATACCTGGACCCAGCAGCGCACTCGTAATACGCGGTGACTCACCTGAACCTCCCCCTCTTATACTGCCCAGCACTTTGGTCCAGGATGCTCTCGAAAGTACGCATACACATTTAGATGTCCGTATCGCCCCCCGCTTACGACCGCAACCAGTCTTCACGCGTTTTCCTCCTGCGCAGAACCCACTGTTTTCGACGGAGACTCTTCGTGCTGCCCTCGAAGAAGTTGGCTGGGACCCTGCGCGTCTCGACCCATCTCGTCGCGTGCTCACCCACTGCATCCTCGCGTTTTCCTCCCTTGTCTCCGTTGACCCGTACTTCGTCGGCTGCGACGCCCAAGGCGGCCGCTTCCCAGATCGCCTCGTCCAGTGGGATCCGCTCAACCTCAACACGCGCAGCAACCTCGACTCCACCCTCGGTGGGGTCGATGTCGCGGAACTCGGCAGGCGACGGCGCGACATCTCACGCCGCTTACACGAGGAGGCGCTCCGTTTGGCGCGGAAGGAGGGGATCGCGACGCACGCGTCGATGGATAATGTGGCGTCGTGCTTTCTGCTGGATTGCATCGAGAATCCGGACGACCCTGCGGATCGGATGGGGTGGGCGGCTGCGTATGTGTGGCAGTTCAGGTCGCTGGCGGAGTTGGGGAAGCTGGACTGGCAGCATTCGATAACGACGCTGAATGGACACATCGTCCGCTTGCAGTGGCGAGGTTCACTGGTGCGTATATCAGTCCTGCATACATTCAGACAGGCGGCTCACGCTCGATAGATGGTCTTAGCATTGCACGCGTTGACTATCGATAGGACGCTCCCATTGTACGTGCTGCACGTCCTTTGCTGTGTCGGGTCTCTTCTCAACTATGCACAGCTCCGCAAGCGATGAAGAAATCATCTGTGGACCCGTGAGCACGACTTTCGAGGACGCGCTCGCACGCGCATCATCCCTCACACCTGACGCAGCGGTGGTGCTCCTCATGAATTCGCGTATGTGCCCTATAGATTCTTCGACAGTCGCGTTCCGACGATTTTTTCAAGTTTTGAATCGCACGATACACCTAGCGAGAGATTGCGTCGAAAGCCTCAGCGGACGTAAGCGCGCCATATCCCTTCAATCTATCACATTGTGCTGATCTCGCGTTTACACTCGCAGTTGCCGCCCGTCGTCGCCCCCTCGACGAGGTCGCTGCTCTCCAGATGATCTCCGCCATGGAGCTCTTCCAAGCCAGCGCCAGCCGCTTCCGCGCTTACATCCTCTCCCTCGGTAACCACCCCGAGCTACGCGTCGGCCTCCACGCCTGCGCTCACGCCCTCGGCACGCTTGCAGTCTCCCTGTACCGCGCTCTCCAGGCGCGCACCGTCGACTCCGCCGTGCGCGACCCCGCTGGGGCGGCACGTTTGGCTGCGCAGCGCCGTGCAGCGAAGGCGATTGCGGTGAGGGCGGTGGTGAAGGGGAGTGTGGATGTGAGACGGGCGATGAGTCCGTATAGGCTGCGCTTCAAGCAGTTCTCGGGGCTGGATTCGTGGGCGGAGGTGTTGATTGGCGACAAGTCGGGGGCGGTGAGTACGGACGAGCGCGCGGAGGCGCTGTTGAGGTGCGTAGGGTGGCAAGAAAATTTCACGTCAAGGAAAGCTTACTGACAGAACGTCAGGTTGCGCGACGTTGTGAGGTTCAGCAGCTTCGCCGGAGTGGATATGAGCGCGACGACCAAGGCTATCAATGAAGAGCTGGACGTCATTCGCTCAGCCTCGACCACCCAAATCGCTGAGGAGACTCCACATACCTGGGAGGTGGATACGCCGGAAGCCTGGCGGGGCCTACCGATGGACATGCCCGTGGATGATGATATCGGCGCAGGATTGGCCAGCTTGAGCACGCAGCAAATCCCAACCGATGTCAGCACCTTCGACCGCTTCGCGAATTTCTGGGCGATATTCCACGGAGGTACTGGGACGGACCTGTCGACTGTGTCCGCCATGGACCCTCTGCATCCCATGGATCCCATGTTTATGGAGGGGACGTATCAGTCGGATGAATTTATGACTGGCGAAGGAGGTCAGGGGTACTGACTACAACACCTATCTCTAACCGAGTCAATACTTTACCGTGTACATGAAATAGGGATTATTCACGCGAGTCTGCGCTATAGCAGAGGGACTTTGGACTTGGGTGGCATGCCGCGCCCCTATTCGCGATTAATCATTCGCCAGAAATGATCGCGAAGGTTAATTACTCTTCGCGCATTTCTTCCTCGACTTTCATCCCCCTCTCCCTCCCCATCCTCCCCCTCCCCCTTCCCCCACGATCTTCCAGCGCACAGCAGTGTTCGTGCGCGGGTGCAGAGCGTGAGAACCGCGTGAAGACTAAGCGCCGGAACGCCGATCAGGGATCGCTCCATCTCGCCGCGCCGCTCATTTATTCCTTGACGGAGTCATCTCCCTCATCGCCGGCGGCGATGGCGCAGCCTCTTCAACCGAGCGACACCACCGAGTTCCCCCCAAGTCCCCTCCTCCACAAGTACCCGCGCTCTCACATGGCAGACGGTCGCCAGAAGATCAAGGTCGGCGTCCTCGGTGCGACTGGCACCGTGGGCCAGCGCTTCATCGTCCTCCTCAGCCAGCACCCCTGGTTCGTGCTGCACAAGCTCGGCGCGTCCCCCCGCTCGGCGGGCAAGCCGTACGCGCGCGCGGTCACCTGGAAGCAGGCCGTCCCCATCCCAAGCGTGGCCGCGGACATCATCGTGCACCCCTGCGAGCCGGAGCACTTCACCGACTGCCCCGTCGTCTTCTCCGGGCTCGACGCGGACGTCGCGGGCGATATCGGTACGTGATCTGCGCTCCCCATCGATCCCCTCTCCTGACTCGCACCCGCAGAGGCCGCCTTCCGCACGGCAGAGCTCGCGGTCTTCTCCAACGCCAAGAACTTCCGAAGAGATCCCAATGTCCCCCTCATCGTCCCCCTCGTCAACCCCTCCCATCTCTCTATCATCCCCCAGCAGCGCCGCTTGAATTCCCTCACCAAGGGCTTCATCGTCACCAACGCCAACTGCTCTACCACCACCATCGTCATCCCCCTTACCGCGCTCGAAAAGGCGTTCGGCCCCATCGAGTCTGTCCTCGTCACCACCATGCAGGCCATCTCTGGCGCAGGGTACCCAGGTGTAGCGTCACTAGACATCCTTGACAACGTCGTGCCCTACATCGGCGGCGAGGAGGAGAAGATCGAGTGGGAGACGCTGAAGATCCTTGGTGGTGTCCAGGCGAGCGATGATGGCGCAGATGGGAAGACGCTCGCTTTTGACATGCACGCACGCCACCCTCTACGTGTTAGCGCGCAGTGCAATCGTGTCCCTGTCATTGACGGTCACACGGAATGCGTCTCCGTACGGTTTGCGCGGCGCCCCCCACCGAGCCCACAGCAAGTGCGCGAAGCCCTCGCTGCCTATACACCCGACGCGCAGACGCTTGGTTGCCCCAGTGCTCCGCGGCGCTCGATCGTCGTTCACGAAGAGCCGGATCGGCCGCAGCCGCGCCTCGACCGCTATTTCCAGGACGGTGCAGGCGTCTCGGTCGGTCGCGTGCGCCAGTGCCAGGTGTTGGACATCAAATTTGTCGCGCTCGCGAACAACGTATCGATTGGCGCGGCGACGAGCAGCATCATCAACGCCGAATACGCGGTGCTCAAGGGCGTCGTCGCCCTGCCTCAGCAGCAGCAGCAGCAGGCGTGATTGTATTCTTGTATAGACTCTGTTAGAGGGGTATTGATGTAGTAGTGAATACTGTAAATGTACGACTGATGACGGCATGGTTCTAACTTCGTTCCTTGCTTCCTAGCAGCCTATCATCACACAAAATGAATGCAGGGCGCACATATGCGGGTGCTGGCCTTGTTGTCCGAAAAAGGAAGGTCTTGTTGCGGCAAACGCCGAGCCCCTATCAGCGCGTCCAAGCGTGGGCGCCTAAAATTGCTCCTTCCGTCTTTTCCTCGGCGCTTCCACGGTGCGCGTGCTGGTTCATATGCTGCATTCCAAACTCATCGATGTTCCATCGGTATCTTTTCAGAGCAAGTGCTCCTCCACATACGGAGACCAGAGGACTGAACCCCAGAGGAATTCGTCAGGGGATTTCTTTCAGATTTCCTTACTCATCTCGCGACGCGGCGCCTTACTCATCGCGTCAATCGATTGCCATCTTCAGCGCATGTCAATAAGCCATCCATAGCTGCCCTCCGGACAATTTGCTCAGCCGCTCTCTCGAACTTTCTCCTCAACCATGAGCTCCTCGAATCTGGAGATTGAAAAATGTCTGGTGTCTGGTCGGTGGGACGACTCTATACCTCGAGACGACCCCTTTTCTGCCATAGCAAACGCTGTGGTGGAAGGTCGATTCAAAGACGTTTTCTCGGCTTCGATTATCGGCGACCTCATCAACGCCACGCCTCCGTCTAACTCCAGCCTGGATGCTCTCCTGAAACCAAGTTCTTCCGCCCCCACAGCCTCGTCCACTGTCGACAAATCAGATCTTCTGCGGCTCTGTCTGGGTGCGGCCTCTCTGCACGCTTTTGTACAGGCCAATTGGACAGGTCCTGACCTTGACTTTGCTCCTGGGGATTTATGTTCGATCCCTCCTGACGAACTCAATCGCCGCGCCCTGCAAGAGCTAGCCTATGGCGGCGAGCCTGCATATCACCTAGCCGCGCACCCCTTCCTCCTGCGTCTCGCACAACTATCCTTCTCCTCTGTCTCCAACGCCCTCCCCACGCGCGCCTGGTGGCGCCTGCGTACGACCCTCATTCACGCCCAACTACTGGATGAGCCTGCCCCGCCCTCCGAAGACCTCAACCCCGCGCTTGAGAAGCTTGCAGGCGTATTAAAAGACTCGCCCGAGCTACTTGGATGGCTGCGCGTGGAGGAGGGTCAGCTGCAACAGGCACTTGGTCAGGAGAAGGCCGCGCGGGAATGCTTCGAGCGCGCAGCCGAGGCGACAGGTCTTGTGTACGAGCTGTCCGGCGCCCTCGGCAAGCGCACGAAGTTCCAGCAAAACGAGGTCAGCCAGCTGGTGCTTCTCGCGGAGAGCAAGTTGAAGGTGGAGGATGGGAAGGAGGGTGAGGAGATGGCGCTCGCGAAAAACGAGACCAAGAAGGATCTACCGGATAATCTGGCGCTGAACGACGATACGCTGCTGGAACAGACGGAGTATTCGTCGTCGAGGGCGGATCCGCGCACGGGGTCGAAGCTCGCGCACCTGTCGCCAGAGTCCCAGCCGGCATTGCATCCTGTCGACCAGTGTATCGTCCTCGGGTTGTGTGTCGCGCACCTCAAAGCCGCACCATCGCACTCGCTCGCTCCTTTCGCCAACTCCGCTGGTGTCGAGCCTCCCAGCGGTTCGTCCATCACCATCGAGGAGGCAAAACCGTACGTCGCGCGCGTCATTACCCATCCTCGCAACTGGAGCGTGCATACGGCGGCGCTGCTGCTACGCTCGCGACTGGAGGCATCTCGTACGCGTACGGTCGAGCGCGCGACACTGCAGCTGCAGGCCCTCATCGACCAGATGCATGCGGAGGACGCGATCAAGGACGCCTCGAACGCAGTTCGCTTGCGATACGCGTACGCGCTTCCTCTTCCCAGTCGGTGGGCGCTCGAGCGTGAGGTCGGCTTGCGCTACCTCTCGCTTGGTGTCGTCCGGTCTGCGCTGGAGATCTTCGAGCGGCTGGAACTCTGGGAAGAGGTTGTCCAATGCCACGTCTCCCTCGAAAAGCACTCCGTCGCAACAGCCATCGTCCGCGACCTACTTGATGGGCGCAAAGGCGACAGCGGCGAGATCGACGCCGCCCGCAGGGCAAAGCTCTACTGCATCCTCGGTGACCTCGCAGTAGCGACTCAACCAGCAGACGTTCCTGCTGCTCGCGCCGCCTACGAGCAGGCTCTCCATCTCGTCGGCGACCGCTCCTCTCGCGCCCTGCGTAGCTTGGGCTACCTTGCGTTCCAACTCGCGGCTCGGGAGAACGAGGAGAGTGCGGCATTGGCGGGCTTCCGCGAGGCGACGGCCCACCTGCGCGGCGCGGTCGCAATTAACCCGCTCGTGGGCAAGGCCTGGTTCATCCTCGGCTGCGCCTACCTGCGCATCGAGGACTGGCTCGGTGCACGCGAGGTGAGTGCTTCGTTTTCTCTGCTTCCCTGCTTCCTGCTTCCATACTCCCCTCCCACGTTCTCCTCACCACGTTCTGCGCTTCTCTTCTCGTCCACGCGAACGTCATCCACGCGAGCCAGCTCGCCGGGACCCTTCCGTTCCGCGCGTACGACTTTCGCCGTCAATTGAGATTCGCGCGTCCCGTTCCGCACGTGGGGCCCTCCTGGCGGTATCTGTCAGCACACGCATCACATCTGCCATGATCCAATCGATTTTGTATAGCTCATCCCCGGCGGGGATGTGTACTGCCATGTTTGTTTACCCACGGCGCGCTGCGGTCATTGCCTCACACGTATACCTACGCGCTGTCTGCACGACTTTCGTGTATCGTCTGCTGGCTTATTGGCTGATTACCAGCCACGTCATGCTCTTGCCGTACTCCGAATCGTATCTTCTTATCCCTAAGCGCCAGCGATGCCTCAGATCCCTATTTCCTCCCATCTCCTTCTTTCATCCTTTACCTTCTGTCCGTTTCGGTGGCTTTATCCACCTGATTGCATCGTTGGAGGCGTAATCGGTTGATTTGTATTTTATCCCTCTACTACACATCTTTTCAGCATGATCTTATTCGGCTAACCATCACCCCAGGCGTTTAGCGCATGCGTCCGCATAGATGATACGGACCCAGAAAGTTGGGCCAATCTCGCGGCGGTGTACCTGCGTTTGCGGGAGCTTCCGCCACCCGCCGAAGACGAGGGAGAAGCGCGCAAGGTGAACATTGACGTCCATCCGTCTTACAATGAGCAGAATGCTGATCATCAACACAGCCACTCCCTTCATATCCGCTCCTCGCCTTCCAAGCGCTCAAGCAGGCGCTTCGTAATGCTCATTCGAACTGGAAGATATGGGCCAACTACATGGTGGTCTCCGTCGAGGTCGGCGAGCTCTCAGAGGCCGCACGCGCCCTCGCCCGCGTCGCAGACGAGACCTCCGGCCAGGAGATCGACCCTGACGTCCTCGACAGGCTCGTCGGCGCCGCCGTCAAAGAAGTAGAGACAGGAAAGGAGAAAGAGGCGGAGGGCCAGGGCCAAGAAGACGAGCACGCAACGGGCGATAAATCGCGCGTCTCTGTCCTCACGCGCACCGTGCGCAGCCTGTTCGACAACAGCCTTCTCCCGCGGCTGGGCGGGTGCTCGCTCTCCACCGCCGCGCGCGTCCATAGGGCGCACGCGCGCTTCTGCGCAGCGGAGGCGCGGTGGCTGGAGGCGGCGGAGGCAGATGGGACGGCGACAAGCTCAGATGGCTCCACCGCGACGCCTACGTCCGCCGAAAAATGGGCTGATGCCCGCGCGGCGTGGCTGGAAGCGTTCCGCTGCGTGCGAGACAATCCCGATGTCTCCTTCGCAGAGCGAGTGGCTGCGCTGGAAGAGATCGTGGACGTGCTGAGGAACGTCGGCGGTGACAAGTGGAAACTACAGGCTCGCAGTCTGGTGCGCGCCTTCATTGGACGGGAGCGCGACGAGCACGAGGGCGAGGAGGGATGGGAACGCGTCGAAGCATTGGCCGAAGAGCTCAAAGGGGGCGCTCGAGTGGAGGAGTAGGCGGTTATGCGGCTGGCAGCTGGCGAAGTCGATAGGACCTTAGCCAGGAAATAAAATAGATCTGTACCATCAGTGTACTTCGCCCGCCTTCGGGAAATTCCAGTGCTCATCCTGGATTATCTGCGCGATTGCGAACGGCTATCTCCTTGCCAACGTTCTTACAGGCACGAATAGCGCCGCTTCTGGCTGATAATGGAGCTCAAAATCAGTGATTCAATCATGCAAGGCGGATCCGTGCTTTGGAGGACCAGTCGGGTCCAAGCACGGTCAAGGCTTCTCTGAGCCAAGCGAGGCACTCGCGCTTGCCACGGAGATGTGGTGTAGACAGGGTGCAGGATTATGCAAAGTCCTGCGCCGCCGGCAGCTACGCCGTAGAGCTCGAGTACGTACCCTTACACTCATGGCGGGAATGCGGAGTACCCTCTGCGGGAGAGGCAGTGGTCCTCAACAGCAATGCGCATAGATGCATGCGGCGCAAAGAAGATCTGGATGTCACAGGCAGAGTCAGATGCATCTATAGGACGTCGCAGGGTCGTGATGAAGCGTACAATGTACGTACAGCTACAGGCTAAGTCATGGTCAGCGTGGGGGAATATCATAAAAAGACAGCCGAGAGCTAAGGTAGGGGAAACATACTAGTGATACAGAAAAGCGTCGAGGCAGGATGGAAACTCAGAAAGCGAAGGATACATATCGAATCACAAGAGAAAGAGGGCCATACTGGTCGGCCAAGCATGATTGTTGAATTGTCGCGTGGGCGGCAGCCCACGTGCGGCATCGTAGGCGCAGGTGCTCCGACTCCCACGCATGCCGACTATTGTCCTGAGTCCACCGTCCGGATCCTCCGCCCCGCGCCGCCAACGGGGGAATGCGCCTCCCATTCTTGCGCGTCAACGGAGCCTGCGCGAGCCCGGGCCACTCTGCGCACACGCCCGACACATACCCCCACTCCTTCGCGGCCCGCCGATCCTTCCTGCACACAAGAACCGCAACGCACAGGCTTCGCGAGTCTCGCAGCGAAGTCCGCGGGATGACAGGCGGCGGGCCGCAACTCCTCGCCCGGAATCCAGAGCGGCGCAGCGGGATCTCGGTGGTGTGCTGGATTTACCACTGCAGGGCTTGCGCCATCCGGTTGAGGACAAGCGTCGTGACGATCTCGGTCACGATGGGGATGCCCGCGGGGCGAATGGTGAGCTTTGCGTGGAACTCGTCGTCCGGATGGGAGACCTCCCAGACGGCCAGCGTAGTGCGGCCGTCCACGCACTGGAGGTGAGAAGGGGCCGTACATGGAGCGCGAGGGCGTGACGATTTTTGCAGCGCGATGTCGGGTCATTTACCGAGTCGCGGGAGGCATCGTGAGCAGCGGAGCAGGAATCCGACAAAGGGCAGCGGGCGAAACGCGAGATGAGCTGTTAACGAGGGAGTAGAACCACGGCGCACACGCACTCACCTCCATGCGTGTGGGGGTGATCCGCCACTTGTAATCCTTGCCGCTCTGTGCGGTGAAGTGGCGGGACCTGCGAGGGTGTTAGCCGCGGGGACGAGGGCGGCGAAGGATTGGTTGGCCCACATACGTCGTATTTTCTCTGTTTTGCCTGAGAAAGTGGGCCATCGCAATTGAGTTGCGGTTGTTACCGTATACAACGTAGCCCGGGCTTTGAGACGGGCCGAAATACAGATACGAGTTGGAGGGTCCAAGGATGCCCTCATGGCGGTCAGCCCACTGCGCCTCGCGCGTGAGCTTGACGATAATGTTGGGCGTACTTGCTGCCTGCCGGAGCGTTAAACGAGGTCGCGCATCGTAAGGATCATTGTGCGTACCTCTTCACTGTGAAAGGCACATCAGTACGCAAGTATCAAATAAGCGCCCGCCTTACAGGGTGACCGCAGCGCGCCCCTCGAGGTCCTCAAAGCGTGCAGTAAACGGGTTATCGCCAAACTGGAGGAGGACAAGGGAGTTTGCGTTGCTCGAGGAGGGCATGGGGGGTCAGTGGGCAGCACAAGATGGGCGAGCATGCTGATGGGCCTCCGCCCGGTTTTGAACGGCAAGAGGCGTCCGCATCCCACTCGGGCGCAGAACCCGGATCGCGCGCGGCCCCTTCGCTCTCGTCCACGCGATTGGCCACATGCGCACACGTGTATGTTCAACTCACCACGTGGGCCTGCGCTCCGAGATCCAGGCGCGAGATGAGCCCCCGGCGCACGCTCGGCACGCCGCTATCGATGGCCTCCGCCCTCACCGTGCGCGACCCCCAGTTTCACGCCCCCAAGCTGGCTCGCAAAGCGTACGTGTAATCCGAACCAGAACCAGATTCGAGTACAGGCGGGAAGTATATCTCTGCGCGCCGTGCCTGGGCCCCCCAAGAATTAAGCTGGACGGTGAGAAGATCCATCCACGCGCCCCATTCAGTCGTACACTGCGCGCCAATGACAGAACGCGTCAGCGGGGCACGCGGGCGGGATAGCGCGCTAGACGCACCGTGCACGATTCCTGTCGCCCGCGTGGTCAGCCACGCGACAGCTTACTAGGCGCGAAACGACGTAAGGCGTACCGTAGAAGAGCGTCCAAACGAGGACGAACGTGAACGCGTTGTCCTTGCCCGGGTTCACGAGCGCAGGCAGGCCGCCGGGCACGTACCGCGCTGGTGACCCGCGGCAGTTGATGGCGAACAGGCAGAACGCGGTAAGCAGCGTAGAAGCGCCGAATAGCGCAAAGCCCTTGATGTGCTGGAGGCCCAGAATGCCCGCCACGGCACCAGCGAGGGAGGCGGTGATGAACTTGACAGTGTTCACGGTCGAGTTCGCCTGCACATTCGGAGGGTATATCAGCTGCACCTTCGCGTCAGGCGTTGCGGCGGCCGGTGCTTGCGTCGCCATCGTCGTTTGGGAGGAAATGCGCCGTGGGAAGTTTGGCATACGCGTGCGTGCCCAACACGTGCTTCGGATATTGCCGATGTTCAACTTTAAGGACGACTTTTGCGGACTTCGCGAATGTTGTAGGGGCGTACGGGTTGCAAGTGAAAACAGGAATGGAAGAGATAGAGCTGGCAGGGCTCAACCAAATATTACATGCAGGGCGTGGCCGTGTTTCGAAAGCCACGAAAGCTCAGAGTAACAAACTCGCATTCCAAAAACCAGATACAACTACAACAGACATTGCTATGGTACTATACATATGCTGGGTATCACGATGCAAAAAAAATTGTCCATGTGTGTCACTATGCAGGAAGGGAGTATCGCGAAGGCGAAACGCAGAAACATGTCGCAAAGACGAGAGGCGAGGAGAAGCTATGGGGATGGTAAGGTACGAGAGGCGAATCAGGGTTCGCGGTGGGTGCGATGATAGGAGGGAGGGAAGGAAGGATAAATGTTGTATAGGTCAAAGCCGTTTGGCCGGCGTTGACTCTGCGCGTCAAATCTCGGAGTAAACACGCTGCACCGCGCGTCTAACTCCTGCGGAGTAGCCATTCGACCTTTCACCGCGCCAAAGAGCTCCGCGCACGCAGCGCCTCACCCTTGTACCAAAGGAAGATCGGGAACGGAATGCCGAGGACAATGGCGACGCCAGCCAACAATGACATCCCACCGCCGAGGCCCAACGCATTGAACATATCCTGCGCGAAGAGCGGGAAGGCGAAGCCAAAGAGGGAGCGGAAGAACTGGGAATGGGAGTCAGTAAGGTTGTTTTCGTAAGATGAGATGGATGTGGTGACAGGTTAGATAGAGGAGGAAGCTAAACTCACCGCCGCAGCCGACACCGCGCTCGCCGCGTACGTGAACGTGTCGACGAGGTAGAGTTGGATCGGGAAGTATGTGAGCATCTGCCCGAAGCCGTAGATCGCAGAGCCGATGATGGGCATGATCCAGTGGATCTTCGCCTGCGCCGACCAGCCGTACCACAAAAGACCGACCGGGACGAACAGGGAACCAAAGATGAGCGACGGGATGCGGTACTCGGGCTTGCCGATGCCGTTGTTCAGCTTGTTGGAGAGCTGTGAAGGACGTCAGTAGGATGTCTTTCGAAAATTGACCAGGAGGCCGCTCGTAGCGAGCCCCCTGCCAAAGCGAGGACAGAAGGATCACTCACATGCTCATACACCCGGTTGCCCAACTTTGCACCGACGATGGTTGAGAGGAAGAAGCCGACGCCGAGCCCGATGTAGACGAGGCCATCGATGCCGACGCTGAAGCCATAGGTCGAGGAGAAGAAGCCTGTACAAAAGGTCAGGACGCTATGTTATAGGTGAAGAACGATCAGAACGTACCAGGGAATGTCGCGAACATGAGGTAGTAGATCCCATACATGCTGCAAGAGTCTGCGTCAGCAAACATCGTCTTTCATCGACTGGACTAGGACCACTCACAAAGCCATGTAAAGCGACAACGTGAAGCAGATGATATCCCCGAATAGCAAATGCACCGGCCTCGCGATGCTAACCCAGAACAGCTTGCCCTTCTTCTCCCCGTACACGCCCATCCCCGAGCCCTGACCCATAAATTTCTCCGAATCCACGCCATTCTTGATGGCCTGCCGCATGCGCAGGTACGGGTGGTACGTCTCGCGGAGGATGGGGAGGCCGATGACGGACGCGACCCCGTTGAGGATGGCGATGATGATGAAGACCCATTTGATGCCGATGCTTTGCGCGATGAAGCCACCGCAGATGGGGCCGATGACGGGTCCGAGGAGGGGACCGCTGGAGGGGGATGGTTAGAGCCTGTCATGGATATGGGGAAGGTGGCGAGGGATAGGAAGGGAGGAGAAGGGGAAGACGTACAGGGTATAGAGAGCCATCGCGCTTCCGCGCTCCTTCTCATTGAAGAGGTCGCCTATGGAGCCACCACCGATGGCGATAGGGGCTGAGCCGGAGAGGCCACTGAAGAAGCGCAGGGCGATGAGGGCCGACGTGGTCGGTGCGAAGGCGCCTAAAAGAGAGGGTGAGCTTCTAGACGCTGCACGGGAAGCGATGCGCGCATACATCCAAGGTTGAACGCCAACGAGAGGAAGTTGGCGATATGCAAGACCCACTTGCGACCGTAAAGCTCGGACAAGGGGCCGATGACGAGGGGCTGATTGAGCGTTAGAGGAGAAGGACGAGTAGAGGGGAATAACCACTCACGCCTATAGCCAAAGCCAAAACGAAGCTGCTCAGGGTAAGCGCGAGAATGGTGGAGTTATCAATGTGATAGTCGGCGGCGACGTTGGGGAGACCTGGCGCCATCATGGAGGACGTGAGAGGGGGGATAAATCTGCGGATGATGAGTACGGTGCAACGCGATTGAACGCGAGGAAGCTCACGTGTAGAGTGCGACCTGGTGGAGAAGTCAGCAACTGAAGTCGTCAAGGGGGGAGGAGGGAACGTACGATAGAAACAGACGCCCACTTCTTCCCCGTCGACCAGTTACGAGGGTTGATGGGGTCGACGGCCCAAAGCTCGTCCGGGGTGTCTGCCTTGCTCTCCTGGCCGACTTGAGGGGTGATCTTCGAGCCCTCGGATATGGAGCGCGCCTTCTCAGCGTCGACGGTCGTATTGACCGAGCAATCAGAGTCGTCCGGGCATCTGAAGGCAATGGCGGGAACCGTAAGGGTGCGTTGCGGATCCATCACGATTCGCGTCGAGTTGGTGCGAATTTACGCGTTCGTCGTGGCTGTGGGGATCTAGTAGGCTTTGCGGACGTTGGTGACGGTGGTGGCGACGAGAAAACGCGTGTAGAGGATGAGGTGGTGGTGGGAGGAAGGAAAGGTGCATAGCAACGGGCGGGTATTTATTAGCCTTTTGTCTCGTCCGCCCCTTTAGAAGCGCGACACTGTCCTGCGTCTGAGTCTATTCAGCGGGCTAGGATCGGCGTAGAGGCGGTGCCGACAGCTTCGTCGCTTCCTTGTCAGGTTCATGTGGCGCGCGGCACCCGAGAAGATTGGCGCAGGACAAATCAGAGTAGGAGGAGGTAGCTGTGCGCACCAGCTGCGGCGCTGACATGCACGGAAAGAACAGTAAATAGCTGGCAGTGGTTTGACGGCCATTCGGTGTCTAAGAAGCATCCGTCCGCACGTTGAAGCACCGGACTGGAACATAGACAGCCGCAAGGACAGCAGTGTATCCCGCCCCGCGCACACCGGGGTTGAGTCGGCGGGCCTTGCACAACGTCCGGCCTAATACGAGGTCTGATAGCAGGTTTATATAAGTAGATGGAGGAGACACATGCATGCGCTGCTGCAGAGAATAGACGTGGACGCGTTACGCCAAGAGCATAAATCAGATGAAAAAGTTGACCGTTGACAGTAGCGCGAGGCCGGGGTCGGCGTTCAGAAAGCGTCCCTCCGAGAGCTCAGGACACCGGCGCACATGGCAGACGGGCCAGAGATCGGCGTGCGTCGAGGCGGTAGATTGAATCCCGCTGGCCACTACTGCGTATGTCGACTAGAAAAAGCGATGGCGTTGTGGTGTGCACCTAAGGAATAAACATGCTTGGGGATACCTTGGGTCTGGAAAGGGAGTGCATGGCAGGAAGGGGGTGGACAACCGAAGAACCCAACTAGGTATCTTGTCAACTATGGGGCCTTCCAAAGGATGAACAAACACACCTCGCCACACAGGGCACAGTCCCGACATTTCGGTACCTTTAGAGGCAGGAGAGAAGCCTCGCGCATGGTTAACAGTCGAAGGTCAGACCGGCGAGAGGCAAAATTCGGATCGTGAAGGCGCATTTGGCTGTTCAGAGGCCGATGCCGCAAGGCTTTACACAGATCGTTCATTGCAACCTGCCATTCAGAGTGAGAGATATCGCAGTACATGGTACGGAGCATCAGCGGGGGCGTTCGTGGCCGCCAGCGTCGAGATGATGGTGGTAGGAGGCAAGGAATAACAACGCGCTTTGCCCCCGTTGATCGATCATCACGCTTTGTCTCCGTCCCCCATCTCGCCTCGAGCGGTGCGCAAGAACATAGTAGCAGTTCCTCTACGATGAGATCACTCACGTCAACGCTCTGCCGGCTCAATGCAACCTCAGGCGCTCTTGAAGAGCACATCTCGTCTTCCTAATCGCTCCGGTCTGCCCTTTAATCACGCTAGCCTCCGTTTCAGCCCCTTCCCAGCATCCGAATCCCCTCAAAAGTCTCGTCTCTCAACACCTACTGTGGATTGTCAGCGTATATAAGCCAACCCTCCCCGCCATCAATCCCCGGGGGACTGAGTTCGGGCTCCTTCCGTCTCTACCGTCGAACAACTCTCGCCCTCTGTGATACAGCCCGTCCGGATCGTCGACTCGGCGTGCGGGCGGGAGGTCGTAGCAGAATAGGCGGAGCGTCGGTCGAGGCGGGGTCGGATGCTGTGGGCAGACGGGCGCGGGAGCGCAGCGTGTTGGCGGTTTTGGGGACTTCGTGGTGAGCAGGGCTGGGTCCGATTCCCTACCGAGGTTGGGCCAACTCCCTCCTCGCTCGCTCGCTGAAGTCCCCGTCCGTCCGTGCGCTGTGCCCCGCCTTCCCCCTGTTCGGGCAAACCGGCGTGCGTTGGCCTGCGCAGCGCTCTGGGAGAGCGGTGTCGTACTTTCTGTGGCCGTCCGGGGGCCCGTTGGTGCGCGCCGCGTCCGCGAGGCTCTTTCCTGCCGTGGCTCTGGCGACAGCAAGACTCTAGGCGACAGCGAGATCTAGGCGACATGCAAGGTCTAGGCGACATGCAAGATTCTGGCCGGCATGCAAGATGCTAGGCGACTTTCGGACCTCAAGGTTATCGACTTTCGGACATCAAGGTGATCAACCTTCGGACTTGAAGCTTCTGCTCGACTGTCTGCCCTTTCTTCGTGCTCGCCTATCACGCCTGATGCAATATTGCGCTGCCAGATGTGTACAGAGTGTCATTCCCCGTTTGCGTTTACTGATACATCAGCGCAGACACGCTCTCGTATCCGGCGCCCTTCAGCTTCCCCCTCTGATCCTCCGTGACTGTATACCGGACTGAAGGTAAAGTCGGGATCTCTTGTGCGCGGCCTTCACTCAACGTCTTGCAGTGTTACTCTGGAGAATGGAAGGGAGGATCGCTTTGGGTGCAGGGGATTTCAATCGTACATCACCACTGACATAGTTGCGCTTCGCTTCGGCTGTCTGTGATTGCTATCGGGCTCTCCGCTTGCTATATACGATGATTCCCCCTTCTTCGTGCTTTAACCTCGGTATATGCACCAACACGACAGAGGAGGGCAAGAAGCACGACGGCTCGTCACATCCTTCTCACGTGGACGGCATTAAAACCACGTGCCCGTCGGAGTTCGCCGAAGTCGAACGCGGCTTGGCTTCTGCTCTCATCTGCCTCTCGCACCGAACGGGCCACAAGCTATAAGGAACCACCGTAAGGTCATCTGAGGGTCGAGCAACCTTGTTATCTGCGGTGGTCTGGGCCTCGTCGACGTTTCACGCCATGCACCATGCCACCCATCTGCAGGCATCCAACAGCCTCGCGTCGCTATGAGGAAGTGTCTTCACCCTCACGTCCTCCCGCGATAATATACCGCACTTATTCCTGGCTACTGCGCGCGCGAAGACGGACATAACGGTGCCCATCACTGGAATGTATATACAGTACGCCGGGACCAATAAGCCCTTCATCTGAGTCGGACGCTGAGGATAACAGATTAATGACTAACTAGATGCCGGATTTTGAATGAAGTTACCTTTGTATAGGATGGCTGAAGTGCTCATCTGGAGGATCTCATATTGACTCTATCAATCTGCACCCGCGCGCTCTGACCTTTGTACGTTCCGCGAAGTTGCGGTCGTCGGTATCGTCCGCAGGATCTAATGTCACTGAAGACGATCAAGTCGGCTACGTCGGTCCCTGTCTCGAGGTCTTGCGGTAGGAAGATCACGCAGTAAGCCCGCCATGCGTCAGCTCATTGACGGTGCCACAAAAGAACCTCATTAATCAGTCTGGTGAGTGGCACTCCATGCAAATGGGCGAGTGACGCGCGTTGCATTGACGAAGCAGCACCCAGACGCAGCCATTGTTACTGACATCTCATGACATCGGAATACCCGCGTCATCGTCATTGTCGGAGACGCTCGCGGAAGGTATACCCGGCTTCGCGCAAATATTTTCCCTCCACTCATCCTAGCTGTATGCGATCCCAAACGCTGGGACGACGCAGACATTATCACAAGCTCGAACATATACCCGGAATAACTGTCTCAACGCCAGGGACTCTGACGAGAGCATTACTCGGCACTCAACGTAACTTACAAAGCGCAGCGGGATCATCCCTTCGCAGGATGTAATGTCATTCCCTACGATGTCATGGTATTCCATCATCAAAATTTGGAACACAACCCACGGTAAACCCTTCGAGCGCAGGTGGTACATATGCAGCCCCATGTACAAGTACATTTAGTCTGTGCGGTCCTTCGCAGTCCCAGGAATATTTAAAGAAAAAAAAAACGAAAGGAGCCTATAACGACTGTCCGTATCACACGAGAACATCGTCCCATTGGCACTGAGAACTGCGGCCTGCCGCATCTCCTGCTGCGAGCTTCAGAGGCGGAGAAACGATAAGAGAGAAGTCCTGCAGGTGTGAGTGGCGCATAAGATGTTCCTGCTGCGTGTACATGGAATTCGAGGCACCTGGGGAGAGAGACGAGTAAGCAGCGATGGACGCCGGCGGCGCAGCAAAGCTGTAATCGAAAGGCGTGAGGTCCAATATCGTCTCGGCGGCAATGAACGGTGGCTGCGTAGGGGCATATTGTCCCTCGTCAGTTGAGGTATATTCCGGCGGTGGGTACGAGAAGGGCACGGCCGCCGCGCCCATCCCCGGCCAAGCGATCACGGGCGGATTAGGCATGCCCGCGGCCCTGGAGAAGTAAGCGCGGTCTCCAGCTTCCTGGGTCCACAGCGCATGGCAACTCGGAGGTTGTGCGGGCTGCGGGGCAGGCGCAGCATAGAGCGGCGGCTGTTGGCTGAGCGGGAACGAGTGTTCGGAGGGCGAAAGCGCCGACACGTTCAGCGCCAGCTGACCGTAAGTGCGCCCGGCCCCTGACATAACGACGTCCCTCGGGACGGGTGATTCGCCTTCGCCGCTCGCTGATATGGCTGCTGTGTCCGACATCACAGGAGACCGAATTGGCTGTGTTCGCAATGAGTGGTAGTGCGCGCATCCAGCGAATATGGAGAGTTCGTCGAATTGATGGGCGTCCTGAGCGGCGTCGCCTTCGACGGGCTTGTCGCCCGTCCTATCATGACCGTACGCTTGCGAATGTATCGCGTCGGCTTTGGCAGCGAGGCTCTTGAGCACTAGCTGATGTAGGCGCGACAGTCAGATGGTGGCGACATATAGAGGTCAAGAGAACGCACCAGTGCCTGTGACGCCCGAGCGCTTGAAGGTGCCGCTCTCGCGAACAAGACGCACGCCTGCTCTAGCTCCTCCTTGGATGTCGCCACAATCGGCGAGAAGGGCGCATGAATCGTGACAGTGGCATGTACGACCTGGCAATAGATGAACGTCAACCGGCAATCAATCGTGGAAATACCTACCGCTGCCGCGAATGCGTCTGCCCACATCGACCAGTGACCGATGGTTGACGGCGACGACGCGATGTATTGGTCTTTGACGGACTTGAGGATAGTAGATGACGCACGGCATACCGTAAGAAATGAGTGCGAGTATGGCGATCGAAGTGGATTGTCAGGGTGCTGGACGGTGGCGCGAGCGAAGAATGAGCGGTGGAGATAAAGAAGGACTAGAAAGACAGATTGTTAACGAACGAGATCGATGCTCAATAGGTTTGCTTACCTGTCTCCTTAAAATGAAAGGGCATATATGGCCTACATGCTTCGCAATTAGGTGAAGGATAGTCGCGGACTTTGCGATCAAGAGCCATGATAGTGGCGAACGTGGGCACCGCCGCTGAAACAGTCGCTGCCACGACTTCAGAGACACACTCAGCAGCGAATAGGAACTGCCAGCGCTCAACTAGATGAACCGGAAGACGTCAGCTTCTTTCAGATGGATTATCCGTAAGACTTACAAGCGTATTGTTCAGGATCGGCGTACTCCGGTATGTTGCAGTCGACGTATGGAAGCGAGAAGAGCGGGGGACGACCAGTATGAAGACTCTGAAAGCACTGCATGAGGATGAATCATGACGGAGAGCGCCATACTGACCTGCCAAACGTCTGCCGTGAAGAGATACCAAAATAAGATCTCGCGCCTGCGGACATCCTTCGCAGGAATAGCCCATCGCCGAGCGTTGCGATCTGAAAGGTCGCCTCAGTCTACGCCTTCGTAGTCGAACAAAGGCTATGCTCACGTAGGCCGATCTATTCGTCGCGTCGTTAGAAATGGCACCAACTGATGTTAATCGTAATAAACTCACCGTGAGGCTGAGGTGCACCGCCAGAGACAAAAGATTTCGGCCCAACTCTACTCCTGAGGACCCCTCGGGGCTATTCTTGAAGAGGTCCTCGCATCCACCCGCGATCCCGTCATACACGCTCAGGAGGTAGAGCGCCTGTATGGTGAAGACGCTCGGTGTCTGCAAAACCGGTCGTAGAGACAGACATGCGTGCGCTAGCTCATGATAGCGGCGCGCGCCGTTCATCTCCGCGTATGTGCGCACCCCGCTGGGTGAAGGCGCCGGCCCAGAAGCACTCGCATTCTTGACCGTCGAGGCAACAGCGAAAATGGCGAAGAGAAGAGCAATTGCGTGAGGGCTTCGGTAATCGATGTCGTCCGAGGACGTCCCATCGTCGAATGAACAGCTGGCCTGGAAGCCATAGACGGCGGGAAGCATGTCGTCTTCGATCTGCTCCCGGGTGATTGCACCTAGAAGCCACCCAGCGGTGCTGAAGTACAGATCCACCAGCGCCATAGCTTCATCGGCGGGAGGTAGTTGCGACAGAGGATCGCCGAAGGCTGCGCCCAATGAAGGGAGAGGGAAGCCAGCAAGACAAGATGTCGACCATTCGTTGAGCGTCGAGGCGGAGATGATGGATGTGGCAGGTGATGACGGGAGCGATGTGGAGTCGATAGGCGAGGGGAACGACAAGGGCGATACTGAGGGCGCGAAAAGTGTCTCCCCGCCTACGGATGGCGCGCGCAGCATCAACAAGCTCTGATGAAAAGTCAACGCGAAGCTAAGACGAATGCAGGGAGTTTTACCTCTGAGCCGCCTGTTGGTCCGTAAAACCGAGTGACACCCTCGTCTGCGACGACGAGCGTACCGACGAGGTCCATAGGTAATGCCTCTTCATCGTGCACGTCCTCCATATCGGCGAGGTCTGGTGATGGATCTCCGGCTTCTGCATCTCCGCAGTCGAGGTCGGTGGCTTCGGCGAGGAGAGGGTGAGGGTCGGACGACCGCTCTTGCTGTAGAGACATCAACGCCTGTTCGAGCGATTGTATTCGTCGCTTCAGCTGAGCGACATGCTGGTGCAGATGCTCTGTTGCCTCGAATACGAATCTCGTGCCCTGACCAGTCGCCAACGATCCATTGGGACATAGAGGAGCGCATCCACGTCGCTGGAGACTGTCAGCAAGACGGACAGGATTACAAGGTGATACTGCTCACCACACATGCATGGCAAGGGACCTGGAAACGTCAGCGTAAACGAGCAGATAAAATTCTCGAAGACTTACTGTCTTCGAGCACTTAATCTTCAATCTAAGCGAGGGTTCAGTCGGGAGGAATATATCGAGGAGAACAAGCTCACCGTCTGCATTCGGCGCAGCTGATCTCGCCTGGACAACAGGTCAGTCCGAGTTGAGTGAGGTATGAGGTGGTAGGCTCACCTTTGCTACGCTTGAAGTCGAGCTCCCGTGTCAACGACCCGGTAAAGTCGAGGTCCTTCTTGGATGACCTACGCGCCTTGCGCACTTGACGAGTGCTCGCAGCCATGTCCCAGTCCGCGGTAAAGCTACCGCCCACTGCGCATTCCTTCTTATACAGCGACAGGTCCGATGATCCCGCCACCCTGGTGTTCATAGAGAAACTCCATGTTGATGCGTCGACGGTGTCCCTGACTTCGCCGGACTATCCCTTATGAGGACAAACAGCATCGCCGGCATTTGTATGCCAAGAGGAAGAGTGCCGCATGTGATGTCGGAGACGCCTAGCTATCGCAGAGATCTCTAACCCCCGCACGCTGAACGTCACATTTCAATGGTCAGACTGAAGCGCATGGGAAACACGGGGAACGGTGTATGGAAGGGTACCTGCCTGAGCGCATGTACGGATTCTTCGCAGGGATCCCGCATGGAATTACGAGAGTGTTGGTAGGCGCTGAGTATCAGGGAGCCTGCGATATGCCAATTCAGGAGCTCATCAGTACGGTTTAGGTATGAACGGGGATAGCTCGTCAGAATGGGGCGGACAAGAAGGTTTACATTCAGCAACGGCGGCCGTGCCGTTTGTAGCAGCGTAGAGATATTGGAGGACGTACCTGACCCTTTTCAGTCATGATAGAGATGCCTTCTGCACACGGGCTTGAACGGACGAAGACTCGTTGCGAGAGGGTTTGTTCCAGGCGATACGGTTTGTTCGACTTTGCGCTCGAGGCGCATGAGGTTTGATCGGGCTACAGGGTGATCTATAGCAACTACTGATACCGCTCTCCCTGCGACGGAGACGGTACCGGTCACGACGAACCTGCTCGCCTCTGTTAGTGGGGATCGCGACGACGTATATGCGTGACTTACTAGTATACGGCATCGGCACCGTCAAGATCCCGCCGTGAGGCGATTCAAATGTCAACCAGCCGACATCCACCATGGCGGGCTCGAATCTGCAACACAGTTACGCAGCAGCTGTAAAGCCCGACGCTCATCGAGCGGTCCGATGAAGGCCGCCAAGGTTTCGCGGAGGTTGAGAGTTTGATGCGTCAGCGCATCGGAGCTATGCTTAGACGTGGGTAGTAGGTACCACTATCCAGTGCCTCGCACCAATACATCTTCGTCTTCCCGGCGATCAGCCATGGCCTGAGGGAGTCAATTGTGCTGACGACGTTGGACTGAGCCGCAGCATTGTTGGTCATACACCGAGTTGACAGCATATGTATGCTTGGGTACAAAGAAAGGACTTGTTCTCTAGAGAAGCCTGCATTTCCACGACATGGCGGACGTTCAGGACAAGTTGAGCCAGCGGCACGTGCTAGTTGAGATCAACGGATTCTAGAAGGTTTTTCTCACGCCACTTTACATTGCACCACGAGGCGAACTCGAGCTTCGAGCATGTTGACAGTTTCTCCTGCTACCACCATCACATAGCGCTGGGAATTATGGCTCCGTACTTTGAGACCGTCAAGGTATGGGGACGAATACCAGACGAAGACCCCGAACTCAGTGAATTCGCAGTCATTCGCAGATGTACCGTATGAGAACGGCGTCGTGACTGTCGAGTTCCTCGAGGCGTCGGATGGATTCGTCAACATGTTCGGTAAGACTACCTACGCTATGGCTGACCATATGGCTTACATAACTGTGTACCAGATCTCCTCGGAACTGGTGTCTTCGGCTTCGTTCAGAACGACCTACGGTCCAACATAAGTGTAAGTACCCTTCGATGCACCCTGTCGTATCTGACATGGATTGTAAAGGGTGTTCGAGGCCGCTACCAAAGCGCCTCAGAAAACTCTGCGACATTGGAAGCGTTGGTCACCCACGAATCACAAGGACATGACCGATATGGCACTCAGTGCCTCGTCAGACTGATCCGGTAAGCCATCTATCGAAGAGCTTTAAGGTCGCACCACAGAACTCAAATATTACCAGAGGACTTGCCTTCACCTGTCGCGCACTGCAAAACATGCAGAGCGACCGGTCATCCGAGTTGCACGTATGCTTCAAGCGCTCCTACGATGTGGTCCTCCGAAAGCACCACAACTTCATCATCCGCTCTGCCGTTTCCGTATGTGCTGACCATTCCTCTAGTGTCCGAGTTTGTATTGACGAATGCCTAGGTCGCTATCCGAGCGGTTCCCCATCGGCACGACTTCTACCACCGCATCTCTCAAGGCGGCGACATCGACAAGCTAGACGCCGAGATGAAGAAATGGCTTTCAGCTCTTGACGTGATCGTATCCCGAATGACAGCGTTCCTCGAACAGGGCGGTCATGGGAGAGGTACGCTGCTCGAGTTCGCCCTGCATCTACCCACTGACATGCCCTCGGCAGTTTGATATAGGCGCTCATGAGCAGGATGAATGTCTTCGGCGGCGACTATTCTGCTCAAGGCCGTGATCGAGTATCGTCACTCTTACTTTATGTTCGTCTATGTAGAAGGCGCTGGCCGCCTTGTCATCGATAGATCCGTTTTATACGGGGCAGTTAGTAAAGGTCACTGCCAGACCTACGACCGTATCGTCTTGCTCGCAGCGTTACTTGTTGTTGCCTGCACCAGCAGTACCCCCAGAATATATTATCGCATGCACCTTGACATACATATATTGCACAACCAAAGCATAACTTAGATATGGATGATGCGGAAGAATCGAGGCATCCCTCAAGAATGCAACTTCTCCAACGGATCGATGACCGTGCCCATCTATATCGCCCGTCAGCCACAGCTCCGGAGGTCCCCCAATACAAACCACGCACCTTCTTGACCACCTTCGGCAGCGTCGCCCGCTGGAAGCCCACCCTCGTATTCCACTCCGCGCCGAGCGGCCGCTCCATACTCCGCTCATACTGCGCCGCGCTCGTGTACGGGTACGGCAGGTCCCGGACGAGGTACTTCGCCGCCTTCTTGTCCTTCCGCTCGCTCACGATGAGGTGCTTCTTCCCCGCATCGGCGCGCGCGGCGGGGGCGACGCCGGGGATCTGCTTGACGAACTTGGGCTTTGTGCGCTTTTTGAGGCCGGCCCCGCCCCAGGAGCCCCAGCCGGGGAGGGTGGTGTCGATCTCTTTGGGCGCGTTGGCGTTGACCTCGGCCTGCTTGGCTTCTTCGAATTGCTGGGGTGAATGTGAGTACAGGCCAAGATGGTCAAAGAGGATGAACTTACCTGGACGACATTGTCGCCCGCGAAGGCCTTCGCGACGAGGTCGCGTTGGGTGAAGGCAGTCGGACCCTTGTTCTTCTTGCCCTTCTTGAGCAGCGCCTGCTCCTGCAGATCAACCTCATCCTCCGAGTCGTCCTCAGAGTCGAACGCGCTCGCCGCTGCAGGCACCGCCACCTCCTTCTCCTTCACCGCCTCCATCTCGCCCTTCTTCGACGTCTTCTCCTTCCCGTCCGCCGACCTCGTCAACACCTTCGTCACGTCGATCTCCACCACCGCCTCGTCTACCGCCTTCTCTTTCTCCACCTGCCGCTTCTTCGCCCGCTTCTCCATCTTGGCGCGCGACTTGTCCAGCGCCTTGCTGTCCTTGCTCACCACCACCTCGTTCTTCTTGCGCGCCGCCTTGGCTGCCGTGTCGCGCGGCGCGAGCCAGGGGTTCTCCTCGTCTGCGACGTCCGCGCTGAACCGAGACGGGCCCTCGTCGACAGGAGATACAAAGTCGGTCGACTTGAGCGTGACGCTCGACGCGTCGGACGCAGCGACACCCGGGCGGAAGCTGAGGCGACCGCCTTGGCGAAGGGACACAACGCCGCTGGGGTCGTCCTGGCCGGCTTCGCCCTCGCCCCCGTCTTCGCTGCCGCTGCCCGCGCCACCGAGCTCGCGCACATAATCGTCCACGACGCGCGCCGCCTCGGCGTCTTTCCGCGCCATCGCCTCCTTCATGAACTTCATCTCGAAGACTGCGCGCGCGCCCTTGCTCTGCCCCTCCTCCGCTTCCTTCCCCTTCGCGTCGAGCCCCGCAAGCTCGTCGAACGCGCGGCGCTTGATAGTCTCGGGATCCACTTCGCCTTCCTCTTCGTCCTCATCCTCATCGGAATCCGACTCGTCATCATCAGAGTCCTTCCCCTCGATCCTCCGCCTCAACCGCTCGCCACGGTCCAGCATCTCCTCCATCGCCGCACGCGAGTTGTCGTCGTGCTTCCCTTTCTGCGCCCGCGCCCACTTGCCCGTATGCTTGTGACGCAGCGTCGCGCGTTCGCGCGCACGTTCGAGATCGCGGCGGGCCTGCCCCTCGGGATCCTCATCGTCCATCTCAGCATCCGAGTCCGCAGCGGCGAGTTTATCTTTGGCGCGCCGTTGGAGCTTGCGGTAGGCCTTGCTCTTGATCTTATTCGCGCGGCGGGCTTTGAGCTCGGCGCGGGTCATGAGCTCGCGCATCTTGCGGAGCTCCGCGCGACGTTCGGCGACCTCTTCGACGGTGAGCTCGGACTGGCCCTCGAGCATGGCGTCCTCGGTCCGCTCGAGGTCGGACTCGCGCAGTGCAGCCGTCTTGAGTAGGCGATCGACTGATGTTTCCAGTGCAGTTGTAGGCTGAACGTGATGTCAGTAAGTATGCGGGTATGTACATGCACAGTACGCACCTTGAACTTAGCTACCAAGCTACTCTCTCCATCTCGCGTCGGTCGTTGCAGGGGGAAGCTGAGGTGGTCCGCCTACGAAGCGAATATAGTCAGCATGCAGACACCGTACAATGAGTAGCAGCACGCACCTGTCGTATCCGCTTCATGGTATCCGTCCATTTGTCCACCTCCTCCTTCGTCTGCTCATAGGCGGCCTCGCGGTCAAGACGCTCTTGCGCTCGCTGAGCGAGGGGTGCGGACAGTGTTTGCGCTTTGCGCTTCGACGACGAGACTGAGGGACGCAGCGCCTTCGCAGCCTGCTTGAGAGATTGGAGGGTTGAGGAGGACTCAGACGCGAGAGGGGCAAGGAGATCATCGAGGCCGATTTTGCTGCCTATATGCGCCGTCAGCGAGTCCCATACATATGCATGCGAGGTGGCGCACCTGTAGTGGCTGCACGGAACTCATTCTCAGGACCTGCCTCGGTGCGCTCGGGCAGGATGCGCCGCTTAGCAGGGCGGGTAGGAAGGGCAGAGTCGTCGTCGGCATCGGGCTTGCGCTTGGTGCCGGATGATGTATCGAGGGTGGAAACGAAGTTCGCGAGATCTTCCAGGCCCTCGGGAGCGTCCTCGTCCATGTCGGATGGAGCAAAGTCATCCACAGATTCATCGTCTTCATCATCGTCAGCGCCAGTCTCCTCGGCATCCTCGTCTTCGTCCTCATCGTCTTCGCTCTCGAAAGCGGACTGGGGAGGACGCGACTTCAAGGGGGCATCGTCCTGAGCAGGTGTTTCGTCTTCGTCGTCGCTCCCGGACTCGATCTTCGCGACGCCGTCGAGGACGTCGAGCATGTCGTAGAACTCATTGGGGTCTCCCTCCTCTTCCTCTTCCTCATCTTCATCGTTGTCGTCCCCTTCGAAATGAGAGCCCCCCTCCTCGTCCGAGTCCTCATTGAGATCGACCTCGACCTGCTTCCGCGGTTTCTTCGTCTGAGGAATATATTAGCCTCAACATTCTGCATGCACCAGGCATATTACGCACCTTCTTCGTCTTCTTCGTGAAGAAGCCCGCAAACCGGTCATCATCGTCCTCGTCGAACGCGTCGTCACTCTCAATCTCTTCGTCGTCCTCACTATCCACACCGCCCTCCTCATCAGAGTTCTCCCCGATCAGACGCGCGCGCAGCTCCTCCCTCTCCTCCGCACCTCCCACGTCCATGATCTCCTCAGGGTCAAAGTCCATCTTGATCTTTGCGCGGCGCTCCCCCTTCTTCTCCGGGGCATATTCGTATACGTCGTCGTCGCGAGACTTGCGCTTCGAGCGGAGGGCCTGGCGCTTGGCGTAGCCGACTGCGTTTGCATTTTTGTTGGCCTGCTTAGGCAGTGCCGCAGAGCGTGGGGGCTTCGGCTTGTTGAAGCGGTGGGCGCTACGAGCCATGATGAAGTGATGAGGGGGACGCAGCCTGCGGGGATGGAGGAAAAAATCAGGTGCCGCGGGGTCCGAGGCTATCGATCGGCGCAGGCGGATGATCGGGCCGGTCCCTCAGAAGTCGAACTTCAACTTCGGCATGCCACCTCAGGACTGCCAGTGCAGTGCCAGCGAGATGCGGGATCTTTGGAGGAAATGTAGCTGTTGAATAGTGCTGACTTGGGAAATAGAAATACAAGTACTACAGGTATCGCGACAGACACTTTCTACATGAACGTTTACACGCCCGTGTATGCCCGTGGCACCTATAGTACGGCGAAGCAGCCACTGGAGGTCGATCAGCAGGGAAGTCAAAATCACAAGCTCTACTGACTGTAGCAAGGTTGTCAAAGCGCATGCTGTTATACGGACGCGCATGCCATGGACAGTTCAGGACGCCAGACCTCCCAGAGCCTGTCCTCGACGAAGATGCGATACTCGGGGCACAGTGCTTTCATGACGTAGGCCGCTCGATTCTGGTCGAACGCAATTGTCTGCCACTCGCCAGCAGAGTTCTGCGCCTCGATGCGGAAGTGCGCGAAAGGAGGTGGTATCGTTAACATTACCGAACGGTGGAAAGCAATCCCAATCGCCCCGTCGTGTTGTTCGATGTGGTTTTGGTGGAAGTGTACGAGTACGATATCCCCAAAGTGGATGAATTCACCCGTGAAGGCATGGAACTGGGGGAATGCTGGGAGTGGACAGATACCGACGAAGACGTTGCCACCGGAGCGCAACAACTGTCGATTGAAGGAGGATGAGTCGCTGGCGGCCGCATGGGCAGATCTGGACTTCCGAGCCTGCATGCTGCGTTGTGGCGAACAGGGGAGCTGTGGCTGGATGGCGAGGGGTTGTTAGGTGAGGAATCCTCGGTCAACGCGCCTTTAAAAGATGCTATGACAGGTGGCCTAGACAAAGAACAAAGCTATGTCAGCGCAATAGGATCTATCTCCGAACGCAGCAACGAAGCGTCAAAGCATTTCATGACCAGAGTGCGTGCGCAGCATGATTTTGCCGAGAACACGCGCGATAAACTTGATTTCGCGCCTCCCTTTCTTTGGTTCACTTTCCCCGCTCAGCACAAGGCCAACATTGTCTGCTGGGAAAATTCAGGCCACCATAACCGGTGGCATATCGCTACCATTGACCGGCTCAACACAAAGGATGGCCATCATGATTAGTTGCCGGGCATGGCGTTCGAAGTTCCGCCCTTTTTCGCTTTATTCCCAAAGGATAGATCTGTATCCCTGGGTGACTCTATGGACAGCCCCCGACACGCGAGTACATTGTGAAGGACATGAACGAGAGTGAACGTCGGGAGCAAGCTCCGATGCATGCGTCCCCGTGACGACCACGCGAGGGAGCGGCTATCAATCCTCGGTGCCGGCGACCAAACGCTTGAGCTTCCATTTCCGGGCGATGATACGCGGCTCGTACCCTGCTTGCCTCAGTCCAACAAGGTCGTTTCAAAGCTATCTGATTGCCATTTCGAGTTCTTCAGGCTATCTTGACCCGTGCGCTGCGGGTTCAGAAGCCAGCGAGCGCGTAGTCACACAAGGCCACTCAAGTACGATGGGGTCTTCGGTAACGGTGGATAGAGTGTACATGCAGTAGCATAGCAATGAATAGATCAAAAGCAAGTAAAGATAGAAAGTTAAGGAGTACTGGCCCAGATCAATCGAGACATAAAATACATATGGGGGCAAGGGGAGATCTATGACTTGACTACCGGCATAGGGCCATACTGCATGGCCTTTCCAGTGCGCCGCTTGTACTCTCTCCACTCGTGCGTCAACTCGGACTAGCCATTCATCAGAAAAGGAGGCAGAGTTCGACAGACGAGACTCACATCCATCCGAACAAAGAACTCCTCGGGATAGAATTCTTCGTTAGGATCGTCGTATGCAATCGTGTTATTGCCAAATCGAGCCAAGACTCGGTCTTCATCCAGCTCTCTGATTACCTTCACCTTCTCGGCGTAAAACGCCATGAGTCTGTTCCATTTGTCCATGTCGTAGGGTGTCTTAAGGATGTCAGCACGATACATGGATAGTAGATACGACATTCTCGACGATGACTGACCTCGTTAGCTTCCTGTTGAGCGAGTCAGCATCAAGGTGGACATGCGAGAGCGGGTATATCTGACCTCGTTTTCCCTTTCCATCTTAGCCAAGTCATCCTGACCGTACGACCAGACTTCGCGGCCCTTGTACTTGAGCATGTAGGAGCCTCGTTTCATAACGGACGCTTGGTACACGTATGGCGTACCAAACCCAGTCCAGCCCACGGGGGACCGTATCAGGCGGTCGATGAGCTCGAAGCCGACGACGTTGGGGCGGGGAAGCGGGAGGCCGTCGCGATTATGCAGAGATATGGTCTCCGAGTTGTAGTTGCACTCGCAGTGCAACAAGACGATGTTATCGTCGATGAATGTGCGCGCGATCACTCTAGGAGGCTTCGTCGACTGTAGATCAAGTCAGTACATAAGAGTTAGCATTGCTTTGAGCAAACGTACGGGGCCCGCGGTTGTCGTGGCTCTCTTGGACGAGGAGCTGTCCGCGACCACCGCGATTGCCGTGGAAGGGTGCTCGACCTTGACACGAGCAGCCTCGCGCTTTGTCTTGGGTTTGCCACGCCGCTCGGCCTTGGCTGCGGGCACGCGGGTAGACTTGGTGGTGACTTTGGGCATATTGGCGAGCGGTGAGTGGCGTTGAGGATGGGCGTCGGAATCAAGTTGAGATGCACGTGGTATCTGTACCGACGCCACTCCGGCAAAAGCCGGACCAGATCACCGGGAAAAGCGTACTGTGGCTAAGTGTATGGAGGCAACCGGATGGGGACCGTGACAGGCGCAGGACAGGCAACCAGGGGTCGGGGAACCGTGACCGGAGCGAGAATATTGACTTGTCGACAATTTTTGGCGCCAAAATTGCCATATTTGGCAGGTCCCGAGGTCAGAAAGCTGACCGTGACCCATGACCCCTGCAACGCAACCGGCCCGTCGTGACCGTGACGGTTGCCTCCATACACTTAGCCACAGTATGGTTCAATTCAAGTACAGCGGCGGCCAGATCAATTGCGCGCTGCCTTTTTGGGAAAAATCGCCGAGGCGAGCGTTAGGCATAGGCTGCGGGTCTCGGCGACCTTACAGAACGGTAGAGCGCCCATTAAAACCCCCGTCTGCATACCAACTTTGCCGGAGAGCGTCCGTGATCCTCGTAAAATGTGCCGACATGCGTCATATGGCACTGCGCGCTCTCAGGTAATCTACGGCACATATCTCACGAATTACATGACCGTTTCGCTTCAAAATTCGTATTGGGGGGTTTTTGGCTACGCTCTACCGTTCTGTGAAGGAGCTGGATTTTTCCGACCACGCCCAGCACCCGCCTCGGCGATTTTTCCCAAAAAGGCAGCGCGCAATTGATCTGGCCGCCGCTGTACGCATGAAATGGGATGACCTCTGCACCCCTTTCAAGTCGAAATCGATTTGCCAGATATTACCACGAATCATTGGGACATTGACGAGCACACTCGCAAGAACTGAATTCTGGAGGCACGCGAAGAGCACACGATAACGGGCGGGGGGCGAGGCGCTCACGTTGCAGTCACGTGCTTTGACAAAGGCCGTTCCGGCCCGCCGGCATGGCCACATGGCACGCTCGGGATCATTTCGACGACGCGTGCATCAGGACTTGATTCCAACGTTCATCATCCCCTCAACCTCGCCACTCATACCCGTCGAAAGCATGCCCAAAGTGACCTCTACGAAGTCGGCTCGCGCCGCCATTGCAGCTACCACGGCAGAGCGCTCGCGTCCCATCAACAAGCGCGACAACACCCGCGCGAAGGCCATCGCTGAACCTGCCCTCAAGGCGAGCATTACGGAGAAGGGTACTGCTTCGAAGAAAACCACGCGCGCTGCGCTTCCTGTGCGTACCTAAAATATCTCGTGGACTGTATGAGAGTGCTGACTGTACGGACGCAGTACGAGAGGCCAGCCAAGGCCGAGCGCGCCTGTACGCCCGCCGTAAAGCGCGAGGGCTCTCGCCTCAAGGCCGAGCGCTCTTCTGCGAATATCGCGGGGAGCTCCTCACTGTCAGGATTTGTCTCGTCTGACCCCCCGGTGCGTCCCTACAAACGAGTAGACATCGTCATATGCTGATCTGCTCGGTTTTCAGATCGACTTCACGGCTAAAACCCCCAAAGTCCTCGAGCGCAAGTTCATCGGCGACAAGATCGTGATGCTCCGCCTCCAACTCATGCACGACATGGACCAAATTCGCCTCCAGTACCGAGACGGCACCCCGCTTCCGCGTCCTAACACGGCAGCGATGGGATTCGAGCTATACGACCGTCTCAACCGATGCCCGGTGGATTGGAACGGCTATGGGACTCCTCTAGTGTACCGCGCGCACCTCTACAAGCGAGGGTCGTACGTACTGCGCCACAAGGGGCGCGATGTATGGGAGTATAGCACCGACGACTGGGCTGCGTATTGGAAAGAACAAGAGGTGTGTGCCCTCGTCTATCGTGCCTCGATAGATGTCCTGACGACGCCTGTAGGAACTCAGCAAGGTGAATACCGACTTACGCGACTTGACGCGCGCGACACTTACCTCCATCTTGCAGATTCCCTATGATTACAAGAAGTGGGATGAGATCATGAAGCACATCGAATACGGCTTTCGCAACCCTATCGAGGCCGAAGTCAACGTACTCGTCCACGCTGGACCTAACCTCATCGGCGTCGAGCCGCTCCCTTACGGACCCGATCCCTCCGCCTACCTGCCGGAGCATTTATTCCCGCGGTGCGATGTACGTGCCTGCCATTGACCGTCTCGAGCGCTCCTGACTAATCACGCCCGACAGCTCGAATCAACGCATCAGCTCAGAGAATACAAGCGCCGCACGGGCAAGGTTTATCGGGCATGACTATCAGCGGAGGCCCCGTCGCGCGTATTTAGAATGTATTGTATATCATATCATACCCAAACTCGCATTCCGCATTGCAAGCTGTTTGAACCCTGTAGATTACATATGCCAAGGACCAGGCTCGTATATGAGAGCTGTGCTCTGCTTTGAGGCCGATTGCCATTGTTTGGCCCCAAGCTTCTTGTACTCCATTCGATCATCACCGAAGAGGGGCAATGTGGACGGCCGCCTATAATTGTAGCATATAGTTGGGGCATGGGCATACTAGCAATTCATTGAGTGGCAATCAAGCGCGAGCGAATTGCAGGACTTACCTCGAAGATCAAAGAATGCGAGAGAAATGGTATTGGCGCCGTCGCATAGAGTTGCGCAACGACGGGTATGAAGCCTGGGGCGGTCGACATAACAATTGGCTGGCCGTTCGGTAGCGTCGAGGGCTTGTGTGCGGTTGGGTATCCCGCTCGAGCATCCGCCAGGATTCTACGTAGATCGGCCTCCATATTCCGCTGTATGTTCTCGCACACATGATCTGGATCATGGAACTGCAGAACAATGACCAATGTCAAGTCAGACGGGTTTTGAAGGGATAGCAACTCCAGGCACATACCGTACCGAAGTCGACTAACTCATGGGGGTCCCCAAACCCCCACTTCAGCTCGCCGGTACTCCGCAAAGAAAGAGCATATCGAACTCCAGGGTAAAGATAAAACAGCTGGAAAATAGGAAGACCAGGGGCACGGGCGCGTCCCACTGGCTCGACTTCGCCACCGATGGGAAGAGTGTCCATCCGGAATTTTTTGGCAGCTGCCTTGGCCAGAGGATAGCCGTCCGGTGCCGCAAGGTATAAAACGGAGAACCTATCGTCTAGATAGACGCGTATAGCGCGAACATCGGTATTGGGCAAGATTACATCTTGAAGGACTCGCGCTTTCTGTTATGCTCAGCGTTAGCATCATGGAGACTGCCGTCTGGCAAAATCCGAGGCCTCACATCACGAAAAAGGCTTTGGCGCGAGGCCAACCTAGGGAAATGTAAGTCACATCAGAGCATCGTAGGATACTTGAAGACACCCGGGCCTGCCCTATAGGGTCCTCGAGGCTGCTTCAGCGCAGCATCAGATTTCGATTATGGACGAGGACACGCGAGGGCTTACTAGGCCAAATCAAGGTCATTAGAATCTGAAGTAATATAGGGTACTACCATATAGTACGGTACGCATACAAGTACTGCCAGTTATTAACTAAAAATGACTCGCATTTATCTAAAACATTGTCCGAAGTCCATAACGCCTGCGAAGCAATGTCGAGGCGTCCGCCATACTGAGGGGTGAGAGCGCAGCTTTGGCGGATGCTGGAGAGGGGAACGATAGCGCCGGGAACAAAACCATCACCACCTGGGTCCATCTTCTTGACGAGGTAGAAGCCATGCGGCTCAGTAGGACCTTGCCGAAATGGCGTGAACCATTCGACATAGGCGAGGGGGCCCTTCGGCCATGCCGCTGGTGCGTCGCATGGCCCAAGAATGTCAAGGGTGCGAGGAAGCGTGAAAAGAACCTTCACGCGTCCGACTCGTGTACCTAAACAGTGTCAGTGATGATCAAGAGATACACGCAGAGAGCGTACCTTCAACACCAGCGCAGTCAGCCGTGTCAGCCTGTAGAATGATAGCAGTATCGAACCGGGCAGGCTTCTCCCGACTGCGTGGTGTGGCCTTAACGGTCTCCGAGAGCACCTCGTCATCATCGAAGTCGACGCTGGTGGGATATACCTTGAACTGGTGGAAGACGTCGACAGCATCAAAGGGCAGAGTGAAGGTGGATGCACGGCGGGCGGAGGTAGGGTTCGGGATGAGGGTATTGAGAAGCTGCTTGAGGCGGAGAGAGAAGCCGGGTGCGGCGTGAGATAACTCGATAGATACGAGCTTCTGAGCTTTACGATCCGGGAACTTGGCGACGGAGAAGCTCAGAGGGGTGACAGTAGTGACCGGCAGCTTCCTCTTCTTGCGCAACACCGCGATGGGTCGCTCGGGTTCGACAGCGGTGAGGTAGCGCTCGAAGGCCATGACCTTCTCTTGACGCTCGAGCCAGGCAACCATCTGCGGAAAGGCATTGCGCTTGTTCGATGCACGCCATCCCCGCTTGGCAAAGTCGATGTGCAGGCGTTCAAACATCTCCGTGTTATAGTTGTCGGTAGTCCCAAGAAGGCGAATAGATGAGATATAATGATGGAGCGAGTGGAGCTTGGGGATATTCAGATGCTCGCGGACAGGGACATCCGAGACGAAGAACATCTTGTTGCTCTCCCACATGTCGAGAGCCCGCTGCATCTCGTCGAGGCTCGCGTCGTCGTGGGACTTGTACTGAGCATAGTACATGAAGTCGAGGACACCACGACACGCTCGGATTCCCCTCGGAGGCATGACGCCAACGAGACACCCGAGGAGAGCGCGCGCGACATGCTTGCGGTCTGTGCCCGTGACCTGTGATAAAGCTGAGATACCGTTCTCGAAATGTCGGCCACCAAAGGAGGGGGGGAGGGTGCGAAGACGACGGTCGAGCTCCTCGGGAGTAATGCAGATCTGACACCAGCTGACGAGATGCTTGAAAACACCCTGATAGATCTGGTGCAAAACGTCGGGGGTGATGGCAGTGTGGATGTCGGTGTGAGGGAGGTCCTCCCAGAACGGGACGTACACCCCACCCGAGACGTCACGGGCCATGCAGCGGGTATAGTACTGCGCAGCGGTGGGCGAGTCAGCTTTTGCTTCCTCCATGACGTTGGTCGTCCACTTCGGGGTGCGTGGCGGCGCAGTTGGTGGGCCCTGGAGCTTGTCGGACGGGCATTGACACTTCGGGCAAGTACCAAACTTCGAGCAAGCGACCAGGCACTGCTCTGGGAAGTCCGCAACGTATGCAGCAAGGATGGGATATACACGGCGGACCTGCCCGTCGCCTCCGACCATTTCTACTCCCTCCTTGCCGGCAGCGACGAGGGACTCGAGGATGACCCGCATCGACTCGTGGAAGACCCGCTGTCCACGCGCGCGAGTCTCGTTCTCAGAGAGGTCGGTGCCGAGGACCTTGTCGGTGGACAAGTACCCTATGAGAACGCACGCGTGCATGCTAGGCTTGCGGCGGATGGACTTGGGGAGGTTGCCGATAGTGAGGTACACCGGGTATGCTGACTTTCCGCCCGAGAAGTTTGTCAATTGGGTCTTGTCTGTGGCGAGGATAAGGGGGCAGACAGTAGCGCCACGCGGAAGGCGACCCTGGGTGACAGTGAGCTTGCAAAGAGATACATGGGCATGTACACGTACCTGCATAGTATGCCACCAGTCGCCTGTCCACATCTCAGAGAAGAAGCGATTGTCGCGCTTTGCACTGTCGAAGATCTTCTGCGGGCGGTAGACCAGATGTTTGGCAAGGGTAGGATCCCCCCAGAGGCTCCGCACTGCCTCGACGGGATCGCGCATACGGATAAGGTGGGCGTCGTCGGGGCGATCCCGGAAGCGGAGTATTTTCGTGGACCAGGAGCCGGCGCGAAGTGGGATTTCGTCGAGATTTTGATGCAAGGATCGAGTGTTGTGAAAGGAGAGGCCGAGAGACTCGCAGACCTGGAGCTACAGTTAGCAAAGCGACGAGAAGTTGGGCTAGCCACGTACCCCAGGGATGGCAAGGAGCCGATCCAACGAAGCATGCCCGATGTTGTCTGTAATGACCCAGTGCGCGATCCGCCAGTCCATTTCGGATGCGAAAGGCGTGAAGGGAAGCGTCCCATCATCCTGACTTGAGCCTCCGCCAGCACTGAATTGCTGCCTCCAGAGATCATGCAGCTTGTCAGCCATTCGAACGACATGACCGGCGGTTGTGTCCTCGTCGATGATGCGTGAGTAGAGGTCAGGGTCCGGCTCGGGGGATAGGGTATCCCGGTACGCTTGCGTGGAAGGGCCTGGCCCAGCTTCTCCGATGTCTACATCGGTAGGGGGCGCCGAAGGGGGAGCATTGGGCAGAACGGTGGGTGGAATGAAGTGGAATAAGTCTTGATCATCGAGTACAATACGTGATACATCCTCTAAAGGCTCATCCCGTAGCTCTTCTATGGTGTAGGCGGCCCACTCCGCGATCTTGCCGGCACGATACCAAGAGCATTTCGATGACTGCCGAAGGTGCGAGTCTCTGCCGTGTGTTGTATCAAATATTGTCTTGCAGGCAGGGCATGTATAGTCGTCGATGGCTGGCATGGCGGCGGCGGAGTGACGAGACGGATGGGAGAGAGATGATTGAGCGGAAGTCAAGGGACTTGACCGTACGGCTTGCGCGCAGGACGCGTGTCAGGGCGTGGGAATTGCCGCGCGGCTGCTCTGCCGCAGTATAGTCCCTACGCCGATCCAGTTTATTTCTCAGTGCCAAACCTGTTTTGCATGAGTTTTTTTGATTTTGTGTGTATCCCTAGCCTATAAGAAAAGCTCCTCAGCCACTATTTTGAGGTAGGAACCTCGTACAAGACCAGCAAAACCTTTTGTTTGCGGGTGTGACGGAAGTCACGAAAAGTGTGACATCACGTAGTCAGCGACCGCGCGGCTCTCGTTCTGCCTTCACCCACGCCGGAACTCCTCATTGTCCTCGACCATTGCATCGTCCTGCGTCTCCCGCCCAACACCCAAATGCGCTATCTCCCTCTCATTGCTTGCTGTGTCATCACGGCCCCTCATTCGTAACTCATCGCAATGAGGACACGATCGCTTGGTGCGTCGCGTTGGTTATACTTCCTTGTCTCAGAGATTGACGCAAATTCAGGTCGCAAGCAGTCGGGTATGCATACACCGTGCTCTCGACCACCCGATCGCCCTGCCTAGTGGCGCTTGTAGCCACCGGCAGCTGAACCGTCCTTTTTTTGGTGCTGTGCTGCAACACGACCCCCCTCACTATGCCCTGGTGTGCCCTGGCCACCTCGTCCCATCAAGCAACCCTCAGGGTAGCCTCCACTTGGCAGCAACAAGCGTGCTGACAGGTGACATCCGATCGCAACACGACAAACATCAAGTTTAAGTATAAAAGGCGAGTCAGTTCACAGTACGAGCAACCCCCATCGTACTTATCATCCCCTATGTCCTCCCGCAAGTCTACACGCGCCCATCAGCCAAGCCGTGCTGCTGCTGAGGCCCAGGAGCACGCCGCCGCCATTGCGGGTGCCGATCCCAAGCCCAACGGTCGCAAGCGCAAGGCTCCCGCGCTGAAAGCGCCGGCGCCTCGCGCCTCACGTACTGCTTCTGCTACGGCAGCTATGTCCTCTGCTTCCGCCATTGGCGCTCTTCCCATCACGGCCAAGCAAGCCGAACTCATCATCGCGCACAAGAATGCAGCGAGCAAGCGCGCCCCGGCAGCCAAGTCCGCATCTCGTGCCGCATCTGGTGTGTTTTTTGGTCATCGCTGCTGAATCTCACTGACTTATCTACAGGTGCATCTACGGTCGCGACTGCCGTTGCTGCTGCTAGAGCTGCGAAGTCCAATCAGGCAGCAGGTATGTCAGTCCCACTGCTTGCAGGCGTACGCTCACGTCTTTTTTGTAGAGGTTCAAGCGCGCATCAACAGCCTGATGCAGCAGGAAGAGGACCGTGAGGCCTCGGACGACGGCGAGCTCTCTGACATGCCGCCCCTCAAGAAAACGCGCAATAACACTATCCCCAATGAGCTCGACGACTTCGGGCTTGAGGTCGATGAGGCTCTTGAGGTTCTGCAAGCCCACAATGCGATGTTTGTTGATGACGAGGAGGGTGAGTGCGGTGTTCTTGTGTATAAGTTTCTTACTCACCGTCCTTGTAGTGCCCGATAATGACCTGCAGTTCGATGAAGATGCTCAACATGATGGTGACGAGAGCGCCGAGCGTAGTGGCTGTGCATACAATGAAGATGACAACGGGGTGCGTCGGTCTTATTACTGCCATCCACGCTAGCTTATCCCTAACACAGATCGAGCTTGTTGAGGTCGCCCCCACCACACCGAAGAAGGTCAAGAAGCCCGGCAAGGTGACCGAGAGCTTCTTCACGCCTCGCACACGTGCCCTCGCTACGACGGGCAAGTCTGAAGACCGTGCCGCCACCGCCAACGTCAACTCTTTCCCCGGTGAGAATGCTGCGTTCGAGGCGCTCATCCGCGCGATCGAAAAGGCAGCGGGACCAAATGAGGAGATGCTGCGCGATGCTCTCGAGCGCGCGCAGGCTGATCCTGTTGTCTTCCAAGCGCTGATCCAGTTTGTAAGTCGTTCGTACAGTGTTCGATATCTTCATATTGATCCGGCCTCGTAGGTGACATACGGTGGCATGGGCCTGCGTGGCGAGACTTACGCCAAGACCAAGGACCTCCTCGACGCGTACTATCATATTCCGGGCGAGAAGACGGAGGATGAGATTGTCGATGCTGTCAAGTGGCTTCTACAGGACATGCGGTACTTGTATGGGGACACTGACCTTGAGGTACGTCTCTGGGGGGTTCTTGCTTCGTGTTGCTTGCTCATCCATGACCCAGAAGCGGACGTGTGCTCGCAAGGAACCTTTTCAAGCACCTATCGTCAAGGCCATCGTTGCCCAGACCATATTCGGCAAGGGCAAGGCCAATCGTGAGGGTGCTCGTCTCATGATCCAGGACCAACTCATTCCAGGAAATATGTTCGCTCTTATTGGGGCCGAGGTATGGTGTTTTGCTCACTAGGTGGATATCTGCTGACGCTCGTGACAGGTCGAGTTTGCTCTCAAGTCCTGGTCGACTGGCACGCTGAACCCCATCCCATTTTCCGAGGACGCTGGCCGTGAATCGTATGTCTCCTACCGCTATCCCTTTCCTTACTCATCCCGCCCAGGTACGTGCGTCATCTCACAAGTTTCAATAAGCTTCAAGTCAAGGCACCGCGGTTCGTCGCCTTCATGCAGCTCAAGCTCCTCAAGATGATACTGTATGTCATTACTGGCTCCTTGTACGTATGTACCCTAACGTTTGACAGACGTGACACTGGCAAGCTTCATCTTCTCGATGGATATCTTACTGCCGATGCTGGTCACCTGAATGGTGTTGACTTTGACGCTCTTGAGGCCTCAGTCGGCGAGGCTGATGAGGAGTAGGCCTTCCTCCCTGTCGTATCGTTGTTCTCAACATTCTGTCCCCACTGTCCTATATAGATGAGCTTTGTATACACATATATTGCATACTGAATACTGTTATATTTGCTTGCGTCATCCTCGCTGGCATTCAGACCTCCGACGAACCCGACTGTTTGCTCGACACTGTGCCTAGGAAAAGTAATACACGTGCGCAGGCCTCGGAAGCCTCAGGCACTCTCAGGTTTTATGTTCCGTGTAGACCACTTCTTGAGTGCCCGCACTGCCCTGGCTGCCTCGGAGGTGTACCAGACAACACGAGGGCATCCCGAGTCAGGAAGGCCTTTTCCTGATGGCCCGCCATACCGTCAAAGGAGCATTGCACCACGGCCATAGTTGGTTGATGCGAGGATCCAAGTACGGAGAGTAGGGAAACTGCCCTGACATGCTGGCTCGGGTCGAAGTGCAAGAACGCGCGACTTGAACAGTATTTATACGGAAGCCGCGTTTAAGTCACGTGTAAAGTTGAACACCGTTTCTTTGATCGTGGATTCGTAATTGTCTGCATTTTCGCTTCCATATGTTCGTGGCAATGCCACAATTAGCCGACGAAGCTACGCCGCAGTCAACATCCCCGTTTGTCGCAACCTTTGTTGTCGACCCTTGGCCCGAAGCACTGGCCTGATGGCCTCACAATGGAGACTATACCCTATATGTCGAGAATCCAGATAGCCGAAGTCCCCGCATGACATACAATGATCTCCGGCATTCTAACCTCCCCCTGTTTGCCGATCGCCGCACCAGCGCCATATAAGAAGACAGTCAATGACAGTTTCCAACACTGTTCCCACTTCGCCCCGTGTCTTCGACTATCGACAACACAATGTTTCCGCAGCTTGCCACAGGTATGCGCCGCCCTCCCGTCAGGATGCGAAATCCCGCGGGTAGCATCTCCTGCCGTGGGCCTAATCGGCGACGCCTTTGGGTCGGCATCATGGCGATCCCGGGATTCCCTCAATTCCACGCTCTAACGGCCGAGTTCGTGTCCGACCAACTTGGAAGACTCCTTGTACAATTTCACGCCAATCATATTCAAGTGGTCAACGGGGCTCTTCAAGTCTACTTCTGGCAGAACGCCTATCTTGCCGTGCCACCGCCTCTAGCCGCTTTTTGCATCACGAGTCAAAACGGGCAGGGCCTCTGGCAGCCGGTACAGTGGAATGCCATGCTCAGCGCCTACATTCTACCCTGGGGCCCCGTCTACCATGTCGTAATCGGCGGCCAGATCTGGGAGATTTTCTATCCCCAGATGCAGATGGCTCGTCAAGCGGTTGGACCCGGTAATCATAATGTTCCTGTCTGATCGCACCCTTGGTCCACTAGAGGTACGCCGAGCACCGCGCATCCATCTTTATATGCTTGTACTGATATGTGTCCTTGTGGCACAGTCTGCCCGCTTGCCACCGCGGCTCTTCAAGCCATGGAGTCCTTGTTTTGCGACACATGTTGCATCTATTTTGTACAGTAATAATATAATGTGTAAGGCCGCGCTTCGGCCTTGCTTTCGTCTCTTGCGAGATAGGACTGCGATGGAAAGTCAGCACAAGATACAGTAAATAACCAAAGGTATGTGCAGAGGCGCGGCTTACCCGTCTCTGTCGAGGAAGTGAGCTGTCCGCGCTGATCGAAGCCGAGCTCTTGGCTTGACTGCGAAAGCCGGTGGACTGTAGGGTGGTGTGAGTGCGTTCGGCCCTGCTCGATTTCGTGTTGCGTCAAAGCCGTCAGCTGACTGCGCATGAGTAACGTCATTCAAACGTACCTGCCTTGCAGCCAACGCGAGTTATCTCGAAGCAGATCCTCTCGCCTCGGAACTCGACGACGTCGGGGCCTGAACACGAACATAAACTGTCTACGGGGATTGCCGAAGGGAGCGCTCCATATGAGGCTATCGGTGAATTCGAAGGCGACCACTCTCGGTCGAGGAAAGGGCCCGCGTAGTAGGCGAACGGGTTGCATGTTGTATGTGCAGTGACCGGGCTCGAATACGACGTCCTCGTCGACGACCAAGTGCGGAATAAGTTTTGAGGGCTTATTGACTTGGATAGAATCGATACATAGGAGCTACACTGCCGTAATCAGACGTGCATCGCGCACGGCAGAGGTGGGTTTCTTGGATAAAGGGCTCTGGGCGACCTTCTCGACCGTCAGAGAAGAGAAATCGACGTGAGAAGTCCCGCGCTTCGGCCCGGGGGTTGATTTGTTGACACGCAGCTCTATCTTGGCTGCAGGCACGTGCGCGTTGATTTGATAGTGACTTCGGCGTGTTGACGGACGGCATGTAACGTCGAAAATGAGTGTCATTATCAAGTCGTGATGCTCAAGGTATACAGCCGTGCGCGATAGCAGGACTCTATGGGACTTAAGCGCGGTACACTTTGCCAGTGCGGCGCTTGCATTGCCTGAGCTGGTGTGCCGTCTCGAGCTGTTGAGCAAGATCTGTAAGCCGCGAGCGAGGTGAACGGAGGTGTCAAGCACATACATCGCACCGCGGGAACAGATGCTCCAGTAGGTAGGCGCAGGGGTCTGTGCCATCAGGAAGCGGCTCTGCACCGATGAGGCTGGGTCCGGCATGGACGAGTACATTGACTTCGGCCTCGACAGGGTTGCGAAAGCCGTATTCTATATGCTCCATGATCTCGTCCCAGGCCTCTTGATTGTAGGGTTCCTAGAAGATCGCGTGAGTGTCGCACACTTATACCTGCATACGCAGGCGTTCACCTTGTTCTGCTCCTGCAGACGATGCTAGGGAAAGAACAATGTGACGACAAACGAGGGCACGCACCTCGTGTACTCTCCAGAATATAGCCAAAACGCCGGTGCTAAACTCCCACACGTCGCGCCCCCAGTGGCGAAGCACGCACGACCCCCGCTTGTAGATGTGCGCGCGATACACAAGAGGCGTCCCATGGCCGTTCCAGTCTACAGGGCCTAGGTTCAGACGGCCTTATAGTTCGAATATCATCTCAGTCGTATTGGGGCGCGGAAGGGGACTCCCGTCTCGCTATTGAAGGTGAATATGGTCCGCGTCGTGTATGCATTTGCAGTGGAGGAGCACAATGTCGTCGCCGATGAACTTGCGGGCGATGACGTTCGGGCGTCGGAGAACGAGGTCGATCTGTGGTAGATGGTCAGGAGTCGATAGCCTCATGGTCGAAGAGCATACAGAGCGATGATGAGGCTTGTCTTCCTCGAAGAGGAGCCCTCCGCGTAGGTCAAAGATGATTCCTCGGCCTTGGCGCGCAAGCCCGCTGACGCTAGGTTGGACCGGCGCTTAGCCCTGCTGGGTCTATCGCACTGCATAGAAGACGTCAGTCTCCAGCAGTCACACACCAGGCGAGAATCTAGTGGGAATTTCTTCAAATTACTGGCCGTCCTCTTCGATGTCCAATACCACGGGCAGCTTGTCCTCTCACGCTCGACTGGAGCACCAGGGCGCTCCGCCTTCACTGTATTAGCAGAACGCTTTGGTTTGGCGCCGGTGTCTTTTGGCATTTCACGATGGAAGGGGGGCGTTACGGCGTACGCGCTAGAGCGATCAACGTTGGGTCCAAGCTCTGGAGCACGCGCGTGACTCGCTACTCAAGCGACGGGAATTGCCGAACGGCAAGTCGGCTTGGCTTCGGCACCGAGGCCCTGGTGAATTGCGGCCAACCAGCGTCGAGCACTACTGCACGCTCAATGGGTTCATCCAGATTGGTAACAGTCCGGGTAGATTGACTCTATGCGTCGAAACTAATTCCCATTCTGAAAGTCTAGGCCCAGAAACACGAAAAGTCCATTAGATTTGAAGGAAGAACCCAAGCAACGTGACCGACACAGTACAATACAAGTCGAAATAAAGCGATACAGTGGGTAGAGAGGTATGGATACAGAGGATACAGAAAATACAGAGATAAATCAAGAGAGTATCAAGCCATGTCAATGCCCGTCTGGCATGCCCGTGCAGTCGAGCGCTCTTCCGACACCCTGTAAAGAACATCGACGGGTGCGCTATACGCGTGCTCGTCGTCGGACCCATCTTCCGAGTCCATATCCCAGTCGGCCTGCGACATCGATGGTGGAGTAAGGTCGTGATCGGCGAATGCGGCGCTCATGCGGAACCGCGGAGGCAGGAGCTGAACGGCGGGCGGTGGGGAGTACTGTGGCATCGGTTGGGAGTAGTGTGGCACGGCCTGAGAGTAGTGTGGCGCGTGCTGAGAATGCTGCGGCGCGGGTTCGGGCGAGTCGATGACCACCGGGAGCACGGGCGGGGAAGGTGTGCGCGCCACACTTGCAGCGCTGATGGAGACTCGTTTACATTCTTGCGACGTTGACTGAAGAGTCGTGAGTGAGGTTCTCGAGTGAACAAAGTATCACTCACCTGCGTCGCGGTCTGTGAGAGGTTGACTTCATCCACGTCCATTTTCTTCGTCGCCTTCACACACTTCGCCTTCTCCTTCGTCCCCAAGATCGTCCCCGGCATCGGCGCCCCACCCGCAAAGACCTCGAACCTCAACCCCCGCCTCCCCTTCCGATGGTCAGTCTCCAACGGCTTCTCACCCTTCTTTTCCTCCGGGAACGGCTTCCTCCCCTCCTCAATCGCCCGCCGCGCGCGGCACTTCTCGTCGATATGTCTCGTGAAGTTCGGCACCACGTACTTGCCCTTCGTCCGTATGTCGGCGAGGATACGGCGGCGGCAGGCCGCGCACCTGGCGCCGACAACGGAGAAGGCAGCGATCCAGGGGTGGGTGCTCAAGTATTCGAAGCGCTGGGCTTCTGTACGGTAGACGGAGTGTTCGCCGGGTGGGGGTGGGGGAGCGGCCTTGAGGATACGGGGTTGGCCCTTGCGGGAGCGTGGGGTCTTCTTCGATGGGCCGGCCGACTTGGCGGTAGGTAGAGGTGAAGGAAGAGAGACCGGGACGGTCGACGTTCCGGGCATTGATATGATACGGTAAGGATGTCTATGAGGAAATGAGATCAGCATATACGAGGCCGAAACTGACTGCCCGACATACTTGGTAGACGGAGCGGACTTGGCAGTCGAGTACTTCGGCATGTTGTCTGTAGTTATGTCGAGGGGATGGTTTCGACGGGGTGGTGGGTAGGCGCTAGTTCTGAGAAGCTGAGTGCGGATAAGGAGAAGGAACCCACGGTTTTATACTCCTCAAAGGCCCGCGGGCGGGTCCAAGCATGCCGGACATAAGCCCAGTCGACGCCGGTTTAGGACAATAGCGCGGGCGTCTATTCCCACGACTCATTGCCATTGCATTGTCAGTGCGCGCGGACCTGCCCATGAGGTCAGCACAATGTTCAAGAAGTCGCTGCGCCACACTCCTGCTGTGCAGGCGTCTATCGGATCGTGTTCTTGACCCGTATGCAGGCCTCGCGGCATCAGCAGCGCTATCAGCACAATGAGGTAGGGAAGAGCTAGCACACTCATGGTGAGTCGTCATTACGAGCCATTCGAATTGAGGAGGGTCCTCAAATGTCCAGCGTACACCGCGCGCGGTAAGTAGGTCGGTCAAGCTCGTTAGCAACCGGTAACCCAGGAAGACACCCAAAAGCAGGTCAATAGACATCCGCAGATCGGGAAATCACAATAGGACAATGGTCGCTAAGTACCTTCTCAGAAGGAAGTCAGCCCCTTGTTCACGGTGACCGGTACCCTCTCTTGTTCTCACCTTCTTTGGGTCAATTGTCTTTTCCCGCCGGCTTCATCAGGTCACGCATGTGTGCCGCGAAGGGCAGGGGCAGAGGGCAGAGGGTAGAATTATGCATGTTTGCTTGATCTATTGCACTGCGTATAGACGCGCGGGGCTGCAGGTCCTGCCTGCGTGTATGGTGGGAGCCAGGTTGTGCACGTCAATCCGGGCCGGTCGAAAGCGACGCGGAAAACACCGACGAAACGGTCACGCCCAACTCACGTGCGAGACAAGTTCAACTTCGAAGAAATCACGATTTCCCTAGCGACATAAGTGGATCGCTGGGAAACGCATAACAAGGAAACATAATCCATGAATAACTCGATCTATAGCACACATATCGTGACAAGAACAGTGGAGCGAAAGAACGGTGAACGCTTCAATGCGTGAACACAATGTGACGTTCGAACTGCATAGCCTTGAAGTGCTCGGCGTGGACATGTTTATCGAGCAGAAGCTTCATAAGCAGCTGCCCGAGCCTCTCCGCCTCCTCGCTGTGGAATACAAATCCACAGCCAGCCCATGGACAGTATCGCTGTCCATGGACGACGTGCGTGCTGAAGGCAAGGGCGTGGTGCTTTGCGACCTTGCCCCACCCCTTGCAGTGATCCTTGATCGCAACTGAGCAGTGCTGTCCGTCGGGGCGGAGGGCCTTGCAAGGCATATCTTCGACCACGGGGGAGATATAAAAGACCGGATACCGGCCGCGGCTGGAGGCGGAAGACGCGTCAACGGGCTTGGCGGACGGCATCGTAGGGACGGTAGGCGTCGGAGGAGGCGGTAAAGGCGTCCAGTGGCTGGCCTGCGAGATAGCGCCTTCTGAAGTGTTCACCATAGGCGCGAACTGGGGAAGCGGTCTCGCTCCAGCGGCGCTTGAGGGAGGCGGCCCGGGGTAGAAGACGTGTGCGCGTTGCATGACCAGAGCTAGTACGTTTCCCTTGGAGAGGATTCCACGCTCGTCGCGTGAAGTGCGGTATGGATGGCTGGAGGGACTCTTGGATCAGGAGCACTCACCTTTTGTACCCAGCGAGCGTGTTTGTTAGTGACGAGCCTCGGCGAGATCACTGCGTATGTTTGCCTCGGATATATACACCTCAAAGGGGTGGCGTCGGAGTGTGATGTCGAACGGGATCGCCGGGACTCTCGACAGTCGCGCGTTTGTACTAATTCGAGGATAGCTGAACGCCGATACGAAGCGGTGGAGACGCCGCCCCCTAACTGCGCCTTTGTCTGTCGAAAGCTTGACCGTCGACGCGTAAGCCTTCGGAATGAAGCCTGAGCCTGTCATATACGTAGCGTATCGGAAATTGAGGTCGCATGTTCGGCACGAACATCGACCTTCTCATGCAAGCGAGAACTCGAACCACATTCGAGGGGCAGTGGCGAGCGAAAGTCAGGAAGCGGATTGATTACAGCAACAGTAGTTATATTGTAGACGGGAGCATCGCGGTACGTATACGAAGAACTTGATGAATCGGGGCACTTTGAATCAAGCTTGGACCGTTGTAGAGAATGCCGCGTGCTGCATGTTCGGTGGCGGAGGCGGAAGAGGACGAGCGACGTGGACAAGCTTAGGTCGAGGAACAGGCCGCCCTAGTGTAAGCGCGCGCCGCGCCAGTCCGACGCACCACCCGGTTTGATAGTGCTCCAGCAGCGGATGGGCCATCGGAAAGGAGACGCCGGAAGTTGGAACGACATTGTCACAAAGAGGGCACCGAGTGCCGAACTGGAAGTGCGCGAGGACCATGTGAACCATCAGGATCGTTGTAACCGATTCAGGAGAGCGCTGCCGAGCGGCGTCGTCCGGTATCGTGAACGCGCAGCCTTCCCAAAGGCACCGACGTTGATGGAGGCCAACGTGCACCTTGTAATGAGAGTCGCCCCGGCAGTGCTGCTGAATGGTTTCTGTGCATCGGCGGCCGCTGGGAAAAATGGCGCGGCAGACGACCTCGCTCTGAGACTGGGGGATGGCGAAGGTGGGCCTCACGTCGTCCCAAGATAGCTCGTACAGGCGCAGAATATGTTGCATGGGGACACCGGCGAGGTGGACGGTGTTGCAGGGAGACGTCTGCGGCAGCGCCAAGATGCCCAGATCGCGAGGCTCTTGAAAGTAGGACGCATCGATGGCAGTCGGCCGCGATGCAAGGAAGACGTCGAATGGTCGGGGTTGCACAAACGGTGCCGCCTCAGGTGGAATCCTGGTAATTGTTAAATTGTCAGACTGAGATACAGTGATACCAGAGTAACTCACCGTCGAATTTGCGGATACGGAACCCTCCATTTCGGCGTGTTGAGACGCAGCCGGTCAAGCGCGTCGCCGAGAGACGAAATCAAAGGCGCGGCAGCCAATAGGCCCTCAATCGAGGGCAGAACAACCTGCTCGCGCTCCTGAGCGTGCGCATTGTGCATGAACGCGACCGAGGTTACAGACATCACGCTTCGAAGTAGGGAGAATGAAGTTGGCGTCGCGTCTCGACGTCCTCTCGCCTTTTGTACCCCCGACATAAACACGATCGGCAACGACAAAACTACACGCTCGGAGTGGACCCTGAACAAAACTAATCAATGGATTGGCCGGAAGCAAAAACGGAGGCACGGACTATGACCATTTTAGGCACAATGGCCGGTGCGTTGCATTTACGGACCTTGCGTTTGTGACCGTTGGGAGTATTCATGTTGTTGTCCGAGAACTGTCCGGCTGAGAGATAGCGTCTCTTATGGTTGGTGCAGCGTAGCAGATGCCAAATGCTTGTTTCGCTCGAGAGACTACATGGTCGCACGCGAAGCGAGGCGTCGGCCAGAGCGTGTAGCCACAAGCTGCGAGCCCCTTCGGCGCTATCGGACAGAATGAGACGCGGAGAACTGAGTATGCAGGGTGGGCTACATGCATGCAGGCAACATTCATGGTAGATGTGGAGACAGGGCCAGCGGACGTCGAAGCATGAGCGCAAGAGGTGAGTTGGGAAAGTTTTGATCGGCGCTTCATGCCGCGACGCGACCAACGGTGATCTCCGCGTTCCAGATTACGAATCTGACATACGTCGAATATCCCACGACGTTCCAACTGATTTTCCAGCCCCCCTCAATCCGCATAGAACATAAAGTCATATCAAGAGCATACTTACATAGCTAGTAGGTATCAGAGTCTACATATTACACTGACCCATGGGCAGCGTCGGGACCGGCAGGCCCATCTCAATCGCGTGCTTCGCCAGACCAAGACAACACCCGGAAATATAGTGGGGAGCCAAAGGGAAGGTATACGGTGGACAAGACTCAAGCCCCGGCATCTGGCGCAGATCAAGCCCGCAGAGTTTACACCTGGGAACACCCATATAGTGGTCAATGATGAGGTGCATCTCGAGCATCTTCACGGTCGCATGTGGTCCAAGACGTTCGGCCTCCGCGTCGGGCACGCAGAGACCGCACCCCACCCAAGGGCAGGCACGCTGCCCGACTGCAACGTGCGAGCAGTAATTCGGGGACTCGTCATCGAAGAGAGCAAAGACCTCCTGCCTGCACAGCTCCGTGCCGGATATCGCGACGCAGCAGAGCGCACCGTCATCGGCAACGGTAAACGCGGGGACGGTGACAGAGTCTGGAAGCTCATAAAAGGTCGCGAGGTCGGTCATGGAGGTGGTGAGTGCGAAGGAGGCGGTCCTGCTCGGGGCGCTATGGGGGTTGTGGTATGGTAGCAGGTCCGTGAAGCGCTCGACGATCGGGGGTTTGCCCGATGCAAAGGGCGACGCGGGATTCAACGTGTAGAACGGTGGTGACCTGGGGTGAGGGAGTTGTCGCGTGGGTACACTGCAGACAAAATCAGCGACGACGAACACGGGGCAGGCGGAGGAGACATACGCTGAGTCATCCAACGGGACCCTTGTAAGCGTTCTCTCGAGCAAGTCAACGAGTTCCTGCTCCTCGGCCGACGTCAACACGCCAGACGACGCCCCGCGTCCCGGGAACGCGATATTGTTGAAAAGTTCGATGTCGGTGGCGGCGACGATGGGCGGAGGGTAAGAGGCCATGATTCGGAAGGCTGAGGAAGGATCGCGCGCGGTGAGATGGTGGTGGTAGGTGACAACGAGAGCTCGAGCGACAACGCGTTATATTCTGATCACATGATTGCCACGGGCCAAACATGCGCACGGACCGCAGGGCGCGCCACAAGGAAAGCGGTGTAAGGTCGATGCACCCATCCATTTCGCAAGACAAGGGCAGATGCCACAGCCGCAGACTCGTCGGCCTAAGATCTGCGCGACGGTGGCGAATATGCCCTGCCACTAGAAAGGTCATGTGTAGAGGTACGAGCATGGCGGGACGACCGCTGAGACCTGATCTGAAGAGGGGACGTGGCAGTTGATATTCACTTGTTATAGTAGATATTTTGGTCGTACACGCGGCTTCTGTTGGTGTAAGAGATTCTGAGTGATTGGTCTGGGAGGAAGAGAAGCAACTCACCTGCAGTACGATCTTTGTGCACCCTTCGGCATGATCTCGTGCAAACACCAAGTTTGGATATTCGAGGGCTCAGCGCTCCACACGAAAGCGCTCACGCATTAACTAAAGAGGTTAAACAGAGACAACTGGCCTTGAATGGTTTCCGGCAGGTTGAGATGCGATTGTTGCGAGGCAGTTGAGGCGAGCCATGATCGTGAAGAAAGACACAGCCCTGATTATGTGCCTACTACATAGGCGCCGGAGACAGAGTATACGAGGGCTGCGGGCATCATTGCTTTCGGGATGGATGAATGGTTCCGAGATGGCTTACAGTTCGGTACAGAGCTGGACCTTGTTGGCATGGAAGAGGCGCAGAGGCGTGGCCTTAAATCAGTCAACGAGGTCGTTCGGCGCTATGTACGCACCTCTGAAGATTCATAGGCAGCACAGAGGGAGAGAGCCGGGGAAGCAGCGAGACCAATAGCCAGATACGAGGCATGAGCATTGGCGAATTGCGGCGCGGTCTTGATGCACTTCTCTATCGAGTCTCGACCAAACCGCACGAGAATCACGAAGTGAGGCAGATATATCGAGCTTCAAGAGGGCGACGTCGATGTAGAGTATTTTCTTGCTGTCGGTCTATCGGCGCCTACTGCATCGCCCCAGCTGGTCGGTGTGGGGGAGGGAAGTAAGCAGGTTGATGTGATCGGCAGCGCGCATCGACCTTGTTCTCTACCCTCATCATCCCTTGGCTCGTTCTCCGAACCCGGCCTCCCTGACGGCGCTCTCGACGTCGACAGCGTCTCTTACGTCTTCATGATATGTGCGCGGCATCGTCTACGCACTCGTCTTGCGACACCGTAGCAAGCTTCCGCAAGATTGTCGCGGACCGCACGATGCTGCCCAAGTCTCGACCAACGCGCTCTGCCATCTCTCTAATCTGGAGTCTCGTTGCTAGGACTGGACCCTGCGTGCTGCAATTCTGACATGCAGATCTCAAGTATCGCGCTCGGCGCCCGCTGTATCTGGGATTCGGGAACGTTGGTGCGTGGATTTGAACTCCCCGTGATACAGAGACTGACCGCGATTACCCGCTCCCCTCTCCAGACGCTGCCGCTTATATCCTAGAGTGGTATCTGAAGCCCCTCGACGCATCAACCAACCGACATTGGGAGTTAACCGTCAGCAGTAGAAGATCACTTCTCCCCCGACCTCGGAACGCGTACTTCTGCCCTCTTTCTACGACCCGTGTACTCGTGTATTCCCAGCAATACATCACCATGCTCTTGATGACTCCTTACACATTGCCCGCGAACCGTGCTCATCTGAAGTCGATACGATCAACACATCGGGTGAACGCTCGTCGGCAGGCTAGGCCGCGTCGCTCGATCATTGTCATGCAGCTCCTACCGGACGAGCAAGTGTCCATGCCGATGGGAGAGCCACGAGCCCTCGGCGGTGCATGTTCTCTGAAGACCGCGCGCTTCACAAGCGGCCGACGTCGTTGCGTTTTTTTCGGGAAGCAGGTATGGTCTGCCGCTAGTCGCATGGCCATTGTTTTGCTAACTCTCCATTGCAGGCTATGGTACCTTCCCGCATCTTTCTCGATTATACACGCGACGGAACTGTCATCACGCTGCGTTCGTGCTCGCCAGCCGCGGGTCACGTCGCGCCAAGTTCAAGACCATCGACGAGCATACAAGTCCGAGACTCCACGACGCGACTGAGGTCGGCCAACTTTCCTACCACCCGCACAATCGACCGTGATGCCGAGAGACGGTTCAACCAGGATCGAACCTGGGTACCTTACCCACTTTTCCTGTGACGCGCATTGTGAGAGGCGCTAACAAAGACGACAGCTCACACGCTACGAGAAGCGGAGGGCTGGTACCTTCGTTTGCACGAATGATACCGTCGTCGCGGACGGTGCGCAATCCTTGAAGGAGGCGCAGCTCCTCTTGCCAACTCATGCCGGACGCTTGTCGACGTACTACTTACTTATCAAGACTGCGATTGACTTGAGGACGAAGACGGGAACACAGAATTGTAATCGAACGCGGGCAGGGGCGAGAGGATATGGAAGCTTATCCATTGCGAACACGATACTTAGCACAGAGACGATACACAGCAAGGTACGAGACAGCAGGATCAATATCGCAAGTAGTAAGTAATGATACACAGAATCAGTGGACGACAGCGAGCAAGAGAGCGGCCAAGGCGAGAACGGCCACGACGAGATGAGGGTCCTGAACGCGGGGGACGATGAGCGGGATCCAACAACCGACAGCAGGAAGACGTACCGAGGTGCCCGCGCTGGGCGAGTTCCGACGAAAGGCGACGGCCAGCGAAATATTGAGGTTCTTGATGCTCGGCGATCTAGAGGGAGGCGTCAATGTCACGCAAGGAGCGAAGGACGACAACACGAACCAGGCGAGCCCCTCCCGAAGCGGCGCCCTCCTCCTCCCCGGTCGTCCGCACGCTATCGCCAAAGGCGAGCGGGCGGACAAGTTCAGGAATGCCTCGACACGCGCAGCAGGGCGGCCATCGGACTCGCTCACAACCGCTAGATCCATCGCGCCGCCCAGACTTGCAGGCTAAGCGCTCGTCGAGTGCCCCAAGGCAGGCGGGAATCGGATCCCTACGGACAACGGACTGAGGCGAACCCCAACCCCCGCCGGACCCGCGAGATATCCGCCACCTAGCCCCCGACTGTCTCGACGCCGCCTCGGGCGTCGCTGTATGTAACAAGCGGGCCGCCGTCCACGGAGATCTTGTACGCACTGGTTTCCACGAAGTAAGAGGACAAGGGACGATGCCTTATATACTTCTCGACGGTGGCTGTCCGCTCGTGATGGGACCACGTGCAGCAAGTTTGTTTGTTGATGGATATTCAGGTGGCGGTGCACTCGCCACCCATAATTTGGCAATGTGGGCGTCAAGAGGTGAGTATGCGCCCCAGTTATACCTCAGATTTATAGGCGCACCTATACACCTCTGTCCCCTGCGATTCGAAGGGGACTGGATGCATGAGTTTGTAGTAAAAGAGAGGAAGGCCGGACGTACGCTAATCTCCCAATCGGGAACAATGGCAGTCCCAAAGTGGCAGACACCGGTTTGATTGCCGACCCCGGCGGGAAACGCCGCCGCCCGACATTGATCATCGGCCGGCTCCAACCATTTCTACATACCCTGGCTTGCAACCCTCACCCCATCGAACCGGAGCTGAATCCTCGATCCGCATGCCATGCTTCCTTTGCCGTTGAATGGAAAATATATGGACGTCCTCGCTCTCTTGTCCTGTCTCGAAGCTCATGCTCGACTCGCAGACATACAGCACATTCGTCTGTTCAAGCTTCTCTCACGCATCTCTTCGACGGCAGGCCCATCTCCTTCATTCGCTTCGATGTCCGGCATGCTGCCTCTTACGCGATCCACTAGTCCGCCGAAGAGTCCTTTCGCTTGGACAACAGCCAGTTGCGTATCTCGAAAAGCACTCCACGTCAACTATCTCCTGCCCACCCTTGGATCGTCGCCTTTTCCGTTATTAGTGCCAAATGTTCGGCTTCCGTCGCATCCTGCTACATGACTGCGTCCGCCTGCCGAAAACACGTCATGGCTGCGCTGTGCGCATCGATGCTATTGAGCCTCGCGCAGATCCTGCGTTTTCGCCTAGACCTTGGGCATTGCCTCCCCCTCGCGCCTCGCTGCGTCAAGTTCGCGTACTCGCTATTCAGGCTCACCGAACACGTCGTCTACCACCCATCTCGGTGCTCATTATGACCGCGGTGGATGCGCACCTCGGGATCCGCAGACGGCCTCTTCTCCGGCTTTAGAGTCCAGTCTTCGTCGACACTAGATTGACCGCGCGGCGCGTCCTCCACGTCAGAAGACGGACTCGCCTGTCACATAAGCTCTCGAAGATCTTCGGCGACACCGGACAGCGGAGCGGCCCGTCCATCAACTCGAGGCGGCCCAATCTCGTCCTCCCTCTCTTTGCGTCCCTCCCTCCCCAGAACCTGCTTTGCGGGCCTGCGTCAGGTCGCAGACTTCCGGGCATTCCAAGCGCTACCCACCTTTCCGTATCAGTACGTCTCGACCACCAGTGTCACCCGACTTGCGAGGCTTATACGCGCCCAGATAGCGACACCCGCCTTCATTCCTCTTCAACGCAAGCGTGTTCATCTCGCCCTTGGTAAGGTACTTCCAGATGTCATCTCGTTTCCCTTACAATGTTTGCCTTCAGTTGACAGCACACAATGACCTCTGCATATCCGGTTCGCAATGGTATCGGAGCTTCGCCCAAGGAGTACAGCCTCTACCGGATGGGTCTGGCGACCCTCGCCGTCGGCAATCCGACAGCGACTACGCGCGGAGAGCTCATCGATACCGATGTCATGAACGCTTTCATCGCCGACAGGCGCGATAGTACCAAGAAGCTGGAACTCCAGGACTTTGGCAAGCAGGTGCTACGTTCCGGCGCCCTGCGGACCTGTCTACAGAAGAACCCTTGCGCGAGGATGGGCGCCGTGAGTACCAAGTTGAAGTATGTGTGGCGCGATTTGACGATCGGACATCGCAGGACATCGCCGACAACATCGCCGACCTCACGTTCCTGGCCTTGGTGGGCATCCGGGCTGGCCTGAGGATCAAGAAACTCGAGGATGCCAGGTTCTTCTACATCTTCGTTGGCTGGATGGCGCTCTATGGCGGCGGCATGTCTGATGCTCGCAAATGGGTCAAGAAGACGTTCGAGTGGTACCTCCCGGCAGCCATCGTGGGATGGAGGGTTCAGTGCGTCGTTCTTTCTCGACCTCATCACAGGGGCTCATGTCAGCACAGCCAACAACAAGCGCACCTTCGCGCGCTGGATGGGAAGCTTCAGTGGCAACGGGACGGTGCGCTATGATCTTGGTCCTTGCAGTGTCCTGGCTAATCAACACTTCATCAGCCGCTCTGGCGGCTTCCGCTAGCTCCACCCCTTCATTTGCTCATCTCCCTATCGCTGGTCCTGCTATTGTACCCCCCTCTGCCACCGCTGGCCCGGCACCATCTACGTCTCCGTCGCCGTCGACACCGACTGTATCACACGCTGAAGGTGGACCAAGCAGCATGAACGCGGACAGTTTCGATTTCGGCGCTGTGTACCTCAACCTGCCGGTACGTCGCCTCGTTTTCTGGTCTCTCGGTCCCTCGTAACTAAATTTATCGAAATGTAGCACCTCGAGCTGCTTTGACTGCGCTGTATGCGATAACACTTCCCGACAGCCTGGGATGGACGCGCTTCAGGTCATGAATGTCCTCGTTATCACCTGCCTCTGCGAGGATGTATAGGTAGCTTTGGGTTCAGTGGTATAGATATCCATCTTCAATATACCGTCTCGGGGTCATGAGATATAATTTGAATCATGGGTGTGAAGTCGGCGTTGGCGCCGGAAGAGGCGCACAATTATGCACACGAGTCACCAGCGAGCTCCACGTTCAGCGCTTAGCACGCATCTCTAAAGAGGGTTATAGGCAGCCCAAGGAAATACGGGAGAGCTGCGAGACACAATAGCCAGACACGATGGCAGGACTGTTGGCTTATTACTGTACCTCGTAGGGCACTTCCGTCGACTGAGCCGCACAAATATTATATTATTGGGCAGTCAAGCGGGCATTGAGCTTCGGGAAGTCTACGATGACGAAGAACGGTTTCTTACTGTTGAGCGCAGCCCACTACGTCGCCCAAAGCTGGTCCGGGAAGTTCGAGTAAGGAGGTCGATGTGATCGGCAGCGCGCATCGTCCCTGTTCTCTACTCTCATCATCCCTTTGCTCCCGGACCTGGCCTCTTTGATTACGCCCTCGGCGTCGACGGCGCCTACTATGCCTACATGGCCTCTGCCATCGCTTCGCCAACATCGATGCGCTCGCCTTGGTTTCGGTGCGGCGTCATAAGCAGCCTCCGCGGACCCGCACGACGCTGCACGAGTATCTTGATCCGCGCCGGCTACCACCTCCACGAGTCTCTTCTCGATACTTTGAGACCATCGTCTACTACATTTCGGATTCGTGTAGATCCCGGGTTGGGGCTTCGGGCTCATTGGTGCGTGAATCGATCGTCTTGGAACGCAGAGGCTGACCCCAAACGCTGCTGGTCGCACTCCATGTTCCTCAGCCATGTATTCGTCCCCTCAACTTTTCAACGTGTCGACCCTTCGAATAAACCGTCACTGGTCCGATGACTGCTCCCTCGATGTTCAACGCGTACCTACGCCCACGTCTGCATTTTTATATACTCCACGTATCCAGGCAATATCATCCATCAACTTGACGCGTCTTGCTCAAATTTCGTCTGTCGCATCGCGCAGGTCAAAGGGCGCTTCGCTATCCGACCATGGTGCTCACGCTCGTGTGCACTGAGCGTGATGAACGTCGATATACACCTCACCACCTACGGGGACGGTCCAACCGTTATATCTTGCGGGACAGCCTTATACACAAGCAGACGCAGGCGGAGATCAAGTAAGTCACTTCGTCAAGTCCTGATCCTCGTCGTTGCTGAGATATCTCGTCTACAGGCTTTTCCGCCGCATATCATGGACGCCAGGCCCGTCTACTCTCCGTGCCGATCGCTGATACTCGTCTCCGACGCAATTGACCAACCCGCTTGCAACACACAGCACCTCGCAAGCTGTCCCTGATGCAGAGGGGAAGGTGCGGGCTGCGTATCTCTGTACGAGGCCACTCAACAGACCTTCAAGTTCAGCTACGGTTCTCGAGGGCTCGTAACTGGACTCTGTCGATGCCGCGAACAACATGAGAGGTCGTAATTCACTAACTACGCGTAATCCAAGCCGATGACTCGAGGGCACGCGAAATCTCCATGTCTGTATTGCGATACCACCGAGTCCTGATGGTCTGCGCCACACAACTTGACGCGTGGCGCGTTGGCACTCGTCGCGCTGGTCAATGATGCCCACTCGAACGCATGGTCCGCGATGTTCTCAGAGTCCTGCTCTCGATTTGCTATTTGCCCTCTCTAGCGCTTCCTGTGATTCAGAGGTCCTATTGCTACTCTATCTTCCGACTTCTCGAAGTGCAGAGGGTGTCCACCTGTTACCACGTCGTCCTGGAAATGCCAGATCCTTCTGCTGTCGGTCTTGCAGTCATCGCCAAGTATCTTGCGAGCGTTGGGAAACTCCAAGCTTATTCGGCTCTGCCAGGGTATTCCTGTCGGTGTGGCTGCTTCAAAGGCGCGCGCCTTCGCCTTCAGAAGCGTGACCTGCTTGTCAAAAACACTCCCGACGATCCCCGGCGACACCGGGCCGTGGGTCGGCGGATATTAAGGCTGCAGTCTGCTCAAACTCGTCGTGCTTCCTCTCTTCTTGCTTCCATTCGAGCTCTGCTCCTCGAGCTCGACCTGCGCTTGGGCAGTCGAACGTCACCAGCGTTACCTATATCCCGCCTTGGTGCGTGTACGTTTGGGTCCCACTCGAGAGAGAGGCTGAGATCATTCGCCCAGATCGCGACGCCCAAGCTCTCTCGCCTTTCCTCCATATCATCCGCGCTATCATCTCGCCCTTTCTGTAAGTCGTTCTCCCACCTTTATCTTTGTCGATCTCATGGTTTTTCAGCACTGTAGGTTCAGCATGAGCCTCACGACCGCACCAGCCAATTACAAGTATGGGCGGACGGCGAAGGATCACAGTCGCCATTGGATGTGCGTCAAGGTCACGGCAGACTCGAGACTCGGCCGACTGCCCGATCTTCTCTCCTCACTCGACGACGCCGACACGAGAGTCGCCTTTGCTGGCGCCATAAGCAATGCAGTCGTCTGGGACGAATGCAAGGCTGTCGGACGGCTCCAGTTTCGCGAGGCCGTTGTGTGGATCTGCTTCTTGAAGAAGGTTCCCGCCCGCATGGCAGAGGTATGTGCGCTCACTGTAGCAAATTGGCGCACAGCGGTCTGACCAAGCTCTGCAGGACATCGCGAGCAACATCGCCAGCCTCCCTTTCCTTACCTTCCTCGCCATTCACTCGGACATCCCGTTCAAGTCAGTCGAAGACGCCGAGCTCATCCTTGGCTTCGTGGGATGGATGGAGCTCTATGGCGGCGGTACGGCAAGGGTTGAGCGCTGGGTACGGGAGAAATTTGAGCGCTACTTTCCCGCGGCTATCGAGGGGTGGAGGCAGCAGTGCGTCTCACTCGGCTACTCCTCGCGCGTCTCCTTACTCACTTGTATCGCTTAGCGAGCAACATGCTCGGGTGCATACGCTCATCGCCACTGGTGAACTCAAGTGGCAGACCAAAGGTACGTCTTCCTTCTCCCCAGACGGCATCGACGCGTAGAGCGCTCACATCTCCTCAGCTCCCCCGATACCTGCGCCTGCCGTTCTCACTCCGAACCCAGTCGCTCAAAGCGCCGCCCCGGTCACAGCATCCACGTGGACGCCGCCAAACATCCCACCCGTGCGCGTCGTGCTGACATCGAGCAAGACCGCCACGAACCGCAACCTTCCGTCCGTTGCTCGCGACACTCGTCCTGTCGAGCTCAAGAACGCCGTCCGTATGACTCAGCCGCCGGCGAAGAAGAGGAAGAAGGAAGACGAACATGTCTACACCCGCCTTATGACAGCAGTGCGTGTGTTCCACTGTACCCTTGACGTGAAGAGACTAATCCTTCACACAGGCCGTCAAGGGCAACAAGCTCCCCATTACTTGGCCTGGTCATCGACCTACGTTCACTGAATGAAGAGCGCCGTCCCCTTGCCTCATCGTCTTCGTTGCCCATTGGAGCTGCGCCTTTGATATTCTCTCCTTTCGGGCGCGCCTATTCGTCTGCCTTTCCATCTTCTCGGCTTCTTCTCCTAAGCATCTCTCCTCGACACATTGACGGCTATTCCTTACGCAATTTTACTATCTATCCTCGAGTCTCTGTACTATACTTTCTCCTCTTATGTATGCATCGCTGTAGACCGTCTTGATTTGTACAAAGTCCCTTTACTCGATATAATATATTGCAAGACTGCGATTGAAGTTCCCAGGCGCAAGCGTCGCTCAAGCTCACCAAGTCGAAGCAGCTACTCCTCAGAATATCCGCAGCTTGCCATGTATATTTCTTACCGTTGGACATGTCGAAGATGAAGAACAATGAGGTTGACAAGTACGCATGGATTGACGCGCAATCATGTACGCTATTCTGTATGCACGACTCGAGGTGACAACAAAGACGAAGTAGTAGGTAAGGCTAAGTAAAAGCGACCAGAGACGACATAATCTTGAAGCGTGTCAGTGATCAGATGACGATGAGCGAGAAGAAGGAGAACGGCGTACCGAAGGAACCACGCTAGGCGGGGACAGTGGTCGAAGGCGAGGTCGAGAAGAGGAAGCAAGTCTTGAGGCTCCGAAGAGAGGCGGCGAGAAGGTCGTTGTCAGTGAGTGTACAAAAGCGAGAAGCGAAGGACGTACCGATCGATGAGGGCGATGAGCAGACGACGACGGCAGCACCGTCGCGCTCAGGTCTCCCGCGAACAAATCGTAGCAGGGCTGCCATTCCGGCGCGCCACTCAGCCACTAGTCCTCGCACCCGCCCAGATCTTGCAGGCATGGCGCGCGTCGGGGGCCGGCGGCAGGCGAGTGTGGGCTCGACGACACTGACATGGGGAGGGAGGTGAAGTCCCATCCATCCACCAGCACCGACGAGCTACCACCCCACCTTGCCGCGGACGTACCCAACACCGTCGCAGTCGTCGGGCTGTTGCAGGCGACGACGTTGACGGAGACCTTGATCGCTATGATTCCACGAAGAAGGGGAAGGCAAGAAAGGGCGGCCGGCATATATACTTCCCAAACCGTGACCGTGATGTTACGTGCCATCAACAAACGCGACACGCGACGCACGCGTCTGATGTGACTGTTGAAGTCACGTCACGCGGCGAGAAGGATATATACCGGCCGCCCTCTCTTGTTTTCTTCTTCTTCGTGGAATCAAAGCGATCAAGGTCCCCGTCAACGTCGTCGCCTGCAACAGCCCGATGACTGCGACGGTGTTGGGTACGTCCGCGGCAAGGTGGGGTGGCAGCTCGTCGGTGCTGGTGGATGGATGGGACTTCACCTCCCTCCCCATGTCAGTGTCGTCGAGCCCACACTCGCCTGCCGCCGGCCCCCGACGCGCGCCATGCCTGCAAGATCTGGGCGGGTGCGAGGACTAGTGGCTGAGTGGCGCGCCGGAATGGCAGCCCTGCTACGATTTGTTCGCGGGAGACCTGAGCGCGACGGTGCTGCCGTCGTCGTCTGCTCATCGCCCTCATCGATCGGTACGTCCTTCGCTTCTCGCTTTTGTACACTCACTGACAACGACCTTCTCGCCGGCCCTCACCGGAGTCTCATGACCCGCCTCTTCTCCTCGACGTCGCCCTCGGCCACCGTTCCCGCCTAGCGTGGTTCCTTCGGTATGTCATCCACGCTATCCATCTCGAGACGCACTCACGATATTGGCTCATAGAACCTTCTCGCCGCCGCACTCGTGCCCTGCATTTGTACTCGAGCTCGCTATCGCCTTCATATATCCTACTTACTCACGGTCTGCACATGTATATCTCACACGTTGTCGTCATGCTGCATCATTGCCACGAAATTGAACGGTTTTCTCTCAACTTATCAGCCCCCACGCGTGCCTTCAATTCTTTATGAATGCCGAATATCGTGTTTTGAGCGCCTCTTGCCTCGAGCTCGAAGCGGCTGAGGTCGGGCATTGCCGAGTTAATGCTAGCTGGCTGGAGCATTTCCCTTCATAATCGTAACCGTCGTTGAGTAGGATAACAGTGGTTCTTCTTATTCAGTAATACCTCTCAGATTGCTAACTGAACATTATCAACTCCCTCCAGAAGTACACATTCTGCTCGTCCTCCGTCCTTCACGAATGACGTGCGCGAGAGGAACACAGAAGGAACACCTAAAAAGTCGGCCATCTCGTCCGTCCAATCGACGTGCGCGTGCAAGCTTGTAAGCCAATGTGAGTTCCCGGCTGGCGAAGCCTTCGAAGGAGAAGTCGGAAGCGACACGCGGGCGGCGCGATAGGCGCGATGCCAACACAGATCACACAAGAACGACCACACGCCGTGCGCGGGACCATGTAGGTCGTAGCACCCATATTGACATAACGGCCTGACAAAGGAAGGGAGTCGACGTCAGGCGCGCGGGCGTGCGCAAGCCCGGACCGATAGACATGCTCTCGTACGCCCACTGTGCAGGCAGTACATTGCTCGTCTCGACAAAGCACATCTGTATGTGTGGCGCACGCGCATAAAGCCAAGGAGCCTGGCGAAGACGCCAATGTCCAGCGAGACGAGGTCGCCGGAGGTGCTGAGTCCGTCTGACGTGCTCATGAGGCGGATGCAATGAAGTATGAACGCGATTCGTAGTCCTCCGCTCGAAGTCGACCCGTAAGTCCGACGCAGAATCCGAAGGGCTGAATGAGCTGACCGGCGGCGGCGATGCGAAAGATGTCCAAAATCGTGATTTGCGGGATCCGGGGGAGGAGCGGCCACTGAGAGGTACGACGTTTGCGCAGAGGCGCAGGGTGTCCATGATGTCGAGCGTGCCGGTTAGTCCACGTGTACCACGAGCGATTCCATCGAGAGCAGAAACACAGTGTATTCGGGCTCGATGGACAGGTCCTCTGGGTTGCGCATCTCCGCCAGCGATGGCAGAGGCTAGCGAGTATATGGAGGCCTTCGTATGTGTGGTGCCACAGGCCAGGACCTTACTACCGACTTCGCCGACTCGTCAGCTCGATAGCTTCCACTTCCCACGCGACTCGTGCCCTTGAGATCCCTCTGCCCGACGGGTACAACGACACATCCGAAGGACCGGTTGTGTACGAGACGAAGCGCATCGACGCCTTATAACGGCTCCGGCCATGAATCATTGACCTACTTGTGTGGCACTGGTATACCGTCACCACCAGGATGGCGAACATCGCGTAAGCGCCCTGCGAGCAGTCTATGATCAGCAGAAGTGACTCGGATAATTTCAATTCCACTAAGAATCATATCACGTTGGTCATGGGTGGCGCATAGGCTTCGAGTACGACTATGTTGGTCTGGGATGTAGGGTTGAGCGAGAGCCATGCGCGACGAGAGGGAGACACGCACACACATGAGACAGGATACTACTACACCAGACTCGAGGATAGAAGTATTCATTTGGGACGCAGCCCTGTGGTGGAAGTCGCGTCTGATGCGGCCAACACGAACACCCTCCGACCGTGCTTCCGCCCGAGAAGGGTCAAAGTGATACAGCGACGCCGCGTCGGTAGGCCCTGCATATAGAGGTGAGATTGAGATATGACGCACGGCGTTCCAAGGACAACGAACGCACCGGACTAAGCGCTCACGAGCGTCGTCGCCAGGACATTCGTGATGACAAGCGGCAGGGTGAATGCGAGACTCCAGCGTAAACACGACCCTTCTCAAAGCCCTCGCTTGCGAACTGACTTGGACCTCGCGTATGACGGCGACAACTAGCGTGAGGAAAGGAATGAGGAAAAGAACTAGGAGACAAAGAGCGTAGTACCTACGCTGGCAATTATTCCCAGCAGCAGCGTGCCGCGCGCAAGATGGCTATGCGACCATGAAACCCACGCCCTACAGACTTCAAGCGCATTGCTCAGGATGTACTGGAGATACGCGTGAGTTTCCTGATATTCGCACAAACCACCTCGACGTACACAAATGCACAAGAAGATCTCGTTCATCATAAGAGGGTGGTAGATCCGGGACTGAGCGTCACGACTGCATACCTATATGCAGACCTGGGTTCGAACAGCGGCCTTCGTTCGGACGGACCTGGATCGCGACCTGCTCGGGCTTGATGGACGACCAGAGGGCTGAGAGTGCGACAGCGTGCCACTGCCAGCAAACTCGCGCGAGGCGGATGGACGGTAGTGTCACAGAACGCAAACAGGGCACGGAAAAGCATGACACATCGTTGGTGAGCGGGTTGCAACCCTGGCCGCGAGGCGAGCGCGCGTAGGCTGCAAGAGGTGATCTTCTAGGCGGGGCAAGAGTCTTCGCATATCTGCACGCAGATTTAGTGACACCTTCATATGGACTAGACGGCCACTTACCGAGCGACCGTACTATAGTTGAATGCCGCTTCAGAATTTGGGCTCGTCATCGCCGTCTCTCATTCGACGCCGTTGCCGAGTTGGTAGACGTAGACGCGCGAGTTGTGGACTACTCGTCCGAGCCGTACCCATTCTCGGGCGGTAGGGTATTCTTGCGAGGCGAAATTGGGCTACACTTGTAGACTTGTGCAGCTTCGCGTCGACGGATAGCGAGGTCTTCTTTGCGTAGGACCCCAGGAGCGGATGCGCGGCTGTTGTTGGGGATCGCGGCCACTCTGTAGGCGCGGTCCGAAGGAGGGCGCCTGAGCTTGGTCGCGCGGCGCCTGCTGTTATTCATATCGATCCTGCTCGCTTCGAAGCATGCTCAGTGCGGCTGTCGTACCCGCATGGCAGGCGGGTGACCCCGCGCAATGGAAGCGAAGCGCACTTGTATTGGATGAGGATGACAATGTGTGCTTGGCTGGTGCCGGTCCTAGAGACGGCAGATTTCAGCGTGAACAGCCTGAGGCTGGAGCGCAGGAGAGAGGACAGAGGGCCGTGTTCGTCGCATCGTGCGCGCTTTGGGCACGCAGGGTGCACGAAGATGCGGGTTCCTTCGTATCGCAGCTGAATCAACACGAGGACAACCTGACCGAGCATTGACCAGCCGCCCGCCTTCCCGCTCATCGTTCAGAAACACGGCTGCTCCTTGCGTGAGATGTCGTGATGATGGGAAGAGAAGAGAACAAGGAGCGACATGGCGCTCAGTGGACGTATTCCCGAAGTTGACATTCGTCGTCGTCAACGTCCTGCCTGGGGACTATCCCGTATCTAGACATGGTTTGGAGGCGAAGAGACGGCGCTGGCTTGGCTCTCTGTGGTCGCGCTTGTCCCCTCCGTGCGGTAGTTCTTCTCAGCAATCTTGGTTTTCTTCCTCTTCACAGCGTACGAGAACCCTTGCTACGCGGTCGCAGTAGTTGGAGGGAGACCGAAGAATGCCGCTGCTGGCGACGGTGCCAATCGAGCAAGGCCTGACCATAGTGCGAGCGTCGACGCCGATGCACGTAGTCATGCAGTGCTTGCTCCTGTACTCGTGAGCGCGGACGAGTGCGACGCCAGACAGCCTCGTTTCGCAAGTACAGACGGGGTGGGTGGAGACGTCGACGAAGATAGACAGGTAGATACACTGTAAGGAATCGAGAAGGCCATCCGGTGCGTTGTATGCCAGTCTTCGCGTAGGTGAACGACGTGGGAGTGGGAACTTCTTAATGGGTCTTGACCAGGGCGACACTTCGCAGAACTGATCGGGATTGTAAGTGAACGTATTCTGTCGCGTACAAGCAAGTTATAATCACCTTGAATGCGACCTAGAGCTCGTTGGAGGAAGGAGGGGAGGTGAATTCCGGCCTCGCCCGCGCCGACCAGCCTGTGCATCTCTGCCCTATGCCTTCCGGTGTCGCGGGTGCTCCCTGACTGGAAAGTCTAGGACCTTTGCCCCTCCCACCACTCCCGGAGTATGCTGTCGTGCCCGTCAGTGAGTCGTCTTGAAGAATACTTCTCGAATCAGCAGCACTGACCCTCGAGGCTGAAGGCCGCAATACTAGACGAGGAATTGGAGGAACTGCTGGGACCGACGAAAGGAGGCCACTTGGAGGCTACGGACGAAGCAGCAGAGGATGTGGCACGCAGAAGACATCGGGGGAGTGGGATGGGACGGTGATATTGCCAGGTGAGGTTGTTGAAGCCATCGTTGAAGGCGGATTGATCAGGGGAAACTGGGGCTCCCCTCATTGTCGTCGCCCCCGCGTCGCGTCGCATACATCTTGACAGTAGCTCTTCTTGCTCGCACAACACTTGTCATTGGTGATGCTGTTAGAACAACCATAAGACCTCGCAGAGTCATCTAGCTGCCACCCTGTGAGTGGATAGACAACGTGAGTGTTGGACGAGACGACGAGCACGCATGGGCATACCTTCGGCAGCTTCGCTGATTATAAGCGCTGCGCACACTCATCGGATGAGGCAGCAAGACGAGATGGCAGAAGGCAGGAGGGCCAATCCTGCTGGGGAATCGCCATTCCAAACGCCAACGGAGCCCGAGCGCTGAGCGTTATATAGTGATGATCATGTCGCGTTCAAGGAACATCCACACGAAGTTCGAGGCGTTGAAGGTATCTGCGGCAGTTGGTAGTCCTTTCGTGTGCCCTCTAGGAGGTGTCCGTGACGCTGAGAGAGAAGGAGAGGAAGCGGGGGAGTAGTGATCGGTGATCGAGATGCTCAACCATCGCGGCTTCTTGTTTTCTCCCTCCATGATTCGTGACTTCTGACCATAACTTGCCATGCTCTGTTCGATTCCGGCTTCCATAAGTCGTGCCTCTCTCGCCTTGGGTCTCTTGATTCTGGCGTATGATCAGGGGCCTCACAAAATTCAGCTGTCCGGTACGTCTTCCGAGCTCCTCAAGTCTATATCGTTGATCATCCAGTCTAGTCCGGTCCACCAGTCGCAGCCTGGCCTCCAAATGCGATCTTTCTATCTGAAAGCTGAAGCCCCTCCACCCATTGTGCTAGTCTACCCTGCTGTACATGACCGAAACCGTATCAAACGCTGGATCGACAGCGACCGAAGTACACCGCGCAGACTATAGGCCCACCGTCACCCTCGCGAGTACCCCCATGCAAATGCCGGAGGCCTTCCTTCTAGCGATCTCTAGCTCTGCCTCAGTTTCAGTCTCTCGCTGCGCATGAGACGTACAGATCATTATGATCGTTCTTCCTCCAGCTTTACACCTTCGCCGTTGTTGCTGCCGACATCTCCACCAACTCTGGCATCGCCGCGCACGTCTTGGTCTTGTTGCCAGACCCAGTACGAACCCAACTCTCGCGACCTGTCACGAATGCCAGCGCGTCGAAAGTCGCTGTCACTTATGCGGTCAGCAAGGGCACGCGATGTGCAGAATGGATATACGCACATCCTGTACTATCCTTCGCTTCGATGGCAGCCTCGGGCGCTTCTGTGGCTTGCTTCAATAGCTCACTGCGAAAGTCCGCTTAGCCTCCTGCATATTCATTTCTGTCGCTTGCTACGCACCTTGTTGTCCCGTCCTTGTCAATCAGATCGAGGCATGCCTTGCAGAGGATCTTCGCAACCTCCACGGTCCAGTCTCGTACCTCCGTCTCCGGGCTGTCGAAAGTCGCGCTCTTCCGCTCCTGTGCATAGAAATGGCCCAAATATCCATAGAGGGTCTGTTCAGCCCGCCGCCGGGTGCCCGAGAGCGTCTTCATGAACACGGCATGCGTAACTTTCGGCGCGTTCATCGCGACTGCGATCTGTCCATGCCTTTGAGTGACGATTCGCATGCACGGAAGGGACCTCACACCTGCGCGTGGCCACTGGCCTCGGGTATCAGGACCTTGGTCACTTTCTCGACGCTCGCCTCCCACAGAGCTTTGCCCAGAACTTCGCATGCCTCCTGGTCGTTCTCGTGATACCTTGGTGTTGAGTCGCCTGTTTGCAAGGATGGAAATTCTGCGCGCTTGTAGATGAGCAGCGGTAGCTTCTGGTCCAGCGATGTCATGGTTCAAGGCAAGGCGGGAAGGCGAAGGCGCGGAAGGTGACCAATATCTAGCCCGTTGTCGCGCCTGAGCCCCATCACATGTCATACGCTCGACAACATACTACTTGACGGCTCTGACGCGTCCGGGTCACAACACCGTTCCGCGACACTCGTTCGATGGGGGCGTATAGACGAAGAGACAGCGGCGCGATCAAGGAGAAAAGCGAGCTTAGTCCCGAGGGGCAGCGAGCAGATAGATAGAATACGATGAAATAGACATTTCATAAGATACAGACGCTACAGAACACTGAATGCAAGGACCACCACCGAGTACATCGAGCGCAGCAACAATGAGGCAAGAGCGACCAGGAGCACGAACGCCAGCATCGGGTACAGCGAAAGTAGGGACCTGTGCGCGTGGAACGTTAGCATGGAACGGAAGCGACGGGATAGATGGCATACCTGCGAGAGCACCTTAGGCGGGAGCGGTAGTCGGGGGCGGCGTTGAGGAGAGGAGGCGAGCGTTGAAGCTCCGGCGAGAGGCGGCGAGAAAGTTGTTGTCAGCGAGTGCACAAAGGCGAGTAGCGTAGAACGTACCAATCGATGAAGACGATGAGCAGAAGACGACGGCAGCACCGTCGCGCTCAGGTTTCCCGCGAACAAATCGTAGCAGGGCTGCCATTCCGGCGCGCCACTCAGCCACTAGTCCTCGCGCCCGCCCAAATCTTGAAGGCATGGCGCGCGTCGGGGGTCGGCGGCAGGCGAGTGTGGGCTCGACGACACTGACATGGGGAGGGAGGTGAAGTCCCATCCATCCACCAGCACCGACGAGCTGCCACCCCACCTTGCCGCGGACGTACCCAACACCGTCGCAGTCATCGGGCTGTTGCAGGCGACGACGTTGACGGGGACCTTGATCGCTTTGATTCCACGAAGAAGAAGACGGCAAGAGAGGGCGGCCGGTATATATCCTTCTCGCCGCGTGACGTGACTTCAACAGTCACAGACGCGTGCGTCGCGTGTCGCGTTTGTTGATGGCACGTAACATCACGGTCACGGTTTGGGAAGTATATATGCCGGCCGCCCTCTCTTGCCTTCCCCTTCTTCGTGGAATCAAAGCGATCAAGGTCCCCGTCAACGTCGTCGCCTGCAACAGCCCGACGACCGCGACGGTGCTGGGTACGTCCGCGGCAAGGTGGGGTGGTAGCTCGTCGGTGCTGGTGGATGGATGGGACTTCACCTCCCTCCCCATGTCAGTGTCGTCGAGCCCACACTCGCCTGCCGCCGGCCCCCGACGCGCGCCATGCCTTCAAGACCTGGGCGGGCGCGAGGACTAGTGGCTGAGTGGCGCGTCGGAATGACAGCCCTGCTACGATTTGCTCGCAGGAGACCTGAGCGCGACGGTGCTGCCGTCGTCTCTGCTCATCGTCTTCATCGATTGGTACGTTCTACGCTACTCGCCTTTGTGCACGTCTCGCCTCTGCTCATCGGAGCCTCAAGACCCTCTCCTCGGTGCCGCCTTCGGTACCGGCGTGCCCGCTTAGCGCGATTTACTCGGTACATCGTCTTCTGCATCTCGCTCACGGATGACTGATCTCCTATATAGATCAGCACCTTCGCATGGCCGCCTCTGCACCTCACCGTTGTATATGGACTTCTTATCACCTCTGTACTCATTGCCTACAATACATCGTACCCTGCCCTTGCGTTGTGATCACCGCCTAATACATCGATGAACATCTGCCATTATTCGCCTAGTTCGAGTCTTCCTCGTAAGCGTGCGTCAAAGCTCAAGTTGGACTTCGTTATACGTCGACGCGCCCCAGGGATTGCTTTGAGTATGGGCTTCTGTCTTGAACTCGGATACGAGGGCGGTCTCGTTTTTGGGACGGAAGTTGCCGTCGCACGGCGGCTACGCTGCTGTCAGGTCAGAACCGCGCGAGCTCCTAGCTTAACCGACCTCTCTGGCGAGATATAAGAAATATGATGGGTTATAGCGTACACTGTATCTATAAGATAGACAAGGGAGACGGGGCGAACGGTCGAGACGAGGTGGACAAGGCAGGGGTCACTGGAAAGGAAGATAGAGACATGAGATCAAGACGAAGGCAGATCGTCCGCACTCGACGGACCGGCCGTCGAGCGCTCTTTGGAAAGTCTTTGTTGGATAGTGATCGGCACGCTATACGAGTAGCGTTCGTCGAAGCCATCCTCCGACTCAAACTGTCCCAGTCGGCCGGGGATTGGACTGGATCAGGCTCGAGGTTGTGGACGAAGGGTGATCTCGTGCGAAATCGCGGGGGTAGAGGATCCTTGGTAGGCATCGTGGAGTAGTATGGCGTGGCCGAGGGCAAATCAATGATCTCTGCGGCGATCGCTGGAAGGAGAGGCGGCGTGGTGCGAGGTGGGGGAGGTGAAGTCGTGCTAGGCAGAAGAGGCGGGACCGTGTTAGGCGGCGGAGGCGTGCGAGGTGGCGTGGACCTGCGGGGAGGCTTGGACCTGCGAGGGGGCGCAGTCTTGCGAGAAGGTGCAGTCTTGCGCAGAGGTACGACCTTGCGAGGGGGCACGCGCAACGGACTTGCTTCAGCGGTCGAAATTAGTCGGCGCTTGTTCGAAGTCATCTATAGGCAGGCATGAGAAAGATTATGTAGCGGCAAACGTGATCTATACTCACCTGCTTCGTAGGCTGACGAAGGTCGAGTTCTTCCACCTCCACCTCCGGCGGCCCTTCCCGCTTCCTCTTCCCCTTCTGCCCAAGCGATGTCCCAGGCGGCGGCGCCCCACCAGGGTAAACCTCATACCTCACGCCCTCATCATTCACCTCCAAAGGCGCTTCGACCTCCATCGGCGGCGGATACGCCATCTCCACCGCCTCAATCGCCTTGCGCGCCTTACAACTACCGAAGTGCCGCAGTATGTTCGTGTTGCTCCATTGCCTAGATCGAGAGTCCCCTTTGATGCGCTCGCGGCAGGCGGCGCATCGCGCGGCGAAGCCACAGAAGGCGGCGACGAAGGGATGCGAGGACCACATCTGAAAACGCGCTTGTTCGAGGCGGTATTTGGCGCTCTCGCCGGGGACGAGGGGAGGGGTGTTCTTCAGGATGCGCGGTGTTCCTTTGCCCTTGCGGGAGCGGGTGGAAGGCTTTAATGTGCTGGCTGTCTTTGTAGGCTGTAGCAGAGGGTTGGGGTGGGTAGGTGGCCCAGTAGACGTGCCGGGCATCGATATGATGCGGTATGATTGCCTAGACGAAGTCTCAGTAAAGACAAATGGCCGCTCAACAAGCATGCGTACCTGGTCGACGTCGCAGACGTGGACTTCAACTTCAATCTCGGCGCCATACTATCTGTGGATGCGATAGAAGTTGAGAGGCAAGGCCGGCACTGTGTTGGGGATGTTGTATGCCAATATGGAGATGGAATATGCGCCACATGTGTTCGACGCGCTCGGTCACCAGCGCTGTGCTAACCAACGCACCTGCACCCTGGGAGACGAGCTCACGGCTTGAATGTGATGAGAGTCGTTCGCGAAGCGGGAGAGACTGCGAGCCTTGAAGCTGTAGGTAAATGCATATGGATACTATTTCGAGAGACAGAGAAGACCGCGGCACCCATCGAAGGCGATCCACTTCCTCCTCGCCGACTGTCTGCGCCCTATCGTCAGAGGCGAGAAAATGGATGAGGTCGGGAATACGCAGCAAGCGGGGCAGGTCAGGCTGCAGCACGCCACACTGCAATTGACCTACCGCGCTCCCTATGCTTGCCGGTAACCGTCAAATATTCGGGGCAGGCCTCGATTATCCTAATCTGGATCAATAATCATTTGATGGCCGGCGTCAGCTTTCTCGCACACGACTCACTTGGACCTGGTTTTAACGTCTCATGGATTCTCAAAAGTCCCTCGGCGTATCTAGTCAAAGGTACGTGCTCGATAGCTCAACGCTCGTCCAAGCTCTCTCAATCATCACCGGGGCCTGTCGCTCTGGTGATAATATCATCCAATGCAGCCGCGGTGCTTTGACTTCTGGATGGACCTCTCGTCGCGTCGCGCTCACACGACTCTCAGCCATCATGTTGCCTTCAAAGATGGAATAAACGCAGTCGTCGCGAATGCACATGATAACAGAGCCCTGGAGGAGAGGCGGACATCATGCGTCAGCAACCTGGTATGACAAGACGTGCGTTGAGCTCACATCAAGCTCGCCTTTGACAGTGCCGAACCGAAGGATCGTTGACTGCAGATTGCGCGGGAAGTTGAGGCAAAGGAATTGCTCGATCACAGCCTCGATATTGGCGGTGTTTGGCCTAGTGGTATGGTTGCAAATCCTGGACAAAACCCAGTATACCGCTACTGATCGAGTGATTTTGCGTGAAAATAGTGGTGTGATCACTATGATTTGCGTGAAAATGAGCGATTTTCGGTCTCAAATCACGCACCAGCGATTCACTGGCCACTCGCCAGCTGCGTGAAGATGCGTGAGCATCAAAATCACGCAGATACTAGTGATCACTAGGTGCGTGATTGATCACTGACCACTGACCGCTCGGTGCGTGATTCGATCACTAGCAATCAGCCACCCAAAGCGATGGACCCCTTCCACTTTCACTATTTTCCAACAAACTCATTTTATAGACACGGATTCGCCATCGCTAGTACTGTAAATAACGTTCAAGATCTGGCTGGATGCAAAATCATCCGTCTACACGCCTCGAATTTCGAAGGCAAGGGGGTCCTTGTGGGTGTTCAAGCTGATCGGCAATCACCGGCACGTGAAAGCGATCAAAATGGTGCCCCTCGCTGCGTGATAAAAGCGACCGAATCGCATCACAAGTGCGTGAACGAAAGCAGTAGTGATCGAGGCAAGCGCTCGAATCGCTACTGCTTACTGATTCACTAACCACGGTTTTTGTCCAGAATTTACAACCATACTAGTGGGGAAGCCAGACACCGTCTGTACGGAATTGAGCCACCGGTGTGAAACTCGTTCCACCACAAGCACATACCGTGACGATCAAGCAGAACTCAGGCGAGACCGATAACTCGCATGTGCCGCCTGCGTCCTAAAGTATCTCCAATGGATCGTCTGACGGCCGTTGGTCGGTAAGTTGGCGGCATAAGAGCAACTGGGGTACGCACCGATCTGCCCCATCGTGTCGTCGTATGTGATATACTGCGTCTCTGTTCCCAAGAGTCGCTGAGCATCCTCTACAACGGTCTTGACACGCAAATCGGGCATGAGCCCGGCGTAGAGGCCGAGGGAGCGCCCCTCGACATAGCGGAGAAGCATGTACCGCATAGCTGGAAGCCAGTCAGCCGTCACGAACTATATGTCAATGATGAAGTACTGCCCTGGGTTGACGATGATCCGATTGGACCAGTCAAAGGGGATGCGAGCATTCGGAAGATACCTAAAGAGAATAGTCAGCGAGCAAAGATGGCGGCGTAGACGCTCGACGCCACGCACAGCGGGAAGTAGAACGCTCTCAGCGCCAGAATCGCAGGCCGGATGAGCTCATAGACGAAGCTCTGCATCGCCTGCTCGTGCCCTGCTAACGCCTGGCATCCAAACCAGAAGAACACTTGGAGATGGTCATTCTTGTTGGGCCAACGAACGAGCTGCGAATTAAGGCGGTGCGGGATGTGGTGGAGGAACTCTTGACTGAGAATGACGGAGACGATACGCTGAGCAAAGTGTAAGCCTCGATACATTCCGCGACAAGAGATCCACGACGTACCCAGAGCTGAGGAGGAGCTATATCCTCCCAGAAGCTGGTGATGGCGAGAACAGTCATGGCGTGAAGCGCATCCATGCCAAGCGCCATCCTACCCGGGCGATGGGCCCCCGGTGTGCTGGCGAACTCCTGCGCGAGTTCGGGGCAGCCGTCGGGAAGCGTCGTCGTATATAGTGCAGACAACGCAGCTCGCGTTGCTACATGTTTGACAGAATTGAGTATATAGACCGAGTGAACAGACAACGACGTGACGTACCGTCAGGTTGAGGTACATGTTCTGACCCTGCGCCGAAATTAAAACCACCGCGCAGGCTAACGCTGGTGGTCGCTTCCCTGGGGCTTGGGTCAGCTCGAATAGACGAGAGTACTATGTCGCCGGGGCGTACCAAACTTTGACCGCTTCGCAGGCGGCGACCATCGGGAGGTGGTAGATGTCCTTGACCAACGTCTGCGAGCGCCCCAACCCGAACATATTGCAGTGCACGCCGATGTACGCCTCGAACATCCGGGTGATTTCCTGGGCGAGCTGATGACTCCCGCGAGGCACGCGGCCGTTATATGCGCCCTGCTTCACCATGATGGCCTGATGTACGACAGTATCCATGAGCGCGCGCTTGACATGTACAAAGCTCGAAAACGCACCGTCACGAACTCGACGGTCGCGTCCGGGACGGTCTCTTAGAGTTGCGTCTGACGCCGTGCTCCAGCGACCGCGTGCTCACAGCTTCTGTCGCGCCATGGAGGTCGAAGTCGGCCGTGACGAGGTTGGCGAGAAGAGCGGTCGTCTGCGGGCTCGGCTTCTAGATGACTGCAGGAATGGCGAAAGACTCGTGAAGAAGATTGCAAAAAAGACGAGGAAGATTGAGGGTAAGTCTTCACTGGGGTGAACGCGTAAGAGCCAGATGGGAGTGAAAAGCACAGGAGCGTGTTCTGCGAGCGCGTCGCCGGCGGCGGTGGCTTCCGGACATCATCGTCGAATGACGTTCTCACCGGCGGTACCCGTCGGCAATACAGCGACGGCGAGATCGCGCACAACGCATGGGGGTCGACTTTCAACGGTAATTCCGTGCGCCTCTTGAGGGCTCCGACGTGTCGGAATATGACGGGCAAATGAAGGTCTATATTGTGTATGGCTAGCGCAGGCTGTAAGACGAGTAACTGAAGGGGCAGGTGAGCATATGATAGGCTTGACAGTTTGAACGCAGTGCGTACCTACGCGACTGTACATCGACCCATCATGGGCAAACCAACTGGTTGATGATCTAACGTTAGCGTTGATGGTAGTCGGACGCGGTATTGGGACGCACCTTTTAGAAGTCGCAGCCGCAAAGTCGGGCGGGTCTACGGAGTCCGCGGGTCATAGGACAATCGCGCGCTATTCCATGACCGAGATGCGGGCGACCCACACAATTGACAAAGGCTTATTGCAGCTCAGGGGACTGTCAGCCCGTCGCCAGCCTTGCAGTCAGTTGAAAAGGTTCTCGATTGACACGGAAGACTAGCAGTTTCGAGATCCACTGTTAGAGCGGGTGATGCTAGTCGACCTTGCGTGTTACCGTGTGCTCGTTGAGCGGACAAACTAGACGAGAGCCATGACAATCCTAAAGCAGGTAGTCCAGATGTCGATGCTGCATAAGTCAAGGTGAAGCAGCGCGGCGAGGTCAGGCGCCATGAGGGAGGGAACAGAGGAACGCCTGATCGAGTGATCGGCAAGCTCTGTCCTCTTCCCCATGTCGTCGCGCGCTATCACCTTCTCAACCACCAGCACCTCTTAATCCTCCGGCCTACAGTACGACCAGACCATGTCTTAAGTCTTTGCGCCTCAAGATTCTGATTCTCAGTCGGCTATCGCGAGGTTGAAGACCCCGAGGCTGTCATTCCAATCTGAAGCCCGGTTTCCATACATATCGCTTCAAGCCCGGGCTGTGGGCCTCTCTGTCCTTACAGAAAGCAACGCGCGGTACCATAAAAGCCTGGCTTTCTCTTCCTGCGCTCTAGGTATGTGCTCAACATCTTCCTTCGATCGACACGCTAACCGTCGACAGTAGACATCGTTGTCGGTCTTCCTGCGCCGCGAACCCCTCGTAGAGAGATCCACTCCTCTCTATACTACCTAGTGCGCATCAATGCTCAGATCTCTGCCCCTCGTGCTGCGTCTACGTCAATCAATCCCTCTCTGCCCGTTCTCAAGACGACGAACCCAAAGGCATCGGCCAACTCCGACTGTCAGGCATCTCGAACACTTGCCGTGTAATCGTGACCAGCAAGAGCCCTCCATCGCGTCAGAACATGGCTTGCCGACGCGTCATTGCAGAGCACTTGTCCGTTGTAGTAGGGTTTTGGCTACCTGCAAGCTGCCCGCAGTGCAGACCCTCAAGTTCAGCTTCAGGTCCAAGGCCTTCGCCACGTACTCCGCGCTGTCGCTACACACACTTGTCCTTGCGTGCTGAAGGTATGTCGTCGCGCGCGATGAACATATCTACACTAAATGCGTGGCATAGCACGCCGAGATCGAGTCGGTTAGGTCCGCGTCCCGCGCTTGTCAAGCTCGCCAATTCCACCGGCCTCGCACAGTTCAAGTCTCCACGCACCTCTCCCTGGTCGATCGTATCTCTCAAAGGCGCCGACATTTTCAAGATCCTGCACCTCTACGGTCTCGAGCAAGAAACCCTCGTCGGGCCATGCTCCGCCTTCCTCGTTTCCCATCGAACGTGGTATCCATAGAGTCACGGTCAAGAGCATGCTAAGATACACATTCATCGCGAGAGCGTCCCAAGCGACGATGCTGAGTGTCACGACGCGGGGGTGCTCAATGCTTCGCGATGCGTTCGTTGCGATAGCTACGCATCAAGGCTAATCCCAGATTGTTATTCCCTCTCGACGTTCACGCCCAACGACAAGAATATGAAGAGAATCATGTATATTCTCCGACCAGTAAATAGATCAATAATACACAAAGATGGAGACGCGCTATACAATGCATGCGGCGACGGCATGAGAGTCACCACAGTGGGTAAGAGTAGTGAGATCTACAGGTACCACGCCATTAGCAATGAGTGCTGGGCATCATGAGTGCCACATACCGAAGGAACCGCGCTAAGCGGGGTCGGTGGTTGTAGGCGACGTCGAGGAGAGGAGGGCGAGTCTTGAAGCTCCGGCGAGAGGCGGCGGGAAGGTTGTTGTCAGCGAGTGCACAAAGGCGAGTAGCGTACAACGTACCAATCAATGAAGACGATGAGCAGAGACGACGGCAGCATCGTCGCGCTCAGGTCTCCCGCGAACAAATCGTAGCAGGGCTGCCATTCCGGCGCGCCACTCAGCCACTAGTCCTCGCGCCCGCCCATATCTTGAAGGCATGGCGCGCGTCGGGGGCCGGCGGCAGGCGAGTGCGGGCTCGACGACACTGACATGGGGAGGGAGGTGAAGTCCCATCCATCCACCAGCACCGACGAGCTACCACCCCACCTTGCCGCGGACGTACCCAGCACCGTCGCGGTCGTCGGGCTGTTGCAGGCGACGACGTTGACGGGGACCTTGATCGCTTTGATTCCACGAAGAAGGGGAAGGCAAGAAAGGGCAGCCGGTATACATATATACTTCCCAAACCGTGACCGTGATGTTACGTGCCATCAACAAACGCGACACGCGACGCACGCGTCTGTGACTGTTGAAGTCACGTCACGCGGCGAGAAGTATATATACCGGCCGCCCTCTCTTGCCTTCTTCTTCTTCGTGGAATCAAAGCGATCAAGGTCTCCGTCAACGTCGTCGCCTGCAACAGCCCGACGACCGCGACGGTGTTGGGTACGTCCGCGGCAAGGTGGGGTGGTAGCTCGTCGGTGCTGGTGGATGGATGGGACTTCACCTCCCTCCCCATGTCAGTGTCGTCGAGCCCACACTCGCCTGCCGCCGGCCCCCGACGCGCGCCATGCCTTCAAGACCTGGGCGGGCGCGAGGACTAGTAGCTGAGTGGCTCGTCGGAATGGCAGCCCTGCTACGATTTGTTCGCGGGAGACCTGAGCGCGACGGTGCTGCCGTCGTCGTCTGCTCGTCGTCTGCATCAATTGGTACGTTCTGCGCATCTCGCCTTTGAACATTTGCTGACAACGACGTCCTCGCCGCCCGTCACTGGAGCCTCAAGACCTGCTTCCTCTCCTCGACATCGCCCTCGACCACCGTCCCCGCCTAGCACGGTTGTCTCGGTATGTCTTACTTCTACCTCTCTTCCCCGCTTATATCTGACTGCTCGATCTGTAGACGCTAATCGAAGTCTCCCAACTCATCTCACCCTCAGTCTCAACATCGCCAGCCACCATCGCCACCGCCAAATGCAGTCCCTTCAATACGCCGTTCCCTACGTCGTGACCATCATACGCTGACTGTTGAAGGGACACAGGACACTGACCTGACCATTTGTATCCTGCTTCGGCCTTTATTGCTCATTATTTGTGTACATACCGCCTCGACTTATGACCGTCTCTTCCACCTATATTACACTACGCTTTGCGGCCGTGCACATCTTTATACACCTTGTTTGACACAGACTCGCGGTTTGAGAGCCTTTGATACTCTGTCAGCGTCGCCTTGTGAGACGCTGAGCGGGTTGGAGAAGATGACGCGCTACCCATTATCCAAGTCAGTCTGCCCAGGACTCAGTACTCACCAGATGGGATGTGTAATAGACAGAAGCACCTCCTCCTACTCAGTGAACGTTTCCGCCGCCACCGTTGCAACCGTTCTCCGACCTTTACGATACGTCTCGCGTGGTTTGGCCACGGGTTATCTTTCTCTCGAAAAAATAGTGAACGCGCGAAGTGACGAATCGCGAGGGAGAGGCGTCCAAGCAGAGCCCATAGATCGCTGTATTCGATCCTACGACTTTCCCGACCACGTCGTACCCTATAACGCGCACAATCACATAGACTGATCAAGTTCGAATTATCTAACGCACGTTGCATACACGTGATCTCGGCACCGATGCTGTCCGTCACGCGACATGGCCTCTGCATGTTCCCCGAGTAGTAGGGGAGTGCCATTGCGCTGATGCGTGTGCATTCCGAGGGAACCTCCCGCAATTTTTCCCAGTGACCGCTCTCTGCGGCGGTCTCAAAATGGGTGTCGCAGTATCCTGGTTCTGGGCCTCGCTCAAGGTGGACATTGCCGGTTCGGTCGGTGTTGAAGTCGAAGGGCGGCTTGTGCCTTATGCAATTGTTGGATCGGAGTGCAATGTATCCGTACACCATCTCTTTGACTTACAGATCCTCGTTCTTCCTTCCCCGATCCCTCGTTCTCAGTCTCGGAGCTCCATCCCTCATCCTCCTCCACCGGGTCGGCTCGCCTTCCCACCGCGGTGAGTGTGATATGGCACGCGGGAATCGTGTCTTCGCCGAGGTTCTGCTTTCTCTGAGGAGGAGAGCCAGCGCGTCGGTGCTCTCAAAGACGCCCATTACATACAAGTGTTCTCGCGCGTGCCACCCAGCGCATTCCCTCTCGTACGCTCCTCCGCTTGCAATTTAAGTCCATCCGCGTTACCAAAGAAATCCCCAAATACCCATTATAGACCGACTAACACTATACTAAACTCGCCACAATCACACAAGACAAGACTCGGAAACATACATCCACAGAGGACAACGACCCAAGAACAACGCGCCTAGTTGCAGAGGAAGTCCATCCTCGCCCCAGGACGGACACTGCTGACTCCGTTGTCCAAGAAGCGGTGCACCTCCGCCTTCTCCTGCACCACCTCGACCACCCAACGCTGCACCGCGCGAGCTGGAAGGTCATCATCAGCGCCGGTCGCAGCCTCCCAAACGAAGCGCACTCACAATCCATCCGCACCCACTGACCGTCGACACCATTGAGCTGCGGGAGCGCGACGTTCAGGTTGTTCAGGAACCTCTCGGAGACGAGGCCGTTGAAGAGGATGGAGCACGTCCAACCCCCGTCGTGCAACCGTAGCGCGTAGTCCCACAGGTATGCGCAATCGTCCCGACTAAAGAGCGCCTAGGAAGACCGGTCGGTCAACTTCGCATTGAACGAGCAGAGGAAAACGACATACCATAGGATCCGACCCAAGATACCCATTCCCACGGAACTGAACCGCGCACCCAGCGACGACCGGGCACTCAGCCGCCGGAATATAGCCCGCGTTGCGGCCAGCGCGCGAATGCACCTTGAGCTTCTCGCCCGAGAACATTGGCATAGGGATCCTGATGCCCACCTTCGGAAGGAGGGGGCCAGGCGGGGGGAGCAGCAGGTCGCGGTAGGCGGAGAGCCCGCGCTGCGCGAGGGTGGTCCGATCGATGCTGCGATGGACAAAGTTCAGGAGCCTGGCCGAGCACTGCCCCCGTCGTATCCTAACATGCGATTAGAGACCTGCGGGCACGAAGCTGACGACGGACACACTCTTTGTCGAGATGGATGAATACACCTTCCGACAAGTAGAGATCGGTCGCCTCCTGGCCCTCGAAAAGGATGAAGAGCGAGTCGCGGCGGATGCGCAAGATGATGGAACCCTGGTAGCAGTTCATTAGCCTTACGCATAACGACGGCGGCACTGAGATGCACAACTCACGTCGAGCTGATTACCTGCCGAAGCCCCGAGCCGAAAAACGGTAGCGTGCACATGGAGTGGCAGCGTGAGCAGGACGAGCCGCTGGACATCGGTCTGCTGCATGCAAGTGTCCCCCTGAAGCCCCGTCACGGTCTAAGTGAGGATCAGCAGTGGCCCAACACCGAAAAAAGATGCACAACATACTGCAACGACGAGACAGTCGTCGGGCGAGTTCTGTAGCTCATGTTCACTCACAGCGTCTTCGAGCAACTTCGACGTATTATCTGTGTGTTGTCGCTCAGTAGTTGAATCAACAGCCACTTGTATGCGTACCTATCTGTCCCATCAAGTCGTGATACACGACATGCCGAGAATTTGTCTGCAAGAGTCGCTGAGCATCCTCTACGAAGATCTCCACGCGCGAGTCGGAGTTGAGCTCCACATAAAGGCCAAGCGCGAGGTTCTCGACATAGCGAAGCAGCATGTGTTGCATGGCTAAATACTCATGAGCATCCAGACCAGAGAAGATTCACAAGTACGAACGTAGGTTGACGACAAGACGGTTAGACCAGTCGACGGGGATGCGGGCATTCGGAAGATACCTGTGAAAAGTGGTCAATTGAAGGGCATGGTAGGTAATCGAGGAGACGTACAGCGGAAAGTAGAACCCCCGCAGTGCCATGACCGCAGGCCGAATGACCTCGTGGACGAAGCCGTGCATCGCTTGTTCGCGGCCCGCCAGCGCTTGACATCCAAACCAGAAAAGGACTTGCAGATGGTCATCCTTCTTTGGCCAGCGACTCTGTCTGGGGTCGAGGCGATGCGGGATATGGTGCAAGAATTCCTGACTGAGGACGATGGTGATGACGCGCTGGAACGCCTGAGTCAGCTGCACGGCGCACTGCGCTCGTTATGCTTGACATACCTCAAGCATAGCGGGAGATATGTCCTCCCAAAATTGAGCGATCTGAAGAACGACCATGGCGTGGACTGCGTCCTGACCGAGAGCCATTCTGCTCGAACGATGGGCCTCAGATGTAGCGGTGAACTCGAGCGTGAATTCGGGACTATTGGGGGGAAGATCCGTCGCATACAAGGCGGTCAGCGCAGCCTTCATAGCCGATGCAGCTATCCATGAATCAGCTCGACAGTTGACGGACGCTGGGAATGAACCAACGTACCGTCAGGAGGAGATTGATGCCCATCTCCATCACCGTTGGAGAAACCACCGCGTAGGCAGATTCCCGTCGTAGCCTCCCTAGACTCGGAGAGTACGATCAGTACAAGGCAGATCGTCAAACCTCGTTGTAATATTCGTACCAAGCTTTGACGCCTTTGCAAGCGGCGACTGCCGGCTGAAGATAGATGTTCTTGACCAAGGCCTGTGAGCGCGCGAGCCCGAACGCATCGCAGTGCACTCCGATGTACGCGTCGAACATCTTGACGACCTCCTGGGCGTGGGGATGGTTTCCGCGCGGGACGCGGGCGGTGTACGCGGCCTGCTTGACCATGATGGTTTGGTGTACGGCGCGGTCCGTGAGTGCGCGCTTAATGGTCTAGGCGTTGATGAGTGTAAAGGTAGCGTGGCGAGATTTGGATACGTACCGTCATGAACTCAAACGATGCGTCCGGGATGGTTTCACAGAGGTGCGTCTGGACACCGAGCAGCAGCAGCCGCTGCCCGACGGTGCTCATGACGCTATGCCGGGCGAGGTTGGTCGTGACGAGGTTGAAGAGAATCTTTTCCTCGGAGATCGAGGTGAGATCGTTGAAAGGGGGGACGTTCCACGATGGAGAGAGTATCGCATGGAGGGTTGCGGTGAGAGCGGTCGTCTGCGGACCCGGATGTGAAAGGATTCCTGGCATTATGGAGAGATTGACAATGTTACGCGAAGGGAGAAAGGCGTGAGGGCGAAGGTTTCACTCAAGGCGAGTTTCGTAGGTAGCCAGGAAGAGGGAAAGATGCAAGAGACGGAATGCGTCTGCCGCCAGTTTTCTGCCCGGATGTCGAGGGATGTCGAATAGCATTTCCGTCGACAGAACGTGGGCAGCGTATGTCGACACGGCGCACCATGATGAATAGGTGCATAGGGGTCGAAGCGCAAGACCGACAGGCCCATCGAACCGACAGCCCACGGCTTGGGAATGATTCGTTGAAGACACGGCGGGCTAAGCTTGACCTTACTCATTGATCAGATGCATGGCTCGATGTGCACGAACGTCGGCAGTGGATGGTATAGCAACTATTGTATCATACAACATGCGAGCTAGGACCTAGGAAAGATAAGCAGGCATGCCTCTGTATTCATGTGTGCACGTACCGAGCCTCCCTCCCCCACCGAACCGGCAATGCAAGTGCATTCACTACAGTCGCCTTCTGTCCGAATTCAACTATGATCCATCCATCGCACCCTACAGCAAGTTCTATTTGGGTTGCTCCCCTTGGCCATGATACGAAGATGACGTGCGTTGGATGGGATGGGATATAGGCTAGGCTCTTGGCTCTTGACGATGATGGGGCACGTCGAGTTCGGGGTTCCAATTCGGTCAGTTCGCAAGGCTCACTGGCGCGCGTTGCAGGGGCAGTTCAAGTTATGCATTGCACATGACAAGCTCGGTGTGTTTAGGGGAGACGATTGGATTCGCCGCCGACGAGGCTGAAGAGCATGAGGGATGTAAGCAAGGGCAGCCGATCATTGGATCAGCACTTTCTCTCGTCGACGTCGTCGTCCATCTCCTTCGTTTCGAAGACTTGTATATCGAGAGCGCATGGTCCCCTTACCCCGTCCTCGAAACACCAGTGCCCGCGCTTCATGCACGTCGCTATCTCGGACGACATGCAAACCAATCACCCTTGTCATCATCCCCGAAAAGAACCCTCGCCGCGACCTTTCAGCCTGTGGACCAGCATCCCCCTCGGCTATACCATCCGGGTCCCTCTCACTGGCCATGACTACGACCTCAATGGCACTAGCATCAAGTAGTGAACCGAGAGCGGAGAATGTGCATGTTTCGCGTGCTCTAAGCGCGCCTGATATCATCCACAACGGCCGGAAGTTGTAGAGGTACGTGGCGTACTTCGTCGCTTTGAAGCGCATTGAGTGATCAGGCACCTAGATCATCATCGCAAGTTGAGCAGCACACCGACGTCGAGCTTGCTGCCAGCTTTCCTCGCGTACATGACCGCAAACCTATACGCGGACCATGAATCGACCCAACCCAACCCAACCCAACCCCCACTCGTGCTCTTCCATGTCGTCAAGTACTTCACCTTCGCGTTATTTTCCTAGAAGAAGGGTGTTCCCTCCCTCACCGCTTTCATGGCCACCTCATGACCGTCCTCAATCAAGGCGTACGGTGCTTGGACAAATGCGCTGCTTTCAAGGCGCGCGCGGCACCCGACATCGATATCCCGAAGTGATCACTATCTACGCTCTCCACTGAGAACCGGTTTCACGGTGGCTGCATATCTTCCCAGGTGCGTGACTGGGCTCGCCAGGAAGAGAGGGGATTACTGACAGTCAACTCCAGTCGCACGCTGTCACTGTGGGGCAGCGCCTCCGTCTACGCAACCTTCGGCGGCCAGGGCATCAACGAGGGGTCTATACCTCGACGAGCTACAAGTGCACCAAGGCTCCCTGCGACGTTATTTCTGTAACCGAGGTCCTCGTCCCCCTCGCGCGCAAGGAGGTCGCCTCGACTTTGTACACTTCCGGCCAAGACGTAAACATCTAGCGCCTGCACTACTTCTCAATCCCGGCGCCCAGAACTTCGCTTCGATCACTCTCTGCCTCTCGCTCGTCGGCCTCACGCAGCTGGTGCAAGATCCGGATGTGTGCCGCGCTGCCACGCTCGCGCCGGACGAGCTGCGCGCGCGCATTGTGGGTGCGACCGGCCGCTCTCAGAGCATCGTCCTCGCGGTCGACACCGTCTCTTCGGACAGCTACAAGCTGTACGCGGTCAACGCGCCTGGCAATGTGCGCTGCTGCATGCGCAGCTGCCGCCGGGAGCCCATGCATCGTCGCGGATTTGGTCAAAGGCGTGCCGGGGTGACCAACCTCCTCCTCGAGGAGCGACGCGCACCTGGCGAAGACGCACATGTACCTACCGACGACCTTGAAGTTGCACATCCGCCTCTACGACGGCCCGCAGACGTTCGTCATCAGACCCGCGCGGTCGCTATACTGTCTCGTCCGGAACCTGCGCAGGGAAGGCGTCGAGCGCGGTCGACTAGAGCAAGATGCTGCTTTCGCAGCGCAAGCTCAACCATCCCGCTCTTCCATGGTCGTCAATTTATCTCGTCAAAATGAGGTTAGGGTCGCTCTTCTACTCACAAATTTAATTGGTTGACGGATAAAGCAGCGATGGCACTTTTTTGACTTGTCCCGCAATTCTCGCGTCTACTGCGCAAGCCGGCCATCGCCATCACTGGACTGATTCCGCCGACCGTCCAAATAGTCACCGCCAGCGCTGCCCGCTACGCCGGCTTCCATGTCGAGCTCGCTGGTGGCGGTTACTTCACCCTCGGCATGCTTCGCACCAAGGTTGCGGATCTTCGGGAGCGCGTCACCGTCAGCGCACTCTACATCCTTCCCGCGCGGCTCATCTTCCAGCTCTCGCTCTGGTCGGAGGTGCGACGTGAGGGTCCGCCGATCGAGGGCTTTCATGCTGCTGCCGATGTTTCGAGCGTCGAGAAGGCCGCGAAGATCCTCAGCTTGCCGCAGGTCTTCAGCATTGAGCACGTCTCGTTCGAGGCCGGCTTCATTCAACACACCCGCCAAGTCATCACTATCACCGCCGCGGACTCTTGACTTGCGTGTGAGCATGGGAAAGGCGGTAGCGCAGGCGGTCCTAACTTATACGAGACCTTCCACCCATCGGTCGGGCAACAGCGCCTGGATTCCTGGCAACTTTCCGCTTCATCCGCCCTCGCGGCAGCCTCGTCGACGGCTTTGACTTCGGTAGCGAGTTCGCCTAGCCTTACCTCCCTGGTAATTGCAGCAAGGATCTGCTCGGTCCTCAGCTTGTGCCCTTCGACGATTCCCTGCAAAGAGGTGCACATGGCAAGATCCCTATTGTTCCCGCCGCCGGCGTCGACGCCAAGATGGGAGGGCACGTACGTCAAGCCCGCTAGCGGCCTCTTCACCATCCACTGAGAGCTCGGCCAGCCTTACATCAGTCGCCACCTACGCCGTCCAGTGGTAGGAGCGGTTCGACGATGTAGTCTTCAGGCCGTGGCACGAGAATTGGCTGAACGAGCTCAAGGAGGAGATTGTTAACGAGCTCAACATGTACTTCAACCAGTCCTGCTATACCTGAAGAGAGATAAAAGCTTCACGGCGGATTTTCTCGTTATGCCTTTCGAGGAGGTCGCTCGGCACATGCTGCTTCTCACACGTGGCCTATCCATCGTGCTCGGTCGACAGTTCCTTGCGTAGCCTGACTGAGCGTCAAGGACACCAGCAGCACGCCATCGCCGCTCCGTACCTACAACCGCTTTAACGACCTGATGCCTTTCGTCGAGGGATTCCTCGCTGCCTGCCCTTGCGCGAAAGAGTAGCTCCTCTTTGGCGAGTACACGGCCACCTTGCTCGTCATCTGCCGCCGTCTGACGCGCAAGACCATTCCGGCCCTGGATGACAGCTCGAGCTCTGTTTCGTCAAGGTGCGTTTGTGAGTTCACGTCGTTTTCTCATCGTTCATCAATCTACAGGACCTCTATAGACTGCTGAAGACGTCGATACCGTTTTCGCCCAGGACCCGTAGTGTGTCGGTATATCCAAGGCCCGGTTATTGTGGAGTAGTCGAAGATCACGGACGAGTCAATCAAGGAGCACACGGGCGGCATCGACTCGACGCTTTTCGCCCTCCTTGAGTACAGCTTCGGCAACGATGAAAGCGAGGCCCTCGACGTCGGTTATGTCGCCTCCGTTCGACGTCCATGCCGTTGCTGCACTCGCTAATGTGATTTGCAAGGTCGTCTTCCGAACTGACACCTCTGTGCGCCCAACTGGCGCGCATCTCTCGCTGGCCTCGAGCTGATGGGCCCCCTACCCTCGTCGCACTCGAAGGCCAGTGTCGAGCGTGGCTCTTTCGATATCCTCCACCTCCTTATTTCTCATTTGTACCTGGAGGCCATCATCTATCACACCGGCGGCCTCGCAATCCGCTTCTATGCGCATGGCGCATTCGAAACCTGCTTCTTGACGCTCAGCATCGCGTACTACGCCGCCTCCAGGAAGATTGGCCTTGCGCTCTCTGAGGAGCGTTGCGGGTCTCACGCTCAAGCAGCCTCGCGCCGATTCACAGTGGCGCGCAGGGCTGCAACGACGACACAAGGCGTCAAACTGACGAGGCTTTGCCGAACATCGACGTGCACGACGTTCCCAAGGGTTCCGAGGTCATTGTCAAGGCAGAGGACGTTGAGCGGCCCTACTCTGTCATCGGTTCGGCTCTCGTAGCGTTCGCGGGGAAACCCTAACTGCCCAATGCATCCACCATCGTCACCGGATGGCGGCTGAGCCCTTTCCGTCAGCTGTCGATGGCTGCCTCGGCGGTGCTGGGCGCTGCAGTGCAGGAGATTGATCTCTTCGCGACATGGGCGCTTGTCAGCGCGTAAAAGGTGCGTCCAAGTGTCTTCCTCCTTTCGTCGTAAGAAGCTCATTGCTATCCCAGAACGTCGCCCGGGCTCCACGTACTGCAACTCCGCGACCACTCCCCGCAGTCACGGGCGTGCATGTCGCTGGCCTTGGATGTCTACGCCTCCGCCGCTCGCTTATCGCCTTCTCGAGGCAAGGCGTACGACAACATCGCCCGCGCAGCAGCAAAGAGTGCGGCGAAGGCAGTGAACGCATATACCGCTAGCGATACCTCGAGTGACGCGCCTGCCCTCCCTCGCGCACCCGATACTGCCTTCCTCGTTTCAGCCGTGCGCGGCGGCTCCCGCGTATCACCCGCCGGGCGCGCCCCTCTCGTCACAGCCACCTCAAAGCTCATCCCGCATCTCTCCATACAACCATGCTCGTCATTGCCACTCGCTGCCTCACTCCGGCGCTCCTCTTCTCCTCGCCGTATGAGCAGACAGGTCGCCTCTCCGTCCGCGTCGGTAATGACCGCGCCGCCGGAGTTTATGAACTTCAACGCCTGCATTCGCTCAAGTCAACGGCCACAAGAACACACTCGAAATTACCGCCGAGCTGGACTACGTGAGCCTCGAACACAACAGGCAACAGTTGCACAAGCAGTAGGAGGAGGCGCGCGGGCAGGATGTGTGGTTCCCCGCGCATGAGATCTTCCCTTTGGATGAAAGTGAGGAGAAGACGGGTCGGTGTCGATCAAGAGCGCAAAGTCGGGCGAGTACCTCGGTGCGTTGGAGGGGTAGACCGTAAGTCGCCCGGTTTTGCTGACCTTGTCGATGACGCTGACACTCAACGCAGGCCGGGAAATGTGCAGCGCGCGGGGGACCAGATCTTCAGAATTGGCGTCGTCTGGCTGCGCGTGTTGCGGCTGGAGCCTTGCAACAGTGGTCTACTCTTCGAAGGCTCAGAAGCGGCCCTCCGCCGCTGTAGTCACGCGTCAGCAAGTGCCGCGCAGGCCATCACAAGATAGAGCGCGCCCGCGACGGGGATAAGCTGGTCGCGGTTATGCTCAGGCAAGCCACCGCGCAAAGGACCAGTCCGCGACAATGGAAAGGACAAGCCCGTGGACGAGTCCGACGATAATCTGTTACCAAGTTCGACTCATCAGGTCAATGGCTACAGTGTGATGGGGGTGTCGCAAAGTGGTATCATTCGAGGAAAAGGTATCCGGCGCTGATAGTTACAACAAGCCTTGTACAGTACACGATTCGGCGGCCTGCGCCGCGCATTATATAAACGGTATTGTGATCAAAATCCTTCGGTCCAGATAGAAACACAAGAGTAGAGCGGAGAATTGGGCCCGCCTGTGCTCATCTACGCTCTGGGGCGCTTGACTCCCCGTCGCGGGGCGTTGGAGTTGGGCGAGAAGATGACCTTTCCCGCCTTCTGCCTGGTGATGCGAATGACGTGAAGTTGCAACTCCCCCGCTGCAACTTCGTGAGTATCACGCCCAAGCTTCGCGTCAGGATGCGCCACGACAGTCACGTACCGGGGATGAACGACCAAATGCCTTCCACATTCTGCAGCCTCGGACGAGTGGCGTTCAGGTTGTCGACGAACGACTGGGGGAGTGTCCGGTTGCAGATGATGAGGACGCGCGACTCGCCGTCCATCATTGCGTCGTACTTCAGCACGTCCCACTTGTCGCTTCCTTTGAAGACGAACTGTAGACACGAACAATCGATCAGCGACGCGTTTGTGCAGCGCAAAGAACTCGATGTACCTCTATTCTCCGAGAGATCGTCTTGCGTCTGTCATTCGCACAGAACTGCACGCCGCAGCAGGGCACGATCGGGATCCTGCTGTCTGCCGCGTAACCGTGGTCCGTATTTGGCTGCGTCAAGATAGGGATCGGGTGACCGAAGACCAGTGTAGAGTATGGGTAGCCAGAGCGCGGCAGAAGTGGGTCATGATCCAAGACGAGGTAGCATTTATAGCCCAAGATACCGCGGGCTCGAAGGGTATCGTCGCTGACAGACCTAGTGACCAGGCTACGCATTCGTGCCGAGTATCCCTTCATAGCGTCGAAGATTACAGGTCTCCTGCATGACGGTCAGTTGCGGGTTCCAGACGGGTATACGAAGGGCTCACTCTTTACGGAGCATGATATCCAAGTCATCCAATCTAAAAGGACCCGCCGAATCTCTCTCCCGGAAGTAGTCAAACTCAGTACTGTCATGAATCTGGAAGATAGCGCCGCCCTATATCGAATCAAAGCATGAGCGAAGCGAAACCGCGATCGTGTAGCCAATGCGACTTACATTGGGCTTGCCGTCTGGACCTGCCGACAAGCGCAGAAACCTCGAGCCTGTGGGGAACTTTGCAGCACAGCGCTCCGCCAATCGTGTCAGGAGGACAGGGTCTGTCGTGTTATAGCCGTGCTACAAGATAGTTCGAGTCGTTGGGCACTGAAGACTCGACATGGCGAACGCACCGCAATCACATGAACGTAGCTTGGTCGTGGACGAGGCGCCGCTTCGCGAGCAAGCTGAACTTCCTTCAACAAGTCATCTGAAGCGGGTAAGCCGGGCGCACCTAAATCGAAAGCGGAACCGTACCAGGCTTTTCGGCGTCGTCATATGTGACCGTTCCGTCCATTTCGTAGGCGGTTACGAGATCTTGCAGGTTGTCCACTATGGCCACGTCAGGAACCAGGGGCTGGTAGAGGCGCAGAACCTTGGACTCGATCCAGTAGAGCTCGATCTGCTGGTAAGCTGGGCATTTGTCGGAAGTCCGTCACGGATGAGGCGAGGCGATATCTCAAACGTACCCGCGGTCATGACGATCTTCGGTGCATTGTCTCGAGGGATCGCAGCATTCGCAAGATAACTGAGATTGGTAAGGACGATGTCAGTTAAGCGCTTGACGGAAGTTACAGGAATACGAACAATGGGAAACAGGCGGCCCGCGCGGCCTCGAACATAGGCAGAAACATGACACGAGCGAGTTCTCGGATAGGGCCGCCATCAAATGCAGACCCATCCACGTAGCGGCTTGCCCATTGATATACAAGCAAGTGATCATCGGCATGCAGACGGGGGACGTGATGCAGGAGATGGGGGATGTGGTGCAGTACATTCTGGTTGAGAATATCTTTACTCAGAATCTGATAGCCATTGGGGTGAGTGAAGACAAGATTGACGCCAAAGCAAGACGACACACCTCTACCATCTTCGAGGGAGCATCTGGCCATGCCTCGAGGAGAACTTGCGTGACGAACATGCCAAGATAGTGCATGCCTTGATACACTCGTAGTGCGTACAGATCGATCGGCGGAGCGACTGCGTCGGGGCGCAAGTCGAAGCTCGCTTCTTGCGACGGAGATAGCCTCAACGCATAGAGAGCTCGTATAGCGGCCACGGTTCCAGCGGTAGCTGGACATGTGTAAGCGACCACGCACGGAGAGCGTAAGGGAAAGGCGGTTACGAGTCTTCGAAGGATTGCGGCCAATGTTGAAGGTGCTTGGGAGCGTTCCGGGGCCGAACTCGCTGGAAGGGGTCAGGTCAACCGGACGAGACTGCGCCAAGTAAGAAGGGCGCACAGTGCGAGGATGGCCAGCCCTGCAGCCTCCAGGCTGTCCTTGTATACGCGGGCAATCATCTCTATCGTCTCCATCGTCCCATAGTGGCGCCAGTAAGCGCACACGAAGGTGCTGAAAGTATTCGCCACGGTCTTGTTCTCTTTGGGCAGTGCTCCACGAAAGATGCCCTGCTTGACGATGACTAGTTGGCGGACGAGCCGACTACTGAGCGCGTTCACGACGGTCTGAAGTGCGGCGATGAGAATACCGCACGAGCGAGAGGAGAGCACAACGCACCGCATACCACGACAACGACTCGTTGGGATACTTGATACCCACAAAAGTGCTCAATGCAGCGCGCAGCACGATAAGACCCAAGCAGTCAGAGGCGTTCTGGATGTCGGTGACAATGGCCTTGACCAGGGCCTCTTCGGGTATGCGCAGTATCTCGGCGCCCAGTTGGGGACAATTCGCGTTGATGTGCGAGAGGAGGAGGTCGATAACAGCGCTCTCCGCCTTGGGGAGGGAGGATTGACAAGGCATGTTGGCGCGGTAGGGTGATAGTAGTTGAAAGGCGTGAGGTGACGCGGAGGAGGAGGAGGAGAAGCTGCGGGCATCGAGAGCCACAGAACGCGGACAGCCCATGCCACTTAACCTCCGCCGGCTTGACAGCTGTCGTTCGACCTTCGACGCGGGTTGCTGGTGAGCTCCGCGCTCGGACCTCAGCCCAGTGTGCGAGTGTATAATTCCTCAATCCTTCTGAGGGTCATTTCGAGCATAGAACGAACTGCAAGACCTGTATGCAATGAAGGGCACATGTCGGTCGATGGATGTGTCGAAAGCTGCCCTCGGTGTTAGCCGGCGACCATCCGGCGCACGTGGAATGGTAGCCTAATCGGGAGATTTTGATCAGCGCCCACAGTGGCCACCACACTGATCTGTATGTGCCAACATCTTTCTCTCAGACTATGGATGACCCTGTACGAGGGCAGCGAAGCCTGAATATTGACTCTGTGCAGAAGAATGTGCCTCCTCGCAAGGCCGTCCCCCCGACCCAGGCCGCTCCCTCAGTACTTCAAGTCGCAAGACGGCACGCCCACTACTTCGCTTCCGTTCTATTCTGAACTTCCTCAGCAGCGTGCTATTCTACGAGGCGCAAGACTGGCCCTCTCTTACTTACTTACTTCGATTACATCAAGGTCTCCCTTTACCCGCAACGTCGTCCTTAAGCATCATTCAAATGTGAAGTCGTGTGCGATGCGAACGCACGGGACGTTGAGAACCATGCACGTAAAATATCATTCACGCTGACCTTCGGCGATAGAGAAGGGTACGAGGATATTATACGCGGTAACTACGACATATTCAGTACGTGGCGAGAAGTCTGTATACAGCGGCGCCGCGTGAACGCAGCAGCGAAAAGGTCTTCGTCTGTGCGCGAGATCAGTGACCGGCGAGCGAGGCGCGTAAAATGGCATACCGAAGAGATTGCGCTGGGCAGGAGCGATGATCGAAGACGACGCTGAGGCTGAGGACGAGACGAGCGTTGAGGCTTCGGTCAGCGGCGGAGATATCTACAGATCGCGCAGTCAGTCAAAGCGAGGGAGAGAGTCAGAAGTACGACATACCGAAGGAGCCACGCTAGGCGAGGACCGTGGTCGTGCCTCGAGGGCGACGTCGAGGCGAGGAGACAGGTCTTGAGGCTCCGAAAGAAGTCGGCGAGGAGGTCTTTGTCAGCGACTGAGCAAAGGCGAGTAGCGTAGAACGTACCAATCGATGCAGACGATGAGCAGAGACGACGGCAGCACCGTCGCGCTCAGGTCTCCCGCGAACAAATCGTAGCAGGGCTGCCATTCCGGCGCGCCACTCAGCCACTAGTCCTCGCGCCCGCCCAGGTCTTGAAGGCATGGCGCGCGTCGGGGGCCGGCGGCAGGCGAGTGTGGGCTCGAGGACACTGACATGGGGAGGGAGGTGAAGTCCCATCCATCCACCAGCACCGACGAGCTGCCACCCCACCTCGCCGCGGACGTACCCAACACCGTCGCGGTCGTCGAGCTGTTGCAGGCGACGACGTTGACGGGGACCTTGATCGTTTTGATTCCACGAAGAAGGGGAAGGCAAGAGAGGGCGGCCGGCATATATACTTCCCAAACCGTGACCGTGATGTTACGTGCCATCAACAAACGCGACACGCGACGCACGCGTCTGTGACTGTTGAAGTCACGTCACGCGGCGAGAAGGATATATACTGGCCGCCCTCTCTTGTCTTTCCCTTCTTCGTGGAATCAAAGCGATCAAGGTTCCCGTCAACGTCGTCGCCTGCAACAGCCCGACGACCGCGACGGTGTTGGGTACGTCCGCGGCAAGGTGGGGTGGCAGCTCGTCGGTGCTGGTGGATGGATGGGACTTCACCTCCCTCCCCATGTCAGTGTCGTCGAGCCCACACTCGCCTGCCGCCGGCCCCCGACGCGCGCCATGCCTTCAAGATCTGGGCGGGCGCGAGGACTAGTGGCTGAGTGGCGCGTCGGAATGGCGGCCCTGCTACGATTTGTTCGCGGGAGACCTGAGCGCGACGGTGCTGCCGTCGTCTCTGCTCATCGTCTGCATCGATTGGTACGTTCTACGCTACTCGCCTTTGCTCATTCGCTGACAACAACCTTCCCGCCGCCTCTCGCCGGAGCTTCAAGACTCGCCCTCCTCTCCTCGACGTCGCCTACAACCACCGTCCTCGCCTAGCGTGGCTCCTTCGGTATGTGGCACTCATGAAGCTCAGCGCTCATTACTAACCGCGTAGGGCCTGTAGAACCCCTTACTTGCTATGGCGACTCTCTCGCCGTCACCGCTTGCGTTGTATTGCGTTTCCATTTTCATGTATTATTGGTCTATTTACTGGTCAGAGAATACACATGATTCTCTTCATATATTCTCGTCGTTGGAGCATTCGAGTGAGAACAACATCCGAAATTAGCGGTGGTGCGTAGCTGTCGTATTAGATGCATCGCGGAGCATTGAGCACCCTCGCGTCATGACGCTCAGCATCATCGATTGGGACGCTCTCGCGATGATTGTGTACCTTAGCATGCTCTTGACCGCGATTCTATGGATACGACGTCCGCCGGGTGAGGAAGGCGAAGCATGGTCCGATGAGGATTCCTTGCTAGAGACCGTAGAGGTGGAGGATCTTGAAGATGTCGGCGCCTTCGAGAGATACGATACACTTGGGGGTAGGTGCGCGGGGGCTTGAACTGTGCGAGGTCGGCGACATTGGCGGGCTTCAAAAGCGCGGGACACCGACCTACTAAGCGGCTCAATCTAGGCGTGCTATGCGATGCATTTAGCGTCGATATGGTTGTCGCGCGCGACGACGTACGGTCTGCACGCAAGGAAAAGTGTGTGTGTAGCGACAGCGCGGAGTATGTGGCGAAGGCCCTGGACTTGAAGCTGAACCTGAGGGTCTGCACCGCGCGCAGCTTGCAGGTAGCCAAGACCCCTACTACGATGGACAATTGCTCTGCGATGACGCGTCGGCAAGCCATGTTCTGACGCGATGGCGGGCTCTTGCTGGTCACGATCTCACAGTAGGTGTTCGAGATGCCTGACAGTCGGAGTCGGCCGATGACTTTGACTTCGTCGTCTGGAGAACGGGCGGAAAGCGATTGGTTGACGGGGGCGCAGCATAAGGGCAGAGATCTGAGCATTCATGCGCACTAGGCAGTGTAGAGGGAACTGAATTTCCCTACGGGGGAGTCGCAGCGCAGGAAGACCGACAACAGTGGGTACTGCCGACGGTTAGCATGATGGTCGCAGAACCACATTGAGCACAAACCTGGTCCGCAGGAAGAAGAAGCCGGGCTCTCATAATGGCGCGCGCTGCTTTCTGTAGGGGCAGAGAGGCCTACAGCCCGGTCTTGAGGCGATGTGTATGAAAACAAGGCTTCAGATTGGGATGACAGTCTCAGGGTCTTCAACCGCGCAATAGCCGGCTGAGAATGCGTCGCGGTCAGGTTCTTGAGGCGTGAGAGGACAGGATATGGTCTGGTCATGCTGGGGGGGCGGAGGATTAAGACGTGCTGGCGCTTGAGAAGGTGATAGCGCGCGAGGACATGGGGGAAGAGGACAGAGCTTGCCGATCACTCGATCAGGCGTTCCTCTGTTCCTTCCCTCATGGCGCCTGACCTCGTTGCCTTGCTTCATCTTGATCACAGCCACATCGATATCTGGACTCTCGGCTTCAGGATAGACACACATTTCGTATAGCTAGCTCGTTCACCGAGCACACGGCAACACGCAAGGTCGACTAGCATCACCCGCTCCAAGCGGAGCACTCGCAAGTTGCAACTGCTAGTCTTCCTTGCCAATTGAGATCCATTTCAATTGACTGCGAGGCTGGCGACGGTCTGACGGTCTTCCGAGCTGCGATAACTCTTGGTCTACTCCGTGGGTCTGCGCGCATCTCGGTCGTGCCATATAGCGCGCGATCGTCCTATAACCCGCAGAATCCGTCGACCCGTCCGACTTGGCAGCTGCGGCTTCCAAGAGGTGCGTCCCAGTACCGCGTCCGACGTGCGTCAACGCTGACGTTGCATTATTTACCAGTAGGTTTGTCCACGAGGGATCAACGTATGGTCGCGTAGGTATGTACTGCGTTCACACTGTCACGCCTATCATTTGCTCACCTGCCCCTTCAGTTAACCGTCTTGCAGCCTGCAGTAGTCATACACAATACAGACCTTCATTTGCCTGTCGTATTCCGTCACATCTGAGCCCTTCACTGGCAAACAAGAGTCCACGCCACAGAGACGGCATCTTACTCGCTACCATCGTTTCTCAAAACGCGCGTCGAATTGCCGTTGGAACTCAACCCCTATGCGCAGCGCATGATTTCGCGGTCGCTGTATTGCCGACGCGTACCGCCAGTCATCTCATTCGACTTTTGACGTCCAGAAGCAAACACCGCCGGTGACGCGCTCGCAGGCCGCGCTCCTGTGCTTTCCACCTCCCCCTAGCTACCCACGCAGCTACCCACGCGCTCGCCCTCCGCGAAACCTGCCCCCAACCTTCCTCGCCTTTCGCGAAACCTCCTTCACCACATTTCCGCGATGCCCGGAATCATCTCGAAGCCGAACCCGCAGACAACTGCTCTCACGTCGTCCCTCAACACTATCCTGTCCACACAGTGGGTCGTCCCCGTGTTCAGTGTCTTCGATGCCCGAAGAAGCTCTTCTCTTCAACCTTGTCACGACCAACTTCGACCGCCATGGCGCGATAGGAGTCGTGGGCGTGCGGCTGTTGGAGCTCGGGGTCCAGATGCACCTCTGCAAGACCGTTCCGGACGCGACGGTCGAGTTTATGATGGTCCGTATTCGAGCTTCAAACCTCTGACCTGTCGCTCACGTCTTTCGATAGACCGTCAAGCACGCGCTCTTGGATCCCGTTGTACACCAGGCCATCATGGTGAAGCAGGGCGCATATAACGGCCGCGTGCCTCGCGGGAGTCGTCAGCTCGCCCAGGAAATCACCCGCATGTTCGAGGCGTACATCGGCGTGCACTGCAATGCATTCGGGCTGGTGCGCTCGCAGACGTTGGTCAAGGACATCTACCACCTCCCGATGGTCGCCGCCTGCGAAGCGGTCAGAGTTTGGTACGCCCCGGCGACATAGTACTCTCGTCTATTCGAGCTGACCTATGCCCCAGGGAAGCGACTACCAGCGTCAGCCTGCGCGGTGGTTTCAATTCCGGCGCAGGGTCAGAACATGTACCTCAACCTGACGGTACGTCACGTCGTTGTCTGGTCACTCGGTCTATATACTCAATTCTGTCAAACATGTAGCAACGCGAGCTGCGTTGTCCGCACTATATAAGACGACGCTTCCCGACGGCTGCCCCGAACTCGCGCAGGAGTTCGCCAGCACACCGGAGGCCCATCGCCCGGGTAGGATGGCGCTTGGCATGGATGCGCTTCACGCCATGACTGTTCTCGCCATCACCAGCTTCTGGGAGGATATAGCTCCTCCTCAGCTCTGGGTACGTCGCGGATCTCTCGTCGCGGAATGTATTGAGGCTTACCCTTTACTCAGCGCATCGTCTCCGTCATCCTCAGTCAAGAGTTCCTGCACCACATCCCGCATCGCCTTAATCCACAGCTCGTTCGTTGGCCCAACAAGAATGACCATCTCCATGTACTCTTCTGGTTTGGATGCCAGGCGTTAGCGGGGCACGAGCAAGCGATGCGGAACTTCGTCTATGAGCTCATCCGGCCTGCGATTCTGGCGCTGAGAGCGTTCTACTTCCCGCTGTGCGTGGCGTCGAGCGTCTACGCCGTCGTCTTCGCTCACTGACTATTCTCTTTAGGTATCTTCCGAATGCACGCATTCCCTTTGACTGGTCCAATCGGATCATCGTCAACCCAGGTCAGTACCTCGTCATTGACGTATAGTTCGCGACGGTTAACTGACTTCCAGCTATGCGACACATGCTGCTTCGCTATGTCGAGGGGCGCTCCCTCGGCCTCTACGCCGGGCTCATGCCCGATTTGCGTGTCAAGACCGTTGTAGAGGATGCTCAGCGACTCTTGGGGACAGAGACGCAGTATATCACATACGACGACACGATGGGGCAGATTGGTGCGTACCCCGGTTGCTCTTATGCCGCCAACTTACCGATCGACGGCCGTCAGACAATCCGTCGAAGATACTTCAAGAAACGGGGAACGTATACGAGCCGCCGGTCTCGCCTGAGTTCTGCTTGATCGTCGCGGTATGTGCTTGTGGTCTATTGAATTCCACGCTGGTGGCTCAATTCCGTACAGACGGTATCTGGGTTCCCCACCAGGCCAACCACCGAGATCGAGACTGCGATCGAGCAATTTCTCTGGCTCAACTTCCCGCACAACTTGCAGGCAATGATCCTTCGGTTCGGCGCTGTCAACGGCGAGCTTGATGTGAGCTCAATGCACGTCTTGTCGTATCAGGTTGCTGATGCCTGGTGCCCGCCCCTCTTGCAGGGCTCTGTTATCATGCGCATCCGCCACGACTGCCTTTATTCCATCTTCGAAGGCAACATGGTTGCTGGTGTCCACACAATCGGGCGCCTGTCACTCCAACTCGACAGAGAGTGCGTCGAGCTCGGGCTCAATGATGCGTAGTATGCTCATTCCGCTCTTCAGTATACGCCGTGGGCAGTGCTCGGGCAAACTCTTGAACATTGTCCATCGCAGCATCGATGCGGGAACCCTCGCGCAGCGCGGCCTCTCCGCCTATCGTCACCTCCTTCTCGCGCCGCCAGGCCCCCTCCTTCCGAAAGCGGGCGTCAAGATTCCGATGCCAATGTTCTCGAAGGAGGATCTCAAGGTGCGCTCGCACGGGATCAGCGGCGTTGGCTACGTGCCGGACGCTGACTGCCCGGTGGTCGACGGCTGCGCGGTTCAGTTCTGGGCGAAGGGATATCTCGGTTCGGATCCAATGGTGTGTGTCTTGCTCGTCCGCCTGTACGTCGAGGGGCTGGCTCATTTGGTTCTCCAGGCGCTCTTCGGGACGGACGATCGCGCGTGTCTCTGGCCCTACGCGGTGCGCATGGACGAAGGCGGCTGGACGTGCTCCATCCTCTTCAACGGCCTCGTCTCCGACACCTTCCTCAACAACCTGAACGTCGTCCTCCCGCGGTTGAACGGCATCGAGGGCGAGTGGGTTCGAATGCATCGTGAGTCGCGCTATCTTCTGTGTTTCTCGGCGCTCACGAGAGCTGCGATAGCTGGCGCGGTGCAGCGTTGGGTGGCTGAGGTTGTGCAGAGGAAGGCGCAGATGCACCGGTTCGTGGTTGACTGCGGCAAGTCTGGTCGCTAAGGTGCCGGGTTCAGCTTCTTGCTATCTCGCTGGTTACGCTATAGAATCGTTATCCTCTTGTAGTCTGTATAGGTCGTTTTCGGGTCATTTGTGTAGGGTTCGATTTTGGATAGCCCCTCTTCGGGTTTGCGGTCATAATACGTGTGCGTAGCCCGTGTGATACGCCAGTCAACGCGGTCCGTCGGCTTTGGCGCCAATATTCAGGGACGTAAGTGGCCATGCTCTCGACGTATATTTTTTCGGCGGTAGAGGACAACGAAATCAGTCCCAGGGAAATGAAGGAAGGAGGCGTGGGAGCTCTTCACGTGCTCATCACGGGCAGGTCACGCAGCGCAATGTTCGACTTCGACAATGATTGCGAGCGACGCCTAAGGGACCCCCCGAGCTTGCGAGGGAGGGAAAGGCGGAGCGAGCAACACTGACTAACCCACGAGATTGGGGCTGCTTCCCCGACCAAACAAGTACAAAAAGTGGTTTTCACGGGAAGCGTATGGGAAAATGACGGCAATTGCCGTCAGCGGCCGCGTGACGCGCCGCGGGCGCGTCACAAGTTGAACTTCGGTGGTCCAGGGACTTGAGTCTTCGCTGCTGGCCTCTGCCTTTCCGCAGGCGTAAAATATGTTCTCACCTCATGAAGTGTAGCCAAAGGCTTATATCCTTGAGCCCAATGACCACTCCCTAGGCACTCAATGGCCTTCAGCCGCGCCAACCTCTTACAATTCTCTGACACAGCAAAACTCCGTCTTCGGGAACGAGCTCGCCGTCGCCATGAAGAGCGACGCAATGCTCTCAACGTCGGAGAGTCCATCGTCAGTGCCAGCTTTCCCATCAGTGCTTAGGTCCTTGGGCAACGCTGATCGCGGAGCCGCTGTACAAGTTCTGAATAGTACGATAATCATACGTGTCTAAGGGGAGACGCCAGGAGAGGTGAGTGTGATCAGTGTTGCTCGCTTGGTCTAAGCGAGCAGCCTGTGGCTTGCCACCGTATATGTTATCTCATGTGAGATTATTGTCCTAATCTGAAGCGTATAAAACATGGTAGTATTATTCTACGACTACACTACAAGAAACATATCGCATGGTGATGCGCGCTTATCTACATTGTTGTGTCCAGGAAATTTGCAGGTAGAAGCGGCCGAGTGACAGGCCTTCCCGTGCTGATGGCACTTCTCGCAAGACCTACGCATAGTCCGGTCAGGAGATGCTCCTTGACCACGTCGTACGCGAGGAATTCCTGCCCCTGTGTGCTCTCCAGTTCAATGCGGCACACTGGGCAGACAAGGGTATGCTTGTAGTGCGCCAGGGCCATATGTCCTCTGAGCGACCGCGCGATCATCTCATCGCCCTCAATGCTGTGAGGGACAACAAAACTGCAGCCCTGCCAGAGGCATTGGCGCCTTTTTTCCTCCTTCTCCGAGGCGGCATGCTCGTGGTAGTCGAATTCCCTGCTTCTGCCAAAGCTGGGCATGTAGTGTTGTCCTGTGATCATGCGACAGGCGCCATAATTGCCGCTGCAAAGCCGAGGTTTAGTACGACCAATCGTCACTATAAAGACGAGGCTCGGCTTGGGAAAAGGGTAGTCGTAGAATTCGAGCAGTTGCGCGAGGGAGATGTTCAGGGAGAAGTCCACGATGGCGACGGTCGGGTCCTTTATTGCATACGCAGCAAGGTCGCCGATAGTATTAGGCATGCTCAGAAAATCCTGGGGCGGCCGGGCCCGGGGTGTAATCCTCCAAAACGCGCCATGTTGGGCCCTAGAGTGCGGATGAGCTACAGTACCAAACGAGATCACACTTCTCGCCTTACATTGTGGGTGTAAATGAGGGAGAGGGTCGTGAGGCGGTATGCGGAATCAGAGATCAAGGCCGAAGGACCTCGAGAAAACAAGGCGGGAGAGTGGGGATTATATGGACTGTGGATTGTATGGCTCCGAGTTTCCCGTAATCGACGAAGAGCGGGATGATTGGCGAGCGGTGGACGAGGCGTTGGATGGCAGTGAAGTGGGGACGTAGGCGCACGGCTTTATATACCCCAAGCGCGAGAGGAGGGGCGGGAACAACAGACTCCTCGTCAAGAACTTCCTGTATGCAGGAACAGCGCTAGCACGGGCATAGCTGCAGACAAAATAGTATGCAGGGGTCACATTCATGAACGCACCTCGTATCTTTTGTCGAATACGTCCAGGGGTTGACATGCTATAGTCAAGTGCCAAGGAAAATGGACAAACGAAGCGCCGTAAAGACCGTCGTTGAATTGAATTCTGTCGTCTTCGGGGTCAACGCGCCAAGGGAGCCGTCATATCAAGTCCATTCACTAGAGCGTCGTTCGAAACGCGCCTCACGAAGCAGGCTGGGTGACGGCTCAAGCGTCGGAAAGAATTATTGAGCGTGGCTGTCTGTGTAGACGTCAATACAACATGGACGGCGCGCATACGAGATGCACTTACGCGCGTCCGAAATCCCTTGATCCCCTAACATGGTATGTTGACGACGGCAACGTTGCGGCGTCGCCGGAGACGGAGGCTGACAGATCTATGGCAATGTTCACAGCAAGAACTGACGCGGTACGCATCTACGAACTCCATCGCTTCATTCACGACGACGGACAAACATAAAAGCTAAGCTCGAAGCATCCCGACGCCCGTCTGCCGGAGACCGTTCATATCCCCAGGGTTTCAAGAATCCTGCGGCGTTTGACGACCTCATTGCCAATGATCAGGAGGTGCGCGTCGTCATACGGTGAGGTCGAGTGTCGGGAGGCGGAGTATAGAATGAATAGCAGAAAACAAGGCGCGTGATGCTTCGCGAGTACGACGTCAATGACGGCAAGGGGTTTCTAGCGGGAGATATAGCTCTCTGCGCTGAGTACATTTCCTAGGAGCTGTGTGAGCACGGCGCGTCGAAAAGTTCATCGCGAAGTAGTGAAGCTGCGGCTGGATCAAACGGTGTTTCTGCTAGTGCGGCAAATCCCGATTCCGGTTGAGAGTGATTGAACAGCCATAAGTTGTTGGATATGTGGCTTCCAGCTGGAGACGGCGAGCTGAGCATCAAGAGTGGACGAGACGATGAGGGCAGGTCCAAGTAAACCGCGTGGGAAAACAGCTGACGCCGGCCGAGACCGGTCCGCCGGCCATCAAATGGCTATTGATCCAGATTAGGAAACCGAGGCTTGCCCTGGCATTCGACGGTCGCTTGGCCGACAAGCATGGGTGGCGCGGTACAGCAGCCCACTCCGCCCCGCTTGTCGCGAATGTCTGACATGCGGACAGTTGGGGAGTAAAGATCGCCCTCCGATGAGCTTGCCCCTCGCTCTTCGCCTGTCATTTGCAGCCGCTCATCGCCCACCACTGTGCAGTACTACTCTAAGCCAATAGTCAAACTCGTCCTGCCTTCTTACTGGGATTTTTTGACCCTACACTCCTTGTGTAGCTCCCACATAGCACGCTTTCAGCGTCATTTCCAGTCTGATTATGGCGGGCTTCCAAGTCATGTCATCCTCCTCCTCCCTAAAATTCTATCCTGTCGATGACAGCTCATGCAGTACATAACAGATACATGGAGGTGTAGCTTTGTCACCGAGGGAGGCACCGTTCTTCTAAGTAGCGCAAGGAACAGGCGCTGAATGAAGGCGGCAATTCCCGTGAACTCTTTGGATCGGCAATTGCCGGATCCGGCTCATTTCTTGACCGTCACCTTCGTCCTTGTCGTCCATCGCTTGACTCGTGGGATCCTTGCTACGTCGTTTCCCCTAGCATTAACCCTGTGGTGCTAAGATCTGAATGTGACTCTCTGCGCCTCGACCGCGCGTCGTCAGTCGCCCGGAGAAGACAATTGAGGAACAAGGCGCTATCACGAGGCCGCAGCGCTAACGAGAACAAGGCGGCGGATTTCCTTTTCTAGGGTAGCAACGGCAATTGTCTCCATCGCGCGCGCCTATTGAGCTACATATGGAAAGCCATAAGAAGGAGCGACCGACCCTTCCGGCCGGCCGATGCGTGCGCCCTGTATCGTCGTCGCCCGGACCCCATGGCTCACGATCTAAGCGCCATCGCCCTTCGAGCAGGAAGTATACCTGACTCGAGGCATACCTTTGACCGCAGGATACAGATAAATGGTGCGTGGTTTTGTCACTTCCCCGCTACTGACGCAGAGACAGCTGGGTGAGGATACGCCTACACAGGTCGATGTACGCCATGACATCCATGGGACGGACCGCGTGCGAGAACAATGTAGTGGCAATGCGTCGTGGGAGCACCGGGCCGCAGGAGGCTGCGCCGAAGCTTGCTATTGTCCCAAACAAGCGTAGGCGCCGAGCTTGTGATTAGTACGACTGGGTCCATGCGCACTCTCTGGGACTATAAAGTCGCGTATTCCATCTCCATAACGGTATACAACACCCTTCACCGCCAGCCCCCGCTTTCCCTCTCGACATTCGTACTCACAAACCCATCGTATCCGCGGACATCATGCCCCCGAAATCGAAGTCAAAGTCCACGTCTGCGACGTCGACCAGGTATGCCCTCGTGCTGGTTGGTGACTCCCTTGCCTTTACTGAGACTTCATCCAGGCAGTCCTACCGCATCATATCAATGCCTAGCACGTCTACCGCATCCACCACCCAACCCAGCCCTCCGCTCCCGCCTCCGAAGGCAACCAGCACATCAAAGCCTTCCACCCGCTCCCGCAAGGGCAAAGGGACACCGCGCATCCTAAAGAACGCCCCTCCCCTCCTCCCCGGCAAGAGCGCCAAATACCGCCTCGAACAAGCGCGTTTCCGGATGTGGTCCGCACACCCCTTCGTCGCCGCCTTTTGCGCCTTCGCCGCGCGGTGCGCCGCCTGCCGCGAGCGCATCAAGGGGGACTATCGGTCGAAGACGAGGCGGTTCAGCAACACGAACATACTACGGCACTTCGGTACTTGTAAGGCGCGCAAGGCGATTGAGGCGGGGGAGATGGCGTATCCGCCGCCGAGGGAGGTTGAAACGCCCTTGGAGGTGAATGATAAGGGGGTGAGGTTCGAGGTTTTCCCTGGTGGGGCGCCACCGCCTGGGACGTCGCTTGGGCAGAAGGGGAAGAGGAAGCGGGAGGAGACGCCGGAGGTGGAGGTAGAGGAACTCGACCTCCGTCAGCCTACGAAGCAGGTGAGTACAATTCAGGTCGGCCGCTACAGGATGTTTCTCATGCCTGCCTATAGACGAATACGAATAAGCGCCGTCGAGTTTCGACCGCTGAAGCAGGTCCGTCGCGCGTACCCCCTCGCAAGGTCCTACCTCCGCGCAAGACCGCACCTTCTCGCAAGACTGCGCCTCCTCGCAAGACTGCGCCTCCTCGCAGGTCCACGCCTCCTCGCAGGTCCACGCCTCCTCGCAGGTCCACGCCACCTCGCACGCCTCCGCCGCCGAACACGACCCCGCCTCCTCTGCCTAGCACGAATCCACCTCCCCTGCCTCGCACCACGCCGCCTCCTCTCCCAGCGATCGCCGCAGAGGTCATTGACTCCCCCTCTCCCGCGCCACACTACTCGACGATGCCTACCATGGACCCTCTTCCGCCGCGGTTCCGCACGAGGTCACCCTTCATCCACAATGTTGTACCTGATCCAGTCCAAACCCCGGCAGACTGGGACAGTGTTGAGTCGGAGGATGGCTTCGACGAACACTACTCGTATAGCGCGCCAGTTACCATCCGACAAAGAATTTCCGAGGAGCGCTCGACGGCCGGTCCGTCGAATGCGGACGAGCTGCCTTCGTCTTGATCTCATGTCTCTATCTCCCTTTCTAGTGACCCCTGCCTTGTCCACCTCGTCTCGACTATTCGCCCGGTCTCCCTTGTCTATCTTATAGATACAGTGTACGCTATAGCCCATCATATTCTTTATATCTCGCAATAGAGGTCGATTAAGCCAGGAGCCCGTGCGGCTCTGACCTTACAGCAGCGTAGCCGCCGTGCGACGGCAACTTCCCGTCCCCAAAACGATGAGACTGCCCTCGTATTCGAGTTCAAGACAGAAGTTCCCACTCAGAGCAATCCCTGGGGCGGCGTCGTACGACGGAGTCTAACCTGAATATTGACGCACGCATCTGAGGGAATCTCAAACTAGATGAATAACGGCAAAAGTTCCTCGATACATTAGGCGGTGATCACAACGAAAGGGCACGGTACAATGTATTGGAGGCAATGAGTACAGAGGTGATGGGAAGTCCATATACAACGGTGAGGTGCAGAGGCGGCCATGCGAGGGTGCTGATGTATACAGGAGATCAGTCGTCCGTGAGCGAGATGCAGAGATCGATGTACCGAGGGAATCACGCTAAGCGGGGACGCCGATAGCTGAAGACGACACCGAGGAGAGGAGGCGGGTTTTGAGGCTCCGGTGAGCAGAGTCGAGATGGTGGTCAGCGAGTGTACAAAGGCGAGATACACATAACGTACCAATGGATGAAGACAATGAGCAGAGACAACGGCAGCACCGTCGCGCTCAGGTCTCCTGCGAACAAAACGTAGCAGGGCTGCCATTCTGGCGCGCCACTCAGCCACTAGTCCTCGCGCCCGCCCAGGTCTTGAAGGCATGGCGCGCGTCGGGGGCCGGCGGCACGCGAGTGTGGGCTCGACGACACTGACATGGGGAGGGAGGTGAAGTCCCATCCATCCACCAGCACCGACGAGCAGCCACCCCACCTTACCGCGGACGTACCCAACACCGTCGCGGTCGTCGAGCTGTTGCAGGCGACGACGTTGACGGAGACCTTGATCGCTTTGATTCCACGAAGAAGGGAAAGACAAGAGAGGACGCCCGGCATATATACTTCCCCAAACCGTGACCGTGATGTTACCCACTCACGTGCCACTGCCATCAACAAACGCGGCGACGCGCGTGTCTGACTGTGACTGTTGAAGTCACTGTCACGCGTCGAGAAGGATATATACTGGCCGCCCGCTCTTGTCTTTCCCTTCTTCGTGGAATCAAAGCGATCAAGGTCCCCGTCAACGTCGTCGCCTGCAACAGGCCGATGACTGCGACGGTGTTGGGTACGTGCGCGGCAAGGTGGGGTGGCAGCGCGTCGGTGCTGGTGGATGGATGGGACTTCACCTCCCTCCCCATGTCAGTGTCGTCGAGCCCACACTCGCCTGCCGCCGACCCCCGACGCGCGCCATGCCTTCAAGATATGGGAGGGCGCGAGGACTAGTGGCTGAGTGGCGCGTCGGAATGACAGCCCTGCTACGTTTTGTTCGCGGGAGACCTGAGCGCGACGGTGCTGCCGTCGTCGCATGCTCATCGTCTTCATCGATTGGTACGTTCTGCGCTTCCCGCCTTTGTACACTCGCTGACAACAGCCTTCTCGCCGCCTCTCGCCGGAGCCTCAAGACTCCTCTCCTCTCCTCGGTGTCGCCTTCAGCCTCCGGCGTCCCCGCTTAGCGCGATTCCATCGGTACGTAGCACTCACGATGACCAGCGCTCATTTCTCATCGCATAGTACCTGTAGATCCCCTTACCCGCTGGGGGCACTCTCTCGTCGCCGCCGCTTGCGTTGTACCGCGTCTCCATTCTTGTGTATCACTAATTTGTTCACTGGTCGGAAAATATACATCATTCTCTTCATATCTTCTTGTCGTTGGACGTGAATGTTGAGTGGGAAGAGCAACCCAAAATTAGTGGTGGTGAATCGCCGTGCATCCAATGGATCGCAGAGTGTCGAGCACGTTCGGGTCGTAACGCCCAAAATTTTCACAACGGTCGTGCACCCATCCGCTTGACCGAGACCGTATGGAATTCAGGGAGTAGTAGATGGCAGCAGTCTTCGAGTCTTCATATGCGGCGATGAGCACGGGTTGCAACGGAGAGCGATTCAAAGCAAACGGCGGCCACAGGTCATATTGGCGTGAAATACACTAGAAGTCAGAAACAGAACCCGTAGCAAATATTCTGAGAATCAGGGCTTGTCAGCCAAGTGGATATCCCAAGGGCGGCCGTCGATTATCTGTGAAGCACCCTTGGAAATTTCAGTGGGTTCGCGCGAGGGAGAGTCGACCAGTAAGGGCAAATATTGCGCCGACCTGTAGAAGCCAGTCAACAGGTCGAATGACGCCTTGTGGGGCTCATTCGCCCGGATAGTAGACCAAGCTACGTTCGCTCTAGATGGGACGTTGGCTCCCTGCCAGCATCCTTTTCCTCAGGAAGAGGAACCGGCAATCCTTTCATCAAGGCAAATCGCGCGAGACCCAAGCACCGTCCAAGGGAGAGGTGATTGGCCAGCGCGACACCATGCAGTGTTCCGGGAGGAGCGTACAGAGGAAACAAGCAGAATTTGCAGGTCGGGGTTCCTCCATAGTGAGCAGTGGCGATGTGGGAGAAGATGATGTACTCTGCGTAGCACGATCTCAGCAATTCGACGGGAAGCCTATGCCCGCAGCCCTGCCATGGGCAAGTTGCTTGTCCTGCCGACATGTGCATGGCCCTGAACTCGTATACGGTATGCACTCGGTTGCAAATCCCAGTAGGGGTGATGGCGTGGCACTGAACGTGTTTGCGGACCGCGAATGGAGCACCGGCGATGTCTTGTGCCTTCAGACGATAGAGGTGCAGGATCTCCTGGACGTCAGCGCCTTTGAGCGACATGGTGCGCGAGGGAGATGTCTTCGGGGACTTGAATTGCGCGAGATCGGCGGCCTCGGTGAGCTTGATAGGTCCGCGGTGGGCACAGTCAGGGTATATTATCTCGCGCAGAGGGCGGATTGGAGGTGTCGGTGGCGTACTGAAGCAGCTGGTCAGCGAGGCTGATGGTGAGGTAGAAGCGGGGCGCACAGTGGAGGTCTCGGCTGCTGAGCTTCGCTCAATGGGGGCAGCGAGGACAACGGCATGCGGAGCGTAGACTGGACGAACTCGGCGAACGGTGGCAGCATCCTGAGGTCTCCCTTGGGGAAGGTGCGGCCGCCGAGTATCTCGACGTCGACGCTAGCTGTGATGGGTGGCGCGGACATGGCGACTGTGGTCGAACGGGAGGGATCCGAAGGTTGGGGTGAGCAACGAGCACAAGTCAAACCTCACTTATATGACGGTCGGGCTATGTTCGGTTGCTATGTACTGGGTGACGGGAGTCGCCGTCACAAAGGCCGCTGAACAAACGCGGAGCGCGCAACGGGTGGCCGTTGGCCATCGAACATGGTGGCTTCTGTCCGCATTTGGTCAATAGTGTCGGTCGGTCACCCAAGAAATGAACTTTCCGAACATGAAACACGCACAGTGCCGTAAATTAACCACCAAGAAGAGCGGGGCAACGACTGACCATTTCGGGGCGATATCACGGCCCATCGTGCTGAAATGAATGACAAACGAGCGACTCTCTGCCTATGAAATGCAATGGATAGGCAGCTTCGAATAGACGAAGGTATTATCGGGCAGCGAAGGCTGCACTCGGCACGCTGAGCGCTCTGGAAAGAGCAGAGACTATCCGTCGCTATGAAATTTGGCAATCTTCGCGCCGCGGTACTGTCGCTTGACGGCATAGGTATGAGTAGCCAGAGCTTCGTCTCAGCGGACTTCCACTTCACAGTCGAAAAGTCGGCGCGCCCAGAGAATAGCAGGTATGCAGCGCGAACATGGAAGTTTGGATCAAGCCGGGCATTGGCCGAAAGCATGCCGAATCGTGGGAATTCTGAACTTCAACTTGCCGACTGCCATTTTGGGACGAAATTGTTCCTCGACCGCGTCGTCGACTGATTTGACTTCAATTTATCCAGACTATGTGACTACACTTTACAAAATACGCAAGCTAGGCTAACCTCTACAATTAAAAAGGCACGGGGTATCGCGCAGGTTGGTATCAGGATTCAGCGAGGAAGAGGAACGGGCAGCCCTTTGGAGATCGCGAGCCTGGCCAAACCAATGCACCATCCAGAAGCCAGATGTATAATGAGTTCATCATCTTGAGAGCTCTGCGGCAGTATCATCGGCGGTTGGTTCAGATTGCATTGGCAGAAGGGGCACGTCGGGAAGGCCAGGAAATGGGCTGTGTAGAGATGGGTACGCATAGCTTGCTTCGCCGTGTCGTGCTCCGAGTGTGGTACGACGTAGTCACAGTCTCTCCATGTGCATAAGTGGTGGCTTGATGCGATATGTGCGCGCAGCTGATCCATGCGACCATATTCGTGGGCATTGAAGTGCGCGCCACATGTCTCGCCGTTGCCGTCGACGCAGGCGCAGGGTGGGGAGGTTGGAGGGATGGAGAGGTTGACAAAGAGCTCGCGCTCTGTCAGATGGTACAGGACCGCCAGTTGAGGCAGAGTGGATGCAGCGGTGAGTGGAATTGCTGGATACGGGGGCGTTGAAGATTGAAAGACGGCAAGGTCGGAGTACCACTTGAGATGATTGAGAAGCTGCGCCCTCGAGACGCCAGAAGGTGGTATGGCGCTGAATAATCGGCGCATTATCAGAGTCTGAGTGCAGAGTGATAATAAAGGAACACACGAATGGGACTCAGGCTGAGAGTAGTTCAGGCTTTTGCGCGATTCCGCTGTGGGGAAAGCAGCGTCGTGCTGGTTCATCTGAGAGAAGGGCTTCTCAAGACAACACTGGGCCGACATAACGGTGATGGGCTCGATGGGATTATGGTCGTAGCAGGAGAGGGATCAAGTGGTGCGTGGAGTTATGGGGTTCGACCAAGCCCTCTTATACGAGCGTCGGCCTTGAACGAGGGTCATAGCGTCGATGGTCATACCGTCGAGGTACATGCGAGATTCTTCATCAGATTGGCTGGCGTCGGGACTAGAAGCCTGTGGCGCTTCTTCATGGCCATAGCGTAACTGCGCATGGTCCAAGCTCGAGGGCGGCGCGTGGGCTATACCATCTTCGCGTCTCGAATATGCTCTTCGCGGAGCTGGTCGGCATGCTTGAGAGTACCGTAGCTGATATGGATAGCATCGAGAATCTGGAGGCATGTCACCGACCGGCGATGATGGTCAGTGGCAAAGAGGTTTGATGGTGCAACAGAAGCGGTCTGAGCACCCGAGTGGATATGGTTCGGACCCTTGAGTTGCGACGTCTGGACAGCTGAGCCATGTCGATGGTATGCTCTCACTGGCGGAAATTAATTGCACTCGGAAAATTACAAGAACATACGCTATACCATTCTAAGTCTAAGATAATGAACCACCTCATCGTACAATGAGGCCCCTTCAGAAGGTCGCGGCTTCAGCCTTCAAGCTTGTGGCATGCGGGGCTTGGGAACGGGAAGACCGTGCGTGATGGCGTGTTTCGCAAGACCGGTGCACCAGCCCGACTGGTAATGTTCGAGAAGCGAAAGCATGCGCCGCTCTGGGGGTGCTGCCAACAGGCTGCAATAACACAGGGGGCACAGCGGCTCGTCATAGAAGTGCATGGCCTTGAGATGCAGGTCCATAAAAAACTGCGGAGTGTCCATACAGTCGTTGGCGAGGACGAAGGTGCAGCCCTCCCAAGGACATCCCCTTCCGAACCTCGGAGCGTGGAGGTGCTCGTGGTCCGCGAGGATGAGGCCGCAAGGGCCGCCGGTTTCGATAATGCACTGGCAGGGCGGTTCCTGAGGAGGCCGAACGTAGATTAGTTCTTGAGCGTCCGGACCGAGACGGTAGTGCCGTGTCAGAGCCCGCAAATCGACCCCGCTTGGAATCGGCTGGGTGGCGCAGGGGGGATCCGGCTGGGCGAAGATCTCGAGGTCCTTGTGGGTGTTGATGCGCGGTACACAAATCGCGTTCCGACGGGGCACATGCACTGGCGGCGGTGGCTGGGCTCGAGCCATTTGCATGGCTCTCAGCTGTCCGGGCGCGTCGAGCTGGGATTGCGGAGGAGCGAGAGGCATATGCTTCAGGCGTCTGTTGGATCGTCAGACTTTGGGGAAAGGATACAAGCCTCATCGAGACTTACAGAAGGATATTGACGGCCTCGAGGTCAGTCAAGGGTGGGTTGAGAATGGTGGCGAAGTCGGATGGCATAGTGGCTTCGATGAGTGGAGGGATGCGTGAGGTGCTCAAGCGATGGGGACGAGCTTACGATGCCTCGGGTTATATATCGGTTGAGCCGTCGAGGGTATTGGTGGCGTGCATGTTGTGCATGATCGGCGCTCACATAAACAGGACAAAGAACCTATGCATGCTTTGTGACGGCCGGCAAAGCCATGAATGGGCACCGCGATGATCTTCGAACAAAACTTCAGCAAAAACAGTTGTTTGTTCGGCGTCCGCAAGGATGCAAAGTCCGAGATCGTTCATTCTAGAGCATCTATACATCTGTGGCCAGCGAGATCAGAGGGGTGGGAAGTTATCGCGTGCATATCGACCAAGGTCCCTTCAAAGAGCGTTCGCAAGCAGAAACTATTGCCCTCCCATACCGAAGCGGTAGATCAGCAACAGAGGCTATGCGAGAATGCCTGAAGCCGGTGGGTCCCGGGAAACTGCGACACAGAGGTGGCGCGACAGACGAAAGACGCCGGAACAAAGCCGTCAGGCCAAGTCGCATACAGGGATATGGAGCTTAATTGGGCCAACCTGAAAATTGACGAATCGTTTGGCCAGCAGTCGCCTTAGCCGAATACAGCGCCGAGGGTCAGCGAGCGAGCATTCTCGAGAAACCGCGGGGTCAAAACAAAGGTTTGTTCTCGTTCGGCGGGTTCTCAGGCTGTGATTGCACCCAACAGACAGGGCGCAGGATTGTGATGAGAGCAACATGCGTTCATGCGACCAGAAGGCGGCTGAGTTCATCGATGTCCTTCTGCGTCGGAGGTGGGATGTCCTAAGAACGATGAAAAAGCAGTGAATAGATTCTAGATGACGGCAGCGGGATACATGTCGGACGCCTCGACCTGAGCTCGCAAGTATCGAAAAGACTGGTTGAAAGTCCGAGTCAAAAGCTGGGAAAGGAAGTGGGCCGGGCGGGATCTTCCGTTCAAGAACTTCCTATTCGGGGAATATCGCGCGTCGCTGCACGTTGTCCTGAACGTCGAAGACGGTCACGTCTGTCGACAGGCCCGGTGTCCCTTGCTCGTTGCGCGCTGCTTCAATTGTGTTCTCGAGAGAGTGGAAGAAGCTTCCTGGTCGTACAGTAACATAGACGCGCTATCGTATCCCGCTTTGAGGAAGGACAGGGCGCATACCAACAATCGAGGTGCGCGATATACGCCGGGTCGCGCGCTCCTCACGTTGACTGGTCATCTCAGATACCCTTGAGACGTAGAGCTTGCTGGATATCTCCTAGATATGGGTGGGAACTCCTCCAAGATGCGGCCAGGCAGCGCGCCGGCTGCGCCTGGCCAATATCCTCCCGGCATGATGCCCCCGCAATTTGCGGGCTCTCAATCCCAGTGGCAGTCATATGGAGAGCCTCCAGTCGTCCCCCCAGCTCCCGTCCCCGAGCGAAGGTCGTCTGCGACCAAGGTATTCAAGTCTGCCCTCAAGAAGTCACGAGGTACGTGGTCCTCCTTTCGAACTTGCGACGCGTCTTAAAGGACATCCAAAGGCTTCCCTGGCAAACTTCAAGCAGGAGGAAGGATGTCGGGGCCATCTCCATCCGCGATACCACCACCGCCGCCTCCTCTCGTACCAGAACAACCAAACACGCCGCAGCCACGCTTTGCTACTCCTCAGCCACAATTTGCAAGCCCCCAGCCAGCACAATACGTTCCTCCTCCAGCATCCCCTCAACCTCAAGATGCTCTTCCACCGGGCTTCGTTCCTACCCCTTCCCCTCAACCTATGAACGCTGGCGGTGATCCACAGGTCATCAATCTACTTCCCCCCAATTTTGTGCCAAATGGCATGCCCGGTACGTCCTTACTAGATCTCGAGAGGGATATTAAACTGATACATCATGACAGCCCCGATGCCACCGCCTGGGTCCGCCATAATCCCCCCACGCATGCCCCCCGTGTTCACGCCCGGAGGACCGGGACCCTCGATCCACGCGTTCACGCCCCGATCCGACTCCTCGACCTCTCCTGAGCCTACGCCCGGGCGCGGTCGCACCCAGACACCATTCCCTCGCGAGGCCGTCCCCCTCTCAGAGTCGGAGACTGGCTCCGAATCCAGCCAGAGCACCCAGACGCGCGACTACCGCGCGCCTTCGCGAGTTTACGGCGTACCTCCGCCACCTATGTTCGCGCAGCCAGCGCAAGCTCAGCCGCCTGTAATCCCCCAGAGTGTTCCGATGCCGCAGCCTAGTCCTGCGCCTCCGCCGCCCTCGGTCTACCCGCAGCAAGCTCAGCCAGTTTATCCTCAACCAATGCAAGGTTTTGTGCCGCAGCCCCAACCACCGCCGCCGGAACCCACGCAGTCTCGCCATCGCTCGCGTCGCCATCGTCGACGAAGCGACCAGCCGGACGCTCAAGATCTCCTGCGCCATCCGTACTCGCCTCAACCTCAGGGCGCGCCTGTATATGGCCCAGGCATCACTGTCCCTTCACGCGCAGAGAACCCACTCCCGGACCCGCCCCGCGACCTGTACGAGTTCTCGCCCTGGAAGCGCCTCGTCGGACTACCCACCACCGAGTTCCTCATGCGCGAAGGTTGGCAGCGGCCGGATGTTGACGCCCAGCTACCGCCCGACCACGAACATAAGCACGGCGGCTTCCTGCGCGCATTCGGCAAGAAGAACAAGCGCTCCAAACATGGTAGCGACGCCGGCGGCGTGCGCTACGTGCCCGTCTTTCCCGACCGCATACAGGAGGACGCGGGAGCGATGGGCGCGGGCGGCAGCACCAGCGGTCACGGGCATGCACGCTCGCACTCCGATCCGCCCGACCTCGAGAACCTGACCCGCGGCTGGACGCATAATTTCGTGCAGCCGCGGCCAGGTGGAGCGCCGGCCACCGGGGGTGCTGTCCCTCCTCCAGGGCGCGCGGCAATCTACTTCACGCAGAGCGCGCCGTACCCGGGCTGGATGCAGCACTCACCGCATAGGGTTTTGTACAACGGGATCGAGTGGCCGACGGCGCACCACTTGTACGAGTCGTTCCGCTTCGAGGGCCGGGAGGATATCCAGCGGATGATGCGTGGGGTGCCCGCAGCGCAGACAAACGAGATCACGATGCGCTACCAGGCGATGGCGAACCCGATGTTCGACGAGAGCTTTATGCAGAGGGTGAGTTTCGTGGTATTCGAATAGGATAGCGTGCTGACTTTCTTCGATAGCTCGACGAGGTGCTCTATCTGAAGTTCACCCAGCATCCGGACCTTGCGCTGCAGCTACTTAGCACGGGGGACGCCTGGCTGGTGTACAACGACTTGGCCGACGCGCATTGGGGCAATGGTCCTGACGGGTCCGGCAGGAACGAGTTTGGGCAGGCGCTGATGCGTCTGAGGGATCGACTGTCTGCGCGGCAGGGCGGTGGCTTGAGGGCTGCCTGATGCGTTCACGACTATTTCGATGGTGGCGCAATGCGTCCTATATGCACGATCAATGTCTCCATACGACCACGACGACACCCAGGGCGGGACCCGGTTCTTCATGCGCACCTCTATTTTTGCTTACGCCTCTACTAACGGTTACCCTTCCACATCATTGATACCTCCGCGACGCCCTCCCAGCCACATGTACGAACTGCACTGAAGTACGATTATGCTCATCGTGTATAATGTCACTGATGCTGTCGATGTACAACCCACTACTAGATAATGCAACTACCGTATGTTCTTGCTTTCGAATTCCAAGGGCGTCCGATCTCTCAGCTTGCTAGGAAGGCTGATGGGGAAGACCTACAAAATCGGCCCTTTGCTGACTACAATCCAGGTTGGACTCCAGTATGCTTGAGATATGGGAGCCATAGACCGCAAGGGTCTTTCCTTGTGTCCAAGGACAACGCAAGGACCAGGTTTGCGCGAAGGGAATCAGAGGGTGTATGCAGAGGATAGCAATCTAATAAAACATGGTGGTTACAGGTTATGGATTTCTCGACAGCGATGTGCGACTTCCTCCTCTCACTGCCCACCACGGAGCGCAAGGACAAGATGGAGGACGGATCCCGGGGTGATGCCGAAATCCTTCGCAGTCTTCTCGTCTGGCCTGAGGGTGTGGCGTGGTCAGCACGATCGGGACGTGTGTAGGTGGCGCAGGACACGCACATTTGCCTCCCAGAGAAGATGAGTCGCTGCTGTGGCGGGGGGACACCGGACTGCTCCTCGACCTTCTCCTTGATCCGGGTGATCTGCAAGATCGCAGTGGATGAGCTTTGGTGGCGCGTGCGCGATGTGCGAGACGCACCTTGTCCTCAGGATCAATGTCCAGCTCGATCTGAAGGGGGTTGGGTCATTGTATGAGTTCCCACATTCACTATTCTTCGACTACAGAAGGTCGCACCTCCTTCCCGGTCAACGTCTTCGAGAGTATCGTCAGTAAGCATGTCCACGACGCGAAGGACGAAGGCGCACCTTAACTTTGATCAGCATGATGCTTCGCTAGATATAGCCAGAAATTATCTGGTAGGTGGATAGGTTATTGACGCGCAGAGGAGTCTGGCGCGGCGCTGAAGGTGGACGTGAAAGGCAAGAGGCTCTAGAGTCACGGCGGTCCGGCACCACCGCAGGCGAAGCGCTCGTGAGTCACATCACATGAGGGTGACAGAGGTCACGGTTCGACTTTCGAAATTCCGAGAAAATCATCGGTGTGGCCGATTTTGTACAGTATGGCGGGGCAAAGTACAGAATGGAGTATCACAGGATATACGTAGGGCATAGGGATTGATTGCATGTGTCACGGCAGGAAGATACAATTACATTCCTTGCGTTTTCCATCTGTTCAGAAGAAATTGTATACCCTCGACAGAGGCACAGTCGCTGCAGGCTGAACATCCATCAACACACCATCAGCATGCACGTCATACGTCTCCGGGTCGACTTCAATGTGCGACGTCGCATCGTTGTACTTCATGTCATGTTTACTGATTTTCCTGCAATCCTTCACCGCCTTGTAGCCTTTAGAGAGCCCATACGACTCCATCGCGCCGGAGGAAATGGAAATGTCGGAGACAAAGAACAACGAGTTCAGCGCGGCAGATCCGGGTTTGGCGCCCCACATTGGCCTAGAGTAATACGGCTGCACTGTTGGGATGCAGGCGTTTGCCTCGCCGACCTGCGCATACGCGATGACGCCGGACTTCAGGACCATCTCTGGCTTGGAGCCGAATCTTTCGGGAGACCATAGGACGAGGTCCGCCAGTAGCCCGACCGCGACGCTTCCGACGATATGGCTGATTCCATGTGTGATTGCACTGAATGGATGTGTGTAAATAATCGCCTCCGACGCAACTTCATTACTCACGGATTGATCGTATACTTGCTCACGAAGCGCTTGACTCGTCCATTATCCTTCGTCCTGTCATCCCCCAGGGACGTGAGAGGCCCCCGGAGGTCCTTCATCTTGCTGGCCGTTCGCCACGTCCGGCTGATCACCTCGCCCACGCGACCCATGGCCTGTGAGTCGGACGTAATGATAGATATGGCGCCTTGGTCGTGCAGCACGTCTTCTGCGGCCATTGTCTCTCCACGGATCCTAGATTCGGCGAGCGCGATGTCCTCGTGGACATCTCGATCGAGGTTGTGCGCGACCATGATCATCTGCAAGGCAATCAGTCAAGAGAAAAAACAAAAGTAATGTTGATACACTCACGTCGAAGGCCTCGTCGAGAGCGTTCCGCGTGTACGGCCTTGTCGGATTGGTCGAAGAGGGAAGTACGTTTGAGTATTGGCAAACACGTATGATGTCTGGCGCATGCCCTCCGCCCGCGCCCTCGCTATGGTACGCATGTATCGTGCGCCCACCGAAGGCATCGATAGTGTTGTCCACGAACCCGCTCTCGTTGAGCGTATCCGTGTGAACATTCACCTGCACATCATACTTATCCGCCACATTCAGCGCATTCCCGATCACCGCTGGCGTCGCACCCCAGTCCTCGTGCACCTTCAGCCCCGCCGCGCCCGCGCGAACGATATCTTCGAGCGCCTGCGGCCCAGCATCGCTCCCCTTGCCCGTGAACGCGAAGTTCATCGGCAGCCCATCCGTCGCAGCGAACATCTGGCGCATGTAAAACGGGCTCGAGGTACACGTCGTGGCAATTGAGCCCGCGGCCGGCCCTGTGCCGCCGCCGAGCATCGTCGTCGTGCCCGCCGCGAGCGCCTCTTCGACTTGCTGAGGGCAGATGTAGTGCACATGCGTGTCGATGGCGCCGGCGGTGACGATGAGCTTCTCGCCGGCGATGACTTCGGTGGAGGAGCCGATAATGAGGGTAGGATCGACGCCGTCCATGATGTCTGGGTTTCCCGCCTTGCCTATGCCGTGGATGAGGCCGTCTTTGACGCCGATATCCGCCTGGGAAGGAGAAATTTATCTGGTGCTGGACAATGACTAGGAAGTCCACAACTCACCTTGTATATCCCAGACCAGTCAATGATCAAGGCGTTGGTGATGACAAGGTCCAGCGAATCCTTCGCTGCTCGGTTCGAGGCTTGACCCATCCCCTCGCGGACTGACTTTCCGCCACCGAACTTAACTTCGTCTCCGTACTTAGTCTGCCCTCCGCATCAGCCATTGCCGGAGATCTCTTCGCAAATTAGCGCTCACCATGTCGTGCTCAACTTCGATCCATAGCGACGTATCCCCAAGCCTCACCCTGTCGCCCGTCGTGGGACCAAACATAGCGACATACTTCTCTCGACTAACTGTCGTGTCGACCCATATATCCGGCGCGTTTGGCTCGGGCGTATGGCTGAACTTGCGTAGCAAGAGTCCTTTCATGATGCGATCGAGACGACTGGGGTCGACTACGCCTGTCGCGAGCTTGTTCCCGCCTGTGATGATGCGATGGCCAGCGATGGCACAAAGCGTGACTGTCCTGGGGTCCCCCGGCTCAAAACGAACGGTAGTGCCGGAAGCAATGTCGAGGCGCATGCCGTAGGCTTGGGCGCGGTCGAAGTTGAGCTTGGAGTTCGTCTCGATGAAATGGTAGTGAGAGCCAACCTGGTATCTATTGAGGCAATGCTCTCAAGCTATGTACAGAGCGCACCTGAATCGGCCTGTCACCATCATTGGCGACACGCAGTTGAATCCTGCGACGACCTTGATTGATCGCGATCTTGCACTCCTTTTTCGCGATGACCGCGCCCGGCAGGTTCTCTGGGAGGTAGTCTGCGGGAAGACTGACGGGAAACACATTGGTGGGAGGGATAGGAAGAAAGGTTCCGTAAAGAGCAGCCGCTATATCTCCCCATTCCGTCGAAATGGGGTCATAGACCGTCACCAAAAAGACACTGCTAGGGCGTTAACGTCCATGATCACGACTCGTCCGGCGCGCAAGGCAGGCTTACCCGTCTTCCAGTGTCCCCTCCACCTGTACCACACGCAACAGCGCCGCCACGCTAGGCAGTACGTGACGTCTCCCCAGCAAAGTCTTCCCGTACTGCGATAGCATCGGCACCGAGGTGTTCCCATCTCGGATGCGCTCTTGCAGCTGAGATGCGATGAGCGCGACGGCCTCGCTCTGATTGAGCTTCAGGCCGCGAGCGAGGCGTTGCTGGGCGAGAAAACCGGCCTATCGACGAGGTCAGTCTAGGGACAGTGCATGGCGTACAATCTGACCTGATGGACCAACAGCTTTTCCTGCTCTCGAGGATTGAGATGCATGATGCTCAGAGAGGTTGAACTGACGCTTCAAGGGCGCTCGTAGAAAATTGAGCGAGGAGCCTCTTGGCCGTCGAGAGCAGGCGTATAATCCAGTATTATAATGTCAACACGGTCACCAGATAGCATCGTGAGATAGCATCGTGCAACTGGATGTCACATCTGAGCGCAAGGTATATGAAGACAGAGTTCAAGTGGCCTGAGATCGGTCGAAGAACAGTGTACCGGGTCACTTGTCGACGCGCCATCGCCGCGAGCTCGTTTGCCTGAAAGATATCTGACTTCAGTGCTCTATAGGAATTTAGCAGGTCTTGAGGCTTCTGCTCGCCTAGAACAACTAATGACTCTGCAAGCCCAGATTGCAACATCGTTTGCCAGGCAAGCTCACCTCATGTCGGTTGTATGTGAGCGATGCAGCTGTCGAGTCGCATGGTTACATCAAAAGGTAAGAAATTCAATAATCATTGAAAGGAGGGTCTCCCAAGCCATGTGAAGGAGGAATAGACGCGGCATATCATGGTGGTCAAGTTCAACCTGAAACTGGCAAGTATGATTTGCGGCCGATGCCGACGACTCGGGAATTGCCGGCTATCGTGCAATACCGGTTTGCCATATATCTCATTGTCATTTACAGTGCTCTGAAGCAGGCTGCCTGGCGTTCTACGGGCCCTCGCGGTGAAGGAGCACAGTAAGGAAGCGAGGGGAATCGGAAATCTCACCCAGCGCAGGTTCGAACTGCCGGCCTCCTGGGCCGTGTGCACGCGGGAAAATCTGAATTTGTTGCGTGAATGGTGCGCTCATTGTTCTTGACTTCGACGTCGACTGGCCGACACCAAGCAGCGTGCGCTCGGCGCGTCTCAGGCCGTGACGATACCAGGGATATACCACAAACTTGCCCTGCTCCATAATTCCTTCATCTCACCCGCATCGGACCCAGTCGCGTTCGTACCTGACCATGTCGGAGTACGTGTACGCGCTGCACGACTTCATCCCCGAGAACGACGATGAGATCGACTTCAAGGCGGGGGAGCGGATAGAGGTCGTGGAGAAGGACGACTTGTACGGAGATGGCTGGTGGAAGGTGAGTCTCCCGCTCGGATGATCGTATCACCTCCGCGGTCTGAGACCTCTATGCGCCTCGAACCGACCCTCTTTCACTGCCCTTGAACCCTGCCTTTATCTCACCATGTCGCTATCTGGACGATTCTCATTCCTCAACTACCAGGGCCGCAATCTCGCTGGGAAGGTTGGACTATTCCCCCAGACGTACACCGCCCCAGCTCCGGCTGCCGCAAACAGCAGCAGTTACGAAGACGCCCAGTCAACCCCTACGAAGGCCACATCGCAATCCACCAACGGAGATACCCCTAGCGCCCCTGAAGTTCCCTCATCTCCACCCCCGTTTCAACTCCAGCTCAACGGCCTCGACACCGTATCGGAGGTTGGAAGCACCGACGGCGTCATGAAAGAAACCATGACAGATGTCCAGAAGGCACTCGAGCAGCTCGGCGCGCGCCGCGACGGCGATGGACGCAGCTTCAGCTTTGCCAGCACGCACGACGATCGCGACACCGAGACGGACACGGATTACGACATGAGCGATGTCGACACTCAGGACGGCGAGAACTGGCACAAGGGCGCGCGCCGCAAACTCGCTGAGAAGGCAAGACGCGCAGTCGAAGAGGCGGAGAAACTCGAGCAGATGATGGGCACCTACAACGGCACACGGCTGGTCGCGCCTCCTATTGACGTGGAGATGAGCGACGAGAGCGATGACGAGCACGATGAACGGTTGGATCACGACCGCGATTACACGTCTCACTCGTATCAGCGCGACCACCCTTATATTCCGGAAGAGAGCGAGGAGGACGAAGAGCCTATGGTCAAGAAGGACGAGCCTGCCGAGGTCCACGCCTTGACCACGGACGAGCACGACGAGGTTCCACCAACAGCGACCGCCTCCCGATTCGGTGTGCGTAGTCGCTCGCCATCACACTCACCTCCGCCTGTTCCCCCGCCCGTTGCCGAGGCTACCGAAGAGAAGCCGGCGGAGCCCGTCTCGCCGCGATTCATTGCGACGCCCTTGTCGCCGACTTCACAAATCACCCCCACACCTTCGACCGGCGCCCTGCCTTTCCCCGAACCCAAGGCAGCCACTCCTACGTTCACCAACGGGCTGCCTTCTCCGTCTTCCTCGTCCTTTGGAATCGGACACTCGCGTCAGCTCTCGCAGACCTTGCAGCTATCAGGGCCGCCGTCGAAGCACAGCAGCTTCCAATCTGTACCGTCATCTCCACCTCAGCCTAACACGGCATCGTCTCTCCAGCCGACCCTAGCCGATGACAAGCCTGAGAAGGCGAAGAACAATCCCGCTGAATGGACTGTCGACGAAGTCATTGACTGGCTGCGCAGCAAGGGCTTTGGAGACGATGTCTGCGAGAAGTTTATCGGTGATTAGCTCCCTGTCTAGCCTGCTGCCAGCGCTGACCCTCCCACAGAACAAGAAATCACCGGCGACGTCCTCCTCGAGCTCGATGTCAACCTATTAAAGAGCGAGATCGGCGTCATGGCCTTCGGCAAACGCATGCGCATCGCAAACGCCATCACCGACCTTCGTCGCCCGCCCTCCGTTGTCTACTCCGACCACCCCGAGCCCTCGACGCCCATCTCGCCCGCGCAGCAGCACTCGCGCAGCCAATCGCAGTCGCAGAGCCACCACTCGTACCCAGGGACGGGCGCGGCGTCGTTCGTGTCGAGCCCGGGCCCGAACACGGCGGCGTCGCTGATGTCGCCGACGTTGGCGAATAGCGAGGGGCAGGCGTCGCCGAGGGCGAGGACCTTTGCGGACAGGGATAGCTCGGACAGGAGTGCGAGTGTGGATGATAATGCGATTGGCATGGCGCTGTCACCGGAATCGTTCAACAGGGGCTTTGGGGTGCGTTCTGTCTTGCCAGTCTATCTGTCTATTCGCTTAATTTGTCCTTTCAGCTCTCTCTTTCTCCTAGTGACGGTGCTCTGAACGCGAAGGCCGTCTCCGATATTCAAGAAGAGGCTGAAGAGGACCGTGGGGTGCTCAGCGAGGTATGCAAATCCACGAAGTCATCGACGCCTTTCTCATAGTATCATCCAGAGTGAAGCCGTCCCCGCCAGCGGTAGCAACGTCCGCCGCCGCATCTGGGGCCGCTCACAAGACTCGACGTCCAACTCTGCCAAGGATGGCGCGGTATCCCCGTCGCTTTCTCAAGAGAATGACAGGGACAGCAAGGACAGTCACAGCAAAGAGGAGAAGAAGAAAGAGAAGGACACGCTACGTCACCGCTCGCGCAAGAGCGTAGATGGCAACACTGGCAGAGGTGGTGAACGTCTTAGCATCTTCGGTGGCATGCCTTTGGGTCGCAGCCGCAAGCCACCTCCCAAGTACAATCCGTGCGCACCTCTCTCTCCAGTTGCTCTTCCTTCATACTCACGACACCACAGTGAGGACTCTGACAAGCCTGGATCTTCCTTCACTCTCGGTCGCATGAGCGGCAGGAAGACGTCGAGCGGCCGCCCCTCTACCTCCCAAGGTCTCAGTCATGGCAAAGAGGAGAAGGAGAAGAAGCCAAAGAAGGATAAGGAAGTCAAAGAGAAGTCGAAAGACAAGGACGTGAAGGAGAAGCTCGACACCGATAAGCGCGAGCCTCAGTCGCCTACCCTCCTTCGTAAACGTACATCGTCCACGCCGCATGTGCCGACGGCCCAGGAGAAGGAGAAGATCGCGGCCAATCCACTCAAGCCGGGGCAGAGCATCCTCGAGCAGATTGGCGAGCCGGACCATGCAGGTTGGATGCGGAAGAAGGGCGATCGGTACAACAGCTGGAAGCTGCGCTATTTTGTGCTCAAGGGCCCGCATCTGTACTATCTTCGGAGTAACAGCACTAGTGTGAGTAGAGGGCGAACGAGATGGACCAGGAGGAATACTGACCTCTGTACAGGAAACGAAGATCAAGGGGTATATCAACATCCTGGGGTACAAGGTCACAGTGGACGAGAGTGTGGACCCAGGTCGCTACGGGTTCAGGATAGACCACGACCACGACAAGACGCACTACTTTAGCTCCGAGGAGAAGGCTATCATCCGCGACTGGATGAAGGCCATCATGAAGGCCACCATTGGTCGCGACTACACCAGTACGCCGTTTCTGCTGCTTACGACTACCATGTACTCATCACGATATGCAGAACCCGTCGTCTCCTCTGTCAACATCCCCACCATCCCGCTCATGGTAGCGCAGGCGATGAACCCAGCGCCGCGTCCGCCTTCTCCGACAGCTCGTGAGGCCACGCAGAAGCTCATGCGTCGGGAGAACCCGAACCAGCTCTCCAGTCGTGATGCGCGGGTCCTCATGGGCTTGCCATCGAGCACGGACACGAAGGAGGAGCGTGCACGACTGGAGTCGTTCTTCACAAATGAGACCGTCGACCCCGGGGATGCTATGCAACCGACGGATACGCCCAGGTTGCCACCGCCGCGTCCGTCGCGCGAGATGCGGAGGTTGAGCTCGCAGCCTTCAGTCAGTCGCCGTCTTACCATTGTATAAAGCCCCGCGCTCATCTCCCTTCCAGACACCCCTTGACGATGGCCTCATCGACTGGGCCAATTCCCACCTACCTGCCAACCTCCAAATCCACGACACTGGCGGGCCCCTCCTCACCGGGCTCGGCCTCCTGCGCCTTGCTGAGTCCATCAAGGGCCAGCCCTCCAACCCGCCCGTGCCCGACTCCGCCTTCCCTCGAGACGCCGGCGACGATCGCCTTGACGGGCTCTTCCGCCTCTTCGATTTCCTCCTCGACAACGACGTCAAGATGGGCAGCGTCAGCATCAACGACGTCCGCCAGGGCAAGCGCGACAAGGTCATCCAGATCATCCGCGCGCTCAAGGCCTGGGAGGACAAGCGCCGGGCGCTCGCTCAGAGCATCGGCAAGGGCGCCGTGCAGGCCGGGCACTTCATGGCGCCGACGTTCTCGTAGTTCTCTAGTTCTTCCTCCGGTGGGATTTCTCTTGTGTTTCTGTGGGACCAACAACATCATTTCAATTCCTTCACCTGCCCATATTCAGCCCTATATGCGATACCGCACCACACACTCGTTTGCACTTGACAGCGTTCCAGGTAGTTTACTGTAAGTTAGTATCGCCCCGCACGACGGACACAGCCCTCGGACGCTCGCAGGTCTTCGCCCCTCGTTAGTATCTATCGCTTCGCTGTCACATACTTTGAGCTGTTTGTCTGTAAGTATACATATCTAGGATTTTTTCGTCTGAGTGTGCGGTGTAGAGAGTAACGAATACTTGGGTGTCAATTCGCATTTTTCAGCAGTTTGTCCGAGCGTGTTGGTTGGGTTTGGCAAGGTGGATTGGGCCTCGCACGCAACAGACAAGAAGGTAAGTAAGTACAGTGTTCTGAATGGACCTGGGGACTGAATGACGTCGCCGCGCCTAGTCGTAGCGTGGTCCGCGCCTTCGAGGGGGAGGTGAGCGCGAACGCGGCGAGCGTGATCTCCTGCCTCCCCTCCCACCGCGATTACCCCACCCTCCGTCACCACGATGTGGCGGCGAGTCGCGTCGTGGTGGTGGCATGCGCCTATCGCGGTCGCGGTCTGCGTCGCGATCAATACCACCTCTCCCCCTTCCTCCTCCGCGCGGGCCGCTTGACGGGTTCGACTCGCCTCGCCAGTGTCCGCCTCCGCGACCTGGCGCGCCCGTGGCACCTAGCGGTGCTCCCCAGCCCGCGTCTCCGGGGCCGCCACCTCGCCCAGCACCAGCGCCGGCGCCGTTTTTCCACCCTCCTCTCTCCGCCGCAGCTGCAGGCGCCGCGCTCCCCTTGATGCTCAGCTCTGTGCCCAAATTGACGCGGCTCGGGAAGAGCACGGCGACGAGAAGGTAGTCCCCGGGCACGAAGCGCAGCTCGTCGAGGGTGCGCTCCGCTTTCTCTGGGTTCTCTGCAGGTACGCGCGGCGTGTCGTCGTCCTCGAGCAGGCGCGGGGCGGTGGTGCCGAGGGTGCCGGGCTCGCCGAGGATGTCGCGCGAGTAGACCATGCCGAGGTCCTTCTGGGAGAAGCGGCCCTTCGTGCTCGAGTCGGCGTAGACTGTACGGAAGCTGAAGCGCGCGAGAGGATGGCGGTATTCGGGGACATGGGGTGCGGTGTTGCGCAATGTGGAGACTACTTCACGGAGGGTCGCGTCTTTCCTAGATAAAATATTAGTAGAGGGAGGGGGAAGAGGGGCAGACCACGCACCAGGTAAAGAGCTGCTGCTCATCAGTTGTAGGGAGCGTTCCATCCTCGAAAAGGGCGATGCGGTGGAAGCCGCCGATCTTCACGAATGTCCGTACGAGAAACGGCACTGTCTAATGCTCGTTAGCTTCGGACAGACCAATTCAGATATCCCCTGACCTTTTCGCGGTCGACAATGGGCGCGCCGGCAGGTGTGGTGTCAACGTCCATGATGGCGAGGAACAAGGGACGCGTATAATTTGGTCGTTATTCGGACAAACAAATGAACCTGGTCTTAACCGTTTCCCTCGTCGTCGCTCTCGACCACAAACCTCGCTCATAGCCCTCGTCCGGATTGCCGAAATGCTATCAGTAGTCTGCGTATACACCGAAGCCTTATCGCCAGGCCGTCGGGGAGGGCAAGCAACATGAGCACTGAGTCACCAACCCACGGGCAGCTTATCGGTCTTATCACCCCCCTGCTCCCTCTCTAGTGACTCCTGCGGATTCGAGGCGGTATAAAGCTTTCGTGTTTATAAGCAAAGGTCGCGCGCGACTTTGGTTGGCTTTCTGACGCCATGACGGCCCCGTCTTACGCCTACGAGCCTCTGAAGCAGGAGGACGCGTCGGCTTCGCAGCCTGCACCCTCCAAGGCGCGTCGCCGCCTCGGGGCCTTTGCAGCGCTCTTTCTTGGCACGATCGCACTATCAGCTCTCGTGTTCCGACCTGCGGGGAAGCTCGAGGACCTCATCTTGCACGACGCAAGCGATGATCTACTTCCCCTTGCGCAATGCGCAGCCCCCTCCGTGTCTTCTGCGAAGCCCCCCGCGCCGATCAATCCTTGGGCGTCTCTGACGGTTGAGGAGACATCTAGCATTCAAAGATGGCTCGAGGCGCCCGAGCGCGGCCTCAACCTCACGCGCGCGCACGGCTCCTCCATGTCCGACAATGTGATCTTTCTCATCGAGCGCCACTACCCCTCCAAGGCCGATGCGCTAGCCTACCTTGACGATCCTGTCCCTGCAAAGGAGCCTGTGAAGTATGCACGGGTCTCGATCCACCATGGCACCATCCCCGCCGTCAAGATTTACCTCCTTGGTCCCCTTCCCATCGGCGAAGAGACGTCGATGCGGGAGCTGACGGAGATCTACCATCGCCCGGACGTACCATTCAATGCTCGCGGGTACTTGACTGGGAACGAGCTGCCTGAGCTGCTGGGCCGCATCACCCCTCCTCTTGCGGATGCGATGCTGGTGCGCAACCTCCAATCCAATATCTACATCTTTCATGCTAACGAGCGTATAGGAACTCTTCAATGGTACCGCAAATGGGTCGCCGAACGACACTCTCGTCGCATCTGGTAGTGGTCCATTCAGCTTTGACGGCGAGTTCCGTCGCATGTGGATCTCATGGCGCCGCAACGCTGCCGGCCCCTGGCTTCACCCGATCGGGTTCTGGCAGTACGTCGACATGTCCGGCACCGACCCCGAGCAGTGGAAGATCCTGAAGGTACGTACATCATCTTTCCCCCACTTTCACCCTTTTCCTCACTCACGCCCCCCACCCCACCCCTCCCCAGGTTGTCTACAACAAGCAAGTCTTCGACTCCGTCACCGACTTCAACGAGGCCCTCCGCAACGGCACCCTCGTCCGCGCCCACCACGACTCCTCCGCCGACGTCTCCTGGGCGACGCGCAAGCCCACCGGCGCCGTGCGCGACCTCGAGCATCTGCCCGGCCCGCGCTCCGTGTCCTTCGCTGGCCTGCGCTTCCGCGTCGACGAGCGGACGCAGTACGTGACGTGGATGGGCTGGAGCATGTACCTCGGCTTCGACCGCGATATGGGGCTCAATTTCTGGGATATCAGGATCAAGGGCGAGCGCATCATCTACGAGCTGTCCCCGCAGGAGGCGATTGCGCAGTATTGTGAGCTTCCCTTGTAGTTTTTTACTCGTCGTCGGGCTTACGCCTCCGCTCAGCCGGCAACGACCCCCTCCAGGCCAGCACGGCCTGGCTCGACCGCCACTTTGGCATGGGCCGTTCCGTCCGCGACATGCTACCCGGCTACGACTGTCCTCATGAGGCTGTCTATCTGCCTGCGACCACGCACTCGGGTGTCGGCAGCGTCCACGTCCCGCGCGCAATCTGCATCTTCGAGCAGGACTCGGGCAAGCCGATCACGCGGCACACGGGCTATGCGGAGGGCGAGTTCGGCGCGGTGAAGGGGTACACGCTGACCATCCGGAGTATCAGCACGGTTGGGAAGTAAGTGGTTTGTTCGTGGGCTAAAAGGATTGGTACTAACGGTGGATTGATAGCTACGACTATCGTAAGTGGTGAAGCTGTGCGATGAGACGCAATGTTAACGCTGTGCAGTGTTCGACTACGTCTTCCACCTGGACGGCACTATGGAGGTCAGGCTTTCCGCTTCCGGCTACCTCCAGGGCGGCTACTGGGAGCCGACGCAGAACGGCTACGGCGGGCGCATTCGTGACACGAGCAGTATGCCTCCTTCCTTCTCTTGACGCTATCATCCCGCTCACCTTGCTCATCAGTGGGCAACCTCCACGACCACGTCATCAACTACAAGGTCGACTTCGACATCGCCGGCCTCGAGAACACCGCCATGAACACGACCGTCAGCCAGGAGGTCCGCTACGAGCCCTGGTTCAGTGACGACTGGGGCGCGGACCACACGCAGGGCGTCATCACCAAGACGCCCATCAAGAACGAGGATGAGGCGCTCCTGAAGTGGCCGAATAACTTTCAGGGCGGGTTCTCGGTGGTGAACATGGAGAAGAAGAACCGGTGGGACGTGCCGAGGGGGTATGCGGTGCACCCGGGGCTCTCGCCGATTCATAACGTGCGTGCTATTGGGATAGCTGGTCCGAGGAAGGGGGAAGCTGACGGTGGGCAAATCTACAGAGCGTCGTCGGCTCGCGCCGCATGCTGAACAACGCGAACTGGGCGCGGTACAACATGGCGTTCTCGAAGCGCAAGGAGACGGAGCCGTCGTCGAGCAGCGCGTGGAACATGAACCTGCCGGGCGCGCCCATGGTCGACTTTCACAAGTTCTTCGACGGGGAGAACATCGAGCAGGAGGATATCGTGGCATGGATCAACGTCGGGATGCACCATTTGGTATGTTGCTCGCGCATCCTGCATCCATTCGTCCTGACCTTTCTCCCCAGCCTCAAGCAGAGGACTCCCCGAACACGAAGACGAACGTGGCGACCACCGGCTTCATCCTCACCCCGCTCAACTACTTCGACTCCGACATCTCGATGGACATGTCCAACGCGATCGTCCTCACCGCGCCCGCCAACCCCGGCGACCCCTTCGCCTTCGACGACTACGGCGTCGACCTGGGCTACACCTGCGTGCCCGCCGCACCGGCGCCCTTCGAATACAAGCTGGGCACGACGTATGACTGGGAGGGGCGTGCGGTGCCGTATGATAGCATCGAGGAGTTTAGGAAGGATGCGGAGGGTTACCATCGGATTAAGGTCGAGCTGTAGATAGTGTAAAGGGGATCTTGTTTGTGGCAAGGGTGGAATGTACATATGTACGATAGACGTTGACTTAAGTGGATGGAATAGACATGTTTTCTTGTATATTCGCGAAATGTCCGCACTGAACGTGCTATGCAGACTACTCATACAAGCGTCCTGCCGAGCGAAAGTGTTGGCTTGAGAGAATCAAATGCCTATTGTTCCTAATTGGGTAGGTGATATATCCGGGCGCTGCGCTGGGTGCTGGGCGCGGTTAGTGCGTAGCCAATCTTTCGATAACAGCGGTCTTGCTAAACTCATTCATGCAACAGAAAACAGTGCAGCTACAGTCATGATATATAAACAGCGTTCCTGTTCCTATCCCCTCGAGGGATTATCTTGTCTACAGGCTCCTCGTGGATAGCCGTCGCTCGTCAGCGGATGGGTGGCCTTATATTGTCGTCGGGTGTGCTGGGGTTTGGTGGAGTGGTCGTCGTGCAGGTCGGTGGGGGTGAGGGCTCCGCATCAACCCATAGGGTCGCGGGACTCTTTAAGTATCTATCTACCTCGACGCCATAGCCGACTTGCCCACCCGGATGTTCCTCATCATGCGCACGATCAGTGTAGAAACGAGATACAGAAAATATTTTCAACTTCAATCATATAGGAAGGTACAATTCATACAGGTATACAAGCTTCGTTCCGAACTACAATGGAGGCGGGATAAGTCGAACATATAAGGGATTAGATGAAGGGTAAAGATAGGGAGAGGGTTCGCGGTAACATCGCGTCCACGATTTTACGACTTGTTGTGGTGGAAGAAGGACGAGATCCCGTGATGCTCCTTCGGGCGATCATGCGTGATGTTGCCTGCCCCGCCACGCCCATGACTCTCAGAATCGTGATGCTGGGGGTGGATGTGCTCGACAGGGGGCGCAGGGGAGTGGGTGATGTTACCGAAGCCGCCGCGGCCGGTGGCATGTCTGCAAGATAGAGGCGTCAGCATATCTCGATGATGGAGCGATAAGATATGGAAGGGACGCACGTTTCCTCGGGCAGGGAGTGCGACTTGCGCTCCTCGTCCTCTTCGTGGAGGGTCTCGGACGAGAGGGGGCCCTCGCCGGAGACCATGTTGCCGAAGCCGCCGCGACCGGTCGAGCGCACGGGCTCGCGGGAGCGCGATCGGGAGACGAGGGACTCGGGCTCGCGCGATCGGCTGCGCGAGATGTTGCCCAGGCCACCGCGGCCGGTCGAGTGGGGCATGTCGCGCCCGCGCTCTTCAGCAGCGCGCAGGATCTCGCGCTCGCGGGCCTCGTTGCCCTCTGAGACCTCGCGAGAGGCGCGAGAGGGGGACCTCATATTCCCCGCGCCGCCGCGTCCGGTGGAGAACACCTGCCGATCCATCAGTTCTGGCTTCAGCGATGTAGACAGCTACGCACCTCTTTCGCATGCGCCGGGATGGGCTCTCGTCCGCGGGTAGCGGAAAAATCGTCAGGGCCGTCGTATACGGGAACCTCTTCAGAGGCGCGATGGATATTCCCCAGTCCACCTCGGCCTGAGGAAGTCTACAACTCGTTAGCAACATTACTCCCTACCCCAAACAACCCACTCACAAACTCGTGTCCTCTCGAGGCTGAGCGTTCGTTTGACATCGTGATGGGCGTAGATGGCAAGATCGTAAATGGTGGCGGCACTGCCAGGGCGCTCTATATAAGTAAAGGGGCCCGTCAAGTTTTTACCCGCGGCCAGACGATGAAGTCATCGGTCGATTTCGACATCCTTGGCAATGCCGGACCACGGACCTAGGGAACCTGACTAGAGCGGTGTACGGGATGAGCCAGTCGTGCGAGGAGGAGAAGAGGCGGAGGGGAGCCTCGATGGGTCAAGGCCCGCAACATGATGAGTGAGAAGCGATACCTACCTTCGAGCATCAGGTGACTGGTTCGACTTCAGAAGACGAAGGGAAGGCGCTAAAGGACGCTGATAGGCAGGCAATGAAAGAGGTACAGGGATATACATGACCCAGAACAGATACCAGCCTTCATGAAGATACTCGGTCACTCTTCATGCCTCCCAAGTGTCAACCTCCACCAGCAACTTCCGACAGGCACCCTCCGGCACAGTGCCACCATCGATCCTGTACCCTGTCAGCCAAGGTCCGTACCATGCCCTCGCATGGCGCTACACTTACCCTGCTGCGATGCCACTCCTGGCTGTATAGGAGGAGTATGAGCGCCGTCAGCGCCGTGCCCGAGCCGCCGAAGTCATCCGGAATCGTGAGCGTCGCGGGCTTGCTCTTCTCGAACACCTTCCTGTCCTTGGGCGTAAATTCGGCAACGAGCGTTGAGGCGGACGGTCCGATGTAGACCTGCGGGATAAGTTCAGCGAGAGGCGCGAGACGAGGAAGGTGAGAACTCGCATTCCAGCTCGAGTTGCTAAACGGACCGTGGATGGTATACGTCGTGTTTTCCAGCTTCCAGACGAGCTTGCTGTGAACGGATCGTTCGATTCAGTGTTCAGCAAGGGAGGATACTATCGTACGTACTGCTTCCAGAAACTGGTCGATACCTTCGCCCTCCTCACGCGCACCGAATGCCCCTGCACCTCGAACGTCTTCTTGCGCCAATGGACAGAGGCGACGGGCTTCTCTGCGGCTACAATAGCCGTGCACTTGCGGCGGCCAGTCCATGTATGACTGGTCTCGGTGCGCAGGGAAGCGCTGCCATCGTCAAGCTGCAATTCCGAGTCGAGAGGATTGCTGCTTGAAAACGAGAACGTCGGCATGGCGCGTAGAGATCGTTCTGCCGTCGTGAGGAAGATCGGATAGATAGTAGAATGCAGGTCGTCCGGTCCAGGAGGAGATTCAAGTGTATGTTCGATGGTCAACGCTGACGCCGACATATGTACCTTCAGCCTTGTGGAGCATTCGTGAGACGAGCTGTTGCAAAACAGGCGGCGAAGTGTTCGCACTGTCTCGAGCTGTTCACGGAGAGATAGCGGTGGAGAGTGGTAGAAATGGACGCTGTTAGAATAGAAACCCGCCGGCATACAAGCGCTCAAAGAGCGTGGTGGTCGCTAGACCAAGATGAACACGAACGAGGAGGCATTGCTATTCAATTTGCAGCACCAGGATTGAAGGCTTAAGTCATACGCTTGTGGTACACCGTGAACAAATTGAGAGTATAGTGAGTGCTTGAATTTGGTCGAGAGCAGCTGATTGCGACGTGAACGGAGAAAGCAACGCCCATGTTGGAGTGATGTAAACAAGGCGCGCCACCGGCAAGCGCCGTGATGGACCCACAACATCAAAGCTTCCAAGACATGACCATGAAAGTTGCGCTCACGGCACTGTTTTTGCGTTCCTGGGCGAGCTGAGCGCTTTTGCGTGGTTTGGAAGAGAGCAAAAAAGGGCCTGACCGGGAATTGAACCCGGGACCTCCTCGAAACAGTGCGTACACCCTAAGTATTGGCATTACCGACCAGGTCCGACCTCGGAGGCAGGAGGAACCCGCTTCCGAAAAAGGAAGGCAGCCATCAATGTTGAGCGCAACTGTAATTCAATCTCTCATTCTTGGTTTATTCCTTCATCATGGACCTGCAGTCGGAGAACATGGTACGATGCTGTGACTACTTCCACTGCTTCGTGCTAATCTTGCACAGACTATGGAGCAACTCATCGTTATCAACATGCAACGGCACAAGAAGGCTCGACTTGCCGAGGCACCGGACGATGGCGCTAAGGCACCGGCGCCTAAACGCGCCAAGAAGATCCACAGATCATGGGCGGCGCACGTCCCCGAACGCCTCCCTTCAGCTCTCGCAGTCATCGTGCCGAGCGTCAGCACACATTCGGCGGGTACTCGCGGGCGCGAGCGCGCGCAGGTGCGCGATCCTTCCGTCGGACTTGTTGTATATATCTGCTGACTCGCTCAAAGCGCTCCCCTTCACCTTTGGACCAAACGATCGCGGCAGACGAATGGACGGAGGAAGATGTGACGATGGTGCGTGGCGCGTGCCTTTGAGCTCAGACGCATATATCGACCTCACATATCACAGATTGAGGCCGCCCCCGCGGCTATGCCGCCGATCGACGTCCCCACGTGCCTGCGAGAGCTCGAGAGCGAACTCGCGAAGTTGCTCGATGCGGGCAAGACTGTGATCAGCCTGGAGAACACAGGCTATAGGGAGACACAGGCCTCTAGACTGCGTCGCGCCAAAGCGGTTGAGAGCGGTCGGCGAGTGATCAGCATCGCCGAGGATGCTCTCGGCAAACTTCGCACCGTGCTTGGATCCCTTCCTCTCGAAAACAAATGATTCTCATGGTTCTGAAGTCGCTTGCATGACTCATTATATCTCCCTGTATCGCACTTCTCGTCGTCGTACCGCTCTCGTCGCTCGCTTTGGACCCGGTGTCATATCACGCTCTCGCCTGCATAACTCGCTGTAGACTCAGACATTTTGCATACAATTGGACTCATGGATTCAGTAAACTACTTGGTATGCATTCGCTCAATAAGTAGCTTGGCGCGTTTGCGCGCATCCCCTTTGCGACATCGTGTCTGAAGACACACGTAGGCAACGTCCGCCGCCTGCCCTTGAACCTTGCCAACGAGCGTCGCGCGCAAGAGTGGCACGTCTTCCTCGTATAGCACGATCTTATCCTTGGCGACCGCTACCTTGCTGCTAAGGTCGACAGACTCCCTGAGGGACAACGACGTGTCCTGCGCGTGGTCGTGGCCTGGACGAGCGTCCACGCAGCGTAAAAGGTCGTACCCGTGCGTGTTGTGCCAGTGGTCAATCATGTCGGAAAAGTCGTACGTGCTGTTGGATAGTCAGTGCACGGTTGCCGAGTAGTATTGACCGCCTCACGTAGCATTCTCGCGGCACGTCCACATCCTGCAACGAAGCGCGACATTGATATCAAACTTGGGCCGAGAGCCCCCCGTCTTCAAGTGAGAGAGCATGTGACGGAGCATTTCGCCCCTGACAGGATCACTGGTAAACAATCAGAACGTACGCGAGAACATCACCAAGTAACGTACTTCACGCCGCATGCATTGGGATCCTCCTCGTCAAAGTCGTTGATGCAGACAGGGCAGTAGTACACCGTCCGATCATTGAACTCGGTTTCGAATACGTGCTTGTACGAGTCTACGCCACTAGGAGGCTGTGAGTGACTGGACAAGAGAACTATAACAGCGACACGTACAGGGGACGTCCCGCATGCTCGGCATCCTGGACATCGATGTTCTTGGCTGCGATCATGTCAGCATAGCAGAGCCGACAGTGCTTGTCGAGCTCATCGCCATGAGTGAAGAAGCCACCACAGAAGTTACACCTGGTGTGCGTGTCCTTGTGGTGCCGCTCCATGCACGTCCACATGTGCCGCCCATAGTTACCGCGCAGGTCCTTGTGAATGCCTTCGCGAGCGCATAGGAAGCATTGACGGTGGAGCATCTGCTCGTCCAGACGGTGGACGTGCATCAGGGCCTTGAAGACATCGGCGCGCGCGTGCAAAGCATTCTCGCCCGTGACGAGCGGAAGGTACGGATGACCGGCATCGAGGGAGTCTACGAATCGCGCGAGCGTAGCACTCCGTGGTGCACCGTCCACTGCAGCCGATGGAGCGGGAGCTACAGGTGGAAGTATCTGGTTGGGACACACGGTCAGCGCGCGTATGATGTGACGAAGGGCCGACGTACCTTGTTGTTGAGGTCTCTAAGCGCCAACAAGATATCATTCATGGCGTCTCGGGCCTCCTCCACGAGCTCGTCCGGCTCCTCCATATCCGGCACCTCATCTACCCACTGGCCGTACTTATCGTAGACGGCGTGGTCGAGCACGTCGAACCTCTGAGCTAGTTCCTCGATCTTCGCATCCGCGAAGAGGCGGCGGACACGATCCACATGCTGGCTGTCCCCGGAGGCGGGACCGGCAGTCCGCCCGACCGAGTTGTAAAACTCAATCGTGCTCGTGTCCTCCGCACGCCCGCGGAAGCGCGACTGAAAGTCGACCTGCGCGATCTGAGCCTTGTACGTGGTCCAGGTTAGCAAGGAGCCGATGCGGTGGCCCATGGCAGCAGTGACGGTGTCCTATGAGCATGATGAGTCACCAACTCGCATGAAACAGGAGAACACATACCGGGGACACTGTTCTCTTCAGGTTCTCGCCGAACGTGTACCGAAAGAACTTCCACATGAACGCGACGATGCCACAGAACCGGGCTGCCTTGTGGATGAATTGGTTGGAGGACGTGGCGCTCATGGTCTTCCACTCCTGCGGCTTGCGATGTTCGCCGAGATACATCTCGGGCTGGTTTTCCGTGTTCGCAGCCGCCGCTTTCTCCTGCGAGGGCTGCATGGCGGCGCGCACGACGCCCGTGTGCTTGAACTTCTCGCGAACGACGAGCTCGGTCTTGGATGCAGGTGGAGCGACCGCGCCGGTGAGCCATCCGATGACTTCGGTGGACTGCTCCCAGACGTCGTAGTAGCAGCCGATGACGAGGAAAGGGAGGATGGGGTCCATGTGCGCCTCATAGCCCGGCAGCACGCGGACACTCTTGTCGGAGATGCGCTCGGAAGAGCCCTTGAAGCCCTTGAGCCAGTGCAGGCGGAAGAAGACGCTCACGTTGGCGCCCCAGGAGTCGGCACCTTCGATATAGACGGTGGTGTCGCCCCATCGCACACACTGCGCGAGTCCCTGCGCGTTCTGCGCCTCCGTCCAGGTGCCGATGCGCGTGCCGAGCTCGGCCATGATCGTCGTGAGGAAGTACATGGTAATCCGGGTCTTGTTCGAGCCATAGCTGAGCCCAGGATCGAGGAGCGCCTTGAGCATCTTGAGCAGGTCGGTTTCACGCATGAGGAGTTTCTCGCGTGCGCGATCCTCGATGACACCTAGGACCTTGGCCAGAGTGTCGATGAACTGGAGAGTGTCAGTCGGGAACCAATGCGCAGCGAACCGGGCCACGCACATTCTTGTTAGCCTCCCGGTAAGCAGGCGTGGGGGACGCAACACCACGCGAGTAGAGCTGCGAGTAGGTCAGACGCTGCCATAGAGTTGCGGTAACGGTCGTTGCTCACCATGCCGAAGACTATGCCCTGAAACTTGCCCATCGTGTTATACGAAAGCCCGTGACCATCCGGTCCGCGCGTCTTGGCGACGAACTCAAAGAACGTCTTCATGGTGCCCTCCTCCGGCAACGCCTGACCCTTTTGCAAGGTCAGCGCAGCGAGCTTGTCGGACCCGAAGAAAGCCGAGAAAGTCTCCAGCCAGACGCGCGCGACATAGTCGTAGTAGGAGAGTGTGCTCGCTGCGAGCACGTGCATGTCAAAGTCGCTGTTGTCGATCTCGCGGAGGACGACGGCGAGGGCGTCGAGGCCAAAGTGCTTATTGAAAGCTTCGGCGACGTTGACCTTCGTCTTGCCGCGACGTGGCTTCGCCTGGGGCAACCCCTCCGCATCGATATGGTCGTCGTCGACGGGCGCGCGGGCGGTGGGCACAGCTGGTGGTGCGGGTTGCGCAAGAGTGCGCACATCGATAGGCGGATGCCGGATGGACCACATGTGGGTCCCCGGCAGCGCGACGAAGGTGCGCTTGTCGTCCGTGCGCGGTAGGTTGCTCTTGCGAACAGCGCCATGGGCCATGGCGGAGGGAGTTGGGCGATGGGGCAGCTACGGTACTGCCATTCTCTATATGAGATGTGGGATGGTTCTGCTCATGTCGATGGGTTGCAGGCTGTCGCGCTGGAAATCGAGGTGCGTCACCCACCAGTAGACGTGCGAGCTAGGAGAGAAGCCTGCGAGGGCAGCAGGACTCGCGTGTGCCCTCTGGAATTTCCGAGTGTGGTTGGGCTGCCATGTCGCGGGCATGTCGGATCGACAGGAATGCAAGGCACGTTGGACAGGCGGGGCCAGCGGAGGCTTCGCGCGGACTTTATCCGCCTGCGCTGCTCGTTCATGTTGTACGGTGAAGAGAGGAAGCAGGCTCGCGTTGGGCATGGTGGTCGCGCAACACAAGACGGTGCGCAAAACATGGACACATGTTTTCATAACATGTTACGTAAAAGCGACTGCGGCGTGTACTCTAAGCTCCCACAGCTGTCCGCGGACGATATCTGTATACTCGGGACGGCGCCAAGCTGCGGCTGTCAGCGCAATGACAGCTTCCTCGGCGCGCAAGTACAGCTTCTGCCGTGTTCCTCTGCTAGTCTCGTTCACAAAGGCTTCATAGTATGCGAGGGCGGTGTTCATCGCCTTTGGACCGTTCGTCGTGCTGAGCAGAATATCGTACTCCCAGCAGGGATCGAGGAGGACGATGGGCCCAAACTGTGCGAAGTCAGCGTGCGCTGGGAGCAAAACATGCCAAGGACCGTAGTACCCTGGCAAATAGCCTCAGGAGGCGGTTGCGCGCGGTGACGTGCACCTGCTGTGAGCGCGCAAACTTGTTGATGTCCTTCTTACGGTCCTTGAACACCTGCTCCGCGGGCCCGGACGCAAGCGCCGCGCGGCCCTCCTCTGTCTCTGCCCAGAGTCGGCGATAGAAGTGGGTCGCGAACTGGCTGTCGTGGGTCGACGACGCGTACCATCGGCGAGCTAAGGTGACGTCGAAAAGCTTGAGAAGCATCCTGTTCACGAAGGCGAACTCGCCCGTGAACTGACGGAAGTCGCGTATACCCTGGTCGGAGACGCCTCAGCACGAGGGAGCGCGGAGTATTACAAGCATCCACCCACGTTGTGCTGCAGGGCCAGCACGCTGATCGACTGCTTTCCGACGAGGAATTCCTGCTGAAGCGCAAACAGGTCTTCACTGTCAGCCGATCTCGCGAAGGCTTCCTTCCAGCTGTCGGCCGTAATACCGGGCGCAACGCCACGGACGGCGTTTGCAAGCGCGATCCGCCGTCTCCTTGTCTGAGTACTGCTGAGGCCGGCGAGCTGGGCAATCTGTGCGCTTGAGAGGGGCGACTGCCAGAGGTTGGCTCCGAGTAGGGCCTGGATGTCCTCCTCCGCAGAGGCGGCGGATGGCCGAGGGCGACGAGGGGGAGCGGACACGGGCGACGGCGACGGTGTATGGGCGGGTGTGGGTGCTGGTGTGGGTGTCCGCACGTGCTCGGGTGTATGCGCGCGTGTGTCGGAAGCAGGTGTTGGTGTCAGTGCGCGGGATGCAGGCGGATTCGGGGACGTTTGTGTCTCGGAAGTGAGCGGCGTCGAAACACGGCGGGTATCGAACTGCTGGAAGAGGTCGCCAGGGAGATGCTGCGTGACGTGAGCACGTACGTCTTGTAGCGATGTATGGCTCACGCCAAGCTTGCCTCTGTGTACGTCGTGACCGTGTCGTACAGACGGCGGTCCAGGGCGCGCACGCGGGCGATGGCATGATCATCCTGACCGACACTGTCGATCATGCGACGGTGGCGGGCGACGGCGTCAAGGTGCATGCGCAAGTCCGCGACCGCGAGTTCGTAGCTATTGACCCAGTCGGTGTTGCTGGCCATGATCGTCAGAAGCAAGGAACGTGTTTTACTTCCGCCCATCATGCCAAACCCCGTGCCCTGCGAAGCCACTGACGAATACAAGGCGGCGTTTGCAGCGAACCCGACGCTCGTCGTCCGTCGCGGCCTGCCCCGCCTTCCCGAGGACGAGCAGGGGCGGACGCGTCGTGGCAAGCGACCCAGCACGGGTGCGCGCAAAATCCATCTGCCACCGCTGGACCTTGCTAATCGGAGTAGGCGGGAGCGCGCAGAGGCGCAAGCGCGCGAAACGAGGCGAGGGTGAGGGCAGCAACAGCGGGAGAGGCGGGGTCGGGGGCGAGGGCGGAAACGTGGGTGAGGTCGTGGGTGAGGTCGAGGGTGAGGACGAGGACGAGGACGAGGACGGGGGCGAGGGAGGGGGAGGGGGCGAGGACGGGATCGACGGAGGTGGGCAGTAATGTCGCTGTCAGTAGTGATCGACGGAAAGAAGCATCGGAAGCTAAATTGACTGACGTCACGCGTCGCGGCGCGTCGGGATTCGCGGCGGGCGGGAGGTTCGTCGACGTCCGCGTCAACGGTGGCAGCGATGAGCTGCGAGGCGCTCGACGTCGTATGAGCTTGTCGGCGCGCAAGATGAAATCATCGGGAGTGATTGGCGGCCGTGTGCATGACGGAGTGGTCAAAGATGTCGCGCACGACGGGCGGCGGCGGCGGCGTGCATGTCAACAGACGCGGCGACGGAGCGGGGCTCAACGACCGGCGGGCTGATGGCGGTGTCGGTGACGGCGGAGGACGTGATCAACGCGCGTACACGACGATGTGCGCGGCGACGGGGCGACAGACCCGACGACGCAGAGTGACCGGCGGTGCGCGGGGAGTATAGTCGCGCACCGACGCCTACTCGACATCCCCTCTCGCTCAACGCCTCGGGCACCTCCTACCGCGCCGACACCTCCCTCTTCACCCGATTCCCCTCCGCCTAGGCTCCCCCCTCACGCAATGCTTTTCATACCCGGAAGCACACCGGGACCCATTCTCGCCGCGCCGCTACCCTCCCCCCGAGGCCTTTTTTCTCGCTGACGCATCCCCGTCTCCTCCCACGTCCGAGAACACTTTGCGAGAGCATGCTCCCCCGCTACGCGAAAGAGACTTCCACCCCCCACGCCATCGCTGCGCGAAAGAATGTCCGGGCGGGGTCGCTCCGCGAGGGTATGCACGGTCCCCCGCCCCCATCGCTTCGCGAAAAAGTGCCTGGTCGGATTCGCTTCGCGAGAGAATGCCTGGGCCCATCGCTCCGCGAAAGAATGCCTGGCTCGGAATTTTTGGGCCTCGCTCCGCTCGGGGCCCAAAAATTCCTGCGCACCAGAATCATACTACTAGACCATCAGGCCAATATTTGTTAGAAGAAATTGTCCGTTCATTGCCGGCGCCAATGAAAGCCTCTGCGGCTTTGAAACTCGTCCCCAACCCCCATCCATCCTCATAACGGTGCGTTTCCCATAGCAGGACCCATCTGATCCTCATGCAAACACAGAACTCGTCAGCCTTTGAGAACACGGAGAACTGTGCGTACAACATCATCATCGGTACGTCTTACGCATTGATGATGCAGAGGATAGCAATCAAGGCTTGACAATGAGAATGCATTCCTCCACCGCTGCCGTACTTCCTGAATCGTCAGTCCATCTAGGTCTGTCACCTTGTGACCGGGCCATGTTCGGTGTGGTGCTTTAAACGTCCTGAACGTTTAGTATCGCCACAGCTCCTGGACCTCCTACCTCTATCCCCCTCCCCCTCCCCTTTTTCTCCTATTTTGCTTGCTGTCGTCTTTCACGGATGCCCCCTTCATACCACCACCCCTGCCATACATGGCAACAATTGTACTTGTGGGTCCACCATTGTCCTTATGTCCGGTTCCTGGACCCCGGCGCCGCGAGTCTTCGGGCCGCCGCGCCAGCTAGTGGTGTGATGTAACCTGTGAAACGTGAGCGCGGCGCTTCATCCTCGTGGCGGTTTATTTCTTGCCCTCTTCCATCCCGCTCTCGCTCGACGCCTCTTTATCTACCCTGCATGCTTCAGACCAGACCGCGCCGATAGACCAAGCTTACAGCGAAATTAAACCCAGAACAAAGCAAGCCCCTCGCCACTCATCGATACACTCTGATCCACACATGGTCGCGTATGCATCAACAAAGTCCGAGAGGTGTGTTTGTCACTTTCGCACCTTGGACCAGACCAACTAGAACGCGCATGTACTACTACAGGGCCCCCGCTCGCCACAGGGCATGGGACATCCCGGAGCTCGTCCAGCTCATCTGCGAGGAAGCCGAGCATCTCCCGCCGGCCAAGACCGCCAAAGGCCCGCGCCTGCGCCCGATCGCGGCGCTCGCGCAGATCAACCGCGCCTTTTGGACCCTTGCCGCGCCGTGTTTGTGGCGAAAGCAGACGAGCCTGATTCCCCTGCTCAAGTGCTTGCCCGCCGACACCTGGGAGCAGCGTGTGGTAGACGATCGGCTTACCTTTGTGCGTGTACGCGAACTGTTACTCAGCGCCCACGCTCATAATATCTCTGACAGCGGCTTACTCGACCACTCACACCGGAGGATTGCCATCGGCTCTATGTTTATGGACCCCTCGTCAAGAGCCTTGACACGACCCAGGCACCGGACGAGCCTGTGGTGCACCGAGAGGTGTATCGCATGCTGAGCAGTTGCATACCGAAATCTACACTCTTGCCCAACCTCAAACGGCTATACTGGCAAATGGACGAGGGCTACTCACAGCTGTTCTTCGCCCGTTTCGTCGGTAACAAAGTCACTTCGGTGCGCCTTTATCGTGGCACGCGCAGCGATATAGGCCAGGAGCACTCGGACGCGACCCCACCCACCCTGTTCCTGCTCGCCCTCGCCGACTCCTGCCCGTCCGTGCGAGAACTGGCGCTCGCGTCGTACGACGCCGACTTCCTCTGCGACATCGTCGGCAACTGCTGGAACACCATCTCGAGTCTCACCCTCAGCTCCCTCGAGCTCAGCCCGCATGCGCTGGGTCACCTCGCCGAGCTCCCGAACCTGCAGACGCTCCACATGGCCGTCGTCGACCCGCACCTCCCCGTCACCCTTGTCCAGCCCGGCTTCCGCGCGCTCACCGCGCTCTTCCTCTACGTACCAAGCATGGAGACGCTCAACGACGTACTGCAAATGTCGGGACCATGGCCGTTGCAGTCTGTCTACGTTGGCACGCACCTGCCCTCTGTGGCAACGGAGTGGGACAAGCTGATTGGCACGCTGTCGGAGAACCTCTCGCCCGAGACGCTCACCTCGTTGACCATCACCGAGGAGCAGCTCTCCGAGAGCGCGCCGCGGCAGGTCATCCGAGACCAGGACGTCGACCAGTACCTCATTGGCGGGGGCGCGATCCGACCACTGGGACGCTTCCACCGCTTGCGGTCGGTGACGCTGCAGCCACATTGTGGTGTGGCATTCACGGACGTGGATATCGCATACGTCGCACCGAAATGGCCAGACGCGCTCGAGGTGCAGCTCGCGCCGTACCACCGTCCACCACGGGGCCCGCGGTGCACCTTCGGCTCCATCCTCGCGCTCGCAGAACACTGCCCGCGGCTGGACTACCTCCAGCTCGCAATCGACGCGACGCACCCGCTGCCCGACCTCGGCGACAACGCGCGCGCACGGCTCGAGCGCCTCGCAGGCAACTGCCTCGACTACCTCCACATATGCACCTCCCCCATCGAAAAGACGCGCGAGATCGCCGCCTTCCTCGCGGTCCTGTTCCCCAAGTGCGCGGACATAGGTATGCTCGACGACGAGGAAAAGGTGATGCCGCTGCGCGAGCAGCGGTGGATGGAGGTGCAGGCGCACCTCGAAAGCGCCCAATTCAAGGCGGGCGCGTTGAACGAGTTGCTGGCGATTATGGCCCGGGAAGGTCAGGAGATGGCTGTGGCATGACGCGCTGTGCGCGCCCTTTACACTCATGTTGTATTATAGTCAGTAAACCCTGTAAACACTTGTACAGTATCCCTCAGGGCGACCAGACGACCCTCACACGAAAAGCATTCATTACTTTGATACTTTACAGCTAGGCGGTGTACGTGATGAATGTTGCAGGGTGCAGGGGCGCATCAGAAGGTGGTCTTCCCCTTTTTCTTTTTGCGCTTTGGGTCATTCTTCGGCGTCGATGTGCTGACCTTCACAGGCGGTTTGGGCGGCTCTTCGACAACGCGTTCAGGCTCGAGTCCAGGCTCGGGCTCAGGCTCAGGCTGCTTGACGGGTGCGTCCCGCTGCGGTGCGTAGCGTTCTGCCAATTCCCAGGCCTGCTCCGCTTGTTCCTCGTAGCCATACCCCATGCCTTCACAGCAGCGAGCCAAGGCGGTGTAGAGCAAGTCCAGCGGCAAGATGCGCATCTGTATCATAAGAAGAGCATCGCGTTGGAATATTGAGGACATCGAAAGCATCAGCCAAGAGAAAACGTACCTCGGCCAGCCATGGGTACTTTTCCCCGAGTGCGAGTGCGTGTTTGCATTCGATACGCGCCTCGCGGAATTCGTGCTTGTCGATGTGCACGAGCATCATACCGTACGCGATGCGCATGTCGAGGGCATCGTGCAGTTGAGGGTCACCGATGTTGGAGACTTCCTTCCGCAGGCGCTCAAGGATTTCCATGGCCTTATGGAGCTCGCCCTGATTGCGAAGTTCTTCCGGATGCTTTAGCAGGTCCTCTGCCTCCTGGGGAAAGATCATGTATGAGGCGGGTACGCTGGCCAGGAGGATGGTGTCATTGTTCTCGAGCTCCGGAGCGTACTGTTTAGCGACTGGGCGGGATAGACCGAGGGTTACGAGGATGTCTTCGGTCTCGACGATGCGGTTTTCGCGGCCCATGATGGTCTGTGAGAAGAATCGACGCAAGGGTCCGAGCGCAATTTGGCAGGCCTGCACGTGCACAGGTCCGTCGTGAGGGTCGAGATAGACACAGTTCTCGAGCTTGATTGTAGTTCGGTCACTGAGAGAGCGAATATTCGACGATGAAGGCAGGAATCGTCGACGGAGGATGGCACCGATAAAATGACCTCACTCGGACTCGCTTGTTCCGAACAGTGCCTGCAGTGCTTGGGAGCTTCAGAACTTGTGATGCCAATGAAACAACCACTGAGTGTGGAGGAAGCGAGAGAGCAGCTAGAAATGCGCGACGGTGATCATGAACGTTGGAGATTGGAGAGCTCACGATATTTCGTGACATGACGCGCCTGTCACGGCTGACCTCGACCGGAGTTGATGAGCATCTTCCGACCTTCCTCAACGTCCCCTTCGGCTTCATGAAGTCCATAATTCAACTTGCCTGAACCTCTGACGATACTGTCGAACTATTATGTTTTTGCCTCGAGCTCTGACAAAGGGGAACAAGAACCAGCTCAAAGCACCTCCGCGCGTAACGCACGCGATCCCCTCCTCCCTCTCGCACGAATCATCTGAACGGAGGCAGGAAACACAGGAGGCTCCCTCTGATACTACTGCGAAGGGCAAGTCAAAAGAAGCAGCTCTTAATGAAGACTACGCGTCCGCGGTCGTGCTCCCACTCTCCGACTACGCGTTTTGGGAGGATGAAGAGTGGGCGAGAGAGGTCAAGAATGGGCAAGGAGCAGGATACAGGGATATGGAGGACGCGGGGTGTACGTCCTATCCAACCTCTCTTGCGCGACACGCTGATGGTCCGACCAAGACGTTCCCCTCAGTCGCGTATTCGAGCGGAATGGTACTCCGTTAGAAGCCAAGGAGGAGATCGATGTCGTTCGTGCGCTACGCCACTACTGCCCCGACGATATCGAAGTACGCATGATCGTCGCGGACCCATCTTCGTCGAGCGGCGTAGGCGGGTACGAGGTGCGCCGACGAAAGGCACCGACGCGTCGCTATTCTCCGGATGATTGGGATGCACGGACGGTTTACCTAGTGCGTGATACCTTCCGTGCGACTAATCAACCTCTAATCCTTTGCTGCAGGAGAACATACCTCCGCAATACCGAACGATCTCAGGCGTCCATCGTCTAGTCGCCGCCTGCCTCGATGGAGGCTTAGCGCGCGTCGCGCACATCATATTCCCCACAAGCCCTTCCGATCGCCCAAGAGGTCCTCCCAAATGCAGAGGCTACGCCCTCGTCACCCTGCTCGACGAGGCAGACGCAACAAAACTTATCGAAGCGTACCCATGGCGTAGCCGTCCTTCGACCTCCGAAAGTGAAGGTACCGACCCTCGATCTGAGGCGACGCGTTTCGGTCTGCGAGCACTGTCGAAGGCGCGATGGGACGAGCTTCAGTCGGAGTATCAAGCACGAAAGGCTCGCGTCATGAAGGAGATTGCTGCGTACGAAGACTCGCAACTGGCGGGTATCGTGCATAGGACGGACGCACGCGAGCGCAAGTCACCTATACCGCATGAAGAAGCAGCACCACTACCAGAGATCATGCCGTCGACTGGGCCTGCGCTCGATGCCTCAGCACCTTACCCCTACGGCTGCCTCGTCTTCGTGCGCGGTGTGCACATCGAGACGAACAAGACGACGCTGAAGACGCTCTTCGGGCGCGCAGTCGCGGGCGAAGGCATCGACTACGTCGACTACGCCAAGGGGATGGACTCGGTGCGCCGAAATTGACCACATAGAGTTGAGATTTTACTGACAGTCATTCGCAGTGTCACCTTCGCCTAGCCACCCCCGCACACGCAGAACGTCTACACAAGTACTTTACCTCCAGAAGGTTGAGCCAAACGTCAGGGCTCGACGACGAGGGCAAGGAGGGAGGCTTGACAGGCGTAATTACCACAGAGATCGTCCTCGGGCGGCGAGAGGAGCTCTACTGGGAGAAGGTGCCGGAAAAAGTACGCGCGCAAGCGGTAGCGAAAGCTATCGGGTCTACGAGCAAAGTTGAGGCAGAGACGGACGGCTCTCGTCCTAAAAAGCGGCGGAAGAGGTAGCCGTCGCTGTTTCCGTCGATGCTTCAAACTATCGTCGACTCGTCGCGAACGACCACAAGTAAACCAAGATATACGGCTATATTGCTAGCTGCTAGTAAGTACACTATTTACGCGGTCCATCGACCGCCATAATGTTTACAGTTGGACAGATATACTGTACACTGCCCGGATAATACGCTAGAGACCCTATAGAGACAAACAAGGAACGTCAGATGGCACAAAACCCATTACACGCAGAGGTTAAGAGGATAGATAAAGTCCGGGCGATAGATGAAGAACGAGGAATAGTTGGAGAGTGAAGTGAAGGGACCCCCTGCCAAAGAACGGTAAGAGTACAAAGTTGGATTGTCTGGATTCAAAGAGAGCATGCGAAGGCACGGATCGGTACGTGTTTACATTTGCGCTGTGGTTCGTGGGTCTTACCACCAGCCGGATCTGACAATGGTATTGTCAGCGAACACCTTCTACACCCTCACCCAGGCGAAAGATAAATGATATGAAGAGAACACCACTCACCTCCCCTTCATCGCCGCGCTCGACCCCGTCTGCTTTGGCTTCTTCACCTTCGGCGGCCAGTCCGGGTGCGGGTCCGCAGACACAAACGCATGCAGCGCGCGCCTGACCTCCGCGTCGTGCCGGATGCGCTCCGCCTCGCGCTTCGCTGCCAGGGCGGCGTTCTCCGTGGGGTAATATCCAGCCTTCGCACCGTGATTGTGGTCGGCCTTTGCGCCGTGGTTATGGTTGGACCCAAAGTCGGGCGCATGGTGGTCGGAGTCGGCAGTGTGAGGGCGCGGCATGAATTTGCGGAGGAGTCGGTGCTGATGCTTCTTGTGCGCTTCGGGCGTGGCTGGCCGGCCGGGCTCGCCAACACCGAGGAGCAACGCGGCCTTACCGGAAGGGGCGGCGAGTGGGGGACGCCGAGCGGGTGCGGCAGGTCGCGATGGAAGTGGCGCAGAGGGTAGTGGCGCGGATGGAGGAGGTAGAGGCGCAGTCGGTGGCGGGTGGAGGATACGCCTCTCGTTGGGTGTGGCAGGACGGACAGGGTCAGTCCATTCTGACGGCGCATGGCGGCTGGACGTCGCGGACGACGTTGAGGCGCCATAGAAGCTATCTGCTGTCGACGAGCGACTGGGGAACGAGCTCACCCCCGGCACCGTCACATCTGCCGTCGACGGCCTCCTTGGGGCTCGCTGTGGCCTCGGTGGCCTCCTCGCCGGAAGACCAGCCGTCAGCGGCGATGGTGGCCGCTCCCGATGTGCCGAGATCGCGGGGAGAGGAGGCGGGATAGGGATCGTGGTCGGCGGCAGGGGGAACGCGGACAGGGGCAGGGGGGACAGGGGGTCGGAATCTGATGCTACATCGGGGAGGGGGAGGTTCTCCACACTCGCCGCGGGACGCGAAGAGAGGAGCGCGGCTACGGTCTTCGGAGACGGGCGTAGGGGCCGCCCCAGGTTGGGTGGGAGGGTCGCTGATGGGAAGGTCGATGGGGAGGGTGATGCGGGCCGTGCGCGCGCACGGGGCTGCGTCTCGAAGGTGGGCCATGATGTGGTGGCTGAATGGGGGTGGTTTGCGTCGTCGCCATGCGAACGGCGGCGGCTCGCGCTGCCTTCGTCGGCGGTGGCGTCGGGGCTGGAGGGATGAGCGAGTGCTGCTGCTGGGTCAGTTAGTTATGGGGAAGATGGGGTTGGGGGCTGGACGCGCACCGTCATCGCTCCGGCCGGCGTCGCGAGCAGAGGGCACCTTCGGTGGCGCCTCCATCGTCCGCGAGTATTGTGAGGGGAGGAGGGAAGGGAGGGAGCGTTTGGGCAGAAGTGTGCGCGTTCGGTCGCCATGCAGCATCTGGTCCATCTTGAGGGTGCCAACCGGGGAGACGCCGGAGTCCTCTGGCACGTTGAACGAGTATTCGGACGCCGCGGTAGATGCGGAGGCAACGGTTGACACTGTCATGCGGAACGAGCTCTTGGCCGAGGTCTTTTCCGAGCTCGCGTAGCTGAGGTGGTCCTGCGCGTCGTCGTCGTCGATGCTCGTGACGGACTGGCGGCGCTGGGTCGGCGAGGTTGCGTCTTGAGGCGAGAGCGGAGGGAAGTCTGGGATGCCCAGCATGCGCGCCGCTTTTGAAGAGGCCCTCGGAGGCGCCATGTCGCTAGTCGGGCAGTCAGGTGTGGGGCGCGTAACAAGGCGGGGAATGCAAAGTCGAGACAACAAGGAGAGAGAGAAGAAGGATTCAAGGAAGAAGAGGGGCGGCGGACGGACGGTCGAGGCAATTATGCAGTTCGCTTCGGACAGGCACGGCGCGTCAAATTGGGCCTGTCATTTTGCGCCAGATTTGCTTTCGAGATGCCGCTCCCTGGCTACGCAAGGGGTCTGGGGCGGCGAGCTTCGAAGATGCAGGGGGCCTGGGCGACGTCTGGGCGTCGTCACACGGGGAGTACGCCACAAGAGAGAAACAGTCGCGAAGGGCAACCGTTGGGTTTCAACGAGGGTGCTGCCAAAATGAGACAAGGCAACCGACATTCAGCTTACCTGAGGCCTGTCAGAGTCGTGCAGGCGACGGGATGGGCGAGCGTTTGCGATTGTTCGGGCTTGTTGGGCAGTTCGCAGCGTTCGCCCAGTGTTCGCCGCTCCAAGTTTTGCGCTGCCCTGGTCAGGGTGAGGGTGGTAAATTTTCTGATTTGATGGCGAAGAGCATTCATTGCTGATATATGGGGTGGCCAAAGGGTGCAGACGGCTCAAGTGTGCCGCTCGAATCCTCGACTCTCGGTCTGGATGGGCCGCAGGCCTGCGCGCTGAAGTTCAACTTGGGTCACGCAAAAGTTCAAGTCGAGCGTGGGAGAGCTGGACATCACATCGGGCCGGCGGGGCGAACGCGGGGAAATCACGTTCTCCGGCCCTGGTCCCCGAGCGCCCGACACTCATCCCCGGCAATGATCATGGGGCACGCCTATCGCCTCGTCCTCTCCTCCTCCCGCCATGGCAAAGGCCTCGGAAATCGCTGGCAATGCGTCTGACGATGTGAAGGCGGCGTTCAGGGATTTGTCGATGTGGTTTTCGAGGGACGGGAAACCGCGTGGCTTTGCCGCGTCCGTCGGCGCACGCATCTCAGTCGACGAGGTGTCGATCCTAAAGAAGGCGGAGGAACCAACGAGGGAGGAGGCGAGACTCGTGTGCTCGCTGGAGGTCACTGAGGGTATGTGCAAAGCCGGTATAGCGGAAAGTCCATGCTGACAGCGATGCAGACATGCTGAACGGCGCGGGCAGTATGCATGGCGGATGTTCAGCATACTTGATTGACTTGTGCGTGTTTGTTATAAGTTGCCGTTCATATATGTCTTACCTTTCATGCCAGCTGCTCTTCTCTGGCCCTTTCAGCTCACTCGGCGCACGCATATGGATCGCCCGTCTTCATGGTTTCGCAGGCACTTAACGTCGTCTACCACTCCCCTGCCGTGTTGTACGTGACGTTCATATGCCGATCTTCCTTTCCTTTGACATCTTTCTTGTAGGGGCGACAGGATACGGATCGTGAACACGTCCATCGCGCTGGGTGCACGAGCGTCATCGGCAAGGACGGAGGTTCGTTTATGTCTTCCCAGCGCGCTCACCGATCACAGCACCGCCTCTTCATGCTCACCCATTCATAGATCTGGAACGACACGCACCATCGTCTCGTCGCATCAGGCGTTCACATCAAGATGCAGCCTTCTCCGCCGAAGACCAAATTATAATGTGCCACAATATCTGCACCTCGTCCCCTGTGCGCCAGACCATCTATTTCCATGCTTGATTATATCTGCGACCGTTTGTATGTCGTATGAGGCGGTACAGACTACAGGAGCGATCACAATGAGCCTCGGTGACTCTTGACGCGCAAGAAGCCCGCGAAGGGGTCTGCTTCTCGGAAGCACGGATGCAACTTGTTGAACATGCTCTTTGACAGAAAACGTCAAAGTTCTCATGACAGAAGACGTCCGTCTAGTCTTCCTCTTCTTCGCTTCCTCGGCTTCTGTCCTTCATGTCGCTTTTTCTACCCCGCGCCGCCCTTCCCAATGTCATTGTGCCCTTTCACGCCTTCTCTCTCGTTTATCGCACTCTCCCTAACCAATGCGCACCCTGTCGTACGCCCCCATCTTCTCGCCCTCTCCTCCGTACTCTCTATACCTCCCCCTTCGCCATCGCACAATGCCGCAAGATATCCTCCGGAAACTCGGTCTGATTCAACCGCGAGGGCAGCGTCGCGATCTGGAAGAGGCCGCCGTTGGCCATGTGCCAGGTGAGGTGGCAGTGGACTGCATGGGATGGGTATCAGCGAGCTCGGGAAAACATTGGTCAGTGGGGAAGGGGACAGCGGGGCGGGTAGAGTGGGATGGTGATAGGTAAAGGATACTCACGCGCCCAGTACCCCGACATGTCGGCCACGAAGCGTATCACTGCGTAGTGGAAGGCGGGGATGAAGAACGTGTCACGGCTGGCGCAGAAATCAGCACGCCGTATTACCCTTGAGTGATTTGTACAGCTCACCGCATCGGATTCGTCGTATTCACCACGCTCCTTCCGGGGACGTAGCGTCCTGGCCCCTCACTGACGATCCATGGCTATACATCAATCGGTTACTAAATACGACGATGGAAGCATCATGAATTGAATGGGGCCACGTACCTTATACCCATGTCTGTGCGTTATTTGTGGCAATGTAGATGCGAACCGCTATAATGGCCGAATGGAACTCACATATGGAAGGGATGGTCTGAAAATGGGACGTCAGAAGACGAGTATCTTAAGTCTTTTGCCACAGAAGTGGGGAGGATTACGACAGCCAATAAAGGTGTCGATGAGGTCAGGAACCGAAGAGTGAGGAGTCAACGATCAGAGAGAGCGAGTCGAAGATTCAGGGACCGAGGGGTGATAACGTCGAGCGAGGGGGAGATGATAATGACGCCCCACTCACCCCCATCATCGAGATTGTCGATCGCGATATCTACCACCTTCACGTCGTCGACGCGCGCCACCAGCTGGTCTCTACCGGAGGGGTGTCAGTCACATTCCTCCAGGTCGGTCAGCCTATCCTATCGCCGAGCCTCCTCTGCCCGTCGAAACAGGAGGCGCTGCCGATCCCAAAGGTAGTAGGCAGATCGCCAACTCACCCCGGCAACTCCCACAGGCCGTCCTCTTGCGCGCCGGCCGCCACGTCCGCGACGATGGACGCCTGTCCGTCGGGGAGCGCCTCCCAGCTCATGTAGTCGAAGAAACTCCGCCATTCGTGCGTGTAGATGCGTTGGATACTGAATTTGGTGTGGATGAGAAGGGAGGAGGTGGGCGGGGCGGAGAGCGCTGGGACGGGGTTGAGGGTGAGGGGGTCGAGGGAGGGGAGGTCCGCGGGATCAAGGGAGGACGGGGCAGGAGGCATAGATCCTGTGATGGGTGTGCGATAGCGAATTTTGCCGAGTGCGAGGGGGTTGAGGGCCATGCTAAACAGCTAATGTGAGTAGACGCTTGGGAAGGAGGAGAAGACAGACTTCTCATACGCAAACATGCGCTTGTCAAGCTCGGAGCGCATCCAAAATTCCTGGGGCTCATTGCCCCCATTATCGCCTGCGTTCACGGCTTGCTTCGTCGTCGACCCCGCCGTTTGATTCGTCGTCAGCAGCACGCTATACCGTTGCGCGACGTGGATCTGCAGGCTCGACACGATTTGCGGCTCGACGGGCGTGCCGTCCGCTTCGATGACGGTGAGGGAGTGGCCGTCGACGGAGAACCAGATGGATGCGTGCGAGCCGGCGTTGATGAGGCGGAGGCGGTAGCTGCGAGGGAGACCTGGTCGGTGAACAGTTACTGAGGGCTAGGGAAGAGACCAACGCACGTCTTATTAGGCTCGAGGTCGTAGGTAAAGTAGTCCGGGTTCGCCGCCTTGCCCTCGCACGATGGACGGTCCTCCTCGGGGACGGACCAGCAGGAGGAGTACTGGCCGATGCCATTGATGACACTGGCATCGGGCACGGGCTCGGGTGAGACCTCGACGTCGGTGTTCTGGCTCGGTGTGAGATAAGAGAACCACGACAGAATATCGACTAAAGCCTACCGAGAGGTATTCGGCGGTGAGAAGCGGGGACCAGGTATTGTAGAGGTCGGACAGGAGAAGGACAAGGTCTCCGCCGTCGTATGGAGGAGTGGCCGCTGGCTGATCGTGAACAACGATAGCGCCGTAAAGCCCGTCCGTGTGCTGAGTGTTCGTGTGCGAGCTTGGATTTGGTTAGCTATCAGCAACGGACAGGAGATAAGAGTAGATGACTTACTGCCACCAAGTCGTTCCAGCCCACCCATCCAAGGTGAAGTTGTAGACAAGCGTCTCGCCTGGTGGGATGCCGCATTGTGTTATCCCTTGCGTGCCGTCGTAGTAATTGGTGCCGTTCTGTCTGAGGCCATGCCTGTGTCATGTGGTCAATAGAGAGCAAGATGCACTATATTTTTGAGCTCGCCAGTGGATTGAGCTGGTGCAGTACGTCAGCAAAAGGCAGTTCGCGCAACCATTGAGGTACGACTCGGACGTACGTGTTGTCATCGTCTAGTCCGTTGGTGACATGTACCTGCAGAGTAAGCTTAGCACAAATATGAAAGATGTGTGTCTTTTCTCACAATGATTCTGTCGTGAGAGTTGGCCTCAATCGTGGGCCCAGGTGAGAGGCCATTAACGCGTAAAATAGGTTTCCGTGCTCCTGCAGGCGCGCCATCTGCCTTGGTCACTGTCCAGAAGTATTCACGAGTAGTAGGTTCGGAAGATATCTTAACCGATCCTGCGAGTCGGAACCTAGATTCCGCGATTTCGAAGTCCTTCGGCGCGGGCGGGCGGAGAAGGACAAAGACAAGGATTACCAAAAGCGGAAAGAATAGAAGCAGAAAGAGCACGTGCGCCGGATGCCACGCGCGCCGCCGAATCTGCCGCCGATGCTCCGTCTTCCCACCCTCAGCATCGTGCTCCGCGATGTCGAACTCGGCGAGCAGCTCGACGCGCTCATGGTCGTCGTCGCCCGGCATGGCGGTCGGAGAGAAGGACCGCACTTGTGTTGATCACCTGCGATGAAGGCACGGGAAACGACGAACGTGATCCGGGTAGGCGAACGTGCGCTCGATTCCCATGCGTATAGGACGCTATTGATAGCAGAGACGAGGCATGAGCGTCGGAGGCGCCGCCTTTAAAAGCGCTTGAGGGGATGGCGCATCGAGCCAATCCCCATGCTTGCTTCGGTCATCGTTCTTGGCGCCCTCGCCAGCCTGCCAAAGGCCTTGGCCGCCACGGCTTGGGTGAGCCATCGGGCCCGATCCATTGTTGCCTCCAAACACTGACGTGACATCTACATAGCGGTTCTCCGCGCCTGCGTCAAGCCCAACGGAGCAGTCCGCCAATTACACGGGATTTTCCAACAACACGCTTCAGGACACGAACGTCGTAGAGGGCAAGGTGCGTGGCTCTGTCCTGCTCCATCTTTGACGTTAGCCGACAGTTTATACCAGGTCTTCAACCGTTTCATCCAGATCTGGCTTGAGAACACCGACTTCGATGATGCTGGATCTACCCCCGCATGGGAGAACCTCGCGAAGCGCGGCCTGCTGTTGAGCTCCTACCACAGTCTGACGCATCCGTCCGAACCGAGTTGTGTGTATTTGGTTTTCCTCGAATTACGGGTAAACGCCTCATGAATTTTACAGACATTGCGTCTGTCGGCGGCGACTTCTGGGGGTTGCACAACGATGAGTGAGCATGAATTTTCGCATCCTGTAGAAGCACTGACAGGTTTGATAGCTACTACCACATTCCGGAGAATATCTCCACCGTCGTCGACCTCCTTGACGAGAAGGGTATTTCTTGGGCTACCTATCAGGAAAATATGCCCACGGACGCGTTTTACGGCTACAGGTCAGCGGACTTGCTTCTCTCTTGAGCTGCTTTTTTATACCAAACTCTAATCGCATCCTCAGCTACTCGTCCACGAACTACCTGAACGCGTCGGCGAAGGACTACCCCTTCTACATGCGCAAGCACAACCCGCTCGAGATCTATGACTCCGTCTCGCAAAACGTCACCCGCCAAGGCCGCATCCGCAACTTCAACGACTTTGCGAATGACCTAGTCAACGGGTCGCTCTCGCAGTGGATCTTTGTGACGCCGAACATGGTGAGCCCATTCCTTCCAATATTCTTTCGGCAAGCGATGTCATCCTTTCTCAGGTGAACGACGCCCACGACACCACTACCGACTTCTGCGCCGACTTCCTCGAGTACTGGCTCTACCCGCTGCTCGACGACGACCGCTTCAACTCCGAGGGCACCGTCATCGTCCTCACCTTCGACGAGAACGAGACCTATGCGAAGCAAAACCGCGTCTATACGCTCGTCCTCGGCAAGGGCCTGCCCAAGCACCTCGTCGGCAAGACGGACGACACGTTCTACACGCACTATTCGCTCCTCAGCACGGTGGAGGCGAATTATGGCCTCAAGAGTTTGGGGAGGAATGATGTGAACAAGTGGGTTTGGCGGGATAATGTAAGCGTGGTTGTGAAGCTGAACGATGATCACAAGGACCATGTCGAACGTCTTCGACTTCGTGGCGCACAAGACCGGGTACAAGAACGTGCATGTGCCCGAGAAGAAGCGCCCGCAGCTCAATGTCACCGGCGTGTTCGCGGGCCCGCTTAGTACGTCGTCAATATCTGGGGGTAATCCTTCATTCAGACTGACAATGTCTTTGCAGATCCGCAGATGTACCTTCCGTTCTACGCCCCCGAGGATCTGGATGTCGTAGGCGCGGGTGGGCAGGGCGTGTACGTCGCGGACAGCCTCGACACGTCTGTCAAGTATAGCACGTTGGGCGACGCGCAGAACTTAACGACGACGCCGTATCCGTGGATCGTTGAGGAGGAGGATTAGGTCGTATATCTCTTGTTGGTGGGATTGAGCGCCGGTCAGGACGGCTGATTCGTCAATGTGATCGTCGTGTGCTGAAGGCAAGCCTACGTTCCAAGCGAACTGACAAGGCTCTACTGCTTTGGTGAGTTCGACATCATTCACGGATTCCGACGGGCAACCTCCGCTCATACCACCATCATCACCATGGTCGGCTCTACCGTATACTCATAGCAGCAGTACTTTTCACCCTAAGCCCATCCCTACTCGACCTTGTTCATCTCGATAACCCCGCGGCGCGCGGAGATCCGCCTCGATATGCCCCGTCCGCACACCACATCGCGCATTCCGGCTTGTTCTCATGACCGGGCATCAACTATTCTCGGGGCTCGGTATCAGCACACGAGCCTTTCACACTGTATGCGGCTCTTCGTTAGCCTGGTTAGGTCACGCTCACCCTATCCCAATCACGTTCCACCCAATCGCGGGCCCTCTGTTAGCTAGCACACGAGCGGGAGCACAAGGGCGTTAGGCACGCGAAGCCGCAAGGAGCGGTGTCCTCGTACTTATAAGCATGGCTTGAGATCGATGCTGAGCTCCCTTCCGCTCGACATTCTGAGGTTCCCATTCGCGATGGCGCTCCCTTCACTGTTCCTCGTTGGTGCACTCTTCGCGGTGGCGGCGCAGACAGCGCGGGCTGCGACTGCTTGGGTGCGTAGTGTATCCTCTTAGTCTGGCCGAATGGGTACTGATCAACGTGGCTCGCAGAGGTTCGCACCCCCGTCTACGAGTCCCACGGAGCAGTCAGCGAACTACACTGGGTTTTCGAACGACACTATCAATGATACGGATATCGTTGAGGGGAAGGTACGTATCGGACCGCCTCCCATGATGAGTTCGACACTGACGGAGGTTTCCAGGTCTTCAACCGCTTCATCCAGATCTGGCTCGAAAACACGGATTTTGACGACGCGAGGACGACGCCAGCATGGGAGAACCTGACCTCGCGCGGCTTGCTTCTCAGCGCCTTCCACGGTGTTACTCATCCGTCGGAGCCCAATTGTACGTAGTGAAAGTTGCTCGCTTGGATCCGAGCAGCGCTAACCGCTGTTGGTAGACATAGCGTCTATCGGTGGCGACTTCTGGGGCCTGCAGGACGATGAGTACGTGCCGCTACAATGGTTATCTGACCAGGCTGAATCGTGCAACCCACAGTTACTACCACATTCCCGAGAACATCTCCACTGTCGTGGACCTCTTGGAGGATGCTGGAGTCACGTGGGCGACGTATCAGGAGAACATGCCTGAGGACCATTTCTATGGGGAATAGTGAGTGCGCAAATGGACTGATGCGTCCGTGTCGCTGATGCATGTCTCAGTTACACCTCGAAGAACTACCTAAATTCGTCTGCAGAAGACTACACCTTCTACATGCGCAAGCACAACCCACTCGGCATCTACGACTCCGTATCGCAGAACGAGGCGAGGCAGGGCCGGATACGCAATTTCAACGACTTCGCGAACGACATCGTGAATGGGAGCCTTTCTCAATGGATATTTGTCACGCCGAACATGGTAAGTCATATCATTGCGCAGATTTCCCCACCATGCTCAGCCTAGCCGCAGGTCAACGACGCTCACGACACGACTACCGATTTCGCTGCCGATTTTATCGAGTACTGGCTCTTCCCGTTGCTTGAGGATGAGCGCTTCAACGACGACAAGACGATCGTCGTCCTCAGCTTTGACGAGAACGAGACGTGGGATGTGCAGAATCACATCTACACGCTCGTGCTGGGTAATGGGCTTCCAGATGATGTGGTCGGCACGACCGACGACACATTTTACACACACTTCTCACTGTTGAGTACGGTGGAAGCCAACTGGGGCCTGAAGAACCTGGGAAGGAACGACGTGAATGAGTAAGTCGATAGCCTGCTTCTATCATGCTTGAGGCTGAATATGATTGCAGAACGATGGCCAACGTCTTTGAGTTTGTCGCTCGCGAAACTGGCTATGAGAACACGGACGTTCCAGAAGAGGCGCGTCCGCTTCTCAACATATCCGGCTTCGCGGGACCTCTGAGTAAGTACCGAACCCTTATTCTGTCGCATCTCCCTAACGCTCTGCTCAGACGCCGAGTCATACATCCCATTCTATGCGCCTGATGATCTTACTGTCATTGGTCCTGGTGGACAAGCGGTATACGTATCGGACAGTCTCGATACTAGCGTGACGTACGACACGCTCGGGGATGCAGTCAACCTGACGGAAAGTGGCACGCAGAACCCTTGGATCGTCACCGAGTAGTATACGCATGCTACGTCCTTCGGAATCAGACATATTTTCTTCTCCGCAAAGCTAGTTAGCTGTATCCTTTAGTGGTTTTTGCCCTCCTTGGATGCAAAGTCACGTCGTGACACGCCTAGGTTTGACCGTGGGAAAATGAACCGGAAGGAGCCGGATTTGGCTATCAGATCGCTGGCGACACGCTGCGTCTTGCTTTCGACCACGACCGCAGTTGACGGTGACGCTGGGGAGGACCATCGACAGACAAGAGTGGACAAGCCACACACGACCTTCGTTAAGATGAGTGCAGCACGCCGGAGGAACCCACAGGCGCATGCTGTCGTCGAAGACCATGCGACCCGGAAATCAGGCAATCGACAATCAAGCAACTCTCAACTTGCAAATGGCCAAGCGGCAACCGAAGCAAAGCATGGAGGTCGTACAGGTCAGCCTACTGATACTCACACAGCTCCAACGACGAGGCCAAGTACCAAGGAGGCTAAACAAAATGCGACTATCCGATCCTCACCGACTCAATCGCGATTCGCCGAGCTCCGAACTGGCTCGAGTGCGGACATCACTCCCAAGGGGAACACTCATGTGCTACGAGAGTCGAAACAACAGGCGTGCTATCCCGAGGATACTACAAGCCAATCTATAGGGCGCGTGCATGCCTCGCGTAGTCCCCTCGAAGCAGCGCCAGCGGCCATCATTCGTCAGCCGCGAGGACCCACTCAGTCGCACTCTGGACTGAGCTCTAGGCACCAGCCATCATCTCTATCGCCTTTGGCACGTCCCTTCGTGATTCGGGCAGGCACTGCGCCTTCCGACGAACGTGCTGCGACGCCGAGCTTCAAGCCGACGCCACAGCCCATGAATCCTCCGTCAGCGTCGCTTCGTACTCCACTACCCACCCAACCAACTACGCACGCTGCGAACGGCGCATCATCAGCTCCATCCTTACGCGCCGTAGCTCCTGCGGCGAGCATCGAGACCACGATAGACGAACGTGCACCCAACATCGCGGGGCTCCATCCTCCAGGTAGTTCCTCAACGCTACCAGCCCAAGCCCCTGCGGCTGTAGATCTGCCTGCATGGCCCCTGCCCCTCGCCACCGATCCCTTCCATCACGGGGCATACATTGCAATGCTATCTCTCGCGGAGAAGCTCGGGGCTCCTGTCAATCACCAACTCCTCGCGTTGGCCCTGGTCCCCACTTTAGCGCTGTACCCAGGATCCGTTCTGCGTTCCGACAACGATCCAGGCGTGCCTCTCGCCCAGGATAGCGCGGCGCCCTCGACTACGGTACCCCCATCGACGATGCCTTCGAGGCGGCACACCACATACTATACGGCAGACCGCCCTGCGCCTCCAGCGGCGATGGCTACAGTCCCTTCACCGGCAGTTTCTGTGCCTTCAGCGGCAAGTTACGTGCCTTCGTCTGCAGTCTCTGTGCCTCCACCGGCAAGTTCTGCGGCTCAAGCGACGACAAACCCGACGCCCGTCTCCGGTCAGCGTGTTCAGCGTACGCTCAATGGCTCTGTGATTACGACCTCGACTGCGGTCCCTATGTCGACCTCGACCTCTCAAGAGAACAACACCCCGACCACGCCCACGGGAAATGATTCGACGGACGCAGCGAGTGCTAACATGGACGATACTTCCGCGCCACCTCAAGAACGCAAACGCAACACGGGTGGCAAAAGAGTCTGGTTGAGGATCGAGAAGGCGAAGGTGCGGGATGCTCTGCGGGCTGCTGACGCGCGTCGTGCGGAACAAAGTAAGGCAGATGTGACCGGAGGATGAAAGCGAAGGCGTGGTCCTGAAGGAATGATACGGCGGATTGACGGGAAAGCTGGGTGGTTGAGCATCCGCGCATGCAGTCTATGCACAAATCTATTGAATCGCACATCACAAAGGCGTTGTGAAGAGACATTCGCTCTTGTTGCACAATGCAAGTAAGCCTTTCGGATTTCCGCAGTGCTTTTGTCTTGTCCCTCGAGCTACAAAACCGCCGATTGTTAAGGCTCGCTATCTTGCGACCTGGTCTTGTTCCTCACCTTGAACTAGTAACTCTAGTCCAACTTCACGCTCTCAACCCACAGGCTTTTTGGAAGCAACTCCTTCGTCGCCTTCATGTCAGACTCCACCCGTTCGCGAGGCCGCGATGCCTGGCCGCCCTTCACTGGTCAGCGCCCGAAACTCTCTTTCGCGCCACATGCAGACGGCAACGTCTCGCCCAGTGGGAACGCTTCATACGCTGCAGGGCCCAAGTACCAAGACGCAAACTTCACCCCACGGATGCAACCGAGTGCTATGCCACCCCCACCTTGCTTCAATGGAGGGTACAGCAGTTCTCTCTCGCCATCCTCGACGCCCGCCACACCCGGGCCGAATGGCATGTCGCGCCCAGCTCGCGGAGAGTCGCTCGGCTCGGCGCACCCGCCCCCTGCTGCTATTGTGTCGTTGCCTGCACGAGCCTCCCTCGCTCCCAACATGATCTACGCCACACCAACGCGAGCGGCGCCCGCTGGAGGGCCCTTGGAAGGGACGGGCAGGTTCGTGCCCCCTGCAGCGGATATAAGGGCTGGCCAGGAAGAAGCAGCTGCGCGACTAGCACGACAGCAGGGTTTCGCTGCCCGGCCGCCACCGCCGCCGGAATTGGCTACGCGACTCCCGCCATCCGTATGGCCACTCCCCGGCCAGGTGCACCAATTCCACTCGTGGTTGTTCGCGAGCCAGCTGAGCGCGCTGGACATGTACAGCGCAGCCAAGATCGACCGCAAAGCCCTGGCTCGTGCATTGTTGACCGTACCGGTCCCCGCTTCGTGTTGATGGCGCTCAGTAGTGGTCCCACTGTGTACAGTGCTTGTGGGAGTGGCTTCGTCGATAGAATATATGTACCTTGTTTGCCTCGACTGTGTCTCGACAGATAGATGACGCTTACTATATCCTGATCATTTTCATAAGGCTTGTGCTCGTGGTTAAAAGTCGCTGCTCAGGCTGCCATTCGTACTGCAAAACGCCAGTGGCATGACGTCCAGAACCTCGGATTTTGCAGTGTCTGAATATCTGTACTCTCTGTACATTATGCAACGTTCGTCGGCTCGATTTCGCCCAAGAGCATCGTGCCGTCCTTGCTTCCGGTAAGGACTGCAAAGGGGTTAGTGTACCAGGGAGCCAGATGTAAGCAAATTACGCACTGATCGGCTCCTTCGGGTGGAAGTCAACCGCTGTTACTGTGCCCTTATGCCCAGGAAGCTACGACATAGGTAAGATAGGATCCAGTGGAGGGACAGAAAGCAACGCACCTTGTACAGAATCTTTCCGGTCTCCACATCCCAGATGCAGACGGTACGGTCCGCGCCGCCGACAGCGACGCGGCGCCCACCATCCTCCTTGCTCCACGCGCCTCTCAGCAACGTGTTCTCAAAGCCGGCTGGGGCTCCTTGCAAGATGCGGTGTACACGCGTGGGTGTTGGCGAGAACGGGCGGACGTCATGAATGATCGTGAGGGAGGAGAGGGAGGGGGAAAGGATGTAGTTGCCGTTGGGCGACAGTGCAATGGATGTCGGCGTGTCCGTGTGCCCTGTGAGCGTGTATACCTGCTCGCCCTTGCGAAGGTCGTACACCTATGAGACGCGTCAGCGGATGATAATCGCGTCTGCGGACTGCACACGCACATGGATCTCGTTGTCCAACGCGCCCACATACAGCTGCGCCCCATCTGCGCTCCAGCACACCGCCGTCGCGGGACATCCGACCTCGAACGTCGCGATAGCCTGCTTCGACGCCTCCTCCCCGCCCTCCCACACCTTCACCGTCCCGTCGTCGGACGCTGTCGCCACGAGTTCCTGCCCGCTCCCACTCGCCATCGTCCTGTCGAGCGCGTTGATGATCTCGCGGTGCGCGCGGATCTTACGCACGCGCTCGCCGGTGGTGACGTCCGTGTAGGTGAGCGTGTGGTCGGCGGCGACGGTGTAGATGAGGGGGGAACAGAGGGACCATTGGAGGTCAAGAATGGGGGCCTTGGCAAGGTTCTGGAGAAGGCCGTAATTGGTGTTTGGGGGGTAGGTACGCCAAAGGGCTGGTGGGGGTTTAGTGGGGATCGAGGGGGGAAGTACGATCACGTACAGACGCTCCTGTCGGCTGAGCAGGCTGCAATGTTTTGTCCCGTTGGGTCAAATCGGCAGCTCAGAATTTCCCCCTGCAGTCCGTTAGCTCTAGCCACTCTTTTCAATACACTACGCACCGAATGTGCTCCGGCAAGAGATACAATGGGCGCTTCGAGGTTGCTGGTTCGCTGGACGGTCCTGATAAGTCCCTTTTTGCTGTCGTCCCCTGCAGACGAGATGGCAATCTGGTTCGTTGGGCCAGGCTCATTGGAACGGGCGCGCTTCACGAGAGCGCCATCGCTGTCGGCATTCGGGCGTTTAGACATTGCGCAGGTGAAGTCAAGAAACGAACAAATAACGCGCTTAGGCCGGCGCGAGCAAACGCGGTCCGAAGCCGGGCCGCGAGCCATTCATTGTTGCTTCTTTCGGTGCACAAAGGCTTCCTTTTATACGACCATGAGCGCTCAACAGTTCCTTACTTCTCACCCTCATCGCAACCTACGCGGAGATGACTACGACGAGTTCTAACGGCACTGGCAACGCTCGCGCCGCCTTGCGATTCCCTCCGTTCCCCCAGCCGTCTGAGGGACGGACGACCATCCCATTCTCACAGTTCAAAGAACGAGGCATAAAGAGGAACTGCGGGGGAGCAAACCCCGAGATAGACATGCTCGGAATACCAACCGTCGCTATCGGAGGCCCGAAGTGGGATCGCGAGATGGACGAGTGCAAGACGCGCTCGCTCTTTCAGAAACACACCGGGGTCAGAGTCCCGCGTACAAGACCCGCACAGATGAGCAGGGAGTGGTACAAGGAATGGGAAGCGACAGAGGCCAGCAGACGCGTCTATACGAGCTTTGACACGTACGCTCCGTAGTCGTATTCTACAAGCAAGCGCTAACCCAGCGCAGGACGATCAGCCCGCAGGATCGGTTCATCGACGCCTCGCAGGCGTTTTACAACACGCGCCGCAACTTATGGCCCGCCGTCGAGAACAAGACGAGCATCTACGACATGTGGATGCAGGTGCGCTTCTTCCCTTCTCCTCTGTCATCCCGCTCACGCACCCCAGGTCGGGATCTTCACCGGGCTGCGCTACGCGCCGCCGATCTGGCAGCGCACCGACCAGCCGGAGCCGGACGACTCGGACTCGGACGCGGAAGCGCCTCCCAAGTTCAAGAAGCGCGTACACCACCTGCCCTACGCCGTATGGGGCGAGCCGACAAAGGTCTCCAGCGACGAGGAGGTGCAGGCGCTCTTGGCCGACGCCAAGCGGCGCAAGGTAGAGAGGCTGGACGCGTTCCTCGCCGACCCTGCGCGCGGTACCGCCGTCTTCCTGTCATCGCACATGATCGACCAGGCGTTCATCTACTACAAGCATCTGCTCGACGGCACGCCGCAAATGCTCAAGTTCTTCTACGAGTTTGTCCTGCGCGAGAACGTGTTCCGCGAGCCCGAGCTGAGGGCTGGCTTCGAGAAGGCCGTTGATGTGACGAAGCGCGCGTTCATCGACCTGCCGGCGACCTCCGTGCTATCGCATGTGCTACCTGATCGTTTTGGCGAGAGTTGCAAGGAGCTGTTCGCGCCCCCTGCTGCTGATCCGGCTGATGTTCTCGACGAACTCATGAAGGGTGGCGCAGTGCTTACCGAAGACATCGATGTCGACCAATGGGATTCAGGCAACGGTTGGGTTGAAATACCGTCTACTGGACGGGAGCCAAAGCCTGATCCTCTGCCGGAGATTCTCGGCGACGAACTTGCCAGGAAGCTGCCCTCGTCCTATAAGCGCGGCCCCTCTGAGTCCTCCATGCGTCGCATCGCCGCTGTCAAGGCGCCCTCCTCGTCCGTATTCGAAGGGCGCCTAGCGCGCGTAGTGTTGTCGCCCTGGCCCAACTACCATCCCTACGACCCCACGGACACGACGGATAACGTCGGTGAACGCATGTACAACATCCCTGAGGTCGAAGGGGTGCCGAGTCGCGTTGATGAGGACATCACCGTTCTCGTCGAGCCCTCGATTGCGGACAAGCTCGTCATCGGTATGGGCATCGGTGGAAAGTGGGTGAACGCCGTACCCACTGACGGCGCTGATGGTAACGACTTTTGGTTTGTGGAGGAAATGAAGAAGGCCATACCCAGCTACTACATGGCGTAACTCTGGGGCGCCTGGACGAGGAGGACCGGCACGTGTGTCATAGCGAATCAATATCTTGTATCGATCTGTATCGTAACTATTGTACTCTTTCTTCTTGATCTACGGGTTATACTGTCAGAATGCTCCATCCTACCAACGAATGTACGAGCTGGAGAGGCGGCCATAAACCAGAGCAAACCCGGCAAACGCCGATGCCTTGACAGAAGTTCAACAAGTCACATGATCAATATTGATGGCTACCTTGTCAATGATGTTCCCCTCCTCATGGGTCTCCCTTGCGTCCCCGCGGCCTGGAAATTTGCATGAGTGTAGCTGAAGATTTCCTCTGCAGCCCTCCGCTCCTGGTTGACCACTCAAAGCGCATCCTCATGGCGAGAAGACTAAGGATCAGTCAGTTCTTCTGACGCATCTGATTCATTGTTGAATCATCTGGTCTTAAGGGCCGAAGACACTCCCTCGTCATGATGAGATTTAGGGCCTGTTCGGGAAAAAGAAACACGTCGAAGTTACCCGACTTACCTGCCTTACAAGGCAGGTTAACGAAGATCAGCGAACTTTCGAGCGGTCCAGGCCTGACTTACTTGCCTTCAAAGGCAGGTAAGTCACGCAAGTTAGCTAACTATGACGTGTTTCTTTTTCCCGAACAGGCCCTTATGGGTAAAGGCCTATCTATCTGACTATCCCGTGCGTCATTTGCCCACGCGATGTGCATCTTTCTTTTTGGGAGGCTTTGCCTACCAAAAGGGCTTGCGTCATGCACACGTGATCGCATCCGCCGAATATATAGTACGCGCGTTCGCTCAAGGGAAGTATCGACCTCTTTCTTGGACCGCGCATTCGTACGAGATGGCCAGCATCAACGCTCAGAAGCGCAAGCGCGTCGCCGACACTCTCACTGCCGCTGATTATCAGTCCGCGTTGCGCTTTCTGGCGTATGTGGAAATCCTGCAGACGCGCATGCGCGAGGACGAGAGGGCGCGTCAAGAGACCCTCAAAATGGAGCTCGCGGTCGTCCACGCGAAGCTCAGACTGGAGGAAGTTCGGCAGGCTGGCTGGAGCTGTGCGTATACATATTCATCTGATGCTCTATCGCTCATATGCGCCAGTCCCCGAATCGGAGACTTGTAAGTCTTGACTGGCGCGCAGTGCGACTTCCCAACCTCGCGTAGCGTTCAACAGTTCCATGTCCGCAACCAACACGTCCGCCGGCTCGTCTTGGCTTCCCCCCAACGAGTCCACTTTGCATGGAGCAGGAATGGCGGCTCAGGCGAAGGACGACATGTACATGACCATGGTTCCGGACGAGCAGAGTCAGCATGGTAGCTGGAGTGGCCAAATGAGTGCGTATTGTTGCTAGACTCGAGTCTCCTATGCTGATCTTTCGCGGCAGCGTCAGCCAGTGAGTGACCTGCATATATGCTGTCGCATTTTCATTGACGATGGCAGGCGCGTACCCTGGTCAGTACAATCACGCCCACGGCACCTCCAACTAGATCTGCGCTCGTCATTGCTATGGTCTCGCTATCGCGTCGCTTGCATCGCTCTCGTCACGTCTCTCGCATATACTCGATCTCGGACTCGCCTCTCGGACTCGCCTCTTCCTTCGCCTGAAATCGTTTCTCATTCCATCAACTGTCACCTGTACATTGTACCTAAACCGTCGTTACCGTAAAGTACTACCTGGTCAATCAATTACAAAGTTCCGCCTAAAGAAGATGTCCCGCGTCCTCCCACTCGTGCATCCCAATCGTTGGCATCGCGCTCCTGCGCCGAATCGTCGCGAAGACCTGCGCAAGGTGCGTTTGGTGTGAGGAAAGATCCGGCGAGCGAGCCTCCATCTGGTATGATTGAGCCAACATCGATGTGCGCGCACAAGACACACCTGAGATATCCAGTTCTGGCAATCCTCCATCAAGTCGTCCATTTCGACCGCACCCGGGACCTCAACGGCGTCGACGCGAGCCAGCGCAGCCTGCCATTCGGCGGGGGCGATGTCGATGTGCCCACCTGCGTTCGCCAGCATGGTCTTGCTGTGCTCGTATACGGCCTGCAGTACGTTGGCACCAAGACCGTCAAACTGGCCCTCGAGGATCTGACCAGACACTGTGGGTAAGCAAGGACGGACGCCAAGTGATCTACGCACCATAGAAAACGTTTCGTAGTCCTGCATGAGCATGGCCTGCTGGTCCGATAGGAGGGAGATGTTGGCGAACGAACGTTCTTCGTCTTCGTCATCGTCGTCGACGGCGGGGGCGGCCGCCCAAGGCATGTACTCATCGTCGTCCGCGCCAATGATGCTGCTGTTGCCCTCGCTGCTGCTCGAAGCGTCGTCAACGAAACTCTCATCGCCGTCGTCAAGTCGGTCGTCGGCATCGCTTTCGTCGCCGTCGCTTGCCTCCCTTTGGGCTGACGGCTGAGACTCGTCGTCATCGTCATCCTCCGCCGCCGCCGCCGCCGCCGCAGTCGGGCGAGGCGATACACGCGGCATATCTTGCGCGTCCTGCGCCGCCTCTGGCATTACTTCAGGCGTGTCCTCATCCGAGCCATCCCAGTCCGACCAGTCATCGTCCGTGTCCGACACATCGGTGGTCTCGTCCAAGATGCCCTTGCGCCTAATCAGACCTTTGGGCTTCGTGTGGCCCTTGGTCGCGCAGCGGATCTCGCGATAGTCGTCGAACATTTGTGCGTATTTGGCCTTCTCCGTGCATCGGAAGCGCATGTGAATGACCAGCCGGTCAAGGCTGCCCTTGCTGTGAATGGCGTGAGTGAATATACGATCGAGCCGGATCGGACAAAGGCACGTACTGGAGTTTACAGCCGGGGCATTGCAACCTGCGGCCGTCGCGCGCGATCGTGAACAACGTCTCGCGCCACTCGTTGAGGTGCTGGGTTTTCCTGCGAGTGTGTTAGCTCCAGTCGTGGATAGGCAGAGACGGGCTTACTGGTGGTTCGTCAACTGAGACTTCGTCTTGAACGTCTCCTGCAATTCCGGCGCGCTCGTCCCTTTGATATGGTGCTTGTTCAGATGTGCTCGGAGGGGTGCGCATAGGGTGCAGATGTAGTACTGGACTCTCTTCTTGGGGCCGCTGGTGACCTTGACGTGGGGGGCCAGTCGCTGGGCGATGACGAAGCTGAAGAGGATGCGCTTGAAGATGCAGAGCGTGTCTAGGGAGGACATGGTGCCGAGCGTTCGGCCTGCCTCAGCGACTGTCCACGGGTCGTTCAGGTCGTCCTCAACGCCGTCGTCCTGAACGGCCGGAACGGTGGTCTCCTCGACCGGAACAACCGGAACGTCATCCTCCCCCTCCGCATCCAGCTCATCGTTGGCACCCTCCACCTGGGCGCGCGCCACCTGCGCTGTCGCTGCTTGAGCGGCAGCAGCCACCTCCGCCTGGCCCGCTCCGGCCTTCTGTGCAGCTGTAGCGGCAGCGGCAGCCGCGTTCCTCGCGCGCGTGGCACCTCTGTGAACCTGGACAATGGGCCGCGACTTGCAGGTCTCTGCAAACACAGCATCCTCGTCCGCACCGTCGAGGTCGAGCGCGTCCGCCATCTGATCCTCGGACGTGAGCATGACCGCCGTCCTATGCCTGTAGTCCTTGATGATGTTGGCGGTGAGGAGCGAGGGAGCATCGTGCAAGAATGAGCGGGCCTGCTGCCGTTCCGCCACAGTGCCCTCCTTGTTGTTGGCGAGTGCACGATCGGTGATGACGCGCGCATCGTCGTCCTTCTCCAGGCTGCGGTGCTTCTTCTTGACTTGCTGGTATTCTGCGTGCTTTGCGTTGATAAGAGCCAGTTGCTGTAGCGAAGGTCAGCGCGAATGCAATGTGTCGGAACTGGAAGTAAAGTACATGCCTGTGATGCTTGTTCTTCGGTGACGCCGAGCTTGAAAGACGCGATGGGCTTCTTGACAGTGGGCGTTGTCGCATGCTTGAACATGGTGCGAACCTTGGTGATGGCGAAGACTTTCGGCGGGTCGGGCATATCGTAGAGGGCTACGTAGGCGGGTAGGAGATTGTCGCGCGCAGCCTCGGCTTGCACGACTTCGGGGTGCTGGGATATCGGGTGAGCATAGGCGACAGAGCTAAGGCCAACCAGGCAACTCACAGCATCGCCGCGCTCGTTAGCAGCCTTGTTCGCCGCCTGCTTGTACTCCTTGATGGCGGCTGCAGGACCGTATTCGACGTAACTGACATGATCATTTGCGATGCGGGCGAGAGTATCGATAGCGACGGAGAATTGCTGATGGTGGTCTTGGATGCGCTGCAAGCTTGCGGGAGATATGTGGGGATCGGTAGAGAGACGTAAGGCAGTGACGTCGACGCCCTCGGCACCCGGTGAGTAGAACTCGCGCTGGACGGCCGTGTCGCCGCTGGGTTTATGATGTAAAATGAGACCTGACGTGACCGCGTCGGACGCAAGGGCATACTGTGGGGCCAGATGTGAGGACGGTGATCGTCGGACATGTTTAAGCGATGACGTACCTCGTGTGCACTGCCGCGCCTGACCATGTGCGTTCCGCCTTGAGGGAGACCGTTCCTTCTGCAGAGGACACGGCAGTTGTCCGAGAAATGATGCGCCATGGCGGGGATATCGATGAGGAGTTCGTGACCTCCCTCGTTGGCCGCACAGCAGCTGATGTGATGCGTGAGCAACTGTCGAAGAGGATGAGGGGATTGTACACGTACAGCGGGTAATCGAGGAACTCTTGCTTGATGTGACGCTGGCAAACGTCTGACGCCTCAAACTCGTCAAGCGTCTACGCGCCCTCGTCAGGATCAATATAACTAATAGTTTGGTTGGACGGACCGTGAAGTCTTGGAATGCGCCGATGGAGATCAAGTAGACGATCAACCAGGACGGCAGGTCGAAGGGCGCGAGTTCAGGGCGCTGAACAGATCGGACGACCATACGCTGAGGTCGGTCCGAGTGGGACTGGAAGTGTCCCTGGGTCCGCGTGCGTGAGCGATGGCGCAGGTGCGGACTCAGATGGTGCTCACCTTGAATGCTCGAAGTGTGAAGTGGACTTCGTACCCTTTCTCTTCCTTGAAGATGCCGATGTCTGCAAGCTTGATGTAAAAGCCCTGGGCGAGAAGCTCCTGCGTGGCGGGTCCGATGGTCGTTGGGCGAACGGTGAGATAGAAGGGGAGAAGGATCTTGATGATGCTCTGGATATGATAGAGAGGGTTCGGGGCGGTGCGCATGTCCTCGAGGGCACCGGTGATCATGATCAGGACCTCCCAGAGCCCAAAGAAGAGCTTGCGGGTGGGAGAGCGGTCGAGATTGAACCTGTTGGACACTGTATGGTGTGAGCATGAGGAAGGCGACCGACGAGAGCCCGGGCCACGTACAGGAGACGACTTGATCGCTGAGCGTGTCGAACAGCTGTTGTTCGATGAGGAGCTGCACGCCGCAAGGCGCGAAGTCCTTCTTCGGATCCGTCACGTAGCGGATGATGGACTGGCAGAGGAGAGCCATCCACCATTGGACGGTGCGCGACTTGAGCGGGCGCTTGCGGTTCCGAACGCCCAAGACGAACTTGAGCTGGCAAGGCGAGTGAGTATATGCGTCAATCATAGATACCGAGGACGTACAGTGAACTCCAGGAAGCGCGGGGCCAGCTCCTGGACGATTTCCGGATCCCAAGCGTAATCGAGCGGTCTGTCGCCGTAGACTTGTATGTAGAGGAGCATCCAGCGGGCGAGGATGAGGTTGCGCCCGCTGATGGTCTTGGGCGACGCGCGAGATTGGTGTTGCTCGACGTGCTCGTTGATCTCCTTCAGCAACTCGGCGACGCTGATGCCCTCCTTCTCGAGCGTGCTCGCGAGCTTCAGTTGCTGGTTCATGAGCATGCGTTGGACCTGGGGATCGTCGGTAGGAGGGAGGTTCCGGCGCCTGACGAGGTCGTCCATGCCCTTGCGTTGAATGGGCGCGGACGCGGGCGTGGGCGTGGACTGGGCAGGGTCGGAAGCGGCGGCGGCGGAGGCGGCGGCCTCGCGCGCACTCGGGTGCTCGACGGTGGCGGCGAGGTGCCTGACGGAGGCAGGGAAGGCGGCGGCCTGTGCGCGCAGGTCCTCGTACCCATCTGCGTGGTCCTCCGCAGGCGCCCAGGCTGCTCGGTGGTTTGCCGGTGCATGAGGAGGCACAGCATCGGGTGTTGAAGCTGGAGCGGGATCGGGAGTGGGCGGCTGCTGAGCTTGAAGGCGGGCGAGCGTGGTTTCGTGGGACGTGCGATGAGGGTTGAAAGCGTTGCGAACGAGGGTTGTGGTGCGCTTGGCTGCGCGTGCGAGGGCTCCCGTGGTCGGTTCGACCGCGCGGCGCACCGCGCGGGCGACACTGGTGGACGCGACCTTGGGATGGAACCCGGGGCGGTCCATGAGCGACGTTTTCTGCCCGGGGAGGTGCGCCTTATATATGCGTCCCCGCCGGGCGGCGTCGGGAGAAGCAAAGCAGGCTGGGGGGTCCGGCGAGAGGCGGCGGGCGGCGGGCAGGGCGCGACGATGAGCGGGAGGCAGGGGCGGGACCCCCGAAGCGATGGGCTTCTTCGGGAGGAAACGGAGCAGGACGTCGTCATCCCGGTCGTCATTGAGCTTGTTCAGACGGCGGGCGAGGGGCAGAGGCGGTCGCTGAACGTGGTGGGCGCGGACGGTTGAAGGCGGACGTGGCGGATCCGATCACGTCACATCACACAGTATGTTTTCTGTCACAGTTCATTTGGAATGTACTACCTACGAAATACTACCCCTCGCTCGCTTCGAGGCGGTATTGGACACGCACTGAAGAGCTGATGAGCGCCAGTCACATGGGGGTAAGAATGGGACGCACAGGCAACGATCTGGTCGTTCAAGGCGGCCGGGAAGTTGTGCCGGACGAGCAGTGCAGTGCCGTGGCGCATCCCGTTCTGGTCCAGAGTGTTTGCGGTGATCAGGTCGCAGAATGCGTCTGCCCAGCGTTGCATAGTTGCGGAGGAGAGCGCTGTGTCGGTGACCGAGATGAAGTACACCTATAGGCGGCGGGGAGTGAGTGGGGTACATGCGCGTGCGCGGATAGACCTACCATCGCGGGCAACAGGCGAGGTGCGAGATCCTTGACGGTGGCCACCGTCCACGGGTCCTCACGCGTGCTGCCGTACTGTAGTCGGAACAGCTGGAGGTAGTGGGATTCGACGAGGGCGCGGTCGGCGGTGGTGAACATGGTCTGATGCCGCCGGTTGAGCGATCTGTCAGGTTATATACATCGGGCGCACGGCGTCTCCGGGCAGAAGCACCGTCTTCTTTGCCACCGTCTTTTTCCGCGCTGTCAATGTCATTGTCGAGAGTGGAATTGCCATCACGTCACGAATACGAACTGTGACGGTCACGGATGTCGTTACATTTCGAATGCATTGCCTACGAAAGACTGCTACTGGGAGTCTGGAGCCAACCGAGCGACTGTCTGTCATCCTCCTGCTCTTCCTCTTCCTCCTCCTCCTCCTCCTCTTCGCCGTCCTCCTCGTTGAGCTCGCGCTCGAGCTGGATGACGCGCTTGACGAGTCGTTCGGCGCCGATGCTGCTGAAAAAGGCCAGTGTGGCCGTGTCGTCCCGTCCGTCGTACCCGTCGTTCTCGAGGATGGCTCGGCAGATCTTGGGAAACTCTTTTGTGCGGCTGTTGTTGGCGAGCGACTTGACGGACCAGAAGGGGTCGAGGAGGACGAGGAGGCCGAACTGAGAGGAGGGTGAGAGCGAGCTAGCGCGACATGCAGCGGAATTCACCTTGCGATAAATGTCGACGAGCCTGTTCCGGCCGTTGACGATGGGCTTGATGACGGATTCCTTCCACTTGTTGAAATCGGCTGCGGCGCCGCCCTCGTTCTTGTACACGGCCTTGTAAAACTCGTCCTTTTCGACCGAGCGTCCAGTGCGGGTGAGGCCGATGGACTGCCAGCGGAGGCCAAACTCGAGCGTGTCGACGAGGATGATGAGGCGGCGGCGGTAGAAGCTGACGTCGTGCTTGGTCTCGTTGATGCAGATGCGCTGGGAAGAGAAAAGTGAGCGATTGTATGGCGCCGAGTGATACCATCTACATACGTTATGCAGCTGGACGAGCAGTCCGCCGTCATCGCCGTGGACGTCCATGTCGTTGTACGTCTGGCGGGCGATCATCTGGTCCGTGTTGTGGGGCGCGGACTGCTTCCACTCTTGCACGGTGTTGCGGTCGATGCCGCGCACGAGGCGCACGAACGCGGCGTCCTCCGTCTCGCGGCGCGACATGGGCTCGGGCGGGTCGATGGCGATCTTCCAAACGTCGTCCATGTTGCGCCACTCTGCCTTGGCCGCCTCGTCGATACCCGCGAGGCGCACGTCGGCGAGCTCGTCGGACGTCTGCGGGGTTGTCGTCGTCGCCGCCGCCGTCGCCGCCGTCTTCTTCACCCTCGTGCCACCGATGACCCTGCGCGGTGGCTGAATGACATGCTTGACGAGGGCGAGCTGCGCCTTGACCTGACGTCTGAACGCAGCCTGCTGGTTGCGCGGGAGGTCGTCGAGCGACGGCGCCTTGGCGACTGCCTGCTGAAGCGCGTCGAGAAAGTCGGTGTAGGAGGGAGAGAGAGCCATGCGCCTCTGACCCTCCCCGCTCGTCCTATATACTCCTGTGGCTCTGCACTACCCGCTGGGACTGACGGGCGGGAGGATGGAGAGTGGGATTGACAGCTGGTTTTTTTTTTTTTTTCATGTTCAGCGGCCCTCCTCCAGCGTCCGCCTGCGCTCGTTGTCCCTGTCGTGAGCGACCAGCAATTGCGTCAGGCTGCCTTCATCTACTTGAACGCAATGTGCATGGGGCAGAATCGGGCGGTCCCCGCATCCCCCGCATCGACGTGAACACGGTAAAGTAGGACTCTCATCAGTAGTCTGTAACGTGACCGTTCCCCGTACTTACGCCACATAATCCACTCGCGCACGGTCACCCTTTGCTCCGCGAAATAATGCCCAGCGCCACGGTCATATTTCTTGCCTCAAACCTATCACATTGCCACTCGTGACGGTCGCTGCGCGGTCCGCGACATAGCGCCAACTCATGCCCATCGCTTCTCCAAAAACAAATCCACGGTCACTACGCGACGAGATGCTAAGTCGCGCATCGCTTCGCGAGAAAATGCTCAGGAGGCCATCGCTCCGCGAGATAATGCCGGGTGGAGCATCGCTCCGCGAGAAAATGCACGGGCGGCCATCGCTCCGCGAAAAAAAAAAAGTGCCCGGGTCCCGTCGCTTCGCGAGAGTATGCCTGGGCGGCCATCGCTGCGCGAAAGAATGCCTGGCCGCCCATCGCTGGGACCCGAACCCACCGCATGGGACAGGGGCGTGGGTTCGAATCCCACTCTCGTCAAATAGCTTTTTGTAGATCCTTTCCGCGTCGAAATCGGCCCAGAAACGGGCGACATACGAATTTTACAGTGTTCGACATGATTTGGGTGAAGGCGGAAGACTGGTGTGAGTCATGACAAGGTTCTGAGCGGGGAAGAGGTTGTTTGACGTTTAGGCTGCCCAGGATGATGTAGCTTGAGTGAGCTGAAGATCGGCGGTTTGGGGGAAGAGAAGCAGATCAAGAGGCTACAGATTCAGCGTAGCATCGTCATTCGGGGTCGCTATACCACATCAGCGACTATCTAGTAGTATCCTTATATCACAGCTTCGCATGCACGGAGTCTAGTAACCCAATCATAGCCTCTAGTATATGCAACGCTACTTCCCTCGGCTTTTGTTGTACGACCTAGGCCATACAATCAGAATTTTCGTCAGTAGTGATCTCTCAAGGCGGGACTGACCTCATGCTCTGCATCTAAGATCGTAGAAACAGTTGCTGGCTTGCCATCGGGCCCCAGTGCACCGTTGAGGATACCTTCCTTGAACGCAGGGCCTCTGCAGGATGTTTAAGTTTTGGTGAGAAGCAGAAGATAGGATTAGCATCACGCACGCGAAGCGGTCCCCTTCTGCCATGGTGATGTGCATGGGCACGGCTTGGGCGGCGGGGCGTAATGACCGGAAGACGCGGTACAGGCCCTCCATGTCGTTGTAGCACTCCTGTATACGAGATGTATCCAAACTCGATTATATGTATACGCAAGTTCACGCACGATTTCTCGCTCCAGGGAGCACTTCGAAGCGATGCCACCTTCCTTGAGCGGCGTAAAGGTAAAGTCCTTGACGTAGATGAGCGACCTCGGCTCCTTTACCTTTGATCATAGGTCTACGCACCACATATATCCGACCTATACGTTCGTCGTACCCCTTCCACGAAGGCAACGTTCGGAAATGCGCCAGCGCCTCCTCGCGCGACTTGAAGCGATGACCGCGTCTTCTTGCACCCTCGGGGAGCACCCTTGCAAGCTTCTTCCACGCCTCGACACTATGGAGAGCGACGGGCTCGACGAGGATCGATGCGACGACGTTGTGAGGGCGGGGTTCGCGGATGATCGCTAGAGGGCTGTGGAAGGACGCGTTGATTTTCTGGACGCAGGACAGGGAAGAGAGAATGTGCGCACAGGACGGCGGCGCCCATTGAGTGGCCGATGAGGACGATGCGACGGTTGCAGAGGGCGTCGTGGCGTAAGATCGCGCGCAGCCAATGCTCCCAGTCTTCAAAGGGACCGGCTATGTTGGCGAGTCAGAAGCTCTCATTGAGTATACTTCCGAAGGTTGAAAGGGGTGCACAATGATAGAGTATGTAGGTGGGGAACCAACAGCGTCTGGACGTACAATACGGCATCTCCGGCTTGTCAGGATTTAGCAAGGCCGTGTCGCCATGGTACGGCGAGTCCACCGCCCATATTTCCTGCACGCCGCGATGTCCTCTCGCAGACGCAATGTCGAGAAACTCGTCGATGGTAGGTTCCCAGTATTCCTTGCACGTATGCGTGCTATGGACGAATAAGAGAGTCAAGGCATCATGATTCGCAGGACTTGTGCGAGGCACAGAATATCGCTTCGCTGCAGTGAGGAGACGATGGTTGGGACGCAGGTCCAGGACGAGGGTCTCTGAAGTCATATGAGGGAACATAGAAGCGCGGCGAGCGATCCAGAGGCTTAAGAGTGAGCGCGCAAGGGAGCGCCCGCGACGATATCGCACAAATCGTAGGCGGCATCGGAAAGTAGCCGGAGCGGTAATGCGGAAGAGTCCTCAGAGTTGCTTTTGTTGGAATTTGGGGAAAGGGGTACGAGCGATGAGCAGCGCGTGCTGAGCCCGCGAGAGCAGATTGTTTATAGTTAGTGCGGCTAATCGGAAGTGCACAGATAGCAAACTCGTTTCGATCTGAACGGTCTGAAGCGGGAGTAGGAAGACGGACAAGCTGCAGTGAGGATCATCGATGCACCAATTGAGACAATCCAGATTGCGGAGGACACGCTGATAATCGGCCTGAAGCGCGACTTCTGCACGTTTGGACATTGTGGCAACCGCGTGTGTCCGGCATTGCGTTCAGAAGCTCCTCCGTCCACACTGTGAATAGGTCGCAATCGTTTCAAGCGCGAAGATCGCCAGGCTTTGTCGTGACCTCCAGGTAGATGAGGGGAGGAAGCAACGTGCAAGGGCTTAATGAAGGGTTAATGAAGGACGCAGCACGTGTTGCCCAAACAACTATAACGCGAACGCGATGGTGGGAACAAAACCCGGACCGATCACCATTCTTGTCCTTCTCCGTCATCTCAGCGGCGAGCGCGTCGTACCTTCTTTCCTTTCACTTCCATACCATACCGAGCACAATGATGTTCGGTCTCTTCTCGCGCAAGGGGCATACGCAGCCAGAATCGCAGGCACAGACGCAGCAGGTGCAGGAAACGCAATCGCCAGATGTCTCCCAGCAACCGCTGCGCACGCCGTCCCCCACACCTGTGATGGCTGTAGACACCTCCACAGAGTCGACTTTTGCCGCGATGGACGTCGATACCCCTCCCGCGCCCAATACAGACGAGCAGCTAGTCGCACTTCGCGCTCTCGTCAACACTATGCCTGCGCCATCGCTGAAAGAATACGTCGTCCAGTACCTGCAAGAAGATCCGGTAAGGATGAACGTCCTCGATTTCTTCAAGGATATGGCTCCCCCTCCCCTCCTTCACTGTCTCCGCTGTCACGGCGACTACTATGACGTCGAGAACACGCCCACGAGCTGCCGAATCCCGCACGACGACGATAGCACGCTGGTCGAGCGCGTCGGTGGCGGGAGGGGCTACGAGACCCTCTGGCAGTGCTGCGGCAAGACGACGGAGGGCGACGGCGACCAGGGGCCCCCAGATAGCTGGTGCTACGAGGGAGAGCACACGGTGCGTGGCGCGCGTCCCCCCTTCGCGTGTACGATACCGATCGACTTCATTATCGCAGACTGACATCAAGCGCGCCCGCTTCCGCGCCGACGCGACGAACTACGACGACAAGCTCGTCAGCTGCATCAAGCGCAAGTGCGGCGTGGTGATCGTCGATCCGCCGAGCAGCTCGTCGGAGGATGGCGCCTCAAATGGGCGGTCGGTGCGCTCGCGCGGGCGAAAGTCTCGCGTCTTCGCTCGCACATCACCCTCCCCTGCACGCTCGACACGATCGCGGTCGCGCGTTGGGATGTCCCCAATGCGCCCGTCTCCCAAGCGGAAACTCAACGAGTCGGACGAAGAGCAGGAGGAGGTTTCCGACGCCGAGAAGCCGCAACAAAAGCGGCGCAAACGGCAGCCTGCGACCAAAGCATCCCCTTCTACTTCTCTGAAGCCCACATCCAAGTCCAGCGGTTCGAAACCCCTAACTGAGCGCAAACCCAAAGCGACACCCACGAAACCCCGCTCTCGAGCCGCAAAGGCGCAGCAGGACGAAGAGGAGGGCGGCGCAGCTACGGAGGTCGAGAACAACCCGCCCAAGCGTCGCGGCCGCCCGCCTGGCTCGAAGAACAAGCCCAAAGAGCCGGTCGCCCCACCTTCGGATCGCGCCCTCCGCGCCCGGAGCGCAACCCCGGCGCGCGCCACCCGAGAAGCCACACCCGCCCGCACCGCCCGTGAAGCGACGCCCGGGCGCGAGAAGACACCGCGGAAGGCAGCGAAGGAGGCCCCCACAACACCGCGTACACGCGCGAAGCGGGGTCCTCGGGCGGCGCGCGTCGACGAGGACGAAGCTGGGCCAGACGTGGACACGGTGGTCGTGCATGCGACGCGGACGAAGAGGCTCGACGAGGTTGTGGAGAGCAGTATACCGGGCGAGTGCTAGTGCGTCGTTGGGTGTGGTACGTTTTGGATTCTTGTGTTCGGCCTCCGAAGAAACAATCTTTCCTTGTCTATATTCCTCCTTACTCTTCGTCTTTTCCTCCTCCCTTGCTGCATACTCTGTAGGCTTTATCGGTAATATTTGGCCACGTTTGTGGTCCGTGTTTGACCGTCCATACAGTGCGTGACCGGGAAGCTGGTCACAAATCGTTCGATCAGCGTTTGCTGCGAACGTGGCGGTGTGTCTTGCTACCAATAGTCACCTTCATGTAGTCTGGATTCTAAGCTTTCGACTGGTATACTTTGCGAAAGTGTCCTTGAAGTATCGCCTGCTGTACGAATATTTTGAATTGATGACCGCCGAATGTGCTCGGACCGGGAAGCTGGTCATAACTCCGAGCTTCCCACGCAGGTCGACTACCGTCCCGTTTTGACGGTTCACTCAACCCTGGTATTCGATACCACCTCCTGAGACAGTGTAAACACGTCAGTGCACATCTATGAAGGATCTAAGGCCCAAAGTCTTCCCGAACCCTATTGATCATGCCCGAAAATTCGCATGCTCAAGGTTGGCAGGCATTATCGATAGTGAGACCGAGCATTTGGCGCCAAAATGTCCGAGATGCATCTACATAGTGTTTACAATGACTCAAGTACTCATATATTTCCTGTACGTACGTGCAGAGTGCCGTTTATCAAGAATTAAGAACAACACTCTTGGCACGTGACTATCGACGCATGCTAAACAGCACGCAGAGACTGCTTCCCCAGCGGTTTTGAGGGTCATGCTTTCTCAAGTATATTGTACCATGCCTCTGTGCTTGTTCTTGTGCCCTGAAAGTCCTTGGAAGGGGCCCAGCGACTAGGGGGGCTCAGGGCCTGTCTTTGGAAATAGCTACGACTAGCGTCGTACCGAGGAGCGATAGAGAAAAAGAGAATAAACAGAACCCTTCGGCGAAAGGTTGAGCCTGCATGTACCAGTTTCCAGGAGAATCGCATGGCTGAAAACCACGCTGTGAATTTCCTTTGAATTTGTCTCTGATGCGATACTGAGAACGCTGTGGTCGCATTGAGAGAGCCATATTACAGGCATTGAGCAGGAGGCGTAGATTGTAGAGGCGTATATCGACGGCCGACCACCCAAGGTACGCATATCGTTCTTTGTGAAGGCGCCGAGAGCGGCAGAAGGAGAGCTATAGGCAGAAGGGGTTTGATCGCTCGATCACGGCATCCCCCGGCCCCATCAAGCGCCCACGCACTCGGACCTTGAGCAGTTAAGGACATTCTGCGCTATACACAGCTTCAGTCTATCGCTACGTTCACTTTGGTTTCATCAAAGAGGACCGAGACATCGGATACGGTACGCTACAAACGCTATGACCAGCTTCCCGGTCTGACCAGCTTCCCGGTCACGCACTGTATTTACCTTCGTATATATCCTAACTATCTGCTTCCTTAAGCACATATTGACAATCTCTTACTCCCTGTAATTATCTTCCCTCTTGATTGCTGTAGTCCAATAGGGACTCGCACTGTATATAATTCGTCCTACGTACTTTTCGACCGGTGCGATTCCGGAGTGCGTCGTACTCGGAGGCGCAAGCGCAAGTCGAACCGTGACTGGTGCGTGACCTTCTTCCGAGTGTACCTGACGTCATGCGACCCTTCGCAGCTGCCTCTGCTTGGGAAGCATTCTGGTCCTCTTGCCCTTCCTTTTCAACTTCTTCCGTGCCCGTATAGCACTAGCCATGTCCGCCACCACCGACAGCGGCAAAACATACCGCACCGAGTGCACCGGTGCCGCACATGAGACCGTCAAGCGACACTCGTCCGACGAGGCCATAACCTTGTTCGCCGCGTGCTTTTGCCCGTTTGTGCAGAGGGCGTGGATCGCGCTGGAGTATCTTGGTGTACCGTACAAGGTGGGTAAAGCGCTACTAGAAGGGTATGAGCTGAAAGGCTTAATGTGACTGGCGCCGTGGCTGTAGTATTGTGAGTCTACAACTTGCCTCTGATCTATCAAGGAAGGGAAGGCTGACCTTGTACTGCAGATGAAGTCGACCCGTACAAGAAGCCGCAGGCGCTGTTGGAGGTGTCGCCAAAGGGCCTCGTTCCCGGTCTGAAGCTGCACAATTACAACCCGCCGCGGGCACTCAATGAGAGCACGGTCATCCTTGAGTATCTGGAAGAGTAATCAGCGCTGGAATCCGTTATCATCGAGAATTACTGAATTTTGGCGTCAGCGTCGCGTCAAACACAACGAAGCGCAGCCTCCTTCCTCCTCGGACTAACCCATGTCAGTTCGACAATCGACCCACATACGTACTTCCTTTCTTATGCTTACCCAAACCTCATAGACGCCCGCGCCCTCGTCCGCCTCCAAGCCGACCACGTCAACCGCACGCTCGTCCCCGCCTTCTATCGCTACCTCCAAGCCCAGGACGCCGACGCGCAAATCAAAGGCGGTCAGGAATTCCTCGAAGCCATCCGGGGCTTAACGGATCTCTTCGAGCGCATGGAGCGCGAGATCGTCGCGCCTGGCTGTGCATCTGTTGAGGGGGAGGCGAGGGCGTTGAAGGCGGGGCTCGGTCTCTGGGTTGAGGGTGGGGACTTGGGGTACGTGGACGCGATGGCGGGGCCGTGTGAGTGGTTGCGTGAAGAGTGAGATGGACAGGATTGCTGAACAAGGCGCAGGGATCTTCCGCGCGTCGATCGTCTTGAAGCACTACCGCGGGTTCACGATGCCCGAGGGCGAGAAGTTCACGGCGTGGACGCAGCGCTTGTTCAGCCACCCGGTGTTCAAGTCGACGTGCAGCACGGATGATTTGTACTTGGATAGCTACGAGAGGTTAGCGATTTTTCTCTCTGTATGGGATATTGAGCTCATGGTGCCTTTAGATATGCCCACAACCGCCCGAACACAAGCATGGTAGCAAATGCCATTAACAGTGGACGCGGCCTGCCTTGAATCATTACAAGCGCAATCAAAATGTAAAAATGTACTATATCATCACTTTCAAACGACCCGGAAGTTTTTCTCTGCGCATTCGTCGACTACCCAGGCCAAGCTGCAGCCCAAAGTTCAACTTGTAGGTCCACCTCACGTGCCGCGTGATAGAAGCCGCGCGCCTCGTGCACGGACCACTTATGGCCAGCGCACGGACCACCCCTGCCAGGAAGTATATAAGGCGGACTTGGACATCTGGATTCCCCAGAACATACTCAGCTAGGATCTTTTTATAGGTTCTAACCGAGTTTCGCACATTTACATGTGCCGCTTCTCTCAAATCCAGGCGATGACACCGCGCTCGCTCGTTCGACGGAGAACATGGCCGCGCAAGCGGTCTCGAGGATGTTTGGCCAGTCCGACGGGATCTGCTCTTCGGGGCGTCTCGGAGGGTGGTCAGCGAGCTGGGCGTCTGTCTGATGGATTCTCGTATTTCTGTAGCTTTATGTCCAATTCAATTACTTGCTTGCCACCATCTCACCGTGTGATCGGAGCCGAAAACTGAGTATTCTCAGGTCGGAAGATTGGCATGACTCATCTTCGAGAGAGTGTGCTGAATCCCCCCTCTCAGTCTGTTCTACCTGGATGGACTTCGCAATTGCCGGGCTGTGGATTGCTTTACCCCACTTCAACAGCGTGTAAACTGTCGTCTTGCGAGGAGGGGGCTATACAGAGCTCTACAGTATATTTCAGGAGACGTTGCAATCTTCCTGTCCAATCATCTTCAATCTATTTGCACGCTACGGGACTCGAGGCAGCCCGAAGATAGCCTTGCGAAGGCCCAGCACCCCTTCTCGACAGCAGGAGGCCATGATAGCAGCTGATACCGTCGGACTCCATCCCACCTTATCGACCATGCACACGTCCCGCAAGCGCCGACTGACAGGCCGTCAGCTGATAGCGCGCTAGAGAGAAGGCAGATGCAGCCCTCCGGTGCTCCTTGATCGCTCCCTCATCCCCTCTCACCCGGTCGCGGCAAAGAGGACGCGCGATGTCCAAGCAACCCGCGCCCGAGAACCCCAAGCCGGAGGCGACGGTGACGGCGGTCGTGGATGAGGCGGTCGACTCGAAGTCGGAGTCGGACGTGAGCCGGCCTGGGGGCATACACTTCGTCTCGACAATCTCGAAGGACGAGCCGGTGGTGACGAGGAGGGAGCTGTGGAGTTACTACAGTATGTGATAGCTTCAATTGCGAGGAGAGCGTGATTGAACTTGTGCTGAACAGTGTACTACAATGGTGACAATGTACGCGCATTCATTGTTTATATCAGTCAGTTCATACTCACTCTTGTGCGCCAGGGTGTGGGGCCAAATGGATACTCCATGACCCTCTTTCAATCGCTGGCCTATTCGGCCGGGTATGACCCCGTCAAGGTCCTCAAGCTTGCTCGAACCGTATCCAAGAAGGCTGACTTCATGCCGAAACATAGGGCCCCGGCTCGAGCTGCAACGCCGACGACGCGTCCGGACAGTGCGTCGTACCTTGGGCTGGAGGGACGAAGTCCGTCTCGAGTGCCGTCCTCGTCGCGAACGGCGTCAGCTTCGCTGTCAGTAATTTTGGTGAATATGCACGATTGACAGCGTCTAACGAGGGCATCGCGCCTCTACAGGTCATGACTCTCATCTTCACGACCATCGGCTCGGCGGCAGACTACGGCACATTCGGCCGCTGGCTCCTCTTCGCCGTCACCGTAGTCTGCTGGGCCGCGCAGTATGCGAGCATGAGTCTCACAGGTTCGTTTTCTCCACAACCGTTCCACACTCGCCTAACCACCCTCTTACCCAGATCCCTCCCGCTGGGGCATCGCCATGTTCCTCTACATGGTCGGCTTCATCAGCTACGGCGCCACCCTCGTCTTCTACGCCGCCGTCTTCCCCCGCCTCGCGCGCAACACCGCGCACGCGCGCGATCTGCGCGAGAAGTACGACGCGGGCGAGATCGCGCAAGAAGAGTACGAGCGCGAGGAGAGCTTGGAGAAGAATCGGATTAGTAACATTTCGGTGAGTTGGCCTCATAGGCGCGAAGAGAATTTGGGACTGATCTAAGTTACGACAGACGGTTAGTGAATATGTTCTTCGCACGAGAGGCGACGAGGTGCTCACTCAGGGCGCAGATGCACAGCAATATCGGCTACATCGTGACGCTATGCTTGAACCTGTCGCTCCTGCTGCCGCGCGCGAGCGACAGCAAGGTTAACAACTATGTTATCGTGCTGTGAGTGTCTCTTCCTTACTATCCGCCGCGCCCTTGTTGACAATCTGCTAGCACGAACTCGTACTGGGTCCTGACGGGTATATGGTGGTGTACGTCGTCCTCTTCGCAGGTCTCATACAGATCACTCACCCGCCCTAGTCATCTACCAGCAGCCTCGCCCGGGACCTCCCTTGCCGAAGGGCGAATACTACATCACCGTCGGGTGGAAGCAGATCTGGCACGCGCTCAAGCAGTACCGCAAGCTCCCCTTCACCTTCGTGTACCTCTTCGCCTTCTTCCTTCTCGCGGATGTGCGTATGCGTGTTCTTCCCTGCCCTTCGTGCCCTCCCCTTGTCGTTGCTTTCCCTTTGTCACTGGTTTCCCCTTGTCACCGCCTCATGCTCACCCGACGTTGGTCGCTACAGGGCCTCAACACCACCGGCACGCTCGTCTCCATCTGCCAGAACGACAAGTTCGAGTTCAGCTTCCTGCAGAACACGTACCTGGGCCTCTCGCAGGCGATCACGTCGACAATTAGCACGCTCGGCTTCTGGTACATTCAGAAGTACTGGAAGATCAGCACGAAGAAGATGGTGAGTGAGGCTGACACGACTTTGGCCTGCTCGGCGCGAGGCGGCTGGGGCGGCCTGACATCGGATGGGAAGGATTCCTGCAATGTTGACGCACTCGCCTGTAGTTCATCGTGACGAACGTGGTAACCATGATGATACCGCTTTGGGGGATGATAGGTGCGTTGAGCTCGCTGTTGGGTTCGCGGGCGCGAGAACTGACATTCGTGCAGGTATCTGGACAGAGAAGCTCGGCTTCCACAACGTCTGGGAGTTCTGGTACGTCCTCCCACCTCTCCACCCTCCTTTCCACCCCCATCCTCAACCCCACCTCCCCTTCCCAGGGCCTACAACGTCCTCTTCGGCCTCTTCCAAGCCCCCTACTACGCCTTCTCCCAAACCATGATGGCAGAGCTCACCCCGCCCGGCTTCGACAACATGTTCTTCGGCCTCTTCGGCCTGAGCAACCGCGCCTCCTCCATGATCGGCCCGAACGTCATCCAGGCGATTATCGATAGGTCGGGGAGCAACTGGTATGGGTTCCCGTTCCTCTTCGCTCTGTGCGTGTGCGCGAGCGTGGTGATTTGGTTCGGCGTGGATGTGGAGAAGGGGAGGAGGGACGCGGTGGCGTGGGCGGAAGGGGTGAGGAAGGAGCAAGCTGGGGAAGGCGAGGAGAGCGCGAAGGAGTTGTAGGATGAAGTGCACATAGTTTTCGCGGGTTTATGTGTTGTACGACAAGTTCACGATATATCATGGCCGAGGGTTGAGTCTAGTGAACGCTTTGCTTGACTTGACGAGGAGGTAGATGAAGGTGAGGATGATTACGGAGGAAGTGCCGAATTCGACGACCGGAGCGTCCGTGGACTGCCCGAGCGGTAGGCGAGCTACTTCTCCCTTATGCGCATTCGTTGACAGAAGGGGGACAATGGTCGCGGCAGATGAGTTCGTGAGTTCAGAGACAAGAGGATATGATCGTAATTTGATAGCTTGAGCTGAAGTGCTCTCTTCGACATGCCCTACGTGTAGCTTAGCACGTCGTACTGGGGCTCCAGGGATTAAGGTAACGGACCTTGAGCCTTGGGACAAGCCAGGAATGCACTGGGATAGGGGAGCAGGACGTCTTCGTGGGTCGTGTGCGCATCAGGCCCAGCTACAAGCCCGTAGCGAAGGTGTAGTGGTACGTTCACCTCGATCGGTCCCTCCTTCCCTTCCCCATTCAATGCGACACTGACAAGAAGCTCAGGCCCTTCCTCGGAGTCCAATGCGAAGACGGGGAGCTCCAAATTCGAGGGGCCACGGTACGCAAACTGCAGCCGCGGCGCATAGTTCTGAAGCTCGTATCGGTCGGCGAATATTGTTGGAGGAAGGACGAAATGCAGGTTCAGAGTGCAGTCCGCGTATAGCGACGCGTCCTCGAGGTTCGCCAGAGTCTTATATGTCGGGTGGTAGCCGTGATTTGGGGATAGCCATGACTGGTAGGTACCCACGGGGGAGCACATGATGGTAAGGAGCAACAAGCGTTGAGCGCCCTAGCGGCCGGGCCGCGCGACGCGACGTGTCGTGAGAAACGCCACTTGATTCCTCATATGGGCAGTTCATTGTCCTATTGTACTTTTCGCCGTCGGGCATCGGGCATAGTCATCCAGACAGATCGACAAGCCTTGACTCCTCCTGACTTCCTCCCCCATCCTCAAAAAGTCTGAGCATACACTATTTCGTCTAGACAAGCGTTCACTCGCAGTAGATCTCATCAGAGCATCCCTTGTCCCCATCCCCTCCATGTTGAAGCCCCTAAGTAAGTGATTTCATGCGTACATCTTCACTTGTTTCGTAACGACGAATTTCCAGCCTTTGTTACTGGCAATGCCAACAAGCTGAAGGAGGTACAGGCTATCTTGTCTGCAGGACCTCACCCAGTCGAGATTACCTCTCAAAGTGTTGACAGTATGTCTGATTGCAGCTCATAACCTGTTCAATCCCCCGGGTTTCACTTCCATATACTCCTCTAATCCTGCATAGTCCCTGAGCTGCAGGGAACCACTCAAGAAGTGGCCATAGACAAATGCAAGCGCGCGGCTGAGGCGGTAAGCTCCTCTACGCCTTTCCATCAATTACAGCTAAATATTATCACTTCAGCTCCAGGGCCCCTGCATCACCGAGGACACCGCGCTCTGCTTCGAAGCCATGAACGGCCTGCCAGGACCCTACATCAAGCACTTTCTCGCGGCGCTGGGCCCGGCGGGGCTGAACACCATGCTCGAGGGCTTCCCTACAAAGGCTGCGTGGGCGCTATGCACATTCGCATACTCTGCTGGTCCTGGTACGTCTGTTCGAAAAGGAGCTAGTAAATATGCAAGAGGCTGAATGTATGTGACAGGCTCCGAGCCCATCCTCTTCGAAGGCCGCACGGACGGTAAAGTCGTCCAGGCGCGCGGGCCTCAGAACTTCGGCTGGGACTGCTGCTTCGAGCCGGATGGTTATGATATGACGTGAGTGGTTTTCATGTGTACGTTTTTCTGTCCGGGAGCTGAGTTGCGATCAGGTATGCCGAAATGCCCAAGGATGAGAAGAACAAGATCTCGCACCGATACCGCGCGCTCGAGAAGCTGCGCGCATACCTGCAGAGTCAAGCATAGATGCCCCTACCGACGAGAGAAAATGAAACCATAGATATACGCACCTTCTTACAGCGATGTACGAAGCACTCACACATTACCCCCACGAAATAACTGTGCAAAGCGGGAGTTCTATGATAAACAGTGGGGCTACTACGATAAATGCGACAAGCAGGAAAGTGCGAGACAACGACTAGAATACATGCCTAAGTATTTACTTGCACAAGAATAGATGTGTGGGGGCGGTTCGTTTGTTCGCTCGAGGACGGACGGCGGTCGAGCGACGGCGACGACGTTGACAGAGGAGGCTCGCGCGCTGTCGGTGGAGGACGCTTAGGCGACGTAGGCAAAGGTGTCCTTCTGGCCGTCAACGCGCTCGATGTACTCCTTCTCGAGGAGGGTCTCGATTGCCTAAGAATTATGTGAGCGACTTCGTAAGAGTGAGACTGTAAAGGGGCCGTACCTTCTTGATGTCCGGAATCTTGGGCGCGAAGCGCTGCGAGATCTGCGAGATGACCTCTTGGATGAGGGCCTGGTTCTTCATCGTCTTGCGCGCCTTCATGATACTGAAAAGCGAAGCAGTGAATACAAGGAAGGAACTTGCGAAGACGATAGCGTACCGGACGATCGTGGCCTGGATCACGTATTTCCTGTCCTCGTCGACGGCCTTCAAAACCTCGTTCGACTCCTGCTTGACCTCAGCCTTGATCGGCTGGTTGAGGTTGACACGAATCTTCTTCGACTTGAAGTCTACCGCACAATCAGCAATGTCCAACCCCTCTCACCACTGGCCTACTCACTCGGGTTCAGATCATATTGCTCCGCCTCGTCGTTGATCAAGATCTTCGCCTTCACCAGCACCGCGAGCACCTGCGTCAGGATCTCCTTCGAGATCGCCGTCGCCGCAACCAGCTCCTCCAGTGACAACGTGTCATTCTTGTTGTACTGCATAAGCACCGCCATCTGGTACGAGCTCGTCATGAGCATGTACTTCTGGTTCAAGTAGTTCGTCCGCAGCTCGTTCTTGGAGTAGTTCCACAGCCAGGTGAGCTTTCGCCCCGAGTGCTTTGACTGGTAGTACTTCTGGAAGCGGTCGTACGTCGGCGCGATCTCCGCGGGGATCGTGAAGTCGTGCGTCGGCGGGTTCAGCGGCCAAAAGTTCGTGCCGAGGACCATGATGCTGAAGTTGATGTCCATGTCGTCGTGGTTCTGCTGCATGCGCTCCTTGAAGTTGTCCGTGAGGTCCTTGGAAAGGGACATGTCGGTGAACATGCGCTGCAGCTTGTTCGTGTACTCGAAGCCGCAGGCCTCCTTGAGCTTGGAGATCATGCTCGCCTCGGCCTCGTCGGAGGCGGAGACGCCATGGATGAGACGCTTCGACAGCTTCGTGGTATAGAAGGTCTGGAACACGTCCTTGTCCTCGAGGTACTTGAACAGAATCATCTGCGGGGGCGTTAGCTTGATCGAAGTTTGTGGCAAAGCGCACGTACCACGCGGTTCAGAGCGCCCTCGAGATCGTCCTCCTCCGCCATCTTGTTGTTTTTCCGCAACAACATGTCGGCGTGTTTGGCGATAAGTTCAGGCGACTTGGTCGACGAGGTGCCGGTGGCAGCATTTCGGTTGACGAATTCTCTGCACGCCTTATCCAAGCTTGCAGCGAAACCGGCTTCGCCCTTGAAGCTCCGCTGTACCGTTTCCGAGTTCTTGCGGTGGACCTCAAGGAGGGCGTCGACGTACGCCTTCGGATCGAGCGTGTCAACGCTGGTGCCGAGCTTGGACACAGCGGCGAGACCGGCCTGCTTGACGTGGCTCTCGAAGCGCTTGCGTAGCGGCTCGAGACCATCTGGTATGCGGGCGAGGAGCGCGTACATCCGCTGCAAGTCCTCGTCCTGATCGTAATCGAGCAACCGCTGGAAGCTGTCCTGCATGAGCTCGAGGTGCTCGCGGATCAGGACGTTCTCGCAGCGGCTGATGAGGTCCTTGCGCGTCTTGGTGTGCAGGTACCGCTCGACACGGTCTTCCTCCTCCTTCAACCGGTCCTCCGCCTTCTTCAGGTAGTCCGACACCGAGTTCTGCGCGAGGAACGCCTCAGACTCTTGCCGGTAGTACTTGTCCGTCGCATCGAGGAAAGGCGTCTCGAAGTGCTCCTTGTACACGTCGAGGCACTCTTTGTTCGGATCGGAGTTGTCGAGCCCGAGGGAGACGAACGAGTCGACGACCTTCTTGATCAAGCCCTGATCGACGACGTCCCCGTTTCGCTGGCGCTCGATCATGCGCAGGAGCGCACCGGCGAGCTTGGAGTCCTGGCTCTGGATGTGCAAGAAGACGCCAGACTTCCACTGAGCGAGGGCGAGCTGGCGGATCGGATCGTGTCAGCAATGAGGCGTCGCGTGCCACTGGTTGTTGCGCACCGTGTAGACCTGGTAGACCGTCTTCTTGCCCTCGTCGCGTTCGCGCTTGACCCAGTAGCGGTTGAGGTACGTGAAGAGACGGTTGAGGTAGTTTGCGCCTGTCGTGTATCGATCCCACTCTTGTGCGTAGTATCGTAGGAGCTCCTCGTCTTGCAAGGTGTCGAATTTCTGGCGCGTGTGAGTGGCAAGTATGATGCGATTTCTGCTGAGGACGCACCAGAAGCATCGGCTTGAAGTGTTCTTGCAGATACACGGTCAGCTTCTGGTACAAATCCGCCCCCACGAGGTTAGCGCCCGCTGAATGAGGATCAGTAAGGCGCCTATATTCCCCAGAGCGCATCACGCACATCTGTTCCCCTCGAGCTTCCCCTGCATCTTTGTGGACGTGCAGTAATTGTAGACGGTCGTGTAGAGGTTCGTGTAGTGCGAGAAGGAGAGGCCCTTTTCGAGGTGGAGCATGATGTGCTCGACACCGCGATTAAGGAAGTCCCATGTCTCGTTGAGGTCGGCAGTCCTGCTGGGGACCTTTCCGAAGTCTGTGTCTGGGGTCGCGGTGCCGGACATCGTCGTCGTCGCTGATGAGCGTAGGAAACGAAAGAATGAAGCGCCCGTCCTGCACGCGGGCCGTGACCGTCACGATAATAGGCAACTTCCGAACCGAACTTGCTTTATTCTTTCATCGCGAGAGGGTCTTCGCAGCTGCTCGGTCCTGCAGGTCATGTTCTACGCGCTCATCCTCCCGGGCTAGCCTGTTGAACAAGTCCTTGATCTTCAATCCATGTGCCCTTGTCCAAACTTGGTCCTTTCGGTTTCGCGGCTACGGAGTCAATTTATGATCCTGCATCGCATCCCCTCAAAGCGGGTGACCTACAAGTGCTGCTCTTCTGCACGATCGGACTCAGACCAACAGATATAGCCATTTTCTGTATGCCTGAACAGCCTCGACAACTCGACCAGCCATTCTCCGCGCTCATCGCAAGTTGCCGTACCCATGCTTGCCTCATACTCCCGACACACAAAGCGCTACACAACCCCATTTCTGTGGCCACGATACACTATCATCATTGTCTAGCCCGCCGAACCTCCATACCCTGCACATGTGCCGTGCATAATGCGAATACAGTGCGACGGTGACCCTGGCCGTCCAAACTCATCGAGCGCTTCAGGTCTTGCCGCGGCCCCGGAAACGCCAAAGTACACGTACGACATTCAACAGACTGCCCACCTGACCGATCAACCTCGTCTATATATCGCGAACATGAACAGTCACCGCAGAGCCATAACGGTCGAAGGTCACCGCCTGTATACAGTTGTTCGATGAGGTCGGCCGCTTACAATGGATCCGAGGGTGTTCTCCGCGCAAGATCGTAGCCCTGTGCCTGTTCAGAGAGGTATAAAAGCTCAAGGCATTCTTCACGATTTCTCCAGGAGCTCAGTGTCAACTCAAGCGCCTTCTACTTCTTCGCCTTCATCTCTGACGATCATCATGTTCTCCTACCTCGCCGTCCTCGCCGTCGCGCTTGTCCCCGCTCTTGCGGCGCCCCTCGACGGCTTCGTGGCTCGTCAGACTCCCGCGGGAACTACCCTTCACCCCAACGGCGACCTCACTCGCTGCCTCTCGGCGGCGACTAGCGTTGTCGCTGGCGAGCCAGGTGCACGTATCACCATGTGTGTTGATCTTCCTCCTTCACGTATGTCCTGCGCTGACAGTCCTCTTTCCCTCAGCGACGCATGCGACGGTGCTAGTCCCCAGACTTGGGTCATTAACAACGGCGAGACCACCGTCAAGTACACCGGCGCGAACTCCTGCGTCACTGCCGGAGGACGTGAGTAGCCTTCCACTTTCATGCCATGGGTGTCTCGTTCACTTACCTCTCATCCCAGTCTCCGACGGTGCCCGCCTCTACCTCGAGGCTTGCATTCCCGACCAGGTCACCCAGACGTTCTACTACACCAACGACTTGCGCATCGCGGTCGAGAACCAAGGTACGCGAATGAAGGGTTGCTTCAACTGTCTTGTTCTAACTTGCATCAGGCCTCTGCGTCGATCTCCCGAGCGGTGACAAAACCCCCGGGAATGCCCTTCAGGTCTGGACGTGCACGGACAACAACACGAACCAGATCTGGAGCACGTAAAGGGCTTTTAAGCTGTGTAAAGGGATTCACATCAGTCCTGGTGTTTTACCGTATTGGGGAATATCAGGGAATGGCCTTGTGTAATTTTTGTGTAGCAGATTTGCGAATGGACTTCTGTGGCTGAATATAATTGTGGCAACGTACTTCCTCCGGCGTGTGTGCTGTGCAATGGCTTCCCGAGCTTCTAAGATGCACTCAATGGCGACCATAAATGCCTTCATCGAGAGAACCCTCCGCTTCCCTGGTCATCTGCCCCCCGACATGAGCCCGCCACCGTAACAATCTGTCGCCACAAACTCCAGCAAACACGAGGCGCCCGGCGCGGCGCGGCGCGCGCATCTTGGCTCCCCCAATAAATGCCCTGCGCTTTATGAGCTTTCTGTCGGCCGACACCCGCACCTGGTTGCTAGCCCTCGCCAGGACGGACGCCTTCCAGCAGCTCTTCCCGCTCGTCGTCGTCGTCGGCTTTCCCCTCCTCATTCTCGCGTTCCCGTGGCGCGCGCTATCGAACTATATCGCCATGGTCTTCGAGGGCCTGATGCCGTGGAACTGGGGCTCGGGGTCGGCGGCGGGCGCCGGAGAGCGGGGGGTGCGGAGAAGGCGTAAGGGGAGGGGAGCGAGGAGAGGGTCGACGGCGAGTGAGACGGGGACGAGCGGGACGGGTGCGTGAGGGGACGGAGAGGGATGAGTGGGAGGCTGACTGGGCTGCAGATACGGACTCGGCGCTGGAGGGGTACTACCCTGGTCTGGTGAATATCTCGGGGACGTACTGCTACATGAACTCGACGCTGCAGGTGCGATCGCCCGACCGCGCGCCAATTCGAACCCTGCTTACGCTGCGTAGGCGCTCGCCTCCCTCTCGTATCTCCGCCCCCACCTCGACCTCATTGCTGCCAAGGCAGAGGCCCTTGATGTCGCAACCCCCGTCGTGGACGCATTGCGGGACTTGCTGACCCGTGCGTGGCCTTGCAACCTGTCCCCTCACCCGCTTGTCTGACCTCAGTCGCAGAACTCAACACCCCCCACAAACGCTACACCACTTTGAAGCCCATGAACATCATCCAGGTCCTCGGCAAAGCCACCGCCGGTCGGCCTAATTCCCTCCTCAACTCCCGCGAACACCAAGACGCGCAGGAGCTGTTCCAGATCGTCTCCGAATGCGTCAAGGACGAGATCCAGGCCGTCGACAAGGAGCGCTACCGAGATCGCGGGCTGGGTGGGCTCGCGCCGGTCCTGCCGCCAGAACTCGCGAAAGAGATCGGCAAGAGCGTGTTCGACGGACTGACGGCGAATCGGCGTAGTTGTGTCGTCTGTGGCTACACGGAGGCTGTCATGCACTTTGGCTTCGATAGCTGGCAGCTCGCGCTGCCTATGCGCTCTGATGTAGGTTGCACGCGTTGCTTCATCGAACTCCACCTGACCCACGCAGGGATGTTTTCTCGAAGTACTGCTGGAAGACTACACGCGCCTCGAAGTTCTTCGGGACTGTGTTTGCCGGAAGTGCTCATTGAGGGCGACGCACGCAAGACTGCAGCGCGAGCTCGAGGAACTGAAAGCGAGCGAAAAACCCAAGAAGAAGCGATTAAAGGAAGCACAAAGACAGGAGGCGCTCGTCAGGACAGCGCTGGAAGAGGGCAGGATCGAGGATGACTTGCCCGATGTCAAGCTGGACCGAGCCATAAGCCATGCGTCGACGAAGCAGGCTATGGTAGCGCGAGTATGTCTCTTGCTCTGCACGCTCTAGCTACTCACTGACGCTCGGACCCAGCCACCTCCCGTGCTCGTCCTGCACATGAACCGCTCCATGCACTTCGGCTACGGCGGCGCTGCAAAAAATCCCATGCGCATTGCCTTCCCCGAAATGCTCGACCTCACCCCCTTCACCACCTCCGGCTCCCTTTCCCTTTCCCCCACCGAGCAAATTTCCACCCCCGCCTCCACCGGCCCCTCCCGCGGCGCGACACCCACGCCCGCCTCGTATGCCTCCGCACGCACGCTCTACCGCCTCGCTGCCGCTGTGTGCCACTATGGCGCGCATTCATTCGGCCACTTTGTCTGTTACCGACGCATACCGCTTGGTCGCGGGCCTCCTCAAGTGCGTAGTCTCGCAGTTGCATCAACAGGCGAGGCGTCGCGCGATGCGAGCGACTACGAGTGGGAGGGCGTGCCACCTGCTGCCCCACGAACCGGCAGGGGATGGCTGAGGATATCGGACGACGCGGTGACGCCTTGTGGGATCGAGGATGTGCTCATGGAGCAGCGGTCAGTCTTCATGCTGTACTACGAGCGGGTGGTGCTGCCAAGGCCGCCGTACGCAGCGGGGGCAGGTGGGCGGAATTACTCAGAAGAGACGCTGAAGCCAAAGGTGGTGGAAGCAGAGGCGGAGAAGGGCGAGCCGGTGGCCAACGGGCATGCGGCAGTGGCAGCGGACGGCGAGGCGGATGGGTTCGTGCAGGTGAAGGAGGTGAAGGCGAAGGAAGAGTTGGTGCCCGCCCGGCCATTTGTGGGTCCGCGTATTGTGCGAAGTGTGGCGGCGGGGAGGGGCAGGGGACGACTAGCGGAGAGCCTGGTCGTCGTGCCGTCCGAGATGAAGCGGGAGGCGTCGCCAGTCCTCACGAATGGGCACGCACATCCTGTGAAAGCCAGCCCCGCCGTAGAAGATCTCTCCGCCTCTGCGCCAGCACTACTGAACCTCACCTCTTCACCGTCATCTTCCGCATCGACAAGTCCCACAACACTACCGTCTCCCTCAGAACCGACGATAGTTGCGCCCCAACCGCAGCTCGCCTCACCGAAGCCCGTGGATTTGAAGGCATAACCACCCGCAACCTCAACTCAGCCATACTCTACATCGTACATATTTATACGCTATTCGCTACCTGGCTATCTCCGTCTCGAGATGCGGAATGTACTATTAGATCTGCAACAAGCACAAGTACGGAATTGTGAAGGAAGAGAACCTTTCGAAGGCGACCTCAGAACTTGAAGACATTGACAAGCCCGCGGACGTCCGGCCCGAGTCGATCATCTCTTTTCCTCCCGCCACGATGTCGGCGCCTACGCACGTCGCGGGCTTCACCGTGCTCCCCGTCTCCTACTCCAAGTCCGCGACACACTATATCTACGCCCGCGCCCACCAGCCGCCCAAAAAGCAGCAGGACGATGCGCTCCCAGCCGGCCGTACGCTCTTCCTCGCGAACATCCCCCCCGACGCCACCGATCGCGAAATCATCACGTTCTTCAAGCCGAGTGGGACGGTCGAGAAGGTCGTGCTCGACTTTGACCTTGCGCAGGAGGAGGCACCGGTCAGCAGTGATAGCGAGGATGAGAGTATGAGCGAGGGGGAGGAGGGCGGGCAGGGGGTGGGCGAGGATCAGAATGCGGACGAGCGCCCAAGGAAGCGGAGGAGGAAGGACAAGAAGCCGCAGCCTCCGACTGTCGTCCCCCTCCCAGAGCCCCCACTGCGCAAGCTCGGCCACACAGGCCGCTCCGCGCACGTCGTCTTCCTCGATGCATCCTCCCTCGAACGCGCCCTCACCCCTCCCACATCCCCTCGCCCCTGGCCCACCGATCCCGACGCGCCGATCGGTCTCGCGCACTATACCGCCCTCTATGACGCCCTCCGGCCTCCTCTTGACGTCGTTCGCGCACACGCGGACACCTACATGGACCTCTACGAGTTCGAGCAGGCGCGCGCGAAGCGGAAGAGCAAGTACCGCAAAGGCGAGGCCATCGTCGACGAGGATGGCTTCACTCTGGTCACCCGCGGCGGCGCGTACGGGCAGACCCTCGGGGGCGGCGTCGGTGTTGCTAGCAAGCGCTTCCAGCAGACGGGCGAGGCGCGCTCAAATCCGGGACGCAAGAAGAAGGCGTCGAAGGACAAGGCGGGCTTCTATGCGTTCGAGAAGGCGGAGCGACAGCGGAAGGGTACGTGCATGCTGTGGTTGTCTTCCTGGCCTACCGATAACCGTTTTCGCAGAGCTGATAGAGCTGAAGAGGAAATGGGAGGAGGACAAGGAGAAGATCGAGAAGTTGAAGGCTTCGAGGAAGTTCAGGCCTTACTAACACCTCATATCGTGGCTGCATATCGACTGTTCTATGTTGATAGTCCTGGACCTGGTCTACTATCAGAACATGCACTCAGTCATTTGTACGTGGACTGAGGAGAGCCGCTACGCGGATGTGACAACGTAATGTAAGTGTGACCGTATGATCACGTTACCGCAATCATGACCTGAAGTTCAACATTCCACTCACTCGTTGTAGTAAGTTACTCGATAAGCCGACGCATCAAATTGGACAAAGCCTGCTCAAGGAGTGCTCGCTAATAACTGCAAAAAAGATGACCACTGCAGGGCTCGAACCTGCAGCCTTTGGGTTATACGTTGAGCAATCGAAGCCCAACGCGCTACCATTGCGCCAAGTGGCCATGCACATGCTCGCCCACCGGTAGGCTCTGTACACTATAATCCATACCTGCTGCGCGCAGTGAGGGACCACAGAAAGACAACATATCCTCGCAATTGTGCATGTAGACGATAGCAAACACCTTCGGACAGGACCGAAATGCAGACCCCGAGGCCTGGATCAAGCATCGGTCAACCAGGATGGACTCAAACAGTAATAAGAATTATATGCTACAAAGTGGTCAGAATACAGAATGCACAAAGGAACCAGCCGGAAATATTAGTACGCCGCGTCGCGGTGCAGTGAGTACATATACCCAGTCACAGAATGAAAGCCCACGTCCCTTCGCGGTTGTATATGCCAGCCAAAGTCACGGACTATCCGCATAACAGCAAGAAGTCCTTCCGTCAGAGCGTGTAACCGATCCACGCCTTCCTCCACACCGTCGGCGTTTCCTCGTCGTCCACGATCTGCGGTAATACGACGCGCTCCGGGTTCCCCGAGATCGACGCGACGTACGTTGCCACCGCGGCCAGCACCAGCCGCGCCGGGCCCGGATCAGCGTACCCCACGGCACTCTTCCCCCGCGGCGCGCACACGACGACGCGCGCCGCGTCCGCGACGAGCCCGCGCATCGGCGTTGGCGGTGGGCACGTCGCGCTATGGTACGGCAGCGCAAGTGCGAGGAAGTCGGCAATCAGGTGCCGCTGCTTGTGCGAGAGGTGCACAGAACGATGGGCGTCTTTGGGGACAGAGATGGTAAGGATGTGGGCGTCAGCGGCGGTATCGGTGTGCAGAGTCGCACCGCGCGTGGGGGCGTAAAGGATCTTGACAACGTGCGTAGGGGCAGGGCCGTGCGTGTAGGGGCCAGGAATGCGCGTAGACTTCGTGTCGAGATCGTGGAAGCCGATGTGGAGGTAGGGCATGAGCTCGTGTGCGTGGTACAAAGGCGCGGGTGTGGGAGCGCGGACTCTGGGAGGGCGGCTGGAGGACGCGGTGGGCTCGCGGCTGTTGACGAGGGGGTGCCTCGTTCTATTGCGGCCACGGGTCTCGAGCTCGTTCCTCGACGTCTTGACGACGAGTGCAACATGTCGGCGGTCGCGAAGACTGGTGCTGGACGTGGCGATGGGCATGACGAAGGAGATGTCGATGAAAGTGAAGGATAGTTGCTTGATAACGGATAGACAAGAACGAGAAGGAGTGTGGTGGTCGCAGACCTCTATATAGACGATGGACGTTGGAAGCAAGTCGCGGTATGCGGAACCAAACCTGCGGGCGCCGCGTTAATTGTTCTCCAAAAGGAGAACACCACGTGGCTTGATTAATTGTGTCCCCACAAAGCAGCACAAAGCCAATTATTGCACAACATCCCAGCCAGCCCTTTGAGCCGGACACCGGTCACTTGATAGTAGAACACTGAAGTAGAGGGATGATACAATGGGCATTAGAAGAGGCACAGGTACTAGTACAAGGATCCCAATACATAGAAACCGTCGTGCAGAGGAGAGAAACTAGGAAAGCGAGACAAACGAAGGTCGTGATGTGGAGGTCGTGTGCCGCGAGCTCGAGGCAGGCCGCGATATATACTAGACGCCCGCACGCAGGCGCCATCTATACTACTATCCAGTGTTCTCGTGGATGAATAAACTACTGGGTGCGAGGGGATGAGGGGGGTAGGGATGAAGTGCGAGAGGATTGAGGACGATGCGCGAGGATGAGGATGATGCGCGGATGAGAGTAGATGGAGAGGGTGATTGAGAGTGCGAGGAAGATATGCGATATGTATATGGTCGTTATTGGGTCGTTACAGATGCGCAAAGCAAGAGGTCGTTGAATGCTGTGTTCCAGTGGTGCGTTCGAGGTCCGTTCCAAAGGTTGCATGCAGTGTTGTGTGGGATCCAGTGATGAGGGTGGATGATGAGGGGGATGAGAATGCTTCGAGGTGTGGAGTCGAACAAAGAGGAGGGGATGCAAGCTATACCAGCTCCGACCAGCCGTCGCTCTCGTCGTCGCCGGCGAAGTAGAAGTGGGGTTTGCGGCCTGACGGCCTGGGCGTTTGGGGTGGCGACGGAGTCGCGACCGTCGCTCGCTCGCGATCATGTCGCATGAGCTCGATGAGTAACTCCCATCGGCGATACCAGTTGGTCTGCCAAGGAGGACAGTGTGCACCAGCGCGCCCGCCCGCAAGCGCCACGCTCGACGGACACCGCCCTGCCGAGGCCGGACCAGACTCGTTCAAGTTAACGTCCTCGAGCATCATGAAGTCGTCGTCGTCCTCCGTCGAGTGCTTGAAGGCGCTGGCCTTGATGTTCATAGACGCAACTGTCGCTGCACCGATGATACACGCTCCGCGGCGCTGCCAATGGCCCGCATGGGTCTCGCAGTCCGAGTCGTCGGACGAGTCTCCCGTCTCGCTGTCGACGAGCGTCACGTCCGAGTCATCGCTCAAGGAGGTCGCAGTCGTCGGCACGGAGACGAGCATAGGCTCGTCATCGCTATCGTCCGCGTAATCGTGACTAGGTCCAGCAAGACTTGCGGGCGCACGCGCCTTATAGGCGGCGTACTCCCGCGCAGTATGAACGTCGAACATCCATAGCGTCTTGTTCATTGTCCATAGCGGCAGACTGACGAAACAGCGGTCGATATGAGCCGCGTATGGGTCTCTCAACGCTGATAGATCGCCACGTCGCGGATGGATAGTGAGTGGTGGGGCGGATGGTTCCTCAATTATTGAGGGGCGTGGCGACCGAGACCAGGGCGCCCGGATGCAGTCTTCAGAGTCAGATTCGACGCCACCGTACGCCTTGGCGTCGCGGACGTTGTTGGTGTACTCCTCCCATTCTTCCTGCCGGACAGCCCAGAACCACTTGAGGTGCATGAACGCCTGACGTGAAAAGCCATGGTGGCGATAGCAATGTCTGGCGGTCGTGGATTGGGAATGGGTGGCGGGCTTGCGGTTCGGGGATAGTGGGGAGGGGAGTAGGGAGTAGCAGTGGCGGCGTAGGAGCGAGACCTCGTCTTTATGTTCGTGCTCTGCCGTGTCATGAGGGACAGCAATTAGGGGGCAGAGCGGTGATGGTGCCTGTATGCTGTCGGTGTATGAAGAGCCAAATGGGTCGGCGTCGATGTCCATGGAGGAATGCGAGGACGATCCAGAGGTGTCTTCATCGGCGGGCGCGTCGTCGTTGTCGAGGTCGCCCATGCCAAATGTAGTGGAGGATAGGCTTGTGGACGACATGGAGGACGCCACTGAAATAGATGATGAGGACGAGTCCAAGGACGGACATGAGTCGTAGGAATCGTCTGGGTTTGCACCAGTAATGTCCATGTCTTCGTCCGCGTCCATGTCATCCGTATCCTGGGTGGTGTTCGACCGCTCCAGCAGCGAGCGGGTCCACCGAAGTGTTGCGGCGTGAGCGCGCTCCTGCTTCAAGAAGAGTACTTCTTCGGGCTCGTAGTCGTCGTCGTCTACGCCGTTGAAGTCCAAACGCGCGGGCGGGCGCTCAGGGATGTCGCGTAGGTTGTCGCAGAGGTCCACCGGTTCGTCGCGCGCATCAACGATATCCGACTCGGCGGGTTCGGGCCCGTATGCGTATTGGGTGACCATGCAATGGGAGAAGGTAGCGGCCATGGGTGCGAACGCGTGAGGGTGGGCGGGAAGGGCGTATGTGTTCGCGGTGGGAGGCCGGTGCCTAGGGGATTGGCGGCGCGTCGGGGAACTCGCTGACTGGAAAGGCGTTAGGGGCGGTCTCTGGACAGGACGTATATACGCACCCTGTGCAGCGAGCACTACCGAAGCGCTGGGGCTACGGGCGGACGACGGGGAGAGGTGGTCGACGTTCGGAAAGAAAAGATTTCCGTCGAGTGGCTGGAACAAGATAGTCCGTCCATGTGATCTCAATTTGGCATCACACACGTGCCGGATAACGTACACGCGTCAGTCTCGTGACCGCTATGTTCGACTTCGGAGCGTCCCGGGCGGCGACACGAAGCTCTCCGAGGCCACGATGCACCCGCGACCCTGTCCTCGTTGCTGTTGCTGGGAAAAGCGCAGGCGCATTGCAGCGACACGTTCCTTTTAGCCCATGGTGCCCGCTCCGCAAGAACAGCATTTCGCACAAGCTCCGGCTCAACGTCTCCGCCGTGCGGGGCGGGCCATAAGTGCACCGCCTGCGGCCTGCCTGCCACCATCTGCCGGCACCGAGTCAACGTTGAAACCAACTTGTGTCCCCAGACGAAGCAAAGCGTCGGCGTCGCAGTGTCTTCCTCGTTTGGCGCTTCTCCTTCGCAACACCTCCTCTATCAGCTACGGTCAAGTTCGAATGATAGTCGGCCTCGAACCTATTTCCGTGCGCAGAAAATTTCATTGACCCAGAAGCACATCAAAGTTACCAAACGTATACAAGAAGCGACCTTTCATCGTCTGTTGCAAACCTCGCCAAGTTCCTCACCCCGACCAGACGGCACCGCCGGGCGGCGTGTAGCTCTGCAAGTTGTTGTAGATGTTGACCTGACAGATGGTCAGCATGCGAACGTCCGGTTTCAGTGTCGACGGCGGCGAGACGTACCGTGATGCCCGGGTCAGTGGGCTGGTAGGTGCCTGCAGGAGGCGTCAACAACCAGGAAGGTGCCGAACAAGCGCATACGTACCCGGAATGGAGATCGTCGGCGGACTCGCGCTACCACCGCTGGTGATCTTGACCTGCGCACAGCCAATGTAGAACTGAGCACCAGGGTACCTGCGAACACGTCTTGAGTGGGCGCTAATGAAGAAGACGAATTTCCTACGATTGTGCGACATGAAGAGCAATCTATCGAGAAGTGCATTAATATGTGGCGCGCAGTCGCGGGCGCGAACTCACGATTTCGGCACGAAGGAGGTACTCGCCCGCCGGCAGGGACGAAGGGATGACCACCGAGTGCTTGCCTGATAACCAGGTAAGTGCATGCTCCGCCGGAGGCCGTTCACTACTCGCCCTCGTTCGAGTTTACGACGTCCGTCGCCCATTCTTGGCTGCTAGGGTCTAGGAGTCCGGACGAGTAGATCTTCGTCCATACCTCGCCCTGCCCGTCGAAGCTGGCTGCGTCCGACGTGGCCTTGGCGACGTAGACCTGCACCGGGCCCTTGTGTCCTCCAGAGATCGCATCTTCGCCCGTACGCTGCGCGTGCTGATGCCACTCGAACCTTGGTGCGGTATGAGCGTCGATGGCCTACCATATACAATCATACCACTCACGTTATGTTCGCTCCCGCGGGAATTTCGACAGTCTCTACCCCCGCGCCGCTGAGCCCACCGACATTGCACGTCAAGTCCGTCGAGGTCACGTCCGTCACCGGATTGTTGTTCGGCGGAACGCGCAGCGCGGTGTTCTGCCCCTGGTCCTCCCCATTGACCCAAATGTACTGCATCGTGACTGGAAGGACGCAGCAGAACGTCAGCACGCCCATCATCCTCGCCACGGCATCCGCGACTCACAGTGTGCCTGCGCCGCCGCCGCGCAGGCCAACGCAACCAGAGCGGCCTTCATCGTGAGCGTATGTAAGTGAGGTGATTGACGCCGCCTGAGAGACAAACTGACGACCTACCTCTCTCCTTCATCTGCGGTTTATATAGCGCGCAAAGTTGACCCCACGATCGCTGAGCCTCTTCTGCTGCGTGCCTCTTCTTGCCCATGATTGTCGAAGCGTCCCTTACCATGAGTAGCTCTGGCGGTCCGCTACGTCGTCGTCCCTGGTATAGCGACCACGCGTAAGGCCCAGGCGGAATGGAGGCATACCTTGTTCACCCTCACATGCGCCATTAACCGAAGTTACGGCGCCTGAGTGTCTTCGTTGAGCGTGGATGAATGGGATCGCGGACGATGGGCTGTCGAGTAGACCATGAAGAGTACGTCACATGTTCTTCTCAAAAGTCCGGTGGCCGTCAGGTGTGATGGTTGAAGGAATGGACGTACCAAAATTATGGGATGAAGCAGGCCTCATGTAAGTGACGCTTGTGTCTGCTTGCATGACGCTACTGTAGAGAGAATCGTCTATAGGAACCCGGAAGGTTCTCCTCTCTCTTTCTTCATAATTACAGGGTTCTTCGAGTGATTTGCCAAGTGATTTATGCGTCAATCCGAGCCAGTCCAGATGATAAAATGCCATCTAATCAGGAATGAGCAAGGATCGAACACAACTCACGGCTCGCTGAAAGACACACCTCTTCATGTCTAAGGTCCATCCAGTCCAAGTCGTTAGTTCCTCACATTGACGTAGCCGATTTCTGGATACCACTCCTTTCCGTCATGGTAGGTATAAAGGGAGAAAAGACGCAAGTGAGGAAGTACGCTTCCAAGAGGTTGCGAAAGCCGTCGGGCTTCTTCCAGGCGCTGCGGAGGCCCAATGTTAGTGGGATATAGAAGCGGCACGCAGGATGAATAGGATGGATATCGGAGGGTAGCCCTGATCATACAAATCAAGAAAGAAAAGAAAATATGGCGCACCGTGAGCAACTGGGTATAACAGTGCAAGACCGTCACCGCCAAATCGTAAAGTTCCGATTTTTCGACACACTCGCATCCAAGAGTAATGCCGACCTCTTCTGGCCCATCCGATGAGGGCCTGAGCCTGCACTGCAGATTAAAGTTCATCAGCGCATGCCGCTCATGAGCTAGCCGCCCACGGGAAGCACGGAGGTCCATCGAAGTCTTCCCGAGAGAGGCAAGAGCAGATACGGCACGCACAAACACATGACGAAGAGAAGACGTACCGGGAGCCGCACAGTAATAAAGCACGGCGCGGGCGAAAGGGTCGTGTCGCCTTGGTCGACGCCGGCGGGGCCATACCGCATGAGCTCGCTGTAGGTGACACCCTCGTAGACCTTGGGCGTCATCGCGGCGTCACGGACACGGAAGATTATCTGCTCCCTGCACGAGCGGCGTCGGTCCCGCTGGGCGAGCCAAACGGTGGGTCGGTTGACGTGAGCCTGCTCCGGCGCGGTGGATCCCTGTGCGAATGGTAAGCCAAAGGCTACTTCTCGTATAGACCCGGATATGAGTCCCAGATGAAGATAGAGGGAAAAATGAAAATAGAACAATTGAGGCACTGGAGCGACGGTCACTTCGAGTACGCTCGGGGATTAGAATCGCTCTGGCCAGCGAGCCGGTGGCCTTTTGCCGAGATGAGCATGTAGGACGCCTTCGCGGCAGCCTTCTAGAAGCGCTCCGACGTGCATGGGAGAAGCCCGGAGGACCACAGAAACCGGTATAGGGCGAGAAGCGTACCGGTTCCCTTCCTAATGCAAGAGATCTATCTCGCGGACTGAAATGCATGAGATGGACAATCTGCAGCACCGTCAGTTGGCGAAGGCCGAAGAATACAAAAGCTCACTGTATGCTTTGAGTTCGTTGCCTACCGGAGGTATAAACCTTCGGAAATGCGTAACAAGAACTAGCAACGCACCGCTTGCAAATCGTCTCCGGATGGTTCCTTCCGCCGCTGGCAAGAAATTCTATGCTTAGTCTGGTGCATCCGCGAAGGCGCAAGAGCCCGTACTCACCGCCACAACGGCATCTACATACTTCGTGAGCCTATCCTTGCGCGTCTAGTCGACACGAGCGTCGGCGGTCAAAGTGTCAGATGCGGGCTAAAGGAGGCGTACCCGGTCATGGCGCCGCTCCTTCGGTTCTGGGCGATGCGGTGTGGGGGGACTGCTAGACCCGGGCGTTCCCAAATGCAGATGAGAAAGGAGCTCCGTGTACCCAGGCAGCGCTGACGCTGGAGGGCGCTGGGATGTGCTTGCTACGGCCTGAGACGACGGCGGGCGCTCTGGATAGTCATCTGGCTATAAGCGCGTCAGTGATGGAGTATGAAGCAACATATAACATGGACATACTTTAGAGACGCGTTTGAGAGGAATGTTTGGGTATGGCTGGAGCGCGCGCTCTTGGTTAGTCACCATCGTGCTCAGACTGAGGCAAGATAACTCACAGAAAAGCGTAGCAAACGTGCAAAGCGCTGGTCATTGTCTTCGCCCTCCAAAGCCTCTTGGGGCTAAATCCAGATATTCAGCGATCGGTCATTCCTCGTAGGGAGACAGTACCTCGCTGCTCAAGGTGCGCGAGCGCCTTTCGGAGCCTTGTGGTGGTGAAGACATTGTAGAGAGTAGGAAATTTGCAGGAGGTACGACGTTGAGGTGGGGCTGCTCGCAGGTGAGGTCGAGGATGTCTCACATATCCTGCGTGGACGACGGGAGGATGAGGAAGCCGGGAAGAGTCGTACCGGGCACGCTAGGCGGATACAGTGTATAAGGAAGGAACAGCGGCCACTCCCGTCACCTCCGGATGAACGTCAACTCAACAGCCGCGCGCGCATTTCCTATATCGGTCCGCTGCAAGTGCAGCGAGATAGCCGGCAGCGCTGCGCTGGCGGCCGTGACTCAGCCCTTCGGCGACTAGAGACTAAGAGATGAATCGTGAGCAGTGTCAGGAAAAGGGGGAGACGACATCGGATTCTCTTCATAAAGCTTGCTCGACACACGATAAAACGTACTCGTACATTTGATACTTCCATTGACCCCAGTATGCCGTCACTACTCGTGAATCACCGACACGCCTTCTGCCGCGATGGACGCAAGGTACACCTTGGTTTCTGCCAGGATGACGAGCCTGCCAGGACCCGCGAAGGCAAAGTTTGCGGTATTGCTACCGGTGTAGAATTTGCCGACGAGGATACCCTTAGGATTCCATACCTGTGGAATAGCCGTATGAAGGTAGGCACCGACACTCGCATTATGGACTCACGTGGATACCATCGCCACATCCACCGTACACGTAGCCATTCACGTCAACGTTGACCCCATCAGGCGAGCCCTCGTCGGAGTACGCGAAGACGCGACGGTTGACAAGGAAGAGGTCGTCCGTCACATCGTACGCATAGATCGTCGCTGGCAGCGTAGCATTGTTGCCCCAATCAGCTCCCAGCAAGCCCGAGTCCACACTAGAGACGGATTAGTGTCCTTCCGGGATGCTATTTCGTGGCAACATGCATATAGAGCGTCTTGAAGTCGTTGGAGAACGCCAAGCCATTGGGCTTGTTCAGCTGGTCGGCCACCACGCGTACGTGGCCCGTCGACGGGTCAAAGGCGTAGACCTGGTTCGGCAAGCCGGGCTCGGCCTTGAAGTGCTGCAGGTAGGCGTACCTAGACCGAGGCCGTTAGCATGCGGCGGTATGAGCATGCTGCCCACTTACGCAGGATCCGTAAAGAATATGACACCCGAGGAGTGCACCTTCGCGTCGTTCAACGCGTTGAACTCGCGGCCGTAGAAGTTGTCCAGGAGGATGGAGGCGTTGTAGGGTGGGTAAGGGTTGACGAGCACCATATTCGATGGCAGGCTGCCGCGGCCCTCGTTCATGAAAATTATGTTGCCCTTGTACGGACCGGTTCCTCCGTTGGCCATCTGCACGAAGTCCGGGAGGTCCACTTTGGGGTGCGAGACGTTGACGTCCTTGGGCGTGCCACCCATGGCTTCGTCAACGTCCTTGAGCGAGATACGCTCGATCTGATTGTTTGCGTCGGGACCGCTCCTGCCGAGCGGACCACCAGCGTTCGACGCGATGAAGACCTCGTCGGTGTCGGGTACCCAGACGGGTGCTTCGTGCGCAAAGGCGAAAGTTGGGTCGGACGAGATCTCGTGGATCCACGGGTTCTCGCCGATGACATTGTAGAAATCGTTGTCGAAGACTGCAAGTGGTCGGGTAAGCCAAGGAACTGCCTTGCAATCAAACGACAAATACCTTGGAAGAAGACTCCGGACGTGTTCGTAGGGTTCCAGGGGTCGAAGGATGACGCGCGGAAGCTGCTGTTTGTGCCGTCTTTGCTGATAACGTTGTAGGCCCGTGGATCGACGAACTGCATACGATGTGAGTAATAAGAAAGTCGCGTCGAGGGAAGGACACGAACGACTACTTGCGCGCTAGAATCGTCGCGCGCTGCAAATGTCAAAGAACTTCGAGGGCTGACGAACGTTGCGCGTGCATGTGCGGGTCTGCTGAACGTAGCGGCTGAGGTGGTGGCGAGGAGGGAAAAGAGACTCGCAGACTTCATGTTCGTGGGACGCCGCAGGGGGATCGACAAGGCGCAGGCACTCGCCTATCCCTACTGGCTTTTTATGCCCGAATGTCGTGGCAAAAAAGCCATACGCGCCTGCTGATTACCCGGCGTAAAACGTACATTCGCTCGTGTATTTTGCCCTAAAGCAACTTCTGAAGCCATCCTCCCTGATCCGGACCTATATCTCTCCTGATATCGCTCACGCACCCGTATGTTTGCCCAGGGAAAGTGGGCGCAAGGATCGCTTAGGGATCACGAGGGATGTACATGACATCACGCGAGGGGTAGACGGGTGCCGCTCGACGCGCTAGGAGCTTGCGAAATGCGAGGTACGGTCCAGGGGGGCAGAATAACCATATCCGGACTACCGAGACCCAACGGAGACCTGGCATTTCAGCGTACACGCAGGGGTGTGAAAAATACATACACAGCCGTGAATCTCAAACTCCGTAGAGGTGTCAATACCGTGCTCTGTCCCTGTCCCGTTCCCTGTCCCGCCCTCTGTGGCGGTCGCCTCTCCCGGGACTGCGCTCCCGTCGATAATCCCGATCACGGTAATCTTGGTCCTTGTGCCGTCTTTCCCTCGGTGATCGCGATCTTGACCGTCGCCTGCGGTCATCCTCGTATTTATCATGCTTGCGTGATGGTCGGTCTCTGGGAACGTCAAAGACCATCCCATAGCCGCCGCGCTCATCATCCTCGTTTGATGTACGATATTTGCGCGTGGCCTCCAGGTCCTCGCGTCCGGCAAAGCCTCCTGCTGAGCGGCCGCGTTTGTACCCAGGACCTCGCTTGATATCATTAGACCAGATGCCGTTCGTGCGGGCCACGGATTGCGAGCTACGCGTAATAGTCAGTGTGGGTGTGGGACGAACGAACAGAGATATTCTCACAAGTCGACCCATATGCGGCGGTCATCCACAAGGACGTTCTGCATCTTGAAGTACGCCTACAAAGAATAGGCATGAGCTGCTACCGAAGACCCGTATCACGATCATATGACTTACCTGCTCTGCCTCCTCGCGCTTGTCGAACTCGATGAACGCGTACTGCAATGAATCTCCGGTCTTCTTGTCGCGGATCACCTGACAACTCATGATTGTCCCGAAACGGGAGAATATGAGCTCAAGGTCTTCGTCGCGAGTGACAGGGTTCAGCTTGCACACAAAGAGGACGTTCTCTGGCGGCCGGACGTTCGCGAAGGGGAGGTCTCCGACCATCTCGAGGGTGAGCGCGGATGCTTGGGCTGCTTTCTGTCGCCGAATTTGTTCCTCTTCCTCCTCGGGCAGGGTCGCGAGCGCGTCTTCATCCTCGGCAATACGCGTCGAGTTGTCTGGCGGGCGTGTGGGGGATGAAGGGGGTTGGACGACGTGCAAGTCAGGCGGATCCGGGAATGGGTCGTCTATGGGGAAGCATATATGGTCAATACCGACACTTTCGAGCAAGCTGACCATCGCGCACCCAGAATCACCACATGCCGTATCCTGATATCCTTGAACGGCCTCCCATCCTGGTCCACATACACCTCGTTGATCTTGTCAAGCGTGTCCAGTCCCTCGACTACGTGCCCGAACGCAGCGTGCTTGCCGTCTAGGTACTCGATGTTGTCCGCCAGCGTGATGAAGAATTGACTTCCGCAGCCGCCCCTCTCGCCCCCCTCCACTCCAGGCGCGACAGCCATGGAGACAGTGCCCTTGTTCGTGTGCTTCAACCTGGGGACGATTTCCGGGACGAAGTAGCGGGGGACGCCCTTCTGCGTCTTCGAGGCGATGAGGGACCATACGGACTCTCCCCCTGTCCCTGTAGCGGTGGGGTCACCCGCTTGAGCTAGGAAGTCTTTGGAGACTATGGGTGATGGTCAGTAAGTATTGTTGAGTCCCTTGATGCAAGGGTACATACCATTGAAGAACGCGTTCAAGTTATAGTAATACACCTTGCATAGCTTTAGGAAGTTCTCGCAGGTCTTAGGACATTGCTGCGTCTCCAAGTCGATGACAATGTCACCGAGGGACGTCTCGAACAAGACGGACATGAGGGGAGGAACAGACCAGGTGCTTTCAATATGCGCTTGGACTTAGTCGTGATCTCATTTGTCTCGGATAGGAAGGCTTTGTTCATTCCTATCCCGAACTTCCACTGTTTGACACTGACTAACTTCAGACGCACGATAAAACTGGTTAGTGATCCTATAATGATAGTTTGTGGGTACAGCTTCCTAATATACACCCTTTGATTTTAGAGCTACAACATTGCCTTCCATTCCATCGCTTCAGCCCTCAAGCCAAGTTCGACGGGTACTGGAAGTCCTCGAGGCCAACGAAGTTGTCCTTCACGCTGCGCGCACTGACGAAGCGGTAGAAGATGCTGATGCTGCCGGCCTTGTCGTTGGTGCCGCTGGCGCGTGCACCACCGAACGGTTGCTGGCCGACCACGGCGCCCGTGCACTTCTCGTTGTAGTACACGTTGCCGGCGGCGTTGCGAAGCTTGTTGCTCGCCTGGATGAGAGCCTTGCGGTCGGAGGCGAAGCTAGAGGATCAGGTCAGTGAACGTGTCGGCGCACTTTTTGCTGTGTACTCACATCGCGCCAGTCAGACCGTACTGCGAGGTAGTGTCGATGAGGTCCAGCGTCTTCTCGTAGTCCGCGTCGTCGTAGACGAAAGCCGTGATGACGGGGCCAAAAATCTCCTCGACCATAGTGACGCTCTTTGGGTCCTTGGTGAGGATGACCGTCGGCTGGATGAAGTAGCCCTTCGAGTCGTCGCCAGAGCCGCCGATGAGGACCTCGCCGCCAGCATCCTTCGCCTTCTGGATGTAGCCGGTGATCTTGTCGAACGCAGGCTGGGCACTACAGCACTGTCAGATCATCACTCGGTTCATTGAGTGCTTCCACTTACATGACCGGGCCCATGTGGTTCGTCCACTCCGTGCACGGGCCGACCTTGATCTTCGCCACCTCAGACAGAAGCAGGTCCTTGAACCCGCCCTCCCACAGCGACTTCGGCACATACAACCGCGACAGCGCGGAGCACTTCTGCCCCGAGTACTCGAATGCCGCACGGATCGTCTGCACGACTGCGTTCTTCACCTCCGCGGACGGGTGCACCAAGTGGAAGTTCTTGCCACCGGTTTCACCGACGAGGCGTGGGTACGACTTGTACTTGTCGAGGTTGGCCGCGACGTCCTTCCAGATGCTCTTGAAGACAAAGGTGCTGCCGGTGAAGTGGAGCGCAGCAAAGTCGGGGCTGGAGATCGCCTGGCGGACAACTTCGGGCGCGGGGCCGGGGATGAACTGGATGACACCGGGCGGGACGCCGGCCTCGGTGAAGATCTGGTGGGTGATGTAGTTGGCGTAGACAGCCATAGGTGAGGGCTTCCAGAGCGAGACATTGCCGACGAGGACCGGTACTGCAAGAGGGATCAGACAAGATTTACATAGAAATTGAAAGTCCACACACCTCCGTTCAAGTTACCACCGATAGCAGTGAAGTTGAAGGGGGAGACCGCGAGGACGAAACCCTCCAGAGGGCGGTATTCGACGCGACTGTCAAATAATTAGTCCTGATTCGGGATCATGAGTGGGTCCACCTCACTTCCAAGCACCCGGCGCGTTCTCCTCAGGCTGCTGCGAGTAGAGCTGCTCGACGTACTTGACACCGAAGCGCAAGAAGTCACAAAGCTACCCTGCCGGTCAATGAACCAAACACACAAAGCATTCCCATGCACGCACCTCCGCGGCAGCGTCAATCTCCGCTTGCCAGGCGTTCTTGCCCTGACCCAGCATCGTCGCCGCAAGGATCTTGTTGCGGTACTTCCCGCTGACAAGATCCGCGGCCTTCAGGAAGATAGCAGCGCGGTCCGGCCACGGCATTGTCTCCCACTCCGCCTTCGCCTTGAGCGCGCCCTCGATCGCAGACGCGACGGTCGCCTCATCGGCTTCGTGGAAGGTGCAGAGGACCTTCGTCTTGTCGTGGGGCATGTACTGCTTGTTGAGCTTGCCCGTCTTGACCTACATCGATGAGAGATCGAGTTAGCGGAGGACGCGGGCAGCATTCGGGGGCGACGCACCTCCTTGCCGTTAACGACCAAGGGCACCTCAAAGGGCGCCTGCTGCTCCATCTCCTTCACCGCCGCCTCGAGAGCCGCACGCTGGGGCGTCCCCGGCGCATACGAGTGCTACATCGGTCGATCAGTAGGCGTTGGAAGGAACGCAGTGGCACGCCCGGCTCACCATCGGCTCATTCTTGATGGCCGGCACCTTAGGGTTGTTGTGCTGCGCGAAGACGGACATGGTGGTGGTAGGAAGCAAGAAACGGTGACTCGCACACTCGGGCGCTTAAGACGCCAGCACTGAGGTTTGAATTTCGCCGCGGTGTCGAGGTTCCGCGTTCGGGGAGGGCTCCGATGCGATATCCGGATCTAACGTCCCGAGTCGATGGGACCTTGACGGTGCCGATAAAGCGCCTCTCGAGCTCTTATCTGCCCTAAATTCGTCTGGTTACCCATGCTGCATATGCTGCAGCCACGCTCGGATGTGAAGGAAGGCTGAATTGAAAGGGAATACGCCGCCGACGGCGCATTTGTGGGAAATCGTCACCATCCGAACCGTGACTTTGACTGCGTGATGCCGGGCCGCAGCTTCCGGGCGCTTACTGAGCAAATGCACATTTCCCTCTTGGTTCATGCTTCGACGAGCTTTCGCGACCCCAAAGACCGCTTCCAGATGTCTCCGATACTCTCAAAACGCTGCTGGCAGACCTTTGAAGTCTCATGACGAGCCAGAAGGCGCAATCCAGCAAACCGAGCAGCAGGAAGCCGACCATCGCGCTAGCGCAAAGCTCTTCGCCGATGCAGAGCGCGAGGAAGAAGAGCTCAGGGAGGCAGCGCGCAAGAGCAAGCTCCCGTTTCTCGAGCGTCAGCACGAGAACTGGACTGGCGACGAGCGAATAGAGGATGCTGTCCTGCGCATGCTGGTCGACAAGTACAAGCCCGTCCGCGGGGGAACAGTACGCTCAGCAGACGAGAAGCTTAGGACAGCCCCACCGAAACCGACCTCCACAGGTCCTGATGCACTCGCGCTCGAATTCGAGGAAGTCACTCGATTGGAGACGAGGCTAGCTGACGACACGAGCGCGAAGATCACCACCAGCTGGAGTTCGACGATCGCTGGCCATACTCCCTCCGTCACCGGCTCCTGGGCCGACGAACCCCTCCTACCCGCCATCGAAGGTCACCGGCCATGGCATACAGAGTACCGCGCCCCCTCACACGCCGTCGCCTCTGTCAAGTTCGCGCGCCTGCCCCCTTCCCCTCCACCTCCCAAGGCAAAGCCCGCTGACGAGCGTATTGCCCGCAAGGAGAAGGAAGTCGCGAAGCGTACGGCTCATGCGGGACGATTGCACGGTGCTCGCGAGGCTACACTCGACTACAAGCTTGGTCTTGGAGCGGGACGTCAGAAGGGCGCGCCACCGACGGTGACGCCAGCGACTGGTGCAAGACCGAACCCGGTGAGCGTGAAGGGGTGGACGAGCTTGGTGGAGGATAGGATTGAGGTACGTCTGCGTACGATATCTCGGACGCCCCCATCTCACCTGTCCATAGCGAGCTCGCCAGAAAGGCCTGTTCAACAATGTCAAGGGCCGCGGGCAGCCCATCAAGCAGCAGTCCGAGGAAAGCAACCCCTTCATTGGGAAGGAAGAGTTCCTCATGAACCGCATCTTGCAACGGAACGAGGCCTCGCCGCCCTGGGTCGAAGTGCAGGGCGAGCTTGAGAGCGCCGTGCGTGCTTGGCGCCTCATGCTTCGTCAGGCATGGACGCGGCGCGCACTCCGAAACCTCACCACCGAGCATCCTCCTCAAACCCTCCGCTCCATCACCGCCGAGCAGGTGCGCGCCTTGCGCGACCCTGCATGGGAGGCGCGCGAGCGGGCGTACCATGACGTCGCGCTCGGCGAGGTGAACGCGCTGGTGCGCAAGTACAACGGTCTGGCGCCGTATCCGGTGCGAAGGCCGTACTACATGCTGCACGTCGAGCTGGAGCGGGTTTATGAAGGGTGCGTAGACGATGTCATGGAGGGACTGGCCGAGAGGTATGGGAAGGGGAGCGCACTTTCGCGGGATGCCAGCGAGGGCGAGGACGGGGAGCGTGGTGGAGGCGAGGGAGACGGGTCGGTCATGGGGCTCGGGGAGCTTCTTCGTAGTTGGGTGCAGCGCCTGACCGCGGGCTGGATGCGCTCGTGAGGTGATCAGACGAGGGAAGGATCACTTCATAGCGAGGGGAGCTCATGTATCAATTCATAGATGCAGGATCATGTCATTCTCGCTTGCCTGCCGTGTTTAGTTTCCCATTCCACGCATTGTTGTACGTTTCCGGGCGGGGCACGAGTCCATTGTTCTCAATTGTTCACCGTGTTCGGCAGTTTGGGAATGAGCACGAGGCGGGAGATTTTGCGGAGGTAAATTAAGCTTTCCCTCCGTCTCGCTGCCCTCCTCGTCTGTAAATTGTTTATCGCTACGTACCACGTCTACAACATACATGAGAAAGAATGCAAGCTCGCAGCAACTTCAGAAAAACAGAATGTTCCGTCAGCGGCGTCAGCGCGGTGCCTAGACGGGGGCGATATCCCCGTCAAATCAGCCACGCGCGCGGCATGAGTTCATGCCTCGAGGCAGCCGCACCCCCGTCACCATCTAATCTATAAAAACCCCCCACCCCCTAACGCTCCTCTTCACCTTCCTCCACTGACAAGCCCAGCCACCGATCCCCCAGCCCTCATCTCACCCCAACCCCTCCCCTTCCCCTTCGCCCCCACCCACCAACCTATCCAACGGAATGTCTGACGAAGAGATCTTGGTGCGTCGGCTGCGCAATTTTTTCGCGGGCGGGAGCGAGGACGCTGACCTCGCCGCCAGCTCGGGGACATCGTCTCTGTCAACCACGGCTTCTCTGGCCGCAAGGAGGGCCTCGTCATCGGTTCCCACATCGACTACCTCGTGAGTGGCCCGTGCGCGGCGACCTCGTTCCCTCGCTTACCTCCCTCCCCAGGGTCGCCAAATCGTCGAGGTCCAGCTCGAGCCTGGCGAAGTGTACCACGCCTGGTGCGCAGCCTCGTCGTTGTCATGTACTTCTCACTGACCGCAACCGAACAGGTACCCCACCGTGACGCGCGTCAAGCGCACGATCGCCGTCCAGCGCCCCGCCATGCTCCCCCCTGCCCGGAGCCACCGCACGGTCGAGCGCCGCATCTACTGGTAGGTGCGCATGCCGACGTGCGACACGGACACGACGCGACTCTTCTACTATTCCTCTATCTATCATCTCTCTCACTCCGGGGCGACCGTCCACACACAACTTACTCTGGGATTACCGTCATGACACGACCTACGTACGCACCTTACCATGACCATGACCCCACGTTTGCTGCTGCTGGCGCGAGCGCCGCCGGGGCGAGGACGGATTCTACGACTTGTACAATATCGGTTCACGACACATGAATAGATGAAGGGCCTGGAACTCTTTTTATTCATTCTTCTGCAATGGCATTCTTTTTGTTTGTCTTGTCGGTTCGAGCAGGGAGGGAAGGGGACCGCAGGGGAGATAACACGAGGGAAAACTTCTCTCTGATTTTCCTATCACATCCCATCCTGTTCGCGAAACCTCATGTTCTGAACAGAAGGAAGGTTACGTCATATCGCCTCATGCCTATTGTTCTCCACAATCATGAACGCCAAGGTCAGGACCCGTTCCCCTTGTCCCGTCGCGGTGACTGGCTCTCGACGCCCGCCTCATCCAAAAGACCACCAGTGCAATCAACGAGCATCCCGGCCTGGCGAGTGTGAGTGGTCTGGTTGAAACAGCGCGAGTCGCATTACATTCGAAAGAGAGGCGTAAGCTACAGATGCGGTAGTGTCCCTCAAGGTACCATTCGTGCAGCATTCAGTTGATACCATGGTACCACGCAGTCCGCATGCACCAGTATCGCTTTACGCAGCAGCGGGCAGCTCAACGCCGGTGCCAACTGAGGAAGAGGGTCAGCGGCCGAACTTTGGGTCCATGAGCACAGCAAGATCTACCTGGCACCGGGAAGATGGGCGAGTTGTCCTCGGCGAAGGTGAAGCGCCTGGGGCAGAGGTAAGTCTCGGGGGTGGATGAACGGGAGTAGCACTCACTCTGCACGTGCCGTGCGAGAGCCCCAGCCAGCACTGTCGTTCGCGCCCCAGCCGTGGTAGACGATGAAGTTGTCGCCAGCCTGCGAGGGCCGCCGCGTTAGCACAAAGCAGAGAGGAGGCTTAGTAGACTTGCCCGGTCAGGAAGGAACATCGCGTGCCCAACGCCGACGGTCACGTCGCTCGACTGCATAACGGGCGCCTCGTCGTTCGCCCACCACGAGTCGGGGTTGAGCGGGTCGAGGTCGGTGCCGTTCAACCCCATGATTGCGCTGAAAGTGACGATAGATCAGCTGCAGACTTGCGTACGTTGGGAGGGCGAGCGTACAGGTTGTAGCACGGGTCCCACGAGCCGCAGGTAGAGAACACGACGTAGGTGTTGTCACCGCGCTGCAGAACCTCCGGGCCCTCGTTGACGCCGTAGCCGTTAGAGGCCTGTCAGGGTGGAGGCATAAGTCGCTTATTCCTGGACTGGGAGCCGTGACAGACGCGCACCCACTGCCACTCCTTCTTCGAGCCGTCTAGGTTGTAGGGGGAGTGAATCGTAACACGCTCGCCGATGACGCTCGAGGGCGAGTCCATCTCAGCGATGTAGCTAAAATCATATCAGTCATGTCGAAGGACGTGGAGTGGATTAAGGTCTCACATGTACTGCACAGTACCCGTCTCAGGACTCTCCTTCCCAGACCAGATGAAGTAGTTCTTGCCGTTGTAGTTCTGGAGGACAGTGCCCTAGAGCGCGACACGTTAGACTTCGACTGACAAACAGAGATACACGAAAGAACGCACATCAATCGCGTAGTTTTCGTCCGGCGTGCCGATCTTGCCAATCTCCTCGAATGGCTGGAGGGGATCGTTGGGGTCACTGCCCTTCAGGACGTGCATCCGACGGTCCGCGTCGTCCGGTCCGTCAGGCAGGGCGCAGTAGATGTACCACTGATCGTCGATTCTGTGCAGCTCAGGCGCCCACACATCGCCCAGGTCTGGGTTACCGAAAGTCCACACGACAACAGCCTCCGAGTTGTGGAAGTCATCGAGGGTGTTGGACTTGTAGATTGAGACGTTTTCGGTGCCCTCGGATGTGATGAAGTAGTACGAGTCGTTGAAGTAGGTGATCCACGGGTCTGCATGGTTGCCGTCAATGATCGCTAGAAGGAGAAGTCAGTTTCCGGCTCTTTTAGGCATCGATGAAAAGGCGTACGGTTCGTGTATGTCGCGGATTGCCTCACAGCTGGGGCGCCAGCGAAGGCCGCCTGGACCGTGGCCGCTGCGGCAAATGGAAGCCCGATAGCAACGAGGGGCAGCATAATAGAGAGGCCTCTCACCTCTGCATCCGAATGCCGTCCTTTTAACCGTCTGTGGGTGTCCCACTGAAGACCGCGAACGCGACCGCTTCGTGGTCATCGGGCGTTCCTAGAGACGGTGTGTTTGAATTCATCAAGCGATAGACATTCAGCGAAGTTGATGCGCCTTGTAAGCAGCGGTCTTTGGGCTGGACGGGGAACGCGGCGGGGCGGTATTCGACGAGGGAGCATTGCGGGCGCCCCGCGGGTACACACGACCGTGTCCTCGACGGCCTCGAAATATGGCACCCGCTCTCAGGCACGGAGAGTATCTGTCCAGTTCAAGGTTCGACTCGTCGTCGTGAGCCCACTCGTTTACGACGAGCGATCTCGAGAGGCGGGATACAGACAAGGCACGATGAGGACCCTATGTTAAACTTCTCATCGCGCCACAAATGGTTGTGGGCAAGCTGTGGGCGCCGATCAGTAAACGGGCCGGGAGCCGTACCTTGCTTCCGACCGTCATCAGTTCAGCATGCATCTGGCTCTGCGTATTTTGGACATACAACTCGCCATATTCGACCTGTTGAGCCAGAAGCGAGACCTTCTCAGCGCGATCCTCGTCTGCAAGGACTGGCAGGATGCAGCGGAGAGGCTGCTTTGGAAAGAATTGCCCGATCTGATTCCTCTGCTCATGCTCATGCCCAACGACGCATGGCATGTCAACAAAATGCATAGGTCTAATTTGCTCCCCTATTCATTTGTGGGTGATAATTATCTGTTTCTGTCAATGGACGCGTAGTCTAACATCCCTACCTTAAGGTCTTCACCCGGCAGATTAGCGAAGATGACTGGTTCCATGTGTATCGGCGCGCTCATCTTGTCCGAAGGATCACGTTTGAGCTACTATCACATCCCCCCAGCCTTATAGATAGAGTGGCCCGCTGTCCTCCTAGACAGCCACTCTTCTTGCAGGTAGACAAGCTCATCTTTCGCGCAACGTCGGACAGCCTCCACACACGGCCAATTCCTGCTCGATTCCTGGACATCTTCTACAATAGTGGCGCAATCATTGATCTCGTATGCTACAACATCTCATCCTTCAGTCTCCCCGATCCGCACCGACTACGCGCCCTCGGGAAGGTGATCATCCGCTGGGTACCGAACCACGCAGAGTCAGGGCTTGGCGACGAAGCGTCCTGCCTCGCGCATGCGATGTCTCTTATTGACGCGCTCATTGCATGCCAGCCTGCCTCCCTGTCTCTGACACTCTCTCAAACGCGCTTTTCTGCCTCTTTGATCAAGCGTCTCTATCAGTGCAAACCTTTGCGCGAGTTGACTCTGGAATTTGATGACTCTTATGACGATTCCCATTGCAGTGTACCCTGCCCTGCCAAAGCGAGTCTGCCCAATCTGCATAGCTTGACGATACGCGAGGCTGAGACTGCAACGTGCACCGCAGCAGCAATCGTTGGCGCCTGCACGACACTCGCCTTGTTGGATGTTGATTTTCGCAATCATGGCACCGGTCGTCACCTTATGGACCTCACCACGACAATCCACTCGAATTGCAATGCAGCCACGCTGCGTGATGTTACCATCTGCTGGGAGGCCTGGGCGCTGCACCTGGCGCACCTCGCACCGTTGACCACGGCAATGAACCTCGAAAAGCTGTTTCTTCTGGGCGAGGGTGGGGCAAAAAGCGCGCTCACGGACGCGGACTATGAGAACCTCGTCTCACACTGGCCGCGGCTGCAGACGTTGTGCATCGAGGTCCAGAAAGCAGTGGGCAGGTGTACACTGGCAACGCTCGGCATCCTCGCGCAGTGCTGTCACAATATAGAGCGTATTGAGCTCCCTCTGACGGATGCGACCGTTCCCGACCCCCAGATGACCTGGAGTGATACGTTACCTAGTCCTGGACCTGCGAAGGCCAGCGGGCCTGCCGTACAAATAACTTTCCATGTGGCAACGGAGACGGACACAGAGACCATGGCGACATTTCTCCTCCGACTCTTTCCTCGACTAGAGGAAGTTGACCCGGGGTGGATGCTCGATGATATCAACGGTAGGCAACGGTGGTACGAAGTGGGGAAACGGATCAAAGAGATGCAGAGGCGGTCAAGTGCGATGGATGGGCAAGACCATGGCCACCCGCCGTAGTAGCACTGCGACTGGCTATATCGTACGAGCGAGGGCGTATTTCTACACAACATAGCTCGTGTTTGTTGAACTCTATAAACTGGTCTCAACGGCTTGACGATTACCATAATGGCGATCCCTGAAGAGCACAATAGCCCGCGCTTAGACAGTCCCGTTCCGTCATCCCGAGAAAGCACTGGAAGACGCCGAAGGGCGCCCACAGCCATCTCTTGTTTCATCTTGCTATTCAGAACTCAATCTGCTTCCTACCTTGACCGCAACGTATACCTGACCTCCACTTCCACCTGCTCCTCGCACCGCACGCACTTCGCTACTGATCATGGCGCTGAACTGGACGATGACGAACGCGGACGGGAGCCCGATCCCCTTGCCGCAGGAGATGACGATCTGCACAATCGACTCTGGCGCGGAGCTCAAGCTGAGCGTATCAGCGGACGCGCGGGGTGCTGCGGCGAAGATTCTGCAGGCCGCAGGCCGCGTCTACCTCACTGACAAGCGGGTGCGTGTGCTACGTCCTCGAGTACGGTTGCGCGATCACTGACGCGCCACATTCTGCCCGTCCAGCTCATCTTCATCAGCCGCGCCGCCACACACAAGCCCCCCTTCGACTCGCTCTCCGTACCCCTACACTCCGTACTCTCGACGAAGTTCGAGCAGCCGACGTTCGGGTCGAATTACCTGAAGCTGACGATCAAGCCTGCGCCGGATGGCGGGTTGACCGAGGGAACAGAGGGCGAGCTGCGCTTCAAGGAGCGGCCGATGTTCGAGTTTGTGGCCCTTCTGGAGAAGACGCGCGAACGCGCGATCTATATGGCGCGGCAAACGGAGGCGGACGATGAGAATCTACGTGCGTGATGATTCATGGCATCGGACTGCTTCGTATGCTGACGTTGCGCCACAGCGACTTATAGCTCACCCGCGGAAGCCAGTACGGTGTCCTTTGTGGGCGGTGTACCGGTGGACAACCCGCCAGGCTATGATGCTTGATCTGCGTTCGATCTACGCTAGATCTTTGGGACTTCTGGACGATTTACTGAATACCACTGGAAATGCTGTCTGTACGCACGACTTCATCGCTAGTTTATGTGTACACTATCATGTATCATGCTGAATACTCGCTTCCTGACTTTGTAAAAGACTCAATCTACATAGACGCGGATGGTCTCAAGTGTGGGCAACGAACGACTCCGGCAGCTACTATACAGTCCACGCGAATCGCTTCTCAATGTCTATGGGGACGACTGGCACTAGCATGCTCACTCGAGCAAACATCAAGTCCATACGTGCCGAGGACAACTACAAGGGGAAGTACACGGGGGACAGCACGAGGAGAATCTGAACAACCGCCCGCGCAGGCTCGCGCCACCGTCGTCCGTGATATATTTGCCCCAGCGCGCTGGTAGGTGGAACCGCGCTCCCGTTCCCGGTGTGCGTGACCGCGATATTGACCCTCTGGCATGTGCGATTGGCGACGATCTTGGCCGATCACGAGGGATGCTGGCCAGTCCAGTGAGAGAGAGAGAGATGGGTACAGTGGTGGACAGGAAAGGATAAGATATGTCGTAAGGGCGAAAGGCAAGCAAAAGAGACCTTTGCTATGCAAAATCGGCAAGACCCGAAGTCGCAAGTATAAAGATCGAGGTTCAACAGGCCCAGATGGAGTTCGTGGAGAGACCCTCGATGCTGCTGCCATCATCGGGGATTTATCGAGAGGGTCGCGCTGGATCCCTTGACAGTTGAGAGGGTGCACCTTCAAACAAATATAGCATAGGGTCGCTGGCAGATGGGTGATGCCAGTCGGCACATTGCGCGCAAGTAGTTCGATGCGGAGGATTCGGAAGTACAGTAGATCGACAGAAGAGACAGATGATGGTCGTCGCTCGCCTTGAGTTGTGGGCGCAGTAAAGGTTCACTCCCGTGCGATAAGCTGAAACGCCGACGCTGGCAGTTTCTGTCAAGGTCCCGGCCTTTTGGCACGGTATACAGGTTTAAGCACGTCCTCGTAGCCAATCCATAGCATCGGTCAAGCAGTCGAGGGCAGCCAAAGTCAAGTCGTGCTGATGCGACGCAGCCAATTTCCGATGATGCCCCACGCATTGTCCGCGTGGGGGAGTAGCGGAGATTTGAGGTACGCGAGCGTTTCTTGAGCTCGTCTGGCGGGTACTGCTAGTAGCCTAGTAGACCTAGCAAAGAACGGCAGTCGGTCGACCTTAGATATGGCCAGGATACGGCAATGGTGTTGACGGTGAAGAAGTAAGGTTCAAACGCACGAGGCTTCATTATGGACTTTTCCAAATCGGGGAATTGTTGGATGAATTGCTTACGTGATCAGATCAATGGCGGCGGGAAGGACGAGGCTGGTGCTGCTCTCGTCGCTGTCCGTGTTCCCCACGGGCGCTTGCTCGACAGCGCTGCGATTTTGACGCGTCACCTCTCTTTCCTCCCACCACCATCTCCCTCTCAACGACGACCACAGACAGCGCGCGTCAGAAAACGCGACTTGCAACGCGGCGTGCGACACCATCATCATGCACCCCTTCCGCAAACCGTCCTCGTCGGCGGGGCTGTCGACGAGCCACCAGTCAACGACGTCGAGCGCACAGCGCGCCCCCACACACAGAAGCACCGAATCGCACAACCTGTTCTCAGGATCGACCACGAGCCAGCAGCAGAAGCTGTTGTCCGTTGGGGTTGCGATAGGTCCCCAGTACAAGATCGTGACGGCGCTCGTGAACAGGCTGAAGAACAAGGCGCGTAAAGCTGCGCAGTGCGAGCGAGCAGCGCCGACTTACGTACTTCCAGCTGCCGCACATATCGGGCTCCTCCCTCGATTATATTGAGGCCGACCCCGCCATCCAACAAGCAACAGAAGCACTCGCTGATCTCACGAGGGATTCCCCCAACACAGTTCTCTTCCTCATATGCCAGCTACTCGAACCCCTCACAAATCTCGTGCGTGCGCAATTCCGTGCGACGCGACTGAAATGCTGACACCTGGCGTAGACGTCCAACCAGGGCAATGTTGGCTACGCAGCCCAGCTGTCCAGGGAGGACATGCAGTCAGAGCTCTTCGTCCTCAAAGTCCTGACCGTAGTTATGGCCGCACGATGGCCACAAGCGCGCTGCTCCTCTCGCTCTAGCCATCGCATGAACTCGTTCTCTTCTGGCGCCAGCTGGTCAGAGGGGGTTACATCTCCATCCCCCTCTGTCGATGTTGGCGAGCCAGTGGCCATCAACGATAACTGCGCGAAGTACGTCCTCAGCAACATGATCGTCATACTCAAGCAGTGCGCCTCGCCAGAGGGATCGCTTCTCGTCGCCAGTCCTTGCTCCGACCTTGCCTTCCGCGAGTTTGCATCCGAGGACCTGCCTCGGCCCGAATTCCGCCAGAACCCCATCTACAACGCGTACGCCAACCAGATCCTGCGAAGCAGGCCATCGTCCATCTCGGTCAAGTCCGGCCAGAGCAGCCAGTCCTCAATTGCCATCCCGGTGGGCACTGCGATGTACGAGAAGACGCATATATCCCTCTTGCGATCTCAGGTCGCGATGCGGAACTTGATCATGAAGCTTGCGGGGCAGGTCATCTTCTACCTCTCGGCGACAAACTGGAACCCCGTCTTCCAGCGGCTACGCTCGCGGATTCATGTCCTCGCAAACGCAACCGACGAAATCAAGGATACCAATATCGACCTCGAACTTCTGTATCACTGCGCACTCGACCGTTCAAGGCTTGTTCAAGTGCTGAACGGTACGTGTGAATGTCAAAACCTCCAAGTCGCACTCGCTAATACCTTCGCAGAGCTCTCCTCGCTCCTTGTAAATATGAAGCAAGATCACCAACTTGCTATCGCCGTACCTTTGCGAACCGCGATATGGAATTGGATACGCCTTTTCCCGGGCGAGTTCAACGATGCGATACGTGTGCGTGGTCGTCTGGAGGGCGCCCCGGAGCGCGTCTTCGACCTCCTGTACACCAAGAACCAGCTTGGTGTGGAGAGGTCCATTTGGCCAACCCTCTTGATCCTGAATTGTATCTCGTCCGATCGGCTCATGCCCGAGTTGTCCGACATGAAGTCGTATGGACGAGGAAAGGCGACACGCAAGGTAGCTTTCCAGTCAATTCGGCTAGTGCACAACACTGATTTCGCTCTAGGATACGAAGTTTTATGACGATCTATTTACGCACGGCTATTCGAATCCCAAGACCCAGGAGGTTGGCCTGGCATGCACGCTCGACCTCTGTCGCGCTGCCAGTTATGTGGACTCGGCCGACGATGTGCCACTTCGACTACTGGCCTACGACGTCGCGCACGAGATCAAGGTGAGCCCTTCCTCAACTCCATAGATTTCGCAAGCTGAACCGTTTCCAGAACAAGCGAGACATCTTCGATGCGAAGGAGGAAATTGACGTCGCGCTGTGCGCGGAGGTCCTGGTGGCCACGTATCGTTTCCTACCTGAAGAAGATTCTATACCGCTCTTTTTACGGTGCTGCGAGCCTGAGCGCTCGGAAGCCTTCAAAGCCTGCGCTGCGCGCGCGTTCCTTACTTTGGTGCAGGAGGTGGGGACTGTGTTATTCATGCTCATCGAATTTCTAACTCAACGACATCTAGTCTGTTCGCATACCGTGGCAAAAGCCCCTCGACAAGTTGCGCATCGCTGTTGCGCCGCGATTCAGGGAGATCTACAAGGTACGTGCCCTTCGTCTCGCTGCACTGTTTGGCGCTCATCTCGACCTTCCAGACGGCAAGCATGCGCAAACCCGAAGTCGACGCTTACGGTAACCTCAAGCGCCTGCACACCCGGCCGAAAGCAAGGCGCGTCAACGGCGAGCCGCTGACCGATCGCGAAGTCCTCTTGCTCTCGGTTATCGCCGTATGGCGGACGGACCCGGAGCTCTTCGTCGCTGGCATCCGCGACGAAAAGGGCCCCGACTTTTTGAAGGCCGTCGTGAAGCTCTGGGACCCTGCTATCGACGCGTCGGTGACGTTGGCGGGCAGCAACATGTACAAGGTCATGTGCGACTATGCGTACTCGTTGCCGCCGGAACATCCAGATTTGCACTTCCTCGTCTCGATCTCGAAGCATACTGTGTACGTCTTCACTGACACGAGAAAAAGGACTCCAGAATTGACGATTGTATGAACAGGCCTTCCATGCTCGTCTGCGTCAGCGCGAGCTTGTTGGGCGACAGGCTGGACACGCAAACGGAGAAGCTCTGGCTCGGCGTCTTGCACGGGTTCCTTGACCTGTACATGCGCAAGACTGATGTATGTCGTTCTTCGTCCCCATTGTTCGTCGCTTACTCACGGCTTCGTTAGAACGAGCATCTGTTGGACCTACAGCAAGACCCAGGCAGAATACCAGGCTTGATCCTCACCGAGGTCGCCTTCCTCGTCTGCCTGGCATCTGCGGACAATAACGCGTCCAACATGGCTGCGCGGGGCCTGCGCCTTCTGGCTCACCTTCAGAGGGACCCAGAGTATGCATCCGCATCTTGCACGGCTCAGGAGGAGGAGAACTCGAAGCGGGAGTTAGTGTACGATCAGCTCGGCGACCCGAAGATTACCATTGTCGGTGAGTAGCGCAAGGTATTTCTGATCCTACTATTGCTCATGCGCGCATTGCAGGACGCGTCGGTCATCAGAAGCGGATACGGAAGCTGCTGCGTCTCATCGCGAAGCCTTGCTCGATGCACATTGCGGTCTGGGAAGAGTGCTACTGGCGCTGGCGGCATCTCACCGAGCTTCTCTACCCCGGCATCGGGAAGGAAGGCGAGCCGCCTAGCAGCCGTCTCATGAAGGACGATCAGCGGTTCCAGTGGCGCAGTCTCACCCTGTTCCTCGCCGCTCTTGGCGGTGCTTGCATACAGGAGGGCCGCGTTGGCAACCTGTCGTCGATCATCCCGCTGCAAGCCCTTCCAGACAAGCTGCGCGTGCAGAGCAACTCGGAGGATCTCGTCCAGACATTCATCAACGACGTGACAAACATGCTGCTACACCCGGACGTGCACATCCGCGACACTGCGCGCGACGCCCTCGGCATGGAGCTCAACCACCGTCTGCACGGTCGCTTCCTCAAACACATTGAGGGCCTGGTCCAGCAGCTCGCGAACACCGAGGTCAAGGAGGTCGACGCCTACTACTTGCTCATGGACCAGGTCATCGTCGTCCTCAAGCTCTTGATCGACAGCCTATCGCAGGAGGACTTCGTGGCCGTCGACATGGCATCGACGATGCTCTCGCTCGGGCAGCAGCTGCCGCTCACTTCGGCGGCGTCCTCGGCGCGCCTTAAGATCAAGTTTTGCCAGCTGTGTGATAGCCTGTGGGGAAGGCCGGCTGCTCAGGTCATCAAGAAGGATAACGACTCGCGGCTCAAGTTGCTGGATCTCGTAGTCGAATGGATGCAGGTTGCTCAGGTCAGTGCTGACAATGCGTCGTAAGCCAGTGTCACTGACTAGGTTGCAGCCTGGCGACTACACTCAGTCAGAGTTGAACATGGCGGCGTTGAGGACGATGGTGGTGTTGTTGGACCACTTGCAGATCCGGCCACCCGATGACACGGGTCCTGGCGATGAGAACGCTCATGTCGTAGCAAGACTGTTCGCGAAGTACTCGTCAGCCTTGCTCCAGAGCCTCGAGATATGCCACATGGACTTCCCGGTAAGGCTGTTCTCCTCAAGGATTGCCTCTCATACTGATGTTCTTCGTGCAGACGACGGATAGCGCATCGGAATCCGGCTCCATTCAGTTTGTGAGTTCATATGGCTTTTGTCTTCAAGGCGTTTACTTATGAATGCACAGAAGATGAAGGCGTCGCAGCGGGAGGCTGAGCTCCGCGACCTTGTCATAACCGGCCTCTCGCACCTAGTGATATCCAACAGCGAGAGCGGGTTCAAGCAGTGCTTGAGCCTGGCGTATAGTGACGACAATCTCAAGCGAACGATCTTTTCGCATGTCTTTGCACGTGTGCTCGGCCAGGGTGCCAGGCTGGAGGTTGAGGAGACCGTGAGCGGGGTGTCGCGTATCAGTCGATTAGCAGAGGTGAGAAACTCCCGTCTCTGATTCATGTTCTGCTCATTGATCTCTTGTCACTAGATCATCAAAGGCTCGGATGTGGGTGTCGACCGGAATTTTCAAGGGTTTCTTGCTAAGCTCGGACTTACAGATGGCTCTTGCTATGGCTATCTGTGAAGTCTGTCCGGCCGGGGAAGTCGATACAATCACCAACGTCCTGCTGGACCTGTTCGACACTCGTGAGCACGCGCTGCGTCTGATTAAGCAGATCATCGACCGCGAGATCGCCAACACCAGTTTGTCTGCCCTCTGAAAACATTGGTTCAGTTCTGATTAGAGACCTTCAGCGTCCGAGGCCAGTTTATTCCGGAGCAATTCCATGTATACCCGTTTCCTCTCTGCCTTCGCGCGTAAACACGGGTATCACTACTTGCGAGGGCTCATCGAACCGTTGATACGGGTCATGGAGGAGATGCCTCCAGATACCAGCTTCGAACTTGATCCGGCGAAGGCTCCTGGCCAAGACCCTCTTCAGAACCAACATAACATTGAAGTGGTCGCAGGCAGCTTCCTGAACATTGTCAGCTCCTCAACGCAATCGGTGCCGCGGTAAGCGCATATGAACAGTGGTCGAGCTTCGACTTGCTGACTAGTCCCAGCATCTTTCGCGAAGTTTGTGCTTACATAGCAGATTCGGTGTACGTGCCGTGCGCTGCTTACAGCCGGAGCCAAGAAGCTGATCATCATGGTTAGGATGCATGTCTGGCCGGAGGCGAAGTTCGCTGCTCTTGGAGCATTCGTGTTCCTGCGGTAAGGGCAAGGATCTGATTATGTGTTCTACTCGCTCATCATCTTCAGATTCATCTCGCCTGCCATTGTTTCGCCCGAAGTTGTGGACGTGGAGATACCGAAGACCCATGCCAATATTCGCCGCGGACTGATGGTGGTAGCGAAGGTCATTCAAAACCTGGCGAACAACATCTTCTTCGGCAAGGAACAGCATATGACGGTCCTGAACAAGTTCCTTGAGCTCAACATCGCGAACGTCACCCGCTTCTTAAGCGAACTTCATGTACGTGTCCGACCCTTTGTCATGACTTTGTACTCAAGCTTCCCACAGAAGATCAGTCAACGGATAGACGATGATCAAGACGAGTATATCGAGAGCAATGCCGACAGCTCTGACGTGATCGTGCTGCATCGTTTCTTCCACAAGCACGCAGACAAGATCGGCAAGGAATTGCTGAGCATCGCCAAACCCAACGTCGAGGCGAACTCCGCAGCCGTCAATGGCAAGCACGCTTGGGACGATCTTTGTGGTTGGCTTGTGGACCTTGGTCAGCCCATGCAGCCCCCTCAAGCATCGACTGCCAAGTCGTACGAGCACGCCAAGTACATTGACCTCCTCTCGAAATACGCGTCCAGGACCTCGAGAGTCGGTGAGGATATCTTCTTGCCGGTCGAGACCATAAGGGTGAGCACCAGAGACGTCAAGCGAAAACGACATTTGTCTAACGGGTGCATAGGACCGTGCAGTATTCGTATTCCGATTGTCTAGGATCGATGTGGAGGGCCTTGACGTCGAGCTACTGATGGCCTATATCTTGAAGGTTTGTACAGTCGTCTGTCCCCAGACCCTTCTGGCTGATGACCATCTCCAGCTCGTCTTACCCCGGGGCCGCGATGATCGCGACGTTGAGTTGATCTTCGATTGCACGACGTTTAGCCCGACGTCCGAAATCCCCTTGCAATGGCTCAGCTTCTGCCTCGACCTTGTGCCAGCCGACGTAATCTCAAGAATCAAGTGTCACTACATTCTCAACCCGAACCAGGCCTTCGTGCGGTACATGCGGAAGCTGTGTAATATGGCGGCAGGTGCGTCTCGCATCACTCATGAATGCCTATTACGATCCTCATCTCTTCTCAGACCGATCGTACTTCGGCGAGACCAGGGTTTGCGACTCCCTCGAGGACCTCAAGACCTTCCTTCCCGACCTTGACATTGCCACATTGGAAGAAGCGGGTACGCTCGATCAGATGAATTGCGGCTTTCCCTCTCATCACACAAACAGCACGACTTGAAGGTGAACCGGCAGAGGTTTATCACGACGTCTTGTATCGCGAGCATCAGAGCCAAGTCCGCACTCCCGTCACGTTGTATGTCGGCGCGACGCACATGCGCATAACATTCGTAAGTATAGTCGAGAGGTCCTTGAACGTCGACCAACATTTCTTCGCAGGTCAGGAGATGTCACGTATCGACCTTCGCTTGCCAATGCACGGATATCATGCGCCTTACAGACATCAGCGACGTGTACAATGTCACTATGGGCACTGAGCAGCACGAGTTCATCATGCGGAAAGGCAAGCAAGGGGTTACAATGTACTTCAGCTCGCAGCAAAGGGATGCGATCATCAAGGTAGGCCCTTCCAGTGAAGATTTCCTATCGATACTAATGGAAATTTAGTCCGTCAGGACTGCGAAAGGTCGCATGAAGGACGTCCAAGCTCCTTCAGTCGAGCGGTTTGCCCGCTTCTCAAACAAGCCGGCGACTCTGCTGCACATCGGACTGCTCAGTGTCGATGTCAACGACGAGGAACTTCGTGCCGCTGCATATGACCTGCTGGGAGCCGTGTGCACGTATCTCAACTACGACAAGAACCCTATCATCGCACCTAGAGGTCAGTGACCGTTTCCACCGATCTCCCGTGTCTGACGGTCTGCCTAGCTGGCTTTGTCCCCGGCGAGCCGACATTATTCGCAAGACGCCTCAGCGATTCCATGGCCCAATTCGCTCCTCAGCTTACTCTTGACTTCATCTCCGAGGTGTCTGCTGCCATGAACGCGATGCGCAACTCCATGGAACACCAACTCAGCTGTCTACTCTATATGAGCCCTTGGGTTAAGAATCTAGCTCGCTTCACAGATCCCACGAGTCCCTTGTACGACCGCTCGACAGCGCGAGTTCGCGACTGCATCCGAACGCTAGCACAGCTGTCCATCAATTTCCCTCAGGTCAGAATGGTCCCTTTGAGACATGCGATCTGACCTGACCTTTTTATCCGCCAGATTGCTGGTCCTATACAGCGTCACGTATGGAGCGAAATCGGCAAGCTGGATAACACCATCATTGAAGCCACTCTCGATGAGCTCATTCGCATCGCTGCGGATGGTGGTGTTGGTACTAGTCGCTGCGAGACCATATCGCTCATCGTTGCTTCCTTCACGTCGATCCATGTCAGGGGGAAGCTGCTAGCACGCCTGCGCAAAGTTTGTCCCCGACCGTCTCGGGGTTAGACATGATCACTGACTCGTTTGCAGGTACTCAGCAGGGCAGCTTCGAGGATGCCAAGGTCGCTACATGATCATCCGTACTGGAACGAGATATCCGCCCTTGTCCGCCTAGTGCTCGTCGCCGGATACCAGCACTCACCACCCATCCACAACCAGGTCAACGTACCAGAGATCATACACCTGTGCTTCCTTCTGGCTGGAACTGGTCCAGCGCTCGTCAGGAAATCCGTCTACGGCATCGTTCTCAATCTGTTGCAAGGGCTTTACCTAGCCCGCCTGGAGGAAGGGCCGGTGCCGATGATCAAGCAGTTGATGGAGGACATGGAGCACCGCGACACGCTACAGCTGTTCGGCCTTGCGCGCACGGCACCTACAAGCGAGTACAGCTCCTTTGACTTCCCTACGGACAAGGAGCGCCTCGACGCGCAGGAGAAGCTGGTCGAGATTATGATCAGAGTTCTGGAATGCGGTGCGCCGTCAGTAGGTAAGTAGTCGACTTGCCTTTTTCGATGACAACCGCTGACAAGAAATCAGGCCTACTCAACGTCTTCCGTGCTCGGTGGATGAGTCTCGTCACTTCGTCGGCCTTCCAGCTTTCGCCTGTACAGATGAGGTGCTTCACCGTCATCGGTGCGCTCGCGAAGACCGAAGTCGACGAAGACCTCTTCTATCAGATGCTGGTCGCACTGCGGACATCGCTCAGCAATGCCTCTGAAAGCGATACCATTACGGTCGTCTCGATCTTGCGTTGTATGTGCCGCGTCATCCCCGAGATGAGCCCCGACTGTCGCTACCCGGCGCTGTGCTTCTGGTTAGGCGTGGGCCTCCTGCAGTCCAGCTACATCGCGTTTTACGAAGAGGCCGCTTGGATGGTGCGCGTCAGCTTGGAGACTTTGGATAAGCACGAGGCCTTTGGGGACGAGAACTTGACGAACTACCTACTCAACGCACGCTCGCCGCTCGAAGAGACCGCCTGCCAATTGGACAGAATGCTCAAGATCTCGTTCGACAGCAGCTTCTCGTTCTCGCTCGCCGCCATCATCTTCAAGGGCTTCCGGCACACTCAACTCGTGTCCGCCGCCGAGTCGGTACTGCGCACGTTGATGGAGGTCACCGTCAAATGGTGGGAGCGGGAGCACGGCAATGTTCGCAGCGACGCACTCTGCCCCGACGCGTTGGGGTACTTTGCGGCCCTTGTTCCCGTCTCAACGACAGCAGCCGGTATCACGAAGTCGATTAGAGGGGCTCGTTTGGAACATATCGTTGACTTGGAAGGCGTATTCGAACAGATGGTTCGTGGCGAGGAAGTCCAACAGCCGTTGGTAGGCATCGAGGTCTACAACATCGGCGACGAGACCACCGCGCTCCTCGCCTCGACGTTCATTGTTACGATGCTGTCCACTGCGCAGGGAGATGATCTCGAGTCGGAGATCCTGTTCGGTTGCCTCGCTGAGATCGCTGCCCATTATCCCCAGGTCGTGGTCATGGTGTAGGTTCTTTGTCCTCGTCTTGTGTAACTCGACTCACCTGCATGCCCAGCTACGATAGCCTGCAAGAACGTGTCAAGGATTCGCTCGCATTGTCCGCCAACCCCTCCATCATTCGCCTCGTCGCCGACATCTTTCGGGCTTGGCAGCACGAGTCCGCCATTCGAGGCCTCGGGGCTGGCAAGGGATCCTCCTCGACCTTGGGCACCGTCGACGAGACAGCATCGCGTGGGCCGAGTCGCAATCACATCGCCGCCCTCGAGGAACTGGGCATGGCAGGCCTTGCCGACACCTACAAGTTCCTGCCGCGCGGGGTAGGCACGGCCATGATCCAATGGATTCCGGAGCTCGTCGACGCTATCATCCGCGCATAGTACTTACGCGCCTCCGCTTTCATGAACCCTTCAAGTATGCACCGACACTTCTTATGCTTTCTGACTTGCACGACATCGCTCATTCGTCCACCTTCGGGTCTTGGTCGCCCTTCCATTCACGATCTGTTTGCGCGACCCGCTTGCGCCATCGCCTTTTTCGTACAACCCGTCGCTTTCCTCGCACTTCGCTGTGGATTATATCTGTTCGTTCTTCCCTCGATCTACACTTCGTTTATTCTTCATGTCATTTGTTCTATCTACCATGTATCATACGCAACCATCTGCTTGACATACTTTACTGTAAATATTTGGGCATATTGCGAAGAAAGATTGCTCATTTGTGTTGATCACCCTGAGCTTCATCCGCTCCTGTGGCGGAGCATCCTCTGGACCTGAAGCTTGCGTTGCTCGTCTACCAAGACGCGAGATGCAGCAGACATCCTTGTCGGCGTGCATACACAGGATGGATTATGCTGCGTCGCCTGTACGCTCAGCGAGCAGAAGGCGTCGCTAGAAGGCAACGACTTCAAGTCCCGAGCATGCAGGCCATGCCGCGAGGCGCTAACCCCACGATGCGGGCTTCAGAGCGTCTTTGCCAAGGGAAGGTGTGCATCCTTCTGCAACTAGTGGGAAGGCCCGTCATTTGGATGCGTACTTCCTGTCTCTCTCAAGGTCTGCACTTAGGTTTCGCGCTATGTATCCCAAGCTCACACCCAGCTACGTATGGTCATGTAATTCATTGTTAAAAACCAAGAACATCATTCGACAGAACGTATATGGATGGAAACATTGACCACACTGTTCAAAGGTAGTAACAGAGGCAGGGGAACGTGCAAACACATACACTGTAAAACGTCGGAAGAGCGTCATACGGGAAGAGGATTTCGCATGTAAATCGAGGCGCAGAGGAGAGAGAGATATAGATGTGAGAGAGACAGTCGTTGGGGATATATATAAACGGTTGAATTACGCGGTACGAGACGAGACGAGACGGGGGTAGCGTACTGTATCGGGACGAGCGCGAAATCCGGCCGGTTGCACAGGAGGTGGATAACAAAACAAAAAACGCTAGACTGGACAAAGGTGGGCGAGAGATAGTGGTACTAGAACACGCAGCACGAAGGAGATGTATAAAAACTGTCCGCCGTGGAGGGAGAACTCGAATGGAAGCTGGAAAGCAGGGTGCATGTGTGGGGTTTTGGGGGTGTTTTACGCGAGAAGCAAGGCGGATGGAGAGTGGTAACAAGTATAATGAAACACAAGACAGAGATAAACCAAAGCTCCGCGACGACGACGACGACGGCGACGAGGGACATGCATGCGATGAACAAACGACGGTTGCGTGAGGTATGGATTTAGGGCGGCGAGGACGCGCCCGGACGGAAGGTCACAGCCGACGGCGAGCTGCTCTCAGAGCCGTCCGCGACGGGCGACCTCCAAGGGCGATCGAGTTCGAGGCTGGCGAGCGTGCCGTTCAGATCGTGCAGCGCGTCATACTCCTGCCCATCGTGGTCCCGAGGGCCAGACGCAGGCCGGGAAATGGTCGCCCGCGCCGCCATCTGAGCCTGAGCGTTCTCGAGGAACGACGGGTACCGCGACGCGCTGCCCGGGCGCGTCACGGTCGGGGACACCTTAGTCGGCGGCGTGTTCCCGTTGCTCGCCGCTGCGTTCGACTTCAGGTCCTGCTGCGTCTGCGTCTGCAGCCCCAGACCCAGCGGGTAGAACGGGGGTGCGAACGCCTTCACCGGACTGGGAAGAGCTTCCGGCCTCCCGAACGACAGTGACTCCCGACGCTTTGAGTCGACGGCATGAGAGTTGGGATCAGGCGAGAAGGGAGAGAAGGTGGACACACGAGCTTCTGGGTCGTCGCGAGAAGCAAGGACGGCAGAGTGCAGCTTCTCTTCGGAATATTGCGACGCAGTGGGTGGGCCCTGAGGGCCGAGTTGATCCAGGTAGCCTTGCATAGTGAAGCGTTGCAGGAGCTGTATCGCTTGCTCCTGCGTCATGGTTCCGAACGGCGGCAGTGCCGCAGGTGCAGCCGGAGGAGGGGTAGTCTGATGGGTCGAGAGCGCCGCGGCTTGCGCAGCCTGCGCGGCAGCTTGAGCAGCCTTGTCTATATGAACGGTCAGTATCATTGCCCGAGATAGTAGGCGGGAGTACGAACATTGGCTACGACCCCAGCTGAGACGGATGCGACTGCCGCCAATGGGGAAGCCCTGCATCTTCTCGATGGCATTCTCGGCATCGGCCTTGCGAACGAATTGGACGAAGCCGCAGTGCTTGCCCACCGGAACCTTGACCTACAACGCAACGTCAGCAGAAGGTCACAGAAGCGGCATTGAAGGGCTCACGTAGTGGATGTCGCCGAACGGAGCAAAGAAGGTGCGCAAGGTGTCCTCAGAGATGAGCGGAGACAGACCGCCGACGAACACCGTCGTGTTGTACGGGTCGGTCGACGTGAGCTGCTCGCCATTGGGCCCAATAAGGTTGCCCAGAATAGCGCGAGCCTGAGCGTGATGCTTCCACGACTCTTCCGAAATCGTGAAGCGCTGCAGGCTGTCCGTGATGCTGCGCGTCGGATCCTGCTGACCGGTAGCATTGTACTGCTGCGCCAGCTGAGCGAAGACGTTCGACGACCCCATCATATCGGCAGATCCGTAAGACGTCACCGACGTATTCGCGGTCGACAACGACTCGAGGGAGTTGGAGCCACCGACAGAACCTGAGCCAGACGTGCTGGCGCTCTTAATCGATCCGGCGGACGTAGCGCTCGCCATAGGGGCGGACACGCTCTTGGTGGGAGGAGGTAGCGGCATCGCGACGTTGACAGGGTTATGGGGTTGTGATTGCTCCATGGAAGAGAATGGTGGGCGTAGATCATATTGTCCTCCAATCGCAGGCGGAGGTGGGGGGCCTTGGGGCTGCTTATTCTTGGCGGTCGCGGGTGAAATACGCATGGGACGGGAAAGACAGTAAAGCCCGTGCATTTCGATAAGTGCCCGCTGCTGATCGGCCTCATCCGTGAATCTGGTCTCGCCATTAGCAAAAAAAGGCGCATATATGCGGCGTACAACACACCTAACAAATCCGTAGCCACGGGAGACGCCCGTGACGGGATCCAGCATGATCTTCGCGCTCTTGCAGGACAGGAAAGGCCTGATGAACTTGGGCTCGCGGTCGTTGCGCAGACCGAGAACCGGGTTGCGGAAGACCGCGACGAGATCCGAGTTGGAGGTCTCGGGCGCGAGGTCGCCCACGAAGATGCTGTACTCCTTCGGGTACTGGTTCTGAACGCCAGCGTTCACCGCGCTAAAGCTATTTCCGACGGGTGAGGTCGCGGGCATGCCGGCCGCCCAGTTCATGACGAACGCCTTAGAGGAATTGGGCATGGTGACGGGCCCGCCAGTGCCGTTATTATTGACCTGAGCGAGCACGCTCGCTGCGTGCGCGGGGGTCGGGAAGGTGAGGAAGCAGTAGCCGGGGTTGTTGGCCTGCTGGCCGGTCGCGGGGTCCGGCTGGGGGTGCGGGACCTTGATGTTGACTGGATCCCAACCCATGAGGTTGCAGACCTGCTTGGCGTATTCTTCGTCCATCCAGGGCTCGAGATCTCCCCAAATCAGAGTTGACTTGGATGCGGCGGAGTTGGGCTGGGGCTGGCCTGGGCGAAAGGCGGGCGCGGTGTCTGCGGCGGAGAAGGGGTTCGGGGGGAGCGGGTGGGAGGCGCGCGGCTGGGGGAGACTCGGGTGGTTGTGGTGGTTGAGAGCAAAGGGCGGCTGCCCGCCAAAGTTGCTCGCGCCTCCTCCGCCGCCGAAATTGCCTCTGTTTGATCCCGCGCCCGGCGTGACGTCCGATAGGGGCGCCAACCCAGCATACAGCTCCTCGAGGCTGCCGTAGCCCAGCCCGCGCGGGCCGCCGCCGTTGCTGCCCATGGGCGGCTGCTGCTGGGCGCCCTGGCCCTGACCCGGGCCCATGCGCCGGTCACCGCCGCCAGGCAGCGACATCCCGCCGCCCCAGCCGCCGTAGATCTGCTCACGCGTTTCCTCGCGCGAGAGCAGGCCCGACGCGAGGTCGAAGCCGTGCGCATCGCTGCGCGACATGTCTTGTTGGCCTCCCGGCCGTTGCATCGGAGTGAGGGTCGTGCGGGGCGTGCTTGCGAGCGTGCGCAGAGAAATCGATAGCGAAAGGAAGTGGAAAAGCGGAGAGTAAAGCGACGTGGAACAAGCGACGATTCAACTGATGCGCAAACGACGATTATCGACTACAGAGCAACCAAGAAAGAGAAGAGGGAAGAGGGGCGACAGCAGCGGATAAGTAGCGGACTCGCGCGAGTTTGTGGCGACGTGTGGGGGTCGTGCACCGACGTCCGATGCGATGTTGGACGACACGGCGTGGGAGGGGGAGAAAGGTGGCCAGCGCAGCCCACGACTGCCTCCTGCTGTATATAGACCAGTTTCAAATTTTCCGCCGGAAAAACAGTTCTCGGCTGACGCCGGCTCTCCTGACGCTCGAGGTGGGTAGCTGGTCCTGGTGTTCACCCTCCTCTCTCCTTCCCAGCCCTTATATACCCCTCCCAGAGACAGCCAGCTCGTATCGGAGGCCCCTCCATCCCTTTGTTGTCTATAAAGAGGACCACCTTTGTGACTAAGCCGGCCTCCACCGGCGCCTCCGGATCTTCCCAACATCACCAGCATCAGATCATGTCCTCCTCCACTCGACTCACACTGACAGCGATCCACCGACGTTCAATGGACGATGGGCAGGCCCTTCCAGCGCGCAGACATCAATCCTCCCCCAGCCATCGAACGCGGCTCTCGGGATTTCCCGTGGTTGAGAATTCTCAGATGTGGCGTTAGGACGTCGCACTTTGCCCCCGTCCTGTCAACTCAGTTGCTCCCGCCACTCTCACTTTCCATTGTCCTCCCGATGCGGGCGACACTTCTCTTGTACTCGACTCCTTCGGCCGCTGCCGCAGCTCGTACATTCACCAACTTCGCACTTGTGCTCTTCCCGCGACGCTACCTGTGCCTGTGCGCTAGCGGCTATAGCCCTTATTGTCAACCCACGTGAAGACTGACCGATACGCCACTCAACAAAGCTAGGCAAGTTGCGCTCGCAAAGCGCCGACCATTGTTCGCCACGAATGGTCATCGTCTGTCTCCTGTCTTCGGTCTCTGCCGGCCATCGTCCACCAAGATGAAGCCATGAAGTGTCTTCATCACCATCGATATGGTCTGCGGTCATCTCACGAAGGGTTTAAGGCTATGTCCTACTTGTATTACGAACATCGATTCATTTTTTTCGTGTGCTATTCTGAAATCGGCGGACGGTCGCCATTGCCTCGCTGGATTACTCTGCGCTTTCATTTGGCTTGCTCAGAGAATTTGTAGCGCGCAGGCGAGGACACGAAAGCTTCACGATGTCAGCAGTATCTAGGACATGTACGGTCTGGCGACCGTGGGTCGTCCTTCTCTTCAGCCTCTCATCTATGGCGCGAATCCGGCGCGCTCGGGCTCATGCGTACCCTCCGCAACCTACATACGACTCGATCGGACCTCAACACCTGGCGCGCGATGGCTGGAAAAGGCAACTCTTGGCCTTCTATAGCGTTGTTGGCATGAGAAAAGAAAACTTTAGACATCGAAGGGTCATTATCATGGTCATGCTAGCCTCGTAGATTCGTAGATGTTCTTGCCCATAGCAAGCTGTTCACAGTGGCGCGCGCCCCATGCGTTCAGACACCGATGTACCCTTTCCGATTCCTCCTCGATGCGATCAGGACCCAAAAGGACTCGTTGCAGCCGGTAATATGACCAGAGCTTCACCGCTCCGGGTTCGGCGCCGGAGTTGAAGATCACCGCTTCCTTTCACAAAAATCCTTGCCTAAAGCAAAGCAGGGGAAGACCAACGAACGTATATAGGCCAAGAAAATCCATAGATACGTTCATCACTGTCAGTGATATTATACAAGAAGCGAAGGGTATCGAGCACTGTCCCTGTCCCTACCAGACCCTGCTTCAAATCCTGCGGTTGCCTTGACTCTAGACCAAGCACCCTCCTACCATCCTTCAACGAATCTCTAGCGAGCGCATGTCACAACCGCTCCCGGTGCCCCGTCAGCAGCCCATCCGGCCCCTCCACCGCAGCGCTCCACGCACTCAGCGAGGGCAGCAGGTCACTCAGCCCACCGCCCCCGTGTGGACTCGTCGGGGTCGACGCCGTCGCCGCCGAGCTCGTGCTGACGGACCGGGAGCCCATCGCTGGGGCTGCTACGGGCGGCGACGCGCTCAGCGTGCCCGCACGGAAGTTCTGCACCCGCCGGCTGAGCGCGCGCAGCACGCTCGAGCCGCCGAAGCCGCCCTCGGTGGGCGTTTGTGGTGGTGGGTCTTGCTCTTCTGAGGGTGCGGGCGCGGGCGCTTGACTGAGGAAGGTGGAGTGGATGGAGGAGTCTGAGAGGCCGCGGCGTCGGAGACGGCGGGCCATTAGTGGTGCGAGGACGTCGTCGGATTCCTTGCCCTCGCCCGGGCCTGAGACTGGGCTCTGCTGGGTGGGCTGCTCGGGAGTCTCCATGTCGATCACGGCGTCGACGTTGCGCGAGAGGCGATGTTGCGGTTGCTCTGAGTGGCCCATTCCCGGCAGCGCTGGTCGCCGGAACGCAGGCGTCCCCGGCTCCCTCATGGACCCGCCCTTCGGCACAACGACCCACGAGTCGGGCGTGTTGATCGCTGGCTCGGGTGCACCCGCAAATATGTGCAGGTGTGACGGGCCGGATGAGCGCTGGCGGCCTAGCATGCCACCCGGAGGGGCAATAGCGGGTGATGGCGCATAGCTGGACGTGACGCTTCGCCCAACGCCAGAGCCCGAAAACTCAACGTTGACAGTCGTCGATGCGGTAGCTGTCGCAGGACTGAGCTTCGGGACGATTCGTGGTCGGAGCTGACTGCTCGATCGTGCAAGCGGAGAAACAACCCGCTCCGGCGGGCCCGTACTTGGCGTCGGCGCGCCAAACAGCTTCGAGATTGGCGCAATCCACCCCGAAGCCCCCGACGCAGCCCCCGCTGACGCCTGCCGATCCCTCTCTGCCTTGCTCGGGTCTAGCGCATTCGTGCTCACCCTCTGCGCACACCCGGGATCCAAGATCACCTCATTGAGCGCAACCCTCAGCTCGCCCAGCTCGCCGAACATATCCCTCACGAGCTTGAACAGCACGCGCAGGTCCTTGCGCGTGCATGTCACGACCGCCTTCTCGTCCTCGAGGAGAGCGCGGAAATGTGCGCGAAGATTGCCCGCGTCATGCACAATCGCGTTGACAGTCGTGCGCGAGAGGTGGCCGACGTCGGCGCCGCGAAGGTGCTGGCGCTTGAGCCGATTGGTCAGCGTGAGGGCATCGGCCTGGGTCATGCGGTTGAAGAGGGTGGAGACGCGGTCGAACAAGACACCCAGCGTAGATGCGGTCGACTCGGAGAAGGATGAGGACTCAGAGCGAGGGTCGTGAGGTGAGGGTGAGGTCATCCCGCTAGGTGCAAGATAGGTGGGCCAAGCATCGGTCTGGACGCCACGAGACCTGGTAAGCAGAAGCAGCGGTTTGCGGCTTCGGAATCGTTCATCGTCGTCCTCGTCGATATCATCCTCGTCCACTTCAAGTGCCAGATTTGACGGAACGCGAATTTGGGTCGTCGGCGATAATGGGGTGGAAGGCTCGTTAGGGAGGGGGAAACGTGAGGTTTCCGGTGTTAGGGGTTCCTATTCCACAGTGTCAACGAAGAATGCCCAAGAATGAACGCTAGCCTTACAAAAGAGCGTCGCGATCTGCGATCAGCGCTTTCGCTACGACGGTTCCCTCGCATGATCTAACATAGATGAGATGCGAACAGAAGATCGTGTCACTACTCACGAAGTCCTTGAAGTTATTCGTCGGCATACTCCCTGTGTGCTGATGTCGCAGCGGTGTAGGTGCTGAATGGAGATGAGTTCGCGGCCATTTGCTGTGATTGTTGTATTCAAACCTCGTGACGGGTACGCGGCCTTCTGCTCTTCGAGCTCCTCTTGCAAGTTATGCAGGTCTCCTCGCGACTCAGCCAGCAGCCGCTGCAGCTCTGCATTGTCCCGCTTCAGGATCTCATTGTCGCTGACGAGAGATTCCAGAACTTTAGTCATCTCTTCGTGCTCGGCTTCGCGTGATTGGGTTGTTCTCTAGGTTTAGATGAGCAAGGTGCTTAGCGTAGGTCATCCTAGCGCACCGTCTGCGAAGACTGCTGGAAGCTATGTATTCGCGAACGAGCGTCCTGTATGAGGGATTCGGAGGTCTCCAACCGATGCATTCGCTTCTCCTCGAGTTCCTCTTGAACCCGTCTTAGCTCAGCTTGGAGCTTCTCTAGGAAGCATGATCAGATACGAATCGTAACCATGGGATGCAAGACACACTGGTCTTCTCCTTCAGGGCATTGAAGCGGGATTCCGCAAGCCTAGCGCGTTGAGACTCGCCATCGCGTTCCTGCTGCATGTCGTCACGCTCCCTTTGCGCGGCAGCGACCTTGGTTTCCCATCCCAATGATCGCGCTTGGTAGCCGGTGAGGCGGGATATGGTTGCGCGTGCGTCATCAACTTCTTCAAGTAGGGCCTTGTTTGACGCTTCCGTGACCTCAGCATTGACTAGGGCTTGGTTTAGGCGCTACGGGGTGTCAAGCGATGTTGTTGGTGTGAAGGATGTAGGCGTACCGCTTCTAGGACCGACCTCGATGTCTCGGTCGACTGCGAGTCGGCGGACTGCTGGGTCATGGTTACGTCCGCGGGGTCCTCCGTGGTGTCTGTAGCATCTGTAGATGTGGATGCATTGGAGGCACTACGCCGACGTCGCCTCTTTAGGGAGCGATGGGGTAAGGGGTAGATCGGCGTTCAACGTCAAGTCACTCGCCTCTTCGCGGACGTATGCTTCGTGCCGCTGCAAGAGTGCTTGCCCGACCTCTGCATGGAAGTCAGCAATGCGTCATCATCCGGGGACACGCCACGCACCTGCGCTCAGGATGAGCCTGCTCTCCAGTCGCGCCTTCAGTGCTGCCCACGCCTTCGCATGTTCGCAGTCCTCCCTCCCGCAGCAGCATGAGGCCAGAGGCGGCTCCGGTGACGGCAGCCGCGAGAAATCAGCGAGAGCTTGAGTGAGATCATCGATATTCGTCGTTGCGCGATGGAGGCTATTGGCGAGCACGGACTCCGGGGTCGCGGAGCGCGAAGGGTGATTCATTGGTAGCCAATGTGTGCCGGATATCTGTCTTGTACGCGGTGGAGATAGCTTGTGCAGGGAAAGATGGGAGAGGTATATCAAGTTTGTGCACGTCCAGGTAGAGGACAAGGGGCACCGTGATTGAATGGCGCGCGCCTGTGATTCACATCACGGAGATCCCACGTGTTTTCCACGTGCAACGTACTCCCTCGTCCGTCCACTGTTATCTACTTCAGGAGCGGAAAGTGCTCGTGCGGTCGTGATTGTATCTAGTGAAGGTCATAGTTAGCTACTTTGCGGCGTAAAACTGATGTGGTGAGACCCACGGTACTCACAAGTTCTAACTAGAGTTACATTCCAGCAAGGTCTCTGAGCTCCTCAACCACTTCATTCCCCTTCTCCGCTTTCTTTGAGTAGATATACTCATATGCTGCACGCTAAAGTACAGCCCGATGCTTCCAAATCCTTGGAACCCAAATTTTCGTGGAGTGAATGAAGTTGAACTTGTCACGTGCAAGTTCGGCAACGCCCGGCCTGTGAATCAGACACAGGCGCTCTGGGCGGCTATTTATCCTTCTAAACCTCGAGCTGCGCCCATGTCCAAATGAGAGCTGTGATAAGGCAGTCCTCAATGGCTTCAATAACGGCAAGATGCAAGCAAACGTAGAAATATTGGTGAGCGCGGACGAGACCGACTGCGGGCATGTTCCAGTCGGCGTTGCCGTCGGCATCTGACTCAGAGACAAGTACGCAGCGATAGCGGTGACGCCCCCTGCGTCTCTTGGTTCTTTCCGCCACCAAAGTACAGACTGCCACCATGGAGGCTGAAGAGCGGCAATACGAACCTCACGCTGACGAGGAGTCGCACCTCCTCGACCACTCGCAAAAGCATAGGCACAAGTCGCCGGCGCACTTGAAAAGGCAGTTGGCGATCATCATGCTTCTGCAGATCTGCTCTCCTATAACGAGCCAGTCTATCTATCCGTATATCAATCAGGTGCGTGTACCTCTATCCCACCGTCTGCTACGCTGACCCCTTCTCAGCTTATAAGAGAGATCGGTATAACGGGAGGGGACGACAGAAAAGTTGGTTATTATGCCGGATTAATAGTGCGTCTTTCATGAGCGTTTCCCCTTCGCCGCCACTCACAAAAACATCAGGAATCCCTGTTCTTCGTAACGGAAGCCCTTACCGTGCTTCAATGGAGTCGTATCTCCGACTACATTGGCCGTAAGCCCGTTCTGTTGCTTGGAATGTCCGGCACGATCATCTCCATGCTCTGTTTTGGTCTCTCAAGGACGTTTTGGGAGCTGGTAGTCAGGTGCGTGTGCCGTTTGCAGAAGTTATACTTCCGCTCAGATACCTCCTAGTCGCTGTTTCTGCGGTTTCTTGAATGGCAACATCGGTGTCATGAAGAGTATTATGGGTGACTTGACCGACGCGTCCAATCGCGCGGAGGTATACGCCTATATACCCGTCGTCTGGGGCCTCGGGGCTACGCTAGGGTGCGTATCATCTGCACTGGCCTCTCCTCCTTCTCATCACCTTGCAGTCCCTTCCTCGGTGGCTGGCTTGCGCGCCCGCACGATCGCTGGCCGCGCGCCTTTTCCGCCCAATTCTGGCAAGACTACCCCTACTTCTTCCCCTGCCTCGTCACCGCCAGCTACGTTGTTTTCGCCTTCCTCATCACCGCGTTCTTCTTCCGCGAGGTAAATCCGATTCTTCCTTTGTCTTCCCCCTCACTCACACATTGCCCCAGACCCTCCCCACCCGCCACTCCCTCCTCGCCCGCCTCAAAAAGCATAAGAAGTCCAAGTCACGCTCCTCCTCCTACGGTAGCACCGACTCCCCGGCCCCTGACCCCAAAGACGATCCGCCCGCTTTGCGCGAGCTGCTCACCTTCCCCGTCGTCATCTCCATCGCCAACTACGTTGCCCTCGCCTTCATCGAGAACATGGAGCTCTCGCTTATTCCGCTTTTTCTCGCCATGCCCCTCGAGATCGGCGGCCTCGGCCTTTCGCCGGCGCAGATTGGGTACGTCCTGGGCTCGTACGGCGTGGCGACGAGCGCGTTCCAGGCGCTCTTGTTTGCAAGGATTACGAGAAAGTTGGGCGCGAGGACGGTGTTTGTGATTGGGATGGCGTCGTTCATTCCGATGACGCTGGGTTTCCCGATTATGAGCGTGATGGCGAGGGCGTGGGGTGGGGTGACGATGGGCGTGTGGTTCATGGTGGGGATGTTGGTCCTCATGTTGTGTGTGATGGATCTGGCGTACGGTGAGTACATCCTCAAAGCACGAAACCTCTCGATTCACCTCTGCATGCAGGAACGATCTTCATGTTCGTCACCGCGTCCGTGCCTAATCAAAATGCGTTGGGCGCTACGAATGGTGTTGCCCAAACCTTCGTCTCCATCTCGCGCGCCGTCGGCCCCGCGATGGTCACCTCCATGTACTCCTACTCCCTCGAGCACAACATCCTCGGTGGCAACGCCGTCTACGTCGTCCTCCTTATCATGTGTGTCGCGTCCATCCGCCTCGCGTTCTACCTCCCGCCAAATAATTGGGACGAGATGCCGGAGGAGAGCAACGAGACGAGCGCCCTTGTGGAGGACACGCGCGCGATAGCCCCAGACAGGATAGTCGGCGCTCTTGAGGGAGACAGGGCAGAGGACGTCGCCCACAGGACAGAGTAAATCGCGTATAAGTGCGATGAGTAGAAGGGCAATGACGATGGACTGTAAAGTTAATGTAGGTTACGGCCATTAATGACGCTGACGCTTTAGATGTTAGCTTGTAGATGCGCAATACTAGCAAAGCTTTCGAATGGACTGGCAGTGGGAGGGAGGGAGAAGGGGATGTGTAACGCGGGCGTGGTTGCAGTACACGGTCGACGCGACTGGGTGGCGTATGTCATACGCGCCAAATCGCAATGTAGGTGAGCACCCGCTCCTCCCTCCCAACCATATCTGGGCATCTCTCGCTGCCTCACAACAACCGCTGCTCGACCCCGTTGCCTGGCGATTTCCGCACGACGCTCTGCACCCGACAGTTGCAAACGCAGGCTGCCTACGGTCGCTGGTCAGCTTGACATTGACAGATGGTCGTCTATGGTCGTGTTGCCACAGCTCCTTTTGTCTGGGCTTTCTCACCTCGCTATAGCCGGTGATGCGCCTCCCAACACGCCTTTCAAGCGGTCCCTTATGTGTCCTAGCTGCGGCCCTCGATGATGCAAGTACTCTCGCCTGTCTTCCTTACCCAGGTCCCCTCGTTCCTCGTCCCTTTCGCGGATCGCCTGTGGATGGAACTGTATGCCACTGACTTGCTTTTCCGAGAAATACGCGCTGTCGATGGATGGACTCGTTGCATCACAGGTCCATGCCGTGCCGCCATCTTCATATGACCTCTGCGCCTTATCTATGTCTATTCGATCTGGCCGCCACCGCTGCGACGTGCATCAAGCCCTGTTGAACAGTGGAACACCGGCATTCCTACTTGGGGCTTGAGTGTGGGACCTGCTTGTGGGGATGCATCGTCCGTCCTCATCGCGGGATGCCGCATGCTTTGACGCCCACGCAGCTCACGGTCAGGGCCCAGAAACTCGCTGGAATAGGCTAAGGAGGGCCACCATCTCACAGTAAGCCACAGACATTCCGGCGGAGAAACTGAATTTACAGCTCAAGTTAGAAAGTCAACAAAGCCTGCCAAGTAACACAAGCAAGTGGTCAAGACTGCGAGCGGATGGCTTACTTCGCGCAGCTGGTCGTCGCACCGTGTACCACACCCATACCCTCGTCGTTATTCTACGCGCTTCCGTTTCCCTCACTCAGGGAACGACGGACCAGCCCTTCTTCCTTGGCTGCCCTCTGCCGCATCCTTCTCCCGCTGGCCCTTACGTCCACCATCGGGCTCTCAAGATTAAACTTCGACTCTCACGATGACGAGTTGTACCCTCCGGCTTCCTCCTCGAAGTTTGCGCATCGTGCAGGGTTTGTGGGCGACCTTCGAGGCCTTGAAACTCGGCGCTTAACGAGCCCTCGAGGCCACCGCGAGGGGCGACCCTGCTATCGCTACTGCTCCCGGACACGCATGTTGACCTTCTTTCCCGATTTCTGGACCCCGGAACCGATCCCAAGTCCCTCAGTAACGCGTGTAAACGTGAGAAACCGGTTTGGGATCAATCACAATTAGCGGCCTCAGTGATGTTCTGGAGTCTGCGGTGTTCCCTGCCGCCACCTTCCCCGCCAAGCTGCGCCCGATGCTCGCCCTCACCGTGCCCAGCGAATCCCTCGCCACCGTCCGCGATGAGCTTCCAGCAGGACGGGTGGCACAGGGTGGCACATTGGTGGCAAACCTGCGGCAAAGACCGACTTGCACGCAGTTGCCGGTGCCGCCGGCAACGGTTTAATGAATTTAAATGAGACCCCAGCGGCCCCACGCACGTGGTCGGCACACGGCGTTCCCCGATTCCGTCAATCGTGTCCTGTCCTCAACCATATCTATCCGGTCGCTATCTCGCTGACGATGTTGCCTGAGCTCCCCATGGACGAGGAGCTGTCGCCTTTCCCAATGACATCTATACCAGCGCGAGGCTCGGACGAGTAAGCTTCATGAAAATCCCAATTCAGACGCGGAGCCTCGCCGTGCGGACTCGGAAGTGCGAGAATTCGGAACTCAGATCTTGCGTCCGTCGGGGCGCCAGATCCATTTCAAAAGCAACCCGCCGGCCTTGATGGCTTCGTGTGAGCATCATGGACTGCTGTACGGCCTGGGCTCCTTTTATAACTGGGCTCGAAAGCATCGGGCAGCCCTGGCTTTTCTCCACGCAGTCCCCCGTCTCCCACCTAACCTCTGGCGACCTCTCCCGTTCCATGGTCGTGCAACGTGCCCACGATGCACTTTGCGCGGCACGCGCTACCATCATACAATGTCTACACACGGGCTACCTCTTCAGCAAGTCCGATGTCGTCCCCATCCTTGGTCCAGTGGTATGCTGTCGAGCACGTCGTCCGCTCTTGACATCCCCCTCATCTCGACATGTGTAGTTGTGCATGAGCACAGTGCTCGTCGGCCCGACCGATCCACTCGCGTTTTCGGAAGGCTTTGTCTGGGTCGAGCTGCACCTTATGGCCTTCGAGGTGCGTCACGTTCCTCGTGTCACGTCGTCCGACGAGCTCATCAACCCTTCTCTGCAGACAAAGAATCAAGTGAGGCTGCGCTCGCTCTTTCCTCCGCAGTTCCGACCCTGACGTGGCTCGCGGCAGATCGTCGGCCTCGACGAAGACAAGCTTTCCAAGCCCGATCGGCCTATTCCATCTGGGCGCATCAGCCCTGAGTCGACGCAGATCCTTTACGTCTGCCTCGTGCTAGCGTCCCTCTTGATGAGCGCTCGGCACGGCCTTCTAGTGCCAAGCGCTATCTATCTTGCTGCGATTGTCGCGTACAACGAGTGCAGTCTCGCCCGTAACTGGTTCTTCAAGTCAGTGCTATCTGCTATCGGCTATGTCTGCTACACCTGGGGAATGTGTGTCTGCTTCGGTACGTCTCTCTCCGACTTTTGCTATGTACTCAATCTGACTGACGCCGCCGGACAGACCACGACCGACCGCTCTCCCGCCTGTCCTTGATGGCACTCGTCATGACGGGGGCGATCTTCGCGACAACCGTTAGCGCATATCCTTTTCGTCAGATAGTCTATATCCTGACCTAGCGCGTCTTCCTATCTAGGGCCAGGCACAGGACTTTCGCGACCGCGAAGGCGATGCCGCCATCGGACGCAAGACACTCGCGCTCCTCCTTCCTCAGGCTGTCGGCCGCTGGTCCCTCGGCGCGCTGCTTGTTGCTTGGACGGGCGTGCTCGTGTGGTTCTGGATGCCACCCGCGACGTTCAGCTGCGCGCTCCTCGCGCTCGCGATAACCACCACCAGCGTCTTCGTATCGGACTACTCGCACGAGTCCGACCGCCGCGGGTACTGGTGGTACAACGTGCGTTTTCTTCCTTTTCTTTCGCCGTTCGTCGCGCTGATCTCTTCCTCTTGCTCTTCTAGATGTGGCTGATATCCTGCCACGCGCTCCCGATTTTCCACCGCCTTCGTGGCTAGGTCCTGTAAACCCCGCGTTTTTCGTGCCTCCATCACCCCAGCCTCATCACTCATCTCAACCGCCTCACTTCGCAAGACTCATCTCACAACACTCACCACACCCATCTCACAATCCTCACCCCTCCCCTCGCAACGCAAGAAACTTACCGCATCCGGACAGTCCTTGCCTAATCCGCATAATCCCTTCCCCTTCGTGTACAGACCTCTTCCTCGCTCTGGGACTCACGCTCGTTATCTCGCTCTCCGCACTCGCTTGCTTTTTTGTGGATCTCGCACGCTCCCCATGGCTCTCATGGACCTCGTACACCATCGCATCGTATCTCTCGCTCCCCGTGGAGACCACATTCTTCCTGTACCGCATATTTTGGAAGGCCCGTTTATGTTTATTCTGCATAGTAGCTAGCTACGCGCTCCTGTACATGTGTGTATGATTTACCTCCGCCGCGACGTACCACTACACTACCTATTTACTTCGAGGCTATAGCTCTCGTACGGCGAGTCTAGTGCTCGTACTGCGGGCGCATAGCACTCGTACTTCGAGTTTATAAGACTCGAACGGGGCTCCTATGAGCCCCTCTACACGCTCTATACTATCTGACTCGCATTTGGTCGAATCTAACATCTTGTCCTCGAAGGAATATGGGAGAGGGACTACTGCCGGACTCAAGAAAGGATTTGTCGACGGACGTTGGTAAGGGGTACTATGACTAGTAGCCATGATCAATTCTAAAAATCCCGAAATGCCGCGAAATTCCCGAAATGGAAAGAGGTCGCGCGCGCGCGCGTTCGTCGCCCTCTTCGCCCGTTTCCTCCATCCTCGAGCCTCGTAGCACATCATATAATACACGACAAACATCTATAATTCTTTGTTGACCCTAATCTGCATAAATGGTATAGTCCCTAGTCATATGAGTGCCGATATGTCAGTGACAATGGGACAGAATGGTCTTGACCTTCTCTCCAACGCAGCATCTCAGCTGTCCACCGCGCCACCTCCCGGGGGCCTGGAGGAGGGTCTCAGGACTCCCCTCAACGACATTACCCAGCCGAACGCCTCCCAGAAGCGCCCCCCATCCCCTCCTTTGACCGACACAACCCCTGCACCGAAGCGCCCGCGACGCACCTGTACCCAGCCAAAACCGGCAGCTTCGCCCCCCGAGCCCCCCACACCTACACCTCGAAAAAAGCGCGGACGTCCTCCGAAGAAGAGGGAAGAGGGACAGCAGCCCAAACGCGCGCCGGGACGCCCTCGCAAGGACAAGCCAGCTGCGAGCGCGGTGACCACGCCGAACGCGAATCAAGCGCTACTCGCGGCATCCCAGTCGGGTCTCGGGCGATCGGAGACGGTGAAGAATTCGCCCGCGACGCCCTCTATCGACCGCCCTCCCTCGCCAGGTGTCGCGTCCAACAAGCAATCCACCGCCGGTCGAGCGATCGGCCAGCCCTTCCCTTCGATCAACTTCATCTCCTACACCCCCTCCTCGTTCGACTTCGGCTCTCCCCCACCCCTAGATCCACCAAACAATTCCTTCTCGTTCAGCAATCTCCCTTCCCCTGTGGTCGCCTCTGGGGCTGCTTCCCTGGCGGAGGAGCAGCACACCGCAGCTTCTGTTGAGGGAGCCGTCCCAAAGCCCTCGCAAAAGCAGCGGAAGTACTCAGTCGCTGACAAGAGCGCCCTCCTCGAAGTCGTCCTTGGCGACAACGTGAATGGCGACAAGATCTTCGACAAACTTCAGGTCGCCTCGAACAAAGTCTGGCGCATGGTACGTCTGCCCCCTGTCGCACGGGACGGTGCCTAATATCGCTTCAGGTGCTCGAGGCTCTTGGCGGGAAGCTTCCCAGTGGTCCTGTCACTGAGAAGCAACTCGGCAGCCTCTACAACACGCTTCTTACGACGTTCAAGCAACTCTACGAGTTCCGTAACTTCACGGGCCGTGGTGCTGATGCGGACGACTACGACTGGGACGACGAAGATGGTCTCGCATTGCATCTCCGCAACTCGAAGAGCAAGGGGTGTGCGATCGACAATCTCAATGCGGCAAACAGTCGCTTGTTCGTGCGTAAAGGCTGGTACGATCTCTTCGTCAATCGGTAAGGTCTCATTGTTCCCAGTATGTCCTTGTATATTGACTTCTTTCAGCTACAAGGACAACTGTAAGGGGACCAGCCGGGAGTGGCCGAGTGGAGACGGTAGCGGAGACGAGGCTAACGTCTAGGCAGCCATGGTCCCCGGACAGCCACACCACCTAGAGGGAGGCGTGACGTCTTAGAAGGGTGAAGAGCGTCACGGTGGACGAGGGAGAGGATCGACGGTGATGGCGGGTCGTGACCGACGATAGAAGAGGGAGTAGGGTAGGGCGTAGCTCGGTAGAGAGAGGAGGGCAGGCGTACTGAATACCACTACACAGTGGACCCATGCGTGAGCCATACATGGGGGGCGCCCACGAGTAGGGTGCCCGGTAGGCAGTGCCGCCAGCGCCTACACGAGGTGGAGGGTAGTGACGAGGGGGCGGCGTCACTAGGGTAGTGGAGAGGCGTATCGGCCAGAGACGCGGCCGGTGGTGGTGATCGGTGGAGGGCGACACCGATCGGAAGGAGGAGGGGGCGCGGTGCAGCGTCAGGATCGAGGGGGGTAGCCTTGATCGACGAGGTGGGGAGAAGGCGCACTGGGGAGGGCGCCGAGAGATGCCCTACGCCGGAGGAAGCGCAAGGAGCAGCGCTGAGACCGGACGTACCACGGCGAGCATGAGCTCCAAGCCAGTGGGGGAAGGGATGACACGATGGATGACGGCATCGGTCAGGGAAGGGGGGTGCGACCAGGACGAGTGGCCAGCGAGGCGAGGGGAGGTGAGCCCACAACGGACCGATGGGAGCGGAAGGCCTGACGAGGGGTGGTACTCCCAAAGGTACGCTTCCCACTGCTGCCAGGGCGGACGACCAACTAGGCCACACCGGGGAACGAAGGGGAAACACACCAGAGCGGGAGGCGAGGGGTGCCACGGCGTACAGGGAGGGCCGTTCCCCGGAGTACTAGCACCACAACCGCTGCAGGGGCGCGGGCGTAGACCAAGCCTGAGGACGCAACCCAAGCCAAGGGAGGCGGGCTCGCTAGGAGGCGGCAGAGGCAGCCGAGGGTGTGGAAAGCCCAAGGCGGCAAGGAGGGGATGGGGCGATCATCGATGGGCGACGCCCACCGTAGCCAACGACGAGCGTTTCTGGATTAGAGAACTCCCAGAGGTTAACTAAGAGCCAGGCGTAGGGGCGCGAGCTAGGCGAGCGGGGAACCAAGGTATATTAGCAGGGAACAGTAACCAGTAAGTACCAACACACCTAGGCGAGCGGGGAACCAAGGAGATCAAACCCAAAGGATCTCCTGATGCCCACTGCCTGTATATATACTGTAGCTATAGTAATCAAGGGGATAGGAGATAACTACTACAGTCATCAGGTCACAAGATCGGTGAGCGATGATGGTGCGATAAGGCGCCATACAGTAGTGGTGGTGGGAGACAGGTAGAGTACTGGCAATGTCCAGGAAGGGGGAAGGAATAAATAAGAGAAAGGGAAAGGGGGAGGTCACCAGAGGGAGAGGAGGAGAAGGGAAGTAGGAGATATAAGGGAAACACACCAGGAATGAGTCATAGGTAATGACTGATGGGGGGCGTCAACACATGCAAACACCATCAGTCCACAAACCAAACAAGACCAAACCAGTTGAGTCCACATCACGCTTGTGGGCGCTTGTGGGTGGCGTGGATATCCCCTGACATCACCCCCTCTCTAGGGCGCGACGTCCCGACGCGCAAGGCCAGCACAAGAGAAAGGGAGGACCCCCTCACTAGGCGCGGCGCAAGGCGACGACCGGGGTGGTGGGCGGGTGAAGGAGGATGGAAAGGATAAGGGAGGGGGGGAGGGAAAAAGAGGCCTCAAAGGGCACCTCCCGCTGGTCGGATGCTAAGACTACTAGAGTCGTCGCAACCTCCCGTTGGTCAGTTGCTCCTCCAAGATGGTCGCGTACCTCCCTTTGGTCGTTACACTCCCTATACCCTTTCACCCCTTCACTAAGGTGCCGCGTCCCGAGGCACTAAGGCGACCAGGTGCACACCCAAGAAGGTGAAGAAGGGTGGGTGGGCGAGGAAAAGAGCGCGCGGAGGCGCCCTGCCCAACTGTCCAACATGGCGTAGACCGGCGACGATGAGGGTGACGACGGTGAAGGCGGATGGAAAGAGGGCGCGAAGCAGTCATGTGACAGTGGCCTGTCCCTCGCTGGATGCAGGCGGCTCACTGAGGATGAAGGTGGTGGAGGTGGCGACCGGGTAAGGTGACGAGAGGCCTAGCGGGGCGACGGGGTTCTCCATTCCGTCTAGCAGGTCGACCTGAACATCAACAGAACCAGTGGCGCACGGCGCGGGGGGAGGAGTGCCAAGAGCAGAGAGAGGACGGACCATCCAAGTTGTTTGTCCCATGGTGGCGGCATACCCCACAGCGAGGAGAGGGTCCCGAAGAAGAAGGAATAAATAGTGGCCTTCGTCTGCTGAAGGGGGTGCTCCATCCCACGTCACTCGTCAGAGTCAGAACTCGACGAACATCCCCACATGACTGTAAGGGCGGCCGTCTTGAGGTAGACGGCCAGACGGTGGCGGCAAAGACGGGTGAACCCCAGGGCGACGTTGCCGGTTACTGCACAATGCCGATGGGCAGGCTGGCAGCCTCGTCGCGGGGTAGAGAGCCGTCCTGAAGCCGTGGCGACCAGCACGTCAGTAGGTTGCTCAAGCCTACTAAACGCGGTTGACGGTGGCCGCCCTCCAACCTAGCGATGTCCGCCAATCCCCAAGTGGCGATGACCGCTTCAGTCATGCGCGACCACACCAGAGGCTCAGTCAACACCATCTAGCCATGCGGGCAGCTCTGGGCTGGCTTCCTAACTGCGCGATGGGTGACGAGAGTGTGGTGGGGCCAACCGAAGTCCACAAGAAGAGGGGAGGAGGTAGCCGGAGAAGGAGGATCACCACATCGGCTACACTTGCCTAAGGCGCAGTCGATGGGCATGGCGTAACGTAGCCATCCAAGGGAAACTCAGAGGGCGAAAGCGGCAACACAAACACCACCAAGCAGCCGGGTAACCCGATGGTGTAGCGAAGCGGCAGTGGCCATGAGTGACCTTGACGCCAGTCGGGCACACTGGAGCGGAAGGAGAGGCAGAGTGGTGAGGCAAGGCGGGGAGCGGTACTGGGCACCGCTCGCAACCTAACGCCTGGGATGGGAGAGACACCACAAGGCCAAGGGGACCTGACATGCACGGCAGAGAGGGCGAAGTGGGAGTAATCTCAACCACATGAGCGCGCCATCAACAGTGCAGGCCAAGCACTCAGGACAATGAGAGTGGCCGTCCCAGAGAGGGAGCTCAACGCAGCAAGGGGCTACGGAGTACGACCAGACGTCCCAGTGAAGCGGAGAGATGGAGAGTGTGTAAGGGGACCAGCCGGGAGTGGCCGAGTGGAGACGGTAGCGGAGACGAGGCTAACGTCTAGGCAGCCATGGTCCCCGGACAGCCACACCACCTAGAGGGAGGCGTGACGTCCTAGAAGGGTGAAGAGCGTCACGGTGGACGAGGGAGAGGATCGACGGTGATGGCGGGTCGTGACCGACGATAGAAGAGGGAGTAGGGTAGGGCGTAGCTCGGTAGAGAGAGGAGGGCAAGCGTACTGAATACCACTACACAGTGGACCCATGCGTGAGCCATACATGGGGGGCGCCCACAGGTAGGGTGCCCGGTAGGCAGCGCCGCCAGCGCCTACACGAGGTGGAGGGTAGTGACGAGGGGGCGGCGTCACTAGGAGAGTGGGGAGGCGTATTGGTCAGAGACGCGACCGGTGGCGGTGATCGATGGAGGGCGACGCCAATCAGAAGAAGGAGGGGGTGCGGTGCAACGCCAGGATCGAGAGGGGTAGCCCCGATCGGCGAGGTAGGAAGAGGGTGCACTGGGGAGGGCGCCGAGAGATGCCCTACGCTGGAGGAAGTGCTAGGAGCAGCGCTGAGACCAGACGTACCACGGCGAGCATGAGCTCCAAGCCAGTGGGGGAAGGGACGACACGATGGATGACGACATCGGTCAGGGAAGGGGGGTGCAACCAGGACGAGTGGCCAGCGAGGCGAGGGGAGGTGAGCCCGCAACGGACCGATGGGAGCGGAAGGCCTGACGAGGGGTGGTACTCCCGAAGGTACACTTCCCACTGCTGCCAGGGCGGACGACCAACTAGACCACACCGGGGGACGAAGGGGAAACACACCAGAGCGGGAGGCGAGGGGTGCCACGGCGTACAGGGAGGGCCGTTCCCCGGAGTACTAGCACCACAACCGCTGCAGAGGCGCGGGCGTAGACCAAGCCTGGGAACGCAACCCAAGCCAAGGGAGGCGGGCTCGCTAGGAGGCGGCGGAGGCAGCCGAGGGTGTGGCAGGCCCAAGGCGGCAAGGAGGGGATGGGGCGATCATCGATGGGCAACGCCCACCGTAGCCAACGACGGGCGTTTCTGGATTAGAGAACTCCCAGAGGTTAACTAAGAGCCAGGCGTAGGGGCGCGAGCTAGGCGAGCGGGGAACCAAGGTATATTAGCAGGGGAACAGTAACCAGTAAGTACCAACACACCTAGGCGAGCGGGGAACCAAGGAGATCAAACCCAAAGGATCTCCTGATGCCCACTGCCTGTATATATACTGTAGCTATAGTAATCAAGGAGATAGGGGATAACTACTACAGTCATCGGTCACAAGACCAGTGAGCGATGATGGTGCGATAAGGCGCCATACAGTAGTGGTGGTGGGGGAACAGGTAGAGTACTGGCAGTGTCCAAGAAGGGGGAAGGTATAAATAAGAGAAAGGGAAAGTGGGAGGTCACCGAAGGGAGAGGAGGAGAGAGGAAGTAGGAGATATAATGGAAACACACCAGGGATGAGTCATAGGTGATGACTGATGGGGGTGTCAACACATGCAAATGCCATCAGTACCATACACCAAACAGGACCAAACCGATTGAAGACCAGTCACGCTTGTGGGCGCTTGTGGGTGGTGTGGATATCCCCTGACAGAGTGCATCTCCTCGCCTTGAACCACCAAGGGAGTAGCGGTACAACGTCGGGTCCGTGGACGCAGGCGGACGAGATCAGGAGGGGGTTTGATCTGCTGTAAGGGGACCAGCCGGGAGTGGCCGAGTGGAGACGGTAGCGGAGACGAGGCTAACGTCTAGGCAGCCATGGTCCCCGGACAGCCACACCACCTAGAGGGAGGCGTGACGTCTTAGAAGGGTGAAGAGCGTCACGGTGGACGAGGGAGAGGATCGACGGTGATGGCGGGTCGTGACCGACGATAGAAGAGGGAGTAGGGTAGGGCGTAGCTCGGTAGAGAGAGGAGGGCAGGCGTACTGAATACCACTACACAGTGGACCCATGCGTGAGCCATACATGGGGGGCGCCCACGAGTAGGGTGCCCGGTAGGCAGTGCCGCCAGCGCCTACACGAGGTGGAGGGTAGTGACGAGGGGGCGGCGTCACTAGGGTAGTGGAGAGGCGTATCGGCCAGAGACGCGGCCGGTGGTGGTGATCGGTGGAGGGCGACACCGATCGGAAGGAGGAGGGGGCGCGGTGCAGCGTCAGGATCGAGGGGGGTAGCCTTGATCGACGAGGTGGGGAGAAGGCGCACTGGGGAGGGCGCCGAGAGATGCCCTACGCCGGAGGAAGCGCAAGGAGCAGCGCTGAGACCGGACGTACCACGGCGAGCATGAGCTCCAAGCCAGTGGGGGAAGGGATGACACGATGGATGACGGCATCGGTCAGGGAAGGGGGGTGCGACCAGGACGAGTGGCCAGCGAGGCGAGGGGAGGTGAGCCCACAACGGACCGATGGGAGCGGAAGGCCTGACGAGGGGTGGTACTCCCAAAGGTACGCTTCCCACTGCTGCCAGGGCGGACGACCAACTAGGCCACACCGGGGAACGAAGGGGAAACACACCAGAGCGGGAGGCGAGGGGTGCCACGGCGTACAGGGAGGGCCGTTCCCCGGAGTACTAGCACCACAACCGCTGCAGGGGCGCGGGCGTAGACCAAGCCTGAGGACGCAACCCAAGCCAAGGGAGGCGGGCTCGCTAGGAGGCGGCAGAGGCAGCCGAGGGTGTGGAAAGCCCAAGGCGGCAAGGAGGGGATGGGGCGATCATCGATGGGCGACGCCCACCGTAGCCAACGACGAGCGTTTCTGGATTAGAGAACTCCCAGAGGTTAACTAAGAGCCAGGCGTAGGGGCGCGAGCTAGGCGAGCGGGGAACCAAGGTATATTAGCAGGGAACAGTAACCAGTAAGTACCAACACACCTAGGCGAGCGGGGAACCAAGGAGATCAAACCCAAAGGATCTCCTGATGCCCACTGCCTGTATATATACTGTAGCTATAGTAATCAAGGGGATAGGAGATAACTACTACAGTCATCAGGTCACAAGATCGGTGAGCGATGATGGTGCGATAAGGCGCCATACAGTAGTGGTGGTGGGAGACAGGTAGAGTACTGGCAATGTCCAGGAAGGGGGAAGGAATAAATAAGAGAAAGGGAAAGGGGGAGGTCACCAGAGGGAGAGGAGGAGAAGGGAAGTAGGAGATATAAGGGAAACACACCAGGAATGAGTCATAGGTAATGACTGATGGGGGGCGTCAACACATGCAAACACCATCAGTCCACAAACCAAACAAGACCAAACCAGTTGAGTCCACATCACGCTTGTGGGCGCTTGTGGGTGGCGTGGATATCCCCTGACAACAACCCAAAGGTTATACGACCGGTTGCCCGTTCTTCAGCTGCAGAGCTCAGCGAGGTGGACGACTTCGACGAAGACGACGAGGTCGAGCTCGTTCCGTCACCGACCAAATCACGTCTGCCCAAGTCCGAGAAGTTGCCGGCATCTGCTACTGTCTCCGAGCCAAAGGGGGCCCCTCGCCGTGGCCGGCCCCGTAAGGATGCCAAGGAGCAGACAAAGATCGACACCTCTGGACTCAATACTTACTTCGAGGTCATGGCGAAGTCGGAGGAGCAGTCCGCCGCTCTACGCCAACAGAGATACGAGCGCGTGGCGATAGAGAAGAAGGTTGACTTGGCGCAGAAGATCATTGACGGTGAACGTGCGTCCCCTGGTACATATACCTTCCAGGTTGTGGATAACGCCAATCGCATCTTGGCCGAATTCCTTTCCCTTGGCTTTGGTGATTCCTAAACATACACGTACACCCTCCTTTACTTTTATCTGCATACCCTACTTCAATTCGTTTAATTCCTTGGTTCAGTGTGATTTCTACTACTGGTAGTTTGCCATAGGGCATACAATGTCAAGAAGTTCCCGCCGCTTCTGATGCCCTGCAGTTCGGAGCCACGCTACAGTCTCGTGGCGTGGAAGGTCTGAGGGACCATGCACATCAACTCCTGTGACTGTCGGCACGTCCTCCTCCTCCTCCTCTTCCTCCTCATCTGTATCATCCCCCTCCTCGTTAGCTGCTAGAATGACTTCAGCATACTCGTCGAATGCCTCCGGATGATCCTTGTGATAGAGGCATAAGTTGTGCAGGATTAGCAATGCCTCAATCACCCGCCATACATCTTGCACATCATCATGGTAGCCCATGAGACGGAGTGAATGAAAGCGCATCTTGAGCACTCCGAAGGCATGTTCAACGGTGACGCGTTGCTTGGACAACAGTTTGTTGAAGTCGATCATCCGTCTCCGCTCCGTGTTGGATGTAGCATTTGCCAACTCCTTGTTGCTGAAAGGATGGACGGTGTACGGAGAGGAAGGATAACCTATGAAGGAGTCAGATCATGTCAAGCGGAAACGCCAAGATAGAAGTGCAGTCACCCTTGTCAGCCAGGATATAGTGGCCGTCCTTCAAGTACTGATTCCGATGAAGCCAAATGTGCGAGTTTTTGAATACTCGTGCATCTGTTACGCTTCCAGGCCACCCAAGCTCCCAAGATGTGAACCAGATCTCTGCGTCAACCGTAGCTTGCACGGCAAAGCCAAAGAACCCTTTACGGGTCAGGTAAGCTGGGCCGTCCTGACGAGGCTTGTCGGTTGTTTGGATAAGGGAGCCGTCGGCACTTCCAAGGCACTTCGGGAATCCGATACGATGAAGAATCCTCTCCTCCGTCACGCTCTGCTCAACATCAGTCATCCAACCCCCAAAATTGCTACGCAATTCACGGAGGGCACGGATGACTCGACGGCAGTAGAGGATGACTGTGCCATACCCAATGCCGGTCTTGAGCATGGTATCGGTGATTGGTGATCCATACTGGCCGTATCGAATGAGAAAGCAGCCCAACTGCCACTTGATATGTCGCTGCGGCTTCTTCCCCTTCGACGTGAAGATCGGATTGCGCGAAAGGATCTTGACAACTTTGTCAAAGGTAGTACGGCTCAGGCTATCAGAAGTCAGCCACAGATATAGAACATTTCTCAGGGACTGACCGAAATACATGTCTGAACTCACGATCAGGCATCTGCAGTGCAAGCGTGAACCAGTCACGAGACTTCTGCACCTGTCCATATGGCCCACGTGCCCCGGATTCACTGCAAAGGGTCTGCGCCATCTCAATCCATGTCCACCCCATAGCCCGAAGTGCCATTGTTGCCTTGTTATGATCTTCGTGATCTTCGGGATCTTCATCGTCATCAAGCCCAGTACGATCCTTGATATCTGGCTCTTCATCGTCAAAATCAGGGTCAAGGTCGACGCTGGAGGTGTGTTCCATCATGTCTGCTGCAATGAAGATCTGGGATGCAAAGTCGACGAGATTCTGCGCGTCCATGTTCTGAAGATCGTGGTGGTTGATGACAAGGTGGCGATGCTGATCATAATGGGGAAGTCAAGGCGCTTTTGGGGGTGTCCCCACTGTACAAAGCCAGATTTTTTGTCATATCATGCTTCAGACACATTTATCATGGTTTTTCGTGTATTATATGATGTGCTACGAGGCTCGAGGATGGAGGAAACGGGCGAAGAGGGCGACGAACGCGCGCGCGCGCGACCTCTTTCCATTTCGGGAATTTCGCGGCATTTCGGGATTTTTAGAATTGATCATGGCTAGTATGATCAGTAAGGCAATCATCGAAGGCCTGCAGGGTGTCTCTGGCTGCGATTCAAGCGCGACCTCGTACACCGTAGAGTTGATTTCAATATATCGTCCGAGCCCGAACGCGTCGGTGTTACGGTGCGCCACTGCGACCAGGTTATCAAAGACTAAAATACAAGTTGAGCAATTCCTATGGGTCGGCGCTGGCACTAGAAGCAACGTATGCAAGAGAATAGCATCGACCCTGGCAAGCGATATCTATACTTCATAGCTAAGCAAATGGCGGCGTCTTCATCCAGCAACTTCATCGCAATGAATATTTGGTGCAGGCGCAGGTATAGCAGAGCATCATATTGTGAAAACCGTCGTCAGGTCGTAAGAAGAAACATCCACGGTGTACATAAATAAGTACAAGGGCATGACAAGCAGCATTATTCAGCACAAAGGCGGGCAAGTATACAAGTACAAGACGCGTACGTATGAGCGAACGCAAATGAAATCCAAGTAGAGGAAATACGGAAGATACTTCAGAAAATTAGAGGGTAAAAGGGGCATAACGCGAGCACGAAGAAGACGGGAAGTCGACTGCTTAGACCTCTGACATGCTGTTGAGAAGGCCTGCGCGGCTGACAGCGCCGACACCGCCCTGGGAGTCTCCCGGCGCAGACTCGCCGCTCTGCGACTGGATGAGGCCGGCGTTGACGCCAGAGCCGGAGCCGCTGGCCTGCATTTGGCCGACAACATCGCTCTGCAGCTGCATCGGCACGAAGACGACCTTGCTGTTTGCCGAGCGCGCCATTTGCTGCACTGTAGATCGTGTCAGTGCCGAACTCCCTTCCTATACAATTATAAATGCACTCACATGCTTCCAGCTGCCGGATCTGCATGGCAGCCGGTGACGCCAAGATATCCGCCGCCTGCCGCATCAAGCGTGCCGCGTCGACCTCTGCCCTCGCCGCAATGACCTTACTCTCACCCAAGCGCTTCTGCTGCGCGGCGGACGAAAGACTTGCCGCGACCTCGGGCGAGAAGATGATGTCCTTGATGAGGATGCCCTCGATGGAGACACCCCACTTGTCCGCGACGTCGCCGACGATCTCGGCAATTTCGAAGGCGATGGCCTCGCGCTCGGTGACGACGGACTGGACGGCGCGCGCACCGACGACGTGGCGGAGAGTGGTCTGCGCGCGCTCGATGAGGGCCTGGCGGAGGTCGCTGATGCCGAAGGCAGCGCGGTAGGGGTTGGTGATCTGGAAGTAGATGACGGAGTCGCTGGGAGGAAATTAGTTGGCTATGCGCTTCAAGCAAGCGGAGCAAACTTACATCTCGACGTTGACATTGTCGCGCGTGCTGATGACAAGTCAGCACTGGGTTTATAGAGCGTTATTAGAACTAAAAGTGCGTACATGACGGTCTGCCTCCCAATTGGGCTGATTTGAATCTTGACGTCCACGATCTTGATGTCCTCCGTGCAGACATTGAGCTGGACGAGGCCTGGGTCCACCGACTTGTAAAATTGGCCGAAGCGCGTGACGAGACCAACAGACCCTATAAACATAGCTCGTGTGAGAAGGGAAGGAAGAAAAGGTATTGAGGTGGCAACGTACCCTGCTGGACGTTCTTGAACGGGTTGGGGCAGGGGCAGCAAGGGATTGCGCCTAGGAAACCGACAACGCCACCAAGGCAGTTGATCATGGATCCGTAGAAGCCATGCTCGACCTGACAGGGGGGAAAGAAGGTGTAAGGATAGTGCATGTGGGAAGTAAACAGCACATACTTCTCCTACACCCAAGTCCTGCGCGTATGAGGGCTGCATCTCAGACCGCTTGAGGGGCTGCACATTGATGAGGTGGTTCCTTCGTGCGCCCCCCTGCATCGACGTGCGCGGGGGAGCCTCATCCGTGACTGCTCGACCGCTCAGTAAGCGCCCATCTCAGACCTATCATTCCCCCTCACTCACCATGTGGCGCCGCGTGGTCGACGACGTTTCCATCCTCCGAGCCCGACGACGGGTGGCGATCCTTGCGGTCGATAGAAGACATGCTGTTCCCTGTGGCTGGCGGTCGTCGACCGTGGTTGTAGGAGCCAAGCTGTCTGGGCCGCGGCTTTATATCTCACACCGTGATCCAGTATGCTGTGCTGGCGCATCATCACATGTCTCCGAGCGCCAATTGCCCCTTTCGCACGGCCTATTCAACAGCTTTTGGGCCACTCGGCGCCTCTCCGACTTCACCGTCTTCCCGAGATGCTCCTATACACGCGTGGAGGGAAGGGAACTTGCGCGCCGGAGACGGACGGGTGGCACAAAGGATTGGAAAAGGGAGGCATGCTCGTCTAACTGACGCGAACCGCCCCGGTCCCAATGCCGATCGTGGCGCGCATCGGGCTTTATGGTCGGGGGGCTACTGTCAACATATCTCCAACTCTGCACGAACTCCACACCCTCAGACGTATATATCCCGTAGGTGTCGGGACGTTTCAAGGACGAGTTCTCAATCCCCTACACATTAGAGCCTGGAAATTGGCTAGACGTCGGTCAGCTCTACTTTGCCATACGTATACACTCAACACCTTTCTGAACCTATGACACCCCATTACTCATACGCGCACTGCCTCGAACAAGAAGGGCATCAAGAAACCATATGTCAGCGAAAAGAGCGCGTTCGCAGCGAGGCGACACGATGCCAATCATGATACCCAGAGGTCCAGTACTCCCGAGTCACCTCATGCACGTTCATCGCCTCTCAACAGCTTCAGAACGAGGGTCTGATATGGGCTTGTCGCCTAAGTCTTCGTTGTCTTTCGCCTCGACGATCGTCGTAGTGCGCTCGTGTCTCCCGCAGGCCGGTCGTCCTCCGCCTTCCTCTTTCTGCCGCGCCCCGAAGCGTTCTTTGGGCCACTATCCTCTTCCTTCTCATCGTCATCTTCCTCCTCTTCGTCCTTCGCCGCCTTCTTCCTCGCTCCCCCTTTCGCGCCTCCCGCCTTCTTCGCCTGCGCCAGCTTCTTCGTCGCTACTTGCTCTTCCCATCCTCCCTTCTCCGCCATGGCCTGGATCGTATTCCACGCCGGCTCCTCGACGCGCTGCACGCTGAGCCGACCGCGCGTGATGAGAGCCATGCCTGTGATCAGTCAGTAACCTGGACCACTTCCGCCGACGACAGAATTGCGTTCGTGTTTACAGACTGAGGTCACTGCGCTCGCACCCATCAGCTCGAGAGCCGCCTCCACACACACCTTTGATCGCTTCCACGCCCTCATTCCCAACATACGGCACCCCAGCCGCCTCAGCACTCCCTGCAGACGCTATGGTCCGTAAGAGGGACAGCGGGACGAGGTGGGTAGCTCGCGATACGAAGGTGACGTTGGGCATGAACCATTTGGGTGAGTCCTTGTTAGTCTTCTGAGAGAGAGGTCAGCGCCGCGACGAAGGTCGCTCGGTCATGGTAGAGGAAGGTCAGGCGGGATAGAGGGATATCGACCAGGATGGAGAAGGCGACGGCTAGTAAGGGAAGACGTAAGACAGGACTCACCGGGTCGTAATATGGATGGTCGCTAGCGTCAAGCGTCAGAGTAGGCCGCAGGATGAGCGGTGGTGCTCACGGGTCCCAAGCGGTATCTGTGTGACCCTTTGAGCGACTCGTGCAGGACTGAAACCATCTGAGGAGCCACTTACAGTCTGGGTACGCTTCTTTGCTAATCTGAAGTGGCACCGCCGTTAGAATATATTTATAGGAAATAGAACTTCTCGGAGCTCACTTCGGCGAAGCCAGCAATGCCTGTACAAATGGATTAGAGTGCTATCCGGCGAACGCGATGTCCAACACACCAGGATTCTTGCAATTCGAATGGTAGAAGAGCACCTGCGTCCGGACGTGAAGTCTTTCCTTTCTCCCTCCATAGTTAACACGAGTCTACCTTGTCCCCAACCTTCATCTCCCGCAACAAATTTCTCGCCTCGTAATTGCGCACACCTTCCCAAGGTGACGTTTTGACCGCCTCGAAATCGTCTACGCTGAACTGCTCATTTCTTCAGCATTCCTGTACATTGACGACGTTAGAAATCCGGTACACACCTTCACGTCCTTCCCCTTCACCACACGCGAGTCCGGCTCGGCCTTCAGAAGCCAGTACTTGGTGGACATGATGGACAAGTTCAACGTTGGAAGGGCGCGTTGTTGACGCGTGAGCGTACTGAATAGGTCGGCCCGATCCTCCGAGGCCATTATTCGGATTCACCAATCAGGCAGCAGCATTTACGAGGGAGTCGTTCAGGGTGCGCCACCGTCTGCGCCTTCAGAGTTCCTGGGCCTGTTGATAGTGGTCTTTCTTGCCCATACAGCATATAGCGTGGGCAGCCCGCAAGACATTTCTGGACAGCATCTACGGTTGCACCCGGTGACTTGCGAACTGTCCATATGCGATCGAGGAAGTATGAGGGGGATATGTAGATGCAATGAACTTCTATACAACGTGTAGAGTCTCCCGCGCCCTGCGGGCGACGCTGCTGTACTAGCGAGGGCAAAAGTAGTTACTTCTGCTGCCGCTTGTGTATGGGGTTCAGCTTCTCGTGTATCGGCACCTCGCCCTCGGGTGTACCGGGAATGGTCTTGAGCAGACCCTGTGATGCCTTATGAGCACGAGCGGGTACTGCAGATGGGTCGGATACGCACCAGCTTCTCGAACATGCACTTGTTCAATGGACGCTCGACCTCCCGGCAGCGGTAGTATTCCTGCGCATATGTCAGCCAGCCGTTCACGCTTCCATAGCACGGCACGCACCTGATTGTGGTTCTCCAAGCAATCCCAGTGCTTGTTCCACTCCGACAAGCAGTTCTCGCGCATTTTCGTGATCCTAATAATCCATACCTCGTCAGCCATCTCTCCACCCGTCCAAACCACACCAGCGCACTGACAAGTCCTGCGCGCACCGCGTCACCTTGCGGCCCTCCGCCAGGCAGTGCTCCGGCGCGCGGTTCTCCGCCTTGCAGAGCATAAAGTCCTCGTTGTACTCCTTGCAGTACGCGCCGATGAAGAACGCCGCGCTCTTCAGCGGGCCGCTCGTCACGCCGAGCTCCTTCACCTTCGGGACGTGCGCGGGCATCGGCGTCGGGTCATCGAGGGGCTTCGAGGGCGTCTGGCCCGTCACGACCTGCGAGGACATGGTGGCGGCGGTGGGTGTGGGGAGTGTCGACTTCGACTGCGACGGCGAATAAGCCGGACGGGGGCGCCCGCGCCGGGGCCCCGTGGGAATGTTGCGCTTGTTGTCTGGCGCCTTCGTGCGTTTGTGGCGCGCATATTGACGCGACGCGCGCCTTGTTCTCGACGGCGTGCGCAACGATGGTGAGCTTAGATCCCTCGAGGACCCCGTAGAATGCTCATAGTTTCCCCAGCCTCCTAAATTCGCGCCCAAGATCTACCAACTACAAGTCAAGACACACAAGCAGACCATATTCTTGACTTTGGCGCCGGGCACGACTATAGATGAGATCAAGCGAGAAGTGCTAGATGCGCTATCACACCCTGTGTCAGACCTCGTCACCAATCCAAGAGCGGAAGAAGAGACGCCAGAGGAGCTTCCATCTGCACAGGATGTGTCCGACTTCGTCTTGTGTCGTGAGCAGAAGGGCGAGTACGAAACTATACAGGACGGATCGAAGGCCCTGAAAGACTTGGGCCTTTCGGGATGGCCTGTCCTGTATATCAGATTCAAAGATAATGATGGTGCGTCGTCTACCTCTTAGAAGGGGCGAAGCAGCTCATCAATGTACAGGCAATTTGCTCCCGCTTAAGTACACCCAACCCAACTTAGACGACGAAGATGCGCCAACCGATGTCGTTTACCCTGCCGAAAGCGATCGACCCAACAAGCGAAAAGCGCGCCCCGAAGAAGTAGTAGCCGCAATTGGAGACATCGTCGACGCGATCTGAATGACCGCGCGCCGAGTGGTTGCGTTGTACCATAGTGTAAGAGCAATGTACATTGTGCTTTTGGGATATCAGGGTGAGAGGGGATGCGGCAATCAGTGTCTATGACGATGCTGGTATCTTCTTCCATTGCTTATGTGGGTCCAGCGGGAGAAGGGCGGCAGCGACTCGGCGACCCTCCTCGGTCAAGAGGTTGTACGTTGAGCAGGCGTCGCGCTTCGGGGCGATTAGCATAGACGTCGAGGCAAGGAACGGGCGACGCACTGTACTGGTGACCTCCAGTTGAATCCCAAGCGACTTCAAGTAGTTGCGAATGGCAGGGGGTGCCTGGACTACGATCTTGCCAGTTCCGAGCAACAGGATCTCTGAGGGAGAGCTTGTGAGCTCGGATAATTTCGAGTATGCCCCCAAGACGCACCTGGTCTTGGCAGCACTGTCTCGAAGACCTCGAAGTGCTTGTCTGACCAGCCCTCCCAGGACGATCGTGCCTGTGTCGGTTCGAGAGGCGGGACGTCCCAAAGGAAAACAGCAGCGTTCAGAAAGATACAAGCCGACGGAATAACCGTTCCATCGGCGAGTTTGATGCCCTCCCTCTCCGTTATGGTCGAGACTTGAATGGCAGGGACCACATCGTCGGCGAGGAAGTTCGTGAAGCCTTCCGAGCGGGTGGGGGAAGTATGGAATGCCCTCGGGTGAGCATATGCGTGTCGGAGTCGGAAAGAGGCTGAAGCAGTGGTTGCAACTCTTCTGCTGAGTCCAGAAGTAATGCGTGTGGGCGCACGGGCGCAGAGTTGGCGCGCAAGTCGGGCGGAGGACATGATGGCCGGACGGAACGATGACGGAGCTGCAGCGCCACGTGCGCGACGCGTCCGTAACGCGTCCGTGACGCGAAGCTGTGACAGCAGGCCTATCGCGGACTATCGATTTCTGTTCGTACGCTCATCAGTGAAGAGGCGGACTCCTGAATCTCCATATGGCCACCTACGCAGATAGTGATGGTACTCAGTCTGCTCCTTCCAGAGCGCATAACCTTCCCATAATCTACCAGCCCGAGTGAGTCTGCGAGGTCCTATTGCTGCGCGTTCGGCGCTTATTGACACGGATGGCGCAGTTCTCACCTGGGGATTGAGTGGGCAACGTCCACGACAGTCACTCAACCTCTCCTAGTCTTACCCGACCTGGATCATTCCGATGACCAGCTTATGCGCAATGCGCAAGCCGACAAAATGGACGAGTACATCGCATCGATCTACACCCACATCACGACTATCAAAAGCCGTCGCAACATGCTCCTTCCTGTCTCTCAATTACCTGATGAAATCCTGACCGACATCTTTCTACTCGTCGCCTGCCGCCCTGACACAGCATATCCTGGGCATATCGACTATTGGAGCCGCTTGATGCTGGTGTGCCGGCGATGGCGCATTGTCGGTGTCTCTAGCCCAGTCCTTTGGAGCCACATGTACATATACCCGGCCCACTTGTCGCGTCTTCTTCTGCCTCCGCCTCATCAGAGGCGTCTCTGTGGAACGCACCCTCTGACAGTCACTGTCGAGATGCTTGAATCCCTTCTCGAGGACTTTCGCTCTGGCTGGACATGCCTGGAGATTCTGGCGAACTACTTCCATAGCTTGACAATCCGTGGGTCGGAAGCATGCTTGGATACGATTGTTGGCTTATTCAGTGCGAGTCAACGGGAGAACTTACGAGTCTTGTCGGTGGATCGTACGCGAGAAACGCGTGCTTTTGACGATGTTCCATTTCTCATCCCCGCGGAAGCATCAAAAAACATTGCATCAAACCTTCGAGTTCTACACTTAGCGGATGTTGCACTCGATTGGAATGTCCTCCAGAACCTGACGAGCGTCGACATATCGTGCTTCCCCGACGAAGATGCTCCCGAAAAGCCGTCGCCGTTGACCCCTCCATTGCTCTTGAACATGCTCCGCCGATCCCCCACCCTAAAGTCTCTCGCAATCTCAACGTTCTTCGACGCGGCGGTGCTTGTAGCTCCACAAGAGCCGGTGGACCTTCCACGCCTCATCTCCCTGCATTTCAGTGCCCGAGCTCTCACTTGCGCATTCATTTTATCAGCGCTTCATATCCCACCAGAGACGCACATTACTGTCTACTCAAACTACTGGGGAGAAACGGAGGATAATTATCAGCCCCTCTTCGAGGCACTTCGCCGGTGCTTGACCCGTCCCGAGGTGCCTGCGCTGCGGACGCTCAAGCTTCCGGGAGAGTACAGATGGGCATGGTATACCGACCCGCCATGCGATGGCCTCGAATCTTCACCCAACCTTGTGTTCCACGTACTCTTTTCCAACAATGAGGAAGTGCACCAACGTCTTGTGACACAGGCGTTGCGTGCAATCCCCTCAGAGAAAATTGAGTACCTAGAGTCCGGAGAGAGTTACTCGGTGCCCAAACGCGACGTTTGTCGTCTCCTTCTCTCCCTCCTGCCGTCTCTGAAGACACTCGCCTTCTGTTTGCGCCCGTATGGTCGCGACCAGTGGCTGATTGTCCTCCGCGAGTGCGCCGCTTCGACATTCAACAAAAAATTGACGACCATTCTATTACGTGATGAAGAAGGAGGACGACCTTTCGTGCTACCAAGGCACTATGTGTCGGAGATAACCGCGAACCTCAGGGATCTCCTCGACATATACGTGACGCACGGACGATCGGTGGATAAATTCGTTATTCGTGCAAATTGGCTCGAGCACGGCAAGGAGGAGGTAGAGGTGAGTCCGTGAGCGCCACTCATATGGATAATGCTTACTCTTATGTAGAATTTTGCGGAATACGCTCGTGCGTTGGGCGTGGAGGTTGACATAAGTTCTGTTGCCACATTCGGCGCAATCCTCTTAGGCGCCCCAAAGGAGGCAGAAGAAGCTACATAAGATGTCTTGTCTAGGTTTTGATATGCATGTACCGGTATACGCTTGTAACGTGCTCTGTCGCGGCTGTAATCCGACTCAAGAGTGAATATAAAGGGCGCACGAGCAGCGCCACGTGCGACGCGTGATTGTGACACGTCGTGACACGGAAGGGCCCGTCCTTTTCCTCCATCTCAACCGTGACCGCGGCGAGGCGCCTGCGCACGACTCTGCGAACGCCGAACTGATAAGCATCGTCTGGACCCACAGAAATCGGCAAACTCTAGCTCACGGGCTCCTCATATCGAACCCAACCCAGCGCAACTATGCTCCTGCCAATGACAAGCGCGCGCTTTGTAGTTCCTAGGCTGCGCTCCCCGCTATCTCCTCCGTCCCGTCGCTTCTCCCTCTCGCAATGTACCAGAAGCTCCAACACTGGCTTACCATCCCTTGACCGCTCGATTTATCTCTCCGAATCTACGGACCCGTATTTCAACCTTACTATTGAAGACTGGTCAGTTTCAGGACTCTCCGTTCTGCGCCACCTTGACGAACAAAATATTTTTTCCCATTCCTTCCTTCCCTTTCCCGCAAATAGGCTTTTTCGTAAGGCCGATCCTTCTCGTCCGCTGCTTTTCTTGTATCGGAATACGCCCTGCGTGGTGCTCGGAAGGAATCAGAATCCATGGAAGGAAATTAACTTGGCGGCTTTGAGGCAAACGTCCATTCCCTTCATCCGAAGGAGAAGTGGAGGCGGGACGGTTTACCATGTAAGCTGCCTTCTTGCTGGCGTCGACGTAGCCCGTCCCTTACTGACTGGTGCCGTTTAGGACCTCGGCAACACGAATTACTCGATCCACGTCCCTCGAACCTGGTTCGACCGCAACGTAACTTCGCAAATCGTCCTGCGCGCAGTCCGCGGCATGGGCGTCCCGGGAGCGACCGTCAACGAGCGCAACGACGTATGCGTCGGCACCGACAAGATGAGTAGCGCTGGCTTTTCTCGGCATTCCATCTCCTAGTAGACCGCCTTTGCTTACCCGCCTTCCTATACGTCTCCGGCTCGGCCTACAAAATCGTTTCGTCTCGCGCGTACCATCATGGGACGATGCTGATCTCGACGCAATTGCAGACGCTCGGCAGCCTCTTGCGGAGCGGGAAGGTGAGTTAGCTTCGCTGCATTTGGTCTTGGCGCTACGAATTCCTATACCTCGGTATGGTGTTGCTACGAGGGCTAGGACATCTAGATTTGGACTGGGACTCGGCGCCTACTTCGTCCTCGATCCGATATCCCCTTAAGCCATGGCCCAGCGTCTGCCGGACGTTCGGAGGGCCGATTGACCAGAACCAGGTGATGCCACCTGTGTAAACCTTGTTCCCAATCGAGGCAACGCGCTCGCCGGGACTCTACGTCGTCTTTCCCGTCGGGAACTGTGTCTTCAACAGCTCCATGAGCGGGTGCGCCCACAAACACTGTTTATCCATCTCCCTGCTAGGGCGCAAGAGGTTCAGCGAAATGCTGGCCGCCCTGGCTTACGTTCGCTGACTCAAATACTGTTGGCCCAGTCGGAGGATGGCCTATTCCTGTACCCAACTTGCTGTGCTCATATCTCCCTTTTCAATCGCCTAAAATTTCTATTGACGAACATGAAGGTTCTGACGAGGTTTACAGCAGGAATCAATGACCACGAAAGGCGTGGCTTCCGTCCGGTCGCCCGTTTGCAATCTCCAGTTGTTCGACTCGTCCTTGAGTCATGAAGCCTTCGCCGACTCCATGGTCCGAGAATTTCAGCGCGAATACGGAGTGACAGAAGAGGTGAACCCTATCCCTCGTAAGATAATCCCAGATCGTCGTCTAATCTATCGATAGCCGTGTATCGTCCGCGAATCCGAAGAGGCACAGGCGGACGGATACATCAAGAAGGGCATGGAGGAGCTTCCGGTGCGTTCCATAGATTTGCACAAGCGCCGCGGGCGTCTGATGTCTCCGAATTGCAGAGCTGGGAGTGGGCGTACGGACAGACGCCTGAATTCGAGTATACTGTCAGCAAGACATTCCCTTGGGGCGTTGTCGTACGTTTTTCCATCGGCTGTGTTTTCGGCGTCAACACCAAGGGTCCTAACTCTCCACCCTCCTCCGCAGACCGCGGTCATTCGCTCGAAGCGCGGCCTCATCACGGGCTGTGACGTCGCGCTCAAGGACAGCACCCTTGCCCTGGATTTTGCCCCGTTGGACAACCTGTTCCGAGATATGAGATACGGTTTCGTCGATGTCGACGAGCCGGCGGATGTGGTGGCGCGCCTGACAGGGAGCAACGAGGCGGGGGCAGGGGATCGGCGGACGGAGGTTTATGCCTGGTTGCGGGAGGTCATGTCGGAGAGATAGGTACTGGATTGGCCAGGGCGTCGGGTCGGTGGCTTTCTAGCTCCCCTGATCTACTCCGCCGACAGCGCCTCGTTGCAAGCGCGCGGCAGGGCCGGGTCTACAGGATTTGAGAATGAAATTCACGTCGGCTTGAACGATTGGGGAGAGGGAAGTGCTGCTGTATCGGCATCAAGACACGCGTATGCAGCATGGCACGACTGGAAGACGAATACCGGCTATGGAGGCCTCGTCAATTTCCCCGCCTTCTCACGAGTCTATCCTCAGAATTGAGCGCAGATCCTGCTCCTGCGCCACACTTATTAGGCGCACGTGATCGCGCACGGTGGTCCGGGAATAGCCGGTCCGTCCATCTGAAGGTCGCCCGCTTGCATGAGGATGGGGAAGTGGTGAGAGCAGGCGTTAGCAGGACGGATAGGTTCGAGGGAGGGGAGTCGGTTTGATCCTGGTCACAACGGCGGTTTACAAACGGGATGCAAAGGATGTATTCGGGAGGACCAGGGATAATCTACGCGATTCTCTGGACAGAGACGACAGGCCTTGTCTCGTAGCCCTCAGGTGCATAGGGCTCTGTCTGTTGTAAAAGTGAGCGTGTTATGAGACAAGGAAGGACGAGCCACGCACACTCTGTCCCCGCTTATGCCCAGTCAATCGGTAGTCACGATTGATCATCATAGTGTCCCACTGGTCCAGGTTGTAGCGGCCGCTCTATGGGACATCCAAGGTCAGAGAAGAGCCCTCCAAGGTGAATCGTGCCACGCACCCGGCCGAGGTTCGAGACGCGCTCGGTGAGGTTCAAGGCCGTACCAGTGACGCCGAAGAACGCGGTCATGATGCCTAGTTGGCGGTGTAAGCAGGTATCAGAGAAAGCGTATTGTCTCCCCTAACCAAGAGGCAGAAGGGCTTCCCAAGGAACCGGCATGTTGGGTAACTACAGTCTATGCAGAGCGATGAGCGTGCCGGAGGGAATGAACGAGTAATTCTTTTGCAAATGTCTAAGCGCAGTTCGGATAGTCCGGCCCGCGAAAGCTGACTTCGAGAATCGACAACTCGAGGATGGATCAGCGCGTGAGCAGGGTAATATACGGCTGGAATGTCCTAGCGTACAAGTAGGAGGCAATAGCATAGGTGATAGAATAAGTTATAAGGCCTAGACGTAAGGGCGTGTAACATCATGCACGATGGATCGTCCGACCTTCGTCGAGCGTCCGAACAAAAACAGATCCAACAAGTCCTGCGATGTCAATGAGGTCCGAAGCTGGAAGAATCATGGTAGCGATTGTCCATGCCGTGCGAAACATCGCTTCCGGAGAAATTTTGACCGGAAGGATAGGCCGAGTAGGGAGATAACTGCGCAGCTTGCGGCATTGTGTTGGGCACATACAATGCGGGTGAGGGTGTAGGGAGCGACACGATGCTCCCCACGGGGGAGGTCAATGGAGTCTGGGTGCCAGTGCTCATATCAGAGCTGTACGAGGGAGAGTTGGTATTTGGGAAGGGTAGCGTAAGTTGTTGATACGCTGATGATGGCACGACCGCAAAGGCGTCGCCGGTGTTGAGAGTGTGTCCCACAACGATATCCTGTTGCTCGTCGAATGAAACCGTAGTGGAAGGAGTAGACGTAGATGGAATAGGGCCTTGATAGAAACCTTGTGGCGCTTGACGCGGACGCGGATTTGAGGAAAAAAGATCAGGAAGTTCCTGATCGAATGAATCGGGCGGCATAGTTTGGGACACCACATGTTGAGGCGTCCAAAGGCCCTGGCTACGCAGCGAAGCCGACTGGGGGTTGTTCAGCGAAGAGGGTGGAGAAGAAAAGCCGGCGTTTGTCCAAGCGCCGTCGGCGCTCGTCTGGCCCTGATATGCTAGAAAACACCTTCGTGAGCGCTGTTCGGAGCTAGGGAGAGTAGCGCGCTCGCTGGACACACGAAAGAACGCTCGCTGCGTGTTTAACCTTGCGTCATACCGTGAGCTAGACCACCTGAACAAGGGCAGCATCAGCACGTCCCTTCTCATTTAGATATGTCAACAGCACACACCTGCTTTCCGGCGCCAGGTTCGACGGCGGAAGGCGCGTCGAGGCACCGTGAGTGGACGAGGGCATGGCCTGCCGATTTGCATTAAGGTGCGATTCGGCCGTCCAAGGCGGGTTGTAAAGGCCTTGGAGCCCATTGGAACGCCTGCCTCTGGACCGCTCGCCATCCGGCCTGTACTGCAGCTCTCGGCCAGAGTAGCCGAGCGTGCCGGTTTGGCCATGAGGGCTTTCCTCAGAGGGATGAGGCCCAATCCATCCTGTATGTCCCCACATCGGTGACTACGAAGAACGATGAGAAGGAATACGAAGCGATAGATCGAACACGCACATTGTTCTCGTTGAAGGCATTCTCGAGGCGCTTGGGGAATCCTCTATCACCCTTACCCTTAGGTGGCATGAGAGTACGAGACGCTCAGTTGCGGGTAGTGATAAGAAAGCCAGGGCCACAGGCTATACTGCCTCTTTATAGGCGAGCAGCAACGCGTCTGCCGCGAGGCGACGAAGTTCATTTAATAGCCCCATAGGGTACGTCCATGAAGAAGCACTGATTAGATCTGGCGATCGTACAGCACGACGGCCCCGAGCCCTTGGACGACTCGTGGCAGCAGCCTCGCCTCCCCCGGAGAGCTATAGAGCTGACGGAGTCTCCAGTCAGACGACGTCCCCGGCCTCGAGGACGAGGCTGTCTGCAGCGTAAGATGGACGCAGAACATGAGGCAGGTGTTGAGGAGGCAGTTGCTAAGGCCCTTCGAAGGGAAGAAGGCTAATCGAGGATGAGAGTCTGAAGAGAACAAGACGAAGTTCGAGCACAGCCGTATGCGTCATCTGCCTTCGGGCCGGAAGTGATGAAGTCCAGATTTTCCTATTCTGGCATGTTCATTTTGATCCTTGACGAGCGCTTGAAGAGGAAAATCGCTTATGCATGTCCTTGGGCGCCTGCAAACGAGCAAAAGGGTATTCAGGCGTTAGCAGTCAGTAGAGGGGGGGCGGTATGGGAGGCTTGATCATTCTGTGTGGCGGCAGGAATAGATGTCGGAGTTCAACTCGAACAGCAGCTATAGGTGGCGGACATGATCTCGAGAATATTCCCTCCACTTGCGATGCAAGAGAGCATCTGAACAGCGGAGTCAGCTTGCCGATTTTCTCGGGAGAAGTTGTCGGAGAACAATGACTGACTCACCCTCCGGTGGATCCACTGACATTGCCAACAATTCAGGCGGCAATGGACACACATTCCGTGACGGAAGACCATGACTCACTGGGCTATACTGCTCGCCTAGCGACCGACGATTCGCAGGGCGGATGACCGCACCCACATAACTTCGTATTGTACTTCGTTCGGGAATCCTAGGATCTCGCATCGCCCTGGCTCCAGTCCGATATGGGTCGAAAGCAATTGATAGAAGCTCTTGCCCAACTTTCCTTCTCAGGCGCCTCAATACCCAGGCCATTACACCCACAATCGGCCTACCCACGTCACCAATTCGGCGGCCTGGCCAACAAAAGGATCACAGCCACCACATAAAGAATACAAGGGGCGTAACTCACCATTGACGCACCACGATGCACGCGCGAGGCAGCCTCTACACCAGAAGCCCGCCGCGGGGGACGGGCAGCCGCTGTCGAACCTTGCTGCCTCCACCACCGCACGTGTTCGCCACACAGGCGCGGGAATGGCGCGCCCTCTTTGCGATGGAGGCAGCTTGGTGGCAGTGAAGAGTTTCCGGAATAGTCAATGACACAGCTGAGCGGATGGAGGAGATTGAGGCAACGATAGTGTTGGGGTCGTCGATAATCGTACCACCTCGGCTGGCTGGCTGGGTCGTCTGAACGTGCCACACTCACAGATCATCCATCTCCATAGCCTTCCATCGTCGGTCAAACCCATCAGGACAACTTCCAGCTGAAACCATGTCTATCCCGATAGTAGCTAGATACATAAGCGCAGACCGTCGGAGGGGGAACCGTGAATAGATATTATACATTGCAGAGGTAGTAAATGCCGTGGTTGATGCGTCGAGAGTCCGAAGTATTGAATCCTTTGTTGTTGTCGCTGTCTGGCCAATGGCGCGCGCCGTGTTCGCGATGCTGGGATTGGAGCCCCGCCATGCGTCCTCGTCTTTCGCCTACTCCACCTTCGTAGCTTGCGACCGCGTCCTCGTCCTTGTTGCTGGCCGCGTAGCAGGTACCTCGCGCTTAGCGGCCGGAGCCTTCCTAGCCGTCGACGCCTTCTTCAGGTGAACGACTGGCACAGCTACGCTCTTCCCGCTCTGCGTCGAGAGCACCCGGCGCCGCTTGGCGTGCTGCTCCTCATCGTCAGAGGGCACGGTGAGGTCAGTGCCGGCCTCGGAGGCAGCCAAGGTCGCAGTAGATGCGGTACGCGCAGTGGCCGCCGTGCTGGTGCTCGCGACACTCGCATTCGTCTCCGCCGACGTCGTCCTGCGCACGCGCGTTGCTGCAGCTGACCGGGTCGCGACAGTGGACCGACCTCCGCGAGCAGCCGCCGGGCGCGCGGCGGTAGCCAGGCGAGCGCCAGCAGCCGCACGGGCACCAGCCGCAGCAGTCGGGCGGTTTGCACTACCCGCTCGCCCAGTACGCACAGGCACCTTCGAGAGCTCGGTCTCCTCGGCCTGCCCGTGCGCGCGCTTCTTGCCCGCGATCTTGGTGGCGCGGAACGGGAGATCCGAGCGAGCTGATGGCCGGGCGGGAGCTTGAGGCGATGGCTCGTTTGTCGGTGTTGTCGCAGCGGTAATAGGCCTGACGTCGACCGTCGGAGGGGCCATGACGGTGCCCTTGTCGTCGCGTACGGCGGGCGCAGTACTAGGTACGCTCTCCGCCGTAGTATGCGCCACCGACGGAACCTGCAGCCCGCGCAGCACAGGCTCCATCCTCAATGCCGGCAGCGGCGGCGCCTCGCCCATCTCCACCTCCTTCGACAGTCCCCCGCGCGGCATCGGCGTACGAAGCGTGATGTTGAAACTGTCCTCCTCGTCCTCGTCGTAGGTTTCATCCCCATCGTCCTCCCCATCGACATACATCCTTCCGCCCTTCCTCTCACTCTCTTCTTTATCAACGACCATCGGTGCTGGCTCAGCTCCAACAGGCCTGGTAGCGTGGATCCCCAAGTATATGGATTCGTCGCTCAGAACGGGCACGGAGTGGGGATCCTGGTCCTCACGTGGCGTCCTGAGCGACTGCCGAAAACCCGGCTGGTCGTCATAGTCTGAATCGTCTTCGGGGATGCTCGATGGCATGTTTAATCGGTCGTGTCCGTCCAAACCATTCAGGGCGGGGTGTCCGCCGTTGACTTTCGTTTCGGGCTTCAAGTGCAACGTCGCTGCCGCGGGAGTCGCAGGGTACGCGGACGGGAAGTCCGGGTATTTTCTCCAGTCATCCTCGCTAGCAAGCGGTGCGCCTACTTCAGCGACCTCACGATCCAGCTCGTCGGGATGTGGCGGGATGAAGCGCTCTTCAGGTTGTTCGTCTTTATAGGCTGACGGGGGAGGTTGCCAGATTTGATGCGTAGGGGTGGCGGGGAGACCGTCTATAGCGTTTGCCACGCGAATGTGTTGAACGCTAGAAAAATGAATATCGTAAAGATATATACTAAATGTGTGCGTAAGATAATACCTACCTTATGGAACTTGATATCTCAACGGCGTCCGCGGATTCACGTATGACAGAAGCCGCGGACACAGTCTCACTGACGACGGACGTGCTCTTCGGCGTAGCCGTCCCATCTTGCGTGGGGTCGTATGGGTACTCGGCCTCGGCCTGCCGTGCCTGCCACCACATGATGAAGGGCTGTAGGGGGAGGGTGGCCACGGTGAAGATTAGGTCACCGATCATGGTCGCGACCTCGAGGATGGCGTCCAACGCCACAGTGTGCGGCTTGAGGAACGGGCGGATGATATGCAGATAGATCGGCTCCGCAGCCTGCGCTGCATGTCAGACACATTGCGATGCGCAGAGGAACGCGACACGCACCCGGGAGCGAGCCACGATGAGGAACACCATGACCATGGACTTGAGCTCGTCGTAAAACGGGATGAATATAGATATTATCTTCTCCGCGAATCGTTCGTAAAGAGTGAAGCAGCACTGGTATCCAGTCAGCCCTTGCGCTAGAGCCAATGACACGCCGCGACTTACGAAGACGAGCCAAACGGCGAGGCAGCCTTTCATGTCGCGCTTTCGCTGTGAGAGCGCGCGAATGGTGGGCCGCCCGCCGTTGCGCGGCGATGGTGGGGGCATCTTGAGGGTCTTGTACGTCTCCCAGACGTTCGTGAACGCCATGACTACCCGCAGAGCGGGCACCAGGAGCGACATGCTTGCGAGCGCCTAGCGCGACGTCGCGTTGGTGTCTGACGGCCGCGAAAATTCGTGTCTTGTCGTGCGGAACAGGAGAGCGCGATCCGAGGAGATGAGTGTCGTTAACAAAAGAGATTCAGCCCTCCACGTAGACCGGCGGGCATGAGGCGTGCCGATGACGGCTCTAAGCAAGCGCCTCGTGTTCGGGATCTCGGGAATATCTGCCTTTGTTTTTTCCTATTTATCGGCGCCAGTTCCCATCCGCGTTACAGCACGTGAGCGTTTTATTTCTTTACTCCCGCCACCATGCCGAAAATTAGAACGACGAGGACGAAGAAGTGCGCAAGAATTCATTTATGCCTTATGGAAAGACTGACCGTATTCCAGGCCCCCCGAGGGGTACGAAGAAATCGAGGCGGTATGTGTACTTGAGCGCCTATTATACGGCGTATGCTCAAGTTATCCCCTAGGTCCTCGATGACTACGCCAAGAAGATGCGCGACGCAGAGAACGAGTCTCACGAGGGGAAGCGCAAGGCAGAGTCCCTGTGGCCCATTATGCGCATATCGCATACGCGGTCAAGATACATCTACGAGCTCTACTACAAGCGGGAGGCGATCTCGCGCGAGTTGTACGACTGGCTGCTCAAGGAGGGATATGCGGATGCCAAGTACGTACTGTTAGTTCTGCGGTCGGGACAGGCGCTGACTCCAATCCCAGTTTGATCGCAAAGTGGAAGAAGACCGGCTACGAGAAGTTGTGCTGCGTTCGGTGCATTCAGACTAGAGTGCGTACGCCGCTCATCTCACCCCTCTCCCTTATTTACGCTGTCTCAGGATATGAACTACCAAGGCTCGACGTGCATATGCCGTGTGCCGAAAGCGCAGATTCGATCGGGGACCATTGTTGAATGTGTGCATTGTGGTGCGTCATCCCCTTTCGTTTTCGCCTTTCTCAAATGCTGAACGGTACCCAGGCTGCCGAGGCTGCAGTTCTGACTCATGATCTCTACTGCTACCGTCCATGCCGCACTTCATAGCCTCGAGCACCCGCAAGACACACGCTACCCTCCCGGTCAATACGTCAATAGTGCACGCCCACGCCCGCACGCCTTGCCGCGAAGAGTGTCTTGAACGCTGTCTGTATGTCTCTTGTGTACGTTGATACGCCTCTGCACGCCTTATGGTGACCAAGTATGCGCAGATCAAGAGTTTCGAATGTATATTGCTAACGCTATGCTACACTTGTATTCTTTCTCGTCCGACTTCGATTCTTTGCTTCGTCCTTTGACGCTTCTCTCTATCCGACGACCTTATGCACCGCGCTCTCCGCCATCAACTTCGCATCGTCTACTCCCGCCCCCGCCGTCGGCGCCACTTCCATTACCGCCACACCCACCACTTCCAGCCCATGCTCCCGAATGAATGTCGTCGCGTCGAACTTCAGACGCTCCGCGAAGTCGGCATTGCCTCCTCGTTCGCCCGTCCCGACGTCCTGGCCCGTCTCCTTCGCCAGTATAAACACGTACCGATGCGCTCCCGTCCCCGGCATCGGCGCGGATGGGAGAAACGCGGTGTGCGGCGGGCGGGTGGGGACGAGTGAAGGCCCACCGACGTGGGTGACGGTTGGGTCGGTGCGGGTGAGGGTCGGGTTGCCGGCCGCCGGCTTGAGGCCAGGCTGGACCCAGTGGCGGACTTGCTTGTCGAGAGGGTCGTTGCGCTTCATGAGATCGGGGTCGGTCATGATGAGGGTGTAGGTGGCGGTTGCATCGAGGGCCTGATGGGTGGGGAAAAAAGTGGTCGACGCTTAGCAGCACAAGAACGAAGACGTACCGTAGATGGGTGAAAGCGTATAGACGGCTCGCCCTGCACCTCGTCGCGATGTGGCTTCTGCCCAGCGGTGACGGAGATGCCAGATGGATACCGGATTTCGAGTACACCCTGAGGATTATGATTAGCTTTCCTGCTCTGTGAGGGAGTTGACGTGGTGGGTGGCATGCGCGTGTAGGGGTTGTAAAGCAGGCGAGATAAATGTCTGTTACTCAGACGATTTAGTAACGCACCTTCAGCTCCTGCGCTGTCGAGTACGGGAGCACGTCTGGGAAGACGCTATGCTCCTTGAGGCTCTCGATGACCTCGTTCAGGGAAGGGGTAGTTTGATGGAGGGCTGCCATGATGTGTTACTCTTTGTGTCGAAGATATTTTGATTAGCGAGTCGCCGAGTGAGATGTATGCGGTGGCTAGCGAGGGGGAAAAGCGAATGTCTGTCCTCTACTTGCTCATATATAAGAGAACCGCAGAGCGGACGGTGAGGCGGTGATGACGTTGACAAAGCGCAGTCGTGCTCCTTGTATATGTATTCCTCGACGCTCTGACGACGAGAATGCATAGGTGTACGACGAGCTCCTCAACGCCTCGTCGGTAATATGGCTTCACTCTGATAATTCGCGGCAGATTTAGCTGAGGAGCGAACGAGGCGACTTCGAGAGTGAATTTCGATGGGTCACGGGATAGTCACGTGTGTGGTTGAACTTTCCACAAACTCAAACTATACTCAGACAACGAGCCTGCTCTGTATGTCTAACTCCATAAATCCCATTTATATTTATTCATGTAGTCATCATAGCAGGAACAGCTCTTGAGGCTCTGGCGAATACTTCTCCCTTGCAGCGTGCTTCTGCCACCACATCCAACAGGCTGCATCTTCGTACCATCGAGAATTGATCCTTGCAGAGATATAAGCGCAGTGCCAAGCGCATATTGAGCGTATATACCTCCGCATCACTCCCAGTTCACTGAGAGGACTCATATGACTTCTTCATCCCCTCGAGGCGGGGAAGAGAATGGCGCCGAGCTTAGCATCAGAGTTGATGTCAACTCGTACGCCCACGTCAAGAGCGTATTGCACAAGCTCCTATACGAGGATAAGTGTTGATCACCCGTATAGATTTTGACAACTTACCGCCATCTCTTTGACGCCGCTTCCGAGCCATCGCTCGCGAAGGATCAACTTCTCCGGCAGCGGTCGATGCACAACGTATGTGTCCAGAAGCATCCTGAGCTTCATGGCAATGCCGGAGACATATTCCCTCGGGTCCGTGGCGCGTTTTCCAAAGCGCCTATCGGACCAGTGGATACACCGCAGATGTCCGCTGGGCGCATCCCCCTGGACTACCAATTCCTGTACTGCGTCGAACCAGCCCGAGTCGTTGGTGGTTGTGTTGAAAGAGAGCAGCCGCAACGAAGGCAAAAGCGATAGAAGCAGGTGACGGGCCCCGGCCTTCAGTACCTTGTTGCCTTGGCAGGAGTGGAGGTATTCGACCTGTCCGGAGGGTACTGCGTCCAGCACCTGTCTCATGGTGCGCTCGTACAACTCGTCGTTATCAAAGGGACTTAGCAGGTGCAGAAGAAGGATATGTTCTCCGGGAATCGCTAGAGAGCGGTCGTCTTCTGCTGGAAGGTCCACGTACCACGCCCAATGGTGCTGCTCCCTGAGCTGCAGCGTTCGCAGAACTAGCGCGGACGAGCGAAAGAGATGTCCACGAAGCGCGTCGCAAAGGCGCTGGTAATCACTTTCGCTCTCGTTCCTGTGATTTGAATGGATAGAGAGCCGCGCGTATGCTGGCATACAAAGAGCCGATATGATGAACGCGCAAACTAGCGGTCGAGCGCGAAGATCTAGGGAGCGGAGGTAAGGAAGATCTACCAGCTTCCCAAGCGTATTGAGCCCGTCCGTAGCGAAGTATGTCTCGAGCCCAAGATGCTGCAGCGAAGGGGAGCGGCGAATTACCGCCAAGAGCGTGGATGCAGTTACTGGCCACGGGGCAGTAGACCCGATTCGCGGGAGGCATTTCACATCGAGGCTCGTCAGACTGTGGAGGACGTTCCAGTCCAGAGCGACGCCTTCAAGATGTAGCTTCTGCAGGTTCGATGCAACATTCCTTGACGCCTCCGGTGGGATAACGCACGGGCTTGAGTCATCTGTTGACGAGACAACATGCGTGACCGACAAGCTTCGTAGACTGTCCCGACGACTTGCCCCGAACAGACCGAAGAATGTGTCAAGGCATTTGCCAGACCCGTGCAGGGTCAGGTCACGGATATAGTCGGCGTGAGATTGGAGTCGTGGCCAGGCAGAACGGAAGTTGTCCGTCAAGTAAATGGCTACTGTCAGAGGATGTGTTCCACAGTAGCGCGACTGATGAGGAGGAGGCAAGGAGATACGCGACTGTCCAGATGGCATAATGCTCATATGGGACCAGAGAATAGGACTGGAGATTCCGACAATGCGCCATCGCCGGCATACGAGCATGAGGCTAGTCCAATATTTGATACGCCTTGGGCGCCCTTCGCGCGTCGAGGCGATGAGCAGGAAGATCGAGGATAGGACCTCATTGGGCAAGCGAGAGATTGGAAGGAGCATGTTACGATGGCTTTTGATACTCGTGATGTGGGTGTAGAGCGATGCAATGTAGTCGTCCAGCCGAGTGGCCTGATCGTTGCTGTTGGCCTCGCCGTTCTGCTCGGGCAAGACCAGAAGAGGTTGAGACAGGAACTTAGAGGTCGCCCATTCAAGTCCAAGATGAGTACTGCCATCGACATCCATGTCATTGATCGTTGAACATAAGCGCGGGACAGTGCCACTCACTCAGGTTGGTAGATTAGTGGAAGTCGATGGACGCTGGATGCACTAGAGGTGCTATCATCACAGGCGGACATCGGGCAAGATACCTTTCCCCGAAATCTGTTTTCAGGCGGCGGATTCACCCAAGCGAGATGAGAGCAGAAAGACAAAGGGCTTGTGACCGTTACTACAGTACTTGTCACGGGCTTGTGTGCGTTAGCCATGTGCGGCTTGGATCAAGCGGCTGCTCTTCGATCCTGCTCTCATCCACAAAATCAACCGGCTTCTACAAAGATGCCCATGCTCTCGGATGGTGGCAATCACGAACAACTCGAGACATGCGAAGATAGTCTGTCGGTGCTATACCAGCACGAGTAAGCGGTATTCCTTCGCTCGAGCTAACACGTTAGTTGACGTGATACACAATGGCCAGCCCACATCTAGGCGTTCGATGGGGTATCTCAGAGATGCTCACCGAGCCCCTTCTTGTCCTTCCAGAACAGGGACGCAGTACAACGGATACGGCAAAACTGGACGAATATATTGCGTCGTTCTGCGCACATCTGGCTGCTTTGAGAAGTCGTCGCAATCTGACTGTTCCCGCCGTCCGCTTGCCTGACGAGCTCTTATCGGAAATCTTCGTGCTCACCTGCTTCTCGGATAGGCCGCTACTCCGCGGTCGACTACAGTCGTGGACCCACTTGATGTTGGTATGTCGACGATGGCGTGCAATCGGCGTTTCTACACCCAGTCTCTGGAGCAGGATGCACGTCGGGACGCGAGCTCGTGACCCAGCGCATCTAATCCTACCGTCGCCGCCTCAAAGGATCCGCTGCAAAAATCATCCTCTCACCGTAACTATCGACCTCGAACGAGACTCAACCGGGCAGGCCACGTGTACCCTGCTGCCGGTTCTCGCACCTCATTTTGATCAGTTCATGTCGCTCAAACTGAGCGGAACAGAATTTTGTCTACAAAAATTTCTGGACTCTTACACCGCGAGTCGCCGCGTAGGCTTGCAGATGTTATCACTCATCCTCCAGCCTGCGAACGACCGCGTCCCTTTCGTCCTGTCCCATGAAGCGACACAAAACATCGTGCCCTGCCTTCGCACGCTCTACCTCCGAGACGTCGCAGTAGATTGGGATGCTCTCCGGGATCTACAAAGTCTGACGATGTATTTCTACTCGTTCCTTGAGAGTGATGCACCTCAACCGATAACTCTCTCTGCCCTGCTCTCCATGCTACGCCGCTCTCCACACCTAACAAAATTCCACCTCCTAACACGCAATGGGTTGGACATGCTAGACGCACAGACAGGATCTGTTCATCTTCCTTGCCTCCGTTATCTCTACCTGACGGCCCATCCATTGCTCTGTGCAGCCATACTCGCTTCTATCCATATGCAATCATGGTCCGAAATCGTTATTCAGACCTCGGATGTGCCGGAGAACGAATACCAGCGCCTTCATGACGCGCTGGGAGGTTTGTTCGACCGACCTGGCGCGCCCGCGATGCGTTGCATGCGCCTCACTAGCAGCCCGGTGGTCCTGTTCGCAACAGACTTGTCAGCGGATGAACGACAACCTGTCGAAATTCCAAGGGAGTCGGGAGCGAGGCTCTCTATAACTGGATATCCCGATGATAGTCCTGAGATGCAGGGGCGCCTGCTGGCGCGGCTACTGAGCGCGGTACCTGCCCGAACAATCACATCTCTCGATTGTGGACCTAGGGCCCTGCTGCAGCGGCAAGATCTCTGCCTCCTGATACTCCGCGCGCTTCCTTCGCTTCAGTGGATCTCGTGTCGTGGAGGGCACGACGAGTACCAAATCTGGTTCGACGCGCTTCGGGACTGGGCTGGCAGCGTTGGGTCGGACCACAAGCTGCGCAGCTTTCGCTGGGACTTGGAGGAGGATAACTCAGCACCCACCGTCGCATCGCTCAGCGAGCGCGTCAGACGTGTCTCCAAAGACCTGCAGGATGTCCTTGACGCATGCGCGCGAGGCGGATTGGCGATACGCAGGCTTGTCATATCCTCGGAATGGCAATCGCACAACATGGTGGCAGTAATTGTGAGTCGTTCACTTCAAGTGAGGACGTCGACTGGCGCTGATATCTAGAAGAACCTGGTTACGCACGCTCGTGGGATGGGCGTAAAGGTCGACATGGTGCCGGATTCGGTTTACTGCGAAATCCTGTTCGCCACTCCAGAGGCGGAGTAGACGGCCGGTCCGGAGGTGTCGTGCTGACCAGAGACGGTGTCAAGTACGGGAGGTGTGGGGAGCTGTCCTGACGGAAAAATATGTCCGCATAACGGAGTATTACTTATATGGAATGGATGGCAGTGTCACCTACCGTACCGTATCAGTGTATCACTCGACGTTCTGGGGGTTGAAGGTCGAACATTGAGGCAGAATACCATGCATTGATAACAGAAGGTGTATAAGAAACGAGTGTGGTAGCTCACCATCGAGCTTCGAGGGAGGGTGAAACGCGGAGTAGAATGTCCTTGTCGAATAGCACTGTACGTGGGGCTCGCGTCTTTCACGACCGAGCGCTGCGATAGATGATGCTACAGAGGTTGAATTGTATATCACAGGTTGAGCATGTATGTACACATCAGTATGTATGTAGGTAGGAGAAGGAACAAGCAAGTACCATGGGCATGCAAAAAAGGTGCCATGGGGGTATGATGGAGATGGCAAGGGTCGAGAAGATGGTAAGGGCCAAGGAGGTGGCCATGGCCCAAAGAGATGGTAGAAGGATCCAAGGGTCGTGAGCAATGCGAGCCAACAGTCATTAGGAGGGTCGTAACACGAGACAGCATCGTAGCGAGCAGCGAAGAGCAACACGACGAGATGCAATAGGTGTACTGATAAGTTAGCCAGAAGAAGAAGGCTAAGGATGCCGTCAGTCACTATCGACGACGACGATGCGAAGGTCATACGCACTTATCCATCCATCATATAGTCCAATCATCGAGGCCAGACGACGGCGCTAGACCTATGCCTACGCGCCCCCGGCCCATCATCCGCTCCTCCATCCTGTCGCCGTACGACAGGCCGCCGAACCATGAGGACCACCACCCAGTCTCCTCCTTGCCCTTATCCTTCCGCTTCTTTCTGCGCGTCGTCGAGGGGCCGGAGCCCGCCGGACGAGATGCGCCATAGCTCTCTGGCAGCTCAGCAAAGCTTATCCTCTTCGGTGTCGACACGCCTGAATTAGGCTGGGAGTGCGAGTGGGAGAGCGCGACCGCAACACCGACCATGTCCGATACGCTCAGAGTCGAAGGCGTACGACGCCGCTCGAAGTCGCGCGCAATCGAGGAGGAAGAAGGAACGTGAGTGAGGGTGGGTGTCGTAGGGGTCGAAGGATCGTTGAGGGCGCGCTCCTTGCCCTTGCCCTTGAACGAGCTGATCTTGGGAGGCGAAGGTGCGCGAGTAGAGGAGGAATGCTGGGCCTTGGTGAAGAGCCTAGAGATTGAAGCCGTAGCCGTGGACGTCGCCGCTTCCGCGGGCGGGGGTGGACTACGGGGCAGAAGAAACTTGGGCGGTGGTGGGCGTCTCTCCGGCGCATCTACTACGACCCAGGGGTCGTCGAGGGTTGACGCATTCGCCGGCTGCTCTTGCAGAATCTTGCGGAGGGACTCGACCGTCAGCTTCGCGCGGACGCTATCGGAGGAGTCAGACGATGACGATACGGAGGATTCTTCCGTGGGTGGTGTCATGCATCGACGATGGGTCGGAGGTGGGGGTGGAGGTGAAGGGGCACGCTTTGGGGTACTGGACCGTGATCGGTGAGGACTGGGGAGAGGGTGGAAGTCCATGAAGCCTGCGGGGGATCGATGAGGACTGGGCACACTGCGCGAGTCTCGTGAACTGGTGCGTGACGATCCCGGAACGGGGGAAGACTTTGGCAGCAGCCTCTCCGTACTCCTGTTACTTGAACCCCGACGTTGCGGTGGAGAAGTGAATGAGTCAGGGGATGTCACCGCGTTGTTGCCTGGCCGGTAAACAAACGACGCAAGTCGCTCATACGCTGCAGAGTCGCTGTCTCCTTCCGTCCTCTCGCGGCGTCTAGAAGTAGATGGGAGGGGAGGGGGCTTCGGCTTCGAGGTGGATGGCGTGGCTGAATGAGCAGATGGCGCTGCACGCAAACCCAGGGTCGAGGGTAGAGTGATATTGGCGCCGTCGTGTGACGAGTCTGCGGCGACATATTGGGTGAGGGCGCGAGGTGCGGGTGATATGAGCCTGTTCCGCGCTTGCGGCGCATAAGAGAGACCAGAGTTGGCATCACGAAGGTCCGCCGACGATCGCCGACGGCTGTGGCGATAGGCAAGGCCCCTGCCGCTGGGCAGGCTGCTGCTGACGCTGCCCTCCGGCGCGTGGGCGCCCTTCCTCTTCTTCGCCGAGCCGTCCTCCTCGAAGAGGTCCTCCACGCCGCGCTTGATGTCGTTCAGGTCCTCCATCCACGCGTCGCGCATGTCATGCGAGCGGCGTATCTTCCTAGACAGCCCGACCGCGCGCGCCTGCAACCTGTTATCCGCGGGGGCGTTCTCCGAGCTCAGTACAGTCGACAGACTCGTGTTGGTCGTAATTGAGGACTGCAACAGCGCATTCGACATTTCGAGGGCGTGAACGCTGCGCTCGAGGAGGGAGTCGAGGTAGAGATCCGTGCTAGATCTACTGGCTTCCTTCCGTCTCGGCGGGGCACGTCGCGTGAGCTGGGACCCTCTTCGGGAGACGATGGGGGCCGATAGAGGGGGTGAAGGAAGGTAATGGGTGTTCTGTCGGGGGTCACGATCGTCGTCGGGGTCGCTCTCCTCATCGGCCTCCTCCGCGCTGTCGTACTCGGGGGGTCTGTCGTCCTCGGTCTCCCCGTCGATTTGTTGCCTCTGCCAATTAGAGACTGGGTTGTATTCCGGCAGGGTTAACGTTGTGTCGGACGAGAGGCGGAGGGCGGAGACGCGCTTTCGATGCTGGAACCCGCGTCGGTGGGGAGAGGTGTTCTGCATCGCGGCCTCTTCAGGGCCTCCGCCAGCGCTTAAAGCCTTGCGGAGTAGAAGTGCCGGGGCAGAGGGATTCGTGGTAATGAACTTCGAGGGTCCAGGACAAGAGTTCGCCAAACACGTGTTTCAGTCGTGATCACTTCACTTCGGCACCTCCCGCCACTCTACAGCTCGGAGAAGTTCAGCATATCTATCTGAGCACCCACAGATCTCTCTGAAAGCAATCAAATATTTTAGGGAGTCTCTCCTGGGAGGACGGCTATATTATCGAGAATTTCCGGGAAGTAAAGGGGTTCACATAGAACAGCGGCCGAGCTGCCACCTGGATCGCTTGACAAACTAGAGAGCCGCGACCGTATGACGAAGGGCTGACCTATATGGTCAGCAGGCCTCCGCCACCATCTTCAATGACTCAAGGAAGGTCGACGCAAAGCAACGTCAGAACAGAAGACGTGAACGATAACGACAAAGAACGACCGATATAAAGGAGGCCTCGAAGCGGACGCACCCTGTAGACGTGCGATTCGTTGACGCGAAGGATTGGCGGTCTTCGGCCGATAGAAAGCAATAGAAGAACACACAAAAATGGTATCAAGGCGAACATACAAGACGAAAACAAACGAAGAAACAAGACTAGTCTGAAGAAAGGAATAGTTGCATGGTACCTTCCACTCTTTCCCATCCGAACGATACGGATATTCGAAGCGCCGCGGTCAGACCGTACTCGCAGCCTGCAGAACGAGCAGATTTGCTCCTGTATTGGCCGCCACTAGCGCCGCGCCCACTTCTCCTATTGTCTTGGGCACCGAACTGGCCATGCCGGACCCTCGTTCCGCTACGAGCTCCTGCAGCTCTGCCTTGTGCGTATCGACCGCCATCCGACGAGACCGCCCTACGACGGCGATTACTGCCTTATCGTTGCCAGAACCGCTCTTAACCCTGTTGGCCTCGACGCTGACCAGTTCGACGACCTTGTGAAGGGGACGAGGATCGCTCTCGGTCTTGAAGGTGATCCTGGCGAGCGCGGCGGCGACGTCATGCGCATGCTTGATCATTCCGCCTCCAGCGTACTTCTCCCAAAGGATGTTGTCTGCGGTCTCGGAGTGAAGGCGGGTCTCCGTATTGGGCTGCACATATATCGTATCTGCTGCGGCCATCGTCTGCATCGCACAATCAGCTCCGCTATAGAGGACAAACGCGAGACTCAATTTACTTACCATAAGCGCTCCCGCCTTCGGGTGATCCACCGTACCCGTCGGCGTCAGCGGCGCGCCCTTCTGAACGCGCACAACAGTCGCCGTCACCGCCGGATTCCCGCACAGCTGCACCAAAAACGACAGCGCAAGCCTATCATCCGGACCACCGAAGAAGGGCAAGAACAGATGAACACCGCCCGCCAACGCGCCCTGCAAGCTCAGACCACGGTCCACGAAGAGCGCCACGTCGACCGTCGCGCTGGCGAAGACGCGGCGTATGGTCTCCGAGTGGACGACGGAGCCCGTCTGGTCTGCGCTGGCGGCACTGTCGAACGGGTTACCGGACCATGATGTGGCTGCGGGGGTCTCGCCTAGGGGTGCCGCGACCGTACCACGGGCCCACGAAAGAATGACCATCTGCGACCCTCGCTCCTGCGCGTGCATAGCGATCGCGTTCGGGAACTCGTCATAGGGCACAACGGTAAGCGCGGCCGACACTGATATCTTGTTCAGGTGAGCGAAGGTGCGGAAGACCGAGACAACGGGGTCATTGAGGATGAGCGAGTCGCCCTCCGTCGACTTGATCACGGCTGAAGTACGATTCGAGAGCTCGATGAGGCGCAGCGCGTCGATAGTGATCGGACGACGACGAGGAGACGACACTGCTGACTCCTTGGGCAGAGCAGGGGCGGCCAAAGAGAGGTCCGACTTTGCATCATCAGGCCCATTCGACAGGGCGTACGCCGCAGGGTTCTCCGGCTGCAACAGGTGCGACAGTGTCATGACCGTCGGCAGCTCGTCCACCTTCTCCATGACGAAAGCGAACCGGGTCTTCGTCTCCTCCACGGCCTGCGACGACCCCTCCTCCAGGTCCTTGTCGCTCTTCTTGCCCTCGAGACCGGTCGAGTGCTTCCGGTGCCTCTCGGGATAGAATAGGAGCGTCAAGGGCGTGGTCATAAATGTCAAGACCAGAGCCATGAGCACGAACATGGAGAACGTGCGGGTGTCCAGGACTCCGGCCTGAAGGCCGACATTGAGAACGATGAGCTCCACGAGACTGACGTGGAGATGAGCACAATATTCTCAGCGAGGCGAAGATAGTACATACCCCTTGCAACTCATCAGGGAGCCCATAGCACCGGCCTCGCGCCAGTTGAAGCCCATGGCGAAGGCTGCACCCGCGCATGCGAAGAACTTCGAGGCGAAAGCGACGACACAGAGAAGTACAACGTAGCCCCACGTAATTCCATTGTCAAGCAGGCCCAAGTTTGTCTTCAACCCAGACAGTGTGAAGTACTGCCCAAAGCTATGAGCAGCTGCAATGCGACCAGATCGATGGTACTTACCAGTGGCAGCAAAAGCAGTGAGACGAAGTCCTCAAGCTTCTCAACGAGGGAAATAGCGTATCCATTCTCGTGAGGAATGATCAGGCCGGCAAGGAAGCCACCGAAGATAGCATGTACACCAATGATGTCGGTGAAAAAGGCCGAGATGTAGACGGTCAAGAGGGTCAAGGTCATCATGAACGATGTCGGCGATCCCGCTTCGATACTCCCCGTCCGCTTCGCAAGCCAAACATAGCCCCATTTGACAGGGTATAGCAGGAAGATCACGAAGCCCGCCGCCGTAAGCAGGACCCAAAGTGCGGTGAGGCCAGAGTCTGCATTCACGAGCGCGACTGTGAGCGCTAGGAGCACCCAGCCGATCACGTCATTCCCGACCCCTGCGGAAAGCACGATAACGCCGACCGTGGTGTCGAGTAGCTTGAGCTCGGTGAGGATGCGACACAGGACAGGGAAGGCCGTAATGCCGATGGCGACCGCGGTGAAGAGCAAGAAGTTGCCATAGTTGGCAGAGCCATCCGTGAATTCATTGTAGATGCCAACACCAACTGCTGCGCCCAGGCCGAGGGGGACAAGGAGTCCAGCTATCGAAACGGCGGTCGCGGCGGCGACATTGCGTTTGACCATGCGGACGTCGATTTCCAGGCCGACCAGAAAGAGGAAAAGGACGAGGCCGATGTTGGCAGTGAGGGTAAGGCCGTCCATGGACTCGTCGGGGAAGATGGCCTGCTTGAACCCGGGGATCCTACCCATGATACTGGGGCCCAGTATCACTCCGCCAATCACTTCTGCGATGACCCTGGGCTGGCGAATACGACTGAGGAACAGCGAGAGGATCTGGGTCATGCCAATGATGATGACTGGCGGGATTGTTAGCTAACAAGACACGCATGAGGGAATGGTAAACGCACCGAGTTGAATGACCCATAGCTTGATGGGGTCCGCTGAGCTGTACTATAACGATGATTTGGAATGGTATACTGCGACGTCCCCCTTCCAACTAACCTTCGAAGGGTTATCGCCTGAAAACACGCCGCCCTGTAGAACGTTTAGCTGTGGGGGCTTCGGTCCAAGTTCGCCCGTACCTGGCCGGACGCTGCTCTGCGGTAGAGCTCAACTACCTGCCGAGTAACGAGACCGCCGCCCATAGCGATGTCGTCCTCAAGATGGAGGTCAAGGAAAAGGTGGAGATGGGAGGGAAAGGTCCCGACCCCGCATCTCCAGAATATATAGGGGTAATTGATGCCATCACATTCGTGCCTGGCGCTTCGCCTCATGTCACATTCTTGCTTGTCCTTCTCATTCAAGGACCTTTTCCCCGATCTGTGCGCTCAGCTTCAGTGGTCTCTCGCACTCCTGTGGATGCTCATGTACTCATTAGCCGGATTACGGTGGTATTGTGGAGATGGCTGCGGAGGAGAGGCAATCGATCAGCTACAGACGAGAGTGAGCATGGTGGCGTCTCCACTTATGTCTACTTCTGACTTGCAACCGTCATAGGTCATACCTCGAGGTCGACTGGGGAACTGCCAAGGACCTTCCACGACCTCTCGTGATCCTACCAGAACTACCAACGGATCTCTCGAGCCCCGCCGCCCGAGTCGCCAAGCTCGATGAGCACGCTGCAGCAGTCCGCGCGCATCTCGCTGTCATATACTCTCAGCGCAACGACTATATTCCCATCGCACAACTCCCCGATGAGACACTAGCCGATATCTTCCTTTGGGTCGCGCGCAGCTTTCCCTTGGACTCCCCCGCCTTCCGCGATTGGACTAGCTTGATGCTCGTCTGCCGACGATGGCGCTCTGTCGCCGTGTCGAGCTCTGCCCTATGGAGTCGTGTATACATCGGACATGACGTTCCCTCCTTCTCTTCCCTCTTGCGCATCGATCGCTGCAAAATGCACCCCTTGACCGTGAACATGAACGTGGATGCCACCTACTTTCAGACGGACGCGCGTATCCTGCGATCCGCTCTTTCCGTCATTGGTCCTCATTTCGATAATGTGGAAACGCTCGAAGCGAAAGCCACGCATATGTCTATCAGAAAGCTCGTCTACATGCTGGCGGAAAAGAAGCGTCGTAATCTACGGCATCTGTCGCTCGCTCTGGCGGACACGCACTACTGGGAGGAGCCCGAATGGTTCGACCTCCATCCTGACACGGCCGCAAATCTGTTCTCTCACTTAACTTCAATCTCCCTCTCAAACGTCGGTCTAGGATGGGATCACTTTCATAACCTCACACGGATACACATAATGTACACCGTCGTACTGCATGTACATTATCTGAAGTTCCCTACCCTCGAGGCCTTGCTGCGTCGCTCACCGGCGCTGAGCGACCTCTTGCTCTGGGACTGCTTCTTGATCGATGACATTCATGCATCTTCGGCGCCTATCAGACTCCCTTGTTTGAGTCGCTGCAGCCTTCGGTCGCATCCTGCGCACTGCGCCTTCCTACTCTCTGCCATGCAGATTCCGCCCGCGACCACTATTGCCGTCTCTACTCATGGAGAGGTGGCGCATGTCGGCGAAGTCATGCCTCTGCTCGACGTGTTGCGTAAACATTTCGAGCGGCCGGGCGCCCCTCTCCTGCGCGCCCTGCAGCTTCAACACCACACACCAGCATGGAGATGGTACTCAAATCCCATGCTTCAGTACGATGGAGAGGAGGGACACGAACCGAGTCTTAGTCTCGAGATCCTCATGAAGGGACCGAGCGCCAGGCTGGATATTGCGGCGGAGATTCTGCAGCCCGTCCTCACCAAAAACGTCGTGGCGCTCGACTGGAGCCAGAACACTCGACAGCATTACAGCAACGGCCTGGGCGGCGCGTTCCAGTACAACGTCCTTCGCGCACTACCAGCCCTACGAGACGTCTTTGTGTGCAGCACCCCTCACAATTTCTCGTGGATTTCGAAGGTACGCGAGATGGTCGAGGATACACCTGAGAAGTTGCAGGAGGAACCAATGCGGCGGCTTGAAGGTGTCTATTGGGTCGAGTCCGCCCGTAGCAGCGAACTATCCAAGAACGCGATGGAGAAGTTCACAGGGAGTCTTAGGCAAATGGTCGACGTCTACGCTCGGGTCGGACATCCTCTCAAAAGGCTGGTTTTCGACCCGAACTGGCTCACTTGGCACGGGAAGGCATACTTCTTGGATGTTAGTTGTGCGTCATTACTTCAGAAAAAGCCTTACCTAGCTTTAATTTCAGGACCTGGAATTATACGAATCGAACATGAGAAAGTTCAAGGGTGACGGGGAGGACCTCGAACTTTGCGAGATGCAACTCCGGTATTAGCGAGCACTACACCTATGTTTGGCCATGCACCGATCCGATGTGCTGCCTCTACGAGTTTTATGGTGTGACGAGGAGCAGAATGGATGGGATATTAGTTGCGTTGATGGTCGATGAACTGTGCGAGGGCCGAAGCATGATAGCGCGTGATGTGCCACGTGCTCCCGGGCCGAAACTCAGACTGGCCATCGGTCGTCGCGCGAACACCCACTACCTTGAACAGAACCATCATGGAGCTCGACGAAGCTGAAGTCTCTCAGGGAAAAAACGAGAATCGGCTAAAGACGACGAGAGACGGGGACATCGACGTCCAATATGATCCCGAGTGAGTGACCACGAGCGCGAGGCGGTTTTTTTTTGGCTTATATGCGCCGAAATCTCAAAGTCATCCGCATCCCGCCCATCCCTGGGCCACGGCAGACGTACTTCGCCATCCGTTGCTCGTACTCCCAAACGAAGACAAGACCTCGAGCTCTGCGACCAGGCGCGCGAATCTTGATCAACATATTGCCTCCATACGAAATCAGCTCGCCGCGCTCGTGATCTACCGCAACTCGCTCGCCGACATCTCTAGCTTGCCCAACGAACTTCTCGGAGACATATTTCTGCTTTACGCTCGGGAAACCAACACCCTGTCTGGTCTTCGCTGGACCAAGCTTCTGCTTGTGTGTCGCCGCTGGACCATAATCGGGCTGTCCACGCCGGCGCTCTGGAGCTACATCGAGTTCGACAACTACGCGCTCGCCGCATCGGTACACACAGCAGCCCTGCAGCAGCTGTGCCTTCCCGGCGCCCATCCCCTCACTGTCGCCGTCCAAGACGATTTTAGGGCGCCTTTCCTTACTCGTATCCTACATCTCCTTGCGTCGAGTGTGGACCGCATATCCTCGCTGAAAGTAGGCTCTGCGGGTCCGCATCTTGCGGAACTACTGGAGATGCTGGCGCAGGAAAAACGGAGCAACCTTCGGACGCTCTCGCTCTCGCTCCACGGTCAACCTGGAGAGGTTTTCGTCGTGCCTGGCGCCCATACAGAGCACATAGTTTGCAACATTCGCATCCTCAGGCTGAGCAATGTTTCCCTCGACTGGAGCTATCTGCGAAACCTCAGCAGCATCACTATAATAAACAACTATCCGACTGCGCCATTCCTCGACGTAGCTGCGTTGCTGGAGGTACTCCGCTACTCGCCGAGGCTTGAAGACTTGTTTCTCAATGACTGCCTCGCTCTTTCTGATACCCACGAAAGGAGCGCTGCCACGGTCGACCTCCCATACCTGGAAGATCTCGAGCTCTGGGGTCGTACCTCTAGCTATACTGCTCTCATCTCGCGCCTGCACTTTCCTCGAATTCGCCGCGTGATCCTGGAGGCTTACGGAGTCAACGACGGTCCCCGCATTCAGTCATTCGTCAATCACCTGCATCCACTTTATCGCCTTTCGGAAACACGCCCTCTTCGCCTCCTGCAATTCTACAATTCGCAACAGCGAGTCACCTTCACCTGGTTTTCCGACACCGTTGTGCCGGATTGTCACGGACCGTTCCTTGGCGGTGATGTGATCCCTCTCAAGTTCACCGTCTATCCTCGCCGCGAACCGGCCCTTCGTCGCATCATGGGTGCCATCATGCGCTCCCTACCGGCGGCGGCGCACGTCGAGGTCCTCGATATCCGGGAATCTTTCAACAAGGAGATGTCGCAGCTCACATGCGCACACCTGCTGGATCTGCTGCCTGCATTGACCACAATCGTCCTGGAGATGGCAGACTACACGCTGGAGTTCATTGATGCTCTGCATGCGGCGTTCCTTCGATGGCTTGAGCGTCCAGATGGGCTCGGACCGCAACCTCTGCGTCGTATCCATTATTTTGCCTCGCGCTATCCAAGAGCCGAGGGAATTACCACGGTACTCCTCGAAGATGCCGTCGCAGCTCGCCTCTCAAAGTTGCTGCGACTCTATACAAGTGCTGGAGTTTACCTCGAGGAACTTCGTATTGAAGATGTGGCGGAAAGATTACCATGGGGTTCCTTACGAGTTGAGCCTTTCATTCGAACCCTTCGCGTCGGCTCATGCGCAGCCATAGAATCTCGCGCAACACGTGGTGGAAGGAGCAATCGTCATGAACGGAGAGTACATCTTTCCAGGCTCGACTTGCGTCGGTGGTCTCGAGATGTAGACGAGCTGGTCTCCCAGGTATCACGGTGCGTACGCAAGAGGGCCAAAGTAACACGCCGCTGATTGCGATTTCAGGACTTCTTCTGCGATGGAGTTCACAGCTCATATGCGTACATGCAGCGTCAAATGATACAAAATTCCTGTGCTCTTTATTTGCGTGCCTCCCACTCCGCCAGCGTGATGCAGTCAGCAGAAATCGCGGGGGGATATCTCCCGCCCTGGACCTCAGCCTTCTTCACCAGTTCCGTCAGTGTCGCCACATCTTCGCCCGTGAGCTGGCAGAAGAGGTTGTTCAACTTGTTGAGGTCCGTCGGCAGACGCCTGGGCCCTGTCTCGACGCGCTCGCGAATGAAGCGGACGTTTGGCACGGCATTTCGGGTAGGGTCACGCCACGTGAGAGGAGGTCACACCAAATTGAACCACAGGCGCGGTAAACTTTGACCACGTTCGTGGCCTGAATTCTGTCTTGCTTTGCTTGATCTAGTCCAATCTTACTTTCGGCGCTCAAGACCTCCCACCTACGGCTCGGATGAACTCTCGGCGCCCTCGGTGCATCTTTCTAGTCAAGCAGGGACTCGAAGATGCTCAGGGCCATTTCTCGCTGCCTGCAGGTCTACTTACGCCGTCTGATGGCCGTCGAGGTGCGCCTTGCCCGGTCGACCGCAGCGCGTGATAGGACACCCATCAAGATAGGGTTCCTCTGCTCCTGGCGCGCGGTGCTCACGATCGCGTTCTGACACCACTTACTCCGTCTCGCGATGTGTATCCCCGTTATCCGTACCGGACCTCTGCCTTGGCAAGGCCGCCTGCTCGACCGCCGGGCACGCAGCAGCATCTTCTAATCATAGATGTCGCCGAGTCACCTTCAAGTGCCTCATTGGGGGCCCCTGGTCTCCGCTTGCACCTGGCTATCTATGCTTCGCTCCCGCGCGGACGGATAATAGAGTGCGTGCGACTTCTGGCGACGTTTGGTCTCGCTTCGGAGCCTCTTCGCCACTTCCTGGACATTTGGCGCCTACCTGGTTACCTGCTAACCTCCGATTCCGCCCTAACTTCGCGGCAATCTCAGAGGGACTCATTCGGTAACTAGCGTCAAGGTTCTCCGTACCCCTCTCGCCGTCGCCGTGGGAGAACAGCTCCGGATGTGTGCGGCCTTTTCGAGGGTGAAGGACGTCTGGTGATGACTTGAACTGCATTGTTCATGCCAATACCATTGCGGTGGGTGCGGCCACGTGTAGGGCAGATTATGACGACCACCAATACCTTTCGTGAATGACATAGGTTGGTATGGCGGTACTTCTTGCCTTGTACACGTTTGCCGCCCCCGGATGCATGTTCGTTGGACGCCACGCACATGCCTCGGCGCGTCAATTTCGCCCGCGCCACCACGTTTGCTGCTAGACTTGTCGCCATCCGACGGCGCGTATCTCGCGCAATGGAGTTGGCAGAGCACGTTCCTTGCAAGCAGGTTCAACAAAGCGCCCCAGACGCATCTTCCTTACATAAAGCCGAGGAGCCACGATTGCAAAATTGAAGGGTGTGGGGTTCTCGCGTCCCTCCCGATCGTCTATATAAGCACCCCTCGAGTTTCTCGGCCGCCAGGTCTTCTTTCTTCCCCCGCAGACCCTTCTTGTCCCTTATACTAGCAGTACCAGGATAGAGACATGGCTCCCACTTCATATCCTGGTGCGTACTGACTCTCGAGCTCGTAGCAACGCCACACCAACTGACGCGCTACTTATCAGACTGCTGGGGACACCGCGGCGTACGCGAACCGCTGCTATCTACCGCGTCCCACGACTGACCGGACGTGCTCCAGGCCTCCGCGAGCTTCCCGGAGAACACGCTCGCCAGCTTCGAGGCCGCCATGCGCGATGGCGCCGAAGGCATCGAGAGTGGTAAAGTGTCCCATTACTGCACCCGTGTCGCGGCGAGAGCAGCGATGTTCACACCGCACAAGACGTCCACGTCTCGCTCGATGGCGTCGTTCTCATGTTTCATGACCCCTGTGAGTACCCGAGCCGCCGCATGGTCGGAGTTGGCAGTGCCGCTGACGGGCGCTTGCCAGCGTTGAATCGTACCACGGACTCGACGGGTGCGTGATAACATGTTCCTTACCATGCGCGAGGCTGACTCCATGCGCAGGACTGATAGGGGAACGTAACTGGTACGGCTCGGACGGGATTGAGCATGTTAGGACCAGGCAGGAACCTGTGCAAGCTATCCCCACATTCGCGGAGACCGTCGCGCTCCTGATGAAGGTGCGTCGCACGCCCGGACCCTTAACGCGAGCTGACACCTCGCTCGCTAGCCGGAGAACATGCATGTCGTGTTCGACGTTGTACGTCTCCCCTTTCACATCCGCAGTCACGCGGGCTGAACCCTTCGCGCAGGACATCAAACCCCAAAACGACCCGGAGCGTCTGTTCACCCTCCTTCACGAGATTATCTCCTCCTACGCCGACTGGCAGACGCAGCTCGCGCCGCGCCTGTTGCTCGGCCTCTGGCATCCCCGCTTCCTCCCATACGCCAAGTCCATCCTGCCCTACTGCCGTCGCAGCTACATTGGGACGAGCCCGCGAGTCGCGCGCACGTACTTCTGGGATGACTGCGATACCTTCAGCATGGGCTTCGGCTCGCTCGTGATCTACGGCGGTGCCAAGTTCGTTCGCGAGGCGCACCGCGACGGGAAGAAGGTGATGGTATGGACGGTGAACGATATGGACGAGCTACTAGAGGTCAGTATCCGAGTACTGCCAAGGGGATATTGACTTATCGGGACGTAGACGATCCGCTGGGAGGTCGATGTCGTGCTCACCGATCGCACTGGCCCCTTCTTGCAGCTCCGCAAGGATCTGCACGGTACGTCGCTCCAGTCTGGCATGGAGTTCCTGTGCTAAGCGTACTTGCAGCTGACTACAAGCGGACCATGGCCAAGCAGTCGCGGATCTTCCTCTGGACGACGTGGAAGTACTACACGCCCGCCAATACCGTTCTTGAGCGCCGCGCGCACAAGGACCTCGTGAAGATCGCGGGCTCCATGAAGGGCGCCAAGGACATCGTCGTCGCTCCCAGACCCACTGCATCCTCGACTGCTAGCTCTAGCTCCTTCACGGAGAAGGGTACTGAGGCTACTGCATCGGATTCGGAGGAAGGACATGTCGACTCCAAGCCTTCTATGGCGCCTGAGACGGTGCAAATTCCCGTCCTTGGCTCCGCTACTGCATGATCGTCGTTGGTTGCGACCTCACTCTTCCTGTAGACGTATATCACTCTTGCTGTCCTCGCTCTCGATACACCTGTGCTATCCCGGGTGTTACGCTCCATAGACACGACTAATTTTTCGCATACGTGATCACTTTGAATGAATGGATACACTGGAGCGCGCTGTCGCTGTCAGTGTTAGCTATAGCATGGTTGCGGGTGTGAATGTAGTACGGTCAGAATTTTCTGAGGAAACCAAGCTGGCAAACGACGCGACGCGTCGCGTCAGTGCCGCTCGCGTGACGGTGTTCTATGTGACTCACCTGCCCTCTCCCCTCATCCCCCAGAGGCTTCCTCGATTGCTGGATACCCAAGTTTTCTTACTGTATACACTCTTCCTGCCGAGAATCATGAACGTCAAAGTCGTCGAACGCACCAAGGTCGTTTTGGATAGGGTACCTGCTCCCTCGCAGAGCGCGAGTCAAGCAGGTTCGACAGCCGGACCCAGCAGCTCCCAGAGCCAACCGCGCGCAGAGAATGCACAGACCTCGGACCCTCTTCAAATTGCTGCACAAATATATCCATGGCTTTATATGACATCGACGTTGGAGAAGGCATTCGGCGACAGCGAACGGGCGGCGGAAGTGCGTGCATACCGGCTTGCTTGATAAACGTTGCTGACCTGCACTCAGGCAGAGATAGAGGCTTTCGCGAGGGACCTTGCGCAGGATGAGGAAGAGATACGCGATGAGAAGGTGCGGTGGGAGAGCGAGCGTTTCGTCGAGTTCTGTGATGTAGGTATGCGGTGCTTGGTCCCCCTTCTCGTACTGACGCACGTTGTTCGACTAGTCGCTATCGTCGACACCGAAGGGACACCTACACGTTCTACAAGATCTGCCCGAGATCATACAGTCTTATCTGAGACATGGCAAGGAGGCCGATACCTGGGAGAGGAAGGCGCTGGACATGGCCATGAGCCAGATCGGTACAGGTGCGAGAACAGCGTCTCGTACATGAACATCGCTCTAATGTAATCGTCCAGGTCCAGCCGCAGGAAATACGCGGGAAGGAGAGAACGAAGCCGCAGAGGATGGACAAGCCGAAGAAGAACGCTTGGAGGGCGCGTATCAGCAGCAGTTGACGGACCTCCAAGATGCCATAGATCGCATCGAAGGTCTAGTCGAAGACGCAGGTGCTCTCGAAGGCCGGATACAAGGAGTCATCGATGCTGTCGCACCCCCGCCTCCTGCCGTCGCCCCGCCATCCCCGCCCTCGAGCGTCAAATCACTCGACGACGATACACCTACCGCTGCAGACCCAACCTCCCATCCATTATTGACCCCGCTGCAGCAACTCTTGCCACTGTTATCTTTGCGGAGCGACAACCTCAAGCTCGCGCTGGAGTTGGTAGATGGCGCGAGAGAGGGGGCAGCAATGAACTTGCGGGCGATCAGCTTGGGCCTGTATTGAATTCCCAAGGTGCCGTGCTCCCCCGTTCACAATAAGCGCCATTCTGACGCATCGCCTCAGTGATCCCTTTGTGACCTTCGATGCTATACACAGTACCTCGAGTAGCCATCTCAATACAGCAGCTGTCGCAGCGAAGTCATGTCGGGACCGTCGAGTGTTCTCAATTGTCCACGCGTAGACCGATAGACGTAACGAAGGGCGTGTGTCGTTAGGTTCTAGCGCTAGAAGCGTGCGTATGTTTCTCTGCATGGACCAGCGGCGGTGCACATGCTGACCGTGAAAGGCAGGAGCTAACGGCTCATGCAGCCTTCAAGCCGTATACTTCAGCATGCCCAGTCGCTCTCCAGCACTTTCTCTGATGTCCTGTGGCACAGAAATACAGCGGATATCTGCAGAAGACTGGGAACAAGCACGGCGCCTAACGGTTACACGTGCCGCCCGCAGTCGACGGACGACATGCCTTTTTGAGCTCAATGGTCAAAAACATTGATGGCGGGGACAATAACCTGTGTTTGATACGGGCCCGGGTCCCGGCCCTGGCATATTTAACCGGGCCCGCCACTCCTTTCACTCCCTTCAGACAAACCCCCACCACAACCAGCAAAGCTCCCACTTTGTGGCATTCAACTCACATACACCAACCAACTCTATCATCCCTCGACAATGAGCACTAGCGCTTCTTCCGCTTTCCCCGAGCCGTTGTTTTCGCACGACTTTCTGGCGCAGGAGTTAGGCGCCGACCGGGTCGACACGGTTGAGGGGGGCGAGCAGGGCTCTGACAATGGAGCGCACGATGGACTCTTGGATGAGAAGGATGAGTCCGACGAGCAGGACAGTTATGTCGACCTCTTCGGCGCTTACGACTCTGAAGACGAGAACGAGGTGCGTCGTCGGTGTCACTTGCTCATCGGACGACCTCTGACGACTTTCTCAGACGGCCAAGGAGGGCGGAGCCCCCGAGCAGAGTGCCAACAACGTAGAGCACGACAACCTCTTCTTGGACGACGAGAATGACGAGAAGGACACGAAGAACAACCTCTTCCTTCACGGCCTCCATGAAGATGACAACGAGGTGCGTTGTCAATGATGCTTGCGACCCAGCCAACCTCTGACAATGCACGTAGGGCACCGACACTGCCGTTGGCACGCCCGCCACAAAGACCTACTCTCCGGCCTTCGAAGGCCTCTCCTTCCCTACCATGGGCGGACCCGTCACAAACCCGCCCCATCTCGCTGATCCCGCCACGTTCGAGCGTGCGCCCACCCCGGAATACGTCCCCTTCCCCGAGACGCCTGTTTCGCATGAGATTCCGGACCGCGACCACAGTGTCTCCCCCACTGGGGTCAAGACGCCATCCTACAGCCGGTCTCGCGCAGAGTCGCCTCTGAGCCCTGTTTCGGCGTCTATCTTGAAGCTGGCCAGCCGGTCGCCGTCGCCTCCGCCTGCCATCCCTGCGCGCAACATCTCCGCATCGCCAACGATCATCACTTCCTCCGCCACCCCTTTAACAGCATCTTCCACTCATCCAAAGGTAACGCAATCAGTCGACTGCATCGCCGTTCATGACGCTGACGCTGCTCGCAATCTACAGTCAGGCGCGCAAGCCGTCTTTCCCGCTACACCGGCTGCTACTCCAACTCCAAATCGCTCATCAGTTGCGAGGGCGCCGAAAGCCAGAATCCCATTCCCCTTCAAGAAGAAGTCCCCGTCTACACCCGCGACTGGTCCCGAGAAGGCATCAGCCTTAGATCAGCGCGATGGGCAGGAGCCGAAGCGCCCTGCCATACCGACCGCTGCCCATCTCGAGGACGCGGCGGACAGCATAGAGAAAGCCAACACCCGGTACCATAAGGGTTCGATACTGCCTTCTGGCCCCTACACTACTTCGGCATCCACTTCTACCGCCGCACGTCTTGTCGCCACTCCCTCTGCGCCTCTCAAGGGACCTTCGACGAATGCCTTGTTTGCGCATGCGACGGTCGCCGCGCGACAGATCTCGGAGCACGCCACTTTCCAGAAGCCAGTAGCCAGCAGCGCTCGCGAGCGCATCGCACAGCCAGTCTCTAACAAGCGCAAGGCAGAGGAGCCGGGCTCGGGCGGCTCGCCACCGAAAAGGTGCAAGGAAGAAGAGGCTCCGCGCGCGAGCTCGAGCAGGTCTTCGTCGTCCACTAGACAGGCGTCGACGTCTGCGCGCACCTTGACAGCCCAGCCCGCCAGACGCACGACGAGGCTCATAGAAGACCCCCTGCCTCTTCCATCCACTAGCAAGGTCGAGAAGCGCAAGAGGTCGAGGGCGTCCGAGCAAGATGGCTATAACACGCACGGACTCTACAGCTGCAAGATGCCTGTGCATAGCACCTCCTTGAGAGATCGCCTCATGGGCTATGTCCCTCCGCCCAAGCCATCGACCGTCGCCAACCTGGAGGCGCGCATGCAGATGGCCAGGGCGCCGAAGGCTCCGGAGCCATCCGTCGAGGTGGCTGCCCCGCCCAAGACCAAGAAGCGCGAGGCGGTCGATGATGGTGACGAGGAGTCTGAACCTGCACCGGCAAAGAAGACTAAGCGAGTGGAGAGCACGTTGACCCAGATGTCGAAGAAGCTGAGGGCGATGAACCGCCGGGTTCGATAAAGGGCCGTGTTGCTCGCGCACACTTTGAGTGCTAGTCGAACGAGACGAGACGTCTCCCTTTCTCTGGGACTCGACGGGATCCTGTGCGGAAGGGAGGATCGTCCTCCCTAAGTGCCCACCAAGCTTGCTGTGAACCTCCAACGCCACAGATGGAAGGACGACAACATCGTCAGGAAATGAAATCTGCAGTTGGCCTTCGGATGGATCGTCATATACTATACTCGCCTGCATGTAACTGTGCTCATGGAAATCTCGTTTTCTCCTTTTCTTCAAGTTTTTAACGTCTGGATGATCTGATCTCTCTTCTCCATATATTACCTTGGTTGTGTGTGATTTTCCCTACATCTCTAATACCCTTGCGAAGGCCCACGAAGGGCAGAATTGTATTTACCTCTTAATCGATTTGACCACTAGTTAAAAGAAATTGCGATTTTCGGCATACTTATGTGTAGACATGGAATACAAAGGGAAACGAGCAAGAACCTGCGTCGGGAGGAGGAAGATGCCCGAGCCAGGAGTCGTTCGTTCACTGAGTGAGGTGTGATCTCTGTCACGTCGAACCTCCTTTTGCGGAAGGAAGTTCTCACGCCTGTTCTGACAAGGACCTCACTCATGGATTTGCCGAGTTGTATATCCGCTGCCACCTCCTCGCAATGCCACTTTCTAGTGTGCTACTCCTCGAAATACTGCTCAAGTCATAGTCCACTGCCGACATTTGCCAGTAGACCCGCTCGGTACACCCCACACCTGACTGTTCGCCCCCTCCGCCGTCGACATGTCTGCCAGCACGAAGACGCAGCAAAATGGTCAGACGCACGATGATATCGAGTTCCTGTCTGCGCCAACCAGAGTAGCTCGCGGCATGGGCAAGACTGGGCGCGCGCCTGTGTTTGCGACGAATCAACAGATGCGGGCCCTTCAGGCGGCGTACCAGGAAAGCACGTTCATCCAGGGATCTAGGCTGCAGAAACTCGCCGACGATGTTGGACTGTGCGCCCCAAAATCATCCTAGCAATTCTCGCAACTGACATGCTTGTAGGACGCAGAGGTGGATCGCGCTCTGGTTCCAGCGGCAGCGACGGAAGACGCGCGATGAGAAGCCTCAAGAGGCCGACCAGCCTGTTAAACAGGAAGATGAGGTGCCTTCTGTGAAGGGGAACACGAACGGCCGCGTTCGAAAGCGGCGCAAGAGCAAGAAGATGATCGAAGACGAAGACGACGATGAGCAGGATGTTGGTGCGTCTAGCTCGAAGTCCCTCGTCAAGAAGGAGCCGGAAGACTCCACTGCGACGGTGCCCGCGAAGCCGCTGACTCTTACTATACGACTACCGGCGCTAAAGAGGGCTCACCCGACGATGAACGACGCGCACTCGGAGGTGACGATGGTGGTCGATCCACAGCCGGTCACGCAGACGGCTTCATCTCAGCCTACGGCGTCCTCTTCAAGACCTCGATCCGGCTCCATAATCGACTTCGGAGACACGAATGAACCCATGCCTGCCCCAACGGAGCATCAGCAACCTCTATCGTTCCCCCGCCAAGAATCCTTCCCCTCCGCGTCCAGACCACCTTCGCCTCAGGAAATTATAACTCAACCTCAATACCAGAGCCACTATGACCCCTCGAGCTCCGCGCCACAAGTATTCTTACCGGTCCCCCCAACACTTCAACCCCCAGGCTCGCCCGTCTCCATCCCCTCCAGCTCCTCCGATAGCGACGACAGCGACCTCGCATCTGCCCCACCCCTCCTCGCCTCCAATCCACATGCCCGCGCCTTGCACGCCGGCGCGCCCGTCGACCCGGACGTCGCCACCCAGCCGGCTTACAAGTTCACCGACCCCACGCGCCTGCGCGAGATGTATGTGGACATGTACAGCCGCCCGGGGCCCGCGCCGCTCGATGTGCTAGCGCCGCCGCAGAAGCGTACGCGGACGGCGTATGAACACTTGGCGAAGTATCCCACGTTGGCGCCTGGGGAGAGGGCGGCGATGGGGCAGTCGCAGATGAAGCAGGAGCCAGGAGAGGGAAGCTTGCAACCCAGGCCCTCTCCGTATATGCCTCCGCCACCACCACCTGCCGAAGGAGAGGAGGATCCCGCCATGGCTTTGTCGTCGCATGCCGAAGAGGCGGATCCTACTGCGCGGGAGCCCTCTGAAGAGGTTCAACTCGCATATCCCGACGCAGCTTCGCCTTCGCCTCCGCCATCAGGAACCTTGCGAACCTCGCATGGACCAGCAGCAGCACTTCGTACTCAACGGACATTCGTCAAAACTGAGCCAGCCTCTGATGCGCCTGCGCTTCGACCAGCGAACTTTGAAGTCCCTCCCGTACCGTATGGTGCGCCTCCGTGGCGGCCGATGTCTCCGCAGCCGTCAAGGAGACAGTCAACTGTGGCCATTCCCAATGAGGAACTCGACGAAGATAGCGTAAGTCCCTCACTTTCGTACGAACCGTTACGATGCACTGACAAGCATGTAGCCTGCCGCTCTCTTCAAACAACTTGCTGTGCTGAAAGTGGCCGATGACGCAGGCCCGGTGGACGTTGATGCGTCAGCAGGTCAGGAATATGTTACGGATCGAGAGGAGATTCTGCGCCGACTGCTTGACCCTGCGCTGGCTGAGCGAGATCCAGTTCAGGTGAGCCAATACCATCTACATCACTAAACCTAGGCGCTAATGCTATCGTACGTAGGCAGCGATGGGTCTTGTTTTCTTGGCTCGCGTGGGCATGCAAGATTACCTGTGATCTGCTGTCGGCCTGCTTGCTTTGCCTGACCTTTCTCTTGTTGCATTATCGCTGTCGTTCTGTCGCCTTCCCCTGCTTTCATGTGCATACCTTACTTATTCGTTTCTGCATCAGGGATCACGATATGTTTGACCTGCTCCGCCTGCGTTATCCTCTCCATGTACAGTAGCACGACTTGATGCCTAATCCGAAACTCCCCAAGCGCGTAAAGTGCTTATCTCTGACAGCAGTGCTCACGACTGCATCTCCCAGGCCAGAGCGTGTCTGGATACGCCGCGAACGGCCAGTCCTTTTCCAGTTGCACCCGTCCGCGTCGGCGAGCACACACCGCACGTGCCGCTTACTAGTCATATTCAAGCGTGACGTCACGCTATTTCGCACCTTTCGCCACATCACCCACATCGATGGCTTTGGACGCTCGCACAACAGCTTTGGCTACCGAATCGGCCCTGCCGACGCGCCAGGGAACGCCGACGACCCCAGCGCCGTCGACGATCCCAACTACAATTCCCCTCGCTACTCTCGCCGACCCGAAGGTCATCATCGACTCGTATGATGCTTTTCTCTTCGACTGCGACGGCGTGCTCTGGCATGGGGACCGCCTAGTCCCGGGCGCGAAGGATGTGCTGGCGGCGCTTCGTGCGCACGGGAAGACGGTCATGTTTATCACGAACAACGCCACAAAGTCCCGTGCGGAATACAAGACGAAATTCGACAAGCTCGGCATCGCGGCGGAGCCTACAGATATTCATACTTCTGCGTCTGCGACTGCGCGCTATGTAGCGTCGGTGCTTAAGCTCAGCGAGCAGTCGAAGTCGAAGGTGGGATCAATATGTGACGTCCGGCGTCCTGTCCACTAATACCCAATCAGGCGTATATCGTAGGCATGGAAGGACTGGAGACGGAGTTGCGAGATGCTGGCGTTGCGACTATTGGTGGCTCTGACCCTGCTCACAATCCGTCGACCACAACGCCGCCTGACTTGACCGACGTCCGAGCGGGCTTCGATGACAAGGTGAATTTCGCCAGAGCAGAATCGCACAACGATTGACCAAGCAGGTCGGCGCCGTCATTTGCGGTCTCGACACCAGGGTCAACTATCTTAAGTTGGCTCGCGCGTTTGTCTACTTACAAGGTTAGTGACTTCACCGAAGGAGGAGAGATTGTGCCAATTCATGCAGACCCGAACGTCCATTTTGTGGCCACCAACCTTGACGCGACGTACCCTCATAGCGCGGGACTCCTGCCAGGAGCTGGCAGCGTCAGCGCCATGTTGAGGTAAGCGAGATTCTATGCAAGCGAAAGGCTCGATTAACCAAGCCCCCAGATATTCGACTAAGCGCGAACCTCTGTCCATCGGCAAGCCCAGTTCCGCGATGTGGGATGCTGTCCGTGTCAGGTACGTGCTTAGATCACTTGGAAGGATCATGTTTTACCTTTCATCAGCTCGAAGCTACCGCAAGGGCGGACGCTTATGGTAGGCGACCGTCTCGACACCGACATCGCATTTGGCAAGAGCGGTGGAGTAGGCACCCTACTGGTCCTCAGCGGTAGGCCATTGTAGTCGTTGACCTTGGGAATTGTGTACTGACGTGTCCCGTCAGGCATTGCTACAACTGCAGACATCACGCCCGCCAACGCACCCGACTACGTCTTGAACAGTGTAGCTGACCTCCTCAGTGCCCTGCAGGGTTAAACGCATAGAAGGAACATAGAATAGAGAATAGAAGATCATTGGGAAGTGACTGATAGACCGCCTTTCTACCTGCAGACGCAAGCCTCTGGCACTTCTCTGTTACTCGCTCGAGGGGATCGCTTCCGAGTGACTTACTCAGTGTCAGTGTACCTTTGCGGAGTTCCCCAGGCATCCCTAGTCTCTCTTTGTAAGCCGATTCCCACCTGCGCCCGGTCTCCGTTTCGATGTCGTCTATTCAACTTTTCCCTTTTGCAGTCTTGCCGGTCTTGATACGCGTCCTTCAGCCGACCATATAGCCCGCGAGCTACTTGGGTAGGACTTCCCTCATACAGTGACGCCGTAGCGCTACTCTCGGCGCTTTGCAAGATGCTTTCGAATCTCAACTGCGTTCCGCGGTCTTCTGAAGGACGTAGGTCATGTGCCGGCTCGGCTTCATGTGGTGCTACGGAACCTTTGCGCGTTGTTCATATAAGAAAACGTCTATGATGAAGGTGCCCCTACAGCTTGACTTGCGAACTAATCCTCCCTCTATAACATACACGAACAGACTATATGGCAGCGAGCTACCCCAAGCGTCACCTTGGCAGAAATGGTCCTCTGGTCAGCGCCATTGGGTTCGGCGCGATGGGTAGGTTATACTGTTCAGTTGCCTCAAAAGCCGCCTAATACGTTTCGCAGGCACCGGCGTGACCAAGCCCAGCGAGTCTGGCTTTGACTTCTACGGCGTCACCAACGAGGAAGAGGTGTTCGCCACCCTCACTCGCGCCGCCGACCTCGGCGTCACCTTCTGGGACACCTCTGACTTCTACGGTGACAGTAAGCATCTGACCTCCCATTCACCCTCAGAAGCGCCTCGCTCACCACTCACCCATCCAGGCGAAGTCAGCATCGGCAAATGGTTCGCAAAGACGGGACGCCGCGACGAGATCTTCCTCGCCACGAAGTTCGGCGGCTGCGACTTCTCTCCGAGCGCGACAAACTTCTTCAATCCGAACAGCAAGCCCGACTATATTCGCGAGCGCGTTGAGACGGCCCTCAAGCGCCTACAGACGGACCACATCGACCTGTTCTACCAGCACCGCGTCGATCCGGAGGTGCCCATCGAGGTCGTGCTCGAGACGCTACGTCCCTACGTGGAGAAGGGGACTATCAAGTACATCGGTCTGAGCGAGTGCTCCGCGGACGTCCTCCGCAGGGCGCGCGGCGTCGCGGGCGTCGGGGAGAAGGTCATCGCGGCGCAGATGGAGCTCAGCCCGTTCGAGACGTACATCGTGCAGAACGGGTTCCTAGACGCAGCGCACGAGCTCGGCGTCGGGCTTGTCGCATACTCGCCATTGGGTAGGGGCATGATTACTGGAAAGTGAGTGGTTGATGATGCATCCGCGCTTCCGCGAACGCAGGCTGATCATGCTCACGCAGATACCACTCCCTCGACGACTTCGAGCCGGGCGACATGCGTCGGGGTATGCCGCGCTTCCAAGGGGAAAACTTCGCGAAGAACCTCGTTCTCGTCGACGCCTTCAAGGCCATCGGGGATAATTACAAGGCGTCCTCCGCCCAAATCTGCCTCGCGTGGTTGCTCGCAGCGTACCCCGACAGTGAGTAGAGGGTGCTTACGATGATGCGCAAGTCGGGGCTGACATATACACGTAGGTATCCCCATCCCGGGTAGCCGAAACCCTACTCGGCTAGAAGAGAACGCCAAGGCGGCGCATATCCAGCTCAAGGCGGAGGATGTGGCGACGCTGACGGAGCTAGTGAAGAAGGCTGAGGTCCAGGGCGGGAGATATCCCCCCGCGTACGCGGCCACGATCTCCGCTGACTGCATCACGCTGGCGGAATGGGAAACGCACAAGTGAAAGGTCTAATGAATTTGTAGCATTATCGCAGGCTGCATGTACGCGTCCGAGGTGAATGTTGACATCATGAGGGAAGTCCTGAACCCGCGGTCAATGCCTCTCGCTTTAGATCTCTGGTAAATGTACTGCTGTGACCGGAACATCTGGTGCTCATGTTTGTACGGGGGCGATATCGCTGCTCCATAACTTTGTGCGTACCCCGTTCGCTACGACTACCCCTCCCACGACATGTCGAGCGAGAGCCTGGTAAGAGGATCAGCCAGAGGATCTGGACAAGAAGATGGACTCAACTCGAAGAGTTTCCCAAGGCAACTGTTCCGTGGCATCTTCGATGATAAGCTCTTGTAGATAGACGCCCGCGTCCGTATATTGCCATAACAATGCTAGAAGCAGGCCTTCGATGCCTTTTTTAAGCTCCAGGGAGGTGTTACCGTCTACCCTGGTGTGCCCCCTATCCCAATGTATCCGCTGCAGCGGTGATGGTCCAACGCCGGTCTCGAGGTATTCAACGAAGTGGACTCGTAGAACATCAATGATGGAAAGAGTTAAGGGAAAGGTGGAAAAGACAATGGCGCTGAGGTCACGCAGAGAGCCGAGCAGATGGACGCATGTGAGGATCGATAGATCTTGCCAAGAGTTGCGAATGTCGAGGACCTCCACTTTAGCCGCTGCGGGGAGGGAGCGAAAAATGGCCCGCGCGGTGCGCCGGAGGGAAGGCTCATCTCGGGGATGGATAGTAAGCCTGAGCGAGTTCTTCAGGGTATTATACAACTCTGTGGAGTTCCGTAATGTAGTGTCGTTGCACCAGGCAAAGGTCACCCCGGGCGCGTAGAAATCGAGCTGCAGCAGGCGGAAAGGTGGCTTGACTGGGCACAGATAACGGGGGCGCAGGATATCAAGGAGTGGCTGCGCTCGGGGCGTGTTATTGATCCCCCAGGTGTGCAGTATGATGTAGCAATCGCGAGGGAAGTGCAAACGCGAAATGAGTGCTGTGCATACGGCAACGCGACCACGGAGGTCGAGAGTGTGCAGGAATGGTAGATCGACCATGGCAAGGTCGCTTTCGTGGCCGCTAGGCATGGTCATGCAATGGTCTAAGCGCAACATGGTCAACCTCGGCGAGAGACGGACCATATCCAGCACTAGACAGACCCCCAGTGGCGGCGTAAGCACTGTATCGTATCGTATGGTGAGGGTGCTGAGGTCTCTGAGCCTACCCCAGTCCAATACAATGTTTCTGAGGTTTAGGACGCGGATGTTGCATGATATGTTGTCCGTCCAGGAGCTGGGCGCGATAAGCATTTCTCCATCTTCTTCAGCACAGAGCCAGAGGGAAAGTGCTCGAAGATTATGTCTCTTCTCGTGCGCAAGGGCCTCGATAAGGTGTTCCAAGGCATCTTTCGTGGATGTCACGTGAAGCGAATGTATGCGCCCCATGATGAGCGCGAGGAGTGGCAGATTTTCCAGTGTGAAAGTGGAATTGTTGTCGTAGATGGAGATGTTGAGTAGATGCGCGCCAGGACGGTGCAGCAACGCAAAGGGTGATATCGACTGGGGCAAGTATGTTCCGAACTCGATACTGCTCCAGAGCGCAATGGTGGCCATCCCAACTGCTCGCCAATGACGGCAAACCAGCATGAGCTTGGCCCATCTGGCGTTGTAGAGGGTGTAGGTATTCCGAGCGTAGAGCAGAAGTATATCTCCAAGCACTTCGTCAGGGATGCTAGAGATGCCAGCCAGTGAATTGCGATGAGATTTCAGAGCCGAAAGCTGTTTGTGAATGGAGGCGATCTGCTCGTCGAGCTTCGCGCGCCTCGTCGCAGAGTCCGAGATCTTGTCCTCGTTCGGAAGTACAAGCAATGGTTGGCAAATTTTGTCTGCGGTAGCCCAGGTAGAGCCGTGATACGTTTGCCTTTTAGGGAGATGAGCCAAAAGAAATCGCCTCGCCTTCGCAGATACTCACTCGGGATCATATCGTAGGTGGTCAAGGATGCTCCGGTCTACCACCGTATCTGACCTTTTCTCGATATTTTCGAAAGGGCCTTCGAGATTGCCTTGGATCATGGCGGTCCGGTTCAAGGATCCTCGACGGCCAGCGAATTCTCAGATCCTGCTTGAATCTAGTGTGACATCCTCTCACGTGGCGTGACAATGCGCGCAAAGCCGGGCCGGCTGTCCGTTTTCCTCTTGCCTTCGTCCATGTCGCGCCGCCTGCGTAGCCCGGATCCATCGGAAGACCAACAGACACCGAGTGCTGCATCTGTTGGTACACGCGGTGCGAGCCCAAATATGTCCTCTCGGCGTTCCCACAAGCGCAAGACCGAGGACACCGATGCGGACATAACGCTCGTGAAGGCGGAGGGCGCGGCTGAGCTTGGAGCGACAGCCAAGAAAGCGAAGCTGGCCTTCACGAAGCACGAGCGGTTCTGGCTGCTGGACGGAAATGTACAGCTCCAGATAGGGCACACCCGCTTCAGACTGCATCGCAGCCGCCTCGCCTCGCAATCTCCATGGTTCGAGGCGCTTTTCGAGAAGCGAGCTGGAGGAAACCCGACAATTGATCTAGACGGCCCCGACCTCGACAAGATTGTGTTCGAAGACGAGGATGGGATGGACATCATCTACTTGGACTCCGCGGAGGTTAAGGCGGACGACTTCACGGCACTTCTGACGGCGATGGACGATGCAATGTGCGCCTGTGGATTTCCTTGGTCATTGTTCAGTGGAACTGACATACGCCTGCAGCGAGTGTCACACAGACGATCCCCCCGCCCCTACGCTGGCCGCTATATTTCGCGCAGCGAGTATCTTCCGTTTCGAGAAATTCAAGGCGTATGCGCAAAAGAAGCTCACCCACCTCTACCCCAGCTCCCTGAATAAGGTCATTGATGCGTTCCAACCTTACAATACCAACATGGTCATCTTTGCTCGCGACTGGAACCTGCCGCATATCCTCAAGAGGGCACTATACGACATAGTACGCGACAGTGAGGCCGAAGAAACATACCAGCCAGACGAAACAGCGCTGGCGGACCTGTATCCGCGCGACCTGTATGTGCTGTCGGTAGCGCAGAGATGGGTCGCGCTAGAGTGGATGGGTATTCTATCGCTCGACCCCTACGAGTGCAAGAACGAGTCGTGTCACTCCAATTCCGAGATACACTTGTGGCGTGTCGTTCATTCCGACGTCAAGATCGCAGAAACGTATACAATCGATCCGATATGCGGCATGCAGGCCCTCATCGACGTGGACTGGAAGAAGTACGGGCACTGCGACGCTTGCCAGACGCGGAGGAGGAATGAGCTGACAGAGCGGCGGAAGAAGCTGTGGGCGGACCTGGACGATTGGTTCGAGATCGAGATGCCGGGGCAGGAAGAAGAGGATGAAGGGGATGCTAGCGGCGATGGCGCGGAGACTTGATAGCGCTTGGCGTAGATGGAATCGCAAACAGCTTGGACGGACATGCTTGAGTCCTGCCTTCTTGGTTTCTTCGGAAATTGCGTCGTCCTTCATTTCAAGGGAAAGGCCCCGGAAGGGCGCAAAGTTCGATGTCGGCAACTGCGTATCATTTTCCTCCGAACCCTCGTGAATTGGTCGAAGGGGTGTCACAGCGGCACGTGAAGTGACTGCTCGCGTCGGCGTCCGAGTTCGAGCGATCAAGAGAGACATAAACAACATCGTGTCGACTACATGGACTATGGCACAGCAAGTGGGTCCTTCGGCCGTAATGGTTGAGGACGACGCACCGCAGCGACCAGCCAAGCGAAAGGCCGAAGATCTGGATGTCGCGGCCGCGGATCAAGAGCACAGAGACGTGGAGGGATCAGACGAGGACGAGAACAAGGACGAGGACGAAGACCAGGAAAGTGAGGACGAAGAACACGAGGGGTCACCGGCGAGGAAGCGACGAAGACTGGAGTACAAGAAGCACGAGCGGTTCTGGGCGCTGGACGGGAACGTGATCCTGCATCTCGACGGCACCAGCTTCAAGTTGCATCGCAGTCGGCTGGCGTCGCACTCCCCGTGGTTCGAGGCGCTGTTTGAGAGACATGCGGGACGAGGGGCAGAGCTGGATGATGATGCGCCAAGTACAGACGGTGCCGTCGTGGAGGACGGTGAGGACGGCTTGATGATCGTCAATCTAAACGCTACCGGCGTACTCCTCGAAGACTTCGAGGAGCTTTTGACTGCTATGGAGGATACAATGTGCGTTACTCTCTCTCCACCGTGCTTCATCGCTGACATGTCTTGCCAGAGACTACTGCACCGGCGACACCCCATTCCCCGTCCACGCCGCCGTCTACCGCGCTGCCCTTAGACTCCACTTCATGCGATTCGCCGAACATTCGATGGAATGGATCATGGATGACGACGAGGGGTTCTGCGACCACCTGGACCATGTCGAGGACGGCAGAAGTCGGCGCTACATCGTCGACGCCATCCTCCTCGGATTCGGCTGGGGCGTGCGCCCCCTCGTCAAGCGAGGCATCTACGAGCTCGCGCGTCTTTCCGACCTCAACGATCTGCGTGCGAATCCGCCCATGGACTACCGCGAGCTCTCCTTCGACGCGCTGGAGGCCACGTACATGCAGCTGGTGGTCACCGTGCAGAAGAAGCTCGCAATGGCGTGGTCGGATGCGCTTCACGACATCATGACCTCACCCACGCGTTGCAGCAACAGGGAGAGGCCATGCCAGTCTCGCGACCGCATCATCATGTACGAGATCCTCTATGGCACCGGGATCGGCAAGAAGTACACCCTCGATCCTATTTGCGGGCTTCAGGCGCTTATTGACCTTAAATGGACGAATCAAGGACATTGTAAGGGGTGTGCGAAGGCCAGAAGGGATGCGTTGATCGCGAAGCGTCAGAAGATCTGGGACGACCTCGATGGCTGGATAAAGACCGAGTTCATCATATATTAAACCTAGCCAAGCTATGTCTACAAGACCTTATACCCACATTATCATCTATTATTACATTCACTGGAGCTTCTGCTCCTGGAAGTGCATGCGCTTATTGACTGCAGCGCGTAGAATCTATCCGACTGCAAGCTCTAGGTATACTGAAGCGGGGCCGGTCAAGTGATGTGACGGGTCGTGACTGACGCGGGTCGAACAACCGGAACCACAATTATTGCCTTGGCTTCCCCCACCATCCCGGACGGCATCTCGAGCTCTGCCGTCACATTGCTGCTAGAACCGCTCGAATCAAGATGTCTGCTGTAATCTCCAATGGTCCTGCGGATCGTGAGCGCGCAGAAGGGAGCGACACGACGGGGCAGCACAAGAGGAAACTCTCCGAGGCCAGCGACGAGGTCGAGATAGTCCAAAAGGAAAATAGGGAGAGCGTGCCAAATAAGAGGACGAAAAGACCGTACGAGCGACATGAGCGCTTCTGGCTGCAGGACGGAAACGTCGTAGTGCACCTCGATGGTGTGGGGTTCAAGCTGCATCGCAGTCGGCTGGCATCCCAATCCCCCTGGTTTAAGGCCTTGTTCGACAAACGCGCCGGTTGCGATTCCCCTGCAGACGACACTATGCCTCGCCTCCGTGATATTCCGGTAGAAGTGGAGGACGGCTGCGACGTGTATGACCTGCGCGCGACGTACGTCTCCTCGGACGATTTTGCAGCACTGCTATCTGCGATGGACGACGCTGTGTGAGTCGACCATAGCTTACCGTTATTCTCCTCCGAATGCTGACGCGCTGCCAGGTCTTTCCGCTACTCGGCGCCGAGTTTCCCTGTACATGCTGCCATCTTTGCTGCCGCCTCCTCCCTAAACTTCCCCGCATATCGCGCGTATGCTCTGCAAGCTATGGAAGAGGAGTTCTCACCCAGGCTGGAGACCGTGACCGCCGAGTGCAAGCCTCACGCGGCCTTGGCCGTCTCAGTTGGCCATACTTGGTCCCTCCGGCAATTATACAAGCGCGCGTTCTACGAAATGGCACGCAACCCTGATGTGGTGTCGGATGACTGCGGCTTTCTCGACGACTGCGGGGAGCTTGTTCTCTCGTGCATGCTGACGCTGGAGGCCTTTAATTTCCAGAAGAGATTGTCAAAGGCGTGGACGGAGGTCCTGCTCCCATCCGGCCCCAAGTTCTCGTGTAGGGACTGCTTCTCGGACGATTTGACACATTACTGGGCGCCGATACAAGAGGGGATCATGAGCAAGTTCGCATGGGATCCGATCTGTGGGTTGCAGGCGCTCGTGAATGTAGACTGGGGGAAGCACGGCCATTGCTCTATGTGCAGAAAGCGGAGGCGGATAGAGTTCGCGACCAAGCGCGTGAAGTTGTGGGAGGATATGGATGAATGGCTTGCAGTTGTGTAGACAGTCATAGTATCCTCGCATTTGACGAACGTAAAGATGTTTTTGCTACCCATTCCCCTTCCCGACGGCGAGATGAGTGCACAAGGTGGTCGCGATCCGAGCGTGATGGGGGCACCAGGGGTGTCGATCATGGTCGCCAACGGTCCCCGTGTGGTCGCTCATCTAAACCTTTCTCTTCCCGAACCACCACACCATGGCAGCCCGGGCGTCTACCTCGAGCACGAGCGGCCCCTCCTCCAACGGCAAGCCCGCCGACTATGTATACTTCGACCGCAGCACGTCTGGTTTCTCGAGCGATGCGGTCCCGCGCGCCAAGGCTGCGCAGCTCAAGCTGGAGCACTTTTACAAGCTCGCCGTGGATGCGGCGGTCGAGCGGAATCAGCGGTGTGTTGTCAAGAGAATGGGGTGGGAGACCCTGACTGAGAGACTGCACAGACGAGTCGAGCTGGAGCGCAAGTTGCAGGGGGACATGCTGATGCCTGAGGAGCGGAAGCAACGCCAACTGCAGCAGCTGGGGAAGAAGGAATCGACCTTCCTCCGCATGAAGCGCACCAAGCTGGGCGTGGACGACTTCAGGACGGTCAAGGTCATTGGCAAGGGCGCCTTCGGCGAGGTGCGTAGCGTTGAACTGAGCTGAGGATGAATTTACTGATGCGCGCGCAGGTCCGCCTTGTGCAGAAGAGGGATACGGGAAAGATCTATGCTATGAAGTCCCTCAACAAGCAGGCGATGTTGCAGAAGGACCAGGTGCGTTGTCAGCCTCCCTCACTCAGGATTGTTGGCTGACGCCGTATGCGCAGCTCGCACACGTTCGCGCTGAGCGCGACGTCCTTGCGCAGTCAAACTCTCCTTGGGTTGTAGAGTTGTTCTACTCATTCCAGGATCCCTTGTACCTGTGTGTTGCCATCCTTCCTCTCTTGCGTGCCGAAGGGCTCATTCACCGCGCAGGTACCTGGTCATGGAGTTCCTCCCTGGTGGAGATCTCATGACTATGCTCATCAAGTACGATACCTTCTCGGAGGACGTTACTCGGTTCTATATCGGCCAGTGCGTGCTCGCCATAGAAGCCGTGCATAAGCTTGGCTTCATTCACCGGTGCGCTGGACCTCCCCTGCAACTATTCGATCGCTTACACCTGTACAGAGACATCAAGCCGGACAACATCTTGATGTACGCGAGATTCGAGACTCTCAAGGAATTTACATTGACTGGTTGTTAACAGAGACAAGGAGGGCCACATCAAGCTGAGCGACTTCGGTCTATCCACTGGCTTCCACAAGCAACACGACTCCAAATACTACCAACGCCTACTGGAGCAATCCAACCAGCAGCAAACCTCGGCGAATAACGCACGCAATAGTGTGCTCGTCAATTCTATCAACCTCACTATGACACGGAAGGACCAGATCGCGACGTGGAAGGCGAACAGGAGAAAGCTCGTAAGAAATCTGTCTTACCGTCAGCCAAGCTTCGGCTTAACTTTGATAGGCCTACTCTACTGTCGGCACCCCGGACTACATCGCGCCGGAGATCTTCATGCAGCAGGGCTACGACAAGGCGTGCGATTGGTGGTCGCTGGGCGCGATCATGTTCGAGTGCCTTGTCGGCTACCCGCCGTTCTGCTCGCAGACGACGCACGAGACGTACCAGAAGATCATGGACTGGCAGCGTCACCTTGTCTTCCCCGACGACGTGCATCTCAGCCGCGAGTCGGAAGACCTCGTCCGGAGGTATACCATTCCTCGACTATTACATCCACGCGGGCGCTGACCTTACGCTTCCCAGGATGATCTGCGGCGCAGACCGCCGTCTCAACGTCGAGCAGATCAAGAACCACACGTTCTTCTACGGTGTTGAGTGGGACGCGATCCGTCAAATCGACCCGCCATTCGTACCGCAGCTACGGTCGATCACGGACACGACCTACTTCCCTACGGACGAGATCGAGCAGGGCGTCGTCGAAGACACCGCTCCCGACACCAACTCCGGCAGCGACCTCGCGTTTTTGGGGTATGCGACCTATCAATCGGCCTATAAGGAGTGTAAACTGATGACACTTTCACAGATATACCTTCAAACGCTTCAACATCGGGCACTAAGGCGCCTGCTGTACAGTCTATGCTGTCAGATAGGATGGGTTGTATCATGGTAGGTGGTATATGGAGCGCAAGCGCTCTGGTCTACAGTACGCTCGTCGCTCTACGCTATTAGGTGTCTGACTAGTTGTCTATATTATTATACGCGGACGGAATCTCTACCATTCACTCGAATCGGCGCTCTGGGACTTCGCCTTCTTCGCCTTCGCCGTCAGCTTCTTGCGCTCGGCTGCCTTCATCTTCCTCTTCCACTCGGCTTCAACTTTCTTCTCTTGAGCCCTCCGCTCTTTCTCCTCTCTCTCTCTCGCAGCTTGCTGCTCTTTCTCCTTCCTCTGTCGTTCCTTCTCTTCTTTCTCCAGCTTCTTGCCGTACTGCACAGGGTCATCGAGCATAAGCTGCTCCACCTGGCAAGTCGGGCGGTACATTCCCGTCGCATGGCGTTTGCTGGACACATGGATGTCCACTATGGGCAAGCCCGAGTAGGGGTCGATGGCGGCTTGGCCAGGCTTCTCTACGAACCCCTCGAGTCGCCCGTGTCGCATTCGCGGGTCACCGATGGGCTTCCCGAAGAGGCGCTTGAACTCGAATGCGCCGGCCTTGAATTTGCGGGCGGAGAGGTCGCGCATGTCGCGGTAGCTGCAGTGCCAGCCATCGCAGAGTGGGTAGCCGTCGTGCCATTGCGCGGGCAGTGTTTCTATTTCTTCCCAGGTGAGGCCGAACATCTGTAAGCCCTTTTCGACGTCGACGAGCTGACTCAATCGTCAGTAGGTAGCTACGGGTAGATAGATACAGAACGTACGACGGTGCGCTCAGGAAACCTGAACTCGGGATCCCATCTTCTTGCGGGCGGTAGGCTCTCTTTCCAAGCTTTCTTGGCCGCTATCGCATCGCGCCAAAGCTTGCACCTTGCGGCCGCCTGTGCTTTCTCCTTCTCTGTTTCCTCTAGTAGTTCGCCGATTCGGACGGTCGGGCCTTCGGGGTTCGACCGTCGCGCGGTGTAGAACTTGCGCTGCTGTTCCGTCATGCGAGCGAAAGGCTTCTCTTTCCTAGCGCGTTTTCGGTGCCGCGTACCGTCGACAGTGCATTTGTGGTGCGCGTTGTCGGCGGTGCATTTCTGCTTCTTGTAGACGATCTCTAGCTCAGGCTCGCGCGGGCGCTTCTTTGAGCACTCGTTATTTCTGGCGTGTGAAAGAGCCGCAGTCATGGTGGCCAAGGCGGGTTTATGTCTGGCTGATGTGTGTGTGTGTGTGTGTGTGTGTGTGTGTGTCCGGCGGGATGAGCGGGTACGTGCTGGCCAGTCAACGGTCAATTGGACGCAGATGGGTCGTGGCGGCACAGAGGGGATCCAATGTGTGAAGAATGTGGTCCGCGTTCATTCATGCAGTCTTATATACACAGCGCCGGCGCTTATCAGACTGGTGAAAGGGCCAGCTCCGCTGGCCATAGATTTGCCACCGATGGCCACAAAGGGCGGGCCGGCTTCGCGAGCTCCGAAAGTTGCCTTATTTGGTATAAAGACGGTTGGTCAATTTGGGCTCTCCCATTGTCCGGAGCTGGCCGTCTCATTGTTCTTCCCGAGTGGCGTAGGTCTTTGTTTCGGAGGTGGCTGCGGCAACGCACGCGTGGGCCATTGAGCCACAGAATGTATGCGAGGACCTTTGAGTCACAGAATGCAGCAAGGGATCGGGGCCAACCCTTCTGGGAACAATAGGCTGCCTTAAAGAGTACAATAGGCAGATGGGAGAACAATACAGAAGGCAGTGGCAAGGCTAATTGTAAGCTCAGAGTACAAAACATAGTGTGATAGTACAGAAGTTCCTTTGATGAGGAGGGTATGGAGGTGAACATAGACAATAAAGCGTCATACGCCGGCCGCGAGCATATCTTTGACAGACAGTGTGATTCATGCCGGTCTGCGCCAGATTGCTCAACGATGCTGGTAGAACTGCGGCGCGGAAGGGGGATAGCTTGCCACAGGGGCATGCACTGGGACAGGATTGTACCAGGACTGGGTATTGCCTTGCGAAGGATGGTCTCCATAGCCCAACGAGTGTGGGTGGGTAGGCGCAGCAGCGCCTGGTGGGAGCATGCTGCCATACGACGCTCAGCTCAGCATCCGAGACTTGTGTGAAGGTAACTTACGAATATCGGTTGTTCACGGACGCAGGGACGTGCGGCGCTGTCCGCGGTTTGAGCACTGAGGATACCGCGGAGCTTCGAGCAAGCGTCAGAATTCCGACCCGTGCGATGCGAGAGATCAGCGTACTTGTAGAATGCCATAGCGTCGCCCTTCGGGGGCGGTGCGGGTGCAGCAGCTGGCTCCATCGCACCTACAGCTTCCTCGCGCTTGTACGCCAGAGATGGATTGAACTGCACGCGTGGAATGCCTACGAGCGCCTGCGGCACTGGATCGCTGAAGCGCGATCGCGGAGGTGCCGGTGCTGCTCGTGGCCCGCGAACGCGAGGGAGTGGGGGAGGTGGGGGTGCTGGCATGTTATCTGTCTCTTCCTCGGAGTCGTCTTCATGTCCCAGATCCTGCGGACCCTCGTATGATAGTCGTACGGAGGCGTCTAGAGGAAGGATGACGGGGGATGTGAGAGGAGAGGATGCTTGGCTTTCGGGCACGTGGTATTCGAGATGGACGACTTCCTCGTAGGCCGGGCCATCGAGCGAGGGTCCCACAGGCGTAAAGGCAGGCGGCGCGTCGTCGTCGGTCGGAGGTGTCTGGGGCTGGCGCAATTCGGCGGGGAGGGGAGGCGGCGGAGGAACGGGGAGAGGGTTCCGAGAGGACTCAGATTGATCGCTCGGTCGACCGAGGCCAGCCTCAGCATACCAGCTCGGACGCGGTTTCTCCGTACCACCGCTCGACGTGACCGACGGCGACGGTCGATGCAGGCGAAGAGGACGCACAGTCGGCATGCGCCCCACACTCGACGACCCCGAGGACGGCCCAGACGCCGTCGACATCGGCGGAGATACCGCGGCCGCGCTGGACAGCGTATCCGAGTACACCATCGTCGGCGACGCCGCGGACGACGACCCCGCGCCCGGGCTCTGCGCCTCGCGGCAGTTCGCCTCGAAAAGCGCCTCATCCCACTCCTCCCACTCGTCCGCCACGTTGTCATGTGGCGCGCCCTTGGCGTCGAGGCGCAGGGACTCCTCGATGGCCTGCGAGATCTTCGTGTCGAGCTCTTCCTCGGAGTACGCGGGCGGCGGCGCGTCGTCGGCGAGAGGCGCGGTCGTGCTCATCGTCGTAGATCGTGTGGAAGGGTGTCGCTACACGCTGCTAGGGATGACAGAGGGGGAAGAGAGCGAGGCTTGCGAGATGTATATCACGTCGAGTCCGTAAAGCCGTTGAAACGTGACGCCACATAATTTAGATCCCAGGTACACAGGCGTGGCTTGCGCACAGCGATTGAGGCATGATGGACAGATAGGCGCCGGCTCTTGCGAGGAGGTGGAGCTCGATGGGACGAGGAGGTGAGGGGAGGAGCGCAGAGGGAAGAGTCACGACGTGTTCGGTTCGTTGTCACAGATCACCTGACCGAGGCAAAAGTCGAACTTGCAGTTCGCCAAGGGCGAGGAGATAGTCACTATGGCACGCCGACCAGCTCAGCGCTTTTCATGACGCGCTAAACTACGACTGATCATCAACGACGACAATCCCGAGGCCGAAGGAGGTGTATGCTAGCAATGCCGCACCATGACCGCGCCCCGGACCGCCCCACACGGTAAACATCTTCGCTGGTTCAGCAGCAGTCGACGGACGCACCGCCATATCTTCAGCCGGAAAGGATGAAGCGTCTTCCTGCACAGGCCATCCACACACGAGTCATCCACACACAAGTCCACCCTCAGCCACGAGTCCTTGAGCGATGAGCATGTTTCGATTGTACATTGCAGCGACGAGCGCTGGTGCATTAGTAGAGCAGATATACGTATCTTGACTTCAGGTGCATGCTGGAGATTGTATACAAGATATCTTGTCCGAGTCGAGTCGTTGATTTAGTCTTGGCAATCGAGGTCACCGCATACCGCGACCTATACTTCTATACCCTCTAGATTTGTACCCTGGTGGAGGTGAACGTGAGCGACACCGCCGGTTCCCAAAAGAGACTCACCAACTTGGGCAGTCGAAGGTATGCGTCGGTTCCTGATGACCATCGTGTCAGCATCGCCACTCCTTGTCCATCCAGTCGAACGAGCGAGCTCACCCCATCCATCCAGCGAGACCATGTCCAGCGAGCCGCCGAAATAGCTGATAGGCGTAGAGGCGTTAGTACAACAGGTCCAGAGGCGCGAAGAGCAAACTGCCACGCACGTCGCAAAAATCTTACTCATCGGCAGGCCAATCCCGATCCTCGGGTGCGGCGCGATCCCCCCTCTCCTCTCCGGGTCGTCCGCCTTCGCGGGCGAGTCGACCGCGGAGGAATTTGACGGTGTTTGCACTAGTCCGTCCGCGCCTGCACCAACGCTCTCTACCCCCTCATCCTCCACATCCTCTCCCGTTTCGCCGCGCTGCTCCCGCGTCGTCGCCCACACGCCCTGCGGGCTCGACCCGAGCTCCCTCAGCGCGCCGATGCGCGAGGACTCGAGGCGCACGCCGTTACGCACATGGGAGAAGGAGAAGAGGTCGGCGGGGCTCGAGACGCGGGTGTGTGGGGTGAGCAGGCCGCCACCTGGGAAGGGTATGTCAGTGCGAGAACGAGCAATGGGAATACGGACAAGGACAAGGAGTATCGGAGTCAACATCATTGCGAATGAGGCAAAGTCCCACCAGTGCGAGGGCGAGATGGCCATGAGATGCGCAGGTGATGGGGAGAAAGGGACAGAAGATGGAGGTGAGGTAAAGAGAAGAGATCGGGCACAAAGAAGAGGTGGGGTAAGAGGGGAGGGGGAAACTAGAAGAGGCGGGGTCTGGGGAAATAAGCGAACCTTGGTCTGATATGCGGATGCCGACGTCGTGCTCGCCGGCGACGATGGTAGCATGGATCGGCGGGAAGTGATTCGTGTCGGGATGCGTCTCGACGGTAGCGCGCATCGACTACACGGTCCATCAGTCCCCGCGCCCGCAACTCGATCTAGCCTCCCTACTCACATTCTTCAGGAGCTCAAACACCACATACTCCAAATGCTCGCGGATATACGCAAACTTCGTGTCCATGTGCCCGCTCAGATGCACCTCCGGCCAGCCGCGCTCGGTCGGTCTCCGCCTCAGAAGCTTCGCGCAGTGCTCAACGGAGCGCGCGACGTTGAGCCCGGTGAAGATGACGCCGACGTGCGGGTCGCGCGCGTAGAGGCGGTGGCCGTTGAAGTTGTTCGTGAGCGCGATGTGGTGCTCGGCGAGAACGCGGCGGGAGATGCGGGAGACGAGCATGCGCTTCATGAAGGCGTCGAGGGCGTCGGGAGACATGTAGGGGGAGGAGAGGGAGAGGCCGAGGGAGAGGAGGGGGATGACGGTAGCACTGTGGGATGGTCAGCTCTGCGGAGGGAAGGGAAGGGCAGGAGGGAAACGAACTGATCATTGAGGAGGCCTGCGAGGAATCTGCAGAACTCGTTGTTCTCTTCGAGCGTGTTTATTGGAGGATATTTGCGAAATCTGCGGGCGTTGAGTGGGCGCGGAAAACCCGCTATGTGCAAGGACATGCCTCTCAAAGGCTTCCCAGTACAGCTGAGCACGATGTCAGACTAGCAAAGCAGTTGTTACGCGACCTCGCACCTCATACACACGCGCGATCCCCTCCTGCGTGACGACGACGTATGGCAGAGCTTGCAGATCGCGTATGCGGTGCGCGATGCGCACTGGTAGTTCTGTCCGCACATAGTTTGCGCTCTGTTCCGCGTCAGTAGCCATACGCCATCTTCGATCTAGCGCACGCACCGTCAAGAGGCGGTCTGTGTTCATGGACCGCCCGAAGAAGACCTGACATCGTCCGGAACTAAGCAAGGGCAGCGGTGTGGGGACCCACCAGCTGGCGCAGCGTCAGCCGCTTGGTCTCCTTAGAGGCGTACGCCTCGAGCTGCTTATTCTGGTAGAAGTGCAGCGCGGTGTACGTTGAGTTGGCGCGTCGGGTGGGGGTGGCGCGCGCTCGCGAGATGGGTGCTGCTCGTCGCGCTAGTCTTGAAGTCGAGCATGCACATGTGCATGCAGCATGCGGTCGTAGCATTGGGAAGGGTGAGGGGAGGAGACAAGGAAGGAAAGTCTCCGAAGCGCTGTTGCAGTGATGACTTGGGCCGCGGCGTGCTCGAGGGAGGACTGGCCGCCGCAAATCACATGCGCGGGTCGACTTCAACGGTTCGATGGCGTAGTTGGTTATCGCATCTGTCTAACACACAGAAGGTCCCCGGTTCGAGCCCGGGTCGAATCATCGTTTTATTCTGCACGCTGCGATGAACCCATCCTTTTTCTCCAGCTATCGCGACGATCATACTGTACTGCTGGTGCTCGTGTATCTACAGGGGAGGCTCCGATAATCGTTGCTCAGAAAATCACGTGAGTGCCATGTGGCGGGTGGCCACGACCCCTCGGGCTTCGCCATGTTTTGCTCTTGTCCGCACACCACCACCACCACCACCACCATCGCCGCCATGACGGCCAACGCCTTGCCCATGGATGACAATGTATCTATCCTTCAAGCCACTGATTGTGTTCAACGTATATCAGATGCAAATGCCGCGTCCTTGACATCGCTGCCCAACGAACTCTTGCTTGAAATCGTCAACTGTTTCCCAAGCCTTCCCACACTCATCAATCACGATATGCTCCCCGACGATGAATATCCGACACGACGCGAGGTTATCACTACATTCTCACAAACCTGTCGTCGCCTTCGCAGCCTATTTCACCCCCTCTTGTGGCGAACGATCGAGGCAGTGGCAAGTAAGTGTCAGCAAAAAGCGCGCGCACCCACAAGACTGACCATCCCTCCAGAAAAAGGGATACAATGGAAGAAGAGATTGGCTGCAGACTTAATGCGTCAGCTGGACTTCGTGACGATTCACAACCCATCTTTCGCTGAACAAGTGGAGTGAGTGTGGTTGTCAGCTCCGCCTTATGCTACCTCACGCTGACGCTGCATGCCTCCTTTTCAGGATACTTTCTATGATCGTGACCGATGATCCCTACGCAAACGTCAAAGACAAGTTCTGCGCGGGCCTCGCCGTGTTCAAGAACCTCCACACACTGCAAATACCTAAGGTTACAGGGCCAAACTTCATCTTTGCAGAGCACGGTTCGGAGTGGTTCCCCCGGACATTACAGAGGCAGCCACCTCTGCTCTCTGTCCGCACTATGGCCATCCCGTGGCAACTCTTCGGCCTCTTGGCATGCACCCCGAACTTAGAATGCCTACACATCGTCGACTGGACGCCTCGCCCTTGGGAAAAAAGACTGTATCACATGAGCGCCAGCCGCGTCCTCTACGAGGTTCCTTACTTGAAGGAATTGACAAGTACGGATCGGCCTCTGGATGCATTATGGATCTCCTGTGCGTTCATACAGAAAGCGTCAAGCCAACACCATAGCCTTGCTCACAGAATTTGTCAGACTGGTATGCGACGGAGGCGCGTAGCCTGGAGCATCTCACTGTGAAAGTGTGCGCCATGGAAAACTGCAGATGCTCGAGCTATGTACGTCGCGGGGAGGTCATCAGCGAGCCTACCCCGAGCCAGGAGTACCTCGAGGTGCGCTTTGCTCGATCACTTTTCCGATTCTCGTATACTGAATTTAGGCAGGAAAGCATTATCGACATCGTTTGGGAGCTACACTGGCTGCGAACGTTGAAAATCGTCGCCGGGTTGCCCAACGACGATGATACATTCTGGAAAGAAAGCCTGCTTAACCTGATCGAACCGCTACGAAAGATGATCCCCAAGCGCAATGCAGAGCCTCTTGAGCCTTCTCGCGCCACTGAGGATCCTACGGCCATGGTACGCGGGCCGCCGTCGACGTCGCTCAGCCTCACCTTCGTCTATCCCTCTGGCGCGGAAGAGACTGTCGAGATAGAGGCCCACTGATGGAAACGGAGCTATTCGCTCGTGAACCCGAACACTACGCTCTAGGCTTCATATTGCTATACTGACAATCCATACATGCATAGATTTATGCGACACCTCACCTTGATATCCTATGCTTGCAGTCCTTTGACGTCTGGCCCTCGTATCGATGTCGCGGTAAGCAAGAAAAGCTCACGATTAGACCTCTTTAGTTTAGTACGAAGGTACTATATGACATCGCCCGCCTCTGCCTACTCAGGCCGCCCCACAAGCACCATTCCCTCATCCTCCTCCGTCCCATTCGACCCACTCTCACTCGGCGCGCTCTCCACAGACGAGTTATCCCGCGCATGCGCCAGCGGTACCGGCCGCCTCTCCCCAGAGCCGCTCTCAGACGCCACGACGGTCGTCGGCAGCGGCACGACGGGCTTGGGCACGCCCTCCACGGGCTTCGGCGCCTCCTCGGGCGGCGGGCTGGGCAGCGGGCTCTTCTCGGGCGCGGGGCCGACGCTGAGCTGCGCGGTCTTGTCGTCCGCGCGCGGCGCGGGGCCGTCGCGGCTGATCTCGCGGAGCGCGACGAGCATCTGGTCGCGCACGCGCGTGACGAGCTCGGGGATGTCGTCGATCGTCAGGCCGGCGGTGGGGATGGGCGGGAGGACTGGCGAGGCCTCAGTATTTGGCCGAGCTAGCGAGGTATAGCAAGAGTACGCACCCTTGACGCGCAACTCGTTCGGGCCGTCTTCGCCGAAGCCCCAGACGCCCTGGCGGTATGCCCACCAGTAGTTTTCGGTCACGACGGGGATCTGGGCGATGCGTTAGGGGTGCGGCGGCGGAGGGGAAGGGCCGAGAAACAGGCGGAAGCGCAGGGGATGGGGAGATAGCCGGAGTGACACGATTATCGCGATCGGGGAAGTGGACGATGGCTTACGATGGGTATTTGGGCCTCGACGGCGGTGTGGAAGCCTCCTTTCTTGAGCGGGAGCATGGATGGGGTGGGGGACTGATGCCGGGTGCCTTCAGGGAAGATCCAGACGCCTGTAAGGTGTAAGCAGGATGCGGCATTCGTATGTAAGAGCGCGCACCTAATCTATGCCTCTTCATCGTTTGAACGCCCTCGTGCAAGCTCTTCCGAGCGGCGGTGGGGTTCGCCCTGTCAATGAATATGCAGCCGGCGAGCAGCATGAACGGCCCGAGCGGCGTAAACATGATTGACTGCTTCGAGATCATTGTGGTCTGCCGAGGGAACGTCTTGCCCACGACGAGGATGTCGAGCATCGACTGGTGGTTGTTCATGACTATCGCCGGGCCAGTCGTCACGCCCGTCTGGTCCGCCTTCATCCGCCCCGCGCTGTCGATGTCGTCGCGCTCGAGGTACTCCGCGCCCTCGACGCGGACCTTCACGCCCATCACGCGGCTCGCGACGATGTAGAATATGCGCGCGACGTAGTAGTTCGTCATGTACCCCTGGCCTATCGCGTTCAGCACGAGCGACACGAACGTCGCGGCCGAGCCGACGAGGCCCATGGTGGAAAGGTAGACGGTCGCGGCGCAATAGTAGCGCAGCGGGCGCGCTATTGCGCGCGGGAGGGGGAGCATCGGGATCAGGTTGGGGAGGAACGGGAGCGAGAGCAGCGGGACGAGGAGCATCGACCACATTTTGCTTTGCGGGAAGAGGAGGCGCGCGTAGGCGCGGAGCAGCAGCTGGTCTGACGCGCCCGCCGTGATGATGGCAAAGGACAGAAAGCGAGCCGCACGTGTTTATCACCCTCTGGATATATTCCGGCCTCGTTTACGTCGCGCGTCGGCGGGAGGTCTGTTGTATTCAAAATTCTATGCAACGGTTCAAATTCTTGCCTGCGAACTCCCAGGAGCAAAGGTCGGAGGTATGGCATATTCCGGATTTATCACCAAAAGGGAAAGAATGTGGTGGACCCACAATCCCGAGGGCCTGACATACTGGGCTTTCGCAGTTATCATTATTAGATCTACAGAGCGTATGGGTATAACAATGCATCGGGATGTATGTTTCAAAAAAGAAGTACACTCATGTAGCGTTCGTTGTAGACACCGAGAAGTAAGCCACACATATATCTGAGTGAAGAGGGGATTGATCAAGAAGCGTTCCAATGATAATCAACTCAAGAACAGTATGTAATACTGCCCAGAAGAGCAGCTGCAAAGCCCGGCGATGAACTGCAAAGGATTCCAAAAATTCACCGGCGTGTTGACTGAGTCGCGCAGACGCCACAATCCGTTCGCTAGGCGGACGCCCAGGTACAAGGGGACGCATTCATCATCCGCACATACACAATCAACGCGCCGGCGAGGAAAGCGTGCCACCCCCGTCGCTCGTTTGAAGAGGACGAACGACATCGACGGCGACACCCAGTCCGGGTTGCGTGCGAGACCGTCGTGTGGTCGAAGCTATGGGTCGAGTCTACTCACCTGAACTGTACACATAGCTTCGACCACACGACGCCCCACCCGCAGTGAACGCAGCGCCCTCCCAACGCGTCCGTAGCGCAAACAACTAGCAACCTCCGACCGCACCTGGCTAAGTACACAGCATGCGGCCATCGTCGGCCCCCAGAAGCCCCCAACTACGTCCACGAAGGGCCCAGAAAGCAACAGGTCTCACAACCGCTGGCTGGGTGCTGCCAATCAAGCAGCTCAGGCAGCGACTGCGGCGGCGACCCGTCTACCGTGCATTTCGCGATCTAGCACCCATTCAGTAAAACCCGAAGGTCCCTAGCTTAGCGAGCGGCATGCCGCACGCTCAGCCGTGAGGTCTCCCCGTCTTGAGAATGCATCGGTATCCAGTTGGGCGCTGCGTTCGACCATGAGAGGAAAAGTGAAGGGAAAGCGACGATCCGTGATCCTTTTATGTGGCACCCGGACTCCGGGCCGGTGCTTATTGTTCCTCTTTCGTCTTGTCAACGTGTTGCCAGACTCCGTTATCAATGTCCTTTGTGGACGGGCGAGTTTCAAACATCCTTCGCCGCAATCTTATTGTCAGATGCGTACCGGATGTTCAGATCAGCCCCACGGTTATGTACCTTACTATTGCTCGATTGACCGAGCAGCCGAGTTCAACCGAGTCTTCGAAATCAATACATGCGAATGTCTACAGTGCAATGAGGATAGAAAAATGCAGAGTATAGAGTACTCTCTTCACCAAATCTACAATATCGTCTTCGCCATCCACTTCTTCAACGCCACCTGCCCGTCCACATTCACCGCATTCTTGATATCATACCGCTCAATAGCGCAACGGTACTTCACAAAGGTGTTCCCAACGCTCGCAGACGGCGCCGCCACGGGCACGAATATGCGCATGTCGATCAGCGCCTCGAATGCCTGGCAACTTAGATCAGTACATGCTCGTACAAGAGATAGGCCGGCGAGCAGGAGACAGGCCAGCGAACTCACCCCTAGCATGATCGCCTTCGAGCACCGCATCATCCCAATGCTGACTCCGTTGACCGTCACGGGCATCACATTTGAGGTATGGCACGCGTCCTCGAATGACTTGCGCAGCATCTCGAAGTTGACCTCGGGGTGACCGATCGTATCCCAGTGCATCCAGGCGACGAGCAGACAGAGGGCGGGGTAGGAGAGGTCTGCAGAAGATAATTAGTAAGGAAGGCAATACAGATCGAGAAAGCACATACGAGGCAGATAGCTGAACGGTTCACGGATGCGCTGCGAAGCTACCGCAGCCTGCAGAGCCGCAGCAGTCGGGAAAGGTGCCTGAGGCGTCAGACGTGCGACCATGCCCGTCTACAGGATAGTTAGTTTTGATAGCCTTCGCTACGAACACACCACCCACCAAAATCCTCTGCAACACCCTCACATCCCTCGTCAAACTGAACGTGTCCCTCAACACCGTCTCCACCTCCGCCTCCCCCATAAACTTCCTCACCGCCTCCCTCCACTTGTCCCCCCACTCCTCATTCTCACTGAACTCCCCCACCTCCAAAAATCGCCGCGCAAGCAGATGATACTGCCCCGCCGACCGCACCGGCCCCGTGCGCATCACCCGCTGCGAGAACCGGCTCTTCACGCGCTTCTCCAGCAGGTACAGCGTGTCCAGCCGGGCCGTCAGCCCCACGACCGCCAGCCCGTTCCGCCCGGGCTGCGCCTGGCAGCTCTGCACGGCGTCGAGCGTGCAGTACAGTAAGGCTTGCCGCGGGTGCAGCGCGAAGAGGTCGATGGCGTCGAGGAGGAGGACGACGGGCCGGTCGAGCGTGGTGAGGATGGAGATGAGCGCGGGGAGCTGCGCGGCGGGAGGGAGGGAGACGTTGCCGTGGGTGGGGGATAGGGCGCCGGGGTCGGCGGAGGAGACGACGAAGGGGTTCTCGTCGGCGTCTTGGGTCAGGGTGGGGGGCGCCTCGGCACCGTCGTCGGCGTCGGGTGGTGGCGCGTCTTCGTCTTCGTCGTCTTCGTCATCACCGCCACTGAGGTACGTGGTGCCCGTTTGCTGGGTTAGCTGGTAGGCAATCTCTCGCATAGCGAGCTTGTCCGAGGTCTGCGCGATCCCGGAGAGCCGGATGACGATGGGCTTGCCACCAGCGTGGGTGAGGCTCTGCTCGAAGATCTGCACACAGTCAGTCGCACGTTCCGAAACCCGGTACGAAGACACTACTTACAGCTGATTTCCCACTCCCCGGCGGCCCTAGTACAAAGCAGCTGTTGCCCTCCCCTCGCCTGATCGTCCCGTGCAACAGTGCCGTCAGCTCCTCCAGCGTCACCTCATTCGGATGCGGCTCTTGCTCTTCATCATCTGCCTCGCCTGCATTCTCCACTACCGGTTCATTGTAGTCAATCCCATCATGAGAGTTGATTGCCCGCAGAATTGCAGCCTTCTGTGCCTTCAGTGCCCTCGCAACATCTGGCGCAAGCGAAGAGGTGATCTTGACGGGGGACGCTTTATGCGGCGAGTGAGGCCGGCGAGTCGGCGAGCGGTTCTTGGCGGGCGAAGGGAAGGGGGTAAGCTCGTCAGCCTTGTTTCGCTTCTTCGAGGGCGTTCTGGGGAGGTTGGGCAAGGTGAAGAGCTTGCCGGCGCGCTTGGTAGGAGAGGATGGAAACAGGGATGGACGGGGTACTTTAGCGGGCGAGGTGGGGACGGCTTTGCGAGCTGATTTAGCAGGGGAGGAAGGTGTAGGCGGGAAGTCGTCGGCGTCGGTGTCGTCGGCCTCGGAGCCCAGATTTGGAGCGAAGGTCGCGGTCTTGCGGGGCGACTGACTCTTGCGCGGTGACTGAGTGGGTATGCGTAACGCGCTTGTTCTACCACGGGCACGTTTCGTCGGGGTCGCGGTCGGGCTTTCATCCTCCAGCCCGCCCTCGCTCGTGCCGGCCTCAGCATCAGAAGAATCCGGTATCGCAGTCTTGTTGAACGAAGTAGGGAATTGCCTGAGCGGAGGCCCAGTTTCCTGCGCGCGATTGCTAGCCAAGGGTAGATGGTCGTCGGCTTCGCTGTCCGTCAAGGAGCTCAGTGAGGTGGATGCGGCAGTCTTCTTGCGAGGCAAGACGCGCGGTTTGGCAGGGCTGGCGGCGGCTATCTGCGCGCGGCGCTTCGAAGGGCTGCTTGGATGTCGGGGCAGGGGTGCGAGTCCGTCATCTTCGGATTCCTCGTAGAGGGGTGGGGGTGCAGGCGCTGCCCTCTTGCGCGGTGAGCGCGTCGCGGGTGTTGTGCGTGGCCGTCCGCGACCACGCTTCGTGGGTGTCGCGGAGGGGCTTGTATCCTCGTCGGCTGCCTCGCTAGTGTTGTTCCCCGGCTCATCGGCGTCGGATGAAGGTGGCACCCTTGTCCTGTTGTAAGGTGTCGGTGCTTTCCTGGGCGACGCTCCAGCAGCCGCCCGCCGCGCTCGTTGCACTGACAGAGGTGCTGGAGGTCCAGGAGGTAGATCTTCGTCGTCATCCTCAGCAGGTGAGGGGGTTCGCACTTTACGGCGGCGCGTAGGTGTCGCGGGAACCTTGCGCGGTGTCGCTTCCTCATCAGCTGCAGCCGCCATCCTGACGCGCTTCTTGATGTTCTCCTTCGAGGACTCGGCCGAGCTCGAGCTCGCCTCCGCCGGCTTTGCGGCCGTCCTCGTCCTTGTAATACGTACCACCGACTCCTCATCGACCACTGGTGTTGTCTTGGGGGCGCGCGATCGGGCAGCGCGCTTGGATTCCGGTGTTGCTACTGCCGCCTCCCGCGTCGTCCTGCGTGTCACCCGCTTCGTCGGCGAGGTCTCGAGTTCTGTCTCTGCTTTGCGTTTGGGGGGCATGGTTGTGAAAAGTGCTGGTCGTCGCGGTTGATGATGAAGAGGAGGCCCTGGTCATCGCGCGCGGTCACGACGCACGCGCCCGCGTGACCGGCCCGGTGCGTGATCCGCGATCGCTGGCCATTGTTCTCCGACATGGCGAATTCCATTGTTCACAAACCTCTTGTTTTGCGCGTTCATTGTCAAGACGCGTCGTCGAAGGAGAAATGGGATACACAACGTACAATTACTTGAACACGCCGGATGAGAGACAGCGCTGACGATGACCTGCAGCGTTGCGCGATGGATGAACGCGCCAACAACAGGTCTTGAGATGATCTCGGAGAACATACGCTCAAAGTACAATGTATGTCGCATGAATACCTCCTTGAGCTCCCCTCAACGCAAACCAGGGTCAACCTCGCGGCAAATGGCAAGTCTCGATGCGCCTGTACCGCTCGACCATCCAGATGCTGCCTGGCATGATAGGTGCTGAGCGCTCCATGACCACCTTCACGCAAACTTCCCCCGACGCCGCGTTCGTACTCATCGAGGACCCTCTCGCGATGCAAGGAAGCATGTCAGCGATGTCGCAGGACCAGCCAACTCCGAGCCACTACCAGTACACGCTGGTCCCCGTCAGTCCTCCAGGGGCGCTCGAGCAGCTCCTTCAACAACTGAACGCGCCTTGGACCATGCGCCAAGCCGGCGGCGGGTCCAATCAATCCGGAAGGCAGCTACTCATCGATGGGCACATCTTCACCATTGGCTCCGACTGGGTCGTCTGCGTTGGTAATGTCATCCTCGCTGGTGGCACGCTCAAAGGCATGATCCTCGAGGTGCGCATCCCTTATCCTTCACATACGCAGCCCGCGCTTGCTGCCGCACGTCGAGTGTTCCCTGACTTTCCGCTATGTTCAGGCCGAATACCTCCCCATCCCCGACCTCCGCAGCCCCCTCGGCGACGGCAACCCCGAATTCATCTCCGGCTTCCTCATCTCCCTCCTACCCAACATCCCCGATGCAAGAAACGTAATATGCACGATACCCGACAACATCTGGGAGGACGTCCTTTGGGACAGGGAGGCCGAGGAGCGAAAGTGGCTTGCGGGGATAGAGGAACGACGGAAGGCGCAGGAGGAGAAGCGAAAGGCGCAGGAAGAGAAGGGGAAGGCGCAGGACGAGAAGGGGAAGGCGGACGCGGCAAGGGATTTAGCGTCGGAAGGCACCCTGGGGAGCGTCGCGAGCTCGGACACGATGGCCACGGCGCCTCCGGACTCGCAGCCGCCTTCGCAGAGTCAGACGCAGCCCTCGCAGAGCCAGGCCGAATCTTCCCAGACACATACTTCGCAAAGTCAGCCTTCACAATCCGATGCTATGGACGAAGATAAGGCACCACCCGCTGATCCTTCAGCCCCGTCAGATACGACCGAAGCCGCGCCACAACCGCCCTCCACCTCACAACCCCCTCCCTCTACCTCCACTTCTCAGCCCCCTCCCTCGCAACCTGCCCCTTCATCTGCCCAACCACCACCACCACCCTCCGACGACGACATCTTCGCCAGCCCTGACGACCCAGAGCCCTTCTCCAAATACGACTGGATCGGGCCCGAGCGTGACCGCAGGTCCGCGTTCTCTATCATCATGGCACTGCGCTCGGAGGGGTTGTTATAGTATCATATGTGTTGTTGGCGTGCTATCGCAGCTAGGGAGTTCCTGTTGGCGAGTCTGCTGCTGCATTGCACTGCATCCGTGAGGCTATCTTACTTAACAAAACATGAATTCGATGCCGATACTGCAAGAAAACAGATGCAAGCATGAAATTCAGGGGTGTAGACGTTCTACTGTACGCCTACGTATGGGACTGTAAGAATTGCGGTGTTCGAAAGGCCCGAAGCATCGACTTTCTTGAGTGGACGTGTCGCTTTTAGTATCCCTCTATCCCGATAGTCTCTTCCGCGCCAGAGGGGTAGACGAAGGTGAGACTGAGCGACGTCGACGGTGGTCCGCGTACCATAGCCATCGGATGCTCGGCCTCGGAAGAAGGCTCGAGAGGCTCTACATTGCGCTTGGGGATCATCCTTCGCAGCGGTTCGATCAGGTTGAGCTGGCTTTCCTTCCAGAACGTGTCATCGTCGTTGGGGCGCCCGGCAACGATTTTCAGCGTTCGCAGCCAATGCAGCTCCCAGACGATGTCGAGGATGCTTTGCTGCATATCATCAGCATATGGGGATCAAGGAAGTGATCGAGCATGACGCACCTCTAGGTAATGCTGGCTCGGGGTAGGTTCGCTGCTACTGTCGTACCTGCGAATTTTACGCCATGAACATGTGCAGTTCTCCAGAGCGCACACTTGTACAGTGAGATGCTCCAGGCTAGGCGCCTCTATCGCGTACCAATCTAACCAGATACGTGAGCAAGCTGCACATGAGCTCGGGATTTTGACGATTACGCACCGCAGATCCAAGATGCGTCCAGTAGCAGATCCGTACTCGTTAATTCCTTCAGATAAGGGACTTGGCGAAGGACCTTGCTTGCCAGTCTATGGTACGTCCTTGGTCCCCAAGGGCGAGGGGTCCAGTCGACGATGTGCAGACGTTCCAAGTTTGGAGTGCAATGCAGGAGCGCGAAGAGCTGCCACGGCATAGCCATAGTGCGCACAGAAAGCAAAGGCTGCTGCATCTGTATTGCCCAGGGGAGCCACTCGGCATCTGTGAAGATGAAATTGGGCCCAGTGACCTTGGGTATCTGCAGGGTGTGGAGATTCTTGAACATGGCGAGGCCAGCGCAGAGCTTGTCTGTGACGCTTGCGTAGAGGTCATCGGTCACGATTATAGATAATGACCTAGAAGGAGATCTTCAGCGTCAGTGCAGGGGTTGCATAGGGTAAAGGCAAGGATTGTGCTCACTCCACATGTTCGGCAATAGACGGATTGTGGATCGCGAAGTCCAGCTGGCGCACTAGATCTGTGGCCAATCTCTTCTTCCACTGTACACCTTTCTCTGAGAATAGACGGTCAATTCTTTGGCCAGGCGTGGTTCATGAACTAATACTTGCTTGCCACTGCCTCAATCGTCTGCCACAAGAGGGGGTGCAACAAGATGCGGAACCGACGACAGGTTTGCGACAGCGCAGAGATGATCTCGCGTCGGGTCAGATCATCCTCGTCGTATGGCATGTTGCGATTTATGAGGACCGACACGCGTGGAAGGCAATCGACAATTTCCAGCAGCAACTCGTCAGGCAGCGACGTCAAGGTCACTGCTCCCGGAGAACTGTCATCACAATCAGTGGCTTGCAAGGCATGTTTGCTTTCGACCATGGTGGCGGCGGCGAAGATAGTGGCAGTCAAGATGGTGGTGGTTTGCGGACAAGAACAAAAAGATGGCGAAGCGACATGACCGCCTTGCCACATGTCACTCACGTGATTTGATCTAACATAGTTTCGCACGCAATCGAAGCGCACGAGGGCCTTTGCGGCTATGCTGGGAAGGGGGGGTCCTTTGCTCGAAAGAAATAGCGGCGTGCACACACATGGGCAAGGAGGTAAAAATGATTCGACCCGGGCTCGAACCGAGGACCTTCTGTGTGTAAGACAGATGCCATAACCAACTAGGCCATCGAACCATGACAAAACCCGGGTTTGTTGATTTGTGGAGCCGCCACAGCGTCTTGCTTTCTCCCCAACTCTTCATGCCCAATCCGAACTTCTGTGGAACTCACAAGCAGATCAGGTCACTGAATTACACGATTCCATACACCGACTCTGTACGAAGATAGGTACATATAGTAGTAGTACTAGTAGGATAAGTCAAGCCGGAACTTTAGAACCAGACAGTGACACAAAAGGGACGTCGATAGAGCATGATGAGCGTATAGTCACTGGAGAGCGAGTAAATAAAGACGCTAGTCGAAGGTCCGTCAGATTGTGCGCATGCTATAGAGACGACGCCACGTACGATGGACGAGAGCTAGCACGATGAAAAGACGGGGTATACAAAAGGTTTCGCAAGGGTTTAGCACGCTTGTCCGACTTCAACGACAGGGCTGGGACTTCTACGAGGGAAAGTCAGCACAAATACTGGACGATCACAAGCTAATCACTTACCCACTACTGCCCGACCACCCGCCCTCCTCCCAAAACGACGCCTGGCCATTCCCGCTGGACCCCATCGTCTGATCCGAGCCACTCGAATCGGGCTCCATGAGCTCTTCTTCTTCCTCCCTGATGATCTCTATCCCCAGCATCGCCAAATCCATCTCCGCCGAGCGGTCCACGGGGATGGCCTCCTTGCTCGTCTCCTCCAGCATCGCACGGAAGCTCGTGCTCATGAAGAGCTCTGGGTCCCAAGCACTCGCCTCGTCTGCGAGCTCGCGAATGATGCCCAGTAGGGCCGCGGGGTCATCGCGAGTCGCCACGCTGCTCGCCCGGCTATGCGCGTAGCCCTTTGACGACGAGGGATGTCCAAGGCCAACGCCATCGTACGGCTGAGCGTTCAGAAAGGGAAGACCAGCGTAGAGCGACTGCGCGTAGAGGTTCTCCATCGGTGGCATGCCATCCGCCGTCGCACCATTGACAATGCGACCTCCAGACTCCGAATCAGGCAGCGTCACGATACGAAGCGGAGACGGACCAACAGGTGACTGGCGTCGACTAGACCTTGTGCTCGGGTTGCGTTTCTTGAGGGCAGACTTGAGTTTCGGCGTCGGCACAACAGACAAAGGCGGCGAGGGGAAGGACGACAGATCGGGCGTAGTAGGCGGAGAGCGTGACTTCGCAGCGGGTATGTTGCTTTGAGCGGACACGACAGCATCGAGAGACGAGTACGGATGGTTCGGGATAGACGGACTGCGGCATTGAGGCGAGTGTGGGGCGAGGCTTGTAGGCGCAGGAACGGGCTCGCTCGAGTTTCGTTTGAGGCACGAAGTGAGAGCGTAGGGATGCGAGATGTACATGGCAGAGAGACGCTGTCCGAATTCGTCGACACCCGAGGGAGTGGGGCTGAAAAGAGGCGAAGCGACGGCGGACGGCATAGGAATCTTCGGCGTGGTCAGGCTGTAGCGCGAGTACCTAGGCCGCGATTCCGTCGACCACTGCGTAGCGACGGACTGCCGCTTGTCCAGATCAGGCGAGAGAGGCAGAGGCAGATCCGGAACGTCTTTAGCATCGACCAGTCTTAGCGAGGCACCGCCAGACGCCGAGGAGCCGGACTTCCAGCTCTTCCAGCTCAGGCGCGAGCGGCGCTGCCGATGGCCGATCGCGTCGCTTGGATCTGTCGTCGACTTCGGGAACGAGAGATTCGGCAGGGTGAACATCCTGGAAGAGCGTGACACGGGGGAGGGATTCTTAGGGCGGGTCGGGAAGACAGGCAGTTGCACGGCGTGAGCGAAGCCAGACGGCGACTTGGGGCTGATCGTGTAGAGGGCGCGGTGGTCAAAGACATTTCCGAGCGAGCGGCGTTTCTCGAGTTCGTCGTGAGGGTACTTCTCGTTCGTCCGAATACTGCTGCCATAGCGGGTCGATCGGCGGGAGGAGCGCAAAGAGCGATTGTCGAACGAGCGGCAGAAGATGCGGGCGCGGTCCTCGATCGCTTTGGCGCTGGTTTCCCAGGAAGGAGACCCGAAAAGACCGACGAGGAAGCCTTTCTTCTGGATATCGTCCGTCCAGTGAGAGTTGGTGTTCTCGAAGGGCCGAATGGTCGACGCCGACCAGTCCGTCTTCTCGCTGACTGTGTGGCTACCGCAATCAGATAGAGGTCGGCAACGGCGGGATTTGTATAGGAGCTTGAAGATGAATAGAAAGGTGAGGAGGAGGAAAAGAGCGAGGAAGACTGCCAGGCAAGCCGTGCCAGTAGGGGAACGCATGTTGATGGGCATCGCGGTAGCGGGAAGGACGAAAAGGCAAAGAACGGCGAGCTCTGGGAGAGCCATGGTGAGGGCCTGAGGCAGACTTGCGCCTCGCAAGAGATGGTGATGATGGCAGGAGGAGAGCACGGAGCTACCTCGAAGAAGCCTGTCACTCAAAGTTCGTCACGCACGGAGGCAATTGTTGAGTCCATAATCCCAGGAAGGGGTAAATGCTAATAAAGCAGGCACTGATTATGAGTACATAAGGGGTGGCGAAACGTATTACTTTACAAGCCAAACGAAAGCAAGAAAGCAACTTCAATCACGTTCTCAGATGATATCCTCCTCATCCTCCGGCGTACCCGCCAACGGCGGCCTCACCACCCCCGTCCCATACGAGTACCGCTGCAGCTCCTCCAGCGGCACATCATCCCCCGACGAGCTATCGCTACTCCAAGGGTTCTCCGGCGTCGCCGACCCACTCGGACTGGCCTCCCGTGCCCCAAAAGAGCGCTCGCGCAACCGCGAGAGGAAGCTCCCCGGCCGCGGCGCGGACTCGTCGGCGGGGAAGTCCTGCGGCAATTCCACGTCCCGTGCGGCAGTGTTCTTGCGGTGCAGGAGGTCCGCGGCCCACTTGCGGCGGATGACGGAGGAGCGGAGGGGGTCGCGCACGAGTGGCGCGGTAGCGGCGGCGTGGCCGTTTCCGTTCTGCCTGATGCTGTCTTCGCGCTCGGTGTCGCGGGAGGCTGAGGTGCTGCGAAGGTGGCGCCCGTGGTGGCCACCGTGACCGCGCTCGAAGAACCACTCTGAGCCATTCTTGAAGGCGGCTTCCGCCTCAGTGTCGATGGACATAGGGACGTCGGATCCAGTTGGCGGCGGGGTGGTCTCAATACGTGGTGCCCCGACATTCGTCTCTGCCACGCCAGTGCCAGGAATGCGAGAATGAGGTTCGAGAGGAAGACTGCGGGTGCTCTTCGACTGTGTTGCGCGGCGGACAGCCTGACGGCCCAGGTAGATCTCGCGCTCGATGCGCAGGCGGTTGGAGATCATGTGTAGCTACAGCCAGCCGTCAACAGCGATTCAAAAAGCGGCAGACAGGAGTCGCACCTTCGGCCAAGTCACATACTGCCCAACCTGCATCATCCGCTCCAGCTCAGCCGGATCAGGATCGCTCAGGATGCGTATCCAATCCTGCAACCTTATATCAGTAATCTATTCCCCATTTGCGTCCTTCCAACATCCACCACCATCTCATCCCAGGGAAACCCGAACCCAACTCACCCAAAACCTCGTCCTCGGCCAGATCGTCACCGCCCCATCGAACCTCTGCAAGAACACACTGGACCAGTCCTGCCCCAGAATCTGCGGCATGAGCTCGAGATCGCGAATGACGCGGAAGTTCTTCGTGAGCTCGTGCTTGAGCCATTGCTCGCCGGCGGAGAGGAGGAAATTGCCGCGCCAACCTGAATGGGTGCGTTAGAGCAGTTTCGATGAGTAGGTAGGATTGAAAGATGTGAGGGGAAGGCGGCGACGGCGGATGCTCACCTTTGCCCTTCCGATGCGCAACAGGCTTCCCTGCGGAGCCGCGTGGCGCGAAGAAGAATAGGTGTACGTGCGGGTTGACCTGGGAGACGATGGGGTGGGTAACTGAAGAAAGTTTAAGCCTTTTTCTGCGCCCATGAGACCATCCGGCTGAGAAAGGCGACATACCATTGAAATACAAATTCAACGCCTGCACCGGTATGTCCACACGCAACGATCCATCCTTGAACTTCGTGGAGAAGTTCCAGGGGACGAGCGAACCGTCCTTCAGCTTCTGCATAAGGACGACCGGGTTGAGGATGCCGGGGACGGCAGCGGAGGCGAGGACTAGAGAGTGGTGATCAGTACGTGAAGTTCGCTGACAACAGTCCACGAAGCTCGAGGAATAATGCACACCTGCAGACCAAATCACGGTATCCGGTGCAGTGATGTAGTTCAGGAGCTTGGTTGGCCTAAGTAGACAGTTGGCAAACCATAGCGGTAACACCATGGAAGCAAACTCACGAATGCCGATCAGCAGGGATAACCGAGATATTCAAAACGCGGCCAGTCCGCAAGAACGCCTCCTTGAAAGTCAGGGAGCCACGGGTGAAGTAGCTGCACTTCTTCGCCCATCTGCAAAGCACGACCAGTCAGCATCTGCATCCACATCCACCTCGAGCAAACAACATATTTCGTCAAAGAGAATAACGAACACACTCACTGCACGCTATCAAACCTCGCCCCCTCCTTCCAGAACCGCTTGATCCACACCGAGAAATCCTCCTCGCAGGCCGTGATCCGGTGCGCCAACTCTGGCACGAGCAGCGTACGCAGTTCCTCATCCGTACGCGTGCCGACGAGGGCTGCGACGAGGCCTCCGGCGCTGGTCCCGGTGATGACGCGCGGGAGGAGGCCGGCGTCAAGGAAGGCTTTCACTACACCGAAGTGGTCTGAGTGGGGGTGAGGGGTGAGTTGGAGAAGGAGGTGAGAGGGGAGATGAACGTACAGTAGCCGAAGGACGCGCCGCCTGATAGGCAGAGTGCGGTGATACCGAGGTTGGTGTTCGCGCTTTTGAAGAAGCGCTTCTTCTCGTCGATGGAGAGATCAGGCGACTCCCGGATGAACCGCAGGGCCTTCTCTTGCTCGTCGTAATAGGATTCGATCAGGTCCTTGGTGCCATAGAAAGTCTACCGAGAGGTTCAATATCAGGAAAGATGTTCATTTTGTTCTCACGCACCTCGCTGTACAACCGCGCGGACTCCACTCCAGCGAAATTGGGGCGTATGCAAGTCTCGAGAACACCCAAGCAGCCGCGCGCGTCGTTCTTCTCCCTGAGGGACTTCAGTGATCGGCGGACCTTCCGCACAAGCTTCCAGTCGTAGTAGGGGTCCTCGTCGACCTTCTTCCACTCCTCGAAGTGCAGGTATTCGTCCAGCGCGACCGCTGCAGCTTTCCACTCCTCGTACGTCTTGGCTGCGCGCATACGCTTGCGAAGGACACCCTTCTGTCCCCTCCCTGCGCGAAAGATTCATATGTGAGATGAAGGGATGACGGGTACACGTACAAGCAGAGATCCACTCCTGCCGAGACATCGTCAGCGCCCTTCGGTGGTATTCGTGGGGATGGGTTGCGCACCTTTGTATTGACAACTTGTCGTATGAGGACGTATAGGCCGAATTCGGCGGCGATAAATATGAAGATGAGGATCTGAACTGATGTTAGGTGTGGGGGACATTGGGGTATGGGATATGTGACGCACTAGGAGAGGCCATCGAAGAATAAGGTAGAGCCAGTCGCTTCGCTTCCCGGGCACCTTCTCTCGCCGCTTTCGTCTACGTGACGTGTGAACGGTGATCGGCGTCTAACGACATGCTGCACGCACCTTCTGCTCACCCGAACATTCACTGGGGCGAAGTCGGAGAGAGCAGAGACCTTGCGGACGCGACCCGAAGGGGCGGGGGATGGTGGAGGACCCGGGGACTGTACATCTGTCGTCGCATCTAGCGCACTCTCGTCTGCATGCAGCGCTTCCGCAAAGGCCTGGAAATGCCTGTAGCGGTGGTAAGCGACCTCCGCTGAACGGAACAAGGCTCGGGACGCACGAGTCCTCTACGTAGTCCGCATACAGCAGTTCTGGCAATCGTTTGTCGGCGCTCCTGTCTGATTCTGACATACAGTGGAAGGAAGGTGATCGTGTGTTGAATGGAATGAGAGTCGGTACGAATCAAGTGATGGTCGGTGCTGACGCTGCCGCCGAGGCGCGACCCTTGGGGCGGCCCGGGCTCTTTTCCCACGGGTGATTGATGACATCACTGAGAGTGATCAACACAGCTCAACTTGAACTTCAACCGTGACCATCACCGGCATCGGCCTTGCCCTTCGCAAGCGACGCCGCTGATCTCGAACGAGTGCCTTCATCTGGGCGCTGGATGACGCGAGGGTCTGAAGTCCTGTGTGCTAGGGCGAAAGGTGCAGCCGGTTCATATCAAAAGGGTCCTTCTTTGGTGGCCTTCCAAGATGCGAACTTTGTTTTTCGGGACGCTTTCCTCGAGCGTCAATGTAGAGGACCTGTCTTTGATGAATTCATCTGGCCACCGTTAACATCCACGATTGCCACCATAGTGCCCACAATCGTCGACCTCACTCGCCCGCCATCTCCGATCCATACCACCCCGCGCAGCACCTCTCGCACCTCCCCAACGTCAGCCGCCCTCCCTTCCGCGCCTTCGCGCCACAGCCATCGGCGCCTGTCGCCACCGGGATGAGCTGCTTTCTATACATACACCCCGTTGACGCCAACCGCAACCGTCCTCAGCCATTTATAGTGAGGAACAGCGCTATTCTTGCTACGTGCCCCCTGCCTTGGGCCACCTATATAAGACCCCCGAAAGTGAAGGGGGACAGCATCGGTCTCTCTTCCCTTCGCCTCTTTTCACCAAGCACTTTTACCTGCATCTTTATCTTGATATACCATGGGTTGGTTCAGCGACGACTCTGAGCAGGCGCAGGCCTACGAGCAGGTAGAAGATCTTATCTTTTCACTAATATCTCTCGACTCACCCCTTCGTAGGTCCAGAACGCCCCGCACAAGGCTGAGCTCTCGCACGAGCTCATCGCCGGTGCCGCCGCCTACGAGGTACGCTCTGTTTCGTTTTTCCTTCGTTCTGCCTCTGCGTCATTTGTTTCTTATCTAACACCTCCCCCCAGGCCGCGAAGGCGTACGAGAAGCACGTCGAGGCCAACGGCCAGCCCCCCAGCCACGACAAGGCCAAGGAGCTCTTGTAAGCTTATGATCGTGCTCATCGCCTTGCCATTTACTCACTTCCTATCCCAGCGCTGGCCTCGCCGGAGCCTTCGTCGACCGCATCGTCGAGACGAAGGGGGTGCGCACAAATCCTTCAAATACTGATCCTTTCCCTCTTTCCCCCACTCTCCTTTCACCCCCTCATGAACCCTCGCTGATTTGCTTATCTTTTAGCTCGACTACGTCGACACCGAGAAGGCGAAGTACCACGCCAACCGCCACGCGGAGGATGCGCTCGCGAACCAGTACTAAATGCACCAAGAATGTAAACGAGGACAATGTACTACTGTAGATGATATCTGGAAAGCTTTGGCATGACTGCGTCTGGGCATGAAAGAAGCCAGCGATCCAATGCTTTCCGACAAGTACCGTCAAGGTCATCCGCAAGCCATGGATTATCGGAAATCGGGACGGTGACAGTGCGGCCAACATGAATCATCGATGGTGCTCGAAAAAGTGCAATTTCTACGTGTCAAGCCCGCAGAACTGATTCCAAAGCATGGCTTGTCCGAATCGGCGTTCGAGCAGCAAGGTTGGGTCATCGCCGAACTTACGAAGGCGAGCTGATCGAAGGACACCTTCCCTTCAGTCAGGCCTCCCACAGTGAATCCCCGTAAGTAGAAATGCGGCGAGATTACTCATTGTATGGTGGCAAGCGGTAGTTCACATGATCAGTCGACAAGTCTGGCCGGTGCAGCTCAATGTGCACGGGAGGGATACAGAGACAAAGAACGGGCACAGGCCGGACAGGTGGTCTATCGCTAGTGCCTACGATGGGTGTGGAAGGTGGGAGAGAGAGCGGGAGGAGACATGACGCGTCGCCGTGTGTTATGACGGATGCGGGCCGCGCTACCGGGGCATGCTCATGGATTGCTCAGCGGCGCCAGCCGGGTAAATAAGCATCGTCGTTGACGTCGCCGCACTTGTTCCTTCCTCCCACCCTCACCATCCCCCGCGCACAACCAACCGTCCGAAATGGCCCGCCCCCGCTCCGCGTCCGGAACGATCCCCTCGATGGAGGCCTCGCACGAAGAGCTCAAAGATAACACGATCATCATCGGTAGGCGCGTCCTGATCCCTGTCTAGGCGCGCGCGCTTACCCGCCGCCCCAGTCGCCGGCGCATCGGGTGACCTGGCGAAGAAGAAGGTGCGTGATCGCCGCCGATGACCGCGCCGATCTCGCTCAGGCCGCCCCGCCTCGCAGACCTTCCCCGCCCTCTTCCGCCTCTTCCGCCAGAACTTCCTCCCCCGCGATGTCCACATCGTCGGCTATGCGCGCACCAAGATGGACCACGAGGAGTTCCTCAAGCGCGCGACGTCCTACCTCAAGGTCGCCGATGATGACCAGGAGGGCCAGGCGCAGGTGGACAAGTACAAGGAGGTGCTGTCGTACGTCGCCGGCGATTACGAGGACGGCGCCGCGTTCGACAAGCTCGAGGAGCACCTGCAGGAGATCGAGTCCAAGTACCAGTCGAAGGAGGCCAACCGCATCTTCTACCTCGCCCTCCCGCCCACCGTCTTCGTGCCAGTCGCGAAGAATCTCAGGGAGCACTGCTACGTCCAGAAGAACGGCGTGAACCGCATCATCGTCGAGAAGCCGTTTGGGAAGGACCTCGACTCTGCGCGGGAACTCCTCGGCTCGCTCAAGAAGTACTGGTCCGAGGACGAGACGTTCCGTATCGACCACTACCTCGGCAAGGAGATGGTCAAGAACATGCTGGTCCTGCGCTTCGCGAACGTCGCCTTGAACGCTGCCTGGGATAAGAACTCCATCAGCAACGTCCAGATCACCTTCAAGGAGCCCTTCGGCACTGAGGGTCGCGGTGGCTACTTTGACGACTTTGGCATCATCCGCGATGTTGAGCAGAACCGTGCGTGCGACGACGCGTCTTTGTGCGGGGACGCGTACTGACAATGTCTCAGATCTGCTCCAGGTGCTCAGTGTCATCGCGATGGAGCGTCCGGTCTCTTTTGCCGCTGAGGACATCCGTGACGAGAAGGTACAGCACAGCGCCTAACGCCGAACTAGATCGTATCTAATCTTGCGCCGCAGGTCAAGGTCCTCAGGTGCATCCCGCCCATCGCCCGCGAAGATACCCTCCTCGGCCAGTATGTTGCCGCAAACGGCAAGCCCGGCTACCTCGATGACGACACGGTCCCGCACAACTCGGTCTGCCCCACGTTCGCCGCCTGCACGCTCTGGGTCAACAACCCGAGATGGGAGGGCGTGCCCTTCATCCTCAAGGCTGGAAAGGGTACGGCGATCTTCGGCTCCTCCACCGTACCATGACTAACCCACTCCCCAGCCCTCAACGAAGCCAAGGTCGAGGTCCGCATCCAGTTCAAGGACGTCACGCAGGGCATCTTCAAGGACATCTCCCGCAACGAGCTCGTGATGCGCATCCAGCCGTCCGAGGCCGTCTACCTCAAGCTGAACGCGAAGACGCCGGGCCTGTACACGCGCGCGCTGCCGATCGAGATGGACCTGACGTACAAGCGCCGCTTTGCGGAGACGAACATCCCGGAGGCGTACGAGGCGCTCATCCTCGACTGCCTCAAGGGCGACCACAGGAACGATGAGCTGGATGTGGCGTGGAAGGTGAGTCTCTCGCCTTCGCAGCAGTTCACGTGATGGTGCAGCGCGGTGAAGCGGCATGAAATCTGATAGGTGTTTAGCGCCCACCCCTCCTTTGCCGGGCCCCCCGCGCACGGTCTCCCCGTCAAGGGGCCCGTGCGCGGGGGGCGTGGGGGTCTATCTACGGGTGCTATCTATGTGTGCGTCCGACGAGCATGACTCCCCCGACGAGCATGACTTCCCCCTCCAACATAACCCCTCCCTCCGTCGTGCGTGCGCGCAGCATAACCCCCATCGTAGGGGCAGCATGACGAGCAGCAGCGTGACCCTTCCACCGACGACGACGACGGCAACGAGCAGCAAGAGCGAGAAGGGGGAAAGGGGCGATAGAGACGGTGAGACCGTGCTTCCCTCCCCCCCGCCTTATATACGTCCCTCGAGCCTGCCGCCGCGGCCGAGCAGGGGTAGGGGGAAGCGAGTATTGCAGCCTGCGACACTGTGAGGGTCCCCCTCCTAGTATGCTAGGCTTGGGGTTGCTCGCGTCCGACAAGACCGAGGAGGGTAATGTGTTTGAAGGTGGTAAGGCCCTCCCTTTGTACCGCTGCCTTCAGTACGACCCCTCGCACCCTCCCCCTCCCCTCCCCCCTTGTGTTACTCGACATGTACACTCCACCCTCCCCCCTTCCCCTCGCCCCAGTCACCGTCGAGTGCGGTGGGTGCGCTCCCGCAAGGTACCCGCCCTTCGATAACGTTCCCGAACCTTTGCAGGTTCCCAAATAGCAATAGATAGTACCTCGCCGACATCCCCGATGTAGTAGAGTACATCGAATAGAAGTTTTTTGACAGCACCACCCGTGGCCTTTACGATAAGATGAACCGACGACGTAGGTCAAGAGACACGGAGACTTGAGAGAGGGGGGGTTTGTTTATTGCTTATACGAGTTCAGTTATGTTGGAAATGGTTTCGTTGTGTCAGAAAGCTAGGGTGGTACATCATAACTAACAAACTACGAAAGGAAGCGCATTCCTTAGTACCCTCGGAAGGGAGGGGGGAAACGTCGGCGGCAATCCTGGCATTTGCAATTACCCAGCTTGGCGGACGAAAATCTATATACTCAACGCCTAAGTGGCCGCGCGGCGTTGGAAAGGGTGCGAGGGGGAGCGCGGAGGATATCCCCTCGACGTCGGCGACGTTCAATGGCTACGAGTCTCTGCTGAACGTCGACAACGAGCAAGTTCCACAAGTCGAACCACTCACGTGAGCGTCGGCTCCGAGCCCTCGTGGAGTGTTGAAGTCGGTGGAAATGAGAATGGAGGGGGTGGCGTGAGGCGCGGCGAGCTCGAAAAGGGTCGCAAGGGTCAGCACGAGGAGCGTCGCGCAGTCGAGAGCGGAGGGCGGGGGCGAAGGAGAAGGAAAAGGAAAAGGATCTAGGAAAGGGTTAGAAAGCGGATTGCAACTCAAGTAGGAAGCGCTTACCCTCGCTCGGCGGACGGCGATACGTATACTCATCGCCTAAGGGGGGTGGAAGGCGCAATGGAAAGAACGGGATAGGCAAAGGCGAGGGGGGCGATGGGAATCCTGACGAGAAGTTCAGCGAGAAGCGCATGAAATAGAAGTGGAAAGAGCGCACCCTTGCTCGCCGGACGAAGATCTATTGCTTCCGAGCATGCTCGAGGTCGTCCTTGGGGAGATGAGCATCGCAATCCGTGGGAGGTGCGTGGATATCGACCGTGAACGCGACGAGAAGGCCTCAAGAAGGCTAGGGAGGAGGTAGAGGCGTCTGAGGAAAAGGTCTGTGAGCAAGCAAAAGACAACAAGCGTAGTAAAGGACATCGACGAGACAAGGGAAGGAATGGCGCGGGGAAACGGGAAGGGAGCGCCGGAAGAAGGGGAGCAAGAAGATCTGCGATGAAGGGAAGAGCGCGCACTCACAATACTGTATGAGATGAGAGCGTCGAAGCGCTCGACGTGAACTCAAGGCGCGAACCTCGGCGCATTTGACGTGGTTTCGCTGAATTTTGGTCAGGGAGGCTGCCTGGGAAAACGTCAGACATGAGTCGCAATACGAAGGCATAAGGGACATACCTGCAACGATACACGCATTGGCAGCGGCGCTTCGCGCCGCTCCTTGCCTTATCCCCGCAGTCGCGCCCCTCATCTAGTACCTCCCGTGCGGACCTCAGCGCATCTGACGATGGTTGGCGGATTCTGTCGTCCACTGAAGCGCCTGAGAATTGTCAGAAATTGTGCCCAAGTCGAAGACTCCACAACGTACCTACGACCGAGACACCCAGCGGCGCTCCGCGCCGCCCCTCGCAGGCTCTAACCCTCCCTTCTGCCCACCTCCACCGTCGCAACGTTCAGCGAGGGGCACCGGCGCGGACCTCGGCGCATTTGACGTCGAGTTCGCACTTTTTGGCGATCGGGAGAGCGCAGAAAATGGCTGGAAAAAGCGTCAAATTGAGGTTGATATTGGTCAAAGTCTCCACGCACCTCGCGCAATGTCGGCGGCCACGGCGGCCCTTCGCGCCGCCCTCTGTAGTCCTGGCAGTCAACGACGACGTCAGTCGCTGGGCATGGCACAATGGGCGTCGGCTTACAAGGCCTTCGTGATAGGAAGCGCGCGGGAAAGGTCTGGGCAAGCATGAGAAGACGAGCCTGAGTCACGATGAAGTTGAAGACACACCTGGCGCAGCGGCGCTCCGCGCCGCTCCTCGCTAGAGGCTCATCCCCTCTCGCTCATCATGAGCATGCGCCGCAGCCTTGACCGAGGGGCACCGGCGCGGACCTCAGCGCAATTCACGTCGATCTTGCATTTTTGAGGCCTTTGGAAGCGGTCAGAAAACATCAAAAAGGGCGACAGAGATGCTTACCCACGATGCCAGCGACTACGCCGAGGTAGCGGCGCGCGAGCTGGTCAGGCGGGTGCGCACGCGCCAGAGCGCGTCGAGGTCAGCCTGAAGCGAGACGTCAGCATTCGAGGGAGGCCGAACGGCACTGGGAAAACTCACCAGCGCACTGGCTGTTGGGGATACGGCGACGGCGGGAGCTGATGAACGGCGGCGGCGGCGGCGGCGACGTGGGGATGAGGGGGAGGGGTAAGAGCGAAGAGCAAGCGACTCGGTATATGAGGGCGGCGCCAAGGCGCCCGCCGCTCATCCGAGTAGGTTAGAATTTCCGTTCCCGCGCCACATACGAGAACCTCCGCGCACGTCGCGCCGTCGAATCTCAAGCTTTGGCGTATGCATTCGATCATTTCTGATGTAAGGTAAGCATCTTCGCGCGCGGACATTACTTATGCACACCGTCGGCACGACGTTACGCCTCGTGGAAGCAGGTCGGCGAGGTTTGTATTCGCACTGAATTGAAGTTGGCCTGCAGTAGCGTTGGGCAATGCGAGCAGTATCATACCTTTTACCCCTGCCTTGCGCCCTCCTAACGAGCCGGCACGCTGAGAAGCAGCGCCATCGCTAGAGTGCGCCGGAATATCTATCTCGAAAGCTAGCAAAGACGTACCTCCACCTGGTGAGTAAAGGCGTATCTCCCGTGCTGAGGGTGCTCGCGGCGGAATAGCTCGCACGCCGCCGGCGCGACTCGAGTGAGAGCCTTCCAAATCGAGCTCAATAGCCATTCTCGCGTGCCAACAAGGCACAAAGCTAGAGCCCCGACCGAGCGTTGGCGCCTAATCTCCCGCCTCCGTTGCTTGTGTCATCGTTGAGAGGCCGCGCGACATGGGGTCGAGTAGTGTCGATTTAGTTCTTTCAACGCCGGGAGTAGAGATGAGAAGTGGTATTCAAGCAGTATATAGCTTTGGAGTATGATCTGGCGCAGGAACAGAGCCCTCAGACGGTCGTCGATGGCGGTCGCGGACAAGACGGACGGAGTTTGTGGCGCCGCCAATCAGGGACCGGAGGGCGGTCCGTCAAGTCCGTGCCGCCGCGCTCTCCGACTTGTCTTCAACTCTCACTCATCGCACTCGTCCGGCGGCTCGGAATCTACGCCAAACTCTTTGGCTACACACCCTACAACTAGTCTGAAATTTCTAAGCTCGCAGCCTCTCTCGGCGGCTTGTTTTTCGCGGAAAACTCGTAGATCTCGGTCCCCCACCATCGCAGACGACGTGGGGCGCGATCCAAATGCCAGCGATGAGCCAAAGAGGTCATATGGCACTCGCCTATGGCCCTTGCACCCATCCCTGGTTTTGCGATGGGCGAGATCTACAAATTCCCTTATCGTTCTGGGAGGTCCAGGATGTTTGCATGCTCATCTCGACGTCTTCCCATCCATTCTATGCGCACTCCCCTAAAAATACCTGCCGACCAAATTCGGTGCGGAACATCATTCTGAGCAGGTTTTGTATACGAAACACCGTCTTCCGCGCCTCCGATGGAGCGCTAGAGCGCGACGAAGGTCGTTTTGAATATGTGGCGTCGATTTTGGTAGGTCTCTGGGCTTGTCGTTCCTTACTTTTGCGGGCGCCAAAGTACAGGACCATGTTTTCACATGTCTCCTCATGTTTCACAGCGAGTACGGTGAGCTCACGACGTCTGTGTCCTACGTTGTCGACTGTGCTCATCTGCTTGCTCACAGGCTCACCACACGACCAATCTTCCACCTGATGGCACGAAATTACAGCGAGCGATCCCGCCGGATGAAACGAGTACTCGGATGACGTTGCGCCGGCCGAGAAACGCACTGGAAGCTCGCAATCCCACACTTGCGAAAACCAACCTCCTGGATTGTACGCATCTTCCACTCATTCCCAGCGCGTTCCCGCTGTCAGCCCACAGTTCGGGTCGGATGTAAGCTTACTCGGAGGTGCTGAAACGGCACCCCGAAGCTTGGAAGACTGCGATGCCCTCATGCGCGCCCAGAGCCTTTCCGCGCTCATAGGCGAATTCTCTCCTCCCCGAGCTCCCAGGCGCGTCAAAACTCGCGCATGGTATGTCAGCAACATACGGAATATAATCCGCGAGCCTCCCTTCTATGAGAGCGAGAGCGCGGTGCTCCTCGTCGCGGGCGCGCCAGCGCGCTGCCTTTCTGGAGCTCAATGCCTTCCCAAAAGGGAAGGGCACGCCTTCTCCCAAATCGCCACGTCGACTCCCGTGTCCCCGCATCTCTGGCTCCTTCCGCCCCCAGTTCGCGTCATTTTCCGCCTCATCCTTTCATTACGAACAGTCTACTGAGGATTTACGGCCGATATACGCGTCAAAGGACATAGAAAATGCGTCAAGATGCCGCGGAGATATCCAGTAAGCACCCTCCTTCCACCCCCGATCCGCGCCCGGCATTCCAAAGGACCTCGCTCATCCTCGACAGAACCTTCGTGTCCATCGCACATACGCGCACCACGCACGCCAACCATTGCCATACAACGCCGTACACGCCAAATTTTCACCGCGGGCAATCTTCCGCGGTTTCGTAAGTGAATCTCGACGTGCGCTTGCTGTTCGGGGGCGCGTCGGGTCCGCATGTATTGTCCGCTGATGACTGCTGCGGTTGGAAAGGTAGTCCGACGTTAGGGAGGGGTACATAAGGCGGGAGGCGGGGAGGTTGGAAGTCAGAGCCAGCGCTCTTCCTTTCCCCCTCGACTACCTTCCTCATGCTCAGTACCCTTTCCTATCGTCGACTACCTTCTCGTCCTCCTAACCCTTAATTTCGTCGCCGTTCTCTGTCCAATCGCCTTCCTATTCCTCCCTATCCTCGCAATATCCAGGTGGGTCTTCATGATATCGCATCCTTGAGTACTACTGACGCGTTCCTTCAGACCCTCTACCTACGTTCTTCTATGGCACCCGGTGAGTGCCCGCTACCTCTCTTGCTTATCACTCGTACTAACGCGGTCGCCCAGTACATCTACTTTGCTTGTAATATCTTTTAGTGCGTACCACGATCCGCGTCCTATGTACCTGGCTGACCATTTATTCCCCAGTTTCCTACGAATACACGTCAACCTTTTGACTTCCACCGTACGTCCTCCCTCTTCCTACGCGTCGACTGTGATCACTGATTCTGTCTACAGTTCGTTTTGTTCGATTGCTTCGCTCGCAGCGGGCTATTCGTGAGTTCTAGGCGAGCGGTATCGGAATCTAGGTGCATCGCATACCTCGCTCATTGACCTTTGACACTGACCGTGCTTTGCAGGCGATTCGGAAGCGCGGGCATCCTCTATCGTGCGGTCTATCCAACTCGGTCGGCCTTGTCACCCTCGTCCTCAAGCAGTCTTCCCCCTCGCCTTCAAGCGGCTTATCCTGTAGGCCTCAAGTGCACCACCATCCCTCACCACCCCGACCAGATGACGCTGCAGTCATAGTTCGGTGAGTTCTGATCCTCTACGCGTTGTATCTGCTTTCTTTCACTTCGTTATCTTTCCTCTCCTTCCATTAGTTACCTTTCTTTCTTTCTATTTATTCTGGTCTTTCTCTTCATTTTCGCGCTCTCCTCGCGCTCCCACCTATCCTTCCCTTCACCCCCGAGCGAGACCCCGCTGCCGTTCGGGCGTGGGTTCAGGTCAGGGCTGTTTACTGACTCGTTCAGTCACTGCGAGCTCACTGATTAGTGACTGCGAGCTCACCGTATAGCAACCGTGCTTTCGTAGTTTAGTGATCGCAATTTAGTGACCTTGGAGACCTGCGTCGTTTACTCCTTCTACTCATCAGTACCGATCGAGTTTACCGACCGCCTTCGTTCGTTTACTTCTACTTCTACATCTACTTCTACTTCTGCTCATCAGTACTGACCCTCTCGCCGAGTTTACTGATCCCTTCGACACCCTTACTGACTTGCATTGCAGGCTACTTACGAATACTACGCGCCCGACTCCGCCGACACGCCCGACGCCGTCGACGACGCGCGCTACCCCACCGACGCCTACGACGCGCGCGACCCCACCGACGCCGCCGACGATGCTCGCGCCACCTAGCTTACTGACTCTTACGACGCGCGGGAGTTCCTCGACAACATCGGCGAAGGTGGGGGGGAGGGCTTCGGGAAGGGTAGGGGAGCGTCGGCGAGGCTGGGGGGAGCATCGCCGACGACGCGGGAAGCATCGCCGACGACGCGGGAAGCACCGCCGACGACGCGGGAAGCATCGCCGACGACGCGGGAAGCATCGCGAAGGGCGCGGAGGGGGTCGTCGAGGGTGAGGGAAGCGTTGGCGGGGGTGGGGGAGGTGTTGGGGAGGGCGCTCGACGTCGTCGAACGCGTCGGGGAGGTCGCGGGAGACGTCGTCGAACGCGTCGCGGAGGTCGCGGGAGACGTCGGGGAGGGTGGGGGAGCCGTCGTCGATGGTGGGAAGGCGTCGCCGACGATGGCGGGAAGGTGTCGGGGACGACGCGGGAAGGCGTCGCCGACGACGCGGGAAGGTGTCGCCGACGACGCAGAGGGGGTCACCGATGGCGGGAAGGCGTCGTCGAGGGTGGGAAGGCGTCGTCGAGGGTGGGAAGGCGTCGCCGACAACGCGGGAGGTGTCGGCGAGGACGCGGGAGGTGTTGGTGAGGACGCCGGGGGCGTCGTCGAGAGTGGGCGAGGGTCGAGGGGGTGGGGGAGGAATACCTTTTGATTTCCTCAAAGAATACCTTTTCCATTTCCTCACAGAGTAGGGTAGGGTAGGGTAGGGTAGGGGGTCATTGTAGGTAGGGGGTCGTTGTAGGGGGGAGGGGGTAGGTAGAAGGGTCAGGTAGTCGATGGGTCACGACAGGTAGTCGATGGTGTAGATGACTAAAGAGGGGTAGGGGGGACGAACAAAGAGGGCGGGGTCGCGAGGGGGTGGGGGAGTAGTTAGATATCAAGGAATTGTCGTCAGAGGGAGAGGGATGGGTCGATGAAAGGGGGAGGTGGGGATGGGTAACGACACGAGGGGGGTGTGGACGACACGAGGGGAGGGGTGCTGATGAGGGGGGAGGGAGGGAAGGGTAGGGTAGGTACTCACAGTCAATTCACCCGCTTTTTGACCGTCATCAAGGGGGCGGGGGGAGATTGGAGGGGAGAGCAAAAGAGGGGGGGAGTAAAACAACGGGAGGGGTTCGAGGGAAAGGAGAAGGGGACCGGGGGAAAGGGAAGGAGAGTCAGTAAAGGCGAGTACATACCGAGCCAGATCGGAGAGCGCGCTAACGAGTCCTCCTAGGTGGTTAGCGCTGCGGCGGGGAGGTGGGGAAGGAGAGGGTTTGGGAGGAGGGGTGGGGGGCCGTGAGCGAAGGTTGGGGGCCGTGAGCGAAGGCGGGGGAAGACCTATGAGTGAAGGTGAGTACTTCCTCCCCTTCTTTTAGTACCCTGGTCGCGCCCCATCCCCCCTTCTCGCCCTCCCCTCCCCTCTCGCCTTCCCGCCCTCTCCTCGTGTGTCGTCATCTCTCCTTCTCTCCCCTTCGGCCCCTTTTGGCTCGCAGGTCTCCCTTCCCTTCGCCCCTTCGCCTCCTTCTCACCCTCCCTCTTCGCGCCTCACCCCCTTCGCATCTCGTCTCCCTCCACCCTTTCCCCTCGCCTCTCGCCCCCTCCCCCCTCCTTTTCTCGCCTTTTCGTGCCCTTTCCGTCCTTCTCCCCCTCCTCATCGCGCCCTTCCCGTCGTTCCACATTTCCCCTTCGCTCCACAACCTTCGCCCCTTCGCATCTGCCCTCCTTCTTCCACCCCTTCGCGCCTTTCTCTCTTCACTTTCCGCCGCTCGCACCCACCTGACGCATGTTTCTCTTACCAGAACTTGCCCAAAATTGAGAGTGGCTTGCGGACGACGCTAGACCTCAATGCTTTCCGACAGGTACCGTCAAGGTCGTCCGCAGGCCATGGATTATCGGAAATCGTGACGGTGACAGTGCGGCTAACATGAATCATCGATGGTGCTCGGAAAAGTGTAATCTCTACGCGGCAAGCCCGCAGAACTGATTCCAAAGCATGGCTTGTCCGAATCGGCGCTCGAGCAGCCAGGTTGGGTCATCGCCGAACTTACAAAGGCGAGCTGATCGAAGGACACCTTCCCTTCAGTCAGGCCTCCCACAGTGAATCCCCGTAAGTAGAAATGCGGCGAGATTACTCATTGTAGGGTGGCAAGCGGCAGTTCACATGATCAGTCGACGAGTCTGCTTGGTGCAGCTCAATCGGCACGGCAAGAGTGAAGAGACAACGAGCGGGCTCAGGCCGGACAGTTGGGCTATCGCTAGTGCCTACGATGGGCGTGGAAGGTGGGAGAGAGAGCGGGAGGAGACATGACGCGCCTCCGGATACGGGCCGCACTACCGGGGCATGCTCATGGATTGCTCAGCGGCGCCAGCCGGGTAAATAAGCATCGTCGTTGACGTCGCCGCACTTGTTCCTTCCTCCCACCCTCACCATCCCCCGCGCACAACCAACCTTCCGAAATGGCCCGCCCCCGCTCCGCGTCCGGAACGATCCCCTCGATGGAGGCCTCGCACGAAGAGCTCAAAGATAACACGATCATCATCGGTAGGCGCGTCCTGATCCCTGTCTAGGCGCGCGCGCTCACCCGCCGCCCCAGTCGCCGGCGCATCGGGTGACCTGGCGAAGAAGAAGGTACGTTATCGCCGCCGATGACCGCGCCGATCTCGCTCAGGCCGCCCCGTCTCGCAGACCTTCCCCGCCCTCTTCCGCCTCTTCCGCCAGAACTTCCTCCCCCGCGATGTCCACATCGTCGGCTATGCGCGCACCAAGATGGATCACGAGGAGTTCCTCAAGCGCGCGACGTCCTACCTCAAGGTCGCCGATGATGACCAGGACGGCCAGGCGCAGGTAGAGAAGTTCAAGGAAGTGCTGTCGTACGTCGCCGGCGACTACGAGGACGGCGCCGCGTTCGACAAGCTCGAGGAGCGCTTGCAGGAGATCGAGTCCAAGTACCAGTCCAAGGAGGCCAACCGCATCTTCTACCTCGCTCTCCCGCCCACCGTCTTCGTGCCAGTCGCGAAGAACCTTAGGGAGCACTGCTACGTCCAGAAGAACGGCGTGAACCGCATCATCGTCGAGAAGCCGTTTGGGAAGGACCTCGACTCTGCGCGGGAACTGCTCGGCTCGCTCAAGAAGTACTGGTCCGAGGATGAGACGTTCCGTATCGACCACTACCTCGGAAAGGAGATGGTCAAGAACATGCTGGTCCTGCGCTTCGCGAACGTCGCCCTGAACGCTGCCTGGGACAAGAACTCCATCAGCAACGTCCAGATCACCTTCAAGGAGCCTTTCGGCACCGAGGGTCGCGGTGGCTACTTTGACGACTTTGGCATCATCCGCGATGTTGAGCAGAACCGTGCGTGCGACGCGTCGTTGCGCGAGGACGTGTACTGACAATGTCTCAGATCTGCTCCAGGTGCTCAGTGTCATCGCGATGGAGCGTCCGGTCTCTTTTGCCGCCGAGGACATCCGTGACGAGAAGGTACAGCACAGCGCCTAACGCCGAACTAGATCGTAGCTAATCTTGCGCCGCAGGTCAAGGTCCTCAGGTGCATCCCGCCCATCGCCCGCGAAGATACCCTCCTCGGCCAGTATGTTGCCGCAAACGGCAAGCCCGGCTACCTCGATGACGACACGGTCCCGCACAACTCGGTCTGCCCCACGTTCGCCGCCTGCACCCTATGGGTCAACAACCCGAGATGGGAGGGCGTGCCCTTCATCCTCAAGGCCGGCAAGGGTGAGGCGCTCTCCCTGTCCCTAGTCCAGCCGTTCCTAACCCACTCCCCAGCCCTGAACGAAGCCAAGGTCGAGGTCCGCATCCAGTTCAAGGACGTCACGCAGGGCATCTTCAAGGACATCTCCCGCAACGAGCTCGTGATGCGCATCCAGCCCTCCGAGGCCGTCTACCTGAAGCTGAACGCGAAGACGCCGGGCCTGTACACGCGCGCGCTGCCGATCGAGATGGACCTGACGTACAAGCGCCGCTTTGCGGAGACGAACATTCCCGAAGCGTACGAGGCGCTCATCCTCGACTGCCTGAAGGGCGACCACAGCAACTTTGTGCGCCACGATGAGCTGGATGTGGCGTGGAAGGTGAGTAGGGGGGAGTAATTTTGGGCGTGAACTTGGGACGTGGTGAGAAGGAAAGGGCTGGTTTGACTGATTGGATACGATAGATCTTCACGCCGATCCTGCACTGGATAGATGGGCAGGCGGGTGCGCGCCCGAAGCCGGTGCCATACCCGTACGGCTCGCGCGGGCCGAAGGAGCTGAGCGCCTTCATCGAGAAGTACGGCTACAAGCGGAGCACGGACATGTAGTACGTGAAAATCTCCTTCGCTATGGGAAGATGTGTCGCTAATTCGCTTCTCCCTTGTTCCTCCCTACCTTTCCCCTTTTTCCTACCACCTTTCCTTCCCTTTTTTCCTCTCTTTCACCTTCCTTTTCCCCTATCCTCATCCTCCCTCCCGTCCCTTCAGCACATGGCCCGTGACAAACATGGCGCAGCTGTGACTAGATGCGCTGGAGCGCGAGGCAAACGACAAGAAAATGAAGTGTACGAGTAGTAGCGTATCGAGGCCCGGCAGCTGCATCATAGCATGAATGAGTGTTCATGTATACGACGGTGGCGCGGAGGCCTATATAGGATTTTACTGTACGATGTGTTCAGAGGAAAATGTACGATCTATGCATTGGCTGGATGGACTGAGATACGACCGTCGTGTAGGGCTCTCGGAGTGTGCACTAAAGATCAGTGAGTGAGAACAAGCGTCATGTTACTTGGTATGCTTGATGAGAGGTCATAAGGAGGGGGAGGGGGGAAAGGGACGAGGAGGTGAAAGGCCACACGCTGTGTCAGTGCGCTTGCTCCGTACTTATTGTCATCTAGCGTCGTCCGCAAGCCACTCCGAATAATCGTGAATGAACCACAATACGTCCTGGCAGCATGAAAAAGCACAGAAACAAATCTGCGAGTCCTGGCCGATATCTTTGGCGGGCATCCGACGCTAGACTGAAAGTTCAACATAGTGCACGGGACTCGGAACCGGCTATTCGGCATTTGCCGGGTGTCCGAGTATGTACATAGTAGCAGCAGCGTTGCTGGCTTATGACTGATTAGCTGGCTGCCTGTACTTGGGGACAGCAGAGTCGAGTTGCACGGAATCAAGGGGTTGATGAAGGCTTACCGGTCACTCTAAACGAAGGATGTGAGTCGAAAAAGCCAGGACGTACTGGGGATGCAAGCCATATTTTTCAGCTACAATTGCACAATGCAGATCTAAATCTATAAGCACCGTGTCCTTGTAAAGTACAGTAGTAGACTGGCAAACCAAGCGTGCTGTGTGTAAGGAGCAGTTCAGAACAACTCCAATGTGGCAACTCGACCTACGGGCCGAACACCGGCATTTACCGAACGGCGCGCGCAGCCGAGGTGCTTGTGCCACGCTCCGCCGCTCATCCGTCTCTAGCAGCTCTCTGCCTGCCTTCCACCACCACAACCTCCTCTCGCCTCCGTCCCTCTTGCCGCTATGATAAGTGCTTTCTCATCACGCGCACGTCCCATCTCACACCTCGTGCACAGTGCCACCAACAAGCGTCGTATCGAGACGGACATCATGAAGCTGTGCGTGTCCCCATCCCACCACCCCTCCTCAGCTCGCCGACCTCTCCCCCGCTAGAACGACCGCCGACTACGATCTCCAGCTCGTCAACGATAACCTGCAGGAGTTCCAGGTTCGCTTTACTGGCCCCGCCGACAGTGCGTGCCCTGCCTCCCATACCCTCCCACCCACTGACCCCGATTCCGCGCTCGATAAGCCCCCTTCGCGGGCGGCGTGTGGAAGATCCACGTCGAGCTCCCGGACCAGTACCCGTACAAGTCCCCCAGCATCGGCTTCATGAACAAGATCTTCCATCCCAATATCGACGAGCTGTGCGTGGGCGTGATCCGCGGTGTGGCGACAGAGGACTGAGGCGCTTTTTCAGGAGCGGTTCGGTGTGTCTGGATGTGATCAACACGACGTGGTCGCCGATGTTTGGTGCGTGGGCGTGGTCGGGCCGCAAAACGTCTGCTAATGCGCCATCGCCCCCAGACATGGTCAACGTCTTCGAGTCCTTCCTCCCACAATTGCTGCGGTACCCGAACCCGAACGACCCTCTGAACGGAGAGGCGGCATCTTTGCTTATGCGAAACCCGAAGGAGTACGATGCGAAGGTCAAGGGTGCGTGCTCAGGCCTTCGCTGGAAGTCTATACCCTAACCCCGCAACTCCAGAGTACGTCCAGCGATACGCAACGAAGGAGGCGCTGGACGCATCAGACGGCAAGAAGGCAGAGGAGGAAGACGAGGACGAGGAGATGAGCGACGTGGGCAGCATCAGCGACATGGACGAGTAAACGCCACCACCGCGGTCGCTAGCCTCCCGTCGATGGGCGTCCATAATCGGATCCCTTGGCCTTTCCCTTGCATTTCCCGCACACCTTTCATTTACCTCTCTCATCCTGATTCTGACTCTTCTGTTCGTCGCATATCTCAATTCCTTTAACTTGTAAAGTAGTTAGCCCGGGCTTATGTACAATAGATGGTTTACGCGTATCGTGGACTGGGGGAAGTTCAAGAAGGATGTCGATATGGCCGTGGAAGGTCCCTGGAAGGTCCTCAGCCATATAGTTAGTCCTGCGAGGTGGATAGGTACAAACATGGCTACAGAGCGATTCAAACTGGTTAGCAAAGGCTGGACTGTGGCGCGCACTCGGGAGGTACCCCGGAACCCCGGCCCGTCCTCCCGAAGCGCGTGTCGAAGCCGCACGTCGATCACCATCCTTGTTCCCCGCCCCCACCTCCCACCCTCCCAATGGACACCGACGCCTCCGCAAACGACGCCATCCGCGCGCTCGAGGACCTCGTCTCCTCCCCGCCTATCGCCGACCCCGCCCTCCTCCGCATCCGCTCCTCCGCGCTCATCGCGCGCTTGAAGAGCGTGCACCGCACCGCGAACGCGGTCTCGCAGGCGCGGCGCGCGCAGACGGCGGAGGCGCGGACGGAGATGGATGCGGCGCACTTGAGGCTGCAGAATTTGCTGTATGAGAAAAGGCATCTGGAGCGGGAGATTGATAAGTGCAGGCAGTTTGCGTGAGTACTCGTACCCGTTTTGGAAGGCGTTGTTCTTTGGAAGTATGACGACGGATGCTATTCGGCCTTGCGCAAGAGCCAAAGCCTTGGTACTATGGAGAGCTGACACCTTACAGTTCAATATACCAGGATATCTCGCTCTACCCAATCGACGAATTCCGGCGATTGGCGCCGCCAGAAGCACATTCGGATGACCCTCATCAATTGATGCTCAACCGCCTCAGCTTCGAATTGGTGGAGAGACAAAGGTGCGTGTCTTGTACGTGGCGCTACTTGCACCTTGCTGACTTCTGTACGTGTTTCTCTATCTATTGCCCTTGAACCGACTTCCGACCTCTACCTACCCAACTGCATACCTCACCCCTCGTGTCAACCACCTATGACAATGCGTCTATCAATGCTCGTCACTCCAAAGACTGGAAATGAGGCGCGCGGAGCTTGAGAAGCAGAAGGAAAAGCTTCTTGCTGAGAGCAAAGCAAAAGCAGACCGCATGAAGGACGTTAAGCAGGAGATCGAAGGGTTGTCGAAGGTATGTTCCTCCTTCGAACGTCGCTTTCAAAGCCCGCTCGCCTTATGACCGCACCCGCGTTGCTATTGAATGCCGCCAATGGGGTGGCGCGACGACATTCGTGGCGCGCTTTTAGCACCTAAAACCTCCGAAATTCGCTGTCTTCCCTTACGTGGGCGTAGACGCTGACTACTGTACCCACAGGCCGCCCATGCTGCACAGACGAAAGTTGCTGCGCATGTGTCTTCCGTGGTGGTCGACTCCGACGTCGTGATGGCCTCATGACCGCGCGGTCCTCTCTGGGAATAAACATTGTATGTATATGTATAATTGTCAGCATCAGCACCCTTTGGAAAACCGCCTTTGGACCGTCATCGTCGTCACCTGCGCTGGGAATCTCGAATGATGACGAAGAGTCAGGCTGGGACGCGTCCGTGCGAACAAGCTCAATTATTCTCAGAGGTACGGTGGCTATAGACCGTCGACGACATGCCTACCCTGCGTGCGCAGTGTTCTCCGACGTCAGAGGGACTCGAATGCCGTTAATTGGCAGGCGGCGCAGCAGGAGAGCATCAACTCAACATTTTCTTTGCCGGGTGCTCTCGCACCATCAGAATTCTGTGTTCCTGCCGAAAGAACAAAGTCAGGAGCTCCCGTGGACGTCAACAGGTGCGGCATGCGCAGGTCCAATACAGTCCGCTTACCTGCACTCGGCGGGTCTATGGCATCCTATTGAACACCCCGGGGTGACGCCTGCCCGCCTTCCGCGCCCATGCCTATTTTGCTCGCAGGCGGCCGCAAGATAGCAGGTGGTGGATAGGTAAGCGGACTCGCTTTCGACACTTCTAGGTCGCTTCTTTAGAGTGTATTCGCCCATTGAAAAATCAAGATCCAAAATCGGTACATACGAATTCAATTGAGCACCGAACATATTTATACTACAAATTTGTTTTGGTATGTTACGAAACCCATCGGTGGGCTCTACACTCGCAAGCGCAGGCAGCCCTCCAACCACCTTGTCTCTAAGCTGCTTTACGACGGCGGGCGGTGCTCAACAGCTGTCGGGGACTGTCTGCCAAGTCACGCCTGAGAAGTCAAAGCACGAGCGGTACAGGAAGGGTCGCCGCTGGCCGGCTCCCCGCGAGCCACTGCTAAGATCTCGAATCTGGTCAGTCTTGCTACGAAAATGCTTTGAAGATTCGGAAACGATTTATCATGCTCAAAATGAGATTATTAACGGGCGAATACACTCTTTTGCGATACGAGGACTCTAATACGGCGCCCCGCCGTGCCATGGGGCGGCCGAATCGCCCATCTGGCTTGCGTTGTTTATCCTATTTGCCCAGCGACTTACGGACCCTCATTTCGGCAGTTACTAGCCAATCAACAGTCTATGGATTGCCTGTACTCAATCTCCGAATTATTTCGGCCTCGACCTCGTCGGGCTGCTAGTTCGCGATATTTCACACCGGTCTGGCTCATACCGGGGTCCTCTCCGAGATTCCTGTCAAGGATCATAGCTTTAGGAAGGCTAGAACAGCTGGACGATGGTCGCAGATGAACACCCTGTCGTTTGGCTCTCGAAAAGCCCATCGACCGCCCTGTATTTCCATCCATCGGACCTTGAGACTTCCTCATGGTCAGCGCATTCTCTTTCGGACCTTCCTTGGGTGATTATCTGCATCAGCGTCCAATCGTAGGCACCCCGAGATGAAGGTCGCCTGCTTGGCTTCAATGGTACCAGGTCAAGCCAGGCTACAGCGTGTAAAAACAATTCAATCTACTCGCCTTCCGGAACTTCATAATAGGCGTCAGCTGCTCGCACAACGTGCGAGCCGCATTAGCGCCGCATCAGAAACCGGTAATCGACGCGCTCATCAGGTCTACTCCTCCCGAGCCCAGTGGGTATGTTCGCAGGCGCAGATGTCGAGAACCTTCTTCATATGGCCTCGAACATACGGAGATGCGCGCGAGGGAACGCTCACGGGAGCAAAACCCTAAGCACGCTCGATGCGATCCCATATGAAGGGCCCGGGAGGGGGATCGGTGAAGAAGTCGGTGATTACATCACCGCAACAAAGGGTAATCCCAAATGCGGACAATAGACACCCGGACCCGGTCCGGCCCCCTGGCATCAAAACCCGATACCCCAAAGAATCGCTGGGCGGGAGGAAAATTGCCTGCCTCCTCGAGCAAAACCGTTGAAAACCTATCGTGAGCCCCGCGTCCGTGTCGTACCTTGCATGCGATGGGCGCAAGCGAAAATTTACGCCGCCGGAAAAATGCAAAAGACGGCTAATTGAGTCTCGGCCCGTCAACTGTGCAAGGCTTCGGGGAGAGCCTAACACAACAAGAAGCACGGTCGCGTGCAAAGAAGTGATATGCCAGCGCTAGCAGTGTTTGACCTTGTGGCGATCCAATTCGCATATACAATACACACAACCGAGGTAGCCCGTCTGAAACCGGTGGGAAATGGGTGAGGAATGGTCTGCGACCGTAGAGTAAGTATACGTGCGTGGGGGAAGCAGAAGGGGAAGCGCATCGATGGGTAATATACATAGGTGCTGGACTCTTGATCGCTTGCGATCGATAGATGGGCAGTGGTAGTGTACAGCTGGGGGGGAATGGGAAGGGGCGAACACACAAAACCGCACGAGACCGAAAATGGGCGAACAGGGGATGATGAGGACAGCAGGAAGACAGACATACAGACACAGCGATGGATGAACGGAACGAGCGAGTGGCTTGGTGATGGGGTATAAGCGGCTGGTGCATGCGGCGGCAGCAGCGCGCTATGGGGCATAGATAGCTTCCCCCTTGTACGTTTTGCCGTTGTCGTCGAGGAGACGCTTCAACCGGGTGGCGATCTTGCGCACCCCCTCGCGACAGGGCGCGAGTTCCCGCCAAGAACCAGCGACGGACCAGCACTCCGAGCAGGCGCGCGAGGCGGCGCTCATCGTGGCGACCTCGAGCTGGCCGCGTCCGTGGAGGGCGACGACGACGTCCGCGAGGCGGTCAAAGCCGGTGAACCAGGTCTGCATACCACGCTCTGGTGCCGTCGTGGTGTCCGTCGTGAGGTAGGAGCTCGAGAGCTCGAGGCAGCGGCGGAGGGCGTCTTGATCGAGCACAGAGCCCTCGCGAGTCATGAGGGGGAGGCTCGCGAGGACATACTGGTAGTAGTCCGTGGGGGCGAGCGTCGACTGCGTAGCTTGAGGTGCCTGTGTCTCCTGCGCAGGCTGCGGCTGCTGGTGCTGTTGCTCCTGTTGCTGCTCCGGCTGGGGCGGCTGCTGTTGCTGAGCTCCCGACTCCGTTGACTGGGGCGAAGAGGGGGACATGTCAGCCGAGTAGCAGGCAGGGCGGGGTCTAGCACGCACCTCTTCTGGTTCTTGGGTGCCCTCCGGCTGATGGCTCATGCCGGGAGCGCCAGGGGAAGTTGGGTGCGCGGCGGAGCGGTGGACCCGCTTTTATACGCCTGCGCCACAGGCGGGCACCATTCTGGAGATGGACGATCGGATGATGAGATGGCGTGGGACCCCCGCGCGATCGTCCGGCCAGGCAGCGGCGTCGGTCGGTCGGCCAGGCCGGACGAGCCCGCCTCCGGTCCGGGACGCGTGCATCCCTTCCCCCTCCCCTTTCCCTCGCCGTCATGAGCGCGCTCAACTTCCTCGCGCCGCGTCCGTTCGTGCATCCAGAGACATGGGAGGGCGTCGAGTACAAGTGGAAGTTCTTGGTCTTCCGGCCGGGGTGTACGTGGCAGTCGCGTTCGTGTACGACCCCTGTGCTGACTCCAACAGACTTTAAGCTAGAGGGGTACATCCTCGCCGCGGTCGTGGTCTACCTCGTTTTGTTCTTTTATGGCAAGTCCGCGAATGCGCGGAAGGCCAACGCCTGGTTCTCCGCACACAGGCCGCTTCTCGAGGCCAACTTCTCCAAGCCTGCTGCGGGCGGACTCATTCAGGACGGCTATTCAGACTTCTTTGCATTCTCCACTGGGCGCCGGAATGTCGCGTCCCTTCACGCGATCTTCGCCCTGCGCCCGCGTCACGACCCCTTCCAAATCCTCGCGCAAACAGGATACGCGGCCTTCGACCTCCAGTACCGTCCGCTCGATGACCTCCAGCTGGACTTCCTCCTCCCGGCATCACTGCCCGTAGACTTCGTATGGGCGCTCGTGAACAAGGACGAACTTCGCGGGATCAAGAAGGGCCGCTGGGACTTGGTACGCGCTTGTCAGTTACCTGCCGTGTGGCTCGGCTGAGTGCATCCCCGAGACTTTGACACGTACGACGGAAAATGGGGCTCTCCCGGGTTATGTCTCTGTCATGTCCGGTGCGCGGGTGGCGTACTCAATTGCCACAATTTTTTGCTGACCTGTGCCCGCAGAGTTCGCGGACGTCACCGAAAATATACTCAAGCTCCCCGCGGGGCAGGCCCTGGTCAAGGTTTTGGAGGACCCTGCCATCAAGCCCTACTTCCGATCCCTATCGGTTGGCCCATCGCTCTTTTGTACCTTGGAGTCCTCTCACTGATCGACCGATAGATTACTGACCAGCCGCGCGACCGCCCCAGCAGTGTCGGCGAGTTCGAGGATCGCCAGAAACACGTAATTCTGAGCCTTGTAGCGCCACCGCCGTCCAGTGCATCTGGTATGTCAGATATCCGTCATTACTTTGTATGGGACTCCGTGAATTCTCCAAGTGGGGCGCATCATAGCGACCTCCTTCTTTCCATGCGATGTCACCTTCTTGCATCCACCTCCAACCGCATTCTCGCTGACATTGCAATCATCTGAGCAGTTGACGCTCCTCTCATTACCGCGGTTTTCGACCTCATCGACCAATTATCGCGCGTCTCTCTTCGCCCTGAGACCAAGAACAAGCTTCGGGCGGCGCGTGCTGAAGTCGTCAAGGAGCTCAAGAAGGAAGAGGAAGAGAGGAAAGCCGAAGTAGGGCAATCCCTAATTTTGTGTGATGATTGGCTGATTTCTTGTGCAGGAATCCGGTGTCGAAGATAAGAAGGCCGCCAAGCGCCGCGCAGAGCAGGAGCGCATCGCGAAGCTTCCTGCGGCAGAGCAACAGAAGGTAAGCCCACGATCTTTACTAGCGAGTCATGCTAACAACCGTATGTAGATTCTTGAGCGCGAGAGGAAGCGTCAGTACAAGAAGGCGAGCAAGGTCGTGCGCAAGTAAAAGCGTCTCCTTCATGCGGGGACTGCCGTGCACCGATGTCAAAGGGATGTACCACAATGCTGTATCTGCTGTACACTCTCGTAGGCGCTCAATGCACCGTCCTGGAAACAGGACGTCGAAATTGGTATATTTTGCGCCAAGAACACGGGGATACGGCCCGTTTGGGCCGCCATACCACGTGCCCGCTAACTCCGCTTGGCCATTCCTTTCTTGTCAACTCATTCGACATGTCCCTCGCGTTCATTACGCCCTGTCGATCTTCGGGCTTCCGGACTCCAGGATTACGACCCGCTGACAAGAAGGAACGGTCAAGAAGACACTAGATACCCCGAAATCAGTGCCCCTGCGGCTGCACAGACTGCGCGTACTGACGTCGTTTGTGACGGAGCACAGGTTATGAGCTCAAGTGAACAGTCCGAACATCAACCCCATCACGCGCTTGCTGGCTGGCCGCTACCAGCACTCCTGCACCATGCTCTGCTGGTAATCGCACTCACGGTATCTGGCCGGGGGAGTCGCATGTTCCCCGCATGCAGCTGCGTATAAGTCGTAGCACTGCACTTGACACGAACCTCCATCACGCTACACGCTACTGGGCATCTATCGCAAGGCCTGCTTAGCTTCACTCTGGCGAGCTTCATTCGAGATCCTCGGTACCACGCTCGGAGGTACGAAGGCAAGTTTACGACACCGTGCAAAGGTGAAGAGGAACGATGTCCACGAGAACATTCTACCCGATCGCGCACCATCTCTCGCACCGTGGGTCAGATGCAGAGTCTCATCCGTGCATAGCCGCGCTGTTGGGGCAGGGCCCGACGCGAGAGGCGAGCGAGACGAACCTCGTAGAGAAGAAACCGGTACACGTTGGCGAAATCCACCGACAGCTGAGTACGTGAACTTCTAACATGCATCGCCTTCGCTTGTTAGGCGCGCAACACTTCTGTTCTGACGTGATTCAAAGGTTATGCGCCGCTAGAAAACCCGAAGGTCAAGTATACGTTCAAGCAAGATGCGTTCGACGCGAGCGGCGAGATTATCGGACCAGGCGGACGCGCGGTATACCACCTAGAAGACGAGGGGCGCGAGCATAAGCTTCACGCGTTAAAACCCTACGTAAGTCTATCTTCCCGCTGGCATAACTCACAGAGGCGACCATCCGCAATAGACTCACCTTCGTTGGCATCCACGGCACGCAAATAGACAGTGCTGACGCCTCTCGCAGCCCCTCCACATCACGCGCGTGGATGGCTCGCGACTCGCGTCCGTGCACTGGGGATATGTGTCCGATGGTACACGGCTCGAACCACATGCTGTTTGGCAAACGGAAGGCAAGATCAAGTACAAAGGTGGCATCTTCGACGACAAGTGGGTATTCCCTCGATTCTGCTTCCTGAAATAGGTTACTGAATACCTTCGTCAGCCTCACCATGACGCTTCCGGATGGAAGACAATATCGCTGGGAAATGGACTTCACGGCCGACCCACCACGATGGCAATTGCGCGACATGCTCGACGTCGTCGTCGCCGTATACCGCATGCGCAGCAGGCGCACCCCAGCCGTGCTCGAGCTGCCCCCAGAGGAGCTTGGCCTCCTCGAGCCGTGCGTCATGACGTGCGTACTACGTCGCTTCTTCCGAGCATTCTTCCCTTCAAAACGACGGTCGGCTGACCTGTTTCGCAGTATCTTCTATCTCGAGTACATTTCGCATGGCGTGACGGCGAAACTACGGACGTCACCGGTGCACCAACCCCAACAGCAGGCGCCGAGGCGTAAACGCTCGATGTATGGCTTGAAGGGTGGGGAGTCGCAGAGCACTGTCGTTTCGGAGTTGTCGCTGTGATTAGTAGAGCGGAGGTAACGGACCAACTGAAGGTCCAAAGGACACCATGTATTAGAGTGTATTCGCCCATTAAAAATTCAAGATCCAAAATCGGTACATACGAATTCAATTGAGCACCGAGCGTCTTCATACTGCGAAATTGTTTTGGTATGTTACGGAAATCATTCGCGGGCTCTGCACTCACAAGCGCGGGCAACCCTCCATTTACCTTATGTTCACGTCGTTTCACGACGGCAGGCGGCGTTGGTCAGTTGCCGGAGACTGTCTTCCCAGTTTCGCCTCGAGTTGTTCGAGAAAATGTCGGTCCATGGAGGGTAGCGCTGGCCAGCTCGCCAACAGCCACTGTGAAGATCTCGAATCTGATCAGTCTTACTACGAGAACGCTCTCAAGATACAGAAATGAATCCGCATGTTCATAACGAAATTATTAATGGGCGAATACACTCTATTGACTACTAGAAAAAGCATCTGTAACAAAGACGAACCTAGCATGTGTCGTTCTTGCTGTCTGTATGTATTATTTAGCGCTCCTGTATTAATATCAACAATTGCTGTTGTCTTCGTAGAAATAGGAGCATACCTGAGTGTAAGCAGGTCGACCCACGCCACAAGTGAAGGCGAGCCGAATCGAAGATGAAGAAACCATGACCTGGGGAAGAGCTAGCAGCTATACAAGAGTGTGAGCTAGATGAGAATGAAGTAAACAACTCTGGAGATGTGTGATGTAGAGGGAACGAAGCCCTCAAACTGCAGCCATATGAATGTTCAAGTTGAACATGCTATCCACGTGGCTGCTAGCACGCCTCTGATGAGACTCAATGGCGATGACTAATCTGGAGGAGTGGCCTTGTGGCGTCCGCCCCTTTCTCTGGCGTTTCCACGACTGAGACCTTCGTTGCTCTGGAGCAGTTCCACCCCGACCCGTGCTTGACTCCGCTGCTCATGTTCTGCGAGGGACAGTGAACGTGCAGCTGCCCGGTCCAGCTACTCCCTGCTCGACGATGTTGCCCCCACAAGCTGTAGCGACCACCAGTCGCGAATCAGGGAGTCCGGAGACACCAAAGAGAATAGGGAGTAAACATGCACGGCCCCCATGGAATCGTGAGTGGTCTGCAGTGATACGCGACCCCTGACTTACGTGCTGTGGTAGCCACAACGTCGTGTTCGCCGTCCTTCAATCGCTATGCGCTGCGCATGCCTTCCATGGATGGGCAGTCGCGGGCTCGCAGGATATCCCTGGGACTATCCCCCCAGCGTGCACCGCGAACCCAGGGTCGATGGAGACTCCCTGTCGAGGTTCTGGAGCTAGTCCTGGACTTTGCACACGACGATCGCCCGACACTCGGACGCCTTGGCTTGACATGCCGCGCTCTCCTGATCGGCAGTCGCTTCGACCTGTTCGAGACCCTAGTCACGGCACCTCGAAGGGAAAGCACAGCTCAACGAATATCCTTGAGGGCCCTCCTTGCCAGTCGCTACTGCACATTCAAGCCCTTCGTGAAGCGGCTGCGATTCAAGAAGCTCGAGGACGTCCCCACCGTGTCCAGCCTCGCCACACTTTTCCCCTACCTTGACGACCTCACCGAGGTCCGTACGCTCATCTTCCCTCTCATGGACGTCACTTCGGAGCACCTGAAGTCCGCCGGCTGGCAGGCGCTCGTCAGGTCGCGCCTGGTCACGCGGATCACGAAGCTCATCGTCGTTCGAGCATCTACAATGACCTTCGACGAGTTCGCTGGCGTCGTTGCGCTATTCCCCAGCGTCCGCGAACTTGTGTGTGACCAGCTCGAGATCGACGAAACAGATGCTGCTCTGCCTGTGCCACCACCCAACCTGCGCACCGTGCAGCTCGGCGACCATATCCTTACGACGCCCGACCATGGGAAGGCGAAGGCCTTCCTTCGTTGGCTGGCCCTCCGCGAACGCGAGGCGCCTCTCACGCTTACGATTCACGCCGACATTGAGGACGTTGAGTTTCTCCAAGATTACACCTCCGCGGCACCTGCGGCGTTGCAGCGAGTGAAGGTTCATTTGCATGATGCACGCGCAGCGCCACCGCCGGATCTGCTTGGTGAGTCCGTCTCATGCATGCCTTGCGGCGCCGAGGCTCATGCTGTTTACAGAGATCATCCTCAGCAGCAACTACCTTGCCGGCTTCTCTACCCTCACGAACCTCACTGCAGTCGATGTAGGACTTGGTGCCCTCTGGTTCCAAAAACTCCGCGGTCAGCTTACATTCCACCCTGCCATACTCTACATGCCCCGCGTCTTGCGCGCCCTTCCGCCAAACCTCGAGCGCCTGTCCCTGGATGTGTTCTCCCGGCGCGAGATGGAGCTTCCGTTCTCTGTCAAGGACATGGAGTTCGACCGTACCTGGGCAGCTATCGACGCCATATTAGCTGGTGGGCACTTCCGCCGACTTCGTCATGTACAATTCGCCATATTCGTGGACGAGTACGACTTCAAGCTGAAGAACGACGCGCTGGAGGCGTTCTGCGTCGCTGTATGCGGCAAGCTGCCAGGGTTTGTCGCGCGGGGTACGCTATCATTCATCCGAAGACAATGGGACTCGTATAACGATGTCAATTGGCTCATTCGGGATTGAACTGGGTGCTATACATCTGTTGTTCATCTGCATCATCTCAAGTACATATTTCGCATATCTGGACCCTTCACATTATTCCTGTATCTATATTGCATCATCTGTACTAGTACTGCCAGTATCTGTGCCTCTAATTGTCTATTGCCTGGAGCTTTTATCCGTTGACTGAAGGACTGAGCACGAGAACAAAGACTTCCAAAAATGACAAGTCTGATTGACCTTGACGGAAGCTATTCGTGCACGTGAAGAGCTCTTACTTCTCCCCACCACCCCGCTCGATGCAGCGCGTTCCCAATGACCGGCTTAACTCATCGACGACGATAACTAGCAATGCAGCGGCAAAGCCGGCGATCCTGCTCATGCCGACCGTGCGCTGTGCAGCACCGGGCACCTGCGGCGAGTCGGTCGGGCTGGAGTGGTTCGGGCTCCCGGCGCAGTTCGAGATCGTCGCCCTCGACATCGAGCTCGAGGGCTACCAGATGTACGCGGTGGAGAAGTGGATCGTGGAGCGGGACCGGCCGGTGACGGTGCTGGTCGTGTACACCGGAGACGCGGCGCACAAGGTGCGTGTGGCGCGCATCTGAGCTGGAGATGGATCGCTGAGCCGAGATACGCAAGATCACCGTGACTGCGCTGCGTCCGTCGGAGAGGCTGTCCCCCTTCGACGCGCAGGCGCAGTGGACGGACGTCATCCACTACCTGCGCCGAGATGGCGCGCGCGCGAAGGAGACCCCGCGGGGCGTGCTCATGGCGACGTCGCTGGCACACTTCCGATCCGACTATACTATTGTGCACATTCCCAACGGCAACTTCCTAGAGGCCAAGCATCGCTTGTATGCAAACATCAATCTCCTGCGCACGGGGTGCGCTGGCAGGAGCACCCTCACTCTCGAAGAGCCTACGGACAGCACGAAGGAGCGGTTTATCAAGCTGTATGGCGTACCCGAGAAGAGCTGGATCTACGAGCCTAACAATGAAGACGCAGAAGAAGGAGGGCTTCGCGGGGACGACAGCTTCGTCGTGCTTACACCTCCACGAGGATCGGCAGCTTCCCCGTCCAAGCTCTCCAAAGAGAGGCACTCCCCATTGCAGACTCGCACGCCCCCTTCGCCCCCGGAACACAAACGGAGGAAATCTGTCTCGAATACGCCTGTCATCGGGTCGAGCAAGAGCCCTGCGCTATCCAGCAAAGCACCTACGCTCGCCAGCGTACCGAGCAAGGGGGATGGCAAGGTTCGACCCGTAACTACCACAAACTCGGCAGCATTCTTGGCTACTGTGCTGGAGCTCGTGCGGATCGTTCAAGCAGCGTTAGGCGCATTCGGCATGTACTCCCCGCAATGTAATGCAAGACGACGCACTAGGTCGGCTTCAGCCTCGATGACCATACCGTCCGATGGATTGCTCTGCGACGTCACCGTCGAGGGTATCAAGACATGGGTCACCGAAGTTGGTGAGCCTTGTGCTGACGTCGAGGTAAGTCGAGTGGACAGCATAGCACAGACCCAAACTAACTTTACTCAGCCTACGGAAAGGATCGTAGACCCAACAGTAGTCTCCTGTCTACTCAGCCTTGTGTTGGCAATGCGCAACAAGTTATGTGAACTCCTTGGTTCCGCAGATGTACGTTGGCGGGCGATGTGCGCTGGACCGTTCTGACAAGATCCAGTCGCCGCCCAAGGATCCTTTCCTCAACTATCCCGAATTTATTCGCTCCATCTCGATGTTCGCAGCGCGACTCTCATCGCCTCATACCTTGTCTTTACATACCTCGCTGTCATCCATCTCGCCCAACTCGGCCCACGCTTCCCATACGACGGTCGCTACCCACCAATCATCGATGACGATGGGACACCTGCCGGTGGTGCCCATCACGCTGTCCATAAACCGCGAAAGCGAAGCAAAGACTGTAGATATCAAGCCCGAGCCGCGCGAAGTGCCCGTCACGTATCTGTCTCGATCCCTCATCGACTCCATTAACACTGCCTGGCGGAATGCGGACGATGACAACAAGGACAAAGAGAAGGATCGCGAGAAGGAAAGGGAGAAGGACCGCAAGCATCTAGAGAAGGAAAAGGAGAAAGACCGTCGACTAATAGAGAAGTCATCCCGTTTGACGCACGACTACAGCGACGGGAGCGCGAGCGAAGGACACTCCGGCCACCACCTCAAACCCACGCATCTTATAGGCAACCTCGCGCGGAAGCATGTCACGGGCGGCAGCATCTCACTTGGGGCTGGGGCTGTGATGGGGCTGGGCACGAGCGGCGGCGGGGGCGAGGAGAGCGTCTACGACCCCGTGCGCGACCTCGAGCTCTTCGCCGCGATTGTGAGCGCGCCCGAGAGCAAGCGCAAGCGCCGGGAGCGCGGCGAGCGCCACAGGCGCGAGGACAAGGACCGCGAGCGCGACGAGTGGACGAACATGACCGCCCTGCGCGCGTTTTGGACGGGCAAGGCGCCGGCCTTCGCGACATGCGTGCGCGCCCGCGTCGAGTTGCAGCGCATGAAGTGGTCCAATGAGCCGCGGGAGGAGCGGGATGCCGAGCGGGATGGCGCGGAGAAGGAGAAGAGCGACGGGGGCGATGAGGTTTCAGGGCTTGAGCGCGTGCAGAAGAAGCTGGGGAGTTGGACTGGGTATGACGGGGATGAGCATCGCCTTTGTGCAGGGCTGATTCCCTGTCAGGAAGCTGGACCTTCGACAGGCTAAGAAGAGGCATCGGGACAACGACACGCCTTTGCTCAGCCCCTCCATTGGGCGCAAGGACTCGACGGAAAAGAAGGAAGAGGTATTGCCGAGTGCCTACCAATCGTGAGTCCGTGATATTATAGGGCGAGCGGGTGCTAAGCTGTCGCTTCAGGGATAAAGAGGAATACTACGACGACGACCTGCTGAGCAGCGGGCAGGCGTCCCCCGTCCTGGGTACCTTCTGACTTGGATAACTTCAATGGCGTGCTGATGGATCGATGCAGGCGAACACCAGAAGCCTATGGGTCTTTACCCCAGCTCCCAAGCTCGCGACTTCCTTCGCCCTTACGGCTCGCTCTCCAACCCAACATCCACCGCCGTCTCACCCTACTCCTCCGTCCTCAACGTCGGACACCCCGCCCTCTCCCGACGCGGGACCACACAATCCATCAACATCGCCGAAGTGTCAGAAGCGCTCCTTGGCGTGTCCCAGCGCCGAAAGTACCCCTGGGGCAACCGCCCTATAAGCCAGACCCGCGTTTCCAGCTGGAGCGACCCAGTCAGCGCGAAGGAGATCGCCTTCAGCGGGGACGAGTCGGCGGATGTGTTGGATGGGGCGGCGGCGATTGGGAGGCGGAGGAGGAAGCCGAAGACGAGGCTGTCGCAGATCGCGCTGGAGACCAGTCGAGAGAGCGCGGGGAGCTCGGAGGGGTCGGGCTTGGGGAGTGAGGATTCGGCTTCGCCTGAGATGGAGAATCGGGTGCCGATGAAGGGCGTGCATAGGTATGCGGGCTGGCTTGTGGCCGAGCGAGTGCGACGCTAATGATTTGAAGACGGCGGAGCTTCCATGACCTGGAATCATTCAGGAACATGCACGTCCTTACACCGGACCAAATGCGAATAGACGTCGAGCTGGGCGGCCACCTACTCATCATGCACCGACGACAGCAACATCTCCAGAACGTCATCGCATGTCTCGAAGTCCTCACCGCCAACCTCTCCGAAACCTCCGACAAGCTGCGCGCTGACTACCAGGACCACCTCAGCGCGCTCTCCGACGCCGAAGCCAAGATGCGCATCGTCGCCGAGATAGAGCAGGCGAACGCGGAGGCGGAGAAGATCGCGCAGGCGAAGAACACCATCCTCTACGAGTCCGCGCAGTTCCGCCTGCCCGACCTCTGGCACATCGCGTCGCCGCCGCGCGACAAGGTGTTCGAGTATCGAGAGAAGGTGTTTGGCACGGGTGGAAGGCGGTTCCCGCCTGGAGTACGAGGGGCGCATGGGAGGTTCAATCGGTTGCAGTGGACACTGGATGGCAAGGCGCGCGCGGTGGATCAGTATGGACGTACGGAGAGCGAAGATGAGGAAGAGGAGCGCATTGATCCGAACGGGCAGTTCATCATGCGCGACCGGGAGGAGGCGGAGGAGGACGTGGTCGAGCACCCGGCGATGAAGCCCATGTGGTTGCTCAGGCTGTTCACGAGCTGGGGAACGTGGCGGGGGAAGTCAGAAGGGAAGAAGGACAAGGAGAAAGAGGGTGCTGCTTCGTCGGGGGAGAGCGGCGAGAGGAAGGTGGCAAGTGGGAGTGGGGAGAGGAAGGAGGATGTGGTGTCTCCCGTGTCGCCTACGTCAGACTCGACGGATGCGCTCTCGCCAATGCCACCTTAATTTATGGCCTTCTAATTCATGAGTCTATGTATATTCATACCCGTGTAGATATGCAGTGCGACAGGCTAGGTCGTTGAGGAACATCGAGAAACTTGGATGTCACAAAAGCCTGCTTCTATGATTTGTTGCCAGAGTCGAGAGTAAAGTAATTCACACACTCGGCCATGGAAAGTGCGCACGCAAGGGGCGCAACAAGCACGATACAGCCACTCCTTCATCGTGTAGTTTCAAAGTAGAACAAGTCCTTTCCGGCTTCTTTGGCCACTAGAGGAAGCCCCGGCTTCGCCGGCTGCATACCTTACTTGCATCTCGCGCGTAAGTCTGAATCCTGTTGTCGTTGAGAAAGCTCGTCGTCTGTTGCCGTACAGGACTTGTGGACGAAGGTGTCTGCGCGTTGACCGATTTTGTCTTCAGAACGTACTACGCACATGGGGTCATTTTTGATGGGGTTAATATGGCATGGGGAAGACCTTGCAAGCAAGGTGATGGAGATACGTCGCCGGCAATCGCCGATCAAACCTTAGCGTTTCCTTTCAGGGTATGTCATGACTGTGGAGACACCTCTATGACGGTGATCGCTGGTTGCGGACCCAGCCGATTCGAACCCTTCAACGAGCACTGCTCCCAACAAAGGAAGACATAATTTTTGGGCATCCATCGCTCTGCTGCATCTTTCAGGCCGCAATCGCAAGAATACTGAATAGGGGATCACATCGCGTGCATTCGTCTTGAAGGGTTCGGGCCTAGTCGCTAGAGTTGAGGGCCGTAAAGACACTTCCATAGTGCTTCCATACGAGCAGAAGACATAGTCATGCCGGCCGTCAGCCTCACGTACTGGCCTACAGCACGACGCCGACTTGGGCTAATTTCGAGCCAAAGAGAAGATGAACAGGTGGCACCATCGCGCGCCCGGCGATGACGGGCGACATGGGCCCTTCCCGCACGTCTCAAACGCAGAAGGCCAGAAGCCCCTCCACCTCCTGAGACGCGACTGGAGTCGAGTAGAACAAGCCGCGCGCCGTCATTTGCCGGTGGACGAATGCGCGCTGCGACGACGAATTATGGGGCGCGAATTTGAGGCGCACGTATTTCCCGCCACCCGGGTTTACCAGAGAATTCGTCGACCGTGGTCGAAGCGCGCGCCTGTCGAAGGTCGTCTTTCCTCGGGCGTGCCGCGCTGGTGGACAGCTTCTCGGCTCAGGTGGACAAAGGTTGATGTTCGAGCAAGCTCTTGGAGGGTCGAAGTCGATGATGCGCTGCGTCGTGTGAATGCGTTGTCGGCTAAGCGCCCGAGTGACGCAGGTGCGAAATTGTGCGGGAGAACAGTCGCGAAAAGGCATGTCGTAGAAGGTCCGAGGAGCAAGGGCGCGCCATCGAGCCCGTCGGCGGCGCACATCCTTCGCGTCCGTCGCGGCAGAGACGAAGTCGAACTATAGAGCGGCCCAGGCACTGCGGGCCACGCGAGCCCAGCTTCGACGCTGACATGAGGAGGTGTCTTGTCTCTCCGAGAGGTAAACCGCCGCAGAGCCTAGTCCGTGTCGAATAAATGGCCGGGGCCCGGAGGAGAAAGCGCTGGCGAATGGGAGGGCGCGCTCGGCGTGTTCCGAGGTGATGGAGATCAGGGCCCGTGGAGGCGGGGCACGTGCCGATGTGAGCCCCTTGACCGCGCCCGATCGACCGAGCAGGATCGAGCGATTGGGCCCGGCGGCGACGGTGGCTATCGAATCCGTTATAACGAACGCTGGCGGCTGCCGTGCGCGACCGACCCACGACCATCATGGACTCCCTCCAAGACGTTCTCACCTGCCCCCTCTGCGCACATACCCTCGCCGCACCGCTCACCCTCCGCTGCGGCCACTCCCTCTGCGCCGAGCACATCGCGTCATCCGACCCCACCGTCTGCCCCGTCCCCGGCTGCCAGCCCACCCTCAGCGCACCCAGGTCAGGGCCCACGGTCCAGTTCCACCCCGCGCCCGCGCCCACGACCCATCCAGCGCCGCGAGCTCCCAGCCACCTCGGCGATGTGACCCTCAACAAGATCCTCGAGCTCATCGACCGGCACTCGCGCGACGCCCCCGCGGACGACGATGACATGGACGACTACCCGCCCCCCTACGCATCCCGGCACCGCGAGTCGCCGCCCACGAAGCGTGCGCGCACCGCCGACGCCGACGAGGAGGAGCCCGACCTCCTCAGTCATCTCTCGCACCTGTCCTCGGTCCAGCGTGCGACGAGGCCGGACGCCGTCATCCCGGACGCCTACGCACATCCCCCCTCCAGCACCCGAAATGACGACACGCCGGCGCCGCAGTGGGAGAAGGAGCTATTGTCCGAGCTTACTTGCGAGATATGCTTTCAGCTGTTCTACGAGCCGATCACGACACCCTGCCAGCATGTGCGTGATCCATACCTTTCCTGTGATTATCACTGACGTCTCCCTCAGACCTTCTGCACGAAGTGCTTGCAGCGCTCGCTCGACCACAGCGCGGCATGTCCGATATGTCGTCAGGAGCTGCCCGGGTACTCGTACTTCCAGGATCATCCCGTCAATCAGACTGTCTTGAGCATTAGTGAGTTCCCAACATCGGATTCAGGCAATCTGCTAAGTATCCTCGCAGTCCAACTCACCAACAAGGACCTTTACGACGCAAGAGCGGCCGCGATCGAACAGGAGGAGAAGGATGGTCGATTGGACACCCCAATCTTTGTCTGCCAGCTTGCATTCCCCGGAATGCCGACCTTGCTGCATTTCTTCGAACCCCGGTGCGTTGTTAGTAGCTTTAGCCTGGTTCGATCACTCACCCCCTCCAGATATCGACTGATGCTCCGCCGATGCCTGGCATCTCCCAACAAGTCCTTCGGCATGATTACGCCTCCGCGTCCTGGCGCAGGAACGCATGCCACCCTCCCCTCTTCCCCCTCTGGTGGTTCATCATCGGCCGCCGCATCTGATACCCCGTCATCCTCGACCGCATCCAATGCACCCTCCGCGTCATCTTCATCCTCTACGGCACCCTCCGCGTCTACATCAGCTTCAGGCTCAAGTGGCCCGCCCGCACGCCAGACCTCCGTCCCATACCCCACATCGCACGAATACGGCACCATGCTTGAGATCCGATCGGTGCAGATGCTGCCCGATGGACGGAGCATGGTCGAAACCTGGGGAACGCACCGCTTCCGCATCTTGGAGCGTGGCGTGCTTGACGGGTACATGGTCGGGCGCGTTGAGCGTATCGATGATGTGGAGGAGGACTTCAGCCGCGATGGCCTGGAGTTGATTGACGAAGACACGGAGGAATTCGCACTCTCATCCGGCATGGCGGTGGACGCGCCGGTGCCCACGCGCATAGGCGAGGGATCGTCTTCGCGCGCGTACACCCGCTCGCCCACCATTCCGACCATGCCATCCAGCACGCCACCCCTCTCCCAGCTTGTACACACTTGCCTCGAGTTCATCTCCACCCTCCGCAAAGGCACCGCGCCTTGGGTCGTCCAGGTGCGTTTCGTCTGCTTCATCGTCATCTTCATCCTTCCCCGCATCCATTTCCGTCCCCCCATCTATATACGCGTTGGCTGACCGCATACAGCGACTTTCCTCGACGTACGGCCCGATGCCGTCCCCGCGCACGCACATCTCCGAGTTCTCATTCTGGATGGGGCTCGTGCTGCCGATCGGGGACGAAGAGAAGGCGCGGTTGCTGCCCGTGCGCAGCGTGCGGATGCGGCTTGTGATGTGCTGCTGGTGGATTGAGGGCCTGCGCGCCAGCTGGTGAGTGCGCGACCCTTTGTGTCGATGGATCGGGGTATATGCGTGCGGTTGAGCAGAGGGTGGGGGATACACGGGACGAGGAACAAGGGCGGAGAGAAGGAGGAGGAAGAGACGGACGGACGACAGCCCACGTGGATGGGACTGGACTGATTGTTATGGGCTGTTTGGTCCGCGGCGTGCTGACGGTGCTTCTCCCGCAGGTGGTTCTCGAGTGGTTGCGTCGTACTTTGAAGCGTTGCATCGTTCATCTTTGAAGCTGCATCTGGAAGATCTCGATCACTGGGCGTCTGCCGGACGTCCGCACCATGGTCCTTCAACGGCTTCGTCTTTCCTTGCGACGGCTTCGTCGTTACTTTGGACGGTTCACCGGCTGGCCTTCTGGTCGGTCTTCTCCCCTTTTGAACCGTTTCCTCTTACCTATTCACCTATCCAGATTCGTTCGCCTAATAAATCATGTATTTCGTATTCATTCATCCTGTATCGCGTGTTCCGGTTTCCCTTCCATCTACCCTCCCACTCTCCACCCATCACCTTGCACTTGGGCATCGCGTTGCACATCTCATCATCATCAGTATCCATCCCTCATCTCCTCTGGAATACAAGTCCCCCATCACTCGCACATCATCACTTACTCTCACAAGCTTTCCCTCGCAATTATACCGATTCCCGGCGCTACGCCACAAATCATGCATATCCCCCTGCTCGCATATCCATGTTCTCTTGCTCTCCTCACTCCGCTTTTCTCGCTTCTCCCACTTCTCCATCTTGGGTTCACAGGATAGGGCCATCTGGCAGGTGCCTGTCTACCTATGTCTTTAGAATATGGCCGTCCAGGTCGTGTAGCATAGCGTACAATATCCTCTCTAATATGCAGGCCAGTGCTTTGGCTTGTTGAAACAGCGATGCGTCACAACAATGAGTACCAAGGTCGTGAATGTTCACCGGTGTGATTGACCGCAGTGGCTGGGCCGCTAGGTAAGTAGGAATGTAGGGTGGCACGCAATTGTGTGGTCGTGTTTGCATATGTTGACATTCAATCGAGCTCGAGGGAGCGCTGTTACGCGCTGGCTGAAAGTGGACATGGAGGAGACGGTTAGAGTAATCAACGACATTCGCTGCAAAGCCATTCATCCCTTTCAGTGTACAACAGCTGTGAGTAGGAGGTACGAAACGTAGGTCAATAACACGTGTCCAATGTGCAAATAGATAGACAAGATCGTATGTGGTGTATGAGCGAAAGCGTATATGGTGTATAGATAGATAGATGCGTATACGGCTTATAGATAGATGCGTAGCAGTTCGTCAGGAGCCTACGATATGCTCATTTCGAGTTGTTGAGGGTGTGCTTCAGTCGTGAGCGGAGCTTCGCGCAGGCGAAGACGGTGGTCTGGGGTAGCGGTAGTCAGCAACTTGAACTGGAGACAGCGGGAAAGGTAGCGTACACATAGTGAAATGATAATGACGTTGGGTAGGATGCCGACGAAGTCTGCGAGAGCGAATGGTTAGCTTCGCTTCAAATAGCACAGCATCGACAACATGATGCTCACCGATGACCGCGCCGAAATCTCCCGGTGCGCCAGGCAGGAGGGAGCGCACGGTCGGCAGGGCGAACAGCGCAGCAAAGCATACGCTGAGCATGTCGGTGCCCGCGAGGATGTGGCGGCGTTTGAGGAGGATGACCTCGCCCGTGACTAGGAAGATGGCGAGGGTGCAGATCCCTGCGAGGCGGGAGGAGAGAGTTAGGCTGAGGATGTGAGGGAGGAAGATGAAGACCTCACAGTTCACGACCACGACGATGATGACGCAGAAAATTACGATGCCTGGGCGGGAGGCTTCGAAGTCGATGTACTGCGTCAAAGGTCATGAGTTCATTGAGCGTATTAACGCATAGCGATACGCACGAGCTCGCAGCTAGTGGAGTTGACTTCGGTACATGGTGTCCAGGACCTAGGCATGATCTTCCAGTTGCTGCGAACAAGCGTAAGAGTCGATCTGTGGCGTATGACGCCAGCAGGACTCACAGCAAGCTATCCTCCATGGACACCGCGCTCAAGGAGAACACCCCGAGTCCCGTCGTGTTGTACAGGCGATCGAACTCCGCGACGGTCTGTTGTTGGACAGTGAGTATGACGGTCAACAGATTGATATGGATGAGAGGCCTACTGAGACGATGGTGAGACTGCCGTGCCAGACGTCCCAAGGGTACCCTGAGCGCCACGATGAGCGATTTTCGCATGCGGTACCTGATGCGAGGGATAACTCACCAAACATGGGCTGCTTCCATACATCATTGTCGACCGCTTGCGCCATGTCAATATCCGTGTTGAACGAGTCCCACGGGTGCACTGATCAAGTTATCAAGACTAGTTCCAGTATATCGCAAGGGAGCGAGACTTACTGCCGACGGTCGCTATCCGGTAGGCCGACGAGTTGTCTACTCTGTAGTAGGTGGTCTGGTCTTCGAAGAACTCGGTAGCTTCGTCGTCGGGGATTGCCTTGCTGGGTGCACCGTTAGCTACTTCTAAGATGACATGGGATGATCGAGGGACTCACACGTCACGATAGATGTTCAGCTCGTAGGTGTTGTCGTCGTCCGTACCCAGGTCGTGGAAGGTTGTCTTGTCGTCCTCATCGAGCTGGACCACCGACCATTGGACAGCTGGGAGAAATATTAGGAGGCCTTAATCGTGTCTGCCCACCCACGAGCACGTACTGAGCACTCGATGATCGACGTCAAACCCCCGTAAAGCACCCTTCAGTACCAACTGCGAATCAGTCATTAGTTTTACCCTCCTTCGCTCTTCCCATCTCACTCACCGCGTCCCCGATGTCCCCAATGACAATCGACTTCAAGCGCGCCACATCCTCAGTCAGGTTCTTCTCCTGCGTCCTCGTCTCATGCTGTGCAAACACTAGCACGGCCGCGACCCATAGCGCGATGACCGCGACGCCCGCGACCGTGTACACGATGCGCGGCCACCTCCCGCGACGCTTGACCTGGTTATTCCACGAGAGGGACATCCACTGGCGCGAGTAGCGCCGGACGTGCCGCAGGTCGGCTTCGTCGTCGTCTGCGGCGTCCTTGGAGTCTGAGTATGGCTTGGAATCTGGGTATGGGCGCTTCGAGTCGCGGTGGCCATGGGTCGCGCTCGAGTAAGCGTCAGCGCCATCGTGGGCGGAGCCGATATCCTCTCCGTCGGCAGTGGGGTTTGGGATGGAGTTTCGAGGGGACGCGGTGTAGGGGCGCGCTGCCTTCGTGAAGAGGTTGGGCGTCGCCGGAGGGTCCGATCGGTGCAGCTGAGGTAGATCGTCGAGCGCTTCGTAGCGCCCGCGGCCTCGCCAGTCAGAGGAGGACATCACGTCGGTCGTTGATCGTTAGCGGTCTCCCCAGTCGTCAGTGCGGCCTCCTCGTTGGTTGCCTAGCTTCCACCGTATGACTGCCTCTGGCCTTGGCTGTCGTTGACTTCTTCGTCCTTGCACGCAGCGCGACGACCACCAAGCTGGAGAACGAAAGCAAGAGGGAAGAGCGGCGCAGCGCCCATGTCGGTTTCAAGAGCGCGCGTTGATCATGATGTTTACCGACCTTGCCAAACTTCAGGGCAACCGTCTCAAACGCGCAGGGGAAGTCTATCGCGTGAGTCACTGCGTCAGGACCACTTTCTCACCATCAAGCGCCCATGCCATCTATCATAATTAGGCGCCCAAAGGCCACGTGCATGACCTTCACACGAATTCTTTTGAACCCGATTTGGACAAAACCGGTGCCCCACTATTGTGAGGTCTAGCGCGCAGCTGCACGTCAGCGGCTACTGACAGAAGCTCACTATGGTCTATGTGACAATACAAGCACATATTTCTGATTTGTCTTGACAGCGGTAGCGACCCATTAGCGCTCATTTGTACTGATTATCCCCCACTGCAGCGCAGTATAGGGTGATTGCACGATCAGTGATTCAAGTAGAGACAGAATTAGGGATACACTTCGAATGCACGAGTTCATACTAGTAGAAAAAGTCCGTCGAACAAGCCAAAGAAATTATCGCATGAAAGGACATAGTCGCGCTCAAATCGACCCCGTCAAACGCACGTCCTTGATCGACGCGCCGACATCAACAGTGAAGGTGCCCTGCGGACGGACCCAAGACTGCTTGACAACGTCCCAGATACTGTGCCAGACCCGTCAGTCGCGTTCTCGAGGTGTACGCTGAACGCAATGCATACCTCAAATCCCTCGCCGCCAGCTTCATCTCCACCTGCTTGCTCTCGCCCGCCTTCAGCGCCACCTCCTCAAACCCGCGCAGCACGCGCGGGGGCTCGCCGGAGCCCTCCGGGAAGCCGAGATAGAGCTGGGGGATCTCAGTGCCGTCGACGCTGCCCGAGTTCGCGACGGTGAAGGTAACGGTGGTGCCATCTCCCGAGGACGCAATGGACAGGTCGGAGTATTTGAAAGTGGTGTAGGAGAGACCGAAGCCGAACTCGAAGCGAGGAGTTATGTTGTTGGCGTCCATGTAGCGGTAATCGAGGAGGAGAGCTTCCTTGTACTCGAGCTGAAGGCGCATGAGTAAGATGGTGGGGAAGGGAGATACATCATGGGGTGAAGTATACCTCGGGGAAACCAGAAGCGCTATTGTAGACGATTTCCGTGCCATAGTCGTCTTCGCTCTGTTCGAACGATTTTAGCACAATAACTTCCTCAAAATTTGTGGCAACCCACGTCTGCAATACTGAACGGCAGCCGACCGCTCGGGTTGCGCGCGCCGAACAGGACGTCCGCGAGCCCTGGACCAGTTTGCTCGCCAGGCGCGCCCGCATAAATGATGCCAGTGATGTTCGGATGCTCGCTCCATGAGAAGGAGACCGGGCCAACGGAGTGGACGATGGCGATTGTGTTGCTGCAGACAGAGGCGACGGTTTCGATCTGCAAATACGACGATAACGGTCAGCAATCGGCACCTCAAGGTCGTCTTGCACCGCTTCACTTACCATGCTGCCACCCTTGTACCACAAGTCCAAGTCATTCCGGTCACCCTGGTTGCCCTCGACAAACTGGTAGAAGCCCATCTCGCCGCTCATCGCATTCGCCATTACAAAACACACATCCTGCCCTGCCGCCGCTTTCTTCGCGTCATTCAGATCGTTCGACAGCGACGTGGTGATGCTAGCCTTCGCCGTAGAGTTGATCACTTCGGTGATGGCGTCGACGGGCGGCACCAGATACTCCAGCGAGTTCGACCCCGAGCCCCAGCCAATTGATACGGTGCCCTCGTTGCACTGGTTCATGCCTGCGGAGGCGCCCGAGCCGCAGTCCTTCTTGGGCTCCTTCGCGTCGAGGCCGATGATAGCCACCTTGGAGAGCTTGGAGGCATCGATGGGGAGTGCGTAGCTGCCCGAAGCCGTGCGGTTGTTCTTGAGCAGCACCGCGCTCGCGCCAGCGATCTCCCTTACTAGAGCCTTCGTCGCATCTGTACGAACGTTGACGTGCTCGTTGAGGTCACCACTGCCGTCGGCATGTTGAACGTCGAAGTTCGGGGACGGGTAGTCGCTATTCTGGCCGAGGCGGTACCAGGGCGCAAGGACGTGGGAGACCATGCCGTTGAGGGTCTGGGGGTAAAAGGGTATCAGTGAGATTCGGCGAGGACGTGGTGAGTCGTACCTGTTCAGTGACCGAGCCATCGTTGACTGCAGACTTAAGCCCTGGGTTGTAAACGCCACCACCGATGAGAATCCAATCACCCGGTTGCTCCATGTCGAGACCGGCGTTCGCGTTGTCGGTTGCAGAGTCATGAGTGGCGCCCCAATCACTGACCACGAAGCCTAGTAAATCACTTTCAGTATGCCACCAGTCAAGGAGTTCGTAAGAAATAACCTTTGAAACCGTCCTTGCGCAAGAGCCCGTTGGACCCAATAAGCTCAGCATTGTGGCATGATGAGGTTCCGTTGAAGCGGTTGTACGCGCACATGACCGAGGAGACGTCGGCCTCAATAGCGCGCAGGAACGGGTAATGGTACATCTCATGGATCGTGCGGTCGTCAATGTTCGAGGTGTACCCATACCGCCAGTGCTCCTGGTTGTTCCCGAGGTAATGCTTCGCGCAGGCCATGACACCAACATCTTGTACACCAACAATGGTCTCGTAGGCGGCCTCGCCGCTTAGGTACTACATGGGCGTTAGCGGGAGTTGATGGTGAGGGAAAATCACAAGCTTACTGGGTCAGGCCCGAAGCTATCGAGGGCGGGGGTTATCAGTCGATGCCATGCGGCGAGAAGCAGTCGCCATACCTCTCCCAATTCCTTCCGCCCTTGGGATTACGGGACTGCGAAGTCCTCAGTAATTCATCTCGCTAACGCTTCGCAGTACATACCAGATCCATTGCAGGCCCGAGGTACATGCTATATTCAGTGAGTGAGTAGGGGGGGACGTATGGCGGGCTTTCGACGCACTTGACGCCCTTCCCGCGGAATTCCTGGGCAATGGCCTCCCCGCGGGCGCGCATGAGGCGCTTGGAGAAGGTGGAGGCGACTGCGATGCCGGGCGGGAAGCCGGTGACGCCGTCGGTGGCGCGGACGCCCGCGGGGCCGTCCTGCATGCAGAGGGCGGGGATGCCGAGGCGGTCGACGCCGGTGGTGTCGCCTACGCAACGGCCTGGGGAGGAGGTGAGATGTAGGGGAGTAGGGGAAGGGGGAAGGGGGAAGCGCACTGTTGAATTGACCGACGCCGTGGAGGATACCGATCTTCTCAGAGGTGGTGAGGTTGGCGACGGTCGTGTTGGCGAGGGTGTACGCCTGCTCCCACGATACTGCTACGCGTCAGTGGTGTCCAGAGACGAAGGGAATGCACTCACAAGCAGAAAACGCGTACACCTGTGCGGCAACGCACGAAAAGAAAAGTAGCGAGCGCATCTGCGAACGAACGACAACGAAACCGAAGGAGTGTTTTTAAACGAAGGACAGCAGACGGAGAGGCCCAAATGAAGCCGTCTTCACGAGGAAAGGGGCGAAGAAGACGGTCAGAGGCAAGTCCGTCGAAGAACCTTTTTCCCACTCGCATGAGATACGCCAAGTCGGCGATGTCGGGTGATCATGCGCGCACGCGTTGCGAGAAGCCGCATCTTTCGAGCCAGGGCGGCTGGGGAAGGGAGATGCGGACCAGTGGTTAGCATATGCATTCTGTATTTTGTCCACAAAGTAGAAATAAACGACGAGGAGATGGCGTTAGCGACAAGGCCGCGCTAGCCGCGGACGACTGAATTGGCGCGCATAACCAAAAGGGGAAATCGTTGTCACCCCGGCCCGATCTCCCCACGCGCCCTGCGGCGACCATGCTCACGCTGCAGTTGTTGTCTTCCCCTTCTTTGTCCAGAACCGAGTGGGTAGTTGGATGCCCTGAATAAAGGTGAAAGCAAGGAGACCGGCGTCGTAATTGGCCTGCGTATGTAACTTCCGCTCCGCGCCAATACATCTTGCCTGCCACGACCCTGGCCTGATCGGGCGACGCGTTTTCGGTGCTCTTCCTCGCTCTTCCGGCGCCCACCACGGCCCACGCACGGCGCACCTGACAGCGGATTGCACCGATAGCCGCACTGCGCCCCGCGCCGCTGCCATATCCAGCAGTCAACCGGCCACACACTCACAGCCAGCCTCGTGCTGCGGGCAGCGCTTACCGCACGCCGCCCCGTGCCGATCCTCCTTTTTGACCTCCTGCCCTCATCTCCGCCCGGATCCCGGCGTTTGTCTCCTGATCTTTACCATCACCTTTTGCTCTCTGACCACCACCATGCCTACCATGGCCGAGCCGCAAGCAAAGAGGCTGAAGCGATGCCACGACGAGCTCGATGACTCGGCGTCGTCGTCGACGGCGAGCAGCGTGCCGCGCGCTACCTACGCTCCGCGGAAGAGCACCGTCTCGCCGAGAGATACCAAGGCCACGCTCCTGCAGCACATCACCCATCGTCAGTCTTTTTCTCCTCGCTCGTCTTTCAGGGTCGCAGATCTGACTGGGAACGACAGTGGAAGAAGAGAAGACGGCTGCGCAGGCCAGGCTCGAACAAGAGAACCGCCTCCTGAAGAGCCTTCTCAACCAGCGTGCGGCTTTCACATGCCCGTCGCTATCGCTGTCTGATCACCGTCTGTTGCAGCCGAGAAGATACCTGCTGTGGAGGAGTACCTCGCACGATTTATGGCGGACAGGAACGCCACATCGTACCACGAGCTGTGGGAGGGTGCGTGCTTTGACCGCGGTTAACGACCCGCTGCCTCACGCTTGTCATCAGATATGGAGAAAGTCCGCGCGCAAAATTCGTGTCTCTTGCGAGGTGCGCTGTCCGTCGCGGTGGCGTATCTCGAGTCTAATCAGATCTCTCTCAGAGTGCGAACGCCTGCGCTTCGACAACTGGCGTCTCCAGAACCCAGCCCCGCCTCCGGTCTTCACCGCTCCATTACCGAACCCTGCGCTCATGTACCCGCATCAAGTCATCCCCCACCACCAGCCCATGCCGCACCAGCCGTTGCCTCACCTGGCCGTACCTCACCAATCCATACCGCATCAACCCATACCACACCAACCCATGCCTCACCAATCCATGCAATCCCTGTAGAACCACCCTGTCCGCCTAGGAATCTCCCCGACCTCTTGTCCCCGGTATCGGCCATCATCACGTCCAACCAGCGGCACCCCAGCATTCCTCTCATGACCGTTTCTGCGCCTCTGCACCCCTCATGATTGTTTCTCCGTTTCTTCACACATCATACTCATCTCCCTCATCGACCCTCATATAACGCTATACTAACATATTCATACATAATGCGAGCACCTATCCGCAGACTGTCTGTTCCATATTCACCGCTGGCTCCGTGACATGCATGCGTATCTTAATGTCCAATGTATCTTTTCTCGTCTAGACTCAACTTCGTATTGTGCCCCATGCTCCACTTATCGTGTCCTTTGCCCCGTTCACTGTGTTCACGATCTCGTTTGTGGTGCGTCCTACTCCGTTGCATGGCTTCGCGGTGTATGTCGTGTCGGCAGGTGCGTTCTTCGTTGGCAGTCTATACTCATTTGTCATATCGGACCTCGGAGAACGACCGTCATCGACATGTCACCGGCAGGTAAGACTGTCCTTCGATGCTCGGAGTGGATGCTGGATGACCCCTTCGCAGATCCATGGCTGAATGGAACCCACAGCACCTGCGGGTCCAGCAGGCAACGCGTGAGCAGGCGAATTGTCGATGATGAGCAGACGAACTGCCGATGTACGGCTATGGCCCGTATATGGCTAAGGACTTCACCCGCCCAATGACACCCCATCGACATCCTGTTCATCTCGCTCATCGATAGACAGATTGGCGTAGGGTCGAGGGCTCCACGACTACATGACCAAGCCCACTCCTTGGCTCATCGACAAGGACGCCGGCACGGACACCCAATAACCTCCGAGTGCTCTCGTGCAGTCGTTGCCTGCTGCCTCACAGCCTCTGCCTGCCTTGCAGGTTACCCCGATGCGCTCATCGACCGCGCCGGCGGGCCTCATCCTGACGGCCGACGTACAGATCCGACCACGTGTCTGTCTCGTCGTAGCCGGTCACGTCTCCTTGGACATCCGTTGTGCATATCCAGCGCGGCACGGCAACTTTTCGCTCCTGATGACACGTCTTCGCGCGCACTGACATTTTCTCGCGCGCACTGGCATGTTCTCGCGTCTATCTGCCCCCAGTGGCACGTCTTTGTCGCGGCTCCTCACGTCCTTCGTTCAGGCAGCTGACTCCCTCGTGCGCGGATTCCGCAAACTTCCACGTCAGGAGGAGCGTTCGAAAATGGCGACAGCACCGCTTGATTAGGAGATAGCGCGGAAGTCTTCAAATAATCTGTGCTCGACCGCGAAGGGCCTCTATACTAGCGCTAACAAAGTCTGCGTCAGGTATCGGCCTTCGCCGTAGCTGGGCGCCATCGCTTCGTCGCAATGTGTGCAATGTACACTCGGTGCCGCGCTCATCGCAAACTTCAACCAGATGAAACGATTTCGGTGAGCATGAGTTAGCTACTTGCATAGGGTGGCTGAAAATTGGCAGTGGCAGGAAGTAACGATGGCACCGGGCCAATGTCCAAATCGGGTACAATAGGCAGCGTGCCCTTACCGGTCCGAACCGCCGTGCAGGTTACTGAGCATGTATAGGCTACAACTCCTAGCTTCTTCGGCCGCGTCGCAACAGTCACCATCCTGCCAATTTTTCCCTTCACAATCAAGTTGTGACCACAACGAGGAAGAATGCTAATTACACCAGCTCGACCTCTATGAACGTCGTCTCCTCCGTGCCCACTTTCACCACTCGGGAGGCCCAGCGGTCACTCAAGATCTGCCAGGTGGTAAGAGGAGTATCGTGCGTTGGCGGGATCACTCACTTTCAGGTGTTTCTGGCCTAGGAATTGTGGATGAAGGACTAGTCTCTGCAAGGGGCGTCCGGCAAGCATCTGAGCGTCAACGAGGTCTTTGAGTTTTTTTGTGAATTCGCCCTGCAAATATTGGTTCAAGTTGTGTGTCCAATAAACCGTTCTCCCCTTTGGCGACTCTTGCTCCGGCAGTGCGTCGCAGACATCACGCATAATTAGTTGCCATGTAGCGCGCACCCGAACCCGATCTCCTGTGTTCTTGTAGCGCACGACCAGACTCTGCAGCCCAGGAAGCAGCCACAACAAATCGCGAACGTCATTGCGAGGCCACCTTTTCCATATTGGAGCGCACAATAGCAATTCGCACACCTGGACAGCCTTTGCCGGTACTGAGCGCAGGGCTTGCTGCAAGGGCCACCGCCCGTGCTGCCCGCCGAACGCTGGCATCCGCAAAGAGAAGCTGGCTACCTCGTCTCCCGCGCTGGGCTCAGCAGAGGGCTCGAGGTGATCCAGTGTGACATCGGTGAACCATCGGTGCCACTGGTAGCAGCATGAATCGGTTGCCCCCGAATCCTGGTGAATAATCTGTAGGACTCGCAGCGTCGGCGCGCCAGGCTGCGCAAAGTTCATCTGGAGTACTTCCAGCAGCACCTGAACCGCATGCTCGTCCCAGTCGCTCTCGGTGACCGTTACATGTATGCGTGCTGAAGGAGGTCTGCGAGTGGCAGCCAGGATCGTGGCGCAAACGGAGCCTGAGGCGGACAGATTACAGATCCGTAAGACAGGAAGGTGGACTGGAGGGGATGTGCTGGTGAAGTCGATTTCCAAGGGACTATGTTTGAAACAGTTCTGAAGTACGAGCTCCTCCAGCGCCGGGGAGAAGCGCAGCATAATTATGGCCGTAGTGCAGCTCATCTTATGCGCGTACGCGTCTCGCGATCTCGATGGATCTAGTTGTACGCGTAGTATCGTTAGGTTTCGCAAGTCGGTCCAGAAGACGACGGCATCGGTGAGCGTGACCACCTCTGCGCGAGCAATCAGGTTCTGTGTGACGGATAGCTCGAAAGCAAGCGGTAAGAATGTCGTGCACGCTTCTTCGAAGTCAAAGGCAACTCTCAAGCACCGCAGGTTGGGACGTTTCGTTCGGCCAAGATGGAAGAGAAACTGCGAAAGCTCCTCACGTGCCGCCGTGATATCCAGCGCCCTCACGCGATCAAAGTGAGGTTTGAGAATAGACAGCGTGAACTTGAGGAGGGTGGCGGGCGTCGTCACATAATCTGCATAGGGGCCGATGAAGTGATTGGCGCTGAGGTCGATGTGCACCGTCAGCGGACGCATGCCGGACCGTTGCATGTGCAAAGGGGAAGGCTTGACAAGGCGCTTTCCTCCTACGATGACGGAGCTCCAGAGGACGGAATTACAGACGCCGATGGCGCGCCACCGCCGGCAGACTAGCATGAGGCTCGTCCAGCTTCGAGAGCGCGATGTATCGGAGGGGTGGGTCAGCGCGACACATTGAAAGATCTCCGAGAGAAGGTCGTCGTCGAGACATGCGATGGGCATGAAGCGGTTTCGCCAGGCTCTGATGGCAGCATACTGGGCGCTTAGCGCCTCGAGTTGCCGTTCCAGCACAGCGGCCTTGGCCAAGGGGTTAGTGGATTCCGTCGGCAACTCAGGCAGTAGAACGAGGGGATGGCTGAGGTCTTTGACAGTGCCCCAATCCACACCGAGGAATGATCTGGCCACGATGTAAGTGGGATAGAATCAGCAGAATGGATCAGTGCGTTGGCTTACTCTGGTCTGTATTTGACCGACATCAATTTTTCATTTTCCCTTGAGCCCTCCGAGGGCATATTTGCCTCCATCTGAAGTCAGTGTAGTGTCGCTGATCGAGCTGTCGTTGAGCGTGAGGCAGACGCACCCGGTCCTCGTGCATCTGGACACATGCAAACAACCACCCATCCGGTCATACAAGTGTGTACTTCTGAGTCGAAGAAGGTTAGCATGATGCAGAGTAGGACTTCTGCAATTCGCCGGGGAGGAATATAAGGAGGGGGGTCGTGGCTGAGATAGTCTCTACCATACAGCTCGCGCCCGTATCCCAGGATGCCGCCGAGGTGGTGTCCAGCAGCGAGCGAAGCCGGAGAGCGAGGTCGTCAAAGTCCGGAAGTATATATCCCGCGTATTCAAGAGCTTCCTCCATCCCCTCTTCAAGGCTTCACAACGATTTTTCGCATGTTCGAATAATTTACAAGTACAAAGGGTCCATACTTCACATCAAGCCATCGGATTCGTCCTCGCCCTTGGCCTCAGATGGGGTCTCAACTGCAGAATAATGTTAGCCAAGCGACAGACGACATTCAAAAAGGCACTGACCATCTCGATGAACACCGGCACGAGCTTCGGAATATGTTGCAGCTCTGGCGGCTTCAGGCTCGGTGCCGCATTCTTCTTCGGCGTTTGCCCCCTCGACGGCCCGCGTCGATGGGTCTGGTTCGCTGCGGCTGCTGGCGCCGACCTAGGGGGCTCCATAACGGAGGACGCGGCTGACGATAATGATGAAGAAGGCCTCGACTGTGACGACAGGGAGGCTTGGGACGAGCGCATAGGCGACCGTGCGGGCGATAACGGCGATTGCATGCGCTTCTTCAGCTTGCCCTTCGACGGCGAGCTCGGCGGACGCGACGAGGAGGTCGACCCTATCGAGCTCTGCGAGGGGCTCGGTGGCAAGGGCTTCATCACCGCCGTTTGGAACGAAGAAGCTGCCGACATCGGTGTCCGCGACTCGTACGATGGTCGCGTAGGCGTGCGCGATATGCCCTGCGGGAGTGGTGGCACTGGCGGAAGGTTGTCGTGCTTCTTGCTCGACAGTGCATCCTTGAGGTCCTGCATGGAGCGCGAGAGCTTGAGCGACAGCGAGCGTGGCCGTGGCGTGCGCTCCTTGTCCTCTCGCCGATCAGGGTGAGGGGAGCGTACAGGCGTATGCATCGACGCGCGCGACCTCGGCTGAGGGGACCGCACCGCATACGGCACCGATTGCTGGCTCGGCAGCGCATGCACCGTGCTCGAGCGCGTGATCGTCCCGCGCCGCTCCGCCGCGCTCTCCTGCGTGCTGGCCTCGTCCGTCTCCGTGTCTTCCTCGCTGCTTGTATCCTCCTCTTCCGAATCATACTCATCGCTGCTCCCCGAATCCCAATCGCTGTCCTCCGCGTCAGCCGCCGCAAGCTCGTCCGCGTCGCCCTGGATGACTTCCCCGAAGCTGATCTCCGAGAGGACTCCATCGACCATAGCTTGCGTCTGTTCCTCGGCCTCTTCGCCTGAGCGCCCGGCCTGCGCACGCCCGAAGCGTCGGCGGAGCTTGTCCTCGTATACGACCTTCGTCTTGTAGTGGTACGCCGCCATCGCATCGACTTCGGACAAGATATCCACGCGATCCTTCTCCGAAGCAGGCAACAAGAATTCGAGGCTGATCGGTGGACCCATGCCCTCGCGGACAAGCGTGAGGAATAGCTCAATCCAGCGGATGAGACTATCGAACAACCCCTCGCCCTTCGAGTGCACTTTGTGTACGAAGTTATAGAAGGATTGCTCGTGTCGCTGGATAAGGTCGATGAAAGCTTGCACCGTCGTATGAGGATCTTCCTGGCTCACTGCGGAACGATCAACAATGGTCTCGAAAGCTTGGCGCTAGCACTCACATTCTTCGACTGATTCAACCGTCCGTATCAAGTCATTAATGAAGTTTTGCAGGTCGCTCAACGAGTCCCCTATACTCGCCGCGCGATAGACTTGGGCTAGCGGCGAGTAGAAGATCGTGATGATGTCCTTCAGCAGCTCGGAGGTGAAGCCCTCGAAGATCAGCCCAATGAGCTCTTCGCGATCTTGCAATCGAGTGTAGAGGAAGGCCAGAATCTTCAGATCCTCGTATAGCCAGCCGTCTTCGTCTTGCGGGCCATCGTCGTCGTCTGAGTCATCGAGGTTCTCTCTGTACTTCTGGTACGCAGCGTACGCACGGCTCGCTTTCGCCACGCGGTGCATTTGCATGCGATTCAGTACCGGCTCCTCACCGGAGCGAAGGACGACGGTCATGAGTTCTTGCTTCTCCTCAGCTGCGAAGCACATCAGTCAGCGTGGCAATAAAGGACGAGTATCTTACCTGCATCCTGCCTATGGATATCCTGGATCTCCTTCGGCGCATATACGAAACGGCGAACCTTCTCGCAGATGACGGGGTCATCGACCTTGGCTTTCACAGCTTCGATCTCCTCCTCGATTTGACGTGCCTCTTCGGACAAGGAGCTGGAGAACATCCTGAAGAACGGATTGTTAGCGGCGTCGGACGCCAGCCTTCATAAAGTGGTTACCGTTGCAGTAGACTTCGTCCGCCGAAAGGCTGAGCGAGGAACAGGTCCATGATACCTATTGACGATGAGCGGGCATTCTTACAACGGTCAAACACGGCTCACTTCTGATCATGCTGACTGGGTTACTGATCTTCAGCGCGGTCTTCATCATGAAATATGGCATCAAGCCATGTAAGCGCTTCAAGTTGGCGAACTTCTCCGACGCGTCATCCGATGCAACAAACTGATGGAACACAGTCGACGCTAGACTGAACTCTGCATCAGGTCAATCCCGCCAATAGGCACTCGGGTACGAAACTGACTGACGATATGCGGGCCCACTCTATCACAGCACGGTACTCGGACGGCAGCTCGCGCACATCGGACGTGACCTTGATGGTCGAGAATATCCTCGTAAGCCCGTCACGGCCCATAATGTCGCCCTTGACGCCCTTCACTGCGCCGCGGAGGCCGTCGACGCGGTCCGCGATCTCCTTGGCAAACTTCTTGCGGCCATCGTCGCGCGTGCGGTCCGCGTCCTCGCGCCGCCGGGCGTCCTCGAGCTCCGCAGGCGTCAGCCGTATTGGGCCCGACAGCAGGAAGGACTTGATGACGGGCGAGGAGGCGATGACGGATGATGCCATGAGCGAATGCAAGTACGCGCGGAGGGTCAGCCGATTCTTCTCCCGCGCAAGCCGCGATGGGTTGCGAGGGGACGCGGGAGGGGAGGAGAGATCGTAGTCGGAATCACCAGGTTGGACCGCCGACTGGGTGGGCGCGCTGACAGTGGTGCGGTCCTTAGCGGGAGGGGATCGCACGTCCTGGTCGGGATGTGCCTTTCGTAACTATAGACCATGAGTGCCTGGCTCAGGCGGGTGCGCAGGGACCGGACTCACCTCATCAGCCAACGTCTTGAAGTCGCCATATCGTCGGGAGACAAAGACGTCCTCGTATCGTGATCTCCGCGTCCGTATGATGAACTCCTGCACGAAGATTATGAGCCAGATCCACCGCGCCACACAATAAGCGCCCACCTCATGAGCCCTGCTACGGACACGACCGCGATCCTGCACTGTGCGCACGCCAACGATGTTGACCTCAAAAATATCTCGCTTGCGCATGTTCCGTGCTTGTCGTTTGCGGGAAAGCGCTTCCAGTCGGTCGAGATCAGCCTGAGTAAGCCGAACGACTTCCTCACGCTCGGCAAGCTTGAGCGCGGAGGTGACGAACAGTGAGAGGTTGCGCTCGAGCTTCGCGAGTAGCTTCTGCCTGGTTGCCTGTTCATTGTTCTCTGCCCCATCATCGAACGGTGAGACGGGTGACAGATTGCGGGAAAGAACGGATGCCATAAATGGCTGCAACTTGTCGGAGTAGAAGTCCTTGGGGGCGGCAGCCATGAAGGGGAAGGTGAGCACGAATTGGCGGAACATGTAGCGGAGGAGGGGTAGGTCGAGAGAGGGTGCACCCTTGGGTGGCGGGGAGAAGGGAGGGCCCAAGTAGGAGAAGGTGGAAGTACTGATGTTGGGTGACTGAGCTGTGATCGCTTGGAGTTCGCTGTGGAACGCGACGGACACAAGGGTCTTCTTCAGATAGTGTGCTCGGAGGGGCGTCAGATCGGCGGGACCGGGCGTTGCGGGCTTGTCGTCGTCGCCATCGGGGGCTACCGCCGTCGTTGCTTGAGGTGTCTCCGATGTAGGGGATGCATTGACGACGGTAGTGTCGAGTATGGGGGAGTCATCGAGTGACAAGGGTGCAGGTGGCAAGGATCGCGTCGGTCGCCGTGGAGGTGGGCTCGTCGTCGTCGAGGACGACGCGCTCGCTGTTCTCTGCATCGTCGCAGCTGATGAGAGGGCTTACGTCATTTCATTCACAGCTTGATTCACAGGTCCCATCACTGATCCGGACTTCAACATGGGTCCCTGTGGGTCCAGTTCAGAGAGCATCTCACCTCGTAGGCGCTGTTCCCTTTCAAGTCTCAGGTGGGACGTATATATACCACATTGAAACCGCCATTCGGAGCATGGCTCAGCAAGGAATTGTTGACAATAATAACTCGTAGCGCCCGCCCAATTTCAACATGCCACATATTATGGCGGAACTCACAACGCTCGAACTTCCTCTGCGTCTGAGGCAGGTCTGAGCTGCCAGCCATCGGCTCATTCCAAGCGAGATACTCAACCAAAACGGAGCTCATCATCATTACACGAAATCCTGAACACAGAAAAATACAAAAAATTCGGCCTGTCCGCGGATCTACGTGGGGAACCTGAGCGAGATACTGTACTGTACGCGACACACAGTGTTCATGTGGTATAAGCCAAAATATTAAGGAGCATGTCGGTCATATACGGGGCAGAACATGAAAGCAATGAATGCACAGCGAGGGGGGCGAGCGAAGGATCGTCCGAGGAGGGAAGGTGGTAAATGTAGACGAGATGGGTGCAGGAGTGAAAAGACTGGGATGAAAGCAGACAGACAGCAAGAGCTGCAACTACTTACGATGGGTTCGCGACCCACAGCCGTCGTTTCGGCACGGTCACGATGGACACGTCTCGCCGGTCCAGTTCCTCTTCCATCCGCCGTTGCTGCACGTCTTCGTCCTCGTCCTCGTCATCATCGTAATGTCCGTCCGCACTGAGCGGGTGCGACGACGTTCCGTCATCGTTAGTGGCGCGATACGCCGTCGGTGTATGCACGTACGGACTGCGTCCCGCGACACTGCCGACGTTCGTCGGGAACGGGTACTGCCCGCTCTCTCCTATCGGTGCACTCGCGATCGTTGATGTGTCCCGCGGGGGGATGGGCTTGCCTCGTAAGCGGTACACGACGGCAGTGAGCGTCGACCGCGGCGGCGTCCCGCGCCACGCGAGGACGAGCATTGCCGCGTAGAACCCAACCACCCACACCAGGAACACCGCAAACGACCACACAGGGGCGCGCAGGTACAGCGCGACCAGGCATAGAGCAGAGACCGCAAGCAGCGCTGCATGGAGTAGCACACGCGTGGCAATCTCACCCGGCGCTGGATATTCTGGTATAGACGGCTGCGAAACCTCTGGCGAGGGCCCCATGAGAGCGTCGGTGGTATTTGGGGTCGCGGGCTGCGTATGTTGGCGCAGGACCTGCGTGATCGCATAGTCGAGTTCTCCCTGGAAGTTTCTCAGTGGGCGCCCCATACGAGGGTTTGGCTAAGTTGTACGTACGACAGTGTTCAGGCTCCGGCGGCGCTGGAGCCAATCCAGCTCGCCCAGCGATCGTGAGAGAACGTGTGGCGAGCTATACGACATACTTGTCGCTGGGCGCGAGGGGCCGCGTCCTCGGTTGAGGACCTCGAAGGACCGTTTGCCACCCTCGCCGCTGCTTTCTGTAGATGCAGCAGTGGGTCCGGATAGGGGCAGCGACATTGTCCGTGGGCGTGGCTCCGTTGACGAGGTGAGGCTTTGCGTGGGACTACGCGCTCGCGGTTGTGGTGGCGTTGACGGCGAGCCCTTCATCTCCAACGCGCTGCCCTTGGGCTCTTGTTGTCCTGATTCGGAGCCTGGATTTTCCGAGCGATTTCGGAATTTTTGGCTGCCGAGCCGGGCCAGCAAAAGTAGAGGCAGAACCGCATAGAGTAGAATGAATAGTACAAGCCCGGCTCGCCCGTGAGGGGTATCCAGATGCGTCCGTGCGGGCGAGTCGCGCCTACTGAGAGTTGCCGAGGAAGAAGTGGAAGTAAGGGAAGTGAAGGACGTCGCGAGGCCGGCGATACCCAGAGCATATGCGGCGAGCGCCAACAGCATGGCACTATAGACGCCCAGTACATGTCGCGCGGGCTGCGCGAAGGCGGTGAATGATGAAGAAGATAGGCGGAAGATGAGAGCAGCGGGGTAAAGGAGGACGACGGACACAGCAGATAAAACCTTGTGATTTACTGAGGTGTTGTATGGGTACGGCGCTACTGCGGCTGAGGGCGCGCTCGATTGTGTGGGCGATGAGCTATGCGTCGCGGATGAGCCTACAGAGGTGGACGTCCCGGAACTGGTAGCCGTCAATGCAGAAGCGCACTTGTCCATATAATTGACGGTCACGCCGGCACCTGACGCGTCCGCGCCAGACTCCAGGTCACCGCTTCCTCCGGACCACGACCCAGAAGAGGAAACTGAGCCATCGTACGCCCTTAACAGCCACACTTCGTTGAGGTACTTGCCGGAAGCGTCACGCCCACCGAACACCTGAATAGAGAATAGATAAGCTTTGTTCAGAAATAATTCGCCGTGGGAAGGGTTGCACTCACAATAGTGTCGACAGATTGACTGCGATGGCTTCCAACGAGCCCTCTGTTGTAGGTTATTGCAGCGGCCCCTTCTCGGGGAGTGGGCGTAGCATCGTCCGAGTCAGGGTCACCAGACGGGATGACACGGGCCCATGTTCCCGTGTTTGTATCGAGGACGGACTGCCACAATTCAGTAAAGATATAGCGATGCCCCGCATGGTACTTACCACCTCGCCTTTGTCTAGCCCGCCGCCGTCATCCCAGCGTGACGAGTCGAATGTTCCCAAGATATAGAATACTTGGGAGGAAAAGCTGTTGGAGTACGAGTTCATGTTGGGAACGAGCGACGCTCCTCGTCGTCCAGCTGGACAAGCACCGGGTGAGATGACCTGGCCGTCCGAAGTGCTGATGACGTAGGAATCGCCCACGGCGCATGAGTCGCCGTCTGTCGAGGTGCTGTTGCACCCACCCACAGCGACGATGGTCTGCCCAATGACCGTGCCAGCTTGACCGATCTTGCGCGGCAGGTCGTCGACGGAGACTTGCGACCAGCTCCCTGACACTTCGTTTGGAAGGTTGGGTGAAAGGACGCCGGAGATGTGCAACTCCCAAACTTCCGACAGCCGGCTGATCTGCGAACCATCGTACCCGCCAGCCACATAGAAGGTGTTGTTCAAGCTGTCACTGGCCGTGCGAGAGTCGATCCCGCCGGAGGCACCCCAGCGCCCTGAGGGTCCGCCTTCGGAGACGCTGACTTGGGCCCAAAATTGGTTGTTAAAGTCGAATTCCTGTGAGAGTGGGTGGAGCACGCGTGAACGAGAGCCTCTCTTGATAGCGATGCCACGTACCCAAACGTCCGAGAGGCCTTGTCCGTCTCTTGACTTGCCCCCGATCACAACGAAGCCGCTACGGCTGCAAAACGTGTGAGATCATGTTTGTGAAAGAGAGTTGGGGACGCACTAGCTACTAGCTGCGTCGTAGCCTGTGATAGCAGCACTCCGTGCATCCGGGCTATCGTTCAAGTTGTCTGGAGGCGAGGGCTTTGACCAAGTTAGCGAGTCCAGATTGAGACTATCAACGAGGTTAGGAAAGAGACGCGTCAGAGAGCAGATTCACGCACAGGTAAGTTGTAGACTGAGGGAAGCCATTCTCTGACTCTCCACCGAAGATGATGATATTCCGGGTCGTTTCGTCGTAGCCGATCGCGGCGTCCTTTAGCGGTGGCGGGGCATTGTCGCTACCCTGCAGTCGGCTGCTCAGATTGATCCATTGCAGTGGTGGTACAGGCGTCGAGGTAGATATAGTCTGGGTTGCGGCGCGTGGGAGCAGGGACGCGAGAAGGACAGAGTAAAGGACAGAAGACGCAGGGAAACGCGCCATTCGAGTTCGTCAACGTCACGTGTAGGGGAGCGGTCTTGAGAGCGTCTGCAGCTGCGAACGCAGCGCAGGGGAAGGGGTGGTCCCGAGAACGGCGAGATGGACGTTGGAATCGAGGAGCAGGTGCTTTCCCGGTCACACGCTTGGGCAACCCACGCGGACCGCGTTCCGAACATCACGATTATATTCTCACGACTTGATTGGAACGTTCTCGTTTTCGCCTTTTTGGGTGGCCAAGGGCCGGTCGAAAGGCACGAAGTATGAAAAACATCTTTCTACAACCACGCTGAGGTCCAGAGAGAGCGTAATTCACGTTCATTTTTTGCAGGCGCAACGGCGGTGGCAAATCGTACCCACGTGACACGGCTATTCAACCGCCCTCAAATAGAAGAATTCAGGATCAAGTCTCCCTGGCGGAGTCGGAGGCATAGCAGACGGTGAAGGCTCCAGCAAAATGAGGTTAGTTGCTCGTTCGAGCATAACGAGCTGACATCTGTACACGATGGGTAGAAATAAACGGAGAGAATATGGTCTTCTCGTCTATGAGACTAAGCAATATTGGCCAGACCAGTCTCACCGTCGAAGGCGTGCTGTAAGTGTACTTGATGGTCGGTGCAGACTATCAACCAGACTCGCATCTGCCTCTGCCGTCGATCTCGATGAACAGCATGACGAGCCTACCCTGACCGTTTGTGGCGTGCTCGTTCCACTTCTCGGTGTTTGTCCCAATTTACTGCGAGGCCAGGAAAAATTCCGACGCAGTAAATCAAAGGGGAAATTTGTTTTCTAGAGAGAGAAAAATGTTAGAAGGGGGTGCAGTGTGTATTGTCGGTCTGGATATAGGCAGGACAAACAAGTCCATTGTTCGAAGCACAGGAAGGAACGGCAGGAACTCAGCCCGCAGGGATGAAGCGTAGGCCGTCTCGCGCTTCTCTGCCCATACTTGGAAGGTAAGGGTGTGGCGTATGTGGCCTGCAGTGTCAAGGGCTGCTATCAAAGTTGGAGCGTTGCTATCGATGAGCTCCGTGTGTGCCAAGGCCGTGCGCGAGCCAGTTTCATAGAAGGCGAGGACCCACGGCCATCAGCTATGGACCCACAGAGAAGTTGAGGAGCCAACATCACCCGTGTTCAGGTCATTCCAAGGGCGGGAGGGTATTTCGGTGAGCGGAGACACCCGACAATAGAACGGAGGAATCAGTTCATAGACGGAGCAGCTGTCAAGGGCTCAAAGCGGTGTGTACAATGAGTCAGCTATGTGGGCGACTCGGCCGCCCGAACGGAGTGTCACCAGGTTGTCGTTTGTATAGTTGGCAAATGGCCAATCCAAGCATAGCACCTTAGAATCCCGAGCGTGATTCCTCAGCAGATGCATGTCTTTGGTTGATGCAAGGTAATCAGCAAGCAAAGTGCAGACTTGGAGAGTGTCGTCGACGACCTTGGAGAGAGCCACGTAGAACATGGTGGTAGGAGGCAAGCCCGTTGTTCTGAAATTCACGGGCAAGCCGGCTCAAGCGGACCGCTTCGCCGCGTGCGGCGCTGTTGAGATTTCCTTTCTCGGCCTCATCACTTCTGTCTTCGCAACGTCGACTTCCTTCCGCTCATTTATACCTGAACTCAGACCTGTACATATTCAAAGAGAATGGCAGAATTGCCAGCGAAACGCCCACTGACCGACACGCATCACTCGGCCAGTGTTGCTTCAAATGTACCTCCACCGACTGGGTGAGGTCTGTACTAGCAACGCGTCTGCACGCGTCGACTGACGCGTTCGCAGCGCGACAGAGGACTTGGCAGCGGCTCTACGAAACATAGGCTCTCGCGTTAGAAAGCGTGAGCTAATCCCTCACCTGCGTCGACGCGTCCGCTAATCATCACTTCCCTCAGATGTGACCGAGGGTTATAGGTCCGCGCCATCGCCCAACGCGTCTCCTACGAAGGCCAACATATTTCGCACCGCCAACGATGCACTGCAAGACGCGCTGCACTCTCTAAGTAAGGCGGGAGAAATATCCCCTCGAAAGCGCGGTCGCGTTAGAGCGAGTTCCGTCTCTGAAGAGGAGGACGTCCCTCGGGCGAAAGACGGCGAGGATACCGTAATGGCGGACCCGTTCATTGACACCAGTGGCGCGCCACTTCCTCCTCAGTCTATCTTCAACCGTCCAATGAAGCCATTGCGGAAGGCTCGAGCTGCCGCTCATAGCCCTGGAGAGGGCAACCCGCATCAAAATCTCGCATCCAACGTCGCTCTCGACGAATTCAAGTCAATCCCAACTCCCATGGAAGGCTAAACCGAGACGGTCCGTAGATTTGTATGATTTTCTGCATGATGAGCTCACGCCGCGTCTTGGCAGGAGGATTCGCCTGTCACTGTAACTTATCGCTATGTGCTGTGCCCACAGTCGCTGTCGACTGGGCACATTGTTGTGTACCCTGTTTTTCTGTATCTGTGTCACACTCGTTGTACAAGACGACATGTTGTCAGACCGCGCCAGGTGACGGACCGTCAGGTACCCACGCTCGTGGCAGCCATGTCGCCTACAATATCCAACGCTAAGCCCGGTGTGGGTGTTCATCAGGATGGGTGGACGCCGAAAGAAGCGCGGTTCTCCGGCACGTGACGCCCGCAGACCTGGGTCGCGTTGGACAGATCTGACCACGATCTTCTCTCTTGTATTTATGTTGTATCACATAGACCCCCCATTCCCAGCAGTATGCCGCGCCGCCTCGATCTGTATCTGGCGCGGGGGATACTTAAGGGCCTGCGGACGCGCGGGGCTTCTCAAGCCCTGCCGCCCTTCCCCTGCCTTGAGCGCCCCGCCCCCAAGAGCGCCTTACGACCCGCACGAATACGAACATGTCCTCCGATCCCCGCCAGCGCGCTCACCCTCAAGCCTTGGGCTCCCGGTACGTCCCCAATTTTCCATTAAATCTCTTTCCGTCCACTGCGTGGATCGCTACGCCTCGTGCAGGTCCTGCGCCTCGTGCGGTCGCTTGCTGGACGTTGCACGCGCATAAGTCCCTTGATGGATATTCGCACTCCGCACAGCCGAACGCTGACGGCTCATTGTAGCACCTCGAACTCGCTTGGGGCATTGCCCGGACCCCGCCGCCCTGCGCCCGTTCGCGGTCATTCCTCTGCTGGAGAGCTCACGAGCCAGTCAACCATCTCGAACGCCGCCGCCCCGTGGCTTGTATCTCATCGTCCTGAACACCAAGTTGCCCCATACGCGCATTCCAGGTGCGCGCCGCGGTCACTTGCCTCATTGTCTTCACTCATTTGAGTCTAGTTTCGACCGCAACCCGCTCCGCTTGCCACACTTCGGTGAACTTGTCCGGTACGTGGTATGCTTATGACCTCGCGTGCAGTTCGGCTAACGACCTCCCTGCAGAGGCATCCAGAACGTCAGCGTAGAGGACGGTCCGCGCGATCAATACGCGGACGCGAGGCAGCTCCCACCTCTGCGCACGCTCACGTCTTCCCCCGCCGCCTATGCAGCACCATCAAGGGTCACGCAGCCGGCCTACGGGGGCAATTATGCGTTCGTGCCGCGCGTCCTCTGATCAATTTATCTGACTGACGCACGATGTAGTAGTCGTCGCGAGGCCTCTACGTCTCCCTATCTGTCACGGTCAGCCACCAACGCTACTAGCGCTGGGCACGAACTTACCTCACATCGCAACAGGCCTGGTTTACCTACTCCGCCGGTCGAGCGCGGATCGCCTGCGCAGGTTTTCAGCCCCGAGACGCCTTGGGAGAGTCAGAGCGTCAGCAGCGAGCAATCGTACGGCTCGGGCTCGAGCGACGGCATCGATAGCCCAACGGACGGTCGTAACTGGGAGGATTACGCTCAGAGACACACTCCGCGTAACGGCCCAGTGTCGTACAGCTGCATTTGGCGCGGTGATGACGGCATGTGCGAGTACAACGGCAAGAAGCAGCTCGTCAAGCGGCACGTCGAGAACGTTCACTTGAAGATCAGGTCCGTGCCCGAGCTCAAGGCATGTATCGTGCGCTAATACTAGTCACAGACGCCATGTCTGTCCTATATGCCAGAGGACCTTCGCGCAGGTAAGCAAGATCCATCGTCTTTGGGGTCGCGGGCTAACGTATGGCTGCCCAGCGAACCGGTCTCGACATGCACGTCAGTGGACAGTATGTTTAGAATTTATTCTTCTTGCCGCGCGCACTGACCATTGTTGAAGCACCGGGGAGAATCCCCTCAAGTGTCGCTACGAAGGCTGCCCCGAGGCTTTCAGAGACCCTGCTCGTCGTCACCGCCACTATTGCAGCGTACACGGCCACCAGCCGCGGTCGATGAGGCGCAACCAACAGAATGCCCTGAGCGAATCAGCATCTTACGAGTCCATCCAGCCCTGGAGTTCTGATGATGGGCGCCATTAGGCGCGCCCACACACCGCTGTCGAAACTCACGACGAAATTCACGCTTAATTCTCACGCCCACGGACTTACTTCGCTCCTCTGACTGTCGCGCTCTCGTGATATGGCTATCGTGCTGATTTTGTATTTAATTACCTACTGTTTTCTGCAAAGACCTATATACCATCCGGCTTGTTCGCACTATGGCTTTCTACTATGTACTATCGGCGCATCTGTACTATGTGTAGCTTCAGGGATTTAAACTTCAATCGATATGTCGGCCAGTTACGTGACGGAACTTAATGCATGCCATTCCTCCTCTCGCAGAACTTCTGGTGTGAACATCTGAACCCTCAAACGCACCCTAAAGCACGGCCCGGCGCAGTGTATGTGCCCTCCCCGAGGGCTGGCAGCCCTTCCAGCGAGCGCCAGACCCCCTCCAGCAGCCCGCCATCAATACTTACCATATGTGGTGTGGGTCCACTGATGGCGCGCACCACGAGGATCGTGGGATCGGATTTAGGGCTGTATCGGGAAGGAAGCGTGCTCCCGCCATCAGATCTGTCCAAATGTGGTGTGGGTCCACTGATGGCGGGTGCCAATCAACGGATCAGCATCCCCGATACTCCCGTCGAAGGCGGGAGGTAATTCAACGGCAACTCGCGGCAGTGCTTAACAGTCACGATAGAAGCGTCGACTTCAACGCACGAGGCGTGTAGCTCCAGTAGGGAGGCAGTCTATCCTGCTCATACTCGACCTCTGGAGGTCTCTACCGTGGCGGGATACGTTCCAAAGGGTCGATAGCGGTAAGAAATCACCCAGCGGAGGCCCCTCGTTGCGCGGAAGGGGGGTTTTTACAGAAAAAAGTCTATAGTTGTCCGAAACCAGCAATTACCTCCGGAGCCACCCAAAGAAGCAGCGTGAAAGACGAGGGGGACGAGATCCACCTGTTCCTGGGACCGCCCGCACGACTTCGCTGCGCCGCTACAAGCTCTAGCCGCCACCCTGTGCCCTGTACCATCGGGATTCTGTGCCACTCCGCCGATGGGCAAAGCTGACTCGCAGACGAGCACTTTGCACCCGTACCGATGGGGAAAACGGAGTGGCGTAAGTATTTCATTGCGAGATCATCTACGCGATAGCCGCTTGAGCAATGAATGGGCCCCGAAGGCCACGGGCTGGCCAGAGGACACTGACGCGAGGTCCCCATGAGGTGGCTTCGACTTCATACAGAGCTGACACTGCCGGGGTAGCACGGGAAGTCTAATTTGTGTATTGCGAAAGATGTGTGGCTACCCAAGGATACGGTTTGCAGACTTTAACCAGCGCATCCCCTTCCCACGATGTACGAGCTGGGCGCGTCGCCAGTCTCGTGAAGACCCCGTCCCTTAACAGCGCCGCAAGACCCACTTGCAGTGTCTGTGGGCGCACGTCAGCTTCCAAAGATGCGTCGTACTGGGCCCGGGAAGTATGGAATTCCGCAGAACAATTGGGTAGGATGACAATGCGCGATCAACTGACCATTGTATTGCAGGCTAATGAATGCAGCGTCATGCCGGGTTGTGGGCGCCTCGACACAGTACGCAGACGGCAAAGACTCTCTTCTCCGGTCAGGCCCTTCGTCACGATGAAAGACGATAAGTGATGCTCGGGAGATGATGAAGGAGCAAAGTGCCTCATCGGCCTTGTGGCGCATGGCACTAGCAAGCCGTCCGGAGGTCTGCGCGAGCCAAGCTCACATGTCTGAGTGGGCGAGTTCTTCCGAGGGATGACCAGCGTAATTTCGGCGGGTGGCCGGGAAGCGAAAGTAGGGGAGCAGACCTGGGAACGCGCGCGCCCACAAAGCATGGCACAAAACTCTCTCCGACGCGCGGTAGCTGTCCGCTCAGGACGGCCGGCGCGTCGCGCGAGGCTGAGCGCGGCGGACAGAAGCGCGGAGTCTCAGGAAGCACGGGGGGTGAGAGGACGGGAACTGGCCTGGGTATTGACGCGGTCACGCACCATCAGAGGGCGGGAGAAGCATCGATAAGAACAGCGCGCGCTGCGCTGACAGAGGTAAGCAAGTCGAGAGTGACCTTCGGATAAACCTAGCCCTTTTCCGACCATAAGGATTGTTTGCCGATAAGTAGACGAGCAGTATGCGCGCGTTCCTATTTGGGGGCATGGCGAATCCGGGTGGTGAGGCGCATGGCGAACTGTGTCGCAGATCGATATGAGGTGTACGAAGCAAAGAAATCGCACGCGAGCCTAGGCGACGAGGCAAAAGGTCAAGGAGGAAGCTATCTGCTAAGTGCGACCGACGTGCGATGGGCAATGCACACGCCTCGTTGTACATACAAATCAGCGGTGAGCTCCATCATGTCCGCGAGCCCTTTTGTTTCCGACCATGCTGGCACTTCATAAAGCGGTCGCCCTGAGCCCGCGGCCGTCCAGACGTTGCGGGAGGGGGATCCCCGAGTAATTCGGAAGTACAGATGATGGTGGGAGGGATCAGGATGGTTTGCCTGTGTTTGATGTGCCGGCGACTGCCGGCCCGGGTAGCCGGCTGCTGACGGTTCGCCACCTCCTTGAATGGCTCCTCAACAACCTCAACTTGGAAGTCTTGCCGTGCAGGCGAGTCTTCTTCATATTCCACGCAAAACATTGCTTACGGAGTCGCAGGCCCCCAGTCTGAATCCGAAGGTCGTTCATGTCTCGAAGTCGACGTGCACGGACATCTCGCTGTTCAAGGGTTCGTTCGCGCGCATTCTTCGCTCTCATCGGACGCTTATGTGCTGCACAATACAGACCTTTTGAGGGAGTACAGGAAGCTCGATGACTCCATAAACGTGCGCTGTCTTCTCAGAAGCAGCTGAATCGTACACTCATGCACCCCAGATGCGACTGAACCGGGCGACCGCGGCTGCACGCGACCAGGCGAGGGAATCGTCCGGACGAAAGGCGGCTGACGATCAGGCCTGCGAGAATATATGGGCAGAGCTTGTAGGTGCGTACATGGTTCACTCGCCGCGGAAGTGTCTTGCTAAGCGTGCACGTATAGCGAACTGGAAGCGGCGCACGACTCTCATCGGCTACTGTGTCTCTGTGGTCGACGAGAGCATCGACAGCAAACGCTCACAGATATCCGAGAAGCAAGCGGACCCCGCTGCGCAACGACGCATCAAAGGGGAGATGTATTCGGATGAAGTTTTGGTATTTGAAGGCTCATCTCCACTGTCCCATCTCGCTCACCCTATATACAGCGTAACCAAGTCCACAACGAGCTCTCGGTGGAAGCTATCATTCGCAAACGGTCATTGGATGGTGCGCAAATAGGCGAACTCTGCTCATTCAATGCTCATGAGACGCAGTCTTCAAGTCAAGATGCAAGTACTTCACCCCGCCATTGACCGACGCGCAAGCTCGAGAGTACTGGGAGGGAGCTCAGCGATAATCTGCAGCTGTATAGCTCCCCCTGAGAACCACCGACACTCTCGACCTCGGTCCCTTCGCTGGCATTTCCCGCACGCACTCTGTATCATACGTCTCAAACATCACGAACAATGTGAAGTACATCCCAACTCAAGTACCTGCGCAAATCGTCGCCCATCCTCCCCGTGTACTTGAACCTTGGTCTTTGCGCCCACAGTCGCTGTTAGGGCGTGCCAAGTGACTACCATAATCCGTGAAGGAATTCACTGGATAGGCTGCGGGGTGGCGTGTATGCCTTCTTCGCCATTTGAGTGGCCCTATCAGCTTCGAACCTATTGTTGTGCATGTTTAGCTTGCGCAAGTAGAGGTATACAAGGTGCTACTTGGTCTGAGGAGACCCTGGAAGGACGACTTCATTGAAGTTGATTCAAGATAGCGCAGCGGGGAGGCATACAGTATGACGACATGCGGAGGATCGCGTGCTCGCCTGTCTTGATTCCGAACTGTGCTCATAGTTTGCCGCGGTCCCCTCGCCCTCTTCCTTTCCCTTACACCCTCTTGTTGCCCCTTCCCGCTGTTCGTCGCCTACGAAATGCATAAGTTATTGATCCCCCTCGCTGCCGCTGCCGCCAGCCTCGTCGCCGCGGCGTGGAGTGAGCAGACGCCCCTAGTCGTGGATGACGACGTCAAGGTGCCCGTCGAGCTTGGTGTAATGTCAAAGTGCCCGGACGCGCTCGCCTGCGAGAGCATCTTTGACCAGGTCATCCCGAAGGTGGGGACGAAGATGGACCTAGAGCTGCTCTACATCGGACAGTGCGTGTGCTGCGTGGAGTGGAGCGTGCGGGCTGACGAGGGCACTATAGGATAGACGACTCTGACGAGGAGTTTGGTGTGACCTGCAAGCACGGCCCTGAGGAATGTGCGTATGGGGACTTTGCTCGCGCAATCCAGTAATTGACGAACGAATAATCCTTCAGGCGCGGGCAATGTCCAGCAGCTTTGCGTGAAGAAGTACGCGCCAGACCAGTGGTGGAGCTTCGTGCACTGCCAGGACTACCAGGGCAAGGCCAAGATTGGCCAGCCCGACATCGCGCTCAAGTGCGCGAAGATCGCCAAGATCGACTGGGAGGAGAGCGGCGTGGGCGAGTGCGCCGGCCTCGACGGCAGCGGCAGGGGCCAGGAGGGCGTTGAGCTGCTGAAGGAGAGCGTTAAGGTGTCTAAGACGCTTGGCATCGAGTGCGTATTGCTGCTACGTCCTCTCTGCGGAGTATAGACCCCTAACATCCGTTGCAGGAAGAGCTGCACCGTCAGGATCAATGGAGAGGCCGTCTGCATCCGTGACGGCACCTGGAAGGAGTGCGAGGTGCGTGATATACTTGGCCGTCCCCCTTCCTAGGCGCTAACTTGGTCCCAGAACGGTCATAGCGTCAACGACTTTGTGCGCCAGATCAACAGCGCCTACGACCAGCTCAACCGGCTTGCCTAAATTCCCGGCGTGACGATACCCACCACTGACTAGCCTCTTGATGCCCACATGCCTACGACTACTGCCTCTTATCCCACTCCGGGACGATGGATCACGGAATGCCTCTGACGAAAACACACGCGGCCTACACCTTGTACACTACCACCCCATTTCTACGCCTGCCTATACACGCCGCATGATACCTCTACTCTTGTTTGTTGTTCCACGATGTTGACCTTTGTTACAGTCGTCTTCCCTGCAATATATGTTTGTAATCTTCATCTGGGTCGGTATTTTCGCTATGCTCTTGAGCTTGATTTGCCGGGCGTGGCTATGGCAGAGATGACTAGACGTGCCCTTTGTCCCATTATCCACAGCACGCTGCATTATACGGCCTTCGAAGCCATCGAGCTGTGACACGTCGCCGGCAAATGGAACTTTCCTAGTTCGTACGTTCGTCAAGCTCATGCTGGTGACAACGAGCTAACCCACCGCCACAGGACCCGCGAGAGGCGTAGCTCAGAGCGTCCTTCTATGGTGTAAGGAAGGTCTGCTGGACTGACATGGTGTTCTCTATGTCCGTCGGTGTACTCATTTTGCGGGTCTCGTCCTCCGTCATACGCTGTATGCGCAACTACCGTTTGTCTGCTAAGGATACAGGAGGAATGCTATCGCAGCTCACTTGTCCATCCCGACCAACCTCACGGCCGCTCCTGCTGCTCAAGACCTGCTCAACGCCACCCTATCCTCGACGTCCATTCTGCACATGGCACACAACGCTCACAAGCACTTCTTTCCTGACATCTCCAGAGCATCGCTAGCTTCTTTCCCGGGCGCACTACAGTATGGTACGTGTCACCGACTTCCGCGAGAAGCACGCCCTCCAGCTGACATGGCTTCTTCGGCTCGCGCTACTCAGTTCTGATACGCTAGCCAATGCTGATACGTGGTACCCACCCATGCATACGCCTTATATCCTTCTCTCGCACGACGGTGTGGGAGCCGACGTTCTTTGGTTTGTGCCACCGTCGTGAAGTGCTGCGATAACGTCGGCGAACACGACGATGACGGTCTTTACTGGGTTCTCGTACCTGCAGTCTTGCGCGCGGTTGGCGGTGCGTGAACAAACTATTCGGGACAGTTTCATAACGCTGACCCTTCCCCTCCTTCATCTACAGCACGCCCACATCTCCCTCAACCGTACCACGCGAGCCTTCTTTGCCTTCAGCCTCGCCTACTGCCTCGCGCAGAGCGTTTTGCAAGGCTTCACCTACGCCCTCGATGCCGAGTACGCTTCGTTCGCCAAGGGAGTCACCTCCGCCGCGGGCATGCCGGCGCGAAATGTGACGGACCTGCACGGTGTGCCCGGACAATTGCGCCTGGAGATGTGCAGCGATCTACCGGGGCCATGCGAGGATATCTTCCGATCAGGAGAGGAGTCGGAGGACATGGTAGAATCAGTGAGCTCCAACGGCATCGACGAGTAGAACAGTTGCTAACCATGATCAGCATTCTAACGGATTCACCTCGGGACTGGACTTGGTACGAGCGAAGCATCAGCCAGAGTCTCCCACACTGACCTGCCCTTCGTAGCCACGACATCAGCCACTCACTTTCGTGCCCATGTTTGGCGTGGGGATAGGGAACGGAACGACGACCGGCGTACAGATTATGGCCCTCAATGAGCCCGGAATCGAGCTCTTCCTCAATGAACGCTGTGCACAGATGGTTGTGTATCTGAAGCAACAGTGCGTCTTCTCCCTTGGATTGGTGGTGAATGGCCGGTTCTCATGTTCATTTACATTAGCATGGAACACGCACAAGCCGAAGACCTTGCCCTCGTTTTCTTGCAGCTTTGGTTGCTTGCTATCTCGCTCTTTGCCCTCCTCAAGGACTCGGTGCCACATACGTGCGTTACGACCTTCACTTCGCATACTATTCGCTCACCTTGCTTGACCGCAGACTTGGTGTTCTCTCCGCCCGCGCTCTGGTCGCATCCTGGTCCGCCTATGCCGTCTGGCGCACGCAACACCAGCGAGACATCTTTCGCGAGCTCCTTGTCGCCCCTGGTACGCCGTGCGCGATCGATTTCTTCCCGTCGTATTTCACTACGCGGATCGGCTATGAGGTAGGTGGTCTTCTTTAATGATACAATACTGCGCTGAGCAAAATTCGAGTGCAGATTGGCGATCTCGTCCTCACCATCAGTGCTTTGGTCATTGCAGCGTGCCTTTCCTGGCGGTTGCTGAAGGTACTGCCTACGCGCACGGCTGCTAGGAGGGTAACACTGACGCACGAGCAGCTCTACAATGAACAAACCTTCAAGTGCCTCGGGGCACCGAAGCCCATCATGCGAATTAATAAGGTGCGTTCTTCTCCGACTCTTGCATTGGAACCAGGGAGCTTACTCTCTGCTAGCTATTCATGGCCGTCCTCGCCTCCCTACAGCTCGAGGTCTTTGTCCAGGTGACGGGGATGGGGCTGTGGGCCGACCAGCTCTTCAACACCGGTATCAAAGAAATCTCGGAGCATACGGCGTTGTATGAAGCGCTGATAGTATTGAGCTCGGCTGTGAGTTTGCCGTTACGTTGTTTTCGCGATAATCGATATTAAAGCGTCGATAGCTTCTCATTCCATGGATCATGCTGGTGAGCTTCCGACCGCGTCTGTGATATAACTTGTTCGAAGTCTCATGTTCCTTCAGGGTTGGTACGCCATCCGCCGCGAGATGAAGTATGCCGTTCTTCTCTTCCTCTTCCTCGGCTTTGTCTACTTGTTCGCCTGGACGTTTATGTTCTACTCCTCGACGTATCGCTGGTCAGTGCTCACTTTACAACGATCTGTGATCTATGGCTGAACTTCCGCAGGCTCTTCATCACTTGGCCCTTCCTCGGCGCATTTACTATCGCATCTATTCTCCTCATCGTCGCCAGCATCATCCTTGCCATTGTCTGTCGTGTACACTTTGACCGGGGGCTGAAGCATTATCGTGCGTGTCCGTTTCGTCTTATATTCTCCTCTCAGTCTCCTAACGAGCATCTTCGAACAGTCCAAGCCGAAAGCGCGCTCGCCCGCACTGAATTTGCGCCAGACAACTTTGCCGTCGAGACTACTCAACGTGGCGACAAGCAAAGCTCATGGGTGTCTGTCAGGACCGTGGGCAGGGTTTCCACGCGGCTGGGGCGGAAGCTGTCATCTTTGACGAGTAGGACAGCATCGACATTGACGGGACGGGCATCCACGCAAACGGGCAGGTCAATGGCCACCCGACACTCGACCGCCTCCGACGAGTCGTTCAAAGGGACGTCAGAGAGACACCTGTCCGAAACCTCCACCAACTGGGCCTTCGGCGACTCCATCGAGTCCGACGGCTCAAGCAAATGGGCGTACGAATCCTCACGAGAGTGGTCGTACGAAGACGCGGACAAGGCCGCGTACGAGCTCGAGGTATACGGTGCGGGTGACGCGCAGGTGTTCCACGTACCAACGCTGCCGTTTAGCGCGGGGAGGGTGGATCTGGTGGGTGCGGGAGCGGAGATGGTGGGCGAGGTGACGCCGGCGCATGCGATTCGGGCGGTGAGGACGTATGCGCGGACGGTGACGCCGGTGGAGGTGGAGGGGTATCGAGGGACACCGACGCCGGTGGAGGGGCAGAGAGCGACGCCTGTGGAGGGTTATAGGGTTCCGCATGGAAACTACATATGATGGTAGGCTGGACTGCACCAGATGACGGGTGGATGGATGGATGGATGGATAGGATAGGATACTAGATAGGATTAGGATAGAGCTGTGCTAATTTGTACTTACCTTCGTTGTGTTATGCAGTCTTTGCGCTCGCACAGTATCCTCTTCGAGATAGACAGATACAGCTTTGAGGCGGCGCATTGGGTCTCATTTGATATCGTTGTCGTGCAGGACTGCTTGACAAGATTATAGGCTTGCAGGCTGACGTGGTCACACGGTGGCGCGAGGGAATAAGATACAGTTGGTATATTGAGGAGATCGCATCGCCTAGCCAATCCAGAGCAGCTCGTACAGAATGATAACCGTGTTGATGCCAATGAGTGGTACTGGAGAGGGAAATAAGCGCACGCGCATGGAAGTAGGGATGGAGACGCACTTCTCAACAATGTGCGAACTGCTGCTATCAAGTCGATGATCCTAGCCTTGATGCCAGGATCTGGGGGGCCGTACCCTGTTGCGTCGTATGTTTGTGCATACGCAGCAGCAGTCTGGCTCGAGGATGTCCAACCGACTGTGCGATAGTCAGTACAGGTTGAAGCACAGGAACCGCGACGCACTTCTCGCCAAGAATCTATCTTCGCTGAGTACGGCGACGGCGTTGACGAGGAGGATGACAACGTAGAGGAAATTCCAGATGATGCCGAACGCCATGGTCGGCGCGTGCAAGGAGCTGAATGTGCGCTTGGCCCGCCCCGCGGACGTGGTGGTGACTGTCGTCACAGATCATTCGCGGTGTGATCCGTCACGGCGTTTATTGTTTCTCTCCTCGATGGCGACGATGCAGCGGGGCTTACAGAATGGTGAGCGGGCCGTGAAGGGCATCGAGCAAGGCTGACGCGACCTAGTGAGTCGCGCGTCCCGCTTGGTGACTGCCGGACAGCGCGCCACCGCCCCGGCACACGTCTCGAGGGTGACATTGGCGTATGAGAGCAGGAGACAGTGAGTGAACATTATACATGCTGGCAAGGACGGGAATACTGATGTTCGTCAAGTGCCTCCCGCTTTCAAAAGTTTCAGCACTGGTTTGCCAAGCAGTTCACGCCTGACGTGAAGGAATCGGAGAAGACCGACGTCCAGGAAGCAAAGCGTCAAGCCGTGCAGGAGGGTCGCCAGAACATCTTCCAGGCGCCTACACAAGAGGTTGCGGAGGCTCAGAAGGCTGCCCTGACGAAGGGGGCCGAGGTGCCGGAAGTCGGCGCAGGCGCGGTCCTCGAGAAGCCGAAGCGCGGGCAGAAGACGTACCATGAGGTGCGTGCTCCACTTTCTGAACTCCCCTCCGGGTATTAATGCGATACTATAGCACCGCTACTCGACTGGCGTCTTCAAAATCTCGCACCGCAAGCTCAATCTGCTGAGCCGGCAGATCGCGGGCAAGCCGATCGACTACGCCATCCTCCAGATGCAGTTCAGCGAGAAGCGTGCTAGCAGCCGTGTCAAGAACATGCTCATGACTGCGAGGGACCACGCTGTGCGCTACAAGAACCTTGACGCTGCCAAGCTCATCGTTTGTACGTGTTGCATCTCATCCGTCTACCTTTTTTTCTTGCTCACTTTCCGTTTGCGTAGCCGAGAGCTGGGTGAACAAGGGCGAAACCGAGCCTGCACGCGTCGAGCCCCGTGGTCGTGCTCACTTCGGTATCCGGCGACACAAGAAGTCGCGGATGTGCGTCGTCCTGAAGCAGGGCAAGACCCTCGAGGAGGAGAAGGCTGCGGAGAGGAAGCGCAAGCTGAAGAGGATAGTCTCCGCCGCTGCGACCCGCGAGGACGTCCCTATACGGAATCCGGGCGCTGCCTGGGCCTGGTAATCTATTGCGCATATAATCACATCTCCCTTCAGCATCTTTCGCTGGTCGTTCACGAAATCCGGACATAGGGGTGCATTCTGCACATTTCCATATATATGCTCGAAGTCTACTCTTCCTTCCAAGGTAGGTTGTCTACATGTATCCGATTCAATTCGACGCACAGGGGCAACAACTCGTAAAGCACGCTCTTGGTAATGTTGCGCGCGTCCCTTACCACAACGAACCTGACCTGCTCAAGTGCTGGAAATGTTGCCCCAGCGAGGAACATGTCAAGCTCTGACCAAAAGCTGCGGTCATCTTCCATCAATTGCCAACCCTCAGCCATGTAGTCGGCGAAGTAGACGTCGAGGGTTATCTTCACCAGTCGGTCTGCCGGGATGTTGGCCAGGACGCTCATGCATGCGCGGACTTGGGCAAAGAACCGTCTTTTCTCTCTGAAAAGGTAGAAGAGGCCAGCTATGCGCACTTGACGGAGAGAAGTACGATGCAGGATACCCGAGCAAATAGCATCTAAGATCACAGGTCAGTCAGTTCGTCCTTCAAACGAACACTATCACTCACCCAGAACCGCAGCGCTCGAAACATGGAATTCCAGCTCCTCGAGCGTGCGGGAGATAAGGTCTATCGTGTCCCATAGCTCGTAAGTATCGAAATCGACGGTAGCAGCCAGCTTGAGGACCCGCAGCTTTGGCACCGGCGCTGTATTCGCCAGCATAATCCACGCCGGCACCTGCAAATCCATGATGTCCAGCTCGCGCAGCGACTCGGGCACCGGCGTCTCCCTCGCCCACGCCGGCTCCATAATCGGTATCTGATATGCCTTCAGATCGCGCACGAACTTTAAGCGCTCAAGGTTCGGGCACTGGAACACCCGCTGCATCACGAACACAAAGCACATGAACGACACGCGCACGAAGGTGAGGTCGAGGATGCCCTCCAGCCACGCCTTGTTCTTGCTGGGCTTCCAGAACGCGTCCCAGCCGTCGGACGTCTTGGCCGCGACGTCGATGTCGAGGAACTCGAGCGCGCGCACGCCGGTGAAGCGCGATTGAAGGCGGGCGAACGGCCACATCCACTCGTCGTCGGGCGGGGCGATGCCGAGGCGCGCGGGGGTGCCGTCGAAGATGACCTTGCGGACGGTGGGGAAGAGGGTGCAGAGCGGGGAGTCGAGGAGGTTGAAGAGCTCGATTTCGCGCGGGGTGATGTGGCAAGGGATGCGGAGGGTGTGATGGGTGAAGCGGCGAGCGCCAGGGACCCAGGCGCGACAGACAAGGGCGCAGCTGTAGAGGGTGAGGAGGTCGTTGTCGCGGTCGAGGTAGGCCATCGCATCGTCGTAGAGCTCCTGAGGAAGGGTGATCGATGTATGCTGGGCCTTTGTGTCAGTACAGGTTCGCTCTGCTCGAGTATGAGTATGGCTTGCCTCCTCCATAATGAGCGCAGCTGATTTAGTAGGTGGCAAAGGAAGGATGGAGACCGCAAGGATCTCGCAACGAGCTCGTAACCTTTTATAAGCAGGCGAAATCCCAAGATGCTGATTCCATTGTTCCGGAAATAGGCCTCATGTTGCACACGAGGCAGACCAGTCCCAGTGCGCCGAGAAGACAATTGTGGCATCGGCTTCTGCTATTGAGTTGAGGAAGCGCCGAGTGGACGCTTGAGTCAGCCGCAATGGACTGCATATGAGAGACAATGGGCAGTGGGTAGCTATGCGTATTGCACAGGATAGATGTGGCACGCCCTCTCGCGTACGGTACATGAACTGGTCCTCGTTGGACCTTACAGGTCACCAAACTCGGCATCGAAAGCCTTCTGGCTGACCGCGCCCCTCTTGACCTTCTTCGCCATGCGCTCCTCGCGCGCCAACTCTGCCCAATCGTCCGCTCCCTCATCGTCCGGCGACGCGCCCCTTTTCGCCGGCACTGTCGCCGTCTCCCCTTCCTTCCCCTCCCCATCCACGTCCATCGCACATGCCGTGCCCTTCCCTCCCACTCCATCCTTCTCTGCATCGCCACCCTTCCCCTCCTTGGCCGCTGCCTCCTTCCTCTCCCACTTTCTCTTGCTAACTTTCTTCTCCTTCCTTCGTTGCCGCTCTTCCTGCCGGTCCTTCTGCGCGCTCCACGCCGTATTTGTCTTCTTGCGCTCGCGACGCTGTGCGGCGGCGTCCGCGCGGGAAGCGGCTTGGACCTGGCGCGCGGCGAGCTCGGTGAGGCGTTTGGTTTCCTGGGCTTTGTCGGCGTAGGCGTAGGTGGCGAACTAAAGAAAGAGTACGCTGTTAATACGGCGTGGCAAGCCAAATTCGATTTGTAGGCTACGCACATCCACATCCGCATCCTCCCACCCCCTCGCCGCCGGGTCGATGCCCTTCAACTCTGGCATACGCGGTAATCTCAACAACCCGAACGACTTTGCCATGCCGACGATATCGAGATCCTTCAGTCGGAAGATGTACGACGCCTGGTGCTTCGAGTACGCTTGTACGGCGGAGACGAGTGCTTTTGCGCCGAGGTCATGTAGTGTGCGGTCGGTGCGGACGAAGGTGCGAATGGCGGACTGGACGATGGCGACGTCGGGGTCCTCCGGGCGGTCATCTTCCTCTTCGTCTGTTTCCATGTTGGCAGATGCATCGGAGCGGATGTAAGGATGAGGTTTCAAGGGAATCTTGCGGACAGCCATAAAGTCTGCAAAGAGATATCAGGGATGATTGTCGTGAGCACTGAACACTGACCAGACTTACCGACATATTCGACCTCCCTCCCGCAAAGCAGAACATACGCGCGACCACTCCGCCCTGCGCGCGCCGTCCGCCCACACCGATGGCTGAACGCCTTGGGGTCCGTCGGCGGCTCGACCTGCACCACCACATCCACATGCGGAATATCCAGCCCCCTCGCCGCCACATCCGTCGCCAACAGCACCGCCGGCGCCTGCGGCGTCGCCAGCGCGCTCGAGAACGCATGCAGCGTCCGTGATCTCGCAGCCGGAGGCAGGTTACCGTGCAGGGAGTGGAAGACCGGGACTATGGGATTAGAGGAGGTGGAGGGGAAGACGCGCGGCAGGATGCGGTAGAAGTAGTCGACGCAGGCGCCGGTGGAGAGGTAGACGATAAGGTGGGAGGCAGCGCGGGTGGCGGCCTCGGTCTGGATGATGCGCGCGAGCTGGACGAGCTTCTCGGAGGTGCGGCAGGGGATATAAAGATTTTCGAGGCTGATGGATGTTAGTACAAAAACTGTGGATGCGATGAACCTTACTTGGCGGGTATTCGACGCTCCTCAATGACTTCACCTGCATTCGCACCTTTGCGGGTCTGCTTGGACTGGACTTTGACTACCGCTCGTGCGGGATTTCGCAGGCCCGCGCGGATGAGTTCTCCGAGGGCGTCCGTCATGGTGGCGCTGAACAGCCCAGTGCGACGCTGCTTGGGCAGATGGGTCAGAATGCGTGTAAGCGACAATTGGAAGCCAAGATCGAGTAGTCTGAGGTAATGCATCAGTAAGTAGGTTCAGCAAAGGCACAAGGGGGCACACATACCTGTCTGCTTCGTCGAGGACAAGAACCTCAAGCTCCTTTACGCTGACAGTGCCCTGTCCGCGACCGAGAAGAAACTCCTCGACTCGTCCCGGGGTTCCGATGACAATGTCAGCGCCGGTCTCTAGAAGGCGCTGGACATCTTGCGCAGGAGAAGATTGATCGGAGGATATGAGGAGGAGGGGATCGGGGTACTCTCGTTCGGGCTCTTTCCCCTCCTCATACTCGGATACTTCTTCTACTGGCTGAGCCTGGAGAAAGAGAGAGAAAACAGAGTGGATCTGAGTAGCAAGTTCCCTACCTGATATCAGCACGATTAACTGTCGAAGGACGAAGGGGGGACGCACCGTGTTGGACTGATGATCAGCGCGCCGACTTCGTTCCGCTTCAGTTTCGCTTCTCGCCTGATAAGACGCTCGAGGATGGGAATAACAAAGGCCAAGGTTTTCCCGGATCCAGTAACGGCTTCCACTACGACGTCCTTATTCTTCATGAAGAGTGGGATAGTCGCCGCCTGCACAGGCGTCATCTGAGTATAGCCGAGGGATGCGACGACGTCTGCGCTAGTATCATGGTTTCTTCAGTAGGTAGTCAATCAAATATGAGTTCGCTCACATCCATGGTGTCAAAGGTGTCGAGAGGGAGGACCAGGATCCAGCATACGCGGTGGAGGATGCCATGATTGGCGAGGGAGGGGATGTGATCGGGACTTCGCGCCAAAATCACGACGCCGCAAATGTTTAAATTAGGCAGTTCAATGGTTGACCTTGCACGCCTTCGCTTCTGGAAGTTTGGGAATTCAGGCAAACCAGACGAGAAACAGTAGCAACGCATCACCCCAGGTTGTTAGAGCCGCGGTGAAAAGCGTGCGTGGTATTATGTAGGATAGATAGACTTTATACGACAGATCCAACAGCCCCCCATTGTTCACCACAACTGCCTGAGGTGCTCAAGCACCCGCTTATTTTTTATGAGGACGCAGTGCCCTCAGCCTCCGCCACGGCCTCAAGCTCCTGATCCACCGCCTCGCTTGGCACGGGCAACGATTTGATGTCGTCGACCTGCGGCGTCGGCGGGAGTTCTGGCGGGCGCTCGCCGCCACCGTTGGGCGGGAGGACGGTGTTCGGGTCTTCCTCGAGGTCAGCGTCGGCCTTGGCCTCCTCCGCCTTGCCCGTAAGGCGCTTGATCTCCGCCTCCGCGCGCGCGACGTTCTCAGCCGTCACGCGCTTCTGGTTCGCCTCAAACCACGCCTTCTTCGTGCCGAGGTCCTCGATGACGCGCGGGACATCGCCGTGGTTCGCGGGCGGCGGGATCGAGAGGGCGAGCAGCGCAGAGAGCGTCGCGAAGGGCACATGCAGTTTGTCGGTGTCGGCAGGCGGCGCCTTCTCCTTGGGCTGCTCGCGCGGCTGCTTCTTGCCCTTCTTCTTGCCGGCGACGAAGTAGTCCGCCTCCTCCTCGCCCTTCTTCTTCCGCACGATCGCGCCCTCGGGTGCGCTCTCGACCTTCCGAATCTCGAGCTTGGGCACGCCCGCGACCTCCGGTGCATCCTTCGGTTGGGCGGTCTTGAGCTCGGGTGCCGCGCTGCCGCTCTTGCCAGAGAAGTAGTCGATGAGCGTCTGGCAGTCCTCGATCTCGGCCTGGAACGCAGGGATCTCAGCCTCCTCGCGCAACCGGCGCGCGGTCTCCTGCTTCTTGGCGAGCTCGTCTGCTGCACGTTGTGCGCGTGCCCTCTCGGCGCGACGAGCACGGTCCTCGTTAACCTTGGTCCAGTAGCGGTCGTTCGCCTCGCGATAGAGACGCGAGGACTCGCGCTTCTGGTTGTAGAGCGCGTTGATCTGGGCCTGCAGCTCGTCGCGCTCAGCGAAGAGCTTGGACCGATTCGCATACGCCTCGTCGTCGACCTTCTTGATCTCGTCGAGCTCGGCCTTGATAGTGTCGTACCGGTCGGAGATTGCCTTGAATTCGGGGTCGTCGAGCTGCTTACGGAGCTCGTCGAGTTTGGCACGGTCGGCTTCGATGGATTCTTGGTCGGCCTGGAAGCTCTCGACCGTGCGGCGGCTGCGCTTCAGTTGCTGGATCTCCTGCAGCGCACGCTTCTCGTCGACGACGCGCATGTTACCAGACTCGACTTGCTTCTCGAGGTTCCTGCGCGCGTGTGAGGCGAATGGAGCATGGCGAGGGCGGGAACACATACCGGACATGCGTGTCGACTTCGGCGACGGTCTTGAAGGGCGCCTTTTGCTTAGCAGCGTTGAGGTCCTTGATCTAGGGAAGGAATGAGAGGGCGTGTATAGAAAACGTCGAACCGAGGGCGCACCTTCTTCTGAATACCGTCCTGGATGGTCTTCACCTGGTCGAGAATCTTGCCGCGCGAAGCCTTGTTGTCGCTTTGCTGCCCGCGGATCTCGTCCAGCTCATCGCGCAGCACTTTCCTGCGTTCATTCAACGTCCCCTTTCCCGATGCGCCCCCAATCTTGTCGCGCACAACGTTCTGCAAACAGCGACGTGAGCTGTCCGGCCCCGTCCCCCCCTCCGAGTCACATACCAGCTTCAGCTGCAGCGCATCAATCTCCTTCTTGATGTTCTCCTGCTCCGCATCGTACGCCGCCTTGTCCGGCTTGCCCGCGGGCGTTTTCGCGTCCGCCGACGTGTCGTGGGGCACGGGCGTCGACGTGCCGTTCGTCGACGCGGGCGTGGAGGTCTTTCCCTTCGCGCTGCCGTTGGCGGCGCCGGTTTTCGTTTTGGGGGCGGGCATTTTGGCGGGATAGGTGGCCCGGACGGGGGAAGCTAGAGGGCTGGGAGGCTGGTAATGAAGGCGACGGCGGGAGGCAAGCCAGAAATTACGCCACGTGTACGCTTTATGGTGATATGTTCCTGGGCTAACTCCATTCACTGAAGTCAAGCTGCCGGTCTTGCTCCAAGCGAATCCATCATGCAATGAGCACCGCGCCGAGCGGAGGGGATAGCAGAGAGATGGAAGATACGACGATACAGACAAGGAGATGAAGACACAATAAATACGGGCTAAAATACAATCTGCTGATCCAACTTGGCAACCTCCTTCATGCACTCGTCGTACGTCTCGCGGTAGTCCTCCTTCACCTCGCCCTCCTTCTTCTTGCGCTTCTGGTCTGGGCAGACCATCACACAGCTTGTTGGGCGTTTTGTTGAGCTGGCGTGTCCGAGCTCCTCCTTCGAGGCGACGAATATGTAGGGGATGCCGGCCTCTTCGGCCATGACAGGGAGATGGGAGATGATGTCTATGGGGTTGATGTCGGCGGCGAGGATGAGCAGGCTGTAATATTCTGATTAGACATGGTATGCATGGAGTAGAGATCAATGCGCACCCCTTCTCCCCCTTCCGGATCCCCTTCACGACTTCCTTTACCCCACGCTTTACTTGCCGTGATTTTGATGCTGGGGAATGTCAGCATGTACGTGAAAGGTCCTCGATCATGGCACGCACCCTTCTTCACGGTCTTATGCAGCTTCTTCAAGAGCTTTTTCTGCGCTAATGGTTGCGCGATCGGTGACAAGTCCTCTACAGGGATCACAATCTCTTTCTCCTCTTTCTTTGACGACTTCTCCTTCTTGGGGGACTATAGGAGGGGGGAGGGTCAAGTGGTCAGTCCAACCCTCCGATCAGGAAGTACTGCCGACGTACTGTGGTGGCGTCGTCCATCTCTACGTCCTCAGCATCTTCTGCGACGACCTTCTTCTCTTTCTTCTCCTTCTTGGACGCGTCCTTGGCCATTTTGTATGAGATTAGGAGGGGGGACGCAAGGAGGAGGGGTTTGTGGGGTTTATGCTTGACGGGAAGGACAAGACGCGAAAAATACTTGACGGTCACGAGCGTGACTTCCGTCACATATGATCACAGCAGCCTTCTGAAGTCAAGACTCAGGCGATTCCAATACAATAGAAAGTAAGCTAGACTATGAGGCACATGCGTAGTAGAATGCGCTGTTGAATAGTCGAAGAACATGTGTGGAGAGAGAGGCAGGAATAATTCCCATCAATATGAACCGTGAGTGCGTGACCGGAACAGCGGTCCGATGGAATGAGCTCGTCCTCATCGTGTTCGCCGACGTCAACGACCTTCCATCATGTCCGCCCAACCCTTGCCACCCCTCCCACCCAACTGGACCGAGCACATCGGCCCCGGAGGCGTGAAGTACTACTACAATGGCATCACGCAGGAGTCCACCTACATTCGCCCGCTCCCCGCGTTCCCGATCCCCCAAGCTCCCCAGGCCGCGCCGCAGAAGGACAAACCTCTGACGAAGACCCCGATCCCGGGGACGGACTGGATACGCGTGAAGACGGTGCAGGGGAAGACGTTCTATACGAACAAGGCCAAGAAGGCCAGCGTATGGACGGTGCCCGAGGAAATCAAGGACGCGGTCGCGGCGCTTGATGCTGAAGAGGCGCAAGCAGCAGCGGGGAAGGCCGCCAGCAAGCAGGCGAGAACGGATGAGGAGAAGCGCGAGGTGGCGCGCGTCAAAGCGGAGGCTCAAGAGGCAGCAAAGCGCAAGGCCGTAGATGAACCCGTTGGCGAGCTGGTCGTGACCAAGAAAGCGAAGGTCGATGAAGAAGAAGAAGAAGAGGAAGAAGGAAGTGACAGCGACGAGGAAGAGGAGGAAGAGGAAGAGTGGCAGCGCGAAGCAGCCGCACAGTTGGCCAAGGAGGCAGAGGAGGAACACAAGCGAAGGGAGGAGGAGGAGCGGAAGGTGAAGGAGGCGGAGGAGGCAGAGGTACGCAAGAAGCAGGATGCGCAGCTCAAGATGCCCGAGCACGTCGACCTATCTGTCGAGGAGGCGAAAGCACTGTTCAAGGTGGGTCTCGTTCTGCCTCATATTCATCCAGTGCACTGACAAACTATAGACACTCCTCCGAGAGAAAGACGTAAACCCCCTCCACCCATGGGACTTGAGCTTGCCACTCTTCGTCAACGATCCTCGCTACGTTCTACTATCATCCGTCTCCGCACGCAAAGACGCGTTCGACGAATACTGTCGAGAACGCGCACGAGAGCTCCGGCAACCCCAAGTTAAGAAAGAGAAGGTCGCCGCCAACCCGAAGGAGGAGTTCGAACGGTTACTCAAAGACGAGGTCAAGAGCACGCGCACCAGCTGGACTGACTTCCGACGTACATGGAAGAAGGACCGTCGGTTCTATGGCTGGGGCCGCGACGACAGGGAACGCGAGAAACGGTTCCGTGACTATCTGAAAGAACTGGGCGAACGTATGTGCAGCTTGTATACGAGGAAGCGTGTGATACTGATGAAGGAACAGAGAAGCGTGCTGCCGCGCAGAAGGCTGAAGCTGATTTCATTGCCCTGCTGCGCGAGAAAGCCAATGTGCAGCCTGATTCGAACTGGAAAGATGTAAGCATACCGTATTCCTTTGCACGGTCATGGCTGACAGCTCTACAGATCAAGCGCAAGTTGTACGACGACCCTCGCTACGATGCGGTCGGCTCCTCATCACTACGCGAAGAACTGTTCAACACCTTTAAGAAGGCTGTCGGGACCGGCACTGTCGACAAGAAAGAGCAGAGCTCAAAAGATAAGGATGGCGATGTAGACATGAACGAGCAGGTAGATGAGGCCGAGCTCGAGCGTCGGAAGAAGGAGAAGCAGGAGCGCGCGGTTCGCGAACGTGAAGAAAAGGTCCGAGCGGAGCGTCAGCGCATGGAGGCCAACATCGCTCGTTCACGGCAGGGCCTGACCCACGAAGAGGGAGAAACTCAGTTCAAGTGCGCCTTTCTAGGTTTCTTTTCATTGTGGCTCTTTTGGCGCTCAACATGATTTTTTGTATCATAATAGGGTTCTACTCGTCGACGCTATACGCGACCCTCAGGTAAGGCACTAAGCATCCCCGCACACATCACTGACGTCCTTGACAGGCCACCTGGGAAAGCTCGCAACCCGAACTTCAAAAAGACCCGCGCTTCACCTCCTCGCCCCTCACACTCAACCAGCAACTCCACCTCTTCCACGCCCACATGAAACATCTCCGCGACAAGCACTACGCCAGCCTGCACGCCCTCTTTACCGCGCACGCCCCTTCGCTCGCCACCACCTTCGCCGACCTCCCGCTCGACACGCTGACCAACTCCCAGCCCGTCACGAAGCTCGGCCTGAGCTTAGATGCACTCCAGGATGAGTTCGAGCGCTGGCAGCGCGAGCGGACGACTGCTGCGCGGGCGGCGTTCGACGAGATGATGGGCGAGAACGCATTCGTGGAGTTCTGGGGTCGTTTGGGCAAGATTGGCGGGGAGGGCGTAGATGGGTTCGTGAAGGCGGACGAGATGCCGGAAGGGGAGGGCGAGTTTGGCGGCGGCACGGTCGACATGAAGAATCTGGCGCGAAACGTGGATGTGAGGGAGATCGTGAAGGTTATCAAGGTAAGTTCAAGTACACGTCAGTGCGCGCTGGTTGCTAATATCATTTGTAGAACGACAAGAGGTATCTTGACTTCGACCATGTGCCCGAGCAAAGGGAAAAGTGGATTAGAGTACGTCCTTCTCTAAATTTTCCGTGCTCTATTGCCCATGTAGGCGCTCTTTCTGACCGTGCTCTAGGATTATCTAGCGAACCTATCCGCTCCACAGCTATCTGTGCACCTTCAGAAGCGATGATGTATCGTTCGCAATGTTAGGCTGATCGGAACTGTGCAGTGTGGTCTCGGTTGGGGCGGTGCGAAATGTGGTCAACCAATGCGAAAGTAAGTTATCCTGCAAGGCTGTACGAAGTGCAACGCCTCGTATACAGTCCGCTCTACCGGATGAGATGGCGCGAACCGTCCGCTTCGGTCGGCGATGGGTCAATTGCACTATGGGGCGCGCATGCATGTCGTTGGTGGGTTTGAATGTTGGCGCTGGCTGTGCTTCCACTATCGCGAGCGCATCTTTCGATGTTATGGTTCTTCAGTATGACAGGTCGGCGCCGTCATTGTCCGCGCTGGGGTGATATATACGAGCGTGATATCAGTTTGCGACCTCCCTCCTTTCCTACATCCCCATCTTTTCATCGGGCGATATGTCCAGCGCGCCAGCGGCGATGCAGCCGGAGCCCAGCGTTGCTGACATTGTTGTATACCAACTCATGCTTATCTTGTTTGGTGAGTACTGTGGCCTATCGTGCAGAAGAGCGCAACGCTGATTATCTATGTCTCAGGCATCCAGCTTGCTATTTATTGCGTGGCCGCATATCTTCTTGCGTTCGTTCGCAGGCCGCGGCACACCCAATGGCTTTTGACTTGCCCCCCAGGTCGCAAGGTCTGAAGCAAAGCAGGCCACGTCAGTACCTCCTACTGGCCCTAACGACTCTCGTTGCATCATGTACAATAATCATGATATTTTCCATGCGAACTGCATCACAGGACTTCTCCTCTCCGCCAGTCGACTCGACAGCCAGCGAAAGGATCACGCTTTTACTCGTCTCCAACATCGCGGGCACGGTCAATGTACGTCGACCTTCAAGGCCCAGCGCCAGCGATGACTTGGCTTACAATGCATGCAGTTCATCATCAGTGATGCTATCGTCGTATGGAGGGCTTGGGTTATGTGGCACGAGGAGCGTGTAGCGAAAACCATCCTCGCCTCATGCACGGTAGCTGTAGTAGGTGCGATACTCGATAGCGGAAGCTTTCTGGATTCTGAAGCCCCCCAGTCCTCGGTGTATCAAGCTTAGCATTGTCGTGCCTATCGGTCTTGAACCCAGGATATTCGCCCGTCAACAACAACTACATGTTGTGCATCCCACTGCTCGTAATGAACGTGGTTGCTACATGTGCTATAGGCATACGGACTTGGTGATTTCCTCACACTCTCTTCGCGTGCGTCATCTGACCACGGATGCACAGGCAGCATCGACGAGAAATGAGAGCATTGCTTGGCAGCAGAAGACGGCGAACGCCTGTCGAGCGCATCATGCTGCTCCTCTTTGAGTCAGGCATCCTGTACTGCAGCCTTTGGGTACGTAGGCGCATACTTCTGTTTGTTTGTCTCGTTGGCTCATAACGGGGCAGATCGTCATAATACTCTCCGGTCAAGGCACACTGAAACCGACTGTAGAAAAATCAATTCTCGAGCTTGCCATCGTTATTTCTGTAAGTGATGGTCTTGGTTCATCTCACTCCCTCTTCACAAGTTCCAAGCAGGCGTTGTATCCCACTTTAGTCGTAATCCTAGTCTCCTTGGGCAAGTCGCAGACGGAAACTTCCGTTGATTTGCGCTCAGGGATGGTTACGGCGCAGGGGATGAATGACATGGAAAGAGGGCTAGCGCTAGATCCTATCCGTTTTCGTGTCTCCCATGCACATACCACCTCCTTTCACGTATCCGGAGGCGACGACGTCAACGACTACTGCTCATCCCCAATTCTGCCTGTATCTTCTTCCACTGCTTCCATAGACCTGGAAAAACACGGATAAAGAAGAGCCCGAAGACGCTAGCAGCTATTGGTTCTGAGTTGATTATATTCCTGTGTATTCCTGCTTGACTGGTATATAGGTAAAGAGCGACCGTCAGTGAAGCCTATATACTATACCGACCAATGTCCCACATTGCGACATTACTCAAGCTAACCGATAACAATGGAGAAAGCTGTATGCTACAAAAGCCCTTGCAAAAATGCTCGACAACGCGAGCGTAGTAGACGAAGAAGGAACAGTCCGAAGAAGGCTATAATTACGGCTCACCCTCCACCGCGACATCGCGCCGCCACCTATCCACAAGACCGAACTTCGCGGGGTTGGGCACTGGCGGGGGCGATGGCGGCGCCTGCGGAGGTGGCATCATCGGCATCATACCAGTGCCCATCGGGGGCGCAAAGAAGCCTGAGCCGACCATGGAGGGGTTGAAGTACATGCTCGCCATCGGGTTCATCATCATTTGCTGCTGCTGCTGGAACATCATCTGCTGCGCAGCGAGATTCTGTTGCTGCGCCGCGATAAACTGCGACTTGCGCTGCTGGTCCGGGTGAAGCGCCAGAGGTTTGTCGTCATCGTCCTCGCCGCCTGCTATGGAAGGTATGGCGCGAGACGCACGCAGGCCGAGCGGCTGATTGTCCTCGTCATCCTCGTCGTCGCCACCCTTCTTGGATGACAATAAGTTGTCAAATTCCTTAGACAACAGGCCTCCTTCAGACCCAAGGGTTGGCAGCACGGAGCCGGCCGTGGACGTGGTGCGCTTCTTGTTCATGACCGCCGCAAGAGGCTTATCCTCGTCCTCGGAATCATCAAGAGCCTGGGCGATAGTCTGCCTAGCCATAGCACGGTTGAGCGTCGCCGTCAGCGGCAGGTCCTCCTCGCTGTCGTCATCCTGCGGTGGTGGCTTCGGCTGGCTTGCGGCCTTCTTGGGGTAACGAGGTCCAGTGCCCGTCGTACGCCGAGGGCCAGCTTCACCCTCATCGTCCGACGCACCAGCGAACCAGTTGCCAGTATCCTCGCTTTTGCGAGGAGTAGGCTGGGCCTCCTCGTCATCGTCGCTCTCGGAAGACTCGTCATCGTCGTCCGCAGGCCGCGGCGGCCCACGCGCGAGCACCTTGGGTACATCTGGCAACGTCGGCGGCTCGGCAGACACCCGCGGAACGTCCGGCACAGGCGGCGTATCCGCCACAGAAGACGCCGAAGGAGACACCTCGTTGACCGTGAGCGACGACTCGCCAGGCGCCTGCTCCTTTTTCCCCTTCTTGCTCTTCTTTTTCTTCTTCGGGTTGCGTGCCTCCTCCTCAGCCTCCTTCCTTCGCCTTTCTTCCTCTTCGGCGGCCTCCTGCGCCTCGATTTCCTTGACCTTCGCCATCTCGCGCTCCCAGAGCGTGTCTACGCCGAAGACGGAGCGCACAGCCGAAGGCTGGCCGAGAGCGCGCGACGGAGTTAGGCCTTCCGCGGTCATGTCGACAAGAGGCTTTCCCTGAGATTGGCGGCGCATGATATCAGGTGCAGACTGGTAGGACGACATTCGCTGGGTTTGTGGGCGTATGTTGAGCGTATTCGGGTCAATGAGCGTTGTCTGTCGTTGCAGTTGTCCGCGAGCCATCATAGTCGGGCGGTTATCGCCCGTGAAGACCCTATGAACCAATTCAATCTTGAGACTGTCAAGGTAGCAGGACCGAAATACCTCTGCTTGCTACGCATCTCCGCCTTGCGTTGCTCGAGATGGTCAATGAGACTGACACCAAACAGCTTGCCCGGACCACGCGCAGGAAGCTGCGAGGCCGCCACTGATGCCGGCCGTGTCACGTCCGGCTGCACAGGAGGATCCTCCAGCTCGATCTGCTCTCCGTCATGGGTAGCACGCGGTAGGCTGGCGTCGATGTCTGCATATGCGACATCGCGCTGACCGTCGACGGCCAGATTGTTACGGAAAGTCAACTGCGACAGCGTGAGGTTGGCACGGGGGTTCGGCGTGAAGGAGTTGGAGGCGACGGGGATCGCGCTGGGGTCGATGCCAAACGCATGCAGAGCGGATGCTCGGCGGGACGCGCGAGCCCCCGGAGGCAGAGGTGTCCCGTCAGAAGAGAGAATGAAGCCGTCGCGAGTGATTGGAGGCGCAGGCGGTGGCTGCATCGCCGTGGACTGCAGCGGGCTCGGCATAACGAGCACCTTCGGACGGAGCAATTCCAAAGTAGAAAGAGGGCGACTCCGCTCACGCTCGAACCTCGCATTCGTATGGACGGACTGCATATCAGCATCATTGAGTGGCAGCCGCGAGCCCATCGACGCAAAGGACGTCGTGCGAGCGTGCGCAGCCATCTTCGGGTCGAAGCGCGACGAGCGGGTCGGCGGGCGGATGTTAAACGGGTTGTTCTCATCGAGAAGCGCCTGCGTCGCGTTCGAGGATACACGTCGACGCTCGGCCTCTGCTAGTAGATTCCCACTCGCAGCGGAGTGAGTGCGCTGGTGGCCGAAGTAATCGCTAGCCCGGTCCTGGACCATCGGTGACGCGGAGCGCTCCGATTGCGCGGGGAAGGGTATGCGCATAGGAGGGTCGTCCTCGATGGGGTCTTCGTCGAGATAAGCCAGACCCGAGGACGGCTCAGCGGCAGCCGCAGACGTCGAGGGCTCCAGCGGATTAGATACGGCGCGTCGTCGCATAGGCACTATCTGCTCGTAGTCCAGGGCTGCTGCGATAGTCCGTCGACGGTCATCGCCGGTAGCTCCAACCAGCTCATCGAGGTTGCCAGCACTCTGCGAGCGCTCCGTACGCCTAGGAATGGTGGGGAGATCAGCGTGGGGAAAGACCTGCTGGGCTTGGGGAGACAGCAGTGGCTGCACACTCTTTTGCACGGGCAGGGTGTCACTCTTCGCCTTCGCCTTGCCCTTTCCCTTCTTGTCCTTCGGGAATAGCGCGTCGAGGCCCCACGAGGAGAGGTCCATCTCCTCCTCGGGCTCCCTCTCGGGCTCGTGCATGCTGCTCTCTTCAGGCACGTCCTCCTGCGCGAACGGGTTGCGCAGCATATCCAGCGACGTCCCGCGCGAGCGGCGGTACTCCGCGATAGACTGGCGCAGCTCCGCGGCCTTCGAGTCGCGCGCGGGCGCCCCGCCAGCCTCGCTGGGCAGCGCCACGCCGAGGTAGTCGCTCTGCCGCGGGACGTGCTGGGGGCGCGGATTGCGGCGGAAGTGCGCGAAGATGGCGCTCTCCTGCGCGGAGCGGTTGGGCGCGTCAGGGTCCTCCGGGTCGTTGTCGTACTCTGTGCGATGCCGTCGTCAGTCCGTCGCCGGTCACCCCTGCCCGCGGGCACGTCGTCACGCACCGATCAGCGCCGCCGCCAGCTGCAGGCGCGAGAACAGGGCCGGCGCCATCGACGGCGTCGCCATTGCGGGTGGTATTAGATGTAGGGGCGCAGGAGGGTATGCGGGTGATGGTGGTTTGGGACAAGAGGATCGGGCGTTCGGAACTTGCTTTCCGCCATCATCTCCGCCGACGAGCTTGCTTGACCTGACCCACGACGCGCGCGATGGACCCCTTCGAGGCGCGCATGCAGTTCCTCGGTATGCTGAGGCGTCTCAACGCGTCAGCCCACGTCCCCTCTGTCGAGCGAGCTGAGTCCGACCCCAGGCTCGCAGCTCGCAGCAATCTATCCAGAAAGTGGTTAACTATGCCATGAAGTACTTCGCCATCGCCGGTGAGGATATGTGGGAGGTGATTGTGGACGAGTGTCGCAAGGTATGTTTCATAGGTTTTGCAGGACACAGATACTAAGGAGGACGTATGCGCAGGCAACCATCAACTCCCGAATAAACATCCTATATTTCCTGGACACCCTATGCGAGACATGTTACCTTGTCAAGTCGCACGCGAACTCGGTCGGCGTGTCCTCTTCGTCAGGGGCTACAAGCGGCACCCAATACGTCGACTTTCTGTCCCGGGACCTCAACAAGTTGGTTGAAACAGTAGTCCCAGAAGGCAGGGAAGGTCTCATCAACTACAACAGCGCAAAGCAGGTGCGTGGACGCAGGTTTGTGCTCTGCTCATGCTGACGGTGTTCCAGATCCTCGAAAGTTGGAGAACCCGGCGCCTCGTCGACCCTCACATCGTCGACACCGCGCTAGCGTCGCTGCAATCACGCACATCCTCTACACCTGATGCCGAAAAGTCTGCAACCGCCTCAAAACGCTCGTCACGTACCCTCTCGCGCAACGAGATTTTCAAGCGAATAGAGGAAGACCGCGAGCGCCACAAACGCCTACGAGAGCGACGATGGGTCCAGCCCGTTTCCTATGACGCGGTACCAACACTCGCGACCTTCCTCCCGCTGACGGACGAAGCGGACGGAGAGCGGGAACTGCCGCTGGATGTCGAGTTCGAGAATGCTTGGGAGACGACAAGTGATTGGAATGAGGATGACGAGGAGGCGATGAGGGAAGAGAACGAGTTGTGTTTTCCGAAAGCAGCTCCTCCAGCTAGCGAAGATTCAATGGACATGGACACTGACTAGCATGGATTTTTTTGTGATTCCTGTCGTCATCAACCGCGTCCCGCCAACTGTGGCAACATCCCCACGACGCCCCTTCCCCGCACGATAGACGATGCCCCTCCTCGGCCGGCTTTCAAGTCCTTCCGACTTCGCCACAATCTTATGGACTTCCCCCACCGACTCTGCCCAACGCTGTCGTCTCGTTGATGCGCCCTCGATGACGTCCGTCGCTTGACCCCCCGACCCTCGATCGGCCTGCGCCATTATGTCCGTGCCCGCAGAACTAACCAGAAGATGATTGCGTACTTGTCAGGGACCATAATGAACGGACGGAAGTCCGCGTCTCGATGCCAGTGTGTCCGAGGCGCCAACTGCCAACTGCATCTATCGTGGTGGAGCCCGCGTACCTCAGTATCTCGCTCTTCGGCGAACATCAACAGTGTCCGGCCCCTCTCGCCCTCGATGATCACGCTGCAGCTGGTGCTGGATTGGCGCAAGCCTATGCAAGCTTTTCCGCCCTCCACAAGGCTCCATAACCTGGAAAGAATAGAGGGGATGTCCAAGTCGAACTTGCCCATTCACGTGACTGTGAGAGTTACCAGCAGACTGATCGGAGGATGCCACCTAGCGCATCAATTGAACTTCGACGCTCTGCGTTCTCGTCTGCCTTCTCTGATGACCCCAACGAACGACAGCCTGCTCAGCGAAGAGCCATCTAGCGGTCGCTGGCTTTAACATCCCGAGACGGTCACGGTGGCAAGATTGATACCGAGGATCAGACTTGCGCTCGTCTCTTTCTAGACCAATGCCCGAAGGACAACCGACCCCAAGTCCAGTCGAGACCTTGTATTCGTATACCGCACGGGCTCCCGCCAATCACACAGGACCGTAAATGGATTCTGCCGCGAGCGGGGAAGAGAAGACGTCATCCAGGCCCGCCCGCCGCCGCCGCACGCATATGTCATCGGGCGTATGATGTAGTTGCCCTCTGCTCACTTTCTCTCTTTTCCCCTTCTTCTTCTTCCCATCCGATCGCCTATTATATTCGCTCCCTCCGCGCCCTGCCCCGCAGCAGGTGCACTTTGCACTCCATCGCCGCCCATCCACCCCCACCCGGACGCCTCTAAACTGCTGCTCTCCCCAGGCTAGTTCACCCCCCTCGCTGGCACCCAGTCCTATCCATACACGACGATAGTACCGCGCTGCCCACACAGGGACCCTATCCACCACACCCCCAATGGCCGACCCGTACTCGTACAACGAAGCCGCGATCCGCGCGTACTCGATCAGCATCGCCGAGCACACGCTCAAGCAGTACCGCGCGCTGCTCAAGCACCACGACGCGCTCCTGAAGCAGCAGGAGGTCGCGCTGCAGCGCCAGAAGACGCGCTCCGCGTCCGGCCGCGGCACGCCGACCGTGCACGCGCGCGCGCAGCTCGAGAAGAGCGTGCACGACGTCGAGCAGCTCGAGGCGCGCCTGAAGATGCTCAGAGTAGACGACCGCGAAGCCTCGCCGCCACCTGTCGCGCGCAAAGCGCCCGCTCCGAAGAAGAGTGAGTACAACAGATTGATGTCATTCGACGCGACTGACGACCCCATCAGACCTGGACGCGGACAAACACGAAGAGTGGCACGAGGAGACGACCGCGGTCTCGCAGACGCCCCCAAGCGCGAAGCCGTCGACATCGTCGAAGCCTTGATGGCCCACCTCGGCGCGGCCTTGATGGCCGACGAGCCTGCCCGTGCGTGTCCAGCAAGATCATGCGTGTCGCGGTGACGAAAACTGACGAGCAGCAGACCGCGTGACGGGTTGACGATATCAGCCTGACTTCCTGGCACTCGGGCTAGTCAGTGACGTTACGCGCGCACTGCCCGTCGTCGCGCATATTTTCGGGCGCTATCCTCCTCCCCTCTAGCGCTCGGGCCATACCTTGTTTATATATCCTCACCTGTAGATGCACTGTTCCGAGATGGACCTAAGCTGGTTCCGAGGCGTACCTTCTGCTCACCCTCGATGGACCTCCCGCCGGCCCCTTTTCGCGGACTGCATGCTTTACCATACACATCTACATTCTCCTTCTCGCCGTATATCTTTTTGCTATTTAACTCCTTACCTTTTGGGCATTGGGTGTCTTTGTTGGCAAGCAACTGTACAGCTGGCATCTTGGTATATTCTTCATATTCTGACCTTCTTTGCTGACTGTACCGCCGTTGATATTGTACGTGTCTGAAGGGCGTGCTGAACATGATCGTGCAATCTTCCTTCAATGCCTTAGGAGACTGTCACTACGCCTCCTGCATAGGCCCGGCAGCAGCGAGACGGGACTTCGGACTCTGCGGAGGATGGGAACGATATTCTCGCCATCCTGCAACCCCAGGATATCACCGCTTTGCTGCGTCCTTCCAAAAGAACTTTCCTGAGCGTAACATAGTTCCATTTTACCACGATGGCAATCTCTTCTGCGCCATCAGCTCCATGAATGAGGGAGACTATCGGCCGAATACTCAGGCTAGCGCTCAGTACAGTAGCTGACGACCTTCAGCTGCGTCGCTGCATGCAGGTTTGTAGCCCTAGACGGTACACCGATACGCAACATATTTACTGACACCTCGCGAGTAGCAGCACCTACCGCCCGCCTCCCATGACTGGTCTCTTGCACATCTCAGACCATATCAGAGCCTGCTAGTGGTGGAAGCTGGACGCAACACGCTGGACGCACGCGCAAAGTTCCAAATGCGGACCCGAGGAAGATCAACTTCGGCAATTACCGTGCACCAGGTGGGCATCATTCAGATATCTCGCAGATGTCATTCCATACTGCGCTCTGCTGAATGGCACACATCGTAACACTCTGTAGCAGCCAATCAGACTGGCGGAGAGGTGTAATATGAAGTGGTGGCCAGCGGTATGGCAGATAATCGTGCCAATGACTTGGGAATGACTTCGGCTTTCGCGAAGAAATTGGTAGTCCTGGACTACGGTATTGGGAGGTCCGAATCGTCAAGCAGAGAGAACCATGTCCAGGCATAAGGGCTGTTCTTAGGGCTTCAGACATCCGCATATTTGACAGGTCAGATATAGGCGCATCGCATTATCACGAGCCAAGTCATGAGCTCGAGGCTGTTCACCGCGACAACCCCCTGCAACACCAGGCAATGCATCGATATGCATCTGCGTAGGCGAGTCATCCTCACAGTAGCGGATATAGCAGCCAAGTCGACCGTAGATTAGGCTCAGGACGGCCACACTTAGTCGCTGAGCGCTGAGCGTTGAGAAATAATAAACTAGGCACGCCGCTAGCAAGAACGTGATTCTCGGCATCCGCCGCGCGTGCACGACGCATCACAGAAGTCGAACACATCTGTCACACCGAACGGTCTGGCAGCTGCAATGCAAGGCCGCCGTCCTGATAATCGTGTCTTGGGCGCGAGTCAGACGGTACTCCACCTGTAGAGCATTCTCGCCAGAGATACGTGCCGCATATCGAGTGCAGGATGCTGGAGGATAGGAGCTGCTCAGAGACTGCGTGACACGGAAATGTCCGAATCAGGCGGCGCATCACCGCGCAGCAAAGGTCCATCACTCGTGGGGCGGACAAAAGCGCTTCGAGAAGCCGAGTTGATTTTCTCTCAACGCTCAGCGCTCAGCGATTTAGTGTGGCCGTCCAGACCCTTATATATCGGCCTCACCGGTCAGTGACTACATATCTCGCCTTCAAGTCGACCCGGGTGCGGTGCCCGGAAGGAGGTGAGGTCGAGGTAGCAGCACGCCATCGGCCAATGCCACCCCACTGTCAAGTAGGCGAACTCGGGAGAGGAGGGAGGACGCGGGGATCGAACCCCGAAGGACTCGGCTTCAGCGTCCTTCCTCCCTTCGCGGCGAAGACGAAGGCTGCGCACACGCACCTCATTCGTGGCCGCTGTAGCCTGGTCCAGGGCGATTATCTGACATGAAGACGAGCGAGCAGGTCTAACGGAGCTGAATATAGGGTCCCTCGCCTCTTCCTGACGAACGCAGATGAAAGGCGACTGGCTGTCAAGTTACAGACCCCGTCAGTTCGAAGCACCATCGTGATTATCGCGATGACAAGGGCAGACCGCCACGCGATGGGCAGGCCCAGGCCCTGAACATGACTCGAGAGGCCCACAACATGACACGACATGACCTGAACATGAAGAAGTACGGCCCCATGAATAGGACCGCCACGCTGCTGGCAAGAAGGCGGTCGCTGAATGAAGGCCGCTATAAGAAGGCGGTGCGATGCATTCCAGCTTGATTTCAGGTGCATTCGTTCACACCGACCCCTGGCAGGCCTCGTTCTCCCGGCGTGGTCATGTACGTTTCGGTATCACGTTCGCTTGCTGGGGAGGTCAGGAGGGTCAGGAGGGCGCCTATCCTTGTTATCGCCGCTTCCCCTGCTCCTAGAGGGCGGGTGCGAGAGTTTCTAGAGTGGCGAGCGGCGAGGGCGGCGTGCGGAGGGAAGTGTCTGAGCCCGTCGTTGCCGAGCACGATGAGGGGGAGCGGTTGAGGCGACGCGCGAGAAGAAAGAGCACGACGCGCAGAGATGAGGCGATCGTTTCTGCGCAGCGAGAAGTAGGTGAATAAGAGATATCAGACAAGGTCGATTGAGTAGGCGATCAGCGCCTTGTCTTCGCCGGAAGTCTATCTCGTCCGTTGTATTGCCCCCGCTGGTTCCGTGCAGGTTCCGCGGGGCCAACTGTCGGCATACCCCGCGGGGGAGCATATGGCCATGAGTACACCCTGAGATAGAAGATGAAGGCAAAGCAAGCGGGAGGCGCCTGGCGAGGGCGCGGTAAGCGCCAGACCCAAGTCGCCCGCGAACAATGGCCAGCGGGCAAACTGCGGCGCACGGAGCTGATAAAGGGTCCGATAATCGGAATCAAGCTTTGATCGGGTGATCGAGCCGGCAACTGATTTGTTTGTATCCGGGCGGCGCTTCTTGTGTTCGCGGTTGCCAGCGACGGCGAGGGCAGCACACAGCGGCAGCGGCACGGGCACCTCCTCCTCATCAACTCTGCTTTTTCCGCGTTCGAGGCAAGGACTCTGCGCCTGTGTTAAATTTCGCTCCTTCAAAAATTGCCGCCACCCGCCGCCCCACCCTCGTTGCACCTTCACTCCGCCCAGCTGCCTCGTGCCCGGCTCATTTAAAACCTCGCGATCAGGGCACTGACTCCCTTTGCGACCCGCCACTTCTTCCCCTCTCGCGACACCCTCCCCATCTTTGCCTGTGATGTCTTTCAAGACCGCAAGGGCATGTCTCTATGGTGCGTCCCCTGTTCGACGGTTAGCCACAGACGCTGACGGGCGCCTCCCAGCCGCTGTCATCGTACTGACGATCATCTGCACCGGGATGGCGGGGTACTTTGCGAGTGTTCTCATGCATTCATCTCTCAGTGAGCACCTAAGCGCCTGGCGCCTGCGCAGTGATTGACAGATTTCGCCAGCTACTTTTGTTCCATTTGCGCTCTTCGTCTGCGCGTCGAGCATCCTCATCTTCTTCTGTCTGTGCGTGCACGTCCACCGTCTTCCCTCAACCCAATCTCACCCTCCACCAGCCTGGGCTTCAGCGCCATATTGGCGCACCGTAACCCCATCTCCACGAGGATCGAGCTCGGGTCCCTTGGACTGTCGGGCATCTTCTGGCTCAGTGCGTCGAACAAGCCCCGATCATGGCCCCGCAATACTCACATGCATCCAGGTCTCGGTGCGCTCATGGCCTCTTCCGCCGCTCAAGATGCGGACGTCGAGTGCTTCTCGTCGGAGGACTCCACGACCCCCCTGAGCGAGGACCTTGCATCTTGTGCGTGTGCCGCCCAAATTTGCCCGTGAAGGCAGTGCTGACGCCCTCCCAGTGAAGACCGACCAGTTCCACGCCATGTACCGGGTCTTGGAGGCGTTCTCGTTACTGAACGCCATCCTTGGTGCGTCTTTGGACCTTACGTGGCCTGCTCCGCTCCCTAACCGCCTGTCACCCACTAGTCCTTGGGTTCTTCCTCATGCTCTTCGGCTTGGCGATTCGTCGGCATAGAGTACGTCCTCCGCCCTCCTGTAGGCCACCGATGACTGACAGCCGAGCAGCTTGGCGATACGCACATGTGGGTGGGCCCGGTCACGTCCTGCGCGTGGTTCAACAACTACGGCGGCGGGAACAACGTCCAGCGCAACAACTCTTCCTCGTCCATCCTGCCGTTCTTCCAAGCGAAGGACCGCCCGGAGGGCTCGAAGAAGCGCACCGAGGGGTCAAAGGCCCAGACTGGGACCGGTGCGCACCTCCCGACGCCCATCGCTGCGGCGCACAGGCGGTACGGGTCCAACGCCCGCGAGACACCGGCGATGGAGGAGCGTGCCACGACCTCCCGCACCCCCGTGAGCGTATCCCGCGCCGCCCGGCAACATGCGCGCCAGGAGTCCGCCTCGCGCACCGCCGCCGCCCCGCCGCGCAGACAAGACTCCGGCTCGCGCAACCCGCAGCGCCAGAACTCGTCCTCGCGGGCGCAGCCGACGCGACAGGACTCCAGCCGCTCGCGCGCGCCACCTGTGTCGCGCGACAACTCGTCCCGGAGACAGAACTCGGTCTCGCGGCAGAACTCGTCGTCGCGGCGGGACGTGTACCGCTCGGACAGCCGGCGCGCGCGCAATCGCGACCCGTCCCCGGTGCCGTCCTACATCGAGTCGTCGCTCGAGGATTACGATGCGGGCTACATCGCGAATCCGTACGACAGACGCTGAGCGCGGGGCCACGGCGCTGGCGCTGGCCCCTATATATAATGGAATGAATGACGAGCAAACAGGATGAACTCTGCTCTGCGGAGGAAGAAGCCTTGTACGTATGTATTCACGACTGCACGACTACTATCTACATAGAATAAGATTATTTCCTTGGCGGGATGTATTAACGGATCACCACTTACCTTTTGGGTATATATACGTGTTGTGAGAAGGAGGGGAGGGCTGGCATGAGTGTTCAGGACAAGGTATGGCTGCGAACGACGGGCTGTTCTGGTCGCTCATGGCGACGTCATCAGTATTACGATCACGTGGAAGTTCTATTGTTTTGATAAAAACGAACACGGTGATACGGCGCAGTTGGCGCTTGCTTCCTGCTCTGATCGACGATTGCACGACACGCAAATATCTGATATACGACCGCGATGACCGTACGCTTTGCGAACTGGAGACTCGCATTCTTCGGTGCGCACCGCAATCTCAGCTCGAGGCCTAGACTTGACCGACCCTTCCCCGCTCTGTGCCGCTGACGCAACCGACGCTGTCCCCCGCTTCATCCCGGTCGACGCATCTCCCTTCCTCTTCCCGGACTTTCCAACAATAGTGACAATACTGTGCTTCTCAGGTGCGTATTCTCGTGTCCGATCATCAACTGCCACTCACGCGCTTCCCTCAGCAACTGTCCTGGGTATCACAGCCTACTTTGCCTCGATATTCCTCCCAAACCTCCATCGTGCGTTCCCCTCTCGCGCTTCCTCGTTCTGCCCTACTTGACCTCCCCTCTCAGATGACTTTACGATCTTCGGAATCGTCGTCTCGACGTTAACGATACTCGCGTTCTTAATCATGTGTGTTGCTGCGGGCCCTCATTTCCCCTCCCTCTTATACGGTGCCGTAGATTGCAGTGGGCTCAACCTAGGATCGAAGTCCCGGTACTGTTTGTTCTCGGCGTCCTATGGCTCGGTGCGTTCCCCCTCGGTCCTCGCATCATACGCGATGTCTAATCTCCCCCCTCAGCCCTCGCCTCATGGGCAACGTAAGCACGCTGCTAAAGTCTTTCGGGGGACCGGTGGTCTGACGCACCCTCCAGAGACTCGATCGGGAACACGCAGTGCGATGGGCTGGCAGGACAGGTCACGGCCACGAAGAACGGCAGCAGTGCGTCTTAGTTCTTCGGGTTAGGGTGGTGGGGGAGTACTAACGGATGTTCGTGTAGTGAGCGCCGCGGCTTATTGCCGCGAGATGCGGGTCGTGCAGGCGTTCTCGTGGATGAACTTCTGCCTTTTCGTCATCGCGTTCTTCATCATCCTCAGCCTCATCTCGCAGGCGCAACGCTTCGGCCGCCCCGACATCTGGGCCGCGCCTATCCGAGGTGCGTTCGCTTACCTTTCTCCCCCATCCCTGCAAACCCTCCGTCCCTAGCACTGCAAACTCATCAGCGCTGCATCCCCACCTCCCCGTTCTTTTCCTACCCTCACTCCCCTGCCTCCCACCGCCCCCACTAACCCACCCCATCCAGAACTCGGCTGGTTCGGCGAGTACCCCGGCTACTACAACTATGGCAACGGCGTGCACAACCCCGCCGCGCAGGGGATGCCCCCCGCGGGCTACCCGCAGTACCCCTACCCCTACATGCCCGGCTATCCCCAGATGCAGCAGCCGAGCCCTGGCACGGCCATCGTCATCCAGCCTGGCATCAACGGCGCGCCGCCGACGATCACGCAGGTGCCGGCGAGCACGGTGTAGTGCGTGAGGGTGGGCGCGGTTGGACGTTGGCCGCTGTTTACCGACGACCGATCTACAACCTCAAGGGCTCAGGCTGCGCCTGCGTCTGACTGGTGTGATCAATGGACTGGGACATCCTACCCTATACTGCGCTACCTACTTACCGCCTGCCGTGCCGAGGACACACCGCTCACCACATCGAAGACCCCGACAAGCGAGGGCGGAGCATAGGACAAAAAGGCGGACACTGTACAACTACTGACCCGGGTCTGCGACCGCTTCTATTTTAACTGGTTATTCTCCGAGTTACTTACAGGTTGTCGGCTATCTGGCATCTCTGGCATCTTTATGTAGAACATATCGCTTCCAGCTCGAATGAAAAAATATAGATTGCTTCTGCGCTTCTGGTACTTTGCTTGCCCTCGACGCTGCTCGCAGGTGGGTTTCGTTACGTCCTTCCAGCGCACGGATGCAAGCCCTTCAGGTTCACTTCTGCATAGCTATCTCGCGCCATCTATTCATATTGCAGAGCGTGCCCTTGACACTGGTGTCAGCAGCGTACGGAGACCACAGGGAGGGCAGGGTGGACATGTCGCGGACATCAATGAATTCGTCGCCGTGCCTCGAGGCCGCCTCGCCCGCGCCTCGTGCCCGCCGTCATAAGATATCGAGGGTGCTTCCTGGCTCTCGCGCTGTCTGTGGTCGTCCAGCTGATCTCTATCTCGCCTCAGTCTACTCTCGGTTTAGTTTTGCCGTCTCTCCTCTAGTGTATTTCTAGCCTCATCCGACGTCGACTGACTGATTCCGACGCGCTGCGCGACCTCAAGCGTCCCATCTACATCGAGCATTCCAATCACCTCGAGCTTTCCATCCATCTACCTCGTTCATATCCAACATGCCGCTTTTCCGTGACCATCCTGTGCGCTCGACTGCGGGCGGTGCGTAGCTGAGTGTGTTCGGGGTCTGCGTATGCTCATCATCGTTACCTGCATTCTGCCCTCCTCTTTGCCCCATCGCTCGACCACTTGCCCCATCACTCGACCACTCCCCCCTTCACTCGCCCGCTATCCCTCGACCTCGACCTCATTCGCCGATGCTCGACTCTCGTGGTCGCCGCACGATGCAGTCGTGATCGCACTGGCGATCGCCCATACGGTGGCGCGTGTCCTATCTGCACCAGCCGCATTCCACTACACCCAAGCGACGCTCGCCGTGCTCTCTATCCTGGCGATGATGGTCTTGTGAGTAGACATCCCCGAGCATTATCGACCCATCACTCACGGCGTACATCCATCGCAGGGTTACTCTACATCACAGACGAGAGGGGCACCTCCTCACGCAGACGCAAGAGGAGATGATGCTGATCGGCGGATTCGGGCTCTTCTGGCTGGGTACGTCTCGCATATACCTTCGACTTGGCTCCGAGCACTGAGCCATTATTCGCAGCGGCATACATGGGCTGGAGAGCCGTCCGCCAACGCAGTACTGGCGATGCAGTCGCGCCTTCTACCGGCACCGGCGGTGGAGGGGCCGTCGGCAGCAGGGGTGGCTGGCCGTCACCATGCTCCGGCAACGACTATTACTGCATCATGGAGGAGTACACCTACTATTAGGTGGGCACCCGAGTCAGGCGCTGGGCGCGGACATGGAATATCACGAATTTTTGTGAAGGCTGCGGGGATTTTCGGCCAAACTGGGATGCTTGACGACTACTCACTAGCCTGTATTATACAAAGTTCCGCAAGTGCTTCTATTGACTTGTGTGCGAAGAGGACTCCAACTGTATTCAGAAAAGGTGAATATGTTTGATGGACTTCAGAAAAGGATACAATGCTGCTGTCTCCGGGAGGCTTGTCCGCTATATCTTGCCAACTGCCCGTCATGCATGTTCGATGGGATTGGAAGCTGGATCATGAGGACGACGACGGGTAACGACCACCATGCATCGTTATAAACGTTGGAACCCTGGGAAAGTATGTAACACTGGGCGCTTGTTGAGTCGTGACGCGCCTTTCACTGACACCCACCATCATCTTGACCTCAACTATGCCTCCCCGGACCACCTTCTCGCGAGCCTGCGATGAAATCACGACACTGTTTCTCAATCTAGGTGTACCACACAGGTTTCCTAGCCCAAGATCTGCGAGCGAGACCCAAGGTCGACTCAAGCAGGCCTTGCGCTGTATGCCCTTGGAAAGCCTGGATGTGAACCCCTTCTCAATCGATAACCTAGCGGAGACGCTCGAATCACGCAATGACTCGAAGGTCGCCCTGTTCTGGATCCCCATTCAGGTACTCGACAAGCTGGGTGACCCGATCATCCTCGAAGGAGACAACGCAGCCGCGCTGCGACAGTGCGCGGTCGATTGCATCCTGCCTAGATGCACCCTAATCATCGACTGGCTGGACTTCCTCGCACCGCCAAATGCATATGTTTGCTGTAGCGCGGATAACATGCACCTCCTTGTCTCGAAGCTGCTCGCTGTCCTTCACAGACTCGAGGATAGCCTTGCACTCAGCGCTACACTGTCTATGCGGATGCACGCATTGGCCTTTAAGCTATGGTTCGGTGCGCCGACAGTCGGTTCGGGTCTATCGCCCAAGGACCTGGCTTTATACCATGAGTTCGTACTGAAAAGCCTTGCCCCTATGTTGGACATGACAAAGCTACAACGCTCTGGTGTTCCGAGCAACATCACCAAATGGAGGGACACCATCGCGGAGGCTGCTCTTGTCGTTGCCAAGCGCCCCCGTGCATTCTTTCGTCTTGCTGTTCGACGCATCGAAGAGCTCTTCATCCTGCCCCACAACCTAAGCTGCTTTGCATATTCTTACCTGTACTTCCTGAACTACTGCGCTGGCGACTACCTTGCTATACCGAATCACGCGAACGATGTCGTCCTGTCTCTCGTCCAGTTCGCCCGTGTATTCGGTGAACTTAAGTTCGGTCACCAGGGTGCCTGCGAGGCGTGCGGAGTCCTGTACCAGATCTGGAACACAGAGAAGGACGTCGGCAGCCGCGCGCTGTGCTGGGCGCTTCGCGCTGGCATCCTGCCGATCATGCTATCCCTACACCGCAAGGAAGGACACGGTCACTTGACGGACGGGCTCAACTTCATCGCCGAACGTTCAATCAGCGTACCCGTCGCTCGCGCGCTCAGACTGGGTGGCCCTGGGATATCCTGCAGAGCTGCGGGCATACCAAAGCATCTGGCAACTGCTATGACAGAATGCCTCATCGACAGGCCGAAGTGGCAGCTGGAGTATTGGCACCAGCCCTGCGGCTATGAGAAGGTAACGTGGCCCGACCTGCGCTGCGATGCACGTAGACTTACCTTTGTGCAGTGTTCTGCTGGGGGAGACACTGTGCACCCTTCGCGTCGTCTATACCATTGCTCGTGTTTGAGGAATTACTGTTCCGCCGAATGCCAACGAGCGCACTGGCCGGAGCACAAGAAGAAGCACACTCCCAATAGGTTGTCGGGCCCTCAGGAGACGATATTGCAGGGTGAGTCGATGCTGCATTCTCCTCAAGCCGTCGTTCTAATGATTATATACTAGGCGAACTCCCTTCCTCCGATGCCTTGTTTGTCTCCATCTGCGCTGATAAATATGTCTGCAAGAGCGCTCCTCGGCTCGTATCGGAGGCCCTTCGACTTTTCGTGCCGAAGATTTGGACGCGCCCGCCTCTTTACACGGTTGACATCGACTTTGCGAGGGTGCCTATGGGACACAAGGTAGTCGTCTCTCAGGGCGAGCCACATCAGACGGAGCCGATGGTCCGCGTCCGGGCTTCGGTCAACTCGTCAGTAGGCAAATGGCACGTAGCAATCGTCGACGTTTGCACCCAGTCACTGTCGTCTCTTCAGGACTCGTATAGCTCGGTCGCAGCGACGTAGTACTTACTCTCAACACAACAATGTCATACCCCAGGCGCATACCTCAGGCCAAATCTCCCTAAACCGATCGTCAAACTTGGTGAAATCGAGTCAATTCTGCGGTATACGTATCTACGCATTCCCCTATGTACAAGTGAAGATTTCTGTTGCATTAGGTCCCGGAGTAAAAAGGATATACGGTAAGGAGCGTTGGTGGCGCGCGCCAAGCGACCAAGCGCCAGGTATCATAGAGCCCATCCTACTACTACTCCGACACGCGCCACCTGTACATGTTCTTCACGGCTAGATTGCTGTACACGTAGTATATACGACGCGGGGGAGAATATATAGCGCATAACACAGAGACGGACTGAGACGGCGAGAGACGAGAGGAGAGATATGTAGAGAGAAAATGAAGACCAGTATGAACGACTTGGGCGTGGCGTAGCGACGCGCTGCAAATAATAAAAAGACCAATGTATACTACCAGCGAAAGTGAGCGAGCGACAACGATATGATAGGGAAAAGCAAGAGGAGGAGGATAATAATTAACTACGCGAAGGGGAGGAGAGGAGGGCGGGTGGACTGGAGCGTGGTCATGATGCGGGAGCGGCGTTCGACGAGGGCGAGCCAGCGACGGCGGGCGACGCGGACGAGTGCGCGGAACCCGCCTCATCGGCGCTGCCTACGGATCCAGGCGTCGTCGCGGCAGCGGCGGGGTGCGCCATGAGGTCCTGCGCGCCAAAGTTCGACACGTCGAAGGCGCCGCCGGTCGCGCCGAACTCGGCGAACGACAGGCCGTGGTCAGACATGTGCTCCGCCGCGGAGAGCTGCTCGGCCTGCATGGCCGCGTGCTCAGCGCCAGCGGCGGCGGACATGGGCTCGCCACCGCCAAGGTGCTCGACGTTCGGCGTCATGCCGGCGTCTGTGGTTGCGGGGGCATCCATGTACGAGAACGCGGCATAAGCGTCGGCGCTGAGGCCTGCTTGCGCATCGAGCGGGCCTCCCGTGAAGGTTTCACTCTGAAGCGCGGCGAGCATGCTTGACGTCGTCGGCGTGTGCGCCATCATGCCCGGGGCGCCGAAGGACTCCTGACCAGGCATGGGCGACATCGAGAAGAACTGCTGCTGCATGACGGGCTCGACGGACGCGGCAACGGAGTTCGTCGACAACGCAACCGTGCGGAGGACGTTCACAGAGATCCAGTCGCTACAGGTCACATTAGTCGTGATCGTATTCACCAAGGAAACAAGCTCACTCAAGGAACAGCTTCAGGATCTGAAAGGCACCGAAGGCAGGGTCGCTCCGGATCGTCTGGCACTTCGTTAGCGTCGAACACCCGCAACAGTACAAGTAAGCCCACCAGATCGCGCATGACCTGACTCGTCACATATCCCCAACGAATCAACACACTCCTCGAGCTCATCGACCCACGGTCGTCGCCAGCACCGCGACCGCCCATCAGGCGCTCACAGCACTTGTCCGCCCACGACATGACTTCCTTCACAGGCTCGGGCGTCTTCGCGAGCGTGTCCATGAGCGCGACGAAGTCCACCTCCAGGAGCTGCACCAGATCCTCGTGCCTGCAGTTGCACACCAGCGCGGACTGGTTCCGCACGGAGTCAAAGTCAACCTTTTGCCAGGACCGACGCATCTCGCCCAGCTGCTTTGGGTTCGTGAGTACCGTGTTGAGAGCTTGTATGACCTGGTAGATGTCCAGGAAGCGGACTGTCGGGTGTTTGTGAGCCAAACGCTCTACTATTGAACGAGGGACCACTCACGTATCAGGTGTCCAAACCTTGCTCCGAGCTCGACCTTGGGCTCGACGAATGTGTTGCCGTAGCTATCCAGTGCCGACACGAGTATCTTCTCCATTTTGATCGCAAGCTGACGCAGGCTCGCAAGCGCCTGCGACGGTATCGGCGTCAGCATCTGCGATCGTAGTATCTCCAATATCTCCTGCAGAGACGGTCAGACACGTTCGCCTTCACCAGAGACGAAACACGCACATCATATACAATAGCATCCGCCTTGGCCATCAAGCCCGCGATGGCTGGCGCATGCACAACTTCGCGATGGTTCCCCGTCAAGTTCATCCAGAAGTTGCGGAGGGTCATCTCGAACTGGTCGAAGCGGAAGTGGCGCACACTGTCGAGGATTGCATCCAGGTGATCCAAGAACCAGCCCCAGACCTCGCGCGCGGCGATGCCGTGCGGGGACGTCGAGTTCGCGCCGACGGCCTCCTCGATCTGCGGGAAGTTGGGGAACTGCCGCACCGAGAGGGTCGGTTGGGGGACCGGGTAGGGCAGCGGCCCGGACGGCGGCGGTACAGCCGCGGCTGAGGTCGACGCGAAAGCGAGCGACTGGGCGTCTGCGCCCGGGTGCCGTCGTATGGACGCTTGCGTCGCGGAGAAGTTTGGGCGCTGGGCCTGCGCCTGCGAGAGCGCAGTGTTTGCCGTCGGGGTCTTGTCAGCTAGATCACGGGGGAACGCGGCGGCCTTGTCTGTGGGTAGGTGCAGCGAATTACGCTTCGAGCCCATGCCAGAGTTGGCGCCATCCGACTCGTCCTCCTCTTCCTCGTCCGAGCCATCCGCACGGCCAGAACCACCCTCCTGCTCCTGCACCGCGAGTCTCGCGGCGTTCACCGACTGCTGCCCGGCGGTGTTGTTTGACTTGTGGATGTAGTCCTGCAGGAACTCTGCCTCCGTCGAGGTCGCGGGGCGGATGCCGCAGTCTGCCGAGTACGTCAGTTCGCCTCGCCTCGAATAAACAATGCACGTGACACGCACAGTGGTACTTGCTGTTCCCACGAACGCCCAGACGGCGCGTCTTAATGGTCGGGAAGCAGAGGCGGATCGCCTTGCCCAGCGTCGCGGTGTTGATGTGAGGGATCCCATACTGGTCGCACACCCGCCGGTACGAAAAGTAGAGGCCCTGCCGGGGCACGTTGCCATCCGGGTACGGCGCGTAGTTCGCCGTCAGCCTACGTACGATGATAAGGGTCAGGGGCCGCGGCGCTACAGGGGCAGGGCACGCACCATGCCTGCACGAAGATCTGCTTTGCGCGGTCCGACGCGCTCGTCGTCGTTGCCGCGCGCACATTTGCGGCGAGCTTCTCGAGCGCCTGGTCGTTGCTAACCGCGTGCGCGGCGATGGACATCCGGCCCATGGCGCTCGTCGTGTGCATCGTCTCCTGCGACTGGCCCAGGTGCATGTGGGGGCCAGTGGCATACATGGGGTGATAATCGGGCGGCTGCTGGCCGAGATACATGCCTATATCGTCCGTCTCCGATGAAGATGAGTGCACCGAGTCGGTATCGCGCGGGTAGGGGGATGCGGCGGCGCGAGCGCGCAGGTGGCTTGGTCGGCGATGCGGCTGGAGCGGACCGTGGCCGGGGTTCTAGCGAAGGGGGAAGACAGTGAGCGAGCAGCTAGCGGTGCGAGGGTTAGGGGACGTACGTGGTCGATGGGCATATGATAGCCCGCCCTGTACATATCTTCTGCTGCTGGCATGCCAGACATGTGGCCGTAGGCGCCCTGTGAAGACTGGGGACGCGACGCCGAGTGGGAGGACGCGGAGGAGAAGGAGTTGGAGCGGGAGTGGACGGGCATAAAGTCAAGCGGCATGTTGGCGGGCATGACAGACATGTTTACCGCTGCCATATTTGTTCGTTCGGGCGGATCGGTGCGATCTCAGGAGGTGAGCGGGTGGGGGAGGAGCAGAGGGGTGCGCGTATACGGTCAATTGACGGGCCAGCCGGCGGTGGAGAACAAAAATGAGGGACGCGGTTCAAAAAGGCACCCTGGGAAGAAAGCAGAATGGGATCAGGGCCCGGCTATAGGATATTGTAACGATTGTGGACGGCCAGCTGGTGGGCGGCGATGATGATGGTAAAGGGAGAAAGTAAAAAAGACCGAGCGGCGAATTGGACGGAACGACGGCGGACTCGCGTTGTCGAGCGGGTCGGAATCAAGGAGAACTTGGGCGACCGTTGCCAGATCACCTTTTATCGTCAAGGCGACTCCCTCCGCAAAAGTTTCAAATTGCCCTCGTGCGCCCCAGCCGCATTCAGCCGCATCAACCAACTCTATCCCGACTACACGTGTAGCAGTGGCAGCGCACTCCCAAATCAGCTACAGGTTGTCTGTGTCGACGATAGTCTACGCCATCACCCTTGTCGTCCCCGGCCCTGATACATGAACTTTCTGAACCGCTTGCGCAGCTTAGCATGGCCCTCGTCCCCCAGCTTCCGCGCCAACTTGACCCACGACCCCACAGTCAGGTCGCGCATCCCATACGGCACGAGCCCACCCCGCCCAGCCTTCCCTGCATGCGCAGTCCCATTCCCCTCGCGCAGTTCTTTGGGAAGATGCCGTCGCGGGACGGGGAGCATGCCGTCCGCCTCCCCTTGAAGCTGTTCGCGCGCGTACGTTACGTACTCGAGCGCGAACTTGGGCTTCCGGCGCTTGCTCGCCTTGCCCAGCTTCGGAATGTAGTACTGCGGAAGATGGGTCAGCATGCGCACTAGCGATGATCAGGAGGATGGGGTGAGAAACGACGAAAAGAAGGTCGGGCCGGGCACGCGCCACCTCGAGGGAAGCTACCTGCGCAGAAATTCGCCAACTCACCTGCGCGTAGCCCAACGGCGTCCACAGCGTATTCCGCCGACTCGGCGCTGACGGGTCCGAATGCCAAGGTTGTTGAAGGTGGCACGTCCACAATTTCTGGTATTTTTCCTCCTTGCACAACTGCTTGCGCTTGCCGTGGGCTCCGCGACGGTGCCCATGCTTCCTCTTGCTCGTACGGAAGACCGCGTCTTCTTCAGCAGTCTCGTTCGTATCGTCGTCATATGGTGCGATGTCGGAAGAGACACCGTCCGAGGCGTTCTCTTCGTCGAAAAGTTCCTCGAGTTCCGCGTCCTCCTCCTCGGCCCAAAGTTCCTCTTCCGGAGGTCCTTCTTGCAGCTCATCGTCCTGGCTGACTGCCTGAACGGGCGCAACCCCATAACCCTCGGCCCCAGTGACATTATACGCGTACACTCTGAAGGTAGGCACGTATGGGTTCGGTACCACGGACGGCCCCACATTGACCACCGCGTACTCGTCGAGGTCCAGCTTGTCCTTCGTCATCTCGCCAAAGTCGTTCACCAAAGTTTCCCAGAGGTCGCTGTTCCATAGGGGACCCGCCTGGTCTTCTTGGGAGTGCGGACCCGCAGATAGCACTGAAAGGCCGTCCGACGGCAAAGGTAGGTCTTCCGTCGGTGCAAGCGGTCCTTGCGTCATGTCGAACAAGCTCATTGACTCTATACCCTATTAGCCACTGCTTCAATACAGGCGTCGAGGTCTAGACACTCACCTTCCGTCATCTCTCCCTCGGCGTTCATTTCCCTCACCCCGTCCTCCAGGATGGGGTCCAAATCTCCCTCCTCGATGAAGAAAAACTGTCCTTCGTCGGAGGAGAAGCGAAGATGGCGCAAGACCCACACGTCAAAAGCGTCCGAGGGCAGCGTCGAGGCAGGAAAGGAAGGAAGCGTCGGGTGGACCGCAAAGCCATCGGCCATCCGAGAGGATTGACGCGAAGTCGAACCGTGGGTACGCGCGTAGACCAGAGTGTCCCGACGGTCAATGTCCGCATGTGATAGTATCCAGCGCGAGCATCATAGTGACATCCGAAAGACCATCGCATGGCAACATCCGTCGTGTCCACCGCGGTCGATGCACGAGGCGTAGCCGAGCGATTGCGGAGGGCGCGCACGGCATCCATGGACGTACAAAACATCCGAGGACGTACGGAGGGTGGTGATAGGCGTTCAATAGCATCCGTTGGTTATCAGGATGCCCCGGTCACATCGCGAGAAGCACGTACGTGATCTGCGTTCATGTGCTGGGAAGAGGGAATCGTCAGCATATCTCGCAAAGCAGAGGCCAAAGCACAAGAGTTTGTCGAAAAAGATCGATATAAGCAAACGGGCAAACAGCACAAGAGGTCAACAAAGTCACGGAAAGGCCATAATTGAAACAGGGACAAGGAAAGAAAGAATGTGATGAGGACGTGATGTAAGGTAAGCGGAAAGATAGAAAGGGTCGCTAATCAAAGATGAACGGGTCGTAGTAGCCTACGGATGAGCCTAGAAGGCTGCGCTTGTGAGAGAGCGGAGAGATCTGGGAGGCGGGATTGATGATGAGAGGACCATCGAGGCGGTTGGCTGCTTGCTCGTCAAGCAAGCCATCTTCCATCACGCTTTACAGGCAAGGACCGCGGACAGCGACGCCAGACCGTCGGCGCCACCATCGTCGCAGATATGGCTTCACCGCAGATATAGAACAAGGACCGCGACGCATCGGCCACGGCGATGAAGACGGACCGAGGATAACGGCGACGACACAGCACCGACGGCGGCGCCGTTGATGATCGCATAGACAGTAAAAAGGTCAAACAGCGAAGAAGGGAAATAAAGCAAGAGAAGGGGAGGCGAAGAAGAGGGAGTAATTAGGAACACTCACTCCATAGAGATGGCCCAGGATCGTGTCCTGGTATCGTAGACTCAACTCCGTGTAGCGCACGTGCTGGGGCGATGGTATTCGAGAGGCGCGTGAAGGGTAAGGTCAGGATAAGAGACCATCGAGGCGTTGAGGACGTTTTCACTGATTAGCAAAGCATGTCGCTGGCGAGCAGACCCACTTACGCATTCCGGGAAGAAATTGCCAGGCGAAGGCGGGACGTGGCCTGTGCAACGCATCAGCTACTTCTGAACGCCAAAGGTCGATTGGAACGGCATACCGCTGAGATACACCTAGCACAGTAGCGGTCAGCCTGTGTCAGAAAGAGCAGGGCAACGCAACACACATGCATGCCCCGATCGCGAAAGCCCTGTAGTTGCACAGCGAGCCAGTCCAGTTCGAGATTGCCTGGGTCAGAGTGGTCGCCGAATTCGCAGCCGCCAACCGCTGAAGGAGGGCGTCAGCAAGCATTTACATGATGCGTTCAAGCAGGAGTGACGTGTAGGCATTGATGCATAGCACGACGCGGTAAGGCTGGCAGTACGTAGGGACGGAGACGGGCGCACTCACCGTGATTTGAATCGTAGAAGTACATGGTATTGAGGGCGATGACAGCAATTTGGTTGGGTATCACCTCGGTCGCGTAATACGCGCCTCGCTGGAAGACCTGGAGGTAGTGAAATGGTATGAAGGACTTCCATATCCTGCGAACGATGAAGTCAGCCAAGACAGGCTTGTATGGAGGAGGGCACCCCCTACGCGGGGAAACGCAAAACTCACGACGCGAACTCGTTCGTAATGGCATTCGGTCCTGCAAACCTGGTGAGCCGGCCGACGAACGTGCAAGGGGATAGACACCTGAGCCTACCTGGCATCAAGATGTTCTTCACGTTGATTCATCAGTACTCAAACGATAACGGGACTAGGGAGACGGCCACATACATGGGCTGAAGCAGTATCATGTCAGCGGTTAGTTCAGTGAGCAATGATAGACCATGCTACTCACGCCAGACATCGTTATTCCCTATGTTTAGGGAAGCGGCGTCGTCAGCTGGGCGACTGGCATCTGCACTATCACGCACCTAGGCTGGGGACGACGGGAATGCCTTTGCGCAGGAATACTCTCTCCATCTTTGCCGCGACAGCGCGGTTGAGCGCATAGATTTCGTCGAGAGTTCGTGGAGTCTTCCTATCGTTGTCGTGCCTGCGCTGCCGTCAGCCAAGGGTCATCTGCGCATCGTTCTGGGCACGTACCGCGCGTTGTCTCCCGTCCCTATGAGCATATATGCGGGTCAGTTCACTCGGACGCATTACGGGTGCACACGACGCACATATGACAAAGTCTATATCGTCCGTCCACTCCTTGTTCAGGTAGTCCAGGGTGTAATTCGCCAGCCTGAGAGGCGAATCGCAGTCGCTGTATACCGATCGCATCAGCCGACCGCGTCGCGGCGCTGTGAGTGCGCCCACGCACGAGTACGCCGTCCCATAATAGCCCGAGCGATTCTTCTTCTTCCTGGGCTTCTTGCGGTGGCAGTCTCTCTTCACGGACGTGCCAGGCTTGTAATACGGGTCTGGATGGATGTCGGTGATGTGCAGGAACCGGCCAGTCAGTCTCCGCTGCACGGCTGGGAGATATGGATCGGCGTGAGCTTCCGCATAGACTGGGGAGCACGGTCATGGGCGCACCTGACGTCGAGGGGGCGCTCAGCGGCTGCTGGGCAGGCGCGGCGAGCGCATTCGAAAGCGCGGCAATGAAGACCGCCAGCGAGAAGGGCCGCATCATGCTCGCAGATGAGCGCACGAGACAAGAAAGAGCACTTGGCCCGGGTAGCACTGAGCGTCTGGGGCTGCCCCGGATGGGTTTCTGTGTGGCGGTAGGTCAACGACCGCGGCGGTCGCCTGCAGCGTCCTGCGCACGTTCGTCGAATGTGACGTTCATTGTGGAGAAATTTACTAAATGGGGCTCTGCTCGCGTGGCGCGGACTTGAACTTTCTCGAAGTTGAACTTGCCTGCACCTGGTGAGCTCTGCTGAGCTGCTAGCAAAACGCTTTCAGGGCTATCGCTGGCGGCAAACAGGTCAAGATACAGCCGGACCTTCATTGGGCTGCCGACGCGCTACGGTAGCGGGTGGCGCATCAGCTGATCCTAGCTCGCTTGCAACCCTGGTCGCTGTGCGACTCCGGCATCTTCTCAGAACAAGGCTCACCTCGCTATCGCCGCCAACAGCGCGCCAAGACGTCCATCGCTGGATACCAGCGCTTCTCAAACCTCTTGGCACTCAATAGAAAGCTTCCCGGATATGCGACCACGTGAGGAAACGCGGGGCTCGGACATGAAGTTCGTGAAGGGATCTCTGTCAAAGTGGTCTAATAAACAAGGGATGCGTGGTTCGATGGTACAAATGGTATGTCTAGGACGTTACGACGGTATTGGTTGTACAAGTGCGGCGTGAGGAAGGTGTGCAAGCGATTAACAGAGCGGATGACGACGACGACTGGAGAAACGGAGGGCGCGACGAGCGATCAATTGGAGACGATGGAACGCGAGTGGTGCTCCTCTGGATGGTCCTGGCCACCCGTTCGCTTCTGTTGATTGTGCAGGCCCAAGAGGACAGCGACGTTGTCATCCTTATTGAGCACAGACCGGATCGACTCCTCAGCCTGATGGCAGATCTATGGTCGAGTCAGAAAGAGGTTGGGAAAATTGTAGGGGGCGACGCACCCTGCTGTATCCCCCAGGCTGAAGGTGTGCACGATTTGCCGAAATGGCGTTGTGAACAGCGTCTGCTGCATAGCGACGTCTGCGGGGTATGAGTCAGCGCGAAAGCTATGAGTGGAAGCGCGCCACATACAGCATATGTTCGAGAGACGCGCGAGAGTTGGGCAAGATGAAGATGTCGTTGCCCCTCAAGTAACGATCGAACGCGGCGTAGGCAGCGTAGCCGGCGATGGAGGCTTCGTCAACGAAGTCACTGCCAGCATCAAACGTCGTCCGATCCCGCCTGCAGCGCGTCAGCAAAGGGGCGCCAGAGAGACAAGCAAGGTGACGCACATGAAGGATCGTGCCTCGAAGGACTGGGGCGACAGAAACTTGTCCATCATGGTTGGGCGCAGGGTATGAGGGTGTACGGTGGAGGTGATGAGCGCGGGAGTCAAGAGATGTTGTGATGCAAGCAGGCGCGGAGCACCGATGATTTATAGATCTGCCAAGCGGGTGACGGCTGCGGAGAACCGAAAGGGCTGTAGCGGCAAAGAGGAAGGGGCGGCTTTGATGTGAATGAGTGTGTTCGTGTCTTTTATAGCTTTCCGGCTAGCGTGCGGGCGTCGTGAAAGGCAAAGATGCGCCTCGGACTGTCGAGCCACAATTTATCTCCTTCCGGTTGCCCCTATTCATTTCGATCGACAAACGTGCAAGCGCCGACCATTATTCCCGGCTTCGCTCCGGCGCCGAGCCATGTCTCGGCCGGAGAGCGGACATATGCGAGGGGGCCCAGAGCTTCCTCGAATTTGCCAAGACCCCCTCGACAGGTTGACTTTCTCTTTTCCGAGGTCCCCCCAGCCGCCCATTGTTCTCGTCCATTGTTCTCCGTTTCTACGCAAGAACTCGGGAAAATACAGATAGCGAGCTCCAGCTTTTCATCGACGGACACACTCAGCGTGGCGGCCGCTCCTCTGCAGCGTTCTATCTGCTCCCATCTGCTCCCATCTGCCGTCTGAGAATCGCCCGCAATCGCGTCAAGCCTGGGCCAGCCTTCTTCAGCCCCGTACCAGCTCATCGCCGCTTCCGATGGCCGAACCAAAGGCTCTCTTTGTGCCCGACGATGCTGAATCATCGCCGACCCATCGCTTCATGCGCACGGTCAACGAGCGGTACAGCACGTCCCTCTCTTCGTACCGCGAACTCTACAAGTGGTCGACTGAGAATATTGACAAGTTCTGGGGCCTCGTTTGGGACGAAACGCACGTCCGAGGTGTCAAAGGCAGCCACGTCGTGGACGCGTCCGCACGCCCGCCGGACAACCCAACGTGGTTTAGGGACGCCAAGCTCAACTGGGCGGAGAACATGCTCGTGCACCGCTCGCCGGATAAGGTAGCCCTTGTCCAGGCCAGTAAGCAGCAATCCGTCCGCAAGCGCCGCTCTATTGCCTCACGAATTCTCCGCCTCTGCAGCTGAGCCTACGCCCGACCTCCCGCAGCCGCCGCTACGGAGGGCCACATACGCGGAACTATACAGTATGGTTGCAGACATCGTCTCGGCGTTGCTCTCGCGCGGATTCAAGCCGGGAGACCGCGTTGCGTCGTATGCCTCCAACTGCATCGTGGGTAGGCTTTCTCGGGTCCTGCCTGAGCTGACCTTGGCGTCAGGAAAACGTGGCGGCGTGTCTGGCAACTACCGCCCTCGGTGGCATCTGGCTCAGCGCCTCCGCGGATTTTGGCCCCGTTGGCGTCCTCGAAAGGTGGCGTGGCTGACGTGGCGCTAGGCACCGTCTGACATCTACTAGATTCGAGCAAGTGCAGCCCAAATTCGTCTTCGCTGTCGACGCGGTCGTGTACAACGCCAAGGTGCACCCCCACCTGACCAAGCTGAAGGCGCTGCTCGACGGACTCGCGGACCTGAACCTCGAAATTCCGACGGTTATCGTCGCTCATGTCATTCCGAACATTGTGGATACCTCCGACGCGTGGAACTCCGAATGGATGAAATGGGACGATTTCCTCGCTGAGGGTCGAGAGAAGAAATTAGGACGCGACCCGGATGGCGAGATACAATGGAGCCGACAGCCGTTCGACTACCCTCTCTGGATTCTCTTTTCGTCTGGTACTACGGGTATGCTTTCTTTTACCGCCCTGTTTACATCCTCGTTTCTGACAGCTTTACGCCAAGCCAGGCCTTCCCAAGTACGTTGACTTGCTATGGTTGCGACAGGACCCTGACCGAGACGCGCGGTAGACCCATCGTCCACCGCGCCGGCGGCATGCTCCTGCAGGCCAACAAGGAATTCGCGATCCACGGTGATCTACGCGCCGAGGACGTATTTTTCTACTATACAACCACGTACGTAACCGTCCGCGGCAACCGTATCTCTGTTCGCTGATTATGTACACGCGCAGGGGATGGATGATGTGGAACTTCCTGGTGAGCGGCCTGGCCGCCGGTTGCACGCTCGTGCTTTATGATGGCAGCCCGCTGCGCGACCCTGCTTACCTCTGGCGCTTGGTCGATGACCTTGGAATCACGTTGTTTGGCACCAGCGCGAAGTATATCGATCAGCTCTCAGTACGTCTGTCTCTATATCAAGCTCATCGGTAAACACCTTACCGCGTCACAGAAATCATACAAGCCTCGCGAACATCACTCACTAAGCACCCTGCGCCACATCTATTCAACGGGCTCGCCTCTCGCCCCTGCGCTCTTCGACTATGTGTACGAGCACATCCACCCGCGCGTGCTGTTGGGGTCCATCACAGGTACGCTCACCCTCTTCGTATGACGTTTTGGCTCACAGAAGTGCCCAGGTGGCACGGATATTTGCTCCCTCTTCGCCGGCATGTGTACCGCGCTTCCTGTCTTTCGAGGGGAGATTCAGTGCCGCATGCTCGGCATGGCTATCGAGGCTTTCACGCCGGACGGGAAGATCTCTCCGCCAGACGAGCCTGGCGAACTCGTCTGCCTGAAGCCCTTCCCATGCCAGCCCGTGGGATTCTGGCCCCTAGAAGGATTTGGTTCCGCGGAAGCAGTTGAGAAAGCCAAAGCGCGGTACCAACAGTCGTATTTCTCTGAATTCCCTGGCGTTTGGTGTCAGTTCTGATTTCGCTCCTTCACGGAAGACACTGACTTTTGTTTTGTAGACCATGGCGACCATATCATCGTGACCTGTTCTCGTGCTGAGAATGGTGGCGGAGTCATAATGCTGGGACGATCTGACGGCGTCCTGTGAGTCAGTGCGAACTTCCTGGTCATAACTCGCTAACGGCTCTGTAGAAACCCTGGCGGCATACGCTTCGGCTCGGCAGAGATATATGAGGTCGTCGATCACTGCTTTCACGGGCAGATCCTTGACTGCCTTGCCGTCGGACAGTCCATCGCGGACGGCACGGACGAGCGTGTTGTTCTCTTCGTCAAGCTTGCCGAAGACAAGATGCTGGATAAATCACTCGAGGAAGCAATCAAGCGAGAGATTCGCGCGCGGCGGACGCCGAGACATGTGCCGTCGCGTATCGTGCAGACCGACGCCGTACCGTACACCTTGAACGGCAAGCGCGTCGAAGTGTCCGTGAAGAAGGTATGCAAGTCGAGCTTCGTCTGCCCTCAGCACTGACTCGTTGTCAGATAATTAATGGGGCCTCGGTCGCAAGCGTCAATCCGGCGACGCTTGCCAACCCGGAATGCTTGGAATACTACAAGGAAATTGGGAAGAAACTCAGGGCTGAGGTGGCGTAGAATAAACTAGGTCAAGGACGAAGGGCCTGTACTGTATACTGTACACTAGCGACATACTGGAAATAGGTGGTGCGCCGTGTGCCACAAACTTGAAAATCGCATGGCTTTCCACCTCCGACTAGAAGAGCGTGCCTGCAAAGTAGCCTGAGCGCAACAACATGCTCGAGCGCGACTGCCCTTAGGGTGTCGGGGCCATAATCACGACCTTCTTCAGCTCAGGCAAGGGTCAGCGAACTTCATAGGGCAGGACGGCGCTGAGCAGCAGCCACTCAGAGTAGAAGTAACGTCGGGATGACCAGTGTGGTACCACGTTGACGCGTCTCTGGATTGACGCAACTCGACATGATAGAAAACAGAACTCTCATTCCTGACAATCTGCCTAGCTCACTGCCTGCCAACGATATCATAAAACTGAATTTGTGCCCGACGTCTGAGACGATAAACGTGTGATGGGTCACTGGTGAGCAGTGAAGTTCTCTTCTGACTGAGGCCATGATAACGACTTACCTGGTCGATGCCCTTGACCGAGATCAACCCATCAGAACATGTGGCTGATCCAAGGGTGACGCCGATGGCACGCGCGAGCGTGTTGATACAGTGTGCGCTGCAGACGACTGAGCTCCTCGTCGGAGGGTCGCGTGCCCAGTCGATAAACCGGGATATTCTCCATCTTCTCGATGTAGCTATTAAGCTTCTCGAGGTTGATGGCATCCTTCCTTACGTTCCGCCTCGCGTGGTCCCACTCAGGTATCTCGTCGCGAGTCAATACAGCCCAGCGCCAGAACTGACCTGACGTAGACCGTACGATGACTACTTGCGTCTCGAGGTCGTCGATGAAGTAGGCAGATAGATATTCAACGATTTCGCTCTCTGCATGCTTGAGCTGTCTTTTTGCAAGCGCGTAGACGTTGGCTCCGAAGGCGCGGCGACTTGGGTTTGGTTTGTCCTCCTCAAGTAGCAAGATGCAGCGATGATGAGTGACACGGCCACAGTTCCGTAGATAGCGTTCAACATGGAGGCCACGCGCGCCTTTGTGAGGTCGCTTCATGCGCCGACTCAGCGTGTGCATGATGACAAAGTCGGGCCTGCGTTCCAAAGCGTTCTTGTCTGGCTCAGTGACGCCGGATTCTGAGTGTGAACTTGCGCTATGCACTGGTCCTAGATGGATCATTGAGCACCATTATGGACTGCGAGTAAAACATCGATTACTGACGCGACTGCTTCGTTGCACGGCTAGCAATAACTGCAGCCGCCACATCGTCTTCGCCACCAACCTCTGTGAAATATGTCAATCTCGATCCCAGAGTCTACGGCGATGCTACGAACCAGGACCGCCAAGATACCCCCCTTCGCTCCCTCCACCGCTATCATTTGATGTCACCGAATGACCAGACGACGTGAACTTATCTTCCGACTCGGAGAGATGTATGCGCTCCTCCCGGCCAGCGCCTATTGGTCGGCCTCCGCGGCGATGTCCAACTTGATCACTCGCAGGCAGTACAAAGGTAGCTGCTAGTAGGCCTGTTATCGAGGAATTTGGCGACGCATGCGATAATTCTGACCTTGCTCCTCGTCTGCCCATCCAGGATCCCCGTCATCTTCCACCACATCCTCAGGCTGTACTGCGTGTAAGTAATGAGCGATATTCCGATAAGATGACTATACCTGCGCCTGCAAAGAACTTTGCTGACTCGATTGACGAGCAGCCTGTCGAGTCCAACGTGATGAACGCGTAAGTGCTGTCAATGATGCTGAATATGATCTGTTCTGAGCCATCCACGCTCTGGACCTGACATTCAGGTCGTGTTGAGGGATTGGGAACGCCGATGGACAGTTCCTTATGAGATCGCTCAGCACTACGTTCTGCATCCCATACGTGGGAGCCTCCAAATTGTTGTGGTTGTATTCGAGCGACGTCGCGTAACTGATCGCAGCCCTTGTGGTAAACGATGTTACGTAGGGGCGCGGGTGCAGGGGTATGCGTGTTCGGTGTCGACGGCTACTAGGATCGTGCATGATGGCGGCGCTGGTCAAGTTGAGACTGACAGAGATGGTGGCTTGTGATATCTCGCGGTCGGACCGATATCGATCCCATCGCAGCGCTGGAAGAAGTAGGTGATACGTACAGATGCCATGTCACGTACGCTTCATTGCCCGTGAGAGATTCAACAATCGAACCGAACAATGCCTGACGATTATAGCCCTGGCCTTCGCCTTGTGTAATTCATACCGTCACTTCGCACACCGTACGGGCGCAGCGTTCGTCTGCCACCTCGAGCACTAGCCCCGATGGAGCTGGCATCGCTCCTCTCTGGCGCAACTGCGAGCACTAGATCAGCACATTGTTCAGAAGATGGAAGATGGGAGCCACGGCCAGGTACGAGACGTGCCTTATAAAATCCTTGTCATATCACAGGCGGCAGCATCATGATATCCCTTCCACCGATGCGTCTGTGTCTTGAGCCGACGCCCACAGTAAAAATGCCCGCGAGCTCCTGCGAGGTTCAGGCAGAATATTCGCTTTGCTAAGGTAAGCACTGCCTTGGGGAGGCCCCGGCCGCGGCGGCGAAGGGTGGCTGCCGGCCCCCTCACCGAATCGGTCCGAAGCGCTGGTAGTTGTGAACGGTCCGTGGTGTTGTTTAAACAATGTCTGTCAATGTTTGTCCTGATGGCTGCGTCGACCCACGTGGCGAACAGTGGCTATGTAATCAGACGCACTTAGACGCTTGCTCTCGCCTTCACCGAGCGGAAACCGCATTAGTTCTGTCGCCCGACTACAACCCGACTATGTCAAGTGCATCAGCAGCGGCTGCGAGCAACAACGATAAAAAGCACGTAGCTTTCGCTCCCGAGGATATATCTGCTCAGCGTAGCACGAGAAAGTCGACAGGCGCCAAACGGTCTTCCCCCGCCTCGTCTTACCGTCCCAATGCGCCGCGTAAGGTCTTCGGGTTTCTGGTGACGGAAGACTGCATGAGAGCATACTATCGCCTCCATCCCGAGGACGTCTACCTCCCCAACTGGCATCCCGACCCGAAGAAACGTGCCTCCCAGATAGTCGCAGTCAAAGACATGCTCGAGTGGGATATTCCTCAGGCTTGCCGGGAACGCTTTCCTTCTCTGCCCCAATTCAAGGAGATTAGGATCGGCGTGACGGACGGGCGCCGGTACGGCAGTGCGGTCATTTTGGCGGACACAATCTCGAAAGACACCGCATCTCCTCCTCCACCTCACGTCATCGAAGAGGTGGCGAAGTTCATAGGTCAGGAGGGTATTGAGCCGGAGTGGTTTGTGGTAGATGTCACTGCCGGTTGGTCAGTGCAACTCCTCCTATACAGGCTCTCTGACTGACGGTCTTGTAGAATTGTGGCGTGTTTGGGTTGCAACTTCGAGAGCACTTCTGCAGGTGCCATAATCTCGGGGTTTAGTACGCATGAAGGGTTCGCAATTGCTCTGTACTTGTATTTGTCGAGACGAAAATGTCCAAAGCTCGTTTCCTTGGTCCACTGTTTTTCCTATCCCAAGCCCAATAGATATTGCATAAAAGTACATCTCGCAGCGAGCCACGACCTCTACAGCTCATCATGCTGCGCCTTTTCCACCACGTTCCCCTCTTCGTCCACCTCCTCCATCTCGATATGCACCTTGTCCTTCAACTCATCAGGCAACTGGATCCCCGGCACCCCATCCTCCTCCCCCATCACCTTCGGCGTCCCGAACATGCTCATATCGAACTCGGGCTCCTCCTCGACAGGCAGCTCCGGGTCCACCGGCGGCGCGCTCTTCACGCTATCGTCCGTCGGCGCGCTCTCCGACACCCCCAGCGAGCGCCTCAGCACCCGGTCCACGCGGCTGAAGAACTCGTTCGAGTCGGGCACGTCGAAGCCGGAGCGCACGAGCGCGCCGTCGATGAGGATGGACGCGACCTCCCGCAGCTCCTCCTCCTCCTCGGGGTCAGGCTCGTCCCCGAGCGCCTCGACGCGCCGGAGGAGGCCCTCGATGAGGGGCGAGCGCGGGTTGATCTCAAGCGTTTTCGCCTTCATGGCGAGCTCGAGCATGGGGTCTTTGTCCTTCGCGTGCGAGGCCTGGGCGCTCATGAGGCGCTGGATGTTGGCGGTGTAGCCGAAGCTGTCGGCGACGACGGCGCAGGGGCTGGTGACGAGGCGGTTCGTGATGACAACTGCGAATGTGTCAGCGATGGTGGGCAAAGGATGAGGGCATTGAACGGACCATCACGGACAGCATCCCTGGCTTCGCGGCGCAGGTAGTCAGTCAGCGGCTTGAAGCGCTCCTTGAGTTCCTGGAGCTTCGCCTTCTCCTCCTCCTCGTCCTCCTCGTCGCCAAACTTGAGCCCGCTCTTCGCCACGTCCTGGAAGCGGAGCTTGCTGCGCAGCGGTCAGTATCACCTTCGTCAAGAAGAGAGATCGAAACGTACTTGTAGGTCCGCATGTTCTGCACAAGAATCTCGTCCAGCGGCTCCACCATCAACAACACCTCATATCCACGCGCATGCAGCTTCTCAACGAAGACGCTCTTCGCCAGGTCCTCCGTGCGCCGACCCATCTCCGCGAGGTAGAAGATCTGCTTCTGGCCCTGCCGCTTGTTCTCGATGTACTGTCACGCACCCGTCAGCTCTCTCACACTCAACCCGGACCCGCCCACTCACATCGTCCAGGCTCACAAACTCCCTCTGATTCGTCGTAAACCGCACCAGCGCGGCCAGCTTCTCCCGATTCTTCGCATCCTCCACCGCCCCCAACTTCAAGATCGACCCGTACGTATCGTAGAACTTCCTGAACTCTTCATTATCGTGATCCTCGATCGCCGCGCGCTTCGCGAACAGGCCGATGATGTGCTTGAGGATGATCGACCGCAGTTGGCGCAGGAACACCGAGTGCTGGAGCGTCTCGCGGGAGACGTTCAGGGGGAGGTCCTCCGCGTCGACGACGACCTTGACCCAGGAGGCCCATTTGGGGAGGGCGTGTTCACCGAAGTCGGAGGTGATGAAGGTGCGCTTGACGAGGAGCTTGGTGTCCTTGCCGCGGGCTTCGAGGGGCTGTTGCCAGAATTCTTCGGTGCTGAGGGTGAATTAGTGAGTTATTTCAGGAAGGGGAAAGGAAATGGGGAGCGGGACGAGAGGGGAGAATAAAGCAAAGGGAGAGAAGGGTGCTGCGTACATTTTGCTTGGGAGGTAGACGATGGCTTTGAAGTTGACGCCGGAGCCTGCCTCGCCGGAAAAGTGATCCCAGGCCATGGGTTCCTCGGAGTCCTTAAAGAAGGCCTTGTAGAACTCTTTGTACTCCTCTGCGCAGAAAGTTAGTCGACGTTTTAATCGACTGAGCGTCAAGCGTACCATCGCTGATTTCCTTGGGGTCCCTGAGAAAGGATGAGTTCGGTGTCAACACGTGAGACGTAGTTGACGCACCTCTGCCAGATCGGCTGTTGAGAGTTGAGGTGGATCCACTCCTCGACGGAGACCATCTTCGTCTCGGGGGTCTTGGGCTCCTTCACCTCCTCATCCTCCAAGATAGCCTCATCCTCGTCCTCCGGCGTCGTCTGGTCCTTCAGCACCGGCTCATCCTCCTCCTCGACCGGCACCTCCTCCACGCGCACCCGATGCAAAAAAATCGGGAAGCTAGACGAATACGAAGAGTGCTTCTGCACCAGATCCACAATCTTATCATGCTTCAGATACTCCAGCGCGTCGTCCTTCAGATGCAGCGTGATCTCCGTGCCGTGCGCCAGAGTGACATCGCGCGGGTCGGGGTAGATTTCGAAGGATGAGTCGTCGGCGGCGGAGGCGAAGACGTGCTGCTTGGGGTTAGGGTTCTTCGCAGAGGGCGGGGGGCGAGAGGCGACCTCGACCTTGTCGGCGACGAGGAAGCTAGAGTAGAAGCCGAGACCGAAGGCGCCGATGAGGTTGCCGCGGCCGGTGGTGTCGGTGCTCTCTGCTTTGGCGAGGAACTCGGAGGTGCCGGACTTGGCGAGCGTGCCCTGCGAGGGGACGTCAGAGATGAGAGGACGAAACGAGATGTAGCGCGCACCAGGTTATCCCTGAGTTCATCGGCAGTCATACCGATACCGGTATCTAGCGACAGTATGAGTGGGCTTGTCCTGATCAGCGCGAGCGTACTCTACACACCAGTGATGGTCAGCGTCTTCTTCTCAAGGTCGGGAACGATGGTGATGTTCAGAGGTTCGGTAACTTGAAGGTCCTTGTTGGTGAGTGCGGTCAACCGCAGCTTCTCTATAGCGTCGTTCGCGTTGGAGATCAGCTCTCGCAAGAAGATCTCACTGCGAGGGGCTTAGTGGGTGATCGACGCGGTGGGGGAACAACCTACTTGTGGGAGTAAAGGCTAGGGAATGTGCGTCAGAGTTGGGAGCGTAGCGGTGCAAGCTGTTGGCTCACCTGTTGATGACGATCTTGCGCATACGGGCGACATCGCTCTGCACATTGCGTTAGATGCGTTCCCCCAGCGGTCAATGCTGCCCACCTGATAGTTGTACTTCTCGGCGCCAGTGTCTGCCCAGACACTGGACACCACCGCAGCGGCGGACAGCAGGAAGGGGAGAATCCTCATGGGTGCTCGGCCCAGCAGCAACAGTTGACCCTCCTCGTCGTTCTCCGTTAAATAGCCGCCCGCGCTGACGTGTCAGTCTGATTAGGTCCGCGGACAGAGCGGCCGTCGCGTCGATCACGGTCACGGGGCCGCTTCCCCTCACGCGTCGCCCACGCGTCGGTTGAATTTCGAACTTCCATCACCGTCGATCACAACCATCACCTCCTGGTCCGTGCGTCCCTCCCGCCCTATAAGAGGCAATTTATGACACCCTGATTCCTTACCACTCTGGCCTTTTGGCTTAGATCAAGTGTAGTATCTGTTCTTAAAAGTTTAACCACTTTTACCGAAGCACTGCTTCGTGTTATGGTTATCCAATTTTTGTCGCCCCTGTTCCCTGGGCTCTGCTTGCAACCTGGGGACGCGATGACCTTGCCACTGCAGTACCGGCTTGTGTCGTCGGGGGAATCCTTCACCTCTCCCTTTGAGCTCCACTGCATCCCTCGTCTTTCGACGAAGTGGACGGTGTGCGCAAATGGATTGGTCCTTTCTTTTTGTATTCTTCTATATACGTGGTGTGTTTTGAAATAGAAACTTCGTTGTGGCTGAAAATGTTGTTCTGGATTGGTTTCGGACGAGGTGGAAGTTCGGTGTGAGTCACCCAGGTTTTCCAGTTGGGAGCCCTTGGTGTGGAAGGAACCTGGCCATCATCATTTCGCCCGAGTAGTGGCGAGAGCAGGCCGAGACTTCAAATTCAAGGCCAGGCATGGTACTAAGTGCATCTGGATTAGAGCGCGTCTGCCTAGGATTTTTAGGCGCTATTTCAAATTCAACGCTGAGTAGGATTGTTCATAAATTCTATGAGAACGCGTGAAATCTTTCGAAGGCCCCGAAGAATTTCCACCTCGAAATGACATCAAGACCCACGGTGGATCTCTTTCGCTCGCGCCCCGCAACGAGAAATGCGCTCTTGTCCTCCAGATCACCCAGGGAGGTGAGCAGCCTCTGAGTGGACCCATCCCACCACGCTTCGGGGGCGCATAAGGGATGCGAGACGCTATAAAGCACGTTCAGCGCTGACCTCGCCGCTAAGATATTCTCCGAATATGAGATCATTGTGGATATCATTGTGCTTCTTACAGGATTTTCGTGAAAATACATTGCTTTTTCTGTAACTTTCGTGTAAAATCCTAGGCAGACGCGCTCTATTAGCCTCGATACCAATGCAGATCGAAGTGAAGCAGCGGATGCTGAAGGAGATCGTTGACAGGGTTTTACACTCTCATTTGCATTGAGACGCTGTGTAAGCTCTACACAAATTACTGTTTGCGCTGCTTGTGTATAGACAAATCTATCCGGCGAGCGTAGACAGCGAAGGTGAACAATCCCAACAACGCGGTCGCCACCGTGATGGGCTTTTTCAGATGGGCTGCAGTGGAGACCTTGTACGAGACCTGTACAAAACAATCAGTCGAGCGATAGGAGTGGAGCACGCAACATCACATACATAGATCGCCTGCGCGTGCTTCTCCGTGAGATCCTTGTACTTGAAGATCAGTTCGGGCCTTCCAGTGGTGTCGAGGTAGGTGATGTGCGTGTCGCTGGACTGCGAGATCGCAGGGAACGGCAGGACGTAGTCCACATCCGTCGCACCCTCAGGCAGCACGATCTTCACCGTCAACTCATCCACCACCGCCGCCGGCAACCCCAGCATAATCGGCACCTCCGCAATATACGTCCCCGTCTTTGCATCATAGCTTGCCGAGTCGCCCAGCGGCGCGTCCCACCCGAGCGTGAACGAGTACTTCCACCCGCCGAGGATCGGGTAGCGCGGGCGCATCTCGAGGAGGGAGAACTGGTTGGCGGCGCGCTTAGCGGAGGCGGACTTGGGCGGCGTGCGCAGGGCGGAGGTGGAGACGTTGCCGATTTGGTCGTAGTAGTAGACGTCGCGGACGCCCGCGGGGAGGTGGAGGGCAAGACCGGGGATGATGAGCGGGTTCGAGCGCTTGAAGTAGGCCTGGCCCTGGTAGTCGAGGCGGGAGAATTGGCCCTTCAGTCTATGGGGTACCTATTAGTCCAAGCATGCGCGTAAGGGAGGTGGCAGGCATACTTCGGACCGGCGTTGTAGAGCGTGACCTCGTCCTGGATGTTGAGGTTCGCGCCCCAGTGGCTGATCTCGGCGGCGCGGGTGTACTCGGTCACCTCGTAGACGGGGTAGTCGTACTTGTAGTGCACGACGACGCTCTGCTGCGTGCTCTCCGCGAAGTCCTTCGTGGCCGAGGGGGGGATCGTCTCGTAGGGCCCATACGTGATCGTCGCGCCGGACTTGGTCACCGGGACATCCTTCGTGAACGCGTCCAAGTTCTCTGGGGTCGTGTACGACAGGACGTCCGGCGAGGCGAGCCTGCGCGCGGGTGAGCGGAGTCAAGTAACATCCCCCACTACCACGCACCTCAGCTTCGTCCGCTGGACATGGGTCTCGTACGGGCTCACCACGAACAGGCCGGTCTTGTACTTGAGCGCCTGATCGTCCGTCTGCTTCGCGTGGTCGGGCCACGGCCACGTCGCATGCGTCTGCACGGTGTCCAGCACAAGCGTCAGCGCCGCGCCAGCCTCCACGCGCTCCGGCAGCACCACGTCGACCAGATGGACATCGCTGGCAGACCGCATTCAGCCTCCGCAGCACCCCGCCCTCATTCGCAGCACACATACCTCTCGGGATCCACGGGATGCTCCTTCAGCTCCAGGGCGGCACTCTCACCCTTCAGCTTCGCCTCGATCCAGCTCGTGTGCCCGCGATCTTCAGGGGTGAGCGCGATGGTGTAGGTGTCGGCGGCCTCGAGGGCCTTCGCGGCGTAGGTGGTCGTCACTTGGGTGACGGAGCCGCCAAGGTCGACGATGCGCACGACGGCAGTGTTAACAAAGGAGGGGGCGGAGAGACATGGCAGCGCAAGGGCCAGGAAGACGGCCGGCAGCGACTGCCAGAACATGGTGGTGTCGGTCAAGGGAGTATGGGTACGTGTAACGTGGCCATCAGACGCGTCGCTAATTTTGGAAGGCTTTGTTTTCGGACGCTCAAACGCACTCCCGGCGAACTATGGTACATTTTACGGCGTAAAACAGCTTTGCAACTATACACTATCCTCCTCCGCTTTCTGCACCTCGTGAATGACCTGAAATACCGCGCATCCCTTCGGTGGATTGCCTCTGCAAAGAGCCACGTCAGTCTTTCTTAATCGTTCCGCTTCACCCCTCATCTGAACCGACTCACGGCTGCATATTCATGAACACGCCACTGCCCCCACCCTCCGTCGCGCACGCGTAGTACGTCCCGCGATTCGTTCGCCCGTAGTGGTCGTAGATGAGTCGCGTGCCCGCCCAGCGCCAGGTTCCTCCCGTTAACGCGCGCGCGTCCGAGTCCGCTGCAACGAGCTGCAGCGGCTCGTTCGGCATGCCGGTAACATTCGCGGCTTGGATGGGTAGGATGCTGGAGTCGTTTGTGTATTGATATAGCTGATGCCGGTAGATGTAGAAGAGTGGTGGCTCGGCGACGAGGGTGAGGTTCCCAGGTGCGCCTGCGAGGTCCACGATGAATTCAGATACGTCGGGACGTACAGTGAATGTGCCACACACCTGGTTGCGCCGTCCCCAGATAGTCAGACCACCCCTTCTCGCCCTGAGACCGAGGAAATCTTGCACGCGCATAGCTCAACGAGTCCGCGAGCGAATACATCACAGACTGGCTGGAGCCATATGCTGGTTCCCAGAATGGCATCGCTTGTGAGACTATGGATAAGGCTAGCGCTGTGAGCAATGCGATGAGCATCTTGGGGACTCAAGGGCGTATACTGGAAGCTCGAGCGGGTGATCTGGAGGCCGTAGCAGGTTGCCGTCGTCGTCGACCATCGCGTATATGTATGTCGGAGAAGAGTCGGAACGAGAGTCGAGTCCCGAGAAGAAGCCAGGTATGCCCACGATGGGCTCAGGCAAGGTTACCCGAGCATTTTGCGGTAGGATGAAGGTCATGTGGGCGAGCTTTGCCGGTACCGCTGGTGATGACGGATGCTAGGCCAAGGGCACGCTCGCAAAAACGAGAAGAAAGGGGACAAGCCGGCCGACACCTGGTCGGTCGAAAAGGTACCGGCAGCGAAAGACGTGTCTGCGACTTGCTTCGGTCTCACGAATACTGAGTAGCAATGAGTGGTGTATATTACTTTCATAGATCCTAAAGTAGATACCGTACCTCTAGTCGAACAGCCATCGTTCAGGTGTAGGTCGTGTCGAGGGCATCGTCCGCCTCCCTACGCAGTCGGCAAAAACTTCTCGTCGTACTGAAGTTTCTGCGCGACCGTCTTTGCCTGCTTGCGCAGCTTCGTCCACCTCTCCTTCTCGTGCGGCCGTGGAGGCGCCTTGGCAAACAAGGTATCGAGCACCTCGACGAGCGCGCCCGCGAGCTTGCCGACGAAGAAGACGCGCCCCTTCTGCAAGCGCTTCGTCTCCTCTGCCGACCGTCGATGTGTCGAGAGGTACCCCTCCCCACCGCACGCCTCAACTAAACGTATCGCATGTCGCATGGTCGCTGGGTCACCGGTCGCCTGCGCGGTGCGCACCATCGTTGACAGTACTTCAGCGGTAGGCTCGAGGTTGCGCCCCCGCGGCCGCTGCTCGCGCGGCATCTGTCCTGACCGCCCGTCAGCGAGATCGTCCGCCATGTACCCGGTCATGAGCTGGAAGGTCTGCAGCGCGGCGGGCCAGTCGGCGGCGTTCCAGCACGCGATGAGGGCGAGGTTGTAGGTGCGCTGCGCGGGGCGGAGCTTCAGACCGTCCGCACCACCCGCGGCTTCCTTTCTGAGCGTCCACTCGAGGAGGCGTAGAGCGGCGGGCGGTGCGCCAGGCGAGGCGAGAGCCGCATGCGCCTTGAGCGCCTCCTCGACGTGCCCGCGGTCGATTATGTCCTCCCCACCTAACGCGCGCGGACGCATGCGCGCCTCGTCGAAGAAGTGTATCGTCATCTGCGGCTTCTGCATGGCGTTGGCGAGGGAGAGCGCAGAGAAGAGAGCGGAAGGTGGGAGCGCCAGTTGGATCTTCTCCGCAGGCTTCTCGTACGGCGCGGTCAGGCCGTAGTACTCTGCGAGGAGCTTGAGGGCGAGCGCCTTGTCCGGTGTCCGGCCCTTGGCAAGCGCGGCAATGGCAGCGCTGACAAGATGGGAGTCGATGGGGATGCCGGCCTTCAGCGCCTGCTGCCAGAGGTACTTGGCCTCGCCACCCTCGCTGGGTCCGGCAGCTGCTAATGCGTCGAACATGGCGGTGTAAATGAGTACGTTGGCTGCCAGTGGGCCTTCGGAGTCGAGGCCATTGTACACGTCCCACATCTCGCGGTGGTTGCCCGACTCGGCCAGGATGCGTATATACATGGCTAGCGGGTCGACGCTGAGCTGCTCGCTCGTGGGATCGTGCTTTTGTACGGAGCGGATGAATTTCATGAATGCGTCGTAGAGGGAGCGGGCGTTGTCGAGCTGCTTGGAATGTGTGGGCCAGTGTTCGATACGTGAGAGGCCAGTGAACATGGTCTTGAAGGTGCGTACAGAAGGGCTATAGCCTCTGCGCTTCATCTGCACAGAGTGAGTCTCAATAACAGAAGTGAAGGGTATGCTGCGTACCTCGACATAAAGCTGGTACGCCGTCTTGTACTTCTTCGCCTTCATGCACTCCCAGATGATCATGTTCCACACCGGCGTGCTCGACGCGTCCCGCGGCATCGTCTGCAGAGTCTCGATAGCCTCCTCTAGCTTCCCCTCGCTGCACATCTTCTGTAACCGCTTTGAGAGCACGTAAGGATCGAGCATCTTCTTCTCTCCCTTTCCCTCGTCCTTCGTGGGGTCCCAGTGCTTCGAGCGGTACACAGCCGGCTCCTTTGCCTTCTTTCCCTCAGCGCCAGAGGACGACGCGCCTGATCTGTCGACCTTGGGTGGTTGGCCGAACTGCATAGAACGTCGCACGCTGCGAGGGAGCTTGTCGAACTGTGCTGGCGTCAAGCCGCGCTTCTGGAGCTCCCCTTGTAGAGCAGGAGACGTGCGCGACGCTGTAGCGTAGCATCTTGTGGATGGCGCGAGCAGACGACTCAGGAGGGAGGCTTCAGCAGACCTCAGCATGACGGCGGGACGATATGCACTCCAGCCAGCAGTGCTGCAAATTAGCGCCCGGAATATCGGGCCGTCTAAAGTGCAGTGGACCCACAACTCCAAAGCACCCATAAATGAGTGGTACTCGGAGTAGGCAGTCTTCACGACGCCCTTACCGGTGGTAATTTCGAGGGTGTGGTTGCGATGATTGACGGCTTGGATGAGCTCCAGGGTGGTTCGCGGGATGATAAGACACTCGAATGCATGCAAACCATTACACTCGGGCAAAATTATGCGACACGGCTAGGGTAGCCTGCGGATGCCTCAGTCGATCCCATCTCGCAAGAGTAACTAACGCTAGCCTCATGTTAGAAAAAGAAGGGGCAATGGAGGTCTCTTGAAAGCCAGATACTATACAATTGATCACCTTGAACAACATTAACACAACGGTCATTACTTGAGGTACAACTCTACGCGGTCTGATGTATAAATGGCTCACGCAAGACCGGGAGGAGTATAGAAGATCTCCCGAACCAGCTCTGCGCAAACGCGTTGGTGTTCAGCGATCAGGTCAGTCACTACAATCGATATGTCGAAGAAGCTGTGGCCAGCCGTAGGAATTAGGGTGCTCAGCTTGCTCTCTGCGCGTACAATCAGCGCAAACAGAGACAGCTTCTCCGCGTCGTTCCGCAAGGTAGGAGGATAGGGGATCTCGCAAAGCAGGCCCGAGGGATTATACGCGTAGTGCGTGCCTGGGGTGTTTTTGCCTCCAGGCTCGAGGTAGCGGCTTTCGTTGCCCAAGATGACCAAAGTCGAGCCTTGGGGCAGAAATTGAGGCGAGAAATTGAGAATGGCTAGAGTCTTGATATCGTAGGAGTGCAGGCGGGCGTTGGAGCTCTGGAATAGGTAGACGCGGATGAATGAGAGAAAGAGTGAATACTGCATGGGTGCTTACGCCTAGGATCCGCTCTGCCGAGGAATCTTGTTCCGCGCGCTGGGCCCATTCTGCGTTGTCGCGTTCGAGCTGTCCCTTCAGCGCAATCAAGTCGGCAAGGGGCACTGTGATGCAGTATACGTTGAACTCTTCGAGCGTTCGGGCCAATGTCGCATTCACTAAGCACGTCGTATCAGCAATCATGGAGCCGTGTGACAGGATGGAAGCTCACAAAAAATCGCATTCGTGGGGCTTTTGAGCTTGAAGGTTTGCTGATTGCCGGCGAATTTCTGACGAGTGGCGAGTGTTTCCTGATTGGCATGGTTCATCAGTATAGCATAGCATGAGCATTGCGAATAACACCCACGAATGCCTGATACTGCTCCACTTCTCTTGCATTCCTGCGCCGGGGAGGAGGGATGAGGTATACCACGCAAAGATCAGCAACGGGGAAGCCCGTCACAAAGCATCGCTTGTCCAGCTTCAAGAGCTGCCTCCCCTCACCCGTCGACGAGGGTGGCACATACTGCCATGGTTCCGGGCACTCAATATAGTCCAGGATTGTTTCTGTATGCGTGTCAGTGACTTGACCAAGGTGGTTGACGTACGTGGAGCGTTGGCAAGCCTCAAGGACCTCACCTTCATGATCCGTTTCGGCCATTGCAGCGATGAAGGTAGACGCTCGACTCTGGGCTTCCGAAGGTACGGTGGGGTCTCTGTTGTGGTAGGAGACGCAGACTGGGGGTAAGAGGCAAGATAGGCGCCGTTAGCGAGGCGTGACAGCGAAGTTCGAATTCTACGGCTCATCGGCCCGATTGCTAGCAGTGCCGAGCTCGCTCACCGCAAAACGCGATGAGCGTGTAGGCAACAGCTAGCGTGATATTCGGTCGCGCCTTCATTATACACTGTCGCGCACGGGAGACATTGCGGTAGGATTGTTGATTGTAGCCAAGAGCTAGCGTCAGCAGGACTTTCTTAGCCTGTCGCACTTCCGGGCGTGGCGAACGACTTGACTGATGTTCTTCTCTCGGCCTGACGGCAGCTCGCGAGGTCATGCAAGCGCGTCAAGCTAATCACCGAGCATGAGCCTGCTCAGTTCCCCAAACGGCCAAGTCTTTCATGTCCGTTCGGAGAACGTGCATAGCCTCTACCCTTCATGGTGTTGCCGGCATGAAGACTCCGTTTACGTCCTGTAAGGACGCTGAGAAGCTGCATCTCAATCACGGCTCTTCCCCTACCTACACCAAGCACCGTAGATTGCTCCTCCGCCTGCTCATCGAGGTGGGCGTCCGCAAGCAACGCTGGAAGGCGGCAACGACGGCGCCGGCAATTGCCGAGTCGTCCTCTGGAAGCGAATTCTCGGACGTTGCCTGATCCCAGGTTGAGACGAGCGCTCACCGTCCCTCCGTTCGTTTCCCCTCCCCACTTTCCTTCTTTCTGGTCATGGTCACTCGTTTCTATCTTTTGGCTGTCGCCGCCTCTTCCCTCCTGGTTTCCGCAGTCAAGGTTCCGCTCAAGCAAACGAAGCGAACGGATCGGCTCGACCGGCGCAATGGCAACTCCAACTTTAAGGTCCTCGCGGCAGCTGCAGGCGACGGCGATGACAGTGGCCTGCTTGACCTCGAGTGCGTGAGGGTGGGGATGTTTGGGGGCCTGGCTGAACGAGCGATAGCACTGTTCACGACTTGATTTACATGTCCGACGTGAGTAGTCGTGCTGAATCTGTGTAGGCGTTTCTGACCTCTCGCAGATCAATGTCGGGGGGAATGGTCAGTAGAGAAGAAGTATAGGAAAAGAAGATGATGTTGATATGCTGCGCAGACTATGTCGTCCAACTCGACACTGGCTCCTCGGACTTGTGGATCAAGGGCGACACCTATCCCCTCCCCAACTCGGACATCTCTGTGCGTACAGTCACAAGTTCTCTTGCTACCTCACTGACCCCCCTCTAGGCTTTGTCCGTCAATGTTACCGTGAGCATACTTCACTTGATACACCCACGCCTCCTCACTATCTGTAGTACGGTATCGGCTGGTGCAACGGCTCTATCGCCTTTGCAGACGTGGAATTCGCAAAGTACGTGCCACATCAAACCTCCCCTGTCCTCGCTCACCGTTCATGCAGTATATCCGTCTCCAAACAAGCATTCCTCGACGTCTCCACCGCGCAGAGCCCCGCACTCTCCTACCAAGCCGACGGCATCCTCGGCCTCGGCTTCACCTCCCTCTCTACCATCGACTACGCGCTCAACTCCACCGGCTCTGACAAGGGCCGCAGCCTCCTTTACAACCTCTTCGAGGACAACCCCAACGAACCCAACTTCATCTCCTTCCTGATGCAGCGCAGCACCGACGACTCGGACGACATCGAGGGCACATTCACCATTGGCGAATACGTCGACGAGTATAAGGACGTGCAGAAGCAGACGGCGATCCCTACGTTCCCTGAGACGGCACCCACGCGCTGGACCGTGCTCGTTGACTATCTGTTCGTCGGTGACGATACGATTTCGCCAACGACTTCGGTTCCGGGCGTGCAGGTCAACCAGGCGGTTGCCCTTCTTGACAGCGGCACGTCTTATACGTGAGTTTCTACCGCTCACCGAAGTCTATATATACCTAACAAGAACAGGTATGCACCGGACGACATCGTTGACGCTATCTACAAGGGCGTGGATGGCGCGCGCTTCGACTCAAGCTTGGGTCAGTGGGTCGTGCCGTGTGATGCTGAAATCGACATGGCTCTTCAGATTGGGTGCGTGCACAGTAGCGAGTATACTGAACTCCCATTGAAGTTCCTACAGCGGCCAGGTCTTCCCTCTGCACCCGCTCGATGTGACTCCTACTGGCTTGACTGACCAGAACCAATGTGTCGGTTCCTTCGTACCCGGCTCGCTCGCTGTCGCCGAAGGAAACTTGTATGTATCCTCCTTGTTGATGCAGCACTTGCTGACTGCTTTCTAGCGACTGGCTCATCGGCGACAACTTCCTTCGCTCCGTTTACTCGGTCTACGACTTCGGTGACTTCGACAAGGACGGCAAGATGAGCGATCCCTACGTCAAGATGCTTTCAATCGTTGACCCGAACGAGGCCTCGAAAGAATTTGCCTCTCAGCGCAATACCAGCCCTCGCAGCGGCATCTCTTACTCAGCTCAAAGCGTTGAGCAGGCGTCCATGTCAGTCACCGTGTCTGGCGATGTCGCCAGCACGCTCGACAAACTCACCACCTACCTCCCCGCCATGCTTGCCATCATGGCGCTCAACGCGGTCGTTCTTCTCGCTCTTGGCGTCTCTGGCATGGTCTATCTCTGCCGCCAAAAACGCAGGAGATCCGTCATGGGTCGTACCGGACGTCGTATGAGCCCTATGCCCATGAACCCGCGTCACAGCTACATCGCTGGCGTCCCCGCGCACGAACAGCCACACTCGTACGAGCCAGTCAGCATGGCCATCACCGAGGACACCTTCGTCGCCCCATCCCCGCGCTACATGGAATTCGAGGGCGGGCGGCCCAAGAGCGTGCGCAGCGCGAGCATGAGCATGGACAAGGGCCGCATCGGCGACATCCCGGAGGAGCCGGAGAGCCCGACGGAGGCGACGCCGGCGCTCGCTGAGGAACGGCAGCGCACTGCGCCGACGCGCGCGCCGCCACCGCCGCCGATCACGCCACCTAGCCCGGGCTTCATCCAGCACGAGGAGCATCAGCAGGAGGAGGATATCGGGGGCGAGACGCACGAGGCGCCGCCCTCGTCGCCGATCTCGATGCGCCCGCCCTCGGGTCTGCAGGCGCCCATGACCCCGCGCACGCCGAGCTTCTTGCAGAGGCAGATGCAACAGCCGCAGGGTGCGCAGGACGATGGTGAACTCCTGCCGCCTCCGCGTCGTAGGTTTATGCCTGGGGGAGGTTCCCTTCAGCCGGGCGACCGGCCGCGCAGCGTCGCGGTCCCCCACTTGAGGGCGCAAGCCTCTCAGCAGGACAGGCCTATGTCCTATGCCGCGTAGGCGTGCAGTACGGCCTATGCCTCCCACCTTCTTGACTTCCATCCCATCTTGACTCGTCCCGCCTTTCGCCTCTTGCTCCCGCGTCACGCTCCTCATGCTCTCTTCGGCCACAGGCCTCGACCCGTGTTTTCGTTTTGGTTGTGTACTCAGATGTCTCTGATCTACGATGGCCCACTGATTCCGCACGGACGTGCATCTCCCCTGTTGTGCCCTAATACCGCCGTACGATAGCCTTGCCATTGGGACGTTCGGACTATAGTTTCTTTACTACGGATCTCTTACCATGCCAATGAGCATTCACTGGATTGTTCACCGAGATACTAACTTGTGAGATTTGAAGGAGTAGATAGCATACTCTATAGCAATGTCAAGTAGGTATCTTCCACTGCCTTTGACCATCGCTCGAACTCGAACTTCAACCGTCCGGCTACCAGATCGGGTGAATATGTGGCGTCTGGGGATCCCCGCACTCCGGGAAGTCGGCAATCCAATGCCGAGCCGGCAAGCTGGCTGCCCCAACATACCGCCGCCTATACGTCTTCCGCCTCCCATTCGGATTCCGCGTCCTGGCCGCTTCCTTCTTCCTTCACCCTCTCACCGTCAGCCATGGCCTCCCGCTCGACGATCTTCCGTCTCATCAACGCGTCGCAGCATAGCGCGTCTTGCCCCTGTCATGGTGGGAAGCCCCACGTACACCTCCCTCAACAGGTCGCGGCGGTTGGCCAACTGAGGAAGCTGGCGACTCCTGTGCAGAACGTGGAGAAAGAGTACGCTTTCGAGGTGCGTAGTAGCGTGTAACTACGCGCTCGGATGATTTATCTAGGTCTCTTCGTGCAGGTCGCGGCGTCGAACTTGCGATTTGGAGACGGAGTGACGGCGGAGGTCGGTATGGACCTGAAGAACCTGAAGGCGACCAAGGCGCGTGCTGAGACCGTGTCTGCTGAAGGGTAGCTGAACCGCTTACAGGTCGGCGTCTTCACGGATCCCAACATCGGTACGTCCTTACCCCGCCTTACGTGCTCGTCCGTCATCTGACGCACCCCTAGCGAAGCTTCGCCCCATGCAAGCGGTATTCTAGACTTCCCCATCCCATGCGACCTTTCTCACCTCGCTGCAGACCTTGCAATCGCTCGAGTCGCAGACCGACTTGCCGTTTGAGGTGTACGACAGTGTCGTAGCCGAACCGACGGAGGACAGCTGGCGCAAGGCCATTGAGTGGTCTCGCAAGCATGACTTCAGTCACTTCCTCGCGTGCGTATGCATTGCTCGGTCTCAGGTCGGGCATAGCTCACGCTACTCACAGTGTGGGAGGCGGAAGTGTCATCGACACGGCAAAGGTAGGGAGTTCCCAGTCGTCGTGTCCTTTCCTTCGTACTAATTGTGTAACCTCAGGCAGCGAATCTGTAGGGCTTCTCGCAGCAAGTCCGCGATTTTAGACGCTGACTACTCCTCTCATGCTTCAGTTTCAGCGTCTACAAAGACGCGGACCTTTTCGACTTCATCAACGCACCTGTAGGGAAGGGTACACCGGTGTCGGAGAAGCTGCGACCACTCATCGCGATCCCTACGACTGCTGGAACCGGCTCAGAAACGACTGGCGCGGCCATTGTTGACATCACCAGCCGCGCGTTTAAGACCGGAATCGCAAGCCGGGCTTTGAAGCCTTTGCTCGGGATAGTGGTGAGTGCGCATATATTTCACGGATGAGGAAGTTGCTCACTAGGATCAGGACACGCAAAATACCGAGTCGTGCCCTACGCAGGTGCACATCAGCTCAGGACTGGACGTGCTTTTCCACAGTTTGGAGAGTTATACTGCCATTCCGTGCGTACCTGCTTCTATCTCCTGTGCCGCACAGTGATTCTGACACCTGCCAGGTACTACGAGCGCACGCCGCGTCCGTCAAACCCCATCAACCGACCTGCATACCAGGGCAGCAACCCTGTTGCGGATATCTTCTCCTTCTGGGCGCTCCAGACATGCGTGAACAACCTGCCGAGAGTCGCGAAGAACAGGGACGATGAGGAGGCAAGGCGGGCGATGCTGTCAGTATCCAAGTTCTGCTCATCGCAAAGAAGGAGAACTAACGCGCGCTAGGCTCGCCTCTTCGTTTGCCGGTATCGGCTTCGGGAACGCTGGCGTGCACTTGTGCCATGGGATGAGCTATCCGGTGCGTTGAGACGATACCAGCACGCACCACCGGCAAAGGTGCTAACCGCACGCAGATCTCCGGCCTGAATAAGAAGGGCCCCAAGTACAAGCACCCAGGGTACCAAGTCGACTGGCCCATCGTGCCACACGGCGTTAGCGTCGCGCTTACTGGGCCTGCTGGTGCGTAATGCGGGTGGATGCGTCCGTTGTCCGTGCTGATCGTTTACTTTTCAGTCTTCCAGTTCACCGCGCCGTCAAACCCGCAGCGGCATCGACAGGTGCTCTCTGTCTTCCACAAGGTACCGGAGAACGATCCCTCGATCGCGCGCATCCCGGATGAGGACGTGGGGCTGCATCTGTATGAGGCGATTGCGCGGTTCTTGGACGGGCTGGGGGTGCCGCGGGGGTTGAAGGCGATTGGGTAGGTGCTGCTTGTTGCGGCTCCGGTGATCTTGCTGACGCGTGCATAGGTACACGAATGCAGATGTGGAGGCGCTGGTCGAGGGCGCGATCCCGCAGCGGCGTGTGCTGGACCTTGCGCCTGGTATCGGCGATTTTGTTGGCGAGGATGGGCGGATTCATTTGACGAAGATAATCGAGCAGAGCATGGAGTACTGAGGGGATATATGGACACGCTCAATTTACCAATGTATCTACGCGTACGCATGAATGCAAGAACCAACGCAGGACCTCAGAACGATCAGGACGCTTGAAAGCTTTGCTGGAAAAGCGTGGAGACGAACCCTGGTGTTACCGGAAACCCCCGCTATGCGTGCACAACCTGCGCCTCGCGTGCCCAAGCCATGGTCCGTGCGCGTATGTTCCTCCTCATAAGCACTCCCCCTGCACCCCGACTCCTCACCACTCTGGCCTTTTGGCTTAGATCAAGTGTAGTATCTGTTCTTAAAAGTTTAACCACTTTTACCGAAGCACCGCTTCGTGTTATGGTTATCCAATTTTTGTCGCCCCTGTTCCCTGGGCTCTGCTTGCAACCTGGGGACGCGATGACCTTGCCGCTGCAGTACAGGCTTGTGTTGTCGGGGGAAACCTCTCATACCCTCTCCCTTTGAGCTTCGTTCGATCCGCTTGTCTCTAGGCGAGCGGAGGGCGGGCGCAAATGGATTGGTTACAGCTATATGTCGCGGTATCGTACATGCATTCAATCCTGGAATAGGCAGCCTATATGTCTATGGCTCCTACACATGTATCGCTTCCTTTGGTTGACTCCCATATTGATTTCGGCCTTCCAAGTTCGTGTCCTTGAAGTACCAATTAAGCGGGAGTGTCCGAAGAAGCATACATATATAGAGCACGTCGAAGGGACAAGAGCTCGCTGTAACATGGCATAGCTGGAGGTCTGCTGTACCGTGCATGCGCTGAGCCAGTTTGTTGCACCAAGTCAACGAAGTTGAACTGTGACGGGACCGTGATCATGGCACGTGTTTCACGTGGACCGGTGGCGCGCCCTTCCTGGTTTTCACCGCCATCAGGCTTGTATGGCTCGATTCGTTTTGTCTATTAAATACAGCACGCTCTTCCCTCTCAAGTGTCATGATGCATCGGGTTGCATTGTCAAATGTCTGCGCTTTTGGGTGCCTATCGCCGAGGCTACTTCGCCCTAGATGGTGCAGAAAGCCGTACTCCTTCCTGAGATGCGCTACACGCCCAGCATCCTTCCGCCACCCACGGTAGGGAACTGGACAGCTGCATGCGTAGCAATACTGACAGCCCGAGGCACTTTGCGGTACTGAGGTGCACCAATCGGTCCCTCGATCACCTGCTGCCCTCTCATGCCTTCTGAAGAATACGTCCAAGGCCGGCCTTACCGACCTCGTATCTGCCGCTAGCATTCGCAGCATGCTGTGCTATCTTTGACCTGCAGAGACTACGGTCGATCTCGATGATCAATCGTGGAGGATCGCCTTCGCCGGTCAATTGCAGAGGCCCGTTGGCCTAATCCGTAGTGCCTCCTTACTCACGCCTAGTAGGTCTAGCTCGACACGAGGTCTCTATCTAATACTCTCTGTTCTCCCTCGGCGTTTATACCATCAGCAGGTGTGTTGTCGCTTCATGAAGATGCTTGCTGATCCCAGAAGCCATTCATTCAGCAATGGACGTCGGCCAGGGCAACTTCCTCCAGATAGTAGGCCCGATGGAAGCCATTGTCCCCTCATATATAAGTTCGTAGGCGGTTCATACCATCGTCCTCGTCACTCAGCCATGCTCCCACAGATTCTCGTTGATATTCCGAACACGGCCTACCTGGTTGGCGCGCTCGTGGTAGTTGCCTACCTGGCCTTCCTCGCCATCTACCGCTTGTATCTTTCCCCTCTCAGTAATATTCCCGGGCCTTGGTACGCGGCCGTAACGGACCTCTGGCTAACTTCGCACATCGCACGACTGCAACAATGCATGACGGTACACAAGCTCTTCGAGGCGTATGGTCCCATCGTTCGTATTGGCCCGAACCGTATAGCATTCAAGGATATGGCCGGCGTCAAAGCAGTCTACTCGGTGCTCAAATTCGACAAGGGCCCGTCATACCTCAAGCTGAAGACTGCGTAAGTGGCGATCCTATAACAATGCGCGTAGCTAAACCTGATTTTGGGTAGGGATGATGCAGACCAGGCGTGAGCGCCCTTATCAAGCGTCTGATTTTCCGTGTCTAACTGAATGCGATAGAATGACGATTTTGGAGCACGGACCTCATAGCGCTCGCCGAAGAGCTTGGGCGTCGCACTATACAATGACCAGCTTACTCAAATTCCAACCCATCATGGGCAATGCCGCGCGAGGTTTGATTTTGGTGAGGATACCACAAAGATCCTGTGCGCATTGCTGATTTTCGTCGCCCAGGCCGTCGACTCTGTAGGTGGCAGACGCTCTGTCGATTGCCTCATCTTGTTCCGGCACTTTACCATTGAAGTCATCATGTCTGTTCTTTTCGGCTGTCATCTCGACGTGCTCAAGGACTGGAGCGAGGGGAAGGAAGTTGCCATCTGCGAGGCGATAGGCGACTTCCCTCTGCAGGTCACTTTGGTGAGCGAGCCGTTCATCTAAACAATACCTTTGACTCATCTATTTTTAAAGCGCGGAGCTGTACCATCCTGGGTATGGTATCTGGCGTGCAGGATTCCGCAACAGAAGTGGCAGAAGGTCATAAGAGCGGACATGACCGTGGTCGAAGTACGTGCAGAACATGTCATGGTGGACTAGGAGATCTGAACCCAGCGTACCAGTTCGCACAGGAGAACCTCAATAAGTTGCGCCACCTGGCCGATGCGACTAAGGATGACGGAGGACAATTACCTCTCATCCTGCGCCTATTGCAGTATCGCGACCCGGTCACGGGCTTGTCGACGTTGCAAGAGAAGGAGATCATCGCTGAGGCCGTCGGTCACACGTGCGTCCATCGAGCGAGAGGCGCGAGGAGCGGCTCAATGACATGCATTACACAGGATCGCAGGTACTGACACGACAGCGACGACGCTCTCTTACTTGTGCTGGGAGCTTGGGCGTCGACCGGATATCGCGGCAAGGCTGACCGCCGAGCTCGACGATGCCATGAACGACCCGACGAGTGTGCCGGACATGTCGGTGCTGCAGTCTCTGCCATATCTTAACGCCTTCGTGAAGGAAGGTAGACTGCAGAACCGCGAGATGCACCATTCTTTTTTTAACGGTGATCCTGCAGGCCTCCGCATCTACGGAGCAGGACCAAGCCTACTAGAACGCGTCGTGCCTCCCGCAGCTGAGCCGTTCAGCATCGCAGGCCACACAATCCCCGCCGGCACGCGCGTAGCCACTCAGGTGGGCTCGACCGTCTTCAGATTCACCGGCAACCAGCTGAAGATGCCCTTACAGTCCTGGAGCCTCCACCGCGATCCTGCCGTCTTCCCTTCTCCCGAGAGGTTCAACCCCGAGCGCTGGCTCGCCAAAGACATCGGCGCCATGATCGCCAACCTCAACCCTTTTGGCTTCGGCACGCGCGTCTGTGGCGGGCAGAACCTGGCGCAGATCATGTTGCGCATCGGTGTGGCGGTGATTGCGAGGAACTTCCGCATCGAGGTGCCCGCAGAGACGACGGAGAAGTCGATGGCGATTCGGGATGCTTTCGTGAGCTCTTTGTCGGCTGAGAAGACGGGACGGGAGGTTGAATGGCTACGTTACAGGTCATATTCCCGGCGGCCATGGAATGCAAGGTATGTCGGCGTCTTAATTGATGGAATCGTTCCCTGACGATCCCTTACAGCTTATATTCCATCCTCGTACACATACATGAGATCACTGTGGGTCATAAAGACGCTAAACAATACATGTTTCATCTCCCAGCGGAGGCCGAGTCGTATGTTCGTCTCTCGATAACAGCCCTTCCCAAGCCGGCCAAGACCAGTCAACATAATCCTATCGTTTTCCCCGAGATACAACTTGGCCGGATGACTACTCAGCTTTCGCAACCCTCGCGCGCACTATTCAGAACGCTTTCTTCATGGGGCGCGAACCCGATCAGTCCTATTGATGACCCACTTGAGCGTACCTCCCACGCCGCAAGCATCTGAGAGAACACGTTGCGTCTCGACACTCGCTATAAGAGTAAGCCATGGCACGCCTGACCACATCTCTACGTGCGATCTAACTCTACTTCTCATGGAGCTGACCGGCCTTCCACAGACCTTGACTGCGTCATCATATATTGTTGCATCGGTCGTGACCCTATTAGCGGGCTATCTAGCCTCTGTGGCGACCTATCGCCTCTTCTTCTCACCCCTCAGCAACATTCCTGGGCCATGGTTCGCAGCTGTCTCCGACTTCTCGCTCACCACCCACGTCGCGCGACTGCAACAATGCATGGTCGTGGACACGCTCTTCAAGAAGTACGGTCCCATCGTGCGTATTGGGCCGAACCGTGTTGCTTTCAAGGACATGGCCGGCGTGAAGAACGTTTATTCTGTATATAAGTTCGATAAGGCACCGTCCTACCTCAAGATGAGGAGCACGTATGTGTTCAGACGAGGTTGAGGCTAGCGATTGGCTGATGGAAGTTTACAGAGACGATGCGGATCAAGCGTGAGCTGTGAGCCTTCGCGAAACGAGGGTACTTGTGTTGACCCGCGCAGAATGACCTTCCTCGACGCAGCTGCTCACGGTGCACGACGCAAGACATGGGGGTCTCACTATACTGTGGGACATCTGGCCAAATTCCAACCCGACATGCAGGATGCCGCGCATCAACTTATCGAGGCTACTGCTTCCTTCGGCGGCAAACGCCCAATCGACTGCTTGGTACTATTCCGCCACTTCACTATCGAGATCATCATGGCGACCATGTATGGTTGCCGTCTCAATGCACTTAAGAGCTGGAGTGCAGGAGTAGAGGTTCCGATATGCGAGGCTATAGGGCATTTTCCGCTAGCAATCACTTTGGTACGTCCGTGTCTTTATCGCTACTGGGTTGCATTCATACAACCCGTGCAGCGCGGCGCCGTCCCTGATTGGTTATGGAAACTGGCCTGTCGCATCCCTCATCGCGGGTGGCAGAAAATATGCAGTTCGGGTAACGCAAATCTTGAGGTGCGACCAAAACCGCCCCAGACTGGTCTCAGTCTTCCGGGTGTACTCACGGCAATATACAGTTCACTCGCAAGCACCTGAAGGATCTCCGTCAGGTCGTAGATTCGGGGAAGGATGTAGACGATGAGAAGATCCCCATGGTCCTCCGTCTGCTGCGATACCGCGATCCTGCCACGGGATTACCGGCTTTGCAAGACAAGGACATTGTCGCTGAAGTCCTTGGGCACACGTACGTCTCTTCCCTCAGCCTTGATGAGAGATATCCAAAGTGATAATTTCAGGATTGCGGGCACAGACACTACGGCAATTACCTTGTCGTACTTCTGCTGGGAGCTCGGTCGGCAACCAGACATCGTCAAGAAGCTTCGCGCGGAGCTTGACGGTGTCATGCACGACTCGATGGATGTGCCAGATATTGCCACCCTGCAAACGTTGCCCTACCTGAATGCATTCTTGAAGGAAGGTGAGAGGAGCGACACCGGTACTGCAATTGAACTGCCCTTAATCGACGCAACTCCAGGTCTCCGCATCTACGGCGCTGCTCCCAGTCTGCTAGAGCGGGAGACGCCGTCCGAGAAGGAGCCATTCAGCATTGCTGGGTACACGATACCGGCGCACACAATTGTGGCCGCGCAGGTCAGTCGTCGCCACATGTGCCCTCGTCGACTTGCTGACAATAATGTCTTCGCAGGCATGGAGCCTCGGTCGTGATCTCGCTGTCTTTCACGAGCCAGAAAGTTCGACCCAGAGCGCTGGTTAGAGGGCGACTCCACCGCGATGAACGCGCAGCTCTTCCCCTTTGGCTTCGGCACCCGCGTCTGCGCTGGCCAGCATCTCGCGCAAATTATGATGCGGATGGGTTTGGCTGCAATCGTCCGGAACTATGACATTGAGATTCCTCCCGAGACGACGGAGAGGTCGATGGCGATATGTGATGCATTTGTACGTCGTCCGAGCGTGCATCGAGGTAGAGCGCCATACCAGACTGACTGGTCGCGTCGTAGGTCATCTTTCCAGCGAGTATGGCTTGCAAGGTGATCATATCTTGTGCTCTACAAGAACATCTCCTGACCAATGACCCAGCTTGTATTTCGTCCACGCACCCCGGCGTGAACATTTAGAGAGGGAAGGTGGATAGCTGACTGCCAGTCTGAATATCACTGAATTGGCTTCTGCGATGTCCGCTATTTCGAGAGTACTATAAGCTGCACAATTGAAGCCGAATTTCTAGCAGTGATTTCTCCAACGGCGCGGAAAGGGAGGTCAGGCAAGTTGTGGGTCCAGCCTAGCATCTAAACCGGAGTTTGCCGAACGCTGTACAGTTTGTCTCATCACGTGCACGGTATCGAGATTTGTGCTCGCCCTCGTCGTCGCCAGGTCAGTCGTCCATCAAGGTGGGTACCGAATTGCTGCTCGTCGTCGGCGTTGTCAGGGACCTGCACATCACACTCCCCATTCTTCCTCAACTCTCGCAAGACTGAAGTCCATGCGCTTTCCCTGTCTTGAACGATGAGGAAGCCATGATCGGGCTTATATGCCTACCCCAATCCCCTCGATCCTGCGCATTGCTCGCCCAAAATACACCTTGGAACCTTTGGTCTGACTGCTGTACCTCAGATCCCCCTCGTCCGCCTTCAAAATGTCTGGTCGCGTCAAGGCGTACGAGCTTCAGTCCAAGTGCGTATCCAGTTGCATCTGCATCGTACTTGTATGCTAATCGCCAGCCCAGGTCCAAAAATGATCTGTCGAAGCAGCTGCTGGAGTTGAAGAACGAGCTCCTGACGCTCCGCGTGCAGAAGATCGCTGGTGGCTCCGCGTCGAAGCTCACCAAGATGTGCGTCTGCAGTGTTATTCCATGAATGAACTTTGGATGCTAATATGGGCTTGCAGCAACACTGTCCGCAAGTCGATCGCGCGGGTGATGACGGTCATGAACCACAAGGCGCGTCAGAACACGCGCGAGTTCTACAAGGGCAAGAAGTACCTCCCCCTCGACCTCCGGCCAAAGCGGACACGCGCCATCCGCCGGCGCATGACGAAGGTGCGTCAGCCAGCATTTCTTTCGAATTGCAGTCTCAGCTAACGTTCTGCCTTTCCTCAGCACGAGTTGTCATTGAAGACGCTGAAGCAGACGAAGCGCGAGCAGAACTTCCCCCGGCGGAAGTACGCGCTCAAGGCCGAGTAGATGCACTATCTGCGCTGAGCGTTTCTGCATTGAGGGGAGCCCACTGGGAGGATGGGAAGCTGTATGCCGCGTTAGCGACCGACCACTATGACTTTGTATGCTATGATATGCTATACGTTCGCCGCCCGCCGCACCCACCCTGCGATCGTCCTCATCGTGCGTCTTGTCTGCTCTGCATTGCAGTATGCAGCTGGAATGTATCACCGGTAGGGTAGGAATATGTTGTATCGCCGGCCTGAGCGTCGTCAGGCGTTGCGCAATAGGGGATGCAGATGCAATCTGACCAAAACTGTTGAGACAGCTCGCGAGGCGCCGCCGAAGTCGGCAGTCGATTGGCGTCATGCTGACCCGCGTGTCGCGCGTCTTTTTTGCGCGCTCTTCGCCGTCTCGCCACCGCCACGGACCGTCGAGGACAAACAAGGCGACACGCCACACGGCAGACGCGTTCTTGACCTAAATTATCGCGCGTACTTCATCTCGAGATATCTATCGGCGCATTCCTTGCCTCCTGCTCCCATCCTCTCATTCGTGCAAAGTGCACGGCAGATCAGGTCACTCTGAGGTTCTCGTTCTTTGAACTTCTATCGACGTTTTCCCGGCGGCGGGCGCACGGCAGCAGTCTCCTTACGACCACGGACCATACGACGACTCGTTCACGCTTTCTGACGTACCTTCATGGTGAGTTTTCGCTGGTTCCCCGCCCCGTGTCTGTGCTTTCCCAGCCCATTCAAAGGCAGCTGTACCAAGTGGTCGTCCGAGGCATGAGATGATGGAGCGCGGTCTGGTGGCTCATCAGCAGCCGCACGTGTGCTAGGCTGCTTTCTCGCCTTTCGGTTGGCTATCAGCGTGAGGTTGCTGATGACGCGCCGCTGATATACGCTTGACTTCCCCTTCCATGGCGCCGGGATCGAAACTCAGACGGCGCTCAGATGCTAACGTTGTCGTCCCCCAGTCCCGCGCTCAACAGCAGCAGCCGCGGTCCCCCGCGTCCCCGACGCCAGAGCGCATGCGCGAGCCGTACCCGATACCCAGCAGCAACCCTGCCAGCCAGTATACCCTGCTAGAGAAGCTCGGCACGGGCAGCTTCGGCACGGTCTACAAGGCCATCCACAATGAGACGAAGCAGGTGGTGGCTATCAAGCAGATAGGTGCGTGGCCACGCTATGCGACGAGCCCAGACCCTGACATGGCGACAGATCTCGAGGACTCGGACGACGACATTTCTGAGATCCAACAAGAGATTGCGAGTCTGGCGCAGTGCGAGTCCGAATATGTGACGCGCTACTATGGCTCCTTCGTCGTCGCATACAAGCTCTGGATCGTCATGGAGTACCTCGCCGGTGGTTCTTGCCTCGACCTTCTCAAGGGCGGTGTATTCTCCGAGGCGCACATCGCTGTCATTTGTCGTGAACTCCTCCTCGGTCTCGACTACCTGCACTCTGAGGGAACGATCCACCGTGATATCAAGGCCGCCAATGTCCTCCTCTCATCCTCTGGCAAGGTCAAGCTGGCCGACTTTGGTGTCGCAGCACAGCTCACAACAACCCTGCGCCACACTTTCGTGGGTACACCTTTCTGGATGGCGCCCGAGGTCATTCGACAAGCGGGCTACGACTCGAAGGCCGACATGTGGAGTTTGGGCATCACGGCTATCGAGATGGCGAAGGGGGAGCCCCCGTTAGCCGAGTACCACCCCATGCGGGTACTGTTTCTCATCCCGAAGGCGAAGCCGCCAGTACTCGAGGGTCCTTTCTCCGTCGCCTTCAAAGACTTTGTCAGTCAGTGCTTGACGAAGGACCCCAGTTTGGTAAGTCTTTGACCACTAGTGCTTCTTAGCGTACGCATGCTGATGAAATGCCGTTCCAGCGTCCGAGTGCGAACGAGCTCCTGCAGCACCGTTTCATTAAGAGCGCGCGCAAGACGTCGTACTTGACGGAGCTTATTGAGCGGTACACGGACTACCGGGCGCGCTCGCCCAAGGGACAGCAGATGTACCAGCCCACTGTGCGGAACAGTATGGCCTGGAACGGCTCGATGCGCAGCGAGTGGGACTTCGATACCATTCGGAGCAGCACGAGTGCGATGGGCACGTACCGGACTATGGCCAAGGACCTCGAGATGCCCCCTGGTATGGTCCCCGAGGAGGACGAGGACACCATCTCGATAGGCTCGGAGGCTGCGACGAAGGGCAGCGGCCCGATGTCGTTAGGCATGAACGCGGACGCGCTGCATTCGACCGTGGTAATCAAGGGCACACCGACGGAGAGGGATGTGCCGCAACTGTCGAGCGACGATGGCTCGTCCGCCGACACGCACGCGCCGTCGACACCAACGGACGACTCCACCCCTCCACCGGCCTACAACTCCGGCTCGATGCGCTCGTCGCAGCGGAGGTCATCATATGCTGAGCGAAGTGCGAAGGACGGCATGGGTCATGCTTTACGGGAAGCGGACCTGGGTTCGGGCGTGGACACGATCCGCCCGGTGAAGAAGGTGGACGCGGCGGGCTCTCTGAGACTGTCGACGGAGTTCGTGGGCAGCTTGAGGAAGGAGGCAAGCGCAGGCTCGTCGCCCAAGTCGCCGCCGACCACGCATAAGCGGATGGCGAGCGAGGCAGGAAAGGCGGGATCGGCTATTGTCGATGAGGTCGTCTTGCCGATTATCCAGAGGGTGAGTGTAGACGTCTCGGCTTCCAATGCGTAAGCTCACAGCGGTTGTATAGTCCATCCGGGATGATATGGATGCGAGGGAAATTGAGTCGTTGAGCATGCTTTCGCGCGGCTTCACGGAGCTGAAGGACGCGAACCCGGAATTGGCGTACAGGGTCATCCTCGATATCCTCTCGGGTATCAATGAGTGCGTCTTTTCTGTCTAGTATACCTTCCTCCCCGTGCTGATTCACCCTCTCCAGCAACGCGGCCGTCCGAAATCACGTCCAAACCGCGCGCGAGCTCTTCCCGCACAAGCGTGTCCTGCGCAAGAGCGTCATGACCGCCAAAGGCCTTGTCGTAACCGAGGAAGAAGAGCCTGTCGTCGCAGGCTTGCCCACGTCAAGTGAGGCGCCTGTCATCGAGGTCAAGGAGGACGCGCCGAAGAGTCGGTCCCCGATCGCGGAGCTGCTATATATGCGCTGGCTTGAGGGCCTCAAACTGAAGTGGCCGAGCTTGACGTAGACGACGACGATATCATCATCCACATACAACCCCATCGGCGTGTATGTATCTCCTGACGACGCTCTTGTATCCCCCCTCTTGTTGTTGCGATCATTTTTGGGAACTCCGCTGCTTGCTTCATCCTCCTTCCGCTGCTTCATCCTCTTCCATCGCTTCACTTACACCCGTCTACTCGTCTACTGACCAGTTGACTGACTTGCACGGACAGAGTATTTAACACACCTAAGCTATATACGTACCGCTTCACGTCCCTTTCACGCACGATCTTCACGACGCCCCGGTTCGCCTCCACATCTTCCATCGGCTTCGATTTACCTATAAACATACGGCAAAATGCCCACTGACGACTAGCTACAACATAATATGGAGACGTACCCATGATCTCTCGGTTCAGACTCTGTTCGAATCGCTCAAGAGCCCGCTTGCTTGCCATTTCTCAGTACTGTCACGGTTGATAAATGTGACGCCGAACAAAGCCTTCGTTTTCGGGAGCTCCGATCAGTGTTCTTGAATCTCATCATCATCAACTCCAAGTTCAACTTACAACAGTCAGAACGCCAAACTGTCTCCAAACTTCCTAGATATCACTTTGAACTGTCGAATCAATGCCTGGTACATCAAGAAGGCACAGTCTCTTCCGACCGTGCATCGACCTGCATGATGGCCAAGTCAAGCAGATCGTCGGAGGTACCCTCTCAGACAGCGACCCCGAGTCTCTGAAGACCAATTTCGTAGCAAGGTAGATAAAATCTACTCTGTTGCATGTGAAAGACATAATGACTCTGAGATAGCCAGTCTCCCGCAGACTTCGCTCGCATGTACCGCGAGCACGGCTTGGAAGGAGCACATGTAATAAAGCTCGGAAAGGGCAATGACGATGCGGCACGACAAGCACTACAAGCCTGGCCAGGTATGCATTCTCAGTGTTTTCTCGCTATGACTTGCAAGCTCATATCGTAATTCGCTCGCCTTCAGGTGGCCTCCAAATCGGCGGTGGCATTACAGACGAAAATGCATGCGAGTGGCTAGAGGCAGGCGCCAGCAAAGTCAGGTTCGCCCTACATTCTGGTGGTACATATTTGACGTTTTGGATTTGCTCAGGTCATCGTAACCTCTTTCCTCTTTCCTGGAGCGAAATTCTCGCTTGAGAGGTTGCAGAAATTGACCTCTTTGGTGGAGAAGGAACGGTTAGTCGTGGATGTCAGGTAAGAAAACAATCGATACCGGTAGTCTGCGAGGGAGTATACTGAAGTTGTCTCTGACAGTTGCCGAAGACGAGGCGACTCCTGGTTTGTCGCCATGAATAAGTGGCAGGATATCACGGATATGGAGGTTACGAAAGGCAAGTCTCATGAATTGAACCCTTAGAGTGTCAATATGACTGACTTAGTCGTGTAGAGTCGCTAGACATGCTATCTGAATACTGCAGGTACGTCGTCGAGCTCGGCCTATCGTTTGAAAGCCTCATATTCATTCGCTCCAGCGAATTCCTTGTTCATGCCGCCGATGTAGAAGGCTTGTGTCAAGGCATCGATCAGGCGCTCGTTCGAAGTGAGTGACGATATACGTGTCGCTGGAGACGATATAGGACTGATCCGAACGCAGAACTTGGCGAATGGGTGACGATTCCCACTACGTACGCCGGTGGCGCGAAAGGTCTGTCTTCATAGTCCCTCCCACAAGCAAAGCCATTGAGCAGCCTCTACGACCAGACATCAGCGACCTTGATCTCGTCGACTCGTTGTCACAAGGCAAAGTAGATCTGACATACGGGAGGTAAGCACCATCTCAGCCATCTCAGTTGAAGACCTTTCTTGCTGATGCTGTCGGCCTAGCGCGCTGGACATATTCGGTGGCTCGCTTGTACGGTTCCAAGATTTGGTGGACAACAACAACGCCGCGAAGGCTGCCGGTGCTGGCTTATGAAGTGCATGGAACCCTGCGTATATAAATATTGTGTAAAATAGAGAAGATACATGATGGAGTGTTGTATAAGTGCTAGCGAAGCAGGTGGCAAAACGTCCGTACTCTCAAAGTCCCAATGATGATGTAGTTCAACCGATAGAAAAAACCAGCAATACCGTTCAGCTCTGTACCATCAGAGGCGTATCCACTGAATAGTGAAGGGAGAAGACTGAACAATCCTGGGGTGGCTTGGTCCTGACATGGGTTAGTTAGATAAGAACGCAAATCACGAAGAGATTTTCACGTACTCCTGCATGTTCATATACACGCTACCGTCCGGGCACGAATAATACAGCCCTCGATTCGTCCGCTCGCCGAGGTCGTACATGAGTCGCGTGCCCGCCCAGCGCCAGCGGCCGCCCGAGACCGCGTTCGATGGCTCGCCCGCGACGAGTTGCAGTGGCTCATCGGGGCTGGTGGTGCTTGCGTTCACGGTGGCGACGGGGTAGATGAAGGTCTCGTTCACGTAGTTGTACAATTGGTGGCGGTAGATGTAGAAAAGGCCGGGCTGGTCTGTTCCCGGCACGAGGGTGATGTTGCCGGGATAGCCTGCAGGATAGTGAGTGAGTCTACGTCAGGGTCGAGATGGGCGAATGATTCCGCACCTGGCTGAATCGTAGTGAGATGCTTGGAGTGCGCAAGTTGTGGCTGGTACCGGGGGACGTTGGCGATGAGATAGCTGAGTTGACCGGCGAGCGAGGAGTCCGTCGATTGCCGGACGCCAGGTTCCCAAAATGGTATGGCCTGCGCAGGAAGCAAGGCAGAGAGCATGAGAAGGAGAGCGAGAGACAGCGAATACAGCGACATAATTTAGTGGAAAAGCAGATATTCCTGGGACGTCGAAGGCGGATGCGGGGAAACGCGTCAGGCATGCTTCATTGCGCCCTTATATACTCGGTGCTATGGCGTGGGGCTATAGCCGTAGTATGTCGTGGACCATCGTGGAAGGGGGCGGCTAGACGAGGACGGGTCAGGGCCTGGCGATCTTGTATGCGGGCGCAAGGCCGTCCATCCAGCGGGCACGCACCTGGCTGTACCTGAGCGTCGAGATCAGGGATCATGGCTTTCAAGTTGTTGCATGTTCAGCGTGACTCGGAGAGCTGGGGTAAGTACCTTGTAAGAGCGCAGCAGAGCAAGGCATGTCCTCAATATGAATCAAGTCAAGAGCACAACATCAGTGAAGAGAGCAGCGATAGGCCCACACAAGACGATTAGGGTGAAGAATAAGTACGGCAGGAATCAGCGTCCTGTCCTCCGAAAGTTGCAATAGTACACAATATAGAATACAAACGCGGGATATCATGCAGAGAAGGGGTAAGGGTCCGGAAGGAGAGACGAGACGAGCAGCCACCGTCACGACGACGCGCCAAGGTCATGACTTCGCAGACGGCTGCTTCGGCGGCTCGACCATGAACGCCGCAATCTCATCCTCCATATCCGCGAAGACGCTCTCCTGCGGGATCCCGTGTATTCGCCCCGGCTGCTCCGCGTCCTTCTCCTCGAAGATCGCCCCGACTTGGTCGACCCACTCCCGCCGCGTGCGCACCAGCTCCGCGAGCTGCTTGTTCACGAAGAGCGTGTTGTTCTCGTCGGGGCCCAAGCCCAGCGCGGCGGGGCACTGGCTCGGCTCCTCGGGCTCCTCGTCCTTGGGCACGGACTTGCGCTTGTGGTCCTTCTTGCGCTTCTCGCTGGTGCGGTTGATGTCCCGGCGCTGGTAGCGGGTGTAGAGGCCGTTGATGCTGCGGTCGAGGGAGTCGCGGACGTCGAGGTATTCTTGGTAGGCAAGGCGATCGCGGGCGATGGCGGCGAGGCGCGCTTTGCGAGCTTTGTTCGTGGCGGACACGACGCGAAGCTCGGCCTGGGCGTGTCGTAGGGCCGTGGCGATGGGGTCATCGGTGCGGTCGGCGTAGTTTGGCTGGATTCGTGTGAGCATACATATAACCCGAGAAACGATATGAGATACTTACAGTATCCTCCAATAGCCCATGCCATCGCATGGTATCCTTCACCCTTCCTTCCAGATCCTTCACGTTCATCTTCTCCTTCCGCGCCGCTGCTGCCGCACTCCCTCCTGGCCGCCCCTCCATCGCATCCTCCGCAGCTTTCACCCCCTTCCACACCGTCGAGTCGTCCGAAATCAACGCGCTGATGACGCGCTCCGTCAGCGGCCCATGCCCATGGTCGTCCCTCGTCAAGTCCGCGTCCGTCATCGTCGACGGATCCCACGTCGGCACCGGCGCGGTCACCACCGCCGTCGCCGCGTTCGCCTCCTCCGTCGCTGGGTCGACAATGATGCCCTTGTCCTGGTCCGCCCACTGCTCCGTGTACCGTCGCCCCAGATGCGGGATGATGTACGGCTCGATGTCGTCGCCGGGGTACTCCAGATACCCGATATCCTCTTCTCGTATCGGCCGGGTGTAGGGCTCGATGGCGGCGTAGAAGGTCTGGTACGGTATTTGGTTCGAGGGCGTCTTGAGCTTGCTGAAGTCCTCCTTGACATCAGTAGCCTTCAGTGGTAGAGCGCGCAGTTGTGAGCTATTCGCAGGCATGGACTGATCTGGCGGTAATGGTGGCGGTCCAGCTTCTGGTCGTATTGGGAGAAGCGCCTGATAATTAGTGGTATTGGCAGGTAAAGAGAAGTCGACGCCGTTGATAATAGTGCCCTGCTTGGGTTGTGCTGTGGCGGACATGACGGGAAGTACAGTGCGAGGAATGCTTGAAGTGGAGGAGGTAGAAACGAGCTTGGAGGGGGAGGCATGTAAAGCGGGCGAGCCTTTGCGTGGCCGTTGGGAGTCTGCAAAGCAGTGTCAGCAACACATAAAGGGTTGTGCAGGTACAGTATAGCTAACCTGGTGGCTCCAAATCATCGTCCTCAAGGTCTCGTTTCCTCTTCTTTTTCTTCTTCTTTTCCTCGGATCTGCACATGTCACGTGAGGAGAGGAGGCGACGAGACAAGGACCGCCGACGACATACAATCGAGGGTCCACAGATGCACGCGCGGATGAGGAGCTAGCAGCGAGGGGGGTAGATCCTTGACGTGGCTTTGAGGGATGTGATGGTTTTGCGTATTCACTGTCGCGAGGTGAAGCTGAGCCTGTTCCGAAAGTGTAGATGGTAAGCGCGCAGGTTCTAGAGATATGAGAAGATGTACCACATACCATAGTCATGTTCCCTCTTGATCTTATCCACCGAGCGGTTGGCCTCCTTCTCCTTCATCCGGCGGAGAGAATCCTCTACGATCCGCAGGTCGTTCTCGGCCTTGTGCGAGCGCTCAATCACTTTCTGCTTGAGGAGGCGGAGCTCCATGTTCAGCTGCTCCAGCTCGCTTGTGGGAGGGATTACGTCGGGGGGATGGTGCTTGAAGAGCGTTGACCGGACCTCCGGTGGCGGAGCGTAGACAGTAAGTTTGGACATCCTGGACTGAAGTGCAGGCGAAATGGGGAAGGGGGAGTAGCGGAGGGTCCAGCGCGGTACTTCCTGGGCGCGTCTGAGCCCCAGGCCGCGGTCCAAGTCGGTATATCGGTGCGGGGACGCGACGAGTGATATCGGTTACTGTGGCGTCAGACGCGCCAAATTCGCCGCGGAAAGGACTGCAAGAGTCGGGTATATGGTCGCGGAGACGAGTGCAGAGGTCTGACGCGCCGTAGAGGACACGCGTACGGAGGCCGATGATGGTTCAGTACAAGAGAGTCACGGTTTATTGACGCCTATTACCGCGCACCTGATTTCCAATTCACAAGGCGGGGCTACGGGCCGATCGTCCGGAAGTCGAACCATGCACGTGGACGTCGTGGAGGAAGCTTGCACTCGACATGTACTCGATTTAGCGGAACCTTGCCCTCCGGCGGGTCCGATGCCTGAGAGCGAAGGAGGACAACAGCGACGCCGATGAAGCTGAAGGAGAGGGAAATTACCTGAGCAAAGTGAGAAAGGCTTTTGCACCGGCGCCTCTCGTGCTTCTTTGACTCAAGGTATGGATTGCAGAGGCGTTGGCGCTTGTCAATGTCGTGAGTGTTTACAATGATTCTGCTGCAGACCGGCGTCTCCTGATAACCCATATATTCCCAGCGTCCTGTGTTGCTTCCCCTCGCTATCGCATACTTCACCTACTATGTCCAGACGCTGCCCGTCTACCAAAGGCTTTCCGCTGGAAACCCCCAACGTCTTGCTCGCAATCTCACAACGAATGCATTCGCGTCGCCGCATTCGAAATATAACCCCAAATCCTTGCTCATCCCAAAATCTTCTGTCGCTTTCCTTTCACACCCACAAAGGGGCGGCATACCAGTGCCTCCTCTTTCTCTTTTCTGCGCGAACTCCCTCCCCTTCGCGCATGCGAGCGCCCCCGCCCTGTCCGCGTTTTCCAAAATCCCACAACGCTTCCGCGAAGGGGGAGGCACGACGTGCGCCGACGCGAAGTGGAAGGTAGCCCACCTTCCCCCGCAGGGCAAGTCGAGAACGCCTGTCCCGACAAGGAGAAGTGTCTGCCCCAGCCATTTATCCAGACCATGTCTTCTGCATCCTAAGTTTGCTATTCTTCCCTTCCTCCCTCTATTTTCCTTCACCTCGCCTCTCTTTGTCACCCCACACCACTACGAAGGGCGGAATGACCGTGCCCGAGGGAGGAGTATGGGCGGGGTACACAGACACTCAAAGTTTCTTTGTAGGAATGAAATAAGTCGTCATGTATGTGTGGAGAATCGCGTTTTATATGAGAGATCCGCTTCAAATTGAGGATAAATACTTATCTTGCCCAGCGTTTGCTAGCCAATGGGTTGCCCTCCTACGCTATGCAATAATGATCAAAGGGAAGCACGAAAGCAGATCGTATACGAGACGTCGACATGTAAATTACATGTAAAAGTGAGTGGATCATTCCACTACTGTAATCAGTTGATCTCTGCTGGAAGGCTCTTGTTTCTTGTATGTCAGCTTACACCTCAAGTCCGACCACATAGGAGAGAGCACATAGCACAGGGCTGCGGCGTCTTCGAGCGCACCATCTCACACGTCACAGTCCATATGCCAATGCTCTCCCAGGAGAGGGCGCCTAAAATGGTATAAGCATTGTAACTTCCCGTCCATCCATCCATCCATCCGTGTAAGCAACGTCACCAGGGAAAAAAACAAAATTGAAAAGGGATCCTAGGGATCTGTAGCGACTGCACGTACATACCCAACTTTGTAGCGCTGGAATATTCTCAAGACGAAAGCAAACGCAACGGTGGATTGGAAACCAAGCGCTTGGCCTACTTTCGGCAGATGCCGAATTCTGATGTCGGCGGGCAGGTTGCACCCATCGTTGACTTCGACGGCGACGACAACGACGGCAAGCTCTTTCAGCACGCACACACATGTTTCCGGGGTAGCATGGAGCCCTCCAACTCCTCAGGCTCCAGTGGATCCGGCAAGGTTTCCGGTCCCTTCGCATACCAGACGCGTCTCCTCGAGCGAACTTCTTCGACGCGCGGCGGCGCCGGGACACTCGCGCGAAGCAACTCGCAATCCACGGGCCTGCTGAGCCCAAACGGTACGGGGACACCAACTGGGACACGTCGATGGGCCCCATCACATCGGATCGGCGCGAGTTTGGACGCCGTTCGCAGCAAGTGGGAGGACCGCGCGAGGGAGAACGCGGTCGAGGAGCAGTCTACCTCGTCATCGACAGCGTCTTCCACAAGGGAATGGACGCGCCCGAGACCACGCAGCTTGTATGGAAGTGCACCGGACGCGAATTCCCTGCCGCGCGCGACGACGGAGCAGCCATCGTTCCCCGCACGCCCTCCAAGCCCCGACAGATACGCCGCACCGAGCTTTGCGCGCTCGCGGACCGTGCCAGAACCGATCATCGCGTCCCCTCTCTCCCCGAACTCGACAGGTCTGACGGTAGAGGCGGATTCCCCCATCGACTTTGCGACGTCCTCCCGTATCCATCTACCCTCATCCTCCTACGACCCACCATATCGCAGCCACTCCCACTCAGTCTCCGCGGCCGATCTCCCCAGCTCCTTAGCGCGCACGACGCCCAGGCGGACGAATACGATCGACTCCGTGAAGGCCAAGTACGAGGACGCGATTAATGCCGCGTCCCAGGGTTCTGCTTCCCCCTCCCGCGAGACGTTCCTCCCCCAACAACCGCAACACACCGGGAGCATTTTGTCACGACGACCGACATCTATGTACGGTTCAAGCAGCTCTGGCCAGACGTCGTTCGACAGACAGCTGAGTCAGGTCACGTCCCCGACGATCTCACGACGGCCAGTATCGCAGTATGGCGCCCCAAGCACCATCGGTCGTTCCGCGCCCTCGCCAACCACAGGCCGCTTCTTTGATCGGCCACGGGAGGACGTACCGTCGCTTTCGCGCGACCGCACCCTCTCCCAGACTCGCGATGACGTAGGTTCACTGTCGCGCGACCGGTCACAATCGCGCACTCGCGACGAGCTACCGACACGAGGTCGTGGCGACTCTGTTGGGAGACTAAGAGACGATTACATATCGTCCGCCTCTCTAACCTCTGCAGAGCCCGCTGCGCCTTCACCAACATCGCTCTCCTCCCCGCCTTCATCCGCTATGAACCCGCCTGTCTACCGCAGTTCGCACATGATGAAGAAATACGGCAGCCAACTTAGTGCAGGCGGACGCAGGCTTGGTCGTCATTTACCGCGCATAGCCAGCGGTGACCAAGAGGACGAGCCTGGCCCCGATAGGCCCGCCGACGAACCTTCACCCCCGGTTCCACCTCTGCCGCCTAGCGTGCAACAACAGCAACCGCCACCACAATGGCGACAACCACAACCACTATCACAACCAGTTCACCCTCAACCCCAACCTCAACATCTCCAAGATCCTCCCAAACCACGTCGTGCATACCAGGAGCGCCGCGAACAGCGCCTCCGCGGCATCCGCGACCCCGACAGACCTTCCAACGCCGAGGATGTTGCCGGTGTGTCCGGTCGCCTGAAACTGTCCAAGGACAACCCCATCAACAACTTCGCCTCGCCCTTACCCTCTAAAGCGCTTGCTGGCGGTGCGCGGTGGGGCTTGTGGGCAGATGTGCAGCGACATCTACTGCAGGCGTACGAATACCTGTGTCACGTCGGAGAGGCGCAGCAGTGGATGGAGGGGTGCTTGGGGCAGGAGCTGGGATGGGGTGTGGTGGAGATGGATGAGCGGTTGAGGGACGGCGTGGTGTTAGCAAAGCTTGTACGAGTCTTCCAGGGAGAGCATGCTGTGAGGAAGATATACGAGGTGAGCTCTAGGTCTCTCGACTATTCGTTGACAGCAGCTCAATAACTTCTTTACAGGCGCCCAAACTCGACTTCCGCCATTCCGACAACATCAACGCGTTTTTCAACTTCGTGCGCGAAGTGGGACTACCAGAGGGCTTCATCTTCGAGTTGACGGACCTGTACAACAAGAAGAATATTCCCAAGGTCATCTACTGCATTCATGCCCTCAGGTTCGTGATGAGTTTACCCCACCTCGTCCTCGCTAATGGTCATCCAGTCATTTGCTTGCGCGGCGTGGCCTTGCAGAGCGTATCGGCAACCTCCTGGGCCAGCTGCAATTCTCCGACGAACAGCTTCAGCAGACGCACAAGGGTCTGAAGGACTCTGGTGTTCCCATGCCGAACTTCGGAAACCTTGGACGTGATTTGGCGAAGGAGTTCAATGAGGAGCCAGAGGAGGAGCCTGAGACTGAGGAAGAACGTAAGGCATTTTATCTTGATGCTGCCAAGATTTGCATGCTCATGACGGTCCACAGGTCGTGATCGCATGCTGCTTGAGTGCGAAGCCGACATCGTGAAGTTGCAGGCGCAAGCTCGTGCCGCTCTTGCCAGGCGAGCAGTTCACGACACGGAGCGTCGTACGGCTCTGGCCCAGCGCTACGTCGCCAAGACCCAGGCCATCTGCCGAGGGTACCTGGCCCGCCGAGAAGCATCGCAGCAGCGCCAGTCCCGCGCCTCACTGCAGCCGTGGGCAAGAGCTTTGCAAGCCGTCGTCCGCGGTCGTCTCACGCGTGAACGCGTAGGCCAGCGCGTGCAACGCATCTTCAGCGGCGAGGCTTACGCTGTCAAGATTCAGGCCCAGATACGGGGGGTACTCCAGCGCAGGCGCATGGCGAAGCTGAGGGCCGCGCTGAAGAACCACTTCAAGGTGGTCACGAAGATTCAGGCCGTCGCCCGTGCCAACCGAGTCCGCCAACACCACGACAGCCTCGCTATCACCTTCGAGGACCCCATCGTCGAAGCGTCCATCGCTTCGGTGCAAGCGCTCGGACGAGGTGTACTTGCGCGCCGGAAGGCCGTTCGCAGGCAGTCGATGCTCCGGCGCTTTGAGCCCAACTTTGTCGGGTTGCAGGCTCAGTGCCGCGGAGTGCTGATGCGGCGGCGGGTCCGGAAGCAGATGGCCAAGCTCGAGGACGTCTCGCAGACAGTGGTACGCATCCAGGCTGCCGTGCGCACGTACCTTGCGCGTAAGCGGTTGCTTATCCTCATTCGTGGTCTGCGCCGAGCGACGCCGGTCATAGTGGGCTTGCAGGCGAAGGCGCGAGCTATGCTTGCACGTCAGCAGCATCAAGACATGACGCGGTATCTCGGAGAGGCAAAGACGATCAAGTCGGTCGGCGGCTTGCAAGCCTTCGCTCGCGCTGCGTTGGCCCGCAAGCGGCACACAGAGCTGCATCGCACTCTTGAGTTTGTGGCACCTGACGTCGTGGGTCTTCAAGCGCAGATCCGGGGCGCAATGGTGCGATTGGAGTACTATGCCTGGCGTGACCATCTCTGGCACAATGAAACCGTCGCGACGATCCTTCAGGCTATGCTGCGCGGCGCCATGCAGCGGCGCGCCTTCAGTCGAAAGATGGCGTACTACCGCGAGAACTTGGCGAAGGTCATCAAGATACAGTCCCTCGTCCGCGCGAAGGAGACGCGCGAGCAGTATCGGCAGCTCACGATGGGCACGAATGTCACCGTTGGCACTATCAAGAACTTCGTGCACTTGCTCGACGACTCGGAGGCGGATTTCCAGGAGGAGCTCAAGGTCGAGCGCCTGCGGAAGCAGGTCGTTGAGGCCATCCGGGAGAACCAGGCGTTGGAGTACGATGTCGGGGAGCTGGATACGCGGATCGGGCTTCTGGTGGAGAACGCGAAGACCTTTGAGGATGCGATGAAGACGCGAAGGGGTCGAGGTGATTCAGCTGCATCGCACGCTGCGCGGACATCTCTGCTGGCGGCGCACGGTGACCCGTTCGCGGGCCCCAGCACGTTGACGCACGACGCGCGCAAGAAGCTAGAGCTGTATCAGCAGCTTTTCTACCTCCTCCAGACTCATGGCGAGTACCTCAGCCGGTTATTCATCCGGGTGTCGATGTCCGACTCTGAAGACCACAAGCGCTTTATCGAGCGCGCGGTGCTCAACATGTTCGGCTATGGCCACGATCGCAGGGAAGACTATCTTTTGCTGAAGCTGTTCTCGGTATGTCATCTTCTCTAGGCGTATGTTCCGCATGTGCTGAAAAATTTATCAGGTCGCCATCCGCGAACACATCATGGAGGCCAGCTCTCTTGAGGATATCATCCACGACCATCCCATGTATCTCAGCGTGGCTGTGCAGTATGTGCGGCCTAAGCACGCGGTCTATATTCGGGACACCTTCCAGGGCGTTGTCCGTGATGTGGTCGAGTCCGACGACCTCGATCTGGAGGTTGATCCTAGCAAGGTTGGTCCGGTCAATGCTATGAGCACCGACCAAACTCTTACTGTCGCGTCAGATCCATCGGCAACGCATCACCATGGAGGAAGAGAAGACCGGAATAGCAAGTTCTCAGCAGAAGGACCTGCCCTTCCATGCTGCCCTTGCGGACCCGAAGACCAGAGCGGAGTACATTCGTCGTAAGTTGATGAGCATATCGACTTCTTCATAGACGTTGAATCCTTTGGTAGATTTGCAACAGCTGAACTGGAAGACCGGTGCCTTCGTCAAGGCAATGTTGGACTCCACGAACAAGATGCCGTACAGCATGCGCTATATCATCAGGGAAACCCTTGCCGCCGTTCGCGTACGCGATATACCTCTGTTTTGCCGAAGTCTGAAGCTGACTTGTAGTAGGAGCGCTTCCCGGATGCGACTGACCAAGAATGTGTGTCCTGCATCGCCAGAGTGATCTTCTACCGCTTCATCAACCCAGCAATCATGTAAGAATTTCGTACATCCTGTACAGTCTATCATACTCACACATTGCAGGGCTCCCGAGACTTTCAATCTCGTTGAAGACACTCTCGACCTGACATCACGTCGGAACCTAGGACAAATCTCTGCGGTCATTCAGCAGATCGCGTCCGGCGTGGAGTTCAACGAAGAGTCAGCCAGTTATGTGGCCATCAACGGCTATGTTAGCACGGCCATCCAACCACTCTCAGCTTGGTTCTTCGAGTGTACGCATCGTGATGTCGTGTATCATCGTCGCACGCTGATGGGATTCCAGTGGCCAATGTCCCCGATCCTGAGGTGCAATATCATGCGCATGAGTTCCTTGATGCTACGGTTCAACCCAAGCCTATCTATATCTCGCCAAACGAGATCTACAAGATACACAAGCTCCTCTCTGACCATCGCACGCATCTGGTACGCTGACAAATGCCAAAACTGGACACTCCTTACTCATTGACATAGATCAACGCGCCAGCGGAGAAGGACCGCCTCGCAATTATTTTGGAGGAGCTCAACGGTGTTCCGTACTCCAGCAATGCAGCGCTTGACGAGGCGCGCGACATCGTCATCACCTTGGAGTTGTCCAATCGATGGGCGACTGTTGACGGCAAGTCTCCATTCGATCCTGATTGTCAGAAGGTGCTGACTTACCACAGATACGAAGGCTATGGAGAAAGCCGAGTGGGTGAAGGCCAAGCGCGCTGTACTCGCCGTGCTCCGTGTGCAGCCCGCTCAAGACCTCATTACTTCCCTCATGAAGCCTGTCACCGAGGCGGATGAGGAGATGTGGGAGGATATCCTCGAGGCTGAGGAGTTGAACGAGCGCCAGACGGCTGCTCATCCTCGCCAAGCCTCGCAAGCTGCGCAGGAGTACAAGCTTCAAGACATTCGCCGGTATGTCACCCTCTTCAATCGACTGCACATCCGACGCTAATTCCCATCAGGCTCGACTTCAAGTCGGTCAAGGCTATGGCGATCCAGAGTCTTATCGAGCTAGAGAAGCAAGATAAGATCACTCGCTCGAATGGCTTTCAGGAGATCTTGAACGACATCGCCTACGACGTCCGTAGCAAGCACAGGCGAAGGTTGCAGCGCCAGCAGGAGATGGAGAACATGCAGGAGGCCCTCACCCAGCTCGCCGAGCGCAAGGTGCACTTCCAGAAGCAGATCGACGCCTACAACGACTACATGAAGGATGCGCTGAGCACCATGCAGCGGGGAAAGTACGTATCGTCGCGTCATGCACGACGTGCCTTCATACTGACCGTATAACGTAGGAAGCAACGTGTTGTCCTGCCGTTCACGAAGCAGTACAAGCACAAGCAGAATCTCCAGCGCATGGGCCGGACGCCCAAGTTTGGCTCGTATCTCTATACCGCCAAGGAGCTCTACGACCGCCAGATCATCCTGTCCATCGACCAGTACTCCCCTCGGCAGTACGACAAGATCAATATCATCATGTCGTCGAATGACTTCGGTGTCTTTACGCTCGACCTCGAGTCCTCCCTCTTCGGCGTTACCTCGCGCATCGCCTCGCAGAACCTATCGATGTCGGAACTACTCGACGCGAAGTACGAGAACCGGTCGGCAATCCCCCTCTTCGGTGGGAAGGTCAAGGCGAATACGGAGAGGCTTCTCTTCCAGATCAACAAGAAGTGAGGGCGCATTCCTCCGGTTCCTCATCCCGCGCTAACGGATCCTACAGGTTCTACGTCTAACGTCTGACGTTGCTGGTCTTCGTTCATGGACTGCTCATATGTGTTTATAGCCCTGTGTCATAGCCGTTCGCTTTCTTGCTCAAATATCTCAACTGCATTATGTACATCTAGTCACTATCGTTGTTTGTACCCTTGCACATACTAATGACCGTCACGTCTTATTATTGCTCACTTGTTACGCGCGCGGTGATGCCATGCATGTTCGTATTGAACGTGGGGAGGGTACAAGCTTCCGCTGCTTACGGCCTCGTGCATTCAGCCACCGTTCAGGTGCGAGGTGCAACTGCTGCAGTGCACCGATATGAGCGGCGACATGCGTATGTACATGACCAAGGCCACCGTGGCGTCAATACTGATGCAAGACTGGCGTTACGATACAGGACGGTCATCGTAGGACGCCGTTCGTCGAAAATTGAGAGCCATGTTCCTTCGATATACCCCAAGACATATCAACTAGCTGCCTGCACGCGTATTGAGTCAGTAAGCTGCTAGAAGGAAAGCCAGCAGGGCGTAGGCGAGCAAGACGTACGAGAAAGCCCAGTTCGGCGTCCGAAGACTCCTCTTCTCAGCGTCACTCCCGCTTCCAATCACCGCACCCCGGGCAGCCGTTCTCTTCCCGTGGCACTGCTGCGAAGTCAGCGATATTCCGCGCTTCCTGAGGTGCCCACGCACCTTCGGCGGGGGCAGCGAGGACAGTCAAGGTCGCGGCAGCAAGGATCAGCAAGCGGATTGAGAGCTGCATAGTGGCGGTATGGTGTGAAAAGGCATGTGGCGGCCGCTCCCTCTTTATATACGATGACGAAAATTCCACAATCAGAAGCGTGACGATAAGGCAGGCCTGAGGGGACCGACTGCGCTTTCTTGGATGATGGATCTGCTGACTGCCGGAGTTTCAACACATGGAGAAACCGTCTTCCAGAGCCCGGCGGAACCTGAGCGAGAAGTCAAGCCGACCGTGGAGATCCTCTCGCACGAGGTAGCTGTGTTTGAGAGGGTGCGTGCGTGCGGGGAACCTGGCCAAACGCACGTCAGCTTGTTGACTTCATGCAGACGCCACGGTCGGCGGCGTAGACGCATTACGGGAGCGCCCCCCCCCCCCGGCGTACCTGCTGTAGACCTCCCGAGTATACTTCCTTGCTGTATACCGCGACTGTATCTGCCGAGGTGCTACATGTCTGGCTCCAGGAGGGTAGCGCATAGAGGGTTCCATGCAGACGCCCCATGATGGATGTGTGGTTATCCATGTCTGGCGGGCTAGGACAGGACGCATATGACTGCGTTCAGCGGATCATCTCAATGAGGACTCGAAGCTTGTTTTGTTTTCGGCTCGCTCTTCCCCGTCCGCTGTCCATTTAGTTCGTTGATCCTGTTCCTTGGAGCCCGGCATCAAAGCTCGCAGTAGCCATTGTTCTGCGTAAGTCCATCGCTCGAGCGAAGATTCCATGGAAAAGCTTGTCGTGGAAGTAGAAGAGACAAAGCCTGCCTAATCGGGAAATTTTGTTGGCCATCGCATGTTTTCGGGAAACGCCGGACAGGCTTCCTTCTGTTGCTGTTGGCGCGACGTGCGTCGCAGTTCTCTAGGGCTTCCTGTTTATAGGAAGCTATCTCCCCCGACAACCATTGAGTCTCTATCCGTAAACAACCATTCGCCAGGGCTGGGTGCGGCCGTTTTGCCTGTGCGTGCAGTCCTGCCACTGCTGCACATGTCTACATCTGCTGATATGACGCCCACACTCAGCATGCCTTCCCTTGTTCTACCCCTGGAGCTTCACGACTACATCATCGATTTCCTCCACGATGAGACCGATGAGTTGAAGCGTACCGCTCTCGTTTGCCGATACTGGCTCTCTTCGTCTCGCTTTCACCTGTTTTCCTCGGTTACTCTGCTGCCGCCTCTGGAAGCGCCATCTCACTCAAGCTCGCCTTCGCCATGCAAACGGCTCGAAAATGTCATAGCAAAATCGCCCGATGTGTCGCGCTACATACAGGAGCTATCCCTGTACGAAGGCAGCCGGCACGGCAGGATGGGCTGGGCGTGGATGCACGCAGAATCCTCGCTGCCAAAACTTCTCGACGCTGTGAAAGGAAGCCTGAACACGCTCTGCATCCAAGCAGATCCACGAGAACGCCCTCCCCTGGCTATCAGGCTCGCCCGCTTCCCAGAATCCCTGGTCCACGTCTTCGGCCGACTCGCAGAACAGCAGGACCCGTTCACCCATTTACGACACCTGCGGCTGAAGGGATTGACGCTGCCTTCACTGCAGTCCGTGGCGACCCTTGTGGCAGCCATGCCGGCGTTGAAGGACCTGGACCTGGTCCATATCAGGGCTTCTTCGACTGAAGAAGTGGCCCCGTACCCAGAGGTATCGGGCTCGCGCAAGGCGGAGCTGGAATCACTACAGGTCATATCTCGGGATGCGGATGGGTTCATTCGCTGTCTGCTCCACGAGCAAGCCTCTGCTAGCCTATACCATTTGCGCTCGCTCGCGTACACGACGGGCATCGGTCACATGGGCGTCGTGAACGATATCCTTCGCGCTTGCCCCAATTCCCTTGCAAGCTTCGAGCTATTCGCCTCGAGTCCTCTACACCAGAGTAAGCAAGAGATCCTGATCTTTTCGTCGGAGCATCGCAGCTAACGATATCATAGTCGTCCAAGCCCCTCCACGCGACGATAAAATTCCCGACCTCTCACGCAACCCCGCTATCCGGACTATCTTGCTCGATGGCGACATCCTGCCCGACTCATGCGATATCCTCCACTTCTCTGTCGCCGTGTTATCAACCCTCCCACCCGAGAACGTCCTCGAGCACTTCAGCCTCACCATCGCGCTCACCTGCCGCCTGCCCGCGCCCACGCTCGACGACTCCCTCGCGTCCTGCGCGCGCCTGGATGCGCTTCTCGCTGAGAACGGAAGATTCCCAAGGCTCGAGCGCGTGCGCGTGGACTTCCGGATATACGAGTATGATCGCGAGGAGGAGGGCGCGCAGCCGGCGGATGTCCTGGCCGGGCAGTTTCTCGCCCGCTTGTCGAAGCTCGACGCGAGGGGCTTGCTGTATGCTGATGTGTCGTCTGTGTAGGCGGACGGAGGGAAGGAAGTGGCGTGTACTGCCGGATTCGACGTAAGCGCAAGGTCTCTTTTGCCAGCCGGCTCACACGGGGCTGATCTTTGCGCTTCGCAGCCTGGTGTTTCCATCTCGCAGTCTACATTGCTCCTCGCGGTCCGCAAGGCGCCCATACTAGGTCACTGAGGGGTGCATCCATATATGAACTGCCGTCAACCTCTCACTCACCGAAATGACCGTGTCCTCGGAAGTCATCGACGACTCGACTTGATTATCATCGCCAATCAGTATAAAATATCCCTCGAGATCAGTATACTAATACTACTCCAGTGGCGCATCACTATTACCGTTCCCACCGCTCTCCTCCGCGTCTTGCGCAAAGCCATCGTCCGGTGGTGCATCATCACTGGCACCTGGGTCGTTCCCTGCCGGCACCTGCTCTCTCCCATTCAGCACCTCCTCTTCGTTCCCATCCGGCACCTCCTCACTCCCCCGCAGAAAACTCAGCAGCGCCCACGTCATGCCGCGCATCTCGGGGTCGTACCACCAGTTGAGCGCGATCGTGACGCCGGACTGGCCCATGCGCAGGTCGCCGACGGACTGGCTCCCGCGCAGGTTGCCGACGGACTGGCCCCCGTGCAGGTCGCCGGCGGACTGTCGGACGTGGTGCCACCAGCCGGCGGGGAGGTATAGCGTGTCGCCTGCGTTCAGAGTGACGGAGAGGGGGTGCACTGATGGGTGGAAGGCGGTCTGGCGCGATGATGATGAGAAAGCGGTCTCAGGGTGATCGGCGGGGTCAGGAATGGAGGCCCAGCGGACAGGGGGAGCGCCGTTCGAGGGCTTCAAAATCAGCGAAGAGTCAGGCGCCGGTCGGATGTATCTGGCGTGCGGGTAGGAGCGTTCTGAGTGGGAGCTGAGGTTCAGTACAGAGTACATGGGAGCCAGACGAGTTGATGTAAAGCTACCTCGCATGCACCACCCATCGGTCGGCGGCAGCAAAATAAAGTGCTTCTGTCCGCGTATGACGGTGTAGATGTTCTCGTACGGATCTTTGGCAACCCCTCAGTATACGTGCTCTACGTCGTCCACGAGAGGGTGCTCATACCGCTATGGATGCTTGTCACGCTTCGCCCATCGCCGATCCATAGATTGACTGCGTCCGGAGAACGGTCTGAGCCGTTTGAGTTCCTGCTAACCAGTCCAAATGTATTGACTCGATTACTCACCGAGAGCTCCCGTACACCATGCCACATCATTCGGTATATCGGCACGCAGTGCCTCAAATTCCGACGGGTCTTCCTGGCCTTCGAACGTGCGGTTCGTATACACGTTCCCGTTCTGCGACTGCAGATATAGGACGTCGCCGGAATCTTGAGACGAGATACGTCAGGAAAGGGAGTGAGATGATGAGGATCGCGCGACCTAGCTTGTGGACAGTTTGTTGAGAAAGGTCGACATGGTCATTTTTTCGACGTGAGGCTCGGCGAAGTATAGCTTGTTGTCAGGGCCTCTGGTAACAGCGTCGGCACGTCTGGAGGTAATACAATTCAGTGAGCTGGAGTATTTGCATGTGACGCTTTCCCTACCCATTTGGTGTTGCAGCGATAGATATTTGCTGCTCTCCCATGCGCTCCAGTAGATGATCATCACTCCAGTGCGTTAAAGGAGGTATATCATGGCCTTCAAAGACTCAAGATGAAAGTAATACAGGCAGTAATAATTTTGACTCACCTTTTATCACAACTGGTCGCGAGACGTGGACAAGCCGCGAAAATTCAAGTGCGGAAGGAGGTGCGTCTAGCGTCTCAATGTACGACCCATTCAAGTCTGAGGAGCGTTTGCTCTTGATGAGCAGATATACGTACATATGGAAATATATGCGTACCAAAGTAGTCCTCGGATAGTTTACGAAGAGCTTCTTCAGAAGGGGCTGCAGACATGGCGCTGATCGTGAGAGTTAAGTTGAACTCGGTCGCGTGACGTCACTTCGATTGTCGCACGTGCCCATCACTCGGACGCGTCCGAGGCGAACGCGGTTTGTCGAGCCCGCTCATCCTCGTCTTCCCGGGACGTGTCGCTCGTCTGCCTCATGCCGCCCAAGAAGAAGTCGACCTCGAAAGGGTCCCTGAAAAACTCAGTGAGCGCCAATGCACACAGATGCAACTGACACTGACTAATTGCCCCAAGACCTCTCAGCAACGCACATTGTTTGATCACTTTCAGAAGAAGGGAAAACCAGATGCAGATGCAAAGGAAAACGGATCGGCCCAAGGCAGTCAAGAGCTGAAGCCTGAGGCGCCGCCCTCTTCGCCACCCCAGATCGTTGAGCCTGAGCCCGTGGATGCATCGGCTGAAGTCGCCACCAGTGCGTTTTGCCCGTACCCCGTGCTATCCGGACTGACGCGCGATCATTAGCTTCTTCACCTGCCGCATCATCTCCATGGACGAATCCCCCACCCTCATCCGGCCCTCCAAGCTCACCTTTACCCATCGAGATCGAGGTTGAAAATGAGAAAGACACGTCGGCTGCTGCTGTCCCTCCAACTACGCCGCGGAAAGTCCTGAAGCCTCAGGTTCCATCCACGCCTGTCATTGGCACCTCGAGGGATGTGCCAATTGTGATCGCGTCTCCTCCTGGTCCCTCTAAGCCAGCGCACCCCTTCTTCAAGCCGCGCGTCGCGCCGCCGAGTCCATCTAAGGCAGCGCGAGCCAAGGTCGACGAGCTACCACCTGCATATCCAGACAGCAGCAGCCAACATGTCCGAGGTCCGCAACTGATGCACCCTATGCCCCGCGCAGCCTTCTACCCTCCTCGACAGCGTACTTCACGAGACCACGGCGAGCACCCTGCGGACCTATCCTTCCTCAAGGTAGAACAGGACAACAGTCCTTCAGCTACTGGTGGTTCCGATGACCCTGAAGAAGTCGATGCCTCAGAGCGCGAGTCATATCTGGCAACGATCCCGGAGGAACATCGCGGGCGCACAGCCATATCCCTTCTGCTCCAAGACAGCGCAGACGGTAGCGAGAAAGCTCACTCCACTTGGGCTCAGCAATGCATGCCTCAAACGGCGGAAGCCGTGCTAGGGAACGAGCGCAACGCCACATATCTGCGCGACTGGCTCAAGAAGCTACAACTGGACGTTAGCAATCTCGCGTCATCCAGCGACGCCGGCTCAGACACCCCGAAGCCAAAGCCCAAACCGAAGGCCCCCAAGCGTCCCATAGGCGCATCTAAACGACGTACGCGGAAGCGACTGCGTCTGGATAGTGATGACGACAATTTCATTGTCGAGACTGGCGACGACTACGCGGAGGAGGACGAGGAGGAAGAATGGGGGCCGGTTGGTGGCGATGAGGACGAGTACGTCCCAACGCGTTTACAACGCAAAGACGACGGCGCTGTCGCGCCTTCGCCAGCGACACCGGCCATACCACCCTCAGTCTCTGCACCTGCGGCACCGTTAGCCTATGCTAATCAGAATGTCGCCCCTCCCAATCCATACATGTGGATGCCGCCGCAAACGGGCGCGTACTACCCCAACTTCATGCAATTCGCGCCGATGTACGCCCAGTATATGCCGTACCCGCAAGCTCAAGTGTATCCGACTCCCGCCTATAGCGTCTACCCACAGTCCGTTGCCCCAAATCCCTACCCGTACTATAACTGGCCGCCACCCGCTGCTGTTTATTCTCCCGTCCCACCGCCAGCCGCACCTGCTTCCGCGCCGCCTCCGGCTCTGCCTACCCCTACACCCCCAACCCAACCTGTTCGTAACGCCATATTGCTCGCAGGCCCCTCCGGGAGCGGGAAGACAGCGGCGGTCTACGCGTGCGCGGCCGAGCTTGGCTTCGAAGTCTTCGAAGTCTACCCCGGCATCGGGCGTCGCAACGGCGCCTCGGTCGACCATCTCGTTGGCAATGTTGGTCGCAACCACATGGTACGGCAGGCGAGGGCGGAGGCGTCGGGTGGCACCAAGGCCAAGAACGCTTTTGCGGCACTGATGAAGCGGAAGGCGGCCGACGAGGAGCCGCCTGCGGACGCTGCCTCGCCGGCTGCCGATACTGCCTCGCCACCGCCTGCTTCCAAAGAGAATGGCGCGACATTCCGGCAGTCGCTCATCCTTCTGGAAGAGGTCGACATCCTGTTCAAGGAGGACACGAATTTCTGGCCCTCCCTCGTCACGTTCATAAAGTCGAGCCGGCGCCCAGTGGTGTTAACGTGCAACGGTCAGTGATATCTCCGCCGCTAGCCCAGGGTTCGCCAACTGACGCGCGCGCGCTTCGCAGACCTATCGATCGTGCCTTTGTGGGCCTACGACATTCCCCTGCAACATGTCCTACATTTCTCGCGCTGCCCAGCCCCACTAGCGACTTCTCTCTTGCAGTCTCTGTGCTACAAACACGCGCGCCTGGTGCCGCGTGAAGACATCGCGCGCTTCTGCGACTCCCGGTGCGACGCCGAGGACACGCGAGCGGCTTCTGGCTGTGATCTGCGGCATGCGATCAACGCGCTGCAGCTGCATTGCACGACGCGTGCGGGAGGAATTCAGAGGGAGGAAGAAGAGGAGCTGTATGTGTTGAATTGGGAGGATTCGGAGGAATCTGGTGGGGGAGACCCGATCGTTGCGGCGGCGGCTCGCTCGGTGCATAGGCGGCGGCAGGCGGTGCACTCTGAATTGCTGTCATTCATGGATGCGCATGCGTGCATTCGCAGCTTGGGACAGGTGTGTTCTACCCTCGCTACCATGTCCGAGCTTTCTCACTTCTTCCCTTCAGATTGACCCCTGGGCTCGTAGCGCGCCTGCCGACGACGATGAGCTGGGGCACCAGGTGCTCTTCGACCTGCCGTCGTACCCCGACGTCGACGTCGCCTTCCGCGACCGCGTCGGCGAGCTCGCCGCCACGGCGGCACGTTTGTCTGCACGCGCCGCACGTGGGCCAGGCGCGGATGTGCCGCCGTCATCGCCGCCCCGTGCGCCCGCATGTTACGGTGCGCGTGCGCTGTTCCGCGCTCGCGTGGAGAACGCGGAGCGCGTCGCTCGGCTGCGTGGCAACCCCGTGCTCGCTAGTGCCGGCGGGGGAGCGGCACTGTTCCTTGATTACCTGCCATATGTGCGCCATATGGCTGCCACGGACGACGCGCTGGAGAGGCTTGCGATGAGCGGCGCTGGCGCTGGCGCAGGCGTCGCGCGCGGGCGGACGACGAGGAACAGCCAGCGCGCGCAATATGTTCGGACGGTGGATCTGACGGAGGGGCAACGGGAAGCGCTGGCAGCTACTGCGCTCGTGGGATAGAAGTGCTGGGACGGGCTATCAGGATTCATCGGGAGGAGGGATGGGAGCGGGCTGCAGTCAGTCGGTCCAGCATGAGGCTTCGAAGTAGCGTTGCGGATGATACCCTAGGAAACTTACCAACACCCATTGTTACCGGTTCGAAACCGGTTCCGTACTGGTATCATACCGGACCCCCTTCAAGTGCTGAGCGGGGTCGGTACCATACCATACGCAATATGTGGCGTCGACGCTCAGTGCGACGCTGAGGCGGCTAGCAGGCTTCGTTGGGCGGTGGAGGACTTTCCGTGACGTGAGCTTTCAGTTTGGCGCCCTCCCTTGTAGGTAGCTGCGATGTGAATGGTTGTCCTGCAGTTTGTGATCATTTGGTGGTCACTTCGAGCCCCGGCGTGTGTCCCTGATTTGCTTGATGAAACCGCCTGCGCACGGAAAGTCTGTGCTGCAGAGCGCCACAAAGTGGCAAGCAACCGTTTCCGAACCTCGTCTGGACGGGGTCCCGCACCGCTCACGGTACGAATGGTAAAGGTTCCGGGAGGTATCATCCGCAACGCTACTGTACTTCGAAGCAGGGCGTAGAGGACTTAATTTAGCCATACATGGCAGTCACGGTGGCGGCGGGCTAGGGCACGTGGCATTTCCGGGGGAGTTTGATCATGTTGGCCGCTCGCTGATCTCTTCTCTCACTTTCCATTGCCTGTCCCCGGCGCATACAGCAGCGATGTCGCACACGCCCACGCCCAGCTGAGCATGCAAGACGGCCCGACCAGCCGTCTTCGTCCAGAGTCACGCCCGCCGCGGTTCCATCACAGACCCGCCCCTCCACGCGGCCGCCTCATCAAGACGCGCTTACACCGTCTCCCTACGCACGCTTCCCGAGCTTCCCATCGTGCGCATGGAGGTCCCGCAGCTCACCGCGCTCTTAAAGACATCAAATACGCGTGTCTGTCTCCGCGTCGGGGAAGCTGCCGTTCGACTGCAACGCCCTCCCGCCCGGCCTCACGCTGTCGGGCGGTCTTTTCCCGCTGTGCGCACACGCCTGCCTCGCCGATCGACCGCGCGCACACTCGCCGCGCCGGACTCCACCCCCTATACCCCCTCCCCTTCCTCTCGCTGATGCAGCGCACCGCGGCGCGGCGTGACATTTCGTGTACTGTACATATCTAAACAGCGTCGGCGCGCGCAGGTGGCAGCTGTATTGACGGCTCGTTACTACCAGCTGCTCTGTTCCGTACGGTGTAAATAGATACACTATTCAATGCTAGACGTACCAAACTTTCTCTCATCTTCGTGCGTGAGTCGAGCGAGAGCGAACGAGAAGCCAGCAAGTGCTGCCCCCGCCGCGTCGCGTCGCGCCTCACACCGAGGAGACGCACCCCTTTCCAACGCCGAAAGCGCGGGATTTCTGACCTCACCGACGCGCCGCTTACGACCAGCCGCACTTCCTCACCACTTTCCAACCCTCGATCCCATCTCGCAGCCACCCCTTCGTCGAGAAAAGCCTGAGAAGGGGGAATTGGCACGAAATGCCCCTTCCTTACCTCCCCCCGTCGTTGCGAAAGCCCCTTCGACCGCTTCTAACCCCCCTCAACTCCTCCCCTCCCACCCCGTCACCCTGCACATCTCGCGCTCGTCGTCGGAAAAGTCGAACACGCGCGTGTCATCGGTGCCGAGCGCCTCGTGCGCGCGGGGTTTCCCGAGTTCGAAATCGGAGGGGAGGGGGAAGGGACCTGAAAGCAGGGTTAGCAGCGGACTCGGGACGTGAGGCGTATCCTACCTTGCTCAGTCGACGCTTACTACCAGCCGCACTTTACTCGGAATTCCTAACCACCCCCTTCGCTCGACACCCTGTCAAGCGTGAGTAGGAGCAACACCCCCCTCCCCCACTTCCCCCCGCGCGGGCTACCAATCATAATCCATCGCATCCCATCCCCGCTCGCCCATCCTACCCTGTTCAAGTCGCACTCTACCAAAATCGCGCGCTTGCCACTAACCCTCCCTTCGTCTGAGCATCGACCTTTTGGTCTCCCTCCTCAAGAAGAACTGGCAAAGCGTCAGGTCGCTGCACACCAAGACAACCACGGGCAAGCCCGTCCGCTTGTTCTAAGCGTCGTGCATCGCGTCACCTAGAGAACGTAGTCAGAAGTGTTCGAACACCCCACCCGACGCTTGCAGAGGCGTCGCGTCGTCGAGCGCGAGTCGACACCCCAGCCCTAGTGGCTTGACAGAAAGACGCGCAGCACTCACCTCGCCTTCTTCTCATTACGAATACCCTCCTGCAATCCCTTCCTTCGCTCGTGAAGACCGAAGCGCGCGCTCCCCTCCCCCTCCCCCTCCTCCCCCCTCGCGAAGGACGAAGGCGGATAGCGCGTCAACGCGGTTGTTTCCATCGCGCCCGGAACTGAAAACTCGTTAGTGGGTGAGTTGGAAAGCACGCCCCCACAAGCACACCAACCACGCCCCATGCGCACCAACCCAAATCTGAGCGCCCCTCCCTCGCAGTCGCGCACCACCTCACGGTTTCCCAGGCTTAAGAATCGTGTTGAGGGTGGCGCGTGTCGTGAAGGGGAGGGGTAATGAAGGGATATCGAAGGGGAGGGTGTCGATGAGAGCAAGAGGGAAGAGGAGGGGAAGGGGAAGGGTGGAGGGAGGGCGGAAGGAGGAGAGGAGGAGAATAGGGGAAGGGGGGAGGGAGGGGAAAGAGGTGGGAAGGAGGGGGGACTTGGAAACGGAGGGAATGAGTGTGGCAAAAGACAGCTCACCGCCGACATGGTATGACAGCTACCTTCGCGGGGGAGGAAGGAGGAAGTCCCCTCCCCCATCGCCTTCTTCACAGCGAACGCACGAATTGACCGCCGCCGCCCAGCGGTCACGAGCGCACTGTACACAGAGGTCAGTCGTCGATAGTAAGAGTGGGGTAGGGAGGGTATCCTACCCTCCACGCAGAACGCACCTAGGGAGCGCGCGACTGCGCTCAACGGTTTAGGGGCACCGGAATGCCGGCGGGAACAAGGTCAGTACGCGTTAAAGAAGGAAGGGGGAGGGACGGTGCCCCACCCCCCACCCTCTTCGCATTGCGCACTCAGGCGCCCGCGCGTGCCTCCGGCGGCTCTATCCCATCGAAACGTCCCCTTTTCACGCGTTGACGCGCTCCTGACAATTTTCAGGAGGGGGAGACCCCCCACCCCGTCGCAAATCTCACCTAGGAACCTTGCTCTCGCCTCCGGCGGTTCGGCCTCGCCGAAAAGGCGTTCGGAATCCTGCGAAAGGGGGGCAAGTCAGCTTCTTGCGAGTAGAAGGGCGGGGGGAGGGTAGCCCACCCTCGTCGCATATCTCATCGCGCAACCTTGATGAGCGCCTTCGGCTGCTCCCCCTCGCCCCAAGGGCGCCCGAAATATCCTGTTTAAGATAGTCAGTCATCCTCATGACAAGTAAGGGGGTGAGACGGTGACCCACCCTCGTCGCATCCTTCAACGAGGGACCCCGCGCGTGCCTCCGGCGGCTCGGGGTCATTGAAAAGTCGTCCAACTAGCGTGCAAAATGGGGCTCAGTGAGCTTCTGGCAAGGGGGAAGTAGAGGGAGGGAGTCCCACCCTCAACGTATTCCTCACCCGAGGAGCCCAAGTGGGCCTCACCCACTTCTCCCAAAGGTGGGGCGACCCCCTCCCCCATCGCGTAACTCGCTCGGATCAGTGTGAGCGTGCCGGCGGCTCAATCTAGCGAAGATGGGGCCCAGTAAGCTTGACCAAAAACCAGGAAGGGGCATAACTCACCGACAACTTCCCCCCTCCCTCCCTCCGCCATTCAAACGCGCCCGCAGCCATTCCTTCTCATCAAATGGGTGGGAGAAGACCCTCCCCCTTCGCGGCATTCGCCCAAGAGCCACGCGCACGCCTCGGCGGCTTGCCGCCGTCGAAGATCATCTCGATGGGGAAATCAGTACGCTTAAGACATGAGAAGGGGGAGGGAGGAAGACCCACCCTTATCGCACTCCTTAACGAGGGGGCCCTCGCTCGCCTCCGGTCCATCGAACTCGCCTAAAGTCGCTCAAAAACAATGCGAAGGGGGACCCTATGATAAGAGACGGCGGACGTAGGGGTCCCCCACCCTCGTCGCATCCCACTTCGAGGGATGGCCCCGCACGCCTCTGGCGACTCGGACTCAGCAAAAGCCGTCTTACACGGGTTCAAGACACCCCCATCGTGACTCAAGTTGGAGAAAAGGGGGAGGGCCCCCACCCTCTTCGCAGCCTTCACTGGGGGTGCGCGCGCGCCTCCGGCGGCTCGACCTCGCCAAAATGTTGGCCGACGGTCGCGTAAACTGGGGTTCCTCCGTTTGTGACAGAGGAAGGGAAGGGAGGGCACCCTGCCCTCCTCGCATCCTTCACCGAGGGACCCCGCGCATGCCTCCGGCGGCTCGGGGTCGGCGAAAAGTTGTTTCTAAATCCTTTGAAAGCGGGGTCAGCACGATGAGGTCAAGACAGTAGGGGTTGAGGTACCCCACCCTCGACGTTGTCTTCATCGCGGGGGAGCGCGAGCGGTAAAGGGATCAGCTCACCAATAACATCACCCCCCTTCCGCGCCGGAGTGCCTCCGCATATCGCTCTCACCGAGAGTGATGGGGGCGAGACCCCTCCCCCACCGAATATTTCGCCCGAAGCAGCGCGCGTGTGCCTTTGGCGACTAAGCCTGATCTGAAAATGGGTTCAGTGAGGGCGATTTGTAGAGATAGAAAATTAGAAAGGCGCATAACTCACCCAGCATCCCCCCTCCAAGCGCGTCCCTTTCCCTCAAAGCAGCGGGGAGGGCCCCTCCCCCACCGCTTAAGCTTGCAGGGGAAGCGCACGCATGCCTCCGGCGGGCGGGGGACCTAGGGGAATTCATGGCGGAAGGGGTCGGCGATGTTGATGTATGATGAGCATTACTCACCGACGCGCAGTAATGCCCCTTCTCCAATCTTGGAAGAGATATACCCCTCCCTCTTCGCCTAGATCGGCAGAGGGAGCTGGCGGGTGCGCCTCACGGACCGGGAAATGGCGATAATTTACTTCGGAAGGGGGTCAGAGGGATTTTGGGTGCGCTCGGGGGGCGAGCATAACCCGCCAAGACCGAGGATAGACTACCCTCATTACGCCCTCCACCCGAGAGCGTGCGTGAATGCCTCCGACGGCTCGGGTGTCCAAGAAAAGGCAACTGAAAACGAGTCAGCACGACGTGAAGGTGGGAAATGCAAAGAGGCATCGCCCTCGACGCGCGTTTGTTGACTCACCAGTCCCCCTTCACCCCAAGTTCGCTATCACGATCGGATTGGGTACCCTGGGCCTCCGAGATTCGAGGAAAAGGCCCCCTGCATTATCCCGTGCTGTCGGAATGACCCGGGAAAAGGGCCTAGACGGAGAGGGGAGGTGTCCTGGATCGTTGCGCGTGGTGACGACGACAGTCGGGGATATCCCAGACGCCGACGTAGAGGAAGGAGGGGGCGGGCAACGGCGTGCCGAATGCTGCGCTCATCGCCTGCGCTGAGGTGATCCACGAGACGCAACGGAGGGGAATTAGCTCACCGACCTGACAACGTTCGCACGTCTTCCAAGTCGCGTCGGCAGCGAGGAAAAGGGGGCGGGGCTTTAGGGTAACATCGCGATCTACGCCTTCGTTGAGTACGGGTGCAGCTGGCGGTGAGAAAAAGCGCAGACTCACCGAGATGGGTACGCCAATGAGACCGTCCTGTTGTTCCTCTACAGAGACGGCATGCAGCCCTGCCGTCGTCGGAGGCCGTACGGCGGCCCGCTCCAAACCGAACGTCGTCAAGCGGCTTCTCGAGCACGTCAAAAGCACGAGTGATAGGGTCGTGCTCACCGCATACCACAACGCCAACCGCGTCGCTCGGAGTGCCAGACGCGCCGAGTCAGGGATATCAAGGGTCGCCGAAAAGATCGACCATGTCCGCAGAGACCCCCGACCTGCAGTTGCAAGTCTGCTGAGCGCACATCGAGGCGCAGAAGATGAATGTGGCGTCGACGCTGATGATGGTGAGATGAGAGCGGTAGTCGCGAGTCGTGGCGGTAGACGTGATGGCCTAGAGCACGCCCGGTCAGGGTGGCACGACGTCGGAAATCCAGCCCGTCCTTACCCGGCGAGCAAGGGGCAGACAGAGACGTGCAGTGCTATCACTGTCCAATGAGTTAGGAAGCACATTAGATAGATAGAGAATCGATAGACGTACCCGAGGAGCATTAAAGCCGACAAGTGCGTTTGGTGTCGATTGATGGTGCGCGTTGCGAGAAGGCTGTGAAAGCGATCAGCAAAAGTGTAGAGCGCTCGTAGGAATGCAAGCGGGCGCTTCAAGGAGTCGTAGAGCGCCTGAATAAGGAGTAGGGTGAGTATGACAAGTGATAGTGATTAAGAAAGACGTACTTACTAGTCAATGCCGAAGGGGCTGTTTGACCTGAAGGAAAGAGGTTGTAAGACACAGAAAAAGAAAAAGGTTGGGGGACTCACATAGGACGAGAGTAAGGAAGTATTGAGGAAGAGAGGTCGGAGAGAAGGGAAGGTAGGACAGTGTGAGGAAGGCAGTGGATCGCTGATTGGAGCGGTCAGATGCCCTACCTTTTATACCTCGAAAACGGCCCAACGCCGTGCCCAGTCGTCGCCCAATCTTCCAGACCGGCGTCGCATATTTCCGGATCAGACCTCGGCGGTCCGCGACCGGGACCCGCCCACTGAAAAGTCGGAAGATTGGGGGGATGCGCGGAGAGCGCGCATTCAATCTTCCGCCGCTCCCCTGCGCGATTGTCAGCCAGAGCGCGCAGAAAATGCGTCGAGACTTACTCACCCGGGCTTGGAGTGCCGTGCACGTGGCCCCCGGCGGGGAAGTACGGGGGGTTATGCGAACTGTTCGTTGGGTGGCGCGCAAGTTGCTGGGTGTTGTATCGCGTCCACTTGACCGCATCCGCTGGGCAGCAGCGTCAGTATGGTCAAAGAGAGCGCACTGGACGTCGCGTGACACGTGGCAGTGCTGACGTGGCGCGGGTGCGACGCACCAGAGACCGGGAAAAAGTCGAACTCGCTGCCATCACGTCGTTTCTCCATTTAGCAGGCTTTGAGCCGGGCGGAGGGGCAGCGCACCAAAAGCCCGTCCTCCTCATTGACTCGCTGCCTCAAGGCTCCGGTAGTGACGCGGCACGTGTATGCGTCAATGTCAAGATGGTTGTCGGTCCTCGGTGAGGGGACGATGGGGCTGGTCCATTGTTCTCGCCAAGGTGAGGATAGCAGAGTGGGCGCGGACGCGCCGAGGCCGCCGCCGGCGCGCATCAGCCTTCGAAACTTCTGATCCGATATTTGAGTGTCTGGAGCGTTGTGTTTGGAAGGAGCCACGTACCGTGAAGCGAAGGAAGTCTTCGGGGAGCGGAATGGCGGCGAGCGGATATTCGCCGGACTGGATGCGGGGGTCGAGCCCGGGGAGCGTCGTGATGCGCTAAAAATGTTAGATAGTGTAGCCGGATTGACGCACAGGGGGCTAGGTGTCGTGTATAGCACACGTTCGCGACGGGGAAGATGCGGGTGGACGAGGAGACGATGTGTATTGCGAGTTGGCTATTGCGCCGAGAGCGCCCAAACGTCCCACGTCACATCTATACTACTCGCAGACAATTTATCTGTGTTTATCCAGTCAGCGAAGGCCTATGCGGTGAATGCAAGAACGTACCAAAAGCGACGCCACATATTGAAAGCGGCCTTCCCGACGTCCTACAGACCTCGGTATGCCGTGGAGAGGGATCGAATTTGCAGAAATCAGCTCTCCTATGTTCCCCCCTTCGATCATTAGAGGTAAGATATGTTCACCCAAGTGACGACTTGCCAACCATATTTGGGCTGGGTGTGCATACATCTTGCTTCGATCTTCAGAAACGATAAGAGAGGACGCGTTCTCTGGCCATCGACACCAGTTGTACGTCCGGAAATGCTTCAGGGATGCGCCTGGTATATGGCTGGACCCATCGTGGGTGCTGGGGGTAATGGGGGATAGGTGCCGTCGCCCGAGATCGCGTCGTGAAGCGGTAGGCGTGTCTTTGGTCAAGTTCTGATGAATCTCGGGGTGCTGCTCATTCCTCACGTCGGAGATGGCGAGGAAAACATCCAACGACGAGGACCCCGTCGTCAGAACTGCGGGGGGCGACGGCGATGGTCACAGAATGCGAGAGGCGGGGCGGGGGAAGTGCGGTCGGCAACTGCCGATGACCGGGGGCGCGGGGCGGAAGCCGGTAAGCGCCCGGCGCTCAAGGCGCGCGCTGCTTGTTCTCCGCCGTCACCATCGTTCCCCGTGTCTGCGCGCCACCCCGTCGACCGCCTCCTCGCTGCGCAGGTGTCTTTGGAGATGTCGTAGGCCCTCTTTTCTCATTCAGTCCGACTGTCATATGTTAAATTCCATCTATTTTGCTCATTTCGCTGCGAGAAAACTTTGCGGGACAAGCCCTCTAGCGGCGACCTCTGCGTTGAGCATCGCGCTGCTCAAACACGTGTATTGGCAAGAACAAGATCGCCTCAACTCAGGCACCCGCAGGGAGATGTTCTAGGCAAGGGGCGAATTGCTGATTTGTTGACTGCGACGGGCTTCTCGTCAAAACCTTCCGACTTTGGGAGGTTCTCCCGTCTGTCCGCGACCCTGAACGCCCGGAATTTGGGTCTTCGATCGCTCTCGTGCGCTCTCGGACCGCTGACCGCCCGCCTCACCGCCCGCCTTTCCCGTCCGTGGCGGCGCTTTGCGCCGCCGAGTCCTTCCTCCCATGTCTTCTCGTCTTCGGCGTCGATCTCACAGTAGCTGCGAGCGCTTTCGCTCAGCTTTACGTCTCCTGATCGCCGCACAAGGCCCAACGCTCGGCCTTCGACAACTAGCAATCCGGTACGCGCAGACCGCTGTAGTCGATGAGTATATGAATCTTCGCCCGGCGAGCGGGCATATACGGTACGAGCTACCCTTCATTCGGCCAGAACTCCGCGCTCACTCTGCTCTAGATTGTCTCCTTGTCGTCAAGCTGTCCCTCGCTGCTGTCAGAAGTCTTCGAAAGCACCGGGACCCGCCCTCGTCACCGCACGCCATCTTCAAGTCGAATACAACGCTGAAGCAATGCATTGTCGTCCGCCGAGCGATCATATACGGTGCGTAATGCGATTCTTGCGATCTATCCCGACGCTTACAAGTGCCCAGATCACGACGGCGCGGATGATATTCGTTCGTGGAACGAGGCTGGGAGACTCGCGGCCCAAATTCCCGTTTGCCGACTGCCGGCCTTGCCATCCCATGACTCGTATGATCACCCACGAACATACAGTCCCCCGCTTCGCACCCTCGTGCTCGCCAACCACCTCATCAAATGCTGAAGCAATGCATCTTCTTCCGCCGAGAGAGGATATACGGTGCGTCCTCTGCTTCTCATGCGAGAGCCGACAGCTCAAGAAGTTCCAGAAGTCCGCGGCGGTGGATCGACATTCGGCAATCAAGACTGGCCCTCGAAGCCTGCGCTCTCGCTCAACGACTCGCTCACGCCGTCACCGACTCGGCAGCACCGTCTTTATCGCGCCAACTCGATTGGTAGCTCGCCAGCGCCATCTGCAAGTCGTCCACCCCCTCAGCATCGCTCGACATGTCGTGCAAGCTCAATGACTTCGGCTTCACTTCAACTATTCCTCGTGACTCCCACGCGTCAAATACAGTCCCGATGCTCTCCCGTCGATTCAAGTCGTGAAGCAATAGAAATTCATCCGCCGAGCGGGGTAATGAGGTACGTGATGCGCTTCCTGCTCGCGAATTGAACACTCACTCCTCGTCTTTCCCTCCAGTCTGCAGCCCACGCCTTCGCCATGACCCTCAAGTCAATCGCCTCGCCTTCGATCTCAAGCGCGACCCTCGCCCTCGCTCTTGTTCCCAAGTGGGACCCTCGCCCTCGCTCTCACTCCCGACTGCGACCTTCACCGTCGCCTTTGCTTTCGGGCCTCGCTTCCTCTTCCACTCCCAAGCTTATCATCTACCCTCGCTTGTCGCCTCAAGTGCGACCCCTCTTCGAACCTGCCTCGCCTCAGGCTTCCGGTGCTCATCCCGAGCTGTCCAGCGATCACCCCAAGCTTACCAACCCTCCCTCAATCTCCCCGGCGCTCTCCTCCACCTCTCGAAGGTCCCCTTCACTGACCATCGCCTCCCAAACGATTCCACGGTGCCCGCATCCCTCCGAGTGATCTGTGAAGCCCTCCGAACAATATAGCAATGAATCTTCGTCCGCCGAGCGAGGTGATGCGGTCTGGGCAGCCCTACTTACCCGAAACCTTCTCGACTAGCTAGACCGGCTCTCGAGCACTTGGCTAACCCTCAAGCTTGTTGCTGAGGCTGTGAGCGTCTTGCCAAGTCCTTGAGCGCCTCCCTGACTTCCCAACCTCGAGCGCTTTCGCACTGCTTCGTCTGGCCTTCTGAACTATAGTATCCTTTGTGTCATGCTATGTACTATGCAATATGACCTTGTCTGTTTAACTCGTCAAGCTCCTTCTTGACTCACTTAGTCTTGACTCGCTTGCTCAGTCTCGACTTGCTTATTACTGACCTTGTGGCAACTCAACAAGTCTCGACTCTACTCTACCCGACTTCTGTTTCATGTGCCTTGACCCTTGACATGCTCGACTCGACCCTCGACATGCTCACCTCGACCCTCGGCCAAGTCTCGAATATGTCTACTATCTCAACATCTGCCCCATGGTCTTCTCACCTCCGTCTCGGTCTTCTCATCTCCGTCTCAGTCTTCTCACCTTCTCGCCTCTGACTGGATCTCAACCATCCCCTCAGCCTCGACCACGGCTAATCTCACCCGTTGGCTTCTCTTCTCACCTTCAACATCCAAACTCACCTCGCCCTTCTCATCTCATCCGTCAACCTCCGTTGAGACCTCGCTTACACTGTCTATCCCCCTGCGCTCCGTCCATTCTCTCCCACTCGCCACCTACCTTCTGTATCTGTGCCCGTAGCCTGTCTTGAGACTTGTACGCTCGTAGCCTGCCTTGTACTTGCACTTGTTGTGTGCATTGTGTAGAGAGACTCGTATACAGATTGTGCACTCACCTCACACTCTTCCCTTATATTCCCCACCCATGGCCAGGTCTCGATCAGCTACGGATCAGCTCGCGGAAGGTAAATGAGAGCTCGTACCACGGAAGGGAGCCATCCAACAATTGCGGTGTGATTTACCAGGCTCATGGCGTGACTTGCCGACCCTCGAACGGCCTGTGACGGGGATGAATAGCCATCGACCAACAATTATTGTATTTAACGGACAATTTGCAATGGCCAGAGCGGGGTCTGTGATGGTGGGCGCTGGTGGCAGAGGAGGGTGACAAGCAGAGTAAAATCGAGAGGAGGGGAGCGAGGAGGGGGAGGGACTAGTCAGTTGGCAGAGAGGTTGGCCTACCCACACCCTTCAATCGAGTCTTTGAACGACAAGAAACGGAGAGGAACTCGTGGCTGCACAATTGTTAGAGCCGGAGTGTCACGCTTTCCCAGCGAGTTCGGAGGGGATAGTAAAGGAATGAGTAATTGCAAAGACTTGTAACCTCGGGGACCTCTTAGTTTGGAGGATACGCTCCAAACGCACCTTGTCCGAAGGCGCTAGCTGCAGCGGATCGCGAGATAGAAAGTACAGGAGGTCGTAGATGCGAATTTTCTCACTTTTCTCCGATTAGGAAACGCGACGGTTGATGTTCGGTCACGTCACGCGGGCCGCGCAGGGTGGACCGTCGGAGGCCCGCCATCTCGACGCGGACTCGATTTCAGCTGGACTCGCCGCTCGCTCGACAAGTACCGCCAGGCTCGAACGCAGACTCGAAGCTCGCACCTACTCCCGCACCGCATCCCACTCTGCCTACACCCAACCTGTCCGTAACACCATCTTGCTCGCAGGCCCCTCCGGGAGTGGGAAGACAGCGGCGGTCTACGCCTGCGCGGCCGAGCTTGGCTTCGAGGTCTTCGAAGTCTATCCCGGCATCGGACGTCGCAACGGCGCCTCAGTCGACCATCTGGTTGGCAATGTCGGTCGCAACCATATGGTACGGCAGGCAAGGGCGGACGCGTTGGCGGGTGGCACCAAGGCCAAGAACGCTTTTGCGGCACTGATGAAGGGGAAGGCAGCCGACGAGGAGCCGCCTGCGGACGATGCCTCGCCGGCTGCAGACGCTGCCTCGCCGCCGCCTGCTTCCAAAGAGAATGGCGCAACGTTCCGGCAGTCGCTCATCCTTCTGGAAGAGGTCGACATCCTGTTCAAGGAGGACACGAATTTTTGGCCCTCCCTCGTCACGTTCATCAAGTCGAGCCGGCGCCCAGTGGTGTTGACGTGCAACGGTCAGTGATATCTCCGCCGCTAGCCCAGGGTTTGCCAGCTGATGCGCGCGCGCCTCGCAGACCTATCGATCGTGCCTTTGTGGGCCTACGACATCCCCCTGCAACATGTCCTGCATTTCTCGCGCTGCCCAGCCCCGCTAGCGACTTCTCTCTTGCAATCTCTGTGCTACAAACACGCGCGCCTGGTGCCGCGTGAAGACATCGCGCGCTTCTGCGACTCCCGGTTCGACGCCGAGGACACGCGAGCGGCTTCTGGCTGTGATCTGCGGCATGCGATCAACGCGCTGCAGCTGCATTGCACGACGCGTGCGGGGGGGAGGAAGAGGGAGGAAGAAGAGGAGCTGGATGTGTTGAATTGGGAGGATTCGGAGGAATCTGGTGGGGGAGACCCGGTCGTTGCGGCGGCTGCTCGCTCGGTGCATAGGCGGCGGCAGGCGGTGCACTCTGAATTGCTGTCATTCATGGATGCGCATGCGTGCATTCGCAGTTTGGGACAGGTGTGTCCTACCCTCGCTACGATGTCCGAACTTTCTCACTTCTTTCCTTCAGATTGACCCCTGGGCTCGTAGCGCGCCTGCCGACGATGATGAGCTGGGGCACCAGGTGCTCTTCGACCTGCCGTCGTACCCCGACGTGGACGTCGCCTTCCGCGACCGCGTGGGCGAGCTCGCGGCCACGGCGGCACGTTTGTCTGCACGCGCCGCACGTGGGCCAGGCGTGGATGTGCCGCCGTCATCGCCGCCACGTCCGCGCGCATGTTACGGTGCGCGTGCGCTGTTCCGCGCTCGCGTGGAGAACGCGGAGCGCGTCGCTCGACTGCGTGGCATCCCCGTGCTCGCTAGTGCCGGCGGGGATGAGGCACTGTTCCTTGATTACCTGCCATATGTGCGCCATATGGCTGCCACGGACGACGCGCTGGAGAGGCTCGCGATGAGCGGCGCTGGCGGCGGCGTCGCGCGCGGGCGAACGACGAGGAACAGCCTGCGCGCGCAATATGTTCGGACGGTGGATCTGACGGAGGGGCAACGGGAAGCGCTGGCAGCTACTGCGCTCGTGGGATAGAAGTGCTGGGACGGGCTATCAGGATTCATCGGGAGAAAGGATGGGAGCGGGCTGCAGTCAGTCGGGCCAGCCTGAGGCTTCGAAGCGTTGCGGATGATACCCTAGGAAACTTACCAGCACCCATTGTTACTGGTTCGAAACCGGTTTCGTACTGGTATCATACCGGACCCCCTTCAAGGGCTGAGCGGGGTCGGTACCATACCATACGCAATATGTGGCGTCGACGCTCAGTGCGACGCTGAGGCGGCTAGCAGGCTTCGTTGGACGGTTGAGGACTTTCCGTGACGTGAGCTTTCTGTTTGGCACCCTCCCTTGTAGGTAGCTGCAATGTAAACGGTTTTCCTGCAGTTCGTGATCAATTGGTGGTCACGTGTGTGCTTGATTTGCTTGATGAAGCCGCTTGCCCACGGAAAGCTCGGCGGATTCCTCTCTGCTCGGGTCTTCTGACGCACAGGCTGGCATGAAGGTAAGATCAAATATGTGGAGCAGGATATTGTACTATGCGCTTCAAGGCGAAGAGAGTGTTCATGAACGCGCGGGCAGAAAATCACGTGACGACGCCGCAGAGCGCCACAAAGTGGCAAGAAACTGTTTCCGAACCTCGTCTGGAAGGGGTCCCGCACCACTCACGGTACGAATGGTAAAGGTTCCGGGAGGTATCATCCGCAACGCTACTGTACTTCGAAGCAGGGCGTAGAGGACTTAATTTAGCCATATATGGTAGTCACGGTGGCGGCGGGCTAGAGCACGTGGCATTTTCGGGGGAGTTTGATCATGTTGGCCGCTCGTTGATTTCTTCTCTCACTTTCCATTGCCTGTCCCCGGCGCGTACAGCAGCGACGTCGCAAACGCCCACGTCCAGCTGAGCATGCAAAACGGCCTGACGAGCGCGCACGACCAGCCGTCCTCGTCTAGAGTCACGCCCCTTGCCCCGCTCGAGTACCTCCAGAACCAGCGCCGCGGTTCCATCACAGACCCGTCCCTCCACGCAGCTGCAGTCACAGCCAGCCCCAAGCAGGCATACCAATCCATACGCTACCCAGACCACTCCCAGTCAGATCCAAGAAATATGTCAGAACCGAGGCCCGCGCCATCCTACGTCTTTGGCGACGCAACGCGTATGCATCCCGCCCTTATCGACCATCGCTTCTTGGCTTACCCCATCATCTTCAGCCCGCGACGACCGCCAACAAGACCAGCACCCTTCCCAGGATCCTAGTGCGTCGTTAGATGCAGCAAATCGGGCTTCGTTGTTTACCTCTAGCGCAGGATCCAAGACTTCGACCCCCTCCGAGGGCTCGCGTGGAGACCAGCAGGCGTCCCAGTCTCGTCCAGACTATCCTTCCAGGCGCCCTTCAGCTGCCGACGCCCATCCGCCCCAGGGAACAAAGCGCAAAATGTCCGGAGACCGCAGTCCGCACCCCGGAAACGGAGAGATCGACCCCCAGTTGGTCGGCCCTGGTGGCATAACCCCTATGGACGTCGACCCCGACGCGCCCGCAGCCAAGCGCCGCGGCTCCGCCGTCGACGCGCGCATCGGTCAGCTCAACCTCAATGACCGGCGGGGATCGACTGCCGAGGCGCGCCCATGGTGGGCGGGCGAAAGGCGCGACTCGGCGCCAAGCGTATATGCGCCTGGTGTGTCGAGCGGCAGCACATACACGCTTCCTGTCGCCGGCCAGCAGTACCCTTGGGCGCCGCCGCCCGGCCAGGAGCAGCCGCCTCCGGGCACGGCTCATCCCCAACAAGCCCCTGAAGGATCACCACAGGCTGGAGGGCCACCCGTACATTCTCAAGCGGTTCATCCCGCTCACGCTACGCACCTTACCCACCCGCATATGATGATGCAGCCCGTGTATACTGCCGACAGGCGTATGTCGATGCCCGAGTCAACGACGGAGCGCGTGCTGCGTTCGCGTCAGCGCGGCTCGCAGGACGGTTTCTCGCCTGCGGAGGCTGAAGCTGCCAATGCACTCAATAATAGGCCCAAGGATCCCAATACGACGCCGTACTCGCGCTCGCCTGAGCTGCGCGTCTCGCACAAGCTTGCTGAGCGCAAGCGTCGAAAGGAGATGAAAGAACTGTTCGATGAGCTCCGGGACCAGCTTCCCGCCGATCGCGGAATGAAGGCAAGCAAGTGGGAAATACTCAGCAAGGGTGAGCACGTTTTTGCACGCGGCTGGTAGAACATGGCGCTCACGCATGCCATGTGGCAGCGATCGACTTTGTCCAGCAGATGAAGCAGACCCAGGCGGACATGGCGAGGGAGATGGAGCTCATGCGGCAGGAGATCGATGCCATGCGCGGTGGTGGGCAGCCGCCTCCGCATGCTGCCCAGTACCAGGCGCAACCGCCGCCGCATGTCATCTACGGGCAGCCTGGTATGCCCCCTTACGTGGCAGGCGCCCCGGCCCCTGCGACTGCTGTCCAGGCGCAGCCCATTGGTAGCGCCCCTCCCCAGTCGCATACGCCTATCTCGCGCCCTCCTTCGTCGCAGAACGGGTACGCGCCGTCGGGTCCTACACCCCCTGGCACTGCCGCCCCTCAACCAGCGAACGGTCGGGCGGACACTGTCCCCAGCCAGTAAATGATCCTTCACGTACTAGCATGACCTCTACTCCTCTCTTCCTTGTCGTATATCGTGGCTTGGCTTCTTCTCCCAGGTCTGGCATGCCGTTTTCGTGTTCTCTATTATTTGCGGTCCTACGTTCACTTGCGCGAAGTCGAGCCGAATACCAATTCTTTACCGTTTCGTGCTAGCTAGAACGTGATGTGTATACATGTAGCAGTATCGTTGAATTCATGTCCTTGACGTCGGCCATAAAGAAGGCCTTGTTCGCTGCTCTCAAAAGAGAACAAAGGCATGTCGGCGCGGACAGCCGGAGATTGCAGGATTGCGTCACACGGGTGACTGTTTCGCCACGCTCTTGTCATCGACCACCACCGTCTCGCGGTCCAGTCGGCTACCTTTGCTCTCTGCGCCGAGCTAGTGACCGCCGGAGTGCTGCTGCACGCTATCATTCCCCACACGACCTCAGTTTCTTTCACGAATCACGCATATACCCTACTAGAACCTCCCGCAAGTCTTCATAATGGCGCCAAAGAAACCCATCAACATCTTTCATCCCAAGAAAAAGCCCATCCAGCGGCCTAAGGAGATAGGCCCGGATGGCAAGCTTGTCGACAAATTCGTCCCCATCCTACCCTCCTCGAAGGCCAAGCCAGAAGAGGACGAGATCACACTTCCGCCAGACGACCACCCGTATCAGGACTTCAAACTCATGTCCTCTGCGCTCAATGGCTGGAAATACGACATCATGAAGCTCGACTCGCGCACGCCGATCGAGCTGACGTCGTGGGCACCGCCGATCAAGCTCAACCGTAAAGAGCTGCGCCGGGAGGACGACGGGTCGGGGTCTAACGCGCCTGTCGCGGTCGACTTCATGCGCGGGCCAGATGGCAAGCCCGTCTTCGGGCCTGATGGGCGCAAGGTCATGGTCGACGCGGAGGGCCGCCCGATCCGGGACGGCGACGGCGCGCCTGCGAAGGGCAAGGGCGCTGCGAATGGCGGGCGGAAGAAGTTCCAGAAGAAGACGAAGCAGGTGTTCAAGGTGCCCGAGGAGGTGCGCGCGCTGCGCAGGGAGGAGCGCTACCCGTGGACGCTCGAGGACTCGACCGGGGGCGAGGTGTGGGTGGGCCAGCTGGAGGACATGAACCGCGCAGAGCAGATCGGCGCGTTCATGCCCGCTGCGAACAACACCTTCCAGTTCGTGCCGGTGCACCGGTGGTACAAGTTCTCGAAGCGGCTGAAGCACTCGTTCCCCACGGACACGGCGATGGTCGAGGCGGAGGTGCGTGCTGTGCTTGTGTGGCGGAGTGCGGGGGCTGACACTCCTTGGCGTTGCAGTACCAGAAGCAGCAGAAGCGCGACCCTGCTGCCTGGTTACAGAAGGTGACGGGTCATGCACCATCAGCCGCGACCCAGGAGCTCTTCAATGCGCAGAGGGAGGGGCGGTATGTTGGCGTTGCGGAGTACGGCGAGAGTAGAGGGCCCGGTGGTCGGCGACTCCAGACGGTCAGCCGAACTACCGACTTGTTTGGGGACGGCGACGACGATGAGGACGCCGCTGCAGCTCGCCGGCGGAGGGAGGCGGAGCTAGGCGCCGATGCAGACATGGACGAAATGCTATACGAGGATGATGTCGCCGACGATGACGGACAAGCAGCCGTCGATCCTGCTGATCAGGATGACGAAGAGGCGAAGGAGGTTGAGGTTCGTATACACCCTGACTTGCGCCTTAGCGCTATCGCTGACGATCATGACAGGAGCGCCTCAAGCGCGAGTACATCCAAGCGAATAAGATGCGCGATGGTTATATCGATGCGGACGACGATGAGATGCCCACGAAAATCTCGAAGAGTGCAAAACGCATGCAGCGGATGATCCGCCAGCGCGAGGGCAATAATGCGTACGAAAGCGACGACGATGAAAATCCCTATGCTAGCTCGGTACGCGTCGTCCATGTCATGTCAGAGTAATGGGCTAACAATTTATGCAGGAAGAAGAAGAGTCGGAGGAGGAGGAATTGCTTCCTTCGCAGGCGCCTCTCACACAGCCTCCCCCCGGTCAACCGCCCACACAGCCCCCTCAAGCACCAAAGCTTGCGACTAACGGGGCGGGCCCTGCCAACGCGCCTCATGACTCTCGTCCCGGCTCACCTGTTACTCCGACGTCGCCATCTCTCGGAGGCCATTCCATCGTCGCCATGCGAGCCACCAGCCCGAAGTTTAAGCAGACCGTCCCAAGCGGCTCTGGAAGCCGAGCAGGCAGTCCTCTTGCGGGTGCAGCACGCGGTGGATCGCCTTTCGGAGGTCGGGCAGGCAGCCCCGTCGCCAACGGCCAAGCGTCTTCCAACAAGCGCAAGGCGCCAGAGGATGGGCAGTCGCCGACGCCTGGCGCGCCACCACGCACCAAGAAGCGCAAGCACGCCCCGCTTGCGCCGCTCGAGGACCGTCATGTCATCGATTGGCTACGCGAGCACGACAAGGTGACGACGCGCGAGTGCATCCAGCACTTTACACCCTACCTGAAGGACGAGGGCGTGAAGGCCCACTTCACGCGACTTGTGAAAGAAGTTGCGCAGTTGAAGGCTGGGCAATTGGTGCTCAAAGCACAATATCGCGAGCCTGGATCTGCGCCGCCGGTAACTCCTTCGGCGGCGTGAAGTAGAGATCCCGTTCGGCTGGCAGACGGGCTTGGAGGTGCGTGGTTGGCCGTGGGGGTTTTACTCGAGGCGGACTCGGGAGGCCGCCTGTGTACTCCTCGTCCATACTGCACCTTCAATTATGTGTGTGTATTATTAACCTCTTGGTTTATCGTCCGTCGCGGAAGGTCGAGTGTGTGGTTCATCTGTTCGTCCTCGCGCCTTGCCTCGACCCGGGCCGGGTGAGCGGTCAGCGAGCGGGAAGGTGAGGTTTTTGTGATCTTTTCTTATCGAGCGGACTCGCCGGGGTCTGAGACGGCTTGGGGGCGGGCTCGGGCTGCTGCTGCCCATGGTACGTTCGGGGACATGGCCGTTTTTGTGGAGTCTTTCGGTGTCGCACGGTGAGTGGACGCCATGCCAGTCTGCTCTCGAGGCTGATCGGGCGATTAGCGCCAATCAGAGCGGCGGTTCATTTTGAGTAAAAAGATATTTGATTTCCCTTGATCGAAGCCGAGTTCAAACGGATTCGGAAGACAGGGGGTGCGTCCATGCTTTTGGTAGCGCGGCGTGATATGCCCGTCCTCCGGCTGCCCCGCGCCTTGCCTTCTCCCGCCGCGAAGTGTGCTCGCAGGACTTAAAGGGCGCCCGCGCACATCTCCGCTCTGCTCATTCTCCTTTCCTCAGCGGGTCAACAGCAGATATGAAGGCATTCGGCATCGCGCAGACTATCCTCTGCGCGTCTACTGTGGCGTCCGCGCTCTTCGCCCCTACCCCAACTACCCCCCACGAAGGGCACGAGCACGTCGCTCGCCGCCGCACGGACAAGCGATGGTACCACGATGATGACCACCCGGTTCGCAGACTCTTTGTGCGCCAGGATGGAGGCAACACGGCAGAGTATGGGACTCCTGGTGCGTTCCCCCTCTCCCCCCTTCCCCCGCCCTTGCTCATTCCGCGTAGAATGGGCGCACGCATACCCTACCGGCACGCCTACCCCCGATCAGATCCCGCAGGACTGGCTCGACGCGCTCAAGGCCGCTCAGGACGCGGGCAAGATCCCGGACTTCCCGCCCACCACCGTCCAGAACGACAACCCCGTCTATCCCGAGGGCAGCGACCCCAACGGCCCAGAGATCTGCTCATCGTACTACAAGTGCCGCGCGGACGGCACGCTCTGGGACGCGCCCGAGGGCAAGTTCGGTGTTGGTTTCGACGATGGCCCCTACGATGTGCGCCCGCTGCCACCCGCTCCCCTTTGATCGCTGACGCGTCTTCGCAGGGTACGACGAAGCTCATGGACTTCCTCTCGGAGCAGCAGCAGGCCGCGACTCACTTCATCATCGGTCTCTACATCACGTACTACCCGGATGAGTTCAAGCGCATCTTCGACTCGGGCGACGATATCGCCGTGCACACTTACACGCACCCGCACATGTCTTCGCTTTCGAACGAGGACCTCGTCGCACAGTTTGGCTGGACGTTGCAGATCATCTCCGACGCTACTGGTGGCCGCATCCCGCGCTACTGGCGCCCTCGTACGTGTTGCGGCATCTCCCTTTGGTCCCCTGCTCACGGCACCTATAGCTTACGGCGATTCTGACAACCGCGTCTTCGCTATCGCCAAGGAAGTCTTTGGTCTCGAGGCCATCCTCTGGAACCAGGAGTGCGTTTCACGCTGCGCAGCTACTATCGCTTGTAACTGACTACTCCCTAGTACTGAGGACTGGAGTCTGACGACTGGCGGCACCACGATGCAGGCCATCAACTCGTCCATGCACGACTGGCTGACTGGTACGTCGAGCGCTCATCAGATGATGTGCTGAGCAGTGCTAATGAATCGTCGCAGGTCCGAAGTCGCCGGGCCTCATTGTTCTCGAGCACGAGCTTTCTTTGGACTCGGTGCAAGCGTTCATGGATGCCTATCCCGTCATGAAGGAGAACAACTGGGACCTCGTGTCTGTTGTTGACTTTGGCTCGTATGACCACGTCTACCAGAACTCGGACGACAACACCGCCGATGTCACTTCGACCTCCATCCTCGCGCCTTACGAGACTGGCTCGGCATCTGCCTCCGACGCTGAGTGAGTGGCCACTCCTGTAACAGATGATTGCGGCGCGCTAACGGGCTCCTATCAATAGCTCTACGACCAAGTCGGGCTCTGATAGCGATAGCACCACCGAGAGCGGCTCCTCCTCCACCACTGGCACGCACGGCAGCTCGTCCACCAAGGCCTCTGGCAGCGCCAGCCATGCCACCTCTGCCGCGGCTTCCGCCTCATCCGCCGCTGACACCACCGGCGACTCGAACGGCGCGCACGCCCTCCAGACCCCGCTCAACGTCGCCATCCTCTCCGTCCTCGCTGGTTTCCTCTTCGCGGCCTGATTTGGCCCGCTGCAGGAAGGACCTACTCCGTCCGCCTAGAACGCCCTCCATCTATTTATCCATCCGCTCATGAGAGATACTACCAGGACCATCATCCAACCATCTTATAACGCCCGCGCCCGAACTGTCTATCCACATACCTGCTCATAACAGCAGCCGCACTACGCTGCCTGCCCGCCCGCCCGCTGCCTACCCCACCCGCATACCTGCCCCGTTTGCCCGCTATCTACATAGTACTCTGACTATTGTAATCCTGCCGCTCCTTTTTGTCAACGTCGCCGACGAGACGCCATTACTGCCGCTGCCGCTGCCCAGTATCCTTACCGATGCTCGCACCGCACCGCACTACCCCCTTTCCGTTCGATACGGCCTACGCTACGCGCGTACCCCTATCCATCTATCTAACTGTCGGTCAATGACATTGACTTCGCTGTCGTTACTCCTCTTTCTTCGGACTTCTCTCTCGTGTCTCTAGTCTCTCTTCTCTCCTGCATGCATGGACGGTACTGGTTTGGGTTTTGCTCGCTCATGACGATACCACCGTACATGTAATTCAGAACGTAACTTATAATGCTCCCCTGTACATGTCTCTGCTTACGCCGCCTCTCTGTACATGTAGGAAGAAAAACCACGGGTGTCGGTTGTACATAGTATAATGGATTTTCCTCGACTGCATTATCTCGAATGCCGAGTCTCGATGGCGACAGTGAGGTGGGAACCGCATCAGTTTCAAAAGGCCTTCCTTTTTTGGAAATGCGATCACGCGGGTCGCGTTCGGGATTTCCCATGCTCTCATCGTTGACTTGCAACCATCATGTTCAGTCTCGAGGAGCTCAGGCCTCGAGGGTCGTGGCCGCATGGTCTCTCTCTGTACTGCCTCCAAGGCGGCTTTTACACGGAGTTCGGCGCGCACAAACCCTGGCGGCGCCAGAACCAGACAATTGCGCCAAGCGGACCAGAAGACCGAAGGCGCTCGCTCGTTTATTCGCTTTTTAGCTCTGACTCAAGCGTTTTACCCTCTATATCTTGACGTTTCTGCCCTATGAACGACCTCCTCGCACGTCTCTGCGGCGCGTATCAGGATCCGCCTCGCACCAGAACTTCGTCGGTATTCGAGTGCAATTCACGTATTCTTTCGAGCCTATCACTCCGCACTACCGTCGTATTCTTGGTGGATGTCGCACCATCTTTCCCTCAGGGACTCTTGCGGTTATTTCCTCGACAAAACGGCACGCGTCCGTTGATTTCGGCACTCTGCAAAGCCCGGGGGCTGTAATACAGATTTTGTTTGCGGGCGCCTATTGTCCTCACGACATGCGGTTGCCTTGTTGGTTGCTGACTTACTGCCTCTCGGCACCTTTTGCTCTCACGCTTCTGTTGAATAATCGCGCCGCTCTACACCAGGGCGTTGCAAGGCGTTCCCAGAGGTCGCTTGACGCTCGGTTCGACTCGTCGGGGAGTATACCCCGAGTATGCACGCTTTTCAGCCGAGTGCTGCATGTCCTTCGACAGCATCTACTCATGCACCGTGCTGACTACATCTTCGCCTAGGGTCCAGCTACATAAGCTAGTGGCGTACGTACGACGGTCCCCAACGGAGGACACTGCACATACAGCTTGCCATTGCAGCGAGCCGCCACAGTACTGCCAGGCGTGAATGCAGAAGGACGATGCCATATAGAGATGCAGATTATAGGGCTCCTCTCGCAATCCCAGGACCTGGTCAGGCGCTTGGAGTTCTCTATCGGTCGCAAGAAACCTCGCAGCGGTCCATTCTCACTCTTATTGCTATCATGACTTGATAACGGCCAAGGTGGTGAATTTCCCGGTCCTCAATGTTCCCCACCTTACTGTTCGACCTCGTCGCCGGAGGGTGCCTTTACGGCCTCGCATGCGCTGCCTACAACCTCTACATCTCCCCCCTTCGGCATGTGCCGGGCCCTTGGTACGCGGCTATCTCTGATCTCTGGCTCTGGACCTGTCTGCTCCGCCTTCGACAATGCCAGATTATCCATGGTCTCTTCGAGGTCTATGGTCCCGTCGTGCGAATTGGACCGCGGCGGGTCGCCTTCAATGATGTGGCGGGCGTGAGGAGCGTCTATTGTGTGCACAGATTCGACAAGAGCGACTTGTATAAGATGGCTCTGGAGTGAGTTATCGTCGCCCGCGCAGTGAAGTTGGCGTTGATGGCTTCGTCAGGTGCGGCCAAGACCATGCGTAGGACATTTTGAATCATGTATGGTCGTGCGCTGACTGCCTTCCATAGGTTCTGCATCCAAGAACGGGGCCCGCACGCAGCGCGGCGGAAGACCTTTGCGCAACACTACACCCAGCATCATATCTCCAATTTTCTACCTCAAATGCAGGAGCGCGTCGCCGCTTTGGTCTCCGTGAGCCCTCCTCTTCCCCCTCGCCAAGTACTACACGACACGTTACACCTTGCTGACTACAGTGACCAGATCCTAAAAACTAAAAGCGACCCGGTCGACTGCCTAACCATGTTCCACTGCCTCATGACCGATATCCTTTTGGTTGCCACATACGGCGCGCACCAAGAGGCCCTGCAGAAATGGGCATCAGGCGTGGAGGACGTCGTCTCGGAGGCCATGGAGGACTTCCCCAAGCGCGGCATGCTGGTGGGTGGCGTCACCGTGATCAGGATTGCTCGTCTCTAAGCATCTACCCATGCAGCGTAACTCACTGCCTTCTTGGTTATGGAAACTCCTCACCTACTTTCCTATTGAACGGTGGCGACGTTTCTGTGCGGCAGATGAGGTAGTGTATAAGGTACGTATGACCATAATTAAAGCGCACAATCTCGAAGCTATTCTCACGCGGTGGCCAGTTCGTTGCAGATCTCGTAGACGACGTACGCGCGCAGAAGGATGGAGGCCATAAGGGCAAGCCGCTGCCACTGGTCCAGCGCCTTATACAAAGGAGTGCTTTGTCTGACCGCGCGATTGTGGCAGAGGCTATGGGCCATACGTACGTATAAGTATTCACCAGCTCTTATATGGATTTAGGCTGATGAGGGCCGCTAAAAGGATCGCCGGGGCCGACACCACAGCGGCGACGTTGTCGTTCCTCTGCTTCAGGCTTACGCGCCGGCCGGACATTGTGAAGCGGCTCAGAGACGAGCTGGATGGCATCGAGGATGGCGGCACAGCAAGGCTGAGTATATCGGCTCTTCAAAAGCTCCCATACTTGAATGCGGTGCTGAAGGAAGGCAAGCCGCGTGCGCATCAGATATCATTTTGCGCTGACCGATATCCTCAGCCCTTCGACTTTACACCGCCGTCCCTAGCCTTCTCGAACGCGTCGTTCCCCATCTTACTAAGAATGGGGAGCCCTTCGAGCTATCGGGCTACACCATCCCCGGAGGAACGATCGTTGCGGCGCAAGTGAGTGCTCAGAAATCTATCCACAGACGCTGGACTAAAGCTCGCTACCCTGCAGTCCTGGAGCCTCAGCCGCGACCCTGCCGTCTTCCCCTCGCCAGAAGAGTTCGCGCCAGAGCGCTGGCTCGGCTGCGACCCCAACCTCCTCCACGCCCACTTCTTCCCCTTCGGCTTCGGGTCCCGCATCTGCGTCGGGCGGCACCTAGCGCTCATGATGATGCAGCTGACCGTCGCGGCGCTGGTCAGCGAACTTGATATCGAGGCGGCCCCGGGGTCGGATGAGAAGAGTATGGAGGTGCGGGATATGTTTGTGAGTAGTCGGGGATAGCGAGGGTTGCGATGAGCGCTCAAGTTGATTTGCTAGGCTATATTCCCTGCGGGATTGGAGTGTCAGGTGCGATTTGCGTCGTTCTACAAAAAGGGGGGAAGGTAGAGCTGACTGTGATTTCCAGCTCGGTTTCCGCCCCCGGCCGCCCTCCGACATGCACACCAGTGATGGGGGAAATTGACGGTGTACTTTCGAGCAGAGCTTGGTCGGGCACGACGAGGCAGTCCATCGCTTCCGAATGATGCGGTTCGAAAGGGTATTCCACCTTCGTAGCTCCAGCGCGACTACCCTAAATCCACATGAGTATGGACAAGCCACCTATCATACACGATCCTCCACCCCCTCCCCTACAATCCTCCGTCCCCTGCCCATCCCCTGCCCATCCCCTCTCCCTCTCCTCCCCAACATCACGCACTAACCGTCCTCTTCGTCGCCTCACGCACTAACCGCCCGCTTCGTCACCTCATAAATCCTCCTCTGGCCCGCAAACAAGATCGCCGCCGTCAGCACGCTCTGCAGCAGCTTGCTGCCGACGCCCTTGTACAGCCCCCGCACGCCCTCCTCGCGCAGGATCGTGAGCAGGCCGTCGAGGGAGGATTTGTAGCGCAGGGCGGAGGCGTGGCCGGCTTGGAGGCGGGATTTGACGACGCTGGGAGGGAGGGGGGTTAGTGAGGTGATCACCAGCCATGATATGCTCGGTGTAGGGTGGTATGTTCAGTGTAGGGTGGTATGTTCGGCGTAGGATGGTATGCTCAGTGTACGACAATGATGAATGGTGAACAGCATGCGGAAAGAAACACTCACATGTACGGATACGTCGACCCCGTGGCGATGAGCTTCGAGAGCGCGCCGAGGAGGAAGAAGTCCCAGTCGGTGAGGACGGCGACGGCGGCGGAGGCGCCCTTGAGCGCGCGCCGCTGGCGGGTGCGCCGGGCGATGAGGATGTTCTTGAGCTGCTCGAAGACGGTGTATTGGATGACGGGGTTGATGACGAGCATAAGGGCGGGGCCGATCCCGCGCCAGAGGGCTCTGGGAGGGGGGTCAGGTTATTGGTATGGCAAGGTAGAGATGGTAGGAGGAGGGGGAGGTGGTGGAATGAGTGCGCGAAATTGTTCGCTGAGTTTGAGGAGAGACGAAGAGGGTTGGTGAGTGTGCGATGCCACTTACCGGAAGCCATCCTTGTTGAGGATGTTGCGGAGCGTCTCTATGAAGCCGAGGCGCTTCACGACGACCTTTGGTTGCCCATCGCCCTCGGAGGAAGACTCGTCAAGGGTTTGGGTGCGGACGGCCTGGGACGTTTGTATGACCCAGATAGGATTGCTGATGAGTGTAGTGGCAGAGCCTAAATATTCAGGAGCATGAGATGAAGGGATGTAGGAAGGAACTTGTATGTACCTGCGATGACGCCAATGAGCATGGACTCTGGCGTAGTCAATGCCTTGCTGCCGGTGCGCAACTTGAGAAGGAAATCTCGCGAGCGCTCGTAGAAGTAGTAGTAGACGCTATACAGTCGTGAGTAGGAGAAATGGAAGAGAGGGGGATTGGTAGCTTACCCATTCGTGACTGCTATCCCGAGCAAGCTGGAATTGAGTCCACTATAAAGGCCAGTGACGCCCTCGCGCTTGATGATGTCGAGCACGGCTTGTTTAGTAGACTACCATAGTCAGTCGTGCAGAATAGGTCATGTTGGATGTTGCCCACCTTCTGCACATTTCTCGTCTCGACTGCAGCGCGCGTCGAGAGGAAGATCAGTGGGCTGACGAGCAGGTGAGCGCGTCTCCGGAGAGCCCGGGCCGGAGCTCACTAGGTCGCAGACATGGCGACGACGCCACCGAGGGCGCCGGCGGCGGCGTGGATGGCAGAATCGCTGGGCATGTCGCTGGCCAAGGGGATGGTGGGGGAAGGAGAGGAGGAGGAGGGATGGGTGACAGTTGACCGACGTCCGCTCGACGATTGGGCCGAGAAAAGGAATGCGGGGAAATCACATGCGCCCCCATCCATCATCATCCTCCCCCCGACCATGTCGCGCACGGCACTTGCTCTTGACCGTGATTCTACCCTCCTCACGCCTGATTACGACGCCCAAGATGGAGGGAAGGGCAAGCTCGGCGGCGCGGACGGCGCTGACGACGCACAGGCGATCCATCATCGTGCTGCTGCTAACCCTCGCCGTCCTGCGCTCGCGCATGCTCGAGATGCCGAAGAACACGCTCGACAAGCTCCGCGCGGTTGCCAGCAGGAAGAGTCTCTCGGTGGAGGAGCTGTCCGAGGCTCTCCAACAACTCTATGTGACAGAGCCGAACGGGGACAAGACGCTTCTCGTCCCGAGCAGAGATCGGGTGTCGAAGGTGCGATGGCCTCCTTCCCTCCCCACAACGCTCGCTCACCCGTATCCAGGTCACCATCCACGAGACCCCAGACTCCAAGTTTGCCTTCGATGTCAAGCACTTCCCCCTCCTCCCCACATCCACCAAGCAGAAGCCCAACATCAATGGCGCTTTCCTCCGCCAGCTTCGCGCCATCGTCTTCCGCATTGCCATGCCCTCCCTGCGCTCGAAAGAAGCACTCATCATCTTCATGCACTCCTTCTTCCTCCTCATGCGCACCTACCTCAGCGTCCTCGTCGCCAAGCTCGACGGCGCCATCGTGAGAGACCTGGTGAGTCTGCCCCGCGACTGCCGGTGCTGCCTATTGACCGTGCATCAGATACGTGGAGATGGGAAGGGTTTCCTGAAGGGTCTGGGCCTGTGGTTCCTCCTCGCTGTGCCTAGCACGTATACGAACACCATGCTGCGCCACCTGCAGTCGAAGCTTTCGATGCGCCTGCGCACCAACCTCACTCGATACCTCCACGACCTATATCTCTCCTCGTATCCCAATCTTCGGTACTACCGCTCAGGTATCGAGGGTGTCGACCAGTATATTACCTCCGACGCAGAGGCCTGGGCAGACTCGCTCGCTGGACTATAGTGCGTATGCGTCCCTGTGGTCATGAATTTCGGGTCGACTGATTCTTTTTGCAGCGGCAATATCCTCAAGCCCTCCCTCGACCTTGTCCTCTTCACCGGCCAACTATCCAAGTCGCTCGGTCTTCGAGGGACCTTGCTACTCTTTGGCAACTACTATGCCACCGTGTCTATCCTGCGCGCGGTCACTCCAGCCTTCGGGCGTCTAGCGGCAATCGAGTCGAGATTGGAGGGCGAATACCGAGCGGGCATGGGGCGAGTGGGAAGAGAGGCGGAGGAGATCGCGTGAGTGGCGTATTTGTGGCACTGCCCAAGTCCGAGGTACTAAGGCGCACGTTCAAAGCTTCTACAACGGCGGCGCGCGCGAGAAGACGATCCTGATGAACGCATATATGCGGCTCATCAAGCATGTCAACTCGATTTTCAAGGTGAGCATAGAGACTATGCAGCGCTCTCTTTGGCAAGGAGTATAAGTACTGACTGACCATCCCAGATCCGCATCGCCTACGAATTCACGGAGGACTTCGTCATCAAGTACCTCTGGTCCGCGGCGGGCTACGTACTCATTGCCGTCCCATTGCTCTTCACGCGCACGAAGCGGAGCTTGGGGATCCAGACGGGAGACAAGGATATCCCTAGGAGACCAGATCATGGTGTGGCGGATAGGACGGAGAGTGAGTTTTCAGTGACCTCCTTCATCATCTAGGCTGCTTGCTAACTCTGGTCACTCTTTGCTGATTCTGTTACCTTTCGCCAGCGTACATTTCCAACCGCCGCCTACTCCTCTCCCTCGCCGACGCCGGCGGTCGCTTGATGTACGCATACAAGGACCTCCTCGAGCTTGCCGGCCTCACCACGCGGCTGTACACCCTCATCTCGACCCTCCTCAACCTCCCACCGCTCCCCGCCGTGTCATCGGACGCCGACGACGCCATCGAGCTCAGCCACGTCGACGTCGGCATCCCCCTCACCATCGCCAAGGACCCCATCTCCATGAGCGCCGAGGACGTTGAAATGACCGGCACCACGCCCGACGCCTCGCCCCCGCTCGTCAAGGACCTCTCCTTCCTCCTCAGGCAGGGCGACCACCTCATGATCACCGGCGCGAACGGCGTCGGGAAGACCGCCGTCGCGCGCGTCCTCGCCGGCCTCTGGGCCCCGCAGGGCGCCGCTGCCGCCGCCGTCCGGCGCCCTGCCCCCTCTCCCTCCGGCCGCCCGCCCGTGTTCGTCGTCCCGCAGCGCGCGTATATGGTCACGGGCTCCCTCCTAGACCAGGTCATCTACCCGCACTCGTATCCCGAGTTCGTCAAATCCGGCAAGACGGAGCAGGACCTGATGGCGATCCTGGAGATGGTGTTCCTCGCGTACCTGCCGGAGCGGGAGGGCGGGTGGGGGACGCGGAAGGAGTGGAGGGATATACTGAGTGGGGGAGAGAAGCAGCGGATGGGGCTCGCAAGGGCGTTTTATCATAGGCCGAAGTTTGCGATTTTAGACGGTGAGTGGGGGGTGGTGGTGTTGGGGTTTGGCGAGGGGCTCATAGATTGACAGAGTGCACGAGCGCGGTGTCGAGCGATGTGGAGGGTAGGATGTACGAGCATGCGAAGAGCTTGGGGATCACTCTCATCACCATCTCTCTCCGGTATGTCCCCACCGTCCGATCCACACTTTCGCGACTGACACCCCGCGCCACAGGCCCTCCCTGATGAAGTACCACACTAAGTTGCTTACGCTGGCCGGCGACGGCACCGGGCGGTGGACGCTCGCGCAGATCGGCACCGCGGAGGAGCGCGTGGGCATCGAGCGGGAGATCGCGGCGCTCGAGGAGCGGCTGGAGCAGACGGAGAAGTGGGAGGCGCGGCTGGGCGAGTTGGATCGGCTGTTGGCGGCGCAGGAGGGGGTGTGAGGGGGGCGTGGGAGGTGGCGCGGGCGGTGGGTTGAGGGTGGCGTGGGCGGTAGTTTGAAGGCGGTGCAGGAAGGGGTTGGAATGCGGTGGGGGTTTGTAGGAGAGTGGTGCTTGCCAATGAGTGGAAAGGCGTCGAGTGTATCACTATCTGTATCACATCGGAGGGATCTACGTTCTGCTCATCCCGCTGTCCGGCAAGCACGACCAAGCAAAAGCTGGCCACGAGCCTCCTCATGAGACGATATGATCGACAACGAGGTCGAAACAGGATATGCATGGGCATGTACGGCTAGCATGAGTTCTGTTATGGCATAGCCTGTCGAACGAGGGCGTCGTGCCTATGCGTGCCGTTTGGACGAAGGACACAAGAAGGCGCGACCCTACATCAAGTGCGTCGGTATAGTGGCAGTCACAAGTCCAGGCTCAGAGGTCGAGGGTCCCCGGGGCAGCAACCGTGAAAGTCTCGTCGAAGGGTGAAGGTGCCATTTCCTCCTCTTGCATAGATTCCCAGACATCCGTTGCCCAGGTCTCTATGGAGGGCCCATACTCGATTTCTCCTTCATCTTCTGGCTCGTCCTCGCCGCTCTCGCCTTCGCCCACACCACTCCACGAGGCTGACTCCTCATCGGATGGGGGAGCACGCCCTGGAGGAGTGCGGTATCCGGAGCCTGTGCCACTCCCTCCGGATCCTTGCCATCTCTGCTGTTGTTCTTCGCCGGAGCGGTCATCGCCATCTCCAATTTCCCTGGCGTAGCTAGAACCGGCACGACCATGGCCGTCACCGGCTGGATCGTCCTGCCACTCGGTAGTCGGTACGGCGTGCATCCATGCATCGTAGATGTCCCAGACATCGAGCACTCGCCGGCAATCCCTAGGGGCAAGACTAGGGAAATCGCGCTTGAGGTAGGCTTCGGTCGGGCGGCACCGATCGTAGAATCCGAACAGCTTTCGCCCAGTGTTGCAGATGACGAGATGGTACGGAACATGGAGCGATCTATTTGGCAGAAGGTCGAAGGGATAGTGGTAGTTATCCATCGGAGTATGCGGGTTACATTTGGAGACGACCTCGGGGAATACACTGATCGGACGAGTTCCGTCCATAGCGGGGAAGGGGATTAGCGTGTAGGCGAATTTTTTGTTGCCGAGATAGAACTAGGCTGATGAGCATGATCAGTGTGTCGCTGACGGCAGCACATACCTACCTCCTGGGGCTTGCGACGTGCGCTGGGGTAGTTCGGAGTCGCACCAGCAGTTGGGGAGCCCGTATATGCTCGACACATCTGGAGGATCACGTTGTCCATGACTGGAAGCCAAAACCACCCGTTGTGTTTCTGCCCTTCTGTGCGGTCAAAAAGTTTGCGCAGGACTACGTCGACTGCCAGGAAATGAGCCGCATAGTATAAAGGAACGAAAACAGCACTTACGGGGATGAATATTGAGGCTCGTATGGACATTGAACGCCTGGTACTGCATGCCCCATGACCATTCTAACTTTGTCAGCTTGAGAACTGCCTTAGCTTGATTTTCTTGCATAACAAACGAATTTCCTCACAATGTCTGGGTCTGTCGCACGCTCAACGAGATGCGCGTACTCCAAGTATGTCACATGTTCGCTGGCTAAGGTGACGACGCAGAATGTAGAAGGTACACCCCAAAGCTTCTTGACCCTTTCGTCGACATTTCTCCGCTGAGTAGTCCCGATAGATGAGTGCTTGTGGGAGCGCTTGCGCGGCGTGAACAGGAGGCTTTGGCGGGGTCGCTTTTTGGAGGTGTTGGCTGCAGCAGAGGGAGCTGGAAGGACTTGGCCATCTTCCGGTTTAGACATCGAAGGGTCGGACATGCTAAGATAATGAGATGTTCGGCTGAGAGCAAGGGCCCATAAGCGCTCAGACTCATCTCACATCGAAAGTGGATTTCCCACGCGTCGATCTGTGCCGTCCGGACCCTTGACCTCTCTTGACGTTCACACTGAGGAGAATTCTGAAGAGTTTGGCCCGTCGCCAGTGAGAACCACCAATCGAACTTGTGGACAGCCCCGTTCGTGTGTTGCTAGTGGGGAGTCCAGGGGAGGAGCGGCGAGTGTCGACGGAGGATCCTCGAGCTCGACGAAGGTCGTCGCTACCCGTGAGCGTGTCCCGGGTCTGGATAGCTACTCAAGAGTACCAGATGATCGATGATATATGATAGCCCGTTCCAAGTGCAGCAGCTTGGACAAGAACGTCAATCCCAGCTACCAGGGCTTCTAATGTGCGACCATCACTAACTACTGCTTTGGAGGTAGTACTTCGTAGAGTCCAAATATATGTATGCCGTTCATTCAACGTAAGCCTCGACTGTCTGCTCCATCCCTACACTGCCAGACCTCGTATGGACATCGCCTTACAGGTTGGCCAACAACGCCTTCAGCTTGTCGACGTCCCTCTTGAACGCCGTCGAGTTCCTGGCCCCGGGAAGTGCACCGCGCAGCCCCCCAGCCGAGCTCGCTACTGAGCCCCCGTCCTGCGCGAGCTGGATACCATCGTCCTCCTCAAGCCACTTATCGAGCTGCGCCGTGATGGAGCGCGCCTTCAAACGGAAATGCGTCTGTATGATGTCGGCGAAGGGCTCGGGCGGGTTCTTCAGGTTCTCGAGCATCTGAGGAGCAAGCCAGTCAGATCGGGAGCGGAGAGGCAATAGATTACAACGCACAGCGATCCTGACGTTCATTCGACGGCAATTCTTAGTGTCTGGAAGAAGGTTAGCACATGTGGGCTGACGTGAGGGCGGGCCTGCTTACAGGCTATGGACGCCGCAGACCCCTGCGAGTTCGCCCATGCGGGTTCGTTCAAGTACGGCTCATCACATAAGATCATGGATTGGATGGAGATGAGAACCTGGCGAACATTAGTACCAATCTGGTTGACGCAGAACAGGAAGACGAACCTGCAATAACGTCGACTTGCCAGCGACCCAGCCTGGTCCTGACCACGTCCCGAGCAGTGACAAGCAGACCTTGCCATCCTGGAAGACAGGTCGGTATGTAATATGGGCAGCAATGAGAAGAAACGTACGGCGTAGAGATTGGGATTGAACCGATACTGACCACCGCCAGTCTGGGAGCCGATGAGTGGTGATCTGCGTGAAGCAGCCGAAGAACGCACCGTCATGTACTTGACACTGGGTGGTGACTGATTGTACGTCGCGCCCAAGAAGATGTCAAAGCAGTAGCTGTACAGGATCAGGTTCAAGGTCCCTCTTCATGACGGTGATGTGCTCACCATCCGTTGTAGTACCTGAGGATGGATGAGCTTTTCGATCGAACGCGATATTGACTATACTTACGGAGTGCCTTCGGGGCCTGTGATCAGCGCCTTGATGACATCCACTCGGGTCTCATCAACGCGCAGGAAGATAGACGAATGCCATGCCACAGGTAGATTGGTAGTGAGCGTAGCAAGCTGGGGAAACTGTTAGCCGGCAGCTACGGACGTCAACAACGTCAATTATACCTCCTTCGCAATTGCAAGTGACCGCTTCGGGATATCCGACGTCGCAAGCATCCGCGCCTCGTTATTATAGTAGAACTTGTAGTGCGGCGTCCCATCCTCCGTGTCCAGATCCGGTACCGTCAAGTCGCAGTACTCGAACCGCACCTGCGTAGCCCAGTCCACGTACGCCTTCATCGCATCCTCCTCCGTGTCGCCTGCCTGCACCGCATATGCCTCTGCGCCCGCGCTCGTGGTGTTGACCTTTGGCAGCGAGTCGTGCAGCCGCTTCACGAACGCATCGCCCTTCGTCTCGCGCAGCGAGCGGTCAATCGCTTGCGCAGTGGCGACGATGCGCGTACAGAAGCTGAGCAGCCGCTCGTTCTCCTCGTTCATCGCACGCGGCTCCTCGCGGGACTTGCCCTTGTTCTCGTTTGTCATCCGCTTCTGCTCTTCAGTGAGCTCGACATCGGCGGGCTCCTGAGCCTTCATGCCCTCGAGACCCTTGAGCGCAGCCCGAGCTTGAATGGCGATTGATTCGAGAAGCTCACGCGGTCCCGCGCTGCCTTCGTAGACGATGGTGCGCTCACGAACCGGAGGGCCAGCGGAAGACTTTCGCGTTGTGGTTGTCTTTACGGACTGCGGGACCATGATAGGCATCCCCATCATGCTAGCCAACGCTTCGTGGTTCGATATGGTCTGTAAACGTGTTACGATATGCACGCTGGACGTATGTGGAGCAGCCTACCTCCAACCATTCCAACAGCTCAAAGTACAGAGTAGAACGCTCAGACATATCGGCAAGCGAGTCGTTTCTTAAGAGGGTACTGCAAACATAGTTGAATCGTCGACGTAGGTGCGCAAGTGCCGTCGGGTGGACAAGATAATCGCTGGTTCGACTGCCGCCAGGTCGGCGCAGGGATGGAAGATACTCGCGTATCTGAGTCAGGAGCGCAGCGATCGTTCTGTCTTTTGCCTGCTGCAGAGCCATGGCTTCTTGTTGACCAGAATGCTGTTCTCGTCAGACGATGTTGCGAAGCTTACAAGAACACTCACGTCCTCCTTCTGATCACCTGCGTAGCCAATGCCACCCTTCTGCTTCGTAGGAACGCCCGTGTAGTAAGTATCGTCATCTTCGTCTCCAGACGGCAGAGTCGGCGTTTGCGTCTTTCGTCGTTTCGCTGTCCGCTCAGCGTTTCTGCTAGGCCCCTGCTCGCGCTGCTCCACGAACATCTGCTCCAGCATAGAAAGACCGACACCAAGGAGGACACCCTGCAGATTAGAGCAGTGAAATAGGGGGTTATCGTCCTGAGCCATAGAGGGGCGTTTGACCTTGTCTGCAGATAGATGCTCGCCGCAAGCAAAGCAGAACTCTGTCTGACAGTTGGGACACCTCCTTTGAAGGATTCCCCGCAGGTGATCAATGTACTGCGAGAAGGAGGGCTGCTCCGCATCGTTAGGGCATGCGCGCTTACGTTCCGCGTCGCGACATACATATATCGTGAAGAAGTCGCGCTTGTGACGTTGGATGCTGTAGGTGCAGCCTGCATTCGGGCAGGGACATGCGCCTTCGCTGAGTTGGGTGTAGAGTTGGAAGAGGAAGCTTTGTTCGGATCCCTCGGAGCAACCCTTCATCCATTGGCCTTGGGTCATGAGCTTCGCCTTCCGTCCATCGGAGAGGGTGACCTCCTCTGGCTCCTCCTCGACCTCGATGACCTCCTCGCGGCGATCCTTGGAGAAGAAGATGCCTGACGCGCTAATTAGTGTCGGGAAGTGCGCGCGTTGAGGGCTCGAACGCACCGGCGTAGGGGTCAGCTTGTGCGCCACCATTATTCGTAGGCCCGTCTCCAAAATCGGAGTCGTAATCGAAGTATTCTGGAGGGCGTCAAGTCAATCCAAATTCCATGCACGCGACGCGCCGCATGTACCGTCATCATCTTCCGCCTCGCCATCGCCGTCTTCATCTTCCTCCTCATCCTCGCCATCCTCTGGTTCTGGTGTCTGATTCGTACATTCAGCACGCGTCTTGTGTGGCACCGAGTATGCACGCACTGCGAGGCGTTTGGAAGCCTTCGACGAGGAGGTCGCGGCCATGGGGCTGTCTCCATCCTCGTCCTTCACATCCGCGAACTCGCCTTCGAAGAACTTCTCGGCGGCCTCCATGACATCTTTATACCGCCGTAACGCGGCGCGCGCCTGCGCTGTCGTCGCGCCCTACCGATAAAGGTCAGAGCGCGCGTGGCGCACGGGGGGATCGCATACCATCTCCACCAACTGCTGCACTTCTCTGTCCGACATGTCGTGCGGACCGTTCGTCACGTTCACTGGGAGAGCCACAAATATGTTTGAGTGAAGAGATTGCAGACAAAAACCGGCCCTCGTCGTCGTCCTGAAAGAACAACAGACGCCGCGGCTCACCGGTCCAGCCTAATTTACGTAAGTTCGCTACACGTGGGCCACACTTGGCCCTCCCAGTTCGAAGTCGTCAAGTTCATTATCTCGACACCTCGCCCAACAACCCAAAGGCGGCAGTCGTCAGCTGTATGTGCATACTATAAATAAGCAAACACACAATGAACCCCTCAGACAAGTATGGAAAAAAAGCAGACAGATTGGAACAGCTCCCACAACCAACGAACGAGTAATTACACTGAAGACGGAAACCGGCTCGTGAGCGAGCCCGCCTCGCTGAGAAAAGGTCAGGACGTAGTCTAGAAGGAGAACGTATGCACGGTGAGCGTTTGATAGTCACGCAAGGGATACATTCGCCGTTGGTACAATGATACATATCCCGCAGGTCCGTTGACCTGGAAGAGGAAGGAGTGAAGACACATACGGTAGACGGGCGTAAACTGGGGCGAGCGTGAATATGACTATGACTTCCTGTCCTGCGGCTGGACATTGTCCCTGTCGAAGCCTAGCGGGTACGACGAGAGGTCGCTGGTGATAGCGAGTGTGTCCAAGCTCGCCCTGTGTCGCTCGCCATACGCTGGCGGGTACGACGAGGGCGGGTTGGCCGCATGGGAGTCGTCGGAACCAGGGCCATTGTCAATCTGGAATGGGAAGGAGCCCAGACCAGAAGATGCTGTCGACAGCTGCGACGCCGTCGACATGCCCAGCATCTTGCGGGACGGAGGCGCGGGCAGATCGCTTTCCTCCGCCACGTCGGCCGCGGTCTTGGGAAGAGCGGGGACAGGCGGTACATTAGGCGAAGGTGCACGCATAGATTGTTGGCTAAGAGGTGATGCGGGTGGCGTCCTCGTGGGCAGGTTGGAGATAGGGGATGGGGGCACGAAGGGGAAGGCTTCAAGGAGGGAGTCGGTGCGGGACGCGGTGGTCATGACGGAGGTGGCGGACATGCGTTTCGCGCCCGGCCGGCCTTGGGCTTGCGCTGCTGCCTGCGCCTGCGCATGGGCGAGCGCTTCCCGCTGTTGTTCCATCAGCGAGCCCGACATGCCAGTCGCAGCGGCCGGTGGCGTCACAATTTTGCCCATTGTTGTCCGGTAGGGCGAGCGCGGGAAAGCAGCGCTGGCGGGTGTGCTACCAGCGCTGCTAAGGGTGCCGAAGCCGACTTGAACGCGGGTTGCACTGCCGATGTCAATGATAGACCCCGCCTGAGTGCCGATGCTGGCTGGCCGGCTGGGGCCTTCGAGCGCATCGTGGTCATAAGTCGCGCGCGTGGGAGTGCGCCCGCCGAATGTTGTTGTTGTGCCACTTGGTGACTTCTGAGAATTCTGGGAGAAGCCGCCGGTCGCCAGAGCTGACGCGTTCACGTCGCTGAATGGATCTTTGATCTCCAACTCCTGCCCGTTCTCTTCCTCCTCCTTCACGATGTCCGACGGGCCGAACGAAGTGACCGCCAGAGGGGACGATGCCGCGGGTTTCGGCGCTAGGCCGGGAACCTTCAGACTGTCCCCATTTTGGCCTGGTGGTGCGCTGACAAGCTCCGCTTTGACAGCGCCGAGCACCTGCCGTACCGCACCCTTCGCGGGGGTCACGATGACGGGGGTATCATGCAGGAAGTCGCTCGAGTAGCTCGCATTCGACTGATACGAGTTCCTCGAGGTGAAGCCGGACACGCCGGAGCGGGCGGACGGAGAGCCGTTCATGACATTGTCGCGGGAAACGTTGACGTGCTCGAGATTGAGATCAACTTCTGGTCGCGGTGGGCGAGAGGGGAGAGACGACGTCTCAGACGCGCCCTCTCCAGAGCGCCGGGTGTCGGGGGAGACAAGCGCAATGGGGATGACATTGGTGCCTTCCGTACCTGCGGTCTGGATCGAGTTGGCGTCGTCAAACGGATTTGAGTACCCAGTCATCGCCTGGCTTACATGGCGGTGGGACTGGGACTCCGGGTCCAGGTCGATGGTCGTGTTGGAAGAGGAAGAGTATACGCGCACGGTATGCTCCGTGGGTGGTCGCGAAGTCTTCTCGATGGGGTCGGGTCGGCTGAGCACGTCGGCAGCAGCTGCAGGCTTGTCCTTGGGGGCATTAGGATCGGCAACCTTCTTGTCGGCCTGCTTCCTGCGCCACCAGAGGTACCCGCCAACCAAGAGTGCCAGGAAAGCGAGCACACCGATGACGGCACCTGCGAGGGCTCCCTTGCTGACGCCGCCCGCGCCGGCACTTCCGGAGTCCCCCTTGCTGATGCACTTGATCGAGGCGCAAGTATAGCAATCCCTGCGGGCAAAGGACGGAATGATAAGAGGGCGAGCTGCGGCGCAGTGTCGAGGGCGACGCACCTGCTCACGACAAAGCACTCCTGGTCTGCTGCACAGTTGCACGCCGGCGTTGCACCGCACACCTTGCAGTCGTCGCGGGAGAAGAGACCATCGATTTGCATAACGAACGGGACCAGGGAAAGACAAAGAACGTGGGGGAGTTTGACAGCGTTGTGAGGGAGATGATTGAGGTCAAAGGCCCTGAGCCTGACTACCCAGCAGCGTCAGCTCTACTTGAGTTCGCTGGCGTAACGGGCAACACAGCGAAGGCGGATCGGACGACGTGGTTCAGGACGAGGAATGCACTCGCCCCGGTCACAAAGCAGTCACCATTACATCGTGGGAATAATCCCCAGTGCAACCGGCACGTGCCGCCCGGCAACCGACGCCCACATGCGGTCAAGTTCTTGCCAAGTGCCTGACTTCTCGGTTGCTCGACACGCCGCCAGCATCACCCGCGCGCTGCAGATATCCCGCAGGCTGTATAGGACGGCGCGCAGGTTCAAACGACGCGCGAACAACGTCGGCCAAGCAGCGGCTTGGGCAATAGCATTTCAGGGCCTCCGGCGGTTGCAAACGCCTGCTTGCCAGCGGGCGCTTGGCTGTCCATCCCCCTGACCACTCGTATGATCGCCACCTTACCGCCTCCAGCGCGACAACCCTTCCAAGCAGTGATCCAATGCAAACCTGTAGATTCATATGGTCAACTACAAACGTCAAGTCTACACTCCGATACAAGTCGTATCTGCACTGGAGTACCCGGGGGTACTACTTCAGCGTAGTTGCCCGGAGATTAATTGTTAATGCACGAAAATTTCCTCTGAGCGAGCCGGAGCCGGTCTTTCGTTCTCGTGCGAGGCGTTTGAAGACCAGAGCCTGCGACTGTCTGTCACACTAGACCAGTCAAACCAGACCGGAGAGATGGTAGCCGCAAAAGCAGTTGTAGAAGCAGTTCCTGCGTAATGCAAGTTAAGCATTGTGGCAGACTCGAAATGAACACTAGAAGAACTCACAAAGTGGCTTGCGAGACACATAGACACGCCATACATCGAGAAGGTGAAGGCGTTGCTGACGCGTGCCACTAGGTTTCCCACCTGCGGGCCAAATATGGGCACACGAGGTTCAGATGGGTGAAAGGTTGCGCGGGGCACGCTGGAAACGAAAGACCCAGCCGTTTAGCTGGTGATGGAGAGCGGAAAGATGAGCCGGACACAGTCGACCCCTCTGAGGATACCTTCCAAATTCCGAGTCACGGGGGCCAAACTGACTGCACTCGCGCCGTCACTGGCCTGCAAGGGCGCGAAAGGAGGAAAAAAAGTGAGCCACGACAACAATTTGAACAGACGGACTCAATCTTACCCAAATTCTGACTGATGCAGAGGACGCCTTCGGTATCAAACTCTGCGCGAGTGTCTGGAGGGCGATAAGGAGCCCAGCCATCGCAATGGAAGCGCAATACTTCTTGTGGATGCTTACGCACGACGCGTACAATGTGGGAACATACTGGCAAAAGGACTCCTTCAATGAAGACCACCGAAGACGAGTCGAGTGTGCGAAATGTGGTTCTACCGAGACAATGCACCATATCCTCTTCGACTGTGATGTCAATGATTTTTTTGTAGGTCAGTCGACGGTCTGGACGCTGGCAGAGCAGCTATGGGGACATACCAGGTGCAACTGGCCGACAATCTCTTGGAGAACTGTCATAACGGCTGGATGTCTCCCACACCGAGATGCGAAGGGGCGGACGGTTTCCGGCCTGAACCGCCTTTGGGCTATCCTCATGTCGGAGTCGGCGTAGTTCGTCTGGGTGATTAGATGTGAGAGGGTCATACGGAATGAGAACAGACAGTTCGATATGCAGGTGACACGCAGGTGGTATGCTGCGATTGAGCACCGACTTGCTGATGACAGGTATTCAACACGCAAGAGCCTCGAAAAGCGCGCACTTGATCCTGGCATGGTAGATGCCACCTGGAAGCCCGTAATAGAGGGCTACCGGAGCCTTCCCCCCGCGTGGGTCGGGGACACGGGGTTTTAGTGGGTATCAAGAGAGGCTAGCGCTGCGGGTGAGAGATGGAGGCGTTGACGGAGGGCACTCACCTGCGGTCTTCTCTTGGAGTCCCATACGCTGTGCGTATAGCATTTCCTCGGAGTGGAAGCAGGAATATGGTTTTTTCGTGGCTCGAACAGCTTTGCGGGTTAAATGGACAGTCGTCCATTGTGGGGATGATTAGCCCGTCGCTCGACCAGCTTGTTCATTCCTCGGCTATCCGAACGCATCCACTGAGTAGAAGAAAATAAAATCTTCTGAGCTGGAGTACCTGCGTGCTTACAGGCAGCATGGAATCGTGTGAGCGCCATCAGTATGCATCAGTATCTACTCAAGGGACTTCGTGATTCTGCGCGCTGACCTATGGCAGCGTTTGTGACCGCAGCGATCAGCTCGGCCGGGTTCTCCTCTGGGGTACTCGCACAATCCTAACCGTAAACTTTTTGACTATTCTCCAGAAGTAAGAAGGTCACTTACAGGTAGCAGCCCAGCACTCCGAGCTGGTAACGGCTCGGATACTCCAGCGGTCAAACGATTTGTATCGACGTGTATATGTCTATTGAGGTCATGTACGAGGTTGAACTAGTGCTACAAAAAGTCCGTGAGGAACGGCTTCGGGATCCAGATGCGTGCAGGTTGAGCTAGAGGTACAGTATCATATGCGAGTGTTGAATCGGGCTCAGAGTTGAATCAATGGGGTACTGATGCGGTGGAGGTCTAGTGGCTGTAGTCATACCTGTAAGAAACATGCTCAGCGACTGCGCAGCGGGAAGAGGGACGTTAGAAACCACCCACTTGCGGTAGAACGTCTCCGAGTCGGAGGGGACGGTCTGACGCGAAATGTCAGCGCATTCACAGAGCGGCGGGGGGAGATCCCACCTCGTCGCGACGAGCACCGCGCGGTTTCTTGCCCTGCTTCTCAAGCTCGAGGCGGAACGCGCGATCCTCCCGCAGCCATTTGAGGGCTACGGTGTACAAGGACTCGGGTTCCGTCGAAGGCGACCATGGGGTCGGAGGGCGCACGAATTCACCCAGGCGCATATGCGCGACGTGGGTGGGGAACTTGTTCAAACCATCGAAGATGTGTGTCGCGTCTAGAAGCGTGTTAGCACGGGGTGACATACCGAACTGTTGTACCCACATATGATGGTCGCCCCGCGCTCCTCGCTATCCTGAACTAGAAAGTTCAATAGGTCGTCGCGCACCATGACATCGAGATCGACGGTGACCTGCGGCGCGCAGTCTCTGCATCAGTCCCAACCTTCGGCGACCTGATGCACCACGATAGACGCACCTCGTCCAGCAGGAGGACATCCCACGGAACCATGAGACCGAAGCAGAGCTGCACGCGTCGGCGCTCGCCATCGGAGATCTCGTGCATGTGCCAATCCATATCAATATCCAGGATGTCGAGGAGCCGATCGCGTCGCTCCTTGTAGCGATAGCCGCCTACAGAGTCGAGGAAGTTGGACACCACGATGTCGCGTCGGACGACTGGGTTCATAGCCCTGTAAAAATGAAGGTGAGGCGGCGTCAAGAATTAATGACTTCGTGGGACGCACCACTCCGTCCCAAGGTACGCGATCCCCTCAGGCGTCTTGCGGAAGACGTCCTGACCCTTCACGATGATTGCGGTGTCCTTGACCATCCGCTTCCCTGCCAAGACCTGCAGGAGGGTCGACTTCCCAGCTGAGGGGATTTCTATTACGGGAGATCGCGTATTATACACGCGAATGCCCACCTCCATTCGCGCCGACCAGGACCGTCCGCGATCCCTTCGGAATGTGGAGGGTAATGTCAATCAACGACGGTGCCAATGCACTGCGATGCGAGAAGTTGAGGTTCTGGACGGTGATGGTCTCTTCGGGGCCTGCCATTGTCGAGGACGCGGGGACGAACGATAAGAGCAGGTCGGGAGGGAAATCAAGCAGAATCAAGCACGCGCGACCGTGACCGTATGAGGTGTGACCTCAAAGCCGTGGGAAAGTAATCTTTGTTCTCATCTCGGACCGCCAACCACCGTGAAGGCGGCCTCCCTCTTCGCTCCATACACCCCCTCCCCTTCGTCTCGCCCCGCAATGTCATCAAAGGACAAGCCGGCGGAAGTTATTGATCTCACCCTCGAAGACGACGATGGCGAGAACGATGCAGACGCGGACGATGAGCGGGCGCTTAGCGGAGCAGAGGGTCCCCCCGACGAGAACTCTACCAAACGGCGAGCTCGGAAGAAGACGAAGACGCGCAAGCGCAACAAGTCCGCCAAGAGCAAGACCGAGGAGATCGACGCGGACAAGTTTGTTATGGATAGTCAACCTGCGGAGCTTCCCAGCAATTTGGCGTTCACTGCACCTGCTACTGCCGAGGATGAGAAGAAGTCGTCTTTGCTACTTCCCGAACATGTGATCGTCATGGATGAGGGGGTAGAGATCCTGCGACCACCCACGCCACAGGAAACTAGCGACTTTGAGGTCGAGTACATCTCATTCGCGGACGATAATACGCGGGTAAGCAGGCCTCCGGCATGGCATAGTATCGCATAGACTCATTCCGACCAGGGCATGCTACGATACTTCGCCCAGGAAGAGACAGAGAAGCGTAAGATCGTGTGCAAGCATTGTGGCGCAGAAGGGGATCACGACACAAGGAGCTGTACTGTCAAGATAGTGCGTGCTATTCCCTTCTCCTGGGCTCGATGCTGATAATTCATATAGTGTCTGACTTGTGGCGCACGAAACGAACACTCCACTGCAGGCTGCCCTGTCACCAAATCATGCTACTCATGCGGTCTTCACGGTCACCTGGCTTCCGTACGCATACCCGCATCCGTGTTCAACGCCCTCATTCATTTGCGTCAAAGGACTGTCCCAACAAGTACACCATCAAGCCGAAGTTTGGCGGAACTTGCGATCGCTGTAAATCCAGACTACACATAACTCAGGTCCGTTTTGACTCTTTCAACTGCAGTTGATGTCCAGTCGCTGAACATGCGTAGGAATGCCCAAGAATGTGGCGAATATATACCTACAAGAAGGCGTCCGAGAGAGACGAGACTCTGAAGATGCGCGCATCGCTGGAAAACAACGCACTTGGTCAAGGTGGCGAAGCATACATCGCTCGCGACGAATTCTGCTACCACTGCGGGGAAGCTGGACATTGGGGTGACGTATGTCCCCTTTCCTCTGCGATGCCTTCATTCACTGACTGTGATCTGTAGTCTTGCGACCTAAACCGCAAGAGTAAGACCACCGAACCGTCCGCCTTCGGCGACGAGAACGTGTTATCCGGTCCCTTCGGCGACACGCAAATCGACAAACCCAAGGTAGCACGTCCAGCGAACCGCTCCGCGTACGCCGACACCCGCGAGTATTCTGTCGGAAAAGCCGCGAAAAAGAAGTCGATTGCAGCTCAGCGCGACTATTCTCGACGGCAGTACGATCAGGCGGACGAGGACGACTGGTTTTCGCGCCAGGAGTCGCGCGGGAAGGCGAGTTCGAGCAAGCAGCCTCCGCCTCAGCGTCTGCCCGATATCCACATCAAGGCGTCCGACCTGCGCATCAAGGGCATGTCGAAGCAACGCGACCGGGACGTGGACTTGCCCCAGCCCTCGCGCATGGCATACGATGGCCCGCCGCACCGCGGGGGAAGCAGCGACGAAGAGGATGGAGGCGGCAGGCGGAAAGCGCGCCGGGCGCGGGGGAAGGCGGGCAGCAGTCATCGTCGCGACGACTATGAGATGCAGGCGTACGAGGACTCGCGCCAGGCGTATGGCGATTCGCGGTATGGAGACGCGCGACAGTCGAAGTACAGCAAGCTGCCTTCCAGTTCTCGGAATCCGCCCTCGAGCTCCCGAAATCCACCCCCGAGCTCGCGCAGCAATGGGGCTCCGAGCTCTCGCAACGGGCCCTCTAGCTCGCGAGGACCTCCGAGTGGTCGCGGGTACGGCCAGCCTGCGGCAGGTGGGAGCGGCGGGTCTTCGAATAGGCCACGGTATAAGGGCGGATACTCGAGGGACTAGACAGTTCGTGTGGCATGTTCACGAACGGCTATCGCTGGGCAGTATAAGTGTGGCATGTCTGACTCGCATTCCTTATCGTTATTGCTGTCGTGCTACCGTGTATGTGGTGGCCTCCTGGAGATGTACACCCTATCTATCTATACATACACACAATCTCTGTACATATACACTTGTTATCGCGCTGAGTTGAAGGGTTCTTGGATGTGCATACTTGGTGAGCATTTTGTTTTCCTACCTCAAGTCTTGCCGCAGCCGTACCTCTGCAGCATATATATCTATCAGGGCTAAGCTAACGTAGTCGGGCTATATGAGTATTCCTTGCTGCTCACACTTCTGACGAGGATGCCCTACCATTTCAGGACAATGCCCACTGACCATCGATGGTAAGTTACGTCACGCGTAACGGTTGAACAAACTTGCTTACTCCCATGATCAGGATCGCGGCCTGCATCTTTCTTGAATAGACCGCAGGCTTGTATGGTTTTCTTTCTACTTTTCCGACAAACTACATAGCCCAGGCTTTCTCTTGTTCAAAACGACGAGACTTTGCTTGTCATGAAGCCAAATTTCCCTGACGGCCTGCGCATCACGCCTTCTTGCAACCCATTCTCGGCTGGTCATCATTCGCGTGAGGACGATGCATTCGGCTGGTCCGCGCAAGCGGAAGCTATCGAACGATATGGCATCGCGGGTCGTGTATGGTAAGTCTTCGCTGCATTGTGAGGGTTGCATCGTTCACTCCTCGTTGCCTGGCCGAGACCTCGCTGACCGCACGATATGAAGGGAAGCATCGTACATCATGGAAGAGTATCTGAACCCCAAAGCCATCCTTGACCCTCCTGGTATTTTTGCTGCAGAGAACAGCATCCAGACTGCAGAGAACGGCATGCATGACAATGCTACAGAGGACGGCAGCGGTAGCGGAGCCCCGAAGGTCATTCTGGAGCTGGGGTCAGGGACGGGGCTGTTGAGTGCAAGGATGGCAGAGCTTGCTTCTCCCGAGGACTTGATTATCGCGACTGACTTACCAGAGGTAAGCTGTTACTTCGCCATATATTCGCGTGTTTCTGACATGTGTAGGTCTGCCCATTGATAGAGAAGAACATCGGCTCTACAATAAAGCGCGCAGCGTGCACCGTCGCAGTACGGCCTCTGGCGTGGGGAAACGCTGAACACGTTGAGGCGTTACGCAGAGGATATTTTTCCTCGCTCAGCTACAAGGCGCTCACGCACGTCGTCTGCAGCGACCTGGTACGTATTTTCACCCTCCATTCCTATGCTGACTTGCACGGACTGACGTACGAATTGAAGGTCTACTTCCCCGAGCTTCTCGCACCCCTCCTTCGCGCCTTATTGTCCGTGACCACCGCGCCCTTCATAGACCGCGCTTCTCCGCCCACCATCGCCATCTCGTACAAAGTGCGCAGCCTCGTGAAAGAGTCCCCGTTCTGGAGCGCGTTCGGACTGTGGTTCAACTTCGCACCGGTCTTTGCGAAGGATTCGCGCGGGCGATGGCGGAGGGTGGGTGCGATAGAAGGCGCGGGGGACGATGCCATGTTCCTCTTTGTTGCACAAAGGAAGGCAGAATCCCTCAACTGGCCCATTCCAGACTCGGACGAGGAGCTCCTTGGTGGAGTAGGTGCGGAGGGGACCATGAGCAGGAAAGGGGATTCTACATTCGAGTCTCTTTTGCTGATGGATATTTCTGACTGAGCTTGGAGCGCGAGCGGTCTGGCGCGGACTTCTCCCTCAGGTGAATGTGCAAAGGGGGTATCCGGCGGTGGCAACAAACCGCCTGACGAGCTTCAAGCGGCTAGGAAGCGTCCATGAGGCGCGCGTGCGACGGACTCGTAAGTACGCCGCATGTCTCCTCGCTACTCGCCGTAAGGCGTCCGGCCTCGCCGGTCAGGGTGCTGCGATTGAGTCGGCGAATGACCGCGAACTGATACCGGTTTTGAGGAGGCAGCGAGTCGGTTTTACCAGAGAGACATACGCCGCTCGGTGGAATTCGACCAGCTACACTGTATCTGCAGCACGATATCCACCGTACACAAAAGGGGATGAATGGCCGCCACGCAGAATCCCACGTTTTTTGAATGTGAGACCTGGCACGCGCGCGGTGGCGGCCCAGAACAGCAATGGGCGCCTTCTGCGCGTCGGTGGACCTGAGATCGACCTGAGACATGGCGATTGCATGGCGTCTCCAAGCGGCCAAGGGTGCCTATACGGGGCCAGCCCTATCGCTGCGCCGCCTCCTGTTGCCGTTACGGGCGAAGGTTTCGGAGCCTCGACCCTGCCCGGCGGTGGCGGCAGATCGCCCGCGCACTCGCGCTATCTCGAGAGCGGACTCGGCGCACGGCAGATCGTCTCAACTATGAGCAGTACTCCTTCCGATACGACCCGGTTGCCTCATCGAGGCGGGCGGGATACATATATGCGCCCGTCTCTGATAGCAGGACAACAGACGCCCCGCCGGCATCGCGCGCCACAGTCGAGTCATACTGAACTCAGGTAGCTGCCTCTGCACCAGCCTTTCTCCCTCTAGACGCCTTTCGATATGTGCACCAGCGACGTACTCCCCTCTGAGCTCTGGCTCGAGGTCTTCGACTGGGCGCTCACGCCGGGTGCGGAGTGCAATCCCTACACCGACTCCTACGTGCCCTTCCACGCGGAGATGGACGACTTCGAGCGCCTCGCGATGAAGCGCACGCTCAACCTTGTGTGCCGTCTATGGCACGCGCTCACCACGGAGCTACTCTATCGGGACGTCGTGATTTCTCCGAAGAGCACCCACGCGCTACACGACCTCCTCGAGCGCGAGTGCAAGGAGCATCCGAGCTACGGCAAGTGGGTAAGTGCGACGTATTTTTGCGCGTTGAGACAGCCAACTGACGCCTTCTAGGTGCGCCGCGTCGTGCTCCCCTACACCAGCACCGTCACCAAGTCGCCGAAGCCTCTCGAGTCGGTCGACATCCTGAAGAGCTGTCCGAATCTCGAGGTCCTCGTCCGCCCACCGGTGAACACGCCCGAGCCCCTCGAATTCGAGTTCGAGGCCGACGACGTCGCTTGGCCCTCCCTCCGCCGCCTTGATTGGTACGGCCACGGCGAAGCCGAGCGCACTGGTGGCGTCAACTCGCTACATTCCGTTCTCCATAACGCGCCCAGCCTTCGGTGAGTTTTCTGCTTCCAGCACGTTCGTCACTGTCTGACCTCCAATCAGGTACCTCCTAGTAGGCTCCGTCGGCCAATCTGGTGATGCGCTCTCTGGCGTCGCCCCGGGCAATCTCTGCCTCCCTCATCTCGAGACGCTCCGCCTCGACGGCGTCAACGGCATGCTGCTTCACCAAATTTGCAGCCGGTGGGCCCTGCCCGCGCTCACGCACGTCGTCCTCGACTCCCCGGCGCTCGGACTCGACATCGACGCCGTCTGGGACGCGTTCGGCGACCAGCTCGAGATCGTCGAGTGCGGCCGGCACATGCGCTTCCTCTTCGGCGACGTGCTCACACCGTGCCTCGGGCGCTGCCCGAACCTTGAGGAGCTGAACTACCATGTGTTCTACACGTCCGCGCCCGCGTCGGTCGAGGGCATCTGCCACAAGGGCCTGAAGACGGTCGGGCTGCATGCGGCGGTGAACAAGGTGTTCAGCAAGCCCGCGGAGATCTGGGCGCACCTGCAGAGCCACGTCGACTTTATCGCGAGCGACGCGATGCCCGGGTTGAAGACAATCAACCTGTACGGCCAGTGGAGGGGCATCATGCGCCAGCCCGCCTTCGAGGCGATGTGGAAGCAGCTCGTCGGTCGCCGCTGCTCCATCGTCTACAACGGCCAAGTTTTGGTCGCATAATCACCTACCTCCTGTCGTCTTTTCTCCTCCTTCTCTTGTCTCTTTTCGTCTCACTCATAGATATAGACAGCATCCTCATCGTAGATCTCCATAGAGCGTCTAATCCTTTCTATTATCTTGGTTCTCAGTCGCTTATCTCCCGGGTAGAAATCATGCTCACGGACTCACCTATCACATCTCCACGATACCCGCACGTACTATAGCTGTTGTCTGTCTGTTACCTTGCTTGCAAGGTCTTTACCTTGCTTGCAAGGTCTTTACCTTGCTTGCAAGGTCTTACTCAGGTGCCTTTGGGCGGAACCTATTTCACAAATAAGTCCAAACATATGACGGTTGTTCTTGTTTCTGTCCTTTTTAAGCATCGTCTCCGAACAAGGTGGTGATCTCTATCATGGATCTGTGCAGTAAACAGCTGATCATTGAGTCAAGCGAAGCAGGCGCTGTGGCCTGGCAATAGCCAAGCAACGTCGCCGCGTCCAAAGGAATCGCGTAGACGGTCACATGGGTGGCGAGCGCGTCAGCCTCTGCGCTCTGCCTCCATCGCCTCGAGGCTCCTGCAGAAATGTTTTTTGTTTGCCCGCTCTCCGATGCCCTCTCTCTCTCACTCGCTAACGCTCGAACTAGCACGTATTTGCATCATGCCTTTCTCCTGAGGCCTAGGGCAGGACCTGCTGCCTGCTATAGTGCTCAGTCGGCCAGTCCGCACGCATGTAATCTGTGGGTGACTGTGGGTGCTACCCACATGACCCACGCGATGCCACCTCTAGGAGCGGGACTTGAGCGAGACGCAGATCTAAGTGGTTCTCTGATGAGAAGAGATGCGTTGGGCCCATTGACGCTGCTGCGCCACCTAGTTTCACCAGTAACGTGCGAGACGGCGACTCAACCCAGGACCACGCTCGTCCCTTCAGCCTCACCCAGCGCGTGTCGCGATGAAGAGGCAGAGGAGAGTAAGAGATGACCAATGGTTGAATTTATAAACACGCGGTGCCATGTAGGACATTCGCTGTCGTATACACGTAGTAATAGGTAAGTCAGGGTGGCGCGAAGCGTCCGCCCGTGTTTGTACATACAAAGTTTGCCTTCTTGAGCAGTATTTACAAAGAACAGTTGAAACCCATACGACAACCCGCGTCTTCATGTCCGATGGTTAAGGGCCCGGAGGAGCTCCGTATAGACTTCCCATACATCCACAGTAGCAACGAAGGCAAATGAGCAGTGGGTCAGAACTTCAGTCGAAGCCGAGGTAACGAGACTCGAAGCTTACTGTAAGTTCGAGCGGGCCCGAATAAATGGAAAAGAGAAGGCAGAGCGTCCTGAAGCCTTTCTTATAAGACAGGATTAAGCCATGTATGTCGGCAGATATTTCTTGAGGAGAAACTTTGGCCACCGCAGCGTGCGTATCACATGCAAGCAAGGTCGTCGGGAGGCAGGGCCGACGCTTCTCTAGTACTCAAGTGCCTTTGGGCGGAACCTATTTCACAAATAAGTCCAAACATATGACGGTTGTTCTTGTTTCTTTCCTCTTTAAGCATCGAACAAGGTAGCGATTTCTCAAAAATTCATGCAGTAGAGAGTTGATCAACGAGTCAAGCGAAGCAGGCGCTGTAGCCTGGCAATAGCCGAGCGACGTTGCTGCGTCCGAAGGAATCGCGGCGACGGTCACGCGGGCGGCGAGCGCGTTGACCTCTGCGCTCTGCCTCCATCGGCTCAAGGCTCCTGCAGCGATATTTCGTTTGCCCACCCTCCTCTTCCTCTCTCTCACTCGATAACGCTCTGACCTGCAAGTATTTGCTTTAGGCCCTTCTGCTGAGTCCTGGGGCAGGACCTGTTGCCTGCTACAGCGCTCAGTCGGCCGGTCCGCGCGCATGTGGGCGGCTGTGGGCGTGCCCCACGTGCCCCACGTGATGCCGCAGGATCCTGCGAGCGGGACGCAGATCTAAGTGGTTCTCAGATGAGTAGAGATGTGTTGGGCCCATTAACGCTGCCGCGCCACCTGGTCTCATCAGTGACGTGCGAGACGGCGACTCAATCCAAAACCACGCTCGTCCCTCGTGTCGCGATAAAGAGGAGGCAGAGGAGAGTAAGAGGTGAAGAATGGTTGCATCTCTCGACACGCGGCGCCATGTAGGACACTCGCTGTCGTGTAGATGTAGTAATAGGTAAGTAAGGGTGGCGCGAAGCGTCCGCCCGTGTTGATACATACAACGGTTGCCTTTCTTAGAAGTATTCACAAAGAGTTGTTGAAACCCATATACAACTATCCGCGTCTTCATGTCCAATAGCTAAGGGCACGGAGAAGTCCTCCGTATAGACTCTCCACGCATCGACAGTAGGAACGAAGACAGATGAGCAGTGGGTCAGAACAAACACTCGGAAGGTTCGGTCGAAGCTGAGGTAACAAGACTCGAAGCAAAGAGCAAGTTCGAGCGAGCCCGAATAAATGGAAAATAGAAGGCAGAGTATTATGAAGCCTTTTTTATAAGACACGATTTAGCCATGATTGTTGGCAGATATTTCTTGAGGAGAAACTTTGGCCACCGCAGCGTGCGTGTCACATGCAAGCAAGGTCGTCGGGAGGCAGGGCCGACGCTTCTCTAGTCTCAATGTCATCACTGCTTCACGCCAATGCCGCTGCTTCCCGTCAATGTCACTGCTCCTCAAAGAACGTCTTCAACCACTGCGCCTCCTTGTCCATCTCTTCAATAGTGCGTGGTTTCCGGTTGTCGTCCGCGTCCATCTTCAGCGGCTCGTACCGATCGGCGGCGGTCTGGAGATCCTTGGGCAAACCCCCCTCAGACTTCTCGAGTTCAGGATAGATGTCGTCGTTGTTGGCGAAGCGGTCTCCCGTCAGTTTGCGTGGCAGAATGTGGAAGTGGACATGGGGAATACTTTGGCCTACAGGTCAGTGGGGTTAGCACGTGGCCGAAAGTCAGAGGCATGAGGAAAAGTTGAAGAAAGATGCTGACCTGCTGCTTTGCCGTCCTATCATAGGTGTCAGTTGTCTGTATATTTCAGCTGCAATGGGGAGAGATGACATACCTGACAGGCAATGGTGAGCGCGTCGGCACCAAATGCGCGTTCGACAACGCGGCCGACGCGTTGCACGGATTTCATGAGGCTGGAAAGCTCGGAGTCTTACTTCTTCAGAATTGAGGTCGTCAGAGAGAATACGGTGCATCTTACCATCTAGGTCTGTGAGACGCGGAACGACTCGAGTTGGTACAACAAGCACATCTGTCGAGACGCTGTCTGTTCACTGCTTTACGTCCACTGGATGTTGAGTCACGTACGTCCGGGAACAATGGGTTTCAGATTGACCAGTGCAAATGATTGTGCAGACTTGTAGAAGACCTGGCGGGTCACTTCGATGGAGGAGAAGAAGAAACGGCTCATGATGATGGTCGGGAACTCGAACCGTGGGAAGACCTCCCCTGACGCGATGCGCGTGGAGGACCCGTTGGGCGACATGGACTTGCATCGTCCTTTCATGAAAGAAACTGTCAGCTTCCAACCTCCCCCTCAACTCGCAGCAGACGCAAATGGACTGTGTCTACTCTCCCCACTCGTCTGCTCAGCAGCAGATCGCAGTATGACACCCCGGGTTACCTGATAGCTCACAATCGAGGTTGCCACTGCTTCGCCTCACTTCTTATCGATGCCTGGCGCTCTTTCAGCAATTAGCCAATCCTCGACCATACAAGATGACTCAATGACCTAGCCCTGCTCATGAATGCTCGCGGCGCCCGGCCCGGCCTGATCACAGGCAGGCCATTGTTCCTTGTAAGTGCTGTGCAGAGCAAAGACCACGGAACCGCACGCCACTCCTCTTGAACTTCAACACTCACCTCAAACATCGACACTCACCTCGACAATGCCTCCCCGCAGATCCTCGCGTATCCGGGCTCAGCGCGACAGCTCGAACAAAGCCCCGCTGCAGAAGCCAGCCGCTCCCAAGGCGCAGGCGAAGCGCTCGAAACCGCGTGCGAAGCAGTCGAAGGTCGACGGCGCTTGCAACATCCCCAGGACGTCTGCACCCCCTTCGCCTCCCGCGCCGCTAGCGAGCGCACGTCCTTCCTCACCCACACAGGCAGAAGCCACGGCGCAGGCGTCGCGCAACGAGCCAAGCGGCCCGGCGCTTGTGGCTTCCGATCAGGCTCAACCCAGAGATCCGCCATCCTCCTTCGAATCCCTTCCACTCGATATATTCCTGGAGATCGCTCGCCAATGCGACCCAAGGTCCCTCTACCACCTGTCCAAGGTCAGCAAGGCGTGCCGCCGGGTGCTGAGGCAGCCAAGCAACCGCGTGATTTGGAAGGAGGTCTTTGCCGCGCATGTCAATCCTCTTCCCACTTGTCCAGAGGATATCATGACCGAGCTCCAACTGGCCGAGATCACGTACGGGACGGATTGCATGGTGCGCCCTTCACTCACCATCGTGGATGCATGTGCTAAATGCATGCGCGCAGGATTGCGACAGAAAACACCATCGCCCTGAAGAAGCAGTACCAGAGTACCGCAAGGGATATCGGCTCTGGGCATTCTGCAAGCGCGTTTGCGGTCTTTGCCTTTTCGCGAAGTAAGCTACATCCCTGATTTGATTTGCTGACTGCTTCTCTGACGAAGGCTGCAGGTATAGCACCGGATCGGCCTTCAATAGTAACTGGAATATGTGGATGGCAGGGGCCGACCCAATGATAGCTACCGTCAGTCCCAACGATATAAGTACGTTGTTAGACTGAGCGAGCCCACGCAATCAACTAATAAAAACATTCAGACGAAAAGGATTATTGTACCATCGGCGAAGTGCAGCGCATACACGAGCTCATGCAGCACGAATCGTCTCGCGGAGGAGATTTAACAGCGTTGAGCGTGTTGCTGCGCACTCAGAGTGCACGCAAGTATGAGGTGAGCTCCCTCGAAATCGAGGTTCATGATACGGGCCATACTAATCTTCCGCATGTAGTTCGCCCAGCTGTGCCGCGAGTGGCAGGAGCGAGAAGACGCAAGGATTGAACTTCAACGCATAGACTTGTGCGTCCTTGTGCGCGTGTTGTATAGTGTATACTAATGTTTCGGCAGCATCAAATGCAAGTCGCGCGAGGTCTTTGACAAGCAAACGCGGTTGGAAGCCGCCGAAGGGGCACGGTACCAGGGGCACCCCTGGTACGTGAAATACGTTGTCCGCCATGATCAAGAAATGACTGATGCAGGTATGCTTGTTTTCTGTTCTTCGTTGTCATAATGTCTTACGCTGTCGTGCAAAGAATGGGACACGATAGAAGCCGCAGTCCGCAAGAGTGTCCATGATGCTCGCTGCAGACTACTACAGGCGCAGACAGGGAAGCTTGAAAACCTCTGGTTACTTCTCGAAGATTGCTGCCAGCGAGTATCCGAGCAGACAGGCATTGAGGTGCCGTTCATGGACATCATTTGCGGGGACGTCCTCAAGGCCGCTGACACCTCTCCCGTGTTGTCCTTGGACCAGGAGGTCGTCGACGCAAAACTGCGGGACATTCGCGCAAAACTCAATAAGAAGGGAGGCGATCCAATCAGGGACTTCCGCCGCGCAGCTGAAGAGCTCCTGCCAGCTGCTCGCGCTCGAAACCCGGACTGGGAGTCCCGCTGCACGGCTGTGATATCGGTGCTCAACCGCGTCTGGCCGAAGACAGCGAAGAACTACGATGACGCTCTCGCCCGACTCGTCCCCGACAACGGCCTCGAACTCGCCGACGTCCTGGCCCTCGCGGCGGCGACCTTCATGTGCGACTGGTGCAAAGAGGTGTGCACGTACCCGGACATCCTCAAGCACGCTTGCCTGCGCAAGGTGCGCCGCACCCCGCCGGACAAGGAGTACGACTGGAAGTGGGGCGCCTCGCGCCTCGCGCTGGGCGAAAGGGTGGCGAATGTGGCGGGGGACGTCTTCCTTCGGAGGCTGCGCATGACGCGTTGGAACTATGAAGGGGAGCATGTCTCCTTCTACCACGCGGCCTACCGATGTGCGAGCAGGATCGTCCGTGCGTGCGGCTTGAGCTCCAAGCGCGCGACGGCGGAGGACGTGGATGAGGCTGGTGTGCGCTTCCACTGCGCCGTGCCACGCTGTCAGGTCAAGATTGCCAAGGAGGTCATGGACTGGCGAGAGCTGGTGAGTTCAAATCCTGCATGCGAGAACTATCTGGCTCACGCACCATCCAAGCTACACCATTGCATGGATTGTCATGCTGATGCGGCGGCGATCCGCCCTACCTGGTGCAAGATAGAAGAGCAGAAGTACGGAGCCGGGAAGGTCAAGGGCAAGCGCAGCAGAGTAGAGGCCGACGTAGAGCCGGGCGCGTCCCCGTCGAAGAAAAGGAAAATCGCGAAGAAGTAGCTCGGCCTGCTGAGCGCATGTATAACCCTAGACGCTGTCATACGTCGTCCTGCGCTTTGATGACTGTATCATTGCTCGTTTGTATTCTTCGATTACTTGGTCCCTTTGGAATTTCTGCGATAGGCCTCACCTTTGCCCGACGAGTACCTGTTTTCCGTATCTGCATGAGAACCAATGATGTACGGATTTGTCGTGCGAGCTAAGTGCATCGGCGGCTGGACACAACAATGTGCGCGCAAATACGAGTCAACAGCACAGTCCTTGTCTTCTCCGCTCATGGCGCCCACCCTTCGCATCAACGCTGTAGCCTATATTTCTCCCCAGAACCAACCAATCCTTATCCGCACTTTCAATGAGAAGAATGAAGAGGCTGTGAAGTATCACTATATCGCGCATACCAGTTTGGATGTCATCGAGGAGCGCAGTATGTCGAAGAACCATTTGTTCATCAGTAGAGGCTGCTGACTCCCCTTCGCAGTGGCTCCGGAGAATAAGAACACTGAATGCTACTTAGGACTGCTATATGCGATGGAGGACGTAGCAGTCTACGGTTACGTGACCCCTCTGAGAGTGAAGATCGTCGTCGCGTTCGCGCTGTCTGACTCGGTGGTGCGCGACATCGAGGTCAACACGGTGCGTTGCCCTTGCCCTCCACTATGCCTCGCGTTAACGAGCAGCGCACAGATCTTCAAAGCGCTACACATGGCGTACTACCACGCCATCTCGAATCCCTTCTTGAAGCTCGACAGCGCGACCGAGCCCTTGAGTGAGAAGTCGGTTTACCTTCTTGCTGGCAGCCCGCGCTGGAAGAACTTCCGCCGACGCGTAGACGACGTGTGTCGCGCGGTTAGCAATCCAGCGCCGCCTGTGGCCATCGCATAGCGCGCGTGCGATCGAGGTGTGCATCCCTATGAGCGAGGCGAGGCGAACAATTTTGTGCGAGGTAAATATCCCCGTGAGCGTCTAATTCCCAAGCATGGTTCACATCTCCTCAAGCACGGTTCTCATCTTGTCGCAGTCTTGCCCACCCCCTCCACTGGGCTGCGATCAGACGGCCATCCTCGCGATGCGCCAGACGAACCGAGAGCGAGCATACCCTTCTTTTGACTCAGGCGTCTCGAGCCTCCCGCGCTTGAGACAGATACGGGGTAGACATGCGTGTATGTGATTATGGTTGCTACTACTCTGCTCGTACTGCATGATACTACATAGCCTCATAACGCGCGCTCGAGCTCCCCGAGCTCCTCGACCGCCTCCCTGGCCATGACGCGGACAATGCCATCCTGATCCGTGCTCGCGATGTACCCTAGTGTGATCTTCGCGCGCTTCAGCAAGTCGCGGTCGAACATGGACGAGTCGAACGATGAGCCGTATACGCTGAAAGACGATTCGAAGGCCTGGTGCGTCGACGACGCAGAAATGTGGAGCCCCGACCCGTAGATGTGCTGTGTCGGCTCGTATACGTGTCGCTGCGTCGATTCGAAGACATGCTGCGTCGTCGTGCGGATGAGCAGCGCCAGGAAGTGGAGCGCGGCGCGACGGAGGGGCGGGAACTTCGAGTTCGTGGATGTGGGCAGCGAATCCATGGATGGTGCCGGCTCGAGCTTCGCCTCGTCCTCCGGCTTCTCTTCGACCTTCGGTCTCCTAGCGTGCTCGGGTTTCTTTCGACCCTCGGCTAACTGCTGCTCCGTCTTCGCTGGCAGCTCCTTCCCCGCCTTTTCTGGCACCGTGTCGCCCACCACGCCCTCCACCTGCAGCAGATCCAACAGCGCCGACGTTAAATCTGGCACGTACGGCAGCATCGCCAGCGCATAGGTATGCACGCAATCACCAAGCAGGGACAGCGCGGACGTTCGCAGGGTCGTCGGGAGGTACGCTGAGCGCACCATGCTGAAGAGGACGGGAACGAGCATGTCCACTGCACGGTGCTCGTAAGCCCGATATTCAACAACAGATTCATACCATGCAAAGATACACACCGTAGATTCCCAGCGCCTCCCCGCACCGCTTGATGACAAGCCCCAGGGCTTCGCCCACACGGATGCGCACGTCCAGATCTTGCTGGGTCATTGTCGAGGTCTGTAGCCCGTCCAGTTTCCCGGAGTAGTCGTTCAACAAACCCCTCAACACCTCCTTTCCAAACGAGTCCACCATCGCGGCAAGACCTTGGAGTGCGTTGAGATACAGGTACGAGTCGTCATCCTGCACGCATTGAAGGAAGATGGAGAGGATAGCGGGCAGCAGGGCGCGGTCGATGGTGGGGGCGCGTGCGTCGACACCTGTGGTGCGTTTGCCGCCCCCCGGGGAGACAAGCTGCCGCAGGAGCAGGAGACCGTGCGCGCGGACGGGCATGATGGGGTCCTGGAGGAGCTTGAGCGCTTTCTGATAGGTCTCCTGCGCATCCTCAGCGTCGCCCTTCTTCGAGGATTTGGACGAGGTCGATGCTCCCGAAGTCGAGGCAAGGCGCGCGGTCATGACGACCCTCGCCTCACGAGCTAGAGGGCGGATGGCGTCGCTGCCGGTCATAGACAGCGGCTCGAGGAGGACGAAGATGTCGTTGAGGATCGGGTCTGTGCGCGCGGACAGGTCCTCGTTGGCTGATCACAATTTTCAGCGATGGTAGTAAGTGAGAAGGATTAGAAGAATCGAGGACTTACCCTCCAAGATCGAGAGGAGGAGATTGACTGTAGTCTCCAGCATCTCGTCGTCCGGCGACACCGTGTTTGCGCCCTCGTGTTCGTCGTCGCTGTCTGCAGCATCGTCGTCTTCTTCGTTCATCGAAGGCACTATGCGGAGCGTCTCGAGCTGTTCGTCAGGAACATCGAGCCTTTCGCTGGGTTTGTCCTTGTCTGCGTCCAGGGACTCCAAAGTGTGCTTGATGAAGGCCAAGATATGGGACGGACGCTTCAGGAAGCCTGACGTCGCGTCGCCAGACAGCTTCGTCTGCATCTGCAGCACGAGCTGTAGAAGTAACAGCGCTCTGCATATGCTCAACATTGACGTACGGTCAGATAGTAAGTCCATACACACCTTGTCGGATCCTGTTCGCTGCGGGTTTTGGATTGCCGGTAAGCTTCCAGCAAACGCACAAACAGCTCGGCCGCAATATCATTGCGGTCGATGCTCTGCAAGAATTGGACGAAGTGAGCCGGATCTGGATAGAGATCCAGAATATTCGCGTTGATGTCCAGCTCGTCGAGCTTTTCTCTATCCACCGGAGTAAGCATAGATAGGGAGGGTAGTTTGTTCGGTCTGTCTGACAGTCAGTCGAGAGAAAAGACAGGCAGGGCTAAGCAACAAACTTCTCGACCCGCTTGATGTTGCCCTCCAGGTCCGTCTCCCAGAAGCCGCCTTCACCGTCAACGATCCGCCAGAATGTATCGATGCCATGCTCCGCAGAGACGATCCTACCCCAAGTCGAGAGCAAGCCGCCCACCGACTCCTTGAGGGTAGGGTCAGACGTCTTGGTCCGATCGAGGTGGTATTTCAGTGAGTACAGCGCAGAAGCGACGGGGGAAAGTAGCATGGTCATTAGCTCGGGTGAGGGGTCAGTGTTGCTGACCAAGGCGACGAGCGTATCCAGGGCGCGCGAAGGCGCCAATTCGGTGGTTGTATCATCGGACGTATATTCTAGCAGGGGTCGATGGAGCATCGGCAGCAGGATGGATGAAGCGAGGGCAGCGTGCGGATACGAGCCATCGCTGGAGAGCATGCGCGAGATGGCGAAGGCGCTGGCGCGGCGGTAGGAAGCGGGAACATTGGCGGTCAGAAGCTCTAGTATACGTGGGATGACTTTCGTGAAGTACTCCTGGTCGGGCGTCAAAGTTAGTCCTTTGGGTCTGGAAAGCGATCATACCTCTGGCTTAATCCCTGCGGGGATGGCAATCAGTATTTTTGCGACGTGCTGAAGCTTGTCGAGCGATGTCTCGTCTTCTGCCGATTTTTCTTCCCCAAATATGGCAGCGCAAAGACCGCGGACGCCGTCTGGGCGCAACAGCTGCCTGCTCAGAAGGGTCGTGCAAGCCCTATGGACGTGTAGGGGCAGCGGTGACCAGGAGAGGAGGCCACCAAGAGCCACGATGATCTGCGCAGACGGTAGTCTAACCACAACGATTTTAGTTTGGTGAGCTGAGAAAAGCCCATGTGAACTTACATGTGGAGAAGGCGCATCACCAGAGGGCGTATGTTGTCCTGGACGGGTGTTGCGGGAGTAGCAATAGAGCCAGGTAGCCAGCCTAGTGTGACGCACGGCTTCAGCAGATCGACGAGGTGTCGATGAATAAGTGTTGTTGTGATCGCCGTCTCTGCTACCTTGCCCTCCATTCCGCAGGGAAATACTAGAGAAAGAAGCTTGCTGGCCATCGTCGCCAACTGAGAATAGGTGTTTCCCGCAGATGAAATGTCCTGGAATCTGCTACGGCTCTTCGACGACTTGAGAGGCCAGAGAGGCATGACCGCCGCAAGTAAAGGCTCCGTGCCCCATTTGAAGACGATTGAGATGAGCGTGCGCAGGTGTCCTATGTCCCGAGTCCCAATTACGGCCTCGTCGCTCGGCGAGCTATCGAGTATCCGCTGGACCTGTTCTATGACCCGAAGAGCGGAGGAGGCGGTTGTACGCTGTACCTCTTCGAGGCTGGACGCATCCGTTACAGTGCATTCATCAGTCAGCTTTTCGTAGCAGCGATGTAGGCGACGCATAAGCGTAGCCTTGAGGTCGACCTTCTCGCTAGTTTGTGGATCGCTTTCCACTAGGCATCGTCCTGCCTCGAGAATATCTTGAAGAGACATTCTGATTGATTCCGCGAAAGTCACCCTTCGATTCGTGGCACTGTGCAAGGCAGGCTTACGGGTACTATCCCCATTTACGGGTTTTGTCTACCCCGCTGAGCACTCTTCAATCACTGGATTTACCAGCGGTAGGCCTGACGAGCATACAGTCACTGCAGCAGGTGCTGACTGTAGCGATTCAAGTTACAAGATGGTCGCCAGAAATTGCTGGATCACATTGTCACGGCCACGTGAGGCGCTAGTCACGGTGTAATCACTCACCTGGCGTAGCGGAAGACATTCGAGGTCGATCACTTTTCAACCAAGTGAGGATAGCATTATCTAACTTACAATGCAGTGTATGACAACGAGAGATGCAGTAGTGTGGATGCCAGAGACGTTATGTAAACCGTGACCGTAGAAGGGGAAGAGGAAAAGATGCATGCAGATGTGTGTGTAGAATCAGAGCGACGGAAAAAGGATGGGAAGGAGTCAGGCAGCGGTGAAGACGGTGATAAGGCCGAAGGCATGGGCTGCTGCCTCAAAAACATGAAGAATATTCAATACATGAGGGAGAACAGAAGCAAGTGGATACATGAAGGACGTAACAGGGCGGATACGCACGCCCAAGGTCATGAAGAGGAAGTTCGGCCCGCCGTTACCTTGGTACCGTTCGGGCCGCCCTGTAACGTCGACGTTTTGAAGCCGATATGGCGCATAGCCGCTGCACGAAGGGTGAGCTATGATGGTGAAGACCACAGACAATAGACGTACACAGTAGGTCAGCCTTTTGTAAAGGCTTGGACAGGAACGCCGCAAAGGTGTCGTTCGCAGACGTGTCATCCGGCGCGTACGCGCTCACAGCAATGATGGGCGTGTTCGCATTCTTGCCGTTCGTGCTCTTGATGTACTTCGCCGCACTCTCTCCATCCACTGCGACAACGATTAGCCACGCGTTCAATCAGTTATACTAGGTGACTCACAAACTGGCATATGCAGATCCATTAGGATCACGTCGAACTCTAGACGAATCAAGTTAGCTAGTGAGGATAGGCCCGAGCAGGTAAACTTACTGATATCGCCCATGGCAACACCAACCGCCTCAGAACCGTCCGCAACGACCAAGCATCTACAGCCGAGCCGGATGAGCAGCGTCTCGATGATCTTCGCTGTGATGGGGTTGTCCTCGGCCAGCAGGCAGGTCACGACTCTGTCGTTTGGATCCGGCGCCCTCCGCAAGTCGATCGAATGCACCGACGACGCGGGCGTGTTCGTCAGCTCGTTCGCAGCGGAGCTCTGTCCCACCGACGACGTGTAGGTCTCGGAGCCAGAGTTGTCGCCAGCGCTGGAGACGGAAGCAGTACGCAGTCGGCTGGGCATCGAGTTCCGCCGATGCTCGCCCTCAAGGTGGTTGAGCTTGAACCGCTCCACCGCCCCAAGGTCAGACGGCTTGCGCACATGCCCGGACGACGTGACACCAGCGGGTACGCTCGCCCTGGATGGGGACGACGCGATAGACGACGTTGAAGTCGCAGGTGACGGAGGATTCGTCGGAATGACTGGGTTGGCTCCTGGCATCTTGGCATCGGGGTTGGTGACTACACTGGGCGGCTTCTTGAGGCGGTAAGACAGACTGCGCTTACGGCCATGGACGGCAGCGGCTGGCTCAGATAGCGCATGGTGCATAGGCGCCATCTGGTCGGTCTTGAGCTTGCGGATGACATCGTCGTTCGCTTGCTTCAACACCGGTAGGTTCTTGAAGCTGAAAGACCCGAAGTCGTCACTGCCAGGAGAAGACGCGGCCTCCCTGTGCGCGATGTTGATAGCATGGGTCGAAGGCATCGATGTGGGCTCGAGCGCCGGGCTGTCAGTGACTGAGCCGGAGCCCGAATTGCCGGCGATAGCGACAGGATCATCGTCGTGGAAGAGCTGAGGAATAGCGCCGCGAGGGTCGAAGTAGTCGGTCGATTCAGGGTCAGTCACTTGAGGAATGAACGCAGCCTCGGTGGTTGTGACCTTGTCCCATTCGATGCCGTTGAACCACGGATGATTCTTCACCTCGTCCGCGCCGTTCGCACCCAGACGCTCAGCGGGGTTCAAGACCAGGAGCCGCTCCATGAAGTCGCGCGCCTCCGGTGAAAAGTCGACCCAATCATCGTGCCACTCGACGTGTCCAGAAAGGATATTCTCGAACACCTTCTCAGGCGAGTCGGCGTGGAAGGGTGGGATGCCATACAAGAACTCGTATGTGATGACGCCAAGAGCCCACTGTGGGAGCGAGTCAATAAGATGCGCATCGTACAGCAGAGATGCCACGTACCCAATCCACAGCAGCATCATCACCCCGAAGACCAAGGATAGTCTCGGGTGCCAAGTAGTCCGGCGTGCCGACGAAACGCTGCTCACCGGGGCCCGGTGGGGTGCCGCCGTGCGATTGCGATGAGTGAGAGCGTAAGTCTGTCGTAAGCTCGGTCGCGAACGACTGCAGCGGGCTTTCGTTGTTCCCCTGCTGCTTGGTATACCTCTGCCTAGGTATACCAATGACGTCGCTACCGCTGTCGCTGATATCGTCTGTAATCGGCAGATGAGGGGAGCTTCCAATGCGAGGTACCGACGGGGGACGCTGCGCGAAGTACGAACCTCCCGACGTCGCATCCGCATATATGAGAGGCGACGAGAGATACGCAGAATCGATCGAGGGTGGACGCGAGCGAGAGCTGTAGCGCGTGTTCGGACGGCCCTGCGCGCCCTCGCGTGTCTGACGGCCAAGCAAACCGATCCTACTCAGACCGAAGTCGGTAAGCTTGAGATGCCCGTGCTGGTCGATAAGCAGGTTGTCCGGCTTAAGATCACTGCCAAACCATTAGTTACGGTCAAAGAAGGGCACAAGTGCAACTGACCGATGTACCACACCGCGCTGATGCAAGTACTCTAGGCCCAAAACGACCTCTGCGATATAGTTCTTCGTCCACTCCTCCGGCAGACAGCCCAAGGACTTGATCAGAGCCGCGCAGTCGCCGCCGTTCAGATACTCCATGACCAGGTACAGGTTGTCGCGACTCTGGAACGTCCAGTACAGCTTCGCCACGAATGGCGACTCCGCCTGCTTCATCAGAATCATCCGCTCCGCCTTGACGTTGGTGATCTGGTTCTTCGCTATCATGTCTGCCTTCTTCAGGACCTTGATCGCGAAGTAGTCGCCGGTGACCTTCTTCTTGGCGAGGAAGACGGAGCCAAAGGCACCCTTGCTGATGGGCTTGATGATGTCGAAGTCCTTAATAGACGTCGGGTTCGTACGCGAGAGAGGCGGCGCGGACGGCTGGCGCGGGGACAGAGGTCCGCCGCAGTTGAGAGCGTGAGCGGTGGAGTGACGGCGGTGACCATGCTTCGTGCCCGAACGCGATACAGTGACGGACTCATCCCGGGGCTCAACTTGGGGAGATGCAGGAGGCGTGACGACGACTTTGGGCTCGAGAAGGCTTGTCGTTGAGCGACGCGTACGGATGGTGAGATTGCTGGGCGCAACACCGTCGTCAAGGTCGATGGGAGGTACGGCGAGATCTGGCGACGATGGTGCCATGATGGGTGCAGCAAGGGCCAGCGGCGAGGAGATGGACGACGGCGTCGACGAGCGCGTATGAAGGTTGCTCCTCGGGTGAGCGGGTGGCGGCATCGCGAGCGACGAAGCTGGACGTTCAGGAGGCGTACGTTGCGGCGAGCCGATATCCCTCGGCGACGTTGAGGCGAGAGGCGTAGGTTCAACGAGCGTCGACGTCGCAGACTGAGCGCCGTAGCCGTACTCGGACTGGGTGCTTGACTGGTCCTCGTCGATCTGACCAGCGGGCAGCTCTTCCTCGTCGCTTTCGCCAGAGTCACTGCCGCTGTCCTCGTCAACCGTCTCCAACATATGGCCGACGCGCTCCTCCCACTCGTGCCAGATCTTCTCAGCGTAGCGGATCGTGTTCTGCATCCGCACGACGTTGTCCATCTTCTGACGCATGACACGCTCGGCATCCTCGACAAGCTGATTCAAAGCCGCGTCCTCAACCGTCGGCTTGCCCCAGTGACGAATCTGCGAGATCTTGCGCTCTGAGCTGGGCGATAGCAACCTCTGCCGCTCGATGGGCTCACGAGCCTCGTCCTCCTTCAGAGAAGGGATCGAAACCTCGAGCGCAGTCTGGAGGATGTCGTCGAGCTGATCCAGGAGACGCCTCTGCATCTTCTTCACTCCAAAGCGCTGCATCTTGTTCATGCGGAACAGTTGCAATGGCGAGGACATGATGGGCGACGACGACGGCGTGTATATCGGGATACCGCGGTACTCCGGCGGCGTCGGCGCAGGCGACGAGCGATCCATGTTCGCGGACAACTCCTTGATCGTGTTGCGCAACTCCGCAATGGATTCATTGCACTCGCTGATCTCCGCCTCCAGCCGGTGCGTCTCCGCGCACGTCTCGCTGTGCTTCTCGAAGTACCACTGCGGAATCTGCGCCTCACATATGCGACAGAGGATGGGGTCGGTGCAGATGGGTTGGGTGAAGGGAAAGGTGGTCTCGGCAACTGGGCGTTCGATCTCGGCGAAGGTTGCCGCGACAGAGGAGGCGGGCTCGGGGGCGGCATCGCCAGCCTCGAGCGCCACAAAGGGCGCGTCGTTATCATATCGCGGGGGCGCAATCGGGCGCATGACCCACATCGTATGTGATGGGCGACCATCCTCGCGGTCAATCATGAGCATACCCTTCGCCTCCATGAGCTGGTAGAGCTCGCCATCGCCCTCCATGTCGTCCTTGGGCTCGACCTGCAGCCTGAAGCGTATCTCGACCGTCTTCGAATCATCCTCCTGCAGCTGAGCGGACGCCTTGCGAAACACCTCGCGGTCGGGCGGAGCCAATAGCGGTGATATCCTCGCCCCCGTTAGTTCGTCAGGATCCGTCCTGCAGACCATGTCAGCAGACGCGCGGACAATGTTTCAAAGACATTACGTACCCCACAACCACACTCCATGCATAGTTTACCCAAAGGAAGTGCTCGCCGTCGAGGCTAAGCTCGAGAACGATGTTCTGATTCTGGGCAGTCTCCGCTTGTAGACGAAGGCGCTCAGTAGCCAGGACGCGCGCGGACTCGGTGTTGCCAAGGATCTTGGACGCCGTGCTAGTGGACACCATTCGAGGAACGCCTGGTGGTGCCAACCCGGGGCTCTCCCGCTGCGAGGGAGCCGCCGAGATAGCCAACTCCTTGGGCTGCTCATCGCGGGAGCGTCGGTTCTGGCTGTGCGGTCGATGTAGGCGCAGCTTGTTCTCATCATCCAGACTGAAGCCCTCCAGATCCGTCTCGTGAGACTTGACGACGGTTGGGGTGGGCACGTGTTGGGATTCATCGTATTTGGTGACGAAGGTGAGAGGTTCGTCCTGCTCGTCCTCGTTGTCGTCGAAATTCCAGAATTGTTTCTCGGCCTCCCACCATTCGACGACACGACTGAGACTGGCGACGGCAAGGAGGACCTGCACGTACCAATTACGGCCATGCCAGTCGGGGTGATCGTCCCAAGCCTTGCCGATATTCTGTACGCGTTGGACGAGCGACTCGCAGACCTTCGGCTGGGCCGTGAGCTGCGCGACAGACATGTCGATAATCTCGGTCGCAACGCCGATGAGATCATACAGCGCGGTCATGATTGGATCGATGGGGTCATCAAGAAGGATGCGCGACGAGCGGCGGTTGTTCGATGCGCCGAAATCGGAAAAACTGGCATGGCTGGATAGCGGCGGCAGAGGCGATCGTGAACGGGAAGTTGAGCGGGAGCTTTGCTCTGATTGGGACGGGCGAGTAGCGATGTGGATTGAACGCGAAAGTCGGCGAGAGGACGCGCCGGTGCCCCAGCCGGACGGAGCTCCGACGGCGGCCGTACCAGCACCTTGAGCTTTGCGGGTCATAGGCGCATCGGGGAGAGTGATGGTGGAGGCGGAAGGGCTTATGGATGTTCGTCGGTCCCATTTGTTGCTCTGCTGTCTGCGAAGAGAGGAGGGGCTCATTGAGGTAGATGAGGACGCTGTAAAAGTCGACGGCGACGAGTGGGAATGCGTGAGCTGAGGCGGAACGGGGACCGGATGCTGAGGAAACCCACGTTGTCGGCTGTGAGGCATGAACTCTGCCTCTGCCTCGTAGCCGCCGTCCGAACTGGACTCGTCCACGACGCTGTGTCGTTCCTGGAGCACGAACGGATCACGGAGGGTGGTAGGCCCCCCGCTGTCCTGTCCGCTGCCGCGCGAGTCCTCCCTGTCGCGACCGCGCTCCCGGCCACCGAATTCCTGACCGAGTTCGCGGCCGAGCTCGCGCACGAGCTCGCGATCGCGGACGTCACGTTCCGTGTCGTAGTCGCCCTCCCGTAGTCGTTCCTCGAAAAACGCAGTGATGCTGTTGGTGACCCGCTGGAGCTCCTTGTCGCAATCTGCCTTGGCCGCCTTGAGACGGCGGGTGACATGTCGCCTGACGAAGGGCATAGATACGGTGTTTGAGCTGGAAGCTGCATTGTTGGAGGCCACGGTGGAGACCTGGGGCGAGAGGACGGTCTCGGGGGAGAAGATCAGAGGGCTCGGGGGCTGTCTGCGGGCGCTGGATGAGGGCGCTGGGGAGTCGGACATGGGCGGCAGCGGAGGACGACTGCGGCTATAAAGGCAGAGATGAGGGCGTAAGGTAGAAGTGCATCAGCAGCAAGCTGGCACACGGCGGGGCGCGGAGGCTGCCTAACAGCCAACAACCTGCGCTCGTTGCTCGCCAATCTGGCAAAAGACTTGGTGGTGGGTGACGGGGTCAGGCTGCGAACGCAACTGATGTCCGCCAATTACTCTTTCCTTTTCCTCTTTATTTTTGCCCCAATCTATGACGAAATAGGACATAACCCCGGCTTAAGCGCGCGGGCTAGACCAAAATAACAATTACAGTTTTCCCGTGCACGCCCATTTCTTTTCCGACTTGCCGCCATGCTCGCAGCCCTCCGCGCGTCTGTGGCGCGTAGCCCACGGCTCTCAGCCGGCCTGGCCACCGCCTCGCGGCCCCTCCGCAATGCAAACAGCCTGAACAGTGACTTGGACCGGCTGCAGGACGCAGTGCGCGAGGAGGGACAGAAGCAGCAGGAGCAGCGTTCGTCTGCTGCCACCGGTACGCGACTCCTAACTTGTCTCATCATCTCACTGACAGTCCCTCAGCTGTCATCGCTGGTCGTCAGCTTACTCCGTGGCATGGGTTCGGCAACCGGAAGGTACGTCCTTTGGCGCTCACACTCGCACCACGTACTCACCACCCGCTTGCAGTTCATTTCCCCCCGCGACTTTACCTACAAGGAGCGGACCACGAGACCACGTAATGCCAACAGGACGCGCTTCACGCCCATGCCACCTCCGAGCTACCAAGCTCGCGCGCAGGACGTCTTTCACAAGCTCAATGTCGATCCCCTTCAGCTTGCCACCCACCCGCTCATCCTACGCGAGTTCGTCAGCGAAATGGGCATGATCAAGGGCAGGAATATCACCCGCCTCACATCGAAAAGCCACCGCCGGCTCACGCGAGCCATAAAGCGCGCAAAGATGATGGGTGTTATCCCCCAGCTCAGCCGCGCCACGGAGGGATTCCACAGAGAGCGAGTCGACCCGTTCGCGGACTTGATTTCCGGCTCGGCACGGCCTACGCAGCGCAGATAACTCTACTTGCACCTGCTTATGATTTACCGCACGGGATATCCGACCTGTGCTCAAGTTAATTGTCCGAATGCCGCGTCCCGAACAATAGAGGTACGTTCGCACAGCACAGACGCCCTAGTCCATCCGAATCGAGCTAGAGCGCTTCGTCGTCCGACTTTCTCGACGGCGACCCCACCGTCTATCATACAAGCCTTGGCCCCGAGCCTCCGCGCCACTGTCCAGGCCCTCCTAGCCGGGAACGTGAAGAATATCCGCACGCCCCAAAGGACTTCTTCCAGCGCCCGTGACCCTTCCCAACCTCTTCCCTTCACCTTGCCTTTCCCCGTGACCGTTTTGTTCGCCGTTCTGTCCCTCTCTTCGCCGTCTTTCCTTCCTTCCTACCCATGACCCATGCCGCAAGCCCTTACCCTCTTCCCTGTTGACACTTTCCCTTCCTGTCTCCCCCGTGTCCCTGTTTGTCGCTCCTCGTGCCTCTATTTGTTCACCCCGTGTCCCATCCTGTCCCCTCCCGGTGACCTCCCCATCGCACCTCAGATCGCATTGTCGTCGCGCCGCGGACCTTATCTCTAACCTTCTCTTCTCGTCCTTCCATAGCGCTCTATAGAGTTCTGACCCCATACGTCTTGGCTCGATACAACCAAGAGTGACGCACGCCTGCTGACTCGACACGCACCTCGGTCGCCCAGTCCTAGCCCAGTCACTGGGCATGGCGCGTTCTGACGTGCGCGGGATCGCACTCAAGGCGGACGCGATAGTGCATTCAAGGCGAATGCGGCGTATCAGGGTTTGGGCGTCGTAGCGCCTTGATACGCCGCCGACGGAGCGAGGAACGATTCGCGACGCCAGTGGGCTAGCCACCCTTCATCCTATGCGCTATAGAACCATCTTAGCCTGCTCCAAGTACCCTCTGGCACCTGTTCCCGTCTATCCGAAGAGACGCGAGCTAAGGGTTTTATTCTCGGTCCCGCTCGACGTTTGGACTGTGTAGAGAGGACGCGACGACGGCTATCGCGAGGTGGCTAACGCGGCGCAATTCTTGGCCCTTTTGGTGCTCTCAGTCTATTGTCGTGGCGCTACGCTAGACCTCCTTGACTCCTTGATAGCCATAAATGCAGGGATTGGGTTACTGCGCAGGTGCCCATGCAAAGCTGCGGGCACCAGCTCATGACCAGTACTAACGGCATGGAAGACAACCCTCTGGCGTCAGCAGGCGAGCGTAGCCATTGTTCTCTCGCCAGTCTATGACCGTGTCCTGCCACCACGCTCCGCCTATCATTATTGTCTTTCATAGACTCGGAATAAGCCTCCATCGGACGAAGCCTCCCTCGTTCGAGCTTCTGCATGACCGCAGCTACGCCCTTCGCGCTTCTAGCTTGAGGAGAACAATAGCGTGATGCACTGTTACGCTGTGACTACTGTGACGCACGTGACTGGTTGAACTTTGCCCTGCCCCGAATTCCTCGACAATAACTACAGTAACTCTCTTCTAACCCTTGTCATCCTCAAAACCCATACTAACGGGACTCCATTTAGGCTTACACGAGGTGGCCTCTGTACCTAGACCTGCTGCGCTGCCGCGACGATCGTCAATCCGTATCACGCCGGTGCTCCGCCTTCATACAAACGCTAACCGTCAGTTACGGAGAGATATGACGCGGAGGGGATCGAGGACCGGTCTATGGCGATGGCCAATGGTTGGCTGCAACGAGGAGACGATATTCGAGGTCATGGGGCTTGCGCGGTGCGAGTCGACAGAAGTGATAGCTGAAGCAGGGGGAACAGTCTGACGCAGACAGGCTGCGTCGTTTCTGGCATCGGGGGCAAGGCCATCCGTGGCTACAGGAACATAGCTACTAGTAGTGTGTACAGTACAAAAGCCCGAACGTCAGTGCATAAATCCAGTATCCCAGTATCGAGCAGTAGATAAGTTAAGGCCCGAGGCGACGACGGATAGCGATTGAAGATTGGCATGTTTTGTAAACATGGTGCGGAAACATGCTGAGACGATGTGCGATGCGTGTATGTGAGTAGCAAGCAAGCGAGACTTGCAAACCAAGAATCCGGAATACCGATTGAGAGCAGACAGCCAAGTATAAGTATCATCAGCGCCGACGAAGTCCTATCGCTTCGCCTTCGCCTTTCCCTGGCTAGCCGGCCGCTTCCTTCCCCTCCCTTGCTGCTGCTTATACCTCTCGCGCAGAGTCTCGTACACCGACGCCATCGCCCCAGTCAACGACTCCTCAGTGTCCAGCTCGCCCGCCGGCACGCCGGGATATCGGTCCTTATTCTGCACAATGTCCGCCGCGATGCGTTTGACCATATTCTGGTTATGCTTCGAGCGGCGGAGCGTGGTGGACCATGCGAAGCGTACAGGTTCTGAAGCGGGCCATGGCAAGCCGGGTTCAAAGGGTTCGTCAGGGAGGGGGGCGTCTTCGGCTACGCCCATGCAGTGTAGGGAGTGCGCGATGAGTGCTTCCTGGGCGAAAATGAGTCAAAGGGGCCATTGGCGGAGAGAATGTGCGCCGACCTGCGTAGTGGTGATCGTGGAGGAGGGAGACGGCGCGGGCTTCTTGTGCTTATCCTGCAAGTCGTCCTCATTCTCCGACTTACGCTTGCCGAGGGTCGACTGGGGTTTGTGTGAGTCAGGCGCCTGCGCGGGAGCAGGGGGTGGTGGCGCATGCGACGGTGCGCTAGTTGAGTGGAACTGGGAGATCGACGGCATAGGCAGCTGCCCCATCGCCATAGCGGACGAAGGCGGCGATAAAGCAAGTTGAGGCTGCCCGTGCGCCTGACCCTGTTGTTGTAGGTGTTGGGGAGGTTGCTGAGGCATCGGCACAGGAGGGTGTGACATAGCGAATCGAGGCGAAGACTCGTGTGCTCGCATACGCATCATCTGCTGGTGTTGAAAGGGCCCCGAGGGCGGGAATCCTGCATTTGGTGGCGGCACGAGATGTTGATGGCGCATCGCGGGGGAGTCCGCGTAAGGGGACTCTACCGAAGGAAGGGACACGGGAGATGGTGGTGGCATGCCAGGTTGTACGGAAGGCCGGGAAGCGGAGAAATGAGGCTGAGCCCATGGCCCGCGAGGTGGTGATTGGGTGAGGGTGGCCAGTTGGTTTCGCAGGCTGGTGATTTGTTCGTTGAGTTCGCGTTCGGAGCACTCGAAGCGCTCTGCCTTCTCGTTCAATTCTGTTCGGAGGGCCTTAATGTCGTCCTGGAGGCCTTCCTCGCGTACTCTGGTGCACTCGCGCTCGTTGTCGGCGTCGCGTTTCATGACGGAAAGCTGCTCGAAGAGATGCCGAATCTGCATGGCGAGAACGTTGTCGGTGTGGGCAGGAGGGACAGGGGGAAACATCTTGGCAGGATGTAAGGGCGGTTGCGTCTGAACAGGAGCGGAGAAGGGCGACTGTGGCGTAGAGCTAGCGCAACGTCAGCGAATGACCTGCGCAGATGACAGGATACGCACGGGGAAATTCCGAGAGCTGACTCGAGTTCATTGCGGGGAGGCGGCGGACGCGCTTGAATAGGCTGGTGCTGTGGGACTTGGTGCTGTTGTTGAGCGCCGTTGGACATAGATTGCCGATAATACTGAGCGTTCGCCTGGGCTTGCATCTGAGAGGCAGCGTACATGCGTTGTTCGACGCTCTGGGGCTGACTGGACGCATCGTACGCGCTCAATTGGCCTTGCCGAGGGTAGTAGGCTTGCTGGTGTTGCGTGTCTGGCCGTTGCGATGCGTAGAACGCGTCATTGGAAGCCTGCGACTGCCAGTTCCCCTGCGGTTGCTGCTGCTGCTGAGGGATCTGGGGGGAGAACTGCGAAGGAGGCATAGTGGATGGCTGCTGAGGCTGCGCATAGATGTTCTGAAAGCCATCAAAGGACATGACCACCACCGGATGAGAGGAGAGGGAGCAAAGGGCCAAGTGGCTGTTTGTTCGCAAACGGACGCGTCTGTTCCTTTGCGCGTTTCAGTCTCCGCGAGTGGCTCCGCTTCGACGAGGCCAAAGCTGAAGGGGGAGCGTAGGGATATACAGGGTGGTGTGATAAGGGAGAGCTTCGAACGCTGCGAGAATGTGGCCGTCGAGGACAAGGAACATCACCAATCGACTGGACTGGGGACGGCCGGGTTAACTGGCTGGGACGCCCACGTATTGGGGAGAGTTTTCGCAATCGACGTCCCGTGGTAAGTAGCGCATGGCGTTTTCTATGTAGGACAGGCTGGAGAGGAAGCTACAGTACTCGTAGGCAAGGGTCAACAGGTGCCAGTGCCACTTCGCGTTCGCGCTGGTGGGACAAGCGCTCGGCAATCTCCGGCGACGCGTCAGCGAACGCGTCCACATCTCGCGCTCCCGCTTGTCTTCACGCGCGTCCATCTGCACATTTCACAAACCCCAATCGCAACAATGGACCCGGATATTGAGCGCATAATGATGGCACAGCAGGGGCGTGGAGGTCCCCAGACTCGCGCAGACACTACGGTCCCCGACAAGTACGTCCCATTGTCGTGGCGGCAAGACTCGAGCTGATGGTGAGGCGTACAGCGGCGAAGTCATCCATATATCCTCATTAGCGTTGCTCAAGGTACCGTCCCCCACTTTAATAGTGAGCTCAAGGCTAACGCCCTGCTGCAGATGCTTAAGCACGGTCGCGCAGGAGTACCCATGGAGGTCATGGGTCTCATGCTGGGAGAATTCATCGACGACTACACAGTACAAGTCATCGACGTATTTGCCATGCCGCAGTCAGGAACGACAGTCACTGTCGAGTCTGTAGATCACGTCTTTCAGCAGAAGATGGTGGACATGCTGAAGCAAACGGGGAGGTGCGTATATCCCGCCGATTATCCTTCTCGCTCGCTGAAGTGATTCGTTAAAGACCAGAAATGGTGGTCGGCTGGTACCATTCCCATCCCGGCTTCGGCTGTTGGCTGTCCAACGTCGATATCAACACCCAGCAGGTGCGTCCATCCGCCACATATGCTACCTCCCATCCTGACCATCTCGCAGTCCTTTGAATCCCTCAACTCCCGCTCCGTCGCCGTCGTCATCGACCCTATACAATCCGTCAAGGGCAAGGTCGTCATCGACGCCTTCCGCCTCATCAACCCGCACACCGTCATCACGGGCCGCGAACCGCGCCAGACGACGTCGAATATCGGCCACATCAACAAGCCATCCATCCAGGCGCTGATCCACGGCCTCAACCGGCACTACTACTCCATCGCGGTCAACTACCGCAAGACGGAGCTCGAGCAGTCGATGCTCATGAATCTGCATAAACGCAACTGGACAGAAGGTCTGAAGTTGCGCGACTTCAAGGTGCACAAGGAGGATAACGAGAAGGCGATCAAGGTACGTCCCGGTCTCCATTCCCCTTTATCTGGAGACTGACATATAACAGTCAATGCTCTCACTTTCCGAGGCGTACAACAAGTCGGTGCAGGAGGAGACGACGCTCACGCCCGAGCAATTGAAGACACGGCATGTCGGGAAGCAGGATCCCAAGCGGCATCTAGAGGAGATGGTCGAAAAGGCGATGGGTGACCAGGTCGTGCAAAATCTGGGGACCATGTTGCTCGCCGAGCTATGATTGTCGTGACTTCTCGCACTCTTTGTGTATTGTACTGCGATTTTTGGTGGAACTCTGCGTGCGCAACCCTAACCGACGCTAGATGAGCGCGATGAAGGTCAGCAGGCGTGTAAGCACTGAGTAGATGCCGAAGAGGCGAGTCGAGAACTGGCATGTAGGGCTTTGTTATCGTCACGGTGCAGCAACGGCGTGCCCGCTCCGGGCCAAAAATCGTTGAGGGCAAGAGGAGGAAAAAACAAGCCCTACAATTGGGTTGCTTGTGGGCGCGCACGCTGCACCCTTCCTTGTAGGATGGTTCACCTTTTTGCTACGGTCTTCAATATTTAGATACCACGACCTCGCTCGAAGTATTGTGCAGTGCCCTCTTGACTTGACTTGCGGAGGGGAGGCCATCCCGTTACTATTCACTCAGTGCGCAATTCAGGTTCTTTGGAATAATCTAGAGTATTGGCAATATGTTCTTATTCGACTAGGCCTCAATGGTAGCGGGCCCTGCCGTGCAACGGCCTTTCGAGCTATATACAAGGTGCGACGCGATGCACACTTCCGCAAAGGGTGTCGCGCGCATCTCGTCACTCATCACGCGGTATGACGTCAAGAGCAACTAGAGCGTGGGAAATTCATGCTCGGAGCTTGTAGCACCGGGTGCGGCCACGGCCATTTGCTCTTAACCGTCATCATCTGCTGCACAATCATGCTCACCACCATACCTTCTGGGTCGGACGAGGAAAATGTTCCAGTGCCCTCCAAAGCAGTAAGTGCCCCCACTAAGCGATCGCGTACAAAGCGTTTTTATACACCGCGTAAGCCCTCCTCCAAGCACACATCTATCGGGACTACTCAGCGGCGAGTTGTGGACGAACTGGTCAAGGCGACTCGAATGGATGCACCTTCTACATTCTGCGTCGTAACCTTAGCCGGCGAACGTGCGACATACTTGGATTACGCGTATGTCGTCGAGCGTGCGACAGCCCCAGAAATTGTGAGAACATTCATCATACACAACAAAATCAAGCTAAGGCATTTTTCAAGCTGACGAAGTTAGAATGGTCATGGGGCATGCAGTACCAGACGTTCAATGTTCATACGGAGTTCAATATTCATCCCCGTGAGCGCTGTCTTTGTTCATTCGTTCGATGTGGCTCACTTGCCGGCTGGCAGTTGACGTAGGCCTGCACAGGTTCTTTGACCGCAAAGGGCACAACGGGTGGTTTTGGCTTCCAGTCCTGGACGACGTGATCCGCCAAATGTGTCGAGCCTATACGGGCATCACAACCTCTGGTGCGACTCCGAACCACCTCAACGCACGTCGCAAACCCCAGGAGGTATGTGCTGCCGTCAGCGACACACTGATCATGCTCATCAGCCTAGTTCTATCTCGGCAACAAAAACCACCCCTACAGGCTAATCCCCTGCCCTGCCATGGACGGAACTTGTCCGATCAGTGTATTCCCCGACGTCGTCTCCAAATGTGACCCGCATACTCCGATGGAGGACCACTACTATCCCTTCGACATTCTGCCAACTAGATCTCTCCATGTTCCGTACCATCTCGTCATCTGCAACACCGGGCGAAAGCTGTTCGGATTCTACGAAGGTCGCCGCCCCACCGAAGTCCAACTCGAACACGATTTCCCCAGTCTTGCCCCTAAGGATCGCCGGACAGTGCTCGATGTCTGGGACATCTACGATGCGTGGATGCACGCCGTACCGACTACCGAGTGGCAGGACGGTCCAGTCGGTGACGGCGGCGATGATGATGCTATCCATTGATAAGTGGCACTGTAGGCCTGAACGGCCTATGTCGCCGCTGTCTACTTGATAAAAGGGCTCTGAGGGTGTGTAAGTAGTACGCAAGTATATGTATAGTACGAGATACCAAGGAGGTAGGGTGCGTGCCCGGGAGGAGCCGGGGAGGCCTAGCGGCCTCTAGCTCTATATATAATGGTCAAGACGATGAGCGAGCAGCAAGTATTTACGGTATCAGAGGTGGTCTGCGACGTGTAGTAGTAAGAGAGTATGTATTACTATTAGATAGCATTATTCTTGGGGAGTTAACGGGGGAATCGCTGGGTCGTATGTTGTGGGCGACGCGTCGGTTCGTTATCGCAAGCCGTCCGAGCACTTGCAGGACCACGCAGAGGAGCCGCGTCTGACGGGCCTCTGCGCGAGCCCGCTCATGATGTGCGTCCACTTCAATGGCCACAACGCCAGTGAGTGCCGGGGCGCCGCGGGTCCCGGTAATCGCCCAGCAGATCTGGCTACTATCCACCGCGAGCTGCTCGCTATGCCCGGTTGTGGACTACGGCGAATTTTCGCTCTTTCACTACGATTTCCCCTGTCATCACGAAGCGCGCGCACAAATGGCTCGACAAGCCCTGGAGCCCACGTCTTTCCTGGTTGTGCATGTATCTGAGCGCAGATGACATTTTTTTCGAGGCAAAAACGGATGGCTACACGCTGTATTCGCGTAGCGTGCGGTACATAAAGTATGCTGGAATGTAATAGGTATATAATCGTCAGGAAAAGAGATGCGGGAGCGTCAACGAGAACGAGTTCGGAAAACAAGAGCGAGGTTAAATACTCGTGAGATGCATGAGCAAGATACATATCTGGTACGTCGTCCGTGTCATATGCCATGAGCAGTACAATCAGCCTGGGTCGTGAGCCGGTCTGAGTTGTGTGCGATGCCGACTCGTCGTGATATATAAATACACTGCAATGTCGCTTGGCTTGGTCTTTGCAGCCGTCTCGTTTACTCGCCAGCGAAGAGGCGGACAATCATGTATGTTGTGCACCCAACAAAGCGAACGACTGGACAGAGCTGGTCGATGAGGTCGTTCAAAAATGTAGATAGATGACTTACAGGCAAGGCCTGCGACGGAGAAAAGCAAGAAGGCCATGTATCCGCTGACTGTCTTGCTCGCGCCGTCGCTGTCAGCGCTACCGGCCGTATTTCTACCAAGGGCGTTAACTACAAGTTGACAATCGGGATGCTTATTCACTCACAATATAAGCGCTCCGAGCAAGCCATTGCTAAGTGTCCATGCCAACAAGACGCTGTACACCGTTAGTGAACACCATAGAGTATTGTATGATTCCCACATACTTCGTGCGGAACGTCTTGTAGTAATCTTCCTGCACCGTCGACGGATCCGGCTTGCTCTCCTGCTTCGGTGGCTTCGTATTGAGTACATGGATCGCGTCCTCATACAGCGCGTTGATGTCCTGCTCCTGCGTTGGTACGTTCACCTCGACCTCCGCCTTGCCGTCCTTGGTGGTCGTGACAACACCGAGATCGGTTTGGACTTTGTTGTCGCCCTTCGTGCCCCATGAGACGTCGTGAACGTTAGCAAAGGCGTAAACGTTGAGCACGGAAATATATGAGGGGGACATGAGGAGGTACTGGATGAAGGACGTGATCATGTGCCATGGCTCGAACTGCGAGGACATGAGCGAACGAGCGATAGAGGGTACAAACAGTCACTTACGAAGATGAGAGATGCGAGTAGGTATAAGCCGGTCGTAGCTAGAAGCGAGATGACGATGTTCCTGAAGATGGAATTCGTGAAGAGATCCGAGAAGCTCAAGCCGCCGGTCTCCTTCTGTATGTTCTGAATACCCTTGACAGCCAGCAATACAGCAGCCACCTGGTCCATTGTCAGCTCGCGTCCAGTCCCTCTCGACAAGACTAAAATACCGTCATGTACACCGTGATCGCAGCAAAGCCCAAGAAAGCCGTCGTGTAGCCCCATTTGCTGCCTTGAGGTCGGTTTCCCAAGGCCAAGATGAAGCACATCACGAGCAACCCGAGATAGATGTAGTTGATGATGATGTTGGGTATGTGCATGGCGGACCCGACGATGGACTTATCCTCCATCGCTTGCGACAAGATGGTGAACGCGATGTAGTAGTTAGCCTTAACAATCGTCAGTGCGGTTCAAGAGAGAGTACGAGAGGTACTCACGAGCGAGAACCAGGCAAATATGGTGTTAAATACTTGATAGACAGTCTCCACGTGTAGCCAGAACTTGCGCATGAACGTGTGGGCAGAGCGATAGATATAATAGAAATGGAAGCTACGATTCCAATCAGCCCAATTGCCGGTCAAGGGGACAAGCCTACTCACATGGAATGCACGGCAGCGAAGAACGACCCGTTCAGCCACCGTCGCCGCTGCGAGATCAGCTCCGGCACCTGGTCCGGAACATCCGTCACCGCGTACGCGCTCTTCACGTAGTGCAAGATCCACGATCCGCCGCGCTTGCTCACAAGCTCCCAGCAAAGGATACGATCCTCCGCAAGGTACATGTTCGCAGTGAAGATGTCCGCGCCCGCGCCGTGCATCTTTTCGCCGAGGAAGTACTTCTGCAACGGGCCCTCGCCAAGCTCGTCGTTCTGCAGCGCGATGTACCGGTAGGCGGAGAAGGCACCGGGCAGAACGGTGATATACCCGAAGAGCGACTCGAGGGGCTTATCGAGGATGTTCGATATCTTGTACTCGAAGTTCTGGGCGGCGACTGGGAGGGAATAGAGTTAGACGAAATCTTTGATAGATATGAAGAGCGCACCGAGGGGATTCAGGAGGTTCAGGCCCCATTTGCCCTTAAGCGCGACGATTTCACCGCAAGCACCGCCGACGTTGGAGTTGATGTCAAACGCCTTCCACAAGTGATAGATCGACGTCGGACCCGGCATAGTACCAACATCGAGCAGGACGCAAACATTGGGTTGTAATATCGGGCCGAAGGCGTTGAAAAACCAGCGATGAGAGTTAATCTTCTTCTGGTTCTTCTCCTTCAAGCAAAAGATGAGTTGAACGGGCATAGTACCGCGCTCTGCGCCCTCAATCTTCATCGAAGGGGTGACGGTGACTGGACGGGCGGTCAGTAGAATAGCAACCATCAAATCAAAGGACATACTCTGAGTCGTATACTCGTATATGTGCGCCGTGACAGGCTTCTTGTTGACGACGTTCTGATGGATGGTCAGTGATGTTAACCCAAGTCTTATTCTACGAACATACCTTGGCGATACCATCCTGGTACGCCCCCATCGCAGCGATGACGCTCAGCGTCCTGGAATTGATTTTCTGCCGGCCATCCGACACTATGCACACAACTACCTTCTTCCAGCCCTCCTTGCCCCACGTCTTACTACGATCGCGCTTGCACAAGTGCGCAATGTTCTTAATCACACCGTGCATCGTACGGCAGAACAACTCTTCGTCTTCGTTGTACATCGTCATCACGATGAATAACTCCGTTCGCCGAGGTGGATCGTAGTGGACCTGCCGAAGTGTGAAGCCGCTGTCCTTGAAGTCGTTCGGGTCGCATGTCGCAGCCGAGTAGCGCATATGCGTGAACTCGCGGTCGTTCTTCAGCGCGCACATATCTAGGAGCTTGGACGCAACGGGCTGGTCGAGTACGAAATTGCCGTGGAAGAGTTCGACACGCTTGATGGTCTTGTACCGACGCGGGACACGCTGGGGTATACGTCCATAGCGAATGTTCGTTTCCGAGCGCGCGTCGTCATCCCCATCCTCGTCCCCATACCCGCCTGGCATGTCGATCGTGCTCGCGGGGTAGTCGCTGATCGGGCGCCCAATGTCGAGGCGGCTCGCCTGCGAGTGGTCGCGCCGCAGCAAGGGGATGTCGCCCGCATCCGGATCGTCATCCTCGTAAGAGTGCCGCACATTTCCCGGCTGTTCGAGGTACATGGACTGGGGGCTGTGATCCATCGCCTGGTTCGCGTACTGTTGGTCGTAGCCATAGTCGTGTGCCTGGAGACCGCCAGGCTGAGGAAGCGGCGGCGGCGATCCTGGGTAGACCGTGGCTGGCGCGGGAGTGTGACTCTGAGGGAGTGGAGGGGGCGATCCGGGGTAGACTGTGGCGGGCGCTGGCGTGTAAGACTGCGCCGGCTGCTGGACGTACGTCTCCTGCAGAGAATATCCTGGGTTGCGTAAGCTGGTTTTCTATGTATGCGTAATCGAGCAGCGCACCTGGGTACATCGTACTGCCTTGGTTAGGAGGCGGATAAGGATTGGCGAAGGGATCCTGCGCGGGCGCGCCGAAGACTGCCTGCGGCGGGGAGCCGTACTGTTGCATGGGAGGCGGCGAGCTGACTAGCGTAGGCGGCGCGGGAGGGGGGAACTGGTGGTCGAACTGGTCGTACGGGTTGGGATTGTAGCCATCGTTGTAATGCCTCCTCTGAGCCTCATCTGCCTGCACGTCGTGATGAGTTCCGCGCGCGTCGTCCAACATGACATCGGGAACGTACCTCCTGATAGTGTGCCATACCGTCGTCTGCGATTTACAAAGACAAGTAGCGGTAAGTCAGGGGACCTAAGTATTGTGCCGCCGGGGATGAGGCTGTGGTCGCAGTAGATGGGGTGGCTGTGGGAGGTGTACAGCGCCGCAAAACAGGGACGCGTCGGTGCTTCTTTGCGAGGGGTCGAAGAGTACAGCAAGGATATACAGACAAGAGGAAAGACAAGCTGTGAACGTTGCGGACAAGGACTTGCGCGTCGACGGCGACAGCGAGCAGTTCGTTTGTTGCGCTTTGACGTCAGGACGGGGAATTCAAATGTGGAATTACTTGCCGGATAAGGAAAGTAATATGGTCGTTTGGCTTGGCGCCCACATCGCCACCGCCGACGTTGGCGGTACTTCTAACCCAAGGAAAAAATCTATATCCAGATAGTCGTAGATGGAGCAAGTAGACGGCAGTATGTAGTACATGCAAACGGTATACAGTGACACGGTAAGTGTTAGTGCGATGTTGGCTGGCCTTCCGCTGGCTTGTCCTGGCTTTCCGAGTCTGCAGCCCAGTCTCTTAGTCCAAGCTTCTCGCGAGCGTCCTGTATCTGGGTAGGCTTCATCTCTCTGAAAGTGATTCCACCGCGTGAGGCGCCTGACATGGATGGGTGATCGCGGTCGTAGAGGGCAGATGATGATTGGGATAGACTTGCGGTCTGTGTTGCAAGAGCAGCAAAGGAGGCGGTTGAGTCGTGATACCTAGAGGTGCGCGTATGGATGGGTTAGCTCGAGCGCAGGATAACCACGGTGTACGCACAATCTACGGATGTCAAACATGTCAGCGCACATATTGGCAGCTTCACGAAGCTTGTACTCACCTGTAGGCTTCCCTGTTCAGGCAGTCTCCCTCCTCCAGACTATCGAGCGCATTCTTCTTGAAAGCAGCCTTCACCCAGTACAAGACATCAAACACATGATGTTCCTTTGGTCTGCAGAAGCTTCAGATCATGTTATGCAGGACGCCTCCGTTCATACCTCCAAGGGCGGAATCGCGGAGCGAGGTTGAATATACCATCCTGCGCGACAAGGGGGTGGAATACATCCGTCACGAATTGCACGACAGGGGGACGCTCGGGATAGTTGCGAGGGAACGCGAGACGGAACTTCAGAACGGCATCGCTGTAGTAACCTGGTGTAGCCATCCGTTAGCCAGTAGATGGGTACGTCTACAGGTCCACGCACCTTGATGGACAAAGAGGACAGCGTCCCACAGGAGAAGGCTTTCGAGAGAGGGGACGACATAGACGCCCAGTGGACAGTGCGACGCGTGCCGCAACGAGGCGTACTCGAGCGCGACGGCAGTCTTCGTCGCAGGGCTGACCGTGTCAACCTCCTTCGACGCCGAATCAGTCGGCTTATGCCCCTTCGAGCGGCTCATAGAGCGCTTCAGGCCGCTCAGGTCGAGGGACGGAGACTGGAACATCGTGGTCGGACGCAAGGATGGTCGCTTGATGCCTGATGCACATTGCATTCTGCTCTATTCCACTCTACTTCTGATTTCATTCTTTCAACCCATACTTCGACCTGTAGTCGCGCATCTGCGCCAGCTCCTGCTCCATCCCCTTGCTCTCTAGCCACGACATGAGGTCGCGCATCCGGAGAATCGCCCGAACGCGCCCCTGGCCACCGACGAGCTCTTCGATCTCTGTAACCGTGCTCCGCCCCGCGTCCCCCTGCCCGACTTCCTCGCGGTCCAAAAGCTGCACGACGCCGACGACCTCTCCACCTGCCGCCTGAACCGTCCCGATCGCCTCGCGTACGGCCTTGCCGCTCGTCATCACGTCGTCGAGGATGAGCACGCGCCGGCCGTTGAGTGGCGCGCCCACGGTCTTCCCTCCCTCGCCATGATCCTTGGCCTCCTTTCGGTCGTATGCGAAGCCGATATCGCGCTTGTGTTGCGTGTGCAGTGCGAGCGCGGTCACCGCTGCGAAGGGGATACCCTTGTACGCGGGGCCAAAGAGCACGTCGAAGGGGACGGTGTCTATCGGGAATGCGGTGGCGATGGTGTTCGCGTATGCATCGGCGAGCGTTGCAAGGATGGGGCCAGTGTTCAAGAGACCAGCATTGATGAAGTAGGGGGACGCACTAGCTACGACACGCTCGTCAGCGGTGAGTGGCTACGTTGAGGCGGTGGAAGGCTGACCGGCCGGATTTGAGCACGAAGGAGCCGAACTTGAGGGCACCGACGCTCATGGCGCGCTCGATGAGCTCATTCTGGTACGTCTCGAGATTGGACATGGTCGTCGTCGCAGAGGAACGTTTTTCGTGCGAGTGCAGATAGCCAGCGATCGATTCAGATCACTGACCTGTGACTCACCCAATTCAAGCTGAATGTTCACGCTCTGTCGTGGTTTTGGATGGTATCCATTCCCTGACGCTAGGCCAGCGCGGTCAGCAGTAAAATACAGAGCTACATGGGTGGTGTAACAAAGGGGAATAATCTACGCATGTCTCAAGGTAAACCCATAGTCCAAATCATCATACTACATTCATCCGCCCGAGGACATGCGAGTCGTAGCTGTGGCTGAGGGCGATGCCCTCGTCCGTGACGTCCGTGGGGGCCTGCGACCAACGCTCGACGTACTCGCTATTGAGGGGACCGCGCTCCGGGCGATTGGGAGTAGGTGTTCGCGGCGTTGGCCCGCGCGAGAACTTGAGCGCGCCCGAGCCCTCGTCGGTTAGGGAGCGCACCGACGGCGCAGGCGCAAGGTACATCCTCCGCTCCTCCCGCTCCCGCTCGACCTCGTCAAGATCGCGCAGCCACGGTATGCGCATCGCCTCCGCCGTGTCCTGCCGTATCGGCGGCGTCGGCGTCGTGCTCTTCTTCGACTCGGGCTTCGACTCCGCGTCGGGCTGCCATGACGCCCACCGGCTGCGACCGTCGATAACGCCGCTGGGTACCCACCGGCGCGACGCCCAGCTGTCGTTCCCGAGCTCGGCGGTTTCGCGCCAGGACTCGGGCGACGACGTGCGCGGCATGCGCGTGCCCCAGGGCTGCAGGCTGCTACGGTCGTCGGAATCGGGCGTCGCGGGCGCGGGGTCGATCTCTGAGATCGTGTCCCCGCGGCCGTGGTACGAGCGAGGTGTGCGCGTCGTATCCCCGGTCGTATCGCGACGGTGGCGGCCGGTGTAGTAGTACATGGTCACCGGGCGCATGCCTGGTGCCGTCTCTGCTTCCCCGGAGTCGATCTCGGAGGGGAGGCGTCCGCCGACGGCTGAGGGGTACGATATGGACGAGCCGACGGAGACTGTTCGCCTGGATATAGACGCTTTGGAGAGGTTGGACCGATGCGCGTACACGGGCATCCTCCAGTTATTTAGATCAGGCAGGTGTGGGAACTGCGGCGTCAGCTCTTGAACGGCGCGGAAGGAATCCTGCATGCTGGCCATGGACTTGTTGTGTGCGTGTGCGGCGGGTTGCGGTTGCAGTAACGAGTCTTGCTTCGAAGGCGCGTTTGTCATGGGTCGCGATACCATGCTCCAGCTCGACGACGCGCGCCTGTTTTGACCTGCTTCCGTTGCACCGGGAGATTCTGTGCGGAATTTCTCAGTAATAACGGAGGGGCTGGGCATGTCGAGTTCCGAAAAGCGCAGGTGCAGCGTCGGTGCCCGCTGTCCGCCGAAGAACACCGTAACACGCTCGCCCTTCCTCTCGACAGGGCTGTCGCTACGCATTGCGGCGAACGCGCGCATGCCAGGCAAGCCGAGGGACTGCATAGGCTGAGAAATGGGCTTCTCGGGAGCGCGGGGTGCGGCGTGGAAGGCGACGGCAGTTGGTGAGAGGGGGCGGAATGTGCTCGTACGCGGATTGGCAATCAGCTGCATGAGTCGCGAGCGGCGGCGGTCTGGTCGTACGTCGGTAAACGTCTCGACGCTCTCCATCCCGAGCGAGATGCCGACGCACAGCTTTGCGCGAGATATGGCACGTAGTATGCGGCGCGCAAGCGAGACGGCGAAGGTGGCGGGAGCATAACCGACCAGGGTTTCGGCGAGGCCGACGACGAGGCCGGTTGTCGTCCAAATTGTACCACCGAACGAATGCACGGTCCCATTCGGAGACGCCTGTATCTCTTTGTGCTGGCGAGATATGTGTACGAGACGCCGGACCGCGAGGACAGCGGGAAGGGCTTGCAAGGCTGCCAATACTGCCAAGTCTGCGTATGTGGATGCAGTCCACAATGCCTGATCCTGCTTGTTTTCGAAGCCGACTGCGACTATCGTCGTAGTACCATTCGAAAATGTGCCTGCCGAATGTGAGATGGTGCTTTGGAAACCAGGCTGCAGACGTACCGTGAGTGATGCCCACAAATGAAGCGACTTCGTACATGACGAGCGTGATGGGTAGAAATACAACAAGCATGATGATTTGAAGGGAAAGCTTGAGCCAGCGAGGAAAGCAACCAATGAACTGGGAACGCAAAAGAAAGAAGATGAAGAGCCCATAAAAGAAGATGGGGAAAACTGAAGCAACGCCTGGGAAGGACGTTAACGATACTCTGTCGTAAGATAGTTGTGGAGCTTACCTAGGACAGTGTCGATCACTTTAAAGGTGCCGATGTTATCGCGTACAGCGGGGAGAAGGTGAGAGAGCAGATCCAGCAAGGCTAGCATGAAGTACGTGCAACCTTCTGCACCGAGCAACAGTTGTTTCCTGTTGATTCGAGACCCCGTCAGAAGGGGGAACTGCTAGTATGTCGCTGGCAACGCACCTGTGTCCCAGGCCCCAGTTTGCATAGACGGTCCAACACGCGACGAGTGCCTCCAGCCCCGCGGGCACCAGAAGGATTCCGGATTGTACCACGGTAAACGATTGGCAGCGTAGGACGGTCGGTGAGGAAAGGCATATGGATCCCATCGGCTGTTCTGGTGTATCCTATGGTTGCAAGTAATGGGCATCGCAGTGCAGGGCCTGCCTGATCTGGGACTCGGCGGCGGGGGAGGGGAGGGGAACAGTGTCCCAGGGAACGAAGAAAGGAGCGGACCGCAGACTAGAGCTGCACGGAAAGATCGACCAGCGCAGAGAAGAACGAAGGGGTTGGAGAGCAAGGGCAATTCGGTGCGCGCGATGCGCAGGCAGTTCCGTCCCCGGTTGCTATCCCACGTCGATCGCGTTGCCATCGTGGAAGATGCAAACAATTGACAGTGTGCGTCACTAGAGGGGATCCCTTTGTTCGGGGCGCTTCAAAGTGCAAAAGTGAGGTCTCGAGACGTCCAGGTCGAGACCGTCGGAACTCACCAAGAGCTTCGACATCCACTCAAAACCCAGGGCAGACGATACTGAACGCTGAGGCATGAATTATATGCAGATTGGACTGTAGACAGTAACATCTGTGTATTATGCCTCTCCATTCCGCTCTGGGACGTCGTCTCAGACGAGGGCCGTACCTTCAGAAGAATACGAGGAGGAAAAGGCGAGCGTGCCAAACAGTGGCGTGGGAAATGAAGAATAATCACGTGGTGTCCATGTGCACCGAAGTCGAACTTCCTATCTCCTTTCAACTTGCCTTTCAATCCAGTCCAGCTTGAAGTTGTGATAAACCGAAAGGCCGTTTCACGGCAGAGCCCGCTACCATTCAGGACTTCGACATGGCTTTAGATTTGCTCTACTAAATTTCTTAGAACCTCTGCATTGCAAGTCCAGACGAGTGAGCGATGATAGGCAACGGAGCGGGCGAAGAATGCCCTCGCCAGTAAATCATGCTTCCCGCGCACTTTTAAACCCACCGACAAACAAAGGGGTCGTACACAGGAGCCCTCCGGCCCGTGACTAGGCCAGCATCACTCCCTCACCAGTACCATCCATACCATAGAGCGGCTGCCCATCGCGTGTCCTTGTTCAGCCATGCGCAGACCTTCACATGATTGTTCTTGCCGCCGCTCTTCAGTAGAGTCGGGCAATTTTGAGGGAGCCAGAGCGTTGAGATAGGTCTGCGCCCATCGGCCCATCGACGCTGCACTGAACATCCCACGAGATGACGAGGCTTATGAGCTGCTGCTAGACAGTGCCACCAGAGGTCAGCATCCATTGTTCTCGTGGCGCTGGAGGTCTGACACGGTATCGACGCTAGATGGCGTCGAAGAAGTGAGCGCAGGAGAGAAGCCGTCTACGGCGAATGCCGAATGGTCGAGACCTTCGAAGGCCCAGCATGTGCATTTCACGTGACAGTCCTCAGAATCCGTCAGTCTCCGCCAAGAGCGGTTTTGCGTTCCGTCCCCAAAACCCACTACCATAAATAACTCAAAGGGCCGTTGCACGGCAGGGCCCGCTACCATTCAGAATACAACAAGGGGCTACAGTGGATTGACCCTCTTTTGGGTTTGACAACCTTCACTCGCACAAGCCGTCGCGAGCGAGCAGTCAGCGAGCTCGCGTGCCGACGGGAAATTGAGGCGCACTTCCAGAATTTCTGGCGTGCACTTTTCAGTGCAGATCTTCGACCCTATAGCACTGTGAGATAGCGGGGCTTGGAAGGCGGAAGGCAGAAGGCAAAAGGCGTTGCTAGAGCTCCGTGGCGGTAAATTTCCTTGACAGGACTGTCGGAAAACGTAAACCCGGCTTACAAGCCCACAATCACGTCAAGAAACCCCCCACCTTATAAGGTAAAGACCCTTGCGGTGCTTGAGAGATGCAGCAAAGCACTGGATAAAGTTCAGCACTCCAAGAAATTCATGTACATAGAAGACCTCCATAGAGGGATGTTGAAGCTTTTTTAGAGCGAATCGGACCAGACATGCCATCGCTATGCGCCTCCAAAATCCGGGCAGCTTGCCCAATCTGGAGCCCCAAGCACCCCCTAATCAGTCCAAAAGCCAGTCAAGCAGTCAAAAGCGGCTTAAGGTAAAGACCCCCCTTGCAAGCGGCACTTACGTTTTCCGACATGGACGCGTCATCTGCTCGGTCTCTGGAGGAATTCCAGCAGGACTCAGTGAAGATTCCTCGCGCGACGCTAACGATCCGGTACAGCGTCAAGAGGCAACAGAGCGTCGTCGATATGAGGTGAGGGGAGGAGAGAAGCCGCCTACGGCGAATGCCGAGCGGTCGAGACTGTCGAAGACCCTAACATGTGCATCGCACGTGACAGCCCTCAGAATCCGTCAGTCTCCGCCTAGAGCTGTTTTGCGTTCCGTCCCCAATAACTCGAAGGGCCGTTTCACGGCAGAGCCCGCTACCATTCAGGACTTTGACATGGCTTTAAATCTGCTCTACTCAATTTCTCATAACCTCTGCTTTGCAAGTGCAGACGAGTGAGTAAAGACAGGCAACGGAGCGGGCGAGGAGTGCCCTCGCCTCGCCAGTAAATCGTGCTTCCCGCGCATATTTGAGCCAAGCAAAGGGGTCGTACAAAATAGTTAAGTAGGGGACCCACGACAGCTCACGCAGGGGCTTACAGCGCGCCAAAGGCGCGCTGGCGGCGCCACGGGCCGATGGCCCACGCCACACGCCACCGCCGCTTGAAAGGCAGCTCAGGACGTCGAGCGCTGTCCTTAAGTCACAAAATGTAATTGTCATTGTCTACCTACAGTGCATACGAGCAAAAACTCGTTCACCGCTCCCAACAGCGCTCAAGAAGGAGAGCTCTGCTCGTCGTTGATGCTCAAAGAGAGGCCGACGCTGCACGGTAACGCGACGTTCAAATTTTCTCACGAAAATTGGTATGCGTGTGCATAGGAGAGTATGGAGTGCTCTTGCAAAGTTTCAGAGAGATCCGCGAAGAGAGGCGCGCGCTGCGCGCGCCAGAACTCGCGGAGCTCTTTTCGAGTAATACCCGGAAAAAGATTTGTACTTGTTTACACGGCAACTCTAGGGCAGCCATCACGAACTCACGATTGCTCACGCTTCCCCTGCCTCGTACCTCGGCGGGGCCCCTGCGTGAGCAACAAGAGCCCTCCGGCCGTGACCATGCCAGCATCGCTCCCTCACCAAACCATCCAAATAGTGCAGCTGCCCGTCGCGTGCCCTTGTTCAGCCATGCGCAGAGCTTCACACAATTGTTCTCGCCGCTGCTCCATAGTAGAGTCGGGTAATTCGAGGGAGCCAGAGTGTTGGGATGGCTCTGCGCCCATCGGCCCTTCAACGCGGCACTGAACATACCACGAGATGACCATTTCTAAGATGCTGCTAGACAGTGCCGCCAGAGGTCAGTAGCCATCGTTCTCGCGGCGCCAAAAGTCTGACACGGTATCGACGCCAGATGGCGCCGAAGAAGTGAGCGCAGGAGAGAAACCGTCCACGGCGAATGCCGAATGGTCGAGACCTTCGAAGGCCCAACATGTGCATTTCACGTGACAGTCCTCAGAATCCGTCAGTCTCCGCCAAGAGCGGTTTTGCGTTCCGTCCCCAAAACCCACTACCATAAATGGTAGCGGGAAAACCCACTACCATAGATGGTAGCGGGAATGGTAGCGGGAATGTAATGGCTGAATAGCGGCGTTGTAAGAAGAGCCAGAGAAGCTCTTTTGCTGCTGTCGTTGTACTATCCGAGATACGCAGGGCTTTACAATTGAGATACCCTAACATGAAGTCAAGGGTCGGCATGCATTACAAGTCAGTAACAAACAGAGCGATAGCTTGGAGGGGTATACAGAGTAGATCGAGATGTACAGATATTCGAGTGCTGAGCGTCCGTCAGGTGTCTACGAATGTGCGTGGTGGGATAGCAGTGCAGTCTAAACATGATGGACCAATGCAACGTCTAGAATCAGGCGTCCGGACTAGAGCCACTGGGCAAAGCCGGGATGGCCTGAATCTTTTCCGGGTGCACTTCGTCCTCCTGGAGCTGGCATATAAATGGAGTGAACAGGGCAGATGCAGGGATTTACACACCTCGGGCAGGCGGTCGAAGTGCTTCGATAGCTTTTCGATGACCAGGCTGTATGGCAGATGCTGCGTCAATTTCCTATTAAACCGTTAGCGTCGATACGATCTATACTTGGTGGTTCACCATACCTCTTGGGCATGACATTCAATGAATGGCGCGCGTCCAGGGTCGAGTCCAGCACGTTCGACGAGTGTGCCCCCTCGCTTAGCGAGATCTTGATAGAATACTCCTTGTCCGACTTTCCGCGACCGTGGTTCCTCTCATAGAGCTCAAACGTGATGTGCGACTGCTCACAATCAATGGTATACCCCAAGGGCGAGCGAAAAGCACTCACAGCGTAGTCGAGCTCCGGTATCCTCCGATTCGCGATAGGCAACCCCGAGAAGAGTACCAAATTCACGAGGGTGTGAATATGGCTCTCCTTGGTGAAGTACAGACGCAGCGAGCTTCCGTAGTTGTTGCGTGCATTTTCGAGGTCCTCGACGACCTTCTTGAGTAGGGGTAACGATGTGAGCACACCGATCTCCTCCCTGCACGGTGGTCAGTGACTACCACGCCGATGTCAAAGAACGGACGCACTTCTCATCCGGGTCTATGCCGTACTCCTGCGGCGCGACCAAGTCGAACAGCGCCTTCGCACGACTATACAGCTCGTGAAGGCGTCTATCTTGAGGCTGCCCCGACGGTCCGCCGTTCGACTTTCCACCATGTTCGTCGAAGATGGCAAACAGGAATTGTCGATGATGTAGGGCGCAATACTTGATAGTATCGTATAGCTCAGATACCTATCGAAGACGATCAGTACGTGCCTGCGCGCCTTCAGTACAGGAAATGAACTCACCCGCGATGGGTCGAACTTCTTCTGCTCGACGTCACAGAAATCCTCAAACAGCTTCTCCCAGCGCTCGCGGAAAAGCCACGGTTCGTCGCCACAGCACCTGGAGGGCGAGGCGTCAGCACGGCGCACGGTAAGCACCGAGATGAAGGTTTTATCAGACCATCTATCTTGGATCTTGTCTACGTCTAGAGTTTCGTAGTTACGTCGCATGATGTCGCGGAACGAGCTCAATAGCTCGATGACTTCCTGTAATAGCGCATAAGCGAACGAACGTGCGTCGATAAATGAGCGTGGGTGCACGTGCCTTTACTACTTCGACCGGTTCCTTCTTCATACTCTTGGGCCACGTCAGCTCTGGCCGCTTCTCGGGCTCGCCCGGACGCAGCAATATCTTGAGCCGCTTCTTCACATCGTCCATGAGGTCCTTGGCCGCGTTCGAGTCGTCAAGCAAGTCTTTTCGGATGAACAGTGTGACAGGCTCCTGCGGATGCTGCACAATCGACGAAGACATGCTCTTGCTAACGTGTGCGCTACCATTCGCGCTCCCATCCGTCGACGAGCGCGCCGAGTGCGTGCTCGACGTCGACGACGACACGTCATAGTGACTCTGATTGTCCAGCAGCGCCGCCGCAAATATCTCGGCGGAGGCAATAACGCGCCGCTCGGAGGAAGTGTAGATCTGTAGATGGCTGATCAGTGGGAGGGGCGGGCCCGGGCAATTGGCGCTCGCACCTTGACGTTCTGTAGAACTTCCTTGTCTAGAAAGGAAAATTACGACTGATCAGACCAATGCTACCAAAAAGACAGTGCTACTCGGCCGCGTACTCATGATCGAGATGTCTTTCTTCATATTCTCCCCCAGATCGCGCGATTGGTACCGGGCGGAGTGCGTGAACTGCAACGTGTTAGCCATCGGATGCTCGATGATGGATCGTTGGTCCTCACCTCGCCACCCCATTTGAAGACAAGCGTGAGTTTGGTGAGTGTGCGAGGGGTCTGGCCCTTCGAGTAGTTGGGTTTCAGCTGCGCCTTGGTGCCGGGAAGGTCGATCTTGCTGAACAGAGCGTTGTTGAGCTGTGTTAGCTTTGCGAGATCGTCGCCGCTGGCTCCAAGTCGCTTCGCCTCGTCTACGGCCTTTGCGATGCTGCGTAGCTGATCCTTCTCGCGCAAAATGATTTCCTCCTTCTCGCCATTGAGCAGAGTGACGAAAGGCTGCGTCCACGGTTCGTTGATGGGGAAGTTGAACTTGAGTTTCTGGATTGCTGTCAGTGATGCGGCGCTACTGAGATGTAAGACCAACACACCTGCTTCGGCGTGCGATCGGCATGACGGAAGACCGTAACGTTCGCCTTGAGGAGCCACGTTGGCTGCTCCTGCGGAGCAACCTCAGCAGCAGGCAATGGTCGACCGGGTTCCGAGGTAGAGCGTAGACAGATCTCTGTCAGAAATTCCGCAGCCTTGTCTGGGAGAGAATGAGGCCAACGACTGTTCGTTCACGAGGGAACAACATACCGTAGTAGGTAGGATTGCCCTTGACAAAACTCCAACCATTGACGTCGATAACCATGCTCTTCTGACCGTTGTCGCAGCGTAGCAGGTCAAACCCGCAGACGCGCTGACCAAAGCCCTCGCATATCTTCGCGGCCCATAGCTTCTCTTCCGGAGTCAGATGTGTGATGAAGCTATAGCGAGTTGTTAGTTTTCTTCGCATCATAATTTGACTGGGCTTACCGAATTTCTTTCCCTTCTACGTTCCTTCGTACGACACCATCCACCACTGGTGACTTGCGCGTCTCAGCATGGGTATAATCGCGCCCCACCGTGTATATCTTAATGTCTTCGGAATTGTCGACATCGATGAACTGCTCATAAATGTACGACCCGTCCGTCCTCGGACTGTTGAGGGTAGGGTCCATCTCACTGGACTTGTTACCGACCTGTTACCGACGCACATCGCGTGAGCCACTGTGATAAGGCAAAGGCGTGATCGCACCCACGCACCTTGCGGAACAACCTCCTCCCTCCTCCTCCCCTGAAGTATATGTAGACATTGTGGTCCTCTCCGCTAACCGGCTTCTCAACGAATGGCTTCTCCAGGACTTTGCCGTCGATGATGATGGCGTCTCCGTCTTCGCGGAGGGTGACGTCCGGGGTGATCTGCAAGCCGCCCAGGACGACGCCGACGCGCTGCTTCATGAGGTCTCGGAGCTCGCTATCGACCTTCGGACCTCCATCCCTCGATACCTCAAGGCGCTTCGGGGTGGGCACTTTGAGGTGATCGAGCATCGCTCCGACGAGGCGGCGATCCCATAGTAGGGCCTGCTGGGGTAGGTCGTTGATGCAGACGGGACTCCGCAACTTGACATAGGAGATGGCCTTATCCAGGGGAAAGTCGGTAGAGAAGAAGGAAATGAGGACGTCACAGCGCGGCCAATTGTCGACGTCTAAGGCATTGGGTTAGTGCAGAGCTGGGAGGACCTCGTTTTCGCCTCGCACCTTCGTCCAAAATGACCTTGTCGCCAAACACCTTGACCTCGATCGCTCCGCGGGATCGTTGCACGAGCCGGGTGAGGATTTCAGTCATGGCCTTCGATCGCGCCTTGACGTCCATCGCGCAGACGCCGAGCACAATCGGCTTCCTTCTGGCTGCCTCCTCCATCCGTTCTTCCCAGCTCGTGTCGGCAGAATCCTGGCGCTGAACTCGGTTCGGATGATGAGTGGCTGCAAGGTCGGAGTGCGATGACGACGGCGAGGACGCGCGAGTGAAGATAGAGCTCGACCTGCGCGAGCGGTCGTTGTTCGTCGCCGACGAGGAGAACAGCGACGAGAAGCGGGACTGGCGATCCCAATGCATGTCGACGTCGGTGGCAAGCGTCTGCTCCTCACGCCGAAGTCCGTGCGCGCGGAGCCCGGCCCGCGCGCCCGAAGGGGAACCGGGCGCCTGCCGAGCACGTGCGCGAGGGGGCTGCGAAGGGCGCAAGCAGCGCCAAACAGCCGCCCTCCTTGTCCCCGACGCTATTCATTTCGCAGCGAAAAGCGCGCAGACTGCTATCTTATCAGCCAACGCATATCATCATGTCTTCTTCCGCCACCTCTCAGGCGCACGCGCAGGTCAACGGCGCGCCGGTGCGCATCTCGTCAGCAGATGCGATCGCTATGGAACACCAGTTCGGTGCGCACAAGTGAGTAGCCCTCTGATCCGTCATATACACCCACCCTATGTCCTTGAATGACCCCTACTGACCACTGTTCCAGCTACCATCCCCTCCCGATAGTTTTTGATCGTGCGCAGGGCGCGAAGTGAGTCAATGATCAATTTAAGCGCCCTTGCAGAGAATTAAGCACCCATCGCAGGGTATGGGACCCCGAAGGCAAGGAGTACATTGACATGCTCTCAGCGTACTCGTGAGTGGTCGTCATACGTCTCACGATCTGTTCTGACCCTCAGTCTAGCGCTGTGAACCAGGTTAGCCCTCCGTGCTTTCGCCACAAATGACAGGAGAGTGACACTTCCCCACATGCTTCTAGGGCCATTGCCACCCTCGCATCATCCAGACGCTCGTAGAGCAGTCGCAGCGGCTGACGCTCTCGTCGCGCGCCTTCTACAACTCGGTCTTCCCCCAGTTCGCGAAGAAGATCACGGATACCTTTGGATATGACATGGTCCTTCCGATGAATACGGGTGCGAATCATCATGCACGTCGTCACGCTTCACTACTTACGACTCGCTTCAGGTGCTGAGGCCGTCGAGACCGGTATCAAGCTCGCTAGAAAGTGGGCATACGAGAAGAAGGGCGTCCCTGAGGGCAAGGCTGTCGTCTTTAGCGCCGAGGGCAACTTCCACGGCAGAACCATCGGTGTCATCAGGTGTGTATAGTCGCGGTCATGGATTCAGACCGACCTCATAGTCCTTTCCAGCATGTCAACTGACCCGGAGTCACGAAACAACTTCGGTCCTTTCGTCGGCGGTGTTGGTCCCAACTTCGTAAGTGCGAAGGGGCAGAAGCAGGTCATCCGGTACGGACACGTGGAGGACCTTGAAGCTGCTATCTTGAGCGCTGGTCCCGAGAATGTGGCGGCCTTCTTGGTCGAGCCGATCCAGGGCGAGGCTGGGTACGTCGCTCACCGATGCTCTTCTACATGACTCTCACAGGTCTCCAGTATTGTTGTCCCTCCCGAGGGCTACCTCCAGGCCGTCCGGGAGTTGACGAAGAAGCACAACATCCTTCTCATCTGCGACGAGATCCAGACCGTAAGTTTTAATGCGCCACATACTCATCTACGAGGCTCATTACAGCTCGTAGGGCCTTTGCCGGACAGGCAAGATGCTCGCCTGCCAGTGGGATAACATCCGTCCGGACGTGATCCTGCTTGGCAAGGCCCTGAGTGCAGGAGGTAGAGCGTCAGAGATTAATGACATCTCATCCATGCTTACCTCTTTCAGCGTACCCCGTGTCCGCTGTGTTGGCGGACAAGGAAGTCATGCTTTGCATCCGCCCTGGCGAGCACGGCAGCACCTACGGAGGGTTCGTTGGATTTCTTCAATTCTATGCCATTACTAAGTGTTCCTCAGAAACCCCCTCGGGTCCGCCATCGGTATCACTGCGCTGGACATCCTCCTTCAGGAGGACCTTGCTAACCGGGCGCTGAAGCTCGGAGAGATCTTCCGCTCCGAGATCACTGCGCTCAAGCACCCCCTCGTGTCCACCGTCCGCGGCCGCGGCCTGCTGAATGCCGTCGTGATCGACGAGACGCAGAGCAAGAAGGGCCGCACGGCGTGGCAGTTCTGCCTGCTGCTCAAGAGCAGGGGTGTGCTGGCGAAGCCGACGCACGTTAATATGTAAGCTCTGCGCTCATCCGTTCAGTTGCAGTCGTTGATGGACGCCCCCAGCATCCGGTTTGCTCCCCCGTTGGTTATCGAGGAGGCTGACCTTCGCAAGGCGGTCAAGATCATCGCTGAGTGCCTTGATGACCTTGACGAGGTGGGACAATATGATTCGTGCGGTAGGTCATGCATACTGACATTGCTTCAGCTCGACAATATCCCGGGCGAGGCCGAGAGCGAGAAGGGCTTCAAGGACACGCTGTCTCTGTAAGTTGATGATCGGCGCTTACGCGGTGCAAGTGACCCCACGCACTGGACACGAATGGATGCTCTCCCTTGGCGTACACAAATGGAGCGCAGGAGGATCGTCGGACGCCTGGCGCTTCTATGTGGGTGGCAGCAATACACCATTATCCCTATGTATTACCAGATCTACTTACATCTTGTATATGTCCCAACCAAACAATTTATCTCTGCTCGGAGAAACTGGCGCAGACGATGAGCTTCACGAGGACGTTGAGCAGTATGCAGACGGTGAGCAGCATGAAAACGTGAGTCAGCCAATTTGAGGCACGGTCCGAGAAGGAGCGGCAACGTCCGGGCTCGTGGCGCACGTGGAAAGCGCACAATTGCCTCGCACAGCCACCGATGTGTCAGGGATCGGTGAGGCAATTGATGGACGCCTCACGCAACCCTCACGATGGGCGAGCCATTTACTGGACAATACGTATATAGCCCGCCACCGCGCCCGCGCTTTCTCCCCATATCGACCTCGTGAACGTAAAAAGGACGTGCAAATATCCGTCCAGCGAAGATGAATAACGACAGGGCGACCAGTATATATCCTCAGGCCCAGCATGCGCGAAGGGCTTCCACCTACCGGTATTCGGCCGCGATGACTCCTAACCCGCTGGGGGACGCGACGACGACGGTCCATATCTCGAACTTGCACTGCAGCAGCTGCGTGGACGCGATCCAGGAATGCCTCTCCGTGCTCGATCCCCCGCCGCTCTCTGTCGAGGTGTCGATCGTGCTGCAGACCGTGCGGGTCTATCATCACCAGGCTCTCTCCCCAACGACTATCGCGCAGGCCATTGAGGACGCGGGCTTTGACGTTGTCGATGCAGACCCGGGCCCCTCGAGGCTGTCTGCTACCGAGCGCCACCGTCGGCACCTGGAGGAATGCTCGCAGTGCAAGCGCGAGGCGGCGGGCACTGCGTCGTCGAGCTCTGGTCTCCTGTCTTCGGAGGGGAGCGTCGAGAAGGATTCCCCTCCATCACAGACGAATGACGATGCAGAAGGGCCGTTCAAGGTCACCCTCTCTGTCGGCGGCATGACCTGCGCGTCGTGCACGAACGCGGTCACGGGTGCCGTCTCGCCTATCAAGGGCGTCGAGAAGGTAGCGGTCAGCCTACTGGACGGTGCTGCCACCGTCCTGGTAGACACTCGCGAGCGCGCCAACGAAGTGCAGGAGGCTATCGACGACTGCGGATTCGAGGCGACCGTCGTATCTGTCGAGCCTCTGAAGACCGAGGCAGCGGTCAAGACCGAGTGGCGCACTGTGTCGCTCCGTGTTGACGGCATGTACTGCCGGTACGTCTCCTACGTATCTGAATATCTGCATTTTCACTGACGTTTCTCTAGTCATTGCCCTGGAAAAATCATGGCTGCACTCAAGACTCTACCCCAGGTTATAGTCGAAAAGCCCATCGAATCAATTGAAGACCCCGTCCTAACCGTGCGCTACGAACCCCGATCCCCCTCGCTCACCATCCGCACCATCATTTCCGCCCTCGCCTCCGCCAACGACCCGCCTTTCACCGTCTCCATCCACAAGCCCCCCAGCGTCGAGCAGCTCTCCCGCCGCATGCAGCTCCGCGAGAAGCGCGCCCTCCTCCTCCGCCTCATCGTCGCCGTCATCGTCGCCATCCCGACCTTCATTCTCGGCATCGTGTACATGTCGCTCGTGCCCTCGTCCTCGCACACGAAGATGTTCCTCATGGAGCCGATGTGGGCGGGAGATACGGCGCGGGTGACCTGGGCATTGTTCTTCCTGGCGACCCCTGTCATGTTCTACAGCGCCAGTCTCTTTCACCGTCGCAGCTTTAAGGAGCTCCGGGCGTTGTGGCGGCCGGGTAGTCCGACGCCGTTGTGGAAGCGCTTCGTACGCTTTGGGAGTATGAATCTGCTGGTCTCGATGGGCGTCAGTGTCGCATACTTTGCCTCCATCGTTCTCCTGGGCCTGTCGTCCGTACAGGAGAGGAACGAGGATGGGATGGGCGATAGGACGACCTACTTCGACTCTGTGGTTTTCCTGACCATGTTCTTGCTAGCCGGTACGTTGATCATTCGTACAACACTCGATTCTGTATACTGACCTTCCTGAAGGCCGATACCTGGAGTCGTATTCCAAGGCCAGAACTGCAGACGCAGTGAACGCTTTGGCCTCCCTTCGTCCTTCTAAGGCTCTCCTACTCGTACCCCGCAGCGCCAAATCGAACACCTCGCACTCATCTCTTGCCACCTCCGCCTGCGACCCAGAGAAGGGTAACCTGGAATCAGAAGCCCGCACCACAGTGACACCTCCCGGCTATAACGTCGAGCACGTACCCGTTGACCTGCTAGAGGTCGGTGACATCGTCCGCGTGCCCAGCGGCGCCACGCCGCCTGCCGACGGCGTCGTTGTCGATGGCCACACCAACTTCGACGAGAGCTCGCTGACGGGCGAGTCGCGGCTCATCGGCAAAGGGCCCGGCGACCAGGTGTGGCTCGGCACGATCAATCGCGGCAGCGCTGTCAGCGTTCGTGTCAATGAGGTTGGAGGAGAGACGATGTGAGCCATCCCATTGCTTCCTTTCGCGACACCATCTAACCGGTCTTTGCAGGCTCGACAACATCGTCAAGGTCGTGCGCGAAGGCCAGACGCGCCGTGCACCTCTGGAGCGTGTCGCGGACCAGATAACGGGCTACTTCGTCCCCGTCATCACCTTGCTCGCTGTCATAACATGGCTGGTGTGGCTCATCCTCGGCTTCAGCGGCGCACTTCCCCAGGACTACCTCGATATCGAGGTTGGCGGTTGGAGTAAGTCGCTTCTTTCTTACTTTGCACTTACACAAGGATCGTCGTTCTGACACGCCTCCCCCCTAGCCGTCTGGTCCCTCGAATTCGCCATCGCCGTCTTCGTCGTCGCCTGCCCCTGCGGCATCGGTCTCGCCGCACCGACCGCACTCCTCGTCTCCTCCGGTCTGGCGGCCAAGTTCGGCATCCTCGCGCGCGGCGGCGGGGAGGCGTTCGAGGAGATGTCGCGCCTCGATGTGATCGTGTTCGATAAGACGGGCACGCTGACGCAGGGCGGGAGCCCGACATTGTCGGATGCGCACATCGTCGAGAATGGGGTGTGGCGCAGGGAGGTTGTGCTCGGTGTTGCGGCTGAGCTGGAGAGCTCGTCGGGGCATCCCTTGGGGATTGCCATCAGGGAGTACGCGCAGAAGAATGGCGCTGAGGCGCAGCACGCGGACGCGTTCGAAGAGGTTGCTGGTCGCGGGCTGAAGGCGCACTTCGCTTCGTTGGATGTTGAGGCAATTATCGGCAATGAGGCCTGGATGGAGGAGCATGGAGCTCGGATGGGTGGCGCTACGAGGATGATCGAGCAGTGGAAGGGCGAGGCGAAGAGCGTGGTACTGCTTGCTATGAAGCGAGAAGACTCGTTTGAACTGGTCGCCGCCTTTGCGGTCACGGATCCGCTGAGGCCAGAAGCGAAGGGGGTGATAGCATGGTATGTGGAATTTATGCATCTTTCTCTAGGCCGCGGCTGACATATCCTGCAGGCTTCAGAAGCAAGGCATCGAGACCTGGATGATCTCGGGCGACAACAAGAAGACGGCTTCTGCCGTCGCCTCCCAGGTCGGCATACCTGCCCAGAATGTCATCGCAGACGTCCTGCCGACGGAGAAGGTACGCTTGCGGCCTGTATCCTTTCTTCGTGGCAATATTCTAACTCTTCACCAGGCGGATAAGATCGAATGGCTTCAGAGGTCTGGCCCAAGAGCAAGCAGCGCAAAGACTGGACGCGCTGTTGTGGGTATGGTGGGAGATGGTGAGTACTACCGAACCGAACCTTAGGCTCGTGTTGATAGATGTTCGCCCAGGCATCAACGACGCCCCTGCGCTCACCGCCGCCGACGTGGGCATCGCCGTGGCTTCGGGCAGCGACGTGGCCATTTCGAGCGCCAGTTTCATCCTCTTGACCTCCGATCTGCGCAGCTTGGTCACTCTGCGCGACCTCGCGCAAACGACGATCCGGCGGGTCAAGTTCAACTTCGTGAGTTCTTCAAGCATGTCCCTCGCAGTCCTATGCTAACGGCTCCCTATAGGCTTGGGCCCTGGTCTACAACATCGCTGCCGTGCCCATCGCTGCCGGCGTCATCTACCCAGCCGGACATGCACGACTCGACCCCGTGTGGGCGTCGCTGGCTATGGCTTTGTCGTACGCAGCCCTTTCGGTTTCTATTTTCTACCGCCTACTAAAACTATCGCAGCTCCGTCTCCGTTATTTGCAGCTCGCTACTTTTGAAGCTGTATCGGGAGCCTCGGACGCCGATATCGTGATTCAGGGCTAGCTCTCCGACGGCTCGGGTGTGGCGCGCCTGCCTGCACACCGCAAGGCGGCGCGTCAGTCAGAATATTTCTTATGGCGCCGTCCAGAACGCGGAGCACTGTCTATTCCGATTCTAATGTCTTACTGCGATCGAGCTTATGCGCCGGCTCGCTGAGGGTCGAGGTCTTCCTCTCGTCTCGATGCCACCCTTTGTACTACAGGTCGATGAGCTGTATACGACTCTATATCAATGTCAGTTCTATCATTGCATAGGTGTAATTGATCACCTGTCTGCTGACGGTTCGGGTGTCAACACGGTGGTAGGAAGGCGGTGCTGCAGCTTCTTCCTGTAAGTTCGTTCATGCTGAGCGCTGAAATACGCTTGAGGGTCCTTTGACGCGGAAAAATTCAACGTCTTCGTGTCTTCCTCGCTGCGACCTCCCAAACGTCCGTATATCACGGCCACGAGGCTCACTCATTGAGGGCTGGCGGCTAGCGCGTACCTGACATCGGGGGACCTGATCTTGCTGCTGACCGTGACATCAATTCCAGAAGCGGGGGAATCCCCGCCGCTCAATTGCAGTGCTGAATGGGCCCTCTTGTCCTCGAACCCACTCCCGACATACATCGCCGTGATGCTGTAGCGTTGCAACCCGCTCCAGATCAAGAGGCGACAATCGTTTCAAGAAGAGATACGCTGCACGGTCGCCAGCGGATTAGGCGCCCGTACGTACTCGAATAAACGCCCAACCGTCAACGTGAGCGCCGGCGCATTCAGATAACTTGCGTCCTACCATCAGACCGCCGCGCTCGCTCGCACGGTGCTCAGCGAGTTTTGCTGCTCCCCAGACCAGCGCGCCACTCTCTGCGATCCTCGACGCGTCGGCAGGCAGTGATGCGCTCGTCCTATGACCCCGGAAACAGTGAGTTATGCCCGAACAGCTGGTGTCGCAGTAGCTCGTGCTGTGGGGCGTGCTGGAGTTATGACAGAACTAACGACGACCATGCAGTGCACTTCCCCAACCCCTATGAAGGGCGCGCGCCGCCGCCGGGGAGACTAGACTTGTCCTCGACCTCGCAGCACCGGCCACTCTCGCATCGCGCCTCGAGCGAACCCACGGGCCACGAGTTATACCCCCCGCAGATCAGCCCCCACGCGATGGCGCAGCCACGATCCATCCATTCACCAGACTTGTTCTTCACACGAACGCCCACCTACGCCGCGCAGCACGTCCACCGCGCGCGATCGTACACCCCAACGCACCAGCACGCACAGCCACTCCCACCGCGCTCATACTCTCACGACCAGGACGAATACCACGAGCGTCCGCCTCCCGTCCCCCCTCACTATGGCGCGCCCGTCAGATCCGCCCCGCCCCCGCCGCCTCCCCCTCCCAAGCCGACGGCGCCGTACCAGCAGTCCCCGTACTTCCCTTCCATCTCCCCAACGCAATCATCACCACGATCGCCACATCCCATTGCACCCTCTGCTCCTCTAGCGCCAGTATCCGAGGATTCCCCAGAATCCCCCACGGATCAGGACGAGCTCCGCCAAGTCATCGAACTTTCGCAGCAGGAGTCAGCGCGACGGCGACAGTACCTCAATGAGCTCTCGCAGCAGGAAGAGGATGAGCTCGCACGAGCGCTGGAGGCTTCCAAGCTGCAGTCGAACAATCGCAACAGCTCTGCTCGGGATCACGTAGGCGTCACCGACTCAGCTGCTGCGCTCGGGCCTTCTTCAGCAGTTTCTGGTCCGAGCCGCCCGACGATTACGACGACAGAGGTCAGTCCTCTGGTAGAAGGCCGTACAATGGCACGCGACCTTGCCTCACAATCTGAGCCTGCCCACAACCCGGATTCGTCTTTCCTGGACATTATGCAGCGGTCCAACGAGCCTTCGCCTCTGGCTGAGGTACCCCGCCCCCATGCTCGCTCCCCACCCTCCGCTGAGTCTGCCCAGTCTCCCTCGACGACATCATCACATAGCACACATGACTCGAAATTCTCCACCAGCGAGCCTCCCATATCATCTGAAGCCGTAGCTCCAGCTATAGCGTTCCCAGAACCTGTTGTCCCCCCGCCAACTACGGAGAACCAGATACTGAGCGACGAGGCCTTCGCGAGGCAACTAGCGGCGCAGCTCGAACAGGAAGAAGCCGAGGAAGAGGAGCAACGCATGCGAATGGAAGAGGAAGAGCGGGCACGGGAACAACAGGACTCTGTACCTCCCATTTCACCTGCTCCTCCATCCTACAATTTCGCGACGGCGAGTGTGCCGCCCGTACCTGCCCCTCCTCCTCCACAGCATCTGCAGACCGAAGCCGCACAGGCGCCTCTGTCGCGTAACGGCTCGCAAAATTCGGGCTCCTCGCAGGCTTCGTCTCCTTCGATACATCTACAAGTACCTGGTCGACCAGGGATCTATAGGCATCCATCCTCCGATGAGACGCCCGGCGCGAGCGGGAGCAGCCTGTCGCTGGCGGAATCCGCCTACTCACAAGAGCCCTCACCTATAACGCCAGTCAACAAATCTCCTTTCGGCTCTCCAGAGTTGAGGCAGGAGAACAACGGCTCGGGCAGCAACAACCAATACCTCGACCCGGAATTGCTAATGGGTGTTTGTGAGTTTGCACATCCTTGTCAAGTAAACTTTTAGCTGACTGTTCTGCCAGCGATTGGCTTCTCGACGCCGATGATCAACTATGGGATGGCGCCGATGCAGGGCGTGATGCCCAACATCATATCGCTGCCCTATGGGCGATGTCCTCCCTTGCATCTACAGGCGCCAAGCTGGCGGCATCTGCTAAGGTTACTTGCGCGGCTAAGTGGTACGCGGATCGAGCCTACAGTGGAGGCGATGGCGCTTGTGAAAACTCCCATGAAACTGCGGACGGTCGTGCAGTTCGTCAAGGTTCGTAGTCTGCCTGCCAAGGTTCCCTTCTACGGGATGCTGATTCAATCCCCAGCCACATGCGAGTGCCCGCGACTGGCGAACGGTCCTGTGGTTCACGCTCGATCACCCGGTGCCGTCCGCCATCCCTGGTGCCGGTAGGTACACAAACGGCGACGTCAGCACCCTCCCCTGGTCCTACACCCTATCCACCATCCCAACCCTCCTCCGCGACGGCGCCGACTCGCCCGTCAGCAAATGGTATACCGTGCCCTCCACCGACGCCACCCCCTACCCCGTCCTGCCCATCGCCTGCCCCAACCTCGCGCTCTACCTCCAGGCCGCGCTCGACGAGAGCCGGCGCGCGACGGGGGACGCGACCGTCGGCCCGAAGAAGCTGGCGCGCATGGTCGAGTCGTGCTACCCGAACGACGTGCGGCTGAACGCGACGGAGGAGCCGGCGGATAGGCGGTCGATGGGCGGGCGGCTGCTGGCGAAGTTCGGAAAGGGGACGAAGGCGAAGAAGGGGAGGGGCGGCGGGAATGAGGAGACGTTCGAGCTCGTGACGCCGTTCGTGCCGGATGAGTGGGGTTAGGGTGTCGAGGCTAATCGCGAAAGGAGTCGAAGTGGAAGGAGATGGGGATCGGTGGAAGGGGTGTGATGGTGCGGTCTTATCATCGTTGTGTCCAGTTGTTTGTGCAATGCACATCTTATTACCTGCTCATTGACAGTGCTTTGTATATCGCTTTCTAGGAAAACTTGTATCTGATAATCATGCGATGCTGGATTCACAGGTTTCAACGCAAATCGTTCGACCGGGCTGAATCCAGAAGGCCCCTCGCGCTGGTTACTAGGAATTAATGCCCTATCGCCCCTCACTCGACTCGTCCTTACAAGCCTGAGTGGTGGGGTACTATACATCCCCAACTTGTCACTAACACCCGCCACGATTGGATCGACCTCGTTGATCATGACCAGCGCGACGTTGAACTCTCGACCATGGTTCCCTTTGGTGACACAGGCGCGCGCATCCTCGACTGCGCAAACGGCAAAACAGCAAGGGGAAGGCGGGTGACTGACCTTGATTCAACATGTGAAATACCTTGCGAACAAAGCATGGGAACTCTGGGCTGGGCAGAAGCTACAAAGGACAGAGGGCGCCTTCCGCTTGCAGCCTGGAGGGGAGTTGGAGTGGATTGAGGTGGATTTCAATGGGTTCGGCGAGCTGTGTAACGTATATGCACGGCGTTCGCGTCCTGCAGCCTCAACGGTCTATTTTCGAATGATGAAGAGTGGCAGGATAATCACTAGCACTGGGTACTACGTACGGTGTAATAGCAAATGTGCGGCCCCTCGCCTGCTCAAAGTTGGATGCGGTTTGCTGCAACAGTTGGTCACCTCAAACTGGCGAAGCGTCGATTGAGTGTTGCGCAAACGTGACAGTCGGTCGCTTACTAGGATTTCGAACCAAAGAACCCTGAAGAAGGTGTCCACAGTGCAGTCACCAGGCGCCTCGCGGCGGGCCAGAAGGACGCTATCGAAAGTAGGCCCCGGTTCTCCCGTCAAGGCCGCGCGTCCATCGATATAAAGGGAGTGGTCTTGCAAAGCTCGTCCTAGACTGCATCCCACCGCTGCATACCCGAGATTATCATGGCCGCCAGATATCCCTCGAGCAACGCGTCGACGCCCTCTGGAGGCTCCGGAGCTGGTCTCGAGCTCGTGCACACTTCGTGTAGTCCGAAGAGGGTGCCACCGGTTGCGAGAAGGCCGCGCACCTACCTGCGCGCCCCTCAAGAGGGCCCGTTCACTCTGCGTAATCACAACAAGGAGGTTCTGGTAGGGCGAAAAACCCTGATCTCGTGTCTGAGTGGGGTGAGTTTACCCTCCCGATATCGTGGCCGTGTACTCGCGGTCAAGCTCAAGGTCAGTATGACTGAGATTTTGAGCAGGTCGACCCACAAGGATACATCTTGTCGAAGCTTGGGATGGACTTGGGCACAACCTTTGAAGTCCGGGCAGTGTACAACAGGACGAAGGTTCTAGCGGCTTTCTGGATTGAGGGCGAAGCGGACGCTGCGTGGAATGAGATTGACTTCGGGACTTGGAACGAGTTGTCGCCATTCGTACACGAGATATGTGTAGTGGATAGAGAATGAGGGGCGGAACAGCATGACTTCTGCCAAACACTGTCAATATCCGGAATGCCCATTTTGTATGCGGGAGTGCAAACAAAGACGTCTCTGCATACCTGTAGCTCTCGACGCGCATTGATCTCTCCAAGACGTGTCGTCCGCAAGGCGATCCAATCAGATTCTGAAGAAGGCGTCAGTGTATTGGGCAACCTTCGAAGGAGATATTCACGAGTATCGCCAGGCGAGAGCCTCGATGTCGGGTCGATTCCTGCAGGACAACGCCTGGCCGTCTCGCACCCCGTACCACGCCGCTTCAACGCGCCACCCCTCAGTCTTTCGGCTCCCCCCAACTCGTACCGTCCACTCAGCGGCCACAGTGAACATTATCTGTAGAATATGGCATCACCACAATCCGAGCCCGTCGACGTATCGGAATCCTCTGTCGAGTCCCACGAAAAACCAGTCACTGCAGCCAGCCCTCGTCGTATGGCATCGACCAGCCCTCGCCGCACATCGGACGCGCCAACGTCGGGTCCCCAGGCGACGAAGGGACCTGGCGTGTACGCGCTGGCACCCCGGCAGGGCCCCATGCCGTTGCAGAATCGGAAGCAGCGGCTGGCGCTTGGGCGAAGGTGGATGCTGGGACAGGATGATGGGTGGGTGAGTCTGCGCACATATCAATCCCCCGTACGCACCGACGACGAGGAATGCGGAGGAGAAGCGCCACAAGTATACTGTTCAGCGCCGATTTCTCACCAGCCTGCAGAAAGCCGAAGCGTATATCAAGTCGATTTGCGGGCTTACTCGAGGAGAGGCTGTTGTGATTCAAGGCGCCTTCCGGCTGGAGCAGAGCGAAACGTTGGATTGGATGCAGGTGGACCTGAGCGAGTGGAGGGATTTGGTACCGTATATTTTCGAGCTTCGAGTTCACCACATATGAACGAGCGCGCCTTTTCGTTCAAAAACCGCGCTCGTCGACGACCGATTGTTCTTGAGATTGAGAATATGGCAGTCAAGCGACCCTTTGGACGAGTGACAGGTGCGTAGCATGGAAGCTTATCATCTCGAGCGTGCTCAAGCCTGGGTCAAGGGTATTCGGCGACTCGAGCGATATGCGACAATGGGTAGAAGGGGAGACGCCGTCGCTTCCGCCTCTGTCTGAGGTACCGCGGGCGTGGCGCCATCCCCGGAGCCAGGGTACGCACGAGGTGAACTTTGTTTATTCATTCCTGATTTGTCCATTCAATTGCTTTGAGCTTCGAATTCCTAAGACTATGACTCACAGGGTAGCCATACTGACTAGCCAAAGAGCTGTAAGCTGGCGCTTGCACATATATAAGGGATCCTGCAGGACGTACTTACGCCAGCCCACCTGCTAGCGACTAAGATCCTCGGCTGTCCAAACCTATCATCTTAGCCCGCCCACCCACTGGCATACGCGCGACTATGGCTGCCCCGGCACCCCTTTATGTACCTCCTTTCTTCGACACGGGAGCACTCATTCTGGAATATGAGCACGGCCTCCAACGCCTAGCGATAGGACGTGGGCAGTTGGAGGCATTACAGGGCGGTCCAGTATGTAGATAATTCTCGTCGAGATTCACTAGCGCTGACCACGCAAAGGACGCCATATTATCCTACCTTTCGTATAAATCACATACGCAGCAGGCGCGGGGGTTGGAGGGTGCTTTCCGCATGCAGCCTTTGGGTCCGCTCGAATGGATCCCTGTCGATCCCGCGGCGTGTAGGGAGTTGCTGCGGTATATGCACAAGGTCCGGGTAGTCTAGGCTGGGGGGTGGGAGAGCACGAGGAAGACAAGGAGCCTGCTGCATGATTTATGGTGACCGTCGAAGTTGAAGCCAAGATTGAAGTTGGAGTTGTACGCTGCACGTGTGCCGGACTGCCGGTCCGCAAACAAAACTCGATTTCTTTGGGAATTTCAACGGACGCGATCAGACCTCCCCTCAACTGCATGATGGGCAAGGACAAGGGACGCGTCGAGCCCGTCATCGATCCTGCTCTCCTCCACGCCTCGTCCTCGGAGCTGACGAACGACGCTCCATCCGTCCAGAAGAAGAGCAAGAAACGACACCACAAAGACGCTGAACATGGCCCCGATACTCCCGCCGAAGAGCCACACAAGAAGAAAAAGAAGAGGAAGGACCATGCTGAGGACGCGATTTTGTTGGCCGCAAGCGAAGGGACGGGCAAGAAACACAAGAAGAAGAAGCAGAAGGGGCAGGAGCAGATCATTGACGACACGCCCACCCAAGCAGTACCAATTCCCGAGTCGCAGCCGGATGCGCAGACCAGCGACGACGTCACGGCCGCTCTGCTCTCCGCGCTCGTCTCGCCGAACACAGCGCAGGACGGGATGATGCAGCAAGAGGCGTACAGCGTCCCCCAACCCATGCCCGTCGACACCTCCGCCTTCCTCAACGACATGGCGATCGCGTCAAATGACGAGGTCCTCCAGGCCCTCCAGCACCTGGACCTGTCCAAGATCGACAGCCTGCTCAAGTCCCTCAGTGAGACGCCGCTCTCTGAGCTCGGCGGCGCGATGCCCTTTCCGCAGGATGCATACATGGGTATGCCCATGCCGATGCCGTTGCCCGAATATGGCTCCATGCACCCCATGCCTATGCACACGCCCATGCCGCCGCATCCCGGTATGCAGATGCTCGATACGAACGGCCTCCCCATTCCTCAATTGCAGGAACCGCCAACCCGCCCTCGAGGCAGGCCAAGGAAATATGTATCACCCGCGCAGCCTCAGGGTGCTGGAGGAGACCCGGAGCCCACTGACCACGCGTGGCTTCTCGCCCACAAGTGGATGAGCTCCGCCAAATTGCAAGAAATGGTCAAGACGGAGGGCCTGGTCTACAAGAAGGGGAAATTCTCAGCTATCGAAGAGAATGCGTTGAAGAACGCGATCCAACAGTACCGAGAGGTAACGTGCCGTTTCTGTCTTCCTTTCTCATCGTCCCTCACACCCTGCAGAACAACGGCCTATCCGAAGAACAGCTGTACGAGCTCATCTTCGCCAAGGACAGGACTGTGAGCCACCAGACCTTCTGGAGCGAGATCAGTGTGTCGCCCTCCCCGTCTCCAGCTTTTCCCTTTGCTAACTCAACTCCCATACAAGCTTACGCTGTTCCTCAACGGCCTGTTAACTCCGTCTACCACTACGTCAAGCGCGCATACCATCCCTTGAAGCAGCAGGGCCGGTGGAGCGAGGAGGAGGACGCTCGCCTGAAGCAGGCCGTCACCGACCTCGGGCAGTCGTGGGAGAGGGTCAGCGAGCGCGTCGGCAGGATGCCTGGCGACTGCCGCGATCGGTACCGCAATCATGTCGCGCTGCCGGATAAGAACACGGGTAAGTGGGGGTGCTCCAATCGCCTTTTCTGTACCTTCACCCTTTCACTCGCTCCCTCGTCCCTGTAACCTTTCCTCTTTCCTATGACTTCTCTGCTTCCCCATAACCATTCCTTTTCCCTATAACCTCTCCTTTCGCTCCTCTCCATCCTCAACTAACTGACCCCACCCCAGGCCCCTGGACGCCCGCCGAGGAAGAAGAGCTCACGCGCATCGTCAAGCGCCTCACCATCGACCGCGGCAAGCCCGCGGACCAGGACGTCTTCTGGGGCCTCGTGAGCCGCGAGATGGGCGGGAAGCGCAGCCGGCAGCAGTGCCGGATCAAGTGGACGGATAGCCTGAGCAAGACGGTGAAGAATGCGGACAAGGACGTAAGGTGGGGGCAGGAGGATGCGTTCATTTTGGTGCATAAGTGAGTGTTTGGCTGGGTTGTGAATTTGGTTTTGGTGGATGTATAGCGCCAATGTTCCACTGGGTTAGTGGTGGTCATGAACTCAAGTGCTGACGGACGCACTCCTAGAGTCGACGCCCTCGACGTTCGCGACGACACCGAGATTGATTGGCGGTCGCTCCTGGATCCGGGCTGGAATATCTGGAGCCCGCATACGCTGCAGCGGCGGTGGACGACGCTCAAGCGGGGCATCAAGGGCTGGGAGGATATGTCGCATGCAGGTGAGTAGTCTGTGTCCTTGGACTATTCCCTCTGTTCTTGAACCATTTTCTCTGTCCTTGGTCCATGACGATTTTCTGTCGACGCGCCTTTGTGGCGAGCCTCCCTAGGGCCGCAGTGGTCCCCACACGCTGCTGATGTGAGCGCGACGTCACTCATACGCTTCGCAGAAATCATGGACATCCTCCGCGTCAAGAAGGGCATGGCTCCGATGCCTGCTTCGTCTCGGCGGCGGGCGAAGAAACGAACATCGACTGGGGATGCGCAGGAGGGGTCCTCAAGGGTGGTGTCGAAGGAGTTCATTGACGATTCCGATGATGAGTCGGGCGATGAATGAAGGGAAGGAGACAGCGAGTGTGCTCGGGCATGAGGGAGATGTCAGGCACTCCACTTCCTTGGTTTAGTCCAATGAAAATACAACCGCTTATAGTACAGATAAGTTACCACAGACCAAAGAGTAGGGTATATGCACATGAAGTTCTGACACGCTGTCAAGGACGGACAGCAGTGCCCATGATGCCCATGCCATTCTTCGCGTCCCCGCGCAGTGCGCTCGCAAGTAGATCATGGCAGCAGCGAGCGCGCTCGCGGCGCTGCACGAACCATATCCCCGCATCGCCGGGGACTGCGAGAGGTACACCTATGATGCCTCTCTCCCGCGCGGCCCTATATGAGCGCACGAGTTCATCCACCTCCGTCTCCGAGTCGAGGTCTTCCAGATTTTCATTCGCGTCCTCCTTCGCCACAACCGCCGCCGCCGCTGCAGCTGCCGCCTGCGCCTTCTTGCTCTTCTTCGGCGCGCTCGTCGCCGCCGCCGCCGCTTTCTTCTTCGTATTGGGGTTCGGCAGCCCAGCAGCAGCCGCCTCCGCCGCCAGCCGCTGCTTCTCCTTCCTCTCCAGTTCCTTCCTTTCCTTCTTGCTCGGGCCGCGCTCCTTCTTCACCGGCTCGACAAAGTTAGGGTTGTGTTCGCGCTGCCACTCGAGGAGCAGGACATCATAGTCCTTCGAGCGGCCCTCGACGGCGCGCTTGGCGCCCATGGCGTGCGATTTGCAGGTGAGGGAGCGCGAGCACTGGAGGCCCTTGTCGTTGATGACGCCGCATTGCTGGTCGAGGTTGATGGGGCCTTTGGTGCGGCGCATGATGGGCTTGGTGGAGGTCTTGGCTTTCTTCTTGGAGGGGCCTGCGGCTTCGGGCTCGGGGGAGGCTTTACGCTTCTTGTGCGATTTCTTCTCTGTGCCGGATGAGCGATAGGGGAGTAGGGAGGGGAAGCGGCGCACCTTGGGTTTCTGCAGCGGGCTTTGGCTTCGACGCTGGCTGCTTCGCAGCTCGCGCGGCGCAGGTCTCTTAAGTGAAAGTCAGGACAAGGCTTCTATCGTCTGCGAGCGCAGCGCACCGGCATGATCAGCGATAACGCTCTTCAGCAGGGGTTTATTGCACGTCGGACATCGCACGACGCCGATATCGCTCGTGGCCGACATCGGATGCGTCCCAAACAGCTTGATGTCGCTCTCGGGCAACCACGACGTCTGCGGCGACCCCGTCGTTGTCGCGGAGTCCGGCTCAGACTGCATGCCGTCGTCATTGTCCCAGGAGAAGGCCGAGCGCGGGGACGGAGGGTTCAGTGTGAGAGACATGGTGATGATGGCGGGGAGCAAAGCCACCATCAACAAGAGTCAATGACAAGGCACGTGCGGGACGTCGGTCCGAGTCCCGGATACGCCGATCAGGCGCGCTCGACATTCCGCATGTTGTCTCTGTCCTGCTCTGAGCTCAGCTTTATATGCGCTTTCCTATCTGGGTCGGCAGGATAAGGGCGTATCGTATCTATCCAAAGACAATATCTCTACCCAAGACCCAGCGCAGGATGACTTCCACTAAGCCCCTGGGCGGCGTCAACGTCACATTTCTTGGGACTGCGTCCGCTGCGCCATCCTCGACGCGGAATCACTCTTCACTGGCACTACGTCTCGATGGCGACGTATGGCTCTTTGACTGCGGCGAGGCTACACAGCACCGATTGCAGAAGAGCCAAGTCAAGATGGGCAAGATTCAGAAGATCTTCATCACCCATACCCATGGCACGTCGATCAACACTTGAACTACCAACCCCGGCTCAACTCCGCTCGTCGCAGGGGACCATATGTTCGGCGTTGTACCACTTCTATGCAGTCTACTAAACGGCGCGGGGGGAACTACGGAGGGAGCTGACGACCCAAGGACGAGAGTTGACAAGAGCCTGCCCGTACGTCGCGACGTACCTCGTGAGTGTGCAGGCCCTGACGATCTTCGGCAGCCAATAGAGCTATACGGGCCCCAGGGCCTGCGCGCCTACGTCCGTGGTGGCCTCACATATAGCCACTCCCTCATCGGTAGCCCCTACGTCGTCCATGAACTACGCTTCCCCTCCGACCCAGACGTCGAATCCTACCTCCCCCTCCACCCTGCCGAGCTTGAAGGGCGCAACATCACCCAAACAGCCGATGGCATCTGGCACAACATCTTCGCCGACGACCGCGTCTCCGTCAGCGCTGCGCCCATCCTGCACTCCTGCCCCTGCGTCGGCTACGTCGTCCAAGAAGCGCCCGTGCCCGGAAAAATGGATCCCAAGCTGTACGTACCGCACATCAAGCGTACCGGTGCGCCCATGAGTCTCTTGGCCAGCCTGCAGCGCGGCGAGTCCGTGACCTTGCCAGACGGCACGACCCTCGCCGGCCCCGCGCGCCGCCCAGGGCGCAAAATTGCCATCCTCGGCGACACGTACGACCCCTCACCCCTCGCGCCCATCGCCGCCGACGTCGACCTCCTCGTCCACGAGGCCACGAACGCGCACCTCCCCGGCGTCGACCCCGCCACGAAGGCGGAGGACACATACGAGACCGTGGAGGCGCGCGCGAAGTCGAGGGGCCACTCGACACCGCAGATGGCGGGCGCGTTCGCGAAAAGGATCGGTGCGAAGAGGCTGGTGCTGAATCACTTTTCGTCGCGGTATCCGGGGGATGAGAGCGAGGAGACGAGCCGGATTATGGGGGCGATCGGGAGGCTGGCGGAGGGGGAGTATGGGAAGCCGGTGACCTGCGCTAGGGACTTGATGAGTCTGGATGTAGGATTGGCAGAATGACTTCGTTGGTCGGTGACTTTGGCGTGCAAATACGAGGGGAGTGACGTGCGTGTAACCTGAAGGACTTCATCGTTGGCTCAATCAGGACTGGACCAGCGAATTCACTTAGCAGGAACAACACGGAGACAGGTGCCAGTGATTCGTGTGAGAAGAGGTTGTATAGAGAAGGCAGGCTCGTGTTGTTTCCTAGTATCCTCGCTTTATGCATATGTGCGCTTCGTATCGGTCATCGGATACCATAAGTTGCAACCCTCTCAGCTAGTTCCTTGCGCAAGCTATGGCCCCCACCGACCCCATCGTCGTCACCTTCCTCGGTACGGTGTCGGCGGTACCCTCTCTAACGCGGAGCAATTCCTCCCTTGCTCTACGTCTGAACGAGGACGTCTGGTTGTTTGACTGCGGGGAGGCGACGCTGCGACAGCTACAGAGGAGCAGGGTGAAGATGGGGAGTATAAGGAAGATCTTCATCACCCACCTGCATGGTACGCCATTCAAGTAGCACGGCCAGCAAGCCCCTCGGCGCCTAATTCGCTCATACAAATGGATCGCAGCCGATCACATCTGTGGTCTCATACCGCTGCTCTGCACCATTCTGGACAGCATAGGCGGGACAGCGGGCGACTCAGGCGCTGCAGGATCGACTGCAAATAGCAATGCCCATGTCTGTAGCTCATATTCTACCATCGCAACACACCCGCTCATTAATCGTCATGTAGCCCCTAGAAATATACGGACCCCGTGGCCTACGCGCCTACATCCGCAGTGGGCTCACATACACCCACTCCTTCATACAAAAGCCCTACGTCGTGCACGAGCTGCGCTGCCCATCCGATCCCGACTTCCAGTCCGCTTTGCCCCTCCAGCCTCAAGAGCACGAAGGCCGCGACATCGCTCAAGGCGAGGAAAATGTCTGGCGCGACGTCTTCACCGGCAAACGTCTTTCTGTCAGCGCTGCGCCCCTCTTGCATACGTGCCCGTGTGTCGGCTACGTGGTCCATGAGGCGCCTATGCCGGGTAGGATGAACCCCAAGCTATACGAGTCACATATCAAGCGCAACGGTATCACGAAGAAAGTCGGTCACTTGTACGGTCGCTTGAGCCGGGGGGAGGCCATCACGTTGCCAGATGGCACCGTGCTGCATGGGCCACCCCCTCGGCCAGGACGCAAAATCGTCATCCTCGGCGACACGCACGATCCCTCGGCCATCGCGCCGCTCGCCATGGACGCCGACCTCCTCGTGCATGAAGCCACACTCGCCCATCTGCCCGGCGTCGATCCCAGCACCAAACGTGCCGACACCTACGAGAGCGTAGAGGAGCGCGCGAAGTCCCGAGGGCACTCGACGCCGCAGATGGCGGGTGCTTTCGCGAAGCGAATTGGCGCCAAAAGGCTGGTGCTGAATCATTTCTCGCGGCGGTACTCTGGTGGGAGGGATGCGCGCGCGAGGAACATTATGGAGGCCATCGGACGGTTGGCGGAGGGCGAGTTCGGGAAACCGGTCGAGTGCGCGAGAGATCTGGATGAGTTCGTGGTGAAATTGGCGAATTGAGAATGTCGATGAAGCAGGAACGATGGTGCGAGTTGTGGGTGAATGCAACTAAGAATATGGCGAAAGTGGTCAGGTCTTCCACCTTGCTTGACACAGTCGGATGGCAAAAACAGGGCGAGTGCACCCGACATGCAGAGACACGGTGCAGAAGAGACACGGAGGTGCAGCTTCATGGACTAGATTGCAAGTCTGTTAGAGGACTTCCCATATCCGACGCCTCGCCCTCTTCACGCTCGTCCTTCTTTTCTTCTACCTCCCCCATCTCGATGTCCGTTTGCAGCGGCGGCGCAGCGGGGCGCGCGGTCTCCCGTATTGCGGGCAGCGCGCTCTCTCGTATTGCATCAGGCTCGCTGATAGCGCCCTCTTCGGCGATGGCACCCTCCTCAGCAATTGCTCCCTCTTCCTCGATCGCGCCGTCTTCTGCGCCATCCTCCTCATCGGCGGTGACAGTCAGAATAGTGGCTTGTGAGTCTTCCGCGTCCTCCGCGGGTGTACCGCTTGGATCCTCGTCCGAGGCTGCGCGTCGTAATGCCTCGATTTCCGCGACAATCGCGTCGAGGCCGGTGCGCTGGGTTTGTAGCACGCGGTCTTGTGACGACTGCTCCTCGCGTATAGCGGCCATGTCGCTTTCGAGCTTTTCGATCGAGCTTCAAGTCGTTTTGTAAGCCGTTGCCTTATGCCAAAGTAGAACGCTTCACGCACCCTTCGAGCTCATCTCTGCTTGGGAGCGTGTTCACCTTCTCCGCGATCGCGTCGTATTCCATCTTTTGCCGTCGGCTGACCTGCGCACGCTCCAGCGCGCCCTTCAGTTCTTCAATTTGGGTATGTAGCTTTTGGTGCTCGTTGTCTATAGTCCCATTAGCATATGCGCGTCGAATCTATCGACCCCGCCACGCACCGATCGCTTCCCTCTCACGCTGGTATTCGCTGACCTGGCGGTCCTCCGTTACACATACCAGCCCCATCTTCTGCAGCGTCAATTCGAAAGACTCGAGCTTGATGAGGAACGCGTCACGCGCATCCTCCAGTTGGGATGCGGTATTTGGTGTGGGGGACTCGGCGGCTAAGGCGAGGTAGGCGTGGAGGGTCTTTATGAGGGTCCGGAGTATCCGCTCGTCATTGTGCAGTCGTGTCAGAATTACATGGTCTGGTGAGCTCTGTCAGCATAGTAAATTGGGATATGGTAGGGGCTGGACATACCCTCTTCCTCTGCGGTCATTGAGGGGAAGATGGGTTCGGCCTGAGGCGCTGGAGTTGAAGTACCCATGCTCGCAAGTTTGTTTGACCAGTCACAGATTAGACGATAGAAGTAGCAGCAATGCTAGCTGAGGGCAAGAGCCGTGCTCAATGGCCCTTGTTCGTTTGGAAAACAAGAAGTCCCCACCGCGCTCAGCGCATGTGTGGCGTACTTCCCACGGTTGATTTCCTTCAGAATATAGAGATCCGGCTCAGTTGCGGCTCAGCTCTCACCTCCATGAGCATCACCGGTTCGTCGTCAGCTCGTCCTGTTTCCCAGTATCCCCGAGCTGTCAAAGGCCCTCTTCGCTCAGTTGCCAGCTGCAGTGCCCAAATGAAATGCACATTCCCTCTTCCTGGGCGCCAACTTCCACTTATGCCTACGCCGACGACCTGACGACGCCCATTCCACCTGTTGATGGGTTAGTAACTAGGCCCCTGGCCATGATTCTTACCGCCCGCGTATATAAGGACTGGTCGTCGCCCCCCGCGCGACTTACGACATCCTTTCCTACCCCCCTCCTGGGCCTCCCCCCGCTCGTCAAGATGCCTGCATCCTGTCAATCTGCATACTCATCTCTTTCATGCCTTGCCAACCGTTTTGCTTCCGCCAATGCTCGCGCCTCGTTCTCGTATCTTACCCAATGGCGGCGACTGCTCAAGGGTGCGTGGGATACTCCTGCCAGCCGGTACATGCGCTGATGCGCCTCCCGCCTCTGCCGACGCATAGCGCATCAATACTCCCGCTGATGGCGCTGGCAGGCGGGTCAGATCTCATCGGCGCACCGCCCGCCTGCCTGCCGCCTTGGATACTGTCTACGGCAATATAAACAGGACGTTGTTCGCCATCTACGGGACCTCATTTGCCTCCGCCTCCTTGCCCCGCCGCGCCGCCGATATTTAAAGAATATTTTCTGCAATATGCGTCTTGTTTACTGTCTACGAGGACGACGAGTAAACGCGCCGCTACGCGTCGAGGAAGACCTCTATCCGCCTCCTGCAACCCATGTCAGACCAAGTACCCACCCAAGGTCCAGCTCTCAAAGCTCTCCGACCCTACATGGACACGATAGACAGGCGCGAATACGCCTGCCATCCTTACTTCGTTGTCTGCTTGCTCCAATTAGAGAAACGTCTCGAACGCGATGGGGCTGCTACTCTCGCGACTGGTGCGACCTACGACCGTCTCATCAACTTCCTCGTGCATCATCTCTTCCGCGTCCTCGCTGGCTCTCGCAGCGACCCGACTCTAGGGTGTCTTAAGCAGCACTGCAAGGATATGTACAAAGCACACCCCTACATCTTGGACTTCTGTCGGTCAAAGTGCCTGCCAAAGGGTGGGAAGCACCGCGAACTCGCGAAGGACGAACGCACCGGCGTCGAGGTCATGCTCGACATCCTCACCCGCCTCAACCAGGTCGAGACTTTCCTCCACAACGCAGCGATCGCTCCTTCTGCTTCGCACTTCAACCTCATCATCGTCTGGCTCAAGCATAAACGCGACGCTGTTGCTCCCTCCCTCGTCCGCTACCCTATCCTCGCGTCTAGTCCGGCTGTCCTACTCGCGCTCATCGACGCTGTCGCGAATTATGCGGCAGGCAACGCTATGAATGCGCACGTTCTATTCAGCGTCGCCCACTACGTCGCCCAGTGCAGCGGTCCTTCTCAAGGAGGGGCCTGGCGCAACTTTCTCCGGGGCTTGGACCCTGACCAGGCCCAGGTTTTCGTCTCTTCCTGCACCTTCATCCTTAATTGGATGGACGTTCAAGGCGAGCGACCTCGCCCCCAGATTATCAGCTTCCGCGAGAACCTGATAGAGGCTGCTGCTCACCTCGTAGCCGTTCGCCGGCTGGCAGTCAACGAGATTAGCTGTCATCGGCTGATTTGGGAACGCGCCTCCGGGCGCGTCCATTAAGTCTGGCAAAGCAAGGAAGTCAGCAAGGACAAGGACTGACAGAACACGCGAAGGGAAACGACCCAATAGAACGCGAAGAACAAGCCACGACACGACTACCACATTATTTAATTCTTACTTATACTTGAGCTCGTATGGCATAACTCTCAGAGCTCGTATAGCATACCTCGCGGACGCGGACACCATATACCATACTCCCATACTTCCACATTCCACATTCCATCCTCCCTCACTGGTTCCATCCTCCACACTCCCCCACACTCTTAGACTCGCTCCCACAACACTCCCATTTTCTTACACTTCCCCTCGTACACGATCCACCACCAACGGACTAGACGACTCATGTATATGACGAGAGCGACGTACCTACGAAGTCTCATCACGTATACGCGTCGCACATTGTAGCTTTTACTTAGACGACCCGGTCCTCGAAGCAGATCAATTGAATGGAAAACAGCACGGAATATTTTCTCTCTTTGAAGTTCGACCTCATCAATGGAAATGGAGCATTTGGAGATATGCTACGTAGATGGAGCGTCGACCAAGGCGACCAAAGCACCTGAAGGCCCTCAAAACGCGATAAAGCTAGGGTACAAATACGGCAAAAGAAGTCTGGGTACAAATACATGCCTTGCGCTGCAATAACGCACCATGATATATAGCAAGCAGCTCCGGGGTGGTATCACTGGATATCTAAAAGAGAGAAAGCACAATGAAAGGAGAAGTAGCTTAGGAAGGGAGAAGGCAGCTCGAACATCAGTACAAATCCATCTTGTCGTCCTCCCTTGGAACGAAGATGATATTCTTCTCCTCTGCTTCCCGCTGGCGGGCTTGCTCCTTGTCGAGGAAGCGGCGAAGGGCAGCGACGTTGTCGTTGTTGAAGACGCGGTATGCGGCCCGTTGGTCCTTATCCCAGTCCTGCAATCGCAGTCAATACGAGGAAGTGAACGCGGAAGTGCAGCCACATCCCTCAGGAGCCGGGTCAGAGAAGCGTTGCACCCCCTTCCGCCTGCACGCAGGGACGCCGGTCGCGGTCAGGTGCCGCAGGTTTGTGAGCCGCTTGAGCAGCAGATGGATTGCGTCCAGCGAGATGCGGTCGCAGTACGATAGGTGCAGCCGCTCGAGCGTCTGCGCGTGCTCGGCGAGCGCGAAGAGAGCGATGTCGGTGAGCTTGTGCACGCGCACGAGGCTGAGGCGGCGGATCTTGAGGCCGGCGAGCTCGAAGACAGAGAGGTCGGAGAGGTGGCGGCAGACTGTATGTGGACGCGCCGGTCAACACCTACCTGGGCCACGCAAGCTCGCACTTACACGCGACGTCGACGCATCTGGGGGTTTATGTGAGTGTGAGAGATGGAAGTAGAAGGGGCAAGGGCATACCTGAGATTCTGACATGCGCGCGCGATCTTGATGATGCCCTTGTCTGTTACCTTGCTAACGTGGGCGAGCATGAGCACGTCGAGATGCGGGCCGAGCTTCGAGATGCTCTCGAGCGAGCGGTCGGTAAGTGCCGTGCAGCCGGAGAGAATGAAGCTCTGGATTCGTGGTGCGTGGGCGACAATGCCCTCTATCGCGTCGTCGGTGATGTTACAGGAAGAAAGGTCGAGCACGCGCAAGTTATGGGCGGTGTGGTGCAGTGTGAGGGGCTGCAGCTCGTCAAGCCAGGTCGTAGGGCGAGGGGGGAGAGGTTTCTCGTGCGAGAAGTTGGGCATGTCGGGGCCTAGGGATGAGGGGAACGCCTTGTCGTTGAGTTGGTGACATCGTGCGACGCGCAGGGTTCGTAACTGCCTAGTGTACATTTAGCTTGGCGTTCAAGGTCAACTATCGCGTATACATGCCTGGAGAACATCCAAACATCGCGCAAGGATAATGCAGATAGCAGAGGGAGGTCGCAGAGCTCGAGTTCGAGCAGCCGTGAGCATGAGCGCGCGACAGCACTTATGCTTGGGTCTGTCAGCCCTGCGACCCCATTGACGTGCAGCCACTGCAGCGGCACACCCTTCCCGGTGAGTTCGAGTATGGCAACATCGGATAGCGCGTTACATCCCGATAGCCCAATGCCCTGAAGGCCTGGACAAGCAGCTGCGGCGCGTACGATCGTGCGGTCCGTCAAGTCTTGCACGCCAGAGAGAACCAGCGTCTCGAGATGGGGGCATTCGTAGAGCGCGTCAGCGAGTTCATCGTCGCTCACGCAGCCCGGTGTCTGGAGCACGAGGTGCCTGACGCGTCGGTGCTCGCCATCTTCAGGGAGGCGGTCGACGACCTTGATCATGTCATCTTCGTAGAAGGACGCAGACTCGCTGATGCTCGGCATTGTCGCCGGCACTAGCAAGGGAGAGAGCGAGGATGAGGGGGAGAAGGAGAGAATTGTGGCGGATGGTCGAGGTCGAGGTCAGCGCGCGGTGGCGGGCATGGTCGTCGTGTGCAGGTGATGGCAATCTCATCTTGGCAATGTCCACGACGTCAAGGAGCTCCGCGACAGCGCGCCCCTACCAGCCGTCTCCAGCATCGATAGACCCCCCTCCCAAGAGCAGGTTTCCCATTACGCCCGCGCTCCTGCGAGGTATCTTTGCCTCAGCGCGTACGCCAAACGAGGAGCGCTCGATCTCCCGTGTCGCATTCTTCAGGTACGCCTCGTACTCGTCACGTCGTCTCTTGCAGGTATTGAATCGAAAGAAAGATTCGCAGGATTCCTGCTCAGTATTGTCGGTATAAGCCTGCTTGCCGCGCGCGGTCGCGGTGTGAAGAGCGGTGCGGCACTGCTAGGCGTCATGTAGAAGGCACCCCATGAAGCCGACGCTAGAACCCTATGGCCCCTTGCTTGCAAGACTCCACTCTTCCTACGAAGTCTACACCGCGCACGTCCATACCGGAGCTAGTCAAATGAGCCAAGGCTCCAGTCATTTGAACCTCCACTCGCAGGGGGAGGGCAGGCTGGCATATGCCATGCTGCAGATACCTCTGTATCTAGGCGAGCGTGTACACCAAGTACTTGATCCCCATGCAATATGAGTCCGCAGTCCCCGTATCCTCACCACGACCACGATGAAGCCCGCGGACCTTCCGCTTAGCACTGGCGCGATGTCCACAGGCCCAGGATTCGTCCGCCACATCCCTACCCTGCTTGCTTTGGGTACGGCAGGACTTCTCTACCTTTCCTCTCATCGCCCTACAACTACAACCATCCGATCTGCACCATCGAACGCCGAGTATATCCTTGCCCGATGTGCTGCTGCACAAGCACCCGCAGGACCTTCCCCCGACTTCTTCTCGAGGGACACCTCGGACAGATTCGATCCAAGTACACCTCCGACGTTAATCCTGGACACTATGCTGTTCACCGGAGAAGACAACGGTACTGTGGTTAAGCGTGCAGATCTTCTTCTCGAGAAGGGCCTCGTCAAGAGCATCGGGGACCTTTTCCACCTTCGCGAGCAGTACACGGCGACGGACCTGCAAGTGGTCGACATGCATGGGGCATGGGTGACTCCTGGGCTTGGTGAGAGCATAATTTTGTGCCGCGCATATGACGCAGACTAACCTCGCCTCAGTCGATCTTCACAGCCATCTGGGTGTCCTCAGCACGCCCATTCTTGATGGTACGTCGCTACTCCATGTAATATCCGCGTTTCTAACTCCTTAGCATAGGCGCTGCCGACCTCGACAGTCCTAATGGACTCGTCCTACCGTGGCTCAGAGCCATAGACGCTTTCAACACCCACGACGACGCGTTCGCCCTCGCCATTGCTGGCGGTGTGACCTCAGCTCAGATTCTTCCGGGGAGCATGAATACCATTGGTGAGCCCATCCACGATGACACGCTTTTTTCATCCTGACGTTTCCCGCAGGCGGCGAAGGCTTTATGATCAAGCTCCGCGCGACCAGGGAGCGCACGCCGACGTCTATGGCGATTGAACTTCCGCACCAGCTGAATGCAAGCGCGTCTACCGTCACTGATCGCACGCCGTGGAGGCACATGAAGTGCGTCGGCGCTTCATCAACTGTTCTGTCAATAATCTTATTAACATGCTCTCAACGCCAGGCAAGCGTGCAGTAGGAAGTACGGCACGCGCATGGACGCAGCATGGACTTTGCGCGCCGCGTATGCACAGGCCAGTCAGGCTCGACGTGCGCAAGACGCATTCTGTAGTGCTGCGCAAGCAGGCTTATGGCAAGGTCTTGGGGAATATCCGGAAGCATCACAATGGGATCTTCTAGCTGACGTCCTGAGAGGCAAGGTCAAAGTCAGTGATGTTGATGACTGCACTACACGCGCGATATCTGATCATCTTCAAGGTGACCAGCGATTGTTCTGAGGCTGTTGATCTGGACGCGCTCGCCAGGGTATTGTATCCTGCGGCTTGCGTCACTCGAGGATACTTATGTTTTCTCAGCTAACCAACGAATTTGACTTTCACGTCTCGTCCGTCCAGCATGCGTCGGACGCATGGCTGGTACCGGGATTGTTGAAGCGCATGTAAGCACGTCCTTCTTCCTCGTTGAGTTGGTCTAACAAGACCACCATAGGTGGGGCGGACCGCCCGCGTTGTCGTTGTTTGCCACAAATCATAGGTCCGTCGTCCTTGTCCTCTGAGTGCCAATGCATGTCTCAACCGGCTGTGCAGGCGCTCTCGTGAATCATACTGGAGCTCCGAATACGGACCCAACGTTCTTGCGCACGAAAATCTAACTGTTGTCCTGAGTGTAAGTCTCAAAAAACCCTATAAAAAGTTCGTAAACTCATCGGGCCTCTATTTACTAGACCGATCATCCGACTATGCCCGCCCGCGACCTCATTCAGGAAGCGCGGCAGGCATACTATCATGGCCTTAACTCCAGCCTCTCACTTGCTGCCGTCACTTCCGCCCCCGCACATGCTGTGGGCATGGGCCACAGGCTCGGCGAACTACGCGAGCACGCAGACGCAGACCTCGTCGTCTGGAGCGCGCACCCACTGCAGCCGGGCTCGGTACCCATCCAGGTCTGGATCGACGGTATCGCGCAGTTCCCAGGCGGCGACAAGTATTCGGAGGACAAGGACAAGCGACAGAAGGCACCGCGTACGCCAGACTGGGAAGAAGAGACGGAGAACGCGGTGCGGTACGGCGGTGTCCAGCCGTTGGATTCGCGCAAAGTTACGGGGAAGGTGGTCTTTGCGAATGTGCGGCGGGTGCTGAATGGCGACGATGACCTTGTCGAACTGGACGTGGAGGATGAGGCGAAGAAGAAACTGAAGACGGTCATCGTTGAGAACGGGAAAATAACCTGCATTGGGGTGGAAGAGTGGGATTGTGAGGGTGCGGACGATGCGGATGAGTCCATCGACCTGGAGGGCGGGGTCATCGCACCGGGTATCATCTCCTTTGGGTCGCCGCTGGGTATGGGAGAGATGGCCGACGAGCCTTCAACGCAGAATGGTCTACCGCTGGACCCGCTGCAAAGGAAGGTACCTGCTGTCCTTGGCGACGCAGCTGGGCTGCAGTTCGCCGCTGACGGCCTGGTATGCGACACGCGAGATGCTATGTGAGGGTATCCTTCATATTGACCTTGTATGCCAGCTGATTGTACATCTTTCAGAAATGCGTATCGCTCGGGCGTCACCTACGCAGCGACCGTCCCTTCAGCGTCAATTATGGGCATGACGACGTCGCCGGTCATGCAAGGACTCTCCGTGACCTTCCGTGCTGGCTGTTTCTCGGTAATGGAGAGAGGAGCCGTCGTGCAGGACGTTACTGCGCTGCACGTCCACATCTCCCGCGACACTCCAATGGGTTACCACGGTGCGGCAGTCAGCCAACAAATTGCGCTCCTTCGACGCTTGCTGCACGGATGGGAGAGCGAAGATACAGAGACAGGGAAGTGGTTCAAGAAGGCAGCCGAGGTAAGTCGGTCGGCGCATGCTGCGCGAGTCCTAGCAATTAACTCCTTCATGCAGGGCGTTATCCCACTCGTTATCGATGTCGAGAGCGCAGATATCATGTCGACGTTACTGGTTCTGAAGGCCGAGGTGGAGAACCGCATTGGGTCGGCGATGCGCGTCGTATTCGCAGGCGCGAGCGAGGCACCGCTGCTAGCACGAGAAATTGTACGTGCGCGCGTCGGTGTGATCCTGACTCCAGCGCGACCGGTGCCTTTGAAATGGGAGGGACGACGGATGTATGTGGATCTCTCTTGTACCCGCAGAAATGCGCTCATCTTCACCAGCATCCCCGGGCCGCCGCTCACAACCGAGACGGGAGTAGGGATTCTACTCCAACTTGGTGTCACAGTAGGCTTAGGCGTTCGCGAAACGTGGTCAGTACGCAACACGCGCTTCGAAGTCGCTCAGGTAAGCATAAAGTTCTTTGCGCTGGCCTTCCTCTCATGGACTACAGGTTTTGCACGAGACGGAAGATCTCGACGAGAAGACAGCAACGAGACTGGTGACCACCAACATGGCTACTCTGCTCGGTATACGGCAAACTGAAAAACCCGACCTTGTAGCCTATAGAGGCGGAGGAATGTTCCAGCTCGAGAGCAAGGTTGTCGGCGTACTGTCTCCTCAGCGGGGATTTGTGGACCTCTTCGTGGACTAGGATGATCTTTCGTTATTTATTGGCGCCCTTTAGTATATTTATATGTCTCAGTTTCCTATCCTATCGAAATTATACCCACTTCAACCCAAGGGCATAGGCTCAGGGCTGGTCCTTGTCTTGGTCTCAGTGAAGGTCCTTTGACACTGAGTTATGGGCGACTATAGGCGCGTTTCTGAATCACGTGGCTTCGTCGGCGATCACCGCCTATGTTACTAGTAGTATGTTTCAGGGCCGCGGTCGACAGCCTTTCTTTGACGACTCTCTCCTTGCCTTTCACCATCCTCTGTCGGGCCTCCCTCAATCGTCGAAGTCTGCCTTGACAGTGTCTGCCCGCCCACCATGTCATCTTCCGCGCTCTATCGAGAGCAGCAGCATATACCTATCTGCACCAACTGTGATCACGCCTGTCATCTCGACCTTAACCTGCCACCACTGGGTCCGAACAATCCTGTCCTGCGCGGCGGGATGCAGCTCTCAACTCAGGATGATGCCCTTATTCAAGAGTCTCTGGTTTCTACCGACGCAGGCCTACGTCATATTCGTGGTATCATGAACGGACACGGCTGATCGAGCGAAGGTTGAAGACTCATCGCGATATATAAAGTACACAGGACGGTGTAGTCACGATCCCGCATCTTTCGTGGGCGCGACTGGGTGACTTGATGACCATGACGCCCCCCGCGTACGCACTTTAGCTAGTGCGCCACTGCCCAAGACTTACTGCCTGGAAGTATGTCAACGCGACGGTCTTGCTTCCCGAGTTCTCGTCCGTGGCTATATCTGCGGATCCCGTCACTGCTTTCCCACCTGCGCAGGCTGCACCTAACTTTGAGCACTACAAGGGACCTGTCTCTCGTCCAGCTGATGTGCCCGGTCGAGCTCGAGCATGCGCACTTGGCGTTCGACAAAGAAGCGAAGGTGATGAGCGCAAGCCCCTTCTCGCTGTTTGCGCTTTCGTCAAGCACTCTGCGTTGCCTATCGCTTCTGAATCGGCCCAGATCGTTCGTGGATCCCGCGTTTCTCGCGTCGTTGCGCACTCTGATCACCCTCGAACTTCAATTCCACAAAAACGCCCCGCTGACGCAGGACCTCGTCGACGTGCTGGGTGCTCACAACTCGATACAAAAACTGCGTGTCCTGGAGCTGGGAGGGATCCTGGACCTCGAAGCCAAGTCGCTGGTAGAGGTGATCGCCCGACACGAAGCGAATTGTCCTCTCCAGCGACTGCGTCTCAAAGGAATTTTTGCCCTCAGGCCAGCCAAATTCGGATGGAGCGATGGAATGGAAATACACCTGGAAGGCCTCGTACCCGACTTCAGAATGATGGTGTGGAAGCAGCCTATGCATCTTTTGCGCCGTCATCTGGAGTCGTAAAGCATTGTGAAAGTCTGCGAAAAGTGAGTTTCACTGCCTGCATATGAACGTCCCCCACTGATTTGCGCTCTTTAGCCATTCATTGCTTGCTCAAATGCCATACCGGACGCGTTGTAGGATTTCTGCGTGAAGCAGGCGTGGTCAAGGCCAAGCACACTTGCGACCATTTGTAGAATATAGTTCCCGAAGTCTCCAACTGTGTGCAGGCTCGGGAAACGCACGATGAACAACATCATCACCATGCTATGAATTACACCGTAGTCTGCGTTAGGTTCATGACACGGAGTACATCTGTCTGATTTTCTCTGAATCCCCTCCAATCCTCCCCTTCTCCGGCTATGCGTGACTGATATGCACGTGATGGCGCTTTGATGTTGAGTTCGGTAACCGTCACGTTGCTAAAGGTCCCCTCCCGCCACTCTCATGATTTGAAGTCACTAACGCGCTCATTATCCTGACATATAGACCGAGATGGCCCTCAGCTCGTCTCCGCGCAAGCTACAAATTCCGCTCTCCACCGGCGACGAGACGAGAAACGACGGGTCCAGCTCCTTCGGTGTGACGAAGCGTGCATTCTTCTGCGGGGTAGTCATTGAGGGTTCGGAGAATGGGAGAAGACTGCCCGATGGTGCGAGACCACAAATACTAGCAATGTGCGCGTACTGACGCAAAGACAGACGTGCAGGACCTTGTGCTATCCCTCGGCGACCCGCTAGAGTCTGACGGAGCGGACGCGGGATTCCTGGACCCATCTCGTTCATCTCAGAGCAATGTGCGTCTCATTCACGACATCTAGAAGCTCACTGACCCTCCTCTAGCAGGATCACTACCAGCGAAAGCGCGCTATGACCGACACATCCGCCCTCGCCGCCGACATACGCGAACTCGTCACCACAGAGCGCAACTACGTAGAACGCCTCCGCACCCTGAAGCATTCGTACGCCGACCCCCTCAGGAGCTTCTCGCGCGACAAGAACACGTCCCTCCTCCCCGCGTACGAGGCGAAAGTCCTGTTCGGCAATGTGGATAACCTCATCCCCGTTAATGAGGCGTTCCTCACGGATCTGGAGAAGATGATGGCTCCCAACGGCGCGAAGACAGTTGGAGGCGTCGGGGACGTGGCTCTGCGGCACTTCAAGGAGCTTCGGGGCTTTGAACTGTACAAGCAGTACTATGCGAAGCGCGAGGAGGCGCAGGCCATCTTTGAGCGCGAAGTGTCAAAGAAGTCCTCGCAGTTCGTACAGTTCATAGAGGTGCGCGTCCATACTTCCCGTCTGAACACCACTAACAGCTACACAGAGGATTAAGTACGAACCCGCTGATACCTCGCGCAATCGCGTTGGTCTGAGGGAGCTGCTCATAGACCCTGTGCAACGCATCCCCCGCTACACATTGCTCTTCAGGAACATGATCAAGCACATGGCGCCTGACGACCCCCAGCGCGACAAGCTCATCGAGGCGGACGAGATTGCTAGCAAGATCGCGCAGGCCGAAGCGGACGAGCAGACGAAACGTGCTGCCGTCTTCTACTGCCTCAGCACCAGCATCGAGGGCTTTCCCGCCGACCTGCACTCCATCTCGCGTCGATTTATAGACTGTATTGACGTTGAGGACATCATCACTGACGGTCTTATGTCTGCGAGCGCGTCGACCACAAGCCTGGGGACATCGCTTAACTGCACACTTTTCCTCTTCGACGACAAGATGGTCATAGTCAAGCGTCCACACGACAAGTCTGGCAAGGCTCTGTCAGGTCTCGATGCCGTCGACAAGGTCACCAAAGGCGCCAGCTTACCCACAAAGCGGCGGAGTGGAATGTCGTGCAAGGGTGTCGTCGACATCGCCGACGTCGTCGCCACGGATATCGGAGGCGCAGGTCAGGGCGTGCATAGGCGAGCGAGCATGGGCTGATGCGAGCAAACAGACATCAACATGTACTTCGAGAATCCGCCGCGGGATCAGAGCGATCGCTGGTCTGGCCGACCTTTCCGTGCGCTCTCCGTCGTGCATCCTCCGCATCCCATCAATCTCGATCCTCCGAAGACGCAGGCGGACAAGCAGCGGTTTCTAGAAAACTTATGGCTTGTGCAGGCGAAGTACAGGGCGAGAGTTGGGCAGTCGGTTGTTCTCTGCTCTGAAGCGAAAGAGGTGGAGGCTCGCGGAGGCCGTTCGGTTGTCGCCAGGACATTCTACAATGTCTATCAGCGGAAAGCTTTCTTGCAGGAACCCAAGAAGGTGCGCTCGCGACCTTCGGTTTATAGCAGTTGCTAACAGTGGTCTTCATAGACCAAGGCAGTCGTACATGTCGATGCTTCAGGGAGCGCCGACAATATCCCATTCGGGGTGGGCGGCCCACCCTTCGTTTGCATCCGTCTTCAACCCATGGCGGGCGAACTATGCCGCATGCGTATCACATCCAGCAGCGAAGACACCGACGGAGAGGAGGACGAGGTTCTACAAGCTAACCGCGTCTCTGCCCGCGTCGTGCAGACGATCCACCAATACGGCCTCTTCGACTTCCGTTCCGGCCGCAACTCCATGCCCAGCACACCCACGGCGAAGTCGAAAGCGTCGCTCTTCAATTTGGATGCGCTTTCTAGGAGGCTCCCCGGCGACTTCTTCGTGGGCTCTGTCAACGGGCACAGGCGAGCGAAGTCGTCGACGAGGAGTCGGAATACTATCACGTCACACAGCACAGGGCACACCCAGAGCACGAGCACGGGTGACAGTTTCGCGTTCTCGAATCGGTCCGAATCAACTGCGGCGACGTCTGTCGAGGACGGATCCATGCGCGCGGGCAAGACCTCACGGTCGTCGAGGTCGCGCAAGCTGCGGAAGTCGCCGCTGAAGACATCGGAGGGCGGCGAGCCGTTGCGGAGCTCTTCGCGGCAGAGTTCGTTGGGTTCGCGCTCGCGATCAACGTCGAGAGGGCCCGATACGGATTATAGTGATATGGAGGAGGATGACAGGACGCAGGAGCTGGACTCGTCGGAGTGGGACTTGCAGATGAAGCTCGAGCTTGCGCGCAAGAACAGCCAGACGCAACATGGGAAGCCGCTCCCTGCGCTCGACCTCGACGCGAATATAGATGACACGATTCTGGAGGGTTCGTCGTTACGAATGCTTTCGTCGATTCCGTATACTAACATAATATGAGTAGAGGAGCCACCGCAACCTCTTCGACCTTTGTCAAGGGCTTCACGAGATAACCGCTCGATTTTGTCGAAGCCAGAGTCTGAGCTAACAGTGACCGATGCGCCCCTTCTGCGCCCTGACTCACGACTATCTGACCGACCACGCGGGCCTCGCAGTCCATCCCCTCGACCACCCTCACGCTCACCCGAGCCTCGCATGCGTACACCAGAGCCACCACGGATGCGGACGCCTGAGCCTTCCACGGCGCCCGTGCTACCGTCCTTCGACGAAGAGTTGGCTCGGGAAACGCCAAGGCCGCCGCCACCGGCGTCTCAGCTTCCGCAACTGTCCAGAGGCCTCACCCGCAGCTCTCGCATACCCTTCTTCCCAACAGCAGCGAGTGATGCGACACCACGGCCATTATCCATAGTATCACAACATACTGGCCCTGTCGAGCCGCTGTCTATCAAAAAGAAGGCATCGACGGGCCCGGGATCGGTGTCGAGTTCGCTGTCGAGCTCGCCGGTACGCCGCTCGCAGGAATCGCCGACGAGGTCTTCTTCGCGGGATGACCTGCCGAGAGTGTTGTCGCCATTGCCCTTCACCAATGGCTTCAACAAGGGCAAGGCTAGGTCGCGGGATGGTTCTCCTGATGCGGACCGTTTACAACGGCTCGCTGAGTCCACTCGAGAAGACGTGCGTTGTTCTGCTTCGTGGGCACTCGGCGCGTCTAATCTGCACTGTAGATCGATTCTGCTCGCAGAGTAGTGAAGCGCATCAAGCTGGAGGTGGAAGGTCTGCGTACAGCAGGCGAACCTACTACGCCCATATCACGGCCAGCCTCGCCCGACAAGACTTTGCGCACACCGCAGCGGACCACTCCGTTGGTGAGCTTTCAGAAACTGTTGCAATTGCGCCTCCCGCTCAATGTACGCAACAGACCAAAGAAGCTCAGCAGCGAATGGAAGAAATGCGACAGCTCTTGGGCCAGCGCGATAACACGCCTCGAAGTCATTTGCGAAGTGTCGCTTTACGAGCAACGCAGTCCATGGACGCCGGCGGCCCAGGTCGTGCAACTATGGATACCAGCATCGTTGGTCGGTCGTTAGAAAACATGGCCAACGAGCTAGATGATACGCTGTCGCGAGCAGCAAGGTCCGCCGATGCGATGCAGGAAGACATCGACGAGCTACAGGCAACCCTGCAGGAGGTACGATTGATGTATTATATCCATATGGACAAACCAAGGTTGCTGACTCTGACTAGAAATCCGAGGCCCTCGAGAAGAGTCAAGAAGAAGTCAAGAGCGTCAAACGCCAGACGGAGGTCATCAAAAGTCTTCTCAACGATAAGACGGCGGAGACGGAGATCCTCTATCAAGTGCGCGCCCAGTCTGTGATTGCCCTGCGTCTTGTCCTCATATCCACCTAGACCTTCAACGAGGAGCTGGATGGCATGTACCAGGACGTCCAGTTGCCTGACGAGGAGGCCTGGGCCGCAATGGCCAAAGACTTGCGAGAAACCAAGAAGGCTCGGAATAACCTCACGGCCGAAAATTCGTACGTTCTTGCACTGCTGAAGATGACTGTCACCTCATGTCCCATCTAGTACTCTGAAGCGTCGGCTAGCCGAAATGGAAATGCAGCAGGAAGAGTGCGTGCTGCCTGCTCTCGTGGACACTCCGTATGCTCATCTCCTCCCACAGGTGGGCTACCCTCTTACGTGCGCACGGCCTGATACCATGATACTATTCATTCATCTACGCATCTATCTCCATTACATAGAATCGTGTCCCGCGTATATATGCGTTCTAATTGTGGCTACTACGTTAAGTTATGCATCGGCGGTCATGGCAGCGGAACGCGAGGATGAGCTCAGGGAACAACGGGTACGTCAACTCGTCACGGGCGACACATGATGATGATAATGATACACGACGGTAGCTAGTACACTAACAAAAGAGGAGGTAGAAGAACAGCGAAGAAATGGGTGGGAGGGGGTATGGTACACACAAAAAGCAAAATAAGAACGTAACGGACCCGCCGGGCAGGGGCGGGACAACAGAAGCCCACATACTTACTCTCGTTTATAAAAGGGGTATTATCATGAGGGCACGGCGGCAGTCGCCGTTGCGGGAGGGCTACAATGCGGGGACACAGGCGTGAAGTCGAGCTCGTGCGTCGCTGTAGGCGCAAGGGAGGGGAAGTACGGTGTAACGTCGGGGATGTGCACGTCGAGGACGATGGGCGGGTCCTCCTCGTCGGCGGGCTTTTCGATCCCGCCGGGCTCGTCCGGTCTGTCTGGCGCGCTGTTCGCACGGCGGTGCTGCAGCGGCTGTCGAGGCGTGGTGCGGACGGCGGTTTTGGAGAATCGGCGAAGGAGGCTCTGCGTGACGGTCCGGTTCGCATCGTGCAACGAGGCGCCGTGACCATGATCACTCTGAGTCTCGGGTATCGCCAACGTCCGGGTGCTGGAGTTGGTGGAGGAGAAGGAGGATGACGCGCCGCGAAGGAAGCCCTTGAAGTTGCGCACGAGCGACGAGCGCCGCTTGCTCTCCGGATCGCTCGGGACATGCCGGAGACCCTTGTGCGACGATGACGAGGTGAGATTGACGGGGCTGCTCGTTGACGATCGCGCGGACGATTGTGAGAAATGCGAGAACGGGGACGGCGAAGGCGATGAGCCTGCAGATGCCGGGCTGAAGGCGCTGACGCCCTCCGTCGAGATGACGCTTGGCCTCTTCGCCAGGCGCCGGTTGGCGAGGGACAAGCCGCGCGTACGGTCTGCAGAGGCCGCCTCCACGTCGAAGATGCTGTTGCGCTTGTACACGCGCACGCTCTCATGCCGCGTCAGCTTGCTCTTCGCATTCGCGATGCTCAAGCCCGAGTTCGCCCGTGGCGTAGCGCGCGAGCCCGCCACCGACGGCGCCTGAAAGAGGTCTTCCTCGCGCCTGCTTGCCTGCGCACGCGCCGCCAGCACTGGCTCCGAAATGACGTCCAGCAAGCCACGATCAACAGCGAGGCGCGCATTGTGCGACGCGCGCCGGATGACGACCGTCTCGTTGTCCACCGATGAAAATATGGCCTTGACAGACGCAGTCGACGAGCGTCGACTCGCCGCGATGTGCTGAGGCGGCCCATCATGCAATCGTCTCGAGACCTCCGTGAACCCCTGCTGCCCATCACTCCGCTCGACCACCGCCATCAACGACTCCTCCAGCATCTTCGAGCTCGACGAGCCCCTCAGCTCCGGAATGCTCTGGATCGTCGGCAGCGGCGTGATGCTCTGCAGCACCTCCGCCGACTCCGACTGTTGAATCGGCCCGCCGCGCGCGTCCAGGTACAAGCTCGACGTCGGCTCGTTGATCCACGACGTCCGGTGCGCCTTCGCCTCGCGCATGGACGCCATCCACGCCTCCTTCTCCCTCTGGCACGCCGCGGCGAGCTCGAACTGATGGCCCTTGCCCAGGAGGCGGAATGAGCAGGGCAACATTGCTATGAGGAACGTGCGTGAGCGAGACAACCTTAATGAGGCCACGAGCAAGGCCACGTACCGTCCCTCTCGTCGAGATCTACAATTTCAAAGTCCGCGAGCGAAAACCAGTGCTTCGGCTCGTACACCTTGCCCTTGCAGACCTTGACGAGGATGAGGTACCCGCCCAAGTACAGGAAGGCGCCAAGATACTTCGCCTTGATATTCGCGGATGCAGTCATCGGCTGCAGCGGGCTGTGGTGCACGACGTCCAGCGATCCGGCAAGGAGGCACGTCCCAAGCGAGCTCAGGAAGCTGCTTGTCATATTGAGGCTGGCCGGCAAACTGTGTTGCGAGGCGGACGAGGAGGAAGACAGCCGAAGCGCGCTTGCGACGCGAGACACAATGAGCGCGCTCTGTGCACACACTGCTTGCCTCGCTCGAGCTGCGTCCACGGCAGCGGCGACATGACGCATCGCCTGCGCAGCGCTCTCTACCGCAACATGCACAGCAGAACGGCGAGAGGGCTGCCCGGCGGACAAGCGTTGCGCCCCGCGACTGGGCTTGAGCTGGTCAAGAAGTAGCGGGTACTTGCAGATGCGCTGGATGGGCTTGATCAGGTAGTCCATCAGCGTCAGCCTGCGCGCACGAAGCTCGTTCGGGAACGGGAGGGCCTCGCGCTGTTGTGCTACGGATCGCCGCCGCAGGCTACGAACAGCACCGTCGAGGGAGTGGACTGATCTTGACCGCTTGCGAGGTGATGGCGAAGGCAACTCCGCAGTGAAGGTGTCTGCATTGGTTGGTGTAGCTGCTGAGGCGCTGGCGGCGTGAGGGACGGCTTTGCGAGGGGTCGCTTGAGTCGTTGAAGGTTCCTCCGCCGACGGTCGGGGCGACATCTCATGCACCATGTCAGAGCAGCGTCGTTCGAACTCGTCCCACTCGGGTGGATGCTGATGCTGCACGCGGCGAATGACCTCGGTCGCTTCTTGATGGCCCGTACAGAAGGCCTCATACATGTTGAACCTAGAAGACTGATCACCCTCATGAGAATTGCCCTCCAGAAATCGCGGGGGTGCTAACCTCGACCGCAAACTTCGTCGCGACCACGCCAATCGCGCTGTCGATATCGCAGTCCGACTGATCGTTCAGTTCTGGCCAGCCTTCCTCGGAGCGAACCACGCCCATCCTGATGCCGTGCGGAAGAAGCGCCTCGCGTAGCTCGTCGACGAACTCCTCATGCAGCTGCATGATATCCTCCGCGTTCCGCATCATAATGTCCATCTCGACGGCGTTGAGAATGACACGGCCCTTGTCCTTCTCCTTGCCGGACGTCGGACTGAGGTGCTGCACGCCCTGGCCGTCCACGGTTGTCAGCGCGAGCGCATTGTGGATGCTGTTGGCCGAATTGACGCGCGAAATGGACGTAAACGAGGACCCGCTTCTCGAGAAGGATGGCCGCGAGGTCAGATTGGCTAAATTCCGCAGGTAGATCTGTATCGGCTGTCAAACCGTCGGGCACCGCAACACGCTCGGAAGCCGACGCACCGTGACCAGAGCCCGCATATCCAAGACATACCCCACCTCCGTCGTCAGCAGTTCCATGAGGGCATGGTACTTGCGCGTGTCCTCCTTCAGCTTCTCCGCTCGCCACTCCGCCTCCTCCCCACCAGGGTCCATCGCATCGGGCTCGGCAGTGATCACCCTCTCAGGGAAGGTAAACTTGCTGGGCCCTGGCTCGCCGGCATTGTCCAGCTCGTCTTCGTCCGCATCGCTCGGCGTCGATCCCTCGATATGGAAAAGCGAGGGACGCGAAGTGTGCGGCGTGTTCAGGGCGTGTATGTGCGACGCCAGGGGCGGCTGCGGCTCGCGCACTTTTCGAGATATCCCGGGGCGCAGCTTGCTGCCCGTCGCATTCAAGTCGTACTCGCGCAGTGCGGGTGCCCGGTAGAGTGTGTCGGACATAGACTTGCGGCGCATGGAAAGCGAGGGCGCTGAGACTGAGCGATGTGGGTGTCTGCGAGGGGCCGTATTGGGCATAGATGGTGAGACGGAGACAGCAGCGTGTTTCCTATGGCGTGAGGTGACGCAAGTGACCGAGCGCTTGACGAGGGTCGGTGGCGGCGGCGTCGGTGGTACCGCGATCCAGGTCGGCGCCAACAATGCCGGCTTGCAGCGCGGAGACTGCGGGGAGGTCGGAGCGGTGGTAAGCTGGGAGGCGGAGAGGCTCGAGTTGGATGAAGAGGTGACCCGTGAAAGGCTATCGAACGTGCATGCATCTGCGCTCGTGGTCGGGGTGCAGACGGGTGATGCGCGGATGGGGGGCATGGGCAGGAAGCCGTTGGCCGTGAAGCGGTGCTGACCGCGGGCGTTGCGCGTGGGCGAGGTCGTGATGGTGTCCGCGGACGGTGAGAACATGCCGAGGGAGAGCTTGAGGTCCTTGCTGTTCGCGCGGCGGGAGGAGATGGGGACGGCGGGGCGGCGGGGAGGAGCTGCCGCGGGGCGATCTGTCGGTGCCAGGGCTTGCATAATTTCAGCACCGTTGCGGCCAAGAAGTATGAGCAGGGAGGGGGGAATTACGAAAAAGCTAGTAGAATATAGTGGAAGAAGGGGCTGGCCGCATTGCGCGAGAAGGCAGGGGACGCGGCAACGGCGGGGCGACGGTAACTGGCAAACTTACGATGGCCGATGCCGGATGGTTCCAGAGACGGTGACGGACAGGAGCCGACAAATATGATCTCTGGGCGGCGGCAAAACGGTGATCCTGAGTGGTGGCGACGACCCGCGCGTCCCCTTGCCTTTCACCTGTCGCGCGTCTGCCTTGCGATGTCGTTCGAGTGAGAGTTGAAGAAAAAGAGGGCGTCCGGGGCTGTGGGGCGATGGGCGGCTGGGGGAGGAGAGCCGGAGCCGAGTGCGGCGGATATTGTGTGGGCTGGCGCACGCACGGTCGGTAGCCCGTCGGCGGTGACACAGAGGCGGGGCGTGTAGCGGCAAGCGTTGGAGATGATGGCGGTCGGGAGCAAGAGGTACGCGCCCGTCCTCCTTCCCCGACGTCCCGAACGCTTCTGGTCGCCACGCCCCCGGAGATCACCCCGGATCCGGCAACTACTCACGGCCGTATCGGTCCGGCGCATTCTATGATCTCATCACCTGCTCATTTTTGTTCTGCTTTTGGTAATTCTTGTTCCTCCGACGTGCTTCGCGCCCTGGCTTACGCGCCTACAATTGCCTAACGCGGGTTGGCGCCCACCATCGCCTCGAGTTCAGCACCGTCGCACATCCTGTGGTCCTTACGCCGCAAACCTATCATTGCAAGCACGCAACCCGCTAGCCCCATCCGATAAACCGATTGAGCACGATGCACATGGTGGCACGAACGCGGCAGAATGGCGTAGCGTAACGCGTTGCAGCCGCACCACGTTCGATCGAAGAACTTGGGGATAGATACGAGCAGCGCGACGCACCCCAACCAAGTAGACAATTAGATCGCGAGGCGCAGATAGTCCGCGCAGAAGACGCATAAACGTCGCGCATAGCTCCCCACCGCTCGCGCCTTGCTTCCTATCGCTCTACGCCCGAAATTCAAACATTAGTGTACCGTAAGACGAAGAGGCAGGCTGAACCAGACGCGTACCATGCAGCAATACTCCTGAGGATGACAGGAGCACAGCACGTCCCAGAGCGACAGGCCATGAGGATCTTCTCGGGCATCCTCGAGACGGATAGGAGATCCCCCTAGCTTCCGGGATGAGGTGCACCACCCCGTGTACGGCAACGCGACACATTCTTCACTCCACTCCGACATAGAGTGCCGATCGGCGGCGAGCGGTCTGCCGTACATCCAACCTCTCTTCTTGCGTACATTCTACCTTTCCTCTTGCGATCCCAGCCATTCTTCTTGCGTACAAGTGACTGCGTCAACGTCTACGCGCTTGCCGTACTGCGACCTCTCTTGGTCTGCCGTATCTCCTCCCTTGGTCCAGTCGCGTCTCCTCCATGATCCAATCGTATCTCCACCCCAGGCTCTTCCGTTGCCGTAAATTCGACCACTTCACCGCCGCGCAAAAATGCACTCGCAACCGCACCAGAATGCACTCGCGACCGCACCAAAATGCAATCGTTACCGCCCCTTCGCCGTTGACAGAGCGCATTCATGACGCTTGGGTTGTTGCATGCGTAACGATACGCGCTAGACCCTGGTCTTGATGGAATACGGCATGCACTGTATGCGATACGACACGCTCTTCATATGCGAACCACGGCGGCTGGAGTACGCGTGGACCGGGCCCGATTGTCATGGTGGCCAGATTGCGCACTTCACTCTAGTCGCTGGAGCCCATATAACCCCGTCTGAGCGACCATATAACCCTGTTAGCCGGGTATATAGATTGTCGAAGCGCCCCATAGTGTCAAGTATGTCGAAGCGCTCCGCAGGCAAGTCGCTGGTGGCGTATCGCGTCTAGTGAGTGCTCTCGGAGAGACAATATCCGAGAGATGTGTCGGGCGACAGTCAGTGTGTTGAGTGGACATTGTGCTTGCGACGTCGACGCCTCGATGTTCGTTTGTAGCCCGTGGTCCCGTGTACCGCATGGCGGCGTCGAACGATAACTCCACGAAGACGGCGGCGCGAAGTACGAAAAACGGAGAGCTCGGCGAAGGTCGGCGACGGATGGGGTACACGGCAGTCTTTGTAGGTGGTCGATAGTCTTCGTAAAAGCTGACAGTCCCCATCCTTGCTGAAGGTGGACAGACGCCTCGAATTGCATGGGCTTCGCCCCATCGTCGGCGAGATCCAGTGGGGTGCGGGAGGTACGCTGTAGCTTGGACGCTCGCCACAGCATCTTCTGCCATTCCAAGCGCAACTGCGAGGGGCCCGAAAGGCAAGGAAGCCGCGACAAACGGAAGCGGCGAGGCCAGGGCTCATGTCATCGTCACAGTGACGAGGAGAACATCAGCTAACGAAAAGTCTTCAGCTCAGTGACAAAGGCAATACGTGATGTAGACGCTCACCATGGTGCGATCTTTCTATTCACCAGTGGGCATTCAGCCACTGCCGCTAGCGCCCTTCAACAGAGGCTGAATCGTTTGCCGCGCGGGACCTGGCAATGCAAGAGATAGACCGCTAACGCCACGCTCGACCAGCCACAAAGCCATCACATTCGGGTGCGGGACCGTAGGAGACGGAGGGTTGGGCACGAATTATGTTTGAACGTTGAGCGTCATGACTGCCGCGTAGGCAGTTCGCCATAGCTGTATACGACATGCAGGCGCTGACCATTCAGCCACAGCAACATTCGAAGGCTTGGCCGTTCATTCAAAGCGACATTCGGAAGCTTGGCCACAAACAACGAGCGCGCCCATGTGTGGCACGTTGTTGTCAGAGCAGATCTGTATAGTTCCATCGCATCGTGTACGTCCCCTGCGACGGCGTTCTCGGGCGCAGCGAACGGCCATGCACGGAGGATGATCGAGAGCGCCGCGATGGGGTGAGGGCGTACGAGAGCAGCATGACGAGAAATCGAGAGCAGTATGAGGAAGAATTGAACATCGCACGGAAAGGAATATGCGAGAATTACTGCGCAATATTCCACCGCCGGTCTACCGAAAATCGGGGGCATGAAAGGTTGCGCGATACGGTGACGACGGAATTTAGAATGAAGGAATCGAGTCGACCAACGGCAGAGTTGGCATGCAATACGGCGGAGATGCGCTCGGCGGCGAAGCCAGGGACACGCGATGAGGTTCCTCCAAGCATTCCGCCACGCAGTCGTTCTGGGGCCTTCCTCCATACCACAGCGCGCGAGGACGGCCGAAGGGGGAGCGCTCTGAGACTCGAACATGCCAAGTTTGGTCCAGCGGGGAGCGGAGTCCGCATGGCGGTGCGCCGACGCCAGTACACGAGGCATGGCAGTGCGCCGACGCCATTACACGAGGTACGGCGATGGAAACCCATCGGAATGGAGGAGTAGCCGTCAGGATATAGCGAGTGGAAATCCGCATCGTATCTGAGTGGAATTACGCCTTGTATCTGCGGCGGTGCTCCGTGCCAGGATATCTCACTGTCTTCCTGAGGCGTCACTCCATATCCATAGCACCGGGCTACGGTCGAAAGCGGCCTTGGGGAGCGCTGACTGCCCCAACGGTGCTGCCCATCGGGGTCCTATACCCTACGAGGCCCTGCTACTCCACAGCGAGGATCGGAGTACAATGTGCCGGCGCTATAAAATGAGGCCTAGGCGGTGTCGTTACACGAGGTTGAGTGACGGTTGGGTTATGTGGACGACCGCGTTCGCCAGTGTTGGCAACGATGTCCGCGACGCAGCAGAGTTAGGGCCGATGCGATAGGCTCGGGTCGAGTACGATCGTGGCTTGCACTGCGGCGACAATATAGGCCACTGCGTCGAGTACGTAGACGGCAAGCCACCGCTCTGCATACGCCTAGGACGCTCTACATGCGTACGGTGGGCCGATGGGCCCGAGCGTCGCATGAACGCACGCCCGGTGCGTCGCGTTCTGCAACGCCTGGTATAGCCGTAGGTGCTTCGTGCCCGCAAGATGACGGCGACATGTGCCTTGGTCGAGGTTGTGAAACGTGCGAAGGGTACGATGTATGGAGTCGCAAGCAGAATAACGCCTGCCGCAGCGACGTAAGATACGCTGAGTTGTAAGGCCGGTGCCCCTCTGTTGGCGAGAGCGATGGCCAGTGTATTGACGCGCTTATGGAGCTCTAGCCAGCAAGATAGCGACACCTAGCGGTCGCCGAGGGCTTGTTGAACATAGAGTGGCAAGAGAGGCCAGGGTAGGCTAAATCGCGGGCAAGCGACGGCGTTCTAATCCTTTGACAGCTACAGCTCTTCTTCATCGTGATAGTAGAGCGCAGATGGATCGGGGGAAGGCGATTGGATGGTGGGCTTCTAGGCGTGAAAGTTTGAGAGGAGCCCAGTAGGGTCGGTTGGCGGCTACAATGGGTAGACCATGAGGGGATAGCGGATGTGGATTGGGCGTGATTAGCGCATAACGGCTCCCAGTGGCACAGATTAGTCGGTTTCCGGGCATAGCGGTGTCGGTCGACGAGGATAACGAGGAGGCCAGTCAACCGATTGTCAGAAATAGAGGACGCCAGAGGTCGGTTTTCGATATCGGGTTCGAGAGCTTCATTCTTCATCTTCGGCTTCGTCGAACCATCGCTCTTCGGCCTCCCTGTCCTCGTCGCTATCCAAGGACTCGTCCCAATCGACTTCATCGTAGTCTATACCCTGCAAATATATCAGCGACAGTCATAGATAGCAAGGCGCAGCAGAAATGGATTGCGTAAAGACGGGAATACGATCAACAAGAATACTCACGTCTAGCAACCCGTATATGAACCTCTCGCGGATGATCCTCTCGAATAGCGCTTGACGATCAGCGTCCGTCTCTTCGGGCTCTGGCGGAAGAGGTGGTGCAGGTGGATGTATTGCCAGGGAATTCATCCGACCAACCACGTCATCTTCATCCTCATCTTCGCTTTCACTATCTTCCTCCGGTACGAAGTCATCCTCAGGATCGGGCGCAGGTACGGTCGAAACGCGCTCCCGCCTCAATTCTCGCACCCTCTCCGCCTCTCTTTCCTCCTCGTACTCTCCTAACAGTTTCCCAATTTTGTTGACATGCTTCTTCTGCCCAGGCATAAACCCCTCCTCCGCCCACCTCTTCTCCTCCATCGCTTCTTCTTGCCCTCGCCTCTCGCGTCCTTCCCACAAATGGGGCCAGGTATTTCGTGCAGCAAGAAAGGAGAGCTCTTTCGGAGACGTTGTAGTGTGCTTGGTGCGCCGATTGCGGATGCGGGGGACAGATGTGCGCTCCTTTGGCGTAGTGATTTGGGAGAACTGAGCAGCAAGATGGGGCGGAAGGTAGGTAAGGTTCTTCTTCAGGAAGCCGATGGGGTCTTGTAGTGGGGAGGGTGCGTAGGAAGAGTCCAGTCCAAGGTACTTGAGTATCGCGCCGTCGTCAAAGCAAGGTGCCGCCATCGTGGTTGGTGATGAGAGGGGATTGCGAGGGGATCGACGGTGCGCCGCTGACGTTGCACGATCGGGGGACCGGTCCGAAACTCATACGTCCCACGTGGGGTCCAAATATTCGCGGACCGCCCTTGCCTCCTCCCCTCATCCGCGCCGCTCGCCGCGATGGACGAATACGCGGCAGTGCGCGTTTGCAAATGGTTCCAATGCTCAATGCGCTTTGACTCGCTTGATGACCTTCGCGATCATGTCGTTCAAGCCCATGTCCGCACCGCGCAACCCCTTCCGCGCCGGGACGTCGCTCTATATCGGCGCATCGAAGAAGGCATGGTGCGCAGCCTCAGCCTGAATGACCCCGAGACCTATGAGAGCAACCCGCATGCTCTCAAGAGGCGGCGCGTGGAGAAAGAGGGTGAGTGGTGGAACGCCTCCCACACGCGCGCATCACCCACGTCCAGACTTAGAGCCGTGGCAGTATGTCAATCCGGCGGATACCCTCCCTTCCCCAACCTCCGAACGGCTGGAGTATCCGGATGAGGATGAGCAGGACATTGAGGACGCGGTGATGGAGGAGGGTCGTGCATCCCCTGAGCGTCAGGAGCTATCGTACCCATCGGAAGGGGAACGCTCCCCGAGTCCCCCTCCAGCAGCACCCGCGGTGCCTCCCAACATCAACCTTCTTGTGCCACCCAGGCGTACGTTTGCATCTCTATCGTCCCCGACGTCGTCGCAGGGCTCGATCTCTCCGTTCCCCAACTCGCCCTCCATCGAGGAGCAGATAGCGCGGCACAGGGAGAAGAAGGCTGCGAAGAACCTCCCCACGAGTATGGAGGCGCGACATTCAACAGCGTCGCAGTCGTCCTCCTCGTCGCGGGAGGCAGTGGAGACGCAACTTACGGCTACGCTCGACTGGGACGCTCAGTCGGATAGCATGAGCATCCAGCAACGACAGCCCTCGCAGTCAGAATCCGTGCAACAGGAATCGCAGACCTTGGACTCGCAACATACAACCAAACCGTCTCAGGCTTTCGATGCCACCCAGATGCAGGACGCATATGCGCACGAGCTGGCGTGGTCGCAGGCTCCTGCACCTGACGATCCCGCATCCGCGTCAGCTACTCAGACCACAGGCACTGAAGCTCCGGAAACCCAGGGATCACTACCAGACACCCAAGAGCAGCTTGCGTATCCGCCCGACGAACCCTCCACCTCTCAACCAATCGCGCAATCCCTCTCCGTCTCGCCGACCCACACTTCATCCCCCATGTCCGCAAACGCTTCGAGCGTCCAGTATAGCTTCGTCACCCCAAGCCAATCGTGGTATCATATACCCCGCAAGCGGAAGGTGTCTGGCAAGCGGAAGAGGCAATCCATCGACGATAGGTCGAGGTCGGGGTCGATGCCGCAGGAGGAGAGCGAGGAGTCTAACAAGCCCGCGCCTACTAGTCCTTCGGCGTTATCGTCCAAGTTGACTGGAGGCGGGGCCTCTGTCCAGAATTCCACCCCCTCGTTGCCACAAAAGACCCCAGCATCTGCAACCGCGCCCCCTCCTGTTCCCGAACCTAGCCAGTTCCGCGACAAGACTATAGCATCAGCAAAAGCGCCACCAAGGGATTTACTGTCGAAAGTCCTGACATCCTCACAATCACCAGCGACACCTCAAAAGGCCCGCACATCCCGACCACCATCGGTACGGTCCTCGACGCCGAAGCGGTTCACCCCACGGCCGTCGACGCCGAGGGACGAGCAAAGCCTTCCACCCCTTCCCTCCTCCGACGAGGATGACTCGCCACCTCCATTGCCTCGGCCGCCCCGACGGGATCCTGCCCATCAGCCCCCTCGGCCGATCTCTATCTCTCCGTCACCATCTCCACGGACCTCTTTATCTCCTCCGCCTTCGCGACATATTGCTTCTCCACCACCTTGCCAGTCCACTGTCGCGCGCGCCTCTGACAACAAGTTCGTCTCTTGCGCAATGAGCATCTTCCCGGATGGCGATCCCTACGTATCGACGCACGCACCTGCCGCCTCAGAAGCACCCCACTACACCATAGTCGACGACGACGATCCAGAGCGGTACATCGGGGGCGAGGACCCAGACGAGTATGAAGAGGAGTACGAGGAAGACGGCGGTGCGGAACGGGAGCAGGACGACAGCTACGGCGACGAGGAGGAAGAAGGCGACTCTTTTGAGCGGCAGGGAGGCAGTATCGAGGACTACATCGACGTCGACGCCCTTGAAGAGCTGTCCTACCCGGACTCGTATCCGCCGTTGCAAACGCAAGCTCCGTATCAGAGTCAGAGCCAGTCGTACAGTCAGTACTATTGATAATGCGGCTGCTCGCCTGAGTGTAGGTGGAGGGTCGTTCCTTCAATTGATGTATGCTTTGGGACTTTTCTGCATTTCTCGTCCATCTGACGGCTCTTCGGCTCTGATGGCTGGGCGCTGTTGTCTCAAGGTAATGTCAGTCGTCGGTGTGCCGGCTTTTGTGTGCCGGCACTGGGGGAGCTGAGGACAAGGTCCCCTTGTAGGGACCAACTTGCGCAGCTCCGGCATCTTCTCAGCGATATCTCTTCTGACAGGCGCTCGAAAGTCGGACCTGCGCCACGAGCGACCTGGGCACTCCGCTCTTGACCGCCGCTGCAGGTATTCCCCCGCCATGCTACACGTTGCGCGACCTTACCTTGTATAGTGGTCAGTGTACAATAAGCGTGCCCTTTAGTATATAATGCCTGCAGAATCGCAGGCCACCTAACCTTCAGAGGACGCCCTCTGAATTCCACCGCTCGCACCAGCTTCATCGAACAACCCTTGCCTTCAGACTCAGATGCCTGTGAGTCTGACTCGTCACATTCACGCTATTCCTTGCTCATAGCGCCGTTCTCCCCCTTTTCTCTCTTCCTCGTTAGGTTTACGACTTCGACAATATCGACGAGTGGGATGCCGCTGGAAGTCAGGGTCCTGCCAACAAAGCACCGGCGAACATTAGGGCCCTCCGTACCAACCTTTTGCGCGTTGAATGGCTAGACATATCCATGCCTGCCGAGGACATGTATGTCAAGAATCATATGGTCTTTTCGGCGCTCATGGAGACGCCCATCGTAATTGGACGCAAGACGTATTTTGCCGCCCGCCTCTCCATGGAAGTGAACGACGAGGCCGACGCTAGTTACACGATCCCGGACGTAAACGACGTAAGTCGCTTTCTGGTTATACCCGGCATTTGGCTAACTCACGAATTTGGATAGATCCTGATCTGTTACGATGACTATGCGGCGGGCGCTTATACCATGAAGCTCCTCCAATATGCCGGACCAACCAACAGCGCTGCTCATGTAAGGAGCTACAGTCTCAAGCAAGGGACGACTCTGGGCGAACTGGTCGATGCCGTTGTGACCCAACGCATGCATAGGTTCCTGTTCTTCAGCTACACCCAAGCTGAATTCTGGAAGGGTTGCGGTCATCATCTGTACGTTCCTGCCATTCTCCTCGCCTGTTTTCGCCCTTGCCTAACCTGTTATGATGCAGTCTTCGCGTCTATACCCTTTATGTCGATCAGGGTATCATCTCCGATGAGCACTCCCGTGAAGAAGCAAGCAAGGACCTCTGCCATGAGCTGCTTACCACGTACCTGAGGGGCGACGACGGGACCACGAAGAGGGCTACCGTGAGGGTCGGGCGCGGGAGGTTCCTCAGCTGGGATGATACAACGCATCGGCTCATCGACGAAACGATCTGGAGCTCGGCGCCTCCACGCCACGCGGAGAAGCTGAAGAAATACGGCTTATACTGAGCTGCTTTTCCCAACGAAGTCGTCCACATAGTGTACATGTGAACACATTATGGTATCGGATAATTGTATGCTTGCCTTTATGATCATGTTTATGTCTCTCTTGCCGCGACTCTCGCTTCGCAGATGCGTAAAGTCAATTCAACTGTTCTATTTGGATTTTTGCGATCGCTGGAGAAGTACCCGCCCATCTGATATGCTTTGAGTGAGCACTGGGGCATGCCAAATGGTCGCTAGTATCCCAATCGGGCGATTATTGTCCCATTACTAGCGTCAACGCCGCATGTCGCAACGGAGGCAAAGGGACACGGCAAGTACCGGGAACCTGTTTCAGACCTATACTAGCGCTCTTCATCGCACTAAAAAACCCAGATGACTCTGTCTTCCTTTCACTCATCTTCCAACCTTCAGAGGACCCGCTCATTATCTCGTGACATCCGTGTACATGGCATCAAGCGCTTCTTTCGCCGCATGCGAGCAGGAAATCGTGGCTGCCTGCGCCCAGCACGAGCTCGCACATGCCCAAAAAATCGACTATAGACGATGCATCCCTTTCATCATCGACGACACCAGATATTTCGTCAAGTTTGGTGACACCTTGAGCTTCGCATCTGAAGCCGCTACGCAGAAGGAGCTTTCCAAGGCCGCTCGCAGTGACCAGGACGCGCCGCGCGTCCCAGCAATCCACCACATCTTCGCGCACGAGCATCTCACGTACGCTGTCATGGAGTTTGTCGAGACGGCAGAAGTCCCTATGGAGGCACTGGTACAAAAGGTAGCTGCGGCTGTGCTATGGCTGCGTCGTCAGCCAGCGCCTCCCGGTGTCGCGCTCGGCCCTTTGGGTGGCGGACGTGCTTGGCACCGGATATTCAAGGACAGCTGTGCGCCGCTACCTTTCACCAGCTCTGCCGCGTTAGAACGCTTCCTGAACAAGGTTCGTCCACTCGCTACGTGGCTTGCCCCTCCTGCTAAGTAGCCTGACACGTTCTCCGTAGGCCATCTCGAGTATCCGTCGCCGCCAGCCCAGTATCGCCGACATTAGCATTGCCGACGAACCACTAGTCCTTACCCAGTCCGACATGGACCCCAGCAATTTCGGTGTCGATACCGCCGGGCGACCGGTCATCTTCGACTTTGGCCAGATTGGATGGCTCCCTGAGTCCCTTGCAAATCACTCCCTGCTCGGGACGTCCCCCTTTGCCTCCGGTGTGTCCGCGGGTGTGCTGGGTGACGGCCTTCGCTCCGTGGTGGAATCGTCCAACGTGAAGTCGTTGGGTGCAGTCAGGGTGTTTCTGGGCACGACTTTCAGCCATGATCTTGGTCCGTTCGACAGTTTTTGTTCCTTCAGAATGCTAACGAGACACGCTCACAGGCCTGGATTGCAATGCGAATCCGAAGACGTAGGGTTCGAATGATTGGAATACAACTCAGTCTGAAAAATATGTCTAGCTGCGCAAGTTTGATTGATCGTTCTCCGCTTGTTATCCGGAGAGAAAATGCTGAGAGTGAAGACGGGCTTCAAAGTACAGCCTCTCTCTATCAAGTCCAAAAGACGGCCTTGCGTTGTCGAAATCATTAGATCGGCAGTTGCCGGATCCTCCTTCTGAATCGCCACCGGAGCCAGGCCCGGTGGGCCGTGGATCCTTCCTGTGCGCCACCGCGACCATCGACTAGTCCTGCGTAGGCCTGCCTCTGATCGTATGACAGAGAGAGCTCTCCGTCGCCCCCTCGGATCTTGAGACTACGTTGTGGCTAAACGCCCCACTCCATCATGTCTGGAAGCCCAGATTTGACCTCGTCTCGTACTTCCCCCACACCAACGACAGACGAGAAGGGCAAGGGCAAAGAACCGCCTAAGGACAACGTCCTCGTCGTCTTCATACACGGGTTCAAGGGCGATGACGAGACCTTCCAACACTTCCCCGACCGACTGCAGCACATCCTCTCTGAAGCCATCTCTGACGCGGTCGTTGACTGCGTGGTGTTCCCTCAATATGAGACGAAGGGGAATTTGGTGAGTGTCAGTGCTTGCTTGGAACGTATAGGAGAGCTGACGGTCAGGGAGACGGAAGCTGTGAACCGATTCTCGGAGTGGTTGACGACGAAGACGGTTGAGCGGGAAGTGTCTACGGGTGTGGGGGCGGGGAATGTGAAGATCGTGTTAGCTGGGCATAGGTGCGCAGCCGTCGTAATGTTGAAGAGAACAGCAGCTAACAATCTGCAGTATGGGCGGTATCCTCGCAGCGGACACCCTGCAAGAGTTCATCCAGACACGACCTGACACCTCTGCGCCCCTGTGGCCGAAGATCATTGCTGTGCTGGCATTCGACACACCTGTGCGTCACTGCCCCCTCCCCTTACCTCTTCCTACACACCCCTTTCCCCACCCGATGCTCATCTCCATCCCAGTACCTCGGCGTCCACCCCTTCGTCTTCAAGAACAGCGCGACGAAGGCCGTCGAATACGCCTCGACCGCAAAGACCCTCGGTAGCGCCCTCCTCGGCGGCTTCGCGGGCTTCGGATCCAAGAAACCCACCAACGACAAGTCCAAAGCACCTGCTGGCCTGATCACTGCTCCTGACACCGACAAGCAACCCAGCGACTCCAATAACCAATCGGGATGGGCGAAGTGGGCCGTGCCTGCGCTGTACGCGGTCGGCGGGGCGGTGGCAGCAGGTGCCGTGGCTGGCGGCGCATACTGGCGAAGAGACGACCTGAACCTGGGTCTGTCATGGGTGACGGACCACCTGAAGTATGTGGGCGAGCTATGGAACGAGAAGAGGATGAACGCGCGGGTGGAAGGGCTGGTCGACTTCGAGGAGCAGCACGGGGTGCTGTTCAAGACGTGCGTAATTATGCCCTCGCCTCCCTTTTGCATACTTAATTCCAAGTCTTCTTAGGTTCTACACCTTTCTTCCGCCCTCTCCACCCACCTACTTCTCCTCCCGCACCTTCGTCGTTCTCCCCAAACGCATCTCACGCGCCTACTCCCACTTCGCCCCCGCCAAAAACGAGCTCGCTGCAGATGAACTCGAAGCCCACACGGGCATGTTCAGCGGCGCGACGAACGACGGGTACTACGAGCTCGGACTGGAGACCGCGAAGTTCATCAGGCAGGCTGTATTCTTGCATCGCGGGGTCATGGTCGCCGGTGCGTCAGCTGCTGCACCAGCAACACCAAGCTCTGAGCAGCCGGGAGCATCGGATCCAATACCACAGGATCCGTCCACTGGCGAGGGCGACGCGGTCGCATTGCCGAAGCCACCCGAGGCTTGAGGCGAGCGCACGCCATGTACTTTATGACATCTTTTTCTGTATTTTATGTCTATTTTGGATACACTTGTACGTTCGATGTTCAGCGGGGCGTTAGCATCAGCTTCATCGCGTACGCGTCCTCGCCGTCCGCGTCTACCAGCGGCGCGATCAGCACGAGATGGGTTGGAGTATGAAGGGGATACGCACAGTATCCCTTCTCGATATCCTTGACCGTGAAGCCGAGAGTGTCACGGTAAAGGCCAAGGGCGGCGCGATTCGATTTTCGGACGTGCAGGGAGACGTAGGCGGCGCCGTATATTGAGGACATGGCTTCCTCTGTGTGATCGGTGGGGAAGGTTATGAAAAGGGACGGTGAAGAACAGGTCAGCTGCCGATCGGTCATTCCACCGTGATATGGGACGTACGAGATTGTATCATGAGCTTCTTCGCGAGTCCGAGCCGGCGGTAGGAGCGCAAGACGGAGATGGAAGTGACGTGCCCGTGAGGGTGCTCGCCCTCGGGGACGTCTTCTTCCCTGCGAAGTTATGTTAGATGCATGTTGTCGGGAATTGATTTTGTATGTGGGAGTTCAGTGTAGAGAAGGGGTTGTAAGAGATGATGCGCAAATGGGTGGGGGAGACTGAAGATGCAGCTGCGATCGGACGTACATCTTCGCGAGGATGTACCCCACGATGCGACCCTTGTGGTCTTCAGCCACATAGGACAGACCGGGCCAGGTCAAGCCATGGTAGAGGTCTGGACGAAGGGGAGGCTCAGTCTATGGGGCATGTGAAGGAAATCCGACACGCACAGTACTTCATCGTGTAGTTCTCGGGCAGATTCTGCAGATTGCAGGCCTGCATGCCCATCTCATCCTCGACCTGAGGGTATCATCAAGCACTTTTCACGCGAGAAAGGGCATTCCACGAACTCTGGCCGGTCTGATATTCATTTTGTGGGCGTCGTCGAGGAAGGCAAGAACTCGAGATCGAGGCAAGCCGAGGGAACCCGGCCCACCGGGCCGCTTCCGAGAACAATGGCGCACAACCCCCACCACTACGCTATCGTACTGAACAAGAGGAAATTTATTCAAGATATAAGGAAGGGCGTCCGTAGGCTATAGGGCGAGGTATCAGAGAGGTCGAAGGGAGTGTTGGAAAGATATTGAATATATATACGTCGTTATATCTAACTATCATCGCTGGTATCCCATGCCATATCCGCCTTGGAAGCCTCCGCCTACCCAGCCAGTGGGCTGAGCCATCATCGCTGCGAAAGTCGTCTGTAAGAGGGGAGGAGGGGAAGATGATGCAGGAAGGCTCACGTTGTTGTGGCCGCAGCGCATCGTACTTGCTCGCGTCCTGCGGCGCATTCTCGCTGGCGAAGGTACCCGACTTCATCTGCGCGAAAATGTTGGCCGGCGAGGTGTCCTTCTGCGGCGACTGCTGCTGCGGCAGTGGTGGTGGGGAGGCCATCCCGTTGTTGAAGTTGCCCATGCTCATGCCGGGATTGAAGCCAGTCGGATCTACAGGTCATCTGTTAGCTGTTGCCCAAAGTCCCTACGACTGATTCACTCACTCGTTTGCACACCACCACCGAAGCCACCGCCCTGGAAGGGACTCCCACCCATCGGCATCCCCGTCGGCTGCGCCATCATCGGTTGCTGCTGCTGCATTCCAGGGAAGCCCGTCGCCTGGGGTTGTAACCCCGGGAATCCAGTTGGCTGGCTCTGCATCCCCGGGAAGCCTGTAGGCTGGCTCTGCATTGGCTGGAATCCTGTTGGCTGCGGCTGCATGGGTTGGAAGCCCGTCGGTTGGCTCGCGAGGAACTGCGACGCTGGCACACCGCCCGCGAACGGCGAACCTTGCAGCGCGGACGTCGGCCGCGTTGGGACGAAGCTGTTGTACCCGGTCTGCGTTGGAATGAGAGGCTGCAAGAGGCCTTGATTGGCGGGTACGGGGGCGAAGGGACCACGTGGGCCGTTGTAGGGGACGGCGGTGTTCTGAGGTTGCAGTTGACCAATGGGCGATGGCGAGGAACCCATGCCCATTCCCTGTTGGTAGCCGGTAGGCTGCGCTGCGATGGGCGGCGTAGGAGCAACGGCTGGTGGAGGCGTCGCAGCAGCCGGGCTCTGCGTCTTCCGCAGCTCGCTGAGGCGCGCCAACTGGTCGAAGATATCGGACTCGGTCTTGTTCGCCAGGTTGGCAGCAGGCTGTGCAGGTGCAGGGGCGGGCGCAGCGACAGGTGGCGCTGGGACCGGAGGTGGTGCTGGTGCCGGAGGCGGGGCGGTAGCGGGCGTCGATGTCGGAGGTGCAGAGGGCGTCCTATCCGCCACGGTAGAGCTTGGCCTGACAGTCCAGGCATCGTCGTCGAAGCCGCTGGGCTGAGTCGCTGGAGCAGCACTTGCTCCGGCGGAGCTCGTCCTCGGCGGCGCCGACACGGGCGACGTAGTCTGCGCTGGGCTGCCAACGCGCGCCGAAGCGGCCGCGATCCCATCCGCACCCACAAACGTCGGCGGCAACGTCTTGCTGGGCTCGGGGCGACCACGACGCGGTGGCTTCGCGGGGTTCTTCAGCGCGCCTCCCGGTCCACTGAACAGGTTGGGCGCCGGCTTGCGGCCCTGCTGCTCTTCCTCCTGCAGCCTACGCGCGAGCTCCTCGTCCTTGCGCATCTGCTCCTCCAAGGCTGCACTGGGCTTCTCGACCTTCGGCTTGCGCTGGTCAATAAGCTTCTTGACGCGGATGATATCGCCCTCGCGCAAGCCCAGCGAACGCATCGTGCTCTCCGTGATGTCTGGCAGGATTGCCTCGTCGATCTTGTCACGCTCGAACGACGCGGCGTAGCGAGTGCAGTCATCGATGTCGCACCCTGCGCTGAGGAAGAATTCGAACCAGTCGACGCGGGGCTTCTTAGGCTGCTGAGGTGGCGGGACCGATGCACGCTTAGGAGCCGTCATCGCGAGCGGGACGTCGTCATCGTCGTTGGGTCCTGGCGGGCCGCGCGACTTGCGGTTGTTCCCGCGCGTGAGCTTCTCGACGTAGCGCACGTCCTCGGCGCTCATCTTCTCCTGGGGGACCTCAACGATAACACCGTTGACTTTGTGCAAGCGGAATTTGCCATTGTTGACACCCAGGAAAGCAGCCTCGACGCGGAATTGGCCAGTGCGATCGTGCCATATTCTGGTCTGATCCGGCGGTGGGCCTGTTGTAAGATATGTCAACGATATGCCTTCTCATGCAGGAGAATGTTGAACATACGTTCACGCTCAGCAGATGGGCGAGCGGCAGCAGAAGAGGGTCTCGGAACACGTTCATTACTATCGCTGTCGTCAATTTAGCGAAAGAGTCGAGAGAAATAGGAACACCGTACGGTTGTGTCTTCTTGTGCGCATCGCGCGCTTCATGACGCTTTCGCCTCTCCTCCTCGGCCTTCTGCGCCGCTTGTTCTGCCCGCCGCTGTGCTTCCTCCTTCCGCTTGAGCTCACGCTCTCGCTCCTCGAGCTGCCTCTCTTTCTCCCTTATCCGGTCCTTCTCTGCCTGCTCTGCAGCGGCGTCCTTGGCGGAGGTCTCCTCCTCCTCCTCGTCATCGTCCTCGACGGCGGAGCCTGAGAGGGCAGCAGACCCAGTAGCGACCTACAAGACAAGGGTCAGAATTGTGACGGACAGATTCAGAAGTTCGCGTCACCTCGAGGTAGCTAGCGGGCACGACACCCTCAGCTCCCTTGGCGTTACGGCACTTCCACCACTCATCGCCATCCTTCTCAATGATTGTCAGCTTCTCGCCAGCAGCGACAGACAGTTCGTCCTCTCCGTCTGCCTCGAAGTCATACAAGGCAGTAGCGGGCTCTCCGCCAGCGCCATTGACGTGACCGTCCTCGTCTTCGTCGTCGGATGCCTCTTCTCGTGGGGGAATGACCTGAGGCGACAAAGGTGAGAAGTGGACCGAGGGCTTCCTGTTGCCAGAAGAGCCACCGAGTCCGAGGGAAGCTGGGGGAACCGCGCGCGTTGGCTTTGGTGCTTCTTCCTCTGCCTCTTCCTCCTCTTTGCCACCGGCTTCGGCTTCCGTAGCAATAGCACGGGACGTCTCGAGCTTGTCGATGATCTCATCGGCAGTATCCTTAGAGCCGGCATGGAAGTGAAGGCTGACTGGCTCGTCGCCGGCGATGTCAAGGTGTATGTGCTTGGACTTTTCTGTGGATATGTGCGTGATGTGAGAGGTTGGCCACTTCTTGACTGGGGTCTGCAAAGGCATGAGCCGTGAAAAGATTGCACATCATCTATACGCACCTTGTCGGATTCGCTGGCAAAGAACACGGCACCGTTGCCGACTCCAAGCGTGCCCTTCTTCTTCTTGTTCTTAGAGTCGACTTCAGAGATGGCCCATGTCTTGATAGCGTCTGCTTTGGCGGCCGACTCTGCCTTGGTGGACGCGACACGCTCTTCAGGGTCCACATACGCGGGCTTGGGCGGCTGGATTGCACGCTGTAAGCAGGAAGTGAAGAGGGAGTATAGGACGCACTGAATCGGGTACGATGATGGCAGGCGCCGGGGCCGGGGGAGGGGGAGTAGCCACGGGCTCGGCTTCAGCTTCGGCATCGTCACTCGCAGCTTCAACGTAGTTCGCGGGAATATATCCGGCCTTTCCGCCATCTCGTCTCGTCTGGGCGAGGAGCCAGTCGTCCGCCGTCGAGAACACGTCAAGGATTTCATCCTCCTTGATTGAGAGCTCCCCTGGCGCACTCGCTTCGTAGTCGTAAAGCGCCTTGACTACTGACGTGCGGTCGGCCTGTCCGGGAATGAGCGGAGGTGCTGCAGGCACGGTGTACGTCTACTCACCGGCTCGACGTACGCGGCGGGCACCATGCCGCTCGGGGTCTCATCGTCGTCCGCAGACTCGCCCTTCACCTTGATCTTCCACCAGCTACGCCGCGCGTGAGATTGGGGCGGCACGACTGTAGATCAACTTACTCGTCATCGACGCGCTGGAGGAGCAGGAGGAGCTGGTTCTCCTTGATGGTGCACTCGTCGGGTTCCGTCGCATCGTAGTCGTATGTCGCTTTGAGGACGGCGAGATATTCCTCGAGCTCGTCGGGCATGATGATGGCGGGCAGTGAGGCGCTTCGGATTCTCGGAATCAACGCGTGGATAAGACGACTTCCTGATTTGGCAACGCTCTGCTCGTCGTCGCTGACGTCGGCGCCGTCGTCGTTGAAAGCGGCGAAAAGAGGAATAGAAGTGCAGAGGGAATATCGAGGAAAGTCGGGACCAGGCTCCCTCTAAAATTGAGCAGTACTTTATCGCTTCTCGCAAGCTCCCGATCCCCCGCGATCTCATTTTACGCTCTCGCTCCCGACCACCATGAGCAGACTCAACGCCGGCGCCTTTGAGTTCGTCCCAGGCAGGGGATTCATCGTCCCCCAGGCTGCTCAGCCGCAGCAGCCGCCACCCCCACCCATCCAGCGTCCAGAGCAGACGTCCGCGCCCGCGCCACCTCCAACGATATCCCTCAACATCGGCGGCTCCAAGCCTGCTGCTCCCCCTACACCCAAGCCCGATGAAAAGCCCGCCGTCGTCTCGCTGAACATTGGCGGCTCTAAGCCTGCGGCGCCCCCTGCCGCTAAGCCAGCAGCACCGGCCGCACCACCGGCGGCGAAGGCGCCTACACCCGTGCCTGCGCCTGCTGCTGGCGTGTCTACCACGAAGGCAACCGACTCTGGCTCCACCACCCCAAAAAAGAGCGCGTCACCCGCACCATCTTCTGGGCCCTCGAAGACGTTTACTACGGACAAGGCTAAGATGGACACGCATGCGATCGCTCAGGAAGTCAAGGCCGTCGCCGATCAGCATGTTCTTGAGGACCTTTACGGCCAGTGTGAGTAATTACCTGTCTGTATCAATCATCGCTAATCTATCTTCAGCCAAGGAGCACCTCAACATCGTGTTCATTGGTCACGTCGATGCCGGCAAGAGTACATTAGGCGGCAACCTGCTGTACATGACCGGGATGGTGGACAAGCGTACGATGGAGAAGTATGAGAAGGAGGCGAAGGATGCCGGTCGTGAGACCTGGTACCTGTCTTGGGCGCTCGACTCCACACCTCAGGAGCGCTCTAAGGGCAAGACGGTCGAGGTTGGTCGTGCGTACTTCGAGACCGACGCACGACGCTACACCATCCTCGACGCGCCTGGTCACAAGACCTATGTGCCATCCATGATCTCTGGCGCAGCGCAGGCCGACGTCGCCATACTCGTCATCTCGGCTCGCAAAGGCGAGTTCGAGACTGGTTTTGAGCGCGGTGGTCAGACGCGCGAGCACATCATGTTGGTGAAGACTGCAGGTGTCACCAAGGTCATCATCGCCGTCAACAAGATGGACGATCCGACGGTCAATTGGGACGAGGCGCGCTATAAGGAGATCAAGGACAAGATCACTCCCTTCGTCAAGGCGGCCGGCTTCAACCCCAAGACGGACGTGACCTTCATCCCTGTCTCCGCTTACACCGGCGTTAACCTGAAGGAGCGCGTCGACAAGAAGACTGCACCCTGGTGGGACGGCCCGTCGTTCCTGGAGCACCTCGACCATATGCCGATGGTTGACCGCAAAATCAACGCCCCCCTCATGATGCCCGTCTCGGAGAAGTACAAGGACATGGGCACGATTGTCGTCGGCAAGGTCGAGTCGGGCGTCGTTCGCAAGGGCGATCAGCTCCTGCTCATGCCGAACAAGGACCTCGTCGAAGTCTCCGCTATCTACAACGAGATGGAGGACGAGGTTACGTCCGGCTTCTGTGGCGACAACGTCCGCATCCGGTTGCGCGGTGTCGACGACGAGGACATCAGCCCTGGCTTCGTGCTGACGAGCCCGAACAAGCCTGTGCATGCAGTTCGCCAGTTCGAGGCGCAGCTAGCTATTCTCGAGCACAAGAGCATCATCTGCGCTGGTTACTCCGCGGTGATGCACGTCCACACGCTCTCCGAGGAAGTCACGCTGGCAGCTCTACTACACTACTTCGACAAGGCGACTGGGCGCAAGTCGAAGAAGCCACCTCAGTTCGCGAAGAAGGGTAAGCGGGAGCGTCTTCCTCTGGTCTTCTCTTATTGACAACCTCGTAGGTCAAAAGATCGTTGCACTCATTGAGACGACTGCACCTGTTTGCGTGGAGAAGTTCTCAGATTATCCGCAACTCGGTCGCTTCACACTTCGTGACGAAGGCTAGTATCTCGCCCTGTCTGCTCTGCCTGCGCTGACGAACATCATACAGGACGAACGATCGCCATCGGCAAGATCACCAAGCTCATAGAGAACTATGTTGGCGAGGTCACAGATGCTGTGGGCAACCTGACCATTGCTGGTCAGGCTGCTGCGAACGCCCCGGCGTAAAGGCCGTCGATGAGTCCTTGACTAATTGTATACTGAACGTCAGGCTGAACTGATGTTGTAATTGTCACTGTATACTCTGTACCATCGAACGACGCTATACGCTGCTCGCATTCAAGAAGAGTCTTGGATATATATTGCTGAACGCCTGATGCGCTTTTCTTTCCCACTCAAATGCGACGCCAACTCCGGCAAGTCCCGAGCCAGGTCGAACCGCATTCGGCATCACTGAATCAGCGCGATAACGACCACGATGACCTTAGCCGAGATAGAGCCCTTGTCTTCTCGACACGTCCGTCATCATACGCTGCGACTCTTGCACAACACGAGGCATGTCGTACAAGCTGTTTTGCATGGGGGATCCACTCCTCGACGTTCAGGTCCATGACAACGACCTGCTCACCCGTTATGACCTGCAACCGAACGGTGCCATCCTAGCTGAGAAGAAGCATATGCCATTGTAAATCTTTTTAGGCATAATCGGTACGAAGGGATGTTCACCCTCTCAGATACGACGAGATTGCGAAGCATCCAAATGCTAGATACCTTGCTGGCGGGGGCGCGCAGACGGCGGCGCGAGGGGCTGCAGTAAGCACGTTCGGTCAATCCTGATGGATACTGTGACTAACATGATATGCAGTACTGCCTCCCTCCCAAGTCAGTGGTGTATACGGGATGCGTTGGTGGCGACGAATGGGCAGATATACTAAGGACCGCTGACGCCCAAGACGGCCTCGACGAAGTCTTCCTGGTCAGGCCGGAGGAAAAGACAGGCGCCTGCGCTGTCGTCATCACAGACCACCATAGGTGAGGATCTGCTTTTGCATATTCGCAAGTGACAGAATCTCAGGCGTGTAATGCAAGGTCGCTCGTAACGGTCCACCGGGCTGCGCGTTTGTTCCACGTCTCTCATCTCACATCGCCATCTATCGCACCTCTCGTTGCTGCCGCGCAGGTATTCTATGTTGAGGCCTTCTTCCTCAATCACGGCTTGGAATCCGTAATGCACCTCGCCACGCATGCGTCCTCGGCTGGAAAGACTTTCGCTCTCAACATCGCCGCGCCCTATATACCCGCAAAGCTCGGCGACCGTTTGGCACAGGTCCTTCCCCATTGCGACATTGTCATCGCCAACGAGGCGGAGGCCGAGTCCTGGGCGATCGCGAATAACCTGCCGGACCCGACTGACCTCCCGGCGGTCGGCCGCGCCCTCGCAACGGTGCTCAAGGTCAATCCTGCCCGTCCTCGGTTAGCTGTCTTCACGCACGGCGCCAAGCAGACTGTTGTAGTCAGCTCGGATGCGCCAGACAAGCCGAAGATTTTCCCGGTCCCACCCCTCCGGGACGAGGATATCGTGGACACCAACGGCGCCGGAGACGCCTTTGCGGGCGGCTTCCTCGCTGGCTACGTCCTTGGAAAGAGCCTGGAGGAGTGCATCGCGGCAGGGCACAAACTTGCTAGCGTCAGCATCGGTCAGGTTCGCGTGTTGTATAATCAGACCATGTTCGCAATGCTCACCTGTTTACAGGCGGGGCCACGATTCCGCTATCCCAAAGTTCGTATATTCTGAAGCTGCTTTATCCAGTAATAATCGCATGATACAATGCCCTGCTGGTTTCTGTGAAGACGCAGTGATACTAGGAAGTAGCTTCGCGTGCAGGGCTCATCAGTAAGCCTTGTCCGTTATTATTCTACGTCCGAAGTCAGATACGACGGTACGAAAGTCCTTGGTGACGATAAATACTTTACAACACTACTCTTTTGCTTACATAGTACGGTCAACTTTGCACCACTCCATCACTCGCCGATATCGGCAAGCTTGTCTGGAAATCCACCAAGGCCGCCACCGTTCGTCCAGCGCATACGCGTGCATACTCCCGCGACCGTCTCATGCGAGACGAAGCCGCAATGACTTCAGAGAAGACCTCCGGCCTGTTGCCCCAACCACGCCCGCACTCCACTGAGAATGAGTTGAGCTCGGGTAGAAGTGGCGACGTGCCCTCGAAGTAAGTCAGCCTGTCCAACACTTCGACTAGACGCCCGGCTTCGTCTGGGTCCCGATTCTCATCGTGTAGGACTAGGTGATGAAGGACATCCATGAGGCACTGCAAGAGTGTGTCCGTTCCAGCAATGTCGAGATCCATCGGGTCATACAGCCTGAAAGACCGTATGGGGGTTGCGAGCGGCATAGGAGGCTGAGGAGCGATACCGCTGGGTCCTCGTACCTATGACGGTAGTTGCTGATGTCAAGCGTTGCAAGAACAGGTGCAGTGACGAGCAAGAGCAGTCTGTGAGCACAATGGTCGGTAGTCACAGTGTGCAGGACGGGCATGTCGCATGCGACGGCGGGAACGGTCTCCTCCCAGTCGGTCCAGTCAGCTAGTACATTAATCACCTGTAGCGTGCGTGCAAGATGCGAGAGTGCTGGAAGGAATACGCAGATGGGAAGTTCTTTGCTGATGCAGAGCGTCAACTGCGTTAAGCAATCGAAGCTGAGAGGAGTGGTTATAGGAAAGACAAGGTCATTGGTGATGTCTGCTTCTGTGCAGGGATAAGACACTGTAACATCCAATTCGCGCAGAGCAGGGGCGCGAGCTAGGAAGCTGAGCGAGTCGCAGGACTTTTCGTCGAGCAAGGTAATATCGGCGGCCACCAGGGATGAGAATTCGTGGGTACGCAGACTTGATAACAAGCTCCCATCGCCTTCGATTCTTATGCTCTCCACACGTGTAGTGAGCGTGTCTGAAAGATCGTTCAGGAGCTGTAAATTTGAGCGCCCCCAGTAGTCGGTCTCCAGATGAAGCGGAAGGTTGCCTGATAGCTGCAGTTGCAAGGATAGGAATGGATCGGCGATGTCTTCAATATAGGCCAAGTCTATGGTGTTCCATAGCATCGGCATGCTCATGGCGATAGTGCGCCACTTCGTGCAGACGTGGCATAATATGCAGACGATGTAGTCGATCTTCTCGTAGCCTCTATAGCTTGATATGGTCATGAAGACCTCTCCAAGGATTTCCGGAGGAAGAGTATTGACAGGGGCTAGTAGTGACATTTCGTGGGCGATGTCCTGACGGCGTGCTATGAGCCGCTGCATTTCGGCGTCGATAGCTGTCTGTTCCGCCTGCAGCTGATCCCACCGTTCTCGCTTCGAGACTGGTTCCGTCATAGCACCTATTCTTCGAGAGTGTACTGTGCGTGGATGCTTGAAGGTAGTGAACGTTGGGGCTAGAAGTGGTGATCATATTTGGAATGTCTTAATGCCCTCCCGTGCTTCACGTGATTGATACAAGCAAGGACCCACAAGAGTCGCTGCTCAACTTGCCTCAAGTACTTGAGGAAGGACGACGACAGCTTACGCAGCACACCTTCGGCGCGATGAAGGCGCTGTGACCCGACTAGTAGCGCCTTGGGTCATCGCCTCCGTAGAGGCAGCTTGAGATGGCAGGAGCTGACCTTAGGACACAAAATGTACTCTTCATTGTATACTTACATACAGTCTATGCGACTATGTCTTGTTATATGATTCTGATGTTCGACTTGCTCACAACGAGTGGTAGGTGTGTAAATGACAGGGTGCGGTGTGCCATTGCAAGATTTCGAGCTCTTTATCTGTGACAATGAATGCGGAACGACCAAAAAAAGTAGCATACTGAGTCTGTAGGGGGCTTCAACTTCAGCGAACATCCGTCGTCAACTCCCGAAGTACCGCCACAGCGCGTCCTGCGCATACACGGGGGTCCTGTCGCGAACGAAGCAGCCGCTTGATCGCCGTCTCGACCGCCGGACCTGCAGGCATCCCATCCATCGAATCAGGCAGGAATTGCATGAAGAGCGACTCGAGTTCCGGCAGCAGCGGCGGCTTGTTCTTCACGCACACCAGCGCCTCCATTAGCTCCATCATATACGGTGCCTGCTCCAGACATAGCCTGCGGATGTGCGGCATGCGCTTGAAGCAGCGCAGGATAGTGTCCAAGCTCGTGTCCACCGGCTCCATCAGCTTGAACTCGCGGATGGGCAGCTCGTTCGAGCGCTCGAGGAGGTTCAGGAGGGACGCCATCGGGTCTCCGCTCGCGAACTCCAGCCCGCCGACGATGACCTCCTCCAGAGCGGGAGCAGTGATGTGGGTGAGGAGTTTGTGCGTGTACATGTCGAGGATGAGATGGCGCAGCGCGGGGAGGTCATAGATGGTGGTCGCAGCCTTCTCCGGCCACATGAGGGGGCAGTTTGCCGTCATCTGGAAGTCGTATAGCGAGGGTGCGAAACGCGAGATCGCGGGGAAGAGTGTAGAGATGGGAAGTCCATTGTGAATGAAGATCGACAGGTGGGTGAGATTGGCGAAACTGAGCACTTTGAGATCAGGGAAACTGGTGTTTCTCTCCACCTGTCGGTCCGAGCAAAGATACTGCGTAGTGAGCCACAGACGGGTCACCGCAGGCGCGTGCGCCAAGAAGTCGAGCGCGCGCCCATCATATATGCGGGAGAGGATGACTTCGACAGAGGCAAGGGTGGGAAGCTCACGGGCAGGTACGTCCCGGAGGGTAATACCATCCCCTTCGACTTTGATGTCTGCTATGCGCGCAGCATCCGCGCTCGACAGCCCACTGAGGACGGCCCGGACATTCCGCGCTTTATGACCGCGGCTGACTATCTTCAGCGGAGCCGTGCCCGAGAGTTCCAGCTGCAGACGCAAGACCGGGTCGTCCATGCCCTTGATGTAGTCCAGGTCTAGCAGCGACCACAGGGCCGGAGTGCAGCGCGCGACCGCCCGCCAGTACGAGCAGACCTGGCACGGCACTTGAAGAACATACCAGATCAGCGCGCCTGCTCTGTCGAGGTTCAAGCCCGCGACGACGATCATGAAGACTTCGGCGAGGAGCTCTGGCGGTAGGGAGTTTATCAAGGGAAGCGACGACAGCTCGCGAGTTATCTGGCCATGCCGAATTCGGAGGCGCTGGATTTCGGCGAGGATCGCGTGCTGTTCATCGCGCAGCTGTTTTGCGCGCGCCAGCATTGACACTGTGCCACTCATTGAGGTAGACTTGCGATGGAATGTTAACGTTTTGAAAGGCTTGGTCTGAGCTCGGCTGGAGCGTAGCGATGTTGGCAGGAGGAGAAGCAGGGCTGCCCTGAGGGCTGCTTTCAACAGAGGTCGCGTGGCTCACGCGCGCGAAGGAGCGAAACTGATGGAATTATTCGAATTATTGAATACTAGAGGAAGCTCCGGCTCCGCCGGCTTCAACCTTGCCTTGAGGCTCAGGCTGCGACCGTGGGCTGGGCTTGGGCACTGGACTCTCGTTGTGCGCGTGTGGCGCGCGTGACTTGACGGTTGTTGTCCAACAGCACCGTACAAATTGATGGGGTCAATTAAGGGCGGGAGAGACCTTGCAAGGCAAGGTAATCTTCGCCGACACGCGCCGTGACGTAGAACATATGTAGTAGCTTGTACGTATACAGGATAAGGACCTTGTACTACAACGACATGGTTAAGGTGAGGTTCCGGAATCATGGCGCCCTAAAAAGACATGTTCGCAAGGTCCTGCATGTTTGCCTCGAAATCCTCCATCACTGCCACAGCGCGCCCCGCGCATGTCCGAGGCTGGGCGCGCGATCTTCTCAGTCTGATGACTAATTCTATGAGCTCGCTTGGTGCGGTCTTCATGAGCTTTTTGCCTCGCATATGCAGGCAGAGCGGCTTGAGCTCGGGAAGGACGGGCAACCGATCTTCAGAGCAAGCGAGTCGATCTAGTACGTGCAGCATGCGCGTTAGTTTCTTTGCCTTGCTTGACGCATTCTCTAGTTTCATGCGACGAAGGCCCTCCATACGTTCGAGGCAGCCAAGTAGCATATCCGCACTCCCGTTCATTGGATCCTGTAGTTCGAACGAACGGTTGGGAGCCTGTGATCGCCAAAGGAGATCCAAAAGAGACTCCGTAGGGTCTCCTTCGCACAAAAAAACACCAACGAGGGTGACGGTCGCGAGTCGGGGAGCCGTGATGTATAGCAGCAGCTTGTGCATGTCCATCTTGAGTACTATCGTTCGCAGACAGGGCATTTCGAACGGGCAGATGATGTGTGCCTTCTCTTTCCAGTATGCAGTTGCATTGAATATCGCCAGTTCCAGCGTCTGTAGCGTAGGGGAAAGTAGCGAGATGGCCGGCAAAAAGACGAAAACCGGCAGGCGATTGTCAGCGCGAAGCGTAAGATGGATGAGACACAGCGAGGGCTGGAGAAAGGGCAAGACAGGGACAGCAAGGCCGCTTTCAACGTCCTCGTTTGTGCAGCGGTATACCAGTCCGATGTTTAGACGACGGAGAGCAGGCGTATTCGTCAGAAATTTGAGTGCCTTGGTTGTGAGTGGCGCGCGGCGTACGTCGGCAATATCGATATACACAGTAGAAAGAGCCGGTAGATGACGCAGCCGCCACCCTGCCGAAGTGGCGGCTTTGAGTTGTGAGCGCGATTTCTGCCACTCGCGTAGCGTATATGTCGAGGATGCTATTGGGGACCTTGGCCTCAAGCGCAGTCCCGATCACTTTGAGGTTATGGGTACGCGATAGCCGAAGTTGTAGCTGAAGAAGCGGATCGTCCAGGCCTGTGATGTAGTCCAAGTCTATCCACGTCCACAGCAGCGGCATGCCCTGAGCAGTGACGGGCCAAGTCGTGCAAACATGGCAGACAATACACGCGACAAACTTCAATGCCCACTCCCTGATGTTTGTCCTCGGCGATTCAAGGGCATGCATGAATACTTCTCCAAGAAGTTCGGTGGGAAGTCTATTGATCCAAGCGAGCGACGACAACTCGCGGAGGATGTTCTGGCGTCGACTGGTCAGTCGCAGGATATCGGCATCGACCCTTTCCTGCTCGGACCGCAATTGCTGCGTACGTCTCGCGATAGATGACGCGTCTCTCATCGATGCGCGTCCCCTGTGCTGGCGATGCTGGTGCTGCTTTAGCGCGTGTGGTGGAGATAGCGGTGATGGTGGTGGCCGAGAACAAAGGCAGCATCTACATTTGGTAGGCGCTTCTTGTTCCATCACGGCCACACGCTCGCGCCGAGGTAGCCTCTGTACCCCACCCCAACTGCCGCTCTCTTGATGTCTGTAGCTGAGGCGCCTGGTAAGCGTAAGGACTGAGCTCTGTATTCGACAAACCCTGACGCGGAATTGTCAGGGACGCCCAGAAGCAGCGGGCGGATATTCAGTATGCTCCCACATATATGGCCGGAAGGTTGCTCACCCTCAGTCAGACGCGGGTCGCGCCAAAGACTATGTCGAACTTCACGACCAGGTTCAGGTAGGTATGGCTGCTCTGTTGCCCTCATCAAGCTGCCGCTGAATACGGGAACAGACGAGCGTGAACCTGCTGGACTCGCTCGAGTCCTTCCTGTCGACGTTCCAGAAAGACCTTTCCGCCGTGTCGGGGCAAATATCGGAGCTGCAGGATAGGAGCAAGGATATCGAGAATCGGTTGAAGAGTCGGAGGGTGCGTCATGACATGCAGAGGCACGAACACAGCTGACACTACGACGCAGAGGATAGAGAAACCTCTGTCCAACCTCGTTTCCGATATCATCATACCCCCACCCCTCGCTACTCTTATACTCGATACCCAGCCTGGGGAGCCATGGATACCGGCTATCGAAGACTTTGAGCGCCGATTGGTGACCTCGAGGGCCCGCACGCGCGTCAAAGCTGCGAGGGATCTCGGGGATGTTATGGAGGGATTGAAGATTGCCGTGCGTGTCCATCTCCATCCCAGCTCTCATAACTCCTGACCACGTCCTAGGCGGCCACCAAACTGCGCGCTTTCTTCCTATCCATGTTCCACCCTATTCGTAGCAGCGTCACCACCAATATGCAAGTCATCCAAACCTCGGTCCTGCTGAAGTACAAACCGCTGTTCGGCTTCCTGCAACGACAAGTCCACGACGTGGCCAACGAGCTGCAACGGGCGTACGTGGGCGCCGCTAGGGTCTACTACGAGACCGGGTTTCGGCGATATGCTCGCAGCTTGGGATGGGTGAAGGTACGGCGAAGTCTTTGTGCTCGCGAAAGGCGATGTTGACGGGTAACACAGGCCAGGAAAGTCGAGAAATCCGAACTCATTACGAGCGAAACGAACAAGGAAGCAGACTTGGAATCGAAGCGGCTCACTTACGCTAAGATTGACGGGCCTGGCGTCACGTTGGCGTACATGGCTGACGACAAGACCTTTGTATGGTGCTCTTAGCTTCATAGTTCGCCGTCCAAACAACCTTCATCTAGGTAGAACCGCTGGAAGCACTCTTCCGCTCCCTGCTCTTGGTTTTCATGGACAACGCCACCGCCGAATATACCTTCATCTCGTCCTTCTTCATCAACGAGCCTTTGCAAACAGTCACCTCCTCGGATAGCAGCAGCCTCTTTTCGCCGACTTTGCTCTCGCCGACGCAAGAGAACCCCTCATTCGGCGGGTCAGAGTTGGGCGAAAAGCGGAGGACGGCCAGCGTCTCCAGCTTCAACATGACCGCGCCGTCGTTCGCGACGGCGATGAAGGAAGATCAGGCTGCGGCGGACTCCATCTGGAAGCAGGTCATGGATCCGGTGCTCGAGTACTGCCAGGCTAGTCAGTCCTGCGTGCGCATGTTCAGACCGTCCTGATGTCGTACTTCGCAGACCTTCGTCAAGGGCGCACTGGAGCCTATGCCACCCGTCGTGCCGCTGTTGACGATGATCCGCTTGACTGAGGACGTTGTCGCCGAAGTGCAAAAACGCGGCTGCCCTCCCGTCGAGTCCTACATCTTCACCCTCCGCCTGCAGCTGTGGCCCGCATTCCAGAAGGCGATGTCCGACCACGTTGATGCGCTGAAGAAGCTCGCGGAGGGCGCGAGCGCTGGCTACTTCAGTCGCGCCGCGACAATTACGGAGGATACGTTGACCGCGGTGGGTTGATCTTGTCCGCAATTTTCGAAGGGTTCGTGCTCACAGGGGTGCGCAGATCAGCAGACGTTACGTTTCCTTGTTCACATCGTTCGTGACCTTGACGGAGCAGGAGGAAGAGGCCATGATCTTTTCCAAGTAGGTGCTGCGTGTTAGCTCCACGGCCTGCCAACTGAGCGTTCTCTTAGTTTGCTGCGCCTTCGTCAAGAACTCAGCAAGTTGATCCTGCGTTATGCGTCGAAAATTAGCGATCCCGTAGCCATGAACACAGCGCTGGCAAGAGTATACGACAATCTTTTGCGAGGCCTGAGTGTGAGTACAATCTCTACACATCTCGTCCGATGAGTTCTCACTGGCACGTAGGCCGGCACGCATGCTACTGCACATCCGAAGACGCAGCAAGAGATCGCATACTGGTCCAATTTGGAAGAGGACGCACGTAGGAAGATCGTTTCAGCGAGCCAGACACGCCGGCCAAGATAGCCTATTCGCGATGCCCTGTTTATCTTCGTTCTCGTATGCGCACTGTGCACGTCGGACCATGATGCTTCGAAGGCGCCAACTTGCACTGAAGAGCGGTGATCGCACGGAAGCCGCGATGTCAAGGTTCGTGTATAGATGAGTCACGGGCAAAGTACGTTGCGGAAGTTATTGCCTGGTAATAAACGGTGGTTCGAGGTCGGCAAGATCACAGCGTGTGACCTATGATTCCCGTTTTGGGCATCCTTGTTCATTGTGCCAAATGGGGAAGCGCCTTTATACCTGTTCGCGGAACCGGGCGTTGCTGACTCGTGTATGACGGTTTCCATGAGGCGGGCCTCATTGCCTCCGCTACTTATACCCTGACGGTCACTAGCTCGCGGGCGCCTTTGTCTCTTCCTCTCTTCCTCCGACGATCGCTCAGGTGCGTGGCCACGTTCTGCACCCATCGCTCTCACTGATGGCTCTTCAGGGACCTCAAGCATGACGAGCAATGGTTTAGCGAACGCGCAAGGCTCAGGACACGTCCTTCCGAGCGGGAGAAGGCGCCCCATGTGCTCAAAGTGCGGCACGCCCATGCTCGGTCACAAGAACGGACGCAAGGTCGAGGAGGGTATCCTCATCTGCCCCCCAGGGGACGACGTGAAGGAGGAAGACGTGAAGCCAGTCATCCCGTCCGATGTGCCACTCGACCTCAAGACCTCCTACCCTGGTCACCTCCAAGCAAGGACGTACCACAGCGCACCCCCTTCACCCGATAGAGCAGCGGAGGCATCCTCTCGAGGCCGCAGATCCAGCGCGCTCGAGCTCAAGGATCACCGCGGCTTTCTCCGCACGCGCCTCACCCTGCCTCAGGACTATGTTCTCGACCTCCAGAAGCGACCCTGGGAGATGGGGTCCCCCGCGCAGCGGACCATCGCCGAGAACGACAAGCTCATCAGCGTACTGGACGACGTCGCGCGGCACGGTGGCGTGTACATCATGCCGTACAATCTCCAGACCGTGCAGATCACCTCCGTGCGCGACCTCGCGGCAAAGATGGGGCTGTTCACGCGGCTGGAGGCGGTACCGCCCGCGTACGTTGAGGATGGGAAGAGCATGTTCGTGATCGTTGGGGACAGGAAGGAGCAGGTGTTCGCCAAGGACGTGGTGGATCGGCATCTCCGGCTATGGGACAAGAATGAGATGCCGGGCAGCATCTCGAAGCATCGCATGTTAGAGGAGAAGCAGGTGGCTCGGCCTCGTCATGCTCGACCGGCGTTGGTGGTGGATAGGTTCTTCAACGTCCTTCTTTTCTTGTTTCTCGTGTTCCTCTTTGGTGCGGTGTTTGAGTTCTACCTCCTTGCTTCTGCTTGACCTCCTAATCCTCGATACGATCTTGTCCAACTATCACTCCTTTCTCGATTCATGTCATGGACATGCGTTGCTTCTTTCTCTCATTATAACCCCACCGCCTTCCTCACTACGTTTTTGTCGCAGTGCTCTGCCTATGCATGTTTCGTTTACTGCTTTTATGGTCTATGTATCCTGCTGCCGTCTAGTTCTTCCGAGTTTTATGCATGCCATTCCCTTCTATGCAATGTGCCTTTCGACTTTCATCACATAGCGAAGAGAGCTGGTCGACATCGCTGAGGGTCCGGCAAAAGCCGATCGAGGGCGGGTCCAGCGGGCCGCGGGCCGTAAAGCTTGTCCGCAACCACCATCTCTCATCCAGCTGACTTCTTCACGAAAGGTCGTCCTGGTACTCACTACAGAAGCGGATCTCCTGCTCGAGGTCATCATCAGGAATATCTGCGTATCTTCCGACGGGAAACCATGATTGTGCCGCCAGACCGCGCCCTCCGCTGTGGTCTATCACAGGCCAATCCCGTGTGCATGGGTTCTCTAAAGCTCTTCCAATGTCTATAGTATCACGCTAGATCTCTGCTATACGTCGCACGCTCAGGGTCAGGACTCTTTCCAACTAAATCCGCATCACCCGACCGAGCATCAATGTCGTTACGAGAAAGAGCCGCCCCGGGATCGCCGCAGCTTGCGTTCGGCGAAAACTCGATTTTCGCCAGAAGGTCTAGTTAATATGCTTCTGACAGGATCTGTCACATAAAAGGGCGTCGAAGACGAGGCTGAACCTTCCCCGCTGCGGTCTCGCACAATGTACGCGCTCACGATGCCCCTCGTTGCTCTCATACCCTTCCTCGAACTCATCGGTCAAGTAAACGGGCTGCCTAATGGGCTCTGTGAGTACCTTTTACTATGATGTTGCGATCTGACTAACAGCGACATCCGAACTAGCTTCCAGTAGCTCTACTAGGAGCGCCGCCGCGACGGGAATGCACACCGCTGCCGACGCGCAGGGCCGTTACTTCGGGACCTTCTGTGACCCCGCGTCTACGTACTGGAACGACGCTGGCTTCATGGCCCTGGTCGATAACGCCGCCGACGTCGGGCAGCTCACGGTCTCGAACTCCCTGAAGTGGGACTCGACGGAGCCATCCCAGAACAGCTTCACGTATACGAATCCAGACCGGCTCGTCGCGTACGCTCAGGAGCACGGCTACATCGTGCGCGGTCACACGCTCGTGTGGCACTCCCAGCTACCGTCGTGGGTGAACAATGTGGCGCAATCGTCGGTGCAAGACGTGATGGAGAACCACATTGCGAACGTTGCAGGGCACTACGTGGGCAAGCTGTATGCTTGGGACGTAGTCAATGGTGCGTACAAGAGTGTTCCACTTATCTCGCAGTGTTAACTGACGGCCTTGCCACGCAACAGAGCCTTTCAACGAGGACGGGACCTGGCGCTCGGACGCATTCTATAATGCCCTCGGTGATTCCTACGTCGCTCTCGCCCTGAACGCTACCCGTGCTGTCGATCCGGACGTGAAGCTCTACATCAACGACTACAACGTAGAGACCCCCGGCGCAAAGTCGTCCGCCCTCGTCGCCTTAGCCAAGTCCCTCGTCTCCGCCAGTGCGCCACTGCAGGGCATTGGCTTCCAGGGCCACTTCATCCTGGGGCAGACACCAAGCACGTCGACTCTCATCTCGCAGTTCGAGCAATACACGAGTCTTGGGCTCGAGGTGGCCATCACGGAACTCGATATTCGTATCCAGCAGCCAGCGTCCGCGCAGAGCCTCGCACAGCAGCAAACAGAGTTCCAAAATGTGGTCGCCGCCTGCAAGGTGCGTCTTTGCTCGTACGCTTTGCGGCGTTCAGGGATTGATTGACTGTACCGTTCAGGCGGTCGACCTGTGCGTAGGCGTGACGGCCGCGGGCATGAGTGATAAGTATACGTGGGTTCCGAACACCTTCCCAGGATATGGGTCGCCTTTGATGTTCGACGAATCGTTCAAGCAGAAGCCGGCGTATACCGGTGTTGTCGACGGGTGGGGCGCTTAGGCAGATATGACTGGTCGGTTAATGGGTGATGTACTGTGACTCTGCTTTGATGTTGCTACGCGGGTTGATCTATGCAAAGTGTTCAGCGGCTCTGCGAGTTCTCGCGTGATGCGGAATGGTACAAGACCGGACGACAATAACGAAGGAGGCCCGCGGTCCGCTGCTATCCTTTTCCGGTGCCCTTTTGTTCTAATTCCATATCTCGGCGCTAAACTGCTGCGTCTGTGTGTGAAGTCCCTTGTTCCGGGATTCTCATTGTGAGGGCCAGCGTGGACCGCTTCGACGTGCATAGTGCAGTGATGTTGGCATGGCCATGGCACACCTTAAAAGCGCTGCCCCCAGTCCGGCAAGGCGCCACTGCCCCCTTTCTCGTCGCCAACGATGCCCTCAACCCCCGGCTTGACCACTGAGGAACAACGCACGGCAGACAGCCATGGACCAGATCGCCACAGCATCATCTCAAGGTTACCGGTCGAATTACTCAGCGAGATCTTCCGCTGGTATGTTGCCAGCGCAATCTTCTGGCACCCTTTCGGTCAAGACTGGCCCCCGCTCATTCTGACGCACGTCTGCTCCTCGTGGCGCAACATCGTCATGAGTTTGCCTCGTCTTTGGACGCAGGTTGTAATCCCTAGCGCTCATCCATGTCAGACGCCGCACGATGATTGTCTACATCAATGCAATGACTGGCTACAGCGCAGCTTTCCGCATCCCGTTGCCGTCGACTTCCCTTGCTACAACATGTCCTGCATGGGGAGCAGACTTGCTATTGACGTCCTTGCGAAACATGCATCGCGGATCACCAGACTTGACCTCCACCTATCCGAACAAGGAGATCACTGCAAAGTGTCAATGATAACCCTCTTCGCTCTGCCTCCTGGAACCTTCCCTGTGCTCACGCATCTGGGACTCAGCGTCAGGTTCGATATCTTTCGTACGGGCAAGGTGATAACAGCCTTCGATCAGTCGCCCTTGCGTACATTGCACCTCGATTACGAGCCACTAATGGCGGTGGACAGCATCAGACTCGAGGAGATCTTCAAGATTACGTGGGAAGGGCTGGAAGAGCTGTATATGGACCCTTGGCCCGCCTATTGGCCTCATGGGTATACCGCCAATGCCTCTTCCTTTGTTATCGAGCATCTTCGCGACATTCGGGTTCTTGGCCTAACGCTACCATCTACGCCCTCGCCGCACGCTGTCCCGCCAACTGTGCTACCCAGCCGTACCGCGTTTCCTCACATGCGAACTCTCCGAATCACCTTAGACAACATGCTGGACTTGCCCGTTGATGACGCCACCACCGATCACGCACTCTTCCAAGTATTTGACCTGCCTGCACTCGAGCAAATCACGCTTTTGCACACCTACCAGCATCGCGGCCGTGAAGGCATGGTCTCTCCCACTATTTTATCCGGCTTATTCGAAGACGCGGATTTCATACAGACATCGCTCGGTCGATTGCGCAGGCTCTTCGTGCAGGACCATGGCAGGATACCAGATCAAAAGCTGCTCGATGTTCTCGAGGCCACCCCAATGCTGGAAGAACTTCAGCTCTGGGAATCTATGGAGCTTCGCATCCCGTTCTATGGACGAATGGCATCGTCTAGCGATCTCGTTCCCCGTCTGCAGACCCTTCGGATTCACTACGCCGATGACGAAAGCGAGGACGTTTATGAGGCCATGACCCGAGGTGTAGAGGTGCTGCTGCGTGGGCGATGGGGAGAAGGGAAATACGGTCCAGATGATGAGGCCTCCGTGCTAAAGCGTATGTCCGCGACTCGGGGTTGGCCAGGTTCACCAGGTCCACGCCGCAAGCTAGAGCAGGCGTGGGTGGATGCTATGGAGGCGCTGCGTCCGACTGGAGCAGGATTGCATCTGAGATGAACGCCTACGATGAGGCATGAAATAACCATAGTTTACATGCTTTGTATCTGTATCGCGAAGGCCTAATTCTGGCTGACCGTTCGTGAGGCGACGTGTCGACAAGGTATGTAACTTGTTGAAGGCCAGATAGATGGCCAGAAGAGAGTATGAATGAACAAGCGTGTAGATAGTCTTGTCATATTGCTTGCCTTGTAGCTCCACGTAGCATTGCTAAATGGTGTCCACGTTCCTCTGTTACAGACGCTCGAATTCGGCTATATACCGACAACGAAACGGAAGGAGATTTAGTAGCCATGCCCGAAGGTATAGATATGCTTCCGCGCAGGAGGCCGGGAGGAAGGGATTGGGGTCCACACAGTGCTCAAGGAGACGATTGCAACTCGGAACTGGCAGCATCGCAAATCTGACAAGGCATAGATGGGAGCTAGGGAGAAGCTGCAGCCGGCTGGAGCGAACTTGTTGTTGAAGTAACCTATTCAGTCTCTCCCATCGTCAAAGACCGATACAAGTTTACAGAATGGATGCCTAGATGTACACGATTTGTCTACGCTTGTAACGCATTCCATGTACGTCTCGCGAGCACAGTAGAGGCGGTCCTCATCGATTTACAACTCTGCCTTGCCCTTCATAAGGAAGGGTCCGTTGTGCTTCGGCGGGGGGGCATCCATCTGTATCATCGCGAGGAAGTCGTGTACGAGATCGGCGGCAGCGATGCTCGTCACGTCGGCATTGTCGTATGCGGGAGCGACCTCGACCAGATCCGCGCCCCTGCATGCAAGGTCAGTACAGACTGTCAGCATATGCACAGGAGGCCACGTACACGAAGTTCAGCCCAGTCAGTCCGCGCAGGATGCGCTTCATCTCGCGTACTGACCAGCCGCCAGCCTCGGGCGTGCCCGTAGCAGGGGCGAAGGCCGGGTCAATCACGTCGATATCGAGACTGAATAGTGGTGAGATCAGGCAAAAGCAAAACAAGTCGCGTTCAGCATACGTGAGATAGACAGGTGTGTCGCCGACACGCGCACGAATAGCGCTGACAACGTTGTCGAGACCGTAGTCGTCGATGTCCTCTGCGCTGATAACCTCGAAGCCGACATCCTCATCGTGGCGGAGCTGAAGGTGGTCCTGCGCACCAGGTCAGAGAAAACGCGCCATAATAGGGGGAATCGACAACGAACCCGCATCTTCTGCCGGATACCACCGTGTACGCTACGGTTCGTCATGTGGCCCTCCTCGTACGCCACAGTAAAGTAGGAGCCGTGCGTGATGCGCTCGTATTTGCCGGTCTCATTTCCCGACTTGCCCGTATCTGTGACATTGATGAGCAAAAGCACGCAAGCCCGCGGGTGTAAGCTCACCGAAGTGGGAATCAAAGTGGATAACCTATATGGATGCGTAAGCTCATACCGAACAATATGTATATATAATCACGCTCACCGAGATCTTTCCGTAGAACTTCGAAAGGGAGCGCAGGATGGGAAGCGTTATAGTATGGTCACCACCAAGCGTCACGATCGCAGGGTGCGGTATACCGTCGAGCGCGAGAGATGCGCTTCGAGACGTGATACGGGTCGCCTTCGCAGCACTTGCAACCGGACGGCCCAATAATGTCGTGTATGCGGCCTCCATCTGGTCGAGCGCCTTGAGGTTGTCGTACGCGCTCAGGGGAACGTCGCCGCAATCGATCAAGGATGCACCGAGCTCAGTAGGGCTCTGGCCCCATGCGAGTGTCCAGCCATCCGGACGTTGTCTCCTTGAGCCAGATCGGATGCCATAGGGGCCGAATCGTGCGCCTGCATATGAGCTCAGCGAAAGAGGGTAGGACGAACAATGAGCGTACGTACCTGGCCGGTACGAGACAGTCGTGTCAAAAGGGAACCCAAGGATGGCGATGTCGAATCTCGCATTCGCATCGTCGAGGCAGCGGGAGTATGGCATGTGGCTGAAGCTGAGCGGGCCGCTGTACCCGAGGTCCTCCTGCGAGCCGTACTTGGACGTCCATGGCTCCTTGCTCACGTCAACCACGCGCTCCGCGTCCGGCGCAGTAAGCGGGGTCTGCGACGCAAGAGCGAGGTTGGCAAGGACAAGAGGAAGAAGGCGGAGGACCTGCATGATGGTACGCGGGGAATGAGGTGGACGGAGACATCGCAGTATTTATCCTTCCATGATAAGGCCGCTAGTATGATAAGCGCGCATGAGGAGGCCAGTTCGGAGGGCCTCCCCGGCATAGATAGCCTTGAGGTACTCGGCCGACTCCTGACCAAGACTGCAAGATAAGAAGCTGTAGAGTCAACCTGAAGACACCGAAGAACCCGCTCCGGGTGGCAACCTGGGTGTCCTCGACGAATCTGCAGTTGCAAGTCTCGAGATTGTCGTGACTTAGCTTCGCACTCCCTGAGTTGCGTCCCCAAAACATTTCGCGTGCATCTTGATTACTAGCAAGCGTCCGGTGAGAACACCGCTGCAAGTCAAACAGCGAAGGCAGAAGGAAAAGTGCGATGTGACCGTGACAGTGACCGAGGGACCCACTCAGGCGATCAGGCACAAATGCGAATTCGGTTGTACTGTAAGTTAGTTGCTCCAACACCTATGTTATATCCAACAGCGGTCTACCATGCAGAGTCCATTCAAAAGCTATCCCAGGTGCACTCTATTCACAACATCCTGGCCAGCGTGTCAGTAAGATATGGAAAACGACGTCGAAAGCGTACGGATAGCGGGGGTATTCCTGTGATACATCGAACTAGTCCGTGGTCGAGCGCTATATACCTATCGACAGCCCTGGTCTTCCTCGTGCCAGTTTCGTTCCCGTGCTAGTCCTTCCCGCCGTGACCTCTAAGGACGTCCTCGCACGTCAGCGCAGTCTACCATGCATCAGGCGGTGACTTGCCGTTGGTCGGGCCGCTGCAGCGTCGACTTGAGCAGGTTCGGCGTCTGCTTCCCGATGCCGAGCTTGCTGAGCACGTCGCGCACCTCGCCCGGGCGCGTTGGCGGTGCGCGCTTGGCGCGGTTGCGGGAGCGCGTCGGCGTGAGGCGGCTGCCGCCCTCGTAGACGGAGGAGCCGTGGTCGGCGGTCGAGATGGACGCGGGCTTCGCGAGCGCGGTGCTGGAAAGCGTGACGCTATTCCGGCCCTCGAGCGCCTCCCGTAAGTCAGTGACGCCCACCCCGCGCGTTGAACGCGCAAGGCTGGCTATAGACATGTTGTTCTCGACACGCATGAGGGCCGGCGTAATCTTGAGCAAAGGTGAGACACCTTCGTCCTTCAAAGACGACGTTGACGAGGACTTTTCGACAGCTAAAGCGAAAATGAGCATGAGGAGTGCGATCAAGGCTGCCAGTAGCGTACTGTCAAGAAGGGCGGAGTCGGCAGTCCAGTGAGCGCCCAGTCGTCTCAAAAGGCCCTGCTGATCTATGCCGGTCGCACGCTGGACGTGAGCGCTCGATATGAGCGACATGATTGCCGACTGAGCGTCGACACCACGCCATATGCTGTCATTGTCTGCAGTCGGGAAGTCGACAGGCTCTTGTGGTGGATGGTAGGTGCCAACCTGGGCCTCTGGCGACGGCGGAAGAGTAAGCCAAGCGGGCTTCGTCGATAGCGCCTGAAGAACGACCATAAGTCTCCATCCACAGTGTGAATTAGCATGACTTACCGCCTCCGCCAGCTTGACCAGATCATCGCACTTCCAAATCTTTCCTATCCGCAACCAGAGCTCGGCAAGCACGAGGTGTATCGCCGCAACATGCTGGCTCGCCCCCGAATCCTCCGTCTCCGTCGTGTTGGCCATAGCCAGCAGCGCCGGCACACCCGTCATCAACGCCCTCACCGGCGACTGCTGATGCAAGACCGTCTGCACCTCCAGAATATGCGCGTAGTCGGATAAGTTCGCCGATGCGGACGCCGTCACGCGCGGCGTCTCCCTGTCCAGCAACCGGTACACGACCGACAGCTTGCGCCCCCGGATCGGCGCGTACGAGCGCCGCGTCGCCGCATCCGACGTCCCGGTGTCGAATTTGCGCGACGAGGCGGATGGGGAGGAACGACCGGAGGGCGATGGCTGCGGAGAAACTGTGCGCTCGAGTGCAGAGGTCGTCGCGAGGAGGTAGCAGTACGCGTGCACGGCTTGTACTAGCTTCGTCCCGCCGTCGCTGCCTTGCAGGATCATGGCTAAGTTTGTTGCTCTCTGGACCTCGTCCTCGGAGGGCTGCGGTGCCTGTTCGGACCCCTCGGCGACAGGCTCCTCGTCCTTGGGCATCTCCTCCGCCAGGTAGAACTTCAGCGCGTCCGCGTAGTCGGCCCTCACAGCATACTCGGGATCGCACAGCAAGCTAAGCGTGTCGTGCCAGACCGAGGGTAGCACACGAGTTCGCCGAGGAACGCGCTCCCTGGGAACCCCGTCCGTCTCGGAGGAGACGCGATGCCGACTCGAAATGGACATCGTTGGGCTGCGGGCGCGCGAGTCACGCCGCTGCTTCTGCTGTGGCTCGTGCTTGTTGGCAGACACGATGAGTCCCAGAAGGCCCGCGAGTAGACAGCGAATAGATTCTGCCCTGCTCTGATTGTGTTCTGGCTTGCTTGCCGAAGAGATGTCTTTCGTCTCGATGGCTGTCAATCGACTGATGAGCTCGCCCTACAAAGAAAAGTCAGCAGCTAGTAGACGTCATACATGCAGCTACGTACCGCAAGGTCCTGAATTTGGTCCGCGTAGTAAACATGGCAGCCCAAAGACGAGATGCATTCCACAAGCGAGGGCAGCAGGGTGTCAGTAGCATTCACATGCGTGCGCTTGATCAGGAAAGTGATGAGGTTGGATATTATATCCGACGTCGACAGGTTGATGAGGGGCGTAGGCGAGCTGAAGACCGTCGTGACCATAGACACGAGCGCTGTGTGCTGTGGTGTTGCCGTAGGCGTCTCCTGGCTTTCCAGCAAGCGTTCAACAAGCCAGGTCGGCACCGCATATCTGTATTGATAGCGCGCCCAGTCAGCGGCCTTCTGTGCAAGCCAACAGCAGTGCTCCTTCTGTATCCACCCATTCAAGCCGTCCAGGTTGTCGAAGGCCGAGCGCATGATGTAGCCGAGTTGCCCGCCGTTGACGTGGTCTAGCAGCGACAAGAGTGCATGTAATGCAGCGTTGGAGACATCCTTATTGGAGGGTCCCCTTTCGCCGTCAATGTGCAGGTGTATTGACGCCGCTCTGCGCTCCATGGTGGGTCTCGTCCGAAACTCGGCCAGGTAGGGGGATATCGGGGATTCCTTGATGTGATGCGCCCTACGAGAAGTCAGTAAGATGAGATCGCCGAGGTGTCGCATAATGGCGCTCACTGTTCAGAGAGGGTGTGCAGGTCCGCCTGCAAGATGTTTACGAGGATCGGCCGCATGAGGATGGAAACCTGCTCGCGGAACTGGGCGGAGTCGTTGTAGAGCGCTTCGGACGTTAGTGCGCCCATGATTGCGCCGAATCCGACTAGGCGCGTCCTGGGCAGCTGATGAGTGCACATCGCGTGAACGGGGAAGTTGTCGGACCTATTGCGTAGCTCATGATCCGAGGCAGAGCTAGAGGCAAGCTCGGAGAAGCGCTGAAGCACTGCGAGGTAATCCTGAGTGAAGGTTGCGTCGGCGCCTATCAGATGACCGTCCGTATACGTCGTCCACGCAGTAAACTACCAAGAATTAGTACGTGGCGCGCAGGGTATTGAGGTGATCGGCGTACCACACTCGCGGCGCGCGCAGCGACTTCCAGATCCTGAGACAGGCAGCGCATCACTTCGCCGATGGATGACATGAGGGAGGGGGAAAGCAGGGCAATGTCGCGTCGGCATTCGGTCGCGAGCGCGCGGTAGACGGCCAAGTCCATAAGCACCAGACTATTGAGGCGTCAGCCCAGTTCGCCACAGCATGTTGTATCGCACGCACACTTTGGAGCGCATGTTCCCCGCCTGCGCCTTGCGCGCCTCGTACTTGATCCTCTTATCCAGCTCACTGCCGAGCTTCGTTAACTTGGCCGGGTGGTTCAGCCTGCACAAGGTCTCCTATAAGCGCTCTGGATCTCCGGGGGTGGTTTACGGGCACGCACGCATAGTAAGTGAGCTTGCTCAGCTCCTGTGAATTCGGATTAAAACCAGGACCCGACGTGAGGAGCGCCGAGGTCGGCGGGTAGCAGGCGTTGAGCAGCTGCACATGATTGGGGGTGAATATATTCATGGGTGCGGCAGAAAGTGAGATAGAGAGTCAAACGAGAGGCGCAAGCTGATTAAGCGGAGATCATATACGGGGGGAGATGGGGTACATGAGTAGGGGAGGTATAAGAGCAGCGCGACCGGTGACGGGGTCTATTGATCCCTGTTGACGCTTTGATGGCTCGCGTGGACCCGCGATTCCCATCTCCGGAATTTTTTTCTTGTCCCTCTTGCTCCTGACCGCCACCTTCCTCTCCCCCACCCTCGATGTACTCGCGATGGACATGATATGGTGAGTCTCTGCCCTTTATTCTTCTGTGATGAATCTTTGCTGTGCACCAGTCCAAGTGTGGGGTTTTCTCTGCGCTCAGACGACAACCTACCCTGGCATCCTATATACGCTTGGATGCCCTGACCCATGTTTTGTTGTTTACGAACTTTCTCTGATACCCTTTCCAGATGTTTTTATTGCGTTGCACGTTCGTTACAGTATGTCAATGTCGTTTAGAACATCCAATACACGATCACTCGTCGATGACCGAGAACACATACGAAGAGTGCCAGAAGTACGGCTTGTCAGGGCCATAGATGTCGTCGATCCCATACTCCGGGTTGTTGATCGCGTCGAGGTAGGACTCTTGCTCGAGGACGATGCAGGAGTGGTCCTCGATGTATGCGTCGGGGCCGCCCTGGCTGTTCTTGCGGGGTGTTGGGTTCGTCGCGTTGTATTCAGCGTTGCAGCTGTAGATTTGCAGCGCTAGCTGGTTCGTGAAGACATCGAGACTGAAGCAATCGTCAGCGAGTGCGCACTTTGCTACTCGTCTGATCGACGTACCGGATGCCAGAGTTTTCGCTCCACACAGACAGAACAGGTGCGTCCCCAGTGTTGTTGTCGTAAACCCACGCGTTATCAAACCCTACACAGTCTATACGAGGGTCAGTCCAACATTTCATGCCAACAGGACCACGAACGTACCGGTACCACAGTACTGCGCCTCCGCCGTCGCGTTGATCGAGTCGCCAATCGACTTCGCCTGGCGGAAGTCCAACGCCGTCTCCTCCACATCAATGAACGAGCCGTTCGGAATGAGGTTCCCATCCGTCGCAATCACTCTGGATGATTGGATCTGCGCGATGTGCCCACTCAAGTCCTGCGTCTCGTTGTACGCCTCAAGATTCCAGAACTGGTGCGCGCTCAACATTATTGGCGTCTTCTCCGTGGCGATTGCAGATATGGATGTGTTGAAGACGGAGGAGTTGCCCAGGGTGTAGGTCACCTAGGCCAAAGTCTCAGAATACTCTGATGGAGGACAAGCAAGGTGGGCTAACCGTGGTGATGACCGTGCCCGGGAATCCTTGGTTCCCTGCTGGGTCCACCATCCCAAAGCTGACAAAGTCCGTCCCGTTATCGACAATGCTCCAGACATGGGTGTCGAAGCCCTTGTCGCCGCCGTGGAGGGAGTTCGTGCCTGCGCCGAAGTCAATACGGACGCGTCACGAAACATCAAGATTCACTCACCGTTGTGCTCGTTCTCCGGTACCTGGTACTTCTCGCCTGGCCCCTCCGCGTTCTTCGAGATGGGGATGGTGAAGGTGCCATTGCGGATGCGGTTCGCGTAACGGCCAACGATGGGCGCGAAGTAGTTGCGTGCGGCGATGTAGTCCGACTGGAGTTGCGGGTGAGCGTGTGTTTTTCAGCAACTGGACAGTCCCGATGCTTACCTTGTTCTCATAGCCGACGAGGATATCCCTGAACTCGCCGTACTTGTCCTGCACCCAGAAGCTCGTCGCGGCCGCGCCATGCGCGATGAAGCTCGCCCGAGCCGAGCCATCCGGCGCGGTGATGTTCACCGTCTCAAGCGGCTGCAGACCCCGTCAACCTCGGTGCATCTCCTCGCGAATATACCACCCTACTCACATCCGTCCCATTGTCCGCCAGTGCTGCGCTGCTCCCAAGAGCCGCAGCCACCAGCACACCAGCCCTTGCAAGAGTCTTTAAGCCTGCCATGGGTGTCGAGAAGGACTCTGGGGAGCTAGGAGATCCAGAGAGGACTGGACGCGCAGCGGGCGCGCGGTTTATATGGCGCGTACGCGGTCCCATGACGAGGCGGGGAATTTCAGCGACCGCCGACCGCTGATGCGATGACGGTGTGCCATGGGGTGGCGCGGCGGGCTCGCACGGCTGGGACGCGCCGCGAACGACCAGCTGACCTTGGGCTTTGCAAAGGCGGGCGTGTATGCAGGAACGGAGCACATGTGCAGGGATAGAATAGTACAGTGGGTCACTGGGTGGTATACAGTGTGGGTATCTGCGGGAAGTGCTTTATGTACGCGTCCGAACTCGACTGTTTATAGCCGAGGCGGCGAGGTGCAGGTGTACAGTACGTGTTCTGTTCTAGGCGTATGGATACAGATGTGATCGTCACTTCTTGACTGCAAAATCGAACATCGTCTTGGTGGTTTTGTCCTCTATGATCGCGTAGCGGTGCTCGGGGAGGCGCTTGCCAGCCGCGATGCTCTCCGTCACCCATTCGGGCTTTACAACCTGGATCGGCGTCCTCGATTTCTTCGTCAAGAACTTCTGCGTCTTCGAACCGCTCAGCGGCATAGACGTGACGATGTGGGTTGCGCCGGACGGCGTCGGTCTGCAGAGAAACACGGCATGAGCATCAGGTGATGGTTTGTGGCGAGGTGGGCACCCACAACGTCGTAGCGCCGGCCCGAGCGGCCACACGCTTCATCTCGATGTCGGTCGTCCCGCGCAGGTAGCCGTTGAGGTATATGCGCACGCCGCGGAGGAGCTGAGATTCGGTGGGGGCGGCCTCGCTCTTCTGAACGGCGAGCTTCTCGGTGCGATCTTCAAGGTATTCGCGTCGGCCGTTCGCGGTGCGTTTGAAGCCACCGTTGGAGACTTGGTGGCCAGTGGATAAAGATACAATATGTTCTGTTGTAAGGGGGTGTATCAGCGTGTGCGAAGGAGTGGCAAACAACATCTGCCGCGCACCTGCGCGCTCGTAGGCATCTGAGTGAGTGATGGGGTTCGTCTCCTCGCCCAGTGTACTCAGCAGACGTTTGGTGAGTTGCGAATGGGTCATTTTATCGGCCCCTTCGATGGTAAACTTCTTCCTACGAGTGGCCATTAGCCCCGATACCTTGTTCCTCGCTGAGACTGCACTCACCGTTTCGCAGCCGGCCGCTCGTCAGCATCATAGGGAGAGAATCGCTTGGGCTTCTCTTCCTCCTTAACCTTGCCCGCCGACGCGCCCCCGCGCTTCGTAGTCGTCACGAACCTGTCCATAGTGGCGTCCGGAAATGTCAGGGTCCAAGTTCAACATGCACGCGTGAGTCACGCACGCGGGCCCGCCAACGAACTCAATTGTTTCTGTTTTTGTTTCCCACGTGCTCCCGCGGAGCTTTGCCCCTTTTCGGCGCTCAAGGCGCCACAACAGAGAATTGATGAGGCGGGCATCTCTTATCTTCCGTACTCGGCTCCCCCGCCTCTTCGTGCTCCCCCTCACGCAGCACGCGATGTCGACGAGGTCGTATAGGGATGCGGTGGACTGCCTGAACTCGCTGCAGTCGAACGCGGCGGCGCTGGAGGCCGTGCGCGCGTCGGGTGGCCGGCTGAGCGAGTTTGCGATCCCGGAGATGGTCGAGTATCTGGAGAGGATTGGGTATAAGGTGCGTGGGGTGCTGGAGGGAGGGATATAGGCTAACTATGTGGTAGACGGAAGACCTGAACGCGTTGAACGTGGTGCATATCACGGGCACGAAGGGGAAGGGCTCGACGAGCGCGTTTACCGACTCGATCATACGGGAAGCTGTACCGCAGTGGAAGATCGGTGTGTGGCAATACCATGCGCGCTTTAATACCCAGTTAACGCGTCTATGAAGGCCTCTATACGTCTCCCCACCTTGTCGCGGTGCGCGAGCGCATACGAGTCAATGGGCAGCCGATATCAGAGGATGACTTCGCAAAGTACTTCTTTGAAGTGTGGGATAGGCTGCAGGCCAACACCGAGGTGCGCCTTCATATACTATCAATGAGGGAACCATGCTGACTGCTTGCTACAGAGGAAGTTCCCCAGCACCACCGTCATGCCAGGGTACTTCCGCTTTGTCACCCTCATGGCCTTCCACACCTTCCTGCAAATGAAGGTTGATGCGACCATCTTGGAGGTCGGTGTCGGGGGCACGTACGACAGCACGAACATCGTACCAAAGCCTGTGGTAGCCGGGGTGACAGCACTGGGCATTGATCATGTCGCTGTGTTGGGGAAGACCCTGCGAGATATTGCATGGCAAAAGAGCGGCATCTACAAGGTGCGTCTCTCCAACATCATCTGGCTCTCTAGTGCTGATTTGTCCTCGTCCTTAGGAAGGCGTGCCTGCCTTGACTGTAGATCAGCCGCCAGAAGGCATGGAGGTCCTTCAGCAGCGCGCGCAAGAGTTGAAGGTATGCGTTATCAAGTTGTACGATACATCAATGCTGATTATATGCTCAGGCGTCCAGCTTCACCGTCGTGCCGCTCATGCCAGGCTTGTCCAAGGTCAAGCTAGGTAATGCGTGTCGTCAGACTTCGGTTGGTGCCGTCTGACCTTCACAAAGGGCTCCCCGGCACTCACCAGTTGCAAAACGCCAACCTAGCCGCCCACCTTGCGCACGAATTCCTGGCAGCCAAGGGCGTCGTTCCCCGAGAAAGCGAAGTCCTCTCCCCTCCCGTTGTCCGCGGTCTTCAGAAGGCGCGCTGGCCAGGACGTTGTCAGACCGTGCAAGACCCCAAGTACCCCGTCACCTGGTACCTCGATGGCGCGCACACCGTGGAAAGCCTCGAGTGCTGTATGCAGTGGTACACCTCGCCGCGTGTTGGCCTCACTGCGTCGCCTGAAGTCGATCCAGAGTTGCAGCTGCCGGAAGCTGGGTGGTTCTCCGCGTTGGCGAAGCGGTGGAGGATACCTGGGCTGTCGGTTGCGCCTGCGAAGCCTTCACGCGTGTTGATCTTCAACTGCACTAGCGGTCGTGCTGGGCCGTCGTTCTTGGGCACGATGTTGGAGAAGGTCGCCGCGCAGCTGAAGTTGCATGGGCGCGAGGGGGAATCGTTGTCGACGTTCTTTGACCGTGTTGTCTTCTGCGCGAACGTCACTTATGCGGATGGCGGGTTCAAGGGCGGTATGTACCCGTTTTTTTCACAAGTGAATGCCTGTTGATCAAACGATTCACAGATCTAACGACCAAGGCAATCCCTGAATCCGACCTTGCCGAGTTGAAGACTCAGCAGCAGTTGGCGAGCGCATGGAGGGAACTTGTACCCGACTTCCCAACAGAGCGTGTTCATGTCTTGCCTTCCATCGAGCATGCCGTGAAGATTGTGCGCTCTTCCGGAGCTAACCAGGTTCTGGTCACTGGCAGTCTGCATCTCGTTGGCGGTGTCATCGAGGTGGCGGGGCTGTCTGATGTTGCGCTATAGACTCTCTTGCATCCCATAGATATTTTGTGCTGTACGTCCGCCGCGCTGCCATCATTCTAGCCCGCATATCTAGAGGGCCTCATCTACTCACACCTTCAACAGGGTAATTTATCTGTATCATGTTACTTACGCTCAACGCATGTACTCGCTTTGTCGCACTACGCATCCTTTTTGGCTACCCGGGTTCCTCTCTCCGACGCCCGAGCCTGAGCTTGATTTGTGGCGAGCGAGTCTATTTGCTGCTGCTTGCGCGGGTGGGCGCAGATCGCGCGCTGTACGCGGTCACGGGTTAGGCATCTTGTTTCCCTCCGTCAACGGACTGCGCAGCGTCCTGCTCGCCCTCCCGCTCATTGACCAAGTGAATCCAGACCGCCGATGTACTCCTCGTTCAAACCTCCGGGCGACGTCGACGACGAGCGCGACGTCTTGCACTACCCCACGTCGTCAAACAACCCCTTCACGGGCGTGCAGGACAACGACCTGCCGGATGCCGCCTACGAGGACGCTGAGCGGAGAGAGGAACACGCTGGGGACTCGGACTACGCTCGCGGGCAACAAGGCCACCACTCGCGCTTCGTAGAACACCTTCCTTCGAACGATCAGACTGCTAGGGAGGACGACCGCGAAGCCCCGCCTCAGTGGCAGCTGCCCATCCAGTACGACTTTGAAAGCAACCCTCGCCAAGCGCCGGTCCCGCCTAGGCCTGCTGCTGCGCTCGGCCCGAACGCTCGCCACGCATCTCCTGGTGCTGATTCTCGCGCGAACTACGGACCCGCCTACGACGCTTCCCCTCGCAGCTCGCTTCGCAACTCCTACCCTCGCGTCCAACCAGACGATGTAGACCAACGATACTCGCTCTCCTCGTACCAGCATCCCTACGAAATCGAACCGCCCGCTGCTGCCCATCCAATCAACGGCGCCCATATAGCCCACCCTGCGTCTGTCACTCGCCGCTCTGCTCTGCGTCGATCGGTCAGCTTCGTTGACTCTCCCAAGCTCAACCAATACGACGTCGATGATATCGAGAGTCAAGACAATCGCGCCGAAGTCGACGAGGCCGAAAGCCGACCCTCGAAGACTCGCGGACTCACGACGTACATGCGCGAACTCTACGCTCTTCGGGATGACGATCCGGACAAGGGACACTACGGCGGCTCGGGTGACGACGAGGAAAACATGCGGCGACGTCCACACTACCAGTCTCAGGCGTCTTTCGTCTCAAACAACTCGGACTTCGAGGGGCTGGACCCTGACGATCCTATCGTGACAGGCAAGAAGGCGAACCAGTTAGAAGATCCAGAGGACGTCCGGAAGCACACTTTGCGGCAGATGGACTATCGGACGCGTCGCAAGCATCTGCAAAGGATTAAGATCGAGTTCAATATCTCTTGTGAGTACTGACAACGGTTGAACGAGTCAAAGCTGACCATCGTGTTCGTAGCAATGGAAGAGCGTCAACTTTTTCTGATCAAGCTCGCTCGTGCGCTCATGACATTCGGGGCCCCATCTCATCGTATCGAGTCTCAACTCAACGCGGCGGCTCGCATCCTCGAGGTCCAAGCCGAGTTCATCCATCTCCCCAGCGTTATCATCTGCTCCTTTGGCGACCAGGAATCGAACTGCTCCGAGACTCACTTTGTCAAGTGCCACAGTCGTCTGTCCTTGGGTGCTCTGCACAAGGTGCACATGATCTACCGGACAGTTGTCCACGACGAGGTGTCGGCGAAGAAGGCGAAGGAGCAACTGCACGACCTGCTGGAGGCACCGCCAACATACCCAGTTCCCTTCCGGATATTCCTCGCTTTCTGTTTGTCGGCGTTGATCTGCCCGCTTGCCTTTGGTGGGTCTTTTATAGACATGTGGATCGCTGGGGCCGGTGCGTTTGTGCTATCGGTACTGCAACTGTGCGCAACGAAGAGCGCGTTGTATGCGAATGTTTTTGAGTGCGTATACAGGCTTGAGGTTGTGTACAAGCTGCTAATCTGCTTTCAGAATTACGGTCGCCATCTTCGTGTCGTTCACTGCTCGTGGCTTGAGTAGCATCAGATCTAGGATCTTTTGCTACAGCGCCATCTCTTCCGCGGGCATCGTTGGTATTCTACCCGGATACCTCATTCGTAAGTGTATGGTATCCTTCCGCAGTGTCAACTTCTAACAATTTTGCAGTGAGTAGTTCCTTGGAGCTGGCCTCGAAAAACATCGTCTGTGGTAGTGTCAAGATGGTCTACGCTCTGATCTATACCCTTTTCCTTGTGCGTCACCCAGCTGCATGTTTCTGGTACCCTTTGCTGATGCCAGGTCTAGGGCTTCGGTCTCCAGATCGGCTCTGACTTCTATCTTCTGTTCGACAAAGGCATGCGACGCCAACTCGACGAGCTCTCGGCCAACATCTCTTCCACCGTCGCACTGACGGGTAGCTGGATGGCCGATAACGGGACGGTCAACAACAGCATCCCCGTCACTGGCACCTGGACTTTTACGCACTCCGTCCCCCTCAGCCAAACGAACGTCATCAACGGGTGCTACCGTCCGAAGAGCTTCCCATGGTACCTCCAGCCCTTCCCCATCTGGACGTCGGCTATCATCGTGCCCCTCTTTTCGACGCTCTCCTCCCTCGCGAACCTGCAGCCCTTCAGGAGCAAGCAGCTGCCGGTGATGGTGGTCATCTCGTGCTGCTCGTACGTGGCGAACAAGCTGGCGAATCACTATATTTTCAACCGGTCGGATGTCGTGAGCGCGATTGGGGCGTTTACGGTGGGCTTGTTGGGGAACGTGTACTCGCGCAAGATGGGCGGGACTGCGTTCACGTCTATGGTGACGGGTGTGTTGTTCTTGGTACCTGTAAGTGGGAAGTTCAACGTATGCTGAAATCTGCGACTGATCGTCTTCGTATAGTCTGGCTTGTCGCAAGCGGGAGGTATCACTGCAAGCGGCAGTGGTATCGACATTGGAGGCGCGATGATTGCGGTCACAATCGGTATCACTGTTGGGCTGTTCATGAGTCAGGCGCTTGTGTATACGTTCGGATCGCGCAAGAACGCCGCCGTCTTCTCCTTCTAACCGTCGATGGAGACTGAAGACGTATGAGATACCCCTACACTGTGATAGACTGCAGCTACACATTCCTTTCTGTATCGTACATGGTTACATATACAACTGTAAAACATCTAGTATAATCTGCTCAGAACATGACAGCGGCAGAGTTCTCGATTGCCTCAATGGACGTCTTGTGACCGACGAGCGTGCGGATGTTGTTGATGCCATACCTGCAGGCAGAGGTAAGCGATGGTAGCAAGGTGCGAAGGAGACGGCATACCGAATCATAGTCGGTCGCTCCAAGCTCAACCCCCAGCCGTGGACGCGGACGTCCTTGGGGAAGCCCATGGGTTCCAACATTTCTGGTCGGAACATACCACTATTGCCGACCTCAACCCACTTTTGCAGCATGGGGTGGAAGGCGAAGATCTCGAGGGAAGGCTCCGTGTACGGGTTGTATGCGGGCTTGAAGCGCACCTGCTCGATGCTCATCTTCGCGAAGAAGACGCGCATGAAGCCGATGAGGTCGGCGAGCGTGAGTCCGCGGTCCGCGACGACGCCCTCGACCTGGTGGAACTCCGCGAGATGCGTCGCGTCCATTGTCTCGTTGCGGAACACGCGGTCGATGCTGAAGAGCTTCGCGGGGCGGAAGCCGTCGTCGCGCGCGGGCTCGCCAGTTGCCGTCAAGTCCGCTGCGCCGTGCGTGAACTCGGACGCGTCCGACTCGGTCTCCTCCCCCCTGCACTTTGCGGCGAGCTTGTAGAGCATGCGCGCGGAGGAGGCGGTGGTGTGCGTGCGGAGGAGGAGCTTGCGGGACTCGTCGGGCTGCCAGGGCGCGCGGTAGCCGATCGAGTCGAAGCCGCCGTGCTCGTGGATGGTCGAGACGCGCTTGTAGTACTCGTGGTCGGGCGCCTTGGACTCCTTGGGGTCGGAGAGGTAGAAGGTGTCCTGCAGGTCGCGCGCGGGGTGCTGCTGCGGGACGAAGAGCGCGTCGAAGCACCAGAAGCCGGACTCGACGAAGGATTGGGTGGGCATTTCGGAGAAGCCCATCTCGAGGAAGATGTCGCGGATCTCTTCGCGGACTTTGAGCAGGGGGTGGAGCGCGCCGCCTGCGGTGGGGATGCCGTCGGCTTCGAAGTTGTACTTCTTGAAGTTGGCCGTTTTCCATGATCCTCTGTACGAGGTCAGTGATGCACATTTGAGGAGGGAGACGACTCACGATGCTATCATATCGGCAGTGAGATCGGTCTCAGGTTTGGCGGTAGATGTGCTGAAGTTCGGGCCCTTGTGGACGGTGAACCATTGTCCCTTCCTTCACATCCAGTCAGTCGAGGGATACGCGCATGATCGCGGTGAACGCACTTTTGCACGACCAGCTTCCGTTTCTTAAGATCGGCAAGCACCTTCTCGCCCGACTTCAGCGTCCCCGTCGTCTCGATCTCCTGGAGGTCTAATTGTGTCTGATCTTGGATTTCTGACACCTACGTAGGTTTAGCGTATGCTCAGAGGATTGAATGGGCAAACGCACGATTTTGACCAAGCCATCTCCCTCTTTGCCTATCCATCCATTCTTGAAAGCGCGCCCTTGCCCCACTTTTGCGGTCTCATCACCAACAGCCTTCTTCAACGCAGGTATGAGGAGGGGGGCGCCCTGCCCTTTCGGTGGTACAGCATGCCATACCCGCGCTTCGTGCGATCCCTCCTTCACGATCTGCTGTCCCTCTGCAGTCAAGACATAGGTGAAGACTTCATGAGTGTCATATGTTATCATCTGAGCAGCGGCTTAGCCCAAGAATATTGTATGTCACTACTCCGACGCACCTCCCGACTCGACAAGGAGTTGAGCGCGCCGAGGATGGCGATCTGAGCATCACTAGAGGTCGCTGGCTGACTTTGCCCTGGTATCGTGAGGGACCTGGTGTCCTTGATCTCCTTTTCCCTGTCCAAGGTGTCGAGAACGAGTTGTTGTAGTGCCTCCGCCATCGTCGTTGACGTTGAAGAGCTTTCCCCGTCGCTGTTGCTTGTGGCGTGCGTGACTCGAATGCGGCTCGTCGGCCCGAGTGACGGGCGCTTATTCCAAAATTTCGAACTTCAGTCCGCACATGTGGCGCTCGCTCAGGATTCCTGCTCGTTGTACATCCTCTGCCGTCTTGAAAGGTAGCAGCGTCTGCAGGGGCCTCGTAATCTCAAAGCTTTCTCCTCTGCCAACTCGGTCGCTCTCGACAAGTCTATCCAGGCGTACACCCCCTGCCAAAGGGCTCACCCTCTCGGATGCCCAACGAAAGACAATTTACGCACTCTCTACACCTCCTGGACGAGGCGGCATAGCTGTCATACGGATATCTGGTCCAGACGCCTTACAAGCATGGGCGAAACTTGTTGTATTGCAAGGCCGCCAGCAGTCTTCACTGCCAAAACCATGGCGTGCCTACCGATGCCGCGTCGTGCACCCGAGTCATAAGGAACCCATAGACGACGGACTGGCTATCTACTTCCGCGGTAAGCGCGCAAATCCCGCCTGGGCCTTCCCTTTGTTGACCAGACAAGGCCCAAAGTCGTTCACGACCGAGGACGTCGTCGAGCTGCACGTGCACTCCGGACGTGCCATCGTGTCGTCGCTTCTGTCGGCCATCTCGGCGCTTCCATTCTGCAGGCCAGCAGAAGCGGGCGAGTTCACGAAGCGCGCCTTCCTGGGCGGCCGCCTCGACCTCACCCAGGCGGAGGGCCTGAAGGACCTCATCGACGCCGAGACGGAGGGCCAGCGGCGCATCGCGCTGAATGCTGCGAGGGTGCGCGCGTACGCGTGCTTCGGGTGCGCAGATAGGCTGACTCGCTCCTCAGGGCAGTAATCGTGCGCTCTACGAAGACCTCCGCAATCGCGCCATCCACTGCCTCGCCCAAGTCGAGGCGCTCATCGACTTCGGCGAGGGCGACGACATCGAGGAAGGGGTCCTCGACCAAGGTACGCGCAGACACAGCGCGCAGCGCAGTCGTCTCGCTGATCGCCTCGCCCCCACAGCACGCACCGAGGCGCGCGAGCTCCTCGCATCCCTACACCGACACCTCGCCGACGGCCGACGCGGCGAGATCGTGCGCGCGGGGGTGCGCCTCGCGCTCTTTGGGCCGCCGAACGCTGGGAAGAGCAGTCTGTTGAACTGCCTCGCGCAGCGCGAAGCAGCGATTGTGACGCCTGTCCCCGGGACAACGCGCGATATCCTCGAGCTTGGGCTCGACCTCGGCGGACTCCCCATCCGCGTGTCAGACACGGCTGGCCTGCGTGCCACCCAGGACGAGGTGGAGGCTATTGGGATAGAGCGTGCAAAGCGAGCGTGAGTGGGGTCGGCTATAGGGTCGCCCCAAAGGCTGATTGAGACCTTCAGTATCGAGGGCGCTGACGTCGCGCTCTGCATTCTATCTCTGCCCGACTGTGTTCGAGATGGGGGCATCCAGGTTCCAGAATACGTGAAGACCATGATCACGCCAGAAACGTACTTCCTGTTCAACAAGAGCGACCTTGCTACGCCTGAGCAGTTAAGGGCAGCCGCGACTGTGCCCAGGTCATGGGTCACTAGCTTGATAACGAAGGAGGGCACCTCTTCGTTCATTGACGGCTTCACGACCGAGCTACAGTCTCGGTGAGTATTTTCTACCCCTTTAACATTCCAGATACTGAGGATCCCAGCTACCATCTCGACGGCGTATCTGAAGACCCGCCTCTCATTACCCACGCACGCCACCGCGTGCACCTGGAGTCTGCCGCGCGATTCGTTCAGGCATTCCTCGAGTCCTGTATGTATTCTAGAGCGGCCCTATCACTCGTCCAATGCTAACGCACCCATTCCCAGCCGACGAAGATGTGATAATGGGAGCAGAAGAGCTTCGCTACGCCGCACAGGCAATTGGGAAAATTTCGGGTCACATAGATGTTGAGGACATCCTCGACAGCGTGTTCAATGATTTCTGTATTGGGAAGTAGGCGCGCACTCAGTAGTGAGAGTGCATCCAACGGTCTTCTGAACTTCTCGGCCGGATGGCCACAATGTCTAGTTCGCAATATCAGATGGGCCATTGGGTCCTCACAAGCGCTGTGATTTTGTGCAGCCAACCAGTGTTCGTACAACCCAAATGACTCGATGCCTACTCGGAGTAGAGCACTCCTCGTGCGGCGCAGAACGTTTGTTATGCCCAGGCCACCTAAGGGGCGGCGGGTTTCCTGCCCTCGCCCTTTTCCGGCATATCTTCTGGGCCGCCCATGATGACTGCACGAGCACCTGAATCAGCAGACAATCAGGGAACGTGATGGCCGACGTACGTATCGAGACGAGAACAGCCGCGATGTACATCCAGTACTTCTGGATGAACGACTTCTCGGGAGGCGGCTGTACTGGGGCGCCCTCGGCGCTGAGCTGGGGTGGCGCGCGCAGTTCTGGCCTGCAGGGTGGCGTCAGCCCACCACGGTGGCACGAGAGAAGGTCACGAAAACACGCACACTGGGGGCAGGGTAGGCCCACGCACGGTCACGGTACGATTCAGCGTGTCCGCGCGTGCTGCGTATGCCTCCAGGGCGTTCACAAGTTCAGTCTCCGGCTTGCACGACCCACCAGGCGCCACAAAAAAGTCGACCGCGAAGGGGGTCGCGTCCCCGCGCGCGTCCTCCGCAGTGTGGAGGACAAGCATCTCGGAGGTGGCCGACGCGAGCTGGCACTGCGGGGAAATGTGTCAGCCACTGTGCCCCAGCTCTGACGCCCCAGACTGGGGTCGGGTAGAGAATACGGGGCCAGACTTGGCGAGGCGGGGCGTCGTTATGCGTGCCGCAGGCGCGCCCGGCCGGGGCAGCATACGTCTGTTCGGCACGAAGCGGGGAAAGGTACTCACGGCTTTGACGGACGACGTGGGCCAGCGCTCGGGGGACGTCTCGCCCGCGGGGGCGAGGGCGAGCTGGTACAGCGCAACGTCGGAGGCAGACGCGGGGAGCGCGCGTGCCAGGGTCGTGAGTGCGTCAGCGGGCGAGCCGGTCGAGGCGTACGTGGGCCCGCCCGCGCTGCTGGAGGTGGAGACGACCCCGCGGAGGGTGAATTCTCCCGCAGGCGCGTCGCGCGAGAGCACCCGGTGGTATACGTTTAGTTCCGCGGCGTGGCTCGTAGCGGCGAGACCGAGAAGAGCAGAGAGAAGCGGTTGGAGTCTCATGGGGGCGGCTGTTGGGGGCAGAAACGTTGCGTGGCGACTGACAGGGCCAGGACGAGATCTGCCCGGTGCTGTGACAGACGTGGTCGAGACGAGGTCCGTTCACTTGCCTTTTCGGGCTCAAAAAACGTGACTGCAGCCAATGGGAGAGTCGCGGCCGTTGCCGAGGACGTCGTCTGGCCCCTCTCCTCGGGCTCCACTCCTTTTTCAACAGCACCTTCAGGCTTTTGTGGAGTACTCAGAACGCATCTATCTAGTGGCCTTTTCTGCATCTTCACACAGACAGTTCTCAAGCTTTGGCCTGGTCGACGTCGAGAATATTGAGCTACAAATCTCCGAAGCTCACGTGGGTACAGACGCAGGTCGCTGGTTGGTCTGGACAATGGCCGTCTACAGATTGTATCAGTGAATCATAGGCCTCGACGCGAGGTTACAGTGGTTAGAGTTCGAGAGCCTAGGACTGAACTCGTATATTAAAGCGCGCCCATGCTGCACGCGAGTACTCTCATACCCCCCACTTTATGTGACACACTTGAACGAACCAATTAGCGTTATAGTGCGTCGCGTTCGTCGTCCCCCGGCTGTCGCGCGCTCACCTACCCTCCGCAGCGCACTTACCCGTCTATAAGACACCCCACCCTCGAGATGGCCACAGATATGCTTGACTCCCTCGTCGTCTACTACCAGCAGCAGCAGATGTGGGCCTGCGCCGCCCGCGCGGCTGTCCACGATGTCATCGAAGACCAGGAGGAGGTCGACCCCATGGAGGAGGACGAGCCGTACACCTCCTCGTCTTCATTCCAGTCCTCTCCCGCCGACTCGCCCGAGGTCGAGACCGTATCCCCTATACCCGTGAAAGAGGAGGAAGAGACGCGCGCCATGATCCACCACGCGGAGCCGCCCCCGTCTCGGCGTCGAAGCTCGTCCGCGTCGGACGTCGTGCTGCAGAAGAAGAAGGCTCTCCGCGCGCGCATGGAGGGCAGGTCGCTGCCCCACCGGCCGAAGTCGCCCAAGCAGGATATCGTCCGGCGGGTGCGCCAGCTGCGCGAGTTGAAGTACCTCTGGGCGCAGCCCCGCGTCGACATGCTCGACCTGTACCGGACGTTGACGGAGACGCGCATGAACAGCTGCCGGAGACTGGAGCGGCTCGTGCGCCACGCGAACAGGAGCGAATACAGCGCTGTCCACTAGCTTTCGGTGAGTCGCCATAGTATAGTCCCCGGCCCGTTCGACAAGGGCTGACCAGAAGCCCACAGTGTAACATTGCATCGTACAGTCGCATCGCATCCGATACCCTGTTGTATCGCTTCGATACCCTGTTGTATCCCCTACCTCTTGTGAACGTCTTCAGTGGGACATTCATCTCGGATTGCAGCACTGAGCACTCATCATAGTTCCTCGCTTTCGAGCATCGTAGTACATATCTTATTCACCCTGTATCGATATAGTCACTAGTTATCAGCCGATTCAAGTGGTTCGACGTGGACGTACGTGGCCCGAATGGCGAGGTCAGTGTCAAGAAAAAGTTCGTTGGTGATGGGGCGTGGATGGGGCCATAATAGATACTGCCAAAGGGAGTTAGATGTCAAAGCAAAACTTCCGCTTTTGGAAGCACGTGCGTGAGGGACCTGGGAAACTCAGCGACGGCGACCTCGTTCTGACCGTCATCTCCTCCTCGTCGTCTGCCTATATCCCACATCTAGATGTCCCACAGATATGCGCCACTCTCTAATCCCGTCGACGATGCATCCCGCGAAATGGACGAAGCCTTTGCCGGCAGCGACGACGAAGACGACGGCCTGAACGATGACGACGCCGCCGCCGAGACCCGCCCGCTCAATCCCTCGGGCCACAGCGCCTCCGCGGCTGCGCCGCCCATGCACAGTCCTCCGCCCTCTAACGCGCCGCTCCCTGCCTCGTATGACTTTGAGAACTTTGATTACGCCAGCATGCCCCCTCCCGGTGCGAAGCCATCAATGCTGTGCATCGCAATCGCTAATCCCCCGCAGGCTCGCCCCCGGGCCCGACGACGAGGGCGCTCCCCAACCACTGGGGCAACGACAACGGCGTCGTCCCCGATTTCGACAACGAAGCTCCCCAGCGCCCGACGACGCGGGGGAACTGGCTGAGGAGGAAGGCCGCGTCCGTTCTGCCGACCACAATCGTGCGCCGATTCGCGCTGGACTACGAGCGCCCGACAGGCCCGATAGGCGGCGGGACGTCGAACGACGGCGTTTTTGCCAACGTATCTGCTAAGCCGACAGCGCCTGTGCGGATCAACGAAGGTGTGTGGCCCGTATATCATGCTCGACCGCCAGCTCACTGCGTTGGCAGGCGACGATACGTATATCGTCCCCGAAGACACACGAGCAGAAGCACCGCCCTCGTATCAAGCCGCACAGCAAGACTCCGTCCCGCCATACTGGGATAACACCGTCCACGCCGCGTTCTCCCCCGAGGTGGCGGGCGAGATGCTCGTGGACTCGATGCCCACGGGTACGGTGTTCAGCTTCATGTGGAACATGCTCGTCTCGATATCCTTCCAGTTCGTCGGCTTCCTCCTCACCTACGTCCTTCACACGACGCACGCTGCGCGGCTTGGCTCGCGCGCGGGTCTTGGTGTCACGCTCATCCAGTACGGTTTTGCTTTACGGAATCGGTTGGACAGCAACACATCGGGTCTACAAGACGAGAATTCATGGAGTAATCCAGAGGAGCCACGTCCATCCTTCTCGACGGCTGCCGAGGCTGACTCGTTCTATGGCGGCGATTTCCCCGATAACTCGACATCGCCGTTTGCGAATCTCACTGAGGAGCAAGCCTCACAGCTCGTTGCCGATGCTACGACAGAATGGCTCTCGTTCTTCCTGATGACCGTCGGTAAGTAACCACCGCTGTACCCCTTTCCGGTGTACTCATCATCGTCGCATCAGGCTGGTTCATCCTTCTGACTTCCGTGCTGGGCTTCTGGCGTGTAAAGCGTTGGGAGCGTGGGATTCTCACCTCGCAGCAAGCTGCTAACCTGACTCCTGCCGCCCGCGAGCAGGAACAGGCACTGCTTGGACGTATCGAGCGTGCGTTTGGCGTGCAGTTGCCCTCCCGCTCCGCGGGCGACTTCTTCCGCACGGGCTTTGGCCTCAGCCGCAGCAATCACGATGATGAGGACTCGCACCATCTACAGGCTGTAGAGGAGGGTCATGCTCCTGCGCGGGAGGAGGCCGACCTGACGATCGAGATCGACCCGAATGACCCGAATCGGGAGCGGATCCTGCGGGAGGCACTGGAGAACGAGCGGCGGTTGCAGGAGCATCTGCGCGCCGCTGGCTTGATCTAATACGGAGCTCTTGTGTAAGAGGGCATGCATGCACACATCATCCCAGTACATTCGTTCGTCTGTTTCCTATCTCTTTGCATGATGTCTGCTCGGACAGTTGCAGTGTACCAATACCTATAAGTATCATATCATTATATCTGGGTCGCGTTTTATCATACGCTGCTTTGAAGATAGGACGGTTTATCCACCGGTTCAAGCGGTTTTGAGGCAAGGTACAAAGGCTTCCTGATATGGTTATCGCCGTGTTCGACTTGTCTTCGACCATCTTGGCGCCGACCCTTGCTGATCATGGCGATAACCATTCGCAAGGCAACATCGGAAGACGCCCCTGCGCTGTCACGCATCTGCCTCCTCACTGCCGATGCTGGCAAGTCCGCAGAGGCGTTGCACGAATTCGGTGACCTGCCAGGCCTGGTGTTCTCCGTGCCCTACGTGCAGCTCCCGACGACATGGGCCTTCGTCTTGCAGGACGACATCACGGGCGAAGTAGTGGGCTACACCGTCGGCTCGACCGACACGCGCGCCTACGAGGCGTACGCGCAGGAGCACTGGTGGCCGCGCTGGGCAGCGGAGTACCCGCCGGAGCGCACGACGCGCGAGGCGGACCTCAAGTACGCGAAGCTGCTGCGAAATATGTTTACCGCGCCAGAGGCATGCATAGCATTCAGCCCGGCGCATTTGCATATCAACATCCTGGACAGGTACCAGGGGCAGGGATGGGGAAGGAGGCTCATCGCAAGGGCGGTAGAGTATCTGAGTGGGGAGGGGTTGGAGGGGTTGTGGTTGGGGATGGACCCGAGGAATACAGCGGCGAGGGCGTTTTATGAGAAGTTGGGATTTGAGCCGATTGAGGGGGCGGACGCTAATAACATGGGCTTGAGGTTCGATAATTTCAAGGGCCCGAAGAACCCAAGTCAGGCAGCATAAGCGCCTGCACTCGGCTTGCTTGTACAACAACAGTACTCATACAACATACAACCGCGTTTAAATGATACACTTTTCATCTACATACCCTTTCTCTACCTGCGGCTAATCGTCGTTCGTCCAGATCTTCTGCATCTGCTTCTTGAACGGCTCGAGGCTGAATTCGACCGCAGAGCAAGGGAAGCCGATCTCGAACTTCTCGAGCACGCTCGGGTGCAGGACGCCGAGCTCGCCGATGATGAGATCCTTCTTGGTGTGGAGTGTCGCCTTGATGTCCTCCTTCAGCTCGGAGAGCTTGGTGTGCTTGACGGGGGCGGGGCGGTAGTGGATAGTTGCGCAGCGGCCGGGGAAGTAAGCGGGGTCTGTATGAGAATCAGCCATTTGTCAACTCTGTCGAAACAGATAGAGAAACGCACCACTGCTCTCCTTTATATAATACCCCGTCTCCGCCTTGAAGTCCGTGCTGCTGATCCTCGGCACCTCCAGCATCCGCATCGCGCGGTCCAACAGCCCATGCACCATCTCGAACCCGGCGGTCTTGTTGCACCACACCGCGGCCGCGTGCCGCTCGTTGCGCGCCTGCCGCTCGCGCGACGTGTCCTTGAACACGACGTCGCTCGCCTCAAAGATGTGGATCGGCAGCGCGTGTGAGCGATTCTCGCGGATCGTCTTCAACAGTCCGGGGAGGAGGGTGGTGCGCACGACCTGGAACTCGATGCTCTTGGGGTTGGCAATCTTTACGGCGGTCTTGCCGTCGTCTTCCCTGTTGAGCCATTCAAAGTTCTCTTCGTGAGAGCACTGGAGAAGTGTGTTAGAGAGCGATGAAGACATGAACAGAGGTAAAGAGGCGTACGAGGATCAGGGGGAGTGCCTCAACCCAACCCGCGAGCGCCCACTCGCGACGGATGACATCGCTCAGCTTCCCAATGGCAAGCGGCTGCGCGACAGTGCTCGTTCGCGGGAACTTGTGCGGCAGGTTGTTGAAGCCATACGCAATTGCCGCGTCCTCCATAACATCGCACTCGTGCAGGATATCTGGCCGCGTGACAGGGATGTTGAGCAGGACCTCGTCGGGATTGTTTTCCGAGAGGGTGGGGTAGAGCGACATCTTCTTCAGCAGGTAGGCCACTTGCGGTGCATTGAGGTCGAGGCCGGTACATGAGTTGACGTAGGAGGCGTGGGCGGAGGTGGGGCGCTCGGTGAGGTTGGGGAAGATGTGCGCCTTGCCGTCGGGCATGACGACCTTGACGGGCTCGATCCTACGAGAAGTGAGGCGGGTATACACGAGAGTCAAAGGAGACGACGTACGTGTAGGGCTCCGCGCAGTATTCTGAGAACATAGTGGCGACGATGTTCACGACGATGTTCAGCTTCGTTTGGTCGGTGGCTGTCACGTCGATGAACACATTACGCGTGTTCAGAGTGATCTTGCTGTGCTCGGAGTTGATGATGGGGGGCATAGACGCTACCCGATCTTCAGCGTCGTAGATGATGGGGTAGACAGGCGAGTCGCGGATGATGGGCAGGTATTTTGCGAGGTGCTTCTCTTTCTGAACATCTGTTAGCAGAATGCAATACTTCCAAGTTGAGGGACTCGCCTCGTACACCGTCATGAGCTCCTCCGCCGTGTACTCCTTGTCCTTGTTGAGGGGAACGAACTTGATGTCCTTCGGTGGGCGCGCTTCATAGCGGAAGGGTCCCTTCAAGGTATCGAGATCGTGGGTACCGATGGCAACAAGTTGTCTTCTCCGGCAAATATTTTGGTGTAACTTGTCCTGCAATTCGATGAAGGATTGGTACGATCGCTCGGTGAACTTGACGTTGCGGAGGATCGCTGATGCGAAGTAGGGACGAATCTTCGCAGTCTGCACGAGTAATGAGCATGCATTATGGAGATAAAGGAGCACTACGCACCTCCTTGTCCACATTAACCGTTACCAGGGCAGAGTCTCCACCCGCAGGATGGACGAGCTTGTACCGCGGCGGCTCCTCCTTCCCCAGGAAGACGCGAAGTGCGCGGGCCAACCCTTCTATACACAGCAGATCATATCTGGCAGAGTTTGAGAGTCCGTGTGGATGTGCATCTTTGGTTATACCTGTTGGCTGGGACCTCGATTTTGAGTTGCTAGAGTACGATCAGCAAACGGTATGGGCTGTAGACTGTAGACGCACTGGACGTTCCGCGGGTAGCCCCTTCTTCTTGAGCTCTTCTACCTCCTCCGTGGTCTGATGCAGGGTGAGGACTGATACTTTGAAAAGCATGCACGGCATACATCTTCGTCTAATTCCAGGCCGTAGTCGAAGCATAGTTTGTCAAACTCGTCAGATGCTGTCCTTGCCTCAGCATGCAGTCACAGAGCGTAAATGTTCTCCCTACAGTACTTCTGCCCCAGACGCTCCCATAGGTCTTCCTTGTCAACAGCGACGGTGGGCATCTTGATCGAGTCACGGCGGAGGGAAAGAACAATGGATTTCCTTTCTCGGACACATCATGATCATCGACGCGGGCGCTTAGACTCGCCCATTGTTCTTTCGAAACGCCATCATGAAATATGTCGCCCTTCTCAGCGGCGGCAAGGACAGTTGCTACAACCTGATTCATTGCGCAAAGAATGGGCACGAACTTGTAGCAGCTGCGTCACTTGGTCCTGAGCCTGGTAAAGGTATGCGAGTGCCACGAATCGCGACCGTCATCTAAATTGTACATAGAGGAACTGGATTCTTATATGTACCAAACCGTCGGACAGGATGCTATCGAATATGTGGCTCAATGCCTTGACGTCCCACTCTATCGTCGTGTCATCTCTGGGACCTCGCTTGAGCAGGGATCTGAATACGGAAGTAGAGCAGCCAGCTCATCTTCTGGGGTCAAAGGAGACGAGACCGAGGACCTTTACGAGCTTCTACACGACGTAAAAGTTCGTCCCTTGCTTGCTCTATTTTTTGAATCCTTACTGATGTTTTATACAGCGTCATCACCCTGATGTCCAAGGCGTTTCCGCTGGAGCAATCTTGTCGAATTACCAGCGCGTTCGCGTAGAACATGTGTGAGCTACACCGACAAGCTCAATACGTTCACCTTACCTTCGCGAAGGTGCCGACGCCTGGGCCTCACTGCGCTCTGCTACCTGTGGCAGCGCGATCAAGGAGAACTACTTTCCGAGATGGTCGACGCTGGACTGGAGGCCATCCTCATCAAGGTCGCTGGTATTGGTTTGGCGACAAAACACCTGGGTAAGACTCTTGGGGAGATGCAGCCCACGCTTGTGAAGCTGGTAGGTCGATTGTTGATTTATGGGCGAGGGCCTTGCTGAGATCATGCAGAACACGCTTTACGGATCCCACATTTGCGGCGAAGGAGGGGAATACGAGACACTCACGCTGGATTGCCCGCTCTTCAAGAAACGTATCCATCTGTACATCCTGGCTTCTACAAAAATGCGGCTTGAGCTGATTGTTCTTCTAGCGAACACGTTGAGACGGTCATTCACTCCGACAACGACTTTGCCACCGTCGCGTATCTCAGGATAAAAAGCGCAACGCTAGAACCCAAATTGGGGACAATCTCCGATTGTGAGGTCGCCGTTCCGCGCCTTCTGGACGAAGATATGGGCGATGTCCGCGAGGCTGTTGAAAAATCGCAGTCGGTCGTCATTCCTAGGACAGATGGGCAAAGTCTGTCGGTAGAGGGCCCTGTGACATTGCCGAAGGATATCAGCATCAGGGAAGTGGGAGACTGGGTCGCCATCGGGAGTATACAACATCCATCGTCAGGCGAGAGCCTTTCCATAGAGGACGAAGTGGCAGCTTGCTTCGAGTCGTTGAGAGGTAGCAAAGACTACGGCCGTGTGACCTAGCAATACTGACGTCCCGCAGAACAGCTCTCTCAAAAAGTGCTCTCCCTCCCCGACTGCACCTCCATCAACCTCTTCATCTCCTCCATGGACGACTTCGCCGCCATCAACACCGTCTACGCTCGCTACTTCGGCACCAGCCCTCCCGCGCGAGCCACCGTTGCCGTCGATCTGCCCGCCCCACATCGCGTTCGAATAGATTGCATAGCCCGACGCAGCTCGAGTCCAGATCAACGACAAGCGCTCCACGTTCAGGGACTCAGCTACTGGGCGCCTGCGAATATAGGGCCGTATTCGCAAGCAATCCTCACCGACGAGCGTGTCTTCGTGTCGGGGCAGATCGGTCTCATCCCGGCAAGCCTTGCACTTCCGTCTCCAGCTTCCCTGGCCACCGAGACAGCGCTCGCCTTCCAGCACGCCGAGCGCATCGTGGAGGCAGTGAAGACGAACAATGGAGGAGGATGGGCGGGACAGGTGCAGTCCGCGGTGTACTGGCTGACTGACGGCGGGGACGCGAGGCACGTCAACGCAGCGAGGGAGGTTTACGACGAGCAGCATGCACAGGTACCCTCGCTCTTTGTCGCGGTGAAAGCGCTGCCGAAGGGCGCACTAGTGGAGAAGCAGATCGTCGTGCATACGGGGCGCTGTGCGATACGGGATGAGGAGGACGATGAGATCACGATGGAGTCGAGAAAAGCTACTTTCGAGTCTGGTGAGCACTTTACAGTATACATTACAGCCAATACCAACCCTCTCTGCCCTTCAGGACAAGCAGGAAACATAGGCAGCGAACTGTACTGGGAACTCTCATCCTTCGCGGAGAATGCATCGCGCTGCGCCATTATATGGGCCGAAAGCTGTGAGACAGCCCATCACCTCAACTGGCTTCATTTTCTGACTTTGCCGAAAGCGCGCGACCTGGCGTCCGCATTGAAGGGCGTCGCATCGCTTCAGCGAACACTCGCGAACGCAATCGTGGCGCGGGTCTATCACACCCCTTCCGCGGATCTGCAAGGCAAGTTAGATGGCATGATTATGTATGTGCTTGCTGATCTATATTTTCCCGTCTAGCCATTGATGAGGCCGTGTCAAGCGCCAGCTCCGCTGCCAGAAGCTACATTCCTTGTCGGCATGTCGCCTCGCGAGAGGTCGACAAGAATTGGACCTTCGCAATACAGGTTCAAAGCATGTAAAGCCTTCTTATACTTATGATGAACAGTCATCATCGCCAGCACTGAAAGGTACATTCCAGAGCGAGCAGTATGAGAACACGTCTGAGGGCGACACTAAATACAACCTATCTCAAGCATAATTTCGCTCCGGCCGGACGCAGCTTGTCCATGGCGTTCATCCACGCCTTGTCAAACTTGCCTGGAGCTGGTACCGGTTTACCCTCCCACTCCCGAGTCACAATCATCGCCTTGAGCACGGGAGCCCCTGATCCCCGTAGACCCCGATTCCTTCCTCCCCACCGCCCGCGCAGAAGCACCTCTATCCCCTCAGTCATGGCCACGAAGTCCTCCTTGGTTTCGCCATCGGTATAGATGATTTCGAGCGTCCGCAACAGAGGAACGAGGACGCTCGGCGAGGCCATGCGCTCGTAGAAGGGACGGCGGAGCTCCATGGAGTCGCTCAGAACGAGCTTTTCCAGCATCAGGGTGGCTTCGAGTACTGGAAGAAGCTTCTCTCCCGGGACTCTGCCCAACCCAGTTAGGTGCAACTCGCGCAACTGCCCGAGCGAGGTCTGCCTGAAGCCCTCGTCGTCGAAGAGGCCGGAAGGGTATTTGTGCGGAAGAAAGCCTTCTTCGACGCGAGTCAAGAAGCGGTGATCGTACTCGTAGCGGACGTGGAGCTTCTCGAGCGCAGGCAGGTCAAGTGTGCGGAAGAGCGCCTGATCAGTGGTGATGTGTCTGAAGTCGGGTAGTAGACAGGTTTTTGTGGTCATGGTGAATTTTCGCATCCGAGGCAGCGTGGCACGGTGGGGCAGCGTCAAAATCATCTCCCCAGGACGCTCGTTGGGCACCACCGCCAGAGAAAGCGTTTGGACGTCGCGAAGATGCCTGAAGATGAACCACGAGAGACTTTCGGCAGTCCCTATTGACGGGTCTTCGAAGTCCAGAGAGATGTCCTCCAGTTCCTTCCACGCAACGTCGAGCAAAGCCTCAGCCCCCAAGATACCTTCAAGGCGGGCTTCGACATTGAAAGACAGGCTCCGCAGGGGCGACTGGTTGAAAACCGTGATGACTCTGTTGTCTGGAAGGTTGTCTTTATACCCGAGCTTCAGGTGCGTGAGGGCTGGGAAGATCCCGGGAGCCAGCGTGAGGAGGGCGGTGATAGACTTGTCGCATTGGTAGTTATGACCTGCCATGTCGAGGTCCAAAGTGCTGATCCGCGAGGCAGTTCTCGGGAGTAAAGTCGAGGCAAGCATATTCGCCTTGTCCCGGATGGTGTATCTGACTGGCAGTTTGACGGAGATGGGATGAGGCGAGCTGCGCTCGATCCAGTCAGCGTATTGTCGCAGGCGAAGTTCGTATGGCACACAAGTAGGGCAGGAGATGACGAGATGCGTCCAGAACTCTGGCTTGTCCATGGCGATCTGGCGCCATAAGGAACAGACGTGCGTCAGAGGCAGTGGGGACTGTCTTTCTTCCCAAGGGCGGCCGGACCAGCGTCCGCCCACGATGCCAAGGTACAAGCAGAAGATCTCGCTGAGTAGTTCTGTAGGCAGAGTAGCCGCGATGCTTTGATGTGCACCGTGTCTTCGTGCCTTGGGCCGCTTTACAGCGGTCGTGTAGGAGGTGGAGGGCATCATGGAGGTAGAGGAAGAGTGTGTTAGTCTTCTGGGATCGGTTGCTCCGCTTTTAAGCAACGACAAGACCATCTGCACTGCATCACGAGCTTTTGCAGTGGCCTGTGCGCAAGGTCTATGCACGGTGCAGCAGCCCTCAGCTCGAACAATAACATTGGACAAAAGGACGGCTTGCCAGATATAGGTGACACGAGTCGGACCGGCCCATGTATACCGTAATTGTCCTGCCTTATTGTGCGACAATTCATGACGGCAAAGCATCTGAGCTTCGGAGCACTTTGCATATACGAAGAAGCAGGTCATGATCGTCGGGAGCAGGGAATTGTTGGTCCAGCCCACGTGGCCACGTACAATTGATGACCGGAGGCTTTCCGTTGCTCAGCATGTGATTTACTTTTGTTCAACCCCGCCATGTCCGGCCGCGCTGCTTGGGAGGACGCTTGGGAGCGTGCTCTCCCTCGCATATCCTCGCTCAGAACCTCTATTGCTATAAATCCTATTGTCTCCCGTGTAACAAGGGTCGGCAAGCTTGACTCCGAGCTTTTGGACCAAGAGCTGGTCCAATTACTCGAAGAACCGCTGAAGAAAGCGCTCGCGTTGCTCAATGTCAGTACTGCTAAAGAAAATAGAAAGAAAATCGATGCTGACCTGAATATATTTTAGAACAATCTCAGAGCACAGTTCCAGCCTGAGCTGACGCTGCTGATCCAGCTCACGCTGTATAAGCTGTCAATCTGGAATCAAGGCGCTAGCTATGGTGCCCGCCTTCAAGACCTACGATATACCGCTCCAAAAAATACTGCTCGACAAGCACGAGCTCGTAAGTCTCTTACTTGACACCTCCGCAAGCCCGCTGACCCCAGTGCCAGCGTCCGGTCTTCCCAGGCGCTTATTGTTGTTGCACGGCGCTGCCACGTTGCTCATACCCTACTTGCACGGAAAATTGCGGACTTATGCGCTATCGAAAGCATGGCCAGATGCGCCGTCGTCAGACCGGAGGAGAAAGTTGTGGGAGTTGTTGACCTCTTTGGAGTCCTCCTACGCCGCCTTCAGCTTGGCCAATTTTGTGGCGTTTTTGTGGAATGGACGGTAAGCGGAGCCATCCTTCTATCCGCCTTCATCTAGCGAGGCTTACGATTGCTAGATATCGCACCATTGCTGATAGACTATGCAAGCTGGAGCTGACGCCCTCGTCGCGCGCCAGCCAGCGGAATGTCAGCTACGAATTCATGAACCGCCAGATGGTGTGGCATGCGTTCACTGTATGTGTACTCCTCACCGAACCTTCACAACCTTCTAATATTAACATACAGGAATTTCTTCTTTTCTTCCTCCCCTTGATCAACGCTCGCGCGGTCCGGAGACGACTCTCAAGCGCCATGACCACTGTGACCGACGCCTTCACCATAACCTCGCGCTCCGGGCCCACCAAACGCCATCGACGCGGGAAGTACTGGTCTCTCCCCGAAGACCAGTGCGCCATCTGCGCCGAGAACGCGGCCTACAACTTCAATCTTGCCGACTCGAGCAACGCGCTGACTTCCCTTGCCGGTGCAAGTGCCAGTACGTCCATGCCGGAGTCCAGCTCAGAGCCGCCACAATTCCCTATCAACGTGCCCTACGCCGCGTCCTGCGGGGACGTGTACTGCTACCACTGCCTCGCTGAGCGCCTGATGCGCGTCACCGACGAGGGCGGCGCGGCGCAGGGCTGGGAGTGCCTCCGCTGCGGCCAGGGCGTGCACACTGGGGAGCGATGGGTAGCACCGATCGAGTACGTGTCGAGCGGGGACTCTATGAGCGAGTACGACTTCACGTCGGACATGGAGGCCACGGATTTGTCGGGGTCGCTGGTCAGCGGTAGTTACAGCGATGATCTGAGTTCGCCGGAAGGCAACCAGTAGCGGAGTAGCATTGGACAGCGATGATAGCGAACAGGCTATGGAGAACTAAGTAGAGCAAGAAGATATGGTAAGATGGGATATATGATGTCGGAGATCCTCTCAAGATATGCAAGCAGGCGAGGTACTGTATCATGCAATGATACCCAAGTTTTTGTAGATTTCGCGAAGGACCGCCTGGTCGGCGTCCTTCAAGTAAACACCTTCTAGCTGCTGAGGCCCAACGCGCAAGGCGACCTCATCCATGCAGGCTTTGACAAAGGCCGTCAGCTGCGCAGTTCGGACAGGATCATGCTCGTAGAGCTGCACATGCAATCAGCATCGTCTGTGACCCTCCGAGTGCCGTCATTACTCACCGCTTTCCTGCGCTCGTATTCGACAGTATCCTCAGAGCCCGCATAGAATTTCTCTGGGGCGTCTTCGTTCTCCCACATTCGCCTGAGGCCATGCGAGAACTCGCCAGGTTCGCTCGCCTCGGTCTGCGCCTCCTTGATCTCCCCGAAGCAGTCAAGCCAGATGTTGAAGACCTCGCCGGACAGACGCTTGAGTACTCGGTCCTTCCCGGTCGCCACGAGCGACGCGATGCCCATGGCCGTCAGCTTGCGATTCCAGGGCTCGCCCATGTTGTCGAACTACCCATATACGTCAGCACCGCCAGTGATCTCAAACGCGACAGCGCAGCTTACCTTCCCCCACCACTGGTCGAGCAGCAGCTCGTACAGCTTATCCTCTGCCATTCCGGTCTTCTCCGCGGTCGCCGTCATCAGCGTCACAAACACCTGCCGGTCCGCCAGCACGATCCTCGAGAACAGGAACACATGCTCGATCAGCAGCAGCGTTTCCACCTCCCCGTCCATCAGCGTCCTCAGCAGCTTTGCGAACAGGCCCGACGTATGCAGGGCCTCGCCCCACAGCGGCGCGGGGGCCAGGCGGACCAGCAGCGCCAGCGAGCCGATCATCTGGCAGTTGTTGACGCAGACGGCGTCGCTGTTGAGCGCTTGTAGGTACGCCTCGAAGAGGGGCATGGCGTGCCGCTGGAGCAGCCCCGGGGCGTCGAGGAGGTAGAAGGATTCGAGGCATTGGACCGTGCGGCCGAGGATGTCGAGGTTGTCCGCGAGGTACGCGATGAGGACGGGGAAGAGGTCGGCGAGGCAAGGCCCGCCGTTGACGGACCAGATGCTCGTGGTGTTGCGGAGGGCGGAGTGCAGCAGCTCGAAGCCATCCTCATCGACGAAGGTCGTGATCTTGGTAGTGAGCGCATCCTTCACCAAGGGTACGACCAGAGGCGCAAGCGGCGTCGATTCCTCCTTGACAACCTGAAAATGTAGGTCAGCAGATGCAGCTTCAAGTCTGACGAGTCGCGCACATTGACTAAGCTTGTGACAGTCTCTAGGAGCGTTGCCTTGAACGACGCGTCTTCGGATTGCTCAGACTCCGTCCCTACGTATGGCAATCAGTAAGTTCTCCTCCCAATTGACTGGTGATGTACGCACATAGCTGCGGTATCGGCTGGGCAATCATGCTGATGAACGGCACAACCTGTGACGCATCAGCACTTTGCTCGGGAAAAAAAACTTCGTGCTCACATTCTTCTTGCACTGAGCGATGACCGTGTTCAAGGCCTTCGCGACCCGGTTCTTGCCCTCCTGCGTCTCTGCCTCGCCAAGCATGCGCAACAACTCTTCGATGCATCGGGGCAGGAAGGGTTGAAAGACAGTTGGGTCAAACTCAAGTGTCTGTATGAGTGAAGCATCAGTCGCGTGCCCTCGAATCGCCCAGAAAACACTCACATCCACACACTGCCTCAACGCCTCCACCGCTGTCAACCTCACGACCGCATCCGTCCCCTGGCTCCGATCCCCCAACAAATGCACCAGCAACTCCCACAACGTCGAATTATTCGGCGACGTCATGCCCGACGACACCCACTGCCCAATCAGCCACGCAATCCGACGCTTTAGGATGGGATACGTCGGATTCGTGCTCGTCGCCTCCGCCACGAGGATCTTCTGCGCCCACTCCGCGAAGGGGATTGCCTCTTTGAGCTTGTGGCAGCAGCGGCCGATGGCGCAGTAGATAGCTTCCTTTTGGACGACGCCTTGGAGGTCGGTCATCTCTTTGTCTGATGAGGAAGTGAGATGTACGATGGGGCATGAGAAGGAAGGGAGCGTACAGGCGATGTCCTTGAAGGCTGCTTGCAACAATGGGGTCACGACTTCCGGGTATTGGTTACACAGTGTCACCAGCACGCGTTCGCTACACGGCTATAGTGGAGCAACGTCAGTCACATTCAACGGTGGTGAGAATGGTGTGACTTCGATTCCTCACTCACTCTGATCTCAAACTCCCACTGGTCGTTCTCCTTGTCTTCTGCGTTCACCCACTCCTCGGGGTCGTTCGACCACGACTCGAGGTCGTGCGGATTGAGGGGCATGAAGCGCGTGACGAGGAAGCGCACTGCGTTCTCGACGAATTCTCGGGAAAGATCTGGGTGGGAGGTCAGACCCAATCGTAACTTCATCAGGGGGGTCGAAGGCGCAAGACAATGAACAAGAATACAAACTAGCGAAGAAAGGAAGAAAGAAGAGCTCACGTTCTCTCGGGTTCGGTGTGCCATCCTTGTTGCGAGGCTTCCACTGGCTAGCGGATATCCTGAACAGCATCATGCCCTGGACCAAAAACCGGACTGGATATGGTGCGTAGTTCGAGTCTGTGAGGCGGATGGGGTGAGTATCGCGTATATCCTTGCTCGAGACAAAACCCTCACCTGCTATACTCTGCGGTGGCGCCTCCGTCGCCTTCTCAATCTCCGTCCAGTAGAACATGATCATATCCGTACAGCTCGGTAGCTCCACGAACCGCCCTGGGTTCAGCATGGCGAGGCGGAAGTAGAACTTGCCGTAGCCCTTGATCCTCTTCACCAGTAGGTCCATCGTTTTCCTGCACGCCGCGTCGCTCAGACGGTTGCTCGCGAGGACTGACGCGACGAAGCTCGATCGGAGGGCGACGAAGTGGCGTACTTCTTGTATAGTGTGCTGGAAGAAGGCATTGGCCCACTCGGCGAGAGAAGCATCCTCGCCTGGCTTGCCAGCCTTCTGAAATATCCAGACGTGCATGGTGTTCAGGATTTTGAACAGGACGTGCGAGATGACGATGTCGTTCTGTATTCTGGGCGTGACGAGCGCGATCTCGTTGATTGACGAAGCGGAGAGGCCATCCAGAAGCTGGGTGTAGCATTGAGAGAGATGCGCGTGGAGTTGCGCGATGATCTGTGCGTGCAAGGTTATTGTGGGGTAAGGGTGGGGAAGGAGGGAAGGTACGCACGGAAGCCATGACGCGAACGCCAGCGAGGAGCCTCTGAGAGTAGAATTGCTTGACGACCTTGTAGATGAGGCGAAGAGCGCGTCTGAGGCGGAGGGCTGCGGCTGGATTCTCTTCCGTCATGGAGGAACGTTTGGGGAACTCGGTGTAGACGACCTGCATGAGGGTTTCCAGGAGATTCGGCCTGTATGTCATGTGAGAGGGAGAATATGTGGGGGGTGGGTCTGCGCACCATTGGCTCGGGTAATCACTGCGAGATATCTTGCCCAGCACCTCCTCCACGCAACTTGCGATCTACAGGGGAGAACGTCGATCAGCCAAGGTTCCGACCTCGACATGACAACTTACGGTCTCGTCCGTTTCGTCCAGGAAGGACAAGAGCAGTGTCCTCATATGTGTGCGGTGCCCGTCCGTCAATAGCCTGCTAGGTGTGTGAATCTCTGTATCTGGTTGGCATTGCATACGCCACGCACCTACGGTTGCGCCATCGACTTCCGATGTGGTTCTTGAACTGCAGAATAGCCAGCTGCCGTACATTAAGCGGGAGGGTCGTTTGCGCCGCTATCTCGAGCAATATCGCGTGCGCTCCCTGTTGCTCGAGCAGCGCCTTCAACCGCTCGCTGCCTGCAGTCATGGTTGCAACATCCTGCGACGTGCTCGCCTGAACAACCTGGAAGACCTCTTCCGGGTTGGCGACCTGAGTCTGCACGCCCAATTGTACTCCTCTAGGACCCAGATTCATGATAGAGAGAAACAGGAATGAACTTCGATATTTGGTACAAGTTCAAGTTGGGCGCTAATTCTCGCGACGCGTGACGTGCGCGCACCACGTGTCTGTGATGCGTCACTAAATCCGCGGAACGCGTCTTGTCAAATTAACCTACTGGCCGTCGATGCTCCTTGTCTTCTCCCGCCTCGCGATCCGTCCGCAGCTCAGACGAAGTCCCCTCTTACTGCAGACGAGCGCGAACAGGAGGATCACTGCCCTCAGGATGCTGCCTAGGGAGGATGACGCAGTATACGACTCGGAGCCAGAACGCGAACGGGCGCGGGAAGAAAGACGCCGCGAGCGACGCGCCAAACGCGCCGAAGAGCGCGCCAAACAGAAGCCAGAGGTCATTGACATCCCCTCGGATGATGACATACATGCTAGCGTGCCGGGGAACAACGCAGGACCTTCAATCGTGATCACTGCAGGTAAGTTAGCACCGGGTGCATGAACCCTTCTGTAGCTGACGAACCCTACTCAGGGACCCCCTCTTCCTCATCCATACCCAGGCCTTTACCGAAGCCCTTTCAGCGCTTGTCTGTCGACACCCAAGGTATGTCGCCACACCGATCTCGTCGTTCTCTGACTGAGCGCCTGCCAGATGCCCAGCAATCCCTTGCACCCATCGCTACACTTGCAGGCCAACAGTCATCCTCTGCACTCCCCTCGGCCGCCCCTTCTGACGAAGAGCAAGAGGATGAGCCGGCCGAGTCCCAGTGCCGTTTACCCATCGCCCACCTCGCCTACACCGGCGCCCCTTCCCGCACCACCTCTCGTTCAATACCCTCGCGTCAGCCCTCTGCGCAATCCTCCACCTCGGCTCGTCCCCCTACCTCCGCCCAACCCTCCTCATCCACCACCGCGCCCAAACCCAAGGCCAAAGGCGCCAAGAAACCCCCCACCCACCGCTTCGCCGCCGACTTCACCGACGAGGACCTCGCCAAGTTCACCACCTGCATCTGCTGCAAGACCGCCTGGACCGTGCGCAAGTCCGGCACGCAGAAGATGCTGCACGTCCAGACGTGCGCGAAGAAGCACGGCTTCGCGGACGACCTGGTGCGCAAGCTCGTGCGGCAGCAGATCGACGCGGCGCCGGAGGGGAGCGGAAGTGGGGGTGCGAAGGGGAAGGGCAAGGGCAAAGCGAAGGAGATGCCGCCGCCCGAGCCGGAGACGCTGCTGGAGAACCTCGTGAACGAGAACGCGCCGAAGAAGAAGGGAAGGCGTGCGAAGGATGCGGAGCAGGTGGAAACAGTGAAGAAAGCGGCCGACACACACGATGCTATCAAAGATCGCGCACGCACTTTGTTTGGCCTAGGCGAACCGCAGCCGCCGACGCAGGCTCCTCCGGCAGCTACACAGGCATTCCAGCCCAGTAGGCTGGCTCCCGTGCGTAGGATGCATGGCTTATTGGATTACGAGGGCGAGCCAGAGGATGCAGCGCCGCCTGCGACGCAAGCATTCCAGCCAAGCAAGCTCGGTGCACGAAAGGTCACGCTCCTGGACTACGACGCAAACGACGCTCCTCCGCCAACCCAGTCAGTCCAACCTAGCAAGCTCGGCGCGCGGAAGGGCGGTCTTCTGGATTACGATGCCGCCGACGCGGAGCTCCCTCCGACTCAAGAGTACGCAGCACCCGCCTCTTCAGCCGAAGCCTTCACAACCGCTGGCATGTCCAATCTCTCTGGTCCGTCTACCTCCCCCGAACGCTCCATACTCTCCGACTCCGCCAACCGACCTGCGACACCCCGGACTACGGTAAGCAACATTTATCTCGCTTGACATACAATTTATGAATACTGTAGGCGCGGAACGATAGCCCCGCAAGCGCGCACGCAGTACCTCCGTCAGTGGCAGGTCCCCGAAACAGCCCAGGCTCTCCACAGAGAAGCAGCCCATGCTCTCCCCAGAGAAGCAGGAGAAGCTCGCCCCGGCTGAGGCGGACGGGGTCCAGTGGTAGCTCTTCGAACGCGCTCCGGGTCGACGAGGTCATCGAAATCGACGACGACGACGATAATGATGATCACCTCCCCAAACCCATTGCCTTCGACGAGCCCATTGCCCTTTCCGACCCCTGGGACAGCGACGAAGGCATCCTCGTCGTCGACATGTCCACCCGAGATCCTACCCCTATCACTTCGCCCGAGTACTCTCCACTTGCATCGCCTAGGCTCGGCTCCCATGCTACAACGGGGGACAAGCAACCCTTGGGCACATATCACGACTCCATGGACATCGACGACCGCCCCATGGACATTGACGACCGCCCCATGGCCATGGACGACCCCTGGGACGATCACGAAGCCTACCTCCACGTCGAGCCCGCCGCTTCATATACCACGCCTGTACATACCCCGCCATCCTCGCCCGAATCCCTCCCGGAGATGTCGCCTGTCAGACTGGGCAACTTCTCTGCTCTCAGACCGGGGAAATTCTCCCCACGCAAGCGCTCGCCCTCGACCTCTTCCACATCCTCCATCCCGCTCGCGATCTCCACCAGGTCGGCCAAGAAGACGCCAAGCACACCGAAGAGAAAGGCCACTTCGCCGCCGGGGGATACTGCGTCTCCTTCCAAGCGTGCATCCCCTTCAAAGCCCTCGTCCTCTCGCGCTTCCCCAACCAAACCCAGCACACCCCCACCCAAGAAACCCAGCAAGCCCCGCACAAAGGCACCCAAACCCCCCAAAGAACCCGAACCGACCTTCGACGACGCCTGGGCAGCGAGAATAAGAGGGCTGATCACGGCGGACAGGGCGCTGCATTTTCGGATTTTGCGGTATGAGGTGAGCATGCTCTTTCCTTCTACTCCTTTGATTTCCTTCAACGCGTTTTTCTCCTTGTCTTTGAGCCCGCTTGCTCCTCGCCCTCCATCTCCTCCTCGCCGTCCATCTCCTCCTCGTTCTCCAACCCCTCGCCTCAATATAGTTACAACTCTTGTCGTCCTCCTTCGCCCAACTCACGCAACCCTAGCCCATCAGCTTCGACGTCTTCACCCACCTCACCGCGCACGAACCCGGCGCCTCATCGGGCAAGTTCAAGTTCCATCTGCGTGCGCTCTTGGATAAGCTGGCTATCAACTTTTACGGGGCGGAGGGTATCACTTGGAAGCCTACCAAGAAGTAGACGACCCTGACTGTTCCTGTGCCACATATTCTACGCTGTAGAGCATCATAGTAATCTTGTCTAATGTACTCTCATGCTGCATAATGGCACGCAAACAATACTTAGCTCAATCTCCAGCGCGCCCAGCGCTCGCCATCGTCCGGTCATGCAAGTTTAGATTCACTCGTCCATTGCGGCGCCACAACCATTATTATTTTAGGTGCGTGCGCCAAGGTAGCGAGGGCTATCGTACACATTACTGCAGTACAAGAGCGGGATAGGCTGTCCGACATAGCGGTAGATAGCATAGCGAAATCCGTCCATCATGGAATCTGGGAGGTCACTGATGAACATGGTATGTGGGTCCAAGTGGACTGGCTTCGCGAGCCAGATGCACCTAGCGCGTAGTTCCAAGTGATCGTGGTATGTGGTCCGAAAGAGGGTATGAACGGATAGGATAGCATGTACAAAACAGAACGGACGCAAACAAAAGAAGGTGGGGACAAGTCAAGAGGAAATGAGAGATGGGCCGCGCGAGCCGTGAAAACCGATAAAACGGCATGCGCGAAGGAGAAGCTTCAGCTGTCCATAAGCCTCGCCGCCCTAGACGTCCTCGCGAGCTTGGCGGACGTTGGGATGCTGACGCCCGTGACCAACAAGCATGAGACGCTTAAGCCCGTGGGCGGAGACAGCCTCCGGCGATTCCGCGTCGTCCTTCTTCGTGGCGGCAGACCACATCCTGCTGAGGAATCCCCCGCTGTTGCTGGAGCGGTACGTGCCGTTGATGCCGACCATGTCCTTCGCGGGCGTCTGCGTGAACGCAATCGATGCCCGCTTCCCCGATGACGTGCGCCTCGAATTCGACGTCGACCTCTGAGTCTGAGGCGGGGTGATCGTGATGGTACGAACGGACCCTGCGTCAGACGGCTTGCGAGAGCGATCGTGGTCCTTGTAATGCGACGGCACGGACCGCAGGAGGAATGGCTTCCTCGCGGTGTGCAATGCCGGGTGCTCATCGTCGGCCTGGTAGCCTTCCCCGCGTTCAAGACGCGAGGAAGACGAGTAGACAGTGTGCTCTGGCTCGCCGTCCGACTCGTCAGACGATGACCAGACCGAGGAACCAGATGAAGAACCAGTGTCTTCGATGAGCGAGCCCATGTAAGACGAGCGCGAAGACGCCGTCGAGGCAGAAGACCTCGAGTGGACCAGAGGCGGTGGCACAACAAGGCGGCTCTGGCCTGACGAGACTGAGATGGTAGACGTCGGCCGCGACGAAGCGATCGACATGCGCTTCGTTATCTCGGAGAGGGTTTCCTCTGGGGACGTCCTGCTCGAAGTCGACTCGAAGGAATTGGTACGCGAGAACCCAGAACGCGTGCTCTCTTCCGAGTTTGTGCGAGACATTTGGTTGCGCCTGTAGGCCTCCGACCTGGCGTGCGTGCCGCGGGTGACCCTGTCCATGGCGGAAGCCCTGGTGGCCTGCGAGTAGTTCGTAAGGAAGGGCGTCCAGACGTTGAGCGCAGTCGTCTCATCGAAACGGAGGTCGTAGTCCAAGAGGTAGAGCAGCTGCTGTTCCATAAGGTTGATCTCCGGAGTCGAGAAGATGACGGAGTAGGACGCCCAGTGCTTGTTCTTCGGCGACGAGTCGTTGAGGTACTTGGCGCTGACTATGAGCGTGGCGAGGAAGATACGATGCTTCGCCGACCAGTTCCTCTCTGCGTAAATTGTCAAAAGAGCGAGAATGACGCATATATGCGCACGCACCCGGAGAGACAGGCAGCTTGCCACTCAACCGCTCCAGGTAAATGAGAGTCGTAAGGAGCGTGGCGACGTGCACTCGCGATACGCGCACGAGCGTTAACACAAAGTCGCGCAGGCTGAGCTTGGGCGAGGATTGCCAGCGATCGCCAGACACCGCATGCGGCGGCGTGGGGCCTGCAATTCTGGACGACTCGCCGTCAATCTGGATGAGTTCCGAGGCTCGCTGAGCGACGAACTCAACCATGTCAGGCGTGACATGGCGGCTGAGCAGGCGGACGAGATCGCGGTTGTGGCTCGCTACTGGGGCGAGCGAGGCGGGGTGACGGGGAAGTGCGAGCAGATCGGCAGACATGATGAGAGAAGGGACGTAGGTAGAAATGTTTTTATCGGTTTTTGAATGCCCTTCAAGGGCGGGCGAGCGAGACAAGGAACAAAAGATGAGGGAATGAGGAGAGAGAGGCTGCTCCTCGGCTCACCGCGCTTTTATTCTGCTCAGGGGCCAACCAAACAATGCGCGCGCGGAACAGCCCAGTGCGTAATGAAGACTATCGGACGTCCACATCTGTCGATCCTAGGCGACATACGCGGTCGCCCAATGACAACCCGAGCATGACCAGGGAGGCAGAGCGGCAGCGCTTTTCGCCGCGGAGTCAGCCCATGTGGAGTCCAGCACACCAGAGATACAACTCGGACAGGTCGGGAGAGAGCAACATAGCCAGGGAACAACGCTAGCAAGAGCAACAGCACGGGTAGAAAAACCGATATGATGGAAGCAGAGAACAAGTGCGCGTGTGAATTTCTGATGGACCCACAACTCCAAATGGCTACACACAACGGATTCCGAGTCAACGAAAAAGCTATTTCCTTAGGGAACTAACGATGCTTTATAGTACAAGACGACAGCATGATACAGATACTTTAGATATCGATGCAAAAGACCCGAGTCCATCAGCCGAAATCCAGGTATCACTGCACCCTCTCCAGAGGACGCCCTCGCTCATCACCTCCTTCACGAGCCCTCACTTTCATATCGCACCCCTTCACGCACCATACCCCTCCTCCCTCAGCGTCTTCATCTCGCTCAACCGCCTGCGCATATCCTTCTCCGTCGGCGTCGGCGGCACCCTCCTCGCAAGCGCCGCCCCGAACAGGGTGCACAAACCGCCGAAGCGCAGCACCCACGCCACGCCATTCTTGCCATAGTACGTGTCCTCAGCCGCGCTAGGGTCGGCGGTGTTGCTCACGCCGTCAACAGCGCGGAAGATGATGCTCGTCACGATTGCAACCTGGAAAAGGGTCAATATATAGACCTATACCTTTCTCTGGGCGTGAAGCGACTCACGATGAATTGAGGCATGACGATGGCGAGGTTGTGGATACCCAAGATTGTGCCGCCCTGGGATTGCTGATCCTGGTTTGCCGCAGACGCGTCGAGGTCGTCGAGAGAGCGACGACGCAGCAGCGGTCTACGTTCGTTCACCAGATCATGCAGATGGTCTGGTACCGAAGCAGCCCGCGCATGCAAATTCGGCCTGGAGGTTGACGGTGGTGGCGGCTCGCGCGTCTTCGGAAGCTCCTTCAAAAGCTGCACATGCTTGTTAGCATCTTCCTTCCTCCGTCAAACCGGCCTCCCTCACCTCCATAATAATCGCAAACGGTGTCCACATCGCCACCGACCAGCAAATCCCCACCAGCGCAATGAACGCCGTCGCCTGCTTCGTCGTACTGATGAAGAACGTGCTGAACGTGAGTATGCTGAAAAATACCAGCGCGCCCGTCCAGATGTTGCGCAAGAGGAACGGCATGAAGGGCAGACGCAGTGGGCGGCCCTTGCGAGCGGCTTCCGCGCGCCACTGGCGGACGGTGTTGCGCAGGCGCTCAAGCTCTGCGTCCTCGCTGACGTCTTCCTTGTGTGCTAGCAGGCGCCTGTCGCGGTTGGCAAGGTAGGGAAGGATGGTGCCGGAGATGACGGCCACTGCGCAGGATGATGAGTTGGGGGCCTCATGATACTGAGACGGAACGTACCGATGCTGTACATCAACATGGCGAACTCGCCCGTACGCGTCGCAAGCTCAGGATCAGGTTCCCTTCCAAGCTCGTAGGCCATCACCTGGCCCATGTACGTTGTTCTAAGCACTGTCAGATGGGATCCCTCTATTCTTTGTCTGCATAACTCACGCGTAGAACAGGAATGGGAACCTATACGCCATTAGCAAACGTGCGGGACAAGCATCGATGCGCTCACCATCCCATGAAGGCCATCAATTGCACGTAGCACACTCGTCGGATGGGCTTTGGCAGATGAATAATCGCGTTCCAAATACTATCCAAGACCTCGCGGAATTTGCTGCGCGGGCCATTAGCAACCGCAGGATATCCAGTCTCACACCAACGTACCCATTCTTCTGGTGTACTTCCGGACGCGCTTCCTCTTCGTGACACCAGCACGTTATCCAGACGGTAACGACGAGGATCACGATGCAAATGATGCAGAACTTGCGGAACTGGTCCCCGCCGACCCATCGTAAGAAGGGCAGCTGAGCGAGGGGGAAGTACCCAAAGCCAAAGCCGATGATGTTCCCGGCGTGGGTCATCCTTCCGTGCCATGCATTGCCCGCATTGATTTGCGAGGTCGGCGCGATGTCGAGCAGGAGGTTGCGTAAGGATGCTTGCAGTGCATTGAGCGCGAAGTCGAGGATGTAGAATGAGACGACGGCGAAAGCGATCGCGGTGGACTGAACCTATAGAGCAGAGGTTCAGCCGGCGCCGTAAACACATAGCGCATGACGCACCCTGTGGTTCCGTGCCTCGTCCCAGTCACCCGCCCCCACGCCGAAGAGGTCGACGAAGAAGGCCGCGAGGACCTGGCAATACGCAAGCGTGATGGTCGAGAAGACGAGGGCGGCGGTCGAAGACGCGATCCAGAACCGGCGCCTGTACTTGCTGGTCGACGAGTCCGATATAGCACCTGCAAGTCCGCGCGCACCATCAGCGCTTCCACCCGTGACTCGCATGCCCTATCCACGCACCGATGATGGGCTGCGCGACGAGCCCGCTGATCGGCCCCGCGAGCCAGACCAGCGCCGTGAGCTGCTCGGAGAGCCCGAGACCTAGCAAGAACGGCGTCCCATAGCTGCATGTCGGGAGCACCCCCATCAGCCACCGCGCCTCAATCCCCCCACGCATTCGACCACGCACCCTAACTCAACGGTCCATGCGATCTGCGCGCCCGCCATCGAGATACTCAGCGTGATGAGGTCCCATGTCGTCAGTCTCTTCTTCTTCACGTCCGCCGGCGCCGGCGCCTGCTCGGGAGGCGACTTGTGCCTCGCGAGCGACGTGCCCCCAGCGCCCGGGCTCCCGCCGTCCTGGCGGTCCCGCGCAGCGGGCCACGGCATCTGCGACGTCGGGTCGGGGTCGTCTGCGACTGGCGGGATCATGGAGGTTCAGGACAAGTGCCGCAAGCGTCCGTGCCGTGCCTTTCGAGGCGCGGAGCTCGAGGCGGGGCGTGATTACACTGTCATCACCGCCACCCTATCAGCTGGGCCGAACGTGCGCTGCGTGGGGGCAGCAAGGCCTGTATAGAAGTCACACACACCGATATTGCGTACTCGAAGAGCAGAGGGGGCTGTATGTTTACGTCTCAATCGTCGTTCCGATAGGACCACGAAGGGATTCAATTGTAGGGCTCGCCCAGAACCGACGGAGATTGAATCTACTTCTGAAGCACCCCCGACTGTAAAGGGGGCGCGACAAGGGAGCGATGCGAGCTACAGGCCACTGGGTCGTACTAGTAGACAGGGTAGTCATAGGATGGATAGTTGACGGCTTGGCAAACGAGAACACATCAGGAAGGGGCGGGGAAGTAAAGGTGCGGTTGGATGGATGTAACGAAGCCAAGGTCGGGTGCACGATCCCAACGCCTTGAGTCATGAGCGCGAGGACCGGCAGGGGATAGGCGCACCACGGACAAAACAGAACAGGTGCTAGCGAACGAGAGCGTAGACGTACGTACTCACGACAGCAAGAGAACAATCTTCGAGTTAATAGATAATCACTGGCGAGCGAGACGAGCGACAAGGCCAATCGATAGACATCCAGGTTCTGGGACAAGGTATAGGCCAAGATATAGATACAATGTACACTGCGAAAGCGAGTTAGCTAGAAATACAGCAACCATAGTGTGAACTCAATCGTACCGGATACACAAAACAGATATTAGCGCCCAGCCTAGACGTATAGGTGTCCGCGTCCATGTAGTACAGCGATGTGCGAGGGAGCATGACAGGTGAAGAAGAAATAGATGGGGAGTAATGCAGGGTAGGTAACCCCCTTCAGAGGCCCATACGCTCCGCTAATGTTCGATCCGTGGACGTTTGCGCCTGCCCGCGGCGGCTAGAACCACTCCCACCTGAGCCCGCGCCGCCACCACCACCGCCTCCTCCATTGCGACCATTCTGGCGCCCCCTACCTCCTTCCGAGCTTCGGTCTCTATCGCGCTGCGCCCGATTCTGCTCTGGCGAACGTCGCGCATCGACGTCCATGTCGACAGCATTGTTGTTGGCATTGGCGCCGCCCCCACCTCCGCCTCCGCCCCCTCCATCGGCGTTACGGCGGCGACGCCGCCCACCCCGTGACTGGGACGACTCGCGGGCCATCCCGGACTGTTGCGAGGCAGGCTTGTCGGCACCAGCGAGCCGCGCCTTCTTGTGGGCACGAGGGCCCGTGGGTGGGAGCCTGGCGGCGGCCGGTGCAGTGGGAATGCTGCCGTTACTAGTTGCCGGGCCATGGAGGGACGCTTGTGGGGAGTGAGGAGAGCGGATGTTGTTGTGTTGTTGGGCCGAAGACATCAAGCCCTCGTATGACTTGTCGAGCTCGTCTCTGAGGAGTATGGTTGAGTTCGAGGTGAAGGGGAATGTGGCGCATACGCACGATAGGGAGGATATTGCGCTGTGCGATTCTGCGCAACTCGATTAGATGGGTTGCTACGTGCACGAGGGGCCCACGTACCTCGGAGAGCAGCTTCCAGTCTCTCCACAACGCGACGCAGCCCTCGTACTTCCTCCTTCAGCCTCCCCGTCTCGCTCTGCTTCAGCAGGTTGTACAGCTCATCGTTCTCGCCCTGCAGCCGCTGTGCACGCTCTACGAGAGCTGTGATAGTGCCAGAGCGCGACGAGCCTTCTAGCGCAACCGGGTCGTGCTCTAGGGCGGGCAGAAGGAGGGAAGCGTAGACGGGGGGAAGGGTTACTGCGTCCGTCTTCACGGGCTCGGGCTTCGTGTTGACATGCTCGCGCAGGCGCCTGACTTCGTCCTGCAATCGTTACAGCCCCCCATTCGCGCGTCAGCAGCACCGCACTCACAGTCAGTTCCGCGACCTGCGTGTCGCGCTGTCGCAGCGCGGCCTCGAGCTCGATCTCGCGCATACTCGGGAGGTCCATGGCGCGGTGGCGTGCGGGGCGAGTCTATCAGGGCAGGTAGGTGCGGCGGGCGAGATACGCGTTAGATATTTAGTAAAACGTCCGTGGAATCATAACAAGGACAGGTCCAAGGAGATGCGAAGGAAAAGCGTCCGAGCGCGCGCTGCTGTTGGTCCGAGTGGGGAACAAGCCAGGACAGGCATTGTTCTGGATTAGTCATACGTCGACCCCCGATCCAAACACGCGCAAGCAGATGGTAAAAACGCGATCGGAGGCGCGTCTGCTCTTCGTCCCCTCCCTCCATGTTCTCCATCTCTCATATTCGAGTCAAATGGTGAGTTCAAGCTTCCCCCCTCCTTCTCCTGCTACGATTACAATTATATTCACACTGTATGAGTGCTTGGTTTTCGGACCATGCACCGTGAGTTTTTACTACAACGGTATATGAGCTCTACTCGATTCCTCTTTCGTCAACGATCGCTCGACACCCACATGCTAACTCTTTTCCCAGGTATGCATTGTCATGTCCAGAGGATGAGCGCCCCACCCGCATATGTCTGTAGTTTTCAATCCTGCTTGTACTTTTACTGGCATCATCATGCCATATCTCTGCAATGCACTGTCTGCTTGCCATGTATGAATGTTCGTTCCAGCATCCACGAGTGCACTCGAGAGTGTTACTTGAGAAACGCACGCATCCAGGCAAAAAGCAAAATGATGTACGTAGAAGGTTGGGCATCCCGTCAACGCCTCACCTCGGGTTGCAAAGCCTCAGACACACGACTGATAGCCGCCATCGTATCGTGACATCTGTTCGTGCTTGAGTGGGGATGAAGAGAGAATCGACAACGGTATTCAAGAAAGGGAATTGGCCGTTCAAACGGGAAAACCCTCGGAAATGAATGACTCGCAGGGCATCGTCCATAGCCAGCAAGCTGGGAAGATTGGGGACACCGAAAAGGCGCATATCACCGCTGATTCGACCGTGCCATGCTTGCGGCCGCTACTGGAAAGATCGCCAGAAGACGCCAAGGTCGGGAGGAGGCAACGAGACCTGCCCGAACAGGAAGTATGGCTATGTTGAAGCTCGCATGGGAAAAGTTTCCATCAAAGGATGATTCGTCGCGCTCTACTGTGTCAGCACCTCTCCGTCGAAAGCGTCCGAGGGTACTTGGCCCTGCGTCTGGGTGAGAGCACCTGGCAGAATGTAGAAGAATTCGGAAGACTTGACAAGACCTGGAGTCGGCTGGTATGCCACCGGAAGCGTGCATCGAGGACAGTTCTGACGAAACTGCCGCTCGTGTCCCCCGCCTTGCCTGGTGGTGAAGTTAATCAGAAGGTGAACAATAGAGAGCGAAGACGAGGAGGGCTTCTTACCTCTCAATAATGAGCGAATCCCCGGGAACGGCGTTCAGCTTGAACACATGCGCCTTCCCTGCCTCGCTGTCTTGCGCACGAACAATGATTGCATTGTCCGTTCGGCGTCGAGGAAGTGCGGAGAGGACCTTGTCGATGACGAGCTGTGAAAGCGTGTTTCAATCCCGCCGAGATTCGTGCTGAGACGAAGAGCGAACGAACAATGAACTCGCCACAGATGCAGTCTGGTGATGGATCATGGGACGATCAGCATTCTCCTTCTGATAGACCGAGGGGGATTCGTTTAGTAACGTACAGTAAACTCGTAACGCAGTGGTGCTGGACTCGGTGGGTCGAGCTAGTTACCCGCTGGATATTAACATGAGGATACAGTCGGTACAGACGTTTAGCGCACCGTCTTGAGAGGAGGCAACAGTCGAGCGCGAGATGACCTTGGGCATGGCTGGCGGAACGGAGGAGAGGAGAAGCAAGCGGAACAAAGGAGCGGTGATGAAGAAGGAGCTGAGAGTGATGAACCCTGCAGCAGGCTCGCGGCCACGTGCGCACGGCGTTCGGAGATTCCGCCCACAAAAGCAATTTCGCGGAGCAGATGCCGGCAGGGAGCCACGTGTTAATTCTTCTAGACGTCACGCTTCCCGATATTAGTATTACTACCTCCGACGTGCCTCCGACTCTCTTGTCTTCACCTCCCATTCCCCCGACTCCCCTCACCCGCGTACTTCTCGTGCACCGCCGTCGTCGCCGACGATGGCAGAGAAGGATGCCAGCGCCAGGCTGCGCAGAGCCGTCAAAGGTGTGCGCGACAGGCGCTTCGGGGCGCCTGAGCTGATCCCCTCGCAGAAAACAACCTTTTCCTCGTTCGACGTCTCATAACCCGGACGGACATCCGCAACCCAGACCCAGACCATAAGCGCTTCACGTCTCTTGCGTGGGCTGCTGTACTCGGTCATGAAGAGACGTTCGAGTTCTTGCTGGCGAACGATCACGACGAGGACGAGATCTCCAAAGTGCGTGCCTCATATTCCTAGACCTCATACGTGGCGCCAACATATATTTGCAGGACTCGGACAACAACACAATCCTCATGCTCCTCGCCAATCAGACTCCCACCACCAGCAGTCCCTACATCGATTCCCACACCGACTCTGGCGCGGCCCTCCGCATGGCCCGTATGTACTACGACCGCTACCCCGACACCCTCGACTGGGCGAACGCGGATGGGAAAACTGCGCTTCATTTCGCGGCAGAGAAGGGCAATGAAGAACTTGTCCGCGTGCGTCCCCTCGCTCTCATGATACCGTATGGCTGTGCTAACACGCAACTATAGATGCTATGCGACCTAGGTGCCGATTTCGACCTCGCAGACAACCAGGGTAACACTCCACTTCACTAGTACGTTCTTCGAATCAGTCTGTCGGCATCCCGCTCACGGCGCTCCGCTTCCAGTGCCAGCTCATGGGGGCACATTCCGGTATGTGCTCCCGATCTGTCTCAGAACGTTTCGCGCTGACGAGGATCACAGATCGTGCAGTTGCTCATCGAGCGTGGGTGCCAATTCAGCGCCAGGAACAATCAGGGCTTCACTGCCTCGGACTATGCATATTCGTGTGTACCTTTTGCCCTTTCCCGTCCCCCGTATATACTCACGCATCCCGATGATCGTCAGATTCAGCACGCGAGAGACGCTTCAGGATACCGCGCGCATCCAGTTCGAGATGAACAAGAAGTCACGACGCGCGGTGTATCAGCAGCATACAACCAGGTCGGACTACAATGCCCCACCACCTCCGCCCCCTTCGAAACCGCGAGAGATTCGCCAACGATCCGCGAACCGTGTGCGCAGTGGATCTGGGACGAGTCGCACGACCACGACGTCCGATAGTGGCGACATGGAGAGCCTTGGCGTCAGCCAGCACAGCCAGTCATCGATATCCGCGTCGTCCTCGCCTTCCCAGCCGTTAGGCACACACATGCAATACATGCAAAGATCTGCCAACGGATCGTCGAGTGGAGCGCGGTCTTTCTCCACTGTTGGTTCGTCGCGTCATGCTCAGCCTACGAATGGCTCCTCAGCTCTTTCGCCCATAGCTACCCGGATGCGTGAGCGCGATGCAGACGCGATGGAGAAGTACCTGAACCGGAACCGAAGCGGCAGCAATGGGACGGCATCGACAGACGCACCACGGTCGTACCAGTCATCAAATGGACTGTCGGTTACCAGCGATCATCTACCTCCCATATCGCAACTCTCGTTGGGCGGTCCGCATACGCCTAGACGACTCCGCCCATCCATGTCGGCTGCCCAACTGCGCTCGCCCAGGTCCGAGCTCGCGCCCACGTCGAACGAAAACCGCAATAGGTCTGGGACCTCACCGTCGCAAGTGCGCCCGGTCGCAGCGGCTGCCCCACCATCGCACGCGCTTACTCGTTCCTCGTCAACGTCCAACTCGTTGCGAGGGCCGTTCAGACCCGCAGGCGGGAGCGTCTACGAGGAGCCAGAGACGTACAGCGAGACGTACACAGGGCCGTCCATCCAGTACGCGCAGTTCCCCGAGCCGCCGTTGACGCCGGAAGACAACGCAACGCCGACCATTGCATCGACGACGCTCAACACTGCGACGACCAACAGCCGGCGTCACGCGCTGCACAATATCCTCACCAAGCCGCTGGCCTCCCTCGACCGGCTCGAGAACGCCAGCCACCGGAGGGGCATGTCCGCGTCGTCGCTGCGCGGCTAGTCTCCCATGTCCCTGTTGTACCCCAACCCCAAACGCCACCCAACCCCTTCTCTTGACTTTGCCTCTCGCTTCGCGCATGTACTACTCACTCATACCAGCACCTTGCCTGCCTGCCATGTACGCACTCTTCTCCCATATTTACCGTCCTGTTTTGCTGTCCCTTTCGTTGGCTGCAATACCCATCCCGATGCCATTCATGCCATGCCTATGTATTGTTAACTCGCACTTGACATTGTATACAGTCTATCGTACATATTATTCGCCCGCGCATGTTTCGTGTAGCAAGACGTATATAGACGCTTGGCTGCCTACCTGTCTTGATTACCACCTTCTTTCATGTTGTGATTTGGATGGGGGAAATGAAGCGTGACATCAAAGAAACGGCTTGTCTTCATGTTTGGAGATGTAGGTCCACTCCCGGCAAAACCCGGTGGAAGATAGGGTGTGACTCATTCCTATCTTCCACTCGTCCCTTTCTTGACCTGAACTCTCACGTGTGCTGACCTTGTGGCAACCCTGTTGCGCTACGACGAGCTCTAGAATCGACTCTTGTGCTCTCATCTCTGGCGTGCTGGCCCGATGCCTACTTGTTCCACGGATTGTCGTCAAGACACAGCTTCAACCCACCCAATGCGACCTCCTCGCCGTGATAAATGAAGTGCACCTACGCCATCAGGAAAGCGTATGCAGCTCAGGTCTTATGCTACTCCGGACGATTTTGAACAGGCTCCGGCGACACGTTGAACTACTCCGGCGACGTTTCGAACAGACTCCGGCGACACGCTGAACAAACACCGGCGACACTCTGAACATCGGCAGCTCATCTACGCCGACGCATTCTATCAACATCGAGGTACAGTGCCCCCGCTTGTCCGCTGTCGCGTTCATTCCTCCTCTCATTGGGCTTCATTACCAACACACAGGCTCTTGCATGTGAGTATACGAGGTCGTGATATATTTTCCTTGGAACCGCGCAGGTTGGGAGCGCACACGGCGCTGACTACCCTCCGTATGGCATGCTCACAGGTGTTCACAAGCGCGATGATCTTGGACAGCGGACTCTGCAGTGCTTGTTCCTTGACGACGGGAGTGGCCACGCAGCTCGTCATCGCTCTGCAGGTGGTCAGCGTGCGGTAATGGGCCCTCAACGGCTTGCTCCTGCTGCGCTGGTGCGGTGATGACCAGCCGTTCTTCTGTGAACAGGGACTGTCGAATTTTCGTTGACCTCAGAGGCACAAGCCTTCTTCCTAAGAGAACGACTGCTCCACCACGGCTTCACTGCGCCCTTGATTCGTTGTCCTCACGCCTTCGGGTGGCCAACGCTTGAAATGACCGGCCTCATTTCCTACGGCGTCTCTTTCGAATACCCTCTCCCACACGCCTGGCGCTCTCAACTCGACAGCGAACACCTCCTCGTCGCCACCGACATTTTCGGCCTTCTCACAGGCAAGTAAATCCGTTAAATGAATGCGTGGGATCTCTGTTGCGTCTGTTGATTTCGCCTGCGTTTGTCGTACAGCCTGCATTGATACGCAGCAAGTAGACTCAAACGGACGAGGGTATACAAACAGTGATCCTGTCAACGGTGGGCGCATCTGATGTTATTCCCCTCACCTCGACATCCGGCCAGGGGATGCACAGTCGACTGCGTCGTGCCTCGAACCTTGCTTTGGGTGGGTGTGGGATTGCCTTGTTCGAAGGGAAATTTACTCACGGTTGAAGATCGGTGATGTGGACTCGCGTGCGGTGCGGCGCTCTACTTTCGAATCTCGCCCAGAGCACTGAAGTAGCACTCGTCGACTTCCTTGAATGTACCTTTTAGGAGCTCAGCGCTGTCCATCACTATACCAAAAGGCTACGCGAATCGAGCAGGCTTGGAACGAATTCATCACACCCAAAACCTTGGCACAATCAAGACGAACAGAAGCGCGCCTTGGAGTGGCAAATACAGCTCGGTGCAAGCATATCCTATATAACTACCCAAGATTGGAAACCACTAGAAGCAGCGGCGCGCAAAGAGACGATATTGACGAGTGGGTGGCGCCCGTCACCGAGACTCTCGGAGCACGGAAGGCGTGCCTCCATCCCGAACAGAAGCCCTCGCACCTTTGAGCCCAGAACTGCGCCTGCATACCTCCTGCGACGTCCAACCTAGAACTCTCACGCTGTGCCCGCCTATTCGGACGGCTCAGCAGGATTCTTGGCGCACCACTGACAGAACCCAGCACGACTCAGTGACAGCAGGAGTATTCATATGAAGACACAGCAGCGCGCCGCCCAGCGTAGAGATCATGAGGTTGAAGGGCCAGCGACATGATTTAGAACGCAACATGCGCTCATCTGACAGATTTGCAGGACGTTGAACAAGGTGAGACGGCGGCGAAAGCCGCCCCGGAGGAGGAAATCGGATTACTTGTCAGGGAGGCGGATAACTTGCCAGGGAGGCGGATTGCTTGCCAGGGAGGTGGGGCGAAACGCCCAGCAAGGCGTCTAAATGTTCCCCGGAGTAGCAGGAGGAGGCGGGCCTCGTGCTGCGTGGACGATTGATTGTAAACAAATACGAATATACTGAATGAATCGATCAATGGCGGGGACGCGAGGAAGGAATCAGGCTCACCGGATAAGCGGGCACTCGGACGACTGGGCCCATGCGAAATGAATATTCGGATTGCTGAACGGGTAAGATTGAACAGACGAGTCGGGAAACAGCAGCCAGTCGGGTAACAGCGAAGAGTAGCGTTTCACGCAGAAGTGTATATGGAGGAATCAGGAAAGAGACTACGTGCGCGAGTGTGAGGTGCGCGCCACCCGCATACCTCGAGGCGCAGTGGTCTCTCCTCTTGAGGCGCGGCTTGGCAGGGAAATCGTTTGAGAAGAGGCTGTCTGTATGAGCGGAGCGGACCAGAAGGCCGGAGGTGCGGATTTCTTCCCTTCCTCGCAGCGTGTTGGCGAGCCAGAAGGCGGGATCGTCAAGGCTGTCAAAGGTCCGCTTTGGTCGGGACGGGCGGGTCGGGGGCTCATCTCACTGTAGCTTGATTATTTCTATGCGAGGGTGGCCGCGCGATAAGCTTCGCACCCATACATGCGAGTCCGGGATAGTCGGGGCCATACGAGGTATTTCCTTGGGAGGCATGTCCTGGTGAGCTCGTGGATGGGTAGCCTCTTGGGGAACCAGTAATCGGTAGCAGCACGCGTTCTCGCCTCTCCATGATCACCAGATTAGGAATTGGGCGAAGGACGGTGGTCAGAGATCGATAAGCTGCCTACTACAACCCGGGAGTGCCCCATTCACCACAGCCTCGAAGATCAACATGTCGAGCTTGCCGCCAACGACGAGCGTAAATCTAGTCTCGCCTGCCGTTCCGGTGAGCCTTGACGCTAGCGCAGGGACGAATGTCGAATCATGACAGAGGGACGAGGGGAGATGGGCGAGCGGCACAGGGACCGTATTCCCGAACGATAAAGGTCCTTTAGACTGGCGGCGGATGTTCCGTGGTTGGGCGACAGAGGTACACGGTCTGGAGACAGAGGTACGCTCCGAAAACAGGGCCAGGACGGGAGTGATGAGGCGCCGCGACGCGAGGGGTAACGGTAGCGCCGTGAGGGTATTGTAGCTGCGCGAAGGATGATTGAAGCGGCGCGAAGGTATTGTAGCATGGCGGCTCCGGCGGTGGCAAGGTCGAGGCCTGTGGGCGCTGCCAGCAAGGGATATAGACGTTTGTCGGTGCGGCGAGGCAGACATCGGAGCAGGGACGCAGTCGTCGGAGGACGGAGGCGAAATAATGCTTGCGGTAGGCCGTGACATGCGGCGTCGGGATGTGGCATATGTTCCTGGGCGTGTTTGAGGCAAAGATATTGTAGATCGAGGGGACCGTATAGACCCTTGGAGGTGCTGCCAGGTTCGAGGCCTTGAAATGCGATGAGCAATGCGACAGCTAACTGGCAGGACAAAAGCCGACAAACGCGAACGAACGCCCGTCCATGGAGCGCCGAGGTACAGATAGACTTGGAGCGGTGCGGAGACCAACAGAGCGCGTAGTTGCGGGAGCACCAACGCCGACCGGGTATACTGAGCCGACAGTAGGTCCCCGTCTAGCGGGGAACAGAGTCTGCCTGGAAGGTCTTTGCTACCCCGGCCTCATCGCAGTTGAGCATAAAGACGACGATGGGCGCATGGAAGAACTCTAGCGGTTGCGGACGACGCCGCCGCCCGGCTATCGTCACGCACGCGTGTGCGACAGGAAGTAGAGGCGCTGCTCACGAGGGCAGATGGCTACCACGCTTCGCTATCACAAGAAGGCAACCATTGCGCCGCCTGAGACCGCGCGTAGCACAGAATGAGCACGGAAGGTTCCTTCTCGATGTAACCGGCGGCTGCTCCCGCAATAAATGTCAACAGACGCGTCTGATGTGCGGTCCGAGGACCGTAGGCCATCTAGCAACCTCGCAAAATGTTGTGCGCAAGAAGAGTCTCCTGCGCTTCGGTCAATTAGAAGAAGGTGGCTACGAAGAAGAGGCTGACCGCGGTGCAGGACGTAGGCGAGGTCGGCACAATCGGAGAGGCGTCCCAGTGCAGCTAACGCAGAGCACGCGCCAGGGCACCCTCCTAGTAATTTGCCGAGGGTCGGGGGATCGCGAGCGTCACCACGCTACAGGAAACCCGCGAAGGCAGGCGATCGCGGACAGGCTGAGGCATGCAGCTGCTCGGAGTCGTTGTGCTATGATGCATTGATGGAGTTTAGTGGCCGCCAACGCGCAGGCTTCTTGGCAGCGCGCGTCTTCAGGCCTAGCGCGGAGTGAGGGAGATAAGTGGTGGACTATGGGGGAGAAAAGGCGGTGTTGCGAGGAAGTAGAGGGGATAAGGAATGGAAGGCGCACTGGTGGTGACAGGATAGTGATGAGAAACGTTTGATGAGGCTGTAAGACAGACGCAAGGTGAGCATGCCTGAGGATTGCCTGAGGAGACATGCTGAGACGCGTCCTTTGCGGAAAGCAAGAGCTGCATGCCAGTGACGACTGGCCCCGAGGCCAGAGAGGATCCCGAGAGTCGCGGCGGTCGCCTCAGCGTGCTTGTACGAACGCAGGCGCGTCAAGACAACGTTGCATGGATCGACGGAATTCGCGGAGTAAATCTATGGGCCTAATCTGAGCTGCGACCTGTGCGGTTAACAGCTCCTCCTGAAGAAGTACGCGCTCGACATAGAGTTAGGTCGGAACAATGCAAGAACAATATAAATTTCTTTGGCAATTTCGTTATGGGGCGCTGTGCACGCTGTGGGGCACGCTCAGCATACAGCAGAGGGTTCGTCGCCACGCGGGATTAAGCAGGCAAGAAGCAGGCGCACGCAACGAGGGATCTGCACGGAAACAATTATGCAGCTTGGCAATACTCCCGCCGTCGCATGCCTGCTACGCCCGACCGGACGCGCGACAGGGCGTTCGACGCGTGAAACAACAGGGATCCTCGAGGTCGTGCGGCGCGAGGACGAGCGAGGCTTGTGGACGGGCTATGTCACCAGCAGTTATTCAACCCGCTGTGTATTTCGCGTAGGAGGTAGACGCGCCGGGAGCCCAGGTCAGCCAAACGGAGCCTACGGAAACAATTCAGTACGAATTGAATTTGCGGAAAATTGCGACCGGCGCCATGGAGGCTGGAGATCCCCGCCGCGTGACCGAGGGACGTGTTGTCAGCAGCTGTACGATTTTCTTCGAACTCAGGCGCTGCATCAGAGAGAAGGCGAGGCTCTGCGGCGTCGAGTGACATGGAAGGCGCAGACAATAAACACGTTCGGCGAATCGGCACGGCGCCGTGCTGTCGGTCCTTGGCGTGGCAGCGCCTAATCCGGCTAGGGCCGGCAATTGCAGCCAAATGGAGACGGATCTCGATCTGTCGTTTCAACGTCAACAGCGACTAAAAATGGGCACAATGACAACCGAGCCCATATAAGGACGCCTGTCGACGCGTCTCCAACTTGAACCACCCGCCCACCTCTCCCGCCACCGCCGCCAACGACGACGCCGCCCACCATGTACCCGACGCGCCCAGACTCGCCCCCGCCCCGCGCGCCCTCTCCCGAGGTTGACTTCACGCCGTTGCCCGTCCGCTCCCGCCACACTTCCTCGACGTCGTCCGCAGCCGCCGCGCGCGCACGCAACCATCTCTCGCCTCCCCGCACTCTGCGCTCCGTGCGCTCAGTAGAAGCCTTCCACACGCGCACGAAGAGGACCTTCCCAGCTCACGACGCCCAGCCGCGGAAGATCAAGTCACACGGGACGCTCCACGAGCAGAGCCCGCCGTCCCTGCCCTCCTCCCCGCGCTCCACCGCGTCCTCCTCTTCCTCTTCGACGTCATCCAGCCGCCGCTCCCACCGCTCCCTGAGCCAGGCCGTTCCGTACCGGTCGCCGCCCGCGAGCCCAAACCTCATGGCGTCGCCGCCGCCCGTCCCTCCCATCCCCGCCTTCGCGCTCGACGAGCGGCTGCCGCCCAAGCAGGCGGCGAAGGCCAAGCTGCACAAGCGCGCGCAGGCCCAGGCCCAGCCCCTCCCCGAGCCGGAGAGCATCGCGCACCTGCTTGGCCGGCCCATCGTCAGCCGGAAAACCTCGTTCCGCGACGTGCGTCAGGCAGGCCTTACGTGCGCCTCCTTTTTCCACCTGCGGAACGGGACGCGCCACACACCCACTGCTACGGCTGTGTGAGCGCTCGACCCTGCCCTGCCCATCCCAGCCTATGGACTCTGTACCCCTCCCCAACCGCGCTAGCCGCCTCGCCACGATCGTTCACGCCCTCGCTTATAATATGTATATCCCTTAATCCCTGGACTCGGGTCTCAAAACCATACGCCCATCCTTAATATGCCGACTGCTCCTAATACCTTATTGTCCCCAGTCCCCGCATGCACCGACGCTCTCTTGCTCCCTGGCTGCTGTGCTGCCTTAATACTGGCTGCTGCTTCTTGCTCCTGCTCACCACATTCCGCTCAGCCCCCCTTTCTCTCTTTCTCCCTCCTCTGCACCATAAGCTATGTATTTTGTATATACAACACCTGGCGCGTCCCGTGTACTTCTATATACTATCGGGCGTCCTTACATCCATCCCAAGGCGTACATACTCCTTACTTGTAGACCGTCGCCGCTCACATCACTGTACCCACCCACCATCCCACTGCACTCAATGACAATCTGGTTGATTGTCGTCGTTGACACCTCTATGTTGCCGTGCGATTTGCCGGGTTGTTGAGGTGACCGGTAGCCTTCGCAAGGTAGGGTGCCTTTCGTGGCACACGCATGCCTGCCTGTGTCTCCCTCCGACGCGTACGGACTTTGCGCTCGCACATTTACGGCCAATTTGTCGCCTACGGCGTTGCTGCAACCACCTCGATGCGACTGACGCTGTCCTCCGGAGCTCGTACGCAGCATCCTGTCCCGGTACGTACGCGCACTGCACTCTCAAACTCAGCGGGCGAGGAGGGCTAGCCTCAGGGTCAACTACATAGAATTTGACCATGCCACAAATCAATGTTTGATTTGCTTTCTGCTAGCTGGTCCAGGGCTTACAGCGCACAGGCTGCGGAGCCTGCGGAGAGCGCATATAGCAGGGTCATCCTACGGTTAAGAAGCAACACATATAGCAGGCTACGGACGGCGCATAGCAGGCTACAAACGGCGCATGACCAAGTCATCGTACTGTACCTACAGCGCACGATCTATACAGCGCATAGCCAAGCTAGCGTCGGGAGACCGGCCCTTCTTACGCGAGCGTCCGGAGACCGGTCCTTCTTGCGCGAGCGCCCGGGGAGTACCGCGCTCATCGACCCACACCGCGTTCATTAGTGCTCGTGACCGCGTTTAGGCGCGTGTAGGGGGTGAGGGTAGGGTCACCGTGCATTGGTGAACTGACGCGTCTGAAAGCGGTTCGTTAATCGCGCAGGGACGTGGTTCATTGTACGCACAGGACCGTGGTCGATTGTACGCGCAGGGACGTGGTTCAAGTTGCGCGTAACCGCTGAGCGTGTTCTATTTCACGACCACTGACCCTGCAGGACGCGCGGGCAGGCAGCAACACATTACGCACGGTCATTGTCGGAACGGCCGGTCGCGTAACGGGAGGGCTGGTCGCGTAGCGGGAGGGCTGGTTGCGTAACGGGAGGGCTGTTTGCGAGTCGGATACCGTAATGGGCAGCAAGCCCCGGCGGTTTCGTAGGCTCGTGTGCTTAGGCCGGGACTGGGCGGGCTAGTCTGCAGGATCGTCTTAGAGTGGTCGTGGTTATGTTAGTCCGTTGGGGGTCCTGTTAGCATGGGGATTTTTGTTAGTATGACTCTGGGGATGGTAGCATGGCTTGCGCGGCGTCCAGAATGGGGAGGAGTACGCATTGCACGACACGATGGTCAGCGTTAGCCGGCAGGCGGTCAACCGTACGCCGCCCCGAGATTCGCCGCTCTGCAGGACGCCCATCCCTTGTCAGAGCGCGCCGCCTGAGGTGGCCTTCCTGCCAACAATTGTTGTCGAGGAGCGCTAGGTGGCATGTCGGGCTCGAACCCGCAGTTGGCAAGCGAGCGTAGATCACGCTTATTGGCGGCGAGAACGTTCCGTGGATGCGCTGGCGAGGGAATAAGGCCGTCCTCGGGCGGACGCGGCGTTCCATGGCTAAGTCCGTCGTTTACTAGCTTGACCGCGGACGCGCTGATCCTGACGCGCAGTGAGTTCATGCCCCGGAATTCTTCGAGAGAAGGAGACTTCTCTGAGACGAGACGACGCCGCAGAAGCCCTCCCGTGCGGTATTCTGTCTTGATTTTGGACGATGGACGGGATGCGGAGGCGGCGAATTGGAAAGCTCTTGAAGTTGAAGTGTGAGCATAACGGGGTTCGACGGCGGCTTGCCTGAGGCGCTGCACTCTGCAAAAAACTCCGCGGATGCATCGCGGAGAACGCGACAAACGTGCGCTCCCACCTCCAATGAGAAACGACCACCAGATCCCTACCCGAGAACCAAATCTGTTCCTCGAGAAGCGCCAGATGCGTTTCCAGGCAGCAGGCAGCAATGAGTCGACTTCCGAAGCGCGCGCTTCTCAAACCGTCGTCAAGGAAAGAAAGGGGTGACCCAATATGGGCGATATAGTGTCCGGAAAATACCTGCGTACCAAAATGGAAAGCTCGAGGCTAAGTTCGCTCAAAAATCGGAAGCTGAGTGTCGAGGGCGCGAATTTGCGAAGGTCTGGAAGGGACTTCGTCGTTTAACGTGCCATGTGTGACTCATTCCCTAGTCGAGTGTGTCCGAGCCAGTACATGTGTCCCATTCGAGGTGCACCGGGACTTGCCGTGCGCCTCTGATGCGCCCTGCGTCGGTACTCACGACGACGACAGCGGCCTATTAGCGGTGTTTCGGCCGCGGGAAGGCGCTCAACAGGGTCTTATACAATGCACTAGCTATCTGTGGGCCACTTTGTGAGGCAGCGAAGCGCCGAGGCGGTGTCGCCGTTGACTGTCGGTTGCCACGTGCGAGGCGGGAGGCGGGAGACGGGGAACGGCAACGACATAGAGCCAACCACGTGCGGCGACGACTAGCCCTAAGCAGGTCACGGCGAGGGCTCCCCACGACTAAGTCCCTTCCAAACCTTCGCAAATTCGCGCCCTCGACACTCAGCTTCCAATTTTTGAGCAAACTTAGCCTCAAGCTTTCCATTTTGGTACGCAGGTATTTTCCGGACACTATATCGCCCATAACCCAACACGGCACAATTCAGCGCACTGAATCTCAGAATCCTCGGAGGCGCCCTTGGGCCGATCCTCGTGCTGGCGCGTACGTGAAGGTGCTTCGAGTCGCACAGCAATCAGCCTCCGATAGGACCGATGGGACCATCCAATGATGATGATGAGGTTCTCGGTCAAATCCTGGCTGCCTGCGGCTGCAAAGTAGCTGATCCCTGCACCGGAGATGAAAGTATTGTCCGCCCTGCGCGACGACGGACGTCCTATTGACGTTGTGAGGCGCAGAATTGACAGCGAAAAGCAAATGCAAATGTCATAAAAAAGCAAGCAGGCGTTGTTGCCAAGAGAGCGAGGGCTGTCGATACGGTTGGAAGGAGGAGGCAAACTGAATTGCTTCCGCTATCCGGCAATGTCCGATCAGTAACGCGGTCACGTGGTCGATGTTCAACTTAGAGCTCGCCATGAATGCGAAGTTGTGAACTCAGCCAGGACGCGAGACGGGCACACGAGACAGAGAAGAAGCTCCTTACACGGGTTCAAGTACCGAAGTTAGTATATAGCCTGAATAAATACGAGTCCCATGTGCCTGATTAGACGGAAATGCACAGATCCGCCCCTACTACTACAAAGTAGGAGAGCTTAGTCCCTTGTTACAGAATTAGCTGACAAACACAGCGTTAGTATATATTCAGAGACAGAGATAGTACTACAGAGCCACGTACGTGTGCAAGGTGGCCACCGACAACAGGGCGGGCCCTAAAGCCGTCAGCCTTGAGGTCGGCCGTCTCGTACCAATCACCAAAGGGTTCTGCGCGGATGTCAGTCAATGATGACTCTAAGAATACCAAGCATACCATCGCTCAATCCGCTGGAAGCCCAATCGTAGACACCCTGGATCAATGTATCGCGGACGCTGTTGTCGGTGACCCAGGCCGAGGTCCAGATTTCCCAGTCTATCGAACGGTTTCAGTAGCATGCTTGAGGAAGGGGCAGACGGCTCCCGAGACGCACCAGACTTGGTGTAGCCATGACGCGTGTCCAGCGCAACACCGTACTGAGCTGTGACGAGTGATTGACAGACGTTCTTTTCAACGAGTAAAGTAATCACGTACCCTTGACCTTGTCGTACCAAGCCGTCTCTGTTTCCAGTATCAGCCTATGCGGGTATCCCTCCATAGAAGACTACGCACGCATCTCGTAGATCGAGTCGGGGAAAAGCCCAAGCCCGAGCAGCTTGTCGCCGAAGAGGTTGTAGGACAAACCCCACGTATCGTCTTGACCATACTGCAGCGTCAAGTGGTCGCCGCTGGAGGCCGTGGCGTATGTCTGCCACTTGCTCACGTAGTCCTTCGCAATTGACTGCAAAGGCGATCAGCAAAGCAGCCCGAATGCAGAGACACTCGATATTCCGAGTCTCGCGGGCCGGTGAGATCCAGACACGCACGCTATAGTTGTTCGCCTTATCATCATCGCCGAGGAGCTTTGCAATCTCAGCCATGGCGCCGATGCCGACGATGCCCTTGATCGCGAGGTTCGTCTGGTTCTCGAGGTGGCCGGCGAAGTCGTCCGTGCTGAGCTGGTCCCCCGGGATGAGAGAGTCCTCAATGAGGTATTGCGTCCATTGGTCGAGGAGGGCGGACTAGGAGGGGATGTGCGTGTCAGATTGGCGAGATGCGGATGCGAGAGATAGGGCGCCCGCGTACATGGTCCTGGATCATGGAGAGATCGCCCGTCTTCTGGGTGTAGCTGAGCGCCATGATGAGCATGTTGCCGGATTCTGGATCATCATCAACGTGGCGTTCGGACTTGCAGCAAGGGACAACTAACCCTCGACCGGCATCGCCTCGTCCTTCCCGTCGTTGTGGCCGAGAGCCTTCGGGTAGCTCGAGCCCATGTCGTGGATGCTCCACTTGTTCGGGTAGAGGCCGCTTTCCTGGTAGCGGTACAGCGCGTCAAGGAGGTACTTGCCCAGTGCCGGGTTAGTGTAGAGGAGGATCGGCCACGCCGGGAAGCTAGTGCGTTGCGTCAGCACTCTTCATACTCACCCCAGTACACCCCCTTCCATTACATCCCCTTCAAGTGCACCCCCCTGAACACCCTTCTTTGAGTCGCTAAAGCACTCACATGACATCTACCGTGTTCATGTTCCCATCGCTCGAGATCTCCTTCATGAACAGCAGCACATCGTCCGTATTCCACGATCCGTCGCCGTTTTTTGAGATCGTGAGCTCGACCGCGCCGAAGGCCTGCCGGATGGAGAGCGCGCAGATGGCGGCGTAGGCGTCGGAAACGGCTGATGCGTCCGATTGGAGCTTGGCGTCGAAGGCCTGCGCGCTGGCGAGGGCGTTGGAGTAGTCGCCGAGGAATGCGGAGATCTGGGAAGAGCATGTCAATGAGCTGTCCAACACATAGTGTGCTATGAGTGGTAGGGAAGGGGGGCTTCGCCGCTTACCATGTCATCGACGGACCCGTAGGCACTCCATGCGTAGAGGGAACGGTCCTGGAGGACGTTTCCCGCAGTAGCGTACTGGATAGCGGGGTCGCGGACGTGGCCGATGGTGAAGAGGACCGAGTCGTCGAAGACGCTTCCGAGGTCGTGCGCAAGGCCGAAAACGGGCCAGTTATCGTTGATAGCTGAGGAGGGTTGTTAGGCTGTGTAGCGGAATGGGAGGGCGACTATGCATACCACGGAAGTTGGTGTCCTCTGTGTTTGCAAGAACACCGTTGTTGATGAACTGGGCGCGGACGGCGACGTCGGCGCCGGTTTGATAGGTCGCGCTGTTTGACTGGACCAGGAAGTCAGTTACCGGTGAATATACTGAGGAAGTGCTCCCATACCCATGGCGTCGAGTAGTAGATCGATCCATACTGGGTGTGGTCGTTGTTCTCCGAGTACTCTGCCTGGTCCTTGAGCTGTGCTTGGTGGGTGATGATGTCGCCAGTGCGGGTGGACCACGTCGCCTGGAGGGAGCTGTCGCCAGAGACCCATTCGGCGCTGATGTCGGAGTAGATTTGGACCTGGTGGGCGGCTCCGTCCGTGGCATGAACAGAGACCTCGACGTAGGCGAAGGGGAGGGAGCCCTTTACGAGGTCGGTGGGCTGAGAAGATGTGTCAGTGTCAGTGGTCCAGGTGATGAGCATCATCACGTACCTCGACTGGGCTCAGGAAGTTGACGGTCAGGTCTACCGGACCAGCAGAAAGCACAAATGTGCTCTGGGTGGCGGTGAACTGAAGAGGCGCATCAGTGGCGATACGGACGGGCTGTGATGTGATACAAACCTCGGAGCTCTTTTGCGATGCATGCTCAAAGGTCGCATCGCCAGCGTTTCCGTTGCCGAGCCAACTGTACGCCTTGCCATCAACCTTGACGAACCCGGCCCATCCGAGGGGCTATAAGCAGCGTCAGCCAAGCCAGTGACGAACAGGGAACAAAGGGATCATACTGATCCAGTCCAGAAGGCCGGCCACTCTTCATTTAGGGCCTTGCCAGCCCCTTGCGGAAGCCAAGCCGATAGATACGGGCTGCGTACTGCAAGAGGAATGGAATGCGGGTTGAACGGCTTCGCGTCCCAGGCAACATCGGCGCGCGCAACGCTGGCGAGCGCCGTGAGGGCTACGCCCACCAGAGGTAGGGCGAAGAGCATGACGGTACGGACGAGGAGGGGGAAGGAGCGAGGTCGCGATTTCAGTCGCGAGATGGACTTCGCTTCTTAAATAATAAATGCGCTCGAGCTCGGGGCTTCGGCAATGAAACGGCGGGGTATAGAGACCATGACTGACGCAGTAACGCTGGACAGCCTAGATCGGACGTTGTGCGGGGTTTCTCAAGCGTATTCAGCTACGACACTCTCTGGGTCATCCTCACGAGATGAAGAGGGAGGCACCACTGCGCGTGTGGGCGCAGGCACGAGCGGGCGTAGGGGCACAAAGGCCTTGTAACCGCACGAGCTGGGAAGCGTTCCCTGCGGAAATGGCCGTCAGCTGATGTCTGCCGCATCGATTGGTAGAGGTAGGCCAGCGCTCTATTCATTCGTGACATCAACGGAGAGGCGAAAGCTCACGACATCTGCGAGTAACGGCCTCCGCAGGGTTCCATTTTTGTATACGATTACGATGGCTAGGGCACTCTGGTCGGTCAGATGTCTGCGAAGAAGCCTTTGAGAGGTACGAGACCCGACAGCTTCGGCCAGATACTGGCTCATTAGCTGCTTGACGGCTTGACGAGGGAGATCGCCCTGCAGCTGTCGCTTCCAGCCGCTGTGAATGTCTCCCAGATCAAGAGTAGAGATAGCTGCCTCAAACATCATCACCATCGCGACAGCATCTCAATGGCCAACTCTCCGACTCGAGCCTCTGTAGGTGTGTGAACGGAAGAGACAAGTCGACGGCTGTACTCGAAGCGGCCCGGTCCGGGGGTGCGCCCGCAAAGTGCGGGCTTGGGCTTCGGGTGCCTGGACCCCCCACGTTTATTGACGGCAAACGCCGAAGGACGCGTCCTCTCGAAAATGCCAAAGCGCAACTCTCTTTCTCCCAATACCCTGGCGGTATCCGATACTCCCATATACCTCCAAAATCCAAATAATCCACAGTCTATCCTCTACCCTCTCTTCCTCTACTCGCTCTTCCCGTATACTCGCTCTAATACCTCGGACGCTCGCCATGACCGGATCTCGCGCAGCTCTCGTCTTCGTCCTGCTCCTCCCGCTCGTCGCGCAGGCCGCGCCGTGCCCACTCGCTCATAAGCATCCTCGCCAACTGCAAGATCTGGACGACCCCTCTCAGCAGCCCTTCGAAGCCGCCTCCGACTCCGACACGCTCTTCCTTCCTCCTGGCTTCATCGCGCCCGTCGACAATGCCACAGACTCCGTCCCGGACGCGCCGCCTGCTCCTATTGCTCAGCCCGACATCGGACCTCTGATGATGGGCTACTACCCTGACTGGACATCGGCGACGCTCCCACCTGAGAAGGTCGACTTCTCGCGCTACGACTGGGTCGACTACGCGTTTGCGCTGCCTACGCAGGACTTCAACGTGACCTGGGACGACCCGAACGCCCCCGCTCTTCTTAATCGCCTTGTCACTGCCGCGCACGCTCAAGGAAGCAAGGTCAAGTTGAGCATTGGCGGGTGGACGGGGAGCAAGTGAGTTTGTACCACGCATATGGGCGCATACATGCTGACATTACCGACTTTATCAAGGTACTTCTCGCCAGCGGTCGCAAGCGATAGCTCTCGCCAGACCTTTGTCGACAACATCGCCCTCGCGTTCGATCAGTACAAGCTCGACGGCATTGACATTGACTGGGAGTATCCTGGACGCGCAGGCAACGACGGGAACCTCTTCATGCCTCAAGACACCACGAACTTCCTTTCCTTCCTGAAGCTGCTTCGCGCGAAGCTCCCTGCCGACGCACACATATCTGCCGCTACGCTCACTACGCCCTTCGTCGACGGGAACGGTGCGCCGTCTGCCGATGTTTCCGAGTTTGGCGACGTCTTGAACTGGATCACGATGATGAACTACGATGTTTGGGGCTGTATGTGGACACTGTTTTGAGGCGCATATATGCTGATTTCTATACAGCATCCTCAAACCCGGGGCCGAACGCACCGTTCTACGACGCGTGCCACAATTCGACGCAGCCGCAAGCGAGCGCGGTCGCTGGCTACGAGCAGTGGACGTCCGCGGGATTCCCTGGTAACAAGATCGTCCTCGGCATCCCCTACTACGGCTACCGCTCGAGGTCCGACAACACACATCTCCGCACGCGCGACGACGATAATGCGCAGGTCGAGTTCCGTGACCTCGTCTCCAACGGTCAACTCGTGAAGAACACCGACCCCAATGGTCCTGCGTACATCGGCGGCAACGGGTTCACGAGGCAGTGGGATGAATGTTCGGGGACGCCGTATCTCGTGTCGTCGGAAGCGCACTCGGTGATCTCGTACGACGATCCGGAGTCGTTGGCGATGAAGGCGAAATGGGTGAAGGAGATGGGGATGATGGGGGTGAATACGTGGGATGTGCATGGGGATACGGATGATCTGGTGTTGGTGAGGACGGCGAGGGAGGCGATGGGGTTAGCGTAGAGTGGACGGTTTGTCTGGTCTTGTGGGCAATGCGATGTGCTGAGGAGTGGAATATTTGGGCTGAGCAGGATGGCTATCGTTTTTTCCGTCAACGCGACGTTCTTGTCTTGTCAATGTGTGGCAAGTTGAGATCTGTTGAGATGTGTACCCACAGGAGCTTACTCGTGATTACAGTTCAGTTCAAACCATCACATCACATTACAATCAAGGTTGGGGACCAATTGGCATGGGAGGGCTTCAGTCTACGACCAAGGCAACAACCACCGTATCATGAATCCCGAGCGCTCTTGAGTTCTGTTCCGGAAGAGCGAGACAACCTTTCATTGAGGGAGTGATCACAAATGACGTGGTTGTCCGCGAGGCTAGAGCCGATGCAAATAAGGTAATCCAGACTGAAAATCGCCGGGACAGTGCGTCTCGCGTTGCCGCATCTGAGGTCGACGAGGAACAACTCGGGTTGAACCACTCTATCACGATGATGAGTGGAAACAAGGGCCAACCTGTTATTCCGCACCACTGGCTGGTAGGAGGCAACCCTGCGATTCGTGTGAGATGCTCTGACGTTCCACATGCAGCTATCGGCGCAAAAGTACGACGACATCATACCCGTTGAGTGGCTGGATGTGCCCATGCAGGTCGGAGTGGTGATCAAAGTCGCTGGGCGGGTGACGAAGGTTAGTATGCTTCATCGAGAATACTCAGAAACGACGAAGTTGCTCACAAAAAATGTTCTCTTACGAAATCCAGCGCGGGGAGGACTGCTTAGTGCTGACCGCCAAGAACGACGAGGACATTTTCCTGTTTTTCTCCCCCGATGTAAGGAGGGTGAAATGCGCTGTTGAGCCTTGAAACTGACTTCCCTTGGACCCGTAGTTCTCCAGCACGCGGTCCATCCGGGACACGACGGAGAGAGTCTTCGTTATTGGCTTCACATTTACCGAGAGAGCCATGTACATCTTAAGAGTGAGGGAGAACAGGCTGCAAGATGTGTGCTATAGTGTGCCTCCTCCGACACGGGCAAGTACATCTCACTCGTGGGCGTTATCTTGGTGCTGACGCTCCGTGGCAGCTGCCGCGGCTCGATACAGGGAAGCTGTGCATCGAGGAGTGGGCGGAGAATGTAATGGAGGAGAAGGAGCGAATGGAAAGGCGCCTGTGACATTCGTCGCGTGGGCAATTCTCCCGGCGCGGGAGGCGATGGGGTTGACGTAAAGAAGATATTGTGTCCAATATTGTTGGGTAATGCGACGTGATGACGAGTGGAACATCTGAGATGGATGAGCGTGAGGGCGAGCGCGACAGTCCTTGAGTAGACATTTATGGCAAATCGATGTGTGGACCCACAAGTGCTCACACGTGATCTCACTTGTTACCATCACATCACACCCCGACATCACAATGCCAAGGCAACAACCACCGTTTCACACTCCCCCGCACCCCGACGAGCGCTTGAGATTGGCCTCTGCATGGGCTCCGTCGATCCCCCTGACCCGCTATCGATGCGCGCTATACACTGTGAACTGTACGAAAACTCAATGCTCAACTGAGTCGACTCGGCTTGCTGTAGGAGATGGGAGATGCAGAAGATGGATGGAAGATATAAAATCTGCATCAGCTCGCTGCGACAGCCATCGTGTGTTTGAATACCTTGCGGTGTCCAGGACGATCAAACCCACCCCACGTCGTTGAGAGCGGTGCGCGCTCTCTTTCTCGACTCTCATCTTCATTTTCTTAGGTTTCGTGGGCTTTCGGTCACTGTCCCTTCTGCTCGTCTTGGTCTCAGCCTGGTCCTGCTTCAGTATACCCTCGCTTGACTCCCTCCTCTCGCTCGATCGCCCCATGAGCGCCCTGCTCTCATACTGCTGGCTGAGCCTCCTTCTCCTCGCCGCCCGCGACGCCCAGGCATGGGACGCGAAGCCGTTCAATCCCGCCTCAGTGCCCCTCGCGGTGCGCTCACCCTATGTGTCGACGTGGCTGCCGCAGGGCAAGGGGACGGCGCTGAACGATGCATGGGCAACGTTTTACACGGGTGGTGTGAGTGTACAGTAACCTCACAGTGCTTGCATCCAAGGTGGCTGGTGTATGTTGCTAACAATTGCCGTAGATCACCGCTTGGGCTGGCTTCATCACGGTCGATGACAAGCCGTACTCGTTCATGGGCGTGCCCGGCGCAGACGCGGATTTTGAGAAGGCGACGCAGAAGAGTGTGGAGGTGCGTGTAACCATTGCGTATGGTGATCAGGGTGGTTGAGGCTCATGATGCCCGTCGCAGATCACATCGACGCAGAGCATCTATGTGATGACCGCTGGTGCAGTGGACCTTACCGTGACGTTCTTGAGCCCAGTGGAGCCTACCGACCTCGTTAAGCAGTCTATCCCGCTATCCTACATGTCCCTCTCCGCCGCCTCGAACGATGGCAGCGCGCACTCTGTCCAGGTATACACTGATATCAGCGCAGAGTGGCTATCGCCGAGCGACGGCGCCCAGCCGGTGAACTGGACTCTGGAAGATGGCGATGTGCTCTCGCATACTCTGTCGCTGCAGACCCAGCTCAACTACGAGGAGAATCATGATATGATCAGACGTACGTATACTCGAATAACTGAAACCAAGACATCTGCTCATGCTCTTCACAGAGGGCTCCGTCTACTATTCCACTGCCAAGGTTCGTCCACTCGCCCCTCTTCGCTCCGCATATTCTCCTCACTCTCGCTCCCTAGACAGACGGCCTCACCCACATGTCCGGCCCCGACAAGACCGTCCGCACCCTCTTCGTCAACTCCTCCGCCCTCGACAACTCCCAGGACACCACCTTCCGCAACATCTCCGACAGCTTCCCCGTCTTTGCCTTCGCGCACGACCTGGGCGATGTCAAGGATGCCACTGACCCTATCGCGATGAGCATCGGATTGATCAGGGAGCCGGCGGTGCAGTATGTGGTGGGCGGAAACAAGATGCAGGATCGGAGCTTGTTCTTTTGGACGGAGTATGGGAGTGTGGGGGATTTGGTGAGTGGGAGCGGGTTTTGTGGGAGTGGGAAGCGGGATTGGAGGCTGATTGTGGGCACGGCAGATCAAGGACTTCTTGGGCGACTACAAGGATGCGCTGTCGCGGGCGCAGAAGCTGGACGAGCAGATTGACTCGGACGCGAGTGCTATCAGCAACGACTATGCCAGCATCACTGCGCTCTCCGTCCGCCAGGCCCTCGCTGCGCTCGAGATAACCACCGTCAAGAACGGCGACGCGTACGACAAGGAGGACGTACTGGTCTTCCTGAAGGGTGCGTCGTCTGCGCATGGCCAGCCTTGTCGCTTCTCTGTCATGGCTGACGCCCTCGCAGAGATCTCCAGCAACGGGAACACCAACACCGTCGACGTGATCTTTCCCATGTGGCCCCTGCTCATGTACCTCAACCCGGCGCTGGGGAAGTATATCCTACTGCCTGCGCTCAAGTACCAGGCAACGGGGCAGTACCCGAACAAGTACAGCGTGCACGATATGGGGGCACATTTCCCGAAAGCTATTGGGCATAATGATGGGAAGGACGAGGCCATGCCAGTTGAGGGTGCGTCAGGGGTGCAGTGTTATGGGAGGGGAAGCTGACGGAGGCTCTATAGAATGCGGCAACATGCTCATTATGGCGCTCAGTTATACGCAAAAAGCGAGTGACCATAGCTTGATCAACGACTATGTATGAATGCGTTCGCTCATACCCGCTGAATTACTCACTGACAACACGTTTTCAGGTCGACGCTTTCGACCAATGGACGCAGTTCCTCGTCAATGAGGCCCTCGTACCCGCCTCGCAGCTCAGCACGGATGACTTCGCCGGCCATTTAGAAAACCAGACGAACCTTGCGATCAAGGGCATACTCGGCATCAAGGCCATGTCGGAGATTGCGAATACGATTGGGGATAAGACGGCCGGGTCGAAGTACAGCGTGAGTGAGAACGCCTTCACAGATATAAAGTCTCTAAGGAAGGATTGACTGTAGGATATCGCATCCGACTACGTCTCGAAGTGGCAAGATTTGGCCAAGTCGTCCGAGGGTGGCCATACCACATTGAACGTGAGTTCCATCACGGGGTTGTGACTATATACTTGCTAACACCTGCGTTCAGTACGGCAACGACTCTAGCTGGGGCCTGACCTACAATCTCTACGCAGACAAATTGCTAGGGTTCAACCTCTTCCCTTCCTCTATCTATGATCAGCGTTCGTACTACGCGCCTTTCCTTGTCAACCCACCATCTCACCCAACTGTACAGAAACCGCCTTCTACCAGAAGCACAGTAGTAAGTCGTCTACCCTATCTCCCCCATCCAATCGTCGGGTCTCCTGTGACTCCCTCTCACACCCTCCTCCAGACACCTTCGGCGTCCCCCTCGATTCGCGGCACACCTACACCAAGTCCGACTGGGAGATCTGGACCGCGGCCATCATGTCCGACACGGACACGCGCGACATGCTCATCAGCGCGGTCGCGCAGTACGCCGCGAACGGACAGAACGACGTGCCGTTCTCGGACTGGTACGAGACGACGGATGGGAAGGTGGCGGGGTTCAGGGCGCGGCCGGTTGTCGGGGGGCATTTTGCGCTGGTGAGTGGGGCTTTGGTTCAATGGTTGGGCAAGAGCGACGCTGACCACACGTTGCTTTCAGCTTGCACTGTTAGTATTCGTGTCTTCGTTGTTGGGTTTTGTCAGAATTTAACTTTTCCCAACAGCAACTCCTCAGGTTCGGGCACCTCGACAGCGGACCCTTCGACCTCGACGGACGACGGCGACGAGAACGCCGGTTGTGCTCTGTCGCCACCATTCCCCTTTACGCTTCTGCGTTATTTATTGCAGTCGAGGAGATGACGACTTTCCTCGCACGCTCGACGCGTGCGACCCACACATTCTCTGCCACTATACTGCAGGTAATTTATGTATTTATATTGGATGCTGGAGGAGAACGCAATTGGAGAAAACCCACACGCACCGAGCATACGTAGACGCCTCTTGGTCTACGTCTCGAAAAGGCTTGCTTCAAGTATGCATGCGATCGTATTATCGCAAGGTAAGTTACTCGTGAATATGCCGGTGACAGAGGTGCAAAGGGTATTCACTCGTCCAGATCGAACTCGTCTTCATTGTCCTGATGTTTCGACGATGATGATACCTTAAAGACGGGGTCGAGGCCACTTCCTGGTTTCTTGAGAACGCCTGTGATGTTCCATGTGAACGGAAGTAGTAACAAGGGGAAGGGAACACGCACCAGACATGGATAACCGCAACTCCAACGCAGCGGTGTCAAATGCGTCGTTATTCCCAAGCTCCTCGAAGCCGACAAGTCTGCATAAGCTTGTCAGCTATACGAAGATGCAACATCACGGGGACACGCACCTATCCTTCGTAACACCGTCGGCGAATACGATCACGCATGGAAGGACCTTGATCTGGAGCTTCTCTACCAGCCAAGGGATGTTCTCGACGAAGACGCGGAAGAAGCGCGTGTTGTAGTACTTCGGCGCGAGTTTCTGAAAGGGATATCCATCATCAACAAGTGTACGGGGTTCTGTAAGGCAGATTGTACGCACAGCAAGGTGCTTATCCATGATCGCGCATCGCTTGAAGTTGGAGTGGTAGAAGTGCACGACGCAGCGTGGTTCGCGCCTGTGGAGAAGTGAGCACAGGAGCAAGGGGGGTAGTTTGAGCACGCACGCAGTTATTCGAATGACCTCCTTCTCGTCCTGGATCTCGGTGTATTGCCCGTAATGGTTCTCCTGCATCTGCTTCACTCGTTCCATCCTAGCCTGCCATTAGCTCGGGCTATGCGTCGGAGGCCCTGCACTCACTCGCTCCTGAGTATCGCCATACCCTTCTCTCGTGTCGCAGCATCATCGTCGTTCTCGATCTCCGCCTCGAGCTCGGCGAAGATGGCATCCTCGTCCTCGTCGCTGTCCCCGTCCCGATTCCTTCTGGACTCATCGTTCGGGTCTACAAGCCGCGACGCGAGTGACGATATTCTGACTTGGACTGAGTTGTGATCACACTCAAGACCAGTATGGTCTACGACTCACCTGTCCGACATAATTCACGCCGACCACGAGGGGAGGAAGTAAAGCAGGCAATACTTGCCCGAATAGGCGATCACCATTGTCCATCTTGACTCCCACACCCATCAGCGAATCAGATTCGCCGCGATGAAGCTCGTCAGCAAGCATGTCGATAAACATGGGGCCGTAGGTAGATCGTTCATTGTGTTCGGTGATGTAGGAGGCTGATGAAGGTTACAGGGCCATGTAACGCTGAGGCCAGAGGACGACGAGGACATGTGGCATCTCTATAATCTTATCCAGAAGGGGGACTCGGTTAGGGCGCCGGCAGTGAGGTGCGTAGCATCCCCCTCTCGACGCTCCATTCTCTGAGATGAATCCAGACGCGTACAGAACGTCTCCTCGACCGGCTCCGTCGAATCACACCGCGTACGCCTCAACCTCACCCTCGAAGTCAGCAAGGTCGAGTTCCTCTCCGGCGCCGCCCCCGCGGGCTCAGGCCCCGACTCCTCCGGCGACCCCAACAACCCGCAGAACTCCTCCGCCGCGCTGCAGATCTCCGGTCGCGTCACCTCCGAGAACCCCCACGTCCGCATGGGCGCCTTCCACACCCTCGACGTCGAGGCGAACCGCGACGTGCGCATCGAGAAGGCGGATGGGTGGGACAGCGTCGCGCTGCAGCGCGTCAACGAGGCGATTGAGCCCGGGCGCGGGGCGGAGGTCGCCGCGGTCGTGTGTGGGGAGGGCACGGCGGCGTTCTGCTTGCTCTCGCAGCATATGACGCTGGTGACGCAGCGCATATCGGTCCCGGTGCCCAGGAAGGCGGGCGCGTCGGGGGCGTCGCAGCACGAGAAGGCATTGGCGAAGTTCTATGCGACGCTGTACGATTCGTTCGTGAGGCACGTACCGTATGCAGCGGCGACGCTGCGGGCGATCGTCATCGCGAGCCCGGGGTGGGTGCGGGACGCGGTGCATGATTATCTGTTGGCGGAGGCGGGGAAGAGGGGGGACAAGCCTTTGCAGAAGGCACTGAGGGAGAAGGTGGTGAAGGTGCATGTGTCCAGCCCGCACGTTCATAGTATGGTGGAGGTGCTGAAGAGCCCGGAAGTGGTGGCGCAGTTGAAGGAGACTAAGTTCGCAAGGGAAGGTGTCATGCTTGATAGGTGCGCATCCCCAACTCATGCAGGTCGTGAGCTAACCTGCTTTGTAGGTTCTTCAAAATGCTGGGCACCGACGAGATGCGGGCATGGTACGGTCCAGACCATGTCTGCTTGGCTGCCGACCGAGGAGCTATCGGAACGTTGCTCATCTCGGATGAGCTCTTCAGGTATGTCTGCCTTCAAGGGCAGTATTCATACATTCACACGCGCACAGATCGAGCGACCCGGAAACCAGGAAGAAATACGTCGCCGTCGTCGAAGCTACCCAACAGAAGGGTGGTGAAGTCCTAATATTTTCCAGCATGCATGAGTCAGGACAACGTCAGTACCCCGAATCTCTTTTGCTCCTCCTTCCTGACAGCCATCTCCACAGAACTGAATCAACTTACCGGAATTGCTGCGATCCTCACCTTCCCCCTCGACGTCGAGGTCGTTGAGGCAGAAGAGCGCGAAGCGGCCGAGGAGAGGAAACGACAAGAAGCAGAAGCGAATGGAGTGAAGATGGATGAGAGTAGCTAAGGTTGTAGCAATATCGGTCGTGCGTGTATCTTTATTTCTCTTGTATGCTGTACGCGCCCTTGTAGCCCCTATATGGAAGTCTTTGTATTCTACCCGCGCGGTGACGTCACGCGTCCGATCCGCGTCCATCCATCGGTGCTAGAGGCGGCGTTTGAGTGAACTGCCGTGCATGTTTCTCTCTTTCTCCTCTTTCCCCCATCTTCACAGACGTTCAACACTACTCGCGTTTCCCCTATTTCCAAACAGAAATTTCACGATGATGAGAGGCGCGAAAAGACAGAGGCCTTCAACAGCAACCCGTGAGTCGCCGAACAAGCGGAAGCCGACACCGACGCCGTCTGGCAAATTCGACCCCATCAAGGTCGCGACGCGCGAGAACGCGGCGGCAGTTGACGCGAACCTGCCCCTCGAGCAGCTCTTAGATGCAGTCGGGAGTCGCTCGCAGGACGCTGTGGAGGAAGGAGAATGCGTGGTGTATTGGATGCGTATGCAGGACATGAGGAGTACGTCGCCCCATGATGGGAATGTACCTCTTGCTGACTTGCGCATGTAGTTGAAGACAACCGCGCGCTGGCGCTCGCCTCTGCGGAGGCACAGAAGACGAAGAAGCCACTCGTTGCTATATATGTTATAAGTCCCCAGGACTATGCTGCCCACGACAGGGGAGCGCGAAGGATCGACTTCATGCTACGCAACTTGCGCATTATCAAGGTAAGGCAGCAGCCTTCCCGCCTATCCCTGATGTACTCAGTCCATATGCGACCAGATCAAACTGGACGAGATGCATATTCCACTTCACGTCGTCACCCATGCCCCTCGGAGCACATTGCCCAGACGCATCATCTCCCTGCTCTCGCTCGTCGGCGCGCACAAGCTATACGCAAACATAGAGTACGAAGTGGACGAGCTACGACGCGACATTCAGGTCTGCGAAATAGCCAAGAAGGATGGAATGAAGGCGACCTTCGTCCATGACAAATGTATCGTTGAACCAGGTGTAGCGGTCAAGAAGGATGGGAGCTACTACGCAGTGTGTACTCTGTTCCAGCCGCATCGTTCAGTTTACCGAGCATCCTACAGGTCTACAGCCCCTTCCAACGTCTCTGGCTCGCGACGCTGAACGACTCCCAAGGACGTTTCCTGGACCCTTCCCCAGAGCCGGCCGCGAACAGCAAAAGCGTCCGCAAGCATGAGAAGCTTGGCGATCTTTTCGAAGGCAACGTACCCGAGACTGTTGAGGGCTTCGAGCTTGCTGAAGATGACCGCAAGAAGATGGCGGAATATTGGCCGGCGGGTGAAGAGGCGGCCCTACTCGTGCTGGACCGCTTCCTGTCCACCAAGAGCCGCCCGGAGCAGGCGGGTGGTGTCAATCCACTTAGCCAGGGCGCCGAAGAATCGGACAAGTACAGTCGCATCCATGTATACGGGGACGAGCGAGACAGAGTCAACGCGGATACGACCAGTCGCATCAGGTACGTCTTGCCCTTATCAATTAAATGCGTGATTTCTGACAAGCACCAGCCCTTACCTCGCGTCTGGTGTCATTTCCGCACGCCGCTGCGTGCGCTCTACCATGAAGCTCACCGGCTCTTCTAAGGTTGATGGTGGACGCAACACCGGCATCGGCCGCTGGGTTCAGGAGCTCGCCTGGCGCGACTTCTACGTCTCGGTCCTCGTGGGCTTCCCGCGCGTCTCCATGGGCCGGCCTTTCATCGAGAAGTACGCCGACATTGTGTGGGAGGGGTACCAGGAGCCCGCGGGGAAGAAGGCGAGCGAGCTGGAGGGAAAGAAGGGGCGCTCGATCAATAATGGGGCGGAGCACTCGACGAGCAAGGGCGAGGGGCATAGCGCGACGGAGATTGAGGAAAGCGGAGACATTTCAGAGGTGCGGGCGTGGAAGGAGGGGAGGACGGGGTATCCGATTGTGGATGCGGGGATGAGGTGCATTAAGGAGACGGGGTGGTTGCATAATCGGCTGAGGTGGGTTTGAGCTTTGAGCGACTTTGATGAGGGGAGACTGACATGTTATGCAGGATGACAACGGCGATGTTTCTGGTGAAGGATCTGATGGTGGATTGGCGGGTGGGCGAGCGGGTGAGTGGGCTTGTTCATCGACGTGATCATTGGCATGCTCATGAAGATGTTAGTACTACATGCAGAACCTCATTGACGGTGACCTCGCGTCCAATAACGGCGGCTGGCAGTGGTCCGCCAGCACCGGGGTCGACCCAGCGCCGTACTTCCGTATCTTCAACCCATATCTGCAGAGTGAGAAGGTAGGATATACGTGGTCCTTTGCTTACAGTGTCATCTCACCAATCATCGCACCCAGGCCGATCCCGAAGGCGACTTTATACGCATGTTCTTACCGGAGCTGAAGTCGTTGAAGGGCAAGGAGATTCACAACCCTCCGGCGAATGTGGCGAAGCGGCTTGGGTACCCGCTTCCTATCGTTAAGCACAGCGAGGCGAAGGATAGGGCGATCAGGAGGTTCAAGGCGCCAGGCGAGAAGTAGGCATTTGAGACGGTATTTCTAGCGACAGTGTGCGACTGGGAGACGAGTGGACGTTGTACAAGATATAAATGAATAACGGATGTCATGCTTACTTTGTGGACGCCACGAAGGCATCGCACAAGTGCTTGTGGACCTTCCAATCTCCCGTCTGGCATTTTCTCGAACAGTAGTAAGTCTTCTTGCACCTACTGCACAGAAACGCCTTCCCTCCAGACCCACAGACCGCACAGCAGGTCTCCTTCACCTTGACAGTGCCGTTCCGCTCCATCTCGTCCATCATCTTCTTCAACATCACACCGACATCCTCCAGGTAAGGTACAGGGTATACGAGGCCTATAGCCGCGCGGGTGAGGAGGTGAGAGAGGGGCTTGCAAAGTTGCATAATTGGGCTGTCGGGCAGGTCCTTGCCGCGGCCACAGTCACAGATTGGGCTCTCGACAGGACGCACAGACAAAGGTATAGCGCCAGTGATGTATGCGCAGTCCGGAGCGTGCGTCCAGGTACGACAGCGCTCGACGCAAGCGGGCAGGAATCGCTTCCAGGCGGTCCTTTCCTCGTCGTTCGTAGTGACTTTTTGTAACCCATCGCGATGGAGGATCTGTAGGACAGGCATGACCTCGGGCATGATCGCGTGAGTGAGAGGGAGTATGCAGGTATCCAGGATGACGCTTTGTGAAGGCAGGTCGAGCCGGACGGCGTTGACGAGAATGGTGGTGTACCCGCCGGTCCCGCCTTCCGAGTACAACGTGAAGGCCCGCCAGCGCTTGCCATCGAGAGCGCCACACGCGTGAAAGGTGCAGATGCCGATGCTGTCTTTTATGTTCACGAAGGTGTCGCTCTGGTTCGAGGACCGCTGCAGCTGCAGCTCTCGGTCGGAGAACGTTGACGAGATTAACGGATGCAGCCAACCGTGCATTTCCGCTTTAGACCACGGCTCGTCCAGCATGGGGAGCCTATCGAGGTTGACTGAGCTCCGATTCCAGGCGTGCGTCGTCCCGCCGGACATGATGACGGGCATGCGATTCATGCTGTAACCTCCTTGGGTCGCGGCAGGCTGCGCACTGGCTATACGCACGATGACCTGCGGCGACGCACATCAGTAAGGGAAGCGCGGCTCGGAAACGGGCATAACTCACCTCGACGTAGCCTGATGTGCGTGCGACACGAACTTTAGCCTCCTGACCGTTGACGGGATAGGGAAAGACGATCGTTTCCTCCAGCTTCCCGCCCTCTCCTACCAGGAGCTTCATCGAGCAAGGAGAATGCTGTTGGACCTTGACATTGGCAGACCTTGGAGCAAGTGCATTGCGGGCGGTCGAGGACAGGAAATCCACTCTAGCATTGAAGTGGGAGGGGACCTCCGTGCCTTCCGCAAAGACTAGACGGGGGACGTCCTGTCTCGTATGTCGCGAGGTGTTCGAAGCTGGAAGTGGACTCTGCGAGTCCTGATTGTCGAGAAGAAGGGACCTCGGAGTAGGTCGTATTTCGGCGCTGCCAGCACGCAAGCCACGGACGCGCGGCGGCTGCTTGACGACGAAGGCATCTCCCCCATCAGGAAACCACAAGTGGGCTTAAGTGCCTTATACAAGGCAATTAGACGCATAAGAGGCGTCAGAAGCACCTTCTTACCAAGAAGGTACGCGGCCAATATAAGACTGCGGGGTCTTACGAAGACAACTATAAGACGCCCAGCAGGCACCCTCAGACCGGCTGCAGACACGCTCAGATACATCACAGCCACGGTAAGGCATCTGACAGACACACAAGCGACGCACAGATTTACTTTTAATACTTGATAGCCTTCACACATCGAACGTGGAATGAAGTAATAAACAGCTTTCATTCGTACGAGCACCTACTACATACAATCTCGTAGTTTGCTAAGCTAACTAAATTAACTACTACCGCGACAAAACCCGCCCAAGCGACCGCCTATACGTGCAATACGCCGGGTTATCATAGCGCAGATGGGCACTTCTAATCAACCGGACAGCGCCGACGTACACGAGAGGGAGACATGGGGTCTCGTACGGAAGGCGAAGCTGTAGTTCAGAATGTCAGCCAGCGTCATTGCAACAGCGGGCCCCTCAGACTCACGACCCGTGTCCTACACATCCGTGGTGTTGGCGCCGCTGACCCTAGCGCAAAGGTAAGCTGTTACTCGTACAGTGGATACATACTCATTTGGCATTGTTGCCGCGGTCTCCCAAACGCGGTAGTGTTGATCGTGACAGATTGCTTCATCGCATTGTCATCCGCACCGGACAGCGCGACAGGTAAAGGTATGGCGTGGCGACAGCGTGTATCAGAACGCGCTGGTGTGCTTCAGACTGTGCATGAGCTCAGTCGGAGCTGGGGACACTGCCAATTGAGCTGTTAGATGGTGGAGAGGAGTAAGTGAACGGGATACGCACCTTTGGGGATAGCATCGTGTGTCGGGCGCGAGCATATTGAGGCGACAAGAGGCCGATGATGGGAAGGGCGCGGAAGACGGCTCGGGAAACTCAGGGAGCTCTTGAGGCTCTTGAGAAGCGCGCCGCTGAAGTACCGGACATGACCGAGGGCGGCGAGTGTAGAGGACGCGCAACTTGCGGTCGAGGACGGACGCAAGAGGTGATCGGGGCTCTGTGACACGTCAATGATCGCCGCTTGAGGGCAGGTCAACTGAACTTGCCGCGTCAAGTCTGATGGGTCCCAAGCAGCCCGCTCGCGACGAAATCATCCGCCGCCTTCTCGTGGAGTTTGAGGTAAGGAAATGGTGTCCTAGTATTTATGGCCACTTTCCATGTAGTAGAAAAACATGCACCTAACGTCGGGCTACTGTATAGGCCGAAAATGCAGCGCTTCTGCGCTCCCTTCACGGCCTTCGAAGCCGTTATTGCTTATGTGTTATCACTACACGTGTGCTGAGCTATAGAGAGATGCATGGTCAATGGAAGCCAGCGTGCTACCTTGGGCGCGCCTTAGATCTTATGCCTTGCGCGTCTTACAACCTCATCTGATGGTCTTACCCAATTAGTCAAGCCGGTAAGATGATCTTAAGACGCTCAGGCAAATCGTGGTTTGCTGATGCCCCATGAGTGGCGTGGAATACAGGATGAGGTTGTGCCCAAGTTTGCGCAAGAGGTGCCCCGCCATGCATGGCGTACCTCGGACGCAAAGCCGCACGCTTGTGGCCCTTGGTGCGATCTCGATGAATTGCGAAGCAACAGCCACAGACAAGATGACTGGCGCATGGCTACTTCTCCATGGACTGTCATCCATATCGATGCTGGCGACGGTACTCTCCCCGACACCCTCGCGCACAATTTCTCCGGGCATCAGCTGTATGCTGGTAAAGGCGTTTTGGAACATCCCAGGGGCGAAGAATTCGCACTGCAGTATAGGTGTCCCGACAAATGGGCGCAACTCCTCAAGCACCTGGAAAGCCGAGCGAGGAATACGGACGATAACGAAGATAACTAAAGGCGTCTGACGCCATTGCGTGAACAACGCCGGCCGCATTGGATCGCATCTGAAGCCTGGGAGGAACACCCCGTACGGATGCACATCTTGAAGGTGCGCGTGCGTCGAGAAGTCCTGGAAGAAGTTCCGACCCGTGATGAGCAAGTTGTCATCGTAGATTGTGTCGAACAGCTTGTCCATCGCGCGAGGCCAGTCGGTCTTCACTCTCCCTTGAACCAGCTTTAAGAAGGAAACGAAGCTAGCGCGCACGTCTAGGACGACATTGAAGGCATCCTCCCCCTTCAGCGAGACATCTTTCATTCGCTGGGTGACGTTTTCGAAGGCGAACATGTGCAGATACAGCTGGAAGAGGATGTCGCAGAGCCTTTCGGGCTCGATGGCGACAGGCGTAAGCTGGAGCCCACCGCTTTGAAAGGCGGTCTGATCTCCGGATGCCGGATACTTCCACGCATAAACCTGGCGCCGGTGCTGCTTTCGACTGAGCAGTGAGCTTGGAGGCGCCTTCCCCAGGAAGTGCGAGACAAGCGAGAGAGGTGCTACGCCGATGAGCAATGACAACGTTGTGAGATTGATGCCTAGGCGCTCAACAAGCGCGGTGTCGATAGTTCCGGCAGCCGGCAGTAGTAAGTTCGTGTGAAGAACAGACCATGGAGATTGCCGAAGCAAGGGGATAGTCGCGGAAAGAACGTTGAAGAGGCCGACATGATCAGCGACGTTGAATGTTTCGATGACCTTGAACGTCCGGGGTGGAATTTCCTCCCAACCATCCAGCGCAATCGTACGTGCGTCCCACGTGGACACTGCCTGTCCCCGAACTCCAGCCAATGCGCGACTAAAGGACACGGCGTCGCCGACGTAGGGACGGACCATGAATTTGACGGGCAGCGTGAGGCGTGCTCTGAACGCGCCGCACCAATGACCAAACTGTTGCTTCACGAAGGCGCCTACATCCGCGATGCTGGGTTGAGGTAGGCGTCCTTTGATCGGAGCAAAGAGGCCGGCAAGTTGGAAGCCTAGTATGGGGTCCGACCCGTAGTGCAAGCAGAATCCTTTGCCGAGGTTGGTATAGTAGAAGGTCGGGTTGATGGTGGTGGCCAGAGATGCGGGGGCTCCTCCTACTACGCCGTTCTTCCAGTAATGCAAGTAATGCTCAGGCGCCAGTCCGCTCTTTACCATCTCCAACGAGAACGGACCTGCGGAAAGGCTCGCAGTCTGGACATCACGCGCGTCCTGTCGGCACAGAACCTCCGAGACCCAGATTACGACATCCTCGCGCATCTGCGAATTGAGAGCGCTGGTAATAGAGGACGCCGAATCGGCATATTGTATCCAGAAGGATCGCAAGTCGAGGAGCGTGTGTTCAGATCGAGGTCTGATAAATGTCGAGTAATTACTGCGCAACCACGACTCCATGGACTCAGAGGCGGCGATGAGCTTCCGGCATTGCTGTTACAAGAGCGCGAAAGAGGATTCTGGTATGCGGAAATGATAGACGATGTCCCATATGGCTGCGTCATTGTCCTTGTCGGTCTCGGCGAGAAGAGTAAGAAGCAGTACGTTGCGGGCAAGCACAGCTGCCTCGATGTCGCAACAAGTGATATCGAATTCCCTCTGACCTGCCAGGCCAAGTCAGTGTGTGACCTCGGGTATGATGGACATACGGACCAGCCCAGCGATCTGCGTAGATGGTGTAGAGTATATTCCTCGCGTCACCGCATCCCAAGGAAAGTACGTCGGCGTTCTCCTCAGGCGGTAAGCCTTCTGTAAATATCTCTGCAATGGTGTTTCCGAGGGCATAGAAGAACGTTCTGCGGGGGAAGATGACTGAGAGGGCCATGGCGGTGGGAGGCAAAACTTCAGGCGCCTAAAGGTCATCAGAAGCAAATAATTTTCGTGGATTGATATGGTTAGCGCCCACGAGGTTCGCCTGTACTAGGGTTTCGTTGTCGTCGACCTTCTCGCCACCCAAAAACCATATTCTCCTTCAAATTGGTGGCTCGCCTTCGAGTTCAAGACGCTGTCACTTGTGAACACTCGCTTCCTTGTAGCAGAATGCACAGGAGATGTGACTTGACATGTCGCTGAAGGCAGATCTGTGCTCTGGCGCAACAGGCCTGAACACAGGCAAGAGGATTTTGCCCTCGTGGTTTGGATTCAATGAGCCGGCAATTCCCGTGGACCAAGGCGTGACGCGTGACGGTCTCGCCCCGCAAGCCTCAGTGCTTTCTCGAGGAACTTGGAAGGGCCTTTGACTCTGTGTTCGATGTGTCATACTACCAGTATACGAATGATTTATTTACCGTGCGCTCATCTCGTCGCTTGGTTTTGTAGCTGCAAACAGAAACTGTGTATCTAACGCGCACTGCCACCCTCGAAACGCCACACTATTTTCACAGTCCAAAGTACATCCCTGCCCCGATAACGGCGCATATTTCTTTATGTGCATTCCAGTCCTTCGCCTGGCACGCCCTCGAGCAGTACTTGATTTTCTTGCACCTCGAGCAGGCCATCAGCTGCACTCCGCCCTTCATGCACGCCCAGCAACGATCCTCGTTGACCAATTGCTCCATCGTCTTCGTGGATGCACTGCCCTTGGCACCGATATCCTCCAGGTAGGGCACGGGGAACGCGAGTCCGATGGCTGCTCGCGTCACCAGACGCGCTAACGGTGGGCAACGGCGCAAGACGTCGTTGGTCGGTATGTCTTTACCTTTTCCGCATGCGCAGATGGGGTTGTCGAAATGCCCGGTGGCGAGCGGTGCGCCTCTTTCTAGGTATTGACAGTCGGGTCGATGCGCCCAAGTCCTGCACCTCTCGACAAAGGCGGGAAGCATCTTCTTCCAAGACACGCGCTCCTCGTCGTCCGTGGCTATAGAACAGATGTTTCCCGAGAGCGATATATCCAGAAGAAAGTCCTTGACCTTCACACCCATCTCGTGGCTCGGCATGGGTAAGACGCAAACGTCCAACAGCATGCCCTGCGAGGCCAGGTCAAAGCGAACGTCGTTGACGAATACGATGGTATGGGTACCGTCGGGGCGGTTGAAACCTAGGCCGAAGACCCGATCGTTCGAGGTGCAAACATTGAGCATCATTTCGACGATGTGACCCTTGACCTGCACGAAGGTGTTGCTGTGGTCGGCTACTTGACGCATGGCAAGTTCTCTGTCAGAGAACGTGTACATGAGCGGCGGCTGCAGCCACTTGTAGATCAAACTGATTGGTTGGGACGATGTCATGGCCGGACAGGTTGCGAGGTTGACATAGTGGAGGTTCCATGCGAAGGGCTTCCCGCCTGCGACAACGACAGGCATTCGGTTCGAGGTGTAGCCTCCGCTAGTTACCGCAGGGTCTGCGCTCACGATGCGGACAATGACCTGTCAAGAACACCCATGTCAGTGATATCGAATCCGTACGAACGCCTTCACCCACCTCCGTATACCCCGACTTCCGTGCCACTCTAACCTTCGCGTCACGAGCGTCGACCGGGAAAGGATACGCAACTATATCACTGAACTGACCATCTCCAATGAGCAATTGGACGGTGCAAGGCGAGTTCTGCCTCGCGGCGACGGCGGCGGTTTTCGGCGCGAGCGCCTCGCGAGCAGAGTCGCTGAGGAAGTCGACCCGAACGCTAAGGTGGGAGGGGGTTGTGGTGCCTTCGTTGAAAAGCATAGTTGCTGCATCCTTCCTAGTATGTGGCGACCCGCTCGCAGCCACAGGTGACGCTCCGGTGATGGGAGCGTCGTTGTGTGATGCGTTTGAGACGGGTCCCTCTACATTCTGCACCCCGCCGAAGCCGTGAACATGGGCCGGGTTCTTGACGATGTAGACTCCTTCGTCCATAAGGCTCGCCGAGTGAAGAACGAGTTCGATGCCAAGCGTGGAGGTCAAGTTGGACGCAGCATGCGGTGTCCCGCGAAGCGCCAGCCTAAACATCGTATTTTGAGGATCGAGTTGCAGAAGCCGCGACGGCACAGCAAGCGACACGACCACCGGCGCCTCGCCTTGCCACCCTTCCTCATCCCTTGAGATGACAGCCATCGCATTCTCTCCCTGCCCCTCCAGCGCGACGTCGCCGAACGTGAGCTGCATGCTTGAAAAGATGCTGTGAAACTGGAAGCGCGCGACGAGCTCGCACTGCAGCATGGGCGTACTGACAGTGCTGACGGGCAAGTCCATGAGCGGCTGGAAGGCCGAGCGAGGCACGCGCATGACAAGGTATACGACCAGTGGCGTATCGCGCCAATTGGCGAAGAGGGCATTGCTAGAAGAAGGTGGCATGTCGAAGATCGGCGCGAGATACCCGAAGGAGTATAGCCCGCTGATGTGCGCCTGCGTGAAGAGGTCCTGAAAGTGATTGCTGCCCAGCATGAGCGAGCGATCAGCATAGATTCGGTCAAACAGCAGCTTCATCGCGCGCAGCCAGTCGGTTTGTATCCTCCGCTTCAGCAACTTCAGAAAGGCGGTGAAGCTGGCGCGGACGTCGAGAACGATACTAGAATCGTCACTGCCTTCAATCGAGCGTCTCTCCCTCATCTTCTCCAGGCTCTCGTTGGCGAACATGTGAAGATAGAGCGAGAACAGGATATCGGAGAAGCGCTCCGGGTCGAGGGCAACAGAGTTCCAGATAGGTGACCCATCCTGAAGAACAGCTTGATCCCCGCTCATTGGATACTTCCAGGCGATAGGTTGACGGAACCGTGAACCGGCGACATCGGACGGGGGTCCGGTGAGCTTGGATGGGGGTTTCGAGGAGAAACGCGACAATAGGGGCTGAGGGGCGAGACCAAGGAGCAAGGAAAGCGGAGTCAGGTCGATGCCCACACGCTCCAGAAAACCATTGGTGGTCTTGTCGGTGCGCGGCAACAGAGTATTCGTGTGCAAGACGGACCATGGCGATTGGCGCAGCAGAGGGACGGACACCGTGAGGACGTTGAAGAGGCCGATATGGTCCGCTATGTTCGACGTCTCGATGACGTTGAATGTCCGAGGGAGTGCATCGTCGCCGATATTATCCAGCACGATGGGACGTCCATCGAAAAGCGAGATCGTCTGTCCTGCTTCTCCAACCAACGCGCGGCAGAAGGACAAAGCGTCGCCAACGTAGGGACGGATGACAAACTTGACCGCGGAGGCGAGGCGAGTACGGAAGGCCGCGCACCAGTCGCCGAACTCGCGCTGCACGTAGGCACCGATTTCCGCAATGTCGGGGCGCGCCGGACGCCCTTCGATAGGTGCGAAGAGGCCTGCAAGGTGGAAGCCAAGGATAGGGTCCGAGCCATAGTGTAAGGTGAAGCCCGTCCCGAATTCGGTGTACATAAAGGTCGGATTGACCTCGGTGGCCGTTGCAGTGGGTGACCCGCCAACCACCCCGTGCTTCCAGTAGTGGGCGTAGTGCTTTCCCGCTAGGCCGCTCTTGAACATCTGCTCCCAAAACAGGCCCGCGGAAAGGCTCGCGGTCTGCACGTCGGCCATGTTGTCGCAGCCATCCGTTACTTCCTGAATGCCTTTCTCCAATGTCTCGCGCATATGCTGCTTGAGCGCGGGAATGAAGAACGTAGTTGTCACGTATTTGAACCAAAAGCGCCGCATATCGCGAAGTGTATGCTCCGTCCGCGGTTTGATGAATTTCGCATAGGAGCTGCCCGACCACTGGTCCAGGTTTTCGGAGACAGCGAGGAGCTTGAAGCAGTGGCGCTGGAGGAGAGCGAGCGAGGGTCCCGAGATGCGGAGATGGTAGAAGATTTCCCAAATTGTCGTATCGCTACCCTGGTCGGTATCGGCAAGGAGCGTGAAAAGTAATACATTGCGTGCAAGAATAGCTGGCTCAACGTCGCAACACGTTATGTCGTATGCCCTTGAATCTGCGCGGATGGGAGCATAAGTGAGAGAGAGCTCGCGCAGAGAGGGGGTAAAGCATACCGGCAGTAGCATCTGAGTAAACAGTATACAAAATGTTTCTTGGGTCGCCGCACCCAAGCGAGAGTAGATCGAGGTGCTCTTCGGGAGGTAAGCTATCAGTGAGCACCTCTGCGCTGGTGTTGCCAATTGCGTAGAAGAATGACCGTCGTGGGAAGATGATCGAATGCGCCATGACCGTTGTGAGAAGTTTCTCTGCTGTCAGGTGTATGGATGCAGGCGAGGAACGACCGTCCGTATATTCAATCAGGACAACCTTTCCCAATGCCCTGCTTGTTCGTATGTGCTGTCAATCTTGAACAACGGTGTCTCTTCCAAGGAAAATCAAGGAAAGCGCAGGCTCTGACCCAGAGTAAAAGGGGCACAGATAGAGATACACAGACGAGGATGAGAGTTTGAGGCAAGAGAAGTTTAGGATCGGAACGCGGCGGCAATTGCCGCGGAGCAAGCGCCGAATTGGGCAGGCACGTTCTAGCGGTGGCGCCGCCTTGCGGCAGCTTGTCTCCAACCGTCATGGCCAATCTACGCAGGCATACATTAGCATTCTTTGTCTTCGGATTGATCAACAATGTCCTCTACGTTATCATTCTGTCTGCGGCCCTCGACTTGCTTGCTGCACCCTCCAACACCCCAACCAACCCGTCCAGCCCCTCCCGCGCAGAGCCCGGCAACGCGCCGCCCCCACCGGCGGGCATCATCGTGTTCTGCAACATCTTCCCCGCGCTCGTTGCAAAGCTCGCGTGGCCGTACCTGCTTCCCCCGCCCATCCGCTACGCGCGGCGCGTCGTTGCGTGCTGCGCTATCAGCGCTTGCGGAATGCTCTCGATCGCCTTCTCGAACGGACTTGGGATGAGGTTGGCCGGCATCGGGATGGCGTCGTTCTCGAGCGGCCTCGGAGAACTGACGTTCTTGCAGCTCTCGACGACGTATCCGGAGAAGGAGGTCATGGCTAGATGCGTTGGGTGCGTGGTGGTGCTAGCGAGGGATGTGGCGCGCACTGACTTTCAAGTAGAGCGTTCTCGTCGGGCACCGGGTTTGCGGGACTGTTTGGCGCCTTCCTGTGGTGGACAATACGTGGCTTCGGTGTGCGCGCTGGTGTTGGCAGCTGCACGGTGGGTCGCTTGTATCACTCAGAGAGTGGGCATTTTGACGCCTCCTGCCTAGGTTCTCCCCTTCCTCCTGCCTCTTTGCTACTTCCTCGTACTCGGCTCAGCACCAGAACACGCGGGATCAATGCCAAGCGAGTACACTCCCATCGCCACTGCCGAAGAAGCTCTGCCAGCACAGCCCATCATGACCCACAAATCAACCTCCGAGGTATCTTTGACTGTTAGGGACAAGTTCCAGCTCGTGCGACCTCTCTTGGCTCGCTACATGATCCCTTTGTTCTTGGTGTACTTCGTGAGTCAACTTTCCTCCACTTTCGGTTGTCAACTAATCGCTCGCAGTTCGAATACACCATTAACCAAGGGGTGTCGCCCACGCTGAGCTACCCTCCGCCCTCTACGGCCGATCATCCCATACTGGGTAGGCTCTTCAGGACTCGAGGCGACTTCTACGTCGTCTGGCAGGTGCGTGAGCGGACCTAGCGTACCATCAGGCTTACCTATCATCTCGCAGATGACCTACCAAATGACGGTGTTCTTGTCTCGCTCGTCTCTGCTGCTTTCGATACCAGCTCTTCCAGAGCGCTTGCTACCCCTGCCGGCCACGGTGCAAGGTGTTCTGTTGGCCATCCTGGCTTACATCAGTATCTCGACAGGCTCTTACGGCGTGGACGTTATGGTCAAGGATGGAGATGCTGTTGGCATCATCTATCTCATTCTTAGCCTCATCGCTCTCGAAGGCGTATGTGGTGGCTCTTCCTAGTAAGTTTCCTTCAATGTCGTTGTTTCCCGCGGGCTTACATGGCTGTTAGCGTGAACACATTCTACCGCATCAACCAAGAGTCCGATCGCCTCATCGACGCCGCGAACCTCACGCCTAGCCAGCCCGAGACTGGGCGCATCGCCCTTCCCGAAGACCCTGTCTCCGACGACGAGCCCGACTCGGACGACGACAGGCCACCTTCGCCGACTATGACTCTGGATAGTGGGACGCGTGCGTGGCGTGAAGACCTTACCGCGCGTCCTCCTGCCGCCTCTTCCATATCCTCTGCCGGCGATGAGCGCTTGCGAGCTGCGCAGAGGGAGTTCCTCATTGGCTCTCTGGGCTTTTCGGACTCCGTTGGGATCCTGCTGGCGTCGATTGTCAGCGTGCCCGTTGAGGTTGCGCTGTGCAAGGTGAGGGAGGGCGGGTGCGTGAGGGGGTGAGCCGACGTGCTTATGGCCTTGGGACGACTCCGTATAATGCTATCTTTCCGCTTTATGTATGTGTAATATTGCTCTAATGCTTTCTGCTGTTTGCGCGTCGCCAAATCTTCTCATCCATTGTGTCCGAATATGGATCAGCGACTACCTCTGAGTGCAGATGGCTTCTCTGGCAAGCGAGTAGAACATTGCGCGGTTCGCGGCAATGTCGAGGACCCGTGCCGAATCGAGACAATGAACAATTCTGCGCACGTGCGTCGGATCAACGTCGCGCGGTCCGGGCCCCGGGCCTCGTTCCCAAGCGCGCGCACGGACTCCCTCGCACCACCTTCCATTCACTTCGTTCCACGTATGCCGAGGCGCTGAAGCTTCGCTCCCCTGGTCCCCTTTTTATTTACATATTACACACTCGCTTTCTTGGTTCCCCTCATCACCTCCTTCCCTCGCCATCTACGCTCGCACTATGGCTAGAGTGCAGACGATCGTGTTCTTGTCGCTGGTTCTCGACTTGTTCGCGTTTACGATCCCGCTGCCGCTGTTTCCGCGTATCATTGAGTGGTATACGAAGGTGTGTAATCAAGATGGCTGCAAGGTAGAAGGAGCTGACCGGAGGGGGATGACAGCGGGAGGCGTCCGATCCGACTGGCTTCCTCTCACAAACACTACACTTCGTCCAGTATCTCAGGAGCTTCGTATATGATTCTCCCGTACATTCCGAGAGATGGGATGTGGTCCTGCTAGGTGCGCACGCGCTCTGAGGCCGTGGAACATGTCGCTTACACGATCGCGCATCGCAGGAGGGCTGATGGGTTCCGTCTTCTCGTGAGTCGGATACGACGCGTCAAGACGTTGACTAACCTCTGGGAAGGACGCTTCAATTTATAGTCTCCCCCTTCATTGGATCGTTGTCTGACAAATATGGCCGCAAGAGTGCGTACACGGTGCATATCCCTCCCATCCCCCTTACTCACCTTGGTACAGAGATCCTCCTCATCACAATGATTGGCAACATTGCTAGCGCTATAATGTGCGTAATCATGCATCTGTAGCTGAATTTCTCTCACACCTTCATGGTGCTTACAGATGGATCCAGTCGACAACATTCGCATCCTACATGCTCTCTCGCGTAGTCGGCGGCCTCAGTGAAGGAAATGTACAGCTAGCCATGTGCGTCATACTTTGCCGGCCCACATACAAGGTTCACGACTCACCGACAATACAGCGCCATTCTATCCGACGTCTCCACACCCGCTCAGCGCTCTTCCACACTCGCCTACGTCGGCATCGCTTTCGCCATCTGCTTCTGCATCGGGCCGCCCATTGGCGCGTACTTTGCTTCCGCCTCTTTCCCCCACATCTTCAGCTCCATCGAGCTCAACATCTACGCCGTGCCCGCTGCCCTCACCCTCGTCCTTCTGCTCGTTGAGACTGCTTTCATCTACGTCGCGCTTCCGGAGACGCGCGGGAAGGGACTGGCAGTGGAGACGCCAGCTGGCAAGGGCAAAACGGCGACGGGAAAGAGCACCACTACACCGACTCGCCCGAAGACGACCGTGGAGCACCGCCTCAGTACTCTCGCGCGCCTGCGCAGGCAGCACTTCCTCTTCCTCTGCTTATTCTCAGGCGTCGAGTTCACCCTCACTTTCCTCACCTTCGACTGTGAGTCTATCTCTCTTCCCGTTCCCCTCTCTTCCCGTTCTCCTCTCCTCCCACCTCCCACCCCCACTAACTCCCCTCCCCAGTATTCGACTGGACCAACAAGCAAAACGGCGCGCTCATCGGCTCCATCGGCATCATCAGCGCCCTCCTCCAAGGCGGCTACGTCCGGCGCGCCATGTCCAAGACGGGCGAGGGCAAGATGGCGCGCCGCGGCGTGCACGCGTGCGCGCTCGCGCTCGTCCTCCTCGCCCTCCTGCCGAACTACCCGCCGGAGACGGCGACGCGGCTCCTGCAGGGCGCGGCGGTGTGCCTGGCGTTCACGTCTGCGACGGTGGTGAATGCGCTCACGGCGGCTGCGTCGCTGCAGTGCGATGAGGGTGGGCCGTCGGAGGGGGTGGGGAAGGTGGAGGGGGCAGGGAAGGATGGGAAGGACGCGGTGACGGGAAAGCCTGTGACCGACGAGCACCCGGACCTGGCGAAGGGCAAGGCGCTGGGGCGCTTCCGCTCAAGAGGACAGCTCGGCCGGGCGATTGGGCCGCTTTTGGGTGAGTGTGCTCTTCGGGGATGGCGGCGCGGTTTGTGTATTCGAATGTGTGCTGACAATGGGGCACAGCCTGCGCGATGTACTGGACCTTCGGGCCGACGCTGACGTACAGCGTGTGCGCGGTGGCGATGTTCGCGCTGGCGATTGGCATGCGGGCGGCGTCGAAGCGCGCGTTGTGAGATGTAGCAAATTGCCATAAGGAGTAATTTGTACGCGTGTATGCTCTGACCTTTGCTCGTCCCACGCATGCCACCGCACGAATCCTCCGGAGGTAAGTAGGAGGATTTCAAGAGGCATCGAGGGCCTCGCTGTCGTGCAGCCTGGCAGTTCAGCTTGCGCTGGACACAGCACACTCACTCAGGTGAGCGAGAACCGTGCGGCTGTCACGGCGTATGGTGATGGGCCGTCGCTGCGATGGGAATTCTGGGGGACGTCGAGCATGCTTTTGCTGCAGCGCCTCTCCACCCCGACGGTTCTTTTGCTTGTCTTCTGGGCCCATCTAGGTGTCCCCATCTACGTCGAGGTGTTCCGCCGCCTGCATGCGGGTGTTGCACCACCACGTCCTGTTGTCCCACGGGATCAGGTGCGCCCTGCTTCGTTCATGCTTTCGCGCCTCTTCCTTACGTCCCCGGGCGAGGAAACCCACGACTGATATCCGGACCATGTGGCGGTGCGTCCGGGGTCGGCTGCATGCGTACGGGTCGGCAGCACGAGACCGGGGTATGCGTGCGCTAGACCTCGGCCGGCTGAGGAACAGGATTGGCGGGCGTTGGAGGCAGGCCTAATCACAGCGGGCGTTAGCGGCCTAATTCACGGCCCGCGGCGAGGGAAGTCCGTGAATCTGCAGATTCGAGGACGTTCCCGGCAACGACGGTGCGTATAAAAGCCTGGCGTGTGGAGGGAAGACTCCAGCGAACACTTCGTTCACAACTCACCCACATCTTCACCTGCACCTTTCCGCTCCACATCAACCAACCCCTCTACCTCACGACACGATGAAGTTCTTCTCCACCCTCGTCGCCGCCGCTGCTGCCGCCTCGTCCGCGCTCGCGGTCACCGTGCGCTACGACACCGCCTACGACAACGCAGGCCAGTCGCTGAGCACCGTCTCCTGCTCCGACGGACCCAACGGGCTCATCACGCGCGGCTACTCGACCTTCGGCTCGCTCCCCGAGTTCCCGCACATCGGCGCGAAGGCGGGCGCGTCGCACGGGTCCGACCAGTGTGGGACGTGCCATAAGCTGTCGTGGACGGACGAGTTCGGCACGACGCGCAGCATCCACGTCCTCGTCGTCGACTACGCGACGAGCGGGTTCAACATTGCGCAGACGGCGCTTGATGAGCTGACGGGTGGGCGGGCCTCGGAGAAGGGGTCTATCAACGCGACCTCGAAGCAGGTCAATGTCAAGCACTGTGGGCTGTAATGGTGAGCGTCTGCATCGAACCTCGTGTGTTACTGGAAGCTGATTGTAAGCGCAGAATATGCCACGATCACCAGGGCATACGTATGCTCTTCACGTTTTGGACTCTTGCATGGATTTCACGGACTGGCTACGAACACTGTATATGGACTTTTGGGTGGCAAATTACTTGAATGATCTTGGTAACCATGACAGAACTCAGAGCATTTTTTGAGAGCGCTCGATGTGAAGCTATGCTGGCTTTCTTGACGCTGTGGCGCGCAGCGAGTAGCCCATGTGATGGTGAGGAGTAGGTACGCATGAAGGCGCAGCGGAAAGCGCCGAAGCACCAAGCACAGGCAAACAACGCGATTTATTCTTGTTTTTGACGCCAGTTTCTTCATCACACCTCATCACCATCCCGCTCGAACAGATGTCCCTGCTACCTGTATGCAGTCTAGCGCAGCCGCGCGCGGGGAAGACCATTCAGAGCAGAAGGTGCATGGGAGGTTCGAACTCATAAGGAAGTCGGCACTCGGCGTTGACTCACCAATACGTAGATTAGGCGCCGACTTCGCTGGCTCGTGGCATGGTTGACCCTCGTGTTCAAGCAAATCGATCCATTCCCTCCTCGTTGCACCCATGGCCCACTCCGTTATCATACCGCGCAGGACCTTCTTCTACGCGATTGGCAATACCTGTGCAGACCTCCTCACCGAGACCCTACCTCCTGAGGAAAGCTTGGACCTACTTCTCTTGGGCTGCGGCGACCCGAGGAGCATCCTCTATACGACATACGCGGATGGTGTGGCTGGTGGGCATCTTCATCTATTAACACCTTCCGTACGTCTAACATTACCTCTCAGACAGGCGCGAGTTCGATATAACGTTTTGCGACATCGAGCCCGCAATCATCGCGCGGAATGTCCTACTCTTCACTCTCCTCGCCGACACGGGTAAGGCGAGCGACGGCGACATATGGAACATATTCTATCACTTCCAGATTCCCGAGGCGTCGCTTGTTCGTCTCCAGAACCAGTCTTCCAAGCTTGTCGACCTTTCCGGATCGCTAGAGCAATGGCTGGAAGGGCCTTACGGAAAATTCATCCGACCTCGCACGCAGCAGACTCTATCCGACCTCCGGCGCTTCTGGAACAAATACGCCGCTACTGCGTCCTTCACGAAGGCGCAGCACCAGGACATGCGCAACCGCCTCAACCAGGGAAGATCGTCCTTAATGACCTGGCAGAGGGGCGACGTGAAGGATATGGCCGGTCGCTCCGCTGGCCCGTTCTACTCAAGGATAATCCACTTCGACACCGCCGATGTGCACTTCAAGCACTATTGGAAGCATGGGGTTGTCGGAGGGTGCCCTACAGATGCGGCAGCCCTTGCGTACGCCAACCCAACCTTCATGTATACGCAGCTGGGTCAGGGTTTCTGCCTCCACTATGGCACGGATCCCATCTTCGGGTTCCACTTGGCGGGTATACTAGGCCCGTTTGGAGGGAATCCGCCGAAGGCCACCACGCGAGATCTCGGTGGGTACGCTATCCGGGAGTTCTCGCGGTGGTGTGCTGCCTTCAGAGAACGCATCACCGCCGACGTCAGGTTCGTTCTACGGCCACACGTGGGGGACGCCCTCTCTCTGTGTCGCGCGCTGGGAGGAGAACAGGACGTGTGTGTCTCCGCGTACGATTCACGGCCCATTGTGCTCGAGGATGGGCCCGGGTGGCCGGCCCCGGTCTCGTTCAGTGTCATCGAAACGTCCAATCTCGCTGATCATATCGGCCTTCTGAACGTCTTGACGAGCGCTGCCCCTCTGCTGCGCAAATCACCTACCTCGACGCTTCACACGAACTCCCTCCACCCTTCCGCGTCGACGAAGTCCGGCTATGCCCTGCTGGAGCGGTTGGGAGCCGACCTCACGACATTCTCCTTGCTCAGTGGTCTCGCACCGCTGCCCCTTCTTACAAAATTCACCATCAAGACATCCCCGTACGACTACTACGCCAATATTCGCGACTCGACGGATATGAGGCAGCAGCACCAGCCTATCGCGTGGAAGTACCCCGCATCTGGGGACCAGGCTGCTCTCGTAGATGGCGCCCTACGCTGGACGCCCGTCTCAGTCGATGCGGAGGAGCTGCGCGACGTCCTTCACAAACTCTACCTCCACATGTTCGCGGTAGAGAATATTGCCCAGCAACTCAGCAAGGGGAAGGCGCCCCATATCGAGGGCATCTCTAATCCGTCGGTCATCATCTACGTGCGCGCTAGCTACGCGTTCCTCTTGCGGTTCATCAAAGACAGGGTGCGCACGGAGTGGCAGACAGTCATGGACGGCCTCTTCGCTGCCATCCAGGTCGACCGCACATTGATCTTCGGTAACAACAACTATCAGGACCTCAGCACGCACGCGCACTTGCTCGGACTAGATAGCCATGGGTTCTTCGCCGAGCCATTCGAGTACGACGCGGCGTTCCAGGCCAAACCCGAGTTGTTCACCGGCTGGAAAAGCACGCCGCGGACGGTGCACGTCGTCCTGCGCACCCCGCGCTCGGCATTCCGCCGGCTTTGGGACATGGACGTCGACATGCTCGGCACGCCGATGCTCCAGTGCGAAGTCATCGTCGCGCGCAAGTCGCAGGCTATCTTCTCCAGCGTGCAGCTCGATTTTGGCAAGCTCGGTAAGGGGGGCAGCGGAGAGGAGGCGGCTGCCTGGATAGAGCGGGATGAGGACGGATGGGAAGGGAATTCGCCCGTTATCTTGCGCATCACGGTTCCCGCGCGTATGTTGGATATAGATCCGCGGGCGACGAAGGTGCAGGTGTCTCTGCGCTCGACGCCGCGGACTGCCGTGCTTATGCGCGAGTTGGGACCCCGGCTGGCGCTGTTCGACGCTGATCTCATGGGCGAGGATGTGTATATTCTGAAGGATCCACCTCGTGTTCGCGGGGCGAAGCTACCATCGGCAATCCCTGAGCCCTCAACTTTGCCAACCACTGGTACCGACGCGCAATCCGCGTCAGAACACGCTGCGAAGGAGGTCCCTTCCGTGCGCTTCACCAACGGCAAGATATCGCACATCGGCATCAAGGTCAACCTCATCAGCGACGCCGGCAAGGCCGCTCTGCAGGAGGGGGGAGCGGTCACGGGGGAGTTGTCTCCCTGCACTGTGCAGCTCGTGATTGGTTCTGCAAAGAAGATCGAGGAGAGCGTGGCATTCCCGTTCCCTGTGATTGGGCGCGATGCAAAGCTGCGGGTGGCGCGGAAGTCCGGATATGTGGAGGTACGTTGCTTATAAGCATGTCTTCGTGTCTTAAGGCTTATGCTTTTCGAAGGTCATCGCCCCCGTCGCGAAAGAGGATCCTGCGAACGGTGACGGAGGATATGACAAGACCCACCGCACGCCGACCGTCCTCACTAATCGAGCGCTCTACGCGTGGGCAGTCACCTACGTGGATCTGGACAAGCAGCCTGTGCTCCTCTTGTCCTACAACCAAGCGATGGTCGACTGGATCCAGACCATCAGCTCACCGATGTTCTCTGGCCGCGAGCTCCTCATGCAGCGCTCTCACGACCAGACCGATACCTGGGTCAATCTGAAGAACAGCATGGCACACTTTCTCATGTTCGCTACCGGCGCCGTCGACGGGAAGAAATGCCCTGCATTCTCCCTGTGCCGCCGCGGCTCCGAGGATGGCTTCAACATCATCTTCGTCAATGCCATCCGCCTCGACCTTCCCGCGCAGAGCGTCGTCCTAGACGTGTGCATCGTTCCCCTAACGCGCGCGAACAAGAAGAAGCTCTCGTTGATTCTGACGAAGTTCGACATCCGAAACATACTGATGGACGACGAGGAGATCAAGGCGTGGAAGGCGCTCCTGCCCTCTGTCGTCGAGCGCTGCCGGACGTGGAATCATCTGCCTAGCTGTGCGTACGTGCAAAAGGGCATCCCTCTCACACTGGATATCGACGAAAGCCCGATCTGCGACTGTGGATGCGGAAAGAACATTCCCGATAGCGAGGTTATGGGGGCGCATAGGCAGGCGAAGCCGTACGCGACGCGCGCTGCTATTGGCCTGTTGTATGCAGTGCCCTACCTCGAGGATTCGGGGAAGCAGTTCCATGCCGCGTATGCGCGGGCGAGCAACTCGGCAGCAGCAAACAAGTGTGCTGCGTGCGGGAAGGCGCAGGGGACGCTGATGACGTGTGGAAGGTGCAAGCAGACCAAATATTGCTCGAGGGAGTGCCAGACAGGGGACTGGAAGGTGCACAAGAAAATTTGCAGAGCATGAGTAGGAATTTAAGTACATACGACAGGCTCTGTGCCGCCGCGCGTTACGCAGGTTAGGTCACCCCGAAGTATCCCGATGTATCTTGTAGACGTAGCCTTGTTGCATAACTCATCCGACGCGCATAGTTGCTGTCTGACTGTCTGAATTGAATAAGCATCTAGGAGCCATGGGCGCATGTTTGCTGGTGTTGTTTTCCGGCATTCTCCGAGGTAGCATCTCTGGCATCATTCGACACTCACTCTTGACGCTACCCTCCAGATGATTCCTGAACGCGCTCAAACAGCAACTTTACATACAACCCTTGGGAGCGAGGCTATGGGCGGCAAGCATGACAAAGTGGAAATGAACCTTTTTGCTCCGTTCTCGTCTTTGCGCTGGCCGCGTTGCGCAGGACGTCACCTTCGACATGTTTGCCCTGTACATGTATCACTCAGTGACTCTGATCTCATAGCTCTTGTTTGCCGCTCACTACTGAGCTACGGCGGGCGAGTACAACCACAGAACTCTTTCTTCCTTCCCGCCACAGCTCACGCCGGGTAATGACGACGCCCGGCCTGAACTCAGACCCAACAACACTAGAAGCTCTGCCGAAGCTCAGTTCCGCCTTCTGAGGGTAAGTACGAACGTTACTCAACTACTATATGCAAGCTAGGGTTGACTCACACGGGGCGCTTACTAGGGCGCTTATTGCGTAGATTAGAGGGCGTTCGAGGAAAGGCTCAATACTCGCCTCGCCAAACCCTCGTGGTAAAACCAATATATACGACACCCCATTCTCACCCTGGAGAGCCTCCTGTCGCTTTCATCGCCACAATGGCTCACTCTGTCATTCTCCCTCGCAGGACCTGGTTTTATCCTATTGGGAATACCAGCGCAGACCTCCTCACCGCAAGCTTACCTCCTGAGCAGAATCTCGACCTCCTTCTCATCGGATGCGGAGACCCAAGGAGCATACTTTATACCACGTACGCAGACGGTGCTGTCGGTACGTCCGTCCTCTTACTCCGCGTGACGCTACCGCCTCACAATTCGATGCAGCAGACAAGCGAGAGTATGATGTTACTTTCTGCGATATCGAGCCCGCCGTGATCTCTCGAAATATCTTGCTTTTCACCCTCATCGCGGATACTAGCTCGGAGCGCGACCTCACGCTGTGGAACATTTTCTACCACTTCAAAATTTCCACTGCCGATCTCACTTTGCTCCAACGCCAGTCTTCCAAGCTATCTTCCGTCTCCGGATCGCTGGAACAGTGGCAGCAAGGACCTTACGCCGGCTTCCTCAAACCGCGCACGGAACAGACGCTGTCTGACATCCGCCGGTTCTGGGAAATGTATGCCGCCACCGCGTCTTTCACGAAGGCGCAGAAGCAGGACATGCACGACATGGTCGCACGTGGCGTGTCATCGGCAGCTCGTAGCCAAAAGGCAAACGTGCTTACGGCTTGTCGCTCCGCGGGACCACTGTGGATAAACCTGGCGACGAGCGGTGTGGCTACAGCCCACTTCAAGCACTACTGGAAGCACGGAGTGGTTGGCGGTTGTGCTACAGATCCGGCAGCCGTTGAATGTGTCAACCCGACCCTCCTGTACACGCAGCTGGGTAGCGAGTTCTGCTTGCACTACGGCACAGACCCTATCATCGGTTTCCATCTCGCGGAAGCGCTCGGACCCGTCAAAGGAAATTCTACGACGATCAGCGTCCGGGATCTAGGCGCGTACGCGATGCGGGAGTTTGGACAGTGGTGCAGCGCCTTCAGGAAGCGCATTGCCGTAGACTGCAAGTTCGTTTTGCGCCCGTACGTTGGAGACGCTCTGTCCCTCTGTCGTGCCCTCGGCGGAGAGCGCAACCTCTGCGTGTCTCCGTTCGACTCGCGGCCGATTGTACTTGCCAGTGACAACGACGATGCCCTCGCCGTAGCCCCGCCCACTACGTTCAATGTCATCGAAACCTCCAACCTTGCGGACCACGTTGGCCTGTTGAACGTCTTCACGAGCGCGGTGCCTCTTCTACGTCCCTCATCGGCATCAGTCCTCCACACCAATACCTTACTTCGAACCGCTGCTTCGGACTCCGCCGACGTATTCATGGAGAAGATCGGCGTAGATATTACTACGTTTTCAACCCTCGTTGGGCTTGCGCCGCTATCCCTGCTCACCCGCTTCAGCACATCCTCATCTCAGTTTGAGGCCTTGGGGGCTCCAATGGAGTCGAAACAGCACCATCAGGCTATTGCTTGGAAATTTCCCGGGTCAGGAGACCAGGCTGCTCTCGTCGACGGCTGCTTCACCTCGACTCCCGTCGCTATCAGCTCGAAGGACCTGATCCAAGTGCTTTTCAAGCTATACTTGAACATGTTCTCATCGGAGAATTCGTTGAAGTATATGGCCATGGCGATGCAAGGCCGTATCGACGAAGTGATGAACTCCGGAAATATCGTGTATGTGCGAGCGAGCTTTGCGGCCCTCCTGCGGCTGTTCAAAGACCGTGTACGCACCGACTGGCGCGCGGCCATGGAAGGCTTGTTCGACGCGATTCAGGACGACCGCACGCTACAGCTTGGCATGATGTTCTACCAAGAACTCAGTCTGCACTCGCACCTCCTCGGAGTCTACTCGCACGGATTCTTCTCTGACAAGCTCGACCTTGCTCGCATGTATCGCCTCCGCCCGGCCCTCTTCACGCATTGGCCTCGCACACCAGATATCGCACACATCGTCATGCGGGTTCCTCGGTCGGCGTTCTCGCGTCTTGACAGCATCGACGCGGATCGTATTGGCACGCCTATGCTGCAGTGCGAAGTGGGAGTTGTCAGCGGGATGCAGACCAACATATCTGGCATCCAGCTCGACTTTGGGGAGCTCACCGTGACTGGCACCGCGGACAAGGCGTCCGCCACGCTGGTGAGAGACAGCGACGGATGGAAGGGCACATCGCCCGTCATCGTTCAGATCATGTTCCCCGCGCGACTGCTCGATATCGATCCTCGCTCGACGCAGGTTCGGCTTTCCATCCGCGCGACGCCCCAATCCACCTTCCAGCTCATGCCCATCCTCGGCAACCGCCTCGTCATATTCGAAGCCGATCTTATGGGAAAGGATGTATATGTGCTGAAAGATGCTCCCCGCGTCCTCGGAGCAGCAGTGCCAGCTCCTCGCGCTCCTACTGTCGCTACTACTCCCGATACGGTGGCACACGCGGAGGGCCTACCTGCGCAAACGACGAAGGACGTACCCAGGCTCATCTTCATGGGAAACAAGGTCTCGCATCTCGCCGTCAAGGTCAATATTCTCAGTGACCTCGGGAAGGCCGCCTTGTCCAAGAGTGGCGCTTCATTGATACAGCATACTCCATGTACGGTGAAATTCCGTGTCGGGATGGGCGATATCGTGGACACCGTCGCATTTCCATTCCCCGTCGACAGACGCGACGTGAAGCTCCGCATGGAGAAAGCGGCTGTGGAGGTGCGTTAGCCTTGCAACAGCTTTGATTCGTACGAGTCTCATTGCATTCACAGGTCATCGCACGGACGGTGGACGCAAACCCAGCCATCGGACATGGTGGTTACGATAAGATCGCCCGCACGCCAGTTGTCATGACTCAAGGCAGGCCAAGCGTCTGGAGCCTCTCCTACATCAATCTGAACAACCTGCCGGCGCTGGACCTCGCTCGCCCCAAAGCACAATTCGACTGGATGCAACCACTGATGACCGCCATGTTTTCCGACCGCGAACTCGTCCTGCAAAGGAGCGGCGACAAGAGCGATACGTTCGTCAACTTGAAAAGCAGCATCGCGCATACCATCATCGGGCACGCAGCCGGTCTCTCGAACGGCAAGCCATCGCGCATTATCTCATTGCACTGCAAGTCTGACGGCGGCGTGTATACGCTGCTGTTCGTCAATGCTCTCCGCCTCGACCTCGCCTCGCATAGCGTCGTCCTCGACGTCTCTGTGCTGCCCCTCACGCACGCTATTATGCCCCTCGCCGAGCCCGTGCTGAGGAAGCTTCGTAACCCCGGCCTCGTCGAAACCCCCGAGGATGATGTGAAGGCATGGAAAGCGTTCCTGCCAGCAGCCGTTGAGCGCTGTCGTACATGGGCTCACGAAGCCGACTGCGCATACCACAAGAAGGGTATTCCGCTCGGTCTTGCTATTGACGAGAGTCCCATCTGCGATTGCGGTCGCGGAAAGGACATCCCTAACAGCGAGATTATGAAGATACACAAGGAGTTGAGATCCTTGGTGACGCGCGCGGCCATCGGCCCCTTGTACGCCGTGTCATACCTCGAGGATGTCGGCAAGAAGATGCAGGCCGCCATGAACGCCTTCGCCGACCGAACGGAGGCGCCGGAAGGTTCTGACAAGTGCGTCGCCTGTGGCAAGGTTCCTTCGACGAAGAAGAGGTGCAGCAGGTGCCAGAAGACGATCTATTGCTCGCGTGCGTGTCAGACTGGGGATTGGAAGTCTCACAAGAAGGTGTGCAAAGTGTAGGTGGTGGAGGAAGGAAGTATTCGCCTCGGGAGTCGAGCATGGTGTATTATTTTGAGATGGGATTTCTTGGGGTCGTCCATACGCGCGCATGCTGTACTTCGATTGTTTCTTTCGCGTACTTATCTAGATAGATATCTTGCAACCCAGTATCCATGCATGTCACTATCGAGCACCATCGCCTGACAGGACAGAAAGGCTTAAAGCCAGGTTCACTTAAGCTTGAACAATACCGTTCGTATGCACCATTCACAAGTCCTTCACTAAGAAATCCGTCAAACATCGCGATGAGGACATATTGCTACATTACTGATACAATGATTGTTGAAATCGTGCAGGCTGTTGAAACCCGATGATGCTAAGCGATACAATGCACACCCAACCTCCTGCACACCCCCCATCGCGGCGTGCCCAAGCACATCCCTTCAGACCCGACGGCACCTACGCCCACGGGCCCGACACACACACACGCTTCAACGCACACACGTCCACGACGCACACACGTCCACGACGACGCACGCACACACAACTTCCCATCGACAACAGGTGGTGGAACCCTCGCTCGGAGGATGAACCCCGGTTAATAAGTTAATTAACCTTGCGATAGAGCGCTGTTGAAGCGGAAGGGAGGATGGCGCCCTTAGGCGTACTGCTGGCGCGCCCACTTGGCGGCGGCGACGAGGTTCTCGAGCGAAGCTGGGAGCGGGGTCACTATAACGAACTCGATGATGAAACCAACGACGGTCACGTACCCTTCGTCTCCTTCCAGCCACGGGTCTTGAGACCACAGTCCGGGTTGACGAACAACAGCGAGTCGGGCAGGATGTTAAGCATCGCCTGGAGGCGGTCCTTGATCTCCTGCTCGCTCGGCACACGCGGCGAGTGGATGTCGTACACACCCGGGCCGATCTGGTTCGAGTAGCCGTACTGCTTGAACGTGTCGAGCAGCTTCATGTCGCTCTTCGACGCCTCGATGGAGATGACGTCCGCGTCGAGGCGCTGGATGGACGGGAAGATGTCGTCAAAGTCGGAGTAGCAGAAGTGCGAGTGCGTCTGGAGCTGGTCCGTGACGCCCGCGGTCGCGAGCTTGAACGAGTCGACGGCCCACTTGAGGTACGCGTCCCAGTCGGAGCGGCGGAGGGGGAGACCTTCGCGGATGGCCGGCTCGTCGACCTGGATGGCGCTGATGCCGGCCTTCTCGAGGTCGATGACCTCGTCGCGGAGCGCGAGCGCAAGCTGCTTCGACTGAAGCTCGCGGGAGACGTCGGCGCGGGGGAAGGACCAGTTGAGAATGGTGACCGGGCCCGTGAGCATGCCCTTCATCGGCTTCTTCGCGACGCTCTGCGCGTACGACGACCACTGGACGGTGATCGGGTGCGGGCGGCTGACGTCGGAGACGATGATGGGCGGGCGGACGTAGCGGGAGCCGTAGCTCTGCACCCACGCGTTCTGCGTGAAGACGAAGCCGTTGAGGTGCTCGCCGAAGTACTGGACCATGTCGTTACGCTCCGGCTCGCCGTGGACGAGCAAGTCGAGGCCGAGCTCCTCCTGGATCTTGACAACGTTCTCAATCTCCTTCTTGATGAAGTTGTCGTACTCCTCCTGGGTGATCTCGCCCTTGCCAAGCTTAGCACGCGCCTGACGGATCTCCTTGGTTTGCTGAGAGAGGGATCAGATGTGATTCAGCGTTCATGAGAGCATTACTCACCGGGAAGGAGCCGATGGTGGTGGTCGGGAACTTGGGGAGGTTAAGGTGCTTAGCCTGAACTTCCTTGCGGACGGCGAAGGGGCTCTTGCGGTCGAGCTGGTCAGGGGTGATCGCAGCGACGCGCTTGCGGACGGTGTCATCGGAGTTGCTCTCGAAGTCACGGCGGCGCTTGATCGAGGCCTTGTTGGCCTCAAGAGCGGCGGTAACCTTGGCGTCGGTGGAGCCGTTGAGCGCAGCGGCGAGGGTGGCGACCTCCTCGGCCTTCTCGAGGGCGAACGCGAACCAGTCCTTCTGCTCCTCGGTGAGCTTGTGCTCGTTGGCGAGCGTCACCGGGGTATGGAGGAGGGAAGAAGAGGTGGAGACGATGACGCGGTCGGCACCGAGAGCGTCGACAGCCTTCTTGCCGAGCTTGAGCGCGGCCTCGAAGTCAGTCTTCCAGATGTTGCGGCCAGACACCAAGCCGAGCGAGAGGACGCTGATGTTGGAGGTCTTGATGGCGGCGATGACCTCGTCGAGCTGGCCCGGAGCACGGTCGAGATCGATGTGGAGACCAGCGACGGGGAGCTTCGAGGCGAAGTTGAGGTTCGAGTCGAGGCGCGAGAAGTAGGTGGTGAGCTGGATCTTCGGCGCAACCGGAGACAGCTCGGCGTAGGCCGACTGGAACTCCTTCGCGAGCGACGCGCCGGTGTCGAGGACGAGGATGGGCTCGTCGACCTGGACCTGCTCAACGCCGGCCTCCTTGAGCTCGGTGAAGAGCTGCTTGTAGACGGGCAGGAGCTTGGGGAGGACGGAGATGGGGCTGAAGCCGGCCTTGGCAGCCTTCGACGCCTTGGAGAGGGCGAGGTAGGTGACCGGGCCGAGGACGACGGGGCGCGTGGTGACGCCGAGCTCCTTGGCCTCCTTGTACTCGGCAAGGGCCTTGTTGTAGAGGAGCTTGAAGTCGGTCTCCTCGTCGACCTCAGGGACGACGAAGTGGTAGTTCGAGTCGAACCTATGAGATGTATTAGATGGGAAGGAATGCACAATAGGCTGTTGCTACGCACCACTTCTTCATCTCGGACGCGGGGACGTCGACACCCTCAGACTGGCGGCCACGACCCATCGCGAAGTAGACATCGAGATCGGAGAGACCAAGACCCTGGTAGCGCTTGGGGATGACGTTGAACGCCGCCGAGTGGTCGAGGACGTGGTCGTAGAGCGAGAAATCACCGCTGAAAACGCGACTTTAGTTGCTGATCATCTACGAAACGTGCTGCGACGAACCTGGGGATGATGTCCACGCCACGCTCCTTCAGGCCGGTCCAGGTGGCCTTCTTCACCTCGGCCGAGACCTTGGTGACCTCCTCCGCGGGGACCTTGCCGCCCCAGTAGGCCTCCACGACCTTTTTGATCTCACGGTTGGCACCTGTCGCGCGTCCGTTAGCACGATGGGCGGCGATCTTGACCGTCGCGCTCACCGATCCTGGGGAAACCGAGCACAGCAGAGAGAACCATTTTAACGGACGTGTGGGGGGAGGAGAAGGAAATGGTGGGGGAAGGGAAGAAGGGAAAATTGGGACGATCGCGGAATCGTGCAATCCTTTTTAATCGATGGACCACGTGCGTCGGACGTGCCCCCGAACCCACGTCTTGTCCTTTTGTTCGTCGTCTCACTCGTGTCTCTCGCGCAATTTCGTTATCGATGGAGCCCTGAGTGCGCCGCTCATACTTCTAGCCATTCACGCGTCTATTGACAGCAAAAGAACCCTGATCCTCTGCCGCTCTTACTGTATGTACAGGCAAGTGTGCGGGACCTCAGCTGGTCCTTCCTTCGCTTCGCGCAGGAGTTCAGGAGGTTGAAGTCGCATCCAACCTATTGTCTGTCGAACAAGGCCTCATATAGCCATGCTATTGTTTCCGTCTTATTTCGTGCATTATCTTCAAGACTTTGACCAAATCCGCACTCCACCCATCACAACGTTGATGAAAGGAGGCATCGCCGCAGCGCACATTTCTACCCTTATCTCCAAGATGGAAGATGCTGCCGTTCTTCTTGACGCTGCGCCATCACCCACCTTCACATATAATGTCGCGGGATGGCGTGCGAAGCGCATTGAAAGTGTCTCCAACCTTGGAAATGAACGGTGCTGCATCGACTTCACCTCACTCGTAACCTCACCTCCTCGTCGAACCATTTGCCAGCAGACTCACTGGTCAGATCAGTCTTCAGAAGGAAAAACTTGCGGCGCGCTTCCAGAGCGTTGAGTCCAGTACGCTGGAGGTTCAAAGTATAGCTGCGCCACCGTGCCCTTCGTCCCCTTCATATCGCTTGCGTATTGGAGGTGATGTACAATCGATGGTTCAGATCATGGAAATGCCACCTTCCACATCGTGATCTACACCTGTTCGCCTAGCCTGCAGGCTCGCCTGAGATGGCGCTGGGTTTCTCAACGAACGCCTGCACCTGAGGTCGAACCCTTGTCATGCTTGGCATGGCGCCCTAGCCTCCCCTCCCATTCACTCCCCTCCCCTCGCCCTACCCAGCCCTCTCCACCACCAAATCCCCCGCCGACGCATACAAACACACCAAAAACCCACCCACCACCCCCGGATTATACGTGGACGGCACCAGCACATACTTCCCCGGCTGCAACGTCACCTCCGGCGTGCACACCCCGGGCAACGCGTCGTCGTACGGCCCCGAGGTCGCGACGTGGTCGTTGAAGGCGCGCGCCTCGCCCGCGGGGTAGATAGTGAGGTTGAGCGCGGTGGTGTGGGTGGGGGAGGGGGAAGAGGCGGTGGAGGTGGAGGGCGAGGTGAGTTGGAGGCGGGCTCTGTGGGTGCGGGTCAGTGGGATAGGGAGAGGTATGGGGAGATGTAAGAGGAGGGAAACCCACTTGATACGCGTAGGCGCCTTCAGGGTGAAGGTGTACATAGGATTCCTCTCGTATCGTCGGAAGCTAGGACTTCCGGCTGCAGTGTCTGCGTCCCTGTCGCCTTCATCAGCGCCTTGCTCATCAGTCCATCTCACCGAGACTCACCATGCCCCCCGCAACGTCGTCGCGTACATCCCCGCGCCCTCCTGCGGTATCGGCGTCAGCTCCGCGACGTTATCGGTCTCCACTTTGAGAGCGAACGGCCCGCGGTACTTGGGCTCGAAGGCGGAGACGATGAGCGTGTAGTCGCCGGCTAGGATAGTGTGAGTTCGATGGTTCAGAAGCAGGTGGATAACCTGGACTTACGCGCTAGCTGGGTAGAGAGCCGGGCCATGCCATAAGTGTACGCGCCTGAAGACGCTGCAATGTTCGTTTCGAGCAATCTGCGAGGATGTGCGCATCAGTCTTGTGCAGTCGAACAGTGAAGTCAGTGACTGGACTCACTGGTACACCCTCTCCCCCTGCGACCACGCCAGCGAGATATTCACCGGCACCTCCCTCGACGTCTGCAACGAGATCGAAACAGTCGACTTCGCGCGCGCGTCGCCCCTCTTCGGCGGATAGAGCTTAAGGTGGTACTGCGGGTTGATCATGAAGGTAGGATAGTTCGCATTTCCGCCGGAGTTCTTCGCCATGAAGCGACCCTCAGCCTGAGCCTGTGTCAGCCCTCCAGGTCCCTGTCAAAGGAGAAGTAGATGCACATACCTGTGCCACATAAGGGGGTCGAGGAATGGTCTTATCCCAGGATATCTCGACCCCCTTCGGTGCATAGGCGGTTAACGTAAACCCGTTCTCGGTCGCGCTCCCTTCGTAGGAGCAGTATATTGATAGGCAGCCGCCTTGCGACGAGGGTGAAAGCCTGACTTTCTCCTTTGGGGGATCTTAGTGAAAGGCGCGCTTGGGCGCTAGGGTCGCTCACCAAGATGTGAAGGCTGTTGGTATATTCTCCCTGCACGGGCGATCAGTGAGGCGTGAAGATCAAGCCAAGATGGTTCACCTCCGACGAAATGTGATGGCTTTGCCGCCGCACGACGAAGTTATCGAGGTCGTCTTCCTGCGCACTCAGGCTGACATAGTCGCTTGATTGACGTGTGTCGTTCGTGTGCCGAGACAAGAGGAGCCATATCTCGATGTCGGAGCCCGCCGAGGAAGAGAGCTCGTACCTCAGTCGTAATTGCTTCGTCTGAGCTGCGAAGGGAGTGAGCGATCGCACAGACGAGCGACCGAAGAGCTCACAGGTCTCATTTTCCACAGTCGCTTTCCACTTCCCATGGAAAGCCAACGAGGTTGCCCACGCCGCCGGGTTCCAATTGGCGTAGATCCCGTCAAACAGATTTATGACGTCTACCCAGGGAATCTGCATGCTTCCTGTTGTGCCATGCATTCGAGTCGAATAAGGGATATCTGGCCCGGAGAAAGACATACGCGACGAGTCTGGGCATTCCTTGTCTTCTAGGGCCTCGTACCAGGAGTCGAGGACAATCATGCCTCGGTCCAAGCCGTCTTCGTAAAGACCTGCACCCACCGTGAGTAAAATATGTCAAAGCGAACAAAGCGTTGCTAACCTGTAACGGGGTAATCGTGCGCGCCGAGCAACAATGAGCCCTGCCAGGCCAGACCCTCTCGCGTTCCGGTTCCGAGCGTGATCAGGCAGTCGCCTGTAGCGTTATTCAATTTTCGAACTATTGATAACATGTTCGTAGCGCACCGCTGTCGAAGCCTTGCTTTAGCCGGTTCCATGTCCGCTCTTGCACGAAGTGCGGACTGCATAGCATCATTGCCTCTTTTCAAGTTGCCAGCGTGAATTTCCTCACCTATGAATGTCGATCTGCTCGGGTATCCAGCCAGTGAGTGCACTGGATTACGTCAGGACTCAACCAGTCCGCGGTGAATCAAGCTCACTAAAGATCCACGCTCGAGTTCCTGACCATACTTCAGCAGGCTCTATGAGGGACGAGGTAACTCCGCTTACGACCCAGGAAAATCATAGCCTCCCATGAGCTTCATATACTAGCCAAGCGTAAGTTTCATGGAAAAAGAAACCTGGGTATAGATAGGACCTACGCCCTTCTCGAGTATGCTGGGCCACAGCAACTCAAACTCGGCGCGCTGTACGCGGTTCGTCGTGCTAATACACGACAAGCAGACGAGACGATTCGTCGACGCGCGGCGTGGCAACTTGTCGTCGATGACTGTAAGGCATGTAAAGGTGAGAGAATCATGCAAAGGCGTCGCCGCGAACCTATCTATGAACTTGTTAGTTTCCAGTCCGGTAGATTCACATGAGAAAACCTCACTCGGCGCCAACATCCGTTAAACAGAAGCTTCAAATCAAAGCGGCCATTGAAGCCGTCGAGAGCATCTCGCGAAAGCTCGGACGGATAAAGACATGAGCGAGCAAGCTGGCTGTGAATCAGTGAGAGCTAAAAGAGCCTAAGCTTTACTCACGTTGCCCCCGATTCGCCTATCACGTTCAAGGCATACGGACACGGACGCGCAAAGGGAGCAATCGGTCACAACGTGCTGGTGTATATCTTCCGGGATCAGTCGTCTATGCGTAGTGTCAGCAGGCGCAAGATTATCGAAGGTCCATCATGACCTGCCTAGAGATGTCTTCGAGTATGAAGCGCGGAGCCAGATGGGTTCGTGTGCTCGCTGCGCCTCGGATAGGGTTGGCTGGCCGTCCGGATCCCTAGAGGCAGTATCATTGAGCGGATTCCTCTGGATCGTCAGCACAACTTACTCGAACGGGCGGCCTGTAGAGCTTGGAGGCGTGGCTTCGTCCCACGGCGCGAATGTGCGTCCGTTTACGACCGAGCCCTTCTTCAAAACGTAATACTGCTGCTCTATCAAAGATTTAAAGACTTTCCCTCCCTTTAAAGAGAGAGGATTACCTTCAGAGAAAGGATCCAAAGCAACAGGCGTCAGCGTTGGCGGCGCCGCCTTACTCGAAGAGGGCTCCGCTACGCTTGGCGATTTCCGTTTCACCGCGCTTCTGATCTTCTCAGCCCTCTCCATGCACTTTCGTGCGTTAGCCTTGAGTAGTTCCTTCAGCTTCTCTGATTGGTTTGGAAGGCGACTTCGATGCAAGTATTGCTCGGCGGCTTGGATGTACAGCTTGAACGCCAGGTCGTAATCTTGGGCCAGTTCGGCCTTCATAGCCTTATTGTGCAGATTCTGATCAAGCTATCAAACAGAATTCCACAGAGTTCAGACCTTTTAGCTGACCTGCGCATCTGAACTCATTGTGGCCGTGAATGTCGATGGACCTAGGAGATGGAAGCTCGGGCCAAGAGCCGAATTTGTGGCGTTGGGTCTGCACTGTGCAGTGAAGTACGTCTCGGCAAAGTCCGAGTGACCGCTCTTCACAAATCCCATCTCCATTGCATCCCCTAGTGCAGCTCAGATGCTTTTGAATACCCTTAACCTCGCTTATGACTTGCAGTTTTTACGCAACTTCGCACTCGACGGTTGCCAGTCCCAAAAAGGCAGGCCTTGTGTCCTACTTGATCATCACCGGCCGGGAACAATGGGCGCCCGGAGACGCCGGACGGACGCTCCGGCCGCGCATATAAGGCCGTGTACACTTCGACGGCCGCAGAGCATACCCTGACCTCTTACCATCACCATCCCATGCTCGGAAAATCTACTGCTGTCCGTCGTCGTTCCCTGCGGCCACGACGGGCCGGGCCAAACACGCGCTAAGCGCCGCGCCACATAACTTCCAACCTCACCCGCGCCGTCATCGCGCTCACTGCCTTCCTCATGCTAATCACCAGCAACGCCAACGGCGAAGCCACTCCACCTTTGTGGTCTATGGGTCCCCCACGCGCCATGACGGCCCATGTAACCGGGTGCGCGCCTCGACGATGCCCCCGCGTTCCTCAGTTCTCCGTGAATGCGTTGGCTGTGCGGGCGCGGCGGCGGAGGGATGCGTAGCCGTGGGAGTGACAGGATACCGGCCAGCGACGCCGTCACGATAAATCATACCTTGAACGGGTGTGTGAGGGCGAGGCGTCACGTCGCGTAAGCGCCGGCGGAGTTGAAGCACGATCGTCCGGGGCATTTGCTAGGTGGACGCTTGAGCTGGTGTGGGCCATTGGCAAGAGGCGACGCCCATTATTGGGGTGGAAGGGTAGCGATATACGGCTTCAAAGGAGGTACGTGGTCGCGTTCGCCACATATGCACGCCGCTGACATGGACGATGTTCAGTCGCCAGCAGGGCCTTCAATCGCAAGGCTTCTTGCTTCCTACATCCACTGCTCGTACTCACTGTGCTTATCCAGATCAGTCCCTACCCCTTCCATGGACGAGCACCCCAGGGCTGGCCCCCATCGTCATCAGCGGTCGGGAGAAGGTCAGGCCCTCGTCACTCGTACCCTCACAAGTACTCACACCCGCCATCAGACCACAGACCAGAGATGTTCTCTCAGACCATTGTGCCTCTGTGCGAGCATGTCCATCTACCGCACAATCAGCTGTATACATGCAAGCGTCCAAGCGCTAATGGTAGAGTACAAGGTCCACACCTGTAAAGCTAATATCAGTAACGACGAATGTACAAGCTAGAAGGAACAGACCTTCACCCCTCTGGCTTCGAGCTGATCGTCCGATATCATGGCAGATGAATAGCTCGCGCACCGAATCTGCGCTCGTGCATCGCAAACATGGCCGTGCACACCAGCGCAGCCAGCGCGCCAACTTGCATGACCAGCGCAATGACGGCCATCCAGACCGGCGGCTGCCCACCTGAGAAACCCCCTTCTGAGACCAGTTGATAGCCATATATGCCGATGGGCGCGAGCCACGCTGCGCAAACGAGCCAAGCGAGCGCTATCGCAGGTATGCTCGAGTACGCCGAGGAGGTAATGCGCGGGTCTGTAGGCTGCCCGAGTAGCTGCTCCGCTCGCTCCTCCAATGCGTCGAGGTGATGCTTCGCGCGGTAGGCGCGTCGACCATTCCTGATTGTTTCCGCCATGAGGATGACTAGGTGGAAGAAGAGGGAGATTGTGGCAACGATGAAGGTGGGAGTACGCTCGGTCACGTTCATGACCCAGTCAAGGGGGTCCCTGCCTATGGCGTTTTCGTGAATGATATAGCCCACCGAGAAGATCAGGTCGAGGGTGAAGGAGCTAAAGACGGCGATACGCATTCGAAGGGATAGGCGAGGCAGGAGAGGCTCAAGAGAGGAGACGCGGAGAGACATGTTGAACTAAGGCTAGGTAGAGGACCTATCTGCAGTCGTAAAGCGAGGGGCCCTTGGGTGATGACCGTTGCAAACGAGGTGAACTGTGCAAGCGGGGTCGAACTGTCGGTCTCGGAATGACGAAGGAATTCGGCACCTGCCGTCACCTGCAAGCGCCAACGAGTTGGCCGTCGCGCTTCCACTTGACCGTCGCCACCAAATCGTACTTTCTCGTCGCTTACAGCAGGCGAAAGATCGTTAGAGACAACCGCGGTGGTGGAGCACGCGAGATTTGAGCTTTGGTGGGGCCGCACGTGGTGCTGCCTCCCAGAACCTCTGAAGGTTCCGACCACTCCCCGGCAGCTAGAGAAGCTCGGGATTGCCTCCAAATGGTTCGAGGACCATATGCCGACAGGTCAAGTCCGATTATTGAGGAGGCCGACCACAAGCCTATCCCTTGACCTTCTCGGCGCGGTGCTCCACAAGTGCTCAGATCAAGCGCGCTCCACCGTCCGCTTTGTCTCTAACGATCTTTCGCTTGCTGTACCTTGCCTTGCGCGATCGTCAAAGATGAGAAGATCGAAGGGCTTGTCCTTCGCCATCAAGGGACGGTGATAGAGTCAACGAGTGATGACAAATTAGCGCTGTGCAGCTCGGACCACTTACGCACAGCTCTCTTCTCTACCACTCACCACCAGCGACGCCACACCTGGCAGCCATGCTCATCGTCTTCAGAGGTCTCTCACATCGTCTGCGCGTTCTGAGCGCCGCATCCGCCGCCATCGCGCTCCTCTCCTTCGGCTCCAGCCACACGATCCAGAGCCTCGTCGTCGCCGCCGTGACGATCCTCTACCACATCATCGTCTACTCCTACGAGATGCGCGCGCACCAAACCGAGGGCGGCCTCGCGCGCGAATACACCAGTTACTCCGCGTACCCTGCGATCGCCGGCGCAGGCATGTTGTTCCTGGGGTGGCTGCTGGATACCATTGCCCTGATCATCGGCATGGTTATATCCCTGGCCTTCATCCACTTCAACGTTATGCAAATTATCAACTTGATCCTGGAGGTCGGCCAGGTCTTCGTGTTGGGTGCAATACTGCAGACGGCGGTGTATGAGAGGCGACATGGCGCGCCTGGAGCTGTCTCTTTGGGAAGTGACGCGGCATAGTCGCGGGAGAGGGAAGGTGCTAGAGGTGCGTAGTGCTATTACTCCCACTTGAGATGAGTCTAACATCCATTGCAGGGAACGTTCGATATCTATTCGACCTGATCACGCTCATCATATCTGTACATCTAATCCAGAATTTGACCGACTGCACGTTAAAGTGTCACTCATTCACGCGTATCAACGAGGGCGTGAAACCCTTGTTCTGCTAAGCATCACAATATCTTCCAGCCGCTCATTTTACCTGGTTCCCTGTTGCTCTCGCTCGCACAGGAACGAGGTCAGGTTTGAAAGGCTGACGGCTGTGCCTGTGCAAAGCTCTGTTGTGCGCTTTACCACGTAGGTCTCTCACTCCTTCTGCTCTTCGCAGTATTGCTTACTCCTCAGACAGACCATTGGAAGCCAGTCAACCAATGAATGTGTTCAACATTACTCATACAACAGCAACAAGACACCCTCGACAACAACAAAGCGGGTACAACAAATCGTGAAGTCCATGCAAGTCCAGTGAAGTCCGTAACCAGTCCAATCCTATGCAATTGTGGGATTTCTTGTGTGTAGAAGTCCGATGAGCGCGTGTGCGTTGCTAAGCGTAATAAGGTGAGCGTGCGCCTGTGTGGGAAGTCAGATAACCTTCAGCAGAACGAAGCTTGTGTCGTACTCACCGTTGCTTAGAGGCCGCACGCGCTGGCATCCAGCTGAGTCACCGACGCGTCGACGGACCCCTTCTCCGTCGCGCGGTTGCCCGTGAGCTCATCGAGCGCCGTCTGCGCGATGTTGAACCCGTCGCCCGCCTGGTCAATCGCGGTCACCGCAATCGAGCGCGTGGTCCCGAACTCGTCCGTCCACGACAGCTGCCAGCACGTCCCGCACTGCGGCGAGGCGTGGTACACGCCGCCCATCGCCCCGATGTGCGGGAAGTTGGGCAGCGAGCCGTACGTGGAGTACCCGCGCGTGAGCAGCCCGTAGTCGCCGTCGGAGCAGGCAACGTTAGCAAGCGAGGCGCCCGCGTCGTCATAGGCGGGGTCGTAGCGCACGGTGGTGGCCGCGACGGTGCAGACGAGGGCGGTGAAGAGGGCAGAGATGGCGAGGATGAAGCGCATCATGGTGGGTTGGGTGATGAGCGGGGTTGGCTGCTCTCGAGTAGGTGGGTGAGGAGGCGGGAGGGAAAGGCTGAACGAGATGTTCGATGCTTTCGTCGGTCTCCCCGGTTCCCTTCTTATATCCTTGACGACCTCCCCGCCTCGCTGCTGGATAACGTCCACGCCTCTGCTTCACTTCTTCCGCGGCCGAGGTGGCCGTGTGCCGTGCGCCGCCCCCGCGCGCACCGAACCTTCTCGAACGTACTTCCCGACGTTTGCGATTGCCCACCTTCTACCTGAATAGGCTCGAATCTCTCGGCTCTGGGCACTGGGCGGCACAGGAATAGCCTTGGGGGCTGCAGAAGCGCTGCCTGGCGGCTAAGAAGGGCCGAGCCATGCAGGGAGGATCGACACCTGTGCGCAGATGACCGCGGGGTGCTTGGGCGGCTGCTTCACCTCCTGCTCAGCTGTGCGAAACATACACATGCGAGGAAGCAAGTCCAACTCGCTGGCGGTCTGCTGGGTAGCGACACCTCGGCGCCGCGGCTCTAGCGCGCGGGAATTACGGCCCGACATCCGACAAGCGCCAAAACATGAGCAAGCAACACGTTTCTGCCTTTTTTGGAAGGCACATTCCATCTCATTGTTCGCTGCGGCCGTAAAGAGCGAACAATGTCGATGCCTGCGTTGTATCCATTGCAACCGCTGGCGTTTCCAAGGGACTACTGTCGCTATGCTACATTGCCTAGTCTAGCAGTTGCTAGCGCCGTGAAAGGGAATTTTCGCGTCGTCAGGCAACGCTGTGCCACTCGATTGCGCCGCTCGTCGATTGCTCTCGTTAGGCGGGATGTATAAAGCATGGCCACCCGCGGTGAGTCCCCACAGCTCGCAGCATCCGCCTCACAAGCACCTGCATACTTCCAGCACTTGCATTTCTTCTCTGCAAACCAGCCTCCGCCTCGCATACCATCTCAGCCCAGCAATCATGTTCTACATCCCCACCCCGGCATTCTCCGCGCCCACGACCTTCATCTCGTTTGGTGCCGCGCAGGACCCGCGGGAGGCGTACGATATGTTCAGGGACGCCAGCCAGGCGCTCCGGCCCTTGACGAATCTGCCGCAGTCGGGGCGCCGGTCCTCGGTGTCGAGCACCAGCTCCACCAGCTCCGGCAGCGCGAAGGGAAAGAGCAGCCTGAAGAAGCTCTTCGGAGGGATGTAAAGGGGATAAAGCATGCCCCTCGGCGCTTCGCCACTCCCTTCCCCTGCCTTGCCCGCAAAACAAACACCAGTCCCCTGCGACACACAACCGCATGCGATCCAGTTACCGCATTCATCTCCGGTAGAGCCTAGCTCCCGGACGACTGCATCAGAATACGGACCCCCGGTTGAGCCTAGCTCCCGGACGACCCTCGACGCACCAAAACATCGACATGGCGCACAGAGCGCGCGCGCGTCCGCGCCGCCGCCCATTGTCCCGTCCTGCACGAACTACCATTCACGTCCTGCACGATTCCCTCTCGACTTCAGACTCGATTCCACGATCGTCCTCACGTTCCCCCAACGACCTGACTTCATGATCTTGACTACCCTCCACGGTACTTCCACGCGACCCCAGACGCTTGCGACGACATCCTCATGCTCGCGACAATACTTGCACACAAAACAAAAACACATCCATCCATTATTAAACGACCACATATAACGGACATACAAGCATATGCATAATGTAGAACTACAACGACGAGAGATGAATGTATCACGAGCATGATGAAAGCTATCCGATCCGAGAACGAGATGAAATATTCCGATGTGTGATGTGAACAGGGAATATGAGAGGTAAATGAAGCAATATAGCGAGCAGGAAATGAAGCTGATAACGATACGGGGCGCAAGGGGGACAATGAAGCCGACGGCACTACTTGGAAGGCGAGGGGTCAAGCACGATAGCAGCATGCCTGGGCTTGCCAGATGAGGATGAAGGCGCATTGCTGGAAGTAGAAGCAGGAGCCTCATCGACGTCCATGGGTGCGTGGTCCGGCAGCGGCGTGCTGCTTGGACGCCTTATATGCGCTGACCTCGTGCTGGGCTCGGCAGGTGCGACAGGCATGGCGGGTAACGACGTAGGCCGGTGAGGCGGCGTCGAGTGCGCGGCGAGGAAGCGCTGGATCTCGGCGCATGAGGAAGATAGTCGGGCAGCTGCATCGTCGAGAGATGAAGAGGCCGCGGGCGCGACAGGAGTAGGAGCTGCTGGGGTGACGGGCGGAGGAGCTACAGGGGCACTGACGGTTGTGTATGCCACCTGGTCTGCCGCCTGGTCCGCAAGGGCAAGGTGCACTTGTAGACCGAGGCCCGCCGGTGCCGACAACGTCCGCGGTAGGGCGCGGGTCCGAGTGGGCGGTGACGATGACCCCTGCGACGAAGGTAGCGACATCTTCCCTGCATACGGCGCGTCCAAGTCATCCACAAGCGTATCCGTCGACGACGCATACGGGTGCACGCGTCGGTTCCGCGTCGTCGGCATGACCGGGAAGGCCTCCGCGCGCCTGCGCCTGGGCTGCCGCGGTACATGGACGGTCCATGTCGTGGTGGCCTGCTGCGACGCAGACAGCTCGCGCGCCTTCATGCGCAGACATATCCGCTCGAGCGCCTCCTTCTCATCGCGCACGCGCCCCGCGTGCACCGTGAGGTTCTGCAGCTGCGCCTTCAGCATGTCGTTCTCCGCGCGCAGGACCGCGTTCCGCTGGATGAGCTGCATGTTCTCCGCGCGGGTGGCCGCGGTCGCCGAGCGCTCGTTCGCGAGGGTCGTCTTCAGCTGGTTCAGGTGGTGCGTGGAGCGGGAGAAGAGGCTGCGGAGCGCGATGAGGGTGTTGTCGATCATGGAGGTGGGCATGGCGGGGATGGCTTCGGCGTCGGACATGGCGTGGCTGGAGGTCGAGGGGGTGGCCTGCGGAGGCAAACATTAGGACCCGTGGAAGCATAGCGGAGGGGGAACGCACCGGGGAAGCAGACGGCGTGGTGCGGCGGTATGTGTGCCCGTGCTTGTTGTTCTGGCTAGTCATGAGAGTCGCGTAGCAGTGCGAGGGTACCGTAGTCCGAGTCGAGCGAGTCGCAGAGCCAGCCAGTGGTCTCTTAAGTTAACGAAGAGGATGGAGGCGCGAGCAGATGCGCATACTTCCTCGCAAGCCAGATAAGTACGCCACTAGGTTGACAACCGGACAATTGCCAACGAGATGCATCATCTCGGTGCGGGGACAGCGCGTCCGGTAGTATAGTGCGCTTTGTGACTGTGATGGGCGAGGACAATAAGGTCAATATACCGGCGCCGGATGCAAAGTGCGAGGAACCGTAAGATGCCGTGTGCGGGGGGATTCTCCAGGGAAGTCCGCTTTATGACCACAATGGAACGCGCAGAGAGGAAGTATGGGAACGTAAGTGGGCTATTGTGATTGTGGTGGGCGCGGAGGGGAAGGACAATAAGATCATGACGCGTCGCCGGCCGGGGCCGTGATCTTATCTCCGCGCTTGTACACTCGCGTCCGGACGCGACGCGTCCAGTCACGGTCGCGTTCCCGTCTCCCCGGGGCCGATGACTCCTGACAGCAGCGTAGATAGCTCGGAAGCGGTACATGGAAACGAGCGGGCAGACTCGGGAAGCGTGTAGGGATAGATTATGCAGTACATGGCAGTGATCATAGTGTATGGGTGACATAGGAATAGGCACATCGGCTCAGGCAGAGTCCGGCAGCTGCACAATGGCACCTGTATTCTGCGGCGAGTTAAATGAGTTGCATTGTTCCTGCGTACAGTCACTCACAGGGTCGAGGATAGCCCCGCGGGGCAGAAAGACGTTGAAGCCCACAATCAATTCGGGATAGCCCCGAAGCATCTCTACCACTCGCTGGACGCATTGTCTCATGTCAATCCTGGAGCGGTCAGAGGGGAGCGCATACTGTAGACTAGTACTCACTCTCCAGCCTTGAGCGCGCTCAGTACCCCCAAGAACTCCTTGTAAGACTCGGGCTCGTCCTGGAAGCGTGCCTTCACTGCGTCGAGGTAGTGCAGCGCGTCAGTCACATCGATATCCAAGCCGGGAGGTGGTGAGGGCGGCGGAGGACTCATGACGGTCTGTCTCAAGCACCAAGCACTGGCGGCGGGCGCCTATCAAGCGGTTCTCATCCACGTGCTCTGAGTCATCATCTCGCCGGAGCCGTAAGTTGCTTGCGAAGAAATCAAGGTTCGTTATACATGGCGTACGAGCAGGCTGCTACGACATGATACACAGTAGATCGATCGCTGAAGGGAAGTAGGGTACGCTCTGCAGTGAACTTGAGTGAATGGCGTGACCGCGGCGAAGAAAACACATACAGTGTATATGGTACAGAATGTCCAGCTCCCTGAGGCCGTCCATCAGGTCGGGGTCGCCACCCAGCAGTGTTGTGATTGTGTTGATTGCCTCGTGCTTATCTTTGCTGGGAATACGCGGAAGGAGGTGAGCAGAGAGAATGAATTCGAAGAGGACGGAGTGAAAAGGGACAAGAAAACATACCGATACTTCTGCAGGACTCGCAGGAAGGTGTCGTACACCATCGGTCGGTCTGCGAACCGTTCCTTGACTGCCATGAAGAATTCCTCCACGACCTTCTTTGTATCGTGATGGAGTGTGGCAGGATGTTGACCCTGAGGATCTTGTGTCGCAATCGAAGGCGTTGCAGGCGGCACTACAGCGCGGGCATGAGGAAAGCTGGCCAAAAAGCCACTCTTCAGCTCTGGGTGGCTTTGCAGCAGTCCCCAGACGCCCATCACGTACATGTCGACGCTGATCCTGCAAGTGCGCGTATGAGCAAGCCAGCGGCCCTCGGGCATCGGACAGTGGCTACTGGGCGTATGAGAAGCGCACCTTCTACGGCACCATAATTTTGTCAGGGCAAGGTATTGTCCGTGCTCGCGCGGCGTTAGACTGGACCTCAGAGTGGCCTGGTACTGATGAAAGGCTGCGCTATGACTGTACGTGACATTCTTCTTGTCTGCTTGACCGGTGCGACAGGCAGATGTCGCGAACATGGGAGGATGAGGAAGGGAAAAAATGGCCACGGAGTCGTCAGAGGTTTAGAGAAAACTTGAGACCTGCCATTTATACACCGCTTCGCGTGGTCTTTCCATTGATCGCTCAAGGACAAGAAGGCAATCTACGCCTATCAAAGGACACACAGGGCGTAGCGAAAGCACGATGGATGGTCTATCGGCTTCGAGTACAAACGAGAGGTGAAGACGACCTCTTTGCCTTGGTCCGCCTGTCGATGAGTATTGAGTTTCAAAGGTCCGTGGTCCATGGCAAAAAGTGTTATCAGTCAAAGAAACAAGATGAGGCGTTTCGAAAGCTAACCGTCGCGCGCAGGTCATGAGCTGTGCTTGGTGGAGGACGAGAGCAAAGGAGAACAAAGGAGAATGATGCTGATTCGTTCGGCCCGACATCCCGCAGAGCACCCACTCGACACAACAGATGTACACAAAGACGCGGATAAACTCGCTCGCCGTGGAGGATTGCGTAGTGCGAAGGCAATTATAAAGGGGAAGAGAGATGATGTATCATGCGGCACACAGGACGAGAAAGAGACAGTCGTACAACATTTATCGTGGCGCCTCCACTTGCCCATCCTTCTCCACCTTAGACTTTTCTTCCTCGTGGACCTTGAGCGGCCTCCCGGACCCTCCCTTGCGCTTCCAGCCTCTCTTGCCCTTCTTCGCCGTGCCTTTTCCTTGTGCTCCCTTGCTATTGTGCTTATCCGCTATATCTCGTAGCCTCTGGTACTTCTCTGGCTGCTCCCGGAAGCGCTCCTTCATCAGCGCGTCCAGATGCCCCCCTCTGCGCTGCTCCGAAGTCCCTTTCTTGGGTCCGGGCAGCTTCGGACAAACAACGCGCAGACCGCTTATCAAGTCGGGGTGGCCGGCGAAGACTTGCATGGCGCGATGGCCAAGCCCTTTCACGTTAAGGCTGCAGGGGCAGGATGTGAGCGCAATCGAAGGTTGAGTAGGATACATACGGGTGCCGCTCGTGCCACAGCATCATGTCGAAGAATTGACGATACCGCTCAGGTTCGTCGGCGAAGCTGGTCCTAACAAGGTCGGCGAAGGTGGCAGCGTCGATGACCTTCTGAGCGAAGGGATCATTGATCTTTGGCCACGCAAGAGGAGAAGTGGCGGGCTCAGAGACAGCCACAACACGTCGAGGAGGCATGACAGTCGCAGTGGCGAGAGCGAACGGCGAGGTCGAGGGAGAAAAGAATAGTGGACCTACCGTAGTTTGAACAGTCGCTGCACACACTCACCTGGCGCAGCCTTTGACAAATATGCCGTGTGGTCCATGCTGCATCGGAAGGAGGGACTTACGCCACAAGATGGCTTAAACGAAGCGAACGTTTTGTGGGCCCAAGCGTTGGATTCGCGGTATTGTAGATAGAGCATAATGATACTCAAAGCTCCCGCACCTCGTCTGCGTCGCCGAAGAAGATGGAACCGTCCATATCTTCATCGTCCTCCGCCGCCGTGCCATGTAGGTCGCCCGCGGCATGCAGCGCCTGACTGAGCGCCATCATGCCACTTCCGTCTTCATCCACGTTGGCGTCCTCGTCTTCATCCCCGAGCAGGAAAAGCGGCTCCTGATTCGAATCACCGAAGAGGGGTACCGGAGGCAGGTTGCGTCCGGAAGGCACAACACTACCATCCCGCGACGTCGCAGGTGCAGCACTCCCATCGCGCGCGTTCAGCGGCGCTGGTGTCAGCCCTCGCGGACCAGGAGTAAGACTCCGCCTCTCATCCGGGTCCGGTAAGAACAGCGGCGTCCGCGCTCGCTGCGTCCCTGGCGGCTGCACACTCGTCTCCTGATGGAACGGCGCCAGCGACCCGGACCTCGAAGGTGCGACAGAGCCCGCGCGCGAGCCCGGAGCGAGGGAAGCGCCCCTCATCGGCGGCCAGGGTTCGACGACGACACAGAGGCAGTGACCGTAGATGCTGAAGCCTTGATAGCGAAGTTGGAGCAGTGGTTTGGGTTTTTCTTCCTCCTCGTCCGCGGCGAGGTCGAAGGCGGAGGGCTGTGGAGGTGGTGGCGGGGAGGGTGACGGTTCACTCATCTCGACGTCCTCTTGCGGGGGTTCTTCTGTTTCTGGATTTGGCGGTTCGGCGGCAGGTGGCGGCTTGACGTCCTCTTCCATGTCCTCGTCTTCCGCGTCTTCGGCGTACAACCCAAGTGCGGGTTTCCTTGCCCGTAGCGAGCGCCGCGGAGCAGCTGGCATTGGTGCACCCTCATCCTCAGCTTCTTCGTCTGAAGTGACAGCAAGCTCCTCGTCTTCGTCAGCGCGAGCCTTCCCCTTCGTCTTCTGCCGTTTGGGCGCGGGTGCTGCTTTCGGTCGAGCTTTGCGCTTGGAGGTAGATTGAGTAGTCGGTGGAGGCGCAGAGGCAGGTGCGGTACGTTTCACGGGTGGGGCAGCGACGAAGTGGCGGGTCTGTCATATGCTAAGTGGAGTCACGTAGGCGGGGGAGGGGTATGCGCACCTTGACGAGAACAGAGTGAGGATGTGTCTTGCGCAAGAAGTACGCAAACTGGTAGGAGTCTGAGTATAGTCCATGAGCGGTACATACCCCAGCAAAAAAGTAGCACGTACCGCCACGATGGGTATCAACGGTCAGCTTCTTGGCTCCCGCCGCTGACTGGGTCGCATCTGCTTCAGCTCGAAGCTTTGGGACGATGCTGCAAAGGTCATGCCGTTGAGTTTGACGCGTAAGAATCGCAAATGTACACGCACTGAGGTCGCAGATCCGCCAACACATGTTGCAATATTTGGTCGTTCATCCAGTCAAGATGGCGCTCATCGAGATAGACCTAGCGGTACGGTCGGATGGGAGCACTTCTACGAAGGGGACTCGAGTTACATAGAGCGGTAGCACGTTCCTCTCTGATATCTTGAGGTAGTAGGCATTGCGAGCACGAAAGGGCATGGCGCTAAAGGCGCGCTCTTATGATGAGGGTAGGAGGCGAAGGTGATTAAGCCCGCACGTGGCCGCGCGTCATGACGCGTTCATTGTTTTCCTAGAGTGGGAGCCCTTGTTCTTTGGCAGTGCAACACAACACTCCCAGAATCCAGATAGTACATGTTCGCATTCAAAGATACAACACAACTCGAAACTACACTACTTCATCCAACCGTCCGCTGATCTACATAGATCATGACATTACCGGCTTCAGTTTCTTTGCACTTTTACAGGGGCTCGGCGGGCACGTCGGGGCCAGAGATCATGACCTTAATGACGCTCTTGCCGTCGGGACCCTTGCCCTTGCGGTTAACCTCGAAGGCCTCTGCGGCCTTGTCGAAGGGGAACCTAGAAGAACAGTTAGTACCAGGTTGCAGGGGATGCAGGACGGCGTACCGATGGGAGACGAGCGGCTTGAGGTCAATCTTGCCGTCGCGGACGAAGGCGATACCGAGTTTGTACGCGCCAGGCTATTGAAGCGATGAGCATATGATGAAATGAGATTTGTTCGAACAAACACGTACGCCGTAACGGAACGAGCCCTTGAGGGTCAGCTCTTTCGCGCCGATGGCACCGATGTCAACCGTGACATTGGGCGTACCCATGCCTACTTGTACAAACGTGCCGCCCGTCTTCGTCACATAGATACCGGTCTGGATGGACGGTGGTGCACCGCTCGCCTCGATAACGAGATCGATGGCGCTCTCGCCGCGGTCCGTGATCCCAAGCTTCTGCATCATCTCCTGCGCGTTCCGCTTCGAGTACTCGACCTGGCTCTCGCCCTCCTTGGGCTTGCCTGGAAGGTACACATCCGTCGCGGCGTACTTCTTCGCGAACTCGAGGCGCTCGGGCACGATGTCAACGCCGATGATGCGGGAGGCGCCGATCGCTTTCGCGGTAGCCATGCAGAGGAGGCCAACGGGGCCGCAGCCGAAGACGACGACGGATTGGGAGGCTTGGAATTGGCCGAGCTTCGCTACGGAGTGCACGCCGACGGAGAGGGGCTCGATGAGGGCGCCGTCCTCGAGGGACATGTTGTCGGGAAGCTTGTAGACGAGGTGGGAGGGGACCTGGTAGTAGCGTGCGAGGGTGCCATCGTAGGGTGGGGTAGCGGCGAAGACGACGTCGGGGCAGAGGTTGTAGTGGCCGGACTTGCAAGCATCGCAGCTACCTGAGAGATACTTAGCACTAATTCGACCAGGGGAAAGGAGAAGAACATACCGCAAGTTGCGCCGGGCTCGACGGCAACGCGGTCGCCTGGCTTTACGTTGGTGACCTTGGGTCCAACTGAGGACGATTAGAGGAGATCGGCACATCATGGAGTATACATACCTTCGTGGATGACACCAGAGGATTCATGTCCGAGGACCTGGGGCAGATGAGTGATCGCGATGGGGAAATAAGGTGGCGCATACCATCGGTCCTGTCACGACGAAGTCCCCGATGCGTCCATGGGTCAGATAGTGTGCCTACAACCATCATCAGTATTCCCCCTCTGCAGAAAAACGGAGAGTACTTGCATCGGACCCACAAATACCTGACATCAGCCCCCGTTAGCACGCCATGCTTCATGAAGGGGCACGCACGCACCTGTCTTCTTGATCGCGACAATGACCTCTCCAGGACCCGCCTTCGGGACGGCTCGCTGCTCGAACTTGGTGTTCTCGACACCGGTGAGGACGAATGAGGGGTTGTCGGACATGGCGGTATGATTATGGTGAAAAGAGCAGAGGCGGACGGTCTTATAGTTATATGCGGTCCGGGCTTTCGTCCGGCCATATGATATCCCTAGGGACGGGCCCTGCCCCAGACCCCGCAACTGGCGCTGGGGCGTCCGGGGCAGCTGGCGAGAGCCGTTCTTCAGGAGGGAAGTCCAGATATTGGCCATGGTGGTAAGAAACAGACCGAGGCCACGCCCATCGCATGCTCGAGTCTGTGCGACGGACGCACCGCGCAACAACCCCGGACGGAATCCAGCGGTCCGGACGAAGGGCCCCTGAACGCCCCCGCGCCCCGCGATATAAGCGTCCACACACGCAAACAACACCAACTGCCCTCTTGCCTTCTACTTCCATCTTCTTTCTCTGCAGGTTGATCCTGTACACGCTCAGCAGGCTCTGATCTTCGCACACGCTATTCTCCGCGGAACGCCCTTTTTGCTCGCTTCGCGTCCCCGCTTCGTCCTTTCGCTGCATACAACGCGTTGATCGCTGCTGTCTTCACACTCGCCCTTCTTCCTCCGCGCCTTAACCCTCAGCCATGCCTGGAACCGACGTTGACAATATGCCCGACTTCACTGGTCGCTCTATAGATGATGGGCGTCTTCTCTTGCTCGACTCTCTGGGCTGTGGTGCATTCGGCAAGGTCAGCACATACGCGCTTCTCATACTGTCAGCCTCATACGTCACAGGTCTACCGCTGCTGCGATGTCACTTCTCCCAAAGGAGAACGCTCCTACTACGCCGTCAAGGTTCTCAAGAAGCCTAGGGCGCGCTCTCGTCAAGAACGATATCAGGCTCACGAACTCGCTCTGCACCACCGAGTCAGCGGCCACCCATCTATCGTGTCTTTTCACAAGGTCATCACCGACTCCAAGCACGTCTACGTGGTCCTCAATCTCTGCGACGGCGGCGACCTCTTCAGCGCGATTACGGAGCGGAACCTCTACTTCGGCAACGATGCTCTCATCAAATCAGTCTTCCTACAGATCCTGGACGCTGTTCATCATTGTCACACCAAAGGCGTCTACCATCGGGACCTGAAGCCTGAGAATATCTTCTGCTCCAAGGACGGCGCGACCATGTACATCGGCGACTTTGGGCTTGCTACAGACAAGGAAATCACCAAGGACTACGGCTGCGGCAGCAAGTTCTACATGAGTCCTGGTGCGTCACCGTGCTCCGTCGCTCATGTCGTCGCTAAACTCGACTGCTACAGAATGTATCGGCAAGGAGATCGTACTGGGCGAATTTTCGAACGCGAGGAGCGACATTTGGTCACTCGGCGTGGTCCTCACGAACCTGGTCTCCGGCCGTAATCCTTGGGGTATGTCATTTATTCGTAGATCTCGCACCCTCATGCTAAACATACTCCAGGCTACGCTGTCTCTTCCGACGCTTGCTTCGCTGCGTATATGCGCGACCCGAATTTCCTGCTCACGGTCTTACCCATCTCTGAGGCGGCCAACAACGTTCTCAAGCGCATCTTCGTGATAAACCCTCTGCGTCGAATATCTCTGCCAGGCCTACGCGCTGAGATCGAGGACATCAGGACGTTCTACGCTTCTGATGTCGAGCTGGCTGTGCGCGAAACCGAGCTCGGGGACGTCGATATCGAGGTTAAGAACGCTCAGAACAAAGACGAGGTCGCGCCCTCCATCCCCGCATCCGACGAGCACTACATATATCCCAGCCCTGCGGACGAGGCATTTGCCATTCCTGACTCCGCTGTCCTGGAGATCATTGACGTGCTCCCTCATCCTTCTCCTGAAGCCGAGGTATCTGACGCGGACGCGCCCATCGAACAAGATGGCGACATACAAGATGCAGTGCTTCCACCCAGCCCTGCTGGTCCTCTCGCCGCACCTGCAGCTGAGGACACGGTCGACTTCCTTGCGCCACCTCGTCGCCCCTTCGATGCTGAGACTGGCTCGACAACTAGCTCAGCGGACAGCGAGGCACCTATCACTCCTGCTACCTACCCCCTCGCGGACGACGTCGAGATCCCTGACTTTGCTGAGGGCGAGGGTATCGGGCAGTCTCGCGTACTCGGTTCTTCGGAGTACGTAGGTGCGCCCAAGTACGTCGATGCGTCTTCCATGCGCGTGGTGCCAGTCAAAGTCTCTCCCCTCGCGGGCGTCACCATCGTTGACGAGGGGAGTGCTGGCTCCGACCCTGGTTCGGCGAAGCGATCTCGAGGGCTGTCCTTCTCCAAGCTGTTCAGCAAGGGACCGTTCTCCAAGATACGCAATATCGCCAAGCAGACCTCGGGAACGAAGGCGTAGCGGGGTGATCAGGGGAGGGAATCTGAAGGGCTAGTGGAGGGGGAAGCACAGCATGCATGCACGGACGCTTCAGCGATTTGGACAAAGCACATGTATTTATACAACATTCTCTTTTATACACATCCTTAGCCTGCTGGCGGGCATTAGGGCAGAGACATTGTGTGTGACAGACAAATTTTGTCCCATCTTACGCAGCCTCATCATCCTGCACCGCTGCATCTGCGTCCATCGCAGCCGCCTCCTCTTGTTGACCTTTCGTGGTCTCCCCCATGATCGTATCCTCGCCATCCGCCTCCACCGCAGTCGCCGTCCCGCGGTACTTCTGATCTTCCGCTGCGCTGGTGAGGTTGCTCTGGTAGTGCGTGCTCGTGTCCGTCTTAGTAATCTCGCGGAGCGCCATAGTCGCATAGCACGCAGTCCCGAGCTGCAGGTTGATCTGCAAAGCAAGGAACTTGCCATTCTCGTCAATCACAGGCGGGTCCATGCCCAGCAACTTGTCCTCGTCCGCCTGCGCGAGCGCGACGTCCGGGTCCGTGTACCGGAGCGTCGTCCACGTGAGCTCCTTGGGCTTGTGGAGGATGTGGCGATAGGAGCCGGCGAGGATGTACTCCTTCTGCTTGCGATGGAAATTATCGGGGTCGACGCCGTCGGCGACGAGGAACTCGCGATAGCGGGCGCCGAGGGGTCCGCCGGGGAGGGAGACGTCGGTGCCGGGAAGAGGCATGACGACGTCGAAGATGGAGTAGTTGTCGACGTCGGCTTCGGTGAGGACCTTGATTTTGGGCGCGACGTAGGGCTTGCGGGAGCGTTTGCCGTTCGCTGAGAGTGGTATGGTCAGGACGCCGAATAGCGATGTGAAAGGGCTGTGCTTACCCGGAGCCTCTTCCTCCTCTGCGTCTGCCTTCTTCGGCTCTTCTGGCGGGACGTCCAGAACGAGGTCGCCCGGGATGGGCTTGTCGGCGCCAAAGGTACGGATGCGCTCCGACACAATGGCGTTCCAGACATACGACTGGTACGCATGCACATACATCAGACGTAGGTTCTTGGGGATCTGTCCGCGAGTCAGCTTTGCTGTGGGGCATGAAGGCGAAGGGCACGAACCGTCGTGAGCGCCCCGAGCGCATTGCGCGTATCCTTCTCCTTCTTGTAGCTCTCAAGAATGCAGCGCTCGGCAACGATACGGCGCGGGAGCATCTGGAGGGCCTTCTCGACGTCGCCATCTACGAGGAACGCATCGCGCGCCGCAGCGATGTCGGCATGCTCGCCGGAGCGCTTCTGGAGGATGAGGTCGACGGCGCGCTGCCACTCTGAGCGCAAGAGCGCCAGTCCAACGGAATGCGTGGGTACACTGGCCGTCCCGAAGCGCTGCATGCCGTAGTAGTTGATGAAGCCCTTCTCCTTCACGATGGTCATCGCCTTGTCGAGCGTGTCCATCGAGTCGACCTGGACATTGCGTAGCGTGATCACGAATGCGTTTCCCTTCAGCATGCCGAGCTCGAGGCTCGCCTTGCTGTACTTCAGGTCCGCGACCCGGATCCCCCGCTCCCCGCGCTGCTTTACCGCCTCGGACTCCGGCTTGTCGCGACCGACGCCATTCGCGAGCTTCCATACATCCTCGACGAGCTTCCCGTTCCGCTTGAGCGAGACGCGCTGCACGGTGACGCCGCGCTTGTCCTTTGTGCCCGCGACGGAGAGGTCCTTGACGTTGCAGTGAAGCAGGCGCGACAGATGCGCGAGCGCGTCCTGCGTGTCGCGATTCGTCTTCTGCAGCGTGAAGTGGATGTAGGGCGGGAAGTTGCTGCGCTGGCCGCCACGCCCACCTCCGCGACCACCACCTCCACCGCGCCCACCGCGTCCGCCGCGGCCCCATTTGATGACGATGCGCAGGGCGGCGTCAGATTCAGAGGGTGTGGAGTCGGTCGCGGTGTCGAGCTTGCCGCCGAAAAGCTCGCGTATCTTCTGGTGCAATTCGGTGCGGGTTGTCTTCTCTGCGAGAGGCTGTTTCGAGTGAGCGACAAGCAAAGACAACTGAAAATATACGCGAACCTCTGTAAGGACCTTGCGAGTGTCTTCGCGTCCGCCTCGTCCTCCACCCCTACCAGCGCGTCCTCCACGACCTCCTCGTCCGCGACCACGTCCTCTCCCACGGCCGCCGCGACCTGACTGCTCAGGCTCGGGCTCGGGAACCGGTGCTTCCTCGGGTTTGTCCCCTTCCTCCCTCTTCTGACGGCCAGCCCAGCCGCTGTCACTGACGAGGGGAGGTTCCGGCCCTTGGAAGAACATCTCCTTTAGCTGTGCGATAGCTTGTTCCGAAAGGTACGGCGCGAGAGTCGTGTTGAAGTGTTCTGGCCAGGGCTCTTCCTCGGTAGATACCGCAGGCTTTGCCTCTTCTTCCTTGGCCGGCTCAGCAGCATCAGCAGAGGTCGACGCGGCAGGCTCCTCGGGCTGAGGCGCATCGGGGGGAGGTCCATTGGGGAATGAGTTGGGCTTTTCGAGCGACTTCAGGTGTTGTACTTCGCCATCCTGGTTCACCTCAAAGACAAGGAAGTCTGTGAACCTGGACTTGTCAGCGACTTCCTCACATGAGACGCGCACCACTATTCACCTCTGTTTGATGATGCCCTCAATTTTGCCTACGCCCTTGCCGATGTACTCCGATATGCCAACGTCCGTTTCGAGGAAGTTGACCTGTTCCCCTTTCTTAGCGGTGGGTGCGGACAGTCCTAGGAGCTTGTGACTGGGGGGAAGGACCTGGCCTTCCAGCTCGACCTTGCGCCGCTTGGAGTAACGTTCAGCGTCTTCGTCGTCCTGCTCGCGCTCGTGTACGATGATGGGCTCAGCCATGGCAGGTATACAAGCTCAGAGTCAATGGGGGACGAGGTCTCAAGCCGTGAAAGTCGTCGTCGAACAACGTCAAGTTCGAGACGGACCAGAGTTGGATTTCGTGATTAGATCTACGCTCGATCACAGAATGATCAAAGAACAAAGCTTGCCAAAAGGGGATCTCCCATCAACTTCAACTTGCCCCAAACCATCATGACCGCCGCTCATAAGCTCACATACGGTCAGCGCGCTGCAAGGTTCACCAATCCCGCGGCGAAAGCCCTGCTGGAAACCATGGAGCGCAAGAAGAGCAATCTATCCGTCAGCGTCGACGTCGTAAAATCCGCCGATCTGCTCGCTATTGTCGATACCGTCGGGCCCTATATCTGTCTGATAAAGGCATTGCACTGTCGCTTGCGGTCTTGGGATGCTGCTTATACTCTATGAAGACCCATGTGGATGTTGTCGAAGACTTCGACTCGTCGCTCGTCACCAAGCTTCAGGCTCTGGCCGAGAAGCATGATTTCCTCATCTTTGAGGACAGAAAATTCGCCGACATAGGTCTGTCCGTCGAATCTCTATCGATGTCAACTCTGATGACTTGCACAGGCAACACCGTCGCTCTGCAGTACTCTAGTGGCGTGCACAAAATTGCCAGCTGGTCGCACATCACGAACGCACACCCTGTTCCAGGACCGTCAATCATCAGTGGCCTCGCATCGGTAGGACAACCCCTCGGTCGCGGACTCCTCCTGCTCGCAGAGATGAGCACGAAGGGCTCACTTGCGACAGGCGCGTACACTGAAGCCGCCGTCCAGATGGCAAGGGAGAACCGCGGCTTCGTCATCGGGTTCATCGCCCAACGGCGGATGGATGGTATTGGCGCGCCTCCAGGGGTGAATGTCGAGGACGAGGATTTTCTTGTCTTGACACCAGGTGTCGGACTCGATGTGAAGGGCGATGGGATGGGGCAGCAATACAGGACGCCGAAGCAAGTGGTACAGGAAGATGGGTGCGATGTAATCATCGTGGGTCGCGGGATTTATGGCAAGGACCCATCGAAGGTGGAAGAGATACGGAGGCAGGCAGAGCGTTACCAGGCTGCAGGATGGGCGGCGTACATTGAGAGGGTCAACGCCTTGGTATAGCTAATCTGATCGGTGTTGTCTTGTTAAGCGTCAGGCTCAATGGAACGCTTTGGACGAGCGGAGAGTAACTTGAATTAGCAGTGTATACTTCGGGCAAATCAATCGTGATAAATACAAGAGCACGCTCACGCACGTCCAATCTCCCTCAAAATCTCCATCTTTCTCGCCTCATTCACCTTCCTGAACCCAGCCGGCGACATCTCGAACAGACCATGCCCACCCGACAGCGCACGCAGCCTATTCGAGTAGTCCAGCATCCGGCTGAGCGGCGCCACCGCCTGCACCGCGCGCTTCATCTTCACGCCCGCCGCCTCCCTCGCCGCAGTGCCGCCAGAGGGCGACACCCACTCCGGGGGCACGTACACGCCGTCCGCAGGGTACGGCTCCTCCACGTCGGATCCACTGCCACCGGTCATGTCCAGCACCTCCCCGCCGTGCTCCGTGAGGTCCTTCACCACCTTCCCCAGCGCGTCCTCCGTCACGCTGACCTTCAGATCCACATACGGCTCCATCACCGGCCCCATTCCCGCCGCCTTGATGCGCTCGCGCACGACCCACGCCGCCGCGGGCGTGAGGTATGTAGCGAGCTTGGGGATGAAGTTCAACTTCTTGATCTTGAGGAAGACGCGCGAGAAGGCGAGGGAGGTGTGCGGGGAGCTGGAGAGTGCGCTGGCAATGCCCTGTCCGATGTAGGCTTCAGGGGAGGTGCCGAGTGTCTCGGGGGGCGGGAGGGGCCGGCCGTGGGCGTCGAGGGCGACGTTACCGTCCCAGGCGGGGTCGCTGGGCTCGTGATCCTCGAGAGGCCGCATCTCGAGGTCGACGGTGACGGTGAAGGGCCGGCCTTGGTGCATGTCCGGGGAGGTCCACACGTTGGATACGGAAGACGTGTCCACGTCCGACAGCGTCTCGCGATACGAGACGTACCGCTTGCCCAGCTCGAACCTTGCCTCGAACTCATCTCTCAGTCTGCCCTCCACGATCTCCAGATGCAGCGTGCCCATCCCATGCACCAGCAGCTGTCCCTCCTGCACATCGATCCTCACTGACGGGTCCGTGCGCGCCAGGGACTCCAGCGCCGCCTGCACAGGCGCCAGATCCGCGTGCGATTGCGGGATGACCGAGGCGGAGACGACAGCCGGGGGCGGCACGATGCTGCGCAGGTGCGACTCGGAGGCCTCAGATTCGAGGGTGTCGCCCGTGCGGGTGTACTTAAGGCCCAGTATAACGCCCACGGAGCCGAAGGGCAGCTCGTCGACTTCTTCCGCCTGGTCGGCGTACAGAAGGAGTATCTTTGAGATTCGCTCCTTCTGGTTGCGTGTGGTATTCATGATGCCGCTTTGCTTTTTTACTTTGCCTGAGGGAGGAGCTCAGCCGGTGTCGTAGCAAAGAGAAGGACGGTCATACCTGAGTAAACCCGGACAAAAGTCATCCAGCCTCGCCGCTTATCCCACATAACCTTCCAGGCGAGCATTCTCGTCGGTGAAGTAGCGATCTGCTTTTCGTGCTCGACATCCAGTGGGCTAGCAAGAAGTTCACCGACGAAGTTCATGACGATGTCCGTGCCAATATGCCTGAACGCTGCCCCGCCAACGACAGGAAGGATATCATTCTTCAGCGTCGCCGTGCGCAGAATATCCTTAATCTCCTGAGCCGGTACCTCCAGGTAAGGGTTGGACGTCTCCGACGAGGACAAGAGTGTTTCCATAAGCGGTTCCGAAAACATCGACAGATTGTCGAGCATTGCAGTACGTGCTGTGACCACTTCGCCGAGGATGGGGTGATTCGAAGGCAGGCAGTCCACTTGGGAGAGAGCTTGCTCAGTCCGAGGAAGTGTATGCCGCGTGTGTTCGCCTGCTTCGTCCCATTTCCACACTTCCCAGTTGACGAGGTCGACGAGACCCTGAATGCCTGGTTCTGCCCTGTCGTAGTCGGCAGGGTCGAAAGAGGCTATGGGCAGGACAAGTGCGAGGGGGTTGGGGTGGAACCGGTTCGTCAAGAGGGACGTGAGGGAAGACTTGAACGAAGCACCAGGCCGGTCAAGTTTGTTGAGGAACATTATCCGAGTGGAGACGCCGTACCTATCATGCGTCAACCAGTGTTCGAAGTAGTAGAAGGAGCCTCACCTGGCACGCACCTGTCCAGCTGTTTCCAGACACCCTTCGTCTGCGCCTCGACGCCTTCCACGGAGTCGATGAGGACGACTGCGCCATCCACGACGCGGCTAGCACTTTCGACTTCCATACCAAAGTCCGCATGTCCAGGAGTGTCAATGAGGTTGAACGTCCAGTCCTTCCACTTGACGGGAATGCTTGCGGATTGGATGGTAATCCCGCGTTCGCGCTCCGCAGGCAAGAAGTCCGTCGTCGTGCTCCCCGTATCCACCGTCCCAGGTTGCGCCAGATACTCCGACTTGAGCAGGATAGATTCCGTCAACGTCGTCTTCCCCGAGTCTTTCAGCAGTCAGTGCCGGGCGTACCCCATGCTTACACCCCACTCACCGATATGCGCAACCAGCGCCATATTCCTGAACTTCGACGGGTCATTTGGCAGCTGCGTGGCGTACCCGCGCACGCCCGGGCGAGGCCAGCACGGTTTCCATCGTCGCAAGAGCGACGAGAGCATCGTTCGCGCCTGTCCAAGCGCCGGCGATCGGCCAATGAATGCACTTTAGCGCCGAGCCAAATACGGACAAATACGGTATTGTGCTCCCGTTAAAGGCATCAGAACAATAGGCGCGCGTCTCTCTTCATCTACCACCACAATCCTTCCCCCTGCCAATGGACGCAGAGGACCGCATTGAGCGCGAGGTACAGCGCAGGCTACAAGCGCAGGGGCGCCACCCTTTGAGCACCGAACCGACAGCCACCCACCCGCCACATGGGAACATCCCCAACACGCCTTTCTTCGTGTCTCTCATCGCGTTCCTGCTCGGAGGCGTGTTTTCTCTCGGACTTGTGACTTTTTTGAGTGGTGGCTTTGACTCACACTGGTGGTCAACGTATCAACTGGGCTTCTTTGCTGCCGCCTGGTCCTTCTTCCACTGGGCAGAGTTCGCTACGACTGCGCAATATAACCTCGAGAAATGCAGTATAGACTGTATGTGGGGGACCACAAGATTGAAAGTAAACTCGCTCACTATATGTAGCATACCTGCTGGACAACGGGATCATGTACCATGTCGCAAACGGCGTGGCGCTTATTGAGTACCTCACCACGTTGTACTTCAAGCCCGGATGGAAAACATGGCCGTACCTCTCGCTCATAGGTGAGCACGCTCGTTTATGGAAGAACTCCCTCCTGACCCCTCCAGGCGTCGTGATGACCCTTACAGGACAGGCCCTGCGGTCTATAGCCATGATTCACGCCAGCACCAACTTCGCGCACCAAGTCGCTTTCGACAAGCGCTCCAATCACCAACTCGTGACCAGTGGTGTCTATGCGTACGCTCTTATAGTGGTCTTCTGCTCATCTTCTGATGCTTCCTGCAGATGGTTCCGCCACCCATCCTACGCAGGGTTCTACTACTGGGCCCTCGGGACCCAGCTAGTTCTCCAAAACCCCATTTCTTTCGCGGGCTTCTCGTTCGTGCTCTGGCGATTCTTCTACTACAGGACAAGAGGTGCCTATCCCTACTGCTGAGTTCTGACACGCTCGCTGACATGCAACCAGCGGAGGAGCGAGCCCTCGTCAGATTCTTCGGGCAGGACTACGAGAACTACAGGAAACGCGTTCGCACTTGGATCCCCTTCGTACCATAGACGGTGTGCTACCGCATCCTCCATTCTTTCGCTGTACAGACTAGGGAATCATTAGGGAACAGTGCTTGAGTTGAGTGAGTGCGCAAGTTGAGGGTGGTAGTCGGCATAAGTTCTCCCGAGACTGCTCATCCCCACCTCTCATTTTGCGTCTTCCAACTTGCTTCTTGCGAGTCCCCCACGACGAATGAGAGTATGAAAGTAGCATGCATCTGCGTCATAGCCATAGGGGTACATAGTGACAATAATGGGTGGGGCATGCGACAAGGGTTTTGTGTATCGACCGACCAAACATCCCGCGAACGTACTCGTGAGGCGACTCGATTACTCATCCTTGACTATCGTGCTCTTGTCCGACACGTAGATGCCGTCCAAGAACTTACGGATATCCTTGTTCCGTACGCGGCAGATGCCCTGGATGGATGCGGCTGGAGGTGGATGTTAGCAGATGTTGGCAAAATTATTGGATTTGTTGACGGGAAGCGTGAAGGATGAATGGAAAGAGGTGATGGGAAGGATTGAAGGCAAGCGATACATCATGACGATGGCTGAGATGTATCGAAACTCACCGGATTGTGAGACGTTGTCGATGTCGTTGCCCTCAAGGATGAGCTCGTCCTTCTGTGCCTTCGACTCAGCGACAACAACGCCGTCAAGCATGTCAACGTGGCGGACGGTCTAGGTAGAATATGTCAGATAATTGTACATATACAATCATACTACTCAACGCACCTTCTCGCCCAAGAAATTCCGGATCTCAAGAGCGGAACCCGACTCCTGGATAATGCAGTTGATCGGGAAATGGGCGTAGACGGCGCGCATTTTGTATTGGAAGCCCTGTTATCGAAGCCATCGTCAGCATTCCTGCCACCCTCCCCATCCACCCCCACTCTCCCCCACCACACCACCCTCGCAGATAAACGCACCTTCGTCACACCCGTAACCATGTTCTGGATGAGGGACTTGATCGTGCGCAAGCAGGCGACGTGCTTGCGGCCGCCCTGCCACACCGCGAGCGTGACCTTGTTCGCCTTCGCGCCCTTGATAATCCGGATGTCCATGTCGACGTGGCGGACGTTCTTGGTGAGCGTCCCCCGCGGGCCGGACACCTTGATCTGGCGCGACTTGATCTGGACATCGACGCCCTCGGGGATCTCGAGCTCTTCGGTCTTGAGGACGTCCCGCATCTATGCGATATCGTCAGTACGTGGTGTTCCAGTGAATGGGTCCGCTGAGTTGGCGAGATCTGCAATTCTGCGCGCGAGGGGACGCGAGTGGCAGGGACTGAGTGTCATGGGGGATGATCGGTATCGCGCCTCTCTCGAGCAGATCCAGCGCGTAGAGACCGCATTTCGGCATGATTTTGGTACGAGACGGGTCGTACGGGCGCGTAGAACGCGTAGGGCGCGACGACAGGGCAACGGAGCGGCAGCACGAACCTTGAAGGGAGGTTTTGGTCGAGGGTGAAGATTTCGGTGTGGATTTGGGCGATTGCGGATACAGTCACAATGTCACACAACTGTGACACACTCGTCCTCGCGCGGACTGCCTTTCCTGAGCATCCCTGCCTTCTCGTCCAGCCCAAAGATGTCGTTGATGAGTTTTGATGATGCAGTTGTCTCCCCTTCACTCCAAGAACCAAGGAGCATGCCAGACTGGTGTCATGCGCCGTGTTTACTTTTTTGTTTTCGTTGGCTTCCTCTTGCATCCCTCGCATTTGTACAATGAGTGTTTGTTTCTCTTTTCGTCTACAATATATCCACACGCTACTGGAGAAAGAAAAAGAACGGACGGCTTTAGGCATTGTGTCGCATAATAGAGTTCTGTGTCCAACGATGCCCAAAGCCCTACTATGTGTAAAGTCTCTCGCCACCGTCACTGCCACCGCCAGACACCCGTGCGCTAGCACCGCTAGCGACACCATCCACGCCGACGGCACCACCCACGCCAACGACCACGAGTAGACGCGTCAAAGGCACCACCCACGCCAACCACGTACAGGCACGCCAAGGAGTACAAACAGACGCGCCAACAGACAGAAAAGCCCATCTCCACACACCAGAAGCAAGCAAGACGCACACACACCACCAGCCCACCCCGCCCCGCATACTAGTCGAACGAGTACCATATCCCGACAAGAGAATTAGATAAAGCAAGAAGACCGCTGGGTATGCGCGAAGACAAGCCCGCGCGCGGCACCTGCGCGGTATAAAGTACGGTGCTTTGGGTTTGGTTGGGGGTTGTGTGGGGCGAGGGGACCTGTGTGAAGGCAAAGGGGAAATTGTGTGGGTGGATGCGAGGGGAGCGATAATGTTAACACATCGTGCGGGCAAAGGCGAGATGCAAGAATGCGAAGGGCGAATAATAGGGTATCCTCTGTGCGTGGAGTAGGGCCGGGAAGGGTAGTCGTCACGTCGGTCTATCATATCCGCTGCTGCGATCCGCTCCGGGAGCGCGGCGGAGTCGGTCCTGTCGACCGCCTCGGAATCGCCTCGTCCAAGTCCACCAGGGCGGAGCTGTCCGCCGTCGGTGCCTCCCAGCGCGACGGGCCCGAGCCAGACTCCTCCTCCGCAGTCTCCACGAACCGCTGCGGGTCCTTCTCCGGGCGCTGGATCCACGGCGACGTCGGCGTGTACGGTGGCGGGTTGCGCCCGATGCCCGCGCCAAGCTCGATGTCGGGGGCCGGCGCGAAGATGGCAGGCAGGAAGAAGAGGACGCCACGCCTGTGTCGGTGATGACGACGGCGGTGCGCAGGGACCTGGGCCCCGTAGCCTGTGATTGCCACAACGCGATCCCGAACGCCACGGAGAATGTCAAGCGCGGTGGTAGACGGTGCTGGTTGGCGCCCAATGTAGTCCGTGAACGCCGTAGACGCCTCCGACGAAGCAGGGGAAGTCGGTGCAGAGACATCGAAGGGAAGGCCGAGAAGCGGAACTTCTGGTCGGTCCGCGCTCTCGGGGTCCGGTGTCGATGGCGACGACGCAGACATGGGTGTCGACCAGCCGCCAAGTTGGATCTGCCAGTTGCCGTAGCGGCTGCTCCGAAGGACGTCGTGCGCGGTGAGACGCAGGCCGTGCCGACGCTGCTTGCTTGGCCACATCATGCGGATAAGACCATAAACAAGCACCACCAGACCCACCCACATGAGACCCTTGCCCCAGTGGTTCAGGAAGGCTATGAACGACGCGTCATCGGCGTGCCAGCTGCTACCGTAGTAGTGCGCGAAGAACGAGTGAGGGGCCTCGCCCTCCTTGGCGTTCTTGCCGTAGAGCGACTTGGGCAAGATCCGGATCTGGGGATCGAACGGATGCGAGGACGAGAAGATGGAGTACTGCATGGACAGGAACATGGGCCCGGTAGAGAACATGACGGTGGGGTAGTTGAGCACCCAGGAGTGGTCGAAGGTGACGAGGTTGTGGATCGTCTGCGCGAGGAAGGGGTGCCCCTTCTCGGCGAACATCAGGTCGTTGGACACACCGACGGGGATTGTTTTGGGGAGTATGACCGGGTTGACAAGCAGCGGATCGAGGGGACGCTCGCAGCCGATGTCCAGGTCGATGTACACACCGCCGTAGTGGTGGAGCACAAAGTAGCGGATCGCGTCGGCGCGCTGGATGTTGTACGGGTAGTCGTCATATGTGTCAAGGAACCATGAGTAGTGTTCGGCGATGAACTCGCGCGCCATCGCGTCCGTCCAGAGCATGTACTCGCTGGGGCGCGGTGAGCGTGACAGCGGGGTGGGCGAAGCGCGGGCTTACTAGTCGGGCATTATGTCGCGGCAGTGCTGTGAGATGTCCTTCCAACGAGTGGGGAGGGTCTCCGACTTCCATGTCTGGTGGATGATGCGGGGGATGCGCTCTATCTGGCCGTAGTCTGAGGCATTCCAGCGGGTGGAGTTGTCGAGGATGGGGACCTCTGTCTCCGAGAGATAGGCGTCCGGGTCGATGGCGAGGTAGTAGGTGACGGAACTGAGGACGATGACGGTGCCAGCGAGGACGAGTCCTAGGATGACGAGGAGGATGTAGAATACTCGTCGCCGCTGGATCATGATTGGCGGAGGAAGGGAGCGACGAGGCGGGGAGACGAAAAGGAAAAGGGCAAGTTGGATACCGCCATCATCATCACTCCCGCCGAAATCAAAAATTCCGGCATCCACCGGCACCACACCCCAATCAGGCAACGCAACCCGGCTTACGCGCCACTGCCGGCGCCCACCTCGGACCTCCCCTCCATTTGCCCCTTCCGCTTACGCGTTCCTTGATCACTACGCGAGGTCTGGGTGTTGCGGATGCACTCGACGCGCCACCAGGGACAGCCCCCAGCCGCCAAAGCCCAACTGGGACATCACCGAAACATCAACATGCATCGATTCTCCGAGATCTAAGTACAACAGACACCCGCCACCTCGCCTACGACCCCGTCGGCGTCATCCGCAGCGAAAAGATGTACACCCACTCCGGATACAGGATCACTAGGCTCTCCTGGATCGCCTCGTCCTCCCACGTCTGCGCCAGCCTCTCCAGCAGCGCCAGGTTCTGGTCCCAGTCCGCGCGCGACCACATCGCCCCTCGGCGACCGCCCGCGCCCCGCGTGTGCTCCCGACTCAGAAACCGGCACAACCTCCGCTCGTCCGTGCTGCCGCTGGGAAACTCCGTGCGCCTCTGTTTCTGCAGGAACTCGATGCAGTCCGCCGCGACCCACTGCGATATCGGCTTCTTCTCCCACTCGGGCTGGTACCTCGAGCCTGTGTCCTTCCCGATGCTGTGGTTGGGTCCGGCCGCTCGCTGCACGAGCATCTGCAGGAGGTACTCAAAGTGGTTGACCACGTTCAGGTGCAGGATATCGAGCGCATGTTTCGGCAGGATCCAGTCGTCGGGCTCCTTCATCGGCTCGTCCATGTCCATCGCGTCCTCGTCAGGCTGCGCGAGCTGCACCTTGACATTCTTCTTCTTCGTGTACCGCTTCGAGTCGTCGCCAAAGTCCTTGAACATGTATTTGTATTCCTTGCCATAGAGCATCTCGGCCATCTCACGACTGCTCCATCCGTGCGCCTTGGGCTGCATCGCCTCGCCTCGCACTGTGCAGATCCATTCAGTCGCACTTTTAGCCAAGGCGAAGGCCGCGTACCATTGCCGTTCTGACACTCAACAGATACAGCCAACCGCAGGTTGTTGTCATTCGAAAGGAGGACGCTGCGCTTTCCTGTGCTGGCAAAGTACCTCCAGCAATCGAGGATATCGTAGTCGTTGTTATTGTCACGTTCCTATGCAGAATATCAACTATTTGCACCCAAAGCGACAATTTCCGGCCACTGGCCGAAAACTCGCCGGACACTCACATTATCTTCCCGAACCGTCCAATTCTTCGATGAGCGCATCGTATCGCCCAGCGCTTGGCCACGCACGGCCGACTTCTGGTCGTGAATCTTCTTGAGCAGCCACGTCGACGCGCGACGGGAGCCCCATGACAGGTCTCGACGGTTCTTCTGGCTGTGAGGGAGTGTCAGTAGAAGAATGAGCAAGCGACCGTCAATGGGAGGACGAGCGAGTGTTGGTGGAAACGAGCGAGCGGCGGTAGGTGACGAGCGGGCGGTAGTACGGAACGAGTGAAGGCCAGTGGGAAGCCCAGGCACTACTAGTGACATGGCGAGGTCCAGCAGCGCATAGCAAAGGAAGACAGGCAGTGCACCGTGGCAGAAGTAGATAGGAGATGCGAGGGAGAAACGGTGGGCGAGGCGCACAGCAAGTAGTCTCCCATGGCACAGCAAGTGAGAGCGAACTCGCGAGGTGTACGGGTATGCAAGCGGCGGGGGAAGAAGAGTGACTTCATACGGCACCCGCGACGATGATATAGCACTCACCTATCTAGCTCCCTCACTACGATCCCTGGCACGACAACAACGAGGGGCACGCCGTGCTTCTCCACGTCTTCCACGAATCGGACGAGCACGTCGAAGAAGTGCAGGAGGATGTTGGTATCGAGGATAAGGTATAGGTCGTCTTGTTCGGAGACGGGAGGCTGCACCAGATAGCATTAGTACAGAGACAATTCGAGGGCTTGGATAAGGTGGAGGGGAGCCCAAGGTGAACCACCTACGCACCTGCATCTCCACATCATTCTCGATCTGCGTGAGTGTCTGCCGATGGTGCTTGAATGCCTTGTCGGGCAGCGCAGGGGCCTCTGGCTCTGGCTCGGGGGATGGCTCTCGAGCGGGTACATGGGCTGGCGAGGCGAAGCTGTTGGAAGAAGAGCCAAAGGTGCCAGGCGACGAACCAAAAGCATTTGTACTAGGCGAAGTTGAATGGAAAGCATTAGACGGCGCAGCGAACGCATTAGGCGTCGGTGCAAATGGTGGTAGAGGCGAAGGGGTGGCAAAGGCCTTCTGCGCGAAGCCGTCGGGCGGAAGGTACTGCTCTGTCGGGCTAAAGCCGTTGCCGGGCTGGCTAAATCCGCTGCCAGAGTTGTTGAAGCCGTTGAAGGACGATGCGAACCCGCTGTTTTGTGGCGATTGACCAAACGGCGTCGAAGGGTATTGTTGCGGGAAAGGTAATGGATAATTCAATGGGAGGGATTGCTGTTGGGATAGGAAGGGATGTGGAGAAGGGGAATGTGGTTGAGAGAAGGGGTATTGAGCTTGCTGAGCTTGGTCGAAAGGTGATGGACCGGTCGGAGAGAATGGCGATTGAGGTGCGAATGGGTGTAGGCCTGAAGGAGACGTCAATAGTGATAGATGCATTCGATGGGTTGAGAGTAATGAGAAAGACATGAGCTACGAGAAACCGCTGACACGAATTTGCGGCAACGCACCAGAGAAGTGCGTACTGCCCATGGGCGCGCCACCGGGACCTGCATTCAGCGATCCCGCGCCTGCAGAGCAAGATCGCCATCAAGATCGCCCGGCGTGTGGAGGAGCACGAGTATACTTACCATGTGCGTTCACAAGTGCCTCATATTGCTGTCTCTCGAAATCTTGACTGGCCTGCATGATACACACGCTCAGTAATCCGCACACAACTCACCTGCAGAAGTTGCAGCGAGGTATTGTCATCCAAGAAGCAAGCGGCAATAGCTTGATGTTGTACTGCCTGTCTACGAGGGTATACAGCAATAAGAGGTGATGGTAGAAGGCAACAACAAAGGGTCAGGCGAATCGAGAACAACGACGGCCGCCACAAAACCGATCCCGATCGCGGGGAAGCTGGCCTCGAGGCTCGAGCGCGTATCCCTACTTACATCGTCAAATTGACCGCCGCACCCATTTTTCCTTGATTCGCGTCGACACACAGAGCAGAGTTCCGCATGCAATGCTACATTCCATTCGGTCTATGCGTGTATATAGATGTGCAATAATACGAATAATAGAGAAATGTCGTGACGATACAGCCAGCCTCCGCGAAACAGTGAACCGCAGATATAAAGCAAAGGAGCCGCGAACATATAGAAGACGAAGCGCGGACGTAGAAACGACCCGCAACGAAGCAGACGGCCTTCAGGCGAATGAGCACTATGACGCAGCCAACGCGACCTTCTTCGACGGCGGCGAGTTCTCTAGCTGTGCCCTCAATAGGTGCATGTCATCTTCCTCCTCAACCTTCCGCTTCACACCCGCAACGGGCTTCGCGTCCGGGACCGGGCTAGGAGTCCGCCTCTTCCCACTGAGCTCTGGCGTGCTTGACCGCCTTGACTCGTTCACCAGCCTGGACACCAAGCTCGACTTCGTCTTCGACGATGCCGCTTCAGCATAGCATGTTGCGTGGTAGAGCTACGCGGATGCGTTAGCCAGAGTGCATGAGACGAAGACTGCACCACACACCTTGTCCTCCTTCCGCACCGCGTTTCTCCACACCCACTCCTCCTCGTCTTCCAAGAACTCCGACTTCAAGTGCTCCTTGCATATAGGACACGGCATCGGCAATGCCTCTTCACCCGGCGGGATCACTACAAACTGCGCGGCCAGCTCCGCATGGCGCTTCGCCTCCTCCTCCGCCGCCTCGTCTTTCGTCGCATCCGCGCGCCGCTTCCCCTTCACATCGCCCGCAACATCGTGCACCCAGTCCTACACACCGTTCCCATGTCAGCGAGGCTTGCTCGATCTGCGTGAATAGCTTACGTACCTCGAAGTCGACGAACCAGCTCCTGCTGTGACCGCGCCCAAGATCCTGGGTCGCCTTGCGGTTTTGGCGGAAGTGCATGTCAAGGTGCGACTGATAGTCTTTTCTGCCCTGCGCGCTCTCGCCGAAGCGCCTCCCACACTGCTTGCATTGAACGGGCAGCTTATCATACAATATATCTACTACCGGTGGCTTGGTCCTATTGCCCTTGCGTGAGAAGGGTGCGAGCCTATCAATGATGGGAAAGCTTACCTGCTGAGCTCGGCGCTGTTCAGCTTGACCTTTTGCCGCAGGATGGTGCGGCGGTACGAGCGGCTTTCCTCTTTCTCCATGCCCTCATCCGTTTGTTGCTGATCACCCAGACCATTCACGGGAGTAGCTGTCGCTGTTACTATACCGGCTTTGACGAGACTGGATAGCATGTTGTGTATATCGAATGCTGGCAGAGGTGCAGCTCCGGTAGCAGGAGGTGCAGAGATGGACGGCTTGACATCTTGCATGGGTTGAGGATATGGAGGGGGTTGGGCCTGGCGCGCGTAGTTGGACGGTCCTGGGGCATTGTACGTAGGCGCAGCAGGTTGAGGGGTCGGTGCAGACCATTGAGGTTGAGGCGTTGGGACATGGACGGGTGGTGTAGGAACAGGCGCGGGAGCAGGAGGGGCCGTAGGCGGACGAACAAGGGCTCGTAGCTGGGTAAGAATTTGTTGCAACTCATCCTGAGAAACGCCGGCTTCTACTAGTTTACGCAACTGCAACAGGGTCAGCATCGTGCGTCCAAGGAAGTAGGTTATGAATGACGCACCTGCGTCAAGACGGCGACATGGGTCTGCGAAGTTGTGTCGTAGGGGTTCGACTGCAGTGCGCGTTCCTTCTGACCCAGTGCAAACTCTAGCTCGCTAAGGACTTGCGTCTTCGACAATCGACTGGGACCGGGCGCAGACGCGTTGGTGTGCTTTTGGAGTCGACGGGTGAGCTGGGATTTCTTCCGCGACTGCTTGGATCTCACAGTGTTCCCATCCCCCCATATGCCGCGCTCGATGGCGATTTGGTTGGCAACGCCGAATAGTTGTTGACCACCTGGGGCGCCGGTGCGCCACGTTAGGAGCATCTCGACCATCTTGCTACGAGTCCCCTCGTCGACCTGACCATATGACTCGAGGAAGAGGGGGGTGACGAAGGCAGCAAAGTGACGAGCATAAGGATCATAGAGGTTCTTCGAGATCGCGTCTAGCAAGTACCAGGCGGGCAACTTCATCCACGGCGGAACCTGGATTTACGATCAAAATGATTAGTCAGCAATCAACACGACAGACAGAACCAAGGGCATGAGCAAGGGGAAGCAGAATCACCGACTGCTGCGAGTACGACGGCAATTCAATCGACAATTGATAGCGCTTAACGCTTTCACGTCTTTCTCTCTCTTTTTGCCAGGTGGTAGGTAGTCTATGTATGTACTCTATCCAGTAACGTTCCCGCTCTGCACAAGGGCCAATCTGGCGATGCCCTTGGCGACGACAAGCCGCAGCGCATACGAGACGACACAAGCGTCGACGAAGTGGTGGCAGGGGCACAATGGAGGTCAAGGGATCATGATAGGCGCGGGCACTCACCCTGCGTATATGCGCCTCCAAACACTGCGCGGCAATATCTCCATAGCGTACGTGGTCGTGAGCGAGCGCCGAAAGTCCCTGGATAAGAGGGCGCGAGTTGACGTTCAGTTCCGCTAACCTGGTCGTGAATTCTCTGCGGAACGAGGCTGCATCCATCTGGTACACTGGCGCTTGGGGCATAGGATATCCTTGCGGTGCACCATAGTAGCCGCCGCCCATCATAGGAGCCGGCGGAGCTTGCTGATACGGGGTACCGTAGTACGGCTGTTGGTATGAGGGTTGGGAGTAGGAAGCCATCCTGAACTCAGGCTATAGGGATGAGCGGATTGGCTCGTTGTTCGGATAACTTTACTGTGGTGGTGGCGGATATGGGGGAAAGGGGAAGAGCGATGGCTGACGAACGCGATGTGGCTTTACAATTGTCTCACACGGCGTGCACAAAGACAACGAAAGCGCTGACGAGGAACGACGATGATGGTCGTTGCAAACGATGAGCTGGTGATGCCAGCTGACCCTGACAAAGCGAAAATTCCCAGATTGGAACTCCGCCGGCCAGCGCCGAAGTGGCGTCCAGGCCACCAAGCCTCCCTTGCTCCATCGCTAGCCGATGCAAAAACACGTATCGAGCGAGCTTTACGCGATGTACAGCCGACAGTCTGCATCGTATCGAGCACAGGAGTAAAATTTTCCATGCCGAGTCAAGCCACTGGGACGACGCTCTATTAAACGAGCACAAAGATAGTCTGCGCATTAGATACTCGTACACTAAAGCACTATCTGTCGTCCGCGAGATGAATACACACAACAATGAGCACAAACTTGACAAGATTAAACCTCCTTCTCCGTGTGCGTAAGCGTAATGTCCTTCTCGCCAGGACACACCGTGATCTGCTCGCCTAGGACAGATATCGAAGGAACCTTCGGACTGTCGCCCTCGGTGCAGGTGGGACTATCGCCCCCAATACTCGTTGGACTGGCGCCCCAAGTACCTGTAGGACTGTTGTCCTCTGTATTCGTAGGGCTCGCCTTCCCGTCGTGCGACCCTGTCGTGCCGCCCTTTTGCGTATCGACATGCAACGTCGACGCGTCCCCTGGGCTGGTCGCTCGTGGCATATCCGACGTCGCGCCCTCCCCATTGGCAGACTGCGAGCTCGGCGCTACCACCGATGGCTCCTTTTCCGAAGGTACGAAAGGATTGTCCTTTCCGAGCGCTGCGCGTAGGCGTTCACGGACCTCCTCCACTCGCTTCGTGCGCTCGCCGCCTCGCCAGATGAAGACGGCCGACGCAATGCCGCACAAGAAGCTCAGTGGGATCAGACATCCAGTCGTCCACGCGGGTCGCTCGAATCGGTTGAGCCCCCACATAGTGCCGCATAGGAAGATCTGGAATATCGAGTTGCCGTCATTGAAGAGACAGATGAGGAGGGCCATGCTATAGATGCTCGTCAGTACGGGGTCGCGCAGCAAATGAGGGCCGCAGACTTGATAGGAAATGCCTGTAGATGCTGTGAGCATGGGCAGCATCCGTAGATACTGAGAGCTCACCCTATGCGTTTCCGTTCCGTGCGCTCGATACCAAGTTTGGGAATGCGCGAACTTGCGCTGTTCTGCAAAAACATGTGAGCGGATGTCATGAAGCCAGACAACGGCGACATACGTCTTTGCAAGTCGGCTTGCTGTTTCGGCGTCAGGACATGAACGTAGTTTGGATCGTAATCAGGGTCTGGTAGATCATCTTCGTCGAAGAGTGTCGGTAGTCCAGCCCTCTTGCGAAGCTTTCTCGTCAATCGCTTATAGCGCCATATCTTTAGTATACCTGTCCAGGCGTTAGTCCAGTGCGGAACTGATGAAATGTGGAACTCACGATAGGTGTCGAGGGTTCGCTGCGGAATTAGGCCAATACCAGTGACCGTGAACAAGCCGTTAGTGACTTGCGACGAGAGTTCGATCCAATAATTCTGGAGATTATTATTGTGTAGGTTGATGATCCTGGCGAGGAACAGGACGATAGCGGCGCCCCAGAACACAACCAAAAAGCCGTATATCGCCGTAAGAACCTAATACAGTGGCTTCAGCGTGGGGACGAGGTGGTTCAGGCAACATATACGAACACCGATAGCTGCGGGCACCATGAGCGACCTGCCAAGGTAAAGTGGAATGAGCGAGCTCACGAGTCTTCAGGAAGGACCAGACGCCCTTCATGATGCGCTTGAAGCGGGCTCGGCGTCTCATGACGTCCTCGACGTGTCGGTCTAGGGCATCTTCGTGGTGCGATGCAGTCTCGGGATCCCTGGGTCCATCGTCAAGAGTGACGATGGGCTTGCGGAACTTGGGGTAGCCGGTAATCGGTGGACTGAAGTGCAGTACATTAGCCGAAGTCGTGGGGAGGGTACGGGTGGAGGACGTACACGATGATAGCGTTCGCGGCGTTCGTGAGATTGGCAACTGTGCCGACTTGGGGGTCTGTGGCGCACACAGGAGGTTAGTATAGGCAGGAGAATGAGCGGGCTGCGCACCTATCACGTCGAGATGTTCGACAATATTGTCATGGTGGTGTTGATCGCCAAAGGGGTCGGCAGACTGCCGAGTGCTCGTGAGGCTGAGTGCGCTTCCAATGAGGCTCTGATCGGTGCCCTGCGCGGGGAGTCGCACGTCCGCGCTCGCGCCCTCCACGGTGACCATCTCGCTCCCTGCAGATCGCGGCCTCCGCCTCTCGGGTGACCTCGACGTGGACGCTGACCCCTCGAGGAAGGACAGCCTTGGCCGGCGCGGGGGCTTCACGCATTGCGATTGCACCCTACTCCTGGTCGTCTCAAATAGTGTGCGTCGAAATTCATCCTGCGAGCTGTCCCCTGTCGGACCCTGGATTACAGTGGCGTTCCGGGAGGTATCCTGTGCGCCATCTATGGTATGTGCACGACGTCGGCCCGGCGCAGAGGAGGGCTGAGAGGAGAAGATCGTTGTGAGAGGTCGAGGTTCAGGTTGAGGACTAGAGTCATTGAGATTGAAGTAGGTGCTCCGCCTAACGCGAACGGAGGGCATGTTGGAGGTGGGCTGGTGTAGCCCTAGTCTGGGCGGTGAGTGTTCAGGACAAGTCCATGATAATCCCACGTGCGTTGGGTTATTGTCGTTGGCAATGATCAATTGGCCCGAAACGGGTCGTCCCATTGTTCTCCGCAAATCACCTCGGACCTCGGCGCCTTGCAGATCAATTGGTAGCCAAGCTTCTGTTCTTGGCAAGGTTTCGTAGGCTGACTGGTAAGACTGGTATCTAACGATCCTCTGGGGTAATGTTATTGCGCATATGTGCGTGGCATAATAAGAGATCCTAGCGTAAGTAGGTCGGGTACAAATAGCGAGCAGCCTGCATGAACGAGAGCAATGAGCAAGTGACGATGCGTGTGTATGGTACAGTGTGCGTAGATGCTGGGTGCCAATATAAGATAAGTAGATGCTGTAATCTATGAGGGTCCATCATGGGACCGTCGAGCAGGAAGACGAGTGGTGCTGGATCTGCCGTCCGAACTGGGGCGCCTGCTGAACATAGGCTTGGACGACTGACGGGAGTATTAGTCGTGACGATATAGTATGACGAGACGACATACTCACCAGGGAGGAGGTACTGTCCGTCTTCGCTGACTTCGAAGACGAGGAGCGGCTGAACAGGCTGAGCATCCTGTTCCGACTTGCAGGTCGAGGAGGCTGCGAGCCGAGGGCATCCTCATCAAGCGGTTCAGGCTCGTCGGTGATATATGGCGAGAACGATGTCGCAGGCTCTTCCGGTAGACGCCGCGCAGAAGCCCGCCTCCACTTCAGATCCTTTGGCAACATCGGCGTCGACACCTGCCGTATGCCAAGTTTCGGACGGCCAGGCGCCTTGGGAGTCGGAGTGAGCTGAGGCGTATCATCTGGAGACGTATTCTTTGACGAGGACGGGATGAACTTGGTCTTCGCAATGAGCTCGCGAGCGACAGGGAACACAGGCACGAGAGGCTGATGGAACGCCATTTTGAGCCACCCTGTCCAGGAAGTGTTCGACGGGATAAACTGCGAGACCAACTCCTCGAACTGTTCAAAGAGCATCAGCAAAACACCCTCGCTAGTGCAGTTGTCGTACTGACACTCCAAGTTTGGTTGCGATACTCCAGATCTCGCGTGCGAATCATCGCATCCCGACAGACGAAAGAGTCGTCCTTCATAACGCTGAGCATGATGTGCAAGCTTGACATACAGTTCAGTCATTGAATTCGAACAGCGAGGCAGTATACACACCTCGATATCTTGACCAAGACGAAACTCTTCTGCGACGACCGCGTCTTCATCTCCGCCGCGTCCATCTTGTGTCGATGTGCGGCAGCAGCCCGCGCCTTCTTCAGCTTCCCACCATCACCGTTGCTCTGCCCGTCGAACTTGTTGAGCGCATCCGAGGACCGCATGCGTGTCAGGGGTGACAGCTTCAGGCTCTGCGTGCTGTTCTCCCTCGCGGACATGCGCAAGTCGGTGAAAGAGCGAGACGCGCCGAGCTTGCGCAAGCCAGGTGGTGGCGTGAGGGTGTTGGATGTCCGTGGGGCGTCCATAGACGCGCGCTCACTAATGAGGTCGTCGTCGTCCGCTTCGTCATCAGTGGCCTCCAGCTCTGCCCTCTCCCTGCGGTTCGGCCAGAAGTATTCCATGATCTTGCGCCCCATTGCAGCGTGGAGCTGTAGTCGGAAGGGATGCAATTGGACTTCGAAGCGTTCGTAGATCGTGATGCCTCCAACGGGCGCGAGCACAGTCCAATCGGCCAACAGAAAGAGGCCACGCTGAATGAACAGGGTCAGCTCGCGCAGTTACTCTCAAAAGTTGGAGATGCACCTTTAGAAGAGGATGATTCGTCGGCTCGTCGTGCTTCGCCAGGATCTCCTGCCACACGGCATCTCGAGATCCATCAAACGCCTGCAGGTTGCCGACGGACAGATGGTTGACAGTCGAACTGTCCTGGCGGTTGAGCCAGTGGAAATCCGCGTTCTGAATGACGAGCTTCGCAAGCATTTCCCTGCTCTTGTCCAGCATACGCCATGAGATCTCTGACGATGATGCGTGCAGCATGACCGCAGACTTGTCGGTGTGATCGTCTGAGCGGTCCTGCGCCAGCTTGATGGCATCGAAGAGCAAGTTCAGCTCTTCCGACAACAGGTAGATGTGCGCACGAAGCTTCAGCATCTCCACTCGCGCAGACGGGTCAGCGAAGTTGGCCAATGAGCCTGCGGCTCGTTGCATCTCCAAGGCAGACCGGAGGCGCTGTTGTATTGACGAAACTACCTTCGCAGCTGATTGGAGATCCGTGAAGTCATATGCGAAGAGCAGCGTCTCTAGCCTGTCGAGCCGCGTCTTGTGAGCGGGGTCGGAAAACAGTAGCACCTTCGTGATAACGCGTGAGATGACTTGGAAGTGGTTTTCCGTTGCGCCGGCCGTGAAACGAGGGGAATGTATCCGGATGAGATCCTACTCGGGATAAGCACTATGCGAATGCGCCTGCATTCAGCTTACCGTCTGATCCTGCAGATGGTGGTCGTCGACAAGTGCCGCCTTCTGATTCGACGAGGGCGAGATGGCAGAAGTGATCCCGTTCCGCAGACGCAGCCTGTTGAACTTGTCGTATTGGAACACCGCGTCCGTTTGGGGCATGATCCGGTCGAAGAGCCGACTCTCGCAGCGGAGGTCGATGAGTACCTCCAGTGGAACGCATCCATCTCCGACTTGGTCTTTGTCGACAGGCGAGAACATTTGAAGTCCGGAGAGGGAAGCATAACTCCTGGACATGATCTTTCCGCTGATGGGGTCCATGGCGTTGGCGTCGTCCATGATAGAGAAGGTCTGCATTTTGGCCTGCACAGCAGCGAGAATGGCGATAGCGTCACTGTCACCATCGGCCGTGCGCAACACAATTTGTGGCTTGAGCAACAGGCCGACGGTGCTCTTGTGCAGAGACACGCCTTCTGGCCAGCCATCCAAAGGATTAACATCGCCCATGTCGAAGGATACGGCCTGTGCTTCACGCGGTTCATCCTGCGATGATGACTTGCGATTCTCTCCGCTGATGATCTTTCGGAGAGCAAGCGCTGCCATTTGGGCTGGATTGTGTACAGACTCGGAAGAAGCCCTCTCGGAGATGTCGTCTTTCAGAACCGTGTTGGCTTGGTCGAGAATGAACTTGACCGCTCTGCGCTGAGTGTGAGTACGTGACATAGCACAGTGCTCATCATACACACCTTGTCGCGAGATGGTACTCATGCCCACGGCGTGCCCTGGACAGGTAGTAGTACTGCAGCATTATCTAGAGAAGTCGTCAGACCTATCCCGATATGGAAGTATAGCTTCACTCACATCGCGAATGGCGCTGTCGAAGAAGACCTTCGGGCAATGGACTTGAATGACATTGTCAAATTCGGCCCACTCATCTGGCGAGACGGTGTCGGAAGGAAGGCGGTAGTCTTGCTCTCCAACCTTAGTTTCCTGGCGAGTTTCTTGCTCTTGGAGATGGGTTATGTATTCCTCCAGCAAGGTGACCATGCGTTGAACGGGTTCGCCCTCCTCCTGGGATGGATAAGTACCCGGAAAGAACTCATGAGATTGGCACAAACCTTGTCCGACTCAGACTCGGAATCCGAGATGCTCATCGTCAGCTTCATGTCCGACACTCGGCGCGACGTCAAATCTATCTGGATCTCTGGGATAGCTACAACGTCATCAATAAGGATGCGCCATGGAGAGGACGACAAACGTACAAGCTTGAGTGTTTAGGAGGCAGGTGTGCGTGTGCTCATTGCCGAACTTGGTGTTGAGATCCTCGTCGGTATGAGGGGAGTTCGCCAGATTGCGCTTAAAGTAGGCGATGTAAGGACAGTTTGCCACTGGCAGGAAGTGCAACGTCGGATTCTCAATGGGTTGCCAGTCGAGCTCGACGTAATCATCGGAGTCGTACCAGGCAGAGAACTGAGACGATGTGGGCAGATCCGTCCTTGACGAGTAGTTACTGCGGTGTTCGGGCTTGGTGACGGGTACCGCCTGCTTGAGCAGCTCAGGGAACGTCGCCAAAACAGCGCGGAGGTCTAAGTCCTTGATGGCAACTTCGGCCGCGTAGAAGGGTTTCCGCCGGATGACTTTCGTAGTGCCGGGCTGCATTCCGGGAACCGCCATCTCCTGATCTCTCTGGTGCATGTCGACTTGGAAGTCCCGCAGAAGCCCCTTGACCCCGATCCATGGTGTGACACCTTCGACCCAGGCTATAGTGACAGTCAGTAGCATGACCACATTTCTGAGAAAGGGACATACTTTGGCGGGAGTCGTCAATGTACGCGTGCATCAAGTAAAGCTGGGGAACCGAGATCCTATACTTGAGGGTGGCCAGATGTCGTCCGAACTTGGGTGTCAACAATCGTCGAGGATAGTAGCTTCCCTGACGAATTGGCAGCGACAGTACCCCGTCGAAGAGGTGCCACCACGCCCAGAAATGCGCGAAGGTCTTCGGCGTCAGATGCAGAGTACTCGAGTTCTTGAGGTGTCCGAGCTTCATTGGACGAATGCATGAGGTCAACGAGATCGACAGGTGGATGAAGTCCGAGCGGAAACCGTTGTACGAGTCCTCCGCGGTCTGCAATCATGAGCAAGTGCGTCGAAGAGGGTTATATGATGCGTACCTTGGGCAAAGGCGGCTTCGCCTTCTTCTCCAAGAACACGCCGTAGTGTGGGGCGAAGTCGAATAGGCGACACGAACGATTGAATGGATCGCCTGCACATTTCTCACACTCCTCTCCGCACGACCTCTCGCACACGAAGCCCAGCCCGAAGCGGACCCCGGATCGGAGCTTGGCCATAACCTTGGTGTACTTGAAGTCACGTCTATCCACAGCACCATACTGGCATTGCCCTAGGCTGAACAAAGGTAAGTGACACTCGAGATGTGCACAGGACGTTATCTTACTTGGGTATGGCCATGAACATGGAATTGCTGACGACTTGGATGACTTCATTATCGGGGTTCGGTAGACCAACCAATATCTTCGGATTGCCTTGCCAGACGAGCACAAATCCGGCGCCATCGCCGTGAAGACTAGCCGGGTCTCGCGAGCCTGACAAATCGATGAGTGAGATGACCAAGCGTGCAATGACAATCGACGTACCCTTCATGACATACCGCACATCGTACTTGAACGCCGCCCTCACTTTCCAGTGACATACCAAGCGGATCTATGAAGGGTAAACAAAGAAACTGGTGGCCAAGAAGCGGTCGACTTGCCTTATCCCAGAAGCCTACAGCAGGTGACGAATCTCTCGGCGAGCTTGTGACAGAGTCCAAGACACGCATCAAGTCTTGCGTGGTGGAACCATAGCTTATACCCCAAGAGATTGTCGTCGTCGAGTCCGTCGTGACATGGACTTGCGGTAGCGCGTACGTCTTCACTGGCATGATCGTCTTCGGGACCGATATCGAAAGAGGCGGTATACTATAACGACGCGACCCACTCAAGATTGGGCACTCAAACCAGTCCACTGAGGCGTCCGTTCCCATCTCCTCGCCGATGACCAGGTCGGTGTCGAACTCGAGAGCATGGCTGACGCCGTCCGAGTGTGGTGGAATGTACAACAGAGGGATGGGGAAGTCGCGAAGTTCACCGCAGGCCGTAGACGCCGAGACGTGGAGATGCATCGGCACCAGTAAAGTGAAAACGGTGTCCAGCGGTAGTCCATCTCCCTGCTCGTGCATGAACTGCGCAAGATGATCCATAGGGAAGGATGGAGGACCTAAGAGCACTTGCACGCTCGATAGCGTTGCGCGGAATAGAGGTACCCTCAGCTTCTCATCCACGACAACTTGCACGGGTACTGCGCGCCGTTTCCGTCCCATAAGGTTCTCCAAGACGGACATCTCAGACTCCTCGCGGGAGTTGCGTAGTTGGTCCAGCAGCGTGCGGTAGGTCCAGAAATTGACTTCATCTAGCCGACGGCGGGCTTCCTCGATGGACACCGTGTGCGCGTCGGTGAACTCATAGTCCGGTCGCAAGCCTGGCGCATTCGCGGATTCCGCCGTGCTTTGGCCGAGAATCTTCTCCACCTTGGCCTCAAAAGCGTTCTCCCGTTCTGTGCGCTGCCTCGCGCCGTCCAGGACCGTGCGGAAGATGCTACCGAGGGAGTACTCTAGGGGATCATCTGCGGCCTCAATCGATAGGTACGCGACGTCGATCTTGAGCGGTGGCACGTTCTTCGGCCCTTCAGCTTCTGGTGTAGGCATATGCGAGTATCGTCCGGCGTTCGTCATATGGACGAGATGCTTTGCCCCTTTGGCAGCGAGACTGATTTCCAGTATCAAGTCAGCGAGGATATAGCCATGCGGGATGTGCAAGCGGGCCGCGTCGCCTTCAATGGAGATTGCTGATCCGGGAACTGTGGGCATGAAGACACGCCATCCGCGAAGCAACAACAGCTCCTGCCACTCATTGGATGCCGACAGCTGTGTATGTCGCGTTGGGGGCGGAGGAGGCGGCACCCAGACCATGAGTTGGCTCAACGACCCAGATACGGGGGCCTGCGGTGACACCGCTGCGCGGAGATCGCGAAGACAGGCGGTCAACCTCTGCTTGCGCAAGATGAAGCTAATCTCAGCACGGCGAAGGCAGAACGAGACCTCGAGTGCCTTGTCACTCTTCGCCTTCGTGGCAGTCGGCGGCGCATCGGTGAGACGCGGTGGTAGAATGGACTTGACTGCGCGGGCCGCCAAGAGGGTATGGTACAAGTGCGACAGCTGGATCTCCGCGTCCGCCTCAGAGATGGCGACATAGACGCTGCCGTTCGACGAGGTGCCGGGGACCGCGCCAGTGTAGCTGACCTTGATGCTCTCGATACCGATGAATTCCTTCGAGTCGTGCTCGCGACTGTCCGTCTCCGCAATCGTCTGATCATCCGACTCCACTTCGGTCGACAGTGCGTCCCGGATGTGTATCTCCTCAAGCTCCAGCGTGGCCACCGCTCTGCCACCTGACTTCGTCTTAGTGTTTATCAGAGCTTCGCCTATGCGCTCCTCGGCTACGCGAAGTATGGCCCTCGTTTCTGCCCGTTCGTCGTATTTGCGGAAGTGATGCAAGTGTGTCGACTGCACGGCAGCAAACTCGAGGGTTAACCCGGTGCGCAGGGCGATACCGAGCGCCATTTCCATCGCGTTGGAGGGGTTGAGGTCCGGCGAGGTCGTCAGAGCCGCTATTCGTGAGATAGATGCAGTCAAGTTGAGACCGAGAGGTGAGGGTGGCTTGAGTTGCGCAGGCTGCGGCGGTAATGGCGTGGACGGTGGTGAGGGCTTGTCTCGCGAGGTCAGAGCGGCAAGCTGCGTGGTGGTCGCAAGGACGTCCGGATGCCAGAGTTCCACGCATAACGTCTCTGCACGGACATTGACATCGGCAACAAGGGAATGTAGATCCACCGTCGCCATATTCTGCGAATCATCGATCACATCCGCGAAGGCGCCTGCCGTACCCCGAATAGTGAACCCATCGAACGTCAACAAGGACGGATCGTCCAGGAAGTCCATGTCATTGGCGCTCGCGCCGCCACCGAAAGGTCCAACGTTTCCCTCGTTCCATTGTCGTCGCACCTTCACGAAGAGCGTGTCCATGTCGACTTGCAGCTGGGCCTTCATGAGATAGCCTTGACCTGACTCCGCAGTCAATAGTTCGTGAACAAAACTCGACTCTGCCGAGACGGCGAACTCGTTGCAGCGCAGTTCCGTAGACGTCGGTGCATGCGAGCGACCCTCTGTACCCAATATTGTTGCCCAGAACGGACCGCTATGCAAGGTGAAGATGACGCGTGGCATCAATGTTGACTCAGGCATGGGCGTCGGCGGTCGTGGTGGGCCCGCGGCAGCTCGCTTCGCAGCCATATACGTGTCCAGACGATCCAACATATCTCTGAGGTCATCAACGTTATGCGTTACTTGCATCCCGCCAAGTCGTACGTCAAGGGCTAGCAGGGCCGCATTAGGGTCTCCGCACATGAAGGGCGTCGCGCAAACGAACGGCGACGGCCATTGGGACACGAGCCCGTCTATCGAGATCGACCCCAGCTTCGCCATGTGTAGGTCCTCGAGGCGGCTGATCTTATCCAGCGTGACTTCCTGGAGGTTGAATGAGACATTGAATGAGCCGGGGTGCAGCTGGGACACGGATCGTCCCAGGTGTTTGCGATGCAGAGGGTTGGAGAACGGGTCGCTCTTCCGTACGTCCAGCACTATGTGCTGAAGGCGTCCCTTGTAGATGGCGTAGTCTTGGATCGCAGGACGATCCTCCGCTGAGACGAACGTTATGTCGGCCAATCGCAACTCAAGTGAAGAAAAGAACGACAAGGTGGACTACACAAACGTTGTCAGTGATGAGTGCGGCTCTAGATCGACGACACTTACTGTGTCCTTGAAGTCAGCAACCTTGGTGCAAGGTTGCGGATAGAATGACGATCCTCGCAGTCTCGACTAGGGGGCATCAGTTCAAAGTCTTTGTATCCATCGCTTGTGCTCACCGACAATGCCTCAAGAAATGGAGATCCTGCAGGTATAGGGAGGCCGTCACCCGTTGGCGTCTTCGGGGGACTTGGTGAATCTTCCGTGTCGGATACTATGGCCGCCCTCGGGGGCGGGCTGATCGCTTCTGGTAGAGGATGACTGGCCTGAAGTCGCGCCTTGACAGCTTTCCAATCGTTGAAGACGGCAAGGCAGGCGTCGACATCGACTACGACCTTCCCGAGGTTGAGAAGCACGCTCAGTGCTTGCGCATAGGAGAAGCCGACGATAGGGTTAAAGCCAACAGAGCCTTGTAGGTGCGCTTCTCCTGGAAGGTCAAAGAACGGAAGCTCGCTTATACGGCCTACAGGTAGATCAGTAGGTGCTCATAAGGAGGGCATTGTGACGCACCAGTGCTAACTGGCTGCATGAAACCCCTAGCATCGCGCACAGAGAACCTCCAATGGATGTGCCCTTGCGTGTGCCCCCACGCTGCGTTCCATGATCGTCTGAAGCTGCCTGCAATGCGCGTACGCAGCACACTGAACCTATGTGTCTGGGGCTTGGGCGTGGATGACTTGCGTCGGTGCTTAAGCGCCGACGCGGGCGGCTCCAGGCCAACCAGGTTGATGAATGTTTGAAGGTGTACGCGATGCGCGCTCACGTCGACGCCGGGGAGGTCTGCAACAGATGCCTGGAAGTCCTGGACCTCGAAGGCGATCGCGGATGTGAGGTGGGGAAGGAAGCGGAAGACAATGCGCAGGCAGGCGACGAAGTAGACGCGGAGGTACGGGCGAACAAGGGGATCGAGGATGGAGTAGGCGGACGCGAACCATTGGCGGATGGATTGCTTGGGGGATGTGGTCTGCAGTTCCTTGAAAGAGAATGCCCGGCGGCGCTTGAGTAGGATGGGTTTGTGTTGTTCCTGCTTCTTGAGGCGTAGGCGTAGCCCCTCGAATGTAACCGTCCACCGCGTTGTTGCTTCGGGAGGCGATCTCGGCCAGCTGACCCTCTCTATCCTGACCTCCAAGGTGCCCGCAGCAATGTATATGCCCCGGATACTACGGAGACTGGTGGTCCGTACGCGTACGTGCTTGCTCGCCGCGTTCAGCAGTCCGGGGATGATCCATGACCGGAGGAGAACAAGAGCAGTGAAGATGCGGACGAGGAAGAGAATAAGGCAGGACAGCCAGGTGCTAGAGGGGCTGGAGATGAGAAGGAGCTTGAAGATCGTCCAGGGCAGCGCGAAGACGCCGAAGACGCTCATGTCTGAGTGCGCTGGGTGGGATGGCAAAGGAACGGACGCATGAACAGGTTGTCGGGACTTGGTGGGGCGTGCGCGTCGACTGTCTGTTATGCCTCGGGGGTGGTGAAGGTGGGCAGTGGTGAGAGCGGGAACGAAGCCGCGCGTGTCAGGCTCGTCAGCGCTGCTAACCAGCGAGGAGCCCCGGAGCCTTTCGTCCGCCCGATCTCATTTCCAAACGGGGCGTCGGAAGCAGCCGAGCCCCACGTTCGACTTCAACCTGGCGCGCTGACCTTGCGATGACCACGACTGGAAGCACGACCACGATCCGTACTCATGTCGGACCACTCTATAGTCGTCCTCGCGACAGAACCTAATGTCCTCGAGGCGCAATGGGAGTGCAAAAGCGCCGAATGAGGACGTCGATGATTGGGCTCGACATCATGTCGACGTACGGCCGCCCTACCATACGCCACCCAGTGTACCGTGCAGTGCGCGCGAAGCAACTCCTTATCGGTGCTTGCTGACTGATCTTATCTTGTTTCTAGTGAAGGGTCAATAAACGGGAGTGTTACTCACAGGAAATCGTCTGCAGTCTTCACAAAGAATATCACCCATACGAGATTTCAGAGTATGATATACACTGCCGCATCGCGTCAGCTGCAGCCTGTGCTTCATGCGTTGCATAGTGAGACGATATAGCGAGTAAAGACACATATAGCTGGTGCATGCTGGCATAAGCTTAACGGCGGCGACCCCCGGCCACCGCCCATCCTCTACATCCGCGCCCCCACCGACCCGACTGCGTGCTGACCGCCTAGAACTTCAGCTCGTGCGGGTACTGGCCCTTGGAGAGACCGAACGAAGACGAGAGGTACTTCGCGAGGTGCTCGGTCTTCTTGACGGCCTCGACGATGGCCTTGTCAACCGACTTCTGGTCGGCGGCCTTCGACTCGGGGAACGCCTCCTTCGCCTTCGGCTTGCCATCCTCGAAGAACTCAGCCTCTGCTGATTGCGAGCCCTTGGTCTTCTCCTTGGCGAAGTAGGCGTCGTTGATCTTCTCGTCGACCTGCCGCGATCTGTCAGATAAATCGCAAATGTGCATTGCAAGTCCACGCACCTTGTAGTCGCCGAGCTCAAGCTTGGTGGACGTCGCAATGACGTACGCCTGGTTCACCCTCCGCAAGGGGACGCCGTTGACCTTGTACGGGCCAGTGACAAGGAGCAGGCCGCTCTCAAGCTGCTTGAGGAAGACAACGCGCTTCCCCCGGTAGCGGCCGGCAAGCAGGATAAGTACGGTGCCAGGGGTGATGGTCGAGCGGAGAGCGGTGGGCTTGGGGGACTTGCGGCTCTTCTTGGGCTGGCGCACATCCTCAGCGGGGTAGAAGCGGGGCGCCTTCTGGGTGGGGACCAGGCGCTTGCCACCGTTCTTCTCTCCGTTCACCGTCTTCTCGACGTACTCCGGCGTGGGCTCCGCGGCGGGCTTTTCTGACTTTTTGGGGCCCTTGAAGAGGCCGCGCTTGGCGAAGACCTGCGAGCGCGAAAGGCGGCCGACGCCGGGCACGAGCTCCTTCGATCTGGCCATCTGAGTGGGATCGTTAGGATGTAGCCATCGAGAGCAACAGTGTCGCGCACGTTGATTGTGTCTTGAGGATACGCCGAAGCTGCTTGCGATGGTCTCCACGCTATGCTCCCATTCGATAATGCTATCCAAATCGGGAAGGTACACTGGTGGCTGAACTGCACATACGCCCGGCTTTTGCCGTTGCTCTGTGATGGATTCCATCGCCGATCTGTTTGCCGAGCATGCCGATTCGGCACGATGGGCGCTCGGACCGTTACATCCGGGCGCCTAGGTGAAGCGCGCCGTCGCGATCGGACTGGGGTACGAACGTGTCCATCGACTCCCATCTCGCCATGACGGAAGGTGAGTAGCGCGCGATCATGGAAGCACCGGACTCACCCTCTCTAGATACGCGCCCTATAGTATGGTTTGACATCGACAACACCCTGTACTCCGCCAGTACGAAGGTATGGCTCTCGGCGACTCCTGACGCGATGGGTGGCGCTCATCCTTCTCCAGATTAGCCAGGAGATGGGGAAGCGCATACATGGTACGTGGGCTCTTCTACGCTCGAGCTCCTGTCTAACCATCCCATAGCCTACTTCGTGTCTCTCGGATTGGAGGACGAGAAGGCAACGAAGCTTCATCATCGTTACTACACCGAGTACGGTCTCGCCCTACGAGGCCTCGTTCGGCACCACGAAGTCGGTAAATCCTCTTCACCTTCTATCTGCCTGTCTGACGCTCAACTCTTTCTCCTTCCTCCCCCTTGCTTAGATCCCATCGACTTCGACCGCAAGTGCGATGGTTCCCTGCCGTTAGAACAGATCATAAAGCCCGACCCTGCATTGCGCAAGCTGTTCGAGGACATCGACCGCTCCAAAGTACGCGTGTGGGCGCTCACCAATGCGTACAAGCCGGTGCGTGTGCTTCACATTATACTGTACCTACGTCCCAACCGGCGCCACAGCACGCCGAACGCGTCCTCCGACTGCTCAACCTAGAGGACCAGATCGATGGTCTGGTCTACTGCGACTACGCGAACCGCGAATTCTCCTGCAAGCCCGAGCCCGAGTACTACCATCAGGTGCGTCACTGTTCACAACGGAGCGACCTTGTCGGATCCCATTGTCTCCACCCATAACACCGCTCTTATACAAGCACTAGCGACTAACTTACCTCTCACCCTCTCACCTGCCCTCTCATGCACCTCGCTCGTTTTCCTTGTATTGCACCTTTACTCAACCCACTTTACCAGGCCCTCGCCAAAGCCGGCATCACGGACCCCTCCAAATGCTACTTCGTGGACGACTCCCTCAAGAACCTCAAGGCCGCCCATGCCCTCGGTTGGGGCCATCTCGCGCATTTCTGCGAGCATGACCTCGAAGTCGTGGAAGGTGGTCTCGTTAAACGGCTACCGAAGTATGAAGCTGGGTCGAAGACGGAGGAGGGGATTGACATCGTGTCCAACCTGCAGCAGCTGAGGACGGTGTGGCCGGAGATCTTCAAGGAGCAATAGCTCACGCGCAGGACGTGAAAGGGTGGTGGTGGAAACTGAGAATGTATGGTATGTATAGGATACATCACTCTGTAGAAATTTGTAATGGAATAAGTGAATCAACTCGAGGTGCGAGCCCGAAATCGGACGACTCGCAAAGCCTATTGTACCCGATTTGGGATACATCCCGGACGCGCGTCGGTCTAAGCGTAATTGCCCTTTGCCTCCGTCACCCACCATGGACTATACCCCCCGTCACAATCAGCCGTTCACCCTTGAGCAGGCTGTTCACCTCGATGTGGCGATAATTACCGAGGGTGTGTGGCTTGACGCCGTCATCTGGAGTCGATGTTGATGTCGGCGTCTTCTCTGCAGAGATCTCGCGTCTCCAGAACTCCCTTCAGCACCTGAAGGAGACGCAGGATCTTTTACGGTCACATCTGCAATCAGAAGCAGACCCAGACTTGCAGCAAGCGCTGAACGAGAATGAGGAGGTTATGTGCGTAGCCCAGTGCAGTGCTGAAGTACGATTGCTGACCCTACTCCTTCGTCTGCTCATGTGCGCACGGCATTACAATCACCATCCACCTTCGCTAATTATCTGTTTTCCCCTTCTATTCTACCCGCACGCAGAGGCTCTCAAACCGAACGCATATCCATCCTCCGCATGGCCCTCACACAGAAGGGCATACTTGGCACGTCATCGCACTATGACACTTTCCCTCCGACCGGCCCTGCGCAAGCACAACCGCAAACACGAGAATCGGCACCCTCACCTTCTCAGCCTCCTGCCCCTACTTCCGCCGCTGCCAATGGTGTCAACGGCGCGGGCGAGCAGAGCGAGACATCAGACGAGGACGGCGGGCTTCATCTATGATTGCCTTCCCTTGTGAGGAGCATTCTCTCTGGCCGACAGTGTACATCCGACGACCTTGTATATTATTCCTACACTATATTACAACATTGTCCATCCATCCATCCATAGTTGCACTGTCCGTCTCCCTGTCCCACTTCTCCCAACCTTCCTCCTCATCCACCTTCGCCCATCCCACGCACCCCACCCCACCCCCTCAAAACAACATCACCGACAGCACCTGCGACGCCTCCGACACCTCCAGCACGATCCCGTCGTAGCCGTACACTTGATCTCCAGCTTGAATATGCAGCACGCGACGTGAGAAGGGGAGCAATGTACTTACAATGTGATGCGGAGGAGGGCAGGGTCACCCCGTCCTCGTCGTCGGTGCGGTCGAGGAGCATGGAGGGCGGGGGCTCGCGAGGGGAGAGGAAGTGGGAGATAGTCTCGAACTAAGGTAGGGGTCAGCTGGGTTGGGAGATGGCAAGGAGGGAAGGAAGTGTGCGTACTCGGTCGTAGAAACGCTTGCGGGGAGGGGTGTCTGCGAGGGGTCAACTAGAGTAAACGGGCGCAGGGGTAATGAGTATTACCGTCTTCGTCGTCTTCTGGAGTTCCTTCAATTTCCCAGTTGCAGCGCTTGTATCGCTGGAACAAGGGCGAGCCAGGCTGCCACAAAAGTTGGGCGAAGAAAGCGACCAAACATACGTGAGACGTACAATGTTCGTATGGAGGACGATCTTCTCCACGACGTGCGTCTTCCCAGATATCAGGAAGTCAATGCCGTATCGGAAGTAGTTGTAGAAATCTGGACAGGGGAAGAGGTGTAAGCGGAGTGAATGGGCACAGTATGGTCACGAACAAGATGGCTCTTCGTCCTCTTCCGGAGTCTTCTTTGACGAGTGTATCCGCATACGGTCGTCTTCCTTGTAATGAGTTCGGAGGGGTGGTCCAAGGTCGACGACCAGGTCCTGCGCGGTCGTCTCTCGTAGGCGCACATGTATGGGTGGTTTGTCTGAAGGGTAGAAGTACAAGGTAACACCCTCGTGCACCTGGAAGAAGAATGTCATGTTCAGCGACGATTCACTGGATCTAACCCAGGCTCACTCACCCGTGCCACCGCGCGCGCCACATCACCGTACATCGCAGGGCATTCGAGCACCTCATCCAGTGCGTCGCGCGGTTGACCATCGTCTAGTGTTTGCGAGATGAAGATGCGCTTCACCTCTTGCTTGCGGTCTTCCGTCGCCTTGCCCTTGCCGAGCGCCTCACCCACGCCATCGTCTTCGAAGCTAAACCAAAGCCCAGGGTACCGCAGATCCTCGCCCTGGTATGTCGGACCAAGTGTTCGACTGACATCGACTCGTCGCAGGAGGTCATCCTTTCCCGACAGCACCTTGTCCCGATAGCGCAGGACGAGTGGTGGCGCACTGTCGCGCAGGCGTCGCACGCAGATGGTATGGAGGCGCTGGTGCTTGGCGGAGAAGAGGAGATCTATATGTGGGCGAAGGTGAAGGACGACGGGGGTGAGGCCGGTGGTTGATTCTGGATCGTACTTGACGTCAACCTGAGGGAAGATGTGTTGGAGACCGCGAAGGACGTCGAGGACAGTCCAGAGGGAGGAGCCTGGCTTGGTGTCAGAGCATACTCGAGTGGTACAGCACGCCACACACCAATCTCGAACATCCCCAAGCCCTCACTGGGCCGCACATCGAGATCAAGCACACCGAGCATGATGACGGACAGGTGTTAGGCGCCTGGTGGTCGCAGACAAGAGCGGGTGACCGCCCCGGTCAGCCGGACAAGCACATCGGGCACGTGGCCTAATCAAGCGCGTCGCGTCGGCGAGACGCGTCTCGGACAGAACGATCACCGCGCGATGTCGGACGCTAGGCAGAGGCTCATCGTCAAGGTGAGCTCACAGTTACATGGGGGTAGATGTGTGCTGACCGTGTCGTAGGTCTTCAGGAAATACAGCAACTCCCTCGGACCTGATGCGCTTGCCCTGGTTGAGGACATCCTTGACGAATACGAGGACTGGGATGAGGCCGAGATTGAAGAGAGTTTGGATCACCTTGCAAGGGAATACAACAAACAGGATGGTACGCGCACTTTGCATGCTGCAATGAACAACCACTGAAGGGTGTTCTTCCCTCCCCAGATGCGGTCATGAAAGTAAACGTCGACGTGCTACGACGTGTCTTCTACTCACTACAAAACGCGAATGACGATCCTGGGGACCTACGGCAAACCCTTGATGCCGATTCGCATCTCTTCGTCGTCGACTCCTTCGAGATGCCTCTGTGGAACTGGTCTCCCGAACGAGGTACCTTCGAAAAGTGAGTTGCAGCTCTCGGTGGTGTTTGGTCGGACTGAGCAAGCTTCACAGAGTGAACACGCCACTGACAGTATCTGGAACGCCAGAGTCTCGCGTATTGTCCGTGCGGAACAGATTGAACATTATCAAGCAATGCGTCTTGCGAAACGAGCACTTCGCGCCGTCTACATTGCCGTCCAAGGATCGCGAGCGCCTTGTCACGGCACGTAAATCTACGATACGTCAGTAGACGTTACTACGGGCTAACATCTACTCAGCTCAAGTCTACAAAACAACTACTCGGTCGCGCAGGAGAGCGCTTCCTCCTGTTGGGCATGCTGGCGCATAACAAGGAAGGAAAGCTCGTCCTTGAAGACGCGGACGGTAGTGTCGAGCTTGACTTCACCCATTTGGTGGGTGGTCCGACTGATGTTAATCTGATGTTGCTCATGGAGTTACAGGATGAACCGGGTGATGGCTTATTCGTCGAGGGCTGCTTCGCACTGGTAGAGGGCGAGTATACGCCAGACGGGGCTTTAGAGGTTATAGCTATCGGACAGCCGCCTTGCGAGCCGAGAGACGTTGCACGGTAAGTCGATGGCCACACGTTGCCAACCATGCGCTGACGGCGGCAGGTCAATATATGGCCATATCGACTTCCTAGGCAAGGGCGCGACCTCACTTTTGGAAGATGTGCGTATTTTTCATCGGGCATATCGACTGGAACTGAATTCCTAACAGACCCAATTTGCCACACGCGTCCAAGAAGACTTCGAGAACATGCAGTTCTTTGTGCTGTCCGACGTCTGGTTGGATCACCCGCGAACATTACCAGGGCTCCGCCTTATGTTCGAAAACTGCGTCGCCAACGACTTCGTCCCCAAAGTCATCGTCCTATGCGGCAACTTCACTACACAGTCCATCTCCCACGGCGACGGCCGTGACATCCAACGATACCAAGGTAAGTCTTCCCTCCCCCCTTCTTCCACATCTACCAGGCCCTACACCTCTAACCCCTCTCACAGAAAACTTCGACGCCCTCGCCGACCTCATCGCCTCCTTCCCCGACCTCACCGCCGCCACCCACTTCGTCTTCGTTCCCGGGCCCCTCGACATCGCCCTCAACGGCCCCGTCCTCCCCCGCAAGCCCCTCATGTCCGCCTTCACCGCCCGCCTGCGCGCCAAGGTCCCGCACGTGCACTTCGCGACGAATCCGTGCCGTATCAAGTTCTTCCACCAGGAGATTGTGGTGTTTAGGGAGGACTTGATGGCGCGGATGTTGAGGAATATGGTTGGGGTGAAGCCGGATGTGGCGGGGGAGGATTTGAAGAGATATGTGAGTTAGAAAAGTGAATTTGAGTGTCGGGCGGAAGGCTAACGCGAGCATCTGTAGCTCGTGCAGACGGTGTTGGACCAGGCGCACATGAGCCCGTTCACACTCAACATCCAGCCTGTGCTCAGCGACTTCGACCACTCGCTACGGCTATACCCATTACCAACGGCGGTATGTTGCTTCCTACATATCAACTCCAAAACATGATTAACATTGCCGTAGGTTGTGCTCGCAGACAAGTACGACCGCTACAAAATCACGTATACGGGTTGCCATGTGTTCAATCCTGGTAGCTTTGCGTCGGGGAAGTCATATGTATTCTCGACCTACCAGCCTTCGCAAGTCAACTCTGAAGAATGGTAAGCTTTCTACCATCACTGGTATCTCCTCTCTTCTGACGGCCTCGCAGCGTGATCGACATGCCGATTGAGAATTACTGAGGTGAAGGCACTGCTTGTTGTCTTGCACGTATGGTCTGCTGTAGATACTTTTAGAGTCTAACACCTTCTGGGAGCTCTCCTTGAGATCTGGAAACTCTGCGTCTGTTCGTCAAGTTTGTTGTCCATTCAGAGTGACCCCACCGCAATCGTAAGCGCTGAGTTCAACATTCCCCTCGGCATCTGCCGAGTCGATCTGGACCGCCGGGTGATGCGGAGAGCGCGCCGACGATCATGGCTGCTCCGAACGTCGACTGTCCTCCCCGCAATGCTCGCCCTGCGCGGTGCAAGATGGGCTTCACGTCCCTTGACAGCCCTTGCCCGTCGTACGGCACCACTTGCGCTTCCTCGACCCCAGCGCCGCCAATTCACTGAGGGCCTATGCGAGGGCTTTATTGAGCTCGCACAGGTCATGCCCTATCCGGACTCGTTCCCCACATATGCTACGTCTCTTATCTTGATGACGGTGTTGTCGAGGCTTGTGCAGCTTCCCTTTGCGTATAAGGTGCGTAGTGGTGTGGTAAGAAGGGTACCCTAGCTCATGTACAGTACAGGGCAGACAGCGCTATGAGCGCGCTCAAGCGCTCGTCCAGTCCGAGCTCGCTGCCATGCGGCCCACCATCTCGCAGCATGTGCTGAAGGAGATGAAGCTCGCCGGTGTGAAAGCCGACCTCGAGACCATGAAGAACATGCACAAGAAGCGGCAGGCCGAGCTCGTATGTCTCCTCCATCCTGCCTTTCCCTTCCCCTTCCCCACTCACCCTCCCCTCCCCCAGCTCAACAGCTACCGCAAAGAGCTCCTCAAAAAGCACAACGCCAGCTCCCTCCGCCAACTCATCCTCCCCAACATCGTCCAGGTGCCCATCTTCCTCGGCCTCACGCTCCTCACCTACCGCCTCTGCACCGAGCCCACGCCGCTCGAGATGGAGTCCTTCTTGTGGATCGACTCCCTCGTGCGCCCGGACTCGTCGATGATCGTGCCCGTCGCGCTGGGCGTGGCGACGTTCGCGATGGCGGAAACGCGGAGCTGGACGATGACGGCGGCGGAGAAGGCGCAGCAGGATAGGGCGCGGACGCAGAGGAGGCTGCGCGCGGCGGAGGGGAAGGTGGAGTTCAATATTGCGGAGAGCATGAAGAGTGCGATACGGCTGGTTGCGCTACCGCGTATCATTGTGACGAGCTTCGCGCCTGCGGTACGTGCATCGTCTCGGTCAATGTCGATGTATGACTGACATGAGTATAGGGTTTGGGCATTGTTTGGCTTACGAACTCAGTGTTCGGTCTGATACAGAACGTTTGCTTTGACATTATCTCAAGGCGAAACCGGCCTGCTGAAGTCGAAGGCGCGCCGAAGTTGCAAACACCTTCGGCTCCGCCATCACCGCCGGAGACACCTCTGGTTGCCCACATTCGCAAGGTCTCGCAAGCCTCATCCAAGCTAGCAGCAGACGTGCCGCCACCTACAACTACTCCGTCGACATCGACCACACCTCCAGCCAAGCAACGGAAGTCGAGCAAGCACCGCCACGCACGACCATAGCACTAGGCTTCTTCGCAGGACGTGCGACAGCGCCAGTAAGTCCTATTCTCCCCTTAAACAGCAGGATTACAACTGTGGTCGGAGGGAACCGTGCATTACAGCGATACGTTCGCGCGCTGGTTCCCCATGACGCTTTCTTGATCTAATCTGACTTGTTCTTTGCCTACCTTCATCCTCCCGCAATCCTCGCTGATGCTCTTCACAGCAGTTTTCTCATCTCTTACGACGCACCGAAGCACTATTGGACTGGCGCGCAAATGCACATTCCGCGCGTCGATGCCTGCTGTTTGGAGGGAGGGGGTGTCGCATTACGGGTAGTATAGATACAGCAAAATATAGTCAGAAGGGTCACCTAGTGATCACCAAGATAAAGCACATCTCAGGAGCATGGACGCAGTCGTACATGACGGGACGAAATACGGGGAAGTTGCATCTACCCCAGGCCGGCTATTGGGCCTCGTATGCGTCGCGCAAGCTGTATGTCTCGCGCCATTATCGTGACGCGTTTGGCGTGGATGGCACAGAGGTTGCTAAGGAGAGGACATTCAGCTTGACGAGGAAAGGGGAAAAGGAAGGTGTACTCACGCGTCTTCGAATAGATGAACCAGGAAGGCCTCGGTGGCTTCCTGCAAGGCAAGGATAGCCGAACTCTGCCAGCGTAGGCCCGTGTCGCCGTACTCCGTCGTGTCGGTCATCATGTCCAACGCAACTTCGCGCACCTAGCGATCGGTCAGCGGTGCGCGCAGCGTGGTGGCAGACCCCGACTCACCAGCCTTGCAAAGGGCAGCTTGCGGATGAGCAGATCCGTGCTCTTCTGGTACTGCCGGATCTCGCGCAGAGCCTTCGTGCCCGGGCGGTAGCGCCGTTTCTTGTGAGGTTCGTCTGCCGAAACAGGGTCAGCATCCCTTGCTTCCAACCGCCACCTCTGCAACGTACCTTGGCCAGGGGGCTGATCAGCCACCGAGAACCGCGGCGCGCGTCCGCCGGTGCTCTTCCGCGCCGTCGCGCGGCTCTTCTTCGCCGGCGAGCCATGCTCATCCGACAGTCCGCTCGGACGCGCCTTGCGCTTGCCAGCCGTGGTGGTAGACATCGTAGAGGGGGTGTCGCGGGGGGGTTATACGCGCGCTTTGTGCGTGGATGACGTGTCAAAGCGAGAGGGAGGGTGAGGAGAATAGTGATAAAGACTCTGGGAAGGATAGGAGAAAAGATGGACGGGAAGCGAAAGGGAACCGGACAAGGGGCAGTCCAAACGCGGGCATTGTTCGATTTGTCGCGGCCCGTGGGAACCGGTCCCGGCGCTCGGCACCGGGTGACCGCGTCGCACGTGTCGGAGTCACGCGTCGAAGCTGGCCTTTGTTTCCATAAATGTGAACTCAATGCAAGTTTACTGCTTCGCTCAGACTGCCATCTGAGAGACAATTGAGACAAAGCTATGGCCAAAGACGACGCTGTGGTGACTGGTTACTATCGCTACACCGACATCTGGTTCAACTGGTGAGCGATGAAGTTCGACGTTGTGCGTGGGGAATTCTACTGACATTAGGCGCCGTAGGCCAGATGCGCTGACGGAGGAACAGAAGACCGTCGTCAAGGCTGTCTTGGGTCAGCTTAATGTTTTTGAATGTGTTTAGTCATGACTGACCTCGATCTGCAGCCCACGACGCGCTCGTAGACCCTAATCATCCGCTGCACGTTGATGGCGTTGAAGGAGTCCAGCTTTATCTGGGTAACTATCACGTTACATCACAGCTATGTCTATGCCTCATATCGATACAGGTACCTTCCCCAATGGCCAGTCGCGCCTGCTGTTCTCGTCGGCGCAGATTGATTATGTCCGTTACTGGCTGCACGCGATGGGCCTGACGGAGACTGAGATCCCGCTTCCCTACTCAAACTGCCTACTTCTCGAGTCCAGCCTCCGTCAGGTCTCTCCTATCTCCTACAAGAATGGAGGCGACCTTCGCGGCGCTATCAAGGTATAGCACATCATGTCTTCCCCTCTCCAGGAAGTCCTCATCATCGTCCTCTAGCAAATCGACAAGAACAACAAGAAGCTCAAGAAGTCCGATCCCTTTCTAGGCACCCGACGCGAGCAGTTCGAGACTGTGCGCAAACTGTGGAACAGTAAGACCGGGACGTGGTTCGCGATGGACTTCGAGCAGTGGGAGCGCGATTCGACGATGACCACCGAGTTCGGATACAGCCTCACGAAGTGGGAGGATGGAACGGCTGTTGGCGAGTGTGGACATTATGTGGTGAAGGAGTACCGTGGCTATCGTAATGGCCAGTACGTCCAGGACAACCGAGACGTATGAGTCACCTCTCGCTTCCCGCTCGATTGCTCGAACTAATTGATCATATAGCACTACAACTTTGGAGAGACACAAGACATCACGAAGAAGGGCTTGAAGGAGAAGATCGCGGAGATGCTGACAGAGATGGGGAAGAAAGGACCTGTCTTCTTAGTCTTCCATGACTACAGAGGCGACATACAGTGAGCACACTGGCTTCTTGGGTCGTGGCCATGGGGCTCATATGTCCCCCCCAAGAACCCTCAAGTCAAAGCAGATTGAGGCGCCTCTTAGTGATTTGACTTACCTGATTCCCGACACGCCTCCCGAGAAGGGCATGGTCGTTGTCGACACGTCTGAGGTCTTTGCGGGGCTCGAAGGCGAAGGCGACACGGCCAACCGCAAGTCGCTAGAGCAAGTAGCTCGCCTGCTGGATCTGCACCCGCAGTTCATGCACAACGCGGGGAACGATGCTCATGTACGTTCGGTTTACTGTCACAGTTTCCATCTAAGGTCATGGCCCTTTTAGTACACTATGCTGGCGCTCAAGGAGATGGCTGGTGGCGAGCAGCTCGACATGCAGCGCGAGCGGCGGTGGCCGAAGAAGACAGGTGCGACGGCGGAGAGCTCAGTGAAGGTGCAGTGGGAGGACTGGGAGCTGGATCCGGAGTATGAGGACACGCAGGCCGTTCTCGACAGCCTGGCCGCCAGTGGCAAGGGCTACGATCCTTACACGGGCCAACTGATGGAGGACGACGAATCTGACTACGACTGAAGGCACGGAAAAATGTAGCAATTCTCTTGGAACTCTATATCTCGTACCCATTCTTGTACTCCCTAGCTAGCTTGTATACTGTACCAATACCCACCGACTGTCCTCATTACACGCAGCAATTGTTCACCCAATTGGAAAGTCGGCGCGTCGGGCGGCGATATGGGCTGCACGCCGGCCCGACTTCGTCCGCGCTGCGTGGCCGGCCGGGGCCGAAAAATGTCGCGCGCTGGACGAGCTGGCCCCAACGGGAACGCGCGATTCGATTCCGACCTTGTCCCCAACCCTCACTCATGCTCTCCCTCGCACGCATCGCCGCACGCCGCGCGCCCCTCGCTGCCCGCCGTCCCGTGCCCCTCGCCGCCGCACGCGCAACGCGCTGGGCGCGCACGTATGCGACCGAGAGCGAGCACACGGTGCGTAGCGGCGAGCGCGGCGCAAACAACGACTCATGCATTCCCTGCAGATGACCGTGCGCGAGGCGCTGAACGCGGCGATGGAGGAGGAGATGCTGCGCGACGAGACGGTTTACATCTTGGGCGAGGAGGTTGCGCGCTATAACGGTGCCTACAAGGTGTGTGCTACTTCCCCTGGCGTGCAGCACATTCTAAATCCCTCGTCAGGTCACCAAGGGCCTTCTCGACAAGTTCGGCGAGCAGCGTGTCGTCGATACCCCCATTACCGAGATGGGCTTCGCTGGTATCGCAGTGGGCTCCGCACTCGCCGGTCTCCGTCCCATGTATGCGTGCACCCACCCCATTCTCTCCTACGCATACTGACATGCGCTAAGTTGCGAGTTCATGACGTTCAACTTCGCGATGCAGGCCATTGACCAGATCGTCAACTCCGCCGGCAAGACGTACTACATGTCTGGTGGCAACGTGCCCTGCCCGGTCGTCTTCCGTGGCCCCAACGGTGCCGCTGCAGGTGTCGCCGCGCAGCACTCGCAGGACTACGCATCGTGGTACGGCCAGGTGCCTGGCTTGAAGGTCGTTTCCCCGTGGAGTGCGGAGGACTGCAAGGGCTTGTTGAAGGTAGGCATCTCGTACCACCTTCCATGTTGTACCACTTCTGACATGGCACGCTCTGTTAGTCTGCCATCCGTGACCCGAACCCCGTCGTCTTCCTCGAGAACGAGATGTTGTACGGTGTCCAGTTCCCCATGTCGCAGGAGGCGATGTCCGAGAACTTCCTGCTCCCGATCGGCAAGGCCAAGGTTGAGCGTGAGGGCTCGGACGTCACCCTTGTCGCGCACAGCAAGATGGTCACCCACTCGCTCGAGGCCGCCGACTTGCTCGCCAAGGAGGGTGTCAAGGCTGAGGTTATCAACTTGCGCTCCATCCGCCCTCTTGACATCGACACCATTAAGGCGTCGGTCAAGAAGACCAACCGGTACGTGTCGCGTTCGTCTTGATTTTAGGGAGCTTACTGATACCCCTGCAGCCTCGTCATCGTTGAGGGCGGCTTCCCCGCATTCGGTGTCGGTTCGGAGATCTGCGCGCAGATCGTCGAGAGCGAGGCCTTCGACTACCTCGACGCCCCCGTCGAGCGCGTCACCGGCGCCGACATCCCCACCCCCGTAAGTGCTCTCCCTTCAAATGCGCTTAACCCTTGCTCATATGCATCCCTAGTACGCCACCAACCTCGAGACCCTTGCCTTCCCGGACACCAACTTGATCGTCAAGGTCGCAAAACGGGCCCTCTACAGGACCAACTGATTGCCTTTCGCGAGCGCGTGCATCGCCTCTCGTGGGCGTGCGTGCCTGGGGACCGGCTAGTAGACTACGGGTAGACTAGGTATTCATACTTGAAAACCTTCTAATGTTGCATGATTGGAAGGAGTAGGGACTAATGCACTATGAGGGGTCGGATTACTGCAAACCACTTGTGTGAAGCAGATCCTCATGCTGGATCGCAGTGTATGTCGAGCAAGTATACAGAGGGCGATGGTCATTTGACGACTAGGCTGCATACTGAGCGCGTGCTGTGTACCAAATCCCATCCGGAGTCGTCGTGGCTCGCGCATACTTCAGCAGCAACTTGTCCCTCTCCTTCGAGTCGATGGCGATATCCGTCAAGAAGGGCGTGATGTCCTCGCTCTTCCACTTTGGGCGCGTCAGGAAGAGCTCGCCGAAGCGTGCAGCGGGCGCGACTGGTAGGGCGGATGAGGGGAAGTACTTGAGAGGTCCCGGACCACCGTCGAGGTCGGTGGTAACGATGTAGTTGCCCTGGGAGGAAAGTTAGCACACGGTAGACGAGAAGAGGGAGAAGGGAAAACTCACAGCTAGCAAGGGCAACTCGCAAAGCTGCTCAAATGCGTCCGTCGCAGCCTCGCGCCACCGTTCCAGCAAGGCTACCTCTGTGATAGGGTCGTGCTGAGGCAAGCGGTCAGCTCAAGCGCGCCTCTTTCTCCTTCTCATTCACTCAACTCACCCTATGCTCCCTCAAAATCCCCAGTCCAATCTCGCGTACAACCGCGCGTGCATCCATCGCCCACTTTCCCTCCGCAATCGTGCCGAACCAGCCCAGCACTTGCCCCGAGACCGCGCGCGGCACGTCGTCCGCGTCCGCGAGTGCGTTGGTGAGCGTCTCGACGGGCGCGGCATCCGGCTTGAGGTTGTGCGCGACGAGCTGGTTGAGGACGAGTTCGAGGAAGCGGAGCAGGTAGGAGGGGGAGATGGGGCGGAGGTGGCCTGAGAATGGAAGGTGAGGTTAGTTGAATTGGCATGGACGGGAGGGACGGGAGGAACGGGAAGAACAAACCATTTAGCTGCAGAATGCGCCGGTCGCGTAGCCCGCGGTCGAGTTCTGCGTCGCTGGCTTGTACGCTGTCGCGGACGGATTGGTATGTGACTGGTTGAGTGGCTGGCGCGTCCTGTACCTCCTGTTTAGCCTCCATGCTTATTACAGCCCAAGATGAACCTACCCCCTCGTCGTCTTCCATCTCATCCTCTTCCTCCCCATCATACTCCTTCCCTCGCAAGAGGCCCGCCAGCTGGTGCAGCTTCGGCACGCACTTCGAGAGCTCGATGACCTCGTTGATCTGATCGCGCACAACGATAGCTTCGCGGTCAGCATCAGCATCCTCCGCTGGCCTGTCCTTCTCTAGCTGCAGGTCCCCGTCCGAGGGCGTCACCACAAGTACGGAGTTCGACAGGACGACAGAGCGCATGCTGTACGTCGTGTCGTTCGTACACAGTACCGCATCTTCGTTAGGTCGACCTTTGATAGTTAGCCTGCGTCAATCAGCATGTCCATTCCCCTCGATGGATTGCATCGCTCACGTCGGAGGGCGTGTGGCGGTCGCAGCCGACTCGATGAGTGCGCACACTTCGGGTGGCAATTCGAGCAGTTTGAACGTGCCGCTCTCGTCGAAAGACGCCGCCGAGAAGGCGAGATCGTACTCGGACGCCATTGATCGAGGAGATGGCGAGCAGAGGAAGGAAGTTGAGAACAAGGGACGCGTCGGTGATCAAACACGTCTCGTCACATTCGCGTCGCGCGACGTGCAGTCACATCCCAACCAGCAGAGAGGTTTGAAAGTCGGACTCTAGAAAACGAACGACCGCATACGGTACATCTGGAACGCTGAAGATATAATTACTGCTAAGTATGGGCCTTCCCACCCTCCAATCCGATCTAAGTAAGTGCGCCTCTGATTTAGAGGCAGGTAGTCTGCACGATCATGTCCGTGACTCGGTAGGGGTCTAGAGGGGGAATTAGATCGATGCACGCATGCTCCGAGAAGATCGCAAACATACCAATGTTGGAGGCTGGGCGACGGTCCTCCAGGTAGCCGAAGCCCTGCGCGGCGACGTTACGGGGGATACGGATGGACGCGCCACGGTTGGCGACGCCAGAGCTGAAGCTGCCAATGTGGCCGGTTTCATGGCGGCCGGTGAGACGGAGGTCGTTGTCCTCGCCGTACACAGCGATGTGCTCGTTGTGCTTCTTCGCGAGCTTCTCGATGGCGGCGTTGATCGCCTGGATGCCACCGGGGTTGCGCATCGCCTCCGTCGAGTAGTTGGTGTGCGCACCGGCGCCGTTCCAGTCGCCAGCAAGGGGCTTCGGGTGGAAGGAGACCGTGATACCCCACTGCTCGGCTACGCGGATGAGAAGGTAGCGGGCCATCCAGAGGTGGTCGCCCATGGTGATGCCCTCACAAGGGCCGACCTGGAACTCCCACTGCGAGGGCATGACCTCCGCGTTAATTCCGCTGATGTTGATACCAGCGTACAAGCAGCAGCGGTAGTGGGCCTCAATCAGATCGCGGGCGAAGACCTTGCCGGCACCTGACCCAGGATCAGCCGCTATGTTTTGGGTGGTCTCACGATCAATACGTACCGGCACCGCAGTAGTATGGGCCCTGGGGACCCGGGAAACCACCCTTGGGCCAGCCATAGGGACGGCCATCCTCGCCGAACAGGGTGTATTCCTGCTCGATGCCGAACCACGGGTGCTCGTCCTTGGCGAGGTCCATCGTCTTCTTGGCATTGTGACGGTGGTTAGTGCGGTTGGGGGTGCCGTCGTTGTTGTAGCACTCTGCCAGGACGAGGATGTTGTCGCCACCGCGGAATGGGTCCTTGAAGATGGCAGCAGGGCGGAGGTAGACATCGGAGTCATTTCCCGGGGCCTGGTTGGTGGAGGAACCGTCGAAGTCCCAAATACGGAGCTGACCGATGTCCGTGACCTTCTTGGACACAGTCTGTGGGCGTGCTTTCAGTGGAGGTCTGTGAGGGATTTCTGCTGGTGCCCACCGTCGTCTTGGAGCGCAGACCACCGTCGCCGTCGATCCAGACATCTGCGATAAGATCAGCGCGATTCGCGGTCGGTGGGGGCTGCAGCTTACACTCCGCCTGAACCTTGTCGCCCTGGTCGAGGGCGAGGAAAGGCTGGAGGAGATCGTTGCGGTAGGTGGCGGTCATTGCGGACAACTGGATGGCGGAATGAACCAAGAAGATTTGGGGACCACCGCCGAGTCACCTGCTTTATATCTAGTGACAATAACTCCATATGGAAAACAGCCGGAAGTATCTCAGGGACCAGTCGGCCGTCGGCTATTGGGCCAGGCCTGCTCGCCTCTCCGAGCGTTCGATAAGCGCGCCATCACACATCCCGCTCCTGTCGCGAGCCATCGATTTGTGCGCGATCCCGCAGTGCTCACAAGCCCTCTGCGGCCAGAAAATGCTGCTCAAGCCCCCTCAAGAGCGTTGTTCCTACGTCAACGCGGAATGACATATGGATCAAAGTGCCACACGGCGGCGCCGACGCTCCGCCCAGAGCCCCACGGCTCATCGCCCCGGAAAAGGCAGTTCATACGCAGGCGCGATGCGGCAAGATCCCATTCGCTGAGCACACAAGGCTGGGCAGTGAATTGCATCCAGAATACAACACGATAACGAGAGCGATACACGACAGAAATGCCTGGGTCTCTACGCAGCATGAGCCGGTCACGCGCCGCGCTACCAGGCGCCGCGAGCATCTGGCGAGCAGGATACGACAGCCTTCACTAGCTGACAGATAGACGCGCGTGCCTACATCAGGGGACCTTGAAAGGAGATGGTCTGCTTGTCGTCGAGCGGCGATACGACGATGGGGCTAACCGCTTCTAGAACCCAGGCGAGCCATTGTATCTTCGGAATTCTCTTGCTCCTCGACCGTATCAGCCTGCGTTACCTGGAAAGGACTAGTCAATACAATCTATCCGTTTCAGGTCGCCAGTGGCCACATACCACCCTGAGGACGGACTTCTTGGACGACTCTTGCAATTCGCCTGCGATGATCAACTCGTCTAGAATCTACGCGGTCAATGGGTTAGTGAACGTAATGCAGCAGCGTTTGGACACGTTTCGTACGGAGTATGCCTTCTGGAAATTGAAGATCCTGCGAGAACGAGCATTCAGATCGCGTCCCTGCGTTCATTTATACGACCACACGTACAAGTCCAGCTCGCACACCTGCAACGACTGTCAGCATGCAAGCAAAGCTACGCCCCGGCATACAGGACGTACGTTTCCAAAGTAGCGGTCAAGGACCTCCACGTAGCGATGGATGATCTCCAGCGTAATCAGCTCGTTGTCGCTCGAGCTAATGCCGCATACGAAGAACAGCGAGGCGTAGCGCCGGTATACGACCTTCGTGTCTATTCAAGGTCAGCGCTTGGCACGTCACGTAGACACTCTTTACGCACCCTTGTACTCAAGGAAGTTGCACATCCTCGTTCGTCTGGCGAGCACGAGCTGCGTCACGTCCTTAATGATCTTGGCCTTGACCTTCGGCGCCATCGTGGAGAACCATTTCGCTAGGCGGACTTTGCCTATAATCTCAGAGATGAGAGGCTGCCTTGGGAAGCACAAAAAAGCAGCATGCCTTGCCGCGAAACGAGCAGGATGTAGTTGATCATCGCAGTGAATGACTGCCGAAAGCAGCAACGCGCTGGGCAAAGCGGCGGGCCTGCGCACGTGTCACAGTGATCGGCATGCCTCGGCCGACGGAGCGCCGCCAACACAATGCAGTTGACGGCGCCTCCCCCACTCCCCGCCGCGGCCCCCATAGCCCCCGCGAATTCTCCACGGACAAGTGCTTGGTCTGATCGACCACTTGAATGCGCGACAATAGGGAGCGATGCGATCGATGCAAGTACATACGGTGTACGGCAGGATAATCACAGGTCAAAGTCCGAATCATCGTCGTCGTCCCTTGCAGTACTCCGTATGTTCTTCTGCGTCCTGGTATTTGTGGACGTAGCAGCGGACTTCATGCGCCTCTCCCCCCTCTCACTCTCATCCGAATCAGAGTCTGCATCGCTGTCGTGCCCCTTGGGTAACCGCTTCGGAGGTATGATAGCACCCGCGACGATCAGCAGCGCTTCCAGCTCTATAAACCCCGTCAGCATGCTTCCTTGCGCACAACACCATCACCAACCCTCTATCCTCCTTTCCCTATCCTTCCCCCAGCTCACCAGCTGGTTCACAAGCTCTCCCGCGCGATAGACGAGGAACATCGGTATTCGCTCATCCGGCAGGTTCGGGATGCACTTGTCGCCCACAATAGATACGAACTTCGTGCGTGGATGCCGCGCCGCGAGGATTTCGACATGCCGCTTGACGAGGTCGGACCGCGGGATCCTGCGCGCTTGCCGTTAGCTCACCCACCCAGCATCGTATGCCAACATACAACGCACCCATCTTTGTACAGGAAGCACACCACGCCCGTACCCAGCCCCTTCTTGGGTTTATCCTCGTTCCCCTTGCGATCATCATCGTCCAGATCCTCGTCCTCCGCCTGCACGTCTTCCCCCGGCTCGTTCTCCATACTTGCCTCCGTCACTTCCCTCGTATAGTCGTCCCTCCCGATCGGATACACCCTCCCAAACCGCCCCAGCTGGCGCTCCTTCTTCGCCTCCGCCTCTCGTTGCTTGCGCAACCGCTCGAGGTAGCGTTCCGTCTCCTCATCCGCCTCCTCTGCGAGCTCGCGCAGCTCGTCGTCGAGCATCTCCTCGTACTCTTCCTCTTTCGTCTTCAGGACGGGGGACGGAGAGCGGGACTTCGGGGGGAGGGCGGGGAGGATGCCATGTTTGCGGAGGGCGTCGTTGCTAGGGGGGACGCGCTCAGTACGGTGGCTAAGCGCGCGATCGGGGAAGTGGCGCGTACAACTCAGTGTCTTCATTAGGGTTCAGCGTCATCTTGGTTGGATGAGGTCGTGCTCTCAAGGGTCTCGGCTATTTGAGGGGGGATGTTACTCGCAGCAGCAGACGTGGCGCGCACAGAATGAAGCACGAGATTCGCAGTCAATGTGCGCAGGCAAGGCGCTCAGGGGACTAGCTGATGGTCGATTTTCCCACGATGCTATCGTGTGTCCCCATAAGGCAGGCTTTTTGCGAAGGGAAATCGAGGCCGGCTTTTGTCTACTGCTAGGCTGGAATATACAAGATGATACATTGCTACTTTTACCTTCTCCTAAGTGGCCCTCAATACCGGTCTGGGCATTTTTTCTTACTGCTGCGCTCTCGACAGCCGAATGCGCACCGCATTCGCGTGCGCCCCCAGTCCCTCGCAGTCCGCCAGTGTCGCAACGATGGGGCCAAGGCCCTTCAGTCCCTCCGCCGTAATCTCCTGCGACGTGAGGTGCTTTTGGAACGATTGCGTGTTCACGCCGCTGAATTGCCGCGCGTAGCCGTTCGTCGGGAGCGTGTGGTTCGTGCCCGATGCGTAGTCGCCACAGCTGTGATGGGGGGTTAGCATATCCCGCGTATACAGTGAAAGTGATAATGAGGGTTCGTAAGCAATGGTCTGCGGAATGGACCTCACCTCTCCGGCGTATACGGCCCCACAAATACACTGCCGGCATTCTCGATCGCAGCGACGTGCGCGGGCGCGTTCTCAAGGTGCAGAATAAGATGCTCCGGCGCATAGTCATTTGAGAACGCGATCGCCTCCTCCACGGATGAGGTTTTGACAATAAGACTCTTGGGAATGGATTCCCGGATGATGTCCACGCGCGGAAGAGCACGAGCCTGCTTGTCAACTTCGGCCTCGATGGCAGCGATGGCAGAGTCGTCGAGAGAGACAGAGACAAGGACAACTTGGGAGTCGACGCCGTGCTCGGCTTGCGACAGGAGGTCGGCGGCGACGAAGGCGGGGTCGGAGGTGTGGTCCGCGATGACCTGAAGTCATGTTAGCTGAACGGTCTCAGGCGGTAGTGAACAGATATGCAACTCACCAGAACCTCCGACGGCCCTGCTGGCATGTCGATAGAAACCAGCGCATCGGTATCGTTTTGCACCAGCATCTTCGCCGCCGTCACCCACTGGTTACCAGGCCCGAAGATTTTGTCGACCTTGGGGACGGTGGCCGTGCCGTACGCGAGTGCTGCAACAGCTTGTGCGCCACCGGCCTTGAGTATGGCGCTCGCGCCGACGAGCTGCGCAGCGTACATGACCTCAGGAGAGATGCTACCATCAGGACGTGGTGGTGTGGCCATCACAATCTCGCGGCAGCCTGCGACCTGCGCGGGTACGCCGAGGTGAAGGGCTGTCGAGGGCAGAATGGCCGTGCCACCGGGGACGTACAAGCCGACGCGAGCGACTGGCCTGGCGAAGCGTCTGCAGACCACCCCTGGCATCGTCTCTACGGACAGCGGTGCAGAGTCGAGCTGCGCAGCGTGGAATCTCTTGACGTTGGCATACGCCGCGTCGATCGCTTCGCGCACGGCGGGGTCGAGTCCAGCAGTGGCTTCCGGCGCGAACGGGGGACGAATGATCACCGACTCGAGCTGCACGCGATCGAACTTCGCAGTGAGCTCGATGAGCGCGGCGTCGCCCCGCGCACGGACGTCGTCCACGATCGGCTTCACCTTCGCGATCATCTCGTCCGAACGCAAGACCGGGCGGCGTAAGAGTGCAGCGCGCTCTTCCTTGGAGGCGGCGGCGAGATCGGAGGTGCGCATGCGAATGGGCGCATCGGGGTCGATGGGTGCTGGCTTGGGAGGCGGCGCGGCCTGCGCAGGCTTGACGAACTGCGGCTTTGCGTTCCCGGGCCGGCGTGTAACGCGCGCGGCCTTCTTGTCGAGGGAGCGCTCGATGTCAGCGATACCGACACCCGATGCGATGCATTTGGTGAGGGCAAAGTAGAGGAGATCGGCGGCCTCAAAGGCGACGTCGTCCGAGGTCTCCGCGCGGCAGAGCTCGTCTGCCTCCTCCGTGATCTTGCTTTGCAGCAGCGACGCGTCGTTGAAGAGACGCTTCGTGTACGATCCTTCTGGCGCGGATGCGAATCGTGATGCCAGGGTATGCTCGAGAGCGGCCAGCCCCTTGAGCTCTCCGAAGCACGACCCCCGATCGAGGTGGCAGAAACCCGCGCCGTGCTGGACGACGCGGAATTCGAGGCTGTCCGAGTCGCAGTCGACGCGGATGCCTACGACGTCCTGCGTGGCGCCTGAAGTCTCTCCCTTCCTCCATAGACCATGCTTGCGTGACTGGTAGACACCCTTACCAGTGAGGATGGTCTCCTTGACCGACTCCGGCGAGGAGTAGACGAGACCAAGGGAGTGACCAGTCTCGTCGCAAACGACGGTCGGAAAGAGGCCGTCTGGACGATCGGAGATGAGGGGGGCGAGGAACGCATCGGCGACGTTGATTTGTGAGGGGGAGGTGGCACCGAGTGTGAGGTGGGAGCAGGGGAGGACGAGGGTAGCCGACACGCCCTTGAGTGCGCGGATGTCTGATGGGGAAGGAGGGGAAGTAGTGGTGGGGAGTACATGCACGGACGTCTTGCCGAAGAATTTCGAGATCGAGGAGATGAGGTCAAGATCGTACGTCGGTGCCTTCACAAGCACTCCAGAGACGCCGCTGGTGATCTTGGCCGAGACGGCGCTAAAGTTGTTCACGTCCAAGAGTACGACGAGGCGTTCCGCGGGGATCACATCAACGGCATCCTTCGCCCATGAGAGGGGGATAATGATCTTGTCCGCGCCAGCATCGATCCACGCGATGAGCTCGTCGACGTTGAGTGTAGAAGCATGATCGACGAGGATGAGTGAGTGAAGGGGGACGTCTCCGCCGGCCAAGCGTGATGATGGGACGACGACTGGACCAATGCGCTCGAGGGACGTTAGCAGCGCATCGTCCTCAGCGTCGAGGAGGGGCAAGAAGGGCGACATGGGCGTTGAGAACGAGATGACTCCTCGCCGCCGCGATCTGGACAAGTTCTCGCCTAACTCATGCTTGCATCATGACACCTAATGGGGAAATGACCACGTGGACAGGATACTCCGCATTATATTTCTACATTCGAGCGTCCTTTTGTTTACAGTACAGTATCTCTTTTCTTTCGTGTTTGGCCACTGGCAGTGAGCGAATGAGATTACTTCAAATGTTCCTATAGTTCAGTACACTTCCAAGCTGTCTCACTTGGCTAATTTACATGCAGTTCAGGTAGTAGTAACCGCCGTTAAGGTATGTGGCGAACGCAGCCCACAAGCAGTAGGGCGCAAGCAGGACTGTCGTTTGTCCACGTGTAGGGCCGTCCCATAATTTCTAGAAGGCAAGTTAGTCACATAGATCGCAGGATCTGCACAGCTGGCTTACGGTCATATACACGACGGAGCCCAGCAGTGCAGCGCTGTCGAGGAGAGCGAAACCAATCTGGGGAAAGCCGTGTCGTCAGCATCTTGTTTTGAGATTGTACTGATTGGCCAGACCTGTTTGGCACCGAAGAACGTGGATGACCACGCAAAGTTGAGGATCAGCTGACCATAGTAGATGGCAAGGCCGGTGTTCAGTGCGTCACTGCGAGACTTCAGTGAAGGGTCAGCGGATAGGCACAGGCCAACTCACCGTCCTGAGGGTGTAATGGTGGTCTCCAGAGACTTGGCCGCGACGTGAGCCGCGTACCCCATGGCTGCACAACATTGGTGAGAATTGGTATGGAGGAGTATAGTGTGCACATACAGGCATAGAGAATGGGCCAGACGATAGGGAAAACCTGACGAGGAGGACGGCCGGGAGGCGCGTTCAAGTTCTACGACGCGTAAGCGCATGGTCAAAACCTCCCGTGAAAGCGCGAACCTGATACCAGGGCTCCCGAACGACCTTGGCAGTGGGGAAGCCGCTAGCCCAACCAAGGGTCAGCGGCAGACCGACTGCGACGACCGGGTTGCGAACGGCCTCGAGCAGGATGGTGGGGATGGCGAGAGGCATGTTGACGACGCGTGTGGTAGCGAAGAGCAAGGTGTGTGCGTGTTCCCGAACATGCTGGGCGTCTTATATGCGCCTGGGTCGCGGTGCGCGTCACAGACGGGCGATGGCAAGACGCGTCGATGATCTCATCAGCGCGCGATCTGAAGGGCGTCGGGCGCTCGGTCCGTGTACCGTCGACGCCAACTCGATGGGAAGGACTAGTTTTGCGTTGTGTGATTATAACGCCTAAGGTCGGTGGTTTGATTTAGGGCATGGCTGAGAGATTGAGGACCTAATTGTGTTCTAAACAGGCAAAACACGAGACCGAGAAGGCATGGCAGTGTGTAGTATGCTGCAAAGGGAGAAATTGCCACAAATGATCCTACCAGGCGTACATAGTGGCCTCTTCCACCTCATTCCACCTTTCAACAATGTCGAGCAACAGCCTAATGGTGTGTACGAACCGCTTACAGAGATCAATTATCGTCCAAGGTTCCGTCCGCATTATTTAGTCCGCTACATAGGTATAATGTACTTCATGGCTTAGTGGCACATACTTACATGGTTCGGGAGGCACCGAAGCCTGCACCAATTGTCAAGATTTCCGAGACGTATCCCTTGAGACCTAACACTCCGCCACCCAGTTCATGATCTTCGTATGCGACTGGCCGCCAATCATCATGGCTTGTCCGTGCACGGCGTGAGGGTCGAAGATCAGACCCTTGCGTACGCCGTGCGAGGTGAGGTACTTCTTGACGCGCTGGGAAGGCGTCAGTCAGATTGTTCCCTTGACAGTTAGGAATATCCCTCGTTGATCAAGAACGTTCTCGCGTCGATCAGGGAGAATTCCCTCGAGTAGGGTGTAGGCTGCTCATGGATACTCACCGCCGCATTCAAAATCGAATCCCTCCCACCCACGACAAACATCGACCGGTGCGGGTCGCGCGCGTTCGGGATCTCCTCGTAGAACAGCGAGTTGGAGGACCAGTCGAAGTGGCGCTGGAGGAGGTTCGCGACGCCGAGCTCGGAGCCGACGAAGTAGTACATGAGGAGTTCGATGCCCTAGGGAAAGTGGGTGAGTAGTGAGGTTGGGATGGATAAGAGGGCAAGTCAGACGCACATTCTTCGGTTGTCTGTACAAGAAGTTGTAGCACACGTCACCTTCCCAAGAACAGAAGGTGACCGGGTCGACGAAGCAACTGCGTGTCACGATGTTCGGGTAGTCCTTGAGCATCCACGCGTGGGCGTACGAGCCGCTGGAAGAAAATCGTCAGCACATCGACAAGCTCTCCTTCGCACCGAAACGTACTTCGAGTGACTGAGCATCGTCACCCCAGAAGGGCGCTTCTGCTTCGCCAACGCGCGCGCGACCGCGATCTCATCATCCGAGCCGACGAACTCTTCCTGCAGGCTGGCCCACCCAAGCGACTCGATGAGCTTCGCGAGTCGCTTCGACGTCTCGCGGCGGCTGGGCGGGGAGAGGAAGCGTGGGTGGAAGATGTCCTGACTGATGCTGGGCTGGAGGAGGAAGAGGACTGGGCGGTCGGAGAAACGGGAGAAGAGGTAGTTGAGTTGCATGCTGTATTGAAGGAGGCTGAGAGGTGTTCAGCAGATGACCAGCGAGGAAAGGTGCCTCATACCCTAAGCCGAGACCATGCACGAAGATAAGGGGCCGAGGGCCAGTTTCAGAGTTCCAAGTAGGAGGTATGCGTAGCATGTATCTAATTCGGATTAGCGCCGGAGGACGAGCCATTACTTTTGAAGTGTCACCCACTCTAGACCATCGTAAGAGGCGTAAGTAGCATTAAACTTGTGCATGAGCCAGACGCGGAGTGTGCGATTGACGACCCATAAAGCAGCATAGAACGTGAACGGGCGCCAGTGGATATTGACCTTATCGACTGTGAGAAGTATGGGCTTTACGGCACAGCTGGGTTCGGCAACGCGCTCGGGAAGGACAGCCCCGGCGCGCTTCTGCAATAGATCAAGCGTCTCATTCAAAGCAGCGCGATGCGTGTGGGGCAGAGTATCGAGCGGGGGAAGCGCGGCGTTGAACATGGACCAGTAGAGCCATTGCCGCACGTGATGGACGTCGATCGAGGACCACGGTGCGCCGCCGAACCAGTTGCGCAGAGTGTGGCGGAAATCGACAGCGCGAGGGTCGTGGCGCTCTAGCTGGATGATGTGCTCGGCGGGGGAGCCGGGGCGCGGGGCGTCGGTGGTTTCCTCATCGAAGCCATCCTCGGGGAGACTGGCGAGGCCAGCTTTGAGGATGCGCGTAAACTGGATGGTGAGTTCACGCAAGGAACCTGGGCCGACGGGGGTAGGACCCGCTACGCGACGGGAGAGATGATAGTAGTGGACGCTGAAGAACACCTACGCTGACATGAGCAGAGTCCCTTACGGACGCGGACGTGCGGACGCACCTCGCAGAGCGCGAGTGTGAACAGAGCGAGATAGCTCCAGCTGGCAGTATACAGTCTGCCTGCGCGTAGGGTATAGATGACAAAGATCCAGGCGAGTGGAGGGACAAGCCAGAAGGGCGCGACGATGAGCAGGACCGCGTAGAAGGAGAGGGTATACGGCCGATGCGCGCGGGGTTCCTCTGCAATGTCGGACTTCATTTCGGTGGAATTAGGGTGTGGTATAGGAGGGGGGTAAGGACAGGCGGGCGCTGCCTACAGCAGCAGCAGGGGCAGCACTCGGGTGCCGACGACCGTGGCGAGCTCAGCAACTTGGACAAGTCGAACCGGCGCACAAATCAGCCAGCGGCCGGCATATCGTCCCGGCGATTTCCGGCCCGGGCTATCTCATCAATTTGTGTCTCCGGTTGATTCCTTGCCTTCTCCTCATCCCTCGTCCTCCCGTCATGTTGCGCTCTGCCCTCGTCAACACTGCCCGCCCCGCTCTCCGTCAGGCGGTGCGCAATCTGGCACAGACAGCGAGCAGAAACTGATTTTTTATTCAGAGAGCCGCCACGACTCTTTCGGCTGGTTTCCCCAAGGTCACCCAGCGCGTACGTTTCCCCGCGTGTCCGGCTCGCGGTCCACTGATCTTTTCCCTCAGCAACCCACCAAATATGGCGGTGTCTATACTGTACGCGTCCTCCACAAGTCGTACGCACAACCGAGCTCACTTGCGCGTCAGGTTACCCTCATACCCGGTGACGGTGTTGGTGCTGAGATCACCGACTCCGTCAAGGAGATCTTTGAGTACGTGAACGCGCCCATTGAGTGGGAGCAGTACGATGTCTCGGGCATGTCTTCCTCTGGCGAAGAGCTCTTCAAGCAGGCCATGGAGAGCTTGAAGCGGAATCGCGTCGGTCTCAAGGGTGCGCCTCCTCGCCCACCTAACATCCGCCATGACGCGCCAATAACTACCCTCTCCTTCAGGTATTCTCTTCACGCCGATCTCCCAGACTGGCCACATATCGTGGAACGTCGCTATGCGCCAGCAGCTCGACATCTACGCCTCCGTTGTCCTTTGCAAGTCCCTCCCGGGCTTCCCCACCCGTCACTCGAACGTCGACTTCGCGATCATTCGTGAGAACACTGAGGGCGAATACTCTGGCCTTGAGCATCAAAGCTACCCGGGTGTCGTTGAGTCCCTGAAGGTCTCCACGCGCGCTAAGGCAGAGCGCATCACTCGTTTCGCTTTCGACTTTGCTCTGAAGAACGGCCGCAAGGTGCGTCAATGCGCCTGCACGTTCAAGATGTGTGCTGACACGTTGTACAGAAAGTCACTTGCGTGCACAAGGCGAACATCATGAAGCTCGGTGACGGTCTTTTCCTCAACACGTTCCGTCGTGTCGCGGAGGAGTATAAGTCCTCTGGTATCCAGTTTAACGACATGATCGTCGACAACACGTACGGCCTGTCTGCCCATACGTCCTCCACATCCTAACCCCTCTCTTCAGCTCCATGCAGCTCGTCGCCAAGCCCGGTCAGTTCGACGTCATGGTGATGCCGAACTTGTACGGTGCCATCGTGTCGAACATCGGTGCCGCCCTCGTTGGTGGCCCCGGTATCGTCCCTGGCTGCAACGTCGGCAGGGAGTACGCGCTCTTCGAGCCCGGCTGCCGTCACGTCGCCAAGGACCTCATGGGCACCAACAAGGCCAACCCGGCCGCCATGATCCTCTCCGCGACCATGATGCTGCGCCACCTCGGCCTCGACACGATCGCGAACAACATCGCCGCAGCGACGTTCGAGGTCATCAACGAGGGCAAGGTCCGGACAGCCGACATGGGCGGCTCCTCCTCGACGTCCGACTTCACGGGCGCGATCATCAAAAAGCTGTGAGGAGTACTACGGTAGACGCTCATTAGGACGAGGGGGTCCATACCAGAGGACAGTAGATCCGGCCTAGTAGATGTGGGGTCGATGTGCATTATATCTAGCCGACAATGTTGTACTTTGCAGGCGTGGCAGTTAGCATGCTGGTGTGGTCTTCGCCGCCAGCCAGCCTAGTGCACTCGACGGCTTGTTGAGCTAGAGTACAGTGGATACCATGCTAGATACAGCTGGCCTATATAGATCATCTAAGTCGTCAAAACAACGTTAGGCGCTGGAGGGAACTGTAGTGGCTGGTTTCGTGTCAGAGGTTTGCGCGCTATCCGGTTCTGAAGGAAGTTGCTCGTGCTCCTCATGCTTGACGGGCCCAATGTCGGTCTTTGCATCATCCTGGACTGATGTAGTAGCCTCCTCTGCTTTCGCCCCTTTCGTTGCATCAGTCCAAGCTTCCTTCGCCACCTTTCGTAGGGCCAAGATTCTGTCGCACGACACCTCCGACCTTTGCCCCCACCCCTCCACCTCCGGTCGAAAATCCGCATACAGCCCATACCCCTTCGCATTCAGCTCTCCCGGGTCATAGCTCGCCGCAAGCAACCTCAGCGCACCCACCACGAACGGCGCCGTATGTCGAAATGCGCGCGAGATGTATGCGAAGGCTGTCGAAGGAGCAATGGGTTTGCCCTCCTTAGGGGACAGTGCGCGCCATTGGTCGGGTTGGCCGCGTCGCTCGTCGCCCTGGGTGCGGAAGAGGGCGACGCGGCGGCCCATGAGGTCGACGTAAGGCTGACTGCCGTCTGCGTCAAGGCCCTTTTCCTTGCCTTTTGCGTAAATACCGAGGGAGACGCCCTTCGTGATGGCGTTCATCTCGGTGAAGGCAGACGCTAGATAGGTATAAGATATCAACCCATGACATGCACCCATGGAAAGGTCAGGAAGACTCACCGATGCTCAGAGCCTCTTCGCGCGCAAAGCCAATACGCTCCGCCACGACAGAGGCCCACGCAGTCATAAGAGGCGCCCGATTGACGATAGTACGATGGCCGGCAATCTTCTCCGGGTCAAGGACTTCGGCAAAGTCCAGGTTACCATACTGAGTAGCGTCGTCTGGCGCAGCGCTGGGAAGGAGATCGTTTTTGTCCTCTGTTCGCCTGCGTTTGCGGGCTGGTGTGGTCTGGATGAGGGGTAAACTCCAAGCACGTAAGAAGGAAAGCAAGCGAAAGAGGATTACCACAGCAGTCAAAGCTTCACTGGAGGGCCCTGCAGTCGCCTCTGCTTCAGCAACGCGCTTTACTGGAGTGCGACTCGAAGGCCCGTAGCCAGCTTTACGAAGCGCAGCCAGTACCAGTTTGCGAGTGTCCTTATCGTCTATTCCAGCACGGACGAGGTCTATGTCTTCCAAGCCGCGCAGGTGATTCGGAGTGTTGTAAGTCTTGTAGCTAAAGTGCGAAGCTCAGCGACGCAGTCCATATGAATGGCCGGGGTTTCCTCACTGCTCACATCTTGCCGGCGACGGTCATTGCGGTCTTTACAGGCACGCCATTGTCGGTGAAGAGCTTCAAATATTTAGGGAGAGGGGTCTTGGCGTCGTCCATCGTGGTTTGGGACAAGTTGATGCCTGCGAACGGGCGCTTAGCGAGACGGTGACATCAGAACATGTCACGTTGAGGCACGCAAAAGTTCAACTTCACTCTATAACACCCGGCTCGCCCAAGGTGTCTCGAAGCCCGGAAAAGGGTCCTCGTACAGCTGCTACAGCACACAAAGCATGCACATCCTGTCCATCTCTGCGTACATACTATTCAATCCTTCCGGAAATCCCTGACTTCGTCCGCATCCCAGGAGACGAACTGACCAGACAGCTCCTTCGGTGCCTCTAAAGCAAGACCTGCAATGACATGGCCGGGTTGTTCTGGCATCACCAACTTTCCTTCTGCCTGAAGCTGAACGAACTGTTGGTGTCCCTTCTCTGTCATATGCCCGACGCCCTTCTCGCGAATGACGCGCTGCATTTCGGTGTCGACGACGCCTGGGCGTATAGCGACGCTGACGATGGATGGCTCTTCTTCCGCAAAGGTTCTGGAGTTACAGGTCATTTCGAATGGACGAAGAAGATGCAGAGGGAATCCATGATCACCTGCAGATCGAGTTCATCCCCGCCTTTGCTGCGTTGTATGCGCCCCAGCCGGGAGTTCCCTTTATTGCGGCGCCAGAGCTGACGAATACCACGCGTCCACCGCCGACACTCTTTCGGAGTGCTGGCGCAGCAGCTCTCAATGCCACGACCAGACTAAGGACATTGACCTCAAGTGAGCTGCGCCAGGACGCAAGTGGTACGGTAGGGTCGGCGATGCGAGCTATAGGCTCAATTGAGCCTGCGTTCAGGACGAGGGCGTCTATGGATCCCAATTGCTCGATGTAAGAGCTGATTGTGCTCGTGAGGGATTGCTCATCGGCGCTAGAACGAACGCTCAGGTCAGTCAATCATCGTGGAAGGAGGATGAATATGTGCTTACATGTCGCAGGCAGCGATGTGTAAGGAGCCTTCGTGTTTCTTATACAGTTCTTCGATTTCTGGCGTTCGTGATCGCGAGAGCGCAATCACTCGGACTTTGTATTCCTCGAGAAGGAACCGAGTGACGGCCAGGCCGATCCCCCTTTATTAGAACTCAATATGCAAGCCATCAGGACATAGAGTCTGCTTACTTCGTTGCGCCGGTTACAAGTACTGTACGCATATACATCGTGCTGGGAATGAAGCTTTTCAAAGTCTTGCACAAGGTGCAGTGCACAGGGACGTCATGATGGTTGAACTTCGGGATATGCCGAAGGCAGAGGTTCAAACTGGCAATAAAAGCCATGAAGAGCCACAGGTAATGCGTTGCGTAGAGGATATATAGATATGATGGGTATACATACATTGCATAATACATGTTGAGCTAGTCCATGACAACCAGACCATCGAAGCTCTGCTTTCCCACCGCCTTGTCCATCACGTTCACTGGGTTGAATTCCTGCTTCACCTCCACCCAATCCTCCTCACCCTCGGCCTCTTCCTCGTCGCCCAGAAAAACCTTCATCAATCCCGCACTGAACCCGTTCATCAACGCCACGCCCTTCCTCGTCGCCTCCACTTCAACCGTGCGCTGCGTCGCCATTGACAAATCCCAGAAGACGATCTCCGGCGCGTCGTAGCCGGCATCCTCGTATGCCCTCGCAATCGCATCGTAATTTGTCTCCCAATCGCCCTGCCCATACGCCTCGTCAAACTGCATGTCGGAGAACACAAAGATACGCTTGATCATTTCCTCCTTCGGCACGGCGTGCTTCTTCGCGAGCGGCAGCAGCAGCTCCAAGAACACCGCCGAGAAGTTCGTGTTATAGCCCCAGTCCGCCCCGCTCATCTCAGTCACGAGCTCGGCGAGCGACTTGCGTGTGAGGTCGAGCTCGACGAACTGTGGCTCGGAGGAGAACGTGATGAATCCGGCGTCGAAGGGCGGTTTGGCAAGACTGGCGAGGAGCAGCGAGAGCGCTATGGCGGCGTAGATGGGCTGGTCCGCCCTGGAGGTGCCCACAAAGCCCATGGAGCCGGAGACATCGCAGACTGCAATAGCGTTGTCGAGGCGCCCATTCTCGCGCATCCGGCAAACAAGATCCCGCCACTGCACCTGCGCGACGCGGCTCTTCATCTCTGCCAGCTCCCGCCTCGCCGCATCCAGTTTGGGATACTTGGATTTGTCCACCCGCTCACTGAGTTGCATGTCTGCTGCGACCGCCGCGGCGACGAGTTGGTGAGGCAGCAGCGTCGCCGACGCGATCTTCCGCTCGCCCGTCTCCACGCTGATGAGGTACTCCTGGAAGCGGTCGGGATCATGTTGGAAGAAACGCTCTGTGTTGAGCTTCATGCAGACACCGGGGACACGACCGTAGTTGATCTTATTCCACCGCCCCGCGCTCATGAGCGGCTCTGGGCACGCAAGTTGCGCACGAAGCGGGCGCAAGACCCAGCGCTGCAAGAAGGACCGGAGGACATGCGCGAGGTCGGCATGCTGCGCTGCAGCCTGGGCACCTGCTGAGCGAACGGCGGCGGGGAAGTCGGAGGGCGGCAAAGCCTGGTCGTGCAGCAGAAGCGCGGCGATGGCGGTAGACAAGTTCGTCACACGGTCATGCGATCCGCCCGGCGTGGGTGCCCACTTGCCGACCAGGGAAAGCTCCCTGGATAGGGTAGCCTTGTCGGAAGACAACATCGCACACGAGATCTGGTCGAGGATGGCCAGGTCCTTTGCAAGAGCCTTTGCAAAGAGTCGTGCCACCGCCACATACAAAGCGCGGGATTTGTTGTCTGCGAGCTTGTCCACAAGGTTAGCGTGCTGACGTTGAGCCACCTCCACGCGCGCCGCCTTCGCATCGAAGTCCTTGGGCAGGCGTGTCCTCCGCGGAGTGAACCGGTGCAGAAACCCGAACTGCAAGTCCTTCTTCCGCGTCGTCAGCTCCCCCTCCACAGCGAGGCAGACGAGGTTGAGCAGGTCCTTCCAGTACCCATGCGCGCCATCGTGCTTCTTCCCACACAGCGGCAGCACCAGCTGTTCGAGGTTCGCAATGGCGGTACGCGGGTGCGCCTCATACAGCCACGCAAAGGCTCGGTAGAAGGCCTCCCGCTCCCCCTTCCCGTCGTGGATGCTGCGCGTGTACCAGATGACGCGCAGGGTCCGCGCAGGGTCCACGGCCCAGGACGCCGCGAGCAGGCGCGCGATCTCGGCTGCTGACGCGTGCCCGTCGATGCCGTGGAAGGCGTCGAGCACGGCGTCGGTGGTGCTGGAGAGCGCGGGGGCGCCCTTCGCCGTGCGGGTGAAGTTGGCGCTCTCCTTGAGAGCGTCCATCATTGCATTTCGACGGGGGGAGGCGACGAGCACGGGCTCGTGGGCATTTTGTGACGTGCTGGCGGGTGGCGGCAGCAGGAGGTCGAGGAAGGAGGGATCGAAGAGCTCGGGGATGGTGGGGAGGGTGATGCTCTGGGAACGCGTCGCGGCCATGGTTGATCAAAGTGCTGGACAGTACGGATGGATGCGTCGATAGAGTCAGTCAGAGGCGGGCAAGTTGAAGTTTGGCATGCAAAGCAAGTGCCTTTATAGGGCGTGAAACCGACGGGTGCCACAAATGATGCACCCACTGCAATGACACGTCAGCTACCGTCAGGTTCGCCTCGGCTTGTGAACGCCTAGCAATGCAATGACTGTGAACAGGTCATGATACCGCTGCAATGGCTGTGGCCTGAGCGTCCTAAGTAAGTAGCCCGTCAACGACGCGAACGGGCATCAACGGCACTCACGACAATCAGAACATGAGCAGCACACCCTTGTCCGAATCCCGACTCTCGCTCAGCGAGGCTAGTCATCAGAAGGGTATTGCACCCATTGTAGCACTAGCTATGCTACAACTGTCTACTAGCAGGTATATACTATATTTCCATCGTCGCTGTCTCATCAGCATGTACTTTTCGTAGGCTCGCGCCTGTTTATCTTCTCCACCTCGACCACTCCTGCACTCCATACCGGTCCCTCGCTACCACTCATTCGCTGCCCGCCTATCCATCTCTACCCACGCTGCAACCCAACATCCTACTTCTCCTTCGCCCCCTCCTCCTCCTCTTCCCCATCATCCTCATCGTCCGACCGCACATCGCTCGCCTCACCGGCCGTACGGATGGCGCGAATCAGGATGCGCCACATCAGGTAGTACCAGAACAGGTTGAGGATCTGGAGGAGGAGGATGGGCGCGAAGATCTGGTACTTCATCCACCAAGTGAGCCAGGCGCCGGTCGGGGGTGCCCAGCGGCGGTGGATTTCGCTGTGGGGTAGGTAAGCATGGGGAAGACGAAAGGGAGGAGAGGGGGAAGAGATGAGTAGGGGAGGAGGAGGATAATGACATGGTTGGAGGAGGGGAAGGGTGTACGCACGGAATGAGGTCAAACTCGGTCCAGACGGAGTGGAGGATGACCAGGTTCAGCCAGTGGCGGAAGTAACTGAGGGGGAGTCAGTCGGTTTAGGAAGCGAGTACCAGTATGGGTGGCCGTACCTCCATACGCCGAAGAAGACAACGAAGACGGCGACCTTGGCACGCGGGAATTGCAGGTAGTTCAGCAATTTGGAAAGCTAGGAGGGATCAGTCCTCATGTCGAAGAGGTACACATGAGGAAAATTAAGACGTACAGCCAGAAGAACATCCGGAATATCCATGCTAACGAAGACCGAGATACCAATGTGGGTAAGGTTGATCAAGTAGCTCCATCTAGACCAAGGTAAGCATGCGCCGCGCAAATCTGTTCACCCAGACACGTACCCGACAAGCCAGAGGGTGACCGCATGATGCGCAACGAGCTCGGCAAAGTCTTTGCGGGGCTTCTCAAAGCCGAGGACCATGATCATAAGTTCATGAAGCCAGTGCGCAGACTGCATGAGGTAGAACTGCTTGAGCTCAGGTATCATGTCCCAGTGCGGGTAGCCTGCGAGGTTGTTAGTTGTGCAAACATTGTAGCGGGGTGAACAGAACGTACCGAGCCAAAACTCTTCCGTGCGGTACCACCAGATAGGGAGTTGCGACATAATCCTCTATGCCAGCTATCAGTTTCGCTTGCTCTACACGAAATAGCGAGGTACGCACCAAGCCCCAGAGACCAGACGCAGTGTAGTACACTATCGCATACCCCTGCTCACCGACGCGGTCGAGCTTGCCCTCCTTCTTGAGGCCGTAGAAGCGCCCGATACGCGTGAAGAGACGCCCCGCGATGAGGATGCGGCATAGCGACCAGAACACGATGTAGTATGCTATGAGCACGAAGTCGAGGACACCCTTCTGGTAGCGCGGATCACTGTCTGGCGAGCCGGGCACGCGATGTTGCACGAAGAGGAAGGGCGCGAAGGGGTTGGGGAAGGGGAGGGAGACGCCGGCGCTGGCGGTCGCCTCGTAGGCGACGTAGCCCAGGACGGGAGTTATAAGCACTTTGAAGGCGGCGACTGTGCGAGAGTTTAATGATTGCCCTGCGAGGGAGACATGAACACGCACCTGGGTCGACCGCCCATTTCATGAACCAGGACGCCTGCTCATGCAACGCGGGCTTCTTCTTGAAGTACGCGGGCGAGCCGGAGCGCGGAGTGTTGTTACCGCTGCCCATGGGCCTGGAGGAGCGTGAGCACGTCCGCTCGACGCGTGAAAAGGACGGGACGTACGTCTGCGGCTGGAAGGCGCTCGTCAGGTGGTGTTGCCGGTCATTTCTGGGGCGCGAAATCAGGCTCCGACGCGGCGCCGAGGGCAGGGGACGCGTACTCTATGCCTTCGGTGAAGACCTGGATCGACCCGGCGCGCTTGCGGCCCTTGTAGCTCATGGTGGGGAGAGGGAAGGAGGAGGAGAGGGCGCCGACACGTCCGTCGCCCGAAGCAACCGGGCAAAATGAAGTGCGCGCCGGAATATATTCCGGCGCACGTGCAGCACGGCGGCGCGTGGTGACGCGCCTGATGGCGGCGCGCCTTGTTCTCAGACAGTCGCACCATGTTCTCCACCGCAGGCCTCTTCAGCAGACTCAGATGCCCCCGCGGCGCAGACTGTGACCGCACCAACTGCGTCTTTGCGCATGGGGACGTCCAGCCCGAGCCCCCGCTCGACATTCCTGTCGCACAGCCCGCTGCAAGCACCACAAAGCCCACAGTACCCGCTAAGCGCCCAACTATGCCCTCTCCCACATCGTCGACCGCCAGAGTGCCGCCGCTGTCGGCGAAAGAGCCCCCTCGGAAGATGCTCAAGCTGGGAGGGCGCACAGCGGTTCCTATCCCCCAACCTGCCCAGCCGACAGTGAGCTATCATGAATGCATCCCGTCGGCGAGCAGGCGTTTACAACTCCGCAGGCCGGCGTACCGACACTCAAGATACATCCCATGCAATCCCAAGTACCCATCGCAACCCGCCAAGTAAGTCCTATCCCATTCATGAATGCCTTTTGTCGGCGATGCATGAATCGCAACAAGCGAGAAGGACATGGGCCTTAGACGCCGAGCTCGATCGTGCTTCCTGCGACGCCTCTTTTGCTTCTTCCTTGTCAGCACAAAGCTTCTTTGTGCGCGTGAACGACACCCTGCCAGGCCTTTGCACGACGTGCATCACATGACCCTCTGCTAATCTGCTGCCCCCAGTCGATGCTCAAGGTTCTTTACGACCGCTTCCGCGACCTCTACTCCTCCATCCTCCCCTCCAACCCCACCCTCGCCTCCGAGCACGCCCTCCGGCAAGAAGAGGAGCTCTACAAGTCCTCCAGCAAGCCCGGCTATTCGATGGTGAGCCACAATATCCCCCCATACCCCACACCCCAAGTTGACCTCGCCAGACGGTCATCCAGTATGCTGGGCAGATCAAGAAGCGTCCCAAGCCGACGCACATTAGTCACGACTCGGTGGGGACGAAGGCGGATATTGCGGCGCGCGCCGAGCAGAAGAAGTCGCTCAAGGCGCTCACATTGACGCGCGCCAACCTCGAGCGCTATGTGCACCCTGTTGAAGTTCTCGCGCAATGGGGTTACATTACTGCGATACCGGAGGGGCCGGGTGGCGACGCGTCGACCATGGAGGGTCAGTCGATGAAGTGTGAGCGGTGTGGCGACAAGTTTACCGTGCAGGCCAACCCGGGCGCGGAGGAGTGCACATTCCATTGGGGGAGGTTGCGGACCATGAATGTCAGTGGCGAGCGAGCCCGCGTGCGCACCTGCTGCGCGAAGACGGACTCGGAGTCGGGGGGTTGCACAACAGGTCAGTCGCCACTGGGTCCCACTTCCCGTCAATCTAATTTCCTCGCAGGCGCACACGTCTTTTACGACACCGATCCAATCGTCCTGCACGCGCGACACCCATTCTCATTCCTGCCTCCTCGATCTGCGCCACGAAGAACAACGCTCGACGTCATTGCCCTAGATTGCGAGATGATTTACACGACCGGCGGCATGCGAGTCGCTCGCGTCTCCCTCATCGACGGCGCAGGCGCCACGATATTCGATGACTTTGTCAAGATGGACGAGGGGGTCAAGGTGCTGTGAGTAGAATATCTTCTTCCTTTGATGCCTCGCCAATCGTCTTTTCTCTTGTTTCCGATCCACGTGCGCTTTTTCTGACACTCCCTCCCCAGTGATTACAACACCCGCTTCTCTGGCATCAAGCCCGAGCACCTCGAGCGTGCCACGCATGACCTCGCCGGGATCCGCGAGCGGCTGCACGCACTCATGGATGCTGATTCTATCCTCGTCGGTCATGCGCTCGAGAACGACTTGAAGACATTGCGGATTATACACCATCGCTGCGTCGACACTGCGCTGCTATTTCCGCACGGGTCGGGCGCGCCGTATAGGAAGGCGTTGAGGGATCTGTGAGCTTTGTTTCCTCTTTTTTGCCGCAATACTATGCGAGCTATCTTTGAGATGGACCTCCGCCACTCTCTCAATCATTAGCCTCATTCCCTGGCTTGTGTCGTGCTACGTCTACTAAGATTCCACCCCCAGCGCTCGCGAGCACCTCGGTGTCGTCATCCAACAGTCAACCACTGCCGGCCACTCGTCGGCCGAGGATGCTTCTGTCACGCTCGACCTCGTCCGGTGGCATCTGCTCAATAGGCAGCCGCCAAAGTACGCGATTGACGCGGGGAAGGCGGCGATCAATGGTGCAGGCGCGACGCAGCAAGGATTGGGATCGGCTTCGACAACAGCAACTGCGTCGGTGTCAACAGCAGCGGGATTTACGGGTTCAACGGCGTCGGGGTCAACATCAATGGCCTCGAGGTCAACATCAACGGCCTCGGGGCGCACATTTTGGCCGGCGTCAAGAACAGCGTCACGGGTAGCGCCATCGGGACCGGCGACAAGGAAAGCGTCAACGATAATAGAGGGCACCAGCCGCGGAGGGCCCCTGCCACTACATACCTCGCCCTCCGCATCTATACCCATTCAGCCTTCGCAGGCAGCGAGATTACCACAGCCTTCGCAGGCATCGAGATTACCACCGCCAGTGTCATCCATGGATATAGAGTTGATCTGACTTTGGTGGACTTTGGATGTGTGGTTAGCGATCTCGGGTGGCACCTCGAATGCGCCTTTGGGTAAGCACGAATGCGCCTTTGGTAAGCACGCTGGGCGAGGAGGCTAGTGAAGATCACCGTGCAGAGCGGCTAGTCGAGATCACCGTGCAGAGCGGCTAGTCGAGATCGTCGTGCGTATGGCATTGCATGCTCGATGAGGTCCGTCTTGTCCAATGTCCCTGCTGTGGCTATCTCGTCTAGCACGCAGCGTCATCACCTTCCTACAGCGCCCAGCGTCACCGCCTGACTGCTTAGAGAGTCAAGGTGTCCTTCCCTCGGGGGCCTCATTGAGTTGCGGTGCGCCCATCTCAGACTCCGCTCTTGTCGAGACAGGAGCTTCAAGCTTGCACGAGCTGCCTTCATTCTTGACATCGCAATGCCGTCGACGCTCGCTGTCATCGTCTTCGATTGTCGCCCACTATCTGGGCCGTCGTGTGTCTATTCTGAGCAGCTGCGCTAACCGTGTTCATTCTTGGAGGAGGCAATAATTGCGGGTGCGCGCAAGAATATCATGCATAATCTAAATCACTGACTGCACTTTCAGGTCCTATATACAGTCTGCTTCCATCCATTTCACCTAGCCGCGGGGCCCGTCTTTAACCTTCCCCCAACCTTCACTGCTTCCTCACCGCCTCAAGCTTGATATCATCCCACCCATTGAACGTGATATAGTACGACTTGCCACGCGGCTGCAAGTAGAACCCCTTCCTCGTCGTATTGTTCACGTCCTTGAACACGACCGTCTCCCACCCGCTGCGGAAAAACTTGTTGTCGCCGAAGTTCGTGGAGAGGTGGTGCCAGGCGATGCCTCGCTTGCCAGCGTTGTGCCAGGTGGACTTGCCCTCTGAGGAGTCGGTACGCGATACGGTCACGTACACGGCGTGGTGGACGTTGTTCCCGACGCGGATTCAGAAGCCGTCGGCGACGTAGTCGTGCTGGAGGCGAGGGAGGTGAGTACGACCGTCGGTTCTGAGGGACAATCAGACTTACGGTCATGTTGTAGGCTTAAGACAAGTTCGAGGGAGCGTCAACCGAGTTGCTTGTCTGTAGACGATGGTGAGTGACGGCGGACGGTGGAGGTCATCCCGCTAAGTGCTTACTTCAGGAGACGCAACTTTGTTGCTGCTAGCATCCACTCGCGTTGCCTCGTTTTATACCATCTCCCTCTGCAATACAAACTCGGGAACCTCTGGTCGTGCCGCCGTTCTCCAAGTAAGTGACTGCGCGTTCAGAGCCTAACTGTGTCTCCATAACCTAACTTGTGCTCTTTCTCAAGCTCTCTACATGACGGAAGCACGAGTGAGCTATGCCTGACAGCAGTAATGGTATCTGCTGTCTCTGTTATTCGTCTACTTGGACACAGCTTGTACGCTGAGTAGTTGACATGAAGACGAATACACGGCGCTAGGCTTCGGCCGATGTTGGGCGCGGTGGGTAAGTTATATTGCTCAAGGGCTTCCACACTGCTTAAGGGCTTCCACACGACATGACCGTCTCCATACCTCATAGCCGCAGGGGTATTGCTGTAGGTGCGTATTCAAAATCAGGACAACTCTGCGAGATACTGATCACCGGCAGTCTGCGTCAGGCTTCTCAAGGTCTACCCGCGGCGACTCGCGGGAAAGGAGCATCCGTATTGCTGTCCACCGTGCGATCCGACAATGTATCGTACTCGACGATATAACCAACCACCATCGCTTGGTGGGCAATATGAGTGGGCAGGCGCCGGTAATCGAACTCGTTTCGAAGTTCATCGACTGGGTTTATGGCCGGGACAATCGTTGCACTTTTCGTTCCTCACGTCAAGTAGAGCTCTCCCGTGCCCTCTTACCACGCCCAACACAATCATGACCGTCCTTCTTTATGGGCGCGCCGCTGTCATGCACGCCACCCGTTACCTGCATCCTGCCCCACCTTCGAATTGGCATGCGCATCATCAATCACCGAGTGAATCCTCTATACTCCATTGAGCTATAGTACTCTCGCACTCTCTATGGCCCTACAGGCTACGGAGCACCTATGACCTCTCTCAACGCCCATCCGTACGTATGTACAACCGAAGTCATGCGACAAGGGGTATTACAATGCATCGAGTATAGTAAAGTGCTAGACCGAAGGTTTCTAGTCGATCCTCCAAGGTGGCACACGCACGATCCTCGCGAGCGTCCGTAGAACAATCCTCAAAGGCATCGTGCGGCCCAGTGAAGGCCCGCACAACACTCCTCTGAGGCGCCGTACGACCACTAGAGGACTTGCGCGCAGCTCCCCCGAAAGCGCCTAGAGCGCCCAAGGCATAGCCGCCACGTCTTAAGCGAGTGGTACGAGGGTGAGGGAACCGGGCAGAAGGTGGTGAAAGCCGGAGCAAGGAAGGGAGCAACAAGAAACATCGTTGTACAAGGACAGAGGATATAATATCGTCGTCGTCGGAACTGAGCGTGGGATGGACCTGGAACAACGTACTGTGTACACCTGTAATAAAATTAAGCTGGCCGATGGAGGGAGAAAGGGTTCTGAAAGTTCGTGAAGGGGTAGTAGTAGGAGCACAGTGTATGTGGTCTGGAAAAAATGTGTAGGGTTTATGAAGGAGAAAGTGTGATCCGTCCAGGACGACGGAAGGGCATGGCGGGAGCAGGGGAGCGAGAAAGCGAGCGAGCGTGGTATAACGAGCGGAGGGGCTTAGGCAGTACTTTTGACGGGCCAGTGCGAGTGGCAGAGGAATATAAGGATATGATATGTATGCGAGGTCCGTTCGGGGACAAAATACAGATTGTGGCGTCCGGAAACTCGAAAATATACGTGTCATTGAGTCTGCAAAGTCCAATCCGGGTTGATGATGATGAGGGGGTTATTGTGGGTGGTGCAATGCGACCAATGCTAGGAGGGCAAACGACCAGTGACGAGGAGACGCGCCCTTAGGTGAACGCTGTCGACCGCCGATTGGTGTGCGGCTTCTGCTGCCTTCCAGACACGGGCATCGTCATCGGCACGACGGAGGGCTGCTGCATGGGCAGCGCCGTCCACGGGCTCGGGATCGGCGGCGCAGGGTTCGGGTGCTTTGCCCGTCCGCGCGACAGCGATGCAGTCTGTGTCGTGCCCGCCGTATGCCGGCTTGTGCGCGAGTTCACGGACCGATCGTCGCTACCGCGACGTTCATGCGAAGGCGTCCACTGCGATGACGAGCCAACAGTCGAAGGCGGACGAGAGGACGAAGAGGCAAGACGCTCGCGGCTGCGCGCGGGCGAAGAGCTCCCCGGAGACGACGTCGGCGACGAGTCCCGCGAGGACCCTCGCGAGCGCGAGCGCGTCGACTGCATCATGAAGGGCGCGCTCGGGGGCAGGAGCGGCATGTTGCAGTCCACCGCGTACGGCATTCCCATAGGCATACCCATGTTCATCATCGGCATGCCCATCATGGGCATGTTGGGGGTCATCATGCCTGGCACCATCGGCATCATCCCTGTGGGCATTTGCGGCACGGGTGGCGTCATGTGCAGGCTCGAGGTGCTGCCTCCGTACACGGGGAAGGAAGACGCACGTTCGGGCTGGGGCGCTGTCGAAGACCGCTCCCGCATGCGCGGGCGCATATCCTCGGACGCCGCCGAGTATGTCGAGCCAGGGCGCGAGTGAATCGACACAGGCCGGGGAGACGATGTTGAGGTCGCAGGCGCGATGCTTGCTGGCCGTGAGTTGCCAGACTCGGACCCCTGCTTCCCAGAGTTATCGTACGCAGGACGCGAGTAGCGCTTGCTGTCCCGCTGCGGCGATTCAGATTCGCGCAGCGAGCCCGCCGACGAACTCGGTGTCATGCCGTGGCCAAACCGCTGACTCTCCCGACGCTGTCGGGCCGCAACGACCTCTTGCTGGTACAGCCGCTTCTTCCGCTCCACCTCGATCGCCCGCTTCTCCTTCTCCCACGCGGCCCGCTCGCGCTCCCACTCTGCGCGCTCCTTCTCGCGCTGGAGGCGCTCTGCCTCGAGCCGCGCCCGCTCGATCTCGGCCTTCCGCTTCTCCTGCTCCTCGCGCAGAAATTTGGCCTTCTCCGCCTTGCGCTGTCGTGCGCGCAGCACGTAGCCGAGCGGCACCATGTCGTCCTTCTTGTCCTCCTCCGCAAAGTGGACTCCACGCTTAGGTGAGGGCGCGGCGGCCGCAACAGGGCTATTGGCCTCGACCTTGATCTCAGGGAGCGTTGGGGGCGACGATCGAGCCACTGGTGTTGGAGTTGGCGGCTCAGGCATGGAGAACGGCTGGGCGGCAGCCGTGTCCGTTTCGTTGCGCAATGGAGAGGGCGGGAGCGGGGACGGCGGTTTGCCGTGCGCAGAGTTGCGCTTAGGTACTAGATCTTTTGTCAGTATATGCTGCGTAAGCGCCTCGGCCAACCGGCACTGACCATGCAAATGAGTCGAACTGCTGCCCGTGCTGGACGTCGACGCCGGAGATCCAGTGACGGTCGCAGACTCAGAAGCGCTGGGCCCGACGTCCGGACTCGGTACTTCGTCGGCCACGAGATCGTACCCAGCCATCTCGTCGAGGACTTCGGAGTACTCTAGCGCCGCAACAGCCCACGCGCATGACACGCCATACGTCGCAATAGACGACCCATTCGCGACGTACACCGCATGTCGCTCTTCGAACATCGGTCTTGCGATCCAACGGCGAATGCCGGGGCTATACGGAAGAACGCGTGCGTTGCGAGAAGGCCGTCGTTCAAGGAACTCGTCCTGATCCTCGCTCGGGGTGTAGGAGACAGTCGGCCTTGAGCTATAAGGAAGGATCGACGCCTCCTCCGCGCGCGATAAGCGTCGACCAGAACTATTTATGCGTGCCAAGATATGCTGTCGGTGCATGCGAGTGCGCAGAGTAGCATGTGAACGGGCAGGTGCGCGGGCAGTGGATCGAGGGAAGGGCAGGGAGGTGGAGTCGAGCACGAATGGCGAGAGCGGACATGTCTTGCCGTCCTGCTTGCGTTGCGTGATTGCAGTGAGGTAGTCCAGGGCAGCAGTCGCTGACGCGGGGGTAAACGCGCGCGTGGGGGTTGTTGGAGGACTGCGCCGGGATACTACATCCGCGTCCGAATGCTCGTCCTCGGACTCTGAAGAGGTGTCGTCATCCGAGTCCTCGTCCTGCATGGCGGGCCTGTTCCTTGCTGGCGAGGGTAGTAGGCGCGCGTTGGGGTGATGATCGGGCGCGTCGGGCTTCTGTGGCCGCCCCAGCTCGTGGCGCTTGTTGAGCCATGGCATCCACGACTTGCGTCGGGGCGTGGTGTCGGCGGCGACGACCGCGGGAGGGAAGATGAGCAGCTCGTCCTCTGGCGTGTGGAGGAAACTTGAGCCGCCGCTAGAGGAGGCGGAGGAGTGCGTCGGGTCACTAAGCAGGGCGGGCGTAACGGAGGGCACTGGTGGCGGGGCATGATGGGTGGGCGGGACGACTGTGAGGGTCTGGGACTGCGTACGCCGGAAGCTCTTCTTGGGCTTGATGATGCTGAGGTTGGTGGACGAGCGCCCCGCCGTCGAAGCCGTGGCGGAGGACTGTGAGTCCCGGTCGCGCTTGTGGAAGACGGAAGTGATGCGACGCATATTCGCCTTGTAGGATGTGGTCGGGAGCAAGACGATGCGGCGAAAGGATCAAACGCAGGGAATCCGCCAGAACCGGTACGAATATAATCTCGAGGCCCAAATCAAAGCGACATAACTGGAAATTGGTCAGGTCACGGGGGATTTCGCTGAGGGAGATGCAAACCGAGTGCGTGGCGGCGAGGATGAGGGGAGGATGGAAGGTCGGAGGAAGGGATGGTCGCGCTGCCAGTGATGGCGCCGGACGCAGGAAGCGTCTCGATCCCAGCGCTTTGACACGGCGTCCGCCCCCGCATGCGTCTTTGTCCCACGCCCGCTCGTGCCTGATGTTGAACGTTCCAGGCCCGGTCACAACCCGTCCAGCGACCCCCAGTAAGCCAACCGTAAGCACATTCTGCATTTCTCGAAAAGACTGGGACACTTCGGACGAACGTGTAGGTACGCAGGCCCCCCTCGCACAATGAACGTCGAGACATGAGACAGCACATCACGAAACGCGCATCACGTTGGCGCGCTCCCCCCGCCGCGGGATCGCCGCCGGTCCGTCTGCCACCACCGCACAAACCGCCGTTCATACTTCTCCACCACGCCCCCGACGTGCGCCTCGGGTACGCCGACCCACCGCGCCCCTCGCGCAACCACCAGCCCCAGCGGCTGTGGCAGCGTCCCTAGCACATCCCGCGCGCTGAACACCGGATAGTGCTCGCCTGGCCGGTTACCATTACCTTCGTGAGAGACCTTGCCAGCGTGCAGAACGCGCGCCTCAGCGCGCCGATCCGGCTTCCCAGCAGACAGGGCTTCCCTCTTCTCTAGCGGGAAGAACTCTGCCAGGCGGCCCGTACCTACAGAATTAGAAGCGTCAGCACCGGACAACCAGCCGAGCACCCGTGGGTGCGCGCACCTTCGTCACGCGGGCCCAGCAGCGCCTTCTCACAAAACGCCAGATACGCGTCCACGCTCGCGTCGTCGAACGCCGCGACTGATCTGCGGTCAATCACACACTTCAGCCCCGACAGCCCACCACCTAATTCCCACTCAGTACTAACCTGTTATTCGCGGCCCCAAACAGCTCGCCCGTTTCACCGGCCTCTTCGTCTTCCATCGCGCGCAGGTGCGCGAGGTAATCGTCCAGGCGCGGTAGCGCGCACGCCGGGTCGTCGTCTGCGTCCGCGGTTCTAGCGCCTCGCGTCAGTGCTCCGTCTATCACCACCGAACCCGCGACATGGGCGCTTGGACATACCTAGCGCTTCCATCTAGCCCGTAAACCATCTTGAGCACCACGATCGTCGCGGCGAGCAGCGCCACCTCCGGGGGCACGTCGTCGTAGATGTGGCTCTCCGGGTCCCGCTTCTTCGCCACCTCCAGGCCGGGCGCCATAGAGCGGTGCGCCGTCAGCGGGAGGGACAGCACGCCGGACAGGCGCTTCGTCAAGGAGTATAGAACGGCTGGGTGGCAGATGAACATGTCACCCAGTGTCGGATTGGCGCGGGCGATGAGGCGCGACGGTCGGCGAGAGCGAGGCCGATGTCGTAGTAGTGTGTCGATGAATACATCGAGGTAGGATGACCGCAGATGACGGACGTTCAGGGTCGTTAAACCAGTGTGATTGCGCCGATCCAGGGAGCCCGCCAGCCCAAGGGTGCAGACCGCCGATCCACGGATGTAGCCCGCCAGTCCGATGGCACAGCAAGCCAGTCCGAAGGAGTAACAAGCCAATCCAGGGAGGCGTTGTTTCAAGCCCAGCGAGGCATACCGTCATCGGAGGACCGGCGTAGGACAGTCCGCACCCCAAGGGTATCATCGGCCAGTGCGCAGCAACACCCATGATTCAGATAGTCCAGGTCGCAGCCCATCGCGCAGCACCCGCGTGTAGATAGACAAGGCAGGTCAGTCAGTAGGTCAGCAAACCAGTCAGTCGATCCATCAGCCGTCCATCCGTTTGGTCAGAATAGACAGCGTATGACGCAGACCCAGAAGGCAGGTAGAAAGCGCACCAACAGTCCCAAAAAGCAAAAAGATATGGAGAAACATTGACAAGCAATCTCATCAGCTCCCATTAACACCCGAAGCTGAACACACCACTCACGCGTGCCGCCCATATACTTGGTCACCCGCCACAACATCGGCGCCGCGTTCGCTTCGGGGACGTGAATGCCGTAGCGCGCGCCGGCGAGCTTGGCGAGGCGGGAGGTCAGGGAATGAAGGGTGAGGGTCGTTGGGGGGAACTGGGGTGGAGGCGTCAGTATGAGGTTGTTGTGTCGGTAGAAAGCTAGAAAAATCCAAAACGTTGATTAGGGACGGAATTGAGAGGGCAGGAGTTGAATCGTGGAGGAAAGACAGCGGAGATCCCACAGAGGAAGAAAATCTTCCCCAGGCGGCTAGCGCCCCAGCCACTTCATCTAGCGTCAAGCAAGATGAAAGCGCGACCCGCAGAAGCACCACCGCCACGGGCTGGGCTGGCGTAAGGCAGGAGAATGAGGGCTGCGTCACTATGCAGCGCGAGGATCGCACTACGTAGGGACAGGGCTAGCGACGCAGTAAGAGGACGAATGCTAGGAGATCACAGGACTACCAGGATATGAAAAGTCCACCAAGGAATGAGGCGCGCGCCACGAAATGAGGCTTACGCCAGACATGAAAGCTGGGCATTGAACTCTGCCCGACATCCCCATGGCGAGGGCGTGAACACTGGAGCCGGATGATGTATTTCCGGGATCCCAGCGAAGAGGACGGCAAGAGGTAAAAGAAAAACTCGTGGGGTGCTCGGTCACCTCGGACACATATTAGGGCGTTGAGATGCACAAGGGAAAGAGAAAAGGTAGAAGAATAGTTGGGTCGCAATCGAGAAATGAACCAGACAGAACCACAGTAGTCTATTGAGGAGCAGAACGAGAGAAGAAACACGCACCGGAGGTGAGAGCGCCTGCACGCTATGCTTCGTTAGATGGCGCAGCATCTCGGCAGGTAGAAAGCGTAGCGGGTCCAGATAGGTGAGGTCGTATGACTGTATGAGACTAGCGAGAAGACGAGGTCAGAAGGAATATTCAGACCTGAACATGAGCGTACTGACCGTATAAAATCCAGATACATCGCCGGTACACGAAGGACCCAACAGGCAAGCGCAAGAACAGCCACTGTACTCGAAGGAGCCTCGTACTTCCTTCTTGAACCCGGGCCTCGGTGCTTGCGAGGTTGAGCGTTAGGATTGTCGGCAGTCCCTGCACCACCTTCCCCTTCGTCCTCGTCCTCAGAAGACGAGCTTGCAGTCGAGTTCTCGCGAAGCATGGCCGCGAGCTCGGGGTCGTCTTCAGGCGAGGGGCGTCGGGTGTCGTCGTCGCTATCACTCTCGGAAGAGGATGAGGACGAGCCCTCCGAGTCGCTCTGCTCGTGTCGAGTACTAGCGTCGACATCGGGACCGTCGTGCTGCTTGGTGGTAGTAGAGACTGAGGAATCCGGGTCAAGATCAGGCTTGCTTGCTTCTGGTCGATGGTTTTGCGCGAGGATTGCGCTTAAATTGCCTGTAGAGCCGGAGGCCTCGCCTCTGAGTTCTTGTGCGTGGATATATGGTTCGGGAGAAGGAGGAGTCGGAAGGAGACTGAGATGAAGAGCCCATAGATCTCGACAAATGGCCTGTACACAGAGACACTGGTTAGTTTCCATATTATGGATCCTTCGAAGGACAATGTACCTCAAACTCGGGTGGCAAATTCCAGAGAGCACGCAGTTCGTTGATCTGTCGCCGGAGGATGAGTTGCTGGCACTGGAAGTAGTGATATCGACCTCGGGCGCCATGGTATACTACGTGAATGGATATGTTGAGCGAGGGTATTTGCAGAGAATTACAACATACGGGACGACGTATGAGGAAGATGCAGCTGCACTCACGCTTTGGATCAGCGCCTCCGCGAGCCTTCTTCTTTTCTCTGCCAGTCTTGAGGCGCCTCCGGCGCAAGACGTGTGTTGTGTTCATATCATCGGCCTCATTTGTCTCATTCCGATAATTCTGATATGCATGAGCTTCCGCATCTCGCTCAGGATATACGTCTGACGCACCTGTAAAATATGCCCTTCACTACAAGCCACGAGCCCACTCGAAGGCTCCTTGTGCCATTGCTTTGAGCCGCATACTACGCACTTACGGCGCGCCATCGCGAATGCGCGACGTTGAAGTTGATCGTGGGAGACGGAGGGCAAGCCAGAAATTAGGCGCCCGCACGCCACGTGGACGTTCCTTGCAACTTTTCGGGCGCGTCTCCGGACGACCCACGGCTAGGTCTCTTCTTCGCCTCCACCATGAGGCTCTTCACTTTCTTTGCGTTCCTCGCCGTTCTGGCAACGGTGGTCCTGGCGTAAGTCCTGCCACAGGACTCCCATGAATAATTGCTGACTTTGCACCAGATGGGACAAGGTGCGCCGAGGCAACCGAGGAAGTATGAGCGCGTTCGAGCTCATTTATGCAGGAAGACCATGAGATCTTCGACATTGTCAGCGACCTTGAGCAAGCAGAGGGCAAGGGGACGACCTTCTACTCATGGCTGGGTGTCCCCTCGACGGCTACTACGCCCGAGATCGCCAAGGCGTATCGCAAGCTCAGCATGAAGCTCCAGTGCGTGTCATGTCTCCTCGACATACACTCCGACTGACAATGACTCTGCGCAGCCCTGACAAGAACCCTGGTGTTAAGGGTGCGCAGGAGCGCTTTGCGCGGCTAGGTGTTATTTCCACGATCCTTCGCAACCCTGAGAGCCGTAAACGGTGTGTGCCATGACCCCAGTTTTGAACGACCATTCTAATCATCCCGTCCAGCTATGACTTCTTCTACAAGAATGGTGTGCCGAAGTGGAGGGGGACCGGATACTAGTGCGTGGAAACACACCAGCGTGTCACCCTGCTGATAACGTTCGCCAGCTACTCGCGCTATCGACCTGGCTTGAAGGTGTGTCTTTCAACCAGTCCACATTGCATAGTAACTCACCTACGTGCCTTAGACCGTCCTCACGTTCCTCATTATCCTGTCCTCGGCCATTCAATATTTGGTGCAGCATATGACCTACAAGAGCGACCTTGCGCGCGTCCAACGTTTCATGAGAGACGCGCGAGCGGCTGCTTGGGGTCCTTCCCTGAAGCCGATCAAGGGAACGCGAAAGGTTCGCGTGCCAATGGGCGGACGCGTTATCACGGACGAAGGCTTCGCGGTCAACCGCAACATCGACATGGTCGTGGATGAGGAGAACGTTTACATTGTGCGTCCTTCACTTACGAACGGATGATGTGTACTCACTCCCCTACCAGCTGGACCCGAACGGCGAGAAGCACCTTTTGGACGAGACCGCGGCGACCCCGGCCGCAGTGTCACGGACGTGGTTTATCGCATTGGTCGCCTCGCTCTACCGGAAGTTCGTCCCCAAGAAGGAAGAAGAGCTAGTGGAGGAGTTCGTCGATGAAGTTGAGGCATCCGAGACCGACCTGGATGCCTCGGACGCGCCTGGCAGCGGTGCGTCCACTCCGAAAGAGAAGGACGCAACGTCGATGCCAGTAGAGGGCGTACCTAGTGCGAAGGCGGCGAAGGCCAGCAAGCGCAAGAACAACAAAAAGTTGCGCCGATAGACTGTACGCATGTTCATTATTTTTTGGGCCTACGGCCGTATTACGGGTATACATGACATGCTTTGTATGGGTGAACACGGTGCGAATAAGAACGTAAGGCTACAGGGACTGCTAGGTAAAGATAAGGGTGCGTGTTTGGCTAGGCTGCAGAGACAGTGAGGGTGTACTGACGACAAAATGTTAGACCAGGGTCACACGACAATACTTCGGGTCGTCTACGTTTGCCCGTATACGTAGCTTGGAAGCACAATGGCGGTCGATGATGAGCTGCTTCAGTTTCGGTGTGTGCGACAGCAACTCCTTTGCCACAGCCTTCGTGCCGCCGATGATACTCATCTCCCTCACGTTCTTCAACTCCCACGGCGCGAAGTGCGTGAGGTCCTGCTCCCTGCGCTGCAGGTCCATCACCTCCTCCGACACGTTCTCGTCGAAGCGGTACCGCACGTCAACGGCCTCGATGATCGGCGGCAGGTGGTACAGCCGCAGGTTGTGGAAGAGGTCCGCGTACGGGTAGTTGCGGTACTCGAGCCGGACGCGCCTGAGGTTGGGGAACATGTCGGGGAAGTTGTTGAGCGTGTACATGCAGACGTTGACGCAGCCGCCCATGCCGCGCTCGGCGACCTCCTCGGGCGTGCATGCGCGGCTTGCGCTATACTCCATGTGCCAGGTGATGGAGCGGACGAGGGGGCCGGCGCGCTCGTTCAGGGTGGGCTCGTACTCGAACCTGAAGAGGTCGGTGCCGATGTACATCATATTCTAGACAGGTCAGCTCGGCAGGTGAGCAAGTGGGGGAGTGGCCTGCGTACCGTGGCAAATTTGGGCCTCGTGATGTGGATGTCGCGCAAGGAGATCAACATATAGAGGTCGCGCCAGGTCTTCGAGACTAGGGAGGAGGCGACCATGAACTTCGTGCGATCGCGATTCGTCACGAGGGACCACCAGAAGGCATTGATGATCTCCTCGCAGATATCCCAAGGCAGGGCAGGGGTGTTGGACTGAACGGGGGCCATGTTTAGGAATGTTCAAGGTGCCAGGGTGCCATCCCGACGCCTTATATATCGCCAACTGAAATAGGGATAAGGCGCGTTCACTTGTTTCCAATGATCTGTCTCCACCTGGTGCGGGTGGATAGTCTTAATCTTTATGCTCGTGGCGAGGCGCGCCGACATCAAGCAAGCTTCAGAGGTTTCAAGATTGCCTCAAAGGACTGGTCAGGGACCAGGCGCATGGTGGAAAGCAGGCTATGTTACGATGAGATTGTCTTGGTTGACCCTGATTGCTTCCAGTCCATTGCATTGTAAGCGTCCGAAGCAATCGGCCTTGCGTTATGTGTGCCATGATCGCAGGTCCTCTGTGTATCGGTGCTGTGAGACCTTGCTGGCGGTCGCCGAGGGGTGCAGCGTACGAACAATAGGACTTCCAAATGCGGATGAATAGCCGAACCTTGTTACGATCACGCACGCCGACTTCACATGTTGAGTCACGGGCACGAGATCGTCCATTCTTCGCTCCTGCCATCATGTCCTCGTCCTCCCCAACCCTCACCAATGTTTTCGTCCCCGACATTAGAAAGTTCTAAACGCGCCCATTAGACGCGACGCGCAAGTCATGTGAATAGCACGTTCGCGTCGCGTCGGCGGCGACTTGCGGAGGGCCTTGGACGACGATCGCGCCCCTACCACCGCGAAGGACGGAAAATCCCCCAAGTCTCGCCTCTCTGACGTACCGAAACGAGCGACTGTCTTGGTCTACCCAGAGACGGAATTAATTTCCCAATTCATACCCGAACGGATCGTCCGCGACGGAGGGGATGGTCAACCGAAGCCGACCATCGAGCTCTCGCATATCTCAAGACGCTGCCCGCCCTGTACCCGCTGCTATAGAGGGTTCGCGCATTCCCCCTCCCGACTTTGGGGTTCCTCAAGAAGCATCGACGGAGTCCGTTGGCGGAGGGACGCAGGTGCGCTCGCCCATATCGAACATGCGGAACGCCATGCTCATAAATCCCCGCAGTCATCGACATGGGAGGGGGACGATGAATTCAGATCCCTGCTACAGCATTTACCGTCTACGCAAGGTTAAACACCCCTCCAAGTCCCATAAATCATTTCCCTGACTCGTACTTCCCAGACACGGCGCCTAATTCTCAAGCGACCGATCCCCCGGACTCCGCGCAAGGCTCACTCGCATCCTTGGAAGTCCTTGGAAAGCGGAAGGCAATAAGCGGTAGTCCACAGCGTCCCGCCAAAGTTCCGCGACTGGACAGCGAATACAATGTCTTCCTCGACGCCCGACCTCAAGCTGGGAATCCGCATGCGCCCTTCATCGTGGTAAGCCTTTCGCTAGTTCCCACGGGTCGTCAAGCCTGACTTGCTGCAGTCATCCGACGAGCGACTGGAGAGCATCCTACGCAAGAAGGGAGTACCGTACGGAAGTCAATGGGAGGTGGCGCACCTGTTATCGACGGGGAAGTTGAAGTCCCATGAGATTGAGATTGAACGTCTGGTCGAGCTAGGGAAGTATACGAGCAACGCCCAGGCTGTGCCTGTCACCGCGCAAATATTGTCGAAGAAGGCATTGGACCCAGGTAGTTAACACGCAGCTTCAGCGCACGCGAGGTTCTGACTCGTTCAAGATATGAATGTGCGATGCAGACTATCACCAGAGGCAGCCTCGAAGGTATACTATCTCTCGCTTGAGCTGCGTAAGTTGGCTGAAACGGCGCGCGCCAGCTACCGTACGCAGAACAAGACAAGGAAGAGACCATGCTAGCCAAAGACCCATACGCTGGCCTGGGCTTCCATGAAGACGACCCCAACTGGTTTGGCGGCAAAATCCACTACACCGCACGCATCGAGCCGTCCGACTCAGGCTCACGGTACAGTCCATTCAAGGTCACCCTCCGCAGGCCGGAGCTCGGCGTCTCCTCGCAGTTCTATAGGCGCTATGGCTCTTCGTCCTTCCTGACTGTGAAGTTAGCAAAGGCGGTCTCCAGTGATCGTGGATACGGCGACGCGATCGAGGCTTTTGTGAGGCGGCCGCTTGTAATACTGGGAAGGGTATTCCGCGCTGTGCGCCGGGTTGACGACTCTTTCATATACTTCCGGACGAACGAAGTGTGCGTAGGGGACAAGATTTCACCCGATGAAGTTGTCCCCAGCGCACCGTCATTGTGGGACTTCCTCAATGCGCAAAATCCTCTACGGCTCAACACGGCGCAGGTGAAAAGAGCTATTTCTCGTGACGTCCAGTCCAACTGCTGACAGCTACATAGACGATGGGCAAATGGTCGACGAGACTTGCGCTAGGTTTCTCGACGTCCGTGCCCGGATGTTTGGTGGACAAGGGCAATGTGCTGTCGGAGAATAATGTGGTGTCCGCTGAGGGGTCTGATTTGACCGACGGCGCTGGGTTCATGAACAAGGCCGCCGCCAGAGCTCTACGTGATGCAGCCGGCTGCCATGATATACCGTCTGCTGTGCAGATGCGCATTGACGGTGCGAAGGTAAGTCTATCGCATCGTGCGTCTTGACGTTCTTCTGATATCTCGCCCAGGGACTTCTCATCCTATACCCCGAGGACGATTCGGAGGAGCCTCGCGTTTGGCTTCGACCCTCGCAAAAGAAGATACAATATGCAGAGGACGAACCGCAGGACCAATCTACCCTCATTATCAACCTCCTCCGAACCTCCAAGACCAAGCCCATCTGCCGCCTGTCCGTCGAAGCCATCATCATTATGGCCGAGAACCGCGTTCATTGCGACATCTTTAAGGCCCTGTTTGAGCAGAGCGTGGAGAACACCTATGAGTCGCTCTTGCCAAGCCACTGGGATGGCGAGAACGCGATGGAGCAGTTATACGCGAAGGTGAACTCCCTAGGGGGTGTGAATGCTGCCCGCGCAGCGCGCAAGGACGTCCAGCGCGCGCGGCTTCATGGGCATGTGGACCACTTCTTCGACACCAAAGACACCGATTCGGACGCAGAGGAGGTAGAGGCAGATATCGACGCCGACCCTGCCCCATACGCCATCGCCGGCTGGGAAGACCCCGCGAGCGGCTGCCCCGCGACGCCCGCGGAGATCGTCTGCACGATGCTCCAGGCGGGCTTCCAGCCGCAGACGTGCGAGTTCCTGCGGGCGAAGCTCGAGTGGTTGACGAAGCGGGTTGCGCAGAGGTCGATCAAGCAGATGCGGATTGATGTCGCGCATTCGTTTTCGGCGTGGATTGTGCCGGGTGGGTGGTGTTGCGGGGTTTGGTTGGATGTGTACTGATGTTTGGCAGATCCGACGGGGAGGCTGCAGCCGGGACAAATGTACTTCAAGAGCTCGTCGCGCGATCTGGTTGGGTTGGATGGGACGCCCACTGATCAGGGTGAATGATCTCCGCCAATCTGTGTACACGTTCTCATCTACTCTAGTCCTCGGGGATGCGCTTATCACTCGCAACCCTTGCAAGCTACCCACGGATGTGCAGAAGGTCCGTATGCCCCTTGGTCGGGCAGACGCAGCTGCTCATCCGCTTCAGTGGACGTTCGTTGATGAACCTCAATTGCGGCACCTGTTCGACGTTATTGTACTGCCTATCAATGGGCCTCGACGTCCTGCAGACTATCTTGGCGGAGGTGAGCAAGTTGACGGCGTCCACATACGCTTGCTCATCGTCCCTACAGGCGACTACGACGGCGACAAGGGCACTGTATACTACGATCCGCAAATGGTTCAGCAGTTCCGGAACGCAGGCTTGCGCTACGCCGACGAGCCCGAGTCGGTGGCGAGTTCTTTCGACTCTGACGTCGAGAAGGTCGGCGCGTTTCTTGAGCGGACGTCGAGCCTGGCACCCAACGAGCAGCTGGTTGAGCTGCAGAAGTTCTTGCTCCCGCGTCCGCACTTTGCGGTGTCGACGTACTCCAAGTTGCATCTATATTCCACTATCAAGTATGGCGCACGGGCTCGCGATAGCGTTCGCTTTGCATACATGTAAGTCGTTGTGCGTTTTCCACCGAGCTCAGGACTGACGTCGGACGACAGGTTTACAAAATCCTTAGACGGACCCAAAGTCGGCGTGACCGTCAAACCCGCCGCCTTCACCAAGGACAGCAGCGACCGCCGCTGGGCATGCCGCATGCCGGACTGGAAGGTCGCCATCGACGGCAAGGACGAGGAGAACAACAACAACCCGCGCTGCACGCGACCTAAGGAGACGGCGAACAAGTGCGGGCCCTTCGTGATGGAGTCGCTCTATGCGTTTTCGCAGGAGCTCGATAGGACGCGCATCAAGCAGATCGAGGACGCGTTCAGCGACCCGGCGCTGCCGAGACCGAAAGTAGATGAGGACCTGACGGCGCCGTGGCGGGAGGCGAATGAGCGGGCGGGGCGGATGCGGGCTGCGAGCGGGAGCGCGTTGATGGAGGAGGAGCTTCAGCGGATTCGGAAGCACGTCGAGGAGCTGTATGAGGAGTACCGCGAGGTCGTAAGCGCACACGGCTCCCCGCGGAAGCAACGGTCGCCCCGCAAGTCAACCTCTCCGCGTAAGGAGGGTCCCTTTCTGTTCTCGGACCTGCCTCAAGCAGAACAGCGGCGTCGTATGCGCGCGCTGTCGACGAAGTATGGCTCTGGGCCGCGGGACCTGTTGACGCTGGGAAATGAAGAAATTTCGAGGTACGTGTCTGATGCGGCGTGGGGTTCTGTGGTACTGACACGGACGTATAGGGTGCGCGCCAGCTATGCGTATCTGTATGATTGCGACCAGGCGAAGAGCCACGGACGACGCTTGTCGCCCTTTCCTTGGAATGTAGCCATGACGGCGCTTTGTGATATCAAGGCGAAGGCGAGAGGGCCGACGTCCTTCGTTATCATTACCACCGACTTTGCAGATAACATGCGGATGAGGAGGTTTCCGAGCCAGTGAGGCTCGTGTACTTTGGATTGGTTTAGTTACGAGTGCTCTTGGATACTGCCTTGGATTTTTGCATACTTCCTTCTCACTTTGCATCTTGGATACCCGGTACCCAGTATTGAACAAACCCAATGTATATTTTTCGTGTCTGCCTTGCCGGAGTAGCTTGACCGAGCGCAGTAACCACATAACGGAAGACAAAGCAAATATATTCATTGCAAAGTACAAATCCTACAACCCATTTACTTCCTAATAAGTCTTTCTAGGGTTAGGGTTAGACAAATCCCGGAGCCAAAAAGAGAGCCCGCCCAGCCAGAGTGGCCAGAGCGGGACCGGAAAATATTGGGACGGTGCATGAGCCGAAGCCCATACAATGCGCAGGTTTTCCCTGAGGACAGGGTCGCCGTGCTATGGAGAACCCCCACGCACCACCTGCCCAGATACATGAAGGGGCAGATGCCATCAAGGTAAGTATGAGTTGCCCAGGTGTGAACGAGTGCATTTTATAGGGGCGGGGGCGACGCACGGACCAGGGCGCGTTTGTGTGGTCGTGTATGGAGTTGTGGGTCCATTGACTGGCGGAGGACTGGGCACACAGGTACTTGGTCTTGGGGCGCGTTGTCCAGATGAACGTACTGCATTGCAGTACCTCTATACAGGATAATGCGGTAGGATACAGGTCTACGATCTATGGAGCATCTAGCAGTCTACTCTACGCCTCTACTCGTCCTCAACCTCCCCAATGTTCAGCCCCTTCACGCCCTTCAGGCCCATCTTCCCCACCGTCTGCCTCCTCAGCGTCGGCAACTGCGGGCTCGGCCACCCCAAGCCCTCATACACAAACACCGCCGCGCGATCCACCAACCCCTGCGGCGTCCACCGCATCTTACCCACATACTGCTTGTAAAAGCCCATCCACGCGCGGTACGCCTTCCCCTTGTGGCCCTTCGGCACCTTCGCTATGGCGGGGCGCAGGACCTCGCGCGTCTGCTGCAGCTGCGCGTCCGCGGGCGGCGGGGCGGGCGCGATGGGCAGCTCGGCGATCTCGCGGTTGGAAAGGAAGAATTTCTCAGCGGGGTCGAGGATGATGACGCCGCGGCCGGAGGTGCCAGCACGCGCGGTGCGGCCGAGGCGGTGGATGTAGTCCTGGGGCGTGCCCGGGACGCCGATTTGGAGGACGAGGGAGACGCTGGGAGGGGTTAGCTGACCTCTCAAAACGGTTATATAGGGAGAACGTACTTGGGAAAGTCCATTCCGCGCGCTGTCACGTCGGACGACACCATGATCCCCGTCTTCGTGTTCTTGAAGGCGTCGGCGGTCCTCGTACGCGTCGATTGCGACAGCCTGCTGTGCATCGGCCAGACTTGGGGGAGGCCAGCGACTTCTTGGAGCGCTGCGGCAGCCCAGGCAGTCTGGTTCGCTGTTGGGAAGAACATCATGACCTTCGCGAGACCTTGCATGTTCTTGATCTCTTCGAAGAGGATGGAGAGCGCGACAGGGAGCGAGTCCTCAAAGCGGACCTCGACGACATTTTGGGGAACTGGAAACGGGCTCAGTGTCACAAACGATACAATCTTATGAACTAAGCGTACCATGCTTGTGAGTGTTCTGCTCGTTCTCCGGGATAGTCGAGATCAGCTTGTACTTCGAGCTCAGCGTCGCCTTGATGATCTGCGAGACGTTGACAGGTGAGCAAATGCCGCCCTCCCGTAAATCGCAGCCCATACCTGCTTCACACTATTATCCATAGTCGCACTATAGAACAGCGTCTGCCTCGGCTGAATCGCCGGATCCGGCAAATACGACCGAATCGAGTCCAGTTGCGGCTTGAACCCCGCGTCCAACATCCGATCCGCCTCGTCGTACACGACGAACTGCAGCTTCCGGAACTTCGGGCCCGCGCGGTTGTTCTGCAGGTGGTCGTTGAGCCGGCCAGGCGTGGCGACGATGATGTCGCAGCGGTCGCGGAGGATGCGGTTTGCTTCGGTGTTCATGCTGGGTGGCGTGAGGAAGACTGAGTGGTGGATGTGGAGGGAATGCGTACTTTGTGCCTCCGATGGCGGTACCGACGCGGAAGGGGGAGCCTTTGAGGAGAGGGATGCACTCGTTCTGGATCTGATACCATCTTTTCAGCAATGGGTTTCCTCACTACATCCGCGAGGCATACCTGGATAGCAAGGTCGCGGGTCGGGGTGACAATTAGGGCCGCAAACGTGTCCCCGGGTAGTGCGCTCTCTTGTTGGCGCAATTTCTCCACGATGGGGATCAAGAAAGCCAGAGTTTTACCTGAGATATTGATAAATGTTGTCAGCGATAGAACGAGGCACAGAAAAATCATACGTACCCGTCCCGGTCTTGGCCTGGACGACAAGGTCGTGCCCTTCCAACGAGTGCTTCAAGATGGTCTAAGTATCAACGGCAGGAAACACGAGGCAACAGCATACCTGGATTGTGGCGGCTATGCGGGCGATTAGGATATGAGAGGGCGTTCAACGACGAAGGAGCTCACCCTGTACAGGGCTCATGAACCTAGCAGCGCCTTGTCAGTTTTCCTCCCAACGCTAAGCAAAATGGCGGACGACGCACTCATGTCTAATCGCGGCTTTGGTAGCTGCCGAAATTGGTGCATCTGCAAACCTGGTGTCCGTGACATGCGCCGTAAATGGCACGGTCGTGGGCCCAGTGTGGCCAGTGTGGCGAGCCCCTTCGTGATGCGGCGGTGCTCTATGCGGAGGTCCTTGGTGAGGAGGGCCTTGATGAGGAGGCGCTCCGTTCGGCGGCGCATCCTCACGCGGCGGCCTCGGTCCTCCACGTCCACGACCGCGCCCACCACGACCCCTTCCACGACCCCCGCGTCCGCCGCCTGGGGTGCCATTAATTTGTCCTTGACCTTCAGGTCCTGCGTTTCTTGTAGGAGGCATGGCAGAGTGAGGAGCTCGTTCTAGATTCTATGGGTATCCGTGAGAGACACTCCGTTTGGGCGTCCGGGGATGATGGTAGTGAGGAAGGAGGAATATAGCGATTTCCGCGCGATCGCGATCGCGCTTGTACAGGCGCGCGCCGCGCGTCGCGCGCGTGTGGACACGCGTACGTAATCTGAGCATCTCGTCCCCGACGACGACAAGCTTCCGCAAATGCTCAGAGCAGGAGTGCTCAGGCGCGACTTCGAATCCGGGCCACACGGTGTTGGGGATCAGGGACAGATGAATGATCTTAGCTGACTCGGAATCGAAGGTTTCCCTGGCGAGCAGTCACTCATCAAGCCCTTTCAGGCGCCTCCCATGCCACTCGTCCGGAGATTCATAATGCAGCTCTGGACAAACACACTCGCTTTTCGGTGTTTCAGAGGGCTCATCTTTCGACGGCCGTCTGTTTAAAGGCAGCCGACCCTCAAAGGATCCGTTCATGAATGCATGAAGAGGCGAGTGCCACTGATGCGCCATCAAACCGTGACCTTCATAACCGGCGCGCTCCAGCGCTCAGACCCGCCATCGTCTCTCCTTCAGTGCAGTCATTACACTCTCCTCCCGCTAAGGTCCTCGCTTGTTCCTTCAGACGCGACGACGGTTTCTTGTGCGACTTGGACCGAGAAGTCCTATCATCCCTTCAGCCGGTGCACTGTGGACATGTGCGACCATCCTCAATCGAAGAGGCTCTCAATTAGCCGGGCAGCCTGCGCGGATATGAGAAGCCTCCTCATAGCACTGGAACGTCTCGCTCGCGATCCCGAATGCAACTCTAGCAAAACGCACCTGGCCGAAGCTCAGACCATCCTTCGTCGAGGACAAGCGCTGCGACTACTACGCGAGGACTTCCAGCCGTCTGACTTCTCCTCTCTGGTCAAGGGCATGCGAGGCTGGTACGCACAAACGATCGGGGACATGCTCCTATGCTACGCTATCTGGTTCAGTGTATCGACTTCCAAGAAGTACGCCGCTCTAGCTGAATACGCACCCGCGTCATTCTCCGACGTTTTCCGGTGGCTCGAGCTAGTCCATCCAAGGAATAACTGTCTCCACCAAGGGTACCCTGACCGGAGTGACGTCTGCTTTCCCCTATCGCAGTTCTTCGTTTTCACTGATGATCTCATGCGCGGGATGTATCCATACCTAGTCGACCATCCCCACAGCCTGCGCCTTATCCTTGACCTGTGGCTGAACCAGAGCAGATACATTCGTGTCACTGCGTTCCAGGCTGCGGGGATGATGTGTAACTTCGCAAACGCTTCGCTGCAGCTTTTCGAGGAGATGTCCAAGGCCGAGGGCGGACAAGACTACTTCGTGGGCGAGATGCTACGCCTTTTCAAGGGACACAGCCGGCGTCGGGTCCTGCGCGCTATCTGCGAGAACGTGTCTTTTCTCCGAAAACTCAAGCCTAAAGAGGATGTCTTTAAGGCTTGGGGAAATCAGTTAGGACTAGCCAGAACGATCGTAGGAACACCGCATTTCAGCGGCATCGTGGCGCCTAAGGTCTTCGTTGACATGTTGATCTCCGCTGCGATTTACGCGACGCAATTCCCCACAGAGAGACGCATGCAGCATACTGCAAACGAAGCTCTGCGGATGCTCGACACGCTTTGCTGGCAGTCCCCGCATACTGTGAACCTGTCTCGCGCGATCAAAGCGGGCGTATTCTCATTGCTTGTCGACTATGCGAAGATGCGGCGCCTCACCGGCAGCGAGGCCTCTGCCGATAACGACTTCGTAGTGAAGCTGGCATCGACGCTCACGCAGGCGACGATAGTCAGGGCATTCCACGCGCGCCACAACGATTTGCTGTCTCCCGAGTCTCCCGATGCGTTTGTCGAAGAGAAGTTCAGGAGCGTGCTCCGCGCTTACAGGACCCTCTGGCCACAGTTTGCTCTCTTACAGCAGTCAAAAGACTGGAAGCAGAGTATACCTTGCTCCCTTTCCACGGTACGGCCTCTCCTTCAACGAGGAAATACGTGACTGATACCTCCATTAGCATCCCCCGCATTTCTCTTCTAACCTTCGATTCTGCCGCTGCGGACAGCGCGCGTACTGTTCGGAGGGATGTCAGCGCGAGGACTGGCAAGAATACGGCCATCATCGAAGATGCGACTGGCGCCAATTTCCCTCGGATCGCGATGGTACGTGCTGAGGCTCGATAAATACACCATGCGTGTTGTTGACTGGTCCACGATCAGGCATTACCGACCCCAAGAACGTCCTCTTTCGCTTGTGGCTTGCGAAGCGTGTGATAGAGCGGAACAGTGTCGCCATTGCCATGGTAATCAACGCGAGCTGGAGAGAAGCTGAGAAACAGTGAGTCCTACTTGCGCGAGCAAACGCATGATGACGATTGTACTCACAATTTCTCCAGGATATACTCGTCCGATCCTTTCGAGCTACCCCATCCGTTCATCGTGGTAGACCTGACGGACGTCCCGCCCGATCATCGCGCCGCGGACGACTTCGCCTTCCGCTGTGAAGTTAGGGCCGTGGTGGTGGACAAGCTGCCCGAGCTCGTCCACGCTTACGACGACTTTCATGATCCGTACGACATCCACTATGATACCTGCGATGCCGAGCACGACGCTGGCGATGCCCCACACGACTCTGGCGAGGCCCGCCATGACTCTGCCGATGCCCACGACGCCCACCAGGACATCAACGATGCCCACCAGGAGCCGAGCCAGCCAGACGCGGCCGACGCCTCTCCGATTTCCTTTGTCTGCATGCCGCCTTCAGCGCTGACGCGCGTGAAGTTCCGCGTCGGAGACCACGCCCTGGAGCGTTTCGTGCCGTACATGTTCGATTGGGCGTCTTGTCTGGTGGAGACGACGAAGATGCAGGGTTGCCGAGTAGTGCTGTCGGAGCCTTGCGACGCATCTGACTGGACCTATTGAACGCGCTATAGAATGTATTAATGCTGCTATAAGTATCATGATTCTGCTTGGATGACCAAGCACGACGCTCAAATCTGCTGAAAGGTAAGAGAGCAACACCATCGCAAGTGAAGTGCGTGTTGCGTTATGATTCGGAGAATGAGCCACGCTTCTTACGCAGAACCGTCGCACATAAGATGCATCAAGAGGATGTTATTCAGACGCAGCGTTCATTACCCAGCCTTCGCCCTCTTCCGCGAGTGCTTGTCCCACTTCGCCTTCTTCTCCTTTGCCTGGTCCTTAGTCTCCAAATCCTCGTCCCGCACAACATCCACCCCGCGCACTTCCCCCAACCGCAGCATCGTCGCCACGCTCTTCGCAATCGGCGGCGCATAATCCAAATGCCACCCGAGTCCTCCAACCACGTAGTCAAGCCCCTCCTCGACAAGTCGCGTGCGAGACCAGCGTAGGTGGTGGGTTTGCGAAGCGTAGTAGCTCAGCCAGGCCCGGTAGGCGTCTGCCTTGACATCCGCGGGGATCTTGGAAAACGTTGCGGCTACCGCGTCGGACAGGAATTGTAGCCGGTCAGCAGAGATGGAAGGTGCCTTTTCGAGAGGAAGACGTCGTATCTGTGGGAGGGAAAGGAAGTACTGTTCGGAGGGGTCCAGGATGATGACGCCCCTACCAGAGGCGCCAGCACGAGCAGTACGCCCCAGGCGATGGATATATTGGTCCGCGTCGTTTGGTACGCCGACCTGTAGCACCAATGTGACGCTGAAAGAGGTCACTCATCAGCGCGTAAGAACTTTGCGCCTGACGAAACGTACCCAGGAAAATCCATCCCTCTCGCAGTTACATCGGACGACACGAGGATGGCGGTCTCAGCCTTCTTGAACGCTTCCGCCACGTAGTTGCGCTTCTGCATGGTCATCCTTCCGTGAATGTCGTACACCTCAGGAAGCCCTTTGATACGCTTGAGGACCGCCGTCGCCCAGTCTACCTGCCGGGTTGTAGGCAGGAATACGATGGCTTTTGAGGTTGACTTCTTCTCCGAGCCTACGATCGCATGCTCCTTGATGTCGTCTTGGAGCACTGAGATAGCGACCGGGAAGGAGTCTACGAAGGATGCGACATGGTACGACTGAGGCACTGTGCAGAGGTGAGACTGAGATTCGTAACATGTCGTAGGGCGTTCAGTACTTACCATGCTCGTGAGTCCCAGCCTCGTCTTCACTGAAGGTCTTGATAAACTCAAACGAAGGCTGTAGGTGCTTCGACGCGACCTGCACGTTCAGGTGAGCATGATTCTCCGCAAGTTGTGGCACCGAATACATTCCGTACCTGCTTGACCTCGTCGTCAATGGTCGCGCTATACATCAACGTCTGCCTTGCAACATCCTCATGCCTCGGCAGAAGCTCGACAATCGCATCTAGCTCCCGCTTGAAGCCTTCTTCGAGAAGGCGGTCCACTTCGTCATATACAAGCGTGGAGACGCTTGCTAACCGTGCAGAAACATCAGGACTTGAGAGGTGGTCCAGCAGTCTGCCAGGTGTAGCGACGAGGATGTCGCCGCCTCGCAGTAGCTGCCTCCGTTCCTCCTTGATGCTGAGCTCAGTCGTCATTACGGGCACCATACCAGACGAAAGAGACATGAACATACTCAGTTCCACCTACTGCACGTCTGACGGAATATTCTGATCCCTCTAACAAGCGACGCGCCTGTGCTTCGATCTGTGGTGGAAACTCAGTGAGCTGTGCCGTCTTCAAAATTACTGTACGCACCTGCAAGGCAAGATCACGTGTAGGTGCAATGATTAGGGCGGCTACACCTTCGCCTGGTGGCTTCCCTTGCAACTTCTCGATTGAGGGGACCAAGTATGCAAGGGTCTTCCCTGCACAAACAGGCATTTAGGTATCTCGACTGCCAACGCAATTAGCTTTGCCCTACCGGTGCCAGTCTTCGCCTGTACAAGCAGGTCTTTGTTCTGTAGGGCTGGCTTGCCAGATAGTAAGTTAATCGCTCATCTTTGGGGGGAAGTGACCTACTCCTAGGCTAGCAGCTACGAGCAAAATATCAGCAAACACGTTATTCGCGAAACGCACTGAGCTGACCTTGCACCTCCGTCATATGACTAGAAGGTGGTGAGCTCGTCCCCGACGCTCTTTATATAGATCCCCCATTCTGCCTTACCTATGAGGTATATTTGCCTTCAAGTTAGGCGAGAGTGGTGCGTCTGCAAAACGCTGCGTGCTCAGAAGTTTGCCGGCGCGGTCATGTTGGATACCCAGAGCACTGGAGAACGTGCGAAAGGTTGTCCATGAGGGAGAAGGTTTTCGAGTACGTAGAAAAGAAGAAGAGAGTCTAGTGAGGCATAGCATCAGGTAGTTTGGGAGGAGGGAACCAGAGGACGAACTCGGCAATTTGCGGAGGGTGACTTCGTTTTGTGACGCGTGATTTTTACTTCAACTTCAACTTCAGGTCGAGTTCGAGTCGACTCAGGCGACCAGCCTTGCAGTGCGACTTTATAGGGCTCGAAGCTTGAGTCTGAAGGCGCCAATACAGACGCGACGCATGACAGGCCGTATTCCCAGGCCGAGAACTGTCAGATGCCTGCCACGAAGCGGGCACTTTAAGTATAGTCGAGTCAATGTGGCATTCATGGAAGCCGTCAACAGATCTATGGTAACGTAGCAATGTCTCGTAACGTAGGATGTGGAGGACGGCATAGACCGTGAGTATACAAGCAGGCGCTGAAACCAGGCTTACAGGGGATAGAAGGACAACAGGACGTGTATACGAGCAGACAACAATATTCGTCACAGGCTTGGGCTCGAAAACCCAGGGTATCAGTACAAAGAGAGGACGGGTCGACAGAGTGAAAGTTCATGGGAAGCGGCGGCGAAGAGGCGCATCAGGTAGAATGGGCTTCTTACAGGAAAGCCAGGCTTACGCCAACAGCGCTGAGGAAGCCAGCAAGCTTCGAAGCGCTGCCGACGGTGAGGCCGAGCACACCGTTGCTGCCTGTCTCGCTCGACGTGTGAGCCGTGGCCGACCGGGTGGCAGAGCGCGACGACGAGGACGAGGAAGAATCGGAGTCTGAATCGGAGCCGTTAAGGCGCTCCGCGTTGCGCTTGAAGATAGATACATGTGAGCTGCTGTGAATGGCGTCTGAGCAAGTCGCTGAACTCACAATGAACGCCTCCAGGTTCTCGTAATCGCTGTCGTTGACGTTGATACCACCGACACCGCCCTCACCGCAGGTGTTGTAGTCGTAGAACCAGAGCGTCTGGTTCTCAATCTGCGGGGTGATGGGCACGGACAGCTGCGTGATAGCGGTGAAGTTGCCCGCGTCCCGGAAGCCAGAGTCGAACCCGTTGATGGTCGAGTTGGCGAGATTGGCGGGAATGCAGGGCGAGGCGAACAGGCTCTGCGTCACTGCAGATATAATGAGCGATTGTGGGAGGGTACCTCGAAGGAACTCTTGCCAGTGTGATTTCCTTGTGTGACTGCGAGTGTAGGTCAGCAGTGTAGCGGGCTGACGTCTAGTAAAGGACGTACAGTTGAAGAAAACGATGTCGTTCAACTGCGCAGTGACCTGTTGCGGCTGGAAGACCGCGGACGCGTTGTCCGACGTGTTCCCGCCGACCTGAATCCAAATATCCCTTGCCGCAGCGAGCGACGCGAGTCCAGAGAGAGCCTGCGAACTTGCGATCAGTGGGGGGAACAAGTGAGTACACGCAAGACTCACAACGACGCTGAGCGCGGAGACCATGTTGGCTATCAGGGCTTAAGGGCGGGAAGACGGTGGTGGTGAAAACCAAGAAGGGGCGTGGACGAGAGCGCGGGTTTGTTGCGGTTTCCTCGTGTTGCAGAAGACAACGTAAAACTTCCTTCCCCGCGCTCTGTCCGCGCCATTTTCCCGCGTCTCCCGACATGCTGATCAGGAACGGGCGGGCGAGGATAAGATAGTGATGAAGGACTGATGTCATTTGCAGCCGATAGGTGATTTTCAGAACAATTGTGACTGTCACCATCAGGCTGGAAGTTCAGCATATCACTTGGTCCTCATACACCTTGCTGTAGATGCTTAAGACACAACGGAGACGATGCCAGAGGCATACTGTCGGTGCGAGGCCAACGAAGGGGTGGTGGGTCCCCGGTAGAAAGCAAATCCACGATACCCCCGCTGTCAGCAGAAAATATTCGATCATCCACGACCGTAAAGTCGCGATTAGTCGCAGTACAGAGCTGTTCGAAAGTATTTCCTGGTATGAATATGCAGCTGTGCCCGACTGCTGCTCAGTGTCCACGGCGGTGTCTGGAAAGGAAGAGTATACCTTGAGTGTTGCTAGATAGCGATCCCTCCGAGCGAAAGTGTAGCTGACAGACATAAGGATTGCTTGAACGCCAATGACCGATCGTCGTACCGCGCTATGGGGGCCGAGGAGGGAGCACCTACGGCGATGATTGGTCAGGGAACGGTCACGAGCAACAGCAAAGTTATACGCGGTGAGGCAGTCGAAGAACCTCATCGTACAACCTCAGAGGGAAAGCACGTGCAGGGAGGCCAAATTCCCCCAGTTAACGAGAGATAGAGCGGATGAAGGGCTAATTGAGCACAGCACCTGTCATGCGAGCCTACATGTGGTGCTCGTACTGCAGCATTGACATTCTTCCAATATGCAGACGAATCGATGGTTGCAAAGCATAGAGCTCCTGGCAAAGCTTGGCATGCATGGCATAGATTTCGATTGCGCATGAGATGATACAGGGCGATACCAAAGCTCGTGGGTGCATAGGAGGGGGACGGAGCATAGCGAAGGGACATCGGAGCGACACGCTTAGTGCGCGCGACGGCTCTCCTGGATGATCGTGCCGAGCTCCTCGAGCTTGCGCTTGGAGCGCAAGAGCGTGCCCAGACGCTTCTTCGTGAGCTTGCGCGCCTTCTTGTCCTGGACACGTTGTCAGACGGAGATGGTGGGGGAAAGCTGCGCGACGCACCTTGGAGTTCCTCAACAACTCCATCACTCGCCTCTCGTACGGCGAGAACCCAGCAACCTCACGGATGACCGAGCGAACGAACTGTAGGTCACTGATCAGTTAGGTTCCGCACTTCTTCTGACTGTAACGCACCTTGTTCTTCTCCGAGAGGCGGCCCTTCATGTGCGAAGGCTTGGCCTTCTTTTCAACTGAAGATCGGTTAGCGCATCGCGCTGCTTATTGTGTATGCATTCACATACTGGGCGTGGTGGGGTGGCCGCGCTGGCCCGGAAGACCATATCGGAGGTCTACGAGCAGCACCTCGTTAGCATCGTCCTCCATCGCAGCATAATAACGTTCCACGCACTGGAGCGGACCATTTTCTCGGAGCTTTGACGAGATCGTTTGCTTGACGGCGACGGGCACAATTTCCCTGCGCGCCAGCCGTACGGCCGAATCGGGAAATAATTCACGTGCGCTGTGGCTGAAAAGACGAACTGCAAGCGCGTGACTCAAGTTCGGCAAACTCCGATCTCATTGTTTGTGGGTCCAACCACCCTATATCACCTATTGACGACTGTCCGTCCCGTCAAGATATATCTACTATCTACCGTGAATGTACTATAGTGAAGCGTGCTTACGGATATAATGATAATATGCGATGTTACAGACAAAAATTCAACCCTGTGCTGTGCCTACCCACATATGCCGCCGAGGGGTCGTCCACTGTCGTACAACGCGTACTTTTCCCTGAGAAGACGAAGGGGTAGGAGGAAGTACGCGAGCCAAGTCGGCGAATTGTGAAGTGTGCGATGGCGCTCGTGACGACCCAGTGGAAGTCGGCGACGTGCGCGCAGACCGAGACAACGCAGACAAAGGCGGCTCCGTCGGCGGTGGTGTGTCCAGGTATGGGTCTGCTGCCCGCTGCTGTTGGTATCCCTTCGAAGAATGCGGTGCCCCCGTAGCCTCTTCTTCCTCTTCCTCCTCGTCATCGTCTTCCTCACCCTCGCCATCCTGAACAGGCAAACATCAGAGACCGTCTAAGCAAAAGCCTGGCAACGCACATACGGGGTCAAAATCCTCCATCGGTCGGTCGCCCTCCTCGTCGTGCTCATCGTCGTAGCCATCGTCCCCATCGTCGATCCACTTGCCCCGCCAGTCGACCAAGTCGAGCTCTGCCGGGTCCTCGGGCCGCAGCCGCAGCCACTGCATCCGCGGCCCGTTCTTGGCCCGTTCGCTGACCTTGAAGCCGTAGATGCGGGGAACGTAGACGTAGCCCTCTGGCCGCTTTTGTCCGCCGTACTGGTTCGGGTTGACGAATGGAGAGCCCCTCGCGCCACCGCCACTGCCTTCGAGCGCCTTCGAAGAGTTCGGATTCGTGATAGGAGCCTTCCAGAATGGTGCGGGCGCGAGCTCCCGGTAGCTCTGGAAGAAGAGGTGTGCGAAGGTGGTGCCAAAGTATGCGCCTGCATGGGAAGGGATCATGAGAATATCACTAGCGCGCGGATGTAGTCAACGCACCATCAACACCCTGGTAACGGCTGCTTGGCGGGGTGTAGATATCGTTGCAGTTCGGGCAGAACAGTTTGACAGTGTCCACGCCTGGTATGTCAGAGCGTCCGCACGGAACGACGTTGTAGCCGACGCAATAGACGCGAGGGCATGAGCCGAAGACACCCGACTCATACTTGTCCAACTGGTAGGGTGGGTCAGGAGCGATCCCTGCGATGGCGCGCTATAGACGTACCATGGCCTCGAGTCCCATCCTCGTCAGTATGTACCGCTGGTGACACAGCCCATACAACATCTCAGCAGAGCTTTCCACGATGGAGACATCCGGTATCTTGGAGGAATCCTCGTCTGCGAGTTCTAGTTAGCGATCACTTCCTTCGCGGGCGGTCTGCACGGCGCACCTGGCTCTACATCAAGCACCATCTCCATAGCCTCCTTCCAGAACGGCACGACCGAGTTCAGCCCCGTCAGGTTGAAATCGTCCTCGATGAAGTCCTCCTTGACTTCACAGAAGTATTCATGGCCGGGCAACGAGCAAAACCAGCTGATCCATGTCAACGTGCTGGACGGCGTCGAGGATGCTACACAGGGTGAAGATCAGGCGTCAGTGTCAGGCTTATCGCGCACAGGGACGCAGGGTCGCGCGTACAGTAGCCTTCCTGCTCGATCACCTCCTCCATATTTTCGTCGCCCTCGCCGACTCCGGAGACGATCTCCTCTTCCACGTCTTGTTGGGGCGCGTCCATGGCCATCGACGGGCGGGACATGGCACGGTTGAGGGGGTCTGCGGCCAGCACAGGCTGACCAGCGAAGTGTTCAGAAACAAGATGCGGACTTTGAATGTACGCAGCCTCGTGCCGCTGACAGTCCCCATCAGGACGCCGAAGTTCAACCATTTGCCTCGATGGTATCGGCAGCGCGTCTACTTTGGCTACGGCAGTACTAGCGCACTTCTAATAGGTACATACGGTCGTCTTACTGATCCCTGCGTGCCAGTAGGACGGCCCGAGAACGACCAACAGCAGTAATTGCGCCGCCACCCAGCTCACAAGCACATACCGTAGGGCATGTCGCATTCGCAGGCCTAGAACCTCCACTGCGAATGTGCTGACCGTAGTCAGACATCCGCAGAACCCATCGTCCAATCCCTGCAATATCGCGCAGCTTGTAGGCGACACAGAGCCATCCCGAATGCCCTGAATAACATGGAAGGTTCCCAGCAGCGTCGTACCCACCATATTTGCAGTGAATGTCCCTAGCGGGAAGGACGGGCTCCTGGGGTTAAGTGTGATAGACAGAAGGTAGCGAGTGAGCGTCCCGGGGAAGGCGAAGAGGAGCGCGGCGGTGGCTTGATGTCGGATGGAAGTTGGGAGGGTGAAGAACGGCGCCAAGGTTACTGCGTACATGACCACGCAAAGTGCATCTATCGTGTACCGTACGACCATGGTCGGTGGCCCTGGGGTGGGTATAAGGTGCTTGATGTTGGCGGCGACGTGTCGGCCAAACATGGCGGATCCCAGCGATAGGGTAAGTGTGAAGACGGTCTTGCATAGGCCGTCCATGAACTAGGCATGGAGTTCAGTAAGGGCAAAATGAAGTCGATGAGATTCGTACATCGTAGAAGCCGCCTCTATGGTGATCCTGTGCGTTCGTCCAGGAATCGAAGACGTCCGTTTGCCAACTCGAGAAGGTGGTCAACGAGCCACAGAATCCTGTAAGTTGCGCGACTTCAGCATAAATCGTCATACGGTGTGCATCTCGTGCTCTCACCCGTTGTGATTCCGGTGTAGAGGGGACCATAGCTAGACGAAATATTGTTAAGTGCGCGCCAGATGGGATAGGACTACGGACTCACAAGTTGCCGAGAGGTTCCTTCAAGCCTAGCGCCGTCCCCATAATAAAGCATCCCAACGCCTGCACGTACGCGAGAGGGAAGATGCTCTCCCCGTCATATTTCGCGATGGCTAGCAATCCTAGACGCCCGAGCACGCCGAGGATAGATCCAGGGATCAGGAGGCAGATGACATGAACAGAGTAAGGGCCGTAGATCTTTGCTGGCGGAAGGTGCTCTTGCTCGCTGGGCGGACGGTCTATGGAACCAACCGACTGATCGTCTTCGGAGGCCTGCTCGCTATGATCGGCACGTTCTGCGACGCCGCCGTTCTGTCGTTCCTGGTCTTTCTCCTCTGCGGCGTTCTCTGCATCCCGCTCGAGCTCAGCGGAGACGCCCATGGGCGGACGTGACTCTGGTCAGAGCAGGGTGATCATCGTGCACGGCGGCGGCTAGACAGCGCTAAACTTGGAAGGTTTTGTCGAGAACGCGTCCAAGAATAACTCCCCTCTTCCGGTCCGCGAGTGCCGCGAGGCGCGCGTCGAGCGAGGTCAAGCACTTGACACTTGTGTCGACCGCCATCATTCAGGGGATGCTCACTTGGCTTTATACCCTCATCGCTGCCTTGGGTGCGTACGCGACGATGAGCATGTTCTTCAGGAAGAAGTGGGATCCCAAGGGCTTGGTGCGTGACCGCTCCCCCGCGATGCATATCTGCCAATGAGCTTGTAGCACTGCTACGTGACCGGCGGCTCGCAGGGCCTGGGACTTGAGACGGCCAGAATTCTTGTACAGAAGGGCGCCGACGTGACTATCGTCGCTCGCGGTGTTGACAACCTCAAGGAGGCCGCTGCTGAGTTGGAGGTACGCGATACTCTTCCCCTGCTCACACGAATGCTGACCGTCTCGCAATCTCCAGAAATCGAAGCAACGTCCCGAGCAAAAGATCCACTGGCTCTCACACTCCCTTACTTCCGCCAAAGAGTCAGAACAGGCTCTCGATGAGGCTGCTGCATTATATGGAGGGCGCTGCCCCGACGCGCTCTTCCTGTGTGCCGGCGCGTCCGCCCCACGCTTCTTTATAGAGGAGACAGAAGAGACGCTACGCCAGTCCATGGACAACGCGTACTGGATTCAGGCATGGACCGCACATGTATGTATCCTCTATTCCCCCCATATCATCAGCTTACATTAAGTAGGCCGGCGTGAAGCGTATGGTGCGAGAGAAAGTCAAGGGGAAGATTGTCCTTGTGTCCTCTATCCTCGGTTACTTTGGCATGGTCGGCTACACTAGCTATGCACCCGGCAAACACGCTCTCCGAGGTGGGCAGGCAGTTTATCTGCCCTCGCTTGCGTACTCACCGAATACTTTGCAGGCCTTGCGGAAGTCCTTCGCTCAGAGTTCGTGCTCTACGACATCGCGATACATATTTTCTTCCCCGGAACCATTCTCTCACCGGGGTATGAGCGCGAGAACGTCACGAAGCCCGCTATAACGAAGAAGCTTGAGGAGACGGATGATGGCCTGTCGCCGGAGGCCTGCGCAAAAGGTCTCATACAGGGTAAGCTTCCTTCCTCACCGATTTCACCTCAACATCTCAGTAATACACTCGCTGCCTTCTGCCCTCCCTGTCATTTGACTAACTTCGGTTTTCTAGGCGTGGAAGCTGGACACTTCCACATAACATGCGACCTGCTCTCCAACATCTTTCGCGCTTCTACGCGAGGGAACACCCCGCAGAACAACTTCATCTTGGACCGTGTATATAGCTTCTTTGGATTTGTGAGTATCTCGCATCATCCACAAAATGCCCGTTAACGCGCAAATGTAGGTTGGCTTGCCTATTTGGCGGTGGACGGTCGACCGCGAAGTACGCGCACACAAGCCGGAACACATGCAATACGTAGCGGAGCATCTGGGCGACGGCGCGAGTTCGTCGACATCCAAGTGATGCCTCCCGTCTCGGCGCGACGTGTAGACCTAGTGTACTCTTTGCCTAATCCCAGCCACTACCGGAGTTTGCGCGTGGCTTCTGCCGCCCATCCTAACTTCTTGACGGAAGCAACAGGCACTCGACGCATACAATGATTGGAAGGATGGAAGGATTCAGACAACAAAGGGATCGTATACAGGTAATCGGAGTACAGGAAGTATGTCTGAGCGTCGCGAAGCTCAACCCGCTTGGAAGAGAGCAGGGCCAAGCATTATAAACGCCAATTCCATCGTGGTCCTCTCCATTAGGAAAGCCAGTATGGCGGCGTTGATACTGGCTGCCTTGGTTTGAGGACCGTGATTGTAAGATGAAGAAAGGCATGAGCAGCGTGAAGTTTTTATATGAGCGCTTTACTTGAGGGTAGGTTCCGGTGAGTGCCGAGTACGCATGCATGGTTCGTTGTCACGGTCGGTCGTCCAGCTCGTCCGTGTCCTTGCTTGTCTCTCTCGGTCGTTGACGAATGGACAACGTCTCTTAAGCAATGCGCAAGGCTATTACTCTGCTCACCGCGTGAAGGACCTGCTCGGATGCCGACTCTCCTGCATGAAGCCATCGCGGCGTTCCCACTTCCGAACAGTCTTCCTGGCATGTCGCCTTGAACTACCACTCGCCGAATGAATGCCCGACGCATGCTTGATCAGTCCTCGAAGATTTCCTGGCCCGAGTGGAAAGAATGAACCTCGTAACACTCTTCCGGTCTTCTGCTGCTCCGCTCTCTTCTCAATCAATCCTCACACGCCTAATGAATCGGACGGGACGGGATGAGGCGGCCTCCGTAAACACCAACAGGCTCCTGGGCCGGCCCGTCGCTGATTATCATCTCCCGACGGTGTAAGGAAAAGGCTGCTCGGGGTAGTAGACGATGTCTACAAAAGGTCTCAGACGCGAGGGTCTCCCTATCTGGCTCTTGCAATTGACCATCTTCTCTGCACATCGTGACACAGATGAGCGCAATCCCGGACGCGTACTACTACACCTTTGGTGTCTACGAGCCTCTTCTTACTTTTCTGGGCTTTGCCGGAGTGCTCGTAGACCCTAAAGCAGTGAGTCCCCTATACCTTGCTGCTTCCCCACATCTGAAATTGGCCTGGTTAATATAGGCTCACGACTCGCAAGCGACTGACCATGCGCATGGTGGACCACTTCCTCGAGCCACGCTCGTCACCATGATTCAGCTTGGACACGCCTGCGCGCTCTTGGGTCTCCTCAACGCCTGCATCCTACGCGCCCTGCGTACCCATCTCGGACATATCCCTGCGCTACAAGAACGCATTGCGGCCGCCCTCCTCACACCCCTTCTCATCGGAGATGTAGTGCACACAGCACTGACTCTTTGGGCGCTTGGCGAAGCGCGGTGGAACTTCGCCGCCTGGAGTCCCACAACCTGGTGTACCGTCGTCTTGGGCTTTACCCTGCTAGTCCCCCGTGCAGCATGGGTAGCAGGCGTCGGACGATACGTAGACACTCGAGACGGGGCGTACAGGAAGATGGCGGACGTGCAGACAGGTTCCCCTTCAGACAAAGCAGTCGAATCGACCCATGCATAGATCTAAAATCACCCGGGCATATAATTGTACATTCTGCTCACTATAATCAGTAGTACACGACGAGGAATACAATAACAGGTCGCAATCCGGGCGAGGGTAAATAATGGGCGAGACGGGTATGAGAAGGATATCTAGTACGGAGAGTTCACGACAGACGAATAGCTAGTGACACCTGGCGGTGCGAGAGACTGTCGCGTAGGTCGCTTCAGGTTCTTCTTGTTGGTCTGGACGAGGTTGTTCGACAGAGCAACGATCTAGAAGGACATATGAGAACTAAGAATATGGGAAGAGGTAGTGCACGTACAATCTCCTTGTCATCGCCGAACCGGAAGTTGTCCTGCACGACGAAGTCCTCGAACTTCTTGATTTCGTAGTTGTTGAGCTGCCCCTTCTTGACCTTCTTGAAGTCCCATGCTACGACGAACTGCCCAGTGGACGTGACAATCGCATTCTCCTCCTGTCCCTCGCCGACGTTGAACCTGCAAAGATCGTCAGCGAAAGCAAGACAATGATTTCCAGAGCACATACTTCGCAGGGCTGAAGCTGACGTCCTGGTTCATGTACGCGACATGCTCTGGACGCAGCTGCAGTCGACGCGGTATAGGCTTCGCGTTCGCCGGGAAGCTCCTGTCGAAGCCCAGCTGCCCAGCGTATCGCCCTTCGCCAATGAGCGTGTCAATGAGCAGCAAATACGTCTTCGTCGTCGCAACGATCCACCGCCCATCCGCCGTCACGTCGATACCGATGATCGGGTCACCCAACGGCGGCAGCGCCGTCTTCGCGTTCTTCCCGATCGTGTCGAACAAGCGGATGTCGCCCTTCTCGCTGGCGACGGCGAGCTTGCCCGAGCCGGTGGTCGTGACGCCAGAGAACTTGTTCTTGCTGACGTACTGCTTGAACTGCGAGTCGACGAGCTTGTTACCGGATACACGAGGGTCGACGCGGAAGAGGGCATTGTGGGAGGCGCCGACGAAGGTGGACTCGTGTGTCGCACCGGCGAACTTGTTGTCCGGGGCGATGTGGCCAACCTGGATGTCGTCGTGCACCTTCCATTCGTCGACGATCTGGCCGCGCTCGACGTCCATGCTGTAGAGCTTGTTGGGCTCGGTTGGGTTGGAGATGATGATCTGAGCGTCCTGGTTGTGCAACATGATCTAGACAGACCTTGTCAGCGTGGTGATGCTAATGAGGACACAAAGCTCAAATCACCTGCTTCGGCTTGAAGTCGGCACCCTTGGGAGTCTTGACGGCGCTCGTATGTCTGTACTTAATGTTGCGACCGTCTTGCGACTCGACGAAGATACCGATGTTCTTTCCTCTGACAATGAACGCCTTGTCGCCCTTGTAGCCGACAGTGAGCTGCTCGTTGCGGTCCTTGCCAGCCATCGATGGTCGGGACTCGTCATCATCTTCATCATCCTCGGTCTCCTCCTCGTCGCTGGACTCTGTATCGCGCATGAGACCCAATTCAATGCAGCACATCACCGATGACATACCTTCATCAGGGTCCAGCACTGCGCCAACCTCCTCCTCGTCCTCTTCGTCATCCTGCACATCCACCATCTCGACGTCGTCGTTGGAATGCAAGACATATTGCTGCTCGTCGACCTGCAAGTCTGTCAGCCTCGACTTAGTAGAATGTACAGTATGCACTGGCCTTCATCTTCTCCCATGGCGCCTGATACACGGTCTCCCAAAGCGCCTTCATAAAGACCTCCTGGAAAGTAGCAAACGCCTCCTCGGTCGGGAACCTGAACAGCCAACTAGTCGCCTTCCCATGCTCTGGTATATTGTTCCAGGTCAAGGAGGACATCTTGGGTGACCATCGCTGGTTCATCTCCGTCTTAATCAGATGCTGCAACAACAAGCGCCCATTGACTTCCGCGGCCAGATAGAAGACGTAGATCCCGCTCTTGGGTTGGAGTATGCGCGCGGTCACGATGCCCTGATTCTCGAACTCCTCTTTGTCCCAATCCCAGTGGTAGAGCTCAGCCTCTGTCGTGACGAGCTCGATCATATCGTTTAAGACGGCGGAAGAGGTCTCCGGCTCAGGTGCCTTGCCCTTCGGTGCAGGTGGCGATGCCTTCGGCTCGTCGACGTTGAGGGATTGCATAGCAGACTCGAGCTCTGCAGTCACAGCAGCAGGTGCAGGCGCGGAGGCAGCCACTTTGCTCGTAGACGGCGACGTGGCCACCTTCTTCTTCGACGCTGCCTTCTTCTGCTTCTTCTGCGTCTGCGGAGGCCTTAAGGAGGTAAGTCTGACGTCACAAGGCGATACTGTCCTAGCATGGCACTCACCCGCGAATGAACTCCTCGAGCGCGGAGTCGGCGACGTTGTCGGCGCTCTTGCGGTATTTGCGCTCGTACATGGCGCGGTACATGCAGGTCTCAAAGAATGCCCGGGTGGGCTCGTTGCAGCCCGGGGCGGTGAACTCGAAGAACTCATCTGGATCGCCTTGAAGATCGCGCCACACGAAGGTAGGGTCGCCTTCGTTCTCGGAGGTGTAGAAGTCGAGCTCCTCGCCAATCAGAAAGACACGCTCTTCATCGGCTGTGACAAAAGGAGAGAGGATTAGCTTCATGGACATATGGCAGGGACGATCACGCACTTTCATCTTCGTCCTCGAGTAGCTCTTCGTCACCCTCTTCGTATACACGAGTTACTACAAGCTGAAAGTTGTGTTCCACTGAGGGCACACGACGAATGGTGGCGATAGCCTCATTGTAACTGTGCATGCAATGATGAACGGCAAGTTATGAGGATTTAGTGGAGCGGACGTACATGCACTCTCTTGACGTTCGTATTTGCTGGTCTGGACGAAGGAGGTAGAGTTGTCCGCTCGAGATCTTGACGACCTCTTCTGCGTTCGGGTCTTCTGAAAAGAACATGAGTTCTGACTGCTACAGTGCCCGATGGCTGTCACGTACGCCAGACTTTGCCAATCACTATTCCAAGGATCGTTCAGATGTTGATTGTGGCCTGAGGATTCATTGGACTCACAGGAGCGGAAGATGTTCATCGCGCAGAGTTGGGGAGGCTAGCCACTATCGCAAGCGATGACCGGCGCTGATGGGGAGAAGAATGAGTGCGATCCAAGCTCGTCGCGGTGTGACTTCGACACGTGATGCTGTCTTGAAGAATGCAGTCACACCACGCGCCCTGATCCTGGTCTGCCTGCGCCACGATCCGAGCCGTACCTGGCCCGAGACGATTGGCCGCTGGCGCATTCACTTGTCTGTACTTCCTGCAATGTCGAATAATCCCTTCGCCAGCGGGCGCTCCACCCCGGCGAGAGCGCAGGTGAGCGACCAAGTGTACTTCTGAGCGGCATTCTGACGATTACCAGTCTGCCAATCCCGCATCGCCCACCCAGAGCACATTCTCGGAAACCAGCGGTATCAATCTACAGCCTGCCACAAGTACGCCGCGATCGGTCTTCCGGGGTACGGCCAGCACCTTCGCAACACCCAGCAGCAGCGTGCGCATCCGCGCGGACCCCAGCATCGCGACCTGCTTTGATCCATCCGACAAGGAGCTCTACGCATTGTGGGCCCCGAGGGCATGACGTTGACAGACTATCTCGTAGGCGCCCAAGTTGCGACCGTTGTTGACATGTGCGGAACCAGAATATAAAACCTTCCTCTTCGGGACGCGCGGGATCGATCCATCAGCGGGGAGTTAGCCGCCCGCTGGGCAGGGGCTTGAGACGCGCGGAGCACGGGCTGCCATGGAGTCCAGCAATCGGCTCCCATCCTTGCCCTCCTACGCCCATCATGCCCACACTATCTTCTTTGCCAGTTCGTCTATTGTATACGTTAGGCGCGGTCGTGCTTCTTGCTTCGCGTGCAGAAGCAGCGCGCGCGTTGGACATACCCTGCCCAGATCCCTTCACCGATCCCAAGAATGACATCTGCAATCCTCTGCGGTACATACCCACTACGGCCTTAACGGCGGTATCCTTCAGTGCGTTGCAGGCCATCACTCTTTCTACACAACACTCACTCGAGCTCAGGCCTCATCCTCGCCGTCGGTATTACTCAGACGCTGTGGACATGGAGATACGGTGCAAAGTGGATGATGGCAATGACCATAGGCTGCTACAGTGCGTCGAGATTCCTTGTTCTAATCAACACGAATTCATGATCGGTAGCCTTCGCCGTTGGCCTTGCCCTCCGCTTCGGCCTCCATGATGACCCGCAGTCAACAGGCATCGTGCGTAGACTCAGGAAATGACGCGCCTTTGTCACCCTGACACCTCCCCAGTACATCGCTTTTTACCTTTTGACTGTGCTATCGGTTCGTTGCCTCATACAATCCCTCGAGGACTTCATCCTGACACCTGTTCCTCAGCCATGCGCGTTCATCGCTGCCGACTATGTGTTGCTCGGACGTATCGCCAGAGCTCTCGGTTGCGGACAGTACCTTGCCATCTCCCCACGACGCATCACCACTGTATTCGTCACCTCCGACATCACGACTTTCCTCATCCAGGCCGCGGGAGGTGGTCTATCGACTTCTGGCAAGAAGAATCCCGAGCTATCCTTGACGGGCTCCCGAGTGTGTTTACCCTTTATCCTCTGGATCGCGAGCTTATGATAATGCAGATCTTCCTGGCTGGCTTGGCCTTGCAATTGGCTTCGTTCGCCGTCTTCACGTTCATCTACTTGCTGTTCCTCTACCGGGTCTACAAGCACAAACCGTCAGCTTGGAGCCAGGACAAGGGAATGCCGTGGTACAAGAACTGGCTCTCGCTTGCCGGGGCGCTGTCGCTCAGCTGTGTTGGTATTCTGGTGCGTCACAGGCCCATACACTTACGCTATCGTTTAATCAGCGCGTAGATCCGTTCTGTCTACCGTACCATTGAACTCTCTGAGGGTTTCAACGGCCCGCTCGCTACGAACGAAGCCTTGTTCTACGGCTTGGACACGTTGCCTCTTTTCATCGCCATCGCCGTCTACATCCCGTTCTGGCCTGGGCGGTACCGCTTGGACGATGCCGCGGCAGCGAAGGAGCTTGCGGAGACGACGATAGTCGGCAACGAGAACAAGACATCGCAGGAAGGAGTCAGTCATTAGAAGGACATGTCCCGGTAGGGGATATTGGGTAGATATTTGGGTATGTGTACTGGCCGTTACTATACAGGCCAAGGAAGATATTTCTATACAGCTATATACGTTCCTTACTGTAATACCCGCATATAGTATTGTGGAAGCTTTGCGTATCTCTTCAAATGAGCAGCCACGCCTGCTTTGCAGGTTATCGTTCATTGAGCTCCTACCACCTCCGGCTACTCGGTTACTCAAGCCGGGGTAAAGAGATGCGGGGTACTTTGATTCCGATCAAACTCAACCTCCGAAGCTTGCATCCGCCTCTCATGTCGTCAACTTCGCGTCCGGGCCCTTCACGAGCAGGCGGTGCTAGCAACTTGCTCAAGTACCATAGGCCGAGGCAGAGCTTAAGGCCTGGTATCAAGGAGCATATTCCTGTCTTGACGAGGGAGTCGAGATTGTGAGTGCAGTGTCCTGTTCCCCGCATCCCACGCAGGACGCCATACCGTATTTCACTCCTCCAAGGAATAGGGTGTAATAAGAATGATTATGAACCGTCCCGATCTAGGTGCTTAAAAAACCTCGCGTCCCATAAGCCGCGATTTCTACACCATGTCATGAAGAAAGTTCCCCGTGAGCGCTGTGCTGCCGTCCTGGTCGCTCTGTTTGTCGGGCGCAAGGGAGATCTATATGTACTGCTGAGCAGGTGAGCTTTGACAGTTGCTAGTACTGACGGTGTCATATATACTCATGCCAACGCAGACGGTCCAGTACGCTGCGGACCTACGCTGGGGACACCTCGCTGCCGGGAGGCAAGGTAGAAACAACAGACAGATCCTTCGAGGACACCGCGGTGAGCATAACATACTCAGGGCAACATATGTGCCGCTCACGTTTCAGCGAAGAGAAGAGAGGCATTTGAAGAAGTAGATTCGTGGTCCCGTGCCACATTCGTGCCTATTCATCGTTGCGCAGATTGGTCTGCCCCCAGATAAACAGAAAGTATTGCTCCTTTGTACTCTGGATCCGTTCCTTGCAGGTAACGCCCTTGTAGTTGTCCCGTGAGTGATGACGCCCTCTTTTACCTCCTCCAGATGCTGATTCCATGCTCCCAACAGTGTCGTCGTTCTGGTCCTCGACAAGACAATTCGCGTACGTATCAGCGCGGAGGAGCGCCATGTCCTCTTGAACATCTATAACTGATTTACAGCCTATCCTCAACGCCTCCGAAGTCGCCCAGCTCTTCTCCCACCCTCTCGCCTCCTTCCTCTCAGAAACGCCTCCCTACTCGGAAGCAGAGCTCTCCGACATGATACCCTACCACACCACGGTCGATTATCCTTGGGAGGGCCCCGGGCCAGGTCCCGCATCGCACCTGGCCATGCCACCCCCACCATCCACACTCTCACCAGATCCGCACGCAGACGTGGATCTCCCTGAGGACAGTTCACCGCACAAGCGCAAGCGCCGTCGCATGATACGCATGCATCGATTCTTGACAGGGCGAGAAGCAGGAGGAACGAAACCGGTCTTTGGCTTGACTGCGTGAGTGTCATGCTTCCTGCCGTGCATCCTTTCTCTCCGCGGCTGCCAGGACACTGTGCTTCTACGCTATAATGATTGGCAAAGTGACTAATCACATCTAGTGCCATCCTCATCCACACCGCCAGCATAGGCTATGGGCGTAAACCGGACTTCGAGGTCAATCCGCCCGGAGCACCAAGCTGGCGAGAACGAATCGAGTGGGCGCTGGCGAAGCATCCCGGTTTCCAGCTTGCGCACAGCCAATCAACCTCTAGTCGATCGAAGAGGGAGTCCAAGTTATGATAGTTGTTCAATCGCTTGGCGGCACACCTGCTGTCGGCACGGGAGGTGCTGGCTTTCGTCGAATCTCAGCGTGTATATTCGACCTGGGATGACTGTCATTCAATATATAGTACATGAATCCTACGAGACGTGATTGTATATAACGATCGGAACTGAGGTGGGCGAACGGATATGAGAACAATGGGACAGCGAGAGCGAGGGCGTGCGACGACTATATCTAGACTTGTGGGTCGCCTCAATGTAAGCAAGGACATACGCCTCGTAAGCTGAGATTAAGACGATGGACGAGTAACAGGGATGAGATCGGGAACAAGGATAGGATCAGGAACAATGTCGAAATCGGGAAACCAGGCTGAGATCGGAAGCGGGATAGATACAAGTACATAGGCAGGGGAGGAACTGCATTATATCTTACAAATGTGCGGATGTACGCTGACTGCAGGGCTTGATCTATCACCTCGCCTGGTCGTGGTCTCCGGTGCTGACCCAGCTCGACGCAGAAAAGGAGACCTCGCTGCCGGTCTCGAGCTCGTCGGCCCATGAAGACATGTTGGACGGCGTGGGAGACTGTATGCGGCTGAGATCGGACGATGTGTTGCGCGATACGGCGCGGGGGCCTGCGAACAGGTCGTCCTCGTCGTCAGAGGCGGAGAAGATCGTACCAGGTGCGCTCGCGTAATTGGACGTAGACACCGCGGCCGAGGCCGCGAGCAGATCCTGCGCCGACGCGAAGGGGTCCCGTGCTGGGATGACTGGGCTGCCGGCGGGGAAGGAGGCAAAGGACGACGTGGGCGAAGGCGCGCGCGAGGACGTCAGAGTCTCCGCACGCGAGGGCGCACGAGTAGAAGCAAGTGAGCGAACCTCAGAAGACGCGACGGATGGCGCACGGGAGAGGGAAGACGCCGACATGATGTCAAGGTCGATCGAGGCGGCGAGGGGGTGAGACATGGAGAGCGACTGCACATCGCCGGCCTGAGACTGCGGGGCGGAGGAGGCGATCTGAGGTTCCGGGACTGGCTGCTCTGCGGGGAGAGGCTGGAGAAGAGGGGCAGGGGAGGGCAACTCGCGGACGGATGCCGCTGGAGTCGGCAAGCCCTGCGACGATGGGCTACTGGTCCTGAATGTAGGCGAAGAGGGGTCGCAAATGACATGCGTTGGCACAGCGCGGATAGGCGTCGGTGTCATGGGCTCGAATGGGATCTGCGGGGAATAGATTAGTAACGCCACAGCACGAGGCACTGCGTGCATTGCTCACGTCGTCGACGCTGGTATGCAGCTGAGGCTTCCTGCGGCGCAGCGTACTGCGCTCTACTTCTTTGCGCCACTCGTGTACCTCCTTCGTTACCATATTCTCCAACTCGAACGACCTCTTATCGTCGAACGAGTCTGGGGCGACACCGTCACTCTTCTTGTCATCTAGACTCTCCGCATCGAAGTACGCTGCTTCATACGGCCTGGCTAGAGTCCTGGAGCGGGCCCTTCGCCTGCGCTCGAGGAAATCCTCTGCCCATCGCTCAACCTTGGGTGCGATATGGGGTTCGTATACGAACTGACGACCACTATCAACGAGGGGCCTAGGGTTTGAGTAATCTACGCACCTCCTTGAACGCCAGCCCAGCAGCGACCGTCCCGAGGATGGCAATCACATAAACCGCAGGAGTAGGCATAACGAGGGTCGGTGAGCTGATGGGAAGATACAAGGAGGATGAGGCAAGCTCACGCCCCTCTCCCGTGCACTCGGCTCATTCATGATTCGGCCATGTGCTAGGGTTAAGGTTGGTGATTCCATCACTCCTGTTTGATCGCCGTTCGGCACATTCCGTCTGCCTTCGAAGTTCAACTTTGCAGACGGACCTCGGTCTCGAGGTGGCGATGGAGGGACCCGAGGGGCTGAAGCACAGTGGGTGGTGTCTCCAACGTATAATCAAATGTAGGCAGTCTCCCTCTCGAGGGCGCACGTTGAAATGAAGAGGCAAATCACCGGAATGTAGGCGGTGCACTGGCGAGGCTTCCGAAGTTGCATGTCCGAGGTTCAGTTATCCCAAAGTTATTCAGATAGCGGAGCTGCAAGTTCAAAGGACTCAGCATGAGTATTCAGAGCGTCCGAGGGCCCGCGTAGGACCCTTCAGTCACTGGGGCGCGCGGCCTCCAGCCGGGTGACTTGTCAGCGTGATGACAAAAATTTACAAACAAGAAACGCATGGGGTTCCTTCTGCCGCAGAGTTGAGATCCAGACCAGTTTGTGCAATCTTCGTCTTGCCCTCATCACCATCGCCGTCGTCGTCCAGCGCCCGTCCTTGAGCAGCGGTGTCCACATTCGTCGTCGTTAAATGGAAGACTCACTCGCTCCACCCGAATCGACGACGACATCCCGCGCCCGCGCATCGTCGGCTTCAACTTTGCGTCCGGCTATTACCATTGACACCCTTGGACGGCGTCGCTCAGGATCCCTGCTGCAGTGTCTCGCGCAGGTAGCGGCCGAGCATCCACCTACGGAGGACGCGAAGTCCGATCAGCATCCGTCTCCAACACAGCCGTCAGACGACGCGCCCCAAACGACGTTTGCAACGTTGTCCGCGCGCCTCTTCTCCTGGTTCCGCCTCCCATCGCGCCACAAGCCCGACTGGTCCTCGCCCTCCTCCCCACGCTCCAGCAGATCCAGTCGCAGCTCAGAAGACGAGTACATACTTCCCATGTCCGCGTCGGCCGTCAAGACGTCCTTCTCGGAAGATGAACTACGGGCTCAAGAGGCCTCGGAGTCCTTCCTATGGCATCTGGGCATCCCCAGCATGCACTCTCCCATCCTCATTGTAATGCTTCTGTTCCCTCTGTCCTCGATTCTCGTCGTGGTCGCGGTGTCAACCCTCCCAATCACGCTCGTATGGCCGCGAACTTTGCAAGACCTCGCGCAATTAGGACGCGACTTGCACGCGTATTCGCAAAGCGGACCCGGGGAGCTCGCGCATGTGTTGGGCGTTCTCTCGGCGACGGCGGTATGGAAGCACGCATGGTCGATTCCAGGAAGTGTCATCTGGGTTCGTCGCCATACCTGTTTCTAAGGTTCATCGAACTGACTGCGCATGCGCTCCACAGAACGTCCTTGCCGGCGCTCTGTTCTCACCGCTGCTCGCCACCATCCTCCTCACCCTCCTCACCACTCTGGGCTCCCTATGCTCGACCCTCCTCGCGACACCTCTTGCTCCTATCCTCACCTACCTCTTCCCCCGCGCATTGGACCTCGTCCGCAACGCCCTCGGAGATCAGTCAGCACCGCTCGACGAGAAAAGGCCAAACGTCATTGCACCCGCCTTGACGCGCGCGGACTCGGCAACCGACATTTCGTATCCGCCGGTCCCGCCCGTGTCAGTTACACCACCCTCTCGGACCGCATCCCCCGCGAACGAAGTGTTCGAGGAGAAACAGCTCGAGGCGGCCCAAGTGGAGAACACGACCCCTACCTGGATTCGCCTGGCGATCCTGCGCCTGATAGGGATCGTCCCCTGGTCAGGGATTAATATCGCTTGCGGTGTTTGTGGAGTTAGCTTGTGGGATTGCATGCTCGGGAACCTCGTCGGTACTCTGCCATGGACAGCCGTGACCTGCCAGGTGCGTGTCGGATGGCTTCTTTGTCCTGCATTTGAACTCATTACCCGTGTCAGGTCGGTGATATTCTGCAGACATTCGCCACGAACCCGAGAGAAGAAGGGATGACCATCTCCTCGTTGCTGGCTTCGCGGGAAATCATCGTCAAGCTCATCCTTCTGAGCGTTCTCTCCCTCGCACCCATTCTTGGACGCGACCGGCTGAAGGCGTGGGCATCAGGAGAAACCACGCAAGGCGTAACGGAGTCGACTTCGAATACCGCGTCGCTCGTTCCCTCGGTCATGTCGACACCGATGTTGGCATACGCGATACCATCATTCGTGTCCAATGGCATCCCGTCCTTCGCGCAGCCCGACCAGGGTAGACAACCTGGCGAGCGCGAATGGCAATGGCGCCGATGGTTCCGCACGCTGAAGCCGGTTCAGCGAGCACGCGATTGGATATCGCAGGACGACGTACAGGGGTGGCGGCGAACGCTGCGGGATCGCCTGGGGCAGCAGCCCACGCAGCGGCAGGTCGACGCACAGGAGCTCCGGACACTCGTGGACGAGAAGCGGCGCATCGAGGGATGGGACTAGTCGGGCTAGTGGGTCCATAAGCTTCGCTCTCCTCCCTACTCAATGTGCCCCTTCTTGTTTGCTGTGCTGCTGTTACTGACGAATCGACACGCCCTATCACGACCTCCCCACCGTGGCATCCGTTGTCTTTATATCGCTTTCGCTAGTCCTCATCTCCATCTACACACCTACGCACCTCTCGCATCCCACACACTGCCCTTTTTATGCATATGCATACATTTTCACCCTGGCGCCACACGGTGGGACGACGACTCGCTGTGGACGACGGCCGCCCGTAGTGGGTGGCGGCGGCTCGCGGTGGACGACGACGACCGGCTAGAAGGAAATACACAAGATGTACATGTACGCTACCCATATTCTTTCGTTCAGCGGCGTGCTGCGTGCTGCGACTCGCCTAATAATTTTGCTTTCCGCTTCCTCGCATGTCGGTTTATACACTATTTATCTTCATGTTCGCTGGTTCATACATTCCTTGGTTTATATGATGCATCTGGATTTTATCATGATTTGGTCTGGCAGAGCGTGAAGGCGAAGGTGTCTAACAAGGAGGCGCAATGGCCCAGCTAGACTGTATTCATGATCAAAGGCAGAGTCAATGTCCTGGCGCAATGCAAGGAATTCCAAGCATTGAGTACTGTGTACTACTACTAAAGCCACTCAGCGAATAAGTTATCGTAAAAGGCCATAAGAAAACGGTAGCTGCCTCGCATCATCATATCCAACCTGCTGGTGGCGGTGGTGTGCGTATCGTGGGCGGCTTGCTCGAGCTTCGCGGCGGTGGCCCATTCGACGACCTGCTCCTATGCCCCGTCGACGACCTCGGACTAGCGGGATACCTGCTGCCCTCACTCGGCGGCGGCGGAGACTTGACGCCCGCGTCAGGTGTCCTTTCATCGCGCACCGTCGTGAACCCTAGCCCCATGCGCTCAAGCCCGCTCTTCTCCGCCAGTGCCGGCAGGCTGTGGACGGAGGCATGCAGGCTCTGGTGCGAGCCGATCATCGTCGCGCTGGCATTGCTGCCACCGCGCTGGTGGGTACGGGTGGGCTGCTGGCGGTGCATGTGCCGAATCTCGTCCACGCAGAGCTTGTAGAGGGGCTCGAGGTCGAGGTAGAGGGCTTCGTCGCGGAGGTCGAGGAGGGCGTCGAGTTCGGCGCGAGGGGAGGGTTGGGAGAGGACGCCGCGAGGCAGGGTTTCCGGCGGGCCGCCTGGTTCTGCCTCGGGGGTTCGAAGGTATGCGAGTATGTGTTCGTATCTGAGAAGTTCGTTAGAAAGATGAGCGGGTCGCGGAATGATACCTCGCTACTCACGGTGAGCTGGGTCTATCAAGGAATATGTGCACATGAGATGCCACCTCGCGCACAAGGCCCATCGACGTGAGATGGTTGCGATACGTGGACATGTCGTCGCTGTAGACGGACGCCGAATCCGTCCTTTCACGCTTCGGTAGCAAGGATTCCACGTAGGTCGCCAAATTCGAAGGTCGAGACATGAGGGTCTGTGCCGTGGTCCGGTATGTCTTTGTGCACGTCTCCAAGGTGACGATTACCCTGCCCAAGTCTGTGGTGCTCGGGCTGCCGGAAAGCTCAGAGACGAGGACAGGTTTGAAGATGGGTGCCTCGGGAAGAGGAACTGCGCTGGGTAGAGGCGGAGTGACGCTCTCGGAGGTGACAAGCAAGGGGGCAGGGGCAGGCTTCAAGAGTGGACGTGGAGAGCTTGGGCCGGGCACAGGGGATTCGGAGCGCGTGAAGGGTGTTGGGGGGAGTGCAGGAGAGGGTACTGGGCGGACAGGCATGGGAGGTCGCGAGCGCATGGTGTGGTCTTGATCGTCCTCTTCCTCCGCAGCCTCCTCTTCCACATATAGATCTGCATCCTCCCCTTCTTCGTATGGCAGAGGCGGTAGCGGGGTCTGCGCTTTGCGCGGCGAGATGGAGGTCTCGTGGCCTTTCTCGTTCCGGCTGGAGTACTTCCTCCGCAAAGCTAGTTGCTTGCCGAGCTCGGAGAGAGGTTCGGATTGCCGGGACAGTTGCTCGCTCTGCAGGCGCACATGCGTCTTCTGCAGAGCCTCCTCTGGGGTCCCAACGATGATAGCGCCGCCGCCAAGTCTTCCGCGTTCCGAGCCATGCTCTATGGACCGCTCAGACTTGTCTTCGCCGCGATGCCTGCCTGGGCTAATGGATGTGTTCGTAGTCGATCGCGACAGCCAACCCATGGGGTTTGTTATGGAGGGTCGTGTCTTATGGCCCTTGGTGGGCATGGTGCGTGGTGCCATAGGAAGGTCCGTGGCAGAAGAGAAGCCATGCTTCGTCGCAAAGCCGCCCGGCTGCCACTCGTCCGGGCGCGCGCTTGCTGAACGTGGTGGGCTCGTCGTCGACATGGTAGTGGTTGCAGGTGAAGGGGGGATACGTGGTCGTGCCGGGTATTGCGTGAGAAAGGTATCTAGATGGCGGGAGAACACAAAAGCATGGCCAGAGTCGGGGATGGAGGAGAACAATGGGGCTGATCCCGAGGAAGCTATCGATCAACATGGACCAATACCCAGTTTTGGGTGCGCCTATTGTTCTCTTTTGTCTCCGACGGCCAGATCAGACATGGACCCCACCTCAAAATTCCAGGAGGCGCTGCACGTCGCTCTGTTACCTGTCGCACCAGGTCTTTCCGCGACTCACGCGACACGATGCAGAAGAACGGAGACACAAGCATCGCTGCAGAATGCGTGCTCGAAATGTGGTGCATACTCCCTCGAGGGCATGGCCCGCATCAGAATATCTCGAAGTCCTTCGCAGGCTAGCGAATGCAAGGCGTCAACTTCCAAAATCTTGACCAAAACATGCGGACTCTGTGGTTGGATAGATACGCTGGCCATCCCACCTCAAAGTAACGCATCCACCTTTCCGAGATTGAAGAGAGGGCGTCGCGTAGGCGCAACCTCAGCACCCCGAGCACCACCTCCACATCCCACTCAAGTACTCGAACCCCCACCTGTTGCCAAACACCGCGAAGTTCCAGCTCCAGCAAGCTCATCTGCGCCAGCCACCTTGCAAGCGACGCGTCCTCGACCCAAGAAGAAAAAGTCGTCTGCTCTGCAAGAAATGCTCGCTCGCAACAAGCAGAACGCCCAGTCACAGTCGAAGGAAAGTAGTGGAGTTGCGCATGGGAAGCTGGCGGCCTTCCTCAGTGATCTGTAGGCAGGCCACAAATGATAGGTAAGCTCGAACACTACCCGCTCAGCGTAAAATTCCCTGACACAAGCATTAAACAGGGTATACCTCATGTGACTGTACTGCCGTATATTCAGTCGCGCCGCTGAATGATTATACCACGCCAACCCGACACGGTGGTTGGCCAATTCATCGATTACTGTATGATAATGCAATGAGCAGTAGATCTCTAAACGCAAGTGCACACAAAAGATAGCGTTGTACATCGCGGGGGTATCCTATACACCAAGTCTGCAACACAACCGTCAGCATTCCCCCTCTACCAATCCATATCGCAGCCCAACGCACCTCTTTTTACTATGCTCATACACGACGTACGATATCGAGACCGACGGGATGACCTTCGCCAGCGTCGGGAACAACCCGCGGTAGAACCCCCGCCAGCCCTCGCGGTTGTACGTCGTGATGACCACGTCCTTGACGCCCGTGTACTTCTGCGGGTGCCCGCTCGACCCACTCGCCTGCAATCGCGTGCGCACGAGATTCAGCGGGTACACGCTCGTCGCGCCCACGCTGCCCGACACGCTCCCGAAGGCGAGCAGCGCCAGCACCCCTGGGTCGTGCCCCGTCGAGCGAATGTATGTGAGCTTGAGCGCCTCGAACGTGGACATGTCGATCGCGGAGTAGGGGAAGACGCCGACGAGGCCGATCTGGACGGTGGGGTTCAGTATGTGCAGAAGGGAAGGATTCGATTCGTTCACGCACGCTGAGCCCGCGATAAAACGCCCGGTAGCCGCCTAGTTTCCACAGATGGCTGATAGCTTGTCGTAGCGTGCGTCTTGAGTCTCCCGTGCTGCTCATCATTTGGGTCTGGGCCGTCATAAATCTGTCTCCTGATAATACAATCGCAAGCAAGATTACCTTCAGGGTTTCTATCGGGTAGATACCTGGGTGATAAACTCGTGAGCACAGCTTGCCGAAGGGGTGGGAAGGACTACTCACTGAGCTGAGCGCTTATGCCGCCGAGTCCTCCACTGAGAAATCTGCTCGTGCCGCTAATATTCCGCGAGTCGTCCACATGGTCAACGTATTGGGCGAAGAAGCGTTTCTACAGGGTATTGGCACGCTATTACACAGTAGTAGCGCGCCACTCACTGAAGACTCGTATGTGAAGAATTTGATCGCGCTCTCAGGAAAGATCTTCGCGACGCTCAAGCCATTACCCGTCCAAAAGCCACGCACACCACCCTCCAAATATATACGAGATGCAGCATGGAAGATTGTCCGTAATGCATGAAGTCCGGGGGTGGGAACACCAGAAACTTTGACGCCGCCGAGGTCTGGTGGACGGGTGATAAGGAATATCTTCAGGCGATCGAAGGGTGCGGTGCATGTTCTGGAGACTGGCCCGCGTTAGCCCTTGTGAGGGGGATAGTATAGAGGAACTCACCTGCTCCCGCGATGCCACCAGCGAGGAGGAAGCGGAGGGCGGTGTAGCCGGCGAGAAGGTGGTGATCATCGGCTTCCTCTTCCTCTTCGTCGTCCTCGAACTCGTCATCAACGTGTTGTTCTTGTCGTTGGGTACCTGGGGGAACGGTCGATGGTGTACATGGGGGCATGAAACGAAGTGCGCACCTGGTGGTTTATCTTCGGCACTCAAGCTCACGTCGCCTGTTGGGGAACTCCGATCAGACGTGCTATACAACGCGATAGCTATTATCGCGCACCTTCCATGTTCACCCGCGCCGGACCGCGCCCGTCATCGCCCATGAGCTTCCTCACTTCATAGAAGCGGTAGATCTCGGTGGGCGATACCTTGACGGGTAATAACAAGAGAAAGTCGCGGAAGTCGGCGAAGGATATAGTATTGGATTGCGATGAGGATGTGAGCGCCGTCATGAGGTCGTTGAGCACAGGAGGGTCGAGCTTGATGCCTGGCAGGGTGCGCGCGTTAGATGACGAAGTAGGCGAGCGGTCCCAGAACGGACCTGATTTACGCAACGCATAGCTGAGCTCATTTGCGTCCAGGTGACCATTCCCGTCCAGGTCGAGCTCGTCATGGAAGACCTTCCAGAGCTCTGCAAGCGGTTAAGTCAGGTCAGCGCCCGCGGCGATCACGCAGGCTGGCCAATGACGCACCCTCTTCCTTCGCCTCCGCGTACTCCTTGAACGTCCGCCAGCCGATGTTCCCGCCGCACTTCTTGAGGAACTCGGCGTCGTACCGGGATTTGAGCCGCTTCGCGCGCTCGGGCGTCCAGTGCTGCTCGTCGACGGGATGACCATCGGGCGCGTCGTGATTGGCTTCCGGCGGGGATTGCAGGAGGCGCTGGTAGAGGTCCTGCAGGCGGCGTTTCCGGAGATTCCGGCCTTCTTGAAGGCGGAATTCTTCGAGGGTATGAGGTAGGGGGCGGTATGGCTGCTTGTCAGGGCGCGAGGAAGTAGAGGGTGCAGATAGCTGGACACCGCTTATCCTTCTGTCAGCAGGCTGGCTGCCCGAGGCCGAGGAGGAGGATTCCTGAGAAGTAGAGCTGCGGCCTCCACCGTCAGGAAATGCCATGAAGACACCAGAGATGTACTCTGTAATTCGGAGGGGGACGCGTCGCGTTCGGCGCGTATGATAACCACTCGGGCCAGGAGGAAGAGCTTAAAGACGCAAGCCTAGGAAGACTGTTGTATGCGAGTGTCCCCTTCACAGAACGAGGAGAAATGGGGGCAGCAGCTGAGCGCAGGAGTACACAGTCAAGAGAGATTCATGACGGCGCCGTCATAGTTTCCACACGTGCTCGGCGAACCGTGGCAGAATTTCCGGCTTACCGCTCTCGGAGGTCGACCTCGACGATCATCATCCTCCCAACAGTTCTTCGCGCAAAGCACATCCCTCTTGCGCATAACACGATTTTTTTGTCCGTAAACATCCAATACGCGAGGGTGGGAACGATCCTGGATCCTAAGATTGACCTGCACTTCGAATGAGGTTCCGCGATCGGGCTCAATAGGCTGGCAAGGGCTCCATGGGGCAGACGGGACCTCTGGGTGCGCGCAAAATTCCTGCGAGCGGAAGTGGAGGAACGCCGCCTGTCTCAATGGCTAGCAGGAAAAGTTTGCGTATCACAGAGAGCCGCGCATACAGAGTTAATTCCTCATCGCATACACAGGAAAGCACCTACTCCCGTGTGTCGCACGCTAGTAGGCTATGGCGGACATGCTTTCACGCTCGCAATTGAGCTTGGTCAGGACCCGCGTAATCAGTTCCGAGGCATTCCCCTCAATCGGCGGGCAAACTCTCGTGTAATCGGACGTTGGAATACCACGGTTATGCTGCAACAATACTCCAGCGATTTAGGTTCCGTGGCAATCCTAGGTATGTGAAGTGCTACTGACGTATATGCGAGATAGAGGAGCGAGCTGATTGAGGCAGGATAGCCGTGGCGTGTCTTTGAACGCGCCCCAACTGGGGGTGCGCTTGACCCGACTCCTTACTGCTCACCCTCCTCTACTGGGAATATTCGAATCATTCTGTTCTTCCTGTCACTCCTTGAAACGCAATGCGACCTACGGTGTATTCGCAGGCAATGTATGGGACAAGTATGCTTCTTCAACGATGCGTGCAGCCTATCTGCGATCGGCGTATCAGCAGACCTTCTGCGGTGTCTAGATTAGCAAGACGCTGCCTGCATAAGGATGGTCAGGGAAGTCACGCAGGGGGTGGGGTGGGGTGGGGCCAACTGACTCTACGCAAGACGAAGGTGATGTGGTTTGGGAGGAATGTGTGGGCGACTCGTTCTGCGGTGGGAAAACCTGCATTGAAGGTGTCTTGGTGGCAGGGAGAGGTAATAGGGCGGCGTGCGGTGAATATTGATTTAGTTCAAGCGATCCATATCTTTCTACTGACTCGAGGAATATCGCAGAGGTCGCCCACTGATGGCAGGTAGATCTGTCATCTTCGAACAAGGTCTCTAACGAGCCGGGGCACGCCGTAGCCAAGCCGTGGTCCATCAGCTTCCGCCTTTGACGACCGCATTTGGAACAAAGGGCAGGGACCACAGGTCATGTGCCGTCCGTGCATCAAAGAAGGGACCGAGCGTATATCTTCCCCACGCTCTTCCTTCCTTCCCACTCCCATCTGCTCTCCCCTTTCCTCTCTCTTTTCCCTTCTCATCTCTCTTAGCACATCCTACTCGACATGGCCACCCGTGGACGTGGACGCGGAGTCAGTACGAACCCTCGAGGTGAGCCTTCGATCACGGCGCTTATTGTCGTCGCTCACGTACTTCCTGTAGGCGCCTCCCTCGTTGGTCGCCGCGGTCGCGGAGGTGGTCCCGCTGTTGTGCCACTCGGTGGCTCCGCATCCCTGAACGGCAAGGCCGGCCGTCCTGTCAACATCAATCCCCATGTTACGACAGTCGGCGTCAAGGTGAGTGCTATGCTCCCAACATCGACGCGTTCCCCCCTCCCAAGCTCCACCGACGCACCCTTGAACCTCTGAGGTGGCTACGATTTGTTGAGGGGTCCAATTGTACGCGTCGACACCATAGACGGCGCGCACGTCGTCGTCGTGGGCGTAGTGTGGCGTCCTTGTAGAATATTTCTTCCCGGCGCTTATGAGATTGGGCGATTGATGGTGTCGGCCACCCATCCTTCATCGCCGCGAATGACGTCGACATGTTGCTGACGCTACCCAGCGTCCCAACTTTGGCACCGCTGGACGGTCATTGGAGGTCTTCGCCAACTCGTTCGAAACTTCGTTGCCGGAGGGTATCATCCATCATTATGACGGTGCGTGCCTATACTTCCTCGAGGCACTGCATGCCCCGAGTGCCGATCGTTCGTATGCTGATACTTCGTCCAGTTGGTATGTGCAGTCACTCTTGACACATGAGGCGGCGCTTAATCACTCATCTAGTGATACATCCCGACGAGAAGACCCTGCCTGCGAAGCTCAACATGCGCCTCATCGAATTCCTTCAGAAGAACGTCGCTCTTGGGATGTTTACCCCACCTGCCGTATACGACGGGCGCAAGAACCTGTTCGCCATTCGCGCGCTGCCGTTCCCAGGAGGGGCGGAGTCGCATGATGTATGCCAATGACTCACACTCTCTCACTACTTAGCTGATCTTGCGTTCTCAGTTCAGCTTCACATTCGGTGATGACACTGGTCATCCGCCGAAAGACTTCACCGTATGGTTGACGAAGGTCGCGGAGATCAACCCCGAGTGCGCTGGATATGCCCCCTGACCACTTACGCATACTCATTTCCATTCATCAGGACATTGCGCCGTTTCATCGTCGGCAAACAGAGCCATGATAATCACGTCCTCACTGCTATCACGGTGAGTTCTACCTCTAGTCAATGCTGCTCGATACTGATATGTACAAAGGCTCTGAACGTCGTCGTTCGCATGCAACCTAGCTTGACCTATCCGTGCAACGTGCGGTTTGCTCCGCTATGCCCTCTCAAAACCCATCTAATGCCCTGCAGACTCGGTCGTTCTTCACCCCTCATGAGGTCTCCGCCATCGGGGGCGGCATCGAACTGTGGCGCGGGTACTTCCAAAGCGTCCGTCCCGGCATCGAACGGTGCTTCATAAACGTCGACATCAGCACCGGTGCTATGTTCCGCGGCGGATCCCTCATCGAGCTCGCCCTCGACGTCCTTGGCCGCCGCCCGAACGACATCACGGTCCTCTCCCCCAAGAACGGCCTCCCGATCCGCGAGGTCATTCGCCTGCAGCGGCAGATCGCCGGCGTGCGCGTCACAACGGGCGTCCCAGGCGCGCCGCCGAAGACGCGGACCGTGAAGAAACTAACGACGAGCGGGGCGTCGCAGCTGATGTTCTTGAAGGACAAGCAGCGAATCTCGGTCGCCCAACACTTCCAGTCCCTCGGGATAAAGTTGAAGTACCCAGATCTCATATGCGCGGAGGTGAGTCTGTCGAGAAGCATTGGTCCGATGTTGTTACTGAGGCGGATGTAGGTTGGCAATGGCGCCCTTATTCCGCTCGAGTTGTGCCGTGTCCCGCCTGGACAATTGATGCGCAAGCAAGTCCCGGCGGACAAGACGGACAAAGTTGTCGAGTTTGCGACGCAGCCGCCCCAGCAACGGATGCGTGCGATTCAAGATGGCCGTGCAGTATGTTGCTGCGCCGCGAGCTGCCTTTCACTGGGCTAACATGTATGTGCGTAGGTGCTGGCATACGGCCAGTCAGAGTACGTTCGGGCCTTCGGCCTGAACGTCAACACGGAGCAAGGCCTTGTCAAGGTCAACGCCCGGGTCCTTACCCCACCCAAGCTCCAGTATGGTAAGGGCTCGAAGCAGGCAACGATCCAACCCAAGGACGGCGCGTGGAACATGTAAGTGTCATGGTCGTTGTCCCACATCCTCATCCCTGACCTTGGTGCACAGGATCGACAAGAAGTTCTACGTCGCGCAGACTATCACGCAATGGGTGATCGTCAATTTCGAGGGTCGCTTCAACGACAACTTGATGGAGGAGCTCATCGCCGGTTTCGTGGGCGCGTGTCGCGAGGTCGGGATGGATATACCGAGTCGGCCCATCCACAAAGTACCCAGGGCAAATGGGCAAGCTAGCATCAGCAAGCAGCTCGACGATGCCCGCGAACAGTGCCAGAAGTAAGTCGCCGTCCGTTGAGGTTGCGGGTACCGGTCTCACACGCAATCAGAGCTAAAGGGGTCAATCCCACCCTGATCATTGTCGTCCTGCCGGAAAACGGCAACGACATGTACACGGAGGTCAAGTTGTAAGTTTTTCCCCATCCTGCTTGCTGTCATGCACAACGTCTGACCGACCACCAGCTGGGGTGATATCCAGAACGGTATACCCACACAGTGCTTGAAGGCCAAGAAGTGCACTCGGGCGAAGCCGCAGTACTACGCGAATGTTTGCCTTAAGTGGGTCTCCGTTGCAGTCGCTCAGCGGGCAATTTGTGCTCACTCGCAATTTCAGGGTTAACGTGAAGATAGGCGGCATCAACACGATTCCCGAGGCCTCGTCTGTGCCCGTGCTGATGGATCCGCATTACCCGACTGTAATCCTCGGCGCCGATGTCGTTCATCCGGCACCCGGTACTGAAGGCCGACCATCATTTACCTCCGTTGTTGGCAACGTCGACTCCCATAATGCGAAGTACATCGCGACTGCTCGTGTACAGACTGGACGCCAGGAGATTATCGAGGGCCTGGGGGACATGGCAAAGCACATCCTCGAAATGTACAAGGACTACCGTACAATTAAGGAGGAGAAGTCGCCGGGTGCAGCGGCACCTAAGCGCATCATCTTCTTCCGCGACGGTGTTTCCGAGGGCCAGTTCAAGGCTGTGCTGGAGCAGGAGCTACCTCTGCTGAAAAGTGCGTTATATACTAGCACCAAAAACTCTCAGCGCTGATCATAACCTACCGACAGAAGCCTGCAAGGAGCTGGGAATCGACGCGAAGATCACGATGATCATCGTGGCCAAGCGCCACCACCAGCGCTTCTTCCCTAAGGACCAGCGGGATGGTGACCGCCGCTCTGGCAACTGCCCTGCTGGCACCGTCATCGACTCGGACATCGCGCACCCCACCGAGTTCGACTTCTACCTGCAGTCGCACGGCGGCCTGCTCGGCACTTCTCGCCCTGCGCACTACTCTGTTCTCTACGACGAGAACAACTTCACCGCTGACAGCCTGCAGTCGCTGTCGTTTGCGCTGTGCCACTTGTACGCGCGCAGCACTCGCAGCGTGTCGATCCCGGCGCCGGTCTACTGTAAGTCTTGATGTTCTGCCCTAAAGGGTGGGTCTAATGATACGTGCAGATGCCGACATCGTGTGCGCGAGGGCCAAGACGCACTACGACCCGGCTCAGAGGGTCGACTCTTCTGAGTCCGCAGGCGACAGCGAGGAACAGCCAGCGTCACTTGATGCCTTCAAGCGCGACTTCAGGGCGCTTCACGCGGCACAAGCGCGTCGTATGTACTTCTCGGTAAGCTTGCATGTTAATGTTCCATGAGATGAGATCCTGACAGCTTCTGGCAGTAATTCGCGCCGCTTTACTGTATTTCTATGCTCCTGCAAATCTCGCCATATCTGTCTCGCTGTACAATTATTGATTATCCTAGCACGAGTGCCATGGAAATATCATTCTATCAATATCGATATCCTTGACGCGCTTGAACTTTCATGAACACTATGAAGAAGCTGGGCAAACGATACGAACGGACACCGGATGCTTCGGGCTCGCGCAGGATGGGTGAGATGGCGAGGACTGAAAGCGAGGACTTCTTGACTAGACAAAAGTGCCTGACCTAGCGATGCCACAGTGTGCATGCGCGTCTCTGATGGACAAGACGGGCAAGAGATGCAGCTCGGGGATCAATCACAAGGGTGAAAATGACCGCGATGCGTCGTGAACTCGAACCTCAATATGATCGGCAGCCGCGGCGTGGGTCTGACTGCAGACAAAACGACCATATAGCTGGCCATGGCACATCTATTTCAGAGGTATGGAATGAATCAATATTCCTGCGCCCAGATTCGCCAGCGGATATGAGATCTTCACTCCATAGATCTCTCGCGAAGGATCTGATTCTGCACGACAAGCAGCATGGAATACACAGTCTCCGTACGCTTTTAGCGAGACCCCGTCAGCGTCAGAGTACGGTCATCACACTCAAGCCACTCACCGGCATGTCAATCTTACGAGCCCTCGCCGTCCGGATGAGTTCGCCCCAAATCACCTCGACCTCGATTGGGTACCCCTTCTCGACATCCAGCAAGGTGCTTAGCTTATGGGTAGCCGAGGGGGTGTTGTGATTGACCCTGACTAGCTTCATCGTCTCTTCTGCCGTGTTGGCTGGTATTCCGTCGGCGCCTTCCGTGAGTCCCATGACGCGAGCTGCATAATTATGAACGGATGGAAGGCTCTTTTGAAGGATGGGAAGTCATACCGAAGTCCATTAGCTCGTTCAAGAGTGCCAACATCGCGGGTATGGTTAAATCTTCTATGCGATCAACCGTCGATGGATGTACGTATGTCGTATATTGGTGCGAAGGATCTGATGGAGGTGGGCGGAACATCGACATAAGAGGGTATCTGTATGCGATCTGTTCCATTTGTCCGCAAGACACAGTGGGATTGTAAGCACACACCTTGTCAAGCACGAGTATCCAGCGAATGTAACGTTCAGCATGTTCTTGACGAACTTGCGGCGTTGTATCTCTGTCACGAGCTCGACAGTGCCTCCGCCAGCCTGTGTAGGTATAAACGTCATGCGGCAGACCAAGTCTCGAGGATGCATCACGTACGGTCAAAATAGCTTCGAGGTCGTTCAGCACTGCCTGCTCTTCGGGACTGTTCACCGTCGTCGTGTAGTCCTCATAGCGATACATCCCAAGAACGAGGCGCTCCTATTTGTTACATCAGCGCCTCTCCTACGGCTCGCCCTGCAGCGCCGATAAAGACTCACCAGCGCACTATGCTCGATCACGTTCGCCCCAATCAAGTTCGTCATGATATACAACGCCGCGCTCGCGAGTCGCGGTTCGCCTTGGCCAAGAGCCTTCAGCTGCTCATACAGCTCGCGCTCAAAGTTCCAGCCATTCTGCAAGAGCACGTAGGTCGGCTGCGCGAAGCGGCTGGTGTAGGCCTCGGCGAGGAGCGGCGCGACGAGCTTGGAGTTCGGAACCACTTCGGGAACGCATTTTGAGGCAACGAAGACGTAGGAGTACGCCCTATCGGTGGCGGCTTCCATGGAGTTCAATACTGCAGATGATTGTGAGATCTACATTGGCTATGTGGCTGGGTTCGAAGGTAGGCTTACGGCGATGGGGCCTCCAGCCCGGTATATGACCGAATTTCTCGCTCTTGAAATGCAAGCCCTCATCTGTGTGGACGATTAACTATATATCCCGTAACACATCGAAAGTGCAACCTACTCTTAATAGCCTCATAGTTGCTTCGCGCAACCACAGTCAGATTGACCTTGCCCGAGTTTTGCAGGATGAGAGAATCTCGTGAGGTATGACATCAGTTTTAGAGCACTCAACAGCATATAGGCGATGTAGAGCGTACTTACATATCGCCCCAACAGCGCCAAATCCAACAAGCAGGACCTCCTTCATTGCTTGTGACATCGTGGTGCTGACTATGGTAGTAGAGGTGGTGGTACAAGGCAAAGGAAACGCTGATCAAGGCAAGGCTGACTGTCCCCGAAGCTGTGACTCGACTCTAAATCCGAATGTAACCGGCGAGGTCATGGGCGCTTTCCGCGCGCTCATACGCGCACTCCGCATTCTTATACGCAGTGCTGGGCATACCGAATCGGACCGTGATACAATAGGCGCTCACTCAGTGGAGACGTGATTGTTAGGTCGCTACTGTAGTAAGCCCGATGAAGAGACATGATGGAAGTTGCATTAGGAAAGTGCGGTGAATCATCAAAGCAGGCGATTCTAGCTTTCTATAATTGCGGCACATGGTCTACCTGAGCAGACCTCTCTCGTAGGAGCTTTTTCTGCACGACCAACAGCATCGAGTAAATCGTCTCCGCGCGCTAGCAGATAGGTCAGTCAACGAAGACACCTTCACGTGGCGCCAGGAGACGCTCCGCTCACCGGCATGTCGACACCTCTGGCCCTCGCCGTCCGAATCAGTTCTCCCCAGATCACCTCAACCTCGATCGGACGACCTTTCTCGATGTCAAGGAGGGTGCTCGGAATATGCGCGGCCTCCGGTGTAGCGTGCGCTTCCCTCGTCGATTGCATGGCCTCTTCAACCATACTGGATGGGATGCCGTCCGGGCCGTCAGGGAAGCCCAGCACGCGCGCTATGGGTCGGTGGTCAGCGACGCGGGGGATAGCAGGCGCGAAGCCTTGAGCTCGTACCGAACTTGATGAGCTCGTGCAAGAGCGATGTCATGGCAGGGATGGTGTACTCTTCGATGCGGTTCACCGTCGACGGGTCGACGTACGGCGAGTACTGCTGTGAAGGATCTGACGGGGGAGGTCGGAATATCGCCATGAGAGTATACCTACGTAGCGCATTCAGTCAGTGTCAGCGCGACTACACGTTTGGAAAATCGTACCTCGTCAAACAGGCATAGCCGGCAAAGTTGATGTTCAGCATATTCTTCGCATACTTGCGGCGTTGAATCTCGGTGACAACTTCGACTGTGCTGCCACCGGCCTGGTACAGAAGTCAGTGAATCCTTCACAGCCAATAGAAGGTGAAATTCACTGTCAATATCTCGTTCAGGTCACCCAGAACGGCTCGCTCTTCAGGGCTGTTGATAGTCGTGGTGTAGTCCTCGTAGCGATACATGCCTAGGACAATACGCTCCTGTATATTGAACATCAGTCACACCCTTCACTGAACCCGCAAAGAAGCAACGAACTCACCAACGCACTATGCCTCACCACGTTCGCGCCCTGCATATTCGTCCAGATATACAGCGCAGCGCTCACGATCCGGGGTTCTCCCCGCCCCAGCCCCTTCAACCGATCGTACAACTCGCGCTCGAAGTTCCAGCCGTTCTGGAGTAGTACATAGATCGGTTGTGCGAAGCGGCTTGTGTAGTCGTCGGCCAGGAGCGGCGCAACGAGCTTGGAGTTTGGGAGCACCTCCGGTACGCACTTGGCAGCGATGAAGACGTGGGAGTACGCTCTGTCAGCCGCGGCTTCGACGGAGTTGACGACTGAGCAGAGAGACGTTGAGAACTGCTTGCGAGGATGGCGTGCACCTTGACCGCTGTAGTGCTGCGGCGCTCACCCCGATGCGGCTTCCAACCATTTATGTGCCCAAATTTCTCACTCTTGAAGTGTACGCCTTCGTCTGTGAGCAGAATCAGCACCTTCTGAGCGAGCTCGGTGCTTGTGCAGTCATGACTGACTCTTGATAGCCTCGTAGTTGCTGCGCGCTACGACGGTCAGGTTGACTTTCCCCGAGTTCTGCAGTATGAGGGAGTCTGATGCGTCTCGTCAGCACGCGTAATACTATCAGTCAACAAGAGAATCAACGCACACACAGCACCCACGGCGCCAAAGCCGATGAGGAGAACGTCCTTCACGATGTTCTCAGCCATGATGGCAGGAGTTGAGATAGAAGTGACACGACATGATCAGTTCCCCATGCTGGCCCTTCCTAGAGAACCCCCGCACGCAATGTCGCGAGTTCCGAAGCTGGCTGTGATAGGCATGAGAGTTGATAAGACGTCCGAATTAGGAAGGCATTGTGCTACGTCATCGATCTTGCATGCATGGGATGGGTGGCGACTTGGACAGGCAGAGGAAGACGAGACAGCGCAAGTGCATCGGGTCAGCACTTCATTCAGGATCCAAAGAAGGCATCTAGAGTAGGGCGTCTAAGGTATGCGGGTACCGGGGCCTACTGCGGTACAGTGATGAGTTGTAGCAAGAGAAAGGGTATAGCGAAAAGTCCGTATATGATGGACAAGGGGTGCAAAGCTTGTCCATTTTGTGATGCGAGCAACAGTAGTGCGCCCGTTACATTATGAGGTACAAGAAGATCGTCAGAGGGGGTCGTGAGGTGAGTACAGGACAAGAGATGAGCGGGGAGACATGAGAAGTGGGACGGGAAAGGTGAGAGATCCAGAGTGTACAGCGACAGTTACAGACAGCAGAGACGAGTAGAGGATAGAAAGAAACCGAGGACTTCTATGTAGAGTGCGTAGTGTGTGGCGAATAGTAGATTGTTCAACGCAGCTTAGTGGTAGGTGCTGCGCCGATGGGTAACGTGAACCGCGACGCCGCGCGAGCACAGCGTCGGGAATGTAGGGTTGAAGTGCATCGCGGACTTGCGCGTGAAGTTGTCGTACATGACGACCATGTACACGCGCTTGAGCCCCTCCAGCGCCGGCGCGCAGAGCGCATTCTCGAGCGCCTCCCACGACGTCCTCCGCGCGTCGACATGCGCCGCCTCGAAAGTGATCTCCACCTCCTCGATGGCGCACGCAGGCGCGAGCCGGCACTCGGGCGTGTACTCCCAGTGCAGGGACGACAGGAAGCCGACCAGCCACGAGTCGGCGTCCATGGAAAGCACGCCCTGCGAGTTCGTCAGGGACAGAACCCGCAGCTGGGGTGTCTTCCACAGATTGAGTGCGGGGAGCGTGACGGCGCCTAAACACATTCGCCCCGGTCAGAATCGATGAGAAGCGCGGGGAACGATGGGGACTTACGAGAATCAGCCGTGTGGGACACGTCGAGCTCGAGGTGCTCCAATGACGCGCCCAGTGCGTCGACGAGCTGGAAGGCGTTGAGGTCGTCTGGCCGGTCGAGGTGGACGCCTATCACGAGCTCGCGCACTTCGTCCAGGTCGAGCGGGCAGTGACCCTCCAAGAACCAGTCGTAACGTGGCCGGCTCAGAGTGAGATGAAGGGCATCCAGCTGCGCCTTGTGGGACAGATCCCACTCGTCTCCATACATGCCTTCATCTCCGTCTTCGCGGATGGTCACCCGCGAGAGCGTGAACGTCTTTAGGCTGTGAGCATCGCTCAGAAGCGCGTCGAGGCTGCTCTGCGACACACTCTCGCAACTGAGATGAAATTCGGTGAGAGAGGGAAGCTGGAGCGCGTCGTGCACGCTCTTGCGGAAGCGCCAGCTCAGTTGATCCCAGTGGGGAATGAGGGAGTCGACCTCAAGGATGTGTAGACTAGTGAGTTGGTTAAGGATGCCGCATACGACGGAGACCAGCTCCGGGCGGCTGTCGAGGCCGAACTGGAAGTCGGTTTGGATGGAGAGCTCGCGCACGCAGGAGGTGATGTCGGGGTGCTGGCGGAGGAAGGAGAGGAGCTGCGAGTACATGGTGACGACCTCGGTGTACACCATCTCAGCAGCGAACATGAAGAAGTGGCAGAACGTGTCGATGCGGAGTTCTAGACGATTGAAGAGGTATCTCCGGCTGGCGGGTATCCAGCTGTGGGAAACGAGGGAACAGGCGTTGAGCGTGCGCTTGTCGTCGCGCAGGTGGCGCATTATCTCGTCCACCAGCTCCGGGGGCAAGTCTGCTGGCGCGCATTCTGCCCGGGAACATGAGTACAAAGGGCCGATGCGCTGTGGCGACAACATACTGCATGAGGGCGCGCTTGCTGCGCGTTCTGTGACTGCGACGGCCATTTCAATGGGTGTGCGCGAGTTCCTCGGGTCCTCCGCGGTATATAGGATGTCGTGGTCAAGAGCAAGAGACGCAATTTGCGTGCGTGAAGGATGTGGCGGACTGCAGGCGGGGGTCGATCGTCGGTTTTATATGTGGCGCTAGGCGACGTAACGCGGCCGTATGCAGGCGCGAGCCTCGCATGTCGCACTGCACGCTGCGTGCTTCCGGAAACGTCCGGGCCTCCCCGAGATAGCCCTATTTGGGCTCGTCCTTGGCCAGCTGCGCCCTGTGTCCCATACGAACCCCCGCGCGGGCGGTCCTGTGAGGCGCGCAAAGCAACATGAACGACTGATCAAAGCAATCGAGAGCGGTCGACTCAGCTGCCGGTCCCCGGCCCGGGTCTAGTCAGCGCTCTCGCTCAGTCCTTCACCATGCCTCGACGCTGCCCCGGCTCTATCTTCACCACACCTTTCATCTTGGCTTAACATCCCCCACGGGCACCCACACACCCCACTTCTCGTGCCCGCGCTTCTCGTGGGGACAGCACTCGAGGTAGAAGCAAACAGCGAGGAATACAATTAATTCTCGTCCACAAACGTATACATGCGAGGCATCGATAAGTACAAATCGTCAAAAGACATGACATGAGGTGCGACATATTCGAGTATGGAAAGGGAAACAGCGAGGAAGTGGGGAGGAAGTACGAAGAGGAGGACGGCCAGAGAAGAGTATGGGTTTGTGAGGCTATACGTTCGATGGGGCCAGCCTTGGGGCCATGGGGAGTCCAGGGTCGTCGGACATCGTACGGTAGTCAGTAAGTGATGAAAGAACGCGAAAGAAAGAGTGCATAGATCCAAATACTAGTACAACGGCTTGAGCACCGTTAAAGGGCGTCAATGTCCATCCGACCCTATCCTCAGTTCTTCTTGGTCTCGGCGTACGGGTTGACGCTGTACACCTTGATAACAGGGGGACTCTTCGTCAGGTCCGCCGTCACGATGACCTGGATACGGTCAGTCTTCGCGGCCAAGTCACCAGTTGATGTACACGTACGGGAACGGTCTGCAGCTCCTTGATCTCCTGGATCTTGTGCCCAGCCGGGGTCGTGCGCAAACCCTCGAAGGTAGGCTCGGCCTTCGCCATCGAGATGAGCCTCTGCTTCGAGGTCTCCTTGGTCGCGTCGACGTTGTCGCGTCCGAGGACAATCTCGTCATCTCCGTCGTCTTCATCGAACAGCGCGCTCTCGTCATGAACCGAGCGCGAAGCCACTTCCATCTTGAGCGCGTGCTGCTCCGCGTTCTGCTTCACCTTCTTCAGGTGCTCGTCGTCGCTGTTCTCGGCGAGCCAGGTGATCACGTCGCGGTTGGACCAGTAGATCTGCAGGGCGTGCGTGTGCTCGTCGTAGACGTGGTTCTGGACAAATAGGTCAGCATTAGCCTTCTGGGGTTAGGGAGGTAACGTACGTCGATGGGCATCTGATCGACGTGGACGCGCTTCTCGATACCGAACTCGGGAACGAGCACATCGAAAGCAGCGTCGAGCACGTTGATGACCTTGGCCTGGCGAATGACCGGGCCGTAGCGGTGCGTGAGGTCCGAGATCAGGACACACAAGAACAAGTGTGCCGACTGCTCTTGGGCGAGTACAGCAGAGTCGCGCTTACTGAAATGCAAGGTCAGTAACGATCCACATCTAGAAGGAGCGGTGATCTCACATGTTGCACTGCTGCGCGACCTTCGCAACCGCATCACGGTCCATCATGAACTTCGCCTCACCAGGCGTGCTCTGCAACGTCGACTCGAGCTGGCGATGCACTAACACATCAGCGTAGCGACGGATGGGCGACGTGAAGTGCGTGTACAGAGGCACGTTGAGCGCATAGTGGTGATACTTCGCGATGTCGAGCATGCCCGCGCAGTAGTACTTGGCGCGCTGGGTGGCCTTGAACGACAGCAGCTCGAGCAGCTTGCGCGTCATTGGATCCTTGATGGCGTCGAAGGAGCGCATCATGGCACCGGACGACGTGGTGTCCATCTGGACACCGAGGCGCTTGGCGCGGTCGACGAAGTTGTTCAGGCGACGATCGATGGGGGTGTCGTGGCGCCTGAGCAAGGCCTGCTCGGGGAGGTGGACAGCGATGTGCTGCGCGACCGTAATGTTGGTCAACAGCATGAACTCCTCGATGAGGTCGTTCGCCTCCACGCGAGTGCGCTGGCCGCAGTCGATCGGCTTGCCCGTCTCGTCGAGCTTGAAGCTCAAGGACAGCGAGTCCAAGGACAGCGCGCCATTCTCGAACCTCTGCTTGCGCAGCTCCTTCGCGATGTCATGCAGCACGCGGATATCGTGCTCAATGTCGACCGCGTTGTGCTCGGGAATGACGGGAACGTCGCCGAGGACACGGCCCTCGATGACATCCTGCGCGTTCGCGTACGACAGCTGCGCAGCGGACCTGATGATGGTCTTGCCGAACCACTTGTTCGTCACCTTCGCATCCTTAGTCATGGTGAAGACGACAGAGAACGCGAGACGGTCCTGGCCCGGAACAAGACTGCAGAGCTCCTCGCTGAGCGTTGGCGGGAGCATCGGCACTGCACGCTGCACGAGGTACACGCTGGTCGCCCTCTTGCGCGCGTCGCGGTCGAGTGCCGTGTTCGGCTTGACGAAGTACGACACATCGGCAATGTGAACACCAATCTCGTATGTGCCATCCTCGTTGGCCTTGATAGAAAGGGCATCATCGAGGTCCTTGGCGGTGTCCGGGTCGATACTGAAGATGCGCTCCCCGCGTAAGTCCTTGCGAAGGTCGAGCTCACGCTCGGGGATACTATATAGTTTGTTAGTTCAGAGTCTTCGCTTTCGAGACGCGCTACTCACGTCCACGGCATAGGCGGCAGGCACTTCATCACATTGTCGGCGAAGTCCTCAGTAGGGAAGTTGCAGTCCTTCAGCAGAGCGCTCGTTTCCACCTCAATGTCTCCAATGGGACCGAGTTCCTCCACGAGGGTACCGAACGGATGAAGCGAGCTGATAGGCTGCAACGATGATCAGCAATGCTGCCGTGGCCAACGCTGAAGGCGACTTACGTGACGCTTGATGCATGCAACGAATAGCTTGTCGACGTAGGCCTCCGAGTTCTGCACGAAGTCGGGCGGCGCCTGCTCGGTCGGGATGGCAATGAGAGGGACACGCTTGTCCGTCGGCTTAAACCAAACGATCTTGGGACGCTCGATGGGGCCCTTCTTGGGCTCCTCGCCCGTGATCCCCTCTCGTTCACGGCGCTCAGCCTCTTGCTTCTCCTTGGTAGCGGCCGAGGACGGGCGCAGAAGACCAAGTGTGCCAGAGAACAGCTGACCTGGCATACGCTCGACAACGGCAACGACGTGGCCGGCGAACTGAGGCTTAACCTCGTCGGTGACCCTGCGATATTGTTAGTTAATCCCTTCGACGTAGACGCAAGTACAACTCACTCCTCGTCCTCGAAGAGCATCAGCCCCTGGCCTTCAACCTCGACGTCGTCCTTCTTCTTGTCATCCTTGCGGCCGGCGCCAGACTTCTCGTAAGCCGAGTTCTCTTCCTTTTTCCTCTTCTTCTCTTCCTTCTCCTTCTTCGTTCCCCAGACCTCATCAACGTCCAGGAGCTCCACGGCGACGATGTCGCCCTCCAACGCCCGGTTGCGATCCTTCGAGCCACAAATGTAGATGTCGGCGTCAAGCACCTCCGTGGCGACATACGCGTCGGAACGGTTGCGCTTGTTGACGCGAAGGATACCGACGACGAGCTTACCAGCAGCGAGAAGCGGCGGCAGGGAGGCCTGCGGGAGGTAGGGTGCAAAGAGGGACTTGCGCTGGGGTTGGTTGGACTGCTGTTGGAGCTGCGACTGGAACTGCTGCTGTTGCTGCTGGAGAAGGTTGATGCCGCCCATGTTGATGCCCATCATGTTCGCCGCCATCATGTTGGGCAGCATGTTGGGGAAACTGAACGATGCCATCTTGTGGTGGTGGCCACCTGCCGCCTGGCGGAACTGCTGAAGGCTCTGCAACTGCGCCTGAGCCTGCGCAAGATCCGCCGCGAACGCATTGTTGGCTTGGACGCCGCCAACCCCACCATCTACCCGATAGTCAGCATATGTAGAAAGAGATGGAGGGAATGAAACTGACTGATACGCCAACTAGAGTCAGCACGGGAGGCCTGACGAGAGTGACCGCCGGGAGGGAGAGGCGGCTGGAACCCATCGTCGAAGCCATCAAACTGGCCGAACGATTGGCCGGGCTTGTTGACGACGTTGACGCTGTGACGGCGACCGTGCCCGCGAGGAACGCCTTGGGTCTGCCCGTCGAGGCCCATATTGAGAGTACCGAGGTTGCCAAACTGGCCCATAGGGTTCTGAGGGCCACCATAGCCGTTGCCGGCCATAGGCACCGTGCTCTGAACGCGACGATGCGCACCACGACCAGGAGCCAGGCCAGGAGTCTGGTAGGAAAGGACCTGGTTGGAGGCCAGTTGCTGCTGATAGAGGGCCTGCTGTTGCTGCTGGAGCGCCTCAATCTGGTTCTGCAGAGCGATCTAAAAGACAATTAGCAACCGTACGTCATGGAAAATACGCGACGCACCTGCTCGGCCATGATGCCGTGGATCTCGCCCTGGCTGTCAGCCTTGCGGTGACCTTGCTCCCTAGGCGCCTCGTGAAGCGGCTGCTGCTGCTGCTGCTGCTGAGGGAACTGGAAACCGTTGTCCTCCTCGCTCAGCGGGCCCATGGGACCGCCCTGGCGCTTGCGAGCACCGAACATGAAGTTCGGGGCCAGCGTAGGGCGGCCAGTGGGGCCGATTGCATCCTGCTCCTGCTGAGCGGCGAGGGCAGCGAAACGGGGGGCCACAAAGCTCTGCGACTGGGAGCGAGGCTGGTGCGTGGGCGGAGGCTGGTAATAGTTCTCCGGAATCTCGCCCTCCTCGTGGTCCTCCACCATCGCGTGGAGACCGGGGGCAAAGGAGTTGAAGTTGTTAGAGAGCGCGCCAGCGCCGACAGAGGAAGCCTTGCGGTGCTTCTGCTGGTCGAGCGAGTTGGCAGGGAAAGCGGCAGCACCGGGCTGAAAGACGGGAGCGTTAGCCGAGATGCCGTGCGGAACGGTGCTCGGCTGCTGGTTGGGGTTGGGGGACGTAGACTTCAGGTCGTTGATGACACGTTGAAGGGACGATAACGCATCACTGCCGCTGTTTCCGGGCTGCGGGGACGTATTCGCCTGGCCGCCGCCGGCGTTGGGCTTCTTGGGACCGGTCGAAGTCGAGCCAGAGCTCTTGCGATGGGCAGGCGCGCGATTGGTGCTGTTCTTGCGCGGCTCCTGCTTCTTGCCGCTATCGCTCTCGGCGCCCTTCTTGGCCGCCGCCTCGGAACCTGACTCGGCGGGGGTCGTGGTGCTGTTCTTCTTGCTGCTGGTCCTCGAGGACGGCCTGGGACCGCCTTGATTGTTGGCGCCGCCGGCGTTGTTAGGCTTGGAGGTGGACGCGCTCCGCTTCGGCCCGCGGTTGTTCCCCGCGTTTCCTGGCTTCTTCTCGTCTTTCTTAGGCAGCGTCTGCTGCGTCTGCTGCGTCTGCGGCTGGGGCTGCGCCACGGGTTCGTCAGGCATGTCGTTCGTGAACTAGTCGGTTGGACGAGAGGGTTAGGAGGGAGTTTTCGATGTGTTTTTGGGTTTGTCGATATGTGATTCTGACTGTAGGCGTACACGCGTCAGACTTTTTTGTGGCCGAAAACCGTTGGGCACTCACCTATGCAGAGATCGGAGTACAATGAGGAGTTCTGTTGTCGTTGCCCGGCAGGGCGTGTGAGGAAAAGAACGCGGAGGTGGAATGGAGAGAGACTCTGCGAAGCCATGATTTCATCGTCATTCGCTTTTGTACAACCGCAGCTGCCTAATCAGGAAGTTATTTCCCAGGGCCATTGACTGCGCCGCTCGTCTGACCCGCCTTCGTTACTTCCATCAGCCCATCCCGCGCTACCATCGCCGTCGTCACTCGACGGAACGGCGCTGATCAGCACTCTATGTATGGTATATAGAGTTGAGACCGCTCAAGCTACTTGGTACACGAGCCCAATCCTCAAGGCGCGTACTTCCCTCTCGACGACTGGAAAATGGCAATCTCCACTCCCAATTGCCACATATCTGGCCATCGTGAGCAGGAGGCAGGCGACTGGTCGTAAGATTTACCCCGCGACCCGCACAAAAGCATCGATAAGGGAGTGCCTGGCAATTTTGGGGCATCGTGGCAGCTGAGTGCAGGCACCGGCCTGCACAATTGGAGCGTTAGCCATCGCGGCCAGGCGCCCTAGCGCAGCACCCAGAAACCGGTCAGTCGCGCGATACCGAGAACAATGTATTCCTTCCTACACACCCGGCGATGTTGAGGTGCCTCGAATTAAGATTCCACCGAAAGGAGGCTCACAAGCGCTCGGATTCGGCCGCAGACTTCAAACGCTCGCAGCGACTTGCCACCTTTTGTTTCGCGGCCAGCGCACACGTATTGACGCTCACGCCACCCTCGGTGTCAAACGGGCTCCATGAAGCAGTGTAGCCGGATGACCTGAGGCTAACCGCAAGTTCGTGTCGGTCAAACAAGACCGGCAAATGGGCGTGAACTCTGATCGCAGCTCCCGTAATGGGTTTGCGAGGCACCGAAGGAAGGGGCTACGTCGGTCGAACGTACCGACAAGGAAAGGTGGTTGAAGCGCACAACTGAAGGCCGGCAAGCGATTGAATAAGAATTCCGAATGTCAACCCAAAGTACACGAAATAGGAACTTCAGCAGAAAAGCGTATAGTTCACTGTAAATTACCCACTGAGCAAGCCGGAAAGCTGTTGGCGGTACTTCTCGAGTTCTGCCTCTTCCTCTTCTTCCTTGTTCTCCGCCGCCTGAAATGGGCGATCAGCTAGACGACCACGAAGTATCTCGGACATGAACTTACCGGTAGCTCTGTCCCCACCGCGCCCGCTTGCCCCAGTTTCCCATTCGTGATGTCGAAGAGAACCTTGTCAACCTCTTCGTCGGCTTCCTCTTCCAACTCCTCATCCTCCTCCATGTCCATGACATCGTCCAGCATCTCTTCCATGATACCCGCCTAGATAGTAAGTCAGTGAATATACGCCTACTTCATTGACATGCAGTCGCACCTTCGTCATTTCCATGCTCATCTCTCGCATCGACTGGCTGATCTGCGGGAGCTTCACTAACGAATTCGACATCTTCATGATCTCCGTCGACTTCTGTAGCGTTCCGGTCACCTTCGCCATAGCTATTGTGGGGTATTCCGGCATGAGTTTCTCACACTGACCCATCGGAGGACCGATCCTGCTCACCCAGCTGTTGCTGTAATTGCTGCCCTATAGATCCTAAACGCGCTTTGCTGACGGACAGCCGGTCCTTCTGCTTGTTACACCGCACGATTTCGCGCGCAAGGATCTTTGCAGACTTGACATCGCCCTTATTCGCGAGCTGCTTTACGCTCTGCTTGGCCTTGGCTGACGAGACGTCGAGCTGCAAGAGGGCGATGCGGGTGCGCAATATGCATATGGATCGGGATGATGGGAGGACGAAGGAAGAGAGAAAGATGGCATCAGTCCCGTCACATAGGAGCGGCAAGCAAACACAACCTGCCTCATCTCCCGGTCGAGGAGGCGGGTCTCCTGCCGCAACTTCGCCTGCCAAGCGCGGACGCGTTCTTCCGGTGTGGGCCCATAGAGAAATCGGTTGATTGACTGCATGTCAATGGCGACGTTAGTGAAGCTGGTCCGCCTGCGAAATCGTAGAATGCGACGGCGTTGGTTCAGCGCAAGATGAGTTGCGCAGCGCCGTGACGCCGCCATCGTGCTTGGCACATGTGACGTCGAACGGATTTCGGGCCGAATACGCCGGCGATAAATCAACCCCGCACGATGATCCTTCCCCGCTTCTGCCTCTTGCTTTGCACATTCATCTTCATCTCGGAGGTCTGGTACCACCGCCCTTTTGCACTCGCCTTGACGAAAATTCCACAAAAGTCGCTCAATCTTCGGCTCGCTTTACGACCTTTTTATCACTTCATCGCTTGAACTGGTTTCAACGAACACACTATGCCTCCCGCTCGCTTTTACGAACTTCGCTCGACTGACGCATCGGCGTCTTTCACCAACTTTACGCCTACTGCGCCGGGACCTGGAGATGTCTTTGCGGCTGGCGGGAACTGTACCATACAGTGGGCGGTGGATCAGAGTGGGAGCTGGAATAATGTCACCATCGGTAAGCTCGAACCTTCTCAGGAGTAATGCGTCTTGACTGACATTGCCATGAAAGACTTGATGTCGGGTTCAAACAACAACATGTCTTTCGTTGCAAACGTCGCGTCCGGCCTTGATGGCACGGACGCGTCGAACACGCCGTTCAACTGGACGTGTCCGGAGGTGGACCCGTATTCAGACATCTACTTCTACCAGGTATGTCGCATCTTGGTCTCAGTTATTCTTCCTGATGCTAACATCTCAAGTTTACAAATGGCGAGGATAAGATGGATGCGAAGTGGACAACGCGCTTCACGGTGCGCCTTCATCCTTCCTATACACGTAGACCTACAACTAATTCGCACATACAGATCTCGTCATCATCCGGCGAGGTCGATCCTCCGGCAAACCCTACCCAGCCCGATGGAAGTCAGATTCCTTGGGGCGTCGGCCATGTCTCCAACTCGACGTCGCAAGCCTCAAACGCGACTACCCAGAGTGTTGCTGCTCCTGAAGACGACGACTACTTCAACAGCTTGCAAGCATCGAAGAAGGGCTCCGAGCACTCTGGCGACAAGTCTTCGAAGGAGCACGATGAGGAGGAGGAGGACTCTGCTCGGCGTCAGAAGCACTCGGATGACGACTCCAAATCCAAACACGAGAAAGCCGACTCGAAGTCGAAGTCAGCCGAGAAGGATGAGGAAGACGACGATCGCCACTCAGACGAGGATGCCAAGCACTCGGAGAAAGCTTCGAAGAAGGGCAGCTCCTCTGACTCTGACAATGACGATGACGACGAACGCCATACGAAATCCTCGAAGGCGGACGACAAGAAGCACTCTGACGACGATGAAGGCGACGAAAAGCATTCTGGCGACGACGGTGACGAAGAGCACTCCAGCGGCGACGACAAGCACACAACCCATAAGGCCGACGACGATGACGATGAGCCGGAGACGCACTCTGCGAAGACGAAGTCTACTCAGCAGGACAACTCTGACGATGAGCCGTCCGCGTCCTCGTACTCCTCCGCCGAAGCTGACTCGGGCTCGCGCGGACGCCCTGCTGGCGCCGGGCAGTCTCCGCTCACCATGAGCCTGCCGCCCTCTGCGAAGAGCGGCTCTGTCGACACCATCGTGCACTCGGACTCGCCCTACGTTGCCTCGGATCGTGCTTCGAACTCGGCGGAAGTGCCTAGTCTACCTGTGACCGTTCTGCTCTTTTCGTACACGCTGTTGTTCTTGGTGCTTCTGTAGGGTTTGGTCAATGCTATGCTGCGCAGGGCATTCGGTGGCGACGAATTCCATTCATAAAGACCTTGTGAAGTGCACTGCACTAATACGAGTCAGCGATAGTCTCGTCAGAAGCCGTTCTCATCGCCAAGAAATCGAGCTCTAGCGAGACAGACGCGGTGTTCTGAAGCAATCCCAAGTACACTCATGCTGTCGTAGAGGCAGGGCTGCCTGATAGTCATCTTTCCTGGATGCATGGCTATGTGAATAGCTATCTGTGATGCTCGGCCATGGCCCGAGGCACGATCCTGCTTTCTTCTGCCTCTCACCATGTCTTCGATAAACTGGTTCGACCTGGAGCTTGAACCACTGGGAGCGAAGCTATACGAAATCGAAACCGTTGACAATGCAGATGCTCGCGCCTGGACAGCAGGGTTGGACGCTCTTCCAGGTCTTCGTCAGCTGACAGGCCCGATAGAAGAGTATCGGCAGCAAGCTCGCGACCCCAAGCGTTCGCAAGCGCTATATCGTACTATCGAGGGCACAGACTATCAGACTTTCATCCCGGCACCGACAATTTTCGAAGGGCTGCGTCAGGTGCTCCTGAGGAGGGAATACGAAGCGACCTGGAGGGATATGGAGTTGGCCTTTGCAACGGGTCGTACTTATTTCTCAGTCATGGAGGGGACGACGACCTACGGTCAGTAGCTCAAGCGAGTAATATGATTGTCTGCTAACTGTAACGAGCCCAGAGGGCCCGCCAACTCCTGCGGCTCAAGCACCATATTCATACGCATACGCTATTACAGGTCATTCGGGAATTGGTAGGCAATGACTTTCTTTCTGCGCAACGGACCAGCTGAGTTTATCGCAGGAAAGACTTTGTTCCTCAGCCTGGCTCTTCTGCGATGCCTTCAGAGGCATTGGACCGTAGTCCTGCAAATGCAGCCTTACAGCATCCTCATATTCAACTTCAGCGGTGTTTACAGTGTAAGCTACACCGTAGGGATGGCAGAACTCTCCGATGCGCTCCCCCGGGCAACGTGGTGCCTTGTCGATTCGAACGACGCCATGCGCGGGATGCCCTACAATTTCCTTACGCTGGATCGCTTCCTGATTCGAACGGCGGCGCCGCAGGCTGACCGCCTCTCGTGGGGAATGAAGAAGCAACATTTCTACAGTCGTTATCTGATCAAGCCTATGCCTGCGGAGGAGGCGCAGCTAGCGTGCGTATCCTCTCATTTTATCATTCTGAATGGCTCGCGACCGACACCTTCGCCTCAGATATTCCGTCAGCGTCCGATCTCCAAATCCGGATTCTAATCGCATCATACAGTCGTTCTTCGACAAGTACGGTCCTTCCACGCGCTCTGTTTTCCAGGCCGTCAGCGCGAGAGAGAAGTGGGAAGAGGCGCAATCTATAGTTCTCCAATCCGTCCTCGAACGTTTCGACTTCCCCCAATTTCGAGACCTCGTCAGCGGCGCCAAGACCCTGCAAACAGACGACCAGATCTCGCATCATATCCTCCTGGTCGAACCTGCCGACAAACGTCATCTGGTTCAAGCTGACCTAGTCTCCGCGCATATGCTGGCACTCCTCGCGAAGTGTTTCTCGAGTTTGCCGAGTCAGGGCGTGCGGCTGGTCCACGACCTCTTCTCATCCGATGGGCGAACCAAGGATGCTGCCATACGTCTAGTGGAAGACGGTATGCATGCTTTGTTGGCCATGCCAGGCCATTGGCCACTCACAAAGTGGCCTGGCATGGACAAATATCGCATGGTCGTTTCTGGGGGTTCGAACGATCCCGTCCGTGTCGTAGCCTGGAATGCTGCAGCATCGGGCCCGGTCTACGACACGCTCGCGGTCGAACGTATCAACGCGGGGCAGGAACTCAAATTGGCCGGAAAATACTACCAGTTGCCGAAGACCAGCAACTATGAGAAGATCGACTCCTTCATCTACAACCCGCAGATAAACGTTATCACTGCCTTTCATCTCACCACCACGGCGGCGCACTTCATCGACCTCGAAGGACTGAAGTGGCTCAAAAGTCTTCGTGGCGCGCCAGGCAGCCCTGCGCCCACTATCGACTTGGTCGTCGTCTCCCCTGACTTGACGCTCGAGCTCACAGTGACGGAGTTCGCGCTGGAGATCATTCGGCAGGTTTACCGTCTGCGTCTTCGAGACTGAGCAGTGACGGTCTTAGCGTGCTTGACTATGAGGCGTGTTCGCACAGCTACGCAGCCTGTAGTGAAGCTGATGGAAGCCCGGCAGATACTGCCTTCACGGAGCCTTGGAATCACTGTATCTGGACGTTCAAGTCTCGACCCGCTATCCTGCCGCCATTCCAGGATGTTGCAGCAACATCGACAGGGTTCAGCCAGAACCTTGCTGACAGGCAGCGCCACCCGTTTCTGCCTGTACCCTCACACAAATTGTGACAAGTGGAGGACCATGGCCTATTTGTATGGGTTGTCTGGATTGACTCCTTAAATCATTGCGAGGTGAGAGCATGTATAAAAAGATGTCGCGGATATATACAGGGAGAGATAGCGGTAATGTGTTGTCGCAGGTGGCTATCGTGAACTTCGTGCACAACCAATCCCTCAGAATCCTGAGAGCGCAATTCCATGCGACCCCGCAACGCTAAGTGCGTAATGGTCTGAGGTCCCGCGATCCAGCACGATTTGCACTAGCACGTTCCGTGCCTGCTTTGGCAGACTAGCGAATGCAACTGAAAGCTCGCAAAGGTCGTACAAGACTCAAGCTCGCTGGCTGAGCACGAGTTAGCCCTATCGCGCTGACGGACCCAAGGTCTGCAGCTCACCGCCTTGGCTGCCCAGTAGCGTGCAGTGAACGACCACAGTAGGATAGGTCTTGCACCATCCCGCCGTCCGCATCCATCTCATTTCCATCCCTCCGCCTCTGACTTTCCCTCTGTGGGCGAAGCCTCGCTCTCCGTTGTGGGTAATGCATCGCTCTCGTCCGTGGTCACGCTGTGCACCTCGCTGGCCTCCAAGCTTGCAACTCCATTCGTCTCCCCGTTTACCTTGCTAACCTCCATCACCGAAGATGCAACGCTGGCGCTCGTGGACGACGTTTCGTCCGACAGCTGCGCCGAGTCAGAAGAGAGCGCGCTCATCTCCGTCGGCACCGCAGTCCCCGGCCTGCTCTTCGGGAGGTGGACATCACGATGCGAGACCTCAACGCGCCAGACGTCGTGCGCGAGGGTCTTGCGAAGCTCGCGCGCGAGGCGCTCGACGAAGGCGACGCTGCGGTGCTTGCCCTTGCGGCAGCAGACGGCGATTGTGAGGGTGTGACGCGCAGCCGCATCGTCGTGTACGCGCTCGTTGTCGGAGCGCCCTTCGTCACGATGCTCCTCGCAGAACCTTCCGACTGCGTCGAGGACCTCATGCAGGACCTCCTTGAATCGTAGGCGTACGCCGTCGTCTGCGAAGAACCACTCTTGCATCACTTCTGACGTGCCGAGGTGGGCTTCGCGGACGGGCTTGGGAGGATTGGGGAGGTCGCGGATGTCGAAGGTGAGGGCAGGGGTGATGTCAGGGCGTCCGCGTTCGAAACCGTAGGTGATGAGGCGAAGGGTGTACGGTGCAGGGTCTGTGTGAGAGGAGGACGCCAACTGACTGGTCGAAGTCGATGCTTTGAGATGAGAAGGGACATGAGGGGTATCGAGGGGAGCGAGTAGGGGGCGGTCGAGGATGGGCGTCGCGCGGTCGGGATTTGGTTTGAAGTTTGGGTCGAGGGGGTCCAGTGCAGCGCCTGGCGTTAGTGGCACGCCTTCAAGCACGATCATGGCGGTGTGGTGGTGCTTGGGTACAGGAATCGTTTTGGAGAGGGATGGTGTTCGCCGTCAACGTCGTCTCGCACGTTCTAGATCCTCGCTCTCCGCGGGTCGTTCGTCGAGGTCTCAGGTAGTTAGGGATGAGGGGGGAAAGCAAGTCGTGGTGGATCGCAAACAGGGAGCTATATTCAACATGACGAAAGCCGAGATCCAAGCAGGATCGACAACTGGGACAAAAGCGCGCCGCAGCCTGAGTCACCGGCACTCGCGTCATCACGTTCCCTGTCCGGACCGTCTCCCGCCCTCCAATGGGCACAAAGAGACCCCAGCCGCCATCCCTATCCATACGGGTGCCAGCCAGAGCGACGACCGACGCAGTCCGGGCATCGGATCGTACGCGCCTGGCTAGCATCTGCTCCAGTGAAACATCATCGTGATGGGGCAGATACGGTATAGCCCTGTGGCAGAGCAATAACATTGTGGCGTACGGTACAGCGCACGTTGGTGATGAACTTGCGCTCAAAAGATGCGAAGAGCAGCCGTGAATAGCTGGGAATCAAAGCAAGAGTCACCTCGAGTCACCACACAACCATACAACAGCGTATATCCCACTGCGCAATCAGATTCCTCGCACCAGTTCAGACATTTTACGGTCACAGGTCGGTACGCCGGTCATACACGTCCATCGCCGGCGCGACGCCCTTGCGTTGCAAATCCGCGGCGACGCGCTCCATGCCCTCCATGACGCGCAACAAGTTGCCGCCCGCGAGTCCCGCGAGATCGTATTTTGACCAGCCGCGGCTGTAGAGGAGAGAGATCTAAAGAAAGACGGCAATCAGTCCGGATCCGCTGGCAGTCTGGTCAGACCACTGACCAAAGCCGGGTACTTCGACACATCCTCCAAACCACTGGGCGTGCTGGAGATGCCGTCGAAGTCACTTCCGAGGCCGACGCTGGGAGAGGAAGGATTAGTTTGGGTCAGGGACATTACACGAGCTACGTACTGCTTCTTGCCTGCCACCGCAGCAATATGCTCGACGTGAGCAGCAACCCTTTCCAGGTTAGCCTCCTCATCCGTCGGGCCCACGAATCCGGGCGCGAAGTTGACCTAAAGAGACTTATCAACATCCTTCCTGGGCTCGCGTGGAACACAACTGTACCATAATCACAGCATCCTTCTTGCCCTCACCCTCACCAATGAGCTGCAAGATGTCGTCAGGCACATTACGCGGGTGGTTGTGCACGGCGCGAGCGGAAGAGTGGGACCAGATGACTAGTGAACCTCTTCAGTTCTCGTCCACAATCAAAAAAGTCGCACTCCTGCTCACCGGGCGCCTCCGACAGCTCGATCGCCTGCTTCGCTGTCTCGTCCGACGTATGCGAGAGGTCTACGAACATGCCCAGCCTGTTCATCTCCTTGACGAGCTGAGGACCGAGGGCCGGGCTGGTGAGATAGCGGGTCAGTACTCGCATTTGGCTCGGTCGATTTGCAGTTTAACTACGCACTTCAAGCCATGCCACCTGGGCTCGATTCCGCCCCATGCCATACCGCACGAGTCCGCGAAAGGGTTGTTGCAGGTGTGCGTGAGCGTCATGTAGCGGACGCCGAGCTCATGGAACTGGCGGAGGGTACCGATGGAGGCGGAGATCTGGTGCGCGCTGCGGAGGAAGGTCAACTCACCAGCACGGAAGATAAGGGTATAGCATTAGGGTGAGGAAGTGATACGCACCCCTCAATACCGAGCAAGCTCGCGATCTTGCCGGCGCGAATGGCCTTCTTGACGTCCGCAGCGGTAGTGGCGAGGGCGAAGGTCTACAACTCCGTGTGAAAAGGGAGGCTCGCCCCACGAGGAAGTACGAAAGTGACGCACGTCCGAGTACTTGTCAATGAGGACCTTGGAGAGGTCAATTTGCTCCATAGTGTCCCTAACCGACATGCTCAACTTTGCGCGCCACCGCATGGGTAGTAGCATACCTGACGCTCAAGGTCGCATTCACATAGTCCGGGCCCTCCTCTTCGGGGTCGGGGCAGGGGGTGTAGACTGACCTATTCATGAAGGATGCGTGAGCACTCCGCCTTGTCTCTCACAGCCCGGTTTGAAGGCTCACCAGAAGAAACCGCCGACCTTGCCCTTCCTCAGGCGCTCAATGTCAACGTGGTAGGGCATGTCCTTCTCGAGGTCGAACTTCGCCGGGTCGTTCTTGAAGATCATGCGCACAAGCCATGGGAGGTCTATACAGAGGATCGGTTAACCTCACATATAGTGTATGTCGCGTAGCACGCACCAATGTGTCCGTCCTATGAGTAAGGGCATTCAAGCAAGTAGAAGGGAGGGGAGTACACGATCAGCACACCGCTCCATACCCTCAAGACCACCACACCACTCACAATAACCGGCGCAGTCTTCAGTATCACATCCGCCGCCAGATCCGCGTCGTACGGCATCATCCCCAGCCACACGCGCAGGCTATCGCTCCCCGCGTTCGCCGCCGTCATCAGCACGACCGCGGCCGCGAAGACGATGGTGACGAGCGACCAGATGATCGCGCGCGCCTTCGAGGGGCGCTTCGCTGGTTCATGCCCGTTGGGGAGGTTGAGGAGGGGGGAGGTCTCGCTGCTGGCGACACGGGCACTCATGGTGCGAGGAAGGGGGGAAGGGCGCCGAGGTTGTGTGTAGATAGCGCAAGGAGAAAAGGGTGAACGAGCGAGGGAACGTCGGGCGGGATCAACGCGGGATAGGCGCCCGCGGCGGCGGGTTATAAAGCCTCGTGATCGCAGTGAGTTGATGACACCTTCGCCGGTGAGGCACAAACTGAGATAAGCGGGCGAGGGTGAGCCAGTAAACATCGTCGAGCCTTGCCAGGCGACTATCCGCTCTCAGTGCGAGTCCTCAGCAGTTGAGACGAAGACTTTTAGTATACGTGACACCGTAGGGGTTCTACCTTATTCACTACTACTTACAGTTACACTGCGCGGGAGGACTGCTCTGAGGAGAGCACACTCGGAAGGGAGATTTCACTGGCAAAGGGGCGACAGATACGCCGACTTCGTCACTCACTCACTCTTGTAGTGACGCACTGCCTCAGGAAAAATATGGGGACGTACGCACCAAGAGCCAGAAGGAAAGGTCACTACGACAAGACGAGCATGGTTGCCACGAAGATGAGCATACATTTCCATGACAAGTAATGACGACCAACATACAGTATGTCACCCTCCAAGATCACAATGCGCAGGGCAAGCGAAGGATAAGGCAGCCACAACACTTTAGTAGGGCTTGTGCCTGTTGTTCTTCAACTCCTTCTCGAGCATCTTCGCCTTGCGATGACCAATTTCGACCGGGCGAATGGTGTTGTCCGCCTTCTTGAGCCTGATGGGACGGTTCCCAACATACTTACCTGCGTGTGAGGTGAGAGACAAGCGAGTGGCATAGGGTCGAGAAGCTTACCATCCATCTCTTTCCAAGCCTTCAAGAAGTCCTCCGGGTCGGAGAAGGCGATGAACCCGTACTTGGCCTATATAGTCGATGAGTGAAGGTGTTCTCATGGAAGGACGTCGAGTACTTGCCTTCTGGCTCAAGCGATCACGGATGACGCGTGCCTTCTGGAAGGAGGGATACTTGTTGAAGGCGTTGGACAACACGTCGTCAGACACATCGTTACTCAAGTCGCCCACAAACAGACGGAACCATGCTAGTGACAGCAAATTAGCATCAAATAGCGCGTACATGGCATAGCAAACTCACAAGGATTCCATTCCAGTAGAGTCTGATCCTCCCAAACTTTCCCTCCACCCTTCCTCAAGACGGTCGTGCGCTTGCCACCTTTGGCAAGTTTCCCGCCAGCGCCACCCCTCTTGTCGATAGCAGCACCGGGTACGTAGACACTCTGTTGGGCAAGAATACCGACATCGTATTCGTACGCATTCGCGGGTACGGGTGCCTGGTGCGAGGAAGAAGCGCCTGGGATTGGGTAGGAGGGGCCGGCGTACGGTTTGTAGTATGGATTGATATCGCCACCGTTGTTGTAGTAGGGATCCATAGCGTAGCGTGCGTAAGGCGTGGAGGAGATGATGGTCGGAGACAAGGGACGTGACTGACGAAAGAGGCACAGGTGGCAGTGCTCCCGCGTGCGTCGCGTTGGTCCCGCGTGGCAATCCGATTTGAGTGAGCCAGGCAGAAACTCGTCCGCCCCACCCAGCAAGTACCCCTCCCCCGGTCCTCAAGGTGTGTATGCTGTCCCTACATTGCGCGACGGCGCGACGATGCCCATCTACGCCATCACGCCCGGCGAGAGCGCGAAAAACGCGCGCAAAACGCTGGATTGGCGCTCCCCCGATCGGATGAGGTGCTGATTCTGCGTGCCCAGATGCCGTTCGTCAAAAAGGTCAAGACCGACGCCTACTTCTCGCGCTTCCAGGTGAAGTACCGCCGGCGGAGAGAGGGCAAGACCGACTGTGTGTAGCTGTGCCGTTCTTCGCGTTCATCGAGTGACTGGTTTGCAGACTATGCCCGCAAGCGCCTCGTCACCCAGGCGAAGAACAAGTAGTGAGTATATCTCCGCATATGTACTGCTACAGCGATCTGACTCTCTCTGTAGCAACGCGCCGAAGTACCGCCTCGTTGTCCGCTTCACCAACAAGCAGGTCATCGTGCAGATCGTCTACGCGCGTCTGCAGGGTGACTTCGTTCTCGCGGCTGCGACCTCGAAGGAGCTCCCGAGATACGGCATCAACCACGGCTTGACCAACTGGACTGCTGGTGCGTGTCGAAGCCCTCGCAGCAGTAGTGGATCTTATCGAAATTTGCAGCTTACGCCACCGGCCTGCTTGTCGCTCGCCGTGCTTTGACGAAGCTCGGTTTGGCCGACAAGTACGAGGGTGTCACCGAGCCCGATGGCACGCTCACCATGACGGAGGCTTTGGACGAGGAGGACGCGCCGCGCCCCTTCAAGGCTTACCTTGATGTCGGTCTCAAGCGCACTTCCACCGGTTCCCGTGTCTTCGGTGCCATGAAGGGTGCCAGCGACGGTGGTATCTTCATCCCCCACTCCGACAAGCGCTTCCCCGGCTACGACCCGGAGTCGAAGGAGCTTGACGATGAAGTGCTCAAGAAGTACATCTACGGCGGTCACGTCGCGGAGTACATGGAGAGCTTGGAGGAGGAGGATGACGAGCGGTAAGTCGGTGTACTCATCTTCAATCCGGGAGACTCACGGAATGCCCTAGCTTCAAGAAGCAGTTCTCTACCTACCTCGAGGACGGTGTCGGCTCCGAGGACATCGAGGAGATCTACACGAACGCTTACGCCGCGATCCGTGAGGACCCGACGTTCAAGCCCACCGAAAAGTCGAAGGACTGGAAGGCGGAGACCCTCAAGTACAAGACCCCTCGCCTCACCTACGAGCAGCGCAAGGAGCGCATCGCCGAGAAGATCGAGAAGTTCAAGTCCGGCGAGATCGAGGTGGACCAGGACGAGGAGTAGACGCTCTTCCCCTCTTATATCCTACCGCATTTCTATGTTCCTATGCTCTATGCACGCAGCAATGCATCAGGCCCTATGTGCACACTTTACGCATTCTACTTGTTGTGATCTTGAGGCCGCTAGAAAGGCAGAGAACGTCGAACTCAGGTCGGGAAGCGGAAGTGCTGCTATCTCGGAATGCGTGGCGATCACATCTCGATTCAATCATCAGTGATCGGCGGCGCCTGCAGGCCGCCGTGTTCCAGCATCTCGACTTGCGCACGCTGCACCCGACGTGGCGCTCTCCTCTCTTTTCTCATGTCTGGCGACTTGGACTTCCTCGCGGCCAATGTGCTAACGGACCAGAAGCGCAATGGAAAGCCCTTCCTGAGTGAACCGGCGTCGGGGCCGCAGGAACCTCCAATTCAGCCCAAGAAGAACACCGTTCTCGTCAGTCACGGAAGACCCCCTTGGTGCGCGTGCTCGCATGATTGGAGCTTCATACTCTGAACTCTGCAAGGTATGGAGAAGATGGTGAACCGCTGTTCGATGCGTTCGTTATCGCAGTCGCTGGTTTGTGCTATACAAGACGCATGCAGTTCACGCGACTGATCGACGTACGGCAGGCGGGTCTGCTAGCGGCAAGGTGCGTCCCGTGTACTGTCTGCAGGTTGCTGAACTGACTTCCAACTGCAGACACATGTATCCAGACAGATTGTGAAGGCTCTTGGATCAATACCTTCTGTTATCATCCTGTCTCAGGTGAGTTAGCCCCCATGTCCCCCCTCTGCTCGTGTGCCAACATATATGGGTCGCATTAGGACTCTTTCTATAAGCAACATGGCCCAGAAGAGATCGAGCTAGCCTATCAGAACCGGTTCGACTTCGACCACCCGGACTCAATCGATATGGAGCTGTTTGCGAAGGTGTGAACACCGTCTTCTGTGTACCCTTCCCCTTCCTTCCCCCTTCATGCATCATCACCTGTGGTGATAAGCATTGTTCATCAACATGAGCTAACGTACATCTCATAGTGCTTGAGTGACCTGAAGGCTGGCAGACAGACGAACATCCCCATCTACTCCTTCCAGACCCACCAGCGTCAGAAAGAGACGCAATATCTCTATGGCGCGGCTATTATCATCAGTCCGTGCATTCGAGGATCATCTCCGCTAGTCACGACGCTGATTCCTTCTGTAGCTGAGGGAATTTTAGCTCTGCATGACGCTAGGTTGCGAGAGCTGTATGATCTGAAGGTGACTACACTATTGCGGCGTATAGCGGGGCTATTCAATCACACGAACAGGTCTATGTGCAATGTGACTCCGATCTCATGCTCGCTCGACGTATTCGACGCGATGTTGCAGAGCGCGGCAGAGACGTGAGCGGTATCTTGGATCAGTAAGTCCGCTCCTCGCGCTCGGATATCCTCAAGCATACTTACTCTCTCTTCGTTAGATATCTACGCTTCGTGAAGCCATCCTTTGATCACTTTGTTCAACCCAGCGCCAGTCACGCTGATATCGTCAGTTCGCATGACCTTCATTGTGGCAACGCAGTTATTCACGGGTATATAAGATTGTGCCAGGAGTCAATAACGACGTCGCTATCGACTTGCTCACCACCCACATCCGCCGCAAGCTCAAGGAGCGCTCCAACCACTTCCGACACAAAATGGCTATCCCGCGGATGTACTTGCACGAGGATGTTGAGGCCTCGCTCGACGCCCTCAACCTGACGATATTGCCCATGACGCCGCAGCGCAAGGTCAGTGACGAGTCGTTGTCGTCCTCTGCCACGTACTGATCCCTTCAGGGTGTCTTCACGATGCTGAGAGATAAGAATTGTAGCAAGCAAGACTTCATCTTCTATACTGATCGTCTGGCGACCACCCTGGCCGAACACTCCATGCAACACCTACCCTTCGTTCCCCACGAAGTCATAACGCCAGTGGGCGTACCATGTAAGGGGAAGAGAGTAGCAGACCAGGTGAACCCAATTCTTGCGTCCTATCTCAGCGGAAATGACTGAACAGCCATTTTCCGATGCAGCAAATTTGTGGCGTGTCTATTCTACGCGGGTTAGTACCGCTCCACCAAACCTCTTAACAGCGACTGATTGGCCTTTAGTGGCGGCGTACTAGAGCGAGGCTTCCGACGCGTCTACCACGATGTTCCCATCGGCTCGCTCTTGGTCCAGTCTGAATGCCTCACGGGCGAACCGCTGCTCTTGCATACCAAGCTGCCCGTGTGCGTACGTAACAGGGAGACTGCAAAGAACACATACTGTTTCATACTGGATGCTCAAGTGAGAAACCTTGCCATACAACGCCCCCTTCACGTTATTGACTCCTCGTTCGAACCTAGATTGGGACCGGGGCAGCTGCGCTGATGGCTATACGAGTTCTGCTGGACCATGGGGTACCGCAGGACCATATCATCTTTGTCACCCTCCTTGTCGCTCGGGGCGGGGGCATTTCGGTGCTGCGGCGGGCTTTCCCTCATGTGAAGATCGTTTGTGTAGCGGTAGACGACGAGATGAAGGAGAGGTGGTTGGAGGGGATCAAAGGCGACGAGAATCCCGAGGGTGTCGGCCGTGTGGGTTGGGTCATGAGCCCAGGAATGGGCCAAATCGGTAAGAACGATCCTTCATTGACGCGCTTACCTGTTACTGACAGTAAACACCAACAGGCGACCGGTACTGGCTATAAACTCGCATCAATGAGCACCACATCAGTCCACTCAATTTTCCGAGGGATACTTTCGCATGAGCATATCGTACTGGGGAATACATGTTGCATCGCTACCTTTGCTTTGTATGTACAGCCTGACCCGATGGTCCAAGTTCAACTTGCGGACATCAGCCAGGCAGTCACGTGACAACGTGGCTTAAAGTCGAACTGTATAGTTGATGGCACGTGCGATCGGGGACAGATCCAGCTCATCGTCGTGTACGGCGCGCTCAGCAACAAGACCTCAAGACTTCAAAAATGGCCTCCCGCCCGACGGTGAACGTTAGGACGTCCTCTGGAGGTCTGTCTTTCGAGAGTATAATGCAAGTTGCGAAGTTTTGACATCCGATCGCGTATAGAGGCGTCCACCTCCCTGCCCCTCCCGGCGGTCTTCACGGCCCCCATCCGTCTGGATGTCGTTGCGGCTGTCCACAGTGCGTATGGAAGTCTACTGATGCGAAACGATCTCTGAAGATCTGTGCAGAGAGCGTCGCGAAGAACAAGCGCCAGGCGTACGCCGTCTCTGAGAAGGCTGGCCACCAGACTAGCGCGGAGTCTTGGGGTACCGGTCGCGCTGTCGCGCGTATCCCCCGTGTCGGTGGTGGTGGTACTCACCGCTCTGGCCAGGTGCGTGCTTCAATGGAGAACTCTGTAATTTTCACTAACGAGAAGTAAAGGCTGCCTTCGGTAACATGTGCCGTGGCGGTCGCATGTTCGCGCCCACCAAGACCTGGCGCAAGTGGCACGTCAAGGTGAACCAGAACCAGCGCCGCTTTGCGACGGTCTCCTCCCTTGCCGCCACCGCCCTGCCTTCCCTCGTTCTGGCCCGCGGTCACCGCATCGAGGAGATCGAGGAGGTCCCTCTCGTCATCGACTCCGCCGCCGAGTCCTTCACCAAGACGAAGGAGGCTGTGGCCCTTCTCAAGACCCTCAAGGCGTACCGCGACGTCGTCAAGGTCTCGAACTCGCGCAAGCTCCGCGCGGGCAAGGGCAAGCTGAGGAACCGCCGCCACCGCCAGCGCCGCGGCCCCCTCGTCGTCTACAACGAGGACAACGGCATCGTCAAGGCGTTCCGCAACCTCCCGGGTGTTGAGCTCGTGAACGTGCGCCGCCTCAACGTCCTCCAGCTCGCCCCGGGTGGTCACCTCGGCCGCTTCGTGATCTGGACTGAGGGTGCCTTCGGCCTCCTCGACGAGGTCTTCGGTACCTTCGACAAGGCGTCGACCCACAAGAAGGACTACCTCCTCCCGACCGCCAAGATCACCAACCCGGATGTCACCCGCCTCATCAACAGCGACGAGATCCAGTCGGTCGTCCGCCCCGCGGGCCAGAAGATCCAGAAGCGCCCCTGGACCCAGAAGAAGAACCCCCTCGTCAACAAGGCCGTTCTCTTCCGCCTCAACCCGTACGCCAAGACCCTCCGCCGCCAGGAGCTGCGTACGTCTTCACCGATGTATACTGAGATGGGCATTGCTAACAACAGACACAGTCAAGCAGGAGCGCATCAAGGCGAAGGGCCACAAGAAGGAGAAGAAGAAGTCGGTCGGCAAGGTCTTCCTCGACAACCTTCACGCGCCCTAAGCGCTGTTTCTGCTACCTCATGTTTGTCTATGCTGCACGTACATCGTATGCTCCCCATGTTCTATATGGCACATGTTGGACGCCTCTGACGCGTCTTATCATCGCACCTGTGCATGGATGTCTGAGCGAGAACACGAACATTTGAGCGGCAAACTGCCAAAGTGCACCGCTATGCAAAACAAGTCCAAAATGAGTTGTAAGTATATGCGACGGGTTTATGATCCCTGTAATGCTGCGTGAATGATACCCTCTATCCACCCCAGCAAGGACTGCCCGGGTGCCTTCTCCGCCTTGGAGAATACATCCGTCTTGCCCTCCTTCGGTGACTTGCTGTCCAACCTGTACACCGTGCAGTCGATGGCGTAGTCTTTTCCGTATGTGAGTTTGACGGTCCTGTGAGGCGATGAGCGTCCGATGCCTGAGTGTCAGACGCGTCGTGCGTGTCGAATCCAAGAAGCATGTATGCGCAGGCGAATGAAAACTCACACTATACACCCTTCCCACCGCCCAATACACCGATCGAGGTCGACGAACCAGGTACCGCTCACCGACGCGCACGCCTCCTCGCCAATTTGGCATATGCGTAGGAGCAGGCATTTATCGACTTCGTCGCCAAGGAGTTGAGTGAGCTAAGGGAGAGTTAGTGAAGTCGAGTTGAGTCGAGCCTGCGGATGAGAAAGATCATCAGTGCAACAAAACACACCTGCGGAAGGGTCGCGATCGAGACTTGCGCCTGCGCGAGATGCGCCACAAGCGTCGACGGCGAGTGAAAGGTGAAGCGTATTGAATGCCTAGCGGTCGTTCTGTCAGCGCCTGTCCCCAAATGCATCCCACAAACCCACCTATTATCCACCACCAACACCCCCTCCCCGCCCACCGGCCGATTGATCACCTGCTCCTCCCCCAACATCTTCGTCAACTCGACCCCCAACTCGCCCACCCGATCAAACCTCAGCCCACAGGGAATCCCCACCGCCCGCACCGCGCGCGCCATCCGATCCATCTCCCCGCGGATGCGGTCGCAGAACACGGCGTACTGGATCAGGTCGATGATGGGCTGGAGGATGGGCGGGGCGTGCTGGAGGTAGGGCGTGCCGGGGAGGAAGGGCTGGGTGGAGGAGGAGGAGGTAGAGGCGGGGTTGGCGGGGTCAATACAGAGGGCGCCCGGAGGGGACAGGCGCCGTTTTTTGTTGATGGCGTGTTGGCGGAGGAGGAGAGCCTGGAGGGCGGCATAGATGAGGTCGCATTTGCCGGCGTCGGTGGGAGAGGTAGGGGTAGGGGCGGTGGCGAGGGCGTTGGAGAGGAGGGTTTCGTTGTCGACCTGGGTGGCAGTCAGTGATGCTGTCCAGTCGTTGTATGTTTGCGAGGGAACCCTTACCATATCGAAGCGTAACGACACCCCCTGCGCGGCCTCGATTACGATGAATTTCTCCCTCACATGCGCGGCGGCAGTGGGTAGGTGCCCTGCCTCGCGCACGAGCACAGAGAACATCTCGCGGTCGACCATCTCGTGCTGCGCTTGCTGGATGAGCCCATGCAGCGTTGATGCTTCCTCTTGCGCGTGCAGCGCTGGTGCATCTACAGGTGCGTGCGTGATAGTATTCTGCGACTGCACACGCGCGCCGGAAGGCAGGGTGGTCGTGAGCGTGACGCGCAGGCGCGTGCGCTGGCGGTGTGGGAAGTTGAGCGGGTCCGTGTCGGCCTCGAAGGAGCCCATCGTCGCGATAGACTGGCGGCGGAAGGCTGGTGGGGCTGTGGGGGGGGGAGAGGTTAGTGCACGTTGGTAGTTTGATGTGTATATAGGTGGTTGACTTACACTCCTCCAACCCAAAGCAGACCAAGAGGTCCATCGCCGTCTTCTCTGACCCTTTCGCTTGGGCCATCCACAATGGTAAAGGCGCGGGCACCATTCCCCAGTTCTCGCGCCTGATCTTGAGCGCGTTGAGGAAGTACTTCTCTTCCTTTATTCTGCTGCGCTCCATATCCTCCGCCGCATCTTTGAAGAGCTTGGACGCCTTGCGCAGGGCCTCGTCCTTGCTCCCCAAGGCCAGCTGTGCATTGAAGGCTTGGACGGAGGGTATTGGTGGTGGTTTAGTGACGATCGTGGATGTGAGGACGTCCTTGGGGAGCTCGGGGGCGTTCTGTGCGGGGATTGGTGGGCGCTGGCCGAGTTGAGGGAGAATGTCGTTGGGAATGGAGGACGTGGGAGCGGGGTGGGACGCGAGAAGTAGAGCTATGAGATCTCGAGCTTGTGACATCTCTCCCATGGCAATCCTGGCCACTTCATCAACAACAATGAAGGGGAACTGGGGGATACTCACGCGAGGTCGGGCATGATCTGCTGCCTGAGTTTGACTAGGTCATCATAGGGCATGATTCTCTCCTTCTCCTTCTTCTTGTCTTCTTCAGCAGCATCCTTCTCTTCCTCTGGCTTGGGCTCCTCCAGGTCCGCGCCATCGTTTTCAAGGAAGTGCTCGTCGTATTTTTCGAAAAAGTCACGTCCGCGCTCGATGAATACACGCTGCACTTTCTCGCCAAGTTTCTTGATGGGGTCCTCCTGGCTGGACGAGTGAATGAGATACACACGCTGGCTACGATTGACGCGACGCACGGTTCGTAGATGTGTTCCCCATTATCAGTGATGTCCTCAAGGACGGGTATTCGTTCCCCATTATCGTACTTGTATGGCCGCTCGAGAGATAGTTTGAGTTTCTGCCAGTCTGAATCCCCGTCCATCGCGCAATGAAGGTCGCGGACAATAGGCGCTGGGGTGATGTGATCGGCCCGGGAGTCGGCCCGGCCCGGCCGCGTGAGTCAAGAAATCGGGGAGATCGTCTGTATTCCTCTGCAATCGGCCGTAATGGTCCGTTCATCTGCAATGCTCTCGCCCGCCGACCAGCAGACGCCACCGTCCCCCACCATCTCAAACAAGCGCAAGAAGGTTGAGGACGAGGACGGGCAGGGCCAGGCTAAGAAGCAGCGCACGCGCGTGAGGTGAGCACGCCCCCTTGCCCTCTTGATTTTCGATGAACTCGGCCAGCAGCTTCTCCTGCGCCGAGTGCCACCGCAGGAAGCAGAAGGTGTGCGATTGCCTACTTCTTGAGACCGACACTCACCCCTTACCCCCCTCCCCCCAGTGCGACCGACAGATCCCCTGCTCTCATGTGCGCGGACCGACCTTTTCCTTCTACATCTCGTTGACACGCCTCGCAGTGTATCGCGCGCAAGGTCCCCGAACTGTGCAAGGCCTATACCCCCGGCAAGCCAGACCAGGACCTCAACCTCCGCGTCGCCCGCCTCGAGCACATCATCGAGCAGGCTCTCCCCCAGTACTGGAACGGCAGCCGCCACTCTTCCTCCGCGCTCGACGAGGATGCGCACGAAGAGCAGGACATCACCACCGGCACCTTTCAGAGCGGCCGCTGGTACGGCAGCAGCGCGTCTACCAGCCTCGCCCCCCACTCGCTCATCGATCAGGTCCGTCCTCAATCCCCTACACCCGGGCCCTTCTTACCCCTCACAGCTCTCGCAAGCAGGCATCACCTCCCAGGGCCTTTCGCAACAATCCGAGCCCAAGCTTCAGCCTCCGCCCCCCTCCGATCACGAGACGTCCGCCGCCGAAAAGTTCAAGCTGCTCGTGCACGAATGCGGCGTCCCCGCGCACAAGATCTCTGAGCTCATGCAGGAGCTGCCCCCCGCGCGCATGTCTGACGTGCTCGTCGACTACTATTTTTCGACGATGTGAGTGGGGGGTGAGTTGTCTGTGTGTGCGACGCTGACAGGTTATCAGAAACTGGACACGCTATCCCATTTCCGAGCGCGAATTCCGGGTGGCATACGATGCCGTGCGCGCGCACGGGAATGAGGGGGCGTGCAACCCCAACGACGTCCGCTTCCTCCCCCTCCTCTTTGTCGTGCTCGCGATCGCGTCTCGCCTCGCGCCTGACAGCATCGCGGGCGACGCGCACCACAGACGGGCGGTCTCGTTGCGTTACTATTGGTCGTGTAGGTGCCGCAAAAGCTTCACAAACAATCGCTGACCCCTCCTCAGCCCGACGCGCGTTGCTGATAGCAGTCGCCATCCAGCCCGACTCGCTGGATATTGTGCTGACTCGACTGCTGGTGGGCCTTCCTCACCCCCGCCCCATCCCCCACTCACCCTGCGCAGAGCGCGCGCTTCCTCACTTTTGACCGCCGTATCACTGAATGCTGGAGTCAGCTGGGCGCGGCTGTGCGGACGGCGCAAGCTTTGGGCCTACACCGCGATGGATCGACGATGGTGAGCTCGCCCCGTTTATTAATTATCTTGCCGCTCACCCTCGCTTAGGGCATGAACGCGCAGCTGGTCGAGTACCGGCGGCGGATCTGGTCGTACCTGTACCACGCGGACCGGTCGTACGCGCTCGTGCTCGGCAGGCCGCACTCGATCCAGGACGACTACACGTCGACGCTCGTTCCCTCACATGTAGACGAGGACGCGGCGGCGGCAGCGAACGGCGTGCTGACGATCTACCCCATGACGCACCCGACGCGGCTGACGTTCATCATCCTGCGGCACTACCTCGCGAGCATCATCGGGCAGATCGTGTCGCACTTCCAGCGCGTGCACCCGCCGCCGACGTACAGCGAGGTCGTGCAGCTCGACGACCAGCTGGTGCGCTTTATCACGAATCTGCCGCCGCATTTTGCGCTCGACCCGGACCGCTCGCTGGACGAGACGCACCCGTACATCCCGATCCACCGCTTCCTGCTCATCACGGAGATCCTCTTCGTGCGCACGAGCCTGCACCGGCCGTACCTCCTGCGGCGGCTCAAGTCGGACCGCTACGACCGCTCGCGCCAGGCGTGCTTCGAGTCCGCGATCCGCGACTTCGCCGTGCGCAAGGCCTTCCGCGAGTCCGTCCCGCAGGAGGCGCGCGACGCGCTGTCGAACGCGTACCGCGAGTTCCAGACGGCGATGATCAGCGGCATCTACCTCCTGCTCAACCCGCACGGGCCGTACGCGAAGGACATGCACGAGATCCTCGACGGCTTCCTGCTCGACCACGAGGGGCAGCGCGAGATGGACGAGACGACGCGGCGGGAGGTGAAGACGATTGAGTTCTTGAAGGCGAAGGCGTCGCAGGCCGAGGCGCAGGACGCCACCTCCGTTGGCTCCGCGGGCTCGGACAGCTCCGCGCAGCTGCTGCTCGGGCTCAAGCAGGGCGGGGGCAGCACCGCCACCTACTCCCCCTCGCGCGGCGCGTTCAGCAGCCTCGGCCCGCACCCGCCGCCGCCGGGCCTGAACACGTCGCCGACCATCCAGCGCCTCCAACACCAGGTCGCGGACTACCCCGTCGGCTCGCCCGTCTCCGGCGGCAGCCCCGCGGAGGACGGCGAGTCGAAGGCGCAGTCGCTGCTCGACCACTTCGTGCACACCATGAGCAACGGGCCGCCCGTGGACCCGATGTCCTCTGCGTTCTCTTGGGGCGGCTCGGGCGCGGGCGACTTTTCGGGCTGGGCGGGGGCGGGGGCGGCTGCGCCGCCCATGACGGACCCGGCCCTGATGGGCATCGACGGTAATGAGTGGAGCTACTGGGAGGCGCTGGTGAACCATCTACAACGACAGCCCTAATTGCTGGCTTAATGACCGTATGATTTTTCTATTCTGAGACTGCGACCTGACTGCTATTGATCTACTCATGTATTCTTGTATACCGACTCTTGTGTTATTGCTAGTGCTACCTGACCTTATGAGAATCAGCTTCAGTTCATCAAATGCGCCTGCAGCGCGCGACTGAGCTCCATCTTGAAGTCGGACAAAGGATGGTAAGTGGAAGAGGGTGATCGGTCCTTGACCTAAGAAGCAATGGCTGAGCGCTGAACGGTGGATATCACACGCCTCCGCGTTGCAACGATAGGAGTGAAAACAAAATATGCAGCCAACATGGGTATTTCCCGATCTAACATTACAATGGGCACGACAACATATTTGGGCAAGCATGTACAGAAATTCGGCCTCTTGCCAGTCCAGAGCCATCGCGCGCTCACTGTAGACATAGTTCAAGTTGACTATGTCTGCCACGTCTCCATCAAAAAGGAACTCACCATGAAGTACATACGGTTCTCCTGGTTCTTGTGCAGAGGCTTGAAGTTCTTCCTGAACGCCTCCAGCACCTCGCTGGCGTTCTGACTACCGCTGCCCACGCCGGACTCGCTGCCAGACTTGTCGCTCTCCTCGGGGTCGTAGTGCGTCTTAGCGCGCGAGCAGACGATGTCGGCGTCTGCAGACAAGCCAGGCGTCAGCACAACGAAGCTTATATCTACCTCTGAATGACAGTACTCACAAAACACCGGCGCCGGCACCGACACGGTGCGCGTGCTTCTCGCGTAGACGTGGCAGAGTGCGTACGACAGCGACTGAATGCTGTCCGCCGTGAAGTTGTTCTCGTCGTACAGCACCGAGTAGTGCGCCGGGCGTGACGTGCCGAGCAGCCCTGCGTGCGACTGCAGGTAAAAGTCGAACTCGGTCGGGTGCGCGATGACCGAGTCGATGACGGTGCCCGCGGGACAGTTGCCCAGGCCGTCGCCGGCATCCTTGGGATTCACGGGCAGGAAACGGTGGTGGTGGCGCTTCGCCACTATCACAACGGTAATCTTGGCCTGGACGTTGAGCGCGGCGCAAGCCTCTGAGAAGCGTGGTAATCAGTGCCCTCCAGAGACCAGAGAAATTAGAATGAAGCCTACGCTTCAACTGCGGCAACTCCTGCTCGAGCACCGCAGAAAACTGGCCCTCCGACACGCCGTCTCGGTAGTATATGAGGCGCTTCGGCGCAACTGACGCCTTGGGGCGCTTCTCTACGTTCTCGCCGTTCTCCATGAACGCTTTGAGGTTCCCCTTCACCTTCTCGGCGAACTCGACGATGGTCTCCTGGCGCGACGGTTGCACGCCCATCACCGCGCGGAACTTGGTCGCTGAAGCATCGATGTTGCCAACGACGGCTGAGAAGGACGGACGACCGTCGGCTCCGGGTGGCGGGTGAATGCTGTCGGCGCCGATGAGGAGCGTAGGGAAGTGTGGGTCAGCGAGAGTTGGGATCGACCGCGGCTCGAGCATCACGTTGACCCCACCGAGCTTTGCGTTGATCCTGTAGGATGTTGAATATAGAGCATACAGATGGATTTATGGGGATGGCTTACTTCAAGCAGACATTCGAGTAATACTGCTCTTTGGCCCCCCAGCACTTACGGCTCTTCAGCGCCTGTGTCGGGATCCCTCGTAGGATATCACCCCAGCTGGAACTCTCAGTATACGGAGACACTCGAGCCGGGAGCGTTGACGCACTGCTTCATGGCAATGTAGATATCATTGCCTCCCTCCGGCAAGACGACGATGAGGATCGTCGGTTGCCTGATATACATTAATCAGCATACAGGAAAGAAATGGTAGATGGGCCACATACTTGCCACACTTCTTGACCACCTCGTCCAGTCCCTCGACGATGTTTGCCTGGCCATTGAGGGTGTCTTTGAAGGCCGGACGCGGCGTGATGGTCATTCCAAGCAGATGGCCACCTTGCACGATGTCGGACACAAGCTTGTCGATGCGGCCGATGAAGCGGGGATCATAATTGACCACACCCCAGCACTGGATCCCGCAGGGCTCCTTAAGCTTTCTGTCGATACTGATGACTGCATCAGGGTTGCACAAACACGTCGAGAATGTCGACATACTAATTCCAAGACCCTTTGCCTGGCGTGTGAGTGGTCGATGCCTTCGATCCCGTGCCGAATTTGAGCACGGGCGGCGGCAAGACACGTCCGTATGCTTGCACAAACTCCTGCTTGACTTCGACACCGAACGCCCGACAATACTCAGACAGGGTGTAGTTCATATTCTATCCCCGAATTATCAAAGCCGTCAGCGTCAAAGACTCTCAAGAACGCGTTAAGCTGACGCACGGCGTGTCCGCGCTCGATCTCCGCAAAGCGCTCGGCAGGTTTCTTCGTGGCAAACCTGACGATGTCGTCCGTCTTGTCTGCAGGGATCTGCTGGCGTCTGATCTGCCCCGCTGGGACTTCTGCCAACTCCAGAGGGATAAATGCTTTGCTTCGGACCTTATTTTCCATGGTAAGCATGGTAGAATAGAATTTTCTGAGACGTTACCTCAACGCAAATGTTCTTTGGGAAACGAAGCTTCCGGCCCTTCATCTCGCAGTACTTGGCCACGGTTGTCTTGATGGTCTTGCCATCGACATCCTTCATGGCGAAGATGAGCTCTGACGCGCTCAAGCTTGTGAGGCCGGTGATGGTGTGCATGCGCTTCTGTGGACCAGAGGCACCTGCTGACGGCACAGTGATCCGGGTATTGACGAGACTTTGCTTGAGCCGCTGCCGCTCGCGGTGTGGCAGAATACCTGGCGAGAGGCACCTGGGGTCCTTTTGCCCGATAATGGCAAGGCAAAGGTCGATAAGACTCCCCCGCTGTACCATGGCCGCCGTGCTGATATCGAGGTTGATAAAGCAGCGCCCAATCCCGGGGCGGAAGCTCTGGAAGGTCCCCCTCCAAAGCTCGATCCCTCTACCGATGTTCTGACTGCCCACATTGGAATAGAAAGATCGAACCTGGGAGGGATAAACACCGTTCACTGCCAAGCTTCACGAGGACTCACGTTGAAGGGGAATTTCTGACTTGGCTCCATGCGAATGATCACATTCGCAGCCTAGTCATTGTTATCAGAGCGCTCTTCAGGTGCCAGTAGAGATGGAGTAATCACCGTCAAGGTGGTCTGCACATCGCTATCGTGGGATTGCTTTCCGGCGATGAAGCGACGAGCGCTCCTATGACGGGCGTCAACATTGTCAGAGTCAGAACGAGTAATGGTAGCCGTACTCTGGATTGATCTCAGCGACCTTCGTCAGCCGCACGGAGACCTCTTTCGGCGGATGTCCTTCGTTGTTGCCGCAGACGAATCGATACTGCAATGACCACGCGGTGAGCTTACAGCTGCGAAAAATCGAACACATAAATACCTCGTAAGACAAGACACCCTCAGGAAAGGGCAGCTCTCGCGCGGCGTACAAATTCTTGCGACCGTCGTAAACAGCCTTAGGAGTGAAGACGTTCGGAGCGACGTCCTGCTGTAAGGTCTTGATCATCTCCCTCGTGAACCTCTCGGGCGTGGTCTTCTCGGACGGCTTCATGACTATTCACGCAGGTTGTGGGATCAGCAGAGGCATGCGAAAGCCGTTACATCACGCACCGACTATGATGAGAAGGAGCGTGGACATGAATAACCTGCTAGCAAGAACATGGGATGGTGCACACCATCGTAATGATGAATGATCTTGTCGGGAAGTGTAGCTTCGAACGAATTGGCCTTGATTTGGATCTGCGTGCCCGCGGTGCCGAAGTTGGGGCGCTAGCGAAAGACAGTCATTCAATTCAATCGATAGCAGATAGACGACGCGGGCAAGATTGCAAGGCGATGCTGCAAGGCCTATTTTCCCCAGCCGTAAGCGCCGCCACCGGCCTCTTCAGCACGCGTGGGACAGATAATGCATTACCTTCACCCCAATGGTAGTAACATGCTCGGCAATCTGCACCGGAGCAGCCCCACGGCTGGCCGTCGATGTGAACCCTCCGCGGGTAGGTCCCGCGCCTCTCCCGCGCTGGCCAACGAGCGACATAGCTAGAAACGAGCGTATCAGCACGGTATACACGACCTGGGGATGCGCAGCCAGTTATGTGCACGAGCCCCGCAAGGGCACAGGTGGAAAGAACGGCGAAGACGTCCAGACGACGCGAGGGACATAACACGAGGCAAACAGAGTTGGGCGCTTACACGAAGGATCGACCCTCCCACGTCCACGTCCGCGTCCAGCACCGCGACCTGACATCTTGAAAGCAGCAGAATGGCAGATGGATCAGTATGTCGAACACTTCGAGGATGAGGGCGTGCTTGCGCGTCCTCGGTAGGGGAAGGAGAGGGAGGTCAAGGGCGATCGTGGGGAACGCGGGCGTAGTGCTCCTGATAGCGAAGTTCATTGAACAATGACACACACGTGTTGGCCATTGAAAGGTTGGTCTTCTGTCAGTGCGATGGGTCAGTGAGGTTAGGTTATCAGTACAATCAGTCCTCGTGACGGTTTGAATGTGGTTCGGTGTCGCCTCGATATCTTCAGACTCTGCAGCTTGCCTCGGTTGAGAGGCTAGAGGGCAACAAGACTTGTGAGCGGCGATGCCTCTTGTTGATTATCACCTTGCAAATGTACAGGTAGCGAATGTGTATGCTGTGGTTCGAGTCCTGGGGTGAGTAAATACCGTACTTGCTTCCTGTGGAAATATCCCAGCCGTATGCTGTAAGCGCTGTCAATTCGCCAACTCGACGAAGCCCCTTGTAAGCAACATACCGATGCCAAGGACGGCTCGCGAATATCCTCCGTCATAGACCCATCCATCTCATCCCGCCTCATCTCCTCTGCTCCTCAACCAATGCTTCCTTACCCTCAACCTTCTCATCCTCGCCCAACCCCTCATCCTCCTCCTCCCCCGCCATATGCTCCACCTCCTCCTTCGTCCGCCGCCCATCCAGCGCATCCAGCTGCGCCGCCATCAGCGCGCGGAAGCGGCTGTCTGGCCTTCGCACCAGCTCGCGATACGTCCCCGACTCGGCGATCCGGCCGCCTGGAGGGGTGAGGGTGTTAGCAGGTTTCCAAGTTCACGATGACGGGATACACGGCAACAACTCGAGACACTCACCCTCCAACACCACAATCCTCTCCGCCCGCGCAATCGTGCTCAACCTATGCGCCACAAACAGACACGTCGTCTGTCGATCTCTCAATATCCGGTCGATCGCGTCGTTCACCCTCTCCTCCGAACCTGCGTCGAGGGATGAGGTGGCCTCGTCAAGCGCGAGGATCGCGGGGCGCCGGAGGAGCGCGCGCGCGATGGCGAGGCGCTGCCGCTGGCCGCCGGAGAGGGAGAGGCGGGAGACTGGGGGAGGGGGTTAGTGGGAGGTTATGGAGGGGTAGGGGGATTGGAGATAAATAAGGGAAAGGGAGGGGAAGGATGGAGAAGGAAGCAAGAAGACTTACTAGGCGTATCAAACCCTTGCGGCATGCCCCACACAAACTCACAGTTCGCGGCGCGCGCGGCGGCTTCGATGGCTTCGCGGGGTGCGTCTGAAGTCAAGTGTCAGTCATGAAGTTCTGGGCGGCCCATGATGGAGGCCGTGTTTATACAATCGCTGTGCTCACCATCCCACCCATACGCAATATTCTCCGCGACGGTACCCGAGAAGAGTACCGGGTCCTGCGGGACAACGCCGATGCGTGACCGCCAGGCGTTTACGGGTAGTCGTCTGATATGTGAAGCAATCATTCAGTATAAATCCGCTTATCCACTGCTACGCACACGCACCTCACATCCACATCGCCGTAGAGCACCCTACCCTCCACCGGGTCGAAGAACCGGAGGAGTAGCGCGTGTACCGAGGACTTGCCACCGCCAGAGGGACCGCTGTTCAAAGGCAGTACTACGTTAGCCTCTTGCGTTCGAGGGGTCATGCAGAGGGAAAGAACGCACACAATCGCCACGCTCTCACCCGCCTGCACCTCAAGGTCAAAGCCACGGAGGACGTCCACACCGGGGCGAGCAGGGTACTAAGAAAGGTGGAGTGTCAGCAAAGCCGTTCTCTTCCTGCGTCGATCTGCATAGTAGAAAAGAACCAGCTCATCCACTCACCTCAAACCTTACCCCCTCGAACTTCACCGGGGCTGCCGGTGGTAACGTCGCGGGGTCGACTGGTCCGCCGATCGCCTTCAGAATCTCCGCCGCACGCGGGTGCTTGGGGACGCCGGGGACGTCTGGCGGGATAACTGGTGGCCGGTCCAAAAGCTCGAAGACGCGCTGGGCAGCACCGACGCCGCGCATGATGGAGGAGAAGAAGGTGCTGGGACAGGGTTAGCCGAGGCATATCAGAGGGTGAACAAAAGTGGTGAGTGAAGAATATACATGGAATATGTGCCACAAATGCGATTGTGAAGGAGGAAAAGAATGGTAAACAGTGTCCACAATCGGGGGGCAAATTGGGAAGAAATCTGCGCACGTCAGCATTTGTAGACCACCACCGACGTAGACGGTGTAGAGGAGGAGCGAGGTGAGGTCGCCGACGGTGATGGTGCCAGCGGAGACAAGAGTTCCACCTAAGGAAACAGAGAGCGTATAAATGAGGATGGTTGGCGAGGTATAATAGGGCGTAGACACAGGGGATATTATTGGGAAATTAAATTGCAGCAACAGTTGCGTGGCGAGGGGATAGAAAGGTCAAGATCAGCACAATGCTAGTGGCTTGACAGGCCGAAACACGTACCATAACCCAACAAGCCTAATACCGTAAGGTTTCCGCTCCAGCCGGTGCTACCGAAGAAAATGCCAGATGCAACAGCCTCTTGCCGCGCGAGGGTTAGGATGCGGTTGACCTGGAACGCTTTAAGTCAGGATAGAGATGGGCCATCGCAGACATGACGCACGCGCTCGTCGAATCTCCGCTCCTCCCTCGGGTACGCGTTGAACGACTGAACTGTGCGCAGGGCAGCGAGTGCTTCGCCCGACGTCTTGGTCATGTCACCGATGGCTTCCTGCGTCCGATGCGATAGCTTCTTGAGGTAGCGACCGTAGAATACCGCGCCCAGTGATATTGGTGGTACGATAGCCAGCATGAGCATGGTAAGAGTTGGGGAGATGTAAAACATGGCGCCCAAGCCGACACCGGCTTGCACAATACTTCTGAGGCCGTCCGAGAGGTTCTGAGTGAGACTGTCACCAACGATGGAGGAGTCAACGGCGAGGCGGGAAACAATGTCGCCCTCGTGGCGCTCAATGTGGTCCACGTCTTGTCGAAGGGCAGCGGCGTAGGTGCGCTTACGGAGGCCCGCAATGATGCGCTGACCAGCTAGACGCATGATCACAGCGCGCCCCGCATTCGCGACAGCACCGACAGTGAAGAGGAGGACAAGGATAGCAGAAGCAGTAGGAAGGGAAAGACCGAAGGGGATGGCGGCGCCCGGGGTGGCGAAGACGTCGATCAGGCGGCCGATCGTGAGGGGGACGCTCATCGACACCGCGGACGACACGAGCAGCAGACCAGATGCCAGGAGCAGCGGGCGCGTCTCGGGCTTGGCGAGGCGGAGGAGCGCAATGGCCGTGGGCCCGCGCGGGGAGGTGGACGAGGCGCGCGCCGCCGTGTCGCGCCGGAGCAGCCGCCGGATGCGCTCCTTCAGCGTCGGCTCGGGCGGCGGGGGTGGTGGTGGTCGCGGGGCCGGCGGCGTCGCGTTGAACGCGAGCCGCGACGCGCAGAATGGCCTGCGGGTGGCGAGGGACGGCGGGCGGGCTCGCAGCCGGACTCTGTACGGGAGCATGACGGACGACGACAACAGCGACACGTGCGCGATCGCTCGTCCTCCCCAAGCGCCCGTGATGACACAATCCCCGAGTGCCATTCGCTCGCGTTCAAGGCTCAATCTGCACACGTACGACACGATATACGCATAATTGACGCTGGCCATCTAATCCACCGTCTATATTTCCAGACACGTAGCAAAAATGACTGCCTAGCCTATCAGCTATTCGGCAGGGAGTCGAACCCCGCTTTCCCGCGATAGCAAGCCATCCCCTATGGGAGTCGAAAGGCGCGGATGAAGCAAGGGTGAGAGAGGAGGGGAGAAAGGGGAGGGGGACTGGCAGGCTTGGAGAAGTCAAAGGGCACAAAGTAGGCCATCCCTAAAGCGACAGCGGAAGCCAAGGGGACTGGGACTGCAGCAGTCGTAACTTGCGAGGAAAGAGGAAGTGGGGATGACCTCTCAATAGTTATCCAAGAGGTAGCCTGTCACTGACAAAGGATGGAGGGAAAATATTATTAGTAGTGGTGGTGGTGAATATTTACCTACAGCACGTCAGTCTGCTTTCACCTCGCTCTTCCTGTCATATACGCTCGAAGGGTGAATTAGCCAGGTGATTATGCTTCCTGCGCCATAGCCTCCTCCTTCTGCTCATCCTCGCCTTCCTGCTTCAAGTCGCTGACGCGCGTCTTGTGCACCATCATGAGCGCGAGAACGACGGGCATGTACCTGGAGACAGTATTAGCAAGGCGCCATGAACAATCTCTGGCAAAAAGAACGACAGAAGCAATTTGCCACAAATTCGACCCTCTCCCATCATTTACGAACGCGCTTCGAATCAGTCGCAACCACTCACCATAAGCTATGCCAGAACGTATCCTTCGCCGCCTTCTCACCTCCACCTCCCAGACTTCCCAGGCCCCTGCCCCACCATCGCAGCGCCGAACGCCACCAGATCAGTGCCGGTGGTAGGGCAGTGAGCGCGAGCCACCAAGACGTCAACCCAGAGGCGGGGACGAGGAGGGTGGTGCTGGCAGTCAAGAGGGCGAGGTGCCGGATGCCGACGCGCGCGTTGCGGCGCGGGTCTAGCACGGCCAGCATGCGGTAGCCGGCTTGCGCGTACGAGGCGCGAACGCCGTAAGAGAAAGCTAGAAAGGATTGACTGGGTGTAAGAGGAAAAGGGAGCATTGAGACACACCATTGAAATGCGGGAACTGCCAACAGAACAGGAAGGAGAATAGTCCCACCCACGCCAGCGGATTATCCAGTGCGTCGGGGCCCAGTGTCCTCAGCGTCCCTACCTGCAGCCAACTCGCCAACTTGACCGGCCCCTCCTTCAACCCCTCCCACATTCCGCCCATGCCAGCTAACCACCCGCTCGTCCACTCCGGCAGGAAGACGCTTGCGGGATGCGTGCTCGTCGGCCACAGCGCGCCCCCGCACGCGGTCCAGCCCATGAGGGGCGGGATCGCGCCGACGACGGCGCCGATCCAGGTGTTCCAGATGGTGCGGCGCTTGAGGGTGGTGTAAGGCCCGGCGTAGAGGGCGATGTTGGCGGCGGCGAGCGCGGCGGTGGTCGGGTTGACGAAGAGGAGGAGGGTGAGGGTGCCGGCGGTGCCGGTGATGGCGGCGAAGAGGAGGGCGTGGAGGGGGGAGAGGGCGCGTCGGACGAGGGGGCGGTTGCGCGTGCGGGCCATCTGGGCGTCGAAGGGGACCTGGGGGGTGGGTTAGTTGGGTAGATAAGTGGGTGGGGCATTTCAGCGCACCTCGACGAGCTGGTTGAGCGCATTTGCGGAGGCAGAGGCGAGTGCAGTGCCTGCTGCAGTAGCAAGCAATGTCGCTACAGACGCCGCACTCGGGGGCAGCACCTCCGAAAACGAGATGAGCGCCTGCGCATTCGCATCCGCGATCGGGAGCGGGCAGAGCGCGACCGCGGCCATCGTCGCGAGCACATTGAGCACCGTGAGCTGCCGCTTGGCTAGCTGGGCATAGATCGTCGCAAGCCGGCCCGCGGTGAGCGGGGGCGCGGGCTTGTATGCGGAGGCGGGGGCGGGCTGGAAGGCCGAGGCGTGGGGCGAGGTCGCGGGCGTGGAGGCGGAGAGCGGGGTGTGCAGCCACTGGTCGTTGTTGAAGAAGTAGGAGGCGAAGGAGGGGGCGGAGCGGGTAGACTGAAAGCGGATGCGGGGAGTGTTACAGTGGCAGCGCAGGCCGCGCAGGACGAGGGGCCGGAGCCTCAGCATGGTGGGCGGAGGCAAGCCGGGTCGTGCGGAGGTGATCGCGCCGCACTCGATGTGATCACCAGCGGCGTGCCCTCTGACATGCCCTTGGTGTTCGACTCCCCGTCGATGAGGTCTGAATGTCCTTGTGTAACTTCTTGCAGGTCAAATTTGAAGCTTGAGGTAAGGCATCGGAGGGGGGGGACCAAAGTGAGGCTTCGAACAATGGAGGCCCAGGCCCTTGGATGTCGACAGTCAGGGGCATCGGGAAATTGCCGTGACCGTGCCGTGACAGCCATGCAGAGCCGTGCAAGGACCATGTCACGATTCCGATACTTCAAAGTCTTCCTAACCATGTTCTTCTCATTTTGACGCTCTCTCATCGGTACCACAAGCTCATGAGCACCATCTCTTCCATGTGGACCAAAAATGGGAAAACTCAAAATTTGTGACTCGTCATTGTTGCTTCGTTCCCTCCTCGTTGGCGCCCAAAAATGGGCAGTCCGGCGCAGTTTGCATCTAAACGGATCCTCGCCATCCTGGACTGCCAATATGTAGCGCTCAGTAGACGATTAGACGCCATTCTTGCCGCCACCTAAACGGGTCACAATCAAGGAAAGAAGGATGTCACGGAATCCAACACAGCCACATCATGGTCGTGCATGGTCATCTGCACGGCAGTCATGGCCCGTCCATGGCGAACCATGTGCTGCGGCATGGTCTTCATGGCAGTAGGCGCGGTTGACAAGTCCTTCCTGAGGCCATTCGTGGACATACGGGTAGCACACACGCACTTACTTCATCATATACGCTGTCTTGACTTTCATGGCTCTCTTCTAAGGACCAGCACTCGTTCTATTAGCGCACCGATGCCGCCAAGGGACGTCGCATGCGTGATCAGACGGGTAGATATTCAGCGCAAGATAAATTGCATATCCCTGTCGTTACTGACGTAGAGACCTTCCTGGGTCCATGGTCATGGCCAGTGTCACGTACAACGCACGATTGACATGACACGGTCATGGCAATGGTCGTATATTGTAGGCCATGCACGGCCGTGCATGGCTGTCATGGCACTGTCACGGCAATTTCTTGTCACCCGACAGTCAGGAATCAGTTCTTGACTACTGGGCGCGCGAGTACAGCTCAGGTCTCCAGAAGATTTCGTCGGAGCTATCACTGTCAGGAAGGGAGCATTCGCTGGGTTGTCGACGTCGTCACCCTCTACTTCGCCTTATGCTGGTTCATGATCGAGTTCACAAATTACGCTTCCATACTGAGTATGCTTTGCCGGCCCTCAATGATATGCATGTCCACCAATAAGAAAAACAACAACAGGGAGTATGTCGTACAGGGATACAGACGATATAAGGTTAGCACGGGTGTTACAGTAGAGATGCAACGATGCGGTGCGCAGTGCACTACGCGCAGGGCATCGGTCGTGGTGGACCATCCGGGACGATAAGACGGTGAAGCCCAAGCCGAAGACGATCGGTCGCGATCGCTTAGAGCTTGACCTCCTTGAGGCCATCCTTCCAGAAGGTGAAGTACGGGGTCGTGCCATCCTCCTGTGTTACTGTGAGCGGGTAGGATGGAAGGCATGGTGAGGGCTGCTTACGCGGTAGTTGAGGAGGGCAACCATGCCGTCGGGGTTCATGCTCTCGCCGGTGTAGAACTCGTAGTCCTTGAAGTTGCCGATGATCTTCTTCGCGTAGTCGGCGGCGCCCTTCTCGAAGGCGGAGACACGGTCAGGGTTGGTCTCGGCGAGCTTGGCCTTGACGGCCTTCATGTAGCCCTGCGCGCAAGTGTGAGTATATGCGGTGAATGGATAGAGGTACCCGCGGTGATCGACACCGGCTCGGAGCATGGAGGATGATCGCACCTTGAGATACGTCAAGTAGGACTTTTTGTCGAACTGGGTCGACTGGAGGCGGAAGGAGTGGACGACGTTGTTGACCTGCTGGGCACCGTTCTCGATGGCCTCATCCTGCTCCTCCTGCGACGGGTTCGCGCCTGGGCGGGGTGTTAAATGGGTCCTCGATCACGCGTTGGCGTACGCACCAATGTCGACGTCGCCCTCCTTGACCACGATCATCTGGCAGTCGACCTCGTAGACGGTGTCGTCGACGAGCTTGCTGTATGCATCCGCGTTAGCACTGCGATCGGAGAGTGGGGTACGCCCAGCCGTACGCACATGGGGAAGGCGTCGGAGAACATCTCGTCGCCGGTCAGGATATCCTCGTAGAGAAGCATGGCTGCTGTTTTGGCGGGGGAGGCGGTAAGGAGGGGTGGGTGGAGGGAGAGGTGAAGAGATAGAGTGCGCTCGCATCGATCGCGGCTGATTTTATCTGAGGCGGCGTGATCGGGCGCACGTGGCGTCCCAGTTTTCCTTTCCGACACCGACAATAGGACGCTCAGCGCGATGGAGTACGCGCCCGTAGTAGTCCAGCAGGCCCCCAGACCGGGCCCGGCTTCGAGCCCGGAGGCACGCCAGTGGAGAGCATTCAAGCACCCGGTGTTCGTCAAGGAGTACGCGCCGGTCACAGCGGTGCACTTCTCCCCAGCGCGACCGCACCGGTACGCGGTCACGGCGGCGACGCGCATACAGATATACGCACCGCGCACGCAAAAGGTCGTCAAGACCATCTCGAGATTCAAGGATGTTGCGCGAAGTGGGCATATCCGTGCGGACGGGAAGCTAGTCGTAGCAGGAGACGATAGTGGCTTGGTTCAGGTACTTTGCCTTCCCCTCCCCGTCCCTTCGTTCCCCTCTCACCTGTTTCTAGATATTTGACATCAACTCCCGTGCAATTCTTCGTACCTTAGATGCACATAAACTCCCCACCCACGTCGCCCAATTCTCCACCCTCGCACCCACCCAAGTGCTCACTGGCTCCGACGACACTACTGTCCGCCTCTGGGATGTTCCCTCCCAAACCCCTGTCTCGACCTTCACTGCCCACACCGACTACGTCCGTACTGGCACCGTCAGCACTACCAACCCATCCCTCATCTTCACGGGCTCATACGATGGCACCGCTCGTCTCTTCGATGCTCGCAGCGGTGCTTGCGAGATGTCGATGCGTCCTACGGGCAACACCGCACCTCCAGTCGAGCAGGCAGCCCTCCTCCCAGCCGGAACTGTAGCACTTACCACCGCCGGCCCTGTGCTCCGCGTCTGGGATCTCGTCGCAGGTGGCAGGTGCACTCGCGCTCTTTCCAACCACCAGAAGACAGTCACCGCCCTCGCACTCGCGCCCGGCGGCGCCCGCGTCCTTACCGGTGGCCTCGACCGCATGGTAAAGGTCTACGACGTCGCGAGCTACCGCGTCGTGCACACTATGCGGTATCCCGCGCCGCTGCTCTGCCTCGCCATGTCGCCGGACGGGACGCACCTGGCAGCGGGTATGGCGGATGGGACGCTCTCCGTGCGCAGGAGACAGCTACCGAAGAAGGAGCAGGAGGACGAGGATGCCGGGCTGCTGGCCGGCGCGTCATACGAGGCGTTCCTTGGTGGGAGCGCGACGATTGGGCAGGGCAAGGTCAAAGCGAAGGGGAAGGCGAAGGCTACGGGCGATGCGGGCGAGTTCAGGGTGGAGAGCCGGAGAAGGAAGCGTCTGCGCGACTATGATCGCATGCTTAAGGCATTCAAGTACTCGGCTGCGCTCGACGCAGTACTGAAGAAGGTACATATTTTCGACTTCGCCATGCTAGATATGCAGCTCATCCCGTTCCCTCGTCAGAATGTTCCCCCATCCACCACCTTCGCCGTAATCCAAGAGCTCGCGCATCGCGATGGTCTCCGTTCCGCACTCGCAGGGCGCGACGATGTTCTTCTCGAGCCCGTCCTCCATGTCCTTCTCAAGCACGTTGCGGACCCGAGATTCGGCGGTCTGGTGTGCGACGTGGCGCGAGTTGTGCTAGGTCAGTTGGACCCCTTTACTTAACAAATTCCATACTGACATGCTCACCCAGACATGTACGCCCCCGCCCTCGGCCAGTCGCCCCTCATCGATGCCCTTGTGCTCCGCCTGCGCCGCAAGGTGGCCGCCGAGCTTCGCTTCCAGCGCGAGGTTGCCTCTGTGCGCGGTGCACTGGATATGTTGCTTGCTGGTGCGGCGTTGGGGAAGACGGCCTGATGAGCAAGGATATCGTCCATGACTTATAATATTCCTGGCATGGCTCCTCGCGCTGCAATATCGCGAGTCGTAGCAGTACGTAGACCGCGGAAAAGTAGGCTACGCGCCACATTTTGTATATACTGTAGCACGCCGATGTTTGTATACATTCGCTGTCCGTGATGCACCATACCCTCCGACAACCATGAAGAGCTTTGTGGCGATCTCCCTTCCATCGCTACCTCCCAACATTCCACCCCTCCTTCACCTGATCCTCCTCCGGCGTCAGCGCTCCAATGAGGCCCTCCAGGATCTCCCGCTGCGAAAGGCCACCTTCGCCTTCACCCTTCGCTGCTGAGTCCTCTTCGTCGATATTGTCGTGGTAAACCCGCAGCGTCTCGACGACATTGCGCAGCGACTGGCTCTTACGAGACAACATGCGCTCAACATGGTCTCGGATCTACCAATCGCGTCAGCCTCCCTCTCCCTCCTGAACAAAGCAAAAATAAAATCCACTCACCCCATCATCCTCCATCACCACCCACGCCAAAATATAATCCACCGTCTGCAGCGTGAACAACCCACCGTCCAACCGCCTCAAATACCACAAATCCTCCTCCTCCTTCCCCGGCGTCTCCCCACTCGCCTCCAGCTCCACCTTCTCCGCGTCGATCTCCTTCTCCGTTGCCCTTAGCCGCGCGCGCGCGCCGTCTCGGATATCCAAAAGCCTATCGGCCTTCTCGTACTCGCCCTCAACGAACTTGGCGAGGAGGCGGATGCGCGCGGGGGTTTCGGAGGGGATGTGGGTGAAGAGGGAGGCGAGGATGCCGAGGACGTGAGCTGTGTCTTGGGGGAGGGGGGCTTCAGCGGCGGTGTGTTTCTTTTTTGTCTGGGTGAGGGGTGTTTAGTGGAACATGTCTGGTGGTAAAATCATATATAGTACCTTGCCCATGAAGGCGGAGAATAAGCCCTTCAGGCCGCCGTCCTCGATCAGCGTCGTGCACGCTGGTGCGCCTGCTGGTCCTGAGAGTGAAAAGTCGAGTGTCTTGATGGCCAAGGTATGTGACTGCTTCTTGTCCCTTGCATGCTTGGTTAACCGACTGCTGTAATGCGAAGGGATATATGCACTTACTTCACCATTAAGTTCATCAGTTCTACACCCTCTGCATCCATGAAGAGCTTCTTGACTTCAGGCTCATTGAGCGCGGAACATAAGGCGTCAAACAGGTTCTCCATGAACTCAACCTCGTCTGCGTCTGCTGGGTCGCGTCGCCTGTATTGCTGCAAGCTCGTCAGTTTCATCACAATCATACTACAGTCCATACCCACTGCCAACGTCTTGAGCACCGCCTCAATCCCATCCTTCTCACCAAACGCCACCCGGTTCTCCCTGTTCGTCTGCAATAGGATGCTCAGCATCTCTGCAGCGTATGACCGGTTGTCATCGTGCGCCTTCGCCTGTATTCGGTCCAGGATCCATGGGAGGATAGCGGTCTTGGCGACAAGAGGCTGCGCGAGGGAAGGGTCGGATGAGAGAACGTTCTCAAAGACACCGAGGGTGTGGTAGACGCCCTGCCTGTCGGACTCTTCGGCTTCGTTGAGGCGCTTCATGTTGTCGACGAGGAGTTCAAGGACGGATTGAAGGACCTGGCGAAGGTCAGTGAATATGGAATACTTTGTACTCGCAAAGTACGCACCAGTGCATTGATGAGCTCCTTCAACGCGCGTTCGCTCCTTGTGCCGCCCTCTTCGTCGTCCTCTTCCTCCTCGTCATCATCGACGGCCTCACCAACGTCTTCGTCCGTAAGTTCGTGCAGAACTTCGATCACGTCGATTGCAATATCCACATTCTCGTGGCTGAGCAAGCCAATGAGCTTCTCCAGCGCACCCGACCTCACAAGCTCCGGGTATGCGAGCGCAGGCGCCTGCGCAAGCGGCAACAAGGCCTTGAGCGCTGCGTCGAGGTCCGCTTCCGAGTCAATGAACCTGCAGAAAGAGCAAGTCAGCTCCTGTCCCGACCACGTATAACTCACGGACGCACTTGGTCGGGTCGTCCGGCCACTTACTCCGGTGGTCCTGGTTGCGTGCCGCCGCTCGCTCGAAGCGGAGCAGCGTGCGTCGGATGCCCGGAAGCGCGAGCGCGCTTGCACCATCATCCTGCTCGCCAGCATTGTCGAAGATGTTCAGGATCTCCTTCTGCTCGCTCGTCAGGCCGCCACCGAAGAACCTCCCCTCGTCATCCTCCTCTGCGAAGTAGTCCGCGTCGCCGCCGGGTGCGAAGTCTCCAGCATCCTCCCCGTTCATCTCGGCGTCTTCGTCGATCACCTCTATGGGTGGTGCGCGTCCTTTCCCCTTGGCGCTGCCGTTTGTGGGTGGGGTCGGCGCGGGGGGCGCGTCCGTCTTCATCTTTTTGAAGAACTCGGGGTTTGGGTTGTCGGGCATCTTGCGCTTGTTGCCTCCCGTTGAGTATTTCCCACCGGTTAGCCCGGCGCCCTAAGGTCATCAGCATATATGCCTCCACATATTTCACCGCACGCACCTTGAACACATCGTCGACATTCATCGTCGAGCTGCAGCGAACGTCACGGCCGAGAGCAAGACGCGTGCCCACGTGGAAGGCCCTCGGCTGACCGGACCGAACGGTCCCGCGCTAATGAGCGACTCACCGATGATGGCCTCGTTGTCCTCCGCACCTCCACCTCGTCCCCCACCATGACAGCCAGCCCAGACGCAGCACTCGCGGCCGTCGAGCGCAGGCTGCAGAGCGTCCCGCACCAACCAAGCGCGGCACAGCTCGCCGCGGAGCACGACAAGCGCCAGAAGATGCGCAGGATGATCGGTGCGCTGTGGCGCGCCCCCGCCCCCGCATCGTATGCTGACCTGTTCGTGAAATAGACCCCGGCATTGTGAGGCCTAACTCGAAGGAGCAGGCGCTTGCCTCAATGAAGGTGTGTATCGCACTGAGGCTTCTCCCGTGCTTGGAGGGCTATCCCACCATCTCCCGGCGCTTATTGATCGCACTGGTGCCCTGCCACAGATCCTCCTCACCATAGCGGACAACTTGATAAAGGAGCCCGAAAACCCTAAATATCAGCAGTTCAAACCGACGAATAACACGATCAAGAGGAACCTGGTCGATGTTAAGGGTGCATTGGAGTACGCTGTCGAGGTGCGTGTCCAGTATCCCTTCCTTTTCACCTGTACTCACACATCTCTAACACACAGATGGGCTTTCAACCAGACGTGCGTGTATCATTTACCATGAGCTTCGTCCATTTACTCACCAGGATTCGATGTAGGTCATCGAATTTCAGCCCTACTACAAGTTCAACCCCAAGCACCGTCATGAGCTTGAGATCGGCGCGGCTTGCCTCCGTGAATATGTGAACCGCGAGACTGAGAAAGCAGATCGCGCCGCGGAGGCCAAGAAGAACGAGAAGGCTGCCAAGGAGGCTGCTGCGCTGAAAGTACGTGTCTGCTGCTTCACCTTCCTCCCCATCTCATCCCATGCACTCATCACCTGTTCGCGTCCTAACACCTGTATTCTCCCTGCCACACATCCTTCCGTCTCCGTTAAAACCCCCTCTCACCCCCCCTCTCTAGGTCAAACTCGCCTACATGGACGACCGACAGCGCAAGATGGAGCTCGACGAGCGCGAGCGCGTCGCTCGCGAGGCCCGCGAACGAGCTCGCGCAGCAGCAGAAGCACTCAAGGCAGCCTCTCCCTCATCTCCCCAAGCCTCGGAGCAGATGATCGACGATGATGAGGACGATGAGGAAGAGGGTATGCGGCGACCGAGGAGGCGGACGATGCCGGGGACGGGGCATGTGCTGGGAGCGCCGGCGCAGATGGAGGAGTGAGCTCAGATGGAAGGGCTCTGGATCCGGACCGACAGATGTGTGGGTACGGAGGAAGGCATGGCAGGGCTCGTCGTCCTGCGGTCTCGAAGAGGGCGTATACGATTGCAAGAAAGGACTACTACTATCCCTCGGAACTGTAACAACAATGAACAAACTTTGCCTGTACATTACAATGTACTCATGATCTCAATGGGCACGGAAAGGTCGGGCAACTGTTGATACATTAGGACCAACGAGTTGTAAGCTCTTGCAACTTCATGTCAACTTCGCCGCCCCGAGGGACCACCATCCGACCTCGCCTACGATTCTTCCATAAGCGCTGCTCGCGCGCAAGCAACGTTGTTATGCATTGAATATCGAAATACTGTACTTTATGGACCCCCTAAATAAAGTCACAAAAATTACCTCTACTAGATGTTTGAGAACGAAGGACTGCGATGCAAGAGAGCAACACGACGGATAAGTTAGCAATGCCTGGACGACAGCGGTGAGGTGCGGGTATGTACGAGCAGCGAGGCTGGACGACAACGGTGAGGTGTGAGCGTGGACAAGGAGTGAGAATGTCAGCTACGAGCATGTACAAGCTGAGAGGCGCAAGCATTGACAAGCAGGGAAGGAGCGAGCATGCAGAAATGTTGATACGCAAGCATGTACAAGCAGAACCTCACGATCCGCTCAGAAGGACCCGAACGGCCTCTGCCCAGACGGCATCGGTGGTGCAGGAGGCATCGGGAAGCGCGACAGGTCACGCAAGGTCGGCACCTCGGACTGGCGCCTCCTCGGGAATCCCTTGTCTGAAGGAAAAAAAAGTCAGCAACCATCCCTGTCAATCTCAGCATAAACAACTCACCCTCCTCCATGATTACACTCGCCCTCGCCGGCTTCGACGCCGCCTCTTGCAGCATCTCCATCCGCCTGCTGATCGACGAGCTCGAGCGCAAGGCCGGCGCCGCACTGAGCTTGCCCTCCGAGTCACTCTTCCTGAACGACGTCTCGCGCATCGACGACGCGCGCGCCACATGGCCTCTGCTCATGGTTCCCTCCGCTAAGCTCATCCGATTCGCCGATAGATTATTTACGTTCTCCCTCTCCGCAAACCTCGACCGCAGGCCGTCCACGCGCCCAATGTACTCTGATCGCCTGTCCGACACTGCGCGCGACAGCGGGCGGGGATTCGCGGGGAGCGAAGGGCCAGCGCCTGAGCGGAGCATTGAGAGCCGCGCTGACCCAGAGGTGAGCTTGGCCGCATCGCGCGGGAGGGACGGCGCGTCGCGGGTCATCTCGGCCATGCGCATCTCGAGCATGACCATAGCGTGCAGCTCAGAGTGCGTCAGGCGGTGACGAGCAGGTTTGGGCGGGGACAGGGAGCGCTGCTTCAGAGGCGAAGAAGTCTTGGCATTAGAGCTGGTTGATGGCGAAGAGGAGTGGATGGTTAGGGGAGAAGACGCGCGCGCCTCGATCGGTGACGTGCGCATCTCGATGGGCGATGCGGTGCGGGAGAAACGCGGCGAGTTAGACCTCGAGATCGAGGAGCGGGAGATGGGCGATTGGGAGAGGGAGGAGACCGAGTTAGTACGAGACGAGGCAACGGAGCTGGGACGGGAGCTAGGTGCAGGTGGCAGGGGACCCATTGGCGGCGGCCCAATAGGCGACGTCGAGATACGGACGCGACGCGACATGGGCCGAGCACGAGCAGGCATGTGTGCAGCGGGAGCCGGGTACAGATCGAAATGCGGGTACACCGGGGCGTCTGGTGTGCGAAGGTAAGAAAAGGGTCCTTCAGCACATTTGAGGTGAAGACGTACATAGCGAAAGGTTCGGGTAGTACCCAGCGCTCGTCACTACGGGGATAGTGCGCGCCTTGTTGGACATGGCGCTCTGCTCGCGCATGACGAGGTTGTGTAGATCAGCATGCGAACGGCGAGCCTTGCATGCAGTGATTGGCTGGAATAGGCTTGCAGATTCGTGCATGACCATGGCGTGAAGCTGTGCATGCGTACGGCGTGTTTTCGCTGACCTGCGTGTCGCCGAGGACGATGACTCAGATACAATAGCGAGAACCTGTGCAGCCGGCATCGGGTACAAGTCGAAGTGAGGGTAAACCGGAGCGTCTGAAAGATCTTAGCACGGCCCGTCATGACGCGATAGCAGGCCAACTTACAAATGCAGATGAACGGATAGCTTCTAGCTTGAGACTGTCCCGCCGGAGACCCAATCTCACTCGCCCGAGTGTACGGCCAAACCTGGCGCCAAGGCGTATCCGGGAACGCCTCGACCTCCGAGAACGACATCGGCGTCGGCGGCTCCTCCTCATGATCATAGTCCGACTCTGGGGTGATCTGGATTGTGGGGATCTGCACGGTCTCACCGATCTGGCTGTACGACGGGAGCTCATCGTCCCAGGATTCGCCCCTGCGCACATCGTACGAAGCGAAGGACATCGGCGAAGATGGCTCCTCTTCAGGCTCCTCGACTTCACTGACGATCTGGGACTCAGTGGCGACGGAGATCATGATGCCGCGAGGGGGAGGCAGCTCGCGCTCGTCCTCCTCTTCGTCGGGGATCTCTGGCGCAGCCTCAGCCTCAGTGGATGCAGGCGGGTAGATGCCGTTGCTCAAGTTGTCGGGATAAGCCAGCGTGTACGGCCAGACTTGCTGCCACGGGGCGGCCTTGAAGGCGTCGTAGTGAGGAAAGGACATCGGGGTGGCACCTCGCTCCTCGACGTGCTTCGGAGCAGCCTGTGGGACGGGATCCTCGTGCACTTCAGTGGCTACCGAGATCGTGATGCCTGCGAACGGGTTTGGCCTCTGCACGACAAACTCCTCGTCCTCCTCCGCCGAGTCGTACTCCGAGTGTTCATTCTCCTCTTCGTGCTGCTCGACAGGATCTTGGAACGGATCTTCGTGGACTTCAGTAGCGACTTGAATCTGAATACCTGCGAACGGGTTGGGCCTCTGCCTGAAGGGATCCTCATCTTCCTCCGAGTCGTACACAGAGAGCGCTTCCTCCTCGTCTTGCTCTGGGTGCACCTCAGTTTGATCTTCGTGAACCTCAGTGGCGACCTCGATCTTGATACCCGCGAAAGGATTCGGCCTGGGCGCGAAGCGCTCCTCATCCTCTTCCGAGTCATATCCCGAGGCCTCCTCGTCGACGTGCTCCTCGATAACCTCCTCAGCATGGTTCTCGACAATAGCCTCGATGGGATCTTCGTGGACTTCGGTAGCGACCTGTATTTGAATACCCGCGAATGGGTTCGGCCGTTGCACGTAGCGATCCTCATCTTCTTCCTCCGAGTCGTAAACCGAGTGAAGGTCCTCCTCGTCGTGTGCCGAGTGCTCTTCCGAATCGTAGAGCGCGTGAAGGGCCTCTTCGTCGTCGTGAACCTCCGTAGCGACTTCGATTCTGATACCTGCGAAGGGATTCGGCCTCGTCATGATGAAATCCTCGCTGGACTCAGAGTCGTACACCGAGTGGAGATCCTCTTCTTCCTGGTACTCGTGCGCTTCGCTGGCTACCACAATGTCCTCCAAAGATGGCTCGACGACGGTCCGCGCTTGCGATACCGGCGGATAGATGCCGTTAGCCAAGTTACCGGGGTAAGCCTGAGTGTACGGCCAAACGTGGTCCCAGGGCTTGGCAGCGAAAGCATCGTAGTAAGGGAAAGAAAGTGGCTTAATCGACGTTTCCGTAGCTTGTGTCGAGGTCGTATCCTCGACCTCGCTCTCCGCGTAGTCAGAAACAGACTCGGCCACAGATGCAGCTTTCCTGTATGGCCAAACCTGATTCCACGGCGTGCCCTTGATCGGCGAAGGCTGAGCGAGCTCGCGGGGCGAATCGACAGTGACCTGAAGCTGGACGGCGGTACGAGCGTGGACCGCAGGATAGATGTTGTACAAGTTCTGCGGGTACTCGTCCTGAGGTAGCGGCTTGCGTACCGCCCGCTTTACACCGCGCTCATCGTCGAAGTCGAACACGATCTGGGCAGCGTCGGGCGTGGCGATGCGATCCTGGTTGTCCTGGTACATCGGGCTCGCCGGCCACGACGGCGCACCCCACGAGGTGGCCGTCATCGGTGTGACCGGGTGGCTGAACTCTCCGCGATCGGCGAGGTGAATAGACGGGCAGTACGAGCGGGCGGCAGGCGAGGGCGGGTACTCGGAGGGAGCGCCCCACGACGTGGCGGTCATGGGCGTGACGGGGCGGCTGAAGTCACCGCGGTAGGCCAGGTGGATCGAGGGCGAGCGAGGGTACTCGTAACCTTCGACAGGGGAAACCGGGTAGGAGTCGGGACCCCAGGACGTCGCAGTGGTCGGCGTGCACGGCCGGCTGTCCATCATGCGCTGCGCGAGGTCGACGCTCGGGGTGCGATATGTGGCGTACTGATACACAGGAGACGCAGGCCACTCAGAGGGCGGGCCCCATGAGGTTGCGGTCGTCGGCGTAGGCGGGCAATCTTCAAGATGACGCATTGCGATATCAGGCGAGTCGATGCGCGAGCGCGTCAGCGCGGGCGAGGGGAGGTTGAGCGCTCCCCACGACGTCGCAGTCGTTGGCGTCAGCATCACTGAGCCCTGCGCGCGCGCGGCGATGTGCACAGAGGGCACGCGGAGGGAGCCGTAGAGAGACATCTGCTGGTCGTAGTCCGGCGGGCCATAGGAGCTGATCGACCAGGCATAGTCCTCGAGATTGAGTTCGGAAACCTCGTCTTCCTCATCAGCGCCCTCTTCGTGTTCAGGTGCCTCCTCGACTGCGTTCTCTGCATCATTGACGCCGAGGGGTGAGGGGAGGACCGCCGACGTGCGCGCACGCCACTTGCGCACCTTGCGCTCAAGTGCGCTTTGCGGTTCGTCCTCTTGCAGGATCGGGGAGAGCTCGCGCGCCGGGGACAGAGTCGGCCTCGATGGCGTGCGCGATTGCGGTTGCGAAGTTGGGAAGTCGTAACGCTCTACCAACGAGAGCTTCCTCGGTACATGGCTGACCCGCTTGGAAAGGGTAGGCGCTTGCGACTGAGTGGGTGCCTGCGAGTGCTGGTCGCCAATGGATGTCGTTCTACTCTCGTGTCGGGAATGATCGTGCTGTCGGGGCGGGGACGATACCGGTCCGTCAATGGTCGACGGTGGCATATCCATCATGAAGGGGATTTCTTGCTCGCGATGAGAGCCGCTGACCCATAGTCGGAACCAACGGGCCTGCGTAAAGTCGATGTCGAACTCGACCTTGCCCGCGATGGGTAGGCGGCCACCGTGCGAGGACGCGTCGAAGGCATGGCTCCAGACGAGCGGCCAGGCGTCGTCAGAAATGCGCGGTGTCATCGTGATCCCGTTCTCGTTGATGTGGAGGTAAAGACACAGTCCAGCCGTGCTTGGAAAATTGAACTCCTTCGCGATGGCGGAGAGCTGGCCAAAGATCTGGTGACATACACGTGAGCGCTGGGCTTCATCGAGAGCATTATGGCCGACTTGCCGTGGGAAAGAGCGGAAGGAGAATGCCATCGCGCAACCGGTGGCGAGGGCCGGTGGATAGTGTGTGCCCCAGCGGGCCGTGCTCGTCGATCAGGCTCGGCGGGGGCAGGACAACGATGAAGGACTTCATGCTGCGCTGCACGGTGCGCTCGCGCGCCTCTCGTATCCCCGAGTTGTAGTACGATAGGGTGGGTCCCTTCCTCGGGCGGGGCGGCTCGGCGTACGCGTGCGGTTCTGGCTCGGGGAAACGTAACGTATCCAGGCCGACCGCAACGGACGCGTTCGCCGTGGACATCGAGAGGTTGGGCGGGACAGGCTCCGTGTCCGGGGGGCTCTGCAGCCCAGTGCCCGCCGGCACCCGCTGAGGGAATTGGAACATCGGCGGGCGCTGGAAGGGGTTCGCAGTGAGACGTGACATTGGGGACGTGGGGACGCTGCCCGGGAGGGTGCTAGAGGCTGCCTTGTTGAGGACCGGGAGCTCTAGAGGGCGCAGTGGTGAGTCCGTCATGATCATCGCTGGAGGAAAGCATCGCCGCGCACGGCTCTTACATATAACGTACAGTTCGGCCCCGCCGGCACAGACAGACGGAACAAACGGAGGACTTGTTTGATTGGGGAGAACGAGCGGATGAGGCCTTCCTGGGCTCTCTCCTCCAGGGTCTGTGTCTGCTGTGAGCGCGTGCGGCAACCTGGCCTCTCCCAAATCCATCCGTCCCGACCATTTTACTCGACATCGGCAACCGCGTTCGCGACCATCACTATCCATTAGCGTGGGTGAATAGCCCCAGGAACGCGTGAGTGCACACGATCATGTGAAATGTTGAAGTTCTGGTTACCTTCATATCCTATTCGTTCTATTATCGAGACAGAGAAGTCCCCATGAGCTGAAGATCTTCGAGTTGGGAGCTGTACAGCGCAACGTCCCAGAAGACCGATGAAGCAACGAGCTCGGCTTCGCGTTCACAGAGCAGAAAGAAGCGACTAAGCGACTGCGTCAGCTGCCATGAATTGTTCAACTGGTATGCCTTGTAGTATGTATACATAATAATACATTCCAAAGGAGGACATGCGAAAGCCTGTTGGTATTCCCCCCCCCAGGCGAGACGAGTAGCACAGAAGTTCAACCGTGAGAAACAATTGTCTTGCTTGGACGCCGGCGTCTGCCGCTATTCGGCAAATGCCGTGATTTCTTCGACATTGCTTTCGCGGTTCAGAGCTCTTCAAGCATCGGCGGATATGGTATACGCACAGATGGCAGACGCATACAGTCGTGTTATGTTCTCAATAGTGCAAAGACGACGCATAGAGTCCCGCACGATATCCCTGGCTGAAGGTTCGAACCTCCGACCTTGGGTATCAAACACCCGAAACGGGCCAAGTCCGAATCGTACCTGATCCTTCCCGCCAACAGTATAACGCGTCTCCCAAGCGCGCGCCACGACGATGGACGCGAAGCTCAGAGAATGTGCCGCCCTCGGCCAGAAGGACAAGACCCCAGCCTTCATCGCCCTCATTCCACAAGCCCTATCACAATCAGATCCCCTCCCCGATCTCCACGCCCTCGTCAGCTTCGTCGTGAATGAGGAGAGCGTCGGCTTGGTCGTCGGCCGCCAGGTCCTCGCGGAGGTCGTCAAAGCACTCGGGGAGAAGACCTTGTCGGACCACGAACTTAGAAAGAAGCTAGTGCAGGACACACTTGACTTGATCGAGCCGCGCATCGCGAGTTATGTGGAACAGGTGTGTGGCGTGTGAGTCGCGTTCGTTCTGCGATTACACGTGTTCTGCAGGCGAATGCGCTGCGGTTCCAGCTAGCAGACCTCCTGGAGGAGGAAGAGGAGTGGAGCGAGGCAGCGCGCACGCTGATCGGCGTCAACCTCGATGCAGGACAAAGGTGCGTGTGGCCACAAAGTGCATAGGTCCCCGGCTCATCAGCCTCCAGATCATCCACGGATGCGGACAAGCTGCGCGTATACGTGCGCATCGTGCGCCTGCTGCTTGAAGATGAGGACTCCGTTCAGGCAGAGACGTTCTACAATCGCGCTGCGCTCCTCGTTCATTCGGCTGGCAATGACAAGGAGACGCTGCTGCAGTTCAAGCTCTGCCAGGCGCGCATCAGCGACTACTCGCGCAAGTTCTTGGAAGCTGCAAGCCGGTACCACGAGCTCAGCTACACCGCGGAGATCGACGAGGATGAGCGGAAGTTCATGCTGTACGTAGCGCCACCGTTCTGCCCATCTCCCCCTCTCACACTCTCACAGATCCGCCGCCGTCACCTGCGCCGTCCTCGCCCCCGCCGGGCCCAACCGCTCCCGCATCCTCGCCTCCCTCTACCGCGACGAGCGCTCCGCCGAGCTCCCCACCTTCAACGTCCTCTCCAAGATGTTCCTCGACCACATCCTCCGCCCCGCCGAGATCCACGAATTCGAGAAGACCCTCAAGCCGCACCAGGTTGCCAAGATCGCCATCTCATCGAACGACCGCTTGTCCGCGGTCGCCGACGAAGACGAAGAAGCAGGGAGCGCAGACGAGCCCGTGAGCACGCGGCGCGGGCCGAGTACGGTGCTTGACAGAGCGGTGATGGAGCATAATCTGCTTGCGAGCTCGAAGATCTACAACAACATCACGTTCCGTGGACTGGGCGCCCTGCTCGACTTGACGCCTGGTGCGGCGGAGACGATGGCGCGACGGATGATCGAACAGGGCCGGTTGCGCGGATGGATCGACCAAGTAGACCGGCTGATTTGGTTCGAGGCGCGCGAGGACGAGGAGGCGCAGGGTAAGGCGGGTGGCTTAGGTGATGTAGAGGAAGCGGAGGATACGGGCTCGCCATTTACGAAGCGGTGGGATATGCAGATTCGGACGACGGCTGCGCATGTGGGTCTCCTTCTTCTGCTTTACTGTGATCTGGGATTGTTTGCTGATGAGGAGCTTGCAGGTCGAGTCTATTGTCCAGCATCTGTACGAGAAGAACCTGATCCATGTAGCCACTGCGGCATAGGTAGTGAATCGACGTTGTATCAGTGTCTGGAACCATTTGCTGAACTCTGTGCATCCTTCCGATATTGCTCAACCGAGTGCGGCCCTTGACTGGCTGTTCAGCACAATGAACAACTTTAGGCTCGTACTTCGACTGACGGGTTTACCGCCCACAGCCCTGCCCTCAGTCCGTCCCACGGGGCGCGGCCGTTCGATGTGGGGCTCGCACGCCACCCCGCATAACGACTCCTCGCCGCTCGGCTCGGCGCGCGCACCATGACATCCAAGGTGACATCACGACGCCACCCCCTACCCTCCTATAAGAGCTCGCGCGTTGGTCAAGTGCCCTCAGCATTCCCATCCTCGACGACCACCAACCACTGAACTTTGTTCACCCACACCACTCGATTATTCACCCTGACGAACTTCTCCGAATTCAACATGTCTGCTAGCCGTGGAGGTGTTATGGTGCGTCTGCGATATGTATCCCCCGATGCGCGCGGTGTTGACGAGCGCTTTAGGCCGCCGCCTGCGTCGGCGCGATCGCGCTCTCTGGCGTCGCCATGTACGCGCAGGGAAGGAACACGAAGGCCCACGAGGGGAAGGAGATGACCATGCACGGTGCGTCTGTCATACATGCCTCGCATATTCCTCTTCGTCCTGACGCGTGCACAGGCGATGGCCCCTCGCCAACAGGCAAGGGTCCGGGCACCGTCCGCGGCATGTCCTCAGCTGAGGTGTCCGACGCTGTCTCCCACGTTCCGCGCCCCGGTGAGCGCCAGGAGATGAAGGAGCGCGCTCAGCAATAGATCATCGTACAAGCCCGGCGAGGCCAATCTGAAATACACCTGTGTATTATAGACCATGTACCATATACCTGCCATAATTCCTTCCTCTCGCACTGGACGAGGACAAAGCTGCCAACGCGAGAAGAGGCTGATGATGGACAAACGTCGTCATCGAGCGTGATATCGAGTTGCAGCCTCGTGGATATCAACCCAAAATAGGAAGGTCATAACTCCGAAAAAGGCCAGTACCACATTCCGACATTCCCTAAATGCTCGTCTCCACAGCAATTGCCTCGCTATAATCACTTTACTAATTATTCTAAATCAGATGCCACATCTACATTGTTGCTCATTTTCCATCAGTCGTCGTGCAGGGCGTACTTCGACATGTGTCTTATCCTTCGCCCATACCTAAAGAAGATGTATGGAAGCGGCACCATGACGAGTGATAAACAGCCCACTGAATTGCTGTCAGCGCGCACTTCTGAGCGAATGTCATTTGACGTACACAGTGTGCACCCCCACGACACCGGAAAGGCTGCCGGCCCGTTCTTCTTCTGCAGGTTTTCGAACATGGCGCGCGCGAAGAGCGGGAACGCGCCCCCGACGATGGCGCGGAAAAAGTTGTTGCCGGCGAGTATGGATGCGGCGTAGCCCGGATAGGAATCGGGCTTAAAGGTTAGTGGTGAGCATGAGATTTCGTGGAGCAAGGCGCAAGACTCACTAAGTAGTTAACCACACTCTGGAAGAGGCAAAATGTGCCAACGCTGAAAAATGAAGACCCGATGATTGGGACGATCCAATGGATGCTTGCAGTTGAAGTCCAACCAAACCAGAACTGCATATGAATCAGTGCATAATCCACAGATCGCACTCAGGCCAGAAACATACCAAGCAAATAGGGATCGCCCAACACCCAATCAACGCCGGCGGCAGCCGAGCCTCCGGTGTGACGCGTGTATTGCCATGCTCGTCTGGCTCGTATAACGGCTCCAGATACCATTTCGCGTAAATGCAGTAGAAGGGGTACGTGACGCATACTCCGGAGAAGATGCCGAGGAAGGCGAGGCCCTCCATGCCGAGGTTGAACCCGTAAATGTTGGTGAAGACGAGGGGGAAGGCCTCGAACCAGACGTACTGCTTAAGGCGTGAGCGACTGGGTCGCCGGAAGGAGATAAATGCATACCAGCAGCGCGTAGATTAGGGCGATGTAAACGTTGAGTGAGAGCACGATGGGCTCGGTAAGCATTAGCTGAAAGGGTCGGACAAATGTCATCTGGAGAGAAGTGCTGAGAGCTTGAGAGGCGACTGGACAACGTATTAGAGATTGGGGCGTGGCTACGAGCGAGCGTAATTACTCACAATTGCGCTCGCCCTCGGTGTACAGCATATCGTTACCAGTCCGCCGCCGCAGGCGCTCCTTTCGTCGATACAGGATGTTATTTGGCGACGTCTCGGGCAGGAGCACAAACAGCCCGATCCACGTAGCGCCGGTGAGGAAGAGCAGCGGCCAGATTGACCAACGCCAGCCGAGTGCGCGTGCGGCGAAGCCGCCAATGATCGGCCTGGAGAGGTGAGTATGCGTTCGAGATGACTGAACGCTCGACGCACCCTAGCACGGGTCCACAGACAGAGAACGCGCCCCATAGTCCCATAGCGTACGCTCGCGTTTTGGGCGCAAACATATCAGAAATACTGGCGCCAACGGTCGCTTGAGGTGCTGCATATGAACGGGGGTAAGCTATGCTCATCATTGTATCATCGCATTGACTCACGCGAGCCCCAAAAGCCGGCCAGAAACCGCAAGACCAGAAATCCAGGTACGTTGGTAGCCAGCACGGTGGGCACTTGTAGCAAGACAAAGATGAAGAGAGAGATCATGTATGGCGGGTTGCGCCCAACTTGCGGGATCTCCGTGAGTGGGGAGAGGAACATAGGTCCAATGCCGTAGCCGAATACGAAGAGGGTCATGCCGAGGGTGGCTACGGTGAGGTTGGTACCGAAAGCCTGCGCGAAGTCTAGAGTCGAAGTTAGTAATGGCAATTGCAGGATGACGTGTAGGGCGTACCTTGTATGCCGGGGCTGTAGATGCTGGAGCCCACGTACACAGAGAATGTCAAGACGCAAAGCTGGAGAGTAACCAAGCTCTTCTTCGCCAGCGACCAGTTCATGGGGCTATAGAACAAGTAATCAGCGTAGACCTTGCAAGGGGGGCTAGACAACGTACTTCGCAGGATCGTCACGCCCATACCAGGTCACTAAATTCGGGTCTCCATCAAGTTCTGGTGAAGACCCGGCGGGAGAGACCAAGGGGGAGACGCCCTTCTCCGACTTCTGGAGCTCGCTTGTCGCTCGGCTATCCATGGGATCCCCGACCACGGTCTCTTCGTCTGAACCACGAGGGGTGAACTCTGACGAGCTCGCACTCGCCTCTGTCAGACGCTGACGTTGACCCCCGTCATTACGTCCCTTCTCGTCCGTGTATCGTCGCGGTACGTCGAAATCATCCCTGTCTTCAGGATGCGAAAGCCATCGTCGTCTAGAGCCATAGTAGAGTATGTGCCCCAAAGTAGAGTCCCGGATTAGGGACATAATGACGGGGGTGGAGCGGAAGGTGTGCTAATCAGTTCCGTGGACGGTGGGGAGTTATACTCGCAACGCCTGCGCAGTCGCCAGGACCCACTTTGCCGCTGTCTGCAAGCGCTTGCAGCCGTGCATGACATCAGGGGCGATTAGCAGCCATAGTGCTGGAGGTCGTCTACCTGGATTTGGGTCCGTTCATCTTCCCGGTGTTCCGAGACTCGGAACCAAAATCCATAGCCCAAGGAGTATCGATTGGAATGGTAGTGCTCGTACTTGTCAACGTTTGGAACCAGTCAGATGGCATGAGCGTCGGCGTGCTCGCGCTGGGCGCCTGTCCTGGGCCAGTGATCGTCTCCGAGGTGTGCATCACTCGAAAGGGTGAGTTCTGCGTGCGGTAAAAAGTGCCCATTATCAGGCAAGACTATTCTCTGTACCCGCGACGCGATCCTTCACCTACTCCACTACGCGCGAGGGTAATCTCTGGGAGTGTATGACCTAGTGGTCTCAGTATTGGACGTGCCGGTATAATAAACCCAACTCACGAAAGCGATCCAACCGCACGGAACGACGAAGCCCTCGTCGTCTGCCCATACTAAGACATCAAACATGGCCTTGAACCGCGGAGGAGCTATTGTGAGTTGGACGTAGTTGGCTCTGGGTAGGGGGCTGACGTTCGCAGGCCGTTGGCATACTGGGTGCCTTCATTACGGGCTCGATGGTCATGGCTAGTCGCGATATGGTCAACGATAGGCGGCACGGAAGCAGCATAGGGCCAGATGGTAAGTAGCACGATATCGCTGGCGCATTCAGCAGTCCTACGCTACAACTTCCTTGCTGACGCAAACATGGCAGGTATCACAAGCAACGTTCTTGACAAGAAAGCGTCAGACCAGAATCGCCCAGATAATTGCGACGTGAAGGAAATCCGGGATAGACGATTGGCTGAGCATCGCTCCCGAGGGAAGTGAAGGCAGTGGTAATAGGTCGGAACTACTGCACTGTAGATGGAAATGAATGATATTCGCCTGAGATTCATGAGCCCAGCAAAAATGGATGACGGGAGACTCACTTTTCATCCTCGGGTCCCGGTTGGTAGGCGCTGCTTAGCAAAGTGGGCATGATCCCGCGACCATCTAGAGGTTCATCATGGGACAAACTGCAGTGCCGCTACTCAATGGCGAGCAGCGACGAAGCAAGGGTATGCTGACCGGGTCAATGACTTCACTATCCCATGGCATCCTTGTCACGGGAGGTCCGGTCAAGTATAAGAAGCCTGCAGTCATAGGACGACTGTCAAACATACCGTTTGCTACACATCAACCCTCAAAAAGCGTCAATGCTCGCTAACAAGGGAACCGGCGTCGTGAGTGATCGCAAGCTCTGGACATAGCGTTACCGCTGACAGAAAACGTCGATCGTCAGGCTATAGCAGGTGTAGCTGCAGCAGGGTTGGCCGCCGCCAGCTTGTACAACTCAACGAGAGTGACGGCGGAGGAGAAGGTTGCTAGAAGTGCGTCGGCGGGCGATCAGAATAGCACAGCGCGCTGACCCAGACCTGTAGGTGGACGCGACCAACGATCACCGCTGGCTCAAGCCAGTGCCGCTGTTCACCCAGGTCAGCAAAAGCTGCCAGAGTTGAGCACCCATCGAAGAAGCTAGAGGAGGATGATGAGCAAATCGCAGAACAGGAAAACAGAAGACATACCTTGCAATGTACCGCGCTTCATATCGCCAGAAGCTTGGCGCGATAGACGCTTATCTACGCACTCTATACCTTGTCATTCCGCCTTGCCAATCCTTGTGACAAGGATACACATATGAGCGTCCCAAAGTCGAACAATTAGCAGCAGATGAGTACTGAAGTATAGCGCGTAAAACCTATGATACACGATTGCTATTGTGTGCCCGTGCGAGTCTCTTTCTTCCGCCGAGCGCGCTCGCGTTTAGTCTCGAGCTCGTGCCACTCGCCCTCGAGCGTAGACAGACTGAAAACTACGTGAGAAACGCGAATGAGGATACAAGAAAGCTGACTTACCCTGACGGTAATTCGGGCTGCGGATCTTGCTTAAAGTACGATGCCTCCATAGCTTGCGTCGCAGTGGAACGCGCACTCGGGTCATACGCTAGCAGAAACTCGGCGAGGTCGAGTGCAGGTGGCAACATCCACCTAGAGGACGTCAGTCTATCATTACGGGTGGCGTGGAAAAGCGAAAACTTACTTCTTGAAGTATTCACGAAAGTGGTTTGGTACCGGCTCCTTCGGCTTGACAAGCTCGTACCACGGCAGGTTGTGCACACCAGGCCAGCGCTCTGCTGTCGGCGTTCCCATCACCTTGTAGATGACGTCCAGCTGGTGTATTTCGTCGTCGCCCTGGAAGACAGGCTTCTTCGTGAACAGCTCGAGCATGATGCACCTTGACGAAGATCAGAACAGATGACCAGACCTATAGACTTTGCACGTACCCCGCACTCCACATATCGACCTCAGGCCCGTACATAGTCGCACCAAGAAGCAGCTCCGGGGGTCGATACCATAGCGTAATGACGCGATTGGTGTAGTCCGCACGCCGCCGCTTGTGGTAGAAGCGCGCCAATCCGAAGTCCGCCAGCTTGAGCTCGCCACGGTTGTTGACTAGGATATTCGAGCCCTTGATGTCGCGGTGGATGACGCCCTTATGATGAAGATAGGCCAGTCCCGCCAGCATTTGGTAGCACAGCGATTTGAGATGTGCCTCCGTGAAGCTGAACTGGTGCTGGGACAAGATGCCAGTCAAATCGTGGTCCATGTACTGGAAGACCATGTAGACGTGGGCTAAGAATGATAAGCAGTTGTGACTTGGAAGAGAATACTTGACTTACCATTCGACACCATCATCTCGTACAATCGGATGACGTTCTCGTGCTTAAGCGACTGAAGCAGCTTGATCTCCCGCATCGCAGTGACAGGAAAGCCGTCGCGCTCCGTCTCCATGCGTATCCGCTTGAGCGCAACCAAATTCTTCGACACGTTGTTCATGGCTTTGTAGACCTTGCCGAAGGTGCCCTCGCCGACCTGGCTGACAATGCTGTACAGCTCGCTCTTCTCCGCAGATGTAGCAGGGGCCGATGCCGGCGGTGGCGCTGGTGCCATGGCAGCATCGCTAGGCCCTGCCTCCTTGATGGGCTGCACCTTCTCCGGCGGCGATGTTGGATGCGTAGTCGGCGGCCCTGTTGTAGGCGTCCGTGAATCAGCCGTCGCCGGGGGCGTAGGATCTGTTGCTGGTCTTGGTGTCGTCTGTGCAGGCGGCTCAGCAGTAGGCGTAGGCTCAGCACTCGCCGGTGCAGGAGCGGGGGCGGGGCCGTCATCCGACATGTCCATATCCTCATCCTCCCCAGTGAAGAACTTTTTCAACGCCGCATTGGGCTTAGCCTGTTGCTTGACAGGCGCAAATCCGATGGGCTTGAAGCCAGCCTTCCGAGGACGGCTCGCACCTTTCGCGAGCTCTGCTTTAGGGTCTGCAGGTACGATGACTGGAGGAGCCTGTACCGGAGGTGGGTTGACGGGCCGCGGCTGGGCGAACGGCGCCTGAGCGGGCATAGGCGACTGTCCAGGCATTGGCACTTGACCGGGCATCTGAGCCTGGCCGGGCATCTGGCCGGGCATGGGTACCTGTCCGGCCATGGGCGGACCACGGAAGGGCGTTTGAGCGGCTGCGTACGGATATCCAGGGAACCCAGGCATTCCCGGCATCCCATAGGGCATAGGAGGCATTCCGGGCATTGCAGGCATCCCGGGCATCGAATACATGTACGGCATGCCTTGCATGGGGCGCTGAGGAAGACCAGGCGTCGGAACGCCATTGTACGGGTGCTGCATGAGAGCGGGATTCTGTGGAAGAGGATGGCCGGGTTGAGCATGCATCTGCTGCATCTGCGCTGGCGTCTGTTGTGGCTGCGGCTGCGCGGGAAGCGGATGATTTGTTGGCGCGATAGGCTGAGAGGGCTGCGAGGACGGTTGCGGGGTCGCAGACTGCGATACAGGCTGAGGGAGAGCGGGCGAGTTACGCGGCAGCGTCGCTTCTGGTGTGTGCCCCGATGGCCCAGGAGCAGCCGGCGTCTCACCCTTCGGCACATCTACTGCCATGGGTTGTGGGGAGGTGTCGGCCCTGAAGGGTGGCGCCATAGCAGCCTTGGGCTTCGGCGGCAGGTTCGCAGATGGCGGGACCTTCGTCTTGCTGGAACTTCCTGCAGCCTCCGGGGTCATGATCGAGGTGACAGGCTTCACGGGTATTGGAGCAGCGGGAGCGGACGATGTCGCCGCAGGGCTAACCTCTTTGACCTGCAGAGGCCCGCTGGTCGAGGACGACTGCGAAGCTTCATGTTTGAGGGGTTGCTCTTTCTCTTGAGGTGGTGGCTGCGATGACGAAGACGCCTGCGGGTCTCGCGAGGACTCGCGCACGAAATCCTGCGGACGCTCGGGTAGCGGCTCTCTCGGACCTGACCGCACGGTCTCAGAAGACCCTTTGCTCGAGCGGATGAGCTCCTGCTCAAAACTACGCAGCCCACCCATTGACTCTCTTGGCGGAGAGATAGCGAACGAGGCCTCATCACTGGTTCTCTTCTGCTTCGCGAACGTAAGCCATGGCGTAAAGACATAGAACGTCAATGCAAACCTTGTTCCCCTTCCCGTTCGACTGGTATTTGCCGTTGCGCTTCTGGCGAGGCGAAGTCTCGACCGCTTCGCCAGCCTTATTAGTCGGGGACAATACTGTCGTAGACGCTGTCGGTAATCGATGCAGCTGCCGAGGACGGGCGTAGGGGCTGATGCTACGAGTGCGGCTACGACTTCGACTGCGAGAGGTGCTTCTTGAACGAGAAGATATACTTCGCCGTCGTCGTGGGGGCGATGGTCGGCTATGAGCTGGCGACGGCGGTCGCTCGTAGACGATCTTGCGTTGTCGGCCCCGATCGTCGTCATGAGGCCGATCGTGACGAGGACGTTTGGTCGCTGGCGGGGATATCGAGCGTGAGGGTGAACGTCTTCGAGGGCGTCCATGATGCTCGTCGTACGAGGAAGAACGCGGAGGCGACGTGGAATGATGGTGTTTTCGGCTGTGCGAAGGCGACGGATAACGAGCTGCCCGTGAATCACGCCTACTCCAACTTATGAAAAGATATTGAGCCTAGTGAAGAAGGGTAGGATATATGCACGTACTTGTTGAGGTCGTCGTCAAAGCCCGCAGCGCCGCCGCTACCTCCACTCTCCCTTGCTCGCTTCTGTTTGTTCTTCTTCCCCTTATTCTTGTGCTTGCTGTACTTCGGGTCGATGCCCTGCTCACGCAGGCGCTCCTCGTACAGCTCGCCGTTGTGCGCCGATTTCCAGCCCGGTGCGGGCTCCCACATGCGGTCTCTGTCATCATCTGCTGGCCGATCTGGACGCTTCTGCTCCTCCCGGGCCCGCCGCCGCGTGTCCCAGCCCGCATCGCTCGTGTATTTCTTCCCGTCGTCCTCTTTGCGTCCTTTTCCGCGCCAGCCATCTCCACTTCGGCGCTCGTCGGAACGGCGGGACTGGCTCAGGTCCGGCGTCCACCCATACCCTTCGTCGTACACAGGTTCAACCGCAGCGGCGCCCCATGACTCGCGTATGGAGACGGGTGCCGAAGGCGAGGAAGGGCCTGTGTTGTAGTCGGGGTACCAGCTACGGCTGGGCTGTGGGTAGCGCGAGCCGTGGTAGTCCGCCTCCCGCACATCCGTCATCGGAAAGTCGTCTCGCCCGCGCGAGCGATAGTCGTCGCGGCCGTACGCATACACATCCTCCTCCACTGGTGGTCTCCATCGCGAGGACGACCCGCTGTCCTTGGAATCGTAGCGGCCTCTTTTTGAAGCCCTGTACCCGTCGTCGTGCGAAGAAGCGTGATACATGCGTGTGTGCGAGTCGGTACGCGTGTCGCCGGATAGCGAGCGGGTGTCGGTCGGGGCTACTGATGTGGGGTGCGGGTCGTGGTGGTCGTCGTCCTTGTTCTTGGATGGGTGTTGGCGCTTGTGCCGAGACGGACGATGGCTTGAAGCACTAGACATAGTTCCGGACAAAAAGGGTGAGTGATGGCTGCTGGTGCGCTGACGGATGAACACGAAAGCAAAACGAAAGCAAAGCGGACGCCACGGGCGAATAAATGAGCAGACGGACGTGCAGGGGGGACTGTAGGCGTTACAACATAAATCGTCGAGGATGAAGTGCGGCGCTTGGGATCGGTCGTCCGAGCGGCACGCAGGTAAGGCCTGGGTATGACGCCCTCCTCCGCAGGATAATTGGGTAAAAGGTGTATGGGGGCAGCGTGTTGTTGAATAACACTGGGATGCGTTCGCGGTCAAGACGCGAAGTTCGCCGCCAGAGGGCGCATCGCACTGAGAAGAAAACTTACAGGGCACCTGCAATCTATCTGCTGGGGGACAGCTCAGCGCGCACAGCGAGCTCGTTGCGTGCGGGGAGTGTGGAGAACGTCGCGCGCAATGTCACCGCGGACGTGACTGACGGCGTCAGGGAAGACGAGCAGAACACAGGCATCGGCCCGATCATCCTGGGCCTGACTTCATCAACTCTGCCCGATTCGACAGGGAAACGCCTGAGTGGTCCACCGAATCGACAAAGCATTGCTACTGATACAAAGTTACAAAGGAATAGCTACGAAAAGCACGACTGATGATGGTACACGAGCATAACTAATTGACTCAAATCATTGGTTGGTGCATTCCAGCGTCGGGCTGCCGTCGCTGCCAAGTGCCCTCCGCGCATGCATCGCGAGACTGAGCAGCATCGACTCATCAAGGCTACGCAGGGGTGTCTGGTGGGAATTTGCTTCCAGAATGCTGTCTGCGCTGCCCAGTTTCGAAAACAATGGCGGCCCACGGGACTTTGGCTTCGGAGCGAAGAGCTGCGCAATGTTAATGTGGCGATTCACATGCAGTGGATTTGAACTCGCCTTCACTGTTGTGTCTATGCCACTGACGGCGAACAAAGGCAGCTTTGGGTGGCCTGAATGAAGTCGGATAAGGTTCGCAATGTAAACTGGTCAGCCGACATACCCTCAATGACATTGACGACCTCGCCATCGCCCTCAAGGATATCAACGAGCTTTCCATCATCCTTGCGCCAGATGAAGAGATTGCCGTCGTCAGACCCCGACACGACGAACTCGTCATTTGGTCCCAAGTAATTCACTTGCATGTTATGAGTTTTCCGAATCGAACCCTCTTGTTTGCAAGATTTGACTCACCATCCTTCACTGTCCGAATATTCTTCGCACCCGCAAAGCGCCGTCGTGGCATCACTGTGGGTACATCGGGGAAGGGGCCCGGATCTTCTTCCTCCTCCTCCTCCTCGTCACTGTCACTGCGGTCCCCACTCTCATCCGTGTTGCGCTCTTCGTCCTCATCCATCTCGTCCGATTGAGTCAATTCATCGATGTCCCTCTCCATATCGGAGTCTGAAGGCCAATGCGACGGTCGTTCTCTGGGACTTCTTGATGGCGAGCGCTTTTCGGACCCTCTTGACGTTGAACGTTTTTTCGATCCCGATGCGGCACTATCCCTCCTTTCCTTCACTTCGTTCGAAGGCACGATGGACGGCCTGCGCGAAGCGTTTGCCTCCGCCGGATCGTCAAGGGTCGAGTAAAGGTAGACAGCGTCTGCGCTGAAAGCTGCAGATCCTTGCGTTAGCACCTAAACATTTACAACTTTCAAGGACATCCTACTCACAGAATATCGCTTCATGCCCATTGGTCGCCGACATCTTGCACCCCGTGATATGGTTTCCCAATCCCAACAGACGACCCCCATTATCCTCCGACTCCCCCTCCCTCCTCGGGCGCCCGAACCTGCGCACGCAGGTCGTAAGGCACTCGGTAGATGCGCTAGAGAGCGGAACGCCCCATTCCTCTTGAAGGAAGCGCCCCGAGTGACGTCGGTCAAAGAGGTAGCCATAGTCCGATTCCCCCGCCACGATGAGTTGGTGCGGCGTCAGCGGCGAGAGCGACATCGACATCAGCTCGAAGTCGACTTTGACGATGGGCGTGGGGCAGTGGCCGTCTCTGCGGCGGCAGGGGTGCTTGGCGCGGAGGTCGTGCTGGCGGACTGTGCCATCCTCGCTCACGGAGAGAAACAAATCAGGACTATGCTCGGTGATGATGCGCTTCACGGCGCCCTTGTGGCAGCGAATGGCATGAGTGCAGGCCTCGGCGGTGCTGTATGTGGTACAGCCTGAGACTGGTTTGAGCTGACATGCCGCAGAGGTGCGGGAAGGAATTCAGACCTTGCGAAGAATGCACCTCCCCTACATCGCACACGCGGACTTGGTGGTCGCCAGCGCAGGAGACTCTGCAAGAGATTCGGTCAGATAGGAGACCAGGTGAATGGGGGAAAGATGCAGTTGGGATATAACGTATGCGATGATGAACATGCATGGGTGGAAGGGACGAGCAGATGCACGGGAACCTCACGCACATCCTTGACGAATGCGGCAGCATCTTGTTATTGAATATATTCGCTTGGTGGCCTGTCCGAATGACCGAGCGACAAGTGAACGGGAACGGCTGGTCCGGATCGTCGTTCGTCTGATCCATCCGCCAGACACGTACGCTATGCAGATGTCCTCAATTTCCTGTCCTTCTCTACGAGATGCCTAGCCACTCACGTCCGATCATCGCCACCGCTCAACAATAGTTCTCCGTCCCTTGCCCAGCTCAGTGCATTCACACACCCCGTATGCCCGTACGCATCCCAATCGCCGCCCCCGACGTGGTACCCATTGTCGTCCCCAAGTACGTTCACGCGGTCGAGGGGCCAGGTAAGGCAAGCAGACAGCGCATCACGCTTGAAGCGCTCAGAAGTGCGGAGGGAGGGGTAGGAAGATGGAAGTGTGGTCATTCCATTGTATAGCTTGGCGGAGGGTGACTGATGGAAGCGCTTAGAGGACTCGGAGGGGTTCGCAGAGGTTGATGGTGAAGGCGATCTATGAGGCATGGTATCGCAGGTGCGAGCTGGAAGAGGTCAAGATGTTCATTCGAGCGAGGTTTTCACTCGTTTACGTTCAGGTGCCCAGCGAAAGTTCGGTCATGGAAGCGGGGAGTAGGATCTGGAATCGCGGGCCGATGTGCCGGGTGGCGTCAATGTCTGGGCAGGCAGCCACAACCTCGAAGTCAGCATCTGAAGTGCGTGCAATCGAAGATATAATGGTCCCGAGAAGGGATACCACGGGGATAGAGGTACAGGTGCATTGATGGATGGGATCCATTGAGTAGTACGAGCAACGGGAGTCTTACAGCAGACAAACAGAATGCATTCAGGCTACATATTCCGCCTTCTTCATCGTATCTCGTCTATACCTTCCAGTCGCTGGTCCATCCGCAGTCCAAAAGCGCGCAGGCGGGCGTGGTGGCTTATCCTTGCGATGTCGCGGCGTCCTCCGCCGCCTCGTGGGTGTCGTAGGAGCATCCACGGCATCAATCATCGGGCAGCATGCTTTAGGTGGCTCGTCTGGAAGGGCAGGTCCATCTGAGTATGGTGGGTGCTTGAGTAGATCATCTGGTACGGGAGGGCGAGTGCTTCGATGGGGCTGAGAATGTCTGACGAGAGCTAATGGAGCGCCCTCGCCGGGAGTTATAGCGCGCAGCGTTGTCACTCTACGTGCCCAGGATGAAGGTTGCTGCAATCATGTGCTCAGTAGCATTTGACAGGACAAGTTGCAATGAACCGACCCTAGACGGCGTCGACGCCTCCTCAAGGATGGAGGCATGATCGACAGCGACGGCCTTCGCCTTTCGCCGACGCTCCTTCGCCTGCGCCTTGGTGTCTTCATACTCTGGTTCTCTTACACTATGACAGAGGATCTCAGCAGGTATATGAGGCATGCGACACGACTACGTACTCAAGAGACAATGCGACAGGCTTAGGTGCAAGCGTGATAGCTGCTGGCGTATGTGAGGACAGCAATCGGAACTCTGCACGGCTAGTTAGATAGATCATGCTCAGCAGTAGAATGCGTACATACCAAGCTCTTCCGTCTGCCCTTGGGGTGCTTCGCTGACTTTGCGCTTCTTCTTTGGACGAGGGGAGTCCGGTAAGTCGAACCCCAGGCTCTCATGCAACATGCGCTTTAGCCTCTCTTGCAGGGCATCACTGTCATCGACAATGGTGGGTGCTTCATGTGTTTCTTCGTCATCATCGGCGTATATATCGTTTCTCGATGCCTTCTCGAGGGCATGCAGGTAGTCCGGCGCCATGGCGGTTCGCGATGAAGAGCACCGGTGATCCGGGCCGATCATCCGAAGCATGAACGGGTCGAAAATTGTGATCGGAGTCCGTTCCCCCACCATCCGTCCAGCACTTCACCATGGCAAAAGACGCAAAGCCCGCCGCGAAGAAGGAGAAACATCAGAGGAATGTCGCAGAGCCGAAGAAATTGTCGCTCAAGCGCAAAAACGAGGCCGCAGACGCAACGGAGGCGGCTGCAAAGCCCAAGAAGCTGAAGACGGCGAAGGCGGTCTCCACGGAGGTGCAACCCGTGAAGGAGAAGCAGGAGAAGAAGCAGGAGAAGAAGCAGCTCGCTATGGCAGAGGCATCGCCAAAACCAGCCAAGCCCGCAGCAGCGTCCGAGCCCCAGACTATCTCCCGCCCGACATCAAAGTCCATCCCCAAATCCTCCAAGGCTCCTGCGAAGCCGAAGGTTCTCGCCCCGCCGCCTGACGACTCGGAGGAGGAGGACGCAGATGCAGATGACGCCGATTCAGATAACGCTGGATCCATTCATGGTTTCTCTACCGATGAGGACGATTCATCTGACGAGGAGGTGGACGACACGCCCGTGGACGTCGGGAAACTTCCTACTGTGGCAAAAGACGACGAGACGGTGGCGCGCAAGCTCGAAAGAGCAAAGCGCCAACAGGTCAGTCCCTCTCCATCGTAGCTATACAGCATCTGATTGACCTTCGTGTTAGAGTGACGACCGTGGGGTCATCTATATCGGACGTCTCCCTCACGGGTTCTATGAGGATCAGCTAAAGGCCTACTTCTCCCAGTTTGGGGATGTCACCCGCCTCCGCGTCTCTCGCAACAAGAAGGTTCGTGGCGCCACTGACTGCTCTGCGGCGTACTCACTCGACCCACGTAGACCGGCAAGTCTAAGCACTACGCGTTCCTCGAATTCGACTCCTCGTCGGTCGCCCAGATCGTCGCGGAGACCATGGATAACTACCTACTCATGGGCCACATCCTCCGCTGCAAGGTGATCCCTAAGGACGAGGTCCATCCCGAGCTCTGGATCGGCGCGAACAGGAAGTACCGAGCTATCCCGACCGTGCGCATCAACAAACTACAGCACGATAAGGTGCGCAGCGCCCTACCCCCGCGGGCTGAATTCTCATACTGATCTCCAAATCCCTAATAGTCACGGACACCGGAGGAAAAGCAACGCGTGGAGAAGAGGCTATTGAAGCGCCAACGTCAGCAGCAGCGCAAGCTTGCGGCTGCTGGCATCGACTATGATATGGGCGATGCCGTCTACGTAAGTTCAATGCTTCGCCCGTGCGTGGATACCCCTTGACTCATTTCGCAGAAACCCTCTGTTGCAGTAGCATAGTAGCATAGAATGCAGCTACTCGTCTCCGCTTTATCTCGCGCACGCCATTGCATTGGACACCTTAGGCCTTATGACCTACCCTTGTTTGTATCGCTTTGACAATTCATCGTTTATGTGGTATATAGCTTCAGGCCTGGCCCAGGCCGTCCTCTCAGTCTGATTTTTCCTGCCCTTGCACACCCCTCCACAAGCAACAAATATGGCTTCTCTTCCAGTTATCGATTTTGCTCGCTGGGACAGCGGCAAGGCTGACGTCGGTGGCCATTTCTCTCTTTTTGCGTGTCCTAACGACGGTCATCGACTTTTAGGACAGGGCCGCCATCGCAGGCGCCCTCATCGATGCATGCAAGAACGTTGGCTTCGCCTACATCATCAACACAGGTATACCGCAAGGAGAGGGTGAGCTCTGCCGTGTTCCGTGCCGTGGTGCCACCCTGACGTTCATATTCCCGTAATCAGTCACCAGGATGTTCGACTGGGTGGGCCCACTCTGTCTCTCCATCCCATCGTACCCTTTGAGCCCACTTCATCTCCTAGTCTGCCAAGTTTTTTGCCCTTCCTGAGGAGACAAAGCTTCTGGCTCGTCACCCTCCTGAAGGATGGAAGCATCGTGGCTACAGCCGCCTCGGCGCTGAGCAAGTCATCCAGCCCAAGACGGTACGTCCCCTCCTTCCATCGTAGACATAGCCTTTCCTCACCCAACTACGCTCTAGTACGACTCCGATCCCTCCAAACTCGCGGCCCTTCGCCGCGCCGTCCCGGACCTCAAAGAGTCCGTCGAGATCGGCCTTGAAGACCCTCCTCGTCCCGCCCTGCAGAACCTTTGGGTTCCCGAGGACGACATCCCAGGCTTCCGCGCTGCCGCCGTTGCGTTCTACGATCTCTGCCGCGACTTTCAGACGAGCAAGCTGTTACCGGCCATTTCGATGGGCCTCGGGGTTGACAGCGACTACCTGGTCAAGTATCACGCGTACGAGGACAGTCAGCTGCGGTTGCTGCACTACCCCGAGGCCCCGGCCGCCCCGTTCGCGAGGGGTGAGCTGGGGAGGGTGCGCGCGCACACTGTAAGAGTATTTTCTTTCGACGCCGTAGAAAGCTAATAGAAGACCTCTAGGACTACGGGACCTGCACATTCCTGTTCCAGGACGATGTCGGTGGCCTTGAGGTCGAGTCCGCCTCGGGGGAATTTGTCGCCGCCACACCGATGCCAGGTGCCGTCGTCTTCAACGTCGGTGATCTCCTCATGCGTTGGTCGAACGGTACGTATCATTAGAAACTGTGATCGTTCTATTGAAATGGATCTCCGTCTAGACACACTCAAGTCGACGAAGCACCGCGTCTGCCCTCCGCCCGCAATCGAAAGCGGAAACCGGCACGAAGCCTTCATTCCAAGGCGGTACTCCATCCCCTACGTGAGTAGTCTTTCGCTACGAATGCTGCAATCCTGACCATATAATCCTTCAGTTCATTGTCCCCGACTTCGACAAGACGATTGACTGCATCCCCAGCTGCTTTGGGCCCGACAAGCCCAAGAAATACGAGCCTGTCAACGCGGGCGATTACATGGCGATGAGACTGAACGGGTCTTATTGAGGAACAAGCACTTTGTACGATAGGCATGATAGTACAGTATTCAGTGTTTTGTAACCGTCCGCGGTATTCGACAATCATGAAGGCATATCGTTCATATAGTCGTGAAAAAGGACATTCATGTTAGGCATCGATTGTAAGAGGAAATTCCAGTCAAGCGAAGCCGTGGCAGGGCGGGAAGAGCCCTGTACGCCACGAAAGTCGCCGTGATATCCGCTGGTCCTGGCCTCGACGAAGAGAGGCAGCACAGATGCCACCTGCCCCCATCCCTGGTCCGAGCAGTTAACCCCGATCACTGTATCGACTTTCGGGAAGAATCGCGCAAGGAACGAGGCCACAGCAACGTGCGACAATATAGGAGAGGCGGATACAGTTATTTGCCTGAGCGAGTGCTGTGCGCAGTCGGTGGGTATGCCCACAGGCATGCATGTGTCGCAGCCATTCACTGAGATGTGTAGTTCCCTAAGGTCCCGACAGTGGCGAGCGAGCCACGCCCATCCAGCGAGAGTGCTCGCGGGAATGCGCCTCCCTATGCTCTCGTTCCAGCCATGAATGGATAAGCGCTGAAGACGCGGAAATGCAACAGCGATGTCATGGAGGTCATCGTTGGTGAAGGCCGACGAAGACAGATTAATCTCCAGTTCCACAAGGTTGGCCAATGCAAGTAGAGGGTTGATCATAGAGAACGTAAGATCAAAGGGATCGGAGAACACGGTGCTGGGCATGCCTTTGACTGGACCTATAACGAGGTTGCGCAGCGATGCGTGACTGCAGCAGTGGGCCACGGCCTCACAGAACTCCACGAGAGATACGGGGGTTATGGCGCGCCCGCAGATATGCAGGTCAATGAGCTCGACGCTCTGTAGCGACCTGAGGAGGGTGCTTGCGAATCTGACGTCGTCTAGGTCGAGGAGTTTCATCTTTTCGAGGGAAGGTGCACTAGCATGCAGCTCTTTCGTGATCGAAAGGGCACAGCTGGGATCCCCACGCCCACTGATCTCGAGCGACCGCAGACGGGGGAGGGCCAACACCGCTTGCACGGCATCTGCGTCCACACGTCCAGAGATGCTCACGTTCTCCAGACTATCCCAACCGGAAAGAAGCTGACCGAAGTGAGCATCGTACGTCGTGGGGCCCTGTTGCATATCAAGCGCTGTAAGGAGAGGACATGCGCGCTTGTTGTTCAAGGCAAGGAGTAGGCCCGCTTCCGATTTGCAGCCGCGGAAGGAGGAGCCTGGTGCTAGGATACTGGCGAAGAGCATCGACGAGGCGTCCCTTTCTATCGACACGGTGAGCTTCACCAGCGTTGGAGGGATGAGGTCTGACACAAGGGCCGTGAAATCAGGTTGTCCACCCAGGTACGTGAGCTTCCGCAGGTTTGGGAAGAGGAAGTCGCCCGAGTTCTTCAGAACGGTACAGACTTCACGGAAGACCTCAGGCGCCGTTATCAGCGGGTACTCGGATAAGTCGATAGTCAGGCTGCGAACAAATCGCGCGTAATGTCGTATTCTTGTCAGATCTTGGGCTTTCGGGCGCCGTAGAGCGCGCTGTACATTCCACGATGAGTAAAGGGCAATTTATTGAGGGCGAGTTACCTACGTATTTGTCGACGATGTAGATACAAGTTGTTTTCGGCAATAACTTGACGAAGTGATCCAGGCTCCAACACTCGCGCCAAAGGATGCGTAGAGCTGACTCGTGAAAGTCCTGACAGGTCGCCGCGAGGGAACCTAAAGTGGCCCGAGGCAATTCTTCGAAGACCATCGAGCGAATTTCTTCGCTTCTGAAGGCGATATGCATGATTGATAACTGCACGTTGCGTCAGAACAAGGGAAAGGCACTGTCGAGTAAGGTACCTTGACACTCAAGCAAGCAAATGTAGATCGTCAAAAGAACAAAGACGGCGAAGACAACGTGCAAGGTAAAGAAAGGTCAAATGACGGTGCACGTGATTGTACTCTTGTACCCTACACGTTTGTACACGTCTTCAGACAATCTGAATAGCAAGAGGTACAGGGTCGAGATAGACATTCTTCAGAAGGAAGCCTCGCACAAGGAAGCCTCGAGGTTGAGAGTGTTCTGCACAAGGTCATCACCAACAAATCCAAGTATTAGCGTCGCCCATTTGTACACGCCAAGCAACATCATGTTAGTACTACTGCAGACTCTGCACCTCAGGGAACGGAACCGGTTCTTCCGTACGAGCCGCCTCTCCGTATGTCAGCAACCCAACGTACGGCATGATGTTGTACTTGAGGGTGTACGTCGCAGGCCCGACGTTGCTGGAAAGAAAGTCAGCATGTCTGTTCGGGGAGGGCGAGATGGGTGCATCCGCGAGTAACAACGCATCGGCGAGTGTCATAACATCGAGCGGGAACCATCACATCAAAGCGTATGAATGCACCAACAAGCTCAAGTGCACCGCCGAGTACGGATGCATCACCAAGATTAGGTGGACTTACTCAAAGGACGTCGACAGCTCGCGGAACGCATACTTGTGCTTGTCAACGAGGTTCAGGCGCGCTTCGTCCTTGCTGCGAATGATCTTATCCCAGATGACGACCTCGTTGTGCACCTAGCATACTTTAGCGATTGCATCAAGGGCCTATGGGACAGTGCGAAGCTTACTCCCTGCGCATTCGTATATTCAGCTTGAAGGTAGGCGAAGACCTGCTTCGTGTTCCAGTGGAACAAGGGCGAGAGGTCTATGACGCAGTCAGTAAGGCGCGCTTATAGTACATATTGTCTGAAGAAACGAGACGTGCTACTTACCCGCCGTAATGTTGAACTTCGTAAACGTCACGTCCTGGTTGCGCACCCGGAAATGCGGGGTCCTGGCAGGCGCCCTTTACAAAGTTAAAGAGCCCGTCAGCGCCTGTACCTGAGCACAGAACCAAGCCAAGCGAGATCAACACTGACGACTTAATTGCAAGAATAGACACGGTCCCCTTTGAAGGTGCCGTGTTCATCTCGAGAAGGACAGACGAGAGCGCAATAACCGCCACAAGGCCCATCAGGCAGGACGACAGCAGCGCCGAGAGGTTGTTGATTCGTGTGAGTATGTTGTGCATGGCGCCAGGAATAAGGTCCCGAAGACTTCGAGCACTGAGGAGGGGGAGTAGACGCGGGGTTCGAAGGTTTGTGGCGAGAGCCAAGTGACACGACGCGCCACTGCAGACGCGACGCGAACACGTGGAGACATCGGCATTTTCCGTTGGCATAGCATCGCCATGCCCGCTCCCTCTCTTTCCTCAGCAAACACATCACACCAGCGCCGCATTGCGTGATTAGACAGGTCATTGCGTCCTACGATATTGTACACACACGCGCGCGAGCGCCGTCGTAAAAGAGAGAAAGCGTATTGGTAACACGTTCAGTCGAATCCATCCTTCCAGTCAGTGCCCGTACAGGCCGACAGCAGCAAACCCAGCTTACTTCGCCTCAGCGAAGCCAACAGCGTCGCGACCAAGGTCGTAGACGGTGTAGTACTTGCGGAGGAAGACATCGCCTGATGGACGACATGAGTAAGCATGTCCCTTATGCGCAAAAGCAGCGCCACTGACCGATGATCCAAAGCGAGCCACCCGGAACGTTGATGTCCAAGCCAGTGAAGGACGAGATACAGGTGCCCTGGACCTCAAGGATGTAGTCCGTGCCCTTGAGCGTGTACGGCTTGCCACCGAAGTAAAGGGAAAGCTCAGGGAGGTCGGGGACCTTCGAACACTCGACCTGGTACTGGCCGTTCCAGGACTTCTTAGCACCAATCTCGGCGTTGATCATCTCGGCCATGTCGGTGGGGAGAGCGATCAGGGAGGTGCCTAAGACAAGATTAGGTTATGCGCCCGTGGCGATAGCACAACGAACTTACCCGTGTCAATAGCAGCGCCAGTGGACTCAAGCTCAAGCTCCTCGGAGCCAAAGGAGATCTTCTCAAGCTCAACTTCCCAGTAGGCCTTGCGGCGGACCGGGACGTAGGTGAGGTCACCCTTGTATGCGCTCTTGTCAACACCACCGAAGATGGCCTCGCCACCGTCCTCCTCGGACTTCCCGAGGCGGAAGGAGAAGACGGGCTCATCGAGGAGACCCTTGTTGATCATGTTGTAGTGCGGGGGCACAATGTGGTTGACGCTGATAGTGTCATAGCCAAGGCCAAGGATACCATCAAACCTGCGACTGGTCAGGTACACGAAAGGTCGGAAGTGGTGTCATACGCACTTGCCGAACGCGAAGGTGAGGCCGGGCTCCTTCACCGCCTCAGCAAAGTCTTGCCCAGGGATGGTGAGGTCGCCAATGGTGAGCACGTCCTGGGAGACGAAGCCCTCCATGGAACCGGAGCCGTACTGGATGGAGAACTCGGTGCCGTTCTGCTTGTACGTCGACGAGGCGCTCGAGTCGTACTTGGCGTGCAGGAAGCAGGCGATGGAGGTGCACTTGGAACTGGGGACCCAGAGGTTGCTAGACCCAGTGTCAAGGATGACCTTGAACTGCGGAGATACGTAAGCGATTGGGCCCATCGCCTCGCCACAGGCTGACACTCACGTTCTGCGGCGGGGTGCCCAAAGTGATCTCCGTGAAGTACTGCGCGTTCATGAAGTCTAAAGCAAGTGTCAGCAATGCGGCGGAGGCGAGGGTGTGATAGCGGCGCACTCGTCAAAGGAACGCCATGGCCACCCTTGACCTGCTCCTGCGTCCAGAAGAGGTCCTCGCCAGCATCGTTCTTCAGACGACGGCCAGCGCCGCCGGCGCCCATCAACGGCGTCTGGAACTCGTTGACAACACCATACTTCTCAGCGAGGTGGAGGCTCTCGAGCTCAGGGTTGCCGACCGTCGCCGGGATCTTCTGGAGCTGGAGCTTGTGGACCTCGGCGTAGACGGCGGGCAAGAGCCCAAGAAAGAGAGAAGTAAGGATCATGGTGGTTGGGAGGAGACAACCAGGCGCCGCCGCAAGGGCTGTATTGCGCGGCTTGAGTCACACCGGTCACGCATTACGTCATGTGCTTTGCTTCGGCTCAGGCGCTGTGGCGGCTGCGCGTAGAACTCCCCTCAAGTCTATGAAAGGCTATGCTCTGCCGACAGAGAAGCCCAGGAGTTTAGATTGCTCTTGATGTTGGCCACGCCAAGGTATATCCCTGCCTGACTTGAAGGCGCAAGATCAGTAAGAAAAGGATACCTCGATGACCGAAGAGGCCTATGCATGCATCTGTTGTTTCTTCGAGTACTAGAGGAGAAGGTGATCTACGAGAGTAATAAGTGCTACATGGGCCCCCATCAGTCGATGCATTTGAAAGCGAAGGTCTTCTGGAATCGTAGCGCGGATATCTGCAACATGATTATACCATGTTTCAATATGCCAGCAAGCCATTTGTTTTCCTACCCAGATAAGGTGCTTCTGGTAATATGACATCCTGTGAGCATGCTCTAGGATTCTTTCCAGTTCACGTTCGCGGACGCTGGCGAAAGTTGAACTGCAAAATACCCATATACGGCAGCTACGACGCCACAAAAGCCAGCGCGGTCATGTGCTCCAACTTAGAGACGGTCCGACTTTGTCTTCAACCATCGTTCCTTCCGCTAGCAGTTGCCCTCTCGCAGCTCACGACCTGAAGAAGGTCTTGAGGTCAACGCGTCTCGAATACGCTACGCCGACTTGCTGTCGGACGAATTTTGGACTCGTTCAACCTGAGGAAAAGACTTCGCTTCTTTCCGACTAAGCTCTAGCTGCGCATACGGGATCAATGCGGGGAAGAACCGACGAGGCAGAGGCGCAGGCGCAGGCGAATGCCCGAGAGTCGCCGCTGTCGAACCTCGAGAATCTGCTGCTAGCGCAGGCTGCATATGAATTCGGCGGCGGTGGCAGCGCGTGGAGTCAAGTCTCAAAGACGCTCAACCGTCATGCACTCACCAATAGGCCCGCCTCTTACTTCAATGCTCCGGTTTGTAGGTTCATTATGCTTTATAGCCATGCACTGACCCGTACAAGATGTGTCGCGCGCATCACACGAACCTCATGAATGACCACGGCCTGGACCCGTAAGTGTCTGATTGGCGGCGTCGGTGGCGACGCTAACGATTGCCAGGTCACATCCGGATAACGCAAAACCACATTGTACGTTGCCTGAACAACAGGGAGATCCATTAATACGAGCGTCCTCTAGCTGCTCCTTATAAGCAGCTGGCAGAGATCCTCTACGTGGAGCGTTTTCGTGAGCTGGAGCAGCAGATCAAGGCCGAGGAAGTGGCGTTCAAGTCAGCAGTCTCACTCAGACCTCTGCTACATTGACTAAGCGAACCACAGGCGCGTCTGGTCCGAAATTGAGGACATCAAGGCGGGAAAGTGGGACGCAGCAATTGCTGAGGGGAAGATACCGGTATCTCGAGACGTAAGCCTCTTTCATTCCATAAGATCGTTGACGGGCTCACTAACTCCAGTCAACCCGTACTGCTGTAGGAACCGACGGCGCAGAACAGGATCGACGACAGCGCGGCTGAGAAGGATGCTGATGAGGAGTCAGCCGCTGGTTCACCTGATGAGAAGGTGGACGAAGACGATGCGGACGGCGACCAGGAGCAAGATGATGCACAAGCTGAAGAGGAGGCGGATGTTCCGGAGACGCGAGAGCCTCCAGAAGTCCCCAGCGAAGACGAAGGTGCCAGCTCGGGCGAAGAACCGTTGCAAAACCAGCGAAGTGAGTCTGATTTTGACGTGTTTTCTCAAGTCTTATGCTCTCCAGGATCAAGTCGCATCTCGTCGACCGGCGCCTCTCGGATGGGTAGCAAAGGGAAGACACCGGAGGACGTTCCCGAGGCGGAAACAGAGGAGATGCAGGTCGACGACGACGAGGATGATGAGGAAGAGACGGAGACGCGCTTGAGTACGCTCAGGAACGAGCTGCGAGTCTGTCTACTCACAAAATGCACAGAGCGCAAGGCTTCGCCTTCGGACCACCCTGATAACGCCCGCGACGCCAAACGTGCTCGGGAGGGCTCCGAAGCAACTCCCGACGAGGATCAAAGTCTGTCTTCTCTTTTTCTCCTCCTCTCCTGTTCTAACTCACCGCAAATGTAGACCGTCGCAACTCCCGCCGCTCAGCCCCGTCTCAACCACCCGCAAACAAGAACTTCAAGCCCGTCATAACCATGCTCCACGAGCAAATCTCCCAGCACCGCAATGGCAACATCTTTCACAACCCCATCAAGACGAGCGAGGCGCCCGACTACTACCGCGTCGTCAAGCGCCCGATCGACCTGAAGACGATCAAGGCGCGCATACGAGACGGCGCGATTGCGAACACGGCCGAGTTCCACCGGGACATACTGCTCATGTTCGCGAATTCGATGATGTACAATCACCCGGAGACGGATATACACCAAATGGCGGCGGAGGTGGGTGCGAGGGCTTCGAGAGGGACCGAGCGTGCTGACTTTGTGCGATAGATGATGCTGGAGAGCGAGCAGATGATCGAAACGCACCGGCAGACCGAAGCTTGGAGTCAGACCTAGCTATCCCTTTAGCGTAGCAAACCTGCGAATCTTGCGCCTCGATTTTATCGCGATGGTTTTGCAATGAGTGCGAGTGCTTTCAGTCTCAACATTGGCAAGTAAACTATAGTACAACAAATACAGAGCAAGTCCGACAGCAGGGGTTCACGAGACATGACACGAAGATATGGTGTAGCACAACAAACAACGACAACATTCAGAACCAAGGCGAGTACAATTCTCCCATCTTCGTCAGCTGCAACGGGTTCGTCGCCTGCAAGATCAAGTTTGTAGCGGAGCTCACGACCGGCTGCGTCAGCACGGAGCCGTCCTGGCTGCTTGCCTGTGATGGTCGGTCAGTAGACTGCAAAACAGTCGCGTAGTGGCTACTTACGATCTCTCGCTGCTCCTTGCACGCCAGGATGCACGAACGCTTCACGAACTGGTCGATGTTCGAGAACACGACAGCGCGGAACTGCGGTTCGGCGGACCACGATCGCTCGCGCATGTTGAACCAGGACGTCATCTCATCGCGCGCGAACAGGCAGATATACGACTCCAGCTCGTGCTGCAATAAAGTCAACTTTCTGAATGGCATCTGAGGAGAGCAAGCGTACCTCGGTGTCCGTCAAGCTGCGTCCGATGGCCACCAGACCGGCCGTCATGAGAGCCTCCGTGCCAATAGGGCCGACGAAGTGTTGCAGATTGGGCGTGAAGCGGAAGGGCACGGCGTCGGTGGACATAGACATTGGGATGTTCTGAGCCATGCCTGCGCTAATGTCAGACCATGCTTGAAAGAGAAAAAGGCGACACAACTTACCTGGCGTGAGGGCAGCCATCGTGATCTGTCCAGTCTCGCGAGAGAAAAAGAACGTGTTCGGGGAGCGATGCGTGACGCCGAAGACATAGGTGAGGAAGCTGTTCGCTGCCAACTGCGTGGTGAACTGTTTCCGCATTCGCCAAAGCTCGGTCGGCCCCTTCATGGTGCGTAGCATGTACTGAAGGCCAATGAGACCACGAACACGGATGTGAGAAGCACGCTACTCACGTTGCTGAGGATGTTATCCGGCACAAGTTTGGTCATCAACTCGTCTATAATGTCCTTCTTCATCATCAGATACTCGACCTTGCTCGGATTCTGGAGTGACCGTCAACTAAAGAAACCCTCGCAGTAGAGGCTATCGCACCTGCTGCTGCCTCTGCGAGTTCTTGATATCGCGCAGTGTCTTTCGGACACGCTCGCCTATGAAGAATATTGCCTCCTCCCTCGACATCCCCTTGTCCACGCAGTACTGGTCATAGACGTCCTGAAGGGTCGTATAGGACGAGTCCGTCATCCATAACCTCATGGTCGTGTTCAGCGCAATGCTCATTGGGACGTGGAAGGTCAAATTTCGCCGCAACGTCTCCTTCTTGCGTCGCAGCGCCCTATCGCGGTGTTAGCTGTACAGATGGATGCGTTATGATGAACACGTACAGATTGAGCGTGCGGAAGACCTGCATCGTCCTCTCCTCCCGCCTGAAGTGGCGCAGGTACGGGAATTGCAGAGCGAAGGTCGTGCGGGAGTTGTCGTTGCCTATGATGGTAAATCGCTTCCAAGGCGTCCCGCTCGTACGTCCGTTCTCGACCCGTGGGGCAAACTTCTGGATGCGAACGAAGTTCTGGTTGTTATCCTTGTCCTGGCCAGTCGTCAGCTTCACGTTCAACTGCAAGTGATAGTAGTCGTACCTCAGTGTATTGTCCAGGTACCTCGATCTCATCGATCTTGCTATACTGGAATTGAGTGAGGTAGTGGCTGATTGAGTCCAGAGACTGCGTCCTCGGCCGCGAATCGAGACTTCGCTCGTATCTATCGCGCCAGCTTTGTAGCCTCTGCATGTACTCCTGATGGGTGAGCTTGGGCAGCAGGAAGTCTTGCTCGAAGTGAGCCTGCACAGCGTCAGAGAGTATTGCGATATACAGATGCGGAAGAACTAACCTTGGCGGGACTCGCGGGCATATTGGCGTGGACACGGCGCATGTTGTCGATAGATGCTTGCTTCAGCAGACCGTCGTCGTCGGGCACGTTCGTCCGGCTGACGTACATCGTACTGGCGTCGTGTAGCAGGAGACAGATATTGCGATAGTATTCCTCTTCCAGGTTCAGCTTGAACTTCGTGTTGATCTGATCGACCAACGTCTCCATGCTGAGCGTGAGCAGAGGGAACATGGTCTTCAAGATCTGCACGATCTCCTCGAGATAGTCCCATGCCTGCTTAGACACTGGGTCTTTGACCTGTGTACCTTGCCCAGCGGAGATCGCCTGCGCTGATTGCAGTCCGCTTTCCGCGCCGGACGCAGGGCTTGCGGTAGGGCCAGCGGCGTCGGCGCCGCCACCATTGGCAGCTTCGCTTGCCCGCGCTGCGGCGACTTGTCGAGAGCTCGCCAATCTTTTGACGCCGAGGATCTCGTCCCGGAACGTGCGCAAGTGGTAGAACAAAGCCTTCGTAGTGGTAAGCAAAAGCCAACGGGAGCTGCTTCATGCAACGACTCACCTGTGGGTAGTGCCGAGCGATCTGAAGCAGAATATATCGGGCTTGCTTCATCTCCTTGTGCATGAATGCCTGGCAAAGCTGAGGAATGTAGGCGATCCAGAACCATGGTACCGTCTCGCCCTTATAGGTGTCGAAGGCTCGCAAGACAGTCATGCTTGAGTCGTCCATGCTCAGCAGCCATAGGACGCGACCCAAGAGCGGCCGGCTTTTCCCGTTCTTGTAGAGCCCAGCGGCCTGAAGATAGCAAGTGACGGCGCTCGCGGCATGGTTCAGGTCGCTGGAGTTCTCCTTGAACAACCTGTCGCTAAATCTACCCCATTGCGCCCACGCTTTGGGCTGCTGCATGTCGAGCTGTACCGCCTGCGCGAAGGCCAAACCTGCGTCGTCATGCCGTCCCATCTTGGCACTGAACATGCCCTTCAGAGTGTAGAATTCCGACTTTTGCGACGCCGTGAAGAAGACCAGGTTGGTATTGTTGATGACTTCCAGTCCGGACGCGAGCTCGGCAGGTTTCTGATAGTGGCATCGAGCTTGCTCCCGCAGCTTCAAGAACGCCTCCGAGATCTCGATGTTCGGCAACGTGTAGATTTTCGTGAGAGCGGACATGCATACGTCAAGGAGCTCGTGTTTGCGAGCGACATGAGCGAAGCGGTTAATGATCCATGCCGTTTCGTGGAAGCCACGAAAGCCGAACGTGTTCGTGTTGGACGTCGTGCCACCATTCTGGCCTTGCTGGGGGATGAGCGGGACATATATTTTGTTGATAGAATTGAAGACGTTCTGGCGCCAGTTGACGAGGTCGCTCCAGATGCTGATATCATCGTGAATGTTTGGCAATCGCTCGCGCCAGGCCTGCAGAACCACCTTGAGATCACCCGACTTCTTCTCCAGGTTCCCCGCCACCGTCGTCGCAAGAGAAGCGTAGATAGATACCGCTTCCTGCAGCTCGACGAACTGCTGGAAATTCTGCAAGAGAGGAACATGTGCAGGGGACAGATGGGACGGCAGGTTGACCCATTTGCGCAAAGATAGCTGGGTGGCATCCTCCAAAGCCTTCGTGAACTCGGCATTCTTTTCAGGCGGTTCCGACCCCTTGACAAGGGACAGAAAGGCCTCAAAGATCAATCGACGAATAGTCGGTGGCTGCGGTAACAACGCCATCTGCTCTTCTATCAAGCTGATGTTCTCGTCCCAGTTCTTGGTACGCCAAGCGCTCTCGAGCAGAAGCTCGGGGTTGTTCTCGGCCTTCGCAAGGTCGTACAGGAGGTCCCATTGCTGAAGCTTTTGGGCGGCCAAGATCCAGTGATCCTCCCAAAGGCAGTACTCCTGCTCCGTGAACGGTATCGTTCCAGTACGAGCTTTGCTCTGCGCCGCCTCGTATGTCTGCTGCGCCTGTTCCCACATGCCGATCTGCTCGAACGCTAGACCGTTGTTGGTGTCGCTGTGAAGGGAGCGATGTCGCCAGACGCCGTAGAACATGTCCTCCTCTGCCAATTCAGCGTACACATCGGCGAGAGAGTCGTACACGTAGTCGCGCACACTCGGTTCATCGTCCTTCACGTAGTGCAGAGATGTGCCCAAGATCTCCATACCAACGTGCCAGGCGCCGTAGGTCTTCGCAAGGTATTTGACAAGATGCGGCGGCAGGTTCAGCGGTGGCGAGCAGGCGTGAGATCCGGCGAGAAAAGCTTGAATGACGTTGGGGCGGGCTTGAGCTTGCCTTGCATGATATTCGCGCGTTAGGCAGTTGATGAGGTGGTAGGTAATCTCGGACTGCTCTCTTCTTGAGATATGCGGCCACGCAGCGGGGAAGAGCGACGTCCAAGTATCATGGGCAGCTTGTAGGTCAAGGCATAGGAGCCGGCGCATGGGAGATACGAGCGCGTCTGTCGAAGGGCGGGCTAGTGCACCATCAACGAGCATGGCATTGGATCGAGGCGATGAATCCGCGGCACCGAGAACAAGGTAGATGGCGAGGTATGTCCAGTTGTGATCAGCCAGAGCGTCCCAATTCTGAACACCGAAGATGTAGGTTAGACGGTTCGATAGTGAGCGCGGAACGCTAGAGTCCAGCAGGTCCATGAACTTCTCGCGAAGCGCCGGATCAGGCGCGCGGCACCCGACGAGGAACGGTGCCTCCAAGCGATGCGTGAGGTCGCTGCGGCGTAGGGAGGCTTCCGTGAAGATGTCGTAGATGAGCTGAAGGTATGGAATGAACACGGCGGTGCCGCGCGTTTCGAAGATGACCATCTTCTGCAATATCGCACTCTTCTCCCGCATCGTAGGATATGTCTCCTGACTCGAAAGGGTCCAGTTCCGCACCATGTCGAGCATGTACCGTATGAGGACGACGCTCCGGGACTTTTCAATCAGGAGGTTCGCCACAGCAATGAACTGCTTGCGCTGCTCGCCCAGATACGTCATGGATGTTTGCATGATCTCGAAGGCGATGATAATTTGCTTCACGGATGCGTCAAGTAGTGGCGAATCGGGCGGGAGACTGGCGTGGTCCTTGACGAGTTTGGCGAACAGCTTGAGCAAGCCCTGCGAGAACTCGGTAATACGTTCCGGTGTTGGACCAACAACAGCTTTGAGCATCAACAAGGTCCCTCGTACGGGCGCATGCTTCGCGAGACCGTCCGCGATCGCTGTATAGACGAACTTGAAAAAGTCCGCCATGGGCGTGTCGACCTCTTCGTCCTCCTTCGGCAACGGATACAGCCGAAGAAGCCGCTCCAAGATGGGGTAGAGGGCATCATACAACGCGACGTTCTCCGACAGCATACCGCGGTGCAGCAGCTTGTGCAGGAACTCGGCATGCGTCCTGAACCAGTCGTCGGTTTGCTCTGAACTGATTATCTGCAATACCCTCGCACACGAGATGGCCCAGGATATGGTGCTGTCGTTATTCAGCTCCTGAGGCCGTGTTAGACTGCTTCGAACAGATGAGATACAAGGAACTTACAGATTCGAGGGGCTTTGAGAAGTATCGCAAACCGAAAGTTACGTCGGTGAAGCCTTTGGGTCCGACAACAAGCTTCAATAGCGCTAAGGAGCGCGTGACGAGGTGCGATGGCGAGTCCAGAGACAGGGCGATGCGGGGGTCTGCAACCAGTCGCGGATCCGGCTGAGAAGTCGCGATGCGTATCAAGTAGCTGACCATGTTCTCCTTCACGATGAGCGGCGTCGTCCAAGCCTTCCCTCCTTTCGCGATCTCCTCCATAGCCTGCTGCTCCCAGTCGTACAGGATGTGCAGAACCTCAATAGAGATCGCGCGATACTCCGCCGCCGTCGCATTGTTCATCCCCAGCTTGGAAAGCGAGTTCGAGATATGGGCGACAAAGAGGGCGCGCACAGGATAGAATAGCTGGGGGTGCTTGACGATGAGTTGACACAGCGTGCTCGTTGTCAACTGGGTGCTCCCTTCCTCTTGAGTCAGCCTACGAGCCATCATAGCCCACTGCGGGAATTCCTGACCAGGCTCAGGGCCCGGCAAGGACTGAGTGATCGTCGACAGGGCTTCTGCTCGGATGTTGTTCTTAATCTCCTGAGGCGTGCGCAACAACGTCGACCAAGAGCGCATTATGAAGTTCGCTGGAGCCTGGAAGGCGGCATAACACCTTGCGGTCAAAAGCAACGCAGTTTGCTTCACGAGATTGTCCTCCTCGTTGGGAATGACGTCCCATGCGTACTTCAAGATTCCCTTGCGCTCGTCCTCCAAAAGTTTCGAGTAGTGCTGCACGAAGACAATCATCAGGTAAAGGAGTTCGATCTTCGCGTCCTCGTTCATGCCATTGTTCGGATCCATAGCCTTCGGGGCCTGCCAGGTCCGTTTGCTGAGCTGGTGTACGTAGTCCGCGTCGATGAGCTCTTCGACAGCTTTCTCGCGCACTGCATGAACCTGCAAGATCGGAGTGACCATGTAGCGCAAAAAGTGGCTTCTATCTGCAGGGGTCCTTGCTGGCTGGTCCGACCAGGTCAAGAAGCGGTATAGGACGTTGCGCCTGAACATGAGATCATGACTCAGGGCTACATGCTCATAGAGGAAGCGTGTCGTCGGGATGAGGTTGATGCCCAGGTTGAGCGAGTATAGCGAGATGATCTCCGTGAGAAGGTCAATGCGAGGGATCTGCTTCAGGGCCGTAATGAAAACGTCGCGCGTAGCCACTATGCGTTCGACGACGGACGGATCGCTCTGGGCGATCTTGAGGTCGTTCCTCCAAAGGTCTACCAGGGCGTCGACGACGAAACCATTCTGAGCGAGCCAGGTGTGGTCCAACTCCGCGATGTCTTGGAACAGATGCAGAGTGGGTAGCACCAAAGCGGGTTCTGGCCCTCGTATGAACAGCGAAACCATCACGCCCGCCCGCGAAGCGAGCTCACGTTGGAGGCCTGGCGCCAGGCTCGCTTGCAGAATACTTCGCAGCGTACGCACATGTTTCGGAGAGTGCAAGTTTCGCATGAAGAAGTCGATGCCCTCCGATGGATAGCGCTCCAAGTATTTGGCCAGCGGCTCGGAGAACGGGGTGCGACTCGAGAAGTGCATCTCCCTTTCGGCGTCGACGATTGCGTTGACGAGGCTCTCGAGGAAGATGTTTGCTGCAGACGGCAGAAGGTGAAAGATATTCGCCAAGCGCACGAGCTTCGTGATGGCCTCGTTGTTGTACAGCGCCAGCTTCGAGGATGCTTGCAGCGTTTGCTTGTCGGCGACGGCGCGGAAATGGTCAAGCAGCTTGTGCCCGATCTCGACTTTGAAGTAGTTCGTAAGCAACTCCAAAAGTCGCGCGAGGCCCTCGAGGCCTGGCACCGATAGACGCTTGGGATCCGCTAGGTTCATCAAGATGGGCCTTAGGCCCGTTTGCAGGAGTTCCTTCGGCAGCCGGCTCTGGTGGTTCAAGACCATGCGCAAACCCTCGTGGGCGACGTTCTTCACCTCCAATGAGGGCGAGTACAAGGACTTGAAGTACACAGACGTGACCCTACAGTACATGTCAGTCAAATCTCGATGCAAGCTGGGCAGTCATTCGATAAGCGCACCTTTGCCTTGTCTGGTGTTGCTTCGAGTAGAAGTCCGTGAGCGGCATCGACGCCGTCAACAGCTTGATACAAGCAACCCTCAGCCGGTTGACATCCAACGTCCCTTGCCTCGGATGATTCCTTCCTAACAACGACGCGTCCTCCGCATCCGCCAACCCCAACGCCTCATGCAACAGCCGCAACAGCTCATCGTTGAGCTCCGCCAACGGAGGGTCCAGTGTGATGCAGTATCGAATCGCTTCAATCATGCCGATCTGGATGCTGCACGGCAACGCGCGCAGCGGCTTCGTGTAGATGCTCGACAGTAGTCTCTCGCGGTGCGGCGAGAGCAGCTCCGTCGCAGACCAGCCGCTCAAGCGCACGACCCGATCCATCGCCTTATGCACCGCGTCCCGCACGAGCGGATTCGGGGCCTGAATCTCGACGAAGAACACGCCAATCAACGACGCCGCGCGATTGAATGGGTGCTGCTGCCCCTCGATCCGCGGGTTGCACATCTCCAGCACCCGCAGCATCGCGTCCATGAACCGCGACACGTCGCGCTCGACGTCGATGGGAATGTCCTTCAGCACATGCAGTATCGTTCGGTAGATCTCCGTCTCGCGCTCGTGCACCCAGCGCACGGCGACGTGCGGCGTCTCCGTCATGATCTCGATGCCCGCGCAGCACGCGACCTTGCGCGCCCAGCCATCCTCAAAGGCGAGCGCGGTGAAGCGGTTGGCGATCTGGTGGAGGATGATCATGAGGTCCTCGGCCTTGACGGCAACATCGTCGCGCGTCGCAACCAGGTCCTCGACGATGGCACGGACGAGGTCGGCAGCCTTCTTTGCGCGCGTAGGGTTATCGTGAGCCATAGCCTGAGGTATGGCGTCCAACAGCGTTGACAGCATCGATGATGGAGTGGGGCGAGTGCCCTCCACGAGAGGCGATTGGCGGCGCCTGATCTCTGTCCTGAACACGAAGCTACTGGCCTCCTTCATGAGCTTCTCCGCACGCTCGTTGAACTCGGGGATATGGACTGCCTCGAAGACAGCGTCGATGCAGCATCGGAAGACGTTCTCAGTGTCGCGGTTGTTGATCCCCTGCACAAGCATCAGCCTCGAGTCCCTATACCCAATCACGAAACCCACCTCATTCAACAACTCGCCTACACATCCCTCCACGAACTCAAACGCATGTTCCCTCTCCAGCGCATTCGCCACCTGCTTCCTCAACACATGCAGCGCCAGCGTCGCTGTCGGCGCCAACGCCACCTTCGATGTACCACCCGCGAACGATACGCTCACCGCCGCCGAGTCCGAGATGTGCTGCCACTCGAACACCGGCTCCTTCGTCAGCAGGCGCCTGTTCCGCCCACCGAGCTTGCCCAGTATGCGGATCGCCGTGTGCGCGAAGACGTGGTTCGCGGGGCGCGGCTTGAGGAGGTCGTGCAGTGCCTCCATGAGCTCGCGCAGAACGTTGTTGAGCGTCGGGTCGAGGAAGTCGGGCGTGAGGTTGTCGATGCAGAGCTCGAGGGTGCGCAGGCCCTGGCCGATGATGTTCGGGTCGGGGCTCTTCAGGGCAATTGCGAGTGGGTGCATGAGATGTGTGAGGTGCGGCAGTAGATGCGTTAGCCGCAAGGGGATGGTAAGGCAGAGGTGAACGAGGAGATCGCGCCCATTGCCCTCCGACGCGAGCAGGTGCCGGTTCATGTTCTCCAGCATCTCCGGGAGAAGTGGCAAGACCTCCTTGTACAGCATCTCGAATCTCCCGGACCCAATCGCGCGGTAGATCGACCGCAACAGCGAGTAGTAGTGCGTCGGCCGCGATGCCTTCGCCGCCAGCGGGAAGCAGTCCATCAACAACTTCGGCAAATGACCCGCGATAATGCTCTCATTCGTCGCACTATACACCTCCTTGTCCAGCGCGCCGAACGCCATCTTGTAGTACCGGATCGTATACGCCGCATGGTAGTCGTCCAGGTCGCCCAACAGCGGCAGCCGGTCGACCAAGTACTTCAAGATTACCGACAGCATCGTCGATGATGTGGGCTCCCTCATGAGCAGCACCTGGCAGAGGTTGACGAGCGGGATGCGCTTCAGCGCGTAGTTGTAGAAGAAGTCAATCTTGACCGTCCAAATCTCCTGGAAGACGTGCGGGTCGATCTCGACGAAGACGGGGCCAAGGTGCTCGGCGATGGAGTCGGGCGGCGGGTCCGCCATGCGCGGGTCGGGGTCGAAGAGCGCAGCGCAGCGGATGCAGCCTTCGAACATGCGGAAAATTTGCGTGCCCTCGGGAGGGGCGACTTCGCACTTCTTCATGCCCTGTAGGACGGAACGAAAGCTGTGGACGAGAGCCTTGAAAGTGGTGCGCGATTCTGAAGGAATCAATGATAAGAAGGACGCTGTTGAGCCATGAAATGTTGCTTACGGGTGATCGTGTCCATGGGCGACTTCTCTGTCGCGAAATAAACTCCACCGATCGGACGGGACTTCTCGATGTAGACCATATCAATCGTGTCGGTAGTGCCAGCGCGTGCCCTGCTCATTGTAGCCGACAGCTCCTCCTGCATGACGACGAGCGCGTCCAGACGATCGAGAAACGCGTCGAACATCGAGCGCAAGATCTTCCCCACCTGCGGGTTAGATCCTCGCGAGACCAGGGTCTCCGTCAGACCCATCAGCATCTTCAAGCAGGGTATCTGCAAGAAGTTGCCAAGAGTAGGGTTCTGAATCTGGGGCAAGTAGGTGCGGATGACAAGCTCGATCTGCTCCATGTCAAGGTCGCCTCGCGTGTGGTGAATGAAGTCGGTGACGAGGCCATAGATTGCAGGGCTGAAGACCATATGAGCATTGACCCAAAATAATACACTCCATCACGTACCGCAAAGCCTCCCGTGCAGTGAAGCCAGTGCCCAGAAGTACTCGCTCGTCGATGACCTTCTCAATGTAAGGAACGAGGGCTCGACGGTGAGGCGTCGTGATCATGTGCCGGAAAGGCGCGAGGATGTCCTGCAAGGATGCTGGTCAGATAGACGCGTTATGGCTCTGCGCGAAACTTACCTTCCGAAGGGAATGCGAGCTTGAAGGTAGGTCCTGAATGATGCGGAACGTCGCCAGCATCAAGGCGTCTCCACGCTTCATCTCTGGGGACGCACTCCGTTCAACGAAGATGACGAACGAGAGCATCTGTGGATCGTGTCAATGAAAGCGGTCAATGAGTACAATCAAAACTCTCGGAATGTATATTCCATGATGCATAGCATACACATTGAGAAGCGTCGACTGTACACGGCGTCCTCACCTTTATTTGCGCCAACATCAGGTCACTGTACGCTTGCGCGTTCTTGATCGTGGGCGCCATGCCGTACCACGTTTCGCCCATAGCTTCTTTCGCCTCCCTTGCGGCCTTCTGAGCGGGCGCTTCAACTTGCAAAAGCTCGAAGGCCGGCTCAACGAGGTGCTGAAGCGGTTCGGGTGTTTGCGTGCGTGGATAACTGCTGAACAGGAAGGTGACGAAGAGACCCATTTCTGTCGCGACTTTGAAGCTGCGTATACTCGGCAGCGCCACTACCGAGTCCAATACGGCAGAGTCTTCGGACAGCGTTTCGTCGACGAGGGTGATGACATTGCGTTGGAGTTCCAAGAAGATGCTGACAAGCTCGCGCTGGAAGTCGTCGGGCATGAAGCGGTAGACGCGCATGTAGTCGACGAGGGTCTTGCAGGCGAGCGCGCCCATATCTTCGTTGTCGTGGCGGAGGATGTGGAGGAGGGTCTGCGGAATCGCTGGCAGGTGTGCTTTGACCTGCTCCCCGTGGGGGAGGTGGTTGATAATGTCGGTGAGCATGAGACGGAATTTGAACTCGAGGGACGGGCGGCTAAACGCGACTTCTCCGCTTCGAAGGAGCTCAAGGACGGAGGGGATCATCAGCGACACGGATCGCAGGGTGTCCGAGTCGCGGGGGGACTCTGGTATCCTCTCACGAATCTCGCTCGCGGCTTCATACTTGCTTTGTAGGTCTGTCAAAGGGAGAAGGATGAGTGGCTACAGATTGGGGAAAGTGGCACGGCCACGCACCGACGCCTGGATCGACAATCTTGGCCACGCGTATTTCAAGCTCACTAGTCGACATGGATTCCATGTCTGCCGCTTTCGAGAGTGCGGCGAGGCGCCTCGCCCGCGCAGCTTTGAGGAAGAGGATTGGGAGAAAGCAAGTTATAATGTCACGTGCCTACTTCCTCCTGCTATTGTCGGCGTCCGGCCCGGAATCCCGGATCGCGTCCTCGACGTTGACTTCGACGGTGAACTTGTTCTCGTCCTCGAACTCTTGCTCTGAACTATCCCCACGAAGATAACAATGTCGATGACCCCAGCGCTGACCTCTCTTGTGCACTCCATTGTTCCCACGTCTCGAACGGACAAGCGACTAGAGGACGAACTCGTTGCTCACAGTCAAGATATATTGACGAGGTGTGCAAACTGAATGGTTTCTCATTCTCGCGAGCTGATGTGTGTGTGCAGCCATCTGGGCCATAGTCATGATCCCGATATTGGGCACTTGGCCGATATCATCAAGCGCCAACGTACGAGCATCCCATCATCGTACACCGCGATCCCCCACTCACACATCATGTTCAAGTACTACAAACCAATCCGAGTGGCTCATCCGCCTTGAAATTCACGAACCTGCTATCGCGCTTGCTCGACCAACCAGCCCTGTCGCGCAAGCATGCCTCTGTTCAGTTCCTCCAAACACTAGGCGCGAGCACTAGTCGAACACCCCCAACACCTGCACTTCTGCCATCCCTAGCACCACCGCCACCCTCAAGGCCCCCTACTTCGGCTCACGCCTCCCCCGCACCCACACCCTCTTCAAGATCACAGCCGAAGGGCAAGAGCAAGGCAGAATTACTGCGGGAATACCATGCTCGCAGAGGTACATTGAAGTATCGTCCAAACGACCAAGGCTCATGATCACTCGAAGGCACGCCGACCTTGCCAGAGCACTTGTTGCTACGAGACACGCTCTACCTGCTGCAGGGTATATCTGGGAAGTACGTTAGCTTCTCGCAGCAGGAACCGAACAATCTTGAATTCCACGACGATGCAGTACGTTGATTGCTCTCGGTCGCCTCTTTGACTTCCCTGACATGCTCAGCGCTACGCCGTCAGTGAATCTACGAAGGCCCTCATCGTGCGGCTGGCAGAGATTGGGTACCTATACACGCGCGTCGAAGACTACGTGAAGACGCGCGAAGATGCAGGCGGTGTAGGCATGATTGAACAAAGTCTATGTCACCATCTGCAGTCGCAGCTCACCGAGTACTACCGCCTCATCGCTGTCCTGGAGTCACAGATGGGTGTGGCGGTCGAGGAGGGTGACCACGGGTCGGAAGTCAATGGCGTACCGGACATCAGAAAGGAAGAAACGGGCTTAACACTGCGACGACTGGACGTCTGGATCAACGACTGGCGACTACGGATGCGCATGATGAGTGTTTGCGTAGAAGGCGCGCGAGGTACGCGCTCTTGCGTCCTCAACCTACTTGCGCACTAAGATTCCCTCAGACGTCCATGGCGGTGCCCTCGTTAACCTTATCCACGGCTACACCGACAACGGCGACCCCTTCGTCCGCAAGTTTACCGACCAGCTCCTCGAAGAGGTCTCCAAGCCCTTCTTCTCCACCCTTCACAAATGGCTCTTCTCCGGCGAGCTCTACGACCCCTTCAATGAGTTCTTCGTCGCCATGGATCCGGATATCCAGTACAGGCATCCTCAAGGTGGGGGCGGCGGAGGTACACCGTACGCGGATGACGGTCCCACGGGAGATGAGGGACGTGATTTGGGGGACGCGGACGGTGGGGGGCTGAAGTTGTGGGAAACGAAGTATCAGTTCAGAAAGGATATGCTGCCGATGTTTGTTGGAGAGGCTTTTGGAAAAAAGGTAAGCTACCTTCGTTCAGTCAATGGTGTTCATAATTCAACGACGCCCTCTAGATCTTCTCTACGGGCAAGAGTTTGAACTTCATCCGCTACAGCTGTCACGATAGTGACTGGGTTGCAACAAGGCAGAAAATGAGCAATACGGGCGGTAGTGCGTCGTCTTCCTCTCGAGCATGCAAGAGTAATGCTGAAAAGTCCCGCAGCATTAAAATATAGCGATATCCCTGGACTTGAGCGCTCCATTGATGCTGCTTACTCCATGGCGAGTCTTCGCCTATTTGAGGTCTTCATCGAGAAGTTCCACCTACTGGACCACCTTCGTGCTCTCAAGCACTATATGTTGCTCGGCCATGGAGACTTCGCCGAACAACTTTTGGAAACTCTTGGGTAAAGCAAAGGGCCTTTAGTCTGTACGCCATGCACGCTAACCCGTCCCCAGCCCTAGTCTTTCGCGCCCCGCCAACACCCTCTTCCGGCACAACCTCACTGCTACCCTCGAGACCGCCATCCGCACCTCCAACGCCCAAAATGACCCCCCAGATGTCCTCCGCCGCCTCGACGCGCGCATGCTCGAATACTCCCACGGCGAAATCGGCTGGGACGTCTTCACCCTCGAATACAAAGTCGACGCGCCCATCGACACTGTCATTGACCCCGACGAGTCCATGCTCAAGTACCTCAAGCTATTCCACCACCTCTGGCGCATGAAGCGCATCGAGCGCGCTTTGGGCGAAGGCTGGATGCGCATCGCGGGCGGCGTGACGCGCGTGTTTTTGCGCGTGCCCGAGCTGGAGGGCGTGTGGCACGAGATCCGGATTTATATGGCGGAGATGATACATTTTGTGCGCCAGATGCAGGCGTATTGTCAGCTTGAGGTGATTGAGTGTTCGTGGAAGACGCTGATGGACTTTGTGGGGAAGAGGGAGGGGGATTTGGATGCGATGATCCAGGCGCATAGGCAGTACCTGGATCGGATGGTGAACAAGGTGCTATTGCTCAGCCCAAAGACGGGGAAGGAGGAGCGGGTGCTGAGCGAGGTGCGCGAGGCCTTCTCGACGATCCTGCAGTTCCGAGACTCGACGGTGAGCTATGTGGTATTGCATCCGAGGCAGATACTGATTGGCCTCTCAGGACAACTTCTACAACTACTGCCTCACCGAAAGCGCTCGGCGAGACCGCGAATTAGACGCCAGTAGGGTAAGGCAATCGACGCTGGGTTCGTAGTACATACTGACCTTCCGTCAGGGTGTGTTTTCCGGGACGAAGTTGCCAAATCATGCATCAGACGCCTTGCCTGGGATCATCGCACGCGTCCGCGAGTTCGGAACCTCGTTCTCCGACCGAGCACAAAACATCGTGATGCAGCTGCAGGTCCATCCCGACCTCGACTGCCGTTTCTTGGGTGTTCGCCTGTCCTTCTCGGACTACTACCGCGCACGGAAAGAGCAGCAAGCAGCAGCTCAGCAGCAGAATAAGCCGTAGTGATTTTGCCATCCCTACTTTTGCTCCTTGCTTTCGAGGCTTTCGTTCGTTATCCTAGTCCCCCATGTAGTAGTTTTCCGCATGTGTATTACAACGCATATACCAATCCAGAGGATACTTTTCTATGCGTACAGCTCATCTCAGCGTCAGCAATCCTAAAGTTCATCGTGCTTGCCACCCTCAGTCGCGTTCTCGCTCGAGATCGGCGCCTGCTTGCCGTCGCCCTCGGTCTCGACCTTCTCCGTCGGTGGCGGGAAGGTGAGGTCATTCTTCGCGTTCTCCTCGACGAAGGAGACGAGGCTCTCGAGGGAGCGGTCGCCCTCGTAGTCGATGAACTCCTTCGAGCCGGCGGGCTTGAACTTGAGGGTGGGGAAGCCGGCGACGCGGAACGGCGCGCTCGGGGGCAGGTCATTCTGCTGGGCCTCCATCTTGGCACTGAAAGACCGTCAGCTCGGCATCGGTATAGCAGAGCGCAGCGACTTACATCGTCACGCGGTCCTTGATCGGGGCAAAGTGCTCGCCGAGCTGGTCCCAGGTCGGCTTCAAGCGCTTGCAGTGGCCGCACCAGCTAGCGTAGAGCTCGAGGAAGACATCCTTGGAGTCGTCGAAGACAACCTCATCGAACTGCTTGCCAACGAGCACGAAGACGGGCTCGTCCTGAGACTCAGGGATCGGCTCGCTCTTCAACTCGGGCTTGAGCTCCTTCTTGAGGTAGCGCTCGACCCAGTCCTGGACGTTGGTCGGCGTGACCTGCTCGCCCTGCGACATCGGGTACTTGAGCTGCTTCTTCACGTCCTGGATGACGAACGCGGGCCACTTCGCCTCGTGGAGGTTCAGCGCCTTGCCGTGGTCTGCGAACTTGACGGCGTCGATCCAGACGAAGTTCATCTTCCCCTTGAACTCCTTTGCAATGGGGCGGATCGCATCAATCTGCTCCTGGAAGTTCTCCTGGGTGCGGTCGATGAAGAGGTACGCGAGCGGCTTCTCGCTGCTGGCGTAGAGGCCGTAGTTCTCGCCGTTGACCTCGTCAATGACGGGGATAGAGAGCTCCTGGATCCACTCCTCGAGCTCGCGAGCCTTCGCGCCCTTGGCGGGCAGCGGGTACTCAGTGCGCTCGTCGTCGAAGGTGCGGTAAACAACAATCTGGGGCGGGGTGACACCGGCGGCGGCAGTAACGTCGGCGTCGGTGACGTGACCGAAGAGGTAGTCGTCGCGGTTCTTCTGGGCGACCTCGGCGAACTCCTTCGTGACGGGCTCATCCTTCTTGGCGTAGGCAACGACGACGAGCTTGTCGGACTTGACGAACTCGTCGTGGTTGGCGCCAACGTCGTTAACTGCGGGGAGGGACTGCCTAAAGCAAAGTTAGTTGATGTGCGTGACACGTAGCAATGATCTACGCACTTGACCATGTAGCTGACAATACCGTCAGCCTTGCGAGGGCCGTTGTAGTCAGTGGGTGTGCCATTGCGGAACACCTTCAGGGTCCTGGGGGACAGTCAGGGTATGCATAAAGGCAGAAACGAGGGACGTACGGGTAGCCCTGAACACCGTGGGATTGACAAAGGTCGGCCTGGTCAACGCAGTCGACCTTCGCGAGCTTGATGTTCTTCTCCTTCAAGGTGGTGGCGGCCTCTTCGTAGTGGGGAGCGAGAGCCTTGCAGTGGCCACACCTGAGCGCGGGCATTAGACGCGTTCGCATTAGCAACGGCTCACGCTTACCAAGGAGCGAAGAACTCGACGAGCATCAAGTCCTCCTTCTTGACCGACTTCTCAAAGTTGTCGGACGTGAGGCTGATGACATCGGACTCCGCATCTGCCGCAATAACGAGTGAAGAGAAGGCGAGCAGCGTCGCCGGAATGAGCGACGAGAGACGCATGGTGGCGGTTGGTGAAGAGTTCGCGAATTCGCGGTCGACCTTATTTATCCGCCCGATTTGACGTGGCTCATACGTGTCACTCCGTTCGAACACTTGCTCGGCCGCTGCATCAACGCTACTCCCCGACAATGGCCCCCGTTTCATGCACATGTCTCGTGCTCCAGACTAAGCTCGGTCCAACAGCTCTATTATCTTCGTAACCTAGAGTAATCAACGATAGTCCTCCGCACGATACGCCGAGCGCGCCCGCCCCCTGGCTTTGTAAGTAGAGTCCGTCCCCGAGCTCCTTCATAGACTGTCAAGGTCAAAGTCGCATCCCTGCTCACGTCCACTACTGTATTTCTTTACGCTCGGCGTAAATTCACGCGGAGGAGGAAAGTCGCTTACAGGAAACTTGTGTGGTCCGGCATTGGCGGGTGGATCGGGTACTAAACGCAATCAGACAAGTAGACGCGAAGAGTGAAGGGTTCACTCACTTTTGCGCCTTGGTGGCGGCGGTCGCGACGAGACCCCATTGACGCCGTTGAGGGACGGGGTCGCTCCGGAAGAGACCGTGCGCTGTCTAGGAGGTGGAGGTGCCAGCCCTGAGGATGGACGCGGTGGAGGAGACGGTGAGGGCGTGTGAGCGACCGTAGGCGGCGCACTTTCCGACAGAGCTCGCACACGCGCAGGCGGCTCAGGCGCGAGGTTCGCAGCAGGAGGCGGTCTCCGGGCAGGCGGTGGCGGCACAGCACGTCCAGGTGAGCCGCTCCCAGCAACGCTCGAAGGGCGCGGAGGGGGAGGGGGAGCAGCGCGTCCAGGAAGGGCTGGGGGTGCCCTGCCAGGCAAGCCAGGCGCCGGACGCGAAGGTATCGCTGGGGGAGGTCGCCCTGCAGGAGAGCCTGATCTGGCAGGCGATTCGCTGCGATTCGGCAGTGGCGGCGCAGAACGCGCTGGAGGTGTGGGTGCCCCTCCCGGCGAGGATGTACGGATTACGGGAGGAGGGGCACGCTTGGGAGGGGCTGGCGCTGACGGCGGAGCAGGTGCAGACCGTCCTGGGAGTGAAGGCGCAGGTCTGGCTGGTGGCGCAGCTGGCGGCTTTGGAGTCGGGACTGCACGTGCAGGGGGCGCAGGAGGCGCTGGTGCTGATGGCGCGCCCGGCGAGCCCCCACGATTTGGTATAGCAGGTGGTTTACCTAGCGTCGGAGGTTTACCTGCATGCGACGTCAATATACAATACCCGAGCCTGCTATTCCTACTCACCCAGATTACCTGAGCCTGCGGGCTTCAGCTTGGGCATCCCACCCGCAAAGAGACCTCCCAATTGCGGCGGGCCTCCGCCCATGCCTCCTCCTCCACCTCCGCCACCCATCGATGGTGCCGGGGCCCTGCTCACACCACCACCTCCTCCGCCGCCCTTCGCGGTGTCGATAGCTGGCGCGCTCCTGTCATTTGTTTGAGCCTTCTTGAGCTTCTTCCCAGCCTGGATCTGCTGCAGCAGCTCTGAGGACGCCATGGTTGCGGACAAGAGGTATGAGGCGATGAACGCAGCGCTGCCGAGCCAAGCCGCCGGGGACGCCCATCGAGCCATACACGTGCAAACACACGCAGCGAACTTGCGATAAACGTCGGATGCGCCCCTTAGCGCATGCCCTACTCTCTCAAGAGGACCACGCTTCCGCATTTTTCACAGTGCACGAGCAACTTTCCATGCACCGAGTGATATTTCCGGTGTCGACGGGGCTCGTCACGACTACATTCGGTCAACGCCTCAGTGGCAGCGCCAGGGCCCAAGGCGCGACTGCGTCTTCGCCGAAACCGACTCGGAAGCACCCGGTATGCTCGGGCTCTCCGTCTTGCGCGTCAAATTGTTCTTCGACTTTGAGCATCGTGGTCTTCGGTATCCTTGCGCTCTTGTGGAGCGGTTCTCCCGCAAGGATGACGCTCCCGACGAGGATACTGGTATGTGGATCGTGTCTGCAGACGGAGACGAGGATGGCCGAGATGTATCCGTTGTTCATATTGATACGATCCTTCGACTCGCGCACCTGATACCTGTGTGGCACCAATTTCCTCCCCGCACAAGGTGTACACTTTTCAACTTCGTTAGATGTCTTCGACACTTTCTTCGTGAACAAGTTTGCGGACCATCACGCGCATGAATAGCTTCATAGCGACCTTAATTCAAGTTGACTTAGATACAGACTTGGTTCGTAGCAGGCCTAATACAGGCTTCGAGCATCGGATCAGACCGAATCAGACGCCAGTCCGCTGGCTGGTCTGAAATAATCCCGGCTGGACTGGAATCTGCCTTGGTCGGAGCGACCTTCACACATTTCAGATGCGTCAGTAGTTTCAGACCATTCAGAACGATGCACGATTGCGGATGCATGCCATACGCCGACCTGTGAGCAGGACCTCCGTTGCCCCTGCGTTTTAGCTGTCCCCTGAGTCCTTCGTTCTGAGTTGCCGCTCTCTTCTGCGTGAAGACGTTAATCAAGGTAGGCTAGGGCGCGCGGTGTACATACTTGGATCGCAACTTCAAGGCGGATTTTGAAGTTGGGCCAAGAAGGTGCGAATCTTTGTCAAGGGGATCCAGCAGGTCAGATGCAGGCGCCGCATCGAGCTGCACGATGTTCGCTACAAGGCGAAGTAGGATATCGCGCTGTGACACCGCGGCTTCGACCCGGTCAAAGAGTGTCCGATTCCAGGTGGTCCTATCTTTTGGAGGCGGCCTTTCGGGTGAAGAAAAAGCGACCGCTATGATAGGCGGTGACCTGAGCAACGTGCAGGGCGCAGGAATATCTGATAAGAGGGTTGTAGCCTCCGAATCATCTGTCATGGACGTCGGCGTGCATGTAGGCCAGATCTCGTTTGAACTCGGAGGTAAGAAGTAATGGGGAAAATAGGATGATAAGGATGAGCTGGTCTGAGCGATGACCCATACGAATGAACCATCAGAAAGCCTGAGTGCGAAGAGCAGGCTCGTCTGGTCGGGCAGGAAACACACGGGGGACGTGTGTTCATGGCGTAGCCATGCGAGAACGTCTTCATAGGTGGTGCAATCGGTCGCGATGATGGAGGGATGACTGGAGGATAGATCGCCATATCGGAACGGTCGATATCTGACCGTCGCGTCCAACGTGCGATGGAACTCGACGAGCTCCGCGGTCTTCGCATTCAGCGACGCTGGCGTATCCAAATTATTGAACAGCTTGCTGAGTTTGCGCGGAACGTTGAGTGCGCAAGCGAGCAGAAAAGCCGCATGGTCTCGGGCGCTCGATATTTGAGGATGATCGCTATAGATGAGGTCCTTGGAGAAGAACGAGCCGCTGTCTGCTGCATCTTCGGATTCACAGAACCATTGCGCAGCGGAAATCAGAGAGAGGGGCTCGTCGACAACGATCTGTGAGGCGTTGTCGTCGCGGAAACGACCAGCCCCGCTTTCAACCAGCTCTATGCAATCCCTGCTGCCGAAAACTTTGTCGCAGCTCGCGGTGGTGAGGTATTGGTAGAGGATATGATGCAGGGTGCCTCTGGCGAAGAACGCTGAGTTCATGAGTCAGCACCCAGTCAGAAGGGTTGACATACACGTACACGTTTCTTTGTTGACCGCTCGCAAGGGACTGATTGCCCTCTCTGCATAGTCCGCGATCCGTTTTTCTCGACGAACTAGGGCGGTGGAATCGACAGGTCGAAAGCCGGTCATCCTCGCGATGTAATGGTCTAGAAGAGTGTGGGGCGCGTTCGGCCCGTGGTCCAAAAAGAACTGGACGAATGCGGCCGAAAAGCAATGCCTGTCGAGGATTAGTTCCCCTAGTTTTGCGACTCTGATGCGCGCCTTACCTGCCATGAAGCCAAGCGCTCGCCCGCTGCATCAAACGTTGCCCATTCGTCTTCGCAGCCAGGGATGGAGGCAAGAAATGACTGAGAAACTCTGATACCTGCGCGCCGTCAGAGGATCCAGTGATTGAAGTCAAGTGATAACTGAGGCAATCGCAAGAATCGGGCGGGGGCTTGCGATACGCATGGGCGAGCTGCCGTAGCCCCCATTGACTATCGCCGAGGAGAAAGGAGCCGATGGGATGTCCATAATTCTGTCGCACGCGCCGTTGTGGAGTGTGTAGCGTGTCTGTTTCGACATGGTGGTATTGACTGTAGGGGAAAGTATCTCCAGAGATGATGAGCGTGAGCCACGGATACTGCTCCCACGATCGCGCTATCTCGCGGTGTATTGAAGTCGAAGGGTCTCCGGGGTGGGTCGGCAGAAGATTTAGAGCGAGTGCCTGCGCTTTGTCGATTACACCGTAGAGATGGAAGTCGGCATCGTTCGTCAAAGTCTGGATCCGTGTGATGGCGCTGTCTATCTCCTTGTTGACGTCTATACGGTTCCAATACGCGTTTGACGAGAATCGTCTATACTCGTCGGCTGTGCGGAAGAATTGCAGTCCGCAGGCCTGCGCCAGAAGCCAGGATTCGCGGTCTTCTTGTGTCACCCTGGTCATGTCTATTGTTTCGACATATAGCTCGAAGGCCAGGAGGCGGATCAGGAGGGGTATTTTCAACATCTCGAGGCGCGCTTCTTCATCATGGAGAAGGTACGTCCTGGCGATCTCGGCTAGATGAGGCACATCGTTCGAGCCAATGCCACTGTAGTCGACGACACCGACGAAGTAAAGGCCCCAGTGATGCCGCAAGCCCTCCATCAAAATGCTGGTCTTGCCGCTGCCCGAAACGTTCTGCAGTAGCCTATTGAAAGATGAGTGCAAACAATGTTAGTGCAAAGACAAACTGACGTGTGGCGCCCTTTGCAGAATAACCTATTTAGCTGAGCTTCGGCACGACCCTGATCACGAATCTTGTCCCACATGAGCGCTGGTCGCCCTCGATATTCTGGGACATCCAGCGAGCGAACGAATTTCTGCCAAGAAGGCGAGCGCACAGTTGAAAGTGACTGATACATCGGAAGTTTGAGTTTGCCTTGGAGGAAGATACGGCGTAGTTCATCAGAGAAGACCTTGTAGTTTCCGAAAGACATAGTGACGGGGGAACAGAGGCCGTGTGGCGCCCCTTGATGACCGATGCAGGTCACGCATAAGCACGTGATTGTATGTCACATCTGTGTTACGTCTTCCCTTTCCTTTCAAGGGATGGCTAGGGCCCTCGTCACAAAAATGAAGGGTCATACTGACTGGCTGTTTCCCCGATCACCACCAATGAGGGGCAGAATTGCGGCCGGTCATGCAGTGCCAGGTCTATTGACCAACCCAGCAGTGACTCAACACAGCGCTGCCGAGCCAAGCCGCCGGTGACGCCCATCGGGCCACATACGTGCAAACACACACAGCGAACTGGCGCCGAGGTCCGAGCCTGTGCCTCGCAGCCATGCCCCCTTGTGTCCCAGCGTGCAGTTTATATAGCATAGTTCACAGATAATAATCATGTATGTACAGTATCCAATGCGTCCGACCGCGAAGTCCGTGTCAATCTTCCAGCCATGGAGCCCCCAGACCGCGAGGAAGAGTGCGTAGTCTGTGTTGAGTAAGTCGTCGCAGACCACCTCTCCCCGTGACTGCCAAACGTCCGTAACGTCGGCCACCGGTTCAGCTTGCTGCTCCTCGAGTTCGAGTCGCGCAAGGCCGAATCTGCTGTCCGCGTGCTCGACGCTCGACGGCTGCCGGCTTCCAATGCATTTCCCTCGGACGAGGTAAGCGTGTGTTTCCTAGTATGACGATCGCTCTTGGTGAGATCGCGGGCATCGTCGAGGCGGATGATGTCTGACCCATACACGGCAGACAAGGGCGACCCGGACTCCGCTTCCGACTCTTCGTCTGCCGTTGTAGGAGAGACGACAGAGACGTTGGCACTGTAGCTCGGGATCGTCACCAGCGGAGGAGATTTGGAGGCCGGTCGAGGCGAAAGCGCACTGAGACGGTCTTGCGAGTCGTCCCAGAAGCTTTCTAGAGGAGGCGTCAGAGAGCGACGCTGCCTGTGCTTCCCCTTGTCCTTCGGGCGGTGCTCCTTCGGACGGCTGCTCCTCGGTGCGGAGGCAGAGGGCTGGCCATCTTCGGAAGTCCTCGTAGCCTGTATCGCAGTAGGGTAGGCGAATGGGTGCGGTATGATGGGCTGGCCAACCGGCGACCCAGCTGTCGGCTCGCTCTCAACCCGGAAGGTTAAGCTATTGCGCAGCGCACTCCGCAACAGGTCACCGCTTCCGGCCGACGACGGCACAGCAAGAGAGGCCGAAGTGACGATCGCCCCCTTCTGCGCCGTCGTCAAAACCGCATTCTCCACACTGTGCAACTGAGCAGAGTCGAAGCTGCTGCTAGCAGGCGAGAACGGCGCCGGCGAAGAGGGTTCAGGAGGACGAAGAGTCGCTGGCGAGCTTTCCGAGGAAAACTTCCGCTTCGAGCGCAGATGCGGTGTCTTTGGCGGTTCTGCTGGTTGAACAAGCGGGGGTTGGGGGAAGAGCCTGAGGGAAAATGGCGTCGATTTTCTGGAGTCAATGGGACTGGGTCCTCGGTCGCCGGATGCTTGTGACAGAACAGTGTTAGGGCGGGTATTGGGGCGAGAGAAGATCAGCCGCGGCAGCGAGGACGTTACGGAAGGAGGGGCAAGGGAGGCGGGTCGCTCCGGTAATTGGGACGGAGGTATCGTGGGTGCAAGTCTTAACCTGGTGTAGTGGAAGACGGCTAAAGAATGTTCAGCGGGGGAACTCAAGGGAAGAAAATGATACACACCTTGCACAATAATCGCCCCGAAGCAGAAAGGAACGATGTTGCCCAAGGTACCGGTAGGCATAGCGTTAGGGACCATGACGAAAATCTCGAGCAGAAGAAGGGAAGCGGCTCTGAGCGCGACGGTGTTGCCGGAAACACTGCGACTGCGAAGGCTTGAGAAGCAACCACGGGTGACGAAGTAGACGTTGAGCAGTATGTACACGACCGTGCATACTGACGACGAGGGTGCGTAGCTGTGGGCTTCTTAGCAGGAGTGCGTGTACGCGAAGGAGAGAAGTCCCATACTGTTGGTCAACGCAAACATATGCATCTCGCGTTGACAACTGGAGCAGAACGCCGGGTGCGATGGCTTCAGTCGCGACAAAAAGTCCTGGAAATCCCTTCGTCAGCTCATGGTGTGTCTGCATAGTGATACGACTCACCGAATCCAACAACGATGACCGTTATGATCGTCAAGAGTTCCCATCGTGCTAGACTGACAGATCTTCTCAAATCAAGTATAAGGTTGAGATAGGCGACAACGCGAGCAGCCTGCAATGCAACAGCAAACATTGCTATCAGGGCGCCTAGAATGTGTAAGTATGAGCACAGGAGGCAACTGATGAACTTGAAGGTGTGGACGCACCGCAAGCTATTGACTTATTAGGCCCGAAGGTCATGAGAGAGGCGGTCGAAAGCAAACTGGCCAAGAGGAAGCAAGGGTATAGTGCAAACGTAGTCCAGTTCAGTACAGTGGGCGTGGATAGCTGGTCGTGTGCCGCAAGGGAAGGAGGCGAGGTGCTCTTCTCCCCAAAGTACGGTTCTCCTTCAAGGTCTGAGCGGGTGCGCCGCCGCGACAGACAACTTGCGATCCGTGGAATCAATATTTCCAGCATGTAGTGAGTGCTCTGCAGGAATACCCAACCCAGGAAGAAAGACGCGACTGAGCGGCTGGGATTACACAAGATCAGTTGTATATCTCTGGGAGGGGGACTGTGGGACGCACGCATTCGAATTAACGAGCGGGGAAGAGCTTGAGGCCGCAGCAGCGTCGAGGGAAGTGTCCATGATGTCCGAAAGGAACGGAAGGAGAAGGCCAGCTCCTCAGCCGCGTAGCAGGGAGAATGAAGGGATGCGCACGCTTGGGAGAACGGGAAGAGGAACGCAAGGCCGATTCAGAGATGCTGCGGCTAGACCTTCATGGGCATCGTGATGGCGGCAAGAACGAGCGCGCCGAGGGACTGAAACTAGCCTCGCGTCGACTGGCGACCGCTGCAGGCAACCGCTGCTCCCCCATGCTGGATTTTTGATGTTCCCCCTGATTGAACTGAATCGCCGATCGAGGTCAGAGTCGTCGACATGGCAACAACGGACTCACTCACCATGTGGCATGCCGCAGGGGCGGACCCTTGACGTGGTTTTGTTCCAATTTTGTTCAAGCCCATCCAAGGCGGTCCTCGAAGTCCTTGGACACGTCCCGGGTAGAAGTTCTGCGATTGGTCCAGATAGTCGCGTTACAGCGTCCAGCTTCGGAAAACGAGGACCTCAACGACTCTGCAAACTCTTCAGGACTCCGTAGCTTGCTTCAAGAGAAGCACTTCCGAAGGTAGAACGCAGACGGATCCCAGACCACGGTTGCAGAGATTTATGCACAAGCAGCTTCATTGGTAAGGAGAATACATGCTACAGGCAGATCAAGAGGTCGGATAGGAAGTATAGAAGATGGAAGAAAAGGAGAGGATATGTATGCGCCATGGTTTGACCAAACCGTCAAAGCCGCATAGCGGCACCATCCTCGAGAGGAAAGGGATACGGCAGGTACAGGAATATGGCGCCGCACAGGATACGCTGCCTCAGCTCGACACCGAAGTGGAATCGAGACAGAGAACCTAGAACATAGCGCATCAGCGGGCAAATCCTCACGCAAAGGACGACCTCGAACACACCTGTACTCGCTCTGGTGAGCATCCCGAGAGACGCCTCGCTCCTCCAGTCTGAACTAGAACGCCATCGTCTTGCAACACAGAACGCGCTTCATGGACTGAGAGGACACTCAAGGGAAAAAGAAAATTTCGGGCGCGTGTTTTATGGGCGCGTATCCGGCAATCCCCGACGGACTCAGGGGTTTGATGGCGTCACGCGTCGCGCGGTTGGACTTCAACTCGAACGCTCATCGACTCTGTGTCGGGGTCTTTTTCTGATATGTCGCGCCTCTCAAGGGCCAATCTACGCGCACGAGACTCTATCTTTGCCGGAAGTCAAGACCATCACCGTGTTGATGTTGTCCAAAGATGCCCTGCCTATATCACTGAATGCGTTGCCAATCTTGAGGATAGTTGCGAAGAGGTACGTCCCTGAATAAAGATATATTTCTCTACTCAAATGTCTCTGATGTTCTTTTCAGCTTCATGCTGCTCAGGAGTACCTGAGGCAAGGCACCGAGGACATGCCCCGAATGCAGAAGGTCCTTGCAAGCACGCGCGTAGGTTGCCACAATCAGCTGAGTATCTCCTCGTTGTTTGAACTTCTGAATAGGTATTCCATCTCATCGACGAGGGCACCGTCAAGCGATACAAGAAGGATGTCGCGGACGAGCTCGAACCAGCGCTGAATGAACTCTTGGAACGAGCAGAACGGGCTCTGAGCGACCTACTGCGCTCAGTAACAGTTCTTCAGGCCAAAGTGGGTTCACCTCCGTCCTCGATATCCCACATAATGTTGATGGACTGGCTCGCTAGGTCGAGGAGGCGCAGAGCAAGCCACCTGTGGCTGCCTCTGCCGGTCAGAAGCTCGAAGCGCGTCGCCTTCAAGTGCTCAAGAAACAAAGGGAACGCCTCGAGCAAGAGCTGCACAACCTTGAATCGGAGGTACAGCGCTTGGTTTGTCATTTTCTCTATCTGTTCCTTCGGCATTCTCACACATCTACCCTCAGGAGTCGCGCACAGTTCGCAAGCGTCTTCCCTGAATCCCATATCTTCGCACTTTTACGCCAGTCATACATTTGTACCACTACTTCACGCATATTCACGCCATCTGGATCTCTCCTATCAATATCGCATCCGCTACCGTTCCCACCTCTAGCTGCACCGGCGACGCCGGCGTCTTCGGCGGCACGACGACAAAGCCATTCGCGCCGCTCAGGCTTGCGACGCGACTGGAGCGCTGCCCGCCGGTGCTGAAGGCGAGCAATCCTCTTGGTGATGCTTTGATGACTGCGCGGTGGAACTCGGTCCGCGGATCGAGGCGCATGGGGTTTTGAAGCTGCAATCCTCTGTTAAGACTTGCCAGACCTCCGCCTTGAAAGAGAGATCTCCTCACCAACACCGACACCCTCGGCAACTGGCAAACCTCCTCCGCCCACCCGCCCAGCCTCCTCAACGCCGGAACCACAAACACATAGAACGTCACCAACGCCGACGCCGGATTTCCCGGGAGCGCGAAAATCGGTTTCGGTGGGCCATTCCCCCAGGGCACCGTAGCAAATGTGGTAGGCTTTCCCGGCTTGATAGTAACGCGCCCGAAGTGGACGGTGCCGCCGAAGTTGCGCTCAATGACGGGCTTGAGGAGGTCCTCGGCGGACATGCTGGTGCCGCCGGTGGTGAGGATGATGTCGGCGCGCTCGAGGCCTTTGGTGAGGGCAGTGACGTGGGATTCGACGCTGTGGCGGGTGAGGTGAGTGAATAGCGGCGTACCGGAATTCTGGGTAAGGGAAAGGAGGATGATGGATGAAGAGACGCAACGTACGTATCGGTGACGATACCGAGGTCGATGACCTCGTATCCGAGGCCTTCGAGGGCGGCTTGGAGCGATGGACGGTTCGTGTCGTAGATATACACCCATCCGTCCCCGCGAGGCGGCTCGGGCTTCTGAAGGTCGATCACCTCGTTCCCCGTGCTCAGCAACGCTACGACAGGCTTCTTGTACACTTCCACCTTTCAGTTCGTGAGCGCTACTAACGCGGACTGGTCAACTCAATCGCATACCGTCTTCCGCCCCACAAAAGCTAGGGTCCCAATCTCACCACCGGTACTCAGAATGCGCTCGCCCTTCTTCATAACGAGCGTGCCTTCTTTGACATCGGATCCAGGGAGACGAACGTTCTCGCCGAGAGGTATCTGCGCCAATGTCTCTACCTCCTTCTCCTCACCTACTTCCACACTTGCGACCTCGATGACTACGTCTGCCGCGGAGAATACCGAGTGCAAACGTGTATCCTCGACCATGATGACCGTGTCCGTGCCCTTGGGTAGGGGTGCACCGGTGTTGATGCGATAAATCACTCCCGCGGGCAGAAGCTCCCATAGCTTGTGCGTCTTTGGGGTCACAACTTTGTAGATCCCGGGCGGGTCGGTCGCTGGAGTAGAGGTATGACACTATACTTCCTGGTAGCACCATGAAACAACAGATCTCACATCGCAATGCATAGCCGTCCACGCTGGTCGTGGACGAAGCCGGCGCGTCGTGCGGCGCATGTACGTTCTCCGCCAGGACGTGCCCACGCAAGGCTGCAGTCACCTATGGAAGCAGCATTCGCTAACGCAAGCTGGTGCAAAGTGAACAATGCTTACAGGAAGCTTCTGAACGGGCAGGGGTGCAATTGCGGCAAAAATTCTCATCATTGCTTCATCAAAAGAGATTAGAGGGTAGGGAGATTTACGGTGGCGCGCAGATACCGGGGCAGAGGGGTCGTGAGCCAGGACCGAGCGCGGCTGAGGAGGCTGGTGGTCACCATGCGAGTGGTGATGATGATCCCCGGGCGAGTGGTGGTGATGATGCTTGCGGTGGTGGTGGTGATGGTGGTGATGAGTAGTGACGGCGGAGGAATCAGAGGTAGCGATAGAGCCAACAGGACTAACGGGGGTCAACATCTTGGAGTGCACGTCCGCACCAGAGCCGCCTTTGACAAGGGAAAGAGCATGTTGAATGACACCAGCGGAGAGCATAGCGGGTAAGATCTCCTTGACGGCTTTGAGACTGCCTGGAAGGGTCATCACAAGAGTACCTCGGATCGTGCCGGCGACAGGGCGAGATAGAGCAGCCATAGGTGTGACTTGCAGAGACGTCGACAGCATGAACTGCACCAGCCCCGGAGCGTCACGCTCGAGGAGCGGCTTGACCGCCTACCACACTGTCAGCTAGCCCACATCACACACGCATCGCGCACCTCAGGTGTCGTGTCCCGCACGCCGAAACCTGTCCCTCCCGTGGTGATGACCCAGTCCGTTTCGCCCCCATTGACCCACGCCATGATCACTTGCTGAATGAGGGGGATCTCATCAGGTACGATGGATATCTCGCGGCATACGAGGCCGTTGGCGGCGAGGATCTCGGCGATCGCTGGGCCCGAAAGGTCGGCGGCCGCGTTCACGCTGGCGGTGTCGCTCACTGAAGGGGGGTTCAGCGAGCAGGTCGTGGCAGCGCGCGCAACGCACCTGTGAGGACTGCTGCTTTGAACGGCGCAGCCATGGTAGTGGGTGTTGAGATGCTCGAGAGCCTTCACGAACGCTGATCGTCATCGCGCGCCACGTGCGAACGCGCTCACGGACGGACGCGTCGACGTTGACGCGACGGGCGCGCCGTGCTCGCCACAGGTTGCCAAGGGTCGACGCTGAAACCCTCAGGGCGCGTCCCAAGCAGGACGCCCGCCTTGGCGACATGGGACGACGATAGGAAAATTCCCCGGCGGCTCCCCGCGGCCGTAGAAGCACGAGCGTGATGAGTTGATGTCCCGCAGTGTAAATTGCATCGCAACCCCCGATTTCTCTTTCCTTTCTTCTTCCTATCTCCCATCTCTCCCTCTCTCCGCCTCCAGCTCAGTACCTTGTCGCCACTGGTTTGGCAAGCCCCCTCCATTCCTTTGTTTCCTCTGTGGCTTGGTGCAACGTATCCGTCCGACGATGATCTTCAACACTGTCCTTCTATCCGGATTGGCTCTGGCCAGCGGCGCGTCCGCGCACATCTCGAAGCGCTCGCGTTTTGCGCCGTACAACCCGCTGTCTGTTCTGTCCCCCAAGGCCGACAAGGTTGAGCGTGTGAGGTGCGTTGCTGGGGGTGCGGCAAGTGTGGTGAGGTACTGAACTGCGTCCCCCAGGTGCTCGTCCAATGTTTCCAGCGAGGTCTACCAGGCTGCGGAGGACCGCTTCTCTGCTAACCGGATCCTGATTGACTCGGACAATGTCTCCCCGCACTCTGCCAACATCAGCGTCTACTTTCATGTCATCAGCGCCGACGAGTCGGAGGAGAATGGCAACGTCCCGTGGGTCGACACTGTACAGATGGGCGGCTCTGGCTAACGGGGACGCGTAGGGACGACCAGATTTCGCAGCAAATTGACGTGCTGAACGAGGATTATGAGGACACTGGCTTGACGTTCGTGCTCGCCAACACGACGCGCACCGTCAACGAGACATGGTTCAAGACCGTCGGCCCGGACACCGATGTGCAGACGGACATGAAGAACCAGCTCCGTCAGGGTGACGAGGCTGCTCTCAACGTCTACACCGTTGGGTACGTTATCCCACCTACAGCCTGCGCTGGCAGGGGGACGATAGCTAGCACTACGGCGACGAAGATCACTGACGCCTATGTTTAGGTTCGAGAGCGGTACCGGTGCCGGTCTTCTTGGCTATTCCACGTTCCCTTCGTCCTACGAGGACAACCCTCAGGACGATGGCGTGGTCATCATGTTCTCGTCTCTCCCAGGTGGCAGCCTTGACAACTTCAACCTTGGCAAGGTCAGTAGCAGCCAGCGTCCGCTTCCCGCGCAGCTTGTTCATCAGAATTCTATAGACTTTGACGCATGAGGCCGGCCACTGGGTTGGACTCTTCCACACTTTCCAGAACGGCTGCTCGGACCCTGGTGACAATGGCGAGTACACGATCCATCACATTGCTGTACATCACTAACCTCCTTGCGCAGTCGATGACACGCCCGCGGAGGCTCAGCCCAACAGCGGCTGCCCGACCACCGCTCCGGACACTTGCCCGGACAGCGCTGGCTCTGACCCGATCAGTAAGGCTTCCTCTATGTCTGTGCTGGGCACGTCTCTGAATCCATGTTTGCAGACAACTTCATGGACTACTCTTATGACGCCTGCCTTGACAGCTTCTCCAAGGGTGAGCTCTAGCCATGTCTGTTCTCCTTCGTGTCACTGACATATTTTACAGGCCAGATCTCGCGTCTGCAAGACCAGATGGCCACCTTCCGTGGCGTCAACTTCGGCTCGTCATAGGCGGCAAACCCATTATGAGCGCCTATGCGCCCGGTCATCGTTATTTATCGCACGTCGTCGATGCTGCCCTCTCCTCTCAAAACGGACTCCGCACCGAGCCGTCGCGCGCTCAACAATCCTTGGACATTCGCACTCCTTACTACTAACCAATACCTGCTCCGCCATCTTATACCTATCACTGTTGTCGATACTTTGGGGCTGGTCTTAGGCCGGTCCTTTTGTTGATGGAGCAGGTGTATCTACTGCATACGAGTGTAGCCTGGAAGTTACCTGTATCGTTGCACAAGTAAGTGGGGTTTATGGGGGTATTTAAATGCAAGGTGTTATACTGGAGTGTCGCACTTGATTGACCGAAGCCCGAGTCTAAGCGCCCCGATAAGGAAGGCTTTCTTCTTCCTGACCACCATGGTCGGCCCCGCGTCCTCTGATCGGCGCCTGCTCTGGCACCCGCGCCAGTCGAATACATTCATTTTGGGCAGCGGCTCGTACATCACGCTCTACGAGTGGAACAACAGCTTCCCGCAAATCAAACATGTCACCACCCAGCCCGACCTGCAGTACATGAAGGTTCGCCGCGCGCCGCTCGTGCTCGATCGCGCTCGCTGACCGCGTGCGATTGCGACGCGTACTCCTGAAGTGCTTTGCGTGGTCCCCGGATCCCATTTTGAACGACCTCGTCGCGGTGGGGTTTAGCAATGGGCGCGTCGATCTGCTGAGGCTGGAGGCGTCGCGTCAGTTGCGCATGAACAACGTCCTGTCGAGCGGCCCCCCTGTCCCCCTTCCCGCGAAGAACTCCCGATCGTGCAACTCGCTCGCGTTTGGCACGGTGGACCCGAACTACCTGGCCGTAGGGCTCGATAAAGTCAGAGGCGACTCGAGCTTGCTGATATACGACATCACGATGTCCACCGTGTCGCTTTCCCTGCCCACTCCGCCTGCATCGGATAAGATACTGCCACTCAGTCCCAAGTCCCCCACATCTCCACGAAGACCACAGCCCTCCATCTTCCGCGCGGAGGCGGGGGCGCGTACGGACTCGCGTATCGTGCAGCAGCATGCGCCGACGGAGACCGTGTCTGCTGTATCATTCCTGCCGCAATCGACGTACTTGCTGCTCGCCGGTCTCTCTTCACGATGGCTCCGACTCTTCGACTTGCGCAGTGCCATGCCATCGACGACTAGCGCTGCGTCAAAGGTGTCCGGCCTCGCCACCGATCCCTTCGACCCGCACCGTGTCGCGTCCTTCGGTGACGGTGTCGTCTCTATATGGGACATCCGCCGCATTCAGTCCCCGCTGCTCACATTCTCCGAGCGCAATGCCCTCGGGGACGGAGCCGTCGTACGCCCCAACTCGACATATAGTACAGTGGAGTTCTCGCAAGCGCGCCGCGGGGTCATTGCTACGCTCGAGAAGGACGCACGAACCGTACGCAGTTGGGACATCCAGGAAGTACAAGCACAGCCACTCGACGTGGATGGCTCGGAGAGTAAGTCGCGAGACTCGTCTGTAGGGAGCCGGCGCAAGTCTTCGTGGGCGAACTTGGGGTGGGCCCAGAGCACGGGACCTTCCTCACCTGCAGGGCCTCATTCAGTGACGGGAAATGCCTCCGTATTCCTGTCTGATACCAGACGAAGTATGTGCATTTCCCCCGGCTGATAGCAACCCTCTGATATCTCCGTCAGTCAAGCAGCTACCTCGTCCGCTGCATTCCTTCGTTATCGTACCAGAGGCTGCGACCAGCTTGAAGCCGACATCTACCATCCTGACCGTCAACGCTACCGGCGAGATTGAACTGAACATGATCTACGACACGCCGAAGCAAGCCGTATGGAGCGCGCGAGGGGACCTCGCCTTCGGTGCTGGTATCTCCTACGGACTGATCCCTGGCAGTGTCGAGCAAGAGCAATTGTCGAAGACCGACGCGGCGTCTATATCGAAGCAAACCGTGGATGACAACGCTCCGCCACCCGCTCTGTTCGGGCGAGGAGACGAAGACGGCTTCCCGGCCTTGGGACACGAAAGCAAAGTGGGACACGAAAATAACAAGTATGGACCAGAAACGAAGGAGAAGGAGACAGCGTCTGCAGAAAAGCGGCCCATCGAGCGTCCTCCACTGCGATATACCCCATCTGAGCTGCGTGTGTACTCGACAGAGCACAATCAGTATGTGAACGCGCAAGGGCAGGATGCCCAGGCGACGAGGGAGGCACGGCAGCGGTCGGACTCGGAGCCTCCTACGAGGATGCAGGAGCAGGCCAGGATACGAAAGATACGACACCAGCGGGTATCTGGGGTCTCCTCAGTGGTGCAGAACGACGTGTCGATGCTTATGCGTACTCGTAGTTTGCGTGGCTATGGGTTGAGCGACGTGCGTATCTTCTGCAACACCATCTCTGTCTTGCTCATGCGTTGTAGCCCGCTTTGAATGCTCGTCTGATTACGGAGACCTCGTCGCATGACAACCAAGAGTCTTCCCGCGTGCTCGCCGATCTGTGGTCCTGGCTGTCGTGTACGTCTCATAGTTGCGCAAGGGTCTACGTTGCTGACCCTTTGTCAGACACCCGTGACCTCCTAAAGGGACCTGCAGCTCAATTCCACGGATACGACTTCCTATACCGTGGTCTACTCGCTATCTGGGAAGGATTCGAACCTAACGCTGCGAGGACGCCGTACGTCCCGCCTGGCGCGCCTGATTTCTTGGACTTGCCCTCGATGCACGATCATGGGCGCAGGCGCGCGCACTCCCCTGTAGATGATCCTCGCGTGGCCTATAAGGAAGCCCTCACCGCTGTGCTCACCCTAAAAGGACCATCGTGGGCCTCGTGGAAGCCCACTATACCCACGGGCAAGTTATTGCAGCGGCAGGTAGCCATAATGTTGTGCGGCTGGAGCTTGCAGGATGACATATTGGCGGAGGATATCCAGAGGTAAAGTTAGCGATTCCAATCATGTTACGAAAGCTTACAATGCATAAGGTGGACCGAGAATGGCGAGAACTCTCGAGCAGCGTGTTGGCTAGTCTTCAGCAAGCAATACTCGAAAGCCATCAATATGCTTTTCAACAGTGAAGGTGGGTCGGCAGTCTATGACATGACGCTATGCTGACCTCTCATTCTGTCAGACGAATCCCACCATCTTATGTCCGGTACCCTCGCCGCTCTCATCCCACACAACCACTCCGGCGTTAGCAAGCTCACGCCCGAGTTCCGGCAACACTGCGAGCACCTCACTCTTCGTATACAGGACCCTTACTTCCGCGCTATGCTCACCTATCTCACCTCCGGGGACTGGTCCGAGGTTCTCGATGAGGAAATGCTGCCTTTCCGCGAGCGCCTGAGCATCGCCTTCCAATTCCTCGACGACAAGACCCTTACGTCGTATCTGCATCGCGTCTCGGATAAGTTCGGGGACATTGACGCGCTGATGGTGACGGGTCTGACGAAGGCGGGCGTCAATGTGCTGCAGGACTACGTCGACCGCACGGGAGACCTGCAGACTGCGGCATTGCTAGGGTCGTATGTGTGCCCTCGCAGGTTCGAGGACCAACAGGTCGAACGATGGATCGAGACGTACCGGGACTTGCTGGATGCGTTCAAGCTGTTCCATCTGCGCGTCGGGTTCGACATCGAGCGAGGGGAGATTATGCAAGAGGGGATGCATAATGGGGAGATCAGTAAGACGGATTGGGCGCCAAAGCAACTTGCGCTGAGGTGCAATTACTGCAACAAGAATATATCCGGGCAAGCTGCTAGCAAAGTGAGTTTTTCCTCCAATTGACAGCCACGGAACCAATCGCTCGAATAGCCAACGACTTGCCCTCATTGTGGGCGCTTCCTACCACGATGCTCCATCTGTCTACAAGCACTCAGCATTGTGCAAGATACTGCGCGAAACATGCAGCTGGCGCACACACCGTTTAAAGGTAAAGTTGCCTTGCGCTACGTTGCTCTTCGTACTGATCTACCCGTTTCAGACACCATTGACGATGCTATCGTCATATGCCAATCTTGTCGACATGGTGGACATGCCTCTCATATGCTGGAGTGGTTCTTTGGCGAGGATGGCCGCAGGTCACACGGCCTGTGCCCTGTTGCAGATTGCGACTGTCGTTGTGCAGACGAATTTTGATCCATTCAATGATGCTGTAGAACTATGGACTATCATTAGTTATGCAACCTTGACGAGCTCCTCCACGGCCTTGAGCCAGGCTACTTGCTCGCCACCCCAACCTCCCAGCCTCCTCATCTTCCGGTTGTGCGCGTCCGTGCCATTTTCAGCACCGGTGAGTCGCAGGTTGTTTGTCTCCCGCTCTCGAAGAATCCAGTGCTGCGAAAGGCACCAACGCAAAACACTGTTCTCGGAAAAGAATGCCTCGCTCCAGGTTTCGTTGCAACCTGGTAAAGTCAGCCAAGCATCTGACGCACAGATATATAGTGTAATGCTCACCTTCGCTGCATGGCTCCACGACGCCCAGCAGCCGCTGCACAGTCCGTATCAATAGGCGAGGGAAGTAGAGAGCAAGTGGCGGATCGAGCCCTGCAACTTCATTTTCATGTCCTGCCAGACGTGGATCGTAGGCAGACGTACAGATCACGTCCGTAGCCTCAGCCCGAGGGAGACCTCCGCTTTGAGAGGTGAAGTTGCCATCTATGATCCAGCCACGCTCTTCGTTCGCTTTGAAGAACTTGCGCAATTCATCTTGAAATTCCTCGCGCGTGGACGTCTGCCAGCCAGGCTTCCACCATAAGGCGTCCATGGCTAGGTGCTTTACACCGAGGAGGGTAGAGAGCCTGCGCGACAGCGTTGTCTGACGTGTCACATTCAAGATCATCAGTTCACGTCGGGTGAAAGCGTCCAACGACTTAAACTGCGCCTAACCTTGCCGCTCCCTGATACGAAGAGCAGCGAAGGTTAGCGTATGCCTCCCAGAGGACGCGATCAGCTTCCAACCTGAGTTCCCCACGACAAGGATTCGGTATGTCCCCTTCCCGTCACCCAGCAAGGGCGGTACCGGTTGGGAGGTCATGGCGGTCAAGAGCAACCTGCGCGGCGGTCGCGCAAGCCCGCGCTTCGGGTATGGCGCCGGCCTGACGCACTGTGACTCACATATCATCCAGGAACGCCCAGTAACCATCTCCAAGCCATCTCACTCCTTATTCCAATCACACAACGGGTATTCCGTCAAGTTCGGGATGATGATTGCTCGGTGCTATAGACAAGTCAACTACTGAAGAGAAACACAACTCTCGAAGGAATGAAGACCAAATCCCGTCCAGTGCAGCTCAAGGAAGACAAAAGAACTGCATCCCATCTACATACGAGTCGCAGAACTGCCAGAGAGTGAGAGGCGCATGCGAGATGGTACGGGGTACCACGCAGTGGCTGGCGATCGGGTCGGTGTGTTGAAATCTCGGCGTCGGCGTGATAAATAGTCGATTGGCGCATTGCTGCGCGCGCGACGTTTATGCGCGGAAGGTCGTGCGGCGCATGCGGCGCGAGTACTTCGCGGTGCTGAGGCAGGAGTCGCGGGTCGCGCCGCAGCCGGTCCAGTCCGGGTTGGGCTGGGACTTGGCGATGCACTGGTTGTACGCTGCAAGGGAGTCAGCACGGACGCACACGATAAAAGAAAGCGACTGACTGTTCATGCAGACGTTGGCGTCGCCAGTGCCAGCGCTGCCGGTCGTGGTCGGGACAGCGACGCTGGAGGCAGCGGAGGTAGCCGCGGCACTCGTTGTCGCGGCCGCAGAAGTAGCAGGCGCACTAGACGACGCGACCTCGGACGTCGCAGGGGCGGACGAGACGGGGGCAGAGGAGGCAGGAGCGGTGGACGAAGCCGGAGCAGAGGTCTCCACAGCTGAAGTCTCCGCGGCAGAGGTAGCAGGGGAGGTGGTAGCAGAGGTCTCTGCGGCGGACGTCTCGACAGCAGATGTAGCAGCAGCGCTGCTCTCGGCGGCGGAGGTGGCAGCAGAGGTAGCAGCAGCGCTGGAGGCCGGAGCAGAGCTCGACGAGCCGCTGCCGCTGCCAGAGCCACCGACAACGAAGTCGACACAGCTGTGAACATCGTTAGGAATGCCAGGAAGGCACAACACGATCATAACTCACTCCTCGTAGGTCTGGTCGATTTCGGGCGCGTCCCAGAACCACTGGATAACGCAGTCGCCGGCGGTGGTGCACTTCCCGCCAAGGTCCTCGGGCATGGTGATGTCGAAATTGGTCTGGTCCGCGGTGACGCCGGTAGCCGTCGATGCGTAGACGTCCCAAGAGATCAGGGCGTCGCCTATGACGGTGTTGCTCGTGGTGTCGACGATGGAGACGTTCGCGTTACCGCTGAGACAACAAGTGAGCTGTGTGGCACGAACGAAGTAGATTATACGTACGTATGCGGCGCGCGAATCTCAACAACCATCGGGATGGTCTGACCGAGCGTGTAGGTCTGAACATTGGCCTGGTTGTCAGCGAACTGGTAACTGTACATAGCGTCAGCTCATCTCCAAGTAGAACCCTCGCATCCACGCACCCCTTGCAAAGGCCAACATTGCACTTCGTGGCGTCAAAGTCGCTGCCCGCAACCTGCATCTCGCCCTGGAAGTTGCCGTACGGGTCCGACGTGACCTGCGAGAGCATCTGCTGGCCGCACGCGGCCCCAAACGCCTCGCCAACCGTGTCACTCCGCGGCGCCGGGGAAGTCAGCTTCCCGTGCGCGGCGACGCGCGCGGCAAGGGCCAGGAGGACGGACGCAGCAGACAACTTGAACATAATGATGCGTGGGGGGTAGGGTGTAGATGTGGAAGGTGCAAGAAATCGAACGTGTAAAATCGACTAGCGAGGCGAGAATGGACGGAGAGGAGTGTTCTGTAGGGCGGACAGACAGTCGAAAGAGCAAGCAATGGGAATAAAAGAGGGAAACACCCAAACGCAAGCGGAGGGGATTGACGGAAACGAAAGTGAGGGAACGGAATGCTGAGGCTCTTGTTGTGCGCGGGGCGGGCTTATATACGTGCCCGTGCCATCGCCATAGCAGCCAGGCGGTCGCTGGGGTGTCGGCCGCGCGCAAAACGAAGGCGCGTAATCTGGACGGTCCAGGCACCGGACCCCCGTGTGGCGATCAAGTGCATCATGAAGGGCCATTCAGTTCATTTTCGGAGGCCGAGGTGGCTGAGCTCCGTGAGGCAAAATCGCGAACTTTCGCCTTCAATGTGGGTGAGCATGACAGGAGGGTCAAGCACTGAGGCCTGAGGGGTTGAGAGACATACTTCCGGTTGGTGTGTGGTATAGAGTACTTCAGCCTACTTCAGAGGGGTCCAGAGGCGCAGCGCACATGCCCGAGCCCAGACTCGCTGATCAGAGATCGTCAGATGGTCGTCCGCTGGGTCGCACGCTACAAGGGTGTTCTTGACGACTACCGCAACGATGATAACGCCCGCTCGGCGCTCGGACCTCCCTGAAGAGCGCTCGCGGCAGCCGTCCGTGAGCGTGCAAGCCGCAACCGCTTCGAACCCGGAGTATTCTATCCGCCATGGGGAAAGAGACCCGGTGTTGATGCACTTGGGTGAAATAGCCTCTTGCTTATGGACTTTTGAACTGCTACGGAGTGCAAACAACAGAGGATAGGAGGTTAATATGCATTCGACGTTAGGAAGGCAGCGAAGGACATCAAAGAGTCTACTCTTGGTATGGGTAAGTGAACTTGCCCTGGTCCTTGCGGCGCCACAATTTCCTCCTATACATTCCAACCTGGTCAGTAAGCCCTTGGCGCGTGTTGAGTCCGAGACGTACTTCTTCTTCGTGGGTACGTGCTCGGCGAAAACCTCGACGCAGTACTTCGCCTTGAACTCCCTAATGAATCGCGGATCCCTGGGCGACGTTAGCAAGGGACATTCATGCATTAGAAGGATAGCGCACCAGAGCTCGCTTGCAATCCCCAAATCCTTGCAGCAGCGCATCAGAGCATTGCTCTTGCAGGACTCCGTTGCAGTCGGGATGCCCGACGGGTCGAAGTACTCCTGCTCCCCGCGTGCGATCGAGACCAGACTATTTGGCGCATATTGACTAAGTCTGCATACAGAACAAGGCAACGCCACGCACCGTCCCATACAGATCAACGCATACTCCCTGCTCACCACCTTCGGGCCTACATTCGTCGGACTCCGCGGTGCAAGCCCCCACGCGCCGGGGCCAAACGCCTTGTTCAGGATGCGTCGGTACTTGATCTCGGGGAGGTAGATCATGCCGTCTGAGCAGTACACGCGTTGATATCGCTTGAGCGTGCGGCGGAACCTGTGCTACTCACCAGGCTTCATCTCCACATCCGCAGGGTCAACCGGCGCCAGCAGCACATCCGTCACCTCCTTCGGGAACGCGCTGGTCCCCAAGCCCGAGTAGCTCTTCGACCAGTCCGTGTGCTCGTCGAGAGGGCCGGATTCTTCGGCTTCGCGCGCAGGTGCCTCGGAGGAGACCTTGAACTCGGAGTCCTGGGTGGCGGATTTGTCGGCTGCAGGGGAGGACTTTGCACCGTCCGTCGCGGTTGTGCTCGCGCGCGCAATCTGAGAGAGATATGGGGTGGTACGCGGTGCCACACGCGCGGATGTGAGAGGAGAGCGCGCCAGGCGGCTCGTCCTCGCGAGTTGTCTGACGAACGCGCTCGCCATGGTCGCTCAGGTCAAGAGCGCGTCCGTGGATGGGCGCGTTGTTGAGATCGCGTGCATGACGTAAGCTGGCTTACGCCGACTCAGGTGTACGCAGTCTGGCCTTCTCATGGGCATGAAGTCCCTCTCTCTGATCCAATATGTCCTGTACCATACATTTGTACATACACCGCCGCATATCTCGCTCATACAACCTACTTCTTGTTCTTTCTCTGCTTCGCGTTCGACTTCCCGGCCTTCGAGGACGTCGTCTTCGCCTCAGGCTTCGCAGTAGGCTCAGCAGGTGCGGCAACAGGCTTGACTGCCGGAGCTTTGGGTACTTTGGGTGTCTTGTCTCCTCTATGCAACAGCTGCATGAAGAGCGACGCGACCGTGCCCGACAGGATGAACGCCATCCATCTCGGGATCATCGAGAGGTAGGTGTGCAGCAGGAGGTTGAACTGCGCCCAGTAGTGCATATATTGCTCGCTGTAGAGAAGATGAGAAGGTAAAGGCAGACGAGGGTAGAAACGGCCGTACTAGTCCCCGCCTGGGCCGAAGGAGCTGTTCCAGGGTGGATAGCTCTCGTAGGCCTTGTCGCGGAGCATTTCCCTCAGACCTCCGTTGCGCATGTGCAGGAGGCCAGTACGGTAGAAGCGCAGCACCTTTCCGCGCTCTTTGGCAATGACGATCCATGGGCCGCTATGTTTAAGATCAGGAAGAGGATATGTGGTGGAAGGAACCTGCGCACCTCCATACGTTCCACTTGGTCGTGAGATACGTGACATTGAGGTAGTCGATGCGTCCCCACTGGACATGAGGAAGGTCTTCGGCAATGAGGGTATCGTTGTACGCGATGTCAAACTGCTCGTCCACAAACTTGGAGACGGCGTCATGTTTCGCTGCTGTCGTCGATCTGACAGAGGCGTAAGCTATGGACAAGAAATACGAGCTCAACACTCACATAACAATACACCACACCCTCTCGTGCTCCTCTTCCTCCGTGAGCGGCTCGTTCACAATCAGCTCCTCGTAGTTGTCGTCCGTGATAAGCTGTATCCGGTCGTCCCAGATCCCCTTCGCCTGGTCCAGCTTCTCCGTGATGTTCATCCCCAGCTTCTCAAACAAGTACTGCGCCGGCTTCGTGTGCAAAAGCTTCTCCGAGTCAAGATAGCTGAACAACTTCGACGGCGTCAGCGGCTCATCCGCAGGAGCACTAGCCGCCGCCTCCCCCTCCGCCGCCGCGGGCTTCGCCTTCCCATAGCTGCTCGTCGGGATGGGCTTGCTGGGGTCCCAGCCCTCGGAGAAGTACTGCGCGCTCACAGATGAGAGCAGCGCCAGCAAGGATAGGCCATGGAGGAGCTTCATGATGGTGGTGGGCAGCAAGGAGCTCCCGCGCTGGTTATCTCGACGAGGGGAGCCATGGCGCGATCAGGCACCCCCCTTCCGTTATCTCGGCGTCCCGGCCCGAACGGAGGTTGTTGTCGCGTGTCGCGTGCTGCGCGGAGCTGCGGCGGGCGCTTATTTCGACGAGGGCGACGACCGACGCGTTTTTTCTCCCTCTGCGTTCCCGAGGGCTTGGTGGAGGGGTCATGCTCAATCTACTCGGTCTTGTGTGGGCTGGAATATCTTTGCTTGCAAGTCAGACGGCCTCAGCCTTCCCTGCGGATCGTACGTGACGCATTTCATCCGCGGAATCACTCCATTGAAGGCGATATCATTCAGTCACCGCTGCCAATTTCTACGTACCTGCCCTGCCGGACCTCAGGCAGGACCCAGACCACCCCCTACATCTCTACGCTGGCCACATCCCCTCCGACCCCGATGAGGACCGCGAGATCCAGTCCCACCTCTACTTTTTCCTTATCAAGAATAGACGGACGGCGGACAAGAACCGTATACTGTTCTGGTTCAACGTGTGTGTCGAGGTCCATTCGCTGCTTGACGCGTCACTGACTTGCGTAGGGCGGTCCAGGCTGCTCATCGTTCGATGGGTTGATGATGGAGAATGGACCATGGCGGACAGATGGGAATGGTGGCTTGAAGCTAGTGGACGGTGGCTGGGAGGAATATACGACAATGGTCTATAGTACGTTGCATCCCCTCTCAGACGAACACGCTCCGACAGCTTTTGACAGTCGACCAACCCGCTGGAACGGGATTTTCGTATACCGCAGAAGGCCATTACATCCACACCCTAGAAGAGGCCTCCGAGCAATTGCTTGTCTTCCTCAAAAACTTTTATGAGGTCTTCCCTGAGTATAAAACCACAGAGGTATGCCTCAGTTTTGACTCTGGCTCAAGAGGCTATGTGCTAATGCCTACGCAGACCTACCTCGCCGGCGAAAGCTACGCAGGACAATATATACCTTTCTTTGGTAGGTTTCCCCTTTATTCCGATATTAATCCTTCTCTTACCACCTGTTCAGCGGATGCCATCCTCGACTCGAATCTCAACATACCACTGCGCGGAATAGCCCTAGGGAATGGATGGATAAGCGCGCGACACCAATACCCTGCCTACTTCAAATTCCTCGTCGCTCAGGGTATACTGACCGAAGGCACCGAGGTGAGTGCGCAAAGAGAAGTAGTGGCCTTCGACAAATGTTGACCCGCTTCTGCGCAGGCCTACGACAAAGGCAAGGAACGCTCCGAAGCATGTACGAAACTGTACGAGGACGACTACCAAAAGGACAATGCAAGCGAGCCGACAAGCGTTGGCGGATGCGAGCGTATGCTGTCTGAGATTGCTGAGGTTAGACGAAAAAAGTGCGTACCGGCTCCATTTTCTTCTCTATATTGATCTCGATCTACGGTGTTGCTTAAGTCCCAGAGACTCACCAAATTATCTGCAGGGTACACGGTCAAGAATTGTGCATGAACGTCTACGACGTACGATTGGACGACACTTACCCAGATTGTGGCATGAATTGGCCTCCAGAGGTCAAGCCTGTCGGCACCTACCTCAACGTGAGCCTGCCCTTGGATCGCCCTGCCCTGTCTCTGTCACTAACCCGCCTTCCTCAGCGCCCCGAAGTCATCTCCGCCATCCACGCGGACGCCCACACCACCCCCTGGGCCGAATGCTCCAGCACCGTTGGCCGCCAGTTCTACAGCAAGCAGCACAACTCGTCCGTCAACCTCTTACCAGGATTGCTCGAGCGCATCGAGGTGCTGTTATTCGCGGGCGACCAGGATTATATATGCAACTATGTGGGGCAGGAGGATACAATTGCGGCTTTGGAGTGGGGTGGGAGGAGGGGATTGGGGGTGAGTGGCGCTTGGTGTTTGGCTTGGGATGGGATGAGGAAGGAAAGGCTGACGAGGAAATCTGGCATGCAGGACGCAGAGCGACTGGACTACACGGTTAACGACGAGCCTGCGGGCGTGTGGACGTCGGCGCGCAACCTGACCTACGTGAAGGTGCGTGCCACCCGGTTGCCACAAACTACCTATGTCCCTTCCATGACTCCCTCACTGGACTCATAACCCCTTCGTCAGATATACAACGCATCCCACATGGTCCCCTACGACGTCCCGCACGTCGCACACGACATGATCCTCCGCTTCATGCACGTCAACTTCTCCGCCCTCGCGGACGGTTCTGCGCGCATACCCAGCAGCGTCGGCGCAGACGCCAAACCCCATTTCGTTACTTTAGGTGAAGCGGAAGGTGGAGAAGGGGAGGGCAAGCCGGGGAAGACTGAGGAGCAGCATACGGCAATGGAGGAAGGTGTGTGGTAATCAACTCGCGCTTGAGGATGTTCCTGCTGTCGCGAATCGGGAAGAGGGAACGGTAACTCATCCCGATCCACAGCCTACTTCAACGCCGGGTCCGCCGTTTTTGTCCTGGTAATTGTCGCGGGCATCATCGGCGCGGTGATGTGGTTCCGCTGGCGAAGACAGTCCCGCGTAGAGCCCGGCGTGCACCCGGACGAAGAAGAAAGCATACCCCTCACCACCCGAGAACGAGACCCCGACACGGAGGAGCCCATAACACCTAACAAAGGCAAAGGGCGCGCTGGCATCCCTCCCCCGGCGCCTATCTTCAACGACGAAGCGTTCTACCAGGATAGGTAGCACTGGCTTGCACAATCTAATCTCAGTCACAGATTACTGCGCGACATTCACGCTACACACCATCCTCAAGCTCACGATCATCCTCAAGCTCACAACGCCAGCCAATAAGTAGCCACATAAATAATACACTGACTGTGCGCCATGTACTGTAATTTACAGACTGACAGAGGCTGTCCCACCTACGCATCCTTCCTCCCATGCTCATGCTCATCCCTATACCCATCCTCATCATCGCTCCCCACATCGAATATGGGCTCCGGCGGCAACAGCGCGCGCCCTTTCCCCTTATCCTTCCTCTCGTCATCGTCTCCACGCAACGTGCGCCCATCGCCATCTTCGCTAAGTCGGGGTGTACTGCTGTTTCGTAGGTTCCCCATGCTGTCGCTGGCGTTCAGAGGAATACTCTCCTCGGCGTCGGCGCGACTACTGAAGTCGCCCGGCCGCCTGCTGAAGTCGACAGTACCAGGGAGGCGCAGGCTGCCCCCGCGCCGGCGGCGGAACCACACGACGGCACCGATAATGCCGAATACGACAACAAGGACAAGGGCGGCGGAGCCGGCGTTGTAGTATGCTGCGAGGGTTTGTTAGTGATTTGATCATTCGGATAGCTAGATAAGAGGGTAAATGCTCCTCACCCTCCCACATCGCCTTATCCTGCTCAGGCGTCTTTCCCGGTGTGATGGGAGTGTTTGGCAACTCCTCCTCAATCGCAGTAAAAGTGGGCTTCTCCTCCGACCCGATGCTACTGGGTATACGCGCCGAGCCGTCGAGGATGGCGGAGAAGTTGACGTTCATGAAGCGCAGGATCATGTCGTGGCTGACGTGCGGCAGGTCGAAGGGCGCCATATGCGAGGCGTTGAAGATCTTCGCGTAGGTGAGGTTGCGCGACGAGACCCACGTCCCTGCGGGCGCGCCGTCCACCGTCCAAGATTGTGTTTGTACTTTCTGTGGGCTCTCATCAGCGCCAGTCCCTCGTTCACAAAGCAAGACAGAGTCCACCCACCCCCAACCCCGTCCCATCATTCCACGACATCGCCTGGATCATATTCTCCAGCCCGACATAGTTGCAGATATAATCCTGGTCGCCCGCAAACAGTAGCACCGGTATGCGCTCGAGGACCTTCGGGAGAACAGTGATGGACGAGTTCGATCGCTCCTCGCGGAACTGGACGTGCACCTGTCCGCGGCACTCGACCCAGGATCCGGAGTGGGCCTCGGCGTGGAGGGCAGAGACGACGTCGGATCGCTGCAGAGAAGAGAATGAGTACGAGTGGGGAATATGCTATGAAGAGACAATGCGAACATCTAGGTACTCCGTAATGGGCTTGATATCTGGTGGCCAGTTCATGCCGCAGGCGGGTGCAGTGTCATCGAGGCGAACATCGTAGATGTTCATGCACATCTGCTTGTCGCCGTCCCTGTTTCGTCGTGAGCGTCGAAGACTGAGCATTCATCGCCCTACTTACTGCTTTTCCCGGACCTTCGCAACGTCCATGATGAGGCCTTCGCATTCCTGGATGTTGATCGGCTCATTGACGTAGTTTTCGAAGCCTTTGATGCAGGACTCCGTCTTTTCCTTCGCTTCCTTGTATTCCTGAATGCAACGTTGATATGACCGGTGGTAGTGATACTTTGTGAGGGCTTACGTCGCTCGTCTCAGAGAGTATACCAACTCGTACGAGGTAGTCGATGTAGGAAGGATATTGCCTTCGTGAGTCAATCCAGCCATTGCCTATTGCAACACCGCGCAGAGGGATGTAGAGATCCGAGTTAAGTACCGCGTCCGCTACATAAGGTCGTTAGGACGAGGTGTAAATTGCAGAGTAGGATTCCTACCGAAGTACGGGAGGTACTGCCCCGCGTAGCTCTCACCACCGAAGTACGTCTATATCTTTTGTGAGTTTCAAGTGACGATCGGGTATAGCTCTGCTAACCTCCATCGACTTGTACTCGGGAAATACATCATAAAAGTTGTGCAGGAATACCAGAAGTTGTTGGGAAGCCTGCGGAGCACTGTCAGTGTCTGCTATATGCAGGTAGGATGCTCCTCACTTCCTCTAAGGTCTGCACGTAGTGGTTCGTCGCCGTGTATGAGAAGCCAGTCCCCGCTGGCTGATCGACTAGGTGTACCCATCAGCAAGGAAGGGGGGACTTAGGCAGTCGGACGGGCGCACCGTACACCATGGTGGTGTATTCCTCCCATCCACCGTCCGCGACCTTCAGTCCACCATTTCCATCAACGCGCCAAGGACCGTTCTCCATCATTAGCCCATCAAATGATGAGCATCCTGGCCCGCCCTACGTACACTGTCAGTAACGAGGGTGTAGAACCGAGGCGTACGGGACGCACATTGAACCAGAACATAATCCGTTCCTTGTCCGCAACACGCCGGTTCTTGATCATGACGAAGTAGAGGTGTGCGGTAACATCTGTAGCAGCTGCCTTGCTAGCATCCGGGTCTGATGATAGATGTCCGGCGAATATTGAGAGGGGGCGATCGGGGTGGGGTTGTAAGTCGGGGAGGGAAGGGACGTAGAAGCTGGCTGCCGAGGGGACTGTTTCGCTGTATCAATAACACCATCTTCACAGTGCCAAGTACGCCACGCACTGTCCGTCGGCGCGCCCAGCACGAATATTACGCATTGCACCCAGAGCGCCGCGCAGAGAAAGAGGCTGGGTATGCGGGGAACACCCATGGTGGCACAGGCGTTTGCGAGGCCGTGCGACGTGTGGCTATCAAGCTCGCCGCCGCCTTAGAGTATCAGGATGTCGGTCTATGCGAGAAAGGCGATGACAGTGAGCAGCAACAGCGAGCACGTTGTCGACGGCGATGAGAGACGCGAGAGACCGCAGTTCTGAGTCCGCGTCGACACGTGGATGGTGATCACGACGCGTCTGAACACAATAAACGCGTCTTGCCTGCCGCCACCATGCTCCCCTCGAACAGCGCACCAGGCCTCGGGCGCCCACCGCGATCGCAGTCTAGCGCTGGATTCAGACGTGCTTCAGGCTCTGGCATCGCAAATCAACGTCGTGCATCTGGATCTAGCACTCTCGGTGTTCCTCGACCCCAATCAAGCGCGTCTGTGCGGCCTGGCTCTCGACTTTCCATACGACCCCAAGCGCGACATGCGCGCAATCGTCTGCTGCCCCTCTGTCAGAAACTCGTCACTCAGATCACTGGAAATAACCCTGAGAACGAAGACGATGCGCTACAACATATGCAAGACGTCGAGTTCGTGCTGAAGAATCTAGAGACCAATAAGCAAGCGACTACAGTTGATCTGGATCGTATTGACCGTCAGATACGAGGGTCAGTCTATCAAATGTCTACCTAGCTGTCATTAGATGAACTTGAGCTCAGGCTGGTGCAGAAAGCGCGAATCAACAACCAAGACGCTCTGGCAGATGCCCTGCTGAAGTCGGCGCAGCGGCTCAAGGATGACTTGGTCCAACTGAAGAAAGATGATCTCGACTCTGACATCAGGGTAAGGAATGGTCCGGCTTCAGGTGAGATGAGGCTTAACTGACAGCATGTTGCAGTCAAGTAACGTCCCAGCGCACATCCACTTCCTGATCAGCATGTCCAACGGACCCTCTCCGGCATCTCTGGCATATGCTGAACATTACCTCGAGGAGATCAGCAACCCAATCGCACCTCCAAGACCTACGACATGGCTCGACATCATCGGCGATGAGCCTTTCGAAGGCGAGCACTGGAAAGGAGTCTACGGCTTGCCGCCTGGGTTCGTTCGCGAGTCAGATGCAGACGACCTCAGCGACGGAAGTGCGCCCTCTTTGTCGACCATGTCCGACGACCCGGAGCTGGACTCGTTGAACGACTCTTTCTCATCCGCGGAAGAGGCGCCGATCTTGCCTACCACGCCCCCGGCAGTTGCTGAGGTCCCCCTCCTGCAGCCGGCCCCAAAGTACACATACACCCATAGACAGGCCGTCGAAGAGCTGCGGGCGCGACAGTACTGGACGAATCATTACAAGAGCGACGTGAATCCCACTGGACCTTTTGATATCGGCGACGCAGCAACATTCGGGGCAAGCATGCAAAGAGCCGTTGCTCGGGGACAAACCATGCCTCTCACCCCGGAGGTACAGCATTGAATTTGCTTTGAATCGCAGCTAACAATTTGAATTGCAGGTGTATATCGACGAAGTCGACATGGTGCGCGAAATCTTGATCGGCTTGCAAGGCAGGCACAACATCATGTTCATCGCCGACATGCACTCTTGCCCAGTGAGTACCTCGCTTACCCACCGTCTGCTCATCTAACCTCTATTAGATACGCTCCGACGCGCCCCGCCTGGCCCACCTCTCCCTCGGCAGCCAGCAATCCATCCTCAAATCCTTCTGCCAAACCGCGAGCGTCCTCTACCACCTCCGCACTTTCGTCAGCTTCGTCCTTGCCCAGGTCTCCGACCGTCAGCCGCAACGAACCTCCTACATCAAGCCCAAGGCGCCCATCCGCACGCTCGAGGCTTTCGCTGACGCGGTAGCCGAGCAGCTGCGGGGCTTTGATGCGTGGTGTGCTTCCCGAGAGCAGGATATCTGTTGTGCGAGGGAGGGCGTGGGCGCTGGAATGCTGGTAGTCAGCCTGCTGAGCACGGAGAAGGCGCTGAGGGATCGGTATGAGCGCGCTTTTCCTGCATTGCTAAATGTTGTAAATGCGATTGGAGCGGAGTCGGAGCAAGGGCGGTGGAAGTTGCCCGTGAAAGGTGCTGCGAGGAATAGTGCGGTGCTCCTCGACGCGCTCCTCGACGCGTACCGAGCGCACATCGAGATCGGGGAAGCCGTAACCGCAGACGCTCTGCTTGCGGCCTTCCAGCTTACCGCGGAGCCCGTTTGGGGTAATCATTCTTTTCCTACATCTATACCTAGATGACACGCTCACTAGACCCACAGGCATGATACACCTCTGGCTACGCGACGGCATGGACCCCACAGGCAAAGAGCTCGACGATGAGTTCTTTATCGAAGGTAGCGGTCTCGGCGTGGGCATGATGGGCATGGGTATGCTCGACCCCGATTTCTGGGCCGACGCGTATACCCTCCGCGACGACATCGTCTCCGACAACGGCGAAGACCCGAGCGCGCCGGCGCGCAAAGTCGTCCCCGCCTTCCTTGCGCCCGTCGCTGAGATGGTGCTCGGGGCGGGGAAGGGTATCGGGTTGCTGCGCGCGCTGGGAGACGAGCCGGCGGATGGGGAGAAAGTGCACCTGGATAGCTGGCGGTCGTTCGGAGAGCTGGTCGCGGCGGAGGCGAAGATGGACCTGTCGGCAGATACACTAGCGCATGCTGTGTATGATGCGCTCAACCCGCACTGTGCGAAGGTCGGGAGGGCGTTGGTGTCGGTGGTGCGGCAGGACTTTGAGGAGCATTTGGCTGCTATCGAGGGGCTTTACTTGATGCGGAGAGGAGATACCATCGCTCACTTTGCTGACCTTGTATTTGAGAAGGTCAGCAATGCACGTCTGAGAACACGCTGGAGTTGTATTGACGCGGTTCCGCTAGATGGACGCACAGCAATCCTGGGCCGACTTCCACTTCATCAACACCTGCTTCACCGACGTCGTTGAGCGGACCAAAGCCACCTCCTGGATCCAGCCCGCTCTTGTGCGACTCTCCTACCGCGGCGGTAAGGAAAAAGAGCGCTCCATCTCGCGCACAGTCCGCGCCCTCGACGGCCTCAGCGTCGGCTACTCCGTCCCCTTCCCCGTCATATACATTTTCCGACCTCAGACCATCCAAACCTACAACAACATCTTTGTCTTCCTCCTCCAGATCATGCGCGCGAAGAGCGTGCTAGAACGCATATTGTTCCGCGGGGACAGCAAGCATCCGACGGCGATGATGAAGGTGTTTTATGCGCTTAGGGGGAAGATGAGCTGGTTTATCAAGTGGGTGTGGCTTGGTGGTGGTTTGGGACGTGTGCTAATGGGTTTTAGCGCGTTGTTGAATTTCTTCACGACGTATGTGATCCACTCGGAGGTCCTTCGGTTCAGGAAGCGCGTGCAGGATGTCGAGTCGTTAGACCATTTGATCACACTACACGAGGAACAGTGCGTGTATGTTCCGCTAAGCATCAGTATATTACTGACATTGCACATAGCATCGAGCGCATCGAGGGTCGATGTCTCTTGCAGCCCAAGGTACGTACATTCACCCTTCAGCAGCGCCTATGTTACAGGATACTCATCTCAACCACCCTTGCTAGACCTCCGCACTTCACCGTGCCGTCCTCTCCATCCTCGACCTATCCCTCAGTTTCAGCCAGCTCCTCGTCTCCGTCTCCGGGGACGCGAACGCGACCCTCGACATCTCGCGCCACTCCCTCCTCGCCCGCAAACACCGCAGCCGGCACCAGCGCCGAATACGGCGGAACGTCATCGGCTTTGGCGCGTCGGCGGCCGCTCTCGACAGCTCGTCGGACGAGGATGAGGACGAGGACGTGAATGAGGACGGTGAGGCGGATCTGACGCGGGATGCGCCGAGTACGTCGCTCGCGGTGTCGGGGGCGTCGGTGGTGGGCGAGTGGGATCCGCTGGGTGGAGTCGAGAAGATCTCGACGGAGCTGGATGGGCTGGTGAGGTTCATCAGGAGGGGGGTGGATAGCTTGGCGGGTGGGACGAGTGAGGCGGCATCAGCGTTTGGGGTGCTGTCGTTCGTGCTAGAGGATTGGGATCTTTGAGGCGGTAATTAGGGCTATTGAACGTTGCTTCGAGCAGCTTGTATGTACTGTATATGCCATGAACGCCTGCCATTCCGGCTATGAGCTACTGAGAGAGCCCAAATAAGGATATTTCGGTTGTGGGGGTCCATTGACGGCAGCCCGGGCCGAACGGTGTAGGCGCTTGACGGGACTAACTCACCTCAGCCACCCGCGTTCACTGTCGCTCGACATGAGCAGGGCGCCCGCGACATAGAGCACTCGCCCAACCTTCGACACTGACAGGAAACTCGCCTCCGAACTAGATTCTCTCGGGCTGTGCCGGCAGCGTCGCTTCTTGCCTTGAGGCTCTACCACGGCTTGCTTCTGCCGTTCTGGAGTCTCCTCGAACGTACGATCCTGCGCTCATCGTCGACGCTCGCTATTCTCCACCCACTGTCGACCTTGCATATCTTGGTGTACCCTGGTCTCACGCTCTCGCGATGGAGGCGTCCTTCGACAACAAGACGAACCTATTCAATACGAACCTTCGTTCGAAGGTGGACGATTCTATCCTGTATACTTTCACTACCAAGTCGGGCTACCGGGGGCGCAAGCACACCATCGTCACCGATGCGAACCCTGCGCCGGGCCACTCGGCGACTGCCGGTGTCATTCATTGGAAGGAGGAAGCCCTTGAGATCGGCGGCCAGCGGAAGACGACGAAGGAGTTGAAAGAGACTGTTGGCTCCCTGTTCAAGAAGTATGCTTTCTTGTATTGATGCTCCCTTTGGCGTTCTTATGACGATCATCAGGACTCGCTATTGGCAGTGGGCTCCAGACAGGAAGAAGTATGAGATCCGGTATGAAGACGAGACCTGGAAGGTAATACTGAGCCTTGACGAAATCATGGTCCTTGCATAATTTCACATCCTACTTAGGCATTCCTTCTCAACGAGCTGGTTGCGACGTTCTATATACCGTCGCATCCAAAGCTCTTTGGCAAGTTGAAGCCTTCGATCCTGCAGATGGAGCCGAAGGCCCTTCTTGAGGATGAGGTCTTCCTACTCCTGGTCTTTGCGTATCTGGTAAGCTGACTATCTGATCTTCTGTGCATAAGCTGACTCTATAACAGGAAGTAAGGCGTCAAGAGAAGACGGTGAGTGATCTATGAATACGATGCCTCTTGACTGGGTCACTGACTTTTCTGCTGCAGAACAGCTCCCTGACATAGTTGACCTGTACCATACTATACACAGACTTGGACTCTTACGATGGACATACCCTCGCAATACCCACCTCTTGGACCTCTCCTATTTATTCTATCGCATTGTTTAGTTGTTGTCGCCCGGGCCAACCGGGACGCGCCCCATTTGCCTGAATTGGAGTGATCGATCGACATCAACGACCGCCACAAATCTGCCCGTTCATTGTTCTTTCCCCTGACGCGCTCTCCTCCAATATACACTCCCCCGCGTCGTGCTTCAAACACGCAGAATGGACGTAGACCAACGAAGATTAGTGGGGATCACTGCTGAGCGCGTCACGAACGTCTCCAGCACCGACTACCCTGGTCATCATTACGGGGAGGACCACTCTTGGAACCTGGAAGAGTTCAAACGTGTGAGTGTCCTGAAGGATGAGGGAACGTATGACTGACCACAGGGAATGCTAAGCGTAGAACTTGAAAGTCAAGGTGCAAAGACTGTCGAACCGATCAATAGAATTCGACCTTGTCGGCGTAGATGCATCCATCGCGAATGCGTTCCGCCGTATAATGATCGCGGAAGTGCGTTGCAGTCCCCCTTCACCCATGCACGTTGCTAATCCTCATCAGGTTCCTACCATTGCTATCGAAAATGTATACGTGTGGGACAATACCTCTGTCATCGTAGACGAAGTCCTCGCCCACCGCCTCGGCCTCGTCCCACTAAACGTCGACCCTGACCAAATGCAACCCCGCAAAGACATCCCCACCGACCGCGACACCATCATCTTCGACCTCGCCGTCGCGTGCACGCGTAAATCACACTCAAGCGCTAACGCGACGGAGCCGGAGGACTTGTACGACAACCATGAAGTGCTGTCCTCGCATCTGAAGTGGCGTCCGGTCGGCGAGCAGGAAGAGGTGTTCGCGAACAAGCCCCCAGCGCCAACAAACCCGAATATCGTGCTTGCGAAACTGCGTCCGGGACAAGCTGTGCACATGGAATTGCACGCGGTGAAGGGTGTAGGGAAGGACCACGCGAAGTTTAGCCCTGTTGGTGAGTAATTTTTCCTTACTTGCACTTTGACCAGCCACCAAACATGAACATTCACTTCCAGCCACCGCCTCCTACCGCCTCCTCCCCCACATCAAAATCAAGAAGCCCATACCGCCGGAGCTCGCCGACAAGTTCCAAAAGTGCTTCAGCCCAGGTGTCATCCGCGTCGACCCCAATACGAAGGCCGTCAGCGTCGACCCCAAAAACGTCCGGCGAGACACCGTCAGCCGCGAAGTCCTCCGGCATCCCGAGTTCCAGGACAGCGTCGAGCTGAGTCGGGTGAGGGATCACTTTTTGTGTGAGTTTTAGCTTGGCTAGTGGTCGTGTGAGGCGTGTGCTGAAGGGTTGTTCACAGTCAGCGTCGAGTCGGAGAGCGCATATGCACCCGAGTGGTTGTTGGCGGAGTCTATCAAGATCTTGCGGGAGAAGGTGAAGGAGGTCAAGGCCGAGGCTCTGAAGCTGCGGGACCAGGATGCAGAGCAGAGCGTTGCCGATGGGGATGTCTCCATGGAGGCTGCTTGAGCACTCTCCTCGTTCCCATGTACTATCCACTATCATCATCAGTGCTGTATTCACATGCAGTCCCCCCCTCTCGCCTTGTAGCAGCAACACAGACCTTCTTTCACTCACAGTTGACTTCGCGAACCATCACCATCGACGCCTCCTCGCGTCACATACCCACACCTCCTTACGCGCATCACACATCCACACACCATGACCGCCAAATAACCGCAAAAAACCTCTGCAGATAAAAAACCCACTACATAAGACAACCGTCGTCTGAAGACCTCCCGAACGGCGTAAGTTAGGAAGCGGGTAGGGAGAGTGAGCAGCGCGCGGATAAAGTAAGGTAGGTTAGTTAGATAGAATATGTATCGACGGGGAAAGGTGCGGAACAGGTGTATCAAGTGTGTACGGACGAAGGAGGTCTACAAGGACCATCTATCTACAGATAGACCGGGGTAGCTATAGGGTGGTTGTGTGTGGGGTTGGGGTTGTCGTAAGAGAACACCGGGGAATAAACAAGCCCTAGGGAGGCAGAGACACTGTAAACGGGGATGGGGATGGGGTGGGTACGAGAAGCAGGGAACCGGGGACGGGTAGCGTGAGGGATGGGTGGTGTGTATGGGGCAGGCAACAGGGGGGTAGAGCGAGCAAGGGTGGGACGAGCAACTAGCAGCAAAAAATGTCTGTTGCTCAATAGACGGACGCACAGAAGACGAAAACCTTGACTAGTAAGTACACAAGCAATTGCGAACGAGACTCTAAACAAGCTGGAGCGTCATCAGATAGCGGACCAAGATCGTAAGGACGTCAAAGGAGTAGCCTGAGCGGGGGCATAGACATACGGCGAAGCGCAATGGGAATGGAAGACACGGTGGCAACGGATGGCGGAGCACATGAGCGCGGCAGGCCTCAGGAGGCTTAGTACGCCTTATAGGGGTTCTTGTTGGCCATGAGCTGCGACCGCCGCGACGCCTTGTACATGCGCTGCTCGTTCGCGCGGTTCAGAGCCCACCGCCGGATGAACCACGCGGCAATACCGAGCGCGATGACGCCGAAGATGACCCCAATCGCGATGCCTGCCTTCGCGCCGCCGGAGAGCCCGTGTTTGCGCGCGCTCGGGTTCGGGTCCGCGCGGTACGGCCAGTAGTCGCCCCCGTCCGGGGGCAGGACGCAGGTGAGCGAGTCGCCGTCGGAGATTGCCACGAAATCGGTCTGGTAGGTCGACTGCACCGCGGTCTTCTGGTCGACGACGAAGGCGCCGGGGCTGGGTGTAGCGTTGTCGGAGCAGTTGGGTCCCCGCGCGCCGATGAAGGAGTAGTTGCCGGTGAAGGAGTTGCCGGTGACGGTGAAGTTCGTGGCGGAAGTGAGGGCGATGCCATAAGTGAAGGCGCCTGAGAACTTGTTGTTGATGACTGTGCCGGAAGAACTGATGTTGTTGTACGCGTTGCCACCAAACCAGGCTCGTGGGCCGATAGCAATTCCCATCCTAAGGAGCGTCAGCAAAAGAGACACAGACCGCGGTAGAAGAAGCACTGCTGTCCACCGTAGGGCCGGAGCCCAAGGGACAGCAAAAGGGATACCAAGCCGAATATTCAGAAAAGCGAAAGAGAAGTACTCACTTGATGATAGCGTCGTCGTCATTCTCGCCCTTCGTCTGGCCATCCTCGTCGTCGTCATCGGTGGCAAAGCCTCCGTAGATCGTATTGTCGTGTACAACGGTGCCCGTGTAGTCACCTTTGAAGGCGCCAAAATCCACCAGATTGATTCCACCCAAGAGTGTTTGCTGATGCCAAGGTCAGCAAGCCAGCGGGCGGTCTCGGGACGAGGGGACTTACGTTGTACACCTCGATGGTATTATTGTACACCTGCGTTCCTGGGGACCCAAAAATAACGATACCGCCGTCGGTGGGGTTGTTGACGATGTTGTTGCGCACGATAGAGTCGCGGCAGGCGATGCTGATGCCGTCTGCCCACTGCTGGAAGACGTCGACGCCTGCCGGGCCGATGTCGTTGTTCTGTACGGTGACGCTGGAACAGGTATCGCCGCCCTCGGCGACGTGCAGGCACGACCAACTGCGCGGATCGTACGAGCGCACGTACTCGATGAGCTGGCCTGAGTTCTTGCCGCCGAACTCGATGTTAGCGCCCCCTGTCGTGATAGTCCGGTCTCCGCGATTGCCGAAGATCTGGGCGGGGCGTATGAGAGACAGGGGGCGCGCGGGTGCCGCGCCTACGCACCTGCACGTTGCGAAGTGAGGTGTTATCACAGTCGTCGCACGACGCGTCGACGGCGGTGGTGTGGCCCGTGCCGTTGTTGATCGCGCCGTTGATGACGAGCACAGCGCGATCGTCGCCCGTCGGGTAGCCCGCGGTGCTGAGCTCCTGACTGGGAGCGGTGTAGAAGATAGTGTCGGTGAGCGTGTAGGTCTCGCCAGGGCAGAGCTGGAGCTTGTATCCCTGGCCGCCGCTCTCAAAGGCCTTGTTGAGGCGGTCGGTGACCGTCTCTGCAGGGTCGGAGCTGATGCAATCGCTGTCATCCCGGGAGACCAGCCCCGGGGGCGCTCTGTACGCGTGTGAGGCTCGCGGGTGGCGCTTGGGCGGTCGGGAGGGGACGGACCTGTCGTGCACGGCCCTCAGCCTCTGCCTGCGCCTAAAGTCGTCCATGGTGAGAGGAGGAGGTAAAGAGCGTGGGGGACGGCTAAGAACGCCGTATAAGCACAAGAGGGCGCCGAGAAAGGGACAAATGCAATTCCGTTTCCAACGCCCAACTCCCCGATCAATTCAATCTCCTTCGGCAAATGCCGTTTCGACTTCAACTTGGTCCAGTAAATTCAGTCTACCGCCTCCCGACCTTCCCCCGGACTTCTAGCAGCGCGGGACACCTTTTCCTCCGCATTCTACACCTCCAGGAATTTCCCACTCGAAGCAGAAAGCCCCCCTTTTCCAAGTGTCCTGTCAATCCTTATCCATTTCGCCGCGTCATCACCCTCTTAGTTCAACACCGCCATCGCCAGCACTCTACCTGCCTCCGCGCTGTCAGTTGCCTCCCGACCGTCAACTCAAGTCGCTTTTGAGGCGCTATCATGGCGTGAAGCGCCCGTGAAGTCCATACAGTCTGACAAGTCACCAGCGGCCTCGGGACTGCAGTGCACAATGCAGCCCCAGCCGACGATCGGCTCGATGACTTCACCCATATCGCCAAGTTGCTTGGACGAAGCGGACAGCATACAGGCACTGTATGAAGAGGTGCAGGCAAACGCACGCCTCGCCTCAAACTTGCCTCCGACATACATCGACTAGGCACCTCCGAGCCGCCTCGCGGTCTGCACTCCCCCACCCGCCCAAGCTCACTCGTCACGCCCCCATTCCATCCGCATTCGCACTTTTGGCATTCCATTACTACACAAAAAGACGGAGAGTCCATACCCATTCACTTAGATACTATGTAGCGTAGTAAAATACAACTTGATATGTGTAAGCGTTATGTGGTGATTCAGGATAAAGATAGCAGGCCGGGCCTTGTACACGTTCGACGGGGATTTAGGGAGGAAGTTGGGAGATGAAAACGAGGAAAAAGAAGAAAGGAAGAAAGACGAGAAGGCCAAGCGCGGATGCATATACCATTGCGAATTGCGATACCATTGTGCGGATTTCGATACCATTGCGGGTTTCCTATACCGTTGCGAGTTTCCTGGTTCGTTCGTTGTGCGCCGCTTGACGGAATCCGGCGCTGCGACGACGCGACGACCGCCAGGATCGCCGCATGTTCGTGAGCTGCAGGCGCGCAGCCTCATGACCTGCAGGCACACATCGATAAAGAACCCAAGCACAGAAGAGCAGCGCCGCCGGAAACAGTCCCAAGCGAGAGGCTGACCGTGCACTTGGTAGGTAAGCCGACCGAACACTGGGTAGGCAGGCGCTTGGACATTGAGGGCTATGGAGCAATGCCGGCTGCGAGCTTGACATTCTCGCCAAATGGTAGCTGGGGCGTCCTGACTTCAGGAATGTCCTTGGTCGGGTAGGGGCCGCTCTCGGAGACAGGCGTAAGGACGATCGGCGAGACGCCATTGTCGGAGGTCTTGAGGGGGAGATGATCGGTAACGGAGGGAACGTGGTGATTCATGGGGTAGTGCTGGCCATTGCTCGAAAATTGACCATTGGCGGGTAGCTGGCCATTTCCGTGAAGCTGACCATTGCCGTTCGTATACGATCGTTCACCGTTCGTCGCGTACGAAAGCTCGCCATTGGTCGGATACGAGTTCTCGTTGACCGGATACGATGACCTATAATCAAGCCAGCGTAAGCTCAAACGTCGACGTGGTGCAAATACCGCGATCCAAAGCAACCAACCGTCGTTTCTTGTTCGGCACATCCGGACTAGGATCGTTCGACTTGCCAGGCCCCTTCAAAACGGGTGGCTTAGCGGGTGCAATAACACACATTGTGGGATAGACCGCACCTTCACCCGCTTCTGCGCAGACCGCGGTTGACGTTCGCCAGGTTCAAAGACGTAGTCCGGCAAAGCAGAGCTAGCAAATTTATCAGTACTAAGATCTCGCCATCGCAAGCAGCAAGAATGCAACCTTTTGATATGCCGTACGACCAAGCCCATGGTCGCCTCATCGAACCGCTCCCACATCTTGGCCACCTTGGTGAACTCGGTAGTAGGATACGAGATGTCTAATCTTCGCGTCCCAATGGCGCCCACTACGAGGTCCAAGTCAGCCCTCCGCCCCACTGAGCCATGACGAAAGGGGTACGCACCGGGCCTAGGCTCAATGGCCAAACCAATATAAAATGTCGTCGAGTACACTTTACTTCCACTCTCCACCCCCTCGATATCCTGCGGTCTTCGTCTTGCGATGACATCCGGGACCTCGCCTTGCGCAACAGACCGTATCTCATCGTCGTTCATGCAGTAGAACACTTGCTCAAAGCCTTTGGTGAAGGGATGCGCAAGCGTCAACGACTCAACAAGCTCGAGCTTCGATACCAATTGTCGGATCTTGGCCTCGACGTTGGGTGCCCTACGTTATGTCTGAGGACAGAGCAGGACATTTGAGGCTCGGAGGACGCACCACATGAGCTGCGCTTCCGCGCTAGCCGTGGAGGCGATAATTTGCAGGAAATATCGGTACTTGTGGAAGAAATCATGCTTCTCGAAGAGCTCAGACCACTTGCTTGACCCAAGGATGATGCTGTTCATGAGCTTGGTCCCTGCAGCACAGTTGTTCAGCATCAAGTATTGGCGAGGAATAGAATTCGCGGTTCGACCAACCTCTCCTCAACTCCTCCTCAATTATTGCGAATGTTGATACAGATACGTTGTGTGTCGCACACATGGCAGGATATACGGGCGTGATTACAGGCATTCGATGGGCGCGATCACCCGGGAAGAGCTGCGCAAGCGATAGGTAAGCGAACTTGGAACACCTCGCATACAATTGGCTTGCCTTCGGGTTCCATGACCGCTGACCCATTTGTAAGTCGTCAACATGCTTTAGTATGACCGGCGCGGGCCATGGCCTGAAGGCTGTTAGCGGAAGCCCGATGGAACGCGGGGCCAAGGCCGTGGGCTCACCATTGGTGCATTATAGGGAAGAACCTGCCGACAACGGTTCCAGCGTTGGCGTTAGGGTACAGTTGGCATACACGGGCGACGAGCATCGCCCAGGCTACTCCGCCGGGGAAGCCATTCACGTTAGAATAGATCGCTTTGCCTGTGACGGGTGAGTGAATACAGAATATGAAGTCTGGATGTCACGTACGCTGTGCCCAGAGCTTGATACATCGCAAAGCGTCTCGGAAGACGTCAACGTTTGGTACTAGGCGTAGCAGCTCGTCGGTGACGCGATAGCCTGGAATGTTGAATGAGGGGGAATAGAAGGATGACGGTGGTAAGACGTACCGTTCAAACTTCTCACACATCTGTCGTCTAGATTTCGTAGAATATTGCTGTCTTGTAATGAGAGGTCTTCTGGGATTGAGGAGAGGGCTAGTCGGGCCATAAGGATATCTATGGGGATACCGAACATCTTGATCTTGATAATGGGAACGTATGCTTCGGGGATCCCCTAAGGTACCTCGTCAGTCAAGTGTGGGTCAAGGCCAGTCGGACCACGCACCGCGACTTCCGTCACGTCTGGGGACTCTCGGAGCATGGGCTCGAAGACGTCAAAGAAATCTTCGCGCGAGACATGCTTGGGGACGACGCAGAGGGTGTCAATGTCGGACTCGGGAGTGTGAACGCCGAGGCGGTAGGAGCCGAAGGTGTACACTTTCCCTCCCGCATTTCGGGCTGTCACCTCGGACAGCCCGCGGGCGATGGTGACTTTCTGGACGAACTTTTTGGTGAGGGCGGATATTCGGTCGAGGGCCAGCTCTCTGAAGGCGACGTGAGCAGGCTGTCAACAAGACGACATGATGGGGGGTGCGCTTGGGGCGAAGAGGGAACGGGAGGGAGGATGTTGAATTCGTCCGACCGCTCGATTACGTTGTCGCGGAGAACAATAAGCGGGCTGGGTGCGCTGCGGTAGAGACCAAACGGGGCGGGTAGGAAGGCTGGTACACACCTTCGCTTGGAGTCCTCGGCGCTCTCAAAGACGCCCTGCCTATGCAGCTCCTCCATCATAGCGACTGTGGCTGCCTCCTCCGCCTCCGTGGGCGGGCTGACGGAGATGGGGTCGGTTATGCCGAGGTATCTGGAACTCTGGTTGGTGGAGAACATGGGTGTGGAGGACAAGAGGTACTTTGGTTGTTCGGCGGGTGCCATGACGGACTTGGAGTGGTGCAGTAGATATGAGCGCGTCAAGTCCGAGTTCAAGCCGCGGTAATGAGAAGCCCACACGTGATACAGCCACAACCCGGAGTCGGCTCTCCGGTCCGCACTGGACCCACAATTGTTCGCCTGGCCATTGGGCGGATTTGTGTCCTTCCAGCTGCATGTTCTTTGAGGGTAGAAATGCGGCGAAATAAGCTGAAGGCTTCAAGAGACTAGCCCTGGTCGTACTTTGGAAATTCTGCGAGATCCCGAAACCAGTGGAAATTGTACTGCTGGAGAGTACACTGTTGCACTTGCATGCAGGGTTCTACGAGGAGAGCAGAGGTTCCATACCCGCCCCTCCGTAGTTGTACTCTTCCTTCTAGTCTCATGAGTGGTTCCCTCAGTCCTCAAGCCTGTAGCCTACAATGAGAAGTGTATTGCAGACATTCGGGGAAGTACCGATGAGCTGGCTCTAGGGAGTATTCCCTCGCTGCTAGCCGACGTCTCGAAATACTCGAGTACGTTTGTTGCGCGCCACCGCGAGTCTGGCCTCCGTCGTTGAGCCCTGGTTGGGCGACGGTCGACCGGGGACCGGAGCGGAGGTGAATGCATGATGTAACAAACTCGCGATCACGGCTTGTTTGCAAATGGGGACAAGTAAAGTTGGCTGAAACCACCTTCTCCTTCCCGTCGTCGTCGTCGTTGTCCGGGATGGGCAGCCCGCCATGTCCGCTGTCCTTTATTCTGCTCTTCCTCTCTTTCTTCCTCTCCCATGTTTTAGCAGAACCCGTTAATGTCTCCTACTCGGATTGCTTCGACGCCAATGCGAACGCTTCCCTTAAATTCGACATTTCAATCATCTATGCGCAGGCTCTGCACGATGACAGCCTTGGCAACTACCTCAACCTGACTGTGTTGGGTAACACGCCCGCGAGGATCCTCGAGTCGTCAAACTCCTCAGGCAGCCTGGGTGAGTGCGGATGATGCTCCGGCCTCGTGTGACCGCTGACGCAGAGCAGCCGCCACGCTGCTCACGACGACGGAAATCCTCACCCTGAATGCGTGGTCCAACATCTCATACCTCTGCGAGACGCTGCGACCCGCATCCCCTCTCCCGTCTCTCGACGATGGCGCCACGAACTACTGCCCGCTTGACGCCGGCGACTTTGGCCTCTCATCCACGATCCAGTGGGGCGAGAACCGCGCCCTCACCACCCTCGTTACCCGCCTTCGTGCTGTAGACACGTACAGCAACGAGCTCATGTGTGTGGACGTTTCCACGACCCCCCTCGGTCCATCAGGCGACAACCCATATGGCCAGGCGATAATCATCTTCTGGTGCACGGTCGGCCTCGCTATAGCTTATTGGATCCTCGTGGGATTAGCCAGGATAGTCTCTGCGTGGAGCCGAGGCCGAGGCGGACTGAACAGGAGTGCCGGCGTATGGCCCAACGTCCAGAGCTTAGGTTACGTGCTAGCCAGTGCGATCAGTGGAGAAAGGCTTTCTGCGTCCCCAGCACTTCTGCGCTTCTGTGCGTGCCCGTTCATTTTTGGGGGCTCGTCACTCGATATTTACCCGCTTCGCAGGCACGCCATCTCTTCGCGACGTTTTATGGCACAGTCAGTGGTGCACATCCCTCGCCATGATCGCCGTGCAATGGCCCCCATTCATCTGTACGTCATGTTCGCCCTCAGGGAGACCTTCGCTCACAGCAATATTGCAGATCCCCTCCTGACCCAGACAGCGTGGTCCTCCTTGATATACAGCAAGTCACATTCTTCCAAAGTCCGCACTGTCATCTGACATGCGACACCAGATATCACCATCGCCACGGAGCCGTACAACCACTGGTACCCGCTGCATGCGGCGCCCTACGATCCACCCGACAACTTCGCTGATCAGCTGGACGACTCTGGCTCCGTGCTCTACATCGACCGCGATGCGCCGAACCGCCTGTTCATGCTGCCGAACAACGCGACGAACGGCATCTCGTCCTTCGCGTACGCGGTCGGCGTACGCCCGCAGGACCTGTTTGGCATCTGCATCGTCATATTCCTGGGCATCGTGGCCGCGACGATAGCCATCAGCATCTTCATCTGGGTGTTCGACGGCTGCTTCAGCGCCATCAGCGGGGGGATCGAAGGCAGCGGCGGGCTGTGGTCGAGCGGCAAGATGCGCGCGCGGAGTCCAGGGCCTGGCTTCGTTTCGGCGAGCAAGGACATGCTCGAAGCCGCAAGTCCTACCGTGGTGGGTCATGAAGAGGGAAAGGGAGGCAATGCTCTCTTCCGGCCGTCATCGCGGTTTACTCTCAATGGCCCGGGGCCCCTGGCGGACCGTAGTGTCGGGAAGTCACTCTGGTCAAGAGTGAGGCCAGACGGTTCGTCTTTTCATGCCGCGGTTCTGTACGGCAACCTGGTCCGAGTTCTGCTTTTCTTCTACCTCCCCGTCACCATCGTATCTTCCTACCAGATGACGCTACCTGCCGATGTGGCTACTACTGCATCTCGTGCGCTCGCAGGCGTATGTTTCGGCATCATCTCGGTCCTCATCCCCGCCCTCCTGCTCATTCGCATCCACTTCACCTCGACGAACAAGCTGTACGACGAGACGCGCACCCTGCTATCCCTCGGCCCGCTGTACAACCTGTATCGCCCGAAGTCGCATATGTTTGGCGCCTTGTTCTTCGCTCACAACCTCGCTCTCGGTGTCACGATTGGCTGCGGTCAGAAGAGTGGGCTGGCGCAGGCCATCGTGATCCTCATTGTGGAGGTTATCGGCGCGCTGGTCACCAGTATATGGCTGCCATGGGGCGTCGGCGCGAGCATGGGGCTCATCAGCTTCCTTATGTGTGTCGCACGGGTTGTCATCGCTGTACTACTCGTCATCTTGACGCCTACAGTAAGTGAGGTTCTTGTCGTTGACTCCTTGTTTCTGATTATCTCTGCAGATCGACATCGGCGCTGGTCCTGGCGGATGGGTAGCATATGGCATACTCGTCATCTGCGCCCTCGTATACCTCGCCTTCACCATCATGCTCATCCTCAAGCTCATCGAAGCCCTCGTCCGCATCATTGGCCGCGTAGGCTTCGATCAGAGCACCCACACTGTCGACACTGGCCTCCTAGGCGCTTGCGGCATGCTCGGCTGCTGTGGCTCTAGGCGGCGGCGGAGACGGCGCGGGAAGAACCAACGAACCTCCCCTGCCAACATCTACGACCCCAAGAACACGCAGCACATGTACAATGTTAGCAAGAGCTCGCCCACGTCGCCAAATATGTACGCGCCGCAGCCGCCCTTCGCAAGCAATGCCTCAAAGGCGAGCTCGCACTCCGAGCCGCCGTCAGTGCTCAGACCGGAGCATGCCTTGAGGCCGTACAAGGAGGACAGCGACGACGAGGGGTACATCATGGCGCCGTTCGGGAATGCGAAGTTCGCGAATATGAGCCGGCCCAATTCAGGGTATCTGCCGGTCAACGAGCAGTCGGCGGAGCCTGCGCAGGCGAGCGGGAGCAGCAAGGGCGGCTTCTCGCGCGTCGGTGGTGGAAGGGCACATATCGACAACCCATACGCGACGTTGCCTGCCGCGGGAGGGTCCATGCACACCTTCCCGAGCACGAGCAGGCCAGTACATGATCCAGCGATGTACGCGGCCTCGTACGACGAGGATTCGCCACCGCCTTCCGTGTCCCATGTCGCGCGACATCCGAATGCGTCGACGTCGAGTGGCTTCCAACCGCACACGCGCACGAAGTCGCAGACCGCGATCATCGAGGACCCGAGCGTGCTCGCTGCGCTACGTGCGGCGTCGGCGCCTGCTGAGCCGCCGCAGACTACGCCGGCAGAGGGCTACGACGACGATAGCGACGAGTCAGACTCGACGACGCGGCCGAAGAAGAAGCCGTGGTACCGCATCCGCGGGCGCACGCGCGCACCGAGCCAGGCGGCGATGTTGCAGGATGAGGAGACCGGCCTCGATTCGAGTTCGCAAGCGGCGGCAGCAGCAGCGGCCAGCTCGCAACCCGCGCCGCCGCCAGGACGCTCCTTCGTCGTCATTCGCAAGGCGCAGGGCGGTGCGTCCACGCCGCGGTAGTTGCCTGCGTCTGGCGTGATAGTTGTCTACGTCGCGCACGGTGATGGCCTTGCGGCTTGGTTATGGACTGTTGTATTTACGAACTCTGCTGTCTATGCATTGCACACGGACCCCAGTCTACCTTTCCTAGTATCGTTGATGTTTAGGATTTTGACGAGCTACCTAGTTAGAGCCTGTAATTCTAGCCATCCTAATATGCTTTGTCGTGCACATTATTTGAGGCTGGAAGGTCGTAGCAGTGTGTAGGGATTCTGAAAGCTCGAGGTACGTCGGGGTACGACCATCCGCCCTGAGGACGCCGTTTCAAGGGCCGGTGGTCGCTGATATAGACCGCTCGTGCAAGCTGGGTTGCTCAATGTTACCATCCAGATACGTGCACCGGCAAGGGCACGACGAAGATATTTGGATCGCCAAGATGCCCCATGGCCTTCCAACAAGGATCGCAAAGCAGACATGGTGACTCGCCAAGCCTCACGTCGCCTAGGATCGACCAAAGCGGCTGCACGTTGCCGCAGGCCTTACAGTTCGTAGGCAGGATGCGCATCAGGTGGATTGTGATGGGATAACCCACAACGGGGTCTTGAGGATGGCGCATGCTGTTTGTCGTTTGTCAGTTGTGTCGGGTCTTACATTCGAGAGTAATGGCTCACCGTATCTCATCCACCACGGCATAGTGCTCGCAGTTCCCCTCGTGCAGGATGAAGTATGGCTCGTTTATTCGCAGGGTAAGATCGTCTAACCGCGTATCCCAGGTCTTTGTTGGAGCCTTCGTAATAGGATAGAAGCCGTCCTGTGATGTTTTGCGCAGATGCTCGACGAACTTGCTGCAAAAGTTATTTCAGCCTCTCTTGCGGACGATGATCCCTGAGCATGCTTACCTAGCGTAATCGTTCTCGCTTCGCCCGTCGCCGTACGCAAGACCATTTATGCAAATGACATGACCAGGCCGAGGCGAGTCGGGCGTCGTGTTCGTGCGCACAAGCTCGCGTGAGGGGCAAGGAAACGTTTGCACCAAGTCTTCGAGCGTCTGCCACGACAACAAGCAGTGTTGCGATACCCGCTCGAGGTAGCTTGGGTTGTGCTTGAACTTGCTATAGACCGAGATAGTGATAACAGCCTCGTCAGGCCTATACGGACAAAGCTGCGAAGACATGGCTTTCTTTGAGGTGGTCATGAGCATTTGTCTGCGCACTGAAAGTCAGAGACGTACAATGTTGGAAATGGCGTTGTAGTCGGTGTTCTTTGCGGGGCGAATGAACGCCTGAGCACGGGAATCTAGTCTAACATAATGAGCTTGCAATACGGGGAAATCAAGTATCCTCTACCTCAGGGACTCTAGGGTGGCACCGTCGATGTTCTCCTGAAGCAGCCGAATGGCTGGCTCATCAGATATGTCCACACCACCTTTAGGCGCACGGCCAGCGATCTCGCTGAAGATATCCGCTTGCGACTTGTTGAGGTAATAGCTATTCGGGACATGGTTCCAAGTAGTCTGAAGGGCGTCTTTGACTTCGCTGACACTGTGCGAGCATGAATAATCAAGGGTGAAGATATGAAGTATATGATGGACTTACTCGCAGTCCTCCTCAAGTGCCTGCTTCTCCTCTGACGACAGGTCGTTCAACAGTTCGTCGAGGTTGCCAACGTCTGGAAGAGGAGAATCAACGCAGGAGAGGATGAATTCCGCGACGTTGATGGGCTCTGAAGGGGGCCCAAACTGGGACTCAGCCTGTCGAGCGTAGGATAGCAGAGTATGTGAGGATGTTGGTGACATGCGCACGACTCTTGTTCGGCAGAGCGCGAAAGGCGTCAGTGACAGTCACGGTTGAAGAGAAGATTGATTCGGCAAACTCCGAACTTTCACGCGATGGCGAGTGCATGACTGTGGGCATGGCACGAAGCTGTTCTCTTCCATGAGCACTGTCTAGCTCTCTTCTGTGGTCATCTGAGGTCACCACCACTGTAAGAGGCGTTTGTGGGTGTCCCGAGAGGACAGATATAGCGAAGGCAAGAACATGTTGCGCTTCTTCGTTTCGAACTACGTCCCACTCGAAGTCCAGCTTCCTTGACTGAGTACATGGTTTCGCCTGAGCTCCCGTGTCGATGCTGCTCAATGAACGCTGATCCCTCGCCTTCTCACACAACTGAGATAGACCTGTGGGCACAGTCTATCTCATCTGCTGCGACAGATGGGGTCTGGCCGTGGACGATCACTTGCCCTCACCGAGATTTGATACTCTGTGATGGCGTACAAGATCCTGAGCTCGTTCGCAGGGCTTCGGATCTGCCCGCAGAAGACTCAGTGTCATATTCTCCGAAGATCCAGAGGACTGCGGTGCCTTCGGGTGTATGTGCTTGGTGTATGAGGGGTTCGAATGCGTCTTGAATTCGCAGAACGATACACCTTCAGCTCGTCAAGCGATACACATCCAATTCGTAACGAAGTGCATGTCGGAATCGCATGACGATGAACTTAGATGGCTAATGAGCTGAGCCTTGGCGTCTTGCGAAGACTATGCAGTCCGCGAAGCGCGCAGTGACAGACCGAAGTCTTCGTGTGAAAGCAAACGAAGAACCATAGTTGAACGACAGTGATGAGCAGCTGACCCGTCTGCAGGTTACGAACCAGTCCTTGTCCGGGAGCGAGCTGCGCGAACGAGGCGGAGACCCTCGAGTATCGGGGGCAGGGCAGGATACGCCTACCAATGACGATAGAAACAGCGGCACGTATATTGTGATAGGAACAGTAGTACTAGTATGCCTATGCATTCGATAAGAGATGTGGAACTTTCTGACTCGAATAGGGAAACAATGCACACCAAACGCGCATACAATTCCACTTCAATCATAATCCCGTCTACGGTCTCGTCGAGAGTCGCGGTAGTCATCCTCGTCACGATGCCGCCTGCTTCTCTCCCTATCGTCTGGCGTGGGGGATCGTCGGCGTCGGTTGTATTCGCGGTCGGGGGATCTTCTACGGGGAGGCGTACGGCTCCTTCGCGCATCGACGGGTGGCGTGCGACGTGGTGACCGACTTCTACTGCGCTCGCTCCCTCGTCCCAACCGATCCCGTGGCCCGCCTCCGCCACCCAGTGACTTCAGCAAGTCCTCAACCCCGCGCATGCCCTGCGACTTGGTCTTCTCCTTCAGCGCCTTCTTCGCTCGTTTCCGTTCCTTCCGTGCACGACGCTCTTCTGGCGTCTCGTCTTTATGCTTGTGCTTGTCTTTCTTCTTCTTCTTGTCCTTCTTCGCGGCCTTCTCTTCACGGTATTTCGACATGAGGTAGTCGTACATGGGGTCTTCGGGGTCGATCTTTGGCGCGTCGGACTCGTCTGAGCTGGATTCTTCGCCATCTAGAAAATGTTGAGCAAAGTAATCACCTATACGCAACATAGCACGTACCGATGATCATCGGGGGTGCTGCGTTCAGGCTCTGCTCCTCAGGGTCGACCCATTCGCCTTCCTCGTTCTTCGTCCGCTTCTGCTTGTAGTTTTTGACGTGGTCCACGCGAAGTGTCCGCTCAGCTACCTTCGAGCCGTTGAGATTGTCGACTGCAAGTACGGTCGAACGCTGGTCCTCGTACATCACGAATGCGAAGCCCTTGGGCTTGCCCGTCTCCTTCTCGCGAGGCATGTTGATGTCCATGATTTCTCCATACCTGTAGGAGATGAGAATGGAAAGCATACGTATGGACTCGTCACCCACTGGGAGAATATGGTGATCACATCGCCTTCAGTGAGCTCGCGATTCAGGCCGCCAACAAAGATGTAGGCTGAGTCCTTGTACTCGTCGTGCCAAGACGCGCCGCTCAGTCCAAGCTCAAGCTCGCGTTCGTTTATTCTGTTGATTTCCTTGACTACACTGCAAACATTAGCACCAGTCCAACCCCCAGCAGACGCACGGACTCACTTCATGACGGAGACAATCAAGGAACAATGGCATCCCGCGTGAGAGAACACGCACGTTGCCGAGCCGGTCCAAGCGGCAAATTTAGAGAGCTCGTCCTCATCGCGCCCGATCTCGCTTACAGCCAGCGATAATGGCGTCCTTCTCACTCCCGACGATCAACGACAACCCCGATGGCGGCTGGGGACCATCCTCCTCCAATCTGCCCGAGCAATTCAAGTTCAAGGACATCCCCTACGCCCCGTTCTCCAAGTCGGACAAGCTAGGGCGCTTCGCTGACTGGAACGATCTCTCCGCCGATGGGCGCCAGACTGCGGTTGGCTTGCCGTCGACGCAGAACAGGCAGGGTCCCGGTGGGCGCAGGCGCGAGGGCGCGCAGGCCTTTGGCAGCGGCACCGCGAGCGCGTTCGCGTACTTCCACGTCGAGGACGAGTCCTCCTTCTCCCTCGTCGACAACAAGGGTGTTCCCGCGCGCAGGGGAGGTGCCTTCACACGCGGACGCGGTCAGGCGCGTGGCGGCTACTCGTCGTACAGCAATCGCGGTGGCGGGCAGCGCGGCGGCCGGGGAGGACCTGGCGGTAACAGGAACTACAACCAGAGAGGCGGCGGTAGACGAGGCTGGCGCGACTGGGAGAAGGTATGTGCTGACAAGATCACGTTTTGTTCCCTGCTGATCCGTATTGCAGAACAACCGCACGCGCGAGTCGTCTGTGGTCGTCCAGCCGTCATGGCAGGTCTTGGAAGAGATCGAGTTCCATCGTCTGGCCAAGCTGCGCTTGGAGGTCGAGGAACCGGAAGATCTGTACGTCCCCCGCACAAAATCGTGGTTTACAATGCTGACCTGCCCTTAGCGATTCCTATGGTCGCCTCTTCGCCTACGACAAGACGTACGATCGCATCACCACGAAAACTGAGCGTCCTCTGCAATTGGTTGACCGCATCAAGTACAACACCACTACCACCGATGACCCCGTCATTCAGCAGGTAAGGCTCCCTCCGTGACTTCTGCAGGACTTGTGCATTGACCTTTTCCCTCAGCTCGCGCAGAAGAACGTCGCCACGGTGTACGCGACGGATGTCATCCTCGCAGTCCTCATGACCGCTCCCCGCTCTGTCTACCCCTGGGACATCGTCATTGTCCGCGAAGGCAACAACCTCTTCTTCGACAAGCGCGACGGTGGCCCCTTCGACACCGTCACCGTCAACGAAAACGCTTCCGACCCTCCTCAGGACCCCGCTCCGCCCAACCCGAACAACCCGCAGGAAAAGCTCGTCCCCGAGGTCCCCACCATCAACACCGCGACCTCGCTTTCCCTCGAAGCTACCTACATCAACCAAAACTTCGGCTTCCAGTCCGTTAACGAGACGACCCCGCCCCCGGTCGAGCTCGCGCATCCGAACCCATTCTATGGTGATGAGACTGAGCCGCTCGCATCCTGTGGTTACCGCTACCGTGTCTTCGACATGAGCGTGACGGAAGAGGAGGATATCAAGATCTGCGTACGCACTGAGGTCGATGCCTACCTCCCCGGCCAGGGCGACCCGCGCCAGGGCAAGGGCCTCGCGACGATCCGCGCACTCAACGAGTTCGACCCGCGTTCGCAAGGCGCAGGCGGCGCGCCGGACTGGCGCACGAAGCTCGACTCGCAGCGCGGTGCTGTGGTCGCGACGGAGATGAAGAACAACAGCGCGAAGCTCGCGAAGTGGGCGGTGCAGAGCATCCTCGCTGGTGCTGATCTGTTGAAGATCGGGTATGCGGGATGGTGATCCTGAGGGTGTTGTCAGTGCTCACAGCTCCCTTAGCTACGTCTCGCGCGCGAACCCTCGTGATAACTCGCGTCATGTCATCCTCAGCACGGCGTCGATGCGGCCGACCGACTTTGCCGGCCAGCTGAACGTATCCCTCGCTAATGGCTGGGGTATTATCCGCACCGTGACCGACCTCTGCATGAAGATGCCCGAGGGCAAGTACGTCCTGGTCAAGGACCCCAACAAGGTGTGTAACATTCCATCCCTTTCCCGACCCGTCTTGCTCAACCTGCTCCAGCCCATGATCCGCCTCTACGCCGTGCCCATGAGCACCTTCACCAATGAGGACGAGGAGGGCGGCGACTATGACGAGCAGGAAGAGTAAGCAGCGTGTCAGGCGTTGCTTCTTGTACTTCACGACACACCGCACACTTGTTCATGCTGGACCTGTTGTACTAAACATGTTGTACACTCTGTACGATGCATAGGAAAAGAGGGCTTGTAAGACATCACATCATGATTGCCCTCCTAGCAGGGTCTCTACTGCGGCTTCGATGTTCGGGCTGGTTGTCACTTGTCAATTATCCGCACAAATGAGGGGAATAGGAACAACGACCATGCAAGCGAAAGCAACGCACCTCCTCTGCAACGTCCCCACCACCACATCTCTCCCCAAATCCGGGAACATCGTCGTCAACTGCACGACCTCAGACTCGGGCGGGATGCGCACGCCCACCCTGTCGCGATCCGCCCGCCCCGTCAGCCCGCTCACGAACTCGCGCATCACCGCGCCGCCGCTCGTCCGCACGCTCTGCATGCTCGTGCGTATTCCTTGGTCTGCTGTATGCGCACCCTCATCGTTCGTGCCCTCCCCAGGCTCCGCTGCCGCACTCGTCGACGTGCGCGCTGTCGACACCGGTTCCTCTGGCGGTGCCTCCGGGAGCGCCAGATTGGTGCGCCGGGGAGGGCGGGAAATGCCGAGCAGGGGAAGGAGGTAGGTGGCGCAAAAGCGGACGGTGGGCGGGGAGACGCGATAAGTGTTGAAGCCGATGAGGTCTGAGCGATAGAGCTGGCCGGAGAGGACGCCGATGGCGGCGGCTACAGCGGAGCCGGGAAGGTTGCTGGTAGCGAGCTGTGGAGGGTAGAGTGAGACGGTACCTCAGCCTGAGTATTGAGACGTATATGTAGGAGGGGAAACTGACCTGCAGAGCAAGCAAATAAACGAAGCTCTTGTTGCTCAGCGTTATTCCAAAGACGCGGAAGCGGTAAACGGAGGGGATCACTCGGGAGTACTGGTACAGTATGGTGAAGACAAGAGTGATAGGGCCTCCTGGTATGAAGTTGAGACCTAGTCGGTTAAATAGCAGTAGTGCACTGAATTCCAGCAGCGTCGAGATGAGTGAGGCGACCAGAGCGAAAGACTGACAGCGACATAAGCAAGCTATGAAGAGTGAGAGCGCAAGTGCGTACGCCATATTTGACGCTTCCAAATTGCCGTTCTACTTCGACGCCGACATAGAAGAACAGGAGCACAGCTAGGAAGAGGTCGGTAGAACTTGTGAAGGCAAGGTGATGGGCGCCTAATCTCCAGTACTACTGTATGTGAGTAGGTTGCATGTAATTTGAATCTCTTTCTCACTTGATGATCCCGAGATATATGGGGGACAAGCTTTTTGGGAGTTAGCGATTTGACAGGCTGGCCATAAAGGAAGTGCTGACCTGAAGATGGAAGTAATGCTTTACATCAAATAGACCGACAGCGATGGAGGTCAGGGCAGACGTGCATATTAGGCCTGGCAATGTTCAGAAGCTTCTGTGCAGAGTAGAGCAAGGAGGCTACCTTTAGTGACCGGCGCGTGCTCGAATGACATGTCGAAGTCCAACACGGCTCGGACACGGGGAGCGGGGCAAACGGCGTTCCGGCCCGGCACGCTGATCCAATGATCGGGGTTCCAAATGTGCACGCCATCCGGCTTTCCACCGGCGTCATTCTTGCTAGTCATTTACGAGGCTACTCCAGGTCCTTCTGCACGTCCTCGAGCCCCGGTCCCCACCGTCCCTTGTCTTCCGCCTCCATGTCCACCCAAGAACGCTCTGTCAAAATCCTTACCGACCCCGCGAAACCCCCAACGCGGGCCCTCGACTCTCTAATCGAGCAATCAATACACATCGTCCCGTCCTTCACGCTCGAATGCGGACGGACTTTGCGCGAGGTCCCCGTCGCGTACAAGACGTGGGGAAAGCTCAACGAGAATAAGGACAATGTCATGATCATCTGCCATGCATTCACTGGCAGTGCGGACGTAGAAGATTGGTGGGCTCTTCATCTATCGCATCTTCCTGTGATTAACCGTCTTGTAGGTGGGGTCCACTAATGGGGCGAGGGAAAGCCTTTGATCCCAACCGGTTCTTCATCTTCTGTGCGAACACGTTGGGTTCGCCGTACGGCTCCGCGTCGCCTGTGACCATAAATCCAGACACCGGACGCCCTTACGGCCCTGAGTTTCCTGCGACTACCATCAGGGACGACGTCCGGTCAGTCGAGTTGTCTTCTCATGCCCTTCAGCTTCAGGCTCATGTATCTGCAGCATTCACAAGCTGGTCTTGGATCACCTCGGCGTCCGCTCAGTCGCTGTCGTCGTGGGAGGATCAATGGGTGGGATGGCAGTCCTTGAATGGCCCCTCTGCACTCCTCCTGGATACGTCCGCCATATCATTCCTCTTGCGACCTCGGCCCGCCACAGTGCCTGGTGCATTAGCTGGGGCGAGGCACAACGCCAAAGCATCTACAGCGACCCCATGTATCAGGATGGGTTCTATACCACCCAACCTGCATCCGGGCTTGCGGCTGCACGTATGAGCGCCCTCCTCACCTACCGGTCTCGCGACTCCTTCGAGAGTCGTTTCGGCCGTAAGCCCCAGCTTCGACCATCGTCTCCCCTGACGCCACCCGAATCGCCAGGCGTTCACGCTCAGTCTGACGACGAATCGTCGCTCGCGCACCACAACGACGGGCACCGAAACGCAGGCGCGTCACGCCCGACGTCGCCTGGTGCGCCCAAACCTCCCATTTTCTCCGCGCAGTCGTACCTCCGCTATCAGGGCGACAAGTTCACGGCGCGCTTCGACGCGAACTGCTACATCCACATCACCCGCAAGCTCGACACGCACGACATCGCCCGAGGACGCGCGGTCACAGACGGGTCGCCCGAGTCGGAGACGCGTGCCCTGGCGAAGGTCCTCTCGACGCTCCCGCCGCGCGCCCTCGTCATCAGCATCGCGACCGACGGCCTCTTCACGCCATCCGAGCAGCGGGAAATAGCCGCGTCTATCCCCGACGCGGAGCTCGTCGTTATCCAATCGCCAGACGGTCACGACGGTTTCCTGTTGGAGTTCGAGCAGATTAACACGCACATCTGCAAGTTCCTTCGTCGCGAGTTCCCCGAGTACTACGCGAAGGAGCTGCCGGAGGATAACGAGCCGGAGACTGGCTTTGAGGTCACGAAGACGAGTGTCTTTGGAGAGGCGGAGGCGGACGTCGCTAACTGGTAACGCCGGTCGGTGGTTTGGTGTGGTGGGCGCGCTCTTCGTGCTTGGCCTGGGTGCCTTGGAATATTTATTGAGCGCTCGTTCCTGCGTCCGGAGTAGAGCAAAGTGGATGCTTCTGGGACAGTGCTGGCTTTAGACCTATCCAACTTGCAATAGACCTCCGAAGTCCAACCTTGGGGCGGTCGAATTTGTATCGTTATACCTATATTATGGGATCCAACTCCTTTTAGGATCCAACTCCTCTCGTAGTAGTACACATATCTTACCCTGTAGCCTTAGGATCCAACTCCGATATCCACCTATCCGTTCCGACTTTTCGATGTCAGCGTGGGTGTGGCCTTCATATGTTCATCCGCTAAATTGCGTACGTGGATCCCTGATTCCCTCCTCATCGCGGTAAAGGGTAGGCCGGCGCCGACTGTGATATAGTCCGACACAATCTACATATGCCGCGGGCGTCCGCTCCCAAGTCCGGACGGTCAAACGGACAGACACTTCATTGTACCGAGATGCATCAGAGCCCTCGTACTTCCTCAGCACCTGCAGGTCGCAGTGAAACGTCCGAGGTCGATTCAGAGAGCTCAGCCAGCTCATCAACGAAGAGGGTTCGCTCTCGCGTCCAAAACGTCCAGGGAATTATTCCGAGGCCTGTACACGTCAAGCAAGCCCCGTGCTGTGGCATGGGCACGGCGTCGCCGACCGCACGGCGCAGCGACGGAACGTTTGATGCCAGCCGCGTGCAATGTTCGACTTCATTTTGCTCCCGCGGGCCCGTATCCCCATTTGCGCGGGCCTTTGTGCGCCGCCCGACTCGAGCCAGCATCGGTGATGGCGGCCTGACGCACTGATCCAGAGACGAGGCTGCTTGATTCCACTCATCTCAGCGATGCGATCAACACACGAGCGTGTTCCGCTTCCAGCACTTTAGGCCTAGGGACGGCGGAGCCGCGCACTCATCACCTTCGCTGCCCTGCGCGCGTTTCAGGGGCGCCCACTGCGAGTGCGAGAGTCCCACTCCTCGTCGTCCATTGACAGTCCGGTCGTCCATCTCAGTTTGAGTTGCATTAGGCTCGCAGGCTCTCCGACGCTGATAAATGCTGAGATGGGGCCGGATAACGTGTCAGTGGGACTCAACAACGGACGGTGGCGCGTAAAAGCACCGTGCGATCTGCGCTGGCTGCGCTGCAGATGAGCAGAGGCAGCCGTTTGCGGGGTAATGAATAGGTAAGGTATGCCACAAAAGCTTGTTACCCTTGGATCCTGGGGTAATATGAACGGCGCCCATTGGCATCGGACGTACCGGCGGAGGAGCGCCAAATGCGATGCGAAATTCGCCAGCAAGCGCTTGTGGCGGAATAGATCTCCCTCTTTACCCATTCGACTCGCGAGCTCTTTTCGAGCTCGACGACGGGCGTATGCGTCTGACCAAGCGGACAAAAGGGTTGTATAGCCAAAGTCCCTGCGTCAGGTATTTTGGTCGGATGAGAGCATGACAGGACCAACCCGGACTGTAGACAGGAACTAGGATGGATAGATATCACTCACTAGATCTGCAGAGGTATAGAACGCCGGCGTTGGCACGGGGCTTGTTGCAGTGCATTTGGGATACAGCGGCCCGCAGTCTGCCGCGCTCAGGGTGTTGGACTATGTGACCCTCCCGTGACGACCACGTGATACGTTACACACTATATATACAGATATTAGCTACCGCTTTCCTCAGTCGTTCTTACTTCTATCTACCCCGACGACTGAGACCGACGGTCCCTCCAGGTCGACGGTGTCCCGTTTATCAGGTTATGAGCCCTTAACTCGAACGAGACCACCTCGCCGACCTTTCTGTGACCTTTCGGACGACTCGCCTTTCCCAGAATGACCAGCCCTGCCCCGGATCGCCTTGTGGACGTCGATTTCCCGCGCGCGGCGGACGTCGGTCCTGTTTTTGCCTATCCGACTCCGATCTCGCACCCGCCTAGGCCAATCCCCTTCGCATCGACTGCCCACGACCTCTCTGATCTCGCTGCCATGCACTTCGAGCCCACGCACCCACTGGACATGCCGCTGGAGCCCGAGACCCTTACATATCTTCCCGGTTCGACTATGTCTCTCCAGCATCCTTCTTCTCTTCCTCTTCCTTACGGCTCGTATGCCTACCCTCCTGCAAATCCGTTCCAGTCGTCCTCCTTCGCCACCACTACTCCGGCGTCCGTGCCGGCGCCTTACGCGCCGTGCGCGGATGCTGACTTCGTCCCGACGCGTCTTGATCACGTGACGGTGTTGCACACGGGGTCGTCCAACATGGAGCCTCGGGCGACACCGCCCATAGCCACTTCTCCGCGGGTGCACTACGGATCGTCCTTACGGGAGTCCGAGGCATCACGCATCTCTTCCCCGGTACACACGAGGTCGCCCGCTGGGCTGCAGCCCGCTGCGGGGCCGAGGGTGCCGGATTATCCGTTCCACTCTTTCCCCTCTCATCCGTCTTTCCATCCTTTCGCTTATCCCGGATCTCATCCCTCCATGCATCCTTATTATCACGCTCCTCCCCCTGCATCGTATTTCCACTCTCCGTATCACCCTGCCTCGTATTGCCCAGCGCCGCCAATGCCTCCGCCGATGCAGTGCCAGCCGCCGCCGCCGCCTCCGGGTTCGATTCCTGGTGCGGCGGTCTCGCCTGCGGTGCTTTCAATGCCCGCTGTCGCGCCTGCATCCCAGAGTTCGCCGGACGTTGTTTATGATCCTGAAACCGTTCACCCCGACCATCCAGCTCATGATCGTTCCTCTCCTTATTCCCCTTACGTAGTTTATGGTGACCCTACATATCGCGTACCTACGGTCTCATCGGCGCTCCTCGACATCCCACTCCTCACGGGTCGTGAGAACTTCACGAAGTGGCGGGAGAACACCCTCGACGCGGTCTCAACGCTCTCGAACACGCTTTTCCGTCACCTCATCGACAAGGCTCCTCCCTTCGACCCGGAAAATGGTCCTCCTGTCGCTAAGGACGTCCCACTCTTCTGCCCAACGCGTCTACGCACACGGGAGGATGTCTCGGTCGCCTCTATCTGGTGGGATGCGGACTCGACGGTCCTCACGATATTGCGCAAGCGTATCGCGCCCGGCCTCTCTGTCGGTCCCATGTCGACTGACGGTACGACGTCGCGGAAGGTCACGGCGCGTGACTTCCTGGCGTCCGTTGATCATTGGTTTGGGCGTGGCAACGCCTCTACGATTCAGCTCCTCAAGAATCGTCTCCGCAATCTCACTCCGCGCTCCGCCTCGGCGGTCGACATGCTGGTCTATCTCGACTCTTTCCGCGCCGGTCTGTCCGCTATTCGCCAAACGGCCGGCACCTCACCTCTCGGCGATGTCGACTTCGACGCCAACTTCTGGTTCATGGAGAAGCTGCCCATGTCCGGCGAATGGCCGAACCTCATCACGTTCATCCGGGACGTCACCGACACTGGGAAGTTTGTGAAGCCCGTCGACTTCCTCGATAAAGGACGGAGTATGGCGCTCGCCTACCATCCAGACAGCGCTCGCGGCTCTGGTCCTTTCGGCAGACGTCCGCCTCCTGGTCCGCGCCTCCCGAATCCAGCCGGTCAGCGTCCGCCGCCTCCGGCTGCGGCTCCGCCGCCTGCGCCTGCGTCCACACCCGTGGTCTCTCCTCAGGCGAACATTGGTCCCTATCGCGCGGTTCCCCCCTCGGGTGGTCGTCCTGGCCATCGCCCGGGCCCACCTGCGGCGGGTGCTCGCACCGGTGTTCCTACCGCATTTGTCGCCGCTCCCGTGGACTCTGGGGGTGGTGGGGGATCGACTGGCGCCATACCTGTACCTACTGCGCCGCCGGCGCTGTCTGGGGTAGACAGCGCACCGGAGCTTGTAGATGATTTCGTGCAATTCAACTCTTTGTCGGCTTATTCTGCGTGTGCCTTCAGCACCATCTCCAACGACGTCTCTTCGCTTGTTGGCAGCTCTTCTGCGCTCGCGGCGACGCCCGTCTCGATGACCTCTTTCCTCGAGCTTCATCCCGGTATGCTGGATACGGGTTGCACGAAACACATATTCCGTACTCGTGCTGACTTCCACGAGTACGATGACCTCGCATCGATGCAGGTACAGACCGCTTCGAAAGCGAGTCTGTCTGTCCGTGGGACTGGCGTCGTCCTCTCTCGTGTCCTCGCCGACGACGGACAGTGGTACCCGATGCGTTGGACTGGCGTTCTCCACGCGCCAGACTGTCCGGTCAACCTCATATCGGTGGGACAGATGTGCGAGAAGGGATTCACTTTCCAATGGGGATCCTCTGTCTCCATCCTATTCCCGGCCCCGCTGGGTACAACTCGCGCAACAGCCACACCGCATGGTCGCCTACATTTCCTTCGCATGGAGATTGTACGCACCAATCCGTCGCTCTCTCTCGAACTCGGACTACCGCCTATCGAATTTGTCGCGCCTGTCTTTGCGAAGGCCGTTCCTAATCAGGAGCTCTGGCACCAACGACTTGGGCATCCCAGCTGGGACTCGACGAACAAGATGCTTGCCTCGACGCAGACCTACGCGACTGGGATTGCTGTTGTTGGGCAACACTCAGCGTCTCCGAAATGCGTAGGTTGCTTGCTCGGCAAATCCGCTCGTCCAGCTTTCGAGAACCCTGCGAATCGCGCCTCCGTTCCCAACGAACTCCTGCACATGGACACATGCGGTCCTTTCCCAACCGCCTCCTTCGCCAAGTTCATTCACGCCTGGGTCGTCGTCGACGATAAGACAAACTGGGGCGAATCTCGAGGTCTTCGACACCGAAATGACGCCTTCCATGCCATGGTCGAAATCGTAGCGGAATGGGAGCGACAGGCTGGGCATCCTGTACTCCATGTACGCTGCGACGGCGCCCTCGAATTTATTGCGGGCCGCCTCGAAGAATTCTTTCGCGACCGCGGTATCGTCATCGAACAGACGGCACCCTATATTCACCAACAAAACGGCAAAGCAGAGCGTTACATTCGCACTATCGAGAACACCATGAAGACTCTTCTAGCTGACTCGGGCTTGCCGATGGTTTTCTGGTTCGACGCCTGGTACTGCGCCCAGTACTTGCGCAATCGACTTCCCACCTCGACTCTACCGGACGGCATCACACCGTACGAGGCGCGCTGGGGCAAGAAACCCGACTTGAGTCATCTTCGAGTCTGGGGGTGCCGGTGCTACGCATACTACCCGAAGGAACTGGAGACGAAGGGTGGTCGACGCATGTATGAAGGTATCTTTGTGGGGTACGATGAGGCCCGCAAAGGATACTGGATCCGCGAGTCGGCTAACGGCCGACTCCAATTTGCTCACACGGCGGTGTTTGATGAGGGCACGCCGGGTGCGCTACGACGCGGCGCGATAACCGCAGGCTCTGTTGAGTCTGCGCCTTCGCCCTCGTTGCTCCCGTCTGCAGTCCACGATCCTTCGAATGGGGGATCGTCTGCTGTGGCGGACGCCGCGCCTACGAATCAGCCTACTCCTTCTGGGGGTGCGCTGGTTTCCCGCGAAGGTGGTCGACTGCGACCGCAGGCCTCGCTCCAACTCACGGAGAAAGGCCAGGCTTATGTTAAGTCCCTCCGAGCTCGTACCTCACGACAGGTCGCCGGTGCTGCCGCGACGCAACACGCTTCTATTGCCGTGTCGCCTACACTATTTGAAGATCTCTACGACTTCGCCGGCCTCAGCGACCTTGACCATCTTCGATCCCTCGCGGATATGGGGGTGTCCTTAGCGGACCAGGAAACTGAAGTCTATCAGCAACACATCGCCTATAACGTTCCGCGCTCACGTCTATCTCCGACCTGGGACCCGCGTCGTCCGCCACGAAATCTCACTGAAGCGATAGCGCGTCCGGACCACGCCATTTGGTGGGAAGCTTGCCGGCGCGAAATTACGGATATTAACGCGAAGGGAGTATTCGAACCTTGCGACTTACCGAAGGGCGCTCGTGCTCTACCACTCCAATGGGTATTCGCCTGGAAGGCGGATCCGGTCACCGGTAATCCTTGCCACCTAGCGAAGGCTCGCATCGTTGCAGGAGGGAACTTCCAACGCCCTGGCGAGTACGGCGATACGTACGCGCCCGTCGTTCGTACAACCAGCCTCCGCATCATGGCCGCCTACTTCAACTACCGCAACTGGTTTATGAAGCACTTCGATTTCCGAGTCGCTTTCCTCAACGGTATCTTACACCAGCGCGTCTATTGTCGCCAAATCCCCGGCTTTCCCCTCAAAGATCTATCTCACGTCCTACGCGCTATCCGAGCGATCTACGGTCTCAAACAGTCCGCTCGCGCCTGGTACAACGCACTACGCGCCGCGCTCGAGGAGATAGGTTTTATGGTCTGCGACGTCGACCAAGCCGTCTTCTACGCATTCTGGACGAAATCGCCGGACTCATCCGTACCCCTAGTCAACGGCACGCTAGACATGATCATCGGTATCCACGTCGACGACGGTATTTGCGGTACCAACTCCGAGGCCTTTTACGACTGGCTCATAATGCGACTTCGTCAATACTTTGACCTGAAAGACCTCGGCAATCTCAACGTCTTCCTAGGCATGAAGTTCCGTCGCGACACCGTCTGCCGCCGACTCTGGATCTCGATGGAGACCTTCATCGACGAACTCCTCGAAGCGAACGGCATGAAAGATTGCCACAACCACGATGTACCGCTCACGATGCAACCCGCCGATGTAAAACCGCACCCCGAGCTCTTTCCCCACCTATCCGACTCTCAGGTCAAGAACGAGTTTCAGTCCCTCGTCGGCTCATTCAACTGGCTCGCCATGACTGCGAGACCAGATCTCGCGTTCACCGTTACAGCGCTCGGACAGTACAATGCCAACCCTTCCCGGGGTCATCTTTTACTCGCGAAGGGCGTCCTACGATACCTCCGGAAAACGCGTCATCTCGCCCTACAGTATGATGGTCAGCTCCCAGCCACAGCGCCTATTATCGACTCATCTATCCCGCCGCTTGACACAGCACTTCGCACGACTGGACTCGGATACAGTGACGCCGACTGGGCTTCGGACTCCGCGACGCGTAAAAGCGTATCCGGTTTCTCGATCTTCCTGTACGGTGGACTTGTCGCATGGTCAGCAGTCAAGCAGAAATGCGTGGCGCTATCATCGACGGAGGCCGAGTACGCCGCCATGACCCACCTCCTGCGCGAGGCGCTCTGGTTGCGACTCTTCGCCCGGGCTATTCATCTGCCTCTCCCGACGCCGTTTCCCCTTCGGGTGGATAACCGCAGTGCACTTTGTCTCGCAGAAGGAGAAGGCACGACGAGTCGTACCAAGCACGTTGACGTGAAGTTTCATTTTATTCGTACATACATTGACGACGGTTCCTTCTCACCCTCCTGGATTCCTACAGATGAGATGGTAGCCGACATACTTACTAAACCACTCCCCGCTCCTACCCACCAGAAGCACTGTAAGTCTCTGGGTCTTGTTTCGCTTCGCTGATGGGGGTGTGTTGGACTATGTGACCCTCCCGTGACGACCACGTGATACGTTACACACTATATATACAGATATTAGCTACCGCTTTCCTCAGTCGTTCTTACTTCTATCTACCCCGACGACTGAGACCGACGGTCCCTCCAGGTCGACGGTGTCCCGTTTATCACAGGGCGACCCAATACGAGCGCAAACGCCAGCCCTATAGCCTCACTATACGCATCCAAGACGAGGATGTGTCACGATGAGTTGTCGCAGGCGTGACGCAGTGTCATATGTCAGAGGCCTCCATTCAGGTTATACTTGCATGGGAAAGACGTAGGACGGGCAAAGCCTGCGGGGCTGGAGCCACTTGTGCGTGCTCCCGAGGCCGACTCTCGAGATGGACCGTCCGCTGAAGCTACTGAAGTTGACAGCCTCCGCGACTGGCGCACCCTGTTTCAGCCCGGTCAGTGAGGCTTCACGAGCTGTGCCCCAGTGGATACGCAAGTGCGCACTCACCATTCGATTAAAAGCTGCTAGAGGCGTTTCTGTCAGGTACAGCCTCTCCGCTATGGATTTGCCCGAACGGTGTCGGTAGCAGCATGGGCTGATGCGCCTCGAGCGCCTACCTCGAGGAGCATAGCCTCCATTCATTATGTAGGACCACCGACGCACAGTTAGACGCGTCAGATGGACATGACTGCCGTGAAGGCGTAACGCGTCGTTAGCTAGAGAAGGTCTGCATACTTGCTAGTGACAGGACCGGGGCAGTACTTGGCTGCGAGGCAGAGTCGCCACCGCGTCATTCCCCGCGGCTGTGTGTCCAAATGCGTTAGGTCAAGGTAGGCAGTGACTCACATATGGAATCGCAGAGCACTGCCGACGCCAGCGGAGGAATAGGGTCAGGCCCCGGCATTGGGCTAGGAACGATGACACAAGTCCGAGAACCACGACGCTCCCCTTCTCGCTCGCAGAAGCGTCGGGGGCGATATACGCCCTGAAAGCAAGTGGATGTTCACGAGGGCCGGCGTGGGCGGGCAGAGATGCTGCCGGGGGCTTCTGCTGCGAGCGCTATCTTCGTTGAGTGGCCGATGTCCACGCGATGGGCGACCGATGGTGCGCGTCACGCTGCCCGACCAGCGCGAACGCGATGCAGGCGGCGCCTACCTGACCACGAGATACAGCATCCTACTGGGTAAGTCCGCGGCCACCCACGTCTAAACGGCAGATCCATCCCTGTGCGGCGGCTCTAGTCGCAATCGCGAGCACAGGATGTCGATGAATCATCGCAATCCTCCATCCATCCAGTCCACCGTGCATGGTCACATATTCAGAGAGAAGGTTCGCGTTTCAGCGGCCCAAAGAGGCCTGCGGTCGGCCGCCCAAATGGTCAGGCCTGTTGAGGCTCTACAGCTGAAGGGCCGCTTCTTTTCCCACCTCGTCCTGGTGAGCGTCACCGTCAGCGGTTCGCGCAGTGCGCGGGCGATCACGTCACGCCGATAACAGGTTCATCACCAGTTCGCGAAGGTGTGCATGCCCGGCCGTCCAGCTGGGACGCGTAAGGGACGAGGAGAGGGGGGAAACCTCAACAATTGTGAGCGGACGGGGCTATGTGTCAACGGAGGATATCGCACGGTACGTGTTTCGAGGGAGGCATACGTCGGAAAATCAAGGAGGAGGAGAGGTCCGGGACGAGGAGGAAAGACAGGCTGGGACGCACATCATCAACGCTGGCGTTTCCCATTGTTCTCGTTGACAATGGCGGCGGGGTCGGGAAGCCCGATGCGCGCCCACCTTCCTTGCCATGCCGACGGAAGATCATGAGTGCCGCCGGCACGATTAGATTAGATAACAACGTCTTCTTTGGGCGCAAGTCAAGCGCTGGGCAGATGCTGCGGGCATCCCGAAGCGCCCAGGAAGCCTGGTCTTCTTCATACAGCCGCTTTCCTCGAAGAGGTGGGTCCCCCTTCAGTGAAGCTTCAGCAGGCGCCTAAGAAGGACAGACGAGAGCTCAGACGCGGGATGGTCAAGGCATCCCGCAGCACATGCACTGAGCGGGATGAGCAACGCCCTGGACCGTATCGGGTCAGTGGACGGTGACTCACCGAGATGCTTTGCATCTTCCCATCAAATCGGCGATTCGCGAGTGCACATGGATGTTGAACTTGTCCGGTGCGTCGACGCACGTCGTGGAGGGACCGTCCCGTCCCGCGCAAGTTTCAAGGGAGGACCTGCCGCCGTCTGCAAACGTTCCTTGCTGTCCCCTCTGCTGCAGTTTTTTCGGAAGGTGGAGCTTTAGCAGGCTTCTAATTCAGGGTCCTGGGCATGTGTGCACCTTTGAGGTGAAATACTCCTTCTAGTTTTCCGCAATCGCTCTGCACGTGCCTTGGCGACATGGGCCTCCTGCGAGCCTTTCGCCCCGAAGTCCCATCTAGCCCGCCCTCGGATGAAAACAATGGCTGGGGTCGGAACCCGACGAAGACTGCCCCACATTCGAAGATACAAGCGCAATTTTTTGGTCATTTTTCCGGGGCTCGCCGTCTGCCACTGGCTCGCAGACGATTCGTACGTGTACGATTCCGGGCTAGCACGTCTTTCCTTGCTTATCGTCCGCAGTCCACAACACGTAGCTCTCTCTCCCACGGTAGAGTAGTCCTAGTGACTATTATGTCAAAAGTAATGAAAAGGGGACTATTTCCTCGCATCCCGCACGGGCTGCGGGGACGAGCAGGACGAGGGTGGACTGCAGAACGCTTTTCGAACTCCGAACGTTCGTTATTTCGGGGGATTGCTTTTGCAGATGCAGAAGGTTCACGACCGGTGTGGTAGTGGTGGTGTATTTGCCTCCGTCGGAAGCAGAATAGACGCGTCGTGGGGTGGGCGACAGCTGGTGGAGAGCGCGAGTGGTTGTGAGCGGGAGGTGGTGTTCGCTGCTGTGCGTGCTTTGGGCGAGTGCGCTGGAGCGCCGGTAGAGAGCACTCAGACCGGTGTCCGAGCAGAGATCGTGGCTCCCGATGCGCTGAGGACGGTGGGGTAAGCATGTGGACCCCGGTCGAGGGGTGTCGGCGGTCCGCGATAAGCCATGCGCCATGCGATCTGCGCAAACCGGCTCGGTTACCCACGCTGGCTCGTTGCGGGATGGTGCTGAGTGCCGACGAGATAACCGCATTTGGGCTTGAGAAGAAGGCGCGTATAAGACCGCGTAAAACGACTCGACCAACCTGGTCAACACCTCGTCCACTTCCGGAGCGCGCAATGTACGACTCGTCCTACGCGTCCACCTACTCCGACTCGTCTCTCCCGCGCACTCCGTCCCCCCTCAACCCCGCCGCCGTACAGCTTCCCATGAAAGGCGCGCTCGACGTGCAGGAGCCCCTCCACTACCACGACCAGTCGATCAACCACGGCCTCTTCAACGTCGTCGACAACCCCCACGCGATGCTTCCCGTCGACGACAACGCCGTCCCCTCCGAGTCCTACCGTCCTTCCTGGCAGAATCCCCCGCGCGGCTCTCTTATGCAGGAGCTGTACGACGGCGAGTCTGCCGCTCACGCGCGCCGTGGCATGCACTACATGGGCCCCCCTCCGATGCAGCACGGTGGCTGGAACCACCACCTCACCCCTGCGCACGGAATGCAGGAGCAGCACCACATGATGCGCCGCGCGACGTTCCCCTACGTTCGCCACGATCACCCCCAGAACTTGTACATGCAGCAGGCGCATATGATGCACCCGCCACACGACATGTACATGGACGGCGGTGTTCCCCAGGACGTCGACGTCTACGCGCACCCCCACTCGCAGATCAAGCTCGAGGACGAGCAGCGGCCCATGCCCCGCCACATGATCAACGGCTACCCATACCCCCATCCCCAATACCCGTACCCCGACATGGGTCCCATGTACCATATGCACGTACAACACACCGACGACGCCGCGTCGAAGGAGACCCAGTACCTCCGCCGCCGCTGCTTCAACTGCCACACCACCGAGCCCCCGTCCTGGCGACGCAGCACGCTCAACCCGGGCAAGATCGTCTGCAACAAGTGCGGCCTCTACGAGCGCACGCACTTGCGGCCGCGCCCTCTGCGCTTCGACGAGCTCCGCGCTGGCAGCAAAACCCGCAAGGGTGGCCGCAACGCGAACGGCAAGAGCCCCAAGACGGCGAAGGCCGTCGTGAAGAAGGAGAGCAGGGAGGACCTCGAGGCCGCTGGCATGCTCACCCGGCGGAGCAGCCAGTCGTCGCTCGGCGCGTCGAGCGATCTCGACGAGAGCTGTAAGTGCCACTCTTCACTCCCTTTCACAATTTCCTAACCCATTTCGCAGTGGCTCTCAACTCCCCTACACCCCCGTCGTCCGGGTCCAACCCGGGCTCCAACTACAACTCCCCTCACCTGCCCTCATATCCCCTCTCCTCCGCCACATCCTCTTCTCGCGACTCGCACTCTCCACCCGCGTTGATCGAGGGTGGCATCCGCCTTCCCAACGCCTCTCTGACCGACCTCGGTGGCGGGCTCATGATGTCGCCTCCGACCAGCCGCTCCGCCGACCACTCCTCCCCGCTGCTGTCCGCCCCGTCTCACGACAACCGCTACCGGTCGTCGTCGCTCTCGCAGCAGATGGGCTCCGCGGCGGACTACGGCAAGGACGCGTGAGGGCGTCGGTACTTCTTCCCTTTCCTTCCCCTACCGAAAACGACGTGTTCGCGGCGTTTGCTCTACTTCGCGGTGGCCCATTGCTTATTTCTATTGCGCTATTTATTTGCGTATCACGGAATCCTCATCGTCTTGGATATTCTATGTCCTGTCCATTGTGCATACGCCCCGCGTCACCCACATACTACCTTTGCTGCTCCTCCCCCTCAAAATACCACCTCTTTCTCGCTCCTCGCTTTCGCACTTCATTCCAAGCTCTGTATAGTTGTTTTACTACTGTAGATAATATTCAAAAGGCGGCGCGACTCTGTACCAATCACTGGATGCTTAATGCTATGTATATATGGAAATATAACGCGGAGGATAGAACTTCGTTTGTTCGTCTGACTCTGAGGGCGTTGCGAGGTGGGCGGGACATGGCAATGGGCGCCTGAATGGAAGTGGGGATGTCTAGAATCGGGACTGCGGAGGTCTTTCGGAAGTTTCTGAGGCCACCGGCCTGCAGCTGTGGTCGCCAATACTCTCATGCGAGACCCACTCTCGCATGGACCGTGGCAGAACGCGCAATAGGCTGGCAGGCAAAGGCCGGCGCGCCAGTCACCTGAGCCCGCCGCGGAAGCAGATACGCGTCGGACCACCATTCGGGGGTTTGCGTGATCGACGCACGTGGCAGACGAGCCGCCGGAGGGAGTCCATCATGAACAGTGATATGGCGCCTGGAGGCGTTGATCCTGCTGCTGCTCCTCCGTTTCCCTTTGTTCTTGCTGCAGATCATCGCAGATGCAATGTCCTTATCACGAACGCCGCCTGCAGCCTCCCCCGCTTGGCGAACATACCGCCCTCCCCGTCCCCCTCCGTACTCCCGCCCGTGCTCGCACGTAATCCCTGTATTTCAGAGCCCGACATAACCAAAAGAGACGAGTCGGCTCGCGTGGAGCCAAGCTCGAACTTGTCTTCCGGCCCGATGGCCAATTCGCCCGCCTCTGCTTCTTTTCTTCTTCTTACAGGGACGGAAGAAGCGCACCATTGCGGATGCGGGCTCGCACGCTTGCGCATTCGAAAATCGCGATACGATAACTCATGTTCCTTCAGCAGGAAAATTTCTGGCTGTTTGGGGTCTCGAGCGCGAGACGAATGCACAGCTGCGACTGGACATCGCAACAACGTAAGTTGTCGGTGGACTCATGACCGTCCCCGCCCTCCGAGTCTTATCGTTGCTCCCAGCACCCTCCCCTCGTCGCCAGACCAATTGAATTCTGTGGGGCACACAGGTACCATGGGATCCGGATGCGTCTGTCTTGCCGCAAGTGCGCGCTTCCCCATACCGCATGTGAATAGCTCAAGCCCAGGCAACGGCCTGTGGGAGCTCCCCCGGCAATAAACCCCGTCTTTTTGGAGACGAATTGGCAACTTGTCGCAATCCGCCGTGCGGCTAGCGAGCCTCGACACGTCGTGGCAGCCTGGTGGATATCCCTGGACGACGACGCGTCCCAGGAAGCCCTCCAGCGTGTCCCCGATCGCGTTCAGGCTGGCGCTGGACCCTCGCGCTCGCTGGCCTTGTGCCGATATTGTACTGGGCTCGCGTCATGCGCGTCATTAAGCATCGTGGGAACCGTTGCTGGCTCGCGCTCTCTTGAATAACCGCGACTCGCTTCTCTCCGAAGCTAACGACATCCTCATCCCCTCCTGGTAAGTTCAACAACCCACGATGCGCGCCAAAAAGACTTCCGCCTTCGAATTCATTTACAGATCCCATTTTCGAAGCTTCGCGCTCGGAGACCGTTACCAGCGACATTGGAGGTCTTCTTGTCGCGAGAGCGAGCGGGGTCTGCAGGCCTTGGGGTTTGTGCAGTGCGATAAGACATGCCTCAAGCACCCTGGCTCTGCCCGCTATCCATGAGAGGTGCGCCAATACGGCAGGAGCGCCCTGAAACACGTTCTCTACATGAACAAGTCCTCTCAGGCCAGAAAAATGACGATATCCCGGTACCGGCTCTTCGCCATCCTTCACACGAGGTCCTCGGACGGTCAGCAGGTACGCCCCTCTAGCTTCGATTATCTCGCAATAGCGACCGCGTGCTAGCGAACGTCCGATGACACGTCTATTCACCAAGAGCCTCTACGTCGAAGCTCAATGGACGCTACGCGCACGCTACCTTGTATTTGGACGGAAAGAATTGGGCTCCCCGCAGTCATTCAGCCACGCCTCCCGAGGCTTCGCCGCGCACGGGAGCGGGAGCGGGAGACGACCGCCTCGGGCGGCTCGCAGCGTCGGACGTCGGTGCGGCCGCCCTGTCCAGAAAACAACAGCCGCCGACGCGGTGGAGCGCGCGCCTTCCAAGAAGACACTCGGTGCGGGGGTGAAACACACCAGAACCCTCCCGATATGCGGGCAGGCCGCAGAGGAGGGAAGGGAGTGGAGCCCAAAGACTCGCCCAGGCACCCTTTGTATGTCTGTCCTGCTCGACAAGTCCCTCGACACACCGAAGCTTGGGAGGACGATGGCGCTTCCATGCCCAGCGTGAGAGGGCCGCCCTGTCGATACTGCGGCCTCAGAGCGGGACGCGATAGCTTCTGAGAAGCGACGGGCGAAATGACGCTGCACATACAATCTGGAATCGCACAGAGGTCGATCCCGAAGAAGGCGGGCGCCTACAGCGTCGAAGGTTATGTTCCCGGTAAGCTCGTAGGGCCTCAGTAAACCAGCTCATAATTACTGCACCACTGTCACCTGCAGTAATAAAACCCAGACGTCCTTCCAACGTTTACGTGCACGCTGCGCACCCGACCTCACACGTCGTGAGCGTTATCTTCGTCTGAGCGGGCGCCTGGCGCCTAGCCCCGGCGCGCTAGCTGCCGCGCGTTGACACGACGTGAGAACGGGCTCAGGCAGCGGTCCCACAAGCCTCAGCCTGACAGGACCCATTGACATACGCGAGCGCACCGCCGACAGCGGGGCGCAAGCACGAGTTCGTGTATAAACCTGTGAACCAGATTTGTTGCAGCCAGCCCATGCGTATCCTGAGACGACTAGCGCAAGGGAAGTGGGGCATAATAACGTTCGTGAGCACGCGTCTCCGCGGCGAGCTCGTCCGCGTCGGTGCCGTGAGTGTGTGCTGGTGGGAGTGTGTCACAAAGTCGAACTTCACGTGCTAGGTGGCAAACGTGCCGAAATTATTGTGCCCGTAGGATCCTGCACCGTTAGCCGTAGTTTATCGTGCGTTCAGCGCAATGAACCATAAGGAACGTATGGGGAAAACTCACCTTCTCTTTTTCTGTAGAGCATGGGAACGCAGGGCGCGCCGAACGGGCGCTGAAAGCTCCGTACGCTAAGCGCCGGCTGCCTACTATCATCCGCCGGCCAAGTCCCACCGCGCCTGAGGTGGGAGAACCGCAGGGAGACAGTGAACGGGAAGACACGCTGTCGTCAACCGCAGAACAGTAGCGAGCCCGGACTGTATACTACGGGTCAACAGAACTACCTTGCATTGTATTGGGCTTCCTCCCGCCCCTGGCGTACCGAGGGACGACGAACTGCGTTCGGCACTCACGCTCTCGCGGACAGTCACCCATTTCGGGCAAAGCAGCCAAGGACCTCGGCGCGCTAACTGTGTCAACTATTTCCTGCGTGGAACCTTGTACTCGCAGGTCAGGCGGGGGAATGTCCTAGGGCACGGGCGCGCGAGCGGAAAATTCGATAGCCATGTCATTGGTCCAGAAGAAATCCGTATAATGCCGTACATAGAACGTCCTAGGGCGACTGCCGCGACGGCTTGCCTCAAATTATGGTGGGTGAGCCATGCTATGCAAACCGCCGTGGGCGACGGGGTCGAGAAATCGGCGTACACGGACGCGACGAGCAAAGCCTGGACCGTAATTAATGGTTTGCCACAGCAGCGCGTACCCAATAGGCGCCGGCGATGACTGTCATGGGCTGCGCACCGGGCACTGAAATCGAAGCCTGCCTCAGTGTTAGGGTGCGAGGAATGGGAATGGAAGAGGGACATACGTGCTTCGCCGGTGTGCGTGTGTATGGCCTGCGAACGCCACGTTCTCAGCCATAGTCGCGCGCTCAATCAGCGCTTGACTGGTTTGTCCGGCCCTGGCTCGCTGGGGCCACTTTCCAAGTCAACGGTGCGCGCCGAAGCTGGGCTGGTACCTCTGCTGAGCATCCGCGCGGCTAGCGCAAGACCTTGTGCTGCTAGTCGTGAGCTGACCCATTGCGTGAGCGAGACGCCGGGGACTAAGCCAAGAAGGTCCTTGACATCCCAGTAGTCACGATGATGTGTAATGCGTCCTTGTTCGTTGAAGGTGAGGCGAGTTATTATAGGTAGTTTGAGGTGAAGCGGAGAGGGCACGGCGAGTGAAGTGCCGGGAACGGGAAGGGATGGGTGCTGTAATGAAGGTCCTCTCGAATGTGTGACCTCGGAGGGCGATATCAAGTCGCTGGAAGTATGCAGCCTGACTGCATGAGGTCCGTCGCGATGGATACCGGGTAGCAGAAGAAGATTAAAGGTATGTTCGATGATGATTTTACGCGTTCCGTCTGCTCCCAGATCAGCCAACTGCCTCCGAGGTGAGTATCAAAGTACTCACCGAAGCTTTCACTCTCGCAAAGGTCGCCAATGTCGGTCCAAGACCGGGTAGCACGTAGTAGAATGCCGGCGTTGCTCTCCGATAGGCGAAGGATAGTCAAAAGCATTGCTAAAGGTCGAGGGACGGTAAGATTGCCCAGTCTCTCGGATAGGGTATATATGTCCTCGATGATTGATCGCGAAGTCGCTGTAACGAAGGGATTTTCATAGCTGTATCGGGTGTATGAGTTCATTGCGAGATTCAGAAGGCATTTATCCTTACACTGTGTGAAGTTAGCTGCGTTGTGATCGTGAAGGACAGGACAACGCACCTGCGTGTGGCTCGTAAAATCGCTCAATGGCGTCCGCAGAGGATGGCTTGTCCCCGTAGACAGAGTGTGAGATCTCGACTGCGGTGGCGTGTATCGACAGAAGGGACATGGACGTCGCCGATGTTCGGACTGATGGTGTCGAGACGGACGGAAAGGCGACTGTCGAGGTCATCGTGTCTTGCGGATGGTCTGGCAGTGGCTTGTTCATGGTGGTGGGGGGAGCAAAGACACCCTCTTGACGCACGGCGCCGTCATCACCGCCATGATCATGTGAATACCCGGCCGTCTCTCTTCCTCCTCGGGAGCATCCAATCTCGGCCTTTCATGACGCCTACATCGCAGGGACTCCGCGAGTGCGCCTACTGAGTGTGTAGCCATTGAGACAGGTGTCATCCGATAGTCGAAGGGTGCCGGGGCGATTCCATAGGCCATGAGATGAAAAGGTGTCACGTATGCTTGAAGGCGAGTGCACAGAGGCCAAGTAGCGCACTAGCAGCCAAGGAGACCAGTGCGGGGCTCCGTAAATAGGGTTTTCGAGTAAGCGAATTCTCAGAAGGGTGCACGTCGTGGTGGTCGTCGCGAACGATGAGTACGAAGAGGCTGAGACCGGCTTGACCGGCCCGCCGGGCTCAATCCTGATTTCATCACTTGTGATCGGGCGCCTCTCTGCCCGCTCCCGCTGCCTCCCTCACACAAAATGGCCAAGGGCTCGCAGCTTTCGCAGCTCAAATCGGCCCTTTCTCAGGCTGGCATCACCGGGAAGCCTCAAAACAACAACAAGCGCAAGCGGTCTGGCAGCACCAGCGAGCGCGACAAGGAGAAGAAGGCTGCAAAACTTCAGGAGATTCACCAGAAGCTGAATCCCTTCGATGTCAAGGTCACGAAGCTTAAGCACGATGTGGGGGGCCGGAAGCTCAAGGGTGTGACGGGAAAGCCCGCGCAGAGTAGGCAGGCTGGGATTGAGCAGGTGCGGGATGGTTCACACCTTGCAGGTCGCGGTATGCTGACGGTGATCACAGCGGAAGAAAACCCTGCTGAAGGAGTACGAGGAGAGGAACCATGCTGGAGGAATTCTCGATCGTCGTTTCGGTGAAAATGACCCTACGATGACTCCGGAGGAGCGTATGCTTGAGCGATTCACGCGCGAGCGACAGCGCGCCGCGAAGGGATCTGCGTTCAACCTTGATGACGAGGACGAGTTGACCCACTACGGCCAAAGTCTGTCGAAACTCGATGACTTTGACGCGACTGGTATGCAGCTGGACGATGATGATGACGAAGAGGAAGGGGGACGAGGTACGTTCTGACTGTATGCGTTCACGCGTGGTTGAGGCTAACAGCATACTATAGGCCAGATCGACCGCGACATCGTTAAGAAAGCACACTTCGGTGGCTTCGACGACGACGAGGGCAGTGATGAGGACGAAGACGGCGAGCCCGCGCGGAAGAAGTCCAAGGCCGAAGTCATGGCAGAGGTCATCGCGAAGAGTAAGATGCACAAGGTAAGCTCGGGGTCGTTATGCATGCACATCGGCTGAAATAACCCCTCTATAGGCTATGCGTCAAAATGAGAAGGAAGCGATGGAGGACATCCGACACGAGCTCGACCAGGGCTTCGACGAGCTGCGTGGCCTGCTCTTCGCCGTCGATCCGTCCGTCGCAAAGCCTCCCGCTCCTTCCACAGAAGAAGACGCTCCCAAAGCAGATGACGCCGCCCCCAGCCTCGCCGACCCCGCCGCCGCCCTCGTTGACAACGACCCCGACTATGACCGCCGCGTGCGCGAGCTCGCCTTCGACAAGCGCGCGAAGGCGAAAGACCGCACCAAGACCGAGGAGGAGCTCGCGCTCGAGGAGAAGGAGGCGCTGGAGAAGGCGGAGCGCAGGCGGCAGAAGCGCATGATGGGGCTGGAGGAGAGCGTTAGCGAGGATGAGGGGGGTGGGAAGGGGAAGAAGAGGAAGAGGGGCGGGGATGATTTGGAGGATGACTTCGATTATGAGGGGGATTCGTGGGGTGGGATTGGGGCGGGGTTGGGTGGGGAGGATGAGGAGGAGGGAGATGGGGCGGCCTTGGAGGACGATGATGAGGATGAAGAAGGTGATGAGGGAGAGGGCAGCGATGAGGAAGACGTAGGTGATGAGAGCGAGGAAGAGGACGGCGAGTCTGACAGCGACGCCTATGAAGAGGTGGAAGAGGGCGACCACGAAGCCCTTGTCACCTCCAAAAAAGCAACGCCAAAGAAGAAGAAAGCGCCTCCAGGGAGCGAGCTTCCCTTCACCTTCCCTTGTCCGTCGTCCCATGACGAGTTCCTCGAAATCGTCGACGGCATCGCGGACAAGGATGTTCCGACTGTCGTACAGCGTATACGGACGTTGTACCACCCAAGCCTTGGCGTTGGCAACAAGGCGAAGCTGCAGGTACGTACACTTCGTATCCGCCTCTTTCCTCGTACTCATCAGTTGCAGGTCCTGACGAACGTCCTCATCGACCACGCACTCTATGTCACCGCTCCCCCACATCCCAATTACACCCTCCTCAACTCCGTTCTGCCGCACCTCTGCTCTCTCATCAAGGCCTTCCCTACCTCATCCGCCTCCTACTTCGTCGAGAAGCTCGTTCTCATGGACAAGAACCTCCGACGCGGCCTCTCCAACCCCCTCGACCCCAACGCGAAGACGTGGCCCGGCACCTCCGAGCTCTCCTTGCTTCGCATTCTCGGCGCCGTCTGGTCGACAAGTGACTTGCACCATGTCGTCGTCTCCCCCGCACGCCTGCTCATGGGTTCATACCTCGGCCTCGCGCGCGTCCGGTCGCTGTCCGACATTGCTAGCGGGCTCTTCCTGTGCACCCTGTTCTACCAGTTCGAGGAAGTGTCAAAACGTCTCGTTCCGGAAGCCATTAACTTCCTGGCGAGCACGATCGTGCACCTGTCGCCGAACGAGTACAAGGACGTCAAGTCGTTGCCGGGCAACTTTCCTACAGCCGACTTCCACTCGGAGCTGACGGCGCTGCTGCGGATTAAGGAGAAGACGGCCAAGAAGATAGAGCCGAGCGAGCGCGTCAACCTGGCGCAGCTGCTGTCGACGGGGTCGCCGACGGTGCAGGACAAGGTTGATCACCTTACGACGGCGATTGAGCTGTTAAGGAGATTTGCGGTGCTGTACAAGGGTCTCGATGCCTTCGTTGAGCTGTATCAGCCGATGCTGGAGCTTGTTGAGAACATCGATGCGCAAAGATTGTCAAGCGGACTTCAGGCATGGCACGCTTCTCCCTTTTGTTCGAGCGCATGCTGACCTTCGCATTCAGACCAAGATCACCACATTCAGGGACGAAGTCCGTCGTCTTCTCAAGTTCGCACGCGAAGCTCGCAAGCCCCTCCTCTTGCAAGCCCATAAACCTATCCCGCTCGCCACCTTCGTGCCCAAATTCGAGTCCACGTCATCCTCCTTCCTCAAGCACTCCGACCCGGACAAGGAGCGCAAGGAAGCCGCGAAGCTGCGCGCGCAGTACAAGCAAGAGCGCAAGGGTGCGATTCGCGAACTGCGGAAGGACGCGCGCTTCCTCGCCGGGGTGCAGCAGGAGAAGCAGAAGGCGAAGGACAATGCGTACAAGGACAGCATGAACCGCGTGTTCGGGTCGCTCGAGAGCGAGCGGGCGGAGCAGAAGAGGATGGACCGCGAGAAACAGAAGGTCGAGAAGAGGGCGGGGAAGAAGTAGGGTGTGTGCGTGAGGTATATATGTACCTGGGGATCCATGTATTGCTTGTCTATGTTGTTTGTTGTGGGTGCCGTTATTGATGGGAAAGCACGTGGGCGCGCGACGCGTCGAGGACAATGTCGAGTTCGTGCTTGCGTTACACTCTCATCGACATCGCGCTCGACGTGCTCATCTTTCGCGTACAGACGCGCATATAGCATGAACTCGTCTCAGGGACATGTTGTCCCGAACATGGAGAATCCAGACGCGTCGCCAGCCAAGCTGATCGAGTCCATACACGCGCTACAGAACGCGCTCGACGACTTCCACCCAACCAAACCCATCGATGTGGCGCATCGAAAGACGTGGATCGCGCTCCTCAATGGGCTGGCAACAAGCACCTTTGCTACATTTCCCTCTCCTGACGAAGTTGCGACCTGGGACATCCTCAGGGAGAAAGTCGCGTTGATCGACGTGACGCTGGACACCCTCCTCAAAGCCGTGAAGAACGCGCCGAGTATCTTTGCCGAGCAAACGGAAACTGTCAGGGAGATTTTTGCGCGACTGCTGCAGCTGGAAATCTCTCTGCAAGCTTGGCTGCAGGTCGAGATCAAGGACAACCAGCCGGATGTTACATCGCCGCAGGTCTTGGAGGAGAAGGTCGTGCAGACTACGGTCATGCTCTTGAGGACGATCGGACACACCCTTCATATGCTATCCTGCAACGCAGACCCCTCGCAGGGCATGCGCGACGCGCTTCGGGAGTCATTGGACATCGCGCACGGTGCGTATGCTACCTCTTAGTTGAAGCACCCAGACTAAGCAATATCTAGATTTGACGCATGAAGAGCTTCCCCTCACGTTCCCCATGGCCATTAAGATGCATCAGACCCCTCGACTCCAGCCACTGACACCCAAGGAGCTAGAGGACGAGGTACGTGGTCTACTATATATTACGGCCTCCGTCTGACGACTCCGTAGAATATCCATGCAGACCCCTCACGACTGCTCCTAGACTCGCGCTCATATGTCCCACTTTTTGTCGTCCACCTACTGCGCGTCGTACTCCTGAGTACTTCGCCCCCTTGGACATCATCCCGATACCTTGCCGACGCTCGATGTCGCCTCTCCGCGGCCATTGCGTCCGTGTTCGACCACCTGCTCTCGGCATCGTGCACGACAACGTTCAAGGTCCGCGCCCAGTGCCTCTTGCAGACACTGGAAGCAGCTATCAAGCTATCGGACGGTTGTGCTCATCCGCCGGTCGCTCTCGCGCAAATGTACAGGAGGCTTTTTATCTTTCGTCTCGCGCAGCTGGACCGACCAGAGTGGGCACAGCTTGACGAGAAGGTCCTCACGCTATGTCGAGAAAATGGTTCCTTCGTGATGCCGAAGATGGACCTGATGAAGATATTGGGTCTGACGACAGAGGAGACTGACAGTGAAGATGCGAAAGCGGCTCTGGTAGGGTAATCTATACGCTGGCACATCGAGATCGGGATTGACGAAGATTTTAGGGCTTTATCGCTCTCTGCTGCATCGAGTTATTGCGCGCAAACCCAGATGAAGAGGTGCTCGTGCATCTCCGGAGGATAGCAAACGAACTGGACCCGCGCAATTCTATAGGCATTTTGGAAAGACTCGAGCGCAGAGTCCTGGATATGCAGCTCGTCCACTCGAAGCCGGTGTCCAATTGGCGTGCCGATGTCCAAACGCTTGTGCAAGAAATTGTATCACCTCAAGAGATCGCATGGATGGACGACGATGCGGAAGACGCTGTGTACGTGCGCAGGGCGATTAAGGAAGTCCAGATTCGCCTGAAAAAGTAAGTGTAAGATGAAGTTTACGGTTCTACATCTGACATGACCACGTAGGGACAAGGCCCCGCAGACGATCGCGGCTCGAATGGCGGTCGCTAAACGCCTCGCGCGCCTTCCATGCCTCCTCGCGCACTGTGATGGGACAGACTGCGAGTCGCACATCGATCCTGCCGCGAGCTGCGTGCACAGGCTGCTGCCAGTCCTCGCCCACTTATGCGACCCTTGCGAAGAGGAGATCACGCCGGCCTTGAAAAGAGCTGTACTGGACCCTTTGGCTAGCTTCCTCAAGCACCATTCTTGCGACACGCCAGCCTCGCTGGAGCAGCCCACCCGCACTGTCATGTACGGTCTGGTCGATAAGGACCGCGGTGTACGGATGGCAGCAGGGTGAGTGCATTTGCCCACCTATAATATTAGAGCTAATAACCAGCTGAAGACGCGCCATGAAGGCCCTTTTTGCCGTGTATGACGCTGGCGGAATGGCGACAGCGCGCATAATGACTCCGATATTCGATGATATCTACCGCATCGCCAACCAAGGCAAGGCACCTATCACGGAGACACTCCTGCTGAGTGTCTGCGCTGCGACGAAGTGGGTGATGACCCCAACATGACAGCGCGTTGCTGACAAGTCATCAGAGCAGCGTCTGCGGAAATTCTCGGTCAAGGGTTCTGTTTCCTGATCGCGCAACTTGCTCGTCAAAATCCCATGATCAAAGGTATTGCCTTCACGCAGGTAAGCAGGCGATAATTTTTGCCCGACGGGCGCTTACTAACTTTCGCGCAGATCCAGTCGATGGCGCGTCACCAGAACAGTCATCCGTATAAGCTCTACTTGGCTCACATCCAGCGCATCGCCCCTTATGTGGCATTCCGGGTCTGCTCTCAGCCGAGCCTAATCGTCGAAGTGTGCAAAGTATTCGAGGTCCAACGGAGCGACTTCATCACCGTCAGCCACCCCTACACGCTGCCGCACCTCTTCGCAGCCCGCGAGGGCGAGGTCATCGAGCAGCTCTTCACGATGAGCGGTGGTTTACGCCAGCAGTTGCTCAACACTGCCAGTTTGATCCTCGCTCGAATATTCCGCGCATCCACGATGGAGCGTACTGAGGAGGCCATCCAGTTCCTGATAGCGTTTTGTGAGAAACACGCCGAGGGTGAAGGAGCCAATCTGCAGAACATAGTCCGCATTTACGAGGTCTCCACTCTCACTGAGCTTGTTGTCGACCTGGGCAGCAGCGACGAGGAAACCCGTGAGATCGTGCGTGGTTTGACGATCAAGCAGACGCACAATACTGAATCGCTTACAGGGTGCTGACGCGATAGTCAGGCTGCAAGAGGTTTTGGGAGAAGGGAGGTTAGAGCAGCACGTCTGGCTGAAGAACAAGATGCTTGGAGTGATATCGTGTGTCGGCAATATGCTGCAAGACAAGTCGGGCAAGAAGACCGCCGAGCAGAAGCGCATGATACTGCGCGGACTCGGCGCCTTCATCAGTCGCGTTGGACCAGCTATAAGGCACATTGCTCCTCAGGCGAGTGGATAGCTATTGCCGCGGTTTTCTCTCTGACCGGGTCGCAGATCATGGCGTGCTATCAAAGTGTCATATCTGCCCCGGAGCTGACGGAAGCCACCCTTGAGTCCTGGCTCATCTTCCTGCAGACGTTGGAGTGGGCGGATATTGGCGAGGTCGTTGGGACCACCAGCTCTACATTTGTCCTCAACTGGCCTTCCTTCACCCCCGGCGCGCGACAGATAGTTCGGCAGGCGCTGGAGTACCTGGTGCCGGCTGGCGAGAACACGTTAGGCCCCGCTCTACGGGAGTGCGCCGACTTCAGCGCCGTCGAAGAGCTCAAGGACATCCAGCGTCGTCTGGACGGACTCAAGATGCACATGCCAGCCAGCGAGAAATTGGACGCGATATTGGCCCGAGCCGTCAGCCTGAATATGACAGTCGCTCTGCAAGCCCATCTGGAGCTCAGGTCCTTTGCGACAATGAACAAGGCGTTCTTTGCTCGGCTCGCATCTGGCGACATGTTCGATCCCCTCATCGGCCAGGCGCTGTACGCTCTCATTACATCGGCCTGTCGAAACGGCGACGACAATGGACAAATCCGCGCGCTCGCCTTCGAATGCATGGGTATCATTGGCGCCATGGACCCGGACAGATGCGAGTTGCCGCCGGTTGAGACCTCGATGATCGTCATGAAGGACTTCGAAGACGAGGACGAAGCGATCGCCTTCGTGATCTCCCTCTTGCAGAATCTTCTTGTCGTCACTTTCCGGACAGCGACCGACACGAGTTTCCAGAATACGGTCGCATTCATCATCCAGGAGTTAATGAAGTTCTGCAAGTTCGTACCAGAGCTTGTATCTGTCGACCGCGGAGGACCAGTTTCCATCAAGGTCAGAAATCGGTGGAATAGCCTTCCGAAATTCGTCTCGGAGGTTATAACGCCCTACTTGGACGGACGGTTGGGTATCGGCGGCAACGCCGCTGGTTCAGACGCCATCGATCTCCCCGTTTACTCGCGAAAAGCGGAATACCGAGAGTGGATGCAGCATCTGAGCTTCCAGCTGATCGAAAGGATTACACAAGAGACAGCCTCCCGCATATTCTACCCATTCCGATTGTGTATCAGACACCACGACGTCGTGATCCCTCACCATCTGCTACCCCATCTGGTCCTGCACCTTCTCATATCGGGCACCGAGAACGACATCGACTTCGTTATGGGAGAAATTATAGCGGTCCTTGAGGACGTCGCTAACCCGGAGAGTCGCTCGACGCCGGAGAAGCGCCTTCTGAGTGCTCAGGTGCGAGGTGTTTCATGTGCGCTCCCGACATTTGCTGAAGTTGATTAGGCCGTCTTCATGTTGCTTGACCACCTCAACAAGTGGATACGCTTGACCCGTCAGGACATCGCCAAACGCAAGAAAATGGACCCCAGAAGTCGCAAGACAACCGTCCTGAAAGTGGAAGGCTGGCTCGTTCGCGTGGACAGCGCTCTATCTGCTATCAACGAGAAGTTGATGGCAGAGGCCGCCCTTGAGTCTCGCTCGTACGCGCGGGCTTTAATGGGCTTCGAGCGGCTTACCAGAACACTCCGCGAACGCAACATGACACACCCCGATCTTCCGACGTATTACGAGCGCCTTCACGAACTCTACTCGCATTTGGATGAGCCGGACGGCATGGAGGGCGTCTCCACCTTGATTTTGTCGCCTTCGCTAGAGCACCAGATTCGTGAACACGAGAGCACTGGCAGATGGACGTCAGCCCAAAGTTGCTGGGAGGTTCGTCTACAGCAGTCGCCGGACGATATTACCTTCCATCTCGGCTTGCTTCGTTGCTTGCGTAATCTGGGACATTATGGTGAGACCTCATCTGCCCCTCGAAGTTGCCTGAGCTGACGCTACGGGTAGACACTCTTCGAACCCATGTGCGGGGAGTCCTTGTTCGCCATCCAGAATGGGAATCAACTTTAGCAGGCTATGCAGTCGAGAGCGCATGGATGGTCGGCGCATGGGACGACGTCGCAGCACTCACTAGCGGGACGACAACGAACGCCCCACAGATATTGATTGCCAAAGTCATGCTGGCTATGCGAGAGGACGATGCCGCCCAGGTCAACGCTGCTTTGGAGATCGCGCGTGCGGCTCTGGGACGAACCGTGGTCGCTGCAGGGGTTTCTGGATATCGGCGGTCCTATGAGGCCACGTTGGACTTGCATATGACGCACGAGCTGGAGCTCATTTACCGGACCTTAAGAGACGACGACTCAGTGCGCCGACGCCACAGCATGGCAAACCTGATGCACGAACTGTCTACGCGCCTAGACGCGACTTTGCCTGCCTTCCGAATCCGGGAGCCCATTCTCAGCATGCGCAGGGCCGCGTTTTCGATGGAGTGAGTCTGTTCATGCGACCTTGACGGAATTCATCTTCTCATCACAATTCCCCCAAAGCCCGAATGCCGATTCGAATGCCTCTGATCAAGTAGGACGCCTTTGGCTATCCAGTTCGAAGATCGCGCGGAAGGCCGGCCAATGGCAGACCGCATATAGCGCGCTTCTCCAAGCACAACAGAGCAAAGCTCCATATTCTTTCATCGAAAGCGCGAAGTACGTGAAGGCGATCGGGGAGCCACTACGCGCGCTGCAGGAGCTCGAGAACTCGATGAAGCTCATCGGTATCCTGGACGACAACATGTACGACCTCACTGTCGATCAGTCGGAGCTCAAGGCCATCAAGGCCAAGGTACAGTTTTCGCGCGTACGTCTCGTCTTCTAATCGCTGATCACCCTTGTAGGCTCACTTGCTACGGGCTCGTTGGATGAATGAATCTGACCGGTACGATCCGAGCACCATACTCAAAGGCTACACCAAGGCGACAGACTTCAGTCCACAGTGCGTGGTCCACTCGCTTATGTTGCCGCGCTCTTAACACCACCTTGCTTCAGATGGGAAAACGGACAGTTCAGGTTAGGACAGTTCCACGACAACGCCTATAAAGACGTGCTGGAGAATACTCCCAGAATGGCGAGCAAGTAAGGCAGAGTTATGCTCCAGTAACGTCGTCTGATTCTTCTCTGTAGGCAGTGCCGGATGCTCTTTCACGTTGTCAAGGCGTTCGCGAAGGCCATGCGTTTCGGCTCCAAGTACATATATCAAACGGTTCCGCGCCTTCTGACGATATGGCTGGATATCAGCGACAAGCCCGAAGTCCTCGCGAGTACAGCGACCGAGAAGCCGAGGGCCGAGCCCGTAATTATCGACGTTTTCCGTGATATGTGTCAGTCCGTCGAGGACGCCATAAAGAAGGTGCCAGCGTACAAGGTCTGCCGCGTCACTTCATACATGGGTCAGTCGCTGATTGATTTTGCAGTGGTACACGGCATTCCCCCAAATAGTCTCGCGCATTGGCCTGCAAAATGGTCAGGCCTACCAGATGCTCTCCTCGCTCGTTTGTAAGGTGATCTCGGAATATCCAAATCAAGCCCTGTGGCTATTCGCATCCGTTGTAAAGTCGAAGCAAGAGCTGCGCAGGACTCGCGGAAGGGAAATCATGGCGAAGCTGCGGGTGCGTCGCCTTCGGAGTCCTTCCTATAAGTGTATTGACTTCGGACAGCATATGCCATCCGGTGGACGCTCTCATCTCGCGCAGATCATCGCTAGCTCGGAACTCATGACGACCAACCTGCTTCGTGTTTGCGAATACGGCGTAGACAAGGCGACGTCGTCGTTGTCTCTATCGAAACAATTTCCTGAGCTCAACAAGATAGGCCATTCAAACCTCATCATTCCCCTGCAAGAATCGATGACTGTAAGTCTACCACCGGCGTCCAGCGACGACGCGTCGCATAAGCCATTCCCCGATGAGCTGCCCACGTTCAACGGTACGTGCGGCTGTGGTCGTCTTTTCACCGCTAGGGATGCTTACGCATATCAAGGCTTCAACGACGAAATCGACGTTATGGCAACGCTGGCGAAACCCAGGAAGATCACTATACGTGGCAGCGATGGGCATACCTATATGTTCTTGGGCAAGCCGAAGGATGACCTGCGCAAAGACGCTCGCCTCATGGACTTGTTTGCTATGATCAACAAGCTGTTCAAGGCGGATTCCGAGTCCCGACGCAGACAACTACGTACGTGGAACGTCGTGCGCGATGATTCGAGCTAATCCGTGGATATAGAGATACGCACTTACGGCGTGATCACACTTAACGAGGAGTGCGGGTTCATACAATGGGTGCCGAACGTCACGCCCATACGGCCCATCTTGACCAAGCTCTGGGCCAGCCGTGGCATACCCGCTTATGTGAGTCGACAATCCGATGGATATCAACATCGTGCTCACACTTGTGCCCTACAGTACGCCGAATTCGAACAGGTTAATCAGGCTTGCATACGCGACTCGAAGATTGCCGCCAAGCTCTTTCAGACCCATATGCTTGCAAAGTACGGTGTTTCCGCACTGGCGACTTGAGCCTGCTAATTCTGTTCAAGGTACCCTCCGGTCTTCCATGAACACTTCCTCGAGACTTTCCCGGAACCGACGGCCTGGTTAACCAGCCGGCTGAACTTCTCGCACACGAGTGCAGTGATGTCGATGGTGGGCTACATCCTTGGGTAAGCCTGCGGCGACTATATCGTCGGACACCACTGAAGACTTCGCAGCCTCGGAGACCGCCATTTGGAGAACATCCTCCTGGACATCAATACAGGACAGGCGATACATGTTGACTTCAATTGTCTGTTTGAAAAGGTCTGAACTGTCTGCTCGCGAGTCTTCTCCAACTGAGTCAGTTGCAGGGGAAAGCTCTCACCGTCCCGGAACTGGTACCCTTCAGGCTGACCCAGAATATCGTTGACGCAATGGGCGTAACGGGAGTGGAAGGTGACTTCCATTCGTCCGAGACGACGGGGCTTTCGCTCAATAACTTTACAGGCTTCTATCGTATCAGCTGCGAAGTCACTATGAAGATCCTGCGAAACAATAAGGACTCGATCATGAGCGTCCTGGACGCGTTCATTCATGACCCGCTTGTCGAATGGGAGGAGGACAAACGCAATTTGGTGCGTCTCACGCTCTCTCCCTCGTACCGAGCTGACCGACTCTTATAGGCTCGTAGGCAGGAAAGACAGAAGAACGCCAATGCCATCCGGGCAAAGACTGACCTCAACGCGCTGGCGCACAATGCGCTGGGCCTGATTGGCCGGAAACTGCAAGGGGAGATTCAGGATAAGAGGGATAGCTCCTTGTGGAAAGAAGTCTCGACTGGGAAACTCGTGCAGTCCCTGATAGAGGAAGCAACGAGTCCCACGAACCTTGTAAGTCGCTGGTCTTATTCTCTTCCATCACCGCAAGTATTCATCGATATCGTCTCCAGGGACGCATGTACCCTGGTTGGGGTCCTTGGGCTTAGTTCTTGTGGTCCACCTGCGTATCTGATGCAGCATTTGTACTTGGTGTGCGCCACACTACGCCGTGCCTCAGTTTTCCCAAGAGACGCTTATCTTCACGACCATTGTTCTTTCGACAACGACTTGGCATAGTATGTACAGATACCTATAAGTTACATTACCCGTAGTCTATTTTACAGAGCCATCCGGGCGCGCAAGCCAGGCGCTCCCGAATTCCAGGCGGAGAAGAGCTACACGACCGACGTCCGCATGAGAGGGTATGTACGTGCACGCGTCAGATGTATAAGCAGGTAGTACAATAAGAAGCCTCAAAAAACAACAGTGGAGAACAAACGTGATCATACATGGGCGGCCAACCAGCCGCGGCGACATAAGTAACACATAAGTAAATAAGAGGGCATCGGCGGAGTTCGTTCGGAACGCGTCGTGATGGGGCCGGGAAGAAAAGAGAATAAGGATATCACATGGGGCCGTGGTTATATGCATCTCCGTAAGCAAACGTGTTGTAGGCCCCGGCGTTGGCGTCGGTGGCGTCGTAGCCGGCGGCATCGAACGGCAGAGCCGCGGGCGCGCCAGAGTCGTGTGGTATCGACCAAGTCGGTGCATCGCTAGCGGGCGCGGCGGCGGCGAAGCCGTGCGCGGACGCGTCGCCAAAAGTGCCCGAGTTGTAGTACTGTCCAGCGTCGCCGTCCTGGATGTTGACGATCATCTCGTTGTAGACCTCCAGGTAGTGCGCATCCTCAGCACTGAGCGGGGCGTGCACGAAGGCAGGGTTGACCGTGCCAGAGTTTTGGTAAGTCTGCTCGACGGGGGCGGCATATGCGGCGAAGCCGGATGAAGAAGAAGCGTAAGAGGCCTGGTCCACGTAGGAAACCTGGTCGTATGAGTAAGACGGCGCAGGGGCCTGGGCGTACGCGTTGGACGCGTCGTAGCTCGGATTCGTGAAGGCATGAGTGGGGGTGTGAGCGCCAGATGTAGAGATCTGGGTAGCGTCGTTGTACGCGGGTACAAAAGACGAAGGGTAGGGAGACGCGGTTGAAGGCGTCATAGAATACGAGGGCGTGCCCTGAGCGGGCGGCGGGCCGTCGTACGACCAGTTGACAAGTGTGGCGGCGACCGCTTCGAGCGGCTGCACAAGCGAAGGCGGCTGCATCTGCTGCGCGGGCGGCGGGCTCTTCCGATGCTGAGGAAGGCTGAGGAACAATGGCTGTCGATGAAATTCAGTTGATGGAAGGGGGAAAAGGTAGAACCGGACGAACCTCGGTCTTCTGGACGTCAACGCCCTCAGGGATCGTGTAGTGCGCAGAGTGGACTGGCATGGCGGACATCCAGCTCGTGGGCCGGGGGCGACTCGCGGGGGAGGCCTCAGGGGCGACACTGGAAGGCGGCGGCGAGGATGCGGGCGGCGAAGAAGGGGGATCGACCTCGACGACGGGTGGGTCAGAGACGCGCAGGCGAGGCGAGGGCACGTAGTCGCTGTCGTCGTCGCCGTCATCGTCCGCGTACACGGAGCGCGCGAGGACGTGACCACGACGCGCACTGCGCGCGACCCCCACCCGCCCACGCCGAAGGGGCCTGTACTTGTAGTGCGGGTAGCACCTCGCGTGCTCCGCCTTCTCCTTCTTGGCGAGCTCGTCGTATCGCCTCTTCTCCTCCTCAGAGAGCGCCTTCCACGCTTCCGAGGCGATTTTGGACAGCGTCTTGCTGGACTTGCCACGAGACTTTGACGTGCCACCGTTCTTCTTCATCGACGCGAGGTGCTTCTTGCAGAAGTCGCAGCGGAAGATGACGAACGCGTTACGGGGGCGGGGGATATATCCGGGGTCGCCGCGACGCGGGGGGTTCAGCGGCGCGTCGTCGCATTGGTGGAACTCGGTGAGGACCGAGGACGCGCTCGAGGTGGGCGAGGGCTTGTCGAGGGGCGACCAGGCGTCGCGGTTGCACTTGACACGGAAGGTAGACATGAGCGAGGACGTGGGGTTGTGTTCGAAGACGCCGCCGGGGGCAGGGGACCAGCCGTGGACACGGGCGGAGGACATGATGGTGATGGGGCGAGAAAAGTGGGAAGCAGGTCAGCGGTGCGCACCTCATTATATATTGTATTGCAGCAAAGAGCGTTCCTTTGTTCTCCTCCAGATCCGCCGGCCCCGTATTGCGGGATCGATCATGATCATTGTTCTCACACGCCCACGCCTGGTCCCGCACCGTATTACCCCTGCCCGATATGGATAGCCCGGCGTCCATGCCCAATTGGAAAGTGGTTCCTGCATTTTCGCTGGAGGCAAATTTGCGTCACACCTTTTTCCTCCGTTGCCGTTGCCGCCGGTTGCTTGCCTGTGCCGCAATACGCCGCCGCACGTGAGCAACCCCCCCCCCCGCCCTTCGCATTGAGCGGGCGACGACCACCAACGACGGCGACCATGCAGCCCGCCACACTTCCCCGCCCCCGCCCCTACATCTGGCGGCCCGCCGCCTCTCTTTCACCGTCGGCTGCCCCTGTGCCGGTCTGTCTTTCCAGATGCGTAACATCCACCTGCAGTCTACCCTGGGCCGCCAAAGTCTCATACCCCTTCGGGCGCATTTTTTGTGGTCGTTTGAGGGTCATAAGCAGGTGTGGGTCATAGATAATGACGAGCCACTCACCATCCCTCGACATATCGGCGGAGAACAACTAGACGGAAGAACCTGCCAATATACGGGTCCAGGCATTCTGGGGTAGCCACACGCGCAGGTCTGCGCACCCGGTCCTCGCGGGCAAGTAGCCGCCCTCGCAGATCTTCTTTCAGGGCTACCGCGCGGCGGGCGCCACGACACGTTGCATGGCGCTTACTCGGCGCCATATCTGCCCCTCCCACAACACAAAAAGAGGGGTTTTTGTAAAATCAGAGGGAAGCACACAAAAAGCGGCGAGATCACGAACCTTGACGCTGCGTATTCGCACGGGGCGGCGAAGACCGCCGATGCTTGCCATTTCTGGTCTTGCTGCAGAGCGCAAGGTCTAGCTTCGGGTGTGTTCCCACATGATTGCCCGGCGGGGCGGTGGGAGACGCAGATCAAACCTACTTCTCGATGGAGAACGCCTGTAGGCGCATGCACCTATGGGGAACCTGATCTGCCGTAACCTTTGCACACGCCATTCAGCTCCAGGAGAACTGTATCACACGCACTATTGCAGGATGACATGGGAGACCCTCTTTCAGTCGACGTCGATAGGCGAAGCACAAGTTTTGCCCCCGTTCATTGACAAGTACCTGGCCGATATGCAGCCCGACGCTCTCCTCCATTGTCGATGGCGCTCCCCAGACCCAAGGAGCCCGAAAACCTGCAAACTAGCGCGTTTTACCGTGAATAAATGGTCACCTGCTATCCGTAACTTGCATCAGGCATCACGGTTCTCCATGAATGTGAATCATGGAGAGTGGGTATGTTCAAGAAAGGAGTGGAATATCATTGGGCCCATTGTTCTCTGCGATATGCTCCGGGTCGACCAGGCCCGCCTCCGTCTCTCCTCTCCGTGGGCTGTAACATCCGCAGGGAGGATTCAGATTGGCGGAGGCCGACTTACTCGGGGACGCTCGCCAAGCACGTGCCATTGACGCCACCAACCCAATCCAGAGGAGCAGATGCCGCACAGTCGTCAAGGCATTGCAAACAGAAAGAGGCTTGCGAGAGCCAGTCGCATGCATCGGCGGTGCAGCCAGCGTCATAGCGAGTGTGCTCTAGAAAGAAATCCGACGCACATCACTCTCCTCGAACATCGTCCTAATCCCGGCGGCATATACACACGCCCAACCCATCGCATACCGATCAGCGCTATGCCGCAGCTAACCGCCGGCAAGCTGTTTCTCGAGTTCCCTCAGCTCGGCCTGCTTTTCAAACAGCACCTTGCGCATTGCCTCCGTCTGCGCGACGACCTGTTTTTTCGCCTGCTCCAGCCGATTCCATTCGTCCTTCTCCATCTGCTTGTTGAATACGGGGGTGCCGCCCTTGCTGGCCTCGAGTGTTCCCGGGGCGGCTATGTGGAAGGGGATGGGTCCCCTAGGCTTGTCTGGCAGCGGCGTAGGTGGGTGGGCGGTCAGGGTACTGAGGAAGTTCTGGAAGGGGTCGTTGAAAACGATCTCGTCGTACTGCCAGGAGTGGACCGGCCCGTGCGCGCGAGCGACCTCGATGGAAGGTATCTCGGGATCGCCAGGCGCGGGCCAGGGATGTAGCTTGAGGTGGTGGTATAGCTGCATGGCCTTTTCGCCCGCCTCGGTGACAAAGGTAATGCGGATGAGGATCTCAAATTCGCCCCAGCTACGAATTGGTCAGTACGACGGGTAAGAAGAGACGTGGGGTAGCGCACGCACCCGGTCTCGGTAAGCTCAAAGGGCGGCTTCTCGACGCCTGGAATGGAGGAAGGATGAGCAATAACGCGCGAGGGATGTCCAGCATACGCACTGCGCGTCGGGTTGACATATGTGTCGTGCAGCTTGAACGTCACGCGTCGTATGAAGTAGCTCAGATCGTCCGCGCCACCAACGATATCAGAACCTGGCGCAGATGCAGCGCTGCGCACCGCAACGGTCCACTTGTGTGTGTGATCTGGGGGCGCAGTTGCTTTCTCCTCGGGCGTCATGACACGTGCTGTATTCCCGTAGATGATCGGACGGTAGATGTTGATATTCTGTGCTCAGCTACAGTCGCTGTCGCGCTCAATTGGGGGACCGTAGACGTACTCGCACGCGTATTCGGTCATGGGCAGACATCGTGAGGGGGAAAGAGAAGAGGGAGAAAAAAGGGAAGTACAGATGGACGTCACGGACAAGTTCTGAACAATGGCACAACTTTGCGTGCCTTCTTTGGTCGGCGCGCGTACACACGGCCAAACAAAAGGCCATCAATCCGGCGTTCATCCTCCAGAATCGAGAGGCCTCCAAATGATGTGGGCGCGCTAGGCCATGGAATATTGACTTGAAGAAATAACTAGATGGGTACCGTCTCGACAGAGGCCTTCTTTACGCCATATGTAGCTACAATTAACCATCCGACTGAAATTCATTGTGTTCACGAACGCTCGAAATTCCTGTGGCTATCCCTCTGAGTCTGAGATGTAAGATGATGGAGAAACTCTTGGGACCTCGACCTGGGTTCCCAGCGGCGATGCAGAACGCGAAACTAGCAAGGGAACTCGGAAGGGAGTGACTGGCGGAGTGGGCGTGCGGCGTTCCAGGCCGGACGAGGCGCCGATCGCCGCTCGGCAATCCCCGGCACCCCGGAGGGATCCCAGAATTTCCCGACGTGCGCAGAGCTATCATCACCCGCGACCACGACCGCTTGCCAGCAGCGACCATGAAGGACGTCTTCGGAATCACCACTCGTGCGTCGCCCTTGCGCCCTCACCCGTCTACCTAGCTTGCTCACCCTATCTAACCCGCAGTTCGCAACAAGACGATTGAGAACCAGAAGCTCTTCCAGGTGCGCGGCGGAGCGCGGGGCGGGTGCGAGGATTATGCTGATATTGGGCGTGTTGCAGAGCCAGAAGGGCCCGATCTACTGGCGTGGGCCGCGCGGGGCGCTCTACATGCGTACGTCGCGCCTGCCAATCACAACCCGCGCGTTTTGCTCATCGCGCGCACGCAGGCACCTACTACAGCCTCTTCGCTCTCGGCATGACCGCGTCCGTGGTCGGCGTCTACAACCTCGTCTTCGTGCGTCGTTATATCCCTACCATGCATGCTCCTTGCTGATTGTTGTCGTTGCGCAGGGCTCACCGGAGACCCTCATGTAAAGAGCGTAGACTCAATCTATAATTTGAATCAAGCGCCTGTCATTGACTGACTCCTTGCGTCTGTGTCCTTTGTCGGAATCATTCAAGTGTTCACCCTACACCGCCCTGCTCTTGACCTGCGCGTCTGTGCAGGCAATGGTATGTACTCCTTCCCCGGTTACGCACGAGTCAGACGGTCTAGGCCGCCAATACGAGCCTCGCGTTGCTTTTGTCGGGCGTTGATGCGCGCGCTAACCCGCCAGATGGTCCCAGCACTGCCATCAGCCAAGGCGCTTGCAGGATTAATCCTGGTCTTTGTTGTTCACACCCAATGCATGGTCCCTATGGGTGTATGACCCGTCAACTGCTGGGTATATAACACCCACCGTTAACGCTCTGTAGCTCACCATCTCTTTCCCCGCTACGTCTCGAATCCTGACGACTGACTCGTAACAAACGAACGAACGTCGCTCACCACAATCCTTACAACCAGCGCACACGAACACGACCACCATGCCCCTCCACTTCACCGTCTTCGACCTCGAGTTCCAGTTCACCTTCGAACCCTGTATGTTGAATTGCCACTTGCCACTTCTCCGTACCATTGCCCCTTACCATCCTCCTAACCCCTTACCATCTTACCAACCTCTTAACCACCCAACTAACTCCTCCTCCCAGACAAGATCAAGCGCGCCACCAAAGCCAAGGCCGCGCAGTACCCCCCGTCTACCTACCCCGCTTTCCACCACCCGTGCACCGCCACCAACTGCACCTACGCGAACCCGCCCAGCTGCACCGCCGGCACCTTCCGCTGCCGCGGCGCGCCCGAGGGGCCCTTCACCTGCACGGGCTACTACCACGTCTCCGAGCGCAAGGCGCGCGCGAACAGGGCGTGGTGGGAGGCGCGGCGGCGCTCGGCGCTCATGCAGGAGGCGCGCGATGTGAGGACAGGGGTCTGGGAGGAGCAGATGCTGGAGTGGAGAAGGGAGCTTGAGGGGAGGGAGAGGTATGAAAGGGAGAGGGCGGAGGCGGAGGCGAGAGAGGGGGCGAGGGCGGCGGCGAGGATGGAGAGACAGAGGGCGTCTCCCACGTCACGACCCCGCGGCCCTCGCGCGCGGTCGCCGGCAATCTGCGAGGACCGTTCTGCGGGCCAGTCTTCGCGGCGCTCACCGACTGCAGGCCGGGAGCGGTCTTCACCGTCCGGCACGCGGGCCTCCCCATCCAGCGCGCGTCGCTGGGCCGTGCAAAACGCCTAGACGACTACTTGACGACCTCTACTACTCTGCCTGCCTGTCTTTACTGTACATCGACGAGTCTTCGCCTTAGCTGGACTATAGGCGTAATTCATCGATAATTATTTCTCGCCTTCTCAAACTGGAGTGATTCGATCGGTGCAGTGTTAGTCCTCAGAACTGCTTGGCCCTCTCGTCTAGAATTGGGAGTGATCATCCTCCTTACCACCTTTGGCAACGATTGCATCGCTCGCTGGACTAGGAAGTGATGAACTGTATTGCTGTATCATGGAGTAGCCTGACAATTGCGAGCGAGACAGGGAGGGTCGCGCGAGCGCCACAATCCACTTTACGCTAGGACCCCTGCTTATTGGCGTGGAGGTTTATGTTAGATGCCGGACAAGTTTGAGCCTCGAAACGGAAAATGTCTCTGAAAACACCGGACAAATCGAGGTTGGGCGTGTGAAGCTCTCTGCAGAGGGCCGGACAGGATATGTTGGTCGCCAGCAGCTCTCTGTCAGATGCCGGACAGATGGGGCAGTGAGACGCTCGACAAGGCCCGGTCCAAGAGCAAATATTCAATTTGCCGTGCATTTTCATCCGAATTTTCGACGGTCTCTGCGCTCATCCGGACAAAAGTCGAAGTCAAAGTCGAGGTCCCTGAAAAAACCGGACAAAACGCGCCGAAAATGCCCAAAAGTGTCGGACAGAAAACCCCGGACTTTGATGGTTTCGGCAGAGACCTCCACGCCAATAAGCAGGGGTCCTTTTACGCTCTGTGGCAACTTGTTTGGAGGGGTAAAGTGGCTATCGAGGGACAAGGTGACTATTGAGGGGGTCACAGTAAGGTGACTATTGAGGATCGAGCTCCTTTGAGGAACTCCGTCTGTGATAAAGATTTCTGCGAGCTTTCGAGGAGAGTGATAGGCAGCAGGCGCCAAGAGGCTGCTGCAGGTGTGATAGACGGAGACCTCGTATGTACCTGATGTGACATGGGTGTGTGAAGGAAGCGCGAGGGAAGATCAAGCGCGTGGCCGGATGGCTTTATTGCCCAAAGCCGAAAGCTCATTGTTCCCCGGTCGTCCATCACCGACATACGCTTCTTTATTCCTGCTGCGAATATAAACGGATGTTCGCGCGTGCATCTTGTCCTCAGCAACACCAAAAGGCCACCTCCGTGCCACTCCAACGTCTTTCGCGCGAGTGAAGACCACCACCACCTGTACATCCACTTCCCTCCTCGTGAACATTGCAACACTACGCGATCGACCATGGTCACCACTCGCAGTGCCACCAACAGTCCTCGGACGACTACGTCCCCGCGCACCACTCGTTCCCCCAAGACCAGCGCGCCTGCCACCCCCACGCCGCGCAAGACGCCGATGTGCAGGACGTGTGGTTTGCCACGCAAAGGCCACACGCGCGCTGGCTGCCCTACCACCGACCGCAAGCCGTCCTCAGCCACCGCGCCGGGCACCCCCACGGACACAGACACGGAGTCGGATCTGACCGAACTCGAGGAGCCCTCCTCGCAGCTCTCGCGCCATATGAGCAGCCTGTCGATCGTCGGTGGCGCGCCCTCGTTCCGCGGTGCGCACCCCGCGTCCCCCTCCCCTCAACCCCGCGCGACTGGCCGTCGCCCGAGCGCGCCCCTCGTCCACGAGGACACGAAGGCCGCATTGGCGAAGCGCCGCCGCAGTGAACGCGCCGAACGCGCGCGTCGTGAGTCCCTCCCCCTCCAGGCCGTCTCCTCGCTCACGCCGAGTCAAGCCGACGTGCTGAAGAACCTCGTGCATGCCACTTACTGGGACAACGTGGCGCAGGAGGAGAAGCCACTCAGTACGAAGATGCCTGGGACACTCATCGACATGACGCCCTCTGGTAGCCAGCAGAGCCAGCCCGGGAGTCAGGATCTGTCTGCTCATGGCTCGACCTCGTTCCATGGGGAGCCGTCTGTCGAGGAGCCTCGGCGTGTGGGCCGCCCTCTCCAACGTTCCATGAGCGTGCAAGAGCGCGAGTCGTTCATCGCCAGCGTCGCGCATAATAGCCGGGCGCAGTGCTACCTGGTTGACAAGAACGACGTAGAGAGGGTGAAGGAGCAGGCGCCCAGACATCGCCTGCACACGCGAATCCTCGGTCTGCAGAAGAGTAATGATGTCTGCGTATTCATGGGGCACGACGAGCAGGCCGTTGAGCTGCTATACCAGCAAACGAAGCGCACTGGCAAAATCAGCGCTGTGGCTGGTGGCGCAATGGCGGGGGCGATCACTACGTTCGCCACGTTGGCGTACTCTTGATTGGTGGACTCTATTAGCTGGACTAATCCCTACCTGGCTTCTGTTACCGTCCATATCTTACGCACACTCCCTCTTTCTTCGATGACTCGACATTGTAGCCTGGAGCATTAGATGGACACGACCGATATACTAGCATGCACTCTTTACCCAATCACTGCCTCAAAAGCTCCTCCAACATCGCCTTCGCCTCCTTCGCGTCCGCCCTGCCCTTGCTCTCCCTCATCACCCACCCCAGTATCTTATTTATCACATTCACCTTCCCCGCGCGATACTTCGCCACCTCCGCCGGCTGCGCCGCGAGAGCCCGGGCGCAGAGGTCCTTTAACCCGTCTCCCCCGCCACCGCTATTGTCTTGCCCGACCACAAACCCCTGTGCCTCCGCGAGCTCCAGGGGCGGGGCCTCCGGATTGGCAAGCATGTGGCGCAGGAGGTGCTTGCCGGACGTCCCTAGACACGACGAAACGCGTTTCAGCAAGGGTAAGGGCGGACAATTACCAAGGGGAGGGGAGGCAGGAAGTGAGACATTCGGAAAGGAACTCGGGATACGACAGACATCGGGAACTCGGGATGCGACAGACATCGGGATACGAAAAGGGAAATGGGAAATGGGAGCAGTAGAATAGGTGGGAGGGGGGTAAGACATGGGTGGGGGGGGACCGACACTCACATGTGATCGTCCCGCCCTGGACGAGGTCTATCAGCTGCCCGAAGGCGTCCGCGGTCAACGGATTGTCGGAGAAGGTGCGTTGCTGGGCGGACAGTTGGCCAAGCAGGTCTTGGGTCATCCTAGAGGCGAGGCGGGAGTTAGAGGCGGGAGCGGATAGAAGGGAAGGTTCGAGAGTGCATGGCCGTGTCCAGAGCGAACCAGGGAAGGGAGGTAGGCAAGGATTCGGTACGCACCAATTGACGACGACTTTCGGGTCTCGCTTCCCAGACTGGCAGACGAGGTCGAGGTACGAGATGGCGCCAATGGAACCCTCGGCCGGTACGCGCTCGCCCATGTACTCTTCCTCGAGCTTCATCAAGGTGTTGACGTCGCGCTTGGAGAGGCCATAAGCATCTCGCAGACGTGCGCGAGTTTCCCAGGGAAGTGGTGGCTGAGTCTCGCGAAGCCGTGTTAGGCGATCCTGACGAAGGTTGTTATCCAACGCTGCTCAATTACCTCATGCCTAAGCTACGCACCTCGCCAATCCTCAGCACACCAAGGTTCGGATCGGGCATGTAGCGGTAGTCCTGAGCGTCCTCCTTCGACCGCAAGGCGTACGTCTCGAACGTGTTCGGGTCGAAGCCCCGAGTCTGCTGCTCAACGCAGGCGCCAGACTCGAGGATGCCCTTCTGCCGTGCAACCTCGTGCTCTGGGAGAATACATGAGATAAGTCAGTGGCAGACGGCGGAGAGAATATGCTTGCTGATGGCGGCCATGATGAACTTGACGCCATTGACGTTCTTCACTTCGCAGCGCGTGCCCGAGCCTGGCGGCGCGTCTGCTCGGTTGACAGAGACGTTCACGTCGCAGCGAAGTGAGCCCTGGATTTTCATGAGGACCCGCGAGTGAAAAGGATTCAGGCCGAAAATACCATCTCCATGTTGCCATCGCTCGCTCCAACCGTTCGAAGCACCGATTGCAAAGCACGAACGTATTGGCCGGCTTCTTCCGGAGAGCTCGAAAAAGGTCAATGAGAGGATAGACAAGCAAGGTAACGAGACGTACCTCATGTCTGGCTCAGTGACGATCTCTATGAGGCCCGTCCCCGCTCTGTTCAAGTCGATATACGATTTGCGCAATCTGGGGACGGTCGTGGACTTCGCCGTGTCCTGATTGCCTTCGGTGAGTACTGCCGGTGTCAAGTGGAGCATACGAGACTTACCTGCTCCAGCTGTATCTGGTGAATCCGTACGGTGGAATTCTCAAGCAGTAGGGAGCCATTCCGGGCGAAGGGAGCTGGAATGCAATTTATGGCCAAGTAAGTTCGATTTCACATCGGAGAGGGCATTGTTACCATAGTGCTGGGTGATTTGATACCCCGAAGGTAGATCAGAATAGAAGTAGTGTTTCCTGTCAAAGGAAGAGCGGGGGTTGACTTCGCACTTCAGCGCAAGCGCTGCGCGAAGGGCTAAATCGACGCAAGCCTGGTTCAGACGCTGTAAAACAATTACAACCAATCTCTCAGATTATTGACAGCCTCCAACTTACTGGTAGCGTGCCAGGAAACGCGGCGTCAAATGCCACAAAATGCGTGTTGGGTGTATCACCCAAGTCCGACGTCGGCGCCTCTACCGAAGTTCGGTTTTGCGTTAGCTATGCCAGACGAAAAATGAACCTAAACGAGAAGCAAACCTACCCGAGAAAAGCTTTTGCTTAGACTTTAACTGTGCGTGGGTCTCTATGCCTATGACGGCCTGCCAGCCGGACCATCGGCTGTCATGTTTGAGAGCGCGCGTGTGCAGCCGGCGCGCGACGAACATGCAGGTTGCGGGCAAGACGCGTTCGGGGGTGCACGTGATGGGGGAGAGTTCGATTACGGCTTGCGGCGAACTTGATCTTCACGAGTCTTCACCAGCACTCTCGAGGTATAGTGGTGTGGGTTAAAGAGGGGAAGCTCGCTCGTCCGTCGATGCTTAGGTAGTATTTTACATACAGATCCAATCCCGTAGATATGTGTGTCCCGTTATTGAAGGTAGCTTCTCAGAGTTCCCCCAGAGGCTCGTCGTCATCGTCGTCTTCATACATCGCCGACCCGCCCACCCAGAACACCCGCCAGTCCTCCAGTCCCTTCCGACATACGCCATACACGCCCTCCTCGCGCTTCAGGTCGCGCAGCATGATCTCCGTGTCCACACTCCCATACGTCGACGTCGAACTCATAGACGCCGAGTACCTCAGCCCGCCGGGCGATGGCCTGCCGGACAGCCCCGGCGGCGACATCGCACTCGTGAACCCGCCCTGCGCCATAGTGCTGCTATAGTACGCGCGCTCGGGATTGTCCCAGTGCCCACCTCTGCACATGAGCGCGGCGCCGCCGCCGAGGTCCTCGAAGGCGGTGCGCTCTTCCACGGGTCGCGCCTTGCCTTTGCCCTTCCCCTTGGTCATGAGCGCGGCGAGCGGGATCTCGCGCACCTCGACGCCGTCGTCGCCGGAGGCGATGACCTGCAGGAAGGGGTCGTCGCCCTCGTCGTACTCGGATACGCCGCAAAGGCGCACGACAACAGAGGCTGGCGGTGACTGCCACATCATGGCATGCAGCGGCGGAAGAGGATGTGTCGGCAGGGGACATGGCAGGAGGTGGGAGACCAGGCCTCTTGTCAGGAGGTACAAGTCCTGCGTACGGCCTTCACCTAGCTCGAGGTGCACGCGTGTTGGCGGAATCCATTTCGGGTGGTGAGGAGAGTAATCGACAGATACTCGCGAGCGTCGACTAGCAGCGCTTGCGACGGAGGGATTTGAATGCAATGATACGCTCGCGCTTGGATCGTCCCAAAGCTCCCACTCGCCCACTGCCGAGTCGGCAAGACGTATCCAGCCGGCCTTCTTCTCGAAGACGACGAACAGGCTGGTATGAATGCCGTAGTCGATAGTATGAGCCGCACGCGGGCTCTCCGATGTGACATGCATAGAGCTGCCGCTATTTGAGCGCCCATGCCCATGTTTATGGTATTTCGACGAATCCGAAGACGACCGTGCCATCTCATGGACCGCCTGCTGGAAGAAAGTGATACTCCGCGGGGTGAGCGGGGTGTAGAATTCCTAGCCACATGTCAGTTCGCCGTCGCGCTATCACTGCGCGCACGCCTCACCTTGACAAAGTGGAATGCACGCTCTCCCCTTGGCGTCTCATACAGCAGAATATTCGACTTCGTCGACACTGCCAAAAGCTGCCCACCAGTGCCCTTGCGATGTTCGTCCTTCCACAACGCGTACGACAAAATCGACGCATGGAGTAGCCTCGATCCCGGCGATGCAAGCGGCACAAAGTCCGTCGCCCATCGCAAAGGCAGCTCGTCGACCAGATCCCAGCTATCCCCTCGCGTCGGTGAATGCGGATGAGGATCGGTCGGACTCCCATCAATCGCCTCGACGGCCTCCCTCAGGCTCCCCAGACTGGGTGAAGGACTTGAGCGTCCGTTCTTGTTGCTTGTGAGTGGGTTGGGAGAGGTACGAGTGGCGGAGGGCGATAGCAGGTTGTGGTATGAAGAAGAGCTTGGCTCGGCGTGGTCTTGCTTCGGACGCTCAATAAAGTTCTGAATCGACTTTGCGATGCTGCTAGTTGGTCGGTGGCGCTTCTTGGTTGGCGTGGACTGTGCACTCCAATGTGAGGGGCGCGCGAGATCAAGCGGCTTAGAGCCCTGTACACACAGTAAGCATGACACGTACATGTGAAGCGGCAAACGTACCTTGTTCGCCACAGCCCACTTCGCCAGACTGATGAGACTGGATAGATTGTACATGCGCAACGAGCGCACGCTCTCAGAGTGGTTCTGCGTCGCTGGAGGCCCAACAAGCGCAAGCACGACACCCTGCGGTCGACCATCTCCCGTGTTCTCCGCTTCCAAGACAGTCATCTGGAAGACACTAACGAAGGTGAGCTTCGTTCGCAAATATTAACAGGGAGACGTACCCCTCACCCGTCCAAATCGTACGCGCTTGCGCCTCATCCGGCCCGCGCTGCACTATGTGGCCCGCATTATCCCAATGCTGAGGATAAAGGTCAAGGACGCTCAGTCCTTCATCATGGCCGATAAGAATGAGCCTGTCAGACAGGATTGGCAGCAGGCAGCGTATGGGTACCGTCGAATGCGGTAGGAAGCGCGAGCCGAAGTTGAACATCTTGAGATGCGAAGGCTTTAGGCGCTGCGGGAGGAAAGGCAATGCAGGCATGGGCGGGGTTTCTGGTGGTGCCTCTGCTATGCTTTCTTGTCGTAGGAGATCGACGGTGCGGATTTGCAGAGCGGGTTGTGGCGTGGGTGGTTCGCGGGTGATCATGGGCGTTGGTACATTGATACTGCGAGGTGGGAGAGGCGGAGGTGGCGCTTGGGACGGCGCCAGATTCTGTTGTGTTGCTTGGTACGAAGGATCCTGGTTCACAGCTTCAGTATTTCTCGCCTACGAGAACGACAGGATACACACCTGATCGTTGCCCCATCCTCGCTGACGCCGCCGTTCGCGCTCTTCGGGTGTGACGCCATGATATCGTTCAGCGGCTCTACACGTTCGCGATCGACCATCAGTGGTATGCGCGCGCGCTTTCCGAGTCTTCGTACCTCTTCTCAATCCAGCCCTGCCAGCGGCCAAACCTGAGAAACCTCTGTCAGCTCAGCTTCTCATGCCTCGAGTGATCCACGCACCTCGAGTTCGGCCCTTGACTCGCCGCAAGATCATCGTACGTCGGAAGTTCGTCACCGACGCCACCACGGTCCTGCTCGACGCCTTTGAATCCCTGGTCTTGGTAGGACATCCTTGTGTAGTAGTATGCTTCGAGTTCGTATATTCCGCCGAGACGATAGTTTGTGAACACTCCGCTCCGGCTTAGCTGCCGCGATCCGTATGCAAGAGAATGCGGTGCACCGAGGCTCTGCGGGGTCGATCAGGACGCCCGCGGTCGGCTGATTGGGTATCTCGTCGCGCGGCGCGGTGAGCGGGCGCTGCTGAGGATGACGGTGCTGGTCAAAAATGAATATGTGGTCGCTCGCAACCCTCGTTGGCAACTTGGCACAATGAACGGGGTCCAATCGGTTCCGGAACGCCCGGCGCAGTGCCCGCAAGCCGAGACGTCCCCATTCGGTAGTTCTATTGTATTGTGGACACCGCGTACGCATACATAGCCTCCTCCACTTCGTGTGTGCCGCAAGTAGGGTTATAGTAAGCTCTGCGGTACCGTGTGCGTCTGATAGGATACAACCTACCGTGTCGATGAGCAATCCGGCAAGAAGGCAGCGAGGTCGCTTTCTATGGCACGAACTCACGTTCGATGACTACTATACATTCACTCCTTCTACATCTGATATACGACAAGGGAAGCATCTATTCAGACGCTCACCTTCTTCTCCAAAAACTCGGTCCATTCTTTCTCGCCCCAGCTGCTAGAGATGGAGCCCTCGATGACGCCGTCCCACAGAACAGTCGGCGAGAAATGGATGCTGTTCTGGCGGGCGTACTTGACTGGAAGCAGACGCCAGTGAGCCTACACGCTGGACACAACGCAGTCGGATATATCGACACTCACCGCTGTAGCGCAAATCGTCCGTCACAGCATTGCCACCATTTCCAGATGTCTTGTGCGCGAGCAGATCCTTGGAGGAAAGCGGTGAGATGCCCGCCTTAGGCTATTCTCGCGAGAAAGCATACCTTGATCTTGTCGGCCACGCCCTCACCACCAATTACTTCGCCGGCCAAGTTGGCGAGCTTCTCGCGGGTCTGAACGGGCGTCTGGGTGGACGTAGGTACGTCAAAGTACTCCGTCTGGTGCGCGAAAAGCGCCGAAGAGAACTTCCAGAACTTGTCCGGATACGCCTTAAGGACCTGTGCCGAGAATGGTAAGTCATATTTGCGTCGTTAAGAGTGTAAAAAGGACATTAGACGCACCGCCAGAGCAGCCTCGTGGGTGAGTGTCGAACTGGCATGCCACGGCTGGGGATGGGGACGGAAGATGGCCTTCACTTTGCCCTCATACTTCCCGCCCGAGCTGAGAAGAGGGATGATAACATTGTCAATTGTGACGGCTGTCTTCGCGCTGGGGGTGACCATGTCATGTCAGCCCGCTTCCTATTCCCTGCGTCTGTAAACCAACCAAAAAGGGCAGACAAAGTCCACTACAGATCTTCCGTCAGCATACACGCGTCTGAATTCAGCATAAACGCTCACAGAATAGGTCAATCGTGTGCGGTGCAGTCGCCTGGCCGGCGATGATAAGCGGGCGAAGGGAAGGCTGGAGGGCCATCGTATCGACTCAAGTTCGAGCGGGCGTTGGGGGATAAAGATGGGCTACAGAAGCTATCGAACACGCGATATATAGCCGCCCGCGGGCTCACGACAGCATGAATTGCTCACTATTGCGTCGTCGTCGAGATGACGGTCTCTGTCAAGCACTTGGTCAGATTGCGAGCTCAGGTCACGGGTTCGCGTGAGCGCGCCACAAATTCGTCCTTTGTTCGGAACGTGCCGAACGGAACTTGAACAAAACCTTCCACTTCTGGTTAGGTCTTTGAGACCAAGCAGGCTGCCACTCGCCAAAGGACCCGCCATCGAACACTGCTAGGAGAACAGCAGACTTGACTATGGACTTTCCTACCTTCATAACGCACATCAACGACGCGCTTGCACATGAGAACGGCATCGGGCTTGCCTATTTGCTCAGGCCGACCAGCCCTCATGGCAAAGAGTTGGTCAAGCAATACAGGAATCCTACAGTAGGCCTTAATCAGACTACCCCCCATAGACTGGCCTTGTGCTGATTCGCCACTCTAGCGCGCGTCCCTCCGCCGTTACGAAAACTCAACAACGAGCCCATGGGACGAGATTGCCATACTTTATGTCCTAGTTTGTGGCCACATAGCCAAGAGGCGGTCTCCGGAAGCTTTCAGAGATCATGTTCAGCTAGTAACGTATGCTGTTTCTTTGAAGACGCCAGCCACTTGGTCACTGACGTGTTTGTTGAAAGAAACTTCCTGCGCTTCTTCCAAGAAAGCCAAGGGTGGACGTTGCAGGCCTTGTTCGCGATACTCCGTGACCTTCGCGACCTTGCGATTGACGTGCGCTCTTTTCTTCCTTGTAGCATTTCTTCAGTCTGACGGGCGCAGGCGGACGTACAAGCGCGCGCAGAAGGTGGCAAAGCCGACCATATGGAGGAGGCGGCGCGCGTCGTTATGAAGGCCTTTACTGCATGCGTCACTGATAGGTTTGTCCTTCTTTCACTCGCTCTCCTTCGGCCCGTTGTGTCACTCATACTCACCTCCACCAGATCGTCTCCTCCAGACCGGTCAAGAAAATGGGGCGTTTACTACGTCGCTGGCCTCGTGTTTAAGTGCTACTTCAGGGTACGATAAATATACCGTATACTCCCATGCGACCTGAACAATATCTTCCAGCTCAAACGCATATCGCTCACCAAAAACATCCTGCGGGCGCTAGAGGTGAACCAGGACATACCGCCGTTAGAGCATTATCCGCGTGCGCATCGGGTGAGAATTTATTCGCCCTAACCGGCCGATGATCACTAATACCAGGCGAAGGTCACCTTCCGCTACTACCTTGGCATGCTCAACTTTCTCAACGAGGAGTACGCAAAGGCCGAAGAACAGCTCACGCAAGCCTTCTACAACTGCCACACTGGGCATCACGCAAACCAGGAGTAAGCGCTTACCGTCAACATCCTTCCTCACCAAACCTGACCTCTCCCCAAGACGAATCCTCGCCTACCTTATCCCCCTCCGCGTATTGAAAGGTCACCTGCCCTCAAAAGAATTGCTTGCCCGCTTCCCCGTACTGGAAGGCCTCTACCTACCGTTCATCGACGCCATTCGACACGGGGATCTCGCTACCTTCGACCGCACGTTGGAGGAGAATGAGCATAAGTTGTTGGCGTTGAACCTCTACCTGACGGTCGAGCGCAGCCGCGAGCTGTGCATGCGCGGCCTCTTCAGGAAAGCGTGAGTGATGCCACGTTTTCGACAGTCTCATGCAGATGCTGACAACCGTCCTCGAAGCTGGGTCGCCGCAGAACGGACCTCGCGCATGCCGATCTCCATGTTCCATGCTGCACTTCGAATTTCTGGCAGCGACGTGCCCGTGGAGGAGGCGGAGTGCTTTGTAAGTGCAGCTCTGCTATGGTATGCTGGGTGTTATGCTGAAGCAGCCATCCCCTCTCAGGTAGCGAACATGATCTACAAAGGATACATGAAGGGGTATATCAGTCATGGCATGCAGATGGTGGTCTTGTCCAAGGCAAATGCATTTCCGCGGTTGGTGGAGAGGCCAGCGCCGTACTCGGTTTTGTAGTCGTATATACACCTGATGCTCGGTTACAAGTTCCAAGATACGGGTGCCTAGTACGCCCTTGCTGTCTGCTACAAGTGCCCTTGTCCGTCGAAAGGAACGCGCCACAGCAGCTATGAGTGTTTCTCACGGTCGCATATGTCGTCCATCTTATGACCGTGAGAACGCCACCTGTCTTCAACTTGATTCCAACCACCACGGAGCCGCATTGGGTGGCCACCGACATTGCATCGTACACCTCTCGCTTGTTACTCTCACTCCTTCCGCATCATTAGCAGGCCCTTGATATCAGTGGCAAAATGGCGAGCCCAACGAAGAAATCTCAGGCCGAACTGGCCGCTCCCTCCGGCGCGCGGGAGTACAGGTATACGCAGGAGATATCCCAGATGGTATGCCACCCACACCCCCATTGACATGTAAGGACGGATTCTGACGTACATCTCCCTGCCTCTCAGATGTTCGTATTCGGCGAGGTGCAGGACCCCAACCCAGAGACGGTGAATCTGGTCGAGGACATCGTTCGGGGCCAGATTGTCGAGCTTGTATGCGTTCTCCTGCTTGAGCGTCATTCAAGTGTATATCTGACCTTCTCAGCTTGTACAAGCGCGCTCGCAATCCTTGAAACGGGGCGCCCGCAGTATAACCGCAGAAGACCTGATTTTCTTCATCCGGCACGACCGTGCTAGGGTTCGTGCGCTGCATGCCATTTTTGCACCGGAATATTGACAACACATGCTAGGTGAATCGACTGCTGCAATACCTCTCATGGAAAGACGTGCGAAAGCACGCCAAGGACCAAAACGACGGAACCGGGCTGGAGCCTGGAGACAGCATTGAAGAGGAAGGGGGTAAGCGAGCAAAGCGGTGTGCACGCCTGAACGTCATTGACTCGCGTTCGCCACTGCAGAGGAGTCAAAGACGAAAGCACAGAAGATCACCATCAAGCTACCCTGGGAGGTCACCACTGTCTTCTCCGAGGTCCTCCGGAACGACAAGAATCGCGCGGGGTACCAGTCCGACGAGGAAGAGGACGAGGACGATATTGAGGCCTATGAAGCTAGTGTTGCGCGGCTGAGGGTACTTCAACATTCACTTGACCCGTAGAGGCCACCGACTGATCATTTCGCAGGAAGCAGACGAAGTCACTCGACAAATGACCCGCGACGAGTACGCTCATTATACCGAATGTCGACAAGCGTCGTTCACATACCGAAAGGGTGCTTCTACTCTGATTTCTTCTTTGCTTACCACTGACTCGTCCTCGATTCTAGCCAAGCGCTTCCGCGACTTCTTGAACTTGCCACCAAGTCTCGATCTCAAGACTGGGGATGATACCATCGACATTGTCGGTTTCCTAGCCTTTGAGATGGTCCGGTCCTTGACGCTAGCAGGTCAGCTGACTCGAACTACATGTCTGAACCATTTCGCCGACTGACGATTACGACTAGGTCTCGCCGTAAAGAAAGCACTGGAAGAGGCTTACCTCCGCGAAGATTTTTCCTCCTCGCCCATCCTCGGCAAGCGGAAGGCCAACAGCAATATTGGCCCAGAGGCAAAGCGAATGCGAGAGGACTCACCCGAGGACGATGCACCGCTGCCAGTCAACGCCCTCTTCCTGCCACCTCCCGAGGCGCGCACAGCCCTCGCACCGGAACACATTCAGGACGCGTTCTCTCGCATGCAAACTGACTGGTCGCATCGGAGGTTCGCCGGGATGAAGAATTTCCGTGGCGGGCTTGTGCGCACCCGTGTCTCTCTCATCTGATTACCCATGTCTTCGTCATTCGATAGTCTCCTCACTCGCCCGCCTCCCCATCTGACGGCCTTCTCGCACAACATTTACCCGATTTTTCTGCACACAGGGCAATGTCTCGTTCCTTGCATTATCAGCTATCATGTTATCTTGCCACAATTGTATTTCAGGGCTCGCTTTGCTCATTATCCACGTCCTTGGCCTCCCGACGACCACGGAATGTCTCTCAACTGTCGTTGCCTGGGCCATGTCTCTCCTCGTCGGCCTTTCCTTGTTTGTCCAATGTCTTATACTCCCATCGAGCCCTTCGATACCGGAGCCTGCTCGGGTTGCGTCCGTGGCACCCAGTGGGTTGCTTCCGAGGTCCTTGAAACGCCGGGAGCGATTTGCGTTGGGCATTCCGAGACGACGAGAATCAAGACGAAAATGGCATTCAAGATGGGGAAAATGTTATGGAGGCGCGGGGGCAAAATAAGGGCAGACTCAGAGGGTGAAGGTGGATCTTGGTGGCCCTATTGTTTTCGTCAGCAACAGAATGGAGTGCTACTCGGCCACTGCACCCCTTGGTGAAGGTGTGGAACATGGCAGAAAAAAGTGGAGCTTTTTGACCATCTAATATTCCCCGCAGCCGACTTGAACGACTGACCTCTTCATTACTAGTGAAGCGCTCTACCACTGAGCTAGCAGGGATTGACATTGCGAGCCAAATAAGGGTATGCAAGCGCGCAGGGTTGAGCGATTTACTGGAGCTTCAGCTTCCAGTGTCGTACATAGAGCACAAAAAGGCAGCAGGATTCAAGCAGCGTATATGATACAACAGTATATGTCAGAGTAACATGCGCAAGACACGATTTTGTATTCTGTGGATCACCTCTCGAATCGCCCGCCTTCGCAGGGCAGCAATTAGGCATCCAAACCGCCCAGGACGATGAGCTTGGTGTTCATGTACTCATGGATGCCTTCGCTCCCTCCCTCACGGCCGAGCCCGCTCTCCTTGATGCCACCAAACGGCGCGCACGACTGCGAGATTAACCCCGTGTTCACGCCAACCATACTGCAACAATCTCGTCAGAAAACGACTTGACCCGCACCAAACGCCCTCATCACTCACCCAACCTCCAACTTCTCCGCCACGCGCCAGATCCTGCCCACGTCGCGCGAGAAGAAGTAGCCGGCGAGGCCGACGGGGACGTTGTTCGCGAGCTTCACGACCTCATCCTCGGTCTCGAACTGCGTGAGCGCGGCGAGCGGGCCGAAGGTCTCCTCGCTGTTCAACTTCGCGTTCACGGGGACGTCGGAGAGGAGCGTGGGCCAGAAGATGTTCGTGTTCTCAACGGCACGGCCGCCGACCATAACTTGGGCGCCCTTCGCGATCGCGTCCTCAACGTGCTCCTTGACTTTCTCGACGGCGCGCTGGTGGATGAGGGGGCCGTGGGTTCTGTGGCGGATAAGACGCTGCAGTAGGTGAGGAAACAGTTGATGTACTTACACTCCCTCTTCGAGACCGTTACCGGGCTTGAACTGCGCGATCCTCGCGGCGAGGCGGGACGCAAAGTCAGCGTATACGGAAGACTGGACATAAATGCGGTTCGCGCAGACGCAAGTCTGACCGCTGCCACGGAACTTCGATGCGATCGCTCCTGCATCAGACTGTCAGTGAGAGGTTCGGATGACCAATGAAGCCAGCTTACCCTCCACGGCAGCATCGATGTCGGCGTCGTCGAAGACGATGAAGGGCGCGTTTCCGCCAGCCTCCAGCGAGATCTTCTTCAATGTCGAGGCAGACATGCCGTACAAGAGCTTCGCGACGTTCGTCGAACCGGTGAAAGTGACCTAGAATGCAATTTCCTCGTAAGCACTGCGAGCGCGCTGATACCCTTGCACACGTACCTTCCTAACAGCAGGGCTCTCGCACATCAGTTTGCCAACATCCGAGACGTTGCTTTGCGTAGTGACAATGTTGATGACGCCGTCGGGAATGCCTGCGCGGTTCGCGAGCTGAGCGCAGAAATTAGAGCTCAACTGCACAATTGCCAGCACCATTGGCTATCCTCACCTCACCGAGCGCCAGGGCAGAGAACGGGGTTTCGTGGGCCGGCTTGATGACAGTTGTGCAACCAGCTGCGAGAGCAGCACCAAGTTTCCGAGTGATCATAGCCGAGGGAAAGTTCCATGGGGTGAGGACAGAGCTGAGGAGGGGTTACACCGGTTGTGACAATCATGGTGGGCACGAACGCACACGACACCTAGAGAACGAGTATTAGCTGCTAGTCAGAATATCGAGTGAACTCTACGCACCAACAGGTTGCCGGATGGTGATGTTACGCGTGCCCGGTGCCGCGCATGGGATAGTCTGACCGTACGTGCGCACGGCCTCTTCGGCTGAGGAAACATGAGCTAATGGCCTTCCCAACGTAAGACACAACCTCACCGAACCACTAAACAGAGGTTCACTTGGTTAGTGCGTGCGTGCAAGGTCAGAAGAATGTAAAGCGAACCTCAAGGAAGGATGCCGAGTATGTAACTTCACCCTGGGGACTGAGTCAGATGGAAGAGCACGCGCTGGTGGCGGGCAAGCCCACCTTGGCCTCAGTAAGGGTCTTTCCATTTTCGAGGGTCTGGAGGGAGGAAATTGTTCAAGACGAGTCGAATGGCTAAGGGGAGCGTCGTACAATCATGCGGCCCAGGTCGTCGGTGTGCTCCTTCATGAGCGCAAACAGCTTCATAAGGAGATCATGGCGGTACTACATGGTGCTCGAGTCAGCTCAATTCATGCGAGGAAGGTCTCGTACGCACCTTCGCCGTCGTCTTGCTCCAGGCCGGAAAGGCAGCTTCCGCAGCCTTGATCGCCTCCTCAGTCTCCTTCGCTCCCATATCCGGCACAGTCGCCAACTCCTCGAACGTCGCCGGGTCTGCAACTCAGTCAACCTCCGCTCTACTCCCTACTTCACCCTTCACTCACTCGTCACCGAAATCGTCTGCCCATCCTGCGCGTCCAACCACTTCCCATTGATCAAACCCTGCGTCTTCACCAGCGACGGATCCTTCAACCCGAACTAGATAAGGTCGCCCCGAGTCAGTCCGCGTTCCTCCCCTCCGAGCACATTCCATCCCCGATCGAATATACGCACCGCGGCTGCAGCCTTCGTGGACGCCATGCGCAATGTCGCGGGTACGGACAGGCGAGAGGCAGAGGATCCCGCGAGGCGAGCGAGTCGCGCGAGACTCATCGTGGTCTTGAGCTACGAGCAAGTGCGGGACAAGACTGAGCACGGCGGCGCCGCGGCGCGCGCGAGTAGTGATCTACCCATGACCTCATGCCGGCGGCGAGCCGGGAAGGATTGAACGTGACCGTGTTTGAGTGGACCCACAAGATAAGAAGTTCAACATGCTTTCAGTTCTTGAGCATGCGAAGAGATGGGAGAGATAGATGTGCAAGTCATAGTAGCTAATCCAAGAAGTTTGGGGTCTATTTCTTCTTTCGCCCTGTATGCTTCCTGGCTCCAGGCTCGTCAAGGAAGCCACCACCCTCTAAAGCATCGCGAGCTGCCTGGTTAATGTGCTTGAACCTATCCGGTCCCAAATGTATGCCTCCAAAGAATCTAGTACGTATACATGAGCGGATTGTATCATAGACGCTTGTCATTGCGTACCTAGTGACAACGACGAGAACGTTGTTGATCTCCATGATTTGGAGCAAGTGTGCCTACATTCGTGTAAGCCCAGAGACCGCACGGGGAACACAGGAGGCTTACTAAGCGCCCTCCTGCTGCAGTCTCGCCGTCATCGTCATTGTCTTGAGAGGTGGAATAAGCAGCGCAAAAACAGTTTATAGACGACGACATACCTTGATGCAACACGGTGCCGACTTGACATCGCCATGCATGGATGGTAGGATGTGCAGCCCTTGCTGTTTTTCGGTCCTCCAATAAGTTTGCTATGATGACGGGAACCTAACGTGCGTCCCTTCATAAGCTTTACCATACCTCTGAGGTTATCCCTCGAGCGCACCTGAGATGGATGTGTGATGCGCACGGCCCTGCCGATGAACACGCTTTTCCGGTCCACAATCGGCTCGGCTTCGAAGATCTCCGTGCCTTCTGGTAAAGGAGGGGGTGGTTCACGCGATGGAAGGATGGCTCGAGGTGCATGTCGCGACGCGTCGTTCTCGGAAGCATGAACTTGCTCAGCATGAGCCTCCTTCTCCAGCTCGCGTTGGAGATCGCCAGCTTTCTCCGCGCTGAGATGTTCTTCATACCATTGAGTGAGGTGTTCGAGGATGTGCTGGACGCCGTCGAAGACGCAGACCAGGCCGGGTATGAAGTCGACGCCTGACACGGATATGTATGTGCGCAGGATGCGACCGAATAGATCAGAGTCGGCTTTAAATGGTCCTGGATAGGAATATAAGGTTAGTAGGTAGTGCTGGAAAGGAAGAAAAAGACGCACCAATATACCTCGACAGCAATTGCAGCTGCGGTGGCGCAACCTCCGGATAATCAGGAGGCAACGAGACAAGCAGATCAACAGTGACATCCTCATGAGGAGCCAGCAGCGGGAGCGCAACTTGGTACCGGATCGTCGCGCCTGCCTTTCCCCCGTCGATCGCACTTGATGTGCTGGCGGCAGCACCCTCGCCTGTCCACGGCTTGATGCATTCGTCGCCGTAGATGGATTTGAGGACTTGCGTAGGCGGACATCATTATAGCAATCTACGCCGTCGAAGTGCTGCCGCCCTCACCCTCCACTTCGGAGGCAACCTCCTCGTTCTGGGCGATCAGAGCGTCCATCAGGTATGCAAAGGCTGATGTCGCGTTGGACGCAGGTATAGACAGAGTAGCGACCTGCGATTTTGCACTCCTGAAGCAAAGAGAGGGAGTCTCAGTCGTGTGAGGCGCTCCTCGTGATCGCGGTGGTAGGGGGGAACAAGAGAATAGTGCGCGAAATACAAATACTGCCATTCTGGGACGGATGAGATGGGCGCTTGGACAGCGCGTCTTGCTTCGCGCCACCCTCTCAAGCGCCGCCCTATCTTGACCCTCTGCACATACCATGTCCGCCGAATTGCAACCAAAGGTCCGAGTCGTGGTACGGCTGCCGTGGAATAGGCCCGACGTACCGCTCGAGGACCCCCCGAACGTGCGTGACCTCCGGTAGCCACAGAGGTTCACCCGCGTCTAATGCGAATACATAGGTCGTATGGACGGCTGAGAAGGCCGATATCCTCTGGAAAGCCATCGAGCAGTCAAGATCGCGCGACGCTCGGGCAACGGATTGTAATGCGCCTCCTTCCTCGCGTCTACCACGACTGACGCCGTTCAGATAAAGCACTTGCGGCGCGCCTCGATGTGCCCCTTCCGTACCTTCTCTATCGCGTCCATGCTCGCTTCCAGGAAGAACTGAAGGGCTTGCAAGACCTTCAAGGGGCGCTGAGCTCCCTACCTCCGAATGCCTCGCCTGAGCTACCCCACTCCGCCCCTCCAACGGCCATTAGCCGCGCTGCAGATCGCCTCGGCCTGTCATCCTCCCGTCTGTCTATACAACCGAACGTGCGCGCGCGCTTGAACTCCCTCGGTCACAATTCTCCCACACCACGCAGCGCCCTGTCCTCCTCCACCCTCACAATTCAGAAGCCCTCGACCCCCGCCACTGCACCACTACCCCGGCGCTCCTTCGCGTCTCCAGCACCCGTCTCTCCCCACTCCGATGGCTCGAACTCAGACTCGGATGATTCGGCGGAGCGTGAAGACGAGGCAGACCGCAGTCGCGAAGAGCAGGAGGCGCTGGACCGCAAGCTTGAAGACTTGACGCGCATGATGACCAACGAGACGCTCGGTCTAGTGAGCGCGCCGCAGGTCAGACCGAGGCCAAGGCCGCCGCCTCTTTTGCAAGACGCGAGCTTGCGAGGGCGCTTCCCTGAGCCCATGTCGACGAGGTCAGGGAGTACCAGTCAGAGCCTGTCGAGTGCAGGTTCAGGGCAGGGATCGGGGTCTATACCTGAGATTCCTAGCCCGTCTTCAAGGTCGCAGCCAGCCAGCCGGCATATGTCGCCGACAAAGTCTTCTGCGAACTCGCCCGCGGTGTCGCCACGTCATGCGACGCAGCGGTATAGGCCGATGTCGGTGGCACCCAGCTTGAGCGAGACGAGCAGCAAGGATGGGTCGACAGCTTCTAGCTTTAGTGATCTCAGTGGTCAGTAGAACCTTTCCGTGTCGTAGGCAATAACTAACCTCGAGTAGACTTGTCAACATCGGCGCTCGAAAGCGCTATGGCGAACACCAGGGCTGGAGGTCACTCATCACGTTTGTATGTCTTCTTGCGCACTTGGCATATCCCTTTCTAACTCTTGTGTGGTGCAGCTCTGCTTTTGGCGTCGCTCGCAGCCGCTTCGGGCCACGCAATGGCATACCGCAATAGAGTCACTGTGCCCCGCCGGCTCTTCGAGGGAAAGGACGCCACGTATCTCGCTGCTGACGCATTCCCCGGACGCGCGTAGTGTACGCGTATACGTACCGCGCGTACCTCTTCTAGCACGTTCTGTATTACTAGCCACACTAAGAGTCCGCGCAATATAACGGGCCGTATATATAAGGCACCTTCGCTTGTCCTTGACTTGTTCACCGAGGTTCACGCCTGCTCGCTGCAGCTTGTTGGCACTGACATCACTGACCTGAACTCAATCTCGATCGGGCGCTTTACACACCTGCTCATCTATTACCATCAACACAAAGGCTAACTATCCTCGCACTGATTTTCTCCTGCTTCCTACCACCATTGACCGCATACCTACCCCGTGATGGAGCTGACGTTCGTGACGGAGCTCGGGCAGTCGTTCGTCGTCGAGATCGACCCGAATATGGAGCTAGAGAACGTGATGGCACTCCTGGAGGCTGAGGTGCGTGGGTGGGCTGAGCGGGCGTGAACAGGAAGACTGACGAAGATCATCTTGAATGGTCTAGTCTGGAATACCAGTGGCAGAGCAGGCTATCTCCTTTGATGGTCGCGCGCTAGACAATCCGAAGGCGACGATGCGTCAAGCGGGCATTCCAGAGCAGAACGCGATGCTCATGCTTCAGCGGAAGGTTCAGACGCAGACGGGTGGTGGCGCGTATGTGATCTTCATTTGCAGACTATGCCCTTGCTGACGAAGCGCTCATCATCCAGGCCGATCCCTCAGGACGCCGAGATGATGCGCTTACAGCTCCTCGGTGACCCGGTACTCATGCAACAGCTACGCGACGTGCGTTCGCTCCCTTTAGCATGTATCTTCTTACCTTACCAATGACTCTACCCTCCCAGAGCCAACCCGACCTCGCGAACGCCGCGCAGAACGACCCCGCGCGCTTCGCCGAGCTCCTACGCCAGACGCGCGAGCGGCAGTACGGCGCCGAGCTCAACCGCCAGCGCGAAATCGAGCACCTGAACGCGGACCCGTTCGACGTCGAAGCGCAGCGTAAGATCGAGGAGGCGATCCGACAGCAGGCGGTGCTGGAGAACATGGAGCACGCGCTTGAGTACTCGCCGGAGAGCTTTGGGCGGGTGATGATGCTTTAGTGAGTGTTGGGTGTGGTGAGTTGGGGAGAGTGATTGCTGATGGTGGATCTGTGTGTAGCATCGACACAGAAGTCAACGGGCATCCGGTGAAGGCATTTGTGGACAGTGGCGCGCAGCAGACGATCAGTAAGTTATCAATACGTGCATGGGATGAATGAAGCTGATCCTCTTAATCCCTAATAGTGACCCCAGAATGTGCAGAGAAGTGCAAGTGAGCCGGGGCAGCACTTCCCCGAGAATGCATACTGACAGCTATCCCCCCAGTATCATGAGGCTGATAGATCGTCGATTCGCCGGCCTTGCTGTCGGCGTTGGTACTGCAAAAATCCTCGGCCGTGTACATACGGCGCAACTCAAGGTCGCTGACCTGCACTTGCCGTGCGCGTTCACGATTATGGAGGTTCGCGTCTAACACCTCTTTCGTGTGAACCCTTGCTGACGCGATGTGCACAGGGCCAAGACGTTGACCTCCTACTGGGTCTTGACATGCTCAAGGGACATCGCGCATGTATAGACCTCGAGAAAAACGTGCTGCGTATACAGGGCCGCGAGATACCCTTCCTCTCCGAGCACGAACTCCCCGAAAAAGCCCGCGACTCGTACCAGGGCAGGAGACAACATGAGGCTGCCGCGTCGGGTGGTAAGCTACCATATCTTTTAGAAACACTCTTCGTCTAACCTGACTTCTACAGCAGCTGGCCCATCCTCCGCTTCAGCACCCCCACCTTCACAATTCCCTGGAGGCGGGCATACGCTCGGCGCCCCCCCTCGGTCAACACCAGTCCCCGCACAACGCCCCCAACAGCAGCAGCAGCCTTCGCAGCCCTCCTTCTCCGAGCGTGATATCCAGACGCTCATGGACTTGGGTGTTTCCAGGGAGGTCGCAATAAGCACCCTGAGCGCCGCAGGCGGGAACGTCGATATGGCCGCCAGCTTGCTGTTTTAAGGTGGAAAAATAGAATGTAAGGTCGTCGGCGATAATCATAAATGTAGCATATAACAATGGACTTGCATATTTTGCTTGGGATCTCTGGTGTAGGCTTGATTCCGTTGTTTCAGTGAATGGTTCAGAATTCGGAAATCGAGGTCTGGACTGATCAAGTCCGCCGCCACAAAGTAGCTTGCCTTCTCCACTCACCTACCCTCCGCCGCGAGGATGCCCGTCGTCATCCGCCCCAAGTATGCGGACCCGCGAGAGGTTGCGCAGTCGTACCGGCCAAGACCAGGTGTAAGTACTCATCGAAAAGCTTGATGAAGGGCAGCGCTGACTGAACCCTCCGCACACCGCCGCACACGATTCCCCCTTTGCTGCTTATCCCTACCTCCGCGCATTCTTTCTTCTGGCCGTACGACTTGCGATGAACAGGTCATGTCCCCCGGCTTGAAACGTGCACGCGCGCCATACCTCGTCAGGAATGCGCTGGTCGGGACAGCGCTTGCGTGCTTCATCATGGGCGTGTACGCCTACTCCCTCTACGCCGTTCGCCAGGTGCGTTCTCTTGACCTTAAGTACTCTACTGCGCTGACCAGCGTCTCTATTACCCATTGTACCCATCCTATCCCCTCTGTTGAATCGATCGCGTCCACCTTCCCCACCTCCCCGCTCGATCACCCCTCCAGGATAAATTCGAAGACCTCGACGAAGAAGCCCGCGAGCTCTCCGCCGCAGGCGTCCTCGCCCAGCGCACCACCCTCGAGGACAAGCAGCGCTCCAGCCCCGGCCCGCTCGCCACCTCCGCCGCCCTCGAGCAGAAGCCCGGCGTGGGCGCCATCATTCCGACCTCTCCCCTCGCACCCGCACCCGCTTCCGGCACCGAGCTTGCTAATGCTGCAGCGGGCAAGACCGCGAACCCAGCAGCTCTTGCCGCTGGCGAGCCGAGGGGGATTCTGTCCAAGTACCTCGCAGACCGCTACCCTCGGCTCTTCGACCCGTCGCGGAAGACGGTCGTGTTCGGTGCGCCGAGCGTGGACAACCCGGGGCGGATATCATCGCCTTGAGGGAGCAGTGGGGAGACGAGGAGGTAGTACATTCGACTATTCCAAGAAAACTATCATCCATATCAACCTGCTATCGGCATGTACTCAACCCCCACTCACGACCTGTGTAACATTTGCTGCATTTCCCAAGCCATACTACCCAGCGACACGCCCCTCCACAGCCCAACCACTAGACCAATCAAGCTCAAGCCAAACGAATGCATAGGATAAAGGAAAGCGTAGAATCATGATAGCATTTCGACAGCATGACAACCTGCAGAGCATTCATATACAAAATCGTCAACCAGTCGAGGGTATATCCAGCAACGACAAGAGCCCCTAGGGAGGTACTCTGGCGTCAGTGCGCTTCGGGTGCGCTCTAGCAGTAGAGCGCTCCATGAAGCACTGTCGTCAAAGCGCACCGGGAGTGCTCAGGCGTTGCCTGATCATGACTGGGTTTGTTCGTCCGTTTCGTTGGGAGCACCCGACTATAGATGCTCCCGCGATTGCCATGTCCTTCCTCACGCTGGGCGGAGGGCACCTTCTTTCAACATAATCACTGACCAGTGGCCGAAAACATTTCCGAACCCGGCTGCGCCATGGTCAGTCGCTGTAGCCTGCACACGTCCGGATCAAGCTCACCTAGCTCAGACCCCAGATCCCAGCCTTGCGTACACCATCGACAAGCGCGTCCACATTACCCAGCATCGTGCTTAGAATCTCGCGCTTTTCGTCCGTCGTGCGGGTCTTCACTGCGCTCTGCGCACTCAGCGACGCCGTCGTAGTAGGCACCGGAGTAGACGGCACGCTCGACACCGGCCTCGCGGTCGCGCTTGACTCCTGCCTTGCAGTCGAACTCGACTCCGACCTGCCAGCAGGCGTTGCCGGCCCGCTGTTCGAGCGCGGCGTGCCCCAGAGGCGCGACGCCGCCAGCGACGACTCCTGCGACATCCCCGATGCATCGCGCGACATCATCGACGTATCGCGGGACGTCATTGAGGCATCCCTCGACAACATCGACGTATCCCTGCCCAGCATCGACGCATCCCTCCCCATAAACGACGACTCGCGCGACGCCGTCGACAGCCCCAGCCTCGACGACCCGCCGGACGCGTCCCTCCCCGTAATCTCTCGCACCGACGACACGCTCGCCGCCCCGCGGACGTGGCGCCGCGGCATGCCGACGACCGAGCTGCGCTTGCGGTCGGTTTGGGGCACTTCACGCCCCAGCGCGGACCTGTCGATGCGGTCGGCCTTGCGCGGGCTGACGGGGACGTAGTCGACGCCGCCGCGGAGGAGGGCGTGCGACTCCATGGCACCGAAGACGGGGAGAGCGGAGGTGTCGAGGGGTCGGGGTGTAGCTGTGCGTCGTGGGGTGGCGGATACGGGTATCGGCAGGGCGGGAAGCTTTGGTTGCGCGTCGAATGCGCCCTTCTCTGGAGAGGAAGGCGCGGTGGAGTTGACTGAACGACTAGACGAAGCAGAACCAGTTGAGTTGGTGGATGCAGTCGAGAAGGACGAGGCGGAGCTATTCGAAGTGGAACGCGATGCGTTTGAGAATACGAGGCTGGAGCCGGAGGAATTCTGGCGCATCCCAGGGTGCTGTGGCGTCCCGTTAAGGTAAGGTTTGCGCGGTCGCCGAGCTGGGGTGGCAGGCACGGAAGGAATGGATGGCGGCGTGGAAGGAGTCGGTGGTCTGGATTTGCCCATCACTGTCTCGTCGGAGGTCCTATGTGAGCTGTCCGACAAGATGCTTTCGCTTGAAGGACGTCGCTCGATCGGAGGTGTCGAGAGCATGGAGGGTAGGTTCATGAGGTCGGCCTTGGGGGTGGGGAGCGTGCCAGACTCGTCAAGGAGGTAGAAGTAGAGGAATTCGAGGCACTTCATGCGCACTTCGCGCGGTGTGCCAGCCCGCTTGAGTATGCGCACGACACTTTGTACCCCAGAGCATTCCTCAAAGGTTCGTAAAGCGCCAGGGGCGTCTACAAGGATGCAGAGAAGTGTATCGAGGACAACGGAGGAGAGGTACGGCGCATTGGGGTTTGATGATGATCCGCGTTCACTAGAGGCAGAAGGGGTTGAGGGCGCCTTGCTCGAGCCGCTTGAAGCCTTGCGAGAGGGGTCATCTGGATACAGGTGTCGCGAGACCACGAATAGGTCGACGAAGATCTGTTGGGGGAACATGAGGCGCGAGGCTTCCCACGGAAAATGAACAAACGGACCTCGAGGGCGTACTTCCGCCCCAGCCATTTCTTGGTATTGGCATGGTTGAGAGCGAAACCCTGAATGAGACCCAGCGCCTGTCGTATCTGCGTGATCAACCGCGGCTCGTCCAACTCCCTGTCCGCTGAAAGGCGAATGAGCACCCGTGTGCGGCACAGTAGAGAAGGACATACTCTTGGAAGGACCTTTGCTGGCCAATTCCTCCACCTTGGGGATAAACGCGGCCAAGTACGTCAGCAGTCGCGAGGGGACTGGGAGTATCGTCAGGTATGCAACGGCCGGAAAAACATGTTGCGCACCGTTGCATTCGAAGGTGTACTGCAACGCCATGAGCGTGTGCGTGCCTCCGACCCCGTCCCCCTTCAAGCATGACTCGGCGAGAATGCGTTCGAGTGCATCGAGAGCGTTACCGCGGGTGGCCGTTGACGAGCGCGATGAACATAGCTGGGGTATGTCGTCAGCAACGTGTCGTTCAGTGCACGCCTTCATCGCTCACAGCGTCGAGCTCGTCCTGGACGGCGGCGGCGAGGTTGCGGGCATCGTCCATCGTGGTGGCTGCGCAGATCGAACACGCTCCCGGCGTGCTCCAACAGAGCAGAATTCGGCAAACACGCAGCGGTGGCTGTGCACCCACGCATGCGCTACATCCCACGTGATCGCGCGCAAAACGGCTCCCCGCGCCGCCAGCCCGCGGCGTGCGCCGAACAGTCGCGGGATCCCAAAGATAATGACGCGAAGTGCAATGCGCCGGTCCCCTGCTGCTTGCTTCCCACCACCATGGCACCCATTAAGACGGTGAGTACAGTTTTGCTCTGAATGAGCCGGAGAGCTGAGCAGTACAGAACTGGACACGCCTCATCCGCTTCGTAGCCGCTGAGACGGCACGGGTGCACATCGGTGAACCTGTCGACGCCTCCCTCGACGTCGGCCTCGCTGCGCACAAGGGTGCTACCATTCGTGCTCGCGAGATTGTGGGCAATGCCCTTGATCCCGCTGCAGAGGTCTCCAACCGCGTCCTCACTGTCAAGACGCTCCTTTCGCCCCTCTCGCGAGAGCAAGTCAAGCTCGTGCGATGCTTGGGACTCAACTACAAGGATCATGCAGTAAGCATATTTGCACGCTGGGCTCCCGCATCTTACCTTGCAATGGGTAGGCCGAGGCGAAGATGGCTTTGCCGGCGTAAGTATTCCTACTATTCAAACGTTACGTATGGTCCCTAAACGTCTCTCAGATTCCCTGTCCTCTTCTACAAGCCAGTGACCTCGCTCATCGGCCCTGGAGCGCCAGTTATCATACCGACCGCGGCCTGCCCGCCCAAGGACAACCTCTCCGACTACGAGGTCGAACTTGTCATCGTCATCGGCAAGACTTGCAAGGACGTCAAGGCGGCAGACGCTCTAGACTACGTCCTCGCGTACTCGGGTTCGTTCGCCATCGTCTCGCACGCTTTTGACAGTGCAGCTGATTTTCCTCTCTTCCTTTTTCGCACCATCCAGGCGCGAACGACGTGTCATGCCGCAAGCATCAATTGGCGGTCTCGCAATGGGGCTTCTCGAAGAGCTTTGGTCAGTGTTTTCGACCCTTGACCACCTGGGTTTCTCTTGCTCATGTGATGGATAGACAACACGAACCCGTTTGGGCCCTGTTTGGTGGCGGCTAAGGCTATTAGCGACCCGCAGAACGTGCCTCTGAAGACCGTGCTGAACGGCGAGACCGTGCAGGATGGCACTACGAGGTACGACCTTCGTCCATCGCCGCGAAGACTTATTGAACGTTTTCTCCAGGGACCAGATCTTCGGCGTGCGCGAGACAATTGCACACCTTTCACAAGGCACCACGCTCGAGGCTGGTACCATCATTCTCACTGGTACGTCGCGGACGCTCAGCCACATATTGTTCTCTCGATATCTGACTTTCTTCGTAGGCACTCCGAAGGGCGTCGGCTTCGTGAAAAACCCTCCGGTCTACCTCAAGCATGGCGACAAGATGAGCGTCTGGGTTGGCGGCGGCATCGGCTCGCTCTACAACGACGTCGTCGAGGAGCCCGCTCAGGCGAAGCTGTAAAGCCCGCTTAGGCGAAGCTGCAAAGCCCGCTCGAGCGAAGCTGTAAAGTCAACTCCTGAAGCGCGCGTTCAATATATATGTACCCTCCATGTAAGCATGTCTGTAACATCTGCTAACCAATTTGGATATCTCTCGCAAGGCTCGAACGTTGATGATGACAAGTACTGTGTTTATTGCTTTCAGGCCGGTAAGTACGACTTTACTGAGGAACTATGCTACACAATGCAGATTGAGTCCGTGAATGGATATGCAAGATGAACAGATGTGGATGGTGATGCAAGACAAAACCGTGGACGAAAATGCAAGAAGAAGTTGTAAAAAAGGTCCGTGAGCCTGTAACGTGTGTTTGAAAGAAGTAAAAGTGTTAATGGACGAAGTAAATGGGAGTAGGAAAGGTGCCAAGATGGATAGGAAAGAAAACAAGATGCGTAGGAAAGACGTGCAGGTGAGTACTATGTATGTATGATTTTATGAATTATGATATTTTTATGGGGGTTTATCTTTTTTCGTGCTGATCAACTCGTAGGTCCGTTATGGGTCGCGGGGGCGACCTGGTCTCCTTGGAACTCGGGAACTTGGGAAAATCGGGAGATGTATCCCGGTGGCGGGGGTTCTGGGTGTCGGCGTTCGGCGGTGGGATGGCGCTTGTCTTCGACGCTCCTGCTCAGTAGAAGTATCCGTAGTGCACAGGGTACTGCAGCGGAGCAGCCCTGACCCTGTTGGTGGAGTGGGTAGAAGGCGGGGGGCGTGGTGCGCTCGACGGTCTTGCGAAGTACGAATCCGGGTGGTGCACGGATGGTCGGCGCGGTCGGTGGGACGGGGGCGGAGGTGCGTAGTCAGCTCTACGTCCGGGATCGTGCTCACGAGGCTCGCGTCTTGGAGCATAGTGCGATCGGGGATGTCGTTCTGGCTGTCCGTAATAATGCGGTGGGGGTGCCGGGACCTGCGGTTGCGGGTAACTGTAGTACGGTCCCGGTGTCACTACCTGCACATGTGGGTGGACCGCGGGATGCGAGGTCCTCGCCACGTTTGGCGACGACGCTGGCATCCTCTTGCCATCGTAATATTCCGTCCGTCGTCTTTCCTTCTTCTCCGCCCGTTTGTACTTCTTGCCCGTCTTCCGCGCTGCCTTCTGTCGGCCGCCACCGGAATGGCTCTCTGCTAGTCCGGGGACTACATGACCTGCCAGCCGCTTAGCTGCCTGCTTCGCGTGGTGGAGCATGGGTCTCGAGTCCCTTTCAACCGGTTAAGGACGAGGGGGCTCGAGTGGTCCCTGCTTTCCTCGGGGGAGGGAAACAGAGATGGGGGCCTACCATCTCTCGTGCTCCGCCTTTTAAACTGACCGCAGGACTTGGCTGGCCTGAGCAGCGGGCGATGCGCGACGACCAAGGAGTACGCTTGCAGATGTACCGGTAATCATGGCTGGTCGATTTTCCACGCGAGAACGGTCGGACGGATTCCGGTAAGGTTGAGAATTGTATAGAGGCCACAGCTAAGGACCGTCTCAACACAGCATTTGGTGTTTGCGTATGCGAAACGTTTTCCGCGCTGGCCTCAGAGAATGGACGGGCCCATTTGAGGTAACTAACATGCATGCAGGACCAGCCCCGGCACACAGCATCGAGTCCGTTGGTCCTCTGTTGCTTCTTGGGGTAGCTGGTGAATCTAATCGCAGATTTGCGAAAACAGGAGGGCACAGGGGAGGAACAGTCCTGCTCGCGTCGACCAACAAGTAGGTGTGGGTCCAGCGCCGGAAAACCGGCACGGTGTCCGATAACTCCAGATATACCTTTTCGAGGCATGCTGCATGCTCCTCGCTCTTTCTGTGGGTTGCCTGGTCGTCGTGCTGAGAGTGCTGGACTGAGTGGGTTACAATGCATCCACTCTGGTGGTCGTTGATGTACCCGAATCGGACGAGACGTACGAAGGACTGCTTTGCTGGACGGACGAAGTTCTCGCGAACACTCCAGTTCACACCGAGTGCGATTCGGACGTCGATGATGCGGTTCTCATCCGGTCGTCGCGTCATGCGCTCCCCGAGGGTTGGCTGAATAATCGGACAGCGCGGGGCCATCATATAAAAGCAGGGGTCGGCTTTCAGAGCACGCTGAGAATCCGAGAACTCCCCGGCATCCACAGATCTTTCTTATCGTCACCCATCAGGACACTCTCGACGACGCGCATCGCAATGGCTGAGGAACAGGTCAAGCTTGAGTACGATGTGAAGAACATGCCCTTCCGTCGCCTGGGCCCCAGCGGCCTGCGCGTCCCGCTGTTCTCGCTCGGTGGCTGTACGTGATCTGCGCGGAAGATCTGCAATTCAGTAGGCTAAGAGATACTATAACAGGGATCACCCTTGGTGGTAGCATTGTTGGCGACCACGTCAAGGTAGGGCTTGCAGACGCATCCCCTCTCTACGCATATTGACGCGCTGGGGACAGGAAATTATCAAGACCGCCTACGAGAATGGCATCAAGTGCGTTGCCACCATATTCGCCGATGAGCAGGATATTGATCGTCCGGTAGCATGTTCGACACGGCAGAGGCCTATGCGAGCGGCAAGTCCGAGATTGAGATGTGCGTGTCCGCCTATACACCTCCTTCGCCTGCTCACTCTCATCCAGGGGTCGCGCTTTCAAGGAGCTCGGCTTGCGTCGTACCGACTTGATTGTCACGACCAAGATCTTCTTCGGTGTCCGCGAAGGTCCCAACCAGCGCGGTCTCTCTCGCAAGCACATCATCGAGGGCACTCGCGAGTCCCTCGCCCGCCTCCAGCTCGAATACGTCGATGTCATCTTCGCGCACCGCCCCGATGTCAACACGCCCATGGAGGAGATCGTCCGCGCCTTCAACTATGTGATTGAGAAGGGCTGGGCGTTCTACTGGGGCACCTCTGAGTGGTCCGCGCAGCAGCTCGAGGAGGCGTTCCACGTCGCGTCGCGCCTGAATCTAATCGGCCCTGTCGCCGAGCAGTGCCAGCACCACATGTTCCACCGCGAGCGCCCGGAGAAGGAGTACGCGCCGATTTACCGCAACTACGGCGTTGGCACGACCGTCTGGTCCCCTCTTGCGTACGGTCTGCTCACGGGCAAGTACAACAACGGCGTGCCGGAGGACTCGCGCCTTGCGAAGGAGCCGTTCTTCAAGGATACGAAGGATGGCTTGTCGAACGCTGAGGGTCAGGCCAAGATCGAGAAGGTCAAGAAGATCACCACGATCGCTGAGAGTAAGCACCCCCACCCCCATGATACGCCGCAAAAGTTGATTGACTCCCTTCGCAGAGCTCGGTACCACCACCGCTGCTCTCGCTCTCGCTTGGGTCGCTCGTCATCCCAATACCTCCACTGTCATCCTCGGCGCGTCGAAGCCGGAGCAGATCATCGAGAACCTCAAGGCCATCGAGGTCTTGCCGAAGCTTACGCCAGAGATTTTGGCGGAGATCGACGATATCCTGCAGAACAAGCCGGCGCCTTTGGTACGTAGAAAGTCTCCTGCATCTAATTCCTTAGCACTGTCTGACGCTTATTTCATAGCCTACGTTCCGCATCGCTCCCCTCGACCCGTACGGCGCTAAGCCCACCAATATCTACTAAGCTGGCTTGGAGTGATGGGCGCCTGTGTTACAGAGTCTACATCGGAGAGCAAGGAATGAAATGAAATGTACAATATACCATGGCTGCGCACCGGCGACAGAGGCTTGACGAGACTGCCACAACTGAATTTACTGAAAGCGCTGAGCCCGCGGCGATACTTGAAGGGACAAATATTTGGTCGTTGCTGATCGTGACGCCACGTGGTCGCACGTTGATCTTGGACAAGACGCTCATCTTAGCCCTCAGGACGTTATCCAATTCTGCCTTTATCTCTGGAAGATTCGTCAATGTAAGTATCGCGCACTTTCATGTCAGCGGTATGTAGTGTGTGAGGCAAGGCCGAGACTATGGCTCATCTCAACAACGCCCACTTTCGAAGCCCTCGTACAGGTGCAATCCTGGTCAACGACCGTGGGTGCGTACTGATAGCGGCTATCTCCAGGCTGATGCTCAGCTGATAGCAACTGTATGCAGTAAGTAGCAGCTCCTTGCGAATTCCATCTGCCCGCAGAAGCAACCATGAGCTCAGTATGAAGCCAGTCTTCTGATGATCGGGCCCAGCAGCCCATGGGCAGTTGCTGGACGTACTGACAGGGCGCTTGTGACGGGGTCTCCCTGGTATGCGTTGCTTTCACCAAGCTTGGTCTGCAGCGGAACGTATACTAGACGTCAGCGCGCGGTATTGCACCTTTACATAGTGAGTGATTGCAGTCTGTATGGGGAAGTCAAGCTCATCTCATTAGGTGAATCAACGATCGGATCCCGTTAGAAGCAGCCAACGATGATCATGGGGCGGAGTCCCACCAGCGAACCAATGTGATCATAGCCGAATCGTCGTCCCCAGGGGTACGCTCGATACAGGCCTGATTCGTCACTCTCCTCTCATCGCAACATTCTCCGTCTTAACATGTTCTCATAGCTGCCCTTGCCATTTCGCAGAACAGCTCCATCTACCTGGGATTTGCGAGCAGCTGCACGATGGTGAAGTCGCTGCTCAGGATGGCCCTCATGCGCCGGAATCCTCATGCCAACTCCGTCGACCTGACTCGACTCGGGGAAGTTTCGAGTTGGGTCGGCGGGAGAAGCGCCCTCACGTGAAGGCGGTATGTGTTGCAAGTATCTGTCCTCAAGGACGACTTGTAGTCGGGTCTCGGCGCGAAGCCTTCGCCGCTAGCGTGGGAGATGCGCTGTCACAAGTCTTCACATATATCGACGTGCCAGGTCTCCCAGGTCCTCCCATTTCTCTCTTTCCGCCCCCCACCATCATCTATCGGATATCCTGGTATTCCGACAAGATGACGGCGGGATTGCCGTCCTCTAATGGCCAGCATCCGGCGTCAATCCCGAGGTAAGTCTCATACCTCGCGTGCTCGATAGTCAGCTCATGATTGCAGAACATCTGTTCCGGGGCCTCGTCATTCCCTTCCTATGAGCAAGGCTGTCCAGGGGTCTGCTGCTCAAGGGCCGGGTCCTCGATCAACTCCAGCCCAGGAAGACCCCGCGAGGCGGACTCCAGCTACAGGTCATCGCTCCATGTCGCATGGGCATCGCGCTCGACCAGCAGAGATCCCGATGGCCTCTTCACTCCCCCCATCAACCGTACCCTCCGTCTTGCGATCGTCCGATGCACAGACGTCCGCTCCCTTACCCTCGCATCAAACTGCTAGTACCGGCCGATCCGGTTCGCATCGCCTGCTCCCCGCGCCATGCGTGGCGGTGCCACTACACGAAGTCGCGTTGGCGCCTTGGATGATTGACACGCCGCCTCCTTCACCTCGATCGCAAGAACGCAGAGTTCAATGGTCAGAAGAGAGCCAAATGTACTCACCGCCACTCACGAGCTATGGTACACAATCGTTAGGTAGGTTGCCGTCCCTATCAAGAATTCATCGCAAGCTTCTCACTTAAATACGCTACCAGGTTCCTCGCGTTACAGTATTTTAGAGAGGCCGCCTGATGAGCTGGCAGAAGCGTCGACCGCTCACTCGCTCTCATCATCCAGGACCACATCGGATCCACTTCGTCGTGCGGGATACGTGCCTAGTCCTACGAATATTCGTCGAAGCGCGGGCACCTTCAGTCCTGTGGAAACAATCCAAATGGTTAATGCTGACGAGGCCCTCGCCATCGCCCTCGCACGAGAGGAGGGCGCAGACAATCAAGAAGCGATCCTTGCATCCATAGGCCCTTCACAGGCAGGAGCCTCCAGCGCTCATCCTACCGGACCCGCCGCTGCTGAGGCGAGTGACGATGACCTCGAGTACGCTTCGGAGGAATCGGTGGCAGGTCTGGCACCGTCCGCGCCACCCGACCCGTATGCGCCGACCCCTGTCGAGCCATTGCGCATCTCGCGCCCTCCCCGCTCTCCCCCAAATCCGCCGGTCGAAGCGCCGAGACCTGCACCACCAAGGGTCCCCGAAATCATAATCACGCCGGAAACGCCTACTCCGCCGGAAGCTGCCTCCACCGCTCAGCCCGGCGCTGAGCGCGAGTCTACGAACACCCGGCGGGCAAGCACGGACACACTTCCTCCCTACACCTCTCGGGTTCCAAGTTTGCTTTTGCCCCCAGCATACGATGCCCTGAGCACCCTGAGAGCATCGCTTCCGCCATCCAATATGCATGATCCTTCTGAGGCTAGTTCGGCGGACGAGGTCGATGTCCAAGAGCCTCCTCCGACCCCACGTGCAGCAGAAGCGCGCGACTGGTGGCGGGAACCCTTCCCAGTGCCATCTTCCATTAGGCGACGCCGTTGCACGTGCGGTTCCCGAGTGTATCACCAAGTCGTCGTACGTGGCCAGTTGATTTCTCCTACTTCAACTGCTCATCCAACTCGCAGAAGAAACGTTACACTGGTGGCAGCTTGTGGAAGCGCCTTTGCCGAGAATCCCATGCTCGGTGCAGGACTGCCAAGCCTAATTGCACCGTTCACTGCAGTGGATGCGGCAAGGCTAAAGGCTTGTGCAGCATCAGAGGTTGCGACGGGTCGGACTCTCGTTGCGATATGTTGTTGTGCTGCCCACAAGTCCGGGCGCTCGCGCTGCAGAGCGCCTTCGACGTCTTCGACAACTTCGAAAGCGAGGCCTTCGCCTCGCTGGACATCAATACCCTCCCGTCTTTCGACGCCATCATCCGCCACGAGAGCGCCCGGGACCTTGTCTTGGACGTCCTCGATGCGGTCCGCAGACTTCTCGACATCAATATCGCCCAATCCAGTGACGATGAACGCGCTCGCGCCGCCTCGCGCTGGGTTGTGCAGACGAGCACGCTGTTCGACGCGGCGTGGGCGCTTTTCCTGCCTTTCAACAGGTTCGCGGCTACAGATTCAACCCTGGAGCACGTTTACCTGGAGATGCTCAGCTTCCTTCGTCTCCTCAGGCGGGCTGAGCTGATCAGCCAGGTCGACACGCCCGCTTGCGCCGTCGAGTTTTCGCGGACTGCGATGGACATGTGGCTAGCGGACGCGGATTTCGCGTCCCACCTTCCCGAGCTTGTGCCACGTCCGGAGAGGATGGACACTCCTCTCGACCGCCTGTTGATGGAGCTCGGGAACGCGCGGGGGGTGATGTCGATGCAGGCAAGCACGACGACGAGCCAGCCAACGCGTCGGAAGCTTAAGAGGCTTCTGAGCGCTATCGACGACTTGCTTGCCGAATATGACATGCTACCTGCTTAGTGCGGTAGTGGTGGGGTGTTGTCCTCGTGCAGTTGTATGCTGGCGATGATTTCTCCTTCGATGGCAGGGTTGAACGAAAAGGCGATGGAACAACGGTGCGGGGCACCGGTTCATCATGACATTCACGACCTAAATCTATATAGATTTAACTGATACCGCTCTGGCAGCGCATACTGTACCGTGTACAACTGAAATCGATGTAATCTATGCAAGGGCGAACACTGCTGGAGAAGCGAACAATTGCAGAGCACGAATGCTTCGCAGAAGTCCTCAAGGGAGGATAGGGTTCCAAAAATTTCGCCATAGGCAATGGAGAATGGAACGACCACGCAGGCTTGGACCCTTGTGCTGATCGAGGTTGACCAGCTCCGGACAAGATCACGAAGTGCACGCCACACTCTATTGACGGCCCGAATCGTGCGCAACCTCCGCTATCCACCACGAAGGGCGGAGAGCATCGTCGGCAGCGTATGAGTCGGGGAGTAGATGAACGTGCAGCACCTCTTTCGCTCGCTCTCGCATAGCGAGAGACGGGTGTCGTCACTGGTGCTACGCAGTCACCTACGACACAGGCCCACTCACCGCGGTGTTCGAAAATATCCGAAGATACACGTGGCGACCGCGGTGAGCCCACAATATCAGGTCTCGCCACCGCTACCAAGACTGCTGATCCAGCGGCCTCGGTAACGGTGACAGTAGCGACCCGTGTACCACTCGAACCGTGCAACTGTCTGCGAAGCATAAGAATCGACCGAGTCAGCAATCCCTGGAGAACCGAGGATCACTAAACTCAGCCATGAAGTAGGCGCATCCAGGAGCCTGGTGGTAGCAGTTGGGCACTGTGTCTGGCGAACGAAGCAACCCACCCATCGCGGTGTTCGAAATACCCGGGAGTACACGTGGCGACCGCGATGAGCCCACAGAGATAGGTCTTGCCACGGCTAGCCAAACTGCTGATCCAGTAGCCCCGCTAGCCATGACAGTAGCGACCCATCCACCACTCGCACCGCGCACCTGTCCCCGAAGCGCAAGAATCGACCGAGTATGTGTCCCCTGGTAAACCAGAAATGGCACAGCCCGGCCCTGAACGTTGCTCATCCGGATCCTAGTGGTGGTGGTTGGGTGCTGAATCCAACGAAGGAACATGTAGTGAGCACGAAGGCCTTGCAACACAAATACCGTCGAAAGACAGGTTTCCAAAAATTTCGCCATGGTCAATGCAGAGCGGAAAGACTGCGTAGGGCTCGTTCCTTTCGCCGATCTAGTGCTGCCGAAGTTCAGTTCAGTCCGGTTCAGCACCTCCTCGGGCTGAACCTGAACCTGAACCGACGGCGAGACGGTGAACCTGAACTGAACCTGAACTGAACACCTCGAACGAGTTCAGATAGGTTCGAACCGAGTTCGAACTTGTTCGAGCCTATTAAGAATAAGATGTGCTGTGCGCACCCTTCTTAGCTGTCTTTGAAAGTAATAGTTACAATATAATGGTAATCGGCCCATTTTCTTTCACTCGGGTAAGGAAAGGAAACAATATAGGCAAGAGGCTGGCGCGTGAGTGTGACTGATACGTGACATGTTGAACTCGGATATCCCCGAGTGTCGGTGACAGGCAGCCTACAAGCTGCCGTCGCTTTATGAGAGCCTCTAGATGCAGGTATGAGGCTTCGACTCCAGTATCAAAGCTAATACTACGCTAAACATACAGGAAAAACAGTGTATCAGGGCTTGAAAGCCCCTGGTGGTGGTTCAGGTTCGAACAGGTTCGAACAAATCCAGCGTTGCCCGAACCTGAACCTGAACCTCGACGGCAGAGGTCGAACTGAACTTGAACCTGAACTGAACTTCGTGTTCGGTTCAGGCGGTTCGGGTTCGAACCGAAGTTCTGAACCGGACATCGGCAGCACTACGCCGATCGAGGTCGATCAGCTACTAAGTCGAGTCTACGAAGGCCACGCCACATTCCATTGACGACCCGAATCGTGGGCCACCTCCGCTGTCCGCCACGAAGAGCAGATAGCATCGTCGGCAGCGCATGGATCGGAGAGTAGATGATCATGGAGCACCTCCTCCGCTCGCTCTCACAGAGTGAGAGGCGGGCGGCGTCACGGGCACTGCACACTCAACTACGACACAGGCCCACTCACCGCGGTGTTCGAAATACCCGAAAGTACACGTGGCGACCGCGATGAGCCCACAATAACAGGTCTCGCCACCGCTGGCAAGACTGCTGATCCAGCAGCCTCGATAACGGCGGCAGTGGCGACCCGTGTACCACTCGCACCGTGCAGCTGTCTCCTCGACACACGAATCGACCGAGTCAGCGATCCCTGCAGAAGCGGGGACCGCATATCTTGGCCCGGAAAGACGCACATCAAGGAATCTGGTGGTAGCAGTTGGGCACTGTGTCTGGCGAATATAAGCGACCCACCCATCGCGGTGTTCGAAATACTCGGGAGTACTCGTGGCGACAGCGATGAGCCCACAATGACAGGTTTTGCCGCAGCTAGCCGGGCTGCTGATCCAGTAGCCCTGCTGGCAATGACGGTGGCGACCCGTCCACCACTCGCACCGCGCAACTGACTCCTCAGCACACGAAGCGAACGAGTCAGCAATCCCTGCAGAAGCAGAGACCGCATGACTCAACCATGAAGGACGCGCATCCAGGAACCTGGTGGTGGTGGTGGTTGGGCGCTAAATCTGACGAAGGGAAGCACAAGGCGCGAACGCCAGGAGAAATGCCCCAGGGCAGATGAGATTTCCAAAAATTGGTGTTTTTCGTAGACTCGTCCTTGGTGGCTGATCCTCCTTGATCAGCGGTAGGGACCGAGTCTACGAAGAACACGCCACTCTTCGTCGATCTCCCATTGTGTCCACCTCCGCTATCCGCCCTAGGGCATCCAGCATCGTCGGTAGTTCACATAATGGGTTGCAAGTGTCCCCGCAGCACCTCTTTCGCCCGTTCGTCAAGGCAGCAGCGAGAGACGAGCGGACGACGTCCACGGCACTACGTTCACACCCGCGATAGACCCAAACCCACTCACCGCAGTGACGACGATGCTCGTAACCACCGCGCCTACCACGATAAGCCCGACGCTGACAGACCTCGCTGCCGCTGGTAAAGTCGCCTATCCGGCAATCCCAGCAACGACAGCAGTGGCGGTCCGTCTACCACGCGCGTCGCGCATTGTTCCCACAGAACTCGACTGAGGAAAAGCGACTTCTGCAATGCAGAAAGCCACCATCCTCTGCCTGACTGGGGCCCATCCAGCGTCTTGTGGCAGCAGTTGGGTGTTGTGTCTGACGATGATGGTTTCTCTCAAAAGGCACGCTCGCTATATATGCTAGCGCGTCGGACACCGGGCCGGGGGCTTGAATGTTGTCTGCTGTGACCTGTGTGACTTCTCCCCCTTCCTCTCGCACAATCAGTGCCCTCCGCGCATTGTTCCTACCGCCTCTCGGAGCTATCAGAGGCCCGATGACATACGCATGCCTGCATATGGTTGTCGATGACTTGCGTGCAAGCGAGCGCGAAACCTGCATGTCCTTTCGGAGTTAAAACAATGCGCAACATAACAAAGATCACAGACTGATCGTGCCAAATGGATATGCATGGTATGGTCCTTTGTTGTCTATGACAAGGCTATGTCAGGTCAAAGCAGAGATCACACGCCCCTGCCGCACATATAAATATGGCTGTTGAGAGGCTGAGGTTACCAGCAAACACCCCAGCCGACTACAACACACAATGTCCCGCACCCAACAGCAGAAGCAGAAAGATGCCAATAAGGGGAAGTTCACAGAATGGCAGATGTCCGAACCGTGAGTGGCGCACGAATCCCTGTCTGCACATGCTGATTGCTCTCCCGGATGCAGACATCGAGGCCGCGTGCAGCGTGTCCCTGCTGCACTTGAACGTGCTCGGCGTACAGGCTATGACAGTGTTCTCCCTCCCACGATGCACTGTAAGTGTTTTCTTGTAGCCACTTGTTCCTCTCTAACCGGTATTCAGGGGTGGAGGCGACTTCGACGACATTTCTTTCTGCTCAGTTCCCAGAGTCCTACATCGAGCAACACTACAAGGTAGTCAGCGCTGATGAGCTGGTCGATGCGGTGCTCGCGTTCTGCAAAGACGAGGATGTCTCTTTCTACGGCTTTGTCATCGAGACGAACGTGAAGTCTGGACCCGCCGTCGACGATCCCGTGGACGCTCCCGGCCTTGTTGCCTTGCATCTGAAAGGCGCGGATCTGGCTAAAGATACTCGGGCTCAGTGGATGCAGTTGTTCAAGAAGGCAAAGGTGCCGCACCTGGTGGACTGCCGCATCTTCATGCCCGGCAAGCTGTACAAGCCCTTCGAAGGCTCGATCTTCGACTTTCTGGGAACGGCGCTTGGCAGCCTGACACACCTCACTCTGCAACTGGCGTTCTACGACAAGGAAGGACTCGAGAAATTTCTTTGCTCCGACGGCGCTGCCTCTCTCATATCTCTGGAACTGCAGACCAACAGCCAGGTGACGAAGAACGTGGCGAACGCGCTCTCTCGCCGAAACGCCCACAGGCTCCCCAACCTGCGCAAACTGTGCCTGCGCCTGAAGAAAGACAGCGTCGACGAGCTCTTTGATGCGCTTTGCAAGCGTTACGACTTGGGCGCTAAACAACCTCTGCAGGTCGAGCTCAGGTCCGACATCAGCGACAAGATTTATCACAAGGCTCGCACCATGGGGATCACCTTCGACGAGCCGTCCGTCTTCCGCTAGAGCTTTGATTCCCCGGAACCTCGCCGTCCTCGATTCCTTACGCACGAGTTATTGATGTATTCTTGAATACTTATGAGCCGTGGGGCGGTGACATGATTCACCTTGAATTCACCTATCATACCCTGATTCTGTATTTCTGACTCGGCACCCGCCCTTGTGATCTGTATACTAACGACCAATGCCACGATCTTCATGTTGTACTGTCCTTCCCGAATGAAATCCGATATAATCCTCCAGCCTCCGTGTATCAACGCTCTTGGATCTTGTGAGACTAGCTTCACGGTGGCGCATACCGCTAGACCAATTACTTACAGCCTACTGTCTGGTTTCTCAAGATCATCAGACCTTCAATACGCAGCCTAGTGTTTTTTCCTCTACTCAAAATGCAGTTGAGCACTGCGCGGTCGCACTTCACTAGATGGTGATATAGTATACGACTTTACTTTCGTCGAATGTGTGAGGGGGGATGCGGTGGATGTAGCGAACGTTACATTACGGACATCATCGTCGTTCTACAGTACGTGGCCGCTTAGGCGGCCTAGGTATCATCGTTTCGTCAAGGTCGTCTCCACACGCCTTGTCTTCGCCTCGTTCTCACCGCTCTCACCTTCCCGCTCATCCTCATCGCTCACGAAGGCGATGAAGGTGGCACCGCAAGGCATTACGCTGCCGGCACCTCCTCCGTCGTCTTCTCAAAACGCTTCATCGTCGGCTCGAGCTTGCTCGCGTCCTCCGCGGGCAACTCGACCTTCTCGCCCTCGCCCGCGGCGGCCTCCGCCTCCTCCTTGCACTTCGCGCACGTGCACACGAACTTCCACCCGGCCTGCAGCTCCGCACGGCGCGCGTCGAGCGGCTGCGCGACGTCGATGAACGCGACGCTGAGCTCCTCGCCCTTGGCGATGTCGCGCGTCGCGACGAGCTTGAGCTCCGCGGAGCCGTCGGTGGCAAGCTCGGTGGTGCCGTCGGGGTTCGCCTCCGCGGCGCTCTCGCCGTCGAAGGAGGGGCGCGCGTTCGGAGTGCAGGAGTGCGAGAGGTAAGAGGAGACAGTGTAGAAGGCGGAACCAACCTGGTGGGAGGTGCCGAAGGGTGTGCGGGTCTTGAGGGTGTAGGACTCGGGCTAGGCAGATAGTGAGTATGCGGAGGTAAGCGATCCAGAAGAAGACGCCTCACCCTGTCCAAGCGGCCGCCGTTGTAGCAGACACCGAACGAGTTGTATGCAACCTTGCCGAGGAAGGTGGCATAGCGTTCTGGGGTATCAAATGCCTCGAGACCGGGAAGGGCAGCTGCGAGGACATCCGACAGCAACTTGACCTCCTCACTCGGCGCCTCTGTCTCCAAGAAGCGCAAGCGCTCAAGGTGGTCGGCCAACAAGTACCCACCGCCCTCAGCGTCCGTGAAGTCGCCTCCAGGAGCCTTGGGTGCAGCACCAGGCATCATCGCAGTGATCATCTTCTCCGTCTCGAGCGCGAGCTGGCGCGCAACGAGCTCGGCGACGATGAGCGAAGAGCCAGTGCGCTCAGGGTTCGCGGCGAGGTGGGAGACAAGGGCTTCCTGGGCCGCCTGGCGCTGCTCCTTCTGTTCCTCGGGCAATGGGAGGGACATCTGTGGTGGCAAAGGCGGCTCGAGGCTGAAGAGGAGGTTCTGATACTGCATTTTGGCGGCAATTTGGCAGTCGGAGGAGCAGAAGACGGACTTGAAGTTGTCGGAGGTGGTAACGGCAGCTTCGCGATCGACGATGACGCGCAGACAGTGGTTGCAATGAGTGCCGGCCTCGTGGAGGTCGTAGTCGAGGGTGGCAACGATAGGGGATTCCTGAAGATACTGCTCAGCAAACAACTTGCTAAGAAGAGCGCACAAGTATGAACCTTGTAGATAACCTCTCCGGCCTTGATGTCCTTTTGAGCGACAAGCATGGAGCGCGTGCCGGGCATGGTTGCGGATGCCTTCGTCTCAATGGCGACGTTGAAAGACTTGGGCGGGAAATGGTGGAAGTACCCTGAATCGCACATCCTTAGCAAACCCTTCACTGACCGCATGCCAATACTGGCGCACCTTCAATCTTGGAGGTCATCTATAGGAGAGTAGAGATAGCATGGGGGAAGATATATTAGATCGCGTCTCGAGACATGGAAAGCAGGAAGACAGGAGGGGGCGTAGGCTAAGGGTCCAGCGTAGGTGTCTACGGATGCTTGCATGCGTGCATGGGGGGCATTAATTCGATGCGGGGTCGGTGACCTTGTCCCAGTCTTGGGACGAGGTCTCCGAGGGAGGACCACTCGAGGTGGGGGCAGCCGCGGCAGCAGCCTCCAGGTCTGCAATATCTATGCCGGCGTCCGGACCCAAGCCCAAACCTACTCCCATGCCCATAGCCATACCCATTCCGAGAGAGTTTGCACTCACGTCCAAATCCATCATTTGGGTGACGAGCTGGAGGACTGTTAGTGACTGACAGTAGCATCACGATGTTGAGACGTACCTTGAAGATCGGCTCCGGAACCGTCTTTTGGTAGATGACGATGAGCTCCATGGGGGACGGGTACACTTGGAGGCCCTTGTAGAAGCAGAGTGCGGCTTCGAGATGCAACTCGGGGCCTGCAGTAGCGTTAGGGGTGTATATGATTGACACAAAGAGTACACTCACCCAGCAATGACAGCTTTTCACCCTTGCTGATCTGGTCCATGAAGTACGGTTCCCTCAACTCGGGAGATGCAGGTGCGGGCTCGAGCTTTGCGCGCTCCAGAGCTTCCAGGATGACCTCCTTCGTGATGGGCGGCGGCAGAGACTCGGCCAGGGTCTTGTCAGCGCGCTTCTTGTCCTTCCCTACGGAGGGTGTGAGCTTGGAGACGAGAAAACTGGGGTATGCACGCACGCAACCTCCGCCTGAAGCCGGCGTCATTGCGGCGTTTGTAGTCGAAGTATGCGGCATAAGCAATGAGACCACCGAGGACAGTGATGCCGGCAATGGTTGCGACGCTGGTTGACCTGGAAGAGGAGCTCATCGTTGCGGACGGCGGCGACGACGGATGTGGTGGTCGGAGACAAGGCAGGCGCCTGCGCGTCGTGTAAATTTCGGACGAGCGATGACGTAAGATCGGCGACTTCCGGCCGGCGAGTCCGGTGTTTGTTGAGCAAACTGCCGTCGCACGCGACTGTACTTGCCTTCGCCGACGATCACAGCAGCCGCGCCGACGCCGCCGACGACGCCGCCCCCGACGCCCGACAGTCCATGACTGACGTCGCCCCCAGCCAACAACCAGGCCCTTCCTCCCCCACCCCCGCCAGCGCTTTTCGTACGTCGCCAGCACCGTCTGCACGCGATGAGCTCATATGTGCCCCAGAACCCAGCAGCGGCACAGATGCGCTCCCAAGGGACATCGACATGGACGCAAGCGACCAGCGCGACCGCCCAGAGGACACGGACAAGGAGAACCGCGCAGACGAGATGGATACAGCTAGAGATGGAACCGACGACACCTTCCTTGACCACTCTTCGGACACGGTGGCCCCCGAGGACAGCGAGCTTCTTGAGATAGGCGACGAGGACAACAGGCCGGAGATAGAAACGTCCGAGTTTAGACGCGTAAAGGTGCGCGTCAAACGCCACTGGCCGCGTCCAGGGGGACTCACCAATCGCAGGTCTACCAACTTGTCGGTTCACGGTGGGAAGACAAGGGGACCGCGTTCTGCTTTGGGGAACTGGTCGACGATAACGACGCGAGAATCGTAGCGCGCGCAGAAAGAGATTACGACCAAATCATCCTTTCCACTATGGTTCGCAACGATGTCTACCAGCGCCAGCAAGGTGCGCGCGTCGCGTCAAACCATCCGTATCCAATCTCACTGGTTTGCAGAGACCTTAATCGTTTGGACGGAACCTGATGGAGTTGATTACGCGCTTAGCTTCCAAGATCCTGACGGCTGCGCCGAGATATGGAACTTCATTGTCGATATCCAGAATACATTTGGTACGGCCCGCATGGCGGTTCTTCTCTCGGGCACTCCCACTTACGGCTCGTCAGGCGCATCCGACGATACACCATCCTCGCCTTCGCATCACTTCAACGCTGAAACGGTTGCTGCGATGAAGTTCTTGCGCAACGGACAACTTCCCTCACCGACTATGGGTGCGATCGAAGAGGTTGGACGCGCGCTAAAGGCAATATCGCGGTCGCCGAGCGTGAAAGAGCGCTTGTGCGAACTCTTCATACAGCAGGTGCGTCTTACCCCAAAAGGGTCCGAAGCAGTCGCGTGTTTGCCACACCTGTCCCCTTCAATATACTCAAGCCTTGCCTTACATGTCAGGACTACATCAAGCAGCTAATCAGCGTCATGACGGATGTTGAAGACCTGGAGAGTCTGGAACATCTGCACCTTTTGTGTAGCCTCATGCAGACGATACGTAAGTGGCACATGTACGTGGTAACAGCCTATACCGAATCCTACGACAGTGATGCTCGGCGATCACAATCTGTATGAGTACATCCTGGAGGACGACATATTCTTAGGCGTCGTCGGCATGCTTGAATGTACGTGCTATTGTCCCGTATGGAGCGTATTGGGCCCTGACTATCTCGCAGATGATCCCGAGTTCCCGGCACACAAGGCCAATTATCGGCAATTCCTGACACAATGCACTACTTTCCACCAACCCGTACCCGTCCGCGACCCCTCCATCATGCGCAAGATACACCACACGTACCGCCTGCAGTTCCTGAAGGACGTCGTGCTTGCCCGCGTCCTCGATGACTCCACCTTCAATGTTCTCAACTCGTGTATCATCTTCAACCAGATCGACATCATCAACCATATCCAGCAGGAACAGCGCTTCCTGGCCGACTGCATACGGTTGTATGTCGACGAGGACACGATCATCAAGAAGAAACCGGAGGCGAACGGGCATGAGCCACCCAAAGCGGAAGCGTCTCCCGCTGCCAGCGACGACAAGCCGAAGGACTCTCCAAAACCCAACGGCGAGGGTACACCGGACAAGCGACCACCACTGGGCCAGCGCATCTTCCACTGTCTTCCCCTCGAGATCCTTTCACCCAAGGATATCGCCCTACGACGGGAAGTCATCTTCCTCATACAACAACTATGCGTCATGGGCAAGAACATCCAGCTGGCTGCGCGAATGTCTCTCTTCCGCTGTCTCGTCGACCGCGGTATCCTCTTTCCTGTTCAGTGGGCCCTCAGCCTGTCTGAGTCAGACGAAACTGCGAAGCCTGTGATCAGCGCAGGCGGCGAGATCCTGACGACGCTGCTCGACCATGACCTGAATGGCGTCCGGAATCACGTCCTGAAGCACGTCAACGCCATTGAGCGTGCGAAGGAGGCCGGCACGCCAGGAGCGGACAAGGTGGAGACGCTGCTCGAGCTGGTATGCAGGATAGTCGCGCAGAGCAAGGATCTGGCGGTGCAGAGTCAAATCGGCGAGGCACTCAAGATCTGGATGGACATGCCGACAGATACAGGCGCGCTAGCGGGAGAGGCGTCGCATGTGCGTCCATTAGCTGATCAGTAGTGAAATGCGGTCTTACTGAATTGCTATCTACCCAGATGATCGGCGCGGCCAAGCTAATGCGGAAGGACGAGCCGGGGACGGAGCGCTTCTTGGATTACTTCTACAAGGGCTGTGCGAAGACCCTCTTCGCCCCGATCACAGACCTCCCGGACTGGAGAAGCCTGAACGGTTGGTTCATTTCCTCACGCCTCATGCGATACACGAGCTAACAAGCGGCGCAGGCGTCCTTCCTCTGACACGCGAGGAGACGAACCGATATGTCTATCTGTGTGACCTCCTGTACAACTTCACCCAGCATCACAACTTCCGCATCATGGTGCATATCATGAGCCAGGGTCTGATGACGCGCGTGGCCACGCTGTTTAGGGCGAGGGATAAGCATTTGAGGCATTGTGCGTGGTTTGGTTTGGGCTTGATTGGGAATATGGGCTGACTGCGCTGTCTACTTCTAGCTGCGTTCCGCTTCTTTCGACTGCTGCTGAGGATGAACAACAACAACATGCACCAGCAGATGGTCAAGCATGACCTGTTCAAGCCCATCATCGACCTCACGTTGAGCGAGTCAAGACGAGACAACCTGCTCAGCGGCTCTTGTCAGGACTTGTTCGAGCACATACGGCGGGTGCGTATTAGTGCCGTTTCCCTACGGCTTGCGCCTTCTCATCACGAATATAGGAAAACATGAAGAGCATCATCGAGTTCATCATGAAGAACCACGGCGATGACATCCGGAAGTTGGCAGAGACGCCCTTGGGCCGCCATCGATTCGAGATGTTCATCCGGCGGTATGAGATCAACTGCGAGCCTCCGCCAACAGAGACGAAGGTCGAGAAGTACGTGTCCCAACATCGGAGTCCTTCCCAGGTACTGACCTGCATCCAACAGGACGCCAGAAATCTCGCGCTTTCGGCCACATCGCGCCATGGACGCGGAGGAGGAAGAGTGGTTCAACGCCGACGAGGACGACGATACGATACCCGCGATCAGCCAGGCGTACGCCCGCGGCACCGACGCTGCGCAGGCCGTCCCGTCTACGTCCCTCAAGCGCAAGCGGCGCACGATGGCGCAGTCCCCAACCAAGGTCAAGATCACGCCCCCGCGCTCGCCGTCGCTGGGGCAGCTAGCGGAGTACGGGGATGAGGACGAGGAGGACGGGCCGCAACCGAGGCCAGCAGACGACCGGATGCAGGGCACCGAGGACGAGCCGCCAGAGCGCAGTCGACCCGAGTCGCCCTCGCCGGGCCTCATGGCGAGCATGGACGAGTTGGGGCCGGTGCGGTTGGGCGAGAAGCGGCGGCGGGAGGAGGATGAGGACGAGGACTCGCTGGAGCGGCTGAGCAAGGTGAAGAAGGCGAGGGACGCGGCGGATCGGAGCGGTGGTGTGAAGCAGGGCGACGATCCGCCTGCGGGGGGCAAGCGGACGATGAAGCTGAAGTTGGGTGGCGGGAGGGCGACGACCGCGTCGCCGACGCCCTCACCGACAGCAGAGTCCCAACCACAGCCGAAGAATGGGGATACGGGCTAGATGTACGTCTACTCGTCATCTTTCGATTGTCGACCTCCGTCGTTTGGGTTGCCGCTCGGGCCTAGTTCGTTCACCGAGCGCCGCTGTCTTCGCTTGCTTCCAGTCGAGCTGCTCTCCTTACCTCTCATCGCTGCTTACCTGACTCTGCTGCTTTGCGTCACTAATTATTGGTATGGGGTTCGTTCTGCATAGAGGCCCGTCGCGGCTGCCCTTCCTACGCTATGTTGTATGTAATATACCATCGTACAGTGCTTTACTGGACTTGAACATGATGGGGGATTGCGTAGAGAATTCTCGTTGGCGACAGGACCCCCAGATGCGTACGTGAGGATGCTCAGCGTTCTCGCCAAGGCGCGACTCTGGGAGCACCGCCTCTCGGCATTCTCTCGCAAATCTCCGCGTGGTGACCCCACTTTGGACCATATCGCCCTCGGCGCGCCGGGCCGGGTGCCTAGTCGCGATCAGCCATCGGCAAGTCAGGCCTTCATCTCTCTTCCAGAGCGTCCTCACATCTCCCCCCCTCCCCCCGCCAGCACGCTGGCATCTCGGTCCTCAGCTCACGAACTTTGACGACACTCACTCACGATGCTCGGCGCTGGAACTTTGATTTGGATTTCCCTGAGGCCTCTCCTCCGACTGTGGGTATCGTCTCGCTGGTTACTTCTTGTCTGACGGGAATGTGCAGAGTCATAACGACGTCCTTTGGGTTCGCCATAACCAAGGCAGACATCTTTCCTCAAGTAGCTTCGAGGGGAGCTGGCCAAATCATCCTTGTGCGTTTCTTCTCTCGACTCGAATCCATGCCTGACCGCTAAAGCGCGACGCGCACGCAGAACATCACCCTCCCATGCCTCATGTTCTCCAAAATCGTCCCCGCCTTCACACCGCAAAACATCCACGCCCTCGGTGCGCATGACCGCCGCCCCCTCACCCTGCACACCTGATACGCCAGCCAGGTCCCCTCGTCTTCGTCGCTATTATGTACGAGGCCATGGGCATGGCCATCGCTGCAATCATCCGCCTCTTCTTCTGGGTGCCGCACCGCTTTCGCTATGGCCTCCTTGTGGCCGGTGGTTGGGGAAATTACGGAGACATCCGTACGTCCCTGCGGCATGCCCTCATCCTCCTTTCTGATTCGCTTGCGTTACAGCAACTTCCGTTATCATGAGCATCTGCGGTGCAGCTCCCTTCAATCCGTCTACGGACGCTGACCTAGGTGTCGCGTATGTTGCTGCCTTCATCCTTGTCTTCATGGTAGGCGCTTAGTGCGATCCGAACATTGAGACATTAACGCGAACTGAATACAGATCACGCTTTTCCCACTCGGTGGCCATAAGCTCATTGCGAAGGACTACGTCGGGCCTGATATCGAGAACGATGACGTGCGAGAGGCGACCCGTCGCCGGCGTCGCATCATCATGTACGGCTGGGCTCACTATGCTGCGCGCCTCCTGCACGGCAAGAAAGGCAAGGTCGAAGACGACGAAGAGCACACCAAGTCCCCCATCTCAAACGAGAAGGAGCGGCAGCTATATGCTCCAACAGACTCACCTCACCCCGAACCATGCGAGAAGAAGCCCTTCAAGCACGTCGCATTCGATGACGGCACCACTGCCGTGAACTCTCCGATTTGCTCCCCCCTGCAGACCGAAGTTGGCCCGTCCCGTGCTCACTCACCCGAGCCCACGCTCGACGGACCCTCGCGGCCACCCTCGCAGCGCCACGACACGAGCGACAGCGTCCCAGCCCTCCCGCAAGCGCCCGACTACCCGCCCCCGGCAGGCGCGGTCGGCCTCTCCCCCGGCTCGTCCGCGCCCTCCGCCAAGCACCACCGCCGCCGCCGGCAATTCCTCCACAGCATCAAGGCCTTCCTCCAGTCCCTCTGCACCCCCGCCTCGCTCGCCATGCTCCTCTCCTTCCCCATCGCGCTCATCAAGCCCGTCAAGGCGCTCTTCGTCGAGGTCGAGGGCACGTACATGCCGAGCGCGCCCGACGGGGAGCCGCCGCTCGCCTTCGTGTACGACGTCGCCGAGTTCGTCGGCGCGGCGAGCGTGCCGCTGGGCCTGGTGTGCTTGGGCTCGGCACTCGCACGGCTGAAGATCCCGCGCGAGGAGTGGAAGAATCTGCCCCTTGGCGCCATCTTCTCGTTCGCGTGCGGGAAGATGCTGCTGATGCCCGTCATCGGCGTGCTTATGGTGAAGGGCATGACGCACTCTGGGATCATCGACCCGGAGGACAAGGTCCTGCAGTTCGTGTGCATGTGAGTGGGGTGCATCCTCCGTTCGTGCGTTTGACTGACCTCTGTGTAGATTCTTCTCGTGTCTTCCGACCGCTACGACCCAGGTCTTCCTCACGCAAGTATACAGCGGGACAGGCACCGCTGAGCACCTCTCCGCCTTCCTCGTCCCCCAATACGCTATCATGTTTGTCTCCATGGTCGCTCTGACCGCTTACACTCTACAATTACTATTTTGAGCGCGGTCTGTGACTACTGTACCTTGCGTATGGCCGGTCACTCTTTCGAGCACGGTCGGCTGTAGAGCTGGCCGTTATAGATGTATCATAGCCTCTACCTGTAGATAATCTTCACGCTACTTATGTAGGACGGAATGGACGCCGTTTGGCTTTCTATATGCCTCCGCGCTTGAGAACAACCATTCAGACGAACTCCACGACCATTACTCAAAACCAGAAACAAACGTCAGATCAACTGCTACAAAGACAGAGATACTCGTACTATGCAGGTACAGTCAGTGCGCCGGAAATAATGTGCGCGCCACAAATGAATGGTACAGTACAGTCCGAGTCCTATGCGACCCCCTCCATATGCATGTCCACGCTCCTCCTCATGCATGTCCACGCTCCTCCTGATGCGCGTTCGCGCTCCTCCGTATGTACGTCCACGCTCAATTGTTCGCTAAGCTCCTCCACATTCCCTCTTCCGGCACCTTCGCCGCGGATTCGAGGATGCGCAGAGCGCGCTGCTTGCCACGGCTCAACGCGGTCCCATTGACCGTCTCCTCGTCGCTCTCCTCGTCCGAGCCCTCATCGCCCGTGAAGTCGAGCGCGCCGGGGTCCAGCCCGCGCTCCCGATCCCGCTCCTCGTACATCTGCTTCCTCCGCGCCGTCGAGCTCTCCCGGCGCCGCGGCAACGGCGGCACGAGCACGCCGGGCTTCTCCGCCAGCGACGTCTTCGCGGCAGCGGTCTCGCTTGTCCGCCGGCGCGGCGGGCGGATGGCGATGGGCAGCGAGCCGATGAAGTGCTGGTGCTGGAGGTGGAGGTCCTCGGTCTCTCCATCGTCGCCCTCGGCGATGTCGTCGAGCGCGTCATCATCGTCGTGGCGGGAGAGGAAGCGCTTCCACGCGTCGCCGTCGCGTTTCCATGCGTGGCGGTGGCTCGGTGTGCCAGCGGCGACCAGGCGCTGGATCTCGCGCACGCGGAAGTCGTCGACATCGGAGGCGTCTGACGACTCGGCCGAGGACGTGGCTTTCCCGTTGACCGCGGGTGTGGGCGGTAACGGGACAGCGGCAGAATCTGGCTGAGGTTGCGATGGCTGCTCGGGATGAGGGCGGAGAGGAGCTGAGGGTCCTCCTCCAGGCGCGCTGCCTGCTATACTGCGCATCGCCGAGGGCGCTGGTAACGACGATGGGCGCAAGCCGGCGAACGAGCTGGGTAAACCGCTGCTAGGTTCTCGATTCCGAGCAGACAGACCTGCTGGCCGCGGCGGTCGCGAAGATACTGCAGCTGGCTCTACAAGTGGCAAGGTTGGCGCTTTGGACTGACGTTCCCCATTCTCCTCTTCGAGGTCAAAGACCATATCTGAATAAGAATGAGCAACGAGAAGGCTGGAAAAAGCACGCGGACGTACCGTCATCATCGTCTTTAGTAGGTGAGCTCTTCTCTGACTTCTCATGCTTGTTCGCAGCGGCCGGATCGACGTTAAAAGTGACCTTTCGCTTGCCCTTCCCAGACGGCGAAGTCGGCGATTTGGGTTGCGACGCCGCTTGCGAAGATGCCTGGGCCTGCTCCTTCCCCTTCCCATTCACCTGCGGCGTCGACGGCCCGGCAGTCTCCACTTGCAGCGGCTTGTCCACCTGGAATGGCTTCTCCGCCTCCTGCTTCTGCCTCCGCTTCTCCATCATCTCCTCCACCCGCTTCCTCTCCTCCTCCTCGTTCTTCGCGTACCAGTAGCTCGTCGCCACGTTCTTCTCCTCGTGCTCGTTAGCCCAGTGGCGGAACTGCAGGACCGACCCTTCGCCCGCGTCCGTCGTATGCCGCACAGGGAAGGTGCTGGAGGTGACCGTGATGCTCGAGTTGGTCTCGTCGGCCGAGGCGGAGGAACCCGGACTCTTCGGGGGCGGGCTGTCGTCGTTGGCTTTCGGGTGGTGGAAGGACGAGGTGGCGAGTGAGGCAGAGAGGATAGAGGTGCGCGGAGCAGCACTCGACGAGCGCCGTGGTGCAGTCACTTTGCTCGGGACGAAGTCGCGGATGACAGAACCAGGGGTCCCCGTACCATTCGGCGAGAACGCGCCAGCAGGATAGGATATGGAAGAGCGAGGGGACGTGAGTCGTTCTTGTTGCCGGGACTTCACGCTTGCGATCGCACCAAGGAAGGTTTTCCAGACATCCTCGGTCTCCTTCTTCAACCCGTCTTCGACCTTCTGTATTTCCTTGACCTTGGTCTGAACGACATTTGAAATGAAGTCTTCTGCCTCTTTCCTGATTCCTTCCGACTTGCTAGTCGCAAGGGAGGACAAGTGCTGGAAGACAGGGTGCTTGGGGGTGAAAGGTGGTGGGGGGAAGAGCGGGGGCAAGTCGGCAAGGTATTGTCTCTGAGGTAATGGTGACGGTTGGCTCGCTTTAGCGTCGGCATCGGGTGTCGGGGTATTTGAAGGGGGCTGCGCAGCGGGCAGAACGACAGAGTAGATGGGCGAGTACCGCGGGGACTTCTCGAGCAATGCGACGCCTTCCTGTGTCTATACGGTGCGCGGTCAGCGCTGTGCTCTGCGCCGAGGGATGACTAGGCTTTCTGGTCAGTCCGAAACCACCCAAGGACTTACTGGTAATGATTTGTGTATCTCGATCCACCCGTCCGTGCTCCTTAGCACCTCGACCTCAACCCAGTTGTCCGAGGGCAGCACGGGCCCCTCCTTCACCTCATTCTCGGGCGAGATGATCTCCTGCACGCGGTAGACGAGCGTCTGGCAGAGGAGACATGTGAGGGACGTGTAGCGCGCAGAGTTAGGGGAGTCGGGCAGCTGGGTACTTCGACTGCGATCGCGCAAGGTGAGCTGAGGATGCTTCTAGATTGCGATCCCCCTTGATCAGAGGTGGGTATAAGGGCCGAGCGGGGCACGCACCGCTTCAATGCCCTCGCCCCCCACGTATAGGGGGGCGAAGTCGGCGTCGGCGCCTTCTTTCACAAAGGACTTGTAGGTGCTTTCCGTCGGCGCTTCGCGCACACGAACGTTCAGACATCTGCATGAAAAGATGCGATTGCTGGGCTTGGGCGCCGTGGGTGCGGACGCCATGTCACTTGGGGCGCTGCTGGGAGCGCCTTGGTGAATGATGATGATGGTGGAAGGTAAAGCTGTAGTAATTTGAGGCGGATGTGCTCTCGGATCCTGCCCCCCAATCAGGAAATTTGTAGTGGATTTCTCCTGCAGCCGACAGGTCGTCCTGCGTGCTTTACAAAGTGGTATGTTACTGAGACGGGAAAGGATCAACGAAGGCGGTGAAAGCAAGTATCCAATGCGACGGCGTTCAGAGCAGGACCGTTCTAGACCAACTCTGCAGATCTCACGGGGGCTCTTGTGTACCGCTGGTCCAGGCATAACACGGCAGCAGACGCGGGGGAAGATCTCACCGAGAAATGGCCAGCAAGAGAACGAGCCCATTGGGTCATCTGCATATCGGTCTACTCGCGCCCGTATTGGCCAGGCAGGACGTCGTTACGTTCCATCCCTCACGACAAGCTCGCAGTCTTTCACGCCTTTGTCTGGGTTTCAGAAAGGTTCATTAGGAATAGTGCCAGCACTTGCGTGTACCGAGCACACGACTGAGGAACTACAGCTGTAAGTAGAAGGTATGCATGGTGATGATACAGTGACAACAAAGAGAAGAAAAACCTGGAGACGATGTATGCGCGCCTATGCGCTTTGTGTGTGTGTTATAAGTTATCTGTGAGTACAAAATCCGCGTCAAAGCCCTGCTGTCCGTCGGGAAACGCCCCATCGCAGCCAATCGTGAAAGGATATATCGGTGAAAAGACGCACAGCCTTGGTATGGTGCACGCGTGTCGTCGTTCTGGTGTGGCGCCAGCAGTTCTTCTGCCCTTCGCCTTTAGTCGTCCGCCATCATCACATCTCCGTCCTCGTCCACGTCGATAGTCATCATAGAGTCATCGTCCAACAGGCCCTCCAACTCCTCCGTGGCTGACATCACCGTGGGGAGCTGCCGAGCAGCCTCCGCGCGTGCGCAAGCGACACGAGCACCCAGCGCCAGCACGTCCTGACCCATCGGCGAGCGCGCCATACACCCTCTAAGGGCCTGCTTGTGCAGATCGGGCTCGCGCCGGCCGGCGGGAAAGGCGCGTCGCGCTGGCATAAGCGAGCGACGTGGCGACAACGGCGACGATATCCGCATCGCCGACGCGTTGAACGAGCAGTGCGTCGGTGCGCGTGCGGCGGCATTGGGGGTGAAGTAGATGGGTTGCTCGTGCGCGGACTGCGGCTGACTTTGTGGCTGCGGGGGTGGTGCGGGCGAGGGGTGTCTCCGGCGGGGCGGCTGAGGTCGTGGTGACCGGCGGCCGGCTGCTTCGGAGAGGTCTAGGAATGATGATGTGCGGACGAGCGACGACGAGCGCTGCATGGACGCTGCTTGTGGACGGCGGAGCTGCTTCGTGGGGCGCGGCGAACACGGCGACTCTACAGGGGAGCGCGGGCGCTTAAGGGGCGAGTGGGGCGCGTATCCGGCACTGGCTGGCCCGTGCGCGAAGGCAGGGGCAACGGCGGACAGGGTGAGTACAGTCATCTCGACGGGCGCGCAACGGGACTCTCTTTTATGATGATCGTCGGAGACAAAAGGAACTCCACCACGTGATTTGACTCATGCGTTCAACAATGGGCGGCGTGCACGTGTTTAGCTCCAATCAGATCATCCTTTGTTGATCTCGGCCCCTGGCGCCGGCCGGAGCCGCCTTTCTCGCCGCGCTTTCGCTTTTTGGACGAGCCCTTTGTTGTCCAGATGTCGCTATCGCCGCCTGCGAAGCACGGATCGCTGCCCCTTCGACCTTCAGATTTCCGTAAAGGGCTTGCAGGGAGGCATGGTCGCTTCATGTCCGCCCGGTATGGACGGCGCCCATGGGTGCGAGCACCGCGCGAACAGCTTCGCGGTGCAATCGCCCATTCCTGGTGCCCATGAGACCGGTAAGTGCTCGTGTACAAGAGGGACCGATTCCCCATCAGGTCGCCCTTCCTCCGCCAGCCGTACCCTCTGCCCACCCAATGAAGACCGCCGACTATAGGGCTAAGGCCAATCAGACCGCAGCGAGCGAGTCCGGAACTCAACAATAGCCACTCAATATTGAGTGGCGCGCACATCCCGGAGAATCTCTCAACTGTGGCACCCTCGAACGCGTCCGAGTCCTCACAGTATCAGCGCCCCACCGCAACCGTCGTATGAACCTCGCGAAGACGAATCGCGGGCTTGCGTCTCGGGACGCGGGCGCTTGACGCCAACAGTCGTCTGCCCATTGTACTCTCGCGTACGGCACCATTCATCTCGACGGCTCGAATCACCCATCCATCAGCGGGCGACGGTCGTTTCACGGCCGCGGAACGTCCAAGAGGGATAGCACTCGAATCACAATGTGCAGGCACCCGCAGCTCGACTTCGTCTGCGTCCAGTCCGCGTGATCTAGGCCGACCGCGGAGGCGGCGTGGAACTGTGCAAGCCGGGTACGCGTACAATCTAGCCCTAAGGAGTCAAGGCGTATCACAGGAGGGATCAGTAACATCACAACATAGGCGATGCATGTGGTGAGTCACATACCTCTGGCTCAGCCACCGCCACCAACGACTCGCCTAACAACATACCTAACTCTGCCTCGCACGAGCTCCGAGCTCCCGGGGGCCACTTAATAGTGCCTAAGTGGTGATTCATGCACTTCTTTGAGACCACCGTTTCTGCTGGATGATACACCATCGCTTGATAGCAAGCAGACCAAGTGGAGTGGCGTTAGGAAGACCACCTGGCTCTTTTCAGAAGACCTTCGACTGTCCGCGCAAGGAGAGGCTACAACATCGCTCGCTCGGAAGCCCGACTATTGCTTGCTCGAAGGCGTACCATTCACCGCCTAGAAGGTCAGCTCGTCCCAGTAGAAGCTCTCAAACGCATCGTAGATGGAGAAGCTCGCTGTCCTCCGGCGCCTACTTTTCTCCGGCTATCACATCGACTTCGGTAGCTTCGTTAGCCATCCCATCAACTGTCCGCTACTTCACCGAACGACTACCTGCTACTTCACCGAATCCCGAGGACTCCTTTCAGCGTGTCAGAGCTCGCCGCCTTCTCCTTGTTGGGCACTTTGACCATAAAGCCCGCGAAGGTCGATCTCCGTCCCGCCCGGCGTGTTCTACGGAAAGATGCGCTGAAGTACATGTACTGGGGATCATCGATCGTGGTCACAGAAGACGGCTCAGTGATGTGCTCAATTAATGTAAGAGTCGCCAGCATACCAAAGAGGATGTGACTGCGCGCGGCACCTTGAAGATGAAGCCCGCCGCCACCGCGGCGGACGGGGTTGTGGCGCACAATAGCCCATTGTTTTTGGTCTGCTTGTCCTCGTATGAAGCCGTGCTGTTACGCCGAGTCCCTATAATGTGACTGTAGACGTAGCATGGAATGCATACGTTTCTCGACGCTTCACATGAGACCGAGCAGCGAGAGCAGCTAACCTTGGCTCCGGAGACATTGTACTTCGGCAAATGCCTCGAAAAGAGAGACTTAGCCATAAAGTGCCTCACGACTATGGATCTTCTGCGGTTGCGCTGATAGGCCAAGGTATACTCCGCGAAAATGACATTTTGTTTATACCGTTGTCCCATATACAGCCATGGCGGCATCCTCGGATACAACGACGGCGTCCTTCTCGCCCTCCGCGTCATCCTTTCCCTTTCCCTCCTCACCAGCCTCACCACCATCCTCCTTCTCACCACCCTTCCCACTTCCCTTCTGCTGCCGCCCATTCGGGTTGAACTTGCGCTTGGGCATGACCTCAAGGAGCGCCTTCTCCCAGTCGCGCGTCTCGACCCATTTGCACATGATTTCGACGACCTGGGGGGGGGGGGGGGTTGGTGAGTTGTGGGCTACGGAAGATGCGAAGCGAGATGGAGGAACGAATTCCTTGAGAGGGGTTGGACGAATAAGGGGAAGAGGGGTTGGCGTAAGAGGCGACAGAGCCGGCGGAAGAGACAAAGGAGCTGGAGGAAGATGCAAAGGAGATGGAAGAAGATGCAAGGAAACTGATGAAGAGCATACGCACCTGGTTTACCGTCAACACCTTTCTCGTCGGCATATGCGCCAGGTAGCGTCCGATGGGCAGTCGTGCCGTACGAATGCCGGACTCGTTTGCTTTGTTGAGGCAGAGATTCTGAAGGTAGGGATGGTCAGTTCATCCGTCCAACAGTTGCGATGCGCATAGAGCGTCGAGTGAACAAACTCCAACCGCACCTTATACCGATTATGATCGCATATTCCGCCAATGATGTACGTCTCGTCCTCCTTCAGCTCGTTCAGCTCGACCTCGGAGTCGGCGGTGAGGTAGACGACGCTGGATTGGGGGGCGGAAGCGCGTGGTTGTGACGCAGGGGCACGAGGGCCTTTGGGACGGCGAGGGGCTCGAGTACCGTCGGTGGTGGATTCGGGAGCGGCTGGGGTGCTTTCGGTGGCGGGTGCGGAGGTATCTTCAGTGGATGACGCAGCGACACCTTCGCTCGATGGGACAGCAGAGTCCTCGGTCGTAGGCGCAGGGGCGTCGTGAGCGTTTGCCGCGGGTGCCGTTTCAGTAGATTCTGTGGGGCCATTTGCGCCAGTAGCAGCACTCTGCCCACTGTCACTACCTTCCCACAACCCCTCATACCCCTCCCGCCACCACTCTGTGCCCTGCCACCGTTTGTAGCTCGCGTCGTTCTGCGACTCGAGCCGCTCGAGCGTACGTCCGCCGAGGCCCGTAAAGAGGAGCTTGAAGGGCGTCGGCGCGCGCCGGTTGGCGGAATAGGTGTACCCGAGTTGCGAAGCGAGGGATTTTACTTCCTGTGTTGAGAGTGAGTGGGTAGTGTGAGTATTGAAGAGAAGAGTAGAGGAAGAAGGATGCTCGTTTTGAGCTGCGACCTGACGGGAGACATGCAGACGTGGAAGAGGAGCCTCCCACTCACATTATCCGACATCTTCTCATCAAACCCCAGGTCCACCACCAACTGGCAGAACGGCTTCTCCCTGCTCATCCGTGGCCGCTTCGGCGCGCGCAGCTTCTCCTCTTCGTTCTCGTCGAGCTCGCCCGCGGCGCGCTTCTGCGCCAAAGCCCGCTTCTTCTCCTTGCGCATCTCCTTCTCGCGCGCGCGGCGTTCGAGCTGGGGTGGGGAGAGTGTGAGTACTTGGAGTATGGTAGGGAAACGATGGTTAGGTAGGCAGGGGCAGGTGGGATGTGGAGGGTGAAATAGAAGGAGGAGGAGGAGAGGGGAGAGGATGACTACGTAGGACGCACCTTCTGCGCAGCGATACGCTCCGCCTTCGCCAGTTTCTTCATCGCGCTCTTCGACATGGCTGGCGCGGAACCCTCGCCTGCGCCAGCCTCGGGGGCAGGCAACGCGACTTCCGACGCGGCAGGAGTCCCCTCAGCTGCTAAGGAAATGAACGCCTCTTCAGCGACCGGAGTCGGCTCTTGAGCCTCGACAGTAGTGTCCATGGCAAGAGAGGTGAGATTCAAAGGAGACTTTCAGAGATGTCAAGGGTAGCACGACCTGCTCAAGTCACCCGCGCACTGCTCAAAGTCAATGACCGGGAGCCTGCAGTGATCGCCATCGATCGTTCCTCGCGTGCCGGCTACTCCGGCCCGCCATGCCGAGCCTTCGCAGAGCCCTCATCATCGTCACCTCGTTCGCGACTGTTCTCGGGCTTTACGCGTGCTACTTGTCTTCATTCAGCTCCTCTGGCTCTCCCAAATCATTCGGAACACCTCTAGACCCCGACGCCTTCAAGAACGCACCCCTTGACTCCTTGCGTTCCGACTCCGACTCTGCTGAACTTGACATCACCGACATGGCCTATCTCGCCCCTCTGAAGACTTTGGTCGTGAACGCGACGGCGAAGCATACCGCGACGGTGCTCTTCGTCCATGGGCTGGGCGACTCTGGGTATGGGTGGGAGCCGGTGGCGCAGATGCTGGGCCGGGAGAAGAGCCTGGCGCATGTGAAGTGGATCTTGCCGCATGCGTGAGTGGTACTACTGTGTCGCTCAACTGCTTCCTAGACCTCTGGCTTCGCTGCCTCCCCCCTCATCTTCGCGCATGTATATCCTTCCACATCTGCGTACTCTTCAATGCGCTATGTTTCTGGATAATCCCTGTTTTCTTGAATCCTGTATATACGAGCGACACGCCGTGCTCACGTCTGCCATGACAGACCTGAACAGCCGGTTTCGGTGAGCGCTACCGCACGTCGATGATGGCAACTGCTCACTTAGCCGTGCAGGCGAACGGCGGGATGGTTATGCCGGTGTGTATAGCTCCCTCGACCCCCTCCCACCTTCCGCTCGTCCGACCTTCCTCTACCTCCCCTCGCGACCCCTCATACGCGCGCAGCTTCCCCAACATCCCAACTAACCTTCTCCACCCAGTCCTGGTTTGACATCCGCTCCTTCTCCCTCAATTCCGACGAAGACGAGCCCGGCATGCTCCGCACCACGCACCTCCTCAACCAGCTCATCACCGCCGAAGTGGATTCCGGTATTCCTCCAGCTAACATCGTGCTGGGCGGCTTCAGCCAGGGCGGCGCGATGACGCTGCTGACGGGGCTGACGACGGAGCGGAAGCTGGCGGGCCTGGCGGTGCTGAGCGGGTGGCTGCCGCTGGCGGGGAAGGTCAAGGCGGTGAGTGGGGTGAACAGCACTCAACGCTGTTGGAGTGTTGTAGGAAGTATGCGGCGCTTGAGGGATGCTCACACTATCGAGCAGATGGTCTCTGACCACGCGAGGAAGGTGCCCATCTTTTGGGGCCATGGGACGGAGGATCCGATTGTGCGCTTTGAGAACTGCCAGAGGTGCGTTGGGGCCCGTTCACTCATTTTCGTCATCGCCCTGTCGAACAATCCTAGTCCCGCTCCTTTACACACGTATTGACTCCCCTTAGATCCGTCGCCTTCCTCAAATCCGAGCTCAAGATCGCGGAGGGTCCCGACGGCCTTAGCCTGAACGTCTACCCCAGCATGCAGCACGCGACATGCAACCAAGAGCTGATTGCATTGAAGGCGTGGCTGGAGAGGGTGTTGCCAGCACCGCAAGCTTGACTCGATGACAGGAATAATAGACTCGGAAGGATATGTTGCAGGAAGGTACTTTTGTGAAGAGGTCTAATTCATTTGAGGCAAAGCTTCGCTCAGATAGTTCGCTCTTTGGTATCCTGCAAGTACATTTGTATAAGCACTTTTCAAGACCAGGGATATGAACTGTATATGAGGCAAAAGACCGCGACGGCGGATGTGTGTCAGTTGAGGCGCCAAGGTACTTGCAATTGCCAGCGGCGCCCTGGAGACGGTGACAGGTTCAGAAGGACCAGGCAGGGCGAGCCACAAATCCACGGAATTTGCTACGAACCAATGAGCTCGGGATGGCATCCATGATAGGCAGCGACGGTGATGGAACGGGCCATCTGCTGGCATCTTTGGAATTCTGCAATGCAGCATGCGTTGTATGCGGCGCCACGAGCTGGTCAACGCTGGACGCAGCTAGAAACCCTCAATGCAGCCAGACCTCCTCCGTCGTACGAGAGGAGCGCTCGTCATTGTCATTGTGAGCAGCGCCGCAAGGCAGAGTGCGAGGATGGGTGCCGACAATAGACTGCATTGTAATGCGCCAAGCACGTGCAAACAGGCATTGTTCCCATTTTTGGACACGGGCACGCGGGCCGTACGTACGCGGCCATTGTTCCGCCACCGATAGCAGCAGATAAAATACCATGGCGACCGTGCTTCCCATTCTCGTTCTTTGCCTCTTACTCCCACGTCCGTGTTCCCGTCCCGGTGCCCCTCAGAGCAGGTCTCGCGCGCGCAAGCCGCCAGCAGGCCTTCCACTCGTTCCCTACTACCCTCCTTGACGCGTTCTGCGGCTTTCACGACTTCACCTTCACGATGCAGACCTTTTTGACGATGATCCTGTCCGCGCTGCTGGCAGCGCGGATGGTCGAGGCTCATGCTGGTGCGTGGTGCACACCCTCGCCTCATACCAAATCACTAATCCCTCCCAGCTTTCTGGCACCCGAGCATGTGGGGCTTCAATGTCACCAGCAACACCTTCGCGTACGACAACCGCCCCGTCGTCCCGCTCAAGTACATGAACTTTACAACTTGGTGGTTCCACGGCCACCTCGACTACCCCCCGAACGACGGCGACTTCTTCGAGCTCCCCGCCGGCAAGGCCGCGACCGCCGAGATCGCGTGCACCAAGGGCGCGACCTCCTTCGCGGACACGAACGCGGCGACGGGCGGCGACGTGCGCGAGAAGAACAACCCGAACGACGTGTGCCCGGGCATGAAGATGATCGAGTACCACACGACGGGGGAGGACAACGTGAAGGGCTGCGCGCTGTCGATCGCGTACAAGAGCGACGTCGCAAATGTGACGCAGGAGGACTTTACGGTGTTCAGCGTGAACCAGACCTGCGTCTGGACGCGCTTCACGGACTTCCAGGTGCCGGAGAAGATGCCGGCGTGCCCTCCGGGCGGCTGCATCTGCGCCTGGCACTGGATCCACTCGGTGAGTTGGTGAGATTGCGTGTGGGTGAGATGGAATGCTGATACCAAAATAGATTGAAGGTGGTGGAGAGGAGAGTGCGTATACACACATGCCAGGTGTCGGGACTAGCCAGCTCACAAACTCCCACAGACTACATGAACGGCTTCCGCTGCAATGTCACCGGCGCCACGTCCGACGTAGCCCTCGCAAAGCCCGCCGTCCCGCGTCGCTGCGGCGCGGACCTCCAGAACAACCGAGCCTCCTCCGTCCTCGGCAACTGCACGTACGGCGCGAAGCAGCCGATCTGGTGGCTTAACAACCAGAGCACGGTGAGCATTCCATTCCAACCTTACTGCTTCCTGCGGGCGCACTCCGGCCAGCCCCGTCCTCCACTGCCTAGGCACTGTGGCTGACTCCATGATCCAGCTCTTCGAGGCCCCCACGGCCCCGCCCTTCTACAACGACCTCTACAACTTCCGCGACGGCCCCCAGGACGACATCTTCGCAGACACCTACGTCCAGCTCCCCGAGCCCTCGCCCACCGCGCAGCTGCCAGTTCTCCGCTACGCGGTCAAGGCGCTCAGCGGCGTGTTGAGCATCGCGCAGGATCTCGGCAACCAGGCCACTAGCGCATTCGGTGATGCGACGAGCGCGCTAGGCAGCATTGGGAATCAGGCGACTAGTGCTGTGGGCGGCGCGTTGAGCTCGTTGCTGTCGCCTGCGACGGCGACGGGGCAGGCGAGTTCGGCGACACAGACGAAGGCAGCAGCGACCATGACGGGGAACGCGAGTGCGGCGACGCAAGCGAGTGCTGCCCCTCATACGAGTGCGGCAGCGAACACGGCTGCAGCCCCGACGACCTCCGCAGCAACGATAAGCTCAGCGGCCCCGGCGACGACATTGGCAGCGCATTCTTCTGCAGCGCCGTCGTCGTCTGACTTCTACGAGCCTGCTGGGGGCAACTTCTCTGAGGATAGCGATGCGTCGTCAGCGGCTGCATCACCCTCCGCTGCCGCCAATACCACCGTGAACGCCGCCGTCGCGAACGCGGCCGACGATCAGTCCTCGACCGCCAAGTGCCGTCGGATGAAACGTCGCAGCCGCCTCGCGCGGCATCCGCTGTTGCAGGGGACAGCGATCACGGTCTAGGGGGCGGCAATTACGGTCTGAGTTGTCCTCACAAACCTTCGCCTATGCCTCTGTACATATCTCCCGCCGACACCTCACCTCCCTCGCGCACCCATGACCTTCGCGCCACCGCCACCACCGCCCCTCTTCCTTTCATCGTCTACTTACCTTCCATCGTTCTCGTGATTTCCCGCATTCGGTGCTAGCACACCCACGGGGACCCGAGCCAGTCTCGGGCCATATACCACGAGCGAGTCCCGGGTTATATACCACGAGCGAGCTTCGGGTCATATACCACGAGTTAAGCTCGGGTCGTATACCACCCTTTAACTTATTTCGTAGGTGTATACCCACCAAGTGTATCATAGTAGGGACGCCGAGCTAGTCTTGGTTGCTTAGGCAGAGAACATGCTTGTTTTTATGCCTGAATTCGGTTTGGATGATTTGAGGCAAAGCAATTTGAGGAAAGGGGAGGGCTTCGTATGGACGGCCAACTCCCTCCATATGCATCGTTGGGCGTTCATTATCCACTGTCAGGTAAGGTTTGGAAACTTTTTGCCGGAGCTATACCCGCAGAACTTCTCGACTTATGGGGTACTTTCACGTTAAGGACCAAGAGGTCGTATGTATCCCATCGCAGAAAAAGGCTCGAATTACTTCGTCTCGAATACGTCCTTCAGGTTGACCTCGCCAGATCCCCTCTTCGCCGGCTTCGGCTGGTTTGGCGAAGGTTTCCAGCCAATCTAAGAAGCACAGTTGGCTCGATGGCGCCTCGGAAAGTGAGAGTTCACGCACCATATAGACGATCTGGAAGGTCGCGGGTATCGACCCGTCCTCATTGCCATGGAGCGCTACGAGGAGGTCGTTGAGTATTCCATATGCACCCTATGAGAAAAGTCTCACCCTTATATATCGCCGAAGCCGCCGCCAGCGTGTCCCTATGAATGTACGGTCGTCTACCACCTTCATTAGTCTTTGCCACAATTGCCAACGCCCACCCGAGGGGCAGGCAGTGTCCTCACTCACCTCCCAACAATCGCGCTCGACTCGCCCATCGACTGCAGGTCCTCTAGCAGCTCCCACATACTTGGGTATGCCACCTTCACCTCGTCCGTGTCAACGGTGAGCATCGTGAAGCCTGCCCTCCCCATGAGGTTTGACATGTCCTGGGTGCCGGTCATGGGGGAGATGTGGGGCGAGAGGCCGCCCTCGCGTTCGGTTTCGGCGAGTTGGAGGGAGGATCTGGTGTAGAGAACATTCCTGAGTATACGTTCAATTGGACAGATACTCGCGTCACCCACCTTAGCTCATATAACGTCTCCCCGCCTAGCATAGCGCCGAGGAACAGCCCGTCCGGCTGCAATGCTTCCCTGATCTGCACAAGCACACCTGTAAGCCTGCATCAGTATACTGTACACATAACTGGCAACCAAAAGCAAAAGGAAGAGGCCGGGTAGAACTGGCACGTACCCGGCAAGTCATTGATCCAGTGCATGCTCAGGCAGGAGACGACGGCCTCCTGCGAATTTCGCGGGATGCGTTCAAGAAGTCGTTCTTCGTCAAAGTGAATGCGTTCAATTGGGACTGTGGGTCGATTCGAACGAGGGAAGGCATTCATTAGATTCCATCTTCAGGGAGGTATTTGGGCAAATAACGCACTTTTGAAAGCGCTATCCGGGTCTCGGTGCAGAGTCTTCACTTCGTGTCTTCAATTAGTTGGGCACACAGTCCATTAGACGCCTCACGCACCGCTCGACTCCAGCATCACGCTCTTCTTCACCCTCGGTGCCTCCAGCAGTTTGGAGAAGTGCCCAGGGCCGGAACCCAGGTCAAGCACGGAGCCAAATTCCCGCTTGATATCCTGAAGCCACATTCCTGTCAGCCTCGACTAGCACGTTCGCACGAACGAGTAAACGCACGAGAAACCTCTCCATGAGCCTGTCCGCTACCTCGTCGCGCAAGTAGTCGACGGTAATGCTGCGCTTTCCCCCTTCTATGGACGCAGCTTGGTCTTTCTGGATCTCCTTTGCATGTCGGTCGAATATTTGGTAGGGCGTGAGGTTGGAGGAGGAGGGGGAGATGGATGCGTATGAGCGTGCGGCAGGATGACTTAGACGCAACGAAGAAACACCAGGACGTAGAAGAGGGTGGCTGCTGAGGCACGACACAACGCGCCTGCCGAGGCGAATACCGTTCATGATGATGAGCGTCGAAGACAAGCAGCAGCGCGCGACGCGACGCGCTTGATCACAATGACGTCGAGATGCAAGCAGTATTATCAGCTGTCACACACATTTTGAAGAAATCTTGTGCCTCGAGTCTAGTAGCGAAGTCTAGTAGCAATCCCCCGAGCCAGGTCAGTAAGTACTCTATAAATATCCGCGACTCAGTAGTAGCAGGTAGCAGCTATCAGTAATGCGAGCAAATCGTGTCCCCATCGACGCGCCAAGCTCAGTAGAAGCTATGCAGCTATCCCCGCCCCCTTCTCTACCTCACATATCTCCCGCACGCCCTCTCTAAAGAACACCACATTGTACTCAACAAGCCCTCTCCGGGCCTCCCAGACCGTCTGCGTCGGTAACACCTAGGCAGAAGCATGAACTCCTCTAGCATTCGAAAGTCTGCAAACCACTCACCGCTAGCAACGCCAACTGTGACGTTATAACATGATACGTCAGCGTAGTCCCAGGCGGCGCCGGACTCAACGACGTCGACGCAGACGGATAGAACAAGTCCTTCGCTACCCTTGCCTTCCCCTGCTCCGGTTCAGACTCGGAGGGGGGTGTTCCATTCTGATCCTTGTGGCCATTCAGTGTGCTGCTTGCGCCGCTCTTGCTTCCACCGTTCGCTGTCGAGCCGCCGAACTCGCTTGTGGAGGCGGATCCTGTGCGCGACAAGGAAGGCGAGACGACGGTAGAGCTGTGATTCGAGGATGGATCTGGGGGAGGGAGCGGTGGCTTCGTGGGCCGTGGCGGTGCAGTTGAAGATCTGGTCGATGGTCAGCGCGAGCATAGCATCCCATAATGCGTACGTACTTGAACAGGCCGCCGAACGCGTTCAATAGCTCGAGCCAGTCGCAGAATAAACCATGAGTCGCTGCGTCCACAGGAGAAGCGTCGGTAGCCAGATATAATCTAGAGTGAACATCGAAAAGGAAGGCTTTCGGAGATTGCGAATTCTGAACGAAGGTTAGCTGACTACGAGGTACAGATATTGAAGCGTATACTCACTGCACAGAATACGTTGAGAAGCTCCTCAAGATACGGTAGGCTAGGAATAAGCTTATGAAGCACGCGCGAGAAGGATTCGCGCAGGGAATGGTCGTAAATGGAAGTAAGATGGAAGTTGAGGGGTACCTACATAATACGGCGACCTCGCGTCAGCCTAGTTCACACCAGAAGGAGATTCGCTAAGCGTACCGACTCATATAGCGCGCTTATGTCTAGCAGCCGGTCGGCTACGCGCTCCTGGATCTGCCGGAAGTTCTCGATCTTGTCGTCCTCGGGTAGCTTCTCTGCCTTGTGGACGAAGACCTCGAGGTTGAGGTTCGGCGCGTCTCGTGTTGCTGCCGTTATCCACTCGACGAGGCGGGATATGGGTTGTGTGTAGAGGTCCTGTGAGGTAGCGGAAGCGATAGTGTAGGCACAGTTGTATGGCCAGAGATGGGAGTATAGGTGAAGGGGGGACGCGTCCACAGAAAGCGGCCGAGGAAGTGGAGATACGTTAGCAAGTGCGCTTCTGTATGGGAGACGTTGCACGCACTCTCATGTCTATGACGAATATCAGTGCGTTGAATTGGCTCAGCGGCGCGCCAAGGTTCTCCGCTGTAGTAGTTCCTGGGCAGTCCCATATTTCAAGAGGTATGAGGGTGCTGTAGAGGAGGTAGTCAGTGATGTGTAGACGCGCGCTTCGTTCCATGGCGCTTCCCTCCCCAACCCCTCCAACACATACGATATCCCACAGCGACCCCACCCCCTCCCCCATCCGCGATGCACGGTACACCTTGTCAAGATAAGTGACACTCACTCGTATACTGTCTTCCTCGTCCGCATTGTAGGCTCCAGATAGAACGTCTCCTTCGGCGGCATATCCGCGAACAGGACCTCCCGAATCGACGACTTGCCGCTCCTCCGCAAGCCTACCAGCAGTATCTTCGTGCGTGGAGGTGTCACAGTAGCAGATGCAGACGCGGGGGACGCGACAGTGTTCGCTATAGCCGCCGCGCTGGAGCTGGGGGAGGGAGATGCTGGGGACGTAGCATTTGGTGATGTGGTGCTAGTCGACGGCTGGCTTGTGCGTCGTGCGTTATTTGATGTGGCCGAGTATGCTACAGGCATTGTCGTGCGTGGGGAGCAGTTAGGGCACAGGCCGCGCTGCGTGGTGGTGAGAGCAAGAAGTAATCAACGAACTTGCTGATCTCCAAGGAGCAGAGGAACGCGCGATGACGCCATGTGACTGTAAACTCTTTCCCTCCTCGGCAAGTTTTGTACTTTCTGGACCTGTCATCTCTCCCTCCATACGAACGAATGTTTTCAGCTGTTTTTGCGTTTCTATACAAATATTATAATAATACAGTAAGATCCGCTGTAAAGAACCGAGTCCCAGGCATGCTATGCACAACCGCTGTCGCTCACTCGCTCCCACGCAGGCAAACGGACATCACCTCGCATACTGCCGCCCATCCTCGTCCTCGGCCCTGAACGGATCCTCCTCATCCCGCCAATACCTCTCCGGCTCGTCGTCCGCGGCACTGCGGAATGGGTCGTCGCTGTAGTGCGCGTGCGGCGGCGCGTCGTGCGAGGAATGTCGTCTCTCGAGCTGCAGGCCCCCGCTCGGTCGTCTGTCGACAACGTGCAGATTGCTCGCGCGTCGTTCGAGCATCTGGCTCGCACGCCGGTCTTCTGCGTCGTGCCCGTACCGCTCGACCATGATGGTCGACCGCGTCGCGACGCTGTCAGTGACATCGGTGTGGATGCTCCCCGTGTCCGACGTCTCCGCCACCGACGATAATCGTGGCGCGGACTGTGGTCGTGAGGTGGACATTCGCAACGTTGATGACCGTGCACTGTCTCGCCGTAGCAAGTGATTACTTGATTCACCCGCTATTGCACTGGCGGCCATTCCCATCCCTGTTCTCCGCAGATCCGCCACCCTCGGCTCATCGACTCGTCCAAGAGGTGCCAAAGCTTCGTGTCGCCGTCGTGCGAACCAGAGTAACTGCAGGGTGCCAGCGCTATCGGGGTGATCAGCGCTCGGCCGAAGGGCCGGACGGCTGACGAGGACGAGGGCAAGAACGAAGGCGGCTGCAGACGCGCCGGCTCCAAGGCCGAGCGCGACGGAGTTCAGGCGCATACGCGAGATGAGCACCGGAGAAGCCACGACGCTGTCGCTCGTTGTCGTTACTAGCATGCTGGAATCCAACGCCTTGTTCTGCGAGGCTACAGGAAACTCTGAGATGGTTCAAGGGAAACAAGCGAAGGTTGTACGCACCGGCCCAGAAGACGGCAGCACTCGCGCAAGAGAGGGCCCACTCAAGGTCATGTAGCTGTACTCGTGTCCGCAATGATGATCCGCGCATCTTCACGGGTGTGACGTCCAATGCTGCTTGTACCCACTGCTCGAATGTTGTCAAGTAATTGCGCTCGCAGTAAGCGTCTGTACATGGGCCGCCGCACTCGGTTGACGATGGCACTGCGTTGAGCAACATCCGCGCCCACTGAAATTCGTCAAGACGGGCATATATTATCAGCAGAAATCAAACTTACCGCGTCCGCGACATTGCCCTTGCGCACCATAAGTGGTTCCCAGTCCTCCCAATCCAGCGCAAACTTATCGACGTTGATATCAAAGTCGACGGGCAGCTTAGATTGGGGTTCGACGATAACGGTGTGATTGCGAACGCTCAGACTGCAGCCAATGAGCTGTATCGGCGGTCCCCAGTACGCCTCAGTCTGATCGTCGTGCTTCAATGCGGCGCTATTGCCGCCTATCGAAGTTCCGAGGTCGGTCCCATCAAGGCCAGTGACGTTGAAACTAGAGTAGAAAACAGCATCGGGGCCAAGGGTTGCTTCGGTGTGCAGCACGGGGTCCTCGAGTGTGACCTCCGCGTTCTTCAGTACGTTATCATCTGCAAGACCCGGTAAGGGACGCGCTGCAATCTTGGGATAGGGACGTACAAGTTGACATGACTTCGAACGTCGCATTGTAGCCGTCACCATAGGCGGCTACCTCGTACACCCCATCGTCGTCCACCGTGCCATGAATGACGGATTTGACGCTCATAGTGCCGCAAGTGACGTTGAACGTCATCTGCGTACGTGTGAGTAGCGTCGATGGGAAGGAGGCAGGACACGCACTGCTGGCAGGGCGGCCATGCCGATACCATTGTTATCGTCGAGTACGGCATACACGGTTGAGTTGATGATCCCAAGCGAACCGAACGAGGAAAGATAAGGCAGCATAGCCATCGTCGATGCCCATGGCGAATTTTCGCCATCCAGCCTGTAGATGGTCAGCCCTGAGACCTTATCCACGCGCATCGCGGTACGCACTGGAACGCGTCTGTATTGGGCATCACCAGCCGCGAGGGTACCTCCTTCAACCTTGCTGGGTCCCATACGATCTCCGTGTCGAAAAGCAGCGGCGTGACGACCTGCACGATAGCAAGGCATAGGAGATATGCGGCGATGGCGAGGGCCGAATGCAGCGCGTTCCGCGCGCGGGCTTGATGGGTGAGACCGTGCAGCGCGGCGCCGAGACCGTACCATGCCGCGGCCCGGTCGTGAATTTGTGTAAGATTCTTCGAGCGCAAAAAGTTGTCGCGCAGGGCGAGCTGCTGGGTGAGGTAGATCAAGCCTATCAGGTAGGCCTATGGACTGTCAGCCGCTGGTCGTACTCGCGCGCATGCGCACGCACCGTGGCGATGAGGGTAGCGGCAATGGTGGGTGTCTTGGATATGTATTGCCCTGCTGCAACGTCGGCTGCATATAGATTGTCGTGTCCCCTTAATACCAAGCCAAGGAGGGTGACGAAGGCGAGGACGAGGAGGCCGTGGAGGATTATGCAGAACCATCGCAGGGCCGTAGGATCGGAGGGCGGTGCACGGGGGGCGCGAACCGACTTTTCCGTCGGGACATAGGTAGCGGAGGAGCGAGTGCTGCTGGCGGTACGGAAGGAGCCCTTGAGGGACGCGGTGGTGAGCAGGACCATGGGCGCGCGCGCGGCGCCTGGAGCGAACTCGCAGAGTCAGCTCCTGGATGGATTGCAGGACGGATGGGAGGATGGCCAGGGGCGAGCAGCTGGCTTTGGCCGTCACGGGCGCCGGGCGGGGGAGTCGCCGACGATGTGGGCGTCGACGTCGGGAGCGACGAGGAGAAGGACAAGAGACGGTCGGCGCACGTCGGTGAAACCGCGAGAAGAATTCGGTTTCCTCAGGCGGTCACCGTGTCATCCGCTTGTTCCTGACGGCACAATGCCGTCCCCGACGCTCCACCGGACTCGGTCCGACACCTCGCGTGCGCATCCCCCGCCCATATCCTCGACCCCCCGTGACCGATGTTCGACTTCGACGCCCGCCTGCACCCCGCCGTTCTGCGCCTTGCCACCGGGCCCGACCTACGTGCTCAGACGAGTCCAGGGCGCACTCCGTCCTATTCTCGCCAGCACGTCCATTTTTGCCCCCCACCCGCGCGGGCACCGTCAGACACGGTGGCGACAGCACTATCATTAGACACTCGATTCTCATCTCAAGGGCCTCCCCCAGGTCAAAGTGTCAAAATCCAACCATTCGCGAATAAGATACATCAGTATTGTCTATCGTATGAGTACACCGGTTGGACGGTAGTAATAAACAAAGATGTGGCGGCATGCAACAGAGACGAAGAAGATCGTGATAGGTTATGTAGTACGCAGCGAAAGGGAGAAAACGTGAGGCCGAGAAGGGGTGCGCGACGAGATATGCGTGCGGTCAGTAGGCGAATGGTAAGCTACGACGTTGCGTGAAGGATATATGTGAGAGATATAAGTCATATGGGCTGTGAATAGACAGACGAAGGAGAGGGAACGGAGAATGAAATGGAGAAAACGTTTGGTGTTCGCAAGTTCACAACAAAGTAGACGAAGGAATGAGTTAGCGGTCCATGCGACGCAGTCGATATCATAACAGTAACAGTACTTGAAGCCAAGAAGAGAATGTGAAGAGTCAAGGTTGCGCGTGCGGGACAATGGTCATTGGGTTTGTGTATTCTTGCGGTGATCCGTGCAGTATGCGAGAGATGATAATATGGGTATGGCCATATCAGGCGGCCCTGGTGGCCTCTATGGTGTGCTGCGGCGACAGCGGCCGGCCCATGTCCGAAGCCTGCTCGTTGTATGAGCCCAGCTGAGGGGTGGCGAGCGAGAAGTTCGCGAAGCTCGCAGGGTTGTTGCTGTTGCTGAACCCGCCGTACATCGAGCCGCCGAGGGAGAAGTTGCTAGCCGGCAGCGACCCGCCATAGTTGGGCGACGAGAACCGCGGAGGTGGCGAGCCCATGTAGTTGTTGCCGAACACGGGCGGCGGTGACACGGTCGCATCCCGGCGGCGCTCATCCCCGCGCGGCGCGAACGCTTCGAGAGGGAAGACGAGGGGAGTCTGCTGCTGTTGCTGGAGGGAAGAGCCATTGCTCCCGGCACTTGTCGGAGTGCGAACACCCAGCGGATTCTTGCTGTATGACAGACGTATGCCGGGCGCTTTCACGAGTCCGTCGAGCGTGTGCCCGTACAGATCGTTCAGGGCCTTCGTGGCGAAGCTAACGTCCTCAAACTGCAAACGATGAAATCAATACACGATCGATCGCTTAGCACATGCGGTACATACCTCGACGAAGCACATGGGCCCGTTGCTCTTCTGCCGGAAGCACAACCTGCGGTACCCTGGCTGTGCGGCGAAGAGCGCCTTGAGGGAGTCCTCCAGATGCTCCGGCGGGTGCCCCGTCACAGAGGACGGGAGGTTACCGACGTAGAGCGTGTTGATCTGATGTATTAGTCAGTCCCCGTCAATGCAAAAAAACAATGTATCACGTACGGGAGGATTGGCATCCACGGAGTGGCGTGTGCTGGTGCTTGCCGAGCTCGACCCCGGCGAGGGGAGCTGAGGGGACGTAGCGCCGGTGTCATGACCAACAGCACCATATACATTGGGCGCCGAGACGGGCGCCGCGTTGGCATTCGCAACATTGAGCGCCAGCGACCTCATCCCCCTCACCATCGATTCGTCGTCGCTCAAGCCCGTCGCACTCTTCGTGCTCTGTGCGTCCACGGACCCGCTCACGCTGGAAGCGCTGCTCTGCGACGGCCGGCGCATGTCCGGCTTGCGATCGTCCGGCGGCGAGAAGTCCCGCTGCGAGGTCGAGGACGTCTCAGGTGACGTCGACCGCCGGGAAGAGCTCGGTGGGCGAGGTGGGAACTTCGCTTGCGGCGCGGAGTGAACCTTTGCCCAGAGCGGATCGTTGTGGAAGTAGCCATTGGTTTCGGAGGTGGGCGACAGGGCGGTCATGGCCCGAAACGCATCCTGGACTCCGTTCACGCGACGTATGTCATCTTGGGCCTGATCGCGCATACCACGCATGTTGAGAGGCATGGGACCACGCTCGTCGTCGCTGACAGCGTCCTTGTGCATCTCGCGCCAGGTAGGGCGTTGCGAACCAAGACCCATCGCGCCGATGGCACCGAGCTCGCGCTCCCTCGCCGAAAGGACCTCCGTACCGCCTCCGCTTGGCAGAGCGGCCGAAAACATGGCATCCTGGCCCGCGTTGTAGCTGGGCATCATTGGCAGGTTGTTGACGTTCTGGAGACCGCCGCTGAGAAGATTAGCCGCCGCAGAATTCATGGCGGGGTTCGAACTGGGAGGCTGACTATAGCCAGTCGTTCCGATGCCGACACCGCGCTTCGTGTGCAGATTCTTCTTCGCCATCTCAGCTTTGAGCACAGAGCCTTTCTCCATGTCAACACGACGACCTTGCAACGCATCTCTGGCAGAGATGGCTTCCTCGCGGGTCCTAAACTTCGCGAAGCCGATTATCTGCTTGCGCTGAGGCGTGTTGTTGTTCGAGGGCTGAGGTGCCGGCAGCTGGGCGTCTTCCGGAGCAGGAGGCCACGATGACATGGTGCCGTCCCTACCACCGTCGACGACAACACCGCCCTGGTTCACGGTAACGAGATTGTACGGGTCGTTGTGGGGAGCGTAGCGGGTGGACGCATTGGCGCCGGCGCCATACGAGGTCGACTCCTTGTTCGGTATCTTCAAGGTCGCAGCCTCGAAGCCCGACGAGAACGTGAACATGTTCTGAAATTCACGCTCCTGAGGAGATGATGAGAATGATGAGACAGCCGAGTAAGCGCCACACATACCTGCATGTCATCCGGGAATCCGACAACAAAGATAGTCGATATCTCTTCGTGCTGCACAGGGCCTTGCTGCTGGCCAGTAGGAGGAGGGTGTTGCGCCGCGGACCCATGAGGCGGAGCGTTGTTGAGGAACGATACACCAGCCGGCAGCATGCCAGCAGCAGTCGGGCCTGAAGCGACGTGTGGCCCATACGGGGTCTGCGAAGATATCTGAATCTGTGAGCCCGGCAGGACGTGGCCTTGAGTCGCGGGCGGCGGAGGCGCCTGCCTCGCGCCCATATTCGCGTATCCGTCCAGCGATGCCCGCGGATCCATGAATTGCATGTGCGACATAGTCGGAGACGTCAGATGGGACTGACCACCGTTCGTGTACGCCAATCGCGGATTCGTTCCTGTCGATATCGAAAGGCGAGTGGTGTTGGGGTATGAGTTGAAGGATGAGCGGGCATTGAAGGCGGAACTCTGCTGATGATGGGGGTGATACGCATTGAGATTGTGTTGTACATGGTCGATGTCGAGGTCCTGAGCGTGCGAGGAGTTATGCAAAGAGCCGGCTACTGCGTTGGAAAACATAGGATCTTGCAGGTGATTATTGTAGGAATCCATATTGGCTTCGGGCTGATGCTGGAGAGAAATATGGTAGGGGACGGACGAAGGCGGAACCGATGACGAGTCAGCAGGGGACCCGTACGGCAGCGGCTCCGCGTCGGCCTGCGCGTCAAGAGAGTCTAGCAAGGACTTGTTGATGAAGTCCTCGTCAGGCTGGGAGACCGCGTGGATCGATGTGGAAGCCAGCGTGGGCGAATTTGTTGGGTATGCGTTGGGCAGAGCTTGGAGGCGTCGAACGCGTTGGGGAAGTATGAAGCGTGCTGTGGACGTGCACAGTGGTCGTTGCAGACACAGGGGACGCGCCGGGAGCTGTCGAGGGCGAAATGCTCGAGGGGGACGTCGATTATGCTGGTGACGGCAATCGCGGTGAATACAGTGCAACGTCGATGACGACGAGCAGAACGCGTCAAGATGGTCGAGGACGCGTGATCTGATGCCGACAGAGGTGTGCTAGTTGCTGAGTACGATGGCGGAGGGAGTTTGAAGACAGAACAAGACAGAACGTGGTCTGACGTTCGGATGGGGCGGCGGCAGACGGCGGGGAAAGGGCAACCAACGATCGTTGATTCCTGATGTGACTGCTGTGACTGACATGGTCCGTGCGTCATTTCTTCACGTGACATGCCGAACTGCCGAAAGTCGCGGAGGCCACGGAAAATTGGGCAGTTGGGGAGTGTGGGAGGGAGGGTGCAATGCCTGTAGGCAGGGCCAATAGCTGGGGCAACAAGACACGAAATGACGGGCGGGGCCTCAACGGTGTACACCCAGTGCGACCGACGTGACGGGCTTGTGTGTCGTTGATTGGCAAAGACGCCATGATCGGCACTGCGGCAAGGTCGGAGTGCCGGATACGAAGGCGGGACAAAGGAGACGATGAGAGCAGCACCCCGTGGCCTTCTGGGCTGGGATTTCTATCAGCGAGGATACCTGAAGAGACGAGACAACCACGCACCTAGCGCTCGCCACGAAGATAGGCGCCGAAAGACGCCAGAAAAGAAGGACTCACAAAATGGACATCGACCAATCAGGTGGCTAGAATAGCAATGATGTGTTCCTCACAAGCTGCCCGCCGTGCGGGATAGCATGAACGATGGTGAAAAGCGATACTCATTGTCAATGAAGCTGTCGAAGATGACGGAGAAAAAGAGACGCATGCGACAAGTGACGAAAGATCAATCGGGACGGCGGGACGGGCCACGGCGAACGGCAACACGCGATCCACACGCGAAGAGCCTCTTGTGATCGTGGAAGTCGAGACTGTCCTCTGTCTTACCTGTCTTCATCTACAGCCTCTGTGCAAATGACACGCATGAGCTCACCAGGCTTGCTCGCTCGATGGGTAACCTTGACTGTCGAGTAATGAGCCCGTGGTGAGATGGGGGTACGTGCTCGAAGGCAAAGATTGTGCCAATCCTAGTCTGACGGCGCATCATGCGACAACATGCAGAATTCGGGCGCGTCCAACTATCGGTATTCGCGCGTTTGCGCAACAACTCTCCAACTCTCTTTGCCGCGCTTCAAACCGCATCTCGCGCGCCTGCATTGTATGTACTTACAGCGGACGTACTTTCGAGTGGATTATCTTTGCCGGCGTCCAATGCGCAGCGCACGGTGTATGTTCACAGCTTGCCCACTAACACTGCCTTTCAAAGCCGCCACGGGAGGCTCATTCATCACACAATCCGTGCCATTCATCGTCCCAATCTCAAGCATTTACACCGCCACAACTTACACCCTCACCCTCAACCACCGCGTGTCTACATCGTTTTGGCAGCTTCATGTGTCAATTCATCGTTGACTCACTGTACTTTGTGATCTTACCATGCGTATCTGGGTTAGTTGATCAGGTTCGCACCTGCAGAGGCCGCGCATCGGGCGGATGTTGGGCAATGGTCATCAAGCTTGTCTGAGCCATATTCTGGAGGTTGTCGTACTCCCACATTGCAGCTACTCTCGAAAAATAACTCTTACATACGTTCAAGAATAGGACGGCCAATATCAATGCATCATGCTATCCTACCGTCTTGCCACTCAAGCGCTGGCGAAACTTTCGGGTTTCGTGCGGAATATGAGGTGTCACTTCTACGATATATATGCTGTCTTGTCTATTCATGCTATCTCGCTATATGACTGCGCATATGACGGTGTTCCCTGCACAGAAAAGCATGCACAGGGAGTGTCGCGAAGTTCAACATGAGATCACGCGTATATCAGCTACACGCACGTGACAGACCCGATATGGACGAGCGTCAACAATAGAGCTCTTCGCAGAGTCCATGGCCAACGATCCCTACCTGGAGGCAAGCGGCGCATGGCAAACACTCTCCGACGATGCCAAGGCTCTTCTATCACGTCTCTGGATTCCCAACGCGACGAGCGACGCGGACAAGGCCTCGAATGAGAAAGTTCTCGCGAGCTTCATGGACACGGTCAAGCAGCAACGTCTGCAGAAGGCGCAGGAGTTGCGGGAGGTCTACGCGGCGCAAGCTGCTCTTGAGTGCGTGGCTACTTGTCACATTTATGACCATTCACTGAACATGTTGGGCAGTCAGAAAAGGCAGCAACTGGAGAGGGAGATCGGACCTATGTCCCGCCTCGCGATCGGCCCTCCCGAGACGCCACAGGCGCGTATAGAGGAGGTCACAGACGCGGTACGCAACCGGGTACTAGGATGTTCTCCGTCCTCTGACCCGTCAATAGCCGCAGCATGCGCGTCGTACTTCTCATATGCCCAACACGTACACCTCGAGTAACGGACAGACGTCTTCGACCATCGCAGGCTCTTCCAATGGGAACATACATCCGGCGCAGAGGAACGCCAGCTACGTCCAATATCCGAGTCAAGCTAGCGGAACGGGAAGCATGATGTACAACGCAGGCTTCTCTCATCAAGGTCCTGGTGGCGAACATGTCGCGGTGGGCTACAGTAACGCGTCTACCTCCGGGCAGAGCTATGGCCAGCCTTCTCCGAACTTCGCATACCCACCAAATGCGTACCAGCACGCACAATTGCTAGCTGCCGCTCAACAGGCCTCTCCCCGAACGCAGTATGTACTCCCACAGGCGCAGGTACACGCGCAGTGGCAGCATCAGCAGCACCGGCTGTCGACGACCTCGAGAACACCACCAATCCCAAATCAGGCCACAGCACAGTATCCCGCGAATCAATTTCCGAACAATGTCCGTCCGTCGAATGCCACACCCGCCGAACAGGTATCGCGAGTTGCAACACCTGCTAGCACCGGGTCAGCGCCTCAGCTACCTCCGCGTGCAGCCAATGCACCTCAAGGTACGTGCGGCAGTGACCGCTGCTGAGGTTGCTGCTGATGCTTCATAAGTGCCATCGAAGAGTGTAACACCTACCACAACGTCGCAGCCCGCTGCTTCACAGAAATCTTCGCAGCCCACCCAAGTCAGTTTTCATGTTCTTGGTCGTGCTGACTAAATTCTCATCGCTACTCAGATACCTTCCGCGCCTGCCGCGCCGCGTGAACAAGTCTTTGTAAACAGACCCTCAGGATTTCTCGTGGCCAAACCGGACTACGACAATTGGGTTCGCACGGCTGCATCAGGCTCGAGCATCTCAATGACGAAGGCGCTTACGGCGACGAAGCTTCCCGACGGGCGTATCCTGTACCGGTGGAAGGAGGCCAACGGCCACGAGCGTGAACTACCGTTCGAGCCGGGGCTGGCTATCAAGACCATCGATTCCGCTGGTATACCAACCTGGTACTGGCAACCGCCGCGGCTTGGTGGGCAGCAGACGACGCCAACGGCCAATGGTACATCCGGGACATCCGGGGCTGGGGCAGGGAGCACACAAAATGGTACAGCAGCAGCTCAAGTCCCAGTAACTGTCAACATCCCTACCGCTGATCAGAGCAACGCGCGAGCGGCTGCAGCCTCAACCTCGGCAAGTGCGACAGCGCCTCCGCCGGCACCATCACGACGACAGTCAAATGCCAAAAGCCCTGCTGACACGGCCACTCGTAAAGCTGAAGCGCCGTCGACGCCCGTTCGCGCAGGCAGTAGTACGTCGTCCGATGCGACACTGTCACCCAGGACTGCTCGCAAGAAGACGCTCGTGCGCGATGTAATCAGGATGCTGGGTGGCAAACGACCTTCGGAGGGTGGCGGCGAACCTAGCGCCAAGAGGAGGCATGTCGAAGAGACTGGGAGCGACGCAGCAGTGCAATTCGATGCGCAAGCAGCGACTCCCAGCACTTCGGCGACTCCTGGTCCGGTCTCCGCCAGCGAATCTGCTCCTGCTCCTCCTGCTGACTCCGCTTCTGTTGCGTCGAACCCTGCTCCCGATTTACGGCCCGCCCAAACGACTGCCCCTACTCACACTGCGGCGCCTGCATATGGCCCTACTCCTTCTATCGTAGCAGTCCGCAACGATGGGCAGTCAACGCGTCCGATTCACTTCATTCATGTAGACCCCGCTTCTAAGCGTACGCAGCCGCTGACAGGCGTTACGCCATACGATCCATCGCAAACGCCTGCAGCTTCGCAACCGGGCCCGTCATCGAATAGTGCAGTGCCGCCTCGGCCACCTGTAGTGCCAGGGGGTCCGCAGGTCAACCCCTACCACAAGATGGCGGAGGCTTGGAATCAAGCGCAAAGTGCGCAGCGCTCGGCTCCATCCGCTACATGGCCGGCGCGTATCGCTCATGCACCTTCTCAACCTATCGTTTCATCATTTCAACCAACTCCTTCGACATCGCAGCAGAGCTCTGCACCTCTACCTCCTCAGGCGTCCGCGCTCCCTCAGATCGCTACGTCTAGCGAAGGAAAGCAGACCGCGCAGGCGGCGGACAAGTCGCACGTTCTCCCAGCTGCTAAATCTAGCACAGAGCGGCCAGGACCTTCGTCCACCTCGAATGGATCTATCGCGACTCCGACGCCGTCAAACAAAGTACCTGCTACCAGCTCGGTCTCTGTCAATACGCCTCAGCCCAAGCGAATCGACCTGGCGCAGAAGATGAGGGATAGCGTGTCGTCGAAGAAGTCCATTGCGAGTCCCTCTGCGTCATTCCAGTATACACCCGTAGGGCCCTCGGCGCCTGTCCGACGGCGGGACTCTCCTTCGCCTCGACCCGAGTCGCCAACAGCGCCGCCGCCACCAATGTCCTCCTCTGCCCACTCGTCGCCACGCATGTCGCCCAAGACCCCGCTATTCCTCACCTCGCGCGCTTCGACGGAGTCGGGCGGTGAAGGCGAACCTATAACCGTCGACTCGGACACGGATGAGGAACATACCGTCATAATCTCGCGGGCGAAGCGGAAGGTTCTCAAGTTCGATTCCGTGTATATCAAGCATCGTCCGGAGTGGGTGGGAAGCGACCTCAAGAGGCTTCGAAGGAGGTCGAAGGCCAAGGGAAAGCGGCGGCAGGAAACATCGGATGAGGAACAAGGACCGTCTGGCGGGGGCCCCTCGGGTCTAAAGCATGCCTCGACGGCTCCGTCGGACGCACAGGAGGAAGCGGAGGTGTCGCGCGAGGTCGACCTGGTCGGTGGAAGCTCGGACGATGGTTTCTCGGTGGATGAAGAAGGCGAGTAGGTTATGCTGATATGCGCCTACACCACCGTTATCCCCTACATCACTTCCTTTTCTTGCTTCTTGCGGCAACGCCATTCTGTTCCAGTGCGCGTCGTCCTTCTTGAACTTGACGTATTATGCGCACTCTTTCCTGGAGTACTATGTCTTGTATGCATGATCATGGTTTATTAACTGTTATGTGTGCTCAGACATCCTGAGGTCAAGCTTTATCATACCACCCGCCAATTATAATCGTCATGGTTCGTGCTCTTCATTGTCACGAGTGTGGGCTGCAACGTTGATACGATTCACTTGCAGATCCCGTCGAAGCAGGCGCCGTGTCCCTGTCTCTCACCCGCGGGCGCGAGACGCCTTGCAAGTGGGACAAGTGCGAGGTGCGGTTGTGCTCCGGGGAGATGCTTTTGAGGCATCTGGTGAACGTGCATCTTGCTGATGAAGGGGTGAGCGCCTTCTAAATTCGTCTGAGATAATTTAACGGGGATCCTGCAGACATCTTGCAAGTGCCTTTGGCAAGGGTGCACGGAAACGTACTCGTCCAAAAGAGCTTTGTCTGCTCATATTGAGAACCATGCTCGCACCCCGCTGGTCTGCGCTTACGAGGGCAAGTCACCTGGAGCTGAAGCGCTCGAGTGCCATATTTTGACTTGCAACTCTGCAGATTGCGACCGCAACTTCAAGAATGGGAAGCTACTTCTCCAGCATCACGAGCTAGTGCACGAGAGGGGACGGGGTGATCATAAGTTGAAGCGCAGTATGCAACTGTTCAAGCCCAATCCGGACGATTTGCCTTGCCCGCCGCTACCAGCAAAACCGTTATTCTGCCAGCACGATACGCCACCCGTTCAGCAGTATCCTATCACGCCGCAACGGCATCAGACCATTGGCCCGAAGGTACGCCAGATTATTGCACTCTATAGTAATGAATATATACCTATTACCCACAGATCCTCGCGAACATCTACCCGTACGCCAAGTACACCAGCCTTGCTGCTTTGCGACGGTCCTTGAAGCAGACGGATGAGTACGCCTTCATCAAGTACAAGGAGAAGCGCGAGCATGGAATCAAGCGTGGTACGCGCTTCGAGGACTTGCTCTCGGCGGAGACAACGGCGTTGTTCCACATCGACAAGGCGTTTCTTGTGTGGAAGGGCGACAGGGCGAGGGTACAGCTGCCCGAACCACCGGAACCACAGGATATGGAGGAAGATCGGGGGGAGGGCGGCTCTCGAGATCCCGACCAGTCGGAGGAGAAGGTACACATCGCGGATGGCCCCATCCAAGCATCGACAGCCGCTCCTGCTTCCTCGTCGGAGTATATAGACCTGACGGGTGATGACATGTAGTTTCTTGCATATGGCCCGTCGTGTTCTTGGTTTGAGCAGGGTTCTGATTGATCTTGGGTTATATATCTTGTTTTCTTGCTCTGAAGTCTACCTTGGTAGTGACAGCGACTTGACAGCTAGCTCCTCGTGTGCTGGCAGACGCGGGCTCCGCGCCTATTGAACCCGAAGAGATCATGCTTTTTTGTTTGCATCAGGCTGTTGCCAAGTCGTAGCGTGGAGGAATGATTGATTTCTGCCGGACTTCGAGGTTGATCTCCGCGCTCAAGTGTCCGAAACCCGGCGGACGTTGAAGACGGACCAGACGCTCCTTGTTCTTGTTTATTACACCTGCTGCCTTGTCTTCGCCGACAGTCTTTCGTTCTTTACCATCATGGCTGAAGGTGAGCGATTCGGTCAGTCCGTGTGCGCACGCCTCACCACCACCCCCAGGTCCCTCGTACATATCTTCCCATTCCGCGGACGTTATCCTCTCCGACATACGACCGATCAAGCTCAAGCCCGATGCTCTCGCGGCGCTGAACGGCTTCCTGGACGAGTTCCTATTCCGAATCTTAGGCGCAGCGCGCTCGCTGGCCACCAGTCGATTGCGCGCGGGCCTGCTCGGCGTACTGCCCACCGCACTCGGAAAGGAAGCGCTTCTAGAGGCGGAGGTCGAGCTGCGTGCGTACTGGGACCGAACAGATCCGGTGCGTGGCGCGGGCGCAGGCTCGGAGGACGACTCGGCGACTTTCCACATTTCTTGGGCATTCGAGGTGCGTGGCGCGCGCACGTCGTGTTCCCCCGTCGCCCCCGATCACTCAGCTGACGTGTGAGCAGCTGCTACGCCTGAAATGCGCGGCCTATTCGACGCTAAACGAATCTGATGAGGACACGGTTGCGGAAGCGCGTCTGATGGAGAAGGCGGGGGAGGCCAGCGCGCTCGTGGCACCGGCTGCGCTGTACTTGACGGCTATCCTGGAGTGCGTTCCCGCTCCGTTTATATGTGGCCATTGACTGACGATCTGCAGATCCACATGCGAGTGAGCAGCGTCTATCAAGTATCACGAACCGCTCCTCACGTCACCAGACACATACTCTCAGATGTCAGTCGCGTCGCGTCGCGCGACAGCAGTCGCGCCATGGCCACAATGCAAGACCTCTACACTGCGCTTTGCGAGGAGGAGGGGATATACTCGTTCTTCAAGACGTTGGAAGGTGCGTTTTAAACTGCGTGCGATCTCGCATCACTCATGCAACCGCAGTTTACGGACGCATTGAGCAACTGTGCAAAGCTCCAGCCCCTCGCCGCAGCAAGTCTCTCCATCGCGACACCAGCATGTCGCTGTCACGGACATCATCACCATATCATGAGAGTGGTGATGCTTCAAACTTGTCGCGCGACAGTCATCCACGATCCGACTCGAGAGCATCCGCCGATAAAGGACGAGGAATGCGCATGTTCGGTCGTTCATCCTCGGACGGGGACGGTGGTCGACACCGGAGGAGCAACTCTGGACGTAGTAACGCTACCCATCAGACGGACACAATGTCTGTAGAGGTGCGTGTCAATACCGCCGCACCAACACCTATCACTGATCCCCCCCCTACCAGTCCGAGCTGCAGGAGGAGTTCGACGAGCTCATGCGCAACGAGAACACGATGAAGGTGTCGCTCACGCCCGACAGGCTGAGGACGATGGATGTGAGTGGCCAACGATCGGATTATGTCAGCACGCTAGAACTCCATAAGGTTTACAAGGCCGAGAAGGATCAGCGCAACCGGCGCCCGGCTCCCCTCTCTATCCAAAAATCTGACAACGAACCCTCATCTGCTCCGCGCGTCGAGCAGCGCCGGCCGTCGAACAGACACGTCGAGTCCATCGCAGAGGGCGAAGAGGACGCGGCTTTCCCCTCGCAACCGGCTCAAAGTTTGACACCCTCGCGCCCGCGCGGTGCCAGCGTCGCCACGACCCCTGAGCGTCCCATCGCGCCTGCTCAACCACGGACACGCACCCTGTCCGCTGCCCCCTCTCACAACCCATCGTCCCCCACCGACATGCCACGCACACCACACCACGCCATGCCTGGCTCCCGGGGAGCGCAGGGCTTCAACGTGGACCCTTATCCGCAGAAGACGCGCAGGGTCCAGCGCAATCGCGAGTCGATGGACCTGGACGACATCATGAACGGCTCTGATGACGAAGAGGAAGCCCAGGTCGTCACGGCCACGCAGATAAAGGCACCTCAGACGCCCGTGCGGCGCTCACCACCTACCACAGCTGGGACGCGCGAACTGATCGACTTCCTCAACGATGGTCCCCCCGACGCGCGTCGCCCTCCCCCTTCACATGTTCCCCCGCGCACACCCATCCGTGCGACTTCATCACACTCGTCGACGCCGTCCAACAAACCCGCTGTGTCGAAGGCGACGCAAGACATGATCGACTTCCTTGCCCAGGGCCCTCCACCAACTGTCGAATTCAGTCCCAACGTCACCGTCTCCCCGTCCAACGACTCGACATCCAGCCGCAAGGGATCGGGCAGACTGGTCCGCATGATGTCCAAGCTGTCCATGAACGACCGACGAGAGCGGGCAGGGTCGGAGGCGACGACGGATACGCCAAATCGCTTGGCGCACAAGACCTCGATGACGAACCTCCCGCCCGCTGTCAAGCCCGTTCCGCCTCGCTACCCGCTGCGCCCCATCTCGCCTCCACCTGATGGTGGCGAGAGTAGCTCGGCCCCATCACCGCAACAGCAGACCCCTCGTGCTCGTTTGCCTTCCTCTGCCAGCAACGGGCGCAAGGAGCCGCCTGTGTGGGAAAGAGATGGTTCGAGGTCGCTCACGTCGTCTCCTGCGCCCTCCCGTCCGCAGACGCTCAGGTCTGCAGATAGCTACGAGCATAACACCCCTCATCATACGCCGTCCAAGTCATCGCTCACCAATGGGACATCGTCCATTCGGGAGGATGCGAATGAGTCCAGGAAGCCGACCATCGACACGGCAATCTCCCCAACCATTCGTACGCAGCGTAGGACCGCGTCTGGCGCGACCTCTCCAACGCGGAAACCAGTTCCCCCTCTATACCCCACCCCGACCAAGCCCGCATCGTCCGTCACCGACGATGATCTGCGCGAGATGCGTCGGCTGTTTGCGAAGGCAACCAGCCCAGAAGAGTGCCGCCTCATCTTCGACCTTTTCCTCGCCAAGTCCGGTGTCACCGTCGACCAGGCCGAATACGACAACCCGTACCCGTCGCCTTCGAGCGACTATCAGAACGGCACGCCTGGCGCTATGCAGGCGCAAGGGAGTGGCCCATCGGATGCGGCGCTCGAGAAGGCGATGGTGGAGATGCTACTCGGCGGTGGTCCTATGCCGGACGTCACTGGCGCTCGCAAGCTGCGCGCGAAGCGGAACTTGAGAGGGGATGGCACCGTGGCGAACTCGTCGACGAGCACTGTCTCGCGCACGACGTCTGCGTCTGCGACGATGACCTCGACGTCGATCGCCGCTCCGGCGCCCGCGCCTACGACGGCATTGCCGAGGCCACCGTCGGCGGGAGCAGCTATTGTCTCTCCCGCTCCACGAGTCGTTATGCAGAAGATGAATAGGCCCGCTGATCCTGTTGCTGTTCAATCTATGTAAGTGACCTCGTATGCGCTGCTAATCTTGTGCTCACAGTCATCCCAGGGCCCTGCTTTAGACGCGCCCTCGGCCGCCCAAGCTTTACTTTCTTATTTCTCCTTATTCGCCCCATGGACATACCGCTCGTGCAGGTGCACACGCTATTACCCTTCTGAAGTCGAGATTTCGGAGTAGGATCATCCATCACGCCTTGGATCTCACTGCTATTACCCTTCGCTGTTCATGGTCCGGAAACTGGCCCCTTCGTCTTCGTGGCCGTGTACATAATCATGGTCGACCTTCGCTGTATATACTCTCCCTTGCTTTCCTGGATCCGCACTCATATGTCTTGCCGGGTTATGCACACCATACGCGTCCTTACTGACCTCTATATCCCTGTTACTATCTTTTAGCTGCATATATTGGCTTTCTCTCCTTGATATCGTGAATAAGACATAGGTTCAACATGTGTATCACTGGATGGGTAACCTTGAGCGTGTCTCAACGATAAGGGCATCGTCAAATTGGTGTCGAAGAGTTCAGCCGAATCAGCGCGAACTCTTGCCTTGCACGTGATGGCGCTGGTCCGGCAAATGTCGATCTCCCTTTGTCCGCTCCCTTCATCGTCCACTGCGCTGGGTGGAGGACGTACTCTTGCACAGCACCGTCCTTCAGCATCAGAATACCTCTCCCTTCTCTTACATGCCTTACTTGCGATGACTACGAGCTCTGGAAACTCTCGGCGGCTAACCCCACGGCCTGGCTCAATTCTGCTTGCATCGACTGGCTGTACAACGCACTCAGACGAGCTCGGCACTCTTCTCTTTCTCCTTACACAGGAAATTCGAAGCTCCGGCTCTCTACTCGCTCTGTCGCAGGCCACGCGAGCCGCCTGCCAATCTCAGTAATTTCCTTTCTGTCTCCTAACCCCATCCGCGGCGCCTCGTTGCAAAACCTCTGTCTGAAGCAATCCGGCATGTCCTTTTGATGGCTTTCGGCAGAAAATTACCACCTTTGGCAGGTGTTAGCCGTGACTGGACCCACTAAGGTCACCTCAGGATGTAGTAGATAAAAGCTGGGCGCCCGGGCGGCCCTACATTCCCTCAGAGCGCTCCCTAGCATCCTCTACAGCCCCCTCCAATTTCCCTGCGATTTCTCCCGGCTCTCTGAGCACTTTCCCCGCCTTTTCCTCTTCGAACCTCAGACCACGCGTCATTTGTCACGGTGGGCGCCTATCCACTGAGATTATGGCCGCGTGGATGCTGATATGATTATCTTTCCTGCCCGCCGTTCAATACCCGTCTTCCCCTGATGCTGTTGCCGTGCCGCCTTTCTTTTTTCTGCGCATGTTACTCCATGCTTTCCCGCCGCCTCCCGCAACGTTGCCCTGCCATCATGCTGCTTCACGTAGATGTCAAACGGTTTTCACGGATACCCTCAAGCCGACAGGCGCAATGTTCATAATTCTGTGCGTCTTAAATACTAAGGGAGTTGACCGCCACACTCATTGACTTATTCACGGCCACAGACATACGATAGTCCCTCTCGTGGAAATGCACTTACGCCTCAAGGTCAGTAAAGACTACTCATCAATGACTCTGGTAACTCATGCCGAGGCCTATGTACAGCGGCGCGCTTTGCAGCAAGCACCTCTTATATTGCCTACACTTGTCGCGACCCCGTGACCGACCGAGCGCTTGACGCTCTCAACGAACAGTACCTTCGCCGCAGGCTTCGTTCCCTGGGTGTGGACGGAGCCATCAGCCTTTGGACGCTCCCCGATTTTCCTCCGGACGTCAAGCCACCGATTGAATATCCGATTCTCGTTATGGTTGCGCTGTATGCGGCGCCCACCAAGAAGCTGCAGTTGCAGGAGATCTACGACGCCATCATGGAGCGGTACCCGTTCTTCCGGTCCGCTCCATCGTGGCAGGTATGTCGTGCTACTGTCCTTTAATCTTCTGTGAGTATTCTAACGACATTGTCAGGAGTCTATTCGTCACCTTCTATCCCTCAAGATACAGTTTCGCCACATTGACCGCCCCATCGGCGTGCAAGGCCGTGGTGGCTACTGGTATCTAGACCTCACGCACGGTGAGGGGGACAAGCGCGAGCGGAAGCGGAAGCCCGGAAAGACGTCTTCCCTCGATTCGGTGTGCGATGATGCATGCAGCGACCATGCATGGGTCTGAGAGTCTCTTCCGCCTTGCTGTATTTGTACCCCTTCGCATACCCCTCGCATCGCTGCACTTGTTTGCGTTGTATCCCTGTCGCATTTATACGCGTGTTATCCCGCTGTAGCCATTATTTCTGTCTACTACTTGTATCGTTCTTTGCTTAACTTCCCTGTACCACAAATGCACGAATATTTTGTCAACTAGCCGTGTGATTTGGTCGAGTCTGGAGCAGCTCTCTTCTCATGGAGGTCCCTCCTTCGATGAGGTGTCGATACTCGAGGTACGTTTACGCTCGCGAAGCATACGCGAAAGAAGAGGCAATTGCGCACACCGTACCCACGCCGGAGATTGTAGGCCAGCCCAAGGCCATGCAGTCGAGGCATGTTGCTCGACGCCGAGGCGTTCGCTGCGCGGGTGCATGCCGTTAAGGTCCCTGGTTACTGGAGTGACTTCGCACAAGGTGGCATGTCTTTTGAGGCGCACTCGTTCGACTTCGCCGACGATTGTGCTTTCTTTGGAAGGTGTAAGATGTCCAGGCAGCGTCCTGCGTGAGCCCGGGAGTGTGCCTCCACGCCGCCACGCTCTCCGTACCTGCTCCGTCCCGTGAATGGGGTCGTCTGCGGTGGCGAAGCCCGCTGGACTGGGGACACCGCTGACAATGAAGAGTATTCGGAATGTGACAGGGTGCAGACCGTTCTATGAGTTCTCGCGGCACGGGTGTTCCAGGCAAGGCTCGTCCGTCCTGATCCTGGTCCTCGTTGCCTGCGGCGTTTGAATGGCATTACCTTGCCATCGCCCGACGGTGGGAGGTTCGAAGTCGCGAATGTTGAAGACAGCGGGAGGACAAATTGCGTGACAGACCTCGGACCGGTGACGCAGAATGTGTCACTGGGGGCACTGAGTGAGCAGGCGGGTGCTGAGCAGCGCGCTCGTCGCCGACCCGGGCGCCGCCGCCGTCCACAGCGACAAGGGGCGCGCTTGGGAGGGGGCGGGCGAGGGGGGCAGTAAAGTGCGGCCAGTTCTAGGCCCGCCGCAGAGGAGAGCCTGGGGCACGACTTGACCCGATTTCCGAATGGAGCGTGTGACATTGGCATGACGTTCCGTGAGCCCTCATATAAGCGACCGCGCCGCCACCGCACTCTATTGTAGTATCTCGCTCTCGCCCACCATGAAGGTACGCGCCCCTAATCGATGTGCTCGCCGGGTCGCTGACGACGCCCCCCTCAGCTCCTCACCCAAGAACAGTACGACGCATACGATGCCGCCACCCGCCGGGGCGCCCTCGAGGGCACGGCCTTCGGCGCCGCTATCTCTTATGGCGCGCACAAGCTTGCCTCAAGGCGGTACCCCGCCTACGCCAGGCTCACACCATCGTTGAAGTTGTTGGGCGGCTTGCTTTTCACCGTTCCCGTCTTGGCCATTCAGGCTGAGCGCCGCGGATTGGAGTACGATCAGAGCCAATGGTGAGTCCCCCTTGTTCTTGAGACCTGGTTACGGTAGATTGACATCCCTTTCAGGGTGGGCGAGAACCTGTTGTTGTCCGACAGCAAGGAGTTGGAGGAGCGCCAGCGCTGGGACTCCCTAACTACTGGCCAGAAAATTAAGGAGTGGGGCATGAACCACCAGTACAGCATCATTCTCGGCGGCTGGGCGGCTGGTATCGCTACCTCTAGCGCCATCATCTTCCGCAACAAGTACCAGACATACCCGCAGAAGGTGCGTCCAGCGAGTCCTTGCTCGCGGTCAATGCTGACGTCGTTTGTCAGGTGGTGCAGGTCCGTATGTGGGCGCAGGGAATCACCGTTGCTCTCATGATCGCTGCTGGTGTTCTCACCGCAAACCAACGGCAGGAGAAGATGGACCACGTACGTAACCCTCTACACATACTATGCCGCCGGCTGACCGTCACTCACAGCGCACGGAGGACCACTCCTGGATGGATGTCATCGAGGCGCGCGAAAAGGAGAGGCAGCTGGAGAAGGCTGGCTACGTGCGTCAATAAGCGCCCGGCTTCTCCTGGCGCGCCTGTTACCCACGTTCGACTGTCGCTGAGGAGAACGAGGCGTGCAGTCATCGCTCTTGCTTAGAACCCCATTGCTATCATTCGGACGCACCTTTACCTGTAGCATACAATAATATTCATGCATGAAGTACTGCGAGAAGGGTATCAGTTCAAAACAAGTGTACGGAGGTTGAAGCTAAAGTCCCCCGCGCCTAGCTGTACCGTTAAGGTGGTCGGCGATCGTCGTGTTGCGACGCAAACCAGTGTTGCATAATTCTCAGTACTGAAAGAGCTTGAGACTGCACAAAAAGACCTACATTGCGCGGGTTCCGATGGCGTTGTCGAGCAGAATCCATGAAAGCGGGAGCTTGGCCTCTCATCTCGAACATGACACGTGACAGAACAATGCATGCCGAATGGGCCGAGTCGCGTGGCCAGTGGTCCAAGCGACGAATTTGTGAGCGATAGCAGCCGTCAACAACATCGGTCGTGCTCTGCTCCTGCGCTCATCTCCCCGCCCGTATACGACGCGAAGATGTCGCTTTTTGGCTCAACTTCGACATGGGGCCAGAATAACAACAATAACCAGCAGCAACAGCAGGGCACGGGCTTTGGCGCGGGCGGCTTTGGCAGCACAACAAACACTGGCGGTGCGTCCGGATCAGGTGCCATACAAGGCTTGGTTTCTCATTACTTCATTCTCCCTCGATGTCAGGCTTCGGCGCCTTTGGACAACCTCAGCAGCCCCAGCAGCCCGCTGCGAACCCCATGTTTGGAAGCTTTGGTGGCGCGCCAGCTGCGAATACGGCGAATACAGGGGGAGGCTTCGGTGCGTGTTCACAACTTTAAGAATTCAACACGCGGCTCACGACGCGACAGGTGGCTTTGGTGCGACTCAGAACCAGGGCACGTCTGCCTTTGGCGCGAAGCCGGCAGGGTTTGGCGCGTTTGGCGGAGGGGGAACCAGCGCGTTCGGGGGCGGGGGCGCGGGCACGAGTGCGTTCGGTGGAGGGGGCAACACCGGCACCAGTGCGTTCGGAGCCACCAACACGGGCAGTGCGTTTGGCTCTACGTCAGGAGGTGGCCTCTTTGGAGCGAAGCCTGCAGGAACTGGGTTCGGGGCATGTGCGTCTTTCTTCATCTCCTTTTTGGACGCGTTCTGACGCGTCTTTATAGTCGGCGGGGCTAGTACGACCCCAGCGACGGGTCCCGTTGCCAATGGCTCGAGCGATCCCCCATATTCTGCGTATCAGGAGAAAGATGGGTCAGCTACGTTGACCTACCAAGCGATCAGCGCCATGCCTGCGTACCGCGGAACCTCCTTCGAAGTATGCTCCACAATTTATTCTCTCGATCATCCCTCATAACGCATCCAGGAAATCCGAGTGCAAGACTACGCTCAGAACCGCAAGGCGCCCACTGCTGGGGCAACAGGCTTCGGGCAATCTGCATTTGGCGCAGCCGCTCAACCAGCCGCAGGAGGCATCTTTGGCGCCGCTGCTCAGCCACAACAACAGCCATCCGCTTTTGGCAGCACGACTGGCGGCTTCGGCAGCACCGGTAGCGCTTTTGGAGGTGGAGGTGCCTTCGGCGCTCAAAACAACCAGCAGCAGCAGCCGGCCACAACTGGATTCGGCGGCTTTGGTCAGACACAACCCCAGCAGCCTGCTAGCACGGGCTTTGGCGCGTTCGGTCAACCCCAGCCGGCTGCTCCAGCCACTGGCGGTGGTCTGTTCGGCGGTGGCAGCGCTTTCGGCAGCACCGCGAACAACCAAGCAAAGCCTGCAGGTTTCGGTGGCTTCGGTTCGACCGCTACCAGTACGTGATATTGTCAGTGACCTACAGTATGAGTGCTTACGCATGTACAGACACTGGCTCGGCATTTGGCAGTGGAACCAGCGCCTTTGGCCAGCCAGCACAACCAGCAACTGGCGGTGGCATATTCGGCAGCAACAACAACGCGCAACAGCAGCCTAGCACAGGCTTTGGCGGCTTCGGTACGTGAATATGCCGGACTTTGCTCGTCGAAGACTCAACATAGATGCAGGCGCCAACAACCAGCAAAATCAGGCCAAGCCTCTTTTCGGAGGCACGTCGACTGGTACGACCGGCTTTGGGGCAACCAGCGGTGGTGGCCTCTTTGGCCAAACCCAGAACCAGCAGAACGCGACGCCGGCCACTGGTGGGGGACTGTTTGGTGGCGGAGGCAACACTGGAGGTGGTCTGTTTGGGAACAATAACAACAACCAGCAGCAGAGCCAGCCAGCTACTGGTGGTGGTCGTAAGTATGTTTCCTCGTATCCATGATCCTCGCCTGACGGTTTTCAGTCTTTGGTAACACGAACACCAACACTTCGACCACAGGTGGCGGTCTGTTCGGCGGCGGTGGCGGCGGATTGTTTGGAGCAAATAACAACAACCAACAAAACCAGAACCAACAGCAGGGTTCAGCCTTCGGTGGTGCTGGCGGCCTGTTTGGTGCTAAGCCTGCTCAGCCCAATCAGCCCTCTGGTGGATTGTTCGGCGGGAACACTGGCGGTGGTGGATTGTTTGGCAACAACAACAATAACCAGCAATCGAACACTGGCGGCGGACTCTTTGGCGGCTTGGGTCAGTCGACCAACAACCAACAGAACCAGGGCAGCTCTCTCTTCGGTCAGAAACCGGCGCAGCCCGCCATGGGCCAGTCCACCTCTGGCGGTGGGCTTTTCGGCGGCGGGAGCAGCCTCTTCGGGAACTCGACGAATACCATGACTCAGTCGCAAGCACAACCACAGCAGACGCTGACCGCTTCTATCAACGAGCCTATAGGCGCCAATCTGCCCATCTTCTCCATGCTTCCGCCAGGCCCGCGCGCCGTCGACATTGACCCTCCGAAAAAGAAGCCCAGCTTCTTCGTCGATGTACCGACGCGTACGCCTGTACCAAGATTGCAGCTCAGCTACCAGCCAGCGCAGTCCAAGTTGCGTGGCTTCAGCTCCATCAGCGGATCGCAGTTCGGCATGTCGCTGGCGAACGGCAGACCGGGCGCGCTGTCGCTCAGCCAGTCCCCTACGAAGAGCGTGGGTCCGGACATGTTCCTCAACGGTGCAAGCCCACAGTTCGGCAGCGGCTCGCGACGAAGCGTGAAGAAGCTCGTGCTGGACAAGAAGATTGAGCCGCAAGACTTGTTCCACAAGACGGGCTCGCCGAGTCCATCGCCAGCGCCGAAGATCACCTTCGACCCTGCGCTCAGCCGTGCAGCGCGCGAACGCGAGTACGCGGAGGAGACGGCAGGACGTCCTTTGGAGCTCCCTGCGCCCGTGAAGCAGCGTACCACGCCGCGCTTCACCGCCGCGGCTGCGGACGACGGCGTCGCTGAAGGCGAGTACTGGACCAAGCCGGACATCTCGGTGCTCAAGCACAAGAGCCACGCCGAGCTGTCTGCCTTCCCGAACCTCGTTGTCGGCCGCGCGGGCTACGGCGAGATCCACTTCCTCGATCCGGTCGACCTGACCGGCCTCACGCGGCTGACGGACCTCCTCGGCGAGGTCGTGCGGTTCGACGAAAAGGAGTGCTGCGTGTACCCGGACGTGGACGATGATGACAAGCCGCCTCTGGGCCAAGGGCTCAACGTGCGCGCGGAGATCTCGCTGCTGCACTGCTGGGCGCTCGACAAGGCGACGCGCGAGCCCATCAAGGACCCGAAGCACCCGCAGGTGGTCAAGCATGTGAAGAAGCTCGCGGCGATGAAGGATACGCACTTTGTGGGCTTCGACCACGCGGAGGGCAAGTGGACGTTCACTGTCGATCACTTCTGAGTAGGTGTAGGCGTGAATATGGATGCTCCTTTGAACCTCTTCCCGCTGCGTTGCCATGTTTGTTTGTGCGCCACGAATCTATGTATTGACTACCTACAGTATACGTACTTATGCATATGCCCTCGCGTTCGTTTCGGAGTCGGTGTTTGTTGCAACCTCACAGTCATGTCATGTATATACCTCGTACGCTGTCAATGCAATGCAGGATGTAAATGAAGGAAATGGTCTGGTCGAGAAGCCGGAAAGCCTCTTATCATGCAAGACCAGCAGGTCTACCGAAAACTGGAGCTGAGACCACACCCACGCTACTCTCAACGAAATGGCAAACATTCGAACGTGCTTTGAGAGTTGTCTTCGAGGCTGCACAACATCACACAGTTCAAGTTGTTTTCACCGAATCCATTGCTTTCTGCCTGCCAAGGTATGAAAGCTATAAGTAAAAAAGAATGTGCGCCTAGCGCCAGAGATATCCCAAAACCCATTCATACATAGTATCAGCGGGTAAAAATATATGGGCGATATAGTGTCCGGAAAATACCTGGTTACCAAAATGGAAAGCTCGAGGCTGAGTTCGCTCAAAAATTGGAAGCTGAGCGTCGACCGCGCGAATTTGCGAAGGTCTGGAAGGGACTTAGTCGTTTAACGTGCCATCCGTGACTCATTCCCTAGTCGAGTGCGTCCGAGCCGGTACATGTGTTCCGTTCGACGTGTATCGGGACTTGCCGTGCGCCTCTGATGCGCCCTTCGTCGGTACTCACGACGACGACAACGGCCTATGTAGCAGTGCTCAGGTCGCGGCAAAGCGCTCAACGAGGTTTTATACACTGTGTTATCTATCTGTGGGCCACTCTGTGAGGCAGCGAAGCGCCAAGGCGGTGTCGCCGTAGACTGTTAGTTGGCACGTGCGAGGCGGGAGGCAGGAGACGGAGGACGGCAACGACATGGAGCCATCCACGTGCTGCAGCGACGAGCCCTAAGCAAGTCACGGCGAGGGCACCCCACGACTAAGTCCACTCCAAACCTTCGCAAATTCGCGCGGTCGACGCTCAGCTTCCGATTTTTGAGCGAACTCAGCCTCGAGCTTTCCATTTTGGTACGCAGGTATTTTCCGGACACTATATCGCCCATAAAAATACAGTAAACGAGACCGACCACTAGGGCCGGCTCGCGGAGCGCCTCCATCATAAGAATTGCATTGTCTGAAGAGTAGAAGTCAGCTTCTTGTAGGTCTTTCGTGTGCGCCGAACAGCTCTACGAGCTACTCACCTCAAAATTGAAAAGTCAGTCGCGGTGAACGTGCTGATGAGTTGCACGATGTCTTTAAAGCAAAAGGCGGCCGAACTTGCCATCGCGCTTCGCGCGCGCGGCCATGTTGACGTTGTACGTCGCGGTCGCGAGGCAGCTGTCCTTCGTCGCGCCGCAGCCGGTCCAGTCCGGGTTGGGCTGCGACTGGGCGATGCACTGGTTGTAGGTGTTCATGCACGCGTTGGCGTCGACGATGCCGGTCGTGGCGGGGCCGGAGGCGGAGGTCGTGGCGGCTGCGGAGGTGGCAGCAGGGGCGGACGACGCGACCTCGGAGGTGGCGGGGGCGGACGACACGGCGGGGGCAGATGAGGCCGGGGCGGAGGAAGCGGCGGGCGCGGACGACGCTGGGGCAGAGGCAGCGGACGACGCAGCGGACGTGGCCGCAGCCGAGGACTCAGCCGCAGAGGTGGCAGGGGCCGAGGTCTCGGCGGGCGCGGAGCTCACAGCGGACGTGGCGGCTGCAGAGGTCGAGGCAGCGGCAGACGTGGAAGCGGCAGCGGAGGTCGAAGCAGCAGCCGAGGTGGACGGGGCTGCGCTCGAAGCCGCGCTGGACGCAGAGCCGGAACCAGAGCCGCTGCCGCCAGCACCCGACCAGAGCGCGGGGCCGGGGATGGGGTAGTCCGTGGCGCCGTTGTAGATGTCGAAGACGATCTGGGGAGGATATCAGCATGAGGTGGCGTAGATGGGGAGGAAAAGATACTTACACCAGGCGTGTCCGGGGTGTAGCCGCCGGGGAATGCAACCATGTCAGAGGCGCTGGCCATGGACGAGCCAGAGCCGGTGACCTCGAGCTGCAGGCACATGGGGTAGAGCTGCGCGCCTGGGTAGGAGCCGGCGGAGTGGAGAGCGATGCTGATAATTTGTTAGCGAATGAGGCTTGAAGCTGGATCTGTGGAGACTCACATCTCATGACGAACAAGGTAGTTGCCCGCAGCGAGGTCCGAAGGAACCTGCCACGTCCAGGTGTTGTTGTTCGCGATCATGATATCCGTCGCGGCCCACTTGCCATCCTCGAGACCGGCCTCATCGACCTTGAACCAGACGGCGCTGAGGAGATGTCAGGAAATGGAAGGGTTTCAGAATGAGGAGGGGTACGAACTCCGTAGGGTCCCAGGTCTTGACATCCTCGCTGGCGGGAACCTGAGCCATGTAGGTAATGACCGGGCCCTTGTGCGAGTCGGGCCAGGCAGTCCACTGCATGTCGATGGACGAGCCGGCACCGGCGGTGGCCACAAGGTTGGCGCTCTTACCGCCATTGCAGCGGAGACTAAAGAGCGATGAGTCGAAGCCAGGATAGTCATGAGGGAGCGACGTACTCGTCCGAAGTAACGTCCTCAATGGGACCGTTGCCCGGAACAGGACGAGAAACACGGTCAGGGACCGGGTTCATGTACGGGTCCTGGAACGGGTTGTACGCCTCGTAGTAGGTGGAGCCGTCAACGAGGACACCGGACACAATACCGTGCGCGCGCACGGAGGCGGCGCCCAGCGCAGCGACCAGTGCGGCAGAAGCGATGCGGGAGAAAGACATGGCGAAGTGCGTTCAAGAGTGGTCAAGCGAAGGGACTAAAGAGACAGGCAAGCGAATGCGCGAGCGCGAAGAAGGAGGAGGCGTAGACGAACGAGAGGGAGTAGGGGAAAGAAAGTGGGATACCCTGCAAGCAGCGGCGAGTGTGAAGATTGGTGAGGACCCGTCTAGGCGCGCGTCCGCTTTATGTGAGGCGGGAAGGGGGTACCGAGGGCTGGCGGGTGCCTGGATACCATCGGCCGTTCATCAGAGGCATAATTGCGGGCCATACGGACCTGACGGCTTCCAAGGCTTTCCAAGATGAAAATAGGGCCGTCAACCGACGCAAAATCCTCGGGTCGTCATGAAGGATGCGAAACTCGACACTCATGAGGCCGGGATGCCGTTCGCTCGCGGGATTCTGCTGCCACAAGCAAGAGGACCGCGCATGTTCATATCCTGAGAAGGGATACCTCGTCAAGGGGACAGCCGGAGTGAATGGGATTCGGGACGCAGAATATCAGCGTGAGACGGAGGAAGGAAGATACGTGTGAGTCACGAAGTTCAACTTTCGGCAATCACGACGGGCGTCGGGACTCGGGACTGGGCATCGGGCCGCCGGATGCACGCAGCAACGGTCGCTACGCCGAGCCTCCGGAGTGCGTCGGCAAGCAGATCGTCAACGGTCGACGTGCCTGGGCCTCACGTGGCGGTAAAGACTTGCATGTTGAACTTGCAAAAGTTCATCGCACATTTCTTGGGGTCCTGCATTCATTCACGAAGACTCCATAGACGGTTGTAGGACGCCTGCGTATAGTGAGCGTTTCTTCCTAGTGTACGATACCGTGTCGTTCACCTACCTCAATTAATTATCTCGCCAGCCGACACGGTTTGCTATCAATGACAGACTCGGTAAGTAGAGAAAATAAGAAGAGGTTTTGGTGCAGGACGTAGAAATTTTGGCGCGCCCTCAGTCGTGTTTTCGGCGGCGTCGAGGGCAGAAGCACGGGTGCGCGACATATTATTCCCATACGGGGATGTGATTGATATCGCCGAATAATCGCATCCTGGACCCACAACGTCTTCGCCAAAGCTGAGAGCCCTGACCCGCCCAATGTCAACGGCTGCCGCAAGCCTTCCTGTCTGTGCGCTAGCGTAGCGCCTGCGGCAGCCTGATCCTCGGGGCTGAATTTAACCCAAGATTCTGTCAATGACCTGGTGCATACCTTTACACCCTGTATAGGTCCCCTGGCTAATGCAGGCGAGACCCGGCGCGTAACGCGTCGCCGTCCAGCATAATGCGGATTAGGGTGGCATAGTGCCACTAGACGAGGCTAATGCTCGTCACCTTTTTGTGTTGCTCAACCCATGTCTTGTGGGGATCACGTAGGTCAGGGCATGAAGGATTCGTGGGCTCCCACTCTCGAGGGCTAGTCTACAACATTTGCTTCCGCCGGGCCTAACGACCTGAAGGGAGTGGTACCAGGTGGTACCTTCACCACCTTTCACATGACAATGTATCGCTAATGGTATCCAAGGACCTGCCATGTCCTCTTCTATGACGTCGGGAAACTCCTGCAGGTGCCGGTCCTCAGAAGACTCCAGGATCGTGCATTGATGACTGCGTCGAGCGAGCTTAACTTACTTCCGCCTCTGCTCTTACAGAAAATGCTACAGCGCATGCAAAGCATCCGCGAGCCCGCCGTCATCGTGCGCGCCATATCAGCCAAACTGCCTCGCTCACTCATGGTCTCGCCCGCCCGACACGGTTCGCTGTCGATGACAGAGACAAGCAGCAACCGCAGACGTGTCCAAGTATCGCTGGCGCGACCATCTGGAATTGCATGTCAGCACCGCACGCCACGTCCCCGCCTTCCGTCACGCCTATATGGTTTCTCAGCCAATATGGAATACCTGGAACGGCGGTCGCCCACTATACCCAGTAGGATCGTCTGCGGGCGGCGCTGAACCCGGCGATGAGCAGGGTTTGCTTGCAAAAGAGCAGACCTCAAGGGGATTCATAAGCTCTGACGATGCTCGGGTACATTACCCATCTTCCGAACAAGGTTGAAGGTGGGAAGGGGAAGGAGAGGAGACGCGCCCATCAAGCGCCACATGGGAGTGTGGCCAGCGGCGCACTCGCACGTGACCGCTTGGCTCAGCATTTCGCGATCTCCTCGACCAGAACCAGTGAGAACAGCCCGCACGACGTCGTGACAAATGGCTTTTAAGGACCCGCATCTTGCTCTTTACCACCAACATCTCCCTTTGCGTCCCTCAGCACCGTAATGGCTGCCCCTGCACCCCCGACTGCTGGCCCCGCTGCAGACCTCATCCCCGTGTTCAACGAGAAGCTGTCCCCCGAGCTCCCGGAGGACATTCTCAGGTGGGGGATCAAGAACCTGCCGGGCCTCTTCCAGACGACAGCCTTCGGGCTCACTGGTCTATGCACGATCGACATGCTCTCGAAACTCACAGATACTCCCCCTCATCTCATCTTCATCGACACGCTATACCACTTCAAGGAGACGTATGAGCTCGTGGAGGAGGTGAAGAAGCGGTACAACATCCCGATCCATATCTACAAGCCGGAAGGCTGCGAGACGGTCGAGGAGTTCGAGAAGAAGTATGGTGAGAAGCTCTGGGAGACGAACGAAGAATTGTATGACTTCCTGGTGAAGGTGCGTCAGATATCATATATTCCACGTAGCTCATGCTAATGTCCATGCCCCAGGTTGAGCCCGCACGGCGAGCGTACGAGGAGCTCGGCGTCAAGTCTGTCATCACTGGCCGGAGACAGTCCCAGGGCGCCGATCGCGCATCGCTGCAGCCCCTCGAGATCGACGAGACGGGACTGTACAAGCTGAACCCCCTCTTCGCCTGGAACTTCTACCTCGTTGAATGGTACATCAAGGAGAACAACGTGCCGTACAACAAGCTCCTCGATCAGGGCTACCGCTCCGTCGGCGACTGGCACTCGACGCAGAAGACGGCGGACGGCCAGAGCGAGCGCGCCGGCCGCTGGGCAGGCAAGGAGAAGACGGAGTGTGGCCTGCACAAGGATTACTTCACCATGAAGGCGCAGGCGAAGAAAGCGGTATGTGGCTAGCCTATCCGTCCCTGCAATCATGATCACTGATCAGCCTGTTCCATCAGTTGGAGGACAAGGCCGCAAAGGACGCCACCGCAGCCGCGCCCGCCTCAGCAGCCACCGAGATCGCCAGCACCGCATAATGATATAGAGATAGCTGCGTGTACGAGTATACTATTTGGAAATCTGTTGTACTGTTCATAGGGTCGTATGTATTGGTGGGAACCCGGCGAGGGCGTCGATGCGCGTCTGCCGCCTTAGGGCCAACCTGACACCATCACATGAGTGATTGTTCGTCCCCGCCACAACTGTCAGGTCGACTAATCGATGGCGACGGCGTCCCAGCGGACGTTGAATCGGCTTTTGAAGTTGGGCCCCGGCGCTTAGCAGGCACTCATATAACTGATGCGCGTCTGAAGCAGGTTCCGTCCCTCCTCGTTCCCGTACCTGCACCGACGGCGCGTGTCCTATACTGCACGTCTTCGATACGAATCGCAGCTTGACTACAGACGAGTCAGTAGCGAAGAGGACCTTGCCCTCCAGGACTTGTTCGAGATGGCAGTAGCGTGAGTTTCGACTGCGAGATTTGTAGGCCCCTGCGGAGGAATAATACGATTTCAGGCGCGGACGACTTCACGACCACCCGAACCTCCCCCCTCTGCCGCACGTCCATGACGAACGCATCGAGAACCAGATCTTCACGCACAGGAGCCTCTTCGGTCGTCCGACGCATGTCTTCGAGGACAGGGCGGACGACTTAGCGCCCGACAACGAGAAGTGAGTCCAGTGGCAAAACCCACGCATTCCCTGCTATGCTGCTTGGCGCTGACTATTGATACTAGGTTCGAGCACCTCGGGGACACCGTCCTGGGTCTTGTCGTGACCACGCAGATCCAGCAGATGTACCCTGGACTGCGCGTAGGCCCATCTACGGTACGGCCGCTCCTCGCGGACTCGGCGAGTTCGCTGATCTTCCTTCACAGAAAATCAGGGCCCTCGTCGTGGGTAATCAGAACCTAGCCGCTATGTGCGTGTCCGTTCCACCACCCTCGGATCTGTAGGGTGTCACGGTTCGACAGCAGTCACTGACGGGAAGTCCCGCGTAGCTCCGTCAAGTACAAGCTGCCTGAGCGTCTGAAGGTGCATGCAGCCCAGGTGGTATCACTCAAAGCATCCGTAAATGTGCAGGGTAAGCACATCCTTCAACCGTGGAAAATGCTATCCACTGACGAAGGCTCGTAGCGGACCTCTTCGAGGTATGGAAGAGCGTCGCCTCGTACGCTACATTCAACTGACCTTCTTTACGCAGGCATACGTTGGTGGCCTGTTCCTCCACCGCGGCCTCTCGGTCGTGGAGGCCTGGCTGAAGCCGCTCTTCCGCCCGTACATCATCTGCGCCTACGAGCAGGTGCGTCAGCACCACACCGTCACCCGCCCGTTCCACACGCGCGCCGGATCGTCCATGGACAGCACGGACCTGCCCATGTCCGTCGAGGACGCGCGCGGCAGCCCGACCGCCGGCCACCTCGCGCTCTTCAACCAGCACCTCTCGCGCAACAACCGCGAGGTCGAGTGGATCTACTTCGACGGGTCGAGTGAGCCGGACATGCAGGTTCTCTCCTCTAAGTTCACCGACCTCGACATCGGGAGCGAGCGCGGGTCGAAGGTGGGTAGCGTGCGTTCTGCGATTGTGCGCGGGCTATCAGCTCATATCTCCCTACCATAGACCACCCCGCTGTGGTTCGTCGAGGTCCGGGTGGACAGTACGTCCTACGGTCTGGGTCGCGGGAACACGAAGAAGTCCGCCCGCAACGAGGCTGCCAAGGTCGGCCTTGCGCAGTTGGGCATTGCGGTCTGGTCAGCTGCTCTTGTTGGTTGATTGCGTGTGTCACCATAGCTGACTTGCGCGTTGCAGAAATGGCATGGCTTCTCCAGACTTGGGCTAGATGCCCGGCGCGGGCGTGCTGACGTGCTCGCGGGTCGCAGCGCCTCCGCGAGATCATCTAGCTCTGGTGTGCAGAGGTTGTGTATGTGGATATCTGGAAATTGGTGTATGCAGACGTCGGGATTCTTGCTTTTCTAGTCGGCTTGGGTTACAAACATTGTCGTGTATGATTGTTCCGTGGAAATTCCTGTGATTTAGTTGGCTTCCAGATGCGCGAAGTGAGCATTATTATGGCAGCTCGAAGACGTGCGAAGTATGCCAGTGCCGCCTACCGATGAATGAGGAAGTCATTTGACGTGAGCGTACGACGGCAGCGCGGGAGGGTATGGGTGAACCCTGAAGGTGAGTATACCAACTTCCCCATAGCGTCGATAAGATTGGGTCATTAGCCGACCGGGTCCGCATGCCAAGTACCCGAGCTGCCATGCTGGCCTGGCCGAGGACACGTATGCATAGTTTTGTAGGACGTTAGGGACGTTCCATCGTGACATAGTTGAGGGTTCAGAGGCGATAGGCATCACACGATGAGGAAGCGCGGAAGCGAGTGAATTATGGACGACTAGATGTAGCAAAGGGAGATAACAACAGCAGGCCCGGGGATATATCTAAGCAAGAAGGCGGTAGGAGCCATCTCATGCTGAGCCCGTGGTGTAGAAGCGCCATGCAAAGTAGGCACCGAGCAAGCTGAGGGGAACGAAGTACATCATGCTGCAAGGAAGGAAATGGTCAGCGTCCGCACCTCCCTGGCATGATATGGGGACGTACTTGGAGCCGGTCTCGACGGCAGAGGACACCTTCTGCTCCGCGGCGCTCTTAGCCTCCTTGATCTTCAATTCCTGTGGGGGATCGCGTGTCAGCGGCCGGCGGGCAGCAAACACGACAGCCACGTACGCTGTTCTTCTCAAAGTCACCAATGTACATGCCGGGCAGCAGCGCGCGCGCCTCGTCAGAGTGCCCGACGTCCTCGAACGCCTCCGTGCCGTCCTGACCTGCGGGGAAGCGTCAGCACCACGCGCGGCGAAAAAAGTTGGGGAAACACGTACCACCCTCGGCGATGATAACCTCGTCGCCTCCCGGGTGCTGGGGTACATGAGCACGCAGTCCACTGCACGCCTTGACTACGCTTCATACCTCGTCCAAGAACTTCGTCACGTCGTACACTGCGCGCGCATTAGTACGAAAAACACGCGCTCTCATTGGCTGGCCGCACCCTTCCCCGAGATGAGCAGGTACATGCTGTCCTTGCTCTTGTGCGCCTTGAGCTCATCGTAGGTGACGATGCGGGCTTCCGACATTTTGGCTGGGCGGTGGGGGGAGTGGGGGAAGGACGGGGGAGAGAGTGAGGTGCAGAGGAAGGCGACGATGTACAAGGCCGCGGCCCGAGCCGTCTTACGATCCTTTTATACCCTTTCCCACGGTGAAATAGAAACGGCTACTCAACAGTCGAGACTGCCTCTAAACCACGAACATGCTATTCACCTGCTCAAACAAGGATGGAGCGAGAGGGACGCATGATTACGTTCCCCAGGCCAATCCCACAGTTGATATTCGCAAGGAAGACCGTCCACGAATGCCAATTGACTCAGCAGAACCAGAGGCTATCAGCTCTTCCTACTTCACTGTGGGGAAATCGTATGATAGATGGACGCGACCCCGACGCTGGCGGACGGTCAGGCGATAGCGGTGAGTCGTATGGCATCACACTTGCTGAGAGATGCTGAGATGAGCGCGCAACTGTCATCTGCGCTTGGGCGACGGAGACAGGCGGGGCTTGACGCTTCGGTATTGAGTTGAGTGCATGGAAGGGCCGTTGGGAGTCGGAAGCTTGCCAATGAACCCGTGTATATGACCAGTGCGTGCAAATAAAAATACATATGCGATGTTCAAGTCCTCCCTGTCTATGCTTGTGGCATCGCTGCCTGTGTGGCCTTGAGAGCTCCCACGACAGAGAAACAAATAATAGGCGAGATGAGGTACGAAGCCTGAAGATGTAGGTTAGCTCGAGCGTCCGTGCGACAAGGCACAGACTCACAGATAGGAACTTCACAAGCGACGACTTCTCTTTCTCCTCTGCCCCGCTGACATCCGCGAGCGCCAGCAGCTTTAGCGCAGGCGGCCCGACAGGCATCAGCATCATGCAGAACCAGAGCACAGGGTCGCTGTTTAGCATCGTCGTCTTCTGCGCGAGGACGTAGACGATGGGAATGCCGACCACTGGCCAGAAGATGAAGCGGATGAAGGTGATGAAGACGGTCGTGCCCCAGGGCATGGGTCCGGCGTCCTCGCCACGCTTCATATCTCTGTAGCTATTGAGAAGTTTGACGCCGACAGTCAGAGCCTGCAGTGAGGCAAAGAGATCTCCGATGTTGCGGACGCTTGCAGTGAGCCAGCCAGAGAAGAAGCCTTCGGCTGTCAAAGAAGATAAATCGGGGGAAACCTGCTTTACGATCATGATGATACGTACAGTCAAAGAATTGATCATAAAGCGGTCCTGAAGGAAGGTGAGACAGTGATACCGCATAATAACGCTTTCACTTACCAACCATGCCTAGCAGAAGACCAATGAGAGCGCCTACAGCTCAGATTAGCATCCAAAGCAACATCCGAGATGACCATGCCTACCGATGAATGGCGCGTTCATAAATTGTGTGAAGAAACTGAGGACGCTCTTCACGAAGGATGGAAGGGAGGCATATGCCTCCTTGCCGCGTACAAGGATGCCAGAGGACCCCTTGCGACTCTGCTCATATCCCAGAAGCGCTGTGCGTTCTGATGCCTCGCCTCTTTCAGTCAAGTCATCGGCTACGGCAAGTGGAGGCGGGCCAGGTGGGTGCAATCTTCCGTTGAGGCCGGCGCTGATGCCTGGCGTCTGCGGCGGGGACGGCCCATCCTCGTCTTGCGGGTTCAGCAGGCCAGGACCGAGCGAGAACGTGAGGGAGCTCCCGATGACGGCGTTGATGAGGAAGTAAGACTTTGCGCGGTTCACTGCATCAGATGCGCTCTCGCCAGGCAAGAGGATCGCATCCAGCAGACCCGTGACAGCGAAGGACTGGACGAGGAGAAGGGGGAGTGAGGTCGTGTTGTTGAATGCGCAAGCCGGGGCAACGAAGCTGGGCATCTTGAACCATCGCCGCGCCACGACGCCGATGGCTATTGAGACCAAGTTGTACGCGATAGACCAGACTTCGAGGTGGTCGCGTGAGCGCCTTCCCGAGACCTATCCTCGACCACGACTCACCGATGATGGGAAAATAGCGGGGGAGGGTCTCCGGGTGCGCCTCAGAGCCCACGTTAATGATGAGGAGGGCGGGCTGCAGGAGCTTCACGCAGAGCTTGCTGATGTCCTTCGCGCTCGAGTTCTTGATGAGCTTGAAGTGGCCCGCGATGATCCCGTAGCCGATGGTGAGCAGCACGGAGACCGAGCCCTGGAGGGCCCCGATGAACGACGTGAGGACGCTGTTCTGCATCGCGCTGGCGTGCAGCGACATCGGAGGATGGTGAGTGGGAGTTCAGGAGAAGGAGGTCAGACGGGCGCTTTTCATGGACGGGTGAGATGATGATGGGACGCGCCAAGGGCGCGCGGATGCAGAGAAGCCGCCGATCGCTATGACCTCAGTCAAGGACGCGGGGAAGCACGTCATTGCGGTTGTTGACAGTCTTCTGCTCATCGACGTCCTTCGAGCTCAGACAGAGTGAAGCTGCGGGATCAACACGATTTACTATACAGTCAGGGCGCAAAGGCCTCGGTACAAATACACTTTTACACGGGGAAGAGCTATGGGATACAAGGTGGGCGGGGTATAGCGCGTCATGACGCATTCACTGTAGAGGGGAAATCAGGGACATGGTCAACAAATGAATGAACAGGCTAGCAAGCGGACTTACGAGGTCTACCCCTGGACTATTCGTGGGGGTTATTTTGTGGGATAATTCCCGGGGGCGATCGTCTACCATCCATACGTGCTGACGGACACGACATTGCCCTGGGGGTCTACGACGGTGATGATGCCCTCGTCGTCGCATGACGAGGAAGGGTACACCGAAGACGTGGTGGATTGCTCGAAGCCGTACATGTCGGGAGGTATAACGGGACTGAATGATCGTCAGCGAAGGACAGATAGAAGAGATGGACAGACGTACTGAGATGCGGTGCGCGTTGGTCTAGTCTGTGCGATGCGGGAAGACGTATGCAAAAGAAAATTGCGAGAGGGCTGTGTTCTGTCTGGAGGCAGGGACGGGCGACTGGTGAAGGCGATGGAGGCAAAGAACCAGCATCGGCGGCCCTTATATACTGTTTCGCTGGTTAGGCAAGCCCGGGTCACTCGCAAACGGGATGTCAATGAGGTGGGGCCAGGGAATCTTCAATGGAGCGGGGCCGTTGTCCTAGAAGAGAAGGGCCCATGCTATAACGGCAGACCGCTCATCGGGCATGGTCATCCGTCCCTGGTCCGTCGAGCGGGATGGAGTTTGAGGAAAGCGTTGGGAGTGCAATGACATTCATATAGGCTAACACGTCATCCAGCGTAGGCGGAACGAGGGGGCACAGTGCGCGATGATGGTGGGAAGAGTTGAAGTTAGTATGGGCACGTGCCTGATGCAAGTTCAACCGTGACCGGGTGTCACTCCGGCCCCGCTCGAGCGCCCAGGGCGCGCGCGCTCCGTGCTTACCTGGCTTCGAGAGTGGGGAGATATATCGAGGTTGGAGCAGCAGATTCCCGGTGCCAGCGGGATGTCGAAGGTACTCGGGGGTGGGGATTGCGTTTGATCACCGGACTCCTGGGTCTCTTCGAAGGCCGCTCAAGCTGACCGTCTCACGCCAGATGCCTCATCGTCAAAAGCATGTTCTCAAGCAGTCATGCATGACGCTCCGAATTCATAGGAAAGCTAACCGCTCAATTCATTCATGAAACGGCCGTGGACGGAAGGTATACGCAGGTTACAGGATGGGCTCGATAAGGCGGTCCTCGAGGACGCGCGCGCGGATTCTGGAAGTCCTATGACCTAAGACAAGCATGAAGAGCTTTCCTGACGAGAGCTGCGGTGACTCACTTCCAGGCTTCGTCGCCCTGCGGCTGACGTTGGAGACGTGCGTCTCTATTTACTCTCCTCCCCATAGGTGGTGACGGACACGACGTTGCCCTCGGGGTCAACGACCGTAATGGTCTCGTCACCCTCTCCGCTCATGTCGACTGGGAGACAGCCGGACGAAGCTGATATGGGGACCATGGTGGCTGGGAGGGTTTGTTCGACGGGGTGGCGCGACGGCGTCTGAGCGACGTAGAAGTCAATGAAGTGAGGCAGACGCCGTGCGGAGACAGCTCACCATCCTTTCGCTTTGGAAAGTGGGCTTAAATACGGAAGGTGGCACGCGGAGGAGGCGAAGCGGAGGCTTGGTTGCGAGTACATGCGAAGCGGGCCCGACCCTTTTATGTTCGACCACCATTGGTCGACCACTAAGGTCAGACAAACATGCAATGTTTGCCGGAGTTATGATGGCCAGAAGAGAATGCAAGCGCAGCTGAAAGCACAGGCTACGCGAAGGTCATGGCCGCCGTTCGGTGGGTCCATTTATTTGTGACCGTCTAGAAGACCTGACGCCGGTGAGAGCGCAGCATGGGTCACAAGAGTTCGGGAAGCAATCTCGAGCATTGGGCACCCTGTCCTCGTTCTGCGAGCGCGGCTGCCGCCCACTCGAGGTGCACGACCGGAAAAAGAACAAAAGCCAGGAACATTGCAAATCAGAGTTCGACGCTGGCGCACGTGGGCGCGCTTGTGGCGTCTGGCCTCGCGTGGCAAATTTTTCATTGTTCTCCGTGATCACAGCTGGTAACAAAGCCCGCCGCCGCTCACCATGCCCGACGGCTCAGCTGGTCCCTCGCGCCAGCCCACATTCGACACCCTCAAGCGCGAGAAGCTCTTCAGACATCCTCCGAGGGACAGCGCGAGCTACAATATCCTCAACGAGTTTGTCGCGCCGCATCTTGAGTCCTTCAATGCATTGTTCGACGACTCGGGACTGCCTTCGGGTGATGGTGACGGCCGCGGACTGCTGAGCCTCGGGATAGAAGAGATCGGGGAGCGCGTCGTCTTCGATGGGGACGGCCGCCCGGAGTCCGAGCACGGAGCGACTGGGTGGGGGAACCGTATGCGAAGTGAGTGCTGAATCCCGCGCAGCTGCGCATTGGAGTCTCACAGAACCCCAGTATGGATCGACTCCGTCAACATTGCAAGACCCATGCTGTCCGACCGCGAGACCTTCTCCAAACAACGCAAGATCTTCCCCACAGAGGTGCGCATCTTGACGCGCGCATTCGATCACCGATCTGAGTTACATTAGGCGCGCGAACGCCTTACCTCCTACCGGGGGCGGATGACTATGAAGATCTGCTGGACGGACTCGCACGGAAATAAGAATGACATGGTCAAGGAGTGTGGGCTCGTACCAATCATGGTTCGCGTGAGTGCACATTCCCTTCACCTCCTCCCACATATACCTAATGCTACATTAGTCCGTGCGGTGTAACCTCCGGGGCATGTCCTCGGCCCAGCTCGTCGCACATCGCGAGGAAGCTGAGGAGTTCGGCGGCTACTTCGTCATAAACGGCAACGAGCGCTTAATCCGCTACCTCATTCTCCCCCGCCGCAACCATGTCATCTCCCTCCTCCGACCCTCCTTCGCAAATCGTGGTCCCTCCTACACACCTCACGCTGTCCAAATACGATGCGTCCGCCCCGACCAGACGAGTGTTACGAACACACTGCACTACCTCTCAAACGGCATGGCCATGCTGCGCTTTAGCTGGCGGAAGCAGGAGTATGTGATCCCAATCATGCTTATCCTGAAGGCGCTCGTCGGCGCGTCGGACAAGGAGATCTTCGAGGGTGTCGTGATGCAGGACTTCGAGAACACGTTCTTGACCGATCGCGTCGAGCTGCTACTGCGTAGCTTCAAGGCCTACACTATGCGCACTGGGAATCAATGCTTGGAATACCTTGGCGACCGCTTCCGTGTCGTGCTTAACCTCCCGGAGGACTGGACGAACCTTGCAGTTGGCACCTGGCTGGTGAACAAGATGGTTTTGGTGCACCTGCCCACACCTCGTGAGAAGTACAACATGTTGCTGTAAGTTGACGTTGCGTTGGCTGTTCAGTGCAGGTCTGATGCTCTGCAGGTTCATGCTGCGCAAGCTGTACGCATTGGTGTCCGGCGAATGCTGTGCGGACAATCCTGATTCACCTCAACATCAAGAAGTCCTTTTACCTGGCACGCTGTACGGCATGATCATCAAGGAGCGCTGCGAAGAGGTTCTCAATGGAATCCGGGCGGGCATTATGAGCGACGTCCGCAACGGGGTTGTCGTCGATTTTAACGATAGTACGTCGCACTAGCCCATCGAACTCTCCAATGCTCACCTGTCCCAGAACGCTACATGACGAAAGTGATGTCGAAAGTTAGCTTCGACATCGGCGCCAAACTCTCCAATTTCCTCGCCACGGGCAACCTCGTCTCCCCAACTGGCCTCGATCTGCAACAAGCATCCGGCTTCACTATCGTCGCCGAGAAGCTCAATTGGCAGCGATACATAAGTCACTTCCGCTGCATCCATCGTGGTGCTTTCTTCGCCGAGCTCAAGACGACGACGGTCCGCAAGCTACTACCCGAGGCCTGGGGCTTCCTCTGTCCCGTGCATACGCCAGATGGTTCGCCATGTGGTTTGCTCAATCACTTGTCGCGTACATGTCGGATTACTACGACCCCGCTCATCGTTGCACATATCCCTGCCCTCCTTGCCGCCCATGGCATGACCCAGCCGTTTGCAGGACGCATCAATGGACGCACAAATATCTGCGTGCAGCTGGACGGTCGCGTCATTGGTTGGGCACGGCCTGCAGTCGCACAGCAGCTCGCAAACAACCTACGAATATGGAAGACGGAGGGGATGCACGAAGTGCCGATGGATCTCGAGATCGGTCTGGTGTTGGAGTCGAAGGGCGGCCAATACCCTGGCTTGTTCTTGTTCTCGTCGCGGTCAAGGTTCATGCGGCCGGTCAAGTACTTGCCGAATGGACGCGACGACCAGGTCGGTTCGTTCGAGCAGGTGTACATGAACATCGCATGTTTGCCTGAGGAGATTGAGCCGGGCGTGACATCGCATGTCGAGCATAACCCCACCAACTTCCTCTCCATCCTCGCCAACATGACGCCCTTCTCCGACTTCAACCAATCCCCGCGTAACATCTACCAGTGTCAGGTTCGTTAAGTGTGCATTTGATCTCTGACTTGTCGTCTCACGTGCAGTCTAGATGGGTAAACAAACCATGGGTACCCCATCGACCGCCATCAACCACCGCACGGATAACAAGCTGTACCGCCTGCAAACAGGCCAAAGCCCCATCGTCCGCCCCGCCCTCCACAACACCTACGCCATGGACGCCTTCCCCAACGGCACCAACGCCATCGTCGCCGTCATCTCCTACACCGGTTACGACATGGAGGACGCGATGATCCTCAACAAGTCCGCGCACGAGCGCGGCTTCGGCTACGGCACCGTCTACAAGTCCGCAATTATCGACCTGAAGGACCAGAAGGGCGCGACGAAGTCCTCGTCCGCACCGACGTTGCACTTCGGGCTGGGGAAGGACATAAGGAGGACGGGGGATAAGGCGCATGCGTGCACGGAGTTTGTTGGGGAGGATGGGCTGCCGCTTGTGGGTGTGAAGCTGACCGCGGGCGATCCGATGGCGGCGTTCATCAACGACGTGACTGGGCGGACACAATTTCAGAAGTACAAGGGCGATGAGACGGCCTATGTCGACCAGGTCCGATTGCTCGGTGGCGACAACGGCGACACGGAGCTGCAGAAGATCCAGGTCACTCTTCGTATCACTCGTTCGCCCGTCATTGGCGACAAGTTCTCGTCGCGACACGGGCAGAAGGGTGTCTGCTCGCAGAAGTGGCCCGCGGTCGACATGCCGTTCAGCGAGAGTGGTATGCAGCCGGATGTCATCATCAACCCTCATGCCTTCCCCAGTCGAATGACCATCGGCATGTTAGTCGAGAGTATGGCGGGCAAGGCGGGTGCGATGCATGGGTTGGCGCAGGATGCGACACCGTTCAAGTATGTCTTGATGAAACACGCAGTATAGTCATTCTGCTGATATATCTGCAGGTTCTCGGAAGAGGACACGGCGGTCGACTACTTCGGCAAGCAGCTCCTCGCAGCCGGTTACAACTACTACGGGAATGAGCCCATGTACTCGGGCATCACTGGCCAGGAGTTCGCCGCCGACATCTACCTGGGCGTGGTCTACTACCAGCGTCTTCGTCACATGGTGTTGGACAAGTTCCAAGTCCGTACGACTGGTCAGGTCGACCCGCTCACGCGGCAACCCGTCAAGGTAAGTTATGTCATCCCTTTTCGTTACAACCTCCTTACACGCTCCTTAGGGTCGTAAACGCGGTGGTGGTATCCGTCTGGGTGAGATGGAGCGTGACGCGCTCATCGCCCACGGAACGTCCTTCCTTCTTCAAGACCGCCTCATGAACTGCTCCGACTACTCAACCGCCTGGGTCTGCCGCACCTGCGGCAGCCTCATCTCCCTCGGCTACGACGACGTCGCTCTTGGCGAGCGCGTCCTCGGCAAGGACGCCTCCTTCCGACCCTCCGGCCCCGGCGGCGAGTACTGCAGAGTATGCCGCAAGGCCGCGGAGGAAGAGGAGGAGCGTGCGAGGCAAAACGCTGCGGCCCCCACGGACGACGCGCCAAGACGGCCGGCAGCGGACGTGCGGGTGGCGATCCCGTCGCAGAATGTTCTGGGGACGGCTAAAAAGGGCGGCGACCTGGATGTGGTCGCTGTCCCGTATGTATTTAGGTATCTGTGCGCCGAGTTGGCGTCTATGGGTATCGGCGTATCGTTAGAGGTGCAGTAGTCACTTCGCACATTCTGTTGTACTCTTTGCATATCTCATCCGCTTGTTGTTTGTCTGTTTCAATTGCATTTGAGGCCCGGAGAGGTCATTTCACAACGTAATCACCCACTGGACTTATTGCTTGCCATGCCTCTGTGGTCGTCAACGTCGTCAATAAGATAGGATGGTATAAAATAATACATGAGCATACACAACGATGCCTCTACACTCATTTACGGGAACGTAGTGAACCGCGAGTCCTTTGTAGAGTTGATTTTGCGAGAGACATCCACGAGAACGTGCCCCAAGCGCTCGAAGTCCGACATCTAGAAAATCTCTCGTCAGCGACAAGAAAAACCAATCCTTCCTCACTGAACACACCTCTGCATAGACCTGCGCGCACACCCGCACCCACCACGACCCATTGAACATATATGGGACAGCGTATATCCTATGCGTGCCCATCATCTCCGTGTGGAACAGCTGGAAGACCTTCGGCCCCGGGATCGAGGTGTCGATGGGCAAGCGGACGTTGGCCATGTTCGCAACGAGCTCTCCGTCGCCCGCAGGAGAGTCGAGCACCTCTGTGCCGACGATCTCGGCGGTGCGGAGGCCGCCGCGGACGGCGAGGTCGTGGCAGTAGGAATTGATCTTGTCGTCGCCGCCGATTTGGCGGCGGAAGTTGAGCGCGGGCTCGATGCTCATGTAGGCGAGCCAGTCGGCGAGGCCGTTCCAGTAGAACTGGGTGACGAATTTGTTGGGGTTGATCTGGTGCCCGGGGCCGTCGTTCACCATGGCGGGAATGAGGGGCTGCATGATGTCGTGGTGGCGGTAGGCGACGTTCATGAGCGCGCATCCGCGCTTGGCGTAGAACCATTTGCTGCAGTTCTGTGGCTTGTTAGCATCCTGCCTTGTACGATGAATTCAGCAACATACAGCTACCCAGAAATCGGCGTCGATCTCCCTCAAGTTCAGCTTCTCCTGGCCGAGCGAGTGCGCGGCGTCCACTAAGCTCCAGGCGCCCTCCTTCTTGCAGATCTTGACCATCTGCCTCCATGGTAGCAAGACTGCCGGCGTAGACCCTATGCTGTCGAGGACAACGACAATCCTGGCGTCCGACCCCATCCCCGCGCGCCACTGCTTCAACTGCGCACCGAAGCTCTCCAGAATCGTTGCATGCGACGCCGGCAGCCCCAGCTTCAGCACCGCCGTCCTCGGCGCCGTCTTAAAGTGCGCCAGCGACTCCACTGCACGCACGACCGTGTCGAAGCAGATGTCACTGTACACCAGGAGGTCGTCCTCCGCCCACGGGATGCTGCGCAGGATGGTGTTCACGCCGGTTGCGGTGTTGGGGACGAAGACGCAGGTGTCGATGTCGGCGCCGACGTACTCGGCGATGACCTCGCGTGAGCGGTCGATGGCGCGCCAGAAGCGGCCTTGGCGCATGAACATGTCGGGGTTGGCCTCGCCGACTTCGGCCATGCGGCGCGTGGCCTCCTCGACGTAGTGGGGGATGACACCGAAGGAGCCTGAGATGGTGCTTTAGTGGTGAGGAGGATAGAAGGACGAGATACGCACCATTGTTCAGGTGGGTGAAGTTAGGGTCCAATTGGAAGAGTGAGCGGGACTGGTGCCCGAACTCGGGAACCTCCGTCAGAACGAGCTCATGCGCAGAGTCGGTGAGTTGCATGGTGAATCAAGAATACAGCGGAGGAGATGACAGGGACCGGAAGTGGGTATCGGATACGCGCTGCTGAGCTTTATATCCGACATGGCTGGTCGTATCAGGGCGTATGCGGGCCTAAGTATTCTGAGCGTGAAGGACGGGGTTAGTAGGTGATCATCAATCTGTGCGCAACGTACTATAAGTCACCTAGTGTTTAACTTTTTTGACGAAAATACGCGAACACTGTTTTGACCCCGTAAGATGGTCGAATTTGGCCCCGAAAAAAAGCAGGCGTACATTGTTGAGTGTTCTGAACAAGATGGCGCGCTCTTCTTCAGCGTAGCACGACGGGAAGGTAGGAATGTGTGCTCGGACGAGATTTCCGCCAAAATGTCACAAAATGTCACGTTCTGCCGACACCGGCAGAAAACCCAGAGAATGGGTACGTCTCGGCACCACGGCACCGCCGACGCGCTGGGCAAGGGCAGTCGATGACAGCGACTCAGTCCTTTGTTGCACCGGCAGGATGGTACACGAACGGATAGTATGTTTCGAGGGAGTCAAGCTGACATTAGGATAGCTATACATCAGGAAGGCTATGTGCTAGAAGCTCGAGACGAGCTGACCGCGTATGATACCAACGGTACGATGATTAGTGGACGAAATGGGTGTATCTACAAGGGAGCGACTCGTGGTTCGATTAAGCTAGCCATGCGAATGATGATTAGAGGTATCATATGGGAAATTATGACCCATGTTCGGTGGGTATGGGGGCATATAGTGAGCGTAGTTATAAGACGTGTAGGGTGCCGGCGGTGGCGGGCAGGGTGTTGACGATGGGGGCGGATAGAGCAATGATGGGGGTGGGTAGTACGGCATCGGGGATGGCATGGCAGGGGACGGCGGCACCGGAAGTTGCGAAGACGGCACAGTCAACGTGGTCGAGGAAGCTGAAGGACCGGAGGGAGGGTAATGTACTGCTGAAGGCCATGGCGATGGTGGTGGCAGTGGCGGCAGCGAAGCGCTCATATGCGCTCCTCGCAGGTCAGCGGACAGTGACGGCGGGTATGATGCAGGTGACATCATCGTACCAGGCGGCGCAATTGCGGATGGTGGGTAGTACTGCATTCCCCCGGGCTGTGTCGCATACGGGGAGGACGACGCAAGGGCTAGACGAGATGGACCGGCATGCGAAGGGACCGAGAGGGACGACGAAGGAAGGGGAGCTTGGGAGCTATGATGCGCTGGAGAATCCGCATTGTTGTTCTCGCGCAGCCGTGGTAGATTCTTGTCGTATAGGCCGCGATAGCGTACTGAGCTTCGGACAGCTGGATTTGCCTGAAGGTGGGTAGCAATGGACTCCGCGAGGAGAGGGTTCGTAACCTTCTCCCATGGCAATCTGAGAGCTGCCGCAACGTCAATGAGCCTTTCCCGCTTGAACCCGGACAGCCTGCCCTCAAATGCTATCCCTGCCACCTCGTTCCGCACATGTCGATCTTGCTGAGCAACGGAGTTGTTGTGTTTCCGCTCCGCCCGCGCCGTCTTCGCCTGTCGGCGCTGCTCGCGCAGCTGCGCCCTTTCCGCGGCACCCTCTTTACCAGCACCGACAGTGAGTATCGTGGCGTTCGGGTTGAAGCTATGTGAAGGGGCATCACTTCGCTTATTGCGCTTCTTGCGCTGCTCGGTGACGCTATCCAGCTCCGACCGGGCCATGATCGTCTGCGACCTGAGCCGCTCGCATTCGCGTTCGAGCTCATCTATGCGAGAGGCGCGGGATGGGATGCGGATCTTGAGACCACTCCCGGAGGGACCGGGAGCCTGGGCTTCACCCCCTGGCACGTGCAGCACTTGAGCTGCTGCGTCGTTGTCGTGCGCGCCATCACCATCGGCCTGCGTGGCTGCTGAAGGGTCGCTGGGGGCTGCCATCGAGACGTCCTGCAGGTCCTCCGCGGAGCCGTCACCATCCACCCGCGAGCTCTCAGGCAGGTCAATGTCCATTGCCTCATCCTCGGAGCATTCGTCGAGGTGTAGGTCCCGCAAGGCTGTCACGAGCTCCTCGTCGCCATCGCTCGTGTCAAAGATCTGGAGGTAGGGAAGTTCCTCGACAGGCTCGACAGCGTCAGGAGAGATGGGGAGCGGCGGTAGCTCAGGACCACCGGGGAACGACGCGGGCACCGAAGATGCGGCAGTTGAAGTTGCGAGACTTGGCCCGAAATCGTGGTCGGTAAAGAGGTCGGGATTGAAGGGGTGTATGCCGGTCCTCTTGAAGGCGCCCCGAATGACCTCCGGAGTGAACGTTCTGCTCCGAACTTCCAAGTACTCGTGCACGAAGTCTCCGCGGGGCATTTCCGTGTTGTAAGTCTCTACCGACGCGTCGCACGCCTTCACCCATTCAGTCTGAAAGGGACCGAACACGCCGACATCGAGGGGCTGAAGCTTGTGCGTGGTGTGCGGAGGAAGGCAGTAGAGAATGATGTTGTTCTGGATAGCGAGCTCAATGAATTCAAGAGTCGTGTGAGACCCGTGGCCGTCGCAGATAAGGAGGATGGGCTTGCCGGAAGTGTTGCGTTGCGTCGCCTGAGGTATGAAGTTCTCGCGGAACCATGCTAATCCGACGAGATCATTCGTCCACCCATTCTCGGTGGTAGATATGCTGGAGAGGAACATGGTAAGAAGGTTGAAGACGAGCAAGGCGCAGGGTACGTACGTGACTTCAGGGGGAACATCTCCATCAAACCAATGCTCGTTGTAATTGCGCCCAGCGAAGATGAAGCCTGGCCAGATGAAAGAGCCGTCCGCGCACACGCACTCGATGATGGTCACGAGCTCGAGGTTCTCGCTGCTGCGACGATACTGCGACTTCTTTGCTCGCGGAATGAGGTACTTGCGCAAGGCTGCCTTCTTTCCCCCGCCGCGCTGACAGCCCTTCTCGTCCATGTTGTACACATTCTCGAGTGGGATGCCCTTCAGGACCATCCACTCTTGAAGTAGAAGGTAGTGTATGTGAACGATGGGCTGACAGAACGCTTGCGCGCGCTTGGGATCGAGATTGCTAGCCTTGCGGAACAAGACCTCGGGATTCCGGCGTAGGAAGCTAGGCAGCCAGTTACGGCCAGGGCGGCGACCAGCGAGAAGGCCTGCTTTGTAGCGCACAGTAGTAGCAGTGCACGGTCTCCCAGCGAGCGAATAAAAGATGATCCATTCGATGAGAACTCGTTCTTGCTCGGGAGTGAGCAGCTGCTGGTCGGCGTGTGCTTCGCGTGCAGGCTTGTGTTTGTGCTGGTGGCGGTCTCGCAGAGTACCGACTTTGAGGACGATACGCTTTCCCGGACGATGCTCCTGGCTAGACTTCTCATTGAGATGTTCGACGACGCCGACGTATCGAGGTGTGCCGCTCGTAGGGTGTATCCACTCGGGCTTGGCAAGCAGCTCACATGCAAGGCGGTAGCGAGCTTCCTTCTCGACGGCAGTGGTCTCTGGGCCGTCTTTAGGAGGAGCAGGCGTCCGACCTCTTTGAGGCATGCGGCCGCGGCCCACCGGGATGAGTGCGCACGCTGGGGTGCAGGAGGGCACGTCCACATCGCTGGATAGCCGAGCCGAAATGCCGTTGAGTGCCGCCAATGCCGTTCTGGGCCGTGTGTGCCGATTACCGTTCTGTCGGATTTGTGTCACGCAGGTCAGGCTTTCCCTCATATCTCTGCCTTCCCGTCGTGCTACGCTGAAGAAGAGCGCGCCATCTTGTTCAGGACACTCAACAATGTACGCCTGCTTTTTTTCGGGGCCAAATTCGACCATCTTACGGGGTCAAAACAGTGTTCGCGTATTTTCGTCAAAAAAGTTAAACACTAGGTGACTTATAGTACCGCTTTCGCTCTCAAACAGATGATCGCAGCGCATTTGATCCAGGCTTCCAGCGTTGCAGCTTTAGAGCAAGTGTCAGCAGCACATCAGTCTGGGTAAGGGCAGACTGAGTCCGCCCAGTGCAAGGGTGGCCCTCCTCTTCTCGTTCACGCGTCGAGGGAGCGAGCGGAATGAGACTGTAGCTACAACTCACCGAAACCTTGACAGGCCTCTGCCCCTAGCCAGCAGGCGAGTGTGGGCCCGGGGGAGTCCACCACTGACCTTGACAATATGTCAGATTTGAGATTAGTTCACCCGTGCAGATAGTGGGATAGCAGATATATTGCGAGAAGAAGTGACACTAGAACTACGAGTATGTATACCCAGCTTAGTGCTCGGATGCCCACAGATAAAGACTGAGATGAACTCAAGGACATATAAGCGTGGAGTAGGTACTGGTCGATCTTCCACTTCGCCAGTAGAAGCGACGATGGCATTGTGAGCCGTGTCCCTAGGCAAAAGCGAGTGGGGGAGGAGAAACAGGAGCCTCACACCGACAAGAAAGAAAAGAAAACTTGAATTGCTGAGACAAAGTGGCCATGGTGGCAAGAACGAACAAGAGAACAAGAAAATTGCGCGCGCTATGAGGGATGTTTTTGTGGCGTTGTATGACGTTGTATGGCTGGGACGTCGCCCGGAGCGCGCGGCGGCCATTGTCTATTGTTCTCGTCAAGCCTTCATCACGCTTCACGAACACGTTCGGCCCAGCAATGGCCGACGTCGACGACATCCTCGGTGGCAACCTCAAGCCCGCCCCAAACACTGGCTTTGCCTCCTCTCTAGGCGGCAAGGCCACGCTCACGCTCGTTCTTTCTGCGCTCGCGGTGGGCGGCTATTTCTTTGCCCAGCGCTGGATCGCGGATTGGCGCCAAAGGTCTTACAACCTGTGAGTATACCACCCCATCACATATGAGGCACCACTTATCCTGTGAGTAGGCATTTCCGGAGAAGTCATGGCATTCCGGACCACGACACGCGCCCGTTCGAAATAGCGTTGGACGAGGTGAAGCGCAAACGCGAACAGAAGTGGATCAGGGCTCCAGGAAGCTTGGCCTCCCCGGCACCTGAAGCCTCACCGGCGCCTCCCCTCAGGCAGCGCGCCGTCAGATTTGGTGCGTCTTCATCTGCCCTTAGGATCTATAACTCATTCTCGGTCTGCAGTTTCGGACGATCAGCCATCACGCTCGCGCACACCTCAAGGCTTCAACCCCCATGCCGCTCAGCCACTCTCGTACTCTACAGGACACAACCAGTCATAGTGCGTGCACCACGCTCGGCGCCACATAACATGCTCATGCTCTTGCAGTAATGCCCCCAAGTCATACGGATATCTGGCGGACCCAGGCCCTTCGTCGGACACGGAATATGCACCCAGTGGAAGGACCTCCCCAACCAAACCGGTTCGCCGAGGCGCCGTTCCCCTTCAGCGAGAATTTTCACTTCTTCGCGAGGGCGTTAAGCGCGCTCTGGGCGATGACGTAGATGACGAGGAACACGATCCGAAGAAGTTGCGCATGCACGACGAAGACATCGTCGATGGCGATAATAACCCGCGCTGGCACAACAATCGACCCCTCGACACCAAGCGTGGTTCCAAGCGCAACAATGAGGAGGTCGAGGATCTGGATGAGGAGGAAATTGCCAACCTTAAGAAACGTGATAAACGCGCGCGCAAGGTTTCCATCGACGGCGCCGTCCAGGAGGCGTCTCAGTCCGAGGAGTCTGATGTGAACATGGATACGGATGTCGATACGGACATGCAGCCAGTCAACCCTGTCGTAGCGCGCCTGCGTGGCAAGAAGCGCGATCGCGACGAAGCCGGCTCTACTGTCGGTGACGATGACGATGACGACCAGGAAAGCGATAGCAAGGGCAAACGGCAGCTTAAACGGTCGAAGCGCAAGTCCACTGGTCAGTCAAAGTCCGGAGAGAGCACTCCCGTTAAGGGCAAGAGGAGCAGTCGCGGCAAGGGCAAGCAGAGCCATTCACCCTCCTCGGAAAGTGATGTCACAATGGACTCGGGCGCTCGTACACCACCTCGCGTCGAAGGCGACGAATGGACCTCGCATGGTGTCACGTATAGGATCGGTCCAAATGGTGTACGCCAGCGGTGGACTTTGGTCAAGCAGGAGGTTCCGAAGTTCAACATGGTGAGTATAGGTTCTCGCGGTCTACTACTCAATCGCTCACTCATGTGATAGCCTGAGGACTCGGTGCACAACGACCGCGACGATCGCATGCCTGTCTGCGTGTACAACTGGCTCACAGACGCTGAATACGCGGAAGCAAAGAAGAACTACAGGCTCGCCAATCAGATAGCCCCGACGTCGCCAAGCAAGTCCGATGTAAGGTCCTTTCCCTTGTACGCGTTGTGCATTCGCACTCATCCATCACCCAGCGTCGTCGTTCTGATGGCAAACCACTACTCTGGCAAGACCCCAATGGCACCACCCACTCCACCCCTCCTTCGCGCAAGAACTCCAGCGACAATTTGTTGCTCACGAGCAGCACGAGCAGCGTCAAGGATGAAGAGACGAAGCCGGACACGCCGTCGAAGAGTCTTACGATCAGGAGGATAGGTTCTACGATATCCAACAAGCAGGCTCGCCCGGACACACTCAAACGACCACTCAGCTGGTACGAGAAGCAGGAGATGGAGGCGGAAGCGCGCAGGCGTCGTCAGGAACTCGAGCGTGAAAAGCAGGGGACAACCGCGCCGGCAGTGCCCAGTATCACGGTCTCTTCCCCGCTTGCATCCCTTACGGCAAAACCTGCAGATGCACCGAAGCTGCCGTCGACGCTGCTTGGTGCGCCTGCGACAGCCCCGGCTGCTGGCTCGCCGCTCAAGTTTGGCTTTACGAACCCGGAGGCGGCGTCGACCCCTCCTGCGACCAATAAGCCGGCGTCCTCTGGTGCTGTACCGAACTTCTTCTCGAAACCCGCGACGACCGATGCTGCGAAGCCTGCTGAAGCTCCCAAGGCGGCAGATGCACCTAAGCCGGCAGAGCCACCCAAGCCATCATTGAGCTTCAGCTTTGGGAAGCCTGCGGAGTCGAAACCTGCCCAGGCGACGGAGGCGCCAAAATCCAGCTTGTTCCCGCCTCAGCCTGCGGCGGCTTCGTCTGCACCGGTTTCTGCCGCGCCCTCGTCCGGTTCCTCGTTCAGCTTCGCGAAGCCAGCAGACCCTCCTGCATCCAAGCCCGCATCTTCGTTCAGCTTTGGCAAGCCCGCGGAAGCGTCCAAGCCTGCGGAGGCGCCTAAGCCAGCAGCGGCACCATTGTCCTTTGCCTTCGGAAAGCCCGCGGAGGCTCCCAAACCTGCTGAGGCTCCCAAGCCGGCGGGTGGGTTCTCCTTTGGCAAGCCAGCGGAGGCACCGAAGGCAGAGGAGAAGAAGGACGGTTCTGCACCTGCACCTTCCGGCTTCAGCTTTGGTGGATTTGGGGCGAAGAGCGATGCGTCGGGTCCTACGTCCGCACCTCCGCAGGCGCCCACTGGCTCTGGTTTCAGTTTCGGAAAGCCGGCTGCGTCGTCCACACCTGCTGCACCGACATCTGCGCCAGCACAGACGACGTCTTTCAGCTTCGGGAAGCCCGCGGAGAGCAAGCCTGCAGAGGCCAAACCGACATCTGGGTTCTCGTTTGGTGGTGCGTTCGGCAGTGGAAACACTGAGAAGAAGGATACTGCGGCGCCTGCAGCGTCGTCGGCGTTCGGTCAGGCATCGACGACCATGAGCGCGTTTGGACAGACATCGACAACGACTAGCGCGTTCGGCAAGACACCCTCACCAGCACCCGGAGGCTTCGGCTCGGCACCCAGTACGTCTGCCTTTGGGAAGCCGGCTGAGCAACCGTCGACGAGCGGTCCCTTCGGGAGCACGGCGACGAACGGGTCATCGGCACCGACCTCTGCTTTCGGCAAGCCTGCAGAGGCCCCGAAGTCCGCCTTCGGTGGCTTTGGCTCAACGCCGTCCGGGGACGCACCGAAGTCCGCGTTCGGCGCGACGAGCGGCGAGGGTACGAAGTCGTTATTTGGCCAGCCCGCGGGTGAGCGCAAGTCTGCGTTCGGGAGCGGCAGCACGCCTGCGACCGGCAGTGAGGCCCCGAAGACCGGTGGCTTCTCGTTCGGCACCCCCGCGACGACGAGCAGCACACCCGCAGAAGCACCGAAGACTGGCGGCTTCAGCTTTGGTGCGCCTGCAACCAACGGCAACGCGTCGAAACCTGCTGAGGCACCCAAATCTGCGTTCGGCGGCTTCGGGTCGAGCTCGACGACGTCTACCGTGCCTAGCACGCCTGCGAAGACGCCGGCTGCGTTCGGGTTCGGTGCCCCTGCGACGACCACGCCTGCTGCGCCGCCTCCTCAGGCTTCGACCGGGGGCTTCAGCTTCAACTTCGGGGCGAAGAAGGACGAGGGGGCGACGACGACACCGCAGGGCTCGCCCGCGACGTTCGGACAGACAAGTGGTCAGACCCAGTCCGCGTTTGGCCAGCAACCGGCGCAGAACGGGGGCGCCACCGGCGGGTTCAGCTTTGGCCAGCCCAGCGGTGGCTTCTCGTTCGGGCAGAAAAAGTAGGGGATGAGAGGGAGATAGGACGTTCCCTAGTACGTGAGCATCTGTGCTAAGTACTCTATGGTCTATGGTATTTCGCTGGCTATGCATTCTTCATCGACCACAGTATGCCACCATGCATCTGCATTTGTATCTATAACTTCATCACTGCAATCTCCATAGCGCTCGGTAGTCACCTGTTCAGCGTCCTCCGTGTTTTCCCCTCGCTTATGAAGAGAACGTCAGTGCTCGGCGTGATGGCACCGGCGCGTCTGTCGAGCCGGTGGGTGCGATGAGGTGGCGGGGCGGCACGGGAGACGCGCGGCTGATGCTGGTGGGTATCAGACAAGATTAGATGGCGATTAGACAAGGAGAAGGTGGGGATGGAGATCTAGAAGAGCGTCTATCCGAGCGTGGCCGGAGATGAGGCATTCCAGAATTTCGAGGCTGGGAGGAGGACGACACAGCTCGGCACGCGGGGAACATTGTCCCTTCCCCGCTGCCCGCCCCCGCCCTGGGCAGCTGTCCCCGCCAGGGCCCCGCACTACCGAGATCGATATCGACGGTAGACGTTGGGCGGCCAGAGCGCGCCTCCTCCCCGTCACCCCCGTCCTGGCGGTGCCCATTGGCTGACGTCGGTGTGCGCGTGCTGACTGGCGCAGGCGCTTCTCGAAGCAGATTGGCTGACAAGCGCACGTGGAGCGGCGCTGCCCAATCGCAGGCGGCTGCGCCCCATCAGCGTGCCGGTCACGCGCGTTGGAGTTGATCTCCTTCCGCTCGCCGCAAATCTTTGCTGGGTGGCTGAACTGTGCAGTCCTCGCTGTCAGCGGGTTGCACCACCGAGAGAACACCTTGGCGATACTGTAGGGGGGCAAGTACGATCACTAGACACAGTTTTGAAGCCTGTATGCATGATGTCAAGCAGCCATGTCGCTCGTCTGGAGGGGACGATATGCGCCAGGGTCAGCAATCATTTGTAGAGCGATAAATGGACGGGGTCAGCAGTAATAGTCCAGTTTGCATCCAGAAGCCAATGGGCGGGCGTGGGCCCCGGGGGAGCGATGCGGGCGTCGGGTCTCGAACAGGTCCAGGTCAATTCGGATCGCCGGCGCGGCTCTTGCATTCGGACTTGGTACATCATCCATCTCTCACAAAAAATATCCCCTCTCTCTTTCTCGTCCTCCCACTCAGCGCCGCTAAGCGCCTCGGCAGCATGGTCAAAACGCACGAGCGCTCCCCCGACTCCGCCGATGCCGGGCTCGTCAAGCGACTCAAGACGGCTGCCGCAGCGTCCACCGCCGTGGAGGACGACGTCGAGGCCCGCTTCTCGGATGGCCTCCTCGCGCACACCACGATCGCGCGCCTGAACAACATGTACCGCAACAGCCAGCCATTCCACTACGCGCTCGTCGACAAACTCTTCCAGGACGATCTGCTTAAGCGCGTCAAGGACGAGTGCGTCAGTGAGCTGAGCTTCACCGAAAAAGAGACCGACATCTACAAGGTGTGTGTCAGAGTGTGGCCCCCCTCATCTTGTGCTGACTTTTTCGCGTTTTCCAGGTCAAACAGACGGGCGACCTTGCGTCGCTCAACTACCTTACCCCCGAGCAGATCTCGCTCCTGCCGAACCTGCTCACCTTGCGCAATGCCCTGTACTCCCCCAAATTCCGGGACTTTGTCCGCTCCGTCACCGGATGTGGTCCTCTCTCGGGGTCGAAGCAGGACATGTCCGTCAATTCATACACGAAGGGTGCGTAGAGCGCCTTCCCCCCGCCGATCGTCTGCTCATCCACCCCGTATCCAGGCTGCCACCTCCTGAACCACGACGACGTGATCGGTTCGCGTCGCGTGTCTTACATTCTCTACATGCCCCTCCCCAACTACCAGCTGTGGCAGCCCGAGTGGGGTGGCGCGCTCGAGCTGTACCCGGTCAAGGAAAACGCGAACGGCCAGCTTGAGCCCCAGCCCGTCCCCTCCAAGACCATTCCGCCCAGCTGGGACCAGTTCATCTTCTTCGAGGTCCAGCCAGGCCGCAGTTTCCATTCGGTCGAAGAAGTCGTCGTGGGCGGAGAAGGCGAGGACGGTCGCGACCGGCTGAGCATCTCTGGATGGTTCCACGCCGCGCAAGAGGGAGAGGAGGGATACATCCCCGAGCCGCCGACGGAAGTCAAGAGCTCGCGCGAGCAGCTGGTGAGAAGATGGATTCCCTCCCTTGCTCAGTATCTCCCCTCTGGTCGTTACGTCATCGATCCACCCTTCTCCTGGGCGCGCCCGCTGGTCGCGGTCCTCCCACCTTCATCAATGCTCACAAGCATGCGCATCAACATGAATGCTAACCCACACGTCCACCGCAGGCTTCGCACCACACCGAGTTCAAGCCGTATCCAGAGGAGATTGCGACACCTATGCCCGACGCGCAGTTGAAGGACGAGCATGTGGCATTTCTGTCAGAGTTCCTCAACCCTGTCTACTTGCAGCCGCGCACAATGAACGCCTTGGCAGCACGCTTCGTCGAGGAATCCTCGCTTGAGCTGCACTCCTTCCTAACGGAGGCACTTGCGTCAAGTCTGGAACCCCGCTTGCGCGAACTTGACTCACGCGACGGCCTTGGCGCCGAGCGTGGTGGACGCGTCCCGCCACACTCTGCAGGCGTCGGTGAGAACAGCGCCTGGCAGCTGCGCGGGCCACCTCACAAGTGGCGCTACTGCCAGCTGAAGCCGCACACGCCAGGCGCCGTTGCAGAGGCCGTCACTCCTCGTGCAGCCGCACGCTCGTCGGACGAGATTGTACGGAGCCTGCAGGATGAGCTGTTCCCGAGCCCGGCGTTCCGCGCGTGGCTGGCGGTGGTGTCGCGATTGCTGCCGCTGCGACATGCAGTGGAGGCACGGCGTTTCCGGCCGGGATTGGACTACACGCTGGCTACGAGCGAGGAGAAGGAGGCGCGGTTGGATGTAGTGCTGGGGTTGACGCCGCAAGTGCAGGCATCGGAAGAGGATGCGCGCACGGCGGATTCGCGTGGGTGGCAGGTAGCGGAGTGGGGTGGTTGGGAGGTGCGGTGCATTACTTCTTCGGGATTGAGATCGATGGCTGATTCTCGTGAAGTGCTACATGGCTCCGCATAACGAGGAGGATGACCCCGCCGTGTACCGCTCAAGTATACACAAGAAGTCGAAGGGCGGTAAGCCCAACGGCGACGCTGAGCTTGCGGAGGCGGATACCAACGTCGATGGCGCGCACAACGGTCACGGCACGACGGACGGTAACGGTACTTCGAATCGCAAGGGCACGAATGGCAAGGTGGCAGAGGCGAAGGGCACCAACGGGAAGGTCACAAATGGGAACGGCAATGCGACCAATGGCGACGCGCCGTCCATGGAGACCGACGAAGAGGAAGAGGGACCGGGACCGGCTGACACCAGCATGGACGTCGAGGAGGAGGAAGAGGAGGACAGCACGCTGCTGACCGTGCAGCCCGGTTTCAACCGCCTGCTCCTCGTTTTGCGCGACGAGCGGGTGATGCGCTTCGTCAAGTACGTCTCCGCCGCCGCGGAGGGCTCGCGATGGGACGTCTGCGGCGAGTACGAGGTCGGGGTGATGCAGGAAGAGGAGGAGGAAGAGGAGGAGGAGGACGGCGCGGCGGAGGCATAGCGAGGGCGGCGCGGCTGATAGGTGTCGCCGTTCGTTATTCGTACCTGCACATGCGAGGGTACACCCCCTCGACGCTCCGTCCTGCGGCTTCTTGTAGGGCTTGCACGTCTCTGCTTCGTAATACGTGTACATTCTGTAGTCTACCTCTTTCTGTGATGTTGCATAGTAGTTTCAATGTAGTAGCGTAATTCCACCACCGTTCTTGTCTGTTGAGACGACTTTTTATATTCGTTGGGTCAATAGGGCTGATGGTTTTCATTTGGTCGATAGTGCTTACGGACACTGCGTCTTTCGCGCAAATATAGTAGACAGACTTGTACACGTACACGAATAGAGAATGCAGTTGGTCATTGGAGTCCAGGCAGAGTCGGGACGGGATTTGGGGTGGTTTGGGAAACATGCGGCTGAGCGGGTCGCCAAATGGGGCAGGTCGATATTGCTTTCACGTGTTTAGGATTGGACCACCCATCCGTCCGTGCCTGCGACCCTGTTCTCCCCCTCAACCTCCATTGAACTTCACAACACAATTTCTATCCGAGAGCTCAGATGCGCGTTGTACCACCAGAGCCTCTCTAATCTCATCATCCTCTGAAATGCTAGCACATGATCAAACGAAGTCGGCGCGTCCACGCCCGCCCGCGCAGAGGCGACGACAGTCCACCGGGCCCGCCACCGTCAAGAAGGGAGGCGCGTCCCCGCCGCCGCCGTACTCTGGTGCTGGGTTTAGCTTCCCGGCGGGCTCGCCCTCTCCCCCTCCGCGGCGACGTCTGGAATCGCTGCTGGGGTCACCCATGTCCGCGACCTTGAAGGCTCTGGGCTGGGACCTCGACGCGGATCCGGCGAGCACCTCAGGACCGAACCCGGACTGGCTCACGGAAGAGTCGCGCGATGAGCTCGCGGATCTCTTGGTCAAGGCTGACGGCCTGATCAAGGAGCGACAGAACGGTACGTCCCATCGCGTTCTCCGTCGCGTTGCACCAACTCATACACGCGTCTTCTATCAGAACTCGGCCTGACGGTGAATACCCTGAAGAGCCTCTACGATAATAACGCCGCCCTCAAGACCCAGCACCGCGCGCTGCTTGCCCGCATCCCCGCCAGCCCCATACCCTCCCCCGGCCCGGAGTCGCGACCGGGCTCGCCAGCGTGGTTCGCGGACAAGCTGCCCCGCGCGATGTCGGACGTCTTCGCTCGCGGCCCGATGCGCCATACGCGCAAGATATCCGTGTCGCAGTCCGATCTGTCATACCTCTCCGAGCAGAACGCGGAGCTGCTCGACAAGCTGAGCAAGCTTGAGGCGGAGTCGTCGCAAGCGGACCAGAAGGGTCGCCGGATGCTGCAACGTCTGGAAGGAGAGATCGCGCAGCTACGCGAGGAGCTCGACAAGGCGCAGGCGCGCAGTGTAGAGCTCGAAGAGCAGACCCGCACTTCCCCTCCCCGCGAGACGGTCGAAGAACGGAAGGAGCGCATCATGACGGCTCGGAAGATGTCGAGTGCGCAACATGAGCCTGAGCCGGTCGAGGAGGAAGTCAAAGACTTCGCACCTGGAGGCGCGTTATGCAGCAACACGTCGTACACCACGCCGAAGAAGTCGAGGAGGGACGAAGAAGAGGATGATTTCCCAGAAGAGCATGTTCGGTCCCCTTCCACGCAGTCACTCATCTCCCAGTTGCTTGCGAAGATCCAAGAGCTCGAAGACACGAACCAGCGTATTGTCGAGCAGCAGCATGATACCAACAGCCGACTGCAATCTGTACAGAGGGAGACGGAGAACATTAGCAGACTCTACGAATGTCTCAACGATCCCAACAACGTGCAACTCGAACTGATCGAGGAAGGCGGTGTCGAGCAGCCCACTGCACAGAAGGCGACCTCAGCGAAGGACACAATCCGTTTCCAGAGCTTCCGCCGAACGCTGGAGCAGGATGTTGCCAAACACCTTAGCGCGGAGAGCACTGCACCATCTCAGATCACCAAGACGCGCAAGTCTGTCATGGGTCTCTTCGACTCGCCCTCTACCTCTCAAGTTGCGAACCGCTCTCAGAATGACTCTTCCTCATTGCGCCTCCCTCCGATTCCCTTCCGTGCTCATACCACCTCCTTCTCCGCCGACACCTCCTTCAGCCTGAGCCATCCTGCTTCTCCTGCCCTTTCCGCGCTTAGCCTCGCTTCGCATACTGGACATGCCGCACACCCTAGCTTCAGTCAAGTCTTCAGCCAGCTGCCAACACCCTCGCACGAGCAGCACCCGACCTTGCAGGCCGAGCTCGGCGGCGAGGCGCTCGATGGACAGTGGGGTTTGCATGGAGAGTCGCATCTGCGACGCTCGTCGCTCTATAGCTTCAGCTCGATATCAGTGCCCCCATCACCCTCGCCCATGCCAGCCTCGTCCTCGCTCGCATTCCCTCCTATCACACGCTCACGATCGCCCTCCCCTTCACCAGCACGTGCCGCTCCGCAGACGCCTATCCGCCAGCCGATGTTCTCCCTGGAACCGCCCACGCCGGACACCCCGCTGACTGCAAATGGGGACCGCTTGGAAACCCCGCAAGCGCAGCGCTATAGACGCATGTCTCAAACGGTCCGCGCGCGCACGACGCGCTGGGTCGAGGGCCGCTTCCGCGACTCCCTGCTCGGTGAGACGACACCAGGGCGCAAGGACCTGGCAGAGGCGCTCGAGGCGATGGCGGAGGGCTCCATCACACCCGGTCCGATGTCGCCCATCGCACTGCCTGGACCCGTCCCCGAGGAAGAGGACGAGCAGACTCAGAGGCATGTGCCGACGACGGCAGTGGAAAGGTCGCCGCAGAAGGGTGTCGCGAATTCCAAGCAGAAGGGCGTGGTCAAGCTGGTCGTGGAGGCGTGGCTGTGGCTGCAGTTCCTGCTGATCATCCTGGTGTTCGTGTGGGCGATGGCGAAGCGGGGACCCAAGGCCGTGCTGCGCGAGGCGGAGAGGAAGAGGAGGGCGGGTGCATGAGGAGGGTGGCTTGACGTGCGTTCTCTTTCTTGACCGGGCGATCCTCTGATCTCTCCCGTCTACTCTGCCTCTTCATCGACATTGCCCCTCCGTCGATCCTACCTGATTCGTTGTTCATTGGATACCACTGGCTGCTATCACATTTTCCGGGCCTTTCAGCCCATTGTACATACATACAGACTATATACTACCCACCTATCGTCGCTCCTTTACCTTTTCTCCTTCATTTGTTTCCATACCTCTTTATCCTATCATTCGCGGCGCGTTTACTTTGATTATCTATGGCGTCGCAGTATATTATTTGCCCCTTCGTGGAACAATCATCCTCTCGTCTCGTGAACACTAGTTTCTGTGTGGAACACTGGTCTTCTTGCGGTATATGCACCTATCCTTGCAGAATTCGACGAATCATCCAAGAGAAAGCGGCGCGCGACCTGTTCGTACTCGCGATGCCCAGCCCTTCTCCAGCGCGGGTAGCAATCGATACCATCGACGCATGGATGGAAGTTCGTCGTATTTACGATCACATCAGAGTTGAGGGTGGTCGGTAGTGAGATGAAGGCCTAGTACCGCATCGACCACTACCCGGTGCATGGAAAAGGTCAGCAGCTGATTCTTTGACTGCTTCGATGAAGAGAGGGTGTCCTCCTTGGCTCGCATGGATAGGTTAGCTGCTCCGCACTCAGTCCGGACGCCGTGCATCTGAGGTAGACTAAGACTGGGAACTCGGAGGCCTCCCAGTCACGTGCTAAGTTCAACTTCATAGGACGCCTCCCGAGTCCTGTCAGACGCGGACAACAACCGCGGGGAACTATCCTTTGGGGCTGCACGAGGGCTCGCACTTGACCGCAGGGTATCACACGATGCGCATTCTCTTGAGACGAGCTTCACAGAGCCGCAGCAGGAACACCCAACACGACCCACTCCCCGAAATGTACACATAATTACTCATTCGCGTCGATAGTCGATACAACTGCTGGATAGAAGCACAAGATGGACAGAGAATAGACCAGGACGCAAAAAGAAAAGACAAAAACGCCAATGGATGCAGGACAAGCCAGACCGAACCAGAGGCGATACCCATGAGGTCAAATCGATGGAGAGACGACGCAGATGCCCAGGGCTGAACCGATGAAAAGAATAGACCGAGATAAAAGGACAGTGGTGATAGAATATACAAGGATCGATCTAGGGTTACGATGGAGGAATGTATGCCCGCTGATCGCGTGTTATACACCGGGGCGAGCCAGGCGGCGACTATGGCACCGCGCATGTACCGTTACGAGTACGCGTACGGCGAGGGTGCGGTAGGTCACGCCTTTGCGTCCTGGGATGCATATCCCGGCAGGAGCGGCTCGCCGGGGGAGATCGGCAGGACGATCCTGCCAGTGTCCGCGGGCTGATGGTGCGCATGCGATCGAGAGCGATGATGACGGTGGCCATGCGAGATCCATGCCTCCTTCGCCCGTGCCTGGTCTTGTGGCGAGAGCGTTGAGAGTGGCACAGGTGCGTAGATGACCGGCTCGCCAGACGGGTTTGCGCGTTCTTGGGGCAGCAGGTATATCCGCTGCGGCCCAGGATGTGTCGGCGAAGTTGGTGAGGGAAGGTGGTTAAGGGGTAATGGCGGGGGTTGCTGCCGAGCGATATGCATGCGATAGTATTTCGAGACAGCCAACAGGCAGTGGAGCTAGGCAGTGAAGACCTTTAAGTCGGGTAATGGATCGACACTACGCTGGGGACTCACCCTAGCGACTAGGACAACAACGACAAGCGCGAAGCAGAGCATCGACGCCCTCTCAATCCATCGCTCACAGTTCTCCAGCGACAACCCGAAGTCGCCAAGGTCCCGAATGATCTCTGGTTGGCGCGAGAGCTCTTCGCAGACGCCAGCACGTGTTGACTTGTAAAGCACGGCTTTAGTGGCGGAAAATAGGGAAATGACAGAGACAGCAAAGTCTGCGATGGAGTAGTCCCTGTAAAAGCGGATGTACCCGGGCTTGTTCTGAAGATGTCTGAGTCAGTAAAATGACGAATATCGCTCTGGATGGTTACGCACCTTGGCAATACCATAGAAGCCCAGCGCGGAGACTACAGCCGATGACGCAAAGTACGCGGAGAGCAGAGCCCAGAGGACCTTGATGCTATCCACGCGCCACTCATCGTGCGCGCTTTCCCATTCGCTCTCGGGCTCCCACTTGAGCGATCGCCAGAGTGCGACGACCTGGATGGCGAGCGCAGCGTGCACGGCCGCGCCCGAGAGGGTGATAGCAAGCGACGCGGTCCTGGGATGCGTATATGAGCGGACGCGCACCATGGCGGGGGGAGGCCGGACGCGCAACATTGGTATGGATTATAAGTACGAAGCCGAGAAGGGCCGCTTTGTCAGACGGGCCTTCTCAACCCGGGAATACAATACTTTGGCGGCAGAGTCGGATGTTGGCAGCCGCGGCGACGACGACGATGGGTTGAGACGCTCACCGTTGAGTTGTGTAGCGCAGCATGCGGCGAGACTGTCTGCAGGGGCGATTTGAACGGCAACGACGGCGAGGACGACGATGGGAGTGGAAGACAAGAAGCGCGGCAGTAATGATTTCGGCAAATAAGGCAATTCTTGTCCGTCAGCGCCATAGTGTCATGCCCATGTCATGCCACCGTATGTGGCCCGAGATCGGCTCGGCAGGCCGGCACACCTACGCTGTCCTCGACATCGAAATCCAGACCAGAGTGCCCGCAAGACGCCAAAACGCCTTTCCATTGGGCCCAGTAGGATCACGGCAGTGGCGACAGACAGCCCACGCTATGCACTCACTGACTCTTGGTGCCGTCTAGCAGCGAGGCGAGCGAGGTGTAATTACGCGCGCACAGCAGCGTGAACATCATGAACAATTCGACAACTCGTTTGCCACGAAATGATACAAGGCGAGTCGTTCGAGTAGATTAGAGCCCTCGGTCGCTCAGAAAGTCATCTTCTTTCCCTGACTCGGGAGAATGGCCGCTGACTGTCGTGGCGCCCCCGCCAAGGCTGCGCCTGGCTTCTGCCTCCCGTGTGGCATGGGCCGAGTCGGACGGCCTCTGTCCGCCTTCCTATCCCACTTCCCAACCTCGGTCTTCTCATCCTGCCCCTCGCCTCCCTCGCCTCCACCATCCCTGTCTCTCCCCCACTTCCCGAGCAAACCCGCCGCCTCCTTCCGCTGCATCTTCTTCTCCTCCTTCGACGGCTTGCCTGACTTCTCCCGCTTCAGCGCCGAGGCCTCTTTCTGCGCCGCCTTATTGCTGCCCGGGTTCTTCGGCTTCGTGCGGTCGTAGCCAGCCGACTTGCCCTTGTGCGGGCGCGCAGGCCGACCGTCCGCATCCTTCTCCGCCGGCTGACGGGGCGCGCCGCGTCGCACGGCTTCTGCACTGGCGAACTCAACCTGGAGGTCCCGGCCATTCAGGTGATGGTTCCTCGGGTTGATGAGCGCCTCTTCGGCGTACTCTTTTGTGCCAAAGTCGATGAAGGCGAACCTGTGGGCTGTCAACATGCTGAGGGCACTGTTCCGTGCGGTCTACTCACCCTTTGCATTTGCCGGTGTCCTCGAAGGTGGCCATACGGACCTTCCGTAACCACGGCTGTGGCGGCTCCGCCCCAGACTCCGTTTTGACCTCCGACTTCTTCGCCTTGTCCTTAGCGGGTCGATGTGATTCGAACATCTGCTGAAGATCCTCCACCGTCGTCTCGAAGCTGAGATTGCCGACGAAGAGGGTAGGTGCGGGAGGTTGCTTCTGTGAGTTGAGAATCCTACGAGCAGTTTTGGAGTGGGTCTTGGCAGTCAGTTGTGTGGGGTCTTGGCCTGGAGGCGCAGGTCTGCCGGCGAAGTCATCGCCTAGGGATTGTTAGCGATCGTACGTGCATTTCGGTGGACGAACTGGCTTACCATCTTTGATGAGCAGCTTCCTCCCTATGAGAGGGTGTTCTGACAGGGCAATGGCTGCTGCCTTGGCTTCCGGGGTAGCAAAGTCAACATATGCGTAGCTATAGAAAATTCAGCTGCATCTCCTGCGTTCGCGTACTTCTGAGGCGTACCCCTTGTTCTCTATCGAACCTCCCGGACGCCCGGACGGCTTCGTTGGCATGTTGATGCGCGTGACCTCGCCTGCCTCCTTAAAGAAGCTGCGCAGATCGTCCTGCGTCGTCTTGAACGACATGTTCCCCACCCAGACGGAGTTCTGGCGCTTGGTCGGCTGGTCGACAGCCGCCTGCCCGTTTGCGAGCTTGCGCTTCTTCGGAGCAGAGCCATCCTCAACAGCCTCGGCAGCAGCAGCCTTGGCCTCTAGCTTGGCTTTCTTCTTTTGTCGCCGGAGCTCTGCATGCGAGAGCACGGGGGCTTCGTCCTCCTCGCCGCCGTCTGCGGCCTTGGCCTTGACTTTGGTTGCGCGAGACTTAGTTTTGAAATTGGGGGTATCAGAGTCGGAGTCGGAGTCGTCAGAGTCAGAGTCGGATGCATCCGAGTTGTTGTCAGAATCCGAATCTGAGCCAGAATCGTTGGGGGAAGAGCTAGAGTCGTCGCTGGAATCATCATCGTCCTCCTCAGCCTTCACGGCCTCCGCGAGCTTCCTCTTGTGTGGTAATTGAGGCTCTGGTGTGGAGCTTGCGCTCGATGATGATGACGAAGACGAAGACATCGTCTGGCGAGAAGGGGAGGGGAACGACGGAGCAGACTTGACGGCGGACTTGAGCAGATCAAGAATCACCGATCGTGTTTTGTTGTCCCAAAGGGGAGCTCTGACGCCGGTCCAAGCGGCTCAACGCGTCTCTTGACTTTGACGTTCTTTCGGTTCCTCAAGGTGCGTAGGCAGCGTGTTGTCGAGCGGCGCGCTCGCTGACACGCGTATACTCTGCAGGGGATACCAGTGCGGGACTTGACTGAGGCTTTGTCCTTGTCCCCGCTTTCCACGACGCGTCGAGCGGTGTCACATCGAGCTGGCTCCAACCATGCCGGGTGAATCGAAGGTCTCGAGCCTAGTTGATGTGTGCGTGGCGGACCCCCTTCAAGATGTGATACACTAACGTGCAGCTTGCAGGACTTATGATGAACTCTACCGAGTGCTAACCGGCGAGGATGAACGATACCAACAAGAGGAGCGCAAGGACAAGCTCCTGGGCTTCCTCGACGCGCGCCTCGACCGGCTGAAAAACATCTCAGCCCCCTTTGGCAAGCCCTCAGAGGCATCCCGCAAAGCTCTCGAGAGTGGCTCGGTCACGGTCGACGGCATGGTCCTCACCGCGGACAAGAACGACATCAAGGCAGCGACGACGATCAGCGCCAAGTTCAACATCGACCAAGTCCAAGCACTCATTCTCCTCAAACTCTTCCTCTACAATGGAGGTCTACACCAAGCCTCTGATGCCGATGTGGCCGACATTGACGACCGCTTCACGCCGTTCTACTATACCGAGCGCTTGTACCTCTTCCGATGCCTCATTCCCCTGTTCCGCGAGGAGGTGAACGAGGAGCAGTGGCTATACTCCGTGTCTTCTCGCTTCATGCCGCGCCTGGTGCCCGATGCGCGCGCTTTCGTGGAGGCGCTCATCGCTGAGTTCGAGGCCAAGCTGCGTGCACCTGTTCCAAAGGCGATGGCAGGGACTGTCAAGGACGCGACTACTTGGGCGAAGCAGAATGCCAAGGAACAACTCGTGCTCCTCGAGGTGCTCTTCTGGGCGATGTTTGGGTCTGTGCCACGAGATGGACCCACAGTTGAGCGCATCTATCAGAGCGCGTACTCGACTATGATGGGCACAGACCAGGCAAACGAAACGCTGCTATTGGATGCAGAAGGCCAGCAACTGCGCCAGGACATGGCTGCGACCTGGATTCTCATCACAATCGAAGTGCTCGAGCTGGAGAACTTCGCGGACCCAACCTTCCTCGAGATCTCAGACAACCCTGCGAACCAGGAGAGCTACCTTGCGTCGCCAGAATCTCTGCAGCGGATACACAAACTCGTGCTAGAGGGCGACAACAGCATGTTCTCACTGACATACATGGCGTGGGCACTCGTCCTGACGAAGCTGGCGGAGAAGATGCAGAGCATGAAGCAGGTGCCGTCGAAGTATGCGCCCTTCCTGCAAACCCTCATCACTGGCAATGCGCCGAAAGACCGCGAACCAGTACCCGCCACGATGGCAAGAAAGGTTCTAGAGAGCGGCGACCTCTTTGACATGCTCAGGATGCTGTTAACGACCTCGCCCTTGTTCGTTGCGTCACTGGCCTGGAGGAGAGACTCATCCGTGACAGACACAAACCCAATCGCCTTCCGCAGTGTCATGAAAGGTAAGTTATAACCCATTGTCCTACTTCTCATCTCACTCGTACACCAGGCTTCCTCATCAGCGTGCTCGATGTCATACCCGTGGAATCCATACCCGACTTCTATAGCCTCGTCGACATCTGGGTTGCTCTCTTCGGCCGCAGCGAAGTCGAGTCTATCTATCTGCTATGTCACCAGTACTGGCGAATGGACTGGCATCAAGGACCGTCCAGGCGAGCCATCTTTGACGTCGCTCGCGCACGCTTCCCCGTCGACTTCGTCCCCCTTCCTCGCCTCTGCCGCGCCATGGCTGCATGCGGCTTCCTCGATACCGATCCGCTCGCCACAACGTCAGACATGCAGTCGGGAGGCTACGAGGAGCAGAAGGAGTGCGCGCAGAACGCCTTTGACTACTTCAACGCCCTGCCGACGTATGCGCAGCATATTACCCTGAATAACGAGGCGCATCGACTGTACGAGCGACAAGCGGAGCGTGCGTCGCGCAGTGGACCGATGGAGATTCACTACATCACCCAGCATCCCATCCGTCTGCCGGGCGGGTCCATACTGCCCGCGGGTACCCATGGGCGCCTTGTTGCTGGAGATGAGAGGACATGGGTAGTCGTTGACTGGAAGCACCGGCACTCTGGCTGGAAGCTCATCGCCGAGGTCCTGACGCGATATGTCAACAAGAAGCGGCTTTCCGGCTCGTCGGCGGGGTACGAGGACGTTTTCTTCGGCAAGCGTCAGAACACGGAGACGCGGACGCTGCGGTTGGACGACATCGGCGTGCAGATGGACGACGAGACGGAGGTCACTGCGATTATCGAGGCGCTGGACCTGATTCGGAGCGTCATCCAGGATCACCCCGACCTCGCTGAACGCTTGATTGACACACTGGAAGACGGCTTTCCGGTCGTGTCGCATACGATGACGGAGACCACACCGCCGGACCTGGTGCAGCTCACGACGATGATCCTCGAAGACGCGCTAACGTCGGCAAACCCAAGGAAACGCGCACCTGCGGAACTTGTTACCGCGGCTGTGGGCGTGCTCGCTGCTCTTCTCCCTCTCCAGGGCCGAGCGGCCCGCGTCTGGCTGTTCCTCAAATCCACATCTGCGCTCTTTGGCAATGACCGTGCGGCGAGTGCAGCGTCGAATGCCTTTGCAGTCGAGCGTGTAACAGGCCAGTACACCATGACCCTGGCCGTCCTCAACCTCGTCCAGCGGCTATTCGACCAGGCCTACAGCACGATCACGCCCGACAACGAGGAGCTGACGCGCACAAAGGAGGAGGTGCTCCTGCGTGCCGCGCGCTTCATCCACACCGAGATCTGGGTCGAGCACATGACGTGGAAGTACGCGCAGCTGGGCGACAGGTTCGAGATTGGGCGCCGCGTCCTGCGCTTCTACACCAACATCCTCGAGCACTCGCCGCCGAATGTGGCGGAGCGGCCGTTCCCGCGGTTGAGCCAGGCGGTCGCGGACGTGTGGCTCTTCCACGCGAGCGCGGCGTCGGTGATGCCTCTCGTGGCGAGTCTGACGACGGGGAAGAGCGCGCTGGATGTGCTGCATAAGGAGCAGCGGGTGGCGGACATTCGCAAACTGGTGTTCCTGCTGCAGGCGGCGCTCAAGCTGACGCGCATACTATTAACGCAGAAGCAGATGTCGGAAATGTCGACGAAGGCGAGCCTGCTTGAGCAGTACCTCTGCACCCGATCGGTCACTGGCGGGTTTAGCGACCTGACCACAGGTGGTTCAGATCCTGTCGAGGTGCTAGCATCGTATGTCAAGCAGATCGGCGCGGGGACTGTCGTGCCTTTAGAGGCAATGCGCGTCTTGTCAAGTCTGTGCACCTCCCTATCCACTATTAACCCGCCGCCCTCGACTATCTTGGCCCATTTGTCGAACCCGGAGCATACTGTTGCTGAGCTGGTGCACATCGCCCGCGAAGTCTTCAATCACCCGCCGCTTCGTATCGCTATTTGGCACTTCATGGCGCTGACAGTGGAAAAAGAGCCTGCGCTCGGCCGTCTCTTCATCTCTGGGACCTCGTTCTCGCTGAGCGATATCAAGGGCAAGGGCAAAGCTATCGCAGAGAAGCCTAACCCCTCGGTGCTCAAGGGCAGCACGCGAAAAGTAGTCGGGATGGACGCTGCCTTAGACATCCTGAAGGACTGGTCGGACCTATGGGACTTCAACCCTCAACTCCTTGACGCAGTACTCAACTTCGTGAGTGCGGTCTGGCAGCGCGGCCTCGAGAATAGGGCGATCTTGGGACCGCTACGCTCGGACGAAGCATTTTGGAAGAGGATAGCAGGAGCTGCATCACGAGAGAAGGATCCGCCTCCGGACTGCATGACAACGGAGACCATAGTCATCGACGGAGTGCCGCACTCCGACCAACATGCGGAAGTGTCCATGTACGCCTATCGGACACTGGCGCAAGCGCACGCGACGAGCATCCTGGGGTCCGACATTAGCATGCAGGTGCAGGAGAATACGGGGAAAGCGAAGCCGGAGAAGGCGCTCAGCTTCTCGATGATTGAGAAGTGGTTCAAGTCGGACGATCTGAACGAAGTCATCCTCCATGCCGCGACTGCGACCTACAATCCAGAGCTCTACGACAAGGCGACAGCGACACTGGAGAAAAAGTATCCCGGACTCACACTCGACCAAGTACGGTTATCCGATCCTGTTCATGACCGTGAACTTGGAGACGGGTTCGCCTTCTCTCTGGAACACGCCGAAAGGCGAATGGCGGCGTATGTGCCTGAGGACGATGGGATGGCCGTTGACGACCACCTGCAGCTGCAGATCATGTCCATCAACCTGAACCTCTCTCTGACACATGGCTTCTCGCATCTTGCAACGTCCTGGCAATTCCTCCTTCAGCAACTAGGGCCCTACTTACGCGGAGACAAGGACGCTCGCAAGCACATCCTCGAAGCGTACACCGCCATCGCGCATGATGTTGCCGCTGAGAAGCATCCCGGAGACATGAAAGCCATCGTGCACGGTCAACGATTAGGCATATTATTGGCTCTGCTGGAGCTCGCATGGTTCTGGTCGGAGGAAAAGGACGACTCCATCGAGATATTCTCGGACGGTATGGCCAACACGCGCGGCATCATATCCAACCCAGCACAGCCTCCCGCTGCCTCTTTTCTGGGCAAGATCTCCGTACCCTTCCACCAAACCCTCCTGCAGATCTTGTACTACTGCGCCAAGCAGAGCCGAAATCTCCTCGCCCGCCGAAAACTCGTCAACGCCGACCAGCGACTACGGATAGCCACCACCATCGACGCCATCCTGGCCCTTGTCATCGACGGCCTCCGTATTGTCTTCCTCGCTATCCGCAGCAAACCTGACCTTGATCTCGACCGGGACTTGGAGCTCCTCGTTGCCGTCTTCGAGCAGTGCATACGCCGAGACATCAACTCGTCGCCATCACAGTGGTTGGCGCGATGTCGAGAAACAGACGTCGTGCGGGAAAGCCTTGAGATATACTCGAAGTTGGACCTGGCCGGACTGACGGACCTCCCCTTGCTGAACCTGCGCAAGCAACCGCTCTACTCTCCGCACATCATGCGCCTCCATATGGCCCTCGCGACCGTTCCAGAGGCAGCAGAGATGCTCGCGTCAAACGGCGTCCTGCTGGCTTACAGCAACTGCTCAATCAGCGCCGCTATCCGCTCAGGGGCAATCGACGTCGCGATCCCAGAGCTCCCGGGCGAGCGGAGTCCCGCGCATGTCGCCTACTGCTCGATGTTGGCCGTTATCTCTGCGGTGCTCTTCGCTCTCGGGCGCGAGACGCACTACCTGGACGCGGAGGCGAGCGGCTTCGTGCAGCTCTGCAGTGCGCAGATCGTGCGGACCATGTCGTGGACAGCGACGGACCCGATATCGCTGGCCACGATGGAGGAGATGGAGCAGACGGTCAATGTGTTCTTCGCTCTCGCGGAGGGGTCCTTGACGTCGGCGAGCGGGACCAGTCATATCGACCAGGTGCTATACGCGTTCAAGGTCCATGGCTTGATGTTGCTCCAGCACGTCAACCATGCGGTGACGCATCCGCGGCGGGTGGCCAGTCTCTTCGAGCCGGTGACCCCGCAAGACCGGCTGGCGAACGAGAAGGACGCGTCGCCGCCTGTGGCTCACCTTTTGCACCGGTTGATGAAGCTTGCGGGGTCGATTGTATCTGTCTTGGTCACGATCAGTCGCGCAGAGTCAATCATGATGCGGGAGCGAGACACTTGGCCAGCTGAGGAGGCCATCATTCTGCCTGTGAGTTGCACTTCGCCCTGTATTGCATCGCTCTGTTTCTCACACATCTTTCAGCAAAACAAGGTCGTACTCGGCGAGCGGGCCTCACTAGGCACGCTGCTTGAACTTGGGAACTGCGCGCTAGATCAGCTGCGCGATCTCCTCGCGAAAGCGCCGACCGCGAAGCCCACTGACAAGGGCAAGGCTATCCTCACCGGAACCTACGAGACCAAAGAGGACGTGCATGCCGGCATCTCCGTCGCACGGCGCACCCTCGAGGTCGTCCTCACCTACTCCGTCACTCAGCTCGCGCTATACCTCAACAAGCCCGACACCGAGCTCGGCAACCGTGACGTCGAGTTCGATGAGGCGCAGCCCGGAGCGATGGACGTGACGCCGGCGACGAAGGCGGCGGATAGGTTGCGGCGGGGGCTGATCAGCGACACGGTGGACGACTTGGAGTCCTTGATGCAGAAGGCGAAGCCGCTGATTGCGAAGAGCGGGACGACGCTTGGGAAGGACCTCGTCGACGTGAGCCAGATCTTGGAGAACTTCTTCAAGGATCATGTGTCCGGGCCAGCAAAGGTACGTTTGTCTAATTCATCGTGAAGGGCATCCATGCTAACGCTGAAGGCAGGCTTTGTGAGGGGGCTTTTCAGTGGTTGGGATTTGTTGTCGATGCATAGTTTTGTACTCGTTTGTCATCTTGTATCTTGTGAAAGTTTTTCCATGACATCCTCCAGCTGCGTGTCATATCTTGATTGTATATGCACTTCAGAGCATGCCCTTGCACGTCTTTCGCCCTCCCTTGAGCAATTTCATCCATGAAAGAGGGGTCAGTGTGTTTGCGTCTGTGGGTGCCGATTCCCACGATCATGTGCTCAGTTGAACTTGAACCTCGCGTAGCTGATTTTTGGTGTCTACTCGGCGATCGTCGATCAACAAGGCTCGCCTAAAAACCTGAGATGTAAGGCGGAGTTTGACGCATTCCCGTAGTAAATTGACAAAGCGAGAACGAGGCCGCACTCCGTGTTCCCGCCACGATTTTGTCCGGAAGGCATTTACGTGCAGGAGACCGTAACAAGCTGCATGCATATCTTGACGACGATGAGGGCGCGGGCCCTTCATTCTTGTTCCCCTTTACGTTTGTGCGTTTAGAATTCTGGAAGATCGGAGGTTGTTTGTACACTTTGTCAAAGGGTCCACGCAGTTGCACGGGCAAAGGCGGATGGACGTGGCGGGCTTAGCGAACGAATCTCGGAGGCGCGTCGATTGGCGAAGATAAGCCCGATAGATGGGTTCGAAAACTCGCGGTCTAGGAAGACTAGTAGCGCTATCTTCTGTGGGCGCTAACAAGCGATTACCCATCATTGACACTCTCGACAACTGCGCCCATAGATCGGTAGAGTGACGCGATACATTGAGCGAGCTTCAAAGGCGGACGCAGCGATCTTGCGGCCGTGCACTCACAAGAAGCCACGATAACAGGATCCAGAAGACAAACAGACGATGCAAACTTGCCAAAACCAGGCCCTCGTCCGGTGCTCGAGCCTCGGAACCTGTGTAGCTTATCTGATGAAGGGAAGATCGCCTTTTGTGTGGGCGTAAGCCCTGCGCCCAAGAGTGAAAGGCGAAGAGTGTGTCTCGCAACCGAGCGGAGCAGTGGAATTGCATGAATGGCCGGCCAGGAGCCGGCGATGAATTGCGCCTCCATCGCCGAGCTGCGCTGGCTCCACTGCTGCACGAGTGACGACTAACTCGTCAAAGTGGGGCGATGACCGCAAACAAAGCACGCTCGGCTGGCTTTGAGGAGAGCAACGCGCACAAAGCCACGTCGCTTGTGCCGCACAAAGGGTTCCCTTGGGACTGGGGGCCTTGTCGTTTTGGGGTCGTTTGACGGAGGGCTCGGTTTGGTAAATGTCACTCGGCTTCGACGGCACTCGGATCAGCACGCGGGGTGACGGTTGTTTGGCAACGCCCCCGGTTCCAACCCTACGCCCTGCGCCGCTCAAAAAGGCAAGCCCTGCGCCCACCAATCTAATTGCACTTGACTTTCAACATCGACCATCTCCAGCCACTCTTCATCGTCGCCCCACCTCGTGAGTGCACATCGAGCTCGCCGCCGTGGGCGATCCTGACGCGTAAACCCAGCTTCCACCTAAACACCATCCATAGTCAGTCTCCGACGCGTCGAGACGCGTTTTCTGTACTCAATATCTCCAGATGCCTGAATCGCGTGAGGACTCTGTCTACCTTGCCAAGCTCGCTGAGCAGGCTGAGCGCTATGAGGGTACGCACATCGCTGATCGCTGCGGGGAAGCCACTGACGCGGCATGCAGAGATGGTCGAGAACATGAAGCGCGTTGCGTCTTCCGACCAGGAGCTCACCGTTGAGGAGCGCAACCTCTTGTCTGTCGCGTACAAGAACGTCATCGGCGCGCGCCGCGCGTCCTGGAGAATCGTCTCCTCCATCGAGCAGAAGGAGGAGTCGAAGGGCAACGAGGCCCAGGTCTCCATGATCAAGGGCTACCGGGAGAAGATCGAGGGCGAGCTCGCAAAGATCTGCGAGGACATCCTCGACGTCCTCGAGAAGCATCTCATCCCGTCGGCCGCGTCTGGCGAGTCGAAGGTCTTCTACCACAAGATGTACGTGGCAGAGCCCTGCACCGAAGCTGCTTGACTGACGTGGCCTTTCAGGATGGGTGACTACCACCGCTACCTCGCCGAGTTCGCGACTGGCGACAAGCGTAAAGACAGCGCCGACAAGTCCCTGGAGGCTTACAAGGCTGCGTCTGACGTTGCCGTCACCGAGCTCCCGCCCACACATCCCATCCGCCTCGGCCTCGCCCTCAACTTCTCCGTCTTCTACTACGAGATCCTCAACAGCCCCGACCGTGCTTGCCACCTCGCCAAGCAGGCGTTCGACGATGCCATCGCCGAGCTCGACACCTTGTCCGAGGAGAGCTACAAGGACTCGACCTTGATCATGCAGCTCTTGAGGGACAACCTCACCCTATGGACCTCGGACATGCAGGACTCTGGTACGTGCCTGAAATAGCGCATATATGCGGCGTATCTGACCCTTTGTGCAGGCGAGAAGCCCGCCGACTCCAAGGATGAGGCCCCCGAAGCGCCGGGCGACGAGTAAACGCTTTTTACCCGTCATGTATATCCCGTCGTCGCATCGCACTTGCATGTCCTCCATTCATTGGAACGTTGTCACGATCGCTCTGTTGCATTGACCTTCTTTCCATCTGAGTTTACCTATTTTTTATTTCCTTCGTAGTTGTGGCTCGCGGTTTATCAATCAAAGAATCAGAAGTCATCTCCCTGTAGTGAACTTTGTGAAGACATGAGAAAGATGCGAGTAAGAAGCGCCTTGATTTTGACCGCCATGATATGAAGGCTGCTCCTGCTCTCGCCGTTGGCTCTCTGCTTGCCGTGTTCCTACTATATCTTGCCACCGTCCGCATCGTAGACGACCTATCTCCTCAAGGATGTCGCATGTCATGGATGTCGCCGTCGTACATCCTGCAGGCAGACTTTAACACGTCATGGACGCCGTTGGCGCATCGTTATTCGCTGTGGTTGTACCGCGAAGTAGGCTGGCAGTCTAATCAAGTGCGTTCTATGCGGTGTTCCTCGCTGTAGAGAGCGTTAGTTGAGTGCATGTAAGGTCGGACAGGGTGTACCAGTCCTCTTCATACCGGGGAACGCAGGTTCCTCTCACCAAGTCCGCTCGATCGCGTCGTCTGCTGCCCGGCAGTTCTATGGCTCGCCTGGATCTATCTCTCCAGAGTTCAAGACGCGTACGCTGAAGCCCCTGGACTTCTTTGCTGGTGAGTGTACTCTCCATACAACGTTGGCCGTCCTGACCCAGTCTGCTCCAGTCGAGTTTAATGAGGACCTCTCCGCTTTCCACGGCCCTACGGTCGAAGCCGAGACTGCCTACACGTCCCAAGCCATAACCTACATCCTCCACCTCTACCCCCCTGGCACCCAAATCATCGTCCTCGGACACTCCATGGGCGGCATCGTCGCCACGTCCCTCCTCCCCAGCCCCGACATCTCAGCCGTCATCACCATGTCCACGCCCCACACGCTCCCGCCCGCGCGGTTCGACGCGCGCATTGACGCCATATACGACCGGAACCGACGCGTGCTGGAGGGGGACCCGACCCCGATCGTCTCCCTGTGCGGCGGGGCGACGGATATGATGGTTCCGTCGGAGTCGTGCGTGCTGCCGACGGTGGAGGGCGCGGGTCCGTACCGGAGGACGGTGTTCTCGTCGGCGCTGGAGGGCGCGTGGACGGGCGTGGGGCATCGGGAGATGGTCTGGTGTCACCAGGTTAGGTGGCGCGTTGCGCGAGCAGCGTTAGAGCTTGGGGGCGCGAACACGCCTGCAGGGAAGGCTGCCGTGCTCGATAGGTGGCTGCGCGATGGGCATACGTTGCCGGCTGAGCTGCCTCTGCCAGCCGACTTCACTCTGACTGAGGGGGACTACGACACTCTTCCGACAGGCGCGCCCCTGGTCCTCAAGCAGCCGCGGGGGTCGAAGATGTACCTGCTTCCCGTTTCCGAGGACAAGCGCCATCATCGCTTCGTGCTCTATGTCTCGCAGGGTTCCATTTTGCAGGTCTCGCCGCAGAAGCCTCTTCCCTTGCAAGCATCGGTCTACAGATGCTCTGCCAACTCCGACGGGACGCTATCTTCCTGCAGTTCCTTGTCGCCTACCACGCTCAAGCTCATTCCGAACCCCATACCTGGAAAGCCTTTCCCATTGCCGAGCGAGGGGACGGACGAGTCGGAAGGCGTCGTACTGTTCGAGGCCGAAGTTGACTCCGCTGAAGCCGCTTCCCAATGGATCGCGGTGAACGTGGAGAACGCGGATGGACGAGGTTGGGTCGTCAGTGGTTGGGAAGCGTCTGCACCTGTGATGCACGATGTTAGCACCCTAGGGCTCGTCTTTGGTGGCGTGGATGTGGCTCTTCGTGAACCGGAAGCCTTGAAGAGCACAATCGGACTGCCTAACTTGCTCTCGCATGCGTTGCTTGTGTACCGGGTGACGCCTCTAGCGTCCCCGTCTGGGTCGTCTTGCAAAGGTGAGTACTCATTCCGTTCACTTCCGCAGGACAATGCTGAATCCCGTCTTCAGATCCCCTCCTACCACCGCTACTCAGCCACACTTCACATGCTTCGGAAACCCACTACTTTCCTCTACGGCCAGGTCAAGAACGCAACGTGCTCTTACACACCCATCTCCCCGCTCCATACATCCACGACCCTCGCCCGCAGCCAGGTATCGTCCTCAGTATCTACTCGTCGGGCTCGGAAGGGTGCCAACACGACCTCGCGGGTATTCATATTAGCATCGACTGGCTGACGACGGTGGGCCGATGGACGACGCGGTACTTCACGACACTGGCGGCTTGGTGTGTGGCGATTGTGGCGCTTGCGATTTTTGCTGCTTGGAGTGAGGCGGAACGGAGTGGAGGTACGGTCCCTCCCAACGTCGCAGTGGATGCGAAGACTGACTGGTATCATAGCCCCAGTAGCTAGCGTACCGTCTTCATTGGGACACTTTATCGGCGCCCATATCCGCAAGCTTGTCATGGCTTGCTTTGTTGTCTCCTTGGTTCCTCTCCCGGAGTCGTACTACCTTGGGACGCGTGGTGAACCCTTGTTTGCACCCATTTCTGTGTTGTTGATAGCGCTTGCGGGCGGCTTGGTGTATGTGAGCTGGTGGCTACTGGTCGCGCTTATGTGGCCGATTGGGAAGATAGCAAGGCTGTTGAGCAGGTTCGTAATGTGCACTGCTCGACTGTATACTGCGCTTGCTAATTTTTAGTCGCAGACCAACGTCAAGGCCGGAAAAGCAGCGCATCGGACGATATACTGTCCTCTCGATGGGCCTTGTGTTCATCCTTATCACGTTCTTCGTGCCGTGGCAAGTTGCATATCTCGGATGCTGGCTCATACACCTGTATACGTGCGCAACCTCACAGTCATCACCTGTTCGAGCGATTTCGCCCGCGCTCGAGACTATAGCCCTCGGATCCGGAGATGAAGACGACCGAGCCACAGCGGAGCAGCGACAACGCAAAGACGACCTCAATCGCCATAACCACTCGATGCACATACTATTCCTCATGACTTGGCTGCTGCCCCTCTCTGCACCTGTACTGGTCGTCTGGGTGCGCACGCTGGCCACGGCAGGGCTGACGACACCGTTCGATGGAGATCACTTCTTTGGAAACGTCGCGCCTTTCCTGGTGCTGGTCGACTTCGCGTCTTGGACGCGGGGACCGCTGCTTCCACCTCATCAGTATGTATTTGCTTTATCTGGCTCGTCGCCGGACTGATTGTATCCTCCCAGCTTGGAGAAAAAGCTATCAGTGCGTTGGGCATGGGTCATTCTGGCAGGAATTGCGCTCTTCGTTGGTCCAAGGCGGGCTTACAGCGTATTCAATGCTGCAAACGTAATTGTAGGCCTACTTGTAGTGCTCAGGATAGGTAGACGCTATTTAAGGTCTGAGTAGAAATCCAGTGCTTGGGCTTGTACTCAACTTGGTCAAAGTGATGCAGTCAGGCCGGGAATAGCGGGCCGCCGTCGCGTCGGCGCGTTCTTGATTGAGATCACTTGTCCCGAACGCCATCGCGCCTTGACGCGTCTTGCACGCGTCCCCCATTCGAACCAGACATGTTTCCCACAACCTTCGACGCGCCTCCCCCGCCCGCCACAGAGGTTGTTGTGAGCGAAATTCTGCGGAAACAGACGTCCTTCAAGTGGCATAGCAGCTTCGAGCGCCTCAACCGCTGCCAGCCGGGTATTGCTGGGCTACTCGAATTCGGTCGCGTACGCAGGCCAACGACGATGGCTCTTTGCGCGTATACTCATGCAAAGCTAGGCATGGATACTGCTTGCGGATGCGCTGCAGCCACGAAACATCAATGATCCTGGATGGCAAAGAGACGATCTTGGTGCGTGGGCGGCAAGCTGCGCGAGGGACTACCTGGTTGACGCGCGCGGCAGATTCGGTTGCGGTGAACGCAGCCGTGACTATTGTGAATGATACGAAGCGGCTACCTGTGCTTTTAGAGGTGTTCCTTGGTCCGTGACCTACAGGATCTACTTCAAGCGACTCCCTAACCCGCACGAATAGATGAAGTGAAAGATAACTTCCCCTTGATCATGGCCGAGGTCGACGTCTTCCTGAACCGCTTTCATGAGACTCGGGACCCCCTTCTTGTCCTCCAGATGCTAAACCGCGTTCGCGAATGGTATCATGCATGGTGTCCGGTCGTCGAGTGGGCTTCATCACTCCTCTTACCGAAGTCTCCTCTCATCCCACCCACAGTCTCGGCCACACCGTGATTTCGGCGTACACTGCACAGTTCCAGCGCAATCTCTTCTCCAGTCTTCCCCCTACCTTCGCCGCCGCCTTCAAGTGCTTAGTGCAAGCCACCTTGCGGAAGGACGACGACAACCTCGCCGCTCTCATTCCCCACCACAAGCCCCTCTGGGATACCTTCGAGATCCTCGGGCTCGTCGACCGGTATGAGAGTGTGATCGCAGCGGTCGCCTACGAGTTCATCGAGGCCCATGTGCTAGAGTCGTGTAAAGGGGACTGGGCGGAACCGAAGCTGGAAAAGTAAGTCCAGGTGCATACCGCTTGGATGCAGGTACTCATTCGTTAGGTTGAAGGAATGGATGGGGAAGAACCTCATCGAGTGGATGCTGCTCACCTATGCGCGCGATGCCCGTGGTCGTAAGTGCGCGCACCTTTCTTACCAACCCTGTGCTTATCAGCTTGCAGCGGACGACGCTAAGGCGAAGATGTCTGGTGTTGCGTCTCGGTTTGAATTCCATCTGAACAGGGTATGCCTTTGTTCTCTGGATCAAGAAATTCGCTGACTTTGCAACCATAGGTGCTCTGTGAACTACGCACCCGCGAAATCTTCGACATCATCGTGGCACATCCAGACTCCATGGGTGCTCTGGCTGACCTCCGAACATGCCTCATGCGGGTCGACACACGACCAGCTTTCGTCGCCGCTCTACGAAAAGCGTACGATAGGCCCAATTATACAGTGGCGAATTACGCTAATGACATGCTATATAGAAATCGAAAACGACTACTACATCCAGGCGCAGACACGCCCGTTGTTCTTGCCCAATATGTCGCTACCATCAGGTGTCTACGCGTCATTGACCCGCCCGGGGTGCTTCTGTTCAAAGTGGCGGATCCCATTCGACGGTATTTGAGGTTCGGACGATCGTTGGCTGTCGTCCCTTGACTTGCTCAAAATATCGCGATAGGGAGAGGCCAGACACCATCCGCTGCATAGTTGCCAACCTCGTAGGCGATGACGACGGTGCTGACACGCTCGTCGAGAACGAGCCTATACAGCCGTTGCACCAGGTCGATATCGACGACTATAGCGACCCTGCCTGGGAACCAGAGCCGATCGATGCAGGACCAGGTGAGTTCGCAGCCTTCTTGACGAGGGTTCTCGACTGAAGTCACAACAGAATTCCGGACAAACAAGCCTAGCGATGTAATCAGCACGCTGGTTAGTATATACGACTCGAAGGACTTGTTCGTCAAGGAACTTCAAGTACTGCTCGCGCAACGGCTGCTCGCTATCAACAACGATGACAACGAGCGCTTGGACAAGGAGGTATGCATCTGTCCCTTGCATTGCAAAGCCAATGCTAACTTGTCGTTCCAGCGCCGCAATATCGAAATCCTGAACATTCGCTTCGGTGAGGCGCCACTGCAAGTCTGCGAGGTCATGATGAAGGACATGTCCGATTCGAGACGAACGGATTCGCATGTGCAGTCGCAGAAGAAGGTACGACGACCAACTTCCACAGGTCTCCAATCCCGCTGACCGCGCGCAGTCCGTCGTCCATCCAACGATCATCTCTTCACACTTCTGGCCTCCACTCGAAGCCAGCGACATCGCCATGCCTGGGCAGTTCAAGGAGTACGGACACATTTCCTGCACTGAGAGCATTCACTGACGTTACAAAGATTGCAAGACTCCTACTCTCACGAGTTCTGCGTCTTCAAGCCAGACAAGAAACTCAAGTGGTTGCCTCATCTCGGTACCGTGGAACTCGAGCTGGAACTGGCGGACCGCACAGTCGAGGCGAAGGTCCCGCCGCTAGAAGCCGCCTTTATTGAGCTTTTCTCGCAGAAAGGTAACGTGCTGATCAAGCACATTCTATGGGCTCTAACGTACGATGTGACAGACATATGGACCATCGACGAGCTGATCGCCGGTGTCGGAAATGTCGATCGGATCGCGGCTTTGAAGGCCTTGACTACGTGGATGGACCTGGGCGTCCTGAAGGAAGACACGGAGAACACCTTCCGCCTGCTTGAGCATGCGGAAGAGAAGTCGACGACTGAGCGCGAGCCGAGGACAGGTGTGTGGTGTTCATGGCCTACGTTCGGCCAAGCATTGACGCGGGTTTTAGTCATCGCCGTGGACGAGCCTGCGCCGGTCTCAAGCGTACAACAGCAACAGGCCGAGCAGATGCGGGTATATTGGAAGGTTAGTCTTGGCTATCGGCTACACTCCATATACTCTGTTTGACATTGACGCGAACACAGTTCATCGAGGGCATGCTCACAAACTTGGGCTCGATGTCGGTCGACCGAATACAGTCTATGCTCAAGCTTGCCCCAGGATACGACAAGACCATTGACCAACTTGCGTCGTTTATGGAGGCGGCCAGGAGAGAAGGTCTGGTCGTGGAGCGAGATGGACATTGGAAGTTGGCGTGACAGCATGTGCGGCGTAGCCTTTTCCTCTTGTGTAAAATGGACACTTGCGTATTTCCTCTTGTAACTTTATTTGTGTACTCTACAAGGGATTCTTGACTTTGACGCATTGTTGGACACCAATAAGAGGGATGCATGAAGCCACAGAGGCAACGACTTCTATCTATTGTGACTGTATAGGAGGCTGTTGCCCGTTGGGGATACCTGATCGAGATTGCGGAGGTATTCCAAAGCCGCGTGCCGTTCTTAGATCTGATCTCATGCAGCCTTCTCACGCCGCTCAGTCATCGGCGTTCATTTGCCTGCTCCTGCGCTCAGCTGCAAGGCTTGCGTGCCACCAAATGACTCCAAGGATGACTCGGATCCTTGTTGAGGAGGTGCTGCATTTTTGTGGGACACGCAAACAGTTACGTGTCCAGAGTCGGTTCGCAATATGGAGAAGCGTGCTATCGCTGCGGTGAACGTTGTCCGGGGATCGTACGCTTCAGGGCTGATGCGTAGCGACAGGGAGGTCAAGAGGAAGAGGTAGATACACGGAATTTCTGTCCGTAGTCGTCGATCCATCTGCCCTCCGTGAATTGTGGCAACTCGACCGGGCAAATGTGATCTGACAAGGGCTAGTGTGATAGGCCATCAGCGTGTCCAAAGGCTAGGCACGGCAAGTACGCAAGTAGCGGCGGAGAGCCACCCGCGCAGGAATCCTGCCAAACTGCAGCCCTGCGGTTCAGGCGTGCACACCGAGCGCACTGCGTCCGGTAGCGTGCAGCGGACGTTGTTCTTTTCCCCACGGCGGTTGCCGAGAACAATACAAACGGCAGAAGATGGGACCCCAGTCTCGGCACCTTCTCCAAGGGCCGTTCTGGTGACTGTAAATGCTTGGGAGGCTTCTGATCAATATGTTTGGCTTTGGAAGATGGCTGGTAGTGTTGGTTAAGAGACAAAGAGGGAGCATTCGATTGTAAGGACCGGAAAGAGGGAAGAAATCTCCGGATCAGGTGCCAAATGCGTGTGAAGAAAGCCGTTGCTAATTTGAAACTCCGCCGCTTCACTTGCTTCGCACCACCACCCGCCTCTCTTTGCGGACAAGCTTACTGGCAAGGAGCGCCTCATAACACCCCCTCTACTGCCCAAATGCACGGGACCCCGTCGACGGGGACTCCGCGGGGCACGCCATCCGGAAGGGGCCGCTCACCTCGCACGCCCGGCCACTCCTCCCACTCTCCTACCAATTCTGGCGTCGCTCAGGGCTCAATGGCTCCCACTACATCGTTTTTCTCGTGCCTCAGTATCCCTGTCGAGGGTGCTATTCCCATCGACGACGGCACTTCTGGCAAGACGCCCGTCGAGATGCCTCTCGCCACGGAGTCCAAGAGAGCGCCCAGAAAATCGAAGATGGATGCTATGGCTGCGATGAGCGCCAGCGCAAGGTCCAGGTCTGTCGATCTCGACGAAATGGCTGCCAACGGTCCCCTCGCCGAGAAATACTACAACCGCCCTCCCATTCCCATTTCTCCCACGCTCGACCTCAACAGTGTCAAAACTGCGGGACAGGGCGTACCAGCGCCAACAGCAGACCCCACACCGAGACTTTTCGGACTGCAGGATTGCCCAGAATATCATCCCACGGCAGAGCAGTTCCAAGATCCCATGGCCTACATCCAGTCTATCGCGGAGGAGGCGAAGCAGTTCGGGATTTGCAAGGTCGTTCCGCCGCCAGACTGGAAGATGCCGTTTGTGACGGACACGGAGGCGCGTGGCCATCAGTTCACTTACCTAATTTGGCACTAACGCTTCGCGCAGACTTTTCGTTTCAAGACACGTTTACAGCGGCTGAATTCAATCGAGGCTTCAGCTCGGGCGAAGATCAACTTCCTCGAGAAGCTCTATCGCTTTCACAAGCAGCAGGGCCATCCGCGCGTCTCTGTTCCCACCATCAACAACAAAGCTCTTGATCTATGGACGTTGCGTAAGGAGGTCGACAAGTTGGGAGGTTATGAGGCAGTAAGTCCGACGCATATATCTCCGAAAATCCCATCTCATATCTCTCAAGGTTACGAAGGCGAAGCAGTGGGCGGACCTCGGTCGGGTTCTGGGATATCGAGGCGTCCCAGGCCTATCGACGCAGATCAAGAACTCGTACGCTCGCATCATCCTCCCATACGAGCATTATATGGCGAGGGTGAAGAACTCCGCCGCCATGTCTCCGATCGTCGCAAGTACCACGCCTGGCGCGGCCGCTCCCTCTACCCCCAGTAAACTCTCCATCAATACCGTTCCTTCCGCGAGCATGAAGGACGAGAGCCCTCCATCGAGCCCGCTCTCTGCTATGTCGGACATCGACGAGGGAGAGCAAGCGAGGGACACACTTCGTACGTCCTTCCATCTACAACTCGAGTTGCACTGACTCCATATACAGCGTCTGCGTCTGATGCTGCCCGTACGTCTTGGCAAGAACGCAAGGAGAACAAGGGTACACCTGAGGTTCGTCGAGCGATGCGCCTTTAACCTGTGCTCATCGAGAATTGTAGCAACACTGCGAGATCTGCCACAAGAAGAACAACGAGAAGCAGATGCTCTTGTGCGACGGCTGTGACTGTGGTACGTGTGAAACCTCACATAAATCCAGACCGGTTCTGATTATCCATGGTAGGCTTCCACACCTTTTGCCTTGACCCGCCTTTGGAGGCGATCCCGAAGGAGCAATGGTTTTGCTTCGCTTGCCTGTCCGGTACGGGCGGCGACTACGGCTTCGACGAAGGCGAAGAACACTGCCTGTCAAGTTTCCAGACTCGCGACAACGAATTTCGTCGTATGTGGTTCGAGGGGCATCCTCCGCCTGCGGACTATCCCAAAGGCCCCGTCACCAACAAGATCGGAGACGTCGAGGTGCCCGAGTACTACTTGGAGGAAGAGTTTTGGCGCCTCGTTCAGTCTACGCAGGAAACTGTCGAGGTGGAGTACGGCGCTGACGTGCACTCTGCGACCCACGGCAGGTTCGTAACTCGGGCAATCTCGATGATGCGCATCTGACTGTTCCTACAGCGCTATGCCGACGCTCGAGACGCACCCTCTGGACCCGTACTCTAAGGATCAGTGGAACCTCAACAACATCCCGATCGTCGCCGACTCTCTCCTGCGCTACATCAAATCCGACATCTCTGGAATGACGGTGCCTTGGACGTACGTGGGCATGACCTTCTCGACCTTCTGTTGGCACAACGAGGTAAGGAAAAACGCTACTTCCATTCAACTCGCTTCTGACCGCTTCCCTAGGACCACTATACGTACAGTATTAATTTCAGTAAGTCTAAAGTCCCATCCACCGCGCGGCTCTTTGCTAATTTCCCTAGTGCACTGGGGGGAGACAAAGACCTGGTACGGCATTCCCGGCGATGACGCGGAGCGCTTCGAGGCAGCCATGAAGAGGGAAGCTCCGGATCTCTTCGAAGCACAGCCAGATTTGCTCTTCCAGCTGGTCACGCTCATGAACCCGAAGCACGTCCGCGATGCCGGTGTCCGCGTCTATGCTTGCAATCAGCGCGCTGGCGAGTTCGTGTTGACGTTCCCGAAGTCCTATCATGCGGGCTTCAACCATGGGGTGAGCCTTTGCTATAATCGTATTAAATAATGCGCTAATCCATATATAGCTCAACTTCAACGAGGCGGTAAACTTCGCGCTTCCCGATTGGTTGTCGTACGACCGGGACTGCGTCGAGCGCTACCGGCGGCATAGGAAGATGCCCGTGTTCTCGCACGATGAGCTGCTTGTGACCATCACGCAGCAGGCCCAGACGGTCAAGGCGGCTACGTGGTATGTCTTGCCTCCTTGTTACTATCCAGAGTCGTGAGTCTGAAGTGCCATAGGTTGCTCGACAGCCTCAAGGAGATGACAGACCGCGAAATGGCGGATCGTCAGAGCGTCCGGGCCCGCGGCATCAAGGAGCGCGTTGAAGCCGAGGATAGGCCCGAAGAGCAGTATCAATGCGCGGTCTGCAAAGTCTTCTGCTACCTGTCTCAAGTTGTTTGCCCCTGCAGTCCGACGCGCGTTGTTTGCGCCGAGCACGTCGACGCCCTCTGCCAGAAGGCCACTTCCCCCGAGCACCTCACACTCCGTCTGCGGTTCAGCGATCACGACCTGTATAGCACTCTTGCTACAGTGCAGGAGCGGTCGAGCGTGCCGGCGCAATGGCGTCAGAAGTATCGATCCCTGATCGCCGAGACTGCCCGTCCACCTTTGAAGACCTTGAAGTCTATACTGGCCGAGGGCGACAAGATGGGCTGTGCTGTCCCCGAGCTGCTCACCCTTCGCAAGTGCGTCATCCGCGCTGGAGAGTGGCTCGACGAGGCCACCCACTTCCTGCAACGGAAACAGAACCGCAAGCGCACGAAGCGTCGTGGCCGCCCGAGCGCAGCAGCTGCTGCTGCTCAGGCAGCGGAGGACGAGAAGCTCGAGAAAGGTCTCGATGACCTTCTACAGCTGCTGAAGGAAGTGGAAGATATGGGCTTCGACACTCCTGAGATCGCCGCGCTTCGCGTTCTCGCCGAGCGAGCGGCAACTCTGCAGCAGCGTGCTCTCGACATTCTGCAGCAGTCGCGCGGCGAGCACGACCGGCCGAAGCTCATCGAGGACGCGAAGGCCCTGTCGGCCGACGCATCTTCGGTCAACGTCGCTCTCGAAGAGGTTCAGGCCGTCGAGCGGATTGTGGAGAGGGAGGAGCTGGAGAAGGAGCTGGAGAATTTGTATGGCGGCGACGACCCTATGCTCTCGATGGAGCAGGTCCGCGGTCTACTCTCGCGTGCCCGGGCTTGCGGCCTTACGAACGAGAACAAGTACGTCGAAATCTTGGAGGCGAAGGACAAGGAGGGCGGTGACTGGGAGGAGAAGGCGCAGGCGATACTGCATGCAGAGGTGAAGACCGTCGCCGACCTGGAGCTCTTCTCAGGTGCGGACGGGGTTGTTCCTCCTGTCGTTCCCAACGTCCTCGCACGTTTGCGCACCCTCTACGACCGCGCGAAAGACTACGAGAAGCAGGTCGGCATCTGGCTTGGCGCGGACGACGAAGTCACAGCGAACAAGCCCACGCTTGCCGACGTTCACAGGTTCATCGACAAGGTCGAGAAGGAGTTCAGGATCGACATGGTCGAGGATCTCAAGCGCGCCGTCAAGATTGCCGACGATCTCGAGAGCAGGTGCAAGCAGGTCATCAACCACAAGTACCAGCCTGGCGAAGACGATATGTTCGAGACGATCTCGCAGTGGACGACGTACGCCCGCAATCACCTGTCGCTGTTCCAGCTTCCCTTCTTTCAGAAGCTCGACAGCCAGCTCGAGCAACATAGGGCTTGGCTGCGCGAGATCCCGTGGTACTGCGACGGACACCTGACGGCGCACGGATCCGACCTTCTGAAGGATGTCATGGACGCAACACGGCCAGAGGATGACTTCGCGCCGGCCGACGAGTACTTCACTTGTATCTGCGACTTGCCCGTTCGACCACCCGCGGAGGGCGAAGTCAACACCGCCGTACAGTGTGATCATTGCTACGCTCGCTTCCACGCCGAGTGCGCCAACAACGGAGGCTCATGCCCGTTCTGCGATCACCACCATTGGAACGGCCAGATCCCTCGTGCTCGCACGTGGCATTTCTGCTACCTCCCTAGCATACTCCTCAAGGCGCCGGCTCTCACGAAGCAGTATTCTCGCGAATGGCGGGAACTCGAGGTCATCGTTCATCGAGTGGACCGGCTTTCCGCCTTGATTGGCCAGTTCCTCGCGTATTGCAGCCAGCCCGTAAACCAGCGCCCTGAGCATATCCCTCAGGTGCGCCACTACATGCGCAAACTGTGGCGGATTCAGTTCGTCGTGTCTCCAAACCCGGACGTGTCTTTTGGACTGGATCTCGCCGGCCTTCATCGCCTACTTGCTGGTCGGCCAGGGCACAAAACAAAGCGGAAGCGCAGGCCTAAGTTCTTGTTCGGGCAGGACCAAGATAGGGACTGGGTAGACGGGACGCGCTGTATTTGCCGCGCTCTCGCAGAACGTAGCAAAACCCTCCCCATCATACAGTGCGTTCATTGTCGGCGGAAGTACCACGGGCCTTGCGTCTTCTTTCCGGAGGGCGTTGACAGCAAAGACTTCCTCTGTCCCCTTTGCTGTGTGCGCAAGAATAGGCGCTATGCGTGGGGAGATGTTCGAGTGAAGCCAATTGGTATGCCTTTTCTACTGACCGTAACACCGATACTGATTTAGAACCAGATGCGCAGGGGTACCCCCGAGACGTGTACGTTGATGTCGCCAAGATGACAGAGACGCACGCGAAGGAGCAGATCTATGTCAAGCTTGCCGAGCCTCGGATGTCAACGCTCATCCTCGAGCTCATCAAGTATATACCGGCGCAGTTGCCCCCCGAGGCTATGAAGAAAGAGTCGAGTAGCAAACCGGGCGATGGTACACCCGCTCCTGCATCCGGTCCGCCAGCACCTGTCATGCCATCGCAGGCGTCGACGCCACAGGCCGCAAGTGCAGGCCCGCCGCCTCCGCCATGGCAAGCGTCGAGGTGGGCCCCGTCGATGCAAGGAGCTCCTCCAGTGCCTCCGCCGAGGACACCGTTGCAGGCAACACCCCCGCAACCTACAGCTCGGACGGCGGCAAGCCCTCATGGTGCGCAGCCCTACGGTGGTCATCCACCCATGGCAAGCCCGCGGTTGCCTCCACCGCCTACCGCCTACCCTCCCCCACCTGCTGATTCGCGGAAGCGCAAGGACCCAGAAGCCGGACCAGCAGGGGAACCCTCGGCCAAAAGGAGAGCTACCGAAACTGGCTCACCTTCCCAGGCCCAAGCTCGGTCACCATCCATCTCCATGCACGTATCGCCCGGACACCAATCCTCGCCTCGTACTGCATATGCGCAGGGCCCGATGCCTGCTCAGCAGGGGCCGCCAATGTCTCCCCGGCAAGGCCCGCCGGTGATGCATATGCAGGGCGCTCAGTCGCTACCTCGTAGTTCCCTTCAACCCGCACCACCACACCCGCGAGCCCCGAGCTATCCGTACCCGCCTCCCGATCCAAGGATGTACTACCCTCAGGGCTTGCCGAACAACTCGGCACTGCCGCCAGTAGGCAGAAGCGCGTACCCCGTCCCTACCGTCGATAACTCTCGTCATTATCGGGTGCCGCCACCTGTACCCCGCGCGCCACTCCCAGTACCCCCCTACGCTGCGATGGCAGCTCCTCCGCCGGTGCCTCCGCCAGTTCCTCCACCCGGGAGGTACATTTACCATGATCGCAATGGAGCCGAGGTACGCGTAGACGATCCGGCGACTGCACATATGGCGCCGCCTCCTGGCTCTATGCAACCCGCTCACCATGGCCAAATGTCTCCGGGGCCCTCTGCTCCTCCAGCGCAGCGCCGTCAAGGGCCTCCGGGTCAGGAGGGTGACGGGCGTCGTTTGCCTGCCCCTGCAGAGTATCCGCCTCAGACGATTCAGTGGAGCAGTTGAGAGGATTTGGAAGACTGCTGTCGAATTGTTGTATGCACATTTTGCTTTCCTTACCACTTTGCACCAACTCGCTATGTATCTATATGCACTACATGTTTATGCCTGAATTGAACTGAGTTATGTGCAACACCTGCAGTCTGCAAGCGCGCCGCACGGCCGCCCGAGGCGCGTCTAGGCTATTGATCCGACGCGAAATCCGTTCGCCTCCGTTGGCGGCCCGCTGCCATGATGTTTATTTCATTTCCCTTTACTTCCCGCCGCCATTAGCTGTCCACTCGGCATTCGTATGTCGCCTCGTTGACCTCGACGATGACCTTGGGCTTGCTCGTTCATCCCTCATGTCGTTCACATTCAAATGGCCTCGATTCTCCGACCAATTTCACTACGACGCTATCCAACTCCTCAATAATGCGCTCAACAAGGGCGACAAGCCGCCTGTCATTGCGGACAAGATCGAAGTCGTCGAGCTTGAGATGGGGACGCAGCCCCCCGAGCTAGAAGTCAAGGATATAGGCGAGCTGACGACGGACCAGTTTCGTGGGATCTTTCGCCTCACATACGCGGGGGATGCGCACATCGTGCTCAAGACGAAAGTTCAGGTGTGTCGTGTGCCATGCGTAGGTAAGATAATGCAGCTCATAGCGCTGGTTCATAGGCGAATCCCCTCAACCACAAGCAGCCAGACATTCATATGCTCTCTGGCTCGCGCGGCATGCTCGCTGCAAAGCACCCACTTGTCGTCCCCATGCACCTCCGCCTCTCGCACTTCAAGCTTAATTCATACGTTGTTCTCGTCGTCTCCAAGCAGAAGGGCATCACTCTCGTCTTCAAGACGGATCCGCTGCAGAACGTCGATATCAACAGTACCTTCGATTCGATCGCCGTAATCCAGAAATTTATTCAGAAGGAAATCGAGGGGCAGCTAAGGCAGATGTTCCGCGAGGACTTGCCCGGTATCATACACAGGCTCAGCCAGCAGTGGGTGAAGGCGAAGGTGGAGGCGCCGTATCAGCGTCGCTCGCCGCCCGGTCCTACCCCTGGCCCCTCGTCGCTCCCCGCTTCTCCGCGCGTGCCGCCATCCGTGCGATCGGCCATGACAACACCCTCGTACGCAACGCCCCCGCGCTTGCCTCGTCGTCACAGCGCCCGAGCATCTGTTCCTTCCTATAGCCCCTCTGTTCGCTCCACCCGTTCCACTCCTGCGACCTCCCCCTTGACGAAGCCGCCCACGACTCCCTCGCAGGCGGCGGACGACTCAGAGCCCGATGACTTTGCATACGATCCGACGTATGGCCTCCGTCCCGAAGGCGTCCCGCAAAAAAGCAACTTCCACTCCTTCAGCAGCTTATTCGCTACACCGACCCGCGGGCTCGCTGACCTTGCGGAGGAAACGGAGGACTCATCGTCAACGGCCGCCGACCTGGACTCGCAGTATGACGACGTCGATGACCTCGTATCAGAACCATTTGATGTTGTCGACTGGGGCGATCCCCGCGAGGACCTCCCCACAGCAGTGCCTATGGAGTACGAGACGGTGCCGGCGATAGGCGGCGGGACCGTCACCCGTCCGCGCGTTCTGCACGCGCAATCTCGCGCCATGACGCCCGACGCACGTCCGTCACCCCGCGCTGGCCCGATGTCTCCCTTCGCCCTCGGCGGCTTGCACGAGCCTGGTCGCATCATGCGTTCCATGTCCAATCCATACTTCGCTGACGCTGTGATACCCGAACCCCCACAACCCATGTCGCGACACCGCTCCTTTGACGAGGAGCTCGACAGTGACCACCACGCTTCGCAGTCGTCGTCTGCGCGCTCGCAGTCTATCGCGACTCCGCCGGACATTACGCCGCCTCCCCGCGAAACGCCTATACCAGCTGCGCCGGCGTCCCCACTGGAGTCGCAATCCCCCTTTATGTCGAGCACCGATGGCGGAGATGACGACTCGGTGCACGAAAAAATTGTCCTACGTCCCAATCTGATCAATACCAACGTCAGTCTAAACCAGCTCTCGACACTCTCCTTCTCCAATCATACCCTGTCTCCATACACTCGCTCTGGATCTCTTGCGCACTTCGCCGTCCGCAGTGGGCCGCCCCGACCACTCCAGCGCGAAGAGCGAGAAGGAGACAGTCGACCGCGCAAGGCGCGCCGGAAGCGGACGTTCAGATTGGGCGGAAAGAAGGCTGAACCGGAGGCGCCACCAGGGGAAGAGCGACATTCACGCCCAGAAGAGCCAGCATCACCGTTGCCGCCCATGTCGGATTCTGAGTTCGAGTTCGACGAGGAGGATATGGATCGGTACTTCCGGCGGGCCACGGCGGCGCCCTTGGGGAAAGGTGGGCCAGGGAGCGGCCCGCCGTCGTTGCTGAGAAGTAGGGCATCTTCTTTTGCCAGCGGGTCGCCGCTAAAAGGACCTGATATGCACCCAACGCATATACGGAGACGTGGGGAGGGCGCGAGGCAGGCATCTGGTCTTGGGATATCCATGAACTTTTGATTCGATACATCATCACAACCATCTTTCTGGCTATCACTATGTATTCTACTTTACGATCTACTTACAGCCCGGGTGTATAGAATGTATGTACTATTCTGTCTATCGATTCCCGTATATACGAACTTGAACTTGTGGGTCCAGGCCGGCAGACACCGAATCACGCGGCTCGCACGGCGGGGATGCGGCGGGGCGGGTGTTGACCTCGACCATTATTATGCGACGTTAGCGATGAACGGCGTCCGCAGATTTCTGGGCGCGGCGACCGCGAGCCCACCGCCAGCGCCTGAAGATGCGCCAGTGGTCCCCCCGCTCGTGCCCAGAAACGGGCCCTCCTGGCCTCCGAATAATGCTGGCAGCCCCGACAGTTCCCCATACACTAGTCCGAAGATGAACACTGCCGCGCTGTTCCTCAGGAAGGACAAGCAGAAAGCTCCCCCGCCCCCTCCGCTCCCGAACGACGACGACTCGCCCGGCTCGTCTGCGCGTACATCCGGCGTCTCGAGCATGATGACTAGCCAAGGACAGACGTCGGCCACGTCCTCGCCAAGCCGGCCATCCATGTCGCTCAGCAAGTCCACTCCAATACCTGGCAGCTCGCGACCCGAATGGAAGCGTTCCTCAACACTGGTCAACTTGCGGGACGAGCTCCTCGTCAGTCTACTGGCTAGCGAGGCCGCGATCGACAGTCGGGACTTCGAGATCCTAAGCTCGGAGGAAGTAGAAGATCTGAAGAAGGTGCGTGACTGGCAACACGTATGGACAACAAGTAACGTATATGCTCTCGTAGGAGGAACATGTTCTGGCATCCCGCCTGGTCGCCGCGAACAAAAAGGTCGCTCTCGAGACCAAGATCCGCGATGCTGCCATATCCCTGTCCAAAGTCAACTCCTCGCATCGCAAGGTGTCCAAGCAAACCGAAGAGCAGCTCGGCGCCGCCAATCGCCGCGTAGAGACTGCGCAGAAGGAGCTCTGGCGCGTGTCTGAGCGCGCGAACGAGGTCCATCGCCGGTTGCTTGAGCATCGCGCAGGCGTCCTCAGCCTTTCTGTCCGCTCTCTAGAGAAGAAGAATGCGCCGCCACCACCAAACAACGATGCTGCCGGCCATGACTCCGGTTACGACACCCCTATGAGCCCCGTCTCCGCCTCGACCTCGTCTGCGCGCACTCACGCTGCGGCCCGCTTCGATGGCGCGCATCTGTTTGCCGGTCACGCGGATGCGGTTGTTCCCAAGCGCAAGTCGCCTTCCGGGGGTGCCGACGAGATCGAGGCCCTAGAACAGAAGCTGAAGGTCGCCACGGAAGCCCTCGCTGCAGCTGGGAAGAAGCAGGCCGAGATGGCACGTGAGCTATCCATCATGCGACTGGAGAAGGAAACCGTAGAGTTCGAGCTGCAAGGCGCGGGCGATACCATAGCCAATCTAGAAGAGGAGCTGCCGAAGGTCGAAGAGGAGATCCAAGGTCTCATGCGCGAGCGCGAGGGCTGGGATGAGGAGCGTGCACAGTGGCAAGCGAAACTTCAAGAGGCGACTGCGCGTGCACAGGATGCAGATACCCGGTTACAAGAGATGGAGGGTTTGCTTGCGGATAGCGAGGGTCGTATACGAGACGCCGACGAGCAACTACGAGCTACGCAAGAGCGGTTACGCGACAGCGAAGATCACCTCCGCGACCGCGAGCGAAGGCTACAAGACGCCGAGATCACCTCACGCAATCAAGGCGAGAGCGAGAGTGCAGAAGCTGCAAGGTTACGACAAGAACTGCAAGCAGAACGTGACCGCCTCAACCTGGGCATTGACACCGCACGCGCTCTGATTGACGGGCACGGCATCAAGCTCGGTGTCTCTGCAAGGGGAGGCGAGTCTCTGGAGCGCTATCTTGACGCCTTGGGCATCCATCTCGAGACCATCGCTGCTGCTTCAGCATCTACAGAGCGGGAGCGGCAGGAATGGGAGGAAACCAGAAGACGACTCGAAGATGAGGTGCGCTCAGCATACGAGCGGCGCGAGGGCCTGGTGCGTGAAGTGGAGGAGGCAAGAAGGGAACGAGAGGAGGCTCGGAGGGACGCGCGTGACTTAGAAATCAAAGTCAAGGCAGGTAGTCCTTTCATTCTTTCCAGTCACGTATCCTAACACCTTTGCAGGAACTCGAGGTCCGCACACCTCAGACTCCAGCGTTGTCCATCCCTCTTCCACCGCTTGTCGAGCTGCCGCCTTTGCCCGAAGGTCCCGTCGAGTATGTGGGCGAGGCGGCTCACTTCGCCAAAGTATTACAACCACTTTGGGCGATCCTTCCCTCACCAGAGGCGCGCGCGACGCAGTTCAGCCGCAATGGGGGAAGTCCACGGGCCTTCCGCGCTGCGTCGAGCGCCAACGGATCTCCAGCTCCTGTTGCGTCCCTATCAGAGCTCGATGTTCGGTCACTCAAGTCATTGTACGACGCCAGTCCGTCTCGCTCGCCGAACGTCAACACAAGTGCACAGCAATTCACCGTGGAGGCTTTCGCGCATCGCGTGCAATCCCTCATCAGTGACGACCGCGCCCTGATTGAACGGCTCGTACGCTTCGCGAAGGCGCACGAGCTGCTCAAGAGGAACGCCGAGCGCGCACAAAAGCTTGCGCAAGAAGGTAGCTCTGCACTAGAGACGTATCAGAAGCAGGTGATACACCTCGAGGACCGCAATCGCGACCTGAACAACCGGCTAGCTGGGATGTCGCAAGAGTTGGGGGAGTTGCAGGATGCCGTCGACCGTATCACCCAGGAGAAGGCAGAGATAGAGATGCAGGCAGCCGAACAGGCGCAGACGATGGACCAGCTGCAGGAAACGAACAACACGCTGAGCGCCAAGACGTTGTCGCTCGCGGAGGAGGTCGTCGCCGCGCCCGAGGGCGTCAAGCGACAGCTCGACGATGCGAAGAAGCAGCTCGCGTCCGTGCAGCAGCAGCTTGCGGAGGTGCAGCGCTCGTATGCGGACAGCGTCACAAAGCTCGCCGCCTTGCAGAAGGAGCTCGACGAGACGCGCGCGGCGAAGAAAGCCGCCGAAGACGACCGCGACGAACTCGAGCGCGTGCGTAACGGAGAGCAGATGCAGAAGGCGCTCCTCCTAGACGAGCTCAACGACCTGCAAATGCAGAACGGGCAGCTCAGGGAGCAGATCCGGGCGATCAAGAAGTAGCTTCACTTCCCCTCACACCCGTCCACCTTTCGTACCACCGAGGGACCGTACTTTCGTGTTCAGTAGCCTTTGTTTGCGACCGCCGGAGCCTACCTTCATTTTACTCTTTCTCCTAATTTATCCACATCTGTCGTCCCGTTCTTTCGCTGTGTTTTGCACGTACCTACTCACCACGGAACCTCTGTAACATATGATACCTTCCCGGAGGGATACACGAGCTTGCAGATCCCAGCCGCTAATGTCCCATTTTGCTTGCCTCAAATATGGCTGGACGTATGCATATATGAATTTCCACAGCGATGAGGTTTTGTTTACGGCCAGGGAGACGAGCGAAGGTACGTACGCGGTGTCAACTTTGTCTGCAGACAGCTTAGAGAGATGCGTACGACTTGATAGCGCGAAAGGCTCTGTCGTGCTTAGCGCCGTACCTTGTGCAGGTGACGAGGTCGTCGCAGTTGCGTATCTAATGCACGTCTGCTCAGAGCCTCGCAAGGCAAACCGCCCAACCATAGTGCTCTCGGCATACAACTCAATCTAGGCATGCATCTTGTCATCGTTGTCGTATCTTCTCTCGTTCTTCCTGCCCTCGCACAGACCTATTGTGAGTGCCCCGCTGATGTTAGGTCACGCTCTGCTTATGGTTCATCCTCTCAGCTGCTTGCGGCAACTATTACATCGCACAGGTTTGCGGATCGACTCTGCCTAAACAATGCGTCTGCACGTACAGCGAGAAGACCGACCAGCTTACAACCTGTCTGCACGCCAACTGTGCAGACCTCACGGCGTTCTCGCAGGCGCAAGATGCGTACAAAGCATACTGCCGAAGTGAATGAAGTGGACAAGATTGATTTGGGGCAAAACACGGGAAGGGTTGACCTTGGGGAAGTGATTTGGTGAACGGAAGCAAACGTCTTCGGCATCTGCCGTCGAACTTGTATATATGGCCATCAACTGGCTTGGGCTGTCTCTCACCACCATCTATGGAGGACGTTCCTCAGATAAATCATCTACGTGATGGCGCAAAGCTTGCATATCGTATTCTGAACCCTACGTCTGTCGCACAGCCCTTGATTCTCGTGCATGGCTTGAGCGGGATAATGAGCGATTGGGAGCCACTGGCGAGCAGCCTGGCAAAATCACGACCAGGTATGCAGCCTTGGAATGAGTGGTACACATTCAATAGAACTCAGCGCTACGACAGTACTGGTCTACGATCATCGCGGTATCGGGGAGTCCTCCTTCGCCAATCCTGCTGGCGACAAGGTGACTATCGAGCTAATGGGGCGCGATCTACTTGAGCTGCTGGCGTTCCTAAGATGGACAAGGCTCGCCATTTGCGGCTTCTCCATGGGTGGTGAGTCCCCGGTTTCCGAATATGTATCACTTACATGAGCTTGTCCCATTGTAGGGACCGTCGTGCAACAACTCTTGCTCCTGCCGTACCACTCAAGCGCGCCAGCGGTATTGCCCTTTCAGATTACGCACGTTGTGCTTGCTGCTACGATGGCGTCGACAGTGATCAGCAAAGGCGCGCAGGTGTTGTTGCAGCAGCGTCGCGCGCGTACGGAGGCGGAGATGCTGGAGGGTGCGCGCCGGGTTGTAGAAGTCTCGTTTGACTCCAGGTGGGCGAAAGATTCGGTGAATGCGGAGAAGGTGGAAGTGTGTGCGAAGCAGTTCGCAAAGCCAAGGTGAGTGATTTCCCTTCCAGTAGATGGGACGCTCGCTGATTCGGCTGGTGCAGGTCAAAGAAGGCCATAGGTGAGGGTATTCGACCATCGTGATGTGCCGCCGTCGCTAAAATAGAGCCAGACGCTCAAGCAAAAGCGGTGAGCACTGTAGTCTTGCCCTTCTGCCGATTGGCTGACCAGAACATACCGCAGACGATGAACATCAACTTCGGGAACCTGCATTCCCGGCTCCCGCACGACATACAGTTCCTCGTTATACACGGCACTCTGGACAGCATCGTGCCATACAGTTGCAGCGAGGAGATCATAGAGAAGATCCCTTGGGCTCGACGGGTACAGACTGGTCGTGATCCCGGCGAGATCGAGCATCTGGAATTTGGTCACCAATGGTATGGGTACTTCGACGTGGAGAGGTGGCGGCAGGTCTTCGATGTATTCCTGCGATCACCAGAAGGGCAGGTGAAGGGGCGATTCGCCAAGCTCTGATAGATGGCTTTGATGAGAGCGGGATGAGCTAGGACTGATCTATATTTGTTGCTCTTGCCAGTACGACTCCGAGAGGGGGCCTAAGCAATACCTTGGTCAGTACTGAGCACCGTGTTTGAAGCGAGAATGAAGTCGACATCGTCCAGTATGGGTGTCGCCATCGTTGTTGGTAGCGTCGGTGTCACTGTCAACCATGACTGCCCGATCCCCACGCCCTATACCCGCTCATCAGCGCACATCTTCTGCACGCTGCGGCGAAGCGTGCTATCGTATAAACTCATCAGCTAGCCGAAGTCTTCGCAAACCCTGGGTATATTGAACCGAGCATATCGTTTCCCACTCGTCTCTCTCCACTGACAACGATGGCGACGAAGGACTTCAGCCACGGAGTGCAGTACACGCCTACAAACGTCGCCGACGTCGGGCTCGGTACGCTCAAGGTCGAGGAGCTGAAGGAGAAGGGAATTTGTAGGTCCAGAGAGCGATCGGTCCACGATCCCCTCTTGCTATCGCCGGCGACGACAGCGATCCTGACGCGTCCCCCCAGCCTACGTGCGCGTCCAATGGGTCGACTTCACGAACATCGTGCGCATGCGCGTCGTCCCGCTCGCGTACTTCCTCAAGGTGCTCGAGTCGAAGCGTCCAGGCTTTGGCGTGGCGAAGGCGACGTTTGGGCTCGTCCACCTCAATATGGCGCCCGGGACGCCTGCAGCGGGCGAGTACCTACTCGTACCTGATCTATCGACGATTAGGCTCTGCCCTTATGCTCCTGGACATGTCTCTGTGCTGAGCTGGATCGAGGAGAAGGCCCCGCCGCCCGGCTCCGATAGCGTGGAACTCGACCTCTGCCCACGTACGATACTCAAGCGCGTCCTCGAGTGAGTATCACGAGTGCTCAGAACTTCACTTGCTCACTCGATCCTCAGAGGTGCCAAGGAGTCAGAGGCCGAGTTTTTGGTCGGCGTAGAGCACGAGTTCGTGCTGCTGAAGAGCGTAGACCCTGTCGAACCCATCAACTACGGCGACTGGACGACGACCGGTGGGCTGCCAAGCGGCAGCGTCGAGGCGACCGTGCTCCAGGAGATCGCCGACTCCGTGCAGGCCTCTGGCATTGAGCTGCAGCTGTACCACGTCGAAGCTGCCCCAGGACAGTTTGAGGTGGTCACAGGCCCTCTCCCCCCTCTCGAGGCAGCGGATGCCGTCGTGCACACGCGCGAGATCATCACTCAGACAGCCGCCAAACACGGCTTGCGCGCCACCTTCACGCCGCGCCCCTTCATGACCTCCGCGGGCAGCGCTGCGCACATCCACATCTCCGTGCACTCGCCCAAGGACCAGCAGAAGGTCATCGGCCAGCTCTCGCCTTACGAATCGTCCTTCCTCGCCGGCGTGCTCGCCCACCTGCCTGCGATCCCCGCCCTTACGCTACCGACGCCCGCCTCGTACAAGCGCATGTTCGATGGCGCGTGGTCGGGTGGGACGTACGTTTCCTGGGGCACGGAGAACCGAGAGTGCCCTATTCGTCTGGCAAACGCCGACTCACTGACGTCTCGCCGGTTTGAGTTGCGCTGCTCGGATGCGACGGCGAACCCGCACCTTGCGCTTGCGGCCATCGTGGCCGCGGGTTTGTCTGGCCTGAAGGGCATGCAGCCGCTGACGTTGAAGAACGTGGAAAGCCCGCTCACGCCCGCAACGATGGACGAGGAGCAGCGCAAGGCGTATGGCATCACCCAGCGGCTGCCGCTCGACATCGCGCAGGCGAGGCAGAAGCTACAGAATGACGAGCTGTTCGTCAAGCTGTTTGGAACCGATTTCTTGGAGAAGTACTTGTCGGTCAACAATGTCAGTATCCTCTGGTCTTCGGTGGAATCATGCTAAACGTTCACAGATGCTCGGCGATATCCTGACCCAAGATAAAGACGAGGCAAAGGCGTTGACGCGACTGGTCAAATTCTACTGAAGGCTGGTGAAAGATGACATGTATACCGTTTAGTGTATCTATCTGTATCTAAACCTGTATAGTGCAAAGTGTAGACAAATCGAAGAGGTTCTTGAAGTCCGATAAAGGTCAATTCGTGCTTCTTCACGTGCGTCATCGCGCGCGTCGATCAGCACGTCGTCGGTTGTCTCTCGCCACCATGTCTTCACCACCGCGCGACGGCGGCGGCGGGTACTCCTCGTCGCCGATATCCATCCGCAATGGCTCGCCTGTTCTTCGCAAGAAACAGAGCATGAGCAGCAGCGACTTCAGCGACCTCGCCCAGCGAGCGCGCCATTCGCCTCCTCTCGGGCGCTCCTTCGACCCGAACGACCCGTCTATGCGCGAGCGGCAGAGAACACTGGACGTCGATATGGCTATGCAAATGGCGCTTGCTCGGCGGGAGACCATCTCATCTATGAACTCGCCCTTCGATCAGCCTGGTGGCGAGGGGGAGCACCCACCGTTTCCATCCATGATGCTTTCACCGCAGGAGCAACACGAGCTTAATATGGCGCAAGGGCAAGGTGCGCTGGCGGACAATGGCGAGGAGGCTGGGGACTCTGCGGCGCCGAAGCGCGAGGACTCACTTCTCGACCTGCGCGAGCAGCACCTCCACACGACCCAGGACCCGGACCTCCTTGTCTCAACGTCTACGACTCCCCAAGCACATCACGACTATCCCGAAACCCTATCCACCGCCTTTGGTCTACCCAAGTACCAAGCGGCTACGACTGTCACAGACCCCTCGCAGTTCGACTTCACGCACCTGGAAGACTTCTGCGCTAATGAGCGCTCGTTGCTCAGCCCTGGTTCTCCCCGCCCCGTCTTCAGCGACCCCTTCCCCAAGCGCGACGCCGATAATGCGGGTGCAGGCGTTGGCGAGGCCTCCACATCGGGCGCACCTCCCGCATCTGGCCCGCCTCCCCCTCCTGCTGAGGACGCCGTCACTGACCCAGGCCCGGCGGCCGTCCGCCCAACTGCACGTCATCGTAAGCTCAGTCAGAGCAACACGCCGCGACCGCACAGGAAGGGCATCGGAGGCAAGATGGCTGTCTTCGAGGGCGCAGCCGAACCTTCATCCTTCTCTAATCGCCTCAACAATATCTTATCCGGACGCGCGGCCGACGCCGAGCAGTCCGACAATAATACCCGCGCTCCACCTCCCGGTATACTCACTACTGGGCACGACCGACCGTACCGTTTCTCGTTCTACTCCAACGCTCTGAACGCGACTATCCACGCTCGCTCTCTAAGCGAGCTACCTGCGGAGGGGCAGTCCTTCCAGGACCTCTTCTCAGGAGTGCCCGCGCCTCAACAACGGGACCGTCCAAGCTCTTTCTCCTCCACCGACAAGCGCCCATCACGGTTGCGACACCCCATGGCGCTGACGAACGACTCCGAGGCCAACACCTGGTGGCTGGACGTGATGAACCCGACGGACGAGGAGATGCGGATACTAAGCAAGGTCCGTGCCCTCTCGCATCCAGCGAGGCTCGCGTGCGTGTACCCATCATTTGCATAGGTGTTCAGCATCCACCCGCTCACGACGGAGGATATCCAGATGGAGGAAGCGCGCGAGAAGATCGAGCTTTTCCGAAATTACTATTTGGTCTGTTTCCGCTCGTTCGACCAGGACCCGTATAGCCCGACCCACCTTGAGCCGTTGAACATGTACATTATCGTGTTTAGGGAAGGGACGCTCTCGGTAAGCGTAGGCACAGTCTCGCCTTGTTGGATGCTTATGTCTGTGTAGTTCCACTTCCGCCCGACACCGCACCCGCAGAACGTACGAAGGCGAATTAAGCAGCTCAAGGACTACATCTCGGTCACATCCGACTGGATATCCTACGCGCTCATCGACGACATCACCGATGCCTTTGGCCCTCTCATCCAGAACATTGAATATGAGGTCGACTCCATCGACGAGCTCGTGCTCATCTTGAAGGAAGCGGAGCAGAGCGACATGTTGCGGCGGATTGGGACGTGCAGGAAGAAGGTCATGGGTCTTTTGAGACTCATGGGCAACAAGGCGGATGTCGTAAAGGGTCTTGCGAAGCGGTGCAATGAGAACTGGAGGGTGGCACCGACGTCGGATATTGTGAGTGCGCGTGCCCTTGTGTGCTTCCCGGTACTGACTGCGTCCATGATAGGGTCTCTACCTCTCGGATATTCAGGTATGAACAACTGAACTTCTCGAAAGGGCGGCCGTTGCTGACCTTTTTGGTCAGGACCATCTTATCACCATGACGCAGAACTTGAACCACTACGAGAAGATCCTCTCGCGGTCGCACTCGAACTACCTCGCCCAAATTTCTATCGAGATGACCGACGCGAACAACCAAATCAACGATGTGCTGTCCAAGCTCACTGCTCTGGGTACTGTGCTCATCCCGATGAACTTGGTTACTGGTCTATGGGGAATGAATGTGAACGTTCCTGGTCAGGAATCACCGGTACGTCTTCTGTCCTTTCTCGCGTGTACCATATAACTCAGTCTTCACAGGGACTGTACTGGTTTGCATCGATTGTTGCCGTGTTGGCATGCTTTGCCCTGGTGGGCGGATATACTACATATAGGTTCATGGTGCGGTAGGGGACAATGACGCTAGATCTTCATTTGCTCGTTTTGTTATGGATAATATCGTCGCTGTGGACATCTTCGAACACCGTGCACTATCAATGCTCTACCAGGTTATGCGACGCAGGTATTTGTTCTCTCGTTGCGTGTTGACTTTGACGTACTGATGATAGGTCAAGCTCGAGTGCGTGCTGCCGCTATATCCTCTGTTCTATCATTACACTTCAGCGCGTCAAAGCACATTCTCTGCCGCTATTCAAAGCTTCGCACGCCCTTCCGTGTCCGCTATTGACCTCGCAGGCGACTTCAAGAACGCCTCAATTACGTCGCGCCACCTTTCCACGTCGAAGTATCCGTACCACTGGTGCCCGAAGTCGTAGTGCGGGATTTGTCCACGTCCCGATCCGACCTCTACTCGACGCGCCCAAGGGATCTTTTGCACGATCTCCTCGCTGAACGAATACGGGACGACGCTGTCCAAAGTACCGTGGATGACGAGGAATTGCATGTCGCGTGGAAGCTGGGCGTGCAAGTCGCCGAAGTCCATTCCGCGGCTCTACAGCACGGTACCGTATTTCAGCGGTGATCCAAGGCTACGAGGTGCATGATACGTACTGCTTTTGTCTGACCGGCTGTGTACCAAATTTTCTGATCAGTGATGTGCCACAAAAGAATTGCTGCGCCTCACCAATGGCTTCCTTCTGTCTATACGTTCGTCAGTACGTTCCCTCAAGCAGCATCGTATTAGCAAGGAGCACACCTAGGTTTAGCGAATTGACGTGCCCATCCCTCGATGTCGTCGGCATTCTTAGGGTCGTTGATCCACTCTGGATCGAAGATTGTCTCTACGACTTGCATGGCGTTCTTCAACCTGCCCTCTTCCGTGTTGGGATCACCTCGTGGTGGTTGACGCTCCAGCATCGGAGGTACTGAGCCCATAGTATTTGCCAAAACGACGTGCTTGACCTCGAATGGTAACGGCGTGGGCCTGACTGGATGATACGGGAGTAGCAGGAGTTGCTGTACCACCGCACCTGTCCGCTTCGTCAGTTTTCGTCAGTATTAAGGCCATTCATAGTGTTTACCTCCTATGGACGAGCCGCATAAGGCCAGCCGCTGCCACTTCAAATGACGCAGCAGCTCGAGCAGGTCGCGTGCCATGGATTCTATCGTCGTATCGTCGCCCTTGACATCGACGAAGGTGGATTCTCCGATTCCGCGATGGTCAAAAACTAGTACTGCGATGAAGTCAGCCAGATGTACAATACATGTGATGAAAGGACAAGAATAAACATACCTGGCCGTGTCTGCGCAACACAGCTGGCAAGGGGCTCCCAATCACTCATGAGTGAGGCCCAGCCGTTCACGAGCACCAGAGGTAAGGCATTCGAAGCCGAGTTCAGGACATGGTACGCAATTGTGGCACCGTCGGCCAGACGGCAGATTTCAGTCTTATGATCCATCTGTGATAGTTGAAGACAAGAAGCGCATGGATGGGCGAACGGCTAGTGCGTCTCTAGCGCGGTCCTATCGCAGTTGGGGTGCTGCAAGCTTTGCCCACAACCCGTAGATGTGATAATGATTAAGCTGAGTAACTTACCGAAGCCCCCGTTGTCTAATGGTCATGACGTCAGACTTCTACGCATCCCGTAAAGGGCGTAGAGAAAATCATCTGGAGGTTGCGGGTTCGAGTCCCGCCGGGGGTTTTTGCGTATCTTTTTCAACTGTACTTCCCTCTTATTTCCAGAATCCGAGGAGAGCTAAAGAAACGGGGAAGGTTCGAACGCAGAGGATGCGAGTCTTCAATTTTGATGGATGGAAGATTGAACGCGATCAAACCTGCCTCATTCGGCCGACCTCCCACGCGGCAGGTCTAAGCGCCAGCATTTCTTTCTGCGTCATGGCCATTGGCGCGGACATCATGCACTCTCCTGCGAACGGCAATAGATGCGAGGGCAGTGAAGTCTGAGAGCTCGTCGTTGTACGCTTAGGGAACATATCCGTGATCGCTGTTACTGGCATCCTCCGAAGATGTCGCTCCGAAGACACGGACAAACTCGATGAGCCAACGAGTATGGCTGTATACATGGTGGTTGACACTGATAGTGTGCAGGTCGTGAAGGCATTAACATGAGCGAAGGAGGCAGTGGATAGCGGTGTTACATGCGAGAGAATTGAAAGAGGCTGGACCGGATGCGAGACGAGATGGTGTGTGTGGTAGTACAATTAGTGACGAGTGCGAATATCCCATGATCATGAGCAAAGTCCGTGCGCATAAGATGTAACCTGAAGACGCAGAGCGCTCTACTGCTTCCCTGGAAAGATGGGTAAGTGCATCGTATTGAGGCGACGAGATATGCTTACCCGACGGTGGCGACGTCAGCCGCCGAGCCAAGCGGCTACCGGTCGATGCTTCGCTACGTTCGGCATCCGCTACAGTCGAGCGATACGAAGCAGTCCGTCGCGCCGATGACTTCAGTCTATGCCAGAAGCTTGGTGACGAAGGGGACAAGGGAGGTCGATGCGATGGCACCGCTGACGTTGGAAGTTCAGGCGTTGTAGGTGTCGCTTCCACCGCATTCGTCGAGTACGAGCTCGCAATCGCCTGCGACGGCGTCATTTCCTCCTCCTTGGGCTTCGTATCCGGTACAGGTGCGAGGTTCACCGACGACGGAGGGCTCGAGCCTTGCGAAGGTGTATCCTCCGTATCCGACGCCTCGCCCAACGAAGGATCCGACGAGCTCGAAGGCAGCTGCGAGGTCGTCGCTTCCGCGCCGTGCTCCTCTTCCTGAACAGCCAGCTCGTCTTCTTCCTTCAGTGGTGGCGCGATGTCGACGAACGACACCGCACGAGAATGAGTTCTTGGTGAAGGTGAGACAGCTTCGCCGAGCTCAATGACTGCTTCGACTGTAGGCGAGTCCTCAGAGCCTGAGCGATGGCGGCGGAAGGAGGCAGTGGTTGAGTGAATTGTTGTCGTGAAGTCCCAAGACTCTATGGAGCGCATCGTTTGGTGTCGGCTTGTCGCACGGCGCTCCTGACGTTGAGCAAGTGGTGGCAGATCCTCTGGTATTGTCAGAAAATTGACACAGGCCGTTAGACGTTAAACTCACTGAGGATCTTGTGAACGAGATAGGACTTCTTTTTCGCATTCTTGAAGAACGGCGTCTGAAGAAGCTGCTCTGCGCTCGGCCGTTTGCTTGGGTCCTTTACCAGGCAGCTGTCTATGATATCCTTCAAGGCGCGCGAGTACTTGTGGACGCCGTTATCTCGATCGAGGGTGGGTGGGTCCTCTTGTATACTATATGCAAAGATGGGTAGGGCATTCTCAAGGTAAATGAACGAAGCTCACGTTCGCATCAGAACCTTCGAAGGCGCTTCTCTCGAGCGTGGCGGGCGACCTTGGGTGAGCTCAATCGCGGTGATGCCAAAGCTCCAGATGTCGGCGGCAGAGTCGTATTGTTGTCCCTTAATGACTTCTGGTGCCATCCAGCAGGGCTACGGATCATCATCATTAAAGGGAGAGTACGCTCAGAGTGAAGACTACTGACGGTTCCCACAAATGACTTGCGCTTCCCGATCTTCGGACGCACATTTGGAGGCATGACGTGGTCGAAGAGAACGCGCTTCGCGTCGCCCTCGGCGTTCCAGGACCGGCGTTCAGCCACAGCTGCTGACGCGCTGACGCTATGCGGCTTAGTCGGCGCCACCGGCGAGTACGTGTCCTCCGCGAGGTTCGCCGCGACGCCCAGGTCGCCCAGCAGCACCGTGCCGTCGTCGTCCATGAGGAGATTAGCGGCCTTGACGTCGCGGTGGATGAAGCCGTTGATGTGGAGATAGCTGTGATTGTGTTCAGCGCGAGACTGATAGATGGAGGTATAGACACTCACTTTAGCCCCTGCAGCGCTTGTCGGAGAATGCAGCGGACGACCTCCTCTTCCATGCCGCCCGGCCAGCCGTAGCGCATGACGTCGGCGGCACTTCCCTTATTCATGAGGCGCATCGCGATGTAGAGCTTGTGACCGTCCATCCAGGACCCGCGCACGCGGAGAACATTCGGGTGTTTGGAAAGCGACATGAGTGTGGTTTCCCTTTGCAGCAGTGCGAGGGAATTTGGGGGGAGGGAATCGAGATCGAGGACTTTGAGGGCGACGGGGACTGGAGGTTGGGGAGGCGAGCCAGGGGTGCCCTTCGGATGGTAGGTGGCTTGGTAAACGATGGAGGAGGCGCCAAAGCCGATTGCAGGGCCTATGGTGTAGTCTTGTGGATCGTCACTAGCAGACAATAAGCTCGAGTTCAGGTGGTGCTTCACGCGTCGCGCACCTGTAGAGGATCCACTCGTCTTCAACCGCGCCGATGAACTTCTTGTCCGTGAGTGCACTATTCGGCGTAGACGTAGAGCCCGAAGCTTGGGAGGGAGCGCCCTGCGCGCCAGTCGAGCTGGATGCCGGCATGATCGTAGCTGACTGAGATGGCACCAGTCGAACGAGAGGCTCGGGGCAGGGTGGCGCGGTATACCGACGCTCAGCCGAAAACTCCCCAGATCGCGCTGGGAACAAGACCACAGGGCCGCCCAGTCAAGTCCAAGCAAAGCAGATGGTGGTCAAAACCAAGGAACGCAGGGTGAACCGAGGCCATATTGCAATGACAATGCGAATTATCAAATAGGGACGACGGGCGCCTCGAACATAATGGAGCCACGTGCGTTGAGAAGGTACGCGAGAGTAGCCATAAATGGTCATCTTGGTCGCCACGCCCCACAAACTCCCCCTCGCATCGATTCTTCTGTCGGTCTAAGGCTCCATTATCGCGCCGACATCAGGCCTTGCGCTATGCTCAAGATGGACATGCAATCCGCGGCCGCATTCCCTGTGATTTACCTAGTACGGCACCAATAGGTTTAGCAAGTCAGGTTACTGCGCGCCTGTATGGTGCCCGCACGACGTCCTTTCGTCCTCCTTCTGCCATTGTTCTGACTATAGTCACGAACTACAAATAGGCCGCGTCTTCGCCTGAATCAGAAGCGGAACGGCCACGTGAAAGTCATGCGTGCACAAGTCCATAAATTACATAGGTTATACAAGAAAAAGTTCATGAGGGGAGGTATCGTTACACGAAGGTATACATAGTCGTTACAATGATCAGGGCAGTCGAAAGGGATTAGTAGCCGACGTTGATGATCTTGCCCCCGTACTTGTTCCAGTCGGATGTGACGGCCTTAAAAATAAAGTGGCCAACGTCCTTCCTCGAAACAGTGTACCCGCCGAGCTCCTTCTCCTCCGCCCGGTAGGGTTCCCGCCCCTCCTTCTTCTTGTCCGCCTTGCACTCGCCATCCGTCAGCAACGCAGGCCGCACGATAAGCACCTGTTTCAGCTCGCCGGGCCCTGGCAAGCCCTGGCGGTCGCGCCACCCCGCGCCCATGATATCGTCCGCAGGCTCCTCCTCGGAGGTGTCCCACGCGAGGCCTGCGCAGTACGCGAGGACGCGCTCCACGCCGAGCTTGTCGCGATGCGGCATGGCGAGAGCGTGCGCGTACAAGGGCTTGAAGATGAGCGGGAGCGAGGAGTGCGAGCGCTTCGTGAGGCCGATGGACGAGACGACGACGATGCGGGGCTGCGGCGCGTCCTTGGGGATGGTGCAGAGGGTGTTGAGCAGGCATTGGGTGACGAGGTTGTGCGGTTCGATGATGAAGCCCTTCGTCAGTGAGAATCCTTTCGGGACGCCGCCTAAAGCATCGTCAGCATCGACATTTGGGTGAGTGAACGGGGAAGAAACTGACCAACTGTGAAGAGAAGTGTGTCCACATGCCCATGGCTAGTGGCTTCGGCCCATGCGCGTGCAACGTCGTCCTGGTTCAGGCCATCGCCCTTCACAAGGAACGCCTTCCCCGCGCCGACCGCCTTCTTGATAGCCTCATCCTCGTCGAAGACGGCGGGGTTGCGCAGGAGGAATGTCACAGTCGCGCCCGCGTCTACGAGAAAGCATAAGTTGAAGTTCGGAAATCAGACGCAAGGGGCGGGGTCGGGGTCACCTAGTAGTCGAATAGCGGCGAAGTAGCCAATGTTCTTCGAGGCACCGAGAGCCAAGATGTTCTGTGCAGACATAGTGTGGTGGAAATGTCCACAGGGGCTAGGAATGTTGCTGCTTGGGGAAGGGAATGTAGTGAAGTGAAGTTTACGGCCACAATTAGTCCCCTTTTATATGGACGCTTGACTCAGATAAGGACACCGCCCGCCCGACTAGTGGCGGAGGAATCCCAGCCATCCAACGCGTCGTGTTCGGCACGACCAGACAGTAGGGATGCTCCCGGCGGCACAGGAGGGCGCCAAAACCAATGAGGGCGTTGAACACGTCGCTGCACGTGCCGGCGGAGGATGCCCGCGGTCTCTGATGCAAATCCCGTAGAGTCATTCGCTCGTCTAACAGTGTCACCTTTGAGGTTGGAGGAGGCTGAAGCAGTGTTCGAGCTGAACGTGTATGATGACTGTGCGCGCATCTCATTCATGTTGCTGTTGAGGAGGGGCGATAGATGGCAGGATTTAGGAATTTGTATAGACTGAGAGCCACGGCAAGACGTTTTGATGTTTCGAGGTGGTTATTTGCGCGCGAAAGCAACGTAAAAGCACAGTAGCTGGCCATGATCATGGTTTGGGAAGAGCACCAGATCAGTGGAATATCTCTGTCGGGTGCCGGGTATCTACAAGGCAAATGCCGAGAAATACGCACAAACAAAGCACGCATTCTACTTCCTCGAAGGAACCACCATCTCGCTGCAGGCACTTTGTCTCATCGTCGCCGTGTCGCTGTTCTCTGAGAGACCACTGAATGTATGCTTGGCAATATCCCATTATCGTGACAATTGTCGTTACCCCAGCGTTCGGCATCTCCTGTGCGTCAACGAGGCGAATGAAGTCATCTGTACCGCCCTCGACTGCGAGAATGCAGTCATGCGAAAGGTCAGCTGCGAACTCGACGGAATTGCTCTCGAGAGCGACGAAAGCCTGTAATTTCTCCGAGATGGGCCTGAACATACCTCTCGTCGACGGCGATTGCGATCGATACTCGTCCCAACCTATCTAACCTCGGTGTAGTCGTGCACTGCGGCCCTCTACGCACTCGACGAAGTCAATGGCGCCATCGACTCCCTCTCAATGACTTCACTCCGGACCTTGAAGAGCGTCGAAGATACCGACCGTGCTCGGTCCGGGCCCTTCACGTGTACCCTCGTCGTTCACGCTGAAGGCGGACTGTGGGGCACCATGGTTCACCTCGCTCTGCAAAGAACGCTCTCCGTGCCTAGCGCATCAAATTCCGAGCTCGAGGGCGCGCCCTATAAGAGGCGGAAGCAAGTGCATGACTCTGGGAGCCTTCCTCGAATTCCCTTGAGACTTCACGCTGACTTGACGACTTGCAATGAGTTTCTACCACCGCGCTTTGCTATGCGCCGTACTCGCCATGCCGGCTCTTGCCCAGTGGCCGCCGCAACATGGGAACTCATTTGACCTATCATTTGACTTTCCAGACCCGCTGGAAGGAAGTCGTGAGTGCGAGGTCACATCCCTTCAGCTCATATAGCAAATCATGCATGCAGGAGATATATATGTCCGCGACCCTGCTATCACCTACAGTCAGGATCTGGGCGTACGTTCTCATGCTATATTTTACGCGTCATGAAGTGACTTAACAGTCGCGCCCCAGAAATACTTCATCTTCAGCACACAGGAAGGTATCAAGATCTTCACCGCCGATGACTTGACTGGGTGCGTCTTCCCTGGCGCTGACTCTGAAAATGTCTAATGCGGCCGCTCAAAGCCCATGGGAGCGCACCGGCTCCGTCTTACCAAACTGCTCGAAGATCGAGCTCGAGGGCAACTGCAACATCTGGGTGCGCCATGTCCTACTCATCTCCTACCCACCCCAGCACCTCTGATGCAGTTGCTCAGGCTCCGGACGTCGCCTACATCGATGATCAGTGGGTCCTCTACTACGCCGTCTCCTCCATCGGCAGCCAGAACTCTGCTATCGGTCTCGCCACCAGTCCCACGCTCGAGGAGGGCACCTGGACCGAGTATGGCGCGATCTTCAACTCTTCCGAGGAAGCGGACCTGAATTGGAATGCGAGTGCGTGGTGTTTATCGGATTACCTGGGGCAGGCTGCCTCGTCATCCGGAGCTCACCACCACTCCCAGTCGACGCGAATATAGTTAACGAGGATGGGAGTTTGACGATGACCTTCGGATCTTACTGGGGTGGGATCTTTCAGATGTGTACGTGCGCGAACCTTGCGATGTGAAGCTGAGCTAAAGGCGCACGATCAGCCATGTCGGACATCTATACCTTGGACACCTCGGTAGGTACACGCTCAACTTCTACTCAAGGAGGGGTACCTGACCGCTATCCTCATAGGCTCTTCCTGGGAATCATGTTGCTGGTGCGCTCTAGCGGACATCCAATGTCACTCACTTCTCAACAATCTTGCAGGCGGTAATTCTCGCCCTGCGGAGGGCGGCTTCGTGTACAAGCCTCAGAGCAGCGACTGGTATTACTTGTTCTTCTCCGATGGCAAGACAGGCGTCGTGAACGTACGTAGCACCTCATTCCTGTGTTCTTACATGCGAACTAACCTCCCAAACTCAGGCATCAGCCGTACCCGACCCCCTCCAAGAGTACAAAGTCCTCGTCGGTCGCGCCGAAAATGCGACCGGTCCATTCGTCGACGAATTCGGGCGCGCGCTGACGAAGGACGACCGCTACCCGACAGGGCACATCGTCCTCACTTCGCACGATAATGTGTTCGCACCCGGTGGTCAGAGCCTTTTTCTGGACCCGGTTAGTGGGTGCGATGTGATTGCGTATCACTACGTTCGTGAGTATCGTTCTCCTGGGGTTCGATGGACAACGAGGCTGACGAGCATTCGAAGCCTTCGACAACATCACGTCTGGTGCCGTGCTGGGGATCAACTATGTCGATTTCTCAAGCGGATGGCCCGAAATTGTAAACGCATAGCGACGTGGCGTGTGATAGCCTGACGAAGATATCACAACGGAGCGAACGAAATATTAGATGTACAGTACTTATGACGAATACGACGCCTGTTCAATGAGGCGCGCATATATCTCTCACCTTGAACTTCAGGACTCAGATTCGGTCATTCTTCTCAAGAAACCTTTAGGAAGATCAAGCACAAATTCGTTGGAACCTAAATGTACATTGCTCTACTGTCAAGCAGGAGGCTCTAAAGTCAGGTCTGCTGTCAACAGCAACTACATAGATAGGAAGCAACGGAAAAGCATAGAGGGAGGGCATAGAGGCAGCATAATGGTCCATCTCGTGAGACAAGTGTTCACCGCAGAAGGTACAGTACAACGAGTCAACGTGAGAGCAAGCAAGGATGCGAGAGCATCGTACCAAGGTAGCGGCATAGCTGAACAAAAGAGATAAGTAGATGAAAGCGCATGAGATGAAGAGATACTTGACGGTAGGTAGGTAAGTAAGCGTTAGGCATCGAGAACACGCACGTAAGTGAAGCACGCAGTAGGCGGACGGTGGCCGCGCCTACGCGACAGAGCCAGAATGTCAATGAGATAGCGAATAACGATAGCCGGGAACAGCAATGGGATATCATGCATCATCGTCCGGTCACGGAGCGCTGAGCATAGTGGGGGGTATCATCTGACGGCGGCGGCCTCATGCAGCGTACGCCCGGTAAGTGGAGTACGATTCGACGCCCGAGGGCGGACGCACGACGACGTTCGGGACGTCCTCATCCCGTTGCAAGATGGCTCGCATCTTGCTGGTATCCGATCGGCCAAGCTGGAGCGGGCGCAGGCCGCGCTTCTTGCCGCCAGTAGAGGCGGTGGCGGCCTGCGTGGGGTCCACGTTCTCCGCGTCCACAACGGCGCGCCTGCTCGCACGCTCCTTCTGCTTCTTGCCCACGGAAAGCGGCTTCGTCGCCGCGTCTTGCACGGCCACGACAGGCGCGTTCACATCGCGGGTTTGGAGCAGGGAGAGGGGGCGCAAACCGCGGGGGGAGGAGGTGGTGTCGTTCTCCGGGTCCGACTTGCGCAGCTTGGCGGATTTCTTGGGTATAAGGGGACGTACAGCACGCTGTACGAGTGAGGGCTTCCTGGGACGTGTTGAGGTCGTGGTCGGGGCGTCGATGGGCATGGGCGCGTCGTCAGATCGGATATATACTATGCTGGAGCGGCGTCGTGAAGTGCGAGTCTCGTCCTTGACGTGCTGGGGGATGTTGGGCATCGGAGGCGCAGGGTCTTGCGAAACGCGGCGGCGTGACACGGCAGTGTTGTGAGGCGTGCTCTCTGCCTGGGGCGGGTCTAGTTCGAAAAGCGTAGCAGTAGAAGCAGCAGAGAGGGGGTCAGGGATAGAAATCAGAGATGAGCGCGCCGTGTGGGGCACTTCGGGACGGAGACCGAGCGATCGAATGCTCGCTTGACGGCTCAATTTGGTAGTCGGAGCACGTTGCTCGGCCTTGTCCGCAACGCGCATGTTCGGAATCGTGTTGGGGACGGTCTCGCCGCCGAATACGGTGGCACGTCGCCCAAGCTCGCTCTCAGGGGCAGCCGTCAGCATGCGCACTTTGTTCTCGATGTCGTGTGCGATCTCGGCACTCCAGCGCTGAAGGGAGTGCACTCCGTCCATGCCCAAACCGAGGCTAGAAAGGGGTCCTGTCAGCGATACATCCTCTGCTTCTTTGGTTCCGCGAACATACCTGGGCAGACTGTAGTGGCTCCTGTGCGAGCTCTTCCTGCTACGCGCCTCACGCGGACGACGCGCCGGCGTCGAGTGGAACTGCGGCGACGACCAATCGTTGCCGAACTCGTCGACACCTGGGCTAGCCTTCTTGACCATCTTCACCGTCCTTCGCGACATCGACTCGGGCGGCGTATACTTGCCCTGCTTGATCCGCATATCTTCGCCGACCTTCAGGCCGGGTACGAGAATGGGGAGAACGCCCGCGGTGAGTGCGTCGATCTCGTGCATGTCGTTGATGGGGCTGAAGTCGAAGCCGGATGAGAAGCTCTTCTTGTGTCCAAGCTGGGCGAGGCGCGCCGTACGCACGCTGGGCGGCGTCGGCGGCAGCGGGAAGGCCGGCGGGGGCGTCGGGCTCGGGTTTAGGCCCCTGAAGCTACCGCCGGTAGGCGTCTCCGGTCCATAGATGGAGGGCACGGAGCGATTGCGGAGGTGGCCCGCGCCCATAACCGACGTGCGCTTCTTCTGCGCGCCAGTCGCCTCCGCATCGACCATCGTCTCAGCGGAGGGGCGCTTCTCGGGCGACGCCTGGATCTCGATGGTCTTCGCGAGCGCGGAGTAGTGGCGCTGGGCAACCATGATGCGGGTGGTGTACTCCTGGTGCGCCGAGCTGCCAGACAGGCGCGAGCTGGCCTTCGAGTCCTTGCGGAGGCGGCCGAACTCGGCGGTGAGCGCAGAGGCGGGGCTACCACCAGACGAGAGCGTTGCAGCGTCGTCGGCGCGGAAGGGCGTCGGGGGCATGAGGTGGTCGGACTCCTTGACGGGCATGACGGATAGCTTGGGGCGCGGGAGCATCATCTCGACGGCGCGGCCGACCTTGTCCTTCCCATCGACCGCCTGCTTCTTCTCGATCCAGACATCGCCGCTGCGGCGACCCTCGACGACGGTGACCGACGCGCTGCAGGAGCGCTTGTACTCGTGCGAGAAGCGGTTCAGGAGCGTATTGCTCGACGAGCCGCCGACGCGGATGTTCGTGGGCAGGTTCGTAACGAAGAGATCAGCCGTCGGGATCGGAAGGCCCCAGCCGCAGAGGATCATGATCGTGAGCATGGGCGACGACAAAACAACGGAGAGGATCAAGAGCAGCGACATCGTCGACGACGGGTCCTGGCTCGGGCCCACGGAACAAAGCAAGGGGAGTGCAAGCGCCTACGCAATCACATCAGTCACACATCACTTTTTGCAGAACAAAGCACGCACAATGGGGAGCCACATAAGAACCATCCAGGCGACGACGCGAGCGGTGGAGATGGGCACCTCGCCGTGGTTGTGGCCAGCCTGGAGACCCTTCTCCGCGTCACCCGTGTACCCGTAGCCGCCGAGGACCTGTGCGTTCGAAAGAGCCGGCGTCGTCGGACGGGTCGGGACACTCGAGGGCAGCAGCTGAGCGTTCAGCTGCGGCGCACTTGCGGTGCTCGTGGCGCTGCTGGTAGAGCTGCCGGGAGCACGGCCACCGACCGTGGTCGGGAAGGACCAGGCGGACATGGTGATGTGCGAGCCGTTCGTCGAGGTGAGCCACGACGTCTGCGAGCCGAGCGGGTTAATCGGGTGGTCAGGGATGTCGGGGAGCGGGCTGGGGCAAGTGCGGCGGAAGGGGTCCTCGTCCCGAAGGTCGGACGCCGAGGGGGAGATGGGACCATAGTGCACCGGCAGGGGCGGGACGGGGGGCACCTCGAGGTCGCCGCTGGGGTTGCCGAACCAGAAGGAGTTCTTCGCCGGGACGGACGGGTAGTTGCCGTTCTGGGGGCGGCCCCCGTGGTGCTCCTGGTGCGACGTGTGGTGCGTGCTGAAGCTCCAGGCGGAGATGGAGCCGCGACGGGAGCCCGCGGTGCTGGTGATCCACGATGCGCCGTCGCGGAGGGCATCGACCTCGTCAGTCGTGAACGACGGACGAGGCTTGTCCTCCTCGACGCGGCGGACCGGGGGCCAGTTGTCCTCCTCCTCGGGGACCGCGTTCAGGTTGCGCTGAATCTTGAACAGGGTGACGGCGAGGCTGATGAACAGCGTCGAGCCGAGGAGCGCAACGGCCGAGGTGTAGCCCGCGAGACCCGTGAAGAGGGTGTTCACGCCTGCGCCCGCCAGGACGCCAGCGACAGCCGAGGAAGTGATGGTCAGGATGGCCACAGGCGCAAGGATAAGCCAGTGGCTCCTCCCGAGCGACGTCGACTGTCCGCGGCGAACGTGAAGGAGGGTAAGTCCGAGGATGGCAAGGAGGCACCCCTGGCGGACGGTCATGGCAAGCCAGATGCGAACCGATGAGCCTGCGTCTTGGGCCATTGCGAACCCAGTGGCGCTGCCCATCGACTGCATAAGGACCTCCCACACGAGCATCGCAAGAGCGGCAATGTCAAGGGTTGCAAGCCATAGGTGAGCCTTGTCCGCGGTAGTGAGCTCCTTGAAGTTGGGGAGGCCAAACTCGGCCTGTGGGGTGTAGGTGGTTAGCAAATCCTGCCTCTTGGCAACGAACAGGCTACGCACCGGTGCGACACGGCGGCTGAACGGCGACGGAGGGAGGACGGGTAGAACAATACGAAGAATTACGAAGGCGGACGCCAGGAAGGAAAGGAGGGCGAGCACCAGGGTAAGTACGAGGGGAAACATGTCCGGAACGTTACTGTTCGAGTTCGTACGGGTCTTGAATGAGCGTCGGGTGCGTGAAGGCGTAGGGGAGGCGTCTGGCGTGCGCGCGGGGACCGTAGGACTGGCCGCGAACGGAGGACCGGGGGAACGAACGAAAAAGAAAAAGGTGCGGTGACCGTAATGACCTAATGCTCGCGCTCTCTCTGTTTGGTCTCTGTTCGAAAGAACCGCGCCAAACAACCGCGCACGCGTACTGCTAGAACTTGAACGATCACGTGAACGCGCTGTTCGGCCAAAGATGTCACGTGAACCTATGTTCGACTTTGCGGTCGTCACGGAAGTCCGCGGTTGCCATCTTCTGGCTCAAATCCGCCATTAAATGTGTTCTCGATGTGCCATCTGAGGATATAGCCGACTTCAAAGTGTTAGGCCTGCTTTCTTTGCGTTGTTCGAAGGGCCTGGCAAGTTGTTTTGTGGCACAGGGTCTCATCACATCACAGGGAAGTAACATTGCAAGTGTACTACCGATGCCGGAACCGATGCAGGCATGGGAAGCCCTGACTATCCTTTCAATGTGCTGCAAGCTCTGGACTGAGGCGAAACAGTCCGAGCTATCACGCAGCTAACCTTCAGCACCACCGACCAGGCGAGGCGGAAGCGATGATAAACGCCGCAAGCTCGCACCATCCATCGATTACCCAAGGCCGTCTAACAGTATCAGGCCCCCACCACGTATCTACGCGCGGGAGCCCGACACGTTCACCCAACGTTCCGCACACGAGGCGCACCGGGTAATAAGGCCCAGGCGACATGACACTCGCTAAGTAAACCCCATGTTCCCCTTCCTCCACCTCACAAAACGCGGTGACCCCGCGCGCCAACGCAGAACGTGGCACCCGAAAGCAGGTCGCCGGAAAGTCAAGCGCTTTTTCAAGTCGAGGCGGAAGCTCGCTGGGTCGCGCGACAAGACAATCGATGCTACGGCAGAATATGGAAGGGGCCGCAAAAGGACGCGCTCGTCGGTGTCGAGCTGGAATAGCCGGCGAAGCATTAGCAGCGGAAGCCTAAGCAGCGTGTCGTCGGTGACGACGTACACTTCGGAGAGCTCGGTGTCGTACGAGCCGACCTGCCCGCAGTGCCAGCCGCTCGCGGTGCTCGTCCCGCCCGGGCAGAGCTGCATCGTCCGCACGCGCGACGGCGATGTGCATGTCCATGCCCCTGCGCCTGTGGCTTGGTACGACACGACCTCGTCAGCGTCGATTACCACTATGGACACCGACTCGTCCTTGTCTACGATCTCCACGATGTCGTCGCGCCAACCACCGGCACCGCCGAATCATCGCTGGCCGATCCTGCGTAGTCGACCCCTGCGTGGGTTCTGGGGACATCCAGAAGGCGTGCATCCGAGGACGGACCAGAGTGTGCCACCCTTGATAGCAAGACCCGGAGAGACGCAGTGGAGGAGCTCGGAGACCGCGTCCGGTACACGCGTCGGCGGAGGGAGCCCAAAAGTAGGAGAGTACGAGAGCAGGGATGCAGCCAGTCCTGACAGTGGGGACACCATCTCTCCGGTGTCTGTGGGAATCGAGCATAATTGGGACCGATGATTCGAAGACGGCGTCAGGAGGGATTGGTGATGAAGAAGCTGTCGCCACAGGATGGATCTGCGTAGATAGCAGCTGTCGATGTACTTCCTCATCTTCATCTACACCTCAAAGAACAGCTACGCATAGCCATACAGCACTCCCCGAAGCCCTTTCACCTTCCACTTCACACAAAGCACCGACTCCAATCAAAGAGGCGCCGGCTCGCGGTTACGGTAAAGATAAAGGGGAAGTTTGTTGCTGTTTGTTTACCGCCCACGACTCTCTTGTCTCCGACGACCTTGTGTCCGGCCCGCATCCCAGTCCCCCGCGCCACCCCTCCCGCACCTCCACGCCTTTCATACGTGCCGCGCACCGATACAGAAGATATGGGCAAATGGTGGGCACGCCCGCTTTCGTGTGCGCTGTAAGCATGCAAACTTACTGTGTGGCGCAGGACGCCCGAGTACTACGACGACGTGCTCCACGCCAAAATGAGAAGCATGATGTGCGTTTTGTTGAGTGCTACTAAGGGCGAATGGTCAATGCTGATGATGGTGCCCGACTGCTGCAGTACCGCCGCTATCATGCGCGCCAAGCAGGACAAGAGCGAGCCGTCGATCTCGTATGAGCGCTTTGTCGAGCAGCTCGACTCGGGCGACTCTTTCACCGCGTCGATCATGGACGTGCTGGTCAAGGTGTGCTGCACGCTGCTTTGTGGAGGGACCGATCTCACGCACACGCCCAGGAAGTCGCTGACCGCAGCTCCCGCCCGAACCAGCGTGACCGCCGGCTGATCGCCTCCAACACCGCGCAGACGCTTACGAAGCTGGCGAGCCCCCTCCGCGTGTACCGCCCGCGCACGACCGCGAGCCGCCGCTCTAGCAACCTCGCAAGCTACCTCACGCGCGCGGCGCAGGACGAGTACGACGAGCCGGACGTGGACGAGTTCGAGAGCACGGTGGATAGCGTGGCGGCGCAGGAGAGCGCGCGATTCAGTTCGGGGGCCTTGTACGACAACGCCGCCCCGTGGACGCGTCGATGGCATTCGCCGGATGAGGAGACTCCCATTGTGCCGAACGCGCTGGATGATGTGAGCGAGGTCCCGCGGACGCGTCTGCCTGGTAGTTGGCGCCCCGCCCGCTCCTCCCTCACCTCTTCGCTCAGCCGCCATCCGTCCCTTCATCGTGCGCCTCGCGTTCGTACTGCCGACTTCAGCGACTTCACCTCGCGCAGGCGCAACTCGCTGCGGGAAACACTAGGGGTTCCCCGGGAAGGCTCCGCCGAACCCGGCAACGCAGAGGGCAGCAGTGGTACCAGCACTCTCCCGCCTTTGCCGCCCTTCCCGCCGCGCGAAAACGCGACAGCCGACCGGCACCTCACGCGTCGCTTCTTCCCCTTCAGCCGCTCCCTCCCCCTGGACTCGTCGGCCTCGGAGCCCTCCCCTCCCTGGTCCAACGAGGTGCCAGAACCGGTCATACCCTTACCGCCTCCGAGACGCTGGCGCCCGGCTTACCCCCTGTCGGCCTCCCCTTCGCCTCCCCGCTCGCCGCCGCGGCAGCGGCGTCGCCCCGAACGCGACGGAGAAGCGCTGGGTCCGTACGTGCCCCCATTGCGCCGCGGAGGACTGGGTGCGCCAGAGGTCCTGGATATCTCGGTCGATGCGGACATGCCCTGGGCGCCGGGTACATTCGGTCGCATGATATCTCAAAACTCGCCAGAGCCGCCGACGATGGCGCCTGTGAGCATGGACCCGGAGTTTTTCAACGAGGTGTTGGCCGGGCCGAGCGCGATGGCGGACGGGGCAGATGGGTCAAGCGCAATGCGAGATGGGCCAGCGGCGTACCCGACGCCTCCCGTTATGCCTGAAAACGAGATAGATTGAACGCTCTTGCTCAGTCGCTGTCGACCTCGTTATGAAAACGAGAGGGTCACGTATCTAGTGTAATTTTAGTAATGTATTCCGGCCTTGGTTGCAGAACGAGTAGACGTGTGAGGTGTGAGGCTTAATTCAAGCCAAAGGATGCATTCGCCTGCGAGAGGCGTGCTTGAGACGCCCGCTTGCTGATTCGATAACTGCAGAAACACATGGAAGTACGACGATCACCTGATAAGATAAACGTACAGCCACCGCATCAATTCATCTTGTCACCGACGTTCATCAACAAGCAGCCATGAGCCTCTTCAAGAAACGTGCAAAGGCCCCCACTGTCCGCGTTCGCGAGATCTCTTCTGAGATACAGGACGAGGTGCCTCAGGAGAACGGGGCGGAGGAGCAGCAGGAGGGAGACGAGAAGCTTTCGTGAGTGAAAACCGCCTCTTAACCTAGAACGTTCTTTCAAGCAAGGCAGATTGGCAGACCTCATTGAGCTGCGCAAGTTGCGCAAGCACCAGGAGGGCATAGATGCGCAGAAGCTATCGAGAGGGGACAGGAAAAAGCGCAAACGTACGGCCCCGGAGGAGCAGGGCGGTCTGCGCAAGGGCGCAGTCATTGATCCCCTCGAGGATGAGGAGTGCGTGGTACATCCTTCTTTTGCGACCCCGAGATCTCACACATCCCAAGAACAGAAGAGGGCAAGACGGCGAAGGCGCGCCGCGTCGTGCGCAATAACAACTTCACGCAGCAGACGAACGCGCTCGATGTCGACAAGCACATGTGCGTTTTTCGCGCTCCCTCGTGTGTAGTAGAACACGTTGTCTGACCGGTGCAGGATTGCGTACATCGAGCAGAACCTGAAGGTCCGCAGCCGGCCGCTCGACGACGAGGACGAGAAGAAGCAGGAGCCACTGGACCCGCAGGAGGCGCTGTACCACCTCTCCGACAAGTGGAATCTGAACAAGCAGACGCACCCAGAAGACGGCAGCGTTACCAATAGCATGACCATGCTTACCGCCATCCCCGAGGTCGATCTCGGCATGGAGTGCGTTCTCTTTCCTCCCTATGTTTCTACGACCTTCCCCGTACTCACCGGCCCCACAGCGCCCGCCTGAAGAACATCGAGGAGACCGAGAAGGCGAAGCGGCTGATTGCGGAGGAAAAGCAGGGCCGGAAGCTGACGGACGAGGAAGCGCATCTTGTGGCCACGCGCTGTGCGTCGTTCTGTTGTGTTGGGCATGGGTATTTGCTGACGGTGGCTAGTCTATAGACCGCACCTTAAGACCAAGTCCGACGCGGACATCATGCGTGACGCGAAGCTGGCGGCCATGGGCATGCAGCCCAAAGACCAGAGCCAGCGATGGTCGAATCACGACCGGCCGCAGATGGCTACGGACGAGATTGTGAGTGCTGTTCAACCTCTTTCGTCTCCGTCTGCTAACGCAGTGCAGGTCATGGAGCGCTTTAAGAAGCGCATGCGCAAGTAGCGTCCTCATACACGGAACAGACACGTACAATCGTTGTGCTCGCAGCAGCTTATCTTGTAGATCTAACCACGCATGTTGTATCACTAATAGACGATGCACTGTTCGTACATTTTCAAAGTCTTGGATTGGTACACAAAGCGACGGGTATGGTTCAAGAAGGCGTAAGGAGGCATAAGCAGTACATGCCATAGATCAGTGAGAGATCAGTAAAGATCGGGTGAGCTGTCAAGAGTCGACGAGGTAAATCGCTCAGCAGTCGGTGTCCTTGTCGGCGAGCACAAGCTCCTTCAGGACGCCAAAGTTGGGAGTACCGAGGCCAGTCACTGGAGGAAGGGGTCAGCTCGTATCACAGATATGGGCTCTAGCATTCAACGAACCTGCATCCCAGCCCTTGGTGGCCTACAGTTACGCATTGTTAGCACAGTCCGTTTGACGCCTTCAACTTGCACTCACGTTGAACCCAATCGTCCCACAACCCGTGCTGTTGCCAACAGTGATGTCGTTGAAGCCAGCGGCGCCCTTTGAGTAGAAGAAGGGGTTGAGGAAACCGAGCGGGGGCAGGCCAGCGCTCAACCGGGCGTCATTCAGGAGGGCGACGATGCCGGCGAAGGCGGGCGAGGAGGCAGAGGTGCCGCCAATGAGGACAGGTTCGCCGCCCCAGAAGACGCGGAAGCTATGAGGAATGGGCGTGAGAGGCGTGTTCAAGGGTAAGGTAGAAAGAGGTCGCACCGGTCACCGAAGGCAGAGACGTCGGGGAAGGCACGGCCGTGGCTAGGCAGGTAAGCTTGAGTGTGACGAGGTGTGAAGCTGAGCGCACCGGTTAAACAATCCATCGTACGTGCCGTTGGGCAGGTCTGCAAGGTATGCCTTGACAGTGTCGTGCTGGTAAGCAGGGCGCTTGAACTGGGAGGGAATGAGGTCTGATTTCACGACGGGAAGAAAAGCAGTAGACTCACGTATTCGCTAAAGCCAGCACCGGAGAAGAAGCGAGAAACTGCGACTTCCTCGTTGTCCTTGGTGAGGGTAGTACCGCCGACAGCGGTCACACTGCAAGGCATGAGCATCGCGTAGGTTCGTGAGGCAGGCAAAACGCACTAAGGGCAGCTAGCAGGGAAACCAGGAAGGAATTTCGTCGTGTTCTTGCCGTCGTTGCTGATGCACTGAGATTGAGCGGGGTCGTATTCGCCATCGCCAACGCCTCCGTCGCCGGAGCTAAACAGGAGGGATACACCGCGAGCGCCTATAAAGGAGCTCGATGAGTACCCCGACTAGACAGAGCGGGTGGACGCCTTACCAAGCTGAGCGAAACCACGGCAGACACGTCTGGCAAAGGGTTCCGGGACAGTTTGTTCGTCGTCACCGTAGCTGGTGCTGATGACCAGGGGTATATCGTCCTGTGAGAGGACGAAGTCCAGCCATTCAGTGTACGGCTAAATGGACATGGGTGAGCAGTGCAGGTTGGATACGTTGATAACGTTGTTACCTCGTTCGTATTCGTCGGGGTGCCAAGGTCGGGTTTGAAGGGTGGCTTGCCTGCAGTGGACCAGAACGTTTTCTTGAGAAGGTGTCAGCATCAAGGTGTTGGTAAGTAAGGGAGCAACCAACGTTCTGGATGGGATGGCTGATGCCAAACGCGAACTGGACGTCAAGGTCTGCCTCGCCTCCAGCAGCATCAGACGACTGGTTGTTCTTCCCACCTGACAGACGAATCCGGTCAGATTGAGGCGCAATGTGAAACTCGGCTGAGTTACCCATTACACGTACCATTGACGGAAATGTAGTCGAACGAGGAGTTAAGCGCCTCAGGTAGCTGATCCGCGTAGAACAGCTGCAGGTCGTCGTAGTTCGCGAACTCCTCGAGGTACCCGGTGATGCCAATCGAGTTGTTCAGCGTGGGGTCCGCCTCGTAGTCCGTGGCGTTGTAGTACTGCTTGATGCAGTCGACGGTGATGGTCGCCGTGCAGTTCGTGGCGGCGGCGGCGAGGAGAGTGTTGCCCTCGGCGTCCCTGGTGAACGCCATTTCGTCATCGGGAAGCACGATGGTGGACCGGAAGGCTTTGAGGCTGCCGAATACGGTCGTGGGCTGGACGAGCTCGATGTGCTCGTGGAGGTGCGCGGGAAGGCTGTAGCTCGTCGTGCGCACAATGTACTCGTTCTCGTATACATGCTTGTAGACGTGGTATTTCTGTTCATCCGTTAGTACTGCTGGAAGTATGGACGACAAACTAGACTCACCGTGTCGAGCATCTCCTCCGCGAGTTGTACGGGCACGCGGATAGTCACCCAGTCACCAGCTGGCGAGCGCTCGAGGTGCTCCTCCTGAAGCCCGTGGGTGGCAAGCCATTCAGTCACCGCGCTGACGCTGTCTTCCTCGGGCGCGACAAGCGTCTCAACTTCCTCCTTGGAGAGGTGCAGGCCGTAGCTCTCGTGGTATGGGTCGCTGACATCGTACAGCAGCTTCTCCAAGATATCAAAGTTAGGCTGAGGAAGCGCGATGCGAAGCTTGATGATATGGTCCGGCGAAGGCGACGAGTGCTTCACCCAGACTGGCGGGGGCTGCACAGTCTCCTTGACCGCGAAATCCCTGTCCAGGATCGCCGCCGTGGACTTGGCAGAGACAGCGATAGCCGCCGCGACGAGGACGAGGGCGAAGGCGCGCATGACGGGAGGAGGGAAAGGGGAAGCGAAGTAAGACCGTAACTCGAGAAGCGCATCATGAGTGCTGCAAAATATAGATAGAGGACCGCGCGGGAAGGTACGGAGTTCGTAAGCATCGGTGGGGAAGGAACATGTTTTGCTGATTCCAGGTCTATTTGGGCCGCAGGGCCATGCGGGCGTGATGCTTGCAAAATGAGGAGGAAGTCGTCATGTTCGGCGACATTGATTAAGAGCGCATGGCGACGGGAAGAACAAAGCCTGCCGGATTCGGCAAACCAGTCTAAGGTGCTGAGCTGTACCGTGTACGATAACCACGCGAAGGGCTGATCAGGTGCTCAACCATTGGCCAATGGGGGTGCGCAACACAGCGAAAAGCACAAAGGACATGCGCAATAATTGGTGCATTATGATGTAGGTGAGTACAGCAGGACTAGTAGACATGAGGGTGCGATGCAAGAAGGATGTTATACAGAGGGGAACTTACATCTTGGATTGCGAGATGAGAGATAAGGACGAGCAGCATATAAAGGTCCGTTTCATTTTAGTGGTTGCCGTTAACCTTGGGCATCGGGGGCACAGGAGGTACTTCGCGCTCTTCCTCTCCTTCGGCCTCATCGTCATCCTCTTCTGCCATGAGCTTCGCGGCCATCTTCATAGACGTCAGTAAAGCGTGCCACCAGCAAGGCAGACTGCGCACCTTCATGGCTACCGCCTCGTTGGAGTAATGCCTCCCTCGCGCCTTCACAAACTCAGCGTGCTTCGCAGCAGCTACATCGATTGCCATCAGCCACAGAACTTCCAAACGTAGACGTAGCGACGTACTCTCTTCATCCATTTCTTCCTCCTCTGATTCAGCCTCCGGGGTTTCCCCACCGAGCCGCGCACGAATCTCGCCCCTCGCCTCCGACGGCAGGTTGAAGCTCGTGCTCCTGCTGGAGCTGCGGCTGGTCGAGCGCGCACCGCTACGCCCCGGGCTCGAACCTATCGATGCTCGCCGCGACGACCCATGCTCAGAGGGCGGAGGTGACGTGGAAACGGCGCGGTCCGTCACGGGCACCTCGTCAGGGTACGTCGCGGTGGCCTTGGGCACGATGAAGTGACCATTGAGATCGAGCGCAGGGATGTCTTATCGCAAGTGTTAGCTGCGGCACCCGATGTGATGAGCAGAATCGCGCACCTCCTTCGAATGTGTCCGTCTCGGCATTGTAGCGCACGTATGGCGTCTTGGGCTCCGTGATCTTCATGAGACTGTCCTTCTGGATCTCCGTGAGCGCGATGTTCTCCTCATCCCACTGTAGTGAGCTGCGGATCGCGCGTCAGATCGTGCTAGCAAGTAAGAAAGGGTTGCACGCACTGGCCGGGGCCCTGCTGTCCTGGCGCGTTCTTCAGGATGCCCTTGGGCTTTGGGCCCGTAGAATGGCTGCGAGCAGGATGGTGCGGAGAGTGCTCCGGGCTGGGTGATGTCTGCATCGTTGCGTCCGCAGCGGCCATGATGAAGTCAAGAGAAGTAGGTGCAGAAGCTGCCTAGCCGTGCAACAGGTGGCAAATGTGGAGTAGCACTTGAGTGTAGGAGGGAGGGGGCGGCAGACGCCGAGACTCTTTCTCGAACAATGCCCTTCACGTGATACGTCATCGCCCAGCCAGCAAAGATGCCACACCAGGGTCCACAAACCGCGGGATATGTCCGCAGGATATGCTGTTCTATCGATACAAAAGTCAAGGTCACAAATATCTCTATTTACTCCTCCTACAGCCCCATCAGCGCACCCGTCAGACGCTCCGCAATGCTGTCGGGCTCCTGCCGCGCCATCTCTATCATGCTCAGCAGCTTCTTAATCCCAATCTGCAGCCGCGACGACTCCTGGTCGTGCCCGAAGCCCGCATTCTCGAGCATACGCATCGCCGAGCGCCGCGCCTCGCTCGAGGGAAAGAGCTCGACCTCCTTGAGCACACGCTCGAGCGCCGAGAGCGTTGAGATGGGGGCGATGCGCAACTCAGAGTCGAAGACTTCGGAAAGGCCAAGGTCGGTGAGGATTGGGCGGACAGATGTGGTGGCGATGACAAGAAGGCGACGGCCCTTGGGCGGTCGCCTGCCCAGCAACACAAGCAGCGCCTGCAGTACAGAGTTGGAGAAGCGTGCTCCCATCGGCGTCCAATCTAAGAACGCACATTAGACGTACTCGAAGCTTAGCGTCGAATATGGCACCCACCAATCAAGCGCTCGATGTTGTCGACGACAACGACGCTCAGTGGACTCTTGTAGCTATCCGCGAAGACCTTGTTGATCGCAGACACCTTTTGGCTTTCTGAGAAGCCAACCATGTTGTCCGGCGAGATGAGCTTGATGAAGGGGAATTGCGATGCTTGTGCGATGCTCGCGCCCAATGCAGTCTTTCCGGCGCCTGGTGGGCCGTGCAGCAAGATGCTGACAAGTGGTGTCCGGGAGGAGGTCCGGACTTGTTCCACGAAGAGCTGACCGGCGTGCAGCATTTCCTGTCAATCTCATTAGCTTGCATCGCATGCACAAGGATTGAACATCCACTCACATCGACTGAGGTATCGTAATGGATGATCCCATTCTGGATAACCTGCGCCAACTCCTCCTCACTGACACCGAACGCCGGGTGCACCTCCTCCAGCGCATTCATGAAGTCGCCCCGGTTCACGCGCAAGTTCTCCACATCGTCTGAAATGCCCGCCACCGTGCCCACCTTCACGTGCCGGTTGAACGCGAAGGACGTCGCGCTCTTGATGAGACCGCCAATCTCGGCACCGCTGAAGTTCTTCGTGAGCGCGGCGAGCTCCTCGAGGTTCACATCGTCATCCATGACGCCGTTATGGCGCATCTTGGAGGTATGGATGTTGAGGATTTGCAGGCGGCCGTGTTCGTCGGGGAGTGAGATTTCCATGTGGACCTCGAGACGGCCGGGACGGAGGAGGGCCTCGTCGATCATGTCCTTGCGGTTGGTCATACCGATGATGAGGATGTTGTTGAGCTGGTCTACACCGTCCATCTGCGAATACAATCAGTACCATCTACCAATGGTCAGTGATTAAAGACTGACCTTCGAGAGAAGCTGGTTGACCACGGTGTCGCCGACACCGGTACCGTTGTTTGTCGAGCCACGCTGCTTGAAGATAGCGTCCAGCTCATCGAAGATAATGATGTGCAGGCCACTCTCGTCGCCCTTCTCCTTATACTAGTGACGACATGAGCCAACGCACCTTAAGCTTGGATAGTGGTTCTTACCTCCTTCTCCGCCTCCGCGAAGAGCTTCCGGATGTTCTCCTCAGAGGCACCAACGAACTTGCTCAGAATTTCGGGACCATTGACGATCTTGGGTTCCCTAGCATTCAGCATCTTGCCGATTTGGCGGGCAATGAGCGTCTTTCCGGTACCCGGAGGTCCGTGGAGGAGGAGACCCTTGACGTGCTGGATGCCGAGCTTGTCTACCAATCCAGGAGGGAACACACGGGAGGCGAAAGCACGACGGAAGATCTCGCTGAACTCGGTGTCCAAACCACCGATACCCATATCCTCGAACTTGAAGTTGGGCGCAAGGATGGCGTTGGGCGGTGCTCTATACTTTCAATCAGCGACATTTTGGCAGCAGAGATTATGACTTACTTCTTCGCGCTCGACTTGATCTTTATGGCACTGTCAGCCGCCTTCACGAGCGTGATGTCCGTCTTCTCCATGACAATGCCGACACCGTGCATTCCACCACGTCCGCCGCCGCCCCGCTTCTGCTCATCCGCGAGATCGAGCGTGCTGAGTCCGCGAATTGTCCCCTTGAGGTTCTGGCCGTGATACTCGAACACGATGATTTCGCCTTCGCTCATGATGATGCCGCTGAATGCGCGGATGAAGTGCTTCGCCATATCGTCTGCAGAGAAGACTTCCGCAATCTCGTGTCCACGACGAAGGAAGCCAATTTCAATGTCAAGGGACTGAAGGTATGACGGCGAGGATGGATGAGGCGGAGCAGGGAGGGGCTGCACGGGGACGCTGTCGCCCGCAAGCGAGAGACCGATCCATTGGCGCTGCATGGCGGACGCGCCGATACAGCCTGGGGGAAGCTTGCCCGTGTCGTCATGCCTGGGGATCGTCAGAACGATGGCCGCTAATGCGTATGCGCGCGTACATACTTCACGGTAAGTGCGTACGCGTCCTTTACGAGGACATGCGTTCCGCGCGGGAAGTCAGATGGGTGTACGATGAGGCAGTTGGAGAGCGCGAGGGCATCGCTGGGGCAGCCCTGCACTTGGAAGCTGTGTGCGTGTCAGTTGCTAAGTGTGCGTGAAGTGCTAGGCGATGCGACACGCACTATCCGCCTCCTGACGACCGTGGTGGGGGCATGGGGGAAGCTCCTCGGCGGTCTACGCTTCGCTTCTCGAAGAGATCCTGCGATGGATCGTTGTACTGGGGCCCCGGATTGCGCGGGAGGGACTGGTAAGAGCCTGAGTGCGGCCCGCGACCGTATCCTGAGGGCGGGGGAGGTGTGTTGGATGCGCCGCCACGGAAGAAGCTCATGGGTGTCGTAAGCAAGAAAAGTAGAGAGATTGAGTACGCGGTCTGGAGCAAGAGAGGGTAATGCGGATTGACTGGCACTCGTCACTGAACAATGCCACCGCCTCCGGCCCGGATAACCGCCACCTTTACTCCTCCTTCCATGTCGACTGAACCTGAAGAGTATCCCGAGGGATATGACGAGTCCTCGCCGGGCGGCGGGTTCTTCGAGGACTACCCAGATGTAGACCGCCATTCATGTCAGCTCTTGGGCCCCACGGCGCTGGTGCGTATCCGCAGCTAGGCGTGTACATAGCCGCTCATGGTGGAGTAGGTCGTCCAAGCCCTCATGGGCGTGCTGGTCATCGCGTCGCTGTTGTATAAACGGTATAGGGAAAAGCCTCGTCGACCGTGGCGTATATGGTGCGCGTTGCATATCTCCCTTCGCCAAAAGCTCACCTTTCGTAGGCTGTTCGACGTCTCCAAGCAGGTCGTCGGTCAAATGTTCGTCCACGGCGTGAACGTCCTCATCTCTGGCGTCGTTTCCCATCATACTTCCAACAACGCATGTGTATCATACTTCCTCAACATCCTCATTGACACCACACTCGGTACGCTCCCTCCTCGCTTATCACGCGCGTGTCCTCAAGCCTCCTAGGTGTCGGCTTGCTATACCTCATCTTGCAACTCCTCGACGAGCTCTTGACGAACAAACTGCTTCTGAAAGGCTTCAAGTCTGGTATCTATGGCACACCACCCTCCGTCAGCTACTGGGCCCGCCAGTCGGCCATATACGTCCTCGCCCTCACGACCATGAAGTTGCTCGTGGTCGGCCTACTTGTACTCTTCCCTGGTATCTTCAACATCGGGGAATGGCTACTCAGTTGGACCTGGTCCGACGATGGAGATGGCTTCCAGGTCGTCTTGTGGGTGATCGGCGGTACTTCGCGTGCAAAGTGCTCAAATGCTCCCCTAGCACCATGGGCCTGTTCCCCATCATCATGAACATCTTGCAGTTCTGGCTCATCGACTCCATCGTCAAGGCGTCCGAACACGGCGTGCCAGCGCACGATGAACACCAAGACGAACATGATCCGCTCGACCGAGAGCCCCTCTTCCAGGCACCGTCCGACGACGAAGACGACGGTTTGGACCGGCCTCGCCACGACATCGAGAATCCTCGCATACACTCCCGATCACCAGTTCGGAGGTCGCGCTCTATACACAAGGACGACGCTGTCGCCAGCATCCGAAGTGCCTCCATTGGCGATACCAAAGGGACGCACTCCGATGATATCGAGCTGCAAGACGAACCGCACTCGTATCCGCCCAGTTTAACGAGCAGCCTCGCCTCATCAGCAGGGTCCACCACCGGGAGCGTGACGCCCAAGCCCGGCTCCACGAAGCTGAACAAGCCGAGAAAGAAAGAGGCACCAGCTGCCCTTGACATCACCCGTAGCCTACCACCTTCGAGGAAGGCTACGCAGGACGATGAGACAGGGAACCAGGGCAATGATAGCTGGGCAAACTGGGACGATGGGGATGACTGGGCTGAACGGGTAGGCGAGGAGGAATGGACCGGCCGGCGAATATCCAACAAGAAGGACGAGTTGGGTAGTGTATGGGCGAACCCCAGCCCCGCGCTTCTGAGTGCTCGGAAGATGGATTAGGTACAATACGGACACAATGTAGTCTCTAGCCTCTACTCGTACATACACCCTCTCCTTATTTTCTCTATACATACCCTGTAGACCCGGCGAACACGATTTGAACGGCCAGCCCGCTTTGGGTGACGACGCGCGGGGCCGTAATGAGGCACACGTGGACAACGCGCCTTGATCGTCAGCCACCTTCACAAAATCTTTGCCGCCGTCATCGCAGAGAGCGCCCACGATGGACGTCGATCCCCCAAAAGCAAACGGCGGCACGCTCTCGCTGGACAACATTCTCGGCGAGGATCATGAGATGCTTGAGCACCCCGGGCTGAACGGCGCCCCGGCCGGCGGTTGGGATGAGGAGGCTACCGAGCACCCGGTTGCGGAGGGCTTCTGCATAGAGTGCGAGGGTGCGTGATGGTTTTGTAGTGGTTGTAGCGACGTTGACAGCGCGTTACGCAGACCAGCCAGCTCAAGTCCACTGCGAATCATGCGGGGACGTATACTGCGACGTGTGCTTCGCTGCCCAACACCGCAAGGGCTCGCGCAAGCGGCACGCTACACGCCCGCTCAGCCAGCAGACGGAGAAGAAAGCAAAGAACGAGACCGATGCGGTGCCGTCAGGCGCCGCCACCGAAGCGGTGAGCACGCGGCGCTTGCCGCGCTGGCCAAGGCAAGGCTGACCCTCATGATCGCAGAAGAACGAGGAAGACTCAGACGATGAGGACTGGGTGGACGCGTCTGCGGTACCCTCGGGGGAGCCGCTTGGTGCGGCACCAGCGGTCGGGGAAAGCGTCGGGGAGTGGTTCGTGGAGCGGGCGAAGTACATTCCCCTGCGCCTCACCTTGGGCGAACGGAAGTTCTTGCGGCTGCTTGAAGCCGCATTGAATGTATCTGAGTACACGGATAAGGTGCGTACGCGAAGTATATGCTCTTGTCTTCGGTGCTAACGCGCGCCCAGATCGACACCATCGGGTTCGGGCTGTCAAAGGCGAAGCGTATAGTGCAGCAAATTCGCGAGCTCTGCGCAATCATGTCCGGCTTGCTCCTCGCTGCCGACTACAAGCAGGGGCAGGAGCTCTTCTCCGATCGTGACTTCGACAAGAATGCCGAGTTCTACCAGCGCGTCTTCGAGCTGGGGAGAAGACACAAGATCATGAACCCGGACAAGATGCGGACGACGTACGGGAAGCTCATTTACCTATTGCAGGTGCGGTCCAAGTCATGCCGATAGACATTGTACTCATGGTTGATGATAGGACAGCCAAACGCCTGAAGTTAAGGACATCCTTGGCTTTTCTTGCGTCTCGCCGATCAAAACCGTGTACACTGTACTCGAAGAAGCCGAAGCTATCGACCTACTTCGCGAGGATATGATCACCGTCGCCACAAAGGAGATCTACTCAGAAGGCCGCGCCCGCCGAGACATCCAGAAGGACATCAAGGCGAAGGAGCGCGCCATTGAGCACCTCTCGTCGCGTTACTCCCGCCCAGGTCTATCACAGGAGCAGATAAGGCAATGTTTGTACTCCATCGGCGACAACCACGCTTTCCTGCGTGCCAACCGCGACCCATGTGAGAAGATGATTGGCTACTTGAAGCAGTTCTTCCACCCTACACAAGCGAAGGAGTCGAAGACAAGTCTTGCTATCCGCAGTGGTAAGGGTGGCGCTCGTCTTTCGCATGATCACTCCAAGCAGTACGCCTACGTACTGCAAAGCTTGACTCTTTGGCGGGAGATCCTGCATGGTAAGCTCGTCTCAATGGGCAGTAACAACTCAGCTAACGATTGCGCCTGTAGACATGTTCCGCTTGTGGTCACTCGCCGAGCAGGACCTGCTCTCCGACAAGGTGCCCTACCGGTTGCGCGACACCGGCCAGGGCCTCAACCGCGTGCAACCCGCGCCCAAAACTTCGCGCATGATGCACTCCATCCTGCACAAAGCCCAGTCCTCCGTCGGCTCCTGGGTCGGTTCGAGCGTCATCCACATGGGCGACCACAACGTACCGAACGCGCTCCTCTTTATCGACAAGTACACGCAGATCTACCGCATCCTGCTCCCCATCTGCAACACGCTGCAGCAGATTCCGGGGTTGGCGAAGGGTAGCCCGGCGATCGCGTCGTACATCGAGGATGAGTTCGGCTCAGTGGAGGGCGCACAGCGCGAGATTCTGAGCGATTTCTTCCGCCATGGGTTCGATGGGTCGGGCGCAGATAACTTCTTTGATGCGGGTAGCTGCATTGACGGTCGCCTGACGAGCGCCTGGAACTGGTGCTCGTCATTGGAGAAGAAGCGTTTCTTCCATCTGTTCCTCTTGACAGGTATGTGGTCCTACATTATGTTCTGCTTCGATGACTTACATCTATGTAGGATTCGTGGGCTTTGACGGTGATTGGTAACAACTGTAGACATGTCCTTGGTGGTTTTGTAGATGCTTTCGTTGGTTTGCTATCCAGACGATGTCGACTGTTCACAGCCGCAGACGCGGACTTGCCTTTCATCAATCAGCTTCCTGTGCGGGCATCTAGTTGTCGCCACAAAACTTGGTTATCTCATTCAGAGGCCCACCTCCGAGCTGTCAGTGTCATCCATTGACTGCGCCACCACCGTCATATATCTGCAGTGTGGTGCATCGGAGCTGCGGGGTACAGTATCGTCCAGCACATCCACTGCCTCCTTCTTAATCAGGCGGATGTGCTACCCACAGTACGCACTGCATTCTGCCTCGCCTTTCCCTCGCCTGTCCTTGGATGTGTTCTGTACTCTTGCTGACAGTGACAGTCCTCAAGCCCTCGTCGTAGCCGTCCCGCCTTCAATCTCATCAATGAATAGACATCGATTCATCGGAGAGGCAAGCTTTGATAGAGCTTCCTGTGCCTGTCATCATCTTCTACGGACTTGGCGGATGTGCCCACGCGCACCTCGCCACTTCTCTCCACTTCGTTGCTTGCCTTTTCAGGTAATGCTTTCGTGATGTTTGGCCGTCACGCGTAGCGCGAACCACGGCCTCGCTACATCTTCGGTTCATACGTCAAGATTCTCGCCGATCCAGTGGGCTATATAGTCGACGACAGCATCTGGGGCTCTGCTGGCCCTCTTGGGCTGACCCACCAATGTCATGGCCGCCCAAGTCACATACAACCCGATAGTCCAGGCATCGGTCGATGTCGTTCAGACCTTAGGGATGCAGATCATGGTCAATCTCTTTCTTGAAGGTCAGTTGCACGTGCAAATGTATATCGCCTTATCTGACTTGTTCCTCAGGTGTGCAGCTGACGCTGGGCTTTGCTGCCCTCTCAGCCCTTGCGTGAGTATAACTGGAGCTCAGCCAGTACTCAACCAACGCTGCCGTTCGATAGGCATGCTGGCGGGAAGAAATTCACCCTCTACTTCGCCGTTATCCTCGTAATGCTCGCGTTGTTCGTCAACACTGTCATGAACCTCCTTTTCAACGTCATGCAAATACCAGGCGTCTTAGCCGCCAACTACCCCGACCCACAGGGCCTCGCTGATCGACTGACAAGGATGAAGATTGCTGCGGATGTACTGCGAAAAGTGATCGTGAGTATGGCCTTCCTTACAGAGGTTCGTAGAACGCTCATGCACTGCAGCTATTTGTTAGCGACATCATTGTGGTCTGGCGAGCCTGGATCATGTATCCCAAGAGCTACATGGTCAAAACACTCCTCGTGTTATGTGCCCTGTGCGGGTTGGGTAAGTGGAACGCCTAGCGCCTCTCTTAGTTGATCTGACATCTGGTCAAGGCGGGCTGCTAGTTCACTCTGTCTACTACGATGATCCCACTCATGATTATCCGGAAGCCATGTCTTTGTTGCTCCCAGTATGCACCTTAGCCATGAACGGAATTGCCACTTTGCTGGTATCTTGGCGGCTATGGTGAGGAATATTGTCGCCAGACCATCACCAACTTCACTGAGTGAGATACGCGTTCGTTTCAGGACATACAGACGGGACATCAACATCAGCATTTTTGGGAGAACCGCATTTGTGCTCGCCGGGGATATGATGTGATGATGTGCCTGCCCACCGTCGCCACGCGCGGATGAGTGATCGCGAGGCAGGTATGAGCCTCGGGAGGCCTCGCCAACGCGCGCGCCCTTGCGCGCCGCTCGTAATGGCATGTATCGTGGCGAGGATCTAATTACACCTTTGTAATGCCTCTGTGGGCGTATGGCACGTGCATAAGTATCAAGTCGGGTCGAATCACGTTGACGCAGTCGGTGCGAGCCCCGAGCACACTCAGATTCGCTCGCGATGGGGATGCCTGGTCCTTGAAATGCGAGGTGGGTATTAGTAAATAGCGCGTCTGTGGATACGTGGAAGCGACACCCGGATGTACCAAAAATCAATACGAAGCGTAACCACTATCTTCGAAGCCGTCGGTCCCCTCCAACTCTTCCTCTGCTGCAGCCTCCGGTTCTTCGTCAGACCCACTCGCATCTTCATCCGAGTCCTCCGAATTCTCCCATTCCATGTCGGAGTCGCTCGCTGAATCATTGTCGTCGACCTCAGCAGCGTCTGGGTTGGCCATATCGACGTCACTTTGTTCGACATCGCTCATCGCGTGCGTAGATGCGCTAGCTTCGTCGTCTTCATCGTCCAAGGGACCCTCCACCTCTTCCTCCTGCTCTCCCATCTTCGCTACTTCCACTGAGGTCAAGCGCCGCTCAGCGTGTCCAACACCACCGCCCGCGAAGAAGCGCATCAACATGTCACGGTCAGCGAAGCTAGTGGGGAGGAGGTCGTATGAGCTCGCGTACTCGATGCATTTCTAGGTAGTCACTTACACATTAACATAGTAGTTCAGCCAGTCGTCCGTCTCGCCCGTTGCCCTTGCCATAGACGGTTGCTTCGTATGGAGTAGCGTATCGGTCCGTAGATCAACAAAGCTGGGGATGAGGTGGCAGCAGCGTACGACAAGTGCCGGGTCCAGGAAGCCGAAGGCGTATGAGCCTTGGCTCTCTTCGACGAAGCCGATTTTTGGAAGTTTGCAGAGGCGGCTACCGCAGCGATACCGCGGCTCAAACCCGTACCAGCGAACGAAAAGAAATTGCATTGGCTGAAAAACCTTGCTACTCGCCGGTGCGAGCGGGTGAGAAGTTGATACGTCCGCGTGGTAGATACCAAGGACGCGGGCGTACCAGTACGGATGGGCACCCTCTTCGGTCTCGGGCGACAGCATCATGATATCCGCATTCTTTCCTACGTGGATTGTGTCCTGATCGCGTCGGCAGTCATACGTCGTATAGTTGATTCGGCAGGTGCGGCCCTCGTAGAACTTGCGGCCCTGTAAGCGTACTTGATTTCTTTCTTCGCTCGTGTATACATCGGGCTCATCCCCGTCGAATTTGCGATGAAGGAGACGGGTCAGCAGGTGATCCTGCAGCTTCGGGACGAATCCCTGTTGATATTCATGAGTAATTGGGTACTGTGCGAGCCTGAAGGCATATGGGCTTACCTCAATAGCTGGATCTCCCTGGTGAGAAGAGGGGAAAGTAGAGAGTGTGTGCCAAACATTTCTGGACTTCGTAATATGATGATGCTCATACAGGCCGTTGTCTTTGAAGGCGGCTTGATGGGCGCGACGCTTCGTATGAGCCTTGAAGCTATCATGGACCGCTTGGGCTCGACGGGCGCGTACCATGCGCCGATACGCGCGACCTATCTGCCCGGTCGCTTGCTTTTTGTTGGTCACGCCGTACAGTCGCTTGACGACGCGATGAGCAAGCTCCCCCTGCATCGAGCGTTAGTGGGAAGTCACTTGAACTAACTTGGAGCGTACCGCTTGAGTAGAATAGTTGTCCGTTGGGCCGAAAAGGCGAATCGTGCTGACGTAGTCGCCGAGAGCGTGCCACTTGTAGGTCGCGAGATTCAGCGTCTTCGGTACCTTTGAGCGTGGCTCGTGCGCCTTCCCTGTCGCTGGTTTACCAGCAGCCGCTGCCTTCTTCGCCTCCGACGCTTTGCGGCGCTCGCGCGCAGCAATCTCACTAGGTGTCTCGAAGGTCTTGTATGCACTGCAAGTGTTGTCGCGGAAGTCGCGCATGGCCTGTCCGAGTTCGCGTGTCACAACCTCAAGCCTGGCCAGTGTTTCTTCGGTGTGAAGGCGAAGCTTGGCGAGCGCGTGCCACTCAGCCAGCTTGTAGAGCACCTTGAGCAATCGCTTGTTATGGGGGTCGGGAAGCAAGCCTTCAAACGCCGGTATAGAGCACTGTTGATCTTAGCCTGAGCAATCACAATCCAAGAAACGAAAGCAATCAAGTCGAAAAGCGGCATGCTTACCTGCAGGATGTCCTCGAAGTCTCGAGCTGCCAACTTCTTCATCTCGGACACATTCTCGTGGAAGCGGCGGATTGTATCGACCCCAAAAGTAGAAATTGCTGCAAATCTTGCAACTGCGTCAAGGCGGAACGAAGAAGCGTTTTTGGAGAAGACTTACCGCTTGTTGAGCTCCTTCACAAGCGCGGAATCGATCGCGTAGAGAAGGCGGATGGAGTGCGTGAAGAAGGCCTTCCATACACCCAGCTCAAACTCGTGCATGAAGTCCACGACTAAGAAGCGCGAGACATCGATGTTGTCGAGCTCGTCAATTTTGAACGCATTCTAGCAAGGATCAGTTCGAGATCAAAGCTAAGGGCGTGAAGCGAGCATACCTTGGTTGGCACAGACGACGTAGCCTTCAGAAGGCGCTCTACCGCAGGTCCCGTGATAGGTGTGGCCATGTTGTAGATCAGATTCCGCGCGCGCTCGACCGCCCACTTGAGATAGGTCCGTGCGTGCGTCAGGCGGTATTTCATGTCGCTGACCATACCCATACACTCGAGTTTGTCGCGCGGCATCAGACATCGTGGACAGACACAAATTCCCTTGTCCCGGATGGTGGCGAGCAGAACCCTAGTGTTCGTCAATATAATCGTCCTCAACAGGTAGACCAAGGAACCTTACTTTTCAGGATAGTCGGCAGAATAAGTGAACAGACGGGGATACACTCGGTACTCTGTCCCGTTGATCTCCATGACAAATCCATAGCGATACGCCTTGAGGAACTCGTCGTCCTCAAGTAGAATCGCCCACACAGCCTGCATGAGTTCGCGCTTGCAGTGAGTAAGTATCTGCTTCTGCTGAGTATCCCATTTCGCATGGAAAGCTGCGATCTTCCGCTTTGTTTCGGCAGAGAGAGATGGAATGTACGCAAGATGGAGACAAGCGCCAGATGTAGGCTGACACCGTATGTATTTCGAGAGGTTGCCGAGCATGAGGTATATGGGCCAAACGTGCGCATTGCCGAAGTTCGCCAGGTGCGTAGAGTCTGACCAAGCCATCAGTGCAGAGACTATGCGTGGTCGCTTGCACTCCTGCTCCTCTGGTGGCAGATGAGCAGACTGGACATCCTCGTGCGCCTCGAGCATGGCATCCGAGTTGTAGATCTCGGAATAGATGCGACTCGCTTCTGGCATGGCCGAGTTGTCAGTGGCAGCCTCCTCCGAGTCAGCACCGTTGCTATCGCCAGCTCGGCGGAAGAGTCGGAAGGGGAAGAGATGGTACTTGGGTGATAGAACGGGGTCCTGCAATGCCTCCCGGAGGACGTCCATGATGCGACGGTAGTGTAAGCCCGGGACCTCTATACGCTCTGGAGGAACTGTCTTGTCGCCCGACGGCACATCAATCGTTACAGCCCTCTCTCTGAAGCCAGTCCCGAACGGGGTTCCCGCCTGCTTATCAGCCTCATCGGCACGTCTGTTAGCGATCTGCGCATCGAAGCCCTTCAAGTCCTCGAAGCGGAAATGCGGGTGCCGGAGGACCTCGTGGACGAGGGTGTTGAGCTCGCTAGGCGTCTTCAAGGTGTTCCCGTTGTTCAGCCACCCACAGAGCATCTCCTCGGTCTCGTTGGCGAAGTGCGACGTGCTCGTAGCTGGGTTCAACTTCAGGGGATTGATGGGTGGGGGATTCTTGGTAGACGACGCGCGGGGGACGTTCGATATGTCGTTCAGATCCATGTTATTCTCCGGATCGTACGTAGGACGTGACGGATACTCGCGATAAAGACCAAAGACACTAAGGGCTGACCGAAGATAGGTACGCAGGCGCCCGGCAGGTCTGGAAGGTGGGGTTGTAGAGTCGGAGGGAGGGGCTTCCGGGGGATGAGCAGGGGTAGCAAGCACAGTAGTGAGTGGTATCGCGTCCGGTAGAATATCTGTGTGTGGGGCAGGGATTCGTCGAGGCGCTAGACGTGCACGGGTCCGCGTAGCAGGGCCAGCGTCATCATCAAGCACAGCCTGAGCTGCATCGACATCCATGCCATGGACCTGCGATGAGGGTGGCTCCTGCTCGTCCTCTGCCGGATCGACGTCCATCGCATCAGACATCGTGGCGTCTTCGAGATCGCCGCCTTGTCCACCATGAAGGGGAGGCGCGCCTTGCGCCATACCTGAGCGATCGGCCGCTACAGGGGACTTGACGAATCTCAGAAGGGGGCTCGAGGGTGGGGCTGGACGCGCACCTTCTGTACCAAAGCCGAAGCCTGCCGTAGGCGGCTGGCTAAGTCCCCTTTCTTCTTCTTCTTCCTAGGAGGGGGAGCATCCGGCCGACTCGGTTGCTGTGCCGTATCATCCGCGCGCCTCCCGGTCTGTATCTTCGCCTGCCAAGAGGAGTAAAGCTGGCACTTGTGCTTGTGTCGCGTTAGCCCACCGCGATCTGTACCGATATAATCACAGTCTGGGCAGCATGTGTTCATGACAAAGACGAGAAGCAAGGGAAGTACGGAGAGGAAAAGGGTGAGGTGTAGGTGCATGCTCGAGAGAGATCGCGCCTGCTATCCGTCGAAGAGGAGGACAAGGCGTGACACGTGCTCACCGGTCCGTCCGTGACAACGTCACGGATGGAATGCAGTGACTTTCGGTCTTCTCGATGTTCAACTTCGACATCGTACCAGATGTATTCCATTCAACTGTCTGGTTTACCAGTTCATGCGGCAGGTCAAGGTGTACGCAAGGTAGGAATTTGTGCGAAGGAACGAGGCAGGCGGCTAGCCTTCCGAACAGGGCACGTTGCTGATTTTCCATAGAAACGTGCCTTTGGGGGTCAAAACCCGAAAATCACCGCTTCGTAGGTTGTCTCCTACCTCCACCTCGGGAGCGCCCTCTCCCATTTTCCCCTCGACGTTGACAGCATGGCTGCTCGTGGAGGAAACCCCTTCTCGCAACGCACCGTGCAGCCTGCCCAGGGCTCTCTCACGACGCAGGAGTCGACGTCGGTGCAGGTCTCCGCATCATCGCGCAAGCGCAAGCCGAGGTGAGCAATGTAGCACTTCTCATGGTGCAGTTAACTGATCCGTACCCAGACCGGATGCACTGAGCGACGACAGCGTCGACGAAGGGCAGGTGCGGACCCGGCAATGCGGTCGTCGCATGCCGCATTTTGTTCATCCGTACAAGAGCGCGCGTGATATTGTCGACGAGGAGTACCTTGCTCGGCAACGGCTCCGTGAGCTGGATGCTGAGGAGGCGGAAAATGACGAAGACGAGCCGACGGAGCAGGAGATCAACGACATGAGCTCGGACGAGCGGGAGGCATTGGCGGCTGAGTGGGAGCGTCAGCAGCACGAGAAGAAGCTTGCTCGTCGACCGTGAGTCCATTCTGTCCAAGTCCGCCGTTGCCCTCCGCTGAATTATCCTCAGAGCGGAACGTGCCCATGATACGTATGAGGCGTTGAGGAAGATCGTCGGCCCGGCAGTCCTGGACGAGAAGCAGCACACTCCCGGCTCGGACAGCACGAACGACTTTTACGCCGAGGTGCGTCGAGTCGTCTTCTCCTCCCCTGATCTACGCTCAATATCTGACAGCTGGATCAAGGTGCATGCGACGCTCGGTGCCACGACACCGCGAAAATGACTCCTATCGTCGGTGCACTCGTCAACGCTCTGGTCACCGACGACGACGAGAAGGTATCCGAGCAGCCTGGCGCCGCCAATCGGAGCGAGAGAGGGCTTCAGCATAACATCACCGGTTACCTCATGTCCTGCATCCAGAAGGACTTTTCGAACCCTGAGTGAGTAGGATTTCACTTCGGGGGTATCTCGCTCATTGTGCACTTGTAGGACGAAGGACGCGATGCGGCAGGGCAAGGAGGACTGGGCGGAGACCTGCTTCGTCCGCGTGCTCTACCCGCAGGATGGTTACGACGTCGACGCCGTCCGCAAGAACTTCACGCAGTCCCCTCAGATGGTCGCGGTATGTCATGTGATACCAACTTCTTGCGCATCTCATAGCAGTCTCAGGCATTCAAGACCCTCTTCTGTTCGCCCACCGAAGCGCGGGCTTACATCACTGCTGACGAGAATGGCCCGTCCCCTCGCAAGCGACGCAAGGTCGATGTGAGAGGAGGACCAAAGCGCAAGAGTCTCGCTGCGAAGATGTCCATGGAGAAGGTCGAGCCTCGCTGCATTGCGTACACCGCTTGTCAGGTGTGTCGGCCCGCCCTCGCACGGCACCATCGTACTGACGTTCCGACAGCTGCACTTCGCGCTCACCGATGCCAAGGACTGGACCACTGTTTACGACGGCTTCAACTACGCATTCTTTTACGACTTCATCGTGGATTTCTTCGAAGGCCCCCAGAAGACCAAGTCACGCCGTCAGAATGTCGAGGATATCCTCGACTGGTGGAACGAGTACGTCGTCGTCGCACATACCCACATACCTCCGATCGTTGACATTTTCCAGGCAAATCTTCCCTCGGGGCCACTGCCGTGCACGTCGCGGCGGTGACATGATCTCCAAGTCCGCCGCTCTTCTGGACGAGCAAGATTGAGCACACCACGGTCCTTCCCCTACGATAAGCATCCTTACGAACCACCCCCACTCTCTGAGCATCGTTCCGGTACATTCTACCACACTGTCGGATCATTACATTCATTCCCACTTCGTTCTCTCCCTCATAAGTACACGTATCATGCTTTCCCTAATGCTGAATAATAACCACCATTGTTGATGCTGTATAACGTGGAGTGTCCCTCAAGAGTGTGAAGTTCGTGTGATCACATTTCTGTCTTACAATCTTGAGCATTGCAAGCAAGCCTCTCAGCTAGGCTGGATGAGGTAACTAACAGAATGCCAACGAGGGTAAGATCTTGCTCTTCTATTGGCAGCTTGAGCGGGAGCTTGCAGCTCCCTTTCCAAGGGATGGGTAAGCAATCATCACGAACACGAGACGACGACGTGATGGCGCGCAGCTTGCAAGATACGCGCGGGCGCAACGCCACTTGCCAAAAGGCGCGCGGATCACGTATTTGACATGGACTGTTTAGCGCTCGTCTGCGCGCGTAAGTCAATACATCCTCGAGACGCCTTGTAGCAGCTCGTTCACCGATACATGCCATTACAATCAATCGTGCGGATTTTTAAAATATGCTGATGAAGATGGCCTTCGACCACGCTAGTGGAAGTACGAGGGTCGAGACGGTACTCGGTCTACTCGTCGAATCCAGTGTGGTTTACTGCGTCTTATGGGTGCGTTAAGCGAGCCTTGACCTACTTCGCACTCTCATCAGCCTGCAGGGTGTGCTCACCTTCGTCATCATCAGAAATGACAGGTATCCGAACACGGTCACTTCGTACGAGATCATAGCAGCCAGCTACCATTACTTTGCCGTGAGCGCCGACATTCTCTCGTACAAGCTACTTTTTGACTTGTCACGCAACGCAGGGCATATATGTGACTCTGGTCATCCTCGTGCTCGAGCTGCAGAAAAGCTTTGCAAACTCCGTCGACGTCTCGACGATGGTGTCGCGCGGGATCTCTTTCGCAGCGGCGCCTGGCCTGCCAGGGAATGATTCGGTACTGGAGGATTCATACGACTCGTACGATTCGGGGACGCAACCCTCGGCTACAGTACGTGGGTCAAGTGTCTCTAGCATGGGCTGCAAGGGCAAGGGACCAGCACGCGAATATATTCAGGACAAGTCGGACGTCCTGGAGTTACGACCAAGATGTCCAGTGGATAGGCCTGAAGGCGGACAGCCTGCCGATGTATATGTAGGTATGGAGAATTTGGGTATGTCTAGTGACGTTTCTAGATGAAGATCGCGCGTCCCGATTGCTGTATGATGACCCACGAGATGTATTTATGTACACTTAAACCCCATCTATTCCACTGTATCATTGCCAGCTCCGCATAACGAAGAACAAAAGGATCGCCAGCAGGGCCATCGCGACCATCGTAACATGCCCACCGAAGTCGCTCCAGAAGTCGTTCACCTCGAAGGCAGGACGAGGCGGCGGATCGACTGCTACATGAACTCGATGCAGCGTGCCCGGTGCGTTGCGTGCTGTCACGATGAACAACGTCTGTCGCTGCTGGTCGTGGACATAGCGATCACCCTCCTCAAGTCCGGTCACGCGCAGCCGCCGCCCTTGCGTGAGCTGCGAGGGAAGGAAGAGTTCCGTCTCCCGCGAGCGAACGTGTGGCTGCGACGGAGCGGGTGGATATTGCGCAGGGTCTCCAGATGAGCCCACGCTAGCCTTCTCCCCCGCGCCCGGGCTCGAGGCCCACTCGAACTCGCACTCTCCCTCCGTGACCTCGTACTTGAAGCGCAGCGGCACGCCCGCCGTCTTCGCCGGGTACGGGCGCACTATCGCAGGCAGAATCCGTCCGCCGTTATCAAGCATCGGACTTTCCTGCGGGATGGGCCCCGGGTGGTTTGGATCATCGAAGAGAAGCGACGGCGGGAGCGCGCGCCTCTGGCTGAACCACGAGAAGTTCTCCCCGTTCCAGTCGTCGCCCGTCCTATCGTCGTTCAGCGGGTTGTAGTTCCACAGCGTGAAGCCGACGAGGGCGCGGTCGAGCGCGGTGACGAGCGCGTCCATGGCGCGCAGCTGCCAGGTGTAGTCGTCCGTCTTGAATGCCTCGCCCTTGTTCAGGTTCATCGGGATGCCACACTCCCCGATAAGGACGGGGCGCTCGCCGAGGGAGGCGTGGCCGGCGTTGACGATGTTGCGGATCTGAACAGCGTAGTTGTCGCGCGCGCCGCCTTGACCCCAGTATAGTGCACGGGGGAGGAACATGCCGCGCGAGAGGCCTTGGACGTTGACCGTGAAGTCACCGAACTCGCCAGAGAAGAGCGTGTTGAGGTCGTACCAATGCGGTGCGTATACCATGTTGGGAACTTGGTTTGCTCGCCACGACGGCGGGCAGAACTCGTTCGGGATGGGCTCGACGAAGAGGAATTTGTTCGGTGCGGTAGCGTGTACGCGGCTGGCCCAGCGTTGGAGAAATGGATAATAGAAGTCGGTGTACCACTCGACAGGCTTGCCTGTCATAGGATGTTTCGAGAAGTAGTTCTCGCGAAGCACCACTGCGGTATCCTTCTTTACGTCCCACCCCCATACGCCGTGCATCTCCCACAAGCAGTGACCACCAGTGGGCCCGTCTTCTCGCCAGACTTTGCGCTTGTCCATATTGAGCACCGCGCTACCTGTCTTGCGAGTTGGGAAGGGAAATGAGCGTGTCCAGTGCGCGACTTCTGTCGGGCGGCCAGCGCCTAGCTGGAAAGATTGGAAGGCAGTGGGCACGTATGACAGATGAAGGTCGGTGTTGTAGTCGAAGCTATGAAGAGACTTGAGGTCGATGTACCCGCGGTGAGGCTCGTTCATCACTTCAAAGCCAATCACGGCTTCGAGGTCACCGACGGCGCGTACGACCTGCTCGAACATGTTCAGGAAGGCACCTTGGAGGAATTCCTGTACGGGTATCTGTGCATCGGTGATTTTGAGCTTCGGGGCGAATGTATCGCCGGCCCAGAAAACGGTGGACATGGTGGCGGCAGCGAGCTTCTGGTAGCCACAGGGCCATATGCCGCGCTCATCCTCGATGTGCCCACCGCCAACAACGCCGCGAAGGAAAGCTGCCCCAGTCTCTTCTAGAGCGTGCAAGTCGAAGCCCACTGCATCCACTGTCCAAGCAGGTGCTCCAGAGCCACCGGAATAGCGCGACCATACGTCCTGGTGCATCGACACGAAGGCAGCGAGACCGTATTGGGGAAGCATGGAGAGAAGTGCGCGGACGTAGCCAAGATATTCCGTGTCGTATTGTCCGGGGCCAGCATGTTCGACGGCTTCCCAAGTAACGAGAAAGCGCACAAAAGTGAGCCCCCACCGTCGTAGTCGCGACAAGTGTTCGTGTGCCTCTGATAGAGGGAAGGGACGGCCGACGAAGGTTGCGCTATGGTGTTCGGCAGGGAATATGTCGTGATCGTGATTGACTGGGCTTGAGTCGCAGGTGAGTTTGTGAATGCTGAACATTCTGCGCCTGCACGCACGTTTTGCAGGATCCGGAGAGATTCACGCCGCGGAGATTGCAGACGCGTCCATATCCGTCTATGAAGTGCCTTCCGTAGCTGCGTATGCCGCCAGCCGTCCCTTGACGCGACCAGTCGTGCGCATAGGAGCTCGTTGAGCCCGGCGTATAATCGGCGGCGAGGGATGGATGCTCTGCATACTTTTCATCAGGGGGTGGACCTGCCAATGGAGATGTCTGCTGCGCTTTCGAGGTGCTTTTGTTGTCTCCTACGAGCACGAAAGACGCCTCCGAATCCGAGGGGTACTCCATGGCAGGAGGCAAGGCGCGTTCGTCGTTGCCTGCTGTTTTGGGTAGTTATTGCGCGATGTGCATTGTATTCACGGCCCGCGCCTCCGCCAGGACGCGTCCCCTGTTCTCAACGGTCATGTCATGCAGCTCCAGCCCGATTATGTCAAACTCAACTTCCGAACTGCCGTCTCTATACTACTCTCGTGCGACGTAGCGCCCATGCTTCCGATAGAATCGCATCTAAGCGCCTGTTTGGCACTGCCCAAGCACGCGTCGCTCTACACACCATGAAGAGGCAGAACATGCACACCTATCCTCTCTCCGCCACCATGTCGCAAGCTCGAGGACTGCGTACGACATCCTGGGAACCCTCACTCAGTCCAGTCCCATCTTCTCTCTCCGGGCGATCACCAGAAGACAATGAATGCGGGGACAGCACAGAAGGAAACCCGCTCAGATCTCCGCCAGCTGTGTCAGACTCGGAATCCTTGAACTCGCGCTCAGAGTCTCATGGAAGCGATGATGACAAAAACGTGAGCCAAAGCGACGACGCTTGCGCGTCGCGCAATGACAACCGCCAAAACGCGAGAACCAGTCAGGATTCTGAAGGTGGTAATCAAAATGACCCATCGCGCCTCTTTGGGATGCCCAGGTACGCGCCGTTTTACAGGGGCAGAGGTGGATGTGCGTATATTCTACCTATCGATCCTCATCGCCTCTTGACTCTGTCTCTACCCAGTGGACGATTATAAGGAACTCTATCCCGAAGATCCATACGGCGCCGAGGCTGGACAGAATGCCCGCGTTTGGCGTGTATATCTGGACGAGAGTGCAGAGTTCGATTCAGACATGCTTCGGGGCTATCGAGACTCGCTGGACGTGCACCTCGTTTTCGTACGTCGCTCAGACATTTTTCCAGTGATACAGATTTTGACAACCATTTCCAGGCCGCTCTCTTTTCCGCCGTAGTCACCACATTCGTCGTACAGACGTCGCAAGCTCTCCAAGTGGACTATGGTCGGATCACGTCTGCGTTAATGCTGGAGATGATCGCCTTGCAGCGGGCAGGTTCCCCAGATCAAGTAGCCTCTGCCGATATCGACTTGAGCACGCGGTCATTCTCGGCGAACGACGTCCTGGTGAACGCGCTGTTTTTCGCCAGTCTCTCTCTTTCTCTGTCTACGACGTTGATGGCCGTCCTTCTGAAGCAATGGCTCGCTGTAATGCCCTGTTCTCGCTTCTGCATGGCAATCGACTGATGAGTCTTCAGGAATACTCCACGGTTCCGCCAGGAAGCCCTCGAGACCGGGCGCTCATCCGCCAACTACGGTATCAGGCCTTCAACAAGTGGAAGGTGCACATCATTGTTGGCGTCGTCCCCTCTCTATTGCACATATCACTGGGTCTTTTCCTGTTGGGCCTCGTCTTCTTCGTCTATACGCTCGCTTGGCCAATTTTTGGGATTGTACTCGCCATCGCCAGCGCGACCTACGCGTTTTACTTCGGAACACACATCCTCGCCCTCGCGCGCTGGGAATGTCCCTACAGGACACCTATCACGTTCGCCATACGGGAAATCTGGCTGTACTGCAAGACGCTGTACAACCGCATCGCCGTGCCGACTCGTAGGATTCCGCTCGTTGCATCTTACCGGCAATTCGAGATGCGCGCAGTGCGCTTCACTGGTCAGAATGTTCTTGCAGACGACTCGTCAGTTCTCGAGCTGATGCACGATGGACTGATGTGGCTGTATCAGTCTGCTTTCAACCCTACTGCGCAAGCCATTGTTATCGACACGTTCGCGGGTATGCCCAGCGCTGCGAACCCTGCGCGCGCGGATTATCGAGCATGGGTACATGAGATGATCGACGCCCTGAACGGCCGTTTCCCTCTGCACGTCATGTCCGGGAAGTTTGACGAGCAGAGCCTCGCAGACTTCGAGAGATCCGTGCGCGCTCTCAGCACTCTGTCGAACAACGAGTCTGCCAGGGAGCACCTATCCTTTAGGACCCGCAGAGTTCTCAGGGCGGCCGAGGAAACGATCCTCAAGCAGTTCGACTCAAACTCCGAGCTCTTTGGACGCCTTGAGGTTGTGAGCAGCGTTGCATATCCAGATGACTGGCAATCCACCGGTGTCGGCCTATTCAACACGCACCTCTTCCATCTCGATACGGACTTTAGGCTGTCGTTGCCGGTATGGCGGTCGCTGATCGCGCACACGTTCAACATCGCTAGGATCTACACCGGTGCAGGCGCTTTCGAGCGCATTGTCGCGATTGTACATCGCAGACCTGCTCTCATGGAATCCCTGTTGCGAATCTACCGCGGGCGAAACACGTTGGATGGGTTCGGCGCATACCGGCCCTACGAGGGCACGGCGACACTCGGGGAGGTCTGTCACTTCCACTCGGATGTGAAAGACCAGGTCACTGCCTTACTGTGCAAGATATTGGACTGCGATATCATCGAAAATAGTAAGTGTATACTCCCCTTCATACGTCGTCGTCATATACTGACATGGCATGCAGCTCAGATTACGGCTTCGCTCATAGACGTCTCGAATTGTGCAGGCTTGGCCATTCCAGCCTGGCTATTCACTAGCGCTCACCGTACACTGCAAATCAAAGCACAGGTCCTTGGAGACCTTCACACATCGGACGAGCGTGGCGGTCACGTGGCGCTAGCCAATGTGTTGGCGTTATTCGGCATTTTCACAGATAGGCGAACCTACTCCAGCGTGCCATCCGAAATCATGCAATCTTGGCTAAACGCTCACAACGCTCCCCACCGTCCGCACGCCCTGGATAATCTGTACCCCCTCGCAGTCGACGATGATCCAAACCCGCTCAACACACTCGCATGTCTATCTATACGTCGAGTACGCGCTGACAGACGACTCTGTCATGACCCATGAGCCGGACAAGCGATCGGCCATGCAAGCGCAGATGCTGTCAATGCTTGACGACTTCTCCTTTCTTCCCTGCCTACACCGCATGCCTTACGATACGCATAGGACTGGCATTCACGGCGGCAACACCCTCGTACTTCGAGCGATGATTGCCTACGTACGTGCGGCACTCGTGACACACTTCCAGGGAGGGATGATAGGCGCCCTCAACCCGCTTCTTACGGACGACAACGTTGCTTTCATGGTCATCCTGTGCAAGAGCGAATTCTTCTCCTCCGCGGACCTCCCCAGACATCTGAACTCCGCAATCCTGGAAGATAGATTGCACATACTCGAGCGTTACGAAGCTGTCCTGCATACATTGTATTTCCGCACAAAGTCATACAAAGTCTGGCAACGGGTCTTCCTAACGACCAGGACTGCGCTGCACTCTGCGATGGCTACGCGCGCGGTAGTTCATATTTCGCCCCAGCACGTCTCGGAGTGCAGGGCTCTAGTACGCTTCGCGCAACTCATTTGCGCGCACGGCTCGCAAGACGAGCAAGATACGAATCTCTATCTCTATGTGACGGTGCATTGGTTGAATGACTTGTAAGGGCTTGTACAATTGCTTGCATTTGTCACTGATCGTATTTTATCCCAGGGGGATACCACCGTTGCGGATACAAGGGTATCGCATGTTTGGCCCTTACGCGATCGCATTCTCGGCCGTGAACGCGAGACTTCCTGGGTACAGTCAGAAGCTGCATGGCTCCAGGGAAGTGAGGCGTCTCGGATCTGCGTCGGGGACCGAACTCTCGTGAGTCTAACCATTCGAGGGGAATTTCTGAACTCACATCTGTTTCTCAGAGGAGATGAGAGTGACCTGGGACAAATGGTATGAACATTCCTGCTCGGGAAGGACGATAATATATACTTCATGTCGGAGATTACGCACGCATCGAGATCGAGGGGCAGGGTGACAGATATCTGAGGCGAAGTTGAGTGGGACACAATCGAAGCGTTCGAACGGCAAGGATCGGCAAATCCCGACCAGTCTAGCGAGACGTGCTGTCTCGTTTCGAACCACCACCATCACGACTATTTGAGCTTCAAGCCATCCAGCGAGCCAGGATCAAGTTCCCAAAGCACATTGATACCTGGATCGCCGCAACCCAAGCAAAGGAAATCGTGGCCGTGGTCACAACAGCGCTCATGCCGTTGAATCATCGCTTCGACGCGCCGACATGGCAGTGTCGTACCGTGCCTGCTGTCCAGTGGCAATACATAGACTCGAGGCTTTTATCGATCATGATCAGAGCACGAGACTTATACAACTTTTTCTCCGCTTCTGCCATCTCGCTGCTTGTCATAGCGGGCACGACCTTCCAGTAGGTATCATAATGGATTTGCTACCTCTCCGCCTCGACATACAATTGCTCTTGAATCACTAGTCATGACTTTTCCTAATGAGACGACAGCATGCGAATTCCCCCATGACAGCTCTTCCGGTCGACTGCCTAAGCAGACTGATCCTGCTTTCGGACATAAAATTCAGGCAACCCCTCAATATAACAACCAAACGCACGGAGGACGATCCAAAGGTACAGGGTCCCGGACGACCAACAATACAACTTTCTTCGGTATTCCCAAACATTCGAGCAGAGGCCCATCCGGATGTGGGTGGAAGTATCTTGTGCTTTACCTCGCCGCTTATCCCGTTCGAAGTCGATGATTACAGTGAAATCTACCCGGAGGACCCTTACGGCGCTGAGGCAGGCGAGAATGCCAGGGTCTGGCGAGTTTATCTCGACGAGAGCGGCCAATTCGATGAGGACATGCTGCGCAGTTATCGAGACTCTCTGGACGTACATCTCGTCTTCGTACGTGCTGGTACACCGGCTTTGCCCTTCCGAGTAATGACTAAAACCCTCTCTTGCAGGCGGCCCTTTTCTCGGCCGTTGTCACGACTTTCTCTGTCGAGACTGCTAAATCTCTTCAGCCGGACTATAGTCGCATAAGCTCGGCCTTACTTTTGGAACTCGTCGCTCTACAACGAGCAGGCTCTGCAAACGCCGTGCCCTCGGCAGACGTCGATCTGAACTCGCAAGCCTTCTCGGCTGCGGACGTTGCCACCAACGCGCTGTTCTTCGCCAGCCTGTCGTTGTCACTATGCACAACACTGGTAACCGTTCTGCTGAAGCAGTGGCTTGCAGTACGTAGTGCGCTGGGTTTCCTCTCGCATAGGGGGTCTGATGAGCTCGTCCAGGAATACGCCAAGGTGCCCCCTGGTAGCCCCCGAGATCGCGCTCTCATCCGCCATATGCGGTATCAAGCGATGCAACGATGGAAAGTCCCGGCTATAGTGGGCTTAGTACCATCCCTGCTGCACATTTCTCTGGGGCTATTTCTCCTCGGTCTGCTCGTCTTCCTCTCTGGAGTGTCATGGCCGGTGTTCGGCGTCGTCGCTCCATTTGCATGCACCGCCTACGCTTTCTACGTGATCACACACGTCCTCGCCATCACCGACTGGCGATGTCCGTATCGCACACCGGTCACCTTTGCCATTCGGTGGCTCCTCCGCCTTGTGATGGCCATTCATAGCCAAGTGACGTCTTCGATGGTGGTTCCAACGCTTGTGACTTACAGACAGCTGGAAATGCGTGCGGTACGCTTCTGCAGCACGTCCTCCCCTGCTCAGGTCACTCCGGAACTTGTTGCTTTGATGCACGACGGGCTGTACTGGCTCTACCAATTTGCTCTGAACCCCACCGCTCAGACCGTTGTCGTCGAGAGCTTTGCCGGTCTACCTGCAGGCCCTGATGAACGACGCGACGGTCATCACTCTTGGATACAAGACATGTTTAGTCTATGGGCGTTATAATGTTCGGAAATTCCAGAAAACGATGACACTACTTAGATGGTCGAAATTGAGCGTAGCGGTTGAGGACGTCGCAGACATACGAGTGAGCAGAAGAAAATCTGTCTATGATTTGAGGGTGAGCGGGAGACTTGGCCTCTGGGAACGCTATCGATGACTCACTCTGTCAGACTTAAAGCCCGTCGGCATCGGCACACGAGGCGCGCTTGATGTCTCTCGGGCATTCCCGAGCGCCTTTGATGCGCCCACCATCCAGCGCCGGAGTCGCTCCTTGCCACAGCAAGGATTGTTCAAGCATCATCGTCGGTGTAGAGGATGGCTATAGGACCCGGCAGCCTGCCTGCCGGCTCCGGCGGGTGGTGTTCCATCGTGAGAAGGGGCGGCACGGCAACACGCGAAGGCGGATAGCTGCAGTCGGGGTCGGGACGCACACGTGCCACGACGACGGTAGTGTGGCAGACACGGACTCGTAGATCCCATGCTCTAAGAGGCCTTATCAGCAGTCCTGAGCCGTGACCTGGCGGTCCTTGGCTCACTAGTTCTCCTCGAAGCGCTGCCGCCCGCTACCATGGATTTTTAGGTTGCCACTTTAGTACCCATGTTTTTTGTCTTCGGACATTTTCCGAACACTATAACGCCCATATTAGTCTCCTGCGCAGTCACATGCAGCGCGGAGTCGGAGACGTATCTGATAATATCCGCGACCTACAAACCACGGAGAGGCTCCTACGTGCCGTGGGGACCTTGGCTGGCTACGGTGAACTCAGGACAGATGTGCCAATTTCTGGAGACAACCTGGCTATCAAAGACGCGCATTCAACATTACAGACGCTTGCTGCACCTCTCACGCAGAAATTCGCCAGCCGGAGCTGGAGGGGCACCTCAAATTATCTTCTGAAGCGGAGACTTCTCATTGCTCACGCAGTCGCTCTTCCAAAGCGGCCAGTCATCGACAGCACCTATCCGAACGACAATATACTGAATTTGGATGCAGATGTGGAGCTGCCGGTGCCGGCTTGGCGATTGCTGCTGGCGTACGCTTTGCGGTATACCACTACAATTCGCCCGCGATGGCTATCTGAGCCCGATTCGCCATATCTAAACGCAAGTTCCAGCGAACGCCGTGTTGGGGCATCCGAGTTGAAGAATCTCATTGCCCTCGTATGTGCTCGTTATTCCAAGGATACTCCTGAAGCTGGTCTATACCGGCCGTACGAGAGTGCCGCACCTCTTCGGGACATCTGTCGGCACCACGCAGATGTGAGGGAAAACCTCACCAAATTTTTGTGCGATCTTCTGCGTTCCAGAGAAGGTGAGCCATGCATATATGCTCCTCCGTTCGCTGCTAAATTCCCACCTAGCGCAGCTTGCCACGAATCTTATAGACGTTTGCATACAATCGCATTCATCTATCCCTGCGTCTTTGCTCGAGTTGGCTTTGGTCCAATTCCGCGAAGGCATCGCTCGTCTTCCTCAACAGAGGGAAATCGGTTACCAGGTCACTGGAATTTTGAACGAAGAGGTCGACTCTTTATTGGGGCAGCTAAAGGTTCTCATCAACTATCCGGCGTATCGCGTAGTCGAGGACCACTCGGAGGTCACTGGCCTATGTTATTGCCATCTAGTGAAGTGCGCGCGGGATGACGTTCAGCACGAGCCCGTCATAGAGCATACAGCAATGTTCGGTGATGTCGCCCATCTTCTAGATGCTGTACAGATAATCCTCGATATCACCTGCGACCTGGCATATCCTGTCAACGATCTTCACCAGCTCGTCAAAATTTCGCACCCCCTCGAAAAGCTCCACAAGCACTCATTCCTCCCCACCCTGCACACGATCCTGCTTCGCAGAGATTGTACCACGCTCTTTCTGCCAGGGATATACAGCAGCATTCTTCGCGTGATGACAGCGTATATCCGGGCGACGATGGCGATCGCATGTTCGCCCGACGATTTGAAGGAAACCAGGAAGGCCAAGGACGTCGTGGATGCCTTGCTCACGGAGGCGAACATAGCTTTCATGGTATCTCTCTGCGACCGGACCGCCGCAGCGGAATGCGACAGGACTCCCTTCGAACAAGCACTGCAGAGTGTATATTGGTGCACTAGGTCGAGGCCGGTTTGGCGTGCAGCACATGCCCGTCTAATTGGGATGCTGCACAGCGGCAACGCGGTGCGGCACACACCAGATCTTCCTTCTCGCCAGCTGTCCCTTTATCTGTCTCTTCAACAATTCGCGTATCTGAGGGTCACGGCTCTTCGCACCCTCGAGCCGCACGAGCAACGGTCACAGAAAGGTTGGGAATCATGCTTCGGCCATACGTATGTCTATTGCTCAGCGACATGGCTCAAAAGCCTTGATCACCGCCACGGGTAAGATTGCCCCGTGTTCCGCCAGCGACAATCGTGTCTAATCCAGCCATAGGGACGCGTCGCCGCTCGATTACTTGGAGTTGGATGGCCAACCTGTCTATGGTCCATACGCTGTCGAGTTTTCAAATATAGACTTCTGGTTGGTGCTGCAACGTGGTAGTTGGAGCTTGGAGAGTACGCTTTCCCTTGTGGATTCCGATGAATCAGTCTACTCGGGATTTGTACCTTACAAGGTGAGGGGAAGTCACCACGAAAAGCAATCGACTGACCATGACTTCAGGACTCCATCGAGTCGGCGGATGCTGGTCATTGTAGCCACGACGACCACGACGAAGGTGTAGATAGCCCGGCATCTGGTAAAGCATGAAGCGCCCTCAGGATCCTCATCCGAGAGGAGCGCCGTAGCAGAAGGAGCCCCATGCATATCTCCTCGCACGTCTCGATACAATGGTGTGATGTAGACACTCGCTCAACCTCTTCATTCCGTCTCGCCCCCTCCGCTACCGGGCCCTTCTTTGCTGGGCGTCCCCCCATTCACTCGCTTGCTGGTACCAGTAGGCACCGCACCCGCCGCGCGATCCTTCGAGCTCGTGCTCAGCAAGCTCTGGAAGAAGTTCTGCAGCACCTCGTGCTGCGTCTGCCCCGTCGGGCTCGGACTCGGCTTAGCCGCTGCGATATCGCGCGCACTGAGCGCAGCGGCGCCAGCCAGCTGGTTTGGCCGCTGCGCGGCAGGCCGTCGCGAGGTTGAGGACGAGAGCGACGCGTTCGCCTCCATCTCCGTGAGCACGCGCTCAACGTTGGGTAGGAAGGAGCCTCCGACGGGGCCGACAATGCCGCCGGGTGCCATGTCGTTCGGATTGCGGAACGCTCCACGCGGGTCGCGGTCGGGCTTCTTCGCGTTCTCGTCGTAGTGCTTCGAGAGGAAGGTTGGCTCGGGCATGGGAGAGATGAGCGGTGGTAGTGGGTGCTCCTTGACGCCCTGGTCTGGCGCGAGACGGCTGTACATAACCCTGACGCTCTCCTGATCTTCGTCTTCATCTGGCGCAGTGTTTGTCGTCCATGCGCGCTGCCACGCCTTGACGTCGAATCCCTCGCGCATGACGGTGATCTTGCCAGCGGAGTCCCATCCCGAAGGAATGATGATGCGGTCGCGGTCAAGGGTATTCGGCTTGTGCGTGAAGCGGAAGGGGTTCTTCGTCTGTATTATTTCGGAAGTCGAAGAAGAGGCGGGCAGAGTTGATGTGGGTGATGGTGCCGGTGGTATAAAGAGCATGTGGAGGGCATATTGTCGTAATGTTGCCAACGTTTCCGGCAGTAAAGTGGTGTAGAAGACGCCAGCACCATCTGAAAAGACTAAGGTCAGGAGAGACGCCTGCGACGATACGAAGGTCACTCACAAAGCAGTGCTATTGTTCGCAAAACCTGCATGATGCCGTCCGTCCTTTCTTCCCAGTCTTCGCCCTTGCCCTTGACCATGCCCTTCCCTGCATGGTCCTCGTCGATCTGGTCCGCCTTGGTGCATACGAACACAATGGGCACACCCGCCTCGTTCAGCGTGAATGTTCCTTCCGGGAGCTCAATGGCAGTATTAGCGGCCGCCGATATAGACGTAGACGCGGGTATAGATGGATCAGTGTAATGCTGCAGATAGTATTGCACTGTGACGCGTTAGCGACCGCGTCCCTTGAGCAGAGAAGCAGCTCACATCGTTCTCGTGCCTCCTCTCGTGCTATCACCAGTTCGCGGTCCTCTGTGCCGTGCGCCCACTGGTCGACCCACCCAAGCCAGGTCTGCAGCTCGTCAACAAATGTCCACGGTTTCGTCCAGTCCAGAACAATCATGAAGAGCGAATGTTGCAGATTGTTCTGAGGGGGGATGAAGTGGGGTAGCAAGGATGTATACGTGGGCTGCGACGAAGGCACCGTATACACAGAGAGGCGCGCAAGCGTGTCTGTGGCGTGCAAAATTCGTGAAATACTCAATGCTCGACGCGTTGCTCACGTACCAGACTCATCACCCTCATCCCGCACGTCCGCCCAATCGTATCCGAGCGCGAAGTCCATCTTCTCCTGGTCATCGCCGGCAGGTTCTTTCTGGAGGAGCGCGTTGGACAATGTAGTCTTCCCCGTCCCCGGCTGGCCGAGAAGCACAATCTGCTTGGAGGGTATAGAGCGCGTCGAGGACACAGAGTCGAGGATAGATGACCAGAGATCCTGCGGGATCGCCGACGGCGACTCCGGGCGCGACTCGGATTCCATGGTGGCTGTTGGAGACAACGCGCAAACTGTTGATCGCTTCTTGTTCCCGACCGTGATCACGACGAGGCAGCTTAGCGCCCATGGCCACAGACACCAAATTACCGCCTCACAAGCTGCTGGAGTCCGTCAATGCGCGGACGATACATCTCACGGAGCCGGATTGGTATATCACGGCGTCGACAAACCCCATCTCGTCGATCCCGCAATGCGCGCAGCTGCAGTCCTCTCTGGACCTGCCTGCCATCCCAGAGATGACCTTTGGCGGCAACTTCCTACTGCTTGAGCACCGCCCGAGCGGCTGGAAATATAGTTTCACCTGCGAAGACGCGTTGCGCGGCGTCAAGAAGGACGATGACGCGAACGGCAAAGGCATGATCAAGGTGAACTACGCCGATGCATGGATGAAGAGTCGGTAAGTACCCTAAGCGCCCCGGACGCTGGATCATAACGAGCAATGCAGTACAGATCCGAACTCGAGCTTGCCTATGCCGAAGACAGCGCAGACGCGTCCGTTTGACTGGACGTTCACGACGACATACAAAGGGCATCGGTTGACTTCCGACGATGATTGGCCCGCCGCGCCTTCTTATGCGGATGATGGGGCAGCATCCGACGCAGAGAATGATGAGCCCGCGCCTCCGAAGCCTCGTCCTGCCTCTGCAGAGTTCAGGTGGCAGCCTGCGGACCCAACAAATCCCTCGCATGCGATACCGCTGGCAGAACTCACGCGGCCCGATCCTATCGTCTTCTATGCTGAGATCCCTCTGTTTGAAGATGAGCTGCATGACAATGGCGCCTCGAGCCTCCTCGTTCGCATCGTATGTCACTGCCATTATTTGTGGCAACGCGACGCTCAGATTCCCTTCAGCGCGTCATGCCGGCGTGCATATTCATCTTAGCAAGATTCACGCTGCGCGTCGACAATGTGCTGTTCAGAACATACGACACTCGCATCTATAGCTCACATGCGCCTGGGACGAATGGCAAGACGGTAGTTGTGCGAGAGAGTGGAGGATGGGAGGCAGAGTATGCGAAGGTTAAGCAGGTGAGCAGGCGCCCTTTCCTTGAAGTCTGACAACTAATTTAGAACCCAAGCTCCTGCTGGACCCGAACGACCTGACACCCTTGACAAATCCTACTTGGATCGCTCAAGTCCTCGCAGAGAAGATACCAGGCAGCCAGAGACGCGGTGCCGGAACAGGATGGGACGGGCTGGGGAAGAGGTTGGAAGTGCTGGAGCTTTGAGAGCTCTATAACAAAATAACATGTGCTGTATTCCTGTATTATACCAAGCTACCGTGTACTTCCGCACGACGCAGTCGGCCTTTGCACCTAAGCCAGCCGTGTGAAATGAGCGCCACAAAGGCTTCCGTTTCTGACTTTGCTCCATTTGGGCAGAAGTCCTTTGTGTTTCCTTCGTCGATCAAAGCGCGCTCAAAAAATGGCCAGCACGGATTCTGTATCAATATTTGCCGAGGGGACCTTCGAGGAGCAGGTGCGTGGTGCGAGATCTACGAGGCGTTGTGCGCGGTCAGCCAGCCATAATCTAATCATCTACTACCAGATCCAAGAACTGGTCAACTTCCTCGTCAGGAATCACTCGGATGAGGAGCGCACCTCCTTCATCCGCCCGTTCTCCGAGGCGCTCAAAACTGAGGAGGGCAAGAAGTCGCTGAGCGAGGATGACGACAGGAAACGGGAGATCTTCTCGCACCTTGTACCGGAGGTGAAGACCTTGGGGGAAGGGACTGAGAAGGGTACGTCGGAGTCGATCCTGAACGCGTCCGGCGCGGTCTGATCGCCTCGCAGAGATCGAGGGCTTCTTCAATCTGCTGTTCTCCCACTTGATCTCACTCTACCCCGCCACCTCTGCCGAGGCCAGCCCGCTCCTCCCCCCTCTCATCCAGACGATCGCCTCCGCACCTACTACCCAGTCCGGCTTGAAGTACCGCATGTGCGTATACAAGCTGTGAATCTCGCCCCCTCACAAAGCTCATCTATCCCCTCATAGATTGACGAACCTCTTCAACCTCTTGCCGCGCACGTCCTCCCTGCGCCTCGATGTCTACAACGCGCTCCTGGCGATCGCTGCCGCGCAGGGCGAGCTCTCCGTGCTCCAGTTGTCGCGCACAGACGTGGAGAAGTGGATCTCGGAATGGGATGTCACGTCCGAGAAAAAGAGCCAGTTCTTGAAGGCGATCGTCGACGCGTTCGTGCAGGCTGACGATCTGTGAGTATACAATCTGCAGTGCACAATACTCCTTTGCTGATGCTGAGTATGTAGCACCACTGCATACGGATTCGTTCAGCTGTACGCACGCTCGCTGCCTCCCTCATCTCCAGAGGCCCGCGAGGCCGCGGCTCAAGCGATCTCTCTCGCTCTCCGACTACCCACCATCTTCGACTTCGACCCGTTGTTCAAGCTCGACGCTGTCGTTGCGGCGAAGGACCACGAACTCTTCCCGCTTCTGCAGATCTTCCTGAGCGGTGGCCTCCCAGAGTACAGGTCCTGGGCATCATCGAACGCCGGTGCCGTTGAGAAGTACGGTGCGTACACGATCTCGAAGCCAATAAGGCAATCGGTTGACGAAGTCGATAAGGCTTGAGCCCTGCTGATCTCGAGCACAAAATCCGCTTGTTGACCCTTGCATCGCTTGGCTTCAAGCACGTCGGGCAGAACCTGCCCTACTCCACGATCGCGGAGGCGCTGGACGTCGACGCGACGGAGGTGGAGAAATGGGTGATCGATGGTAAAGCGCCTTCTCCTAGTGCCAAGTACATCCTACTCACGTCGTCATCCCAGTCATCCGCGCCGGCCTCGTCCTCGGCAAGCTCTCCCAGACGACGAAGACGCTGCACATCGTACGCGCAACAGCACGCGCCTTCGAGCGCGAGCAGTGGGAGGCTTTGGAGAAGCGGCTCGTCGCCTGGAAGACCGGCCTGGTAGGCGTCATGGAGGTTATCGCGAACGCCAGACGGCAGGGTGGCGCAGTGCCTGTGCAGGCTCAGGCTGCGGCTGCTTGAAAGCGGAGTGAAGACCAGTATATATTGTTGACATACTGTAGCAGCAACTTTACATCTCCTTGTTGTATGTGTGTATGTACAAGCTATCATCATCTTGAGAGTACCAAGTAGCCCGGTACCGTCTCAGGTGGCCCATTTCGTACACATCGTATCTGCACTGAGTTCAGCCGCGCGCGCTTGAGGCCTCCGGAAGTTCGGCCCGTCAGAGTGTACCGATCGATCGAGGGGGAAATGTGCATTGTGCACTTAGCCGCTTCGCCTCAACCGCAACAATGGCGCCTCCAAACACGCGAAACAAGCTGAAGACGTCGTGCGTACGCTACATTGCCCGTAGGAGTCAGTGCTGATATGTATCAGGTTTAAAAAGGCACGCGTTGTGGGACCCATATACACGGGCGGACCAGTCGCGATCACCCAGGACGCAGCGAGAATCATCACTACCCTCTCCGACGAGGTCCTGCTAACAGAGGTGGTCTCTGGAGAAGAGATATTTCGGTACCCTGGGGTGCGGTTTCACTCGTGTGGAAGGGGTGTGTGCATCACTTACGCTGCTTCGCAGGATACCGAGGATGTCACCTCCCTGGCGCTCACACCATCCGGCGCCCAACTGGCTGTGTTCTCCTCATCGCTCTCCCTACGTATATTCGACGTGCCAAAGAACGGACAGACCCCTTCAACACAGCCGACACGAGTCGTTTCTCGCGCACATGACGCCCCAGTGCACGTCTGCACCGTCGACCCCACCTCCAGCTACCTAGCATCCGGCTCTGCAGATGGCGTTGTCAAAGTCTGGGACCTCGCCCGCGGCTTCATCACCCATGTCTTCAAGGGCCACGGTGGTGTAGTCAGTGCTCTGAAGTTCAGCCTCTCGCCGACGACTAGCATGCAGCTCTTCACCGCCTCCCTTGACACTCGCATACGGGTCTTCGACCTCGCGAAGCACGCTGCAAAAACTGGCGGTGTCGTAAAGCCAGACATCCTTCTCGAAGGCCACGTCTCTGTTCCGCGCGGTCTGGACGTATCACCTGACGGCAGGTGGCTGGTCAGTGGAGGCCGCGACTCGGTGGTCTTGGTGTGGGATCTGGCGGATGCGCTCAAGAACCTGTCGGCCAGACCAAAATCAGGGAAAGGCAAAGCCAAAGAGAGCTCCGTCAATACGACGCCCTACAAGACGATTCCGATTCTCGAGTCGGTCGAGGCGTGTGGGCTCGTCCAAACCGACAACGGGGCATCATCATCGTCGAATGGGGGTCTTGTGTTCTATACTGCCGGCGCGAGCGGCGCCGTAAAAGTATGGGACTGCAACTCCGGCAAGGTCCTCTACAGCCTAGGCGAGGGGTATGCTACCATCTCAGACGACGAGGAAGAGAGGCAGCAGATTACGCAGGCATTGTAAGTCTCTTCATGTCCTGCGCGTACGGTTGCTCAAGGTTGCTCCAGATATGTGCCCTCTCAATCTACCATCATCTCAGTGCACGCAGACCAGAACATCCGTTTCCACTCGCTCTCTTCTCGCACCCTCACCCGGCAGTTGATCGGCTTTAACGACGAGATCGTCGATGCAACTTTCCTCTCGCCGCGCCCTGCCTCTCGCGATACGCACGTCGCCTTGGCCACCAACTCATCTCTCATTCGACTATACTCCACCTCCACCTTCGACGCGCGCCTACTCGAGGGTCACGCCGACATCGTGCTGTGCCTTGACCACAGCGCCGACTACCGGATCCTAGTCAGCGGCAGCAAAGACCGCTCCGCCCGAATATGGGCACCAGTAGGCGACGGCGACGACGTCCAATATCGCTGCGTCGGCCTCTGCGAAGGTCACGCAGAAAGCGTCGGTGCCATCGCCATGTCGCGGAGCAAGGAGCCCGGCGCAGAGCTCTTCCTCTTTACCGGCAGCCAGGACCGCACGATCAAGATGTGGGATCTCCAGAACGTGCTTTCAAACACCGGAGACGGGCCCGTCAAGTGCAGAAGTCTCGTCACCCTGAAAGCGCACGACAAGGACATCAATTCCCTCGACGTCGCGCCCAATAACCGACTCTTGGTCTCCGGCTCGCAGGACCGTACCGCGAAGGTGTGGCATATCGACTCGCATGGCGAGCTGCGGTTAGCGGGGACCTGCAAGGGGCACAAGCGCGGCGTGTGGAGCGTGCGCTTTGGGAGGGAGGAGCGCGTGTTGGCGACGGGCAGCGGCGACAAGACGGTGAAGCTGTGGAATCTGGACGATTATTCGTGCGTGAAGACCTTCGAGGGGCATACAAACTCGGTTTTGCGCGTCGACTTCATCAATGCGGGGATGCAGATGATTAGCTCTGCGTCCGATGGTTTGGTGAAGGTGTGGAATGTGCGGGAGGAGGAGTGCATGACGACGCTCGACAATCACGAAGATAAAGTTAGTGCCCTCGGATATTTCAGTGACTACAACAAGCTGACAACCGACGAGGTTTGGGCTTTGGCAACGAGCTCTGACGAGCGCATGATCTTGTCGGGCGCCGCGGATTCGGTCGTGACGTTCTGGGAAGACAACACATTAGAGGCGCAGAAGGAAGAGGAAGACAAGCGTTCGGGGATGGTAGAGCAGTAAGTCTCCCGAAGCCAAAGTCCGTAATTCGTAGATTCAAACCATCAACAGGGAACAAGCCTTCATGAACTACCTATCCCTCCACGACTACCGGAAGGCCATCCAGATCTGCATCTCCCTCTCGCAGCCCGGCCGCCTGCTCTCCCTGTTCAAGACCGTCGGCGCCTCCGCCGAAGACCGCAGGTCCTCCATCACCGGCTCCACCTCCGTCGACGAAGTCCTGCGCACCCTCGAGGGCGCCGAACTGTGCAAGCTCCTGCGCTTCGTGCGCGACTGGAACGCGAACGCCAAGGTGAGCGCGGTCGCCCAGCGCGTGCTGTACGCGATCGTCAAGTTGCGCTCCGCGGACGAGGTCATGGCGGCGTTCACCCAGGAGCAGGGGGAGGCGGCGTTGGCGAGCAGCGACCTACATCTGAGCAGTGGTGCTGGGAGCACGGCGCTGAGGGAGGTCATCGAAGCGCTTGTGCCCTATACGGAACGACATCTGGCGAGGATGGGGCGGCTGGTGCAGGATAGCTACATGATCGACTACATCTTGGGGGAGATGGACGATGGGATGTTCGGTGTGGACGCCGATGGTGATGCGATGCCGATCGACTCGCCTATGGCAGTTGCGGCGTCAGCATAGATGTTGCGCTATGGCTGTAGCATAGAATTGTCGCGTGCATGATACTGTACAATCATATATGTATTCCCTCCTATGCATAATCTCGGGTTAAGGCAACGCTCCTATTGCTGCGTGTTATGGCTATGGCTATGGCGTTGGCACTTCTCTAGCAGGCTTCCTCGTAATCGTATTCGTAAACCTCGCCACACCCTCTTCAGGACGTTGGCCACCTAGATGTGATCAGACTGTACGCACGAGCAGCCTCACCCACGCGCACCGTCGTTGGGGCCAATAACTAGTTCTGTACGTAGCTCCATCTACTGTTGCATGTAGCCCGCGTCTGCACCCATCCCAGGCATAGGCATCGTCAACATCATTGGCGATGGGTTCTCCGCACCGAAGTCCTATGGAACATCAGTAGCGAGCACGTAGCACACTACAGGTCGCGTACATCAACTGCAAAGTGAATCAGAGATTCCTGGCATTCTTAACTCAGAAAATAGAGCACGCACCATGCGTACTCGGCATCCTGCTCGTATTCTGCATCGACGCAGACAACTGGCGCAAGTGCCGGAAATCGTTCTTTGAGTATGTCTTCGTCAGGCCTGTCGCTGCGGGAGAGCGCAGGATTGCCGTCGGTGGGGAGATGATGGGGCCGAGAATATCAGGTGTGTTGCCGTTGCGCTTTGGCGTCGACGGGGCTGTCTGTGGCCGGCGCGCGTTTTCCAGCTCCTCTGGGATGATTGTCCAGGTTTCGGGGAGGGTGACGAGGGGTGGAAGGAGGATCTCGTCCTCGTCGACGGTGATCTTCGTGCGAACCTTTTCGAGGATTCGTGCCTGGTCGGCGGGGAGGGAGTCGGCAAGGAGGTCGTAGAGGTGGGAAAGGTTGTCGAGGGAGATGGCGGAGAGGACACGGAGCGACTTGTTTGCTTGGGAGGCCAACCAGCCGAGGATGGAGATAATGGAAGAAGACACTTCCGATGGTAACGCGGTTCTTTGAGAGACGGTCGAGAGGGTTTTTCTAAGTTCCATCTTGAGAAGGGGTGGTTTGATGACTGTCGACGGGAGGGCGCGGATGATGGCAAGAGCAGAGTCCAAACGGGTCGATGATAGATCTGACTGCACGCCTCGCAACAACCAAAGAGCTGTGATGAAGCGGAGGCCATCTTCTAATACACCTCCGTCTGCTTTCGCCAAAGCTACCGCGAGATCTGTGAGGTCGACCGACGTATATTGACGTTCCAACATCGCTGTCAGGCAGGCTGTGAGGTCGGCAGACAGGCCCTCGGTGCATCGGAAGGCGTCGATTGTCCACGTTGCAAGCGGGGCATCCTTGCTAAGGAGTTTCGCCAGCAAGCGCGCGGACAAAGCCAAGTCATGAAGTTTCCACGATGTCTTGGTGTCCGTGGAGGAGGCGTCGTGTGGAAGGTCCTCCAAAAGCTTGCCCATATGCTTGACTTCCTCCGTCAACAGCCACTCCCCCACGCCAATCAACCCATCGTCGAGCTTGATCAGGCGCTCCAGAAGCTGAATCTTCCGCTCCACGTCCAGCGCTCGAAAAAACGCACTGAGCTCACGAAGCACGTGCGGCAGGATATCCGCCACCCAGTACGACGGCCCGTTGCTGTCCGACATATCCTCCGCGCGCGGAAGAAGGCGCTCGACCACCTGGAACACGCCCGCCAGATGCAGTGCCGGATCCTTCCCCTCGCTGCGTAGAGCACTCTCGAACAACGCCCGGAGCACGACCTCCGCCCCGGGCTTGCCCGCGTCCGTCCGCGCGTCCTCGGTGCACAGCTGTGCGAGCAGCTCAAGGCAGCCGAGCTCGGCATCGCGCGCGGATACGCGAATGTTGTCGCGGCCGGTGTTGGGTGTGGGATAAGCGGAACCCACCAGGCCCGCGCAGACGATGACGTGCGCCATTGCGGTTGCGAGTTCGTACAGAGGGCGACTCGATAGCGGGTAGGCGCCAGCCAGAGGGGAGATGACGGCCACCAGGTCTTCCGCCGTAAGAAAGAGCTGGTTCAGCATGGCCGCGCCCCCGGAAGGAGGCAGCATGCGAACGGAGAAGTGTGCATTGAGGTCCTGTACGACGCCCTTAAGCAGGTCACCAAGGATCACTAGTAGCCCCTGCTTCTTCTCGGAGTGCAACGCCTGGATGACGTCCCACTCGCCCCGCACCGTATCTTCCAACGCCTGCTCGACCATGGCCAAAGCGACACGGACAACGGACAGACGACGTAAGGTATACGGATGCTCTGAGTCCTGCGCAAGGCCTTCGACACCTTCCTGGAGCCCATCGTCGACGGCCCTTGCGAGCTTCTGCATGGCTATCCGGGTGTCCTCGGTAATGTAGCTGAGGGGAGGTTGAATAGCGAGGATGGTAGTCACCAGCTCGTCGCGAAGTACGGCTTTGGGCTCGAATGCAAGGTCGGTAAGGATTTGTTCGGCGAGCAGCTCGGTTCTGCGCGGGGCGGTTCTGTCCTCCATGCTCCACTTGATGCGGCGGCAGGTCTGGTCCAAAGCAAGTATGAGATTGACTATCTGTACAATTATGAGCAAAAATGTCTTCTTGACGCAGGTTCCCCACCTCTGAGTAGCCGGGTGCTTGTTGCCACAAATGCAGCACGGCCAGCGCGCGCTCGAAGCAGATATCGTTCGCGAAGCAGTCTGCCCAACAAGCCACGCCAACAACGGCAGCAGTACCAAGGAAGGCTTTCAGGAAGGCAGTGAACTCGTCGCTGCTTATTTCTCGTCGTCTCCGCCTCAAACACAGAGGCGGCAACGTAGAGGTCGCAGGCAATGGTCGCTGGGCTAGCCTTTCACTCATATCTTGGTGCTGTACCATGCACAGGAGCCAGATCCCGAGCGAGATCTCCTCAGTCCCAATGTCAGCGAGGAAGCGCGTGGCAGCAAAGTAGTCGCATCCATCGGCGTCCTCGAGGGCATCCTCGAATATACGCCAACCTTGCAAGCGAGCTACTATCCTGCTTGCGATTGAACGTCGATGGCGAGTGGCGCTTGCCTTAGATGATATGGATTGCAAGCTGGCCAGGAAGTCGGGTGTGCAGAGATGACGAGCAATGACGACGTTCGCGCTTGCGTAGAGAACATCTTCGAGAGACCAGTCCTCAAGAGGCTCCACAGCGAGAATCTTCGACGCATCCAAGGCAGCCTGGAGTCGGTCAGTGAGTGTGCGTGGCGGGTTTCTGATATCACTGACAAAAAGACGTTCGGGAACGACCGACGGGTGCGCAGCCACATAACGCAGCATGCGAGAAACAACTTCAGCGTGATCGTTATGCTGCTGAAGGTCAACACAGAACGTAGGTTCCCTATGGCGCACGCACCTCGTCAATGGACCGCGCAAATCTAGAAAAATATGCTGAGATATCCTCTTCTGACGCGGTCTCGCTGATAGGGCGGGTCCAGTAGATTACCGCTCGGAATTTGAAGTCCTCGAGCTGCTCAGCAAGGTCTACATAGACGTTGGGATAGTCCGGATGATCCCAGGTGTCGTCGTCAGGTTTAAGACAGAACTGAGAGCGCAGGATAACGTGCAGAGGCGGAGGGTTTTTCAACAGCGTCATTAGCTTCGTAGCAACAGAGGATGCGTCTTGAGCGTTAACGAGATCTAGGGCTGCACTCAAAGGTCGCGGCTCGATGGAACTCAGTGATACTGGAGCAGGTTCCGGCTTTGGAGCAGCCAAATCGGAGACGAGGTCGCCGTAGACAGCAAGCGAAAGCCGTTTGAAGTTGCCCTTGACAATCATGAGGCGGGTGGCATGCTGTAAGCGATTAGATCGACAAGCGGTATATACGGGAACCTACTAACCTCTGTTCCCATGTCTACTGTATAGTCAACATGACTCCCTGCATATGCGAGAGTAGTCGGAACAAGCGAATTAGGAAACCTGTTCTTGTCCCTCTCGGAAATATGGATAGGAGTGGCGTTGAAGAAGAGCTCGGCATAGAAGCATTCCGGTGCAGTTTCGCTGCAAGCAATTATATGTTAAGTGTACCTACGACGCAGAGTGTCACCCACGAAGTGAAGTCCTCGTAATCCGCAAAGGGTCGTGCTCCCTTGGGAAATACGTGAATGCTGGCGACGCGGACCGGGGCCGAGAAGCGGATGGCCGCAAGGTTGGAAGGTCCCTGCGGGTAGAGCGTGCACCAACAGAGGAGACCCATGGCGCCAAGGTGAAGTTGAAGTTGTGGGCGCCTGTCGTCGGCCGAGGTGGGCGAACGCAAGGAGCACCGGCGTTTGCCGGTGGTGTGGTGCGAGAATGAGATGGGTTGCCGTTTTCGTGCACTGCTTTCGTGGTCCCTTCCTTCATCTCCTCCAGCGCCAGCGTGCGCATAAAGACGCGCATAATGGCCCGCAGCGTGCCCTCGATACAAGTGCCCGTGCTCAACAACATCCAAGTGCCGTCCATGCCGCGCCCGACCACCCACAGGATGCGTACCAGAGACCGATCAGGCTCGCTCGTCAAGGTCGAGGAGGTCCAGGACCGCTCAGTGGAGGACGTGCTCGACCGTAGCGCGTACGTGAACATCAACGCGAACTGGGTCAATGCAAAGGGTGCGTAGAACGACGAACAGGGGCGTCCGCGGCCGCTGACGACATGGCTGCATAGGCGCCTGGCTCATCCACATTGTCCTCATCATCACGGGCAAAATTATCATCGACACCATACCTGGGATGACCCCGCAGATAAGCTGGACGCTGGTCAATCTCATCTATCTCGCTGTGCGTGCCCCTTGCCTTCGATACCCGCGTCCGCAGTTCTGAACCCCTCCACGCAGCTTACCTATCTAATGTTCCATTGGGTAACGGGCATACCCTTCGAGAACGATCTCCACGGAGGTGCATACGATGACCTCACGCTCTGGGAGCAAATAGACGACGGCGCACAATATACGCCCGCCAAGAAGTGGTTGTTCTGCGTACCGGTGGCGCTGTACGTGGCACACCCTTCCTCACCCTATATTCAACTAATTCCACTTCTTCCTCCCCCAGTTTCCTCGCGTCCACACATTACACAGCCTACAACCCCTGGGTATTCGCTATCAACGTCAGCGCCCTCATCTTCGTCCTCATCCCTAAGCTGCCGCAGGTACGCAATCGCAGCTTACGACCTCGGCACTCTGGCCTTGCTGACAACCCACCCCTTAGCTACATCGGCACCGCCTTCGCTTTATGACGGCCCCCGATACTGCCTCTGGCTTCTCGACCCCGGTGACGCCCAGCTTCCCGCCCTCCGGGATGTCGACACCCATCGGTGAACGCCCATCGCCGCGCGACATAACCGAGGCGCACTTCCGGTGACCCTTCCTGTCGGATATCTTATGGTTGTTCATGGACAAGCTTTTGGAGCCCCACACTCTCTGCAGCATCAAACCCCACACACATCCTGGTACGGTTGTACTAATACAAGACCATTTATTTCGATACATATAATGCTCTCTGTCTAAATTACATCTCTGTCCCAGGCTCGCTCTATGGGTGCTACGAAGCCTTCGACTCCTCCTTGATTGCGTCTTGGTACTGCTGCAGCCGTAGCCTATTTATTGGAATAAGCAAAAGGACTGACGCGTTCGGACAGGCACTTACAGGTTGCGCAAAAGCATAAGGATGGTCACTTTGCCAACTGCAGGTACGTACAGTGATGCCTGTATCGGGGTCAGACGCAACTCGGCGATGACGACGCGATGACCCTCACCTTTTCCCGCACATCGGCCTCGAAGTTCTTGTCTGCGGCCACATTGACGCAGACGCAGCCGTCCTTGAGCCATGCGGTCTTGACCTTGTACGATGGGCTGGGGACGGCAGAGACGACAACGTCAGCGATCGCAAGGCAGTCCTTCAGCTCCATGCTGCACGGGTGGACGACGTGGCGAGGGTGGTACCGGCGCGCTGCGTCTTCTGTATCCCTCGGGCGCTTGGTGTACTCCTGCAACGCGGTCAATTCCCATTCATTGCCTTCGAGAACACTGTACGGACCTGAATGGAATCAATATCCACCGAGAACACACGCGCGCCGTCATTCGCCAGCAGCGCCGCCAGCGGGCGTCCCACCACTTCAGACCTGCCACCAGATCAGCCACTAGGCCCATATGCTTCCTTTCACATCTTCGACACGCACCGGTTGATAACCACGATAGTCTTCCCGTACGCGCGGTCGCCATACGGGAGCAGCTTGTTATACACGCCTGCGTGCTCGAGGGTCTTCACGACCGCCAGAGGCGTGCAGGGGATGATCGACTTGAACGTGCCGGGCGGCGGGGTCTCCGTCTTGGAGTGGTCCGGCGCGCTCTCGGTGGACACGGTCATCGTGGACGAGGTGAGCGAGCGGGGCTCGATGAAACGGATGCTGAGAATGTCAGGTCAGTTTCGAAGTTCAATGAGGTGGGATTGTGGGTGCGATCCCAAGGGTGGGTGAAGGGCTATCAGGGGGAAGGAGGAAATGAAATTCCTACGTACTTGTGGTACAAGTTGTAGTGGAACTTGAAGTGCAGGCCCTCCACGTCCTTCAGCGGCGAGACCACCTATAATGGCTATATCTTCGGCTTTTGTGCTGATGCGGGCGCCCTACCTGCTGCAGGTAATGGTCCTGATGATCCTCATGAGCATCTCTCCCCAAGGCATGCACTCTCTCACAAACGCACCTGCTGCGATCCAAATATGGGGAAGTAGACCTATACGCATCACGACCCATTAGCCTTTAACCTTCCCTACTTCCATCCCCCTTCCTACCACCCACCATAATTCCATCCACCCCCTCATCCTCATTCGCCTCAATGATCGCCTCCTCCACGCCCTCGCCCTCCGCCAGCGCCGCGTCCTTCGCCGCCCCCGTCGTACGGAGCTCGAACTGGAAGCCGAGATCCTCGCACTGCTTGCGCGTGAAGTCCGCGTAGAAGCGGCTGGGCGCGGCTGCAGTGGCAAGGATGCCGACGAGCTTGGGTGGGCGGGGGCGCTGGGCGAGCGCAGTCTTGACTTCTTCGCGGAAGGTGGCGGCAATGGGGTCTGCCTTCAGCAGGACGCCTTTGGGTGCGGCGGCCATAGTGGAAGAAATGGTGGTGGGCAGATGTATGTGGGGGCAGTGTGTATTGTAAGAGGGGAAAAGAAAAGCGGAGGAGGGGGATGGGGAATAGGGGATGAGGGGGTCGGGGACAGACTGACCAAGTGGACAGGCGCTTAGATCGCCACTGATCGTCGTTGATCAAAAATTGTCGTCATCCCGATAACGGCTCGATCGCGTCAAGACGCGTCGCGTCGCTCTCGATTCGAAATAGCTAGGCAGGCAAGCGCAGTCCAGCTGACATCGAATCCCGGAACGCGGACGACTTTCGAATAGAATTCAATGGATGAAAACAACTGTACACATTCCACAGATCAGCACGAAAATAAATACTAAAAGTACACACATCATGCCTTTCGTGAATTCATACCTCCACCCAATACACCTCATAGTTTCGCCCCCTTCCTCTTCCCCTTGATGCCCTGCGCATCCAGCCATTCCAGTACTTTAGCTGTCACGAGCTCCGGCTTCTCCAGCATCAGCCAATGCCCACCACCTTCCAGGGCGACGTCCTGCAACCGAGGTACGAATTTCGACGACGCGGCGACGGCTTGTGGGGGCGTGGAACGGTCCTTCGTTCCCCAGAGAAGTAGAACGGAAAGGTCTTCTGGCAGGGAGGTGGGGAGGTTGGCAGCTGTAGTGGGATTGAAAAACATGAGAAAACTAAGCAAGGAGGGAAATAAATGTGCGCACCTTGCTCCTCATCAAAGCGGAGTTTGGTCGTACGGTAGTAGTTAGTGGGCCCGCGCATGCCTTTGCTAAATTCCTGGACGTAGTAGCGTTGCTCCTATGGATTATCAGTCTCAGTCCAAGTAAGCTCGGTGGATGACACGGCAGGCATCGTGCGAGCTCTTGCTGGAGGTTTGGCACAAAACAGTTAAGCCTCACCTCGTCGTTGAGCCATACTTCGTACTTCTTGTCCTCGCGAGCCAGCGTGTCCTCAAAGTTGCGGAATAGCTCGCCGCCGCCGCGTCTGCTGAACAACAGTTGTACGAAGCGCGGAAGCTGTTGAGGTCCACCGAGTCAGATGTATGAAGCACACATGAAGCGTCCGACACTTACTCTAGCTTCAATGAAGTCCATCGACTGCGGGCTGTTCAGGTAGCCTTGGTACGCCCAGTTCGGAAACTTCTTGATCATCTCGTCAAGGGAAACGTACGCAGGCGGCCGGGGCATGTACGGCACGGATATGCTGAAAGTCAAGCCAGTCAGTAAGCAGACTAGTATTCATCGACGACGGTGACTCCGGAGCTCACATCACGAGCGCCAGTAGCCGCTGAGGATGCCACAACGCGAACCGTCCCACGACGTAAGCGCCCCAGTCGTGTCCAATGAAGACCGCCTTGCGCACGTCTAGGAGGTCCAGAAGTGCAGCTAGGTCATTGCAGAGTTTCTTGGTCGTGTACTCGGCGGCGTCGTGGGGTTTGTCGGTGCCGCCGTAGCCTAGCATGTCCGGTACGACGACTCGGTAGCCGGCGTCTCTCCAGGGCTTGATTTGGTTACGCCATCCATACCTGGTGAGCTCATTCAATAAAGCGGTTCGTAACCGGTAGTATGAAGACATACCAAAGGTCGGGGAAGCCATGAATGCAGAGCAGAACAGGTGTACGACCATGTTCATAGTCCGGAGGCAGCTCGTCAACGAAGTGGTATGTCCGCCCCGTTGACAGCTTTGCCTGTCTGTGCATATTAGCAAAAGCACACTGGAAAGTTTGAAATGGCGCTACCTGTGGTTGAAGCTCCTTGGGTCAATGAAAGTCATGGCTTGAACTCAAGGAGTAGCCAAGAATCAGGTGGAAGTTGAACTTGAGGTCTCCTCGGCCCGGAGGCGAAATCAGGTCCCGGCGTTTGCCGTGCTACGTATGACGTGAGTCACTTGACATCAAATTTTCGGCATGCAGCGGCGGCAGTGTGCCGGATTGCTGACCACTGACGGTCCTTGTCCTGAACGTCCTTGTTTTGGTCCTGCACGCACTCGCCACACGCCTTCCACTCACATCACAGGCGCCTCCCGTTCCCCAGCACTCCCCTTACGTCACCGCATTCTGCTCCTATACTTCCCCCGCGTGCCACATTTCGCCTGCATTCCAACTTGCACCTTCCCGTAAGGTCTGCCTTTGTTCGGGCGGCGAAGAACTCTATCGATTGACCGATTTTCCAGTCCTCTATGCCTGCCCCCGTTGCCTCGTCCTCCTCGCTCCGCCCAGCCAAGCCTGCTTTGCCCAAAAAGCATGCACAGCCCGCAGCCGCGAACAAGAAGACCAGGACGATCAGGAGGAGGGGACCCCGCAGAAACGGCGCCGACAGCGACGATGAACTCGAGCGCGAGGTCGGCTCAGACTCTGAGTCCGACTACACCGTATCCTCAGCGTCTTCCGACGAAGACAGCGAGCTCGATGACGCCCACCCTGAGAATCGCTCCCACCCCCTCACCCCGAGTACGTCCCAGAGCCCTGAGGACGGCGCCTCGGTGACCAAGGATGTCCCCCCTTCCACCAACGGCAAGTCTTCGTTCTTCACGGATGCGAATGCTTGGTCCGAGATGGTAGCCGACGAAACTCAACACGGGCAGGCGGATTTACCAGAGATCGACTTCGAGGAGTTTGAGGGGAATCCGTCCGCCATCGACAGGGAGGGCGCCCCCTCCCCTGAGGAGGCCCAACCGTCCACATCATCCCCCAGGGTAGACGATGACGACCCAGAACACACCCCTACTTCATCTCGGCCCAAGCGTGAGCGCGAGCCCATACGCGGCAAAGCTCCGGGCTTTTCAGCACGCCAGGCATACCAGAAACGTCTTGAGGACCCCGCTTTCGTCCCAGTAGTGGGCGAATTCTGGGGTCACGACGATCGCCTGCTTGACAAGTCGCTTCGCAGCCTCAGCGGTTGGTGGCGCGGCCGTTGGCAGGGCCGTGGTCGCGGCATGGGCTTCCGTGGTCGTGGTCGCGGGGGCTACTTCGGTGGGCCCGGTCGACCCGGTCCGGAGGAAGTAGAGCAGGAGAACCTTCCACCGGTTGAACGCACCTGGAGACACGACGGCTTCGAGGAGATGCAGAAGCAGGAAGAGCAGCGTCGTACTGTCCTCCAGCGCAGGCAAGCACAGCAGCAACCCTTCCCTCGTGGTGCAGGCAACTTCCGCGGACGTGGCTTCGCCCCTCCGAGGGGTGGGTTTGCACCTTTCCGTGGCGGCATGAACGCGTCGCCGTCAACACGGTCAAACTCGCTCTTCCCACCCCGCGCCTTCTTCGCTATGAAGCCCGAGAAGGTGTTCACCAAGCAGCACGAAGCCTTCCTGTACTTCGATGCCGCGCTCAAGCCTCGCCCGGGTCAGCCTCCAGCGTATCGTGTGCGGGTGGGCGACGAAGCTCCGACGGTGGTACGTGCGACGTCGTACCCGCGGCGGCGCTCGAATGCGACCAAGTCCACTGTCGCTGCGCCAGAGGCCGCAATCACCGAGTTTGTGGTGCGACTGCCCAAGTCGACTGGTAAGGCAAAGGCACCTGGTCCGGCGCCCAAGCCAGCCGCCGCAGCTGCGCCTGAACCAGCGCCAACAGAGAAGCCTGCACTGCGGAGGCCTGCCTCACCTGCCCCTGCTCCTGCACCGCCACCACCAAAAGCAGAGTCGCCGAAGGTCGCACCTGTTGAGGCACCTCCTGTCGCCAGCACGTCTCAGCAGCCCCCTCTGCCTCCACCTGTTGAGCCACCTCGGAAGGAGGAGCCCTTCACTGCGCCGCCGCCAGCGTCTGCTCCTGCTTTCGTGCCCGCCGAGCCTCCTGGTTTCGAGTATCAGCAGCCGCCCCACCTGCCACCGCCACCCGTGTCCGCGCCGGCGCGCCCGAATCCTGCCCCGATACAGACAGTGTTCACTCCGCCGCCGCCCCAGTCGCCGTCGTATGGCTCGCCCTACGGGTACGCGGCCCCGCTACCGCCAGGCGTCGCCTACAACCACATGGGTGGGGCGTACGAGATTGCCACCGGCCGCGCTGTATATCTCCAGCCACCGCCGCCACCGCCTGCACCCATGCCCATGTACGCCCCGCCCCCGCCGCAGCCTGTCATGTCCGCACCTCAGCCGGTCATGCACGGGATGCCCAGCAGCGGGTTCATGGCCGGGCACCTGCGCCACCACTCGCACGTCTCGACCGACTTCCTTCCGCACCCGCATACGCCGCTCAGCGCGCACACCCCGCCGGTGGGCAACCTGATCGACCCCTCGACGGGTGCGCCGATCTTCGCGCCTCCGCGGCAGACGTCGCGCGTGCAGATCCGCGCGCCGACGGGCGAGGAGGGGAAGGGGAAGGCGAGTGGGCTGCGCAGCTCGGCGGTGCCGTTCCTGCCGCCGGTTCAGGAGCAGCAGCAGCAACAGCAGCAGCAACAGGTGCATCATCAGCCTCAGCCCAGCTACGGGGAGGCGGATATGACGGGGCAGGTTGCGCCGGTGAATGGTGGCTATATGGGGTACAACCCGTACCAGCAGTACTACTACCCTGAGAGCTACGGGTATCCTTACCAAGGCAACCCGTACGAGGCGTATCCTACGGACCCGCAGGGCGGCTACGAGCAGCAGGTCGGGTACGAGGCCCAGCCTGTCTACGATCCTCAGACCGGCTACTACCAATAGTTTCCACCTTCACGGCCTTCACCAAACGTTGTCGACGACTGCGCAATCTTTCTTCTCGCTCCTGTAGTAATTACCCTCTCAACTGTGCCAAACCTCATCTCACAATTCCAACCTTCACTTTACTTGGCTCGCACAATTGTCCCTCGACTCATCTTTCCCGACTCACCCCTGTCTCTTGGTTCCGTTGTAGTACTAGTTGCCCCATTCTCTGACATTCTGCACGTGTACATACTCAGTGGTTTCCGCTCAAGTTTTCCTCGCTGTCGTGCCTTGTTCCATTGCTTGTGCTCTGGCGTGTCCTAATACAATTCCTCTTTGACTGCCTCTTTCTGCGCACGGCATCTCTTTTCATTCTCACGATCCCGCAGAAGATCTTAGCATGTGCAGAAGTGTAAGGTCTGCAGTCGAGCACTGGGAGACAAGGTCGCCGTTGCAGACGAACAAATACACGACAACAGAGGCGCGTCAATAATTATTGATCGCATCAAGGCGCGCTCCTTGTTCTCGACTGTCAGTCCTCCCTTCCCCACAAGCAAGAGTCTTTACTTCCCGGCCATTACCATGAAGAACGACAAGCCAGAAGAGGATGAGATCCCTCAGTTGCAGCGGCCCCCATCCCCGCCGCCGCACACAACGTTCGCGACCCGCCAAATACATGTACGAAGCCGCGCACCACGCCGCCTGCACATCTAAGATGCATTTCGCATGTTCTCCTCTACCTCACCAACAACCCTCGAATGGCACATATTACCCTACCAATCTTGTGGAACTGCGCGCGAACACCAGCCCCCCTCGTTCTCCGCCTTCAAGCCGCGCGACTACCGGTTCACCGGGCAGGCGCGTAGCATGTCGCACGTTGCGTGGAGCTGCGATGGGAAGCGTATAGCAGCTGTGGGGCTCGACAAGATGGCACGCGTATGGAATGCGGACAAGCAGGTGGGCACAATCGTCCTCGAGCTCTATCTTCCTCTCGATCGCTCACCGAGCTCCTCCTCTTCCCCTTGACCCTCCATCCCCTGCTTCTCTCACACTCACCCTAAATCCATATTGATGTCTCCATCAGCTCGAACCTCGATTGGCCACGCTTTATAGTGGAACTCATACTGATGAGGTCAACTACGTTTCCTGGAACCCAACACATCCAGATATGTTCTGCACGTCAAGCGTGGTAGATCGCAGAATAGTATTCTGGGATGCTCGACGTACGTTCTTATATGATGATACCTGCCGCCATTGCTGACCACAACGCTTGCTTTGATCCTTCACCTACTTCCCCGCCTTCCACACACAGAAAAAAGCCGCTCAATAACACACGTAACCGTCCCTCACGGTCCCATCATGACGAACTACTCCCCAGATGGCAAACACCTCCTCTACACCTACTACAAGCCCGCCACCGACGACGACCGCATCGCTCAGTACCAGGTCTCTTTCCTCACCAATAGAGGTACCAATGACTGGGAAATGATGAATACGCCGACAACGAAGGGCTCGAGGGGGATCTTCAGCAACGCTGGCGACGCGGTGATCGTGGCGCATACTGGGATACATAGCCTGGACGTGTACAATTTTCCGGAGATGTCGCATTTTGAGACGGTGTCAGCGCATGTGGGCGGGTCGACGTCGATTGCGATGGATCCGAGGGGAAGGTGCGTCGGATGGGTGCCCTGTCGATTGCAGGAGACTGAGATGGTATAGATATCTTGCGTCGGGAGGCCTGGACGCGATTGTCAATCTCTTTGACCTCGACGAGTGGATATGCGCACGAACAGTAACTTCTTGCGAGTACGTTCTATTTCTTCGGCTGCCCCTTGACCAGGACTGATCACTATGTCGCCAGTCACTCCATAAACGCTGTAAGCTTCTCGTTCGACGGCGAATACCTAGCCATGGCAACCGCTGGGTCCTACATCGACATCGTAAGTCGCCCTCGCCCATGACATTCTCGTCTTCGCATTACATTGATACTCATACTGGCCTTCCTCCTAGTGCGCGACCGAGACCGCTGCCCCTCTACACCGAGTCGCCTCCCCGGGCCCCGCACCGACAGTAGCATGGCATCCTTCGCAACACGCGATCGCCTACTGCTCGAAACCGAAGGTCGGGCGCGAGAATCCTACTTCGGCGTTCGCGTACGTTAGTACCTTTGGTGTGATGGAGTAGGGTAGGTAGGCGTTCGCGATGTAGACAACTGCAATTGCGCAACCAGACCATACTTGCGACTTGCTGTCATTCTCGTCCCCTGGTGCGTCATCGTCCTATACGCCTCACGCTCAGTTCGCGGCCCAAGTGAGCTCGCGCGCCGCTTGGCTCGCTGAACATTTCCCTAACGACCATGTTTGCTGTTGGCTGTTCGGCTTTTTGCTTGCTACCTCTATGCCTGGCACCGTGACATTCAGAAGGTTCAAGCACAGATTCCGTCTGTCAATATATTGGCAGATGATGCATGTCCCATTGCTACGGTTATATGGGCTATCCAAGTACAGTTTGATATAGTAGATACAGCATAGTGGTGGCCTTGCCAAAGATCACGTATTGCCCAGGCTACGAATTGGCGCCTGCGGGCTGATGCTCATGGCATTCAGCGACTTTCCCAGTCCCATCGTGTCATCGTCCCCACCGTCCCCTTCGACAGGTCGAGAAATCGCCAAGTAAGCAGGCGCCTCGTAGCTCTGAACCCCGGCTACCTCATCGTCTTCATCATCGTCTTCGTCGTCGTCGTCGTCATCGCCCCCGATCGCCACTGACGCCCACTCCCTGTACACCGCCTGGATATACGGCCCCGACCGCGGCAGCTTATACGGATCGAACGGGAAGAACGTGTGCAGCTCCGCGTCCCGCTCCCTCGCGGCCCCGTCATCCGCACTCCTGCGGTTCGCCTCCAGCACCGGGAAGCAGTACATGAAGTTCACCGCGTGCGCCACCCTCGCGAACTGCAGCACCACGTTCTGCGAGCACACGCGCAAGGGATTGAGAGGTGCATTCACAACGCGGTGCAGCACGTCGAGCGCGGGCATCCACTTGCGCGTCCCGAGCTCCTCCAACACGAGCTCCTCGTCCTCGAGCAGGTCGCGCCAGCGGAAGCAGAAGATGAGGAACACCGCCTGCGCGACGGCGTACCACACCGTGTTCTCCGCGGCGCTCGTCGTGTAGGTGTCAGTGTCCGCAATGGCGTCGAGGTGCGCGCCGAGGAAGCCGCAGAGGACGGCGACGACGCGGCGCGCGCTCTCGCGGTCGACGTAGCGCGCGCGGCTGACGAAGCTGCCGATGTAGCTCGCGGCGGCGGCGCGGGTGACGGCGGGCGCATCGGGGCGGAGGAGCGCGCGCTCGACGAGGACGCCTGCGAAAAGGTCGGCAAGCTCGGCGTCGAGGGAGGCGAACCAGAATAGGAGGAACTGTGTGTAGCGCGACTTGAAGGTGCGGAGGATAGTGCGGTCGAAGATGGCGAGGAGAGTGTGGAATTGGGTACGCCGGAGGGCGGCACGAGAGGCAGGGGTTTGAGGTGGCTGAGGCGGAAGTGCGAGAGGGATTGGTGAGGGCGAGGAGGGCGGAAAAAGAGGGAGAGATGGAGATGAGACGAGAGGGGATATTGGCGATGATATTGGTGGTAGCGGCGGTAGCTCAAGGGAGACAGATGATGGTCGCGGGTCTGGCCTTGGCTCTTCACAGTGAAGATGGTGGAAATGGTTGAAGACGAGAGTCAGGATGGAGTCCAACTTCGTGACCATCTCCTGAATATGCTTGACGTTCGTAGGCACGTCTGGCGAGTCCTCGTCTTCTTCGGCATCGGACGATATGTCGCTGAGGTTGTCGATCCCATCGTCCGAATCAGAATCAGAGTCGGAATCCTCGGCATCCTGACCGACAAGTGTGTCGAAGGGGTCGATTTCGAAGAGGTCCTGGTCTTGGTTCGCATCGTCCCCCTCCTCATCCTCCAGCTCCTCAAGCTCCACTTGGATCTCAACCTGCACTGATGTGAGCTTGAGTAATTCAGCATGCAAGTACGACTTACGTCGATTTGAATTGCACGGTCGACTATGGTGGCAAGTATCTTATCCGCAAGCTCAGGACAGTAGCCAGATATACGCAACAGGTTGCGAATATACGTGGACTGCGAGATTTGACTCTGACGTTTATGCGGGAAGTTGCGCACGAGCAGGGGCAGCAACGTCGACGATAGCGTCGGTATAAGGGATAGTACATGCTGCAGAAGGTTATGCAACCGATCGTAGACGACTCGGCGTGTTAGAGGCTTCGAAGAGCCCTCGGGGACCGCGGAGTCGAGCGCCTGCAAGCCTGACTCTGCATGACTGTGAGATCGTGTGGCGCATGACGAGGGATGGGTCACGCACGATGTGTGAAACCCTGGGCAACCTTGCCGAGGACGAGGGATAGGTACTCGGGCTTTGCGCTCAGCAGCATGCCGAAGAAGACCGTGAAGGACTTCACGGAGGAGCTGTCCATCGTCGTCCATGGTACATTGACGATCGCCTCAACCAGGGAGGCATGAGCGCGCTCCAAGCGGGAGACGACATGTGAGAGGGCGAGGATCCAGAATCGCAGCTGCGAGGTCTGCGGCTGGTTTTCCTGGTCGAACCGCTTCGGATCGAATTGGCTGACAAGCTCGTCGTAAGGCTCGCTGTTTCCCTGCACATGCTCGTCAATCGATGCCTCGTGAACCTCTCGCTTGTCTTGCTCACCTCAAGCTTCTGCTGCAGGGCGTTGTTCACAAAGGCAAGGTACATGTCCTTGCGGTATTGCTCATCCTGGCGGATGCGCGAGTTGGTGGCGATCGGGCGGCGCACGAGGGCTGGTGCGGGGGAGGAGGATTTTCTGGTTGGTGTGGAGGCTTTCTTGGTGAAAGACTCGAGAGTAAGCTTCGGAGACTCCATGTAGCCTCTGGAAGCTGCCTTGGGCCCGATTTTGGGCGGGCGCTGGTTGAACTGGACGAGGCGCGAGTGAGGGTCCATGACTGCAGCACGTCTGAGCAGACGAAAGTGATCGGGCACTTCTTGATGCTGCCATCTTTGTTTGTCATTCCCAATGAGGAAGTTATCTCCGGAGGTGCTTCAATGGTGCACAATGTCGTAGGCATACTCAAGGAGTTCTGGCTTCAGTTATTTGATGTGCTTTACAAGCGCATGCAGGCTCAAAAGTGTAGAACAAAGGATGGGAAAGGGCAACAATGCTTGACGTCGTTGATGCCTTCCCGGCAGATCCCGGCCGGCGTTCCCGAGCAAAGCGCGCTCGCGCTCGTCCTCAACCAGCAGCACCATGTCGGCGACCACGGCGTTCTCGTCGGCTCACCGCTACTACGTCAAGTCCCTCTACAAGCGCATGCTTAAGGATGCCCTCGACTGGACCATCCAGCGCGACATTTGGCGCATGAAGGCCATGCAGATTCGCGCTGAGTTCGAGGCGAACCGGTGTGTAGCAATAGACATCATTGGGCGGACAAAGAAGCTGATTCTTTGTGCTCTTTCAGCCACGTCACCGAGCCGCGCCAGCTGTCTGCGCTCTTGGCGAAGGCGGAGGCTCGTCTTAAGGCCGGGCAACACCCCGACCCCGTTATTCGTGCGTGATGCATTGGATGCACTTATGTACATAGCTAACATCTCTTGCAGCCCCCAAATTCCCTGGTGGTACTCAATGGTGCGTTATCAATAATATCCAGTTGCCGACTTTCTAACTTCGTATCTTAGGGAGCGGAATGCGCCGGTACTACTTTCGTCAATTGTGTCTGCGTCGACATCTAACCTCTTCCCCAGCCCGCGCACACTAAGCCGCCCTACGACCACGAGCACGATCTGCACTAGACTGTACCGTGCTTACACAATCATCGTTGAATCTATCGCCCGTTCGCCGCCCTCAATCCTCCGCCTTCAGGCATGAACTCAATGCAATTACTAGCGAGTTATAATGCAATCCACTCCAACCTCCTGCTACCATGCGAGTCTAGACGTCCCTCTCCTCCGTCGCCACCCTCCTCGCCTCCCGCCTCAGCGCCTTCCGCGACCGCTTCTCGCTCACCTTCTTCCCCTTCTTCTCCTTCTTCATCCTACGTTCCTCCGCCTTCTTCTCGCGTTCCTCCTTCCTCTTGTGGCGCTCTTCCAACATCTCCAACCTCTCCTCACGCGCTTTGAGCTTCTCCTTCATCTTCAAAAAATGGTCGTGATGCTTCCGCTTGAAGTGTAGCACGAGCGCAGCGGCATTGGAGAAGGGTGCTTTGCAGAACTTGCACTCATACTTTCTGACGCTGTGGAGGATTTGTCAGTTATTTGGGATTGGGAAGGTGAGTTGAGAGCAGAACGGGGTGCAAGAAGAAGGCCGAGGCAAACGGCGAGCAAACAATACGCACTGGGTATGGACCTCATAGTACACGGGATTGCGGGTCAAGGGCTTGCGCTTGACATTCCGCTGCTCGAGTGGAACCTCATTGTGGACAGGGTTGCGTTCCACAGGCGTGGCCTGGACGCTGCCGTCGACAGCCTCCCGTTCAACGCTGCGGTCTGCGGCCTTGAACTCGGCGCTGCTGTCCGTGGGCTTGCGCTCGGCGCTGCGGTTCATGGGCTTGCGCAGGACGTTGCGCTTTGGGGGGCTGGTGGGACGGGATGCATCAGCTTCCGCGAACTCGGTGAGATTGCTCGGTACGTACGTCTGCCCTTCGTTCCTGTTGGGGATCAGAGGCACGTCGTCGCGGGCGACTATGCTCCACTGGTCGGCATCGTCCTGGGTGTTGCACGTCGCAGCCTCCCGGACGTGGCTCGTGCGGGCTTCCTCGCCTGCATCGCTCATGGCAGTAGCTTTGACTGCGTCGCTCGCGCCAGCGGCTTTGCTCTTGTCCGTGCCCTCCGACGCGTGGTCGTCCGCAGTGGCATAGCTGCTCCCGCCCTCGCTCCCCGAGTCCTGCACAACCTCGTGCAGGATTCTCGACCAGCCGTCGCCCAGGATCTCCACCCAGTAGTCCCGCTCGGGCTCTTTGTCTTCTGAGCGGCGGGTGAGGGCGCGCACGTTGGAGGCGATGAAGTCCATGGCGAGGCGGGTTAGAGTTCGCTTGTTGAGACGGGGTGGAGAATGCTGCTGGGCTCAGAGAATGTGGCAAATACAATGCTGGGGAAAACAAGCGCTCATCCTCCGTCTTCTTATACCGTAGGGCTATTGTCCTAGGAATGGTCATACCCGCGCATATGAACGGTCAAACACGCCCGCATCATAAGACTGCCAGACCCAAAGGGAGTAAGTAGCATGCATGTTTATGACCATGGTTAGCATAGCCTTATGTTCTTTTGCTTGTGTTGTTTTTGTTGATCGGGGCCCTTGGGGGGATCTGGCCGTGATAGCATTTACATGCATATTTGACGTAATGGGATGTTAAGCGAGGGCATAGGCATCGTTGGCACACAAGATCGCAGGGTATGTGCTCGTTCATGAATTCATGAAATCTTGCCAAACCCCGCTGACATTCGCGGAAGTTGATGCACCACCTTTTCGGTCAGATTCTCCGACGACTATCGCATCCAGACAACGCTGGTCCCAACACCTTTTCCTCCGAGTCTGCACTGAAAACAATGCCACCCGACAGACCAGTCAGAGGGTCCGACAAGTCGTCTGTCGCCCAGGCCTAGTCTGGTACGGCGACGCGCAGGTTGATAACCTCGAGGGTCGAGCCATGGATCGCAGGGCTTGAGTCGACGGTGAAGACATGAACGGGGTGCTGCGCGAGGTAGGTGGCAAGGTACAAGAGGCTGTGGCTGCTTGATTGGGTTCTGATGTTTTTGTGTGCACGGTACCCGCTCGTGGATCACTAACGTCGACGGACGCAAAATCACTTCGTTATACTGCTCGCCATATGTACATCGACGCGCGAATCCTCCAAGTCACCTGATTCCCCTGCGCGTCCCAACGCAAGCGCAACGCTATGCACATGTCTATCCGTCGAACCCGGCGCAAATACAACCCCGCTGGCCAGCCCAGAGAGGTTATCCAAATCACTCCGAGAACTCGCTTGTGACGGGATCCCGAGGGCGACACGCAAGTTGATCAGCGCCAGGGCAAGTCCGTAAACCGGGGGGCCAGAGTCGACGGCGAAGTTATGCGCGGGATGCTGTGCGAGGTAGGTCGCTACGAAGAAGAAGCCGTGTAAACTGTGGGTGTCAATGGATCAGTGCCGGAACTTCAGAGCAAGGGAGACGCTCACATGCCAATCGCGGCGCTTTCGATGAATATTGCGAGGCTGACCTGCGTGCGAAAATTCAATATTCTGGGAGGTGGCTGCTGCTCATGCATAAGCACGTACCGACACGGATGGACCTCCACTCCGAAAGGAAAATCTGGATTGTTTCAATATACGCCAGGTTATCATCGCTGTCGAGTGGATGAGCTCAACTGTCAAGACCTCAAGAGTTTTGTCTGACCAGTGCTGTAGATATTCATGCTTCGGAAGGCAACATGAGCATGGCGCAATCCGTAAGGCCGTTGACTGTCGCACCTCAAGGACAAGGCGTAGTCGCTTACGACCCAGTGCCCTCCTACTGTGGGCAGGGTCATTGGGTCGTGCTGGGTATCTTCTCAGGATCTGAAGCCCGCCTCGAGGGTGGGAAGTACCTTGAATAACTGCACAAAGACCCCGATAGCACATGCTATCAGCGCTCGTCAGTGAACCTCTTTCATGTGAGTAAACGATTACACACCGACAAAACCAACAATAACCACCGCTGGGAAAACCAAGACTGAACGCTGACGGTGGAAGATGATGTACAGGCGGTAGGTCTAGGATTTTCGTGAATATCTGAGCAATAGCAGCGCACCAGCTGGCACGAACCATCGTCAAATCCCATAGCATTATGGTCGCCAGCAAGAACACCTTCTGCGCCGCGTGCAAAGGCAGTTCGCTTGCCAAATAGTCGCCCGGATCCCGATCTTCACGCTGAGTGAAGAAGGCGGTGAAGATGCGCACAAAACCGCATGTCCAATGCTGCGCGAGGTCAGTCTACACCCAAGCGTGCTTTGGATAGCACTGACCGCGGTTATGCATACAATCAGAGCCCATGGGCCTACGAGCAGCGGGATGTTCGTCGCGCCTGCGCCAGCGAAGTGTCTGGTTTCCTGCGATCGCCGGTATAGGAGAAACAGCGAAAGAAGTGCGACCGCGAGGTACAGGCCATAAAGGAAGGTCTCCACGGCGAACGAAGCGAACGCCAGGCGGTCAGAGGGCATAGGAAGGAGGGGACTGCGGGAGAGCAGGCAGCAAGCACCGATAGAGGTCACTTATCTAGTGCAGAGTTGAAGCTGCATCACGAACATCAAGGTGGTAGTCGAGAGCAGTGTTGTGACGAGACCTTGATGTCCATCTCTTGAATGGCAGCTTCTCATGCGTAGACTGACCGAAGTGTCACCCTCATACATCGAACATCATCTGCGTTGTGATGTGGGCAGAGGGTCAGTAGGCGCCCCAGAGGGACTTCGCTCAAAGCGTGCATACGCACCTGAACACGGCGAAACCTGATCAAGCTGACAGACGTTGACTTCATCTCATACCCGCTCATTATCAGGATCAGCGTAAGTATCGTGAAGGTATACACTCTGAGTGACCCCACAGACCAGTCAATGATAGGTCATCCCGTCTCCCTCATGCCCGCTTCGCCTTCTCCGTCTTCCACTCCCCGATCCAGGTGTGCAGGTACTGCAAGGCGGACTCCTGCACGGCGCGGATGGTCTCGTCGGCCTTGCCGGCCTTCGCGCTGAGGTCTGAGCAATGAATGCCGTCGCCAATCTTGATGGGCTGGCGGTCGGTGCTCTTCGTCGTCACGCCCTCCGCGGACATGGTAGCCTCACGCCAGGGGTCCTCTGCAAGAGAAAAGAGGATCCGGTCAGCGATGCAGCATCAACAAAGCAGAGCGAGACGCACTGATGCCGTTGGCGAAGAAGAGGCGGTCCTCCTGGACGTCCCAGCCCTTGTACGCGGTGTTCGTCGCGTTCACGTTGGGGACGGGCGTCTCGGGGAAGTAGTCGGGGAAGAAGTTAACGCACTGGCGCAGGTCGTACGCAGGGTTGACGATGCGCGAGATGAGCGACGGCTCGCCCTCTGGTGCGGCATCCTGGATGTATCCGACCTCATTGCAGACAATCCACTGCCAGGAGCGGTAGCCTGCAAACATATCAGTAAGTGAGCCATAGCGGAGCGGCAATTGACTGACTGTTGTCGACCTCCGTGCTAGTCCAGAAAGTACGGTTGGCGTCATAGGTGTCGAACGCGTCAAACACGCTGTCGTAGCCACCGCTGCTAAGGTCTGCGACTTATGTTAGCCTCGCATATCGCTCGGGAGAGAGCATAACGCACAGTCGTCGATGTACTGGTTCTTGAAGTACGAGGACCAGGCAGCATATGCGTGGTCAACGCCCCAGCCCGCTTCGGGGGCAACGTCGCCGTTATCCTTCACCTCGAGGGCGTCGCAGAACTGGTAGAACGCGCCGTCCGGGCCGGTCAGGATGGAAAGACTCTGCCAGTCCCACAGGTTGTACCGGAGCGTTCCGACGACATCGTCGAAGTGGTCGGCAATGTCGCTGAGGCCGAAGTCGTCAGCAATCTTGTTGAGGGCGTCCGTGTCGTTCTTCGCTGCGATGTCGTCGATGTAGGTAATAACGGCCTGCACGTCCGCGGAGCAGTTCTGGGGCATGTTCTGGCGGATGGGCTCGAAGTACTTCCAGAAGTCGGTGATGGCCTCCACGACCGCGGAGCTCGCATAACCAGCCCAAATGAAGTCGGTGCTAGAAACGGGGGAGGTTAGTATAGTCCCGATGCGTGGACGCGTCCGCGTACTTGGTCATGACCCAGCTGGTGAGCGCGCCCGAGTACGAGCCGCCCATCATGACCCAAGGGGCCTTGTCCGGCGTGAGCTGGTCGCCATTCGGCATGGGGAGTACGACATTCTCGGCAAAGTACTTGAGGTCGTCGATCGCCTGCTGAATCGTGTGCAGCTTGAGGCTCTCGGAGGAAAGATCCGGGAGGGGGTTGGATTCGCCATAGAAGCGGTGCTCAATCACGATGGCAGTCGCGTTCTCCTGTTTGGCGTCAGTAAGTAGACGCGAAGGAAGAAGAGAGTGCACGCGCCTGCTCCGCAAGCAGTCCATTGATGGAGCTGTTGGTGAGGTAGCTCCAGTAACCATCGGCGTTGCCCTCGCTAGACGCGGTCCTTAGTCCGGATTCCCCGCGCCACCAGCTAGTGCTTACCCCGGAGTCATGATGATGACCGGGCCACCCTCCTTGTAGTGCTCGTAGGTGTGCCAGTATCGCTGCTTGAACGTGCCCTTCGACGGGTCATTGTGGTCGATGAGCTGGTCGAAGTAGTACGTGGTGTTGTACGGCGGCAGCTCCGTCCCGTTGCGGCTGTGGATCGGGCCGACCTCTGCGACCTCAAGCTTGGGGACACCAGGAGGCTTGATGACACCCGGGGGCTTGGGGAGGCGAGCCTGGGCGACGCCCACGGCGAGAGCACCAGCAAGCGCAAGGCGCGCGAGGGACATCCCGTAAACCATGACGGAGACGGGGGAGGGCAGTGGGCAGTCCGAGGAGGCTCGGAGAGGCCGCCTGGGGCGCGCTTCGTGGTATATATACGATGCTGTTCATCAACCAACGTTATCGACATCGTGCATGTGCACGTCCTTCGTGTCGCGTCGTGCGGATCAATGTGGTCGCCCTCTCGCCGCACATGCGCCGGCCTCGTATGGCCTCATGCAGCGCCATTCATTTTGCTTCGAGCGCCAGTCTATCCCAGGGCGCACCGCGCGGGCCATGCAGATACGAGGTAGCGATCTGCTGACCAGGAGGACTGACGAAGACAAGGTAAAACAAGTTCCGCTGTTTGCGTATATTTGTTCGTCGGGCTGAGCGTCCGCTTCTCTTCAACCGTAACTCCTCAAATCAGAACCTTCACAGTTCAGTCAAGTTACCCAAAAAATCTCTCATCATGCAGGTCGTACAGCGCCCCTCCCCCTCCCCCAAAGTCGGTATAGCTCGTGGCACGATCGTGGCAACTGACACTGTCCCAACGACGTCCTTACGGAGTGTAGCCACCCCGCCCCCACGACGCGCTTCAGTAGTCTCATAACCAAGAGGCCAAGCTGATCGGACCAGATGTACAGCTTCGCGGAACGCGGAAGGCTGGGCGCTCGTTTGAGGCTGGCGACTCTGCAAGGACGGAGGGGTCTAGAAATGATACTTGTGCTCGGCATAATACAACCTGCATCGGGGGCGTTTAGGCAAAGCGGTATGACAGGCAACCGGAATTTAGAGGTGTGTGACTTCTTGATGACAAGTGCCTTGCCTCCTCTAAGCGCAGATAATCGACACGGTCGCGGATGGCCTTCTATCCAGTTTCGCACAAAGCCAGCCGCGAGTCGTTCACGCATACGACCTCGGATTTGTCCCTGACGAACGTTTGAAGTCGGCCAGAGCGAAAGGATCTGGAATCATCGATATCATTAACGGTCGAGACCGAGGACTATGCGCGGTTGCCGAGATGCGAAAGTAGGAAACAGTTGGTCCAGAGCAGGGATATCTGTGGTGTCTAGTATGAGGAAGAAGGGCTCGAGCATTGGGCACCATTAAGCGGATGATAACAGAGATGCTGAGGTGGCAGAAGTGGGGCGCCATGAGGTTTCCAGGTGAAATTCCTCTAGACGAGGCCATCCTCCTGCTAGGGCGTCCAGGACGCCGTCTTCGGCAAGGACATCATCGAGTCAGCTGAAGCTGATGTCAAGATACACTAGATTGCTGAACTTGCTGAGTGGTAAAAGGCCGTGCGCCGGGACAGAAACGAGCTCGGGATCTAGCGAGCGAGAGGCTCCATTCGTGTGCCTTCAATGTCGTATGAGCGACGTGTCGATCATAGATGCCAGATTCTGAGGGATGTGCTGTCGCAGGGATGTGGGCGATGTCCCCCGTCATGTCGTAATCCCATCTCGGAGACGGTGAGCGGTTCATTGAACATGGACGCCATAATCGAGTGCACGTACGCCGCGACCCTGGCGTAGATATGCAGACGATTCAGAGCGAACCATTAAAAGGCTGCAACGGTCGCGAGGATCCACGCTTGTTCCTTGTCAACGTATACGTCCAGACGGCGTAGGCCTCTACGATGCCCTAGGTAAAGCAGGCTGTGCGATTCCGCGTCTAGGATTGACATCCAAGTGAGCTTTCCTGAGCCTGGCACCGCGTCGCGCAATCGCTGTCGTGATGCGTCGCTCGGAATCCCGTATGCGTTCGTGTTGTACGCAGCGTCACAGTGTTCACCAATATCGAAGTTCTTGAGCTCGGAAAACTTGCTGGGCAGAGTAGTAGTAGGCAGGATGTGATTGATTATTGAGAGATGACGAGGGGTATCGCTGAGACGAAGGGAGAGCGCTCGAAGTGCAGACACAAGAAGGAGCGGTAGAATTCGCCGATGTTCCGCATCTGATTGATGAAGGCATAGCTCTCACAGATAGGGAATTGAGAGCGCGCCAGCCGATTGATGCATTAGTAGGGGTTTGTTTGTCGTCCAAGCGTTCTGATGAGCATCCTCAGAAGAGGCGCCTCAAAATATTGGTGCTTCCAAAGCACGCTGAGTACAAGCGGGCATACGGGAGTAGACGAGAATAGCGAAAGATATGAGCGTCTGGCACAATTGACGACTTCGTATGCCGTCCAGATCCCTAATTGCATCGCATATCAGGAGCGTAATTCTCGGCATTGAGCGGAAGCGCAGAAATGCGGGTATGTTCTCCGTCCTGGCTGCATGAAGGGGCTTCGATGGTGCCTTGGGAGGAGGACGTGGTACCCAGAGTTGAACGGAAACGGAGAGACGGAAGCAAGTTCCGATTTCAAGGATCGCACTGTATTCGGGAGTTCCCGAAGTACGGCATTTGCCGGATTGTTGGCCATAATAATGGGTTTGCCTTGTCTCCTCCCTGAGCATTCATCGGGCACCCCGGACGAAGCGATACTCTTTCAGCAGCTTCTGCTCTGTTGACGACATAAGGCCATACAGAGGCGACTATATTTGATTGACTAGCTGGTTCTGGTCGTGTTCAAAGAGGAGACTGCGTCGCATCTGTCAACACAGCCCATGAAGAGACCCCAAAAGGCGTCGACCTATAACAGAGATGAGATGGGTAAGGGACAGTGTTCAAGGCGTAAACTTACCTCTAAGCCTTGCGTGACAAAGCAGTTTTTCCCATGCGCACCCCATGTTTCGTCGCATTGCCGGTAATTGTACATGTCCACGACAGTCTCCCCAGTGGTGTGTATGCCCGTGAGCTCGACATCGACTCGGTATCGCTTGCCGTGGAAGAGGTTGGGGTTCGCAACGTATGCAATCGTCAGCGCATCGTGTATGGGCGGGCTGTCGAAGTCGAACACAGCCTTGTAAGTGGCAGCGAAGAAGACCATGGCTGTTGACAGCGTGTGGCGCAGGGGCGTTGCGGCTTTGGGAACAGGGTCGCTGCTCTTGGGGTCCAGCAGGCGTGCGTGCTGCTCCGGCGTCATTAGTGCGGTATGCGTAACGTTGATAGGGACCATGACGGTCTTGATCGGGGAGTCGAGGACGATCTGCGCGGCATGGGCTAGTCGGGGAGATGAGCCACGATCTTAGCAGACAAAGGGACACCTACGGTCACAGATGATGTTATATTCTGGGACACGTCAGCGATAGATCGCCTATGTATGGGAACGAAGAAGCTCACCGGCCGAGGAGGAGCGATTACCTAGCCCGACTCCGCCGCCCATGAAGACGAACTCTTCTACCCCTTCCAGTAAATCCGGATACGCGCTCACGAAGATCGCGATGTTGGTCATTGGCCCAGTGGAGCAAATCGTCACCTTCGAGCCTTTGCCTTTCTTCCATGTCTCCTTCACTGCGCGGGAGATACCCTCCAGCGCACGTATTTTCTCTCCCTCGGCATCGCGAGCAAACCAGGCGTCAACCTCCGGCGCGCCGTGGGCGGGCAACCCCTCAACTCCGCCGAGCCCGTCTTCCCCATGTATCTCTGGATCTGCCTTAGGCACACGTACGAGCGGTCTTTCTGCCCCTGGGTACACGCGCACAGGGGAATTTGGCGGTGCGAACGCCTGTAAGCATCGAGCTGCGTTAGACGTGGCGAAGCGGTGACTCGTGTTTCCGTGCGTCTGTGGCATGATTAGACGAGAATGAATACAATAGTTCAATATCAGCCGGTGATCATACCGTCGATATCCCGAGGAGATGGACGTTCGGAAGGTGGAGAGCGAGCATTATCGCGGTCGCATCATCGTGGCCCTGTGGTGATTTGAGCTAGATGAAGGAATCGCTGTCAAGGGGCGCACTGGATCGCAGTCAAGCCAGATATATCGTGAATCGGTGCTCATGGTGAGAAGGAAGCCGGACGTTGAAATGTTGAGTCAACCTTCGAATCGGTATGCTTGTCGAGGTTAGGAGGTCACAGATAGCAGCCCTATCACGCGAAGCTTGTCACAGTTGAACTATCCACGTGGACTGGGTGATTGTTGAGCTTTGTTTGGCAATCCGGCTTGGCTCTGACCACTTTGCATGTCTTTGTCCATAACAATTCACGGCCCCTCGAAACTTGCTATTCATGAATCAACAAAGATATATCTGACAGGGGTTTTGACTGTCCTCTTTGAATCGCTATGTGCCTTCTTGCAGGGCATCATCTCTTCCTAACTTGCTTTGGGTGACAACACCGGGTTCCGCTTCTGACCTCTTTGCTCCCTTTAGACGACGAGTAGATTTCTAACAAGGATGCTAACTACTAGCATCGGACGACGGAACGCTTTGCCTTATCCGCCTTGACGTGGATTAGGTAGTGTCCTCAACCCCCGTCCCCGAAGAGACGAAGACGACGCTCTACAGTCAAGACTATGCTAAGCAGGCCGCTCTAAGGAGAAGCTAGAGCATGGTTGTGAGTGTATACTTCCATATCCACACCATGTCCCTTAGCTCGCTGACAGCCGACTAGGCCGCATCATCCGCCGCTGCCTTCGTAGGCTAGGTACTTACCATTCAGCGTCTCTTTCGCACTGACCAACTCCCGCGATTGATAGTTCATGATGCCAGCCGGCCGACGCTGTGCACGCGCTGTGCGGGCGAATCCAGAGTACGCCGGCGAGGCCTCGCGCGTTTTAGCCGCCCACTTGATGGTTGAATGCGTCCGACACTCATCTCAGACACCCACCTTGCCACCGCTGTATGCCCTCGCCCAGTCTGTCAGTCTTCCGATGCTTCCGACCGGGACAGCGAGGCCTGGCTGCATCACGTACAGCCTCATGACCGGCTATTGTGACACTCAATGGAACGCCGAGCGCTATATAGGCCGGCGCGGTGCATGGCCACCTTCAGGCTTTCAACCCACTTCCACCCTTCTGCCTCACCTTTCAAGTTCACTTTTCTCTCTCGTTCTTCCATCCACACCTCCATCAACATGTTCGCCAAGGTCGCCATCTTCGCATCCGCGGTCCTCATCGGCAGCGCCACTGCCTACAATGGTCGTGGTACGTGCTCCATTTCTACACATACGACTGGGCGTATATTCACACTCTACCTCTAGCCTTCCCCGAAAAGACGAACGGCAAAGTCTACGAGTGTGGCTTCGCCGTGCAGAACAACGACTACGCTGCTTTCGTCTCTCCCGCGCGGTTCAATGCCTCCCACTGCGGCGCCGAGGTACAGGCCAGCAGTGAGTTTCGCCTTCCGTTTCATGCGCTGGCCGTCGTGTTCCGCGTTGTCGGCCTCAGCTAACATGCTGTGTCCAGGCCCGTATGGCGTCGGCGAGACCATCTACCCGATACTCGCGGGCACCTACGAGAACTGCAGTGGCTGTGGCGACAACGACATCCAGGTTACCCCCGACGCGTACAAGGAAGCGACCAGCCACCTTGCTAACCAGGACTGGATCAGCGTCGTCTGGGTCTACAAGACCTGGTGAACGACCGACTGCTGAATAACTTAGAGACTCGTGACGATCCTGGACTTTGAACGGACTTACTTTATTGGACTGTGGCTCGGACTGATGACTGCCACTTGGCCGTGTAGATGTAGCGTGGATCTTCGCGATATGGACAGAGTTCATAGCGGCCTTGATGTAGATGCGGGGATACGTACGGCTCTATCTATGCGACTTGCATGACTGTTTTGTCTGGCCTTCATGTGCGCACATCCAGCAGTCGGCCTACCCTGCAAGGATCGATTGGCGCTGACTACTAGCGCTGACTGAGGCTAATGCCATGCTGATCGGCGTCCACGCGAGGCGATAACTCAACCCCTTGTCATCTCCCGCGATGAAGACGCGCGTAATCCTCGTCGGCGTTGGGTACGCTATCCGCGCTCCTTGAGCGCCTCACGCTAAGCGCAACACAGTGGCGCGACGTGCTCGGGCAAGACGACGCTTGCCAAGCACCTGAAGCGCATCATCCCCAACAGCGTGATCATACACCAAGACGTACGCATCTCCCCTCCCGCGCGTCCCCTCACCGAGACGCCCGCCCGCAGGACTTTGCGCCGGTGAGCACCGCGCGTGTGCCCGCTACGTGATCGCGACTCAGCGCACCTTCCTCCCCCTTCCCTCCTCACCTCCAGCCTCAAGAACTCATCCCGATCCATCCAAAGTATGGTGTACAGGATTGGGACTGGCCAGATGGGGCGATAGATTGGGCACGGATGATTAGGTTCTTGAAGGAGGTGAAGCAGACGGGGCGTATACCGGACGACCACTACAGCCACGATCACTTGAACGAGCAGAAGGACGTACCGATACCCGAGGAGGTGCGTGCGCGATGGACGCAGCAGTTCCAGGAGCTCGCCGAGCGAGAGAGCAGACAAGGAGAGCAGCTGGTATGGGGACTGGTGGACGGTTTCCTGCTTTACTGGCATCCGGTGCGTTCTGTTTCATTGTTGAAAGGATTCACGCGCTGACGGTCGTATTAGGAGGTGTTCGAGCAGCTTGACATTCGGTTCTTCCTTCGCGTGCCGGAGGAAACCCTCAAGAAGCGCAGACATGAAAGACACGGCTACCATACTGCTGGTAAGACGTCATCCCGCAACATGCATAGCTAGCTGACAACGTCTCTCCCTCTTCACTCAATCCTTGAACCTTCGTGTACGTCCCCCTTTGCCCGGAACCCTGCCCTTGCGCTTTACACTCTTCCTTCCGTAGTGCAATCTGATCCAGAGGGAGCGCTATGGCGAGACCCACCGCATTACTGGGAACAGATCGTCTACCCGGCCTACGTCGAGGCGCACAAGCACATCTTCGAGGGTGGAGACGTTGAGCATGGGCGTGTCTCGCGAGACGACATAGTCATTATCAATGCCTTGGAGGAGAGCATGGGTGGCATTGTCGAAAGATGCAGCCATGACCTGGTGTCGTATGTGGAGAAGGCGCATTGATGAATCGCGCCTTATGTTTATCTTTAGTTATGGATCTGTACCGTCGTAGAATTAGACGCTGAGGGTAATTACATCCTTCAGCACGTTGCTGTGTCAAGTGAGAGCATGCCTTGAGAAGTTCAACATGATGAAAGCCACGCGGCTGATAACACGTGGACAGATTTCTTGTCGGAGGTCGCCGCGCGCCTGTTGACGCCGGGACGATCATCGTCGAGAGCGTCGGGCGCGCGTGCTTTGTTTCTTCTTTGTCCTGACGCTTCCCCTGCTTCCTTTCTTGACCTGAACCACGACCACGATGGCCCCCGAAACCGTCCACGACCAGCACGAAAGCAGCGACGAAGACGACGAGGAGTTCGTCTACCCCGGCGCGGAGCCAGAGCCGCCAGCCCCTCCAGCCACCAACGGCGTCGCGGACGACGACTCAGAGGAAGATGAAGAATTTATATATCCTGGCGCGGAACCAGAGTCGCCGACAGTGAACGCACCAGGCGTCATCTCGGTGCAAGACGACGAGGACTCTGAAGAGGAGGAATTCATATACCCGGGCGCCTCCCAAGAACCTGAGGCCATTGCAAGCAAGCCCTCGCCCGCTCAATTGGAATCCCTCTTTGCTGCTGCGTCCTCGGGCGACCTCGCCCTTCTCAAGAAGCTCTTCGCCACAGCGCAGGAGAACTCGCATGTGGATAGCTTCCAGCTCGCCAATTGCGCCAGCACGCGTACGGGCCTTACGGCGCTGCATGCGGCTGCGAGTAGAGGCTTCAAGGACATCGTACAGTGGCGTGCGTGTCCTTCAATCCTTTTCTACGCGTCTTTTGACCGTCCCTTTGCAGTGATAGATGACTGCGGTGCTATACCGGACATGGAGGATAAGGAGGGCGAGGTGCGCGCTATCCCATCATAGCACGCCTTATCATGCTCATACGATATCCCTCATCCAGACCGCGCTTCACAAAGCAGCGCTGAACGGCCACATGTCCGTCATTCAGTATCTTGTGCCGGACAAGGCAGACGTACAGGCCCAAGACGCAGATGGATGGACCGCCTTGCACAATGCATGCTCAAAGGTCTGTACTCCCTCTCCGTGCCCATAATCAAACCTCTCACGCTATGTACAGGGCTATCTAGATATTGTTCGGTGGCTTTGCGAGTCTGCGGGGGCCACCGCACCCGTTGAGGGCAAGCCAGGTATTGATATCAAAAGCAAGGGCGGATGGACACCTCTGAGTACGTTTCTTTTTCCTTGTGCGTGCAATATCACTAATCGGACATCATAGTGAACGCGGCATCGAAAGGCCATCTTCCTGTCGTTCAGTACCTTCTCAGGAAGCAGAAGGCTGACCCCATGGTGCGAAACAACTGGGGAGAGACGGCATATGATGTCGCGGCTGCTGTTTTCGAAGTATGGATCTGCGAGGTAAGTTGGCAATAGCACTAGCTTAATCTCGTACTCAGAACAGCGCAGGTGCTGGAGGAAGCCGAAGCCGAACGCTGGCAAAGCACGTCTACTCCGTATGACCCGCTTGCTGTGCATACGACCGTGCCGGTGCTCCTATACGAGCACCAGCGGCTCGATACGCGCCTCAAGACGCTCGCGACAAACGGCCGCCCCAAGTTCACCGCATCTGGTCTCGGTCGCAATGGTAGGCCGGCACCGTTTGTGCTCCGCCTCCCCAAGCCCGATACGCAGGGCACGCGCACCGTTCCCGCTTGGAGGAGCGATGTGCAGCTTCCTCTACGCGACGAGCCGTTCAAGCTACCCCGGCCCGGTCAAGCTGAGCGTCCTGCTCTGGAGGGAGCGGAGCGGAGCCACTTCTGGCTCTCAGACTGGACGCTTGACGTGACGCACCCTCGCGTCGATGCTGTCGAAGGCTGGCAGTATGCGCGCCGTCTGAGCGACCCGGACGATCAGTGGACTGCCGAGGTGCCGCCTCAGCTGGAGCGTGTCATGTCTGGTATTGCGGCAGGCCTCGCAAGCCCTCAGCGCTCGCGCTCGAGCTCCTCGTCCAGCAACCCATCGCCCCAAAGCTGGGTCCGCCGCCGCCGCTGGGTGCGCGTCATGCGTCGACGCCTCGACATCCCGCCCCTGCCGTACCTACAGCCCGACGGACGGATGTACCAGCTCGGCGCCGATGGTGTGCTCATTCCCGCGAGCAGCAGCAGCAACGGCGATGCGGACGGCGACGTACAAGAGCTCGGCGCCGTCACCTCATCCGGGCTCGCCGGCGTGCGCGATTACGTCGCCCGCGCGCGCTTCCTCATGGGCAAGCAGCCGCGGGACCAGGACCCGTCGCGGATGAGCGCAGTGGACGCCAGGCGGGCGATCGCCAAGCTGGAGCGCGCGACGGCGGAGCTGAGGCAGGGGATCCTGGCCGATGACGATCCGGATCGGCGCACGCAGGCGGAGGTGCTGCTGCATGCGTTTTCGAGGGATTTGGAGCGGCGAAGGCTTACGGCCGGGGAGCAGGGGCTTGTGTTGTCGGGATATGGTATGTGTAATGCCCGCATAGGGAAGTATCGGCCTGACGGGCTTCTCAGACGACGATATAGACCTCGAAAGTTCGGACGACGAAGATGGCATTGGATCGCCGCGTCCAGCGTCTGTGCGCTCGGGCTCGACGGATTACTTTGGGCGACCACGGGCGTCGGGCTCTCGTGCGGGGCCGACGGACCTCACGCCCCATCTCTCGCAGGCGCCCGACTTCCGTGTGCCGACGCACGAGGCGCCGCAGAAGGTGCCCACCCTCAGCCCTCCGATGGCCCACGCCGTGCATGCTCAGTGGGAGCGCGACGACTCCGTATCGAACTGCCGGGATTGCGGCAGGCGGTTCACGTTCTTGCTTCGTAGGGTGAGTTTACACATCGTGTCCTTCAACGTTTCCTTGCTAAAACTCTGTGGTCCAGCATCACTGCCGTCGCTGCGGACGCATATTTTGCGACAGGTGCTCGTCCTACCGCGCCATGCTCGACCCTTCGGAGATCGTGCAAGACCCCTTCTTCCCAGAGTCAGCTTTCACTTCGGGCATGCAGCGCGTCTGCGAGTCCTGCCATCAGGAGGTGAACGCGCTGGTGCCGCCAATGCTGCTGGGTAATGGCGCGAACTCGTTGGAGCGGATCGTGGTTGACTCCCAGCATCTTGTTGTGCCTTCGCGACGGCAGTCGACGTCGCAGCTGAGTGATTTGGCGGAGTGAGTATCGCATATCTGTGTGGAGAATGCGGCTGACCATGATACAGGTGTCCAGTGTGCGGCAGCAATCTGGATGATCTGGGAACTGCCGCTGAGCAAGAGGCTCATGTGAAGGCTTGCCTTGAAGGTGGCACCGGCGCCCCGCCACGCACCGGACGGTACCTTGTGTACCCTCTGCCCGCTGGCAGCGTCCTTGTCGGTACTGAATGTAAGTAGAGGCCAACCGCCCTCTCAGACCTTGCTGACGATTTTCAGGTGTGATATGTTTGGAGGAGTTTGTCGAGGGCTCGATGATCGCGCGCTTGAGCTGCCTGTGCAGCTTCCACAGCAGTACGTCTCCCCGATGTGACGTTATAATTGTTCCAACTGACTCTCGTGTAGATTGTCTGTCTTCCTGGTTGCAGCGCGGCAAGAGCTGCCCTGTACATGCTCGTTGAGACCCTCAAGGAGCATACTGCATCGACGTCTAGCTTCCGTCAGTGTGTCAAGCGACCGGAAGAAGTACTATTGCTCTTCATGCTCTCTTAAATAAGATGCAGTAATCTACTTATGATGATGGTAGGTAGTCGACCTATGTCTAGTCTATATGCTGAGGACCCGTCGGGTGAAATAAGTATCGTACTCGTAACAGCGGCGTACATAGCGCGTAGACCCTGGATAACTGCGAGGCAGTCCTTTTGCGTCTTACCGATTGAGATTGGATCGTTTGCGGATCTGCTCTCCACGGAAATATAGGTAGACAGGGAATGGGATGCCGAGGACGATGGCTAGGGCTACAACAGTATGAGCTGTTGCGGTGGCGGAAAGGCTGAGGGACGTACCGCCCAAGATCGAGTTTCCTGGACCCATTCCTAGTGCGGCATACATCTGCTTCCCGAAGAGAGGGAAGGCAAAGCCACACAGACATCGGAGAACCGTGGCGGCGCCGAACGCGCTGGCGGCATAATGGAATGCATCCACTAGGTAGAGTTGGATGGGCAAGCTTGAACGTCCGTCAGCACGGCAGATGTGGACGAGGAAGATGAAGCGTGCGCTTACAAGGTCAGCATAAGACCTGAGATTGAAGTCAGTAGCTGCGCGTCGTGGACGAGCCTTTGAAGAGCTCACCGAAGCCGAAGATACCAGTGCCAATGATTGGCATTATCCAATGCATCCGTGCATCGGCAGACCAGCCGTACCAGCTGCAACACGGGTTAGATGGGAAAATACAGAAGGTTACCGGTGAGCTCACAACAATGAAACAGGGATAAAAAATGAGCCAAATATGAGGCTCTGCAGCGTCGCTTGAGTTCAAGCGTTAGAAAAGCAACGACGGGGACTCAACAGGTATTCTGAACTCCGGCTTGCCCACGCCACCGTTACGCTGACAGAGCTATACAAGGGCTGGAGTAAGCATATGCCAAGGGCAAGACGCTTCTGGTCTGCGTACCGTGTTGTAAATCTGGTCTCCGAAGCGCGAGGAAACAGCAGTCGAGACGAAGAAACCAACGCCCTGACAAACGCATAAGCTTATGTATGTTGCTCTGTAAGCGTCTGACTTACCAAGCCAAGATAGCAAAGTCCGCCTGCACCGGTAGAAAAACCTAAGGTACCATCAGTGGCGAGAATGTCTCTCAATTTGTGGCACCCACCATATGTCTCCTGGAAGAACGATGCGAAGACAGCAAACATAAGATAGTAAATCCCTGCACAGCGGAAGAGGCGTTGGCGTCAGAACGATGGCCCAAAGCGATGTATACGGACCATAGAGGCTGCCGTGCGTCAGCCCGACTTTGGTCAGAAGGAACGCCATAACTCACAATGCCATGTATAGAGAAAGCAAGAAGCAGATCGCGCTCCGGGTCAGAAGCACGACCGGCCTTGTCATGTTCGTCCACATGTAGTCCAGCTTGTTCTCAGTTACCGGGCGTGTGGACGCTGGCAGGGCGAGGCCGTTCTCCTTGTCGGCCTTCTTCACTAGGCGGGCACGAAGCACCGGAGCGTACGTTTCGCGGAGGAAAGGTAGCCCAACTAGCGCGGCTACGCCGCACGCCGCCGAGATGATAATGAATACATATTTGACACTGAGTTCTTGAGCCACATAACCGCCTATGATTGGACCTGCCCGGCTGTCAGCGATTGCAACGCAGTCAAAGAAGTCCCTCGTCGAAGGCGTACCGATGACGGGCCCCTATGGAGGAGCGGAGCCTGAGCAAGGTCAAAGAGCGGCGTTGGGAACGTACGCACCACGAGAGGTCCCTGATGACCGAGGTATGAGTTACGGAATTTGCGAAAGAGCGGGCTTCTCACCAGAGTATAGAGCGCCATGGCGCTCGCGCGTTCCTCTTCCCGAAAGAGGTCTGCGACGCAGCCGCCACCGATTGACACCGGGCCTGCGCCCGGGTAGCCCGCTAACAATACCATTAGGACCCACGGACGTCCGCGGAAAGATTGAATAGACATACACAAGAATCGGAAGGCGATCAGCGCGCCCGCATTGGGAACGAACGCGCAGACGAGGTTGAAGATTGCGAAGAAGATATTCGACAGGTGTAGGACCTAATAAGCAGGCAGAGATGGGTCAGATGAGAAGGCGACGATTGTGGCGTCACGGACCCATTTTCGACCGTACATTTCCTGCGGAGATAACGTACGTGAGCGTGCGTGCGAGAAGGCAGAGAAGATGTTACCGAGAGCGGAGGCAGCGTCAAAGACCCGAGAGCAAAGGACAGAAGGAAGATACTGAGGGTCATCGCCAGGATCGTGTCGTTCGTGATATCGTAGCGAGTCCCAACCTGGACCAAGGCTGGGGCCATCATGCTGCTGCCTAGTGGCGCAAGCAAAGCGTAGAGGGAGACCTTAAGAACCACCTCGGTGAGGAACAGAGACGAGACCCATGAGCACAAACGACCTACCACGGACATAGTCGTCCACTTCTTCGCAGTGGACCAGTTGCGAGGATTTTCTTCGCTGTACTCCCAGTCATCCAGTGATTCCGACATGCATTTCTTCTCGTTCACGGCGACGCTCTTGTCCTCAAAGTCGGGGGCCTTGCAGTCGCTCATGGTGGTCGTCGAGGTCGTCGAGGGTCTGCACGTTTCAGGTCTTCCGCGTCTGCCAAGAACGTGTCTTCCTAATTCGCGTCCGGGGGGAAGACGGGCTTGAGGTCGTGGAAGCCGTCTGAAGGCTACCAGAGCGCATTTATATGTATACCTGCGGCTGACTCGTCAGTCGAAGCATCTCGGAGCCCCAGATAGGACGGTCAAAAGCCGACATGAGCCGATGTTGGGCCGCGGCCGATTGTGAGCCCGTTTCCCATCGGATAGCTCGAGGCAAGGAAGGATGGATACAAACTGACTAAGATACGCGCCCGGAAAGGCAAGCAGACAGCACGGGAACACGACCAGGGGAGCATGGGGGACGCAAGTGCCAATCGCGCTAGGTAAAGAAGTAGCCGTAGGTGGAGAAACATGACTAGAGAACGCTGTATCTACCAATGGGACCGCCTGGATTCCGCGCCTCAGCCTGCAAGGCCGCCGCAGAGGCTTCAATGAGCAGGCGCTTAATCTCGCGAACGGCTTGTTCCACCTGGAACGTGGTGAGTAAGGTTATAAACTCTGGAAAGGGTTACGAAACATACCCTAAACTCGTCATTCGACTCAATAAGAAGATGCAGCTTCGGCGGGCCCTCGAGGGGCGGCTCCTTGCCTGGTTCGTAATAGATGCCTGAAGCGCAAACATGAGTATGGGCGACAGTATGTCAGAAAACAACACACGTACCCTTGTTGGTCACAGACGCGCCGGTCATGTCGATAAGCTGAAGAAGCAGGTAAGCATGGCGCACGCCGTGGTGATGAAGGCGGTGCGTACCTGGGACATGGTCTCCTTGTTCGTGACACGCCACCTCGCCTTCTGCGGGTAGTCGTTGATCGGAATAATGGCATGGAACTCAGTCGAGTCCGGCGTGACACCCCCGATTAAGCTCTTCTGCATTGCCGGATTCTCCGCGGCCTGCAACTGGCTCTGCAGCACGAGGCGGGTGGCGCGCAGCTGCGCGTTGAGCTTCGCAATGACACTCTGGGCCTGCTTGTACGCAGGCGTGTCCTTGCCCGCGCGATTACCAGCCTCCTCCGCAACCTTGATTTGCGCTTGGATACGCTCTTCCTCCTTCGCGTGCGCAGCCTTCTTCGCCGCGAGGCCAGCAGCACCGATGCCGAAGATACCCTTCGAGGAGTCAGGTGCGGGGCCCCGGCGAACTTCGACCTTAAAGTTGCCGAAGGTCATATCGTCGCCGCTGTTTGCAGTCGCCTTCACCGTCGCCTCCTCAGTGCTATTCGCAGCCTTCTCTTCGGCCTGCGGCTGGTCTGGCTCGCCGTACGCCTTACGCTCCGCCTTCTGCTTGGCGTCGCGTTCGCTGTCGAGACGATCCAAGCCCTTGCCACCAAAGCCGGAGCCCGCGACGTGCGCTTTGCCAGCCTTGACCTTGTCGAGAAAGCCTGAATGTGTATTAGCTAGAAGCATGATGGTATATCGAGACGAAACGTACCATTCGCCATAGCTTCCAGCTCCTTCGGCACCGAAGCGTTGCTGGCCTTCAGTGCCCTGTAGATATCCACGGAGTACCGCTCCTGCTCCGGCTCGATGAAGGTGACGCAAGTACCCTTGTTTCCTGCTCTCCCTGTTCGACCAGCACGATGTACGTAGTCCTCCATGTGGTTCGGCGCATCGTAGTTGATGACCAGTTTGAGCTGCTTCACGTCTAAGCCGCGAGCCGCGACACTGGTGGCGATGACGATGGGAACGACGCCGGCCTTGAAGTCGGCGATCGTCGCGTCTCGGTCGACCTGCTCGCGTCCGCCGTGCAGCGACATGCAGAGATAACCTTTCCGCATAAGCTCTCGGAGAAGGTTGTCCGCGGCCTCATGCCGGTCGACGAAGATGAGCGTACGGCAATCGGGATCCTCGTTGTACATCTGCCCGAGAATCTCGAGTAGGCGCATGAACTTCGTATCCTCCTCCCGAACCTCGACAATTTGCTCGATCTCTGCAGCGACGACTGAACGGCCACCGACAGTGATCTCGAGAGGCTTCTTCAGGATTTTGCGCGCCAGACTGTCCATTTGCTTCGGAAACGTCGCACTGAAGAGGACAGTCTGGCGGTCGGGGCGGATGTTATTGATGATCTTCATGACCTGCGGCTCGAAGCCCATATCGAACATGCGGTCCGCTTCGTCGAGTACAACGTACGTGACGCGCTTGAGATTGGTGACGCGACCAGAATTCGCGGTGAGAAGGTCGATCATGCGTCCGGGAGTGCAGACGATGATTTCCGCACCCTTCTTCAGGTCAGCGATTTGGTCCTTGATGGGGGAGCCGCCATACGCACACACGGCCTACATAGTTGGTTTCAATGAATAGTCGCAAAGGCTGGTCGCAGACTCACCCGAAGGTTTAGCACTTTGAGAAAAGGCTTGCATTCTCTGTGAATTTGGGTGGCCAACTCACGCGTCGGCGTCATGACGAGAGCAATGGGACCTTCCATCGGTTCCAGAGGCCGCTGGTCCTTGATATGTCGGAAGAGAGGGATGAGGAACGCGATGGTCTTGCCCGAACCTGTCTTTGCGACACCGATAACGTCTCGGCCGGACATGATTGCAGGGACTGCCTGAGCTTGAATAGGCGTCGGAGCCGTATAATTTAGGCGCTTGATGACGTCCAGGCTGCGGGTAATGAGCATGGAGAAGAGTACACAGGGAATTTTCAACGCACCATGAAGCAGGAAGACCGAAGTGGCTCCACTTCGTGACTGGGCGAGGGCAGTCAATACCGCGAATCTTGATGCCGTCCAGTTCGAGACGAAGGAGGTCAGCTTCATCGTCGGTCATGGACGCGATATCGGGTGGCGGGATGTAGAATTCTTTGCGGAATGGTTCGTACTTCATGCGCGAATGGTCGGTCACGGCAAGCTCCTTCTTCTTCGCCTTCTTCGCTGCGAGCGCAAGGATGTCCTCAGGATTCAGCTCCGTCGCGTCAATCTCGTCGATGTCCTCGCCTGCCTCCTCCATGTCCACATCACCGTCATCCATGCGCTTTCCAGCACTGGACTTCGAGGCGGCCTCCGACATCTTCTGCATGTCCTGCAGGTTGACCTTCTTGACCTCCTCCTTGACGTTCGACATGAACGCGTCAAGTGGATCGACCTCGTCTTCGTCTTCTGCTGCTGCTGCCGGCCCATCCTTCGACTCGTCCATCCTGTTTGCGTCGTCGTCATCATCGTCGTGCTCGAGATCACCAATTTGTTGACTTTCCGCCATAGACATGTCGACGGCAGGCATGTCACCGAGCTTCTCGAGCTTGCGCTTGGTTTCGACGGAGTCGTCCATCGACATTTTCGTTTTCGGAGCGAGGTCAGGCTTCGCGGGGAGCCCCTTGAAGCCGAGCGTCTTCGGCTGTCCATTGCCAGCGGCTGCAAGTGTAGAAGTAAGCTGCTCTCGTGCGACGAAGCTTTGCAACTCACCTCCTGACTTTCCCGCTAACGCCAGAGCCTTCGCTTTCGCCTCGTCGAGCGCCTTCTTCGCCTCGCGCTCCTTCTTCCATGCCTCCAGCTTCGCCCGCTTGGACTTCATCTTCTCATCCTCCGGCGGTGCAGCTTCCTTCTTCGGGGGAGGAGGTGGGGATTTCTTGCGCTCGGGCTCGCGGTCGCGTTCCCGCGAGCGAGACCGGCGGCGATCGTCGCGCCTATCGTAGTCGCGACGCCGGTCATCGCGATCGTCCCGGCGTCGGTCATCCCGATAGCGGTCGCGTCTATCCCAGTCGCGGTCTCTGTTGCGCCTCGTCGGCGACGGAGACCTTGGGGAGCGATAGGACGTTCTTACCCTCTTGTGGCTGGAGTCTGGCGAGCGTGACCGTTCTCGTCGCGGCATATTAGATAGTAGACCTTCGAGTGGCACTCCCGAGATATGTGTGGTCGTGCAGAGGGTGTCAGAAGACAACAGTTGTGCGGGCCACCGTTCCCTGTCAGCGTCGTTGTAGACTTGCGCCGTCCTCGGTGGGAACTTCTCGTTGGATCGGCAACTTCCGTCTTGTTTCTCACGCTGATCACTGACGCAGGGCTTGCGCGTCCCCGCATTCCGTCATCTGTCTGCTCCTACCACCATCACCATTCACCATGAGTACTCAGGACATCCTCGTCGCCTCTGCGCTGCTAGTCTCTATCTCTGCGCTCCTTCCGGAAGGCAAACGCTTGGAGAACCCCCAAGATGCACTCACGGCCCTCGTTCACGCAGCGTTCACCACTCTCTCCTTCCGTCTTATCGGCGTCGATGACACCTCCTCGATCTCTACGTATGAGGGGAATGTTCTGCCCAAAGAATGGAATCGCAATGGTCCTGGTCACTACACTCTGCGCTACAAGCATGCACAGAGCAGCATGGAGTTTGTCATCAAGGTCTCGAAGCTGGGAGGGAGGACTGTCATCAATGCCATTGCCGTTGAGGTGGGGTTTACCCTGCGATAACGCCAAGTTCCTGACCGACTTACGCTCTTCTCAGACTGACAGGACTGCGACGCTTGATGTTGCGACAAAGGACTTTACTTCAGAATCGTTCTACCCTTACACTGTCGATTCCCCCACTCGTCTGGGCGATGGCTACATATCCTCTTCGCGTATCCAAGACTTCATTGGCTCTCTGAAAACAATGATCATTCAGAAACTCGTACCTGGTCTGCAGAAGGAGGGATACACGGAGTCTGAGCCCTCGTCGTCCTCGACTGCCCCGCAGCCTTCAGCTGGGTCCTCTCAGCCACGACCCCGTGTCCCTGACGCTGGCGGCTCGCGGCCTGATCCTGACGCGCCTTATTTGCCGGAGAGGGACCCGCTGCGCGTCCCAACCCGCAATCCTCTTGAGGTTGGGAGGCACGACCTCGATCCCATTCCTCGCAACCCTTGGGAACCTCCTTCGCTGTTCCCGGATCACGGCGGTGATGGAATGCTGGTTGGTCCCAACCACCCCATGTTCCGCGACAGGCAGACGGGACCGGTACGTGGCATCGATCCTCTGGGGCAAGGTAAGAGCCGCTTCTTGCTGTAATCCATATCAAGGAGGCTTACGCCGTGATAGGTCAACCGCGCGGCCCTTGGGGTGGTGACGGCTTCCTACCGCCTATGGGCGCTCCTCCTGGTGCTCGCTTCGACCCCGTTGGACCGTCATTTGGCGGCGGTGGATTCGGAGGCCTCCCACGGAGGGGCCCTCGAGGAGGTGACCCCGACAACGATGAGTTCATGCCGCCCGGCATGGGTGACATGTTCATGTAGATATGCACATGGGATGGTGAATGTTCAGGAGGTTCATGTGTCTGCAGTCTTGTTGTATAGTAGTGGGAAGCCCTGTACAGTTGAGAGCGAAATTGTATCGAAGTCGAGCAGAAGTGTGACCGTGACAGCATGATTGCTGAGTTCGGCGTTCGCCGCGCCCAGGTTCCGCAACGTTCAAACCCGAACATCGAGGGCCACCAGGATGCCCTTGCGCCCGCAAAGCATTCTCCGCCCTGGTCCAGCTCTCTTGCGTCCCGAGGCTGCTCTCGTCTATTCATCGGAATGTGGTCCGATCTGAACGAACTCTACAGAACTATGCAACACCTCGAGCGGGTCCCAAAATCCAACATCCAGCCAGAAGCTCGATTCCTGGGATACTATGCGCGTACTCGCTTTCCTGACAGAAGCTTCTCATGCAGGCTTGCAAGAGACTTGACTTGGTCCTCATTGTGTAGCGTGACCTCCTCAAGTGGATCAATCATGCTGCTATTCCGTCGACCTCCGTCTCACCTCGCTCATGGGCCAGAGGCCGCAGGTACAGCGCACGCCGCATGGCGGCGCCCCGCCCCGGGCGCTCTCCCCGCATATAAGGACCCGCTGCCTCGACGAACGCTCCCCGAGAGCCCTTGCTCACCTTTTCCGCCATGTTCCCCACCACAAAACTCCTCGGCGCCGTTACGGCGGCGCTGGCATGCTCTTCTATCACCCTCGCAGCACCCTATGAGGCCGCCTCGAAGTATGCCACGCACCGCATGCGCGAGATCAGCCCGTCGCTGAAGTTGGAGACGTATCATCCGGCGAGCACGTACAAGGTGGGTCGACGTTGGAGTTCATAGAAGGGGGCGAGACTTGCGATTCGAGACTGCCGCTGGTGAAGTGGAATGTTTAGCGGACTTCGACTGACTTGGAGCTCGTAGACTTTCGGCAAGGGCGCAGACAGCACGCATGCGGCGCGCGTGAAGCGCGACGGTCTTGAGGCTGCGGCGACGTCCTATGTTGCTGATCAGCTGGGCCTGGACAACGCAAAAGTGAAGTTCAGGTCTGGATACGCAGGCGGGTCTTCCGTCCATTACGGCTACATCCGTCAAACCCATGTACGTGCAACTGCTTCAGGTAATCGTCAGAATAGCTCATCTACATGCAGGAGGATATCCCGTTCGTGAACGCCGTGGCAAACGTTGCCTTCAAGGACGACAAGATAGTTTCATTCGGACACTCCTTTGTCCCGACTGGTGAGTACATCACTGAGTCTGGCCATGGATGTACCAAACTTACACTGCTACAGATAATATCGCCCCTTCAACCCCATCCGTCGACATCGATTCCTTCCTCTCCGATGTCGAATCGAAACTGGATGGAAAGTACAACAACTACACCAGCGTCGAGTACCTTGTGAAGTCCGACGGCAGCATCGCCCTCGTCCACGTCGTACAGATCCAAAACGATGCTAAGAATACCTGGTACGAGGCCATGGTCGATGCGCACAGCGGCGAGCTTCTCTCGATTACGGACTTCGTCGCACACGCGGCGTACAGGGTGCTGCCGGTCACGAAGGTCGTGCCCACAGAGGGATTCGAGCTGGTCGAGGATCCGGCGAATGAGGCTGCTTCTCCGTATGGGTGGCATGCGTGGAGCGACGATTCGGGCGAGAACATCACTACGTGTGTTGAGACCTTTCTTTGGGATGGGACGGGGGTAGCTGACACAGATGAAGGGGAAACAACGTCCAGGCTTTCCAGGGCTCATGGGATACGGGTTCGGCCGAGCAGACTGCAGACGGGCTGGTTTTCGACTACACGTACGACCTCGACAAGGAGCCCACCGAGGGTAACAACACGAAGGCTGCCGTCGTGAACGCGTTCTACCTGTTGAACATGCTGCACGACGTGAGCTATATGTGAGCTATCATATCGTGCTTCTGTCGACCTTGAATTGACTTTGATCAGCTACGGCTTCACGGAGGAGGCCTATAACTTCCAATGGAGCAATTTTGGCAAGGAAGGAGCACAGGGCGACCGTGTCGTGAGTCCTCTCGACACGACGGCGTAATCTGCTGATCAACTTCTTTTGACATAGATGATGAATGTCCAGTCTACTCTGTCTACGGATAATGCTGGTTTCGTTACCCCTCCCGACGGTCAAGCAGGCCAGTGCTATATGTTCCTCTGGGACTACACGACGGTAATTCGACCTCGTAAGACTTCTTATGTGCATGCTCGCTGACAATCGCACAGCCAAACCGCGACGGCGACATGGAGAATGACCTGCCTCTTCATGAGGGCACGCATGGCATCTCGAACCGTCTCACGGGCGGTGGCACCGCGCGTTGTCTTCAGGGCACCGAATCGGCCGGTATGGGCGAGGGGTGGTGAGTTAGCCTTCATCGCGAGCTCGATACAGCACTCATTATTCTAGGTCGGACGCTATGGCCGAGTGGATGCAGCAGACGAGCGGCGAAGTAAAGGACTTTATCATGGGGACGTGGGTTTCGAATAACTCGAGCGGGTACCGCAGCCACCCGTATTCCACGGACCCGAATGTCAACCCTTTGCGTTACTCGTCCATCAAGGACCTTGAGGAAGTGCATGGTGAGCATATCAGTGTCCCCGTGCCAGCGAGTGTCTGATGACCTGATGACCTGAACAGACATCGGCGAGGTCTGGGCAAATGTCCTGCACAACGTCTACGCGGCCCTCGTTGAAGGCTTCGGCTGGGACGCCGATTTCAGGGCCAACGCAGCCAGCGACAAGGGAAATGTCGTCTACATGCACCTCTTCATCGACAGCTTGGCTCTGCAGCCCTGCAACCCGACGAGTGAGTTGCCTGCGTGTGCCACAAATAATGGAGACGGCTGACTCGCATCCCAGTGGTACAATCGCGCGACGCGTGGATTCAGGCGGATGAGAACAGGTACAACGGCACTCATAAGTGTGCTGTCTGGAAGGCGTTCGCCAGCCGTGGGTTCGGAGTCAGCGCGGCCGACTTCAACGACGACGAGACGGTGCCGGAGGAATGCCAGTAAGGAAGAGCAGAGAGGAAGGCTCACAATCTCTAACTTATTGGGTATACTATATACTGGGGCGAAATAAACATATATGCTGACACTGCTGCTCTTGCCTGACGCGGCCCGAGAGACCAAGAAAGGGCCGTACCGGAGCGCGTGCCTCGCGGTGAACATGCCTGGTGTGACGTCACGCGTCAAGTTTCCCTAAAAGGCAAGAAGTTGAACTTCTCCACGAACCACGACCCCGTGCACGACGCGTGAATGCCTTCGACATGATACGGACTCTGTTCTTCCTCATCCTATCTCTCACCCTTGCTAGAGCTCAGCTATCTCTTCCTGACCCGCCCTTCCTACCCCCAAACGCCAGCGCGGGGACCGAACCATCTAACTCGTCTTCCCGGTCTCCCAACGTTCAGTGGTCGACACTCCTGGGAGACGTGCTTTACTTCTACGAGGCTCAAAGAAGTGGGAAGCTTCCTGATACTAACAGAGTCGAGTGGAGGAACGACAGTGCTTTGGACGATGGAAACGATGTAAATCTTGATTTGTCAGGTTAGGCCCCTTCCTCCCGAAGTTGCCATATATTGTTGCTGAAATAGATGTTAGGGGGCTACTACGATGCAGGAGGTAGACCTTTCGTTAAAGCCCTATTCTGAGTCGTGCTAACTGTGTCGAGATTACATCAAGGCCACATATCCTCTTGTGAGTACCTGGTTTCCGAGTGAGAGCGAACAAAGACTTACTCAGTGTGCTCTCGGCAGAGTTTTTCGCTAATGTCCATTTGCTGGGGCGCTCTTGATTTTGGACAAGGTATACTCAGAATGTTGCTTTTCTTTGACATGATTCTGATGAAAGAGCAGGTTACGAAATGGCCAACCAAACGGCCTACCTCGACGACATGCTACGATGGGGGCTTGACTGGCTTATGAAGGTAGTGCACTTGCATGGTTGTTCATCATCGCCTCGAGCTCATGAAAGTAACAGGCTCACCCCTCTGACGACACATTGTACGTTCTAGTCGGCGATGGTATGCCAATAACGTGCGACCGCGCTACAAACTGCCGCTAACATCGCTCTAGCCGACACCGACGACGCATACTGGGGAGGGGACGAGAACATCCCTACACCTCGTGTATCCTACCAAGTGAACTCCTCTGACCCGGGGACAGACGCCTTCGCGCAGGCATCCGCCGCTTTCTCAGCATGCTCGAGCCTGTACTCGAACCGCACCTTCGGTGACACGGGCACCCTCAGCTTGCACAACTCCACGTATGCAAAGACGCTTCTGGACCACGCATCAAAGCTGTACGACGTCGCAGTGCACTCGGAGGGTGATCAGCAGGTCTACTCAGACGTCGTGCCCGAAGTCGCCGACGCGTACGGCTCATCGGGATTCAAGGACGAGTTGACCATGGCGGCGCTGTTCCTCTCCTGGGCGAAGGGCGACGACTCCCTGTTCGACGAGGCCAAGGACTACTGGGATGAGGACGACTTGGGCAACAACCTGCGCGGCGTGTTCAACTGGGATTCCAAGATTCCGGGGCTGCCTATCCTGTTCGCGCAAGTCAGCAACGCCTCCGGTCACGGAAACACGAACGAGTGGACGCAGATATCCGAGAACTTCCTCGATGGTATCCTCGATAACAAGAACGGGGCCGAACTGACGAAGGGGGGACTCTTGTACTACGACGGCGACTCGGATTCATGCAGCCTGAACCCTGCTCTCAATGCCGCTATGCTACTTGTTAAGTACGCACCTCTTGCCTCCGATTCTCAGCGTCAACGCTATCTCGTACGTGTTATGTCTGCGTCTGGAATGACTTATGACTACAATCGCGCTTCAGGACTACTCAAATCAGCAGCTCAACTACACCCTGGGCAATAATCCCATGTCAAGTAAGCAGTTGCTCTGCCGCAGCATGTCGATGCTCTAACCTTTCCTCGTGCAGTCCCCTACGTGGTCGGCATCAACCCGAATGCGCCCAAGAACCCGCACTCTGCCATGGCCAGTGGCGGCAACGATATCGAGAACATCGATACTTCGCCGGAGCAAGAGGCATACGTTCTGTACGGCGCACTTGTCGGCGGACCTGACAAGCTGGATGGGTTCTTCGATATCAGGCGGGATTGGCCGCAGACAGAGGTGTGTGCTGCCTCTTTCTGTAATATGGCCGCGTGCCCTGACGACGCAAAGGTCGCCCTGGACTACAATGCCCCTTTGCTCACGCTCGCTGCCTACCATGTTCAGTCTGACGAGAACGATCCTTACTATGTGACGCTGGAAGAGGGAACCGCCGTCAGGCCGAGGGGTGCGCCCTGCGATGCGGCTATTACCGATGGGTGCTCGGCGAAGATGTCGAAGGGTGGGATCATTGCGATGGCCGTCTGCGTGGGGGTGACAGGATTGTTCGTGCTGGGCCTGTTTGCGACGTGGTTCTACCTCTCTTGGACTTGGTGATCGCATGCTAGGACGTGATGTATAATCTACCTCCTCTACTGTACATGGATCTAGGTAATCTAGCTTCTACATTGCCGTGTTGACCGCTTTCAAAACTCGGAAAGGTCATGGCAAGGTTGTGGGTACAGGGCGGTTGCGTCACGGTCATGACGCCGTCATTAGGCCACGTGCGTGACCGCCACGTTCGCAAGCCCGAGCGCCGACAATGACACGCCACTCTCATGAAGCCAACTTGAATCCCGCTATGTCGACCATAGCTATACGTGTCGAGCTCCCCGCCTACTCTCACTCCTTCCAAGTTCATGTTCCTCCCTCGGCATCCGTCCAAGATCTCAAGCGAGAGATAGCCCGCACTTGCCCCGGGACTCCTAGGGTGGAAGGCCAGCGCTTGATATGCCGGGGTCGCGCGTTGGACGATAGCGAGCGTGTTGAGGATGTTTGGAAGGTGCGTCGATGTCCTATAGACTATAGGTGCTGTGCTAACCTCAAGATATAGTCCCCCGACCAACTGCGCGTCGTACATCTGGCCGTACATCCCTCGGCTTGGACTGGGGCACCTCCCAGGACTGCTCAGGCATCTGCGGCCAATCCTATTCCCGCACCGACAAGTGTGTTTCCGCAATCGTCGATACCCCACGCCAGGCGGACGATTCCCACCTGGCCTTCCGGGGACCCAGAAGCGGACTCTCGGGCGTACTCAAAGGCAGCCTTGGAGTACGTGTACATCAAGCACCGAGAGGCGCTGTCTGCCTTGACGGGGCAGCCGGTGATGCCGCTCCCACCAAATCTGCTGGATCTGCGGCCCATGGCCAAGAGCTGCTTGGAGTCACGTCATGGTCTCAAGTGGCCGGCTATCCTCGACGAGCCATTGCCAGATGTCGAGGGCGAGGGTGAAGGTGTCGTCTACGACCGGACACTCATTGAGTGCGTCTTCCAATCTGCTTGCTAATTCATATCGGCTGACAAGTGTGTAGCGGTGTCCCCTACTATCGCCTCAGAGATCCGCAGGCAAAGCCAACGTCGCGACAGATCCATGCGGCGAAGGTCCTAGCCATTACCTTCCCTCTCCTCAATCTTCCACCTGCACTTCCTCCGACCCCCGTAGCCGTTCCTTCACTTCCAACTGGACTGCCGCCTGATGTCCACCAACTCATGCGCCAGCTCAACTTGCCGCCTATGGCTCCTCTCAGAGTGGACGGCGACAACGTTCCTGGAGCAAACGGGATCAACGTCGTTCACGTCAATCGGCCCGCGATCCCTCCTGAGTTGCAGAACCTCCAGATCCGACCTCTCATCGTACCTCTCCTTGTTCTTGTCTTCCGCGTCATGCTTCTGCTCTACTTCCTCGATCCGGAGGACTCCCCCATCTACGCTGTCTTCATCCTCGGATTCGTTATATGGGAGATGTGGGGCTTGATCATGAGGGGGATCCCGAGGGAGCCAGGTCAACAACGGGAGAACGGTGGAAACGCTGCTCCAGCTGCAGCGGGCGCGCCAGCCAACGAGGGGAATGGTGCGGCGCCGAACAACATCGCTTTGGCTGCGAATATCCAGTCCCAAGCAACGGAATATCTGGGCGCCCAAGGCCTCGCGGCTGAGGAAGCAGCGCTCAATGCACCCAATGCGCCGCCGCCGACTATGGGTCAGAAAGTCATAGCCTTCACATCGCTTCTTCTCAGCACCATCCATCCTGCGGTTTGGGAGCGTCGGCGCGCACTTCTGAGGAGACGCGAGGGTCAGATCAGGACGGAGGAGCGGGCTCGGCAAGCTGCCCAAGAACGGGCGGCAAATGGAGAAGGGGATGACTCGACGGACCACCCGGCTCTGCCGCCTCTTCGCCCTCGGGCGCCATGGGTACAAGAGTATGTCGAAAGAGTTCTCGCCGACGAATGGGTGGATGAGTCTGCAGATTGATCATGGACTATATGTTGTCAAAGGGGATGGATCTATTATATTCGTGTACTATCGTTGTCATGTCGCTATTCATCGAGGCTTTGAGGTTGCTTTCTTCGGAGGATCCTTTGAGGCGCACATGGGCGCAATCAGCGAAATCACAAAAGAACAATGGCGATGAGGCCACGTGCCGTTTCGGCTATATCCCCTTCGAGCTGAACATCGCCCTTGTCTCTTCCCCTCATCTCACTGTCACATATCGCACTCCTGCAGCACCCCAGTCGGTGCTGCTGAGGATCTCCGTGCAAACCTAGCTATGTCAACCTTCGAAACACTCATTGACGACCTCACGCGAGACGTGAACCGCGCGCAGCCGAAGGACGCTCTGCAGTTCTGCGCCAGTTGGTTCCAATCTCGCCTCGAGGAACAGAGGATACGCATGCGAGACGTGCTATCCCAGCGCTCCCACTCCTTCTCCAGAGACGTCCCTTCCGAGATGTACATTGATATCCCTGTGGGCAGTGGGCGCGATGGCGCGCCGGCGAGCGTGTCGCCCTTCACCCAGGCACCTCCTGCGCCCCGGCCTTCGTTCCGTGCAAGCATCGCGCCATCAAGCAACAGTCCGTTTGGCACACTGAACGTACCGGGGAACGCGCTCCTGGCGAACCGAGCACCTAGTCCCCGCGCACGCTTTCAAGTGGACGGACGCGAACTGCCACCGACCTCTCCCCTTAGCCCTGGCGATCCCTTCGCTCCCTTCGAGACCTCCGGTGCGAATGGCCTGAACCCATCGGAGTACCTCCAGCCCCCCAATGCATCCATCTTCGCTCGCCGCGCGTCCGTGTCGGCCGAGTCGATCTCGGTCGACGCGTTGAACCGCGAAGAGACGAAGACGCGCGTATTTCCCAAAACACCAGATCAGATGCGCCGTATACAATCATCGACGGCGAACAACTTCATCTTTCGCGATCTGACAGAGGAACAGAAGCGCGCTGTCTTCCTGGCCATGCAGGAGATGACGGTGGACAAGGACACGGTGGTGATCCGGCAGGGCGACGACGGGGACTACTTCTATATCGTCGAATCAGGCTTACTGCACTGTTTCATACGACCAGAGCCGCTTCCTCCGTCCTGGAAGCATGCACCGAAAACGCCAACGCCTTTGATACGGGAAGACGAGTCGGAAGAGATGTTCCTACAACCAGACACTCACCGCGAGTTTGGCAAGAGGGTCGCCGAGTATCCTGCCGGCACATCGTTCGGCGAGCTCGCGCTCATGTACGGCCATGCTCGTGCCGCCACGGTTCTCTCGGTCGAGCCGTCCTCTCTCTGGAAAATCGAGCGTCGCGATTTCCGTCACGTCGTCGTAGGCTTGGCGCACAAGCGGCGCTCGATGTACGAGCAATTCCTCTCGACGGTCACTCTGCTCTCGTCGCTGGACGCGTCAGAGCGAAGCAAGATCGCGGATGCGCTTGTGAGCCGAGTATACGAAGACGGGCAGGCCGTCGTGAAGCAGGGCGAGACTGGCGACACGTTCTTCTTCGTCGAAGAGGGAGAGGCGTGCGTTACCAAGAGACCGCAGGACGGCGAGGATGGGGAGGAGATAGTCGTGGGTCACCTGAAGAAGGGCGACTACTTTGGAGGTGCGTGTGGTCGCTCTTCTCAATTCCCCGGAGACTGATTACTTGCTCTAGAGCTGTCTTTGCTTCGTTTGGCGCCACGCGCCGCTACTGTTAGCGCTGTCGAGAGGGAAGATCCGAATCAGCCCAAGCTGAAGGTAGCGGCGCTGGACGCGCCTGCCTTTACGCGGTTGCTGGGACCACTTCGGGAGATAATGGAGCGCAAGGCCGGGGAGACGTACGGGCGCTGATCTGGTATTTGTTGTGCAATGTTCACGGGCATGGTGATCTACCAAGTGTATCCACTAGTGTTGTTATTCTTGCAGTTGTATCGTTCTGGAATCGGAATAGTGCTTTGAAGTCTGCTGTGTGCTTCGGATTAGCTGGACGTCCCGGAAGGGCAGTCGACAAGTCCGGATTGTGGGTGCTAACACGTGGATTGTTGCGGTCAATACTTCCGAGCCTCGGGCCCAAGAAATTCATTTTCTCCCTTGTCATCGCCCCGCACCTTGTCCGCCCGTCATCCGTTGTCTTGAGTGCTCTACATTATCGCGCGTATGTAAACGACAATCGTATATCGATGAGCCTGGCCATACCGCCGTTCCCCCGCCCAATCGCCGTGTTCCAAGTCTGGCAGGACGGAGATGCGCGACACCGAGAGTGTGGCAACGACATCAGCGACGCAGACGGTTCTGAGCCCGGAATGCCCGGGACGGAGAGGCCCACGGCGTCGGAGCCTATCATCTCATCGCGTTGGTAACCGCGCACGAGTTGGCTGATTGGTGAAGTGGAGCGCTCCATGATGCCTTCTTTGTGCCCCCACCGCCTCGCCCGCTTCGCCTGTTAAATAATTCCGACCTGGTGTCGTCTTTTGTCCTTTTTTTCTGTCCATCGTCTTGCTGCCAGACTGGCCCTTCCACTCAAGGCCATCTCGGCATCTTCGACAGAAAAGAAACCATCACCTTAAACTCCTTCAAACCCCGACCACACACAGTCTTTACCTCCCGTTCTCTTCTGTAGATGTCTAGCGTCTATATTGTGCAGAGGCAGGGCCTCGGTGATCGTGAGTTGTACGCCACTCCCTTGAAGAGCAGGACTGACAGATACGCGCAGTGTTGGGCCTGTAAGTTTGGTGGCGCGCGCGTCCTTCCTGCGCTCACAACGAATACCCACAGTGGTGGCGACGACGATTCGTCCTCCACCTCCGCGACGGGCACTGCCACTGCCACATCCAAGTCGTCGGACCCCCTGGGATTGGGCGGATTAACTACGGTTCTGGACGGGCTCACGACTGTCCTTAACCCATCGCAAACGTCTGAGACGTCTTCTGCTTCACCTACGTCCACGTCACTAACGTCTTCTTCGCCTTCTTCGACTTCAACGAACAGCAGGACCTCCAGCTCGTCGAGCGCGTGAGTGGTAATCCAGCTCCGTTAAGCTCGTTTGTAACAAACCGCAGGTCGTCTTCGTCTGTATCATCAAAACCTGCATCATCTACTGTAACATCATCCTCCGCTTCGTCTTCTGCGACGTCGTCTTCGGCCTCTTCTTCGTCCTCGACGACGAGCGCGTCCTCCTCTTCGGTGTCTGTGACACCCAGCACGAGCGCCTCAGTCACCGAGTTCACCAGCAATGGCTCTGCACATACCTCGACCATGTTCGTCACGGCCTCCGCTTCAAGCGCGGCAGAGAGCGCCTCCGCGGCGCCCGTCTCCGGCAGCAAGGCCTTCCTGAACAATAAGCCTCTCGCGGGCTTCGTGTTCGGGTTGGCTGGACTCGTTGGACTCGTGATCATCATCATGATTGCGACGTTCGCGATGCGCCGTAGCAGGCGCAAGAAGCTCATGGAGGAGGCGGTCTCGTTCGACCCCTCTTACATGACCACCGGACGTGACGGCGACACAGGTTCACTGGCGGAGAAGGGCGCCCCGCTCGTCCGCGACCCCAGTGGCGGCAGCGGCACCCGTCCTCCCAGTGTAGGCTCGTATACCGGCTCATACCGCGGTGGCGCCTACAACAATCCCGCCCCGCCGCCTGGCGCCTACTCCGGGCAGCCGGCGTACGGTCAACAGCAGGGATACGGAGGACAGGCTCAAGGTTACGGTGGTGGAGGTTACGGGTATGGGGCTACGACTTTCGCGCCGCCGGCTCCTTCGCGCACGCCCCAGCCGGTGCAGCCGGCTTACGACACGTACGAGCCCGCGAGGCCTCCGGCTTTAGGCAATTACACTGGGCCCAACTACCTTGGAGCGCCCAACGCCGGTGGCGCTATGCAGCTGCCTGATACCTTCGGTTCGCCCAACACGCAGAATCTCCCCGGCCAAACTCTTGGCAACATGAAGGTGCAATACTCTCCCGCTCGAGACACGCACAAGCACTGACCATTCTGCAGATAGCGAATGCATGAAGACTCACTCGTTAGTGCACGGATACCCATCTCATTTCGGACGTCGCCGTCGTAGGACTGTTCACTACTTCGGGTGCGGACTTCAGCGTTCTCTACGCCCCTCGTTCTGTGGTGTCCTCCACCGACTCAAGTACCGAAGACTTCGCGCCTTGTAACATATTGTCGTCGCTATCGCTCCACCCTTCTAACGCGTATTCTCTTGCTCTAGTGAGCATATTTACTTCCCCTGCGTAATCTAGCTGTTGCTTTCGAACCTGTTGTCCCTCTGGGAGGGCGAGCATGATATTGAGTAGTTCCTGTGGAATGTATCATTACCATTCGCTAAGTATTCCTAGCAATACAGTATGGAGCATGCTTAGAGGGACGCGGGCTCTTTGGGTTGAACGTCCGGTGACAGCTCACCGGGATTAATTCAGCTCAAGATGGGGTTATGGGGCGCGCTAGCTAGCCTGAAGTATGGGGAATGGGGTAGGCAGATTTCTGGACGAAAAGCCGTATGGTACCACTGTAGAGGGGAATAATGGCGTTCTTCAAGCAAGTTCGGGGCGTAGGACCTGCGTAGAGTTGAACATGAAGTGATGAAGGGCGCCATGTCATAGATGATCTCCGTGTGCGGCGCGTCATGGATCAGAATCACATGCCGCGCGGAAGTACAAGACGCGATCGTAACCTGACCCCAACGCCCATGAGCCAGCGATGAACTACCTTCGCGGCGCAGTCAGCGCTATCAGCGCCCCGTATCAGTACTACAAGGAGCTCCCGCCCCTGAATCCCTCGACGCTCACCGGGGCAATCGATGTCATTGTCATACAACGCCCCACCGACAACGGAGACACTGAACTCGTTTGCTCCCCCTTCCACGTACGGTTTGGGAAATGGCAGGTGCTGCGGCCTGGGGAGAAGAAGGTGCGCGAATATGTCGTGCACTGAGATCATGCACTAACTGTGGCGTAGGTAACGGTCGCGGTGAACGGACATGTCATTCCGTACAACATGAAGATCGGTGACGCTGGCGAGGCCTTCTTCGTCTTCGAGACAGATGACGACGTGCCGAACGACCTTCTTACAAGCCCTATCCTCGAGCCCACGCGCGCGGAGGACGAGAAAGCGAAAGCGGAGCCAGGACGATTTGGTGCCAAGGAAGATCCGGAGGAGAACCAGGATGTAGACGATGGACAGGCTCCGCCTCTTAACCAGACATCACCCGAACCGGAGCCCTTTGACCTGGATGCCACGGATGGCACTGCAGAGGCGCGCAAGCCGCCCCCCTCTCTGAATCTAAAGAGCACACACTTGCCGTTCCCTCACTCCTCGGGGCTCCTGACACCATCCACGCCATCGTCTATGTTCAGGATGGACGAGGACCAGGACAAGCGCGTCGATGAGACTTTGAAGAAGTTTGTCCGTCACGAATCGTCGACGGCGGACGTGCAATATAGCCATCGTATGACACGTCCCCGCCTACTTCCTTCACCTTGCTTACGCTACTTGCAGATATGGCTCTTGACTCTGAGGGGTACCACGCTGAACATGGTCGCGAGCGCTCTGATGATACTGTGACTGGAGATGAGCGTGAACCTGGACCTTCATCGCAGCCCTTCCCGTCGCCACCTGTAACGGGTATGTAAGCTCCTCTATTCGTCTTACCGCGCTAATTCCGCGTCAGAAAATGGCCGCCCCGGCATGACGCATGTGAAGTCCGCTTTTGCCGACCGTGATGAGTTCGACGTTCCCGAGAGCGAGGCCAGCAACGATGACGGCCCTATACCCTTCCCTCGCGCCACTTCCGAGCCGCCGCCCGATGTGGACGAACCCTCGGATGGGTATTACCCTCGCACACCCACCCAGCAACATCCTCACCCACAGGAATATTCATGGGACTGGGGCGCATTCCCGCAAGCCTCACCAATCAAGCCGTCGTTCTCCAGGAGTGGCCGCGTCGAGACCGGAAAGGACTTAGGAAAGCCCATGACACGAGCGGACTTCAAGGGGAAAGGCCGAATATTTCCAGAGGGTGGCCTCGACGCTGTCGACAACCAGAGCTTGAGCGACCGCAGGCTCATTCGTAGTCGCAGTGTGCCACCCGATGCAGATGTACCGCTCAACAGCCAGGCGGATTCGTCCATCCCTAGCATTACTACACAGGATGCTGATGACGAGGAAGATGGCTACGGTTCAGGCGGCATCCTCCGACCGAGCAAACGACATCCTTTTGGCTTCGTCGTCCTCATAGATGGAAAGCGTGCCACATTCGAGCTCAGTTTGGTCGATGACCCTGGTATATTCCACGGACTCGACGAGGTGGACGCCGCACGTCGATTCGAGGAGCATCGGGTAGACTTCGAGCGCTTCCTTAATGACCCCAGTGTCGTGCAGGACTCCAAGCTGGTACTGCGCTGGTCTGGTGATCAGTAAGTTGCTTTTGCTTTTCTGTGGTGAACACCTTCTGACTCAGAGGCAGGTATATCACCCGAGCAGACGGCTCTCCACTTATGGACGCTCTCGTGCGCTGGCGTGATCTAGCAGTCGCCCATCGCCGACCCTCTCGACCCACCTCACCCATGTCCGACGACGAAGAGGGCGCCAAGTCCGATAATGAACAGCCCTCCTCTCTCACCAACACCGCCTCAGAATCCAATCCTACCATCGCGAAGCCGAAGCCCACCTCAACATCCTGGGTCCAATGGTGGCGTCGCAGCCAGAGCAAACCCTCTGCGCCACCGAAACAGGGCGACATGATCGCTGGTCGCCCCGTTCTGAAGGAGACGGCCTCCGCGCCGGTGGACGACCCATTGATACACGAGCAGCAGAAGCTGGCGAAGGACATACAGGCGACGGACACGGCGCCGGCGCTACCATCGAGCCCGGTGAACGTGACACCTTCTCCACCGAGCTCGCCTGCAAATGAGCAGCCACCGAAGCGATTTGCGAAGACGTTGCGGTTGGGATCAGATCAGTTGGTGGGAACTGACGTTTTTGCGAAAGGATAGTGTTGACCGTTCTGCAGAAAGCCCTCAACCTGCACTCAGGTGCCAACTCCATCACCTTCTCACTGTCCACAAGCGGCGCAATCGCCTGCACTGCGCGGATCTTTGTGTGGGACTGCACGGACCTGATTGTCGTGTCCGACATCGACGGTACAATCACCAAGTCAGATGGCTTAGGGCACGTCTTCGCCATGATTGGCCGGGACTGGACGCATATGGGTGTCGCGAAGCTGTACACCGACATTGCGCGGAACGGGTACAAGATCATGTACTTGACGTCGCGAGCCATCGGCCAAGCGGATGCGACGCGCGACTATCTGAAGGGCATTCGCCAGAACAACTACGAGCTGCCAGAGGGGCCAGTCATAATGAGCCCCGATCGCTTGCTAGCATCTTTGCATAGGTGAGTACCGCACCGTTATTCAAGGATTCAATGGTCTTTGTGTTGATGTACCTTTCTCAGAGAAGTCATCATGCGCAAGCCTGAGGTTTTCAAGATGGCCTGTTTGCGCGATATCCAGCGCCTGTTCGGCGAGGGGCGAAAGCCATTCTACGCCGGCTTTGGCAACCGGATAACGGATGCCTTGTCCTACCGTAGTGTCAACATCCCGAGCTCGAGGATATTCACGATTGACTCCTCGGGCGAAGTGAAGCTGGAGTTGCTCGAGCTCGCTGGGTACAAGTCCTCGTACGTCCGTCTCGAATCTGTTCGTGAGCTTCTTTCTGACCTCGCGACTAGATATATACACATGACGGACCTGGTTGATCAGATGTTTCCGCCGATCCATCGCAAGTGGGCGCCGGAGTACACCGACTTTAACTACTGGAAGCCACCGATTGAGGACTTCCCCCTACCAGACCTGTCGCCACCTTCTCCGGCTCTCAGCGCGCGGTCAGACACATCAACGTTCTCGCGCATACGCAACTTCAGCCTCGTCAGCTCGCGCTCACCACCGAAGCCCTCGACACCACTACCTGAGGCAGAGCGGGATGGCTCGCGATCGAAAGAGCTGCGGCAAATGTCGTCCTTCGAGCGATTGAGCTCAACGCTTGGCTTCAGCTCGAGCTCAAGCTCGACGGCGGATGCTGGGCGCCGAAGTGCGAGCCCAATGTCGCGCTCTTCGTCTTCGTTGACGTTCGCCGAGTCCGATGAGGACCTGAGCGATGGGGAGGAGCGGAAATACCGACGCGAACGACGGACGAGCATGCCTGGTTCTCTGGACGGCTTCGAGCTAGACGAAGCCGATGAGGAGGGTCAGGAAGAGGAAGGAGATTACGGCGCGGAGTACGATGAAGAGGGAGAGCACGTACCGCTGACGGAGGAACCGGAAGAGGCTGACCTCGACGACGACCTGCTCGCTGCAGACGAAATGAAGAACGTTTCTTTCCTGTGATGATTGGGACTATGACTGGGATGTACACGCACTAATGACTACAGTACTAGTATCACTGCCTGCAATATCTATAATCTGCATGGTTTCTGTGACGGGTGCTATCTTCAGCGCCGGCATGCCAAGCGGGACATGCTGCGTACGCAGCCGAGCCGCTTAGCTGCTTGCTTCCTACATTCGAGATGTCGACCCTTCACAGTTGTAGTGAAGAAGGCCTAGCAAGCTATACAATGGCCTGCCTCGCTGGCAGCTAACGTCCCTCGGGAGATGGTAAGCAGCCATCCGTGTCGCAAGCGTGCCGAAACACCGGCGGCGAAGCTTGCCCTCTGATCTTGGACTTTTGTTCTCTGCCTCCTACCTTGCCTCTGCCCGATACTCAGTGCTGGGGGCTGAGGTGGTTCTGCTATCCTGTGCTCGCCTGTACCTATAGGTTCAGGAGCCTGACGTAGCACGAGCGACACACCTGCTTCAAGACGGCACCTCTCCACTCTCCATACTCTCCCCTCGTTTGCGTCTGCATATTCTGCAGCCTTCGCACAAGCCATCATGTCCAACTTCACGCTGGTGGATCCCAAGGGATGGGAGTTTGACTTGCATTCGGTGAGTGTCGTGGGCTCTGCTGGTCGCCTACCTTAACCTTCATCTGCAGGTCTATTCCGCATACATCGGATACTTCCAAGTCCATAACATCCCCTGGTGCGTTCGCATACCAATAATGCTGTAATCCCACTGATCCCCTCCTTACAGGTATGAGCGATCGTGGGGTCACTGGTTCTCCTCCTTCGAAGAGTTCCTCGCATTCTCCTGGCCCGTCATCACCGTCACAGACTCCTGGACCGGCCGCGCACACATAGTGACCCGGCTCACCTCCATAGGCGCCTTCATCAAGATGATCAAGACCCGGTGCGTGCCCTCCGCGAAATGAAGTGCCATCCGCCCGATCTCATCCATCTCCACCCTTCCCAGATTTGGTGAATCTATACCTCAGGCGCCCAACATCCTCCAGGTTACGCCGTTCGAGACGTCGACAAGGCATCTGCGGAATGTGAGCGACTATGCGACGTACAAGAAGCTGCATGCGACGCTCCCGGCGGCGGAGCTGAGCGCGTTGAAGGCGCGTATACGGGCGGGGGAGCCGCATGCGGTGAAGAAGTTGTGGGACCAGAAGGAGAAAACGTTCCTTGCGATGGACTTTGAATGGAGCGAGCGCAATGAACGGAGCTGCCTGGAGTGGGGCTACGCTGCGGTACGGTGTGGGCACTTGGATAGGTGGGTTTGGCTAATTCCTCAAGGGAATATTTAATTAAACTGGTTCAGTCAAGGTCGCTGGCCTCCGGTACCAGAGAAGAACTACAGGTAGGTCAAGTTCTTTTGGCCGTCAGAAGCGACTAATGGCTGAACAGGAAAGGTCATTACATCGTCGGTGAATACGTCGACAAGGTCATGAACAAGCACTTCTTGAACCATCCGTGGGAGGTGTGTCAGTCGATATGCCAGTTTCTTTTGACGATCGAACTGACCGTATGTTAGTACGCTGTGCGTGTCTTCGGCACCAGTCTTGCTCCTCCAGCGCTCATGATGCATAGTTCGGCGACAGTCAAATTGTGTCCAAGTCGAAGCTACCAGAGCTAATCACATCGATAATCAGGTCAGTATTGCCATACCCTATAGAGTGATACTCATGTTGACGCGCATATTGTTTCTCGCTAACAGTAGCCTAGCCAGTCCGGATTCCGAAACTCTTGGCAACGTGTTGGTCGTCATAGTCCACGGATACGGGGATATATCCAGGATGGAAGATATCGGGATTAGTGAGTCATTCGCCTGCAATGTACCACTGATACTCAAACTGTAGCAGAGCTCCCGCACAACGTCTTCATCCTGGACGCTGCCGCTTACGAGCGCACCTTGTATGCTGCCGGCGTACGCGGAACCATGATCGACCCGATGACGAATATGCCACGACAGCCAGGCTCGACGCTCGCGCCAGAGAACCTCCTCCGCACCTTTGCCATGCCGCCGCTCACAGTAGCCGAAGGCACGGTCGTGCTTCCGCCACCAAAGCAAGCGCAGATGGTAGCCTTTCTGAGCGCCTGCCCTCCTCGGAATGCCGGCAACGATGCCTTCATGCTGCTGTTTGGCACGCAGATGCTCCTCGATGGCGCTCGAACGGAAATCCCAATCATCCTTCCCAAGATGCGCGCGAGGCCAGTGAGCATGATGCCTGCCATGCCTATGGCGGGCTTGCCTGCGATGATGACGGGGATGTCGTTGGGACCTCCAATGGCTGGGCGACCGGCGCTTAGAAAGAGCGCAACGTCGGAGAGGTTGCAGGCGATGCAACCGCAAGACCTAATTCGCGACGATGGACAGTATCTGAGCATTGGCAGGTCTCGTTCTCCTGGACGTAGGATTAGCAGTGGTGGGGTTCACGGATGATCGGTTTCCACATACGCGAAAGGACTACTAGCACGGACTTATGCCAGACACCGCCGTTTGGACCTCCGCTTATCGATTCACTCCACTGCATTAGCTACCGGACGGACAACTCGTATTTATTCTCCATCGACTCTTCTACTAGCTCGCACCATCTAGGCTACGCAACCTGAATTACTTGGCAAGTTTATTGTCTTTGTGGTTGTTGTGCGTAATGGGTCCTTTGTCCAACAATGTGTCGCCATCACGTCGATACCGGTAATCACCGCCACGTGTCTCTATGCTCATTGATTCACCGTGACTGGCTCCTTGTTTCTTACCCCCACTTTCGCCACCTTCGACTCAACGGTCTAAAGAAACACAACATGCCTAACACTGTAACCGAGCTACAGAGTAACATCGTAACGGTCCTCGGTGCGACCGCGCCAAACGCTCCCGCCAATGGTTCTCAGCGTCCCAAAGGCAAACGACCTAGCCGCCGAAAGCCCAAGGCGAACAAGGGCGAGGAAATGCCTGCTCAGGATGCCCCCGCTAAAAAAGTCAAGAAGCTTCGAAATAAGGCGGCGGAGAAAGAAGATGCACCGCACGATCCTGCTGTTCCCCGCGACTTTGGCATCGTAGGACGCGCTGCGAAGGCAGCAGTGGCTGCTGTAGAGAAGATCGGCTTTCCGGCTGCCGTCTTTGGTAGCATGGCTTGTGGCCTATACGGAAACAAGCGAAGACCGAATGTGAGTGGCATTTGCATATAAATCCGTTCTATCTGAGATTTATGGCCACAACTCAGGACGTTGACATTCTCATCTGCGTCCCGCCCGACTCAGGCTTGATCGCTGAAGATATCAAACGGAAGATCCTTGACGTCAATCCGCGCAACTTCTTCCTCAAACTCCCTCGCGATCCAGCAAACACCTACCGTAAACTCTACTACCGCGACGAATACATGGGACCGGAATGCAAGGTCGACATCCTCATACCCGGAACGCTGATGCTACCGTTGCTCGCCCCTTCGCAAATCACACGTATAGACGACATACCTGTTGTCCCTTTCTCTGTGCTGTTGTTACAGAAGCTGCAGGGCTGGGACGACCACGGGCGCGAGGAGCAGGGCTTCAAGCGCACGAAGCAGCAAACGGATGAGGGCGACCTCAGGCGCATGATGGGACTCGCGGCAGCTCGCGCTCTTGCGGCGGGAGTATTACCCTGGGACGACAAGGCTCTCTTTCCCGCAGAGTTCATGCAGCTAAGCCGCGAGCGCGTCATCGCGTACAGCAAGAAGTTCCCGGATCGTGCTGCATGGTGGGAGAAGCTGGGCTTCGTCACGAAGGCGCCGGAGACGGGGCCAACGAAGGAAGATGCCAGTGCTAACGGCAAGGCCACTACTGTAGATGCTGTTAATGATGCAACCGAACCTACCCAGGCATAAACTTGTCCTCTTATCACAACTGCTGCCCGAGCGTTCCCTCACCTTGCCCAAAATCGCTGAACGGGGGGCTATGACACCCAATGAAAACCAAGCATCACTATATAGCCCGGATATTACAATAGAGGTATACAATAAAGATCTACCTTGTACCGACATGTGTACCACAACGGGAGATGGTCGAGGCCTAGTTTAGGAGGTGCCCAGTGTGCCGCCTCTTCGCAATGACCTTCTGGAGCGAAGCCTTGACAATGCCAACAGCCTTCTCCGTGTCCTTCTTGGAGAGCGCGGCAGTCAGCACAAGGCGGATGCTCGGCCGGGGCTCAACGATCTCCTGGCCGCGCAAGCGCTTCGCCTTGCTAATCATGACACCCTGCACGAGCGCGTCCTCAACGACTTCCTGCAGCGCGCGCTCCTCGTCCTCGATGTCCCAGTCCCAAGTGTTCGCATCGCGCGGGAGCACCGAGCGCGGGTCGCTGTGCTTGGGCTTCGTCGCGGTTGCGGGATGCAGCGTCGCGCTAGCCTTCTCGCGCTGGATGTCGTTCGCGCTCTTAAGGAAGATGTGGATCATGGGCGACGCGGGGTGGCTGGGGATGCTGATGCCGTCGACACGCTCTAAGACGGAGCGCGCAACGCGGACGTTCTCGCGGAGGGCCTCGAGGGTAGAGGGGCTGTTCTTCAGCAGCTCAATTCCCTCCGAAGCAGAGACGGCGAGCAGGGCGGGTGAGGTGGCAGAAAAGACGAAGGAGGCACCGTTGTTGCGCTGGTGGTCGATGGCGATCTTGGAGCCGGCGCAGAAGCCACCGGAGGAGCAGAGGCCAATAGCGACGCTGCCGACGATCATGTCGACCTTGCTCGCGGGGACGTTGTAGAGCTCAGTAAGACCGCGACCGGTGCGACCGACAGTGCCGAAGGAGTAGGACTCGTCGAGGATGAGCCTGTACTTGTGCTTGTACTTGAGCTCAATCTGGGCGGAGGTGAGCCAATTGATATAAATACAGACTTGGAATACGAACCAACTTCGGCAAGTCAACCATCTGTCCGTCCTTTTCGAAGATGCCTTCCGTGATAATGAAGCGACGGGTGAGCGGTGCTCGCTTCTTGCGCTGCTCGCGGTCCACGGCCTCGCACACATCGTTAAGCGACTGCAGGTCGTTGTGGTCGAACCAGCGAACGGTCGAGCGCGAAATCTGAATACCCTTCTGGATAGCGAAGTTGACACCACGGTCCGCAATGATGATATCTCCACGCTTGCAGAAGGAAGCAATGACAGAGGGGATAGTGCTGAAGCCCTGCGAGTAGAGGATAGCAGCCTCGGTGCCGAGGAATTCCGCAATGTTGTTCTCCAGGTCGACGTGGACGTCGAGAGTACCGTAGAAACCTGCCGGACCGCAGCTGCCAAGACCGTACTTGCGTAGGGTCTCGATGGCGCGCTCCTTGATGTGCTCGTTGCCGGCGAGGCCGGTGAAGTTGTAGCTGCATAGGTTGATCGCGGTCTTGCCCGTGCTGGCTAGTTTGGGTTTGGGACCATTGGGACCGGCAATGACAGGGACGGCGGCAAGTTCATTCTGCTCGCGCTCGCTGAGGGGCTGGCCGAGGGGCTCAGGGGTCCACTCGTCTACAAGCTCGTCGATTTCCTGCACGCCTTTAGCCGCGGCTATAGCTAGCATCCCGTGCTGCGCACCTTCTCCGAGAACTCGATGAAGTGCTTTTCCGAGCTAGAGCGTGTCCTCCGCTGGAAGACAGTCCGAATGGCAAAGATGAAGAGAATGATCTCGAGCAGCGTCCGACCAGGGTCGTTCTGGTGGGAGCTGCGAACATAACGCTCGACGATAGCAGACCCTGGCAGCTTGTAGAAGGCTGCCTCCACGGTCATCAGACCATTGGCGACGGTAGTAAAGAGCGGCTCGAGCGCGGGCGGCACGGTAGACATGTTGGCGGGAACGTCGACGTCGACGACAACGGCAGCGACGACGGAGAGCGGCAGAGCCTGTCGCGACTCACGTTATGGTGATTTGCACGGCCCGCTCGCGTGCGCCGCGCGTGGACAGTATCTCCTCGTCCTCCGCGGGGGAAGTGCTCGATCGCAATCATCCTTCTCGAGCTTTCCTTTACCGTGTAGACTACAACTTGTCCTCAACCACCATGTCCTCTCAGCGTCCCCTTGTGTTCTTCGATGTGTCCATCGGCGACAAGCCAGCTGGCCGCATTATCTTCGAGCTTTACAACGACCTCGTGCCCAAGACTGCAGAGAACTTCCGTACGTACGCTTCTCTCAACCGCGATCCCACTCTTGACGCGTTCCCTCTCTACAGGCGCGTTATGTACGGGTGAGAAGGGTGTTGGGAAGGCTGGAAAGCCCCTTCATTTCAAGGGTAGCAGCTTCCATCGCGTAATCAAAGGGTGAGTACGCTTCATCCGCTTTCTACCCACCACGGATGGAGAAACGAACGTGTCAGGTTCATGTGCCAGGGAGGTGACTTCACTGCTGGAAATGGTATTGAACCATCGTGTAAACTGTGACTACTCGATGCTGAAGGAGAATCTGCAGGGACGGGCGGCGAGTCAATATATGGCGAGAAGTTTGAGGACGAGGGCTTCCCCGTAAAGCATACCAAACCGTTCCTCCTCTCCATGGTACGTGCTGCTAGACGAGCCCACCTACTTCTCTCTGACTCGACTCATAGGCAAACGCTGGTCCCAACACGAATGGAAGTCAATTCTTCGTCACGGTAGCAGCTACACCCTGGTTGGACGACAAGCACGTCGTGTTCGGTGAAGTGATCAAGGGAAAGACTCTTGGTCAGTAAACCTTTGAACTCCTCTCTTTCGCTTCCTCATCATCACACAGTTCGTCAAATCGAGAACACGCCAACCGACAAGAGCGACCGCCCAAAGCTCCCTGTTGTCATCGAGGACTGTGGTGTCTTGTCTCGCGATGATCCCTCCCTGAAGGCTCCCCAAGCTACCGATGGCGACAATTACGAGGACTACCCTCAGGACGACACGCGCGACCTTGAGAAGGACCCGGCAACCTGCTTGCAGATTGCGAAGGACGTCCGCGAGCTGGGTAACAAGCTCTTCAAGGAGGGAAAGGTCGCGGAAGCGTTGGCGAAGTACGAGAGTGAGTGTCTTTGGTCTTATGACCTTTGCCTCAACTGACAGGCTGATCAGAGGCTCTGCGGTACCTCGACTACCACCCCGTCCTACCTGACGGCACACCACAGTCGCTGAAGGACGAGTGGGATGCCCTCCTCACCCCGCTGTGCTTAAACAGCGCCCTCGCTGCGCTCAAGATCCAGCCGTCAACCCCAGAGAACGCGGATACCGCCATCGCGTACACTTCGCGCGCTCTGCGCCTGTTCAAGTTGAGTGATGGCGAGAGAGGTGAGCACTTTTGATACGTTTCCCTCATCCAACCTGTTACTGACAGCCTCTGCAGCCAAAGCACACTACCGCCGCGCCCTCGCCAACATCGCCAAGAAGGAGGACGAGGATGCCGAGCAGGACCTCGTAGAAGCATTGAAGTACGCGCCGAACGATGGTGGCATCCAGGCCGAGCTCAACCGCGTGCGCACTGCCCGGAAGGCGAAGCTAGAGAAGGAGAAGGCGAAGATGCGTAAGATGTTTGCATAGATGTGCAAGATGTACGCGTAGAGTCCGCGACATATGCAAACGGATGGTGTAGATATTTGGTTAGGGTGCATGCGAACGAAGAAACGACAACATGTTGTACTTATGAACAAACAGTACTAGTACTATCAATGGACAATCTTGTATATCTTCCATACCCTGTGCGCTTGGCCGGTCTTCCGTTTCGCGGGCCTTGCAGAAAGGCGGCCGAGCTGGAGGATTGTCAATGTCACGATTCAAACCATGACGTTAGATTGCATTGTAACATAAAACTAACTACGGAGTAGGTAAGTGGGTAGGTAGGTAGGTAGGTGGAGAGGTAAGGAGGTGCCTACATGGTAGAGAGGCCAGTAGGTAGAGAGGCAGGGAAGTAGGTAGTATGCAGTTACAAATATAAATACAGCGGATGCTTTCGGGATACATATACAAAGGCGCAGGAAAGAGTGAGGTGGTACAGTGAGAAGGCACCTGCCGCCCTGAGGGCCTCCTACACGAGATTCACGAAGCCAAGAGCCGTCAGTCCGCGACGCCAGTCGCATTGCTCTGCGGCGCAGCGTTGGATGTCCATGATGAGTCCGTTCTCATCGACGAAGTAGGCACCGTGAAGGTCGTACTCCTCCCTGCGAGCGAAGAGCTGGCTACCGCGCTTGATGCTGCGCGTGCTGGTCCGCGACGCGCGGCGCTGGACGTTGGCGCCCCCCGTCCGATACCCGTCCTTGCAGTGACCCATGCCGAATGCGGTGGCTAGGTCTTGCGCGGACTTGAAGCCACGGGAGGAGAATACGAAGCGCAGCAGCGGTCTGATGCCCTGACAAGTAAGTCGGCCGAGGACAGTGTGCTTGTGCGCAGGGTCCGAGTCCTCGAATGCCGTCGCACACTCGTCGAGGATGCGGGACAGCCGTTTGTCGAGGCTGTCATTGTCGATGCCTCGCGCGGCGACCACAATTTTGAGCTGCTCATTGTCCAGGAGGTGCCTGTTGTTCAGGACGAAGCAAGCGAGGTCGGTGAGGGCGCCCTCGGGAAAGGCGGTGCCGGCTGGCACGACGCAGATGAGGAGCTGAGTGAGTTTTGTAACAGACGAGCTAAGTCGACGCATAATCAGCTTCGAAGCCTCCAACACAGCAAAAGATGGTTACTCACGGTTGCGCAAACAGGATTGTGTTCAACGTCTGTCCGGTACGTGGCTCGGGGCGATAGTTTTCGTTCTCAGTACGTGAGGGCGGGCACGTCTTCACGAAGGCGGTCCAAGACAGCCCTCGGGGTATATTCGGGACGCTATGGCGCACGTTGGATATGAACACGTCGGTTGCGAACTCGGCGAAGGTGGTCGTGAGCTCGTCCGCCGCCTCGACCATGCGGTTACCGATATCGTGAAGCTTGTAAACGGACATGTTGATGAAGATTTCGTTCCGGTCGTTAGAGAGTGTGTAGATGGAACTAAAAGAGGGGTCTGTCTCTGCGCAGAGGTTTTGGGAAGCTCGCAGAGAGAGCGTGCGGGCGAAGAGTGAGGCTGTTGAAAAGTCATCGGCGCGCCCGATACTTATAAGCGGCGGGAGCCTCGTTGCCTATGAAAGAGATCATATCAGTAATCAAATCTCCAGCCAGCGCTGTACTTCCTGAATTGCCGCCCAAGCTCCGCCTTTCATGACCTTTCACGAGGCTCAGGGCGCTGTCCGAGAGAAGAACAAGGCCTGCTTTGTTGGGAAGTACACGTGTGATGGCTCCCACGTGCGCATCAGCTTCCGCCCTTTGTGACCTTGCCCTCTTACCGTCACAACTCGCCGGATGCCCACGGGAAGTTGAGCAGAATGGAGCGCCTATTCGCCTCGTTGCGCCTTCGGCGCTTCCCTCGTGTGCTGTATTGGTCACCGCTGGTCTTCTTTTGCGCCCGACAATTTCCTATCCACACAGTCTCCGGGCGTAGCATGCAGGTTCGTGCGCGCCACACTTGAGGCCCCGGGTCAGGTACTGACATGTGTACGTCTTCCAGCCGACCCTCAATCCTGACGAGTCTATGCTCAGGAACGACGTCGGTCTCTTCTGCCGGCTGCCCGTGTATTACGAGGATTTCCGCCGAGGCGACATCGTTGCGATGCGGTCCGTCAGTTTCGCTTGTCGAAGTAATGAACAATTGCTGAGCTTCGTAGGTCTCCTACTAATCCACACCGAATGCTTATCAAGCGTATAATTGCGCTTCCCGGCGACACGGTGAAGGCCCTGCAGCCTTGGCCCGACGCTGTGGTCACAATTCCACAAGGCCATATGTGGGTGGAAGGTTCGTAGGTCCAGATATCATCTACTTCCGAGGTGCTCACCGTTTCATTAGGTGACGACCCATACCATAGCTATGATAGCAACCACTTCGGAGCGGTACGCTCTCTACCGTGACGCTGGCCAAGACGAACTGACCGGAACTTCTAGGTTCCCCTAGCGCTCGTCGAGTCGAGATTGACAGGCTTATTGTGGCCCCTTGAGCGCGCCGGTCCCTCAACACGGCTGTCGCGAGATACGAAGGCGCTCGAACGACAAAGGTTGCGTGAGAAGAGGCTCATTGCCAGTACACCTCTGCAGACGACACTTAGCGAAGCAGCAGTACTGCCGGAATTATAGCAGTGATTCCTTCTCCTTCATAGCAGCGATCCTTTCTATCGCACCAGCTGAATGATATGAACGTGTCATTCCGTGGGATAAGTAGATGATAATGCTAGATGGTACAAGGGTCACTACCGAAGCAGTGGTCATTGCGGTGCGTATCGCGTCGCGTGAGTATAGTAGTACATGAGATGCATAAAACACCAGCTAAGCAGTGGCCTAACTCCCCAACCTCAAGGCCCGCCGCCGACGTGGCGGACCCGCTTCACAGCCCGCGAAGGATGGCGTCCGCCTCGGGCGTTCCTGCCAGCGGCACATCATCGCGCAGAGAGACCTTGACAGGCGAGACGCCCTCCTTGTACGCGAGCGCGAACACGACGTCCATGTCTTCGAGACTGCGTCCCGAGGTCTCGGGGAAGAAGAAGTAGACGACGGGGATGATGAGGGCGTTCAGGGCCGCGAAGACTGCGCGAAACGAGTTAGCAAAACCTTAAGAAGGCGCAATGAAGGATAGGTAGGCGTACCGATGTAGGTTCCCCAATCAATATTCTGGAAAGAGGGCCCAGTGACCATAACGACCATGAAGTTGAAGCTCCAGTTGGATGCCTGGATAAGGCGTAAGTGATTCGAGCCTTAAGCCTAATATGAATGAAGCACGTACAGTCGACAAAGCATTCGCCGGACCACGCATGCGCAAACCCACAATCTCAGCCGGGTACAGCCAGGTCATACCGAGCCAGCCGATGGCGAAGAACGAGTTGAAGACGAAGAGCAGCACGCAGGACACGATCTGCGCCGCGTTGTTGTCCTTCAACGACCCGAGGATGGCGAGCAAAATCATGGTGATGCATTGGCCAGTGGCGCCTGAGGATCACTGAGTGAGATGTTGGCAGTGGGTAAGGAGAAAACAGAGACGTACCGAACAACATCAGCTTTCGGCGTCCAATGCGGTCGATGATGAAGATAGCAACGATGGAGATCAGGAAGTATTCCGTGCCATTGCAGGCGGCCACAATACGAGACTCGACGTCTGCCAGGCCAAGGCGCTCGAAGAGCAGCGTCGCGTAGTACGTGATGAGGTTGATACCAGTGATCTGAGGAGATCGTCAGTACGCATGAAATATACAGAAAGTCACTCTCTTTACCTGCTGGAAGCACTGCACAACAACGCCAAGGCAGACACGACGGAAGTTCTGGCCAGGGCCACCCGTGAAGAGCTCCTTGAGCTCAGCCTTTGCATCCTTGTCCGTCCCAGGTGTCTCAAGCTCAACGGCCTCGCGAATACCGCGGAACGTCGTGCGGACATGCTCGTCGGTCACAGGCTTGTCCTCGAGCGCAGAAATGACAGCGAGGGCTTCAGCCTTGCGGCCGGCCTTGTAGAGCCAACGCGGGGATTCGGGCAGCTGAGATCATAGATAAGGATGTGAAGAGGTACGTGAAAATGAGATGTACGCACGAATTCGATGCCAATGATCATGACCAGAGCAAGCAGGATTTGAAGAGCGATGGGGACTCTCCATTGTGCCGATGACGATCCAGCGAAGAAGCTAAGGACATGGGTGAGCAAACGAGGCGTGGAGAAGGATGATTGGACTTACCATCCAAAGTCAATCCACTGAAGTGAAGGAGATAGAAATCAGTAAATGTATTTTGGTAAGTGGGAATCGGAACCCACGTATCTGCGTGTATAATCAGTATGTGCATTATAGGGCGCAGTGGGTTGAACTCACGATAGCATGATACCGCCTGCGATGAGAGTACCCTCGATCATGATAAGACTTCCACGACTCGACGCGGGTGAGAGCTCAGAGTGGTAGGCGGGTACAGTCGAGGTCTACATAGAACATCAGTCAATGGCAGTCAACCCATAGGTAGGTCCACGTACGTTCAGACCGTTGCCCAGCCCAGTCACAATACGCGCTACGATCATCTGCGCATAGCCGTAGGAAGCCGTTTGCAGGATTGCACCAATGATCATGATGACACCGCCAGCGACGATGGTTCGACGCCGACCGAGGTAGTCACCTACCCAGAGGTTTGCCAACGCGCCGATGAGGCATCCGATTTCCTATAGTTACGTTTAGCGACCTCGCTGGAAGGAAAGGTCCGGCACACGCACATAAATGGCAACGAGGAGACTTTGCAAGGTCGCATGATTGGCAGGGCCTGTCTCTTCGCCGGTCTCCGGGAAGACCTCCACGAACTAAGAGGCGAAACGGATAAGCCATCTACCGAGAAGAGTTGCCATATGGACCAACCTTTGGAGCGGTCAGCAGCGCGCTCATGACGCCCTGATCGTAACCGAAGAGTGTGAAACCTGGGGAAGGTGAGCGGGGAACAATGCGCCAGGACTGGGGTGCGGAGGGGAGGAGTGGGGGAAGAAGGTGGGGGCGGGGATAGCAAGGGAAAAGTTCTCACCAGTGGCGGCGATGAAGGCGATGGCGCCAGTGAGTGACCTCCCCCTCAAGCCAAAGTGGTACTTGGCTGCCTCATCGCTGTACTCGTTGAAGTCGATGTCGGAGGTGACCGACTTGTTCTCGTGGAACTGTTCACTCTTCTCGAGCTTGGACGGAGAGAGAGCCATGGCGATCCGGGGGTGGGGGCGGGGGTGGGGATAGCACGTCCCCTCGCTCTAGTATATATACGCGCGTGTCCCCGGACTCGTCGCGTCGGCGGGGGATGCGGGACGGAAGCTGAGCGGCACATGGTGACGGGCCTGGGAGTGGAGCTGCAAATGTCATTGTTCAATGCGTATTGACCGGACGTAGGACTTCAGGCGAGCGCGTAGGGTCACGCGCCAAGTCTACACGCTTAAATCCGATAGCTCCTCAATAGCCTCTCAACGACTCTGTTGCTCGGTGGCGCGGGTAGCTGTTAAGCCTGAAGTTATGTCCCTCGTTATATCCTAGGACACAGCGCGTCGCTATCCAGCGCGGTGACGATTTCAGGGGAAAATGCTTCCAAAATTCGTTCAAAATATCGTTCTGCTATGTGAGGACATTTGTGGGATGTTCATGGAGTGGTGAAGGAGCGGGACAAGGTTGGTACGAGGCCCGGGACGATGGCCACACAGGAGTTCAAGGCGAACTTCAATTCCAACAAGCCGCGTCCCATGACCGAGTCGTGGGAACCGGAACTATCCGGCAATCAATGGATCAGCCGCGTGTTACGCGTCACGTCGAGTCAGCCACTCGACACCCACCACTGCTCGATTCAAGTCGGTGTGAGTCGGTGCGACCGACGCAACTTATTCTCATCGACTATATCTGGACAACGTAGTCAATAGGATTTGCTTAATCCTTCCCTCCTCCCATCCCATACTCGTACTATGTCCGGCCAGATGCAGATCGCAGAGCACCTCCAATTTCTCATGGGTGGAGCCAGTCGGGATTCCGCGGATAACAAACGGATTTTAGACTCGTGGCTGCAGCGATCCAGGTACCCTCTCTCTGCTCAGCTGCTCATGCGTGGGCTCACACAAGAGCGTCTAGTTCGACTGTTGATTCCCGTGATTATCGACCATCTTCTATCCACGTTCACGTGTTGATACTTTGGTTAAGGAGATGTCGACGCCAGCGTCGAAGACGACGCAGAACAGGTTGAGTCCGTATTGGACCACTACACCGCTCGTAATACGTCAGGAGGTAGAATTGTTACTGCCCTGCTACAGTCAGTACGGTTTTGGTCGGTCAGTGGGCTTCATTGATTCCCCTTTCCAGGCGTCCAAATTTCAAGGATATTTGCCAACCATTGCTCGACGTCCTGGCGAAATCCGGAGACCTGTCCTCTGAGCTGGCTGATCTCATCGGCTTTGAAGACATGGAGCTGGTTTTCCAGATATCCTCGCACCCTGCGGATGTCGCAGCAGAAGTAAGTGAAGTCTGTAAAAATGGCTGTGAAGTAGGCTAATATAGTTAGCTTAAAGCGGCTCTCAACCAGAGCAGTGCGCAAACCCACGCCGCCCCTGCAGACGGTACGTCTGGTCTAGTTCTCTGTATCACATTCTAATTGATGCTTCCATTTCAGAGGACCTATCCCCGGAGGCTGCACGCCAGAGAATGGCGCAGACTTTCGAGAAGAATGCCGCGCGTCCTCTGTTCAGCGGTGTCGCAGTAATTTGACTTTCTCAGTGCCGCAAATCGATTCCTTACCTATTCTGCAGCACGACGGACCAGAGGCGCTGCCACATGTATACACATCCTCGGGAATGTCGCAGGGAAATGTGCTCTCCCATACGGGTGCACGCTTCATGCTTCCTGTGGACACCACCCGAGCCATGCACGAGGTAGGCTTGTACTACTTCAGCTCTCTATTTCTGGGGATTGACTTTTCTCAGGAATACGAGGAGGTTATCATTCCACCTGCGAGGCCAGTACCGCCACGATCCACCGAACGTCTTATCCCTGTGTCCGAGTTAGATGATCTAGCGAAACCCTGTTTTCCGGTAGGTCTGCGTCACAGTAACGTCTCTGCCTTGCATTGACGCCGTTCAATTTTTTCTAGGGCTACCAAACCCTCAACAGGATACAAAGTATCGTCTACCCGACAGCGTACGGATCGAACGAAAATATGCTCGTCTGCGGTATGCGCGCACCGCTTCATCGATCTGGATTGCCCTGACTTTAGCTCTTCTAGCCCCTACTGGTGCAGTAAGCTATTCAATCACTATATCTCTACACAGACCAGACTAAACATACGCAGGGAAAAACTGACGTCGCGATGCTTACTGTGCTCCGAGTCCTCGACCAGCACAGGTCGGGCGCAAAAGGCGCACCCCTGCGCTCCACAATCGACCGCGCGAAGTTCAAGATTATTTACGTGTGGGTATAGGATGCGAGCCTCGGCGATAGCGCACTGACGTTGGCGATATGCAGGGCACCGATGAAGGCGCTCGCTGCGGAGATCGTGCGCAAGCTGGGGAAGAGGCTGCAGTGGCTGGGAATCTCGGTTCGAGAGTTGACGGGTGCGTCATGGCGTACTTTCTGCGGGTGGGAAGAGCTGATGGTTTGGTAGGTGATATGCAGCTTACGAAGGCGGAGATTGCGGACACGCAGATCATCGTCACGACCCCGGAGAAGTGGGACGTTGTAACTCGCAAACCCACAGGAGAGGGTGAGCTAGCGTCGGTACGTCACTTTACCTTGTCCTTCTTCTTCACTCCTTTGATCATAGGTATTGCGTATAGCTCCTGAAGTTGTTGATCATCGATGAGGTTCACTTGCTGAACGATGAGCGAGGCGCTGTCATCGAGACTATCGTCGCTCGAACACTCCGGCAGGTTGAGTCCAGCCAGTCCGTCATCCGCATCGTCGGTCTCAGCGCTACATTGCCGAACTATGTCGACGTAGCCGAGTTCCTTAGGTGCGCATGCTCCTTTCTATCTAAACTCTTTCTCTGACACCAGCCAGCGTTTCCAAGTACAAAGGTCTTTTCTACTTCGACTCCTCCTTCCGTCCAGTCCCTTTGGAACAGCACTTCCTCGGCATCAAGGGCAAGCCCAACTCCCCGCAGTCGCGCAAGAACCTCGACACCGTCGCCTTCAAGAAGGTCTCCGAGCTTGTCGCGCAGGGTCATCAAGTCATGGTTTTTGTTCACTCTCGCAAGGACACGGTCAAGACGGGCATGATGCTTTCAGAGGCTGCCTTGAAGGAAGGCGTTAGCGACGACTTCCTGTGCACGGAGCACCCGATGTATGGACGGTTCCGCCAGGAGATTGGCGGGTCGAGGAATAAGGAGATGAAGCAGCTGTTTGACAGCGGGTTTGGTATACATCACGCGGGTATGTTGAGGTCGGACAGGAATATGATGGAGAGGATGTTCGAAGCTCGTGCAATCAAGGTGATCCTTGCGTATGCAAACCCAAGGGCTCTTGCTGACATTTGGACAAGGTACTTTGCTGTACGGCTACTCTTGCCTGGGGTGTCAACTTGCCGGCGCATGCAGGTGAGTAGTTCCTATGTTGGAGGATCGATCAGTATATTGACCTCCCCAGTCTTCATCAAGGGCACACAGGTCTACGACAGCTCCCGCGGCGCCTTCGTCGACCTCTCTGTCCTCGACGTGCTCCAAGTCTTCGGTCGCGCCGGCCGTCCCGGCCTCGAAACCAGTGGTGAAGGATACATCGCCACCACCGACGACAAGCTTCAGCACTACCTCGAGGCCGTCACGTCCCAGGTAGGCAGTCCTTGTTCCCGATATGGAGGCTCCACATACTGACCACGCGACTCCTCCGCTCTTCCCCGACAATTCGAACAGAACCCGATCGAATCTCAGTAAGTCGCCGTTGCCAAGGCTCGGCAGGCAGCTGACCACTCGTCGTGCTAGGTTTCAGAAAGGGATCGTGGATTCGCTCAATGCAGAAATTGCGCTGGGAACGGTGGCCAATGTGCGCGACGCGGTGCAGTGGATGGGATACACCTATTTGCATGTGCGGATGCAGAAGAATCCCTTCGTTTATGGTGAGGCTCAGGCTCCACATGGGCGTACAGATGATAAACATCACCCAGGCATTCCCGGCGACGTGCTTGCGGACGACCCCTCGCTCAGCAACAAGCGTGGAGAGCTAGTCACAGCCGCGGCGCAGAAGTTGGCGAATGCACGCATGATCGCCTTCGACCGCACCACCGGTGGGTTTACCATCACTGACCTGGGTCGCATTGCTGCGAAGTACTACATTCGCCACGCCTCCATCGAGATTTTCAACAAGGAGTTCAAGACTAAGATGTCTGAAGCCGACGTTCTCGTCATGCTCAGCAAGAGTACCGAGGTACGTATGACGGAGCCTTTGAGGACATACGCTCACGTCAGATCAGTTCGAACAAGTCCAGTCGCGAGAGACTGAAATCCCAGAGCTCGTCTCCTTCAAGGACCTCATCCCCTGCGACGTTCCAGGACTTGTACGTGCCAGGGAAAGTATACAGGCCCTCAAATACGCTGGCAAGATGGACGACGGCAGCTCGGAGAAGATCACCATAACTACCCAGGACAAAGTCAACATCCTTCTCCAGGGATACATCTCGCGGCTGCCTCTCGACGACTTCGCCCTCATCTCTGACTCCGCGTATGTTGCGCAAAACGCCGGACGTATTGTCCGCGCACTGCTGGAAATTGCAGTCAGCCGGAAGTGGGCGACCGTTTCTGCGGTGCTGATGGGTCTAAGCAAAGCCGTGGAGAAGCGATTATGGCCCTTCGACCAGCCGCTAAAGCAGTTCGATCTCAAGCGGGATGTACTGCACAACCTCGAGCGATGGGCCGACGCCTATGCACCTGCTGACTTCGTTGAGATGACCGCGAAGGAGATTGGCGAACTCGTACACCTGAACGAAATCCACGGCAACGCAATCCTCAACGCCGCACGCCAATTCCCCACCGCCTCCATCACCTACGATCTCAAGCCTCTCGGCGTCGACGTCCTCCGAATCGCTGTGCGCGTCAAGCGCGCCTTCGACTGGAATGCACGCCTACACGGATCCATCGAGCCCTTCTGGCTGTGGGTCGAGGACCATAATGGAGAAACCATCTTCCAGATCTGGCACCTCGCCTTCCGGCAAACGACAGACGTGCTGAACGTCGAGTTTGTGATCGCTATTCCGGACGGGCTGCCTCCGCCCTCAGTGACAATCCGGTTCGTGTCTGATAGGTGGATCGGGGCAGAGGAGGAGATCCTGGTACCCTTCGACGACTTGGTGATGCCATTCCCTACCGGGAGCCATACGCAGCTGTTGCCGCTGCCGTACTTGCCGCTGAAAGTGGCCAGGCAGCCGCGAGTGGAGGAGCTGTTCGCGCACCATATCCACCAGTTCAATGCGATTCAGTCGCAAGTATTGTGGAGCTTGCTGAACACCAAGTGGCACTCGCTGCTCTGCGCGCCGACGGCTGCTGGGAAGTCGACGATGGCGTACATTCTAGCACTGTACGTTGACTTGATTTGATCAGGACTTCCCGAAGCTGACCATAGCTCAGGACTGCTGCGACTGCGAAGCCGGATGCCTGGGTCCTCATCGTTGCGCCCAAGAAAAGCATCGCCGCTGAGATTACCGCAGAACTAAAGGAACGAAGCCAAGTTCTTGGCGTGTCTGTAGAGTCGTACGCTGGGATGAACGTCCTCGCACGACCTCAGAAACCGACCATCAAGGTGGTGCTTGCACGGGAGCTACTCATGGCGATGAGGCGCCACGATGCGCGATCTCCGCTCACTGGACTTGACCTCGTCATCTGCGAAGGCCTGGAGCTACTTGACGCCTCATACGAACTCGGCATCTCCCTCCTCAGGCATGCCACGCAGACCGTCCCGACGCGGTACGTTGGATTGTCGGGGTCGCTCAACGACCCAGGCGACCTGGCTGCTTGGCTGGATGCGGACCCAGCCGGTGTTCACAGCTTCCGTCCCTCTGACCGCGACCAGCCGTTGTCGGTTCACGCACAGACGTTTACCATCCCGCCTTCCGCTGCCTTATTCAAGGCGATGGCCAAGCCGGCATTTGACGCCATCGAGTCTGCACCAGGTGAAGCTGCCATCGTCTTCGTGCCCTCGCGCGCACAGATGCGGCCCGTCGCGCAGGATCTCATCACGTACGCGGCGCTTGCGAAGGAGACGGACCGCGGGTTCCTGCCTCTGGACGTGTCACAAGAGGTCCTTGAGGATCGACTCGCCCGCTTCCATGACCATACGCTGGCGGATTTCATCAGTCGCGGTGTCGGATTCTTCCATGACGGTGTGCATCGGATAGACCGGGTGCTGATGCTCGAGCTCTTTGCGGAAGGTGTGTTGCGGGTGTTGCTGGTGCCGCGCGAGGCGGCGTGGGCACTGCCTGTGCGAGCGGGGAGCGTGCTTGTGCTCGGGACGCAGTATGCACGCGCGGATGGGGGTGGACTAGCGGATTACGCGCTGCCAGAGCTGGTCCGGATGCAGGGGCGAGCCGTACGACACCGAGGGTCCGGGAAATTCCATCTCTTCTGCGCGTCGGAGGCGAAAGACACCATCTTGCGCTTCCTTGGTGATGGTCTGCCTTTGGAATCGGAACTTTTGGACCAGCGACTCCTGCAAGACTGGTACAACGAACGGCGTTCGCGGGGTGACTTGCCAGAGAAGCAGCACATTGTCGATGCGCTGTCTTTCACATTCCTGGCAAGGAGGGTAGCGACAAATCCGGTGTACTATGGAGGAGCACCAAACAAGCGAGATTCCAATCTGTCGCGGATTGCGGATAGCTTAGTGGACACGTACTTCGAGGAGCGTAGAGGAGAGGCAAGTGCGGATGGACCTCGGAACGAGCAAGGATAGACGATGTACTATAGCTGTTATACCATACACTACCTGTCCACACATACGCCGGCCAGTCATCTCCCTCGCATTCGTGGGTCCACCCCTCGTCGGCCGACGGCGCCGGGACACATTCGGCCTGCAGCGGGCGCGTTATCACGCTTCGCGCCATTGGAAGCGACGTTGGTGAACGGCATCCCAAAGATGATATCGCCTTGTTTGCCGAGTCAGCCCGTTCCTAAGCTTGTTTCTGACTCCCACTCGCCAGCGCATGCTGGCCCGCCGCATTCGTGTTCCCCGCATCTCGAGTCTCCTGAGCTCGCGCTTTAGCGTTCCCCGCGTTCATACCCTCTCTCGCACACTCATCAGCACCTCATTGACAATGGCCGCCACCGACCGATCGCAGCTGATCCCGTTCTCCTCGCGCCTGAAGGAGGGGCGGGCGCTCGCTGAGGATGTGTGGTCTATCTTCAAGTGCGTTCCCTCAGTCGTGCGATGGGTCCCCCAGCTGCTGATCAAGCACACCCAGCGCTGCAAACCTCCCCGCGGACTGCATCAACCTCGGGCAGGGCTACATGAACTTCGCGCCGCCCGAGTGGGTGACCGAGCAGGCGGAGAAGGCGCTGCACACCGTCGCGGCGAACCACTACTCGCATCCCAAGGGGCGCATCAGGCTGCGGCAGGCAATCAAGGATGTCTATAGCCCGCTGTTCAACCGCGAGCTGGACGTGGAGCAGAACATCCTTGTTACTAGCGGTGCCAATGAGGGTGCGTACTAGATCTGCTCTGCCCTTGGATATCTCACTGAGCTCCTGCCTCAGGCCAGTACTCCGTCTTCACCGCGTTCCTCGAGCAGGGGGACGAGGTGATCATGTTCGAGCCCTTCTTCGATCAGTACCTCCCCTCCGTCACCTTCAACGGCGGCAAGCCCGTCTACGTGCCCCTCCACCCGCCATCTCACGACAAGGCGAACGCGACGAGCGGTGACTGGACTATCGACCTTGCCGAGCTTCGGTACGTGTGCCATCAGTCATATATCAGTGTCGAAGACTGCTCCGGGTTGATGAAGGCAACCACTACCCGAGAAGGGGCCGCATGAATGACGGGAGGAGAGGCTTCCTACTCAAGATAGGGCGAGCCGTCCGACAGATTGCTGATGCTGAATTTGTAGCGCGGCAGTAACGCCGAAGACGAAGATGATCATCCTCAACACACCACACAACCCGGTCGGCAAGGTCTTCACGAAGGAGGAACTGGAGGGTATCGCAGCTGTGGCGGAGGAGAACAACCTGTTGGTCATGTCGGATGAAGTGGTGAGTAATTCGTGGACTGCAAGTTGCACCTGTGCTGAACGTACCTCGCAGTACGAGAACCTCGTCTTCGATGGCAAGCAGCACTTCAGGATCGCGAACCTTCCCGGCATGTGGGACCGCACTGTCACAGTGTGCTCAGCAGGAAGTGAGTTACCTATTCCCTCGTTCGCAATAGGATCACTCATTTCCTGGCAGAGACGTTCGCGGCAACTGGTTGGCGCGTTGGCTACCTCATCGGCCCACAGTCTATACTGAAGCCCACGGTGAGCTTGTCCATTTCGATTATGTTGATCTGTTTGCTAAACCACCTCTAGCTCGCTGCTACCACGCGCATCGTCTTTTGCTCGAACTCGCCGATGCAAGAAGCCGTCGCAGGCGGCCTGGAGCTCGCGCCCAAGTATGACTTCTACGCGACACAGCTTCGCGAGTACACCGCGAGGAGAAACATCCTGGTGAAGGCGTTCGATGACCTAGGGTTGAAGTACTCCCTGCCGGAGGGCAGCTACTTCATTCTGCTAGTGAGTCCCTACCTGAGTGACGATTGAAAGAGCAGACAGGCTCATCACCACGCAGGACATCTCTGACGTTGACTTCCCTGAGGACTACGCCTTCCCGGAGAGCGTGAAGGGCCGCGGACGTGACTTCCGCGCGTGCTGGTTCATCGCGCTGGAGATTGGCGTGTCGACGATCCCTGTCAGCGAGGTAAGTTTTGTCGTCGTGTTGCAGAGACTCGCAGACTGACGTGTCCTACAGTTCTACTGCGAGGAGCACGCTAACATCGGCGAGGCCTTTGCACGGTTTGCTTTCTGCAAGGATGAGGACACGTTGAGAGCGGCGGCGGAGCGCTTGCAGGGCTTAAAGAAGTACATCAAGAAGCCATAGAGTGTACTCGACTTAGCCAAAATGTATTCTTGAGATTTATACGCCGCTGTTTGTCAGTGAGTTGAGGGTCGAGACCATGAATGTCTTGAACAAGTCGATATGAGATTCGTGGCAGGAGCCTATATCTTATCTTATCTTTGAGGGGCCGGCCCCCGCTGCGCCTCTGTCGCCCTCGGTGCACTGCCAATACGCGTCACGTCACCTTCTCTACATCCATCTTGCCAAAATGACCACCGGGCTCGGCGTCGAAGTCGTCAGCATCGTCAACAAGCTCCAGGACGTGTTCTCCGCCGTCGGCTCGTCCGCGTCGCAGATCGACCTGCCCCAGATATGCGTGTTGGGCAGCCAAAGTAGCGGGAAGAGCAGTGTGCTCGAGGTGGGTGGCTTGGTAACGCGTTGATCGACCGAGCGCTGACGAGGGGGCGGGCAGAACATCGTGGGGAGGGATTTTCTGCCGCGAGGGACGGGCATTGTGACGAGGAGACCGCTGGTAAGGCGATAATCTATAGAGGAGGCGATTGGGTCACTCACATTGGCTGCTAGGTTCTGCAACTTATTAACAGGCCAGCAGGCAAGAATGGTGTGTCGCCAGCTTCATCCTACTCGCATATCGCTCACCCGCCCTTCCCCATTCCCAGACGCCCAAGTCGACACCACCGCCGACAAGGCCGCCAACGCGGACGAGTGGGGCGAGTTCCTGCATCTCCCCGGCCAGAAGTTCTACGACTTCGGCAAGATACGCGACGAGATCGTGCGCGACACGGAGGCGAAGACGGGAAAGAACGCGGGCATCTCCCCGCAGCCCATCAACCTGCGCATATTCTCCCCCAACGTCGTCACGCTCACCCTCGTCGACCTTCCGGGTCTGACGAAGGTGCCCGTGGGGGACCAGCCGAAGGATATTGAGAAGCAGATCAGGGATATGGTCCTCAAGTTCATCTCGAAGCCGTCATGTATCATTTTGGCGGTGACGGCGGCGAATACGGATCTGGCGAACTCAGATGGCCTGAAGTTGGCGAGGGAGGTGGATCCGGAGGGGTTGAGGACGATTGGTGTGTTGACGAAGATTGATCTTATGTGAGTGTCAGTCGAATGCGAGAGGGTGTGGTGCACTGAGCGTGATACAGGGACAAGGGGACGGATGTCATCGACATTCTCGCTGGACGGGTCATCCCCCTTCGTCTTGGTTACGTTCCGGTGGTCAACCGTGGGCAGAAGGACATTGAGACAGGAAAGGCCATTGCGGCAGCTCTCGAGTACGAGCGGCAGTACTTCTCGTCCCATCCCTCGTACGCTGGTAAGGAGAGCTACTGCGGCACGCCATACCTCGCGCGCAAGCTGAACACGGTGCGTCGCCTGCCACTTTTGCGCGCTCACATAGCTTACGTCCCCCTCTAGCTCCTTATGCAACACATTCGCGCCACCCTCCCTGACATAAAGATGCGCATCTCGCAGCAGCTTCAGAAGTTTAACGCCGAGCTTGCTTCCCTGGGTGGCCCCACCGCCGACGGTAACGCAGGCAACATCGTCCTCTCCGTCATCACCGAGTTCACGTCCGAGTTCCGGAACGCCATCGACGGCATTACGACGGACCTGTCGCTGAACGAGCTGAACGGTGGCGCTCGTATCAGTTTTGTGTTCCATGAGCTGTATAGCAATGGTGTGAAGAGCATCGATCCGTTCGACCAGGTGAAGGATGGTGATATCCGGACGATTCTGTACAACTCTTCGGTGAGTGCACTGCACACCTTTCTGGGGATGGTTTTGCTCAAGCGAGATCGTAGGGTTCGACGCCATCCATCTTCGTCGGCACGGCTGCGTTCGAGATCATCGTGAAGCAGCAGATTAAGCGGTTAGAAGAGCCCAGCTTAAAGTGCTGCCAGCTGGTATACGACGAGCTCACCCGGATATTGTCACAATTGTTGGCCAAGATCGTGAGTGGTTGGTCTTGCATCGGTCAATCTGGGCTCATTGCTTGGATAGCAATCGTTCAAGCGCTACCCTGCCTTGCGTGAACGGTTGAACTCCGTCGTCATCAACTTCTTCAAGCAGGCGATGAACCCGACAACCAAACTCGTGTCTGACATGGTCGCGTACGTCGTCAAATTACCTTCTAGCTACATCTCACTGACACTCGCCCTCAGCATGCAAGCCTGCTACGTTAACACCACCCACCCTGACTTCCTCAACGGTCACAAAGCTATGCAAATAGTGAACGACCGTCTGAACCCGCCCTCGAAGCCCGGCACGCCCGACCCGAAGGGCCGCCAGCAAATCCAGGCGAACCCGCGCGATCTGGACGTCGACCCCAAGCACGAGGAGCCCAGCTTCTTCGGGTCATTCTTCTCTGCGACTAGCAAGACCATACAGAGGAAGAAGGCTGCGCCTACGACGGTGGCGAGCACGATGGAGGCACCGCCGCCGGTGATCAAGCCGCAGGCGGCGTTCAATGACAGGGAGACGATGGAGACGGAGGTCATCAGTGCGTTGGAGACGTATTCATGTGGTGGACTCGTGCTGACTAGTGACAAAAGAGCTTCTCATTCACTCCTACTTCAACATCGTCAAGCGCGAAATGATCGACACCGTTCCGAAGGCAATCTCACTTACGCTTGTGAATTACGCAAAGGAGAACTTGCAGAAGGAGCTGTTGCAAGAGCTCTACAAGCCGGACACGCTCGACAACTTGATGAAGGAGAGCGAGTTCGTGGTGAACAGGCGGAAGGAGTGCATCCGGATGGTGCAGGCCCTCAACAAGGCCGAAGAGATTGTGTCTGCTGTATAGCGTGTTCACTGTTGATGGCTTTGTTGTTGTGTAGAGTTGATTATCGTGTAGCTATAATTTGTGGACTTTCTGGACCAAGGGTCTCTATCGTCTTCGTATGCAAGGCTCGCTATCTGGCATTTCCATGTCTATCTATACTTGATTGCGGGATTAGCAGAAAACACTGGCCAAAAACACAATAAGAACACGCCTTTGTTGACATGCGCTTGACTTGTGGGTCCAACATGCGCCACAAAGCCTACCGAAACGGGACGCGTTGATCAGACGCGCCTCGCGTTCTGTTCCCCGTCCATCATTCCCCAACGCCAGCCGCTCCTCCTGCACAATGAGTTTCTTCAGTGGAGGTAACAACACTGGCGGCACCGGTAGCCTCTTCGGTCAAGGGGCGAACAACAACAATAACAATCAGGCGAACGGTACGCCCGGCGCGTCGAGCGCTTTTGGAGGTGCGTGAACGCGTTGAAAGATTTCTGTGCGATTCACTAATCGAATGATCTCATAGCATCGAAGCCTGCGACTGGCTTCGGCTCCTTTGGTGGGGGAAGTGCTTTCGGTCAGCCCGCGCAACAGAATCAGGGAGCCAGCACCGGGAGCGCCTTTGGCCAGACTGGAGCGACCTCTGGCGGTCTGTTCGGCGGTGGTGCGGCCAATTCGAACAACACGAATACGGGAGGGGGTCTCTTTGGGAGCGGCGCGAACAACACGAACAATGCTGGCGCGACTGGAAGCACTGGGAGCGCGTTTGGCAGCGGTAGCGGTCTGTTCGGTGCTAAGCCAGCTGGACAGACGGGTACCGCTGGCGGCAGCCTCTTTGGTGGGGGCGCGTCGAACACGAACACCTCCACACCTAGTACTGGCGGCAGTCTCTTTGGAGGCGGGGCAAATGCGACCAACAACCCTGGGAGCAACACCGGCACGACTAGCGGCGGTTTAGGCAGCGCGTTTGGGGGCGGAGGTGGTGGTCTCTTCGGGAACACAAACACTAACAACAACACCAACACTTCCTCTACCACACCAGCGACCAACTCCCTCTTCGGTGGTGGATCCAACAATGCCACGACCAACTCTACGAACAATACCACGACCCCATCAACGAACCCCCCCGCCGGCGGTCTATTCGGCAGCGGAGCTTCATCCACGCCTGCTGCCAGCTCTGGGGGCGGATTATTTGGCGCGTCGTCGACTCCTGCCGCTGGTCAGACGAATACTGGCAGTTCTCTCTTCGGTGGTGGCGCGGCCTCGTCAACTCCGCAGAATTCTAGCACCCCTTCCGGGGGTCTGTTCGGCGGAGGTGCTGCTGCCTCTTCCAACACAACAAACACTGGCGCTTCTACTGGCGGAGGCTTGTTTGGCTCGAAGCCAGCGGATAATGCTGCTAAGCCTGCTACTGGTGGTCGTAAGTGTTATACGCTTGCACATCATCACCTTTCCTGACTCGATGGTTTTGTGTAGTGTTCGGTAGCGGGACAACCACTACACCTGCCGCAGGAAGCAGCAGCACGCCTGCCCCATCAGGTGGACTCTTCGGCGCCAAGCCTGCCGACAATGCAACGCCAGCAGCAGGTGCCTCGTCTTCAACTACGCCCGCCGCGCCCGCGGCCGGTGGACTTTTTGGTTCGTTCGCAAAGCCAGCGGATAAGCCGGGTACACCAGCGCCAGGTGCTTCGACTGGTGAGCGAGATCGAACCGGCGTCGACATGATGTTAATTCAGCCTTGATAGCTGCCCCTGCAACTGGTGGTCTGTTTGGTACTAAGCCGGCCGAGAAAAAGGACACCCCTGCGCCCACTTTCAACCTGTTTGGCGCAGCGAAGACTGACGACAAGGACAAGAAGGACGGTGCTGCTCCTGGTGAGTACATAACCCCGTGAGCCTAGAATATAAGCTGACTGCTGCGCTAGCATCAACTGCCCCAACACTCGGCTCTACACCCGCCGCATCATCGGCAGCACCGGCAAAAGCTGATGGTGCGTCTGTTCTGCGAACAATTGAGTTTCGATGCTGAACGATTGACAGCGGTCAACATTTCCGTGCAGCCGCCATCTATGTTGCGAGGCAAAACCATCGAGGAGATAGTCAACAAGTGGTCTGCCGACCTTGAGACGCACGTCAAGGAATTCAAGACCTTCGCGCATGAGGTTCAAGCTTGGGACCGTTCGTTGATTGAGAACAGCAACAATGTACGTGCATAGGCCCAATTCATCCTTCCCATGGAGACTAACTATTCATTCAGCTCGCAGCCTTGTACTCCAATGTGCTCAAGGCCGAGAGGGAACAGCAGGAGATCGACCAGTCCCTCGACAGCGTCGAGACCAGGCAAAAGGAGCTCTCGCAGGTCCTAGACGAGTACGAAAAGAACCTTGACGGTCTGCTCGGCCAAGGTGCTGGCTACCATGCTATGAACGCAGGCCCGGCCGACGCCGAACGCGATAAGAAGTACGTGGCCCTACCGCCTATCCTGCTTCCCGGCTAACGCGTTTTTCGCAGCTACACCCTCGCCACCGAGCTCTTCACCAACCTCGACGACATGTCCTCCTCCCTGGCCCAGATGATCGAGGCCGTGAACGGTCTCTCGACCTCTGACGCCGACGCGGCGGCGGAAAACCCGATGAACGCGATCCAGCAGATCCTCAGCAGCCACCTGGAGAGCCTGCAGTGGATCGATGGCGCGGTGCGGGATGTGGAGGGCAAGGTGACGGATGTGGAGCGGCGGATAAAGGAGTCGGGGATGGAGCTGCCGTCGTCGAATGGGCGGTCGAGGAGCTATGGGTTGCGATAGATTGTCTACGTGCTCATGTGTACGAGGCTTGCTGTGTATCAGTAATCGATGCTTGTAATTTGGAATCGTCCTCCTCATCGTCGTTGCCTCGACTGAGGCAGCTCTTGAGGGCCACGCTCGAATCCGCGCGTGCCATCAAGGTTGCATTGGGTCGTAAAGTCGTAAAGTCGTAAGTTGAAGTTGGTTGTAAGCAACGTTATGCTGCTCGTGAAAGCGTACTCTAATAGTCTTCATCCTCGTCAACATCCATAGAATCACCCTCTCCACCACTGGTGTCCGATGCAGCAGGTCTGTCTTCCCGGGGTTCCGCCGTCCACTTCCCCCACCTCCTCTTGCTCGAAGCTATAGAATCAGCCTCGTTGAGACTGCGCCACTCGCTCTTCCACTCAGCGACCTCCGACAGATCGACTTCTTCCTCAATGAGCTGGCCAGTGAAGTCGCCCTTCGCCATGTAGCCCTCAAGATAGCCTTTGACCCGACCACCCGAAAGGAACTTGATGTACCCAGTCTGACCTTCGTCGTACCACGTTTGGCCGTCCACCGCCTCGGAGTCCCTACCCCGCCAGACGATGGGCACCTTCTTTCCGCCAGACGTAGGCGCGGATCCTGTGCTCCTGAATACACTCGACAGTGCGCCGAAGTCGAACTTGCCCCACAGATGTGCGCCGGTGGACGAGGGGAGGACATCAAGGGTCATATCCTCCTCGTCAAAGTAACTGCCGCAGAGGTCCGCGAAGTCCTCAGCGACGATGGTATAGGCACCGATGGGTCGGAAGGGCGCGTTGGCGGGAACGCGGATTGTTTGCGGGCGGGATGGGCCGCCGCGTCTGGCTGTTTGCTTCGTCTTGTATTTTGGAGCGGGATTCGACCCGGAAGGTTGTGAAGGCGCTGTTTCCTATGTCGAAAGGCAAGGCTGGCTTAGCTGGGATTTCCCCCTTCGATAAGTTGAAAGCATACCTGTCCGTATCGGGTCGCACTATCTGCTCGGCCGACCCCAAAGGCAGGAGCGCCACCCCGTCGAGCAGTTTGCTTCGTGCGCGGTTTTGTTGTCTCGCGCGGCCTCTCCTCGTCCGACCCAGTATCGTCGCCCGCCATACGCATATCGCCTGCGCCATCCGAGTCGTCCTCCATACCATCCTCGCCTCCGCTGGTGTCCGATGCATCAGGCTTGTCAGGCTTCGCCTCCCCTCCCCATTTGCCCCAACGCCTCGCGCTCGCCACCTCGTACGCAGACATGTTCATCCCACGCCATCTCCTCTTCCACTCTACAGGGTCAACGCCGACGTCGTTGTCCACCAGATTGCCTGTGAACTCAGCCTTACCGAAGAAGCTGCCCTCGACGCATCCCTGCACGCGGCTGCCTCCCTCAAGAAACTTGATATACCCTTTCAGACCCTCGCCGACTTGCATTTCGCCCTCGCCCTCCTCGCGGCCACGCCAGCGGAAGTCGGTCCTGAGGCTCGGCGCAGAGGGCGCAGCGCCGAAGGATTTGAAGACGCCCGACACCACACCGAAGTCAAAGGTTCCCCATAGGTGGGCACCGGTGGAGGAAGGACGGACGTCGAGACACGAGATAACACCTCCGTATTCAGGCCATTCTTCCTCAATTTCGGGCACGGACAGCTCGTAGATGCCGACAGGTTCGAAGCCTCCAGACTTAGGCTTGATGTGGGGCCTACGCGGAGGACGGGAATAGGTAGACTTGCGTGCTGTCTGCTTGGTACGCGCCGGTTTTGGCGGGATTATGGGGTCCACCCGCATAGCTGTCGGTGCAGGCGGCGGAACAGGGGGCGGGAGGAGTTGAAGCAATGGCGCAGCGGCTTGTAGCTCGCGCACTTGCTCAGTTACTGAGCTGTGCACGGCAGGATCCTTTGCGACGTGCAAGATAATCTTGACCAGGTCCTGATGCTTAAGTCCTTCCAGAGACGAGCGAAGGGGCTCTACATCGACATGCCGTAGCGCCTTCTTGCCAGCCTTGGGATCTCGAGCCGCCGGAGGAGGCGCGTCGTTCGGGAGATCCTGCTTGGCCAAAGTCACAGCAGGGCTAGCTCGCTTTGCCTCCTTGACCTTCTTGGTCTTGGGTTGCTTCGCGGCGCCCTTGTTATTGACCGCAAACTCCGTTGCCAACTGTTGCTCCAACTGCAGAATGTGAGCGGGAACAGCAAGAGTTGCGCTGCCCCCGAAGGCAGCGAGCAGCTTCTTCTTGGCCGGATCGCGGGTCTTCAGAGGCTTCAGACCATAGTGCATCATCTGCGCCGTATAGAAGTGTGCGGGCGGGTCTCTGTGCGGAGGAGGCAGGCCCTTGGCAATATTGTCCTTCTTCGTGGGGGCCGGGCCGGAGGGAGGCGTGTAGGTGAGCAAGCCATGTAGAGACGACGCGTCGCAGCGAGGATGGCGATGCTTGCCGTCGATTTCGACGTAGAACATGGTGCCATCGTGGAAGAAGTCATCGCGGGAGACAGTATGCGCCATAGCGCGTCGTTAGCTGCGTAGCACGACCACGGGTGCGCGCTGTTGTCTGAACGGGAAGAGACGGAAGTCGGTCAGGCGAGGGCAGAGATCTCTAGTCGATCGCGTATCAACGCGTCCCGTCACATCACGCACGCGTCGGTAAGCGCCTTTCTGGGCAGCTCCTGAGTCGGAAGGGATAGCGCACATATGTGTTCCGACAAGTCCAATAAGTGATAGCGCCTCTTGGAGGTTGTTCTCAAGCATAAGTCAGACATAGAATCGTCCTTGCATTAGCCAGTTCGTGCCAGTGAAACCTGCTCCTAAGTTGACAACACGCCCAGATACCCCTCATTTGCAGAACCGTCCGAATCGTAATGATCATCCTCCGAACCCTCCTCTTCCTCTTCGGTGTCCGACGCGTCAGGCTTGTCAGGCTCCGGATCCCCTCCCCATCCTCCCCATCGCCCAACGCGCGCAGCTTCATATGAGGACTCGTTCATGCTGCGCCACTCATCCTTCCATTCCTGAACATCCTTGACGCTGATGTTCGCCTCCTTCAGCTCACCCGTGAAGTCCGCCTTGCCGAAGAAACTGCCTTCGATGCGACCTTGGATGCGACCATCCGCGAGGAACTTGACGTATCCAATCTGCTCTTCTTCAAAAAGCTGCATCTCTCCACTTCCTTCATCGCGCCCACGCCAGCGGAGCTCGCTCTTGGAGCCTACGGAGGTAGGCGCGGCCCCGTAGGATTTGAAGAATCCCGTGACGGGCCCAAAGTCGAAGCTGCCCCAGAGGTGAGCACCAGTCGACGAGGGCCGGACCTTCAGCAATGCGTGACGCTCATAACCAAAACTATCCGGCCACTGTTCCTCGAGGTACGGCACGGAGACATCGTAGACGCCCATAAGTGGGGCAGCCCCGGACGAGGACTGAGCCTTAGCCGAAGCACCAGTCTGACCAGCGCGGTTCTTGTTGCGAGAAACGCGTGGCGGAGTGTCGTCCATCCCATCTGTGAGCTCGTCAAGATCACTGGAGACCTCAAGCGGCGGGAACAGCTCGCTCGGCTTCTGCTTGAAGACAATCAGCTTGTATGACGCGTCAGGAGAAGAATGTGCATCAGATATACCTGCGATTGACTGCTCTTGCGCGCGTGCTGCCCGCTAGGTGCTTTTGTACGCGGAGGTCCCGAATCGAGCGAAGGAAGTGGGGTAACGGCAGCTTGGAGCTTCCGCACATGCTCAAAGACCGTGCGATAAACGTCCGGATCGTCTGCAATGCGCATAATGATCTGAACCAGATCTCGGTGTGCTAGCCCTTCCAAAGAAGAACGAAGTGCCGGACCATCGACGACCGGCGCAGGCTTCCTTGCCGCCTTCGAGCCCCGGGCAACCTGCGGCACGTCTTTCGGCTGCTCCTGCTCAACGAAGGTCACAGCAAGGCCAGCTTGCTTTGCCCCTTTCGCCTTCGCCTTCGCCTTCGTCTTGGGTGGCCCCTCGACAGCCTTGCCGCTGACCGCAAACTCCGTCGCCAGCTGCTGCTCCAGCTGCAGAATATGCGCAGGAACGGCGAGCGTCGCGCCACCATTGAAAGCCGCGACTAGCCTCTTCTTCGCCGGATCGCGTGTCTTCAGTGGCTTCAGGCCGTAGTGAATCATCTGTGCCGTGTAGAAGTGTGCCGGAGGATCCTTATGCGGTGGAGGCTGGCGCTTCGCGACCTGGCCCTTCTTCGTGAGCAGCGGGCCGGGCGTATAGGTGAGCAGGCCGTGCAGAGAGGACGCGTCGCATCGAGGATGACGATGCTTGCCCTCTATCTCGACGTAGAACGTGGTGCCATCGTAAAAGAAGTCGTCGCGAGAGACAGGTTGCGCCATGGTGCGTCGATGCCTGTGTGCTGTACGGTCGCCAAGTCGTGCTGTCCTCTGCGTACGGGATGAGACGGAAGACAGGTAGGCGAGGTCGGAGGCTGCTGGGGTCGCTCATGTCGATCGCGTATCAGCGCGTCCAGTCACATCACCCACGCGGTCGGATCGTCGGTGCCGCGATCTTTCGTGACGGCTCCTTGAGGATGAGCTGTATAGATTCGTACGGGCATTGTTGACAAGTACTCCGAGGCTCAGATCATGGCCATTCGAATGCATTTTGGGTGCAGCGATTGGCACAGATCGTAGACAGCTGGGCTGGAACGCGCAGCCCCCCACCTAAGTATACCTGATCCTCAGTGTAGCGACAGTTCCAAGAATTCTTGGACCTGTCCTGGCGGGACACTGGTAGAACTTGAGAAGTACCGACCGAAAGTCGCAAACATGGTGATGGTTCACCTTCGAGAACGCAGCGTCACACTCGTGACGCATTGTCACTCCTTTTGTCGCGCCCGGCCATGGCGAACACGGTCGGTGGCTCAGAGTGAGGCTTTCCGAAGGTTTCTCTGCCCAGAAAACTAATGTGTCTGGACGCAGTGTCTCCCTACTGCTGGACCCGCAAATACGGGACTGGGTCCTGTTCCCCATTACGCTAGTCATGGTCCTCGTCGGCGTGCTGCGTGTCAACGTCGTTCAGCTGCTCCAGTCCCCACCCAAGAGGCAAAAGAAGGAGAACGTGAGGGAGACAAGTGCGATACTCCGAGGGGGTGCACTCCGGCAGACGGCGCAACACTCCCCTCTCCCGCCGGCGTACTTCCTTCCGTTAGCGCGCCAGCTCGCCACGAATCTGGAGGAGGGCGCGTTCCTCAAGGACAAGCCTAAAGACACCACTCAAGGACCTTCTGCGCCTCCAAACCCCCTCTCGGACCCCGCTGCTATGGAGGGCATGATGTCGGGCATGAAGACCCAGATGGTGCGTGGCGGTTCGTGCAGGGTATTCATTGTGCTAAATCGGCCTCCGCCAGGTCATGATGGTCCCGCAAATGGTGATCATGGGCTGGATCAACTTCTTCTTCCAAGGCTTCGTTCTCAGTGAGCAGATGCTTTTCACCTACACTTGGCCTGTTCTGATGGATGTACAGTCAACCTCCCCTTCCCCCTCCCGGCCACGTCTGGCTTCAAGTCTCTCCTTCAGCGTGGTATCCAGACCCCTGACATGGACGTGAGATGGGTGAGTACTATCCTTCAAGCCCAGATCGTCGGCTTACATGCATAGGTATCATCCCTCTCCTGGTACTTCCTCAACTTCTTTGGTCTAAATGGTCTCTTGCGATTACTCGTAGGTGGAGATGATGGCGTTGTCGGTCAGTGCGAAGGCTTGACATTCCGAAGTCATTCTGAACACGCGCAGATCCTATGGCGGCCATGTCTCCGATGACACCCATGATGCCTACTGGCCCTGGAGCGCCTGATGCCTCGAAAGCGCACAAAGCAGAAGCAGAGAACATCCGCTTCGCCGAGAGTGTATACAAGTATGTGCTCACTTGGACTGCGTAAGTGAACGGTGCTGACCAGCCGTCTTCAGATGGGTCGGAGATGATGTCGAGACGCGCGTCCTTTCGCGATACGGTATGAAGTGACTCGTTCGGGTACCCAACTATAAACTACTGTGCACAATAATTGCGCGTAAGCGCAAGCTGTGAGCGCTTTTAGTTGCTGGCTGACAGCCTGAGTGAATGCTCGAAGTTCAACTGGTCACGTGCATGTCCGAAACGGAGGCGAATATTCATTATCTCCCTCAGAAGCAATGTCCATCTTTCCAATAGGAGATGTCATTGCACCTCGGGGCCGCAGTGGAATACGCCGTCCTTCCGACCGAAGACGAGTACGTCTCCGCCGTTGCTCATGGGATGCGTCAGGCCTGCGGCATGGGCCTATTCCACACGGATAACATCCGCGTCTTTAGCGGGTCTGACTTTCACTGGCTAAGCAGTCCACAGTCAATCCCAGTTTTGACGCGGTCGCGATGCGAGGGAGCGGGACCCAGGAAAACTACAAGAACGTCTCGCTCGATGTCCAACAACCTCAGAGAACAGTCTCCTATCCACCCCTCATCCAGCCTCCGCATACAACAACGCAGCAATGGTTCAAATCAACGGCAAGGATGTCGGTCGCATTGGCTATGGTCTCATGGGTTGGTATACTCCTCTATGCTGTTCACGCAACAGTCTTAACGCTCGCCTTGCAGGTTTTACCTGGCGCCCCGACCCCATGCCCACTGAGCAGGCCATCGAGGTCATGAAGACCGCCCTCGAGGCCGGCTGTAACTTCTGGAACGGCGGCGAAGTATACGGCACCCCCGAGTATAACTCCCTCCACCTCCTCAAGGCGTACTTCACCAAGTACCCTGCGGATGCCGAGCGCGTCGTCATATCCATCAAGGCGGGCTTCCCGCTCGACGGCACGCGCGAGGGCGTGCGCCGCGTTGCGACGCGCTGCGCGAAGGTGCTAGAGGGTATCAAGCTCATCGACGTCTTCGAGTGCCCGCGCAAGGATCCGAAGACGGATATCGAGGAGACCGCGGCGGCGATGGCCGAGCTCATCAAGGAGGGCATCATTGGCGGCTTTGGGCTGTCGGAGGTTGGCGCGGATACGATTAGGCGCGCGGCAAAGGTGACGAGGGTGGCGGCGGTAGAGGACGAGCTGTCGCTGTGGACGCCTGATGTGTTGAGCAACGGCGTTGCGGCGGCGTGCGCGGAAAACAACATCCCCATCGTCGCGTACTCACCCATCGGTCGCGGCTTCTTGGTGAGCTACTACACTGGAATCAAGATGTCCGACGGTGCTAATTTCCTTGCAGACCGGCCAAATTAAGACCCTCGACGATGTACCCCAGCGTCTGAAGCACTTCGGCTTCCCGCGCTTCCAGCCCGGCAACTTCGAACACAACCTCAAGCTCGTCGAGGAGGTCGAGTCCCTGGCGAAGAAGAAGGGCGTCAAGCCCGGTCAGGTTGCCATCTCGTGGGTCGTGGCGCTCAACGAGCAAGCCGGCCACCCGCCCATCCTTCCCATTCCTGGTACGATCTCCAAGGAGAGGGTGTTGGAAAACACGACGCTCGTGGAGTTGACGGCAGAGGAATTGAAGGACCTCAAGGCTATCACCGACCGTTGCAACGCAGTGGGAGAGCGATACGGGACGGCTTTCGCATCCTTGATGTGGGGTTAAAGAGGGTGTTATGGACATGTTAGAACCAACAATGTAGTCTTTCTCTCGGGGTTTCAAGAATACAAGAAGTTCAAAGTTGAGACCATGCATGTAGTCGACCTGCGAGCCTTTGTGTTTCTTGAGGACATGCGGGTCAGGCTTTCATAGCCATCCTTTCTGGATGACAGTGCCACCGCAGCTGTGTAGATCCGAGTTGTGTGGACCCTCGCTATACAACTCCACATCTTGCGGCGGTCAACACACACAAAACGGCCAGCGTCTTGCATCCCGCGTCCAGCGCGTCCGGCCACCAGGGCCTATCAGAACTTGCGAACCATTGGCCCCCAAATCCCAAATTACAGGTCTAACGCGAACGGCCGGTGCATGGAGCACCAGCCGCCGCGAGAAATGTACGATACCAGCGATCGCGAATGTACGATACCGAAATGGAATATAACAGAAAACACTGTCCAGGTAATACTACATTGCTTGTCCGTGCGAGCCGCCGTGCTGGTGCGAGTACGGCTGCTGCTGCGACGAGTACCCGCCGTACGCGTCATGTTGCGAGTACGCGTCGTGCTGCGCGTGCACACCATACGGGTCGTGCTGAGCGTGCGCGCCGTATGCGTCGTGCGTCTGTCCGTTGACGCTGTACGCATCCGACTGTGCGCCATAACCGCCATACGCGTCCGCACCATATCCATAGTGCGGCTGCTGCTGGTACGGGTTCGGCGCAGCCGTCCCCGGGCGGTCCAGCGCACGGCCGTACGACGCCGCGGTCCCTGGGCGGTCGATCGCGTAGCCGTACGATGCGGCAGTCGGCGTGCTCACTGCGACAGGTGCCGCGGCGCTCACTAGGTGCGCGTTGCTCTCGTTGTCCTCGTCGTACGCGTATGCGTGCGGGTCGTCCGCTAGCGTTGCCTGGCTCGCGTTGTATCCGTACACGCTCGGCGCTTGCGCGGTTGCATACGGGTTGTACGGTGGCATCGGCGGAGGGAACTCGGATTTGTCGGAGTAGTAGTAGTCCCCGGTTTGTGCGGTATATGTGGAGGGGGCGTTGTAGGTCTTGTAGGTGGAGGGGGCGCCGCGGATGGTGGACACGGCGTCATCGTCGTCGTCGACGGACAACTGGGGGAGAGTGGGTTGCGGGAGGGCCTTGCCGCCATCCTTGACGTGCGAGAAGTCGCCCATGGCTTCCTTGCGGGCCTGCTTCGCGTTCTCCGCGATGCGCTGCTTGTTGCGCCTCTTGATGACGAGGGCGATACGCTTGTCAACTTTGTGGCAACAGTATTCCTGCAATTATTCAGTATTATGCGGGGATATAATATATGCAGAGGGTCTTTACCTTGAGGTTACCACGGATATGACATAGCAGCGGGACGTAGCAAATAGCAGCACCGATAAGGAGAAGTAACGAACCCGCGAAGACCATCACGGTGAAGAATGTCGTCACCATGAGGGCGGAGGTGGACGGACTGTTGTCATCGAAATACTTCGAGATGTCGTACCAGTCTCCCGGGTTCTTGTGTTTCACGAGCCACACAGCGTACAACGTGAGCGCGTTGATCGTCTGACGCGGACCATCAGCCAAAAGCAACCGCTTCCAACCTGGAATTCTGATTAGTGGAGAGTATCAGGTAGCATATATGCGATTTACTCTTGAAGGTGAAGAAGACGAAGAATGCGAAGTCATCGCTCGTCTTAGTGGAATTGCTGATATGATCGAAGAAGCAGAAACAATCATATGAGCCTGATGGAACGGAGTGAGTGTCTGAAAATGCAGGGATGCGTATATACGCACGGAGGGAGTAGTAGTGATTCGCCATGATATTGGTGAATGCGTAAGAAATATCTCTGCTGGCAACAATCTTCTTTGCCTTCCGGCCCTCGTATCCGAGCTGGCAGGATATAAGCATACATGGCAGTTGAGATCAATGATGCGCGTACCAGCAGGAACGAGAAGATGATACACCCAACGAATACCCACTTGCCGACCTTGAAGGGGATGTTGACGCAGCCCTTCAAGTGGTCGCAAGTGTTAAAGATCTCATTCGACCAGGACGAGGTCGTGAGCATAGTAATCGCGGAGAAGATATCGGAGACGTAGACAAGGAAGTCCTTGAGACAGATGATATAGAGCCAGAGATATCTGGCGGTCGCGAGGGGATGGGATCAGTGGACGTGTGACAGGAAGTATGATAGGCTGCGCACTTCATTCGCATGATGAACCCATTATCGGTGAACTCCCGGGTGTCGACGAAGTCGAACTATGAGCGGGGACGCGTGAGCTGGCAGAGCACGGCGGGCGCTGCGCTGGTTCACACCTTGTGGTCGGGGACCTGTTCTCGCTTCCATTTCGGGCCAGAGCAGCACATAGACATGGTGGAGTTGTGTTGCGGGGAGGTAAAAGGCGGATCGAATAGGCGGGAGAACGAGACTCAAACTACTGTGGGTGTAGTTGGGTGGACCAGCCGTTGGAAGGGAGCGTGAGGGCGTGAACGAGTGTCAGCGTGGCGGTGGTTGCGCGGTGTGTTGGGTAACAACTGTGCAAGTTGGCGGCGTAGTGCGAGAAAGTGAAGGGCAGAGCGGCCGGGCAGGCTGCAGGCAGCAGCGCGGTGGCGAGACTGTAGCGAGAGCGCTGCGGTAGACCGTTGATGGAAACCACAGAATCAGTCGTCACGCCCGTGGGCGCTGTGACGCCGTGACCATCAGCATTGTTCGCTCCTACCGGATTAGATTTTACCATCTATTGTTCTCCACAGCCAAAATGACGACCGTACAAAAGATCAAGGTGCGACATAACATCCCTTATGCTCGCAGCTATTGATGACCATACCAGGAAATTGAAGATGAGATGGTGAGAACTTCGCGCTCCGTCCGCAACCTGGTCTGACGCGCAGGCAGGCCAGAAGTATGTCCGTCGCTGATCCAGTAATCAAGACCTTGACCTCTGTACAGCCCAAAAGAATAAGGCCACGAGCTACCACTTGGGACAGCTCAAGGCCAAGCTCGCCAAGCTAAAGCGCGAACTCATCACCCCCGGCGGTGGGGGAGGTGGAGGTGGCGGAGGCGTGGGCTTCGATGTAGCGAGAACAGGTGTTGCCTCCGTGGGATTCGTCGGCTTCCCTTCAGTGGGCAAGGTATGTGATCGTACACTATGTGCTTGCATGCACTGCTGAGTTCACTTAGTCAACACTCATGTCAAAACTAACGGGAACGCATTCGGAAGTATCAGCGATCGACTTCACGACACTCACGACAGTGCCCGGAACGGTCAAGGTTCACGGCGCGCCCATACAGATCCTCGATTTGCGTATGTCGGTTACCCTTCCCACTGTGCGATCGCTCATCTCGTCCCAGCTGGTATCATCGAGGGTGCCGCCGACGGTCGTGGTCGTGGTAAACAAGGTGCGTTACTTCAGCTTCCATAACATTCCACCATTGACTATCGTTCCAGTCATCGCCGTCGCTCGCACCTGCAACCTCATCTTTATCGTTCTCGATGTCCTCAAGCCCCTCGGTGACAAGAAAATCATCGAGGCCGAGCTCGAGGGCTTCGGTATCCGCTTGAACAAGCGTCCTCCACAGATCCTCGTTCGCAAAAAGGACAAGGGCGGGATCGCCATCACCAACACCGTGCCCCTCACAAATATCGATCACGATGAAATCAAAGCCGTGTTGAGCGAGTACAAGATCAGCAATGCGGACGTCGCCATTCGGGAACCAAATGCTACGGCAGATGATTTGGTGGACGTGGTTGAGGGGAACCGGGTGTACATTCCGGCGATATATGTGCGTTCTCTGACGCTGCCAGCCAATCCATCCTGCTTACTCGTCTCTTCTCTCAGGTTCTCAACAAAATCGACGCCATCTCCATCGAAGAACTCGACCTCCTCTACAAGATCCCCAACTCCGTCCCCATCTCCTCCGGCCAATGGATGAACATCGACGAGCTCATTGACACCATGTGGAAGGCACTCGACCTCGTGCGCGTGTATACGAAGCCGCGGAAGCTGCCCCCAGATTACACGCAGCCGGTCGTGCTGAAGCGCGGGAAGTGCACGGTGGAGGATTTCTGTAATTCGATCCACAAGGAGATTGCGAAGCAGATGAAGTTGTGAGTAACGCCTGGATCTACAGTGGCAGCCTCGGATGCTGATCATTCAACAGTGCGATTGTATGGGGAGCTAGCGCAAAACATTCGCGAGGGCAGAAGGTTGGCCTGGATCACGTCTTGGAGGATGAGGACGGTGAGTATCATCCCAATCACAGCTGTGACGCTACTGATCGTCCTTCTTCCAGTCGTCCACATTTCCAAGAAGTAAACCATGTATCCGTAGTATCTTGTATCTTACCACTCACTTGTATCCTTCCGCTCAGAAATGTTCTGCATTGACACCTTTCGTATATCGCGTTGTCATGTTCCTCGTGCGCAGCTCATCTCGCCCTTGGCATCTTCGTCTTCGCCGGAAATTCAGGACGGCGACCATGAGAAGGTAGTGAAAGTGAATGACATTGTCCTTAGGTGTCGCCTGTGAATATATCCAAAGAAAGAAGTAAAATACATGAAGGTGGCCTTGTGGGATTCCGGCGTGGCTCCACAAACCTGCATAGGCGCTCGCAGCCTATGCACGTCATCTCTAGCTATGCATAGGCCGTCGTCTAGCTGAGCTTCGAGTACAAGATGAGGGCGATGAGCAGGAGAAGGACGCCGATGATGCCTGCGGTAATGAAGCGTTGTTGATACATTCTGTGGTTCGTGAATTAGCAAACCAGACATACAGGATAGGTGGCAATGGGATGGAGGAGCACGGTTGTACAACGGTCAATAGAAGAGCGTGTACGCCCTGTACCATCGTGTTAGGCAAGATAAGCAAAGACGAACAAACGCTTGCCAGGTTCAATCGACGACGATGTACAGGATGGATACGTGGGATCCTCAACTCACCTGCGAATCATGCCCTTCAGCGTGCCAGACGCACGGTCGATGTGCCGCTCCGCTGTGCCCAGCTACATACAACATTAGCTCTCATAGCTCTCATAACGAGATACCGCCAGCACTTACCGTATCGCGCGCATGCTCAATCTGCTCCCTCTGCCCGCGCAGGTTCAGTAAGATATCCGCGCCAGTCTGCTCCGTCTCCATCGCGATCCGCTGCGACTCCTCCAGCCGCCGCGTCCCCTCATCCAGCTTCGCCGTCCCTGCGAGCAATCGGGCGCGGTCTGTCATATCTCGTTAGCACATGCCGTCAATCCTTTTCCTTGCGCTCCTCGCAAGCAAAGTTCTCATACCGCACTCACCACTCGAAACGTCCCCATACGGATCATCCGATGTCGACGTCCGCGCGAAGCCCCCTCCGCTTCGCGAGCGACTGCCCAGCAGCGCGACACGCGCCTCGATCTCCTTGTACCGCCGCTTCGCGCCGGCCAGCGTGCTCTTAGCCGCACCCAGACGCTGCTGGTAGGGCGCGCGGAGAGATTGCGGAATAGAGGGCAGCTCGATCTGCATCTGCGAGAGCATCTCGTCCGCCTCGTCGAGGTCCATGGCGGTGCGACGAAGGGTGGAGAGGCGGGCCTCTGGAGTGTGGCGTAGTGTACAGTCCAGGAAAACATCATTGAGTGTAGATGCAAACGGGCGAGGGAGAATCAAGTAAAGTCGGCGGGCACAAATACCAAGTCGTCGGTTGCGCAGTTGCGTAGAGAAAGCACCCGTCAGCTACGCCATCTCCGTTCACAGCATGCCTCACGCACCCGCATCCCCATCCTTCGACGCCTCCTCAAGCTTGTCGTTTATGGTGTCGATGAACTGCGTGAACTCATTCTCGTAGGAGTCGAAGAGGGAGGTTGGTGAGTTGTCCATGGCGCGGGGAGGTGACAAGGGCCGTTAGCCGGCATTGGGCCGGCACAGGCACGTCACTGGCAGCGCTATCTTATCTCTCACGTGAAAAGTCCAACCGAGGCGTGACCTGTGTCTTGAACAGCGAACAGCCGTCAGATTCAGAACTCAGTTGCATGAACGAAGGTCTGCATCTCATGCAGTGGCATGCCGGAAAAAACACGAGGTTCGGCGAAACCGTACCGATGGGTATCCTTCGTCCAAGACAACCGGTGTATTGCAACCCAACTACTGAACCTCATTCAACGGTCCTTGGTACGCCCTCTCTTCGTTCACATACACATATGCCAGCCTCACAAACGCATGCACTAGCCCCACCGCGCAGTAGACGCTCGTCAGCATCAGCGGCAAGAACTCCATCCCACCCGAGCTTTCCCTCCTGCTCAACCACACAGGGTAAAGTGTGACGAAGAGCTGCAATGGAATGAAGCCTGCAAGGTACATTTTCTCCAGTGTGTCGAGGATCACGTAGAAGATGGACTTCGGGAACCTAGTGGAATTAGTCATTGTGTAGAAAAAGGGGACGGAAGACCCACTCGTAAACACGACGGGATAACGGGAGGTAGACCAGAGCCAGCCATGCAATGGAGTAAACGACCTCGATGACAGATTCTGCATCGATTGTGAGATCAAGGACGACGTGGGCTTGACGTTCACTACGCACCCGTCGGCGTGAAGAGCAATGGGAAGAGTGAGAATATTCCAGCGACGCTGGCAATGAGGAAGGTACGGAAGTATGCCTGTCGCTCCGCTGCCAGTAGACTGAAGGCACCGCGTCAGATCTCGTAGATGAGGGCATCAATCACTACGCGTACCTAAGGGGGACGAGTACTAGCAGGACAGCTTTCTCGTGCACATGCCAACCGAACAGGAACGAGGTGTAGCCGCAGAGGGTAAGTGCAGTCAGGAAAGACTTGTACGTTGGCCTAAACCACAACTTGACTAGGAACGCCTGTCAAATTATCATAAGCCCCCATTTTCCGCGCCAGATCGACACGCTACTCACTATCTGGAAGGCAATCGTGATGATGAATGTGTGAATGGGCTGCACATTCGGCAGGACGGCGAAGACGGTGTCGCCAACGAGCCCGCGCGAGCTAGAAGCGACGCCGGAGTCGTTGATGGTCACTTCCGCGCCTGTGCGTTGAACGTCTGACGTGGTCATGAGCGGGACAGTGACAAGACAATAAGAGACCACAGCGAGGAGAGCTAACGCACAACGTAGAAGTACGCGATCAAGCGCGGTTACCAAAGCCCAGACGTTGGGCGCCCAGTAGGCATGGTTAAGCCCGCGCTTGAAGGGAAACAGCCGGGACAGCAGCTGGGGGATCTGCCCCATTAGCATGAAGGGTCCGAGGGAGGTGACGAAGACGGCTATGACAGCGTTCGCAAGAGAGAGGAAGTTCTTGATCTGCAGGCGTCCAGTCGGGGATAAGCAGAAGGAGCGCAGCAGGTAGACAAAGTACGCTGGCTGGGAGACATATAAGCGTCGAGCACTAGCGCATAGAAAGCATTATGGACGTACAGCCAGATACATGTAGATGTGCTTGAAGTTCAGCAGTATGGCAAATAGAATGCCGCTGGCAAGCCGCTTGCCCTGTATAGTGTTGGACAAGTGCCCCTCTGTATCGAAATGCACGAACCTCTCTAGCCATGATGATCGACCATAACAGGATGCCGAACATAAAGCCATTGTACTGGAAGTGAATGTGATCGACGATGATGAACCCCGGGTGCAGAAACAAGGAGGCAGCGATGATTCGCTGTGTCGCGGGGTCCACAGAGTTGCGGATGAGCCTTCCGTGAGTGTCAGCGCGTGCATCATGATACTCATAACCTTAGCACACACCTTAGGCAGGCCGCACCAAGCACCAACTCCGTCAAGATGACAGTGGTGCGCTGGTACGCAATGACCGACCACGCCCCATATTCTAGGTTATTGACATCCACGATTCTGGGGTCGATGAAAGACGCCGGGATCGAAAGCACCTTTTCGAAGTACGCGAAGAATGGGGGATAGTCGAGGGCTGCGGGCGCTTATTGAACGGACATGCACGCCATCGACGCTCGGTACTCGCTCACTCCATTCTGATGTGGTCTGCAATCGGTAAGAGACTCTGCATAGTGAGGCATACGGCCGACTCACGTCGTAGTACCATTGCGAGATGGGTAGCGAATGCGTGATCGCAAGCCAGTTGCGGTGGACCTCGAAATCGGTCGAGCGACTATCATGTTCAGTCTCACTCAGGGCTTAGCATAGCGGCACACATGGCGCTCACTATGTGGGGAACAATAGCAGCTTGAAGGTAGTGGAGAGCACGAGGATATCCCAGTCCGAAGCGTTGAACTCTGGCAATGCCCAACGGCGCGAGGCCTTCGGGGCCTCCACAGCAGTGGATTCCGCCGGCATCCCGAGTATGCCTGCTCCGGCACGAGCTCGCGTAGGCGGAAAGATGGGGAGAGTAAATCGCCCTCAAGGTCGAAAGCAAGAACAATGGCCGACACGTGGTCGCGCGCCTCCCACTTTCCGGCCCGAACCTTGCTCTTCCCCATCATGGCAGACCAAGCCGCCGTCGGCGTCAGCGTCTCCAAAGCAGCTTCACGGTGCGGCATGAACTTTTCGATACTCCGAAGGCGCGTCTGACTCGCTTCGCAGCGCCACCCTCATCAGGCTAGTGGTCTTCAGCGCCGCCTTGGGCATCGTCCCCTTGACGTCCTACTTTGCCAGCCAGAAGTACCTCTGGAATGGTACGTTGCGGTGCCAGCGGAAACTATTTTGACCTGATGCATGTGTAGGGAACGCCACGTATGCTGCACTGACTGCTATAGTCGCCGCAAACCTCATCCTAGTCTCATACATCATCACATCCCTGCTTGAAGACACGTCTGCGCCGACTCCCATTCGCCCAGCGCCAACAACAGAGACTAAGAAGATACAATGAGCATTATACCGGCTCTTTACAAAATTATAGCTGGTCGCAGGGAGAGCCTACACTTTGTTACAGTAGTGTAACACGCTTGCGCCAGTATTTTGTTGTACGCTACACCAAAAATATGATTACTACAGCTTACTTGCGTTTTGTATGCTAGTCTGCTTCGTGATGAATGAGAGGCTTGGTGTAGTAGTCGAATGGGCCCGCCCATCCTTTGGACAGGAAGTAATTACAGTCGAAATTCATGACGATGCATCATACAGCAATCCCCCAGCTCACGGCAGTGGCCGCGCCGCCATCCTCTGCGCTGGACTGGCCGCTAGAAGGAGCTCGGCGGCCCATAGAAGACTGCGAGCCGTTGATCAGACTCGCGTAAGGTAAGGCAACAATGGCGCCCCTGCTCACCAGGTAGGATCTGTGCGTGTCAAGGGCGCGCATTGCGGCGCCTACACGGGCGCGGACTTCCACGCGCTGGCGCGATTCCCGTACAGGGCTCCTCGGCGGTATCAAGCAGGACCGTAGGTCTGGCACGTCCGGCGGGTCGGTACCCCGCTCATCCATCTCCGTGGAGAACTGCGCGTACGCGCTGGGCGAATACATCGAGAAGATGTCGTGCACCTCGTCGCCAGAGCCATGCTCGGTCTGAGACTTCGAGACGTTGGCGGAATACATCTGTGCGATGGCGTATGGGTGCGGTGCGCGCGGCGTGGTCGGCGTACCGATGGGCGTGTCGTCGGAGGTGGGTGACGAAGATGGGGAAGAGGACGAGAGACTTGGCGCGGCGCTGTAGGACGGCACGATAATTGGGGTCGGAATCCGCTTGCGTATCCTAAGAGGCGGCGGGCTAGGAAAACATAGCAAGGGATCTATGATAGAGTCGCCATCGTCGTCGGACTCGCTTCCTTCTCCTTCGAGTGGCCCGCGCATCTCTGGTATGTCCGATTTCACAGGCGCAATATCCTCCGGCCTCGCGGTCGAAGGCACGAGCGCGCGAGGCGCCTGACGTTCCGGAGCCGTAAGATAATGCTCACTGCCCGTAAACACCTGACAGTGCCGCGGCGGAGGCGTTTCCCTCTGGCTTCTACAGAACGCCGGCGGTGGGGATTGTGCGTCGCTGGCCCTGGATCGCGACGGGCACGCGGGATCGATGGTGGCCTCTTCCTCCTCCATCTCGCGGAGGAAGCCGTCCCAGATGCAGTCAAGCTCGGTTGGGCAGAATGACGAATTCACTCGCCCCGACTCGGAGGACGAGATAGTCGACGTTGCAACCTCGATCGGCTTGAGATCGCACTTCTGCGCGGGTAACGGAGGTGCACTGTACGATGCGCGAAGGGACGGGCGAGCGGGGGTGCTGGGTGCACTGATAGGGTACAGCGGAGGGGGAGGTGCTGGGCGGGAGGGTGGCATAGCTGCAACTGACTTGGACGTACGCAAAGAGCGGAAGCCATTCGTGCTGGAGTGCAGAGATCGCCGACCTTCATCCATGTCCAAGTAAGATGCAGTAGACGATGAGCCCTTGGACCGCGTGCGCTTGACGCCCAGGGCGCCCAGTGTGGACTTGTGTCGCGTCGCCTGCTCCAGATCTTGCCATGATCCCGTGGTGAGAAAGGACCTGCCGCGCGTAGAGTCGATCGGTGAATGATGTGGGGAAGCCTCCCTTGAGTCAGGGGACCTCTCCTTGCGCTTCCAGGATGGGAGGATGAGCGATACGTGCTTCATGGCTGCGATCGTGCTGAGGGCGGCGATGACAGCCGGGGGAGTACCCTCGGCCTTCTTATAAACGAGGGGCGGAAGCGTCCAAAAAGTGCAGTAAGTGCCGCCAAGTCGGGGCTAGACTTGGTATAGCTTGGGCTCGGGAAGATCAGCATAACGGACCTTCTGTGACGCACCCTCTTCGGGGCGCACTACGCCACGCTGTCCGGTTAGCGCGTTCTAGTAACCGCGACCGGTATGTTCGCGAGCTGCGCGTCTGACAGCGCATTGAAGGAGACCGCGGAAAGCAGCATATTGAGGTAGACGATGAAGAGACTAGCAGAACATATACCCCTCTTGCGCGTCGCCGTCGAAGTCCTGAGTCTTCTCTGCAATTCGTACTCTTTACCCTCCTTCGATGTCCAGTTGCCGGGAGCGCTCTCCTCGTGCGTCCGCTATAGCAGCGAGAGGGGTTTGAACCGATTTCGAGGCTAACAAGAACTTGCAGCGTCGCCGACAGTCGCTAGCGCTGACATGGGACAAGTCATTCCGCCGGTGTGAATGGTAGAATCCGGACTAGATTGGCGCCATTGCTGGAGCGACACATGAGAGCTGTGCTGAATGTTTTTGCTGGCAATTAGATGTACGCAGAAGAGCCTCGTAGTTCGCTGCCAGGGAGAGAGGACGAGCGCCTCTTCTGGACGGCTGAGTCGGCGTCTGAAGAGGAAGGCGTGCGGAAGGCACGCCACAAAATGCAAACTTGATTTCTTTCCGCCATCATCCGACATCGCCGGAATCGCTGCTCGCCTGAATCAGAGCAGCGCTGAGCTGAGCGCTGAGCGAGGGAGACCGTCCGTCGTTGTGATCGTCGATGCTCGGGTGCCACAACGTCTAGCTATCGTCACTCTCACACACATCCACGGGTATGCGGCTTACGGTCGATCGGGCGACATCCGTGTCCACGGCCCCAGCATCCCCTCATGTGGGCACAATTGTGCAGACGTAAATCAATTTAGCTCTAGCCCTTCGACCGCAAGGATTCACTCTGCCAGCGAGCTGCTAGGAGCGTATGCACAGCGCTGAGACTGAGACCTGATTATGTACGGCGAAACGCATAGAAGACGGTCTCGGGCAGGGAGAGTAGGGGTAGGGTTGTGCCGACCCAAGGCGCCCGTGTCGGGCGGGACTCCTGATGGCTTCCGACTCGATGCTCACCAGCAGTGTCTTGTCGACGCTCTCGACTTCGCCAGTGATACCGTGAGCCACACTCGGTCCGCGTCCGATACAGATAGGATTGGAGGCATGGTGGATAGTTCCCTGCAGTTTAGCACCTTTTTGCTGGACGCGACGTTGCTTGCAACGAGGGTGGGCTTCTATGCCGTGCTACATCATCCAAATCCAACTTGAACACTGTCCTGTGACTGTGGGAGAATAGCAAGCACCGGAATGTTCGATTCCCGGCGCCCACAAGTCTCTTTCGGCTAAACAAAGGCAATTTCCCTCCATTACCCTCGTTGGCTTTCAGGGTTGGCGTCCAGGCCCGGCAGCACGCGGTGCGACGAAGCTGCGGTGTCCGATGATGGTAACTCTAAGAGGTTGGGAACCGGATTGCACAAACAGGTTTCTGGGGCTCGCCCGGCCGCCAACCACACCGCGGTTTGAAAAGGTCGCGTGGGAGAGATCACCCTGCAACATGGCCATCGCGGGGTCCGTTTACTCCGCGTCAATTGCATCAGTGCGCCTCCTCGCCTCAGTAGTCCACTCAGAATCAGCATCTGACTCGTCCTAAGGTGTTCTACAGGCTGATCTCGCCGGGGCAGTCCGTCTATGTGTGGATTTGATGTGAAGGTGCGGTAGCCTCCATTCACGAGGATCATGGTGGGTAGATACTCCATCATAACAGTCGACTGCGCTGCATGTGTACAGGGTTTGCGTCGGTTCACACAGCACTCTTGAATGCCGTAAGTCCGCTCCTCATCTTCTCAGCCACGACCTTCGCAACGATCTTCCCTTCTTAATACCACCACCCCGCCGCGGTCGGGTTCCTTCTTCACCGCTCCCCCCAGATAGTGGCCCCAATCAGAGCCTCGGATCTCTGTCCCAGCCATGTCTGTATACGAGTCAGGCATCACGCCAGAAATTGTGCATAGTACGTCCTTGTGTCTTCCCCTGCAATTCTGGTGAAGCTCATTGTTCTTCAGATACGGGTATCACACTCGTTACAATTGCCCTCTTTTTTACCATATGTCGCCTGGTCGTGCGTATATGTGACGGCAAGCTTGGCTGGGATGACTTCTGGGCGGCGTTCTCCATTCCCTCAAGTGCGATCATGCTCACCGGAATCCTTATGCTGCTGGGTCCACCACGTACGGTCTTGTTTCCTCGTCCAGTAATGCATGGCCTAACTTTCTACTACGCAGCTGGGATTGCAGTGGGCAGTTTCACGATGATAGCGTCGTACTACATGTGAGTGTTGTTCGATCTGCTGTGCGCATGAATTATATCTCGCCCCTAGGGCTGCGTTCGGTTTCTATGCATCCGTCTGGTCCCCGCGCTTCTCCATCCTCTGCACTATCCTGCGCATCGCTCCCTCGTACTGGAGGATATACCTGCGCGGGATAGGTCTTTGCTTCGGTGCCATGTGGCTTTTCCTCTTCGTCCAGCTCTTGAAACATTGCGAGGATGTGGGGGACACCTGGAAGCATACGACAGGCCAGTGCGAGCTCGGGAAGGATATCGCGATCACTCAGCTAGTCAGTGAGTGCTACACGAGACTCTCTAGCCGCTAGTCCTACTAACTTCCATCTAGCCGACATCCTCACGGATTTGTCACTGAGCTTGATCCCGGTACGCCTTCTCTGGCAATCCAATCTTTCCAAGGCAGAGCGGATTCGCCTGATCGTTGTCTTCACTTCCTGTCTGTCGACAACAATCGTACGTCGCCTCCGCCGCACCCTTGGGAATGCCTCGATAACATTGAATAGGTTTCCCTCGTTCATGCGTATTACATCTTCGCCAACATCGGTCTCAATGAGATCTATTGCGCCATCTGGGAGGTGAGTCTCTAACGTCCGACTACCTCGCGTACTCGTTACTCAATGCTTCCCAGGCGTCTGTGAGCATGATCGTGGCTTGCTTGACCGTCCTTCTCGGCTATGCCTCGCGACTGGCCAAGAAATATTTGCCCGACAGCGTCACCCGCACCGTCTGGCCAACGACCAACCCCTCCGGCTTCGAGCTCGCCACGCCAAATCGTGGGCAGGCGATCAACGTCGACATCACCACAACTGTCTGGGCGGAAGACCAGACGGTCATGTACGGCAAGGCGAGACCAGACGAAGAGCAAGGAAAGAGGTTCGACGACGATCTACACGGTGATCAGAAGACGTCTGACCAGGCTCTGTCTCGGTGCGCATCGCCACCATTTGCAGACAACGCAGGGACTCACATACACCTGCAGATTCTGAACGCTGTTGATCTGCAGCTTCATCACGAGTCGTCATTGACATGTACATATACGGGGTTTATACTTTACGGTTTGTTACTTCGGTCGGATTGTTCAGGTGAATATAGAGCTGGCTTTGAAGGCACCTATCGATGTTGGATGCATTGAGAAGAAACGAGGATGTCGGATAGTGTCTTTATAATTGACATGTGCAGGCTGAAAGCATGAAGACGTGTGTCAGAAATCGACGGTCTGGGGCGCTGTATATCGCCTCTCCCAACTTTACAACGGATAGATACAAGGCTTCTAGATGAAACAACCAAAAGTAGATAGATATGAGTAATGGAGATGATAAATAGATATGTGCGGTGTGGTCAACTCTAGTCATCGGACTGGATGATGGAGTAGGAGGGTGCGTCCAGTTGCTCAGCACCCTTGAGGAAAGGCAGTTCTACGATGAACAGGTATTCGAGCGTCTTGCCGCCGCGCTTGGCGACGAGCTCTCCGGCAGCCTTTGCCGAGCCGCCTGCGGGGAATAAGTACAGAGAACGAGGGAGACCTAAGTATGGACGTACCAGTGGCAATGAGATCGTCGATAACGACGACAGTCTGCCCCTCGCTGATGGCATCCTCCTGGAGCTCGAAGACGTCCTAGACATAGATGAACTGCCATTACTGACAGCGCATAGATACCAACGCACCGTGCCGTACTCCTTCTGGTAGGACGCATTCACGCATGCGCCGGGGAGCTTCCCGCTCTTGCGTACCGGGACGAACGCAGCCCCCAGTCGCAGCGCGATGATCGGTCCGATCAAGAATCCGCGAGCATCCAGGCCAACGACGACATCGACCTTCTTCGTCGGCGAAGAGGGGATCGTCTTCGAGGTGAGGTGGTATATGAAATGTGTGATGAGAGTCTCGAAGGCGACGGGATCCCTAAGGATGGGGAAGATGTCCAAGAAGACGATGCCCTGAGCGCGGCGTCATGATGAGCGGTGTGAACATGTTGAGGGCATTCAAGAGCGTACCTTCTTGGGGAAGTCAGGGTGCGCCGTCAGATGGCTACGAATGAAGTCGACGTCGCTCATCGTGTATGATATGTAGGGGGGGGGGGAGGGGGGGAAGGGGAGAAGGTGTGAGATGCGATCGAGGATAACAGCATATGTTCCATTAGATGGATCACTCAAATTTTCACGGAATCAAAAGCGTCGCGGCTAACGATGGTGTTCGCATGGTTCATAATTGCGTGTCCCTTCATAGCACAACATAGAGGTAGCATAGAGGATATACAGTAGGGGAAGGTGCGCAAAGAACCTATACAGACTCGAGGATCTCCGGCTCCTTGAAGTCCTTCGCGATCTTCGTGCCAGTCTCCTGTGCGAAAGTCAGCGATATGCCTCGACATTGCAAGCGATCTACTTACGTCCGTCGACTCGCCGTGCAGCTCCATGAGCTTGGAGACGTCGAACTTGGGCGCCTTCAGGATCTTGGCCTTCCGCACGTAGACGTTTTGGAGGGGGTAGATGCTCCGCGACGCCTTCTCGATCTCGCGACCGATCGCCTCCGGAACGAACTTCTGCACGAGCTCCTTGAGGTCGCAGCTCGTCGCCTCGCGCGTCATGATCTCGAACATCTTCTTCCGGATCTCCCGCACCTGCGAAGACTGGGCGTAGGTCGTCTTGCGAACCTGCGTCGGTCTGCGCTTCGTGAAGCCGATGGCGAAGAGGCGGAGGAGGTAGCCGTCAGTCGTCTTGACGTCGACGTGGGCCTCAATGAGGGTTTGCCACTTGCGGACAAGGGAACGGAGCTTGTCGGACGTGAAGTCCATGCCGTGGAAGTTGGTAAGGCAGTTCTTGCCCTGAACCTCGTCCACCCGTAGCTTGATCTTGCGGAAGGACTGCTCCTCGTCCTTGTTGAGATCAGCCAGCGACACCTCAACGATACGGCCCTTGAGGGAGTCGTTCGCGTTTTCTGTAGCTTCAATCAGCATAGGCCAGGCGAATACGGCATCGGCACGCACTCAAGCCCTGAGACCGGTTGACAATAGTCTTGCCAACATTCCGGACCTCGAAGATTGACGGGGCCTTGATATCGTACCACTCTGCGCACAGTCAGCAGACGAAAATGAGCAGGATGGAAGGGGAGCGTACCCTTGCGCGTCAAGGGGTCGACGACCTTTTTCTTGATACCCTTCTTGCCCTTAGACAGGCGCTTGTTCTGGTGAGGTTGTCAGGACATTTCCCGACCACATATCGGGCGGCGCGCTGACCTTGCCAACGGCCATGTTGGGTCAATGGAGTGTGTTTTGCGGAAAAGTCTTGACCGCAAAACTTGATGGTGCCGCGACGACTGGCAAGGCTTTGGACGCAGCGACGGCGTCGATGGATCGGTGAGGGCCGAAGTCCGCATCACGTGGCATCAGGTGCCCTTGTGGCTGACTGCAGTTGCTGACGGCAAGTGCCGAATCAGTTGCATGATGGAAACCTCCTCTGTCCTTGTGTAAATGGTCATCAATAGTCTGCATGTTCTCCCGCGAGGATTTCGATACTGCTTGTCAATCTTACGTGTCAGCCCGACCGACTGACCGAGGGATCTGCGGTTGGCAATGGAATGCTTATTCAAGTCCTTACCAAACTTCGGTCGGCTACCTTGCCCGAACAACTACAGAATTCGCCTTGCACGACCCCTCCGAGCCATTCGCGACTGCTGAAATGGAGGCTATATCTGTTGGAGATGCCCCTGTCACGGAGTCCTGGGATGAAGTAGTGGCTGAGTTGGAGGATGAAGCTGCGGCACCTCGGTCGACCACTAAAGAGCCTTTAAACTGCCAACAATATGTTGTGTACACTCCCGGATTCCAAGTCCCCGCTTTTTACTTCTCTCTGCACGACGCTCGTAAGCCCGAGAAACGTTGTAGCGGAAGGTAAAGTCTAATGTACCCTCAGGCGGCAGCCCTCTCCGCGTCGACGACTTGATTCGCACGTCTCTATTCCGACCATCTGCATTCGACGCGACTACACGCAACTCCTTCGCCATTACACCGTCGGCGTCAGCCTTCCCCCTACTCTCCCAAGGAGACCATCCCGTCCTTGGTACGCCATGTTGGTACATTCATCCATGCGAAACGGCCACTGCACTCAGCGAGATCATGTCGGAGATGCAATATGATGATGGAGGCTCGCGTGAGCGACGCCTCAAGCGGACCCTTGAGGCTTGGTTCATGTTGTTGAGTAGCATCGTAAACTTACAGCATCGTACGGAGATTTTGTAAACCTATGCCATCGTCCCCAACGAGAATCATGTGCGATTGCCATGTCATGCGACCTCGGTTGCTGAGCTTGATCCTGCCGGTGACGTGCGGGGCAGCGGCGGGGATTTAAACGTGTCTCCCAGACCGTCAGCTCTCGACAAACGACGTCCACTGCCGTTGTGTGTGGTAAGGATTGACCGCCGTTAGGATCGCATCCAAGCTTGATTCAAGCCAATCGTACGAGGGCGACGAATTATCTTATCGGATCACTTGAAATAAGGGATATATATATCCAATGGTCCTCCTTGCAAGAGCGCGTGTCCTCCGCACCTCGTCTCGTCCCTTCACCTCCCTTTTTACGCGCACCATGGTGCGTGTTCTGCTTCAGCTGTAGCTTGCGCCCATTGACGCGTCCCGACAGGTCCACGAAGCTGTCATCGTTGCCGCATCGCGCACGCCGGTTGGCTCGATCAATGGTGTCCTTAAGACGGTCACCGCCCCCCAACTCGGTGTTGTCGCCCTCAAGCATGCCTTCGAGACCTCCAAGGTCGACCCTGCCGTTGTTGAGGAGCTCTACTTTGGCAACGTTGTGCAGGCTGGCGTCGGCCAGTCGCCTGCTCGTCAGGTCGCACTTGGCGCGGGCATGAAGACTAGCTCGGATGCGACAACCATCAACAAGGTCTGCGCGAGCGGCATGAAGTCTGTCATCCTCGCGGCCCAAGCTATTCAGTCCGGCGACAAGAGCGTTGTAGCGGCCGGCGGTATGGAATCGATGAGCAACGCACCGTGAGTCGGCCCATTCGATTCACCGATGTGCCAGATCTGACTTTTCTGTAGGTTCCTCTTGCCTCGCCAGAACCCTGCCTTCGGCAAGTTCACTGCCCAGGACTCGCTTGAGAAGGATGGGCTGTGGGACGTGTACCACGACTTCTCCATGGGTCACTGTGGCGAGCGCGCGGCCGAGAAGCACGGCATCACCCGCCAGTCGATGGACGAGCACTGCATTGAGTCCTACCGCCGCGCAGAGCGCGCATGGAAGGATGGCGCGTTCAAAGCGGAGATCGCTCCGGTAACTGTCAAGGGCAAGAAGGGCGACACCGTGGTGAACGAGGACGAGGAGTACAAGCGCATCATCTACGAGAAGGTCCCTACGCTTCGCTCTGCTTTCAAGAAGGATGGTGGCATCACTGCTGCTAACTCTTCCCCCTTGAACGATGGCGCGTCCGCACTCATCCTCATGTCGGCGGAGAAGGCGAAGGAGCTTGGCCTGAAGCCTTTGGCTAAGGTCGTCTGTAAGTCGACTATGTTTATTAGGCCCGTGGTACACGGCTGAGTTCCTTCAAAGCCTACGCGGACGCCGGTGTTGATCCCATCGACTTCCCTGAGGCACCCACTGTTGCCGTGCCGCTTGCCCTGAAGAAGGCTGGGCTTGCGGTGGACGACATAGCTCTCTGGGAAGTCAACGAGGCTTTCTCCGTTGTCGTTAGGATAGTTGAGAAGGTCCTCAAGGTCGATCCTGCAAAGATCAACGTCAATGGGTACGTGAGGGCTATCTGACCATCTCTATACCATACTGATAGCCTCCCAGCGGTGCCGTTGCGCTCGGTCATGCTATCGGTAACTCTGGTGCGCGGATCATCGTCTCGTTGGTCCACGCACTCCAGTCTGGCCAGTACGGCGCTGCTGGTGTCTGCAACGGGGTACGAATCCCCGGTTCTCCTGACAGCTTCATACTGACGCGCCGCAACAGGGAGGAGCGGCGTCTGCCATCGTTATTCAGAAATTGTAACATAGTGCTTTCACATTGCTCTGTACACGCCAACACTAGATCTCCCCAACATACTGCATAATTTGGATCGGTGTTCAACATGAACCTTTCGAGGGTGCCTGCGGGCTTCGTGCATCAAGCTCTGTTAGGCGCGTCAAAAGAACGGCACAAGGCACCTCGCGTACAATGTTCTCTGTACAAGTAAGGATCATCGGATCGAATGAAAAGCTTGTTTGAACTGCCGTTTACCCAGAGTGTTGCGCCCGTCTCACGAGGAGGGATGCTTGCTATACTGAATTGCTGGTGACATACCTATGCCCTAGTCCAGGTCGTAATCAGTTGCAACGTTCACTGGAGCGGGGTGCCCAAAGAATGAAGGTTTGCTGTCGCCGCGCGCGCTTCTTCTCTCACAGACTTTTCATTGAACTACCGCTGTCATGCGACAGAGGCCACGCTTTGTGCATGCACGATAAGACCCAGCGACATATATAAGAGCAAGCGCAGCTGGCATCCGGGCAGATCGGGACCCATCTACAAGCTCTCTTCCTTCTCGACTCTCGCCCACCATCAGCATGGACAGAACGTCGGAACCATCCATCGACGAGAGCAAGTATTCTATTCAAGACTCCGAGAAACGCACTGGCGACAGCTTCAACGACGGCGTCGACTTGTCTGTGGGCGACGAAGCACTCAAGCTCGTTGGCAAGGAGAGAACCGTCCAGTTCACCGAGGAATACAATGCGAGGCTTAGGCGGAAGCTGGTACGTTGTCGCCACCCCCTGGCCGGGCCTTCATCGCTCACGTATTTTCCACAGGATCTTACGATCCCTCCCCTCTGCGCCGCGGTCTACTTCACCCAGTACCTGTGCGTCGTTTGAGAGCGTCGGCACTTCTTCGCCCATCGGCTCACCGACCTCCGTAGCGATAAGACGTCGCTAAACTACGCCAGGTATGTGCGCCTCTCGTGCTTCCCGGGCAGATACTGACGCCAGTGGTGACGGCAGCATCATGGGCTTTCCCATAACTGGCCAGAAGTACAACCTAGTGTCAATGGGCTTCTATCTGGGTGCGGCAGACGCGGCATGCGGAGGCGCTGCGGCGCGCTAACTGAGCACCACACAGGTTTTCTCATATGGGAGTTCCCCACCGTCTACATATCGCAAAAGCTCCGCGTCGCCAAGTACCTGGGTGAGGACCGCTACTTGTGCATCTACCCCGTGCTGCCGTGGTCCTGAACTAATATAGGCGCGAACGTTGTACTATGGGGCGTAGTCCTAATGCTGCATGCCGCCGGCACCTCCTTTGGCGCGATCTTCGCTTTGCGTATTCTCCTAGGTACGGCAACGTCAATTCGGTATCACGAGGCACCGGGACTAACAATGACAGGCATGCTGGAAAGCTGCGTAGCGCCCATCCTCATCCTCATCATCTCCATGTTCTACAAGAAGAATGAACAAGCCACACGCATCTCCTGGTTCTACGTTATGGTAAGGCCTCCCGTACTTTGCACTCCCGTCTGCCCCTCTAATTCGCCTCCAGAACGGCCTGACCCAGATTTTTGGGGGATTTGTGGCATATGTGAGTCGCTGTCGTACTACAGCGGGGCACATGCTTAATCTGCTGTCAGGGCATTTCGTTCGACAAAGGACACGTCCTCGCGCCGTACCAAATAATCTACCTACTACTAGGCGGCCTGGCCATCGTAGTTGGCGTCTGCGTGCTCATCTGGATGCCCGATTCGCCCGTGCATGCCTGGTTCCTGACACCCGAGGAGCGCATCGCAGCGCTGGAGCGCGTCCGCGACGACCAGGTCGGCACGGAGAACCACAAGCTCAAACGCTCGCAGATGCGGGAAGCCGTCACGGACGTTCGTACCTGGCTTATTGTCCTGCTGACCCTCGTCAGTGAGTACTCGGTGTCGAAAGGCTGTTCTTCTGTGGCAAAACAACTTTCTGACGCTCTTACCCCTAGCGGCCATACCTAACGGCGGCCTGAGCAACTGTGAGTATAGGTGCTCATACCTGTCCCCGATGCTCAGGAGACTTTCTTTCCCAGTCAGCAATCTCATCATCAAGAACTTCGGTTATACGTGAGTGCAACTGCTGTTTGAAGGACGCTTGCTAAACGACAACAGGTCGAAGCAAGCCTTGATATTGTCCACGCCCTCGGGTGTCGCGCAGATCGTGTTTACTATTTTGTGCGGCTGGTACTCGGACAAGAAGGTAAAGGACACCCGTTCATGACAGAGAGGAAATTTTCTAATGCCACTCATCAGAAAGAGCGCATGCTTCCCGTTGTCATTTCCGTAATCCCCACAATCATTGGTGCTGGTAAGCAGACCACTTCCTTGCTTTTACCGCCCGACCTGATCTCTGGAAGCAATCCTGGTCGGCTTGAACAAGTCAGGCGAGAAGGGCGCCCTTCTATTCGGTTGGTCAAGCATCACTTGTCCTCGACACTCCTGATTGATATTCAAACAGGTATATACCTCACGGGCACCTACGGTAGCGCCTTGGCAGCCATCTACTCTTACAATGCGAGTAACACCAGCGGTCACACCAAAAAGAGTACAGTGAACGCAATGACCCTCTTCTCCTTCAGCGCTGGAAACATCATTGGCACGGAGATCTTCCTCGCCAAGGACGCGCCCGACTATATCCCAGGCAAAATCGCCATCCTTGTCCTCCTCTCCGGCAGTCTCGTCATCGCGTTGACGATTCGAGCGATCAACTTGCGGATGAATACGCGCCGAAAGGAGGCGCTGGTGGCACTCCAGGCGCAGAACGGCTGGACGGACGCCGATATGCAACGCGAGCGCGAGCGACATGCATTTGCGGACCTGACCGACAAGAAGTGAGTCAAGTTTCTCCAGGCTGTGCGCGGGGAACGCTGACGGCATATACCTCGCAGTAACCCGTACTTCGTCTACACGCCTTGATGCGCGAGGCGAACGTGTGCGTGATTGAGAGCACGCGTAAGGTGCACAGTCAGCGTGGGGTGGCCTCGTTTAGGCTCGGGTTGCCCTGCGTGTCGCGATGAGCCTGGCGTCCGCACACGTACTGTGATCGGCGTGCGCACTGGACGCAAGTTGTCAAGGGGGGTTGGGAGGCTTGCAGTCGTAATATACATACTGTACACTTGAATTACATGTTCGATAGACGGCGGACTTCAATGCTCGATGATATTATAGTTCATCCTCTGGGTATCGACGCGGATGATATCGGTCCAATCTTCTTCGTCGGGCTCGACGATGGTCTGACCCTTTACGCCATTGTCCTCATCGTCGTCGAACCAGGTGGCGGGGTCTTCGTCTTCTGAGTCGTAGTCTGAATCGTCTTCAAGATCGGAGTCAGTGGGTTTGTGGTTCCTGCAACGGTGAACTATCAGATAAAGGGAAGACACGGTCAATGACAAGACGCACATGAACGCCCATATTCGCGCCTCGCGCTCCTTCTTCGTCAAGATTTCATCCCTCCTGGGTGGCGCGCCCATGCGTTCCCTTCTGGCCTGCGCTTCTTGTTGGCGCTGAGCTTCGGCCGCATGTGCTTGACGCTGTAGCTCTGCAGCTTCATCGAAGTCCATGGTGGCGATACCCTTGCGACTATGCGAAGACGAAGAGGACTCATGATTGTTGGCCTGCGATGGGTAATGATTAGTAGCTCCATATCCCAGTGTGCGCGACGTACAAATCGGGAAATGGCCTTGCGCTTCGCTTCAATGGCGCGCGACGTCACGTCGAGTTCGTCATTGCGTATGCTGGTGCGCATGAGGCTAGCGTTGATAGCCTCCACGCCCTGCAGGTCGACTAGGCGGGACTTGATCGCCAGCTGTTCGGCGGATATCCTGGGGAAGTATGAGGATGTGGATGCGTCCCTAACATGCAGATCATGGTCAGCTTTCGTCCCCCTCACGACATGAGGCTACACACGGAGAAGAAAGTATGCGTTGGTTGAAGTTGTAGAGATCGTTGAGCTCACGGACATCTGTCATGTGCTCGATGTCGTGTTTCGGCTTCGGCGTTGGCCTGAAGCCTGGCGGCACGTTTGAGCGTGTTGGCGACTTTCCTGTGGGCGATTTCATGGCGGTGGTAGTGGTAAGCAGTTCAGTTGGACGAGGGGGATGCTGGGCGGCAGGACGACAAACTGCCAACTATATATACAGAAATGCTAACCCCATTCGGACGGGCCTCGTGGGGGCTGTTCGACATTTTTGTGGCGTTCCGTGATTCCTATTGTTCGACCACCATGATCAACGGAGCCGGTCGCAGTTCCCTTGCTGTGAGTCTCTGTTGACTCGCAGGGCCGACGTGCGTGCACAGAGGTGACTCTAGCAGGTCAACGCAGTGACTTTGTACAGCTAAGCGAAAGCAGCTGCGGCTACAGGCCCTGGACCCGGTGAATATTTTGTGTCAAGTCAGGATTCTTTATCCATGCATAGAACGGCGCAATTGAGCTTTACCCGAACGGACGAACCGGCCAATTGAGATACAATGCGCTTCAACGCCAGATAGTTGCAGTGAGTGATAGGATACATGCATATGTAGTAGATAAAATGGACGGAGTCTATGTCAGGATAGCTTGCTACAGCCTATACAAAACCTATAAAGATGGTATGTCACACAACGAAAGATAAAGACGACTAGTACACCTCGAGCACGTAGCGCTCGAGCTCCTTCAAGTCCTCGAGGTACTGACCCGCGGACTCCTCCGTGTGCCCGCCGTTCTTGACCATCGCGCCAACGAGCGCGTTGTAGACGTCGGGTACCGGCCACGTCGGCCCGCACAGGTAGAACACACCCTCCTGCTCGGTGAGCATGCGCGCGAGGTCCTCCGCGTCCTCGAGCATCTTGTGCTGGATATACACCTTCTTCGGCCCGTCGCGCGAGAACGCGAGGCCCGCACGGGAGACGATGCCATCCATGATCCACGCCTCGATCTCCTCCCCGTAGAGGTACTCCTGGTGCCGGTGGCGCGAGCCGAAGTAGTAGTAGACGGGGCCGATGGGCTCGCCCTTGCTGGCAAGCATCGCGCGGTACTGGAGGAAGGCGCGGAAGGGGGCAGCACCGGTGCCGAGACCGGCCATGATAAGAGGCTGCATGTTGGAGGGAGGGAGCTGCGTGAGAGGCAAGTGCGTGAGTGATGGACGCCAGCAAACATGGGAACGCTCGCGTACCTTCATAACGGAGGGCTTGATGGACACGGTGACCTTCTGCCCAATCTTCAGGCCCGACAAGTAGCGAGTGCACTGGCCAAGACGAGGAGTGCCTACAACAGTGATCAGTGCGTGTTCTCGAGCAATTTGCCAATGCACGTACCGCTCGGAGTGACCCAGTCAACAGTGACAACGAGCAGGTGCACACTATCGCCGACGACGGCCTGCGCGCTCGCAATCGAGTAGTGACGAGGCTTGATGTCGCCAACAAGGGTGCAGAGCACCTCGATGGGCGGCTTCGCCGACGGGTACATGCGCAGGACATCCGCGAACGTCACCGTGTCCTTCTCGTTAAGCTTCTTGAACGTCGACACACCCTCCGCCGAGCCGATGAACTTGAGCGCGTACTTCTCGACCGGGCTCGTGGCGTAGTCGGCGACGTCGGTGTAGAAAGACTTGCCCGGACGGCCGAAGAGATCAATTTGCTGCTGCAACGCCTGGAAGACCGTGCGCGTGTGCAGCTGGTCGCCGTCCGCGCTGACGGGGATGGTGACCAGCGCGTTCGGGTCCACACCGTACCAGTTGCAGAAGTCGAGGACCTCCTGCTCGTCGTTCCACCCGTGCACGCCGAGCGCCTCGCCAATCTCGTACTTGAGACCCGTGCCGCTGGTGTCAAACTCGAGGTGGAAGACGTTGCGGTCGTAGTCGAGCGGCGTCAGCCGGCGGTTGACCGTGCAGGTGACGAGGAAGGTGCGGTCGGGGATCTCGGGGCGCAACTCGGGGATCTGGGGGTACAGCTCATCGGAGGGCTCGGCCTCGGGAGCGTAGACGGAAGGGAAGAGCAGGTGCTTAGCGGCGTCATGCCACGAAGACAGGTGCGTGCCGTTGACGACCGTCTCGCCGTCCTCGGCCTCGACAGCGATTGCGTTGACCTCGAACGGACGCAGAGGAGCGGCCTGCGCCTCTGTTGCCTCCGGCGTGGCGACATACGCCTCCTGCAGACCAGCCCACGCATGAGCACCAATCTTGCTGAGAGGGAAGCCTTGGATGGCCTCGTCGTAGACTGCACGGGCAGCCTTCACAACAAGGTCCTCGGTCGCGTTGTTACCGAGGTACAGACGAAGGAAGGCGAGGTGGGCAACGACGTTCTGAACGGCATCATGAGCAGGACCCGCAGCACCGGCGATCTTGCCGGCGATGTCCTTCGCATTGATGGTGAACACACGAAGCTGGCGCGCAACGGCGACCTCAGCTGACTCGGGCGGAAGGTTGGCGAGGAGCTCCTCGGGGTTCCAGCTGCTGACGACGAGGACGGCGGCGCCAGGCTTGGCATATGCGAGGACCTTGTGACCCTTGAGCAGCGTCTGGTCAAGGATGGCGATGAAGTCGGCCTGGCCCTGGGGCTCCGTCACGAGAGGAACCGACACAGAGATGGGAACAAGGTCGGTCAAGGACTTCGACAGAACAATGCGGTCCAAGCTGATGCCACCCTTCTTCGAGAAGACGTCGTAGTCTGTGAGCTGGCGAGCCTCGATGGACTTGTGGGTCGCGAACATGTCCTCGACGAGCCGCGGAAGCGTCATGAGGACGGAGTTCGGCGCGCCGAAGAACATGAGCTTCTTCGCGAGATCGGATGTCGACTGAAGAGCATGGGATGGCGCAACGCTGGCAAGGTACTCCGAAAGGGCAGCCGGATTGTTCAGGTACTCCTGCGTGAGTGCCGGGGTCACACGGTGGGTCTCGACCTTGATGCCCGCGCCGAGGACACTCCCGAACACATCCGTGAACAACGGCCCCTGCGCAGACGCCACCGGGACATCGTCGAAGACGACGAGGTTCTTCGCAGTCTGTGGGAGGGCGGCGCGGAGCGCGGCCTCGTCCCAGGGGCGGAGAACGTTGACGACGAGAACGCCAAGGCCTGCAGACTTGGCAATGGCCTTGACGGCGAGAGCTAGAGGTCCGTTGGGGGCGACGAGGACAGTCTGCGCAGCGCTGTCACCACTGTACTCGAAGAACGAGTATCCGGCCTTGTCGAGAACATCCTGCACAGTCCCCTCCTCTGTCGCCGCAGACAGTGGGTGGACAGAGTGACCATACTCGCGGCTCGAAGAGTACTGGTCGAAGATGTGGACGACATGCTGAGCGGGAAGCTTGTACGCGATCGCTGCGAAATCGACTGCTTGCTGCGGCGTGGAGGACAGCAGCACGGCGACGTTGTCTGGAAGCAGGGGTAGAGTTGCCGAGAGCGACGCCAGCGTCGGGGACAGGGCGAAGGTCTCGCCAACGGTGGAGACGTTAGGAACCTATGGGGGATCAGCTATTGAGCATCGATCGGTGATGTAATGCTCACCTGCAGGACCAGGCGGCTGGCTGCAGAAGCAGGAGGGAGGTGGGCGAGGGACGGAGCCATCGTGGCCAAACCCGCCGGGGTCGTGTAGGCGGTGAGGACAGCACCCGTGTCATGGCTCGTGCCTTGAGACAGGCGACCGATGAGGCTCAAACCCGCGCCTGCCCTCGTCTGGACGTCGATCGCGGGAGCAGTCTTCTCTAGAGACTGCGTCCACTCCTTGGTAAGCGTACCAAAGCCCGCTTGCTCCGACACATCGTAGATGTAGACAGCGGAGGTGTTGGCCTTGCGAGACGCAACATATTCTATGATATGAGAGGGCTCAATACGAGGATTGCCGTAGAGGACGTTCTGATGAACGGCGCCGTGGATGTTTGAAAACTTGGGGGACGGGGGCGTGGTGAGGGTGCCCGTCGACGAGAGGGGGGTGTTTACGCCAGACATGAAACTGGAGTACATCGTCGACGGCGTGGACGCCATAGGTAAGGGCGAGGGCGGAGGAGAAGTACGGGGAGCGGAGACATGAGTAACACCTTTATATTTTTCTGGCTCGCGATCCGGACGTGCTCAATCGTGATCATGGCGTCTTCCCAACGATCACCGGCCCGCGCCATGTGCGGAGTAAGTCCCCTTTCGGAAAGCGGGTCGATAATTGATGATATCCCCGTACGGTCATTCGTTTAGGCGCGGCGATACCCTTATCGTGCCGGGTCCGCCAGGCGGCATCTCAGAATCCATCGGTACACGTTTATAGTGCGAGGCAAACCCGCCTCGCTTCCCTCTCCTCCTTTTCCTTCTTTCCTCTTGCCACCACAATGTCTATCACCGTCATCGACCACCCCATCGTCCGCGCTGAGCTTTCCAAGCTCCGTCTCACGACCACTTCGCCGAAGGACTTCCGCGAGGTGCGTCCCCTCCCCACCGACCAGCCCCGATCTTCCCTCACAGGACTCGACTGCACTAGGGCATCAAACAAATCAGTTTCATTCTTGGGATAGAAGCTTCCAGGTCCTTGGAGGAGGCTACTTTCCAGGGCGTGAGTCTATGCCCACCGCTCGCCACTCCGAATACCTTTGTGTCCTAACGCGACCCGCAGGAGACGCCCATCAGCGCCTTCACGGGAACCATCATCAAGCCCCGTGTGGGCTTGACGCCCATTCTGCGCGCGGGGCTGGGCATGTCTGATGCACTGGTGCGTGCGCGAACTTCGGCTCGTGCCACCCCGCGTCTCACACTCATTCCGAATTGTAGATTTCCATATTCCCGTACGCAATCCCGTGCCAGAACGCCCTCCCGTAGGCTAACTCTGGACTCAGTGACGCCCCCGTGTACCACCTGGGCATATTCCGCGAGAAGGTCACCCTCCAGCCCGTCGAATGTCAGCCGTTCCCTTGCCATTCCCAAATCACTCATGCGCTGACGATCTTCTTTGTATACGCAGACTATTCCAAGCTCCCTTCGAAGCCGAATGTGGACTTGGTCTACCTTCTGGATCCGCTAATCGCGACCGGCGGTACTGCCAACGCCGCCCTCTCCATGCTTTTGGACTGGGGTATTCCTGGTGGGTATTCGTATAGGACAATCCGAACAAGCCGCTAATAGTGTCTCCAGTCAAGAACATCAAGCTGCTGTGCGTTCTCGCCTCTAAGGCGGGACTTGACAATGTGAAGGCAGCACACCCTGAGCTTGAGGTACGACACACCACTCATGCCTTAACCCACTCCGCTGACCGCAGAATACTTCCAGGTTTGGGTCGCAGGCGTGGACGACGTCCTGACGCAGAACGGACTTATTAGCCCCGGTCTGGGTGACACTGTGAGTAGCCCCACCTATTCCCATCGCCGCTCTTCCTTCCATTCGCGTCCGCATTCGAGTAAGCATCGACTAATGTGCCTCCAGGGCGACCGCCTCTTCAGCACCGTCCGCCCTTGATTGGATTCACGAGCTACGGCCTCGTCTAACTTTGCCGCTTCGCTGGCAACGCATGCCAGTGTACTCATAGACTAAAACCGGGTTAATAGAGCACTCAGGATGTTGTACAGTACAACGCACGAATAGGACATGCATTCGGAATGCCCCTCTGCGCCGCCCGCATGACTCGGATACGTCAGTCCACACTCTGAGTACTCAGACCTCGAAGCCTCTGCGGGTTCACAGCTGCGAACTGCTCCTCCGCCTTGCTCAGTCTACCGATGGTCCGGCTGGGTGGCGGACGGTGGATGCCGTCCTCTGCGGTATTCTTGAAAGCGCGATTAGCTCTCGTCTTCCCCCCGATCCCCAGCGCGGCCATTGCTTCGCATTGCAAGCGGTATCGGCAACGTTCACTGCGGCCTCTTCAATCCCGCCGCATAGAACGCAGATCGCGGTGGCACTATTGCCGCACTAAACATACGTTGAGGAGTAGCTAGGAATTGAACTGGGCGGTTTACAGTCGTCGACGGAGGGTGTATTCGGAATAACTATACGTTCTCGACGCAAACCGTGCAAGGAGATCAGCGAGCTCGCTGCGCATACAAAGTTACAATGGCTTGCGGTCCTGCTCCTGCGGTGGCGGCGCGACGACAGCCGATGGAGGGACATACGTTGAGGCGTAGGAGAAGCAGTGTCGGCTCCCCGTATAATGAAGGAATGCGGTCCCCGCGGCTAGGAAGCTGCGTAAGGTTAAACTCGACCGGGACGGCCTGCCTCGCTGCCATCCAAGCAAGATCTTGAGCTCAAGAACATCAACTGTGACCCGTGACGCCCTGCAATGTTGTCGAGGCCTGCTTGGGACTTGCGCTCGCCGGGTCTCGATGTCGGCTATCCCGCTCGCCCCCATTCGTGAGACCGACCGCTGAGGATGGGGCCCATGCATTCGGAAGAATCGAGTGAACACGCGTGGTCTAAAGGCGGTGATGCGTAAGTCTCGATGGCCTGAACGTAGAGGAATTCGGAGACGGTGGCGTGAGAGTGTCTTCTAGTTAGGACGAGCCGACATGGGCGCTGCGGCTCCCCCTGCGCCGGCGAAGCGACGTCAAGCGTCCGCACATAGCCGACCGGAGCAAGTCCTTCTCATGTTATTCTTCCTCCCTGCGCCCTAAGTCCGTATGTTCGGAGACAGGGAGCAAGCGGGCGCAGGAATAGAGACGCCGCTCACATATCTGCACAGTTTTCCGAATACTCGATGTAATCTGATAACTGTGTCAGTGCATTCGGAAAGCAGTGAATTCGGAGGCTGGTGGTTCGGAAGACAAGAAGAGCGCACCTATCACAGCGAGGTGGGAGTACATTACTCAGGTCAGGCTGTAGCGTCATCTTAGCGAGCAGGGCAATGACCACGGGAGTTGCACGTTATGAGACAAGGTGATCATAAAACCTTCAGGCATATTCGACGACACCAAACCCGCGTAAATGGGCCGACTGAATGACTATTCAGTGACACTGACCATCGTCGCGCTCGTGATGAAGCTTTAGATGACGAGCAACGCTCGGCGGGCGATGGCATTGCGACTCAACAGCTACTATCATCTCCTCTTGTATTCGCACGGCTTCAATAGGTCCCCTTTGGTCAGGATAGCCTGCCAATCCTTCTCTGCCTTCCACTTCCGCGCGACCTTCTTGAACTCGAAGAGCATGAAATGCGAGTTGCTTTCGTCCTGCATGAACTTGATAAGCGCGCGACTGAGGACAGAAGATAACGGTGGGTACCTTGGACTTCAGCTTGAAACCTATGGCGCCCAGAAGGGCAATGAAACGATCGACATCCGTAAAGCGACTTGTCACTTCGGCAACTTTCAGCTCCCCTCTGCATGAAGAGTGAGCGTCGCTACCTCAACGAAAGAACAAAGGCGCGTACCCTTCCTTCAATATTCTCCAAGCTTCCCGGATGCACCCCGGCCAGTTCGTACTCATCAAGCTCAGGGCGCAGACGACCACATCGACAACCTGACCTTCCCCCGCAGACTTCTCTCCTTCTGTGCCCTCGGAGCCTGGTAGCGGTACATGACTGCAAGTGTCCGCCGCCACGACATAGCCACCGTCCGACACCAGGTCGAACGACAATACGGTGAAGGTCTTGGGCACTAGAGCGCGAGCAAGGGCGCCGTCACCACAGCCGAGATCTGCAATGACGGTGCGTGGGGGATAACGGGAGAGGGTGGCGATGTAGTGGTTCACAGGGTTCGTCGGCCATGATTGGACCTGACGACGGAAGCCTGCATGATACTGGTACGCGAGCATCAGTAAGCAAGAGGCACTCGGAGGTTTTAGCACGCACATCTTCAAACATGCGAGGATCCTCCTGCATCATTCCTTTGGCGCGTTCACTGGCATTTTTGTACAAAGTTTCGTTGATTAGCCTGCGGCGCAACCGAGTAAGCGAGGATACAGCGACGCGCAACGTGTATCATACCTAAATCGAGCGCCGTCGAGACTGTCCCGCATGGCTTTCTGCAGAGTGGTGAGAGAGCCACTTGAGGAGCTTTCGGAGGGTGCGTCGTCGGCGTCCAGCTTGGGAGAGGTGCGTGTGGGAGCCGTGCGCTTGTTCTTTCCTTTGCTGCTCGCGGGCTTCGTAGACGAAGAGGCTACCTCAGCGACAGCTGCATCGGGTGTATCTGCAGGAGGCGCACTTTTCATCTTCTTGTGAGGACGTGTAGACGCCTCCTCATGCGTTGCCTTGTGCAACGGCTTGGGCAAGGAGATGCGCTCCTTCTTCGCTTCGTGCGCTTTCGCCTTCTTCTCTCTCTTCTTCTGAGCGCGCTTCTCGAGGAAGGAACGAGCTTGCGGGCTCGTAGTGGGATCGTTCGTGGCGGCTGTTTTGAGGTGTTCCACGAGTTTGTCGAGATTCGCGGGAGGTTCGCTGGCATCGGAGTGTCGCTTGCGCTTCTTCGTATTGGGAGACAGTTCGGAGACAGGCTCGCTGGGTACAGACCAGCCTGGGATGTCGAATAGCGGCATGAGGACGCGACAGTGTTGGTGTTGGAAAAGGCGATCGTCAACGATGTAATGCGCCGGTCTAAGCGCCTGATGGATGATCTGATCGGTAGTAATCACGAGATCAACTTCAACTTGGCTGGACCACTCATGGCGTTCGAGCCAGTGCAATTCGCCTTATTCCTTCGCTTTGTACACGGGTATACCAAGGAACTATGACTACTGTTTTCAATCTGCTTGATGATCCAGGTACACGTTGACGACCTATGGTCTTAATGTCCGCTTTTACACCCTGGGTGTCAACTTTTGCAACAACCGCTCCCTAAACTTCGAAAACCAGGGACGCTGTAGCGCGCTTGTCCACTGACTTCCGAGTTTTTAGTGCCCAGAAATGCTTCGTAGGCCTGTAGCGAATCCCTATAATGTGTACTCCAGTGCGGTTCTACAGCGGCATACAGCGATTTTCACCACCTAGAAGCGGGCGGGGATGCTGCAAGGCAAGAACGCCTGCACGGTGGATCGATAAAGAAGCAAGTTATTGAGTACTTAAATTCTGGCGGCTCTTCCACTCACGTCCCGCCGCTCTTTCCCTCTTGTTACAACCCATCCTTCGCCCGCCACAAGATGTTGAACATGAAAGAGATGGCTGCTGCAGAGGCAGTGAAGGCACGTTCTGTTCCACTTCCTTCGGTATGATCGCCGCTTATAGATCCTGACCAGGAATTTTCCCTGTTGTCGACCCATGCCCTTGATAATGACGATATCGATGGAACCTCGAAGCCCGACCACGACTTGGACACCGCTCCGCTCATTACGCGCGATGCATTCGATACCGGCGACTTCGCTGCGCGCTCTACTCAATATGGTGTGTTCGGTAGCATTGTCTCTACGCAGTAAGTGACGCTCACCACAGCTACCTTACTCCGCCGCTGACCACAATGTTAGTGACAAGAGCAAAGTAGGAACTTCTCTCGACCCTAGGATATATGTCAACACAGTGCGTATCTCTACCTTTCTGTCACAAATCCTGCTTATCTCCTTGCCACAGAACGCACCTCTGTCTGCCATTATTTGTGGCGTGCAAGGTGAGCACAACCTAAAGTCAGGTCTGTCAACGTCGCTAAGCCATCGTAGGGGCGGGCAAGTCCCACACCGTGTCGGTGCTGCTCGAGAACATGTTCATTCCGAAGGTTCCCGAAATTGGCTCCCTCGCAAAGCCCCTGTCGGGCCTCATTCTACACTATGGCGAGGCGGGTGCCAGTGCGCACCCGTGCGAGGCCGCCTCAATTGGGTCGTCGACCATCGCGGGCGTTACGCCACCAAAGATCAAGGTCTTCGTCTCGCCCTCGTCACTCGATCGCATGAAGGTGCTCTATGCTCCTCTGGGGAAGAGCGTTACCGTCCTTCCTCTGCTGCTTACAGAGACTGAGCTCGACGCTGCTGCAATTCTGAGCATGATGGCAGTTGGTGGCGCCGAGGGCGCACCCTTGTACATTCAGATCATCTTGGTCAGTCATGCATCATTCGTCGTCCCATGGCTCGCCAACTTACCCCAACTTTCAGTCTATACTTCGCACCCTCGGTTCGAAGTTCACGTTCTCTGCTTTCAAGACGCAGCTGGATGTGCAAAAGAAGACGTTCAATCCCGCACAACTCGCCGGCCTGGAGCAGCGCATGTCGATTCTGAACGCGTTCATGACGGTAAAGCCGAAGGAAGTTGCTGAGCAGCAGAATCGTTTCGCGGCGGGCCAGGTTACCATTGTCGACCTGTCTGACCTCTTCATCGACTCGGGCTCGGCCTGCAGCCTCTTCGAGATCGTCAATCGTCTATTCATTCGCGCGGACGTCGGCACGGGCAAGGTGCTTCTCGTGGACGAGGCTCACAAGGTATATATCCTTACTGATTTACCTTGTTTTTGTGCTCATGCGGATGACTCGCAGTACCTGTCTACGCACAAGGCGTCCTCCGGCCTAACCAAGTCATTGCTTACCCTCATCCGCGAGCAGCGCCATCACGGTCTGAGAGTGATAATAAGCACGCAGGGTAAGCCTGTCCATCGTTTCTTGTACTGCAAGTCTAACACGTCCTTGCAGAGCCCACTGTCGTCCCGCCAGTGCTACTCGATCTTTGTAGCGTAGCGATCCTTCATCGCTTCTCTTCTCCATCATGGTGGGCTCACATCTGTGACCACGTCTCCGCCGATTTCGCAGGCAGCGACGCCTTTGACAAGATCGTGCGCCTCAAGGTGAGCAATATTGGCTATCCTTCATTCTTCGTCGGTTACTGACGCCCGATATAGACTGGCGAGGCTATCGTGCTGGCGCCATCTGCGTTGGGCATCTTTGGAGGTCTTAAATCGAACGAACCAACGCCGGAGCTCGAGCAATTTGGCCGCCGATACCTCATCACGCGTACGCGCCGGAGGATAACTGCTGATGGAGGAGCGTCAATTCTCGTCGTGTAAACCTTTCTGGTCGATACTGGCGCCTTGGTCTTGAAGAGTGGCAGCGTTCTTGTCATTGCATTTAGTTTTCCCCTTGTTTTCGCCAGCAATTTGTCTTGTACATTCCTCTATCGCTTTGTGTATACCATCTATGTATCTCTCTTTCCCTTGATCAGTGAGAAAGCACAGCATGCAAAGATTGAGGGGGCGCGAGTGTGACCTCAGGCTCTTCCTGTGACGAACTCCAACTTCAGGGATCGGGCCGGATCAGCCATAAAATTGATCGGCGGCTCAAGAGCTGGCGAACGCCACATGCGATCTACGGCTCGTTCATACCCCCAACGATCACAATGGTATGTTCATCACACTGTTGTGAGAGTACCGCATCTGAAGCTCCGTGTAGATTAGGCGACAAGTACGCGAAAGGCGGCAATATGTCTACGCCAAATCCTTGGAAGCGCAGGAGCGCCAAACCTATGAGCGCAAGCAGCAGCTGAAGGATGCGCTCGCGAGCGGGAAGCCGCTCCCTACTGAGCTGAAGAAGGATGCGAAGAGCATGGGGAAGGATCTAGCGTATGACGAGGCGCAGGAAGGTGCGTCTTGATGTCGCTCGTAGTGGACGCAAGCTGAGGGGAACCACGCGCAGAGCCCTCCACACACATTGACAACGAGTACTCAAGAGCGGGTATCCAGGATCCGAAAATTGTCATCACCACTTCTCGAGATCCAAGCTCGAAGTTGCTGCAGTTCGCGAAGGTGGGTGCTTCCCCTCGCCATACAATGTCCGATCGCTGACACCGTCCAGGAAATGCGCCTGGTCTTCCCCAACGCCCATCGTATCAACCGTGGAAACTATGTCGTCAAAGAGCTCGCAGACGCATGTCGCGCCAACGACGTTACGGACCTGATAGTCCTGCACGAGCATCGAGGCGTGCCGGACGCCATGATTGTCTCCCACTTTCCCCACGGGCCTACCGTGTTCTTCACCCTGAACAATGTCCTCCTCCGACACGATATCGCATCGTACAAGGAGTCGACAGTCTCCGAACAATACCCCCACCTGATCTTCGACAACTTCTCGTCCCAGCTTGGCCACCGAATACGCGATGTGCTGAAGTACCTCTTCCCCGTGCCGAAGGAGGACAGCAAGCGGGTGATGACCTTCGCTAACGAGGATGACTTCATCGCCTTCCGGTGAGCTCTGCTCGTTGCGCCCTTTATGCTCATGCTGAGACTCCATGCAGCCATCACGTCTTCGTGAAGCATGGCAAAGAGGTCCAACTAGCCGAAGTCGGCCCACGATTCCAGATGAAGCGTAAGTCTACCTATCCCCGATATTTCGAACCACACTGACTCTCGGTTTAGCGTACGAGATACGGCAAGGAACGATCGAGCAGACGGAGTCCGAGCGCGAATGGGTACTCGCCCACTACGCTCGGACGTCCAAGAAGCGGAACGTGCTGTCGGGCTCAGGATCTTACTCTGGCCCAAGGAAACACACGCAGCCCAAGAGGATCAAGCGATGAGCCGTATCTCTGTTATACTATCGCTACTTCCCTGTGTCTTCGCTACGTCTGTATTTTTGTTCAATTTTTTACTGTGGTGCATCCGTCTGCGTCTCTACTACACAAAGTACTTCGTTGGAATTATTGAATGGTATGTGGTGATAGAGTAGAGGTTCCGAATGTAAGGCCAAGTATACGAGTCTAGAGTAGGGGTTCCTCGCGATCTGCACTTCTCTCTGCAGCGTCGCCATTAGGCCTGAGCGTGACTGCTCAGAAGTCCTCATCCGTAGTAAAGTTACTGACGCACTGTCAGCAAGACGTGGTGAAAGATGCTATGTGGCGCACTCACCATGCGCTTGCTGCACGAGACTGTCCCGCGGACGCTGACTGCTGCACGTTGGCTTTGGCGTACTCTGACACCCTCTTCTCGAAGAAATTGGTCTTTCCTTGCAGCGAGATCATATCCATGAAGTCGAAGGGGTTGGTAGCGTTGTAAATCTTGTTCTGACCGAGGCTGTATAACAATCGGTCGGCAACGAATTCTATGTATTGTCGCATGAGGGCGGCGTTCATGCCGATTAAGGAGACGGGGAGAGCATCTGCAGATATCACGTTGAGACGAGCACAGAAACGAACATCGAGGTCAACGTACCAGAAAGGAACTCATGCTCTATGGCGACTGCCTCCTTTACTATTCTCTGTACCACAGAGGGGTGGGGCCGGTGTCGCAGATGGGAAAATAGGAGGCAGGCAAATTCGGTGTGCATGCCTTCGTCGCGACTGATGAGTTCGTTGGAAAAGGTGAGACCAGGCATAAGCCCGCGCTTCTTCAGCCAGAAGATCGCCGCAAAGGAACCGGAAAAGAATATCCCTTCCACAGCCGCGAAGGCCACCAGTCGCTCCGCAAATGTCGATGATTTGTCGGATATCCATCGAAGGGCCCAGTCTGCCTTTCGCTTGATACATGGAATTGTCTCAATGGCAGCGAAGAGGTGATCTCGCTCTTGGGGATCCTTGATGTAGGTGTCGATGAGTAAGGAGTAGGTTTCCGAGTGGATATTCTCCATCATTATCTGGAAGCCGTAGAAGCAGCGCGCTTCAGCTGCCTGAACCTCGTTGGAAAAGCGCTCAACGAGGTTCTCGTTGACAATTCCATCGGAGGCGGCGAAGAAGGCCAGGACGTGTTTGATGAAATTGCGTTCGTTGTCATCAAGTCGTTCCGTCCAATCACGCATGTCGTACGCGAGAGTGATTTCTTCCGACGTCCAGAAGGATGCCTGAGCCTGTTTATACATGGCCCATATCTTCCGAACCTGTTAGCAGCGGGGCAATGGATGGGGAGGACCAGGAAAACGTACATCGTCGTACTGGATAGGAAATAGAACAAATCGTCGCTGTGACTCTCGTAGGAGTGGTTCATCTTCTGCTCTGTAATCAGCACAAAGAACGGCCAGCAACAAGAGGATCACCTTCTGTAGTAGAGTTTGCGCTACCCGCTGAGTAGCTTGCTTGTGCGGCTTTGCAGGAAGCTTCGTCGGCGTGTTTGTCGGTATCCTTATCGTTCAGGGAGAGGGTTCGCATAGCTTCATTCATCTGCGAGGTGGTCAGAGCAACGACGAGAGCAGCTCATGGGGTCTTACCTGATCTGTGGACATGGCGGGCGATAGATAATGAGCGTGAGGCAGGGGCTACCCTGAAGGTGGTGGTCGGTGACGAAGAGTCTAACAGTGACTGACTAGTCCGTTGGAGTGATCGAGCTCGGAACCGAGGTCACATGAAAAACACGGTCACGGGAATTTAGGGGGTGGCGCGACACCGAACACTTCGGAGCGACGCCTTGAAGAGGGCGCCATTCGTAAGGCCAAGCAGTCATCGATTCAACTATGCATGGTGACTCTGCCCTAAGCGCTTCCTGGCGGACCGACTGGAGAGCAGGCTCGATAACAATCTCGGCTTGAGCATCCTAATCAAACAGCTAATCAGCTTTCACTTCAGCTGTATCGTCATGCACTCACCAGGACCGTCTCACTCGCAGCGCCTGCCAATGAATCAGCTACGCATGGCACTGGACTTGCGCTCGACAGCGTATACACGTATTCTGCCTGCTCGATGATTGGGCTCAGGACGCCTTCCAAGCTGCTGCTGCACACCAATGTCAACGGCAATGATGTACTCCCGGACATGCATTCATATATCGATAGCGCTGACCTTCAAGCTCTGCTTGCAGTTCTCAGGACTTTCCCGTAGGACAAATAGCAGCGCAAGGTGGACGTACCGTCTTCAGAAATCACCGACCCTTCATCCTGTCTGAGTCGTGCGGCCAAATCACTGCGCGGAGCTTGCCCAGTTGCCCATCTCCGGGCCGGCAGTGCATCCTTGACAGCGCTGGGAAGAGACATTCGTATAAAACCTGGACGAGGTGAGGGCGGTCCTCAGCATCCTCAGGGATACGCAGCTTCTCCCCATTACCACAGGTGCGTATCATCCCTTTTCCAGACCCAAAGTAGCGCAGCTCACCCGACCACAGAACAATCACCATGGGTGCCAGCCAGAGCGTGTACATGGCCAACGCCTCCGGCCAGAACATCTATGTCATGGCCTCCCTCAACCCCGACTGGGCCATCGTCGACTTCATCACCGACATCGGGCTCCTGTTCGTCGGCGTCGAGGAGCTGAAGGCCGTCACTATGCTCGGCGAGCTCCCCGAGGCGCTCGTCACCATCCGTGACCTGTACGAGTTCCTCAAGATCGCCGCCAAGATCCTCAGCGGCACACTCTCCGTCGGCAGCCGCGGGCCCGAGGCCGCGCTCGCGCTCGTCGACGCGTTCAGCAAGACGTCCATCCCCATCGCGTACGGGGACTACAAGAACGTGAAGGACGAGGGGGTGCTGGGGATGTATCTGAGCGCGTCGGGGATTGCGGGTCTGCTGGGGGCGTCGACGGTTAGTGTGATGGTGCTGAGCGGGGACGGGAAGCAGCTTGCGATGTATAACACGGGGTCGGATGACTCGTGGATTGCGACGGATCGCCAGGAGATCGTGCGCTCGAAGTATGGGTCGATTTGGCAGCAGGATCCTGATGCAGGCAGGGAGAGCTGGCCCGTGCAGTAAAGGATTGCGGGCTCGCGTGCAAAGCACATTGGCAGCAGCTCGAAGAATTGTTGTACATCGGTTATGTTGTATAGTTACATTAGTCTGAAGCAGTATAAGAGCGTTACTGAGAGGATGGGTTATTGCACAGAGAGCTCACTAGAAGGCAAATACAGGTATAGTTCGTTAAAACATCAGTTGACATCTCCTGGCGTGGCCCTCCTCGCGGTATTGTCAAGGTCGAGCCTTCGGATCACCGCCAGCCTCCAGATTGGCGTTGTAAAGGACATTCCTCTTATACTTCATCGCGAGCTCAGCAGCCGTCTTCACAGGGGCATTCGCGCGAATGATTTCCTGCAACGATGATCAGTATGACATAGCTTGCACTTCCCTCACCGAAATATCTCTCCCTTCCGCCATATGTTTCACCTCCTTGACGTGATACTCACATCCATACATGTATTGACCTCGTGAAAGGCTTCATTGCACTTCGACTGTCGAGTACTGTTAGCTCTACAGCACGGCCTCGTCGGGGGAGGGTGGCGCACCACGTTCTTCAAGATACGCTGCAGCAAAGCGGCCTGACGCTCAGCGTGTGGGTTCTCCATAGGCAGGATACGATTGAGAGAAAGAGTCGTGCAGGGAGGAAGGAGTGCGAGCTGAACGGCCTGATCAGTTGAACGCGGTCACGGTCAGGAGCAAGTCGTGTCGACGCGATGAATGCGCGACACGGGCCGGCTCTATTCGGCCCGGACGCCAATCTGAGCGCGCACAGCGGCACACAAACTAGGTTGTGCTACATATCCTCACGCTTGCCGCTACATTGAGATGATTGATTCAACTGAGAAGGATGAGTAAGTGGAGGGTACAGTATGGTAGTAGTAGAGCTTGTGATGGTACGATAACAACAGAGATGCAGAGACAAGCAGCAATTTGATGAGTCCTTTTGACGAGCGAAAAAGCAGCATAGGCGCACAGCGAGTGAATGGATCAGACAGCCGACCCAGAGCTATCCGACGTACTCCCTTGACTCCCCTTAGCGTGCAGCACGCAACTATCTGGCCGTCCCTCGACATTGAGCACGTTGCTCTTCTTCGCCGCGCTATTCTCCACATCCCTCGTTGCCCACACGGACGTCAAGATTACGGTCTGATCGCCTCTGCTAGAAGAGTCGGCGAGCTCGGGCGCGCACCACATCAGGGCAAGGCGGAAGGCGAAGCTGACAATGACGCTCATGCTGGCGACGACCATGCTGACGGACGTCTGATAATTGAGGTCAGGTCGGCGACTCAAGAGCGCAAGACAGGAAACCACTAGCCTCAAACGCGGCCGCGAGCCACTGATCAAGATATCCCTCGAACCATATGCAGTACGCGTGCGCGAGGGAAGCCTGAGGATTGTCAGCCAAGGTGTCCTCCTGGAGAACGAAGGTACTCACCACCGTTGTGAGCAGACAGGTCGAAAAGACGATGATGAGTCGCACTCGCTGCGGCATGGGCAAGTCAGAATACCAAATCATGCGCGCCGGCGTTAGACATAGAATAAGGTCTGTGAATATTGCAGCTGATAGATATAACGGTCTTAGCATCTTTGATAGCTCAGCAAAGGGAAGTCGTACTCGTAAGCTGCGCGATCGCGACGTTTTTCCCAAGGGGGCATTGCAGCGTCGTCGTCTTCCACTCGGGATGCTTTTCGCAGTGCACGATGGCCTGCGTCGTCAGGAAGAGCCACATCGCGAAGAAGGCAGTGGCCATGGCACGCAGCCAATTGTCGTAGGTCGGAGTGATGCGCTTTATCGTGCAAAGGATAGAAAATCGGGAGGACCAGACGCATGCGTAGAAACCAGTATCGGCTCTGTGAGCGTGGAGGTCAGTAATGGATGGGTCAGCCGAGCCGCGGACGCACAGATAATAAGCAGTAACGACAGTCAGTTGCGACATGGAAGCTGGGCGAAGAAAGAAGTCAACAAGGCACAAGATCTCAACGTTCTGCGGGTGGCATACCAGTGGGATGGGTGATGATGAGCACGCCAGTGAGCATCAATGCACCGGAGGCGATGGAGAAGCTGGCCCAGAAGTCGTCCCAGCATAGCAAGCCGTCATGGACACGTATGGCCAGTCGGCACAGTGTGATGACAGTGGCTATGGTAAAGAGCGCAATGCCGGCATCTGAGGACGTACGGTTCAAGCCATCGCAGAGATGAAGGATAGAGTGGAGCTCACCGTGCACCACATCGACCGTGAGCATCTCGTCCTCGCCTCAACTCGTCGATCCCGAGAAGGGTGGTGGTTGTGGTCAAGCAGCAACAACCGCGGAGGAATGTTCCTCGGTGACTTGGTTCGGGATTAAGCTTCAGCTAGCGTGGACGCAGAGTGGACCCGACGTCTCCCCGACTTGAGGCGCTTATGGCAGCTTTATGAGGTCTCCGCGGCTGCTGTGGGTATTCAAGGCGGCGAATGGGTCTGCACCATGCGAGCGGTCACCGCAGTCGGGCACTAAGGGCAGCGGCGGACATGAACGATGTGAGACTGGCGCGAGACATTGAGTGTGTATTGCACATGCGGGAGCGAGGGTGATCATCGGTCTTCCCATTCCCCTCGATCTCCTCGGCTTTGGGGATGGAAGGCGCAAAGTCAGCGCCGATCTTCAGGTCGGAGTGAGACAGAGGACACCGCGGGACGCGATCGAAGCGGCGCAGGTAAGTCGGCCCGGACACCGCGGCATCAAATGGCGGCCCGAAGTTCAACTTGTCCGCGCCAGCCTCCGGCCACCATCCCGCCGCCATGGTCGTATCCATTGCATATCCAACAGGCGCCTCTGCGACAACCTGCGGCTACTGTAGTCCCCCAGGAGAGCGCAGCGCGAGTGCATCTAGCTACCACTCGGCCGGATTGGAGGCGATGCAGCTGTCCTGTCCGGTATGGACCCTACAATTCACTAGCTACAGACTTGTCAATAACGAGACCCGTCAAGGTGTACCAAGCCATGATTGACCGTGGCTGGAGGCGCTCCGGTAAACATAGCCGACCCCACGTCCGCGCAAGGCACTGATGATTGTCGCCTCAAGGGACGTTCTGCTATAAACCGGACCTAAGAAGGTCCTGCTGCCCACAGTACACAATAAGGTCGAGTCTGCGACGTAGATCGACGTATCACACCTGACCTGACAGATAGGCTAGACGCGCGTGCATTCAAGCCTTCGAAGAGCCACAAGAAGCTCCTACGGAGGTGAGCCCTGTTTGATCAGCCTCGTCCATATGTGTGGCGCTTGATAGGCTCGACTTGTAGGTGGAATAACCATATACTACACGGGAAGCCTGGTGATGCCATGGATGTCGACTCGTCTACGAAGTACGCTGCTCTCAGCGGGAGGTACGCCACATTTTGACCTCACCTCATAGATGCGTGAATAAGCAAAAGCTCAAGCGCCAGCCCCCATTCTCTCTCATCTCTGCGATCCATTCATCGGAGGCCGGATTTCACGGAGTCGAACAGCCAGCGCACACATTCGAAGTGCGTCCGCGACGTGGCTGACATCGGCACCGACTGAATGACACCTGGTTCAGACGACATTGGAACGCTCGTCATACACGGACGAAAAATACGCACTCTATGAGAAATATCAGCGGGAGATACATCATGACACAAACAACACTCCTCGAGGGTTCAAGCGTTTCCTTGTAACCTCTCCGCTCGGTGTAAGTCACGAGTTTCATTGTCATGTTCCTTTCCCTGGACATTGATTGACTTGGCATCGACCGGGCAGGCGTCACCAATCCCGTATGGATCTGCAGCACCAGCGCACTTGCCCACGACGTACGGATCGTATCACCAGCTCTATCGAGTCGACGGGAAGTTGATTGCTATGGCCGTGCTCGACATTCTCCCCAACTGTGTATCAAGCGTCTACTTCATGTACGACAACGACTGGCGGGAATTCTCCCTTGGCAAGGTTAGTAAAATGTGCCGTTCGTCAATCAGTCATCCATGCGCTAAATACTTTCCCCGTCTAGCTGAGCGCTATGCGCGAAGCTGCGCTTGCGAAGGAAATGAAGGAAGCTGGCGCGGAGGGGATGGCGTATCTGTACATGGGTAAGTCGAAGGTCCTTTCAACTCCTCGTCCAGACCTTCATATTCATTTGACAGGCTTCTACATCCACTCCTGTCAGAAAATGCGCTACAAGGGCGAATACGCTCCCTCCTACCTTGCCGACCCGGAAACCTACGAGTGGTATCCGATTGAGCAGTGCAAGAAGTTACTCGACAACCACCGCTACGCTTGCTTCGCCCATCCGGAGCATTCGATACAAGGGGATTACGACGGTGATGACGGTGAGCCCTGGTGGTCTCGTCTGCGGCAACGCTGACAGTGGCTCGTGAAGATGCACCGGTGGAGCTGCCGAGCGAGGAGGACCAGGCGGACATTCAGCTCGTCGGTGAGATATTGGGAGGGACAATGTACACAGTACCGCTCAAGGTATGCATCCGGATTTTCCCTGTCTATATATCGCTGACATTTTGCCGCGTAGGACTACACAGAATATTATCCTGTTTCGGAGCTCGCAGAGTGTATCAACGGCCTTGGCTTGGACGTCGCGAAGCAGGTCGTCTTTGCAGTTTGAGCAGCGCTTGTTGGGATTCAATTGATGATCATATAGCAATCCCTTCATATTCATAAATACCAGTCGTGGTGTCTACAGTATCTACACGTGCTAGAAGTACAGATGCAAGAAGAACAAGGCGCGCTGTCATGCGAACAACAGTGTGTTAAAGGGTATCAAGTCCAATCTGGTCGTCTAAAGCAAAGTCACAAAAAGCCCTCTAGTGCTTCGTCGAGAAGAGATATGAAGAGATCAGACGCGAGATGGATACAAGACCTGCCATGAAAGAGGTTGGCGCTGCCGTGGTAGGAGCTGAGGCAGGAGCCTGAACGGACATCTTCTCGGTCTTGAAAGCGGCAGCCTTCTGCTCCCTCTCGCGCAGAATTTGGTTTTGAATGATGAGGAGCAAGCCGTAGATCGTCTCAGTGCGCTACCCAGGGATAATAGTCAGTGTTACTCCCCTCAACAGTACCATTCATACTCACCGGCATCGGCACACCCCGCTCCTTCGCCAGCCTGATCACCTCGCCCCATATCACCTCGACCTCAATCGGGTCACCGTGCTCGATGTCCACCATCGTGCTCGGCCTGTGCGCAGCCTGAGGCGTCGACTGACCCTTGCGTGTCATCTCCAACGCATCGGCGGCCCAGGTAGCAGGCAAGCCGTCGACAGAGTCAGGCGTGAAGCCCAGGGTGTGACCGAGGGTGACCAACTCGTCCAAGACACCCTTGATTACGGGGATCGAGTAGTCTTGAATTTGTTGCGCGGTCGAGGGGTGAACGTAGATGGTATACGTGTGCGAGGGTTCCGAGGGTGGTGGGCGGAAGAATGAGGTGAAGGGATATCTGAAAAAAGATCAGCATCTGTTCACTGAGCGACAGAACAGAAAGAAATTCACCTCGTCAACGCACATATGCCCGAGAACGTGACGTTCAGCGCATTCTTCGCGTACTTCCGCCTTTGTATCTCGGGCACGATCTCCGCCGTGCCACCGCCAGACACGAACATATCCGCGAGCTCCTCGAGCGCTGCCTGCTCCTCCGGCATATTTGTTGTCGTCGTCATGTCTTTATGACGATACACGCCCATGACGACCTTGTCCATGTCGTTGTGCTGCACGACATTTGGGGAGAGCATGTTGGCCATGATGTAGAGGGCGGTGCTGATGATGCGAGGCGTGGGAAGTGAAAGGGCGGAAAGGGCTTCGTATAGATCCTTCTCAACGTTCAAGCCGTTCTGGAGGAGCACATAGGTGGGTTGGGGGAAGCGGTCGGTGTAGGGCGAAGAGAGGAGGGGAGCCAGCATCTTCGACGTCTTGATGACGTCCGGAACGCATTTGGTAGCGATGAAGACGTGTGAGTATGGCCTGTCGGCGGCAGCGGTGACAGACTTTGCCACTGGAAACGAGGGTTAGACTATGTTGTAACTCTGCGTAAGCGCCTTACCCCGATATGGCCTCCACCCCTGGATCTCGCCGAACTTCAAGCTCTTGAAGTGTACACCCTCGTCTATAGAGATTGTCAGCAAAGAGGTCGACCAGACAGATAGCAGCACATACTCTTGACGAGGTCATGGTTGCTGCGAGCGACGACGGTCAAGTTGACCTTGCCAGACTTCTGCAGTATCATCGAGTCTGCCACGCCAAGTTAGCACGGCGAACACATGCAGAGGGTTCTCGCGGTCGAGCCCACTGAGCGTGCGCCGACCTATTCATGATCCAGAAGGTACTCACATACTGCGCCAACAGCGCCAAATCCCACCAAAAGGACATCCTTGCGAGGAGAAGGGGCACCCATAACGACTGAATAGGCGCGGAAGCAGGTGGACACGTGAGGATGGCAGTCAGGCGCCCACAAAGTTGGAGTTCGGGAACACGGAAACGCGTCTGGCGACGTCAAAAGCAGCGGTCTACGAGAAGGAAGCAGCTGAGAACCCTTTGACCGCGCCTCCATCCTTTATACGCCCTGCCTCGCGCGCGATACCTGGCCGGATCTTGCAACAAGGGCAAACATAGAATATCTAATCAGCCGTGATGTTTGTTGGAAATCAGCCATGTTGTCCTTCGGAACATGGAATGGCGCACCTTTCTTACTCTCGCGAGCGCAACAAGATCCGGAGGACGCGAGGGCGTCGCATCGCGCGCGTCTACCGCCCGCAGTGGGATCAGTTGCGTGCCGCTCTAAGCCGAGTTAACCCGCGTGTAACAGCGAAAGGTTGTACGCGATCGACGCGTTGTCAGATTACGACGCGTCTGCAAGGCAAGACGCGTTTTATACATTGCAATTGTCAGCCACGCCTCCTAGAACTGTTGCGCGAGCCATCGAGCAGGGCCAGAGCACTGAGACGACGAGACGACGGTGCCTCTGAACCAATTTGCATGCTGAGCAGGACTGCTCCGCGTATCCCATAAGCCATGACGAGGACCTTCAAGTTGCGTCTTCACCCATTGATTTGTGTATACACATACACGCAAGAATCAGTCTACAGTTCGTCCAAAGGTCAGTTTAAGCTACAATGTTCGAAATCCAGAATATAGAAACAGGCTTCTCGAGTTTCGAAGAACTGCACCCTCCCCCCAGCTCGGTCTAGCGGCGATGCGGGGAGGACCCAGGACGCTCGAAAGAGGAGCGGATGCCGCCATAGTATAACACATACTGTTGATACGTCCCAAAGAAGCGGACGGTGGTGATCATGGTAACAGAGCAAAAGAGGGCCAAGGTGAGCCGACTGATATGCAACGACCAAGGCTGAGCACTTACAAGAGTACGCCCAAACACCGATACGGAGCACTATACAAGGCCATCGTACAGTGATAATGCCTGTAGGCGCATCAGCGAGATTCATGTCAATTGAGGATTGATTACGAACCTGTACGATGGTGGGGTCTTGCTTGCTACCCTCCACGAACTCGTCGTACGTCAGCTTTGCATCCTTATCTCTGTCCATGTTGCGGAAGATCTTGTCGACACGCTGTAATTCTGAGGTTGAGCAACGCGTAATGAGGGGAAGTCGCGCCTGAAGCCGACCTTCTCTGGCGTATCTTCGTCGGATGGTAGCTTGACCATCTCGCCGGTCATCTTGTATATTGACCGCACGATTTGAAGCATCTCGTCGTATGTTATGGTCCCGTCCTTGTCGATGTCATACAGCTGGAATGCCCCTGCGCTCACGTCAGCATTCAGCCACAATCCTGAGATGCCGATCGCGTCGAGACGCGTAAGATTGGAGGGACGTACACTTGAGCTTCTCATCTAGGCGACCCCGGCTAGTGACACTGAGTGCACAGATGAACTCCTTGAAGTCGATGGTCCCGTTCTTGTTCTCGTCGAATACGTTGAAGACGTAGTCTGCGAACTCGCCTGGATCGCCGAACGGGAAGAATTGCTTATATATCCGCGAGAACTCCGCCTTATCGAGTTGTCCTGAGGGACAGTCCTTGCGGAATCCCTTATACCTGAGGGGGACGTGAGCGAGCGGATGATGTCAAGCGAGTAGCGGCGGACCATTGCTGGAGTTCCTTCTTGTCGACTAAGTCGCGATCAGGAAACGAGCACGGCAGAGACAGTTGGCAGCGCACAGTATGTGTTCTTCTGAAGGTCTGCGAGCTGCTCAGGCGAAAGCTTGGACTGCGATTTGCCCATCGTGGAGGACGTCGAGGGAGGTGCAACAATCGGTCACTACGCTGCTGTGGAGTGACGCTCGTCACAAATACCTCGGGCCGAGGCTCCGGCTGCGGGGCGGACTTTAAGTTTGGCGGCGCGACGGGGTCAGCATCGTGGTCGCGCCTCGAGGCGTATAAGCGTTGAATGGATTAAGTCGTGGCATTAAAGGCATTGGGACTCTTACATCGGTACAGGCATCTCCTTTCCTCGTCCTGCTCGTACCCCAGTTGACCGGCTGCGTCGCCAATGCTCTTCATCACTAGGCCACACGCTTTTACGCACAGATCTAATCAAAACGCCCTTTATCAACCTCCTCTCTCTTCCGATTTCTCCTCCCGCGGCCACGCCATTTACGATTTCCTCAAGTCTCCCTCTCGTCCTCCTTGACCACCTCCCAAGATGTGTTATGCCCATGGGTCCATCGATCAGGCAGTAAAGACCTGCCCAATGTGCAGAGTTTTCCCGCATGGCCGGTGTGTTCCACGCCTCGCCTTTGTCTCCGTGCATACTGACGGAAGCATTTCAGCGGCTGTCCCCATACACGAGAGGTCTGCAGAAACAGAGCCAATCACCCACGATGCGATGTGGTCTATATCAAGAACGCCGAAGGTGCGCATTCTTGCTCTTCGCTAGACATCGCCAGCCCACGAGGCCGGGCGCTTACGCCGCATTGCAGTCGACACGTTCAACGGCTGCGGCTATTGCAAGGTGCGATACTTCTTCTATCTCCTCACCAGTGATTGAGCTCGATCCGCAGTGGGCGAAGACCAACCCCCCTGCCAAGACCGCAGGCTACAACAATCAAGGGTGGCCTGGATGCTGTCGCCCGCCTACCCCCTCCGAGGTCAAGCACATCCCCGCTGCGGACTGGAAGGCGGTCAGCATTGTTCACCACGTCCCAGTCCCTGCCGACGTGCGTGCCTTGCTCGACCGTGCCGCTCCGCCGATGCGTACACAGTCTGGCAGCCCTACCGGTCGCAGCCCTACCAGCCCTAATGTCCCTGGAAAGGCGATGCCCCAGCTGGATCGTCGGAATAGCAATCCCTCCCCTAACCCGCGGCCGAAGTGGGGTTCGTCGACGCCACCAAAGACCCGCAGCCCGCAGCTTCCTCGCAGTGGCTCGGCCGAGCGCGAGAAGATCTCGAGCAAAGTCAATGACCCGGACGCACCTCTGCGCAAATCCAGCGAGCACGATGGTACCCCACGCCGTCAGGCGACCACAACCAAGTCTTCATCGACCGTGCCTGTGTCTCAAGTGACCTTCCACTCGAAGTCGGGCACTCCGCCAGGTTCGAAAAGCGGGAGCCCGCCGGGAAGCCTTGCGTCCGTCAACACTCGAAGTAGCGAAATACGTGGTTCCATCAAGCGGGCGTCCACCGAACGTCGTGGTACCATCACTCAATCTGCTGCGCCCCAGGTGTCACTGTCTTCGACTCTCGCCACGCTCAGTATCGCGAAGAGCAGCCATTCTTCATCCAAGAACTCCTCGTCGTCTCATTCATCTGGCGCGTCATCTATCTCCGACACCTCGTCATCCAGCGGTAGCATGACGGACGGTACCGTGACCAGCGATGGAGGCTTCACTGATTACCTCTCGGATGATGTGAGTACTCGGCCTTCTGACAAAGTCCATCGTTGACCCTGCCGATAGAGCGAGGAAGAGCTCCAACGCCAGGCAGAGGCGCGCGCGGTGCTAGTGGCTCAAGAGGAGGCCCTTCGCGCGCAGGCCACGGCGGAGGAGATGGAATTCAAGGCGGCGCGCCAGCAGCTCGTGCATGTCGACCTGCGCCCTCCCCGCAGCTGGGCGAACCCCAGCCGCGAGCGCGTCGCGCAAAGGACCTGACAGCCGACCGGTGCACAGGCATAACACGAAATGGACAAAACTTCGTATACAGGGCAAACAAGATCTATCGGATGACGATCACGAACCTCCTTGCCTCCCAATTATGGGTGCTTGGAAGGTTTCGTATGTCTCCTTACTCACTGACATCCCACTATATATCAGCCAACTGGCCAAAGTCGCGCTCCCTTCTCTCACTAAGTCCACCATCTCACGAATATACCGATCCCCATCTATGTCTGACTCTTACGGTTATATGCTTTCCAGGTTGCTTTTCTCGCGTCTACACACCACATACGTCTACTGTTGTCACACTCGAGGCATATCTGTATCTATACCACTCTTTCTCCTCTCTAGCAAGGTACCTACGTGTACTACAGTGTACTTGTGCGGTTTGAACTTGATGGATTGGCGTGCAAAACATGACGTGACACTTGAACAATGGGCTGTGACAATCACGCCAAGTTCATCGGCGCTCGGGCCGCGAACCGTACTCTGCTCATAACGGTGGTTGCTGGCCTGTGGTCAACCAGTAGCCGTGTGCTCGGCTACCCCAATTTCAAGAGCGGACGCGGCGCATAGGCTGGCATGAACCTCGCCAGACATTCTATCTCGTCGATCAATCCAATCCGTGTTCTGGATGCACGCTTCGACCCTGCTTGCGAGATCTTCACTGCAGCCACTCCAGCAGGCTTCGCCGTCTATCGAACATGTCCTCTTGAGCTCGTGCGTAAGCGAGGTGCGCCATAGAGATGCCTGTAGTAAGAATGTGACTAATTTTGAATAGAGCTCACCGGCGGGACGTTGTCCATGGTGGTTCCCCTGCATACTTCCTCGTTGTTGTTCCTCGTAGGAGGTGGTCGCAGCCCGCTCTATCCGCCCAACAAGGTGGTCTTCTGGGACGATGTACTTGGCGCGGAAGTTGCAGAGCTTGAGTTCAGGGAGCGTGTGCGCGGTGTAACTTGTCGTCGGGGATGGCTGGTGGTCGCGCTGCGGCGACGCGTCGTGATCTTCCAACTCAGCAAGGAGGATCCCCAGATCCGGCGGCATAGTGAATACGACACCTGCGAGAACTTGAAAGGTGTGTTGCTGGATCCATCGATGGACCGTTCAACTAATGAGAGACAGGACTCGCCGCCCTTGCTACGGCACCACACTCCACATTACTTGCTATACCCGGCCGACAGATGGGTCATGTTCAGCTTATTCACCTTCCACCATGCGCACCTCCTCCACCGACACCCAGCAGACCCGCACCTCCGCTCAAGCCACCGCCAACCCCGAGCAAACGACCCGTACCCATGATCATAGCTCACGACAGCGGCCTCACGACGCTCACGGTGCCGCCTTCGGGCAGATTGTTGGCCACAACATCTTCTCGAGGTACACTCGTGCGAGTCTGGGACACGCACTCCGGCAAGAAAGTTCGCGAGCTGCGGCGCGGCACAGACAAGGCCGATATCTATGGCGTAGCATTCCGGCCAGACGAACAGGAGCTATGCGTATGGAGCGACAAGGGAACAGTCCATGTGTTCACGCTCGGGGCTGACTCGGCTAATCGACAATCGTCCTTCTCGCAACTCTCGCAATATCTCACCCTGCCGAAGTATCTGAGCTCAGAATGGTCATACGCTCAGTACAGAGTGCCAACGCAGTCGTCGCACATCTCTATATCGAACGCGGGAAAACATCCTGATGGTGAAAACGTGGATGAAGAGCGATGCGTCGTCGGCTGGATCGAAGTGGAGGTAGCATCATCGATACCCTCTCCGCCTCAGAGTCCGACGGATAGAGCCCAAGCTCGACGCTCCTCCGTCGGCTCTGTCAACCCCGGAATACCAAGACACGAATACCAGCTCATCGCCCTCACCTACACCGGTGGCTGGTATCGATTAGCTCTTCCAAAGATCATACCGTCATCGTCGACATCAACCTCGGCATCTGCACGACCAGGCCTTGCAAGCATACCGGCGCGCCCAGCATCCGTTATTGGCTCACCGCCGAGGGCTGGGTTAGCCAGATCAACAAGCGCGTCTTCGACGACCGGCCGACATGACAGGGGGAAGGGCAAGGAGCGCGAGAAGGAGAAAGAGAGCACGGACTGCATCTTGCTGGAGTTCAGGCGATACGGCAGGTGGGATGGATGGGCTTGACGGAGACTCCTCGAGCTCGTTGTTCCTTCGAGTGTGGACATATGAAGTACCTGGCCACGCATTATTTCGACGGATCTGTACGTTCACGCATGTTTTTCACGACTCTCATTTGCACGCTTATTTATGACCGCCATGCTTTCTCACATGTTGTACACCATGTATCTGGACATACCTGTATCGATTTAGTAGGCGCTGGGTTTGAGGATGGCTAGGAATTCACGCGCTGGTTAGATAATTCTGTCGGAATGGATTACATCTGAATGATCAAGGAGCAAGGACGTGAGGATATCGCACGTCCCCTCGATGGAGATGAAAACGCATCTCAGGATGGACAGTAGCGCAGCACCCCGCCCGCCAGTCGCGACGCTTGTCAAGTCTCGATCACGTGACAATACTTCTACTTCCTCCGAACCGCCATTCGCCGTTCGCGCTCCACTCCTTCGAGCGTCCACATCGATTTGCGCCCTCCTCTTTGCTTCCTCTTGTTGACCTGGCGACTCGCTCATTGCCATGGGCCCGAACTGTGACCCCCTTGATCCAGGACTGCTCCGCAAGATCGACAGGACCGCGAAAGCTGACAAGAACATCTTTCTCACATCTTTCCTGCGCGAGCAGAGAGAGAACGCCAGAACCTATGCCGCTCAAGGCCAGCTAGAAATGAAGACCTGGAAAGAAGATACTACGCCGTCTCAACGACAGGATACCGCCTCCAACCTTCATGTCCATTCTCCCGCGATCTCGAAACCACTCTCTCTAATTGGCTTCGATACGCCTGTGCTGAAGCCGCGAAACCGCCACAAGGTCCAGGATACGCAGCGAATTGATATATCTCCATCACGCACACCCGCAAAGAGGGCGAAGAAGACGGCATATGTCGTAGACCACCTTCCTTCCCCTGCATCACAGTCAAGATCTAAGCCTCTGGATCGACGTCAACTTTCTCCGAAGGCGCCAAGGCGCTCGAAGGCTCCCATGAAGTCGACATCGAAGAAGCGGATCGCCTGCGATGATCATTCCGACGAGGACCAGGTTGCTCGTTAGTTGCAACTTTTCATTCTGCCGGCGCAAAGTTGACATGACCCGACAGGTTTGGAGGAACGGAGGGAGAGAAAACGCGCTAAGCGAGCCATCGTGAACCCAGAGAAGGCCGAGATCGTCGTTGAGCCTGGTACCTCATACTCGGAGGCCAAGGAGAGGAAGGGGAAGGGCAAGGCGAAGGCGAAGCGGACGAAGGGATCGGAGAAGACTCCAGCTGCATTCGCTCTTATGCATGGCTTTGTGGCTACGAACGTTGGGAAGAACCGCCTGACGGTAAGTCACCATATCTGTGTACGCTGTTTGTGCTGATGAGCATGAATAGATGAAGACGCCGGTGCCCGTCGGAGTCTTCAACAAGGGGAAGGCTTCCGAGAAGACCCGGGTGAAGGACGCACCCGTCAATATAAGTACGATAATTTATTTTCTCTCTGTATGTGGCTTACACTCGCCAAGGGACGAAGAATACCTTCTCCGAAGGCCTCTTCCTGCAAGGGACCAGGAAGAAGGAACCCACGAGCAAGAAGCGACATCGAACACCATCCACCACTTCCTCGTCTTCTGCAACCTCTTCTTCGAGGTCTCGGGTCCGGCGGCATCCGGAGAATGAATTTGTGCACGAGAAAGAGACCTTGCCGAGCCCGATGAAAGACGAGGCAGGACGCTGTGTTTCTGAGGTCTGGGACATCGAGTCGGAGGCCAGCGAGGAATCGAAGATCCGTACGCTGATTCTCGATACTGGTCTCCGCGGATGGAACGTGCTCGCTTCGCCGCAGACCCCGCCGGCTGGTGGCCGAAGCAAAGGGTCGCCTACTAGCCCGCCCTTCGCAGATGACTTTCACGTTCGCTCGAGCCCCTCGCTGCGTCCGTCGCAGTCAGCATCACAATGCGCTTGGAAAGGTCTGGCTCTTCGCCCAGAGGCTGCTCGCTCCGCTGTATCGCATTCGAAGTACTTCAAGCAGGTTAACGCTGTCGCAGACGATGCGCCACCGACTGTGGACGACGTTGTCGGGGAGGCAGCTGACACTCCTGCGGCGTGGCATTATACCGAGATGCCACCACCCCCTCGTCCTGTGCCAGCAGAGCATAACTCAAGGCATCGGGCACTCTGGGGGCGGGAACCTACGCCGCCTGCTGGTGCTGCGTCATCGGAGGACCCTTCCCTTACACATCCTCTACCGGGCGCACTATCGAACGAGCTTAAAGAATCTCATGAATCTGTGCTAGACGACGGCTCTTTCGTCACGCACAACTACTTCTCCGAGTGCTTAGCATTCTCCGATGGCTGTATGGATGATCTTCCTGTCCATACGAACAATCTCTCCGGCGACTTTCTGCTTGCAGCTGAGGCGAAATCTGGCGTTCTCAATGGCGACGCTTTAGCTCTTGGGTGGGACATCGGCTACGTGGCGCTGTGCGCCGATGACGCAGAGGCCACGGCTGGAGAAGTGGACGGTCTGGAGGATGTAGAGCATCCGGTCGAGGACTTCATTGGCGACGGCTTCGACTCCTTCCTCGATATGAACGACCTCGATTTAGCTGACGATCTTGGCGAATACCCTTGCGACAAAGGCTTGGACCAAGTCGTTTCGTTCGTTGCTGGCGCTTTCGACGATTATACGGGCGTGCCACCACATCACGATCTCGTCCACTTTGAGGATGGCTACTTCGCTGCCGAACGCTACGAATCCAGCACATGTGACGAAGAGGGTTGCACAGTCGATCTGCGTACGCGCTGCGATGGCTACTACTCTGACGTCGACTACACAGAGCGCGGCGATGACTGGGTGGCAGCTGGAGAATGGAGCGATGACTCGGGCGGATCATTGTGGATCGGCCAGGACCCTGAGGTGGCCAGTGAGCTGAACGAGGATGATCTCAGTTCCAGCCTGGCCACGCATCTGGATGTGCTGCACGCTTTCGCCGAAGGAAAGGCCCTCCTCATGGGAGTTCCGAACACCTCGGAAGTGCTGAGCGTTGCACATGGACGCGTCTCGCAGGCCGAAGCCGATGTTGCACGCAGTCTACACGATCACTGGACACCGTATCGTCCGCTATAGCGACATTATTTTTGGTTTGTTGTGGGCAGCTTTGCTGTCCAGTATGTTATGTATGATTGGAGATTAGCAGTATCTCCGTCACAAGGACACGCACGTTTACCATCGTTGACAATCGCACCCGGTGCAAGCCGTGTTCGGTGGCCGTGTCTGCATTTGTGGCCATGGTTATGCCCATAAGGCTTTGTTGGGGCCGCGTGATGTCATACTCGGGCCAAAGTCACATGCACGCGTTGTTTCTCTTTGTTGTCCAGAGGCAACCACTTAAAGACGATCGCGTCGCGCCCCGGCTTCCCCTATTCCCCCATCACATCGCGTCTCCGCGCATCTTCCGAAGCAACGCGTTCTTACCGCGTTCTTCACTACAACGCACTCGTCTGAGTTTGAGCTCAGAGCAAATGAGCGCGAAGGAGAACACAGCTAATATGGCAACGGTGCGTCGCGATCGCGTATGTGCTCTAAATGACAGCGCGTCTGAAGTTCGTTCGCAGGGCCACGTTAAGCCAGAACCTGTAGAGCATACACTCGCACCTTTGATGCCTTCCAAGTCGAACACTTCCATAAAGCCCGAGCCTTCTGACAATGCACCAGGGGTGCGCATTCCATCCCATTAGCAGTGAAGTTGGAACTAATCGAAGTCACGTTCATAGTTGAGTAAAGCGGACCCCTTTCCTCACCTGGATGGCATGGATCAGGACGCCGGTCCCAGCAACAGTGCGGACGTGAAGCCCGCGACGAAGCATGAGTCCGGAGACTCCGCTGTTCTCCCCAAGGACAAGCCAGAACCCAAGGACGACTTCACCATCTATCAATCAGCCGATGAGATCCAATACGCGCCCGAACACGTCTTTCGGGAGGGGAACAAGATGGTCAAGGCCATTGATGCGAACCTCAAGAAGGTCAAGCTCGGTAGCAAGTTGCGACAAGAGGTTTGGCGCAAGGAGATATCCACGTACGCATACACTCACTATAATAGGATTGCCACTGACGATGAATTTAGGTTGAAGAGTCAGACGTCGCCCACGACTCTCATTGCTGTATGTGGTGGTGAGTACATGAGCTGTATGCGCCTGGAATCCGTCTCATGCCGTTTACAGAAACGGGTGCCGGAAAGTCTTCGCTTTTGAATGCCATCCTCGATGGTAAGTCCTTCTTTCAGCTGAATGTCCTCTCACTGACTCGCTCTGTAGACAACATCGTTCCTACGAGCGGAATGCGGGCGTGCACGGCCGTCGTCACCGAGATTGCGTACCACAACAAGCCAGTCATCGAGGCTGACGTCTCGTTCCTTACCGAGACCGAGTGGAAGCAGGAGCTCGGTATTCTCATCGACGACCTCGTCGATGAAGATGGGCACCTTCGTCGCCTAACTGACCTGAAGAGCGACGCTGGTGTCGCGTGGTCCAAGGTACGCAAACGACCTGTACATGTTACACGGTGTTCTGAGGCTTGGACAGGTCCACGCCGTGTATCCCAAGTTGACAGCAGAGAACTTGGTCAAGATGAAGGTGGACGAGATCGTCGCCTATGACCAGAGTGAGTGCACCAAGGTCATCCTGGTGGTACGATCGCTGACGCTGTCCAGACGTTCGCAAGATGTTGGGAGCCACCAAGACCGTGTCAGCGAAGAACTCCAAGGCCTTCGCTATCGAGATCAACAAGTATATCGACTCCAAGGACCGGAAGAGCAAGAAGGACAAGAAGAAGAAGGCGGAGGAAGAGTCCCTGATGGACAAGGTCCGGAAAGCTGCCGGCCAGGAGGCGTCGCGTCATGCTCCGGGCAAGACGAGCATGGAGGACATTGAGTGGTGGCCGCTCATCCGCACCGTTCGCGTCCGGTGTCATTCGAAGGCTCTCGCGACGGGCGCTGTCCTCGTCGATCTTCCTGGTACGCTTACACATTCGCCGTAATCGCCATAAAGCTCACGATCTTCTACAAGGTGTCGCGGATGCAAACGCTGCTCGTAGCTCCATTGCCCGCGACTACATGAAGAAGTGCGACTGCATTTGGGTCCTTGCTCCCATTCAGCGCGCGGTCGACAATCAGTCCGCGAAGAACCTCCTCGGCGATGCCTTTAGGATGCAGCTTATGAGTGAGTGTCCACGTCATGGCTCCCTTAGTATTGATTGACTGACCCTTTTCGCAGTGGACGGCAAGTGAGTAGAGGCCGAGATTACGATTCCCCCAATAGTGACTGACTTCGCGTATAGCTACAACAGCCACATCATCACTTTCATAGGTTCGTCTTCTATCCCTCATGTATATACCATCGCTGACATAGAATTGCAGCCACCAAGTGCGACGACATCTCCTGCTCCGAAGTCAAGCGGGCTCTGAACCTCCAAGATGACGACGAGCTGGTTGAAATCGAGGAGCGGCTTGACCAATATGCGGACGAAACCAAGGAGTGGAAGCGCAAGAAGGCCCTTGCGGACGACCTCGTCAAAGGTATGTCGCATCATCTCTGGAGTATCACCATCGTAGCTCACTTTGTCATCAGGCCTTGAGGGCGAAACGAAGCATCTGCGTGCTGTCATCAAAGAACACAAGGAGCACGTCCAGTGCCTGAAGGAGGGCGAGGCGTTCGTTCCCAAGCTCACGGGCAAGAAGGCCGAGCGGGAGGCGGCCGCCAAGCAAAGAGGCAAGAAGCGCAAGAACGGTCGGAGTGGCAAAGGAGGCTCTTCCAAGCGCATGCGCAGTGAGGGCGTCGACACGGACGGCGACGTCGAAATGGACAGCGACGGTTCCATGTCCGACTTCATCGTCGACGACGACGACGAGTCCGATGATGGCTCCGACTCCGACAAGGATTCCGACGCGTGTTCGGACGATTCTGACAAGGATTCGGACGACGAGGACAACAAGTCAGATGGCGGCACGAACTCGAACGACTCCGACGCTGAGGATGATGAGGAAGAGGAGGTCACTGAAGAGCAGCTCGAGGCGATGTAGGTTCATTCCCTTCGGAGGTTTCCTTCGCTGCTCATCTTGTTCTAGCATCAAGGAGAAGACCGCCGAGTTGACTGCCAAACGCGCTGAGCTCTCTACGGCGCGCGCCCAGAAGAAAGAGGCTATCGATCGTCTGGCGAAGCTGAAGAAGGCCGTCGATAAGGCGCAGCGTCAGAAGAATGCGTACTGCTCCAAGAAGCGCTCTGAGGTATGTATTCTATACTAGGGCTCCGCTGACTTCCTCCTAACGTTGTCGTAGTACTCGCGTGGCACCCTCAAGGAGGATTTCCGCCTGGGCATGAAGGACCTCGACGGTGAGCGACTCGTTGCATAGTCCACGTTGGATATTGACGTGTTCCAGATGCCGTCGCCGAGGAGAGGGATCCGGACCATTTCGATCCCACCCAGAACATCCGCGACTACGATGCCATTGACCTGGTATGTCGCAGAGAATCTCAAGCCCTTCAATAAATTGACGCTCGTCGACAGCCTGTCTTCACTGCATCTAGCCGTGACTATGTCCGCCTCAAGAACATTGTCAAGGGCGACGGAGATCCCAGCTGCTTCGACAATGTGGACGACACGGGTATCCCGGCTCTTCAGGAATGGTCAGTCCGAAAGTTTACCGACATCTTATCTCGGCACTAAGCATGCATACATACAGGTGCCACAAGCTCACCCTTTCGTCTCGTGAGACCTCTGCGCAACGGTTCCTCGAGCACCTGCGCACCTTCGTCACGTCCATAGAGTCGTATGTTCGCGGTGCTACAGAGGTTACGCCTGAGGACCGTGAGGCCCTGCGCGAACTCTGGGAGTCGGAGAAAGACTTTGGGGACATTGCGTACGACAGTGACGAGGATCGGGGCAGCTCCGCCTCGCCTGACCCGTTCTCGTATTTCCTCAACAAGAATCGCAACAACCTGATGCCTATGTCGGACGACCTGATGATGGGCGGGGACTCTGGTCGTGGCGCCGACGTCGGCATCAAGGCTCGCCTGACAAAGGTATGATTTTCGTGTGCCGATCCATGCAGGGTGCTCATGCTCGGTAGGACTTCGAGGATATCGTCAACAAGTGCGTCAGTGACCTGAAGCGTATCTTCCGGGATGGCCTTGAGGAAAAGTGCAACACTGGTGCCATCAATGTAAGCTATAGCACCGGAAGCTCTTTGAACCTTAGCTCACATTGCATAGGCTGCGGATGCTGCCCTCCAGACGTCTGACGATGTCGCTGCGACTTGCCACTGGCAGACCTATCGCGCGACCCTGCGCCGTCATGGCGAATGGCGCCGTGATCTCAACGTCGAGCTCTGCAACCCCTTCACTCGCCAGATCGCGTCCTCCTGGGGCCAAGTCTTCGAGAAGGATTTGTTCGCCGGCCTTGATGAAGCGACGTCGGAGAAGATTATGAAGCTCGTCAAGGACGTTGAGAATTCGGCGGCTCCTGGCCTAAAGGAGCGCGCGAAGATGCAGGGCGACCAATGCATGGAGCAGGCCCAGATCGCGTTGAGGAATGCGATGGAAGACGTGAAGGTCGCGCTGCAGAACGAGCAGAAGGAGGTCTCTCGTTGTCTGGGGCCGCACGTTCAAGAACAGCTCATCCCTGGCTATGACCTTGCCATGGATGAGCGCGGACCGGGTAGCGTTGCCCGTCAGAAGGTTAGTCTAGCTTATTCTCGGGATATTCGGAGGCTGATATCATTTCATTACAGCGCGTCTTCCATGAGTTCGTAAAAATGAAGAAGGAGAAGATGTTCCATGGCGCAGCCACGCTGATCATGGACCGTCTAGATGGTGCCGCGCAGGTTGTGGGCGATGCGCTGGACAAGAAGTTGAATGCATTGGCCAAGCAGGTATGGATTCATCATATCGCTATCTTATGTCATCTCACGTTCGTGTTTAGGTTGAGACCAGCATGGCAGCGCTTTGGGAGGAGGTTGACGAAAACGAGGATCAGCAGCGTGCTCGTGCGGTGGTGATGAACGTGGCTTCCAGCGTCCTGAAGCAGGTCATGCTGTGGAAGGAGGCCGCGCGCATCAAGCAAGAGGCGGAGCGCAATGAGGCGATGGAGGTCGAGGATCTGCTCGATATGGACACTTGCATGGCAGACGGTACGCAGAAAGGGAATGTCTGAAGTCTAAATCCTGTATACTCCGTTACTCACTAGCTTATTGTGCTAACGTATACTCGTATACCCTACCGTACGTGCTCTCTTGCTTTACTTACCCTACTGCTCGCCTTGTACCCTACTTGTACCCTCCCTCGCCGGAGTTCTCTTGCTATTTAGACGCTATAGAGCAGTATGTTTTGTGACACTGTTCCCACCCATTCAGTGCTTGTATAGGAAGATGATCCGTTCCCTTGGACCACATACTCGAAACGGCTATTCTACGGCTGTTCCGCCATCCTGTTCCCACCATGTCCCCATAGAAGACAGTGCGGTGTTGCGCGCGGGCTTGAGAATCTTCCTGACGCCATGGGATCGACGATGTCGGGCAGGACGGAGGAGGTGGGACCATGCTGAATGTCAAGGGCAGCGTAATAGGAAGTTTGCGACGGGCTCCCCTTGCAACGCCCTCTTGACGTCCATGTCTTGCGCGCTCGACATGCAGTAAACGCGAGTGCAGGACCCCGCCTCGCCCTGCTTGTGCCGCTTTAGCAAGTACATGGACGACGTCGGCAGTGATCGCGGCCCAGACTAATTTGCTCCACGTTCGCTGCGGCCTCATTACCTCCAACCGAGTCCCGCAATTGATTTGCGCGCTATCTCGTCTCACAGTCTCTACCCTCTCTTCCTCGCGCCCGCAGCACTCTCTCTGCGCCGATATCTCATAATTTCCTGCATTCATGCCCATCGCGCGCCGCTCGCGCCGCGACGCGCCCTGGGTGCCTTTGACATCGGCCCTGCGCACAGGGAGTGTCGGCCCAGGCGGCGCCCCGGCGAGAGCGGCTGGCATTTGGGGGAACAATGGCAAACGCGGCGCGGGTCCGTCCTCCGTCTCAAGCACGCGCCCCGCACCCGCTGGCGGCACGTTGGTTAAGCGACAGACCGACGCGTGCGTGCAGCCCGTCAATCTCTTACAGATTCTTGTACTGACGCGTACCGCCCTGCAGAACCCAAGGTCAGACCACCGACATGTCTACGCCAGCCACAGAGGCCGCGTCCGATACCGACACCAGCCCCGCTACGACCACGAGGGAATCTTCACCGACCGACACTAGAACGGCGGCCGACAGGACTTCTCGCGCTACCACGGAGGCTCCGATTAGTGAACCGTCGACGCGCGAAACCGGCTCCGATTCAGACCCCCTCACAAGTCTGTTCCCGTCCACGGAGATGCCCACATCGATATCGACACCGCGTCCGACGAGCGAGACTTCGGAGAGCACCAGCGAGCCGTCCAGTACGTCCAGATCAGACCCGACGTCTACTTCATCGGAGGACACGTCCTCGAGTGCACCTACGGAGTCGACAACACCGTCTAGTGAGACGACGACTGATGCGCCCTCGACTACAACCAGTGGCGAGTCAAGCACTTCAACATCCCGCCCGACCTCTAGTGGCCCTCCAGAGTCGAGCTCAACAGCTACCACGAGCTCTTCGGAACCGTCAAGCTCCACCTCAGAGCCGTCCACCAGCTCGCGGGAACCCTCGACCACTTCGTCAGATGTGACGTCCACAATTGGCACCTCAACTTCCTCCGGTTCCACATCCTCGAGCACGCAGGCCTCGTCGTCGACTTCCCAATCATCAGGTTCTCCGACATCTAGCGCACAATCAACGAGCGGGACCTCATCGGGTCCCCCATCATCAAGCTCTTCTTACCCGGGCACCTCGTCAAGCAGTTTCACGTCATCGTCGCCATCCTCTAGCGCCACGACCGCATCTACGTCTGTTTCGTCCAGTTCATCGCTTTCCACCTCGTATTCTGAATCGCTGTCGACCTCGCTCTCGTCCACGCAATCAATATCTTATACCTCATCAACTTATTCCCCGTCTTCTTCCTGGTCTTCTTCTACAGTATCGCCATCCTCCTCCGACACACCGTCGTCCTCAACGCGCACATCATCTCGTGAGCCCACAACGACTTCAGAGCACACGACATCGACCTCGTCTCATTCATGGTCGTCAACATCTACTTGGACGTCGACATATGTGACAACACATTTGTACACCAGTACCGAGGTTGTCGAGGGGGGCACGCACACTGTCGCGCACACCAGTGTCAGCACAATCACGCAAACCGGCGTCCTTGGTACCAATCCTGCAGAGGACTCGCATGGGTAAGGATCACCTTTAATCTCGCTTGCACTTAGCCTGACCCTCTATCACCTAGATTTGATAAGAACACCGGTGCAATCGTTGGCGTGGCCATCGCGGCGGTGGCAGGTGTTGTGGCGGCCGCCTTGCTGCTGTTCATCGGCTGCAAACGGTACAGGAGGAAACGCGACATGCAGTCTGCCTCCAGCTCACGCGTTGGCCTCAACGGGTTCGCCAGTCCCCAGGGTAGCATATACCGGCGCGCACCCCTCGAGGAAGATGACGACGCGCCGCCCATGACGGAGATCGCGACTGGCGCCCTGCCCCTGCCGCTCCATGCCAGCAGCTCTGGGCACGGCGACTACCGCGATGAAGTGGACCTAGGGTCCTACGCTCACGGCAGTAGCTCGGGGCATGGCTCTGCGGTGGAGCGGCGGCCAAGCTTGTCCGCGACGTCGCACATGCCGGCGTTTGGGCAGGCTGCAGAGGCAATGGGTGCGACTGACCCTGCTGGGGCGACCACCGGTCGCGTGTCCTTCGACCCCGGTGTGTGGATAGGCGGAAAGGAGGGCTCGGCCCCGCTTGGTTCGCCCTCAACGGAGCAGTCGTCGTCCTCGCAAGGGCACGGCTCGCACGTTGTACTCCTACCCTACCACAGCAGCTCGGGCTCTTCCCAAGGCCACGGCTCGCACTCGTCTTCGCACTCGCACAGCGCCATCCCCGTCCGCCCCATCCTCAAGCAGCCAACGCCGCCCTCGAGCTACATCATGCACAGCGGGAAGGCGGACTGGCGGCAGAGCATGCGCGCCGAGATTGGCGACACGCACGAGCACCGTGACTCCGGCGACGCTCGCAGCTTCAAGGGCTTCCTCGGTCGTCTGCGCGGCGGGCACAACTCGTCCGCGCCCGAGATGCGCGACTCGCAGGAGGTGGTCCCGCAGACGCAGGCGCACCCTGCGGTGCGGATACCGTCGTCGCTGCTGGACCCCGCACCCATCGTCCCCGGCTCGATGTCGAAGGGCAAGCGGAAGAGCAAGGGCAAGACTTCAACGCCACCGCAGATCATCGGTCCCACCCCGCTGCTGAACCTCGAGGAAGAGGCTGCCGCGCGAGCAGCGAATCACGGCATGCCTTGGCCTCCTGCGACGCTGCCACCAAATCCGGTGACCGCGCTCGATGTGCAGGAGATACCTACGCTGTCGGTGGCGAACGCGCAGCAAGACGACCATGAACTTGACCCGGGAGTTATGCCGGATGGCGAGCTGGACGTGATTGCCTTCGACGACGAGGAGCACCAGCATCCCTGGGTGTCAGACCCACACCCTTCGCCAGCAGCGAGCGAGGACTCGCGGCATACGGGGGAGCATTTGCTGAACCCGATGTTGAAGCTTGGAATGAGGTCTAATGCGGCGGCGGAAGAGAGTATGACGAGCTTGAGGGATCACCTGGATTATTCAAGACCGATCGGACATGTGAGTAGAGATTGCCTGAATTCCGTATTCTAGTCGTTACGTACCTTGACCGATGACTGACTATTACTTCAGCTGGCAAACCTGCGCACATATAGCTCGCACACCTTCGCGTCCACGACGACGTCGGCGAGTCAAGACAACCGTAGCCGCCACGAAGAGGGCGACAGATAGCACGACTAGGGAGGGCGCGGCCCACGCGTTCTCCTGTGTATGCTTTTCTGTCGATCTTGTAAATGTGGTGCTCGACTGCTCGTCGGGCGTGTAAATGCGGGGCCATACGTGCGAACATGCTCAACTCGTCGATCGAGTTCTTGCCGGCGAGCATGTCCTCTGTTGCATAGCATTCACTCTTTTGTGGCATAGACGATCGATGATGTGGTGGTCAAGACACGGACGACACGGTGTCTATAGGTGGTCACGATGCAGGCTTTGGACGGAGGTCGCGGTGCGGGCTTCCGGTAGACGAAGGTCTCGCGACGAATGTGGACGAGCGACTCGCGACGATGTGGACAAACGCCATGCCGGTGTCTCGCCTCCTCCCCCAACAGACACTGAAAGACACTTACTTACTCACGCCCCTCGGACCTGTTCTGGATTTCGTGCTACGGATGCGCGTACACCATTCCTCCCAGGCTATCTCGCGATGTGCTTGGAGGCTATCTTGCGATGTGCCTGGAGGATATACCTACACGCCTCACTGACTCGCATCGAACGTACACGTACCGGACCCTAGGATGCGGGGACTCACGCACTTCACGCCTACACACACGCAAAGAGGCTGTACCTGATTATTAGTGAGTCCTTGTTTTTTTTTCGTTGCGTATTCCAGCTCCTTCCCCCCTGCCGCTCGTCTCTGTTTGTCTACGATTCATAACGCTGACCCGCCCTTGCAGATCTATATACCACTCCGACCGAGAGGACGTGCGTCGCGGGTGGAGCCAGGGCTCGAGGGCGCGTCCGGGTGGCAGTCGACCCCGCCCCGTGAGCACCGCCTGACTCCGAGACGGCGTATCACTCCGACTTGCCTTCGTCTCGCCGCCAGCCGAGTCCCGACCGTCCCCTTTCGCGATACACGCGCTCCCTCTCCCAGTCCTTGTATATACCCACGTCGCTCGCTGTACATACCATTTGACGCGCCGGTTGGCGGTGTCGCACCAGAATCCGGTCCCTTTGACTGACACCGGAATTCCGGTCCTTCTGACTGGCCTCGATGCGCACTCCGCCCACCCACCCGACGCGTCTTCCCCCTCCCCCTGTGCATGTATCATACCCACGCCCTTACTACTTAGTGTAAGTACTTAGAAACACCTACTTGTGCAAAATGCGCGTTACTACCTACGGTGGTGGCATAGACGGTGGTGGTAGAATTTGATTGGTGGTTGTATGGAGCTTGGGTTGAAGGAACTAGATTAAGTAAGCCTGGTGGATCGAGATTGCGATGGTGTGAACGGTGAAAGACGGTCCGACAGAACATCGAGGCATGTCGAGGCACTTTATGCAGAGAAAAGGTTGCTTGATACTAGTGCAAGCTATTCAGACATACTCCCTATTCGTATGTACCCTCACATTCGATACAACAAAATACAGAGGACCCTGCCACCAGTGAATGCGTCCTGCGAGAGGCGTCCAGTGGCAAGTCCAGCAAACGGGACAGAATCGTTATACGCTCGACGATACGCCACGACTGCGTGTGAGCTCGCATCAGCCGGGCACCTTGTACGAGCGAGGCGCGGCGAGGACCTTCATAAGACTCGACCTCGAAGAGAGATCAAATCCCCAGAAAGCCATCCACGCGCGGGAGGTCACGAAGAGCGCTCCGAGAGTCGCAAACGTCGCACGCGCAACAAGCCTGTGTTTACCCTTCTTTGTAGCGCGGTTGGCTGACTAAGCATTCGAGTGGACTCCGGCTTAGTAAGCAGACCTGAGGACGCATTGGCTTAGTAAGCAGAGTTAAGGTCCCGTTGGCTTAGTAAGTGAGACGAGGGTCCGTTGGCTTACTAAGCATACTGGAGGTCCCAGCGCGCTGCGCTCGACCATCGGAGGGCGTGCAGACTTGTGCATTGGGGGCTTCGCTAGGCTCGCTATGTAGAACGTCACCAAGCAGTTAACAAGTAGACTTCTTTGTCGAGGCTGGGACGGCATGGAGTTCTGCTTGCATCGCATGCCACGGGCGTCGATTCGCAAGGCCGGCGTCTAATGCCATGCTGGCTGAAGTTTGCGAAAATAACGAGTAAGGAGTGATGATACACGAAAGCCTACAGATGATACATGATGGCCTACAAGGTACATACAGGTGAGCCCCTCATAACCCATACCTATCGGAGCGCCTCCGAGGCTCGTCGTAGGCGCGCCGGGGTCAAACCAACTTTCGGATATAATTCTTGAGGGATATGCCTTCCGTTCCATATACTTTTTGGCGCGCAAATCGTACCCGGTCGACCCTCGGAGGCGCTCCGATAGGTATGGGTTATGAGGGGTTCACCTGTATCCAAAATATATATCCGGTGATGTACAAGTCCGTCCAACGAGGCGCAGAGCGAAACCGTGTCGGGTCATGGTCGAGATGTTCGGAGCAGAATCGCACCTTCGTTCCTAGAGCATATCGCACCTTCGTTCCTAGAGCATCCCCTTCACCGTCCCCTCACCGTCCCCTCACCTCCCATCCAGCTCCGCCTCCAGGAGCTCAACCTTTGTCTGCGGGGGTGCGTTAGCGTCGCTCTATTCCCTCCCCTTCTTCCCCCTGGCCCTCCCTTCTCCCTCTGAGTCTCTTTCCCTTCTCCGCTCCAACCGCAATCATCCCCTGTTCCCCCTTCACACCTTCCCTCACCCTCCCTCCCCTCCCAAAAAACATCCAAAAACACAACCCCCACTCACCCGATACGTCGTCTTCCGCCCGCCCACCGCGGCCCTCAGCACCCTCAGCTGCCACCTCAGCTTGCGCGGGAGCTTGTGCGCCGCGCGGTTTGGTGCGTTCGTGCTGGTTGTAGTGGGTGTTGGAAGTGTTGAGAGCGTGGGTGTTGGTCGAGGTCGAGGTCGGGGTGCGGGGGCTGGGTTGCACATTAGCAATGTGCGACGGCGTTGCGCGAACGTCCTCTCGACATGGCAGGTGCGCACAGCCCTCCCCTACAGGCGCGCACAACCCTCCTCCACGCAGGCGCCCCTGGTGCCTTCCCGACCGCGGAAAGAAAGAACGTACCCGTCTTCACTTCATCGCCCTCCTCACCCTCACCCTCACCCACCCCCTCCTCCCCACCGATCCCGAGCTCGTCCAGCCGCTCGCAGAACACGCGGTACGTGCGGTCGTCGCGGGCGAAGTAGGAGGTCTGCGGAGCACCTCAGTGAACAATGAAGGTGCAATAAAGGGGAGGTGGGAAGGACAGGAAGGTGCCTTAAATGGGTGGTGCGAAGGAGGGGGCGTAAGGGCGTCGAAGGAAGGTCACGCAGGGGGCGAAGAGGGGGCGAAAGAAGCAGATGAGGACGAGGCGGAAGGGGTGGACGAGGAAGAAAGAGAAGGGCGAAGAGAAGGGCGAAGGGCACACGAAGAGGTAGTTCACACAAATGCCAGATATCGCCCACTCACCGGGATCCCCTCCCCGCCCACGACCTCGCGCGCGAGCCCCCACGCGCCGAGGAGGAGCAGGTCGACGGTTGCGTTGCCGATGCTGAGTGGGGGCAGTTAGCGTCAGTTTGCTTGCCTTTGGTATCAGTGGTGTAGGGGAAGGTGGTTGGTTCATTGGAGTGGGGGAAGGTATCAGGGAGCGCGTGAAGGGGCGGGGGTGCGAGGGGAAGGGGGTATAGAAGGGAAGGGCAAGGGGGAGGGAGAGCGAAGGGAAAGAGACGGAGAAGGAAAGGAAGGGGAGAGGAAAGGGGCAGGGTGCGCCGGGAAGGGGGCGGTGGATACGCCGGGAAGGGGGAGGGGGATGGGGAAGGAGGCGGGTAGAAAAAACCACGCGAATCATCCATCGCTCGGATGGTTTACGAGACCAATCGCACGGATGATTTACGAGACCAATCGCACTCACTAATCCTCCAAGCTCGCAATCAGCTCCGCCCGCCCCAACTCCCTGGTCGCAAACTTGCGCACCGCGGCGCGCGCGGTGGCGACGGGGTGGCCGGCGGCGATGGGGGTCGCTGTTTCCAGTGGCGTTGTGGCTGTAGATGCTGTACGCGTGCGGATGTGCGGGGGCGAGGTCGATAATGACGAGGTCGATGGCCTGGAAGTCGAAAGCCGATGCGAAGAGGAAGAGGTCGACGCCCGCCCACCCGACAAGCTCGACATCGTCCTGGTCCGATGGTGTGAAGGGGCGGGTGGTAAAGTGGCCACCGACGCCGTCCTTATTCGCGACGTTGGCGAAGGTATGACCCGCCGTCGTGCAGCGTCGTCATCGTACTCCCCCTCGCTGCCGTTGCCGACGTCGGTGCCATCCTGACCGTCGTCTTGCGCATCACCGTAGTCGCCTTGTGCACTCGCCAACCGCCCCGACGGTCGATCCGGCGCACTCGCCAACCGCCCCAGCGGCCTCCCCTCCCCCGACCGGTCCACGGCTACTCGCAATTCGCGCCCGACCGCTTCGGCTTGTGCGGCTACCCAGCGCTCGCCTGGGTGTGCGTCAGTGTCAATGCCCATATCGTACCCTCCCCTTCCCTTCTCGCCCCCCTCCCCTCCCCTTCCCTTCTCGCCCCCCTCCCCTCCCCTTCCCCACCTAAACCCCCCTCCCCCCTCTCTCCCCTCCCCACCCCCCACTCCCCAAAACCTTTACCCCCTCTCCCCTCCCCACCTACCACCATTCTCCTATCCTCCTTCCCCCTCAAACTCCCCCAAATCTAAAACCCATACCAACAACACACACTCCTCCCCCCCCCCACCCCCCCTCCCAATAAAAACAAAACTAAAAACAACAACAACAACAACAACAACAACCCCACCACACCCACTCACCCTCGCTCATCACCAGCACCTGCATGAAGCTCGCCGCGAGGTCGCTCCGGTCGCGCGCCAGGTCGTGGTCGATGGCCAGTTTGAGGTTCGTGCCTGGGCGGGGGGGGGTGTTAGTGTGGGTGAGGAGAGGGGGGGGTTATGGAGGGGGGGGGTTAGTTTATTGGCGGTGGGGGGGGTGGTTATGGGAGAGGGGGTGTAGGAGGGGGAAGGGTGTGGCTAAGAAAGGGGAGTGACGTGGGGAGGGAAGGGAGGGAAGGGATTGTGAGGGGCGCGTATCTATACTCAGAGATGGCATGTCAAAGCTAACCACTCACGCAACGCCTTCAACACGCCCCTCGTCCCCTTCTTCGACATCTCGTCCTCCTCGAGGTTATTGATGTATCTGGGAGTTGTGGGTCGTTAGCTCCAGCGCCTTCGCTTCCCCCCCCCCAATTTCGTCGCCCTATAATAGCTCCAGTCCCTCCCTCTCCGCCCATCGGTCGAGTGCAACCCCCTCCTTCACCCCTCGCATTTCTTCCCCCTTTGGCCTTCCCCTTCACCCCCCTCTTGCCTCCCCTTCGCCCCCCTTGGCCTCCTCCCCCACCCGCCACCATCCCCCGTTACCCACAACTTCTATATCAAAACAAAATAGGCTCCCTCACCTCGAAAACGCGCCCACCAACAGGAGCGCGATCGACCGGTGGCTCTTGCCGATGCGCAGGGCGTGCAGGAGCGGGGGGTCGCCGGCGCGGGTGGTGAGGAGGAGCTGGGCGAGTAGACGTGCGAGAGGTAAGAGTGTGGCGTTCGAGGTCGGAGTGTGGCGTGAGAGATGAGAGTGTGGCGTTAGAGATGAGAGGGGAGGGGGGAAGAGGGGGGGAGAGGGGAGGGGAAGGAGAGAAGGGAGAGAGGAGGAGGGAGCGAGAGAAGGGAGGAGAGGGGAAGGGGGGAGAAGGAGGGGGCGAGGGCGAGGGCGAGGGAGCGAGGGGGAAGGAGGGAGGGATGGGAGGAGGGGAGGGGAGCGAAGGGAAGGAAGAGGGGAGCGAAGGGAAGGAAGAGGGGAGCGAAGGGAAGGAAGAGGGGAGCGAAGGGAAGGAGGGCGAGGAGGGAGGGGGAGGGCAAGGCAGATTAGCGCCGACCTGACCACGCAGTGCACACCACTCACATGGAATGCCCGATCTCTTATATCCATCAAATACATCTCGTCCCCCCTCTCAATTGCTCTCAACACCTCGTATGGCTCGGGCACGCGATTCGTCGGCGCATGGGTGTTGGTGGGCTTGGGTGTGGCGGCAGAGGCGCCCATTCGGAAGAGGGCGCGCAGGGCGGTGACGGGGGTGCGGACGGTGGGGCTGGGAGGTGGGTCGTCGGGTTGAGGGGAAGAGGGTTGGTCGACGGTGGGGGAGGTCGGCGGGTCAAGCGCATCTTCGAGGGCATCTTCGACTAAGCGCTCGACCTCGTCTGAGCGCCTGCATTCGAGGTTGGAGACGCGTTCGCGAGCTTCGCGGGCGAGAACGCCTGTATGCGATGGTCAGTGGAGTGAGGGGGGTGAGGTATGATGGGCGCGGTGCACGCATGCGTTAGACAGCGCTTAACGAGGGGAGCGCGGCGCGGCGCCTATCCCGCCACTAACCCATACACATCGCACTCACCAGCAGACGGCAGCCTTGCAATCAGACACGGGCCGCGTTCTACCCTGAGGCGCGGCTCTGGACCAGGCGGGGGCGGGTCGGCGAGCGCCTGCACCAGAGGCGCGTTGTTCATGAGGGAAGTGTGAATGGGTCGGCTGAGCAGTGTAGGTTGGATCGCTGAAGCAGGCAGTATGTGGCTGAAGAGATGAGTTGGGAGATGTGTGGCCGAAGCGCGAGAGATGGCCTGCGAGCGTGTCAGACAGGGAAGTGTCGCTGCCCGTCGACGGTGCGTGTCAAGGTGTGAGTGAATGCAGTGCGGGACTAGAGTGCTCAATAGACGCGCGCCTGTCCTGACGCGATCGACGGTTCTGGTAATTACAATACGTCATCGATCGGTCGCGTACACTCTGCCCTCCCAATCCACGGTACCGCGTCCTGCCCATTGTACAGTACAGTACCACTTGTCTACCGCCTCTTCCCCCTCCCACCGCCCCTGCCCCTCCCCCTGCCCCCTCTGCCTCCCCTACCCCCACCTCGTCCCCCACCTTCCCCCCTCCCCTCCACCCGCGCAATATCCTCCCTCCCAAGCCTCAGCACCCCACCCTTAAACTTCCCCACCCCCATCTTCAGCCCCCGCTCCCGCCGCCTCACCCCCTCCTTCGCCACCAGCTCCTCGTCCGTCGCACCCAGCGCCCGCTTCAGCGACGGGTGGTACGTCCCCAGCTCCTTTGCTTCCTCCACCTTCCTCGCCGCTAGCTCTTTCTGTTTGCGGAGGAGCCCCTCACGTACGGCCTTGGCGTGCACGTTGCGCTCGGTGGTCTTGATGACTTTCGATCCCATGCCCGGGCGGGATTGTTTGAGCGTGGATTTTCCAGCAGCACCGGACGCGGAGGCGAGTTCGTGCAGGCGGCCGAGGAGAGCGGTTCGTCGGGCGGACGGTTTGCTATCGTTGGACAGATTGGGGTCGAGGAGCTGGGTGTGCACGAGCCGGTGGAGGAGCGCGTCGTTCTGCGCGTTCGTGTGCTCGTCGTCGCCGTCGTCTTCTGCTTTTGATGCATTTCGGGACGTCGACGCGATGGGTCCGTCCGTTCGTAGCTTTGATACTTTGGACGACTAGAAAGTGTATTTCAGTATGGAGACGCACGAAGATACCGTTCCCCACACACCATAAACGCCTTACTTGGCGCCCTCATCGGCGCAGAGGCAGACGGATCAGTGAATGTCACCACCGTCGGCTGCGCGGAGGTGAACTCGTCGTCGTTCATATCATCGTCCCCGCTTCCTTCCTGGTCCAAGTCCTCATCTTCATCCCCACTGTCATCTTCATCCCCCCTGTCTTCACGTCCCTCGTCTTGGTCGTCATTCCCCTCAGTGTCAACTCCTCCACCGATCCCATGCCATTCCTCCCACTCCTCCTCGTCTGCATCCCCCTCATCTGCCTGTGCCCGTTTGCGTTTCCTTTCCCTCTTGCTGTCCTTCTGGGCCGCAGTAGAGGTAGACGGCAAGTCGAAGGACGCCAGGAATGCCCTCCCGTGCGCCTCGAGCGCGGACAGCAGGTCGTTTTCGGAGTCGGACATGGTGCTGTTGTTCGTATGATGACCTTATTGCTCTTACGATGTCCTGCGCGAGATGGATTTGCTGTTGCGCAAGGAGAAAGGTGCTGTAAAGACAATGAGGTGCGCGCGCTTAGACTGGGATGGCGCGGAGGAAGGAGCAAGCGCGAGCCGAAGGGGAATCCGTCGGAGACAATCAGTGGGTGAATGAAGTGTGCGATCGAGGGCGATCGGGGCGCCTCCGGGATATCGGTCCGGTGCGCCGTTCGCCATGTCGGGCCGAGCACGCGTCTCGTCATCGACTTGCACGACTTGCTGGACACGAGCTCGACGCTCTCGACCTGAACTTGCCTTTCATAGCATCGATTAACTGGACTCCTTGCGGGCATTCACTGGACCGACTATACCGAATACTGCTCGACGAACTTGCACCGACACCCGGAGTAGCACGCACCGACACGCCGAGTAGCACGCACCGATACATCCTATCTCATGGCCCCGCGCAACAGGAAGAAGCAGAAGACGGAGGGTGCGCCGCCCTCCTTCTCTCTCGTCTCCTACACCCTATACTCCATCCACTGCACCCACTCCGTCTCCTACTCACCCCTCCTCCCCCACCCTCTTCCCTCCATCACCTCCCGCCCACTCTGTCTCCTTTTCCCAACACACCCCACTCCGTCTCCTTCTCCTACCACCTCTTCTCCCCGCCTTCTCTTTCCACCCCATGCTCACGCCCACTCCCTCGTCCCCTCCCATCTCCTCCCCACCTCTCCTCCCCGTCTGTCATCCCACTATCCCCTCTCTCCCGTCCACCTCCTGCCGTCTCCCTTTATCTCCCTCGCCAATACTGACAACCTCCCTAGGCTCCACCTCAACCTCCACCACCACAAACACCCCAAACCCAAATCCCCACCCGCCCCTCGACATCCCCGAGGACGAGCAGTGGCGGCTGATCCAGGAGAGCGGCGTGCTCGATGGCTTGAAGCGGCCGAGTGAGGTTAGGGCGGAGGCGGGTGAGTGAGGTTTGGTTCACCAGGGGGGTCTGAGGGCTGGTTGTTTGAGGGGGGCTCGATGCTCGGTGCCACTAGGACTGCAAGGCGTCCAGTGCTAATAGGACTGCGTGGCGTCCAGTGCCAATAGGACTGCCTGGCGCCCAGTACTGCCGGTGCTGCATGTCTTTCGCTCGGCGCTGCGCCGCGCGTACCTGTGCACGGCCCATATCATCGATGCGTCCTTCTTGCACCATCCTTGCTAACCTGTAGCTCAACATCACTAACACATAGCTCAGAAGCGACCGGCCAACCGCCACCTCGCGCGCCCAAGGAACCGCTAGTGAAGGGCGTACCGAAGGGCCCCGGCGCATCGACCTCACGAGGGACACCGCTAGTAAAGGAGATCAAGCCAGGCGAGGAAATCACCCTCGAGCATCTCACCTCGCCGGGCGCGGCGTCGTTGGCGGCCGAAGGTGGGCTACTTTCTTCCGCGTGCCGTATACTGCTCGCAAGCCACCCGTTTCTGCGACGACAAGCCATCCTGCGCTGGGCTGACAACCCGTCTTGCGCGCGGCTGACGACCCGTCCTGCGCTCGGCCGACGACCCGTCCTGCGCTGTGCTGACAACCCGCTCTACGCTGGGCTGACGGCCTGCCCTGCGCTGGGCTGACGACTCGTCCTCCACGGGCTGACGACTCGCCCTACGCTCGGCTGACAGCCCATCTCGCAATCCGCTAACGACCCACTGCAGACACGACCCCCGACCACAACGAACCGACCCCTGACCCCAACGAGCCCACCCCCTTCGCCGAGGAGATCTTCCAAACGGCGAGCCTGCTGATCCCGTTCACGTTCTGTTTGGTGCTGATGGATGTGTGAGTGGCGTGGGTTCGTGAGCAGTGTGTTTTTCGCTGACGAAAAACCCTTCACCAATGCTGACGTCGTTTCACCCCCCTCTCTCATCCGCCCCCTCCTTCTCTTAATCGCCCTCCTTCTCGCAACCGCCCTCCTTCTCTCAATCGCCCCCTTCTCCTCTTTCTCTACGCGCGAACCCTCTCTCGGTACCTGCGAACCCTCTCCATATCCGCGAACCCATACGGCCGAATAACCGAATAATCATCACCACCGCCTGCCACCCAGCCTCATCCACCAGCAATACGGCCAGGAGGCCCGCCTGTGGGACATCCTCGACCGGCTCGTGAGCGCGGTGCCGATTCTGGCGGTGTTTATATTTTATAGTGAGTCTCTCGTTCTGCGCGGACTCGTCCCATTCAGCGCCCGCCCTGTCCTCCCTCGCTCCCTCCCTGTCTTGCCCTGTTCCCGCCCCATCTTCCCCCGCTCCCGCTCTATCTTCCCCCGCTCCCGCCCCGTCCTCTTCCAACTGTCTAACTTTGTTGACCTGCGCTCCTTGTCGACCTGTACTCTTGTCGACCTACACTCCCTGTCACCCCTCCCAACCGTCACCCCACGCAGTCTGCGAACCCTCACCCCACGCAGTCCGCAAACCAAACGGCTAACCACCACGCCCCCACCCCCTCCCTGTCCTCTCCCTTGCAACTGACCACCTCTCCCTTGCAACGGACCACTTCTCCCTTGCAACTAACCACCTCTCCCTTGCAACAAACCACCTCTCCTTTACAACTAACACCACGCCCTTGCAACTGACCACCACCCCCCTCCCCAGCCACCCGCCACAAAAATACGCGCCCCGCGCAGGCCGCGCTCTTCGCCCTCTCCTTGTTCGCGGGCCCGCGGCTGCTGTGGGTGCTCGCGCATAAGGGGTATCTGGTGAATATACAGCAGGTGAGTTGGAGTGGTTGTCGTTGCGCTTTTGAGCCCTCCGCTCCCCCTTACACGCTCTCCCCTTACACGCTCCCCCCTCACACGCCACCCACCACCCGCCTGCCATTTCACCTTTTCTCCATCACCCGCGATCAACTCAACTCACCTTCCCCCTCCACCAACTCACCCAACTCACTCTACTCACCCAACTCACCCAACTCACTCTACTCACCCACCCCACCCAGTCCCCGCCCCTCGCCACCGCCTGGATCTACACCATCACGCAGCTCGACCTCGGCCCCGCCGTCGTGAGCCTCATGATCACGGGCGCATGGGCAAGGTGGAAGGGGTTGGGGGTAAGGTTGTTTAGGGATCGGCGGTATAGGTAGGGGGTGGGGGAGAAGTGGGGGGAGGTGGAGGGGGAGGGGTAGGGGAGGGAGGGAGGAGGGAGGGGGAGTAGGAAGTAAAGTAATATACACATGCAGAACTCAGGACATTGAAGGGGTTGTTTATCGAGCCTTCAGGCTCTGAAGTCCAGCAAATGAGCCTGTTGAGATCCTCTTGCTATGCGCTCGCCCTCAATAAGTTCCCCCGGGCCTAGGTCGGACTTGCGCGCGTTGGCCAGCTCCCTTTGTACTTTCCGCGCCCCACCTAGTTCTTGCAGTTGAATCAGTTTGCGAGCGCATGTCAGCAAGCGAGTCTGCTTCATCTCCCAGCGACGTTTCGTTCATGGCGCGGAGGCGATAGGATTTTCCACCGAATCCCAGTGATAGGATTTTCCACCGCTTCCCAGTGATAGGATCGTCCACCGCTTCCCGGTGATAAGGTCGCCTACCGCTTGCCAATTGCAGCACTCCGTACCTCGCGCTCCTCTCCAGGAATGGTAACCCAACCGAACTCCCGCAGCACATTCACCACGACGACCACTAATTTCCCAGAATTGGCCTGGGCCGAGAACACGACAGTCTCATGAGATGCATAGTCAAGACACCAGAAAAAAGTTGAACCGCTGCACTGAACATGGGACAGCGCAAATCTCCCGGTCCAGTGCTCCACCGTAACAAACAAATGCAAGCAAGAAGCCAAGAGTTGCCTTTCTCGGAACAAAGACGGTGGAGGCCCTACTTCGATACTTCCACGGAAGCTCTTTCGCAAAAAGGCTCGCGGAGGCAAAGTTGCGATATGATATGGCGTTTACATAGAGAATGACAAAAAACCCTGTTGGAAATACTTGGAGGCAGACAATCTCTGTGACCAGGCGACCCGTACTCCGACGCGAGAGAACTGACGGGGACTGACGGGGAATGGCACAAACATGAATTGGGGAATGGGACAAACATGAATTGGGGAGTGGGACAAACATGAATTTCCGTGAGTTGATAGTAGGAAGCAAGCGACCAAGAAGCGTGCAAGTAGAGTATAAGCGATGGCAACAGGTCTGTGTATGTATCGCAGTGAACAAGGCATCAGGAAACAACTAGATGTGAGCGTCGTGAGCGGATTGTTAGCGTTGTGAAACAACTATACGAAGGCGTAGGGCATCCAGAGGGATATAAATACAGTACATCCAAGACGGTAAGTACGCGTAAGCCAGACGGTCGTGTAAGTACAACATGAAGAGACGTGGATGACATGGATGGGTAGTAACAGGTTGTCATAGACGATGGAGAACAGGATGTCGTGGATGAACAGGTGTAGAGGAGGCCACGGGCACGAGCGCGGGAACTCGGTCCTACAAGTCATACAGAGACAGTGATTTCTTGCGGTCGGGCGTTGTTGCTCTGACGGGGGACGCTGGAGCGCGTGTCAGCTAGATTACATAGAAGGACGGGAAGGAGGACGAACATGGTGCGGAATCTCCCCTTCTCATCGACGAGCATGATGCCGTTGTTGGGTCTACGACCATGTTAGAGAAGAGTCTCGCATATGAAACCAGGATCACGCACTCGAGCTTTTCGGGGAACGGTGGAGAGATCCGATGTCGTCCTGGTGAGGTCTGCCAGTCCGATTTCACTCTGCTGAAGTCACCGACCCTGACAGCGCGTCCTTTCAGCACAAGGTAGAAGGTCAATACAGATGACTGACCTCGCAAGCTCTCGCCCACTCTCATCCTGTATGATGAGAGGGCGTACGCGGCGCGGTAGATTGGAATCGGGGTCCCCGACTCTGCCATGCCACATTAGCGTGCGAACATAAGATTTACCCAAGACTAAGCTCACTTTCCCAAGACGTTGCCCATAGCGTCCCTAAACTCAACATCCACACCGTCTGGTACAATGTAGAAGTCGCTCGGTTCGCCTGCGTGGGGTATCTTGACTATTTCCGGGCGCTATAGATACCGAGGGTCAGTTGACGCCCACGCAACCCATTCAGCGATGCATACCTGGTTCACGCCTTCGTGGATTGTTCTGGCAGCGCGCATGGGCGACGGGGGGACGATGACGGGAGCGGAGGCGGATTTGTGTCGCCGCCTCCCGCGCTCTCGGTCGCGCTCCCGTTCGCGGTCGCGGTCGCGGTGCGTGCGGGTTACTGTCGGCACCTGCTGCGACGCCGCTCGTCGGTGGCCGGCGTGCGAGCCGGTGTGGTGGGTGCCGGTTTGGTGCGTAGGGACGTGTTGTGCTCCGGTGTAGCGTGTGGGGGCAGCTGAACGGTGGGTCCCGGTGTAATGTGTGCCTTCATGACGGTCGGGCGAGTCGTCACTACGGCGTGTCCCGGTCGTACGCATGCTTTGTTGGTGGGTTAGGGGGGCGTCAAAGATCGTTGGCTCGTACTCCTTCTCAGATATGGGGGAGTCGTGTCTGCCTCGCCTGGGCATCTGTCGTGGGTTGAGTATAAGCATGACTGAGAAGACAGTCCACGTACGAAGGACCCTCCGGCTTCGCTGGTGCCGTGCCGCCGCGAGCGCGCTGCTTGAGTCGGGGGACCGCGTTGCAGACCGTTGCTGGTGCGTAAGGAATGTGCGCCTCCTGGCGGTGGGAGAAAGCCTTCGTCTTTTAAGCTGACCCCGCCATAGCGGCTGCCACCGTTTGTCGGTACGGTACCGACGGACTGTATAGGTGATAGTGGAGTTGTGTAGAACTGTGAAGACGATTAGATGCCATGCTGCGAGCAGGCTATGTCGCGCGCACCTGTTCGGAGGCGAGGTCAGCCACATCTCGGGAAACTAAAGATAAATCCCGCACCTCAGAGCCACGACCGGGTTTATGCTTCTTGAGTTTCTTGTTTCTGGAGTACGAGGACGGCGCAGCCGTCCCCATGGACCTTGTATCGGAGGATGATGCAGCATGGTTGGGCACGTCCTTCACGCCCTTGTTCTTCTTCGAGAACGCTTTGAAGATGTTGAACTTGGGCATGATAACGTTATATGGTCATGAAGTAGGAGGGGTGTCGCGCGTGATAGGAGGTGGGAAGGCCAAGCTGAGGCAGACAGGAGGGATGGGCAGGGGTATTTGGGATGGAGGAGGTGATGGGGCAAGTGAACTTCAACCTGCTTGAGGCCGCTCCGCCTCCGACCGCCGAACCTGATCGATCAATTGCCTCGGGGGCAAAACACGTGTACACGAGAACAATTGTTCAACTTTGCAGTTTCCCATCCAGCGTGACGCGCTCGGTAGCTGCTGGACAAGCCAGGGATACGCTTTCATTTCAGGGGGTCATTCGAAAGAGCACAAGCCCAGGGAGAATGTCTCGTATAGCTTCACTCAGCCAAGGAAAATTGTGCTGTAAGCAACGCAAAAACCCAGCACTCAGGAACCTCATTCCAAGAGGCGGCAGTGAAAGTCTTGACAATAGTATCCTTGTCCGCTTGGGCGTATCTACTGCGAGGACGGCGAGGGTGGGAACAATAGAGGCTTATTTGGATCTGTTAGTGGACTAGTCGGTTTTGGAAATGCATCATGGTCACAGTTGCACTCGTGTTTCCGTGATTATCTCTCCTTCACGTCTCACGGCGGCTGCGCGCTGCTTGTCGCGCGCCCTGGATGTCGCCTGTGATCTCCCCTCCATCTCTTCAGGAAGCGACGAGCACCTCCACGACGACATGGCAGAACCACCTAGAGAATCTGTTCCACCAAGCGAAGGAGCGGTTCCCGGATGTCGTGTGGGAGCTGAACGATGGAGTTAATGTTGACGAAGTGTGGGGGCACAAAGGCGCGTACACTGGCAGTACCGCTAATCATCTCCTAACCACCTGCAACAGCCATCGTGTACGCGCGCGCACCACCGAGCTTCCAAAGTCGATATTTTTCCTTTCGTCCTAATCCCGCGCCTTCGCCACTCCCTTACTCAGCACAGGGATCATACCTCTCTCTAGATGGCGCGGACAGGGAATATCCTCGAACCCCCTCTCCAGCATCTGCTGCCGCGCGTGCCACGTCCCCTTCGCCGTCCACCAACGGCGGTATTCTCCGAATTCAGACTGCGATTAATCCGACCCTCTTTTCCAATGAGCTCGAATACCTCTACACCGGACAAGGCTTCGGCGAGGCATTCGAATTTCTCTTTGACGCAACAGAGAACGCGGATGGAGAGGAGATCGACCCGCAGGAGTTGCGCATCGACAAGCTACGCAAGGACCTGGTATTCATGTGGCGCTCCCGCCTCTACTCCGACATCAAGATAGCCCTCACGGGCACGTTCTCATCCACAAACCACGAGACATCGACCGCGGTGTTCTCTACACACCGCTTCATCCTCGTGTCGCGTTGTCCATACTTCTACAATGCCCTGCTCAACTGGCCAAAGCACGCAGGCACCCAGACGCTCACTCTGCCTTCCCCCCCTTTCACGCCTGCCTCATTGCACTTCACCCTCGGATTCATCTATACCGGCACACTCATCTTTTCCAACCGCTCTTACGACCTCGACACCGCATTCGCGATCATGCGCAGCGCAACTTATCTCTCCCTGCAAACGCTCTATGACGAAATTCAAGCACGCATCGTTCAAGAGATGATGCACGGCCTCTTCCACGCATTCCTCGAGTTCTCCGAATACGAGCGTCTCACAGGCGGGCGATGGGGAACTGGTGGATGCCGCTGTCGCCAATGCGCCCGCCGCGCGCCGCGCGTGCTGCAATTTTCAATAGCCGACGACGTCAAAAACCAGCATCTGGACCGAGGCGCCCGTCGTGCCCTCGTTGGCCTCTTCGGCGAAGGATGGCTGACAACGGAATTCGCCCTCCTACCGCAGAAGCTACGAGAGAACCTTCTCAAGGGCGTCGGCAAGCGAACGACACCACAGAATGTCTTCGCGCTTCTCTTCGCGGTTGAGCATGCACTTGGCAAGGCGAAATCCATGATCGATGCTTGGGTTGACATAGTTCGCGAGATGCTCCTTGCCGGGCGGAAGGTCATCGACGAGCTCCTTTGCGAGAAGGGAGAAGCGTGCTTCGCCCAACGAGAGTGGATGGAGATGATGGAAAACGACGGTGTGGGCTTCAACGACACCGAGCGCGTGGACTGGACCATGAACGCTGTACTCCGCGGTCTTTCTGACCGTACGGCAGCAATGGTTTACCAGGTCAGTCCTTGGTGATCACTTGCGATGCGTTTCGCTGATTGTTGAGCGCAGGTCTTGGTTTCGAACATACTCCTCCTTCCCCACCATACAGAGCCAAATGCTGCCATGCTTTCGCATACATCTGCCATCAGACAAAGGGTGGAGCACACAAGGCTAGACGTCCTGCGCTTCATCCGCAAACGTTGGCTCGGCATCCGTCAAGAGGGCGGCTTCGATGATCTCGAGGGTTGGGCGCTCAAGGAGATCAGCGACAGTAAGTTTCCTGTACTTAGCCTTTCGCTCGATACTCATGTTCCCTTAGACATCGAAGTCCCTCTCGAGGACCTGCTGCTGCCTGTGAACCAGGCAAAGTCGCCTACGCCGTATTCGCACGGGAACAGGTTGACAGTGCGCAACTCGACACGCGACAACGAGAGCTTCAACGACTCTATCAGCATGCACTCCTCAATGCGCGTCTCAGTTCTTAGCAAGCAGGTCACTGGCAAGCGTAGCATCACCCCTACGAGTGCAGCTGCAAGTGTGCGCAGCGGGATCTCGCGGACCACTACCACTACCACTACGACCGCCGCCAGGCGTCGCATGGTATCTGCAGGCAAGGAGAAGGATGAGCGCCCGGACTCGAAGCTCACGCCCTCCGAAGCGGCGCCTTCGCGTCCATCCTCTTCAGCGTCCAACTCGATGGATGTCGACGGTCCGGATGAGTCTGGGGAGCAGGAAACGCATACAACACCGTCTGCGCCGCTGCCCCAAGAAGTTGGTCTCGACGTCGTCGGCTTCGTCCATCAGCACTGCTGCATCTCGCGTCACCCGTCCGCGTCCCAGTAATGCGTCTGTCAAATCGACGACCTCCATCTCCACCTTGCGAAAAGTACGGAGCCCCTCCGCCACCACCGCCACCTCGCGTCCAGCACTGTCGACCGCGCGTTCCGCGTCTCGAGTGTCGAGTGCCAGTCGGGCCTCCACTTCAACGACGAGCACTAGGCCGCTCTCTCGTGTGTCCACCGCGAGCACTAGTACTACCGGGGATACGGCTTACAAGACGGCGCCCACCGCCCCGACCGCGGGAACGCGTTCGCGGCGCACATCAGTAGCTTCGTCGACTAGTACTGCGACTACAGCCACCACTCGCTCCCGTCGGCCTAGCGGAGGCTCTACTACATCACCTAGAGCAGCCGCCAAGAAGCCTGTCGTACCACCAGTCCCTGCGCTGGACTCGTCGAAATCCACTCCCTCTCCGAGAAAGCCCTCATCTTCGTCGGTCACGCCCTCTGTGCGCTCGAGCGTGTCCAACGTGCGACGAGCGGGCGCGGCTTCGACGCCTGCAGGCAAGCCTGCGCCGGAGAAGAAAGTCTTGTCGTCATCGACATCCGTCAAATCGCTGATAAAATCGATTGAGGAAGGCGCAGCGGCAGGCGCAGGTCAAACGTCCAGCAGCATCACCATCAAGCCGACCAAGTCCACCAAGCCCACGGCCGCTCAGCAGGTCGTCGAAGCCCATCGCAAGTCTGGGAGTGGTGCGTCAGCCGCCACCTTGAAGCGCAAGGGATCGACCGATACGATTGGGACTATCAAGAAGCCCATTCAGCCTGCCTCGCCGCAACCGCGCGGGGCTACGCTCGAAATCGGCATTCCGTGCATAATTTCGTCGAAGCGCAAGCGCTTCAAGGCGTTCGCGCGGTACATCGGCGAAGTGGAGGGCGAGGTTGGGCCTTGGGTGGGCGTCGAGGTTCCTATACCCAGCGGCGTTGGGGATGCGACTTCCCCAGAACCAGGCGCAGTTGGAGGACGTCAATGGAATGACGGTACTTGGGGTGGCATCCGCTACTTTGAGCTCGGTGGACACGGCGGTGGGAGCGAATGGGACTACTACGGCGACGACAGCATGTCGCGCGCCGCGCGCCGGAGGCGGTTGGACGCTAGTGGGAGCAGCTGGACCACTCGTGGAGCCAAGCGGGAGGCGGGCGACCACCTGGGGGTGCATGCGAAGCGGATGCGCAGTGTGAGCCCGGCCCCATCTGATTCGTCATGTGGGGAGACGCGGGGGCTCTTCGTGCGGCCACAGCAGGTGCTGTACGTGGTCGACGCTGTGGGTGTAGATTTGTGAAGGCTAGTCGGTGGTACTAGTGGGACTCGTTCGACGTTCGACGACTTTGCTCTCCCCTGTCAACAAACGCTTTCCTTTACCATGCGTTCGTCGTCTATGCATATCCTTGCTGTTCGTTCATGCTGCGATAACGTCTTTTCATCCTATTATTATGGGCTTTTTCCTCTTTCTCCTTGTCAGCGCTGACTTGACTGATACCTATTCGTGTGTTACCCCTCCCTCCATGTTACCCTCTCTCGCTGACCACCAGATAATCGTTCCTCTCGACGCTTCGTTTCTAGTTGTTATCTGGGGTGTACTTCTGCCTTCTCCAGCTACCTGTACAGCGTCGCTCTTCCTTACTATTTGTTGGCTATGCGACGGGGCCATATACACAGTACACACTCCTTGGTAATGTTCATCGCTTTCTCCTGTCTCTGAAGGCAGAGGATGGAAAATAGTTTCCACAAGTTCTGAGGTCTGCAATCGAGAGTTAGCCTCGGCCCTCGGCGTTCGCGAACGTCTCCTTTTGGACTCCGTCATCGAGTTCCCCGCAGTCAATTGATCACTTCCTGCCTTGCCTCACGCTACCATGGTAGCCTCCCAAGACGTACCTGCCATCGAGCAGATCCTCGACCCTCTTTGTCCGCCAAACGACCCTCCGCCCCCTTATCCCTCTCGCGAACACAGAACGCGGCGTGCGCGGGCAAATCGGCACTTGCAGCGTATCTCGACGGCTGGTAGCGGCAATGAATCTACGGCACCAGAGTCGCACTCAGACAACGAGGCGCGCCAGTCCCCATATCTGCTAGATGGAGACTCGATCGACGCGACGGAGACGACACCATTCCTTTCCCCTTCATCGCCGCGGACGTCGCACAGGAACTACTCCGGTCGCCCGCGCTCACTATCGCATAGTACCGTATTCTCAGCAAATTCCATCGCCCCCTCGCTTGCCCAGACAGTCGTGTCACTGTTCGACACTGATGATACGCTAGAGGGGGGTGACGATACCCTCATCAGCACACCGCCGAACGATGCGCCCCAGCCGCAGGCAGATCGGAGAGAAGGATTGCTTACACGGCGAACATGGCAACGTTACTTCCGGCCTGTAACTCAGTGGGCGTACTACAAGTCGTTGCTACACCTGCTTGTCTTCAACTTTCCTTATGCCCTAGCCGCATGGGTATACCTCTTCGTGTTCACCTTGGTGCGTTATCATCCGCGCTACAATTCTCCTTTCTGACCGGGCTACATAGACGGGAACAGTTCTTCTGATTGCTCTGCCCCTCGGAGCAGTTCTATGCTTCTTTGGCATGATTGGCGCTCGCGCCTTTGCACGCGGAGAGGTATGCAACTTCAGCGCCCGCTTGCCCCAGTTCATCCCCTGATTGTAATGCAGCTCTACTTGCAATGGCTCTTCCATCGCCCTCTCAACTACCCTGCGCCGTATCCCGCACGCCCAATATTCACGCGCGTGCGTCCCCCTACTGCGTCAGAGGTCGAGGCTGGCCTGGCCGCCCATGATTCCCTCGTACCGGAGAGGTCATTCTACAAGAACACGTACTCGATGGTTCGTCCCCTATCCTCCTAGCGATCCTCGGCTAACCTTGTCTTCAGGCGACGGATCCCACGACTTATCAAGCACTGTTCTACTTCCTTGTGGTCAAGCCCGGGATCACGTTGATTCTCTTCCTCCTTTTCCTTGTCCTTGGCATTCCTGCGCTTGCTCTGGTCGTGACGGCACCCGCCGCTTTGCGTGCTATGCGGCGCCTCGGAGTATGGCAAGCGAATATAGCCGTGGAGGGGCTTTACCTTGCCGTTAGATGAGGTGCGAGCGACGCGCCCATCGGCGACCAGTGATTACCTTCGCGGGATTGCGACGGGGGACCTATCTATGGTGGATCGTAACTTGGTGGTATTCTTGTACTTGTACGTACTTACCCATTCGCTACTAATCATACAGATACGCTTCTTCGATATTGCAGATCATACTATTCAAGCAGTTGAGCACATTCGAGCGTTCTCTTCTGGTCTCTCCATGAGCATGCCATGAGCTTGTGATTGTCACTGTGCGCAGGGGTCCGGCGTCCAATCTCAAGAGCTACTCACCTGCCCATCCACAACGGCCTATCCTTTTTGGGAAGCATGAGCGTTTCCTCGGTTGCCGTGGATGGGCCTCCGGTCATCTTTCGTCACTGGGATCTCGTGCCATTCCTAGCGCGTACGGCAGCAGTGCATCTGATATTCACAGCGTAAGACCAGGTTTAACCTCATAGCTTGCTGACATAGGCTCTCGTCGCTGTTCTTCACATGAATTCCGGTCGGGCTAACGTTCGGTGTAGCCATGACCGAGACTGGGTGTCTGCGCTCGGCGTGAGCGATGACAATGGTGCGCACATAGTGCCAGCGGCTCTGACGTCCACATTCAGCGCTCGATTTACCGGCGCCACTCACGCAACGGAGCTTCTGCCGACGATGCTTATAGCCTGACGGTCGCCATGGATGTTCAGCGTTCGTCCCACCTGCGGTTCCCTTCTGTTCGAGCAGCCATGACCACCATCGCCACGCCCATTACCGAGCTCTTTGGCATAAGGCATCCCATAATCCTTGCTGGTACGTGTTCATTGCGCTGCATTGCATGTTCTGTTGATGCTGACGCGCTGCGTAGGAATGAACGTTGCCGCTGGTCCTGAGCTTGCTGCAGCAGTGACGAATGCAGGCGGCTTGGGTGTCATCGGTGGCTATGGTTTTACGCCCAAGCATCTGCGCATGCAAATACAGGCCATTAAGGAAGGACTAGAGGACAAGAACGCGCCGTTTGGAGTAGATCTGCTGTTGCCGCAAGTAGGAGGATCGGCGAGGAAGACCAATGTGAGCTCTGTTCATCACGCTATTTCCGGAGAGCTTATTGGAATAGTATGATTATACGAAAGGTGCACAGTGCATTACTGGACGATACTCGTGAACACAGCTAACTTGGCGTAGGTCAACTCGACGAACTCATTGATGTCATTATTGAGGAAAAGGCCGCGCTCTTCGTTAGCGCTGTCGGCGTCCCTCCAGTGCATGTCGTCCAGAAGATGCACGCTGCTAGTATACCAGTAATGAACATGGTGCGCTGCGTCGCCAGCAACCTTTCAATGTTCGTCTAACAAAACGCCATCAGGTCGGGCACCCCAAACACGTCAAGAAAGCCTTGGCCGTCGGTGTAGACCTCATCTGCGCTCAGGCTGGCGAGGGCGGCGGTCATACGGGCGATGTTCCCGCCAGCATTTTGATCCCTGCATGTGTTGATGCCGTACGAGGGCACACATCACCCATGACCGGCGAGCCGGTGTATGTCGTAGGCGCAGGCGCCGTGTACGATGGGCGGTCACTCGCTGCAAATCTCATGTGGGGTGCGCATGCTGTCTGTGGGTCAATGGTGTTTCTCGAAAGCTATTACTGTGCTCAAAGGTTTGTGCAGGGGTCGGGACTCGCTTCGTAGCCTGTGTTGAGGCCAGTGCGCCCAGGCTTCACAAGGATTTCGTCGTCAAAAGTGGCTTCGACGATAGTGCTCGCACAACAATATACACAGGACGGCCGGTTCGGTTGTTCAAGACGGCATACGTAGAGGAATGGTGAGTACTATTCCAAGGCCAATCATTGTTTTCTTTCTTTCTGACTTCGTGCAGGGAAAACGGTAGGCAGGACGAGATACGCGCGTTAGCCTCCCAGGGTATCATACCTTACAACAAAGACATGGAAGAGCGACCTCACAAAAGCATTGAAGCACGACCTTGGATCATGGGCCGTGTTGCGGCGCTCATTGACGAGATACTACCTGCAAAGGTCAGCATGGCGCTCGGAACACCGTCCCCACGAGTTGTTTACCGTTGCTTCTAGGTAATAGTGGAGAATATGGCCAACCAGGCCGCAGAAGTCTTGAAGCAAAGAGCGTCCATGGTGAAGTCGAAACTCTAGATTCAGCGCACGCCGTGGTGTGTTTACTACCCTGTACGCAAATTTGCTCGCGGCCTGTGGAATGCGGAGACGGTCTTCTCTATTCCGGACTTTAACGTACTAGCCAATAAGGCAGATAGCACCGCACGAAGATCTGGAATGTCGCTGTGGTACTCATCCTCAGACGGCCCTATTCTTGGGGGAAGCGGAGGTTGTGGTCCGGGGCAGGTCCGGGGAACGCCTTGTGACCCGCTTCCAGCGAGGTCGGACCGTCGGGCCGCAATCTTCTTCCGCCACTCATCTCGACGACATGGGATACAAAAGCAGTGCGAATCGATGCCGTCGGGGTCCCCTTCCCCTCGTCCCCATCGCAGACTACCAAGTGCCTACGCAAGATGCAAGCGGCATTCTACACGACACCCTTCGCGGCGAACCCGCTCGAGACGAAGGCTGACCTGTCGCAGTTCCTCAAGGACGTCCTCGATCCTCTCGCGTCACATACCTCCCCTGGCGGAGCGCGCGTCCACCTCGGGTACACAGGAACACACTATGATGAGGCAGCTGCTCACTTGGAAGGGTGGTCGCGTCCGCTATGGGGCTTGGCATCTCTTCTCGCGGGTGGAGGAACCTACGATGGCGTACAACGATGGGTCGCTGGCTTCGAGAGCGGTACAGACCCATCTCACGAAGAGTTTTGGGGGAACATGCGCGACAAGGATCAGCGTATGGTCGAATGTAGCGCTATCGGCTTCTCTCTCGCTGTCGCCGGAAAGCAACTTTGGGACCCGCTAAGCAACACGGCGAAGAAGAACCTCGGAGAATGGTTGGGTGGGATGAATGACAAGGAGATGCCCAATACGAACTGGCTTTGGTTCAGAGTGAGTCCCATCTGTATGCATTCAAATACGATACTCACTCACGTAGGTCTTCGCCAATCTAGGTCTCTCGAAGGTCGGATCCCCTCGGGCCGACCTGACGAGGATGAAGAAGGACCTTGACCATCTGGACACGTTCTACATCGGTGATGGCTGGTCCCGCGATGGCCCGGAGGGCGTCGTTCAGCTCGACTACTATTCCTCCTCATTTGCCATTCAATTCGCCCAGCTGGCGTACTCCAAGCTCATGCAGGATGAGGACCCAGAACGCTGCGAAGAGTATAGGCAGCGCGCGAAGAAGTTCGCCTTCGACTTCGTGCACTATTTCGACGAAGAGGGCCGTGCTATCCCATTCGGTCGCAGCATGACCTACCGGGCCGCCATGTCCTCGTTCTGGGGCGCGCTTGCATTCGCTGACCTCGAGCTTCCTGCACCCTTGACCTGGGGCGTTATAAAAGGTCTCCAGCTTCGGAACCTGCGCTTCTGGGCGCGACAGCCTGGTGCGTGGGCTTCCGATGGGACCATGACCATTGGCTTCGGTTATCCCAACATCAACATCACCGAGAACTACAACTCTCCAGGCTCACCCTACTGGTTCTGCAAAGCCTTCGTTGCCCTCTCCTTGCCAGACAACCACCCCTTCTGGGCGACACCCGAGGAACCCTACCCGGAGGCCCTGCGCAACACCGTCGCCCCGCTCGAAAAGCCCCTCCACATCGCCACTAACCTCGGCGGGCACACCTACATCCTCTCCTCCGGCCAGCAGTGCTCCTACCCCGTCAAGCAAAGCGCCGCCAAATACGGCAAGTTCGCCTACTCCTCTGCTTTCGGGTACAGCGTGCCCACGGGCGACCTCACGCTCGAGGAGCACGCCGCGGACAACATGCTCGCGCTGAGCGACGACGGCGGGGAGACGTGGAAGTGCCGCATCAAGACGCGCGAGACACGCATCGAGGGCGGGCGCTGGCTGAGGAGCATGTGGTACCCGTGGCCGGGGGTGGAGGTGGAGACGTGGCTGGTGCCGCCGACGGGGGAGGCGCCGCTGTGGCATCTGCGCGTGCATAGGGTGAAGACGGATCGGGCGCTGAAGACGGCGGAGGCGGGCTTTGCGATCTATGGGCAGCGGAAGGATGGTCGAGCGCTAGATCCGGCGCAGGGGGAGGACTTTGGATACCTAGAAGCAACGGGGGAGAGCCGAGCGGCGTCGAAGGCGGGAGTGGCGGGAGTTGTCGATCTCGCATCCTCGGGGCGCGAAGGCAAGGCCATCCGAACCGACGCCAACTCCAACCTATACGTGCCCCGCGCTATTATGCCCACCCTGTTGCAGGAGTACCAGGCGAGCGACAAGAGCTACTGGCTGGTCACCGGAATCTTCGCCATCCCGAGCATAGGAGATGAGGAGGGCGCAAGGAGCGGCTGGACGAAGGAATGGGAGAAACGCCCATCGGTGCCAGAAGATATAAAGAAGCTGATGGTCTGAAGGTCGACGATAGTCACTATACGAGTAATGCTGAAAGGTGAATGCAACAAGTACTTCAGACGCGTTGTTGGCAGTATACCGCAATGAATTGTCACGCTAGGTATGTGGATGTGCTATAATGATACAGATATCCCTTCCCGAGTCCTCCGTCTCTCACAAGTCCTACCACCGGCCGATGACTGGGCACGATGGATAGATACTACTGCCCTAAATTAGAGCTTCGACTTCGCCTGGACAAAGGACGCGCCCTTGTTCAGCTGCTCGATAGCCTCGCGGACCATGTCATCGACGATTTGCTGCAAGACCGCGTCAACCTAAGATATCGGGGAGAATGCAAGACTGGACGCACCTGGGCCGGCTTGATGTCGTTGATCAAAGCGGCGACACGGCCCATAAGCCATGGCCGCGTCGACGCACTCTTCTCAGGGTGCTGCTCGATCTCCTGAATGTGCGGGATGATACCCTTTGAGGTGAGCTCCTTTATCTCGGCCTGGCGGTTGGTTTCCCTGCGAAGGCGGTTAACAACATTTCTGCATGTGAATGGCATGTCGCTTACCAGTCCTCAACGTAGTCAGTCTTATACACTCGCAACGGCCGACCAGTGTAGATGAGCGTGCGCGCGTTGTCCTCAATACCGCTCTTCACCACCAGGTCCTTGTGGATCTTCGGTGCGCCGGCCTCAACGGCGGCGACGAACCGAGTACCAACCCCTGCGAATCGTTCAGCGCCGCAGCTCGCACAAAGAAACGAAGCAGATACTTACAGACAGCCTGGGCACCCCACATGAGGTTAGCGGCAAGTGATCTGCCATCGTAAACGGCGCCAGCACCGATCACATAGATGGGCTTGCCGTTCAATGGCGATGTCCGGCCCTTGACGGCGTCCACGCAGGCGGGTATGAGGATGCTAGCCGGAACATCGCCGGTGTGGCCTCCTCCCTCGCCGGCTTGCGCGCAGATGATGTCGACGCCAACGTCAAGGGCCTTCTGAACGTGCTTCGGGTGACCGACCTGCGGCGTCTCGTCAATTCAATCGGCCTTCTATGGCAGAACGGTTGCACGCACCATGTTCATGACGAAGATGCCTGCCTTATGCAAACGCTCGACGACGTGCTTGGGCGGAACACCGACTGCGCAGACGAAGAGCGTGGTCTTCTCGTCGATGATCACATCAATGAGCTCGTCGAGTTGACCTGGTTGGGGTATGTCAGACACCGCTTCAAGGGGAAGTGAACTTTGCGCACCCTTCGTGTAGTCATACTAGAGACGCCATTAGCATAAGCCAGTACGCATTTAGGAGAAGCGTACGTTGGTCTTCCGAGCGTTACCCCCGACCTGGGGAAGGAGCAGATCGACACCGAAGGGCGCGTTCTTGTCCTTGAGGTCAGCCTTGATGGCGCGTATTTGCTGCCTCAAGATCTTGGGGGTGTATCCGAGACCACCAATGACACCAAGCCCACCTGCGTTCGTGACCGCAGCCGCGAGCTCGGGGCCAGCGGCGACGTTCATTCCTAAGGAGACGTGAGAACGAGGGGGACACTGAGAACCGCTCTTGCGCACCTGCGAGGAGGATGGGGTGCTTAATGCCGAAGAGCTCGGTGACGGGAGTGGTGATCGTGGTCATGGTTGACGGTGGAAAGGGGAGTGAGAGACTGGGAGACGGACATTTGGATGGTTTTATGGGAGACAATCAGGCGCGCTTCCGGCACGCGAGTTCCCCGGACGCCGGAACCGGACGCGCTTGTTCCCGGTCAGGCGGCCCGACACAAGATCACTCTTCTCTTGCCATTAAACATACGGCCGACACGCTCTCATGTCGGACTCGGCTCTGCCTCCAAAATACGCGAAAAGGCGTGCACCAGTCGTCCGCGATGAAGACATCAAAGCCGCTAAACGACGCCGAGTCGCGGAGGATTCGGACGATGGCATGGATGTCGATCCCGAAGACGCGTCAGGAGTTCAAGATGCGCGATCACAAGACACTGCGGGGTCCCCGCTCAAGCTCAAGACCTACAGGAAAGAGGTGCTCCAGAGTGCCCTTACCCAGAACAGTGAGCTACGCTCCCACACGAATGCGCAACGGCAGCTGATTCTTCCTAGCCATCGCCCTCCTGCCATCGCCAAAACGTGAGCAAATATCCTCGAATCGACGAATCCCCTTTCATCCCACAACTGCAGAGACACCGAAACTACTCAAGCGCTTCCTTCGCCATTTGTTAGTAGATGAATCAAGCTCCAATTCCGCTGGCCATGTTCAGCAGGACAGGTGCATCATCTTCCTGGTGAAGTACGTCCTGTCTTGGCCAAACATCTCTCTCCGCTAAGATTCCGTAGGGATGGTGGTGACAATCCTGGGGATGCATACGGACTCGCAGAAGTCGTATCTCAAATCGAAGAACCTACCACAATTCTTCCGTTGACGCCGCAGGTCAGTCTATTCAATTCTCACTGTCCTTTCGACCTCATCAGTACGCAGAATTTCCTAGACGAGCTTTCCTCCAGCGCATTTGCGATCACCCAAGCCCAAGCAATTATCATCCCTGAGCCGCAAACCTTCAATCACGAAGCGACGCAAGCATTGGAAGAGATCATCGACGACTTTTACCGCCCGTCTGCGCCTTCCCTCCGACCCCTCATCCTAGCCACCGTCGTACGAACGTCTCGACCCTGGCTCTCCTTTGACCAGCAAATCATCGCCCTCGAGCACCTGCTAGAGTGCAAGACCCACGGGTTCACTGATAACCTGCGCCAAGCGGTCGTTCCAAATCATCCGGTCACCGAAGTCGTGTATTATGAACCTGCGCCCCAGCCTCCTGATACCCCGCTCATCACGAAGTTGCGCGAGGCATGTAGCCCAGCGCCGACTTTGTGTGAGCCGTATATCAGACGGGCGCGGAGGATCTTGCGCGACCTAGGACCTGCGGCGGCGAATTACTATTTATTGCAAGCCAAGGATGATTTGAAATTGGCCGTAATCGAAGACGCACCTTCAAAGACCGCAAGAGAGCAAGCGGTGAAGCTCCTCACAAACGAAGCAAGGCCCAATCTACGGGCTTCAGGCCAATTAACATCCAAGATTCAGCAATTCTTAGACGTCGTTCGAACTGAATACGAACAAGGCACTGACCATTTTCGTGGTCTTGCGTTTGGTTCGTACTATGATCCTGAGCTTGTTGTTGTGGTCTCTTACAAGACGCCCCGAACAGTCTGCTCTGATCACGTGGCCCATCTCATTGCCTACATCGCGAATGAAATGTATCATGCGCTGCAGGCAAGAGTTATCACAGGCAATGTCGACCGAACTACACTGGTATGTCTGCTTGATCTTCGACACTGGTGATACTCATTCGTGAAGGTCTCTATTTTCCGTGATTACGACATGGGCAAGACCAAGCTCCTCATCGCCACGGAATCGGCGATGGATATGGACTTCACGAGGGCTTCGCTTGTCGTTCAGTACGCAGCGTCTGTGCATCGAACGTTGTCTACATGGCTGAACTGACTTTCTCAGGCTCGATCTGTTCGACAGCTACGCCTCATATGCGTACTCGATGGCACACTCTAGCAAGCGCCTAGTTCTGCTCGCCGCGCAAGGAAAGCCTATACATCGTCGAACCGTCGAGGGCCTTATGCAGCAGGAAGATGCTTTATCGAAGTGGGCCAAGACGCTGACGACAAAGAGCATTCTAATACCACCGATATCTTCACTGCTCGAGGAACCATCGAAGACGCGGCGTGTACTAGAGAATGAGGAGGCGGAAAAGGATAGCGTCCTCACATGCGCTGCGACAGGCGGGTACATGAATCCTCACGACGTGGTCAAGGCTGTCTGTGCCTACGCAGCTACGCTCCACGTCGCCCATAACTTCACTGTCCTGGAAACTCACCGCACTCGTCAAACCGAGCGTGTGGGCTTCATTTGCACGGTCCATCTACCTGGTAGCCCGGCTTCAGAGGTCGAAGGCCCTGTCGCGCCATCGCGTTGGGAAGCACGCCGCGCCGCCTGCGCACTCGCATGCACCGTACTCTACAAACACAGTGTGATCGACAGCCGCTACTTCCGCCACCACCGGATCCCTGGCGAAGGTGCACTCACTTACAGCAAGCCCACAGGCGGTGCCCCCGGGACAACGTTTGCGCGGCGCAAAGCAGCATTCTGGAAAATTAGCGCTCGTACGCCACAAAAGGAGGGCGTTTATCCTATCGTCATCGAATGCGTCGAGCGCGACGGGCCGGAGCGGTATCGCCCACTGTTGCTGTTGACGCGGCACCCCCTGCCGGATTTGCCTACAATCCGTGTGTACGAAGTGCCCAATGTGCGGGAGGTGCGTGTGCGGCGAGCCAAGCCGCTGGATTTGGACGACGCGCAACAGGATCTGTTGGCGCGATATACGGAGCGTATCGTGCGCGCAGTATTGAACAAGGAGCTTACGTGCGCCTCGGGGGATATGCTATGGACTGTGGCTCCGCTGCAGGCGGGGTGGCGACTGCCAAGCGGGGAGTCATCCTTCGATGTTTCGAGTGGCATTGACTGGGCTGGGATGGAGGCGAGTGTGGCGGAGCTGTACGTGCCCATCAAGCGGGGATCGCCGGACGAGCTAGCAACTCATATGGAGGACGGCGTCGTGCAAGGGCGTCGGTCCGAGATGACGCGTCGCTACTTTTTCATGGGTGTTCGGAGAGACCTTACACCGTTGAGTAAGCCTGCGGACAGTCCGGTGAGCTTGTCTTCCTCCAGTAAGCGCAGCCCTTACGAGACTGATACCCTTGGTCTAGCGCGAGGCGCTCTACGAGAATATCTTTGAGTTCGCTAGATCCGCGAGTCGGGATTTGAAGACCCTCGAGGACTTCAATCAGCCTCTTATCGAAGTGGAGCGTATCCCCCAAGCACACAATTGCTTGACGCTCATGCAAGGACCGCCTGACAAGGGCGACGTGCCAGCGAAGTGTACGTTGTCCGCCGAGCACGTTACGAGAAGCCCTCGACAACTCATCTGACAGACATGATACCGGAACTGTGCTTCAAGATAACCATCCCTGCAAGGTGCGTTACGGGGGTGCAAGTCATCCTATCACAGCCACTGACGAAAATACAGCGTTATGCGAACAGCGCTGCTTTTACCGTCTGTATTGACCCGAATCGACGAAATCTTCCTCGTCAAGGAGCTAAACGCTATCCACTTCAACCACATCATCGCCGAAGACCTCCTGCACGCTGCGCTTACGACGCCGTCCGCGGGCTTTGACCGCAACTATGAGCGCCTCGAACTCTACGGTACGCAGCAGTTCGCGATAGGTTAGGCACAGGCATCTCACCCCACCTCTCCAGGCGATGCCTTCCTGAAATATCTCGCCTCCCTGCATCTCTTCGTGATGAGCCACCACAACGACAGTGAAGGGAAGCTGCACGCGGCGCGGCGCCCACTCATCAGCAATCAGAAGCTTATGGAGTGCTCCCTTGCGCTGGGGCTTCCCTCGTTCGTTATTGGCAAGCCGTTCGTCATTAGGTTCTGGGGACCGGCGAACTTCCGAATGAATCCCCCAGGGGGGTCGGCGGAGAAAGGCAAGGAGAAGGAACAGGGAAAGGTCGCAGAGACTCCTCCGCCGGCGAGTGACGCCGTGGGCGCCAATCAGGGCGAGGGTGGCGGCGGAAAGAAGCGTAGGAAGAAAAAGAAGGGCGAGCCCAATGACGGGCAGATCCAGCAGATGCTAAGCGACAAGGTGAGGCATCCGCGTGTTGTAGACGCGCATCCACACTCACGGTTTTTTTCAGGCGCTGGCCGATGTCGTGGAAGCCATCCTAGGCGCCGCACACCTAAGCGCCGGGCGCGACGGGGGTCTGCAAGTGGCGAAGGCGCTAGGGCTTCCAGTAGCAAAGAATGCCGACATCTGGGACGATTTCAAGGCTCAAGTGTCTATGCACGCGACTCCGTCTGCCGTGTCTTTCCTACGCCCAGGGACCATCGACGGCGTGCAATCTGTGATCGGCCAGAAGCTGAACAAGCCAGAGCTTTTGGCGCTTGCTCTGGTACGCGCCAATGCCTCTAGTCTTCGTCATGAGGCTGAGACAATCCCAGACCCACGCAAATAATTCGAGCCCGTTGGGTAATTATGAACGGATCGAATTCCTCGGTGACGCATTACTGGACTTCCGTGCGATGCTACGGTCCATCTCGAGGCGACTCGAATACTAATACTTGTTTCGCAGAGGTGGTCGAGTATGTGTATCGCAAATACACCCAACAGCCTCCTAGCGTTCTGACGTTACTCAAGGTACTGTCAGTTCGTTGTACGATGAGCGGTGCAAGCTGACAATTTATGATTAGAGCGCTATGGTGGGCAATTCGCCTTTAGCCGCCATTTGTGCAGAATCGGGCCTGTACAGGCACTTGCACCAGAAATCGCATCAGATACAACAAAGCATCAACACCTATCTCACTGCGCTTCAGAAGGCCAAGCAGAAGGAATACGCAGCAGCCGATGATGACCTCCGAGAGCGCGGTCAGTATTGGTTCGACGTGAATCCGCCGAAAGTAAATGGTATCCTCCTCCTTCTGCGCCCTGCTGATCTGACTATCTGCAGGCTCTTTCCGACATCGTGGAGTCCATCGTAGGGGCGATCTACATTTCCGACGATCTCGAATGGACAGGCGTGCAGCAGCTCTTCAAGCATTTTCTGCAGCCATTTTACGAGAAACACATACGCATGAATACGCTTGCCGTACACCCAACCAAGATCTTACTCGAATTGGTTCAGAGTCAATGTTGCCACAAGCTGGAACTTGTCAAGAGCGCTTCAGCCGGTCAGACGCAATGCAACGGTATGTCGCACGTTGTATTTCACAAATTGATACTCAGACGTATGCAGTCCTTTTGCATGGTGCTGTGATCGCCAGCAAGACAGCGGTCAACGGCGTTCTGGCAGCGAGGGGGGCGTCATCGATTGCCCTCAACAAGTTGGATAGAGACCCCGGTTTGGTCGCGAGGACGTGCACCTGTCGTACAGCAGGAATGGGAAAAGCGGAGAGGGATGTCGATCAATTCTTGTCCGAATTCAAAGCCTGACGGCGGTTCAACGGCGCGAGATCGGGCGATGGAGCATACGACAGCATTTCCAAGTGCAGAGTGTATGATATATTGCGATCTATGCAGGATACGGACAATGCGAAGCAAGAGGAAGGCAGATCTACTGCGCCTTATACCTACGGGAGAAACCGGGTGAGTATACGACGAGCTCGATCTCGCGCGCACAACCACGTACCTCTGCCATGCAGCAGCAATGAAGGGGAGTCCAAAGCCGAGACTCATGAAGAGACCGAGCTTGGTCCCAAACGCAGCCTTGTTGTTGACGCTGAAAGGCAAGTGCTGTGATGGTGGTTAGTCTTCAAACGCGTCCTGGTCGACAGGTGGACGTACCGAGCCATCGGCTTCCTTGGCGGCGCTGCGGGCGACTGCACTAGAGTGCAGGCCAGAGCGGCCCAAGACCTGGGCGCGAAGGGCAGAGCGGGCGAATACGGCAGACATGGTTCTGGACAAGGAAAAGGTATGCGGATTGGCAATTCCGTCCAGGATCGTCATCCGTCCTCTTCGGCATTCACCGAGATGTCAGGTGACGGGGTATGCTTGAGACCCACAAGCCCAACTTCCAACCGCTGAGGAACTCGGGGCAAGGCAACTCGTCAGATTCTCGGTCAAGTCAGGCAGTCTGATATGCTCAAGTACCATGATTATTGTTAGGCATATTTACCCTGTCATGACAACGATACGTCCATGGTCAATCGACACAATACATACTCCAGGCCCGAAGCATGCGCCAATACCACTAAAGTGAGCCCCAACCAGCGTATAGGTAAACCATAATGTAGCTATAATGTATCAACAATGTTCGTGTGTGTACGTGACACGGTGTGGCCGTGCGTGAGGTTGCTCTTGCTAGATGAGAACGGGGACGTGTGGTGAGAAGCGGATGTGGTGGGCGCGAGAGCGTATAATACAAGAGGCCGATATGGCGAGACGATATGCGGGACATTCTAAGCAATGCGAGGGAACGCTTGCCACGCTTAAGAGGGTATGGGTGGCAGCGCGTCTGAGCGTGCACGTGTCAGACGACGCTCAATTGTCTGAGAAGGCACTCACCATTTATTCTGAGTCCGCCTTCAGCCGACATCTTGTTCATGCTCCGAGTCTGCAACCGAAGATGCAGTATCCGATCCCTGTATGTGCCTTAGTAAAGCCAACGAAAGATCAATGACGGATCCAACTCACTGCAGATTCCAAAGACAAAGCAGCCAACTTCTCCGTTATCGCGTCCAGCTCATCTGAACGTTCCCGCAGTCTCGCTCCAGCTCCTTGCCATTCTAAAGCGCGCAGTAACGCTTCCGCCTTCACATCAAAATGAGCCTTTAATTTCCTCCATTGGCAAACGAGCGCACGTTCTCAATAACCTTCATCTTGACACTTCTGTCTTGCATGTCCGACTCCGATGGGGTGTAAGACTTTCGAGACTACAGCGAGTCACTAAGCCGCGCATTCCGAAAAGAGGAGGGGATATACGTACCGGAGTCGTTTCTTCAGAAACGAGAGGGAAGTAGCTGCCCGATGGTCCCAGCCCATACTTGGAGACAGCACCACCGCTAGCCGTAGCAGGTGGCGTCCGCAACTCGGCGAAAACCTCCGTGAGGCTGAGACTGTGCGTGTTCTTCGGACGTGTGTTGACGCAAGATAGCGAGTCCGGTGGTGTGCGAAGGATCGAAGGCGACACCGGAGAAAAGGAAGCGGAAGACAGGGCTGGGGTGGACTGCGGGGTGGTGAGGGCCAATGGTTTCGGTGAAGGGGGTGGCGATGGGGATAGGTATGAGCTGGTTGGCAGGGATTCGATGGGAGCGAGTCCGTTGGCCTGAAGGAATATTGGCAGCCTCGACAGACTTTGGGGAAAGGTTTTGGCGTTCGGCAATGGAATGAAGCCGTTGGGGCTGTCGACGACGTTGGTAGCGCCCGTCGCATGGCTGCGTAGTAGCGTGTCCGAGAGCTTTGGGCGTCTGCGGACCCAGCCGGGTTGTACATCTGGGTCCACAGCGGTATAGCGAGACGACTTGAAAACGAAGGACTGCGGGGAAGGTGCGACGGATGACGCTGAGAGTGCCCGCTTTGGATTGGCCGAGTTGTGTGTGTGCATTACTTGCCAGGAGTCATTGTTGTAATCCGACTGCGGGTGTGAAGTCCACGGCCGACGACGACGATGAGAGGCAGCAGCGGCGGGACGATGAGGGTAAGTACCAAGAAAAGCCTGAGACAATCAATCCCTTTCGGGCATATCTCTTTGAGCCAAGCAAGCCAAAACAGTCATACGCAGTCATGTGGCCGTTACGGCCCGCCTTCTACTTCGGTCTGTATGCGCGTCACTGCAATGGGTCGACACCGCGTATCTCCCGCACCTTGTCCTCTTCCATCTCTTATCGCACCATGGCACAGGCAGCCACCGTCAAGATCGGCAGCAGCACCTACACCGTCCCGACAGGGCTCTTCATCGCTAACAAGTTTGTTCCCTCTGTCGATTCCGTTGAGCGCATCGAGTAAGCTGCTCTGTCTCTGGGAGTATGCGCCTTGTAACGCGGAACTGCTCCCAGAGCCGTGAACCCTCTCACTGAGGAGGTCATCTGCTCCGTCGTCGCAGGTAAGTCCTATCTCTCTCCCCTCCTTGATAGCCCCCCCAGAGGTGAATCCCGTTCGATGCTGATGCACCCTTTCCCTACGTATCGTGCCCTTTGTACGACGGTGCCTGCTATCGCGATAGCTTCATCGAAGGACATCGATGCCGCGGTCGCCGCCGCCCGAGAGGCGTTCAACACAACATGGGGCAAGAATGTGACCGGCACCGAGAGATCGCGCCTTATCAACAAGTTGGCCGACTTGATTGAGCGCGACGCGCAATCCCTAGCGGAACTGGAGACCTTGAACAACGGCAAGCCCGTCAAAGTCGCTAGGTATGTGCGCCGCGACAATTTCGTAGCCTCACTATATTCTTCATAGGGACTTCGACATTTCAGACAGTGTCGCGTGCTTGCGCTACTACGCAGGTGAGCTATCCTATGTCTAGGAAGGAACTCATGAGGCCAACGATGCATTGCGCGCAGGCTGGGCGGACAAGATCGCAGGCCAGGTCAGTTGATGCTAGCTGTCCTCATGATCTTGCCAGCTCACCAGGGTAATTCTGTGCAGGCACTTGAAATCGACAACAAGACCAAGTGGGCCTTCACGAAGTCTGAACCCATTGGCGTATGCGGTCAGATGTACGTCGTGTGCTCATCGATAGCATACGCGATGACTCTAAAGCCGCAACTCGCAGTATCCCATGGAACTACCCCATTATGATGTGGTGCGTAACGGCACTCGAGCGGGGTCCGCAATTCGGGTCTAACTCGTCCCCGTGGACTTCAGGGCATGGAAGATTGCACCAGCCCTGGCTGCTGGGTGTACTATTGTCATGAAGCCGTCAGAAGTGACGCCTCTCACGGCACTGGTGAGCGTTTCTCGCGCTCCCTTCGCGCATGAGAATTTGACTATTGGCCAGAAACTGTCCGAACTCATCGTCGAAGCCGGGTAAGGCAGAGTGCAGCAGTCGCATGCCTCCATTGACTCTTGGCGCAGGTTCCCTGCGGGCGTCGTCAACACGGTGCCAGCCTATGGTCCTGTCGGCGGCGCCGCTATAGCGTCGCATCCCGATATCGACAAGGTTGCCTTCACCGGTAGCACCGCCACCGGCCGAAAGATCATGGAGGCCGCCGCCAAGAGCAATCTGAAGAAGGTGGGCCTTGTTCCTTTCGGGGAATTTGGGTGATGTGACCGGTTGATTAGGTCACGCTCGAACTCGGTGGAAAATCCCCTCATCTGGTCTTTGAGTCGGCTGATTTGCAACAAGGTGAGCGATTGATACGGGTATCTGCCCTGTCTCGGAATCACGATCTTCATCCTCTGGGCGCCTAACGTTGACCGTCGTCCGTGCGCGGAACTCTGCAAGTGCCGATGCTTGACGCCGCAGCATATGATCTATTCCAGCGTCAGCGCTTAGTTGCTGTATGGCTTGTATGCGGCGGCCGACCTCCTTCAGTCTCTGCATGTGACTGCCTGCATTGACACGGCGTCGTTGCCATCTTGGCCTTTGAAGGTGGTAAGGCGCCTACACTCACCGTGGCGCCGAATTGGGCTCGGGATAGCTTTTGATCATTAAATATCTCATTGCAAAGAGTTAATACTGACTTCCTTACGCAGCTGCAAACTGGGCGGCCCTGGGTATCTGCTACAACACAGGCCAAGATTGCACTGCAGGATCTCGTGTCTACGTTCAAAATAGCATCTATGACAAATTCCTCGAAGTGCTCACCGCCACCGTCAAGGCTACTGTGATTGGAGATGGCTTCGACGACTCCGTGACGGGTGGTCCATTGGTATGTGCAGTGCATGCCTTGTGGACTAATCTCACACCTTATCTACAGGTATCGAAGGCCCAATTCGAGCGCGTCTGGGGCTATATCGAAGCCGGAAAGCAGGAAGGCGCCCGTGTGGCCCTCGGCGGAGAAAAGCGCTCGGGCAAGGGGTACTTTGTCGACCCAACTAGTAAGAGTTCCTTGCATCTGTAGCGTGCTGATGTCAACGCCTTCGCTGCAGTCTTTACTGACATCAAAGAGGATATGAAGATTGTTAGTCCACATGCACCTTAGCTGTACGAACGATACTGATCAAGCGCCTAGGTCAAAGAGGAGGTGTGCAGGCGTTCTCTACAGCGGCATTGCTGTAAGTGGACTGAAAGTTCGTCCTCTACGTACCCAGATTTTTGGCCCTGTCCTGTCCGTCGGCCGCTTTGAGACAGAGCAGGAAGCCATCTCCATTGCGAACGCCACGAATTACGGCCTAGGCGCTGGGCTCCATTCTCGTTAGTCCCTTCAGCTGCGTTCGTAACTCCGCTTGTTGACGTGCTCTGCAGGCGATGCCAACCAGTGCATACGCGTATCCTCAGCGTTGGAGGCCGGTACCGTAAGTCACTACAAGGGCGATTTGCCGCCACCGGCGCTTACACGTTCTCAGGTCTGGATCAACCAATACAACATGTTGACGAACAACGTGCCCTTCGGCGGCAAGAAGCAGTCCGGCATGGGTAAGATGGAGTGTTGCAGTGCGCCCACAGAGATTGACGCCCTTTCCATCAGGTCGCGAACTCGGAAGCCATGGCCTCGAGGAATACATCAGCGTCAAAGCGGTGCACTGGAACTTCGGCGAACAGTTGGATTGGCCTTTCTGAGATGCGGGGTTGATAGTATCCGAATGACCTATCGAGAGCTACACCATGTACTTGTACGATGAACTGTTGATTTACTGACCTACACCAAATGGGCGGTGATGAGGATTACGTGACTTCTTGCGTTGCCTGAGCATCTACCAAGCGCTCGTAGAAGGGCTCTCACGCGTAAATAAACCTGCCAGTCGCAGGGACCGCGCGGAGCGTAGCGGAACACTAGATGCATGTAAATGACTTTGATTCCATCCATCGTAAACTACGAGCTATGAGAGCAACTAAGATATGTAAGTACTGGCGCGAAAGATATCATATTGATCTCCTTGGGACATGGGAAATGCATACGTCCTAGAAACTGAGTCAAAAGTATGCAAGCTGAGAAGCCGAGCGACTGGATCGACTGTGGGCGCCGGTCACTTCGCGGTTCTCGAGGACGTCAGGACCCCGTCCGATGTCAGCGGCGGCCGATGCGTCAATTGAAGAAGCCATGCACGTGGGGCAGTGGCAGGGGTAGCCCGAGAGGTGGGCAGCAACAGGCGCACTGAGGACGGCTCGTGAGCGTGCGTATAAAATAACCGACGTAGAATGACAAACCTCCGTGGACCAGGCAAAGTAGGGTATGAAGGAACGCTTGCGAAGTAGTCCATCGGCGAAGTTGCAGGTGGAAACTCCTCGCCATGATGCGCGTGGTGCATGGGACGATCCCCCCAAGGTACGGGGTTGTCGCGCGCTAAGAAATACGACTCGTGCGATGTCGAGAGACTCGATGTTCTTCTGCCAGTGCTACGAAGGTCCTCGAAGGCCGTGGTAGCACCGCCGGACAGGCCGAGGGGGAAGCACGGCGAGTACGGAGTCTCGTTTGTATAGGCGCCCGCGAAGTCATCGTAGGCGCTCTGTGGACCGACAGAATGGTCACTGCCAGTGCGCGTCATGGCGTAGTGTTGGCCTGGGTAGGGGACAGTGGAGGACTGCTGCGTGTAGGGTGGCGCGCTCAGAAATGGAGCCGAGCTGTATGACGAGTAACTCGACATGGACGAGAGGTGAGAGTGCGGGCTCGTGCGCTCCTCGGGGGAGTAGGAATGGTGCGAACGACGCGGATAGTCGTCTTGACCTTGGTCCTCAGCAACGGCCTTGTACTCGCAGGTGTAGCCGTGCTTTTGGCACCGCTTACAGGCCGCACCACTCTGCGTATTTGACGGTTCGCACTGAAGGCCATAAATCAGGCCAACAAAAAGCTGGAGGTGGCAGGACCACGTACCTTAATCTTGCGCTGTCTGCAGTTCGTACACGCTACGAGTGCACGCTGCTGCCGTATCATTGGCTTCGTAGGGGTGGACTCCATTCTACAGCGAAGGGCAGAGCGGGGATGCGCTCGGGAGGGGAGGGGCGAAGATGGGCGCCTGGTGCAAGGATCCTCAGCTTTATATGTCTATTCCAAGGAATTCGGTGCCAAAAGAATACCTTGATGTATCACTGAGGAAGAGCGGTGAGAGGTGAGCTGCGACCACCCGGAGGCTATCCCAGTGGGGATAAGAACTGATCAATATGGGTTTGGTCCGAAGTTCAACTTCAGGGTTCCCTCCATGATGCACGTGAGATAGGGCAATTAGCGCCTAGCGCTCATCTGGAGCCTGCTCTCACGAGGATACACCCCTCAAGCCCCGACAGGCCGGCGAACGGAAAGAGACAAACGATATTTGGGTGTGAGTAACGAGGCGAGCTTTTGCACACGTTTCCACTCGGAGCCGTCAAGGCGCCGAATTCCTCTGCCCGAGACTGAGTGTCGACACCGAGTCCATGAACCTCCGTGATCTGTACTTCAGCCAAAAACTTCGGTCCTTAACATGCATATGCGTACAGTGATATTACAGAGCCAGATAATCCCTAACTTCTTCCTCCGTCAACTTTCTGAAAGTCGGCTTCGGCCTGGACATGGCACCTTCCGGTGCCTCCGCCTCGAGCTCAGCAAGCGTGGGCACAGTGACTACGCCGATCTCTATCGTCTTCTCTGTCATCTGGCCCTCGAAGCCCTCCTTCAGGGTCAATAGCGCTGTGTGGATGGCGTCCTCCAGGCTGATGTCGTCGTTGTAGCTGGTTGAGATCAGTTCAGAGATCTGCATCGGGGGTAAATTGCGGCGTACCGCTTCTCCAAGAACGTCTTCGCATTGACCATGTTCTTCCCTATCGCGCTCGCTTTCCATGCCCAGAACGACCCTGACGGGTCAACCTGGTACAGGGAAGGGCCGCGATTGCTGTCCCAGCCTGCGACGAGCAAGGAGACACCGTATGGTCGGACACCTCTATAGGTTAGGTTAGGACACATTCACACAGTTATCATTAGGGCTACGCACCCTGACTGCGTGGCTTGCTGCATGACGGTGGCGATCTCCTGCGTTAACACGCGCGTGGGTGGGTATTCGCCATAGATCTTCCAGTACGCCTGTGCAGTCTTGCGCGCCTTCGTGATCAGGACCCGGAAGTCGGGCCCCATTCCAGAGTAGACAATCCCGATGTTTGGGCAGATGACCGCGACCTTGTCGAGCATGGAATCGTCGACTAGGATAGAGGAGGACTTCTTCTCAGTTGCGATGACGATGCCATTTGTCGCTGTGATGTGTTGTAAGCTGAGATGGGTCTGTTGAAGATGGTCACGCACCTTTGATTCCCAAACTAGTTGTTCCCTGAGAGACGGCCGCTAACGCGTGCTCGATCTGAACGAGTTTGCCGCTCGGGGAGAAGACGGTCAAGGAGTAACTGGTGGTTTGTGTCAACGATTTGAACATCGGAGGGACGTGCTGCTGGGCACCTGTAGGCACCTCCGTCTGCACTGGCCATGGTATACGATGAGAATGAGGGTACAGATGAGCAGTACCTTGCTCACGCACAACGCGTCCTCTCGACGCGCGTTCATGATTTGGTCTCATTTGGCAATGTCCCTTCCGGCCCGGTCAGCCGGTTGGGCGCTTGTCCACTTCTCCGCTGCACTCATAGACCGCCAGCGCTCTTTTGGGCGCCTAATCATCGAAGGCCAGCGGCTTCGTACTTGGCCGAGAACCCTATAAGGTTCAAAGATGCATGATAGTCAAGTACGCGCCCATGCGCGCTCGAAAACATTCATGGAGGGCATCGCCAAAGCGGTGAAAGATGAGGCCGCCTCGCAGATAGCAGCTAGCCGAACAGTTCGTGGAACCTGGTCGATCTCCCGACAACATGATAGGGCCGGAAGGCACATCAAGACATCGAAGCCCACCTCTCAATAGTACGCTACAACATGTATGAAGTTATGTGGATGCTTCTCCCGAGATCGTTGCACGATCTTTTCCATGTCCTCATCAAGGTCCGCGCTGGCCTCAATCTGTCCGGAGCCTAAGCATGCGGAGAGCAGACAGCAGTAGAAGACTCACGGCAGCAGCTAGCTCCAACATGATCTTCCCTGCTTTCAGGGCTTCCTCGTGGTTGTCCGTGATTTCGATGTTGATAACATGTACGGGGCGATTGTAGTCCCCACCTCTCGTCAATAGATCTATACTCGGCACCCGTAAGGATGAGAAGATTGCAATAGAGGATACCGCTCACCGTCGCAGACAGCATCAAAGCACCGCTCCTCGCAAGTGATCACCACGTCGGCCATGGTTCTTCCCTCCTGCCAGCGCTCAGGTGCTAACTTGACATTGCGATTGCGATCAAGCATCTGGAGCAAGCCATTCGCGGTGTATCTTTGATCTCAGGTGAGCTGAAGTTTCGCGTAAAGGGGTCTAAACGTACAATCGGGCATCTTTGGCTTGCAATTCCTCGTAAATTGCATTATACGGGGTACCGAAAGGGTATATGTTGGGCTTGTCTATTGATGGGCCTGGTAGCCGCACAGCCGACCCTGTTCCGTACGAACAGACGCGGTAACCGGCCTTCCTGCACTCATGGTAAATCGCAGCTTGCAGTCCGTCATGCGTACTTACATCAACACAAAATGGCCTTCCATAGAACGGTTCTGCAGCGAGCAATGAATGACCAGCAGGAAGGACATGGGCGAGAGATGGCGAACCTGGTTATTGGCGCATACTACGCAGAACAATGGTCTTGGTTTATGGGACGTTGCTTGTTCGGGTGTCGAAGAGGATAGTGAAGGGAGCGGGTGACCACTTGGGGCAGCAGCGGCTGCAGCGCTAGTAGAGGGTGATGGTTGGGCCGCGTACGAGGGTTGCAAAGGGACATTTGTGGACGACCAACTTGGTGAGGGGTACGCGGATGGCGGTGGCCCAGGGTAAGACGGTGTTGGGGCAGAATACGTCGGCATTAAGGATGAGGATGGTCCGTACCCCGCTGAGCCATTCTGCGCAGGATATCCTTGGTAGCTGGAAGGGGTAGTTGCCACGGGGGGCGTACGGGTGGAAGGTGGTGGACGTTGTGGTTGACGCGCAAGGCGTGGGTCTCTCGCGCGTCGCGGGTCCATAATGTGTCTAAATAGCATTGATGAGTTTGTTATCTTCGTTTTACACGTATAGCCATGTAGGGACAGATTCCCTCAGCAGTATCTAGAACATTAGCAAGTCTTCTTGTGGACCCGAGCTCAACGTTGTGAATGGGTCCATACGCTTCCACTCTGCGGTCATCGCAGGGATTCTGTCCTATGATACTAGACGGATGGCTGTGGCTCACCGTTCAAGAGGGAATGAGATGAAGCCTGAAACTCGCACAAAGCAGGAGGGCAGCCTGCGCGGTCCTCGATCTCAACAAACGCGCGACTTCGGCATCACGGGCCGAGAGACCGACTGGAAGATTGGTGCTGACTCACATCCTTCCTCCAGACCGTCGTCACCGCCTGCATAGGCGCCCAGCGCTTGACCTCCAGCTCAGACGTCCATACCCGAGAGACCCCCTTGGAAATTCATTCAGTACGCTAACACGCTCTGCACTCATTGACTGATAGAACGCCTGCGCCAGCACAGGTTACCTCGTTGCGTGGGCGTGGACATAGACGAATACGGCACTCATGGCTTCTCTATGGTCGCTTCGACCGCTCATCTCACCTCCGGCGCCGCGGAGCTCCGTTGAGGACCGCGCCTTGGATCGCTCCGAAATCCAAGAGAACATCTCTCACCATGAGGACATCATACGGGACCTGGACATCGAGATCGCCGGCCTGCTCAAAGATGTTCGTGAGCTGCAACTCCGCAAGCTCACGCACCATCAGGCTGTTTCGAAATACCTCGGCCTCATCACCCTCGCGCGCAAGCTCCCGCAAGAGCTGCTTGCACTGATCTTTGAGCAATGCATCCAGGACGGCTACACACGGACGCCGCTCTACGTATCGCATGTCTGCTCCGAATGGCGTGAGGCGGCGAAAGCCCCTACGCTGTGGCGCTACATCTACGTGAGCGCCAATGAACACAATCCATATGCGCGTACGCTCTTTTGGTTGAGTCGCGCGCGAGAGGTACCGTTGCGTATCACCGTCGATGTCGGGCTCGACGTGGCGCGCGTTACTAGCTCGCTCGACATCCTCCTCGACCGGGCTTCGCAATGGGAGACCTTCACAGTAGCCGCCGTCACCGTTCCTCAGGGCAATCAGATACTCGACATGTGCGGCCGCCCTCGCGAGTTCCCTCAACTTCGCACTGTATCACTGTCCGTCGAACAGGAAACTACGGTGATCGAGCCCATGGGCGTCGGCTCGGAGGATTTCTACCCAATGCAAGTGGCCTTCAAGGCAGCGCCACATTTCAGAACCCTCCATGTCGCTCGCCCGTTCCTTCCGGAGCCTGGGGTCCTCCCCGCGCATATCTCGACCCTGACACTATCCCTATCCTCCCAGCCGACCATCACCTACTCCTTGTCGGCATTGGCCAGCGCGCTCGCAGACCTGACGAATCTGCGCGAGCTATCGCTTCTCCTGACGGCAGGGGCGGAGCACGCCTTCGTCCTTCGAGTACATGAACAACCGCAGCTGGTTGTTCTGCCGGACCTTCAAACGCTGACGCTCGTCGGAAATGAGAGCATGTTCAACTTGCTCGAATTCCTTCAAGCGCCCTTACTACGTCGTCTCCACGTACGCTCATGCGTCGAGCCCAGTGGCGAACCTAATCTTTCCCTCGCGCACTATATGGAACGCTTCCTGGGCTCGTGTGCTCCGCCGATCGAAATGCTGGAGTTGCACGACATCGATCTGCCATCGTCGTCGTTCTCCTTCTGCTTCTCGAACCTCCCACATTTGAGGCACCTTCGGCTGCACGAAAGCGATATATCCGACCATATGATCGGACGGCTAATGAACAACCCTCGCTTGTCGACGCTTGAGCTGCGCTGGTGTGGCCAAGTCTCTGGCAAGGCGCTCCTGGACCTTGTCGAGCGCAAGAAGCGGACGGATGGACATACACCGATCGGGGAGCTGGTTATGATCAACTGCTCGTACGTAGAGGACGACGATATCGTCGCGCTTGCCGAGCATACCGTCTGCCGGCTCGTGATTTCCGACGAGAACGATTATTGTCGTAAGTACGACTGTCGATGCTTCAGGGCTTTTGTAACGATGCATTTCCAGGGTCCTTTGGATGCTGTCAGAACGAGCGTTATCGCAGGCGGTTGCAACTCCGGCGCCTTGCTGCCCATGGCCTTAATCAAACGCACTGGAAGCGTCTCATTATATGATCCAACTTGTGAGCGCTGTTCAGTACCTATGGTCGCCTTACCTTCCTTTGTTTTGCCCTTCCTTCTTCGGATATTAGACACCGTTGCCTTTATACGGATAGATGAGCGATGAAACACTCTGCTCTTCTTTCAGGTTTAGATACAGATACACGGAACATATGGCGTGAATATATCCTTTGTCACCCTTCCTCTATGCTGCGAAGTCCGGCACATAGCGTGCTTAGTATTATAGCCGCAGTTCAACTGTGACGCGCCGCGCACGGTTGCCGATTGAATGATTTTCTCGCATGCCTTCTGGGCCGATTTTGAGGTGTAGCTGTCATGTCGTAGAGGCGGCTCGCCAGGCGTATGGGCGCATCGTGGACTCCCTCCATCGACTAATCCGACCCGCACGATCTCTTCCGCACTCCGTCCCATCAGATGAGCGTTGGAAGAGAACACAAGCAACCCTGCCGCTGAGGAACTGCCGCCCAGTCTCGCACACATCTGATGAAGGCCTGGCAGTGGATACATTATCTCGTTCGCCAGGCATGTCAGTCGAACATTTCGGCGTTAACGCTTACTATATGCGCATATGATCCCGCAAACCGGTCCGAGAGCCTTGTGGCGCGCAGCCTCGCGCTTGGCTTTGCATTCGACTGTCACTGCCAGTCAGCCTTCCAGCACGTTGTTAGTCACTGGCTCAGGTTCTGACACTACCTCGACACGGTACTCATCTACACGGCAACGATAACATGTCTCAGAAAGGTCGTCCCAATGGGCGGGCAGAAACGCGACCCTTGCTTGACCTGGGCGAGGACCTGGAGGACAGAGACGGAGCTTGCCAGGACTACATCAACTCCGGCGAGCCTTCCAGCTTAGGTCCTGCCCCGGGCATCCAGCCAACTACCAGCCAAGCCGGGCAGGACGATCTCTTCGGCCTTCCTCCGTACGACGCGACCATCGTGGACTACACTTCCAACAATCCCGCGGTCGAGGAACCGCCCCCAGATTTTGCGCCTTACGAGGCGGAATACACCACGGACAGCAATGGAAATATTATCTCCCATGATAAGCACCTGAACGAAGACGGTGCGTAGATCGTACATTTCCAGCGGCTTACACTGAACGCGCTCTTCCCTTACAGGTGAAGCGCTGTATCGTTTCCTCCTGTCCCAGTGCCCTGCACCTCCCGTTCTGCGTATCACCTGCGAGGGCACTCATACCGAGCACAGAACGCGTCAAGTTACTCGTGACGGGCGCACTACGACAGAACACTACTCCGAGACTATCACCGATTTCTCCTTCGCCATCGACGTCGAGCCCCCTCTTCCCCCAGTGCACTGGACTGTCGCAGATCACGAGCCTGCATATCGTGGTCTCATGGTGCAAGAGGTTGAAGGACCGCATGGCAAGCAGAGGGTCGCTCGCTCTGAGCGCAAGCGGCATGATGCTTGGGCCGAGGAACGCTGGCTGAGGGGTATACCACCTTGGATATTGGAACCCGCGTTCGATAGCGGTGACCTCGAAAGTGCGGGGTCACTGCTAAGCTCGCACACTGTGCGCGACTGGGCCGACAAGTACTGCGCGAGCCCGAAGTACTTGAAGGAGTTTGTGTTCGTGAAGGTGGGATATCAGACCTTGTCGTTGCCCCTGTGGCTAATCACATAACTTAGACGCTCTACGGTTGGAACATCCAACAGCTGGAGGACGCCGTTCGCTCGTACATCGGCACCTTCTACCACGACACCGTGTCGGTGGAAATTCGAACGCTCCGGAACAAGATCTACATTCGTCCAGACAACCGCCTCTCGCGCACATTGTCTAACAAATGGCTCAAGTTCTTATCTATCGTCCTACTCATCTTTCCTTTCATCTGGCTCTTCAAGCGCTTCCATAAGCGAGGTGGTGGACGATGGAAGGTCGCTGGCGCAGCCTTCGCCATGAAGCGGTGGGACTCAGTAACATCCGACACGGCACCGAGTGAACTCAAAAAAGATGCGCCGCCGTCTTTTGAGTCTTCAGATACTCCAGGAGCATCCTCATCTCTCGGCCCAACATATTCGTCTGCAGCTGGTCCTTCTGCTGTCATCCAAACACCGATGGGTCCGCGCAAGGTTGTGGGCATCCGCGAAGGTGAATGGTTTAGACTGTGGCAGTCGACGATCGCGCAATGCGTTACACGACGATACATTTGCGCGTCGCGTCCTATGACCTCGCCATTGCAGGAGCGACCAACAGCGCCACTGGCAGCCACTCAGCTCGATGGGTATTGAAGTCTGAGTATCGAGGCTGCAGTGTTTGCATTCGTTGATACCGAAATTCATTGGTTCATTTGGGATTGCTATATACTGTAATAGGTATTTGCGAAGGGAATGGACAAGAGGCTCTTCAGTCGCTTTGCGAGAGACGAATGATGACATGTTTATCCAGACTATGGCCAGAGGTAGTGAGTGACATACAACTGGCCTCAAACGAGGACATATTCTTCTGCCACCGTATTTCGAATGACTCCGGCTGCATGGGCTCTACACCGGCAAGATCATCCAGATGGAAGGAGGTGGTGAGTTGGAAAACTTCAACGAGAAAATTCGTGTATGGAAGGGATTTCCCACGGGCTGGATTTGTGGCGTCACTGAACGTGGCGCGCGTCATGCTCGCGTTGGCCGCCATCCCAGCCACCGTCCAGAAGGTTGTATCCTGCCTCCGCCTGCATTCACTTCCTGTATCACCTCCCATTCTCCCCGCTCATTGAATTATCGGACTGTCTAGAATGGTCTACATGAACATAACCTCGGAATTTCGCGAACTGTTGCGCGAGAAAGAGAAGTTGTACCCCGACGCGAAGAGGCGGAAGCTTTCCAGGCGTGAGCCCCCGCGACCGACTGGCATTGACAAGGAATACCTCAGGGAGGCATGCACCATAGTACGTACACTCTACGCGTTCCATGCTTGTCCCACTCACGTCCTGTAGTTGGATCATATAAACACTCTAACGCGCATGTTGGCGTCCATCCGCAAGCCATACCTCAATGTCGATGCCCGCCCGTCCCCCCTTTCCAGAAAGGGTACAAGAAATATAGATCTTGCGGGCGCCGAGTCCTGGGCTGGTATTAAGCAGCTCACGAACGAAGAACGAGATCAAATCGACTTGCAAGCGCGCGTTATTCTCAGTCGCTGCGCGGATCGAGTAAAGGAGATGGAGGCATTAGAAAAGAGTGCGTACACTCTACCATTATTGTGACATGTCACTCAGACGGCTTGCTAGAACGCGCCCAGCTAGTATCACAGAATGCGAACCCATTGAACCGGTTCTTGCCTGCACGGTTACGGCAGGACGACTCCAACAAAGCCTCTGACTTCGTTGCCGCCCATCACGCTGGGATCACCTGGTACCTTAATAGACGACTTACAGAGGCAAGCCAGGCGCAGAAAGAGATGCAAGAGGAGCGCGTCAAGAGGCAGCTGGAGCGCACGAAGACATTGGGCTCTGGCGCCGCACGCGAAGCAGCGGGCCTGGGCGCAGTCGACCACGTCTTTGCGCAGAGCCAAGCAGCACGCGTTACGGGCGGTAGCTGGCTGGGAGATGCCGTCGCGACTGCCATCGGCGCGACACCCTCTACATCCTCGTCATCCACCGCGCCTCCCGTGGTCGACGACTACGCCTCAACGGTCTCTGACGACGAGTACGACGACCTCGAGCTGTCCTCGTCACAGATACAGCAGTTCGAGGCGGAGAACGCAAGCATTCTGCGCGGAGTGCAGGACACTCTGGAAGCCGTGCAACAAGCAGAGTCGCGACTGCAGGACATCAGCGCGCTTCAGATGGAACTAGTCACGCATCTCACGCAGCAAACGGAACTTACAGACCAACTTTACGAAGATGCAATATCAGCTACGGAGACGGTCGAGAAGGGTAATGTGCAGCTTCGGGAGGCAAGGCGGCGAGCGAAGGATAGTAGAATATTCGTCCTTGTCTTCTTGTTGGGCGCAAGCTTCAGCTTGCTCTTCCTCCATTACTACTGATAAAAGCCACTATGATCATGCTCGGCCCTCGGGCGCATGCCTTCGCTCGAGACCAATGGAATGCGTACCTGAAGACGAAGTTGCGAAGATTCCAGGTGCGTCGACAATGCAGGCCACTCCCATATTTGTTCCCGGTGCAGCCGCTACGCCTCTGAGTGGCGGTGACGTTGCTATCAGGTTGCCACATACTTATTCTGACAGACCCCGGAGGTGTCTTCGTTTCTAGCTAGCTTCTTTGCAGTCCTTTGCAAAACAACCCAAGCTAAGTTGTGACAATTCGGTTCGGTACCGCGACGGATAGTCCGTTTACAGACTGGATCCTTTCGAGGTTCGAGTCTCGGTGGCAATCAAGCAGCGCTGGTTAAGCGTGGGCTCACCTATGAGATACATCGCAAGCGAAGCTCATGCACGCGATGCCAAGGTACCGTGCGAGCAATGACCAAGATCCGAGGCAACCCGTCGTGTTGGCCTCAATTCAAAGATTGAAGTCTCAAGGGTATGGTGTCCTTCTCCTATGGGTCAGCGAAGGGCGCGCTGCCATCGGAAGAATGCTCCGTGTATGAACCGGACCCACTAGCATGCAGAGCATCGCTATGTGCGAGTCATGCTGGAAGTGTACTCAATCCTAGACCACTCACTTGACTGTCGAGCGATAGCACGACGCACACGACTACGGAAGTGAAGTCCGAAGCGCAAATGGCGAGCGCCACCATCGTTCGTTTCACGGGCAGCAATCCGACTCGATTCCTTCCCAATTTACGCTGAAGACTGTGCCAACCATTCATTGGATTGCGCGCGCCCCTTCCGTGGTTCAAGGCCTATCTCATCCCAGTCGGAGTGACAAAGACCCTGGCCACGTACGCCTTCAGCTCCTTCACCTGGTCATATGGCGCCAGCATCCCAACATAGCCATCTGGCCTCACTATGGCGACAGCGCCATGGTCGTCTACCCCAAACTCGGCGTAGCCGTGGCCACCCATCCGTCGACCGGCGTCCAGGTCGTCAACTAAAATCCTGAAGTTTTGTCAGCGTATATTGATGCGTACAGGATAAGAAATAGGTCGCACTTTTCTGGCCATTGGGTCGCAAATAAGGGAGGAAGCTGTGCCCTCTGCAACTCGCCCTTCTTGACGGTGCTGACGAAGATGTAGTCGAACGAATGCGACGACGTGAAGCACTCCAGTTCCCGGGAGAGTTCATGCACCCTTTGTAGCTGCGAAGCATCCGAGGTGGTGCCTGCGAAAACGAGCACTTTGAAGCGAAGGTCGGCGGGAATAAGGTCCTGTATGTCGACCGGTTTTGAGTCCGCGGCGCGCATAAAGGGATAGGGTGGCATCCTTTGTCCAACAATGAGTCTCGGCGCACAGTATTGGAACCGTCCGTCGACGATGTCAGACTCGTGATACTGGACGCCGACTCTACGCCAGTGTTAGTTTGAAGTCGAGCGTGTTTTTTTTTTTTTTTTAAATCATTTTTTGGACCGCAGGGGCCACCTATGGTGGTCCTTCCCCTTTTTACATGTGAAGGTTCTACAAGGCTCCCTGAGCCCAGTAAGCGCAGTCGTCTCGGTCCTCGAGTGGCCTGCGGACAGAGCATATCCCCCCGCAGCCCGGTACGTCCCAGCACCGTTTCTCGAGCCCACCTGTTTCTGACGTTGCTGCGGATCCCTCCCCATCTGAGCCAAGTGGCCATGTGTCATACTCGCGAGCTGTGGACTTGAAGCGCGCCTGGTCTCCCGAAGGAGTAGTCGCACGAGGAAGAGGAAAGTGAGGGTGTGTCGAAGGTCTTGAGGGGCGGGTGCCGGCGCAAGCTGGTCTTCGAGCATCTCAGCGAGCTTCTTCGCCTGCACCAGGCTGGATTAGCCCGGGTGCTGAGCCTGTTGCTCCCGGGAAGTGGTGATAGTGTTAGTGGGCACATGTGCACCAGGATTAGAGTCGAAAGTAGGTTACGAGTTGGGATTGAGTGAGATGTCCTTGGTACTACACCTCTTTAGAGCGCGCTCTTGGGCAATACCAGGAGGCACGGACATGGTGCCCCAGTATGTTGGCTCCTGCGTTGATGATGCGGACGGCGGCCGAATAGTTGGTGACCATAATGCGCGTTGACACGTGCTGTACCCTGCGAGCATCGCCATCAGGGCAGAGCAGGCGGACATCCTTGAGTGAGGATGTGGGGATGCCGAACGTGGTCGAGAGCTCATTGGGGAAGCGATAAGGAGACTGGGCCATAGCAGCCAGTACGTCCGTGGCAGGTATACCGTGCAGCACCACCCCGAACCACGGGTCGCTGAGCTCCAGCACTGGTTTCAGCGGCGGTTCGCAGTTCCGTTGTACGACATTTTCGATGGTCAGCTTTTCATTGTCATATGCATTCTGAGCCGTGAAATCGCCGTAGGTGTGGATGACGAGATTGCCATTCGAGGTCCATCTGAGGCCGGCAAGACCACCACGTCCAGGGGTATAGGAAGAGGTGGATTTGCAGCAAAGGTTGAGTTGCTCCAGGAGAGCCGCTGGCGTCTTTGTGAGACGGATGGGGTCATCGTGTTTGGGGAAGCGAAGGGTGAAGTGTGAGGCAAATCGAGCATCCGGTGAATGAGGAGTGTCTGCATGGGCGCGTGATTGGCGCGGTGCGGATGAGCGCCGCGGGGGTGAATGCCGAGGTGGCGACGGTGGCGACGCGAGTGGGACGTTCGCTTGTTGGGTCGGGATCGGCATGGGGGGTGGAGTATCGCGCGTGAGCGAGGGCGAGGGTGGACTCGGCGCATGCGCGGGCTGCGCCACAGCCGTTGGGGTCGAGTCGGAGAGTGGCGGGAGCATGCGCTTCACCAGTGCTGTCAGGGTAGCAGTGACGCGATCGGGGTAGGTCGGCGTGGTGGGGTGTGAGTCCTGCATGGTGACCACAGCAGCCAAAGCGCTCTCGAGGAGCGTGGCAAGGCGTTCCATAGCCGGCTGTGGTGAAAGAGCCTTGGGTAGACCAGGCGGGGTGACCGGCCGTGCGCATAACGGGTGATCGGGTTCCGGGGTGGCTTCAGCGTGGTCTGCCGTGGGCTGCCCTGCACTGGACAGACGGGCGGCTTGCTTGGGTTTTCCTGCGAGTGCTCGCGAGGCTGGCGAGGGCGTGAAATTTCGCGTTAGGCGGCGAGTAGGTGCGGCGGCGGCGCTGGCCCGCTTGGACCAGGCACCGCTTTGATCATGACCGTCGGAGTCAAGAGCCATCCCCGAAGTCGAGCGTGTACTAAAGTACTTACCCGCTTGTGAAGCCAGAGGCCGTCCGGTAGACACTGGCAATGTATGAGAACGAGTAGCAGAATAGAATCGAGGGCGTACTGCAAGAAGTCCTTGTGAGAAACGCCATTCAAGTTTGCCTTCGTTCGAGGCTTTCCGGAGAACAGTCCTGCGAATTTCTTGTCGAAGTTGATGAGGTTTTGTGCGTAGGTTCGCCTCTCGAGCTCGTACTGTAGGACGTTAGCAGGGCGCCATTGAGTCCTTGAAATGACCGCACGGTCTGCAATAGATTGGGATGTGCGCTACCCCTGATGACATGCGCTATCTTCCAGACTATAGTAAACGTCAGCGAAGGCCATGAAAACGATGCTTAGGGAGCGCACTCAGATTATGTGAGTCTCTGCGAGCCAATGAGATACAGAGCGACAAAAAGTCATAAGGGCACGTACAACATGCCTGCGTTCATGCCCTGGCCTGATAAGCAAGGGTCAGATGCCTTCCTGGCGCGTCAGAGGACGCACATACCTGCTTTGGGAGAGTGCGTATGGCATGCATCTCCGACAATGAATGCACGATTGCTGAAGGAGGAATAGGCGGAAGCGACTCGCTGTCCAACTGCAGCAACGTCAGCAATTATGCTTGAGGGCGTGTGGCAGCACCCACTCTTGTATATTGTCCACCATTCCGCGTCGCCCTGTACACCTATCCTATACGGATGGAAAGTCCTTTGCGCTACCTATGCAATAGTCAGCTCATCGGCTCAAGAAATTCGGTGCCACAAATTATTACCTCTAATATCCGGTCCACCGTCGTCTTCGACTTGTCCACGCGCCCCGCCGACGTGAACTCCTCCGCTTTCCGTTCGTCCAGCTGAATATACAGTCGCACCTTCTCACCCTCGCGCGGGATAATCATGCACGACCCGCTGGCCGAGTGAATGCCGCACCAGTTGCGGATGTCCGGGAAGTCGGTGTCGGGGACGCAGTCGATGACGCCCCATGTAAAGTTCGTTTGCTCGCCGTCCAGCGCTATCCCGAGTGTCTTGCGCACCCAAGAGTGAGCGCCGTCGGCGCCGACGACGTAGCGGGCGTGCACGAGCTCGGTCTCGCCGGTATCGATGTGGCGCAGGACGACCTGTGGGTGGGGATCAGCAAGCAGTGTCGATGCAGCGTGAGTAAAGTCGACATCTCGACAGACAAGGGTTCGATCAAACGCAGAACGGATCCGAGTGGAAGGAGAAGAGAGAGCACGATTGCGACAGAAGAAGCGGCTGATCATCGTGGGATTACTCGCACGAAAAGGCCATACAGATCGTTGACCGACACACTTGTGAAGGGAAAGACACTTACGCGTATCGGGTGGGTCTGAGGGTCGCTCAGTTCCTTCGCGTTGTCAGAAGCGTGCATGGACAGCGGCTCCGTCGGGCGGTCCACATGAACACCCATTGATTCCATCGAGTCGACGAAAATCTCCTCAATAGCGCCTTGGTGCAGGGTGGCCTATGTTTGAAGATCTAGGTGTGATGCTTCCGTTATATTCGAGGAAACGTACCTTAAATGGGTAGCGCGCGCCAGGCGCATTGACCGCGGGACAACGCTCGGTAAGCTGAGGATACGAGTCAGTACACCTGCCAGTCGAGGGCTCCTCGGTGCTTGCCTCGATGCCACCATCTGCCCCAGGATTATAGAAGGCGGCCATGTGCATTTGATTGGCCTGTTTGAGTAAGCGCTCTTCGAGGCCGTAGCTCTACGCGCAGAGTAAGCATAATGAGCCCAATGCGAAAGACGAAAAGCAGACAGTTAAAGAAGCTCGTAACTTACCTGGAAAACCTCTATTGTACGAGGCTGGATGCCGTCCGCGTGACCATTCGAAACTCGCTCTGGTCTTGTAAGATAGTCATTATTTTTGAGAGGTAGAGGTGAAGAACTCGTTCGCCAACCGTCTGTCAACTATGCGAATGTTAAGGCCTGCCCTCGCAAGCCCATTAGCGCAGAAAAGTCCGCTGGGACCCGCTCCTATGATCAGGCAGTCAACCTTTGACTCTCTGAGCGTGGGCGTGGGCATGTTGAGGAAGGACGTTGGGGAGAAGCTTCAGCGGCGGACAGATCAAGGCGCTTGTTAACGATACTGCTGGCCTATAACGTGTTATCGAGGCTCCAGACTGTGTAGCCGTGTACGTCGCGAGTCGGATACAGCTGGGGCTATAAGTATGTGTACGTCAGCTCCAGACGAGAGGGAACCCTCATTGCATCACGGCAGGCTTGCCTCCATTGATCTTTGGAAAGGGTGACCCACAGTATGTCGCAACGGACCCGGGAGGGCCGACGATAGCGATCCTCACCCGACCCATCCCCGGTCGGTGCTTGTGTCCCTCAGTGCTGTCGCTGACGGTACGCCGAGGTCGAGCGCAGCTGCGCGAGGCCGGCGAAATCAATGTAAGATCGCATAATTGGGAGCTGTCGTATGGAAAGAGACGAGATAAGAGAAAGGTGAAACGAGGGGACATGTATCCATGGCAGCTTGAAGCCCGAGATAACTCAGCAAGTTCTGCAAGGTCGGCGACTATCGAGTTGATGAGCCTGTTGTCGGCTACGGAGATCCATGGGGGATGAGTCGACGAGCGGAGTTTAGGTAGCGGAGGACCCACCGGCGGGATCGGTGGCTTTTTGACCCTGCATAGGTAGTCGCTTCACTTTGCATTTCCTAGCGCGCGCATTACCTTTTTGGCTGCAAACAGGCTGGGGAACAAGCTGCTGATCTCTAGGGAATGTCCACGGGTAGTCTCTCTCGATACAGATTCTGCAAAGCTCCGACGTGCAACGAGCGCCGGGAGATGGGTGGTTCAGGTCACACTGGTAGGCCCAGCCCACTTGATGACCGTCACGGTTCAAGTTGAGTTTGAGTTGGACTGACCATAGCACGTGGCTGACGGCATTGATCGAACCAGCCGCGAACCGGTCCAGATAAGGAAGCGCTTAGCTTGTTCGTCGCGTCCACGGTCATGTCGCGTCCTTTGAGCTGCGCGAACCCCAAGCGCATTTACATATTCAACATGAAGCTCGCACACTTTCCCCTTACCCGTGGATCCCGGACACATCACGTCGGCTTGGTTCCTGACGCCGTAAAGCATTGCAAGGCCTTCAGCACCAAAGTGACCAGTGCGCTCACGGTCCTCGTCAACGCCCACATCTAGCAATCTCAGAGCTCAGCATGGACTTGCAAAGCCCCGAACACCTTATGGCTGGGTCCCTCGCCGAGTCAATCCCGGACCATACTCTCCTCGCTGCGTTAGTCGCCGTACACTTTAGGTTCACTCTCGCGGAGACCGCGAAGTTTCGCTTCCTCGGACAGGACATTATCTCTTGCGTCGAACCAGGGACGCGTCTAGAAGACATAACCCCTGCATCGGAGAGCCCATCGCTCATAGTGCGTTGTATTATCACTTCATACGAGAAGTAAAGCTCATCTTCAACAAGGCAATCAATTCAGGCCTCCAAATCTCGCGCGTGGAGAGTGCTGGCCCTGCATGTCTCTACTACGATCCCGACATCTATGACGCTGCAACCGCCCATTCAATCTGGGTCTCTGTTGGCGATGTCATCAACAATTGGAATGCCAGCCATACCGTAGCCGATCTGCACTTTCCGTCGGCGCATGCGCTACTCGATCGGCTCGGGGCGGTGTCCTTCCCCGAGCTCCCGTATCCCAAGGACACGGGGATTGGCGACCTATTCCACAATACGGCTACTCAATATGCCCAGTTGGTAGCTCTCATTTCCGACAATAGTGAACAGAAGATCACATATGCGGAGCTGGATGCGCAATCTAACATGGTGGCCAAATGGGCCCTCTCCCTCCTGCACACACTCGACGCGAGTGATGGCCAACATGCCATCGCCGTTTGGTCCGAAAACTCTATCCACTACCCTATAGTCGTATTAGGCGTTTTGAAGGCAGGACTGGCGATACTTCCGCTCGATCCTCGTACCCCTCGGTCGCGTGTGGAGACCATCCTGGAGGACAGGCGCCTTCAGCAACCTTGCATACCGATCATATCTCCTGGGAACACGAACACGGCTCCGTTCGCTGACATGGGATATCCCCTCTACGAGTTGTCCGATGTCTTGAAAGGCTCGTGGCCTGGAGCTGAACTACGCGGTCGCGCAGGAGGGTTGACTCTGGCTTTCTACTGGTATGTAGCACTCTCATCGCTGCTCACCCTACTCTGACCTGCCTTCAGCTATACGTCGGGTTCAACGGGAAGGCCCAAAGGGCTAATGATCAATCACCACACCATTGCACGCGTCGCCAAGTCGGCCTTCTTTGCGTCTCCCTCTCCTACGGACATCATCCCTCGAACGCCTGTTACCCGACCGGAGCCTGGACAGGTGTGGACGAACCTATCCAACAATGCATGGTCGTTCGCGCACGTCGAAATGTTCACTCCTCTCTTGAACGGCGCCAGCAGCCTGCCCATCCCGCACGAGCGTGTCATCGACCTTCCGCTGCTGTCGGCGACATTCATACGTCGCAATGTCAACGTCGGTTTCATGGTCCCTGCGTTAGTTGCGGCCCTCTGTCGCGAGCATCCCGAGGCTCTGACGAACGTCAGCATGATCGTGCTCTCTGGCGACATCGCGACCATCGACGACGTACGCACGGCACGCAAGTCGTTCAAGGGTCACCTCGTGAACTCGTACGGCTCGTCGGAAACACACTTCACGTCCGGCTTCGCCGTCCCGATCCCGGATGCCTCTGAAGTCGAGTCGGACGGCTTGCCTGGCGCATACCGGAGGCTCAAGTCCGTCCCCGTTGGCCGGCCGTGGTCGAACATGGGCATGTACGTCCTGGATTCCCACCAGCGCTTAGTACCGCCAGGCATGATCGGGACCATGTACATCGCTTCGGAGGTGCTGGCGCGTGGCTACACGGAGGAGCGTCTGAACGAAGCATTCTATCCGGCGTCCAAGATCTCTAAGGCATGGGGCTTGACGCCCTCCCCGGAGGATAGGCGGCGCTTCTTCCGCAGCAGCGACCAGGCTCGCTGGCTCTGCGCGACAGGACAGCTGGAGTATATGGGACGCAATGATACGGAGGTCAACATCCGGGGGCAGCGTGTCGATCTGGGTCCGTGCGTCTCATCGTTCTCTCTCGCTGTAGCTGACCCTGACTTGCAGCCGGCGTCGATCATGCACTTCGCAAGAGCATCGAGATACTCGACGCCGTCACCGTCATTCAGCATGATCCTCAAGGCGCTGCTCTCCTTGTCTCTTTCGTCGTACCGAAGTTCGACGCGAAGGTCAATAAAGCCGGAGACCTTGCCGGCGCAGAGCAATCTCCCACCGACGTCTGGGCAGATGTTGGCGACTCCATCGAGTTCGAGAGGAAGTTGAAAGACGCCGTGTCCGCGATACTGCCCTCCTTCATGATCCCGTCCTTCATCGTTCCCCTGTCGCAGTTCCCGCAAACCATCACCGGCAAGATCGATCGCAAGGCGCTCACCTCGTGGACGCACCTCGTCGACTATGCGCGCGACGCAGACGGCAGTACGACGGTCGGGGGCGATGAAAGCACATCTGCGGTGGAGGAGATCATGATCGAGATCTTCAAGGAAGTGCTGCAGCGCAAGCAAGTGCGCGCGGACAACAGGTACGTTGACACCTTTCCGTGTCCTGCAGGCAGCTTTGCCTAACGCTTCCGTAGCTTCTTCCACCTTGGCGGACATAGCTTGCTCGCGACGCAGGTAATCTCGCGGATACGCAAAGCGCTCGGCGTCGACGACCGGCTAACTGTTCGAGCGCTCTTTGATGCCCCGACAGCCGGCGCTCTTGCTCAACTCGTCGAGTCTCTGCAAGACCAAGACTGCAAGGAGTCGAATGTGACCCCGGCCATCGCCATCAGTTACCAGCCTATCGAACGCCTCAGAGCGCAAGACTCATACACACTCTCCTACGCCCAAGAGCGTCTGTACTTCTTGGACCTTCTGCACCCCGGACAGACTGGCTACATCATTCCGCACGTTCTACGTATCGGCGGCACCTTGGACATACAAGCTCTTCGCGCAGCCTTCCATCGTCTACGCCAGCGACATGAGATGCTGAGGGTGACATACGAGGATAATCACGGCGTTATCGTCCAGCGCATCCATGCTTGCGACGAACAGGAATTACTCGTTGTTGACCTTACCCTCGACGCGAAGCCGGACGATACCTTACGGAAGATGCTACAAGCCGACAATGACGCATCACTCGACCTTCACAAAGACCTCCCCCTTCGGTTCAAACTCTATCGACTCGGGCCGGATACGCATGTCCTATGGATGGCTCTGCATCATCTTTCGACGGACGCATGGTCGGACAGGGTCATACAGCGCGAGCTTGGGCAGCTGTACGCCGCGTATCATACAGGCCTTCCTGCGAACCTTCCGGACCTCCCCATCACGTATATGGACTATGCCGCCTGGCAGCGTCAACCCGATCAGAGCGTTCGGCAGGAAGAGCAGCTGAAGTACTGGGTCGATACACTGCAAGGAAGCGTTCCCGCCGAGTTCCCGACCGACTTTGTGCGGCCTTCCGCTTTGTCCGCCCGCGCGGGGCTTGAGCGCATCGACATTCTCGGCGAGGACGCAACAGCGCTCGAGCGGTTCGCGGCCTCTATGAACTCCACGCCGTTCATTGTCTTGCTGTCCGCCCTGCGCACACTTCACTATCGCTTGACGGGCGTCGAGGACGCGACCTTGGGCAATCCAATCGCCAATCGCAACCGGATGGAACTGGAGGGCGTCGTAGGGTTCTTCGTCAATACACAGTCCATGCGCATACCACTGGAGGGAAAGATGTCGTTCCGTCAGCTTTGCGAGAATGTCCGGACGACTGCGGCGGCAGCCTACGAGGCACAGGATATCGCGTTCGAGCGCGTCGTACATGAGCTGCAGCCCGCTCGTGACCTGTCGCGCAATCCCATTGTGCAAGTCATGATCGCGGTGCACCCAGAGGAAGACTCGCATCTCGGAGACGACGAAGGGAGCGCGCTCGAAGTGCAGCAGGTCAACGTCGAGCCGGTCACTAGGTTCGATCTGGAGTTTCACTTCGTCAAGATGCGGAACGGCGAAGGATACGATGGGCGTCTTCTGTATAGTCGCGACCTTTACACTCCTGCATCGGCGGCGCGCCTATCCGAGCAGTTCAAGGCTATCCTTCGGCAGGCTATCGAAGCGGAGGAGAAATCGGTCGGCGCCGATATGGCCCTCGAAGAGTTCGTCTTCCCGGATGTCGTGAACTCGCTTGTGCAGTTCGGCCTGCTAGATGATACATCGTGTCCGTACCCGAGTGACAAGGGCTTGGGAGAGCTGTTCCGCATGTCGGCCTTGGCTCATGCAGATTGCGTCGCCGTCAAGGATGCAACCCGTGTGGTATCGTACAAGGAGCTGAACGCGTTATCAGACCGTGTGGCAAGGCATTTGCTATCCCTCAGACTTGCTCCAGAGACCTTCGTAGGACTGCTATGTGCACGCTCTGTGCACTATATCGCCGCGATCATCGGCATCCTCAAGGCCGGGCTGGCCTATCTCCCGCTTGATCCTCAATTGCCCCGCAACCGGCTGGTCACTCTCCTCAACGATATACCTCGCCACTCCGTCGTATATCACGACGCTAGCCTAGCCGAGCTCGATACGACCGGAATGGGCCACGACTTCGTCGACGTCCACGCTGTTCTCTCGGACACTAGCGCACAAGACTTGGCTGCAGCTGTGCAAGTAAGACTTTTGCAAAAGATGCCGATAACTGTCCGCGGACCTATTGCAAAAGTTGCGAATGTGTTATCGGCACAGCCACAGGCCCCGGCCAGGTCGCCGGGCAGCCTCCGGCTCGCGCCCGATGCGGTAGGCAGCCCCCCCTACTTTGCCGGTCGGGGTTTCCCGCCGCACGCGATGCGCGACGCGCGCCTCGCGCCGCCGCCCAAATTGATGCGCACGGCGCAGCTGTTGATGCGCCGCCTGCGCTGCAGTGGCTGTGCCGTCGACAGGGCGGCATCGCGACAAGCACCGTCGCTGCATCCTCACTCCTCGCGCGTGTTAGATACAAGAAAAAGATATATTATGGAGCTCATAAAAAACACCGAGGCGCAACGAGGGCATAGATTGTATATGAAGAACCCGCCGCCAGAAAGTTTTCGGCAGCGCGTAGCGTGAAGGGGGTAAGAGGGGGAGGGGGTAATGAAGGAGCTTGGCATGCGCGTCAAGCGCTATAGTATGCGCAAAGGGGAGGGGGGGCGGTAGGCAAAACTGCGGCTTGATACTACGGCGCATCGCGTCGTGTAGGCTGCGCAGCGCGTCGTGAGGCCGTGTGAGGCGGGCCCCGACTTCTCCCCAGTTCGCGCGCGAAGGTGCTGAGAAGGGAGAGCGGGAGGACCGCGGCACGCGCCCATTGTCATCGTGTAGGTGGCGCAAGACGATTGGCGAGATAGCCAGGGAGGCACGTGCCTCGTGCTCGCATCGTGCGCAGTGAGGAGTAGCCGAGGGGACGAGGGGCTTATTGTCGCTTCTTAGAGCGACGCGACGCGAGGGCATATGGGGAGGGGGCAAGATGATGGTGGGAGGGGGCGAGATGGTGGTAGGGACGGGTTGCTGCGTAGCCGATCGGGGCTCGGGCAGGCTATTGCGGGGACGTGAACGCGCGGCCGCATAGATAGAAAGTCAGTATAGAACCTCATAATGTACTTGTACACACACCTATAGCATTCCCTGCGCGGTGTCGCGGAGCTCTCGCAGCGGAGGTCTTGAGGCATCATACACAGTCGAGATACAGGCATATATGATGGTTTTTGACGCGGGCAAGGCGAGGGTATTGAAGACCGTCAATAAGGGATTATATGTGTGATGAGAGAGGGAGGGAGCGAGGGCATTTCGTAGGGTACAGTGGCGCGAGGAGGGTGGCGGTAGGAGTCGCGTAGTTCGGGTCCGCAAGATTGTGTCTAGGGACCGCCCGGATGCCGGTCCGGGCGTCCGAGAGCGGTCGTCGTCGTCGAAAACGACCCCGGGAACATGCGCGAAAGCTCTGGGGTATGAATTAAGCTCATGGAAGCTTGGGGAAGTACATATAGAGTATTCACACGAAGTTTCAACATAAGTCTATGCATAAAAGAGTCCTCAATCCACGAAACATTCAGATTTTTAGCCCCGAACGGAGTGTCCGTCGTTCTGCAATTTATCTGGCACTGGATATATTAAGAAGACTGTGTCACAAGCCATTAGCGTCTTACATCTACGATACAAAGCTTTTTTGAGGCCAATCCGAGCAGAAATGAATTAGGAATGGGCGAGAAGGTGTTTGATGAGTGGATGGCTGATGAATTCAAGATTCTGCACCTAAGCACCTTGAGGGTCGGACGCGACTTCAGCAAGCTACAAGCTACATGAAGTATCCGAAATTCGTCAGTCTATACTTCATGTAGTATACTACCGACAACTAGGCTTTTCCTTCTGCTCACTGACCTTCGGCCTGCATCCGAAGCCGTTGAAGGCAACGACGGCATCTAGATCACCTGTCGGATGCGTGAGGGGTTTATTTTGACCAAACGCCTCGTCATATACTCACCAAACTCGGTAGATGAGATCTACTGTATGTACAGTAATATTAAGTATGTTATATCTACAGATCGGAGTCCCTCGGCCTCCATCCGAGGTCGTCGAAGACGACGAGAACGAACATCGGGATTCGGGCCGATTGGCCGGCCCGCTCATCCGACGCGTTCGGCAGCGCTCACCCTTGTCTTCCACCTCCATCACGTCGCCGGCCGCCCTCCTCCGCTACACCACCCATCACGTCCCCGTCCCCGCTATCGCTCTGTCCCCTATCATCATCTACGCGACGCTCGCCCCGCCCGCCCCGCTGCCGCCAGCGCCATCATCCGACCACGTCAATTTTCCCTCAGTGGCGATGCAGACCAGGAGGCCGCGAACACGCCCTGTAACGCAACTTTTAAAGTCGTGCTCGAAGGATAGGAACGTATACAGGTGCGTGGCTATGCCCTACGCGCCCTGCCAGCACTAACAAATTTTCTTGGCCTTTACCTATCAACCTCGCACCACCCCACACACGATGCGCGTCCCCTCGCCGAGGGGCTCCCATCACCCTCTGCGCCCTTCCGACCTCTCTGTTCCCGCCTCCGACATTCGCAGCCGCGCTCTGTGCCCGCCCCGTCCGCTTGAGTCCCCACCGCACTGGCGAATTCGCGGCTCAGGGCTGGGTGCGGGGCGCAATGTGCGACGTCAAGGGACGCGTGGGGGCTTGCGGTGGATACGGGGGGCTGCCGCGCGGGGGCCGAACACGTGAATATGCAGCATACAGCTGCTGTGGGACTGCCGTTGGTCGCAGAGCTGCGCGTCCCCTCCACCTCCCACCCTCGAGCACGCTACGCAGTCGCTGCCAACGTGGTTTGCGACGCGTACGCGTGACACGTATCGCGTCGGTCTCGCGATGTGCAGGTTTCCGCGCGCGGCTTCGTGTTGCAATCCTCCCGACCTCCCCCGAGTTGCTACGTGCCCGCCACGGACGTGTCCTTTGACACGGAAGGGCGCACGAAGCTCGGGGGCTATCCCCCTACCCTTCTTTCCGCCCGCGCGCCATTCTCCTCCCCTCGCCGCTGCCGCCGCATACGGCTATCTCGCGCTCACCCAATGCGTCGTCCAAATCATGAACATCAGCACGCGTTACCTGCGCACCCCATGATCTCCTCCCTCATGACACGCCCTTGTGTTCGTGCTAGCCCTCCTCGGAGGACCGCGTGGCGTGGGGCTCGTCGGCAAAAATTTCTCGTCGGCTCTTCGTTTTGATTTCACACATATCGCTGTATATACGCGCCTTCATCTGGTACATAATCACAATCTGTATTGGACAGCAGCAGCAGCAGCGACGGCGGCGCGCGAGGCGCCGTCAGCCCGTCTTTCGGGTGTGGCTGTGCGAGCGCGAGGGGCGGCACATCAGCAGCGATGCGCGCGCATCAATTTGGGCAGCGGCGCGAGGCGCGCGTCGCGTGTCGCGTGCGGCGGGAAACCCCGACCGGCAAAGTCGGGGGGGCTGCCTACCGCATTGGGCGCGAGCCGGAGGCTGCCCGGCGACCTGGCCGGGGCCTGTGGCTGTGCCGATAACACATTCGCAACTTTTGCAATAGGCCCGCGGACAGTTATCAGCATCTTTTGCAAAAGACCTACCTGCACAGGTGTTGGCTGAGGCGTCTGTTGTCAATATCAATGGTCGAAACCTGGCTTATGCAATGTACGTGGCTTGTAGCCGTTTCCATTGGCATTGTCTCACGCTCTCGTAGGTACACAAGCGGCTCTACAGGTAAACCCAAAGCCGTCCTCATCGAACAGAGGTCGATTGCACGACTTGCGTACTCTCAGTCTGTTGTAGAACCTCGTCGGGGTCAGGTCTGGGCTCACATATCCAACACGGCCTTCGACTCCTCGACTTGGGAGATATGGGCGCCGTTGCTGAACGGCGGGACTGTGGTCTGCTTCGACAAGTCAGTGTACCCGTCACTGCAGGCCCTTCTTCGCATGCTGATCAGGCTCCAGGATGATCGTACTCGACTTCGATCTTCTCAAAGAAGCTTTCAAGGTGCATGGCGTAGATGTTGCGTTCTTGACGACGGCATTGGCGGCGAAGTGCCTGCACGAAACACCATCGATCATCAAGAACCTTGAGATCCTGGCTACTGGTGGCGAGACATGCGACCCACACGATTTGACCGCCATGAGCGAGATGATACGGGGCTGTGTTGCCCACGTTTATGGCCCGACGGAGAGCACAACGTAAGAAGTTGACGATGTCTTCGTCAAGTCGCTGACATGTTCCTAGATATGCCACCGTATATCGACTTGCCAGAGGCGAAAGATTCAATAGCATCGTCCCAATTGGCAGACCTCTTTCGAACACAACGGCCTTCATACTAGACGCACAACTCCGCTTGCTACCGGTCGGCGCAGTCGGCGACCTCTACTTGGGTGGCGACGGCCTTGCCAGAGGGTACGGAGATGAGGAGCAGACTCGGCGAGCCTTCGTCATCGCGCAACCTACAGGTTCGCCACTCCGTCTATACCGAACTGGCGACAGAGCGCGTTGGAGGACGGCCGATGGACAAATCGAATTCATGGGCCGAAGCGACAACCAAATCAAGCTCAGGGGTCAGCGCATCGAGCTGGGTAAGCGTTAGGAGGTTTGCTCGGTGTACGGCCCCAGCTGACCCGATTCGAAGGCGAGATAGAGCATGCCATACGGCAGCATCCCTCGGTGCAAACCGCGACTACGACTTTGCTCGAACGCGAAAATGTGGACAAGGCCATTGTTGCCTTCATTGTTCCTCGCTCCGCCGAGGAGGCGTCGCAGCTTACTGAGGACGATAAGGTTGACGGATGGGCTCAGATATTCGACAGCGATACTTATGCTGCGGTGCAAGATGTCGCTGCTGCTGATATCGGCCATGACTTCGTAGGATGGACGAGCATGCTCGACGGCAAAGAGATTCCTCATTCGGAGATGAGCGAATGGCTCGAGGACACCGTCCGCACTATCGTCGACTCCGGCAAGATTGACAACGTCGTCGAGATCGGCACGGGCAGCGGAATGATCCTCTTCAATCTCCAAGACCGCTTTACGACCTACACTGGAGTCGACCCTTCCCAGACTGCCGTGTGATTCGTCAATCGTGCGGTGTCGAACAAGGGCGATCTTGCCAACCGCGTGAAAGTTTGAATCGGGGCTGCGACCGACATCGCGAAATGGGTGACTGTCTGTCCGGACTTATTCATCATCAACTCCGTCGCGCAGTACTTCCCGAGCGGCGAGTACCTCGCGAGCACGATTAGAAGCGCAATCGACCTGTGCAACGGCAGACCGTCTCGCATGTTCTTGGGCGACATCCGTAGTTTGGCTCTTGGCGACTCTTTCTTCACATCATATGCGGCCCACCAATTACGCAGCGAAGGCGCAAACATATCCGCGGACCGATTGAAACGTCGCACTCGATTATTAGCCGATGCTCACACGGAACTCCTCGTCCATCCTGCGTTCTTCTTCGACCTGCAGAGAACTTGCGACGCTATATCCCATGTTCAGATCATACCGAAGAGGATGACTGCGATGAATGAACTAAGCCAATATAGATATCAAGTCGTGCTTCATTTCAACGCGTCCGACCTGCCCGTTCTTGATCTCGGTCCTGAACAATGGTACAACATCGACGAGCTCGCCTGGGACGTGAGCGTATTGGACGCCCGACTCGCCGCTCTTCCTCCTCGTGGAACTCTCGCACTGAAGAATGTGCCAAATGCGATGCTCAAGGAGACTCAAGACGATGGCATATCTTGGACTCCTTCGGCGATGCATGCCCTCGCGAAGGAGCGCGGATTGGGAGTCCAGTGTAGTTGGGCCAATCATGATAATCGCGGGAGTTTCGACGCTGTCTTCACAGGAGCCGAGGCGGCCCAAGGGCTATACCGCTTTCCTGAGCCATCTTCGTGGCCTTGTGGTTCAACCAACGATCCTGCCAATGCCATTCTCAAGCAATCCATCGACCTTGCCGACCTGAAGGACTATCTCCGCTCAAAGCTGCCGAGTTACATGATACCCTCGCCATTCGAAGTCATACGCCAATTCCCGGTCACCGTCAATGGTAAAGTCGATAAACGTGGCCTCCTGGCTATGATCTCGGGCAAGGATGACTTGCGGGTGCAAGTGGCACATGTCGATCCTTCAACCGATCTAGAGTGCGGGAGCTCTGGGCCCGCGAGTGGGGATCTCACCAGTCGAGCGGGTAGGAGTGAGCGCGAAGTGGTCGCCCGTTGGCGACAGTCGGGCGCGCGGGAGCGCTCGGCTAGCGTGTAGTGCGCGTGTTACGACGCGCGCGCGTGAGATCAAATAATTGAGTGCCCGCGTCGGAGTATAACTCTACGACGAGGCGGGAGGCAACCCTTCCGGTGCCTGCTGCTCAGAGCCTCTCTCCGAGGAGGCTAAGTTGAGCTGCAGACGATGGTAAGAGTGAAGATGATGATTATTCCCAATGCGGCAGGCCGCCTTGCGGCCTGCGAAGTATCTAATCTAATCTACAATATACGTGAAAGACGAGCGAAAGAAAATATGTACGTGCGAGCGTGACTCGAGAGTACCAGGATAGGGTCTCGGGCCAGGTTCCCCACAAAGCCCCCCACTCTCGAGGTGCGTGAGTACACCGCAAGCCATCAGGTCGTAAGCAGCATCAAGGACTCGGCGGGATGAGAGAAAAAAAGGAAAAGGAAAATTTCCCCCTTTTCGTCGTCTATGTCGTGTCTCCGCGAACGTCATGTCATGAGTGTGAGGGAGTGCGGGGTGTGCGCGCGCGTCCTTGGGTAGAGCCAACTGATCATGCTGCCGGCGTGTGCCGCCTCTAACACCCTGCCTGCTATGCGGGTTTCCGGCTGCCATGTCGTATTGTCCTTTGAAGGCGGCAGCTCGTCTTCGCTGCGCTCTGCCGGAGATATGCCGCTGACTTGGCTCTTCCGTGCTGACGCTGATCTTCGCAAGTCCTTTCCATCGCTTCGCTCGCTGCCGACGGCCTCTCCTTACCCTCGGCCGTCGTCTTCTACGCACCCCAGGCATAGCCGCTAGCAGGACCTTTAGGTTCTCTGAGCGTGGCGCACCTCCATCGGGTAAGTGGCCGTGTCCCGCTGGCCATAGCGCCAACGCTGTGACGCTCGTCATATCTTCCTCGCGTACAGAGGGGAGTACCTCCCCCTGGGCCCCCCCATTCGCAGTGCGCACTCGGGGATCCGGGGGTGTGCTGCGAATGTAAACCCCATTGATTAGCGTTCGCGAGCGAGCCGGGAAAGGCGTAGACGATGGCACATCAAACACGAACACGGAGAGAAGCGAGCTGAGCTGAGTCAAGTATAGGCGATATGTTTGAGAGCGGAGTCGGCGGCTGGGGCGGGCGGAAGGTACTGGCGCCGATCGCGCGCATGGAAAGCGGCGCTGCGAAGAGTGATAGAGGGAGGCGTGAAGCTGGCGCTCGGTATCATCGGCGTCGCCGGGCTGAGATACCGGAATCAGGTAGCTTGCCCAGATACTGCAAGGCGCGTCCTTCCTGCCGTGGTCCTGATGTGTGCGAGACGTGTTGATTCTCGCTCGGCTCTCTTGATTCCTCAGCCCCCCAGCGTCGTAATTGTGCGGAAAGGCCATGAAGAATGTCCAGCGGCAACCAGCCCTCAGGTACTCCGAGTGCGAGGTTCTGGATGGATAGCGGTGAGATATCAACAGCTCTTCTGGGGCGGGGCGCAATTGCAGAACATCCGTCGTGGCCTGCGCGCGGAGGGGAATTTGCCGAATTCTGTGTACAAGCACGGCTGGAAAGTCTTGACCGACAGCCAAACAGTGCTGATTCGCTACGAGAAACGGTGGATACGGCTGGGAAAGTGCTTCCACTGGCTCCGCGAGCAGCTCCATCGCAAGGGGATCTTGGACAAGAGCTTGAGGTGAGTTGCCTCGCGTCGTTCTGGACGAGTCGATGCACAATAGCTTGCATGCGCCACTAGGCCGGAGAAACGGACGGTCAAACCAGCAGCTGCAACTAGTCGGCCCCCCAGTCTCCATCCCCGCACGAATTGGCGCGCGTGTCACCCTCCGTAGACTGAGAAGGTACGTTCTCTTCGGCCTGGAGAGCTGGCGGCATCGTTGATCCATGCTCGCCTCAGGGTTATGAATAATCTCGCCGGCGTACGCGAACGAGTGCTTGATGAGCGGCGCCGAGTACGATAGGACGCGAACATCGAGGAGTTGTGCGCCATTCACAGGTCGGGCTGGCGATTCCTGGTTGGCACTGAGCGCTCCTCCACTCGCGCCACACGGGCGGAAACTTGTATTTGCGCGCTGGGCGTGCACCTCTACTTTTCGGGAATGCATGCGAGTGGGCAAGGGCGAGGCTGCTTGAGCATCGCAGACATCCGAGAGATGGGCACCTCCTGAAGATGCGATGCGCGTCAGTCTCCCGGGATCGCTACGGCATCTCAGTGCGTAGCCTGTGCCGCTGTCTACGTTTGTCAGGCCAACCATCCCTACAGGTCGCAGAGTCGCGTCTGGGAATGGACTGCAGTCCTTGTCCGAGGCGTCCGAAAACTCGACTTGGCCGAGCGACGAGGCACGCAGCAGCTCTTCGACACTGTCAACCCCGTTTTGGTCGTTCCTCGGTGAGAGCTCCTTCTCTTCGTGTGCTACCAGGGTCTCGACGCCCTTGCAGGACGAGGCCACCGTCTGTCCCCCTGCATTCACGCGCTTCCAGTCGCTCGCACCGTGCTCTAGGGGCTTAGGGACCCATCCGTGCTCACGAGTAAGAAGGCGGAGGCGAGATGCGCTTGGCGGTGCTGTGTCCGCGACATTTGGTCGATGCGAGAGCCCTTTTCCGTTCTCCGCCCTCCACAAATTCATGCATTTGCGAGGTGAGCTTGCAATTTGCTGAGCAAAATCGAGAGCGTCAATCTCGCGCAGCGGCAACTTGAGGGTGACTCGACACCCCCGTGCCCGCCGATCTGCACTATCAGGACCGCTTCTGGCCATTGACCGATGAGACGACAGAAGGAGAGGAGCGGCGGACTCGGGCGGAACGGTATGAGAGCGCGAGTGCGAAGCGGGCTGACAGCTAACCAGGCTCGAGCGATCCGAGGTCTTGTTGGATGGCTCACGCGCTGCAGGAATGCGCCGCGCGGTGGGCAGCAATGACGAGAGGCCGTAAGCGCCTGGTTGCGGAACGAACCATTGGCCGCTTGAGTCCTGAAAATGTGTGCGGCTCTTGCTACAATCTCGTTGGCTGCTTTGAGGTGAGTGTTCGGGTGCGTCGCGAGAGCTACGCGACCTGATCTCTGTGCGCCGCTTGCCCGTAGCATGGATACGGACCGAAGGGTCTGGGACTGTCGCGGCGGCATCTGATTCAGCACCCTGCGGTAAGCACTTCCCCGCATCGCGCAAGCTTTCGGGTTTGCCATCTCGTCGAGATGAGGCCAACACCTGCCCCCCAGCGTACACGCGCGGACAGTCTTGAGCGGAGGCTTGACTAGACGCCTCCCAGGGCGTGCGGCGAGGGTTCCCGCCAGTCGTATCCGATTTGGCTATTCGAGGTGAGCCTTCCTCAACGTCGCGAGCGTCAAAAGATCTTATGTCCTCGCAGACCGAAATCGCCATTCTCCCCCGAAGACGCACGCGCTTCAGGCCGCTCCCGCCGTCGTTCTGCAGCTCAGAGGCCTGATGGCGCTCAGAGGCGTGAGATTGAAGGCCAGATACGCCCTCCGCTGCGGAGTCCGCGACCTCGAGCCGAGGTGAGTGCCCTTTCTTGCCCAGCACAATGCGCGGATTGATGCCTTCACATGGGGATCCCGCCGTCTGCTCACCTTCACCCAGAGTGCTAGCGTCGTGTAGCGATGAGACCGTTGGCTGCTCCCGTGCTCGCCAGTCCGTCTTGTCGGAGTCGCTTTTGCTCGGAGGCCCGCTAGATAACGGAAGGAGAGGAGCAGTGGACGGGACAGTAGCAAAATGGTGCGGGCCCGAGCCGTTTGAGGCCATCTCGTCGGTCGTCGCGCGAGCTGCCCGGCTGCGAGGCGCTGAGCATGGCGATGGCAGGAGGCTGTGAGCGCCTGCTTGCGGAGCGCGGCACTGACCGTCCGAGTCCGGAGACTGTGCGGTGTTCTCCTGATCACAGTCGCGTTCGGCGCTTTGAGGTGAGCATTCCCGAATTTTGCGAGAGCTACACGAGCTTATTCCTGAGAGCGGCTCGACCATAGCGGGAGTACAATCCGAGTCGTCCGGAACTGTCGTGATGGTATCCGATCCGGTGCTCTGCGGTGAGCACCTCCCCGCGTCGTGCGAGCTTTCGGGTCTGTCGTCTCGTTGAGACGAGGCTAGCACCTGCCCCCCAGCGTACACTTGCGGGCGGTCTTGAGCGGGAGCTTGACTTGACGCCTCCCAGTGTGAGCGGTGAGGACTTCCGTGAGGCGAGTCTTTCTCGCACTTGCTGATGCTTTTGTCTCGCGAGTCAGCCTCGACGGCGCCGACCTCCTGCCGTGACGAGGCCTTCAACCACCCGTGCGCTCGCCAATCTGCGCTGTCAGGACCGCTTTCGGACGTTGACGGATAAGACGACCGAAATGGAGGAGCGGCGGATGGGACAGTAGCAGAGCGCGGACGCGAAGTGGACTGGCCGCTGCGTAAGCTCGAGTCGTTCGAGTTCGTTTTGTCGGGCGGCTCGCAAGTGGCTTGGCGGCGCAGCGCGGTGGCGGGCGATGGCGAGAGGCCGCCAGCGCTTGCTCGCGGAGGGTGGCAGTGGCCATCCGAGTCCAGGAACTGCACGGGGTTCTCACCACGATCGCGCTTGGCGATGCTCTTGCTTCGCAAGCCGGCATTCAGGGTGCCGGCCTCCCGCAGCGACAAAGTTGCAGGCTGCCCGCGCGTTCGCCAATCCGCGCTATCCGGACCGCTTCCAGACGTTGACTGGCGACATGACCTTAGGAGAGGAGCGGCTGACGGGACCCTAGAAGAGGGCGAACGATGGGAAGTGGGCAGGCTGGAGCTGTTCAAGGTCGCCTTGTCGGGTGGCTCGCGAGCTGCATGGATGCGAGTCGCGGAGGAGGGCGATGGCGAGAAGCTGTCGGGACTGGCTCGCAGCGCGCGGCACCCACCCTCCGAGTCCGAAAACTGCGCGGGATTATCACAAGCGTGTTCGGCGCGTTGAGGTGAGTTCTCTGGCGTGTCGTGCGAGCTATGCGAGCTGATTCCTACGTGCGGCCTGACCATAGTGGGAGTACCACTCGAAGAGCTCGGGCTTGTCGGCTTCTCGCGAGATCGGCGGGGCAGCGCGACACTTGTCGAGTCGCGCGCATCTGCCGAAGGTCTGCAGGCGACGCCTTCGTCACTTCGCAGCTGGACATGGTCCCTGGCGACGACTTGATACAGATCATCCGCTCGCATTCGAGAGGGCTTCCCCGGGCGAGAGCGCGGGTCAAGATCTTTCGATTTTGCATCTGGTCCAGTGTCTTGAGGTGGGAGTTTCCCCGTGTCGCGCGAGCCTCGGGAGCTGCCGTCTTTTCCAGACGAGACCAGCGCAGTCTGCCCCTCAACGTTCGCCCGCCCGTGGTCGCCTTGAGCCAAACCTTGACGATGGGCCCTCGAGCGCAGGTCAGAATCTTCGGATTTCGCATCCAGTCCCTCATGTTGAGGCAAGAGTTTCTCCATGATGCGCGAGTCTAGGAAGTTGACGTCTCTTCCAGATAAGTCCAACGCGGTCTGGCCCCCAGCGTTCGCGCGCAAGCGGTCGCCTCGAGCTAAAGCATGAGGATGCGCCTCCGAGTGCGCGCGAGCATCATCCACTTGCAATTCCAATCTGCTATCTTGAGGTGAGAACTTCCCCGAGTTGTGTGAGCCCCGGGACTTGACGTCTTTTACAGATGAGACCGGGGCAGGCTGCCCCCCAGCCTTCGCGCGCATGCGGTCGTCTTGAGCCGACGCTTGACGAGGGGCCGCCGAATGCAGGCAAAGATCCTCCGCTTTCGTGTCCAATCCATTGTTTCGAGGCGAGAAAGACACCGTGTCGCGCGAGCCCTGGAATTTGGTGTCATGCAAGTGTGATGAAGACTTATGACTCGAGGTGCAGTCCGCCCTTTCGTTCTTGCCACGCGAAAAGCCATGTTCATTGATCCCTCTAGGAGCGCAAAAGGTATCCCCGTCCAACGTAGGCTTCTTGACAGGCCCATGGTCATTGGAGGAGCTCATGAACTGGCTTTCAGGCCCTGGAGTCGAGACGCGTCTCGATGATAACTTCTCCATTATCCGGCCACGATATTCTCTGTATGTACGGATCGCCATGGAGCATCGCATGACCAGATAACCGCAGGCTACGGAAGCGCCCGAGAGAGACTTGGGACCAAAGAATTGATTCACCAGAAAGCCATTTGGGCCCTCGAACCGCCAAGCCGGTGGGGGGTCGTCCATATCATCCGCTGCGGCCACCACAAGGTCATCAAGCATTGCCTGCAGGGTGCGAACCAAGCCAGAGACCAGTGACTGAAACTCCGCGCGAAAGCAGTAGTGACGGCCACTCCCCGCGGATGTACATCCGTCGACGTTGAGCTCGGACAAGAGGTCCCCTCGCATGAGAGCTCGCAGCGTTTCCCGAAGCGTGTCCGGGTAGCCTACAGGTGTCGAGAAATCTCGTCGTTCATATAGGTTGTACTCGAAGTGGTTGAGGATCTGCTGGCGTCTCGCGCGCAGACTTGCGGCACGGGCAGTCCGATGCGAGCTGTCCCTGGACATGATGTAGTGTGCAAGCAACTCGACGAGAGTTGAACAACTGTTCGCGGAAACCGCTAGCAGATGTTCAGGCGGTTCGCGGAAGCCGCTAGCCAGCCGTCACTCGCCAAGTGCAAGTATCTTGGGGACAGAGGAGGCGAGACAGCAGGAGACAAAGCTGCACTCGTGAATGCAAAGAGGTCGTCTCTTGGCGAGAGTTGAACGCCGGTTCGGTGGTATCCACCTCACCCACGTTCGGCGGCTCGCGGTAACCGCTGCACCAACCTCTCTCGTCGAGTACGTGCCTCTTCCGTAAAATGCGCAATAGAGCGAAGCGTTGAGGAAGAGGAGATGTTGTGTGAAGATAAGAGTCGAGGGATCCACCTGGTGTACCACCAGACCAACCCCTCTAGCCCGCTCGCGGTAACCGCGAACCGACGTTACTCTCCAGACAGTGTATGATAGAGAAAGAGCTCGCGCGAGCAGAGGCGAGTTAGATGACCGCCTCAATGGCGCGAGAGCAGGCGTGCGAGTCGGCGAGTGTCGGAAGTCGAACACGCGCCCGATCGCGCGAGAGCGTAGACAATGGAATACTCGACTGGGATCCCACAGTGTCCACTTTGCGGGAGCTCTGGGCCCGCGAGTGGGGATCTCACCAGTCGAGCGGGTAGGAGTGAGCGCGAAGTGGTCGCCCGTTGGCGACAGTCGGGCGCGCGGGAGCGCTCGGCTAGCGTGTAGTGCGCGTGTTACGACGCGCGCGCGTGAGATCAAATAATTGAGTGCCCGCGTCGGAGTATAACTCTACGACGAGGCGGGAGGCAACCCTTCCGGTGCCTGCTGCTCAGAGCCTCTCTCCGAGGAGGCTAAGTTGAGCTGCAGACGATGGTAAGAGTGAAGATGATGATTATTCCCAATGCGGCAGGCCGCCTTGCGGCCTGCGAAGTATCTAATCTAATCTACAATATACGTGAAAGACGAGCGAAAGAAAATATGTACGTGCGAGCGTGACTCGAGAGTACCAGGATAGGGTCTCGGGCCAGGTTCCCCACATAGAGCGTCGCATACTTGGTGTCTTCGAGGACGTGCTTGGGCAGGGGAACATCAGCGTGGATGCTAGGTGAGAGAAGTCCTGCAGTATGTGAAGTGCACCACCAGGCTGACTTAGTCCCAGTTTCTTTGACGTAGGCGGTCACTCGTTGTTGGCTACGAAAGTCGTGTCTCGTCTTCGACGCATCTTGAACCTGCAGGTTGGCGTGCGGGACCTCTTCAACCTTCCGTCGGCGCGCAAACTTGGGATAGAACTTTCAACTAGACAAGGATCAAGTTCCTCGGCGCAGGGTCCGATAAGCAGGCTTTCCCCAGGGGACTTCGCGCCTTTATCTGCATCCCAAGCACGCCTCATGTTCCTTGATCAGCTCAACCCAGGGAATAATTGGTGGTACATCAACGTGCCGCTTCGGTTGCGGGGAAATGTGAACTTCGACGCCCTCCAGCAAGCATTCAACGATCTCCGGCAACGACACGAAGCTTTGCGCAGCACGTTTCCTATCGTGGACGGCTCTCCAGCTATGAAAGTCTTGGACTTCGACCCACTGCCTCTCTCCTACACATCGTTCCGTCAGATGCCAGATCCCGAGGCGGCTCTCGCGGGCGCTCTGAAGCTCGAGAACGATAAGGCCTTCAATCTAGCCTTTGATATTCCCTTCAGAATCCATCTCTTCGCCTTGCGCGACGACGAACATGTACTGTCGTTAACCTTGCATCATATCGTATACGACGGCTTCTCTCTGGACATCATCAAACGTGAACTCGCCGAGCTGTACTCATGCGCACTGATTGGAACGTCGCATTCCCTTCCGTCTCTGCCTATCCAGGTACGTTCATTTAAGGTGACTTTGCTTTTCCGCTCTAAATTTGAATCAGTATCGCGACTATGCTGCGTGGCTGCACGAGCCTGCTCAACAAGCAGAGCAGCAGCGACAGCAGGAGTTTTGGAAGCAAGAATTAGGTGGTAGTGTACCCGCTGAGTTCCCTCCGGATTACGCTCGCCCGCGAGTCCTTGGTTATGAGGCTGGTCTTCAGAAGTTCAATATCAGTACCTCGACTTCGATCCGTCTAGAAGAGACGTGCAAGACGTTGGGCACGACCCCATTCATGACACTGCTTGCTGTCTTCAGAATATTGCACTACCGCATGACGGGCGTACCGGACGCTCTCATAGGTACACTCAATGGCAACCGATCTCGCAAAGAAATAGAGGGACTCATAGTGAGTGCTTCTTCACCTTTTTTATGTAGGTTATCTAACACGACCATGTAGGGCTTTTTCGTGGATACGCAGGTATTGCGACGGGCATCATGACTATGTTCTCTCTTTGACGTTGATCTTGCAGGCCCTTCGTATACTCGTCGACGACACCACCACATTTGCTGGTCTGGCACAGGGCACACGTGAAGTCGTCACGAAAGCGTTCGAACACGCAGATGTGTCATTCGACAGGATCGTCGACTCATTGCACCCGGCCCGCGACCTCTCTCGCAATCCTGTCGTTCAAGTTATATTCGCCGTACATTCTTTCAACTATGACTCCTGGGACGTCTTCCCCAGCGTTGAGACAACGGCGTCAGACCCTCGACCAACAACCCGGATGGATCTCGAACTGCACATCTACAAACGCGCCAGCGACAACACCTATGAGGGCCACTTGTTATACAACCTTGGACTGTACTCAGAAGCGTGGGCAAAGAATTTCACGTCGGCGTTCCTGGACCTCCTCAACAGCGCTCTCGCTCATCTCGACATACCCGTCGCTGACCTTGTGTTCTGCGACGCGCCTCAAGGTCTGCGAGAGCGCGGACTCTTGTCACCCAATCGTACGGATTACCCGCAGGACATGACCGTCGTCGATCTATTCCATGAGATGGTGACCGAGTATCCTTCGCACGTTGCAGTCGTCGATGGTACGGGAAGCTACACCTATCAACAGATCGACGCGGCCTCCGAGGGCATTGCCGAGCTTGTCTTGGAGTATCTACCCTCGCAAGTCGCTGAAAGTACGGTCGGCATCTTCTCCCAGAGATCCGCTCTGAATGTCGCTGCCATGTACGGAGGTCAGTAAAAGTGTCTATCGATGTATCGATATACTAATTTGGCCACGATAGTCCTCAAGGCTGGATTAGCGTATGTGCCCCTGGACCCTGCCCTACCAACCGCTCGTCTGCGTGATCTACTCGAGGACAATACAGGACCTAAGCTTCTGCTCCAATGCACGTCGCAAAACTTACCCGAGCTCGATGTCGAAGGGTGCACCGTACTGGATATCAATGACTTCCTGCAGCCCAATCGGTTGCTCGCCTCAGGGATCCGGAAGTTGCATGGACACCATTCGCGTCTGCCTGTCCACCCTCGAAGTCTCGCGTACATCATGTTCACCTCCGGTAGCACCGGCCGTCCGAAAGGCGTCATGGTGAGCATTGACTGCACCCGTTTAGCATTGCACTGATCTTCGAACAGGTTGAGCATAGAGGCATCGTGCGTCTCGTTCGCAACACCAACATCACGGATATCCAACCTGGTCAAAGGGTTGCTCATCTGTCCGCCCTGTCCTTCGATGCATTGACGTTCGAGATCTTCTCTACGCTATCCAACGGCGGGACCTTGGTCACCTTGGACAAGATGACGCTTCTGAACTCAAAAGCTCTGGCGACATTCGCGGAGGAACAGAAGATTGAGATAGCGTACATGACCGCGGCGCTCTTTTCGCAATTTGTCCGGTCGTCGCCGCGCTTCCTCACGCAGCTTGACCTTATCATAACAGGTGGCGATGTGGTCGAGGTGGAGGATGTCGCTGAGGCATACCGCTTGGCTGTCAAGAGAGTCATTGACGCGTTTGGACCGACAGAGGTAGTGCTTCATCAGCGTTCCTATGCATATTGAGCTGAACCACGCCAGGATACCGTCTGGAGTACCTTCTATGAGGTCCCTCGTAATAAGAAAGACTTCCCTCGTTCGGTACCAATCGGCAAATCAATCTCAAACAGTTGGGCCTTCATTGTCGACGGCAACCGTCGGCTCGTTCCCATGGGCGTGATCGCACCTGTGCAGGTAGGTCTTTTGCAAAAGATGCTGATAACTGTCCGCGGGCCTATTGCAAAAGTTGCGAATGTGTTATCGGCACAGCCACAGGCCCCGGCCAGGTCGCCGGGCAGCCTCCGGCTCGCGCCCAATGCGGTAGGCAGCCCCCCCGACTTTGCCGGTCGGGGTTAGTGTTGCCGACGGTCGAGGTTGGGCGTGGGGCGGGTCCGATACCATCAAAATGCTAGAACGGGGTTGGGTTGGGTTCGGACCCGGGCTAACCCACCCCTAATTTCAAATTCTCGGACGCTCGTGTCGGCGGTCGGATGATCGGCACCTGCCGAGGTCACGCATTGCCTGATGTTCGACTTTGCGCGACGGCGCTACACAGTGCTTGTGCTCCGCGGTTCGCTGGTAATTAATGAGATACATTAGCTATAATATCTAAATCATGCTCATCACAACTACCCTCCTCCTCTGTTGAGTCTGAGTCCGAAATTTCCACAAGTTCCTCCTCTGCCTGCTCCTCTACCATGCCCGAGTTCGAACTGGAATCTGCTGGGCTCACATCGGTCGGCAAGCCCAGGTCGCATTCAGCCTCCGTCGCGTTGCGTACCGGGTCCCTGAGAATCGTGTTGAGGTTCTCTTCGTGAAGGTAAAACTTCAAAATCTGCAAGGCCTCCATGAGATTCGGCTCGAGGTTAGCTCGTCGTGTCGTGTCCGTCTCCTTGCTCGATGAAAATACTCGTTCACAAGGGACGGCAGACGCCTGTATAGGCATGATATCCAGCGCGATGCGGTACAAGTACGGCCAGCGGCCTTTATTGAGCTGAAAAATCATCAGAACCCGTGTCACCTGTACATCGGAGACAGACGCACCTGCCAGAAGCAAATGAGATCGAAACCGACCGCATCTGGTCCGTCCTCTGAGAGTACTTCTTTTCCTTCCCAGCTCCGGATCTCGTTGTCGATCAAGGCAAGATCCTCCTCGAGCTCCTGCCGCTCGATCTCAAGCTCGATCTGCCGACGTTGCTCCTCAGTCAGTGGTTGGACCGGGTGCTCCGTGTCGGGACCTGTCGACAAAGCGCTGTCGGTAGCATGCTCCGGGGCGGGGGAAGGGGCGGGGACAGAGGCGGAGCGCTGGGGTTGGCGTATAGAATCGAGGTAGGAGTCGAGAAGGCTGAACCCCGAAGCTAGGGCGTGAGCGGGTGCGGAAGCGTGTTGGCCCAAGGGGCGGGGCTGGACACATCGGGGGGCTGAGGACATAGGTGGTGTGCTGTCTGCTTGAGCTTCCGCACGGCGTTCTTTCTCTTGTTTGCGGTCCGCTTTGCGATATTCCAACATCTGAGAGATAAGCTCGTAAGTAAAAGCAAAGGAGCAAGTCGGCACATAAAGAGCTCACAGCTTCACGAAGGGCCGCGCGATGGTCCTCAACCTCGTCAGGCGCGTGCTCTTCGAGCCACTTGAACTTGAAGAAGGGATTGATGACTAGGAGAAGGTGTTAGTGGCAAGCGACAACACGGAGAAGAAATTACATACTCATAGCAAGAGCATAGGCTCTGTTATGCTTGGCCTTGCCCATATACTCCTTCAACTTGTCAATGGAGGCCTGGATTCCGTGGCTGATCTTGGGGCAGACGGCCTTCACGCCAGAGAGGATCTTGATGAGCTTGGCGTAGACGGGGAGTACATGGCATAGTGTGGGTGTCCGCTGCGAAGATACAAGCTGCTGCGCGAGGTGCAGCGCTCCCAAGAACTTGCGAACGTCGTCGAGGGCCTCCAGCTGCTTCTCCGAGAGAGCGAGATGCCCGAGCGTGCTATTATACTTCTCCGATGCGAGGATGTGCGCGACAGCCTTTACAGCGCGTTAGAGACCGTGAAGCATGGATTGACAAGCGTAAAATGCGTACCTCATAGAGGACAAGGAGTCGGTTGATCATTAGAAAAGTCGATGACCACCGTGTATCTACATCGCGCAAAAGCGTGACATCGGGTAGAGCGACAAAATTGCCGCGCTCATCCCGCCACACCTTCTCGAGGTTCCCAATACGTATGACTTCAGAAAGGTCTTCGCGACGCAGTCCAGAAGCCCGCAGGGCAACAACGATAGCGCGCGCGGCAGCAACGACATCTGTACGCAGCGCATAGAGGTAGTCGAGGTCAGATAGAAGCTCTGACGGCAAAGGCGGGGTGTCCCAGTCGTCGTCGTTGTCTTCGTCATCGCCGCCGCCGGAAGGCAACACGTCAGAGTCAGGTGGGCCGGAGGAGTTACAGGGGGCCAAGCCAGTGCTCGATAAGCTACGATCGGAGGGCGCAGTGCTTGCGTTTGCTGGTGCAGCCGTATGCGAGGCGGGCGATGGCGATGGAAGCTTGATGGACAGAACCTTGAGACCGCCCTTGACAGCGATATTCACGACATGGGGAAAGCACCTAATACAATGCTAGTAAGACAATAGAAGATACGAAATTATGAGGATCGAAAACGTACCGTATACGGTTTCCCTCAGCCGTCACCACTATGCCCTTCTTGCAGAAGGCCTTGGCGATCTCCACCATCCCCGTATCGTTGTTGCTTGCATTGTCCATCGTGAGCTGGCCGAACTTGGTGGTAATCAGTATTGTGCAGGAAACGCGGGAATATATGACACGGTACTTACCTTGTGCCAGATATTGTAATCCTGAATGATACTGATGAAGTTCTCAGCAATGTGAGCGCCGGTGTGGTTGCTGGGGAGGTAGCGGAAGGCGATCAAGACGGATCGCATAACGTCTGTGTTGGTGTCGTCCCGCGTCATGTAGTGCGCCGTGACGGCCATATACGGCTGGAGATTGCCGCGCGACCAAATGTCCATCGTGAAGGAGATACGGCCCGTCGCGTTCTGCAGAGTGGTCAGTAAAAATGAAGAATTACAATGGGCTAGCAGGAGATACGTACACGCAAATCATCGGCCATAATCTCGCACTTCTCGCGGAAGCGGGCGAAGATCAGCTCTGTCAGCTTCGTGCGGTGGGGGATGTCCTTTTCCGTGATGTTCCCCAGGCCAAGGAAGGCCAGTAGCTTGCGTAAATATCTCGACTCGATGATGTTGATGGACTGTGAGGAAGTGAGCACCGAGGGTGAAGGAAAGCAATATAAGGAACGTACCATGTCGTCGTGAACAATCCAATCAGTTAGAAGCTCATAGAAGCGCTTGAGATTGAAGACGCGCTCCTCCGCGCTGAGCAGCTCTGCCCCCAGCCTCGTACTCCCCTTCAGCCCCCTCATCACCACCTCCCTCTTCCACCGATCGCCATGGACCTTCCGCATATGCTTCCGTATCGTCTTGCGATTGTTCGCTGTGTTCTGCCACGTATGCCTGAGAAGAAATCAGCAAAAGAGAGAACGATACGGATGCAGAAAAGCGACGCACTCGCAGAAGACACAACATAAGCCCGGGTATATCTCCTTGTTCGTCGGACGCGCGCGGGCGCGCGGGGCGAAAGCGCCGTCCGCTGTCTTCCCGCGCACAAAGAACCACACGTCGTCCGCGCCGTTATAGCGCGACGGGTCTCGGTGACGACGGAGCGCATCCTCGAAGCGCTTTGTCGGCTTGAAGACGACAGGCGGCGCGTCAGGCTGCTTCACGGGAGTCGGCGCAGAGGGACCAACGCCTGGTACCCCGTACCCGCCTACGCTGGCGTCGACGGTGGCCGCGCCGGAGTCGCTCTTGCGCCGCTTGTTACTTCTCGACGAGGCAGGGGCGCGGCGCTTGTTTGCCTTCGTCTGTCGAGTCGAGCCCGAATGACGGGAGCGCTGTCCGGCGGCGGCTGTCCCATGGGCCTGAGCGGAAGGATCAGAGGGAGGGATGATGTTCGTAGGGGCCTGCGAGGATGGAGGAGCAGTTTGGGAGGAATATGTGGAAGGTGGCGGGTACGTCGAGGCATGGTTGTGTGAAGGAGGTGGGAGCGAGTGAGGAGGAGGGTAGAGCGACTCGCCTGAGTTTACATATGCCCAGGTCCGGTCACCAAATGGGACCCGCTGAAGCGGTGGTGCCGAGGAAGAGCCTGCAGTGGCAGATGGCATGTTCGGAGGGAATGGGGATGCCGACGTGTTTGTCGAATAAACTCCTGAATGATAAAGGTCGGGCACCGAGAAGCCCGACGTTGACGACGAGTCGAGGGGTAGATGCGCGCGCTGCGCAGTGTAGTCGAGGTTGGGGTGATAGAGTGATTGCTGTACCTGCTGACTGCGGCCATCTCGAGGAACACCGCGGTTCATGCAAGTACAATGGTAGGGGTCAGCACACTGGCAGAGTCTGTCCCAAGGGATGTTAGATGAGAAGGCCATGTTCACTCGCATATTACAGGCACTTGTCATGCAATATATATATTGTAGCTTGTCTAGGGCGAGCGCGTTGCCATTGTCACAGCAATCCGCGCGCCACATCGCAACGGTCAGGGCCCGAAAAGCGTCGAATAATCTAGAATAAGTACTTGACGAGGGAGAGCAGCGCGGCGGAGGGCAGCGGGAGGTGAACGACGGGGTGCAGTCGAATAATTCAACTTATGGGTGGCTGTAAGACCGTGGATGCGTGACCCAAAGCGCCTTCCGAAGCGCATCAACCGGCCGGTGGTACTGGATCACTCGCGTGGCGGTGGTCACCGGGTTGGGCTGCGACCCGCCTGCTTTTTTAGGAAGGTGGGCTCGAGCCCGCCCCGCCCCACCCGGTGGGGCAGCCCAGCCCGTCGGCAACACTAGTCGGGGTTTCCCGCCGCACGCGACACGCGACGCGCGCCTCGCGCCGCTGCCCAAATTGATGCGCGCGCATCGCTGCTGATGTGCCGCCCCTCGCGCTCGCACAGCCACACCCGAAAGACGGGCTGACGGCGCCTCGCGCGCCGCCGTCGCTGCTGCTGCTGCTGTCCAATACAGATTGTGATTATGTACCAGATGAAGGCGCGTATATACAGCGATATGTGTGAAATCAAAACGAAGAGCCGACGAGAAATTTTTGCCGACGAGCCCCACGCCACGCGGTCCTCCGAGGAGGGCTAGCACGAACACAAGGGCGTGTCATGAGGGAGGAGATCATGGGGTGCGCAGGTAACGCGTGCTGATGTTCATGATTTGGACGACGCATTGGGTGAGCGCGAGATAGCCGTATGCGGCGGCAGCGGCGAGGGGAGGAGAATGGCGCGCGGGCGGAAAGAAGGGTAGGGGGATAGCCCCCGAGCTTCGTGCGCCCTTCCGTGTCAAAGGACACGTCCGTGGCGGGCACGTAGCAACTCGGGGGAGGTCGGGAGGATTGCAACACGAAGCCGCGCGCGGAAACCTGCACATCGCGAGACCGACGCGATACGTGTCACGCGTACGCGTCGCAAACCACGTTGGCAGCGACTGCGTAGCGTGCTCGAGGGTGGGAGGTGGAGGGGACGCGCAGCTCTGCGACCAACGGCAGTCCCACAGCAGCTGTATGCTGCATATTCACGTGTTCGGCCCCCGCGCGGCAGCCCCCCGTATCCACCGCAAGCCCCCACGCGTCCCTTGACGTCGCACATTGCGCCCCGCACCCAGCCCTGAGCCGCGAATTCGCCAGTGCGGTGGGGACTCAAGCGGACGGGGCGGGCACAGAGCGCGGCTGCGAACGTCGGAGGCGGGAACAGAGAGGTCGGAAGGGCGCAGAGGGTGATGGGAGCCCCTCGGCGAGGGGACGCGCATCGTGTGTGGGGTGGTGCGAGGTTGATAGGTAAAGGCCAAGAAAATTTGTTAGTGCTGGCAGGGCGCGTAGGGCATAGCCACGCACCTGTATACGTTCCTATCCTTCGAGCACGACTTTAAAAGTTGCGTTACAGGGCGTGTTCGCGGCCTCCTGGTCTGCATCGCCACTGAGGGAAAATTGACGTGGTCGGATGATGGCGCTGGCGGCAGCGGGGCGGGCGGGGCGAGCGTCGCGTAGATGATGATAGGGGACAGAGCGATAGCGGGGACGGGGACGTGATGGGTGGTGTAGCGGAGGAGGGCGGCCGGCGACGTGATGGAGGTGGAAGACAAGGGTGAGCGCTGCCGAACGCGTCGGATGAGCGGGCCGGCCAATCGGCCCGAATCCCGATGTTCGTTCTCGTCGTCTTCGACGACCTCGGATGGAGGCCGAGGGACTCCGATCTGTAGATATAACATACTTAATATTACTGTACATACAGTAGATCTCATCTACCGAGTTTGGTGAGTATATGACGAGGCGTTTGGTCAAAATAAACCCCTCACGCATCCGACAGGTGATCTAGATGCCGTCGTTGCCTTCAACGGCTTCGGATGCAGGCCGAAGGTCAGTGAGCAGAAGGAAAAGCCTAGTTGTCGGTAGTATACTACATGAAGTATAGACTGACGAATTTCGGATACTTCATGTAGCTTGTAGCTTGCTGAAGTCGCGTCCGACCCTCAAGGTGCTTAGGTGCAGAATCTTGAATTCATCAGCCATCCACTCATCAAACACCTTCTCGCCCATTCCTAATTCATTTCTGCTCGGATTGGCCTCAAAAAAGCTTTGTATCGTAGATGTAAGACGCTAATGGCTTGTGACACAGTCTTCTTAATATATCCAGTGCCAGATAAATTGCAGAACGACGGACACTCCGTTCGGGGCTAAAAATCTGAATGTTTCGTGGATTGAGGACTCTTTTATGCATAGACTTATGTTGAAACTTCGTGTGAATACTCTATATGTACTTCCCCAAGCTTCCATGAGCTTAATTCATACCCCAGAGCTTTCGCGCATGTTCCCGGGGTCGTTTTCGACGACGACGACCGCTCTCGGACGCCCGGACCGGCATCCGGGCGGTCCCTAGACACAATCTTGCGGACCCGAACTACGCGACTCCTACCGCCACCCTCCTCGCGCCACTGTACCCTACGAAATGCCCTCGCTCCCTCCCTCTCTCATCACACATATAATCCCTTATTGACGGTCTTCAATACCCTCGCCTTGCCCGCGTCAAAAACCATCATATATGCCTGTATCTCGACTGTGTATGATGCCTCAAGACCTCCGCTGCGAGAGCTCCGCGACACCGCGCAGGGAATGCTATAGGTGTGTGTACAAGTACATTATGAGGTTCTATACTGACTTTCTATCTATGCGGCCGCGCGTTCACGTCCCCGCAATAGCCTGCCCGAGCCCCGATCGGCTACGCAGCAACCCGTCCCTACCACCATCTCGCCCCCTCCCACCATCATCTTGCCCCCTCCCCATATGCCCTCGCGTCGCGTCGCTCTAAGAAGCGACAATAAGCCCCTCGTCCCCTCGGCTACTCCTCACTGCGCACGATGCGAGCACGAGGCACGTGCCTCCCTGGCTATCTCGCCAATCGTCTTGCGCCACCTACACGATGACAATGGGCGCGTGCCGCGGTCCTCCCGCTCTCCCTTCTCAGCACCTTCGCGCGCGAACTGGGGAGAAGTCGGGGCCCGCCTCACACGGCCTCACGACGCGCTGCGCAGCCTACACGACGCGATGCGCCGTAGTATCAAGCCGCAGTTTTGCCTACCGCCCCCCCTCCCCTTTGCGCATACTATAGCGCTTGACGCGCATGCCAAGCTCCTTCATTACCCCCTCCCCCTCTTACCCCCTTCACGCTACGCGCTGCCGAAAACTTTCTGGCGGCGGGTTCTTCATATACAATCTATGCCCTCGTTGCGCCTCGGTGTTTTTTATGAGCTCCATAATATATCTTTTTCTTGTATCTAACACGCGCGAGGAGTGAGGATGCAGCGACGGTGCTTGTCGCGATGCCGCCCTGTCGACGGCACAGCCACTGCAGCGCAGGCGGCGCATCAACAGCTGCGCCGTGCGCATCAATTTGGGCGGCGGCGCGAGGCGCGCGTCGCGCATCGCGTGCGGCGGGAAACCCCGACCGGCAAAGTAGGGGGGGCTGCCTACCGCATCGGGCGCGAGCCGGAGGCTGCCCGGCGACCTGGCCGGGGCCTGTGGCTGTGCCGATAACACATTCGCAACTTTTGCAATAGGTCCGCGGACAGTTATCGGCATCTTTTGCAAAAGTCTTACTTGCACAGCTGGGGGTAGACGAAGATAGGATTGAAGCTAGCGGGGAGGTCGTAAACTGACAGGAAGGTGGGGAGGGGTAGTATCGTACCAGAATGCGAGCCATAGCAGCTCAATCCAGGAGACCCAGTTGCTGACAATGATATCCTCCGCTTTGGGGCGCCATGGGATTGGCTTTTGAGCCAAGCGGCTGTACTCGGGAGTCAGGATATTGTCTAGAAACTCAGGCGACTGTCCACGCACCCTCGCTGCCGTGTCACAACCTCCACCGGGATCCAAAAGAAGCCGCATACGAAGAGGATGGCGCGAGTGGTGACCTTCGTCAAAACTCCGGCTATTAGCCTATGGAGTGGTGGAACTATTCGCTGATCAAGGTCTGGTTAGTGGCATGCGGCAGAGTATGGAAAAGGCACTCACGAACAGACACCGTCTACGAGTACAACATGGACCAGAACCAGAACCAGAACTAGTACAAATCGTACTGCACCAAGAGCGTATGCAAGGGGCGCAGCAAGAGTAATCAAGTTGTTGGAGGTAAGGGGAGGAATGGGAGTGAGGAACGGCTGAAGTACACGAGCCGGATTAGCACGAGGAACGTCCTAACCTGTATTCCCGTCCCCGGATCCTAAGTCTTGGTGTGAGTAAGTTCTATACAGGACTGGGGTATAGACCCACCCTGTACGCGCTGTACTTCTCCATTGCGCGAGGCTGAGGCACGTTGAGTGCAAAATAAGCGCCGGAGAACAAGGCCACGACGCGATCACGGTCTGCCAACTGGCATCATGATCCCGAGGTCGACGGTGCCACGGCCCTTTTAAGCAGCGCGCAATGCTTCTTACTCTCGTCTTCCGAGGTGCCCCTTCTGACGCCAGTCCTACCCCGGCATGACTACTCAAGTAGACGGGCAGCTTGCTGGCGGACGCCTCATAAAGCGTAAACCCTCGTGCTTCTCCGCTTCCGAAGTCTCTGAATGGCTTGCTTTCATCGACTACCCCAACGCTGCCTCAATCTCTCCTTCGACATTCGACGCGAACCTAGAGAATCCACCTCTGGCAGGACCTATGTTGCAACACACCCTATGCTTATAGGGCACTGTGTTGCAACAATTCCCACTAATTATAAGGTTGTAACTACAACGGTTTGTTGCAACATCTGTTGCAACAAAACCCTACGGCTACCAGTACACTACTGGCCTGTCGGACATTGCCGAGCAGGCCGCCACCGTCGTCGTCGTCACCGAAACCCCGCCGCCACCGTTCGCGACGCGCTCGTCGTCGTCGCGCCGCCGCCCGCTCCCCGACGCGCACCCACGTGCTGCCCGCCGCGCCCGCCGATCCTTCCCACGCGCCTACCGACACGCCACCCAGCCGTTCACCGCCCCGACGCGCGCTCGCGCCGCCTTTCCCACGCTCCGCTCGCCGTGCTGACGGTCGCGCGCGCTCGCCCTCGCGGTCGCACGTGCATCCGCGAGCGTGGCGCTCGAAATCGCGCTCTCGGCAGATGCCGAGGTCGCGCTAGCCAACCCGCAGGTCAGCGAGCACGCGCTTGCGCTGGCCGTCGAGCTGCGCATACACGGCTACTGCCTGTACCCGCTCGCATTCGTCGGATTGCGCTGCGCGCTGGTTCGCTTCGGCCGACGCGTAGACTGGGCCGTGCCACGTGGGCGGACCGTCCAATCCGCGGACCCACACCTCCTCCCGCGACACACCGTCCAGCGGACGGCATGCGCTCGGCGAGCGTTCCCATTGCCGCGGCCCTCAATTGCCACGTAGTTGTTGCTATGGCAACGACATCGACGCGCTCTTACACGCGCCGCGTGCAGCCGACGTCGTCGTGTTCGTCATGTCTCCATGACGACACACCGACGCTGGGCATGCCGAAGCAGGTGCAGTGCAGGCGGCCGGTAGCGTGTGCGGAATGGCGTAGGCGCGCGGCGCGCACCGTCCACGGCGAAGGGCAACGACGGCAGCGGAGGGCGAGAGGAGGAAAGGGGGTGGGGCATAGGGCGGACGGGCGCTGTTGAGCACCCCAGCGGACGTGGACGTGGTGGCGAGGTCGAGTCGGGTGGGGTCGAGGTCGAAGCCGAGGAGGTGAGGAGGTGGGGAGGTGAGGAGGGAGGAGGGAGGTGAGGGTGTGGCGAACAGATGAGAAGGCGGTCGAGGCGAGCGCGCGAAGACGCGCACTCGCCTCGCTCGCAGCAAGAGGGCGGTGGTTGAGGTAGTGGTCGAGGGCAAAGGGCACGATCGGCTGCGGACGGAATTTGGTCCGCGCAATCACGTGACCCGGCAAACGCCGACGACGCGTCCCTTCGTGCGCGTGTCCGCCGCCATCTGGATGTCCGCGCGCTGCGTAGGGCCGGGAATGCTGCAAATACTAGACGTATGACTAAACCAATATACTGTGATGCTTAAAATGCGCTGCTCACTACCCTTTGTAATGAGTAAACTCCATATTCTCTGCCTTCTGTCATAGCAGGGGCAATGATCTCAACGCGATATATAGCTAATGTGGCCGTTCTGCCTCAAAAGAAATTGTACATATCATGTATAGGCATCTAAGTGTATATGCATTTGCCTTCACTGCATTAGGGGGCTTGCTTGATTATAGCAAACTCGACCTGTACATGCTCTATTAAGCACCCTTTGAGTATGAGATTCAGGGATTGTCAAGGTTTCGAGACTTATCATACACATCAGAGCATTGTAGTATACTCAGGTATGTACATGCAAAGTAGCTCGAGCTTGAGGCAGGGAGGGGGGACTTGGGAACAGCACGAAGTGCACTGATGTACTCGCTGAGCAGCAGTGATTTGTCTACTGCTCATTGAACTACTTTGCTGCGAGTGACATCAATACCGACATGTTCTATGCACAAACCTCGATGTTTTAACTCATTTACCCCCGTTTTCGAATGCGCCCTACACGTCTACGCTAATATCTCGGCGGCGAATGCTTTTCCGCGATCTCTAGACGCCATTGAACGCGACAACGAGCGTGAATCGGCATTCGGCCCGGCCTCCCACGTCACGCAAATGTGCGAACTCGTCCGACCTCGGGAGGCGATAAAGAAAGAGAACGTATTTACAGGTACTTTATAAGCGTATATTGCGTGTCTCTGGTGTAATCTACGCGCTCCTACCTAAGTTTCTGGCAATAAAGGGCGAAGCATTCTTTAAGGTTGGATTAAAGCATGTTTTGGTCGCTTACAGAGACATAGCGGTAATCTGATATACTATGAATCTATTTCCAGGCGCCCCCCTCCACTACATTATGCTTAAACAAGTCCTGGACGTCGTAAATTGCATCGAGAGCAGCCAGCGATCGTGGGGGAGCGGCGCGCGGCCTGGCGTGCCGGGGCTCCGGTCACGTGACTGGCCGCGGAAAATTTCGGCCGCGCGCGCAGCACTTCTTGTCTCCTTCCACCACCATCGCTGTCCCCGCGTCGACCACCGTGCCTCCTCAACGCATACGCCCTTACTTTACACCCCACTCCCACCCCTCACTCTTTTCGACGCCGACATCCACACCGACACCGACGCCGACTCCGACACGCGCGCGCTGCCACCACCCTCACGCCCAAGGGTGTATCGTGCTCGTGCCCAGCACGCGGCAGTCACCTCCCGCGAAGCGCCTGCCACCCACCTCGCCCCATCCCTACCCCTCTCGGCGCTCTAGCCGTTGCCGCTACATTGCCACGTCACATCGCTGACGTGGCTCTGTACGCACGCGTCGCATCACGTGACGTGTCGCGCGCTCGACATCATCTTCGCGGATGAGTGTCGCGGGAAGTGGGCGTGCCCGCGCACTCTGTCGATCGTGCGGATGCATGTGCGCGTCGACCGATGCCAACGCTTCCCGAGGGGCGGGCAGGAATTCGGCATTCGCCGCATATCCGCAGCCCAACGGCTGGTGCGCGCTGACGGTTTCGGCCGAGAGCGGCGGGGTGCGCGTTCCAGGCGCTGATTGATCGAGCGCGAGGGCAGTGGGTGCGCTCTCGGCATCTGCCGAGAGCGCGATTTCGAGCGCCACGCTCGCGGATGCACGTGCGACCGCGAGGGCGAGCGCGCGCGACCGTCAGCACGGCGAGCGGAGCGTGGGAAAGGCGGCGCGAGCGCGCGTCGGGGCGGTGAACGGCTGGGTGGCGTGTCGGTAGGCGCGTGGGAAGGATCGGCGGGCGCGGCGGGCAGCACGTGGGTGCGCGTCGGGGAGCGGGCGGCGGCGCGACGACGACGAGCGCGTCGCGAACGGTGGCGGCGGGGTTTCGGTGACGACGACGACGGTGGCGGCCTGCTCGGCAATGTCCGACAGGCCAGTAGTGTACTGGTAGCCGTAGGGTTTTGTTGCAACAGATGTTGCAACAAACCGTTGTAGTTACAACCTTATAATTAGTGGGAATTGTTGCAACACAGTGCCCTATAAGCATAGGGTGTGTTGTTACAATCATAGGGACAGACCTCGAGAATCTTGAGCTCGTCGTGCATAAGCACCTCCTACGTGTGCCTTTTTCCAACTTGGATCTGCACTAGTACGTCTCACACTACAATGTCTTCCCCTTCGTGTCCGAGCCTTACTGAGCTCCAACTATCAGTACTGCATGGCGTGGTACAATCGTAGACCCTCGCGACTATTATGAGCGACATGTATCGAAGACCGGGCGGCGCTTCGGCGACGTCTGCTTCGCTGCCACAGGCCGTACGTGAATACCGCTAAGTGGAAGGACTCATCAGAACTTCGTTCCCTAGTTCTTCTGGAGATGTTACGTGGCTTGGGATATAGGTCTGTTCTTTCGGCCTCTGTGTTCTGTATGTTCTCATTTTTAACTTGCAGAGTCTACGGAGGCGGCGGGCGAATGAACAAGGCAGCTGACGGTGAACCACCGCAATTTGGCGGCCTTCAACATGAAGTTGGCTTTCTTCAGCTCGGTGGAGGCGACCGTACCACCTACATTTTCGACGTCTCCTACGGCCTAGGTGGCCTCACACGGCCCATCCTCCTCTCCGCGGACCCCAGCAATGTCGTGCCAGGCGCGGCTCCGCCCGAATGCCACCGACTGACCAAAGTACCTCATCCCAACAGTGCCATTGAAGGCTCGTCGGAATGGCGCCTCGAAGTCAGATGCGGGCAAATGTACGGTGGTGGATGGAAGATCATCTACTCATTCACGGAGGAAGAGTTCTACTACCCCGACTTCGACATGTGGATGCACGCCTTCAACACTCGAGAGGGCGGTCCAGGATTCTGGTCGAGCAACCCTTTCGTGCGATATCTCATAGTTGTGAGTGCATTTTCTTTTGTGGCGCGTGTTACTTGGCCTTGTGGGCGCTTTGTTGGGCTCGCACGTGGTCGTTTTCCTCTCCAGGCCTCACCACATTTCTCCCCGCTTACGCGCCATCGGGATGGCTTCCGCTCTCCAGCAGCGCCCACTTACCCTGCTCTCGAGCGCCCACCGTCGTGGACGCTTATCGCGCACACATTTCCACGGATTCCTCTGCTTTTCTTTCCCCATTTGTTGCGCTCGTTATCTCCCTTACGCGTCCGCACACGGTCCCGTGCACCCTTCCCGTTTCAGCCCACCACAATTCGGATGCCAATCACTGACCTGCTTTCTTGCTATCGCAGATCAAATGCTTCACCCTCGACGACGAGTCGACTCGGGACATCCGCGTCAGGGACCGCGATGCGGCCCACTGTGCGACCGCACTCGCCGAGCAGACGCTGGAGACGAGGAAAACGCCGCTGCCGAACAGCAAGATAGGCACACCCATGGGCCGCCTGTTCCTCTTTCACGACAAGGTAACGATGCACATCGGCGACACGGCGAAGGTCCTGCGTACACTGAAGACAGAGGAGGACCGCGTCGCTGCGCTGCGTGACCTGTTCGACATCCACGTCGACGAGGCGGCTACGCGGTATGTTCGACCGGCGGCGCGGCTTGGCAAGCTATAGAGCGCGGTCAGTGGGGGTGGAGCACGCGTCCGTGCTGTTATGTCGGGCTGTAACTTCCGCGCCCCAAAGCCGGTATAGCTGCGCTCGAACTCGCTCAAGTTCTGCCTATCGCTGGTTCGGCGTCAACTTAGAGGTCAACTGGACCCACTTCTCGATTATCCTGTGTGCCGTTGCCGGGGCATATGAACACTTTGCACCCTTCTGCGCGCGGAGCTGTCCCGACGGGGAGCGAGCTTGAGGTTCAGCGCAGAGATAACAGCCTCGAACTGATGGGATCGTACGCTCACGAAAGACGCGAAGTACAGTCTAGCTAGACGATCCACACAACCAAACACCAACAACCACGATAGCAATGAACACGCTAGACTGGAGGCGCTACGAGAGCGGGCGAGTCCGAGTATTTATATTACTAGGGGATAGATTGTGTTGTTTATGCCAGTTCCAGACGAGCTGGACTGAAGCGAGAAGTCGAGTGGGGCAATCGGACGTCTCGACGTTCTTACGAGCGCTTTCGGGTTTGATTGAAGTTCACAAGGCGGTTTAATGCGCTCGGAAGTTCAGGCTTTTATGATGTGTAAAGTGCGGGTTAACGCGGTTGTGTTTATTTGGTGTGGTGTGTAGGTACTAGGGCTTCTCTGCGCGGGGCGGGAAAAGTCCCGAATCGTATGTAGGTCTCGGTATATAACTTGAACGCGTCGTCTCGGCCGTCCAGACCGCGCGGTAACACACAATGCCTATCTCTGAGTCAAAATCCAACTATAACGCCTATCCGCGCGTTCTCCTGTCCGAATAATCGCGCAATGACTGCGGTTCCTGGCGGTAGAGCGGTTGACTGGTCGGGTATCCTCCTGCGCCGCGATGCCGGGCGCGATTCCGCACTTGTTGATGTTTACCAAGGCAAGGCCGGCCTGGTTTCCACCCGTTCCCTTGTGCGCGACGCGGCTCAGAGGCCTGCGCGGCGGGGAGCGTACAGTCTGGACTGTCGATACGCGGGGAGCGAAGCCCTTGCCGGGGCGGACAGCGCTTGGCGGCGCCGACGCTCGGTTCGGAGTTCAACTCGGCGATGTCCGAGATCACGAGCTCGGACCCGAAGTTCCGGTCTCGGACCCGAAGTCACGTGTAGTCACGTTGATGGTTCGAGTTCCGCTTGCGCGGTGCTCTGCGTGTCTCCGCATGACGGCGAGCAGCAGGAAGGCTTGTCCGAGCCCCAACAATAATCTAGATTCTCTTGACACAGCAGGGCAAGAGGACTGAAGGCTTGAGGCGCGTATAGCGCGGCTACTTGATTAAGTAGGGCCCGCCAGAGGACTCGCAGGATGTCATCGACGACGCGCAGACTCGTGATCAGGCGCCGAAGAGCTCGCTGCTATCCTTGGTCAGTCATTGCAGACGGATAGTGCTGCGGACTAGTAGTATTGAAGGTTAGGAAGCGTGGCGCTCCTGGTTTTCTATGTCATAAAATACCCCCAACGCGCCCGTTGTACAGTCGCGACGTCGGTGCAGTATATACGGATCCGCCCATACAATCTAGACCAAGTCGACTATATATCGCTTGTTTATGTATGTTTTTCCGCGTTTTTCAGCCGCAGGGCGTATCATCTCCCCCACACCAATAATCTGGACCGTCCTCGGTCAGTTAAGGTGGATGGGTGACTCGGTGTTGTTACTGGGTCGTCGGGCGACTCGCAGTCGACTGCCGCCGCAGTCTCTTGGTATGTAGTTGTCGGAGGACGGCGGGGCGCTAATTAAGCTTTTGGCTCACACCGCATGTTCCGGACATGCATGGTCGTTTAAAAGCCGGCCGCGCGCGTCTCCCACGGTTTTCCAACTTGTCTTGAACCACGAAGGTAGGTCGCTAGTACGCGCGTCCTGACGCGTCGGCCGTACTGACGACGATCTAGAGATGTCCCCCGGCAACGAAGGCCCACACGCGACGGTGCGCAAAGAGCATCAGGCTTTCGCCCGAAAGCTCCACCAGATCGAGAAGGACGCGCGCATGCTGCTCAAGGGCCAGGAGCCCACGGTGGCGAACTTGGTGCGGGGGATCCAGCGCGATAAGACGCGCGCGACGATCCTCAAGAAGAAGCTGGTAAGCCCCGTCGTGCGGATCGTTTCCGGCGCTAGCTAACGCTCGTTTGTAGATCGCCTTGTCCGACGCCATCGCGCAAGCGCGCAAATTGAGAGAGACTGGCCCCTGGGCGCCGACCGCGGCGATCCAAGGGGCGATGTTTTTCCTGTTCGACTGCCTCAAGGCATCGGACCCCGAGTCGAAGTGGTACGCGCTGCAAGAGATCGCGCGCCCTCGGTAGGTCTCGGACATGGTTGGGTGAAGCCCACTGACACTTTCACAATCTAGGTATGTGATCAACATCGTGGGGCTCAAGATTCCGACGCATGAGGCGTCGCTATGCCGCGCTGACCGCGATCGGGTGCCGCGGCAGGCGAACGAGGACTTGGTAAGTCTTCGGTGTTTTTATGGTTTCTCAGCTGACTAACTTCCCGCAGGACATGCTGCTCTTGCAGCAGCCGCAACTGCCCGCCGACTACGTCGCGGTCGAGGCAGCGCGGTGCGGCCTTGGCGAGGTCGAGCTGGGCGGGTGCGCGCCCGCGACTCCAGCCCAACGGAGTTATCCAGGGCAGAAGGCGCATCGGCACGACAAGAACAAGGGCGCGACGAAGCGCAAGCGCGCCGCTAAGGTGTGTTCTCGCCTTATTTGGTTATATTGGCGGTTCTACAGCTAACACTTCTACAGAGGAAGGTCGCCGCTGATTCCGACGACGACGAGGCCGAAGTCGAAGAGCCGGAGCCCGCGCGCAAGCGCACGCGCTCCCAGACGAAGGCCGCCGCCACCACCTCGAAGGGCAAGGGGAGAGCGAAGGCGGGCCCGAGCTCGGCGCGCGGTCGGCGCGGCAAGAAGGTCGCTACGCCCTCGGACGTCGAAGAGGAGGAGGAGGAGGAGGAGCGCTCTCAGCCCGAGTCCGAGGAGCGCGATGTCGTACCACCCGTGCGTTTCCGCGTGGACTGGGACCGTCGTCCGCGCGATGCGGACGGTGAGCTCCTGCCTTACGTCGAGACGGAGGACGAGGCTAGCGAGCGACGCCATCGCGAGTTCATCGCGAGGGGGCCGGCGCCCATCTACGGGCTGAATGGTGACCTGATCGGGCTCACCTCGCCGCCTTCCGAGGACGACGCGCAGATGCTTGAGGAGCAGGCCGAGGAGCAGGAGCGCCTCGCCGACGAGGAGGAGCAGATGCTCCGCATCAAGGAGGAGATCCGCGCCCACAACGAGCAGCGCATGCTCGCGGGGTTGGGTGACGACGACGCGCCTGAGTGGCCGGTGGCGGGTAGCTTGGGGCTTCAGCCTGGCTGGACCCACCTCCCAGACGCCGAGGACGAAGAGGACGGCAACGCAGGGCACCCGGGCGCCGAGGAGGAGGAGGAGGAGCTTGAGGACGACCACGTCGAGCCCCCTGCTCTGCCCTCTCCCAACAGCTGTGCAAGTAAGACTTTTGCAAAAGATGCCGATAACTGTCCGCGGACCTATTGCAAAAGTTGCGAATGTGTTATCGGCACAGCCACAGGCCCCGGCCAGGTCGCCGGGCAGCCTCCGGCTCGCGCCCGATGCGGTAGGCAGCCCCCCCTACTTTGCCGGTCGGGGTTTCCCGCCGCACGCGATGCGCGACGCGCGCCTCGCGCCGCCGCCCAAATTGATGCGCACGGCGCAGCTGTTGATGCGCCGCCTGCGCTGCAGTGGCTGTGCCGTCGACAGGGCGGCATCGCGACAAGCACCGTCGCTGCATCCTCACTCCTCGCGCGTGTTAGATACAAGAAAAAGATATATTATGGAGCTCATAAAAAACACCGAGGCGCAACGAGGGCATAGATTGTATATGAAGAACCCGCCGCCAGAAAGTTTTCGGCAGCGCGTAGCGTGAAGGGTGTAAGGGGGCCTGCCGGGAGTGGCCGAGTGGAGACGGTAGCGGAGACGAGGCTAACGTCTAGGCAGCCATGGTCCCCGGACAGCCACACCACCTAGAGGGAGGCGTGACGTCCTAGAAGGGTGAAGAGCGTCACGGTGGACGAGGGAGAGGATCGACGGTGATGGCGGGTCGTGACCGACGATAGAAGAGGGAGTAGGGTAGGGCGTAGCTCGGTAGAGAGAGGAGGGCAAGCGTACTGAATACCACTACACAGTGGACCCATGCGTGAGCCATACATGGGGGGCGCCCACGAGTAGGGTGCCCGGTAGGCAGCGCCGCCAGCGCCTACACGAGGTGGAGGGTAGTGACGAGGGGGGCGGCGTCACTAGGAGAGTGGGAAGGCGTATTGGTCAGAGACACGACCGGTGGCGGTGATCGATGGAGGGCGACACCGATCGGAAGGAGGAGGGGGCGCGGTGCAACATCAGGATCGAGGGGGTTAGCCTTGATCGACGAGGTGGGGAGAAGGTGCACTGGGGAGGGCGCCGAGAGATGCCCTACGCCGGAGGAAGCGCAAGGAGCGGCGCTAAGACCAGGCGTACCACGGCGAGCATAAGCTCCGAGCCAGTGGGGAAGGGATGACACGATGGATGGCGGCATCGGTCAGGGAAGGGGGATGCGACCAGGACGAGTGGCCAGCGAGGCGAGGGGAGGTGAGCCCACAACGGGCCGATGGGAGCGGAAGGCCTGACGAGGGGTGGTACTCCCGAAGGTACACTTCCCACTGCTGCCAGGGTGGACGACCAACTAGACCACACCGGGGGACGAAGGGGAAACACACCAGAGCGGGAGGCAAGGGGTGCCACGGCGTACAGGGAGGGCCGTTCCCCGGAGTACTAGCACCACAACCGCTGCAGAGGCGCGGGCGTAGACCAAGCCTGGGGGCGCAACCCAAACCAAGGGAGGCGGGCTCGCTAGGAGGCGGCGGAGGCAGCCGAGGGTGTGGAGGGCCCAAGGCGGCAAGGAGGGGATGGGGCGATCATCGATGGGCGACGCCCACCGTAGCCAACGACGAGCGTTTCTGGATTAGAGAACTCCCAGAGGTTAACTAAGAGCCAGGCGTAGGGGCGCGAGCTAGGCGAGCGGGGAACCAAGGTATATTAGCAGGGGAACAGTAACCAGTAAGTACCAACACACCTAGGCGAGCGGGGAACCAAGGAGATCAAACCCAAAGGATCTCCTGATGCCCACTGCCTGTATATATACTGTAGCTATAGTAATCAAGGAGATAGGGGATAACTACTACAGTCATCGGTCACAAGATCAGTGAGCGATGATGGTGCGATAAGGCGCCATACAGTAGTGGTGGTGGGGGAACAGGTAGAGTACTGGCAGTGTCCAAGAAGGGGGAAGGTATAAATAAGAGAAAGGGAAAGGGGGAGGTCACCGAAGGGAGAGGAGGAGAGAGGAAGTAGGAGATATAATGGAAACACACCAGGGATGAGTCATAGGTGATGACTGATGGGGGTGTCAACACATGCAAATGCCATCAGTACCATACACCAAACAAGACCAAACCAATTGAAGACCAGTCACGCTTGTGGGCGCTTGTGGGTGGCGTGGATATCCCCTGACAAAGGGGGTAAGAGGGGGAGGGGGTAATGAAGGAGCTTGGCATGCGCGTCAAGCGCTATAGTATGCGCAAAGGGGAGGGGGGGCGGTAGGCAAAACTGCGGCTTGATACTACGGCGCATCGCGTCGTGTAGGCTGCGCAGCGCGTCGTGAGGCCGTGTGAGGCGGGCCCCGACTTCTCCCCAGTTCGCGCGCGAAGGTGCTGAGAAGGGAGAGCGGGAGGACCGCGGCACGCGCCCATTGTCATCGTGTAGGTGGCGCAAGACGATTGGCGAGATAGCCAGGGAGGCACGTGCCTCGTGCTCGCGTCGTGCGCAGTGAGGAGTAGCCGAGGGGACGAGGGGCTTATTGTCGCTTCTTAGAGCGACGCGACGCGAGGGCATATGGGGAGGGGGCAAGATGATGGTGGGAGGGGGCGAGATGGTGGTAGGGACGGGTTGCTGCGTAGCCGATCGGGGCTCGGGCAGGCTATTGCGGGGACGTGAACGCGCGGCCGCATAGATAGAAAGTCAGTATAGAACCTCATAATGTACTTGTACACACACCTATAGCATTCCCTGCGCGGTGTCGCGGAGCTCTCGCAGCGGAGGTCTTGAGGCATCATACACAGTCGAGATACAGGCATATATGATGGTTTTTGACGCGGGCAAGGCGAGGGTATTGAAGACCGTCAATAAGGGATTATATGTGTGATGAGAGAGGGAGGGAGCGAGGGCATTTCGTAGGGTACAGTGGCGCGAGGAGGGTGGCGGTAGGAGTCGCGTAGTTCGGGTCCGCGAGATTGTGTCTAGGGACCGCCCGGATGCCGGTCCGGGCGTCCGAGAGCGGTCGTCGTCGTCGAAAACGACCCCGGGAACATGCGCGAAAGCTCTGGGGTATGAATTAAGCTCATGGAAGCTTGGGGAAGTACATATAGAGTATTCACACGAAGTTTCAACATAAGTCTATGCATAAAAGAGTCCTCAATCCACGAAACATTCAGATTTTTAGCCCCGAACGGAGTGTCCGTCGTTCTGCAATTTATCTGGCACTGGATATATTAAGAAGACTGTGTCACAAGCCATTAGCGTCTTACATCTACGATACAAAGCTTTTTTGAGGCCAATCCGAGCAGAAATGAATTAGGAATGGGCGAGAAGGTGTTTGATGAGTGGATGGCTGATGAATTCAAGATTCTGCACCTAAGCACCTTGAGGGTCGGACGCGACTTCAGCAAGCTACAAGCTACATGAAGTATCCGAAATTCGTCAGTCTATACTTCATGTAGTATACTACCGACAACTAGGCTTTTCCTTCTGCTCACTGACCTTCGGCCTGCATCCGAAGCCGTTGAAGGCAACGACGGCATCTAGATCACCTGTCGGATGCGTGAGGGGTTTATTTTGACCAAACGCCTCGTCATATACTCACCAAACTCGGTAGATGAGATCTACTGTATGTACAGTAATATTAAGTATGTTATATCTACAGATCGGAGTCCCTCGGCCTCCATCCGAGGTCGTCGAAGACGACGAGAACGAACATCGGGATTCGGGCCGATTGGCCGGCCCGCTCATCCGACGCGTTCGGCAGCGCTCACCCTTGTCTTCCACCTCCATCACGTCGCCGGCCGCCCTCCTCCGCTACACCACCCATCACGTCCCCGTCCCCGCTATCGCTCTGTCCCCTATCATCATCTACGCGACGCTCGCCCCGCCCGCCCCGCTGCCGCCAGCGCCATCATCCGACCACGTCAATTTTCCCTCAGTGGCGATGCAGACCAGGAGGCCGCGAACACGCCCTGTAACGCAACTTTTAAAGTCGTGCTCGAAGGATAGGAACGTATACAGGTGCGTGGCTATGCCCTACGCGCCCTGCCAGCACTAACAAATTTTCTTGGCCTTTACCTATCAACCTCGCACCACCCCACACACGATGCGCGTCCCCTCGCCGAGGGGCTCCCATCACCCTCTGCGCCCTTCCGACCTCTCTGTTCCCGCCTCCGACGTTCGCAGCCGCGCTCTGTGCCCGCCCCGTCCGCTTGAGTCCCCACCGCACTGGCGAATTCGCGGCTCAGGGCTGGGTGCGGGGCGCAATGTGCGACGTCAAGGGACGCGTGGGGGCTTGCGGTGGATACGGGGGGCTGCCGCGCGGGGGCCGAACACGTGAATATGCAGCATACAGCTGCTGTGGGACTGCCGTTGGTCGCAGAGCTGCGCGTCCCCTCCACCTCCCACCCTCGAGCACGCTACGCAGTCGCTGCCAACGTGGTTTGCGACGCGTACGCGTGACACGTATCGCGTCGGTCTCGCGATGTGCAGGTTTCCGCGCGCGGCTTCGTGTTGCAATCCTCCCGACCTCCCCCGAGTTGCTACGTGCCCGCCACGGACGTGTCCTTTGACACGGAAGGGCGCACGAAGCTCGGGGGCTATCCCCCTACCCTTCTTTCCGCCCGCGCGCCATTCTCCTCCCCTCGCCGCTGCCGCCGCATACGGCTATCTCGCGCTCACCCAATGCGTCGTCCAAATCATGAACATCAGCACGCGTTACCTGCGCACCCCATGATCTCCTCCCTCATGACACGCCCTTGTGTTCGTGCTAGCCCTCCTCGGAGGACCGCGTGGCGTGGGGCTCGTCGGCAAAAATTTCTCGTCGGCTCTTCGTTTTGATTTCACACATATCGCTGTATATACGCGCCTTCATCTGGTACATAATCACAATCTGTATTGGACAGCAGCAGCAGCAGCGACGGCGGCGCGCGAGGCGCCGTCAGCCCGTCTTTCGGGTGTGGCTGTGCGAGCGCGAGGGGCGGCACATCAGCAGCGATGCGCGCGCATCAATTTGGGCAGCGGCGCGAGGCGCGCGTCGCGTGTCGCGTGCGGCGGGAAACCCCGACCGGCAAAGTCGGGGGGGCTGCCTACCGCATTGGGCGCGAGCCGGAGGCTGCCCGGCGACCTGGCCGGGGCCTGTGGCTGTGCCGATAACACATTCGCAACTTTTGCAATAGGCCCGCGGACAGTTATCAGCATCTTTTGCAAAAGACCTACCTGCACAGGTGCTCCCAAGCCCGCAGCGCCTTCGCGCTTCCCGACGCCGGAGTGGATGAGGGAGGGACCCTCGGGCGACCGTCCAGCGGAGTTGCTCTGAGCGCTCGGCCGAGGTAAGTCCCGTTTTGATTTCTTTTTGTCGTTTTTGTGTATCCTCGCTGACCCGCACCGTCCCGACAGCTTCCTTCGAGGAGGAAACGTGGTAGGTAGTTCTGGATTAACGGGGACAATGCGCGCGACACGCGCTTAGATATGTGTTTTCTTGGGTCTCTGTACATTAGATTTTTCTTGTACTTCTTGTTGTACGGACTCCAGTTTCAATTGTACTTCTTGATTTCTTGGATGGTTTAGGACGATGCCAAGTGACCTAAGAAGCGATAAATTATGCTGCGCGACCGCCTTAGTGGTCGGCCAGTTGAACGCTGCTCGGCGGCGTGCTCGCGTGGGTTGCACGTGACCGTCGGCCACTGCCGGTTGTGGTTCGACTTAACGAGTCGTGCTTGTTCGCGATAGCGGCGCGAAAATCTCCGTCGTGGAACGAGCTGGATCGGCAGCCTATCTCCCCCACACCAAAAATGTCGGCGACCTCGCCGGTGTGGAGTTCAGGAGCAGGTAGAAATTTATGAAATTGCGGCAGAGGGCGCGGATATCGCGTCCCTGACCGGCCGAGCGGTCGTGATATAAGATCGGAGCGCGCTGGACGGATGAGTCCAACCCACTACAACGATTCGTTCCTTCATCTCCCTCAATGGCCAACAAATACCAGCGCGATCTCTTCGATCAGTTTCTTGCGCTTCTGCCTTCCGCGTCGGCGGCGCTCAAGACCGCGCTCCGCGAGGTCGCGCACTGCGACCTTCCCGCCGCCAGGAAGATCGTCAAGTATCTCAAGACACACGTGGAGGAGCTGCGCGCGCTCGACGCCAAGGTCGTCGAGCATTATGAGGGCAACAAGGAGAAGTTGGTTGCCGCGCTCGATGGGGTCATGGTGCGTGTTTGGATCGT